CCTATAAATGAATTAATCGTTGATCTTCTTCACCAAAATAATGAATTTCACAAACTATTTATTTACGTCAAAAAATGTTAGCTCTCAAACAACAATTTTTCAAACAAGTGCCACATCATAACACAAAAAAAAAGGATTTTTTGAGTTTTACTCGACTTATGTTTTGTAGTTCTTAATCTCATGACAAGTTTTGTTCATAGAAACAGGCTTCAGAAAAATTAGTATAGCATTCAATGATATTTAATAATAGGCCAAATAGAAGCATATGTTTGAACAAGCAGAAAACGAATATTAGTGAAAAATGAAGACTTTTAAAAATCAGTTGAATAGGCTGAGGTTTGTTTCGTTGCTCATTTTCTCCTTCCTTTTATAATATTTTCACACATTTTCTTTCAAAAAGTGTCGCGAACTTCATTCTGTCTGTTTGTTTTTGCACTCTCCTTTTTTCGCCTTTTTCCTTTTTTTGATCTCCAGCTGGTTGTAGTTGGAAAAAAGTTGTAGTTTATGTGACGAAGCAACGAAAATTACTATAGTAACCCGATTTTTGAAGAAAAGAGTGATGCTTGTGTTTTTTTCTAATGTGAGCACAATTGAAAAATATTATGATTGAACATTTTTCGAGAAAAAAAACTTTCAAACTTTAAAATAAATTTGGAAATCTAGAATTTTTATAACATTTTCAATTAATATAATTTTTTATTCAATTGAAGTTCAATAAGAATAATTTAAATTTCATTAAAATTAAAATTAATTGAGTGTTTCAATAATATTCAACTGTGATAGAAATATTTCAAATTTCTGTTTGTAACATCACTCACAAATAAATACCCTCAAGAACAAATTGCAACTTTTTTCGCGACTGACCTTTATGATCAAGTGCCGTGTGAATCGAAAATGTTTCTTTGTTATTTAGCTCCGGAAATTTGATCTCCCGAACTGTGATTTTTGCTTTCCTATTGCATACTGTAGTCTATTTTATATTTATCTGTGAACAATTGATTTGTAGGCTAGAAAATGTAGTTCTTTGGGAGTTCTTTGATGGTTCTTCGGTGGATGAAAAATGAAAGCCTCTAAAAATATTTGTTAGATTAATCAGCCATTTTTTCCATCATGAATCGCGTGAATTTCAATCCCCAGTGAGCTGAAACAAAATACATTATTTTGTTCCAAAGGACTAATGCTTTTGAAAAATAGATTTGGGTGGAATTAATTAAAAATTATATGATTTTTTTAAAACTAAAAATCGATTGTCTAAATATTTTCAGAAGATTCATTCTTGTTTTAAAAAATATTGACAAAAACATTTGGTTGAAATTTGAGTTTTCTAATTTTTCATACATTTCAGTACCCGAAAAATTTCGTAGATAAAGTAAACTCTGATCCTCAATTCGATTTAACCGTGTGGGCACTCTGTGAGCAGCAGAAATTTGATATTTGAAACTGTGATTTCTGCTGTCCGATTTTTTACAGTAGAGCAGGCTACAAGATACAAGGTGCCACGTCATTTCTCTCCATCCTTTTGATGTGTATCTGTGTATGTGTTTCCCCGATTTTCATATCATCTCCAATCTTTTCACGCGCCCTATTCAAAGATTATTATTGTAGAAACGAAAAAGCACGTGTCTTTCTTTTTTCTTTTTTTTTCTGTCCAATCAGACACAATTACCTGTTTATCATTGCAAAAGGAAAGAAAAACGTGTGCGGATCTTTGTAAGATTAAATTGTTATTGTACTTTTTTACAAAATTTTTCGTAAATCACAAAAAAATCAGCAAGATCAATAAAGTGCGCATCGTCCGTCAAGCAAAAAAAAAGATAACATTATTTATTTTCAATTATTTGTAGAAACAAAGTACATGGAAAATGCAAATATTTGAAAGTTTTTCAAAAATTCCCCGCTCACTTTTATGATATCATTGGTTTCTTTTCGTTCTTATCACGTTGTGTTTCGTTGTACCAAGGTCAGCGGATTTTTTGTTATTTTAGATTTATTGGTCAGAAATTTTAGACACTTTTTAGGAACTGACTGACAGAGAAGAATCAACTTATATTTTGAAACAATCAAAAAATTGTCAAATTATGTTTTGAAAAAATTTTGAAATATTCTGTGACCTATAGTTATACTAACTGTTATAAAAAGTGTGTTTTGATTTTGGTCCTAAAATATATATGAAAAAGAATTTAGGTAAAAGAAAATAGAGAAGAAATATCTAGTCTAAACAAAACGTTTAATCAACTATCATTGAACAATTTCCAAAGTTGTCATAAATACACCGTGTGATAGCAGAAGAAATACAATAATAACGGAGAAAACGAGATGTAATTTTTCGCGCCCATTTCATCTTCATTCTCTCATTTCATTCCGCATTTTTATCAAATTTTTATTAAACCTTTTTTTTTGTTTTTTTTTCAATGACTAACTTGGAATGATGATTTCAGAAAAAAAAATGTTGCGATTCTGCCGGAAACTATAGATAAATAAATAATCTCTAGATTTTTGTTGTTCGATGGAGGAAGATGGTTGAGATTCTATCATTGATAGTGAGAATTTGAGATAGGCACGTAGATGGGTGCGATTGAACTTTTTCTAGTTTATTTGTTCCGGGTGATTTTTTGGGTCAAAATTGAGGAAATTAAAAAATCAGTGTAGAAAAAATAGAAACATCAGACAAAATTTTGATTTTTAGTTTCTACTTCTTTCTCCGAACTTGGAAGGTTTTTGAGATTTCTGAATTTTCTTTTTCAAACCCTGTGATCTTTTTGCATGAAAATGTATTCAAATAATCTGTTTCTGCTAAACCCTTTGATCTTGTGTTACTTATTATCTCTTTTCATTCAACAAATTTGTTCTGACTTTTGACGTCAAAATGAGAAAACGAGACTTTTTTCAACGCCTACTATACTTTTTCGAAAAATATTTTTATTTTAATTGGTGGGATTGTCTTAAATATTATTTTTAACATATTTTCTAAATTTTTATTTGAAGATATTTTTCTCACAATCAGGGTTTCTAGTATAATAAACTTTTGACACTATTTTTAGACACGTGACAAATACTTTCCAGAAATGTGTGTCATAAAGATTTGATAAATGCTATGACTCAAAGTATGAGTCTACTTTCAATTTCTTTTTCCCAAATTTCTCACTTCATTATTTATCAAAAACGTGTCCCCCTGAAGTACAAATCAAAAAAGATACCATTGTCCATCTTTTCCTAGCGATCATCGGAACCATTTTTGTTATGATTTTTCTTCAAAAGTTACAACAAGAAAATTCACAGAGAACGCTCAACTTCGCAAAAATGTGTTTGGTCATGTGAGAAAAAAGATACGGTATCTTGTAGAATGATTATACCACATAGAATGTTTACTTGAAACGGGTTGCATTTGTCCAAAAACGTTTTCGGCTTGGTACATCCCTTTTTTCATTGAATCAGGTTCAAAAATCTATTTGAAGACAAGAGACAAAACTTTTTGCTGCTTTAAATTTCTACCGTATTTTTTAGGTATTTGCAGCGTCCACATTTTGCACTCAAATATCCTTGATCGTTAAAACAATGAAGACTAAAACAGGTCAAAAACTGATCAATGATAAACACTTTCTTCAAAAATCGCATTTCAAACAAATTTGTTCGCGATATTTCGCCTACAAAATAGACTCGATTTTTATGAACACTGGTGTTTGCATAGTGCTCTCTCTTGACTCCAAAAAATACGGTTTTTTTTGAGATTGGAAAATAAAAGATCATTTTTTTTGGTTGGTTTGTTGAGGTGAAACGGGAAAAAGAAAAGATGGAGTTCATTTTTTTGGAAAATGTAAATATTTGAACTTTGCAAAAAAGTGTTCGTTTTTTATTAGATCACGTTTCGCTTGCAAGATTTTGTAGTTTGAAATTGTGTTTCGAACGGCTAGAGTTGAATTAAAGAAGCATTAGATGTTTAGGATTATTGTAATGGAATTGTATTCAAAAAAGGTACATCAAAAGTCATTAGAGAAAAATTGGTTCTATGTTTTTTGAACTTTCGAAGAAAAAAAAGATTTTGATTTTCGGTCCAGCTGATTCTACACAACACAAAAGAAATTAAAAACTGTGTAAACATTCAGATTTTCAAAAACCCTCTTTACTTTTCAATGTTTGTCTCGTTTTCCATTTTCACCACGTGACACTTTGTCCTACAGTAACCCAAACCAAATCATATAATGTTCCATTTTTGAATCGACGAAAAATCATATCACTAAACTCTCCACAATTTCAATGCTCTCTAATTCCCATTATCTATCATCAATGTGAAAACTTTCTTTTTTGAAGATTACGGTTTTCCTGTCAAGAATTTTATAGCTTTTCCTAAAAGCATTTTTGTGTTCTAGAATAGTTCAAACTACAATCATTCAGTTTTTATCCAGCCACGAACATTTTGATACTTTCATACCCTTTAACAAATATTTGTCAATCTACAGTAATCCTCCGCAATTTTTGCACCCTGAGGAATCAAACATCATCTGAACAATTCTTTATATAATTTATGAAAGTTTCATCAAAAATCTAAAACTGTTCACTGATCTTTATTTCTTTATTTGGAAAATATCTGACAACAAAAAACAGAAAGAAAATCCCGTGATTTTTTTCGAGGAGAGTACTGTAGTTTTTGATCGTTTTTCGAAGCTCCGCCCATTTTCGTTTCATATTGATACATCCATTTTATATATTTATTATTTATTTGTATTATTTGTTGGTCGATTTTTTTTTATTTTGCATATCTCATAATCATATTATATTATTATTATTGTTATTTTGCTCACCGATTTCTATTTTTTCTTGTTGTCAGCTTTTTCCCAGAACACTCGATTCTTTTTGTTGTTTTTCGTATTCGTTTTTCTCTCCTCAATTACTCATTAGTCTTTTTGAAAAAGCAACTGGTTTTTTGAATATTTCAAAGATCAATTTCTAACTGTTTATATTTAAAAAACAATTAATTAATTAATTAATTTCAATATTCCAGTATGGTTCCAAAAGAGACGACACAATTATTGGTGGCCAATCACAAAGCTATGATATTTTGTGCGGTTTGCGGAGATACGGTAATAAACAAAAGAAAAAGTTTTCGGGAAAAAAAAAAGAAAAAAAAGTGTTTCAGGCTCTTGGCAAACATTATGGTGTAAATGCTTGTAATGGATGTAAAGGATTTTTTCGTAGAAGTATTTGGAAACATCGAACTTATGCTTGTAGATATGGAGGAAAATGTTCAATTGCTAAAGGTAAAATCAAAAGAAGAAAACTAACCACAACTGTGTTAGTTGGGAAAAATCAATTAACTCAGAAGTTCTAAAACTGTAACCACTTCGCAGTGTATAAGAATCCCGCTCGCTTGATTTGAGACCAACTACGATTGGGTTACTGTAGCAAATATATTCAAATATTCCACTTCAAAAGTATTTGACTTCCATAAATTTTGTTTAGAGAAAAACTTTCAAAAATTTGACATCGGGAACTTTAACGCTGGCTTGAAAAACAAAAAAAAACTGGGAATCTCACATTTAAATATTTACTAGAAGGGCTTCGCTGGCTAACGCCATCTACAGTAGAAATGACTAAAAATATTCGACTATGGGAGAAATTAGAACGATCAGATAAGAAACGTGGCCTAATATTTTTTTAGGATAAAAACGTGATCATTCTTTTTTACATGAAAAAAGTTTTGAATTTTCACGTGAAAACTCGCGCATTTTTTGAAAAATCGAATATTAGCGCCTCGATGGGAAAGAATTTTGGATCGAATAGTGAAGGTCCCATCAAAAATGGTCTTTTGGAAATTGAGAAAAGTCGAGCGACACATTTTAAATCCGAAAAATACATTGAGATTTTCAAACTTTTGATTCTCCGCGCACCCACAGACATTTTGAGAAAGAATGAATAGGATGCGCATCGAGCTGCCAACATTTAGAAACTTTTTATTTTTTTGATCATCAATTTTTATGCGCACAGTTTTGAGAACGGGACCCGGACACACTATTGCCAAAAAAATTTTCCCAATTAGTATATAGTAGAAGTAGATTAAAAATAAAAAATCCACCCACGTGACCTGAAATTTTATTTTCAGTTTTCCCCGGTCACATAAATCGCTATCACAATTTTATGAGGAATCTCTGAAACTACAGTAACCCTAACATTTTGCAGAACAAAGAAATGCTTGTCGTTCCTGTCGCCTCAGAACTTGTCTTGAAGCTGGAATGAATCCACGAGCTGTTCAAGGAGATTTAGATTCAGCGTCCACTTCAAACAATGTTGTATCAGTAACAAATGCTGGAAGCAAAATTATTTTACGAGAAGTTTCTTGTCAAACTGAAAATGCTGTGACAACATATCCAGGATCACCATTACCATTTTTGAATTCGACATCATCGATTAGTTCAGTTTCTTCAAATTGTTCTACAGTTTATTCAACAGCTTCATATTCTGGAAATTATTCAGGAATTTCAAAACATGAGCAATTGTTAACAACAATTCGAAAAGTTTTTGATCGAGTTGATGAAAATAGTGTTGAACCAATTACAAATACTTATAACTTTGAAACTGCATTTTATAATCCGCATTTGATTTGTAATCGAACACCAATTATGCCAACTGCAACACGTCCAGCTACACTTTATGAAGTTTTACAAGATTTTCGACGAGTTTTTGTGTTGTACACCGATATTTTGAATGTGATTCCTGAATTCGCCAAACTTGATGATAATGATAAAATGTGTTTAGCGAAAGGTCGTTTTGCATTTTTCTATTGGTGGTTGAGTTGTTGTTGGGGAGCAAGAGCTGATTGTACAGGAGTTTGTTATGCAAATGGAACTTATCATCCAATCGATAAAAATTATCAAGTATTCCCAGATGTCAGGTAAATAATTCGAATGATTTCATTTTATTTTTCCTATAAAAAATATTTTTTATTTTCAGCAATGTGACTGAATTATCTTGGGAAACAGTAACATGTCCACTTCGAGAAATTGGAATAACTGAACAAGAAACATTGATGGGATGTGTTTTTTCGATTTTTTATGAATTCCCAGTTGCTCCTAAAATATCGATTAGTGGAGAGCATTTGTTGAATGAAGCTAGAGATTATTATACTCAATGTATGAGTTATGTTTCGCCATATTATGGAATTGGTTCAGAATTGAAAAATGCATCGAGATTAGCTGATATTGCTTTGATTTTCACATCTATCACTGTAAGTTGATTCTCTTGATTCCGATTTTCAATGAGAAATATGTTTCAGAACCTCAAATATTTGACATCTGACAATATTGAACTTTCTGATGTTTTACACGTCATGGAAGTTGATCAATTTTTTGCCGACGCATTCCAAGTTGGAAAAAAGAATCGTTAATTTTTGAATTATACATTTTTCGGGTCATTTTTTTGCGGTTTCTACCTACTCATCATATCGATCAATACCAAGAATAATATAAAATATATTGTGATTAACTAATGAATATTTATTTCTGACTTTGTTGCTTGTACTTTGAATTTGAAAAAATGGATCGATCCGGAATTTGCGAAAAAATTGAAAAAAAAATAAAAGATTAAAGGAATGTTTATAAAAATGTTGTTTGGATTCTCGAAGCGAACACAGTACCACCACCGCAGAAATTTTTGAATTTTTTTGTTTTCGACAAACTTTTATTGGCCTAAAGGGGGTTTTCTATTTTTGCAGGGAGGTTTCGGTGCGTTTTTGAAAGTTTATATTTTGAATGATTGAGTACAGATATTAGGTGCTTGTAAGCGTTTCACTAGATTTTCTATTTTTCGGGCTAATTCGTCTCAAATTGCGATCTCCAGAGGAGAAAAACAAAAAATGCGCATATGCGTCATTTTGTTTGTATAAAATCTTTGATTCACAAGTTTTAGGACACTTTATGGCTAATGGCTTAATCAAATCTATAATAAATTCTCTATTTAATTCGTGACTTCCGTGTTTTCATTTTTTATAGGCCGCCACGTTTAAAAAATGTTTATTTCAGAAAAATCGTCATTATTCAACTATGGACACGACAATGTTCACGGTATGTTTCATTTTGAACCGAAAAATCATTCTATTTCACAAGTAATTTCCCATCTCAGAAAGTGTCCTGACAGCCGTCCGCGAGGTTGCGAGCCGTCGAAAGCTAGCAGAGGCTGTCCGCCAGCTCGCATTCTCAAAAAAGGGGAGGAGCGAGCGCATCTTCCTCGCCGCCAGCTAGCGCTAGCTAGCAGCTAGCTAGCGGACAGAAAACATTGCGACTGGAGCAGATTTGCTCGTCTATTTCCTTTTTCATTTTTTTCGAATTTTTTGGCCTAAAATCGTTTTATGCCTTTTTCATCGAGAATTTTCACAGAAAACATGCAAGCAACGTCGCAAAGTGTTGGAATGGAGACGGTGCACATTTCCAGGCACCTTCGTGACATGAAAATGTGTTTTTGGTGAGTGCAGATGATTTTTAATTCAGTAAATTAGTGTAAACCTATTTTACAGGGCTCTCGATGTTTGAAGCGATGTTTTCGACTGAAATGGCGGGATGGACGAGCAGCACAACAATATTTTTGATAAAATTTGTAAGGTAAGGTGGTTTGAATGAAAGCTTTGGTTCCTAACAAGTCCCAGTAGTTTTAAAATCATGCTCTAGTGTAGGAACAAATCGATTTCATGAGAAAAGAACTCATTCTATATAAACTTCGAATGGAAAATTCTATATTCATGTCTGTTACTCATATTCATCTAGAAATGTATTTGATTGTATTTTTCCATCAGTACTTGATAAATTAGAAAATCATTACTTTTAGAAAATTGATAGTGATAGGAATAAGTAGTTGCCAAGTAATTACCATGTCATTGTCAAGTCAAGCTACTAAATCGCTTGTCAGCACTGACTAACTTTCTACGAAAACCTTGTAATTTTGGCTCGTTGTGTTTTCTAAACAATGAACGCTGCCTCAGCAGTCTATTTTTCATTTTGCAGATAATAGGCTATATCTGAATATGTAACTTGAAACACTTCAAAAATGACTCGATTTTTTCCCATTTCCCAATGTCCTATATTTTTAAAACTAAGTTTTCAACACGATTCACAATTTCAGATTCTACAATCATCGGCAAAATCTTCGCAGCCTGGAAAACAGCACAAACACCCTCCACACTTCCACACCCACAGGATTCTGATAATTAATGTGTTTTTTATTCAATAAATTGCTTTAAAATAAGCTCTATGAATTGCGAAAACAACAGGCAAACGCTAGCTAGCAGCGAGAACTGGCGAGGTTTCGCCAGAAAAATGCGAGAAATGGACGGCCGTCTGCCGGCTCGCGTGCTAGCTGGCGAGATTTTCTCGCCGACGGCTGTCAGGACACTTTCTGAGATAGGCTGTTGTCACACTTGTTCTCTAACATGCTCCGCCCATATGGCGCGTAATAGTAGCGTTCAAAAAATTGTGTATTTTCCTACAAACAAAAAATAGTTGACATTTTTCGTTTTTGTGTTTTTTTTAAACATTATAATAAAGAATCGTTTTTACAGTCAATCATGGCATCAACGAAGAAGAAGCACTCGGATCTCCCGACAAACCTTCGTGTTGCTGTTCGAATTCGACCAATGAATGCGACGGAAAAGAAGGATAAATGTTCGAATATTGTGAAGGTTGAGAAATTCAACACATCGGTGCAATGCAAGGGAAAACCGTTTGGACCATTTTTCAAAGTTTTTGACGAAAATGCGACACAGGAAGATGTCTACAAAGATGTTGTCAGTTCGCAAACGAAAAAAGTGATAAGTGGATTCAATTGCACAGTATTTGCATATGGTCAAACTGGAACCGGAAAAACATTCACAATGGAAGGTGGAAAAGGAGATGCGAAAAGTTCGAAGGATGACACATCGACTGGAATCATTCCAAGAGCCGTTGAGGATATATTCGAACAATTGGAAGCATCTGGATGTGAGGAATATTCACTTCGGGTCAGTTATGTCGAGTTGTACAATGAAGAACTTTTCGATTTGTTGGCAGCGAATACAGAAGCGGATGATCGAGAACGATTGAGAATTTATGATGATCCAAGCAAAAAGGTTCGTTGTTTTCATGTGTAAATTGAAACTTCTATTAAAAGTTATAATTTTTAGGGAGTCATCGTTTCTGGCGTGGAAGAAGTTCCAGTTCGCTCAAGAGCTGATGTCTATAAATTGTTGGAATTGGGGGCGGAAAAACGACGAACTGCGGCAACTTTGATGAATCAAAGAAGTAGCAGATCTCACAGTTTGTTCATGGTGAATGTGGTTGTTCGTGAAAACTCGATTTCTGGCGAGGAACTTGTCAAGCAAGGAAAATTGAATTTGGTTGATTTGGCGGGATCGGAAAATATCGGAAGATCTGGTGCACAAGGAAATCGAGCAAAAGAAGCTGGATCAATCAATCAATCGCTTTTAACACTCGGACGAGTTATTCGATCTCTCACCACAAATGCTCAACATATTCCATACAGAGAATCAAAATTGACAAGATTGTTGCAAGATAGTTTGGGAGGTTCAACTATCACAAGCTTGATTGCAACAATGTCACCTGCAAGCGATAATTTTGAGGAAAGTCAAAGTACTCTGGAATATGCGATGAGAGCAGCGAACATCAAGAACAAACCAATTTGCAATACAAAAGTTTCGAAGAAAACTATTCTCAAGGAGTATTCGGATGAAATTGAAAAATTGCGAAGAGATTTGAGAGCTGCCAGAGAGAAGAATGGAGTTATTATAAGTGAAGAATCGCATGAGTAAGTTGAATTTTTAGAAAAAAAAAATAGAACTAAAAAATTGATATTTTTGCAGAGAATTCCAGCGAAGCACTGCTCGCGCTCAAGAACTCGAAGAACAACTCAATTCAGTGGTTGATAGACTTCGTCGATTCACCGAAGATCTCATGCATATGGATGAGCAATATAAGCATGTTTTTGAGAGAAAATGTGAATTGGAAGATCGTCTTCGTGAAAGATATCGAAATTTGGCAGAAGCTGAGAAGGAAATTGAAGATAAAAAAGACGAAATTCGAATGTACACATCTGGACTCGAGAAAATGTATGTTGCTGCATGCCAAACTTTTGGACAAGCCAAACAAATGCGAGAATCGGCAGATGATATGAAACAAGATCTGATGGCACACTGGCGAAAAATCGATGAAATGGCCGCTTCGAATGACAAAAATCAAGCAATGGTGAATTCATTCGCTGAGAAAATGGGATTATTTGTTAATCAAGTTTCGGATTTGTCAGCTGAAGACTCGAAAAAAGAGGAGGAAATTCGAAAAACTATTGAAAGTGATAAAGGTTAGTTTGCCGAGGAAATTCATTTGAATTTTTTAAACCAAATCACGATTTTTCAGAAGTCAGTGTTGCATCAACCAGAAATATTAAAAGCGAATTCCAGCAGAATGCTTCAGAAACTCGAGAATTGATATCGTATTTGAAGGAAAGCGGCGAGAAGATCGACAACAATTTCGATAAAAATATTCGAACCTTCGCTCAACGAAATGATGAAACTATCAAGCAGAATATCGAAAAGTTTGCTAAACTCTTCGTCACAACTTTCAGTGATGCTCAAAAGACAAACGAAATACTATTCGCAAAACTTGAAGCAATCAAACACCAATTCGAGGAATTCCGAAAAGAAGTCGATCCATTGATGAATGAATTACGTGGTTCGGCGACGGAAAATATGGAAAGAAGAGCCCGCGAAAGAGATCTAATTCGTGAATCAACCAATTCTGGACTTCACGTCATCATGGATTTTTGCAAGAAGATGATGGAACAAGTTAAAACAACATCAGAAAATTTGGCAACAAAAATTGATGAATCACAAATAGCAGATCAAGAATCGGTTGAGAAAACGATTTCAACAATTGGAACACTTGGAGATGTTATTATGAGTCTTGATGATGGAGTTGGTGAAGAAACTTGTGATGTTTGTGAGATAAAAGAAGAAACCAAAATCCACTTTGATACAAATCAAGAATCCATGAACACAACAACAGCAGAATTCTCTGCTGAGATTGCTAAAATTTCAACCGAAATCCAGGTATTTTAAAATATATGATTTTCTTTTAATTCAAATCAATCTTTTCAGAACATTAGTTCAAAATTCATTGAGGATGCTTCTGAATGTCGATCAAGCATCGTTCCACAATTCGAAGCAATTCGAAATAAAAATGATGAAATTGCCGAAAATTGCGATAAACTCGAAAATGAAATTAGAAGAAGAACGGAAAACGTTGCTACAATTATGGTTAGTTTTTATTTTGAGAAAACTTTGATGTAAAGGAAATTAATGATTTTCAGACAACTAAATCATCCGAATTTGTTGAAAACATTGGCAATGTTATCAAAGAAGCAAATGAGACAATCGCAAGTATCGAATATTCGAAAGTTGATCCAAAAGCTCGAGTTCCTGCGAGAATAACAGCACCAGTTCTCACTGAAAGAGAGTTATGCAAGCCGCCTCAACCGGAATCGGTTCTTAATTCGGGCGAAGTTGAAACTGGACAAGAAGACAATGACGAAATTACTTCGACAAAGCAAAACCGTCGAGTGACGACATTCATGAGACGCGACAGTCTCCTCGACACTACCAATATTTTCTCAAGTCCGACTTCACTTTTACAACGTCGAGCTGAAATTGCTGAAGAAGACGAGGAAAACTAAAAAACATTTTTTTAATATTTGTTTCTTTTTTTTTTGTATTTCGATGTGAATAGATTATTTTTTATTACATTAACATAAATTTCTTTGATTATTTTCTGTTGTTTTTAGTTGCAGAGATTTCGTTTATTCAAACCGAGCCTATTTTTTTAACTGCTAAACTGCAGGCAGGCGGAGTGACGTTCGATTTTTTTATTTTTCAAAATTTTGGTCTGAAAAATTTTCGCTCTATTTTTCTAGAAAAAAATGCGATTGTCCTCAATTTTATCACTTCGTCGAATTGTAAACAGTGGTTTCCATCCATTTCAAGTAATTCCAAAACCGGATATGTGGAGAAAACGAGAACAACTTCAACAATTCACAGCGGTTTGTTTTTTCGATTCAAATTAAGTAACATTTTAATTGAAATCAAATAATTTTCAGTGGCAATATGCATCTGAACGAACCACAGTGAAAGGCGCTTATCGAAAACAAGACAAACTTTTTCATTATTTGAATATGCAGCGGGAAGATGAGAAATTGACGGAGAAATATGTAAGTGCTTTGAAGTTTCGATCCAAAATAAAAAATCAAATTTTTAGCATGCCGAACAACGAGTTTCTACTGCTTTAGCTGAACATGATATGGAATATTCGAAATTCAAATCAATTTTGTCAAAATCGCACATTTTGTTGGATAATATTGTTTTGGCGCAACTTGCGATTTATGAGCCAAGGTCTTTTAAGGTTAGTTTTTTGGTTCTACCTAAAATATCACCAAAATCTCATGTTTTTAATAAAACATCTTTTGAGCTCTTGTTTTTCAGAAATTTCAGTCAAAAACCCTTAAAAATAGCATCAATTTTTCCGACAAATTTCATACTGACAATTTCCACGTCATAGTTCAAGTTCTAAGAATATTTTATAATGAGAGTTTCCTAACTGCCACGTCATTTTCAGAGATTATTCTCATTTCATATTTTCCAGAGTTTGGTATCATTCGCCAAAGAATTGGCTCGACAAGAAGGAATGAGTGTAATACCAGATGATGCTGAATTCTCCTACGATGTTCATGTTGACAATTCGATTCTTCGCGATCCACTTCCACGAGCTGTTGAATATCCACGTGGTGCTGCTGAAAATCACACAAATAAACCAAGAAAACTTCGACCGGATGAGTTTTAGGTTATTTTTCAACAAAAATTCGAATAGTTTAGATCATTGTTGTTATTATTATTGTTTTTCTCTTCATAAAAACAGAAATTTTATCACATTTTTCGCGAAACAAAAAAAATAAAACGACCACCGCGTTTACATATGAAAATGATAAATAATAACAGAAATAACAAAATAATACAAAAATCAGAATCAAATCAGGGCTAGAAAATATTGGGGAATTATAAAAAAACACTAATCAATTAATTAATCAATCGAAATCCATTTCCAATTCAAAAACATCTGAAGGTTCACCTATTCGTTCACGAATTGAATAATACAATTGAACATTGCCGAAAACTTCACGCTCTGCGTATTGATTGAAGGAACATGCATCGAAAAGCGAATCATCCGCAAATGCATCAAGATCTTCTTCCTCTTCAAGATTTTCATCTTCGTCATCTGAATAATCCGAATCACCATTTCTCAAAATCCAATTTGAAATCAAAAGTCGACAAACAGCCGGATTCAATGGGGAAGAATATGAGAACAAATGACAGAGATAAGACGAAGCCTTTTCTCGAATATCCGAATCATCATCTTGTAAATACATCGCAACCGCTGATATCAATTTCAGTTCATGATCTGGAAAAAAATATAACAATTTTCGGAATTCTAAAAAATCTTCAAAACCTTTGTAAAAATTATCGGAAAATGTGGCATTCGGTTTGAGATCGGAAACAAATCGGCAACCGGTATTCAATGCTATCTCTTTTGCTTCAACATCTTCGAGATTGAAACTGTTTCGAATCCATGCCGAATCAACGGGTTTATCACAAATTATTGATTCGACTTGTTTCATGGCACATTTTGTTGAGTCTCTGGAAAAAATTAAGAAGTTCAGTAGAAAACAAATTATTCGAGAATTAATAATGAAGTTCAACTAATTTCATAATTTTGTTATTACAAACTTTTTCCCAACTTACAATGTCCATAAATATTTTTTCTTTTCCAAAATCCTGGCCAATTTCAATTTCATGTCATCATTCACAAAATCTTCAGCATTTGCCAAAATCATCAAAATTCTTCTCACATCGGATTCTTCAATCGATTCATCTTCCAAATCGGGAATTGCACACGAAATAATAAATGCTCGAAGATGAGCCCAACAAATATTCCAACCATTTTTATAAATCAATCGATAGATTTCTCGACGAATTTCTCGATCTTTCACCCAAACACTCATCTCGGTTTTTAAAGCGTCACGTTGGAATAACAATGTCTGGGCGATTGGGCGTTTTGAGAGACAAAGAGATGAAGATGGCTGAAAAAAACGTATCATTTTTTGATGGTAAAAATAAAGTCCCAAAAAAGGTTCCCCCAAATGCACATTTTAAGCATACCTGATAATCATCGAGATCATAATTAATTCTATAAATATTCACAAGCTCCAAATAAATTGCAAAATTATAATCGCAAAACTTATAATCAATCAATAATTGCAAAATATCCGATTTTTGCGGAAATTTTTGAAGAAATCCTTGAAGTAAAAGAAGAAGACAATGCAAATGATTCTGTTTGATATCTTTCGAATTTTTGACAATACTTTCAATCCACTCAAAAATCTCATCTGAATCTTCGGAAATCGATAAAATAGCTTGACAAGCATGAGCTCGAAGATTTTCTCTTTTTTTCTTTCAATGCAATTTTGAGAAGAAGTGGAATAAATGGTTTGAGTGAATAGATATTCGTTGTTGTTGGAATTAAATGAGATAAAAGAATCAATGGTGGAAGAAGTGAGAATTCCGAATCCGGCTCATTTTCAATTTGTTCTTTCAAAGTCATATAAAGGCTTGGGAATTTTGAGAAGAATTCGAGATTTGATTGTCGATTTTTTTGGTCGATTTGAAGAGTTCTTTGGATTGATCTGCTTACTCCAAAAATTCGAGTTCGAACTGCGGCAAAAAGTTGGGAAGCTGCGTTTCGCTCACTCCAATCAGCACGGCATGCAGAAATTGCCACAGAGAGGGTTTTCTGAAAAATAAAATGGTGACGTAGCAATTTATGAAAAGTGAAATTTTCAATTAATTTTGGTAACTTGGACTTATCAGCATCAGCTGAACAACTCAACTATTGATTTTTCCCTAAATCAAATTTCCCCCCACAAACCTCCAAGGCAAAAGTGATTTTCTCATTCAAACTCGACGCTGCAACCAAAGCCTTCATACAATTCATCGAATGAATTCTCATCTCCTCATTTTTCCCCTCCATATCCATCAATTTTTCCGCAGTTTTTTGCAAAGCATCCAGATTCGGTGCAGTTTGAACAATCGAAACAATTAAATGTGGCAGTCCGGCGCTTCTTCGAGTTGCACACAGATTTTTTGATACTTCGACATTGCCTTTGAGAGAATCGAGAATTTGATCAAGCCATAAATTTGGTTTCGGATGATTCGGGTTCTCCGAAGTCCAAAGGAATAGACAAACTTTGTTGAATCCCTCAACTGCACATTCAAAAGCTCCACGATGTTTGCATTCAGTTAACTGGGTCCAGTAAAATTCACCGATTTTATGAACTTCTTCATCAGCTAATTGATTGCATAACTGGAAATAAAAACATGAAACAATGAAAAAAATATATAATTTTCTTTTTTTTCGATTTTGCAACATTTACTCACCAAAAAATGTATCTTTCATTTTTTGGGCAAAAAATATATATGTACAACGTGAACTAGAAATAGTGTACGTGAATTATTGCACAACGGAAAGCAGTTTCTATGCCAGCCCAGAAAAACTCACCGAATTCTTAAAAATCCACGCAAAAATCGCTGAAATATGTTTATGCGCTCTCCAACAGCAAACTAACAGATGTTGCGAAGAATTTTGTGAGTTTTCCTCAAATTCTGGATAATATCCTTCGGGTGACAAATTATGAACAACAGGTGTTACAACTTCAACAATTCGATGACAAATTGGAAGAAGATCAGTGGATAAAAATGTCTTGCAAAACTTCACATCCAAATCAGCATTTTCAATTATTGCCTCAATTATATTCAAAATTGGATGAACTGAAAAAGTGGTAATGTTCAGAAGATTTTCTTCGGATTTTTTGGTGAATTCATCAAGTTTTTGACAAAATTTGAGTAATAATGGTTGAATTCTTGTTGGATATTTATGAATATAATAACGAATTCGATAACCGGCAGCAGATGTGTTTCTTGTTTTCACAGATGCCATCAACTTTTCAATATTTTTCAAATATGCCTCTTCATCGATTGATGTTTCTCCAAAATCAACATTTTTCAGAATAACCAATGCTACTTTTTGGCATAAATCATAAGAATCATCCAAACAATTTTGTATCGATTTAAGACGATTTGAACCTAGCGTTGATTCGAGATTTAGATATTCCACGAAACGACCTGAAATTGAAATAAAATTAATGATAACTTTGAAATATCTCACATTTCCCATTTGAAATATAATTCGATTTTGTGTATAACAATTCAATGAGGCATAATGCCATTATTCGCCGATTGAAATTCGCATTCTTTCTCAAATGATCGAATGATGATTTTGCAAGAAATCGCACAAATTCTTCAGCATTCTTTATTTCCTCATCAACTTGATCATCTTTTAAAACTTGTCGAATTGTAGCTGTCGCTGTTCCTTGAGTCAATTCTTCCATTCGATGTTTCGCTTTTTTCACATCTTTCAAAGGAGCCTCCAAAGATTCTCCAATTCTCAACAAAGCTGTTTTAAGGATTTTCAATATCAATTGGCGGCCTCCGGATGATTGATGATTCATATTTGCATCAACGAATATTTTAATCAATTCGAAGTCTTGATCAGTAAATGGTCGAGTTTTCTTCGGATTTTCGACGATTAGACGAAATGCAGAGATTGAAATATTTGGATTAACATGAAGAATTTGATCAAATATCCAATTATTTGAGAGGAAATCAGACCATTCAGGATTTGGACGCATTGAACTATCAGCAATCGCTAGTTTTCCTTGATGACTTATCAAACTTCGACATACTTCAAGAACTACATCTTCAAGCCCTTCCACGTTTTTCACTTCGCTGAATAGCATCAAACTGAAACCAATGAGTTCTTCTTTCTTCTCGATCATTTTCAAAAGTCGATTTTTGATAACACTTCTCTCATTTTCCATGGCAAAATCTTTGATGGAAGTCGCATGAAAATCCCATAAATCCGGATATCCTTGAAGATGAAAAACAATCATTTCACATATCACACCTGACAATGTTGGATTATTCAATTGAACATAAGCTCGATTGAAGAAATCAGGAGACAAGTTGACACAAAGTGTTGGGCAGATTTTGACGAGTCCAAGCTGGAATTTTAGTATATATTTGATTAATTTTTTGAGGATTCTTACAAGGCATCTAAATCTCGATCTATATAAACTGGTTGGTTCTAGAAGCCATTGAATCGTCTCATTTATCCAATCACAGTTAGCTGCGCTTTCGTCAGGTGGTCTGAAAAAATGTTCAGATCTTTAGAAATCAATCTAGCAAAACCCTACATTTCTTGACAATAGTCGCATTGATTTTGATGAATTTTGATAAGAATCGTAAAAATATCAACAGCATCATGACACACAATATCAGCCTGATAATTCCAAACCCGTCGGATATAAGAGATTATTTTGTCGAAAAATGCATGAGGTAGACTGAGACTTGCGTTATCGTTGATTATAACTAGAATCCGTTTGATGGTCGCCGCTCCGAAAATCATTGTATCTTTATCGGTTGACCATTGTAGTGTTGCTTCTAATGTTCTTTCAAGAGCTAATACTATTTTTTGGTCATCCAAATTATCTTCGACGTTTCGATGGACCCAATCCAAATCGGCTATATCCTTTGGATGTTGACTACGTAGCATTTTGAATATTATTGCCCGTATATCAGTTTAATTCGTACCCTGTAAAATATCTTTCATAATAATCATGAAACATTGATTTTGGAATGGCGAAAAAACAACTAAAAAACACGAAATTTTGGGAATTGAAAAAAAGGGAGAACGGCAAACACGCTCTGACGAACAAATATTTTTCAAATGTGGTTTTTCTTTTTGAGTGAGTGAAGGATTGAGTGCAAAAAACAACTTTTCCGGGCGATAATAAGCGAATGTTTCGTTGCGACACATATATTATTGGAAACATATGCACCACATGTTTTTCTACTCAAATACTTTTCTTGATTATGACGACCAGAATTTGCTTCATTTTTTATTCATAGGTTATATATAGCACGAAATGACACTGACTGGGAAAAACAACAATTTTGGCGACTCTCAAGAAAAAAATTGAAAAATATTTATTTTCAATCGAGCAATTACGCCCGACTGATAAAAATAATACTGTATTTATTGTTCGCTTTGAGACCTATCCAATTTTTTTCAGGATGTTCCATCATTAAATTTTTTATTTTCTTTTTTTTTGTCATTTTCGTTCGCTTCTCCTCGCGCATCCACTTGTTAATTCAGTGATGAAAAGAAGCAAATTAAGTTATCCACTTCTCTCTGCCAACCTTCTGAATACTCTTCTTCTGCTTCTCATATAGAACTCTTGGTTTTTTAATCAATAGTGTTGTTTTTGTTGACATGACAGCTGAGTTATTTTTAAATGAACAGAGTAACTCAATTATACATGGCATTGATTTTTGACTAAACACGTTTATGTGTGGGAATTTTACATCTAATGTTTGTATATATTTTATATAAACATTTTTCTGTTTATATATTTTTGGTTTGATGAAGTACCCAATTTCGGGGGAAGATAATTAATTTTAAATGACTCATCCTTGGTCACTCATTGTTTTTTCTTTGGTTGTCCTTCTATCTTGTTTCGCTCCTTTTCTCCATGAAAATGTTTACTTTTCTCATTTCATATTTTTTCTTTTCTTTCTCGGAGAAACGTTCGAAACACACAAACAACAGAAAAAAACCAGACTTTTTCTCTACGTAATTCGATCGATATAGTGACCAGCCAGACAGAGACACATCGCTTTTTTTTTGTCCTTTTTGTATTAAAATTTTTATTTATTGTGAATTGAAAAAAAAACATTTTGTTTTTTCTTCAGGTGATGGTAACCCCTCCGAAAATCGATTTCGCTGATGCGATCCAAGATTCGCCAAAATTCCGTGCCACAATTTCACAACATACTATTTATTTCAATAGATTAGAAAGTAGATTAAATGAGATATTAAGGCATATCAATCAGATGATCGATCAAAGTAAGAATTATGTTCAAACTTTTTAGTAAGTTTTTTATCTGATTTTTAAAAAAATATTTATATCAAAAATGTAATTTTCAGTAAATTGACTGTCTCGGTGAATCAATTATGCGATGAAAGTTTTTCCGATAACCCACTGGCTACTAAAACTTTTGAAGCGTTATCTGACGCATATGGACATACCCTAACTTTGTTGAAAACGTATTATGAACATTCAAATATAGTAATTTATCAAAAATTGTCGGGTTTCATTAAAAAGTGAGTTTTTAGGTCCTTAACAAATAGTTAGTTTTAAATTGTTGAAATGTTTCTAGTGAGCTTCAAAAAGTTGTGGAAGCTCGTGCACATTTCGATAACATGTCTCAATCGATGGACGAAGCTTTGATTAAAAACGCAAGTGGAAGTCGGCAAAAACCCGCTGACGCAGCTGATGGCAGAAATGCTCTAACTGCGGTGATTTTTGAGCACACAAAGTTAAACTGAAAAAATAAAACTGTTTACTTTATAGGTCGGTGCCTGTTTTGCTCATACCACTCTCGACTATGTTGCCCAAATCAATATTGCCCATGCGCACAAAGACCATATGATTTTGGAAGCGGTGAGTTTTTTTTTCAAAATCAGATTTTCATGCTGAAAATTGAGAGTTCCAAATGTATTTTTCCCCAAATTTCCTCATTTCGATAATTTTCACTTAAATTACATTTTCTAATCTAGATGTCGTAAAGCTTTATTTTGAAATTTAAATTAAAAAGATAGAAGTGAAACGTGGCAGCTTGAAGTATTCTGAATTTTCTTTATTTTTTCACAATCTCATTTGGAAACCTATTTTGAAAATTTAAAAATTCAAATGTTCGAACTATTTTTCAAAAATCAAAGTGATTTTTTCAAAGGATTTGGGAACTCAAAAAATAATGAAATGTTCCATGAACTAGAAAATTTATCAAAATAATTTTAGCTCTGGACATTTGTTCGAGAATCTTCCGCATTCTTCTCAAAAGGTCATGCAACTTTCGATGAATGGACCGCAGCAGATAATGGTTATGTTGCTGATACAATTCATACATTCGCATCAAAATCTAAACTTGTTGAGAGGAAAATGCAAGATGTTCATTCGCTTGTGCCAAAGGTGAGTGTCCAAACTGATAATTTCTTCTTATCTTTTCCGTCGTTTACACCAACAAAAACGAACAGTCATCGTGCTTTGTTTTCTTTCGTTTTCCAACAATTTTATTTCTAAAAATAAAATTTAAAATTTTTTTGAAAAAAATGAATTTATTGAAATCTATTAGACGAAAATATCGAAAGATTCAGCAATTCCGGAAGGTACATTTTAAATAATTAATTTTTTAGAGATGAAATTCTAAATTCTTTATAGGAAATGTTCCAACATCCAAGTGGAATGCCAATTGATGCTGATGTTATGATGGAAGGATATTTATATAAAAGATCATCGAATGCATTCAAAACTTGGAATCGAAGATGGTTTCAAATTAAGGAGAATAAATTGTTATATTCGCATAGATCAAATGATGTTGAACCATCGACTGTTATGGAAGAGAATTTGATGTTATGTTTAGTTCGACCAGCACCACCAAATATTGATCGAGTTGGATGTTTTGAACTTGTTACACCAACTCGAAGTCATTTACTTCAAGCTGATTCAGAATCACTTTGTAATGATTGGATGAGAGCATTACAACGAACTATTTTAGCATTACATGAAAGTGATAATGGATTTATAAATAGTTCAAGAGGTTCTGCAACTGTTCCATCGACTAGTAAAACTGAAACTGATCTCAATAAAAATCGTAGTTTATCCGATCCAATTGATTCAAGTAGTCCAAGATCAACATCATCGAATACTTCAACAATTAATCAAGAAAATAATGGAAAATTATCAACTTTTGAACAAATTCGACGAGTTGAGGGAAATGAAAAATGCGCAGATTGTGGATCAGCTTCTCCTAAATGGGTTAGTATAAATATCGGAGTTATATTATGTATTGAATGTTCGGGAGTTCATCGAAGTCTTGGTGTTCAAATGTCTAAAGTTCGATCATTGACAATGGATTCGATTGATGGAGAATTGAAGGATGTATTATTGGCATTAGGAAATAATCGAGTGAATTCGATATTTTTAAAATATTTGCCAGAAACTGATATTATACCACCACCAGCAAATGAAACATCGACAAGACAAGTAAGAGAAGCATGGATTAAAGCAAAATATGTTGAGAAAAGATTTGCAAAAAATACAAAAGCGAAGATATCTATCAATAAATCAGCATCATACAAAGATGTTCTAGATGCTTGGTCAGCTGATCTTTCAATGCCTTTACCAACAATTCCAACTAAACGACTATCATCTTGTGGATCAGATACCGCACTAGATCTTGTTGGAGAATCTGAAGTATTGAAAGATGATTGGAAACATGTTAAAGAATCTTGCGAAAATGGAAATATTTTAGGATTATTGGAGGCATTTTCACAAGGTTTTGATTTGAATGCGCACCATGAAGGAACTACCGCTCTACATATCGCTACAAAACATGTAAGTTATCTTTTTAAAAAGTCAGCTAACTTTTTTCTATTACTTATCTCTACAGGGTCACACCGGAACTGTCGAATTTCTATTGCTGAATGGCGCGAAAATCAACATGTTGGACGAAAAACTCAACACTGCTTTACATTTGGCCGCCCAGGAGGGTCATACACTGTAAGATTAGAAATTGTTTTTTTTTTTCAAATTTCGAAACCCATATTTTTCAGGCAAGTTTGTCAATTGTTAAAACGCGGCGCGGATGGAAATTTGACGAATGTTGATAGTAAAACACCGTTGGATATTGCAATGGAAGGCACACATGCTGATATTGTGACGTTGTGAGTTTTTATCTGTATGAAATTCAGAAGCTTGGTGTTCTTAAACTTGTCACGTGGTTTTTAAATTAAGTTTTTGAATCTTCATGAAATTACATAGTCACACACCTCATAAGTATAGCTTCAATGTTTTTTGTTTAAAAAAAACGCCTAGTTTTTAAAAACTGCGATATTTTTAATGCGGTGCCCAAATAGAAAAATATTGCAATATAAAGCGGTTTTTGATAAACACCAAATTGTAGTAATTAGATTTATTATATGCCTGAATTCTAAAAGAAATAACCGTGACAGGATTTTGATTATCAAAAACAGATTATCTGAATTTATGAAAAAAAAACAGTAATTTTTTTTCAAATTTCGAGTTAAAAATTCAAGATCACTTCACTCGTTTCGAGAAACCCGAATCTTCCTGTTTCCCAACAAACCCTATTTCTAATTTCAGATTCCGCGTTACAATAATGCGAAACGAATTCAATGACTACAACAATCCCATGGATGAAACTGTCGATGTTGTAATATCAGATATTGCGAATCGAGCTGCCAACGAAAAATTAAACAAATCCGAGTAGCTTTTTTCTCTCCCATTTTTTGTAAATATATTTGTGATGCATTTTCTGTAAATTATGACCTTTTTGCGATGCCATAATATAGTTTTAAATTTATTCCTTCTTTTTATTTTGCATCTCTCAACGTGAAAACCTAAACGTGATCCAATTTTCGCAGCTTTTTAAACCGAAAATTCAGAAAAATCTGTATTTTCGATTTATAGCAAACATTAGGTTACCAGAAGCAGCTTAGATATTATTAATTAAAATGTTGAATGGAAGCAATGGTGAAAACAAAACTTTACGCGACAACAAAACTGTTCGAGATAAAACATTGCGTGATACGAAGACTGTGCCATCAGTGGTAAGCGCCAACAAAAATGCCGATGAACCATTTGATGTTATCAGTTTTTGTAAACGACATTTTCGAGTTGATGCTTGGGCAAACGAGAGAAGTGTGAGTTTTTGAAGAATTTCAGAAATATAAAAATGAAATTCTGAGGGAGATAGAAAAGTTTCAAAATTTTTAAATTTCAAAAATATGTTCAATATTTCAAGTTAGTTGGACATGTTCAACAGATGTTCTGAATTTTAATTGGGGTACTGTAGTCCTTAAGAATCATAATTTAGTTGATCTATAAAATTTGAGTTACTGTAATTCTATTCTAATTTTCCAATTTTTCTTTATATTTTCAGCAAGTTTATACAGTTCGAGAACTACTCGCACTAATTGATGGCGCAATAGAAGCTTTTAAAAAAGACGAATCACTCGCCACACTTTCTCCACCTTGTACAATTGTTGGTGATATTCATGGACAATATCGAGATCTGATTCGTATTCTTTTTTCACGACACGATAATATTGATCCGAAAAATCTGAAAGCTGCCAGACATATGGAGAAATTTGGGGTTGAAAATGCGACTACCAGCAGGTTGGGCAATTTTGAAAATTCAAAAAAAAATGTCGGCTATCAGCTGATAAATCAAGTTTCTCAAAAATTCTGAAATTATTTGGATCAATGTTTCACATTTTTCCAGATTCATGTTCCTCGGTGATTTTGTAGATCGTGGTCCATTTTCTGTCGAATGCATTTGCCTCGTTTTTTGCCTCAAAATCATTTATCCAAAACAATACATTTTATTGCGAGGAAATCACGAGACAAAAGCAATTAATTTTGCCTATGGTTTTCGCGAAGAATTGATGAATAAATTGGGACAAAATGAAGGAGTTGATGTTTGGGAAAAGTTTAACGAAGCTTTTGCTTGGATGCCTGTTGCTGGATTGATTGGTGGTAAAATATTATGTATGCATGGTGGAATATCACCAGGCTTGAATTCGTTGGCTGATATTCGAGCGGTAATTTGAATTTACAATCAGATTCCTAATTTCAAAAAAAAACTCTTATTTTAGATTGAGCGACCTTTGGCTGATGTAAATGACAATAAATTGGCACTTGATTTACTTTGGAGTGATCCAATCGATAATTTGAATATTAATTCAATTAATGATCGACCACAATATATTAAAAATGTTGTTCGTGGATTATCGTGTTGTTTTAATGATGCGGCAATTGCTGAAACTATCAAGAAGTTGAATATCGATTTGATTGTGCGAGCTCATCAAGTTCAAGATAATGGTTTTAAGTTTTCGCGTGATCGAAAACTTATCACTGTTTTCAGTGCGCCAAGATACATGCTTGAGAATGATGTGAGTTTTCAATCTCAAAAAAAAAAAATCAAAAATGGTCCGATTCGTGAAATTCTGAAAATCTTCCAGTTTCGTGTCAAAAAATTTTCAAAACAAAAATATGCATTACAGAATCTCGGAGCTGTGCTCAAAATTCGAGAAAATGGCTCACTTTCTATTAAATTGTTGAAGGCCTCATCGAGAAATTTGAAATCAGATCGCGGAAAAGGAACACCGAAATCGGACAAATCCAAAACATCTGGAAGTTCGAAGAGTTCCAGCTTGACTACTTGATTGATTTATTCATTTTTTAAAATGAATACTTGTATTTGAAATTGAAATCATTCTTGAATTACTGTAGGGAAACTTGATTGTGTGCATGTTCTGCAAACACCATATTTCACGACAACTTTTTTTTGTTTTTCGAGGGCATTTTGCAAAATTTGAGAGTTCCTTTCGTTTTCCCCGAGGCGTCTCTAGCTGGATATGCTCAAAAATAAATTTTGAATATACGCTGATGTTACAGTTAATAACCGGTAATATGGGAATATTCAACGCACAAACGTTCGAAGCTGTCTTGAAGCGATATTTCATGAGAAGTGTAAGTTTGTTTCATTCTGCAATCAAAATTTGTTTAATTCTGAAATCTATTGCAAGTTACAGAAAATACGAGAAGAAGAATTGCTCAAATTGTTGAAGAATCATGAAAAATTCGATACTCTTCGAAAACTTACCGATTTAATCGAGAATTCTGATGGAAGACTTGATAGATTTGCACCAGCTGAAGAATTATTGGAAAAGTTGCAAATTTATTATAATAGTCTTCCCAAATCCTCAAAATTGTTGAATTTGCCAAATAATTTGAATTATCAAAGTGAACCAAATATTTTGACAACAACTCAAGGATGCAAATATATTTCAATTGATGATTTATTATTGATTATTTATCGAAAACTAACATTCGAAATAGATCCGGAGAACAGTATGTTTGACAGAATGCTAGAGTTTGTTGCGATTAATATTTATGAAGATAATTTGGATCATTATGAACTTGTTCCATATTCGACGGTTGATGCAACTTGGATACAACTTCTTGCAGAAATTGAAAAAATAAAAGAGGCCAGTTTGAGCTTCTAAAACTCCTGAATCTTCATTATCTTTTTTACTTTTTAGAATCCGCTGGATTTTGTTCCATTCACAGAATTATCTGATAGTGATTCATCATTATCAAACTTGGTGGATTTGGCATCGTCAAAATATTCTGAACAACAGAAATCTGACGCAATTCAAATCTCCACAGCTTTCTATGAACATTTTAACACGATGCTCAAGACTCTCAGGTCAAATCCTGAAGAGGTAAGCATTTTTCTTCGTGTTAAAAATGGAATTGAAATTTTCAGAATCGTGTTGTTCGATTATTCGGATCTGAAAAATCAGCTGCCAAGTTTTTCATGTGTTATGAGTTGAAAATGGCTTTGGAAAAATGTGAAAAAATCGAAATTGAAATAGAAACAGAAGAAGATCGAAAAAATGGAATTGTTCGAACAATTTCTTTTGTCGCAACAGAAGAACTTTTGAAAAAATCTGGAATTGACATGGATTATCTGAATGTAATTTTGAATTTTTTCTCTAAAATAATAAACATTTATCGTTTCAGATTGTTGAAGTTACTATTGATGGAGATTGCGATTATTATAGTGTTATTTCTCCATTTGGAAATCATTGTAAATGGTCAATTCAAGCAATTTGGGAGATTTTTGATGTAATTATCAATAAATTCAGATGGTTTGATACAACAAAAAAAGAAGATGTTTCCAAAATTTTCCGATGGTTTGAAAAAATTCGACATATTTTTAGTGAAACACGGGTTAGTTTTGGTTTCGGGAAGAAGTAAATCATTAAATTCTTTTTCAGGAATATCGATTTTTCATTGAGATTTGGAAAATTGACGAGATTATTGAATTGGCTCACAAAGATTTACGAAAATATTGTACAGTTCCAGCTATTGAAATCGAGAAATCTGTCAAGTTGACTGAAAAAAATGAAGTTTACGATGTATTAATGAATATTTCTACCGGTGTGAAGATAAACAAAGACTATTTCGACTCAAATTATGAGATTTATCAAAAAACGAATAATATTGAAGTGTGGGATAAACATGAGATTCAAGGATTATACAATCGTTATTGGCAGATGTTTTTCTTCCAAGGAGATGCAAAGGTTTTTTGGGGTCTTGATTAGAAATACTATATTTTTTTATTTTCAGTTCTGCAGATTCAGAAGTATCCAATTGACTTGTACCACATTTGAAGGACTTCCATGTCCATGTCAGAAAAAAGGTTATTAATTTTTGAAATAGTTTGAAAAAAATTAAAAATGTTATAGAGGCATCCACCGTGAAAAACGAAGAGACTTCATCTGAAAATGCAAAACTTTGTCAAAAATTTGTCAAACAATTACCGTGAGTTTTTTTGTTTTAAAAAATAATTGAAATTTCTGAATATTTTTATAGCAAATTACTTAACTCACCTGATTTGAACACCAACAATCCATCTGCTATCATGAAAACTTTCAAAAATATTTTTGGTCCAAATGAAATTGTTCAACTGGAATCAGTGAGTTTTTTTTTTAAAAATCAGATACAAAAAAATTAACATTGTTTTTTTTTCCAGATGTTCAAGACTGTGGACGCCCAAAAAATGTTCAAGCATGCGCAAAAAACGCAATTGAAGCAACGAGTTCCACAGACAAATATGGAAAAGAAATCTTCTAAAAATGAAGCTGAAGTTAAAGAACATACAAAAATTGTAACGAAATTTGTAACGGAAACTCGAATTGTTGAATCATGCCAAAAATGCAGAGATGTTAAAGAAGAAACTATGAATTATTTGAATAAAATTCGAGATTTAGATATGAAAAATGAGGAAAATGAGAAGAATATCAAGAAAAAAGATGAAGATATTCTAGCTTTGAAAAATCAAACATCTCAAAATAAATTGAAATATCGAGATGAAATTCAAAAACACAAAGATGATGTGGAAAGTCGAGATTTGAAAATAGAACAACTTCAACAAGAACTCAAAGAGTAAGCGTTCATTGTTTCACATGTTTTCATTCGTAAAAATTAAAATTATAGGTTTCGTGAAGATTTGAAAGCTGAAAGAGAAAAAATCAAATATTGAAGCTCGCAAAAACTCAAAATTGTAAGTTATTTTTATATTGGTTAAATAATTAGAAATTTTTAGGATTAACGATAAATCGAAAAAGCTGGAAAATGAATTGGAAAATTTGAAGTTTTCGGATAGAACTAATAAGAAAATAATAAATGATTTGCAAAATGAAATTACACATTTGAAAATCACAATTGAACATTTGGAAGGAAATGAAAAAGAGCTTCAAGATCAATTGGAACATCAGAAATCAAGAATTGTATGTGATTTTATTCCAATTTCGAAACAAGAAAATGAAGGATATAGTTTTGATTATGAAACGGCAGAGGAGGATTTCGATGAATTTGAATTACCCAAGACTGAATCTGAACCATACTTGGAGCAACTCCTTACAATTGAAACGTCAAAAATTTTCGAAAGTATTTGCTCAAAATTCGGATCAAAAATCCCCGCAGAATTGACAAGATTTCGAAGACAATTTGATGTTTATATTAAAATATTGGAAATGGAATTAAGAAAGAATGCTGATCTTTCTGGACTTCCTGAAATTCCCAGCTCATTTTCAAGCGATGTTATGCGAAAGTTCGAGATTTTTTTGAGAAATCAAAACGAAGTTGAAGAAATTCCAAAAAATGCATTTTATATGTAAAACAGATATTCAAAATTATAACAAAGTGACAAAATGTGCAAGTTGTTAGCAAATTTTCCATTTTTAAAGTTCTTTACAGTGTTCAAACCCGTAGCATCGTTTGAATTCGATTTGTCCAGCTTGTCAATGTTTTTCACTAGATCTTTGTGAATATCCCTTAATTTACTGATTATGCATTTTGTCTAATTTTTAAAGTTGTTAATAATAAAGAAATTCAAAAGATTGTTTTTCGTGATTTTTCAAACAAAGAACAAATTTTATTCACAAAAAGAAACAAATAACAGAAGAAGAATATCAAATGTTGATTTCTTCAAAAAAAGTTTTGAGCGAAAGCCAATTCTGTTTCGATTTCAACATCATTATTATTCGAATCTGCAGCTTCTTCGAGTTTAACAGTTTCTGAATCATCGACACAGTTTTCAAGTTTGCTTTTATGCCATTCTCGAATCGCTTCAAGGTTTTCTTGGAGCGAAACAATACGTTTTTTAACTTCAGAATCGGCATCAATTGTGATCGATTTCGACTGAAATCATATAATTAGTTTTTTGAAAAATCGGATTATTTAGAAACCTCTTCAATGAAACTTTCAATCTTTTCGAAAAATTCAACTTGGATTTTGGTTGATTTGCTTCTTCTCGCCATATCCGTAAGAACGTTGTAATACTGAAAAATTCTAGTTTTTTCATGTAAAAAACAATCAATTTTCACCTCTGACGCTTTTATGGTAAGAACATCGAAATTGAAACATGATTTTTTCAATACACCACGAAGATTGTCAAACTCTTCCAATTTTGATTTTATGTTTGGTCGGTGTGATGAAAATTGATATAAACTCTGGAATTTTTTTTTGCTTTCATGAAAAGAAGGCACACAAATTATTATCCAACCTTGAATTTTAGTATAGATATTTACTTACCAAAAAAGGATAGAAATCAACAATTTTATGTCCTTGTCGAATATGTTTTTTGATTGCACACGTTGAACAAAGAGCATTCTTCTTCACCTCTTCTTCGTTCGAGAATTTCAATTCATGGCAAACTCCGCATAAATGCATGCTGTAAAATTCTCAAAAAATGTTCAGCAATAAAATTTCCAACTAACTGTTGTTCAAAGTCAACATTCTCGCATTCGAAACAAGCATGTTGCTCTTTTCTTATTTCCATCATCTGTTGTTTTTCTTTTTCCAATTGATTTCGCTCTTCTTTTTTTTTTTCCGCTTCGACAGATTTCTGTTCCAATTCTTTCTCAATTTCGGTAGATTTTTTGACAATTTCTGTATGCTCATTAATTGCAGTGATAACATCTGAAAAACTCGAACTAAGAAATGAATAAAGTTTTGCTTCTCACCAGATATCATTGGAAATTTCACAAAATCTGTCTCTGAGTTACAAACCGAACAAGTTCTAAATAAAAATAATGAATTTTCTTGATGGTATAAAACACGGAACTTACTCGGAACAACAGTCTTCACAAAAATGATGCTCGCATTTTTTATTGATATACATTGGTATAGTTTCACCTATCAATAAATTCCATGTCATTTAAATAAAGTGTCTCTAAGCTCACCATAAACATTTCCACATTTCGCACACTTGAGTTTTTCTTTGAGAGAATCCATTCAGCCTGGAAATAAATATAACGCAAGATCTAATAAACTTGCAGGTTCCATGTGAAATCAAGGCAATATAGATATTACGGTGTGCTACCGCATTTCTTTGATACTTATTTTATAAAATATTGATCATTCCGATATATTTTTCACAGTGAATAATGGAGCTATTCAGTGATTTTCTCAACACGCTGAGAAAAGGGGAAAAATGCTGAGAAAAGTATTTTCTCAACCGATTTCCTATTTTTTCAGCCTTTCTGAATAAGCTTTCCCAGCCTTTCCAGCGTTGAGAAAACACTCCGAATAGCGCTATTCATAAAATTTTGAAAAAGTTTCACAAAATAGACAAGAAAAGTATTTATCAGGCGAGTGTGAAATGCTAAAAACGAAAGAAAAAAGAAAAACAGAAATTTCTCGGTTTGAAACGCAACATACAGTACAAATTAAAGGTACATGCGAACAATTGCCTGCATACGTTCAGTTCTTTTCAGGACCTTGCCGGCAAATTTAATTTTTGATGCAACGTTGCTTCCGTTGCGCAACGGAAAGCTGAAAGAGAACAATCAAAAATTGAAGCTAGTGAACATTTGAATTTTTCAGAGTTAGCATCTGACTTGCAGCATTTTTTTCAATATCCAAACATACCAGAAAGTTTTCGAGACTATTTCTCTGAATTTCGGCTTCAAAGTACCCGCAGAATTAACAAGATTCCGAAGACAATTTGATGTTTATCTACGAATTTACAAAATTCAATTTTGGACAAGGAATTGAGAAGTTCGGTTGATCTTCCGGATCTTCCAGAATTATCCTGCCTATTCTCCAGCGAAGTTATGCAACAGTTCGAGATTTTTAAATAAATTTTATGCAAATTTAAGAGTCTTGTTGAAGGAACATTTCAGAAAAATTTAGAAATTCAAATTCTCACACAAAGACATCTGGAATTTTTTTTGCAAATAAATATAGAATTTTAAAAGCTTGCGGAGTTTTTATCGAAAAATTTTTGGAAATTATTTTTTCTGCTTTCCAGAATTAGAATTTTCGAGCTCAAATCACTTGTTCAAATAATTTTACAACTTCAAAGTTTTCATGTAAATTCCGATCAATAATTCCTGAAAACGATGACACATTTTTGTTTATTCAGCTGATAAGTAAACCATGATCTTTACATCTTTTTTTCCATTATTTTCTTTTTAGTTAGGTATATTCCACGTCATAGATAAAAAGTCATCTTTCTTTTTTTTTCCTATTCTCTGCTCCTTATCAATAACAATTTATATTATTTAGAAAGAAAATTCGAATTAACATTATTGATATTTTCGCTAATACATATTATTGAATTAAAAATACGTGAGAAATAAAAAACTAGGTCAAGTGACGTGGATTCAAAAACAGTATAGGTAGCCATGTCGTCAGTCGCGATGCGTGTGAGCGACACGTTTTTAGAAATGAAAATTTGGCAAATTCAATGGAAAATATCGAGGTCAACACGCAACGCAGAACCGCATCGCGACTGACGACATGGCTACCTATACTGTTTTTAAATCCATGTCACTTGACCTAGTTTTTTATTTCTCACGTGTTTTTAATTCAATAATAGTACCACAATAAAACGTGGGAGAAAAAAGAAAATCAAATATTTACACATTACGAGAGACGTAAGCTGAACTTGTTAAATATGTGAGATTTTTCAACAAATTTTTTTATTTCCCCCTTGTTTCATTTTTTCTTGAACATATGTGATTGTGTCCTTGGCAACGCGAATTTGAAGAAAAAAAACACGTTTTTCAGCAAACTTCTATGTTTCCTCGATTTTTATGAATGCGTTTTTGGCACCAAATTGTGTGCTTTTTTATTTTATATTATGGATTTAGAAGGTTTTTTGGTTTGATTAGGAATTCGACGAGAAGATTGAGTGTTGAAGAAAGACTTTTTCCAAGGTAAGATCTTTTGATTAAGCGCGAATTTAATAATAAAAACTTTAATGTAAATTTGTAGTCTGAAAAGAAATCCCCAAATTTATTCAAAAAATAATATATCTTGAAAGCACAAGATCTGGAAAATTATCATTCTGATTCTGAAGACCTCGAAGAAAATTCGAAAATATATAATCGAGCCAGCCAGATTCCTCAATTTTGACTGAAACAACTTCTGGTTCTTCTGTTGTATTATTTTCTGATGATGGAATATAATGACATATAATTGAACTAATTATGAAAAATATTAGGACGACCAAAAATGTTGAAAAATACATTTATAATTTTTTGATGGCAACAAAAAAAAATTTATGTGATTGAAAAAAATTATGTGAAATTAGAAAAATGTCAAGAGAATATCACATATTGAAATTAAATCATTCTGCAGAATTTTATGCCAAAATGTTGAAATTTCGGAATTTATGTTTCTAACAATCTGCAAAAATTAGTAACTTAATCATTTTGCAAATAAAAAAGAAAACATACGAAAACATCCAAGATTACTGTAGCATTTTTTTGGAAAATAGTTTCATGAATATTTTTTCTAGAAGATAAAAATCTCAATGATTACTGTAGGTTCAACCTTTTGTAGACTTTTTCTAGTACAAAAAACCGACAAAAAATCTCAACAAGGATTACTGTACATATTTTTCAGAAACCTGATTCACAGTGAAAAATTGAGCACAGAATTTCGTGTCAAGATCGCCGAAAATATTCTATCAAATTTCGAACCTCTCAACTTCCAAATTCTGCCAGATGTCGAAATTCGAGTAGTTGCATCAGATCGAGGTGGAAGTTATCTTCTTCAAACTGTTGCTTTTCTTATTGAACAACAAATTCCGGGGAATTTCAATTTATCGATTTGTAATGTTGAAAATCGAAAATTTAAAGAGATTGAGAGATTTGAAAATATTTCAATGACAATTTATCAAGCAAATAGTGGACTCGAAAAATCGAGCGAATTGAATACAACTTTATTCAAAGAAAATCAAGATTATTGGAAATGTTTAGGATTTCCAACAACTTCTAGATATATTTTATTGATTGAAGATGATTCATTAATTATTTCGGAATTTTCGAATCTTCTAAAATCCTTGGTTTATCGTCTCGATTTATCTGATCATGTCGATTTTGTCAAAATGTATCATCCTAGTAAACTCCGAAAACTTCCAGCTTGGTTTTTTGTAAGTTTATTGCTTTAAAATGATTTTTTTTTGAATGAGAGAAAAATATTTTCAGTATATATCTAGTGCATTTATAATTTCATGTTCAACTTGCCTTTTTATCAACTGGTCATTTCCTTCATTTACTGTTATTTTGTTAACTCTTCTTTTATCTCATAATTTGACGGGTTACGGTAGTCAATTCCCAGCCGAGTTTCGATATCGATTAACGGGTTCAGCTTATTTCTCATTTCCGGAATCTTGTTGTACACCGGCTGTTATATTTAGAACAAGTTCACAACCAGAAATGGTGAAATATTTTGGAGAAACAAATGCGTATGGAGGTGAGCTATTCTTTTCTGAAAAACTTTCTGATTTTTTGTTCCCGTGCACTGCCTCCCCAAATCTACGTGTGTGTGGAAAAACGAAAAATGTCTGGCACGCTCTCACAAACACACACTCTCTCGCACACAACTTTTTACTTTTATTTCGCGAAAACAGTGCATATTAGGAGCTGATTTTTATGTGTTTTTCATCAGAATCACAATAAGTGTTATACATAGTTCGAAAGAGAATTTCTTCAGCTACAAACACATATGAAGTGTTATATATGAAACCGAGGTAAAAAAATAAAAATTTCATGCAAACATGACATGGTTTTTTTGAAGTCTGTGAAAAACGCATGTGTTTTTTGATGACCTGGCTTATTTTTTGAATATCGAATATATGTATAATCAAGTCGTAGTTTTGTTTAGAATCTCAAGGGCTTTCAGATGATGTAAATCAATATTTATGAAATTGTGAAATCATGGAGGAGTAGGGATTTTTCGTTTGTCAATTTTTAAAACGAAATTTTCATTTTCATTTGAAAGGAACTCAAATGAAGTTTACATACGTTTTGTAGAGAATTTCTCGGGCTTCAAAATCATATATATTTCTATACACAAAAATGAAAATTGAAAGCACCGCTTTCGGTTGAAAACTCACCGCTGTTTTTCGCAACGCTACTAAACGCGATTTGTTTGTTTGGTGCAAACCCAACAAGTTTTCAACCGAAAGCGGTGCTTTCAATTTTCATTTTTGTGTATAGAAATATATATGATTTTGAAGCCCGAGAAATTCTCTACAAAACGTATGTAAACTTCATTTGAGTTCCTTTCAAATGAAAATGAAAATTTCGTTTTAAAAATTGACAAACGAAAAATCCCTACTCCTCCATGATTTCACAATTTCATAAATATTGATTTACATCATCTGAAAGCCCTTGAGATTCTGAACAAAACTACGACTTGATTATACATATATTCGATATTCAAAAAATAAGCCAGGTCATCAAAAAACACATGCGTTTTTCACAGACTTCAAAAAAACCATGTCATGTTTGCATGAAATTTTTATTTTTTTACCTCGGTTTCATATATAACACTTCATATGTGTTTGTAGCTGAAGAAATTCTCTTTCGAACTATGTATAACACTTATTGTGATTCTGATGAAAAACACATAAAAATCAGCTCCTAATATGCACTGTTTTCGCGAAATAAAAGTAAAAAGTTGTGTGCGAGAGAGTGTGTGTTTGTGAGAGCGTGCCAGACATTTTTCGTTTTTCCACACACACGTAGATTTGGGGAGGCAGTGCCGTGGAAAAATCCAAAAAAAATGCAGTTTTCATATGGAAATTAATCATGGGAAAACTTTCGAATGTTTTTCTCCTGAAAAAAAAAAGAAAAATGTATCTGAAATACATTCGCGACTACGGTAGTTGAGTCAGAAACAATTATTGCATAAATAAGAAGTTTGATCGGTCAGCTCTGGATTTAAAAAAATCCTTGTAAAATATTTCAACAAAAAATAATCCCCCTCACGAGTTCCGGTGTCCGGTTGCATGATTTCATCTTTTGTGTGATAAGCACACGTGTTACTTTTGTTGAAAAATTGTGAAAATTCCTGACAACTTTCACATTTTTTGCGAAAAAAACACATTTTTGAGGTGATGGTTTTTGGTTTTTCCTATGAACCAAAAATTACCGAATCGTGTGAAATAAGTGTATAGAAAGTTCCCACAATTTTTTTCCCTTATACAAAAAATTGTTTGTTTCAGGCCACGCAAAAGATCACATCTTGGATGAATCGCCTTTTATTGGTCGACAATCGGATTTGAATTATGTAACACATATTGGAGCAATGAGTTCAATTCGACATCGACCTGTCATTTTATCGGAATTGTTTGAAAATTGAATGAATGAACGTTTTATTGTATCTTTGAGTGGGAGGGATTTTTGTTGACTCTCAATTTAAAAAAAATCTTATTGATCTGAAATGGTGTGATAACAAAAAACTCACTTTATTTTTCAAAACACTCACTTCGTTTTCGATCTCCACGTGGTCGCGAAATTTTTGGCTCCGCCCACATTTTTCTGTCTGTGTTCGTTAAACCCATATTTTTTTGACATATGAGAAACATTTTTTCTTTCTTCTAACTTTTTGGATTAGTTGCACTATTTCAAGTGTTTGTGGCTCGACGTAAAGATAAATACAACAATCACACCACATTTGTTGTAGATATTTACAACACATTTTTTGTTTGGTCTTCGATTTTCTTTTCCTCTTTTTAATTCGGCGTTCCTTTGATGCTTGTTTTGCAAAAAAGAAAAACATTACTCAGAGATTCGCTGGCCAGCTCGCCACCAGGTGGGGAGGCTGGCTGACCTGGGAACCACATGGAAACCATGTCGCCCGGTTTTTTTCGCTGGCAAGGTGGCCAGGCTCTGGCTAGGTCACGGCCACATGGCTACCATGTGGTGGCCACTTCGCCGCGTCAAAATGAATTTTCATAAAAATGTCTGAAAAACTTGTGAATTGAGGCATTTTCGAAAAATTTGGCTCATTTTCTGTTTTTTCGCAGCACTTGAAACCTTAGGAAGTGAAAAAAACAGTAGAAAATGCAGTGTTTTTAGTACAAACCACTGTCTTGCCAGCTTTCCAGAATTTCAAACACACAGGCCACGTCGCCGGAAAACTCGAGGCGACCTGGCGGCCATGCGGTTTCCAGGTGGCCGCAGCGATCTGGTGGCGAGCTGGCCAGCGAATCTCTGAGTATTTTTTGCAAAAAATAATTGAATTTTTTGTTTCGCGCCAACGTGTTTTCTTACTGTAGTTGAGAATGTGTGTACCCGCGCAAAATTTTCTTTTGAAAAACAATAGAAAATATTTTCATTTTTTGATTTTTCATTAATTTCTCTCAAAACAAAATCTGGCCATTTTGTTTGAAAATAATCAGTATTGAAATTTATTCCTTCGCTTTATTGTTATTTAAACTATCTCAAAAATAGTTCTTTAGTCAAATTCGAAATATTTGCAGCCGGCGACAGATGAGGACAGTTCTACCAAGAATTGTATTTATATCCCTATTCCTGTTAATGACGATGAAAGTCAATTGTGAAAATGAAAAAGATGATATTGTAAAAGTGAAGCGACGAAGGAGAAGTGATATTGCACCATTTCTTGGCTCGGGAGGCTCACATCCAGACGAAATGCTCATTGACAGATCAAATTGGCATTGTGGAAGTGATAATTTTAGCAGAAATTTCACACATTCCGAAATCGCTAAAAATTGTCCATCACTAGCTGGTTCGTGTTTTTTCTTCCATTTTTTTTTATTTTTACGGTCAATCGCGCTAATTTGATCAGCATGGTTGTAATTGAGACGAGAACAACCCGACCGTTTTTTTAACGAGCGCAAATGAGCGTGAAAAACATTTGAATCGGATGAGAAAAAGAATGGTGTGATTTTGAAAATATTTTAGTTTTAACTAAAAAATCAATGAACAGGTCAAACCCATAAAAACAACATTTGTATTTAGTTTGAGAAAGATAGTGAAAGTTACTTAATGGTGACTCATGTTTTTTCCTCTTCGAAATGAAGACCTCAATACAATTTGTTTTTGTAGGCGCTGTGAATCATTGCTGCGCCATTCACGATGATTGTTATGGCCAACAAAAAGGACAAGATTTTTGTGATGAACAATTTTGCGAGTGTAATCGGGTATGTTCTAATCAAAAATGTGGAGCCAATGTGGAGAAAACGGAATACAACAAAACATTTTCAGGCAGCAACCCGGTTGCCAACATCTCAAGCTGTAAAATGTCGACAAACTCTTGGGGAAAGTTGTACGATTCTTAAATTACTTGGTTTTTGGGCGTATGGCGATTCAAATTATACCAACCCGGAAAAACACGCGAATGTCAAACCCATCTCGCCAAAATCTGTGACAGAAATCGAGGAAGATTATTTGTATTTGTATCAAGCTTGTCCTCATAATAACAGTAAGAATTTGAATTTTAATCTAGAATGTTAGAGTTTTAACTAAATGGAAAAATTAAGCTTGTTCTATAATTTCCTCATTTTTCAAAAAATAATTCAAAATTTTCAGTCACTCTCGCTTCTTGCTCCATCAACTTTGATGTATGCACAGATGTTCATTCGATCGATTTTTGCGCAGCTGACGTAAGAGATTCCCGTGTTTTTTCCACAAAACATCTCAAATATTTTAGCTATGTCATTGTATTTTGGATTCAGCTCAAGAAAGCCCATCAATGTTTAGTAAAAATTGCTCCAAAGAAACTACAATCACTTGTAGAGCCATCTTAAATTGTGAGTTGTTATTTATAATTTGATTATATACAAAAAATATTAATTTTCAGATTCTAGTCAAATATTGGCGGCTAAATCTGCCACCAAAATAAATGTGATTATTTGCACAGTGATGTTCATCGCAGCCGTTTTTATGATTCTAATCGGTTGGTCTTTATGGAAACGACAACAACAACGAAAAACTCAACAAGAAAAACAAGAACATGGAAAAGTTATGCATACTGTTGAATCTGCCAGATCAGTCAATCCACTTTTAGATGACGAAACTGATTAAGCAGCTAGACCTTGAGTTATTTTCAGTTTTAATTGAACACGGTCTTTCCACCCGGTTTTCTTTGTTAAATTAGAATTTATTTTTTTTATTGCATGCATAAGTACAATATTGATCTCAATTTATAACCCCATTTTTCCCCTAAATTATTTTTATTCACATATTTAATTTCTATTGAATGTTTAAGAATGTTTTATCAAAATTCCTAGTTATAGAAGATCAGTGAAATTGCAAAAATTATTAGAGAAACACCCGTTGGATATGTGGAAGAAAAAGAAGAAGATGTCAGATCTTTGAAGCATAGCTGAAAGATTGAGTGAGTTATTTCTGCGAAAACTAACCAACCGTTTTTATATCTGGAGTGGGCCTGAATTGATCTACGAGACTTGTCAAAATTGAAATCGGACAATATTCGGAATCTTCACAACCTTTTATTTTCCTCGTCACATCTGATACTCCAGAATTATAGGATTTTTTGAAGAGAAGTTTGAAAAATGTCGAATTTTTACTTCGATATGTTTCATATAGAATTGTTGCGGAGTAAGAAGGCCAATATTCGAGAGATTCCGTGATTTCAGGAAATCCAAAATTGACCAATTGGCTGTACACATTTTGATCGTGCTGTAATTTTTTATATTCAAATTATTATGGGTTTCCGTAGCTCACCAGAGAAAAACCGTAAAATTTGAGATTTTTGAAAAATCCGTCACATTTTTCCGAAGTTATACAATCAATTTTGGATTTCATCCGATCATAAACATCGGAGAAAAGTGGACCACCTTGGAGAATTTGAACTTCTTTTGCGATGTCGATTCCATTTAAAACGGCTGGATTCTCTAGAAGAAATAGAATTGAAAATATGAAAAAAAACCGTGGATTTGCTTGAACTTCTAAAAAAATCAGTCTTTGTAAATTTGGAATTCGAGAAATTTTATTGAGAAATTTTTAAAATCAGTTTTGGTCCAAAATATATTTTTTTTTCTAAATTTCTTTCATTTTGTAAAAGTAAAATTTTGAAAGCTTCTGGTATCCTCTAACGAGACTCTGGTTGTTTACGGTGTGTTTTCTGCGCGAGTTTTGAGAATTAAAAATATTTCTCCAAACTTACTGAAATATCCTTCAACGAATCCTTTATAAGGTCCAATAATTCGTTGATTTTCCTCGAAAAAATCCAAATTATACCATGGACACTTCTGATATAATGTTGAATTGAATGTTTTACTTTGACATTTTAAAGAATCAAATGAAAATAATGCATCAGTATCTGTAGAAGAGAGATTATAGAGTCCATAGAAATAAGTAGTATAATTATTAAAGTTTTCAGCCCAGATTTGATATTCCGGAAGTTTTTGCATTAATATATTTAATTGATTAAATCTTGGACAATTTGGTCGAGCATTTGTTAAATAATTATCGATCGATGAATCAACATGAATTGGTACAAAATTGAAGCCTGGATTCCAACCTGGAATATCTGGATAATCTATACCAGCTCTTTTTATTGAATCATTTTGATTCTGATATAATCCATAAGCAACAGACATTGCTGATATTATAGTTCTATTGATATCAGTTGATCTGATGTAGACCTCTTTACTGTCATATCGAGGAGATATGAAGTTGGAATATTTTTCACGAAGTGTTTGACCAAGTTGGAACATATGACCCATACCAGTCTAAATGTTTCTGTTTGAATTTTTTTGGATGAAATGTTTTCTTACAGCTGTGAGTTCACCAAATCCTCCACCACCAAAAATCCAATCTTTTTCATAAATTGGATATAAATCTGCCAACGCTGCTCTTTCTCCATGTCGCCATATCTTTGAAAAAAAAATAATGTTAGGGTTAATAATAAGTTCTTTGGGCTTTTCCTAGACACATTAAATTGTTTTGTGTTTATCAGTGATTTTCGATCAGAAAAAAAGATGTAAAATTGTTTGTATCAATATTATATAATGAAAAAAACTACAATATTCTTTGAGCTCTTAGTTTTGGTCATTATGGAAAAAAAATGATTTTTGAAGGAACTGTGTATATTGGGAATTGTTTGAAACAAGAATTTTTCAAAACAAAAAGAATCAACCGAAATATTTCAGATTTTTTTGATAAAAATAAACAATTGGGACGAAAAAAATTGAACCGAATTCAGGAATAATTTGAATTTTACATTTTAAATCTGAAAAACTTTGAACAAAAATACGGATGAAACCTTTATTCAAACTTACAAAAAACTTTATTCGTTGAATAGCTTCTAATCAATAATCTAAAATCCCCCAAAAATCTTGTGATCTACCAAGAATTTTCTCAGATTCTCTCAATTTTACATAATATTTCGATTTATTGACCTCTTGTTTTTGTTATCTCCAAAAAATGTGATGCTTTCTTGTTTTCTTGGTGCTAAAATTCAGAGAACCATCAAATCACACAAGGTTACTGTAGATAAGAAAAAATTTGATAAAGTTTCCCGAATCTTAAAACTGTTCTAGAAACATGGTTACTGTAGGCTGTTTTACTTCGAGCCTAAAATTTTCATAATTTAATTTTTTTATCTGCGAAAATGCGATTTTTCTGTGATCTACAGAAATTCCAGAATTACATGGACTTTTTTTAGCCACAGACTGTTCCAAAAAATATATAATTTTTTTCAAAAATTTGTATTACTGAAAATAAATTTTTCTGAAACTACAGTACCCCTTTTTCAACTCACCGCCTGAACTAGAACTAATTCCATATCATCCTCGCATCGAACGTTTCCACCGAAAATCAAAAAACTAGCAAGTACATAATTGTATAATCTCATTCTGTAAACCGATTTCCAAAAAACAAAACAAAAATTGAATAGTATGAAACAATAAACAAACACTCCTCCCCCTAATAAAATTTTTATAATCCATGATAAAAAATAATTGAAAAAGAGCGAAATGTGAAAATTTCATTTTTGAAAAAAAACGACTCTCGAGAGAAGTATGTTAGTATGAACCAGATGTTTTCGAGTTGAGCAAAAAAATTGGAAACATGTGACAGAAATATAGATTTATCTATTTATTGTGTCAGTTCAAATGAAAATGAAAATGAAATTGAAAATTTAGTTGGCAATTTCAAGAATTCCTTGGCGGATTAACATCTCGCAGTCTTGTCTGGGAAGCGAGTGCTGAAAAATTAGGAAAATATTTGTTTTACGACTTATTTGAAAAAAATTGTCTGTTTCAAAAAATCACTCACCAAACTATCTTTCATTAGAACAACAAGAGTTCCATCAGAAGTTTCGAAATCTCCATAATTTTCCAATGCTCGAACTTGAACAAATAATGATTTTGGTGGTTCGACGTGTAACAGTAAATTTACACCATTATCACCAAGACTTCCTTGAAATCTTGCCAATGTACTAGAATATTCATTGAAAAATTCGATTTCAGCTTCACAAAGGGCATTCTAAAAATTTGAAATGATTTTTTGCGAAAAAAGCTTTGAAGATGTGAAAAACTAACCCTAATTGATGATGGAAGTGCTCCTCCATATTTCCATCTAAAACTTCGAATGCGATCTTTTCTCGCATTTATATAAGCACATAAACATCTCTGTTAAATATCATTATCAAATTAAATTCAAAAAACTTCAGTTTCAACTTACTCTAATATGATACATAGCTACAATCCTTGGTTGTAATAATGAGTAATCGTTTTGCTTCCCTGCTCTCATTTCAGCTCTGAAAAACATAAAACTTTCATTTCTTTCAAACATTTTTCGATACTTACACAATATCGGCATTCAATTTGTACAATTCGTCTATTTTGTGAAGGCAGCTTCGAACGAGTTCTGCCTAAAAATGAGTTTTTTTCTGATTTTTTGAAGAAAAATTTAAAACTCACATTATAAGGTGGAAGAATGTCTGGATTTCGTTTCATCTCGAGAACTAATTGAAGAGCCTTGTCGGCAATCCCTCCATTTTCTCGTTCTGTCATTTTTTGCTGAAATTGAGGAATTTATAGCTTTTTTGGAAAACGAAACAAAAAAAAGAAAACAATATTTGAAATGAACACTCGCGCCAAAAATGTGTGCGAACACGGTGACGAGCAAATGCACAAATAGGGAGGCGAATTTTTTTCGCAATTTTTTTTTCACTGGTCTTTTTTCTTGTTTTCTACCGGGTTAACACGTTTTAGCAAACATTTTGCTTTCAGATAATGTCAGAATTGGTTAATTTAAGCCTATGCTCACTTTGCATTCGTCAAATCGCCGGAGAAAATTCGGAAAATGTACAACAATGCGAAAAAGCTTATGAATGCATGTTGTGTTTCGGAATTCTTGATCAAGAAATGATTGATGAAGTTGGCGAACGAGTTCAAGAAGCATTCCAAAAAACACCATACGATTCATCAAGTTTTATTCTAGCTCTCAATTTACCAGTGGCTCAAACTTTGCGAGAAACTTTGATCAGTCGGTTGAGGCCCGATTTCAATGGAACTATTTGTAGTGTACCGTTTAAAGTTAGAAATATTGACGCATATATCAAAAAGCTACAATCAGTAAGTTCTCCTGAATAGTACAAATAATAAATATTAAAATTGTTCTAGTATTCGGGAAAGCGACCAACGCTGAGTTCTGATTTGCAATTGATGATAACTTTCGAGCAAGAAGAATTCAATTTACAAGACTTGGATTTTTTGAAAAATGAATTTCCAAATGATTTTCGTCGCTCAAAAAGAAATCGATTCGATAACAAAGGTATGTATTTTGAATTATTCCAGTTGAAACTGTACAATGTTTATTCAGAAGAACCTGTCGAATGTACGAAACAACAATTGCAATGCGTTACAAATCGTATAAATGAATCGATCGCAAAAAAATTCAAATTTCAATCACCCACTAAAAAATGCACATTTCGTTTGAATTTCGAAAGAGATCCTGTTTTCATAGCTGGACGATACTGTAAATTCTCACGATGTTTACCACAATCACCATGGAGTGAAGAAAAAGATGGTCCAAGAGAACCAGGAAATTCAGTATCTGAAAAAGTTTGTGATGTTTTGAAAAAAGAGTTTTGCGCAAGTGATAGTCGATTTATAACATCTGGAAGAGAAGATATTGATGTTAGAATGCTTGGAGATGGAAGACCATTTGTTGTTGAATTGAGAAATTGTCGAATTACCGAACCTGTTAGAGGAAAGAAATATATCGATACTTTATCAGAAGTTGCCAAAAAGATCAATGCAAATAAAGATGTTCGAGTGAACTTTTTAACAAGAGTAACTAGAGAAGCTGCTGAAAAATTGAATCAAGACGAAGATGAAAAACGAAAACAATACACAGCACATTGTTATAGTATTCTTCCAATTTGTGTCGATTCCTTTGAAAATGCTTGCCAAAAAATCCCGCTTGAAATCATTCAAAAAACACCAATCCGTGTTCTAAAACGACGATCTTTATTAGATAGACCTAGAAATATTTATTCAATGGAATTTATGATTTTAGATAGTCATCATTTTCTAGTTCGTCTTGAAACTCAAGCGGGAACTTATATCAAAGAGTTTGTTCATGGAGATTTCGGGCGAACTCGGCCTTCATTATCAGAATTGCTTGGTGTCGAACATGGCGAAGTGGATATTTTAGAATTAGATGTGGAAAAAGTGGATTTAGATTGGCCGCCAAAATATGAACAACCTGTGTGGTTTAGGTGAAAAAGTTATATTGTTGATTTATTTATTGATTGTTATTGTTATGAAATTTTGTTTGTTTTTTTGTTTTGATTTTCTATGTCTTTGAAAAAAGAGTTTGTATAACTCTGAAATACTTTGGCCCCTCAAAATTCAATTGTTAAAATGTTTTTGCAGAAATGGGTGAATTGGCGCCGGAAGTTCCGCAGCCTAAGCCATCTCGATTTCAATTCGTCCCCGTTCCCGGGGAATTTACTAGAGGTCGCTGGAAATGTCGTGATTCTGTCAAACCGTATGCCGAATTGTTGGAATTTGATAAAAGTGGAAAAGAGGATAAACCAAATCCGAATAAGATTACGGTCACAAGAAAGTTTGTGCAAGAAATTCCATCGTCGGATACGATTCTTGTGACATCAATCGAAGATAATACGAATAAGGAAGAATATTTGGTGACGCGGAAGAAGGGTGTGACGATTGTTCGAAAAGGTTCGAATTCAGTGTCACCGGAAAAAGATCCACAATTTTCAATGATCAATAATTTATCGATTGATGATTTTGAGAAAGTTCAACAACAAAGGAATAATAATATGGTGCCACCAACACCAATGAATACACCACCAGCAACTATGAGTGATTCCATGTTAGGTGAGCAATTTAATTTGTTTGATATAAACAATTTAATCGAAATATGATCAAAGTTCATTTTTTTGATGACAACAAAATTCGAGAAAAATCATAGTCCAAAAAGTTTCGGGGAAGTTCTCATGTCGTTTCTTCAAAACGTTAAAAGTTGTTTTTAGACTTGAAAATAAATTATAAAAAATCCAAAAAATTATAGGCCACATCTAAAATGTCCCAAATTTCTCAAAAACTATAATTTTTCCAGGCTCAAAATCATTGGCTCCACAAGATGCCTCAACATCATCTGCAAAACCAAAAGTATTCCAAGTTCAGGCCGTCATCGACTCGCAACCGACTCGAAAGTTCTCGCATGAAAACGGTGCTCTTCAACGTATTCCAGACGCTAGTCAATTCCAAAATCTTGACAATCCAGCATATTCGGCAACTCTTCCACCACAAAAACCACGTGTTTTTCATGTGCAACCAGTTCAGGTTTGTTAGATTTGATTATTTTTGATTTGCGATGTTGCATGGTCTTTTTCTAATAATAATAATTTTTGTGTTAGGATTTGAGCATGAGGAAAGAACGAGCTGAAAGTGTTGTGAGTTGTGCACATTTCACCATTCAATCTAATAACGATCGTGATATCGATGGTGTTTTTAATGTTTGTGTATGTATTTAATCGATCTATCTTTTTTCTTATTAAATTATCACAATTTTCAGCCACCAAAACGACGAGAATCGGAAGAAAATGATGATATTGAGATTCGAACAGTTCGAAGTGAAGAAGAATCAGAAGGTGTTTCGATCACAATTTCATCGATGATTGATAAACGAATGGATCATTTGAATATGGATGATACTGAAATTATTGCATCGAAACGCGAAGTTGCGAGTAGTGTGAGTAGTTTGGATGCGGCTGGAATTCCAATCGCAAGTTCTACACCAATCGCACCACATTCGACGCCATACGGAACACCCAAAGATTTTCCGCGTTCACCAATTGAACCTCCTTCATTTACATCAACATCAATCAATCCACCAAGTTCTGTTGTATCGGCTCCGAATTTGGCAAGTAGCACACCTGTTACTGTAACTGAATCAAATATGATGCCGATTGATAATAAAATTGAGCAAGCTATGGAATTGGTCAAAACACATTTGACATATGCGGTTCGAGAAGAAGTTGATACTTTGAAGAATACGATTACTGATTTGGAATATCAGATGAGAGAATTTCAATATGAGTGTAATTTTTTGAGGCAACATGTTAGTCAAGAAGTCATGGAACAAGCTGGTGAGTTTTGAAATAAAATTTTGAAAATTGTCAGAAAAACATAACTGAAAAATCTACTGTTTCAAAATTATAATTTTTAAAATATATGATTAATTCTGATTCCCTATATTTCTTAATATTCATCCGAAATATCTCATAATATATATTTAGCAACCTATGTCCGACAGCAAATGCAAAAATTCCAACCACCAACTCGTCGTTCAATGAGCCTTGCTGGTTGTACATCAGATGTCTCTTCAACAAATATCAATAATACCGGCAATTCTTCGTCTTCTACGCATATGCGGAATTTACAAAATCAAATTCAACAAATCAAAGTGAGTCATCCGCCGCCAACTCTTCCCAACTCATAATTTTCTTGATTTTCCCTTAGTTTTTCACCCAAATAAGTTTATAATAATTTTTGTAATAATGTGAATAGATTTCTTGTTTTTTTTTCCTTCTTCTTCTTTCTCTAAAAATAGTATTCTTGCCATAATTTTGAAACCAACCAAAAACATGTCTTTAATTCCATGAAAAATTCCTCGTTTTTTGTCGCTTTAACTCTCCTCGCCCTCTCGACCCCCAAATACATTTTTTGTTGCATTTTTTTGGGCAATTTTGATCTGTTCTGTTAATTAAATAAAGTTTGAACTATAATTTTTATTTTCCAAATTTGGATAGAGTTTTCTGGAGAATCTCTTGATATTTATTGTTTGCAGGATTTTGGTTGAAAAATGAAAAAAAAATCAGATCAAATGGGGGTTACTGTACTTATGGTGGCTGAAAAGCCAATGTTGGCTGATTCGATTGCGAAATTATTATCGGATGGACAGGCGACAAAAAGGAAAGGTGAGCATTTTTTGGGAGAAAATTTGGAACATTAAGGCACAAAAATGAACATTTTGGAATAATTTTCAATGGAAAATGAATAAAAAATTACACATTTGAAAAAATTAGAACGTGAACTAAAGAAAAAATAGACGTTTCATAGAATTCGACAATAAACTCATTTTCTATTTTTCACCTTTATTTTTTGTCTCCAGGTTTCAACAATGTTTGCTCAATCAGCGAATACAATGGAAAATTCAACGGCCAAAATGCGCGTTTCAAAGTGACAAGCACTTGTGGACACGTCATGTCCCTTGATTTTCCCTCGAAATACAACAATTGGGAACGTGTTGATCCATCAGAATTATATTCTGCTCCAACTAATAAAATTGAAGCAAATCCAAAAATGAAAATGAATGATGTAGGTTAGAAAAATCGCAATAAATCGAGTAACGTTTCAATCTAGAATGAATTTTTGTAGTTTTTGTCATCGGAAGCGAAAAATGCGGATTATTTGGTGCTTTGGTTGGATTGTGATAAAGAAGGAGAGAATATTTGTTTTGAAGTGATTGATGCTGTGAGAAATTCGATGTTCAAAAATGTGTCGAATTATATGGATCGAGTATATCGTGCGCATTTTTCAGCAATCTCTGAAAAAGATATAAAAGCAGCTATGAAAAATCTGGGAAGACCTGATAAAAATATGTCGCTTTCTGTTGATGCTCGACAAGAACTCGATCTTCGAATCGGATGTTCTTTCACTCGATTTCAAACCAAGTTTTTCCAAGGAAAATATGGTGATTTGGATAGCAATGTGATTTCTTATGGACCTTGTCAAACACCGACACTTGGATTTTGTGTAACTCGACATGATCAGATTGTGCAATTCAAACCAGAACAATTTTGGATAATTAAAACATCGTGGACAATTGGAGATGCTCAACCGATTCAACCAGAATGGCAAAGAGGAAGATTATTTGATGTTGAGGTCGCGAAGTTTTTCCTTGATAGAATTAAAGCAAAAAATATTGCCGAAGTGATTGATATCAGTAAAAAAGAAGGGAGAAAAGAAAAACCATGTGCATTGAATACGGTAGAATTAATGAGAGTTGCGAGTAGTTCACTTGGCCTAAGTCCCGCAACAACAATGCATGTTGCTGAATCACTTTATACACAAGGATATATTTCATATCCACGAACTGAAACAACAGCATATCCATCGAGTTTTGATTTAGTTGGAACACTTCGAACACAACAATCAAATCGAAAATGGGGAGATGTTGTTGAACAAGTTTTGGCGGATGGTGTGAAGAAACCAAAAAGTGGTGTTGATAAAGGAGACCATCCACCAATTACACCAATGAAACCAAATAATGGACAATTATCAGGCGATATGGCGAGGATTTATGATTATGTTGCACAACATTTTATTGCAACTTTGATGAAACCATGTATTTATGAGGTGACAACAGTGAAGTGAGTTAATTTTCAGAAATTTTTGATTAAAACATTTCAGATTTTCTCCTGGAAAAAAAATGTCAGATTCATGAGCTTACTATGAAATTTTAAAGTTACATGTTTTCTTGGGAATAAAAAATAAATATAACATTTTTCTAATTCTTGAAAATATGATATAAACTCTGGAAAAAAGGCCATAAAATATTCTGCATGAAAATCCTACTTTTCTTTTTTTTTGCAGAATAAAATGTGGCGAAGAAATGTTCACAGTTCAAGGAAAACAAATGATCGATGCTGGTTTTACATCAGTTATGACGTGGATGGCAGTGGATGAGGAATCGAAAATACCACAAGCAATTCTGCAAAAAGGAGCTATTTTGAATCTCAAGTACGTTATATCAACTGTAGAATTATTTGAAGTTTTAGTTTGTACGTTCAACACAATTCAGAATTTCTCTTTATTTCTGTGTTATGAAGATCTCCTAATCTCCTATTTTTTTACAGAGATGCTGATTTATCTGCTCGTGAAACTTCACCGCCTGGATATTTGACAGAATCTGAATTGATTTCTCTTATGGAAAAACACGGAATCGGAACTGACGCATCTATTCCAGTTCATATCAATACAATTACTCAAAGAAATTATGTGACAGTTGAAAGTGGGCGGAGATTAGTACCAACTCGATTGGGACAATGTTTAGTTCGTGGATATTGGAGAGTTGATCCTGATTTAGTTCTACCTACAATGAGAGCTGAATTAGAAACACAATTGAATTTGGTTGCAAGTGGAAAAGCGGATTATTATGAAGTGAAAAATCATGCACTCAAAATGTTTGAGATCAAATTTCAATATTTTGTCAAAAATGTGCCATTAGTTGATACGCTTTTTGAGGCATCATTTACAACACTTTCCGATTCGGGAAAACCATTTAGTAAATGTGGAAAATGTAGAAGATATATGAAATTGGTACAAACCAAACCGCAAAGATTATTCTGTCCAACTTGTCAGGATACTTATTCTGTTCCGAATTTCAAAGATGGTGTTTTACGGGTGATTGGTGATCATAAATGTCCATTGGATGATTTTGATTTGGTTTATTGGCAAGGAGCCGGTGGAAAATTAGCAAGAAATTTCACGCTTTGTCCGTTTTGTTATAACAATCCGCCGTTTGAGAAAATGCCACAGGCTGGAGGTTGTGATGTTTGTCCGCATCCTTCGTGTCCGAATTCGATTAAGTGAGTTTTTTTTTGAGAAGGGGGTTAAATTTTGAAAAAATATATCTTGAAACTGAATTTTCAACAGAAAAAATCGCTTTTAAAATATTAAATAAGACGTGAACTGTATGTTCTGTGTTCATTTGAAGGAAAATCGAATATTTCGATTTTCGAAGAATGTAAAAACAGGAGATCAAACTAAATGTCATTGGAAACAAAAAAGGACTCTCCTGTAGAAAATCAACCAATTTCTTTACAAAATTCACCAATTCCAATATCAAATCGGATAAGTTATATTCCACCCAATTTACCAAGTATTCCACTACAAAAACATGGAGCATTAGATGTTATACAATCAACGAATGTATTAATTTCTGAAAAACCCAACGAATCATTTGAATTTATAGCCAAATCTGAAACTAAAAAACGATATATTATAAAAGATATGTTGATGAGACCAATCTTATACGGTTTCGAAAAATTAACTAAATTCGATAGAGTTGTTGGTGGAAATCGTCTAGGTACAAAAATGGAATATGCTGATATTTATGGAAATGTTATTATGAAATCCGAAAGAATATATCCTTGTTGTGATGATGAATTGAGATTTGAATATCCAATTGGAAAAACACTTGGAGTTGTGACAAAAGGAGCTTGTGATGAATCATATATTATTCGTCCTTCAATTGGTTCTCCATTATTTCAAGTTGAAAGTTCATGTTGTTCTCAGATGTTTTCTTCGAAGTACCTAATTATTTGTGATGGGCAAAAAGTTGCTGAAATTAAATTCGATTTGTCTTGTAATTCCAACCACTTTATGATTTATTTTAATCCAGATCTTCCCGTTTATTATAAAATATTGTTTATGGCTAGTGGATTTATGGTCGATTTCATCAACACAGACCGAAAAAAGAATCAGAATATAGCTGTTTTAAATGTATGACCATAAATAATTTTATTGTATTACAGTAATCAAAATGAGTGGAGGGGAAAAACAAAGTTATGAAAAGCAAATCCGACTTAAAATTCAAAATAGGCTTACAAAAAAAGGCGATTCGCTGGGAATGAAAATGGAACTGTTCTATGGTTTCAAAAAAACTTTCCAATTCAATTTTTTCCAGCTCAATGGGTATTTGTGCTTGTCTTCAAAATTGCGGAGGTGTTCTTCTTCTCGACCCACAATCTCATCCAAAATGGCGATTAGCATGCAACAAATGCCCTTCTGTTGTTGGTCTTTTCGACGGCGCAAGCAAAGTCAAAATCAATACAGATAAATCGTGTGAAGAATGCGGTTCGCAGTTTGTCAAAGTCAATTATAAAGCGACGGGAAAAAATCTGATTGACGGACAATCGACGTGGGAAGGTTGTATATTTTGTGAGGCGAAAGACAAGTTCCCAGAAAGTATTAGTTTGAGTCATGCGTATTTGAGTGAGGAGGCACGGCTGAAAAGTGTGCAATCTGGAAGAGGACGGGGACGTGGAAGAGGCGGAAGAGGCGGAAGGGGACGAGGAAGAGGCAGAGGGCGATAAATTATCATTAACATACTTTGAAATGTTTCAAAATTCATCTTTTCCTGGCTTGAAACCCGAAAATCTCGAATTTTCCGATCTCGTGTTGAAGTATGTTTTCATTTCTTTTGTAGGTATTATTTATTTCTTTTTTTTTTTACATAATAAGATTTGTTATTTGTTTTACAATATTTCCAAATGTTTCTTTGAGTTTTGCTAACTCTAAAGATATCTATCTGTTAATTTCAATTTTTATTATTTTTCATAATGAATCCAGAATGCCACCGAAGAAGACGCCAAAAGGAGGAGGTGGAGCAAAAGAAGAGGGAGGAGCCAAAAAAGAAGCGAAAGGAGGAACTGCTGTTAAAGTTCGGCATATTTTGTGTGAGAAACAGGTTGGTTTTTAGAGGAGCAATTTTTACTAATAGTGACATGGGAATTTGAAGAATAAGATCATTATACCATTTCTAAATATTAAATTCATGCGATTTATCTGGGCTCTCACATTTTTCAATTAATTCCGAAATTGAAAAAAATTCTTTAATTTTTGATTTTTTATTCATATTCGAATGTCTGAACATAATTTTACTTTAAAAAATTTCAATAGTACTAGAAAACAAGCCCAAATCCTAGAAATTCTCAAAGCTAATATTTACACAATGAGAATTTTTTTTTGATTCAACTCAATATACGATTTTTTTCTGCTTGAAATTACTTATTTGCAAGTTCCCACGTTCGAATTTTTGTGCTTGGAATCTGGATTTTTTTTCATATAATTCAGAAATGAAAAATAATATTGACGTGAACTATGATGTGACAATTTCTATTTCATTTCTTATTTATTTATTTTTCTAACTTTTTTATTTACCTCCTATCAAAAAAAAAATCTATTTTTATTCCTATTTTTCACACTTTCATATGATTTTCATTTCCGGTATTCATAAAGCCATTTAGCACTTTTCTTTCCCCTTTTCCTCTTAATTTCATCAATTTTCCAGGGAAAAGCCCTCGAAGCGATCGAAAAACTAAAATCTGGCATGAAATTCAACGAAGTCGCTGCTCAATATTCAGAAGATAAAGCTCGAAGTGGCGGAGATCTTGGTTGGATGACACGTGGCAGTATGGTTGGACCATTTCAAGATGCCGCTTTTGCATTATCTAATAGCTCGTGTGATAAACCAATTTATACAGATCCGCCAGTCAAAACCAAATTTGGTTATCATGTTATTATGGTGGAGGGAAAAAAGTGATTATTTATAAATATATTTATATGTTGTGATTTTTTTGTTGAATTTTCATTGGTTTTTAACCGATGTTTCATTTATTTTAAATGTGTTCATTTTTTTGGCATTTGGTAATTTTTTAAATCTGAATTCGTCTCAGAAATTCGAAAATTCATTTTTTTTCTGAAAAAAGGTTATCTGTGAAAATAAGAATTAGAATTCTGAAAAATATGAATTTTTGTTCGAAAAAATATCACTGTTTCAAATTTTGCACTTCTATTGTTTGGAATTCGAAAATTTTAATTAACGAAAACATTTCTCAGAAAATAATATTTTGAATTTTTCAAGTACAGTGCTTAGCGGTTCAAAATCTCCTAGATTTTCTTTTTTTTTTCTTATCCTTTTATCGTTTTATCACAAGCCTCCTTTTTCAGATGCCAACAGCTGCTCTTGCTTCAGTTGCACGAGTTCTCCGCCTTTCCGCAGATACAATGGAAGAAGCTGCAGAAGCTGCTGCCGCGGTATTATTAAAAGGTGGAATTGTTGCATTACCAACTGACACTCTCTACGGAATCTCTACACTTTTACCATATTCTGAACGACTTTATTCGCTGAAAAAACGACCACACGAAAAACCGCTTGGCATATTTCTTCCGTCTTCTCACTCGATTCCCCTTGTTGCAAAACAAACGATCTCAAATGAGTTGGCAAATCGATTATTACCTGGTCCGGTTACACTCGTTTTTGAGAGATTGGCAAGTTTACCAACGGAGTTTAATCCGAATGTTATGAATGTTGGATGTCGAGTGCCAGATGCACAGATTGTTTTAGAAATTTGTAGGTCAGTGAGGGGTTTGGGAAAGGGTTCTTTTGAAGTGAAATTAGACTCAGGTGTCTCGGATAAATTTATAAATGATTATAACTTGTGATCAAAAAAATACTTCACTTCTTTATGTAAAATTAAATTTTTCTATCTTGAGAATTTCAAGACTTTTAGACTTGAACTTCGGATGATGAAAATCTACAGTAAACTTGAAGTTTTGGATTTCATTTTTTTTCTATAAATGGAATAACTTTGCATGTTTAAGGAATGTCCAAATTGCCACGTCTATGTTCACATTTTCATTTTCGTTTTTGATTCCAAGAATATTTTTTTCTAGAAAAGTTGGACAACCTCTTGCTCAAACATCTGCAAATGTCAGTGGCTCACCTTTCAATCCAATTTGCATCGAAGACTTCGAAGATCTTATTCCATATATTGATTTAGTAATTGATGGTGGACCAATTATTGCAAAATCAAGCGAAGGAAGCACAATTGTTGATTTATCCCAATCTGGAAAATATAAAATCATTCGAGATGGATGTGCGAGAAAAAATACGGAAAAGGTTTTGGAAGAATTCGGGCTGGAGGGATAGCTCTTTTTTGAATCTGTTTTTATTTCATGTAAAAATTGTTAGTTGTTCTTTGTTATAAATTTGTTTTTATTTTAGAATAGATTAGAACATTTATTGAAACAAAAAAATGCTTTATCTTGCATTCTGTATACCTCTATTTTTTTATTCTGAAACATTTCAAGCTGTTCTAATTTTTAGATGGGTGGTGAGCAATTGGAAAAAACCAAGGTAATTTCATATTTTTTCCACACTTTACCATCAAAACATTTGGATTTTTGCAGACATCAAAGAAGATCTCACCACCTACGATTGCTCGAAAAAGATCGGGAGATGAGAAGGATTTTGTTGATGATAAGGTAGGCATTTTTTTAGCAAGAAAATATTTTGTGACTTGATATAACTTGTTTTCCCGATTTTTCGAAACTTCTAACAAGTCTTTGTGTGTATTTTTGCTTATGGGAATTTTTCTGGAAAATTCCACTGTTTCAATTTTTCTTGAAGCTTCGGCGTGAGGACGCTGAAAAAATTTTATGATTTTGACTTTTTCCAAATCTGGAAATTAAGCATCAAAAAAGAGTCAAAAATTCCAACAAAATTGGAAATTTCAAGAAATATTTATCATAGAAACAAAGAGGCTACAATATTTTTAACAATAAAAAACAGAATTTCAAATCGGCATAACCTTGAAGATAAAACATAATTGTCTAAAAATTTCCGAAGTTTTGAACTTTGAATATTTGGGACTCGACTTTCTCACATGATAACAATTTTCACAAAAGTTACAAGTGTCGGAAAGCCTTGTCAATCCGAAAAATTTTGAAAAATATCAAATTCTGTATCACACCACTAACTCATTTTACCTTCCCGCTTCACTGATTTTTTTTCGTTCGTTATCCATGATTTCAATTACTCATTTTAGTTCTGTTAATTGTTTTCCTTAGTTAGTTGTTTTTCTCGATTTCCATTGATTTATTTATCGATTTAGCTCTCTTCTCATCCTCTTCATTCTTCTCTTCTGCATTCTTCAAAACGTGCCCGTCGAAACTGGTCACTTTTTTCATCTCGACTTCAAAAAGTGATAAATGGATCTTCGCAAATCACGCACTGCTTTGTTGATTTGAAATTATTCACAATTTCGTTATTATCACAAAATTATATATCAATCACACCTTCTTCATATTTTAGTAATTCTTTTTATTTTTCTCCACTAATTGCATTTGTGCCTAAACAAAACGTGACTTTGAAAAAACTGGTGGATGGCTTTGATAATACGGGAAATGTTCGAATTTGGCCAGCAAGTGAAGCAATTGCTCATTTGATTATCACAAAACAAATCGATTTGTCAAATTGTCAAAATGTTTTGGAAATTGGAGCTGGATTTATGGGATTAACTGGTTTCATTGCTGCAAAATTATACAAAAATTGTCAAGTCTCGATAACTGATGGCAATATTGAAAGTGTTCAAAATCTTATCAAAATTCGAAATCTTAATCGGGATTTGGAAGAAAATGTGAAAATTGATCAATTAATATGGGGAACCAATGAGCTCAATACGAAATTTGATGTGATTTTTGCAGCTGATTGTATTTTTTTCAAAGAATGTCATGAAAATATTAGAAAGTGCCTTGAATCTCATCTGAATGATAATGGAATAATTTATATATCAAGTCCGAAACGAAAAGGAAGCCTAAAACAATTTGAAGAATATATCAGTGATTATTTTGAGATTATGTATATAGAAGATATCAATAATGAATTAGAATTGTATTGGAATATTGATATTGATGAAAACTTACCTGTTATTTGTATTTTGAAAAAAAGAAAAAATGAAGGCATTTTCACAAGTATTTTGATATCACAACACAACAACAATATCGAAAAATTATATACTTAAATAGGAAAAATTATCAGTGAATTTATAGGAACTAATGGCTGCTGTTCAATTGAGTGTTTTGAAAACTTCTGATGATGTTTGTCAAATTGTTGGAGAACGAAATGGTCAGAATCTGAAATTTAATGAAGAAGTTATCAGTCGAGTTTCGGCATTGGTATGGGATACTGTAGTTGACACGTGGGTTGATGATTTGGCCGCATTTTCGAATCATGCTTCAAGGCAACAAGTGAATTTGGATGATATTGCGATGTTGACAAGAAGAAATTCAGAGTTGGTAAGTTTAAAGATTTTTTGAACCCCTCGTTTACCCAAAATTTTAATCAACATCAAGCCTTACGATTTTTGAACTTTAATTTTTATTACAGTTCCAACAAGTTCGAGAAATGACAAGTTTGGGAAAAAGCAACATTGCCACAATAACGAATACCAATAATCCGACAAAAAGTCGAAAAAGAAAATCAGTGGAACCCAAAGTTGAAGTGATAGAAAAAGAGAAATCATCATCACCAGAAGTAATTCTCGCAAAAACCCCAACTCCTTGTTCATTCCTCAAAACACCAACAGTAAAAAGAATGACTTCGACGCCAAAAGTTGGATCAAATATAGCGAGAGCTGAATTATTTGTCACTCCTATTAGATCTTCGAATGAAAAAGAAAATGGAGAAGAACTGGAAAAGGAAGATGTATTTCAAATGACTAAAATTGAAGAGGAAAATGAGGAAGAAGAAGATTCTTTTGATAAAATATTCGCGAGTCATGTTGCTTCAACTTCATCGGTGAGTTTTTCGGGGCTGTTTTCGAACATACTTTAACGATATCAGTTTGAAATGAATTTTAAGTGTGACTCTAAATGATTAGCTATCTTCAAATTCCAACAAATTTCTCTAGAAACCCAACATGAGCTCTCTTATTCGAATGGCTGAAGAGAATCCGCTTCCCGGTGAAAATACTCTTTTGGAAATTGAGGAAAGAGATCGAATTCAGGAACCAGTTGAAGAAAAACAAGAAGAATATGATTCATTTGATGATGATATTATTGTGGAAAATGTGAAAGCTGTTGCGAAAAATCACACGACGATTAAAAGTGAGGTTTTGAAACAGATTTCTTAAATTATGGTTTAGAAAAACAATTTCAAAATTCCAGATGGCACAAAAAGTCCTGATTTGTTTGCTGATTCGAGTGGTTCAAATAATAGCACACTGAAAAATAAGGAAACATCATCGACTATTGATAAATCGAATACTGTATTCTCCAAAAGTACTGTAGTTTTTCATCCAATTTTCTGAGATAACCTTCGTATTTTATTCCAGAACTCACCACTTTTAATTTTGATGAAGATTCGATGGATGCTCCAAGAAAAACACAAAAATCACCCGAAGTTTTTGATATTGATGATGAAGATTCTTTCGATGCTCCGATTCCAAATGTTCCGATTCCAAACAAATCGGAGCAGCGAAATACTCCGAAATTTATTGATATTGATGAGGATTCTTTTGATGCGCCTGTAAAAGCCCCGAAAGCTGAAAATCAAAGCCAGGTTGGCCAAGAAACACCCAAAAATGTGCCGATTCCGAAATGGAGGGTCACCAAAGAAAAGTAAGTTTTCAAACAAAAAAAAAGAAAATCTTGAAAAAAAAATGGTTTTTTTAGATGGGCTAATATGAAATCGACTTCTTCTCCAAGTTCATCTCAAACTTCTCAAAAATCAACAACAAAAACGACACCGAAACGAAATAATTTGAGCATGAATAATGATAGTTTCGATGAGTTTGATTTTGATGTATAGATAGAATGATTCGTTTTTACTACTAAATTTTTTATGAATTTTTGAATTGAAATCTTTTTTCTAGATTTTTCATGGTATTTTGAAGAATTTACCATTTTGATATCTCTGAAAATATTCGAGTGCCCATTTTTTATTGAAAATTTTCGAAATTTTTTAGAATTTTGAAATATTCTAATATTTCTGGACTTTTATTTGAAATTTCACAAAAAATTCCAGAAAAACAATGGACGAGGAAGAAGTGAAAGCGACAGAAAAAGTAGTCAACGCATTTTTCTACTATCAAAAATATGGAAAAGACAAAATTCTGGAAATGATCAATCAAATGAGAAAAATCCCGAATGAACATCAGATTAAAATTGGAGAATCTTATAAACAACATATTCGAAATGTGACACAAAGAATGGAACACAATTATGGGTAGGTATTTAAATAAGAAAAAGTTAGTTTTGAGAAAAAATATGTTTTTTTGAATTTTAAAATTTAAAAAATAAAACGTGAACCTTCACGCCAGATGTTTTATAATTTCTCGTTATTTCTAAATTTTGCAGTGTTCTCAAAACTATCATAAATTATGGTGCTGGAATGTTTGGAGAAGAAGCGATGAAAGCTCTTCGAATTCATCAACTTCGCCGTCCAACTCCTGAATATATGTCAAAAGTTCTATCAACAATCAGACAAATTTGTCGAGAATGGTCGACTGATGGAAATCCAGAACGAGAAGCCACATTTACACCAATAATTGAGGAATTGAACACAATTTATGAGCCTGAAAATCGACATAATATTCGAATTTTGGTACCTGGTTGTGGATTGGGAAGAATGGCATATGATTTGATAAATGAAGGATATACGGTGCAGGGAAATGAATTCAGTATGTTTATGTTGATGACGTCGTGTTTTATTTTGAATGCGTGTAAAGAGGTTTGTTAAATTTTTACTAGGTGGAAAATGGAAGTTTTCGGGAATGGAAAAATATTGAAAAATAGTTGTGAATTATACTTTTTGAAAAATAATTCTTTGGAGATCACATTTTCCTATATGTTAGTATTTTTAAATATTGTATTCAACCAATCAAAATCGCTTGAATATTTTCCACATAATTTTTGTGGCAAAATTTTATTCTATTTTTTCTAGGAAAATCAATTCACATTATATCCATTCATCTTTGACAAAAGTAACAGTTGGAGTTATGAAGATCAACTTCGACCAATTCAATTTCCTGACAAATGTCCAAATACAGTTGGTGATTCAACAACTCGAAAAAATGCATTTTCAATGTGCGCCGGAGATTTCATGGAAGTTACCGCAAATTCGAGTTTTGATGTGATTGTGACAGCATGGTTTATTGATACAGCACACAATGTTTTGGAATATATTGAACAGATTTATAAATGTTTGGAACCGAATGGGATTTGGATTAATTGTGGACCACTTACTTATCATTTTGAGGATGATAAAGAGGAGGTGAGGGATGGTGTTTGAAAGGGAAAAAGGATGTTGGGGGGGGGGGGCTCTGCAAAAAACACAGATTTGGATACATTTTTTTATTTCCCAATTCTAAAACCAAAAAGGTTCATCGATTTAAACCGTAAAAAGTTTTTTAGTTTTTCTGTCAGAAATGGGGCCATTTTCAGAATTCCATCGAACTTCCTTATACTGAAATCATCCGATTGGTCAAAGAAACCGGGTTTGTTGTTTTAAACGAAAAACAAATTGATAGTCGATATACTGTAAATCGAAAATCCATGTTGCAAAATTTGTTTAGTTGCGCGTATTTCAGCTGTCGAAAACCGGCATAATTATTTTCATTATTTTTATTTTTATTTCACAATTTTTAATTAATTGTTATCTATTTATTTTTCTTTTTTTTCTATCAATCAATCAATCAATAAAAAATAAATAAATCATATTATATGTATATAAATATTAGAAAAGGAAATAGTTACTGATACTTAGATGGTACCCATACTTCACAATGTGTTTTTGGTGCGCTATTTGATCCGAGCGGACAATTGAATGCTGTTTGGAAAGCGGGGAAATTTTGAATAGTTCCGAATACTCGATACATTGATGGAGAATGTGGATCAACCATCAATTGTGTATACAAAGCTTCGTCAGATCGACGAGTTTCGCACCAAACTTGAGCAAAACTCATGAAGAATAATTGATCATGTGTGAATTGTCCAAAAAGTCGGTCAGGAAGTCGTGCATCTGGTCCGTCTAATGATTGATGTGTTTTGTAGGCATTGAATGCGGCATGAACTCCACCATTGTCAGCGATATTTTCACCTTGAGTTTGTGTTCCTTTCACACAGTTTGGTGAATAGGATGCAGCATCTAATGGGCAGAAATTGTTGTATTCTGAAAAAATCGATAGGATGGAGTATAATTTTTCAAAGTTTCTAGGAACAGTAAGTTGTTCTCTAATAATTACGAAATATTTATGATACGTCTTCTCCTTTTCAGGATGTTTTGAAGCTTTTCTATGAGTCTCTAACTTCATCTTTCAATCCAAATCTTACCATTGATAACACATTGTGCCATATTCAAGAATCCAGCTGTAGAATTGTCATCCATCCACTTATTCAAGTTACCAGTTGGTCCCCATTGAACTCCTTGATCATCAAAACCATGAGTCAATTCGTGTCCGGCAACTAATCCCATTCCACCGTAATTGATACTTGGTGGCCACGAAGCGTGGAAATATGGTGGAACAAGAATACCAGCTGGGAATGTGATTGAATTGAGTTCTGGTTGATACCAGGCATTCACAGTTCCTGGTTGACCGAGGAAATCGGTACGATCAGTTTTAGAGAATGTGAGTTGATTGTATTGGAGGAAAATGTTGAATCTATAAGAAATGTTAAATTGTTGGAATGGTTGTTATATTCTTACTTGATAAGTTTGTCGAAGATATCGTAATAGTTGTCAGTGTTGGAAATTGTTAAAGGAGCATAATATGCACTTAATTTGTCATTATCTTTGATCCAATCAGGGAATGCGATGTTTTGTTCTGTAATTTATCACATTTTTATCTAATTCGAATCCCACGGAACTTACGAATTTGGGCGGTTTTATCGTATGCCAATTTCTTTGTTTCTGGAATCATCCAATCTAATTGATCAATCATTCCTTGGAATGATGTAATAACATTAGCAATAATAGCACCGGCATATTTACGAACATTTGTCACATCATCATCAGTTGGATACATGTAATCAATAAAAACACGACCATTTGCGAATTGCATCAAAGAATTAGCAGCTGATGCACAACTTGGACCATTTGACTCTAATGTGGTTTCAAATTTGAAGTTTTGAATTGTCTTTCTACGAGATAATCCTAACATGATAGATTCTTCTGGCATTTCACTGAAATCTGTGGCGTATTGTGGAATATATTGAGTTGTTCCGAGAAGAAGACGAACGTAGAGAAGATTGACAACGAGATCAGCATCAAATTTAGAGATATCTGTTGATAAACGAGTGAATTGATCAAGTTCCATAACTGAGATTTGATAAGATGGAGCAGTTACAAGTGGCTGAACAACACTTGGAACATGTCCAAGATAGGCTTCCCAATCTAAGAATGGATAGTTTGTTGCCAAAGATGTTGCATTCATCAAATTCCATGATCTCTTGAATTGTCTACGAGTATCATCATCAGTACTGTATTGTGTAGCAAGTTTTCTTTCGAAATCCAAAACATTTGCCAATGTTGCGTTGAAAGTTGCTGGAAGTTGGATATTTTGAAGACGAGCATATCGGCTGATAACTTTGTATGCTGTCAAGAAATACTTTGGTTGTTCAATCTTCCAGGCATTTGCTTGATAATATGTTTTTCTGAAAAGGGTTTATTATATTAATTAATGTTTTGAAAAAAAAAACACTCACGAAAGATATGCTGTGTTTTGATCAAGGAACATTTGGTAACCTTTTGTGTTATCATCCCAATATGTATCAACTAATGGTGAAATATAAGTATCAATTCCTTCTTGGAATGACAAATAACCCAAAGCATCAGCAAGATTTTTAGAACTTGGTGAATTTGCATTTCCTCCTTTCAAAAGTGTGAAATCTTGTCGCAATAAACCATAAAGTGTCGCAATTTTGCTGCCGGTATAATTCTTGCTGATAAGAATTTGATCTTCGGTACTCGAATTCGTTGTTGCAACAAGGCAAGCATTGTAGAATTGTTTTTCTTTTGTCAATGCCGACACATTTTGAATTGTTGCTTGATAGGCTGGATCTTCGAGTTTGTTTGCCATTGATACGAGATTGGCGGCACGAGCAGTTGTAAAGGAAACTGGCGAATTGAAACTTCCGCAAGCGTATGAATAGAAATCGTTGCATGGATCGACTGAAGTGTTGACTGATTTCTACAAAGTTAGATTAATTTGTCAATTGAATGTGTATTTGTTGAGTTCACTTACAGTGTAATAATCAACAGCCATTTGATAGGCATTCATTTTTGTAACATCTCCAGCTGTGATTTGAGATTCGGGAACAATGTTCAAATCAGTCTTGGTGTTTGGAAGACCATAAGCTGTAACTCATGAAATATGTTGTTTTGTTCAAACTCTAAATATTTCAAACATACTTGTATCAATATCAGATACCCAAACATTACAATGCTTGTCTGGAGCATAGTTTGAAGCTGGACAGTTGAAAGCATTCTTGAAAGCTGGGAAATTTTGAATAGTTCCCCAAACACGATAAAGTGATGGTGAATGAACATCAACGAGAAGTTGGCGAAGAGTTGAAGCATCTGATCGTGGAAGTTGGCACCAGATTTGAGCAAAACTCAAGAAGAAAAGTTGATCAGCTGAGAAATATTGGAAACGTGCATCTGGCAAGACTGGATCTGGTCCGTAGAGATCCACATAGTTTTTGTAGGCACGGAAAGCGGAGTGAATACCACCATTGTCAGCGATGTTTTCACCTTGAGTTTGAGCTCCATCAATACAGGCAGCTGCTCCATAAGCAGTCTTGTTCAATGGACAGAATCCACTGTATTCATCAACAACACATTGAGCCATTGCAGTGAAATCAGTCTTTGATTTATCATCCATCCATCCGCTCAATCTTCCGACTCCATTCCATTGAACTCCTTGATCATCGAATCCGTGAGTCAATTCGTGTCCAGCAATAACTCCCATTGCTCCGAAGTTGACAGAAGCTGGCCAGTTGAAGTCGTAGAATGGTTGTTTCAAAATACCGGCAGGGAATGTGATTGAATTGAGTTCTGGTTGATACCAAGCATTTGTGATACCTGGTGGACCATTGAAACCGGTACGATCGGCAGCTCCCTGAGTGATTTGAATCCATTGAGCATACATATTGAAGTTTCCGGCGTTGTTCATCATTGTGAAATAATCATCAGTTTGATTGAAGTTCATAACCTGAAAGTGAAAATTAGACAAAAATTAACGAGAGCTGAGGCAATACTTACTGCATGATAAGCTGTTAATTGAGCATCATCAGTAATCCAATCTGGATAAGCAATGTTTTTCACCAAATTTTCGATTTTGTTATAAGCTCCAGCTTTTGTTGAAGTTGTCATCCAGTTAAGTTGATCAATCATTGATCGGAAACCAACAACAATACTACTGGCAACTTTAGCAACATGTTCACGAACTTGAATACGACTTTCAGCGGTTGGATAAATTTTGTCGATGAAAACACGAGCATTTGCATATTGCATTTGATCGATTGTTTCAGCAGCACAACTGTATTGAGCATCACTAATATCATCCAATTGTTTTCTTTCATATTTTCTTTGATGAACTTCAATATGTTTTGGGCGACCAGTTGAAGTTCTTGAAAGTTTGACGATTGGGCGGATTGTTGAATCCTGAAAAAATATGATGTGAGATAATATTAAAATGAGAATGTCTCACGGTAGATGGCCACGGCAAGAATTCACTGTTAGCATCGACGAGACGATAGAACAAATAATTGACAAGTGCTCTTGGAGTGATATTGTATGGGTTGTTTGGAACAAGATTTGACAAAAGAAGTTGGAGTTTGGCTGGTTCCATTACGATGTAATAGTTGTAGTTTGGATCACCAAGAATTTTGTTGCCAGCAGCGATGGATGAACCGGTTGACTGTAAAAACCATTGAAAAAGTTCAGGAAAGAAGATTTTGGATTGTATGAGATGTCGTCCTTTTCCAAACTTATTTAGCGACCAAGGCCTCTTTCAAATAATGTTTTTTCCGTGTATGCTTCTTTTATCTGATTCTATTGTGTGGTGTCAAACCTATAGTTTCCAGTATACTCAGTACACTTCCATTCACTTACCAATGGAACAAACATATGCCAGAAGAAAATGTTGTTATAGTAGTTTGCAATCAATTGCTTCATTGTATTTGGATTATAACTTCTCTCATATTGTCTACGAACTGTATCATTTGAACTGAAAGCGGTTGCGAGCAAATAATCGAGTTGCACGATATCATTGATATCTTTTGCGAGAACTGTTTGATCAAGAGTTTTGTTTTGAACTTGAGCCAACAAATTCATTGTAGCATTGATTCCAGCGATAAGTCTGAAAAGATAATTAGTTAGATGAAGTCTGTGAATTTATTAATAAATTCTCACTGTTGTTGAGTGGATTGCCATGTCTTCAAATAATAAGTGTTTGGTGCAAAAGTGGTTGGTTGATCGATGAGATAAGCGAAACCATCTGTGCCAGCTGGATCTTTCCAATTGGTATCGACAAATGGTGAAACAAGGGTGTAAACACCTGAAGCAGCCAATGAACCAACAAGATAACCAAGACCATAGTTTGATGGGAATTCGGTGATATTTTTTGATTGGTCCAACATTGGGAATGGGAATTGGGTAGAGTTTTCGAATGGATATGTACCAGCCGAAAGTGTATTAATCGCATTTGTAACTTGTGCTCCGGAAGCAACAAGAGAATCCCAATTTTGACGAGCACTCACACATTGATCAAAATACCAACGAGTTTGTTGAACTGGCAATGGAGCGGTTTTGATGTAAGCATCATTTAAAAGTTGAGAAGCCATATCAGCGATATTCGAGTTATCCGAAATATCAAAACTCATGTCACCATTGAAATTACCGCAAGTGTATTGATAGAAATCATCGCAGGGATTTACCGAGGTGTTAACGATATTTCTAAAATATTTTTATATGGTTTTTGTTAGAAATTTTATGTCCTTTTTATCGAAGCACTTAAGTGCATTACGCGGTTTCACGATAAAAAGTTCTTACTGGAAAAGTTGAACAACTTGTTGATAAGGTTTGTATTGTGAACTTCCGGAATCCACAGTTGCTGCTGGCGGGATGTTCAAAACGACGGCTGAAAAAGGATTACATCATAATACTGATTTGTCAGCATAATTTGAAATTGATAAAAAAAATTCGTTATCTTTTGATGATTTTTTGGGCTACCATAAAACAACTTACATGCAACATTTTCGGTGATATTATTAGTAATCACATTGTTGTTATTGGTGTTGTTGTTCAAGTTGATCAAAATAGCAATTGCGACTCCAAGAGTTCCAGCGGCCAGAGCCAAGATTCCGACCTGGAAAAATATGTTGTAGGGGAGAACAAGCTGAGAAGATAACATTGGGATTCAGTTCATGAGAAGAGAAATGCTGAAATCTACGAAAAAATCTTCTAATTGGAAAACGACCAGTGAAGAGTATGGCTCCGAAGTTTCTAGTTCTTCGATTTTTTTTAAATATGAATAAAAATAAAAAAAAAATACAAAATTCAATTTTTATTTGCTTTAATTTTTTGAAGAGTTTTGAAATTTGGGTTCATAATCCTAAAAGGTTACTAGGTTTATATTCAAATTCCAAATAGGTATATTTATTGATCTGATCCCTATTCCATTAAGACTCTTAAGTTAAGACCTATGTATGGACCTGTAAAAGTTATTTTGAACTTACCAGAATCAGTGTCTGGACTATACTGTGCTTCCCCATAATTTAGTTAGTTTGCGAAGCACTTGTCGCTTGCTAAACTAAAAAGAGAATGAACAATTTCACTATCACTAAAAACTCTCCAAATTTCTTTATCAGTTCACCATTTTTGATTTGAGGCGAAAGAGCAGTGAAAAGTATGTGTTAGCATTTACAAATTTGAGAAAAGAAGGATTATCGTTTTGTCGTGTTGGGTTTGGAGCATTTTTGAAGACGAAGACGAGACTGCTTATTATCAATGTATGTATTCAATAGGAGATGATTGATTGGAGTTTGAGCGATCAGAAATAAATTGTGATTATGTATGACGTGTGGAAAGGGCAAAGTCTGGTGATTTTTTGAACTGAAGGAGAAATGGAGGGAGCTGCAAGAAGCTGGGGAATGGAAACTATAATAAAAGAAACATTTCGAGCTAGGACTTTTGTATCTAGTAAAAAGTGTGAAAATCTGGTGCACTCAAAATTAGAAGATTCTAAAAATTATAATGTTTCCACATTAAAAATTAGCGAATTTTGCATAATTGAACAGTAACATTTTTTCAGAACTTTTCTGCAGAAAAAAAACATGTTTTCAAAAAATAAAAACGCAAAAAAAATTTGAAACTGATTGTCAATTTTTTAAAACTAAAAATTTTTAGTTATTAAATAGCAATTTCGAAAACAAAATTCAAAAATTATTAAAAATAAAAAGAAATTTCAAAACATTTTCTACGTGACACCCTAGAAAAGCCAACACAAAAAAATGACGTCTTCCCGTCAGTTTTGGGTATTTGTAAATTTGCCAACAATCGAAAATGATTGATCTATTGATTTCTATACCAATATTCTTCTATACAGCATTATTCGAAATTCTACTCGGATTTCTATTAGGAATAATTTGCTTCATTGTTCTCGGCACAATTATTTATGCTGAAAAACAGGAAGCTGGTAAGAAATTGAATTTTTTTAGTTAGGATAAGTTTTGATTTTTTATAGGCAATGATTTGACTCGTAAAGTATATGATAGTTTATTATCGGACGCTGAAGAAGATATGAAATCGGAAGTCGATAAATATACATTGATGAAATTGAGTCCGAAAGAGTTTGAAACACCGCTTCAACTACTAACAGAATTAGTCCGCCGAAAGACTCGATCTAAGAAAAATCAGGAAACGAATCAATATTTCAAGCCAACTTCACAACCAAAAGAACTCGTCGAGCCGAGAGCTGATGAAAAAATACCCGAACATTTGAAACCTGAATTGTTTTTCGTTTTGAAAGCTCTCGAACCACTTGAAATTCCTTCGACATTTTTGTTGGATTCAGAAGATATTGAGATAATGAATGTTGAAAAAGGAGTGACACTTTTGAAACCCGGAGATATGAATGATACTTTAATCGTTGTTGTAAGTGGCGAAATTGGAGTTTTTACGAGTTCCACATCGGTGAGTTTAAAATTAAAGGGTTGTTGAAATCTAGAGGTATAAAATAATAAAAAGATCCCCTGTTTGAATTTTTAGTAGAATGAAAATGACGTGAAAAATGCACATCAAACTGGTTGGCAAATAGCCAACGTGTAAATTTCGCATTTTATTTTTCAAAAAGTCAAAATTTCGACACATGGAATTATTTTTAGAAACTTTCAGAGACAAACCTATGGTTTTTAATTTCCGAACTTACAGTAATCCTAGACAATTTATATCATCAAAATTGTCACGGGTATGTTTCTCAACCAAAATGTTTTCTAGAAAACAGTTCCACATGAGATCAAAGTGAAGCATATCGGAAGTGGTGATTGGTATTTCGCAACAACTTCAATAATTGATATTTTAATGAAACACAAATCACCCAACAAATATCTTCATGTTCGTGCTCTCACAAATTGTCGAATTGCAAAATACAAACTGTCATCATTTGCAAGCGCATTTCAATTTGATCCAGTTCCATGGATTCGAACAATTCAAGTAATTATGACACGTTTACAACATTGTACACTTTTCACTTGTAATATGTATTTGGGAATTGGTGGAAAATGTTTGGATGCAAAAAGAAAGAAACCAAAACTTGGAGAATATGAGAATATTGCAGAATGGGACAAAGGAAAACAATTTGACGAAGGATGCAAATGGTTTGCTAATTTCTTGGGATGTCCTGAAAATGTCGATTTTCTTCAAAAACATGCAAAACTCATACATGCTCCAATTGGAACTGTTATAACTGAACAAAACTCTTTCGAAATTGATATGATTTTCTGTTTGCATGGACAAATAACATTGAAAAGAAGTGGAAAAGAGATTGATGATACTGGAACATCGCTGATTTTTAGTGTTTATTCTGGTGATTTACTACCATCAATGCAACTTTTGACAAATGAACCATCGATGTGTGCATCTACAGCTGTCAAAAATACGATTTATTTGAGATTATCTAGAGATCATTCGATTGAGTGAGTTTGAGAAACGAATATTTAAAAACAATTTCTGAACAACAATAATAATATTTCAGATTTCTGACACTTTCTCCGAATATTTATCTTCGTATGGCATATCATGCTCTTCAATTTGTCTCTCCATTTGCCCGTGTTTTTGATTCTGCAGTTACTTGGGTTCGAATTGACACAGGACATGCATTATTTCGAGCTGGAGATGATTCGAATTCGATGTTTATTGTAATGGGTGGACGACTTCGATCAATTCAAAATGAAAAAATAATTGAGGAATATGGAAGATTGGATGTTGTTGGAATTATTGATATGGTTGAACAGAAACCAAGAAAATCTACTGTTTTGGCTGTTCGATTTTCGCATTTGGTTTGTATTGGAGATGATTGTTTGAATTTTGTCAAAATGAGATATCCGCAGGTAATAAATACAAAGAATATTTGACACCAAAAATCAGATAATTGAACTTGAAAATTTTTCAGGCACGGAACATTTTGAAAATTTTTATTTTTTAATAGTTCCAAAAAATAATTTCTAAACATTTTATATTAGGAGTCGTAGGCTAAAAAAAAATTCAAAATATTTTTTTGAAAAAGCGAATTTTTTTTGAATAAAAAACATAATTTTACAAAAATATCAATTTGAATTCCAGGTTGGGACAAAATTGTTGCAACTAATCAGTAAAAGTTGGAAAATTCCCGACACAACCGGCGTAATTTCACGGCGTGACAATCTTCGAACAATTGCAATAGTTCCCGCATCTCGAAATGTTCCTTTAATTCCATTCACTTGTGAACTCTACAATGCTCTTTCAACTCATATCAAACCACTTAGGCTAAGTAGTACGGTAGTTGGCAAGTTTTTCGATGCCTCAATTATGTCGAAAAAGGTGGATTTTGGAATGATGCATTGGTTGACAGTTCAAGAAATATCATTTCCATTAATTATTTATCAATGTGATTATGATAAGACAAATTGGACGAGAAGATGTTTGAGAATGGCTGATGTTATATTAGTTGTTGGTTTGGGAAATGATCCTGAAATGGATCAATCTTTAGCTGATGAATTAATGATGGCAAATGAGAAAATGTGTCGACAGAATAAAGAATTGATTCTTTTATGGACTGATGATACGGTAGCACCTAAAATGACATCGTTTTGGTTGAAAAACACATATTATTCCGGATATCATCATTTACGAATGCCAAAAAGGATGTTAAAATGGGCTCGTTCGATGGATGCGGAAGTTGAACAACAAATCATCGAATTCTATGAAAAATTGTGCTATGATCGAAAAAATGAACTGGGTTCTGATTTTGCACGACTTGCACGCATTTTGACTGGCAACGCTGTTGGTGTTGTTTTTGGTGGCGGAGGAGCAAGAGGTGCAGCACATGCTGGAGCATTAAAAGCATTGTTAGAAAAAGATGTGAGGATTGATATGGTTGGTGGAACATCGATTGGTGCATTGTTTGGCGCGTTTTATGCCACAACACCGGATATGAGAGCGTTTGAGAGAATGAAGGATTTCTTCCATGACCGGGCGACAAATATGGTTTGTGATGTTTTGAGTGATATTACGTGGATACATACATCGCTGCTCACTGGACACAAATTCAATAAGTTAGTTTAAATAATGGGAAAGACATAGGTTTTGTAGAAAAGTTGGACTTTTAAAAGTTTCATTTAAAATTGTTGATTCTACTTTTCTCCCAATTTCTAATCTTTTTCTTTCCAAAATTTTTTCAAAAAACTGTACCCTTCTGAAATTTACTGGATCAATAAATGCAGAAATTTTTAATAAAAATTCCAAACCGTGAAAATCATATTATAAAATTTTCAAGAAAAGTGCTTCCCTAACCAAATTCGTCATTTTTTTCAAATGTTTCTATGGTTTTTTTGTCTAATTCCCTAGGATTACTCACATGCTTCACGAGATGCTAAATTTCACCAGCCTCGTTTTAATTGATGTCTGATCAACTTTTTTCTCATTATTTCAGAGCTGTTCAACGTGTTTTGGGACAAGTTTTAATCGAAGATTCATGGATTTCATATTTTTGTGTTACAACAGATATCAGTAATTCATCAATGCGAATTCATCGATCTGGAATTATGTGGCCGGTTGTTCGAAGTTCAATGTCGATTGCTGGATATTTGCCACCACTTTGTGATCCACAAGATGGACATTTATTATTGGATGGAGCTTATGTTAATAATTTACCAGCTGATATTATGAGGTCGGGATGATTTTGGGAGGGGCTAATTGAGAAACTTGAAAATTTATGAAAAAATAGGCTACTGTAATTTTGTCATGCCATACATTATTTTGGACGTTTTCATTATATTTTTTGTTATATGTTTCTGAAGATTTTTACGGTTTTCACTCGAATTAAAGAAAATCACGAAATTTTTATTTAGTTTTAGAAACAGTGAATTTTTAATTTCAAAAAATTCATTTTTTGTCACGTATCAAAATAATCAGAAAAGTTTGCCTCCAAAATTTTTCAATAAATGTAATTATTTTTTTGCCACGTGGCAAATATGAAAACCCTATATCTTTTTTTTTCTAGAAAAATCCGGTAAAAGATTTTGTTTTTCATAAGTTTATTTTTTGTGGTGCCACGCAAATAGTTCAAGCGAAAATACTACTGAAGTCTGTAGTCCAAAATCTAGAAAAAAAATTCAGAGATCATTAGATATGTTTGCTGCCACGTGGCAAATATGTATATTTTTTCAAAAATGACATAATAATCCATAATGTTCCGAAGATTATCAAAAAATAACAATTCATTCTAATTTATCTCAACTCATTTTATTTTTTCATAGATCATTTGGTGCAAATGTTGTAATTGCAATTGATGTTGGAATGGCTGATGATAAAACTCGTCTCACAGATTATGGATATCATTTATCTGGTTTTTGGGTTTTATTCAAAAAATATTGGCCATTTGGTTCACCAATTCGTGTTTTATCAATGTCCGAAGTTCAAAATCGTCTAACATATGTTTGTTGTGTAAATCAATTGGAAGCAGTCAAAAAAGCGCCGTATTGTCATTATATCAAATTGCCAACCGAATGTTTGCCCATTTTTAATTTCACAAAATTTGAAGAAGCGTGGCAAATTGGATATCAATCAACATTAATACAATTATGTGATATACTTGGAGATTCGAAAGAAAATCGAGAAAAATTACGAGGTGAATATCAAAATATTGGAAACAATGTTTTGAGTAAAAATGTGCCGAATTCACTCGTCAATTTATCAATATTACCAATGCTTTCGAATTCAAATCCTATTTCAAATTCAAATTCAAATACAAATGGAAATATTGAACTAAACGAGAGTCCTATTTTGATTTCACCAGTTCTTCCAACACATTCTGGACCGAATTCAGCATCTGGAAGTTTTGAGAAATGCTAAATTTCAGCTTAAAATTTAATAAAGATTTTTAGTAACAAAAAGTACACTGTTTCAAATACATTTTATAATTTTTAATAGAAAAATTAATTAGAAAAAATTCCATACGGGCGCATAACTTGAACATAAAATGTTTCAAGAATTGAAAGTATTTTGCTGAAAGTATGAAGAAGTTCTACCACCAAATTCTGAGCGTCTGAAAATTTCAAGTTCTGAAAAATGCTAATTTTTCCCCAATAAATAATTTATTATTTTTGCTGTCTGAACTTTTCTGAAATGAACTCTTTTCTAACAATGAAACCCTTTTCATTCTTTTTCCATTTTTTTGAATTAATGTAATTTAACTCCGCCCCTTTTTGCTCTTCCCTTTTCTCGTCATTTTGTTATCTGGTGAATGTATCAAATTAGAGAGACGCTCTGAAATTTCGTGCATTTTCCTGTTTTTGCACTCAAGTGTAGAGATTTTTGTTTTAGGGAAGGGTACTGTAGGTTTTTGAGGTTTTTCTTAGAATTAAAAAAGAATTGAAAAGTCAACAAGTTTTTTAAAGTGCTTTTGAGGGAAGATTGAAAAAAGTTTTTCTTTTTGAAAAAAAACTAGGAAAACATTGCGGTTCCACTTTTTTTCGAATTACAATTTTCAAATTTCTAGAATTTTCGATATAGAAAAAACATTGGTTCTGTTGAAAATTCAGAACAATCACGGTTTCCAAAAAAAATTTTTTAAAATAAATATTTGATTTTAATTTTCAGAGATTTTTTAGTATTTGAGTTCTATAGCTCCGAAATTATCACTAACTTCGAGAATATCTTCAATTTTTCAAAACTTTTGAAACAGTTAATTTTTAATGATGATAATTTCCTATTATTTTATTACTGTTTCAAGGAAAAAAAGTTGAAAATCTTTGTCCAAAATTTCAAATTGTTTTCCCAACTACTACTCCTAAATCATAAGAAACTCCCACAAAAAGTCAGAAATGTTTTGTTTTGTCATCCTATTATTTATTTTTCCATATTTCGCCTTCTCTTTTTTTTACCTCTTCGTCTCACAGTTTTATAATTAATTCATTATTTGTTATTGGGTTTGGGGTTGAGACACTAAATTTTGAAAAGGGACAAAAATAAAATCGAAATCCTCCGAAGAAGCCCAATCCAATTTGAATAATTGACACGTCATTTCATTTCATCGCATTTCAACAGAGATGAAAAATGTGAAGAACATCAATTGTCGAAAAAAAAATGAAGAGAAAGCAGAAAATGAAGCCCTGGAAAATGGGCACAATTTGATTCAATTTTTTTGGAAAGAAAGAAAAACGGATAATTGTGGGAGTTTTTGATGTATTAAAGAAGAAGAAAAAGAAGACTTTGAAAGACAAATATTTAAATTTCATCAATTTTTCTCAAAATATTTTTGAGAGGTTTAGAAATGTCTAAAAATCAAGATCTGTTAACTCAAATATTCATAATAAATATAAATCATTTTTCGATAATAAAATTATAAATTATATTTCAAAAATCATAATTTACAGAATATTCAATTAGAAATTTGAAACAGTTTTTTATTCTAAAATATATTACACTAAAATTGTGAAAAAAACTTTGAAATTCATTTTTCAAAAATAATTTTTTAATTGTTTTTCTCATGTAGAAACGACACACGAATAAAATCTGAATAAGATATAAAATTATATCAAAATTTGAAACAGTGAATTTTTTAACGTTGTAAAATCCTGCTATAATTCTTAAACGATTTTGTTTTCGAAAAAGAAATCGAAAAATCAAAAAAAAAAATAGATTCATTTGAAACATCTCCAAACAACAGTAATCCAAATAATTTTACATATGTTGCAAGTCACCTTTCCACTTATTTTCGAAATTTCTAATACTCTTTTCGAATTCCACGTCATTTTTCAATTTCAAAAAATCTCAAGAATTTTTCAGTATTCTATAAGTTAATACTTTATCAAGACTTTATTCTTCCACTTCCGGCTACAAATTATCAAATTCCCAGTCAATTTTTCAATTTCAAAAACTTCCAAAAATTCTACAGTAATCCTCCTAAAATTTTAATCATGTGAATTTCATAGTTCAAAATTCCAAGAAACCCTTCAAACGTCATTTTTTCGCTCAAATCAAAATGTCTTTGCTGACATTGTCATAGATACTTCAAAGTCAAAAATAGTCGCCAATTTTTCATCTCCGCATATTCTTTTTCTTCTTCTTTCATTATTTTTTTTCTACGCATCAAAAGGCCGAAATCTCTCACGCCCGCCCAATTTTTTCTTTCATTTTTGTCACAAATATTTTCTTGGGCCTTTTCTAATAGCTCTCAATGAAAATCTAATCTTCTTTTTTCAGGTACAAAAATTTCCAAATAATGTTGGTTTTATTAGCATTTTCAGTTTTGGCTATGACTGTTTATGGAAATGTAAGTTTTGAAAATCGACAGCGCAAGATTTGAAAAATATTTTTTTAGGAAGACAAAAGATTTTCAAGATTCGATACTGTGGCAGGAATGGGTCTTGGAAAAAGATCAGCTGGATTGCAGGCTTTTGATTCTCTTGGAGGAATGGGTTAGTTTTTTGGTCACCTATGAATGGGGCATTTCAATGCAACCAACATTTGGGATCCGTTGAAGAATTTTAATTAGAAATTGCCGATTTTAGGGTACTGTAGGTTGAAAATTGACAATTCAAAAACTTTTCCATGATTTTTCGATTATCAAAAAATAAAACGCGGCCGCGTTACTGTAGATTTTTCAGTTTTCCGGGTTGTACAATTTTATTTAATTTTTAAACCATTTCTTTCTCTTTTTAAATTACGCAAGTTATCTTCTGTAGTTATTCTACAGTAAACCAAGTAAACCAGAAAAATCATTGGAATACTACAGCCATATTTCTTAATAAAAAGTTTGTCTATTTTTAGAGTTTAAACGTTTAAAATTTTGGGAACTGTTATTTTTATTATGAGAATTTCAATTTGATTATTTGATTTTCTGATACATTTTCGTTCTAAAAATAAACTACGCTATCCTCATAATTTCGTGGTTTCTCAAATCTGAAAACAAACAGTACATCGATTTTTGAAATTCTTCCTAACTATTAGCACAATTTTTGAAACAGTAGATTTAACGAAACTCAGTTGATTATGTTTTTTTTTCTGAAAAATTACTATTGAACAATAGCGAAGTTTTATGTTTAAAATTATACATAAAAATATTTTGAACCCGTGAAATTTTTTTATAGATTTTTTAAAATGTGAATTACAGTGGTAACACAGATTTCGTTCAAAATTTAGATTTCATGATTTTTCAGAAATTCAATATTTATCAAATATTTTTATTTTTTCGAAATTTTTCACATTTCAAATAAATATAAAATTTGAAACAGTGAAATATTTGCAGGCCTCGGCAAGCGATCTTCATCTTCCGCCAACACATTTCAATATTCTGGCTTCGATACACTTGGAGGAATGGGATTAGGAAAACGGTCAGCAGAAGAGGGTAAGAAGCCAAATGATGTTGAAAATCTCTGACTAAATTGTATATTTTTTTTTCAGAAAAACGTTCCTATCCACAATATTCCGGTTATGATTCTTTAGGTGGAATGGCTTTGGGTAAACGTTCAGCAGGTTCAAATTCGATTAAAAATGAGGAAAATGTGAATGTTGGTGATAAACGTGCCTCTTTTGGTAATTTTGATTCATTGGCTGGAATGGGACTTGGAAAACGAAATGGAAACATGCAATTGTATTATCGTTATGTTTAGAGCAAAAAAAAAGAAGAAAGTGGAAAGAATTATAAGTATATATTTTGTCGTGGCCAAACAATTATAAAAACAAAAAAATTAATGAATTTTTTGAAATGTTTAAGATATAATTAAAAACTATAAGGAGAATGGTGGGATTTACAAAAAAAAAAGAGGGTGGGGAGGGATTACCTATAAAAACATTTTCAATTATAGATTATGGTGTGAGAGGGTTGAGTCAAGTGAATTTGAATATTTTTTAAAAACAAACTCAGCAACAATTTTAGTTTATAAAAATGATTCATAAAACTTTGAAACATTGATTTTTTGTAAATATATATTTCACTGAATTTCGAAAAAAAAACGTATCGATTTTGTATTTTTTAGTTTTTCAAAATGAGCATTTTTATTCAAAAATACTCAATTTTTTCCAAAAAAGATAAGAAATCTAGTAGAAATTTTCATTTTTTCAAACTTTCAGATCAAAAATCAAATCTTCCTCTAAATTCGTTTTTTCTTTCCTCTCACACCGAAATCTATGTGGGCCGAGTCAAAAAACAAAAACTGATAGAAAAAATGAAATAAAAGAATTTGCGATGGTGAGAACTTTTTACGTAGACCAACAGCTTCTTCTTTTCAATTTTCTATCAATTTTTCTTGGCTCAAAGGGTGCAAACTAAAAACCTTTTCTAATTATCTTTGAAACATCTATTAATTACTTGATTTATTAATTATATCCGTATATTTGATTTGATAACCAGTATCTGAAAAAACCCTTACAATCATGAGCAATCCATCAATTCGTCATCAGCTCCTTCATCTTCTTCTATACACGGTATTCTGGATTTGGCAGTGATTTTCGTTGGGACTTTCGCTGTCGTCATCTCTTCTCTCGTCTTATTATTATAGATTTTTGCATTTTTCAAAAAATTGGCCAATTTTGGATTATCCCTATATTCATTTCTAAAATTTCTCGATTTTTGGTTTGCTTGCGGTGATTTGGATCTTCGAATAACTCGAACACACGGAAATTCATCTTCATCATTTGGTATTTCGAATTGTGGATGAGGTGCAATAGTTTCAGTTTCCATATCTTGGTTCAATAATTGGCGAAACGAAAAACGATTTAGATCGATTTTAATTGTTGAAGAAGAAGAAGATGGTTGTGGAGTGGACGAACGGCTTCTTTGACTATCATCTGACTGGAAAAATATTAAAGTTGAATTCAGATTTAATTTCATAGGATGCGTTTCTTGGGAAGTTGTTAATTTAGAACAATTAATTTTTCAAATGAGAATTTTTACATTTCCACGTCATAGAGCTAAAACCACTCACTGTATTTTCCTTACAGTTAGAGATTTTTAATCTCAATTATTTTCATAATAAAAATTTTCAAAACTGTTTTATCTCTCTCTAAAACCTTACCTCAGGTATATACGGCATTTTCGCCATAACTTTGGCCATAGAATCCTCTTTTTCCACACTCAAACTTCGACTTTTACTTCTTCTTTCTTTTTCATCATTTACAATTCCAAACTCCATCGAAAAATCGGTCAAATTCATTGCTCTCAAACTATTTGCCTCTGCTTTCACACGAAGATTCACATCGTTTGTAAGCAAGATAACAGGAATGGTAGACACTGAAATAATCTGACATGGTTTTCCAATTTTCAAGCAAAATAAATCTCACATTCTTTTCTAATTCTCATAGCACATTTCAAAATCTTATCATCGTTATCAGAAGTTTCAACAAAATCATCGAGTTTTGCGATTTGTTCAATAGCTGATTCCAATTCCAAATATACATATTCTTCTTGGTTTTTTCGTAGATTTTCAATGTTTCTACACACTTTATTCACAGTTGGCAACAAATCATTTCGACTTTTTAAACCATTCAATTCGGAAATCACAGTATATGGAATAATTGTCAGAATTTTTTCTGGAAGAATTTTAGAATTATTTGGGGGAAGACTTCAAAGGTTTCTGAACGAAATTCTACCATTATTCTATTTTTGGAGCTCAAAAGTACGATAAATTTTCGCTCACAATTTTTCAGCCAGTTCAGAAAAGTTCATTATTTCTTAAAAGCACTTACTTTTACATACTTCCTTCAAAACATCCGGCGAATCAATCAATACATTTGTATCAATTACAACACATAGTTCAACCGAATCTAGATTTTTTCGCTTTCTAGTTGGATAAACTTCAGGTTTACTTCGTTTAACTTCAGGTTCTGGTGATTTATCTCGTTTTCTTTTCGATTTTTTAGGAGGACTCCGGATTTTTGGCTTCTCGTAGGTTGATTCTTTGGTTATAACATTCCAGTAAAACACTTTATTATGCGTTTTATGAAAATACGCCTGCCAATTTGGCGGCAAATCTTTTTCTTCTTCTTTTCGCCTTTCTTTTGTTGACATCCTCCATAAACTATCTGCCAAAATACAATTTTAAGAAGTTGAATAAAAAATAAACTATAAGATATTTGTTGAAGCTTCAAACTTATTTTTCGAATCAAATCAAAACATTAACTATATACATTTTTATTTTCAAATATCACCGGTAAAACTTCTACCAAAATTAGCAACTTCTAAATTAAAATTGGATTTATCTTCCAAAGCATCATTCACAAATTTCGATTCCTCTTCAGAAAGTGGATCTTTCAGTTTCTTCAAAGCGATAAGAATCTCAAGCTTCTTCTCAAAATATTCATGTTTCGCAATTTTCTGAAGTTTTAGATTGGTGTCAAGCATCATTAAACGCTCTCTCAATAATCCAGGTTGTTTTCTGGCAAATAATGCAATAACTTCGGGAGTTTTGAAAGCTGCACTAATTGCTGCTCGAATCGCTAATTTCGTCGCAGTCAATTCATCAATCAGTGTCATGCTTCCAACTTCGAATTTTTCCAGAGTTTTTCCTAAATTCTATATGATTTTTTAACTTGAGTTACCATAAAATCTTCATACCTCTAATTGTTCAATTGTATCCTTTTTCATATCCAAATATTCTTCCTCTTCCAATGATTCTTTTTCCTCTTCAATTTCCGCTAACTGCTTCATCAATCGATCCAATTGATTTTGCGCATTTTTTATTAACGATTGATCAACTCCCATTGCTCTAATCTACAACGGAATTTGCAGAGGGTCGGTGTTCTAAATTTAAAAAAAAATGAAAATAAAATGTTTGTTCGAGAGAAGTACACACATGGAAAAAATAATGAAATCCAGACGAGACCAAAAAATTTTATTTCATGTTTCTTTTGAATTTGAAATATACAAACTATAAAAACAGGGGTTTTTGCAATGAATAGAATGAGTTTCTCTTGGGGAGGAGAAGAAACCCACATTTTCCAAGGGGGATAAATTATAAACAAGAATATTTACATGGCGATTTGTGAAATTAAAGGAAACAAGTAAAAATGCTAGGGTCAAAAAAAATGAATCGTAAAAAATTTCTTTAAAAAAATCAAAAATGCAATCAGTATAAATTAATTTGGGAGGGAAATTGACAGAGAAAGTTCAAAAATTCATCCTCTTCTTTGTTGTGAATTTCGTTTTCGTCGCGAGTGGTGTGGTTCATAGCGATTCTGACTCCAATATCCAGATTTATGCAAGAATTTTGCCGTTGACAATGCATTTAAATTATTGCAATGCGCTTTTACCAGGAGGTTTGTATCGCTAGTCACAAGAGTTACATTTAGTTCTCCACGAACTACGAAAATTAATAATTTTTCCTAGAAAATTTCAGAAAACTCACGTTCTGTTTTGACTCTAAGTGCACACTTCAAAATCGAATCGTCTAAATCATTTTGCTGCTCTCTGAAATCAACGAAATCTTGCAATTTTTCAGCCGCTGATTCGAGTTCCAAATATGCATTTTTGTTTGAAGCTAATCCCTCAATTTGGTGTCCAACTTTTGCAAGATCCGCCGCCAAATAAGGTTTTCTATATTTGAGTTTATTCATCTCTTCCACAACTATGTAGGGAACAACGCTCAACATCTTATTTTTTCGTAGTATGAGCAATTATTGCTGGATAATCGATAAGAGCATTTGTATCAAATACAACACATTCTTTAATTGCTGAAATGTTTCGGTTTCTTGTTTTTCTTTCAATGCAAAATGAGCTTTCTGAAGATGTTGATGAAAATGATGAATTTGGGGATGAAGAGCAAGATGAATAAGATGAATAAGACGAATTCATCGATGAAGATGCTCTTGAACTGAATCGATTATAATCTTCTAAGCGTTTTTGATAAGAAGAATGTGAACTTGAAGAATATTCCCTATTCCGATCGTATCGGTGATGTGATTGATATTGATTTTGGTTTCGGTAATTTGATTTATCTGAAAATGTTTCTGTTTTTTACAAGGAAGAAAAAAGATTAGTTTTAAAGAAAAACTTACATCCCACTCTATCACAATGTTGTGATTGATATTTCATTCGATGGGTTGAATCATTCACTCTTCTGATACTGTGGTCTTTTGTGTTTTCGCGATGACCAGGCATTTTGTGGGGAGAACTTTTAAAAAGTGGTTCGAAAATGGCAGGCCGCCGAAAAATGCAAACATTCTCGAAAAATTGTCAGCGCGCTCGCGGGCGATCAAAAACAAAAAAATTTGAAATGAAATGTGTGCGCGTGATATCGTTGCGAGACCAATGAACAATTTAAAAGGAAGATCCTTTATTTTTAAGGTTATGTTTATATTAGCAAAAGTTTTGTTTGAAAATTAGACTCCTGGGGCGTCATTGATGGTGACGGTTTGAACATCAACATCTCCGTCGATTTCCAAAGTCTTGATATCGGTTGGTGATCCGCGGTGAGCGAATGTTCCGAAACGTTTTCCGTTGAAGAAGATTTGGAAGGAGAATTCTTCATTGATAATAGTGACATCGAACCTAAAAATAATTGTATGTATTAATTAATACAAATAGGCGTTGTTCTAAACTTACACTTCCTTCTTGTTCAATGGCATTTTTCCTTCTCTTTCTTCTTTTCCCCAGACATTGCTAGTCATGGCATTGCGGACAATAGCTCCTTCATTGAATCTGATTGATACTTGAAGAGCGTATTCTTTCGATTCACGGTACAAGTTAATATTGACGCGTTTTCCTAGAAAACGTTAGACTCATTAAAAACAAAAGTTTGAACTCGCGCCACTTTGGTGTCTGTAATTTTGCGTGCATTATGATGTTGCGTGTGTAACACGCGTGAAATTTTCGAATTTTTTGTTTTCTTTTTTTTGTTTTTCGCAAGTTAGTTTTCGGTTGGCTTCAAAGCGAATACCTGTTGGCAAAGCAGAGATATCCAATCGTTTTCCTGGAGTCAAAGCAGAAACAGCCATGTATGGATTTGGGAAGATTCTTCCTCCATAATGGAAAAGACGAAGTTTTGAGAGATCTCCACGGATTGAAACGTGATCAATCTAAATGAAAAAAACATTAGATGATTGATAGTGTTTCTATCTGTCACTCACTCCAGCAAGTGGAAGGCGTTGTTCAAAAGTTCCAACATCAACACGATTAGCGAAAACTTGGAATTTTCCCTCGAGAATTCTGACTCTCAAATCGAATTCTTGGTTAGCCTTGAATGGATTCGAGATTCTTTGCTCGTTTTCAGACCAGTTTCCATTTTCAAAAGTGTTGTAAACCAATTTTCCTGATCCAAAATATCCTTCTCCGAATCGGATTGAGAAATGAAGTGGGAGATCTGAGTCTTTGCTTGGTCCTTTGTGGAAGTTGAAATCAATACGAGTTGGTTTCTCTGTCAATGTTCCAACGGCGTGAATGGTTTGACCAACTGCCAATGGCTCACTCATACGTGTTTTGAATGGAAGTTTCTAAAAAAGTTGTTTTTCATTTTTTTCAAAAATCTTCAGGAATTATGATAAACGTACATAATCTTGCTCTCCGATGTATTTTCCATAGTTGGATTCCTTGGAATCGGTGGCTGTTCCTTGTGCCAAAACAAGAGCGACTAAAGAAGTCGCCAGAATAGCGAAACGCATTTTGTCTGTAAAAACAATCTAGATTTTCAAAGATAAAGAGTCACGAAAAAGAGTACACTAAAATAAAGGAATGCTGAGAACCAGGCCAATTGTCAAGATAAATGTGTTGTTGATTATCAAATAAAAAGAGAGCAAAAGTAGGTGGAAAACGCTGGTCCGCCCTCCCACTTTTGATGATTAATTCGTGTTACAATTTCGACTGATGCAACAAACATACAGAGAAAATTGAAGATTTTCAATGGATGTTCTAAAATCACGTAACAATTACATACAATATACAAGTCAGGGTAAATACATCAAAGAGACATCAATTATTGTGATAAGTATGATTTACGGCTTCTTATTATCTCACCGACTATGTTTTTGCTCTTGGGACGGTGGGCGGAGCAAATGGCCGGCATGCGCAGTGTTCGGAATATGACAATTATTTATATAAACATATGTTTAAACATGGTGTTTTTTCTAATATTTAGAATTTCTTTCGGGATTTCCCTGTTTCTGAGAAAGTTTATACTTCGAAAAGAATGGAAAATCTATTTTTCCTTTTTCTTATGTTTCAGTCTTCGTACAGTTTCCAGTCTAAATCTGTATGTTTTGGACATACGGATTGATTGAATTTCGTTAATTTTCCTGACATAGTTCACGTGAAAAATGTTATTCACTGTGTTCTAACAATCGGAAACAGTAAGTATTTTATTCATGAGTTACGAATCTTATGATGTGGCAATTTGTAAAATCCAATAAATAGTTCAATTCAAATGAAATTGAGTAGTACGATTTGGCTTTTTCATTATTCCTGCGAAACTTCTCATTTCGAAACTCGGAAACATGGGACTTTCTTGTCGATCTCCAGCTTTCTTTCTTATTTTTTTATGCATTCTTACATCATTATTCTCATCACTTGTCTCAAACTCCACAAGCATTAGTTCTCATTGTCAACCTTTTTTTATTTAGAAATGCCTTCCGCAGAAAAAATTCTCGCGTTATTAAAAAGGCCGGGCGGCACGTTTTTCAATTAGAAATTAAAAAAATTTTCCCAATTAGTATATAGTAGATTATTAATTTTTTTTCTAGAACCAAATTCTAGGGATTATTTTGGTAAGATCTGCAAACCCGGTTATTATTTTTCACGTTATCTGGTATGGTCCAGACAGACGGTGAAAAATTTCTCCCAGTTCGAATAAATTTGATAAATTCTTCTATTACTAAGTTCGCTCCCACGTATGCACTTTTCCCAGACTGTCACTTGTTATTTTTGCTATTTCACACCAGAAGTGTTAATTTTTGTCTCCACCTCTGTCCCACACTTCACACCCCTTTTATCACTTTTTTTTAAATCTCTCTCTCTCATTAGTTCTTCCTTTATTTGATTAAATTTCAACATTTAATTTCAGATGCGGTTATTACTCCTGCTCATCATTTCGATCTCGTTTTCCCCTTCTCATCAAACTCGTGCAAATGTCAATTTTCCGGATTTACTTGTTACCAATCAATATTTACTAGTTCGCCAATTCGGATGTCTCATTCATTTTGAGAGTGGAATTGACACTGGAATGTGCCCAAGAAGCTCAAAACTGCAATTAAGTCGACAAGATGTTTGTGTTAGAGATAACACAAATCTTCATCTCATTCGTGATCCAGAAGGCAAACATGCTCCAAAACTGGGATGGATTCGATACTCGAACTTACAAGTTCAAATAAATATTTTGGATATCAATCGAGATGCGATTTTCAATGGCGAAGGCGACAAAAATCATCCAGAATACATTATAAAACAGGGAGCCGATAAAACACATTCTAAGATTATCGCAGTAAACAATTGGCAAAATGCGTATCAAGAACATGGTTCAGATATGGTAAGTGTTTTCTTTAAAATCTTCAAAAAAAAAGAACTGTTGCAGAAAAACGTCTATTCTCTCTATGACCCAACAACTCGATCATTCTACATTATTGATAACAGATTCTCCGAAACAAAATTAGATATTTTATATATCCACAATATTTTCAACAATAAAACAAGTGTTTCATCAATTGGCAAATTTCTTCAAAATTCAAGATCCTCTCCAATTCACGTAAACAACAAACAACGATTTGGTTGGACACAAGATCCATATAAACAAACTGTTTATTATAAAGAATTGAATGGTGGAACCACAGTTTACGAATTCCCAATCTCCAAACTTTACGAAGTTTTATTTGATGGAATTTCTGGAAAAGCGATTCGTACTAGTTATCAGAATTCGGAAAATTATATGGTTTCAGGTGGATTGTTGACTGATCGAACATTTTCGGAAAATCAGGGAACAAGAACAGTTACCACCAGTTTCAGGTTTGTTTTCGAAAATCTGAGAAACCTTGTATTAAAAATTGTAAATAAAAATTGCAGACCAGAAAACACGACTTTGCTAAACCTTGGAATTCAATGCCATTATGATGAATTGGTCAAGGAACATGTTCATCCACTTCACAGTGCAATGATTGTTATTCGGTAACTTTTTTTGCAATAATTTTACTATGGGATAGGTTTTTCAGCAAAGATTTTTCTGAAAAAAGTTTTAGTTCGAAAGCTTAATTCGGGAAGGGAGAATTCCAGAAAAAAAAAACAAAAGTAGAAGAACACTCCAAAAATCCAAATTTTCAGCGATGATGATTATTGTTTGATTCGATACGGCGAAAAAGGCTTGAAAGCATGTCAAAATGAAAGAGAAGATTGGTTTGCTGTAAAAGGACTTGTCATTGAACACGAAGATCCAATCAAATGGCTTATTGTCACAATTATCATTCTAGTTATGGTAAGTTCCTTCTAATAAAAAAAACATACTAATTCAAAATTTTCCAGCTCCTTGTCCTTCTTTTGGTATATGTTTATTGGTTGCGTTCGACTTTTGTTTTTGATACTGAAAACAGTAGACATGATGTAAGTGTTCTAAAAAAATATACTTAGAAGGAAAGTCTTTTGATGTTCCCCCCTGAAATAAAATGAGACTAGGTGGAATCAACTACATATTGATAGGTAAGAAAAAGCCCAACGGGATTAAGGAAATAAAAATCTATTTCAGGAGTTACGGTAACTCCTCAAATTTTGAGATAAAAAGCCTATGATTTCAAAAAATCGTAGTTTGGCTCAAAGTTAACGAAAATGATCGGTCAAAAATGCATTTTGATGCTAAAGTGCTCAATTTTTTAGCTAAATGGCGCTCGTAATCTCAAAAAATTTTTCAAAATGAAAATTTTTCAAAAAATGACCCCTTTCTCAAAATGTTGAAATTTCACCTCTAAAACGCTACGAGGGAAGAACGACGTCCGACGCACCGTGTTCTACGTCAAAAATTACGTATATTGACATATTTAAATATAATACCTACCGACCTTTTAACCTGGGAAAAAAATGATTTCAAAATTTTTCACACAAAAAATCATGTTTTCTCAGAATAAAATCATTTTTTTGAAACAGTAATCATTATTTCTTTGTTATTTTTTTCTCAAAACATATTTTCTGATTGTTTTTCACCTTTTTGTATGATTTCTGAAAAATTAAAAAATTTCAGTTTTCATATCATCGATTTTGGAACCACTTCGAAAATTAAAAATCAATTATAGCTCGATGATAGAAGTTAAGGACTTTTTGGAAGTTCTAACGCATTACATCATTTTTTGCAACTGGGAAAAACACTTTTAATAATGTATCTGTCAACGGACAATTTTAGAGACCTTCGAAAAAATTATCGATAAAAGTTGTTTCATTAAATAATTCTTGCCATTTTTTCTCAAGACGATTATTTTCATCTGGGAATTGGAAGTTCAGATGTATAATTGGAAGTGTTTTTCCCAGTTGCAAAAAATGATGTAATGCGTTAGAACTTCCAAAAAAGTCCTTAACTTCTATCATCGAGCTATAATTGATTTTTAATTTTCGAAGTGGTTCCAAAATCGATGATATGAAAACTGAAATTTTTTAATTTTTCAGAAACCATACAAAAAGGTGAAAAACAATCAGAAAATATGTTTTGAGAAAAAATAACAAAGAAATAATGATTACTGTTTCAAAAAAATGATTTTATTCTGAGAAAACATAATTTTTTGTGTGAAAAATTTTGAAGTCATTTTTTTCCCAGGTTAAAAGGTCGGTAGGTATTATATTTAAATATGTCAATATACGTAATTTTTGACGTAGAACACGGTGCGTCGGACGTCGTTCTTCCCTCGTAGCGTTTTAGAGGTGAAATTTCAACATTTTGAGAAAGGGGTCATTTTTTGAAAAATTTTCATTTTGAAAAATTTTTTGAGATTTCGAGCGCCATTTAGCTAAAAAATTGAGCACTTTAGCATCAAAATGCATTTTTGACCGATCATTTTCGTTAACTTTGAGCCAAACTACGATTTTTTGAAATCATAGGCTTTTTTATCTCAAAATTTGAGGAGTTACCGTAACTCCTGAAATAGATTTTTATTTCCTTAATCCCGTTGGGCTTTTTCTTACCTATCAATATGTAGTTGATTCCACCTAGTCTCATTTTATTTCAGGGGGGAACATCAAAAGACTTTCCTTCTTAAAAAAAAAGATTTTCGCTATTTACAATTTTAAAGTTCTTTGAAATGGTAACAGCTGTTCGACGAAAAAAATGCATCAAAAATCTCTATTTTTCCAGTATGAAACCAACGAAGCCTCCTTATTTGTCGCCAAACAACGCAGTTTCCCATCTGTTTATCCAGACCCAGCTCTTTTAGATGTTTCAGTTGATAAATGGAACTGAACCAAAAAATATCCAACTTTTTTTACTAGTAATTTCTTTTTTAACTCTTTTTTTACCGGTATACCCTGTCCTTTTTTATCCATAGTTGTCACAAGTATTTCATAGTTTATATTGTTTTCTGTCTTTTTTTTGAATTTTCCAAATAAATCTGATTTTATTATTTAACTATTTTCTGTTTGTTCTCACAATTATTCGTTATTTGCTTTGATCGAACTTATTTTGTTTCTTCTTTCTTTTCTTTTCCTTTTCTCTAGCTAGAGAAAAAATGAGGATGGCCGAGGATTTGTTTGGTTTTCTAGTCCACTGCGGCTTGCGAAATTTGTTTCTTGTTTTTTTCTCAGTGACCAGTGACTTATTGGCTTTTAGATATCAAGAATTTTTTCAGGTCAATATAATAAATTAAACTTGGAAATATGTCAGGTTCAGCTAGTTTAATGCATACTTTACCAGCCAGCGGAGATTCAACACATCGCGGATTGCACAGTTTGAAAAATGCAAGAAAAGCGTTGGATAATGAGCCGCTTTTGAGATTTCGAGAAGCGAAAAAGGTTTTGGGTGATGTTTATGGAGAATTGAAAGATAATGTAGCGGAATTAGAAGCGGTTTATGGGGGTGAGTCATTTTTTTGAGAGGGAATTACATCACGGTTTTTGGAAGAGAGCTGATGAGCTTGCATAGTACTCAAGACTTATTTTATAATGGGTTTCAGTATTTTTTCGATAAGGCCATCTTGAATTTATAATTATATGTTCTAGTAAGCACAATTCTGAAATGAGTTATGACGTGGCAAAATTCAAAAATTATAAAAAAAAAACATCGCGACTTCACAAGATTGTAACTTTCTTCAATATTAAAGCCATTCAACTGATAATATAAATTTTGCGAGTCAAAAATCATTAGAAATATTCTCTCAAAATTAAGTTGAAGCTTGAAAGTACCTGTGACCAAACGATATAAAGTTTGAGATTTAGAAAACATTCATAGATAAAATGGGTCCCCAGAATCGGGGTGAGGGGCATAACTTTTTGCAAAAATCTGAAGGGAAGGGTGCCTAACTTGGCCAATTTTCTGCTGATAATTTACCAAAATTTGCTCAAAAATCTGAGAAAGGTGTTTAACTTTGAAAAATTTTCAAGGAGGGATCCTAACTTTAAAAAATGACTCGGGGGACCTATTTTATGTATGAAAACATTGCCAAAATAAATTAAATGTGAAACTTGGTCTATGATAAAAATATTGAAATGTGGTTTTAGATTCTGAACCTACAAGCTAGTTTACTGTGGAACTAATTATTACAAACCGAAACCATTCCATCGAAATTCAAATGAAACTGACTTATCGTAACTAGAAAAACCATGGAATCCCAGAAATAAAAATTGTGTTTTTCTAGAAATCAAAGATGAGAAAATCGTGGCCTCTGAACAACGACAAGAAGTTGAAGCAATACGAGATTCGATAAAAACAATAATGGACACATTTCAAAGAGATAATATGAAAGTAGTATTCTTCGGAAGAACAAGTAACGGAAAAAGCACAACAATCAATGCAATGTTACATGAAAAAGTATTGCCACAAGGAATGGGACACACAACTTGTTGTTTTTTGCAAGTACAAGGATGTGATGAGGAAAAAGGATATTTACAATTAGATGATAATGAGGATAAAAAATTGGAAATGGAAATGTTGAGCAAAATTGGGGATGCATTGAGTAATGAAAATGAGGATTTGCCAGCAATGGGACAGGATTCGTTGTTGAAGATTTTTCATCCGAAACAAACGGAAACTGGCGAAAATCGATTATTGCAAAATGATGTTGTTATATTGGATAGGTAAGATAATTAGGAGATGAAGGAACACGACGAACATCTAAAATAATGTTTTGCTCTTCCTTATCAGTACAGTTTTATCATCATTTGTCAGAAAAATTGCATCATGAGTCATTTTTTTTTGAATTGAGTTTGATACTGATCAAAAATCAATCAAGAAGTTTTTGTCAATCTCAAAATTTGATAATTTTATTGCTATTTTTAAATGCTGAAAACAAATTAAATCACGATTCTCAATTTTTTCAAACTCAAAAAAAGAGACCCTTTGGGTTTATTTTTTGCTAAAAGTCTAACTTAAATTCAACAAATCCCCACTCAAACAATGCTATTTTTCTAGTCCTGGTGTCGATTTATCTCCCGAATTTGATGGATGGATTGATAAACATTGTCTAGATGCTGATGTTTTTGTTCTTGTCTCAAATGCTGAATCAACTTTAACTCAAGCCGAAAAGAATTTCTTCCTTCGAGTTTCGAAAAAACTCAGCAAACCAAATGTTTTCATTTTGAATAATCGATGGGATGCAAGTGCTGCTGATATGGATAATATTGAAAGTGTCAAAAAACAACATCTAACAAGATTTCGACAATTTCTTGTTGATGAACTCGAAGTTTGTAATGAAAGAGAAGTAAATGATCGCATCTTTTTTGTTTCGGCCAGAGAAGTTTTGGAGGCAAGATTGAAAGCAAGAGGAATTATAACAAGGAATTATCAGGCGGATGGACATGGAACAAGAGCATTGGAATTTCAGAATTTTGAAAGACATTTTGAACAATGTATTTCGAAGTCGGCGATTCATACGAAATTTGAGGCGCATAATAGAAGAGCACATGAAATGATTGGAAAAATGAGAACAAATTTAAACACGGTGCTTACTTCGGCAGCGGAGCAAAGAACTAATCTACAAAATACACTGAATGTAAGGTTTTTGGAATTTTGGGTGGATTTTCGGGAGAAAATTGAAACTCGATGAAAAAATCGATTTTCTTTGGAAACTTAAAAAAATAAAACTTAGATTTTTTGACATTCAGAAAAATCACTGATCCTATTATTTTCCTCATTTTTACCAGTTTTTTTTCTAAAAAGACTTCCATGTGAATATTCTAAACCCCCAAAAAATTACGTTTCAAAAAAATTTCTATGATAAAATTGTCAGTTCAAAATAAATATAATTTGGTTTCACTATTTATCAATTTTTCAGGAAAATACTCGTCTATTCAACGAATGTCGCGTGAATTTCTCAACATTTGAGAAAGCATATCGCGAACAAACCGAAAGATTGCGTGCCGAAGTTCATTTGAAAGTTTCGGCCGACTTTTTCGAAGAAATTGCGAGACTTGACGCAATTATTGATCGATTCGAAGAGCCTTTTGATGGTTCGTCAGCTGGAATGACGAAATATAAACAGGATTTGGCGGTATTTGTTGATAAATGTTTGAGTAGCGATTTAGAAGCGAGATGTACTGGTGGATTAATGTCGAGAATTTGGAATCTTGAAAATGATATGTTCCGTAAGAAATTTATACTGTTTTGTTGAATAAGAATTCGAAGAAAAAAAAAAAGAACATTTTCAGAATACGTCACCAAAATTCTCGCTGAACCATATCAAAATAAATTGGAAGAAGTTTGGAGATATCGCGCTCCTTTTAAGTTTAGTATTTGTGTTGATGTTCCGGCTCTTGTCAAGTAAGTTGTTTCAATATTTTTTAAATAAAATAAAATACTTTTTTTCAGTGATTTCCATGAAGATTTGGAATTTCGATTCACATTTGGATTGCATGCGATGATTAGAAGAATAATTGCATATCGAAGTGGACAACCAGTTACAGCGATCAACGCGAATTTATTGACGCCTTTGTCGTTGGTAAGAAATGAAATTTTGCAAATCAAGAACCAGATTTTGATTAAATTAATTTTTTGGTTAAAAATCTCAACTCATATTTTCAGTTCCATAATCCCAATTATTTTTCCAGCAAAAGAAAAACGCTGAAAACGTGGTGCGAGATGAAAATATGGCAGCAGCCGCTGAAGAACAAGCAATGATGACACAAATGGTTCTTACATCAGCCGCTTTCTTAGCCAATGGTTCCCTTGGTGTTTTGGTTGTTGGTGGTATTGTTTATAAAGCAGTTGGTTGGAGAGTTATTGCAATTGGTGGAGCTGCTTATGGTGGATTATATGCATGGGAAAGAATGCGATGGAATTCATCGGCTAAAGAACAACATTTGAAAGAACAGTTTAGATCGCATTTAGCAGCGAGAATGCAACATGTTGCTGCTGCACATACAACGCATTGTGAGACACAGGCTATTAGGTTAGTTGGGAGTTGTGTATTTGTAAAGTGAACATTTTTTGCGAATGAAATTTTGCTACATCTTGTTTTCGATAATTTCGAAATTAGAATTTGTCTATAAAAATCCTCAAAAAATATCAAAGAATAAACAGATACTTTTGAAATTCGATGGAAATATTTTTCCGAAAAAAAAGTTCACTGTTTCAAAAAAGTTTTATAGAAAAATGATGTTCTCTAATTTTCTGATAAGGCAAAGAACCCTTTTTGAAAAAGAAAATTCAACCACTCTTTTACAATAAAAATTTACTGTTTCCAAATTTTTCTAAAGAATATTTTAATTTGTTATTTTTGGTATATGTGACTTGAAGAAAAATTCAAATAACATTTTCCCCAAAAATTTTCATTGTTTCAAAAAATAGAAAAAATCTGTTTTTTTTTTCATTTTCAATCAACTGCTCCTCTTTTTTCAGAGAAATGGACCAAGTTTTCGATGGTCTTCGAGCTACAGTCGGAGGAGTTCATCGAGAAATGAAAGCCGATTTGGATGAACAAAAAACAGTTATCGATGGAGTCGATTCGGTTATTCGAACACTTGGAACTATCAAGTTTGTCTAACTATATTTATTTTTCAAGTTAACTTAACTATAATTTCTTTTCAGAGGAAAAGCTGTATTTTTACTACGAAATCTCGAACAATTTGCATCTTCTTATCTTCGATCTGATTCTCCAAGTTCTCCTTGAGAGTTTTAATTAATTGCTAATTTCTTGGTGCTTCCCTTTTTTTTGAAATTTTATTTTCTTGTGCAAAATGTGTAGATATTTTTTCGAGAGCTCTAGGTCAAATCCAGGTCTTTTCATTTTCATTTTCCTCTTTTCAAATTCAAATATGTTATGTAGGCAGATTTTTTGAATAGTTTTTCATAATTAATTAATTAATTATTTTAGTTTTGATTTGATTTTATTTTTAAATTTGGTTTTGAAGGGTTAATTAATACCTCGATACTTTCTTGTAGTTTTTTTAAATTTAAAATCATTTACTAATTTGATTTTAGGTAGATTAGAAAAATGAATTCGGGTGGAAATGGAGAAGAAGAAGAGGATGTTGGAATTGGGGTCGAAATGGATTTTGATCAGTGTTCAGAAGAAGCCACTTATTATACACAATGTGCAAATTTGAGAGAGAAAACGGGAGAAAAGGGAGATTTTGGTGAGGTTTTTTAAAAATGCAAATATGGCTTTTAAATTTTTTTTGGAGCAAAAATTATCAAATTCCCGAAAAAATATTTTAAGCTTATTTTTTTTCTGATCCACTAGTTGAAACAAAAAAAACTACGAAACTTTTTTGTGCATTTATCATGAAACCAAATTAAACATTCATAAAAACGCCTTTTCCCCTTTTAGTCCCTCTCCCCCTTTCAAACAGCGTTTTTTTTGGAAAATAAAAATCACGTTTTCAAATGACATCCTCTTTTTTTGCCACGTCATACACGCATGTCACCATTTCCAATTTTCCCTCGAATTGATCATTTCTTATTTCCAGAACGCGTTGATTCGGCAGTTTCTCTAACTTCACCACGCGATGCTTTTCCGGCAAAACTTCAAAAACTGAATGGATCTCGAAAAATCAATGAAAAGCGGACTTTTGAAGAATCAGCAGTGAAAAGAACGATTGGTTTCAAAAAGGAAATGCAGAAACAGAGCAAAACGTGAGGATTTACTAGGAGAAATGTTGATGAATAAAAAAAATATGGGTTTTTCAGAACGGATAGCTATTTATTGAGTCATCAAAGATTGGCAACACATTTGATTGATTTCATTGATGTTCCGATGAATGTAAGTTTAATTTTGAAAAATAGGATAAAAATTGAGCTCTGAGCCTAGGGAATTAAATTCAAATAAAATAATTTCAAATCAAGTAGAAAGTCTGCCGACGTGGCAAGATTTTTCCAAATTTTGTGACCAATTTCTTTCTCCAAAAAACCAAATCATGTTACTTTATTTTCAGAAAAATTTGCGCCGTCGACTAGACTTGGATAAAGTCAAAATCCCGTTATTTTCAATGAGTGAGACAGGATTGGATATTTGTTCTGATTATTTTTTCCCGATGGAAAGTCCTTTTTCCAAAATCGAAATGTCTTATCTTCGAACATTATCTGAAAATCTCTCAAAATCTCATAGAAAACTCAAAGAAATTGTTGAATTTGTTGATATGATTGGAGAAAAATCGCGGGTAACAATACCAATGTTAATACGAGTATTTTATGAATGGGCAGTTGAATTCTTGCGTGATCATACTTTTCGATTAGATGAATTGAGATCGAAAAGATTGGTTGATCCATTTCAAGTTCTAGCAAATCTCAAGCCAATTTGTGAAGAAATTGATTTGGTTCGAATTATTATTGGAGAAGATTCGATTAGACAATTTTGGATGTGGGAAGGTATTGAAATGTCGTGGAATCGTGTGTTTTTGATCACACAAAAACATGCAACTATTCAAAAGAATGTAAGTTGGTCCAATTTTAGCCAGTTTTTAAAAATATAAACATTTTTAGACTCGACTTATGCGAAATTTGCAAGAAAAATGGGTGCAAACGTTGCTTCAAACAATGGATCATATTTTCGAATCAGGAAGAGTTCCACTCGAATCACGACATTTTGTATTGCATAAGTGAGTTTTTCTGGGAAAAATGTTAGAAAATATCTTTTATTCAAAAATTTACCAAAAAAATACGCTCAAAATACCACCCGAAAATTGGGTTGTGAATTTGATATTTTTAACATATATAAACTGAAATCTTCACGGAATGTGAATAAATAGTATTTATTTGCATGATAAATAGAAGTTTCAACAAAAAATGAAAATAATAATAATTTAATGTCTACGATTCTTGTATCCTTGATTGTTATTGACAGCAGCAGTTTCTTGTCTTTGTGGACATTGACAATATTCAGCATCAGTTCCTGGTTCTCCTTCTTCTCCATGTTGTCCAGCTGCTCCATTTTCTCCATTATCTCCTTGATCTCCTTTTGGTCCTCTCTCTCCTGGTGCTCCCGGAATTCCAATAGCTCCAGTATCTCCTTGTGGTCCTTGATCTCCTCGTTCTCCAGTTGCTCCTTGTTCTCCTTTTGGTCCTTGAATTCCAATTTGATGTTCAACATCTTGTCCAGGTTCTCCGTCATTTCCTGGTTCTCCAGTTGCTCCAATTGGTCCAACTGGTCCCAATGTTCCTGGTTGTCCTGGAGTTCCATCGCGTCCTGGCATTGCTCCTTGTCCACGTGCTCCACGCATTCCACGAACTCCTGGTTTTCCTTGTGGACCTTGTGGTCCTTGTGGTCCTTGTGGGCAGTGGAAGCATCCGGCGTATTGTTGGGTTTGAGCAGCTGCATCGTCAGCATCTTGTCCATCAATTCCTGGAACTCCTGGAATACCATCAATTCCGTCAGTTCCTGGGGCTCCTTTTGGTCCAGCTGGTCCGGCTGGGCATGAATTATCAGCTTGACAATTGCAAGCTCCATTTGGTTGATTTGGCTCATTGTTAAATTGTGGAGGAACTCCAATAACTCCTGGGAAATTGGCTGGATTTGGTGAACCGCCACCAATTGGGAATTGTGGAGACGATGGGTTTTGTGATCCTGATGCACCATATCCACCATATTGTCTTTTGACTCTTCCGAACTTTTGCATATCCGCATACATTGAATCGGTTTGAACCTAGAATTTGTTAGAATTGGGCGGTCGAAAAAATCAGTTATCTTTTTGGTTGATTTTTTTGTTTGAACCAGTTTCTAACTTAACGCCCTCTTGAAACCTTACCTTCCATGAATCGATTTCAACATTCAATTCATTTCGAATTTCTTCAACTTGACTCAAAATAATTGGAACTGAGAAAAGACAGCAGACAATCGAAAAGATACCGAAAGTGACTGCCGCATAGGCAACACTTGTTGACATTTTGAGAAAAATTGACGATTTGAGAAATCTCACCTCATCGTTTTATATCCTTTTGGAAATCTTGTTTTTTTTTCTGGGCGGAGGTTGTGAAAAAAAAAACAGATATTTGCATAATTATTAAATGGAGAGTGAAATGAGGCGAAAATATGAAATGATAAGATGAGATAACAAAAATATGCATGAGGAATTTTTGAGAAGGCCCACAGGTTTGTGGTGATTGGTCTTAATTGGACTGGATTTTTTGAATAAAAATAAAAATGACATATTTTTCAGAAAAACGTAAATTTATTGAGACATGACTATAATTGTTGAATTTGATGTCGAAAGTAATTTACGAATCTGGTTGTGGAAATAAATCTTCTCAACTATTCCAAAAATCTATAAAGAGCCAACCCCTTGTAAAATGTTTTCACAAACTCTAAACTATCATCATTAAATATAATGTGTAACTATAAACATTGAGAGAAATACAATATACAAAAATATATATATAATCTGTCACATGCCCTTCTCCTTCTTTTTCCCCTTTTTTCCTTCTGTTTATTTATGAGTTTTTATCACATCACAGATAAAAGTGTCATTTTCACATTTTGTTGTTTTTTTGCAGTGACCCAAAACATGATGCCGAATTATTGTTGTGTCGAAATATCGAAGTGACTCAATCGCTTTTATGGGATGAAGAATTGATTGAAATTGTATTGGAGGCTGCGAAATGTCGTGTTCGATTAGGAGTTATCGAATATCCTCAACAAACATTTAGTCAAAAATATACGGAAATTCGAAATGGAGATACTCAACTTTTGGATTTCAATGAGTTTCGCGATATATTTATGACAACTTGTAGAGCACTCAATTTACAATTTGCTCAGGAATTATTCGAAACTTTACACACATCCGATCAATTTGTGAATTTATGGAATGATTTTGAGAATGTTGTTGTTGGACAAATCGCGTTCAAATATGCCTCGATTGTTTTTCGATCTGATTCGAATGTTGTCAGTTTTTCGGATGCTTTTTGGTTGGCATCCAGAGAGAGGATGAGTAAGGATAATATGTCGAGGTTTTCGTGGATTCCGACGAAATCCGAATTTGCTATTACGGTTGGTTGTTGGTGTGATGAAGGAAAATTTAGAAATTAATTTTTGAAAAAAAACTGACCATTTTGGTAATTTTGTTGAAACGTATTTTTAAAAGCGAAATAAATCCTAAAGTTTTTCAAAAAAAAAAAACATAAAATTCAAAACAATAATTGTTTGCAGCTGGATAAACTAATGGGATCTTTCATAACATCTGAATTGATTGATGTTATGAATCAATGTATGCGATTCTCTCATTCGGCATATCGAACACGCGAACTTCTTATTACAATGAGCAATGATCGAAATATGATGTCTCGAATGACTTGTCCACAATCATCGCTTGATGTTCATGGAAAAATTGGCGAAACTATTGTGAATCGATTATTGCGCAAGAGAATGCGATTCTTTGTTTTTACCATGGAGAAAATAGTGTCACATTTTCAAGAATTGTTTGCTGAAATGGTTCGACATGTTTTTAAGATTGGAAGAGAGAATATTTTGAAAGCGGAACGATTGAGAGATGTTGAAGTGGCATTGAAAAATGCATTTTTGCAATTGACTGCATTGGTGGGTTTTTTTGGAGGGTTGGAATACAAAAAAAAAACCAGCTGGAAAGAAGAGTTAGAAAATGAGAAAAAAATTGGACAGTCGTTGTCCAGATGTGTTGAACATTTTTATAGAGTTTGTTAGTTGGAATTTTGAAAATTTTAGTTTATCAATTACTCGATAAAAAAATTAATGAAAATTTATTGTTTTCAGCAAGACAATTTTGAAATCAAAAAATCGATTTTTCGAGAAATTTTAAATAATAAAATAAATTTCAATGTTAACTTTTTTTCCAATTTTCCATATGTTTACTCCATTTTTCCCCATTACACAGGCAATCCGCAAATATCCTTTGCAAATTTCAAAAAATTTTGAAAAAAAAAACTGGTTCTCAACACAAAAATATGTACATAAATACTCATTTTCAATCCAGAATTTTTGAAAAATTTGTTTTTTTCTCAGATTACTCGAACTGGAGTCCGAAAACCTGTTCACGAAGGAATGGATATGTTCAAATTAATCACTGATGAAATGAGATTACGGTATTTTTTCCCTCGATATTTTCCAGTTATGTTTATTTTTATAACGGCTTAAATTATTCCAGATCTGTCTCAAATACTCTCGATTTATCGTATCTTCAAATGTGCGAAAATGATGTTCGAAGAGTTTTGCAAAATTTGGTGAATTTTGGCAAAAAATGGGGAAATGATCAGGATAGCATATTTCATCATTTATCTGTCAGATTAGGCAATTTGACTATGGGTAATGAAAATAACGTGTAAAATTATTGATTTTTTGTGACCTCAATGTGAATAATGCATAATAAACTTTTTTATTTTTATTTTTGAATTTCTCTTTAATTTTTATTTATTTTCTCAATTGGTTTGAACCGATTATTATTATTTTTCAGTATTTATTTTTTACCCGAATAACTTTTTAAATTATATTGCAGATGACGACTGAATTGCATGGTGGATTTAATCGAGTTCGAGGAACTTTGTTACGTTTAGCACAAACTGCAAAAGAAATGCCGAATGAGGAGAAAAATGCGGATTTCAAAGATACAATGGTTGAAAATGTGAAGAGAATGATTGAATTGGATGAAAGAACTTTCAAAATTATGCATGTTTTTGATAAATTATATGATGATATTGAAAATCGTGGGAAGTTTCCGGAAGTTTTGGAACATGATAAAATGAAGATTGAGATGGATAAAGTTAAAGTTGATTCGAAGAATTTGGAGAAAGGAAATCGAGAAACGATGGAAAATATTATTGAAGAAATTGTTAGCGGAGAAGATGAAATGGTTGTAATGGATGTGCAATATAGTAAGAAAGATCCGATTTCGAAGAAGGATATTGAGAAACCGGTTAAGGCTGATGTGCGTTTTGAAGTTTTACTTTTTGAAATAAAAAATAATTGTTCCATCCTCTGACATAATAGAAAAAAGAAAACATGTCTTGAAAGATTATTTTGGAACTTATCTCCAAAACATTTTCGTATTTCTCAGAAATGTCACCATGTCTACGATCACGATTCAATCATTCAATTCGCCAACTCAAAACGCCTCATCGATTGTGCTGTTCAAGGATGCAAGGCAAAAATCACAATCGCCAAATTGAAAGAATTCCCAGAGTTTTTCGATTTGTGCCAAGATAACTAAACGAACTTATTATATTTTTGTTGTTGTTGTAAATATCTGAAAGTTCTCAAGAAGTTTTATGGGTACTCCAATAAAAAACCTGTTTTTTTTACTTTCTGCAATTTTTTTCTTGATATCAATCGTTTTTGTTCGATTTTTTAATATTTTTCACCGGGTGAAGTTCCTATTTTTCAGCAAAAAAAGTCAATTTTTTTTGTAGAGTTTGATGATAAGTCCGCCGGCGGAAGGATCAAATTCGACAATATGTGGATATTTGCATCGAATTGAAATCAGATCGATTGGTTTGATAACTCGAAGAAGATATTGGTTTGCATTATGTGATTCGACACCATTTTTATATTGGTTCAAAGAATCGGATGATGTGAAATGTATTGGAAGAGTTTCATTGAGTGGTGCTGCATTTACATATGATCCGAAAGAAAAAGGAAGATTTGAGATACAGTGAGTTTTATGGGTGGAAAATGTTTACTGTTTCAAAATTTTGATTAAATTTGAATTGATCCTGATTATTTATCCGATAGTCCTGATCGCCAGTGTTATATTAAAAATAAAAAAACCCATTTGCAGTGCCAGCAATGATGTAATGATTCTCGAATGTTCTTCTGATAAACAACGAAATGAATGGATGAAAGCATTGCAAAATACAAGAAAACGTAGTTGGCATACAACAACAACGAAATCATCATCCGATTCAACTCTCGAAAATATATCATCTTTGACAAGACCATCATCTTCGTTATCAACTATTTCATCGCCTCCAATTCCTCCTCCAAGAAGTCCAAAAGTTATTAGAAAAGATGAACAGAAAATTGAGGAATCGATAGGAGACAGTGAAAATGAACCGAAAAAAGACGAGGAGGAAATTGAAATCGAAATTGAGAGCGGTGTTGCACAAACTGAATGGTATTTGAATCCGAATGGTCAACTCAATGAAAGGTCTCTTCAAATGCCAAAAGTTATCCAAAGTCCTGAATTGGTTATTAAAAAATTGGCAGATGAAAAAATCGAGGCACCATTTAGAGCTATTAAGAGAAATTTGTCGAGTTGGAGAGGATCGAAACAATCGACTACGGTTGACGAACAAAATACGAGTAGGGTAAGCATTTTTAATACTGACGAGACCTGCCTCTGATACCGTCTATTAAAAAGGTCGAAACGGTAGCGCGCTAGTAATCTTCTCTTTCCAACTCATCTTCCCTTTTCCCTTTTTTTTCTCTTTTCTTCAATTCCAAAATTTAGCATATTCCTAATATTTTTATTATTTTATTTGAAGGGTTGATTTTTTTTAGTTTGATCAATTTGTCCGAATTTCAAAAAATTATGGTTTTATGAAAAAGTGAATTTTTCTTTTAAAAAACATTTTTCCAGAAAAGCACAATAAGCGGAGAATTGACAGCCGAAGAGAAATGTATCGAATTGTCAGACAAAGTTGGAAGTTTGGAAGAAGTTGTTGAATCATTGAGAAGTGCATTGTTATTATCACAAAGGCAAAATGAAACACTGTGAGTCAGAATATCGAATTTCATTCTTTGTTTATATTTTATTCCATCAAATTTTTATATATTTTTTCTCCGAAAATATTGATCAAATTTGTCCCATTTTCAGCACGAAAATCGATGAAATGGCTGGAAAAAATGAGGAAATGCGAGAGTATTTGCTGGAAAAAGAGCGACAAATGACTGAATTGCATATTTCGAATAGTTTGAATGCTAGAAAATGTGGTGATTTGGAGGAACAAAATGCGAAATTAGAAGATACGATAAGTGATTTACAACAATCGCTAGAAGCATTTCGAGAATCGTTGAGAACAAAAGAAGAATTAATTCTGAAAATGTGCGAAGAAAATGGAGAAGATATAAATAATGGAACACTTTTATCAGATATTGAAGTACCCGAAGGAATACTTGTTGATGTTTCATCTTTAGATTGTGAAGAAGCAACGAGAAAAGTATTAGAAGAGGAAAATGTGAAAGATATTGGAGAATTACAAGATTTGGTTGAAGGATATCGAGGACAAAATCAATTTTTGAATGCGGAAATTGTTGAATTGCATAATATTGTAAAATCATTGGAGGATCGAGAAAAAATGCTAGTTCGAAAAAATTTCGATTTGGAAGCTTGTTATTATCAATTGAAAAGTCGATATTTGATGGTTTTGAATCATTTTAAATCGCCGCAAAAACCTGGAAAAAGTGGGTTTTTTTCTGGGGGAAATGGGAATAAATTAACGAATTTGGTTGCGTGACTTGGAATTTTGTCTGGAATTTTTTTAGAAATGAAAATTAGATTGTCTGAAATTTTCTGAAATTGTTTGAAAGATGTTTTTTCTCTAAAATTTCTGAAAATTTCAATTTTCAGTCAAACTTCATGTAGTAACTCAAATCACATCAATTTCTACGGATATCTTCTCAAAAAATGGAAATTTTGAAAGAAAAACCACCTTTGAAGTTTTTTCTGAACATTTTCATAATTTGAAAAATTTCGATTTTGACCCATTTTTCGAAATCTAAAAAATATATATTCAAAAATTTACCCCATTATTTTTTGCAGTAATGGAACCTGGTGTTTTGCGCGAACTTCTCGATGAATCAGCAACAACTCCAAGACAAAATCAACAAAATCTGACAGATCAACTTGGATTTTATAAAAGAGATTCACTTTGTGATACTGATGATCTTCTTGATACAGCAACATTTTATATGAAAAAAGCGGATGATATTGTAGAAGCAACGAAATTAGAACAATCAGAAGAATATATGAAATGGCTACAATCATGGGATTCATTTCTTGTTAATAATACTGTAAATCGACAATTAACTATAATGACATCATCTGATATGAAAACAATGATTCGAACTGGAGTTCCACCGGCTTATCGAGGAAGAGTTTGGAAATCAATTATAAATCATTGGACAAAAGATAAACAACTTGAACTTGGAAATGGATATTATTCGAGTATGTTGAGAAAAGCATCGAATAAAAAAGGATAGTGGAAGTTATGATGCGGCGATCAAACAAATTGATTTGGATTTAGCGAGAACACTTCCAACTAATAAATTGTTTGATGAACCAAATTCAGCGAATATTGAAAAATTGAGAAATGTTTTGTATGCTTTTCGATATCATAATCAACATGTTGGATATTGTCAAGGATTGAATCGATTGGCTGCAATTGCATTGCTTTATTTAGGTAAACATTTTCTGGAAGAAATGTTTTTTTCTTTAAAATCCCGAACTTTCAAAATTTTGATATAAAAAACAGTATTTTTCGAAAATTTGACATATTTTTTCCAAATAGATATTTCTGCATTTTTGAAACAGTTGATTTTTCTCAAAATTAACAAAATTAAATACGTTAAAAAATATTGATATCGAGTTTTGAGGAATGTAGAAATAATTAAAAACATATAAGTAGTGTTCATTTTTTCAGACGAACAAGATTCGTTTTGGTTTCTTGTTTCATGTGTTGAAAATTTGCAACCCGAAGGATATTATACAAGTTCTTTGATTGGAGCTGTTGCTGATCAAAAAGTTTTGAGAGATTTGGTCGCCGAAAAATTACCCAAATTGGCTGCGCATTTGCGATGTTTGGAAGTTGATTTGTCGCTTTTTGCACTTTCCTGGTTTTTGACAGTGTTTGTTGATATTCTACCACATTCGATTTATTTGACTATTTTTGATACGTTTTTGTATGAAGGAAATAAGGTGAGAAGTTTTTAGAAATTGAAAAATGAGTTTTTTTTAATAAAAAAATGAATAAACTATTAAAAAATAAAAATATTCCTTTCATTATGTGTGCTTTGCGAACATTCAAATTGACACAAATCAAATTTTTTGCACTTCAATATCATTTTTCCAGTTCAAGAATGTTTCCTTAACTACACATTTAATTAAAAATTAATGAACCGTGAACGGTGACGTTTCAACTACAAAATATTCTGAATGTATTTTCTATAGTTTTTCTAACAAATTAGATTTTTTGGAATGAATTGATAAACATTTCAGAATTTTGGAAAAATTCTTTCAAGAACTTTCAGATCAAAAGTCCAATCAAAACGCGTAAATATAAAATCCAATTTAGAATAATTTGGAAGTCTGAACCTCCAAATTAATCTAAACGTAACCAACTCCAGGTTCTCTTCCGCTTTGCTCTTGCTCTTCTCAAAATCTGCGAACCACATGTTCTTCAATGCAAAACAATCGGAACTGTTCATCAATGTTTGAGCAAAGCTCAAGAACATATCACTGATTTCAAATCATTGGCTCAAGTCGCATTCAACGAATTGAATCCGTTTCCACAAAAATCAATTGAAACCAAACGGCAAATGTATTTAACGCAATTAAATGTAAGATTTTCTTGAATATGTTTGATTTATAATTACAAAAATACATATTTCAGGACACTGGTCACTAAAAATATCCGAATTGTAAATATTTATTTATTTATTATTTATCCAACAAACACAAAATGGGCATAATCGAATTCCGGTGTATTTTTTTTCTAAAATTCCCAGTAATTTTTTATCACTTTCTTTTCTACGGTTTCATGTGCTATGCTTATCTGAAATAAATCTTTTTGTATTTTTATTTTGACAAAAAATAAATTCAAGTTATTTTTTTTTCATCAAAGTTTACCTACAAATTATGCGAAAATGCAAAAAATCGAAGATTAATTAAGACGTTGAAATCTCGTGGTTTTTTTGGAGAGAAAAATGATGATAATTTGTGTAAACTTGGCTTGATTTTTGGTTAAAAAATTCAAAAACTAGAATTTGTTTTCTAGAAAAACAAACTGATTTTTTGACCCATTTTTCAGGTTGACATTTCAGCTCAAAATATTGTTGTTTTGGTTTTTGTTTAGAGACCTGCAAAATAAGAATCGTCATTTTGCAAAACATCTGGTTGATTTTTGTCTGGATTACGGTATATTTTCAAAGGCGCATTGTTTGAAAGTTCATTTTTATTTTTGGAGAGATCTCTGAGTTTTTCAGAAAGAAAAAATCAAAATTTGATCAAAAACTGTTGATTTATCAAAGTTCTGTTGATTTTTTACCAAATTTCTTGAATAAAATTAGCAGCAATTTGGAGCCAAAACCTTTATTTGATGACGTTTCCGTATTTTTTCTAGCTCAATATTTTTCTCGATTTTATTCAAAGTCTATGAAGATCATTTTTTGATGTTTCTAACAAAATATTTTTCGAATGAGATCATTAAGTTCAGACATTTCTCGTTTATCGAATCAAATAACATATACTTATTATATCCAAATAGAATAATTCGTGCAAATTAACGCTTGAATTGAATACGTTTGATACTTTGATTTTGATCTTATTAGACGTAGGCAGCAAAGTTTTTCTGGGAAAATTTGAGAAAAATGTCTCGCTATCTCTTATTTCTCTTCTCCGCTCCCGCGAGACATCAAACAAATATTGGTAAAAAACACACAGCATCACATCCTCCGTTGTGGTCTAGTGGTTAGGATTTATGGCTCTCACCCATAAGGCCGGGGTTCGATTCCCCGCAACGGAATAACTTTTATTCCTTTTTTGTTTGTTTTGTGTGCAAGAATTGGCACGTTTTTTCGTTTTCACATCAGATATATTTTTGATTGTTTTTTTTTCAGCTTCGCGAAAACACCCCCGCCAAACTGGAAGAAGGTGTTATTTTGTAGTCAAAGTACAACAAGAATATTTTTTATTTATTGAAATACGAGAATAAGACAAGAAAATTGAAAAACAAAATTTTGGAGCCCTTCCAACAATAAACGTAAAAATTTCTGGGAAAAAAATGAAAAGTCATACGACTAGAAAAATAAGCTGATTTCATCATTCCAGGTCATCTTTGACAAAAGACTTAGTGTTTGAACGTTTTGAAGTTGATAATACATTTTTGTTTGTATTTATGAGAAAAATCGAAATTTTCCTGGTCAAAGTTTAATTTCATCGAAACACCTGATAATTCAAAATATGTACTCGATTGTTGTGTTTTGCAACAAAACTGTTTGTTTTAATTTTAATAACTTAGAAATAAGTCGATGTTCGGAAAAATCTTAGGTATCTCAGTTTCAAATCTAAGAAATTAGGCTTAGGTTCAGCAATGTTGTCTTTTTTTCTGGCTTAGGGTTAACCGAGCTCATCAATGGCTCAGCCAAGATTTATTTGCTTAGGATTACTTAGGATTCAGATTAGACCATTTTCAATAAAAAATTAACAAAATCTTAAAAATACACATATTTATTTCGGCTATCTAAAAAAATTCCAATAAACAAACAAAAATAAATTAGTTGAGAAAAATAAAAAAGTTGTGGGTGGAAAGCATGGGAAAAATTAACACGAAATTAATGAAAATAAAATGTTTTTTGAAAAAATGTTCTCAATATCTTCTAGATTTCAGGATTCCTTTGATCATTGCGTCGTGATTTCCAGATGGGAAATAAATATTTGTGCGTTTCAACAAATTCATCAAATATGGAGTGTTGTCCAAAGTGATGTATTCTACAAAAGATATTCATTAGATGGAGATAGTTTGAAAAAAAAAACAAACCTGCAACTGGTTGAGATTGCGCAAAAATCACAAAGATCGATAACAGAACAATCGAAGAGATCAGGAATTTTTGGAACATTTTCAGCTGAATTTTGAAATTCTGAAAAAGAAATTGAATCTGGTTTTACTTTTATAGCAAGTGGGCGGAGCTTAGATTTAATGGGCGGAGCTTGGAATATTTTTTGAGCATGCGTTTTTTGGAGGGAAAATTGAAAATGGGAGGAGAGTTCACATGAAATTCGAAAAAAATCAGCAAAAAAAGAGTACTGTAGGAGTACGGTGGGAATACTGAAGATTATTGTAGTATTGGTTCTGTAGACGGGAGAAGATTTCACGTGAAATTTGAAATATCAGCAACAAATTTTCATAAACAAGAGCAGTAAACTGTAGCTTTTGAAAATGAAATCATCAATGACAAAAACTCAAGGATTTCTTTCATCCAAAAAAATGAAAAATATTTTTGAGTAGTTTTCGTCAAATCTCGTCTGATCCAGTTTAATCGATGAGTTTTTCTGAAATTCCAGATTCTTTTTCATTCGAAAAAAAAATGAATTTTTCTAAACAAAATCAGGTGAAAATAAACAGAAGTGTTGTTGAAATTTGGTGTTCTCTAGATCCTAATTAATTTCTTATTAATTAATGAGATTTATGTTGAGATGAGCAAAAATAAGAGAAAATTGTAGTTTTCCGGAACCCACGCACTTTTTCTTTAGCTTTTGAAATTTTTAGTCGACTAAAAATGATACGAATTTGAATTTGAATTTGTAGCTAGAAAAAATTTGAAAATAAACAAAAAAAGTTTTTGATTTTCAGAGGCAGTCAATGCGGAGTGTTGTTGAAATTTTGCCCTGAAAGTCCCTGTGCTCCGAAATATTCTGATTTCCGAGACTTTCCAGAAAAAATTAATTTGAAAAGTCATAGTTTACCAACAAATATATTTTCACCTGTCTCTGAACATTAAAAAAAAAAAAAAGTGGGTAGGGTTTCTTCTGATTAAAAATTTATAGCTACAGTAGAATTTCGACATAGAGGAAGTTTTGTGCAGAAAATCCTGAAAAATTGAGGTTTGCTCGGAAAAAGTTTTTATCAGAACTTAGAATTTTTAAAAACAAAGCAAAAAAATATGGGTTTTCGTGATATTTTAAAACTAATTTTTGTATATTTTCTTGAGATTTTTGAAGTTTTTTAGAAGATTGTATATAACTAACTTTCTCAAATTTGCTATTGTTTTCGGATCTATACAAAAATTGATATAAAAATATTTTTGAGATTCCCGAAGTAAAATTGAATCCAAAAATGTGCTCTTCTGCTCATTTCATCGACTATAGTTTTTACTCTAATTTTATTATTATTTTTTCAAAAAAGATACATTTCCACGGGTTTTTCCAGTTGATATAATAGCGGTATATTGTTGTTTCTCAAAATTTAGGCGATTTGAGATATAAACTCGAGTTTCTGATGACCCGAAGAAGTTTACTTGTCACAATTTCAATCTTCTGATTGTTTTTTTTTTTGAACTTTGATAACTTCGAATCAGAAATATCTCAACTAACTCCATTAAATCACTTGATTTTCCGAACCTTTCTATTTGATTTCGTTGCTCACTTCAATCTCCAATTTTATGTAACGTAATAAATCAAACCCAAAAACCTTTAATTATCTCGAAATTCTTTGAAAACTCTAAATTTATTTTTGGTTTTTATTACGCATAGTATATATTTTCAAATAACCGGAAATTATCTATGATACGTCATATTTTTTGTCTAAAGGAAGTTGTAAATATGAATTGAATTGAGTTTGGGAATTCTGATTTGTTTTATTTATTTCTGTTTTTGGAGTTTACCTGGGAAAGTATGAAGATCAACTGAAATTTTCTGGTGAGAAAATATTTTTCTTTGAACTGGATGATATCATTTTTCTACCGTAATTCAATAGAACTTTTATTTTCAAATTTGAATTCCACTAGGAATTTTGAACGTTTATTTTTGGACAATAAAATTGTACCGTAATTCATTAGAACTTTTATTTTGAAATAACAATTTTCCTGAATTCCCTACAGAATCTTTGATATCACTATTTTTAGACAAAATAGTACTAATAAAAACATATATTTTATAGTTTGCAAAACAAATTACGTTAAGTACAAATTGACTAAACCTATTATTATCCAACGAAAAAATGTTTCCAGTTCTGACGTTTATAAATTCTGGGAATTAAACAAAACATGTGAGCATATTTTGAACTTTTTTGAGAATTGGATTTGGATAATTGAGGGTTTTTGATTGTTTTTTTGGTAATTAATTAGAAGGGGAAAATGACAGCGAAATCAAAGAAAGCGGAGTGATCAGAAAAAGGGAACTTGTGTTTGAGAATTTTGAGAACCGACGATTCTGAAGAAATTAGAGACCAAACTCACAAACGTGGTGAACAAAACAAAATTATTAAAGAGAAACTTAATAGTATCAAAGATTGCTGAAATGATTTTTTTTACATACTTTTTTTAAAAAAAATTGTTGATGTATTATTTTTATGAATTCCTAAAACTTCAGTTATGATTCGCAACATTTTCCGGAAAATAAAATAAGTTTCAAAATTTGTTTGTTTTCAAAAATGTTTTTTGAGCTCAAATTTATTCAGAAGTGCTTTGATATTTGCTGCTGATCATCTAAAATAACCAAGTACTAAACTGTACTCTGAGAATATGCAATTTTCGAATTCAAATATGTTTCAAAACTGTTTTTTGTTTTAGGAGAATCGAATTGAATTTAAGCCACGTGTTACTTAACATTTTGCAAATCTAAAACACAATTTTAATTTAGATGTCTCAACTTCCGATTGAAATTTGAGATCGTTGTTCAAGCTGTGTGACGTTTCAGAACTTTGTGTTTGGAAAAAAAGTGATCTTTGAAGAAAACTAGACATTTTTGAAGAATTTCTGGATAATTAAGATTCTTATCATGTTTAATTTAACTTCGAATTTTGTGTCTGAAAAAGGTTCAAAATGAAATCCTAACAAATTAGTGCGTAGATAAGCTAAGCTTCTTGTTTTGTCGAAAATTTTGAACTTCTACTTTATTTTTTTTCAATGAATCACAGCTTAGTTTAATTAACTCCTACATTTTTATCCCTGAATTCATATTTCAAAGAATTAAGAAGATTTTATTTGAACTCGAAAATCCAATTTTTAAGCCTCAAAATATTTTTTGTTTTTGCTTTTTACTCAACCAAAAATAGTATATATTCAGCACATCCAATTTCCTTTTTCCATTAAAGAATGGTCATTTTGGGGGTTGAATTAGTAGTATGTTTTTTAGGAAATGAAGATGAGAGCAAAAAATGAGATGAAGATTTTTTGTTGTTTTTTTACATTAGACACGAACAGGAAAAGGGAAAATATTATGAGTTCATTTGAACGAGGAACACAAATCGAAAAAAAAACAAACATCATTTTTTCTTGATTTTTTAGTTTGGACTTTTATCATGATAATCTCAAGGAAAAAAGGATCAAATTGGAAATTTTTTTACAAGAAACTATTTTTTCTGAGAGAAGATCGATTTTCGAACGAAGTTAGTCTCCAATTATAAATTCTAGAATTTCCAAGAATAATGTATTTTTGGTGAAAATGATGTTTGAATCAAATATTCTCATAATTCCGAAGATTTTCTCACGACAAAATCTTAATTTGGAGAATATGTTGTTAGTTCTCTATCGAAGGAACTTATCTTGATGATTAAAAATCGAAAATATTTGCAGGAAAATTCAGATTCAGAGCTGATAGCAATTGGAGCTTCGGGGACAAAATATTTATCACGATATAATTTTTGGATTATTTCATTAATCAAAATGTTGAAACAGTAAGTTTTTCTAGACAAAAACCAAGGGTTGAGAAAGGTGTGACGTAAATCTGTTGCAAAACTATGCTCTTCAGAGCACCTGGAATTTTTATTCCCAAAAAAAATCGGGTTCAAATTTTCACGTTTTTAAAAGGATCAACATTTGATTTTCATTAATTACTGCATGAATTCTCGTCGAAACCTATTCAAAACAGTGAAATTTCCCTTGAAAAATATTGAGCTCGAAAAAATTTGTGACGTACACGCGTGTTGCAAAAAAGTGATCACTTGACCTTTTCAAAATGTTACCGGCTGAAGTTTTCTCGAGCACAAAGATTGTTTTTTCCAATCTAAACACACTAAGATCAAGATTGTGCCACATCATTACAGTATTCGATTTTGCAACAAAAAAAGTCAAAAATCCACCCACTTTTTCCATTAATTTCTGTTGTTTTTCATTTTATTTTTGAATGTTATTAGGTTAAGACAACAACCAAAACATGTTGTTTTTTTTTGGCTGGATTTTCATCAATTTTCTGAATTAAAAAATTATTCTCAAAAAAAAACAAACATGACTGATGTCATTGAGGAAAATGTCTATAATTATTTATTTATTGAAACAAACAAGTAAATGAGTACGAAATTAATTTCAGGTTTCAAGTTTTTTGTGGTTTGATTCGGAAGTTGGAAGTTTATGGCTTGTGATTAAAATTTAGGTGTATGTCAATAAAGCTATAATTTGAAATATGTTGATTTTTGATTCGAGACTGTTAAATGACTAGTTTTTGCTCAAACTTTGTTCAAAGGGTCACAAATATCAAGCAAAAATGCCGATTTTAAATGTTTCCATAAGCAAATGTTAGTAAATAAATTATAGAGTTTTGGATGAACTCTGATCAGGCCTAGCACATTTTCCATACTTTAGGGGTTTGTTATGACGTGGCAAAAAATTGAAATGTTTTGAGTAAGTTTCAGGAAGTTGTACCTTCCATTTTTCCAAGTTCGACATAACTGGAAACATTTCAGATTTTCAGTTCAAAACTCTATTTTATTTCCCGGTCCAAGTCAAACTTCAATTTATTTCCGCTTGATTCTTTTTTTTTGGAAAAAATGGGGGTTGTAGACGAATTCCACGAAATTTATCGAGTTCGTTCATGCAAAAAAAAATGTTGAACACCAGATTTGTGCAACATGAAAAACATGAGAAGATCGAAAAACCAGTGGGAAACAGGGATTTTCTCAGGTTTTGCAGAAAAACAATATGAATAAACAGTTTTGTTGGTTAGAGATTGAAAATTAGATTTTTCAGATGTGGAAGCTTTTTGGAAGAAGTTATGAAATCACAATTCAGATGTCGAATTTATTGGAATTCACAAACAATATAATAATCATTCAAATTTTCAGACAAAAATTTAAAATTCGAAAAATTTGAGAATTAAAAAATGTGTTCCATTCATAGTCTGAAATTTTCACTGTTTCAGCAGCAAAAAATATACCAATCTAGAGATTTTCAATATCATTACCTTTTTCGGTTCATAAGTTTTGATCCAAACTTTTTGAGATATCATGAAAACCTGCCACGTCACAACAAAAAATGTCAGTGCCTAATCGAATTTCAAAAATATTTGATCACAATTTCTTACAAATTGATAAAAACTTTAAAAATCAGAGAAAGTTCGAGAACATTAATGGAAATATTTTCGTTGTATGCCATTTTCGACTGAAAATTCTTATTATTCGGTATTTCATTGAAATATCACGTTCTCTAGCTTTTTATTTCAAAAAAGTACAGCATTCTTGATTTTTTCGGGAAGAATTTGATATTTGGCCCAAAAAATTAAAATTTCCACTATGACTCGTGGATCCTACTTCAAATTTCAATGAATAGATTTGAAATTTCGAAAGCTTTAGCCAGCAGTGAACATTTTCCACGTCATAAAGATTTGGAATCCGGAAATAAATTATTTCGAAAATAGAGCTTTTGATGTCTCATCAGATTTCAAAGAACTTCCGCTCAAAAATTTCATCGTAAAAAGCCTGATTTCCCAAAGACTAAAATGGGATCAAAATAGTTTCCAGTTTTTTGAATTTAAAATGAAAACCCTAATTTTACCAAAAAATGTAAGGTTAGTGTGAATGACTCCAAAACAATCTCATAATTCGCCACGTCATAATGATTTGAAATCCGGAAATAAATGTAAAAAAAAAGAAAACGAGATGTTGATGTTTCATCCGATTTCGCAAATCTCACGTGAAATCAACAAGATCTATTTATTTTTCCTTACATCATAATCCCATTTCCTTCCTATTCGAGCAAAGTACCCATAAGCTCATTTCTTAAAACTAGAACACATTTCAAAAAATAAAAAAGAGAGAAAAAATGCTTCCAAAAAAGGGAACAAATTTTGTTGTCAAAAAAAAACACGTCATTTTGCGGGGGACTTTTGCAAACTTTTTATTTCCTAATAAAAAATACTACTTTATTATTTATGTATTTGTTTATTGAAGTTGTTCTCGGTATTTACAAAAGGATTTCAGGGTTTTTATAAATTTAAATTATCAAGAAAAAAACTGGATTTAAAAACAGAAATGAAGAGAATTGTAAAACGTTATTGAAGTTTGATAGAATTTGAAATATGTTACAAAAGTTCCAATGTTTCCACACAAAATTGTTGATTTTTCTATAGTTTGGGAAAATTCCGATTTTTTTCGTAGTAAATTCCAAAAATTCAGATTTTTAAGCGACATTTTCTCACTTTTTTTTCAAAAAAAAATACCTTCATTTCCTAAATTCTATACCAACTTCATTATTATCATTCATTCGTTGCTATTTTTTGATACAAATACATCTTTTTCCATTGGATTCGGAATCCTTCGATTTTCTTCAATATCTTTCTCATTCAATTCATCCATAAATTGCCAATAAATCTTCCGAGTCTGCTTTAATTTCCAGATTTTCTCCCAAATTTCTTCTCGTTTGATTTTCTTGTTCAACGAATTCCTCCAGCCATTTCTTTTCCAGATTTCCAAATGTGCTTCTACACTTTTTATCAATTTTTCGGAATCTGTTCGAATTATCACTTCATTTCTATCAACTTTTTCTAAAATCGAAATGAGATTTGCCTCGATTCCAGGTCGGTTTATAATTTCGTTTTGATTTTCCCAAACAACTCCAGATGTCAGCCCAGATCCAGTTTTGAATAGTCGAACTACCGGAATCCCTCTGAAATTAAAAAAAATTGTGTGAAGAATTTTAACAACAAATCCTACTCCTCTGGCTCCTGAACTGTCAAATCTTGAATTCCAAGCGAATATTCAGACACATCTTTTCCTAATAATGGATATTGTATTCCTTCTTTACATCGTCTTGCAATTTCCGAATAAATCGATTGTTCTTCGTGTTCGATTTTGAATTCGAAATAAACCTGGATTTCAATTAATTTTAAGAACATTCAGATTCTAGAAAAATATTTTTTTTATGAAACAATACACTGTTTCAAAATTTTTATATTATTAGGCACGGATTTTTTTTTAATTTTGTGCAACTAGCAACATTTTCTTTTGAAAATCTTGCTTTTTTTAATTCCAAAAATACACATTTTCAAAATATTCATTCTTATAAAACTTAATTATCGATGGTGAAATTCGTTCTACCGATTTCTGAATAATTTCCAAACCCCTCCTCAAAACTCACATTATCTAATTTGTCCACCAAATCTCGAATCTTATTATAAAAACTTCGACTTCTCTTCGAACTTCGATCTTCTTCTTTTCGATGAACCCAAACATCTCTCCATTGTTGAATAAAATGTGCACTACTCGTAACTATTATCAAATTTCGAATATCATTTTCAACAGCTTCTTTCAACGCTTCTTCAATTGCAGCAAGAGTTGCACGATATGCGGTGATTGGAAATGGAGAAAATCGATGAACATTACCGCTGCCAGCTTCTCCATTTGGCCAATAACTACAGTAACCCGCTTGAATATATCCTTTATTTGATGATCGACATCGAACACCAACAAAACATTCAGGAAATTTCGATGGTTTTGGAGATCTTTGACCTTTTTCATTCATACAAAATCCTTCATATATCAATTTTCTCGCTTCAATTTCTCCAATATCTTCTTTATGACAATAGGTTTTAATAAGAATTTCTTTAGGATCTTCTAGACTTCCTGGTGGATTATAAATATGTTTAATAATAGCTTCTGTCACATAATTTGGTTTTCCTGTTCCAGATGCTGCACGATGTATTATTTGAACATCCATTCCCTGAATTGCTGTGAAAATCTCCTTGAGAATTTCCGAATGTTTCATTTTTGTCACATTATCTCTTTTGTAGAAATCTCGTTTTGCATGCGCTGACAGTTCTTTAACAAAGTCCTCGTTCTAAAAATTTCATTTTTTAAATTGTTTTCCCATCAGAAATAATCAAAGAAAATTAAATTACATTTAAATCCGTGTAAATAACCAAAGGAGCAGTTGTTTCTTGTTCTCTTGCCATATTAACTGCATCTAGAATTCCAGTATACATTGCTGAAATTGAAGTGGAACCATCGGGAAGACGTTGAAGAATGTTTTTTGGGTCTTTTAGTCCCCAAAACACACCTGCAAAAAATATTGTTAGTTTGATTATATTTTTAATAGGGAAGAAAACGCAAAACTTGAGATCTGATAATTCCTATTATGATAATGTTTTAATGAAAAACCAACTATCAAATTGAATATTTCATGGAAACAATTCTAGAATTTTTGAAACAGTGAGATTTTATATTATAAAAACTATAAAAATTGTTAATCGATAAATACCAAAGCTTTCCAATAAAAAATGTTTCTGAAAAAAACTGAGACTTTTCTATATAAATGTAGGAAATTTTTATTCAGTTAAATTGTTTTTGAAAAAAGCGAATTTGTCCCCAAAAAAATTAAACTCACCATATTTTGCAATAGTTTTACCGCGCCCATCTTTATAAGAATAACCAGTTGTCGAAACTTCAATTTTCCCTCTGAAAAAATGTTTCTTCATTTTTTTTTCAAAACAAAACATCCAAAAACTCACGAAAATAAGCGGCTAGAAGTGGATGGACCAAATACCCGAAGAAACTTCAAAGACATACAAAACCTTGAAAAATACACTGAAAATTTCCCCAATATTTACGAATTCTAGATAAAATATTGAACAGTTTTGGTGTACTGTAGAAACAACGTTCTTTATAAGAAACAAAAATATCAAGATTCATTTTTTAATTTATCTTTCAAGTTTTCAATTTCCTTGTGACATTTTTTGAAAAATTGCGATTCTTCAATTTGCAATTTCGCCGCAAATTTCAATCTGGCCGAAGTCTCATCAATTCTTTCTAATTTCATTTTCAACCCATTTTTGGCTGATTTTGTTGTTGTGAATAATTGAATCAAATCAAACCGCAATTTTTCTGAAAAATTAAAAAAAAGATGTTTTCCACGGGGAAAGGTCTAACCTTTAGATGGTTTATAAACTCCATTCGCAACTTTAACCACAACTTCATTTGTATTTTTCATTTGAATTTGTCGCATTTCATTATGAAGTGCCCAAATAATTCCATATAGAATTGCTTTGACTTCGACGGTGTATAAAGTTTCGGCTTCGTTTGAGAGAAGAATGTCCAAATCTCTGAAAATCAAAAAAATAATAGTTTAGTATTTTACGCGAGAATCCAGACAATATTCACAATATTCAGTACTTTCAGTCTAGAAACACCCTTTAAATTCTTCAAATATCCTTAATTTTTGTAATCTAAATATAGAATGAAAATATGAATTTCTCAGAGAAAAACCTTCGAATCCCACGAAATTCCACCTCTAAAAACGCACTTTGTTTCATCATTCAAACATCGAATCTTAACATGCGGTTTATTATAAATCTCCTCCACTGAATCCACTTTTTTCCTTCTCCATTCAGCCGGTCCCATTCTTCCCGAAACTTCCAAAATCGGACAATTCACCCAATTTCTTTTTATCATCACAGCTTTGACTAATTTGCTATCGATGTTTTTGGCCTTCAAAATGAGTTGCGAAATCGCAGAGATTCTGAAAATCGAACAACTTTGTATTGGAATTTTGAAAAAAAGAAAAACTCACTCATCCTTATTCAATATTTTCTGCATTCTAAAAAAATTGCAGGGTTAGAAAATATATAGAAAATGAATATCAAAGAGAAGAAAATGGATCAACCAGGTTAGTGAAAAATGATCAAGGAAAACATATATAATTTATGATAAATTCTAAAATTTTGTATACATTTGTGCACCTTTTCTAGCCAATTCATCCGCTTTTTCATTTCCATCAATTCCGCAATGCCCGCGAACATGCTCGAATTGAACCTAGAATCGAGAAACACTATTGTGAAAACAGCAACAAAAACACCACAAAAATACCTCAAGTTCTCCTCTCAATTTGTCAATTTTTTCCAGCAGATCTCGATTTTTGACAGGTTTTCCATCAGCCGTTTTCCATCCTTTTTTTCGCCATCCTAATATCCATTTATCGAGTGATTGAATGAGAAGATTCGAGTCGGTTTTGACGAGAACTTTTTTGATTCCTCGTTTGATAGCCTGCAAAAATACTGGGTAATTTTTAAGAGTTGAAACATTGTTTTTACAAAAACATTTTTTCGAGTAATGAACAGTTTTGACATGTCAAAAATATTAAAATTTTCATTTAAATTCCACTATTTCAAAAACAAAAGGAATCTGGGATTTTGTTCGATAAAGGTTATTGATTAATTCTCAAAAAAAAAACTCACAGTTTCCAATGCTTTCTCAACTGCAATAAGTTCTCCTCGATTATTTGTTGGTTCTCCATAAACCGGACCATATGAATTATCCAAATTATCATCTCCCCAATAAACTCCCCATCCAGCTTTTGCATTTTCTCGTCCATTATTTGAACAAGCACCATCAGTATAAACTATTGTGAAATCGGTTTGGCTGAAAATATGAAAAAAAAATCAAGTGAAAGATAGGTTTCAAACAATTTAAAATTCAAAACAAATTGTAATTTTTATGCAAAAAATTCGATGGACACTTTTAAAAAGAAATTTTCGAATTTATAGAAAACATTTTACTGTGAAAATACGTTTCAAAAAATGCTAATTGAAAACTTTTCAATTTTTGAACTGATTTATTTACTGGACATGAATCCTTAAAAATATAATAGATTTGCCTGATGGAATACGTTTCAAAAATTTTAAAGATAATTTTTTTCAGCAATTATTTTGATTTGTTTTTTGAACGACCATTTTATAATCAAAAGTTTTGAAACTAAACACTTTATTTTTGATTGAGAAAATTCTGAGATGTTGGTGTATTTATGGAAATTATTTTATAATTAAAAATGTGATGAACTAATAAATTTATCACGTAAAATTTAGAACACGAAAAGTCAGTAGAAGTTTTCCAAAAAATCCATTCCAAACTCACTCAATTTTCGCTCGTTTTTCTTCAACTTCTCGCAAACTGTCGTCATTTTTCGAAATCGATCTTTTTGCAGGTCTTCCAGAATTCGCCACATTTTTCGATGAAAAATTTGAAGTCGATGCTCCTCCTCCCGGAACACTCAAATTATCCGCAATGAATTTCCTAGCTTCACTTTCTGTCGGGAATTTTTTGAATCTGAATACATTTCCTAAATCAAATTTTTCACTCAATATTCAAAAATTTCTATAAAAAATGACGAACCTGGCATTTTGAAATCCCTTAACTTGTTCCGAACAGTCGGCCCAACTTCTATAAATTCCAACCGATTTCCCGCGCGCGACAGCATAGAAATCACCGCCTTTCCCCATTTTGACATAAACCCTAAATTTCAATTTTTCTCTGAAATTTCCCCTAAAAAGGTATTCAAATTGCCAACAACAATTATCAAAAAAATATCAGATTTTTTAATATGAGCAATTTATGAGGTAGATAAATATATGTAAAATTTCAGGCAGTATTTTTAAGTAGATTTTTATATATTAAAACTTTCAAGCTCGAAATATTTTCGAAAAATATTTATTTTTTCTTTTTCTTTTCGACTTCTTGAACTTCTTCGTTTTTACGTTTTGAGCCGGTCTTCGAATCTTCTGAAAAACATTAATTTTATGTTTGTCTTCAATTTTCAAAAACCAAAACGAACCGATTTGTTTCAAAGTTTTCCCCTCGGCAAAATCTTTCGCATCATTTTCATTGTCGAATTTTTTGAATCTGGCGCCTTTGAAATCAGAAGTGTTGGCTTTGCATTCATCCCAGGTTAGGAATCTGGAAAATAAATAATTCTCAAAATCTGAAATCTTTGGGGCACATATTTATCCTCAATCCCCAATTTCTACCGAAACTTACACTCCAGTTTTATGTCCTCTTGCCACTGCATAATATGTTTGCTCCTTCTTTTTCTCCACATTTTTTTCAACAGTTTTCTTTTCCTCTTTTGTTCTTATTTTTTTCTCCATCAATTTTTCCCTCATAAAACTTCTTGAAATACTCAATCGCCTCGTTCAAATTGTCAAATTTTTTATGAAGTGGTTGAGGATAACCAGCGATCTGAAAAATTGAAATAGAGTTTGAATTTGAAAATATTTCGAAAATTAGTGAAAACGCAATAAAGTTATTAAAAAATGAAAGCAAAATTGCATGCAAAAATAACATTACATGTTTCTTAACATCGGAATAATCCGTGAAAACTCCGACAACATTTCCGCGAGCAACTGCATAATATGAGTCATGAGTTGGTTCGGGAAATGCTACTGCAAAAATATGATTTTTGGTGGGAATATTTTCGAGAAACGAGGTTTCAATTTTTAATTATAGTAACGGAACAGCCCGTCATTCTAAAAATGACAATATATTTTTTTGGCTTCTAAGAATTTTTAATATACTAAAAAATCTTACACTCAATAGTCTTTGGTTTCCGCTCATCCACATATTGTTGAGCATCTTCTTCAGTTTCAAATTTCTTAAAAACCGGCTGTGGAAAGTCATCAATTTGTTTCTTTGCCTCATTCCAATCAGTGTAAACACCTCTTGCGAACCCATGAGCAACTCCATAGAATTTACTCATTTTGCTAACAAAATTCATTTTTCGATCTCTTTCGACTTATTTTAGATTCAGAGAAAAATTGGGTGAAAAAACCCATAATTTACAGAAAAAACAAAGCTCTCCAATATTATATTTATACAAGTATTCATTCAGTAAAATGTTAGTCTCTGAGCTCGGCGAGTCGTTGTGCAATGCTGTCAAAATCTTCAGTAACAGGTTCGCCAATCGATTGTCCAGGATTAAGATTGGCTTTAACAGCAAGCGGTGCTTTTCCGAGTTCTCCTTGTGTAACTTCCCACAAAATATTCTCAACTTCTTCTTGTGCTTTTTCTTCTAAATCAGCTGGTTCAACACTTTCCAAAGTGTCCTCAATCATTTCTTCAATTAGCCCAAGTTTCATCATTTCTTGTGACATTTCTCTCATAGTTTTCATGATTTCTGGGACTTTCACAAGGTTTTGCATACTTTTCATAACTTCAGTTGATTTTTGAAGTGCTCCAGCCATTCGCATTGTTGCTAATTGTTCTTGCATACACATAATCACTGAATTTATTTGCGCTTTTGACATGTGGATTTTACTGACTGCCTGAAAGAATATTATTGATGAATTTATGAAAGAAAAATTTGTTCACCTTTCTTGACTGAATAAGCGATTTGGCTAGAATAATACAAACTTCTTTATCACCTTTTTTAGCCGCATCTTTAATTTCTTTGGTGACTTTTTGCTCTTCTCTTTGAATCGAATAAACTTGTCTGTCGAGTCCACGCATCTCTTGTCGCATTTTTCTTTGCAACTCGCGAACCTGCTCTTTCGGATCTTTCTTCTTGCCAAATAAACCCATCATCTGAATATTGAAAAAATAAGAAATGAGTTGTCAATTTTATATAAAGGCACAGGGGTTTTATTACTACCGAGAATTAATCACGTACAAAACATTTTATCTGACGACAAAAAACCTCCGCAAACAGCGCGCTACGTGGCCGACAAAAAAAAACAATAGCGTGTGGCCGGCCTCGCGAGATGTCGGTCGCTGCAAACACACATATAGCCCGACTTTTTTCATTCTATTCGTGTGTCTTTTGAGCCAAAGGGTTTTCAATTTTCTTTTTGAAAATTTGAAAATCTAAGCTCCGCCCACATGTCTGTGCGGAAAAAGATGGGCGGAGCCAAATTGCTCGATTACAATTTTACATTGACTCGGTAGTGAAAAAACCCCTGTGTAAAGGTATTATTACGAAATTTATACAATGACTCATCTTTATACAAGAAAGATAACGATTTTTCAAATTGATCAACATTATTTTTTATTTCCCACTTGATTTTTAACATTTTTTTTTTCAAAACGGAAACACTCACTCGATTGCAATTTTTATAACGGCGAAAAAAAACGCAAAACAAAAAATGAAAAAAAAAGTAAATAAATAATGGCCGAGTTTTTTTTGCATGGCCTAGAAAACCAACAAACGCGCAACCCTGGCACACTTTTATTTTAGGACTCAAAAATATTGATTTTCATTTTCGTTTTTTTTCTCCCTTCCCCCTCCAAAATTTGTGTATTTTTCGTTTGAAAAAATAAATAATAGACAACCAGTTTTTCTCGTGACACGCCATATTCTCCAACAAAATGTTGCTAAAATTTTGATTTTTCAGGTAAACTAGGAGTATTTACACAATTTATGTCCATCGCAAATCTCAACAGACCAGCAGGTACTTTTGATTATTTATGATTCCACGTAATTAAGTTCAAAAAATTCAGACGCTTTCGAACAACTTGAAACCGAAGACGGTGTTCGACAAGGAGTTTGCCATATTCGTATTCAGCAACGTACAGGAAGAAAGACTATCACAACAGTGCAAGGAGTCGGAACTGAATACGATTTGAAGCGAATTGTTCAATATTTGAAGAAGGTAAGCAATAATTTTTTGAATGTTCGTAACCCGCTTTGTCTTTTGTCCTTCATTTGATTTTCACACACAATTTTCTTTTCTGTTCTGTAGACACTTGTTGGCATACATTTTCACTGAAATTAAAATCCTAGACAGAGCGGGGATTTTTCGATACTTTCCATTACCCAGCTTTTGATATTTTCAGTGAAAATGGTGCGATCAAGTGTTCGATTACTCGTATTTCTTTCAATTTTTCGTCTTGCATCAGTTTATATTGTTTCTTCTTGGTTTGTTCCTGATGAAATATATCAATCGTCAGAAGTTGCGCATAATTTAGTTTATGGAACTGGTCATCTAAGTTGGGAATGGAGAGCCTCACTCCGATCCTACTTTCATCCAGCATTGATTGCCGCAATTTATCAATTGATCAATTATATCGGCCTAGGATCATATAGCTGGATTATTTATAATGTTCCCCGAATTTTTCACTCTCTTCTATTCGTAGTTGCTGATTTTTCCTATTACAAGCTATGTAGAAGGCTTTGTATTACTAGCAAAATCGCTGATATGTCTTTTATTTCCTACCTCTCTTGTTGGTTTGTATTTTATTGTTCTTCCCGCACTTTATCAAATTCACTTGAAACTTCAATCACTTTAATTGCCTTATCCTGGTTTCCCTTCGAAGGTAAATTCTACAAAGGATCTACCTGGCCTTATATTGCATTAGGTATAATAACCATAGTAATTCGCCCCACTGTAGCTTTAATTTGGCTTGTTTTTGGCCTTTATCATTTATATTTATCTCCCAATCCGTTCCGCCTTATTTTTCGTGTTGTTGTCCCTGTCGCATTCCCGATTCTTCTGCTAACAATCATAATCGATTCTTGGGCGTATGGTCAATTTACGATCCCATTATGGAACTTTTTACAATTCAACGTGTTCCAAGGAGGAAGTGCATTTTTCGGAGTTCATCCATGGCATTGGTATTTTACTGCTGGAATTCCGACAGTTCTAACAATTCAAATTATACCAATCATCATCGGATTACTTGGTCCAAACATCTTCCGTCCAACACTTTTACCATTTTATGCCACATCATTATATATTTTGGTTCATTCATTCCTTCCACACAAAGAACAACGATTCTTGCTCCCAATTATTCCGCTATTATGTATTTATGCTGGAGGAGCTTTTCAAAATCTCAAAAAATGGCAGCCGACGGCAGTTGGAGCGATGATTTTCATCAATTTTATTGTTGTAATCTTCACTTCAAGATATCATCAAGTCGGTCCATTTGCTGCTCCAAAAAGAATAATTGAAGAATGGCGAGGCCCGGGACCAGTATCGATTGCCGCTTTGATGCCATGCTATTCTCTACCGGGACACGCTTATCTGCACAATGATCTGAAAACGCTTCGTCTCCTTGATTGCTCGCCGGATTTCGAAAATCTTGGAAAACTCGACGAAGCCGACGAATTCCACGAAAACCCGTTGAATTGGCTCATGTTCAAGTTTGAAAAAGAGCATAAGTTGTATGACCGAATATTGATGTATGAAAAGATTTATGAGAAAACACATACATGGTTCGATAAATTTGGATGGAATCAATGTATCGAAAAAATATGGCACTCCTTTGCACTCACTTCTTCAAGAGAAGATAATTATATGATTGTTTTATGCAGAAACGGGAACTCTGTCTAGCTCTGATTCTATCTATTTCACTTGTATTTTTTGTTTTGTTGATTCGGTTTCAGGAACCATAAACCACTTCTTTGATTTTTTTAATTGAAAAAATGAGTTTGTTTTTTCTAGAAACACAGTTGTAACGGAACAATCGTCGAACATCCAGAATATGGAGAGGTTATTCAATTGTCAGGAGATCAACGTGAGAAAGTAAAGGATTTCCTGATAAAGGTAAGATTTTATTTGAAAAAACTGCTTCATATCAAAATTTTAAATTAAAATTACATAGTAAAAAAATCCATGATTTCTAAATATTTCTCTTTTTCAAATCACAGACACGAATATCTGATAAATTATTAAAAACCCTTCAAAATTTTAAAAAGTTGTTGATGATTTGTTTCAAATCCCATTTATTTATACAGCTTGCTGCTTTCCCACTGAACAAACAAAAATTCAAATTTTTTCAGGTCGGAATTGTGAACGAATCGAATTGTCGAGTCCACGGTTTCTAACTTTCATGCTTCATCAATTTTCTCATTATTATCTGTTGGATCGTATTATCTTCCTCTTTTCTTTCGCTGTCAAACAAAGTAAATATTACAACTTTTATTTGAGCTAATTTTATATCGCAAAAAAAACTGAATAATTAAAAAAACGAAAAGAAAACATTCAAAAAATAATAATATTAATAACAATGCTATAAACCGGAAATACCCATAAAAGACTAGAGATTTGAATTTGCTAAATTTTCGAGGAAAAACAAAATTAAGAAATTTCGAAAAATTGCGATCTTCTAACAGCATTCAAATCTCGTCTTCTTGGTGTTGTCGCCTCTTCAATTGCACAAGTCGTATTCCGGAATCTTGAAACATTTCGATTTTCATCAATTTTCGAAAGAGCAGTCGAATGTCTTTGTGCTCTTTTCTCAATTGTAGTCGGTTGTTGTTTCCACGCATTTTTATCCCATTGAACAAAAGCCAAAGTACAAGGAAGATGTCCAGATAAAACCGAATGATGTGTTAAAAGCATTTGAAGACTTGCAAACGGCTTATTTATTGTTGATAATTTCAATCGATATCCATGCTCATTTCTGATGATCAAATAATGCGAAATTCCAGCTGGATTATGAGTTATCGGAACTCTCATAGACAAAGCCAAACATTTTCTCTTCGATTCTGAATATCTTATAACAAATGCTCCTTCGACTTGTGACAAAAGATTTCGAGTCAAACATTCTCTGCAAAAATTAACATAATTATATAAAATAATAAATAATTAATTATTGAATTCCCACGCAATTCAAAATATTCTGGGAAAAAAAGAGGAGAGTAATTACTTAAGAAAAGGAAGCCCTTCTAATTGGATGAGTTATGACAGCTGGAAGATGAGCATAAAACAGGTGCAAAGTTATTTGAAGAAAAATTAATTTTTGGATTGTTTGTTTTTAGGATTTGGGGAAAATTTTTAATTTGGAACTCGATCAAGTTGAATTCGAAAATCTTGACGGCCTCCACATGACTCTCGAAGCCTACAGTACTTTCTTCCCACCCTTTTAAACCTACAGTACCTACTTTCCCTCATTTCTAAAAAGAAATGTCTTACCTCGATGGAAGTCCAACAAAATAATTGCAATTTTCCAATTGTTGAGTGGTGGATTGATCAATCGGATAAATCCATTCTCCTAATTTTTCATCATACATCAACGAACTTGTTGAACTTGTTCCAGATGAAGAAGAAGCTGAAGCTGAAGATGAAGTCGAAGTTGTTCGATGTGATTCAAAATCAGAACCGATCGATGGAGAAGTGGATGGTTTTATTGGTCTGGCGATTTCAACAGTCGTCATCTGGAAAAAAAACTGTATTATAAAAAATTACACTATTTTGGTATATGTGTCTAGACTTGTAAAAAGTATTGCGCAACAAATTTAAGCTAATTTCTATTGAATACAGTTAACAACAAAAAATGCAATATAAACAAATCTTCCCAAAAATCTCGCATCAAAAAAGAAAAAAGCAGTTTCCGACGGCATGTGAATGGCTCTTCACACCTTCCTTTTTTGCATCTCACAAAAACACACCCCAAAACAAAACAGACATTATAAATTGGTTGACCCTTTTCTGGATCCAAACATATAATTATCTATTTTTAAGCGGAATCAAATTTCTTGGAGCGTTCGAATCCGAAGAAATATATTGCGCAATTCGAAAAATAATAAATAAATGGTGGAAAAAAAGAGGAAAAGGGAAGGAAAATATGATATTTTAATTGGTTCCGGTGGGAATTAATTAGAAAATAGATTGCGTTAAAATTGTGAAAAAAGGTTTTAGGACCAAAACTTTAAGTTAAATATTTTTCTTGACAAATTGGAATTCAAGAACCAGAAAAATTAGGCTTCAGGAATTAAAAGAAAAAATCTTGAATTTCAGTAATTTTTGCCTAGAAAAATTTCTGATGATAAATTTCTTTGAGAAGATATCTAAAATTTTCAAAACTCCTAACTTTTTAAGTTATTGAAATTTTTAAACATAATCAGATTTTTTTTTTCGAAAAATTCCACCTTTCCAAATTTCCAATACATTTTTCCTATCCCATTTTTCCTATTGTAAATCATATCACAATCCAAAAACATCTTCCCAAAGGCCACCAAAAATTCCCAATTTTTCACACCTTTTCTAATTTTTGTGCTAAATACCTGTTGAATGCTGACATCACAAAAACAACGAGTTTAGCACAACTTAACTAGATAAATAAAAAAAAAGGAATGGAAAAGGAAAAAGTAACGATGTGCTCATGGTTTTTGCGCAATATTACCATTCTTTGGTCATGTTTATTTGGAGAAAGAGAAAAAACTAGACTCAAGTATATACACAATATTATTTATATAAATTATTCTTATTATGTTTTATGAGCAAAAAAAAAAAAAGAATAGCCAACTTTTTCGGGGAAAATTATACGAGGAAAAATTTGCATCTTTCTAGATGATTTTTTGGTTCAAAAATACTACTAAAGATTTTTCTATATTTATATTAGGATTTAAAACTACAATGGGAAAAGATTTCATGATAGAATGATAAACTCACATGCTGCGTGAATTTTTCAGAACTTGAAAAAATTTATTTTGGGTCCATACTCAAGTTATTTTAAAAAAATCATCTAATAATTTCTACTGTTTCGAAATTTTTTGAAAATAAAATTAAGACTTCAGAATATGATTTCAAATGTATTGCATTTAAATTTAAAAATTAAAATTTCACGTGGTTTTTCTCAAATTCAGCCGAGTTTGGCTCATTTTTAGTTTTTGAACATTTTCCCTATTTAAAAAAAATCCCCCTTCACGAAAAAACTCACTCTTTTAGGTGTCATCGAAGTTGTCGAGTTGGATAATCGATGAATTGCCGACGAAAAAACCGCACTAACCGGGCGCCTTTTTCGCTTACAATTCGCATCTTCGGCAAATGTGGCGCCTTTTTTAGCACCCAAAAATTTGTTGAGAAATACTGTGGAAGCGGAACGCTTCTCACTCATTGTTCCGCTATTCATCGATACTTTCTGCAAAAAATAGAATGAATATTGATTTTCTGCGGATTTGGGGAAAGAAAAAGTGACACCTGTGACGGGAAAAAAGTTATGGCAATAAAAAATGTGCATTTTTCGGGTAAAGGAAGGGGGGGGGGGATATAAAGAGACTGCGGGATATTGTTGGGATTATTTTGGGGATGGGTATTAGGATGGATGCGGAAATTGTTCATACAATTTATTTTTATAGAAAAAAGGTAGTAACGGTGAAAAGATGAAACTAAGAAATTGTAGAATATTTCAAACAGTTAAATTTTTACAAATTAAATTGAATATTGAGTTTAAAAAATAGTTGAAAAAAACAAATTGCTGTTTCAAAACTTGCACATTATTTTTTGGAAAACTTAGGAACTAGTGAAATATTTGTGCTAAAATTTGAAGTAGGAAAAAGTAATAAGAGAAAGATTTCAATTGACAAAGTCATTTCAGATTTAGAATCGAAAAAAAACGGAAAACTTCCTCCGGAACTACTTAATTCAACACAAATAACATCCAAAAAACCACAAAACATTCAATCATTCAAAAAATGTGCCTATAAATGGGCGTGTCTTCGAGTTCTCCCGCTATCCAAAGCTCCGCCCACCCACTGACTGGTCGTAAACTCTTCCCCTATCCCCGCATGTCTCTGCGTCTCTCTTTCTCTAACACATGTTATGTAATAATATGGAGAGAGACAAAAATTACTGTAGGTGTTATGAAAACAGGTGAGATATAGCTAGGCTCAAAGCTTTTGTCGGCTCGATCCGAGGCTTGTAAAATGGGATTTGTGGGCAAGATTTTTGATTGATAGCCGCTTTTGAGATTATTATTGTTTTGTGTTTTTTTGGCGGTCACGGTTTACAACTCAGTCCGGAACAGGTGAAACCAACAACATTTTCAGATTTTTTTGGGAATCAAGGTCAAAAGGTTAGAACTCTTTGAAGTTCTCAGTCTTGAGAATATAAAAGCTCATGGTTTTCGAATCTTACAGTTATAAGATCCTCCAGATGTTAAGCCAGGAGTTTGAAATTTAGGAACTCTAAGACCTTATGACTAAGCTGTTGAAAATAAAAAAAAACATTGGGAAATTGGAGATTAAGGTTATAGGTTTTTAGGATTTGCAAGACCCGAAGGTTACAAAATGTAGAGAGAATATAAAAGTGAAATAAAAAGTACATTCCCTTTTTCGGCTCTCAAGACTACTCACCGTACTACTATTTCGATCAACGAGTTTCGGAGTTTTCGAAGAGGCGTCGGATTTTGTCAAAGTTTGAGCCTCGAACGCTTGACCCAACACGTTTTCAATTTCTTCGATCTGCAAAAAAATATTTTCATACAGTGTCACAAGTAGTCAGTTTTTCCACAAAGGACAAATTAATATCAATCAATGAGATACAGAATTCTCAATTCAAATACAATTTTGAAATATATATTTTTTGGAAAATGAAAGCCGCAATTTTGAGAGTGAAAAATGAAAAAAATAAACAAAATTTACCGTCGAATTCTAGATGTATCACTATTAGAAACCTATCAATTATCAAAGATTGCCGAGAATCAAAAATCATATGAAGATTTGAAAACAGTGAACGTCTATCTATGAAATTTGATAGTTCCGGAAAATCGTAAAAAAAAATAACAGTAGCTTGCTAACGCGAGAGATTTGAAACAGTAAAATTCTGAAAATTTTCGAAAATGTATTTCTCAATTAGATTAGAAACCACAACAAGTCAAATTCTCCTTATCTCACCCAAAAATCATTTCACAAATTCTCCAGAGATTCAATTTTCTCTGGGTTAACTATATGTACATCGTGTTTCTCACTCATTCATTATTCATTGGACAAAAAAGCGAACAGCGGAAAACGAGAAAAGCGCTCACTCGCGGGTTATCTGATTTTGGACAAATTCCAATCTGATTTCGGCGGGGGGCTGGCACCATTTCTCACCAGCCAGCAAAAATCTAATTGGGGTTATGTAAAACGAAAAAAAGATAGATCAGTATCTATAGAAAACTCTTCACACTTCTTCTCATTATTTTTTGGTTGAATTCGAAATGAAAAGTAAAAGTGCAAGTCCATAAAAATTTGTTCACAAACCGAACAAGTGTTCATTTTTTGCCCGCGCGGCTCTTCGTTTTATCACCCGCTTCAATGTTTTTTTTGAATAGATGAAGAAGGAACATCTGTAGACAGATGTGAAAGAGAAAAAAGAGGAAATGTTAGCCAGACTTGTAATGGGGTAGAAAATGAGGAAAAAAAGAACATTTTTTTGGAGTCGATTTGGATTGGATTGAGTGCGGTTTTACACGATTTTTATTCGAATGATGATTGATTGACTAATTGTGGGGGAAATTGAAGAATTGAGATGGGATTTGTGGTCACAGATGTTTGAGTTTGAAAAATGGCTAGGAATAGAAAAGAAAATAGGGTTCAAGAAATATGTTCAGGAATTTTGGATTTGTGTCAGAGATAATCAAGCATTCAGATTTTTTATTCCACAGACCAAACGAACGTTTTTTTCAAAAAAGTATATATACTCAGAAAACGTCTCGTCAGCCGTCCGCGAGGTTGCGAGCTGTCGAAAGCTAGCAGAGGCATTTCGACAGCTCGCCGCGAGGTTGCTAGCTGGCAGAACCTAACAGACGCTGTCTGCGAGCTAGCAAACTGACAAATTAGTATCAGAATTCGACGGCCGTCTGCCGGCTCGCGGACGGTTGACGAGACGTTTTCTGAGTAACAAAAATTAGAAACAGTAATTAAACAAATAGAGCTAACGAAAAAAGTCACTGTTTCAAAAAATATAGAAATTTTTTTTTTAAAATTTTTGCTATTGTAACTGCATCTCTTAAAAAAAATAACTTCTAACAGAGCTTGAAAAAAACATAGAAGAAAAAGCGTTGCTCTAATATTTTCCTAATTCTCCTCAAAATTTGTGGGATTCTAATTTGAACCAAAAAAAACCTCATGTCTCATAATTTCCTAAATGAAAAAAAAAACAAATTCAAAAAACTCTAACATATTCAAAAAAGCGAAAGAACACCATAAAAAACAAGCGTGTACATAAATATCAATAAAATTCATATAAAACGAAATGGTGCGACGATGGCGCAGAAAAAAAAAAACATTAATGGTGTTTTTAACTAGGTGTAGAAAAAAACGAAGCGAGGATGCCAATGGCAGGCGCCAATGTGGCGCCAGAAAACGAACCAGAAAATTAACACCAAGAAAGTGTCAATCCTATCCACACCTTTCACTAACTAAATCATCAAGAAATAAACAAACACAATGTATGGTTCTTGTTATCAAATAGATGAATCTAGTCGATAAATCAACTCTCAATGTTTATATTATCACTTTACTGTTTTTTGTCTGACATGTGTCAACTCTTTTCTCTTCCCATTATTATTCTTTTGAACAGTATGACATTTTATACTAGATACTATAGATAGTTCAGAGGGTTTTTGAATGAGTACAAAAGTGTTTTTCTCGACCACCCAACCTTCAAAAAAAGGTAACAAAAAACCGCCTTTTTCTGAATCATCCATGACTTTTTCTTTCTCTTTGTGTGTCCAGCTTTTGTTTGAGAAAAATGAGGAATTTGAAAAAAAAAGAGAGAACTGTACATTTTTTGCTAATAAGCAACAATCGCTTGGAACAACAAAAAATACGTTTCAAAATGGTTTCAGAAAAAATTTCCGAGAATTTTTTTTTGATATTTTTTTGGGAATTTGTTCCAAATATGAACAAGCTCTGAACAAAGAGAACATCAAGATTCTCAAAAACCGGAGAATTAGGAAAACCGTAAAAATTTTGAAGTCTTCGAAAATCGAATATCAGGAGATTAGGTAACTATTTGACAATTTCTGTGCAGAAAATACGAACATTTTGAAAATATTCACAAAGTTTACTTCAACAACCGCAAAATCGAGAAATTTCCAGTGCAAATCTGCCACGTGGCCTAGAATTCCAAAAATCTTCAGTTATATCTTAACTTCCTAAACTCATTTACAATTCCTAAATCAACGCAATTTCAATTTCCGTCACCTTTGGCAACAAAAAAGGCTATAATCATAAATCTCTCGATTCACCAAAATTCTCCCTGTTTCTTGTCAAATTTGACATTATTTCTCCTTTTCAAATCGTAAATCTTTTGATTTTATGTGTGTGACTTCGAAACGGTGCCTAATGGTCTGAACAACAACCAATTTGTGACCTTTGACAATGCAAAACAATACCAAAAAAAATATTTGAAAAGAATGACAGAAAAAACACTGTTGAAAAGAAAATGAAAAAGTGGGACAAAACTTTTTTTTTCATTTTCATTTTCAAGATTCGTTTTCGTCACATAAATCATGTTGGACGAGGAACGAAGAAAAAGTACAACCTCATCTAACAAGATAGATAAAAATCTTCAGTTTTCACAGTGGGTGGTAAAGAAAGGCTTACCTGATATTTGTCGGCGGCTTGAAAAACATGACAAAGTCGACGATAGGTTCGACCGGCTGGTTCTAATGCAATATATGCAACTTGTTTGGAATTCGGACGACCGACAACACTACAAACTCGCCGCAATGAATGAGACATTATCATTGTCTGGAAAAATATAATAATGTTTGCTGGAAATTATAGAAACTTTATTTTTTGTTCTTAAATAATCCAATTTATTGAAAACCTTTCTAATTTGGAAATGTTGAAACAGTGAAACGTTCTAACGATAAATTTGAGTCAAATTGGTTTTGAGATGCTTATAGAAAATCTAATTCACACCTGGCGAGAGAGTGTCCTAAAATTTTTGTGCAGCGTGGAAATTTTGCAAAAAAAAATTTGTGCAGCGTGAAATTTTGAATTTTTGAAAATTTTCATCAAAATCGGCTGAAAATCTATGAAAACTACACGTTTTTCGGAAAAAAAAATGTACAGTGTGACCTTTGAAAATTTTAGTACAGTGTCCATTTTGGACAAGTCTCGTCAGGTGTGATCTAATTGAAAAAAACGGAAACTGTGAATTTTTGAGAAAAAATTTTCTGGAAATCACTAGAGAATCTTCGATTTCTAAAAGCCAATTTTTATTTAAAGAATTTTGAAACTGTAAACTTGTCAACACTCACAACTGAACTTCTTAATTTTTTTAATAGAGCTAATACTAACAATGTAAGCTTTCCAAAATTATTTTTTTTATTCCCGCAATTTAACACCCAGATTTACATGAAAGTTTTGAAACAGTGAATTTTTGAAACAATTTTTTTTGGTTTGCAGAGTTTTTCTGGAGAAAACTATATTACAGTATTTATTATTATAGTTTTTAGACATGATGTTCTCAGACAGAAATTACACACAAAAAAATTCGGAAAAAATCGTTTGCAGCTGCGATTACTGTAGACCTCTAATTCTGTAGACACATATTGTTTTTATAACTATAACTTCAAAAGCTACAGTAACCCAAAATTCAAAATGTTCTTTTCCGGCCTATTTTCACACACCAAATTGCTACATTACAACTTTTTCTCACGTTTAATTTTATCAACGATATGTAAATTGTCTGTTCCGGGCGGAATGATAAAAAACGTAGGGATCGATCAGAAACCAATATTTGAATCCAAATCTTCCCCAGAAAAATAGTAAGATAATCAATCAAAATTGACAATCATCTGGCAACAATTCAAATAACCTTTGGTTCTTTTTTTGCTTTTTGAAAAATGTGATTCTACCAGATTGTTGGGTAACCTATTCTATCCTCATCCTCAACCTTGAACCAAACAAACTTAATTAATCTTATCTGTCAAAAATCGGAAACATATCCCCCAGTTGTTTCCTCGCCAAAACAATATTGCGTAATTAAACATGACATGTCTTCTTCTTATTTTTCTCTCATCATCATTCAAAATTACATGTTTCAAATATATGTTTGAAACCTGTCAAAAGAATTTGAATACAATAAAAAAAATACATAAATAATTCTGGCAATTAAATATGAATGTGTGTGTTGTCGGCACAAATTCCATTGCTCATTTTTTCGCTTCATTAATAATGTAAAGGAACATGTGTGTTGCGCGACATACGGTAATCTACTATGTGTTCGAAAAAAGGAAAAAGAACAATAGAGACTTTTTGATTTTTACCGATTTATTATGGACATTGTGAGGTAATTTATTAGCAAGGCGGATATATTTGAAAATTTTGCTGTTTCGAGAAATTTACCATATTTTTGGGAGGTTGAGAGTGAAACATTTTTGCTTTTTCTAATATTTTTGATAAAACATGAAAACTAGAAGTGTAATACTTTGAAGATATTTTTTGCTGTTTCAAAAAATTATAATATTTATGAAATGAACAGTTATTATGGCGAAAGAAACTAAAATTTGAAAATTTTCCAATGAATTTTTTCACTGTTTCAAAAAACAAACAATTTTGTTCAAAAAATTGCTGTTTCAAAAGACCTAGAAAAAATCTCTTCTACTCTTCGAAAATATTTGTTTCAAAAACATTCTATTTGATATTGTTCTTCCAAGTCAAATTAATGTCATCTTCCCCCTTTTTTCTCTTTCTATATTCCCCGTCAATTTTTTACGATCTTCATCGCATCGCATTTTTATGAGGTTCATCATGTCATCGGGCAAACCTCTTTCAAATCATTTTTTATATGTTTCCGCCTTTTTTGAACCTCTCCTTTTTATGTCACTAAATAATGAATTGCATCACTCATTACGACTCTATTCAATGGGAAACAACACAAATTTTCTATTTGAAGTTTTTTTTTGAAAGAGAAAACTAATTCAAATATTTTCAAAAACATACCTGCTCACAGCAAACTCTGACACCAAGAAGTGAAACCGATAATTCGACATTTTGTGCCAAATTTGATGGTTGAAATTTCTCAAGGCGTTGTCCAATATGATCCGCAGATACATTTGAGATTGGAAACGAGCCAATGTACTGAAAACAATTTTTCAAATATTTTTGTTAAAAAAATATGTGGATTTTCGGATCGGCCCTTCGTTATCAACAAAAATCTGGCGGTCCTGTTCTGATTCAGTTATCTAGGCAATCAGACCCGATTCAAAAACATCGGGATTTTTTCAAGATAAACAAAGAGCACTTGAACTTAACGAAACTGTGTCCGATGGTCCGCTGGACAACTACTTGACACACTTTGACATGGTTTTGTTGTAAGCCGAGAATTGGGTAAATATTGGATTGGAGGAAGAAAAAGAAGAAGATTTGATGAGGATTAATTTGAGGATTGGGTTTCATAGGAAAGAATAGATACAAAATATCTACTGTTTCAAAATTTGCTGTTATGGGTTTGAGAAAAAACAACTTCGAGTTCAACCCTTGATATTATCATCTATCCCCGTAACATCAGAAATCTAGAGCTAAAATGTTTTCAGTTTCGAAAATTTACGATAGAAAACGATTAAATAGATAAATTTAATTAACAATTTTAAAATTTTCCAAAAAAACCACTTTCACTGAAAAAATACGTTTCAAAATATTCAAATAGGTAATAATAAAATGTACGAAAACTTCAACTCATAGCCCCGGAAAATTTTTTAATATTTTAGAATTTCCTGAATCTGGGTTTTTGGAAAATAACGTTTCACTGTGGGGTTTCAGAAAAAAATTTTTAGCCAACAAAAAATAATTTTTTCGAAACCCCAATTTGATACATTATTCGAAAATAATCCAAGTCTGATTCCAAATCTATTGTTCCAGAAATAAGCCGATTCCTAATTATTTCCTTCTCCTTTTTATTCAAAAACATAATTTTCCAATTTCCTCGAGCCTAATCCTCAAGCTCAAATTTTACAATCCTCCGACCCCAATTTACAACTCCTTTCTCTCAATTTTCCTCGCCAAAAACAATAAAAAGTTGTAAATCGGCAGAGGACAACAATGAGGAAGAAGAATTCAAAAATTGAAACCTGATACTCTATTTTTGGGGCTGGCTCATCTTTTTATTTTGTTGCTAACAGCTTTGCTTTTGATCAGCTGCGAAAAGACGAGAGAGTATGAAAAATCGAGAGAGCAGCAGAGATAGGTTAAGTAACAGGTGTAGAATTTGAAGAAGGTGCAGAAAAAGGTTATATTTAGGGTGTGGTAATAATAATAATTATTATTATGATGAGTAGAAAAATAATAAGAATAATGAGTGCTTATTACGATTATTGCGCTGGGAAAATTTTTTGAGGGCAATATTTAGTGATGTTTTTGGCGCCAAATTGTAAACATTATTTTTTAAAAAAGTTAGTGTTTGTGATCAAATTTTGGAGAAGAAAAATTGCAATTCCACAAATACACGTGGTACTTTTTCTCAAAATTTTCTAACACAAAAATTCCAGATTTTTTCGAGGAAAATTTTAAAGTGGCAAACATGGGCCTTGAAAAACTAACTTTTTTTTTCAAATGAATCTACAAATTGAGAAAAAGCTTTAAAAATCCAGCATATTATTTTCGAATTTTTATCTTTACCGAAAACTTTTTTGCTTTTCAAAATTGGAAACGTTTATGCCCAAATTACTTTTGATAAAGTTAATTTCAGGAAAATGACTTTCAGATCCATGATGTTTTTCTTATTTTATCAAAATGTTTCCCAAAACTAACCTGAACATTCCATGACAAAGCAAAGTGTGGCATTATTTCTTCGTTGTTGTTGTTGTTACAGTTGCTCAAAAAGTCGTCTTCTTGCTCAAAAGATTGCTCTTCAAGTCGATTCAAATCAAAATATGAATAATCTTCGTAATTCGAACAACTATGTCTAGTTGTATTAGTTAATTGCGAATAAAAAGTTTGATCAGTTTCTGTTCCGATTTCTTGTTCGGCTAAAGGGGCGGGGCTTGTTTGGAAAGGGGCGGAGCCAAGTTGTTGGCATGCGGCCAACGAATGTCGCAATCTGGAAACAACCGAAATAATGAGTAGATAGTTGGAGGAATGAGGGAGGAGGAGGAACATTGATTTGACAAGTTACAAGTTTGAGAATTACGCGGAATTTAAAAAAAATCGAAATATTCATGAATTTTTGGAACAAAAATGTTCACTATGTTTTTTTTCAAAGAATATAGCAAGATACCAGATTCCAAATGTTTTTCCACAATGAACAATCTTTATAAGAAAATTTCGAAACAGCAAAATATTAACAAAAAATATCTAGGAGGTTGAATTAACAGTCTATGGAGTATAATGAATTTAAAAAAAATATATTCTCATATCAAACAATTTTGAAACAGTAGATTTTTCTAAAATAAAAAGTTTGGAAGAGAAAAACTTATTTATTAATAGATTTCGAGAAATCTTTGAAAAAGTGTAATTCATTCAGAGTTTATTGGATTTTTTTCAAAAATAAATTTTCAGAAAAAATTGATTTTTTCAACAAAAAAAAAAACTGGGAAACTTTGTAGAAAGACTATGAAAGAACACAAGAAAGAACGATTCAATAAAAATATGTTTCCCTATCAAACAATTTTGAAATAGTATATTTTTAAAAAATAAAACTAGGTTGACATAAAACATTTTATCTACCAATTTTTCAGAAAAATTTGATTTTTGAACAAAAAATTCTAGAAAACATTATTGAGCTGTTATGGGCGGCAATAATTATTTTAAAACACTTTCTCCTTTTGAAAATGTTTGAAACAGTGAATTTTTAAAAATAAAGCCAGATGGAAAACAGAAAAAATATTCGAGAAATTTTGGAACCGTATATTTTTATTTCAAAAATTCAAATTTTCAGGACTTTTAATATTTGAATTCAGAAAAAATCTGAAGATTTGCGAATTTCGAATTATTTTTGTGAAAATGTTCAAAATGCCAGAAGAACATTTTTTATCCAAATTTACGAACACATTTTGAAACAGTGAGTTTTTCAAATGTTTTTAAAAATTAAAATTTACCTTTTCTTATCCTCTTTTGACATATCATTTGGCGATTTATTGAAATGATGAAGAAACGAAGATTTGAGTCGGCTATACATTCCAATCTGAAAAAATAATTCCTCATTTTCGATTTTCAAAATTGACCTTTCCCTCCAAAACATCAAAAAACATCTGGCCAGGTATCTAAATAATCCAAAAAATCAACATTAAAATATATATGTATCATATCTAATCTGTGTTGTTTTTTGTGTTGCGGCTTTTTATGTTCTCAAATATTGCGTGACTCTTTTATTAACTTATGAATATGACAAAAAAGGAAAGAAAACTGTAGCCGACTTGAATAAATATGTAGTTTTAAGAAAAGGAGAAAGAGATACACGCAATATTATAATACCTTTTTGTCTTTCCTTTTTCGGAAGGAAAAGGTGTTTATGAATTATTTGTTTTTGACACGAGAATATCGAGTTACAGAAAAAGGTGTCGGGGGTGGATTTTTTGAAAAGCTTCGGGTAGATGGATACTGTTGTTTTGGAGGAAAGTTCAAAAAGTTCAAGATTCCTAATGATCTTGGAAAGACCTTAAATCTACAGTACTCCTTTCCAAAAAGAACCCTAAAATGCTCACCACGTGGTCAAAAGTATACTTCCCATTAATTAATTAACTAACACCAAACAAAAAGAAAAGCCATCTTCCAATAAACTCATCTCTGTCTATTTTTCCACACATTATCTTATTATTACATCAGATATCCCACAGGGTGACAAAGTTATATTATATTATTAGAATAGAATAATAGAAGAAAAGTGACACCAAATATGGATTCTTATTTATTTTTAGATTTCAGACTTACTTGTTATGAGAGAAAGCAAATTGAGAAATGAAGTAAAATTTAATTTTTCAGAAAAACAAAAACATTTTGGAGAAAAAAATGTGTCACGTGGAAAAAAAAATAAATTGAATCATTTTAAAAAATCCACAGAATTTGAAACGTATTTCAGCCAGCTCAAGTTGAAGCTAGCTTTTTTGAAATCTAATTTCCGCAACAAAAAAACAACCCAAATTCTATTTTTATATTTTTCCGGAAACTGGAGGAAAATATTTTTGTAAAAGTTTTCTGGGAGCTCTGTAAGTTTTGAAACTTGAAATATCAAATATGTGAAAATTTGAAAATTATTCTGAGTGAATAATTTCTTGAAACTCTATTCCGTATTTCTTCCAAAATTTGCAAATTCCTCATTAAAAATCCGTGCCAAACTACTAATTGCGTGACATAATAAATATTCATAAAATCCGTCAACTCAACACATCAAAAATTACGCAATTTTCATCCAAAATTTTGAGACCTTTTTAAAGTATCATCTTCACTCATATTATTATTCTAATTAAGTGCATTTGATTGAGATTAGTCACAAAATAATGTGTCATATTTACATATTGTAGAAGTATAAGTACTTCAATATAACCAACCGGGAGATCTTTTTTACGCAATCACATATTTTTGAGCAGAAAAAAAGGAAAAAGGAACATACCTCGCAAAAACCAAATATTTATTGTTTTGTTCGAAGTTGGAGGGATTTTCTGTTTTCTGGAAAAAAAGTGGAATTTTAATTCAAAAGGAACAAAAGATATGTGATGAATGAAAACGAAAACTTGAAATCGGTTTTGTTTTTTTTTTGGAAAATAAAAGAATGAGAAATCGGAAGAAGAAAAAAAGAGAAAAGTTAATTAGAGAAATTGATTCGGGTTACTTTTGATAATGAAAAAAATCAACAAAAAATTGTTTTGTGTTCCCAAAATCTTATGGGAAAACACACAATTTTGGGAAAATTTCACTGTTTCAAAGTTTTGGGTAAAATTTATTTATAAAAAATTTGATTTTTTCAACAATGAAAATCTTACTGTTTCAAAATAATTTTAAGAAAATGTCTGGTCAGATAGTCATTTTTGTATTTCCGTACAGCAAACTATTTCAAAATTTTGGGCAAATATTTCAGTTGTTCTCATAGGGAATGAAGCAGGCTAGAAAACTATGAATATTATTTTCAAAATATAAAGGATTTTCAGACTTCGTTTTCAATGCTTTTGGGAGAATATATGGGAATACCTTTTTCAAAGTTTCAAAATTGTTAGAAATTCTATGTACATATCAAAAATGCACCAATAGAAAACCAACAATTTATAAATCTGATTGTGAGGTTTGGATTTTTGAAAGATTTAAAAACAAACCACCCAGTCAAAGAAAGAATTCCAAAACCCAGACACCAAATGAAAAATGAAGAAGAAACAAAAAAACCTCCGAAAATGAATCAAAGACAGGTGGTTTGACAATAGAACATTTTGTTGCTGCTGCAAAAATCAATCTTCCTCTCACAAGAAAATGAATAATAATTTTCATTTTCCTCGTCTCAAAAATAAATGAATCATGGGAAAAATTCGGAAATCCAACTAATTAATACTGGATATGCATGTTGTGTTCAAAAAGATTGAGTTTCAAAATTAAAATGTGTGAGAAAAAAGTAATAAAAATGAGTAAGTAAGAAGCAATAAAGGAAAGAAAGAAAGAAAAACATGGTGCAATGATATAATGCAAATATTCACAAGATAGTTGAAAGCAGCCGAACCCTATAATTAAAAACCGATTTGATTTGTTCAAGAAAAAAAAAGAAATGCAAAGTCAAACAAAATTTGGAAAAGAGAAAAAACAAAAAAGGATTGCCGCGCGCCCAAATTTTTATTGGTTTAAATTTTATGACAAAACTTTTTTGTCTGAGGTAGGTAAATGCAAGAATTTGGAATTGAAGTTCTAATTTTTATTTAAAAGTAATACGTTGAAAATGTAGAACATCAGAATGTATTGTCAAAATTTTAAAAATACTGTATTCAAAAATTTAAGACTTGAACAATTGATGAATTTGAAGCTCAAGAACATCAAGAAAAATTCCACGTGGCAAAAAAACCATCATTCGAATGAGTTTTAACATTCAAAAAATAATTTTCAAAGCCACGTGACAAGTTTTTTCTATGCAATTTTGAGTGAAACCTATTTTAACATGAAAATTCAAGAAAAACTTCGAGCTAAATTTCGTTCGAGAAAAATCTAAAAATGACATGTGATTGAAAAAAAAGATTTTTTCCGAACATTCATCGTGGCTCAAGTATGCTAACTTCGAAATTCCTAAATCAAAAAAGTGTAAAAAATTTCTGTACATGGGGGCACAATATGCTGAATCATCAATCAAATCAATCAAAAACCAATAAACTTATATTTTCATAGAAAAAATAATAATGTTTACCAAATATAATATAAGCAATTAAATCAAATCAAAAAATACAAAAGATTTCAATTGGCCCAAAAAAGGTGCAAGCAAGCAAGAAAGAAAAAACTGGAGACAATTAAATCAAACACACTCGACAAAAGCCAAACCCAACTGGGAAAAACAAATATTTTCAAGGTGCCAATTTCGGTCAAGTATTTTCCGAGACGAAGAAAATATCAAATTTCCTTTATTATTTTATTTCTAATGTGTTATTGTTGTTGAACTTTTGCTCGTGAACTTCTTTTGAAAAAAATATATATAAAAAAGGAGAAGCATGTTCAATCTCCTAATCAAATTAAAATAAATAATGTAAATAAAAAAGTCCGGTTTGGCTATTTGTTTATCCCTAATATGCTATTAATTAATAATCACGCATTTTCTTGTCACAAGAAGCTTGATTAAAAGAAGAACGAAAAATATTTATGTCATTTTTTCTTTACCAAAAACATAAATATTGTTCAGAAAAAGCAATAAACTACCGCCAAAAACTAGTGATATCATGTTAACAAGAACAAGAAGAAAGAAGAGGTCAAATAAAAAATAAGATATGGTTTTGTTGGTTTTTTTTTGTGTGTAAATAAATAAATAAAGCGATAAATCAAAAGGGTTGCAAAAATTTAGTGAACAACTTTGAAAATTTTCGACTAAAAAACTGAATATGAGCTTTTCAATCGAATCTGATTCTCAAAAGAGGACGAGACGGTGATTTTCCAAGGTAGTACTAGCCGAAGTGAAAAATTGAAAATTCTCAAAAATTACTGGAAATTAGAGAAAAAACTAGAGCAACTAAATTTCCGAAAAAAAACATGCGTCACGTGATGTCCCAAAAACAGAACGCCTATAAAAACACAAAATTGACTGATTCAGTTCATTTATGACTACCAATACCAAGCTTTTTATTGAAAAAGACAAGTTCGAAGAAGAAAACAAACAACAATGTTAGGCAAAACAATAACAATTGGATGGATTCTGCTAGCAATCGTGTCAAAAAATCAAATCGAATCAAATAATCAACTTCCAACACAATCAACAGCATCCGTTGCAACAGTAGCAACAACTGTAACTACTGTAACTACTGTAGCAACAGAAACATCAACTTCAGCGCCAACGCAACCACCACCACCAACACCAGCTCCACCTCAAACTCCACCTCCGCCTCAAACTCAAGGACCAATAAATCCACTAGCTCAAGTTCAAACTACAACTTCTGCTGCCAAAAAATTAAATGGTATCAAAAGAAGGTGAGGACAAGTGATCTATTTCCAAAAATAAAACACTCAATTTTTTGCAGAAAAGGATTTGCTGTTCTTTTTGGAGCAATGACTGGTGTTGTCGTTTTTCTCAATTTGGTCTATGTTGGATTATTTGTCTGGTTGTGTATGGTTTTGAAAAAACAGATTGCTTGAGTCGATTGAATAAAAGTTTCATATGCAAGAATTTTATATGAAAAATATATATAGCGCACTTTTTTAAAACAACAGTGATTTTCAGAATTAATCTCTTCAGAACACAGTAAACAAAAAAAAAATAAAAAATCTCAAATTTTTTTTGATTTTTGAAAAACAATATCCAGATTTTTCTAGAAAATATGTTCTGAATACTAAAACTCACAATTTTCTGAACCAGAAACTACAGTAATCCATGAGATATTCATATCAAAAAAATCCAAAATTTGCAGATGTTCCTTTAAAGTACCGTAATTTTAACCACAAAAAACCCTGAAAGTTTCTCGAAATAAATCACAAAACTTTTGTATCACGATTTTCAAAAAAATAAGTTTTTCAAACATTGAAAAAGAGTTTTCTCGAAAAAAAAACATGGAAAATAAGAATATTTGTCTTGTGAATAAGTTATGTATTTTTCCTATTCCTTGTTTACAAAACATTATTTTATTTTCAAAAAGAGAAAAAAAAATAAAGTGATACGAAAAAAAACAACATTTTTTTCGATATAAAAAATGTCGCGGGAGCCAACTGGCAGGGGTCAGTCAATTTGATCGAGCGGGCGGAGCACAAAAAGTGCCGGTTAGATTAATGATGGGTTAACTTTTGAACAAAAAGTCAAAAAAAGTCGGAAAATGAAATTTATAGGTAAAGGTCCACTATACTAAACAGCAAAAAATCCATTATTTTTCTCAAGATGCGATTAGCCAAGGAAAAAGAGGAGAAAATATTAATAGGTTTTCTGAAATTTTTTTTGAAAAGCTTTTTTCAAACATTAAAAAAATGTTAGAAGAAAATGAAGAAGAAGCTTGGTGAGAAAATGATGATTTCTTTTGTTTGTTGTAAAAGCAGGATTTATTTTTCAAATGATAATGAAACATTCCATAAATAAACCTGCTTTTCAAATTATTAGCTTTGTTAGTTATCTCGAGAAAAAAATTAGAGAAAAAATAATACTAAAAAACAATTGACCAACTAAAAAAAAGAAAAAGATTGACAAGTTATACTTTTTCTTGGTTACTTTTTGGCTACACAAAATAAACGAGAAAAAGTATCAGAATGATGACTAACTTTCACCAAAAAAAAGAAAAGGTCACTTCCTTTTTTGAACCAAAAAATTGATGATTTATTTTTTTGGTGGAAAAAATTGATAGTATAATTTTGGTTGTCGATGGATGGGGAAAGATATGATCGGTGTTGGAAAAAAAAACAGCGGGAGGTGCGAAAAATGATGGATTTATGATTTTCAAGTTGAATTTGGGGGAGAGAAGGGAACCTTGAGAAAAATTTTTGAAATTTACAATTAGAAATAGTAACTTTGAGTTATATTGAATCCCCATTTAAAACGTGACCTAATTTTATCGCCGAAAAAACTAGAGCACTCGCCGCCTCAAAATTCATTCATTTCAAAATTTTATAAATATAACAAAATGTCAGTCTGGTGTCAAATTTGTAATGAAATGAAACCTTGCGACGAGGCGATCCAATTAATTCCATGTCTGCACACATTTTGTCGCGCATGCATAAAAGAACTTGGACGAAATCAGAAGAGTTGTCCATCGATGCATTGTTATTCGAATATCACTCCGCCAGATTTGGTGATTAGTACTTGTGAAGGTGAAAAATGTCAGAAGAAAGTGACGACGGCGCCAGAAATGTTGAGAACTGCTTGTAATCATGATATTTGTCAACATTGTTTTGATATGGCTTGTCGGAAGTGAGTTGGAAAAAAGAGCAAAACCTAACATTTTGGACACATGTAATTCATAAGACCAGAAGTTTCCGGAGTTATCTGAAGTCGGAAAAGTATTATCGAACTGACAAGGTTTTTCGGAAACGAAAAGTTCGCCTAGTCATTCCTTTTCCGATGTAATTTCTCGTGAATTTTGATCGCTTCAAAAATTCTTACAAGCACTCAATTCTAGTCCTAAAAACCATTGTCATAACTACAAGAAAATGCGAATTTTTCGAGAATAAATTTCTACGTCATAACTTGAAAGATCAAACATTCTTACAATTTTGCCCAGAACCTCCCTCCCAAAGAATCAGTAGACATTAAATTTCTTACAATTTTCAGAGAAAAACTAGCGTGTCCTGCGCCAAATTGTGGTGAGCCAATGATCGATGATGAGGATTTGATTTGCGACGGACCTTGTAAACAAATCCTGGTTCACGATAAATCAGTTACAATTCCTTGTTGTGGTGCAAAAATGTGTGAAGATTGTGCAGCCAACAATACAAAAACATCAGATTTCTGCCCGCCTGGGAAGTGTATTATCAAGGAGACTGGAAAGAAAAAGAAGTCAGATATGGTAGAACATTCCCTTATTTTCAGATAATTTCATCAATTAATTTGTTTCCAGCAAACTCGTCACACTTGTCTGTGCACTTTGAATTGTGAAGGTGAAGTTCTTCGTAATTTCCCATCGGAATTCGAATGTGAACACGATGTTTGTATTGGATGTATAACTGCAATGTTGAGTGAATGTGAAAAGAATGGAAAATCACCGTGTTGTCCGAATAAAACGTGCGGAATTCCATATCGTTGTGAAAGTGTTTTGGCATTACGCGCCCAATTTCCGGATAAAAAGGATTATTTTGCAAAGTTCTCGTTGAGTGTTCAGTTTTCGATGCAGACTTTGAAGGATGAAACTGTCACGGTAAGTTTGAGGAGAGGAAGATTTTCAGATTTTAAAAAATTAGACCAAGATCATTCTATTCTGAAATGCTTCTGAGGTTACAGACTGCTGTAGAACTAAAGTTCCCCTTTCAAAATTCCAGAAAAAATACCCACCCATTATTATTGTTTCAGGAAATTGTCATCAGTGAAAACTTTGAAAAAGAGCTCGCCGAACAAACCTTCACCATCAAAGTTGGCGCATGCGACGACGACGAAAATGCTCAACGCCTAGATTATGTCAAAAACGGAACACTTGGTGATTTGATTCGCGAAGTTCGTCGAGTTCTCAAAATTCTGGCCACCGAAAAAATCTATGGTTATTATCGAAGTGAGGATGGAAAACAAGTGCCATTAGAAGTCTCACAAAAAACCATCAGGAAAACTTGCGACGAATTGGGAATCACTGAGAAAACCACGATTTTAGTGGATACTTCGGGAATTGTTGGTGGAAAGAAATGAATAAATGAATTATGACGTGGATTTTTTCTAGTAGAACAAGAAACCAAAATAAAAAACACATGCCTTTTTTGATTTATAAGAACAAGCTCTAGGCTTCCTAGAAACATTTCATTCTTCAAATGACTTTTCTACTGTACATTCTCCTTATTTTTCCTCTCGTGAAATCAGATACAGATTGTGGACATCTTAATGAATCTAATGCGTTTTCCGATTCTGGAACAACTTTTCAATACAACGGGCAATGTTGCACAGATGAAGCTGTTGAATATTTAGACAATTCGGGATTTAAAACAACGTGGAGACTTGGACTTAAAAAACAGTTGGCAAGCATAAAAGCAGCAATAGCAGCTGGAAAATGTGAAAAAACAACAACTACAACCAAAAAATGTAAGTTTCAAGCTTATTAAAGTATAAAATGATCTACTGAATATGGAACGTTTTTGGTAGAAATTTCACAGTATGGATTTGGAAATGATGATTTGTAATGGGGTGATTTAAGTGGTTTAAATGAAAAAATGTCAAAAAAAAAGTTGTTTGACATTTGCTGAATCGAAATGTTTTGTAAAAAAATTTTCTTGAATCACCCCATAAATTTCACATTATTTTTTTCCAAAAAAGCTGGCGTGTTTATTTCAATTTTAATTTTGGTTTCAATTAATTTTTTGTTTTTATTCCTTCCAATAAGCTTTTATCTATATCTACTCATTTTCTAGAATAATATTAAAATCTATCGCCGAACTTTGATCGGTAGTCATGCCGAATAGTCATGGTGAAGTCACTTTTCACATTTTTCCGTAAAAACATTCAAATCTTTCAAAGATGTTTATACACCTTTTTCTATTTCTATTTTCAATTCCTAATCCAACTTTCGCATATGATTGCTATTGGTTGAATGATACGTTCACTTATGAAAATGAAACATACTCTGGAGAATGTTGTAACGAAGCAGCGGCTTCCCAATTCACCAAGTATTCTTCGACTTCTTATTCGAGTTTGTCGCTTAACATGAAAATGATTATCATCAAAAGTTTGGAAAGAGGCGGTGTATGTAGTAAGTTGATTTTAGATGTCTTTGTTTTGTTTTTGAACTATTCCCATAAAAATTGTCGATTCAAATGTATCCATGACAATTTTGCTTCGGTTGGAAATAAATCGCGAAACATAAACATTTTTTATATTTTATTCATTGAAATGAAAATATTCATATTTGTGTTTCTGTTTTCAATATATGTCAGATTTTCCTCAGCTGCTAGTTGCAGCTTAATGAGTTTTTTGTGGCCTGGATGCGGTATGAAGTGTTTCATTCACAATCTTCATTACTTTGGAAAATAAAAAAACATTTTCTTTACAGATACAACAACAACTGAGTCCACAACATCTACAACTACTGAACTAACAACAACATCCGATGATAATTCGACGACAACAATCGATGAAATAACATCACAATCTAGTTCGACTAAAACAACAACAGTTCCAACTACAACAAAAACCGCGTATATTAAACCAAATAATAAAGAAACAACAACTACTGATATATCTACTAGTTCAAGTTCTACTTCTTTATCAACTTTGACCACAACCCCGAAGAAAACTTCAACTATTGATTCCTCAAAAGATTCCACAACAAGTTCAAGTTCAAGTTCGCCTACCACAACTAGCTTGGATTCATCAACTTCCTCAACAACTGAATTAGGATCTAGTTCTAGTTCAACTACGGGAGGAGATGTTTCATCGAGCTCTAGTTCGAGTTCAACTTCAACTACCAGCCAGAGCTCTAGTACATCAACAACAACAACAACAACAACAAGATCCGAATCAACAGGCTCTACTGAAACTTCAAGCTCATCAAGTTCAACAATTCCTAAAACTACCGGAGAATTAGAATCTGGGGATACAGCCAAAGGAGTGTCTACTTCTACTTCCATAAAAACTTCTGATGAGAGTACAAAATCAGTATCTGTTGAAGAAACAACAACTTCTCAAGAAACATCAAAATCAACAATTTTCGTTTCTACGTCGGACACTGCTAGCACTTCTACTGGCACAGTTGCAACTTCAGAAACAGCAACAGGTTCTACTGAAAAACCCAATGCGAGTGAATCTACAACATCCAGTTCGAGCTCAACTTCAGTTTCTACTGGAACTACAACTAACCCAATAGATTCCACAGGATCAACATTAACTTCTGAAGATTCAACAACACCTGTGGGATCCACAACATCTTTGTCTTCAACTTCGGTGAATTCTTCAACATCTACAAAATCTCCCACAGATTCCTCTTCTACAGCTACGGTAAGTTTTCTTCATTTTTGTTTTGCACATGTCAAACTTGAGAGCACAAAACACATAAATCTGAAATCACCATGACTATGGAATGCCGTTAGATTTTTAGTTTAGTTTCCGTTATTTTTCCATTCCAAGAATGTTTGCTTGGCTAACATTTTGTCTTTGTTTTCGAATTTTACAATGTGGTAAGTTTTTAAATTTCGAGTTCGCGTTGAAAATTTTCTGGAGTTTATAGCGGCCTTGTCAAACGAGGACGATATCACCAATACATTAGGATTCACGATTCCAGCGGAAGTTCTAGCAGAAGTGCAGAGTGCGCTCACCACAACAAGCATCGCAAAAACAGAGGGCACTACTACAATCGAAACAACAGTGACAACTCAGAATCAGGATCTTTCAACAACATCTCCAACGACTTCAACTCTTCTTACAACAATTTTGGGAGCAAAAGCTGATCCTAAATCCGGTACAACTTCAGCTGAAGAAACAACAAAAAATTCTACTGATCAAGATACGACAACTAAAACTGATCCCAAAGAAGCTACAACAACCGTGGCAACGACTAAAAAATCTGAATCTGAGATTTTGTCTACCGGAAAACCAACCGACATTGTAACTACTGTTGCCACGACAAAGAAACCGGACTCTGTTGATCAGACAACGACAGAAACTACTATCAAAAAAGCTGATTCTGAAGAAAAAACTACGATGAAATCAGGTGATTCCGGTTCGACAACTGCTACAACTACTAAGAAATCCGAATCTGAAACCCAAATTGTCAAAAATGATGAAACTACGGTGAAATCAGTGGATTCTGATTCGAAAACTACAGTAGTCACAACCAAAAAGTCAGAGACTGAAACTACAGTTAAAACAGCAAATTCAGATGATTCAAATGAAACAACTGTCAAAAAATCTGAAGTTACCACCACTAAAAAATCAGAATCTGAACCTGCAACGACAATAAAAACAGATACTAATTCTAATAATTCGGCTGACGAAACAACCAAAAAATCTGAAACTACAACTAAAACAACTACGAAATCGGAAAACTCTGCAAACTCTGCGACGACAACAGTAACAACAACCAAAAAATCAGATTCCGCTGATTCGACCAAATCAGATACTACAGTGAAATCAGCAGATTCTGAAGATTCCAGTGTAACAACAATTGCAAGTTCAAAAGATGAAACAACTAAAAAATCAGATTCCGATTCTGTAACTACAGTCAAATCATCAAATTCTGATGGTTCAAGTGTAACAGATTCAAAATCTTCCGCGGATGAAACAACAAAGAAATCTGATACAACAACCACGTTAAAAACTGGTTCAGCGACAGAAGGAGCCGTAACTACGAAAAAATCAGATAGCAATTCAGAAACAACAGTGAAGTCTGTGAATTCTGATGATTCAAGTGCGACAGATTCCAAAGCTACCACAGTCGCGACTACAAAAAAGGCCAATTCAGAAAGTGCAACTACTGCCAAGTCAGAATCATCTGATGATTCTGCGACAGAGGTAGCAGCTACGACTACCAAGAAGTCCAACTCGGATTCTGTGACAACAGCGAAGTCTGAAAACTCGGTTGACTCAAGTGTCACTGATTCCAAATCTTCGAGAGATGAAACCACAAAGAAATCTGATTCAGGAAGTGAAACTACTGTAAAATTGGATTCATCGGGTGGTTCTGCAACTACAAAAAAGTCAGACACTGATACAGCTACAACTGTTGCATCATCGAATAGTGTAACAGATTCCAAAGCAACAGCTGATGAAACAACAAAGAAATCTGATTCAGATAGCCAAACTACAGCAAAATCCGATTCGGCAACAGATTCAGCCACAAAAACAACAAATGCGAAGTCGGACTCAAACACAGCAACAACAGTCAAATCAACAGATTCTGACGCAACAGTATCTAAATTTTCGGATGATGAAACTACGAAAAAATCAAATTCAGAATCTGCAAGTACAGCAGCTTCGGATGTAACCACTACTGAAAAATCTGATTCCGATGGTGAAACTACAGTCAAATCAGGTGCCACAACAGATTCCACTGCCACAACCAAAACTTCGACTGATTCAGAAAATACATCTGGAACGAAGGGAACAACAATATTGGATGCTTCTGTTTCCACGGGGACGACAGAAGAATCGACTAAAAGCTCCGAATCAAGCACAACAAAATCTCAAGATTCTACTGGAACTGGTGTTACTGATAAATCAGGCACTACCAGAAGTTCGGATTCGACCGAAACTTCAACTAACTCGACTGCAACTACTGAAAATAGTGATGAATCTGATGGAACAAATACAAGCGAATGTATGTTTCAACATATCTCGCTCGCAATAAAATTAAATAAATCCGAATTTTCAGCTTCGAACACAACATCACCAACGGTACTATCAAAATCAATTATGCTCTAAATATTGCACTTCTCACAGCTTTGCAAACCTCACCATAATTCTAACGGCATTCACATAGTCATGCATGAAAAACTCCCTAAACCCTAAAGTTATAGGTCAATTCAAGTACAACAACAGTGTCTCCATCAACATCAACAGTTTCTTGGCCTGACAATGGCGGGACCACCAAAACTTTGCCAAATGGCGAAGTTCTTCTTAATGAGAAGCTGGTATCGTATGAAAATTGCACAACAGTTTTATATCAACTGATAATGAATTTGACAACACAAGAAACTCGAACCGAAGTCACTGTGGATCCAGAAGGATGTGTAAGATATTTGTTGTTGATTTTTTAGATGAGGGTTTTTTATCTAGTCATCATCATCTTCCTCGTCTTCATTCTCTACAACTTCATCTAAAACATCTTCTTCGTCGTTGTCATCAACAACATCCCCAACAACAACAACTATAAACTGGGTAACCGGAGGAACAACAAAAACGCTAGATTCTGGAGAAATCGTGAGATTCGCACACCTTACACATAATCCATAGATAATTTCACTGAAATTCAGATTTTGAGCGAGAATTTGGTCTCGTACGCTAATTGTACAACAGTTTTGTACCAACTAGTTTACAATCCGACAAATAAAACAAGTCGAACTGTAACTAGTAGTAGTACATCAACAGAGTGTGTGAGTCAACACATAAACTAGAAGGCACATTTGAGTTCAAATATATTTACACTATTAAGTTCGACGCTTTTTTTAGCTGAAAAATATTTGGAACATGTTGAAAATATGGTTTTCAGGATGCCAGTTCAACCACGATATCTTCTTCGGATTCAAGTTCAAATGAATCAACAACAACTAATTTCTGGCCAACTGGAGGCACTACAAAAACATTGCCATCTGGTGAAATTGTAAGACTTTTTTTCGAAAAACAAATCAGCGCTATCCAGAATTGATTTCAGTTATTGAATGAGAAGTTGGAATCATTCCCAAATTGTACAACTGTTTTGTATCAATTAATTTATAATCCGACGACTGGAGCAACAAGAACTGAAACGACAACAGATCCGGATGGATGTGTAAGCAATTTTGGACACATATTTGAACTTTTCTAGGTAACGTTTTCAGAATACTTCAACAACTTCTTCTGGGACCACAAGCTCTGGAATATCGAATGGTACAACAAGTTCTATGACAGCTGGGGGAGGAAATGTGAGTGAGAAACTGGTGATGGGAAAGTGTGTGTTTCTAATTTTAAAACATGTTTTATTTCAAAGAACTATGGGTTTGAGACCGCGGACTAATCAACAACTCTGAATGCGATCAATAAAAAAATATATTAAAATAAATTGAGACTTCAGGCTTCTACAACAACCACCGCTTCATCGTCTGCTGGAACTTCGACTAACTCTAGTTCCAGTGGATCAACAACAACAACAACACCAAATGGAAGTTCATCGAACTCATCAACATCAACAACGACACTATCAAGTGGTTCAACTGTGAGTACTTGAGCTATTTCTGAAATTTTATATCATTCGATATGAAATGATATGAAGTTCATGTCGTTTCAAAAAATTCCTAAAACACTTTAAAGATGTGTCTATTCAGAATTCGACAATATCTCCAACAACTTCTTCAAACTCTGGTTCATCCATCTCATCATCTACTTCAACTTCCACTACAACCCCATCAAGTTCAATCTCAACTTCAACCTCATCAACTTCCAAAAACTGTACTAAACTTGATGTCGACACATCCAATTCATTATCTCCAGATAGTTCAACTCTTACTGATTCCTCTGTTCCTGGAACTCAAATCATTCATATTTGTATGACGAGTTATACAATGTCAATGGATCTGATGCCGTTGAAAATTTATGAATGTCTTCAGAATGGAACATGGAGTGGAATTGTGGACTCGTGTATACGTGAGTTCAAAAAAATTTGAAATAAAAGTGATATTTTGTTGAATTTTCAGCGGAAAAGGAGTTGTGATGAAACTTGTCAATTGAAGAAAAAAGTCAGCTTCTACTTGTGAATAAATAAACATTTTGTTAAATTCCTAGCTTATTAAAACAACGAAAAATCCGGAAAAAATCATGTTTGAGTGAAAACTATCATGGATTTATAATTTTTCCTAAAATTCCCAAAATAAACTAACCATATTCAAGCATTCTTCCGGATATCCACACAATTCAATTGCCAGCAGAACATTCCAACTTTTGAAATTCGAAATCGATTAAAAATATTGATTTTTTGAGGAAGCCTGGAAAATTTAGTGTTCGCAAAATTATTTCAAATGTGAGAATTTTCAAATTAATTTATGATGAAAATATTTGCAAGTGACCCTTGCCAGAGAAAAATTAATTTCGACAGAAAAGCAGAGGGCGTGGTCGGAATTGGTAAGTGTCCGCACACTTTTTTGTGTAGATCAAAAACTTTTTGAATTTTTGAAAAAATAAACATATTGATTCAAGTTGAGTTGTTTCTGTTTTAGTACCACATTTTCGTTTTTTTTCAGGTTTTTCTCAGACGCGCGTTTGTAAAGTTTGGTTTTTTTCAAAAAATTTTGAAATGCTCAACCTCACGAAAAAAAATTAGTTCTAACTTACTTTCCTCGTGTTGTCCTTTCAGTCTCTTTTTGACCGATAATAATAGCTACTAAAAAAATGAAAACGCCTATTTGTCGAAGTAAATTAAAGGCGCAACGATTTTTGAGAAATGTGTGTCTCGTCACGACGAAAATGAACGGGAGAGGAAAAACTACGGTCATTTCATTTTCACATGTGCAATTTTTGTTTTTTTTTTCGTTTTCACCGCCTTTTCTTTTTTTTTTGAGGGACCTACGGACCTATTTGGACGGCCTATATTATCTGAATATGAAGGCCCGGTTTCCAGAATTTAACCTAATTTTTGGAACAATCAATAAATAAAAAAAATCTTGAAAATTTTTTATGTTGAACGATTTAAATTGAAAAATACTGGTTTCCAAACAATTCTCCATATATTTGAATAACTTTTTTTCGAACATCAAATCAACTTTGTCTTTCAGATGGATACTTATCTCGGTGCTGAAATCCCGGAAAATTGGGTAAAAGACAAACTCAGGGCAATGTGAGTTTTTCTTTTCTTGAAAAAATCCTCTCCAAAAAATGTTTTTATAGGGATGCGGGAGATGCGGATTGGATCAATCAGAACATTTTTTGGTATGATAAAAAGATTGCACGATCAATCTTCATGAATAAACATGTTGTGTTTATTGGGGATTCGTGTGAGTTTTTTGGGGAGAAATCTGGGAGTTCCAATCCTGCACATTTGACTCATTTCTAATTTTTAAAAAACACATTTGGCCAAAACTCCGGTTAAACCTCACTTTTTCTTTTCCAATCCTCCAGTTTTCCAGTAATCCGTGCCATGTACAAAGATCTACTCAGTCTTCTGAGACACGGCAATCTCACCGATCCACGCGATCTCAAATTCCCCAACGAAACACATTTTGAAGACGATCATCAAATCGATATCCTTCCACTCGAAATGAATCGAGTATTTCGACAAGCTCGCGAATTCCAATCAAATCATCATCTTATCCAATACTTCTTCACATCTCGAGCAATGCGAAAAGAACACGAAAAAATCTTATTGCTCATGGTAGAGAAAAACGAGATACCCGATATAATTATAATGAATTCGGCAATCTGGGATGTTTCGAGATATCATTTGGAAAGTGAGAGGAATACGAAAAGATTGGACAATGAAATCAAAACTATTGATGAATATTTGCACAGACTTTCGATGTTTTTGAGAAGAGTTCGAACAATTCTAAAACCTGGCGCAAAATTTATCTGGGTTCTATTCCCAGTCGTTACTGAATCACAAAAAGATCGAGGTTTCATCAATACAAATTGGCTATCTTATTATCATATTCGAATTCGGCTTATGGAAGCAAATATGAGAGCCGCAAAAATCGTTAAAGAAGCTGGATTTGATGTATTAGATTTATCGTTTCATTTTAGAAGTTCCGGATTTGAGCTTTTCCGAGCTTTAGATGGAGTACATTGGGATAATTTGGCGACGAGATTTATGAATCAATTATTGGTTGGACATTTGATTATGACGCAGAAGATTAAATCGGAAGTATTGGCGAAGATTTCGGATTTGGTTAAAGATAGAATGTGGGATTGTTTTGATATCATCCCTCGCAAATTACTCTTTTTTCAGCGCTCCACATAATCGCTGCGAATATTTTGATCGTTCGCTGAAATTTCTCGAAAAAATGGCCAATCCCGGTGAAAATGAAGGCGAAGAAGAAGAAGAGGACTCTGTGGAGGCTTTTAGAACACAGGTTCTGCAAGAAATCGATCAATCCAATAGGTAAGGACCTCAAGTTAACGAAAATTGGTCAATTCTACCTCAAAATTCAGCATTTCATTTTTTTTTATACAAATACCCCATTCTATTCATTTCAGCCAACACCCAATTTCTGGACTTATCGAAACTCTTCGATTATTTGTGATTTTCAAACGATATTGTCGAAAATTGAGAAGAGATCAGGATTCCATTCAAATTTCTATGAAGAATGCGCCTGAAAAAGCCAAAGAGGTTTTTGATAATTTTGGAGAAATGTGGCGGGAATTGAGTTCAGAGGTAAGTGTAATTTTCTCCCTGAAATTTGGAATTGAAAACTTTTTAAACAAATTGATGAACTTTTCCTAGTCACCTAAATATTTAAACTTAACCTTAAAATGTTTCGAGATCTTTTAAATTTTAGCACAAAACCCTGCAAATTCCCTCATTTTTCAGCTCCAAAACCTGCGTTCCTTCTGGTCTTCGCAACCTCATTCAACACGCAAAATAACTCTTCAAAGATTGGGTCGAAAACGCCGATTACAACAAGATCCATCGAGTTCGGTAAATTATGTATCCCAAGAAGACATGGATATCGTTGCTGAAAATGAAGAGACCAGTGAAGATGAGTCGGAAGTTCGGATTTCTGAACAAAAAGCCCAGAATGACCCGAATTTGATGGAAAGTCGAAGAAATCACCAAAGTATTCCCCGAAATGGTCACGAAAATCGGATTTTTGAGCAACGTTTGGTGCAGAATGGTCCAGTTTCTGCTCAAGATCAACACCGTCCAGTTATACCTCAGAATTATCGTCTTACAACGCCCGAGTTAGCCCGAATCCCTCTTCCGGCACCACAATTATTTTTGGCTCAAAATGTGGTCCAGAACGATTTGGTGCACCATCTTCCAGTTTTTTCTCGGAATGTTGTGCAAAACCGCCCAGTAGTGGCTCAAACTGCGGTTCAGAATGGTCAAGTTCCCGCCCCAATCGTTCCGAATCCAAATGGACACGAAAATTCGAATTCAGATGATGATTGTCAGATTATTGAGATTTAGAAGAAATTATGTGTTTTTCGGAAAATATTAAAGATTTTTGTTTTTAAATATTGTATAAGTAGATGGTTTGTGCCTTTTTCTTTTTCATCTCATTTTTTATCCTTCAAAAATGCCCCTATATTTTTTCTGTATAATTTTTATTTTTTACATACCCCAAAATGTTTTCACGAAATTTTAAAGTAATATTAAGGAATCCCGTGTTTTCCGAAATAAATTTTTTAAATTTTTTTGGGCTCAACATTGTTCAAAGTTCTGAAAATTGTTGTTTCTAACTATTTATTATTTTAGTTTTAAAATCTTAGTTATATAGGTTTCCGAAATCATAATTTTGGATTTTTTGTTCAAGAGGAAATGAAATACTACTGTAGTTTGCAAAATGTGTGAACTCCATATCTGTGTAAAGACATTTTAATTGACGCGCACAGTTTTTTTCTCGCTCTCACGCTGTCCACAAATGAAAAAACGCTGCCTTGTCTGCACTCTGACACACGGCATACTAAACTGTGTGTGTCTGTTCGCTCTCTCCGATCGCAACACTCTCTCGTCATCTTTTTTTCTCTCGGTTTCTTCAGCGGGAGGCGCTCTCTCGTTTTTTTTTTCTTTTGAAAAAAAATTCAGCATTTTTTCATTGAATACTCTGAAAATCGTGGGTTTCATCAAATGAATTGTATATGAGAAGAAAGAGGAGCATCTCACGAAAGCAGAGAAATACATTTTGAGAAACATTGACCACATTTTCAATCAGAAAGTCGACAAACAAAATCAATGACCGTTTTGACACTGATTCTTGAGCTTTCTCTTCGGGATAATTTCAAAAAAATACAATCAATTTATTTCTTAGGTTTTGCGCCATGTTAACTGACATTTTTCTGTAATTAGTTTCTGGAGATAAACTCGAATTTATGAAAAAACATTTATTCTCATTCAAAATCACCAAAATTTCGATTAAAATTTAACGAAAATTATAAAATTAATTCGATCCATGTGAATCCATACGAAGAATTCCAATCTCAGAGTGTATTAGAGAAGATTCGAGTTGGTAGAGGACCTGGAAAATATACACTAGACAATGGTGATAAAGTTTGAAAAGTAGACTTGAAAAAGAGTTTTCATGTACTTGAAACGGGACAGAATGTTATAAAAAACGAACCAATTCATTAAATATTGCTTCTCAAAGTTCGGATAACGTTTATAGGCAATAACCCATGGATCAGAAGTCTAACAATTTCACCATTGAACATGACTGTTGTCTCTCTCTCCCAGAATCATAGAATATTGACACCAAACTCCATCCAATCTTCGATTTTCTCCATGATTCGTATTCATCTGACATCCATCACATTTCTTTGCATCAACTATTTCGATATTGGAAGTTCAGTATTGGTGGAAGCATCGATTTCAGTATGAAAATTCCATCTTTTGAGACAACGCAAAAAGCTGTAATTCGGAGTTTTTTGATCGTTGAACACTTCTCCTTCTCAACTTGTGCTTCTGTATATGTCCCATAACCTGTAAAACTATTTTTCTTGCTCAAAAATTTGAAATCAAAAAAGTTGAAAAAACACTCACTTTTCCGCTCGAATGTTCTCCTTGAATTTCGACTCGAAATAAGATGTTTTATATATCTCTGTCTTCCAAATCTCTTCTATTATGAAGTTTAGCTTCGTATTAGCGCAGGAAAAATTCGTGGCGACCAAAAAACACGAAAAAATAAAGAAAAAGTTTTTTTTCAATGGAAAAAAGTGAGTGCAGCAAACGCGCTCCATCTCACTCAGCGAACGACGAGAGAGTGAGACGCAGACTTCACGCAGGTGTGGAGGCTGTGCGCTCTCGAATTTTTCGGTTTCCGTGTTGGTTCACTTGCCGAAAATCTTTAATTTCATTATTTCACAGGAAATGATGAATATAGGAGAAGAACTTCAAAGATGTCCGCCATCTCAAATTCTTGATGATACTTCAAAAAAACGTCAAAATATCGAAGATGATGAATATGTAAGTTTAGTGAGGATCGACTTTTCTCTTGAATTCATATCTCCAAATATTTCAGCCTTATTCGACATCTTGGTTCGGTATTCCTGAAGAATTACGAGAAATGGTAATCAACGAAATCGATCCCGAAACAACTTTTCGATTCAAACAATGTTCGAAATTGTGTGGCGAGGAAGCGAGAAGATCAAAGAATTCCATGTGTAAGATTGAACTCAACAATACCGAAAAAGGAACTCATATTTGTTTCCACTTGGAAGATTTGTATTCAAATTGTCCGCATTTTCGTTATACTTTTATTGAAAACGAGTCAAATGAATCGAAAACTACAACTATTTGTCATGAAAGAATTAGTATTGAGGATTGGTCAGGCGGTGAATATTGTGACTACATTCTCAGACTTGAAAATGGGGAAGATTGTGAGGAAGATTCATATATCAATACATTAATCAAAGAAAAATGGAGAATTGAGGAAAATGGAGATATGGAGAGTGTTATTGTTAAATATTTGGAAAAGTTTCTTGAAGAATATAAATATTCTCTATATGCTTTCATTAATGGAGTAAGTGTAAAAATATTGAATTTAAATGATAAATCTTTTCCAGGCATATAACGTCAAAGCTGAAAATTTGAATCTCAAACATTTGAGAAAGCTTCAACATATTGTATTCGATGATTATGATGTTTTGGAAAAAAATCTGATGAAATTCGAACAAATTGCAGAATGTAAAGCGCACATTTCTCTTCCGGAAACTAAATTCTCTTTTGATCAAATTATTCAACTCAGTGCAAATTCTATCACTATTGGAGGAAAAGATTTGACAAATGAAAAAATTAAAATATATTTAAAAATGTGGGAAAATGGAGAAATCGATGAAAATATTTCAGAAGTCACGATTTATATGAATGGATTGAAAATTTTGGAAGAAGAATATTATACACGTGGTTTATTGACAGTTTTCAACAGAGATGAACCATCCAGAAAAAGACGACGGTAATTTGTTTTGCTTGCTTTTTTCGTATTAGAGATAACGAAACTTTCAGATCGAGTAGTATTCATTCATTTTTCTTAGTTAAAACTACGGATCCCAAACATTGTACACATATCCGGTTGTCTGATCATACAATTGAAATCGATCGTCATAATTTCTTTTTTCACAAAGAGTAAAATTAAACTTTTCATTTTTGTTTATATTGTTTGCAATATTTAAATAAACGTCTCATCTCATTTATGAATTGGTCAATTTTTGAAACTTGTTTATTTCGATTTTCTTACCTGTCTTTTAACATTCAAACTAAAATTGCCGCCTCTTGAAGTTTTTTCGATTTTCCAACTTTGCCCCTGATTCGCCAATTTATTTCAGGGTTTTTCTTCAAGTCAAAAATGGATGTTTCTGATGAAGAAATTCATAGACTTTCACACTCCCAACTTCTCAAATATACTTTGTATCTTCGAAAAGATGTGCGAAAAAATGGACATTTGTATTCTTTAGTGAGTTTCACAGGCATTTGCGAATTAGCTGTTAACAGAGTGGAAACCAGTATGTTGTAGCTACTGAAAATCTACTAGTTCCATGAAAAAAAAATTAATTTTTTACAGAAAGGAAAGAATGACAGAAACAAAAAAATTCGGACACGTCGCCAAGAAACGAGAGATTATGGACATGTTTATGTATGTTTAGCCAGGACTTTTCGTTTGAATTCATATATAAAAATATTTCAGCCTTATTCGACATCTTGGTTCGATATTCCTGAAGAATTACGAGAAATGGTAATCGATAAAATTGATCCCGAAACCGTTGCCCAATTCAAACAATGTTCAAAATTGTGTGGCGAAGAAGCGAAAAGATCAAAGAACTCAATGTATAAGATCGAAGTAAATTACACTGAAGATGGAACACATATTTGTTTTTATTTGACAAATGAAAACCGGGATTGTCCACATTTTCGTTATAGTTTCAGCGAAGACGAGGGAACTATTTGTCACGAAAGAATCAATATGGAAGGTTGGTCACAAAATGGTTTCTCTTCTTTTATGTACAATATTGATGAAGATGAGGAAGAGTATACTGAACATTCATATATCAATACATTGAAAGATGAAAAATGGGAAATTAAGGAAAATGGAGATATGGAGAGTGCTGTTGCCAAATATTTGGAAAAGTTCCTCGAAGAATATCAATATTCTCTCAAAGCTTTGAAAAATGATGTAAGTTTGAAAAACGCCTTTTGGTATTGAATTTGATCCTATTGTATTTTTCAGGCAAAGTTAGACATGAAACATTTGAAAAATCTTCAACATATCGAATTCGACAATTGCGATGTTTTGGAAAACGATTTAATGACATTCGATCAAATCTTGAAATGCAGAGAAACTGTCACGCTTCGAGAAACTAAATTCTCTTTTGATCAAATTGTTCAACTCAAAGGAGAAGATATTAATATTGGAGGAAAAGATTTGACAAATGAACAAATTAAAATATATTTGAAAATGTGGGAAAATGGAGAAATCGATGAAAATGTTAGAAGTATTACGATTGATACAGAAAAATTGAAGATCTTAGACGACGAATATTACACAGATGGATTGTTGACAGTTATTGATGATGAGGAACCAGCCAAAAAAAGATATCGGTAATTTTCACAATATTTTTTTCAAATGGAAAATGTGGTATTTCATCTTACATCTTACAGGAGCAATACTTTCTCCTTCGATATGAAAGGTTCACGACAAGGTAAAATCCATGTTTGGTTGGCAGATGGTAACATGTCTATTCGTTGGTTTTCTAGATAATTTAAAACAACTTGTTAAGTTCTAGAACAAGCTTGTTTTTGTTAAAATGTTGTTTGTTTTTTTATTGTTCACGATTTTTCAAATAAATGTTTTTCTTATCTCGTTTATAATTTTATCATTTTCAAAATTCGTTCCACACGGTTTCTCATATTTGTTGTTTAAGAATAAATAATTCTAGAAGTTTCTTGCACACGTTTGCCTGTAATGTCTCGACCGTGAGTTTCAACCATTCCCTCATCTGAAATCATTTTTTTGTCGTTCAGATTTTGCCCGATTCGCCTGGTTCGTCAAGAAGGTGCAATTATTCAAGTAAGTCAGTGAGTGTTTTTTTTTTGTTGAAAACTCTTCAAATATTTATATCATCGCTGAGTCACGATATAATATAATTTATCCAACAAAATAATATTTTCATCTTTCGCAACACTTTGTCTCCAAAAGATATTCCAGCCCACGCACGCACAAAAATTGTCTTTTGTGTCCAAAAAATCAGACTTTGTTAAAATGTCGAAAAATATTATTCCAGACAGGCGATATTCCGTGACTTCCCGACAAAAAATACTCATTTTGTTGATTGTCCTTTTCCTAATTCAATTATATTCCGCCAATAGTTGAATATGTTTCTGTCTGTCCTTTTTCATAGCTGTCTGACTATACATTTTTGAATTCAACAAAAAGTAGTTATTTTTAGCTAGCTCCACCTACATCAAAGAGAAATTCGAGATAACTTGTTGACATTAAAATTTGTGAATTGTGGGTGTCAAACTTTTTTGGAATTCTTTGTTCTATCCAGAAAAATTTCTGGTATCAGATGTGACGTAGAAACAGAAATTTTGAGTTTCTAATCTCCCGATCTAACATATTTCTTTTTTTTTCGAAAATGTATTATTTTGGAATGGGAAAGAAAGTCTAGATAATTATCGACATGCTTCTTGAACTTTCTTCTGAGAATTCGAGAGAAAAATGTTGGATTTTATACGTTTCAAAATTATTACGATTATAATATAAAATTCTGCTGGCTTCTGGAATAATTTGAGTTCAAAAGTGAGAAGTGAAAGATCACTTTTGGACTCAAAAAAACTTGAAATGACATTTCGAAGAAGTGGTTTCCCAGAAATATGGAACTATTTTCATGATGGTCACTTCGCAACCTTTTTTAAATAATAAAATGTGTCCAGAAATCTAATCACCAGAGTAAAATAAAACTAAGAGAGTTCAAAATTGGCTTTCTGTGGATCTCTAGATGTTGGTCTCAAATAATTAGATTCTTAAGGCGGGGCTCTGATGATTTTAGAAGTTTAGAATTAAAAATTTGGACTACAATTTTCTTTTTTGGAAACCTCCGCGAAAAATTTGTTTTCGCAGGACTCAAAATGACTGAAAAATTCTGAAAATTTGAAGAAAAAAGGAAAACTTACCTGAGAATCTCAAAATAAAATGAAAGTGAAAAAGTCTGAATATTTTCATGAAAAAGTTCATCTTGCTAAACAAAAATATTTCATTTCTATTTAAATATTCTTGTTCCGAACTACAGTACTCTTTTTATAACTTCCGTAAAAGTTTGCACTTTTTCCATGTTCTATTTATATCTTTTATATTCAGCAACTGAAAATGAATATATCCCATTTTTTTCCATCTCCATCAACATCCATTTTTTGCCGTCCCGTTTCTTTTTTCATCCATCCACCAATCAATTTGGCCAAGAGTATCTATCTATCTTTCTAGAAAAAGTATATGCCTTTTTTTGTCTCTAGCCCCAACTTTTTTCTCTGTCACTCTCTAATCTCTCATTCCTCCTTTGATGCGCGCGTCTCTTATCGTCTCTCTTCTCTCTCCACACTCAATACACTTCTTCTCCCCGTTTTTTTTGCGTTAGTTTTTTGTTTTGTTTTTTTTTGCTTTCTTTATTCCTCTTTCCTTTTTCGTTGCGTTCGCTCGTTTTTTTTTTGGTTTTCAGCCAAACTTTTCAAACAAGGTCATTTATTTTTAAATTAGAAAGATTCTGAATAAAAACATTTCGCATTAGATTCAAATATCTCCAAATAATTATCTTTTTTTCATTTTGCGTCAATGAGATACATTTTTTCCCACAATTTTCTATAATAGCCTGTTTTTGGTCTTCTCTTTCCTTGAACTTTATTCACCGTTTTTCCGAGAAATACGAAATTTTATCTAGAACTTTGGAACTTGCTGATAACTTTTTGTAGTCTGAATTTTTGATGACTTTAAATTTTTGCGGGAGAAAAAATGAACTAGGTTTTTTGAAAACGGTTTTGAACCAGGAAATTGTGCCGGAAATCATCCGGTTTTACTTTAAAATTTTTTAAATAATAATAATATCTTTAACAGTTTTCAGGATTTTTTCTGAAATTCAAAATTTTGAGACCTCACAAAATTTCATTTTTCACGAGTTTCATCTTTCACAGATCTGAATTGAACGTTTTTCTCTTGAAAAAGTGTGGTTTATTTTGGAAAAAGTCATGTGTTCTGTTGAAAAATCAGATGATTTTTAGTCAAGAGATTTTCAGCGAATTTTTTTGGGAATTTTTATTTTTCAGTATGGTTTTCAATTCTTCATTTGAGTATAAAAATATTTAAAACAAAAAATTATAGTTAGAACTTTAAGAATATTTTGGTATGAAATTAACAACGATTTCTGAATTCCAATTAAGATTGTTGAAGTGGAAATTAATTTGAATAAGATAATTTTCAGACTAAAAAATTCTCCCATGATTTCAAAAATTTTCTAGTATTATTCAAATCACAAGATTTCAAATGTTAAAAATTCCAGCATAATCCGATTTTCAAATTCTGAATTTTTAAAATGTTATCTTTCAAAATCTAAATAGCCTACATACAGTATCCCCAGTTATTTATTTATTTATGTTCGAAAAAACAGTGAACTTTGGCACAAAAAGTAATCCGCAGATTAATTCTCATTCATTCATTTTTTTTATTCCAAAAATAATTTCATCCATATATATTTTCTCTTTTTTTGTCTGCCTTTTTTGAACAAAAAATGCTTGGTTTTTCAAAAAAAGAAGAGTTTATTGTTTACTATCACGTGAAACTTTTTTGTTCTTTCCTGATAACAAGGCAACAAATAATTGATTGATGTTCGTTTCTGAACTTTTTCCTTTTCCCAAAAAATGTTCAATTTCTATTCCTATTTATTTATGTAAACAAAACACTGTGCTTCGCTTATCTTTTCTTGTTTTTTTTTTTGCGAGAACAAAAACTTTGATAGAAGATAGAAAATAAAAATGGAAAAAAAATTGTTTTTTCAGGTGTCACACACACCTCAACACACAAAACAAGAAGAAAAATTCAATCGATAATATAATATCGATGAATTTTTGAGTTGTATAAAATACGGTGTACCGCGGAAAGAAGAAGATGTCTTCGATGAAAAAAGAGAAAAAACAAAGAGAAAGAGAACGGGAACGAGAAAGGCAAGAACAATTGAATCAACAGAATAATCAGGAAGCTTCTTCTTCAAATGAGGTATGGATTTTTGAGAAGTTGGAAACGAATTTTAAAAATTAAACCATTTTTTAAAGCATAAACTTGGTTTTTAGAACCAAATTCTCATTTTTTAAACTCAAAAAAAGTTCAATTTTCAAATGTTGAGTTTTTCTGGAAGTTTCCAATAACTTTTTAGTAAAAAATTTCCTCAACTTTCTCCCCGATAAACTAGACTCTAGTTATTGCGGAAAATTTCGAAATCAGAAAATAATAATTTTGCCCTCTGAGTGCACTTTTTTCAAGAAATTTTGGACTGTGAAATTGATAAAATTTGAATTTTATTTTTGAAATCTCCAACAAAAAACACATGTGAATTCGAATTTTTGGACAAAAATTATTCTTTAATTCGATTTCAGATCCAAAAATTATTTTCTTTTCGGAAAAAACCTGATTTCGGCGCGAAAATTTCAATTTCTTAATTGACAAATTCTAAAATTTGTGGTCTTATAAATTTTAATGAAAAACATTTGGAACTTGCTGATTCTTTGATATTGAAATGGAAATCGGCCAAAACACATTTTATTCGTGAACTTCATCGTGGCAATTTAGAAATTACCATTTTTCAAAAACAAAAATAAACAATTTCAAATTAATTCAAACGTGACCTAAAATTTCCCAACGTGGAAAACCCCATATTTTACCAAGAAATACCATTTCTTAAAATATTCAATTTTTGTCTGTGAGTTTTTTTCTTTTCAAAAATGATTTTTCGAACTGTCTTTTCAATTTAAACTTTTGTGGTCAATTTATAGTTTAATGTCTCTAAAAAATTCAATTTCTTTTTTTTGTGTTGAAAATGAGAGAGCTCTAAAATAGATGGATATTTTTCCAATTAAAGCCATTCATTCATTCTTTCTTTCTTTTTTTGCTCTCTCAAGAGAATTCAATCAAATCGAAAAATGAATCTATTCTATTCAACCCACACTTTTCTTTCTAACATAAGCCTATAAAAGGTTTCAAAAAATAATCAAAGAGAACTTTAAACTCTTATTTGATTTGAGTTCTAATTTTTCTTCCCAAAAAATGGATGAGGTTAGTTTTTCTTCAGGCAGAATTGTCTGAAAAGAAATCACGAAGGAACAATACATTTTTTGTTGTCTCTAGAAAAATTATGAATCATCCTTCCCCTTTCATTTTCATTTTCCATTTTTTGTTGAAAAGAAGCAGCTGAAAATTTTCAACGCCCGAAAATGTCAAAAATGGTTTTCTATGAGACCAAAATCACCACATCTTCTAAAATTCATTATCGATCCAAGGTATTCTTTCTACCTTAGAAAATAAAAAAAAATTCAACTTTTTCTAAAAATTTCAAATTTTGATAATTCTCGAACCTTATCAAGTTTTTTTATTGAAGTAAGAAGATTGGAAAACAATTTCAGATAAGGTTTTTTTGTTTACCACTGATAGGAAAAGCTGCAAAAAATTGCAGGGAGTTTTTAAAAGAGCATGGGGTCTTGTAGCAAATTTTTTAAGTTTTGAGCAAAGTTTCGAAGAAACTTGGAGATATCCATGGTAACTTGAGACGGGTTGATCTTTGAGGCCGAGTTTTCGGATTGTGAAAATTAAACTTTTCGACTGAAAAAAAGGTTTTTTTTTTGAAAATTCTGAAAACTTTGAGATGAAATTTTTTCATAACTAGATTTATCAGTATTCAGAAAATTAATTTTATAATAAAAATTTGTTTTCGAATTTTTAATAAGAGTTCCGACTTTTTCTACTGTAATTTAAAAATTTTCAAATTCAAGGATAATTGTAGATGAAATGTGGTACTTGGAAAAAAAATGTTCAATTTTTTTCTGAAAAAAAAACCAGACTTGTAAATTGTTATCATCTCAATTTCCTGCAAATTCTGGAAAAGATCACAGATCTCTTTCTGAACACATTTCTCAAATAATTTCCAATTTCTCACGTAAATACTTCATGACGAAATTTGTTGGCCACGTGACAAATGTATCTCTTTTTCTTCATTATGACGAAACAAAAACAGCTGCTTGAGAAAATCTGGAGGGTCCGAAAAACAAATATATAAACCCCGAGCACATATTTCTATTTTCAGTTGAATAAAATAAAATGTTGCAGGTTTGTCCACTTCCGCTTCCGCCACGTGGCGCTCCACCGCCTGCAGTTTATCACAATACATTGTTAGGCACATCATCGAATTCGGGATCTTTTGAAAAATCGGTGAGATTAACTTAGCTTAACTTATATTTATTTGTATTCAATAATTGTTATTTTCAGACTCCTGGGAGTGCTCGAAAACTTCATGTTGTAATAGTTATTGATCAGAAAGTTCAGAAGAATCTAAAAGTTCGAGAACTTGCACTAAAAGATGTGCAAAAAGTGGCAGATACATTGAATGTAAACTTGACAAGGATAGATTTTGATAAACTTGATTTTGGTGAAACCGAATCAGCTGATCTATTTTATAATGCTGATGTTGCATTGGTCGATGTTACAGTAACCCATCAACAACCGAGTTTATGTTATCATATTGGAGTTAGAGAAAGTATGGGACAAAGTTATAATATGATATTAACTTATTTGGCGCAAGATTCTGAATATCATATTATGGATGCGTTGAAGGTAAGACAATTGGAAAATAGCAGGGACATAATTTGATTTTTATCTGAAATTCATTCTATTAATAATTATTTCTTTTAGAAAGTTTACAAAAAACGTTAGCATTTTGAAATATTTCTGGTTTTTGATTAGATTAGAAAACCACCTGAAAATTGGTTATTTTTAATTTTATTGATATATATTTTTAGGCGTTTTTAATACCTTTGTCTCAAACTTTTTAAATTTTAATCATAAATTTCCTCTGTAATATTCAAAATTCATAGTTGTGTTATACCCAGACCAAGTTTTGACTAAAAATTTAACATTTCAACTGAAAATTTGAGAGTACCATTTTCATTTCCCACGTCATAATTGTTTTTCGTCAAATTTTGAAATATGTTTTTTTTTTCAGAAAACACATGCTCATCTACCAATGATTGTATATATAAATAGTGGAGATTCAAATCAATTACAATCATATGATAAACAAAGTAAAAGTGAAGATGAATCCACATCAAAAACACCTTTTGCCAGATCAAATGGATCGAATGCTTTGAAAACAATTGCATTCAAAAATCGAATGAAACAAGTTTTGAAAAGTGTTCAAGTTGAAGCAAGTGCACATTCTCGTGAAAAATTCCTATCTGATTTGAGAAAAGCGCGCGATGTTTTGGATCCTGTTCATAAAAATGATTTTTTGGATAAAATGCGAATTCGATTGGATAATCCAGATGTTTTATCAGTTGATACAGTATATCAAATGATGTTATCATATCGAGATAATCAAAATTATGGAGGAATGATTGGATTGGTTGATGATTTGAAAAAGATTCCAGATTGTACAGTTATTGAAGCACAAGTTATTAGATATAATTATGCTTTTGCATTAAATCGAAGAAATTTGGGAAAAGATCGAGATTTGGCATTACAAACTGTTTTGAGAATAATTGAAGGAACAACTGATAAAGAAGCACTTTCACCTGATGTTGTTTGTCTTGCTGGAAGAATATATAAAGATAGATTTATTGCAAGTAATTATGAAGATCGAGATAGTTTGAATAATGCAATTGAATGGTATCGAAAAGCATTTGAAATGTCACCATTGGAATATAGTGGAATTAATTTGACAACACTTTTGAGAGCAAGTGGTGAACATTTTGAAAATAATGCTGAAATGCAACAAATTGCTGTGGTTTTGAATTCGTTGTTGGGAAGAAAAGGAGCATTACAGAATTTGACAGAATATTGGGATGTTGCCACGTATTTTGAGGTTTGTGGGGAATTGGGGAAGTGTTTTTCTGAAAATATTTCAATTTTTCTAGAACCTGTGGGTTTTTGAAAGGAAAATTGGAACAATTTACTGAGAAAAATTGAAAAATTATAACTAATTATCCTATTATCTCAGTTTTTCAGGTATCTGTTCTTGCTGAAAATTACGTGAAAGCTTGCGAAGCTGCTCTCCGAATGGTCAAATTGAAACCGCCAGTTTGGTTTCTCAAATCAACAATGGAAAATATCAAATTAATCAATCGATGTGCAGCCACAATTTCACCAATCGAAAAAGAAAAACAACAATTCCTTTTTTGGTCAGAATTTTTCATGGAAGCCACCGAAACAGATAATGATATCAATTGCCCAAGATATCCAGTTTTGATTTTAGAACTCACAAAAGAGTTTACGCCATCATATTTAACATTAAATAGTCAAGAAGGAACAGTTATTCTAAGTCATGTTTTGGAAAATAGTCAACAGAAAAAATTGCATCAAGCTGAATTGAAAGGAATTCATCGATGGCATTTTGCCAGGAATAATATTAAAGCGGTTACCGAATCGAAAAGAGATGAAAGACAATTATTTTTATATGTTCATGAAAATTCGGATGATTTTAATTTATTGTTTCCAACAAAGGCACATTGTAAAAAGTGAGTTTGGCTGAAATTCTAAAAGTTTTCAACTTTTCCTAATCTCTTTTTTGCAGAGCATATGCTGATATGAAAGATATGGCAGATGTTGGCGATGGAAATTATCAAGGAAAAGTGCTAAACAATTCGGAAAACGAAAAAATCGATTTTGATTACGAGTATGGAAATAATAATGAACGGGTTGTTCTTGGAAAAGGAACATATGGAACTGTATATTCAGCAAGAGATAAAGAAACTCAAAGACAAATTGTTGTTAAAGAAATTCAAGTGAAATATGATGAAGAAGTACAACCTTTGATGGAAGAAATTAGTCTACATTCCACATTGAGTCATCCAAATATTGTGCAATATTTGGGATGTTGTTTAGTGAATGAGGAAATGGGCAAAGATTTTCTATTGATTTTTATGGAACATGTGCCTGGAGGATCACTGAGTTCATTATTACGATCAAAATGGGGACCATTGAATGAACCAGCGATGGTTTTATATGGAAGACAAATATTGGAAGGATTGAAATATTTGCATGAACAGAAAATTGTTCATCGAGATATTAAAGGAGACAATGTTCTAGTTAACACATATTCCGGAGTTTGTAAAATATCTGATTTTGGAACGTGTAAACGATTGGCTGGATTGAATCCAGTTACTGAAACATTTACGGGAACTCTTCAATATATGGCACCAGAAGTAATTGATCATGGACAACGTGGATATGGAGCACCAGCTGATATTTGGTCATTTGGTTGTACAATGGTTGAAATGGCAACTGGAAGACCACCATTTGTTGAAATGCAGAATCCACAAGCTGCGATGTTCCGAGTTGGAATGTTCAAAACACATCCACCAATTCCTCCAGAAATCACCGATAAATGTCGACAATTTATCAAGAGTTGTTTTTTGCCAGAAGCACATGAAAGACCGAATGCAAAAGATCTGCTACAAGATCCATTTATCCAACAATATCATCATTCGTGAGTTTTTATTTTATTTTTATTTTTTTAATGTTCAAAAAGGACATTATCGCGAAAAATAATTAGAAAATTTCACAAATTTTTGAAACGTAAAAAAATTAGGATTTTTCTAAATAGATTTTTCTAAAGATTTGAACAAAAGATCCACAATTTTGAAATTCTTCCGAAAGTTCGAATCAGATATTTTCTCATAAAACATTTTATTTGTAATTTTTAGGTTCAGACTTCTGAAAATTTTCAGAACTTCTGAGTTGTCCAAAAAAAATTCGGTTTTAATTATTTTTTTTTTGGAATTTTGATACATTTTTGTTTTAAAAATTCTGGAAAACGCAGAAATCTCTACAAAGGTTTTCCAGAATCTCTCGAACACGAAGTGGTTCAATCAACAAAAAACCAAGTGGAGCACCGAAACTCGACACAATATCGACTGAAGCAAAAGAGAAAAAAGAGAGAACAAAACAACAGCGAGAAATGTTGAGATCAACAAGTCATATTGGAGGAATGGGAGTTGTTGAAAGATCGCCACCAACACCAGAACCAACATCGGCTACTTTGACAGCTAATTTCGCGCATAATTGTCAACAAAATGCGAGAAATGCAGCAAAAGAAGAAAAGAAATTGCACTTGAAAATTGATAATTCAAGAATTCGAACATTTTCTGGAAGCAGCCCTGTTCCAGATGGACAATCTTCTGCTGGAACTAATCTATCACATCCAGGTTTTCATTTGAGTCAACCATCAAGTCCAATTGTTGATGATTCAAGTCAACCACATCTTGTTGTATCACCAATATCTTTAAGTATAACAGGATCGCCTTTATCATCAGCTGCTATTTTGAATCGAACAATTTCTGATGAAAGTTCGAATAGTTCACGATTTTTCATGCTTCAAAAAGATTCGGAAAGACGACGAACATTGGCACAATTTATGGGAGATTATAAAGATTTGATAATTGATTCGTGGTCGACTCGATTAATCAAAGCAAGTGATTCGAGTGAACTTGTTGTAACTGTTGATATTTTGGAAATGCTTGTTGATGGAATGCGAGATTTTTTATCGAAAAAGGATAATGTTCATATGCAAAAAACAATTGATAATATTCGTGGATTATTGGATTATGACACAGCTAAAATTGGACAAGTCAATTTGGCTCTTTATGATTTTTCGGATTCTATTCAACCAGTTCTTCGAAGACTTGATATTAAACCACATTGGATGTTTGCATTGTCTAATCTTATTACATCTGCAGTTAATTGTGCAATCTCGATTCTAAGTCCTGATCTATCAATGCTCCTTCATGCTGAAGAACATACAACAATGCCATCTTCTTCATCAATAAATGCAGTTCGTAATTCTTCATTATCTGAAGGCGAAGTTCTTGTTGACAGTAGGCCGCCAAGTCGAGAAGAACGTCGAGAACTTCGAACAATTCAAGAAGAAAATGAGGGACTTATTGATAAATTAATGCATGTCGAAAGAGAATTGAATACACAACTGAGGAATGGGTTAGTGAGAGCACAACGAATACGAGATCTCACACTATTTCGAGCCAATACATGTTTCAATACTTATCCACCATTTCGAACTCCTCCAACAATTGCTCCGCCAACACCGCCTTTCAGCGCTTCTTGTGGACAGCCTCCGATATTTCCGGCTGGTGGACCACAAAAGATTATAATGCCACCGGGAACTTATAATATGACACGAACTCAGGAAGAACTTGTTGGTTGGTTGAGAAGTTTGGATGTTGATGAAAGATCGATTGCATTGATTGTCACTGAACAATATTCGAAACAAGATATTTTGGAATTTGTGACCAGAGAGGAATTGTTGAATATTGGAGTATCGTAAGTTTTTTGGGATATCTTTTTTTAGAGAAGCTTGGTAAAATTCTGAATAATACATATTTTTCTATATAGGCTAATTTGTCAATTTTGTTGGAACAAAAATTCTCTAAATTAACCTATAGGGAATTTTCAGACTTTTCTGAAACAATTAGGAAATTACTTTTTAGGTCTTTAATTTTTAATTTTCTTTAAAAAAATCAGAATTTCAAACATTTCATCTCTCACAATCAAACAAAATTTGAGATGTTCCATTTTCCGAATTTTTGGCTCAAAAAAACTTGCCCCAATTTCTCTTTTCTCACTTCCACAAAATATTCCAATATTGTTTTCAGAGGTGGATCTTCTTGTCGAATAATTCGAGCTGTCCAAGAAACTCGTCAACGTCGTGCTCCAGTGTTTCTTTCTCCAATGCGTAGCCGCGATGATTCACTCGATGATTATCATTCGAGCAGCGCTGATGATGTGTATACTGTAGCTGAAACAAACTAATCGTTTACTTATAATTGTGATACTTTTTACTTATAGTCCTACTTTTTCTTGTTTTTTTTTCCTGTCCAGAGATTTTTATTTATTCCACAGATGTATGTATTTGCCCCCGCCCAGATTTCCGCACTATCTCTTTTCGTGTAGCGATTGATTCGTCGTATTTATTAGTCTTTCTATTCACTTTTTTTGATTTTTGAGTTGAATTTGCAAAATATTTATGTGTTTTTGAAACATGAATTTTTTGAAGTCATCCTTCGATTTTTCTAGTTTGTTTTTGAAATTTCAAAGTTTGCTCTTTGAGGTACCGAAAAAAAAAAAGAAAACAGTATTTAAATTTGAAACTGCACGTGTTGGGTCTCGAAGCGATCTCGAACTTTTCAGTCACATTTGAGCTTTTGACTTTCTTAGAATACGGTTGTTTGGTCTTGGCGTCAATTTTTCTTTGGAAATTTCCCAGCCAATTTTTGGCCTTTTATATCGCATGCCATCACGAAAATTTTCATAATTAAATCAGCTGATAATTATCATTCACATTTTGATTCGCTACGAAAAGTTCAAAAATTGATGTTTCTATTAAATTGTGTGTCCTTTGACAGATATTATTGATAAGAAAAGGCCTCAAGACAAAAAAATGTGGTTCGATATTCTTTTTTATTACTATATTTTATTGTAAAAACACTTTTATTGTTCAAAAAATTATCAATTTTTCGAAAATTGCTTCAAGACTCCCTCTTCTCTCATTTCCACCCTCTTGTTTGTCTAGACATTTTCTGTGTGTCAGCTATGATGGGCAATGTGGCCGAGTGGTTAACGTTTGCGCCGACTAATCACAAGGTTACGGGATCGTGGCCGCTTCCCCGCAAGCACGCAGAAAGTCGACTTGTCCGTTTGAATCGTTCGAGTCGTTGATTACGCGTGCGAGACCGACGCCATAGGTATCATTCTTCTGATTATTATCAGCGGAACATCTAAATATGGCTACACTTCTTTTTAACTTTTTAAAAAATTTTCTAATTTAATGATGTTACTTAAGTTATCGATCTATTTGTTTGCGGCGAAAAAAACTTTGATTTTCTTCTTTTCTCTGACTATAGTATAGTGTACGTGAGTTATAGAAAATGTGTAGTGAGAGATAGAAGACGGACCCTTTTTCTTTTTTATTTTGCACGCATTTGTTGTTTTGTTGGCCTAGAAAACCAACAACTTATTCTATATTTCTTCAGCAAATATGATTGGGAAAGCGTTAGAAATCAAAAAATTAGTGGATCAGGAATTGCCAGAACATCATGGTTTCGAATCGCATATGTTCAAGGTAATCTTTTATTTTTTATTGAAAATAAAATTTTAAATTGTATAAGCCACGTGGAAAACGTGAAATACTAATTTTAAAAATAATTTCATTTTTTGCAGATAGGGAGCTATAATTCATCAGTTTCTGATCTTTTCACTCTCCCATTTCCCGAATCAACAATGGCATTACTCATATTAAGCACTCCAGATATGTTTGACGTGGCATTTCGAAAATGGATTGTAAATAAAACACAAGAAGAATATTCGGGAAATTTTGATGAGATGACTGAAGAATTATCATCGCCAATTCAAATGTTTCTTGAAGATCGACTTGAAAATTTGAAAGATAAATTGGAACTCGCTGAACATCGACATGAAATATTGCATGATTATTCACTAACTCCACAACGTCGACCAAGAATTCTTATGCAAACATGCGGACATGTTGCGGGTGCTGCTTATTATTATCAACCAAGACATTTTGCGGATTGTGAGGAAAATTGGCCATTGCCTGGAAAAATGGGGCCAAATTTGGTGAGTTTTTGTGAATAATTTAATTATTTCATTCATCGAACATTTCTCAATCAATAATTTTTTTGTTCAGAAATTCATCGGTTTATCGCTTCACCCAGTTTATGGTGGACATTTCGCATTTCGAAGTGTTTTGATATTTCCTGATGTTCAAATTCCGGAATATGTTGAAGAAGAACCAAAACCGATTTTGACAGCGAAAGAAGAAGTTCGAGAAGCGTTGGAAAAATTCAATTATAATTGGAAGGATTCTGGATTTAGGTAAGGAATTTGGGGTTTTAAAAAGGGCTATCGGGAAGAATTTTGGATTAGTGCTTGAAAATTAGGTGAAAACAAATTTGAATTGCGAAAAATTTTAAATTTACGAAACATTCATTTTTTTGTCGATTAAACTTTGCAAAAATTGTTAGGAAAATTTTACGAAATTTCACATTTTTCAGAAAACAATTTTTAACATTTCAAAATTTTCAGTTGAAAAAATCAACCCCCCCCCCCCCCCCAAATCAAAATCAGATCCGCTCAAAATCCCAACATTTTCTAATTTCCAGAGACTTTGGCTGTCCAACCCATCGCTATTCTGCAACCCAAATGGAATTCTTCGGTCGTCCAGTCTCCGAACGTTGGGAAGTTCTTCGACCATGGATTGATGGACAACCAAGAAATCTCAAAAATCAAACAAAAAATTGAATCTGTAATCCAATGCATAATTCTATTGCCTTTCAAAAATTCTACGGGACCTTATAATCTTGCCATTGCTCATATTATATTGTCATATATTTATTGGTTGTGTTAGGTTGGAATATAGATATTATATCAATTTATTTATATATTTTTATAAGTAAACTCTTCTGTGTATAACCCGTTTTTTTTTTTGAATTTTCAAAAATAAATTAATCAAAAAGTGGCTGGCCATTGATTTCAGGCTCATTTGACTTTCGATTTTCATCCTCAATAATTTGACCATCTGAATTAACCAGCACAATTTCCATATTATTCCATTCGTCTCCCATTTCCATTTGTAATTGATCAAATTGTTCCTGAGTTAGTGTAATTACTTCTCGACCATCTTCATCTTCTCCTTGATCAATTATTCCTTCGACATGTTCTTCGGAAACTTCTTCTCTTGGATTTCGTTGATGAGCGTGAACAATTCGGACCTACAAAAAACACGGGGATTTTTTGAGATGTTTTTGGTGAAAAATGTAAAAAAAACCAGATTTTCTAGAAATTATTGGTTTTGAAGTGACAATTTCAGAATTTCAAAAAATCAAATCAACAAACCTTTCCAGTCTTTGCATGTTCTTTCTCTCCACCATTTGATGTTTCTCCATTTCCATCATAATCATTATCAAACATCACATAAACATCTCCATTAATCTCCATTCCTTCAGGTATAATAACTTGCATAGTTCCATCTGGTCCTTGTACCAATTCTCCTTCAAAGTTTTCCCCATCAACTTCAACACCTTGCGAACTTGTTCCTTCAACTATTTCCTCATCAATTTCAGCAGCTGGTGAACCAGGAATATGACATCTTCGATGTCTAATGAATTCTTGTCTATCCATATATTTGATATTACAACATGTCCAATAAATTGCATCTTCTTCAACATCAATTCGAAATGTTGGCAAACCGCCAGTTTCAACAAAACATCCGAATACTGTTTTATTATGAACTCTTTGCATATGTTTGATGAGAAAAACTGGTCGATTTAATTTAAGTGGACAATCTGGGCATTGAATTCGACATGGAACATCACCTTTTGTTATTTTTCCCATAACTTTGTCATCTTGCGGTGCTTCCCATTTTCTTTTTCTTATTTGCCGCCGAGATTTGATATAATCAGGAATCGCATTCCATTGATCATTTACATATGCGCGAGAATTTAGGACAACATTATGAACATCGGTTTTATGCAGATTGAGTTCCATGAGACTTTGAGAAATGTTTCCGCAGAATTTACAAATATAGCTGCAAAAATTATAGAATTTGACTGTGATAAGTTATTTTTATAAGTCTTTGAAATTTATATATCTAAAATGAAGATATGACGTGGCAACGTTAAAAATGCATGATTTTTTGAAATACCCAAATCATACTCAGAAAACGTCTCGTCAGCCGTCCGCGAGGTTGCGAGCTGTCGAAAGCTAGCAGAGGCATTTCGACAGCTCGCCGCGAGGTTGCTAGCTGGCAGAACCTAGCAGGCGCTGTCTGCGAGCTAGCAAACTGACAAATTAGTATCAGAATTCGACGGCCGTCTGCCGGCTCGCGGACGGTTGACGAGACGTTTTCTGAGTAGGTTTTGGCGCAAAAATTTCAGAGTCAATTTTGTTGTGAGTGATGATGACGTGGGAAAATTTACAAATTTCGAATCTTATGAGAAATGAAGCTTCGTAAAATTTCAAAAACAAGGCTAGAAATTCAACAATTTAAGAAATTCGAATCAAACTTTCAAAATTTTCCGGAGCTTTGTTTGAAAAAATTAAAAAATGTTATGTTCTGATTTGTGATAAGCATATCATGATTTTCTTGAAGGATCCTCATAAAATACAAAAATATTTACCGTTTTTTTCTCATATGATGTGATTGAATATGTCCTCTCAATTTATTTTCATCCATAAATACCAAACTACACGAATCACAAGTCAATCTTTGCACAATTTCAACTCCATATTGTTCCAATAATTGCATTCTTAATTCGTCATTCTTTTTATGTGCTCTTTGATGTGATTCCATTGCAGTTGGATGTGCTGCATTTATCAAAACATTACAAATATTACATGCTTCATAACTATCCGCGTGACTATCATTTTCTATTGGATTTTCAGCATTCATTGATGCTCGAATCATTTCTGTCGCTCTTGCTTCGTGTCTCATTCGATCAATAGTTTGTCTTTCTTTTGATCGTATTTTCTCGAATTCTCTTTTCTTCCATTCCGCGCTAATCATCAAAATCTCACTCATCACAACATCAATTTCATTTGGATGATGCTCTTTCGCGTGTTTTTCCAATCCTGAACTCGTCAAAAACACTCGTTCAACACAATATCTACAAGGATAAGATTCAACTTCATTTGCGATTCCTGGCAATTCTTTGGGTATGAAAATTGCATTCGGATTCACTGTCAACATTCCGGATTGCACCTCGAATCCTGCAGATCGCAGTTTATCCAACTCATAGTTCCGTTGAGTATTTAGATTTGGTTTCAACTCTTTTTTGACCGGATTTTTCCGCGCAATTATTCTCGGCGGCTTCCGTGGCCCACCGCCAATCACATTCGCCATACCTTAAAATTTTATTTAGTTATTAAAAAAAAACCAATAACGAAACGCCCTCAAACGCGAAAAAAAAACAAAAAACAAAAAAAATATTTTTCTCGATCAGCGTGATGTTTTCTAGTCCGCGCATTTCTGGAAAGCTCTTCCACCACCAAAAACCACCCAATTTTCACCACCAAACTGGTTTTTTCGATTTTCTAGTCGAAATATTGATTTTCCTCATGAAAAGTGCTACAAATTGATATCAAAACAAAGAAAAATTTATTAAAAAATAGTACAAAAAAAGGAAGAAATAAATATTGAAAAGCGAATTATCACAGCGACAAAAATACTTAAAAAGAGGAAGAAAGGAAGGGGATTTTTTAAAGGGAGGGAGAAAAATAGAAGATAAAGCTAGAAAGAATAAAGATAAGGAGATGAGAAGGAAATACCCGGTTATACTTTGAGTTCTTGAATTTGTTTGATCAAGTATGCTTTTTCGTCATTGAATTGTTCGTCTTCGGTTCGATCTTGATGGAAAGTTGAAAGGAATTCGACCTGGAAATTTTTGTCGTCACATAAAGTTACAAATTTTGAATTTTTAAAAATTAAAGAAAAATTCAGATTTAAATGCTACTACTACTTTTTCTGGGGTGATTTGCATGTATTTTAGAAAGCAAAAATCTTATTAATGTTCAAACTTTGAAAAATAATTCATTTCCACCCGAAATTCCGCTAAATCCTCACCAATTTCTCGCGATTCCTATTCAAAATATCAAAAATTGGTCTTGGTTTATTGGGATTCGCCACAAATATTTTGAAGACATGAAATGCCTCATATTGAATATTTCTTCGTTTGTCGCGCAACAATTCCATAACCATTTTCAAATTGTCTTGACTCGAAATATATTTATTCATTGTATTGAAATTGTGTCGATCCAACAACATTTCGCCCAATAATTTCAACGATTGTCGACGAGTCACATAATTTGGCGAGTTTGTCAATTTTTCATATTGTTCTGCAAAATGGGACGGGTGAATTTTGTGAAGAAATTTTGATTTACAAAAAATGTTTCAAAAAATTCAATATGGAACTCATTTTTTCAGCCCAAAAAATATCCCAAACAATCTCACCAAAAAACGCATCATAATTCTTGTCCAAATACTCAGAACACAATTTTTTGTGTTTTGTCATCAAATCTTTGAAAGTCGAAAATGCATCAGTGGCAATATCAAAAACATCGCTTTGAACAAAAATGAAGAATCGATTGAAATATTCGGAATAAAGCACGATTTTGGCGAGTTGTTCGTGTCGAATTGCTTCGCGAAGCATTGAACCACTTGTTAGAGCAATATCTGGTTGCTCATAGCTGAAAAGGAGATATTTAGGCAAGACTTTCGATTTTTAAATTACATTCCAATTTCGTTGTTAAAGAAAAAAAACTTGAAAACAATATTTTTCCCTAATTTTTTTCCACAAAACCTTACCCCAACAAAAGTGTAATCAATATTTCAGGTCTCGCTGCCAAAAATTCAACAGTCGGTGATCGATTTCCAATTTGTCGACGGAGCAAATTATTGAAAACCGACGCCACATCTTTTTTGCATTCGAATTCGAATTTGTGCAAATGTTTGATGAGCAACAATAAGATATTGCTATTATAAACTTCTTGTGCCAATTGCGTGACTTGATCATTATTTGGTTCATTTGCATCAGAACCATAGATAAACGTTTTGGCGAGTCCCAACATTTTGCCGACTTCTTCGATCGCTTTTTCGCATTTTCGTTCGTTTTGTGTTACGTTGAACTGTAAAAATTAATTTGTGGCACTTATTTTGAGAATGAAAAATTTTACACAAACTCTTTCAAAATTCAGAGCTCGTTTATCATTGCGAAAAATAGAAGGAACACTATCTAGCACTTGGAAATTCTCAACTAATAGCTTTGAAACGTAATTTTTTCTTTCAAATTTTTTTCCGAAGTCGGAATAAATTTTTTTAAAAACTATATTTAGATTTTAGAGAACCAACTCCAACAAGTTAAAAATTTCAGAGTTTTGTTTTGAAAAATTGTTCAAATTTTATAAATTATTGATTTTGCAAAGAGAAAATATGAAACAATTTCTAACTCATAGAATTTGTCAAACCATATTTTTAAAACGTATTTTTCATTTAAAATATAAGCATTTCTAGCTGCCCAGAATATTTTAAAAGGGTTAAAAAAAAGTTCACTAACTCTATCAATAACTTGAAGTGCATCTTTCAAATTTTTCACAACATCCGCCGGATTTTTGTCACCTTTTCCAAACAACGGTTTTAACATATCCATTTTGAGATCTCTGAAAAACCTCTGAAAATATATGAAAATTTTGAAAATAATCGTAAATATTAAGAATCTTGTTATATTAACAATTTCTAATATCAATCAAAATTTGGAAAAAAACAGGCAGGCTTTATAACAAAATCAACAAAATCTCTAACAATTTTTTCTTGAAACAAAAAAAAACGGGTCAAACATCTTTCAGCTTCAATTTTCTCTGATATTCTCGTTGTTTTTCGTCGACCAAATGTTTTGTGTGAAAAAACCAATATAATAAATCGTCAAATTCTCCCGCATACTTTTTTCGCAATCCCAATTCATAATATTCTCGTAATGTATAATAAATTGCCTCGATTGTAGCCAAACCAGTATCTGGAACATTGTGTTGAGGTCGCCAAAATGCGGTGCGATATTGTTGAAGGCAAATGTGTTGGAGGCCTGCAAAAAATGAAGGAAAATTGGAGAGAAATTGTTTCCCGCTTTCCGAAGATTAAGATAAACTTTAAAAAAGATTTATTTGTTTTTTTTTTTAATTCAAATTTACCCAATTAAATTTTTTTTCGAGAAATTAAAAAAATTTTGAGAACACAAATGCATAGAATAATTCTGAAATGTGTAATGTTTTATTTAATTGTTTGAAAAACATTTTTTTGAAATCTCAGGTCAAATTTTCTAAGTTTCTTCGATACTTCTCTTGTGCAATGATTGCTAGAAAATTCGTTTTTTTAAATTGTTTAACTGAAATAAAAGACCTACCTTCAATTTCTGGTGTTTTTTGCATTTTCCCAACTTGAAACCACGTGCAATCCAAAACCACAATTCTTCGGATATCTCCCCGTTGTTTCACAAATTCTTCAACACTAATAGCTGATTTGCTAGGAAATACCACAGCCTGAAATGTTTCAACTTGAAAATATAAAATTTTTCAAATAAAAATACCTACCGTATACCTCCTATCATCTTCCGAATCTTTTCTATAATCATGAACATTTGGGTGGTCGAAAACCTGAAAAAATGAGGAAATTGGAATTGGACAGGAAATTGGGAAAAGGAAAAAAATGACTCTAGTTTGAGATGGCGCCAAAATTTTGCAATGCAAAGCTGATGATTTGCTATTCTTTTCCATTGGATGTTTGATTATATCGACTAAGCAGGGAAGCTGAAAAATAAGAATTTTAGGAGGATGGGAGGAAGAGTTGATATTTGACGGAACTTTGTATGTTTCAGACTGGAAAATTATACTTTTTCCTTTAAAAATCTGAGTTTTTAGCGGATTCTGGCAGATTCGAAAGAACATTATTTGAAACCCAAACATTTTCTTTTTTAAGAATTCCAATGTTTTCCCAAATCTGCCCCAACTCACTTTTACACTTGGCATAAATACTCCAGGCATCGGTGTTCGACAATCATAACAATAATACATCCGACTTCCCTTGCATCCTAAAAAATCAGAATTTTTTTTGAATAGGACCTTCGGAAAACTAAATAGATCACAGGCTTTTTGGATTCTGGGCCCTATTCAAAAATCGCCTTAAAATCATGTTTTAACCAAAATCTCACCTCCACATTCCGATTTTACACATCCTTCTAATTTATCATAACTTGATAATTTCACCTCATGTTCACTTATCACAGACATCTAGATTATTCTGTTTTGAGAATGTTTCCATGCTTGAAAATTAAATACAACTTCGGGTAAAATACACCGACTTTTTTCAAAATTTCAAACTCAAAAATTATTATATTTCTTTATTTTTTTAAAATAAAAATCTGAAGAAAAAACACAAAAGGCAATAAATAAGTACAGTAACCCATAATCAAATCGTATATTCCCTGAAAAATTCATTGAAATTCTCAGCGAATCGAGAAAAATTGAGATCATTGATGATAATTTGACAAGTTTCGAAAATGTTGTTCATATCTTTGGGTTCGAGTTGTTTCCAATCATTGACGCCAAAATATTTCGTAATGCTTTGAGCCTGCAAAAAAAGAAATGCATTAATTTGGAGATGGAAGAGGAAAATCTTAGGCCATGAGATCGGGATTTTTTAATTAGGGTTTTTGAGGAAATACATAGAAAACAATTTGAAATTGTTTGTGGAAAATTCTCTATCTGCTTTTTTAAAATCAAAAATTTTAAAATAAATAAAAACTCTAGATTTAATTTTTTTTCGAAAATTGAGTTTCAGAGATTTTCCCATAAATAATATATTCTTCGAAATTTTCTCAACAAACAAAAAAAACTATCATTTTTCTCTCCAAATCAAATCAGTAGAAATTCATCAGAAACATTTTGTAAATTGAATTTCTCTGTATTAGAATTTCGAGTGAAAACATTTGCTTAATTTTAGCCCAATAATTCAAATTCCAAAAATGTTCCCAATTTTCAAACTCACATAAAAAACACAATGCATTCTACAAATATCAATCAAATCTCCACTAATTCGACTTTTGACTTCTTCTTTCGTAATCTGATTATTCAAAATTTGTGCAACTGTAACAAACATCACATCAACAATTGACACTTTTTTCTTGCAAACTGTTATCAACATCGATTTTTCCATGCAAATTTGACATAGGCGATCTTTTTCGGGTTCATTTTCGATAATCTCACATTTGACAATAACACGAGCTTCTTCTTCTTCTACTTTTACAATTGAAGACGGTCCAGGTTCCGAATCTTCTTCGATTTTTATTGGTTTTTCGGGAGCCTTTTCTATCATCGTCTTTTTCTTTCTTCGAGGTTCAGCCATTAGAATATCTTCGGGAATTGGTGCAACTCTGAAACATCTTGGTTTATAAAACAAAGATTTATCAAGGTTTTTTTTCAACCAATCACTTACACATCTCTATTGAAAACTAATATTTGTTTGGCGACTTCAGGAATATCGTGAGTATTTCTCTCAACAATTTCAATTCCCTCTTCTTCATCTTCTTGTTCTTCACTTCTAGTTTGATCAATCAACATAATCAAATTCACATCCTTTTCTGCGATAATCCCTCGACATCTAAATTGTTCATCTCTCGATGCACTTTTCAACATATCATTCAACTCTTCTTCTTCTAAAAATTCGCAAATATGCCGAAACTTTCCATATTTTCCGAAATAATAATGAATATCAATTGCAATCGCCGGTTCGCATAAAAAACTTTTTGCTTTTTCAAAGAATGTTTCCAATCCAGAATTATTGTTTTCTTTCCACCAATCGAAGGGATTTGTGTATTTTCCGGGTCTTTTCTTCTCCACCAAACATCGATATTCATGAAATTGTTCGCGAATTTTATCATTCCATTTCGATGAATCTTTTGTAGTAATTTTGTAGTAAAATAAATTCGAAACATTATTTTCAATTTTCATCCAAGTATCCTCGGTATAAATTGGAGAATATGCAAATCTCGGGTCAAAAAAACAACTCATCATATTCTTCTCAATAATTATTAGAGGAAATAAATGAAAATCGATGAGCCTTTTGATACTTTTTGATAAATCCGCCATTTCGTCATCGACAAATTTGATGATGTCTAAAACAGTTGGAACTATAACCGAAATAACATTATCGCTTGCAACACGATGAGCCAATTTTTGACAATGTCCGAGGATTTTGCCAAGTAGAATTATGTTTCGAAAATGCCGAGTATTCATTGATTCAATTTGCGATAATTCGGAACGCTGAAATTAAATTTATACATACAGATGGTTCAAATTAGTATTTCTACAGTTTCATCAAAACTTTCACCCTCTACCCCTTTTTTGATAACAAACTTACGATTTTCAAGCATTTTGCAATAAATATACTAATCGATGTCCAAGAAGATGAATCAACATTTGGCAATTTGTTATTCAAACCTTTTCGAAGATATCGATATTTGTCATATTTTGCAGGATTCATTTTCACACGACTCACATAATCAATCAAATAATTTGCTGATTCTTTCAGTGGAGGTAGTAATATAACATCATTCGCAAATTTGGTAAGAATCTCGAAAAAGCAAAGAGATGGAGAATTCTTGAATATTGCTTGTTCCACTGATTTACTTGCCAATAATGATGTATTTATTTGTCGAAATGGTAATATTGATGAAGATATTTGTCTTATAAATTGAAATAGAGAAGTTGTTGGATGTTCGAATGAATCAAGTTTGAATAAGAATATTCTGTCGACTCTTGATGATGAAATTTCATCATAAAAATGAATTGAGAATGCCAAATATGTGGTTTCTTCTTCTTTTATGAAATCAACAGTTAAATGAACTTTAGAATTAGAGCAAACGTATTCTATGTTTTTATCTTTTTCAACTGCTTTTTTCAAACATTGCTTCAAATCGTCATTGCTTGGGAAATCATACTTTTCCAAATCTTCAACATTCTTCGAAAACATCTCAAAAAGAGTATCATTGATATTTTGAAATGGGATTCCATTTTTCGCCAGAAATCGACAAAATAAATCATCAGCCATGGCTTTTGAAAAAACTTTAACTTCGGATGTTGATTCTTTACTCGTACTTGGCCGATTTGGTGATGGTTTCTTTAAATGTAATGCAGGAACAATGCTTGACACAACAATTCTTCTCTTATTCGTTTCTGGAGTTTTTATTAAAACTGCATTCGGCGGTTCTGTTGGTTTAATGAGTTGCAAAACTTCTTCAGTTTCATATTTAGCCATTATACGACGCCTTGAATAACTAACTGTATGTCCGCCAAGTGATTCTTGTTTTCTTTGTTGTTCTTCCAAAAATTGTTTATTCATTTCGCTGAAAACATTAAATTAAAACTTGATATAATAATTAAATACGTTAACTGAAATCTTGATATAATAATAATATTCAATAACTCACACTCTACGCTCCATTTCCATCCTAAACTTCTTAACGTGCGACATATTTCATTCAGATTTCACTGCTTTTTACAAATCCCAAACCTAAAGAAAGAACGGAAAAAATAAGAGTGTATGTCAACACCGACTGCCCGCAAACACCAAATCCTACGCGCAACCTTGACGCGAAATACGCGCTGTGTGTTTTCGCGAAGAAATTTCTGGGGATTTTTAAAAATTGGGAACCCCCCCCCAGATTTTAGAAATGGACACGTTTAAAGTATAACATATGGGAACCCTGAGAATCTCTCCAATGCCGCTTTTCCCTTGGAGAATACTAGTCACAAAAAAAACGAATGAGACGCTAGAAAGTAGAGAAAAGGGGGAATTATAGAGAGCGCGAGAGAAACAGAGACACAATGTGCGAATCTTGGAAATTGTCGGTTGTTTGATTTTGCCTAAAAAACAAAGTGTTTTTGGTAGTGTTTTTCGCAAAAAACAAAAATAGATGTGCGTCAGATTAAATGTCGAGTACGCAAACGTGTTTGCACGCTTTTTAAAATTCTACAGTACTTTGAACATTTTTTATTTTTTTCGAAAATTTTCCTTTTTTCGAATTGTATAATACAATTCGAAAAAAGGACAATTTGTATTCTTTTTCGGGTCAACTATTCAAAAAATTTAAAATAAAACATACCTGCTAGTTTTCGTATAATACAATAAAAGCTTTTTTAGATTTTTCCTGCTCATCGCTTTTTCAATTCTAAAAATAAAATTTTGAGCTTTCAAATTTTCACCGTCTGAAAATGACCTTTCTAATTACCAAGTCTTTTGATGTGTATTAAGAAGTGCTTTGAAAGTTTAAATAGTTAATGTACTTCTGGATGCAATTTTGTTCTACTACAGTAGCCTGAAATATTGATCATTCAACATCAAAATATTTTCCTAATCAAAAATAAAATCTTTTTCAGAACTACTTACAGTACCTCGCAAAACTAACCTGTATAAAAGAAAAACGAAAAATACCAAAAAAAAAACATTTTCTAAAATTCTCATTTTGCACACTCCAATTTCTCAACGAAAAAAAAATGAATAAATATCATTGATTAAATATCACAGCGAAAAAAAATTATTTTTTCTGTTTCCGTGTGGTACGGTGCGCAAAACAGAAAGTGTTTGCACACACAAAGGAAAAAAACAAAAAACAAAAGGGGAGAACACACTCTGGATTTTGTTCTTTTTCAGCTGAAAATCAACTACTCAAAAAAAATGTAAAATACAATTAGCTCATTCATCATAAATAAAAAAGAGAAACAGTAAATACCCCGTTCTTGTTAGTCGTTATTATCGTAAGTTATCATAGTTTTAAGAAATTACTTCGGAAACAATAGCAGCTGGAGGTTTCAAATCAATCGCATCACCAACAATTTCATCGAGTTCTTCTAAAACAACATGGAATCCGAAATGAAGGTAAATAATCAAAAGAAGATGAGCTGCGATTGAAACTCCGATAAGAATCAGGCGATTCGCTGGAATTCTTGATTGGGAACAGATAATCAAAGCCATTCGAAGAGCTGATGGAACACAGAATATTCCAAGTAATAGCATGAAAAATAAATGATCGTGTGAAGAATGGAACAGAGATGTTAACAGAAGAACTAAACAATGCGAAGTCAGTGAATAGCCCTGGAACATTATCAGATTGATAAGGAACGAAAAATCAAAGACTTACAAAAGTTGAGAGAATTGTGAGCATTGGAGTTTCTGCGGATAATAGAAAACATGCCAACCAAAGACCTCCTGAAATCAAAGCCCAGCTTCCAAAACAAGTAAACATAGCGGTTCCCATCAATGTTCCATTTTGAATTACGATTCTAAATAAGGCAATTTTCGGAGTTTGAACTTTAAGAGAATTCAACATACCCGCTAGTTTTCATATTATACAATAAAAGCGCGACACTTGTTAAAATAATCATAGTTGGTCCGTATAAATCAGGCGAAACTGTGATTTGTGACGGTTTTCGTGGAATAAAAGATCTGATCAATCTTTTTCGAACAACGGCGGGTTCAACATCGAAATACGGCCGGAAAAGATCAATTCGTCCATAGGATTTGAATGTATCTTGAACTTGTTTTGAACCAGCTTCCCACATCTACAAGATTCTTACTTTAGTTTTAAAAGGGAATTTTTTCGCTTTAGATTTTTGAAATGAAATATGGTTTCTGCCAGATTTTCCAAACTTTCTGGTAGATTTCAGCCTGCTGATTACGATTCCGTGATATTTTTATCTGAACATGACTTATATTGTGGCAAATTTCGAAAAATTCAAGAAAATATTTTTTCATAAATTCAAGAAACTTTGTACGTTCAAACTTGAGCGAATTAGTTTTCAACAACAAATACAGTATCAGACAGTCAGAAGGATCATATATTTTATACTTTAAATATCAAAAAAGCTATTTTAATTTCTTTATAAAATAATTTATTTTTAAATCTCACCATTTTTCCAAGTTGTGTCTGCATTCCATACGGATTCTCCTGCTCATTTTGCTGCTGCTCATATCCTGGAGTACTTCCTGATCTTTGCCTCGTATGACCCTCTCCAAAAGTCGGGTCCATTTTCTCCGATGTTTTTTACCTTGAAAAAAAATGGAAAATGAAAATAAAACACGTCAGCGATTATTTTTGCAAATGCGCCAGTTCTATGTAGGCTGACACGCGAAATTTATTTATTCCAATTTTCGCCTCGTGCTCGTGTTCTCTCTCTCTTCGTTCTCGTTCATTTCGTAATTTTTGCAGACTCGACTCACTATGGAACGCCTTTCGCGTTCTGGAACACAATCGGATACTGATGAAGTTGAACTTGGAGATCATACCGCCACAATACATTTGGATATGACATCAGGTATTATTTTTTGTTGAAGAAGTTATCTATATGTTTTTTTTAAGGAAGCGGGTCTTCAACAGATTTCAATCCATTTTCTGGTAACAAAGATGACACAGCATTTGATGTCAATGACGCTCCGACGTTTTTCAGTAAATATGGGGATTTTCACACAATTGATTGGCAAAGAGATCTTGCCAGGGATCGATTACGACATAAAATGATCAAGCATAAAAAGTTTGTTTATATATAAATATAGTTGAAATCAAAAGCCTCTGTATAATTTTATAAATATTTAGAGTCGATTTCCCTTTGGGACTATTACAATCTGGTTGGGATGCAGGAGCTGGTTGGATATGCGTATTATTTGTTGGAATTGCTGCCGGTGCAACTGCTGGAATAATTGATATTGGTGCTCGATGGATGAGTGATTTGAAGACTGGAATTTGTGCTGATCGATTTTGGTTAGATCGAGAACATTGTTGCTGGTCTTCGAATGATACATTTTTCAAAGATGATGATTGTAAAGCGTGGACAAAATGGCCGTGGATGTTGAATGATTATAACAGTCAAAGTTTTGCATTTTTTCTAGTCGAATGGATTTTTTATATTGGATGGGCGGTTGCGATGTCAACATTGGCTGTATTATTTGTCAAAATCTTTGCGCCATATGCTTGCGGTTCTGGAATTCCTGAAATTAAATGTATTCTGTCTGGTTTTGTCATTCGTGGTTATCTTGGAAAATGGACTTTCATTATTAAATCAGTTGGTTTGATTTTGTCGTCAGCTTCTGGATTATCATTGGGAAAAGAAGGTCCAATGGTTCATTTGGCTTGTTGTATTGGAAATATTTTCTCATATTTATTTCCAAAATATGGAATGAATGAGGCGAAAAAACGAGAGATTCTATCAGCTTCTGCAGCTGCTGGTGTTTCAGTTGCTTTTGGTGCACCAATTGGTGGAGTTTTATTCAGTTTAGAAGAAGCATCATATTATTTCCCTCTCAAAACAATGTGGCGAAGTTTTTTCTGCGCTTTAGTCGCTGGAATTATTCTACGATTTGTCAACCCATTTGGAAGTGATCAAACCTCTCTTTTCCACGTGGATTATATGATGAAATGGACTTTTATTGAATTGGTACCTTTTGCATTGTTAGGATTATTTGGAGGAATTCTTGGAAGTTTGTTTATTTTCGCAAATATTAGATGGTCAAAATTCCGAAAAAATAATAAAATCTTGGGAAGTAATCCGATTTATGAGGTTATGATTATTACTTTGATCACTGCGTCAACTGCATTTTTCAATCCTTTCACAAGAATCAGTGCAGCTTCAATGATTCAACAACTTTTTGATAAATGTGAAGGACAAGTTGATGACGATGTTTTATGCGATTCAAATCGATTATTCACGTTGTATGGACAATTGTTTTGGGCGTTGTTATTCAAATTTATAATCACAATTTTTACATTCGGTATAAAGGTTGGTATTTTTGGGTGGGAGTGGAAAATTCGAGGGGGGTTCTAATTTGTTTCCTGATCCGAAAAAAATTGGGAAAATGCTCAATTTCCTAATTTTACACAAAAAAAAACATGTTTTGGGCTCTAGGAAGATCTGTGACAGAAGTTCAACATTTTTTAGATTTTTTGAATTTCGGAATCGGAAATATTCAAATTTCCAAGCACTATAATTTTTTCAACTGAAAAGAAAGTTTTTGAAAATTCCTTATCGCCACAAACACGTTTTTTCTTTCAATTTTGCATATTTTTATAGGTTCCATGTGGTTTATTTGTTCCTTCGATCGCAATGGGTGCAATATCAGGAAGACTTATGGGAATAACTGTATCTCAAATTTTCGAATCAGTTCAAGCAACTCCCGGACACTCAGATTATTTTACTTGTCAACTTGGAAAAGATTGTGTAATGCCTGGATTATATGCAATGGTTGGAGCTGCTGCTGTTCTTGGTGGAGTTACTCGAATGACTGTTTCACTTGTTGTTATTATGTTTGAATTGACTGGAAGTCTTGAATTTATTGTACCAACTATGGTTGCAACTATGTTCTCGAAATGGATTGGGGATGGAATTAGTAAAATGGTGAGCATGCGGTTATCTTCAGTTTTCGAGAAAAAAAATCGTTTTTGAATTTAAATTTTTGAACTTTTCAAATTTTGGAAAAAAAATGATGAAAACATCAACTTTTGAAAGTAAAATTCGTTCTGGTTTTTGAATATTAAAAATTCAAAAATTCATCAAATTTTCCAGGGTATCTATGAAGCTCACATTGAATTGAATGGTTATCCATTTTTGGACAGCAAAGGTGAATATCCATATTCAACAGTTGCTTCACAAGTAATGAGACCTTCGATAAATCGACAACCGCCAGTTGATGAAATGAATGTGATGAGTGATTTTAGAGAAATGAAAAATGAATTGAGTGTGATAACTGAAGATGGAATGACACTTGGAGATTTAGAGGTGAGCTAATTCATGGTCAATTAAGTATCTAGGTGTTCAAGACGAAACATTCATTTCTCATAATGAACAAGTTGCCTCAGCTAATTTTTAATACTAGTATTCTCCAAGGGAAAAGCGACATTGGAGAGATTCTCAGGGTTCCCATATGTTATAATTTGAACGTGTCCATTTCTAAAATCTGGGGGGTTCCCAATTTTTAAAAATCCCCAGAAATTTCTTCGCGAAAACACACAGCCCGTATTTCGCGCCAAGGTTGCGCGTAGGATTTGGTGTTTGCGGGCAGTCGGTGTTGACATACACTCTTATTTTTTCCGTTCTTTCTTTAGGTTTGGGATTTTAATTATCCTAAATAATTCAAATTTTCTCAGAGTCTTCTTCGACAAACGGATTTCAATGGATTCCCAGTTGTTATTTCACAAAATACAATGCATTTGGTTGGATTTGTCACAAGAAGAGATATATTTTTGGCACTTCACACTGCCAGAAAAACACAACCCTATGTTGTCACAAATTCGACAGCATATTTTTCGGATAATGTTCCGGATTCAGTGCCTGGCGGAGCTGCACCGTTGAGATTGAGAAAGATTTTGGATTTGGTGAGGATCTTTGGGAGGAATATGGAGCTCCATGGATTTTTTTGTTGAAAATTTCCAATTTCAAAATGTATTTTTTCGCGAATTCGGAAAATCTCCGCTTCATATAAATACTTCATATAAAATGTTTTGAAAAGTTTTTTAACATAAGTCACCAGTTTTTAAATTTCTCGAAAAATATATATTTTTGCAGGCTCCAATGACAGTAACTGATCAAACTCCGATGGAAACAGTAATTGATATGTTCCGAAAACTCGGTCTTCGTCAAGTTCTCGTAACTCGAAATGGCAAAGTTTTGGGAATAATTACCAAAAAGGATATTCTACAATTTATGAGAAATGAAAATTCGACATAACTTCTATTTTTATCCACTTTCCATTTACTAAATTATTTTCTCATCCCGAATTCAAATATTTGTATATTTCACAGTTTTTTTTTGCCATATCAGACATGATTTTTCCTTCTTTTCTTCCTTTGTACGATTTATTTATTTCGAGCTTTTTTGGTGCATTAATTAGTCTTCCTTGTCAAATAGTATGTACTTTTTCAAATTTTTTTCCTGATCTGTCAATATTTTGATTTGATGATGAAGAATTTTCCCGTTTTTTGGCTTTATGAATTGAAACCAACAAAAGCTGTTCTGAAAACATTTCACTGTTTCATAGATTTTACAAATAAAAATCAATTATTCCAATGTGCAATCTAGTTTAATTGGTAGAAGTTGAAACTGGAAAACTTCCCAGTTTTAAAAATTTTGACCCGAAAAATTGATCCAAAACATAAAATACTTTGAATACAGTAATCGAAATTTCAAAATTTCAGACTGAAATCAATAATTTTGGATCGAAAAAGAAGAATGTGTAAATCTTTCCGGTTTTACAATTCTTTTTTTGCTTTTATGTGAACTATTTTTAAAAATTAAAAATTCTCCTATTTTTTCGACGTGCCATTTGAGAAAAAAAATGTGAAACCAGGAAAATGAAATGGTTCATTTTCTGATTTTATTAAATCGAAGCTCTGAAAATTTTTATTCTGAAAATAAGGTGAGTTCGAGTCTTAATCCTAGGATGCGAAAATTTTTCGTATGAAGTACTGTATTTCAGCTACTGTTACTGTAGATCATAAGTATCAAATAAAACTGGTCTATGTTCTAGAATGTTCTTAAAACCGGCACGTTAAAAGTTTCAAGCTTCCGAATGAGCTCCAAAAACAGCAACCCTGATTATTTCTTACTTTGAAATCATTTTTAGGTTTTGAAAGGCTCTATTTTGAAATCGGATACTTTTATGTAAACAATCATTTCAATTTTTGCTATCTGAAATTTTCAAAACTATACAATTCCCGATTAAAAAAGCAAACTAGACAAAAAATACAACAAAAATGCCCTTTTCTTCCCTTTTTTCCATCCAAAAGTGTTATTTATCACACATGGCGCATCTCTCCTCTTTTTATTCGATATCGAATTGAAATTCGAAAAATGTCACGTAGAAACAATAAGAAGATAGATCAAATGAAGTCATAAAATAAGAGTATTTGTGTGTTTTTTGAATCGGAAATTTGATATTTCTCAAGTTGCCCCCGGAAGTTTTGAGCTTATCATTCATGCACTAAACTCTTTTTTTTTTGCAAATACGTGCAACAAATAAATAATTGTTGTACTGTGCTCTTGTGTACACAAAAACCGTTTGCTTTTTCGTGTTGCAAACGTGAGCTTCTATGTTTTATGTGAGAATTGGATGAAAATTTGTGTTTTGGACAGGATCTGGGTTACTGTAGCTGTAGATATACAGTCTGGTACTTAAAGTTTAAAGAGGCATTTCTGAAAGTATGATGCCTGGAAAAATCTATATTTTCCCTCGTACACAATAAATTCCAATAGAATTTATTTATATTCAAAATTGATTGCCTACGTGCTGTTTTCCATATTATAACCAAACTATATACAATGATTCATACCTTCAAATGAATATAATTTTTCGAACGAAGCAAAATACACAAGCCATTAATTATTTGGGATAAACTCTAGTCTGCAGATTTTTTATATGTTAGAAAAAAGTGCAATGAGCAGCTGAACACAGAGATTAATTGGAAAAAGAAATTTGAGCTTTTGAAAAAAATGAGCACGTTTTATTGGAAAATTTGGACACTGCAGAATTTTGGAGCTCATATTTTTCATTAGCCGAAAATTGTTTTGTTTTCGACAACAATCGATGTTTTATGGGCTCATTTTTAAGCTCAACAACCATCTAATTTTAGCCTCACAAAATTCAAAAGGCCATGCGTTTTGAGTTCTAATTCTCTTTTTGAGAAAAACATACTTTAGTATACGTGAATTTTGCCGGAATTCCTGATTAAATTAATCCGATTTCATATATATTATTCGCAATGAAAATCTCGTTTTCCTAGGAAATTGAAAAATCGAGAAACCATAGCAACCATTTCACAAGGGAACCATTTTTTCGAAAAAAAAACCAATTAAATGAAAATTGGTGAGGAATAGAATTTGAAACCATACTTTAGAGCTCCTAATCTTTGGAAAAACTAACAAATTTTTGTAAGAAAGAAATCGGGTGAAAAAATAGAATGTCAGAAAATTATAGAAATTTAAAGATCCGAAATCGCGCAACAAATAGTTTGTTAAACAATTCACCGAAAGTTATATTTATCTAGAAATTTCTAAAAATAAAATTTCACAAATTTTCTAAAAATTGTTCATGAAAATAATGGTTTTCTAAAAATAGTTCAAAATTAATAACACTACGCTTGATAAAACTAGGAAGATTTTCCGATTCTGGTTATTCGTCTGACAGTTCTAGCGAGTCCTAGAAAATTCAGGATTTCCTAAAAGTTCATTTTAGAATCAGATAAAAGGTCCCACGAGAAATGACATTTTCCCAAACTAAAGTACTTATTCAAATTTGCCTGTGCCTCGTTTTCTCCGCCCACTGACCTCGCGCTTTTCTCTCTCTCCAATTTCTCCTTTTCTTCTTCTTCTTCTTACGGCTTTTTGTTTGTGCAACTGAGAAAGGCGAAGAATACATGCATCTTTTGGTTTTGCACGTCGTCCCAAAAAAAAACGATCTAGACTCCGCCCACTCCTTTTTTCTATATGTGCTTTTGCCTTTAGTTCTCACATAATAATTGTATAGGTTTTGGTTTATTTTTGAGTTTTTCTTCCGAAAAAAAAAGAATCTGAAAAAAATAAAAAAGAATAAAAGCTTACGTGAACACGTGTTAATACCACGTGGCACCGCCCATCTCGACAAAAAAGGAAATAAAACAAATCGTTTTTATTTTCGGCCGTCCTTTCCAATTATCCGCTCGATTTGTGCACTTTTTCTTTCGCTTCTTTTTCCTATTTTTTCTGAAAACTCAATTTTTTTTTAGAAATGTCACTCTCTTTGGCACCACGTCAACAACAATTGTACCGAGTCTTTGTATTGACACGCAACGCGTCAACATCGACCGGAGCCATTCCAGCTCCAGCTCGTATTCAGCTCAAAAAACCAAACGAACAGGTAAGTGGGGTACTGTAGGTGAAATGAGATGTGTAGTTTGGTGTTTGCAACCAGCCGAATTTACGTTTCTTTTTCGGGAATTTTTGGTCTTTACTTGAGGTTTTAGTCAAATGAAAATCAAATTTTCAGGGTCATTTTTCGTATTCTCGCAATTGGTCCCGCGACAAGCGCTTCACAAATGTTGCAATTCAAAAAGGAGACACCCCATATCAATTTCTCGTTCGTCGTCTCGGACATGCTTATGAAGTCTATCCACTTTTGGTTCTCACCGTCGCCTGGTTCGGAATCTTCTGTTTTGCTGTCGGATGGAGTTTTTTGAAAATCGAAGTTTGGCTTGACAGAACACACACAAAAGCACCATGGGATTGGGAGAGAGCAAGAGACAACTACTGGAAACAATCAACCGTCGTTTTCGATTTGGACGGTCGTACACGAAAACGTTGCGAGATTATGGAAGTTTTGCAAGACGAGATGATCGAAGCTGCCAAGAAACGCGGAACTCGCTAAGAACATTATGAATGAATTATTCTTTTAAGGCAATTGTACTATTTATTTTTATCGTGGTAGTAGTACTTGTATAATAAATATCTTCCTTTTTCAAAAGGAAACTCAAATTCTCAAAAAAATACACGTTTTCAGTGAAAACTAATTCATAATATGTCAGAAATAACCCTAATTTTGAAGATTCTGCTCAAATCGGCGCATTTGTTGGATTCGAGTTGACAAAAACTTTCGAATAATCCAATCCTTCCGGAATAACACGATTGAATTTGACAATTGAATGTTGAACCATTTCATGTCTTTGGCGAAGGAATGGATTGATCCAGCTACAATAATTCCATTATTTTCAAATAAGAAACCAATTCCGAAAATGTTCCCTAGATAGGTTTTCCAACTTACTTCGTGGAATCTTGGAAGCTGTCATTGCAACGAATTTGAATATTTTTGAGATCTTTGATTGGCATTTGGCTCAAAATATTCTGGAATATTGCCTGAGCGGTGATCTTATCGTTTGCATACATTGGCCCAATTACACAATCTCCAGATGAGTGAATTGTCACAAGTCCCATTCCCGACACTTTTCCATTTTTGTCATATGCGATTTTCCCGACGCCATTCTTGAATTTCTCCAAAATATATTTTGATCTTTCATATGGGAAAACACTTTGATCATATTCAACAAGATCCTTCTCATTTATATCTTTCACAGTGACATCAGGATAATCAGTTTGTGGATTCACCAAATCTTTCACTTTATAATTCGACACATAGAAAACTGGACCTCTGATTCGAGATTGTAATTGTTGGCGCCAAACAGCTGTCATTGCCGGAACTGTAATATTTGGTGAAATACAAATTAGATAATCAATTAAGTACGGGAAACTTACGAACACATCCACCCGCATTAATTTTAAATGCTTTCAAATCATCCGCCATTGTTTGCATCAAATAACTCAACATTCCATTTCCTTGATATTTTTGCATATTCCAAGAAATTCCCCATGATTGAAAAGAAGAGGAATGAGAATCGAGTGATTTATAAGTGATTTCTTGACACGCCGAGACAACTTCTTCCGAATCTTTGAGACAAAGAAAATACAAATTGTAATTTTCGCCCATCGTTTCTTTGAGCAGTTTGATGTCATTGTATTTGGATTCTGAATTTGTGAATCCTGCCTGAAACAACAAAACAGTTCAGCATCAAACACGATATTTACAGAATACTTGGGACCGCCCAAAAAAAAGGAAAAACTAACCGTTTTCAAAAATGAGCTGATTAGCGAATTATCGGGATTTCTGATAATTTCAACATCTTTCGGTGTCAATAATATACGTTCCGAGGACAAAAATCTTTTTTGAGCATATCGTGTTGAAATCAAAAGTCGATTCATTTTTTCATTCGACCAGTTCCTTGATTCGTTCGCTAGTATAAATGATCCATTTTTCGAAGCGCCCAAAATCACAAACAAATGTGTGTCACGTTTTTTATTTTTTTTGAAAAACTGAAGAATTTATTCGATTTTTTTCGACGACAATCACAAAATAAATTTTTTCACAAACAATCAATATCAAAATAGATGGGGGAAAAGAAAATCGTCTATTTTCATGATGGTGGTTTCTTTGGTTATTCATTTGAAAAACGAAACGGGGTTAGGAAAAAGAAATGAGTTAGATGGGGAAGGTTAGGAGCAATTTTTGGAAACAAAGGGAAAAAATAAATTTGAAAAAAAAACAAAAAAAAAGAGTTATAAACTTGGGGATATTTCAAATATTTACATTTTCAGACAAAAATTCAATTGTGACGAGGTTCTTCATCGTTATATTCACCGCTTCCAGTCATTTCATGCTAGAAAAAAACGAGATTTTCTGGTGGTTTTTAGTGAATAAATAAAACATGCAAAGATGAAAATTTTGACGAATTTGAAATTCAAAATTTTATTACCTGAAGAGTCGAGTCCTCATTCATCGATTCTTCTCTAATAACAGTCATCTTCTTTCCGAAAATTTTCTCATACCATGGCGCATTTTCGCTTTTCTGTGCCTCAACTTTAGTGCCAACTGCATGCGATGATTCGAGCATTGATTCTTCTTCGCTAATCAATGACAATTCCTAGAAAAAAAAATTTGGACATTTTTCATCATCAAACAACATCCAGCGAAATTATATAGTTTTCCAAACCTTTCTCATCGGAACATTCTCTTTTCCAACTTTCTTGGAATTTTCATCACGGGCAGCTCGAGCCAAAGTGCTAAATGTTCGAATATTTTCCGGTTTATCGAACATATTTCCATTGCACATAGCGACTTCATAATCTGATTGATCAATGATTTGTGTTGGAGATGTACGACGATGTTTTTTGGGAACATGTCCAGTAGCCATTTCAATATTGATAACTTGCATTGGTGGATAGATAACTTTTTCTTGTTTTCCGCCAGTTGTCATTTCTTCTGCATTTGATAATAAACGACGACAAGCTTTTCCTCCATCGTAACCGCTATCTGATAAATCATGACTAGTTCGTTTGCCGCGTTGATTATTATAGCTCAAAGCTTTGATACTTTGATCAGATTCATCTGGATTTGTCACTTCATCATCGCGAGCTGGAGAAATTGCACCTTGAGCAAGAGCACGATTGTATTCAAGCAATGGTAGACCTTTTTTGAGTTTGTGAATGAATTGACATCTTGATCCATATGGACAATGTCCGAAAGTCGAATATTTGTCACACAATTGGGTCTTATATTTTGGATGAGCTTTTCCGCGCGGTTGTGATGGCATTCGAAGTTCGTTTTCACCATGAGCAAATCGACAACCATTTCCATATGGGCAAACTCCAGTCTTTTTATGAGCTTCGCATAGAGCTGTCTTGAATGCTTCCTCTTTTCTCTTTTGTCTTTGAACTAAATCGCGTTCGTCATCAGTCAGAGTTTCCCATGTTGGCGAATTTCTACGCATATATTGTTGCGATTTCTGAAAATAAAAAATAGTTGGACTTCGTCGACGAATCCTTGAATTAGAATTTGTACCTCGCTGACGGAAGATGAAGAACTTTTGATACCAGCGCGGTAATTTGCCGATCCAGTCACAATTGTATCATTCATCGCTTTTTCGAAATCTGGCATAGCAGCAATTCTTAGTTGTTGTTGGGTGACTGGCATAGTTTGAGGTGCCATGAGAAGTTGTTGGAGTTGCGCGGTTTGCATAACTGGAAAGAACATCAGAATTTCACTTCCCATTAAATCTTTTTCAATTTGATCAAACAAACCATGTGGGAACATATTTTTCGATGGATATTGGAGAAGCGCTGCTTGTTGCATATACGCCAACATGCTCGGATCATTGACAAAATAATCTCCATTTGGTGTTTGCATCTTTGTTTGATGGTGGGCTAACACGAACCGCCGTAACCTTCCAAAATTGGACCCAAATTTGGCAAAACTGAAAATTGTATGACATTATTCTTGAATTCGAATGTTCCCGCGCATCTTAATGAGACCAGCGCAACGAACAAAATGTTCCTTGAAAATAATTTGTAAATGTACTGTAATCGATACGGGAGTTTGCAAGAAGAGTGAATGTTCCTTTGAAAGACTACGGTGTTTATTTATAGATGGGCGTTCAGTTTTTTTGGGCCGAAACTATTTTTGTTTTGCTTTTTGAGCTTTCGGTTCCAAGAAATCTTGTTGAAATGTATATTTATAACAAATAGACACGTTTATTTAAAAGATTCACGTGTGACGTGACAAAAGGTGGCAGTGTTGGTGAATAAGCTCATCATTACTTAATTTTTTTGTTTATAGTTTTTCCAATTTTTTTGTTGTGCTCAAATACTTGATTATGATCCGATGATTCACTCATAGTTTTTTCTTTGAACTTGAACAAATTTACATAATAAAATTTTACTGTTAAAAGTCACACAGCAGAGCATTTTTCTTATATTTTCAGTCGATTTATTGTGAAACTGTTCTCTTAATCTTTCTCGTTAGCCTATCTAGTAACACGTATTTTTCCCTGACTTTCATTCCCACGCCAAATTTTCCACAAACATTTTCGTAAAATGTACTGTTCACTGTGCACACACTTTTCTCGCTTGTCCGCATCTGTTTACCCCGCCGAATAATTGTGTTTGAAAAATAATAATATTCTTAGGAAAATGTCGCAAAGATCTGCAATATTCGCATCTCCCGCAAGAGTAAGTTTCGTTTTTTTTTCCAAGTATATGAATGTGTATTTTTCAGAAAACTTCGCGAATTGCCGAATTACATCATAACATCGAAGTGCAGTCAGTTCAAGAAACTGTTGTTGTTGAGCGAGAAGAGGAAACTGCAGAAGAACGAGAAAATGAAGACGTTGAGGAAATGGAAGTTGATGGAACTCTTCCTGGTATTGAAACGCCAAAAAGAAATTCGCTTTCAAGAGGAAGAAGAAGATCTATAAATGTTCAAAATCAAGCAGATTCCACTGAACCTGTAAACGAAGATTCGGTGTTTGATCTTCTGATGCCCGAATCAATACTTCAACAATCTGAAAAGAATCCAATGCTTGAATTAGCTAGAGGAAGACAACAATTCTTGGAATATTATGAAGAACTTGAAAAACAGTTGGAAAGATTCGATGTTGTACAACAATCATTTGAAAAGAAAGTCGAACTCGCAAAAAGAAAAACGGACGAACAGTATTTGACACCTTTTAATCAACAAACTAAAAATTTGCTTTTCCAAAAGGAATCAGTGTCTGAATCACCATCTAACAATGTTTTGCGATATTTATCTGAATTCCGCAAGTTTTCGAAAGATGCGAGGAGTGTGATGAATCTTGAACACCAGAGACAAAAAGTCGACGAGCTTACACAAGAAGCAGTTAGTTTTTTTAAACTTTTTAAGTTAATATTTTTCGAATATTTAAAAATTTCGATTTTTCAGACAAATCGTTTGATAGCATTACAAAACTTGGTTGCAAACCATACTCCAACCGCGGAACAAATCGCTGCAAAAAATGCAGAAAAGGAAGAACTTTTGAAGAAAATCGATGAGATTAGACTATTCGGACAAGACATTTTAATCAATTTAATTGAAGAAAATTAACTATAATTAAACCTTTTTGTATTTGTAAATATTCTTGCTTTTTTATTTCATTGTGGAAAATTATTGTTTTTAATATATTTTTGGAAGGTTGTTTATTGGAATCAGTTTTATTTTAAACTGTGAAATATCTCTGAAGAATCTCGTTATTCTAGTTGAACCTAAAATGTTTGTTCAGATGTTTGGCAAAGATCGTCGTAAGACAATAAATCCAGGTCGACAATCGACTGCAAGAACTCCAACAAAACCCAGATTTACAGACGTTCTTCCATCAACTGGAAAAAAGTTGGTTTTTTAAAAATTAAGATTTAATTTTTTAAATTTGTTCTTCAGGTCTGTACATACGGATGGTCGAATGAGTTTGAATAGAACTTCTGGGGCGAGATTGTCGCTTTTTCAAAGACCTTCCATTGCTCCACCAAAAGTTAGTTTGAAACGATAGTTGGAAGTTTTTTGATTTTTATATTTGATTTTTCAGGACGTAAAAGCTCTTGCGCCTGTCAACACCAGTAAAATCTACAAATTTCTGCTCGAACAAGAAAAAGACAATGCTCCGCCTGAAAAACAAATCAGAAATCCAGCGGGTCGACAGGATTTTTCGCTTATCTTCGAATTAATTTATCAACATTTGAGTCCGGATTTCGAAATCGATAAACATGCTCGAATCGAAGACGAAGTTATTCCAATTCTCAAAGGTCTTGGTTATCCACATCCGCTCAAAAACAGCTATTTTCAACCGATTGGTTCACCGCATAATTATCCACATTTATTAGAAGCATTAGCATGGCTTGTTGAAGTTGTTGAAGTGGCACACGGTGTTCGTCAATCAGCACAATATGTTTTGACTGGGGATTTTACGAATGGAAATAGTGCATATAAACCATTGATGTATAGTTGGTTGGGAACGGTTTATCGAGAATATACAAATGATCGAAATCGATTGAAAGATCCTAATTTTGCTGAAGATAAAAAACGGGTATTACATGAGTTTTTTGAGAGCAATGAAGATATTGAAGGGGAAGTTGAGGTGACAAAGGCGGCATTGGAACAATTGAATTTTGAATGCCTTGAAATCGAATCGAATGTGAGTTGATTTTTACATATGATTTTTAGTTCATTGTGGAATCTCGATATTTTTTTAAACACAAATTTACAAGCATTCGAACATTCCCCACTGAAAAATTTCAGCTTTCACAAAACTCAATTTTTGTGAATTAGATATTTTTAGAGTATAGTTTTTTTTTCAACTTTGGATGAATCATACTCACACCTCGGCCAAGCCGTGGCTGGCCAGAGTACAATTTTTGGAAAAATCTGAATTTCAGTTTTTAGAGGTCAAAAATTGAAAAATCACAAATTTTAGAGGACAAAAACTGAAAAATTCACAATTTTTGCACTGTAAAAAGTTAGCGTACAATTTTTTATTTCGGAAACCACGAATTTGGCCGAGGTGTGATCATACTCGGATTATGAACCGCTTTCATTCAGAATCTATAAAGATTTTAAAAATTCTAATCTTTTTAGAAAGGGGTTGAACAACAATACAAAGATGAATTGAATCGATTATCAGATGATACAAGAAAAGCAAACGATTATAATCAATTGTGCATTGCACAATGCGAAAAAGCTGAAGAAGAACATGCTAAAACATCTGAAATTGTTGCCAAAAAAATCGGAAGAATTTGAGAGATTAAAGGGCGAAATTGAATCGATCAAATCAAGAATCGAAATTCAAAAAGAAAATCACGGATTATCCGGAGAAGATGTTCGAAAAATGAATGGAGAATCGAGAAAAAATAGAGAATTGATCAATGAAAAAAGAGGACTATTGGAAGAATTATCGAAACAAGTTTGGTTGATTTCGGATAAAAATCGAGAAACTTTCAGCGAACAAAAAGAATTATTTGTTAAAGTTTTGAGAATGATTGATGATTTGACGGCTGGAATTGAATTGGAATTGCAAGGATTTGGAATGCCAACTACTGAAAAGTAAGTTATTTGTATAAAAACTTTTTTAAACATAACATTTGCAAAAGATAGATTTTCTGAACATAAAACTTAATGATTTCCAATATAAAATGTGAATCGGGGGATCTGAACTCTGATTATAAATTTTTAAAAATAAAAGTTATATAATATTTGGAAAAAAACTTTCCTCGAAATTTCATATCCAAAAGTTTTTCATTGATAAATTTTCGAACCCGCTAAATAAATAACAACTTTTTGAAAAATACCAATATTTATCTACAGAGAACTTGCATTGGAAATCGATAGAATGATCAATGAATTTATTCCTCGTTTCACCGAAAAACTCAACGAAAAAAGTTTGCAATTGGAAAAACAAGAAGCTCTTATTGCTCAAAATTTGGAAACAATCAAAGAGAAACTCGAAATAGAAACGGAAAAATTGGAAGAATTGCAGAAATTGAATTTGAGAGAGGAAAGAATCAGAAGAAATGAAAGAGAAGAATGGAAAGAAAATCGAGTATTATTGGAAAAAAAGATTGAAGAAGTGGAAAATGAGAAAGAATTAATTTGTGAAAATATGAAAGCTGTTCAACAACTCGATCAAGAAATTGAAAAAGAAAATGAGAATATGAGAAAAAATACTGAAGTTCAACAAAGGAAATGTGAGCAATTTGAGGAGAAAATTGTGATTAAAGTGGCTGAATTAGCAAAAGAAATGATGAATCTTGAAGTGAGTTTTTTACATTGGGAAATTATTTATCAACAAAAAACATTGGACAAGTTAGCGGAAAGCTTCAAATCAAAAAATTTTCTAAAAAAGTTACTAGATAAATTCAAAACATTTTTGGATTTTTCATTCTAAAATGCACTTAGCTTAGTTTTTCTCAAGCTTTTATTAAAATAGCTAGGGATCCGGAAAAAACATCAGAATAGTTTCAAATTTTCTTTTAAAAAAATTAAATGTTTCATCTTTTTCTGAAAATTCAAATTTCATCGACAGAAATTTTTTTCGATTTTTTGAATTGCTAAGCTATGGAATGTTCTCCTGTTCTATATTTTTGTTTGAAATTTATTCAAAATTAAAATTTTCAGAACGAACGATTTGCGGTGCTCAATTTCGCCGAAAACATTGCCCAAACGGCAAAATCCTTGAAAAATAAAGACTAAATTTTTTAAATGTATTTTTTGTGCTCTTGTAAATGAACAAATATTCCAATAAAATTATTTTATTTTTTGCACGGGTTTTTTTTCGAATTTCGAAGGAAATGAGAAAAGAGGAAACTAGATATATGTGTGAAAAGAATAAAGATTTCTAAAATGTCCAAAAAAAAGCGGACCCCCTTCATTTTTGATTAGTTTTTTCCTCCTCCACATGATGTCTTTGTTGGATTTTGTCACATTTTTTATTATTTTGTGAATGGAGAAAAGAAAACGCGCGTGAATGAAAAACTCATTTCCATGATTGAAAATGTCTCCAGTTTCTTTTTTCTTCGTTCGGTTTTTTTGTTGAAAAAACATCTCATTTTATTTGTTCCTGTCAATTTGAAGAAATTTGGCTAATTTTTCGCGACAGCTTGATATTTTTCTCATTTATTTAGACTGACTCTTTTATTTTTTATTAGGTTTTGAATTACTCGCCAAATTGCGTGTTTTTTTTTCTAGGAGAAAAATTGGAAACAATTATTTTTTGAAAAAAAATACCATAGGAATTTTGAAGGATCACAGCGGTTACTGTACTTAATCTTTAAAAAACTAAAATAATACATGTTTTGATAATAAAATGATAATTTATGTCATGAAAGATGGGCGTGCAATAAAATGCCCTATATCCCTTTAAAAATTAGTACTGTAGTTTTTTAAGCACTGCGAATTCTGACGAGCCTTTGAAAATTCCATTTTTCCTCAAAAAATTGTTTTTCTGAGCCAAGGACACTCTTTAAATTGGCGGTTTTATGAGCTTAAGAGCCATTAAATTTTCTATTCGAAAACAATTTCGAAAAAAATATATAATTTTCGTGAAATCGAACTTCAATCCGTTTTTTTTCTGTTCAGCTTTTTTTCCGAGAATTCAATTACCTAACTTTATTTTGTGCTGCTGGAAAAAAAGGAATTCTTTCTTTGTGCTCTAAATATCTAGAAATTGATTCAGAGTTGTGAACTCTGATTGAAATAAACAAAATAATTGAATATTGTTTATTGTTTGTCAGATTTTATGTAAAAACTCAACTCAACTTGCACAAAAATTGCGAACTTCCGCTTATATGGAGAAAAAACATCTTGTTATTCTTCCGACCGAAAATAATTTTCGGCGATTTTCCAAGTACACGCATAATTTGATAAGTCTATAAAAAATACTCGGCAAGTTCCAGTTTTTTCTTTTCTGCTGAAATTTTCTTTCCATCTCTTTTTCTCCAGAAAAAAAGAAAGAAAAGAGTATAAAATGTCAGAAACAGTTGTTTCAGATAATATGACAGAATCTTGCCGACCGGCTGAAAATGAGATAACTATTAATTTGATTATTTATATTATTCAAGGGATTTATGGAATATCATCGTGTATAGTTTATTTTTTAAATATCAAAGCTCTACATTATCATCGCAACAATTTAGATCGAACATTTTCATTGTTATATACTTCGTGTGCTGCTATGGTGAGCTAGTTTTTAATTAAAAATTTAATTAGAATAATTAATTTTCAGAGTATATTATATTTTTTGGATCATTATTTGATTCGAAGATTTGTAAAACTTGGTTATTTTTGTGAGGAAATATTGGAAGCTTTTTCGGAGCCAACTTATTTTTTGAATCCATATAAAACAATTTCATCTTATTGTCCAATTGTTATTTTGGTTTTTCATTGTTTAATTGCAATTCATCGATTTTGTGTGGTTGCAATGCCGGTTAAAGGAGTTCAGGTGAGAATTTGGTGAAATCATTTTGAAAAAAAAGTTACAAATGTTTGAAACTATTAATTATTCTCTCCCTAGAAAATACGTATTCTCAAATTTTTGAATACTTTTTTAGTAGAAGTTTTTCAAAATTCACATTATTTAAAGTTTTCATTTTGAAATCACATATTATTTTGTCCAGTATTCAGGAAAGCCACAAAATTTGAAAAAATGATTTCACGACTTTTTTGAGATGTTTCCTTAAATTTCTAAATGAACATTAAATTTTTATGAAACTTCCAAAATTGTCCTACTTTACTGAATATCGTAAGATCAATAATGTTTCTTGATCTTCATTTTTCTCTCCCACAAAAAATCAAATAATTTCCCTGCGCTTATTCAATCACATTACATTACTCTCTCGATTTACATCATAATAGTTTTTCTTATTTTCAGCACCAATTTTTGAGCTACATTCTAATCTTAATCTAATAACCTCATTATTTTCCGTATTTCCAGGTATGGGACAAATATCGGCGTGTTTTTACATTAATCGGTTATCTAATTCCATTATTTTTTATGTGGTTTATGATTCCATGTAAAAGTTATGCAGAAGTTGATACTGAAGGAATTGGTGGATTAGATATTGAATATGTTAAGGTTTTCTCATTAAGTTCGTCATTTTTTGCCGCTTGGGCAGCTGCAATTTTCGGAGTTTTGACACTTGGTTTCACTATTTGGATGTTGATTTTGTTGTCGAAAATGAGTTTTAGGAAAATGAAATCGACTGAAGCTTCGTTGATTATTTTTGAGGTTTTTATGACGGCTTCTACGATGGTTTATGCATTTACAGAGGTATTTGAGAAAGAGAGATGGTCGCAAAAATTTTGAATAGAAAAAACTACTTTGAAATTTTTAAAACTTGGAAAAAAGTAATTTTGAACGTGAATTTTTTTAATTTTTCAAATAATCAAGTTCTGAATTTTTCCGAATTAAAAAAAATTATTTCATAATTAAAAAATCTGGGATTCGATCTTGAAAAAAAAACAGAAAAATTGTTTTTTTTTGTCAACTAACAATACAATTCAAAAAATATCTGAAAAATTATAATTTTTCTGAAACAGTGAAATTTTTAAAAAATTTGAGAATAACTCAATTTTTTTAAATTAATAAAATTTCGAGCGTGACCCACTCAAAAATCTGGGAATTAATTTCCAGAAAATACTCTGATTGTTAACAAAAATTTTCGATGTCTGAAAATTGAGATTTTTCAGTTGAAAAACGTTTTTCCCCAAAAACTAACTACAAAACCGTTGTTTTGCAGGCAATGCTCTATTATTCAATCCACGTGCTCGCCAACAAAGAACTCAAGGCAACCATAATTCATTATCGTAATTTCGCAATTGATATTTTCATTTTACCGCAAGCGTGGACCCTTTTATTTCTATCAAAAACGGTTAGAAACGCCATTTTTTCGTCCCCAAAAACAATAATAATTGTCTAGGTTCGCCTATATTTATTTCGTTTTTGTGGTCGAAAAATTGGCATGAATTTTTCGTCATCAAATGATTATAATAATAGTAATCGAAAAATCACACGAGTTGCTTCTTCATTTATTCCAAATCCTGATATGTTGAAAACATGAGTTATCTTATTTAATCACTTTTATTTTATTATATTTTGTTAATTATTATTCATATCTGAACACGTGTATTTTAATTATTTACATATTCGGGTTTATGAATAAAGAGTTTATGAGCAATAAATAAATCAATCATTTTTCTTGTCTTCCATATTTTTAAAACTGAAAGTATTACCCGATGGCTGTTTTTTAGGTAGATCTTTTGGTTGATCAGCATATTCATCCATATCCATTCCTTTCACTACAAAATATAAATCAGCGAAAAACACAATCGTCGCGGGAATCAAACCAATCAGAAACCTCGTAGCCAAATCAAGTTTTAAATGTGGATATGCATAAGTTACACCAGAAAATCCGAAGAAAAATGATCCGACGACTGTGATTATCACATTTACAACTGACATCATTTGACGATTCACGGTTTTCATTTCAGCGCCAAAGTTTTCCATGTGATCGATTTTTCCGTATTTTTGAGCAGGATCTATTGATCGAACTAGCCTTTTATATGAATCTTGATCTTGTTGTAGTTTTAGAATCTCGGTCTTTTTTCGAAAATCTTCCGATGCTTTATATGTGTGATCTTCATAGTTCAATGGAAGTTTATTGAAAAATGCAAAAACTGGGACATCATCAGGTAGTTTATCCTGCAAATTTAAAATTTTTCTCTCTGAAATGTTTTTTTTTCTGAAACTCACTTTAATATTCGTTATATCTTCATACGTGACAATCGCCTTTTTTGCAATAGTTTTTAGAGTTGTCGCATCTTTGGATGATACAGATGCTTCAGATATCAATTTATTCAAGGATTTCCGGCTACTTTCGTCGATTTTCCACTCCGCCATTGTGGATTAAAAAATACGAAAAACTGAAAATTGATCTTGAAAATGAATTTTTGGTCGAATGAAAAATAGTCGATTATCTGTGCGAGGTTTGCAAAAACGTGTGCCGCACCTTGCAATGGCCTAGAATCCGCCTCGTCCCTCGAATATTTATTTTATTTTTTTGTTTCTCGCGTGAAAAAACAACAAAAATCCGGTTTTACAGATGCTTAAACATTTTGTTATTTTGCTATTGATACTTGGGACCATTGCACAGCAGAAGAAGAAAAAAGATCTGACAAGTTACACGTAAGTTTTTGTTTTTTTTTGTGAATGTAAACTAATTCAAATGTAAACATTGATTTAGTGATGCTGATTTGGAACGACTATACGACGAGTGGGAAGAAAATGATGAAGATGAGTTAGAAGAAGATGAACTTCCTGAGCATAAAAGACCGCAGAAAAAACTCGACCTGGAATCAATGAAAGCGCAGGCAAAAAATCCCGAAGAACTTCTGATGATGTCTAAAAAAGGGCAAACTTTAATGATGTTCGTAAATGTTGTTGATACTTCTCAACCCACCAAAAGAGATATTCGACCATTTACTGAAAAATGGACTTCTCTTTGGCAATCACAACTTTTCAACAATCACGTAGATATTCAGGTATTTTTCTAAATTTTTAAATTTCATTGTACATATTTTTATTCAGGTTTTCGTGATCGATGACAATCGCGCAATCTTCATGTTCAAAGACGGTTCACAAGCAATGGAAGCCAAAACCTTCCTCCTGAAACAGGAATATGTTTCAGAAGTCAGTATTGAAGGACAGATTTTCAAAGGTCCAGCGAACCCAAAAAGCGAGTTATAGGATTTATTACACTTTTTATTTTTATACGAGTCCTAACCCAAAGTTGTGCCTTGCGCTTTAAAAAGCCATAATAAATTTTATTTATTCGTTTATCGAAGGTTTTTCTCAATGGTTTAGAGCCATGAAAATATTTTTTTTTTTTAAATCGAAACATCAAAAAATGATTTGTCAGATAAAATATGGAGATTGATGTTGAGGCGGCGGCATTGGAGCAAGTAAAAGCTCTTCTTCAGCGACCTGATCAACTAGAAAAGTTGCCAGAATTGAAAAAACGAGCGGATAGAAAAAAATTGGCGGTTGAAGCGATGCTTCGAACTGGTGTTCAAGGACAATTGGAAGGAATTCGAACTGCGATTGCACATTTACAAACAGCATCAGAAGATATAACTTCGATTTCTCAAGGAGTTGAAGAAATTCGAGAACGATTGAAACCATTTCCACAACTCAAGGAAAAATTGAGAGAATTACGAGATGCAAATGCAAGACACAGTCAATATGAAGCTGCGATGGAAAATTTGAAACATATTTTCAATATAAATTCGACATTACAAGAGATTAGAGATGCGTTAGAAGATGAGAAATCAGGAGGAAATTTGTTGTTGGCACATAAACAGTAAGCAGTTCTTTATCGGAATATTTTATGGAAAAAATCTTGAATTTTTCTCAAAAACTGAATGAAAATCTTCTAATTGAGATTCCCAATTAAAAATATTAAATTTCCATTTTTGAAATCCCTAAAAATTGTTGCGTTTTTCAGCATAATGGATTTGGAGCGAGCCCGCGATGAATTATTAGCCGAAGTTCACAAAATGGACACTGGAAAAACAGAATACGAAAAAAATCTTCTCATCAATTTTTTCAAAGGCGTCAATATTGTGGTCGAAGAATTATCCAAAAATATGTGGTTTATTCTAGCACGAACTTTAGAAATGGTAAAAGGAAATGAGCACGGAGCTGGACCACAACAAGTTGTAACATGTATTCGAATTGTTGAAAGAGAAGAGAGAATTGATAAATTTTATATGGATAATAAACAGACAAATTCGAATGCATTTATGCCACCTGGAAGACCAAGAAGATGGAAAGAAAAAGCATTGCAAGCACTTGAAAAAACTGTAGTTTTTCGAATTGAAGGAAATCAATTAGAAGATCGAGATTTGAATAAAGCATGGTTGGCAAGATATTTAGAAGTTTGTAGAAATGTTATTATGGATGATTTATTGGTGGCAAAAGCTGCGATTCCTTGTTTTCCTCCAGAATATCAAATTTATGATCGATATGTGGCAATGTATCATAATGCTGTTTGTAAAAGAGTATGTTTTTTATCAAAATACTTATTTGAAACTGAAATTAGATAGAATACGTTTCAAACATTTTTAATTTCTTGATTTCTTAAGGTAAAATTAAATATCATCACTTGTCTAGAAAGAATATAGAAACAACAATTTTTGTAAATTTAGCATCATTCCTATGATAAACATTTCAAAATTTCAGCTCCGCGAAATCGCTTCAGAAGATATGGAAAAATCGGAATTGGTTCAACTCATGTCATGGATCAAATTTTATGCAAGCGAAGATATGTTGGGACATCCAAGATTGAAAATCAATGCTCCTGCACTTCTACAAGATTCGCCAGTTTTGACAAGAAGTACATTGAATCAATTATGTGATTCATTTATTGAAATGTCGAGAAAAGATTTGCAATTATGGCTCAAAAATACAGTGTCCCACGAGAAAGATGTAAGAGTTTTTAAAAACATTTTTCTAAAATTTATTAAAATTTTTAATATAGATAGTAGACTAGGAAAGTGAGCGGATTTCTTTAAAAATTTGAAACTTCAAAAGTTTTTTTTTCAGTCAGTTTTTTTATTCTAGTTATTTTTCTTTATGGTTCCAAAAATTGCCAAAAAAGTTGAGAATATTTTGAAACAGTGATATTTTTTTTCAAAAAATATTAATTTAGGTGAAGTTATTTTTGTTTTGAAAGAAATTGACTGAAAAGTCATTATTTTTCCAGGATTGGTACAAAAATGCGAGACCAAGCGAGGACAATCATGGATATTTTTATACTGATCTACCAAATACGGTATTTGGAATGTTGAAAGATACGGTAAGTATTATCTTATATTATTTCATTGTTTGTTTCCCTTGCTCGTTTTCTCAAGGATTTTCTTTTTGCAAAGCCAATTTTGAAAAGACGCCTAGCGAAAAGAAAAAATGACGTGTTTTCGGAGCTGAAAATTGGCTGAATTTGTGTGCTGAATTTCACGTGGAACTAGTCATTTTTGCATGAGGGTCTAAAGGTTAATTAAAGTTTATTCATTTCGCATCAGAAACTAGTCATTTTAGTATTATTATTATTTATGAAAAGAAGAACAAAAAGTTGGATGAGTCGACCAAAAATAGCAAATATTCCAGATAATTGCCTCAATTTTTGTTGTAATATGAGAAAAGGATGAAAATAGATTCATATGTCCATTTCGAAATTTTTGATATATTCGGAAAAATACAGAAGGGCTTTCGAGTAATAGGGCTTCAAAATTCGAATATTCATCTACCAAAAATTTCACAAAAATATTCCCTTCTCAATGAAAATCGTAGTATTTTCCATCTATTTTTGAGTCCTTCCCTAATCCTAAAAAAGCGCATTTTTGCGCTGGAAGCAAAAAAAGAAGACGAAGAAAAGGAATAATATAATTAAAAAACAGATTTTATTTCGTAAAGAAACGGGTAGGCGTATTTTATTGTGTTCAATAGTCCAAATTTGTTTATTTTTTGGAAGTAGACGTCAGTTTGTTGCAGTCTTTAAAAAGTGCATAATTGAGTTTGGAAAATGAGACCCCCTTGATTTTTTTTCCTTTTGAGTTTACCAAGAGTTCGAGTTCAGCTGTTTAAGAATTTCTGAAAACATGTTTTTTGTATTTTTAAGCGTGGGAAACGGGGACTAATTAGTACAAATGTGTTCTGGAAATTTGGAATTTTGGGGGATTTTTGTAATCCGGATTGAAAATACAAAAAAAATGGTGGAATTTGAGAAAACTTTCTTCGAAAAGTGAATTTAGAAAATCGGAAATTTTTAGGTATGTTTCTGAAAACTTTTGGGAATCTGCTCAAATTGAGAATTTAGGAAAACAACTAGATTTTTGGAAAATGTTTCAAATATTTTCAAGGATCTTAAAACAGAATTAGAAGTTTCTCGTACTTCTGAAAACACATTTGAAATTCTGAAAATTTCAGATACATTTTTCATTACAAATTTCATCTGAAAATAAATACCCTGTTTTTTTTAGCGTTCAGAAGTTTGAAAATACTTTTGGAAAAAACCTGTTTTCGTATTTTAAATCTAATTCATTTTCGCTTGGAAACTGAATTTCCGAGATTTTTGTAATCGGTTTTTTTGGCTGAAATTCAAAAATAGCAACCTTTTGATTAAAAGGTGTATTTTTTAAAAATCCCTGAATTCGAAATTTTGTTTTCCAGCATAAAAATCGTATAATTTCTCACGCGCTGATTGGATTAATATCACAAAAAATGTTGGAAGTTTGAATTTTTGGTTTTTTCTTTTGAAAACTAAATATGATGTTTCCATATTTTTCCCGGAAAATATCCTGAACTTATTCTCGAAAAATTGAGCCAATTTGGAAACATTTTGTCAAGAAGAACTTTGAGATGGAAAACATCGTTTTCGGTGTCTTTTTGGATTAGACAAAACAATATTTTTCGAGTGAAGAGAAAAAGAAACGAAGAGTGGATAACGTATGCATGATGTTATTTAGAGTAATTGATAAACACACAAAAATAAATTAGAATAAAGGGGAATGGGGGTTGTTTAATGTCCGCAGACGGGGTGAATAGGGAACTATACGACAAAACTATACAAAAATAGATCATTTTGGGTTTATTTTACAACGATTGATTGAATTATTATTGAAGAAGAAAATGAACTCGTTGGGAAGTTTTTGGGGATGGAAATTCGGGATGTTTTTGGGTTGGGTTTGGTGTGAAATGTTGGTTGAAAATGGGAAAATATGAAGAAATAACATGATTAGCTCAAACAATGCATTGTGCATACTTTGAAGTTGCAACGACAATCCGCTGAACGCCGACGAATTGATGCTGAAAATATATTTATTATTATGATTAAAAATTCTTCAGAAAATAGATGTCACTTACACTTGGTTGTTCTTTTTTGTAGTTGATCTTGTGTTAGTTGGCCAATTGGTATCAGTTGAGATTGATCGAAAAGAATCAATTGATCTTCGATTGGTTCATAGTTGCGTGGAAGATACTGGAAATTGTGTGGATTTTTGAGTGAACTCAAATATTTCAAGAGACACTTAATTGTTGTTGACAACCTATCTTGATCTAAAGAAATTAAAGTTGAAACAGTTATTAAGAACTAATGTATGATTCAAATACTTCTTTACATGGTTTTTCTCGGATATGAGGCCCGCTAATTTTCTCTCTTAGTTATAGAGTTGATACGCTATTAGTTCTCATGATTTTTCTCATTTTTCACTAACATTTCGTAGGTTCAGATTGAGCCAATTTGACTAGTACACTTGAAAACAAACTTTGAAATTAGATCAATGTTCATCAAGACTGAAGTAACATTTTTGAGCTTCGGGAACATCATCAGGCATTGATAAATATTAATTTTGAAATCATTGATCGGTTTCAGAATTCATTAGAAACTTCTCTTAGATTTTTTAAACCTCAATTTTGACCGCAAGTATTTTATAATCGATCGTAATGTTCTGGATTTTATCATAAGCTATTCAGTATCTCGTAGTCCTTCTAAAATTCAAAATCTATCTTCAGATTGTATAACATAAGTCTCGTTCACAATAACATGTCTCCCTTCTACGTATCCTATGTATCTATTTATTCCCACCTAATTCGCTATTCTAATTAATCTCAAGAGAAAACTTCCTTCAGTGCATGTTGTCTGCTAGCCAGCTTTTTGCTATTAAAAAATAAGTTTTATTTTGTGCTTCTCCTACTATATGGAAGATGAAAGAATAGATGATGACAGAATTTTCAAGTAACGGCACTTTCGGTTAACGAGTTTACTCATTTCGTCCTCCGGCTCTCTTTTTTTTTTCATTTGTTGCTATAATAAGTAACAACAATTGGCAAAGGTCAGCGCGAAATTAATAAAGAGAACTAGAAACAACTCATGACAGCAAAAAATATATTAATTTACTCATAGGACATGTTTCAAGAAACTAAAACTTGTTTCACGTGAATTTTTCATGAGATTATATAGATTTTTGCAATTTTGTTATGATTGTAAGCTTGATGATATCGAGTAATGATGTGACACAATTAGTTCCACGTCATAGCTCTCTCCAAACCGTACTTATTTTTCGATGTTTTTCAGTTGTTTTCTCACACGAAAATTGAATTCTGTTGTGATGTGACGAACAAGGAACCAGGTCGTTTTGACCCGGTTGTTCCTCCACATCAAAACAACTTGATTAGTTATTCTCGTGTCTTTTTTGAGTTCGCTAGAAAAAAAAGTGACGTGGCACTAGAAAACATTTCTTGCAACAAAAGTACAATTTTGTTTGGTCGTTCTCACAGCTCTTTTGTTGTTGTTTGATTAGAAAATGAAAAAATAAAATGGAAATAAAAATAGCCACCATGTTTTGAAATTAGATATTTTGGTTTGGATAACTTGTGCAGTTCCGTGTGGGATCAAAGCTAAGCTCATCTACGAAGTAATGAACGACTTGTGTGGAATCCTGGGTTTCTCTGATTTGGTTAGGTTTCGAAGGTTTCGAAGATGGTTAGGTTTCGAAGTCTGATCTTTTAGAAGCGCTATATTTTACAGCGGAGAATTCAAGACTTCCATCAAATTTTAGTCAATTATTTGAAGACTAATATCGAAAATAACTTATGCTATGTGGCCTTAAAATACTGAGTGGTCCCACACAGAAAAATGACTTCTTATTGGACCACCCAGTTATGGAGTGTTGTCTTGTTTGGTTTCATTCATCATTCACCGAAATTAACCACTTGAACTTTGATTAAAATCCTCAATTAGACCAGCGATGTTCGATGTTTAGTTTTATTATTTCCAAATTGATACTATTCTATTTTTCCATTTCTAACTCACCAAGTAGAAGGCGTTAACAGCAGAAGTGAAAACAGCAATCGAAAGTAAAAGTGAAATAACAGAAGTGCAATGCATATTGATCGGAAGAAGTGTTCCGAAAGGAGATCTCAGCGGAATGCGAGAAGAACGAATGAAAAGAGGGTGGGATCTTGTGGGGTGCATGCACAACACTTCTCTCCAAAAAAAAACACGGCAAAAAATAAGTGGGCGGAGTCGGCCTCTCTTGTGTTGGAACGTTTGGAATTTGTTGATTTTTTAGAGAGGATTTTTGAGAATAGGAAGAAGATACTAGAATTGATGTCATTCAAGTCAATTAGTAAGTAGATCGAGACTTTTACTCATTTTCTCATCTCATATTTCGAGGCGCACTTTTATGAGCAACATTTGTTTTCTCTCTTTGGGCGATGAGATAATGATATACTAGAAAATGCAGGTTTTGTGGAAAAAATAGAAAAATAAGGGAAAACTGAAAAAAATACGTTTCAAAATCGATTATTCAACGATTCTTTTTTCGATTAATGAAAAATGAAAAGAACAGGAAACTAAATAGATTTGAGAAATAATCAGAATCATTATTCTGAAACTAGAAAGTTTAAAAAATAATGAACATGACTTTGTCTTATTGTAAATTGAAAAATCTGCATCACTGTTTTAACTAGAACATATTTGAGTTTACTAAAACAAATGATGATATTTTTCGAAAAATAATGAATTGCAATGAAAAATGTTACGCAAAAACTAAAATATTTGAATGTTGAAAATTGAAAAATTGGAAAGGAATTCAGCAAATCTTGATCGTTTTAAAATTTATAAAATTAATTCGAATTTTTTCTTGCAAAAGTCACGTTTGAAATTTGAGATTTCTTGATAAACTGGATTTGTTTATTAGTTTCTTGAAAAAAATTCTCAGAACTTTTAAAAAATTGAGACCAAATGTTCAAAATGTAGAAATAGTTTGAAATGTTATGAGGAAAAATTTGGAAACAGAATAATTTTTTAATTCATGTTCAGAATTAAATTTTTCTGGGAAGCTTGTTTTTTTCTCAAAATTAATATTCGTTCTCTAAAAATTGACATAGTTCATTGTGTAATCAATTTTTAGCAAACTTGCCATTCTGAGCTCCAGGTCAAGTTCAAAACACATCCAAAAATTTCCCAATTTTGCACTGGCAAAAAATAGATTTTACAAAAATTAACATGCACAACACGTTTTGAACTTGTGTTTTGTTTTGTTGTTTTTTTTTCAGTTTTTAAAATTTAACAATTTTTTTGCACTTCCGATTTTGACATCATATTTTTCTGGAATAAATTCATGAATTATTTAATGCAAAAAATCTGAAATAATAGGGTTGGGTTACGGTAGAATCCAATTAATTGGCTTTTCCAGTAATTAGTGTAAAAAAGATTGGAATAAATCATGGAATTCGTCAGAAATCGTATTAGTCCATTAATTTTGCAAGATTTTCCTTTTTTTTTGTGCAGAGACAAAAATTTAAATGAAAAAATTAAAGATTTTGCTGGTTGCGTGGGTTGTTTCAAGTTGCAGCCATCTTTTTTCTCACGGTTTTTCAAGTATTTTTTTTTCAAAAATTGTCTATTTCAAAGAGCTATTTTTGAGTCATTCAATTTCAGTTGAAAAAAAAACAGATCGGATAATAAATTTATTCATCTTGTTTTATTATCTTTTTCGCCATAAGAAAAAAAAATAACACAAAAAATGGAAGAAAATAAAAAAGGAAAAAATTGGGAACAAAATGAGGTGGTTTTTGAGAATTTGACGTGTTCCCTTTCAGACATTCTCAAAATTGGGTCTGATTTAAAAACTCCCAAAACATCTTCTGAAAACAATATTTTGCAGGTAACATTGGCGAAAGAAGTTAGCGTCGAAGTTATTCCAAGTATTATCAATTTGACAATCGAGGAATTCTACGAACTTGCAGGAAAATATAAAGATGCATTCACGGCGTATAAAGTGAAATATTTTGAGGATCGCAGCAGATTCCAGGAATTCACGTCAAATTTGGTGAGGTTTTTAAAAATTCAAAATAAAATAATATTGAGTTCAGATCGCAATTGCTAACAATCTTCACACTTGCATTGAATCCACTGAAAAATATATGCAACAAATTCGACTTTCAATGGAAGGCGAACAGAATTCGATTGGAATTGCGAGTGGAACTGGAGCTAGAAGAGTTACACAACAACAGATTATTGAAAATATGGATCAATTGAATACGCGATGGAATAATGCGGTTACTATTGCGTGAGTTGGTTTTTGGAAAAAAAAGGAAAAAAAAAGTTTTGGCACCAAAAATATAGAAAGAAAACAATTTTCTGAAATGCTCTAATCCAAAAATATTAAAAAAAACAATTTAATATCAAGCTAAGATCTGTCAAAAATCTCAAAGACAATTTATTTTCAGTGTAAATTATTTGCGAGAAGAAGTGATGACCGATATTCAACCACATTTATCCGAACTTTTTTCACGAAAATGGCTTGTTGGATCAGCGGCTCTTGAGACAATTTGTATGACAATCAGCGATTATCATCACGATCATAAACATCTTCGACCAGTTACACGATGTGCACTTTTGATGGATTTGCAATTTCGAATTGTTAGTGAATATTTGAAGGCAATTGAACAACGAAGATTGACATTTGCATCATATGATGAAAGAAGTTCGGCTGGAAAACGAATGAAAAATGATGTGGGAAGAATGGAAAATATGTTGGCTGAATTTTCGAATAATCCTGATATGGAGGGACAGGTAAATACATTCTGGAATCTCACTGTTCACTGTTAATTATTTTGCAGCTAACTTCTCTTAGCTCAATTGTCTCATGTGCCGGTGACGTCATTTCGCTTAAAGACAAATCTCTTCTCTCACTCGAAGCTACTTCATTCGCTCGAAAATTCCCGAATTGTCCATCCGAACTTCTTGCTGCAATTCTTGCGACTCGTGATGATGTTGGAAGAAATGAAGCAAAACAATTAGCTGATGAAGTCCTTCAACATGTTCAATTTCATCCAAAAGATCCGATTTTCGATCAACTTTTTGGTTTAAGACAACAAGAAAGTAGCGAATGGGGTTTGCCAAATTTTGGAATGACTAATGTATTTTCGAATTTCATGAAAAAAGAATAGTTTTGCGGTGCTTTAACTTATATTATTTACTGTAACTTATTTTAATGTGATGCTTATGTGATTATAAAAACTTAATTTTTTAAAGGTTTTGAACATTTTGTTTTGAGGTTTGTACCAATGTTTTTATACTTGACTAGAAAAATCATTTTTAGGCCAAAAGATATATTATAGAGTTTTTAATGCCACGACTATACAAAAAATTCACTAAAGTTATCACGTGGAAAAAATCTGTAAATTTCGTTTAATAAAAATCTACTTTTAGAAAAAAAAAATTATTTAAAGCCTAAAAATTCTGAAAATAGTTGATCAAGCTTCAAAATTGTTTTATTCGATAATCAAATTTTGATTTTTCTGGAAATTATTTTTTAAAACAATTTTCAGATATCTGCGTTTTTCATCTGAATAAATGAGCCAAAGTCAATCCGAATCACATCGTCGAGAATATCGAAAATTCAAAAAACCTCCGCAAGCCAGAAATAAACCATCAAATACAATCTGTAAATTTTTGGCGACACCAGAAGGCTGCAAATTTGCTGAAAAATGTCGATTTCGACATGATAACAATGTGATACCTTCAGAAGAAATGAGAGCAGAATTCGAGAATCTGGAAATATCCTCGTCTGAAATTGCCCCCCAACATGCAGAAATTTTTGAGCCGAAAGTATTGATAAAAACAGCAAATCCCGTGAAACCATTTATTCCGAGTTTGGTGAAATTGAAAAAGGTGGATTTGGGAAGTTTGAGTCAGAAACAACAATTGAAAGCCGAGATAGAGTTTTTCAAAAAGAGGTGAGAATTCAAAAATAAAAATGGAAAGAAAACTTGAAAACAAATTTGAATAATTTAATTTCAGAAAAATGAAACTGATTAAAATTTTTTAGAAAGATAAGATAAGATCCTAGATTATGAATTTTGAAAACATTTTTGGAAAACAATTTTCGAAAAAGAATAATAAAAATTATTTTCAGCCAAATTTTCATACTGTAATTATCTTTTAGAAAATCCAATTTTCACAAAAAATCTCACTGTTTCAAATAAAGCATTTTCTCAATTTTTTGCCAATCGATAAGTCAAAATGACAATAATTCAATTCTCTGATAGTTTCCTTAATTTTCCAGATATCGCCACTGTCAAATCTCAGAAAATACCTCAACCAACAACACTTCAATAGATTTTCGTTACACAATAACTGATCCTGATTGGGTTCTCGATCTCAAATCTCTCAATCTTCAAATAATCCTCGATTCAAATCATCCAATATCTCCACCAATTATAAATCTTCTCCAAGAATCGAATTTATCGCTTCCAACTTTAACACAAAGTTATCTCGAGGCAAAAATCAGGGAAGCAATCAATTCAAAATATAAATTATTCGAAAAACGCGATTCATTTGAGACAATCGGAAAAGCTTTGATAAAATGGATTGATCATAGTATTGTTGAAATATTTACTGAAGCTTTAAGAAGAACAAAAATGGCAATGTTTGGCGAAAATATTGGATTATCATTAGTTATGCCAAAAAGTGAAGAAAAAAATGAGGAAAAAACTGTGGAACCGGAAAGAATCGATATTCAGGAAGATAGAGAATCCAAGTCAATCGATATTCAAGAAGTTCTTGAATCTACGTCTGAAGAATATCCAAAATTTGAAAATCAAAACAAAACATCTTGTGAATCATTCAAACCAATCGATATTCTTCCCATTGAAATATATATGATTTGGAAAGATCAATCAAATAATATTGCAACAATTCGTGCAATTTCGCTGAGAATTTGCACAAAATGTGCGAGATGTGGAACAGAAAAAGACAACGATTTGAAATTGGATGAAAAAATTGTTGGATGGAGATGTCAAAAATGTTCACAAGCACAGAGTTTGAGGTAAATTTATTGATTTTTTAGTTGTGAAAAAAGGCAAAAAATCATCCAAGATATTGACTTTGTTCCATAACTTGTTCGATTTTCTTTGGTGGAGGAGGTGTTGGTAGAGCAGTGGCTACTATAGAGGCCGGATTCTGAAAATTTCGAAAATTAAAATTAAATGTTCACGTGCAAGGTCACGTTTGGATATTTTTAGAAAAAAAAGAATTCAAAACTGAAAATTTTACCACGCGGAAATGTACATACACAAAATTAGAGGTCATTAATCGATTTTCAATGTGACATTTATCTGAATGTAATTTTTGTCACGTGGATTTTGAGAACAAAAAATAAAAAAAATGTAAAAACCACAAACTTTTAATTTGGATTTTTCAAGATAGATTTTGTATGCCACGTGGATTTTACCTTAAAAATTCAAAATTCCTTAAACTAACCTCTGTATTATTATTATTTCCGTGTGTCACACATTTTTCAACCTTCGCCGGACTCAAAACAAGCGGATCTTTAGATAAAACAGTGGCAGTAGCTGTAACAGTCATCAAATCTTTTCCATTTCCATCTTCTGTTCCAACATGCGGTGAATGTACTGCTTTCTGCTCTTTTTTAATTTCTTTTTCTTTCGCTAATTCTTTATCCTCTTTTCCTTCCTCATCATCCGATTCTTCTTTACTATATTCCTTCTTTTTCTCTCTTTCTTTTTCTCTTTCCTTTTCTTTTTCTTTTTCTTTCTTTTCTTCTTTTTCTTTTTCCTCTCGTTTTTCTTTTTCTTTCGCTATTTCTGCAGCTGATTTGACTGGTGCTCGAGTCGAAACAAATTGACTGATATTCCATGTCAATAATTCGATACGATCATCAATATCTGAATCATCCCAAAATCCATTATCTTTTCCATAATTTAGCACAACTTGAACAAGTGTCATGTATTGAACATCAACTTGAACACTTCCAAGTCGACTGTCTGCAATTTTTTGGAAATTTTTCTCTGAGTTTTGATTGTTATGAGTTGTGGCGTGGCAATCAAGTTTTTTTTCAAGAATTTGCCACGTCATAACTTTTTTGAAACATTTTGCTTCTTTTGGAGCTTGGCTTACTGTAGATCAATTTCAGGGACGATTTTTGAATCTGTCTACAAAATTTGTGAAATTCTCGTTGGCCCTTTTTTGAGTTGGGTTACTGTAGTTGTACTTTCAATATTTCTTCATCTAAGAACCACAGGATTACTGTATATTTTTAGCCCGTAAATTTATGCTCTAACAGGACTAACTTCTGAGAGCTTTGACAGTTGCAACAATATCGAGTTCCTTTTCATCAGTCAATGTTTGAAGACATGCTTCAATACAAACAAATGTTCCAGTTCGCCCAATTCCAGCTGAACAATGAACACAAACTGGTCCAGTACTACTTCGAACAATATAAGAGGCTTTAATTTTCATTATTCGGATAACTTCATCAAATTTTTTGAAAATTGTTTAATCCTTGTACAATTGTCATCGAGCATTTAAAATCTACAAAATAAACGTACATTCTAAAATTATGTACAAAAATTCGAACAAATATTTTTTATTCATTAACAAATTTCAAATCCAATTTTTTCACTTGCTTCAATGTTTTTATTTTGTATTAAGTTCAAATGTTTTTAATAAGGAGGATTTATAAACTTGATGTTGGGGAACAAAGAGATTTAACAACAAAATAAAATGTAAATTTTCCAGGAAACCCCGAAAAATGTACATTTTAAAATAAATGTCTCATGAAAACATCTAGAAAAAATGTACATTTTTAGGAAATCCCCGAAAAATTGACATTTTGCGTGAAAAATTTTTCCAAAAAAAATGTGCATTTTTCAGGGTTCCCTTAAAAATTTACATTTTTATTTTTTATTTTCACGTCAAATTGCAGACATGGAAAAAGTCTGCTTTTTATTTTTTTAAGAAGAAGCAGAAATGAAATAATCGAGAGAGTCCGAACTGATTCGCGTGTAGATAAAAATGTAGGGCATCACGCTCAATGAAAACATTCATTTCCCAGAAACAGTTTCATAAGAAACGGAATGGAAATATTTGTTTTCTCGTGACCCCTCATCTTTTTTTTTTGTCAAAAATGTACATTTTTAGGAAATCCCCAAAAAATTTACATTTTCACGTTGATTATTTCTTTCAAAATGTGCATTTTTTGGGATTTCCTGAAAAATTTACATTTTTTCTACCCTCTTTTTAATTAATGATTTAAATAGTCTTTTATTTGGAAGCTTTTGACTGGAATTTTTTTGATGTGGAAGCTTTTGAGAAAGAGAAACAACTATTTTTGCAAAAATAATATACATTTGAATTTTTTTTGGTTATTATCAAAATTTGATTATTTTTTGAACATGTACAGTTTTCGGGAAGAATTTAAAAATATTTGTTTCTAAATAAAAATAATGAAAATGAAAGCCTCTTATATATAACATTCGGAGAAGTGAAAGTGAGGAATTGGGAACGAATTTATCGGGCCTGCAAAAGTATCATTCACATTAGTTTGATTTCAGCCAACTTCTCTCCCAAACTCACCATGTTTTTGTGTGTAAATGTCTCAAAGTATGTTCCACATCACCACCTTTATTTTTGATCGTCAAAATGGATTTAATCACATGTTCATCTTTATCCTCTTCATTTTTACAAGTTATCGTAAATTCGCCATGAGTAACAGATTGTCCTGGTTTATCTGGCCAATATTGATAGCATTTTGGTTTTCCATCTTCTGTCACATCACATAACATAACAATATAAGTTGTTTTTGTATGAACAATCATTCGCCAAAAATCAATAACAGTTCGATCAAGTGTTAAAATAAAAGGCGAATTCAAACCATTTACCCAATTTGCATGAATATAATCATCATCTTTTCCATCATTTATAACAACTCGAGTTATATCATTACAAATCACATCTTTATATCGATTTTTCGTGTGATTTGCATCAAAAACTTCGCGTTTTAATGGATGTCCAACATATGGTTTGATTTTTGTTAGAAAATCAGACGATAGTTCTAATGGTCCACGTTTCACGTTTTCTTGTGCGAATTTGTGGAACACAGATTTTTGAAGATCTGTTATTTTATCACCTTTTAAAGGGATTTGAGCATGTGGTTTTTGGAAGACAAAATGGACTTTTGTATCGCGAATCACTTGCGATGCCGATTTTCGAACTTTGTTTTTCTTTTTCTTTTTTCGAAGTGTACTTCCTTGCTCAGATTTATCATTATTGAGAACTGAAATACGGCGAATTTTGAGAAGTTTGAAACAAGTTTATGTTCTAATCAAATTTATATTTATAATTACTTGAAACTTTCCAAAAAATAGTTATGATCTGGCCGAATTATTTTTATCGAAATAAAAAACTGAAATTTCTAGAATACTGTAAGTTTTCGACCACGAATATAATCAAAATAATCCATCCAGAATCAGAACTGAATCTGAATTTTTTTAAAAATCAGAGTCACTTTTCTTTGAAAATTTGAATTTCAGAAACCCTTTCTAACTTACCAAACCCCAATCGTCTCATAATTCCACCTTTTTCACCGCCTCCTCCGCCACCAGCTCCTGTTTTTTTCTCTTTCCTCTCTTTTCGATTTGTTCCCTCTTCTGATAATCCATTCATTACTTTTCCAGCTCGTTTTTTCTGCGGACCATTTATATTGTTATGCATGTTGACTCTTTCTTTTCTTTGCTCAAAACTCGTTATTTATTTTTATCTTATCTTTTTCCTTGCTTCGAATAGAGTTGAATTTGCAGCTCGTATTCATATAAAACTGAACTTATTTTGACAAAATCTTGGTTTTTATTTCAATTTTTTTCGGTTGAAAAATTAGGTCACGTGGAATTTATTTAAAAATTAGAAAAAATCACTAATTGCTTGCAGATCTCGTTCCGAAATCATCCATCAAAATTCGAATGTTTTGGGAAAATTGGAATCAAAGGGTTGTAAACCAATTGATTGTATTCTTCTTGAATCAATATTCCGAATCGTATGTTTGGCTTGTGATAAAGAAGATGATTTGCAAAAACTAAACTTTGGAGATTTGCACAAATCTTGGTGTCGAAATTGCCATAACTTGCTTGAACTTTCGATTTCTCACATAAGATTTCGAGGAGATTCGGTGAACACTGGAGAGGATAAACAAATTGCTGCTAGTTTACCGAAACCGAAGAAAACTTTGGATAAATTCAGTAAATCAATGATTGAAGAAGGACAAGGTTTACCGAATCAAGGAGCTTGTGAGCATTATAAGAAAAGTTTTCGATGGTTTAGATTTCCGTGTTGTGGAAAATTATATGCTTGTGACACTTGTCATGAGATAAAAACAAATGGTGAACATGAAATGAAACAAGCAAATCGAATGATATGCGGATACTGTAGTAAGGAACAATTATTTTCGAAGGATAAGCCTTGTATTGGATGTGGTGAAGAGACAACTCGTAGAAGAACACAATTTTGGGAGGGTGGAAAAGGGTGTAGAGATCAGTCGAAGATGAATAAGTATGTTTTTTGTTTTGGAAATTTCCACATCAATCTTTTTTTTTGCAGAAATGATGGACATAAGTTTGCTAATAGTCGAAAGAAAACTGTTGCCAAAACAAAAGTCGCTGAACTCGCCACCAAAAAATAATATTTAATTAAATTATAATAAATCTACTCTACAATTGAAAAAAAAAACTATAAGACAAGACATTAAAAAATAACAAAGAAACATTAACAACTTACAGACAATATGACGTGGGGTGAAATAGCATGTTACAGAGTTTTGGAAACGAACAAAAAAATAAATTCTACTCAAAATATGGATAATCGATTGAAGATGTCGAGTTTTGTGGTGATTGCCAGCCGGATGAAGATGTGAACAATAATGAATTCATCTGTGGAGAAGATGGTGCACCGATGATGGTTTGATCGACTTGGAATTGGAATGGTGAATGACTGAATTCGTAGGTTTCTTCCATTGTTTGGAGGATGTCGAGAATCTTCTTTCCAGATGAGAAGCTGCAAAATTTTTAGAATAAAACAATTTGGATCATTTTAAATCCTGTCCGAATTTTGGTGGTCAATTCAATATTTTTTAATGAAAATGGTAGGTTGAAGACTATAATTAATATTTTCGAAGTATAGATATTTCGAAAGTCATTGTTTTTGCAAAATTTAATTTTCGGATTCGAAGAATATGAATTTTTACCGTGTTAATCGATATTTTTCTCTTCTGGCTCGCAAATTCAATTTTGTCAACCAAGTTTCAAATCGATCACGACAATCGACACCATCAAGAACCGTCTTTCTGCAAAATGTCAAAATATAAATATTTTCTCAATTAGTAAACAAAGGTAATCTCACCGTTTTCCATTTATCGCATCGCAGCAAATTTGTAACATTCGCTGAACGACATAATTACCGAACTGATGGAATATCAAAATGTCCAACGCGTCTTTTCCAGTCTCTCTTAAGAGGAAATCAGTTAGAAGCTTTTACAAATACACAAAAAAATAAAGAGCTTACGGATGAGGTACATAACCATCGAAAATCTCTTCCATCATATCCAAAAGATGGTGCAATGGAGCATGTGCTAATGCTTGTTCAACAACATGAGAGGCATATTTTTCTTGGGACATTGACAATAAGTTTCGCCTTGAAATATAAATCAATTTCTAATTTTCTCAATAAATTGTTTTCCAACTTACAACAAACATTTGTCAATAATCGTATCTCGATAAACTTTCAACACATCTCGATCCGAAATAATATGTTGAATGACATAATTCGCAAACTCATTTGATGTCAATTTGTGGCATTTCAACAGAATTCTATTCATCAGTTTATGCAAAAGACGCATTCTACTATCTTTTTCGTCGCGTTTTCGGAAAGAGTTTATTGATAGAATTTCGACGATAGTTTGAACTACACGGCATCCATATTTATCTTGGCAAATATTCAACAGATTTTCCTCTTCGGATTTGCATAGAAAATCAACTACGAAGGACCATCTCTTGAGTGATTTTGTTTTAACAATCTACAAAAATTCAGGTTTATGAAGATTAACGAGGAATCGACAAACTTTTTGAATCACGTGGTTTGCATTTTGGTCAGTACAAATTGACATTAAACGTCGATCGCGTGGAATTGAATCAACCAAAGCATCAGCATACCGAGGTTTCAGACGCTAAAATAAATAAATTTTAAAATGAAATAGAGAGTAAAAATAGTAAATGAATACCTCTAATGCTGTTTGAATAACACGGCAGGCACTTTTATCCAAGCATAAATTAGCGATATCTGAACAGATGTATTTTGTGATGAATTCCTGTTCGCTTCTATTCGAAACATCAATAATACGTTGCAAGAAGAAGTTGCCGAAAATATTTCTGCATAAGCTCTAAAAAAAATTGAGTTTTTTTGAAATCGATGAACCTGTCATTCGCTAACCAGAAAAGTTTCACGATCTTCCAAAATTTCTTTGCAAATTCGGTCTCTCAACTCATTTTCGGTTCCATTTGTTGACAACCCATAGAAGCTGCTTTGCAGAAAACTGAAACATTGTATTTTTATGAAATGTTTTTATTGATAAATTAACTTACTGGCATCCCAATTTATCGGTGGCGAATTTTTGGAGTAAATTCGCTTCGACAACTTTTTCAAGTGTTATATTTGATCGAATATCGCCGTTTTCATCAAGAATCCATTCAGGAAGTGTTGAACTTCGCACTCCTCTCAACCTGAAGAAGTTATTTGGTTCTTCATCGAAGCCGAGAATTCCGAATCGACTCATAATCTCTTCTTCCATCGATGATGTCTGAAAAATATGTTATTTGACGCTGGTAAGAATTAATTATGTTGAGATTGTACCTGTAGATGTCGATTTTGCTGACAAGAAGACAAATATATCTCCGAACCTTCGTTCATATAAGTATCGCGAAGAGTTCCAAGACAATTTCCGTAATTCTGAAATTAATGAAAATCATGAGATTACGTGGAAAATAAACTCACTTCCTGATTTTCTATGCCATATTCTTGACTTGGTGAGAAAAGTGATGGATCCATCGTCTGCAAGAAACTAAATTGATAATCAGAATTCTTGAGGGCAACAAAGTAAAAAATATAAAGATAATCGGCCCGAATTTTTTGCAGCAAACGCAAATGAAAACACAACAACTTTTCGACGAGAAAATGGGAAAAATAGGATTTTTTTGAGAAAAAAATTGAGTACATTTTAAAGGTACACGGAAAACTGTAGGTGTCTTACAACGCAACACCCAACAATATGCTGACCCTTTAAACTACCGTATACAGTTTTGTGTGTCGCTTGAAATTTTACTTTTTTTATTTCAAAAAACTCTGCAGAATTCACACTCAAATTCGAGGGAGATGTAAGTATAACCAAAACATGAAGTGAGAAAAACTTTATTGGGATTCTAAAGAAAAAGTTCAATTAACTCTTGGTTTGAGAACTGGTCCAGTTTTCGTTTTCGATTTTTGAGTTTTCGTGTCGATTATTTCAAGCTTATTCGATTTTTTAACAGGAGTCATAACACCGGGTTTCTTAACATCCGAATTTCTTTGTGTTCTATCAACGATTGGAACTTCCAATGTTTTTTCAGCTTTATCCTTTTTCTTTTCTTTCTCCTCTTTCTCTTTTTCCTTCTTTTTTTTCTTTTCTAATTTTTCCTTCTCCTTTTCTCTCTCTTTTTCTTCTTTTTCCTTCTCTTTTTTCTTTTTCTTTTCAGCTTTTTCCTTCTCCTTTTCTTCTTTTTCTTTTTCTTTTTTTCCGTTTTTTCTCTTCTTTTTCCTCTTCTTTCTTCTTATCTTTTATCTTTTCTTTTTCTTCTTTCTCTTTTTCTTCCTTTTCTTTTTCCTCTTTTTCTTTTTCTTCTTTTTCTTTCTCTTCTCGTTCCTTCTTTTCTTTTTCCTCCAATTCTTTCGCAATCACAATTTGTCTTTCTTTTTCCTCCTCAATTGCTCTCAATCTTTCAATTTCTTTTCCATCTCTCCATCTAACTTGTGCAGCTTCCGATCCCCAACATTCAGGAATTAATTCCGGATGTCGAAGCATTGATTTAAGAATTGATCGTTTTGCTCGATTCGGGTCTCGAATAAATTCTCGAACTTGATAATCAATCATAACTGAAACGCGATCAGAAAATGTGCAAATTTGTTGCAAAGCTGCTGAGAATATTCCATCTAAAACTTCGATCAGCTGAAAACAATCAGCTAAATTTTCTCTGACTTCTTATGTTAGAAACCAAACTACCTTTAATGTTGGTGGTTGTTTAATTTCAGTAAAGAAGCAATACAAAATTCTAACATCATCCGATTTGAAAGAATGCGCTTCAAAAAGTTGTGCTTTTATAATAAGTTGCAATAATTTCTTTCCAAGAATCAATGATTCACGAGGTTGTTCTTGATTCAAACTCGGATTATATTTCAAAAACCATTTCAATTCATAATCGACTTCATTCAATAAAACCGGTCGAAATGGTTGATATTGCTCATAAACTTCTTGCTCTTCATCCAAAATTTTTCGAATCGTTATTCGCGTTTTTTCCTCTTCCGACATATTCAGGAGAACCGGACAGTCCGGAATATTTTGTTGTGACGACATAGCCTAAATTTAATTTTAGATAAATCTGTTTGATTTTTGAATTTGATACTTACACTCGGCAAATTCTTGTTATTATCGAGATAATCGTTAAACATTTGAAGCAGTTTGAAATTTCTATCAGACATTTTATACTTATTATTATTTTAGAAAAATGAAATGATGTTGTTTTGTGGAGTTTTTCACGTATGATTTTTGTGAAATTATTTTAGTTCACTTGGAAAAATACTGACCTAAATTTTTTTTTGGGCATTTTTTAGATAGGAACTTTTCTGAGTATTTGCTGGAAATCGGACAAAAACTATTCTTGTGCTTGAAAATTTGAAAAATTAATTTTGTATTTGAAATTGTAATTGAATTTTCTCAGAAATGCATTTGTTATTTTGTTTTCACATCGTTATTTTTTGAAGTACTGAAAATTTCAGTTTTTCATCAGAAATGGTCGTTTAGCCACCTGAACATCTGAAATTAAGAAAAAGTGCCACATCATAACTTTTTTGAAGACTTCCAGAAAATCTGAAACCCCATTTCCAACCAAGAAAAATTAAAGCAATCGACAATTTTATTTATTCAACAATGATCTAATCATTTTTGGTTTGCATTTTGATTTGGTCCCGTTTCAATCTGTCTTAAAATTTAAGTTGTTCTCCGTTGAAAAACGCGATACACGGATCATCATCCTCCTCTTCTTCTACCTCATCTTGATTTTCATTCTCTGGTTTTGCTGGTGTATTTTGTGTTGTAACTGAAAGTGGATCAATAAGTTCGGAGAGTCGAACAGATGGTGAAATCATTCGTTTGTCCGGTAAGTTGAGAGCTGAAATTCCGAGAATTTTTGTGATTATTTTTAAAATGATTACAACCAACCTAATGGATCGATCAAATCAGAAAGTCTTTGAGATGGCGAAAGCATTCTCTTATTTCTTCCATTTCCCAAAACTAAAGGATTGATCATTTCGGATAATCGATAAGCTGGTGATAACATTCGTTTTTGGAGGACTGGAAAGTATGATTTGTAAAGGGACTGAGAGTTAGAGGAACTTACAAAGTGGATCAATGAGTTCGGAAAGTCTTTGGGATGGTGCAAGCATTCGCTTTTGAAGGACTGAAAATGAATTGGATAGTTTGGATTACGCCAAATATTTCGTTTTGTTGAAAACATTGACTGTTTCAAAAGTTTCACAAATTAATTTTTTGAATGTGTTTTTTTTTCTGATTGATATGGAGGCAATCTTAATACGAAACACTTATATCTTTAAATTTTGTAAGTTTGAAAATTCCAACTTACGAAGTGGATCGATCAAATCGGATAGTCTTTGAGATGGTGATAACATGCGCTTTTGGAGGACTGAAAAATTCACTGTTTCAAAATATTTCCAAAAGAAATTAGGAATCTATGGTTTTTGTTTGGTAACTTGCATTATCCAATAAAAAATCGGAGCATTTATTTTTCTTAGATAAAATAAATTTTTCCATTTGGCCCAGCTCCTCGGCCTAATAGAAAATAATCCTTACAAACTCACAAAGTGGATCAATAAGTTCAGTCAATCTTTGCGACGGCGACAACATTCTCTTCGATCTTCTTCTTGCTGCTTTTTCCTGACATTTCATGATTTTTTTGAAATCATTCAATTGATCGATACTATCTTTCAATTCATTGATTCTTTGCAAAGTCAAACTTGGCGCCAAAGATTCACGTTTTGCATAAAACGGAAAAGCTGCACAAACTCCAATAAATCCGAGGAAAAATAGAATCACTTGATTCATTTTTAATCAAAGAGCTGGAGCTTTTTCCAAGGAGAGAAGAAGTGAAAAAAAACTCTGAAAATTGAAAAGTTGTTGCTTTCTTCGTGTGATTGTCCCAAGAGAATGGACACTTGAAAGATCTTAAGAAAATGAAAAAAAAAGTTGTTTGGTGAATCAAAGTTCGTAAAAATGAAAAATGGTGAGTAGGTTCTTTTGGTGTCGTATTTTCAAAAAATTCTAAAAATTTACACATTAAAATATATTGAAACACAACATTTTTAAAATTTTAGTTTCAAAATTTGCAAAAAAAATCGGAAGCTGTCAGAAAAACTGATTTCAATTAAATATTTTCAAAAAATAGCAAAATCGCAACATTTTGTTCCTATGAGGAGGCGGAAACTAGAAAATCTGTGGTGTCAAAAAAATAGAAGTAGTTGTAGTATGTTTGCGCTGAACTTGAATAATTGATATTTTGCAGAGATGAGAGGAGCCGAACAAAAACCAACCACAAATCTTTTGGGACCACAATTGTTTTCTTTTTTTTGGTTGGTTCCTTTTAATATAGGGGGGAGTTTGGACTATGAATCATAGAAATGAAAAGTGTCAGAAGATTTTGACATGTGAACTTCGAAAATGACATCATCAGATTTTTGGTGGTCTAAAATGTATATCTCATTTTGGACCACGTAGATATTTCTCTGCGAGACAAATATCTACGTGGTCTGTTGGTATACGTGTTTGCCTACCGTTCTCATGACACAAGCTCGAGTCGAGGCACCGCCGAATTTTTTTCTTTATATATATTTTTTAAAGAAAAGGTCAAAATGCGCAATTTTCTCTAAATCAGAAGCAGCTGAATTTTTGCGACATTTCGAAAGGTTTCCAGAGAATTAAGTAGAGAAAATTAAAAATAGAACTGGAAAAAAAAGTTGATTAAAAACTAAGAAAACGTTATAATAAATCATGTCGTGAGAAAGAAACAAATACATTTTCTTGGGATTCCAGAAAACTAGAAACAATTTCACTAAATAATTCATCAAATTTCATAGTTCTAAAAAGTTCCGGGACACTAGAATTTTTTTGTTTTTCAGATATGGAAAACAATTGGAAATGAAATGACTCTGAAAATAAAAATAGCAATTTTAATTTCAGAAATTGAAGCTGAAAAATTCAATTTTTCAATTTTCGGGATTTTTGATGTTTAGAAAATTTTGGCAAAAAGTACAGTAAGTGCAAAAACAAATAAAAAACCCACACAAAATTTCCTCTTTTCCTTAAAAGGATTCAAATGAGCCGAGCCGAGTCGAGCCAAAAAAAGCCAGAAAAATAGGCACCGCCCCTTTTTCTAACATAAAGCAAAAAAGAGTACGGTAAATATTGTTCATGTAAAAATATAATACAATTTTCGAGGGGCAATATATAAAATTTGAAGGTACATACTTATAAAAATAAATAAATAAAACCGGGATGCTCAAAACAAAATTAGGAGGAAAAATTCGAAAAATGAAAAAAGATCACAATTATTTTTGGAAAAAAGATGAAAACATAAAGAAGAAGGAAGAAGAATTTCTGAAATCTAAAAATTAATTAGAAGGATTTTTGAATATTTGAACTCACTTTTTGGGTTATTTATATTTACTTATAAAAAATTATTCACACAGAATATAAAACTTTTTGGCCTTAGTCGTTTGATTTTCTCATTGTTTCTTTCAATGCTTCGGTTCGATTCACATCGATTTGAGTGTAGTTTATATCATAAAATCGGCCGACTGAAGAACATCTGGAAAATAACATTTTATCATAGGAATCGAGAAAAACTAGGCTGAAAATATGTTTATTAATTTTTTGGTTTCTATGAATTTTTCCTAATTTGTATGGGTCCATATTAGGGCGATTTGATGTCTGAGAAAAATTTATTTTGAAAACTTTCAGAAAAATATTCTGCAAGGGGTTTCAGAGAAGCCCAGCTTGTGATTTTTGAGGTTTTCAATGTGGATCTAAAAATAAGGGTAGGAAAATTCAATTTTCATGCTTGATTTCTCAACAAAAATCTGAATTTGGAGCATTTTATCATATAAGAGGCTTTCATTTTCATTATTTTTATTTAGAAACAAATATTTTTAAATTCTTCCCGAAAACTGTACATGTTCAAAAAATAATCAAATTTTGATAATAACCAAAAAAAATTCAAATGTATATTATTTTTGCAAAAATAGTTGTTTCTCTTTCTCAAAAGCTTCCACATCAAAAAAATTCCAGTCAAAAGCTTCCAAATAAAAGACTATTTAAATCATTAATTAAAAAGAGGGTAGAAAAAATGTAAATTTTTCAGGAAATCCCAAAAAATGCACATTTTGAAAGAAATAATCAACGTGAAAATGTAAATTTTTTGGGGATTTCCTAAAAATGTACATTTTTGACAAAAAAAAAGATAAGGGGTCACGAGAAAACAAATATTTCCATTCCGTTTCTTATGAAACTGTTTCTGGGAAATGAATGTTTTCATTGAGCGTGATGCCCTACATTTTTATCTACACGCGAATCAGTTCGGACTCTCTCGATTATTTCATTTCTGCTTCTTCTTAAAAAAATAAAAAGCAGACTTTTTCCATGTCTGCAATTTGACGTGAAAATAAAAAATAAAAATGTAAATTTTTAAGGGAACCCTGAAAAATGCACATTTTTTTTGGAAAAATTTTTCACGCAAAATGTCAATTTTTCGGGGATTTCCTAAAAATGTACATTTTTTCTAGATGTTTTCATGAGACATTTATTTTAAAATGTACATTTTTCGGGGTTTCCTGGAAAATTTACATTTTATTTTGTTGTTAAATCTCTTTGTTCCCCAACATCAAGTTTATAAATCCTCCTTATTAAAAACATTTGAACTTAATACAAAATAAAAACATTGAAGCAAGTGAAAAAATTGGATTTGAAATTTGTTAATGAATAAAAAATATTTGTTCGAATTTTTGTACATAATTTTAGAATGTACGTTTATTTTGTAGATTTTAAATGCTCGATGACAATTGTACAAGGATTAAACAATTTTCAAAAAATTTGATGAAGTTATCCGAATAATGAAAATTAAAGCCTCTTATATTCATGGCGAGCTATGACGTGGAAATTTTGAAAATTCTGAAATTTTAGTTCGAAAACAAATACCTCCCATTGTACTATCCGAATAAATCTAAATTTGGAAAATATTGAAGCCTTTGAAATTTTAGATATTCAAATTATTTTTAACTCGAACTATGACGTGGCAATTTCGGAATTTTATTTTTAAAAACGTGGTTTCCTTCTTTGAAAAAATCAGATTTTTTTCAATTAAAACCTGGAATACTGTACTTTGCGAGCGCATTCATCAAATTTCTGTCACAAAAAATAGATTGTTATTTTTTTATAATTCAATTTTCTGACTGACAATGAAAAATGAGCACAAAAATACTCTATTTTCCAATTTTCTTCATCCGGCGGTGGCTCGTCAAAATTTCAATTTCAATATATTTTTTTGTGGTGGTGCTCAAAAAATGTTCTTTTTTGTGTGTGAAAAACCAAAAAAAAAATGACCGGTGGGTGACTAGGCAAAACAACAAAATTTGCATTTTTCCTGTGTGACACATTTTATTTTCCGCGGAAAGCTTCTTCCGGGGGCGACCAAAAAATGACGTGTAAAAATTTGAGGCGAAAAAAACGGAGAGCATTTTTTTATTGTCCAACTCAAAACATACCAATTAAGGGCCGACTATGAAAATTGACATGAACTTTTTTTCAGAAATTGTTTATTTTTAGAATTTTCCAACAACAACAACTAAAAAACTCACCGACTCGTTCTTCCGCCATCATTCGATTCTTCGGTTACCGGCACAAGTAAAGTGTAGTTTACACGGGATTTTGGAGAAGCGGTGGCGGCACGAGTTTTTGGTGTATTTTGATGGTCCTGAAAATATATTGGGGCCTTTTTTTTGTCTGTCTGGATGGCTTAAATTCAATTTTTCTTCGGATATTTGGTAATTAGTATTCTCCGAATTTGCAACAAAAAACAGAAAGTGCAAAAAGAGGGATTTTGATGAAGGAAAATTGGAAATTGCAACAATTTTTATTTTTATTGCTGGCTGGCTGGTTTGAGAGCGATTTGAGACCAAAAACAATGAAAATGAAGAGAATTTTTGGGGGAACAGAAAAAATCCAAATGTTATTCACAAAAAGTTGGGATAACATTGAAAAGCTTCAGGTTAAATCTGCATATTTTTGAAAATTTCAAAATATTCAAATGAAAATGAAAAATTGGACTCTAAAGTCTAACTCATACCTGAATATCTTCTAAATTCACATAATTATCATCATGAAAAGCATTAATTGCAGAAAATCTCGGATCCTCAATTCCTGCTGCTCTCTCATTATACATTCTCATTTTCGCTGATTCACTTTCACTAACATCTCGTTTTCTTCCACTGAAATTCTCAAATCTCGGAGTCGGCGGTGTTTTTCTTGTCAAAAACTCTCCATTATTATTTGCGGCTGACATTGCATTTATCGCTGCTGAAACCTCTGATGCTGCGGCTGCTGTTATCATTGAAGAAGTTGTTGATGGAAAGAAATGACGATTTTGTGAGGAAGATGAGGAATGATGTTGATGTAAATGGGAATGTGAATGTGAATGAGGATGAGGAACGTGTGGTGGAGCGACTTCTTTTGGTGAGATATTTATATAAGATGGCAGGATTCCATTAGAGATATCAGAAACTGGTGAGTTGTAGACACTTCGGTTAGTTCTTTCCGTTCTGAAAATAAAGTTTGATTAAATTTGATTGATTTTTGAACTTTGGAAAAGCAGAAGATAGATGATGAATTATTAATAACCTTTCAAAAAAAAAATTTCTGATTTCACATTTTTCTTGAAAAATTTCAAATTCTATGCCTTATTTTCAATAACATAATTTATTTTTAACTTTCAAAATCCCCTTTTGCACTTCGTAATTTTCAACTCAAAAAATAAATAAATAATTCATCATCCACCTTCTGCTTTTTAGAAGTTTAAGGATCACTCGAATTTCTGCAATTCGACACTTACACAATGTTGCCTAAAATACGTGGATCGTGGTGAAATTTGTTAGGGGGAGTTCGAAGTGCGTGAAAACTGTCGTGTGGTAAATGATGCGACGCAGATGCAAAAGAGGAATCCATAAAATCGCTCGAATCTGTCACACTTCTTGGTCGTTGATTGGTTTGTGCAAGAATTGTTCCGCGCATTCTTGGATCATATGAAGAGCGATGATATGAATAATAACCAACACTATCATTTAGTGAAGAAACACCTGATGATGAATTTGGTGAAGAATTCATTGCCAACACATCTGAATTCATTCCTTCACTTCTGAATCGTTGAACTGATGATGGCATTGTTCGAACCGTATTTGAACCACTTCTCACTGAAGTCATTGATGAATTCGAATGACGTGGACCACCAGAATTCATTGACATTAGTGGAGATGGAGCGAATTTCATGCCGAAAACACTTGAATTGTTACTTGAATTTGATAATCTTCGAGATGAAACTGGAACTGATTGTTGACGTTGATATCGAAATTCGTGTAATTGTTGTTGTTGTTCAATGGTAATATTAGAGTATTGTTCAATGAGTATTTGAATTAGCTAGAAAAACAGCATTTGAGGTTGATTTCCGAAAATCTTATCTTACGTGGAAAATCTCTTCAGCTTTTTTACTTTGAAATGTGAAAGTTCCTTCCCCTGATTCGCAACGTCTTCCACTTTCAAAGAAAAATATTCCGGCTGATGTGTAGCCATATCTTCGGATTAAAGGAAGAGGCCAAATTAGGCATTCTTTCTTTGAGATTTCGACAGTTATTGAAGTATTGGTGATGCGCAACCAAGCTGAAAATAATATTTATTTATTATGAGACATCTCTGAGTTTAACAAAAAACAAATCTCACCATGCACCATTTCATTTTTCTTGCGAGTTCCATTTATATAAACACGAAATGAATGAACAGTTCGATCATTATTTCGAATAACTGAATCGCTATAAACACTGTCAACACTGTCACCACGTCTTCCACCCAAAAGCGACTTGGCGACTGACAATATCGCCCTCATTTTGAAAACTGAAAAAGAGTTAAAGATTTCTCGACGGGTTCCCAGAAGAACATAATAATAAAAAATGAGAAAAATGAATAATAAATAACCACATGTTGTGAATTTTAACACAATTTTCTCTCGTTTTTTCCGGAATAACTATTGAATTTAAAGTCTTTCAGAATTTGAATACATGAAAAAATCTGTTTCTCGATCAAATGACTCATATAAAAAATCAGCAGAAAATAAATGTAAGAAAAAACAATATAAAGTTGGCAGAGCTCAAAATCATCTCTTTCTTGTCGAGATGAGATGCTTTTGCTATCAGTTTTTAAAATAAAAAGTGGGGACCAACTGCTGTGAAAAAAGAAAAGAATGAAAGAGGAGAGGAACATTGTTTAATTTCAAAAGTGTAAACATTTTACCTTACCAGAAAGAGAAAGAAAAGAGATGGAGAGAAAAAAATGAGTTATCATTTTTCAAAATTATTAATTGGGTTTTAAAATAAAATTAAATGATGGATTCGTGCAGCTGGAAGGAAGTACTACTTTTTTGGGAAAAGAAAAGAAAAATGTGAAACGAACAAAACAGTAGTAGGTTAAAAGGCGCAACATAAAATGAGAAAAATTCTCGAGACGAAGATGAATATGCGCTCCATAGACAAAGGGTCTTGACACGAAGAGAACGAATTTGAAATTATCCCAAACCTAAAGAATCCCAAACCTAAAGAAAGAACGGAAAAAAATAAGAGTGTATGTCAACACCGACAGCCCGCAAACATCAAATCCTACGCGCAACCTTGACGCGAAATACGCGCTGTGTGCTCAGAGATTCGCTGGCCAGCTCGCCACCAGGTGGGGAGGCTGGCTGACCTGGGAACCACATGGAAACCATGTCGCCCGGTTTTTTTTCGCTGGCAAGGTGGCCAGGCTCTGGCTAGGTCACGGCCACGTGGCTACCACGTGGTGGCCACTTCGCCGCGTCAAAATGAATTTTCATGAAAATGTCTGAAAAACTTGTGAATTGAGGCATTTTCGAAAAATTTGGCTCATTTTCTGTTTTTTCGCAGCACTTGAAACCTTAGGAAGTGAAAAAACAGTAGAAAATGCAGTGTTTTGAGTACAAACCACTGTCTTGCCAGCTTTCCAAAATTTCAAACACACAGGCCACGTCGCCGGAAAACTCGAGGTGACCTGGCGGCCATGCGGTTTCCAGGTGGCCGCAGCGATCTGGTGGCGAGCTGGCCAGCGAATCTCTGAGCCCCCCGGATTTTAGAAATGGACACGTTTAAAGTATAACATATGGGAACCCTGAGAATCTCTCAAATGTCGCTTTTCCCTTGGAGAATACTAGTATTTTGAAAAAATTTACCGGAAATTTTTCTCATGAGATATCGAAGTTCAAAAAAATGAGCAAACGAATTGGTGTTTTTGAATAATAACAATTTATTTGAAAGTAAAACTGATGACAATCTAAGACAAGCGTTGATGACTTTCGAGCAAAAAATGATTAGCTATTTGGCCGGATTATCTGTAATTAAACATTTTTAAATATAAATACATAACTATTTATTCCGAACCTTTTTTCGATAGACTCTGCATTTTTCATCGCTTTTGCTCTTCTTGCTTTTTCTAAATTTTTCAGTCTTGCCTGATTGATTTTCTTTTTAGAAACAGGAAGCCGAGTTGCAAGTTTCCGATTGTTTTCGTTTCCAGATGGAATTCCCGATGGTTTTGGTTCAACTTCGTCTTGTTCATTTTTCATCGCTTTCGCTTTTCTTGCTTTTTCTAAACTTTCCAGTTTTGTATGATAGCTTTTCTTTTTGGAAACCATCTAAAAAAATAATTATGACTTTAGGTAAAGCTATGAAAGTTTTTTAAACAAAAAAGTGCACAGACGAAAAAAAAAATTATATGATCCATTCTGTTGAATTGGTCAATGAGGAGGAGGTCAAATGATGTCTTTCGAAAGGAAATTTCCCGCCAGCAAAAGCGGTTGGTCAAAAAGGATGTTACACTCTAATGGATTGCAAAGAAAATGTTCAAATATGGATGGAATGAAAAATAACGTTCAAAAAGTTAACTGTACGGTTTTATCTAAAAAGAAAGAACAATTTACAAGAACTTCTGGATTTCGTCATAAATAGCCAAAACGAGAGCTCCACCAGTTCCACGGAAAACATTCGAAAGTGCTCCTTTGAACATGGCCGACATTCCTTCGTTCTTGATAATTTTGACGGCACAATCCCAGGTGTTTTTGTAGAGAATATCTTTGCGACCAGATTGCATCATCATACGTCTTCGAACAGTGTCCCATGGATATGAAAGAACTCCTGATCCAACGGTGACAACTTGAGCGATTCCCCAAGCGGCGAAGAAATTCAACTTCTTTCCATCAGCTGTGAAAATCATCTTGGCTGTGTCGAACATTCCGAAGTATGCAGCACGGTAGATGATGATACCTTGGACAGATACAAAGAATCCTCTGGAACAAATTAATTTAGATTGTTTGAATTTCTGATCGAACGTTTGGAATTTTACCTATAAAGTCCAACTATTCCATCAGATTTAGCGATTTTCACAAGACAATCAGCTAATCCTTTGAATTCACGATCGTTTGCTTTTCCAACATCAGCGGCCAAACGAGTACGAGCAAAATCCAATGGATAGACGAAGCAAAGTGATGTTGCACCAGCAGCTCCACCAGATGCCAAATTTCCAGCAAAGAATTTCCAGAAGTCCTTCTTCTTATCGACACCTTTTTGAAACATGTTTTTGTATGTATCTTTGAATGCGAAGTTCAATGCTTGAGTTGGGAAATATCTGATTACATTTGCCAAGTTTCCTCTCCACAAAGCGGCATATCCTTGCTCTTTTGGAACACGAACCAAAACATCCATAATTCCTTTGTATCGCTTGTCAACAGCGATTGTTGTTGAAGCATCTTGAACTTGAAGCAAAAGCTTGACACGTTCAATTGGCGCAACTGCGGTTTTGGATACAGCGGCAGCAGTACCTCCCGAAACCAAATCAATCAAGAATTTGCGAGTGTCAAATCCCTTTGGTGCTTTCTCCTTTTTTGATGACTTTGATTCACCACCTGAAGAAAACATACTTGAGTTACATCGTCTAGCAATATTTTACTTACCTTCCGACATAGTGACAGGCTAGATGCTTTTTAAGAGCTCAATTGGTGAGCCGCACAAAAAAGTGAACTGAACCGCTCATTTTTTGTGTCGCCCAAAAATCCACGTCAAAAGGTCACGTTCACGTTTTTATTATTTTTTTTTGTTTTCTTTTTTTGCATGTTTTTATTTTTTCATTGCACTCAAAACAACCTGAACAAATAAAAAGAAGCTAGTGATCCTAATTAGCAAGTCGACATCAATCACAAGCTTACTTATGCAAATAGTATTATTGTCGGTATGGCGTGAAAACCCAAAACAAATAGACAAGTTGGGTGGCAGATGATGAGCACCTGCTGGAACAAAAATGAATATGGTTTAGGTTAGTGTAAAATTATATGATCTTGAGTTTGGTGATGCTTCGACTAGTTTTTATATTGTTGGTTTCGAAGAGTTCGGTTTGGGTATCTGGCGAGATTTTGAAACCACAGGTCAGTTAAATACATTTCAGGGATATTTGTTGGAAAATTGTTGGGAGTTTCAAAATAAACTTCAAATTCAAAAAAATATGGATAATTCAAGTTAACTTTTGTTTGAATTCCGAAATGATCCAGATACTTTACAAAAATAAATTTCAACCAAGGCAACTTTTTGTAGCGATGATTTTCAACTTTTAATAAATAAACACAATTCAGAATTTCATGACAAATATTATTTTTCAAATCCCGAATTCAGGTTTCCCAATCCACTTTCTGAATTTTTTTGAAACTCAAATTCGGGAACAATTTTGGTTTTTTTTTTGCATTTTGACTGAAAATATTGGGAAAGATATTCTTCAAATATGACAAAAAAATGTTTCAATTTTTTTCAGAATTTGTGTCCGAAATTTCTGGAAAAATTTGAACTTTCACATATTAATCAAGATTTCCTAGTTTTTCTTGAGTTTTTTTTTCGAAATTTCTGTTACTGATTGAAGTTTATTTATAATTTTTTTTTCAAATGATAGGAAAAAATGAGTTTAGATTCTAAGATAAAATTCATCGTTTTTTTTTTGAAATTTTGAAATTTACTTTTAAAAATCTCAAAATAATAAATTCAGGAAATTTTTTCCCCGAGATTATATGAGATCAAAAAAACCTCTGGTTTCATTCTGAAAGTTTTTCACAAAATTCCTCTAAATTTCCAAACTTTCAGATGGACGCAGTTCTTCTCGATGAACTTCTCCGCGATATTGTCGATTCTTCAATGTCCGAACTTCGTTTTCGTCTTCAAGAAGCCGTATTTGCCACTGCATTTCGTCGTCGAATCCAACAATCTGCTTCCTCCTCTTCTTCAGAATCGAAAAATACAATGATCGACAAATTCTTTGATGATTATTTGAGTGCCACAACAACCAAACCAACTACAACATTAGCTCCACAAAAACTATCAATAGCTCTTGAAACCTATACAAAATCTCCAATAAAATTGATAACCGCTGGAAATATTGAAGAAGAATCGAAAGATCTGGAAGAAACAACCGCTTCTGGAAGAATGTTTAATGATGCTGCATTGAAGGTTTGTTCAATTCAATATATAAACTAACCTTTCTAAAATCTTTTTATATTTTTCAGGATCCTTCACTTCCTCGAATTCCAGTTTGGATTGCTCTAACAGTTTCATCAATTTGTTTCCTCTCATTTCTTCTTTTCATATTCTCATTATGTTTTTATTGTTCTCGTCAACGCCACATTCACAAACTTCCACGAAATCCTCCCCAGATGCCATCTCCTTTAACAGTCGCCGGACTTCGTCGATCTTCCGTAATAATTGAAAATGATCGTGCAAATTCCTCAATTATGTGGTCAAATCCTCATTTACCCTAACTATTGCCACTTGTAAATTTATTATAAAAATCATTACCAATTACATATAAAATGCAGAATAAAATTGTGGCTTTTTCAAATAATCAGCGGGGGGAGAAAAATAAGCGAAAAACATGATAAAAATTCGAGTATTGAATAATAAATGGGGCAAGAAATAATAAAGAAGTACATATTGAGCGGGGAAAACAACAATAAAATGGGAATCTTTGGAGAAAATTTACATGATCTAGGCATTGAAACGGACTTTGAAGAGTTCTTTCTCGGTGTATGAGAGCTCCTTGTTGAGATTGTCCAAATCAATATTCTCCGATCCACCAGAAAGAACCGAACGAGTATCAGAACGTCTGAAAATAAAACATTTTTATACTTTTTAAAAATGTCGATTTAAAATAACTCACGAGACTTGGAAATTCGAAGCTCCTCGTTTTGCACATCGATCGGCAATCAAAATTGGCGCCGGCAGGCTTGTTGTTGATGAAACGATATTATGCAAGAAGCACAATTGATGTGCGATTCCTTCGTGGTCGTTCATCGACAATTTCGAAGTATCGAAAACATGCGAAAACTTCGGTGTTTTCGCACTACCTTGAAAAGCTGAATGAGCATTTAAATAGAATTCATTCAGCACTGGCGAAACGATTCCTTTATCAACAACTGTTCCTGGTGCAATGTTTTGTTGAGCAGCTCTTTCTCCATTGATTCTCTGAAAAATAAAAATATTTATTAGATTGTTTTAGTTTGGCCTCCTATTTGAAACAGGAGACGAACATGTATGTTTCGGAATTGATCTGTAGAAAGTGTTTAATTTTCGTGATTTGGTTCTATAAAAACATTCAAGTTAGGCTCAATTTCTTTCAACTATCGAAAAAATAAAGATCCTTAAACTGATTTGTTTTATTTTAAAAATTTTGCTTACCTCATTGAAGAGACGTTCATTGTGGATTTTCGAAGTGCACATTATGGTGATATGTGGTCGATATGATGCATTCAACTTTCCGCAAGTTTCCTTTACTTTTGTTGAATAATCATTGGCAACCAATGTGAATTGTCCCTCGGAGATTCCATTGAAATACAAATAAATATGTGCTGGTGGAGCATTGCGATTAGCCTTGTATTCCAAAACCATTTCTTCAACAGCTCCCTTCAAAACTTGTCCATAAATCTGCAAAAATCCAATTATTTATGCACAAAATTTAGAAATCTTACATCTTTGTGTTGTTGAACATATTTATAATTTCCAATAAATGACTGGGGATTTTTGGAAGCATTAGAAGCATATCCAACAACAACAATATTATCTCCAAGGGATCTTGAAGATTCAAAACCGATGAACATTCGATTATGACGAGCATCAAGGAAATTGGTCGGGACATTTGTTCCAGTATATGCAGCAACTTCCCAGTTTGCACCACCAAGTTTCTCGTTCATTTTGTGAACAATGTTTTGGACAGTTTGTGGTTGTCCTTTTTCAACAATAGTACGAACTCGAGTTGCACGAACTTCCTGAGTGAGAATATCAAACTTTTGCTCGTTCAACTTGATCAATGCTGGAAAACATAATATATGAACTAGAAACAAAGTTCTTCTAAAAACTCACGATGAAGATTCAAATTATCGCGAACAACGAAGAAAATATATTTGGTTCCTTTTTGTTTTTCAGTTGCAAAAATATTCTCAACATCCACGTTTTGATTGTTGATTTCTTTGAGTTCAGGATTGGTCCAATGCATACCAGTAGCAACAACACGTTGTTTAAGAGAACTCAAAAACGTGTTGATATTGACTCCAGCTGAAATTGCATAGAATGTCCATTTTTCTGGAAGCGAAGCAGCTTTCTTGTACTTTGAAACATTCCATTTGCAGTTGTCGATAACATTCAATGGTCTCTGCTCTCCAGCAATAATAGCTGGTGTTGGCAAAACTCGTCCTTCGACAACAACCGGATTTGGATCAACAGTCAATCCAACGGCTTTCAATGCTGGGTTGCTGTTTTTGATTCCAGCACATTCTGTCAACATTGCAGTTTGTTGCAAGCGTTTGCTTGGCAAAACTGCACTCGCTTTAACCATTGCTTGTTGACCAGAACTTGTTTGTTGTTGAATTGTTACTCGTTGATTTTCACCAACTCGAAGAACTTCAACAGGGAAATATATTCCTTTCTTTTTCGCATCATAAATGGTGAAGAGATTTGGATATCTGAAAAATATTGATTACTTATCATGAGAACTTATAACATAAAAACTTACTCCAATTTGATTTTGAAGTGATCTTTGAAATATTGCAAAACAGATGTTTTTTTGCCATCGTGAAGGAATGTCGCCTCTGAAGCACTTGGTCCAAATCCTCCAATAACAATCGATTTCGAATCCGGTCCAAGTCCTTTATTAGGTCCATAATCCAATCGAACCGCCAAACCTTTCAACTTTTCTTTCAAAAATCGTGCTGATGGATCCATAGAACTCATGTTTTTGTTGAACGATTCCGATCTGGTGCTGATCAAAGCCTTACATTTATCAATCAAATTCTCATTATCCGCATGGAATGCACTTTTCTTGACCTCAGTCACACAATGTAATTGAACTTGTCCTTTTGCTGGTCCTTCCAACGATTTCACCGCTTTCGACAAACCAACACCTGAATATTGACTTCCATCCAAATCAGGCAAATCATGGTATGAAAAACCAAAACTTCCAGGATCTAATGCGAAATGTGTTCCTTTGTATGTGATCATTTGGTCGTCTTTCACACATGTTCCAGTAATAAGCGCATTCAAAGCTTCAAGAAGAGTGACATCGGCTTTTCCGAAAACTGGATTGATTGTTTTCGCAACATCATTTGTGGTTACTTGATGCGAATCAGCAACTTTCGTGATTTTGACTTCAACAGACTTGCATTCTTTGTCGTTTGGAACAACAACCGATGGAGCCAAATTTTCGATCTGCAAAAACATTGATTCTAAATAAAGTTTTGTTGAACAAAACACTCACCATGTTGTTGAGTTGTCTTGTTGAGTAAAGACTGGCATTTGAATCATAGAACAAATTGAGTTCCGAGAGAGACGAAACATTCTTATTGAAGCAGTTCTTAAGAGCTTCATTTGCTCTTTTCTCGCGTTGTTGAGAATCACAGTCATTTTTCGGTCCTTTTGTCAACGATTTTCTGCCTTCTTCTCCATTTTTCTTTTCATAAATCAGATCGATTTCAACATCGTATTTGTAAATGACAACATTTTTCTCCAAAAAAATCTTTTTCAAGTTGGTTTTGACTGATTTTGCTTGTCCCAAATTTCCAGGTGGCAACTTTGGTGGTCCAGCAACTCCAATTGTCGCTTTCTCGATTGGCACATCTAAAACCATGTCTGATCTGAAAAAAATATAGATAGAGTAAGAGAAAATAACGGGATAAAACGAAAAAGAGAAAATAATTGCAACATCAGACTAAACGAGAGAAAAAGAAAGAGAGATCTATCTGTTAACTATACAACACACTGCGTCTTTTCCTTGTGACAGAAAACATGAGCAATATTTTTTACAACAAATGGTTATCAACAAAAAATCAATGATTATCTCAATCAAAAGACGACAAAACTAAAAGATATATTATATTATCAGAAATGTACAAGCGAAGAAAGCGATTATGAAACTAATGGTATCATTGTGACTACTTTTGGAGCTTAAATACTCGATAAAACAATAAATTTTGTTAGACACCTGCTTGTTAAAACACAAAAGTTCTTTGTGACAAAGTTTTAGTTTTGAATGAACCCTATGTTTAAACAGCAATAATGAGCAGGTGCATCGTTTGAATAACACACTAATGAGCACACTTGATGAATAACTGTCGAATTAACAATAAGCGCTTCAATTAAAACTATCGACGCGCGCCCAAAAACATGTTTTTGGGTTCAAAAAAATGATGAGCAATGAAACGCTAAACCATATGCAACGTGCGTATTTAGTGACGTTTGTTCGTGACAAGACACAGTGATAAAATGATTGCGCCTTGAAATACAGTAGTAGTTTCATTTATTTTTATTTTGTGTAGCTTGGAATCTTACCGTAGCTTCGTTCGTTTGTCAAGTGCGAAAACAAAAAGAATGACAGAAATATTATTGAATTAAAAACACGTGAGAAATAAAAAACTAGGTCAAGTGATGTGGATTTAAAAACAGTATAGGTAGCCATGTCGTCAATTGCGATGCGGTTCTGCGTTGCGTGTTGACCTCGATATTTTCCATTGGATTTGTCAAATTTTCATTTCTAAAAACGTGTCGCCCACACGCATCGCAACTGACGACATGGCTACCTATACTGTTTTTCAATCCACGTCACCTGACCTACTTTTTTATTTCTCACGTGTTTTTAATTCAATAATATGATAATTTCGTTACGTGAGAAAATAGGTCGTAAAATAATTCAATTATTTTATTGGAACGTCAAATAATACTTATTGCAGAATGACTAATTTGACCGACAGATTGTTTGATAACGAAAAAAAACCACCACTGCTATGAAGAACGTTCGTATATTGCTCTAAACTTTGTACCGGCACATTCAGCCACGAAGCTTCGCAGTGTTTCTTCACCTTCTTCAGGTGTATGAGGCGGAAAATATTTATTTTACAAAAAAAAAACAGGAAAAAAGATGAATTATCTAATGCTCTCCTCTTTCAATATGCTCTCTCTTCTCCAATCTTTTTGCCCAATGACAATCAAGATCGTATGGTTTATCATCGACCAAATAGAATTCGCCGTTTGGAAGTGGACGATTGCAAGATGAACAAGTGAAACATCTTGGATGCCAATGACGATCCAAAGCAAGAAGACATGTGTCAACAAGAGTTTCCATACATCCAGCACATTTTGGATTGTATTTTTGAGCGAAACATTGAACACAATAAGCATGATTATCAGCAGCCTGGAAATTTAGAAGTCTTGGGAGCCTATACAGATCCTAAATAGCACAATACCTGGAAAGTTTGCTTGATTGGTCTTTTACAAGATGAACATGTAAAATGATCAGGATGCCAAAGGCGATTCAATGCAACAAGAGCTTCATCTCCAATTGATTGATGACAATGTCCACACAAACGTCTATCAATGCTACGATCCATTTTCTCCGAATTTTTTAAGAAGAACTGATTTAGCGATTCTGTTTTTGCTGATTATTGACACGTTGTTGGTGTGTTGGATTAATTGGGTCACGTTTTTTCGAGAGAGAGAGAGAAAATGTATAAAATCCGAAATATTAAAATTTTTGCCCATTTCTAAAATGTTGTCCGCGGCTAAATTATCAAATAACGTTTTCAAGAAATGTATGTTACTGTAGATTGTTCAGAGATTCTTGGATACTGTAATTGCATATAGTATAAAATTATTGTAACTTTTGTGGAGAGTGAATTACTGTAGATCGTCTCAAGACTCTAGAATCTCAACACTGTACAGTAACCCAAACACGGTAGATTCAATAGAAAGTGCTGTCGTTCTTTGAACTTCCAAATTATTCATGTAATCAAAAATAATTTGTAGATGCTATTCGTAATTTGTCAGTTACTGTGAAACCAACTCGAGATGAGCCAGAATTTGATATGTATTGTGATCCAGAAAATCCAAAATCTTTACAATTCGGCGATATTTCAATGGCTCATCATAAATTGCAAAATGGAATAGTTAAAACAGGCCTGCGCAAATCGAGAATTCTTTCAAAAATATTTGAAATGGATTTGCATTTGAAGATGGAAGTTTTACAAGAGACTGGAAGTTTCAAAGAACGCGGAGCAAGATATGCTCTTTTGAATCTATCGGAAGAAGTTCGAAAAAATGGAGTATATGCTGCTTCAGCTGGAAATCATGCATTAGCTTTATCATTTCATGGTAAAAATCTTGGAATTCCCATTAATGTTGTAATGCCAAAAATCGCTCCTCTCATGAAAATTGGGCGATGCAAAGATCTTGGTGCAAATGTTTTGGTACAAGGTGAAGATATTGGTGAATCTCGAGATATTGCATTGAGAACTGCAAAAGAGAAAGGTGGCATTTATATAAATGGATATGATCATTATGATATTTTAGCCGGTGCTGGAACTATTGGAATTGAGATTTTGGAACAATGTCCACTTCCTGATGCGGTTTTAGTTCCGGTTGGAGGTTGTGGTTTGATTGCTGGTGTTGCAACGGCTATTAAAACATTGTCTCCGGATACAAGAGTTATTGGAGTTGGCGCTGAATCATGTCAAGGACTTATGGTGAGAATAGTTCACTCCAATGGTTCCCAAGTTTTAAAATCTCATTTTTCCAAAAATGTTCATTTAAAAATAAAATATGAATATAAAAATGATCGAAAAATAGTCGCAAATTTCTAGTACAAAACTTGTCCAGATTTCAGAATACATAATTTTCTCGAGGCGAAAAAGTTGGAGAAAACTTACTGTTTCAAAAATTTGATATACAAATTTTTCAAAAAATTTCACAATTTGTCTAATTTTCTGATTCATTTTTTCAGAATTCTTTGGAAGCTGGACAACCTCTCTACACTCCGTGCCGCCCAACTTTGGCTGATGGTTTAGCTGTTCCAACAGTTGGTGTAAATGCATTCGAATCTCTAAAAGGAAAAGTTGATGAAATAATAAGTGTAGCTGAAAATGACATCGCTGTTGGAATTCTTCGTCTTGTTGAAACTGAAAAAATGGTTTGTGAAGGAGCCGGAGCAATTGGTATTGGAGCACTTCTTTCGGGTAAATTAGATCATCTCAAAGGCAAAAAAGTTGTATCAATTCTGAGCGGCGGAAATATTGATAGCACATCTTTGGGTCGATGTATCGATCGTGGTTTAGCGTATGATCATCGAGTTGTTAAAATTAGTGTGATTATAAATGATAATCCAGGTGGATTGGGAAGATTGACAAGTGTTGTTGGAAGTATGAATGCAAATATTCGAGATTTATATTTGGAGAGAGAATTTTTGAGACATGACATGTCTTGTCAACGTGTTAAAATTATTGCAGAAGTTAGAGATCAACAACATGAGCAACAACTTAAGGATGAACTTATTGAAATGTGAGTTTTTTTAAATTGACATTTTACCGAATTCAGGATAAATTTTTTTAGTTAAAAATTCTTTTAAAAAAATCATAAATTTGGGCTGATTTTGAAAAGTTTCGAATTTCTCCCTAACATTTATTTTCCTCGGGAAATTTTGAATTTTCAGTTATTCCGAAAAGAATTGCTTATTCAAAACTTCTCGTTTGCCAGGATTATAATTTCTTACGAAAATAAATATTTATCACATTTTCATCACTTACTTACATTACATTTTAAAAACAAAACAAAAAAAATCAAACCCATCATTTTAATTTAGCGAATTAATAGCCAAAGTTGGAAAATCAACACGAAGTGCAAGATATTTCTTAACTTCTCCCAAAGTCAAAGGTCGAGTTGTTGTTGTAATTGCACTCGTTTTTGAATTTTGCCAATTTTCCATAGCTTCTTCAATTGTTTCAACATTCAATAATCCAACAATTAGACCAAGTCTTGCACATTTTTCTCTCGCATTCCATCCCGCAACATTTGTCAAATACGCGCTAATCTGTCGATATTCTCGATCCAATTGTAATGCACCATATCGATTGAATTGACATTTTGAAAGAATCAATTCGAATTGACGAGAAAGTTCAGAGCAAACTGTCAAAAGGAGGTGCTGAAAAAAACAATTTTTTGATAGAAAGAAACATTTTTAAAATACCTGATAATTATCGGAATATAAAAGGCTTTCATGCTCCACAAGTAGTCGATCTACAGTAGTCAAAAAAGCTTCAACAAATGGATCATTTGCCTCGAAATGTTCCAAATCTTGCATGGTTAATTGATGAGAAATATCGCGGTATGGATCACAGCTGAAAAAATTAGAGGATTTTTCAAAGTTTTGTCGCCGAAAAAATGCAGATTTAGTCGAAAAAAGAAGCTTGAATTGCCGCCTCAATTTTTTGAAATGTATCGTAAGTTTACTCAAAGAAAGGTGTGAAAATTGGAAAGCTCTGAAGGTAATAGACCTAAGATTGTAGTTAGATGATAATTTTAGATTTTAATGTAAGACACAGCGAAATTATTTTTTTTGTTAAATTTAAAAAATTCCTAACCTAGTCCCGCAAGTTTTTAAATTACTGTAGATCACGCGCGATTTCACTATCTTTTTGTCTCTTCTTTCTCGTATGGGCGCCCATATTTTAAACAAACGTTTTAAATCAATAAAAAACAATCTAAAGGTTCATTAAATTCAAAATATTTTTCAGATTATTCGCGGATGAAAATATTCGAGATGATTTTGTTGGAAAGAATGAAGAAATACATCAATTTTGAGCGATGAGATGATCGAGGAACGGGCAACATTTCAAAGGTTAGTACTTTTTTGGGGAACTGGGACTCCGAATTCGGTGGGAGGGGGTAAGTTCTGGTGGATTTTTAAAGGCAGGGGGCTTAACTTTAAAAATGTTAGGGTATTCTATGCTTTTTGTGATAAAAAATCCGCAAAAAATGGGTTAGAGGCTTAACTTTTCGAACATTTCCCTTGGAAGAGGGGGGGGGGAGTTAACTCAAGAGACCCCGGAGCGACTAGTTCATGCAAGTATCTTGGTGATAAAATGATTTAAAAATGAAAAAAATTATTTCATCAAAAAGGCGCTTGATGATAGTAACAATAAATGCGAAATTATGTTTTATATTTTTATCGTTTTTTTTTTGAAGTTTGTTTTTGTTTTGTTTTCCATAGTTATTTTCGATGTGATGTGATTTATTATTTTGTTCACAGAACATTTTCAATGTACTATGTTGGAAATTTTCCATAAACTGACAAAGTTCAGCTTTAGAAGACAAAACCCAATTTCACTATTCTTTATGAGAAATCACTGTAAGACACAGACTTCAGCACGCAGCCCAAGGCTGCATAGCAACAAGAATGAAGACCAGCGGAAGCCGGTCGTTTCATTCTTGTTCCTTGAAACGAAAAAAAGTCCAAAAAACCAACCTTGATTTAATCTTTCCCTTGAATCCTGCTTTGAACAATTCATCAATTCCATGTTTTGCCAAACTCGTCAATTTTCTCACAATTTCATCAATTTGAGTTGCCGCATGTTCCAATTTATTCTTTTCAACAGCAGGTCTCGAAACATTACTCCATTCATAAATCAATCCTTTTTGCAGTTCTTTCAGCATTTCTGACATTTTTGAAGAGTTGTTCAATGCCAATAGGAACATATCTTTTTCGGTGTCTTGTTGAGAATCTTTTGGTTTTTGATATGCTGCATTCATTGCTGTTTGAATTGCATCTGTGGCAAAATTCGAAGTGGAAAATCCAGAATTAATAAATCCACCCAAATATTGATGAACTGTTGTTTCCAACATAGCTACTGCATTATTTATAGTTGCACAAACACTATCAACATTTCCACTTCCAGCAGCTCTTCTTATACATTTTCTAACAATAAATACAGTATCCTCAACAATTGAACTTGTCAATTCTTCATTTTCTCGCAAATCCATATTTATTGCTTTCTCAACTGATTTTTGCATATAATAATGTTCAATAAGAATATAATTTCCAATCAATTCTTGCATTTTTGTACCAACTAAACTGCGATTCAACAATTTGTCTAATTTTTCTTCATCCGCTTGTTTTCCAACTCTTCTTCCAATAAATCTTCCATACATTTCAACCGAATTATTCATCAAACAAATCTCAGCAACAATTGAATCAATATCCAATGGATCCAATATATTTTCTTGAGCAATTGAATTTTTATTGAAAAGTGTTGAATTGATTTGTTTGATAATTGTAGAAACTTTTCGATTTTTATCAAATTCCACCAACAATCTTTTGAAAAACTCATCAATTCTGGTTTGCAAAATAAATAGGAAATCAAGAATTTTATCAGATCCATACGAACTTTCCATAATTGATAAATTACTTTCCAAAATTCCGGCGATTCCTTCGAAAAACATGAATAACGTATCAGCGTATAACACATTTCTTCTCTCATCATCAGTTCCTCCAGCTCGCATTATCTAGAAAACATTTTGACGTGACATATGACGTGGCAATCAATTTCAATTTTGTTTTGATTGTGAGAAAAAAAAATGAGTAAATATTTCTCAATTTGTGAAGAGCTAATTGTAAATAGAATTGTTCAAAAATTTTGATTTCACAATGACAAAATCAACTTTTTTCACCGATTTTCTAACTAACCGTGATATGATCATCAGCCAATTTATCGATTTTCGTATTGATATATTTCCCAAATCTTTGCATTCCTTCATCAGATTCTTTAAGAAGTGGAAAAAGTTTGACAAATCTTTGCATTTCAGAAACATCTCCTTTGATTACAGCATCATCCAATCTCGCTTTTAGAATTTTTGATAATCGTTCCTTAGCAGATGATAAAACTTCATAACTGTGGCGAATTGAATCAGTTGCATCTGAAAACAGAACAATTATAAATCAACAATTATAATCTACTTTTCAAGGTACCTTTGTCTTTGAATTCTCTGATTTGAAAAACTGCTTGATCCAAAGTAAGAAATCGATGAATATGTTCTGAAGCTGTCTCAAAATCTTCTGATCTAATTGCCTCATCGATTCCTTCAGCACAAACTCCAAGATCTCTCATATCACCCGCTAATTGCAAACAATTCACAACACGATTTTTAGCCTCGTCAAGTGCTGAAACTCTTCCACTAATTGTATCAGCTAAAAGCGAGATATTCTTCAAAGTATTCGTCAGTTGTTTTGCCGAATTTTCAACAACAAGCATATTATTATTGAGACGAGTTACAGCAAGTCCAAAGGTTCGATTTTGCTCTCCGCCATCTCCTGAATTTTCCTCAATTATTATCGAAATATCTTTTTCGATTCGTTCTTCTTCTCTTTTACGAATTTCTAATTCCAAGCGAAGTTCTCGTATTTTTCGAGAAAAATCGAAAATTTCATTTTGGTCTTCGTTTTCGTTTTGATTTTCGGCCAACACTTTTCGAGACAATTTATTTTTTCGGCCAGAAGGCACACCAGAATTGAATTTCTGTTAAGAAAAAAACATTAATTTAGAATTATTACTCAAAATTTATACTCACGATATCAGGCATTTCAAATTAATGCGAGAAGAAAACTAGCATCAAAAAGATGATAAAAATGTTCCAAATAGCTACGAAGACTCGAAAATATTGAAGGGAGATCAAAAAGTTACGGATTTTGTCTCCAAGAGAATCTGGATTTGCAACCTCGATGCCAAAAGCTGCTTCGTCTTGTTGTTTTCTTCTAAAAAATATATTTTTTTAAATCAAAAATAAGTTTTCCAATATATTAAAACTTACAAATTGAAATTGAGAACCGCGAATCCGTTGATAACTAGGGTTGCTGCAATGATAAGCTCAGAGAGCATTGAAAATCCTCTTTTTCAGCAAAAACAAATAATTCAACTTTTCTGAAAAGATGGAAAAATTGAAAATGAGGAAATCCAACAAGGCAAATAAATGAAAACGGGGTTGTTCGCTGGAGCGCGCTTTCATCTTTTCCAAATAATTTTGCGAGTTTCGACGTCAAAACTTGAAGAAATGTGGGAAACGGAGATTTCGGGTATAACATTTTATATGAAGAATAACAATAAAATCAACAAAAATACATTAACAATTATAATTTTATTTCTTGGCATCTGGAACTTCCCACAACGCATTTCGCACAAAGTTCTGTAAAATAATGAATCTATATTTAAATTGGGAATATTTAGATTTTCATACCTGTGCAGCTTGTTGATTGATTCGTGGCGCATCTTGTCGCTCATTAACTTCTTTCATATCCGCTGTCATTCGTTTTGTTCGAGCTAAATCAACCATTAATTCATCATTTTGATTCGCAACTTTTCCCTTCAATCCATGTGTCGCCCATAATAAACTATCCATTAGAAACATTGAAGCTGAATCAACGATCGCCATATCATGAGCTTTTCTCTGACAAAGAAAACGAGATTTTCAATTGAAATTATTGATTTCGAAATTGATGAACGAAAAAAAACTTACTTCATAATGTTTGTCTACGCCTCCTTCTGTAATTTTATCCACTAAATCTTCGACTGCTGATAACTTTTCATCAAAGGCTTGCAGTTTATCAATTAAATCTTGCGGGATTCCAGACATTTTAAAAGGGAAACTGGAAGAGAAACGAGAAACAGAAAAAAAGAGAAGAAAAAGATAACGTGTCAAGCGCGCTCTACCGAACAAAAGGAGGCAGTTTAAAAAACATTTATTATCGTAAACTTTATTTATTTTTATTTTACACAATTTGCAACTATTTATTATGCTCTTGATGGAATTGATGCGTTGAAGATGAGTTGGCAAAATTTTACCGTTCGATCTGCAAAACTTGATTTAAAAATGTAAACTTGTTAATAGGATTTACCATTAATTTGATAGAATATATTCGGTAATGTGTCTGGATAGATGAATACTATATAAATCAATGCGCCACCAGCTGTCAAACTCAATCCATAAATTGCTACTTGGTAATTTTGGATAATTGGAATAACAAGAAGCATTATACAGATTGCAAAAAATACAATTGGAACAAGAATTGGCACAATAAATCTATCAGGATTTTCAGATTTATTGAATTTTCCAGTAAATTTGAAATAAATAAATCCAGCCTGTGTTGCTGTTCTTTGACTCCATAACGCGAAAGACATATAACTTATAATATGATCGAGATCACCGATAAATGAAAGACAAATTGCGATGAGAACTTCGAAAAATACAGCCATTCTCGGACTATTTGATGCTAAATTGACAAGACGAAGCATACTTGGCATAACTCCTTGTTCAGCTCCAGAATGCATATATCTAGAACAAGCGAAGATTGTTGTATTCATTGAACCAATCAATAAAAGTGAGATTAGAAATGGGATAACATAATGAAAGTCTCCAAGAGTTCTTTCTGCAAATGTGACTGCAACAGCTGGACTTGATTTGAAATCTTGAACTGATAAAACACTAAAATATGAGATATTCATCAATATAAATACAACAGCTGAGATTGTAATTCCACTCATTGCAGCAATTGGCAAAGTTCTTCTTGGATTCTCAATTTCTTCTGCTCCAAAATTCAAAACATCCCAACCATTATATGCAAAAAGGCCAGAATAAATAGCTAAAACTAAACCGCCTGGAGCCCATTCTGAACCTTCAAATGAGTTTTCGAAATTTTGAACATCTTGTTTGAAAATAATATAATAGAAACCAGTGAAAATGATAATTGAAGCCACGATTAATTTGATGGCAGTTGCAATTATTTGAAGATAGCCCGCAACGTTTTTCAGCGAGAAAAAAATTGATGAACATTAAAGGCCAGAGAACTGAAAATCCAATGAGGCGATAAGCGAGAAATCGATAATGATCATCAAGGTAAATGAAATTGTCCAGGCCTGGAAATTGGGAAAGATTGTTTGAAAAATTTTGAAACAAAAAGAATATGAATTTTCAAAATGTTGATCTCTCAATCTCATAAAATTCACGTGGCTTCTTCATGGAAATTCCAAATCTCTCACCTGTAATAACATATTCTCCTAACGAAACAGCTTGAATTGCCAGAACAGCTGGATATGACAAACAAGTCGAAACCCACATAAAAGAAGCAGCCAAAGGTCGCCATCCAAAATATGACAAATATGCAAAATCACATCCACTTTTCCTAATCGTAGTTCCTAATTCAACATATGATAATGCACCAAATAATGATATAAATGCACAAATTGCCCATAAACATAAACTAAGTCCAACTGATCCAGCATGATTCAGAATTGATGTTGGAGTTACGAATATTCCTGATCCAACAATATCTCCTACAGTATACGAAATTGCGGTTATTAGACCAATTTTATGTGTAGTTTGGACTTCACTGGACATTTTTTTGATAAATAAAAAATATGTATGGAAGAACAAAAAATGAATGAAAAAAGAAAGTGAAGAACTGATAAAAGAGCACAAAATGTTGAATTATTTATATGATTTGAGGTGAGAAGAATTGAACTGTGGATGCAGATAAGATTGGCATTTTGTAGTTGTGAAATTTTTGTTTTGATGATATTAGAGTATTTTGTGGTCTGGAGTTTGAAAAGGAGAATATAAAAAACATGAGATCGAGAAAAAATTCAGATAACAAAAGTTTTGCCAAAATTTTGAAAAATGTTTTCAAAAGAAAACAATCAATTTTTTTGCACAACAATCAGACAAACTGTAAAAAATATTTGAAAATTTATAATCAAGATATTCACTAAAAATTCCAGGAATTTTTTCACAACTTCATTTTTTCCCAAAAAATAACTAAACCCTGTCAAAAAATTCGCGGTTCCAAAGAAGGCCTTAAAGGTTCATCGAATCCTCTTAAAAATTCACTTTTTAAAGAAATTCCGAAAAATAATCTTTTTTCACGAAATGCAAAAACTGATAACGTTCCAATTTTATGCTCAACCAAAGATGATCGAAAATTACATCAGCAATTTTTCCGGGGAAAAAAATTCGAAGAACAATTATTTATTCACAAACGTGAACTGTAAAAAGATTTTTTTATTTGAAAAAAAACATAAATATCAGAGAAAAATGATTATTTCTTTATTTTGGGATTTTCGAAATGATCGAGAAAAATAATGTGAGTGGAAAATTCTCGCAGAAAAGATTTTAAGAATTTTATTTCAGAAAACATTAGAAATTGTCAAAAATCAATGTGTATCAATGGATGTACTGAGAAAAATGTTGGAAAAACAGATCAAAAAGTAATATCGTTTTTTTATAAAAAAAAACTTTAAAAAAACTATATATTTTTTGCAGCAACATATCATTGTTAAAAGAGGGTGAAGTTGTCGTGAATTCTGTAAATGATCAGAAAACTGAGTTTGTTGAGGATTTTAAAAGTTTTCTGAAAAATCGGAGAGAAATCAAAGAGACGGCGGATAGCGAATTAGATGCGAAAATCAATGAATTTTTGAAAATGTATGAGGAATTGCTGAAAAAATGGTTGGATATTGATGAGAAAATGAAAGAGGGACAAGAGATTGTGAGTTTTCCAATTTGAAAAAAATCAGGATTTTTGAACTTCAAAATGGCAGATGACATTAGTAAAACTGAACATGGAAGAAAAAACACTCTTTCAGAATTAAAAATTAAGAATTTTAGAATTACTGTAGATTCTCGCTCCTAATCATTATATAGAACTCTCTGGTTTTTTGTCCAAGAAACTGGGGTTACTGTGGGGTTTTTTTTGCAAATAATTTAATAATTTTTCAACCTGAAATGGTTCAATATAATTGCAGACTCTCCATCAAAGTTCTATCACTTGTGATTGCAATCTAAACATTTTTTAGGCGAGTGAACACGATCAATTGATGAGTGAAATGGAAATATGTGAGGCAAAATATGATGAATTTCGTGTGAAATTGGCAAAATCTCTGACTCGTCGTGTCCCTCCACTATTTCCTTCAAAAGCTGAGAATCCTCAAATCATCAACAAAAACCAGAAAATCTACAAGCCTCTTGAAATCGAAATAACCACATGTATTTCGCGTGTCAAACGTGATTTAACTGGGCTTAGAACCAATTGGAACACTCGTCAATTTGTCAATCTTTATACGGAAAAATTGATTGATCAAGGATGTTTGGTTTGTGAAATGTTGCTCGATGAATTTCCGCAACGTGGATTGGGAGCCTATTTGGATACATTAAAATAAAACAAGATTAAATGGAAATTATGAATAAATATTTATTTCATTGTACATTTATAATTTTTGTTTTCTCGTAAATCGACATCGCCGCAATTTCCTTTCCAGTTGTTGGATTCTGAAAATGTTTGTGTTTTTTTTTTTCCATTGACGTTTTGAAATTCTGAAATTAATAACACAACACTCTTTTAATCTAAAAATAATAGAACACACCATGCTAGGGTTTTTCATGCATCAAAAGTTTGTTTTTTCGAATTTTCGGTTGGGAGACGACTTGGAGCCGCCAGGCTCACCAAAGTGTTTGAACGACTTTGTGTTTTGAAACCGATGTGTTTGATGTTGAGAATTAGGAAAACGAGACCATCAGCAACGCCTGGAAATTGTTTTTCATTTCTGAAATCCTTTTTTAAATTGCCACGTCATATTTCACGTTTTTATCTTATAAATTTTCGTTTGTCATTTTTTTTTCTGACTTTCTATGACGGAATTAGCCGGAAGTTTTCTAAATAATCAAATCACCGAAAATAGTGATTTCTGCTGCGCGAAAAACTTGTGCGTGAGAAAACACATATTTTTTCTAGCTAATAATTTTTGCAATTGAATTGTGTAGTTCTCCAACCTACCATTCACCAGAATCGCCGCAATATAAAACGGGCCCAATTCGGCAAATAAAGAAACACCCGTAATTTCCTCATATAAAGTGACTAAAAGTGATGGAATTGTGACGAAAAATAGAGAAGCAAATAATATTCCAACAGTAATTCGATTGGCTTGTTGAAAAATATTCACAGCTTTTGTAGATGATTGTGTGTTGGAACTCGATTTTTTTCGAGAGATTTTATGGAGACCAATGAACACAAATATACTCATAATAACTATTAGAATTCCACAGATCTACAACAAAACATTGAAAGTTGTTATCGCAGGCTTTGGAGATGAAGAGAAAAAAGGACTGACCGTATTCGAATAACTGACATAAATCAAAAACTTTTTGTTGACAAAACACGCCATTGTTGGACAATTCGGATGGTGGACAAAATCCGGAGTTAACATTTGAAACCAATAATCAAATTGGAACCAAACAAAACCGAGCACGAAAACCAAGTTAGCGTAAGTTGTTCGACTTGTCTGACGATAAAAAACTGGCCAATAAATGGCCAAAACTCGGTCGAATGCCATTCCCAAACTAACAACTACAACGATTTTAAGATGCGCCGGAAGAAAAGAGTTTGTATAAATGATGAATTCAGGGCTATAATCGAAATAAGTGTCATTCCACATATAGGCTAAATATCCGACGTGGATAAGAGAGGCAATTGCATAACCAATATCACCAATTGCAAGGTAGAGAGGGAGTCGAAGATTTTCCGCGGTGGATATGCGTTTTCTGAAAAGTGTTTTGTACAATTTTTGAACTGATTTGAACTTTATTTAAGTTGTGATTATTTCTTCAAAAATTGAAGTTCATAAATGCTTTCTGGTTTCAAACTCCTACCGATGTTCTCCGTAAAATTGTCATTTTTCTTTCTTCAAAAATTCGTATTTTTCAAAACTTACGTGAAAAATACGAATATTATGAATGCATTTATAATTGTTGACAACGCGGCTGCAAATAATGCAATACATTCAGTTATCAGAAATATTTTCGGCATTCTGAAATTCATTTGCATAAGAGAAATAAATATTAAAAAAGTACTATGATATGGGCAAAGTCGTGGGTGATTTATGTAATTTCCGTAATCTATAGTTACTTGGTTAACAAAACAAACAGAAAAACACAGAAAATCTAAAGATTGATGTGAGAATAAAAAATAAGTTATATAAAACTAAATTTTAGTTTCAAAAATGAAACTGGAATTTGGAAAAAGGATGAATGATGGATACTGAAAAACGTTATTGAATTATTCATTGGAACATTTTAATTTGAATAAATAGTTGTCCAAAAACCGAAATACTTTGCAAAATTAAAACAATTCTGAAATTCGAACATCACTGGAAAATGAAATCAAAGATAAAATGCCTAATGAATAATAAGCAACTCTTGGGAAATGATTGTTTGATTTTTGGAAAAAATAGTGAAAAACAATAATCTGCTAGTCATTTTCTGCTCACCGCCTCAGAAAATTTGGAAACATGATTAACTTGCTTTTTTATTTGATTTCATGAAAAATAATCGCAGACATAAATCAAGTGACTTCGAGGAAAAAAGAGTTTCGGGAGTAACAAGAATGTAATTATTGCAAATATAAAGTTTTTTGGAATAAAACTAGTAATAAAATCCAGATAACTTGTGGTTGTATTTTTAAATATACAGTATACACCAAATATTTCTATAAGTTTATATAGTCGAAATATTGCTTAATTGCTCGGCGCTTCAAATTTCACTATAAGTTATCCATTTTCTTCAAGCTTCAAATATCTACACTTCATTCAAAATTCAAACAACAACAAAAACTTGGAAAATATACATGACAGAAGCTGAAATCATTCCGGAAACTGGAATCGTTAGAATCCACGACAGAAACACATATCGAACAGTTTTCCATTTCAAAATCGGCCCGGATCTAACTAATCCAAGTCCGAAAATTGAACCAACTAGACAATGAGTGATACTTTGTGGAATGTTATAAATATTTGTGGCTAAGGCAATTATGGCAGTCCCAAATTCTACAGCGAATCCAGTTGCGGGATTCATTTTTGAAAAATTTTCACCGACAGTTCGAATAACTCGAATACCCAATATCCAAATACCAAATAACACTGCTAATGTGGAAAGTAATCCGACATAAATTGTGATCTACATAAATATTAAAGAAGTTTTATAAAACTATGAAGATTAGCTAACTCACATTTAGCTCTGTATTTGCATCATTATAACTTTGATTATATAAATGAACAAGTTCTCGAATTGGTTCAACACAATTACTTACATCATTTGCACCATGTGCAAAACCAGCAAAACAAGCAGTTATCAATTGGAGAAATGAGAAAAGTCGAACTGCTTTTTGATCATCGTTTCGAATTGGAGGAAATGCCCAATACATTGCTTTTCGAAGCCAACCGCGGGGTTCAATTGGAAAAGAATATGAGAGAGATGAGGCAATTCGAGGTAGCTCCATGGGTTTTTCTGTAGACTTCACATTATTTTTTTCGAATATTGTTTCTTTCTTGCTGTCTAATCTATTTTACTTTCACAAATTGTGATCGAAATATTAAAGATGTGTTACATAAAAATTATAAAACTCACTTTCCAATCTTTTTTTCATTATCGGGCCCACAATAAACAAGGCAATAAATCCAGCAATCGCACCTAATCCTATAGAAACTGCCACGTCATACCAAAACGGGATATCATTCATGTGAAGTGCTACAATTTTTCTGTGAATTTAATTTTTTCCCGCATAAAAAACTTACGTCTACTTCCATCCTGCATGAAAAGCATAACATTGGTAAATATCACAATAAAATAAATGACTGGCAGATAAAACAAGCCGGTTTGCACAGGATTTCTGTCTTGTAAAATCAAAGCGTCGATAATGAAAAAGACAAGAAGTGTGAAGAATGCAGAGGCAATCGGAGCCAAAATCCATAAGGCTACTGCAAAAATTATGTGTCATTCATGATTTTAATTAAACATGGAACTTACAAACAATCAGAAAACGATCCCAAATAATTCCCTCAAAACCTCTTAAAACCAACGCAAATCCAAGAGTAGCTCCTAACAATGAATGAACTGTTGAGACTGGCATACTATAAAATGTTGCAATCATCAGCCAAACCGCGCAGCCAATCAGCATTGCAAGATTTCCCAAAACCAGCTCATTGGGATTATCAGCAAACATTTGAGCGTCAATTATTTGAAGGGATTTTCCGGATCCCATGAAACCGCTAGCTAATGAACCCATCATTTCAACAATTGTTGCGAGGATAAAAGCTTGAGTAAGTGTGACAACTCCAGTTCCAACCGAAGTTCCGAATGCGTCAGCAACATCATTTGCACCCATTCCAACGCCAAGGAGAAATGAGACACCAAAAATAAGCGCCCATTGGACAGCTTCCTAAAAATTGAAAAATTTACAAGCTAGATTCCTAAAATTTTACTTCTGCAGAAAAGTTATCAGATTGTTTTTTCCAGATCATATTTCAAATTATCTCGCCCCAAGTTTTTCAAACTCACCAAATCATAATAGGGATAAGGTTTGATAAAAAATGTTGAAATAGTCGATGTTGAAACATCAAAAAGTTGCTGTATATTATTATTCATATTTTATTTATTTTTAAAATAATGATGAAAATTGTAACGGTTGAACAAATAAGAGCATGTTCGGGTTACGGTTTATTTGTTTGTTTACTGTTTCTGTTTTGACCGGTTAAACTCACGTCATTTTCGCGAGGAAATATTCAACAAAAACTTTATTCTGTTCGGAAAAAAGTGGGCAAAATGTATGTTAGACTTGGCTGGAAATTGAGACGACGCTGAAAATTCGGTCTGGTTTGTGAACTTTTCCGATAAATTCCTTGATTGCTTCTCGATATGGAATAATAAAATAAAATGAAATAAGTGGATCAATAAGAGATGGAGAAGAAGCAGTTACAAGTATGAGATGTTGAGAGATAACAATTTCTAATCCTGTTTTTTGAGCCAACAAATAACATGTAAAAATTGGGACATATGCCAAAACGGGGAGAATTGTTTGAAAAGTAAGACCTGTTATTAAAGTTCTCGCTTGATTTTTGGTTTTTTCGGACATGTTTTGATGTAATCTTATCATTGTTAAAATTCGCCGAGTTAGAATGAAGCAAAATATTGGGATACCGTACGCTCCAACTGCAATTAATGATGTTGCACTAACGAATTGGATGTTATTGACATTTGAAAATCCAGGAAATGGTTCATAAATTGAGAAATCATAGAAAGGATAACTGAGGCGAGTTATATTCCTGACACTTTCAAAATTCCAAGTTGCTGTAAATGGAATAATCTGAAAAATCATAAATTCAAAAAAGTTCTAAAGAACGTGAGAAAGTCAAAAAATTAATAACCCCAACAATTATGGGTAGAATATAAGAACCAGCAATCATAACTTTTATATTTTTCATACTTATTGAATCCCATGTCAAGACCAAAAATCGAAAAAGTACTGTATTTGAAATAGCTAATCCTGCCAGAAGTGTGTTTGCTGTGTAAATATGATAACCAGAAAAACAAAACTCGGGTCCAAAGAACATACATGGTCCCAATGAGAGAATTGCGAGATCATTTGAAGTTGGAAGAAGTCGCTGTTGTACAAAAAAAGCTAACCAAATCATGATAAATTGGGCAAAACAAGTATTATAAAGAAAGTATTTGAGATGTTCCAATGTTGACGGAGATTTTTTATTGATCAGGAATAGAAGAAATATTTGGAAAACTGAACCAACCACAGTGTAGAAATATATATAAACTCGAAAAAATGGAACATAAATGTTCGAATTCATTTTGATTCGTTCACATAAGTGAAGAATTTGAGGAGTCTGAAGGGTTTGACATGTGAGAGTTCTCACAATTATTTTGAAATATTCGGATAATTGCTTTTTCTCGGTTACATTCATTATACTTGGATTGAAAATGAAACAACACTTATTGTATGTTTGTTGTCAATTTTTCCCAATATTTTCTTAATTGCTTCTCGATATGGAATAATGAAATAAAATGAAATAATTGGATCAATAAAAGATGGAGAAGAAGCAGTGACAAGCATTAGATGTTGGGATATAATGATTTCTAGTCCAGTTGTTTGTGCCAATAAATAACATGTGAAAAGTGGAGTATAGGCTAAAATTGGAAGAATTGTTTGAAAAGTGAATCCAGTTATCAAAGTTCTTGAAAGTGTTTTCGTTTTTTCGGACATATTTCGACGTAATCTGATAAGTGTTAAAATTCGACGAGTTAGAATAAAACAAATGCATGGAATTCCATATGCTCCAATTGCCATCATAGATGTTGCAGTCACAAATTGAATACTATTCACATTTGAAAATCCAGGAAATGGTTCATAAATCGAAAGATCGTAGGTAGGATATTGAAGTCGAGTAACGTTTTGGACACTTTTAAAGTCCCATTTTGAAGTGAAAGGAAGGATCTTAAATTTATTATTAATTCAAATAAACTTTGTAGTTTCGTTCACCGCGACAAACAAAGGCATAATATATGAACTAGCAATCATAACCTTTATTTTCTTCACAGTTATTGAATCCCATGTCAAAACCAAAAACCGAAAAAGTACTGTATTTGAAATAGCTAATCCTGCCAAAAGTGAATTGGCTGTATAAATATGATAGCCAGCAAAACAAAATTGAGGACCAAGATAAGTGCAAGGACCCAAGGATAAAATTGCAAGCTCGTTTGAAGTTGGAAGAAGTCTTTGTTGAACGAATACTGCTAACCAAATCATGGAAATTTGATCGAAACAAGTATTATAAAGAAAATATTTGAGATGTTCCAATGTTGACGGTGATTTCTTATTGATCAAAAACAGTAGAAATATTTGGAAAGTTGAAGCGATCAATGCATAGATGTATATATAAATTTGGAAAAACGGAACATAAAAATTGGAGTCCATGAATTTTACTTAAATTATTCTGAATTCAGCTTCGTGGAAATAAAACTGATTTATTAATTGACAGAATTTTGAGAAAACGTAAAATTATAACCACATGTAAACAGAAAATAATTCTAGGGAACATTTTCAGTGCAAACTAAATTCAAAGAAAGAATATATAATTACAGATTATCAGATTTACATCAACAAGAAATCCTAATTTGTCGATTTTATGGAGATTATTTTACTTTTAGTTTGGAATATTTTGATGATTGCATTCCGATATGGAATAATGAAATAGAAAGAAATAAATGGATCAAAAAGAGCTGGAGTTGAAGCTGCACCGACTATTAGATGTTCAGATAGCAAAATTTCAACCCCAAAATTCTGTGTGATCATATAGCATGTGAAAACTGGGATGTAAGCCAGAATTGGGAGCAATGTTTGAACACTCAAACCATGTATCAGAATTTGGAACTGTCTTCGAGTATTTTGCGATATATTTTCTAGGCGACGAATTTTTTGCAATGTTCTTTGAGTTAAAACAAAACTAGCCAATGGACAACCATAGACTCCGATTCCAAGAAGAGTTGTTGCAAGAATAAACTGGAAATTTGAAACATCAACAAATCCAGGAAATGGTTCGTAAATCGAAAGATTGTAAAAAGTATGTTCAATTTTTGTAGAAATTTGTACTGATTGAAAATCCCATTTTGTTGTGAATGGTAAAATCTGAAAACAAAAATGTTTTGGGGTTTTGGGAAAAATCATAAGAAAAAATCAGACAGTTTTAAAACATCTCAAAATGTTGTAGATCTTTAAAGTTTAGTATAACAAAAAATTGACACAACCTTTGAAAATAAGATCAATGTAACATTCAAATTAACAATAATTCAACTTATAATTATTCAAATTTTGAAACTTACAACAACTGCAATTGGGAGAACATACGAAATCGAAATCATGAAAAATACCCCACGGGATGTTATTGAACTAGAAAGTAACAAATATCGAAACAAAATTGTATTAGATATGCCAATTCCAACTGCCATTGATGCACCATTATAAAGTTGATAAGCGATGAAACAAATATTTGATCCAAAACTTCGACAAGGTCCTAATGGAAGAATAGCCAGACCACTAGAATATGGCAAAACTCGAAATTGGCCGAAGAAAACTAGGAGAAGCATGGAAATTTGAACAAAACTTGTGTTGAATAAAAAATATTTCATTCGATTTATTATTAGTGGTGATTTTGTGATGATTAGATAAACGAGAAAAGTTTGGAGCGGCAGACTAAACATGAAATAGAACTTATAATAGTTATCAAAAAATTTGACATAAATGTTTGAATCTGAGTTCATAGTCAAATTTCGAGTAAATTGGGTTGCGTGTGGTTTTGAATATATACTTATCTGTGTTTTTTTAAAAGTTAATTGTCAGTATTTTCAAATATTGAAACAGACGTGGGAAAATCGAGAGACATGATGATAGTCTCATAATTTGACTAATGGTTTTTCTTTGTATTTCTTGAAAAATTATTTTGGAAAATGTTATCTTCTATTAAAATATGTTCAATATTCAAATCCTTCATTATTCGAATCCTTTTTTGATACTGATATTTCCAGATCTCATGTCAAAACTTTGAGAGAGAAAATGTTAACCACATGTTCCTTGTAAACAAATATCCACATCAAAGAGCATTTCAAATTCAAACTAAATTCAACCAAACAAACTCTAATTATACATTTCCGATCATGCTTGAATAACAGAAAAAACTTCCAAAAATAACAAATCAGAGTACATCTCAACTTGTTGATTTTACAGAAATTATGTTTCTTTTTGTTCGAAAAATTTTGATAATTGCATTTCGATATGGAACAATACAGTAAAATGATATAAATGGATCGAAAAGAGCTGGAGAAGAAGCTGCTCCAACAATCAAATGCTCAAAAATTAGAATTTCAACTCCAAGATTTTGTGAAATCATATAACAAGTAAACACCGGAATATAAGCAAAAATAGGTAGCAATGTTTGAAGACTCAAACCATGTATTAGAACTTGGAATTGTTTTCTAGTATTTTGCGAAATATTTTCTAGGCGACGAATTTTTTGCAATGTTCTTTGAGTTAAAACAAAACTAGCCAATGGACAACCATAGACTCCGATTCCAAGAAGAGTTGTTGCAAGAATAAACTGGAAATTTGAAACATCAACAAATCCAGGAAATGGTTCATAAATCGAAAGATTGTAGGTGGAGTGTTCAATTTTTGTAAAGACTTGGACTGTTTCAAAATCCCATGTTGTTGTGAGAGGTAGAATCTGAAATAGTGAGAGGTCAGTTAACTTAATTTAAAATCTCAGAGGGCCGAATTCATAAAATAAAACAAATAATGTTCAAAAACCAAGAAATCATTTCCTGAGAAATTCAACCACTCACAACTAATGCAAGTGGAAAAATATAAGAAACTGAAATCATGAGAAACACGCCACGAGTTCCGACAACTCTAGAAAGTAACAAATATCGAAACACTACAGTATTCGATATTCCAATTCCAACTGCCATAGTTGCACCATTATAAACTTGATAACCGATAAAACAAACATCGCGCCCAAAAAATTTACAGTATCCTGGTGAAAGAATTGCTAACCCAGTTGAATACGGTAATACTCGAAATTGTCCGAATAAAACCATGAAAATCAAATTGATCTGCACAAAACTTGTGTTCAATAAAAAATATTTCATGTTATTTATGATGGCTGGTGATTTTGTGAAAATTAAATAAACCAGCAAAATTTGAAGTGATAAACCGAAAATAAAATAGAATTTATAATAGTTATCAAAAAACTGGATATACATATTTGCGTTCGAGTCCATTTTTAAGTTCTGACACAAAATTCCATGTGGTTTTGGGTTTAAATAAGTATATATTCATTTGTTTTCTGTGTTCTGATATATAATAAGTGGGTACGAAATTTTGGCTCTAATAAAATATGCAGGTCTCAAAAATGTTTATAAATTTTTTTTTGACCTCTACAAATATTTTTGATCAATCAATATTGTGTAGCGTTATCAATGACTACAGTGTAGTGTTTTTTTCTCGGGTGATATTTTTTTCATTTTTGTTTTCTTATTATTTTATTCAGAAAATGGATGCTGCTAAAGCACGTGCTCATATTCCGGAACCAACCTATTTTGAATATAATCAACGAGATGCAATAATTTATGCACTCGGAGTTGGCGCCAACGCCAAAACCGATTTGAATTATATTTATGAAAATGCGTCGGATTTCAAAGTTCTTCCATCGTTTTTGGTTGCTCCAGGATTTCCATCGGGAAATGTTATGGATTGGCCGGGAGTTGAATTTGATTTGACACGAATTTTGCATGGAGAACAATATATTGAATTGGTTGAACCATTGGCGGCTGATGGAAAATTGAGATCCGAGGGAAGAGTTGTTGATATTTTGGATAAAGGATCTGGCGCTTTGATTCTTGTTGAAAGTGAGTTTTTTTTGGGAGAAAGAGAGAGGGCAGGGAAAGTTTATGCAAAAAATATTAGAACGATTTTTGGGTTTTGGGGAAAGTTCAGAAAAATATTGCGCGCGTTACTGTAGAATTTGAGTTAGAATTACTCAAAATTAAAAAAATTCGTGATATTTTTCAGATTAGTTTCAAACTTACAAAAAGTATGAAAAAAAATTCTGAAATTTTTTGGCCTTTCTCAAAATTAAAAGCCTCATCAGATTCAGATTTCAATTTTTTTTATTTTTTCGGAACAAAATTAAAAATCGAAATTTAAAACCTTTGTTGAAGAATTTTAAAAATCAGAATTATTAATTCTCAAGATCAAACAAATTTAGAACCTTTTCAAACTTCTTCATTTCCAGTCACCACTTTTGACGAAACCACAAACAAAAAAATCGGCATGCAACAAATGGGAATCTTCCAAGTTGGCGGCGGAAAATTTGGTGGATCTCGCACATCTCCTCACGAAAAACCAGCCGCAACAATTCCGTCTCGCGCACCAGATGCAGTTATCGAAGAGCCAACATATCCAAATCAAGCAGCTCTTTATCGCCAAGGCGGTGGAGATCTCAATCCATTGCACGTTGATCCAAATTTTGCGAAAATGTCTGGTTTTAAAGAGCCAATTCTTCATGGATTGTGTTCTTTGGGTTTTGCAACTCGACATGTTATTAGTACTTGGGCTAGAAATGATTCGGATAAATTCAAGGCAATGAAAGTCAGATTTTCTTCACCGGTTATTCCTGGACAAACTCTTGTTACCGAAACTTGGAAAGAGGGAAATCGCATCATTTTCCAAACAAAAGTCAAGGAAACCGGAAAAGTTGTTGTGTCAAATGCTTATGTTGATTTGCATGAAGCAACTGCAACTCCAACAAAATCAAAGATTTGAGAATTTGAATAGATTTTGTAAATAAAAGTTTTATGTAAAACATTGTTAGAAATATAAAAATAGAATTTCAAATGACAAACAAGGTTTTTGTCAGTTTTCATAGCTTAGTCTGAATTTATCTGATAATTTTGGAACCCACGACTTTTCCCTAGAATTTGTATATCAAAAAAATGACAAACTTTTTTTTGAAAAATCATTATAACTTGGGAACTTTATATTTAACATATTGTTGATTCCTAGGCCAATCATTGGAACTCCGATTCCATGACTTAATCCAATATTTCCACTGAGATAATCAATTAGAACTCTTCGATTTTCTTGATAATATGGGCCGACTCCTCGACCAACATCAATTTGCACAGGTTTTCCGAGCTCGCCTTTTTTGATAGGAACACTAATCTGTAAGTAACTAAACATATTTATTTATGATTGAAAACTTGTTTGTTTTTCCCTGGTTGATTTTTTGGTCTATGACGCGTGACGAATTTGAAACCAAAAAACTTTTTCCCTCTCGTTCATTTTTATCGTGTTACTTTTTTCTCTTTTGATCGAGTCACAATAATTGCTTTATAACTATTATTCTGTCTTTTCAAATAATATCAAAATATGTCACTTCATGAATTGTCTGATGGTATTCTTGGAACTAATGTTAGTTTCAAAGATATTGAAGAAGCTTTTGGTGAAGCAGAATTTGGTGAAAATGTAAAAGTTACTAATATTAGTGATATGAAGGTAGGAATTTGTTGATCCAATTTTTTTCTTCCATCAAACTTTTTCAGGGTTTTATGTCTCGAATTGCATTGATTGAACCTGACTGGAAAATTGACACCGGACTCCCGAAAAAGTTCGCCGTGAAAATATCTTCGCAGCTAGCATTCATGGAAGTTTCCAAACTAACAGGCAAAGCAGATCTTGAAGAGGAAAAACTGAAAAAACTTGACGAAAATCTGAAAATGTTCAATAATCGTGAAGTTGACGTTTATAATTTATTGAATGATCTGAAGATTCCGGAAATTCCTTTGATCAAGATCTATGCGACTAGAAAATTCAGTGAATCAAATACGTTGAAAGCATTCATAATCTCGGAATATGTTGAGAATCTTTCAAATATAAAAATGTATGAGACAATTGATTGTGATACTATTCTACCAATTATTCGAGGAGCTGCTGCATTTTCAGCTATTGGAGAGACTATTCAAGATAAAAAGCGGCTCGAATTTGCAGGAAGTGTTGATTGTTTTCAATCAATAATTTCTGATTTTGTTGATGAAAATGTTGCCGAGAATGGTTTCAAAATAATGAGACAAACTTTTTCGGAAAAACATAAGAATCAAATAAAAGAACTCTCAAATGTTACTGATTTGTATTTGAACAAGGTTAACATATCAAAGATCATCGATATTGTTGGTGAGTAAATACTACATTCCTTTTCATTTTGAAATTATTGAAGATCATAAACCAGTATTGACACATAGTGATTTATGGCAAGCTAATGTTATGATTGTTGAAAATAAACTCCATGCAATTATTGATTGGCAAACTGTATGTTTTGGTTCGCCAGCTCAAGATATTGGGTTGTTACTTGTATCTTGTCTTTCTACAAAAGATCGAAGAGAAAAACTAGATTTTCTGCTCGAAGAATATTACAACACATTTTTGAAAAAGATCGAAGGACATGAAGTACCTTATAGTTTTGAACAACTCAAACAGAATTATCAATTGATGTTTCCTGCTTTGGCTTGTATGATTCTTCCTTGGATTATGCAATTATCAGAACATATTCAGGATGAAGATTTACATAAAAATGTTGTAAGTTTGAAAGATCTTGTCAAATCAATGATTCGAATATCAGTTCTGATTGTGATTTGAACTATCATAAAAAATCCAAATTTCTGAAAAAAAAATTCGAAATGTCTGATAACCGATTTTATGAACTTTTCCAGTTATATTGAAAGTGAAATTTTGATGATTTGAAAACCGGTTTCCAGTCCAGTTCAAAACACACCATTTTTTTCAGATCGAAAAATGTGTTGGATTGATGGAGGATGTACTATCAACGCATCAGAAAAATCTCGCCGAGTTTCCACAATTTTTTCAAAGTCTATAAATTTTACCAACAATAAATAAAAATTTAATTCTTATCAAAAGCCACGTGCGCAAAAATTGATGCTAGTCTCGGGAATCTTATCTACGTTCATCTTTCTTATATTGAAAATATGCAAATATTTGTGTGTGTCTTGGAAAATAATTCGCAATTAACAGATACCTACAAATTTGGTCAAATAATTTTCATACCATGTTTTCAGGCTAATCAGATAATATAACGTAGCTGGAACAAATTCTGTCAACCCGTTATAAAAACAAACCGACTTTGTGAAGAACCACAGATTGATACGGAAATCAGAGATCTATATATTTTCAGCAGTTCTATTTGTTCTATCCCCAATAAAATGTTTTGTATATCAATCTTCGGGTGCAATATATAACCAATATAATTCCAAAAAGTTTTAATAAAAGCCATGCTTTCCCTATTGATAATCTCCGTCTATACTGAATTTATCCGTCCATTTATCATTTCACTTTATCGCATTCTTTATTCTTTGGATCAGAAAGTCACTTTTCTGTCCATAAATATGTCACTTCATGAATTGTCTGATGGTATTCTTGGAACTAATGTTAGTTTGAAAGATATTGAAGAAGCTTTTGGTGGAGCAGAATTTGGTGAAAATGTAAAAGTTACTAATATTAGTGATATGAAAGTAAGAATTTTTATTCCAATTATCATTTGTTTCTCATTGTCAGTCACTCTTTTCTAGGGTTTTATGTCTCGAATTGCATTGATTGAACCTGACTGGAAAATTGATACCGGACTCCCGAAAAAGTTCGCCGTGAAAATAGCATCGCAGTTAGCTTTGATGGAAATCTCCAAGATATCCGGAAAAGCAGATCTTGAAGAGGAAAAATTGAAAAAACTTGATGAAAATTTCAAAGTTCTAAATAATCGTGAAGTTGATGTTTATAATTTATTGACTGAACTGAAGATCCAAGAAATCCCAATTATCAAGATCTATGCGACTAGGAAATTCAGTGAATCAAATACGTTGAAAGCATTCATAATTTCGGAATATGTTGAGAATCTTTCAAATATAAAAATGTATGAGACAATTGGTTGTGAAACTATTCTACCAATTATTCGAGGAGCTGCTGCATTTTCAGCTATTGGAGAGACTATTGATATAAATCGGTTGAATTTTGCAGGAGGTTTTGATTGTTTCCAGCCAATGATTTCCGATTTTGTGGAAAAAACAGCTGAGAATGCATTCAAAATTATGAGACGACATTTTTCGGAAATATATCAGAATAAAATTGAAGACCTCGCAAAAATTACTGATCTTTACTTAAATAAAGTGAAGATCTCAGAAATCGTTAACATTGTTGGTAAGATTATTTTTTCGATGATGATTTTAAACATTTATTTTTGAAGATCACGAACCGGTATTAACTCATAGCGATTTATGGCCATCAAATGTTATGATTGTTGAAAATAAACTTCATGCAATTATTGATTGGCAAGCAGTTTCTTTTGGCTCACCAGCACAGGATATTGGATTATTAATAGCATCTTGTCTTTCCACAAAAGATCGAAGAGAAAAACTAGATTTTCTGCTCGAGGAATATTATAATACATTTTTGAAAAAGATCGAAGGACATGAGGTACCTTATAGTTTTGAACAACTCAAACAGAATTATCAATTGATGTTTCCTGCTTTGGCTTGTATGATTCTTCCTTGGATTATGCAATCATCAGAACATATTCAGGATGAATATTTACATAAAAATGTGGTAAGTCAAAAAAAAAAACTTAAAAAGATTAATTTTTTGGAGTTCCCATATATTTTTGAAAATATTTGATCACTGACCTTTTTTTTGAAACATTTTCGGTTCTACAGTTCTACAAAAAAGTACAATTTTCAGATCGAAAAATGTGTTGGCTTGATGGAAGATGTTTTATCAACTCATCACAAGAACCTCATCGAGTTTCCACAATTTTTCCCAAATGTGCTTACTGATTGTGAATAAAAATGTAATAGATTACTCTCAAAACCCACCATTGTATGCTTACCACCTTCTACACCAAGTGATTGCACCAATGGAACACTCCATCCAGATTTCACACCATATTTTCCCTCGATCCAATTTGCACCAACTTCAGTTGTCTCCGACCAATAATCTCGAACTCCTTGATTTACTGCCACACCAGCTCCCCACACTCCGATTCCACCAGAAACCTCTCGACCAACTTTGATTTGACCATCTCGATTTATAAAATAATACGGGATTTTTTTCATGCCGAAATAGTTCGATTTGCTTGTCGGAAGTTTCTTCGGTGATAATGATTCCAGAAATGATTGATTTTTATTGTTTTGTGATAGAAATTGCTGACAATCTTGAAAATATTTCAAACATCTCATTTCGAATTAAATTTTCAGTTTCTTATCGTTGCATCGTTTTTCAGCTAATGGCTGCACTTTGATACATTTCTGCTGAAGTTCAGTGTGTAGATCAAGTTTAATTATAGAAGGTGGAACATTTTTGACAATTTTTCGATAAACAATATCGAATGGAATTGGAGTTGTTGTGGTTGTGGAGCTCTCAAGAATTTTTCTCTGAATTTTTAGCCGAGATATATAAATTTTCGCCTGCTCAATATATTTTCGGTGGTATTTTTCATACTCAAATCTTCCATTAAAGTTTGCAAGCTTTCTTTTCATTTCATACTCATTGATTTGATATCGATAGATCTCTCTGAAAACCAAAACTTGCTCTAAATACCTGGAAAATTTTATAAAACATACTCGTCAGTGATAGCAGTAATATCTACAATTATAATGAAAATAAAAATAACTAGTAGTGTAACCATTTTCCGGTAATGTTCGTGATTTGCAAACTTTTTAAACCCCAACATTTTTGCAACAAAAATGATGGATGATCGACATTATAATATTATCAAACTAGAAACACCCAACCCTAAAAAGTTCAGGTCCGAATCACAAAAAACTTATGATTTCTGGATTTTGATTGTAGATCATTAGAGAATTAGATTTTTATCTAGCTATCTTTGAAATAAACTTGTTTGTTCAATTTGTTCAAACGAGAAAACAAAAATTGTGTTTCAATTTTGAATTTGAAAAAAAAACTTCGAAACCATCTGTTGAAATTTGGAGAACAAAAGTAAGAATTACTGAAAATTAATAAACCAAAAAATTTCAAAAAAAAAACTTCACAATTTGATATTGTGTTCATAGTTCTCGACCAACACAAATCATGTTTATATTTGAGCCAACATGTTTCTTTGCTTCTCTTTTTCTATGTCACAATGTCACAATATTAGACACAATAAGTACATATTTTTTCTGCTGAGCAATGTTATTTACTCGCCATTTCATTTCAACTAACTTTGAATCAAAAAATGTCACTTCATGAATTGTCTGATGGTATTCTTGGAACTAATGTTAGTTTGAAAGATATTGAAGAAGCTTTTGGTGGAGCAGAATTTGGTGAAAATGTAAAAGTTAGCAATATTAGTGAGATGAAGGTATGAGTTTTTTATTCAATTTTTTTCTTCCCATCAAACTTTTTCAGGGTTTTATGTCTCGAATTGCATTGATTGAACCTGACTGGAAAATTGACACCGGACTCCCGAAGAAGTTCGCCGTGAAAATATCTTCGCAGCTAGCATTCATGGAAGTTTCCAAACTAACAGGCAAAGCAGATATTGAAGAGGAAAAACTGAAAAAACTTGACGAAAATCTGAAAATGTTCAATAATCGTGAAGTTGACGTTTATAATTTATTGAATGATCTGAAGTTTCCGGAAATTCCTTTGATCAAGATCTATGCGACTAGAAAATTCAGTGAATCAAATCCGTTGAAAGCATTCATAATCTCGGAATATGTTGAAAATATTTCAAATGTCAAGTTCTATAATAAAGTTGATCACAAAACTATTCTACCAATTATTCGAATTACTGAAAATTAATAAACCAAAAAATTTCAAAAAAAAACTTCACAATTTGATATTGTGTTCATAGTTCTCGACCAACACAAATCATATGTATATGGATGCATCTGAGTCAACAAACTAGTTTGGGGACAATATGATGCGTCCGAAATTCCTTATTTAAATGTTTTTTATTGCAACATACGGTCAATATTAGCAAATCGAACAGAAATGTTTTCAATAATTTCACAAAAGTCTTTCGATATTATTAGTGTTAGTGAGAGTTGGTTGAAAAATGAAATCAATGATAGTTGTTATTTAAAGTTTTGTGATGAATATGTAGTATACAGGTGTGATAGAGTTCGTGTAAGAGGTGGTGGAGTTTTGATATTATGTAAAAAATCTATTAATAGTCGGTTAGTTTTCAAAGAATCAAAGAAAAATGCGTATGAATGTATAATAGTAGATTTCGATTTGATAACTCACAAGACCAGATTTATGTGTATCTATAGAAGTCCTTCATGTGAATATAAAGATAGTTTACATTTACTCAATATCATTAGTGACCATTTGGGACACAATTTAGATGTTTATATAGTTGGAGATACAAATTTCCCGGGTATTGAATGGTCTACTACTCCCAAAAGTTCAAATAAAATAGGAACAGATTTTATCAATTTCTGTGATTCTCATCAATTAACACAACATATCAAAGTTCCAACACGTAAATCTAATATTTTAGATATCTTACTCTCTAACTCCCTGGTAGATAATATTCATGTCGGTTCCCCTGTAGGTACTTCAGATCACAATCGTGTCCATTTTCAGATTAAATCTTTTAAATTTGATCCGGTCCCTAAAATATTTTTTTATAATTATCACAAAATAAACTGGGATAATATTTCTCTTATTTTCAATGAAGTGAACTGGGATTTAATTTTTGAAAGTAGAAATGACATCACACAAATGTACACGAATTTCACGTCATTTTTAAATTTCTGTTTTGTGAATTCTGTTCCTTATGAAGAGGTTCCAATAAACAAATATAATTTACCAAATTACCTCCTCTCAATGTATAAACTGAAAGAAGAACTATGGGTTAAGGTTTTAGAAACTAAAAGTAGACATTATATTGAGCAATTCAAATTATTTAGTAAAAAATTAAATAAAAAAATTGAGAAATATAATCGGAACTTTGAAAGTTGTCTTATCAAAAATAATAAGTATAATAAATTAAGTCAGAAAATCAAGAACATCCTCAAACCTAGAGAATCAACAATTCCTGCTTTCCAGGATAAAAATGGGACCATACTATTTGATGATTTTTCTAAGGCAAATTGTTTAGCGGAATATTTCGAAGAACAATATGAAAAAGGTAATTTATTAACCATACCAAAAGCAGTTCAAGTATTCTCTGACCAAACAATACCATGGGTGTTAGAAGAAGAGGTAATGGCGGTAATTAAAAAATGTAAATCTAGTAGTTCCGAAACGTCGGATGGAGTTCCCTTCAAATTCATAAAACTAATTTCACCTTTCATAGTCTCTCCCCTCACACAGATCTATAACTTTTCAATGATGACATCTTCAGTTCCTACACAATGGAAACAGTCTATTGTGGTTCCGATCCCTAAAATAAAAAATCCGGACAGTGTAAAACATTTTAGGCCAATTAGTTTGACTTCTCAACTATGTAGGGTTTACGAAAAAATATTAAAATCGCGGTTAGTGAAACATCTTGATTCTATGAAATTTTGGTCTGATAATCAACATGGCTTTCGGCCAAAAAGATCAACTGTTTCTCAAATGGTTGATGTAATGGATGACTGGACTTTAGCATTAGAAGATAATAAACAAGTTGATGTAATTTATTTTGACTATGCAAAGGCATTCGATAAGGTTAATCTTGAATTATTGTCGAATTCATTATCAAGGCTAGGGTTGCACAAAAATTTTGTAGGATGGATCGATAATTTTCTCAAAGACCGTACATTCAAAGTAAAAATTAACTGTTCTTTTTCATCTCAAAAAATGTGTTTTAGTGGAGTTCCTCAGGGAGGTGTTTTATCACCTATATTGTTTGCTATTTTTGTTAATGACGTTAGCTCAATTTTACCTCCAGGGATATTTTGTAAACAATTTGCTGATGATATGAAGTTATATTCAAGAATAGATAGCTTAGAAAGTTGCCAAAATCTTCAGAAGGCAATTAAATGTATTGAAAAATGGAGTAATGACAACTTACTTACTTTGAATGCTTCAAAAACTCAATTTATAAGTCTTGGACGTCGTAAAATTAACTTTTGTTACGAAGTTGATAGCAAACCAATAAAGTTAGAGAGTAATGTACGAGACTTGGGATTCATTATTTCATCTAAGTTAGATTTTGAGGATCATTGGAAAAAGGCCGTTACAAAAGCAAATTTCATCACATATCAAATATTTAAAACTTTTGAGAGTAAAAATACTAGATTCATGATTAATATTTATAAAACTTTTGTTAGACCCCTTTTAGAATATGGTACAGTTGTGTGTAGTCCTTCGAAAAAATGCATTAAACTAATGATAGAAAGTGCCCAAAATAATTTTACGAGAAAACTATTTTTCAGATCCAAAGGGAAATTTATAAAATGTAATGATAAGGAATACAAGTATTTCAGCTCACGAAACAAAGAATTTGGTCTTGATAGTTTAGAAAATCGAAGATTACGCCTTGATAAACTCTTTTTAAGAAAACTAACCGAAGAAAAAATAGATTTGATTCCCGGAAAACTCTTCACCTTGGAAACGAACACTGTTACACGAACTAAAATAAGATATCTGTATAAAACTCCGAAAACAAAAATCAGACAACACTTTTTCACCCACCGAACTTGCTCAACACTATAATAAAGACTCATAATAATAATGACCTATGTTACAATAAATACAAGCGCTTACTCGTCCTGGTTTTCATGACCATAGGCCCTGTCTTACCATACTTGTGTCTTTCTACCCATTTTTTTGTATTTTCCTTTTTCCCCAATATTTTTTATTTTCACGTTGTCCCCCAACGTATTTCAATAAATAAATAAATAAATAAATTCGAGGAGTTGCTGCATTTTCAGCTATTGGTGAAATTATTGATAGAAATCGATTGGAATTTGCGGGAGGTGTTGATTGTTTTCAATCCAACATTCTTGATTTTCTCGACAAAAAAGTTTCTGAAAAATCTTTTGGTCTTATGAGAAAATCATTTCCCGAAGAATATTTGGATCAAATTGACACACTTGTGGATGTCTCTGATTTTTATTTGAATAAGGTTGATATTTCAAAAATTATTGAAGTTATTGGTGAGTATATTAAAAGCTTTATTTGAATGATAGAAATTATCTTGAAGGTTTGAAGCCTGTTTTGACACATAGTGATTTATGGCAATCGAATGTTATGATTGTCAAAAATAAACTCCATGCAATTATTGATTGGCAAACTGTTTCTTTTGGTTCACCAGCTCAAGATATTGGATTATTGATTGTGTCTTGGTTATCTACTCAAGATCGAAGACAAAAATTAGATTTTCTGCTGAATGAATATTACAATACATTTTTGGACAAAATCAAAGGACATCCAGTTCCATATACTTTTGAACAACTCAAACGAAATTATCAATTACTATTTCCGGTTTTAGCTTGTATGATGCTCCCATGGATTATTCAGTTATCATTTTATGTTCAAGAAAAAGAGTTGAGAGAATATGGGGTAAGTTTCTGAGGAATTCTACAAAAATGGAAGGTTTTCAGATCGAAAAATGTGTTGGATTAATGGAAGATGTCTTGGCAACTCATCAAAAAAATCTTGAAGATTTTCCAAAGTTTTTTGAACCACAATAATAAGTTGAATTTTATTTTTTGTGAAATTTAGACTAATAAATTATTTAGTGTAACCGTTTTGTTTTTTTAAACTATTCAAACCCAAAATTGTTTATCATTTTTGCAAAACAATGATAGATGATTCTCAAAATCAGATCAAACTAGAAAACTTCCTATAAAACACCATATCAGAAACATTTATTATACAAACAAAACAACTATTATTTTCTCTTCTTTTTTCCTAAAATATCATTGACACCGGGAAAGCTGACCCCAACTCCAGTATTCACACCAACACCAGCCATCGGAACACCAACACCAAAATTGGTTCCAACTTGACCGTTCAAATAATCGACACCAACGTGTTGATTTTGTTGATAGTATGGACCGACACCTCCACCAACATCCACACCAATTGGTTTTCCAGCTTCACCGGGTTTCAAAGGAACGCTGACCTGGAATTCAAATATTGAGAGAAGTTATAACTTAAGTTGAGATAGAAGGTTTCACAGAAAAGTTTCAGAAACTTAGTTGTGACATCGAATCATTATATGTAGTTATTCTGAACTCAAAACTTTGACATTTTTATCCAATACGTGTGAAAAAAAGAGAGAGTTCGAAGTTTTGAAATATTGCGATTGTTTTAGAATTGCCCATTTACAGTAATCTCAATTTCTACTCAAACCTACAGTAATTTGCATTCTTTTCTCATTTTCTGTAACCCAAAATACAGATCTAATATTTTTCCTATACTACCGACACACCAAGTTCAACTCTAGATTCTCCCAACCCTTAACTTACAACTGCATGTGTATCTCCTTCGATTCCAAGCGATTGAACAAGTGGAACACTCCATCCAGATTTATATCCATATTTACCTTCATACCAATTCGCTCCAATTTCTTGATATTGTGACCAGTAATCTCTACAAAAATATTTCTCGATAATTGTTTTCTTTTATTATTCCCGCCCTTTCGCTTCCCATATTCTTACCTAACTCCAATATGATCCGAATATCCACCTCCCCAACTTCCAAACGGAATATTCATTTGTCTTCCCGCACCAATTGCTCCTTCTTCATTTATTGGATAATATGGTATTCCTTTCACATGCCAAGTTCCCAGATTTAAACCAACATTCGAATCAAAAGCATAAGCAATATTATGTAATGGATCACTTTTTGGTAAAAAAGTTTGACAATCATGGAAATATCCTTTACATCTTGCTGCGTACTTTTTATCAGTTTTATCAACATCGAAACAATGTTTTCTTACTGTTGGCAGAAATCGATTACATAAAGATTCTAAATGTAATGCTTTTCGATGAACATCAATATCTTCTGGACGAGGTTCGATGGCGGAAGGTGGACGTTTTACCATAACTCCAGTTGGAACAGCAGAAGCGCGGGCAACTACTTTATCATTATTTATTTGAGATTTGTCTGTGATTCCTCCAAATGGACTTGCTGGTCTTCTTGCAACATCTGAATCATCTCGAACTTCTGGAATATCTGAACTTGCCACTCCAAATTCTTGCATTGTTTTTGCGAATTGTGCTTTTTGGGCGGATTGTTGTTGCAAAAGTTGACCATATCTTTGAGTATGCACTCTTACTGCATAATCCTTCATTTTATCAAAATATTGTTGATAGTATAAATCAGTTTGAGCTTTTCGTTGTCGCTCAACTTCAGCTAACTGTTCTCGATAAGCTGCGTATTGTCGACGATAGGGATCATCTGGACGGCGATGTCTGAAATCATGCAGATGGTTAAATTGATCTATGAAGGTTCCAAATGTTTTGTTTCCTCACGTTCTAGTCAATTATCATTTCACTGACCTGTGTCTTTTTCTCGGTCTCTCTGTAGTCACTCTCGCATTTTCTGTAGTTCGTTGTCTATCACTGGCATTTGTAGTCGATGTGTCTCTAAAATCACGAATTCCTCTAATTCCCTCTTCATCCCCTCTAAGATCACCCTCTTTTTCAAAACTCACTTTCCAATTGGAATCTGCGCGTTTCCGACATTCACTAGGCATAAAATGATAATCGGTGATAAAATAAGCATTGTTTGTGATGATTAACAAATAATTGAAAAAATGGGGGAAAAAACAATGTAATGTAATGTGACCTTGTGTTGACCAAAAACGGTAATTCTTTTCTTTTTTTGTGTTGTCTTTTGTGGTCTGTTTCAAGAAAAATTGAGAATGCGATAAATTATGATGTTAGGGTTTTTCATTCAGTAAATGAACCTAGAGACTACAAATCATATAATATTTTTGTAGTGCAAAAAATGTTTTTCTTTGATTCGGGATGGGTGCCAAGGTTTCACATTTTTACGAGATTTCCAAAATCTCTGTGGAACTTCCATGTGGCTTTACATGTTCCAAGAAAATTAAAAGATAGTGATACAAACATGGAGGCCAAACCATCCTCGCCCTCTGGCGAGCTTCTCCCTGCACAGAATCAGCACAGAGGGACGTGGCTTGCCTTTGGCAACGTGCCGCCCTCGTAACTCTAGTGGAGTAACGTCTGAACTCGAATTCTAAAAATAAAAAATCACAAAAACACGATTGATCTGATGTCAGATTTCTTGTTTATGTGTACTGGATTTCCCAAGAGTTAACTAACAAAACTAATTGTAACCCATGGGATAGGAGTGCTATAAAAGAGCTACACAGCAGAAGCTAATAATATTCTCCGAGTTGAAATAAATTCTGAAAATGGATGATTTCATGAATATTTTCCGAATTTATCATACAGTAACCTCGTTATTCGGCTGTTTTGCAAACTCACTTCTAATTTATGTGGCACTTACAAAAACTCCAAAAACAATTCGAACATATTCTTTCATAGTTATCAACGTGGCAATCACTGATTTCATGATTTGTGTTTTTAATTTCACTTTAATGCAAAGACCAATCGCCAAAGGAATCCAAATAATCTATATTTCGTATGGTCCATGTTCATATTTTTCATCCGATTTGTGTTTTGCGAATTATCTTTTTATGCTTCATGTTTATACACATTCAATTTGGCTCCTTTTCGTCTCATTTGCATACCGATTTTATGTTTTTCAGAATTCTGAACCGAAATTATGGATTGTTCAATCAATAATTATTATTCTTTATATCCCATCAATTCTCCAACTTTCTATTATTTTTTCAGAACATGGAAATGAGCAAAGAGCTCAAAAATTACTATTAGAATGGTATCCGAATTATAAAATCGGTAATTTAACTCTTTCAATGGTGGAATCAATATTTAATGGTTATGCTTTATATTCTGTTGTGAATGTTTGCGTAATTACTATTCCTATAACTATAGGAATATTTATTTTGAGAAATCGAATTTTGAAGAAAATCTTCAAATTTGAATTAAATGCTCAATCAAAAGTTTTGCAACTGCAACTTTTAAAAGCTCTAACTTTTCAAGCTTGCATTCCAGTTTTCTATGTTTTTGGAGTCCTCTGTTATTTTTCTCAAATCTTTTCACTTGTTCAAAATGTCATCCCTCAATATTCCATGTTTTGTTTATTCATATTTGTTCCAACTCTCAATCCGATTTCGAATTTTGTTTTTATTGCACCGTATCGAAGATATATTCTTTCATTGATTGGGAAAAATCAGAATGTTGTGCCAAATTTGATTTTCACATCGACGACCGCGAGAACAACTATACAATCATAATTTTTTGTGAATTTTATATTGAATAAAGGTTGCTTTTCATTGAAGAAGTTTTGAGTTTTTTGAACTTTCAAAGTTATTTTATAAAAATTGGTGGTATTCATAAAATTTCGAATCAGGATGTTGTTGTTTTGTTTCCAAATAAAAACATTGTTTATGTATATATTTTTTCTTCCCATATATATTATAACTTCCGTTTAAAAAAATCAGCAAATTCTGAAATCTGCAAACATAAAATTTCATTTTTCCATCTTTGTTTCTCTGCGCCTCAACTCCTCTCATACTCTCTCACTATCTTTCCAAAGCTACGCCTACTCGCAACACACAAAACATGTCACCAGGCGCACCTCGCAAAATGTCCGACATTCCAAACAACCTACCAATAAAAAGGGATAGAAATAAAGAGAAAAGAGAGTGCATGACGACAAGGTGAGTACTCGCATCAACTCAACGAATCATTTCGTATTCGACAAATCGTGTGAGCGAAAGTCCCTGGACCAGCGGCAGAAAGTGTCACTCTCTCGGTTGAGTAACTCTTAACATCTCTTCACGGAGATGTTGGATTGAATAGTCATAGCACAGAGACGCTTCTTTCGAACAGCATAGGGCCTACTCTGTCAGTCATGCTACTTATTTTGACATTTTTGGAATCACTGAACCCTTATTAATTTTTCACACCCACTTCCACATGGAATTTAGAATTTATAAGCATATTTCGTTTTGGTTTTTTTCTGGGTTTCTTGAACTCACTAAATCATTGGACTTTTATTTCATTTTCGACATTTACTTATAATATGTCTAGAGTTACACGAGAATGTCGAGAAAAATCGCTGGAAAGAAGCAGAATGTGAGTAATAAATAGATAAATAGGATTAGCTTATTTTTTTCATAAAAAAATTATATAATATTCATGTAGGAAGCCATTTTTCATCTCGGACAATTGGAATAAGAATCAACACTTTTTCGATCGTGGCCGAGACATTGTTCGAGAAAATATTCGAACTATTAAATCAACGTTGCCAAAGTGTCAAGGAGTTCGAAAAGTTCCGCCGTTTTGCAGACAATCGTATCAGGCGAACACACAAGTTCAGCCACTTTTACCAATGATTCAATCAAGGTCGAAATCCGTGGATTCAAGTGTGAGTTTTTGTTTTTGGGTTGTCTTTGGAAAAATAAATTCCACTTGGAGACCTTTTTCTGAAAAATATTTTCAAAAATATTTCATATTTCAAACAGCAGAATATTCATTCAATGTTTCATGTTTCATTTTTGGAGTCCGTATTTTTTCGACATTTGCGAAATCAGAAAGTAACAAATCAAAATTTAATGTTTCAATTAGTTATTACGAAATTTTAAAACGTATTATTTTCTATAGAAATAATACTGGATCAAGAAAATTTTCAATAATTTTCTCTCTTTTGAAAATATGAATTTTTACAGATCTCCGACGACAGTGCTCAATTCCGCGCACTTTTCATCCGAGGCGATCTACACGTTCGAATATTGCATTCCGGAGGCCCTGGTGAAAAACCAAATGAGTTACAATGGGCAAAAGATCCAACTTTGATGAAAAGCGAAACAATTTGTGCACTTCTAGCCAAATTCTCAAGTGGAATAAGTCTTCTAGATCATGTGAGTTTTAATTTTTTCTCGAAATTCTACCTCCGTGGAAAAATCAGTTCATTTTAAGCCATATCGATTTGTTGCTGAAACCGGGATCACTGATTTGCTCATCGCTTTGAAAAACCATCAGCAATTGACAAGTGTTTTGCCGCAATTAGTAAGAGGTCTTCGCGCTGGATTTTATTCTTTCGACAATGAAAAGAAGAAATTCTGTCTTCGAACTTTATCGCGAATTGCTTCGATGGATTCAATTGGTCCGCAATTAGTTCCATTTTATCGACAACTTCTTCCGCCTTTGCGAAATGTTCGACAATCTCGAAGTCGATCTGATCGAGTTCATTATGATAAAGGAAGACAATTAGAAGAAATGATAACTTCGACTTTGAATGATTTGGAAAGAAGTGGAGGAGCGAATGCTCTAATTAATATCAAATATTTGCTTCCACATTATGATTCCTGTCAATATATGTGACGATATTTTTGAGCCTTCCATTGATTTTTTTGTTTTCTCCACAGAAAAAATTATTTTCTTGTTAAAACTTTTTTGAAATGAATCATCACAATAAATAATAAATATTGGAATTTCTTTGAATTAATTTCTTGTTGGCTGCTGAACGAGTCTCAGTTTTTCAAGAGTATTTGGAATTTCAGTCGAGTTGACTTTTTGATATCTATCAACTAAACCATCCAATGCTGCATTTCCAGCGGTTGTCGATTTCTTTTTCTCTGCTGGGTTTCTTGAGTTATTGGCAATGAAGTTGTTAGCCTAAAAAGTTATAGGAATTATTTATGATTCATTTTTGAGGTTGAAAAATAAAATGAAAACTTACGAGTAATAAACCATATTGCGATCTCAAATCGGTTGAATTGATCTTGATGGCTCTTTCATAATAAGCTCTCGCTAAATCGACATTTTCGAGTCCTCCTTGAGTGTATCGCAAATCTCCCAAACGCCGTAAGAACATTGAATTGAGCGGTGAAATCAACACACATTCTTCTAAACAATGTACCGCTTTTGGAATGTCGTTTTCAAGGAGGTAGAGTTCGCTCAATTGGAGCCAGGCTTCAGAATCATTGAGGAAGATTTTGAGGTACTCATTAATTGCCTTGATTGCTTCGAGTCTTTTTCCTTGTGCAAGAAGCACAGCGACACGGCGTTTTCGATAACTCTGAAAATATGAGAAAAATTGCCGACTTCAGAGAAATCTAGATATCTTACATTGTTATTTGGATCTGTTTCAACAAGTTGATCATAAATAGTGAGAGCTCTCTCGAAATGCTCAGTGGCCTCCAGTTGCATTGCTTTCAACTTTAAAACTCTATTGCTGTCGGGAAATTGTGACTGAAGAAGTTCGATACAATCTTGTGCCAAATCGACACGTGTGCAATCAAACGCGGCAATGCAAACTTGTTCATAAACTGGCCATTGCTCATCTCCAAGAGAAGTTGGTGCTCGGCTAATTACATGCTCCCATAATTCGACGACTTCTTCCGATCGACGAACGCCACATTCTCGCCATTTTTTCAGCGTTGTTCGACCGTCTGAAAAAATCGATATATTGAAATCTCCACAAGAAAGGCAGGAAAAACTTACGTTCAAATGACACTTGCGTCCAATCGTTTTCACAAACCATTTTCCTGCAAAAATCACCAAATTTTGGGCGAAACAAAAAAAGACAAATATTCCAACGTGGCCTAGAAAAACCAGCGTGACCGAGCTTTTTTGTGTACTTCTTCCGGACAATTTTTCATTTTTTCGCAAAAAAATATTTTTCATGGTTTTTAAACCAGTTTTTCTCTTTTCTCGTAGTTTGAACAATAGGAAAAATGACTTTATTAAAGCAATATTATTATGTCAATGATTCTACCGTTATGAGAAACTCAATATGAGTTAGTAAAAGAAAATAAGATGAAGAAAATTTCCTGAAATTGTCCTATGTTTTGTTCTTTGACTAATCCATTGATGGATATCTCCACTCGGTTAATGGAATTGAAGTTTCTTTTATAGTTAGTGGAGAAGCCCATCGAAGTCCGTAATGTGGTCCTCCGGCCTTATCGTTAGTTCCAGACATTCTAGAACCACCGAAAGGTTGTTGTCCGACGATTGAACCAGTTGATTTATCATTGAGATACATATTTCCGACTGCATCTCGGAGTGTGTCACGTGCTCTATAAAACCAATTAATTCGAATGTTTTCTAATAAGGTACTTTCATACCTATACAAAAACTCCTTATCTTCCGAGAAAACAGCTCCAGTTAAACCGAAAGGTGTTGCATCTTTAACCGAATTTAAAACTTGATCAACATCTTTGTCATCATAAACAAAAACTGTGACAACAGGTCCAAACATTTCTTCGCGTAAAAGTTTCGATTTTGGGTCAGTTACAGTTATTAATGTTGGTTGAATGAAATAACCTGTTGAATCATCATATTCTCCTCCGAGCACAATTTTAGCACCATCGGCTCCAGTTCTAGCATAATCTGAAATTGATTATCTACTTTGATTCATAATATTATTGTTCTCACCTATATATCCTCTAATTCTTTCGAAAGCCTTGTCATCAATAACTGCTGACAAGAAGATTGATCCATCTCGAACATCTCCCAATTTTATTTGCTTGTGAATTTCTGAAATCTTTTCGAGAATTTTTGGCCAAATTGATTTCGGTGCATAAACTCTTGAGCAAGCTGAGCATTTTTGTCCAGAATATTCCCATGCGGACCGTGCAGTTCCTGCGGCAACCGATTCAATGTGTGCAGAAGGATGAACGAAGTGGAAGTTCTTTCCTCCACATTCTCCAATCAATTTTGGGAATGTCACATATTTATCAAGATTATCGGCAACATTTTTCCAAATAGTTTTGAATGTCGGCACAGATCCTGTGAAATTCACTGCGCTCAAATGAGCAGATTGTGTAATAGTGTTTCCAAAAACTGGTCCATCTGATGGCAAGAAACTCAAAATACCATCTGGCATACCCGCTTCTTCCAAAAGCTCATAAATAATATAATTACTGAGAACCGCAGTATCCGATGGTTTCCAAAGTGATACATTTCCCATAAGAGCTGGTGCAGTTGGCAAATTTCCACCAATTGCTGTGAAATTGAATGGTGCAATCGCTGCGACAAATCCTTCCATTCCTCGATATTGCAAACTATTTGTGCTAATCTTTGTTGAAATTGGGCTATAAGTTTCGAGTTCAAGAGCAAAGACAGCATTAAACCGGAAGAAATCAATAAGTTCACAAGCAGCATCAATTTCAGCTTGAACAATATTCTTTCCTTGTCCTAACATTGTAGAGGCATTCAATTTCATCCGATATTTTCCACCGGCCAAATCAGCGGCTCTCAATAAAATCTCAGCTCTTTCGACTAATGGTTTCTTTTCCCAAGCACTTCTGGCCTCCAATGCAACATTGATTGCTTCTTGAATTTGTTCACCAGTCGCATATGTATATCTAGCTAATGTACTTCGATGATCAGATGGAATAACTTGTTTTCTCTCCAAGTTATTTGTAATTTTTTGATTGCCAATTCGAAGTGGAACATCGGTGATATTCTAAGAAAAAAAAAGAAAATTTAATTCGGGCCAATAATCATTGGTGTCACAATAAAATCATAAATGTTAGTGTCTCGTCTCTTGGTTTCCAATACTATTATATTTTTGTGGTTGGAGAAAAAGAGAAAAGATGTTATCTTTTTTGTGAACGATGCTTTTTTGCACAGTGTTTTGTGCCGCTTTTTTTGTTTTGTTAAAAAATCTATTTAATGTAGTGGCGGGCTGAATTTATTGATAATTGTTCAAAATCTGAATGAGCTATAGACGTGGCCAATTTCAATGTGTTTAAATGTGAAATCGTCCTCATTTTTTAATTTCGAAATTTTTTTTTAATTAAAAAAAAGTATATTGTTTTTTCTTCATATTAGCTTTGAAAAGTTTCAATTCACATCTAAGCCTAATTTTTTAATTAAAAAAATCAATATTTCTGCGATGGGCACAAATGAATTTATGGCTTTTTGTCTTTGCAAAATTTACGATCCTTTTTCGGAATTCTTTGAACTTCCGGATCTTTTGTGTTGAAAAATATCAATTTTTGTAGAGACGGGCTACATTCAATTTATGAGTCATTGTTTAACAAATTTATGACCAAGGGGATTTTTTTGGAAATCAAAAATTTCGAGGCATTTTTTATTTTTCAACGTGACTTGTGTTTTTCCGCGTGGATTGGGTGTAGGTTTCTCATTTTGAAAATTTCGGCCGTTTGAAAAAATTATTTTTGGAAAAAGTTAGTTCTTTAGCCACACAATTCTAGTTCAAGCTGGCCTAAAATTCTCTGAAACAACACTAACCTTACTATAATAATCGAGCGCCGCCTCCAAATCTTGTCTTTCTCTGCTTCCCTTCCGATACTCCAAAATCGGCTCGTTTGTCTTCTGTTTCAAAAAATCAGCAGAAGTTAAGCCACTGTAGGTAGACACACTTCGTCGAAAACCCAATCGATGAAATGTGGACAGCATTTTTTATGCGTCTGCTTTCGCTGAAAATAATGAAATTTTTTTTTTTTGAAAAATTGAAAACAAATGATTTTCAAGGGGTCACGTGGCGCGATTTAAACGAATTCTCTTATCATCACAAAAAATAACATTTTTTCGATGTTGCGGTTTGCAAAAGACCAAACAACCATAGTTGTTCTAACATGCAGAGTGCACTCCGGAGAGCCGAAGTGAGAAAGTATGAAGGGCGAGGAGTGCGCAGAGATGTGAAGAGGAGCATGAACGCTCTAATGACAAACGTTTTACCCTCGTTTATTTTTTTGTCGGGCATGATTTGACTTGGATTCCTAGACTTTCTAGGCAGGATAATTTTTTGTTGTTTTCAGAAACACGAGCGGGATCTTTTCATGACTGAAGGATTATTATATGCGGATCATTTTTGGGGCGATAAACATCATGGTTTCCAGGTTGGTTTTTCTCTCAAATTTAACCTTGAACCTTTGAAAGTCCGGAAATTGTCACATTTTTTCTCTATTTTAAAAATAAAAGAATTTATCATTGATAAACTAGTTATTGGCACCTCCCTCCCACTTTCTGAAAAAATAGAGAGAAAAAATATTTTGGTGACTAAAGAAAAATTAAATGGAAAAAAATGATGCTAGAAAATTTGAAGGTGCTCCAAGAGAATATGAAAAGAAGTGAGGAGACGTGTAATGAAGTGACACAATTTGTGAAGGATCGATTGACTGTAGAGGATGAATATGTGAAAGCAATTAATAGGAGTGTAAATAAGGTGAGAATTATTTTATTTGAAATTTGAACACACTTAGAGGAACTTGTAGTGGGCCAGAGTGAAATTTCGAATAACAAACCAAATTTGAATTTTTTTGAAGTTCCAAATCTTGGCTAAGGTTGTGGTTTCTAAAAAACAAATTGCACTCAAAAATTTTGCTTCTCAACTTCAAAGATCCCACGACATTGAATAAGAAACTTTTAAGAATGTGCGGCTGGAAATCCATGTTGAACTCTAAAAATTACAATTCGTTTTTTTTTCCGAAAAAGTTACTTATTTTCCATAATTTCAACTTTTTCCAAAAGAACTACAATTTTTCTAGGTCACAAGTTTTATCAACAATGGTTCAAGTATCGAGCAAATTTGGCATTTGACAAAAAACACAATGGAATTATTATCAGAAATACATTTAATGTTAGTGAAAAATCTACAAGATTTATCAAAAGAAATGCAAAAATATAAGGACGATGTTGGAAAAACGAGAAAAGAAATGAAACAACCAAGTGTGGCAGATGCTGTGAATTTGATGCAGACAACAACGACATGTTTACAGAAAGCTAAAGAGACTTATTATCATAGATGCAATGAGTTGGAAAAAGCGAGGAAGGAATATTCGGCAAATAATAAGGAGATTAGTAAGGTGAGAGTTTTTCGAAGATCTTTTTTTTTGAAATTTCGGTTTATTTTTTGGAAAACGGACAAATTTAAAATTTTAAATATAAAGTTTTACGAAAAACAAAATTTTTCGAATTGTTTCATCAAAATCTTTTTCTGCCGAAAAAAGCTTGTATTTTATTGTGTGAAATAGTTAGTTTTTTTTATCATTCACACAAGGTGACAATCACACATTTTACGTGGGAAAAAAAATTTTCAAATATTTTTTCTAAAACTTAAAATTTCTATAAAAACTTTATCAAATCAAATATTTCTTTGCAGCTTGAATCAAAAGTGGCACGAGCACGAGAAGAATATCAAACATATGTAGATAAATATGAAACAGTTCGAGAGGATTTCGAGACAAAAATGAGCGAATCATGCAAACGTTTTCAAACTTTTGATAGATCTCTTTATGCATCAATTCAACAATATATTTTCTTATATGCAACACATTCCACTGAAATGTCACAAGCTTCAATGCAGGTTACTGAACAGTTTCGAGAATCTATTCAACATTTGAATGCGGACGAATTTGTGAGGAAGTTTTTGAAATCGAAAAGCACCGGGATTGATAAACCACGTGAGTGTTTAGAATTTTTGAAAATTCTCGAAGTTTCTTAAAATGTGTAATTTTGAAATACATTTTCGGCACCTCCAAAAGAATTAAAACTCATTCTAATTTTATTTTTTAAAATCATAAATTCATTTTTTTTTCCAGCGCATGTAATTTTCGAAGAACCTGAAAACTCGCCAACTCTCAATTCAAAGGAAATCAATGATATAATTTCAGGTTTGTGTTACATAAAAAGCTATAATTATCCATATTGTGCACTTGAGCTCCCCTTCTCTAATCTTTTTCTATTTTCTTTTGATATTTGAAAATAATAATCCGTATAGGATTTTCTTCATACTTACATTAATAGAAATAAAAAGAAACATAAAATATCTTTTATTTTTCTTATCATATTTTTGTTTCGCTTATAGTGAAACAAAAATTGATTGCTTCTCTTTTACACTGATGATCTTTTGTCCATTTTTCTAGCCAATTCAATGCCATCATCTTGTTCGTCATCTGGAATTCAAGAAACAATGACAACAACGCCGACGGCGAACACTGTTGATTTATTAATGATGGATACAATTGGTGAAGGTTGTATTGAAAATCATAGTAGTGGAACTGGAGCCGATGAAAAGGTAAGATCAAAATTTTTGAATCGTATTTTTTTTCGTACTGAAATCGAAAAACACATTTTTATGGTCACTCACAATTGAAAATTCCAGAAGCTATGTCTGAATCAAAACTCCCTAGGGAATTTTTCTCAAAAAATCTAGAACTCGCATAAAAAATTTTCCATAAGTTTTCTTAACATTTATGAGACAATTTTTTCAAATTCCCTCGACGATTTTTCATATGAATATGACTTGTGGTCTTGAAATTCTTTAGATTCCAAGAAATCTAAAATTAATCCCCTCTCAGATAAGCTTCGATGAAGGAATTGTGCCGGAAAAGAAGACATCATTCTCAAATGGCCCGGCTGCCAAAAAACTATCAATGTTTATGAACAAACGAAAGAAGACAATATCATCGAGTAGTATTGATGATGTTCCCGCCGCTGCTGAATCATTCAGTGCTTCTGGTCTGTTCAACAAGTTTTCGCGAGAAAAACGGCGATCGAAAAAAGATAGTGAAGGAGGAGGAAGTGGATTGAGAGCGTCAGTTTGGTTGGTTTTTGATTATTATTCTTTTGGGTGTTTTTGTTTTGTTTCATATCATCATGTCATTTTTTTAGTATGGATGATGGTCAAAGTACTGCAAGTAGTTCAAAAAGTGATGATAAGGTATTAAATGGAAATACAAATCCATTAGATATGCCGATTGATCGACCAAGTGTTGATGAAGAAGGTTATGTTATTCGAGAGGATGTTGGAGATAAAGAGGATACGAATTGGTCGAGTTGTTCGAGTGACGAGGTTGGTATTTTAAAACGGAAATGTCGAATTAGCCAATTTCCGAGAAGCAAATTATTAATATATTTTTCCCCGTTTTTTTAGGACGACGAAAACGAGATGCAACAATCGAAAATTCGTGCATTGACAATTCGGCCAGCCGATCGACCTGTTCATATGAATGCGTCTGTGGATGAATTGCGTGATGCGATTGGAAGTATTACACTGACAAGAAGTACGACTTTTGATAGAGATCCTTGGACAATTGGAGGAACTCGTGCACCTCCGCGTTTCTCACAATCGATGAATGTTTCGAGTTTGCGACAACCGCTTAGATCACATCATACGGCAGATGGAAGATTTAGGACTAATTTTAGTGGTGAGTGGATAGAGAGAAATTTTTCATAAGCTAAGTATTCAATAATTACGACACTTAAATTATAAAATCCCCAAAAGATTTTTTCTAGGCAAGCTTGTACAAGTCCGAGAAAAATAGAAAATTTTTATGACCTAACTTGGGAAGGTTGAAGTCGTAAATTACATCAGCGAGTGTGTCGTAACAAAACACATTTTTAGAGGAAGTCTTTTTTATATAGTGAAGCCCTTTAGTGAGAGAAGATTATTTTTTCAAAAAAAAAAAAAAATAAATAAAATTTCCCTATTTTGCATTCATATTCATCAAAAATTACAGAATCTGAGGACTCGAATGTGCCGCCTGCGTTCTCGGTTTCGATGAATGCTGGAATGGGAATTGCAAGAGCGCGACCTAGATCAAACACTCCGACTACGAGTCAACTTATGAGTAGAAAAGAATCAACGAGTAGTTTTTGTGATCCGTGGTCGTCGACATTCAATTTGGCACCAAGTGAATCAAATCATTCACTCGGGGAATCGTCGTTTAATTTATCACAATCAACTGGAAATCTAATGCAAGCAACAATTAGTGAACAAAGAATTCCAATTGCGATGGCTGTTAATGAATATTCGCATGTTTGGTTTAAGAAAGCTGATTTGACACAATGTGTTCAACGAACATTTGGAACTGTTATGATATCTTTTGCATCTTCATCAATTGCACTTTTGACATCTGTTCAATATGAAATTGAACCACTTGCATTTAAATTAACAAATACTGATTGTATCAAAGCTGTTCTTCCCAATAAACAACTCATTGATGAATCACAAAGTAGAAAAGATGCTGATGGAATATACACATTTTATTTTAATAAGGCAAATCTAGCTAGCTGGCTGTTAGCCCAACAAAAACTAAAACCTGAGGCAGGATTTATTAATGCCGAAGTTGCTAGATATGAACTCGATTCAACAGCACCTTCAAATTCTCAACCTCCGCTATTTCTCACTGCTTATTGGAAATTCGAAAATGAACATACAGGTCAGATATTTTCAAAAATCAAAATGATCTTGTTCAAAGTTAATTTTTTTTAGATATTCGAGTGGATTATCGATTAAATACCGAATCATCTATCAAAGTTCCATTGTTGAATGTGAGCTTTACCACAACACTTACTGGAAATATTGAAAATTGTACATGTGATCCGGATGCTAAATGGTTTGTTCTCTTTTTCCTTCACCGCTTTTCCAAAAAAATATTTGTTTTCTAGGAACTCGGAAAACTCTAACCTATCTTGGAGTATTTTGGAAATCTCGCGAAATGGTGAAGTTGGCGGATCATTGAAAGCAAGAGCTCACTTGAAAACAAGCGATGAAGTGAATTTTGAGACTTTGAATCGAAAACCGGCGCAAGTTTATGCGCAATTTCAATGTCATGAGACAAGTCTTTCGGGAGTCGATGTTTCGCTAGTTCAATCGGATATTTATCATTTATCAATGGTTCGAAAGAAGGTTTTGGCCGGAAAATATTTCTGTGATCCTGAATTGCGAACTTGAATTTATTTGGAATTTAAAATATTTTTAGATTAGGATGCTTACGGCTATTTAATTTTAAAAAAAATTTTTTTTTTCATAATGTGATATAACGTGAATAGAAAAATTGATATATTTTTGATACGAGTTTTTAATTTTTGTTCCTGTATAATAATATTTTACTGTTTTATATTTTTGCATGAAATGAAGTTTTTTTTTTGAAAAATCTATTTCTCAGAGTTCATAGACGAAAACTCACATTATTCAATTTCTCCTCGCTCGCACATTAAAATCATCTGCCACCATTGTCCGCTTTCCCATTCGTTTTTCCCTGAAGGTCGGGTGGCGCTGTGTAAAAAAAAAGAAAAGAAAAGAGGGAAAAAAAACAGAAATTCAAACTGCCGCCCACAAAATGCGAGCGCATTTGGCTGAGTAGCAGCTGTTTGAAGTGCGTTTTGCCACTTTTGATACGGAGTCTAAAGTGACCACCTGATTGAGGAGACTTTTTCAGGCTTTTTTTCGACGTTTTTGGTTGGAATTGAATTTGTATTTTGATTTTTTGTAGTTGTAGAGTGCTATAAATAATTAATTTCATCATCCTTTTTTGCAGGTACCCCCATATTATGGGCTATTGATCAACTTGGACTAATCTCACATTTCCATTGAAACAAAAAGCTTCCTGCACTTGGAATCTTATCTTCAATTATAATGGCTGTCGAATACGGTGTCGCTATTACCAACAAGTTCGGATTTATGTCCGACGATGAGGGTGAGTTTTTGTTTTTAATTTATTGAGAATAATTGTATGATTTTCGTAATTTAGACTATGATGATCCAAGAGAACTCATCCAAAAGGTTTCGTTGCTTGCCGCCAAGAAGAAGGAGGAAAAGCCAGCGGTGAAGCCCGCTCAGCCAGCCAAAGAAGCTGTTACCACTAGTGAGTTGCATTTTTATGATTACTTGAAGATTTTTCTAAACATTTAATTTTAGGTGCTGCCAAAACCGAAAACACTCGTGGTCGCGGTGGACGTGGTCGTGGACGCGGGGGTGCAGGCCGTCCTCCAAGAGACGGAAACGACCAAGATCGCTTCGGCGAGAACCGTCGTGGTGGACCCCGCAGAGGCGGAGAACGTGGTGCCGGACGTCCAGCGTGAGTTTTTTTTTCAAAATAAGCGTAAAAATTATTTTTTTTTCAGTCGTGGAGGACGCGGTGGATTTGGAGGAAACACCCACAACAACAATAGCAACAGCGCTAACAATACCACCGATGAGGTCACCAAAGAAGTTTCATTCGAAGAAGGAGTTGAGAACAACGGAAGACCAAGACGTCGTGGTGGATTCTCCCTTGGTGGATCTGGAGGACGTGGAGGTGGTCGCGGACGTGGAAGACAATACGATCGTCAAAGCGGATCTGACCGTACCGGAGTTCGCTCTCTTGAGAAGAAAGATGGACATGGAAAAGGAAACTGGGGAGACCAAAAGGTATTTTTATTGTTCGTTGTTTATTTTCATTATTGATTTATTCAGGACGAGTTGGTTGGTGAGACCGAAAACATCGCTCCAGAAGTCGAAGCTGAGCCAGAAACTCCACGTGAGAAGACTGCTGAAGAACTCGCTTTCGAAGCCGAACAAGCTGAACTTGCCAAGCAAAAGACCTTGAAGGAATTCAGAGCTCAACAAAACGTGAGTTTTTTCGATTGAAAACTGAAGATTAATATTTGATTTTTAAAAAAATTTGTTTTAGGCTGATGCTCCAAAATTCAACACCAGAAAGGCTGGAGAGGGAGCCAATGATACCTTCGGAAAGTTGATCCCAATGAAGAAGGCTGTCATCCCAGACCGTGAAGAGGAAGAAGTCGTTGTCATCCGTAAAGAACCAAAGAAACAAGTTCTCGACATCTCAATCACCTTCGCCGAGAATAACCGTGGAGGATTCCGCAACAACGAACGTAACGGAGACCGACCACACCGCGGAGGACGTGGAGGAAGAACTGGAGGTGGACGTGGAGGAGCTCGCGGAGGAAACAACCGTAACACTCCATTCGACGCTTCTGCTGAAGCCTTCCCAGCTCTTGGAGCCCAATAAGCAAACCGCTTCTAAAACCGTTACTCTTGATGGTAAATCTTCTCCTCGTCACATCATGTCTGCGTTCTTGAATCTTGTTTCCTTTCCCACCCAAAAAATCTTCGACTTGTATAGTATTTTGCTGCTAGTTCTATATAATAGTTTGTTATTGTTATTTCGTACCCCTTACGATCTCTCCATGGTATATTTCTTCATCTGATGATTTTTACTGTGCCTTGTTAGATCGTTTTGGTTTGCTTGTTTTTTACTCTTCAGTCAATTACATTGATCTTATACTCGTTTCCACCCCAACCCACAACCCCCGTTACATCTCATTTTTTGTTCTTCTCCTATTCTATAGGAAACACGATTTGTAAGCAGACGTGTCGTTTCTTTTTGGAGTTTGTTGTTAACAAGATTTGATAAAGCATCATTTTGTGTTAAAATATTTGTATCATGTTATTGCATCTTGCCTCTGTTATAAAACTTTGATCGGCATTAAAATGCATCACATGCCCCGATCTTTCTTTTCTCACAATCAGTTTTTCTTTCCTATAAGCCTCAGTTGATCCCTATTTCGAAAACAATTTCGCTGGCGCTCGCCGTTCAAAAGCGATTAACCAAGAAGCAACGGAAAAAGCTACTAAAGTAAGTTTTAGAGCAATTCCAAAGAATGGCTCGCGCAAACGAGAAAAAAAGGGAGGAGGAGGAAAAGAGAGAAAGAATGAATCGATACGAAGATGGAGAAAGGAAAAAAGAAGAAGGATGGATAAAAAATGAAGAAGTTGTTGAAGCTTTTCTGGTTTTTTCATTTTCGAATAATTTTATTTTTAAATGTTTTTGCTGACTTTCAATTAATTAAAGAAATCATTATCAGCCAACATGGCGAGATTTTGAGGATTACTGTAGCTGCTACGTATTTCATCCTCACTAATCCGTTTTTTGTCAGATTTCTCATTTTTTCCGCTATTTTCAGATTTTATTATACATTTGAATGAGCGCATTTATTCCTAAAATTCAAACTGAAGAAGAATATGATGAATCTGAATCTGAAGAAGAGCCAACTGTGATAAAACGATCATTTTCTGCGGATTGGACTAGAAATGAAGAAGAATCCGAAAATGGTTCAGAAGAAGAAGATAGTGATGCTGAATTCCTAGTTCATCCATGTCTTCGATCTTTGATAAAATCGAAATCCGCCTATGCTGTTCCAAAAAATCACGGAGATCATTTAAATTCTCTAGAGCCGCCGAAAATTCGACCGAGCAAAACGAGTTTCGAAATTTCGCTGAATAAAATGATCGAATCGACGACTAAATCAATTGCCGAAGAAACAGAATGTTCAGTGGCCGATTTGTTGCCGAGTTTTGATCAAAAATGGCCGGATCCGGAGGAAACTGTAAGAGTTCCGAAGAAAAAGATTTTGCGGTGAGTTAAGGGTTTTTTGGGAATCAAAAATTATTGTTAGCTTCAAATTTAGGTGGGCTGGAAAAACAGAAGAAAAAAGTTTCAAGAGGAATACTTGATATTTTTTTTCAATAATCCCCTACATTTTTAAAAAAGAAATCAGATTCTCTAACTTTTTTTCCTGAAAGTAGTACATTTTCTCATTTTGTTAGCTGAAAATTCGATGAAAAAATATTTCGAAATTTGAAAAGTTAGAAAAAACCCATTATTTTTTGGTTCAAACTTTTTTCTCACAAAATAAATATTTGAAAATTATTCAATGAAATTGTATGTTTTTTTATAAAGTTCAATTTTGAAATTTGAAAATTTGAGGGGTCTATCTGCTTCTATTTTTCGGGTAAATTTTCTCATCGATATCTTGTTTCAGCCAGTTTTTGATGAGCTTAAGAAAACATCATTTTTACCAGGAATTTTTCAAAAAATCTGCAAGTTTCTCAAAAAATCCTGATTTAAAATTCAAAGAACAATAACCTTTCAAAACATTTTTTGTTTCCAAAACTGACATCATAAATAAATAAGTTTTCCTCACATTTTTTGAGAAATTTCCTGAAAACTACAAAAAACCAAAAACTGACATCATCTGTGACTACAATTTTCCGATAGCACAAAACAACAAAGTTCCCCATTTTCGCAAGTTATTCAAACTCATAAATCGTTAATGATTAGTCTCATGACACCAGCCATTAAACACGATTATGCTAATTTTTGCTCATCTTCCACTTTTTTCCAGAGAAGAAAATTGTATATTCATTTGATTGTGTGGTTAATCAAGTTCTATTTTCCATATATTTAGTATTTTGTTTGCAGATATTCTCCAAGTCTTTCATCAAATAATTCCGAATTGGAAATATCAAGTATGGGATCTGAAGTTCGAGATTTGGATGTGAATGGAAGAAAATATCGAGTTGATGGATGTTGGTCAGCTCCGCCTTATTTTTTATTGGATTCCGATGATTTGTTTAGAGGATACTGTACACCGAATCGTGAGTTATTTAAAAAAGATATGGGTTTAGGGGTTTTAATTAGGCCACACAATTTAATTATAATTCTTTTGGGGGAAAATTGTTTACTGTAGAATTGCGAGTGTAATCTGAGAAGGCAGAAACAAATCATTTCAAAAATTAATTGACTCCAAACATCTATAATTTTCTATTATGAGCTTATAGTGGAAATTCACAGTGTGTGTAATTTACAACCCCAGATCGCTAGACCTCAAAAATTTCAATACATTTTGGGGTAGATCAAAAATATTTTTTCTCTCTATTTTTTTCTTTCTCTTCTCTCACTTTTGCGTTGATTTCGTCGATTTTCTATCTCAAATAAACGCGCAGATTTTTTTGGTTAATAAATTACACTCTTTTTAATTCTAATCCAGTATTTAATAAAAGGAAATTCGAATTTTTACTTGTTAGCTTTTCAAAAACCTTCCCCAATGACATTTTTTCTCTAGAAAAATGTTGGTCTGCTCCCGAACTAACAGAAGAAGATATCCGATGTCATCATCCATGTCTTCCAATTCCTCGAATTCGCGAACTTGCGAGCGGATATCCAGCAATCGAAACACCAGACAATGATCCATCAGTTTGTTCATATCGTCTACCATCATCAATCGGTTCAGCAGATTCTCCCAGTCCACCTCGACCACTTTCGCCTGTTTTTGGAAAACCAGCGCCATTTCGAATTCATCAATCAATATCTATGCAAATTCCACCACGACCTGACATTGCTGCATTTCTCGCTGACGCTGATAATGAAGTTCAGCCATATTTGATTGATGAAAGTTCGAGCGATGAATCTGAAGGTGTTTGTATCACTGAAGAAGTTTGGCCTGAAACTGCTGATCGTGTTGTTCGAGCTGGTTGGGTTGAACCACCAGTTCGAAGATCAGCAACTTTTCAAATTGGATATTCAGATCGGATTCGGGAGGGAATCAATCCATCACCATCTGCTCATACAGGATTGGATTTATATAGTTTGGGAGGGGAAAGTGAGACTGAAGAAGATCGAGAAGGAAATCAAGAAGATCAGGGAGAAGATCAAGGAGGATTGAGGATATCGGTTGAGAGAATGACCGGATCAGAACATTCGCAATTAGATGAAACAGAAAGGTATGTTGAGAGAAGGGGGATTTTTAATGGAAAAACATGTAACTGTTTCAAAATTTCGATTTGAAAATATAACAAAAATTCAGGGTTTGAGATAAACCTTTTCTCAACTTTCAAATTTTTTCAAGATTTTGAGAGAAAAAAACAATTTTGCTTTGTACAATTTTAAAAATTCACTGTTTCAAACGTTTTTTTTTTCAAAAAAAGTTGTTGTTAGGACTCCAAAAATTTTAAAACTAAATTTTTACGATTTTTTTAGATTCCATACAAAAACTTTATTCTATTTTTTTTTTGAGAATTTTTATTCAAAAATTTTTGAAATTCAATTTGAAAAAAAAAATTCACGCGTTTAATTTAAAAATACGTGGGCAACGTCAAGTTTTTCACATTTCTTGATTTCTAAATTTTGCCATTTGGTCGAAAATGAATATAATAAATGTGAGTGATTTTTGGATATCTGAAATATCTCTAATCCCCTCAGATTCAGATTTAGCACTAAATAATCCTCAAAAATATCTATAAAATGTATTTTCTAACTTTTTTTCTTTTTCAGAGCTCGCTAGAAAAATACTAATAAAAATATACAATTCCAACCAACCCAAACCCCATTTTATTACTTTTTTCTGCCGTTGCTTTTTTTCGAGCTCTGTCTGTGTCGAGCCATTTTTTTAATCAAGCGAAATTTATTGATGTGTGAAAAAAACACAGAAAGTTCTTCTTTTTTTTCGAAAAGCTGAAAAAAAAGTATTTTCGCGCTTTTTCGAATCTGCTTTGGGAAATTCTCCTTTGGGAGAATTTTGGCCTCAGGGCTAAAAATTCAATTTTCGGGAGAGAAAAAAGAAGAAAAGTATTGGGTTACTCATCCTTTTTATGCATGTCACTTCTTTTTTCTTTGTATATACTTGTTTATTTTTTTCGGGTGCTAGAAATTTAAGTTTTTGTAGGTTAGCACTTTTTGTTTTTCATAAATTTGGAATTTGCAAAAATTTTTGAATGAAAATATAGAATTTTTGATTTCACACTTTTGAAAATTTGATTGGGTGACAATTAGGAGCACAATATTACCGGAGGGAAAGTTTTTTAATTGTTAATTCAGATATTTATAAGTGACTTCAACTATAAATTGTTTGATTTATCTTGAAAAATTAAATTATGACGTGGCAAGTTTTCTGAGAATTTTCAGAGATAATATTTTTGTCAGATATTTTTTGGTCTTTCAGAAATTTAAAGATCTTTTTTGAATTCATGAAAACTTGGTTATGACGTGGCACAAAATTTTCATGAGTACTTTGGGATACTTTTTAGTTTTGGAATTTTTCGCATAGAGGGAAATTTTAATTCTCCTGCTATTTCTTGGAATTTCAGACTTTTAAAAAAATTCTCCACTAATTGTTTCCTGAATTTTTTTAAAGAAGGCATTTTTGGACTGATGAAATTCCACCACTACTAAATTTTCAACCAAAAACCAACCTTCATCCAAAATTCCACCAGGCGATAAAAATCAGGAAACACTTCAATGTGTTTTTTCACATCCTCATCTCATCTCATAAAAAATTGCGTCACTAATTGAATTTCAAAATGAGAACACATTCATCTTCCCATCTTTTTCTCTTCTCAATGAATTTTCAATTTTTCATTTCAGTTTTCATCCACCCACATTTTTTCCAGAAAAGCTCTTGAAACTCGACAAGCTTGGATGGAACGTGGAAGTTTGGCTTGTTTAGATAATCCAGTTCAAAATCGGATTCATCCCGATCTTTTGACTTCTCATTCAAATGGAATTCAAAGTCAATATGGAAGTTATTCATCTTTAGCTCAAGCCGAAGCATCGACTTCAATGATGTTGATGAAAAGATCGTGTACAACTGATGAATTTAGAAAAACTAGAAGAAAATTACCGCGAAGACCTGATGAATTGGCATATTCGGTTGAGATTCCACAATCAAAATCAATGTATGATCGATATTATATTGAAGAAAATGGTGGAAATTCGGGAAATATTGATATTGAAATGGGAGGAAGAAAAAGTCAACAATATCAGAGACCACCTAATTTGGCATTACAAAGTACAATTGATACAATTATTGAGAGCAACAGGTCAGTTTTTCTTACTGTTTCGAAGATTTCTTGAGTATCATCAGGGTATTCTCGATTTGGTATACTTGAACTTGTGAATTTGGAAAAATGGGAGTATTTTACATCTTTAAAAAACAGGGATTTTTTTGGAATCACTTGGATTTTTTATCATAAAAATAAAGAAACATTCTCAAAATTATTACTGTTTCAAAACATTCGTATTATTTTTTGGGATACATTTTTTATGCTGGAGTCTTTCTTGATACATCAATCAGACTTTTTTTAAAATAGGAAAGTTCCGTTTTTTTAATTAACCTATTCAAAATTCCAAAAAATTAAATTAGTTTATGGAAAAACTGGGATTTCTTAATGAAAAGTTCCAGATGTTTTTTTTTAATTTTTAAAACTCTGTATCTGAATATTATCGAGAAATTTTCACATGACACTTTAAAATTCACTGTTTTAAATTTCATGCGAAAAACTTTTTTTTCTCAATTGTGAACTCTGAATGTTTTCTCCGGAAATTTGAATCTCAAAAAGGTCAACCTATTTCCATTTTTGTGTGTGTGCCATAAGTACTACCCCGGAAAAAAAAACAGATTAGACTCTTCTCGTTTTCCTCTTCAATCTTCTTCTTCTTCTTCTTCCTTTCAATTTTTCGACCTGCGCACAGAAAAATAGAGAGGGTGGAGACAAAAAGAGCAGGAAAAAAAAAAGAAAATGAGTTTGGCCGAAGGCATTTTCTGCTCATTCGCTTCTGAATTTGCTGTACGATTTGGTAGTTTTATTATTAATATTAATATTTTAGCTCTTCTAGAAAAATCCCGAAAAAAAATCATCCAGAAATCCCCCAAGAGACTTCCTATAACTTGTTCTCTTTCTCATTTTTTCTCGGAAAAATTTGTTTTATTCGATTTTGAGTTACCATGACTTCTTTTTGTTGTTTTTTACTAATTTTCTCTGACCAAAAATTTTTTCTCTAATTTTTTTCAGCGAAAAAAAACGTAAAGTGGACGAAAGATATGTGAATAAATAAGTGAAATAATAGATTTCTCTTGCATGCTATGAATATTTCCCGACAAAATAATTATTTATATTTTCTGGAAAAATAAATTTAAAGAATTTTGTGATTTCTAGTCGGGCTCTTTTTTGGTTGTCTGGAGCTTCTATGAATGTTTGATCTCTAATATTGATTACTGTCAGAGTTTTCTGGGTCTCTTGAGTTATGTGATCTCTAGAAGATCTGTCTAGGTTGTATGTGTCTCTAAAGATGACGTGATCTTGTTCTGGTTGTCTAGATCTATGATAGTTCACTCTCAGAATCTCTAGCATTTCAGTCGTTCTCTCGCTGTCTTTAGTTCTAGACTGTATGATTCTCTAACCGCCTAGCTTCTCTTCATCTCTCCATCATCTCTATATTCTCTGCGCCTCCCTTCTTCTCTCTTTCCCTCGTTTTTTTCTGTAAATCCATAAATAAATTGTTGTCCCATTCAAATGTAAATGCAAAAAGTTCCGGAGCCAAAATAAATGTGTCCCAAAGTGTCCTATACATTTTTCGTCATTTCCAATGAATTGTCAATTTTCAGAAGCACAATGGATTCGTCTCCTTCTTTAACTTCACATCATCAAAAAATACGTCAACAACAACAACAATTTGCTCATTTAGAAACGCCAATCTCACCGCATGGTAAGTAGGGAAAATGGAAAGAGGGAAATCTAATTAATGAAAATGACTGGAAATTGGTTTTTGGAATGAACATTTGGAACACATATACACTCATTTGTTATGTATAGGATAGCAATAGGAAAAGAGCATTTTTAGAACAAGAAAAAAAGAATGATCGTGTACTTTTTGTGCAGACTGGAATTGTTTATGTATATATGTATTCAAGGGATCTGAAAAACAGAGAGAGAGAGACAAGTTGTTTTGACATGAGAGTCAAATATTTATGATATTGTTGTAGTGGAGAGTTTTTCTGGTTTTGAAGAGTGATCTCTAAGAAGTTTTTGGGGTAGTGTAAGATCAGTTCAATTTTTAGAAAGGCTTAAAATTTTTTATGTTGAAAAAAGTTTAGTTTTGAAAATTTGTCAAGAACTACATTCCTGAGTTTCGGTGGAAAATAACAAGTTTTGAAAAACTTTCACAACTACAGTAGCATAGCTAAATTTTGTGACCTGCATTCATTTCTAATTTTGTCAGAAGTTTTCTACTCTTGTTTATTGTTTGGTTCGCTTGAAATTTGGAAATTTCAGGAAAAATATTTACCAAAAGCTACAGTAACCTTGAAATTTATTTAAATTGAATTATGTCTAAATTTACAGTACTTGAAAAAAATCTAGAGTTCGATGAAAAATGTTTTTTTTTAGAAAGTTATAGTGGGAATCACATTCTAGAGTTTATGTTCTGAATTTTTATTTCTGAAAAATTTGGGTCAATGAAAATTCTTATATTCAGAAAGAACCTTTTCCATAAAATCCGAAACGGAAATTTGATCCACATAAATAAATAAGAAAACGAGAAATATGAAACTTGAAATGCGTGGTTCCACATTTTTCTTTAACGAATCTTGAGAATATTTTGAACAGAGAAATTAATTAAAAGATCTCATCTTCAACCGAAAAATTAGATATATTTTTAATTAGAATAAGTGAGTAAATGCGTTACTAAACTAATTTAATATATTTTTGACAAACACAAATAATTTTCTCTTCTCGTTTTTGCTGGATCCCTTTTCTTTCTTCTTTTTTTCTACCAAATGTGTCTTCTTTCTCCTCGTTTTCTCCATTTTCGGAAATAATGTGAGCCTAGTCAAAAAAGAAGAGCTCCCGCATTTTCTTATCGATTTTTTGTTCGCCATTTCGCCACTTTTCTTTTTTCGGCCTCGTCATTATTTGAAAGAAAAATAAGATTTCGAAAAACAAGAATTTTGTTTATTTTTTGAGCATTTTTGTGGGAATTCTCAGCATTTTTTATTTTTAAAAAAATGATGATTTGAGCCAATTTCCGAAGCAGTTTTGAATTTCTCAAAATTTTAGTCAGTTTGAATTTTTTGAAGATTTTATTGAGTTCAAAATCTTGATTTTCTTGGAGTTTTTATTGCAGATTAGCTGAAATTGCTTCCCACGCCTTTTCAGGGGTTCAAAAATCTGTCAAATTTTCTCACGTTGCAGTTTTCAAAGCTTCTTACGCTTCTTCGTTAAGATTTTTTTCAATTTATTCTGGATATTTTTTCTGCCATAAATACATTTTTCGTCAAATTTTTTAGAGTAGATCAAAAATTCACGACAAAATTTATGGCTTTGAGCGAAATTTTTAGACAAAAAATTATTTCAAAAGCTCACTGAAATTGCTTCATTTTAAGCCTAAAAATTAATTTTAGATTCTGAGCCCTATAATTTTTTTTTGACAAATTCTGAATTTTTGAGCTCAAAAATCTGGCGGAAATCAAGAAAAATGATAGATTGTTTGGCATTTTTTTTCGGTGAAATGTTCAAATATGTTCTTCTTTCTTTGAAATTTTCGGTTTTCCTAGAACCTTCCAATTAAATTCAAATTTAATTAAAAATTATTCTTGTTAATTCCTTATTAGTCATCTCATCTCTCTTTTTTTTGCTCTTGATCTGAACTTTTCAAAGTGCAAGTATAAGTCTAAAATTGTGTCATTTTCAGGACTTTTCTTTTTTCTCTTTCTGTTTTTTTCATTTCCAGCCATTGAAAAAGTGTTCATTTTGCCCCTATTTTCCCTCTTTTTATTAGATTCAGAAAAGGGAAAAATATCGATTTTTTGTTGGTTGAGAGTAGAAAAAAAGATGATGGAAATGAAGGCGAGCTCCATTTTTCATTATCTCGGCGCCCAAATCTCGACATTTTCTTTTTGTTATTTTTTTCTGTTTTGGGTTGAATTGGAAACCTTTTTTGAGGCTGGCTGGAAAATTTATTGTAGAAAAAAAAGTTAGAAAGCGTTTTGATTATTTATTTTTACTCAATTATCAATTTTAGGTTCTTTAGTCCAATAATATTATAATTTATTTCATGAATTTTTTTTTTAATTTTGAAACAGTGAAAAATTTTTTTTTGGGAAATTCTAAACCTGGCCTTAAATTTAAAAAAATCTCTCGTTTGTCTTTCATCAACATAAACTAAAATTTATTAAATTTCTGAATCAATATTTTGCAGCAGTTCTAACATCGCCAAGTCCATCTGGTCGTCGTCTTCCACCGCTTCCAATTCAATCACTTCAACTTCTACGAAGACTTCCGGCAAATATGTCAATTCCACAAAATTCTCAATCATCCAACAAAGATCATCAATTATGTTTTATGGATGGAATGGCGGATTCGATGATGGGTGGAATTGGTGGAGGAGCAGGAATGGATGATTCGTATTATGAAGAAGATGGATTAAATGGAAATAATAATCAGAGACGCAGAAAAAATATGGGAAGAAAGTGTGAGTTTTTGAGAGGGAACATTTTTTCACTGTTTCAACATTTTTCAAAAAAAAAAGATTCGATGTCAATTGATAATCAATTGAATTGATTCGTTAACAATCTTTTGAATAAAGCTTGAAAATCAATTTCGGCTGTGTTGCATTTTTGAATTTAAAAAAAATGGAAAATTCCCTGTTACAATTTTTAGGGAAATAATTTATGATATGTCGAAATTCTTGAAAATTCTAAAAAAAATATTTATTAAAAAAAAAGTTCACTGTTTCAAAGGACAATGATAATTTTGTGATTTAATTGTGCAGTACAATGTTTCAATCTTTTTGTAGTAATCTAACTCTTTATAAAAACTCACTGTTTCACAAATACTTCATCATCAAATTAATAATCTGAAATTATTCCACCGCATACCACATGTTCCCTAATTTTTAGCATTTTTCTCTCCCGATGATTCATCTGGTGTTTCTTCATGCACAACATCTGATAGTCAAAATCCAACTCATCGTGTTCAATCGGCTTTTCATCCACGTCATAGTGATGAACTTCTTTTGGAAATTGGAGACGCTGTTCATGTTGATCGAACTGCCGATGATCATTGGTCTTACGGAACGAATTTACGGACTGGACAATCTGGAATATTTCCAGCTTCGATTGTTTGCGAAATTGATTTGGTTGAGGAGATTTGTTTGGGAGCATTGCCAAGTAATACAACTAGTGAGTCTTGGGAAATTCCTGAAGTTTAGAAGTTTATCAAAAAGTTTTGGAAATAAGAAACACCTAACCTACGCCTAACAAAGTTGTGATTTTTATTCTAAAAGTCAGAACTCTGAACTCTAAATAGCAGGTTCATGTTTTATTTTTCATTCGTAATTTATTCATTTTTAATTTATTTTTCCAGAAATCATGAATGATGATCGTGACACATTTTATCTGACGATGCTTGCTTCAATCGAAGTTGCACATCATAAAGGAAATGATATTCTGACTCAAGCAATGAACAAAGTTTTATCAATGTATAAAAATTCGGAGGAAATTATTGTCCCACAAACTGTTTTGATGGAGATTTCTTTTCGAGGAATTCATGTGATTGATAAAAGAAGAAAGAATGTGAGTTATTTTTTTCTCTACAAGTCTATGATTGAAAAATTGAAATGTTTTCTTTTATTAAAAATTTATGATTATTTTGAAACAGTAAATTTTTTGCACAAAAACAATATGTGGCCGATCGAAAAATGTTTATTTGAAACAGTGTTTTTTCGGAAAATCATGGAAATTTGTGTTATGAACAGAAAAAATTTTGCCAACATCAAATAATTTTTTGCAAAACAAAATTATATGAATTTTTTGAAACAGTGAAAAATACATTTTTTTTCAGTTCTTTCAATGTCCGATGTTTGATTTCTTCTACAGTTTGCAAAACATTTCATTTTGTGGAGCACATCCCAAACAATTGAAGTGAGTCGATTTTTTTTTGTTGAAAATCAGGGTATTAGATTCGGTGTTTTGTAGCTTCTGAAAATGATTTTTGGCTCCCACCTGATATTTTCAAGAACTCTTTATCAAATCCAAAACTACAGTAACTTTTTTCTGAATTCTTAGAAGTTCTAAAAAATCTACAGTACTTCGTCCTCTCTTCAAAACCCCATCCAACCTTTTCCAGATATTTTGGTTTCATCACAAAACATCCGCTACTTCCGCGTTTCGCTTGTCACGTTTTCATGTCAAATTCAAGCACTCAACCAATTGTCGAAGCAATCGGACGCGCCTTTAAAAGATCTTATGACGAATATATGGCTTTTGCTCATCCAACAGAGGATATTTATTTGGAATAATTCAGATTCTCATTTTTCTTGATCTTCACAACAACTTTTATGGTATTTAAAATACGGATAAATTCTTTGTTCCTAAATGTTTTTTTTTTCTCGCATAGAAGAAAAATTGACTACAAAAACACTTAACTAATTAGTTAATTTGGAGCAGGGAAATTTTTTTTAGACAAATAGCAGATTTGCAGGTACCAGAAACATTTGCTATTCGAACAAAATGGGCCTGATTTTGGCGTATTTTCGGAAGCCGCGATTGGATTTGGCGAGAATTCGAATTGTTTGGTGTGATCATATTTGTGAAGAAGATGAGTATTTTCAAAAAGTTATTCATCGACTTTGCAAACGAAATGAAGCAATTCGAGCAGCTATGCTTTCCTCAAATGCACAACATGCTGAAAGTGAAGCTGAAGAAGATTTTGTATTGTCGAGTTTGGCTGATCGAATATCCACATTTTTTCATAATTTAATCGAAGATGATATAATTGCAAATGAAGAGGAATTGAAAAGATGTTGTTATGATATTGGAAGACAACATGCGGCTTATGGAAAGAAACGTTTTAAGGTGAGAAGATTAGGGTACTGTAGGATAATTTTGGGGTTGTTAAATAAGATTCTGCATTCTAATTATAGAAATCAGAAGTCTTTTAAGAAAATTTAATTAGCTAATTTAAAAAATTTTCTTTTTTTGCTTGAAAAAACGCATCTGGAAAATTTTCAAAAACAAAACGTAGAATTTTGGAAAATTTTCAAAAATCTGGAAAATTTTCTGGAAAGTTTTGGAAAATTGTCATCTGGAAATTTTTCAAAAACGAAACGTAACGCATATTTCAGAATTTTGATTTCATTTCATGAAAAATTCACTGTTTCAGAAAAAAATAACTATTTTTTGGGTTTTGATTGTTTTCTTGAATCTCGCCACTTGTTAACAATGTTTTCAGATATCATTCTGGGAAGAATTCACATTGACAATGATGAATGTTCTCGAAGAAATTTATCCAACAACAACGAAAGAGGAACAAAAAGCTTGGCACGTATTTCTTCGATATGTCAATGAAAATATGCTTGATGGATATCACGATGCTTTGACCTATAATGATAAACCTACTTGACTTTTTTCAGAAAAAGAAATAATTTTCTCGGGTTTTATTTCATTATTTAACATTTATGTTATAGAAAAGTTTCATCTATTGATTTTTTTGCAAAAAAAATCATCAAAATTAAAAAGTTTCTTATCTCATTTTTTATTTATAATTTTTTGTGTGAGTTTTGTGTTTGGAGAGTGAATATTGAATTGAAATGAAATGTGAGTTGATTTGAATTTAATTGTTTGAGAAAAATTTTCATAACTCAAAAAAATTAGATTTCGAGCAATAAACATTCATTGTTTCAAAAACACTTCATCGGTTACTTCGAGTTTTCATTTATATTTCCCCACCTCTTTTATTCTTTCAAAAAAATCAGAGATCAAATATTTTTAAAAAATCTGAAATTTTCCCAGAATTAATTCAAGGTCGATTAACAGTTCATCGGAAAATCAACGAAAATCTTCATTCACCCGAGGACATCGTCGAGATTCGGATACAATTGGAAATAAAGAAACAGCAATTCGAACTGTTCGATTTCCATCTTCGGAATTGAATAATGATAGTTTTGTAAGAATTGATAGTTGGAGAAATGATGAAAATGAAGAAAAAGAACATAAATCCAGTGGGTTGGAAATTATAAATAATTATTTCAAATCTGAAAAGAATTCAGGATTTTCAATGCATTGTGATTGTATTGATGCAATTCGTCGATGGTCGAGAAAAAAACAATTTTTGCTTTTCAGTGTCATTATTTTATTTCTGTTTTTCATTGCGGCTGCGATTGTTTTACTTATTTTATTGTTGATTAGTAATGGAGTAACTTTAGAAAAGTTCAAAAAATATTGCAAGTTTGGAATCTAGAGTAAAACAAAAATTTTGAAACGTTAGAATTTTGGTGAGTTTACAAGCATAACTTTTATAAACATGAAATATCTGCAGAGTTTTGAACAAAAATTTTACAATACTTTCAAGTGGTTTTCAGATTTGATATTTTTTCAGGAAACAACAACAATAATTATCACAGCAATGTTCTTACAACAACAACAACTCAAACAACAACAACTTCCACAGTTGCTCTACCGTATCTTGTTGGTTATTTAACCAAAACCACTTCCGAATTCAAATCATTTGGGGCAAACCTAACAAGTCTATCAGTGGATAACTCAGGATACAATTATAATCATAGATTATTGGGATATTCTCAAGATCAATTTTTGTTATATAATTTGGATTATGTGACAAAATATGATATGATGATAGGATTCTCAGATTGTCAAATTTTATCGTATTCGGAGAATGCAACAGTTATGAATATTGAAAATATGATTTATTGTTGCAGGCGGATTGGGGAGACAACTTGTTGGGTTTACGGATATTCAATCGATATTCCAGATGAGATTATTGAGATTCGAATTTCAGAAGATCGGAATAGTTTGTATGTGGTCACAAAAAGCGAGATTGATTGTGTTTTGCAAAATATTCTGATCAATGGAATAAACAAATCTACAAAGATTGGAATGATGAAAGCATGTCCAGAGACTGATCAAGGGATTTTCAAAATCAGCACTACAAGTTATGAGATCTCAGGGAATTCTGATTTTTCATATAATATAATTAGTGACTCTGGACATCTTTTGATATATCGAAACATGACAGATTTTTATGATATTCCGTTTAATTTGAATGCTACAGTATCCCCAATTATATCTACAACAATTATAAAAAATCATAAATTAATTGCCTTGATTTATCCTCCAAGCAGAATGTATGTTACCAGACAAAATCTGATTTCTGGATGTGTCTCGACTTTATCAAATCAATACGTCGATTTTAAATATGATGGAGAATTCAAAAGTGGAGATTGGATTGGTGAAGATTTTATGATCTGGTTTGAAGAGCGACAAGGCGCAAATATTGCCACTTTTCAATTTCAATGGCCTGATGATTTGCAATGTTCTCTTTCTTGAATTTGAATTTATTCTTTTTTTGATTTATTTTTTCTTGAGAAAAAATTGATAAAAGTTCCAGTCTTTCATTTGCATATAAAAAGATATTCTCACACACATTTTTAATATAAAATCTGAAAACTTTTGACATATTTTTTATCATACCATGAATTCTTTGCTCTTGGTTTTGACTATTTTCTCATTGGGAGAAGCGCTTTTTGAGACCTGGAAACCGGAAAGTTATCGATATTGTGAACATTTGACATCAACAAATACATCGGCACCAAATTTGGGAGGAGTTTCGTGTGGATATAGCTCTTATTTTTATATGAATTATGGTGAGTTCAATTGGTGAGAATTGTGCAAATCAATTGCTGAAAAATTAATCAACTGATCTTTTCGAAATTGTTTCTACCTCTCAAGTGAGGCAGATCAATTTTTCTGTAGAGAAAATTAATTGATGAATTTTTTGAAAAAGTGAAGAACAAATTTTTCACAACCAGAATTTTTTCAAGAAAAAGCCTCGGATTAATATGACTTGTTCAGTCTGAAAAGTTGAAATAGTTTTGAAACATTGAATTTTTGAGAAATTTTCAGACTGTTTTGAATGGAAATTTTTTGAATCACGTTTACTGTACGGAAAAAGATCATATCGCTGAAACAGTGATAATTTTATAGACAAAAAAGTTTTTGGAAAAAATTGCGTAACAATCTTAGAAAATGACGATCTCAAATTTATTACCCAACAAAAAATTATAAAATGAATTTTTTTTCCAGAATACGCTCTGACCATCGATTCAACCAGCACTCTTGGATTAATCAATGTCGGCTGGTTGTCAGCGTAAGATCTCTAATTCCTCGTTGAAAATTCTCATTTTTTTCTTCACAGAAATATTCTTGGCACCGAAAACAAATTCTGGAAGACTTGTAAAAGTTATATGATCACTATTTTCGATAGTCTTTTTTCAGATGAAGGTGATTTTTAGCTAAAATATCTCATGCAGAGATTATTTCAGGAAAATCGTGTATTTATGCATTTAACCATGGATTCTCGGGGCTTCCTACTTGCACTAAAAACGATTCGAATTTGTTGCTTCGAGTTGGAAGTGGTTATTGTATGAAGCAAAAAGTTTGTGGAGCTGATCAGAAAATCGATTTCTTAGTGTCGTCAGATAAAAAGAGTTCGCAAATCTCTTGGGAAGATTCGAGAACTGCGACTTTGAAAAGTAATGGATATACAGTTGTTGGAAGTTGTTATGCTTATGAAAAATTGAGCAATCCAACAAAAAGTAATGCATCAATCGCAAATACCACTTCATTTTACTAATAAGACTGTTTTTATTGATTGAATAAAATATTGTTGGGTTATTATTTTGAGATAGCTGAAGTTAGGCTATCTACTGGATGTTCGGTGGCATCAACTAAACTATCGATGGAGATTTCACCATTTGACATTTGAGTGGATTCAAGTTGACTTCCGAATACATGTTGGCTCTGTAAAAAACAGTTGTTTTCCAAAAAAAAATTATATTTGTGCTCGTCAGATGAAAAAAACCAACATTGTATCGAATTTGGGCAACAAATGCGCATAATCTCTGCTGAAGCGCCTTCAAATTATCCCTATAATAACCAGAAATTCCGTCCATTCCTGATAAAAGCAAAAGCAATGTTGGAGATTGAATCAAGTTATAAAGTGGATCATCCAAATTCACATCATAGGTCAAATTTTGGAGTCGGGAGATATCTTCGAAACGGCGTATCGCGTTGTTTTGTTTGGCTTCAAGAATCGAAAGCAAATTATGATCTTGTTGCGCAATTTTTGAGATTCGAAGACTTTCCTTCATATTTTCTTCTAATCTACTGATTTTTGATAAAACTTCGATGAGCCTAGATTTCAAGTTTCTCCCATTTTCCAATGATTCTTCAACATTATCCTTTGATAAATAGGGTTTCAAAGCTGATTTCACTTGGGATAAACGAGTATTGCAAACATCATGCATTGTGTCTTGTGTACCATCAAAATCCTGTTCAATATGTCTCAATTTTCGCTCCATTTGCATGATTTCCTGCTGATGACTGGCTTTTTGATCTTTGATTGAGGTTCGCAAATTTTTCGATTTTCCCATGTTTCGCTCATAGATGTTTGTCATATATTCCAATGATTTCATCTGAAATTAATATGTATTTTCAAAATAAGTTATCAAACTCACATTCTCCTCTAGCGAGCATATTCTCCACTCCGAATCTTGACTTTCACTAGTTATTATTGTAGACATTACTCAACGACTTCACGAAAATATTTAACAACAAAATGAATTGCAATTGTGTCATTGGAACACGTTGCATTTCTCAGCAAATTTCACGCGAAAAAAGAAAAAAATAAAAGAATTATTTTTTGAATCACCGCTGCGTGCGATAGAGCGCGCTTGCTGAGCAAACAAATTATTTTTTTTTCATTTTTCGTTTTTCACCTTTCCACCCAAAATCAAATGTATTTAACGTATATTCAACATACGGGATGCCCCACAAGGTTATTAGTGATGTCACCAGCAACGGAAGAATTTGTATGCCCGGATTGCAATAGAAAATATGAGGTGAGGCATGAATATTCATAAATTTCTTATAAAAAACGAGAATAATTTAAGGAGGCAAGTTGGACGAATAATCCATTGCCATGTCCATTTATAGAGCAAGTTAATGCAAGATGTGCGATAGTTATAAAACCCTCAAGTGGATTCTTCACATCTTATCAAATTGGCGATGATTTACACATTGGCATATGCGATTCGAATTCAGTTATACATTCCTATTGGACAGATGGAATTGTGGCACAAGACACAAGTTGGGATAAATCAATTCTGGTCTACGATTTTCTGCCTGATTTCTCCAACAATACACAGTGGTTTGATTCAACACTTGTAAATTTTATTCAACATTCTGCTGGTCGATTTCAAATTGATTCGTACAATGAGTTCGAATGGAATTGCTTTGACTTTGTTATGGAATTTTTGAAATTCATCAATTTTCGAAATTACACCAAAGTTCACTTCGTCTCCGAATTTTTGCAAGAAACTCTACGCAATTCGATGAAATATTGTAGTCTTGTTAGCAAAGTACAAGAAAAAGGGTATATTATGATCGGATAATAAGCTTTGTTATTTTTATGTGTTTTTTTTTTTGAGAGAAATTGTGATACTTATATTTTTTACTTCATAAACCTCAGGTCTTCTATATTTGTTTCTTTTTCAATTTTCTTATTGGTTTACAAAAAACCACGCGATATATTCAATTTCATCCAGAGTTTTCAAAATTTCAACAAAATTTTGCAGATGGCCGAATTCTTAGAGGATCTCGAATCAACTGACGCTGACAGATCGATGGATGCCGCCAGTTTTCAAAATCAACAATTCGAGATTTTCCAACATGATTATCGAGAAAATGCGGAAACTGATTGCAAAGACGACGATGGAAATCATACAAATTGTAAACATGCAGATGATGAATCAAGAAAATCGAAGAAGGAATTGATTAATGTGACGAGAAGATTGCAGAAAGCGATGGTTGCGATGGAAATGTGAGCAATTTGAATTAAAAAAAAAATAAAAAACTTGGTTTTGAGACCTGGAAATTTGAGTTTCATTTTCAAAACGAAAAACAGCTTAATTTTCTTTGTGAAAATATTTACAAAGGCCTTTCTTGAATAATTGGAAATTTTTTATAGAAAAAATTTCACTGTTTCAAAGCTTTTTATTTATATTAACTATTATGATCATAATTATTAGAAAAATCTTTTTATTACCTTTTTGCGCACAATTCATTTAAAAAAAACTAACCCATGCAAATTTTTGGGACCTTTTATCTACAATTTTTTAATAGGCTCGAACCGAAAATCTTGAAACTTTCTTAATGTTTCCCTTTAAACCCTTACTCATATTCCAGGATGGCTGGCAAAGAAGTGATATCCGATTTGAGTATCGCAATCACCGATATCAACAATCAACTTCGCAATGCAATTCTCAAAGACAATGCCGAATTTTCAACAACAAGTGTCAGTTTACCAGATTATGATACAACTGATATGCAATTGCTCATGGGAACCGATGAAGTTAGCCCAACTAAACCAATGTTGGAAAGAATTCGTGAAGAACAACAAAAAAGCAAACTCGAATTGAATTTGATTGTTGCTCAGGCCAATATATTATTACAAGAATACGATCATATTCGAAATGGTTTACCAACGCGAAATTAATTTTTTTTTACAATTTTTTACAAATTCACTTTTTTTGCTTGTGTCTGTGCATTTTGTTCGTTTTTACTAATCATTTATTGTTGTTAATTAATTAATTAATTAATTCATGGTGATGAAAGTCCTGGTGGCTTTTCATAACTATTATTAAATTGTTCCTCGTATTCAATTGGAAGTGCTAATTTGTTCCATAATGCAATCATAACACAGAATGGTAACACAACCCAAACACCTGAAATTTGAGGTAAATTTCGTACCCCAATTCACTAGAATATATTATTTAAAAAACCTACCATTTGGAATCCAAAAGATCAAAGTCATTCCCAAATATCCGTACTGATTTGTGAAAAATGGTGGATTTCCGGCTGGTGGAGCGATATACAAAGAGAGATACCAGAAGGTTTTCCAGAAAACCAAAGCGGAAGTAGTGAAAGCGAGAAGAAGTGCGTGACGGGAACGTTTCCATGCCTGGAGAAAATTAGGGAATTTTTCACTGTTTCAAGGATTATACCCTAAGCCTAGGCCAATTTTTTTTCATAATGAAAATATAAATGCCACGTCAGTGCTCACGTAGAAATTAATATTTTATCGAATTCTTTTTTTTCAGAATTAGAATAACTCAAAAACTTACCAAGAAAACGGCAATAAAATTGAGAGCAATTTCAATTAGCATAACTCTTCCAGTCGAACATGTCACAATATCATTGGTTTTTGCATAACGAACATCAACAGAGGAATAGAGTTTCCCTAAAAATTAAATTTAGACGAACAATTTTTTCTGAAAATCAAAATCTTACATCCATAAAATAAAGTGTTTAAGATAAATCCCTTTTCAGAATTTGTATACGGTCGAAACATTGTATAAATAACATCAAGAAGGCAAATGACACCAGAAGCTAATAGCCAAATAGTTACCCAGAGAGGTAAAACTGCTGGTCTTGACTGGAAATATTTCATATGATTTTTTGAGGTTGAAAAATCAATAAAAGTTAGGATAACTTACCATATTTAATACGAAGAAGTGGTGTGAAAATCTGAACAAATCCAATGAGAAAATGAAGAAGAATGACCCAAATAATATTTTTTCCTGTCCTCCTCCCAGAAAAAAAGGACGCCGCGCAGGGAAATTTCTGGCGGGAAACTAGCGAGGTAATTTAATGTATTTCTATGCCAGGAGGGAAAGTTTTCTCTTTTTTTGAATGTGCAAATATTTGAGCAATGAAAAATCGAATGAACAAATCATGGTCACAGTTAGATAAGAGTCATTTTTTACAGCTGTTTCTTTTTGAACGAGAAAGTGAACACTTTATTTGGAATTTTTTTTGAATTCTAAATTTTTTTTGAATCTTGGTTATACGAAAAATGTATTAGGATCGAAAAAACACCTTTCAAATTAAAATTTAACAAAAATTGGATCATTTTTTTTTAGTTAGGGTTACTGTAGATTTATACCATAAACGTAGATTCTAGCTCAGAATAAAACAACAGGTACAGTAACCGAACTTCTACGAGATTTCTGTAGTCCAGTAACAAGAAAAATAGGGGTTACTGTAGCTCTGAGCAAATAAACGAATATTGTAAATTCTCAAAACGATAAAAAGTGATTTTCGAGTCAAAAATTTATCTACAGTATCATTACTTTCTTCAACTACAGTAACCCAAAACAGTAAACTCACCCCCCCCCCCCTTCTTTTAAATCCTGAATTTCCCTTTCCTCAATTTTCGTTTTCTCAAAAAACATCTGTCTGTCAAATTCAAATTGAACCAATCTTACCATAAAATCACTTTTTCTTCACTAAAAGGTCATTTTCAAGGTCAACTTTTTTATTCTTCCAAAAATCCACGAGATTTCCTCAAATGATAAGTGAATATCAAAACCTCCTCATTCTCAAAATTATCAAACCTTTCTTTGTCATTTTTTCCGGTGACCGTTGGCAAAAATCGCATTGTATGAAAATGAAATGGCATTTTCATTCACCGAAAAAAACCGGTTTTCTCGAAACAATGAAGTAGAGAATAGTGTGAGTACCTGAGAGACGCAGACTACTTTTAATGCCATTCGAGAAAGAAAAAAACGAGGTGAACTATCTGATTTTCCATTTAGTTTTTGGTATTTTCTAGACAGATGGATATACTATTTCGAATATTATGTGATCTACAATCACTGTCGGGTCTCGTGCCGATTGTCACACTTTTTGTAGTACGGTATTTTCTAGTCAATGGTGTTGCTCAAGAGGATAATTGATTAATTCACTGTTTAGATAATTAATGATCTCACATAAATTTTTAGTAATTTATTCTTTCTAAATCAACAACTTTTTTAATTAAAAATGTTCACAAAAAAATAATTCTTTTTTTTAAGTTTCGAAATGTTCCCAACTGCAAAAACTAACTATTAAAACAGTGTTTTTTAGTGAAGAATTTTCCAAATAATTCAACTGACAAGTGAAAAGAAACAAATATTTTCTGATCAATTTTGTTCTTTTCTAACAAATGTTTTATTAATGAATTAATTAAGTATTTACAAATCAATAAACCGGTAAGAAGTTTTTGTGACTAGGATTTAATTAAGCAGTTGCCAAGTCAAAAATAACTGGAGAATCATCATCAGCATCTGTCATATCAGGCTCATAAATTTCTGAAGCATCTCGAGCTCGAGATGGTCTTTGTTGCTCAATCATATGTGCTCGAACTGCGATTGCCGATAAAATACAAGTTCCACGAATCCATAAATTAGCGGCAATTGCGATGAGCGGGAAAGTGTCGATTCCCCACGCGTGATCACTTGAAAACATCCACAAATAACCGTTGAGCATTGACATTTCGATGGTTGCAATGGCGATGTAGATTGAGATTCTGAAAATAAGTTGAGAAAAGGTTTGCGAATTTTTTTATTTTTGGATTCTTCTATAAAAATTTCGATGCTTTTTTTCAAATATTCAGGGGTTATGGACTAAAAAAATCAAGCTCACTAGAAAATTATTAAACTTGAAAGAAATATATCAAATTTGAAACAGTGAAAGTTTTGAACAATGATAATGATTTTATTAACTTCAAAATTAGGTCTAGATTTGGAACAGTGAAATTTAAAAAAAAGAAAAAATTGTCAGATAATTTTTAAAATTACTTTTTATTGAAAACTTTTGAGATAAAAAAGTAAAACTTGTTCTTGTACATGTGACAAATCAAAAAATCTTGTCTCAGAAACTTATATTTCTATTTTGAAAAAGTAAATTTTAAGTCGAAACAAATTTATCTTGAATTTTTTTTTTGTTTTTTTTTCTATTGAGTGAAAAGGTGAAAATGATAGTGGTAATAAAAAATAATACATTTTTTGAAACAGTGTTTTTTTTCGAAACCAAAATTCATGTTTCCAGCAGGCAGAAATCTTCTCACAACTCAATAAAGTTTTGAAACCGTGAATTTTTTCTGCGCTCTCAAAAAAACTCACTTATTTGGGTCAGTTGATATTCCTTGTTGACTTTGTCGCATTTGAAACATTGCAAAAATATGCAAAACCACAAAAATAAGCAACATACAACTTCGATAATCATTTGCAATTTGTGTACTATTCAATCCAATCATCGATAAACTATTCAAGAAAAACAACGAGACCAATCCAATCCCCAAAAACGTCTCGAAAATCAATAACATTGCCAAGATCGTATTATATTTCGCACCGAAAAATGTATTAAATATTCCATATGCTAAACTATGTGGACGTGGTTTGCTCATATTAACTGATGCATGACTCATCCACACATAGAAAAAAATAGAACAATTTTTGCTGCTGTGCGGTGTTTGCAGACTCGAAAAAAGCCCGTCTCGTTTTCACGTTTTTCCACGTGTCAAAGAAATTTCGTTCTTTTTTCCATTGAAATTTAGAGAGTGCGCCGCAAAATTGCAAATTTTGAAAATAAAAGAGGGCGGAGTCGTGTGTCTTCACGCGGTCAGAACAATGAGTCCGCAATTTCACGTGAAAAAGAAAAATGTTAAATTTTTTTCTATGTGCATCCAATCAGAAGTTGGTCGAAAAAGATCAGAAAGTGGAAGTTTGTGTCGATATGATAGATCAAAAGTTGTATAGATTGCTGTGATTATAACAATTAGCAATGGAGCGAACATGATTAAATAACCAACAAGACGAGCGGCCCAATGTGGAAGAGGTATGAATTGAACACCAGCATCGATATGCTTCATAACATCGTTTCCAGAGGGAAGAAAATCGAACACGGCTACAAATTTGGCCTGAAAAATATTTTTTGTTTTAAAAAATAATGAAAACCATGAGATTCATTTTGGTTAATATTAATTTCATATATTTGTAAAAATAATGTTACAATCTTTCAGATCTTCCTTCGTTAAAATATAATTTCAGAACCCTTATTAGTTGCCTTTCTAGAATAACTCACACAAATCAACATGGGTATAACCGTAAAAAGCGCAGTTGTATAAATTGGACTAGTTGGTCGAATCAAATAATCTGTCAATCCTGGTGAAACTGCAGTTGGTGACGTCATCAAAACATCTTGCTCAATTCTTTGCCAACCATAAATGAAGAAAATAATCACAAATGCCAAAATTTGAATTATTGCTGATTGTGAAGTGTATCGAAATAATGCAGCCACTTTTGTGCCAAGCTAGAAACTTTTTTTTTGTTTTTCAATTGTTCTTTTTAAACTCACCGGCATGTATAGAAAAATGGCTGGGACTGTGAAAGCCAAACATAATAACCCGATAAACCTTTTTGGATAATTCTGAACAGTTGGAATATCATCGATGAAACTTTGATAGATGAAAGCGGTGTAGACAATCATTGGTCCCAAAGATGTATAGAAATATTGAGCGAAAAAGTAGAGAGCCGACCAAATTGGGCCAAGATTCGATGTGGCAAAACAGACGGGAAGAAGATCGAAGGAGATTGTTTCGTCGGTTGAGGCAAAGATTTTGTAGCTGGGTTGGAGATCTGAGATGTGACCTTCGCAGCCAGCTCGAAGAATTGTTTGGATCATTGGGACAATCTGGAAATTCAAGAGTTTTAGAATTTAATTTGTTGACGCTTTTCGAAAGGGATTGCTCATGTCAACTTTTTTTTTGAAAATTCTGAATTATTACTGAAATTTAATTTTTAATTCAAAAACTAACCATCATACTTGGAACAACAAAAAGAGCATTCAAATATCCTACTCCAGTTCTTAATCGACTTGTTGCAAATATCACGATTCCAGTAAAAGCCATACTATAATCAACAATCAGAATAGAAGTTCGAAATCCGCCCTTCAAATCTGCCCAAAAATCAAAAAGATCTTCACTGATTTTCTTATCATCTAAGCTGACTTCCATAGTTCCATTTGTGAAATGCAATCCAGAAACAGTCATTCCCATAACAACTGCTAAATATAACATTACAGGAATAAATACAAATATTTTTGTTAGAATTTCTCCGAGTCGATCATAAAATTTGACTAGAATAAAGTAGATAGTTGTCCAGGTTAGAATATGTGATAAGAAAAGTGGAATACTTGGAATTGCAAAATAAAATTCCTCTTTTGAATCTCCTAAATACCACATATTTGGTTCCCATTTTGCTGGCATTGATTCTGGTAATGCATTCTGGCGGATTCGAAATCTGTTGAATTCTTGAGCTGGCCAGAAATTATTTGGATATAATATTGATTTTGAAACATTTGGATCATTGAATGGTTGACAAAATTTGGAATTATATGAATGTTCGCATTCAAGAGCCCAAGATAAAGTTGGGCGAAGAGAATTGATGAAATAAATTAGAATTTGAGATGCGCGGAGACTTTCTGTGTAAAGCTTTTCTGCTATATGCCATGTTAATGCCCAGCCAATTCCTGCAAAATATTCGTTGTTTCAAAAGTTATTCTTTCTGAAAATTTTTATAAAGTGTTGTTGAAAAAAATTGCTGTTTCAAAAATTTATTGAAAGATTTCGGAACAATTTTGGTAATAATGTAGTGTTAATCTGCTGTTTGTAAAAATCGCAATCATGTTTTGAGAAAAATCTGCTGTTTCAATATTTATTTGAATAGTTTTGGAATTTTTTTCATTTCCTAATAGAAAGAAAAATTATCAATACATTTTTTGAAAACAAATTCCGAATCATGGCCTTAGTTATGTTTTGTTACATTAGAATTTGAAGCTTAGAAAAAAAGCTTTCTTGAAAAAATCTACAGTTCAAAAATTATTCCGAATGTTTTCGGAAATATTTTGCAATCTATGTTTGAAAAAAACTACTGTTTCAAAATTAATTTTAAATGTTTTGGAATTTTTTGAGAACTAATATCGTTGTCTCATCGAGAAAAAAAGCAATTTCTTTTGAAATTGCCTTTTAGAAATTTTTTATTAAAATACAAATATACTGTTTCAAATACGTTTCAAACAAAAAATATTTCTAATAATTAGAACTGTTTTGATGTTTCCAACATTTCCCGTATTTTACGAAAAAAAATGATCATCCAAATTGGCTCAAATTTTCCCCTTCCTTCCTCCCTCACAAAAAACAAACCTGCACCAATTGGAGCTATTTTTCGAAACGTTTGCACCGGTGCTCTTCTCGACAAATGTCCAACCGAAATCAAAAGTGTGATGGCAGGAATGGCGAAAATCGGGAAAAATATGGTCCATTTCAATTGTGCCATCGATAATTGACTGGCCATTGGTGCGCTGGCCAAAAGAATTGTCGTATATCCGTACATTTGATCACCCGATTGCATGATTTTTGGCTGACTTGTAGATTAAATTTCCCTGCAATTTTTTTGAGAATTCAAATGAGAAAGACATTTTTGCAAAAAAAAAGTATCAAGAGGAAACGGGAGTTTCTGAATTCAAAAAAGTTGCCCTATTTCTTCGGTCAGATTTAGAATTTCTTCGAAAATTTGGAAAATCACAAAACAATTTCGAGCTGAGCTTTTAGGATCAATGTTTTGGAACCTGAGAAAAAAGTTTCACATTTTTGGATCGAGTGTACTGTGACAGTACTACTGTTCCAAAAATCTGGAAAATTTCATCCACTTGGTGCCGCTGGATACAAAAAATATTGAACAAAATATCAATCAAAACAAAGTGCAAATTTTTTGGAATAAAATTACTCTTGTGAAGAGTAATTTCATAATGCGCTTGACATTTTCATTTTCTATCCAAAAAACCAAAAAAAAAAAGAACTTTCGAAGGCAAATAAAAAATCTCCATAGTAACAAAATATGAGAATAGGAATAGGCAAACATTGATACGAATAAACAAATTCAGCTTTTTTGGAAAATACAAGCAAAGAGGGAAAAAAGTGAAAACAGGTAGGTAAATTAAGGAAATAAGATGAGAAAGAGAAGGAGAGAGAGAGAGAGTATGGGATATTGAGAGACGCAGAAATAAAAATCAACCTTGTTGTTATTTATGCTTTTTCATTTCACTATAAAAAAATCATAAATATAAATAAAACAAAATAAAATAAAATAGAATATCATGGCAACCAAAGATGGACTGACTCTGCGTCTCTAACAATCTCTCACTCTCTCGTCTTTCTCTCACCTGTTCTGTTCTCTTTTATTTTACTTTGTTTGTAATATGATGAAGAAGAACACGCCCCTCTTCTCTCCCGCCTCACAAAAAGACAAAATTTTGGTGAAAAAATATTGAGAGCAATGTGGAGGTACTAACTCGGACAAAAGTAAACATTGGGAAATAGTTGGAAAAAGGAAACGAACAACTAAAGTGGGCTTTTTTTTTGCAAAAATAGTAATTTGTATGGAAAAAATGATGATTTGAAATTATGGTAATATTGGAATATTTTTTCAATTGTTTACAAAACGGAGCTAACTACAGTAATCTTAAGTTATCATGTTTCTAAATTCAATATCAGCTCAGCTACCTGCCAACCTACTTCATTTTCGCGATCTTATTCCGAATTCAAACTGTTGAATTTCTTTGGTGAAAATTGAAAATAACTTCCGATCGGAATCAATCTGGATGAAGTCATCGATAAATTTCTCAAACAAAAATTTATTGAATATCTTTTTTTGTATTGAATGTACTCGAAAAATGTTGAACACAAGAATTACAATCGAATTCATGAAACATTTCAAGTTTTTTGTGAGTTGCGTATCAATTTGACCGAGGATCGGCACTAAAAAATTCACTGTTTCAGAGGTTTTCGAAATGTTGGCCTTCAGAAATTATATGTCGATTTTTCTTTCTCCTGTAAGTTATCTATCCAACAAGTTTCATTAGTTTTAAACAAGAATTTTCAATTCAAAATCTAGAGACTATAATTAATTACAGATGAATTTAACAAAATGTAAAGTAACTGTGACTCATTTTCTTCCATCTATAATTTTTCCTCGTTTTTTGTTTCTTTTATTCAAGGCCGCGTCATTTATTTTCTTTTCACCATTACAAACAAAACCAGCTTTTGGCAATACAATCCAATTCAATTCAAATCCAATCCCTTTTCAAGAATATCCTTCCTTCTTACTTATCTATCTATCGATTATTTTTTATCTCCCTCAGAAAAATGTATGTTTTTCTTCCAATAATTTTCATTTTGCCATTCGGCATTTTCGCTGAATTCACTCCACATTTTCGCAAATTTTTGCATGATAGTTATGGTTTGGCAATAACTGATCAATTGGAAAGAACTGATTTGGGATTGGATGCTTCGTTTGGTGGAAAGAATTCGGATTCGGAAGTTACACGAAATCAGGCGGTTATTTTGGTGCATGGAATTACGAATAAGATTACCAGATTTGCGGTTTGTGAATTTTTGGAGGGGAGAAGAGGTGCTTTGGTTTTAAAAATTCTACATTTTTTGATATTTTAGAAAGTGAAATTCAATTTTTCCGAAGTTCTAGAATTGTTTATTCAAAAAAATTTTGTCGATGTTTTTAAAATAAATTTTTTGAATTCTAATTCTAAACATTTTTAAAGGCTCACATTATCAGAAGTTCAATTTTTAGATTTTTGCGAATTTTCTGAACTTCAAGATTCCAAGTAAAAAAATAAAAACTTGAAAATTTTAACGTGCCCCTATTTTTCTTGCCTCAGTCATCCAACAATCCTTTCAATCCCACAGGGCGCCGCCAATTATCTGAAATCAAAAGGCTATCAAAACTCCGAAGTATACGGTACAACTTGGGGAGATGCGGGAAGAACTCCAGTCGGATTAGTTGATATGAAATGTAGTTATGTCAAACAACTTCGAGCAATGATAATTGCAGTTCGACAATATACTGGAACTCAAGTTGATGTAATTGCTTATTCAATGGGTGCACCTTTGGCGAGAAAAGCTATTTTGGGTGGACAATGTGTTGATACTCGAGAGATATTGGGACCACCATTGACTGAATTGATTGATACATTTTTGTCGGTAGCTGGAGCGAATTATGGAAGTGCTTTATGTATTGTACCAGTGCCTGTTGGGACTTGTAATCGGTAAGGAAACACGGGAAGATTACTGTAGAGCTGGTCATAAATTTGGGAAACTTATGTACATTAGTTATTCAAGTGTTCGACTGTTTCAAAAATTCATGTTTAAATTGATTTTTACATGTGCAAAAATTTCATGTTTACTGTAAATTCAGAATTTTTCACTATTTTTAATCGGTTCCATAAGTTTTTTTTTTAAATACTATAGTTTTTTTGTAATTAGCTTGACTGTACAATTTAAAATTTTTAATTGATTGAAGAAAATTCAGAAACTTTTCACTGTTTCACATATTTCTCTTGTATTCAGTTTTTTTTTCAAAAAATTTTGAAATTATGTTTTCTTGGAGTTATATTGAATTTATCTGAAAATTTATTTTTCATGGGTTACTGTAACTTATCAACTTCTGAAAATTATTCCAAATTTTTTTAATGACTTGAAAAAAAAACAATATTTTGCAGCCGAACCGGCCTCCACTGTGATTCCTCGTTCCTCCAAGACATCAACAATCAACAAAAATACGAAGGTTCCAATGTTTTTTCGATTTTCTCCACTGCAGATGAGAAAATCGGATTCCGATCTTGTGGAAGACCAATTTCTCCAATTCGCGGAGGAACTGGATATGTGAAAAAAGATGGATTGAATCATGATCAATTGATGGATTCAACTCTTCCGCTTCAACGAAATTTTATCACTTGGCACAGTCCAAGAATTCCCAAACATTTTGTATAAACACATAAATTATTTCATTATCTCTTGGTTTTTTGACCTTTCTATTTTGCATGTGTAGCAGCCAGCACATGGAATAAAAAGGGAAAGGGATTGTCGACTGACCACACTGATTTTCTCTGCGTCTCTCACTCTCTCTTCTCTTTTCATGCTCCAAAGAAAAAAGACGCGGTGAAATAAAAACACACGCCGCATTTTTTATTCATTTTTCACGCGAGTTTTTTTCATTTCTTGAAAAAAGTTTGGCTGAAAATACTAGGCAATAATGATTATGACAAATGGTCCGGAATTTGAAAAAGTTCCGTCGTTTTCGGCGAACTCGGCAAATTCAGAAAAGCCTGAAGAATCGACAACTACAAAAAGTCCACTTTTGGAAGATGAAAGTATGAAAAATGTGGAGCCGGTGAAGAAGAATGAGAAGGCTGGAAGTATTGCATCGATTGAGGCACAATTACCAGAGGTTAGTTTATGGGAGGGAACAAATTAAGATCTTTATGTTAGGGTTGCTATGGGGTTTGAAAGAAAGAAGAAAATTGATTTTTAATTAGATCTAGCCATTTGAAAATTGTTTCTGAAGATTTTTATATTAAACTTGAAGTGGGAATTTTTTCTTCATCTCTAAAAGTTCCCACAAAAGATCCCTTAACGAAATACTTATTCAATAAAACAATTGACTCTGGTTTTTAAAGAAAACTCAAATTTCAGAAATTGTTCCCCATGTATTCCTTTAAAATTGCAGAACTTTGATGATCATAAATTGTTCCAAAAATTCCTACCAAAAATTAAATATCTATTTATTATCAGTAGTAAACCCAAAAAAAACACATATTGAGATACAAATAGTTCTGAGTTGATAAGAAGTCTCATCATTTTTTCTTATTTATTTTTTTTCTATTTTTCTCCAAAATTGATTTTCCGATTTTCTATTTTTTTCAAACAGGAAGGAAACATCTTATTTCTCACGCCACTTTCAAAAATAAATTAAATTTCTTTCACCACGTGGGATTTTATTGGATTCAAAGAACTGAAATTTTGTTATAAAAAGCGGCGATTTTGAAAGGATTTTTATTTTTGAAAATATCTTTGAAACGTGATTTTCTGAAAAAGTTTTTCGAGAGTTTTTTTATTTGCTGAAATCCTTCAATTTTGGGCAAAAAGTATGAAAAACCTAAAGTTCTTCCAAAATGTTTATTGGCCAATCGTAAACTATATCAATTTTGAATGATAGATTGATTGATTTTCTTGGAATCTTGATGATAAAATACTTATCAAGATGATTGATTATTGGATGTTCCAAATTTTGCAAAAGAGATTGATTTTTAGTTTTAGCATAGAACATTTTGTTGGGAACATTTAGAGTTTTTTGAAGTGTTGGAACATTGCAAATTGTTTTTTCTTGATAATTTCTCACAATGTTTTCTAGATTTATCTACTCAGCAATTTCTGTAAAATTGTCCTGCGCCAATTTTTCAGAACTTTTTTTTCGAAAAAAAATTCACTGTTTCACTATACATTTTCAGTCATATTAATTGTGAGATATCGATTGAGTCTCTTTTTCCATATAAAAAACAATTTCTAAAAATCTGGTTTCCAGACTAAAACGTGACTTTCACAAGTTCATTTTCTCGAAATTGCTTGAATCCTCCTCTAATCTCTGAAACTCTACTCCTCCTTCTTTTTTCTTTTTATTTTCCTCGTTCTTCTCCACATGATGCAAAAAAAAACGGACATAAAATTGCATCATGGACCCTTTTCCCCAGAAATTCCTTTTTTTCTATCTAGAAATATTTCAGATTATTTTCCGAATTTTACAACAAATCATTAGTTGAAAAATTGAAATTCGATGAAAAACTTCATTAGAAATTTGAGGAAAAATGATGCCACGTGGGTTTTCTCAAATATCATAGAGATATTTATTTGCTCAGGAATCTATTCAGCTCTAAAGTGTCACTTCCCACGTGGTTGGTTTCATATATTTTTTGTCTAACTGAACACTTTATCTCTGCCGTCTCTTCAATCACTCATACTCTCTCGCATGACCCGGCTCTTTTATTTTTTTTCTGCGCAGTTGTTGTTCTTTTAGTTCGATTTTTCTTCTTATTTTTTTTTGGTTGTCCCACACAAAAATGATGGATTTCTCTAAGTTTTTGAGTCACGTGGAATTTCTTGTTTTCTTTGAGTCTGAAAATTTTAAGTCAAAAAAATGTGCAATTTTTGTTTACTCTAGGGTCTTTTGACTTACGTCATGAATTTTTTTTTCTTTTCTTTGAAAAATGACAACTGTTAGAATAACTCAACTTTTTTCTTCATTTTTCCAATATTTTTTGAGTTAGTCTGACCACTTTTGAGGATTTAATTGCGGTTTTTGACCTTGAATTTTGCAACTTTTGAGTGGATGGGGTTCTATTTTGACACGAGAATTTTCACTGTTTCAAAATTTTTTTGAAAATTATTTGAGTTAAAAAAAAATAGAAAATTACTTTGAATCTTGAAGATATGAAAATCCATTCTGAATTTTCTAAGTTTGAAAAAAATAGTGCGTTGAAGAAAATTTGAGCATTTGGGGTTTCGATAAAAATATTTCTCAAAAATTGTTTTTTTTTTTGAAAAATTTCACTGTTTCAAAAATCTCGAAATATTTTATTATCCTGAATTTTTTTGTTCCATCACGGATCGAATGAATTTTCCGAATTAAAAATTTGCTGTTTCAAAAAGCATTGAAAACATTTTTGAGAAACTATCTACTTTTTTTGTAACTTTTCGATAGCTTCAAAAAATCTCAAACACTCACTGTTTCAAGAACACCTCAAAGTTTTTGATAGATATCTAAAATTGATGTAAACTTATAATTTCTGCTCTAAATTTTCAATGAAAAATTCCGGTACAAAAAGTAACTTTGAACTTACTGTTAGGTCAAAAATCTCTTTACCTTTCTCTCAACATTTTGTCTGTGCTTACCATGTGCCAATAAGCCGATTTTCCATCGGCTTAAAAACAATGATAGCACACAAATATACAAATACTTACTCTTCTCTTTGAACATTTTCATTTTATTCTATTTGTCTCTTTCTTTTTCTCGTTCTTCTTTGACCCGTTTAGGGGCCTGTTCAAATACGCATACATATTATAACAATAATAATCCGCTCTCTTTTATTTTGGTAACCAAACCATAAATTTGCATTTTATTCAGTTAAAATGGCGAAGGGTGGTGATGGTGATGTAAATGTGCCACTTCGAGCACCACAAGCACCAATTGAGGTATGCCCACGGAACCCCTGAATTTTTAAAAAGAAAATTCCTGAGCTGTAATTTTTCAGGGCAAACTTACTGGAAATCTTGCATTTTCGGCATTTGTTATTACTTTGGCATCTTTTCAATTCGGATATCATATTGGATGTGTAAATGCGCCTGGAGGTTTGATTACTGAATGGATCATTGGCTCGCATAAGAAATTGTTTGATAATAAATTGAGCAAAGAAAATGCGGATATTGCTTGGTCGGTTGCGGTTTCGGTGTTTGCAGTTGGTGGAATGATTGGTGGATTGGCATCAGGATGGTTAGCGGATAAGGTTGGTTTTTGGGAAATTGAAACTTGTGTGATGTGTATTTTTTTTTCAAAAATTGTTTTATTTTAGTTTTGAAACAGTTATTTAATTTTTGATTGAAGAGCTGTAGATATTGTTGAATAGGAAAATACAGCAACACACAGCGTGTAATTTACTACCCGAAAAATTTTGCGCATTTTTTGAGACCTGACACAATCTTAGGGGTGGGACTAAAAACGACGAAATTCAACGCACAATTGGAAGATTTAGAGAAAAATATTTTTGATCTACCAGAAAATTTCTTGAAAATTTTGAAGCCTAGAGGAGAACATGCACCAATAAAAATTCTTCACAATTTTGGATATAAAAAATTTGAAACAGTAGAATTTTTGATACACAGATAATTTGAAATTTCAGTTTTCGAAATAAAAAAGAAAAAGGTTCCTATTTTTTTTAGTATCATTGAAGATTTACTGTTTCAAAACTAATTTTAGAAAATGTTTGTAGGTTGGTCGTCGTGGTGCTCTTCTCTATAATAATATCATTGCTCTCGGAGCCGCTGCTCTTATGGGACTTGCAAAATATGTCGGTGTTTATCCAATGATAATTATTGGTCGTCTTTTAATTGGTCTTAATTGTGGTCTCGCATCTGGACTTGTTCCAATGTATCTCACTGAAATCTCGCCAATTAATTTGCGTGGAATGCTCGGTTCACTTTCCCAACTTCTTGTGACTATTTCAATCTTCGTTTCGCAAATTTTCGGACTTCCACATCTTTTGGGAACAAATGATAGATGGCCACTGATTTTTGCGTTCACTTTGGTGCCAGCTCTTTTGCAAATTGTTTTATTGCCAATGATCTCAGAATCACCAAAATATACAATGAATGTTAGAGGACAAAAAGAAGAGGCTGAAAATGCGTTGAGAAAAATTCGAGGAACTGATGATGTTAGTGCTGAAATTACAGCTATGGAAGAAGAAATTGCTATTGCAAGTGCACAAGAAAAACCAACAATGGGATCAATGTTCAAAGGATCACTTCGTTGGCCAATGTCAATTGCAATTATGATGATGTTAGCTCAACAATTATCAGGAATTAATGTTGCCATGTTTTATTCGACTGTTATTTTTAGAGGAGCTGGTTTAGTTGGAAATGAACCATTTTATGCGACAATTGGAATGGGAGCTGTAAATGTTATTATGACAATTATTAGTGTTTGGCTTGTTGATCATCCAAAATTCGGAAGAAGATCACTTTTGTTGATTGGTTTGGTTGGAATGTTTGTATCGACTTTGTTGTTGGTTGGAGCACTTACACTTCAAAATCAAGGACCTGATTATAAGGTGAGCGATATTTTGAAAACTGTTAGGACTCGAAACATTTTGAACTTTACTAATTGTTTTCCTTCTAATTTTGAAACAGCAAATTTTTTTGGGAAAAAATATTCTGGAAACTTATCGAGAAAATGCCTGTCAAATAGGTATTACTTACAATACCTATTTCCAGCTTCTAGACAAATTTTGAATTGAAAATTCATAGCTTTATTGTAATCAATACAACTAATTTTGTATTATTGTGAAATTTCAAAATTGTTTTCGAAGAAGTTTTGAAACAGTGACCTTTTTTTAAAAAAAATCACAGATGATACAAAAAGAGGCCCGAATTTTGGAAATAATTTTTGACACAAATTTTTTCAATTCTAAGAAAATTTTTTTATTAAAAAATATGATATAAACCGTTTTCCAACGATGAAAATTGAAAATTCACCTTTAAAATTCTATTATTTTTCAGTGGGCCAGTTATTCTGCCATCGGATTCGTCCTTCTTTTCGTCATCTCATTTGCCACTGGTCCAGGTGCAATTCCATGGTTCTTTGTTTCCGAAATTTTCGATTCATCTGCTCGTGGAAATGCGAATTCAATCGCTGTTATGGTAAATTGGGCTGCCAATCTTGTTGTCGGATTATCTTTCCTTCCAATCAATAATGTTTTGCATCAATTCTCGTTCTTCATTTTCTCGAGTTTCCTCGCATTTTTCATCTTCTACACTTGGAAATTTGTGCCAGAAACCAAGGGAAAATCGATTGAACAAATTCAACAAGAATTCGAGAAAAGAAGGTAGAATTCGAAATAGCATAAATATTTTGTTTATGAATTATTTTTATTTTTTTGAATTACTAATTACTAATTAATTAATAAAAATTGTTTTATTTTTTGAGATCATTTTAGACCGTTTTCAAATATAAATAGGAATATAGGAAAAAAATAAAAATTACTTGATAATAAGTCGAGTGTCCTTGTCAACTCCATATTTTTCCTTGTGAGCATCGAATAATTCAACCAATTTTTCCAAATATTTTTCATGTAATTCGTCAATTTCTTGTTTTGTTGGATTTTCGACTTTAGCAACTTCAATAGGAGCACCGACAACTGTATTTATGGGTCTTCGAAGAGGCAAATATCCATAAGAAAGTTGCAAAAATCCGCGGCCATTGATAATTGGCAAAGACATCCCCATAACTTTTCTCGCGTATTCTTGGAATGTTCGAAGTTTTGAGCCAACTGGATTGCTCATTTGATAGAACACATCGTTTTCGCCAAATGAATAAACTGGAACAAGATGGGAACCAGTGAGCAATGCTTCGCGAACAAATCCTTTTCGAGTTTTCAAGGTTAAAATATGTGTCCCAGGATGAGCATCAAGAGCTTCTGCAGCTCCACCAATAACCAAAGCAAGAGCTCTGCCTTTTTCTCCACATTTATCCAAAACATATTCGATTGATTCGCGCGAGCAATCAATGCATCCGAAAAGAAGCAACACTTCTCGACGAATTGCAATTTTGAAATTCATTGCCAAAGTGCAGAGATTGAATTTGATCTTGGGAAAAATATCATAAACTCCTGAACCATTTGTAGCGAAGTTAGCCCAAATTCCAAAGGAGATGATTCCATGGGGATGACAAGCCAAAATATAGTTGTTTTCTGGTGAAAGTTCGGCAGTTTTGTGAATTCGAGCAGGGAAATAATCGGCAAACCATTGATTCACTTTCCATCTGCAAAAAGAGGTTTCTAGGATACAAAAATTAGAGGTTTCTAGGAGAAATCGCGATGAAACTGTTGAGAAAAAAAATGAAAAGAAAAAGATTTTTATTTTTCAACAGTACTACTTTCAAGGCACATAATTTAATCTTGTGTATCTTGAAGTGAAAAAATTGGTCTCACAGCGAAAAACACGCGCGTTTCCAAATTTTCAAAAAATAAACTTTCATTTTTTTATTTTTTTTTATTTTTCATCACGAATCTAATGAAAAAAACAGGAAAATCGTAATATTTCAAATGCGGAAAAAGAAGTATTAAGATAAGAGATCGTTCTATGTACCCACCTTCTTGCCCATTCTATTTTATAACCACCTTGAATTGACGATTTTCGATCATAGAAGTACCAAGCGATATAAGCAAGTATAATGAGCCAGTTGAAAGTTGAGAGCTGCAAAACTATGATGCTAAGAGTACCACTTTAAAAAATTAATTTTTATTTCAAAACCCAAATTAACCTCTATAAAATCCCGTAGGTATGCATTCTCACTAGAAAACTCACCAAAAGTAGTGGAAAAATCACAATCAAATTTCCAAGCGGATAGGCCAAGAAGAAATGGGCAACCAATCCCAAATACGTTCTTTTCATATCCGGGGTCGCCGAGAAAAAGTTGATCCATTCGATGCCAAGAACATTTTTATTCGACATTTTTTTTGGAAAATTAGTCAGAATGATGTATCTTTTTTCGTATTTATACTATGATGATGATATTTTGGCGGGTCTGTCTCCGCCCATTTTTTGACCCACGCTAGATTGTAGTCAGGCTATATGTTACACCACTTTTTGTACTTATCAACAAGAAATGGGAAGAACATATGATTGCCAAAATGTAGTGCGTTTGTTTTATTGGACGATTTTTTGATCAATCAATTGAGCTTATTAAGATATTTAATTATTCATTTATACAGTATCACAGCTATTTACAATTAAACTATCCATATTTTTTCTATAACATTGGTGTCCTACAACCCATATTATCCATTGCACTATGAATCCGAAAATGCAATTTATTTTCAAGCGAATATTTTGTATAACTTCTTGCCTTCGCTAATAATTGTTGTGACTCATTTGTCAAACCTTCGGATATTCGAATCATTGCGATTTCATACGTGGCATTTGGCGGGAGATACGTGAAATCGGTGATTTTTGATTCTCTTTCGATCACTTTTAGAAGGTTGGCTTCTGCTTGCGCAAACATTCTTAGATGGCGAAGAGTTACACCGCGCAGGAAATAGTAGAGAGCTTCGTCGTTTATATCGCCTGAAAATTAATTAGTTTAAAATTTCGAAAAATTCCTCCTGTTCCACTAAATATGTGGCAAGAATCTTTGTTTTCTTTGTTTGTAGATTTCAAAAAATATTTTTGTTCAAAACTTTTTGGAAAAATTTAGACATTACAAAGAGAATGTTATTAATCGGAAAGTTTCACTGAAAATATCAAATACGAGCGAAACAGTGAATTTTTGAAGTGTTCAAAACTCACAAGAATCTCGTTTTTTCGCCCAAACTCGATCCAAATCTTCAATAATCGGGTTCAATAATCTGGGACTTTTCGATATTATATCAAAACCGTTCCAAAAATAAATGAATTCCTGAAAAATCCAAATTTCGTTAACATTCTATTTTATCTTAAAAAGAAACTCACATAATGCGCGAATATTAGTGATTTTGTGGCCACGAAACGTTTTGCTTTTCTACCACAATATTTCTCAACTGGTATCGATTTTCCGGCAATTTTCAATCGATATCCATCGACTTTTGAAGCGAGAACTGCGATTGTTTCATTTCTTTTTGATTCGCTGCAACTTTCATCAGCGGCGAAGAAAATGCAAAGCATATAAGTGTAAACACAGCGACTCCATTTCGATTCTTCCATTAGTTTTTTGGCATAATTTGCGGAATGAGACCAGCGGCGTTGGTAGGAATGCGCGAATCTGAACAATTTCAATTTTTATTCTCAATTTGATAATATCTTCGAAATGTTTTCATCAAAACTTACAATAACTCCCAAAAACAACCATGATGAAATTGTCGATAAACACTTTGTGATTCAATCGATTTATTGAAATAATGAATCGCGGAATCGATATCTCCAGAAACTAATAATAATCTAGCCTTCATGAAAAGCATTATTGCACCATTTGGCCACATTATCGATAAACCGGGTAGAATTTGATGACAGACTCGAAGATCTGGTTGACCGGTTCCCAAAACGAAACAGGCTGGAAATTAGGGTTGGATATATTTTTTGGGATCAGAAAATTAAATTATTTATTCCAATCTTTTCATCAGAATTTGGCAAATGAGTTTTCTGATTGAAAACTTACCCACTAAATGCCACGTTAACAAAATCATCTTGGCTAATGGTGAATAAAGTGTATGTGTCATAGCTGAGACATGATGTAAATCTCGCATTCCCGCTCCTTTATCCCCAGAAAATCCTACAACTTCTAATAATCGTAAAACTTTTGATGGAAGTGTTGATAACATCAGAGAAAATGTTCCGAGACCCATTCGAGTTCCACTTTCGAATTGTTCACGAACTTTTCGATTTCGGTCAACCCAGATTGAAGGCTCATTCATTAGACGTTCACAGTATCTGGAAACAGTGATTTTGAGTGAAAATTTTGAAAATTGATACGACAAAAATAGTGTTCTTTGAAAAAATGAGAACTGTCACAAAAATATTCAGATGGTCTTTATAAGTTTTTTCAGATAGATTTTGGTTAATTATAGTTTGATCTGAAAAAAGTCTTCAAAGTTCGGGAATAAATTTCGAAAACATTTCATCGTATTTTTGCACATTTAAACTTTTAAAAATCTTTTATTTCTGTATTTTTAATAAAATCCGAAACGGAGTTTTTCTCGTCAAAATTACGTTTCAAAACTTATTTTAGAAATCATGAATTTATCTTTCTTATTTTAATTAAGTTCAGCTTTTTATATCATCCCGAAAAAACTCACTTATAAGTTTGATAACAAGTTCTGATACTCAATGCGCCTTTGATGAAACTCGCAAAATTATCATCGTGAAAAAATGTGAGAATTGCCCGAATTAGTAGAATTTGTGCATAACACAGTTCACCGTGCAACTCTTCATCCGTCATTTTTTTGCCTTTTGCACTTGCACCAAAAAGTGATTCACTAATTGTTCGTTTTTGTCGAAATCTATCGATTACTTCGCATGATACTTTACACGCGTCTGCTGCTTTTTCCATATCTTTCTGGAAAAAATATTTCTTGGTTGAAATTGTTGTTCTCATATAAATTTTGAACTGTTTTAGAAATACTATTATTTTGTCTAGTATTTATAAGCTATATTTAAAAATTCCAAGATCTAAAAATTTACTGTTTCAGAAAAAATATGATTTTCAAATGTCCGTGAAAAAAAATCGCACTGTTTCAAAACTCACCTTATCAACGGTCATAACAGCTTTTATAAATAGAATACAAGTATATCCCATTGAATGATACATAGATTTATCGTATCTAAAAATAAATCCAAAATTAAATTTTGAGCAAAATTTCAACCTACAATTCCGCCATTCTCTCTTCCGCTAACTCAAATTTATTATTCATAAATAAATTTAAAGTTATCTGAGTTTCCGCTATTGTATCTAATAATTCCAAAGAATTGCTACTGAAAAATTAATTATTTAATTAATTAATTAGCTAATTATGTTCATTAAATGCTTACTAAGTAACATGATCATATGCATCCATATATTCTGCATCTGAATCCACAGTAATTCTAGAAAGCGATCTGGGTCTTTCAAAATCACCCATTATCTGGAAAAAAACGAGTTTTTTGAATTTGTAGGTAGGAGAAAATAAAATAGAATACAAAAATGACAATTTTCTGATAAGAAACTTTTTTCCATGTGCCAGAAAAAAACGTGACGAAATTTTTTCGAAATTTATTTCATTTTATTTTCATTTCGAAAAAGATTGAGGTCAAGTATAATTACTCAGCGCTGTGTTTTCTTTTCGTAATAAAAAAAAAATGAAAAACCAAAAAATAATCGAATAGTAAAGCAGATTTTTTATCGTTGCTATAGTGATTGAGCTTTGTTGGCTGATAATAATATGTTTTATTTCTTAGTAAAACCCGACACATAATTTTTGCAATAGGAAACATCAAGAGATCAATTATTAATTAATTAGTTAGTTAATTAGACAAATGTTGTTAGTCTTTCTGAATTTGTAGTTGATTTTGAAGTTGCAACCGAAACTGGAGTTTGTGGATTATGTCTTCTTGGAGAATGCAAATATTCCTCGAAAATTGGCTCATTTCTTCGCTGCGGCAAAACAATGCGATTTGGGTCTTGACGAGAAAAATTAAGTTTTGGAATTTCTGGCGGAATTTGATGAACTGGTGGAAGAGCTTCGTCGAGACCAGAAATGTTGGATTCTAGAGTTGATGTTTGAGTTCGAGGATTGAGGGAATCGCCGGTGATTCGGAAACGGGCCGGTGGAGAGGAACGACTGAAAATATAAAGAATTTGAAATTTAGTTTGAAAAATATTTATCTTTGACAGTAAATTAGTAAATTCTGAAATTTCTAATTTCTAGTTTTGATAAAATTATCGTATCATTGAGAAATTGTATTTTCACAAAAACAATCATTTGATTCTCAAGTTTTGTAAAATCAATTTTCCAAAAATTACTTCGGACATTTTTTTTATTTTTCTATAATTTTATGTCCTTCTACAAACTTCTTACAAAATCCACTTGTTCCAAAAGTTCACGGGAAACTCCGGTTCTATCAGTTCTTTTTTTCATTTTCATTTTTGATATGAACAATGGGCGTTTATGACATATTATACGTGTGATAAAGAACATTTCGGAAAATTTGTTGATAATTTACATGACATTTTTTGATCAGCGGGCAATAATTGTGTGTTTCGAAAAAATTGAGAACAGGTGAAATTCAAAAATTAATGAAAAATTATGGATTTTTTCAGAAACTAAAATTTCAAAAATGTTTCATGAGGAATCTAGGAATTTGTAAAACTCACTTTCTGAAACAATGCACATATGGATGATAAATAATAGTAGTTAGTGGAAAAGCGATAAAATATAATATGACAACAGCATCAAAAACATATAACAAAATTGTTGAAACAATATCACCCAAAGAATCTTGAATTGCAACCATGTAGAATATTATTGCACAATTTATTAGGGAGCAAATTGCATAACAGACTGCAAAACTATGATTTAGTGCTATGGAAAAAAAAACACTGGTTTTAGTTTTTCGAGAAAAAAATTATCAAATTTTTGTGAAAGTCGCTTTTTTTAAACTCACGAAAAACTCGATACATAGTTTTTGAGATCATAGTTCTAACATATAATGCGAATTCTTCCCGATGAGCAGCTTGTCGACTTTCTCTTGGATTTTCTTTGGATTCGGTCCAATTTTCAGAAATTGTTAGACCAAAAAAGCAAAGTAGTTGAAAAATTGAGACACCAATGAAAGCGCATATTGAAATGCCGTAGTGGAAACCTTCTTTGCCTACAAATTTGAATGAATTTGAGATATTCTGGGAATATATGAAAATTGATCACAAATTACAGTCATTTTTTGTTGCATCTTTCAAAATTTTTCTGGATTTTATATTAGTCGGAAAAATGAAATTAAAGTTTTGCGACTTTTTGAAACAGTGCATTTTTTTTATTTGGAAATATTTTTAAAGTTTGTTTTTAGATATAGGAAACTATTAAATTTCCGAACCCAATAATCGTGAATTTTTGAAAGAGTGATTTGCCGGGTTTTTTAATATCTGGATGTGATTTATTTTTGAGTGCCCCAGAAAAAGAATATCCCATAAAACTAAAAAATATAGTTTCTCTGATATTTTTTTTTAGAAAATTCATTATCTAGAAGTTCATATTTATTCCGAATGAGCGTTTCGTTAAAATAAATAATCTTTGAATAATTTTTTGAATTTCTCAAATCTTTGAAACAGTGAATTTTTGTTTTCGAAAATTTGCAGAAATTGGTTTGAAAATATGTATAATTGAGGATTTTTTTAAAGTCGAATAAGAAGCAAAGGAACATAACTTATTCGAAAGAAGCTAGCATAAATAAAAAATAATGATTTCCCCAACTTTCAAAACAGTGAATTTTTTCCCCCGAAATTCCCCCAAAAACTCACCAATCTTCCTGTTACTTTTTCCTTCACAAGGTGGATGAAAAACAATATGTTCAGGAATAATCAATGAAACTAATCTGAAATACATATATTCAGCAAATCCAGCCAAATAAGCTATAATAACAATTGAATATGCGATTTTATAATAATTTCGATTTAGAGCATTCTCGATTTGTTGAACTGATTGACTCCAATTTGAACGATGGCTTTCGGAAGAGGCTTCGGAAGATCTGAAAAATTAAAGATTGATTGAAGATTCAAGGGATTCAAAAAGATAAAACTTACTGATCTGAACTTCTTTGTTGTTTTGTTTCATCGACGATCGAAACACAATCGATGGAGTTTCGATAAATTTGGCGATTTGGGCGAGGTGGAGCTGATGGAGTTGAAGGCTACAAATATAATTAGGTTTTGAAGTAGACGCTGTCGATAAATTAAAACAAAAACTCCTATGGAAATATATATTTTCTGCTTGAAACAGTGAAATTGCACATGAAAAAAATGTTATTTGGAAACTTTGAGGACACAATTTCGAAGTTCAACGCAAACATGAGAGATTTAGTGAAAACAATTTTTGATCCACCAGAAATTTTTTTGAAAAGTTTGAGATCTAGCAATTTGGAGTGTTAAAATATGAAGTATGAATTTGTTCAGAATCTCATACATTTCCTGAAACAGCAATGTTTTGCCTCAAAAATTACGGCTCACCGACTCGTCTTCTTTAATCCTCTGCAATTGTGCCGAACCACCGCCTTGCAGTCGATTCTGCACATTTTCCGAAAAATCCTTCAAACCTTTCCGCGTTCTTTTCGAAATCGACGATTGCAAACTCGAAGTTGGCCGTTCCTCAGAAAATTGTGGATGACTTTGACTTTGATCATCATCAGAAGTTTCTTCTGGTAACATTTTCTGCAAAAAATAAATTTGTGATTTTTTTGGAGGAAAATTGTATAATAATCGCCATGGTAACGTTTTTGTTCGGGGGAAGTTCAATTTGAGCGGATTAATTTTTTTTTCATTTCAAAAAGTCAAATAAACCAACTTACCAAATAATAACTTTTATACCTCATAGCTAAAAATAAAAATAAATAAAATTTCCTCACAAAAACTAAAATTTCCTCACAAAAACTATATATTTTTCTTATTTACTCATTTTATTTTATGGCTCTGGCGCTTATTTTAAGTTTCAACAGAAAAATTTTATTTTGATAAGATAAGCACAAAATACTATTTCTTTTTTTTTTGAAGAAAAAAAGTTTGAAAAAAATACGAATCCGGAAAACAACATGAAAAACATGAAAAACAAACAGTTGAAAATTGTACAGTTTTGGTTGAGAAGAAAACGAGAGAGTGTGGAGAGATTAGAGAGTTGAGAGAGAAAAAAGACAAATTATTATGCGCGCATCGATTGAAAGAAAATAGAACGAAATGGAGGAAAATTGAAGAAAAACAAGGTCAAAAAGTGCAGTACAGTAAAATGGACACTTGTTCCCGCAATTTTGAAAAAAGCCCTATGTTTGTTTTAAATGGTGAATTTTTGTTAGTAATCGGGTTAGACACCGATTTTTTAGAATTGTGACGAACTTTTGTTATGAGATGAAAATGAAATTTGAAAAATATGACGTTTGAAAATATTCTAGAACTACAGTAGTCATGAAGATTTGCATTTTTTGTGTAAATTCAATTCACAGCTCGAATATTTTTCAAGATTGATAAAAAAGTTTCAGGAGTTTTAGAAACAGTGATTTTTCAACAGATAAAACATTTTCATTCAAATTCTCAGATTACACAAGATTCGAAATACGGTAACCCGGGAAAAACCTAATCCCAACTTTTGAAAAAAAAAACATATTTATTTTATTTCGATTCGGGAATTTTTTCGTTAGTAATCTGGTTATAAGAGGATTTTTTTTGAATTGTGACGAACTATTTTGTCAGGCAAAAAAACATAAAAATAAAAATATGACGTTCGAAAATACTTGAAACTGGTCCAGAAAAATTGTATTTTGTATGAACTTTTCCAGAGAGAATTTTGGATTGTTTCTTAATAATAGTTAGCATTTTGAGGATATGAAAATTTCAAATTCTCAGATATTTTCCAAAAATATATAGATTTTGGAAACAGTGAATAAACAAAATATCTAACATAAGGGTCTAATTTGTTAATGAAACTTCACTCGAAGACTGAAAAATTACAAAAACAAAAGCAAAAAATCCGGGCTTCATTTTTTGGAGCTGAACTTTGTTAGTGATCTGATCTCGTGAGAAAAAAATAATTAGATTTTTCAGCTGGTGTTTTCTGAGAACGTATTTCTATATTTTTCTCAGAAAAAAACACCAGGGAAAACTTATGCGTTTCGAAATAAAAATGAAAATTCGTGACCAGAAAATTGATCGGCTCAAAAATGAGTCATTGAAAAACTTTTGAAACAGTGAATTTTTGATAACATCACTGACCAATAAAAATGCAAATTTTATGAAACAATGATTTTTTGGAAACCTAAAGTTGAGAAATTTTCCAACGAAAACTAAAAATATTTTAAAACAAATAAAAATGAAAAGTGCATGATCGACTCGAAAAAATGGGCAAAAAAAACATAACCAATCAAAAATGAGTCATTTTTGTGATGTTGGTCACACAAAAAAATTGGTTTTTTTTATTCGAAATAATGCGTTTTGAACAGAACAGGAACATTTTTTGATAAAATTGGAATGAGTCAAAACATTCTTATCTTTCTCAATCAAAAAAAGAACGTAGAGAATTCTAGAAAAATGTGGTTTTCCCACCCAAGTAGTGGAAAAAATCTCGTGATTTTTTTTCGTGAAAACTTGAAAGGTAACGGGGAGAAATTATATGAACTTTAATTTTTTGTTTTGAAAAATTTGAAACATTAGATTTGTGAAGCTACTGAAATTGTTCAGTTTGAAAAATTGAATTATTTTTTAAAACAGTGTTTTTTTTTCATAATGTTTCCTTTGGAAGAAAGAAACAGTAATATTTTTGAGATACATGTTTTGATATAATTTTGTCCAGTTTTGAAGAACAAAAATTCATTCTTCCTAAAGACTGTGAAATTTTAACAACAAAAAATTTAAAACAACAAAATAAAAAATTATATTTTTCTGTTTTTCTCAATTTTTTATTGACACGCACTTTCAGAAAACCTCACATAAATATTGACCTTCCAACAAAAAACCATCAAAATTTTCAATTTTAAAATGTCAATTTTCCTTACCATAGTTGTCATTTGAATCGAATCCATTGAAAATATTTTAGGTAACTAAAAAATAAAAATATTCAAAATCAGAAGAAGGTGAGAAAGGCCTAGCTTTTCTCTCTGATCTGCTTATTTTGGGCGGAGTTTTTTTCGATTATAAATACGTATATTTTTTCATGAAAAAAAAACACATTCTAATGTTTATTTGTATAATAAATAGAATTATTGGAAAAAAGTTATCGATTTTTTACTAAAATCAAAATATATGTGTAATTGGATTTCAACGAAAAGAAAATTTACGAAATAAAAATTCCGTTACCTAAAAAATGAGAAAAAAGTTGCCATGGTAACATTTTTTACGAGTTGGAAAAACGGAAAATAATAAAGTTTTAAAAAACTATAAAATATGCTGGAAGAGCAAATCTGAGAATTGAAGTGACTTCAAAATTCCGATTCTTATTTTTTTCAGCCATAAAAATGTAAAAATAAAAATCGGAGTTTTGAAATAACTCCAAATTTCAGATTTGCTCAGCCAGCTTTATTTATGGCTAAAAAAATGAGCTCGCTCAAGAAATCAGAAATTCGGAGGCACTCCAAAAATATGATTGCTCATTTTCAGCCATCAATGTATGTATGAAAGAAATCGAAAAAGGCGGCAGCTGCAGCTTGTCAAATGGTCTTGGAAGACCACATGGTCAATTTCTTCTGTGACACCAGTTTTGCTACCAAGCAATAAAAAACGAAATGTGTTGTTCCGGGACCTTCCGAACAAAACCGACGGGCGCGCCCACTCGACTGAGCTACCACACATTTTATGGAAGCGGGTGCGATTGCCAAGATATACATATTTTATGTTTTCTGCGTTGTAGAAAACAGATGATGGCTTTGAACTTGATAACAAATGTCTTGAAAATAGTTTGTTTCCGTATTCTGAAACTTTTCTGAGAAAAGAAGACAATAATTGAACGATTTTTTCAAATGTATAAGTTTTATTAGCTGTATGAATATTGAAATAAATATGTAATAATCTACTATATACTAATTTTTTGATTAAAATCCATTTGAGATTGGAACTTGAAGTTGAAATAAGCCGTAGTCGTTGTAGTGATTGAATCTGTAAAAATTAATTTGTTCTGGAGCCGATGAACAAATATCCCCTCACTACGCAAAAAATTTTTGGCGCCGTGGATTTCATAAAATTTTTGAAAAAATATTGGCGCCGTGCATATGTTAATCCCTGGGCGTGGTATGTTTCAAAATCGCATTTATTTTCTTCGGATTCTTTTTTGACTTAATTGAAATAATGAATAGTTAACTATCTGTAAAAATGTTTTGTGAAACATATGTATATTGTGTTATTGTGCACTTTCAAAAATTGTTGACTTACTTCCAAATATTTTTCGAACTTTTTTGTAAAATCCTTTTCTGTGATTCGTTGATTCTGTTTTATGCGAAGAATTTTCGAGTAAAAATCGAGAAATTCAATCTGAAAATTGACAAAAACAATAGAAGTTTTAAAAATAATTACAAAAACTAACTCGTTGGGATAAATTTCCTCGCCTTGCAGTGTTGACGATGTTTTCTAGTCGCAAATTCATGTTTAATTTTTAATATATCAAATATCAAGTAGTCAATAGAAATTGATTTTTATTACAAATCGTTTCTTTTTATAGAAACAAATATAGGTTACCAGGTCACGCAAAAATAAAGGAGAATAAGATTTTTCCGACATTCTCAAACAAAAGAATCACACGTGGAAATGAAAATTACTTTTCAAACAACTCTTGAAATACTAAACGGATTCATCGAAAAAGACGCGCCAGCAATATTTGGACTAACTTTTTTGAAAAAACAAACAACTAGAAAATATTCTCGATATCTTGGATTCAAATACATCAAAACAAGAGTTGACCAAAAACCATGAAGTGTAATTAAACTAATTGCAATATTATTGAAGACTGAAAAATTAACATTTTTAATAGATCGTGTAACTTTCGAGGTGAAAATCTTACATTGATTATAATATTCAGTCCAAATAGAATAAAAACAATAAGACATTGGAAGAACTACAGCTCCAAGAGGAACTGAGATTTGCCAAATTAAGTCCCAAAAAAACTTTTTTTGCAACATTTTTGTGGTTATTGACATCATCAACTTATTTAATCCAATTAGATAATAAATGCAATGAATACTCATTGAAATACATTGAAAAGCAATTAGAAATAAATACATTGCGGATGATAATGTTACTGTAGAAATATCAGATGAGAAAACAAAAACTGAGTTGAGATAATAATCCGAATTATTTCCACCAATGACCAAATTATTTCCACCTCGTTTTTTAAGCAATTTTTGAAACAGCAAAATATTTTCATACAAAATTCTGGATATTTAATGCCTCATGAGTTTCCATTTAACTTTGGTCGACAAACTGAATTTTAAAATTCAAATAATATTCGTAAATCATCTACCTTTTTAATAATCACAAATAGAAAAAAATTTTGATTTACTTTATACAAAATTTTGAACTAATAAAAATTAGTGGAAATAATTTTCGAGTTTGATCTACACCCCAAATGAGGAAAACTTATCACAGGTTTAATAAGCCTAAACATTCAGGCTTGGGCTTAATGAGCCAGTAGAAGTAGACATGAGAAAAGACTGAACTATTTTTTGTGCAAATCTCAAAGAAAAATCTATTCATTTGCGAAAAAACAAGAAAAAAAGTGTTTTTTAAACAATATTTTTACCAAAATCACAAATTGTCACGAATAACATGCAAGCGTGACCAGACCCACACTTATTTCAAGGAAGCAGAAAGTGTGAAAAAATACATGCTTTTGAAAATTTCATTTCTTGTTTTTTTTTTCGTTTTTTTTCTTGAAATGCGTGTTGGTCTCGTCACGATTGACATTTATTTCGTGCATTTTCGTGAATAGATCGCGCGAAAAAGCATGTAAAAAAATGCATTTTTTCTGTTTTTCCGCAAATGACTAGATGCAAAACCCATCCAAAATACGTTTCAATTTTTTTTCAAAAGAATTAAAAACCGGATAAACTGATAGATCCGTTATCTGAGAACAAAAACGAAATATTTTCAAAATCCTGCTAATTGTAACACAACGATTTTTTTTGTTGTTATTTTGCAGTGAAACTGACAATCGAAATAAAATTCACATTCTCGTCTGCCAACAATATGTATAAATATTTAATTATTTATCAAACAACTCTTGAAATACTAAACGGATTCATCGAAAAAGACGCGCCACTTCCAGCAATATTTGGACTAACTTTTTTGAAAAAACAAACAACTAGAAAATATTCTCGATATCTTGGATTCAAATACATCAAAACAAGAGTTGACCAAAAACCATGAAGTGTAATTAAACTAATTGCAATATTATTGAAGACTGAAAAATTAACATTTTTAATAGATCGTGTAACTTTCGAGGTGAAAATCTTACATTGATTATAATATTCAGTCCAAATAGAATAAAAACAATAAGACATTGGAAGAACTACAGCTCCAAGAGGAACTGAGATTTGCCAAATTAAGTCCAAAAAAAACTTTTTTTGCAACATTTTTGTGGTTTTTGACATCATCAACTTATTTAATCCAATTAGATAATAAATGCAATGAATACTCATTGAAATACATTGAAAAGCAATTAGAAATAAATACATTGCGGATGATAATGTTACTGTAGAAATATCAGATGAGAAAACGAAGACCGAGTTGAGATAATAATCTGGGTGTGGGCAGGGAAGAATCTGAAAAATGAGAGGGATTTGGGCGGAGGTACTGTAACAAAACAACTTATTCCAATATCGAAGTGAAATTCACTTTTAAATTTCATGACAAATGACAATATCAAAGTGGAAACTTAAGCTAATTAATCTTGATTTTTTGAAACACTGAATTTTAAAAAAACATCCTTACCTTCAAAAACTCCATTTTCACCACAGAAGCCTCCGGAATTTGAAAATAAAAAGGCAACAAAAACAAAATGCTATAAATCCCATTTGCACCATAAAAACAATATCTCATCCAATTTTTCTCGATTTTCAATCTTCCACGAACCAAAGTATTATGGCGATTCTCAAAACACATCAAAATTGAAGTCGCCAATCCACCAATCGACAGTTGTCCAAAGAATGTTTGAATTGCGGCGGGAATTTCGAGCATCTCAAAAATTCCTGTTGGAATTCCAACAAAAACTGGGAAAAACATGTAGGGATTTATGAAGATGCCGATGAGAATGTCTGTTGTCATTGTCCTGCAAACCATATGTGTTAGATCATATGATTTTTCGACTTATTCTAGTACAATTTAGCCTACAGTACTTCCAATTCGTATTTAAAACAACCCACCAAAAATGCAAATTCAGCATGTAAAACCTGGCGATTCGAAATTTCTTCAACGTTTTTTTCCAAATACAAATCGCTCCAAATAAGTTGAGAGGAAATGTGAAAGTGAAAAATAAATGTGTCAAAAGTTTTTGGAATTGCCACGTGTCAAGCAAATTGAACTGAGAAGAACAATTATTTGATGAGTTCATTTTTTTTAATGAAAAGAAAAAAGTTTAGCAAATCAGTGAGCTGATTTCTAATTTATACTAATTTTTTTAGAATCTTCGCTAGGGGGAAGAAGGAAAAGAAAAAAACTTGTGATGATGAAAATTTCGATCACGATGTTTCGCCTACGAGTTTTGTGATCTAAGATTTAGACTTACTGTACTATTCGGAAGAATTTTCTAGAAATTAGAAGTACAAAAACCTAAAAAACCAACAACTTCCTGGTAGATCAGATTTTCCCGCCAAATCTACAGTAACTTCCTATCAAGCAAATGTTTGAAATAAAAAATTTAAGAAATCCTAGTTTTTGAGCTACAATAAAACAATTAAAAAATAACTACAATATGTCTAATCTTTTGATCTTCTAATATTTGAAAGCTAATATTCTAGTGGTGACGTCTTTTTATCAAATTTTCAAATCAGCAAAAATCGTTCACGCGAAGAATTCTGTTTTTCTGATAATTTATTTCCAAACGTGACCCATTTTCCCCAGCCTCAACAAAAAAAATCGAAAAATCGTCATAAATGCTCTCAATTTTGGTTTATTTACTAGTTTGAATCGGTGAGCCCAGAATTCCAGAGAATTTCAAAAAAAAACTGAAAATTGAATTTCAGATTTGAAATGACAGTTCAATGTGTCGTTCGTGAAAATGCGCAAAGCGGCGAATATCAGCTCATTTTGCGAAATACCTCGATTTATGATTTGGCTGTGAAGGTATACTGTAGATTTAGGAGATGAACTACTGTAGTAGATCAGGATTGATGTGGATGAAATGTTAGAGAAAAGGGAAAAGGATAATGAGTACTGTAGCAGTTTTCTTCTTTGAAAATTTGAATAGATGAGATCTGATTTCTTGATTACTGTAGTCTTTTTGGAACACTGTATTTCAAATCCAAAGGAATTTGGAAAAGGATGATGTAGCCAAATCTGTATTTGTTATTCTAGAGACTAATGTAGCTTCACAGTTCAAGAAATACGGGGTATGGTATTGATCTCGACCGAAAGTCCATACAGTACCTCAATCTAATAAATGTTTTTTTTCCAGATTGTGAATCATAAATCAGATGTTCACTTGGAAAGACAAGAGTAAGTCTAACTCCCCAATCCCTCTTTTCAAAAAATCATCTCAAATTTTAAGCGCCCTGGTCTTGTCCAAAAAGTACACAATAATCAATATCATCTCAACACCAAAACGCGACAAAATGTCATTGAAAAAAGATTTCGACATCTACGCTCGCGCTATTTATCCATTTAATCGCAAAAATATTCGACAATGGATTGATGGAGAAAGTTCGATTCCGGATAAGGAACATCAAAGGGTGACAAGTTTGAGATTTGGTGTAGCTGATGGGGAATATAGTGCCAAAAAGGTGAGGGTCATGATAATAATAGGGAACCCAATTAATGTTATTCTTCCAGATAATTATTGATCTTCCTGGAAAAGCCAATATGATTGAACCCACTGGATATGCTATTAAGATGAAAAATTCGCGCCAAATTTTGAGAATCTTCATGGAGCATGGTATTGTTTTCCTCTACTTTATTAGATTCAGCAATTTAAACGATATTTAGACACTCGTTTTGCAAATCAAATTGAAGATGATCGACTTGCAATCGCTCAAAAAAGTTGCAAATCGAATTCTCGCTCAAAACTCGAAAAATCTGGAAAGTCCTCGTCTTCCAAAAAACGCAGAGAGAAGCGTCAGAAAACCAACGAATCTTGTTTCCTTTTGCCATTCTTCCAATCGGTTTGTCAATATCAGGAATAGATCGTGTGCCTTCTTTCATGAAGTTTTTGAAAATAAAGCGACAATATTTTTGAAAGCTCCGCCCATTTTACACAGAAAATATGACCCGCGGCAAAACTTATTTATTGTTAGTTATACAATTTTATGAATAGAAAAGTGTTGGATTAAGTAGAATTTTCTTTTAATTTTTCTTACAGTTAGTTAACTTTTAAATTTTGATACGTGACCTATGACGTGGCAATTAGAAATATTCATTTCTAAACCTACATTTTTTATCAAAAATATTCATTTGTAAAGTCAAACTAGAAATATACAAAATTTGATTATCAAAAAAGGATGATATCCAATAGAATAATCTTTGTTCGATAGAAGTTGAAGAGCTAGTTGAAAACAAATCGGAATGTGGAATATTTAAAAAAAACTATAAAAACAATAGAAAAAAGAAAACAAACATTTTAAGGGAATTTCCGCTTTTTCCACAAGTCCTGGCTTGTGAGTAACTGAGAGTGCATATCTCGTATCAAATTATAAATTATATCCCAAACTTACCGGATATAATTTAACACAAATCACTGTTCTTTCACCCAAAACCAAACCCAAAACCCATTAAACTGACCTAACATGATAATAACCAACTCCTCAAATTCCATTCGTTTTCATCATTGAAATTGGAGTGGGAAATGAACGTCGGCTCACTCAATTCCGAATTCTCAAGCAACCTGGAATTTCTCTGGGTCATAGAAAGAAAATTAAACTCCCTCTTACCTTTTATTGAAAGCTCTCATTGAAGACAGGCCAAACAAAAAAATAAATATTTCAAGAAATGAATGTCGAACCTGTAAAAAAGAGATTTAGTGTGAGTTTTTTTCGAACATTTATACTTAAAATAAAATAACGTGAACACTTTTTTCGACAAAATAAAAATTTCGTGTGGGCCAATCGATATAAAACGAAAAATTGTTGGAATCCCGCGTGATCTACACTATTCACATTTGCGGGTCTAGGATTTATGAATTTAAAAATCAGGTTTCAGATTGATTTTTGAGAAGTTTGGAAATTTCATTGTGGAAAAAAATAAAACTCATTCCTAATTAGCTAAAAATCAAAGACAACGTTTCAGTTCTGAACAAAAATAACACAGGTTGTTGGAATCTCTATGTATTTAAAAAAACTAACAACACTCCGCACGCGCGTTGTTTAGCTGTGTTTTTTCATTTCAAAAAAACCTCGCGACAATTTTTTTGTTTGTTTGTTTGCCCCACATTTTTGGCAATAATCACCTAATTTCTATGTTTTTTTCCAGGTTGATAAGATCACAAAATGGACCCAAACTCGGTGAAACCGCAAATAACTCGTCTGCAAAAGTTTCGCGAATCAATTCTTCAACAAATTCCCAGCATAGAATGCCCAAGAAATTTTCGAAAAGTTGTCTACGAAGACGAAAGTTTGAACAAATTGGATATTACAACAGAAATCCATTCGGATCATGAAATGGTTGGCGGATGCTTGAGAATTCTTTCCTCAATGCTTCACAGAGGACATATATTTGTTCGAAGAGCCAATGAGATTCATTTTCCGAAATTGTTGATGTACGCGCACACTGGTAGGAATTTCCCATGTGTTCTCATTCAATAATACTTGATTTTCAGCATCGGGTGCTGTTGGCAATCTTGAACTTTGTCTAGATATTGCTGTTTCATCATGCGAAATTTTCATAAATATTTTGGATTTTCATCAAGAAATATTTACGCTATTTCGAAATATTGTTGTTCAAATGTATACTTTCAGAAATCAAAGGTATGTTCTTTTTACAAATTCAGTAAGTTTAGAGCCGCTTTTCTGATATGACAAACTTGGACAAATTCGGACGTTTTACTCTTATCTTCACAATCATTTAAACAAATTTTGCAGTGTCGAAGAATTTCCAATCGGCCAAACCATTCAATTCAAACGTGTTTGGCGATGTCTCGGAGATCTCCTAGGAATTGTTATTCAACTTGATGAAATAGTTCTAGCAAAACCGATTATTCGACAAAATCATCAGATTATGTTGCGAGATATTGAGGAAAGAATTGAGAGAATGGCGGGAAATGATAATGTAAAACTTGAGAGTTTGCAAGCATTGCAAGAGACTTATATGAAATTGAAATTGGCTGAGAGTTATTGTTTGAGTGGAAATGCGTTTAGGGTGAGAATTTGGGATATAAAAATATTTTGAAGAATTTCAAATTCTAGGAATTCTATGAAGAATCACTTGGAGAACTTGATACAAGCATTGGATTTGCGAAAGAAATGCATTTGTCAATTCATTTGATGTATCTGAAATGGGAAAAAGCATCAATTGATAATCGACCAGATCGAAGACAATTTATGGCAATTTTAGGATTATCCGTTTATTATCATCATCATTTTGCAAATTTCGCAAATAAGGAACTGATTAGAAAAGTTTTGGGAGGACAGAGAAAACTTGGAGCATTTTCACTTTTTGGAGATCTTCGCTTCTTTCCTGGCGCTTTTCTTTTGCGAGAAATCGCTGATCATTCAGTTTTTGATAAAAAAGATATTGCGGCGGTTGAAAAAACACGAGAAGATTTGAATATTCCCAATATTTTTGATGCGATTCAAAATGATATTATTGGACGAATTCGAGAAGTTGAGAATTGGGAAGAGGAAGTTGAACGAAAAATTGAGGAACGAATGAATAATCGGGGAAATATTGCTCAGATTTGTTTGGATTTGGGAGAGTTGTTTTTGAAGGGTGTTAGTATTGCGGATTTGTTGCAAGGACAAAGTAAGATACTTTTGTCGAAATTTGTTGGAGTTGGTGGGAATTTGGAGAGTATGTTATTGACAAGAGATCAGGCTTTTCGATTGTTGGATGGATTGGAAACAATTAAGGTGAGAGAGAGAGAGTTCGGGGTATATATAAAAAAAGGTATTTTCTGAATTTTCCACAGAATCAATATTTTTTGAAACAGTACTTTTTTTCAGTCAATCTCATTTGTTTTCCAAAAACATTGGCGTGTTTTCTCGGAATCTGCAATGTTGGCAGTTCAACAATGGAAATGTCACGCTATAAATTTCATCGAAAAAGCCAAAGTTGTATTGAAAGCCTCACAACTTCCACCCGGTGAAATTGAATGTAAAAATGCATCACTTTCAGTGGCTAGGGACATGTTATTTGCGACGCCAAATAAACAAAGAATGTTGATTTGTGCGACGGCTTTGGATATTGGAGATATTGAGGTGAGTTGCGTCTTTTGTCGGTTGGTCTAACAAAAAAGAAGCCTGGGAATACGAGCAGAAAAAAAACGTTTTTTTTTGTTTTCTGAGAGGTTTTTTTTGTTGAAGCTCTGAATTTTTTAAAAGAAAAAATTGAAACATATTTTTTGGATTATCATTTTCAAAATAAAAAGGTTAAATTTTCAAATGTTCTAAAAAATAATATTTTTTCCAGAAATGGCTGAAAACACAAGACCTTGCTCAACTTCACAATCTTATCAACAGAATTGACAATTTTCTAGCTCCAAGAACAATCGCTGAAAAAACAACAAATTGTGCATTTTTAGCACATTCCTACACATTAAATGATGTATTTTGGGAGCATATTTTCACTCGAAAATCTCGATGTGAAAATATTCGAAGATGGTTATCAATTGTAACTGATGTTGAAAATTATTGGAATATCGCTAGAAATGAATTGAACTATTCTGAGCCCAATTCCTATCATATAATTCGATATAAATTCTTATCGAAATTGTGTAGTTTGGTGGAAAATGATTTGCGAATTTCGACACATCAACATTTGGAAATTAGTAAAAGAGATTGTTTAAGTGAAGAAGATTCGAAATTGATTAGACATTTATTGCAAAGTGGAGTTTTTCGTTTTTCGGATCAAATTATTGATTGTCGTGAATTTGTTACACGATATTTGGAAAAAGCATTTTATAACTTGACTGTTGTTGCACCACATGATGCACAAACTTATGCGAAAATGGCAAAATTTGCAAGTTTGAAATATGATTTGGAGATAATTTCGGGTGGTTTACCGAATGGTGGAATTGATGAATCGACTGATATGATTGAATTGGTTAAGAATTTGTCGAGTGTTGTTGTCAATTATAATTATTCAATGACTCAGGAGGTATGGGGGGAAGATTGTGATTTTAAAAAGTTAAGAAAACAGTAAATAATCATCGTGTTTTTCTAACTTTGTAAATCCGAGTTTTGAAGAAAATGAAGAGAAAAAAGAAAAATGAAAATCTAGAAGATAATTCAAAAATTATTTGAAACAGTGAAATGTTGAATGAAAATTCAAAAATCTCATTTTTGCAGCTTTTCATTGAGAAACAATCTCCCAACCGCCGTCTTCATGTTTTCACTCGAAATGATCTCGTAAACGCACTCCGCAAATTCGGAAATGGACTTGTTCCAACTGCCACCAATATTGCATATCAAATTCTTCGCAAAAAACTCAATATTTTCTATCAATTTCTTTCTGATGATCATATTCGAGCACAAATTGAATTCGATATGCGATTAATTGAGAATTCGCCAAAAATGTCGACAGGAATGGAAAGAGGATATACGTATGATATGTGCGAGAATTTTACGAATAAAATGGTGAAAATTGCGGCGAGCGAACCGAATCAAACGAATTCTGGAGGAAGTGAAAGAGGAACTGAAGATGGAGAAGAGAAAGCCATTACATATTTGGATAAATTTCGAGTTTTGATAACTCAAATTGGAAATACTTTGGGATTTGTTCGAACAATTGGAATGGCTTCGAAAAATGTTGAAGTTGAAATGGGAGAATATATGAGCACAGAAATTACGCGATTATTAGATGAATTGGATGTTGGAGAAGAACAACATGAAACTATTCAAAGAATTCGAAATCGATGTAGAGTTGGAACATCTTCTGTGCAAAAGTCAGATTTCAATCAGGTTAGTGAGAGAAGAAAATTAAGTTTCTTATGTTAGAGAAACACAAAATCATAATTTAAACACAAAATCATAATCAAAATAGGATTTCAATATTCTTTTTTGAAACGTATTTTGTTCATTTTTCCATAAACACATTGATTTTTGCAGCTTCTCGTCAATGTTTTCAAAGATGCTCTCAACAAAAACTTGTCATATCTCACCAATTTCTACATGATAATTCCGGCTCTCTCGTGGTCCTATGCGGATTATATGCGAATTTGTCGAATTCGCGCCAAAAATTCGATTCACACGCAACAAAATGATTATACAACTGTGAATGATGGATTTGTTGTTGGTATCGCGTATTTGTTGACAGTTTTAAATGGATGGGAAAAGTTTGAGGAGTTGATTTGGTTTGATGAAATTATGGGGTAGGTTTTAATGTTCGGGTGGAAAAAATGAACTATGATGTAGTTTTTTGACTACATTGTTGTGTTATCTTTGGGCAGGAAATGATGCATTTTTGACATGTTTTCAGTCTCAAAAATTCACTGTTTCGAAAAAGTTTGAGAATTCTTCATTTAAAAACATCAATTTTCTGCGGAAATTTTTTAATTTTTCATTGAAAAATTCACAGATTATATTTTTGCAACTTTAAAGTTTTCCACATTTTCTAAATTTTCCCAATATAAGTTTTTATTAAAAAATTCACTGTTTCAAAATTTTACAAATTTATTTTATTATTTATTTCCAATTCGGGTTCCAATTCTCCATTGGAATTAAAATTATTGTGAAAAATTTTTTCAATGTTTGTTTTCAATGAGACGTTATGGTATGTACATTTTTACACATTTTCAATCCAAGATTTCCTTCTCTAATCTTGAAAAAGAATCGCCGAAAAATTTAACTGTTTCAAAGATTTTAGATTTATTGGAATTTTTGTTGTTTTTTCGATGAGAGAATGGATTCGCATGACTTTTTTTAATTTTGTAAAATAATTTACTGTTTCAAAGTTTTTCGAAAATTTTCTTGTTGTTTGATTTAGTGTTCAGTTCATCAATTCATGTTTCTATGTATAAGAAACATAATAATGAGTGAAAATATGATCAAAATTAAATTTTTAAACAGAAATCTACTGCTTCAAAATATTTTCAAATGTTACGAAAACATTTTTTAGTTAGTGAAAGAAAATCGAATTGTCAATTTCTTCATACCGTGTCAAAAATCTCCGTTCCCCCAAAAATGTATTTTCTTTTCCAGCTACTTGGATAATGAAACAATTCGCCTAATTGCCAACCCTTCGAAAGGCTCAAAACTCAAACAAGAACGATGTGAAGCATTGCACGGCGAGTTCCAGGAAATCAAAGAATCGCTTTATTCCGCCAAAATATTTTTCGAATTCGAGGATTTTGGAGTGAAAACCAATGAAAAAGACGAGGAACAAGAAGATGACTGGTTTTAGATTTTGACAATTTTCATGTATATTTATTTTTGGGTATTTTGACTCACTTACATTAATTTATTTTTATTTATTGCCAATGAAATTTTCCCGATTTTCAGTTCAGTTAATTTCCAATTTAATTTATGCTTTGAAATCTCGCCAAAAATACCTCAATCAATTTTTTGCAGATTTATAGCAATGTTTTCAGATGTCGGTGTATATTGGAAGAGCCTGGTCGATGTTAAGGTTTTACAAAGATGCAGCGTATGCCGGAGTGTCGTATTTGGTGAATTCAAAAGGACATAAGTGAGTATTCTTTGGTCTGGGGGAAATATGAGAAATTGTTGAATATCAAAAAATAAATTTTAAAATATTGTTAAACTTTATTTGACGAATCAATAAAATGCATATCGAATTTTTTTTTGAATAAAAATTTTTTTTTAATTTTTCAACGGTTTTTTTTTAATTTTTTGAATTTCAAGTGTTCTCAATTTATTCAAATGCATTATTTTTTTTGGGTATAAAACCAAGTAATAATCATCAAATTTTTATAGACTTTTATTATCAGGCATTTTTGAAACGTAGAATTTTTTGTGAAAATTATTTAAAAAAATGATCGAATTTTTTAAATTTAGCCTAACATTTGGGTTTCTACGTGATTTCACGTGATTTTTAAAAATCTGTAAATCTCTTTGAAACCATTTTTTTTCGGATTTTTACTGAATTTGAAAAAAATACTCCTCAAAGTGTCCTTTTCTATCGTTTCTGTTCCATTTTTCTCAAAAAGACACAAAAATTGGCAATAATCTTGATGACCACACAAATGTTGTTTTGTTTGTGCGATAACACATATTTTTTCGGCTGACCTTGTTCCTTTTCCACAAAATTTGTATTTTTATTGATTTTCTGCACTCTTTCAATCAAAAATCCAGTTTTTTCTTTTCAGATCAATGCCAAGTTTAAGCCACGTGGAACCAATCGAACAGTTGTCGGCTGCTGTGACACGTGTTATTGGACACAATCCGGGACCATTTACATTGCAAGGAACAAATACGTATTTGTTGGGAACTGGAGAAAAGTGAGCATTTTTTGAGATTTGGAAACAGTTGGATTTTTTTTAGAATTCAAAATTTTATTGGAAAATTATTCGAACAGAATACTTTCAGAAACATTTCACTTACTTTTAGTTTGAATATTTTTTTGTAGCAACTCACCAAAATTTAATATCAAATAACTGAAACAGTTGATTTCTTCAACAAAAAACATCAAAATTATGAAGAATTTTTTAAACAGCGGATTTTTAACAGAATCTTCTTCAATGTACAGTTTTTTAAATCCATAAAATTGAGCTAGATTGAGAAATCGCGAATTTGAAGTAACTCCAAAACCACGGAATTTTTTTTAAAAAACTTTTTGAAATATTACTGTAGGATACGGACTTGAGCACGCAGCCGAAGTCTGTGTTGCAACAAGAACGTTTAATTCTTATTTCATATATTAAAACTTGAAACAGTAGATTTTTCTGAACCAAATTAGTTTTTTTTGCAGAAAAATTCTAATCGATACCGGCGAGCCAAACATTCCTGAATACATATCTGCTCTCAAATCACAACTTCAAAATTCGAAACTTGAATGTATTGTTATAACACATTGGCACGGGGATCATGTTGGAGGAATCGATAATATTATCAGCGAGATTTTGGAGAATCAGAAAATTCCGATTTATAAAATGAAACGAGATGGAGATCAAGGAATTGAAAGATTCCAATATATTGATGATGGATTTTCAGTTGGAGTTGAAGGAGCTACTCTAAAGTGAGCTGAAATGTGATTTTTTTAGAAAATTGATGACGTGGAAATTTAGGACTGTTGGTTGAATTTGGAAATTGGGTTTTCTATATTTTCAAAAAAAAATTTGGAATGCCTTCTGAAATTTCTGAAAATGAAAATGTGACACAATTTCAATTTTTTAATTGAGAAAAACGTTATTTACGACATTCGAGAAACTCCTAATATTTTCAGAACTTCAAATTTATCATTACCTAAAAATTCAATTTTCTGTGAAAATTTGAAATCTTCAAGTCCTCCGACCTTCCCAAAAAATCTCAATTTTTGCAGATTCATTCACACTCCCGGCCACACCGCTGATCATTTTGCTCTTTGGCTCGAAGAAGAAAAATCACTTTTCAGCGGCGATTGTATTTTAGGCGAAGGCACAACTGTTTTCGAAGATCTTCATGATTATATGAAATCACTGAACCTCATCAAATCTTTGAAACCTTCAAGAATTTATCCAGGACATGGACCAGTTATTGAAAAAGTTGATGAAAAAGTGGATGAATATATTGAGCATCGAATGAAAAGAGAAAGAGAAATTTTAGAAGTTTTGAAGAAAAATGAGGAAATTTCCAGTATGGATATAACTAATCAAGTTTATGCAAGTTCGCCATGGGCTGTTAGATTGGCCGCTTTGAATAATGTGAAACTTGTGCTCAAAAAATTGCAAAAAGATGGAATTGTTGAAAATCCAGCGTTTGAGATGTTCAAATATATTGGGAATACAGAGGAATCAAATTTGTAAATATATTTTCTTTTATTGATTTTGTTTCGTAATAATAACACATAAATTTTTAAAGCCTTGCCTATTTTTTTTGAATAGAAAAAAATACCGGATTTTCTACGTTTCAAAATTTAATTTTGAAAAAATTATGAAAACCTCGTTGCTTTATGAGTGTGTCCTACTACAATACAAAATTGACCGTGTGGAATTTGAAAAAAATCTGTTTCGGAATTTATAAAAATAATATCTTCAACACTTTAGAAAAAATTCCTAATTTTCACATTTTTCCTGAAACTTACATTATTAGTTTTTCCATTTTTTTTTGTTTTCGATCATTGTCCATTTTCTACTAAAAAAAACAACAAGAAAAACAATCAAAAATCAGTCATTTCTTCTATTTTTATCATTTTCTCAACTATTTTTGGATATAAATATTATCATGTGAACCAAAACGAAAACAGACAAAAAGATAAGTCACATTCCATTTCTCGGGTTCAAAAAAGTATCATATCATAATCTTGGCGTCAATTTTGATACTGTAAGAAATAAGTTTTAAATTACAAATATCATCCATCATTTTGACAATAATATGGAGAAAAAACAAACAAAAACATGTGTATAGTTGGGGTTGAAAAATATGAAATAAATAAAATATATTGTTTTTGTTCAACCTGACGTCAAAAAACACTATATGTTTGATAAAAAGTGACAATTCTCGGAAAAATCGTATGTAAATCGGAGATCTAATTTTTTGGCCGAAAACAAAACAAAACAAAAATAATTATTCCGAGTTCCTGGAAAATTCCCAGACTTTCACAGAAATCTCTAGATTTCGAATATTTCTCAAAACACCGGATCTGTTCCTATTCAAAAAAATCCAAATTTGGAATTTTTCATATTCATTCTCGGAAAAATCTTATGATTTTAGGGTTTTCAGATGTAAAAAAAAAATTTTGAATAAAAAAATCAGTGTTCGTGGTTTTTCTAATTACATCAAATTACAGAGTTCACAGTAACCCAAACTACAGTACAAAATTTGGTACAAAGCACAGTAGTAGAAACTACTCAAAAATTTACTGTATCTCCGTATTCGCTTCAAGACCATCCTTCTACCTACCGTAACCCGCCATCTCTCCTATCAAATATCGAAACCTGTCTCATTTTCTCTTTTGTTCCTCTTCAGTACACAAAAAAGGCGGAGTCTTGGCATGATTCCAACATGGTCTCAATATTGGTCGAAACAAAAAATGGGCGGAGTCATTTATTTCTTCCTTTTCTTCGTCTTATTATATAAACCACTATTTATTTCAACAATTCTTTTAAAAACCAAATAATATTCCGAAAAATTCCGAAAATGATCAGTTTAATTCATCCATCAAACGAAACTCTCGAATTTGTCACATATCAGAAAAATCCTCGAGAATTCAGTGGGCTTAAGAACTTAAGGTAAGTCCTTAAAAATTCTAATAAATTCATATTTTATTTCAATTTTTTTAGAAAAAAGTCCTGCTAAAAATCATGGAATTGTGCAAACTTCCTTGATCTCGACATGGTTTTCTCAAGACCGCGATTCCAGTTGCTTTACACCTTTTTCAACACAACCCGGACTAGTCTTTCTTTGACTTTCAAACAAAAAACATGGCTTTAATTTTATTTTTTGTCAAATTGTCAAAAAAAAATAAATTTGTCAATTTTTTGTCGGTTGTGCGGTTAAAAAGGGATAAAATATTTTTGTTTTTTCCTGAACCTTTTGCTTTGATAATTCTGGGTTTATGAACCAGATTTATTCAACAAAAACAATAAAAAACAAGATTTTCCAACAACAAAAATTAACAAAAAAAGAACAAAACAAAAAGCCTAAATTTAATAGAATCCTCGATTTTTTCGACGATTTTTGTCAAACTCTTCACGTTCTGACACCATTTTTTGATCCAATAAGAGGTCGAATGATCCAGTTCCACCACGTGGCAAACATCCCAAAACAATTCGAGATGATGGTGAATTTACACTATCTTCTTCGCCTGAAAAATATGGAACATTGCATTGTTGGATGATTATTGTGCTTGGATTGATTTATCGAAAATTTTCTTCTAGTTTTTTGATTTTTGGGTTACTGTAGAATTGAGCAGAAAGTTCTGATTTCAAAATGAAACTATTTTAAGAAGCAGAAATTACAGAAAATTTTCCACAGCCTGATTTTCAGAGTAAAATTTTTAGGAACCTTGAACTTTCTTTGTTTTTAGGCTATTTCCCCCTGAACTCTCAGGCCCTGTAATTTCAGTGCAAAATCTTTTCATAATGATTTTCTACTGGGGTTCTCTCTTATAATCTACGAAGAAAAAAGTTACAATTTTCCATTCTACAGTACCATCGTCAATTTTGTCGACAGCGTTTAATTTGTGTTGTTGTTCGACTGGTCATGACTATTCCCTTTTGGCTGGTCAAATAAAAATTAATTTTTTTGTTGTCATTCAGCAAATCAAAAAAACATAGCATGATAGCATAAAAATCACATGAAAAACAACACAGACTAAGAATGAATCATTCGGGGAAAAGTTAGAAGTTAATATTGGATTTTTCCGAGACTGATTACTCCAGGTGACGCATTCAGGAGTCGGTTTCCAGAAATTTAAAATCTAGATTTAAAAATATCACTAATAGGAAAAAATTGACTTTCAAAAGGTTTTCAGTGAATTGATCTCATTCTGAATTCTCAGTTTTGAAGATTATTTCAAAATTAGATTTTCAAATTTAGAACCCCACCCCGCCTTCGGAAGTGACAAATTTTCAACCTTAAACTTGTGAGCAATAAAAATCAGCCAACCTGTCAATATTCTCTACTTTTCGGGTTCTTATCATCAAGTTTTGAGTACACAAAAATCACTTTTGTTGAGGGGTACAAAGAGATGTATGATCAATGTTATATATCAAAATAAAATGATGGATGGCTGATTATTTTTGTAGTGTTTCTATAAGGGAATAAATTTTGAAATATTTTGAGATTTTCATTTCAAAATCTCAAGTCATGTTTTTCTGAAATGGAAGACAAAATCACATTACATTGACAAACAGGTTGAAACACACGCATTTCTCGAAAAAAAAGAAGGTTTGTGGGTTACAAAAATGTGTAATATTGTGTAAATTCGTGTTGCGATATGTTTTCGCATAAATTTTCTTTCGAGTTTTGAAAACATACGGAATTTCAGATCTAACAAAAATTACAGACCAAAGTCAATTTTCAGAGTGAAATTTTGAAAAAAAAGATAATTTCTGTAGTTTTAGCCAATTTCAGGGTGAAATCAATTCGTTTAGTTCGTTTAGAAATCCGTGACATGCAAATTTCGACTTGAAATCGTCTAAAAACACAAAAAATCGTCATTGTTTTTAGATTCCATTCTGAAAATTTGCTTATTAAAACATTTCGTCCTGTAATTTCAGTTTCTGACTGTATTATGGATGAAATCCTCCTTTTACAGACTTCAGAACAATAATATGTTTGAAAGACTTTTTTGAAAATCCCATGTTCAAAAAACACTCAAAGAACGATCAATTTTCGTAGAGAAACGAATCTTTGAAGAATATATTGCAGATATTTTTTCTATAGGACTTTCCTAATATTTCCAATCGACCAAGAACCTACATTTCCAGAAAAATCTAATTCCAACAAAGTTCTGGTGTCCTCTCCAAATCAAATAAATACAAAAAACATCAGTACAACAACAATTCCAATTTTCCTTATTTTTCGAAAATAAAATTTCAATTTGGAAAAGTGCACGCAAAAAGAAAGTACAGTAACCTTTCTAGTCCGATCAAGAAAACACAGTCATGGAATTCTCATGATACAGATAAACTATGTGATAGTTGATTTTTCGAAAAAAAATCATAGTTGCGTAAAAATAGACGAAGAAGAACGCATGTGGATGACGCCTGAAAGATCAAATCGTGCGCAAACTGTTTTTCTCTCAAAAATCTAGAAGTTGTGAGGGAAATTAACATAACTTCTATGTTTCAAAGTCTCAAATTGAAATGAGAAATCAGCCGAATTAGCTACATCTTATGGTAAATTCAAATTCAAAATCAAAATCAAAAGCTCAGATTAGAAAATCCTCTGCGCAAATGTTTCCGAAAAAAGTCACTTTTTGGTCTGCTGACGTAGCAGCGACTTTTGCTAACTTTACAAGGTTCTCTTTTTTCTTCTTCCAATTTTCCTGCTATCGCCGGAAAGACAAAAAACAATAACAATGGTCATTTTGTTATTATTTATTGAAACGGTGCAATGAGTGGAACTTTTGTTCGTTTATCAAAAAGCCCGCTTTTTGTTTTGGGAAAACGAGAAAAGGGGGATTTTTAAGGTTCAATCAATTTTGAAATATATCTAGAATATCTTTCCAAAAATAAACTTCCGGTGTTTTTCTAGTTTTATAGATATGAAAATCACCGGAGAGCGATTATGAAACATTACAAAGGAATTTTTAACAGTGATAAATCACAAAATAATAATATTCATTGAGAACCTGAAAATTCAGGTCGAATTTTTAGCTTAAAATTTTCAGCACAAAACTAGCCTAAAAACTTTTTTAAAATCTGAAAAGCATCGAAAAAATCGTTTAGAAGCTTAAATTATAGGGGAAAAAAATTATTCCACAATTCCAATTTTCAGAGGGGATTCTATGACATTCCAACTTTTCGAATTTTTAGACGACTTCAGGGTTAAATCTTATTGTTGCCAATGTTTTTATTCTAATTTACAAAGATTTTCAGGTCAGTTTTATGCTAAGAAATTCGAAGGTTCGTACTTTTTCCCTTTTCCGCATTCCAATAGACAAATAATAAAATCTCAAGGTTCAAAAGATCTCTTCTTCAAAAATCACCCCAATTTCTCTCCCATTTTTACTTCGAACCTTTTGGTCTCTCATCCTTCAAAAAACGCGTTCTTCTCCATTTTTTCCTTTGCAAAGATCTATCAAAAAAAGATGCGCACGCTTTTAAAAATGATAATGTGTTTAGTTGATTGGTTGGACAATAAAAAGAAAATAGGAAAGATAGGAATTTAGAGATATCAAGGGATCAATCCGCATAAATTCTGAGCAAAATTTGTGAAACTCGGAAAAAACTAACCTTGTAAAAGTGCATCTCTCAAAAATGCAATAGTCGTTTCGAATGTCATTTTTTGAAGAGGAGATGAACTAGAAGACATGGCTCCTGGAAAAAATTGAAATCAGGAAAAGTTCTTCGCAATAAAATCCTACCTCTGTTGAACGGCATAATTTCTCCAGTAAATGTCATATAATCAGCCGTCAATGATAAATGTCGTTTTGAGACCTCGATACCGTATACCGCAAACACATTGTTCATTTCCTACAAACATAACTGTAGTCTTTTGTTTTTGATGATCAAACAATAAAAAAGTTCATAAATTCTTGTTTTTGAGTAGATTTTGATCATCAAAATGTTATATCAAAGTCGAAAACACGTGGTTTTTTGAAAACATTCAGATGTCTGGGGGTTCTCAAATTTTTTGATAACTATTAAATTTATTATTTTCAAAAATTTCCACATTTCCAGATTTTTTGAACAAAGTCAACATTTCTCATCTTATTAATCAATTTTTCTCGTTTTCAATTTCAACATCACTTCAAAACCTGAGATAACACAATAATTCGCCAATCACTCAATCGCTGCTTGACGATTACATTTTTCAGATAGAAGAGAAACCCCAACACTAGAGTGGAACGACCATGTGATATTGAAACCGAAGAATATTTTGAACTTCTTCTAGATAGATATCAACATCAAAACAGAAGAAAATTCTATTTTTAGAAGAAGAAAAGAAGATTGGCGAACTTTGAAGATTCAACGCGTTCATTTTCGTCAGAATATTTTCCAAATAACTTTATATTTTAAAATATCTCATAAGATCTCAAAATTATCAGAAATCTTAAAGATCTTACCAATTCCAGATATATTTTGTTATATCTAATTAGTGTTGCGACCCGTTTGCAAATCATTCATGTGCTTTGACCTCAATGACGACAATGATTTCAAAAGATCATTTTTCATTAGAATTTCCACTAATGTCGATATTTCCACTAATTTCTCTTGTTCCGCAAACAACTTGGAAAAAAAGAGGAGAAAGGGTTATGAACCCAAACGACTGTGAGAAACATCAAACAACATCTACATTAGATAATTGGTAAAATTCCTTGTGTAATGAGGGAATACGCCAAAAATAGAACAATCAAGTCTGAATTAGACTTTGAATGGTGAAAACTTCACATAAATCATCAAATTTCATCCTTGTCATTCTGAAATTCAACTCAAAGTGCAGTTCACATTCCTCGATACAACCACATTAATATCAACACCAATATCTCATGTTCAGACAAATCAACAACAACATCCACGTCTACACTCACTCTTCTTCTCAATCGCTAGAACGCAAAGTTATGACGTCGAAAGATCAGGCGACGAACACAGTCTTCTGAAGGTTGTCGTCCTCTGCGTCTCTCAATGTCTCGTTCTACACGTGAACCAGACACACAAACATCGATACAGTAGAAAGAAGTTCTAGCATTTTTTGAAGATGAAAGAAAAACGACGAAGAACTGGTCAATTTATCATTTTTGCAGAAGCCGCCGACATACAAAAAAAAAAGTTGAAAAGTTCAATTACGTCAAAAGATGAAGATAAAGAGAGTACATTGTAACTTTCGAAGACCTTTTGTGGGAATTGTGAAAAAACTGCAAAGAAGGAAGTGATGGATTCTAGCTAGAATCCTCAGTTCGGAGTTGCATCAGTGAATAACAACGGGAAATTTCCGACCGATATCAGAAACCAACAGGTTGGTCACTCGGAATTCCACGATTGACAAGAACTTACAACTTCAACTACTATTTATGGCTTTCGAAATGTGAATATCAAGCTTATTTTTCATTATGTGACGCTTTCTCTTCGTTTTTTCGATTTGTATAATGGAAACATATTCGCCTTGTGATTTCATGTTCCGAAGAAAAATGGTTCCAGAATCCTATGAGAATTTCAAGATTGAATTATCGTAACTCAAAACTTGTCCAGCTCGATTTCTCGTCCTCCTTCTCTTTTTCCCAATAGGCCCCAATCTACAGTACTTTCAAATCTCCTCCTTCCCATCAAAAACATTCTCAATCAATCAACTATCAGCGTTCATATGTACTTCACATGGCGGTAGGTTCTATTAATAGACAGTCACTTCTCAAATAAAGACAAAGATGATACTACGAAGAGAAAAAGAAGACGAAGACGAAGTAAAAGTGGAAGAACAAGAAGAAAAGAGTAAATAACCATAACAAAAATAATAATGATCAAATTTGTCACATGTGGCAATTCGATTTGATAAATTATAGTTTTAGATAAAAGAAATACATAGAATAGTTTGAGGAAGAAACAAAAAAAATAAACGGAGAAATAGGCTGAATCACTGGTCAAAGTAGAAATAGAAGGGAAGAAAAAAATGACGTTTAGAAGTCAAAAATTTAAAATAAAGGTATGATAAAATTTCAAATCTTCTAGTTCGAAAATATAGCTCTAAAGTTTCGAGGGTTTTAATTTATATATACCAAAAACTGGGAATTCCAAGTAGGAAATTCTTCAATTTTTTTTTCGATTATTTCTTTAAAATTCAGATATTGAACACTAATTTTTGCCTACATTTTGTATACAAAATTCAATAATTTTTAAAAAATCCTTTTTTTTCTATCAACCTCTCCCTCCCCTAATTCTGCTTACCGTAACAATCGCCTTCGAGCATGCTTCAACACCATAACTACGCAAAATCAAATCCAAATCATTCGAATATACACTGTTCACATCCAAAACATCAGCATGTTTGAAGAATGCAGCCAAATTGACACCTTGAGTTTGCAAAAATATCACATTTTTGCCATTTTTATCCTCTTCTCTTTCAACACATCTTTCAATTCCAGGTGTTTGATGAATAATAAAATCCTCAATTTCTCTGCAAATATCATATTAGATTATTTCCTTTGAAAAAACAAACTTACTGTTCAACAATTGCAACAACATCCATTTTGGTTTTATTTCTCAATGGCAATGCAAATACAACTTCACACCACTTATTTCCTTTTGTATCATAGTTATAACTATAAATATTATCAGCCATTCTTTGAACTAATTGAATACGATTCGAATCAATTTTAACATCATTATTCTTTCTATCTCCTTCATTTTCCTCTTCATCTTCTTCATCATCTTCTTTTTCTTTCTGATTTTCTTCATTCATTTCAATATCATTTTCATTATCTCGAACTCGTAATTCTCCTCTTTCCTCGTCTTCTCCTTCATATTCAGCAGCTTCATCTCGATGTCTTTGATGCAATCGTTTTTCAGCAGCATCTGCTTCTCTTCCTCCATCCGCTTCTTCATCCGATGATTCTCCTTGATCTGGTCCTTGTACTCCTCTATTTCTACTTCTTCTTTCCGAATCTTCTCCTCCAATTCCAGCTGCCAAATTGCCTTGTCTCATAGTTCTCCTTGACATTTGTTGATATTCCGTAATATCCACATACTTCTTTTTGATCGCTTGCGCAACTCTCAACATGAATCGTTTTTCGATTTCAGTCATAATTGCAGCTCTCGACATATGTCTTGCTCCTTGTTCGCGTTTTGCACTCGCCAAAATTTCGATTCTCAAATGATAGCGACGACTTGCCTGATTCGAGTTCAATGTGATTTTTTCATCGATTGTAAAATTTTTGAGCACTTGTTTGAGGTAAACTCTATCCAATTCTTGTTTGATTGCATCAATTCTTTCACGCGGTGTTCCATCGATAACAGCAATCTGAAAAAAAATTTAACTTCAGCTTTCAACTTTTACAGAATATTCTCACAACTGCAAACTTTTCAAAAACAGATCAAGCTTTAAAAAATCTATATATCTCACCTGAGCACTTGGTGTGGCAATACTCTTCGAAGCAGTCATCAAAATTTCCCGTAATCTCGGAATTCCAAGTGTCACGTTCATTTCTCCTCTTCCAGCAAAATGGAAAGTGTTCAATGTCATCTGAGTGGATGGTTCTCCAATTGATTGCGCAGCCAACAATCCAACATTTTCTCCAGGATCCGCCAAACTTCTCATTCCTTTCCAGAACAATGTTCTTCTCAATGCATTTTTTGGTTCATCTCCATCACAATATCCATTAATTTCATCCAACATTTTTTCGGGTAATGCTCCAAGTGTATTTGTTGCCAAATATGAATGATCAACAGCTTCTGGACACTTTTTCGGTATATTCTTTGTAAATGCTTCTCTTTCTTCTAATGACAATTCAAACCACATTCCCAAAATACGTTTTTTGGGTATTCCCTCATGTTCAGCTGCAAAGTTCATAAATGCCGAATAATATTTTTTGGTCTCCGAATCTCCTCGTTTTTTCGCCTTCTTTTTCCAAGAACAAATCTGAAACCATTTTCAATATTTATCAAATAATCTACCAAAATGATAATAACCTACCTTTTTATATCTTTTCTCTGCATTCAGCACATTAAATTCCTCATCTTCAACATTTTCGGGTTTTGATGCAACAGTTACTGCATCCAAATTATCCTCAACAAATGGCATTGTTTTCTTATTCAAGAAAATGGCTTTAGTTGTGTCCATTCCATCTTCACCATATCTAAATTGAATAACACTTCCATCGTGATCTCGAACTGTTGAATCGTAGTGTACTCGAATTCCTTCAAGATGTTTGATGATACATCTTTGAAGATATCCAGAACGAGATGTTTTGACAGCAGTATCAATCAAACCTGGACAAAACATTATTAAATTGGTCAGGAAAAGATGTGTTGAATGAGGCTCAAAAAAAAGTCACAAAGTCAAAGATAGATTGAAAAACATTTTTTCATTAAAACTTTGTAATAAAATTCTTTTTTTCCTCACTCACCTTCTCTTCCAGCCATAGTATGGAAAAATAACTCTTGCGGATTCATTCCAGTCAAAAACCGTTGATCAATATATCCACCAGCTCTTGGAGATGGATCAAATGCTCTGAATGACGGCAATGTTCTTCCTGCGACTGTTACAGCCATACGTTTTCCTTCGAGTTCAATTTGACCAAGACAACCAGAAATTTGAATAGCATTTACAGCCGAACCTTTAGCTCCAGATTGAATCATCAATTGTAGAGCATTTTGTGGAAAAGCTCTCAAAAGTCCAGTTGGTACACACGATTTTGTAATAGCATCGTTATACTTTGAAATGCCTTGCTTCATTCCAAAATCAAGCATTTTCACATCAGTTCCTTGTCCACGTGGATTACAATATGTTGCAGCCAAAGTTCTTTTAATTTCAGCTTTTGACGCATTGTCAGGTAATCCGAATGTTGTTTTAACAACTTGATCTCCAATAGTTCGTGATTCAAGTACTGCTTCTTTTCGTGTAGCATTAGCTTCATCAACAACAAGAATATCAGCAACACCAAGAGTGAAACCGTGATACTGCAAATATGTTGTGAATAATCTCGAAAAACATGACAACAATTGCACACCACAACGATGTCCATACAATTCAAAAACACAATGAGCTAATCCAAATTGTGTTGCTCCAAAATGTGCTTTATCCAAAACTCCAACCAATAATTCACCTTGTCGGAAAATCACATGCGATTCACTCATATCAAATGGCGGTGGTTTTGTGTGTCCTTTGGCGATCCAACAAGACAATGGTGTTTTTGCTTTTCCATCCAAATTAATCAATGGTTTTCCTTCTGGTGTGATATTTTTGACAATCGTTGAAATAACTTGTTTTCCAGTCCAAAGTCGTGTTGGTTTCAAAATAGTTGGTGGTGGAATTTCAATTCTTTTCGAATATTGTGCGAATGATGACAATACAAGATGCATAAAATCTTCCTTATTCAAAAATCGATCGCGAAGTGATAAAAGAACACCAGAAACAACGTGATCTTGAATAAGACCTAAAAGTGGTGTGGCGTCTTTTGGAACAAGAAAATTGCTTCCAACATTTGCAATTTCTCGAACTTCAGTTTGTGCAATATGTGTTTGTACCAAATGTCCATTCATTTCATCTCCGTCGAAATCAGCATTATAAGCTTTGCATGGAGCGTAGTTCATTCGAAGAGCACGTTGACCAGTCAAAACACGAGCTCTAAAATTAAATATTTATTTCATTTATTATATTTTCCCTCCAAATTTCTCTCACCTATGACCCAAAATAGATGGTTTGTGAAGAGATGGTTGTCGATTCATCATAATCATATCACCATTTACCATATGTCTCAACACTTTTGTTGTTTGTCTCATACTATCAGAAGTTGCAGATAACATATTTCTAGCAATTTGCATTCGCTTCTTCCTTTCTTCTGGGGCATCCTGAAAAAACCATTGAAAAATTTGCAAATATTTCCCGACAACAAACTCACTTTCAACATAGTCTTTCTTCCACTTGGATCTACAACAAAATTCGCACCGGGATGTTCTGATGGTCCTCGTTTCACTTTTCTTTTCATTTCTTTCAAATTCATTGTATTGACTGGCTCAGTAAATGTCAATTTCTTGGCAAAAATATCGGGAATTCCAATTTCATCAATATCCAAATATGGATCTGGTGTAATAACAGATCGACACGCAAAATTGACTCGTTTTCCCATCATATGCATTCGGAAAAGACCTTGCTTTTTCTCAAGAATCTGTTTAATTCCAGCAATATGATCACGATCTGCTTTATTCAAATCTTCGTCAAAAATTGCGTTGACTCGAAGTTGTAGTTGAAGATAAGCATCATGCATTTGAGTATTGATATCTTTTCCACGAACACGATTTGCGATAAGTTCAAGAAGTTGTGGATTATTATCACCTTTCATAATCAAAGCAATTGCCTGAAAACAATTTGGAATTTTAAAAACCTGGAAAATAGTTTTTTTTCTAACCGAAATAGTCTCTGTCGCTTCCAAAACCCTTCTCAAATTCAAAGTTTGTGGATCCTCATATTGTGCTCCTTTGAACATTCGAATTGGTCTGAACTTTTTTGGTGGAACGAGAAGTCTTTCCAAGAATAAACCATCGAGCGGGCAGATTGTAGAGCATTCTTTCTGGAAATAACAGACATTTTGACGTCGAAAAAAAATAATATATAGGTCACGTTTAAAAATATTGTTTTGTTTACAACCACATTTTCATTTTCAATTTTCCGAGAAAACTTACCAAATCATCAACCAACATTGGAAATAGTTTCATTAATAATTTTCCGTCATTTTTGAAAACCATTCTGAAATGTTCTCGAACTTCAGCACCTCTCCAAGCCAATTTATCACAATCTCCACGACGAACATTTGACATTTGCATTTCCAAACTTCCAGTTGTGAACTCACTGTTGACTGTTGCGTTTTCTAAAAAAAGATATTTATTCAGAAAAATGAGTTTTCAACAAAATAAACCAACTCTTTTTATCCAAATCATCCTCATCGTCTTCATCTTCTGAATCCACCTCATCAACTCCCATTTCTCCAGTAAAAACTGTTTGCTTTTTCGATTTTTTCGCTGCTCCAGAAAAATCAATCAAAATGCATCTAGCTCCATCATTTCTCAGTGTTCCATTCCGATTTTTACAGAAAGGACACTTTGTGAGTCGCTTGAACAAATTGGATCTTAAAAAATTGCGAACAATTTCGTTTTTCAGTTGAACACTATTTTTTGTTGGGCTCGCTTGATACATTTTCAGTTCTTCCAAAGGTTTGCAAGCGAGTTTAGCAATGTGTTCATCGAGTTCTTTCATTTCGTCTTCTTCGTCAGTGAGATCGGCATTGTTTATGGCATCTTTCAAAACATTCTCGAGGTCTAAAGCTACATGTTCTACACCAAGTTCAAAGCAACGAAGTTGAGCCAACAAGATTTTCGCATCAATTCCATTGGATTTACAAGTGAAACGATGACAATGAACACAAGTTCCTTTTAGTAACTGAAAAAGTCCAAGAATAATTTTTTAAAATTTTTTCTCAATGTTTTGAAAAACTCACATTGTAGGTGAACTGAAATAAAAGTGGATTGAAGACTGGAACAGTCAACTGAATGTGTCCCATATGTCCTGGACAATGTCTGTCGTATTGATTACACGTCAAGCATTTATCATTGTTATCTCCTGGTCCCAAAAGTGAATCGTATAAACCGCCCGAGATGGGATGGCCAACTTCATCAAAAGTTTTGGTTTGTGTCACTTTCAACACACTCAATTTGTCGATTTCATGTGGGAAATAGTTCCTGAGTTTAAAATTTGAAAATTGCATAAAGGGCTCCTCCCCATTTTTGATAAATAATTCCGTCATCTCTAGCAGATGGCGGAGTGTTTACCTGCAATTTTTAAACATGAAATTGGCTAGAAAACGTCATGAGCTTCAATTTGAGTCCAAAGACTGATGCAAAACAACAAAGTCCAGATGAAAAATGAGAAAAATGGGAGAACTTGCGAACAAAAAATAAAAGTAAATTCCATTGTATGCAAACACTTTGACGACGCTATGCACAATGCATTTTATTCGACGCGCATATATTTTTATTTTTGCGTTTGAATTTTTGTTTTTTTCTCCCTCTTCGAAGCTTCTCATGTGAAAACCAATAATCTCTCAACCAAATTCATAAATCTATGATTATTTTCCATTGCATTAACTTTTCTATGTGTTTGCACCAAGATGTGAAAAGCGGATTAGCCTAATCTCTATTGATTTTCAGATGGACCAAAGGTTATTACATTGCAGTGAAACGCGAGCTGTTCCGTTGAGTCATAATTTCTATCAAAAGATTTTAGAGAAGAATACGGTATTAATTGGGCAAAATTCGAGTGCGAGTTCTAATGGTAAGTAGTTTATTCAAAGCTTTTTTTTAGGTTTTATCGAAGAAAATAATAAATATTTTCCAGGCGCCTCCAATACCACTAAAATTGTAGAACATTTATTAAAAACAAATGAGAAATTTATCGAAGAAGCTGCAATGAAACAGGCTGCACCAAATGGTGTTAATATCAATCATCAACAGTACACCAACTTGATTCCTCTGAGTTTCGATGAACAAGAATTTATTCGAAATATCGAACAGCAACGGAAAAAATGAGGGGAATTTGTGTTTATTTTTCTGTATATAATGAAGTGTAACATTTTTTTTAGAAGTTTTTTTTGTTGTGAGAAAAATTGGTTTGATAAGAAAACCATTTCATATCTGAACTGTCATTTTTTGTCTAGAGACAAAATAATAATGTTTTTAGGTCGAAATGATGGGACAATATATTCCACCTCCGCTTCCAGTCGCATCAAGCTATCAAAATGAGCCGGATAAGGTTGGGATATTTTATTATTAATTTTTTATCTAAAAATTTCTACAGATTAATCAATCCGTCGATTTTCTTATTAAAAAAGTCGTTGATGCGAAGAAAATGATTGAAGAACTCCTTTTTATGCTCGATTTACAAGAAAAATGTCCATGGCAAGATATGCTTGAGAAATTTTCCTCATTAGCATCAGCAATGTCAATATTACAATCATCTCTCAGAAAATCAGGATTACAATCAGGTCATGAAGATTATGGACAATTTTTGAGATCTCACGTTTTTGTGCCACAACGATTACAATATGAACCAGATGCACAATTACAGAATCTGACAGATTCACGTGTTTGGAGTTGGAATCATGATTTGGTGCCAGATTTTTTGAGAACCAAACCAAATCCAGAAATGGAAAATATGGAAGCAATGATGGATAATGAAAGAATGCAAAAACAAAATGATGTTGTTGTGAGACAAATTGCTGCGTTTAATAAGAATATTGATTTGATTTTACAACATATTTCGAGTATTGATCGACCGATGGCAGATATTGCTGCAGATAGGGTAATATTTTTTGGGCAAAAAAACGGGAGGGAGTCTTTTGAGTAAAAAAAACCCAAGGAGGAAGAATTTTTCAGAAAAAAAATGACTAAAAAATGTACCCGACCTAAATCTCGAAGATTTTTTACGTTTCAGAAATTTTAGATGAAAAGTTTTCAAATTTTGGAAAATTAGTAATTCATTTATAGATTTTGCAAACATTTTTGATCCAACTAAAACTAAATAACAATTCGAACAGAATAACAATTGAAATTTTTAATCTGTAAGAAAAAGTAATACTGTATAAGTATCGTCGAAAAAACACTTAAATCCACATTGAAGTTTTAAAAAAAGTTGGTTTTTTGATCACCCCATCTAACCCAAAAAAAGTCTAGTCCACCAAAAACATTCTTCCCCCTAATGTCACCATTCACCAGATGGCGCAGTTGGTAAAATGTGCGAATTTCAGTTGTAAGGCCCCCAGATCATCCCCATCAAAAATGACGAAAATTATCGAAATGATCCCGAAAAACTACACCGGGAATATATTGTATTGTGATTATTGTTAACGATAAGATCTGATTTGGTTTTATTTTTGAAAAAAAACCAGTTCCTCATTTTTTGTTCTCTGGAGATTAATTAGTTTTTTGAGAGAAGAGAGGGGAAAAATTAATTTCCGTTTTACGACAAAGTTCAGAATTTTCGTTTAATCAATTTTTCGTTGAAACGTTAAAAACTTCATTATATTTTTACCTAAAGTTTGAGCTATGACGTGTGAATCTAGGAATTTATTCAGGTCCGAAATGATGAAGCTGAGAAAATCTCTCATTTTTTCTAAATCTGAAAAATCCAAAAATAATTTTTCAACGTGTAATGTGGCGTCGCAATTTCCAATTTCAATCTTTCATTTTCCAAATTCAAAATTTCAGCAAACATATGACCGCGAAGAAACAGTGAAATGTGTGAAAGCCATTCTGAACGGGGATCTTCTCCGAAGTTCCCGTCCAACTCATATGCAACAACCACCTCCACAACAACAACAACAACATCCTCAACAACAAATGATTCCACCACAACATATGCATATGGGTGGAGGACAAATGATGGGACATCCAATGGGAGTTCCTGGACCACAACAACATCATATGGTTGTTCCACCTGGTATGATGGTACAACAAATGGGAATGCCAATGGGACCAGGACCTGGTGGACATATGGTTGGAAGAATGCAACCACAACAACAACATCCTATGCCAAATATTAGTATTCAACGATAAATTATTTGAAATATTTTTTAAAAAATTGAAATATTTATTTAATTTGTTTAAACGTAGAGTTTTACTACGTTGAAATATCTGATTCTGAATATTTTTCTCAATAATAAATAAATTGCAGAAAAACAGGATGAGATGAGCAGCGGAAGACATTTTAGATCTCGAGTGGGCAGTTATGGAAGTCGAGATTTTGATGCGAAATCGGAACGAAGGCCATCGCATTTGGCTGGAGCACATCCAGAATTGCAAGTGCTAATTGATGAGTGGCTTGTTAGAGAAAGGTATTATTTTTGGGAGAGAGAAATTGAAAGTCGGAGAGATTTTGAGAAAAAATGGGCACAAATTTCTGCCCTAGAATTAACAGTAGCAACTCTGTAAAAAGACTTTACGCCACAGAAAATCTTTGAAAATAGGTTCTGAAATCATTTTAATAGTTCGGACCTGAAAACTTTTGACAATTTGGCACATACATAAAATAGGTCCCCCGAGTCAGTTTTTAAAGTTAGAATCCCTTCTTGAAAATTTTCCAAAGTTAAACACCTGCCTCACATTTTTGAGCGAATTTTGTTAAATTATCAGCAGAAAATTGGCCAAGTTAGGCACCCTTCTCTTCATATTTTTGAAAAAAGGTAAGCCCCTCACCCCGATTCAGGGGACCCATTTTATGTATGATTTGGCAATAATTGATTAAAAAAAAACAATTTTCAGACCAACTCTTGAATTCGAAGACATCGATTCATTTCTTCTTCCAAATAATCGAGAACCTGTTGAAATTCTCGACATTGGAGATGATTCGAAAGATCGTGAAGTTCTAACTGTCAATTTCCCATGGTTCTCTGCAACTGTTCGAGTTTCTTTCACAATTATGTTGGCGGATTTGAAAAAAGAGTTATTTGAAAATTTGGGAAGGTAAGGGTGATTTTTTTTTGAATTCAACAAAAATGTCACTTGTAGAATGGCACATCCTGATTTTTCAATGACAGCATCTGATTATGTCTTTCGATATATAAATCATTTTCAAGAAATGGAATCAGTATTCACTGAAGATATACCATTATCACAATTACATTTATCAGTTCCATTTCCAATGATATTTTTGCATGAACCGGATGGATTAAATCATGATAAGGAATTATGCAAAGATATCAGTCATTGTTTAGGATATCCAATTGATATATTAGAACAAAGATTGGATGATGAATTACGACAATATCGAGCATGGTTATTTACAGTTACAAAAGAAGCTTGTGCTATAAGAGGATGTGAAGGTTTTGATCATTATGCATTTCCGGAAGAAAAAGTATTGTCTGTTGAACAAACTTGTCCACATCATTTAATCAGCAAAATTAAGTGTAAGTTCATAGTTTATTGTATTTTTGACTAGGCTCCTTCAAAAATACAGTAATTCAAAAAAGTTGAGAAATTCGCATGCCCGGAGTGGCATTCGATTCAACTTCAAAAACGATGATTATCAAAAAATCTCACTCACAAAATTTTAGCTTCAAACCTTCACTACAAATTTTTCTACCGTACTCGCGCTGCCGAAGAATCAAATGATGATTCGAATATCTTGCCATTAACTATTGATTTTCATCCTGATCTCACTCCTCGTTCTGTTATAAATGGTTTAATGGACGGAATAAAACGACAAGATTTTCGTGATCCCGCCGATCCAGACGATGAAGTTTTTCTGATTCAATTAGCTGGACAAAAGAGTTTTCTGACAAGTGATACGAATTTATTGGTTACTTATAAGGTTCGTCATTTATTTTTCTGAATTGTTTTTTAAACAACTTGTACTTGTTCTAGACAGTTCGATCTGCCCTCGAAAACTATCGAATTCCCCATTTTGTTATTCGAAGAAAAAGTATTGTGATGCGAGAATATTTGAAGCCTAAAAACCTGCATATTCCAAAATATGTGAAAGCGCAAGAAAGAAGATTGGCTCTAGATTGTCTAACAATTTCAATTGAAAACACACCAAAACCAACAAGTTCTAAAAGTCGAAAAGAAGATGAAGATGATAAAGTTATGTCTGATTTTCGACCAGCTGCTATGCTTCAACATGTTTCATTATGGGATTTGGATGCGAATTTGATGATTCGACCGGTTTCTTTGAATAATATCTCGTTTACTGATCCGGATTCAGTGGTAAGGTTCTTCGAGGATTTAAAAGGGTTGGGCCAAAATAGGATGAATAAAATCATTTTTTTGATCTACCTCAACAACTTTTCAAGATTTTGAGCCAGAAAATTAGTTTTAAAATTTTAAATGTGTTAATTTTATGAATCCGAAACCCGCTCGTAAACAGAAAACACAGAATTCTAATTTTTTAAAACAATTCCCAAATTAAGTAGGATTTTCTGTGCTGAAAACCGAAAAAAATTCCGGCCAATTCTGAATGATTTGCAGATTCACTTCGAATTCACAGTTTATTGCGGTCGCGCTTTATTAGTTCAGAAAAAGTCCACTCGGCAAAATGTAACAAATCCTCGATGGTCCGATGAAATGACATCTTTCGATTTATATATGAAAGATTTGCCACCTTCAGCAGTTTTAGGAATTCGAGTTATTATGTCAAAAGCTGGAAAAAGAAAAATAGAAGAATCAGAAGTTGGATGGGTAAATGCAAGTTTGACAGATTGGAGAGATGAATTGAGACAAGGACAAGTTTCATTGAATTTATGGGCACCGGAAAAAAATGCGAATCGAAGTAGAATTGGTGAAAATACTGCAAAAATCGGGTTGAATACAAGGGTAACAATTGAAATTGGAAGTTATGGAGGACGTGTAAAAATGCCGACAAAAGAACAATACACAAATCTTGTTGAACATCGTGAAACTTGGCCAGAAGAAAATATAATACATCCAGAAGGATATCATGCAGATGATGAAAATTATAAACAATTAATAAAATTAATAACATTACATGAAACTGGAACAAAACTCAATGATGAACAAGAGCATTTTGTATGGAAATGGCGAAAATTTATATCACAACACATGCCGGATTCAATTATAATGATATCTGAAATGGATATGGTTTGGAGAGGAAGAGAACATTTTAGTGAATTGTATGTGATGTTGGATTCGTGGAAGAATTTAAGTGTTGGAGCAGCTTTGACATTATTAGGAAAAAGATGTACAGATCGAGTATTGAGAAGATTTGCGACTGAACAATTAGATAAAGTTTTAGATGGAAATACTTTCACACTTTTCATCTTACCATTGATTCAGGTGAGTTTTAATGGACATTTTTCTCAAAATACTTTTTTTGTGAAAAAAAATTACACAGTCTGATTTAAATTTTAATAATTTTTAATGACATTCAACAAACAAAAAATAATGTTTTCTTTTTGAAAAACTTACAAAACACCTAATTTTTTGTCTGTACTCTCTCAATTTTACCTTGTCTCAAGTCAAAATAATATTCTGAATGTTTCGATTTCTCGACGTTTTTCTGCACAGGAAAAATATTAACTTCAAAAAATTTCTACTAAAATATTAAAATTTTCCAACGGAAAATTCTGTTCAGTTCCAAAAATTCTAAATTTTAAGAACTAAATTAACCTGGGAAATTTTAAATCGAAAAATCAAAAAAAAAACAATTGCAGGCTCTTAAATACGAACCGCGTGCTCAATCCGATGTTGGATGCCTTTTGTTGAGAAAAGCATTGTCAGACTATCGAATTGGACATAAACTTTTTTGGTTGCTCAGAGCTGAAATTTCTGGATTACGGTAAGCACCCCTCCCCCTAAAACTCTCCTCCTAAAACCCCCATATTTTTCAGAGATGTCGAAACTAGAAGTGAAGAATTCCGTCGAATAGCACTTCTTATTGAAGCATATTTACGAGGAAATGAAGATCACATCAAAACTATTTTGAAACAAGTTGATATGGTTGAATTGTTGTCTGAATTAAGTGTTAAAGTGAAATCGTGTGCAAAAGATATGGCAACGAAAACATTGAGAGATGAATTGAGAAGTCAGGCTGCCAAGTTTCAACATATGGATTCACCATTGGATCCAACTTATTTTTTGGGTGGATTGATGTGGGTTTTTTTTTTCAATTTTGAATGGAAATTGCATACGGTACCCCAAATTTTTATTCAAAAAGTTTTTAGAATCGAAAGATGCAAAGTTCTTGGATCAGCCAAAATGCCGCTAAGATTGGTTTGGCGGAATTTGAACACATTGAGTGAATTGCATTTACCAATTTGTGAGATTCTTTTCAAAAATGGAGATGGTACGGTTTTCTTTGTAAATTCAATTTGAAATCTTTTTGATCTTCAGATCTTCGACAAGATATGTTAGTTCTACAAGTTCTTGAAGTAATGGACAATATTTGGAAATCAAAACAGCTTGATTGTTGTCTTTCACCATATCCAGTTCTTCCAATGGGCACAAAAATTGGGATAATTGGAGTTGTCCCAAATTGTGCAACAATTTTCGAGATTCAAAGAGAAAGTGGAGGACAGAAAAAAATGGGAACAGCTGTAAAATCATTGGAAACTTCGTTTTTGAATAAATTCATTCGACAACATGCGGCTGGAGATTCGAAAGAGTATTTGGAATGTGTTGATCGATTTTTGTGGTCTTGTGTTGGATATTCGGTTGCTACTTATATTATGGGCATTAAAGGTAACGGATATTTTAATGAATACATTTTAACGTCCAAAAAATTGAATTTTATTGAAAACTTTGAACTGGAAATGTATCGTTTCAAAAAATAATATGTTTTCAGATCGACATAGTGATAATATTATGATGACATTTGATGGAAAACTATTCCATATCGATTTTGGACATATTTTGGGACACGGAAAAACGAAGTTAGGAATTCAGGTATTTTCCTAACACCCCATATCCCCTCCCCCCTCAAATCGTTTTTCTTTCCAGCGTGATCGTCAACCTTTTGTTCTCACTGAACATTTTCTATGTGTCATTCAAAAGGGACAAACTGTGTCGAAAGAATCGCACGATGTTCAAAAATTCCGAGATCTATGCACTGATGCTTATATTCTACTTTGGGAACAGCGAAACTTGTTTGAGAGTTTGTTCACTTTGATGCAGGGAATGGAATTGCCGGAATTGTCGACTTCGCAGGATTTGGAACATTTGAAAAAGACAATGTGTGTTGGAGTTGATCAGAAAGTGGATGCTGAGAGGTTTGTGATGATTAGAAAAAATTAAATTTGTAGTTTTGCGTCAAAAATTGCAAATATCAACTTTGAAAATGAGCGTGGCCAAGTTTGCAAATTCAGAAAAGCCATAAATTTACAAGGGCACATTACAAATTCAAAAATAGTTTTTGCAAAAATATAAACTTTCCAGCGTAATTTTAAGCTAGTTTTCGTTCGAGTTTAAAAATGACGCTATAAAGTTTACATTTTTGGAAAAAACTACGTATTGTTGAAAATTTGTAAAGTCACGATTTTTCGGAATTAGCAAAATTTGTCACGTCATAACTAATGTTCAGTGGGGTCTCGTTAGTTCTCGACATCCGGATCGTGATCAGCGCGTTAAAATCTCTATTCAAGAATTTTTTCAGATTTTTTCCACACAGTTTTCGAAGATGCTTTCAATGGTTCCTGGTCGACAAAAACCAATTGGCTCTTCCACGCCGTCAAACATTTGTAATTTTTTTCTTTACTTACTTCTCCTCGAAATTTTCGGGTTATTTTTCTGTTCTATTTATTTTCCTGTGAGATTACATTTTTTAAAATCTAATCTATTGTCGTTTCCCTGTGAATATTGTGTTTTTTAATTTTAAAAAATTTGCATAGTTTATTTTGAAAACAAAACAGAACAAAATAACAGAAGAAAACTACCTATAAACAAAAAATCCAAAAAGGGGACTACTACTTTTTTCGATATAATTTTGAATATTTTTCCTTGAGCGCTTTGATTTTTTCGGCATCTTCGGGAGTCGCCAAACCGGATCTGAAATTCGAAAAATTAATTTTCATGCAAAGAAATGCTGCCTTAAAATTGCCACGTCATCAAAACTCACCGTTTATCAATATATTCACTCTTTGGTAATCCATACAATTGTTCCAAACTCATGAATCTCGACCAATGTGGATATAATTTTCGGCCAGTTGGGGCCAAATCATCTTGCCATTCTTTGTTTGCCCTGAACAATTTAAAATCGGTTTTTTTTCAGAGAAAATGTAAACTTATTGAAGATTTGAAAACAAAACTTACATTTTGATAGTATCCTTGACATATTTCTCTGGATTGAACACTTCCAATTCATTCAACAATGATTTCATGCGTTTCTGGAATTCTCTTTCAGCTTTCAATTTTTTCTCTCGATGATATTTTTGATATTTGAAAAAATCTCGATCGTATCTTCTTCGTCTCTTATGCTTCTTCATTTTACGTCTTCGAATTGTCAAAAGTCGCGGTGACAAATATATTGGTGCATTTTTCTCCGAATTTCCTGTGGGTTCTTCGATTACTTTTTCACCATTATAATTTGGCGCGAGTTTATCCAGAATCTCTGTCAAAACTTCGGGACTTGGCGCGATTTTTGGTGCAATTCTCTCCAAAGTTGGAAAAGTATATATGATTTTTTGAGGATTGTCCAATGCCGGAAGTTCTATCGATTGGTTTTGTGGAAAATGTTCGTAGAAATTTCCATTTTTTGTAGATGGAGTTTCAATAATTTTTGGGAAATATGTTGAAGAAGATGGTGGCGGAAGGGTAGATGGAGTGTTGAAAGTTCTTTTCGCGATTGAAAGGCGAGAGCAAGCTTCTGCGAGACGCGAAACCGCTCGGCTCATTTTACCTAGAAAATTGATAAATATAATGTGAAAAACAACTCTGAAAAGAAACAAAAATGCACAAAATTTTGAATCATCTTCTCGTTAGAAGTATCCTATTTCAGAAAAACAAACCTACACGTACTCTACAACCCCACTCTGTTCTCTATAATATTCAGAAAAAAAACCCGGCTCTTCACTTATCTATACCATATCTAAAAGGACTTTAAAAAATGAAAAATAAATAAAAAGACGTGCGCGTCATTTAAAATGTAATTTGTGCATCGGAACAAAATAGTTTACGCACAAATGCAGACAAGCAAATTCAAACGCTTTTTTTCGCGCCCAACTTGTTTTCATGTTTTAAAACATTTTTCCAGTATCTTTTACAAAAAAACCTTGTTTTCCAGATGGCATTTCAAGGAGCAACGATTGTAGCGGCTCCCAATGAATTCAAAGTGCCTTTTCCATCATATTTACAGATTAGCAAAGTTCAGGTAGGCTTGAAAAGTGATAGATATATGAATAAATTCCGTTTGTTCAGTTTCAAAAAGAATTTGGGTCACGCTTATTGGCTGCCTCGTCATGGGATGGAACTTTGCGGATTTTCGATATCGGAAAAGTTGGAGAAATCACCGAAAAAATGCTGTTCCACAATGGAAAATCACTTTTAACTTGTACATTTGCGGTAAATCTTTTTTTTTGAATTTTTGAATATAAAATTAGTTTTCAGGGATACAACAAGATCGCATGCGGTGGTGTTGATCACAATGTAAAATTAGTGGATATCGAAACTGGAATGGGGACCCTTATTGGATCACATGCTTTGGCTGTTCGATGTTCAGAATATAATCCACAAACCAATAATGTTGTAACTGGAGGATGGGATTCAGCGGTTAAGGTGAGTACTTAGATTTCACGTCCTTCTCCAAAAATGTTAATTTTTTGCAGATTTGGGATACTCGATCCTATGGAAATGGCGCTGCTAGTCAAACTAGTGTTTCATCAAGTGTCTACGCGATGGATGTTCACAATAATCAAATCCTAGTCGGAACAAAGCAACGAAAAATCTATCTGTTCGATATTCGAAATCTCCAAGAGCCTCTTCAAGTGCGCGAAAGTCCGCTCAAATATCAAACTCGTTGTGTTCAATTTTTCCCAAATGGCGAAGCATTTGTTGTTTCTTCAATTGAAGGTCGAGTTGCTGTTGAATATGTTGATCAAAGTAATGATCAAGTTAAACGAAAATATGCATTCAAATGCCATCGAGAAAAAGAGGCAGATGGAACTGAATTGATATATCCAGTTCATACAATTGCATTTCATCCAAAACATGGAACATTTGCAACAGGCGGTAGTGATGGAATTGTTAATATTTGGGATCCATTCAATCGAAAAAGAATTATCCAATTGCACAAGTAAGTTGTTGATTTTTATTTGGAAAAAAAATGCAAATTAAAATAACACTTTTGCAGATTCGAAACCACAATTTCCTCATTATCTTTCAACGAAGATGGAACTCAACTCGCAATCGCATCTTCATATCAATTCGAACATGAAAACGATCCAAAACCATTGCCGAGCAATTCGATAACAATTCGACATATAACAGATCCAGAAAGTCGACCAAAATAATCCCAACAATTCCCCGATCTTTTTTCTAATTCAAAACGGGATTCTTCTCTTTTTTTCGAAAATAAATTTATTATCATTTATTTTGAAATAGAAAAGCTGGAGGTTTTCAACCTCAAAATATGTACTGATAGACAATTTTCGGAAAACCTATTGGAATTTGTAGTTCTAAAAATGCCTGTTGGCGATTATCCAACAATCGGTGAATATGCAGAAGCTCAGAAACAATTAGGAAGTTGTCTACCGGAATTTCGAGCAACAATGGTGAAATCGCTGAAAATCGGAGCTGGATTTGGAGTTCCGTTTGGAGTTTATGTGGCGTATCGGTGAGAATATTTCTGAGGAAAAAATTTGAGTCAAACATGTTCACGTGTGTAATCGCTAGAGTAGAAGTGCCTAAAAAATCGTCACGAATTTTTTTATCAAAATTTGCTTCTTTTAGCAGAGATGCGAAATTTATGCCCAAGTTTTTAATTTTTCCCACGAGCGCCTTAAACGCGAGTGTAGACCGCTATCTTCCGCGTAAGCCGCCACGTGGATTTAGTATGACGTGTAAGCTGTGAATCCAAGAGATCTCTAAAGCGGAAGATAGTGTTATTTCAAACTTTCATAATAAATTTATCTCCCAAGTAAACTGTTCTTTTGCTTTAATCATAATTAAATTATTGATTTTTCAACCTGTACGTTGTCTGATTCCTTTGAATAATACAATCAAAAGTGGAACAGCAACGACCAAATTAAAAATACTCAAAATCAGCATTGAAACCGGCCAACCTGTAATCAATTTTTTGTTTTGAAATAATTTTTGTTTTTCTGTTCAAAACAACTTACCGAAACTCCATTCTTCACCTCCTTTATTTTTATCGATATGATCATTATGATAACTAATAAACATGAAATATCGAATAGTTTGAACGAACATGTAGACAATGCAAATAATCTGAAAAATATTCGATTTTATGGGAGAATAAGGAATTTTGTCAAATCAGCCGGTTAGAAAAACATCTAGTTTTTTGCGGCGCAGTTCATAAGTCAATTTCTTCACAAACCTGGCAAACTGCACACCAGATTATCATCCAAAAAAATGGCAAAAATATCACAATTATCACATATACTCCTTCGAATATTAGATTGAAACCAGTACCTTCATACCAACTGAAAACAAATAATTTTAGATGAAATTTTTGGAATTTTCAAGTTAAAAAGTAAAACTAAACTCACAACAGACATAGTGCCAAAACTCCTAAAACAATTTGAGTAACTCCAGCAACCCACATTATAATATCTGGTCTCACATTCACCACACCATCCTCTAATTCAATTGTATCACACATGATTTTAGAATATATTTATAAGTACTATTCACTTTTAAGTGCAGATATAGAAGTGATCATCTCATTAAAAATCCAAATTTAAATACCGATGACGTAGAGGTCAAATGAAATATGTAGTTCACGTCGAAAGTGTTTTCTTCAATTTTATAAATCTATAATTTTTCAGACAACACGGCCTTGCTTTCAAACCATTTGTTGGAAAAACGATTGCCACGTGGCTGACATCAACATTAACATTTGCTTGTTTAGGATTAATGGGTGGAACTTATAATTGTTTGAGGATCAAATTTTAGAATTTGCTAGATTTTTTTGAAAAGTAGGTTAGATAAACAATTTTTCAATTAAAATATGATGTGGCATTTAAACAATTTTCAGAATTGTGAGACATCACTTGTATTCAAATCAAAAATTGTAGTGTCAAAATTATCTGATTGTGTATCTGAATTGTTTTTTCTGAAATTACAGTTTTTCTGTTTGCATTAAAAATTTCAGAAATATAGGGCTAACTATAGAATTTTTCTGGTTTCTAATCTATTCCCGGTAGAAAAATCGAAATTTCTACTACAGAACTCGAAATTTGATAATTTTTGTGCGCAACCTGAACCGGCACCTTCAATTTCGAAAATGTTTATCTTATAAGAAAACATTTATTAATTCTCAATTTTCTTCTGAGTTTTCCACGACAAATATGAATTCCAGAAAAAAGCGACAAATTGCAGCAACAAAATTCGATAAATTGGTGGAATAAAATAGAAATTGATGAATTGAATAGCTGGTAGAAATGTTAAACTCGTCAAATATAATTGAAACCATTGCTTTTTCATTTTCTCATAACTTTGCGATATTGAAAATCCTTCCAAAACTCGTAAATTCATCAAAATTCCAGCCATAATTAGAGGGCTGAAAATGAGTTGATCGAGAAAAACACGAAGAAAAACAGTTTTATGCATATTGTTTTTGTAAAAAATACGCTCCAACACTTTTTTATGCCAAATATTCAAAACTGGAACAGTGAAAAATGTGGCAAGTGTGAAAAATCGAGCAGTTCTTTTATAATTCCATTCCGATTGCTTCTCCAATAATTGTGTAAATATATCACCGCCTGCTGCAATTGTTCCAGCCAAAAACATTTTGGTTGGAAGTGGATAACGATGAAGAATACGATTTATAAATGACATTTTCAGACAAAAAAATATATAAAAATGAAATTTGTTCTAATTTTTCAGTAGGAAAATGGGTTTTTTTTGATGGGTCACGTTTTTTTTAAATTCACATTTTTCTGTTAATTTTTAATAACAAACAGTTTATTGTTTCAATTAATTGTGAGAAAATATAATAGAATATATACATTATTTCAAGTTTTGATGAGAAAATAACTGGAAATTAGAGCAAACACACATTTTTTGGGAAGGAGGGAAAAACGACCCGCAATTTTTCAAAAAAAAAAATCAAACCAAAATCACCCGGAGCTCAGCTCATTCTTCGCCTTTGTGTGAATAACAATACGATAATTTTCGATTCACAGATGGTGGGCGACTTTGGCAAAGTGATCTGCAACAAAAATCGGTTGTTTTTCAGTAGATCATTTATTTTTGGTATTTTTGGAAGCAGTTGAAAAATAAATTCATCATCAAATTGTATTGGGAAAATCGATAAACTCAATTTTTTTTTGAAAAACTGTGTAGGATTCGAAACTCCGCAAAAAAATAATTTTTCAAGAAAAATTCGAAAAGAGACATGTTTTGAGTCAAAATTGTTTGGGAATTTCAATCTCTTGGCTCACGTCTTCACTTTGATTCTATATATTTTTTTAATTAGAAAATTTCAAACCGGTTCCATTTTTAGCTCTAAAAAACTAACGTATAGGAATTACTGTGTCTTCTACAAAGTGGTTTTGGGAGCGATGAAGATGTTTGTCCTGAATAATCTTCGATTCCTTGACAAGAAATTGAAGAAGCTCCGGAATAACTGCGATTACGGAATGCTTCGCGAATAAATCCGCGATCTGAAAAATAATGCAACTTCGATATTTTTTGACGTTCAGATTTGGTTTTAAAAAATCCGGAATTCTTTTTTTTTAAAGAATTCGAAAAGTTTAGCCAACGAACCTCCAAAATCCAATCCACCGTGTCGTGACAAATCCAAATATTGTTGATAATCAACTGGTGTTGAAAACATTCGTCCAACAATTACAATTAAACCAAGAAGCCATGACATAACACAAGTCATTGAAAATGTCACAGGCACTACGACAAACTGCAAAAATGATGGGTTTTTCGGAGATAGAAGTTATTGCGATGAATTTTCATTGGTTTTGTAATTTTTGAAGCAGTAAATACTGATGCTAATTCAAAAAGAAAATTTTCAAATAAAAAATTTGAAACGTATTTTTTCGGGATTTTTTCAGAAATTTTTTTTTCTTTTTTGATATTTTGAATCCTTAAAAATACTCACAATACTGATCAAAAATTTCTTTCTGTGCTGCATCCAAGCATATGAATATAACAACGAAAAAGCGCATGTCCAAAGTGCCAATTGTGCTTGAAAAAGATCGTAGAACAATGAAGTGCTGCTACTTCCAACATTTTCATTTGATGATGAAACCTGCAAATTTTCAGATTTTCAAATCAGTTTTCCTTATCTAAAAACCTTTCTTATTGCAATATTTGGATCTACTAAATAATAGGCGAGAGTGGATTTGCAAACTTCGATAAAAGTCGAAAAATCTAATCGATTTATCATTTTTGTGCTTGTATAAAAAAAAGGAAAAAATAGGGAGGAAAACAAACAACAATATCATTTGTCAAATTGATAACGAAGAAAAAACAGGGGTGTTTTGAAGGGGTAAAAATAAATAAAATAAGGAGACTAGTTTTTGAAATTTGGAAAATTGATTGGCTTGAAAATGAGACTAAATAACACTAGGTTAGGCTTAGGCTGTTGTAGGGCTTGGGATGAGCTTCAAAATGAGCCAGAATTACACTTTATTACGAATTTCCATGTCATCAAGTTGGAAAAAGTTGGACTTTGTTCTCTTTTTTCAAATCAGGGTGGTCAAAAATGAGAATCATGTCTGAATCACGTGAAAATTTGAAACATCAAATTATTTTCTTCTCAAAATTTTATCAGCTGTGTAAAAAATCGTGTTCAAAAACTGATTGAGTCATAATAATTCCCATCTCCAATTTTTTTTCGAAAATAATTATTTTCTTCTATACCTATTACACAGTATGTTACGTAATACCAAAAAATAAATATCTAGGTCAGAGTATTACAATTACAATTTGTTTCAAACAAAAAAACAATGATTGATGAAAATCGAAAAAAAATAATTTACCTCACTCAACGCACTGCTCAATTTGTCCAATTCATCGGACGCCAAAAAATCGGAGATCAAAATTTCGCCAGAAATCGAATCATAAGATGAGCAACGGCTGTTTTTGAAGCGACGACGAGCTGATAAATCATCGAAATAATTCGACATTGCATTTCCATTTTGATCGGCGGACGACGAACTGTAAAAATGTCTACTTTTAGTAGATTTTCGGCCCGATTTGGAGCCCTGCAACTTGGCTCCAGTTCTAGAATTTTTTGGATAAATTTCATACCGATACCTTGTTTCAAAAAAAAATATCAATTTTTCAATCGGTTCTGACACATGGTACCTTGTTAACCCAACTCTGAACATTAGTTATGACGTGACAAAGTCTGCATTTATTGAAAAATACCTTTATTCAGTTGAACCCTTTCTAATTCGTATAATATTTATTATTTTCCTCAATAAAATTGATAACCTAACCCACTTTTCTCTACTATTTTCTGATAATTTTTGCATCAGAAAACCCGCTTTTCTCAGGACTTTTTTCCTTTTTCTCACGAAAACAACCTGTCAAGTATTAGATAAGTTGTGATATAAATTTGAGTGCAAGTGTCATTTTTTTGACAGCCGGCTTGGTAATCAGAAAATGATCTCTCTTTAAAAAAGATCAGAGTTTGATCGTGGCCCAGACAAAAAAACTCACGCCGACTCGAATTCCACACCATCTTTCACACCAACAACTGAAGTCGGTGGAATATCCTGTGTCAAGCGAGAAAGATCGTATGTCATCTGAAACAGTGAATTTTGAAAATGAAAAGAGACGTATCAACTCAGAAAAACACAGGAAAAGGAAACATGTCAATTTTCGAGACGAAATGAAATCAAATTTGGGGGGAGATGAGGACAAAGTACATTTTATTTCGAATTCTAGTGATAAAAATGATGAGAGAAGATAGTGAGTATAGCGAAGAAAAAAGTGGAACGAACGGAGAAAAATATGAGAAATAAGAAATGTTGCAGTAAATTGTCTGGGAAAGAGAAAAAGAGGAAAGTGCGCCCTAACGAACAGCAGTGGAGCGAGTTTGAAATTTTCAAGTTATTTTTGTGGGAAAAAAACTGGACGTGGCTGGAAACTTTTGGAATAAGAGACAATTTTCTTAACATTGGTGTCTCTAACAAAAAATTTAATTATTTTCTCAATTTAATGTTTTGCATAATCACAATTATATTGTTCATCCGGACGAATTGAACATTTGCCCTACCGAATGTTTATAGTTTGAAATCAAAATAGTGTGTGAAACGAGAGATTCAGACAGTAGATCACAAAATCCCACTGATCAATTCGTCAGGATGGACAATATAGCCGATTGCGACCTAATGAACTGAAGTCAGCCAGTTTTTCAATTTACTAACTCACAGTTCTCTTTTTAAACAGTAAAAATTATTCCAAACTTTCCCAGCCACGCCCAATTTTCTAACATAAAAATAACATATTTTTCATTGTTATTTTTAACACCCGTGTTAGATATCTCAAAAATCTGCACTTTTCATTCAATCTTTACCCTTTCTTCTAAAAATAAAAACAAAACAAAAATGTGCGATCTCAATCTAAAATATTTGTAGTAGTCAGTAAGTGTACTATACTTTATTTTAAAATGATGATTGTTATCAATTTCTTTTTTTTTTTCAAAATTTGTGTTTTGAAATTTGAAAAACAAACGGTGGCAGAGTTTGGAACGACACGAACTTCGGAACTTTTTGGAGGATCAAGCTAAACTTTGCCAATGAAAACATCATTTTTGGGCTCAAAAATCAACATTATCTGAAGAAGATAACACGAAATAACACATGTACGAGAAAAATCAACCTTGACCATGATTTTTGGTCAATCATAACAAAAAATCGTAGGAACTTTTGGATGGCGGAAAATCTGATAGATGAAAATTATAATTCGAATTAGAGGAAATCGAACACTAAATGAATAAACTTGTTGCAATCTTCTTGTGTAACTAACTTTTCAGAAATTTTAAACAGGTTTTCTTTTCAGTGAAAACAGTGGAGTTTTCAATGAAAAGCAGAATTGTTTTTCGATTTTATTACTGAAAAACGGAAAAACTCTTAAAATTCTCATTTCATTTCATTAAAATTCTCAGTGTCAGAGATTTTCAGGTAAGAACCAGATTTCTACTCTAAAGCCTAAGTCAACTTAAACATTTAAGGTTCCAACATCATACAAGCAGAATCAGAAAAAAAACAAACAACAACTGTCGTATGTTTCTTCTTCTTCTCCTTCTTTTTCATATCAAAAAACAACAATCTAGTTTTCGCTTTTTTCTGCAAAAAAAAACACAAAAAACAAAAAAAAAGAGAACACCAATACTTGGGTGGGGGTCAAATCGGGGAGGAGTCTAACTGTCTATCAACTCTCACAGTTTCTCCTAATCTCCCACCAGTATAACTATATATTATTTTTATTAATATCAACAATAAACAAGTGTTATCTTTTATTGGCTTTGAAAACTAAAAAAAAATAGTGAAAAGTGAAAAAAAAGAAAAATAATATTTTTGAAAAATACCGTACTGCTCTGAAAGACGCACAAAGAATGTGTGTTGGGTCTCACAGCGACACTAAGAATTTTCACTTTATAATTTTTGAAAACTAATTTTTTCAAATGGTTTTTTCTTATCACTCAAACACCGAGTCAGAATCGAAAGTAGAAGGTTTTGCACGATCAGCAGAATGTAATAAACAACTTGTTGGTTTCGGCCGATCAAAAATCGCGTGAACTAGAAAAATAATAAACTGAAAAAAAACGTGAAAAATAAATCAATTTGAATTCTGAAAATGTGTGAAAAAGTCGATTTATCTCAAGGTATCGGAAAATTGAAGGGCAATATTATCCTCTGGATTTGTTCTATTGGATTGATCGTTTTGGGCATATTTCTGGTAGTTTGCTAGTAAGCTCGAAAACTAAAGAAAATTTTTCTGTCAAAAAATAAAAAAAATTCCAGCTTCCACCATGGCACCGGTTTCGAAAGTCTTTGTTTGGGAATTTTCATGATCTTTGTTATATTTTTCCCGCATAAATGGATGGTTATTACTTCTTTGGTTTTTCAAATATTATGCTCAATTTATTTGGTAGTTGCCGGAATTCGAATTGTTATTCATCACATTGAGCATGAATATGATCATGATGATAAAAAACACGGATCTATTGGTAAGAAAACTTTGGAAGATCCACGTATTTTGTTTTTTTTTCAGTCTGGGTCATAATTTTCTTCCTCGCTTTTGCATTCGTGGCCGTTTTTGCCATTTTTTCCTGCATCGTTTATGTGAAATCACTTTTGGCGTAAGTTTTGATACCAAAAAGGGGCCTTTTTTATCGACCCACGAAGCCTCTAAAATTTATTTTTAAGAAGCAGTGGCGGTGGTGGAAGAGGATCGTATTCAAAAACAACTTCGACTGATTCAACTTAATTTTCCGTTTTTTTTTCAATATCCAAAATGAAACCATTCATGCGCCCAAAAATCGATTATGTTTTTCCTCGTTTGATTTTTTGATGTACATATCCTTTTCTGTGTTTTTTGTATGATCATTTTTCATTTCAATCCCTGATTAATCCCTCATCGCATCGATTTTTCGCAGTTTTTTTTTCATTTTCAACAAAAATGGTAATCCCGCTGCTGATATTTTTCTGCGTTTCTTCTTCGATGTATGCTCAAACCACAACTCAGAATATTTTGGAAATTAATATTCCAACGGTTAGTGGAGAGAGGGTTTTTGTATCCAATTCAGGGCAGAGAAGAATTGAAATTCATAATCCGAAATTCTCGAAATCTAAATTTTTTCGGAAAAAGTTTTTTCCGAAACAAAATTTGGGGTTTTTGAGACCAAGAATTAGAATTATTGTAGTTTTAGGGGGCCAAAGTAACAGTGAAAGTCGAGTTCGCAATTTTTTCACTTGGGGAATCATAAAATATTTTTTATGTTACTGTATGTAAAGAAGTACACAGAAATAAGCGATAGAGCAAACTTGATTTCCCATCTTTTATACATGTTTTCTGTGTTTTAGAAGAAAACACGGCTTCCAGGAGCATCTTATTCCTTATTTAGCAGAAGACCCTATCAAAACCTCTTTTTTTCAGGTAGCTCCCCAAGCATCAACAAGTTGTACAACTGCAACATGGTTAGCCTGGGGCGATTGGTCGACTTGTTCAGATGAATGTGGATCTTGTGGGGTTCAAATGAGAACAAGAACATGTTTGACAACTGATACAACTTGTACTTGTAGTGGGTAAGTTAGTTGTACTTTTGAAAAAGAAAACCGGAGAAATATTGCAAATATATTCAAATTGGTTTGAGAGATTATGGTTTGTAACTAGAAAAAAAACTATGACAATTAAAAACACAGATGTGGTTGTTGGTTTGGAAATGAACTCCGGGTTGAAAAAAGTGTTATTCTAGTTCTTTAGTTGTGAAAATTGCAAGGCTGGAAATTTCAATTCCCCAAAAATCTTCCAGAACTTTTTTCTCAAATCAGAAAATTTTACACTTCTTCGAAAATTGATTGTGGAACCCGAAAATGATTGATGTCTGGAACACCAGACAGCTTGCAGAAACCAGTTTCCAATAAAAAAATTCCAAAATTTTCAGATCGGCAACCGGTGTACAATATTGTAATTTGGACATTTGCAGATATCCAAGAACTACTTGCTGCAACAATTTTAGGGTTTGAATATCTATTTTTCCCTCTGAAGTTTAATCTGAAAAAAACAAAAAATATTTCAGGTTTCATCATACGGTGGTCGTTTTGCTTGTCTCAATCAAACATCTTCCTAGATTATTTTTCCAAAAGTGTGTGTGTCCCACAAAAAAGTTATTTGTATTTATGATTTATTTTTTATCATTCAAATTTTAGAACTTTTCATCGTAAACTTGATCCATACTTCCTTTTCCACTATCGGTTTCTCGATGATTTTTCATCTTTTTTTCGTGATATGATTCTTCCAACAACTTTGCAATTATTCCATCATCTCGTAGATTCAAAAAACTTGGTCGATCCATTTTATTGGGATTCGTCTGAAAGTAATCCGAACTTACTTTGTGAATAAGATAGTTCAACAAAAGTTCATTTTTTGACATCAGATAACAAACCTGATTTTCTATCTACGTCATGCTCTGACGTTTTGGAATGAAATTCTGAAGGAAAAATCCACGTTGAATTTTGAAAACGGTTTACTGATTTTTTTATAAAATTATATAAAACTTCAAATGAGAAAATTTGAAATAAATCACAAAAAATAAACGTCGCATTATTTTCAGAACTTTACAAGTAAGAAATATTTATTTTTAAAAAGTCCACGTGTCATAAAATTATCTTTAATTTTCAGATTATTCTCCAGAATTTCATTTTCTAAACAAAAAGTTCGAGTTTAAATATAAAATATTCTGGAAACTCTAAACTTGGAATGCCTAGGGACATATCTAAATCATGATACAATTACCAAGCCTCCGAAAAATCACCCACCTCAACAATTTCATCATCATCATTCGAATCAATTCGAATATTTGTCACAAAATTCGAAGCCATCTGCACAAATTCACAATTTAAACAAGGTTCAGATCTCGAATTCGCCACTTTTTTCTGCTCATTCTCATCTATATTTTTCTTCTGATCTACTCTATTTTTTAGAGTAGAAGAACTTGAAGATGATGATTTATTAACCGATTTCACAAGTTTCAATTTTGCCGAAATCCTTCGAAACGTGGCAAGTGCTCCTTTCTTTTCAGTTTTCTCATATTTTTTCACCATTCTTTTCGCATTTGCTGTCACAATCACATTTTTCCACATATCATCTACTTCACCAATTGGTGATTTTGGCTCGCCATTTATCATAATTCTTCCATTTTCTGTATAAGTTCTCGATTCTTTGCTCCTTTTTCGATTGTCGTATAAAGAACTCTGCCTTGGCGCAGAATATACATCGACAAATGAATTTTCATTCATTATTGTGATCATTTTGGAAATTGCTGGAAATTAGAAATGGGACCAGGTTGGTCTGAAAAGATGAAATTGGAAAATCAGAAAATTTCGAAAAAAAAATTAAAAGAGTACTATATAAATCTAAAATTATGGTTTCATTACAAAACACAGCGTTCAATTTACTATCCGAAAATTTTCCCGCATTTTTTGAGACCTGACACAATCTTAGGGGTGGGACTAAAAGCGACGAAATTCAACGCACAATTGGGAGAGATTTAGAGAAAAATATTTTTGATCTACCAGAAATTTTTTTGAAAAATTTGAGGTCTAGGGTTTGAGGTAGTAAATTAAACACTGTGCAAAAATATTGGTCCATCACAAAGAATTAGGTTGTGATTCGAAAAATAAATGCAAAAAATTTGAAGGAGAACAGAAAAATAGTTCATAAGAATCAGGGCCAAAATAAATTCAAAACTAAATCCGAAAATGGCTGAAATTCGCAAAAACCTCTATAAATAAATAGGAAGTAAGATCAATTCCAAGTCTAATTACAAAAAAATGAAAAAAAAAACACAGAAGACCTACCAAAAACTGGTTTTTCATTCTTGTGGTTGCGAAAAAAACATATAGACATTGAGAAAAATAAATAAATTGATAAGAGATTTAATTAATGTTGGAATTTCTCATTTTTTTGGTTTGGTTAATTTGGCACAGGTCACAATTAAAATTGAAATACTTGAGAAAAGAGAAAAAAATGTGTAGATCAAAAGAGCGATTTTGGAGAAAAATAGTTTTATTGTAAAATTTATCAGTGAGTCAGAGAGTTTAGAACTCGCACGACAAAACTATTGAAAATTCGAAGATCAGGCAAAATTTGTCGGCAAAGTTCAATATCCGAAAAAAACCGTTCAAAACCACTAAAAACTTTATCACAGCCTTGAAAACAGAAAGATCTTCGGACAGACTTTTATAGACCAAAAAAATTTTATGACACCGTCAAAATTTTCCGCGTTTTTTCTATATCTCTGAGATTTTGATGCGGAAAACTACAAAAATCACAAAAATGATGAATGAATATGATTTTCCAAAAACACTATTTTTATACGGAAAGTTCCGATTTGCAAGAAAGAGAATTGAAAATTCGTCAAACAAATTGTGACGTCGAAAATTAATCAACAAAAAAACAGTGATGCAAAAAATTAGGTTGAAAATGAAGAAGATTAGTAATCAGGTTTGAAAAATGGGCGGAGCTTTCGAAATATTTAATGAATTCCCCCATTCAAAATAATTTTGTTCGTCAAAAAAATAAAACCTGTCAAAAATTCATTATAGAAAAATATGCAATCAATAAATTATGGCCAAAAACCGAAGCACCCGATAAAATTAAAGTTAAGTACTATGTTGACTAGCTTAAGTACAGTGAAGTGAAAAAAATTAAAAGATTTTTACAAAAAGTTCCCGAAATTCAAGAAGATATCCATTTTTGTACAAATTCATCATTTTCACATTGTGCTTTCTCTTCATACCATTTCCAAACATCAGGAATCTGGAAAACGGTGAATATTTGAACTTTGACTCCATATTTTGTGATTTTCATTTTTAGACCCAAAATTCCGAAATTTTTGAAATAATTTCAAGTTTTATCATGAGTAATCCTATGGAAATGGTTTTTTGAAAATTGATTATTTGACATAAATATTTGAGTCTCAGTAAACGAACAAACTTATGCAATTAGATTTCCATGGATATTTGCTCAGCCTCTGTTAAGTTACAAATTTTCCACTAATATTCATTTTAAGATTCAAAAACCCTTACCGCTTTTTCCGGAATCAAATCGTCCGTCGCATTTTTATCACTTTGTTTCCACAACAATTCACAAACTCGACAAATTCCATTTCGATATCCAGGCGCATTCCAAGGTGCAGTTGTCCAAGTTCCAAATTGGCGCCAAGCAAAATATTCCAAATATGCAGTACTATTGGATTCGAGAGCTCTCAAATGATTCGCCATTTCATGCGGATTTTTGTAGTCATCCATTGCGATAAACGATTTTGGTGGGAATGTTCTGGAAAATGGGATATTTGTAGAGTTTTCGGGGGAAATTGAAACAGCAAAAATACCTTTAATTCGAGTCTTGGACACATTTTTTCACTTCAAAATTAATTTTTTTCAGAAAATCAACGTGGAATTTTTTTTTAAAGATTTCAAAGTTTTGAATTAATTTACCAATTTGAAGCTATTTTTTTGTTTTTCAATGTATCTAAAAATATTCTTCTCAACATTTTTTGAAACAGCAAAAAATTTACAATTAGTTCTGCTCTTCTAATGTTATGATCACATAGATTTTTCTGAGAAAAATCCACATCAAATTTCTTTTAATATTGAAATGTCTAACAATATTCCTATCTGCAACTTAAAAATAATATTGAAACTTTAAGTTAAAAAGTCTTTAACCTTTTCTGAAACAGCAATGTGATCTAAAAATTTCTAGATTTTTATGACTCATAAAAAATTTAATAAGTGCAATAAAATTGGAGTTGATGATAACAATTGAAAAATTAAAAAAACATAAGTTTCAGGATTTTCCACTTCTGAAAATCCCGTAAAAAACTTACGATTCATAAGTTTTTTCGCCGCATTACAATTGGAATACTTGGAACTGAAATACGATTCCAGAATTTTTCAGTGATGTAATCGTTGCAAACCTATAATAAAAAAAGCATTTTTCGAGAACAAATTTACCCTCTAACCAAACACCTACCGTATTCTCGACAGCAATATAAAATGGATACTGTTCAAAAATATCCAAACAAAAGCTTCCCATTGGGCAAATATCTCGTAATTCTGCAGTTTTTCCACATTTTCCACCAATTGTCACATTAATATATTTGGCCAATTCCTCAAATGCTAATTCTCTTTTTGAATCTGTATAACAATTCGAAATCAATCCAAATATTCCATTTCTCGATTTCTTCGTAATTCGTTTCGGTTGCACATAATAACTTTGAATTTTGAATCCGCGACTTTCAGCTTTTTGGCTCGAAATGAAAAATGAACCATATTTTGAAATGGCATCAGATTCTTGGAGGAAAGTCAGGGACCAATTGAAGAAATTGGGTGGGATGAAAACATTGTTCTTGCGGGAGTTTTTTGGTGTTTCCATTGTGTGGAAAACGTAGATTTGCTGTGGGCGACGGGTATTTTGATCAGGAAGTGGAGAACTATGAATATCAGCACCGTGGAAAACAACAGCATCGGAAGCATTGATTTGATCGCGATTGAAATCAATGACACATCGATCCTGTAAACATTATTAGAATTTATCAGATTGGGTAGATGGAATAGGTTTTGGCCAGGCAAGCTAAAAATTGTGGCCAAAGTATAAAAATGATTTGGTAACTATTCGAGAAATCCTTCTATTTATTCACAAAGGAAATGTGTGATCATTCCCCGAAGAATTTTTCATACATCTACTTAGATTCGATGCTTGAGACATATTTCACACTAATTATTAACCGTGTAATTAAAAAAAAAAGAAAAAACTAAGCAAAACATTTGTGAATTTGTTGAAGAAATACACGTTTTCTTTCAAAGAAAAAATACAAGAAATGATCAATTTTGGCTGAAATTATAAAATAACGTGACCTTTAATTGTTATCTTCGACGTGAATCTCGAAAAAAAGAAGATTAGTTCAGAAAACTGTCAGTATTCGACAACAATCGTGTGGCAAATGGCGGAAATCAACAAATGCGGGAATGTTATGACAATGCGAGAGGGAACTCCCGGTAACCAGCCGAGGATAAGTTTTACTGGAGGCCCGCGCAAGGGGCGATTGGTTTAAAATTCCCAGGCACGAAACAATCACCGGCATTATACGTTCTTTTGAATTTAACCTTTTCAAAAAATTATCATAAAAAAATAACTCAACTAAAACATAAATCAAAAAAAATTACGGTAGCGCTATCGGGCGTATTAATGTCCGGTGTTAGGTTAAGTAAGTAAGTAAGTAAGTAAATTCGAAAAAAAAACAATTTCAAAAATAAGTAACTTCGTGTCTGGGGATCCAGTCTGCCAGGTTACCTCAGGAGATATTGCTGGATTCATCGACCATCGACGACGACGAGGAGGAGGAGAAGGTGAGGTCAGTTTAATTTTTTTGGGAGGTTTCTTTTCAGGTGGACCGGGGGCTTCTGGCTGGCATGACAATCGAAACAAAACGGACCTCTGGGATAAACCAGCCTAGGATCGTATTTTACGTGAGGCCCGGAAACGGGGCGCTGTACACAAACTTCTCAGATACTTCATAATCCTTCGGGGTTGTGCTAAATTATGGGTTGCTTGAGACAGAGTTGCTGGGAAGCAACTTTTACACATGCTCTTGTCAATTCCTTTAAATCTATCCACCACGATCCGAAACATCAGGCGACTTTGCGTTTCTTTTTCAACACTCGTACTTAACTCTATTATTCATATTTTCACTATTTTTTATTTATCATAAATTCAAAAAAAAAATCTTACTTACACCTTTTTTTAGTTTAACTCAATAGAAAAAATCAGAAACCGATAGCGCTACCGGACGTATTGTCGTCTGATGTGGCAGGATTGTCATTTGGGGTAAACTTTGAATATATATCTCGATATATATTCAAACTTTATTCCCAAATTTTCTACTAAATTTCTTAGGTGTCTGGGGTAATTGTTTGTGTACAGTTGCTAGGTGAACTAGAGGAATATGATGGAGGAAATCGACGATCGACGAGAAATTAAGCCTTCGGTCCGGGAACGGGTTTCAGATTTTTCATAACAGATCGAAAGATTCGGGATTTGCCAAAAAGGCCCGAATCTCCTCCGAGGATCTTTCACATGGGAAAGGGAGGGGGCCTTCTCAAAAGGTTGGCCTCACCGATGGCGAGAAGGTGTAACCCCTTTTTGTCGAAACTGACAAATTGGGGGCTAACAACCGTAGTTACCGCCTCTCCCTTTTAAGATTAGGCCAGGTAAGATGGCCTTGTAAGCTAGGTTAGTGTAATCAAACAAAAATATAAAACCGGAAGGTATTTTCCAATTTTTGAACAAATATTTAACGGGGTGTTCTCATATCCCAAAAAATAATAAATGGGGTTCCCAATTGTTTTCTTGTTTGTGAGAAAAACGTGGATTAAACTAGGTCACGTTTACGTTATTTTTATTTGATAAATTATTTTCGAAATTCATGATTTGACCTAATTATTTCACGTGATAATTTTTCAAACAAAAAAATATGGAACCACATCGAAGATCTATTTTACTATAAAAAGAATTTTAGCTGTATTTTAATTCATGAATATTGTGAAATTGTAGAATACTTGTAAGTTTACATGGATTATTGATTTCAATCGGAAGTTCTTTTCAATTTTGCACCACAGGAATTCAGCCATTTGGATTGGAACTTTGATATTTATGAATGAAAATTTTGAATTCTTTTTCCTGGTTTTGAAATTTAGAGTTTTCAGATTCACAATATTTACACCATTTTCCCAAAAAATATCAATCCCAAAACTCACAGTCAATCCCGTACAATCAGCCAATTGTTGTGACTTTGCTTGCGCGCCAAAAATCGTCGTCCAATATAAAATTCGTTTTGGTGCCAAAGTCTCGAAACGATGTCCAATTCTGAAGAAAAAATGGTCTCTTTATAACAACTGTTTATTTATTTAATGTTTGCAATTCCCAATTTATTTTCTACATAGACATTTATCGAATGTCGGATTTCGATCCATTTCGACGTGTTCGGCCTGAAGATATTCCTCCAAAATGGACACAATTAAAGTATTATTCTTATTTAATGCTTACCAAGGAGCAAAGGCCAAGAGCAGCTAATTCTATACCGTTTTTAATGATTATTACAATTTTGCTGCAGGTTGAATACAAGATTTTAAATGAATTCTAAATAATTTCAGGTTTATTTGCTCTATGTAATTACTATTATTATGGAAACAATGAATCAAGAACGGAAAAACTTATTGAAAATTTGTTTGATACTTTATATACCAATTGTTTTCATAAGAATATTTCTTGGAATTCCATTGGAAATCGCTCATGGAAAATGGAAAATAGCTGGATTATATATAACAACTATTATTTATTTAGCTCTTGTTGATTCCTACAGTGACACCTACTTCATAATTATTTTATTTGATATTCCAAGTTTTTCGCTGGTCTCTTTACATTGTTCTAATGTTATAAAGGTTATGCATAGGTATACGCTAAAAATTCAGACCTTCGAAATTTTTGTAGAACTGGAAACAATTCGAATTCAAAGATGTGCGAATGATTGGCGGATTCACACTATTTGGCCCATTAATGATCACACTGAATATTTGGAAATTATTTTTTAACACTCATAATCGAAATAGTATAATACGCCTTGACATACATATTCTAACAGCAATCGGATACGGATATCTTATAGGATGCACAATGTTCTACAGGAACCCGGTCAGATCAGTCATCAGCTTTTCAAAACAAAAATCTTTTTTTTCAGAAAACAAGTATCTGGATAAATCTACTCGTATTAATATCGTGTCTAGTTATATTTCTATTCCCGTTCAGATTAATAATGCATTGCATTTCATAGCAGCACACTTTTTTTTAGCTTTCAAAATCATCTAAAATGTCAACTTTAACATAGTTTTGAAAAAGAAATATTATGAAATAAAAAAAGTGTGTTTATATATATTATCATTGTATGGTTTCCGATAAATGATTCATTTTGTTTTGATTCGTTTTTTGTATGGATTATACAGATGATATTTATATGACGGGCCATCGAAGGCGCCCGGCAGCTTTTTGGAGATATCTATCTAGTTTGGTGTTGACAACAAAACAATTGTCCATTGCTTCGAATGGCGCACCGTTCTTTATGATTCTTATGATTATGATTGAGGTATGTGAAATACTATGAGTTATGCTGTTTTAGACAAACATAAGGGGAGCTACCTCAAAATTTGGGAAGATACCGTAACAATTTTTAACTTGTAGTTATGTAGATTTTGCCTAGAACGAAATGTTGAAGTTTTCCATAGCTGCAAAATACAGTCTATTTTTTCCTAGATTTTCTACATAATAAAACACATCGAAAGTCAACATGCTGCAAGTGTCCTATGGTCTGCTCATTGTGCTCTCCACCTTTTTGTTCAAATAATTCTCGGAATTCCCCTCGAAGTTGCCTATGGCTCATCATCTGTCGGTTTCCTATATATATCATCTCAATGTTATTCAGCTCTGATTGTTTCAATTTTGGAAAACGCTTATCGATGTATTGGAAGCGATGCGGCGTGTTTTGCTCTAATAAGTTTGCATTGCACAAATATTGTTGAGAATTGGTATAATTTTACGATGAAATACACAAGACTTCTCATAATGTTTTTGATGACTTTTCCGATTATTATATTCTATTCGCACATTGAGACGCATATTCGACAAATTGAATATGGAAGATATGCAGCACATCCATATCATGGAATACTTGCCAGTTGTTGGATTGGATTTCTTTTCGCTCATTTTTGGATGCATCGGGATAGAGAAAGAGTGAGTCTTCAAATTCAAAATTCTCAGAATTATTTCATTTATTTTTCAGCGTCAACCATGGTGGCGTCCAATGACAGTAATCCTGCTACTTCTTTTATACTACATTATTTTCGCTCAAAATCTTTTCGGTATTGTGCCAAAACAAACAACGACGGAAACACCCCAAAACTGGTCAGAACATGATAAAACTGTTAATAGACTTCTTGGTGATTGAAAATAAATATATTGTTCGTGTCCTCAAATTTCATAAATCTTTGTTTACATCATTGTTCAGTATAACAATGTTATCGATTTCTGATATTGCTAGCCTTGTTCTAACCGTTTCTCAATATCAAGATTCGCTCAATCAACCTCCTTGGCTTATTTTCATCTTACTTCTTCAACAAACCCATCGTCTTCTCGCTAAAATCTTTCGTGCCAATTCTATCGAATTCATATATGTTTGGATATTCGAATATTTCACTTTTCAAATAGTTCTAATTGTTGTTGGCATTCCATTAACCATTGCTCATGGTAACTTTAAAATTGGAATTTTGTATATTTTCACATTGATCTATCGAATCATCGTTGGTTTTACTTTCGATTATTTCTCGGATTTTCCAATTGGGCATACTTATTTCATGTTTATCGGTTTGCATTTATCAAATATTTGGCTGGTAAGTCTTTGAATTTTTTAATAGAAATTGAAATGCTATAAATTTTGCAGAACTGGTCAACTTTTTCCCAATCCATTATTCCTCATTTTCTTCTTATTTCTATAACATCTTTTCCGCTTCAATTCTATCTGTATTTCTCCTCCGAAATCAATAAAAATCTTCCGGGTTTCACCGAATCCGGAAGTGTTGCCTGTTTGATTTTTGGATATCTCTCCGGTTATTATTGGATCTATCGAGGTGCCAAATCGAGATATTCCGATGTTTTAAAAGCTTTAGGTTGGCTAATCGCTTATTTGATTTTCGTCGATTATTGTGGATTCCGTTTTATTTACAAGTTTGATGATATTGGTAGAACTTTATATGACTAATTGATATTATTTTATTTATATATAAATAGTCAAATATAAATTGTTTATATTTCATTTGTTGTTCGAGAGATACTTTTCGTTTTCAGAATGATTTCAGAAATACTTGACAATTTCTATCAAAAATGGACGAATTGGCGAATGATTTCAACTATTGTTCTAACACAACATCAAACATTAAATTCCTCAAATTCTCCACCATATTTTATGATCTCAATAATAATTTTATCATTTTTGAATTTCACTCAAAAATGGATTTTTAGCAATGAAATCTCAATTTTTTATTACTATCATTTTCTAACAATTCAATTGGTTAATTTTTTCATAGGAATACCATTAGAAGTGGCACATGGAACTTCGAAAATTGCATTTATTTATCTTACAAGTTTAATCTACGTTTTTGTAACTCTACAATCTCTTTATTGGAATTTCAAATGTTTGGGATTCATTCCTTCAAGTTTTTCATTAGTTTGTTTGCATTTGGCAAATGTAATGGAAGTTAGTTTGAATTATTTTTAGAAGAAATTAACAATTTTTGGGTCAAAAATATCAAACATTTCAGAAATGGCGTGATTTCCGCTTAATGCCACTTCGATTATTATCTCTTCTAACATTCATAATTCTCCCACATTGTGTTGAAATCTATTTTATTCAAAATCAATTTTCCAATAAGAAAGCTTTCCTCAAAGTTCAAATATTGAATTTTATTGGAATTTTTGGAGCAGGACTTTTCGGATTCGTTATAGGAAATTTTTGGATTTATAATGAACATAAGAAACCGATCAAGTTTAAAGTCGTATTTCGATTCTTGTTCTGGATTATCGGATATCCATTTTTGATGCATTGTTTCAAGGAAACTTTTAAATTTTGAAATAAAATTTTTTGTGGCGAAATTTGAATATTTTTAAGACTTTTCCCAAAATCCTCACCGATCTTTCGAAACTGTCAAGTATAAATGTCGTTGTGGTCTATGAACAGGCACATGACTTCCATCATCAAATCCAATTATACAATAAACTGCGTAAAGCCCAAAAATGGTGCCAAATATGAGCAATAAATTTCTATATACACTGGCGGGCCGTACCCTCATTATTGCCTAAAAATCAAACTTTCTCTGAAATTAAGAAGAGTCGCAAAGATACTATGAAAGGAAAATAACCTTTTGTCACATAATATATAAGTTTATGAGAATAAATATATCACAGAAAAGTTCATTTGAATATTTACAATCCTCCCATTGTTTGTCGTTCATTATCAGCTGCCCATTCTTCTCGTAACTCTGTAGAAAGCGAGGCGTATAAATGATCCCAAGTCCATGGAACATCTTCTTCTGTTATTTCTTCTTTTGGGAGAAGATGACGACCAAGAATTGAGATGTCTGAAAAACAAACAATTTTTGTTATCATGAATTATTCGAAAAAAAAATTGCGTGGGCTTCAAAAACTGCTGATAATTTTTTCCACAAAAGTCATCATACATTTCTAAATTTAGAAAGCTTCCAATTTTGAAAATGTCGCCAGTTGCTAGGCAACATTTATGACTAATACTAATATTTCCTCTTCTAAACCAAAAATCTCACCAATATGTTCTAATTTGAAAAGATATGCCAATTTTGGATTGACGCCAGCAGTTCCCAACATCGGATTCATTTTGTTGAGAGAAATGTTGGGAGCTTTTGAGATACCTTCGACTCCGATGTTTGTTCTTGAAGAAGCTCCGCCATTCTTTCGATCGTTGTCACTTTCATCGTCAAGGATTACATCTTCCAGAGTTGATGCTGAAATAATGTTTTGAACAGCTTTCCAGACAAACAAAATAATATGAAAATGAGCTGTTTAAATCAACGTGAGAAGCGTGACTTATCCAGACATATTCAAATTCATTACCAGAAAAAAACTCACAAATTTTCGAAACTGCTTGAAAATTAACAGGAGGCTGTGAACTGTCATCATCGGCTTCTTTTTCCTTTTTCCTTCCACCGGCTTTTGACCCGGGCCTACGAAAAAGCCCTGTCAGTGGTCTTTTCAAGGTTTCCGCGGCATTTTCTTTGAGATTTCGTATCGGACCACCATCTTTCAAAATGTTTCCGAGTCGTGATGTTGATTTTTTGGTATCAGGATCAATTGCAGTTTTATCTTGAACGCGGAAATTGAGATCATCGTCTGAAAATTAGCATTCTTGAAGGAATTTTAGAGAAAGTAAAATATTTACGTGTGATTTACGACTACAAGAAAGTGCATTACAGGACAATATATTTTTTACCACTTTTTGATGAATCATCGTTTTCTTGAATTGCTTTTCGCCGATTCATTTTGACTGAAATTTAATTTCGAGCTTTTTTCAATTTCTTCAGATAAATAAACAAAAACTGAGAATTTCATTTAACAAAAAGAGACGAATTTTCGAGGAAAAAACATCGAAAAAGTGTGAACTCTTTGTAATTTTTGAAAAATCGTTAAAAGTTCCAAAATAAGAGATTTTTCGAGGTAAAGTTCATTGTGGAGGTTTCCGTGCACCAAGAAAGCAATGAAGTAGTCAAATAAGTCAAAATTTTTCGATTTTCAGTAAATTCCAGAGCAACAAAAAAATCGATAGTTGTTGGGAAAAATTGCGAAATATTGCATTTCTCGGGAAATCGCATGTTAATTTTCGATTTTTCAATTTTCTAAGTAAAGGAAAGCTGTAGTTAACCACCAAACAATGATTTTTCAGTCAAATTTAAGAATCCTAAATTTGACTCTGAAAAGTGCCGAAAACCACTGAATTTCCAAGGAACTTCACTCAAACCATAGGTTTTCGGACCCGAGGAAAACGATAAAAGTAGTGAAATCTTCTGAAAACCATGTTTTTCCCCCAAACAACCGACCCTCAGGCTAAAAAATCGGAAAATAAAAAAGTGCCGCGACGCACACTTCCATGCGTCGCGGCTTCTAGAAGGTGCGCCCAGCCAATCAACACACGCCAATGGGCGGAGTCAACCAATCAACAGCGGGGCAGTGCAATCGCAGGGTATATAAAGCGAGGTGTCGCGCGCGCGCGTTCAGTCGCTCTGCTCTTTCAATTTTTTGAGAGAGAAAGAGCGCTGTGTATGAATGGTGGCTTGCGTTGCGTTGCCCTCCGTACAGCAGCCTCCAAGTATAATGGCGGTGCAGACGATGATCAGCGCATCATCATCTTCTTCTACGAGCACGCAAACTGTCGAGGATCTCAAAGAGCGTTTGCTTACCGCTGTTGAAAATGTAAGATATACATTACATTACAGTTTTTAATAATTTAAACATCATAATTAATCACACAAAACGGGCAATTTGTTTTTGTTTTATTTTCCACTTGTTTTTCGTTCCAGATAGTAAATAAAGTAAATTTTTTATAATTGTTACGGTTTTTCCGACGAAAATTTCAGCTTTTATTTAAATTAAATTCAAAAAATGGGTCAAACTAAATTATAAAAGTCTGAAAATCTTGTTTCTTTAGGAGCAGGAAGATGTATGCAGTACACTGCTCGATGATCTGCGAAAAGCTGTGACAAATCGCGAAATTCTTGAGGTACAGTTTTTTCAACAAAGCATTCCAGTTTTACTGGGCAAAAAGAACCCAAGCGCCTCTGTGCTTGTCTTTTGCCTCGAATGAAACGAATTTTGCCCCTCCCCATTTTTCTCTCTATTCCTCTCCATCTCTAACCCCAGCTGCTAGCGTCTCTTTTCTTTTTTGTTGTTTATTCAATCGATATACGTCGGCCTTTTTCTTGTTTCTCATGCAGTAGAAAAAGGAAAAGGCGGGAAAAAGGGGAACAATAGGGGGCAAATTTGTTTCATTGATGATAATAACGATATATACAAAGAAAAGTGCAAAATTGGTCTAACAAGACCAATTTTGCACTTGAAAAACAGAGTATCCCCGCCAAAACGTGTTTCGTGTGCTACGCAACGCGTTTTTCTCTGGGGATTGAGTTAAAACACATATATTCAGATTAAAACCATTGAGAAAATTTAGAATTTAGGTAAAAATCGCGATTCTTTCTAAAAATTGCAAGTGTGCTCTGCTGTAATGTCGAATTCTCATTAGAGCAAAGTTGTATTTTTTTTCAACATGCTTTTTTTAAATTGGATGTTCGATAGAGCGTACTTGTTATTTTTTAAATTAAAATTTGAAATGTATTTCCAATTCATCAAAACATTAAAATGAAAATTCCAGATAACACGCGTCGGTTTCCACGTGAACAACGTTCGTAAAAACTACCTCAAAAAATGGCCAGTTTTGTCGAAAAAGTGTCGAGACATGATCAAAGCGTGGCAGGATTTTGTCAGCATCGAAGAGGTTTTTGATTTTTGCGCAAGAAAACTCAAAATATCTTGCGTTGTTCCAGAGAAATCGCAGCGGTGCATCGTCAACCAATACAACTCCAAGCTTAGCATCGCCAAGTATGGCAAATTTGGCGAGACGTGGTATTACACCAAATACACCGTTGAATAGAAGGGTTACTAGTACTGGTTTACAGGGTAAGAATGGGTTTCTCTGGAAAACAGTGTTGTAGAATGTGAAGGGAGTGTTTCGTCTGAAAAAGTAAAAAAAAAAAGGCCAACCATGTTTGCTCTATCGCACACATTTATTCATTTCTGTGTACTTCTCGTGGAATTCATAACGTTTTGTGACAAAAAATACGATTCATCAAAAAACTATTTATCCTGTTGAAAATGTTCGTAGCTAGATGTTTTTTTTGTGAAAAAAGTTGCAATAAACAGGAAAAATATAGTTTTGACATTTGGTGAATCGAATGTTTTTTTTGTCAAAAAAATTTGTTTCGATATGATAAGGTTTAAATAGGTTTAAGGTTCGATTAAATAATAGATATTCAAAAACAGACAAAGAAATTCCAGATCCATTTTCTAACCAAAAAATTTTTTTTTTAATTCCTCAAATTGCCACGTCAAAGCTCACGTCAAAAATTTGCAGGTCGTCTCAGCGCCACAGTTTCTCCTGCAAATGGTTCATATGCTCCAAGAAGTAGTCAAATTTCACCTCTTGGTGCTCCATCAACATCTTCAGCTCCTAACGGTCATCCAATTCACAAATCTCAATCAGTTGGCGGCGAATTATTAAATAATCAAGAAGAAGTGTCGAAAAAACGAAAAGCTGCAGAAGAATCGGCCAGCAATTTACCTCAAATCAAACGCACAAAAACAGCAGCCGGTTCGCTGGTTTCGCCTGGAATTGTGTCTGGTGGAGCTTCGGCTGTTTCGGATGCTAGAAAAGCAGTGCAAAGTACGAGGGATTTATTTGCAGCGATGGTTGGAAATTTGCCAGAACATATGAATATTGACACGACTATACGAGAACATGAGGAAAGGATAAAAAGAGAACATAAAGATGAAGAGGTAATAGTTATATCATTTTTTTTTGAAAAATATTCAAGAAATTTTATATTATTCTAGCTCGCTCAACAACTTCAAGCTTCTTCTCATTTTGGCCCAACTGAACGGAAAAAGCGAAAATATGAAAAGAAAAACCATCAAAACGGAGGAAATTCGACAAACTCCATCAAAAACTTGACAATAAATCCAGAAAACGGGGCAGAACCGGAAAAACCGCGAGGCGGAATAGTTTTGAAATTTAGCAGAAATGGAACAAGTGGTGTTCAAGTGATTAATCGAAATGTGGCGCCAGAAGAATCGGAAGCGAAAAAATCGATAGCCCGAGAAACAACTCCACCAATACCGAAACCACTAATAAAATTGAAGTTGAAAGAAGAGAAAAAGAAAGAGGAATCGGTGTTTTTGGAAGGAAAAGATGAAATTGATGGTCCGTCGACTTCGTCAAAAACTACAAATGAAAAGAAGAACAAGAAAAAAGATTGGAATAGTTTGATTCCAACAATGGAACAACTCAGAATTCGGGCTGAAAGAGATGAAAAAGAAACTGAAGAATTGTTGAAAGAAGTGTCAGGAGAAACGAAATTCGATCCGACGAAAGTTCAAAAAATCAAGAGTTTCAGAAGGCCCATTTTGATGTTACCGTATTTGGACAATCCATTGGGACCTGATTTTTTGGTTCATGGGTTAGTTTGTTTTTCGACCATTGTTTGTTCGAAAAAACTTTGATCATTGGAAAGTTATCAAAAACTGAATTTTACTACAGTTTCTGTGTAGTACAGAAGATTGAAAAAAATTGGACTGATTATCAAAAAAAAATTTGTGTGTCTGACTTTCACTTCAAACACTTTACAATTGAGAATATGAAAATAAGAATGTCTTTTCTATCCACATCAAATTTCACGTTAAAAATATAATTAAAAGTATCTTCTTTTTCTACAAACATATTTTTTCAGCTACCGCAACAGCCTGCAATATTATTCCGAAGACAATTTCCTCTACGGCGAAGCACGTCCCGATGAGAAAAATGTCAAAGAAGAAGAAGAATCTTCCTAGATCTATTTAGGTTTAAAGAAGACGATTAAAAACCCCCATCAAAACCCATAAAAATAATCATTTTTGCTCATATTGTTATTCTTTCTCCCCATTTTTCCCCTACCATATTTCTTTCTCTTCTTTCTCCTATTTTTCTCCGGGTTTTTTCTCTCTCAAAAACTGTTGTGTTCCGATTGTTTGTTCTTTTTTCCTAAATAATGTTGTGTATAAGCTTTATCTTTCCCTTTTTCGATTTATTTTTTTCTTGTTTTTATATCAAAAAATGCTCAAAAAAAATCTCCACCACCAAAAATATCGAATTTTTGTGACACCTAATTTGCGGGTTTTTGTTGTTCTAGAAATGTTTAGGTTATCTAATTTTATGTTTCTCTGTCCTTTTTCCTATCTCCCTTTTTTTCTTGCCTGGAATTTTATTTTTTGTGTTTTTTTTGCAAATTTTTTTTTTGGTGAATAAAAAATATAAATTTTATTCACTAAGATGAAAACTAGATAACAAAACTAAACTTATTTCTGTTGTTGATATACATCCAATAATCCTGATAATTGTCGTGTTGCTTGATCGAGAGTTTGACTGAATTGAGCGGTTTGTTGTCCGAGAATTTGTGATGTTTCGACGCGGAGATCTTCGAGAGATGTAAGTTTGGACAAATTACGGGCGAATTCCATTGAAAGAATTCGATTGTCAGCCATTATTACTGAAAAATATAGAATTTTTGATGTTGGTGAAAGTGAAAATTTTGAATTTACAAATGGTTGAGGTTCTGAAAGTTAGGAAAAAAGTTAGGTGCGCTTGTGGTCCACGCTAGCTCTGCTCGAATAAAATGACCACAAACTGCTTTTTATCCAAATTGAAAAATTCCAGAACATTTAAAAGATTTAAAATTTGTTTAATTTTAGATAGACTTTTTTCGATTACCATAGTCCTTGCCCAACTCACCAAGTGGTTCCAACCAATTCAATTTATCAGCTTCTTGAATAATACTTTTAATTGCACTCAAATCTTTGCCCAACAAAATCGCATTGGATCCAACGAGAACAACATCCAGTGATGACATTGGAGTTCCTGAAAAGAAATATAAAGTTATTTTCTATCACTTTGATACTTTGATAGTCCATTATTCGAGCATGTAGCTGTGGACTAGATGTTTCCTCAAATTCTTACCTTCAAACACTTTTTTGAGAATCTTATTTCCATAATTTCTAAATTCGATATTCTTTGATCGCAATTGATTCTTGGCAAACCACAAAGTTCTTCCAGGAACTGGCAAAAATTGGCAAACAGCCATAACTCGAAATTCCCCATTTGTCAACCATTGTTTCACTAAATTTGCCAAAGCCAACTCGACTTCTGAATATTTTTTGCTCTCCTCAATTTTTTGACGATAGGCGAAATCTGGACTGACACATGTTTTCTGAATTTGCGGCACTTCTGGTTGAAGAGCGGCTTCGAAAAGTCGGCGTCTGGAAAATTGAATTATTATTGACATTTTTCATATGTTTACTTACTTGTAATGTCGTGGAGTTGGTCGCGGATACTTTGAAGAAACTGCCCGTGTTTGAAGCGCTAATAGATTTCTCCCAATCATGCTGGAAACAACTGAAACTTTGTGAGAAGAGAAAAAAAAAGAAAAACGAATAACTACGGTCGACAAAAAAGTTCATTGTGTTTGCACAAAACACACAAGTACGCGCTATTGATAATATTTCGCTGTCTGCGTCTCTATGGAAAAATGTAAATCTCTCATTTGTTTTTTTTAATTTACGGAGTCTGCAGTGAAAATTTGGAGTAATTCTGCGAAAATTATCATTTTTTGGACATAAAAACTATCAAAAGTCAAATATCAGAATGATCAAACTGAGAAAAGTTATTCATGTCAAATTTTTAAATTTAAATCTAGGGTACAGAGGTTAAACGAGACAAAATGATTGATTCTAAAAAAAGTTATCAAAAATACACAATAAAAGAATCCAAATAAAAAATTATTATTTCAATCGAGAGGCTGTCGCGACATGTCGAATTTCACTGAATAATGTCTCATTTTAACAAACAGCTAATTCAAGAAAATCAGAAAACAAACCCAAAATAATTTCAGCCAACAAAATCATGCTGGCCAAAAAGGAGGCCGAAAAATGGAAGACGAAAATCGATGAGAGTTGATTGAGGGTGAACGAGGATTTGGCAGGTTTTTCGAAGAGCGAAAGAACTGGATAAGATGGAGTATAGTGATTGTCGATTGTCTGAAACTATAGAGTACTGTACTAGATTTGGTAGACACGTGGATTTTTTGAGGTACGCTGGAAAAAATGTTTTATTGGATGTTCTATTGGGAGCCACGTGTCAAAGCAGCCATCTGCTTAAAACTGTAAATTTCAATGTAGATAATTTCGACCTAAATATGATTCTAAAAAATCTTCAAATCATTTTAACACTCTAGAAAATATGCTACAAAAAACTTCGAATAATTTTTTAAATACAACAAATTCTAGCGACCGAATCTGAAAGTTTCTTATTTTTAAATATTAATACGAAAACAAAAATGTTTAGTTTCAGAAAACCCTTTCAGTTTATTACCGCAAACGCTGGCAACATTCGAATAATGGCATCATTCAAATCCGAAAGATATGAAAATTTGGGACGAACTATGAATCCAGCTGGGCAAACCTGAAACATTTTCAGACAAAATACAATACACTTTTTTCCGAAAACATACAGCAAAATCTTTGATGAGCCAAACACTCGATTTGAAACTTTCCTGAGTGAAAATTGAGAATTTTGATGAGATTCGTTGTCCTGGATACCATCCAAATCCAACGACTGGCACTTTTTGCTAAAAAACTTTTTTGTACAACGAGATTTTGAAAGGAATTTTTTTTGACAAACATTTTTGACGAATTCGGGGTCGTTCAGTAGACTGGAATCACCAAAAACTGGCGAATTTTGGCTGAGAATTTCAGAAAAAAGTGCGGAACATGTTGAAGAAGATATATCTGGTGGACATTCTGGCAATCGATCTGGTGAAGTTGTTAGAAGTCGATAGGTTCCTTTTCTATAGAAAAATAAGATTCTTCAAAAATTCGGCTCTATTGGTGACTCTCAGAAAATCAAGAAAGTTATCCCTGAAAAAATTGGTCAACAAATAAATTTTCCGACTTTCTATTCTTCAGACCCCGTATCTAACCTCAATTGATGAATAAATCCATAAAAATCATCAAAAGGCATCTGTTTTTTATCTGAAACCACTAACATTCCACTCAATTCGGATGTATAATAATCGATAAAAACATGAAACCAACAAAGCAACCAAATTGCAGAGAAAAACTGCAATTTTTTCTAGAATTTTTGGTCGAAAAAATATATTCGTGATAAGCGGACTCACATGATAAGCGAAAAAATTGGATTTTCGATGAATTCGGATTTCGACATTAAAAGTTGAAGAAAGCATTTGAGCTATTGTTGTGTGAACACATCTGAAATATAGATAATGACGTTTTGGACGTTTTTTTAAATTTTTTTTGCTTTGGACACTGCATAATAATTGGGAAATTTTGAAATTGGTTCACGAAAAAAAAAACAATTTAAAAATTATTTTTTTGATTTTAAAAATTTTCAAAACTATTCTGTTACTCACGAATACATAGTTTCATCTTCTTTCATCGACGAAAATTCGACAAATCTCAAAACAAAAAATATCAATGAAACAATAACAATTGTAACTGAAATCAACAGCCAAACATAGGTTGAAAATGGACGAAACAGGAATCCGATATCTTCCGATTTTTGAGGATCATTTATTAGATAAACCTGTGAACATGGCAAATTATTGATTGATTGGAAATTTGGGAATCAGACTCGATTTTTTCAATGTCTCAATCTTGTCTGATTCTGAATGAACACTTATTGAAAACAACTAAAAATTTGAAATTTCTCGCCTAGATAAATATTTAAAAAATTTTTGAAGAACAATTCTCAAACGGACCCGAAAAATTGGAACAATTTTTGAGAATTTCCGACATTTTCGAAAAAAGTTTTCCGATGTTTCCGATTCCGAATTTTTCCCAGCCTACCTGGTTCACTTCAATTTCAGTTGGATAAGTGAATTTCAGGGCTTCAACTCGATCGGGTGTCATTCGAAATCTTCCACAAGCCATATCGATTTTTCCACTTTGAATATCACCCAACATGCCTACAGTAACCAATCTACAGTATCCCAAAAAATCGATAAATTTTTAGAATACCTGTTGCTGTTCCATTTTGCATAACATGGCCAATTTGATTGTGATAGTGCACAAATTCATAAGTCCATTTTAGAGCCTGCAAAATATATTGGGGTACTGTAGTGGTAAATGTACTGTAGGTACAGTATCCCAAAGAATTATGGGACACGTACTTGTAAACGAAAACTTGAAAAACCTGAAAATATATTTTTTAAACATTTCGAAATTAATTATTTCGCTTCAAGGATTACTGTATCTACCGTACCTTCATCAAAGTTTCGCACTGCTCAATTTCCAATCCAACTTGTTGCCGAATTTTGAATTTCGAACCTTTATTGTTGAGCGAAGAATCCACGGCGATTTTTAAATGCGGCATTTTTTTTGGAAATGAAATATTTGGAGCTAAAATCGTGTTTTCATTTTTCTGTTATTCTCAACAAAAAAACAAGATCTCAAGTTTCTCTCCAAAAACCTTTCAAAGTTATTAGAAGTAATGAAAAATTGTATTTATTCAAAAAAATCACGAAAAATTCAACAGAGGGAGAAAATCTACAAAAAATTTGTCTTGAAATTAATTTTTGGCGGATACACGTATTCATTATAAATCGATGAAAAAAAGAGGAAGAAACAATAAATAGATTTTTGCACCTAAAGAGAGAGAGAGAGAGAGGGAAAAGAAATACTACAGTAATCCTAGGTACGGTAGCTCGGGGAGGAATGAAAAACAACAACAACCTGATATGAGAAGACTAAGATGACAAAACAATCGAAAAAACAGAGAGAGAAAGAGAGAAGATCACCAATAATTTCCTCGGCCTCTTCCTCGCCAATTGCCACGTGGCATTTGATGATTTCGAGGAGAATCTGAAAAAAAAACATTCACTTAAAACTCATAGGGATCTAGAATTCCAGGTTTTAGGTATTTATTTATTATATACAGGTTTACAAATCAAAATTTTTCAAATTCGAATTTTTTATTCAATTCTCAATTTTGAATGTTCTGCTTTATTACGTGAAGACGCGAAACTTTGAAAAATTGATAAGGTGAATTTTGTGGGGGAAACTTCATTTTTTAAAGGCATAAATGGCGGAACCTAGACTGGATGAAATCTGCCGATTTTATCACACGGCATTGATCCTATACAATTAGGTTCTTAAGGCGTGGCTACTTGAAAACTAGAATTTTAGGTTTCGCTACTTGGGCGTAGCTTCTTGCCAGTATAAAAATCTAGAGTAAATTTCAGCCGAGACGTGGATTTATCCTTACTCCTCCCCGAAAAACTAACCCCCATAGAAATTATTCGGCGGCTGTAGTCCTCCAGATCTTCCTCTCATTCCTCCTGAACCCATATTTCCATTTCCTCTATACATTCCACGTGGCGAAGGTCCACCATTTGACGATCCGCCTCGCCAAATTTGTGGGGGAAGCGGTGGTCCACGTGGTGTCGTTCCCATTCCATTATAATTCGAATAATTCTGATGATGTTGTTGTTGTTGTGGAGATGATGACCATTCTGTTTCCTCTATCGGTGTCGGATAATTTTGACGAGAATAATTCGAGTTTTGCGGCGGAGGCGGATTGTAGTGATGATGGAAATTGGGTGGCGGAAGTTGATTTGATGTTGGTGCTTTTAATACAACATCTGATGGTGGGGGCGGCGGGGGAGGAAGAAGAATCGCGGGCGAAAATTGAGAGGTTTTAGATGAGCTGGCAATTGCGGCGAGTGGAGGAAGGGGAATATTGTTTTGTGTTGTTGTAGTTGTTGGTGGCGGAGGTGGTGGAACAGGCAGAGGCACTGCAAAAACATATGTTTGATAAAATGCCAATATGATAATTGGTACCAATTCAATTTTTGGTCACAACACCTCAACAAGTGGTGTCCAAAAACATTTGTGAAATTTACAAGGAAACATGTTCTACTCAACACTTAAAAAATTGATCAAATTTTGAGAATACCAAGCTTTCGGGATGGAAAACCTCCGACTTTCATTTTTCTCCCAATCGACCTTGGAGCCAAGTTCTGACTATCAAAAACTCAAAAAAGGCATAAAATTGGTCCAAACAGGCATCATAACTCAATTTCAAAATAATTTTCGGGGGAAATGAAGTTCTCATCAGCACAGTCAATTTACTAAAAGTACATCAATAAAAAAAATTTTGTGCAAAAATTGGACAGGGTTCCGTTTTTTCCTGTGTTCAAAAATCCGAAAAATGATTTTTGTTAGTAATATCTTCAGAATGGCTAAATTTTCGAGAATTTTATCAATTCTTGATTTGTAATTTCTACCCCCAAATCTCTTACCATTCGATGGCGGAGCCGAAGACAACGGTGGTGGCGCTGGCGGTTTATTCACTTCAAATATTGGCGGTTTGACAATATTCGTAGGTGGCAACGGTGGAGATGGCGATTCCGATGTTTCCGAATCGGATTCGGGTGGCGGAGGTGGCGGAGGATGTTCTTCTTCCGTTTTTCTTGATCTTTCGGCTGTCCATTGATTTTAGCAGTTTCTTGCTCTTCGAGTCGATGCTTTTTACCACCACGACTTCGTTTTCCTCGCTTTTTGGGTACATTTGAGTCATCTTTTGGGGCAATTGGATCAGGAACTGGAAACAAAAAACAAGTTAAAAGTAATCTCAAAAATTAGGTAAAGCCTGGAATATTGTTTAAAAAGTTCTTTAGAAAAAAATCTTTAAATTTTGAATTTAAAAAAATGTTAAGCTTTTCTCGAGAAATTTGAACTCCACGTGGTTTTTCAGTATGAGAAATATGCGAAATTTAATATTTTCATCGCAAATGGGAGTATTGAACAACTGTTTCAAAAGTTCTTCAAACTTTTAAACAGACTTACTAATGGCTCTTTTCTTTGGTTGTCTTCCAAATCTTAGCGGGAACAAATCATCTGTATTTTTCTCCTCTTTTTTATTTTTCTGACTTCCTTCAACTTTCTCCGGTTTTTTATCTAATCTCTGCGGCGGCGATGGTGTTCGATATCTTTGTGCTTGTGGTGGCGACAATTCTCTCTGCCAATTTTCTCGCTCTTCTCTCGGTCTTCGATATCTTTCTTCCGGTGCTCCCCAATTATTTTGAGGTGGCGGCCTTCTTTGGGGCGGTATTACTTCTGTAAATCTCTGCTGATGTTGATTTATAATCCGTCGTTTTTCCCGTTCCATAAGTTCCGTAATTTGCGATGGTTGTGTCGAACTTCTCGGTCCGGACAAAAGCAACGCTTCGGGAATCGGTGCAACTTGTCCTTTTCGAATCGCATCCGCCACAATTTGCTCATCACTTCTCGAATCAACAAACGCGTCTTTCGGATCTGTGACACCGGGTGGTAATGCCATTGGAGCTGTTACACCAGTCGGTAAAATTGGCGGAGGTTGAGAATATCCAGCTGATGGCGGAAAACCGAAGGGATGCTGAGATGATGGCGGTTTTTGGGAAGCCGTGAAAATAGCTGTATTCGATAATGGTGCAGAACCTGGTTGTTGTTGTTGTTGTTGTTGGGTGGGATGAAGTACAGGAGCTGCGACCATTGGTGGAGGAATCGATGTATTCTGAACAATATTATTTCATAGATCATGAGAGAAAAATAATCTAGTAATATGATCATGTTATTCAAAATATGCTACTTGAGAACCAGGGCTTCTTGATAATTGAACTTTCAAGGCGCGGCTTCTTGGCAAAGTGTATCTCTAGATGCGAGCCCTAGACAATCAGGTTCTTTAGTAGCGGCTACCAGTTAATTGGGATTTCTTGGATCGGCCATAGCAAATTTGAAATTTTGAATTTATGGCGACTTTTGTCCAAAATATGTCTATTTTTAGAACCAGTGTTCAAAAATGCTCACCAAAAACACAGGTGGTTGCGGTGGTGGCACCGTAAATTCCTCCAAACTTCTTCTCGTTGACCCCGTTCCATCTTTACTCAATTTCTCCTCTTTTTTCTTCCTCTTTTCCTCCGAAATTCTTTGTTCAATCACATTTTTCACTTTCGATTTATCATCCTCACTAACATCTGTATCATGCATAAAATCTTTAGTCGAATCAACAACATCTTTCAATCTTTCAGTATTTGCAATGATATTCAAGATGATTTTTGTTTTCGTTTGTGATATTGTTTCAACTTCTTCTGATACCGAACTTTGAACTGGAGTTGGAGTTGAAACTGAATTCTGAACTGGTGGTGTGACTACTTGCGGTTCCGTTGCTCGAAGATCTAAATCCTGCGGTGTTCGTGGTGCTTCTCTTCTCCATGATTGATTTGGTCCCGGTTCTGATTGTCTCCAAGATCTTTCGGCCATTCTTTCACGTTCCAGGGTATTTATTTGTTCACGCATTTCGATATCAGACATTCGACAACTGAAATAAAGTTTTTTTTTAGGAAAAAAAAGAAAAGGGAAAAATAATAAAATAATAATGAAAAAATGAATAACATTTTATCCGAATGCTGACAATTTCTGACTCATTTTTTGATGATAAAAATGAATGAGAAACTCGTGATTTTCAAATGGGGGGCTATTCAGATTGAAAAAAAAATATGATGACTCGAAAAAAATTGTTGAGAAATTCACGTTCTCAAAAAACTGAAAATAATGGTTAAACCATCGACTAAAGTATAGTTTTTTCGAGAATTTCTTGGGAATTTGAGGTTTTTCTGAATTTGTTGGCAAAGAGTTTTCAGTTTGAAAGAGACTGAATAATTCTGAGAATCCAGTACAAACTTGAATTTTCAAAGATATGACCAAAAAACATTAATTGGCCAATACGTTTAGCATTTAATTCAGGTTTTCTTAAGCTCCTCCTATTTTGGTCAAAATTCCAAAAACTCACGAATATTTGAACCTTGCCGCAAATTCCGGTTTAACAATAAATAACATTAGGAAACAATCCTCTGATGTTCCAACAGTATATTTCAACGGAGCCAACGTGTCATGCACAATTTCCGAACCCTTATGTGGGAATAAGAAAACGGATAAGAGTTCAGAAAAATCCGAATCATCATCGACTTGTAATTGTCCAACCATTTCTTTTTCCATGTTAAAACCAAGTATTTCTTTATACGTTCGATCGCTCGAGTCTGCAAAAAAGTAATAATTTTGGGTTAATTTTAAAGAAAAATATTACCAGTTGGCATCATTCTCAAAACAGCAATCGAACAAGTTTTATGAATGTTCATTGCAGTGTGAGAATCTATCAAAAATTCCTGCATTCGAAGAGGGCTCTGAAAAAAATAAAGGTTTGAAAGGATATTTTTAAAAGTTCTAAAAACAGGATTTTCAAACCCGAAATTCTGAGCTCCTAAGAGCCCAAAAATTATAATCGGCCATAATTCATCAAACTCACATGAAAATCTAATCGTTTCCTATGAACTACGTTCCTACACATTTTCATAAGCGCTAAATTCTGTTCAATATGATTAAAAATCGGAGTTGCTTCGGTACGAAGATTCGATTCGCCACATTGAAGATTGAACGATATTTTCCAATCGCTGAATAAATATAATTTTTCGGTTGTTAGCTCAAAAGAAAGGCTTTTCAGAAAACAAGGCTTCAATTTTTCGGACCTTTTTCCCTGAAAAGAAACTCACTCATTTTCAACAGTCCGTGAAGAACTCGGTTCCACTGAAGATCGGTGAGTTCGAAATGACGTGGAAGCAAAATCAGGCTCATCGAATCTAAAAAAAATTTGAGTATTTTTATATTATGATTTTTAACTCAAAGTTCAATACTGGATATGTTTGAAACTGGAACCTGAAACATCGACTGTTTCGAAAATATATATTCGTCAAAATAATTTTTTCAGACTCCAAAATTTCAGAATTTTCTTTTTTTAGCTAGAAAATCGAAGTGGCATGACGAATGACATTTAGAAATTAAGAACAGCTCAAAATCAGGCAGGGAAATATTTCTAAAAATTAAAATACTTAACTTTTTGAAACTCAAAAATCTACTGTTTCGAAAATTAATTATAAAATTAATCAATAATTACATTGTGAAGGATTAAACATAATGATTTCAGACTCCGAAATTTTAGATTTTTTGTTTCGAAAAGAAAAAATATTTAATTTTTTCCTGATGAAAAATCTACTGTTTCAAAAATGAATTTTAAATTTGATTTTTTTTAAATTTGAAGCATTTCAAAATAATACTTTCACAATCATACGTCAAACCTAATAAAATACTTACGTTGGTGTATGTCCTCCACCTCCTCCTCCTCCATAATCATCATCAAAATAATCATTATTATCATAACTATTCCTTCTCCCATTATTTTTCCTTTTTCCATTTGTTTCAGCTTCTTCTTTCTCTTTTTCTTTTTGTTCTTTCCTTTCTTGTTTTCGTTTCATATCCTCTTTTCTCATTTCTTCCATCATTGTTCGATTCTTTTCTCTCCTGTCTCTCAAATCTCTTTCCTCGTTTTCTTTCTTGATTTTTTCTTGCGCATCGGCCAATTGTTTCGATTGACAAACTCGACAATTTTTCGAGAATGCATGCGACAAATGTTCGGCTGTTGTATCGCGATTATCGTCGCCAATGATTGCGTCAAGCGGTGAGACACCGACGCGACTCGAATTTGCACCAGTGCTAACGCGTGAGTCTGATTTTCGATTAGATGCTGTGGTTGGTTGTCGAACTTGCCAGCATGCTGGATTTCGAAGTTGTGCCGCATCAAATGCCACAAGTTTTTCAATGGAAATACGACTCTTGAGCACGTTGAATACAAAATTCTAGAAAAAATGTGAATTAGAACTTTTTGTTTTGAACATTGTTTCGGAATATTTCGTTGATAAAAATTATTTCTAATAAGATAAACTTCACAATATTCGATAGAGAAAACATTTTTTTTTCTAAAAATTAATTTAAAACAATCCGAAAACTCCCACCTTTGCTTTTTCTTGTTCAAAATTCTGCAGAAATTGTTGTTTCCAAATGCGATAATTGGGATGTGAAATATTTTTATCGCATTTCTCAAACAATCGATCCTCAATAACCATCGCCATATCACGAATTTCTCTTCGATCCAATCGAATTCGATATCTTTCCGATTTTTCAAACATTGAATTTTCAAAAGACTGTCGTGTTGAGTTGCGCAAACTTTCGTTTTGATCAGCTGATTTTTTGGGGATTTTTTGAGAGATCGTCTGCTTTTTCTCAACTTTTTCAGCAACAATTTTCTTGGGCGAAGAAGCTTGTTCTGCTTGATAATTATTATGAGTTGAAGAAGTTGTAACATCTACAGAAAGTGGCATCCAATTGGGCGCCAACAAACAAAACGATCGAATTTCTCTCGTATAAATACCACATCTCACTGTTTCTCCCGTCAATAAATTCATCACAGTAATCGTCTCAGCATCTCGCGCATCTTTTAAAACACTCGCCACTTTTGTTGAAATACATTTAATTGAGCAATAAAACGAGGTGGAACCCAAAAACTTTCGCCATGTTTCATATGGTGCAGTGGTCAATTTTTTGTCACAAGTTACACATTTGTTTTTGAGGTGAACACCGGATGGCGATTCAAGTATTGGGGTCCATTTTCGACGAGCTTCTTCATAGAGAGCTGAGAATGGTCTGGAAAATTGGATAATTTGAAGAAGGTTCAGTAGAAGTTAAGAATGGAAATAAGGAAACTATCACAACTTTAAAATTCGTGTGTAAAATTTTGTTGTGATATATTTATGTCGATTTTGATTTTTGTTAAAAATCCTTTGTGAAAAAGAACTTTTTAGCCGATTTTAATAACAAATAATTTTCCGAACCTCCCTATTCTCACCTCTGATACTGCAACAAAAACGGACAAGCATCCGAATCGCACGTCAATAATTGCTCTTCCGGGAAATTGTCCAACTCCATTCGATATTCTTTCGATATTCCATACTCTTTCAACGCATTTCTCATTTCGAGGAACTCATTAATCTCCTTAATTTCCAATTGTGGAGCTGTCAAACAATTGAATTCCAAAAGTGTTTGTTTTCGATCTTTATTTCCAACATTTTTCACTTTTTTATTCGATGATTTTGGTGTTTCTCTGTGAATTTGTGGAGCTAAAACCTTATCTCTTTGTTTTTCCGGCTGCTTTGGTTTCTCAATCTTTTCGGGCTTCTTCTTAATAATTACAGGCTTTTCCTCTTCTTTTTCACTATCTGTCGCACTTTCGATAACAATTTTGAAATTATCATCATCAGAATCCTCAATTTTCCTTTTTTTCTCCTTTTTCTCTTCTTTCTCTTTTTTCTCTCGTTTTCTTCGTTTTTCATCCTCTTTTTCTTTCAATTTTCGTTTCAAACTTTCTTTTTCTTTTTCCTTCAAATCTTCCGAATCCGAATCTGAAGATGAAGATGATGGAATAGCAGGTGGGGGTTGAATCACTGTTTTCTTTTTTGATGCAGATTTTGGTGCTGCAGGTGGAGGAGGAGATAGTTCTTCTGGAAAAATAAATAAAAAATATTCATAGTGATCATGATTTTTAAAGAGAAAGGTCACGTCTCAAAAATTTTTTAAACTCAATTTAAAAAAAAATTACTACAGTACACATATTTTTTAAAATCGATGTCTAAAAACTTTTTTTCAAATTCCACGCCAGTGTCGCGCTAAATCACACCTCGGCCAAAATCGTGGTTTCCAAAATAAAAAATTGTACGCTAGATTTTTTACAGTATGAAAATTGTGAATTTTTCAGTTTTTATCCTCTAAAATCTCTGAATTCGTCAGTTTTTGACCTCTGAAAACTGAAATTCAGATTTTTAAAAAAATTGTACTCTGGCCAGCCACGGGTTGGCCGAGGTGTGCGCTAAATTTATTTTTTCCCATTCCCAGCCCCAAAAATTCCAACTAACTCTTTTTTCTAGGTCTACTCGATGTCTTTTTTGGTGTCTCTACAACTTCTGGCTTCTCCTTTTTGTTCTTCTTTTTCGCATCTCCAGATTTTCTTCTTCCCGAATTTTTCTTCTCGATAATGGCAGCTACAACTGGTATCTGAAAATTTCAGCATTGAAGTTTGAAGGCTTAAAAATTAAACAAAATGCCAAAACCCACCGATTTGATGGCGCATCTTTTCAAAAATTCCACTTTATCTGCGGTGAGTATCACCAATTTCTCACTTCCAGCCATTTTGTGCTGAAATTCTGCTGAAACATTTTAAATGAAAAAATCAAAAAAATGTTTGCAGATATTTTCCGTAATTTCAACGGGTGTTTTCACACAAAAGTTTCCAAAGATAAAAAATCTATAATTTTATATACATATAAATATCTAATCTGAATCAGAAAATGATGAAAATTCCGAATCTGAATCTTGTTTTTCCACTGGATTCGTCGAAACTTCATCAGGTTTTTGGAGAATTGTCGGATCCACATTTTCAGCTCGCATTTTCAGAATTACAGCCTGTTCGACAACCCCCATTTTCAGCATTTTGAAATATTTTGCATAACGAGGATCATCGCGATTTAGAATTTCACCAATTTTTGGAGAAGGAGAAGAAGATTCAGATGGTTCGGGTGGAGAAATTGAGGAAGATGGCTGAAAAAAGAACATTTTTGAGCTTGGAAAATTGTGAAGCTTACAGTTCAAAGCCTGAATTGACCAAAATATAGATTAAAAATTTTTAATAAAAACATTTTTTTTTTCCTGTTTCTAGAGCACGTTATAAATTGTTAAAGTGTAATCAGGTGAACAGCTTTAAGCATTTCTGAATATAAAAATGGTTTGAAAATGTGAGTATATCATTTTTGGTCATTTCTAAAATTATAGAAAACTATGGGAATTTTTTATACAAAATTTTCTTTTCTAATTGAAAAACTAATTTTTCATGACAGAATTTTTCGTTTTTGTGAACTAAAACAGTTAGTTCTGCGAATTGAAAATTAAAAAAAAAATCCTCACCTCTTGAACTTCCACGGGTTTTTCCTGTTCAACAAGTTCATCATTATTTTCAATTTCTTTCGAAGTTGTCGCTATCACCTCATTCTCATCTTCCAGCTTCACGCTTTGCAATTTCTTTTCCAGCAATCTCAATTTGATTTCCGCGTCTCGCAAATTTCTTTCCGCTTTCCGCAGAGTCGTCTCCGCATTCTCGCCAAATTCATTCAAAACATCAACAATCCTCATAATTATACAATTCACTGAGCAAGCAGTTTGTCGAGAATTTATTGGCTTGAGTTTTGATAAATCTTGTTGCGATGTTAACATCTAAAATTTAAAAAGAAATTTTGAAGAGCTTTCAAAACTAAATATCAAATATCAAACTGGGCTGAATAACCCATATTTTTTTCAAAAAAAAGTTCAGAGAAATCAAAATAAATAAGTGTATATAAATATTGCTGTACAAAAAATGGCAGAAAATAGGGGTAAAAAAAGGGGCAAATCATCGGTATCAGGAGTCCACCAAATCAATCACTCGAATTTCTTCGATTGGTGCGATATGGTGTGTTGGTGTACTTTGAAGAGAACTATCAGTGCTTGGAACTGGGGAACGATCAAGAACTCGACCAAGATTTAGAGGAGGGAGACGATCTTCAGGAAGGAGAATTTCATTGATGGTTTCGACGATTGGCACGATTTCTTCGAGTAGAAGCTGGAAACATTGGAATTGGAATTTAGAAATAATTAGAAGTGTCTCAGCTAAAAATTACCTGAATTCTAACAATATCATCGTGCAATCGATTCATCTCACTTAACGAATCCATAAACCCGTCAAATAATTGTTTCTTTTTCCTTGTATCCTCATATAATCTCATAACTCGATGTTCGACCATTTTAATCCCTGTTGGTATCTTATTCTGCTCCATCGCAATCGATTTCGCGTTCACATTCAAATGTTCTTGAAGACGAGTGGCGAGTTTGAAAAATGGACGAGGACTAATCTTTGGTGTAGGTGCGGGAATTTGCGATGATTTGCCAATAACATTAGGGATAACTGGGAGAAATCTTGGAATTTCGACGAATTTTTGATAGATTTCATCATCTTCTAAGGTTTCTTGAGGGGTATTGCCATCTTTTACAGTGATAATACCACGTTTTGTGCTGGATCGGTTTTTTAGAAAAGAAGTGGTTGAACTTTGCTCATTCCCCATAATTATTTATGCTTGTGGAATGTTATTTTGTTCAGAGATTGGGCCCATTTGAATCTGATCGATTCCTGTTTCTTGCCAAGTGTTCTGATTGTCGTTTTGATTATCGTGTCGAACGTTTCCTGGAATGGAATCTGCTTCGATATCCGGCTCAAGATCTCGTGGAATAATAACCTCGTCCTGCAACAACAAAAATCAGTAAGTCAATTTTTTGATAGTTCTACCTTTGGCAATCTCTGGAATATCCACTGTTTGTCCCACTCCAAAAATCGATGATCCAGGCGAACTTCAGATGGAACGAAAGACATAGACTAGGCTTATCTCTACCTGAAATTTCTTTTCTTAGTTTTTTTCGACGGAAAACGAAACGAAAGAAAAGAAATAGAAAACATCATTCGATAACGGGACAAGTGCGCTCTACGGAAATTGTGGACGCGTGGCCGAAGCGCTCAAATTTCTAGGCCACGCGAAAAATTTCATTTTTTCATTTTCAGTTTTTTTGCGCCGAGTTAGGAGGTTTCTATGATAGTTAGAATACGATTACGGGTGAATAGATGACAACGAATCGAGCGAGCACATCGAAATTGAATGTAAGTTTAGGAGGGTTGTGAGAGAGCTTTGAAAAACAAACTTATCTTCAAAAGTTTTTATTTTTTCTGTTCTCTTCAAAATAAGCGATTTCAGAGTTTCAAAGATCTTGTCGAAATTGGTCGCGGCGGTTTCGGCGTTGTCTATTCGGCCAAACGGGAAAATGGTGAGAAGGTGGCACTGAAGAAAATCGATGGGCGAGTCTCAAAAGATCGTGTATGGAATGAGATTAAATCAATGAGATCACTCAAACATCGTAATATTGTGGAATTCTACGAAGATTTTGTTGATGGAAATGATACGTATGTTGTAATGGAGCTATGCGAATTTGGAAGTCTTCGAACGTATGTGAAAAATAATGGTGGAATCGATGAAGAAAAAGCGGCGCATGTTCTAAGACAATTAATTTCTGCAGTCACTTTTATGCATCGAAGGGGAGTTTTACATAGAGATTTATCTGCGGGCAATGTTTTCATAAAATCAATACGAAGAGGTGCGCTAATTGTGAAACTCGGGGATTTTGGACTGGCTACAAATCTGCGACACGGTGAAACTGCTTGCACAATTGTTGGAACTCCCGGATACATTGCTCCTCAAGTTTTCAATCAAGACTACGATCAAAGTGCCGATGTATTCTCTTTGGGAGGTGTTTTATATACAATGTTAACTGCAAGAGATCCTCCAAGTAAGGGGCATTTGTCATTGAATGGATTGAGTCGAAACGCAGCAGATTTAGTGGAAAAAATGATGCATATTGATGCAAGAAAACGAATTTCTCTGGCAGAAATTGCGATGAGCGATTTTATGAGAGATTTGGAAGATCCTGGAGGCACAGAATCATATGCACGATCTATTGAAAGAAGATCTAGAGATGTAAGATCATCTAGTCAACCGCCACCAATTCGAAGACTTAGTATAAGTAATCGCAATATTTCTGAAGTAAAACCATTAGGCATTTCTGAAAGAATGAAACAAAATGATGAAAATTGGCCGATGGATATGGAAAGATGTGGAGGACAACGGGTCAAAACTGCCGGAGGAAGGGTTCGTTTTTTTTTGTGTCAAAAATTATCTAGTCCAATTGTTTTTATTCCAGTACATAGTCGAATCCGACAATCGATCTCGTTTTGAAGTTGCTGCAAAGGGTGATGTTATTCATCGAATATTGGTGGTTGAATGTGATTCGCTGCGAAAATCGCAGAAAGTATTTGTTCATAAAATTGCCGAAAGACGTGAAAGATGTCGCGAGGAAAGTGAGGATTTGATTGATTTGACAACATCACCAAGTGTATTCGGAAGGTGAGTGATTCGAAAAAAAAATCATGGGAGAAAGGTTAGAAATTGATGCATTTAATCAAAGAATGTTTTATATCGAATTTTGTATTTTCTTGATCAATTCACAGTTTTAGCCAATTATTTCCAAAATTAGGTCGAAAATTGGTCAGATTTTGGCCAAAAACGCACCATAAATCGCAGATTGGCAAAAGTTTGGTCAATTTTTGATCAAAAACAAATTGGTAATTTTTTAAAAGTTCAACATTTGCAAAATCGACTTTTATTACAAAAAAAACAAATATTATTATATCAACATAGTTATGAATATCCTGGGGCAGTTCGTGGAGTTGGACAATGTTGACAAGATCCATTTGCTCCAGGTGCTCCGCGAGGTCCGGGCTTTCCTGGCCGTCCCGGCAGTCCATCTCTTCCATCTTCCCCAGCTTCTCCAGGTTCTCCTTGTTCTCCATCTTGTCCATCTTTTCCTGGTTTTCCTGGTTCTCCATCAATTCCTGGCGGTCCGGGAGGTCCTGTTCGACCGGGTGGTCCTTGAACAACTTGAGAATCATCGCATTTTCCATCCTCTCCATTTCCACCATTCTCTCCTGGTTCACCATTGGCTCCCGCTTCGCCAACTTCTCCCGCTTCACCTGGTTGTCCAGGAATTCCAGGTACACCCGGTGCTCCATCTTTTCCATTTCGCCCATTTGGTCCTTTTGGACCTGGAGCTCCAGGAACTCCTGGAGGTCCTGTTGGACAATCGAAACATGGCTCAGATTTCTCGCGTTTCGGAAGTTCACGGGCATCCAATCCCGGCTCACCATTCAGTCCTGCTTTTCCATCCCGCCCATCTCTACCATCTTCTCCTGGTGGTCCTGGTGGACCAGGAGAACCAGATTTGCAAGAACAACAAGAAGATTTGCTCTCAGCAATGTTTCTTCTTGGAAGGTTTCGACGTGGAAGATTTGAATTATGTTGAAGTCTTTCAAATTGAATAAACAAACCAGTAGTACGATGACGACAGAAATCTATCTAAAATTATTATATTTTTATATAAATATACAGTAGCCTTTATGTACATACCTCACTATGCAAATTGGTTTGAATATGTTGCATATAATTATATAACAATGGAATAGAAATGATACAAGTGAGCGTAGAAACAGTGCTAATTAGAATTCCGAAAAATGCAATTTTCCGAAGCACAGTCGCCTCATAATTCAAATCGTCCTTCTCCTTTTCGTCAGATATATTCATATTGTATGCATCTCTGAAAATCTCCGAAAACATCTTTTATACGCCGAGAATTTTCACTTTCTTCAAGAAAATCGAAAAGAGTTTGTTTGAGATGATAAGGCGTTTTTTACCCAGCTGGAATGAAATATAAACTTGATCTTTTTGGGGGCACTTTTTTATTTGTTGGAATCGGGATTCGGGAAAAGAAACTGGATATTCATTTTTTTAGAGATTCTGAATGAAATGGATTCATAGAATTTTTGAGAAAAAAAATATTGTTGCAGCCTTTCGCAACTTCCAAAAGATGTCTTCAATGATTATATGAGATTGTCGAAAATGATAAGCGCAACAATTCGAAGCCGAGTTCCAAAAATCACATTTCGCCGGCCGCCGCAATTTCCAGAAGCTGCTGCCCAACTCATGGAAAATGGAGATTTACGCATCAAATTTTCGAGATGTACAGTTTTTTGATATTTATTCACTTGAAAAAGTTGTTCACAACTAATTTTTGCAGCTCTAATTGTCCGAAAAGTCGAAAACGGCGAAATTTTCAATTGCATAGATGGAATGATGAGCAAAAAAGAGGGAGTTCACGGGCAAAACTTGACAAAAGTCAATGAAGTTTTTGAGTATTTGAAGAGATTTGAGGCGTGTTTGATGAGCGGAGGAATGGGAAATTTGCAGTGTTTTCCGATTGTTTTTAGTGCCGGCGCCAATGTGTAAGTGTTATAAATACAGAGAAATGGTGAACTCGAAATTATATTGTTTTTTTTTCAGAAATATTGCTAGTAATAATTCACCATTTTCTATAATGCCATCAACTTCGTCCACGACCAGATTTGCTTTTAGTAATATTAATAGTCAACAGAACCAGGTTGGTTGATATTTTTAATTTTAAAGAATTGGGATCTTTTTCTCAAAAAGTGTTAATTTTTCCACAATTTTCCTCTAATTTCCTTCTCAGCATTTTTATTTTCAAAAAATGAACATTTTCAGATTCCTCGATCAGCTCCGTTTCAAGTAAATCGTCAACAACAACAATCCGAATCCACATACTCGAATATAAAAACTCGAATATCCGAACAACCATTTCATCAAAAAGGCAACGATTTTCCACAAAACGATGAGAATTCGCGGCAAATTCCGAAATTCAAATTCAAAATGGACAAAAATAATCGAACAATTGCAATTCACGCAAAAGACGGTCGACTTTTGCGTCAATCGACACGGGATTTGGCGCAATTCATTTTCACTGATCCATCAATTCGACCCGACGAAGTTCGATTTCGACGTGGAACCGATCGACCGCCTGAAAGAGCCGCCGAATTATTACACTATCTTTTGCCCAAATTATCGGCGAATTAATAAATTTTACCTCTCTCTCTGTGAATAGTACAATTTTTTCTATTTGTTTTTTCGATACATAAACTATTTATACCTTTTTTTCTTATATATTTTTTCGATTTTTTCATCTGGTTTCTCACCGATTTTTATACTACCTGACAAATTGTCTGCAATTTTTTAACATCATGATTTTTTTGCAGAAATGAAATTGATTCGACACTCACAATGGACAAATGTGGAAAGATTGGATTTGTTGAGAATTTGTTCGGATGAAACTGTTGAAAAAGATTGGTAAGCAAAATTTTTGACTGAAAATCGATTTTGGCCAGTTTTTGAACAAATATTGATAAAAATCGAATATTTTTACAAAATTGTTTTTTCCAGGAGAATCCGAGCGGATGAAATGTCCCGACGTTATTCAAAACTTGGAATATTCTTCACCGCCAAAGTTTTACATTCAGAATTCGAACGAATTTTATCAGCCCCTTGTCCTGGCATCGAACCAAATATCTCCGGACAATACTCGTATAGTCATAAAGTGCTCATGGAAAAATGGATTGCTCATTTTAGCAAAGTAATCGAAGAAGAAAACAGTAAAAAATCGGAGTTGGCGATGGTTGAAATTCGAAGATGTACGAGCCTTATTGAAAAACTATTGGCTGATAAAATGAGTTTGGAAGAGATGGGCGATTTGTTGGAAAAAATGAAGATGGAGGATCCGAAAAAAGAAGATGATATTCAATTTCGACGAGTTGTTAGCACTTATTCCAATAGATTGTTGCATGTTTGGAAAGAAACTGGAAGAACTGTTTTAAATCCAGGAGAAAGTATGATGTTGCCACCGACAATCAAAAAAGATGAGGAGGAAGGTGGTTCTGGATTTATGACACCTACTTATAATAGGTGAGTTGAGGGAAGATGAAAAACTATGAGAGAATTCCCTTCATTAAATTTGAGCTGAAGCATTTAGTTCGTTAGTTTATGTCAGTTCGAAAAATATGTATTAGGTTGCCGACATTTTGAACCAAGTAAAATACGTTTCAAAACAATTTTAAATGTTTCTAAAATAAAACGTTCCATGATTTATCTTATTTCAACATTTCTATCACTTCTTTTAATTAAAAAAAATGCTCAACATTTTATCAAAAAATGCTTCAAAATTTTTTAAATTCAAACCGTTTCTACAATTTTTGATTTTTCTCACAGTTGCCTATGATCCCAATAATTTTGTTCATTTTCTACTCATTTTTTTCAATATTTAATTTCAGTTCCGCCATAACTGCCATCGCTTCGCCAATTCGAAGTGTCGCCGAAGCTATGAAAGATGCTGTGCCGATTTTCGCCGAACCTATTCCACCTCCACCAGCAGTTCACATTCCAGCTCCAAGTGCAAGTCCTCAACAACAACAAAAATCAGCTGAAATTCAAGATGTCAAAATGGAAGATGATATTTCAGTGAAAAGTGAAGGATCGGTTCCGCCAGATCGACCGGATACACCCAAAAATCATCCGAATCGACGAAGAGCTTCTGCGGTGCCACCAAAGGCAGAAGTTCAAGATCCTGAAATTTTGGCAGTTCCACAGATTCCGCCGGTGAAAAAATTGACTGGAAAACGACGAAGAGAACTTGTAGAAAGTGCGGATTCGTTTGAAATTCCATCTGCACCAATGACACCAATGCCAACCGAATGGCGAGATCAAGAATGTCAAACAGAAGTGTCGATCAAAAGTGTGGTTGGAACAACAGTGTCAGCGTCGCCGCGTCGTAGCGCCGCTTCCGCGAACACCGCTGCAACGCCGTTGCGGAAGAGTTCGCGAAGATCGGAAAAACCGGCGACACCCGCACCCACACCAACTCCTTCTGCCAATTCGTTGAATACAAGTGGAACATCATCGAATTCGTCTGGATTGTCACATAGTATTGGATGTCAAACATCGAGAGTGGAATTTGAGAAAGATGATGTTGTAACATTCTATTATGCACCTGAAAGTTTTGCAGATAAGATTTCAACTGAATTGGTCAATTTGGAGCGGAAAAAATCAGCGGGCGGAAAAAGACAAGGAGAAGAGACGATGATGGTGAGTATTTTCTCGATTATCCGAATAATTTCAAAATTAACTTTTTTGGAAAAAAAAAGTATAACTTCTAACAGAACAATCAAAAGTTTCATAAAATAATGTCATAAATAGTGTAAGATTTGAAAAATCCGGTTAAAGGTTTCGGTACCAATTTTCCGCTTTTCCGGAATGTTTTGAAAATTTCGGTTTGAAAATTCCAGAAATTTACAGCTTTACCCTATGTTTTATATATTTTAATCAACTTTTTTCCCAGGAAATTCAAAACGAAAAAGCCGCCGACGACAATGCTTCTGGTGACGAATCCGCTACAACATCACACGCGCGTCGCGGAAGTAAATCTGAATCTCGCCGCGAATTGACCTACATTGTCGACACACAAACAGCATTGGCGCAAAAGTTGATCGATGAGAAATCCTATAAATTGTTCCGCGAAATTGTTGATACGGCAACGGCAGCCGCCGCGACAGATTCGCCAGTCGTCGCAAAACGCGCACGAAAAGATGACAGGAAAGATGATTCGCGATTTTTGTTGAATAACATGTTGCGAATATTGACAGAACATAAATATTCGTCGATTTTTATGCAACCTGTCACTGAAAAAGATGCGCCTGGATATACAAATACAATTAAAATAAGAGTTGATTTGGCGACACTAAGAAAGGAAATTGATTCTGGACAAGTAACGACAAGAAATCAATTTATGTTGAAGTACGATTAATTTTTTACGATGAAAAAAACAATTGATTTTTTGCAGAGCCTACACAATGTTTGCAAATGCAGTTATGTTCAATTGCACTGGACATGATGCAAATACTTATGCTAAAAATATGGTCAGAGATCTTATGACTGATATTTTGACTGCTGTGAGTTTTATTTTATTGAGGATTTTTGAAAGGGGGATTTTTTTACCCTTTCATTTTTCAGAGTAGCGAAGAACGTAAAGGTGGAATCTCGCGTCGCAGTAAAATAATCGACGAGGCTCGAAGTTCTCATCGAAGTCAATCAATGGAACCCGAACAAATTCCGTATTTAGGAGTTCCCGGAAATCAACGACAATTATTCAAACGAGCAGCACAAACCGCCTCGAATATCATCAAAAAGATGGCCAAAAAGTGATGTTTTTATTTTTTTATTTTATTTAATTTTTCAATTTTTTCGAAAAAAGTTTTAACCCCCAATACGGAAATGTTGCAAAAACGTGAGAATTTTGTGTATTTTGTTCTGTTTTGGAACTAATTTGATAAGGTGATTTTTATTGAAAATGACATGTTATTAACATCATTGTTTTTGTATAATTTTTCGATCAGAAATTAGTGGTGGGTTTCTCAAATTATATGTGTAAAGATGCACAAAAATTCAAAGGAAATTTTAGAAAATTTCTTGAACAGCGAATTTTGGTAAATATAGAAAATTTCAAATTATTCGGTGAAATTTGGATTTTTCCAAATTTCCCCCAATTTTTTCGGTTCAAATTGACCGCAAAACGTACCCTCAAACCGATTTGTCAAACTCTATTCTTTTTTTCCCAATTCTTAACTATTTTTTTCTGTCTTTTTTATAAATCAACGCGACCAGATGCGCGCAGGAAAAACATGAAAAGAACGCAAGAATCGTACGTCATTCTCTCACATCTCAAACTTGTCATTTTTCCTTTTTCTCCCATCTGACCGTGTGTGTTTTTTATTATTTACAACAGACAACTACACAAGTTCTCTCGCTATCAGCAAACTTCGATTTTTGAAAATTTGGTGGATTGAACTTTTCGATTTGAAGAATAATAATAACAATGAGAAAATCACATTTTTATGACGTACAGAAATTGCGTTCTTTTTTTCTTTGGGTTAGAGATGATCTTTGATATGAGCAATTCTTCAAAATCCTGCAACGTGGCATTTATTTCTGGAAACAATGTGAAAAAATTGAGCTAGTTTTCCACGTGGCATTATTGTCGAATTTGAAAAATGTGGCAGCCGTAAAAAATGAAAAACAGTGCAGAGCTGAATGAATGACAAAGTCATTACTTCGTCAGTCGCGTGCGGCTGTGCGTCGCGGCCGAAAATCAATCAATTATTTGTTTTTTCCTTTGTTTTTCGGCCGCGACGCACAGCCGCACGCGACTGACGAAGTAACGAGTTTGTCATTCATTCAGCTCTGCACTGGTTTTCCTTTTTTACGGCTGCCACATTTTTCGAATTCGACAATAAAAATAGTGTTGAGATCTAAAAAAATCTGAAAATTGAGTTAAATGGCCCGGAAACACAGAAATAATAATGTTCTAAAATGAAAGTTTATCACTTGAATAAACTAGTTTTGAATATAAAAAGTCAAAAAATTACGTGAAAATTTGAACTAATTTCTTTGTCTAAATTTTGAAACAGTGAATTAATTTTTCGAAAAAAGATTATCTCTAGGAGAAAAGTGATTTCAACATCGAAAATCCGTTCAATTTTCGAAATACAAATTTTTGTCTTATCATTTCACAAAAAAGTCATAAATTATCAATTGGAACACAGACAGGCGTTTTTTGAAGAAAGCTTGATTTGATAAGAAAACTTTGTTTTTTTTTCTTTTTTTTTGACAAAAATTTAATAGTGTAGTCCGCGAGAAGTACACAATATATTATTATTATTATTATGAACAAATTTATTTATTTTTAATGAGATCAATTTGGAATATGAGAACTCGTAGACTTTTTGAACAATAAAAAACAATGAAAAATATAGAAAGTTACCCGAAAATAAAATAATGTAGATACAAAAGTTAAACCGGAAGTGCGGTCAAGTCTAATTGGTGTACACCAGGTTGTTGTTCCGTTGACGCAAGTTGCGCCTGACGCATTTTCTGAAGAGCTTCTTCATATGTTGGAGGTTGAACTTCAATTGCCATAACTTGATTATAAGCTGGAGGTGGCTTACTGTAGGCACGAAGATTTAGTTGTTTGATTATATCGAAAGTGGTCGAAAACATGGTATGAATTTCCAGAATAAATAATATTATTGAGATTGTTAACCAGGCAAATATACAGGAATTTGCACGAGTTTCAGCCATTTGAAGACCATAGAAAAGTGCAGAAGATGAAAGGACAATCTGCAAATATTTTGGTGTTGAAAAATTCACTGTTTCGAGAATATTATGTTTTTCGCTGATTATTATTTGTTGTTAAGGCGCCTCAAAAAAATTTTCATTGTTTCAAAAAAAATTATGTTGAACTGAAAAATTGGCTCAATAATTTTATAAAAATCATAAGTGCTTAAAAAATTAAAAATAATGAATTATTGAATTGTTAACCTTTTCTTCCACTTTTAATTTCAAAAAAAAATGTTTATACCAAATGAAAAAATCCACGTGGTTTTTTTGAGCCAAACATACGTTTAGAGTTTCAAAATTCATTATTGTCACGGTAAAAATTCTGAGTATTTTCACTGTTTCAGAAAAAAACAAGATATTTTATATTTTTCGGTACTTCTTTAGATGATCTATCAATTAATCTGTCTTGGTTTTGGTTTGATAAAAACACATGGGATGAGATCATTTTTTTCGCTTTTCTTTATCAGTTCAACGAACTGTGAAAATATCGATGATATTTTTTGGAAAAATAGGGAAAGAAAGATAAGGAAGTGTTTTTGAAAATTAAATTTTGGATATTTTCCAGCCACAAAAATATCTAATATGAACTTAGGATAACTTTGAATTAGCCCGACCTAAGCTTTGCCCAACCAACCTTCAACAAAACATTCGGCGATAAAAACACTGGTTTAAAATTATACAATCCATACATCGATAGAAAAACCACAATAGTATTCACGAAAAACATGAGCAATGTCAAATTGGAATCCTCTCCACAAACTTCAAGTGTCAAAATAACACTATTCACAAAATTGATCATGACTAACATTAGAAGACACATTCTTGAATGCAATATTTTTCGCTGCGAACGCAACCAATTTTGAACACGAAATCTTGTCGAATGATCCATTTTATATAGCTGAAAATTGAATTTTCAAGGGATTTAAAAGTACAAAAATTTGAGAAATTTTAAGTATTACTAATATACGATCGAAAAAATGAAAAATATATACGAGAGAGAAAAAACCAATCAAAAAAGTATTGAAAAAGTGTATTTCCGGAGAATTTTTCGCCATTTAATTTCTTCTTCAAATTACGTCAAACCAGGCTAGATTTGATCATTTCATTTTCAGCTGCTTTGTTTTTGTTTTTTTTTTGTCGTCAACACAAAAGGAAAAGGTAAAAGTAATGAAGAAAAACAAAAAAATGTAGTTTTTTTGATTTTTTATTTTTATAAAAAAGTACTCGGATTGATAAATAATAATATAAATGATGGGAAAATGGGAAGAAAAGAAAAAGAAAATGGGAGGAGCGAGATTTTTTCGTTTTTTGATTTTATTGTGATTTGGACTTAAAGAGCGAACGCTTTTAAGGTCATTTGAAAGGGAAAATTTCCACGTGGCAGTAGAGAATTTTGAAGCTTGAAATATGAACAAAAATTAATTGAGCTCATGAGTCATTAAAAAATTCAGTAAATAATTTGGCACCTGGCACTAACATTTTTTGAGAAAATTCCAATTATTACATAGTAATTCCACGTAGCATAAACACTGTTGACACCAAAAATAGCCTACAGTAATCTGGGTGTTCAATTTGATTTACAGCAACGTGGATTTTTTTCAATTTCACTCTACAATGATTTTTTTCTCGCAAAAAATTTTTATTTTAGAAAATATCAATTAAAATTAAAAACTTTCGGAATCCAATTAAAAATATTTTTATTTGAATTTTTTGAAACACCAAAACTTATCATTTTCTGAAATAAATTTGAAAAACATTGCAATTTTCTGAGATTCTGAAATGTTACATGAAAATGGAGTTTTTATTTATCAAAAATCAATTATTGCTAAATGCCACGTGGCATTTAGCGGATTTTTTTCAAAAAATTAATTTTATGAAAATAAATTGTTTCTCAGAAAATTTGGATTTTGAGCTGTAAGATATTGTTTTTACAATTAGGTTAATTTCGAATTCAGAAAAATCTCCAGAGTAAAAAGGTCTAGGATCCTATGATGTTTTTGTTTTCTGAGCTTTTGAGCTTTTCCAAATTGAACAATCAAATGATCAACAACAAAAAACTCAAGTTCCTTGTTCCGTATTTTTTCTTACTCATCGACAAAATTCTCAATCCCCATGACGTGAATTTGAAAAAATATTTCTAATCCTTTCGAAATCAAATCAAAATCCCATTGTTCTTTATCTTCTCACCAAGTTCGAAATGAGTAATTTTCGAACTAATCAAAAAAAGTACATTTTTTGGCGAAGCGAACATGAATATTCTCACGATGACTAAAAAAAAAGAACCTCATTAAATATCGAAGTCTACAAAAAATAAATGAGAAAAGAAAAGCTATAATCATAAATTTATCTAGAAAGAAAGCTAACGACATTCAGAAAATAATAAAACTAATAAATAATTAGATGAACATATTATGTTATTTATTTATGTGATTATAAACTTGTTTTTCTTCTTTTTTCGGTGAAAAAGGTTATTTTCCTCAAAGGAATACAAAAAATTAGCGCCCACGCGGTTACGAACCCATGAAAAAAAAACAAAAACCTACGACTCCGAAATCCACAGCACTTACAATTAGGTTGCACCCCAAAAACTTCCATAAACGTTAAAATTTTTTGTGTCTAAAATGTTTTTGACTTAACTCAACTCAACTCAAAAAATATAAAAGAGAATAAATTCAATTTTCGCCGGCCGCAGAACACTTTATATTTCTACAAGGAAAAATACGAAGAACAAATTTATTTAGTTATCACAACACAGTGAAAAGAAAGCGACATGCGCCTTTAAAAGGGAAACAAAAAGCAGGCAGGGGAGATAAATTATGCAATAAGATAGATGTGTTGGTTTTGGGCCGCCCATGTTTGAAGAGGGTGAGAGGGGATGGAGGGAAAAAAGGCCACGTGGATTTTCAAAAATAAATTAGCAAACACCCATATTGAATTTTACAGCTTCTGTTTTTTTTCTAAAAATTCTCGACTAAAAATTCATTTCAGGTAGATCCAAGTGACATACATCAAAATTACCAGCTGAAATAAATATGCTCAAACATCAGCCACGAGGATTTTTTCAGGAATGTTTCTTGATTTTTTCAGAACCTTATGAAAATGCCACCTGGATTTTTCAGAATCTTTTTCTATTGATGTTTTTCCTAAAGTTTTGGGCCCAAAAATGTGCCACATGCATTTGCAAAATTATATTTAAAAATAAAGAGACGTGGAATACTTCAAGAACTTTTAAAAGTTATTTTTGAGCTTAAAATGTTGGTCAAAAATCTTTCACATAGTTTCTTCGGAAACTTTTATTGAAAATCTAGAAAGATCCACATGTATTATTTTTTTTTAGAAGTTTCAATTTTGATTTAAAAGTTGTCCAGTCGAACCGAAAGAACTCTAATTAGTTTTTTTTTTCAAAAAAAATTGTCTGAAAAAAGCCGAATCCCCTCTCCCCCATATTTTTTCATTTGTCTCAATCACATCACTTTACGAAATATCTTTTTCCTAATTAATTAATTAGCAAATTCCTCTAATGAATTTTATTGAGATTCTAAGAAACTGTATAATATTATATCAAATCGAATTAATTATTTTTACAATTTTCACATATTTTAGCAGTCGGCCGTAGTAAAGTAGTAGTGTTTCACTCGTTTGAAATATGTAAATTTTTTACACAAAAAAACATTTCAGAGAGAAAGGAAGAAAAACGAGATTTCAACTCTGATCTTATTTCTAAAAGAAAAACAAGTGAAAGTGGTTCATCTTTGGTAGATTAATCAAAGAAATATTTTGATTTTTGGGGGTTCAAAAAAAGGAGGAGATTGTATTGTGTCTGATTTTGAGCATGTTTGAACCCAGAGCTGAAACTCGGTCGGAATTTTTCAATTTGATCTTGGACTCTGACGAGCTATGATCTTCCAAAACATTTCTTTTATCAATTGACTTTGATTCTCAGGATTTCAAAATACAAATTAAAAAAGTAAAAAGAATTCATTCGATCTTCTGAAAATCTTCTATTTCAAGGTCCAAAATTTCAACTTTCGCCATTCAAAAAAATCAACAATCCCACACGATTTTCTCACACAATGATTGTGAGCAAACAATTCAAAATCTTGTTATTTTTATCCCGAAAAATCTCAAGTTTTGTCTGTTTATCACCGCATAAATGACCAGTCTCCAGATATTTCTTGCCCTATTTTTTCTGTTCAAAAATTTTTGCAATTCTCAATCACCGGCTTTCACATGCCCAAATAATGCAAATGCGCTCGTTTCGAATAGTGGATCGAATGTATTCTGCACTTCTCTGGGGACAAGTTCAGATTGTCCAACAAGGTTTGGAAATTCTTTGGACTTTTTTTTATGGGAATTTTAGATATGAAAAAAATTAGTGAATTTTTGAAGCCCCAAAAATAAATATTAAAAAATCCAATGGGAACTACGTTTCAACTATATTATACAAAACCTGAAAATATAATGTTTGTGTTTTGCAGCTCGACATGTGTAACTGCCTCAAACTCTGCATCTGTTCTCATTTGTTGTTCACAATCTACAACAATCACTCCAATCTGTCCAAATAATGCGTTAGCTCAAACTTCAACCACAAATTCAAATGGTTTCGTTGAATGCACAATTTCGAATCCGATAACTTGTTCAACTGGTTTTCAATGTTTGACAAGTTCAAATATTCCGACTGTTGCGATTTGTTGTTCAACAACAACTTCAACTTCCACATGTCCCACTGATTTTACACCAGTTGTTGGAAGCACTGGGACTACGGTAGGGAAAAGCTTTCGGAAAAAATAGGTTTTTTTCGAGTCTCAAAGTTATCTACAGTAACCAGACTCAAAAAATTTCACACATTAATTCAGATAACATGCAATCCTTCCTCTTCGGGTTGCCCATCTGGTTCAACATGTCTACAATCTACCCAAACATCCTCATTTATCTGCTGCAGATCTTCAAATTCCAACAGAATTTGCTCGAATAATCAAAACGCATTAGTCACAAATGGTGCTATTGAACTTTGCACAACTCCAGGCACGGCATGTTCATTAACTGGTTACACGTGTCAATTATCGATTTTATTAGCTTCATATGTTTGTTGTGGATTTGGGGATTCGACTACAACTGGAGTTCAATGTTTGGATAATCGACCGACTTATCAGGAGAGAGAAGGTATAAGAAAGTTTGTGTCAAAATTTCACTGTTTCAAATTTTTAAAATCTGTTTCTGAAATCTTGAATACGATGGAAAAAATTGTTAGGGAATAATATTTTTTGGAAATTAACTTTTTTTTTTATCTACCTTCTAAAAATAATCAGACATTTATGTATTGGGTACAAAAGCAACAAAAAATGTACCCACAATACACCTGTGACGTTGAAATTTGGAAATAAAATCATATGATTTTTTATTCAGGGATCACTTATACTTGCGAAATCAATAGTGCAACAACAGGTTGTCCAAGTGGCTATGATTGTGCAGCATCAGATGATCCATTCATTGATGTTTGCTGTCTTACTGGCTCCACTCCAATTCCAGAAAACCTTGCCTGTCCAACAGGTTGGAACCCCTATCGGAATGAGGTTGATAACTCGATTCGGACCTGCTCTGCAGTTCTCGACACTTCTTGCCCTGTTGGATTTTCATGTGCTCCTAGCTCAACAAGTCAAATAAGTTTTTTGTGTTGTCGATTGGCGACATCATTAGTTTGTATAAATGGTAATACTTTATTGGTAAATGGTGCCCCAAAATTGTGCCAACCTGGATCGATTTCACAATGCCCATTCAATTACTCGTGTCAGCAAAGTATCAATGTAAGTTTTAACTTGGATTCTAATTTTCGAATTATGTTTTTTTTAGCCAACAGTCACAGTCTGCTGCTCTTCGTAAATAAGTTATTTAAAAGATCAAATCATATTATTGTTGTAAGTATTTTTGAAGGAAAAAACAAGAAAACATGTAAAAATAAAAAATTCACATCAACGCCACATTCGAATAAATCTTCTTCAAAGCTTCCTCAATCTCTTGAACATGATCACGTCCACGAGTTTCGATAACAACTTTGACTTTTACACTAAAAACATCGGCTGAAATCCAAGCTCGTTCGTGAAAAATATCTTTGATAGAGGCACCGAGATGTGCGAGAGTAGTGGTAAGTTCAGCGATTCCACCGGGTCTATCGGAAACGACAACTTCAAGACGAACAAGGCGGCCATCGACGGCGAGACCTCTTTCGATACTTCTCCCAAGAACTGTTGTATCGATGTTTCCACCGGAGAGAATCGAGACAACTCTGCAATTTGAAAGTCATTTTTTTTGGTATTTTTTTCACTGTTTCTAAATAATATTATTAATTTTCTGACTAATTTATGTATACAATTATTGTCGAAAATTTGCTTAAAAATTTACTGTTTCAAAATTTCTATGAATGTTTAAAAAAACTAATTTTGAGTGAATCAAATTTAGAAACATAGAATCCCAGAAAAAAATTCGGAGGATTCTAAAAACCCACAAAAAATGTTCTAACTCACTTTTTCCCCTTTAACTCTGGCACCTTATCCGACAAAATAGCTGCTAAACCAACAGCTCCGCCACCTTCAACAACAGCCTTCTCAACTTCCATCAATCTTAAAATACTCAAAGCAATACTTTCCTCATTTACTAAAATCATTTTATCCACCAAACTTTCGGCAGTCACTAATGAATTTCCTCCAACTGTCGGAACTGCTAAACCATCAGCAACTGAACTTCGATTTGTGACTCCAATTGGTTTTCCAGCTTTCAAAGCTTCACTGAATGATGGACAAGTTTCAGCTTCAATTCCATAAATCTTCACATCTGGTTTAACAGTTTTGACAGCAACAGCAATTCCAGCAATCAAACCTCCACCACCAACAGGAACAAGAATTGCATCAACATCTGGAACTTGTTCAAGAATCTCACTTCCAATTGTTCCTTGTCCAGCTAGAATATCAACAGCATCATAACCATTTATATATTTCAGATGATTTTCAGCAGCATGTTTCAATGCATATTCTTTTGCAATCAAGATTGTCTCTCCTTTTAATATCACATTAGCTCCAAGACTTCTACAGAATTGAATTTTCATAAGAGGAGCGATAACTGGCATCACAACTGTTACTGGAATTCCCATTTGTTGTCCGTGATAACTTAAAGCCAATGCGTGATTTCCTGCCGAAGCTGCGATTACACCATGTGATTTTTGATCTGCGTTCAATCTTGAAAGAGCATATCTCGCTCCACGCTCTTTGAAACTTCCGGTAACTTGAAGATACTCTTTTTTGAAGTAGAGATCCATTTCGAATTTTTGAGAAAGTTGGAGAGATCGAGGGCAAGGAGTTCGTTGCACACCATTTTTGATGACAAATGCGGCACTGGAGATTTCCGGGTAGGTCACTTTTTTCGGGTGATCTGGATCGCAATCCGGGTCGAAGAGTGGGGCCTCGGCTGAAAGGTTTCATTTTTTTTTTGAAATCTCACAAGGGAATTTCACTAACAAATAATTTCTTCAGAAGGGTCGGCAATTTTTTCGAAACCTACAGTACCCCTAGGCATGTTTGAGCTCAAAAAATCCGAAATTTCAGGTCGAAAATCCGTTTGGGCACAAGAAATTCCAAATTCCAAAACTCACTATCACTATTACTTCCAGCACTTTGTATCGTATCTGGATGATCGAAAATCTCCTTGTGCACTTTTCTGGCCTTTTTATTATACTCAATTCCATCCTCAACAATAACACTGCTCAAACGTTTTCGCTCTTGTTGGGCCTTCACAATTTTGGCATTGGTTTTAGGTGGAGAATGAGAATGAGAATGCGAATTCGAATTTCCGTTGGTGATTTCATTTTGATGGTGCGATGCGACCATCGACTTCTTTCGAGTTGGTGCAACCATTGATCTGAAGGATTTGAAAATTATGAATGGGAAGAATATTTTTTGAGTGACCCAAAAATAGGGATGATGAAAAAACAAACAAAAATTGAATGATAAAAGATCATGTTTTGATATTGTTAGAGAAATTATCTGACCAAAACAGAAGGAAAAAAAAACAAAAATACTTGATGATCCAATTTATATACCCAACCCCACGTGTTAGATCAAAAGTAATAAAAAGTGGGCGAATTGATTTGATTTCGCTTTTTGGTTTCAAGATGATAACAAATTTCAACGACGGCAAAACAGAAATTTTTTGACTTACCCAATAATTCTTGATGTACTCATCATTCAGCAAATAAACTTGTTGTAGATTTTGAAGATGAAAAAATCTGGTATTTCGGCTGGCTTTTATACTCCTTAGTGCTCATTCTTAAAAAGTCGTCAGGTGTGAAACAAGCAAAACATGTTTTTAAAAACAACAAACAGTGAAAAAATTGGAAATATGATGAAACATGTGAAAAATGAATGACAAATTATTACACTATTTTAAAGTATTGAAACAAATATGTTTTTTTCGAGATAAATTGTTTGATAGTTCAAGGAGATTAGAAATTTCAATGAAAATTTAGAACGCGATAATTTTTCCAGATGATAATATTTTGCAAAAATATTTTTGGCCAAAGTTTGGAAATGATTCGAATTGGGTCATTGATTTGCGATCAAAAAATCAAAAAAAAACTGATTTTTTAAATATACAATAATCATATTTCCAGTGGGCGAAATTTCTCGAGAATCAGGAAAATCTCTGAAAATTACAAAAATCAATAAAAACTGGTGTTGACAGGACTACTGTAGACACAAAAATCTGCAATGCACACAAAAGTGTCATTTGAATTTTTATTTTTCGCGATTTTTTCTTTTTGTTTTTTTTCTTCTTGCGACTTTGTTTCGTTGACTCTGTTTTTTGTTTTATCACCAAGTTTGAGTGGGGTTTTTATCGCCAAGTTAAGTTTTATATTCTTTTGTCGCTTGTAGGGCACAAATTTCGGGGAAAAACGAAAATCGAATCAAATTTGCAGACGATCATCAATCACGAATAAAAACTCGAGAAATGCGATAATGGAGGTCTTTAAAAGTGTTGTTATCAGGCTGAATTTTCAGTCAGACCACCCCATTTTTCATACCTCTCTTTTCTTATAAATTTTGTACTTTTTCGCCAAAGTGCCACCCATAAAACACATCGCGTAAATCTTCTATTTTTATTTCTCAATTATCCCTGTCTATTTCTTTCTCGTTTTCAAGTGGGATTGAGCAAAAATATTCATAAAAACTCTATTAGGTGTCAAGAGCAGGCAAAGTGGTTTTCGCTGTCAAAAGCATAGTTATATTCCTACTGTATTCCCAAGTTTTTTTTATTTTAATAGTAGTATAAAAGACCAATTGTTTTGCTCACAACTACAAGGAGATGTTTGGAAATGCGCTGAAAAATCTGAACGATTATTGCCAGGAGAAATCGCAACGATTGCGTAACTCTTTATCACCATCAAGTTGGTTTTTCATAATTTGTTTTTGATTTCGTATTTTTGTTCAATGTATTTGTGACTTGTGTCAAAAGTTTTTGCGGGGTATCAAATAATCATTAACCATATGTGTAGTTTGAACAAGTGAACACACTCAATTTCAAATTTGAACAGTTCAAAGTTGTTTTTTCGAATGACTTGAAAAAAAATGATATTCACTAGAAGCTTGAATCTGATTCTTATCATTTTTATTTTCCCAAATATATTTTCAAAATAAAATATATATGATTTATAGGATCATCTCAATCATCTACTAACATGTCACAATCTGAAACTAACAGTGAAATTCCATCTCCACCCACTGAAATGCAACCACAAAATCCAGCAGTATCACCAGAAAACAACAAAAAGGAGGGAATGAGTCGAGATGAATTTCGAAAATTTGGAAAAGAGACAGTCGACTATATTGTTGATTATTTGGAAACAATTCATAAAAGAAGAGTTGTTCCAGCAATTGAGCCAGGATATTTGAAGGATTTGATACCACAAGAAGCACCAAATCGACCAGAATCATTTGAAACTTGTATGGAAGATTTTGAGAAACTTATTATGCCCGGAATAACTCATTGGCAACATCCAAGATTTCACGCTTATTTTCCGGCTGGTAATTCATTTCCATCGATTATTGCTGACATGTTGAGTGATGCGATTGGAAGTGTTGGATTCAGTTGGGTAAGGAAACATTTATTATTGAAAATTGTTTAACATAAGGTGTTTATGTTTTCAGGCCGCCTGTCCTGCCATGACTGAACTCGAACTTGTTGTCCTTGATTGGTTTGGAAAAATGATCGGACTTCCTAAAGAATTCCTTCCCTACACAGAAGATGGAAAAGGTGGTGGAGTTATCCAAAGTTCCGCATCCGAATGTAATTTTGTGACACTTCTCGCTGCAAGATTTGAAGTTATGAAAGAACTTCGACAACGTTTTCCATTCGTTGAAGATGGTTTACTTCTCTCAAAATTAATCGCATATTGTTCAAAAGAAGCTCATAGTTCAGTTGAAAAAGCTTGTATGATTGGTATGGTGAAATTGCGTATTCTGGAAACTGATTCCAAATTTCGATTGAGAGGCGAGACATTGAGAAATGCTATTCAAGAAGATCGGAATCTTGGATTGATTCCGTTTTTTGTTTCAACAACTCTTGGCACAACTTCGTGTTGCTCTTTTGATGTTTTATCCGAAATCGGACCGATTTGCAAGAATAATGAGTAAGTTAGATGGTTCCGATCCAAATTTTTGAAATAGTTAACTTAAGAGGAAATATAGCCTTTTTTTGTAAATGTTGCAGAATATGATATATCTAATCTGAAAATTACAGTTTGTGGCTTCACGTTGATGCGGCATACGCTGGTTCGGCAATGATTTGCCCAGAATTCCGCCCACTTATGAATGGAATTGAATATGCAATGTCTTTTAACACAAATCCCAATAAATGGATGCTTTTGAATTTTGATTGTAGTACAATGTGGGTTCGTGATCGTTTCAAACTCACTCAAGCTCTCGTTGTTGATCCTCTTTATCTTCAACATAGTTGGGCTGGCGAATCTATTGATTATCGTCATTGGGGAATTCCGCTAAGTCGACGATTCAGATCGCTCAAATTATGGTTTGTAATTCGAATGTATGGTGTTGAAGGACTTCAGAAATATATAAGAGAACATGTTCGATTGGCGAAAAGATTTGAAATGTTACTCAAAAATGATGCGAGATTCGAAGTTATCAATGAAGTTATTATGGGATTGGTTTGCTTTAGATTAAAGGTTTGTCAAAAATAATATAAATTGCAAAAAAGTTTATTAAATTAGCATCCACTAATTTGCTCTGACTTAATAAACACCCATTCGTCACCTTTTTTTCCTGCCAAATGAGTGAATGTAACTGGATTGTCAGCTCTTGTTCGGTAAAATGTGTTGAACTTAAGAATGACACCTTCGAATAATTTAGAAACTATCACAGGGTTCTCATCCAATACGGTTTTGTATAAATGAATATAGTTTGGCTGTACTTTATCATTCAATTCAGGTGCACATGATTTGAGTTCATATTGTTCATCAACTAATCTTTTGGCACATTCCCTTTCTTCCATATCGACACAGTTGATTAATTCAGTTCTCAATTCCTCTGCAATCTCATTAGTTGTTTCATCCGAAAAAACACTGACAACGAAAAGAAGAAATAGAATGATAGATTTCATTATTGAATATGAATATTGACAATAAGTGACAGCCTCTTTTAAAACAAGTATTTTTTTGTTGATTTTTTGAATATTTCCCGAGACATGTCTAGGGAAAGAAACGTGGCATTTCTGTTTTTTGGAATGCAAAAAAACCTCAAGAAATAATATCCAAAAAAACTTACAAAGTATATTTTTTTGGTATTTTTTTCAAGAGAAAAATTATAAAGTTTCTGACGAAATAGAATCATCATTGAGAAATCAGAATTCGAAAATATTTGTTCTGAAAAATGTTTTCATATGTATACCAAATTCAGAACCTGGAATTCCAGATCAAAATTATTTCCACAAGGAAATTCTCAATGCGAAACATTTTTCCAGGGAGATGATAAAATCAACAAATCCCTCCTGACAATTTTGAACGCTTCCGGACGAATTCATATGGTTCCGGCTTCGTTGAGCGATCGATATGTGATTCGATTCTGTGTTTGTGCTGAAAATGCGACAGATAAAGATATTGACACGGCATTTGAAATTATTGCACAAACTGCTGAACATGTTTTACGTGAGTTCTTTTTTTTTGGAAGAAATTCCGAATTTCCATTTTTCAGATGAAAATGCGAAATCTTCAATCGCTGAGGAAGATGAGGAAGAAGCGGCTTTGGAAGAAATGGTTCAAGATTTGAAAATTGCTGAGAATACCAATATTTTCATTTCGCCTGAAGAACCGGAACCTTTGAGAACTTTCAAGAGACAGGTTGGTTTTGGAAGATGAAACTCAGGAATTTTGAAAAATTAATAAATTCTAGGATTCAATGCCCCAAAAACTCGAACGTCAACTATCGAAAGATGAACTTCTGGCACAAAAACAACAAGAAACATTGGCGAAGAAAAGGTTATTACCGAAATTGTCGTTTAGTCCGGTGAATGTGGATCCCAATATTTTCAAGAAAAACGAAAATGCGCCCCCGAAAACGCCTGAAATTGTTGTTTTGTGAAAAGTTTTGCATGTATATAGAGACTTTCTATTTTATTTTAAATTTTTATTGATATATTTTTAAAGCATGTTTTTTGTTGTGAGTAAATTTGGATTTTTTCAAGTTTTGCTTTTTTGTTAGATCATTTTTGGTGCGAATGGTATCGGATCCAAAGTGTTATAATCCGAAAATTGTACGACATTTGAATATGGCGAATCATCGCAAAATGAGCCAGGATTTGTATAGAGATAGAACTATGATGTAAGGATTTTTTCGAGATGTTCAGAAAAAAAGCATTTTTCAGGCAAGCAATAAGCCATGGTCAACGTCCAAATCGTCTTTCCCAATCGCCAATCGGCACATCATTGAACTGGGAAACTGAAGATGAAGATCGAATTGTTGCTGAAGTTCAGACTGGAGTTCAAACTCCACTTTAAATTTGTTCAATATTTTTAATAAAATTAGTCACGTAGGTCAACTTCTCAAATAAAATACAATATTTATCTCAAAAAGTGGCAATTTGAAAATTAACAAAAGTGCTATATATAAAAAATTTCAAAAAAAAAACCTACGCTATTTACAAAAAAATTTAGGCTCCTCGAAAGGGTAACCATTCTTCAATAACAATTTCTTCGTCCCGATGAAATCGACTTTTGCCACGAGAAAAGTTGAATGTCCTTTTTGCGCAGCTGTCGATAATGTTTCGCGCATTTTTCGACACTTTCTGGGAAACTTTGAGGTTTGTAGCCAAGTAGAACAACGCTTTTTGTCGAGTTGAAGAATGTCCAGTGATGGAAGTTGAAGTAGAGGAATGATGGATCGGGAAGCTGGAAAACCAAGTTTTAGCCTAGTTTTCGCTCCGAAAAACTAACCAATTTTGCAAATCGGAATGGTCCGAAAATCTGGATCGCAAAACGGACCAAAAATGAGAAAAGCACATAGATATAATACAATGGGATGAATGAATATTGGATTGGTGATCGACCGCGTTTTCCGTTCTGAAAATATATTTTCTTTGTCACATTTTTTAAATCTATGAATATTTTCACTTACGAAAAGCAATTGTCCATAAGTGTTATATACAGTCTTTTTCGGAGTTTCATCATTAATCAAGAAAATCTCGAAAACTCGTTGTTTCTCAACTTCGGCGCCAGAAGATCCAGTTTCAAAATTTGATGAGTAACTCGAATAAATGGCATTTTCTAGCATTGTGCTATGAGCAACTGGTAATGGCTCATTTTCCATAATTGTTGCAGTTGTTTCGCCGTCGAAAACATCGCATTCAACGCCGGACTCTTCCAATTTCAGATTTTCCTCCATTTTTTGCTCGTGTTCTGTTTCACCTGTGAAACTGCTGCGAACAGTATTGTGACGAGCACGACAACCTTCCAAATCGGTGTCTTCATCTTCTTCGAGCTAGAAAAAAACACATTTCAGCATATTATAAACCGGCATGTGGCAACTTACAATTGGTGTTAATCCAAGTTTCTTTTCAATAAGATCTCCTCCTCCTCCACCAAGCATTTTCATTGAATTTTCAGCAGATTCAACCAAATCACTCAATTCATCATCGTTGTAAGATTCGTTCAAATCCAACGTTGTTGATTGTGACAGCAATTTGCAAGTGGCATTCCAAAGGGCCATTGATACATTTCCAGCATACGCCATTTGCATATGTCCATCATCATCGCCAAGTGAGAAAACTGATTTATCATTGGATAAATAGATCAAATCAGTGAGAATTGAGCAATTGTCGCCTTCTCCATAAGTTGGAACCGAGCGAACAATGTATGAATCGTTGGACGAATCACGGATCAGCATTTCGGCTTCATATTTACTTGCACAATACTCTTTGAAAGGCCATTGGGAAGAGTAAACCATTGGATCTCTTTCCGGCTCATAAACATTTGGCCAACGGTTTGAACACTGGATAAATGGAGTAGAAAGATGAACCAATGGGCATTGAATGTGGAACAGAATTGAGCGAACAACTAGAAACAATTAGTATGATTGAAAATTATTCATATTTTTTTAAACTCACTCTCCACATTATGCAATTGCAATTCCCCAATATCTGGAAGAAGCGAAAAATCGGTGCATTCGTGCAAATTTACAACAACATCAGATCCGAGCAACGCGTTTGGCAAATTCTTCGATCCATAATATCGTTGATATTGCGAGACATTGTCGAATTCCGGATAATCTGACACGTCAAATGTCCACAATGAGATTTGCACCGATTGATGAGTTTCGGAAAGATAATTGACAAAATGCCGTGCAGTTAGATTGTTGCCCAAGACGGTTACACGCATGATGCGCTCGAATTTGAACTATTCTCAGCAAGAAAATGAGAGAGATTATCGAAATTTTAGGCCGAAAAAAGAAAAGTTTTTTTTGAATTGCCAAATTGCGCGGGGCGCTGCGAGACCCAATGTACCTTTACCTGAAAAATGTTATGTATTTCCGTTGGAAAACTTTTTTTTTTCGATTTTTTTGGTTTTCACGTTTTTCTTTGGTTACTGGTTGTAGAAATTTGAAAAATTAAGAAATTTTGAAAGAGGATGAAAAATATTTTTTGCGTGAACTACTTTTTTCAAAAAAAAAAAAAAACAAACGTGGCATCAGGTTCGAAATCGACAAAAAATCAGTTTGTGATTTTTCTAATAGACCAAAATGAATAAAAACAAAAAGGTTAGTCCAATCTTTTAGCTCGTAGTATAATCCATCTAATCAATCTATTTTCAGACTTCAAGAAGTAATGAAACAAGAAAGAGTAGCAATTTTAGAAATAGTAATGAGACAAAAAAGCCGAATCGAAGATCGGATTCGAAAATTGACAGTGATTCGAGTAAAAGCTATCGTCGTGCTGATGCTGTTCAAACGACTTCTCGAAAACCAAAAATCCAACGATCACCTGAAAAGCCGAAAAGATCAGGAGGGAAAACATCTGAGCCCAGTTGGAATACTCACAACAAAAAATCACAAAACAGCGATAATGCAAAGGAATTTGATTTCATGAAAAGAACTGGCCATTCACCAATCATAGCAAAAGAAGAACCAGTAGCAAATATGATTCTACTCAAAAACGAGAACAGCAACTATAATAAACAGATGGTTGAATTGCCACCTCAACGAGAATCACATCGTTCTTTGATTGGTCTTGATGGTGAATCAGATCTTGACACTGATGACAATTCACCTCGTCCAAGTGAAAAAAATCTTGGCAAAACCTCACCAGGTCTATCATCTCCACATTCAAGTAGTTCTGCTGAAACACAAGATGATTCATTTTCTTTGGCTGAAAATGAAAAGGGATTATCCAAATATAAATCGTTGTTCAAAGAATATGCAGCCAAATCGCAACAAATAAACATGGATGAAATTACCGAGGATTTTCAAGATTTACCAAGTTTTCCGAAACAAGACGAATGCGCTGCATTTCATAATTCGGTAAATTCTAGGAAGAATCGGTATAAGGATATTCCTTGTCTTGAAGTTTCGCGTGTAAAATTGCATTTTATGGGAAACCCAAAAGAACCGGGAAGTGATTATATTCATGCGAATTATGTGACAAGCAAATATTTGCAAACGAAATATATTTTGACCCAGGGACCCAGAAAAAATACAGTTGTCGATTTTTGGCGAATGGTTTGGCAGGAAAAAACAGCCGCAATTGTGATGCTTTGCCAATTCATTGAACATGGTCGCGAAAAATGCACCGAATACTTCCCAAGCGATCATAAAAGCAAACTTCGATTTGATCGATTGGAATTGAGTTATATCGATTCAACAAGAGATCGTATGGTTTTGACAACCAAATTGAAGTTGGAATATAAGGGAGAATCTCGAACAGTGACACATTATCAATGGATGGAATGGCCGGATTATCAAGTGCCTGGATCAACTGAAATTATGTTGCGATTATTGAGAAAGATTCGAGGAAAGAAATTTCCATCGGTTATTCATTGTGCGGCGGGAGTTGGAAGAAGTGGAACATTTATGGCAATTGAGATTGCTCTTATGATGATTCATAATCACTTTGAGCTTCCTGATATCAAGAAAATTGTTGCTCATATTCGTTGAACTGGAAGATGTGCTGCTGTACAGACTCTTCAGCAATATTTACTTATTCGTAAAGTTGTACTCGATTTCGGAGTTTCAAATAGGCTTATCACTGAGGTATGTTTCTTTTTCAAAAAAAATATTCACTCTCAAAAATTGTTCAGGAAAGTTTCGATCGTTATTCGGCCGCCTATCATCGAGCGCTTCGTCAACAAAACACATCCTGATTTTGATTTTTTGTTTATGATGAATTTGAATTTTTCGAAAATCTCTTCTTTTTTTCTGTAGTTCTCTCGAACGAGCGAGAGACTGTTTGTATTAAAGAGAGAGGGGGGAGAAAGCAAGAGGGACTAGTGACCGTGGCCTGGTTTTGTGCAAAACATCGGCCAAGACCGAAAATCACTCTTTCGTCGATAATTTTCTCTCTCACTCTCGCGCTGTGTTTTTTGGAGTTTTTGAGTTTGCTGAAATTTTGGCGGATTTTTGGAAATATTCAGTCAGAGGCTATGTTCACTTAATTTCTGATATTTCATCTTGTTCCTTTAAAAATTCGACGAAAAATTTGTAGATCTCAGAAAATTTTGAGAATTAGCTCTTTTTTGTCTTGATGCTCTTTTCAGGCATTTTCTTATAATTTAACTTATTTTCAGGTAATGGCGGCCGGAGCAATTCTCAAAACGACCTTTGCGGTCACATCGATCGCAATTCTAATTTTCATCGGAACCGGACTATTCTACATGTTAACCGGACAAGGACATCGTTTCGATATCGCCTGGTTCTTGACATCAACATCTCCACACATGTGGGCTGGTCTCGGAATCGGAGCCTCGTTGTCGCTCTCGGTTTTGGGAGCCGGTTGGGGAATTTTCACCACCGGATCATCTATTCTTGGTGGTGGTGTTAAAGCGCCACGAATTCGAACCAAGAATTTGGTTTCGATTATTTTCTGTGAAGCTGTTGCTATTTTCGGAATTATTATGGCTTTCGTTTTTGTTGGAAAATTCAGTGTGAGTTTTTTTTTCTTTGAAACATTCAAAAAATATTCTAATGGAATCCTGAAATTCTGAAGAGTTAGAAAAAAAAAACATTCAAAAGTCCAGAAAAATGTTCATATTCTGAACTCACTTTTTGAACCCAGATTCATGAAAGCTGAAAATTGATCATATTCAAAAAAAAATCAATAATTTTTGTGTACCATTTTCATAAACCCGATACCTGAATGTAGGGTACTCTAACTTAATTAGTAAATTAATTTTAAAAATAATTTCACCTGTTTTAATTTTATATTAAGCCAAACGTGAACTCTTCTACGTGGCATTTTGAAATTTCAATTTCTAAAAATTCAAAATCTCCTAAGATCCAATCTTTCAGGAATTCCGTCGTGAAGATCTCGATCTCGACAACCCAGATCAATACGCAATTTTGGCCCGAAACTTGGCTGCTGGATACATGATCTTCGGTGGTGGTTTGACTGTCGGTTTGTCCAATTTGGTATGTGGTTTGGCTGTCGGAATTGTTGGAAGTGGAGCCGCCATCGCTGATGCTGCCAATCCATCGCTTTTCGTCAAAATTTTGATTATCGAAATTTTCGCCTCAGCCATCGGACTTTTTGGAATGATCATTGGTATTGTTCAAACAAATAAAGCTAATATGGGAAATAAGTAATTTATTTTATTTTCCAAATTTTGTATTATGCTCTGTTACTCTAAATCTCTCTCTCTCTCCTAATTAGTGTGATATTTCTATGTATAAAAAATAATAGATTTTATTTTATTTCACATTCCAAAATTGTCTGATTTTTAGACAAAGTTTTATTTTTCTCTTGCTTTTCTCTTTTTCTTTATTTGATTTTGATTATAACAAAAATGAACATTTTTGTGTTTTTCTGCAACGTTTATTGGATTTTTCATCGTTCAACTCCGAATTTTTGTTATCCATGAACAATAGATTTTCAGATAAGATTAGTTTCAGATGGAATTTATTTGGATGGTGGCGGAGGATGGAATTCCGTGGAGAATGCCGATTTTAGAAGAACCCAGTTGGTGAAATTTTTTAAGAGAAAATTTGAAAAAAAATGACAGTATTGATTTTTACTTGGGTTTTACTGAAATTCAGAACAATTTCGTGATTTTGAAAAAAAAATGTCCAAAATGCAGAATTTTAGTGAGAAGTATTTGGAAAATAAACGAATTTATACAAATTTTAATTTTTCGCGATTTTCAGAACTTGACTAATTAATTTTTTTTTTGAAAATCACTCAATTTGTTAAGCTACAGGAAATTCCTATTTTTTTCCGCTTGAAGAACTAAAAGCTTCCAGAAATGTATTTTTAACTATAAAAACTAGTCAATTATCATTGCGAAATAGGTCCTAATTTTTATGGGGCTATTCATGTATTTTCTCAGCATGTTGAGAAAACAGGAGAAATGCGGAGGAAATACATTTTCTCCGCTTTTTTCGTATTTTCTCAGCCTACCTGAATAGGTTTTCTCCGCTTTTCTCCCGTTTTCTCAGCGTTGAAAAATAACATGAATAGCCCCATTATGGGGCTATTCAAGTATTTTCTCAACACGCTGAGAAAACAGGAGAAATGCGGAGAAAATGCATTTTCTTCACTTTTTTCGTATTTTCTCAGCCTACCTGAATAGGTTTTCTTCGCTTTTCTCAGCGTTGAGAAAATAACTTGAATAGCCCCATTAACAATGAATATTTTCAAGGTTTCCCGTAGCACTTCCTCCAAAAATCGATATTCCAGAAGACGCTACTCAAGTAGAATGGGAGCCTGTTCCATGTTCTGCTTCATATTCTATCCGCCAAATTGCCGCGAGTTCCAAAACCGCTTTTGCTCTTGATCGAAGCGGTAGAATTTTGATGTTAGTTCTTCCAACTCATATCGCATTGCGGCAGAAAATTGAAGTCTATGTGAATCAGGCAGGTTTTTTTGTAATCAAAATTTCAATCAACACTTGAACAAAAATCAAAAGTTTCTTCTTCTAGAGATGGTATCCTTTGGTAAAATGGCGTCGACCACTTCCAACTGATCGTTCTGAATATTCCGACGAATCTGGGAAACTGCGCCGGGATTTGGAATATTTCGAAGATTCGCCAGTGGATGGTTGGAGTTGGGAAGAACCATGGAGAACTAATAGAGATCCGAGAAGTTTTGATGATCAGGGATGGCAATATGCAATTACATTTTTGGGTGCGAATAGTACGAATTGGGATAGACAGTGTAAACGACATCATTTTGTGAGAAGAAAGATTTTGAGACGTCATATGAGGTTCACACAACATGATAAGTGGATTGAGGTAAGAAAATTTGGGAGGAGAGAGAATTGGGAATTTTTTGAAAATGAACTATTATTTTTCGCCTTGAAAAATTGACATGTGAGAAAAAATTATGAAGATATTTCCACGTGGATTTTTGAGATTAATAAATTTTCAGATTTGATTCTGAAAAGTTTGAATTTTAAATTTTGTTCCAATAATTTTCCACTTGGATTTTCCGCCTCGAATAATAAACAATCCACGTGGCCTGACTCCCTTACAAAAAAATTTGTAAAAAGTTGTTTTCCTGAAAACACTGAAAATATTCCAGATTTTCAGCAACCCCCCTCCTCTTCTTCTAAACCCCTCTAGATATTTTCAGTTCTCACCCGAAGATGACTCAAAAATGTTTGTCGAATTGGCTTGTGGTGGTGCTGAAATTATGGAAGACGGCGAGATTTTGCTATTCGCTTTAGGAACTGATGGAAATATTTATCGGTGGGGTTCAGAAAGAATATTTCTATCAAATCTTTCAAGATCTTTTAAGGAATCTTTTAAGAAATTAAAATTTTTTAGTCGTGCTGGAATTCGTACGAATATTCCAAATGGCACGGAATGGTGTCAACTTCCGAAGATCCAAAATCCTTCTACAAACGAAGAAATTGATGATGTCACACTTCTTGCAATTTCTCCAACCTTAGGAACTTTGATTTGTATAACATGGGATGGTAAAATGTATCAAAGAAAAGGTATTTCTTGTGCGATACCAAATGGTGCAATTTGGCGCCAGATTCCAACACCAAAAAATCGAGCAGTGATTGGTTTGACAATTGGGACTGAAGCGATTTGGTGTATCACAGCTGATGGAATGGTTTGGTTTGCAAGATTAGAAATTGATCGAAGAAAAATGGAGCATACAAATATTGAAGAGCTTAATTTTCAAGAAGTCGCGAAATCTGGAATTTGTAGAATCTCATTGACAAAAAATGATCAAGTTTTTTGTGTTGGAAGTGAGAAAGAAGTGATGGAAGTTAGAACTGGAATTGATTCGTCAGAACCATCGGGAAAGAAATTTGAAGTAATGAAATATGAGGGAAATGAAAAGAAGCGATGGATTTCGATATGTGCGGCTAGTTCTAATCTGAGCAATATTCCCAAATATCTACTTGATCCTCGAGTTTTACAAGCACGTCAAGAGATTTTTCAATTCAAAAATACTTTTTGGCGAAAGCAAATTTTGGAATCATTGCAAATATCTAATGATAAATCGTGGGAAATTATGAAGGATGTGAAAATCGAGAAAATATCGGATGATTTTGGATGTGAGAATGTGGAAAGATTTCGGAAAATCAAAGCGCAATTGGTGGTTTTTGGTGATGGACAAAGACAGATGAGAAGTGTGAATTTGAGAATTAGTGAAGCGGTTTTTGAAATTGAAGGAGAGAGAAATATTGATTGTGCAATGGTGAGAGGGTTTTTGAAACCACCAGAAAAACATTTGGGTTTCTAAAAATCTTTTCATATTTATCAGATCCTCTCCTCGTTCTCCGGCTTCCAAAGACTACCCCAAAAATATCTTCTCCACATTCTGGTCAAAAACGAGGCTCAACCGATCAGTTTTGCATTCACAGATGAGTCATCTAGGAATTCGTGTCAAGAAATTGTGGATAATGTAAGCTTTTGGCTGAATTTTCATAAGAAAACATCAAATTCAAAATTTGTAGATCATCCGAAGTTATATCACAACATCTGCTCGGAATTCATTGGGACAATCAATGTGGACAATTTCGAATTCGGGAAGTGTTCGATGGCATTGTTTGGCTGAAATGGATCCCAAATTTGAGGTTGACAAATAAAAAATCGTATATTTAGAAAATATTTTTGTTTCAGAAAGAAATTCCACTTTCCGACACGCGAAGCTTGACAGTTCCTGGAAATTTTGAATCAATTGATTGTGGCGCAAATCGATTGGTGTGGGCTGTGAATTTTGTGAGTTACTATAAACTGTGAGAAAACTTGATTTTTGATAGACACAGGGGAAGAAATGAATGTTTATTAATGATATTTCAATATTTGAAAATTTTTCGAAACAGTGAGTTTTTCATTAAAGAATTTGTTTGAAAAATATTAAAATTCCCTTTGAAAAATTTTAATTTCTTGAATAATTTTTGAAAAGGTGAAATTTTTAAATTCCTCCAGTCAGTCCGATAAAACTTGGAAAGTTTCATGAACAAATCATTCAATTTTTGAAACAGTGAAATTTTAATGTTTGTTCGAAATAAATAAATAGTTTTCTACAAAAGTTCACTGTTCGGAATATTTAATTCCGAAAATTTGCAGGCCGGTGATCTCTACTCTCTTCACCCTCGTTTCGATCCACTTTCCACCCTCGATCACACCTTCGAATATCGCCAAACCGACGAACTTCGCCACGAACTTTATGAATATCAAAAATCGGCGATTTTCCGAGGATTTGTCACATTCCAAGGTCAACAGAAAGGCGTTTCTGCATGGATGTCGAAAAATGAGGGAGCAGCTCCGCAATTTTATTCAGGATTGGCTTCGAAATTTTGGACGTGGATTGATGCAGAATGGAGATTGGAAGGTACTTTTTTTTCTTTTTTTCTCAAAAAAAAACACTAAATTTCAATTTTCATTTAGATTCTGATGAGGATAGCTGGGAATATTCGAATGAAATCGATGGAAATTTCGAAATCGGAGTTGGAAAAGGCGAGGGAAAAATTCGAAGAAGGTGTTGGATTCGTAGAGCGAAATTCGAGACAAATAAATCGGTTTGGGCGAAAGTTGAAGGACCGAGTGTGAAAGTGGTTCGAGTGGCGAAAGTAGAGAATCAGGTTAGCATTTTTTTAAAGCTGCAATACGACACTCCGCCTTTACGAATGGAAGTTTACAGCTGTTTTTATACATTTCAAACTGAAAATGAATTTAGTATCTTCGATGCTTCGAATTTTAGCAGAGTATTAGTGTCAGATTTCTGTATTTCAAAAAAAAAGCAACAATTACGAGACTCCGCGTTTACACTTCATTAGTTTGGAGGAAAAATTTGAATTTAAAAAAGAACCAATTTTTTGATTCAAAATTTCAAACTCAATATTTGATTGAAAAACAACGAGACTCCAGAATTACGCTTCTAAATTTCATGATTCGAAATTTAAATCACTAAAAGATCCTGCAGCTATCTCTTCAAAATTTCACGTGGAATTCCAAAAATCACATTGATTTTACAGAACTCTGTAACAGTAATTACTCTAACTCGCGATGGTCATCTTCTTCTTCGACTTGGTGTAAATCGAGAAAATTTCACCGGATCTTCTTGGTCGCAAATAGTTACCGATTCACCAATAACTGCATTTCACATTCAGAAACACGAGAAAATCTGGTGTATAACAACAGAATCTTTGATAATTTGGAAAACATTGGTTGACACAGAACAAGATGTTTGGAACTATTTGGATATGAATTTGCCGTCTCGAAAAGTTGTTGTAACTCAAAAAGATGCAGATATCTGTGGATCAAATGATATTTTGTATTTAAGAAGTCGAAATGTTCTTTTTCGAATTGATTCAGCTAATTTGACATGTTCCGATCCTTATCCAATGGAGAATTTGAGACAAGCTGTTGTGAATTTGCAAGGTAAAAAATTACTTGGTTTGAAAATGTTTTGAATTATGGAATTTTTCCAGGTCAAATTTGTCTTCTTGGTTCAAATATTTCGATTGTTAATGAATGGAAAGTTATGTTGTATGAGGATAAAAAGACAACAATTATCCAGCCAAGAAGTATGAATAGAGCTATGAATTTTGGAAAATCGATTATTTGTATTGCTATGTATTGATTGACATGTTTTGTATGTAAATAAATTGTTATTGATCTTAAGCCTGAAAAATTAGCTTCCTATAAAATTTTAAAAATATGTTCTGTTATTTTTTTGAAACAGATAACCGACTTAGCAAATATTTCAAATATCTTATTGTTAGTGGTTTCAAAACTGTTTGAAACTGTGAAAAATATTTTTAATATTTGTTTTTTTATTTTGCTCAACGAGAATATTCTTATTGTGAACACATGTGATTGCTCAATTTTTAAACATTTTTGAAACAGTGAAAAACGAGAAAAAAAATATATAAAAATTTCCACGTGACACTGATAAAATTCATTTCGAGAAAGTTCAATATTGAACATTTTTTTAAATTGAATTCAATTACATTCATTAATTTTACAAGATTTTTTCTGTTTTGAAAATAATTTGAAACAATGAAATTTTCAGGCTTTTGGAGACAAAACACAAATTCTTTCGGAATTCCACGTGGTGTTTCTAATTTTTTGGGGCTAAAAATTAACGTGGCAATATTGAAATTATGCATCAAAATTCGTTCCGAATAATGCATTTTTTTGCCAAACTCGAAACATAAATAATGAAAAGAACAGGATTTTTTAGTTTCAAATTAAAAATTTCACAAATTTCATAAGATCTTGAAAATATTCACTGTTTCAAGTATTTCTCCTAAGATTTCAGATCAATTTTCTGAATGATAGTTGATCAAAAACTGTACTTTCACCCCAATCAAAATACTTTATTTAAAAAAACACCAAAAAAATTAATTAATAAGTAACATAGAAAAGTTTCGAGGCCTATCTATAAGTGTTGTTCGATCTTCTAGAAAAGTTGCCGTTTTTTGTCATCTCGCAATGCACCAGCCACAATATTATACTCAGTTTGATCAGAAATTGGTGGCGATAATGGAATCGGTTTCACATGTTGAGCCTCATTTTCACGATTTTCTTCCACTGTAAAAGTTTTTGTTGAGATTAGACTGTGTAAAAATGATGTTCCAGAGTTGCAAAACAAGCCCCACCCACTGTTCTGTGCGAGGCTACTATTTTTAGAAACAGAAAAATCTTACAATGTGCTCTTTGCGGCTCGAATTGTTGATGGATTTCGACGAGTTTTTTCTCCAATTTTTTTCTGAAAAAATTCTGAAATCTTGCACTTGACTACAGTAATCTTACCTATAATGCCACCTGACTAAAACCATTGTCATCAAACAAAAAATCATAAAACAAATTGTTCCAACAATCATCATTACCATCTCGGATTCGACTAAACTTATAGTTGTATCTGAAAATGACAAATCAATATTTTTGCTCTGTAAGAAGATTGTACTTACATTTGACTTGATAATCACTTCTCAAAAAACGATCTTGAAAATTTGACATTTAGAAAAGTGAAACCGTTTCAGAAATTTTGAAAAAAAATAATGGCTTTGGGATTTTTTTTGAATTTTGTTTTTTTTTGCGAAAAAATATGTGTCACGTGAAAATTTTTGAAAACGTGCAAAATTCGTTCAAAAAATGATTGACTTGAAACTTTTTATTTGAAGATATCAACTTTCAGGGCCAACATTTGAAGAGCAAATATCGAAATATCAAAATTAGTACTACACATACTTCGGCCAAGCCGTGGCTGGTCAGAGTACAATTTTTGGAAAAATCAGAGTTTCAGTTTTTAGAGGACAAAAATTGAAAAACCACAAGTTTTAGAGGTGAAAAACTGAAAAATTCACAATTTTTGTACTGTAAAAAGTTAGCGTACAATTTTTTATTGTGGAAACCACGATTTTGGCCGAGGTGTGGTACTACAAAATCTTTGGTTTTCCATTTTGTTTTCTTGAAAACTTGCTCTCCATTTTATTTCCCAAAACAAAAAAAAATAATTGTTTGATAATAATTATAGGGTTTTTTCCCTTACTAAATAAATAAACTATTATGTTTTGATGAAAACTGTTCTCTTTTTGTTTGATTTTGATTAATGTGTACGAAAAATGAGAAGAAAAAGAACACTTGAGAATTATTCTGTCAAGTTTTTACTTTTTCCGAATTCGAATTTGAATGAATTCGAAATCACGATTGTTTTATTTTGGGTTTTTATGATTCAAAATATTGGGATGGGAAAGTGGTTTTTAAAATTTAATTTTCCGGAAAATCCAATCACCGCAAAAGTTAAGCTACAAATTCCGAATTCTGAATTTTATTGGATATCCGATTTCTTATTTTTTGAATCTTTTTAGGATTTTCGGATTTGCAAAAATGTTTTGAAAGATTAACTTTTGCGGTGAAAAATCCACGTATCGAGGTTTGAGCCATCTCTTAGTTTTCAATTTTCAGTCCCAAAATGTCTATTTTCGGATTCCCAAGACCATGTTCAAAAATTCTATTTTAGAGGCAAAAAGTTCCCGAGTAAATAAGTTCTTCTTGCTCAAAAAGGTAATTTTCTTGTCATCTCAATTTCCTCTTCCTCCACTTTTTTGTCCAACGAGTTTCTGGGAAAATTGCGAAACATTCGCAATTTCTTCACTGAACGTCTCCTTCTTCATTTTTCCAGCTCCAGCGAGCCATTTCTCTGCGTCTCTTTGTCTGTCACACTCTCTCGTCACCTATCGATTTTCGTCGGGCTCTTTTTCGCGTCTTCTTCTGCTCCAACCTTTTTTGGTGGAAAAGGGTCCTTTTTCTCTAATTCTCTCACTTGACAACACTGAAAATAAGGAAAAGAAGATAGATATTTTTGACTGAAAAAAATCATGAATTTTTTTTTCGGAGTCTGTTTGTTTTTTTGTGTCTTTTTCTGAAAATGGCCATGTGATAGATGTTTTTGAAAAAGTTTTTTTAAGTTGATTTTTTGGAGTGAAAAAGTTACGATATTTTTTACGGTAAAACTGGGGAGCTTCAAGGTTTTCAATTTTTGGAATTTTAATTTTTCGGCGGCAAGAAATACAGTACTCTGAACTGCAAATTGTTTTTTGAAACTTGTTTTTGAAGATCCGATTTTTTGGTATGAACACTACAGTACTCAGAACTACAAACTTTCCAAATTCATTTTTAGCACTAATTGTGAAAAGTTTGAAAATTATTTTTGAAGATTCCAAATTTTGGAACAATTTTTTCATTTTAAATTTTTTATGAAGATTCCGGTTTGAATTGCCAAAAATTTTCAATTATTTTTGGGCTAAAGCAATTTTTCAAAATCCGAAAATTCAACGCAGATCAGACTTTTGGCGCGGCGCCGCCGAAACCAATAAAATCCATCTCCTTCAATTTTTTATGTCTCTCTTTTCTTCTTCTTCTTCTTCTAAATCATTTCATTTTCATTTTCAAAAATAAAATGAGGAACAGACTCCATTTATCTAGTATTTGAGAAAGGAAGAGGATTATCTTGGGGTGTCACATCTGCCGACTTTTTTTTGAATATTTTTCGAATTCAATTAAGTTGTCATGGTGAAATATATTCTATTTATTATTAAATATATGTTTGCTAGTTGGTTACTAACTAGTTTCTTTTTCTTTTTCAAAAAAAAAAAAAAACAGAATACCAAAAATAGCCGTGATGAATCATGGTTGCGAAATATCTGGACTGGGGCGGGATTCGAACTTTCTGCCTTCTGCGCGCTGAGCAAAAGACTTAGCACTTCGTCATTTAGACAACTTTTTCAAAAGCCTTAATTGCCCTAGATAATTTTGATAGCATTTTTTGGGAATTTCTGTTATTTAGAAAATTGATTGATTCGCGCTTCCATTGTTGTTTTGTGTTGTGTTGTTCATCCGACCATAATCTGTCTGCGCATCTCTAAATTGCCACGCTATTTTCACAATCACTCACTTTCACACCGTTTCAATTCAAAAACACCATCTTTTTTCTTCTTCTTTTCCTTGTTTTCTCGGGTCGGAGGGTTTTGTGGTTTTTAGACTTGGACTTGGACTTCTATCTGTTTTTTTCTTGTTTCTTATTTATCTTTCATGTTGCGAATGCTGTCACTTTACAACAAAATCCATTCATCAAAACTTTTTTCTCAAATATTTTTTTTCCAAAAAAAATTTCTTATTGACACAGCTTATTCGATAGTGACCGTAACCTTTGCGAAAAAGATTAGTAGGCAGTTTAACACCGATTGTTTGGTTGGTTTTTGAATGTTGCAAAAAATCCTATGGGGCTAGACAGCGAACTTATACCTCAAAAGTTTCTCCCTAACACAGTTTTGCCCGATAACAGCACACAAAAAATAAAGAAATAAATTAAAGGCGCATGGCGAGAAGTGTGCGATATTTCGCAGCGAACAAAATTCAAAAAAAATATTTTCATTTCCACGCCACAGTGTCCACAAAACGACGTTTCTGCGTCTCTTTTCAAAAAATCTCTCGTTTCGGTAGAGCGCGTTTGCTCGTTTGTCTTTTTTCAATGGAAAAATCGAATTTTTTGCCGATTTTTCAACTTTTTCTTGTTTTTACTCATTTTCATTGTTGTTTTTGCAAATTTTAATGAACGATTTCTTATTTTATGAATATCAGAGAACATTTTAATGTATAGATCGTTTCATGAAGTGACACCATAATGTCGTTCAAAAATGTTAAAGATTTTTGTTCGTTTTTCAGGTTTTTTTGGGTGTCACCAAAAAGTGAAGAATACTCATTTTTCGAACTTTTTGGGATACGAGGACCACATTTGGGATGAAATGGGATATATTTGGACCAATTGTAACGACGACAGATTTATTTTCATATGAATCGATGGATGTTACCAGTGGTGCTGTTGAACTGTTTCCTGATGCTTGTTTTGGATATAAAATGATTCGATTATGATGGGAGAGAAGAAAATCAAGCTTTTCGTAGGTTTTTTGCGTCAGAAATTGGATAATAACGGAATTTATAACGGTATTATTGCAGGTTCACGCTGGTCATCGCTACTTTTGGACATTTACTGGCTCAAAAATATGTAACTGCTTGTGATATTTGATTTTTGACAAAAACGGAATCGCATTGGATGTATCTGATCGTAATTTCGAATCAAGCACACATTTTTTCAATGAGGAACGATAAACTCGTTGCGATAAACTCGCATTGGAGGATCTGGCTTTCCAACACCAACATCAGGAAATGTGTTATTCAGAGTACTAGAGGACAGTGAAAAACATCGAGAACACACATGAAATTCCACTTGACAATGTATATGTTGGAACTATGAAGAAAATAGCGGCCGTTGGAGCTGGTTGTAAATGTTTGATGGATCAAAAAATGATTAATTGAGAGGAACTCATATTTCAACAGTAACATCCGACTCTTCTTATTGCTAAATTAAAATTTTGGAGCTTGGTAGAGATTTGACGATATTTTTTCTGAAGTTGATTGGAAAAGTTGAGTTTGAATCGAAGAATGACGTTCCTTATTTGCCGAAATTATCGATTTGTGATATTCGGAGCTCTATAACTCAGCTAAAAAGTTCATTCGAATCCTGAAAATCTTTTTGTTGTATATTTTCATATGGTCTTTCTGCTGATGTTAATTTTCAGCCGGTTTTTCAAAAATGTTTTTGTAAGACACGACTTTCTATTATTTATTAATGAATATTTATTTAGATAGTTCGTTTTTTGTTACATGAAACTTTATCATTTAAATTTTTCAATTTTTCACACTTGAATTCAGGTATTTCTTATTTTTTAATAAAAAAAACGCTCAAATAAACGTGTTTTGCTAATTGCGAGAATTTTTAGGTTCGAAACTTCTCATTCCTAGCATCAAATAAACTGGTATACTTTGATTCACGTAATTCCTGGCCTCTAGAAGTAAATTTACCAAAAATTTGGTGAAATTTCAGCTAAAATACTTTTTCAAAAAAACATAAGTTTTTCTTTCGATTTTATAGCCTTAAAAATTTCAAAAATGAATCGAAATGTTATTTCTCTGCCTTCCTTTCATCCTCCTCTACTCGCTCATATACCATTTACCCGTGAATTTCTCGAATTGTTTGAAAAATTTCGAAAAAATTTAAAAAAATTGAAAAAAAAATGAGAGAGTGTTGTTTGCTGTAGAGACGCAGACAACGAGAGAGCGCACACACCTCGCGTCGTCCTGTGGATATTGTGACGCGTTTTCTCTTTCTCCTATTTTTAAATTTTCAACCCCATTTCCCAGGTGAATCATTATAAATCAAATCATACGATATTTCACAATATGAACTTTGTTGTTTTCCGTCTCGATTTATATTTAAGGAGAAGCACATTTTCATTTCTTTTCTTTTCTCATTTATATAAAATAAAACTAAATATATTTACAATGTTATTTATTTACATTGTATCTCTTCTACATTAGTCATTCAATTTCCCCACAATTTTCAATACAATATAAATTTTGTATGTGTATACACGTCATGTGCACTTTTTTGTTGAAAAAAAAACGAAACCAGGTGATTTCAAATTAAATAATCTTTTTGATAAACAATTATTGCTCTCTCTTATCAATTTTTTTTCGCTCATGTGGTTAGTGAAGCCTAGCGGATATCATGTTATTTAGAAGCGAAGAGAAGGGGGAGAAAATCGATTCATGGAAATTGAAAAAAAAACATAGTAACGCGCTTTTTCTCCCTCCACCCTCTTTTCTCTCCGCTTTTTCACTCCTCTCCTCACTTTGAGTTCGTTTTTCTTCTTTTTTTTTGCCTTCTCTTTTTTTTTTGAAAAAAAATTAATAATTTATCGTGAAACATTTTTTATCAATTTTTTTGACCTACATTTTTTTGACGTCGCGCTGGCGGTCATTTCTCATTTTTGATTTTATTCAAAACTGAAAAATTTGAAAATTGCAAAATCTTCCAGTCTGCCAGTAAGATCTGCAGCGATGCTCACATTATTGGAGCCGCCTGGCGGAGCAAAACGCTCGCCAAATGTTGGTGGCAACTATAACAATCGATCAGCTCAACATTTATTGAACCTATGTGAGTTGTTTTCCGTCAAAAATCTAATTTTTATTGGAGTTTTTCAGCACCAGAAGAAGACGATCTCTACGACCAATACGATGAGGAAATTGACGATTTCGCTGAAAATGAGCCACAAAGTTTACTAGACAAATTTCTTGTCTGGCGAACATCTTCCAGTGAATTCAACGAGCGCTGGAAACGCGAATTTCGCCAACGACCCTCGTGGTGTGACGCTGATCTATGTTTACAACAAATCAAACGGGTATGTTCATGAGATTGTAGTGTACACTTTATATTATGTAAAACAACAAGCCAAGGCTGTTAACACCTGCTTTTTCCTGTTCCTCGCCATGACAACCGAAATTTTGCAATTTTCAAATTGCCGAAAAAACGTATCGAATTTCTCTTTTTTTGGGGCCCTCACCCGACTATTTGCACAGTTTTGTTAGCTTTTCGGGTCGCCGAAAAAGTTTTTTTGCGTGTGCACAAAAAATGAACGTTTTTTATGAATTTCAAATTTTCGTGGGGAGAATCAAGTCGATTCAAGGTTAATAAAAAGTCGAGGCAAATTTAATTATGCATAAGGCAGGTGTGCGGTTTCGGAGAAAATTTGCTGACTCATTTTCTGTGGGAGAAAAATTAGTGTGAGAGACAGCAGAGGGAAATTAATGAATTGACCTGACCTCCGGGAACATTTTTGTGGGAAAGAACAACATTTTGAGGAAAAGTTTTTGGCACTTCTATGATGTTTATCTTGGGGAGAAGAAAAAAGTGTTTTATAGGCTATAAAATGTTTTTTGGAGGCAAAGGTATTTGAAAAGAAATTTTGAAAGTTTGGACTAACAAGGAAACTTTTTCAACTTTAAATAGATATTTTTCAATTTGGTGATCACGATCTCGTTGTAAAAACTGCAAATCTCAACTCTTCATATGAGTTTTGATAGCTTCCGAATTGGTTTTTCTGAAAATCGGATAGCGTAGTGGTTTTTTTTAGGAAGGGCGATTACATAAGTTTACTTAACTTTACGCTTTCAGATTTCTGAAAATTCAATTCGGAAGCAAGTTATTACCCACTAAAGTCACAATTTTTTAAAAATTTTCCATCTTTTCCACGTGGCAAATCATATTAAGATTTGAGCTTTGCGGTTTTTACAAAGATATCGTCATCTTCAACTACTAATGGCGTGAAATCCTCTCGCACTTTCTCCAATTTCAAACTTCCTCCTCGTGCTGAAAATGACGTGCAAAAAATCACAGAGAAACATGATATCTTTTTGAGCCACCGTTTTCTTGCTCACACTAGTACTACTCTCCGTTTTTTGCTCTTCCTCTTTTCTTTTTCTCTCCTTCTCGATTACTTTTTTAATCCGACTAGTAGTACAATGGATGGGAAGAAAATTGAATTGGAAGAATGAGAAGGAAAAGAGGAGCCAATGAAAAACTGGATATTTTTGGTTTTCAAGAGCTCTTTTCATTCATTATTACTATTATAATATAATGGGCAAGCAAGCAGGAACACCTGACTGACTCATTTACGGAATTGAACTGAACACAAAAAAATTGAAGAGAAAAACATGTTATTTTTGATGTTATATAGTGAAAAATAATAAAAATAATGAATGGATGGGGCTAGAAAAAAAATGATTTATTGGATTTCTGAAAATTGTTTCTCTCTCTATGATGACTAATGTGTTTTTTCGTCTTCTGGAGGAGGAAAAAATCAATATAAATAAATAAATAGTAACATTCAATCATTTCATTTTTAATTGTTTGTTTTGAGGGCGAAATTGAGGTTTTTTGAGAGGAAAAGGAAATTGACCGAAATTGGAAAAAAGTTGAGGGGGGAATTAAAACAACTTGGATATGTTTTCAGGGAAAAGCAACGGGTAATCAATGGGCACTCTACTCACGAAGTTTTATCCAAAAAGTTCTATTCGCCTTGGGTCAATCAGTTCAACGCAATGCGTTCTCGATCATTTTGATGGTCTCGATGGTTTTTGCCGTTTGTTGTTACGGGCTACAATATGTGCATATCGAAACTGACATTGTCAAGTTGTGGGTGTCGCGTAAGTAGTTTTTTTTGTGCTTGAAAGGAATATGAGTTTTGACGTGGCAAAGTTATTACTATCTTGAAATTAAACTTTTCTGAAAACTGTCTCGGGTTCAAAAATATGTTATTCTATCAGATTTCTATAAAAGATTTGTTTATCTTATTGTAAGTAGTTATAAATTTTACCACGTCATAGTCCATGTTTAGAGCAGTTTTTTAAAATCAGTTTTCATAATGTCAAGAAAATGTAAAACAAAACAAGAAATCTTCTGAACCCATCCTCCAAAATAATTATTTTTTGCAGAAGGCGGCCGACTTGATTTCGAGCTCAACTTTTTGCCAAACATCAAACAGAAAATGAATTTATCTGCGACTGAAGGTGAAGCTGAAATACCGCGAGAAAATGGACTGGGCGGAGGATATCAGGTTTTGATCCAAACACCCGAATTTGATGGACAAAATGCGTTGGATATTGGACCACTCTTGAAACATGTTGAAATTATGAAAGATATCGCTAGTTTTAATGTGACGGTGCATGGAGAGTGAGTTATTTTTTAAACGAAGAAACATTTGGGAATTATGGTGTTTCCAACTTTTTGTCGACGAAACAAGAAAACATAAGCTGCTTCCAAATTCATCTTTTTTTCCAGACAATGGTCATTATCTGATATTTGTTTCAAACCTGCTCCTCCATCAATCGATAATGGTTCAATTGCTGGTACAGTTTCCGATGTTATTGATCGAATTGTTCCATGTATTTGGATTACACCAATTGATTGTTTCTGGGAGGGTTCAAAAGCTCTTGGCCCACATCCTCAACTTCCCAAAAAGGCTCTCGGATTATTCTCTTATCTTATCAGTACTCTACCAGAAGGTGAAACTATTCGATGGTCCGATTTTGATCCGATCAAAGTTATCAATGAGATTCACAATGCATTCAATCTTGGTTCACATTATACATTTTTCGAACGTGCTGGAGTTGGACATGGATATATGGATAGACCGTGTATTGATCCATTAGATCCTGAATGTCCGGAAATGTCACCGAATCATTTTGATGTTTGTCCACATATTGATAGAATTCGAGAAATTGCAAGAGCAAACGGTGAAGAATTGAAAGAAGAAAAGAAAAAAGGAGAAGAATCTAGTTCTGATTGGTTGGATTTTCTGAGATCGAAAAGAAGTGTTGAAGGTGAAAACTCTACTTTAACTACTACTACTACTACAACTACTGAACCAACAACAACATTGTCGCCTGAACAAATTGCTAGAGAAAAGGAATTGGAACTGTCTCGAGAGGCAACGAAGAGAAAAGAAAGTAAGTGTTTTGTTGAAAAAATCAGGTTGAAATCAATTTTTGGTTAAAATTAACTTCATTTTTGAAAAATGGAAGATTATTCTTCTTATTCTTGTTTTCAACAAATATTTTTCTAAACTGAATTAATGTCATAATATTCAGTAGTCGATAAACTCGAATTTTTACAGGATGCGACAAATTCCGCAAATCGTCTCTTCAATGGATCCGAGAAAATAAGGATAAATGGTCTCAAGTACTCACAGAAGACAAATACCCGAAAACCGTTGATTACGGTAAAATTATGTCAGAAGGTTGCAATGGTTTTGCATCAAATGTGCTCCATTGGCCAGTTGATATGATTTTGGGAGGAGCAAAACGAGATGAGCAAACTAGACAATTGAAAACAGCCGATGCTTTGCAATCTGTATTCTTGGTTGCATCGCCAAATGATATTTATTTGCGATTCAAACAAAAACCAGGAAAAAGTCCATTGAAAAAAGGATTGAATATGACAGAATGGAATGAGAAAATGGCGGAAGCTGTATTGACTGCGTGGCAAAGAAATTTCACACGAAATTTGTATGATCATAAAGATAATCGTGATGAGAATGGAGCAGAAAGAAGAACATTGCATCCACTTGCATCTACTTCGATTGCTGATATGTTGGAAGAGTTTTGTCAATTCAACTATACTATTATTTTTGTTGGATATGGATTGATGGTAAGGGTTTTTCGGGAAATGTGCAGGAATTTTGAAATGTGGAAATTCAATTGACAATATTGTCTCCCAAAAATTCACTTTTGCAATTTTTTCGCACCGTGGCAAATTTTTAAAATTAAAAAATTTACCACTTAAATGGCACCTGGCAGTTAAAATCCAACTTACTGCTACGTGGAAATTTTTTTGAATCAAACATTTTCCACGTGGGAATAAATTTAAATTAGAGCTCAAAAACGTTTTTTTTTGTTAGAATTTAATTTCAAAAATTCATTTCGGCCCTAATTTTTTGAACATAATATTTCATCCGTAATATTTTTTGGTCGAAATTCCACGTGTCATATTGGATCCAAAAGTCGTTATTCAATCTAGACACCCAAAACCTTATCCAAAACTCTTTAATTTTTCAGCTCGCCTATGCTATTCTCACACAAGTCCGAATTGATCGTTGGTTACCATCAGCTGAGTCATCAATGGGTCTTGCATTTGCCGGTGTTGTTGTTGTCACTTTTGCCAGTGTTGCTGGACTTGGTCTTGCCACGTGGTTTGGAATTGAATTCAACGCTGCCACCACGCAAATTGTACCATTTTTGACTCTTGGAATTGGAGTTGATAACATGTTTATGCTTCTTTACAATTACCGTGATCTTTTGAAATTGTCTGGTGGACGCAATGATTTGGCGATTTTGATGAAAGAAACTGGAATGTCGATTTTGTGCACATCAATCAATAATATTCTTGCTTTCCTCACTGGAACCCTTCTTCCAATTCCGGCTCTTCGTTCGTTCTGTGCTCAATCGAGTATTTTGCTCACTTTTAATTTCATTGCAATTTTGACCATTTATCCGGCCATTATTTCGTTTGATTTGAGAAGAAGAAAGAGCAATCGAAGAGATGTTTTGTTCTGTTTGCATGGAAATCAACAAGAGGAATCGTATTCGATGATTTCGAAACCAAAGTTGCCTGTGAGTTATTTGATAATGGGAATTTGGGAAATAATTTTCAAAATAAAATTTCGAACCTCAAGTTTTTAGTTGCAATTTTTTGATAATTTAATTTTTAACTTCTCAAACCTGGAAAATCACAAAAATTTCAAACTTCTTAATTTTTGTATTTTGCAGAATAAGAGAATTATCGGAGCTGCCTCGGAAGCCTCAATAATTCAACGTTTTGATGGAATTACCAACTCTCCACTCAACCAAGAAGAAAATGAAGAAGCCACGTCATCTTGGCTCAACAAACAAATCCACAATCACTATATCCCATTGTTATCTCGAAAATCATATCGAGCATTCGTTTTGGGATTATGTGTTGTAATGCTCAGCATTTCGACATATGGATTGAAAAACACAACACTTGGATTGGAATTGAGTGATGTTTTGCCCGAACACACAGCACCGGCTCAATTTTTGAGAGCTCGTGACAAGTATTTCAGTTTTTATCCAATGTTTGCTGTTTTGCAAGGACCTAATATCAATTATGCCGAACAACAGATTCAAATTGAGAATTATCGAAAAGCAATTGGAGCATCGAAATATGTTATAAAGAATAGTATGGATGAACCAAGTGAAAAATATTGGTTGGGATTAATGAGAGATTGGTTGATTAGTATTCAAGAAGGATTTGATCAAGAAATGGCAACTGGAGAAGCATTTGATTTAGAAACTGGAGAAATTATTGGAAAAAATGTGTCGGAAGATGCAAGAATTGCACATGCTTTGATTTGTTCAAAAGGAAATGTTTTTGAATGTAAAGGAAGAATTGGAACAGTTCGACTTGTTGATAAAAGTGGAGTTATTCATCAAGATGCATTTTATAATTATTTGACTGCATGGTTTAATGTTGATCATATGATGTATTATGTCTCGCAAGCCTCTTTCTTCCCAACACCACCAAAATGGAGTTTGAAGAAAAATTCGACGGATAACTTTGTGCCGCCAGCTCAACCATTGGCATACTCACAAATTCCATTTTATTTGACCGGTTTGACTGATACACCAGTTATTGTTGAAATGATTAAAGATATTCGAGGTGTTTGTGAGAGATTCACAGATAATGGTTTGCCAAATTTCCCACAAGGAATTGCATTCACATTCTGGGAACAATATTTGTTTTTGGCTGGCAATTTGACATGGGCCATCTTTATTATCTTGTCCGCTGTTTTTGCCGTCATCACTTTGATTTTGTTCAGTCCAAGAGCTGCGGCATTGATTTTGGGAGTTTTGGTTATTATCACTTTTGAGTTGGCTGGATTTATGGGACTTGTTGGAATCAAGTTAAATCCGGTTAGTTCTTTTTAAGGAGAAAATATGATTTTTGTTTTTAAACGATTATCTCTGACTTACCAGAAAATCTGAAAAATTTAGACAGAAAATTCACATTATTTTGAATTTTCAAAAAAAAATGTTTCTTTTATAATTAAAACAGCTAGAATGTTTCCGGGTGGATTTTTGGCGAAAAAAACATTGTCCTAAAAATAATTCGAACAACCAATTGCAGATTTTTTGTTTGATGTTTTCTTCAAAGTTTTCTAAATTCTGTTTACTCATTTTAAAGCCGCGGAATCATGTGATTTTAATTAGAAATTTAATTAAAGCTTTATCCTAAATAACTTGAAATAAAAAACCAGAATTCGGAAACTTTTTTTTAGGGATGTTTTGGAATTTTTTAAAATGAAAAACAATTTGCAGGTTTCTGCTGTCACTCTTATCACAGCCGTCGGAATTGGTGTCGAATTCACTGTCCACGTCATAGTCGCCTTTTTGACATCTTTGGGTGACAAAAAAGAGCGAACAGCAAGTGCAGTTGATAGAGTATTTGTGCCAGTTATTCATGGAGCATTTTCGACACTTTTGGGAATTGTCATGTTGTCAATGTCGGAGTTTGAGTGAGTTTTTAAAAGTGAAAATGGGGATTTTGACCTAAAAATATATTTATTTCAGATTTGTCGTCAAATATTTCTTTGTCGTCATGTCGGCTTTGATTGCATCTGGTGTTTTCAATGGATTGTTCTTGCTACCTGTTATTTTATCGATTATGGGACCTGGAAGAGAGGTAGGATTTTTGGCTGGGAAATTATAAGAAATGAGGAGAAGAGTTTAGTAAAGATACATATTTTTGTAGGCATGAAAACCAGAAAATTAAATGGAGAAAAACTTTATTTTGAAATATAGTTTTTAGAAAATTCAGGCTTTTTTCAAAGAAGAAGATCTCTTTACACGGAAAAATTAGAAATAAAAAATGGACGTGGAAAAGTTCACGGCAAAGGAATATTTTTCCTCTTGCAGTTCCATCTCATGTATTTTTCCAGATTACTCCAACTGATGGAAAATCGCTCCTAAATCTCCCACCTCCTCTAACAAAACGAAATCGTCGATGCGCAACATCAAGAAATTCGGAATCGGATGAAGATGATGAACCAAGCGGTTTAGTAATGTTCTCCAAAAAATCGAATCAACCACAACAAGGAAATTTGCGAAAAATCTAACCCCTGTGTGTTTTTATCCAGATTTATCATTATTCAAATAATTTATGTAAAAAGTCAGAATGGGTGATATGTTTTCCTTTTTTATGATATCCTTTTTCTAGTAAATGTAGTTGTAGTTTGATTTTTTATCGGCACGCTCAACCAAATAACCCCCCCCCTTAATTTTTTTCCCTTTTTAAATTCATGTTTTTCCTTCCCCCCGAAAAAACTCAAAGTGCAATTAATTTTTTTTGAATATTTTCAACATGAAAACGCGGCTTTAACATTTTTTGTCTAGTAAAAATAGCATAATTTTTCTTTTCTCGTTTTTTTGTATCCCTGTGAATGATCTCAGCCTAAGTTTCTCTCTCTCTCTCTTCAAGAATGTCTTTTTTTTCATAGATTTCTCTCCCCGTCCCTTAATTATTGTCATTATTATCATAATTATATTAGCTTCTCTCTTTTTTCCCTTATTTTTTGTCTGGTGATTGAAATGAATTGTTCTAACATATTATGAGCAATGGTTTTTTTTCGGAAAATTGAGAAGGAAGTTGTGAACTTTGATTGAAGTATTTTGAAAATTTAGATGGAAAACCGTGTCAGGATTGTGGTTTCTAAAAGAACTAACAAAAACTATGCCAATGTAATTACAAAAATTCAACCCTACCTCAATTGCGCCAGTCTTTCATACGTTGGCGCGTTACATGTTTTTTCAAACATGTTTTTTTCTTCCAGTTTTCAATCCTCACTTCCATAATGTGATATGGATATAAATCGGGACGAGGAAGCGAAATCGCCTGATATTTTTGCGGATGAGGAAGAAAGTGTTGATTCTTTCGAAATCGGACCCGCTGGAGCTGAACCCTTGGAGCCTGAGGATTCTTTTGAAATCGAATACCCGCCCAATCAGACAGTTCTAGAAGATGATCCAATTATGACGATGCTAAATGAGAGTTCGGGGGATTTTGAAGAGGAAGGAAACGTAGCAAAAATGAATAAAGATTATCCAGAAGAGGATGCACTGTCCAAAGTTTTGCGATCTTTTCGGAAATCTCCTTCGACGGACAAAAGTATTGATGTATTCGACGAAGAGCAAAATCGGCCACTTTTACCATATTTGTTGCCCGGTGAGCCGTTGAATAAACGAATAAGAATAGAGGATGTACCGGGAACATCGGCTGAAATTGAGCCAGAGTTGGAATTGGGCACTGGGCCGAATCCTATTGAACCCGAATATTGGCAGAATCAGAAGAATGTGTTTGTTGTAAATGGGAAGGTGCATGAGATTAAGAGCTTTGTGAGTTTTTTTGGGGGTTTTTAAGGGAAGAAAACATTTAATTTCTAAAAAATAGTTCTTCAAACTCATCAGGAATTGTTTACTTTTCAAATCAAAAAATAATTCAAGAGATTTGAACACTCCTCGTGTTTACCTCGGAAGCTAGCAATACATATTTTCCAAAAGTACAATTTTATCAATGATCTTTCTTTTTTCCTAAAAACACTTTTTTGACACCTTGGTGTTGACCAAAAAAAAGTGTGGCAGAAAAATATATAACCGGCGGAAGTGCTCTTTGAAGTGATAACAGATGTTTTTTTGGAAAGTATGTTTTTGGGAAGATCTATATTTTTCTAAAATTTTGATAGAATAAAGAACGATGATTAAAAAAAAAGAAAATTTATCAAAAAATCACAAGAAAATACAAGAAAGACAAGAATACAAAAAATACCGGCAAAAAAATCACAAAATAAATCACAGGTTAATTATTAGTCAATTAATTAATTAGTTAGTAAGTCCGCTCATTTTGTTGATGATTTGAACACAAGTTCTAGCATCTTCGATTGAGTCATGTCCAATATTCAGTGGATTATCCACTTGAATAGATTTTTGAAGATATTTTTGAGCCAAAGTCCGGAGTGATGGTTTGAATTTACCACTTTGGCAGGCGATTGCTGTGTCGATAATTGTCAAATGAGAAAGGCGAAGGGCTTTCAAATCGGATTCCAAAGAATGACCGATCAGAATTGTTTTCTCGTTGATGTATTTGAACATTTCTTGGTGGCACTGAAAAATAAGAATTTAAGTAAAAGAAACAAATATTTATTTTAAATTTAAATTAACTTACCTCTTCAAGTGAGATTTTTGCTTCTTTCTCAATTTGCTCTTTTGTGAGACCACTGTATAATGTATTAGCATCCAAGATTTCACCTGGTGGTTTGACCAATGTGTCCATGACAACATCTCCAGATAAATTGCAAATTGAGACTCGAGCAATTGCTGGTCCAAGTTTTGTGTAGACCATTTCGCAATCCATTCCAAAAATATTGTAATTTCTCACATCTTCCAATCCGTCGGATATTGGAGTTTGTACGAATGTCTCGAGTTCAGTATTTTGCATTTGATCGTAAACGTGAACTGGGCTCTTTGTGCAACCTTTTGATTTTCCTTCAAATTCATTGCAGCATTCATGAATTCGAGCGCCAATTTCTAGAAAGAAAAATAACATTATTTTCAAATAAGTTTGGAATTTTTTAAATAATATACTCACCTCTATCAAGTTTGGCTGATCTTGGATGATAAATGCAAACTCCTTGAGATTTTCTTCCATTTTTCAGATACTTGAAGACGATTTTACATCTACAGCAGTTCCGTAATTTTTCAGAAACTGCTACCCAAATGTTTTTGTCAGCATCGAATTCAGTCGATTGAATTGTTACTGATGTTTTGCCATCTTCGAAATAGGGATATCCCCATTTGATCAATTTTTCGCTGGATGTTTTATACTTTCGCCATAAGTAAGTATACACATCACGATATGTCATCTCTGTTACATCATCTGAAAGAAAAATGATTTAGAAAAATCATTTTTAATTTGAAATTACTGTAAAATTAAAAAAAAAAATAAAACTCACTTGGATTTGAATAATAAATTGTTCCATTGTGCTCAACTGGTGATGTTGAAGAAGCATTTGATAAATTCTCATAAGAGGATGAGTTCGAAGAAGTTAGTGAAGAAGTTGGAGAACCCATTGATAAGGTTTCAGCGAATTGTTGATTTTGCAACATCAACTGCCATTGTTGTTGTCGAACAAATTCGAGATACAACTTCTGACGATATTGACAAACTGCGATGTATTGCAATTGTTCAGCGGTATACAACACTGGCTGCATTGATTGGAAATGCATTTGTTGCTGAAGTGCTTGGGGTTGTTCGGTTGGATCGAACATAGTCATTCCGGAGAACGCATCATTGATGTGTTCTTGAGAGGTTCTTGGACTAACTTCTGTTTCTTGAACATCATTCCAAGATGGTGGTTGGCTTTGGAAAAACATCGAGGTTGATGGAATTGACATTTTGCGACTTTTCTGAAATAAAAATCTCAAGCTTATTATTTTCAGATGAAATACACGAACATAGAATAAGTCAAAGAAATAAAACATTAGGAAATTGAAAAAAAAACTAAAGTCGTAAGAGAAAACACGGCGTCTAGGGGAATCCTAAGAGTTCCTAGGATCTCCTAAGAATTCCTAGCATAGCTTCAGAACTAAAAAACAAGTTGATTAAATGACTATCAGGTGGCCCTTTTATACCGGGATTTTGGTGTTCACCATCTCCACCCATTCGATGGCCACGCCCCTTTCTCATGACCACGCCCCCATTTTTCACACCTTGGTGACACCGCGCGTCTTATCAGGTGTTAACAGGTGTTATCATGTGTTATCGGAAACCGACACGCTTGGGAAAGGGTGTTTTGGGAAGATTTTATTGGAGAATATAATACAGTAACCCAGGTTTTTACAGGGAGATTATATGAATATGAAGATTAGCAAATTAAATTATCAAGTTAATTCCGAAAAAACGAAACCTATCGAAAAAGTTTCCGAAATTTTTAAAGGATTCTCAGTTTTTGTCAATGGATTTACAGGTATTCTAGGGACTAATTATTCTACAGTAATCCGAATTATTGATTTTTGCAGACCCACCAGCTCTTGTGATTCGAGATTTGATGATTGCTCATGGTGGAGAATATCATTGTTATTATATGCATCGAAAGACGAGTTTTGTGATTGCCACGTCGATTGCCAACGCTAAAATTGATAGAATTCGAGAAAAGGAGATTTTTATTCGGGCGGATTGGATTACTGAAAGGTTTGGTGTTTGAAAATTTGAAGATTTTGAGTCGTTTTCTGAAATCTGCAGAGTTTCCAATAGTTCTCGTCTTTGATCTAGTAGAAACATATTCCCGAAACAAAATCAAAGACTAAAATTGTTCCTAAATACGTGATCCAATTTTTGAGGCATTTTAAAAAATTGAAAAAGTTTCTATTCATTCCCAGAACAGTTTTTAAATTAAAAAATCGAAAACATTTTACTGTTTCAAGATTTCTATGAATAGTTCTCGATTTTTTAATGCTTCCATTTGTTCCATTCAAATTAGCCCGAGAATATTTTTATGTGCAATATTTTTACCCAATTTCATTTTATTTCTTAATTTTTTATGATTGATATTACATTTCGGAAAAAGTTTGCTGTTTCAAAATTTTTATGAATTTTCAATGGTCGTATAATTTTTGAATCGTTTATAATTGGCCCCAAAATTTTTTTTAAAATTAAATTTTACCGAAGTTTTTAGTCGTTCTCTCAAAATTTCAAGAGTTCTTCTAAATAAATTTAATATATATTTTTAAAAAGTTTGCTGTTTCAACATTTTGATGTATTCAGGATACTTTTCCACCAATTTCCATGCTTTATTTTTTTCAATTCAAAAAATTTCAAACTTCCTCAAAAATTTGCTGTTTCAAAATTCAATAAAATTTTGGATAGGTTCATATTATTACATAATAATTATTATTATTCTCGATAAATTTCCGAATTCAACTCCAGTTTTTTTCCAGTATTTCCGCTGGTCGCGCTCTTCCCTACAATCAATTTTTGATATATGAAAAAGGAGCCAACGAGAAGGCAAGAATAGAGAATTTCTTCACCAAAACGACTTCCTCCACCAATGAAAAATGCGGTTCACAATCCGAAATTGGAGGATTTCTTGATGCTCGAAATCCACATTTTATCAAAGATTATTATGCGCGAAGTCGTCTTCATTTGATTTCGACTTTGGCTCAAGATATGAAAGATTTTGTGGCGAATTTACGACAAAATTCGGAAAAATCTACAAAGAAAATGAGAAAAGGGAATCTGGTTTTTCATATTGATTTGGATTGTTTTTTCGTATCTGTTGCGCTTAGAACTCGATCAGAACTTATAAATGAACCAGTTGCGATTTCACATCGAGCAAATTCGGGAGCATCTTCAGGAGCATCAAGTATGAGTGAAATCGCATCTTGCAGTTATCCAGCTCGAAAATGCGGTGTAAAAAATGGAATGTTGGTCAAAAATGCGTTGAAAATGTGTCCACGACTTGTTTTACTTCCTTATCAATTTGATGATTATATTGAGGTTAGCAAGAGAATTTATGAAATTCTGGCGGGATTTTCGATGAATTTACGAGCAGTTTCGTGCGATGAGATGTATTTGAGTTGTCCGGATGAGAAAAATCAAGAGGCGGTGGAGTTTGCTGAGGAGATTCGAAGGATAATTCGAGAGGAAACGGGATGCACGGCGAGTGTTGGAATTGGACCGACGAGTTTGATTGCGAGATTGGCGACGAGGTGAGAAAATTTGAAAGGGGCTGGTTATTTTATCTTTTTTAGAATATAATTCGGTTACTTTCATTTTTTTAAAAGTATATATTTATTTATACAATGGTAATTCCAATATTTTATACCTCAAAATAGGTTTTGAAATTCCAAAAAAATTGCAGGCACGCAAAACCTGATGGAGTTCACATGGTAACCGCCTCTCAAGTCTCATCTTTCATTGCAAGCGAAAAAATCAAAAATCTTCCCGGAATCGGATATCAAATGATGGATAAACTTGGAGAAAATCTCGAAACTTGCATGGAATTACAGACAAAATCCGAAAGAGAGTTGGCTGGAATTTTTGGGCCGAAACAGTCTGCAAAAATATGGAGACAGTGTAGAGGATTGGAGGAGGATTCTGAGGAATTTTGGGAGGTTCAGATTAGGAAAAGTGTGTCGTGTGATATTAATTATGGAATTCGATTTGGAAAGGTTGGTTTGACATGTGGATTTTGGGTCAAAAAATTGTTGGAAAGTTGCACTGTTTCAAAAAATTGATAAGGATTTAATGTCTCAAATTAAATGTTTCATAAACAATCAAAATTCGAAGTTTTTCTATTTAATTCTGATAAGTCTTTCAAAAACTTTAAAAATTCTTCATTAAAAAAACTTGAGTATTGAAAAAGTTAAGAAATCAATTCTTTCGATTTTTTCCAGAGAGAAGATTTGAATCAACTGCTGAAAGCGATCAGCGAAGAAATTGAGTCGAAATTAATCCAATGTCAAATGATGGCTGGAAGTGTGACGCTGAAATTAATGGTAATCAAAATTGAAATATTATTTCTCACATTAAAAAGTTCTCAGATTCGCTCTCCAAATGCGCCAATCGAAACCGCCAAATTTATGGGTCATGGACATTGTGATACACAAACAAAAACTATAAATCTGACAACTTCAACATGTCGAGCAACACAAATTCTTCAAGAAACTATGAAATTATCCAGAATAATTCTAGCTTCGACGAAAATTGAGGATTTAAGAGGAGTTGGGGTGACTTGTGCTAAATTAAAAAGTCGAACGAGAAAAGATGCGGTTGAAGCGGTTAAAGAGATGTTTAAGAAGAAAAGTGATGTGAGAAATGTGGAAGAGAATGAGAAAATTGAGAAATCTGTGCAAGGATCGTTTGGATTTTTCAATCTGACAGTTATTGAAATTGGAAAAATGGAAAGAAGACAGAAATTGAAGGGATTGGATTGGTTATCAATGATTAAATGTGGTGAGAACGTTTTTTTGAACGGGAGTTTTGAGTTAAAATTGTTAATGAATTGTAATTTTCAAAATCTCTCAAAAGTCAGCTTCCATGTTTTTTCCAATTTTCGCCTAACTTGAATAAATAAAAATTAAATTTGAAACTGTGAATGTTTATTTGAAAAAAGTCAATATTTTCCAGCACCCACAGAAACTACAGTAATCCGAATACATCGATATTTCCTATTTCTTCTCAAATCTGGCCGTTTCACCGAACTTCGTCAACAATTCCAAAAGTTTCTCGATTATTCAGCCGATTTGAAAAAATCGCACAAATCCTGGTTTTTTGCGTCGAATGCGATTCAACAAAGAATCAAGGAGGAATCCAAAGAGTTTTTTGGAATTTATGTCGATTTTTTGACGAAAAATGAAGAAGCTTTGATGAGGGAAAAAATGGAAAAGAAAGATGAGGAGAAATTGCAAAAAATGAAGAAAAATTGGAAATTGGTTGAAATAATTGTAGAAGAGAGTAATACGAAATTGAATAAATCGTGATTTTTTCAATATCTATAACTTAAAAATCGAAATTTTGGCTCAAGAATCCACGTGGACAAAAAATATAATTTTCACTGACAAAATTTAAATTAAAAACGTGTGTCCACGTGGCCTACTTCCTTATGCTTTAAATTAATAATTCAACGTGGAATTGGCTCATTTTTTGTATTCAAAACCGCTCTAACTGAACTGGTTCATTTAATCATTTATTTTTTTGAGTATAGTTTAACAAATGTAAGTCGACTGAAAAAAAAACCAACTTACAACCTAGCTGGAGATCTTCAGCTGACTGCAATGCTTCAAAATTTGAATTCAAGCCACAATTTTTGTTCTGAAGATACAGATAAAGTGAAAAAAGATGTTGAGGAGAAGAGTGAGAAGATTTATCAAGATATTTTGAATTATTGCCAGTGAGTTGGGTTACTGTAGATTTTAAAAACAAAATTAATTTCAGTGAATTTCAAACAAATTTCATCGATGATCAATTTCCTCATTGTGCTCGAAGTATAGGAGTTTTTGAAAAAGAGGAGAAAAGTAAGACTTTTAAATACCCGATTTTGAAAATATAAAACATTTCTAAAATCGGGTCCAATTCCCGCATTTTGAACTTTTGAAACTTATTTGAAAATAATTAGATCAAATTGTTGATTCGATCCAATGGATTGAACCAAATCACATTGTCACCGATGATGATGGTCCATGGACAGTTTTGAATAATCCAACCCCATCAGATATTGAACAAAGCGCATTAGTAGGGGATTGTTGGTTAATGTGTGCAATGGCTGTAATTGCTGAAAGACCAAATATATTGGATGATATATTTCCATCAAAAGAATATTCACTTCAAGGAGTTTATCGTGTTAAACTTTGTATAGAAGGAGAATGGAAAATTATAATTGTTGATGATTATTTGCCATGTTATGAAGGAAATGAAATGGCAATGGCTGTTGGAAGAAGAAATCAATTATGGGTTCCATTGATTGAAAAAGCTGCAGCAAAAGCGGTTGGAAGTTATGCGATGCTTCATGGTGCTTTAGTTACACAGGGATTATCAATGTTAACTGGAGCAGCTTGTGATCATTACAGTACTCCAGAAGATGAAGCTGATGTTGAAACATTTTGGGGAAGACTGATTAGCGCGAAATTTTCGGGATTTATAATGTGTTGTAGTATTGGGAAAGACGGAGAGATTAAAGATGAAGAACTTCGTGCAAAAGGTCTTTTGGAAAATCATGCCTATTCAATTCTTGATGTTGATGATCAATATGGTTTTCGTCTTTTGCGAATCAGAAACCCATGGGGTCGTTTTGTTTGGAATGGAGATTGGTCAAATAATTGGCCTAATTGGCCAGCTGAAATGAGGGATAATTTATTAACGAATAGAATACAAGAAACAGGCGCATTTTGGATTGAACTTGGTGATTTTATAAAAATGTTTGAATCTGTCACAATTTGCAAACTTCGCTCGAATTGGAACGAGTTTCGACACAGTCAGATTATTGGAATCGATCAACCAACTATTCAACTCAATGTGTTTGAAACTTGTGAAATATCTCTGGAGGCTTTTCAAAAAGGATCATTTGCCATGAAAACTGATAATTTGGTGAGTTGACATTGAATGGGAAGTTATTGAACAATCAATATCTGATACTTTCATCATTAGATAACACTAATGTTTTTCTTTGAGTCAAAAAAGCGCCTAGAAGAACATTATTTATGAAACTTTTTTTCAGAACGATATGATGTTCAGTCTGCATCGAATTTCAACAGATGGTGAGATTGGTGCAATGATTGGACGATCGTCAAGAATCGCAAAATCTCACCTAAGCATTTCTGAGTTTCTCCTAAACCCTGGACAATATGTTATAATGTGTTTTAATCTGAAAAACGAGAATAAGAAGTCATTAATCATGAACATCGTATGCCATTCTTCCAAGCCAATATTCTGTGAAACAATCAGACAAACTTCTAAAATGCTCAATCGTGCCATAAGAAAAATTGTGTTAAAAGATGGAATTGTAGTCAACGATATGGTAAGAATTATTTATCAGTTAAAAAAAAACTTATACTTATTTTCTGTAATTTCAGCAATCGGGAACAGCCATCCGAACTCTGACTCATAAGTTTTGCGGGATGATAATTATGGCGGATAACTTTTTGAATAATCGCTGGCTTCATTTAAGAATTGATTGCAGCGAATCAATAAATATTCAATCAACTCGAAATTCACTCGAAACAAATGATATTATTCCACCAATGTCATATGGTATTGTGCAAGTTTTGTCGAAAATTGATGAAATGAGCCAATTTGGAGTGAAGTATAAATTGAAGGTATAATTATTCTATTACTTCTGAAAAAGAAATCATTTCGGAATTTTCAGAAAAAAATCCGTCGAAGGGAATATTTTGATCCTAATGTAATTTACGAGGCTTCAATTATTCCGGACCTTCAAAATTATCCACTTCTCGATGATTCGGACCTGATTCACACTTCTCACTCGCTCTTCTGTGACACTGAATGAATAAATTTGAAAAAATGCCACGTGGCTGCAGACATAGTGTTGTTTTTCATTTTTCAAAAACAACTACTTCAGGTAATAACTTGGTCCATTAATGTTTATGAGATCGTTCAGATTGATATTGTTTTTTTTGTGAAAAAAAAAACCACGTGGCTAAAAAAGTTGTTGTCATATAAAAAATTGTGAGTGATGAGAACGGCTTTTATAAGTTCTCTCATGCATTTCTAACTCAAATTTTTTTTCATGCCACGTGGCTTTTTGGTCCAAAACTCTCAATGTTTATATACTTTCCATTATCTCTTCTTATTTTTTCTCTTCCGCCCCGGACACGAAACAATTTAATTCTTCTCGATTTCGTCGTGCTGCGATCATTTATTTTTCCATTTATTTTTAGTCGAAAAAATTGGAAAAGAAAGCAAAACGAAGAGATAAAATGATAGTAGGTAGTGTAGTCTGCAGTCGTGTTTTCACATAAGATCAAGAAAAGAGAAGGAGAAGCTGAGAGAAGATTTTCCCATCCCATGGCTCTTCTTTTTCCTCTCTATCCACATTTTCCCGATTCTGATTGTAACATTTTTTCTGTCCACTTTTGTTTTATTTCATTCTGTGAGATTTTTTGATTTGACGCGTTTTTTGGGTGTGAAATTTTGGAAACTTCACTGTTTCAGAAATTTTACATGTAATAATTGTTGATTGTTGATTTTAGAATTTCATCAGACGTTAGCTTTGACACCGATTTTATAGTTAAAATTTTCACTGATTAAAAACTTTACTGTTTCAGTTTATTTTTGATCTACCCCAAAAACTATTCTCGTTTACTTCGTTTTAGAACGGTCTTATTTTCTCTCCATTTTCTCTCAAATTTTAAGATCAAACTTCAAGGAAGCTTTCATTCTCATACAAATCTGTAGATAAAAATCGGTCTTCGAAAATTAACCCAATATTTTTTCGAATCTCTGTGCACCAAAAATCATCACACTTTTTCCAAAAATCCCACACTTACCCGAAATCTTGTTTGTAAACCCAAAAATTTTCCCAAGCTCAAATTTCTGCCACCCATCATGTTTCCCCAATTTTTTTTTGAAATTCAAAACTTAAATTAATTTGTATCAAGTTCCCTTAGAACAATCTCATATTTTGTGCTCACAACTCGAAAAAAAATTAGCGATTCGCACAAAAAAAAAACAAAGGTGTGCTTCGAAATTCGATATTTTCCTCCTTTTCCTCAATTTTTCTTTTGTTTCTTCTTGTTTTTCCCTAACTCCGTTCCTAGTACAAAAATTAGTTTTTTCTTATTTTTCAAAAATATTTCTGGGAACTTTGTTGTTCTTTGGAATTTTTTTCCAAAAAAGCTAACGAATTCAAATATTTTTGCTTAAAATCATCTACTCATAAATATTCATTTTTTCCAGAAAATGCTAGATTTTTCTCGAAAATATTTTTTGGATCAAAAAAAATCATGTAACCTTTAATCCGCGACATAAAGGACAACTGTCCGGACATAGTAATAAATCACCCGGGATTCGAAAAAAAAATCGCAATTTTTTTTCAAGAACAAGACGAAAAAAAAGAGTATTTTCGGATCCTTGGGTACAAACTTATTCTTGAAAGCAAAAACTGGCAATTTTTGGGAGGAACATCACTTTTTCTGGAGTTTTTTTTTCGCGAATTTGAACACAAAAATTTCAAAGTGAACGTGGCAAAGCATATGACTTGAAAATTTTAAAATATTGTTTCACAGAAATTTACTTGTTTCAAAAATTTTCGAAACTAATAATTTATTTTTTGAAAGTAATTCCTCGTTTTTAAAAAGTTGCTAGCTTCTGAAATTCAGAAATCATCGTAAAATAAAGATTATTTTTCAACAAAAAATTTTAATAAATTATTGGTTCGTAGAAATAGTGATTTTTCCCAGAAAAAATCCAACTTCTCCAAAGAACTTCCAAAAAGGAAAATGAATATTTTCCGCCTCACCCGTCTCCCCAACTTCCGAATATATTAGAAAAAAACCTCGACTTGGCCTAACTTATTCAACAATTTTTATCCATTGATCTTTGAAAGTTTTCTTTATTTTCAGCAAAAAATGACAATTTCATATTCTGACACATTTCTAAAACTGCTTTTTCGATGGAAAGGCTCACTTTGGAAAGCGATTTGGAAACATTTGCTCATTTTTTTGACAATGTATTATTGTATAAATATGTATTATAGGTTGGTTGGCGCAAGAATTTGTTGAATTTGGGAATTATATTTTTTTTAGGTTTGGAATGTCTGTGGATAATCAAAATATATTTATGCGATATGTGATATTAGTGGATGGTTGGACTAAGGAAATTCCGCTAACTTTTTTGCTAGGTTTTTATGTAGCGATGATTGTGAGGAGGTTAGTTAATTTGGAGTTTCAAAACTTCAAAAATTCGAATCGCCTTGCTGAAAATCACTATTTTTAGATGGTGGGATTGTTGTCAACTTATCAGCTGGCCTGATCATCTTTTATATAATGTTTCAGCATTGATTCGCGGTCAAGATGTGAGTTTTCTCTTTAAAAATCTTTTGTTTTCAAATTGAGGTTTTTAAGGCAGAGACTAGGATAATTCGAAAAACCATCGCTAGATATTCAATATTGACATCAGTTTTGGCTTGGCGAAGTATATCGCTGAGGGTTTTAGCAAGATATCCGACAGATGATCATTTGGTTGATTCGGGATTGATGACTAGGGAGGAGATGGTTATGTTTAAGGAGATTAGTATTAATGTCGATCCACATCAGGTAAGTTGTTTACTTGCTGATATATCATTTACAGTAATTTAGTCATTTTTTTTTACAAATTTTGAAACAGGTACTTTTTTGAATATGCAATTATTTTATCATATTTTCTCAGAGATTCAAGTAATAATTATTCGAATATAAATCTGTGGGAAATATTATAAACTTTTTGAGACAGTAATTTTGAAAATTCTGTTTGAAATCTATAGAAATTTTAATAGAGCGTGAGAAAATTATGGGAAAAAATTAACATTTTCGAAATTTTCAGTTATGAACAAAAAACCTGGAATTTTCACTTCTCCAAAAAACTCGATTATTTCAGAAATGGTGGGTTCCACTAAACTGGATTCAAACAATGATGGTGCGCTGCTTTGAAAAAGGAACACTAACACATACAAACGAACTTCGAGTGCTTTTGGACGCTTTAGAAAAGTATCGAAATGGGTTTTTTCAACTGTTCATCTATGATTGGATAGCCATTCCACTTGTGTATACACAGGTGATGTGTCTTTCTTTCTTTCTTTCTTTGTCTTTAAAATGTTTGATCAAAATTTAAGTTGAATCAAAACAATTAAGTTCCCCGGGTCCCTCATACTATTTTTTGACCCCGAAAAATTTTGAAAATATTTTCATGACTTCTCTGCAAATGCTTCTGAAAAAGTTGGAAGACTTTCGTCATCGTTTCGCTTGTCTATTTTTGTATGATTGGATTTGTATTCCATTGGTTTATTGTCAGGTATATACAATTAAATTAGGCCGCTTTTTTGAGTTTTATTCACACTTATTTTTTTATAAGGAGATTAGAGGTTAGGGTAAGGGATTTTACGCAAAACTTGAATTGTATCAGCGATAAATTTCAAACAAAGTGTTTCAAACTTTTTAAAGCAGTTTATTTTGGAAAAGTAGAAGCGAGAGGATAAAATTAGAAAATAATTTAGTATATAGTAAGATCAGTGAAAGTTTTGTTGAGTTAAAAAAGTAGAAAACAGCTATGAGAACATTTGAAACAGTGAATAAAAATTTTTTATGTTTGACATTTGAAATTTTTTTGGACAAAAGTTGATATCCAAAGGAATATTGTCATCAATTCTATGATTTTTTAAAACTTTTGTAACTGTTCTTTTTTGCGACAATTAGCACAGAGACCCTAAGTCTAACCTCTATCCTCTCAATCACCAATCAATATCTTTAGTGTGAAAATCTAGGCCAAAACAACTCCCTCTTGTTTTTTTCATTTTAGCATGCGATGCGGTGACGTGAAAGTCTTCAACTTCTAAAAATTCCAAATTTCTAATTTTTTCTTTTCTTTCCAGGTTTCAACAATCTCAGTATATGGTTATTTTCTATTTGCTTTAATTGGTCGACAATATCCGGTGCTCAATGAGCACAAAGAACTTGTCGATGTTTATGTTCCAGTTTTTACAATTCTTCAATTCCTTTTTTATGTTGGTTGGCTAAAAGTCGGCGAAGATTTGATGTTTCCATTCGGCGCCGATGACGAAGATTTCGAATTCAATTATATTTTGGAGCGCAATTTAGAGGTGGCAATGAAAATAGTGGATGATTTGCACAATCAGGTGCCACCGGTATATGTTGAGAGTTTGGATGATGAAGTGCATTTGTTGCATACAACGGCCTCTTCGAAACTCTCTAATCATCCACAGAGACAGCATTTGAGAAAATTGAAGTTTGGTGTGGACGCAATGCAAGTTCAGGAAGTGCCGAGAAGTAAGTTTTGGGAGAAAGGGTTGGAATTCGGGAAAGAGAACATTTGGAAATTTGTTAGCTTAAAATAATCGATATTCTGAATTCTGAAAATATTCAGTTGAAAAAAACTATTTTTTGATTGATATTCAAATTTTCTTTCAAAGTGTAAACTTCCAAACGCCTTCAGCTGAATAGAAAAATCCAGGAAAAAAGTTTTTTTTTTTAGTTTGAAACTTGTTTTGCCACGTCATAACTTACAAAATTATGTCAACTAGTTTTCCAACATTTTTCGTTTTGAATTTTTCATCACAAACCACGGCTTGAAAAATCCACAAAAACTTTTTTTTGTATTTTCATAAATAAAATTATTACAAACCATTTCAATCTGGATTTTTCATTATTTGCAGAAAATATAATCGACCGTGAGATTTCGCTATCAACCACTTCAAAACTATCATTTGCCGATCTCGAACATCTTGCAAATGGTCCGAAATTAAAAGTTTGACATCAAGTTTATTTCTTTTCAAGTTTACTATTGTTTTTGTTATTCTTCTTCATTGTTTCGATCTCCACTTGATTACAGGTTTTATTATTTTATTTTATTTTATCTATGTTTAAAATGCTATAAATCTACAGTACGCAGTCCAAACTAAAAAACAAACAAAGTGAAATAAAAAGAGCAAATAATTACGATTTTACAACAATTTGGGTGTTCCTTTGATTATTTTTGGATACGTTTACAATCGGTCAAAACTAATATAAAAGTTAGGAAAGTTTCCATTTTCAAACATAAAGCCAAGAAAATGGCATCGTCAACTATTCTACCTCTACTTTTCTTCTCGATACTTCTTTTGATCATCAAAAGATCGGAACAATGTGGAACAAGTTCGACAGATGCTGAATATGTTAATAATCCTGTTTTCAATATGGATATCAGCCCGCCAATTGGATGGACATATTTCCCGTCAACAGTGAGTTATTCTGAAAATCCACGTTAATTGCCACGTGGCTTTTCGAGTAAAACATGCAAATTTATTTTTTAAAATTTTGATGTAGTTCAATTCCAATTTCTGAGTCCAAAAATTCGAACATTATCCACACATTTTCAGCCATCTGTAACCAGTCAAGCAATTTGGTATTTCGTGGGTCAATCAAACACAACTACAGACGCCAAAACAATGGCTGATGCTCAAGTGACAGCAGCAATGCTCGAAGCTATTGCAGCTGCAAATCTTCCCGTTTCATCAGTCACAATCACCGATGATTGGCAACCAATTCAAGTCGAAAATCCTCAAACAACCACACCAACTGGATCACTTTACGGAAAAGTTGAGGGTGGAGCTTTGGTGCAAACTGCTCCTGGAGTCGCCACTGGTTCAACTTTGACATATACTGCTTATACAAAAGCATTACGGGTTACTGTAAATGGATTGGGTTCGACTAGATTTTATTGGAATATTGTGCAGAGTACATTTTTGCAAAAAATGACTATGAATTATCATGCGCAATTTACTGGAACTGTTACAATTACTAATGTTTGATTCTATTTTGTATGTAAATTTATTGGGATTTTTATGATTATTTATTTTGGTTAAATTCTTAATGTTTCATAAATGTTTGAAAAATCGTTTTGTTTGTTTGTTTGTTCAAAATGTGCTTTTTTTGAAAAAAAATTCGAAAATTCCATATGAATTTTTTCTGTAACTCGAAAAAAAAAACATAAATAATTTATATAAAAATCCAATGTGATCATGCAAAAATATATTATTATGTACAACAAAAAACAAAATCTACACACAAAAAGTTACCCAAAAAAGACGAAAAATTTGGCACCAAAACCAAAAAATTTGATTTAATGTAGAAAAATTTGGACAAAAACTGGCAAGATTTGAAGAGGAGAAAAGTGGTGCCTATGATGTTTTTTTAAAGCTTGGAACGAAAATCGGGGAAATTCTAATAAAATAAAGAAAAGATATGTTTAGACATATGAAACTGGTTGATCTCGGAACATTTCAAATTCGTCACCAAAAAAGATTTCACCGTTTTTGGGGTCTTCTTCAAAAATCATCAAATCTTCTTCGGGTTCTTCATCTTGGCGGCAAAGTGTATGGCGACGAGGTAGGTGCTAAAAAAGGGAGGGTTTTTTGAATGTCATGTGGATTTTTCTGTGAGTTTTCATTTTTTTGAAGTGTTGGAAAATTTGATTCAAGTTTCTGAAATTCGGTTCAAAATTGAACTTCAAATGTTCAACCACGTGACGGTTAGCGTAGAACTATTCTCGAAAACATGTTTCAACACGTGGCATTAATTTTTTCGCATCTTCAAAAACCCGCTTCTGGGGTTTAAATGTTTCAAAAAAAATTTCAACTATCAGAAATGTTCAGAAGCGGGTGGAAAAGGGAAGGAATTCAAGGTGCATTTCCAAGCTCCGCCTATTTTTTGGGAAACCCAATTTTCTTCAAAGCCAATCTACAAAGCCAACTGAACTAAAAAAAACAATTCAAACCTCTCTAACTAAAGAAATCTCTCTTCAAAAAATGTAAAGCCAAACCTGTTTGAGATCAGATCATGCAAATATTATCGACTTTCTCTGGAGAATGAGCAGGCCAAAGACGAGCCATGCGGGGGGATTTTTAAAGCCGTGTCGATTCAACCTAAATCCTTGTTTTATCGAAGAGAAAAAAATGACAAAGAAAATGGGGGTTAGAAGAGGTAGAAATGGTTAGTTTTCACACATTTTCGGCACAAAAATGCACTGCTTTCAAAAAAAAAACACAAACTTTTTGATTTTTCTCATCATTTCCATATTCTATAACTTGATTAATTTGATCTGAACCAGCTGAATCGCTTATCACAATTGAAGTTGTATAACTTTTCCGTTTATCCATATCACAGTTATTTCGAGTCGGATTTCTGCGATGCACAACTTCTGTTGACCGACGAGAACGGTCAAGGGTTACTGTAAGAAAAAAATGAAGCATGTGAGAAAATATTGAAAAAACTCTGAATTTTTAGCAATTTCTGAGCTCTCTATGTCATTTTCTCATTTGCCAAAACTTCACATACAAAAAATTTCTAGATGTTCAAAATGTGAAAACTAGGCTGACAAAAATGTAGTAATGTGGTCCCAAAAATGCAATATTTATTTTATACACGTTAAAAAAATACAATTTTGCAATTTTTCCGATTTGCAAAAATTCAATAATACAACGTTTTTTCGCGCTTTTTTAGTTTCAGTTTTTTCGAAAAAAATAACTTATATCTAATGTTAAATTTTACAATCCTATTTTTATTTTTCTTCTTTTGTCTTGTCTTTCTTTATCTTCTCATATATGATGTTCTTGGTGAAAATCGTGAAATTTCCTGATTTCACGGAAAAAACCAAATTGAAAAAATAAACGAGAGAGTGTTGTGTGTAGAAGAGACGAGAGAGAGGGAGAGAAAATGAGAGATAGAAACGCATAAGAGAGACGCCAGACAACACGACGGTTTGCGAATTTTTTTGCCAACCTCAAAACCATTTTTCGTTTTTTCACAAAAAATGCTAAAATCGTTCATACTTAACCAAATTTTACAATCTTTGCAGCAAAAAATAGCAAATTTACTAGAATAAAGATTGCAAGAAGAAAAACCTAGAAAACTTTTCTCCAAACACCAAAAAATATGATTATAGGTTTTTCGCTCATGTTTTGCAATCCTATGTTGAATTTTATAATTCTATTCTATTTTTCTGTCTTTGCCTTGTATTTCTCTATTCTCTCATATATGATGTTCTTGGTGAAAATCGTGAAATTTCCTGATTTCACGGAAAAAACCAAATTCACAGCTGCAAAAACTGAATGATCGCGCGAAACGCGCCAGCACTTGACGCGTTTTCGGTTTTTGGACGAGAAAAAATTTTCTTTTTTTTTGTTTTTTTCCATCAGAAAATTAATTTTTTTCTTCTTTTTTATTTTTTTGTGAGTTTTTCAGGAAGTTTCACATATTCGGACAGACTATGGTTTGTAGAGAATTTAAAGGAGAATTTTATTATGTTTGGATCGAGTGATGAAAATGGGGCTGACGGATGCTAAAGTTGTTTTTATGAAGTCCATTTTTTTCGAAGAAATTTTTTTTTATTCTGGAATTGATCGAATTTGAATTTTTATGAGTTGGAATGAATATACAATTGGTTGGAGATGATTTTGCGATGATTTTAAGTGAGATGAGATACATTGGAAAGGCATTTTTCGAGGTCGCCGAAACAATATTTTTCTTGTTGAAAAGTGAGTTCTTCGTATCTAAATTTATCAAAAAATTATGATTTTATATTCAGATGAGCCTGATACGAGTTGACGGAAACATGAAGATGTCGGAAAGTCCCAAAAAACAATTATTTCGACAAAAGAGTCCAATTTATTGCCAACTTGACAAAAAATTCACGAAAGAGATCACGTGGAGAGACTCACGAGGAGAGTTTTGGGATTCTATGGAACATTTTATTGAAGGTAATTCCTATTTTTGATTGATTTTTATAAAATAGTAAAATCAATTGAAGAAATAATAAAAATTCAATGTTTCCGTCATTTTGACGTTATTTCACCATGATAGAGGCATGGGGGAATATCAAGACTTAGCCTATTTTTCTCAGCAGCAAAAACTATATCAAGATACATGTTCAAATAACATTTCTACCGTTCATTTTCGAAAAGTAAAATTATATTTTCATTTTCATCGCATTTTATTTTAATAAGAACTAATATTTCATATGTCCGTGATTCAACACTGTTTAATTTAAACAAACAATGATGTTTTCAGGTATTGCGAACGTCAACCAAGTGAAATCAGCGGTTTCGATCATGGACGAAGTGGAGTTGATAATACTATTCAAATAACAGATTTTTAATGAATTTTTGCTGCTTTCAACTTGAGTTGTGTTGATTTTCTTCAAATTTTGATCAAAAAGTGCCGCAAAATTAGGAACTGTGGGATAGAACTTCAAATTTCAATGATTAATGTGGTATTCTGATTGTTAGAAGAGACCCTGCTTCAAAAGCTTCAGAATCATCTCAGCGAAAACAAAATATGATTTTATCATAAAATTGTAAGCCATACTTGTAATTTTTCAAATAACTGTTGAAATTTTTCCCGAAAAACATCGGTTCTTAGAAATTTTTAAGACAAAGGATGGTTATTCTATCGTCTAACAGTACAAATTCATTGTCCGGTAAGAAGTTCTTCTTTCTTTTTTCAACATAAGTATATGAAACATCTTATTTCATATGAAAAGTTTGAAAGTTTTGCTTCATTATTTCAAAAATCGCTTTTTTGTGAGGGTACTTCAAAATCTCACGTTTTTCACGTCTAATGAATTTTTTCACTCAACAAATTATATTTCTCTGTTTTCGTCTCATTCTCCTCTATCTTCTCATGTACGATGTTCATTTGTTGAAACTTCCGTTAACTTCAGCTTTTTTCGAAAAATTCGAGAAAAAATTTAAAAAAAAAATTTTCGGCGAGAGAGTGTGTGCGCCTATAGAGACGCCGACAAACACACACGCCCGTGGAGGGCGAGAGAGAAGAGTGCAGGAGACATTGCTGGCGCACAATCGGTTTTTGCAGCTGTGAATTGAAAAAATAAACGAGAGAGTGTTGTGTGTAGAAGAGACGAGGGAGGAGGAGAGAAAATGAGAGATAGAAACACATAAAAGAGACGCCAGACAACATGACGGTTTGTGAATTTTTTTGCCAACCTCAAAACCATTTTTCGTTTTTTCACAAAAAATGCTAAAATCGTTCATACTTAACCAAATTTCACAATCTTTGCAGCAAAAGATGGCAAATTTACGAGAATAGAGATTACAAGAAGAAAAACCTCAAAAACGTTTCACTGAACACCACTAAAATATGATTAAAGGTTTTTTACCTTGGTTTCTCTTGTTTTCTATAATATTCGACTTGCTTTCTATGAACACTTTTAATGTTATTCATTTTGTATACAAAAAGAAACACAAAATCGTTGAAATTTTGGCTGAACAAAAAATTTTGTATTTTTGCATTATTGCATTCTGGTCCCATTAAAAAAACGTGAGTTGTATTCTGTGTGGGCATTTTGGCATTTCTAACAATATTGTACTATTGTATTATTTCTGCCAGCCTAGTAAAAACACCAGTCTTAAAATGTTCCAGCTTCGAAAACGCTGCCACAAAGTATGAAAAGAATTTCGCAAGTAAAAATTTGTAAAATTGTACAAAAACATTTTAATTTTTTTGTTGAAAAATCTCACGGTTTCAAAAACTACTACTTCTACTTAGCGTACTTAGCCCTCTTCAGCAGAAATTTCACGACGGTCTTTTTGTTCAAGCGACGTAAAGAAAATCTCACCGTGTACCACAAAAAACTAACTTTTTGTATTCGGCAAACTTGCAGTCTGTTCCACCGGTTGTTTCCTCGTATTTTTCAAAATATCCGGTGTCGGTGGTAGAAATAGTTCCTCATCATCATCTTCATCATCTTCCAAATCTTCAATATCACTTTCATTTCCACAATCTTCTTCCTCTTCTTCTTCTTCTTCTTCCTCTTCTTTTGGCGGTTCTTCAACGCCATATTTTTCAAAAAACTCTTGCCAATCTGTCAATTTATCCACTCCAAAAAGCGAATACGCATTTCGTATCATAATTTCCACAAATTTATTGGTATATGCGGTATGAAGAATTGCATTTTTCTCCGAATCTTGGCGTTTTGGCGACATCCATAAAAGGGATGGTGCTATCACAGTTGATAAATTTGATGGTCCCATTAGATTGATTTCATGAAACCATGAAACTCTATTTAGGTGAAGCATTATGAATTTCAGAGTTTCATAATTATGCTCGGGTAATTTTCGAAGCAAATTCTTGATTTCTTCTTCATTTGAATTTGAATTTGAGTTTTTCGAACAAAATTCAGTTCCTAATCTAACCATTTCATCATAAAGTTCATAGGTAAAAAGTGGTTCGGGTAATTTTCTCAAATACAATTTCACCACAGATGCCAAATTCATCGGATTCTCATTTTCCAAATCAACTTCATCATCAGATTTACATCTTTCGAAAGCATTGCAGATTTCCTCAATTTTTGATTTTACACCACAAGTTCGATAAATTCCCTTGGCTCGTAGTCCTCTTCTTTGAAGTTGATCTATTGATTTTTCGAGAATCAGGGGGATTTGTCGATTCTGATTTTCGAGATGACCTTTGAGGGGGACTCCAAATATTGAAGTTCGGCGATCGACGGGTTTTGCGGGTTGGCCACAGACCTGCGTTATCTGGAAAAATTTTGAATTTTTCAAATGTTGTCGAGAAACAAAATTTCGGAATTTCGAATAATATGAAAAAGTTTTTGGCGCCAAAAATATGATACTCACCCTCGGAAAACATGCTTTATGCCATTGTCCACCACAATCCATACACTGAACCGTATATAAAATCGATAATGTGTCACAAGAAGAACATTTCGACGGTTGAACAGTTCGTTGAATATGATGAGATTGGGCGGCGGCTGATATTTCATGATTGTCAAAAGTTCGGCCAGCATAACTTGTTTTCTTGTGGCGTTTTGTGTCAGGTAAAACTCCTTCGTCATCTGGATTTATTGCATTTCGACGAAGTGAAGTTAGTGATGAACTTCCATCACATGATGCAACACCTTCATCGATTGATCTATCAGATCTGAAAATAATTGAGAAATTGGGTTAATGTTAAAGTTACTGTATATTTGAAATTTCTTTTTTTATAGTTTTTGCCACGTGTCAAATTTTTTAGAAACTGTAAATTGTTACACCATTTTCCCTCAATTTTCTTGACACCAAAAAATGACATGTCAAAAAAACTAATAAATATTTCACAAAATATCTCCTGGCAACCCAGATTTTCTCACTTTCGTAATATGTTTTTTGGAAAGAAAAGTGCATTTTGTAATTTGTGAAAAATAAAGCTAACCTTTTTAAAAGAAAAAAATCTACATTAAAAACTTGTCAGAAAATATCTTCGAAAAAATCCAGAATTTCAGGCTAAAATTTTAAAAATTTTCAAAAATTTTAAATCAAGAATACCTTTTTGTTTTAAAATATATCTACAGTAACCTAGTTCAATTTCCAATTATCGCAATTTAAACATTTTTATTTCACCAAACATCCCGGTTTTTTTTTATTTCCCTCCAAAAACTAACCGAACCAAACTGCTACTCGACGCTGCTCTTGTTGGAAGTGTCTGTAGAAAGGCCATGTATTCAGTGCCGGGCTGATAATCTCTTGTCGCATTCGACAATTCGTGAAATGCTCCCGGCAAACGAGCCCACAATGCGGCCAAAGACTGCAAAAATGAGAAATTTGGGTGAAAATTGGAAAAAGAACTTTCAAACTTTTAGCTTCTACCGAAAGCTTCCAAAAAACTTCTGAATGACATTTTCTCGCCTCAAAAACTTTCACATGAAATTGAAATTTGATATTTTTGAAGGCGTGAAAAATGATGTGAACTTTTTCTATTTTTGGCGCCAAAAAGTGCTTCAATTTCATTTTGAATGAAACTTCCAAATTTCATTGAATTGAATCTAAAAAAAGATCAGAAAAAATATAATATCAAATTACAAAAATCATCTTTGGTGTGAAAAAAAGAGAATATCAGATTTATTTTTGAATGAAAGTGAAATGGATCTCTGGCGCCAAGAACTACAGTAATCTAGGGCAGCAGGAAATTAAAAAAAAACAAAATTTTGAAATCTCATAAAAATTTAAAAATTGATCAAAGATTTTGAATAAATGAAATTAGAAACAAAAACAGTTCAAATTCAAGCCGAAGTTTCAAACTTATTATCCAAATTTCCCCAACAAAACTCACAGTAAAATAATGAACAGTACACGCTTTGGTCGTCTGTTCACACTGGAAAATCAGTTCACGAAGTCGTTCGATAACACTTTCCTGCAAAAAATTAAAATTAAAATTCCGATTTTTTTGTATTTGAAACAATTTCAAAAGACTCTTTTACTTTGAAATTTTCAAAAAAAAAAACAAGTCTCAATCCCAAGGGTCCAATTTCACGAAAATCTTGATAACTCCATGTTTTCCTTATTTTTTCGGGGGCTCAAAAATACAACACAAAAAGAAAAAATAGAAAGAAAAAAGAAAAAGGAAAGAAAAATCCAGTTATTCTATTAAAAATCTCTGTTTTTTGGTTCAGAGCTCCGGAAAACACCTTGGCAAAAAAGGGACCAAAAACAAATCTTTTTCTCCTGTGCTCGTTTTCTCTCTCTCTCTCTCTCTCTCAAAAATAGGAAAATCTGGAAAAAACCCGAGACCGGATCAAACAAAAAACTATCAGATTTCCATTTTTTTAGATCCAGAATTCTTTTTTTTTTGTCTCGAAAAAATTTTCAAGGAGAAAAAAAATAATTGATAAAAATGAATGAAATTGAAAGAATGATGACAAATTCCCGGAAAATTGACATTTTTTCGCAGAAAAAAAGAAAAAAAATTGATTTTGAATTTTGTTTTGAAACATTGCTAATACCGGAGAAAATACCGACCGGAGAAAATAATTCCACGTAGATTTTTTTCTTGAAAAGTGTCATTTGGGTTTTTTAAATTTTTTTTTGGGGATTGCTCATATTAAGCTTTTCGAAAATCCACGTGGATCATTGGAGCAAACAGTACTGCTTTCAAAAATCTCTGAACTGGAAGTTTTAAAGAAACTAGGAAGAAAAAAACATTTCTTATGTTAGAAGCATTGCTCATATTACGCCGAGAAAATAATTGCGGGATTTGACATCGGAAAACAATTCTAAACATTGAAAAAAAACAGTACTGCGTCAATATTTTCCTAAATTTCCGAAGTCGATTTTTTGTATTTGAATGAATTGCTCATATTGAACTTCTATGAGTTCCACCTGCATTTTCAGAGAAATCCGATGTTCCCAAAATTTTGGGAACTAAAAAGTTTGAAATTTAGAACTCTCTGGAATTTCTGCGAATTTCAGAGCGAAATAAAAATACGTTCTAGGCGTGGATTTTCAGCTTCTGATACAAAATCTAAATTTTCAACCAAACTGAAACTCAAAAAAAAAAAAACAAAAATATCGACTCTTTCAGCAGAGCAGAGCACGCGCGGCCACGATGAAAAAAAAAACAGAATTTTAAATTTTCGGGGGGTCCGCCCGTATATATATATATAATATATATATACAAATATATTTTTTGTGCTTCTCCTTCTTTTTTTCTTCTAAAACAAATTACGTTATGGCTTTTCGTCTTCTGAAGGCACAAAAAAAGAAAGGCACAAAAAACAGACATACGGAAAAAATCGAGATATATCTGGGACACGAAAAAATGATGATGAGGATGATGATGTGCTTTTTTTGTCAGCTTCTTTTTTCACGGCAATGCACTTTTTCGCGCCAAAAATTGGGACGAGAAATGAGTTTTGATAGAGGGTGAGAGAGATAGAGACGCAGACAGCTAGAAAACTTGGGATACATTTTTTTGAAATTTTTAAATGAAAATTTAGTTTCAGGAGAAATCCGTGTTTTAATTCATCTCGGGTTTGAAGTTCAAAATAAAATGAAAATCCACGTGGCGAATGCATCCAGTTCAAAAGCCACGTTGCAAATTGCGAAAAAATTTATTTGAATTTTGGAAAATAAGAACTTCTGATTTCATTTTTGAAAATCCAGAAATCTTTAATTTTAAAATCAACGTGCCAATTAAAATAAGAACTTAAAAAAACACAAAAATTTCAAACCATGGGTTTGGGTTCAAAATTCCCCGTGGCAAATATGTAGAACACTTTTCGATATTTCTGAACAAAGTTCAAGAACCGGGATTGGAAATGGACCACGTGGATTTTTAACAGAATTTGCTGATAAATTTGAGGAGAAATTCACTTGGCAAAAAGTTCAACCTAGAATTTCTCTCTCGAAAAATTCCCCGGCTCATCAAAAATTCTCTGGGTGGGCGCCGCAAACTCAAATATTCTTTCTTGCTCATTTTTTCCAAATAAAATAAAAAATGAAAAAAAAACCTAGAGCGAGAAAAAAAGATAGAAATGAATATGGCATCGGGAAACTGAAATGAAATGAATGAATGAATATTTAGTTGTTGGCTCCGTGGCTCCTCGAGCTCTTTTTTTGCTCCTCTTTTTTCCACACACACATACAGCCACAAAAATGTGGAAAAACTTATGAATGAGTGAGATATGGGCACAAAAAAATGGCGAAGAGAAGAAGAAGAAGAAGGAAATTGAGTGAGGCCTCTTTTTTCTCGCGCGCTTCTATCCTATCTATCTATCTGAAAAAATTGAGTCGACAAATATCTATATATTCATTCTTCTCAAAAAAAAATTCTCAAAAAAATAATTTTTCATTTGCTCCATCCACAAAAAACTTTTTTTTTTCTTTTGCTGTGCTCAAAAAACTTGAAAAAATTTGTTTTTTTTCGCCGAATGAAGCGGAAAACAAGAAAACACAGAGAAAAAAACGGCCAAAATTAGGATTGTTATTTTTTTCTTCTTCTTCGTTTTTTTCCAGCAAAAATAAAAATAAAAATGAAAATAAAAAAGAAACGGCGAAAAAGGAAGCAAAGAGAATTTTTTATTATGAACAAGAATAAGAAAAAACGGAACATTGGAAATTTTTGGACAAAAAAATGTATTATTGCTCATGTTAGTTGGGAGTTAACTATTATAACAAATGATTCTTGTACATTTTGAAAAAACTTTAAAAATTTGGAGAAATATTGCTCATGTCAGTCTTCAGAAAGCCACGTGTTCTTCCCATGAATTTTAAATTTTTGAGAGCATTTCTTATATTATATTTTAAAAAACTTCCATTTTTCAATTCGAAAATTCAAATTACAAAAAAAGTAATTTTGCACGGAAATTCTCAATTTCAATTCCGATTTTTTTGGTGCAACTAAAATACAAAAAAGTATACAAAAATATAGTAGCCATTCGATTTTCAATTTGATTATTTCTTTTCTGTTTTCAAAAGACCAAAAATTCAATAAACTCTATTCAGTTGATTCAGTATATAAATGGATCAATCTCCGAAAAAAATCATATAAAAAATGACCACTACAATTCTCCTTATCTGCTTCATTTCTACCGTATTTTCTTGTGGCCCCGGTCTGATTTCAGATAGTGGTCAGTAAACAATTGGGATAGTGGAGACTCCTAAGAAAATTTAATTTTCAGAATATTTGGTTTCAATGAGCGGCCTAGATCTTCCGTTCTCATTTGTCTATTCAACTTCAAATATCGATGGAATATCAGCGCCAACTTCAATGGGTGACGTGATACAAAACATCAATGGATATTGTCAAGATCTAGTAGAAGATTTGATGCGAGTTAGCTTAAAAGCAATTGATTATCCTGCGTATCTTCTAGAATCTGCTATATCTAGTTTGGATATTCAAGTTGCATCGGATTATCAACCTCTGAGTTGTGTTAAATTTGTCAGTATCTTTGATGAGTCACGGGTTACTACAGTTGCACCTAAAAAAGAAAAAGTAGGAGATAACAATACTGATCGAAAAATAAAAAGGGCTGCAACAGTGGAAACAGGCCCAAAGGGGAATTATTGTTACTACAACACAGCCAACGTGATCACAAAAATATGTGAAAACAAGGTAAACATATCCCACGTTTTTTTGTTGAAAAACTTAATTTTTCCAGGGAACTAAAGAATGCACATTAGCCGATGCAGTTTCTCTTCCACTCAATGTTTCAAGAATAAACTTCGACTTCACAGTAAGTTAATTATTATCAGAACTTCTACTAATTCTTTATATTCAGCCTGGTATACTAGCTGGTCAACCACGAGCATTTTGGAAAGATTTCAGCGATTCTTTGGCTAAAAAATTAAAAAGTGGAACTTATTCATCAGCTTTCAAACAAGTTTCAGTCGATGTCAAGATAAATATAATTCGATGAAAAATATAGAGAAAAAATAGTTGAAAGATAAATTTGTTTGATTTTTTAACTGAATTTATTGTTAGTAAATATTTAAATTGCCACGTGGATTCTTGAACAAAAAACTTGTTTTGTTGCCATATTTTCTATACATGGTTCAATTTTCTTTTTAGCTTCAAAAATCAAACAAACGCTATCAAAAATACAGTAACCAATAAAATGCATTTTGTTTTTTCGATTGAAAAAGCAAAAATTCAAAAGCCGAGAAATGACTAATTCTACCGTTTATTCAACCAATTTCATATAAAAAGCCAACAAAAATATGAGAAAATCAAAAAATGCCATTCCTTTTTATAATCTGTTTGATACCTTCAATTCTCGCCTGTGGGCCAGGCCTTCTTTCGGACGGAGGTAAGTTCAAGCTATGGCAAGAATCATAAAAAATCCACGCTCTGTTTTTTTGCAGAATATGTGGTTTCATTGAATGGCGTTAATCTTCCTTTCCCATTTGTCTATTCAACTTCAAACATTGATGGACTTTCAACAGCAACTTCATCAGGTCAAGCAATTCAAAATATCAATAATTATTGTCAGGATCTAATCGATGATTTGATTCGAACAAGTTTGAATGAGATCGCATATCCCGCATATCTTTTAGAGGCCGCAGTTTCTAGTTTAGATGTTTCGCTGTCATCAGATTATCAACCTTTGGAATGCACCTACTTTAACAACTTATATGTGCCAGGAACTACGACAACAGTAAAAACTACTGCTGACGATCCTGTTAGCGCCAAAAACACTTGTCTCTACGACACATCAATGGTTGTCACTAAAATTTGTCATAATAAGGTAGATATTATTAGAAATATATGGACTAGAATTTCAAGAAGAGACTTTCAACTGTTTTATGATAATCAAACTTTTGACAGGGTACTGTAACTTGTACATCAGCTGATGCAATCGCACTCCCATCCAACGTCTCAAGAATAAATTTTGATTTCACGGTCAGTTAATCTTAATCAGTACAACAAATAGCTCCCTATTTACAGCCTGGTCTTCTAGCTGCTCAACCACGAACCTTCTGGAAAAATTTCAGCAACTCTTTGGCTCAAAAATTGAAAAACGGAGTTTATTCAACAGCTTTCCAACAAGTTTCGGTCGATGTAAAATACAAGAGAAACTGAACAAAACACTATTCATATTTTTTGCACGAAAATTAACCTGCTTGATTGAGAAATGAATACATTTTATAAAATTTGAAACACCAACACTTCAAGAAAAAAAACAGAATTGTCTTGCATTCTTAGGAAACCTAACATGAGCTATCTCAAACATTCCCGAGATTTTCCGAAAAAAGGTCACGAGTTTCAAGATTCCTCGTGCTTCTTCAACTCGAAAAACAAGAAAATATGACGTTTTTTTTTCAAATCTTGACATTTTCCAACGGCAAAAACGAAGAAGAAGGACAAAACTTGATTACTTTTTGCTGCTTTTGCTTTTTCTCACTTTTTTTTGTGCGCGCAAGAGCCCGAAAAAAATGCGGCGGGGCAAAAGGCACACAAAAAATAATGAAAAATTCCAGAAAAAAAGTGCAGCGAAAAAAAGTTGGTGGGGGTTTTAATGAGAAAAAAACCTCTAATTACATTTTTGTATCATTTTTTCGGGGCGCGAGTGAGAGCAGGAAATTGATTCGTGGGTTGAAAAAAGGCAATAGGCAAGAGAAAAAATTGGGGCAAAAAGGAAATTGCGTTTTTCGCGCGAGATAAAAAAACGTAATTTTTTTCGGTGTGATTCTGAGTTAGGGTAATTTCAGGGATAGGAAAGTATATTTGAAAATCCGTGTGGGATTTCTAGGAATTGTGCAAAAATCTTATTTTATCGAATTGAAGTCTTAAAAACTATATTTTCGCACAAAATGAAATTTTGAATTATCTCATTTTGCCACGCGGAATTTTTAAGAAAAAATCCAGAACTCAAAAATCAAGATCTCAAATAATATTTCCAGATTTGTGACACGTGGATTTTCGAGTTGAATTTTTATTCCTTTTGGTCAAAAATAAACGATTTCCATTATTTTTTTTAATTTTACATTAAAATTGATTCTGAGTTAAAAATCCCGGTCAAGATCAAACAGATATACAAATACAATACAGAAATTTCACGGGATACCAAGAACTGAGTAAGCCCTCGTCCCAACCTACCCTGCCCAAGGTGTCTTCCCCGCTCTGCCCGTGAGCCCACCCTCTCCCATGGTTCCCCAAACCAACTAACCTTAACCTTCTCAATCTCCCTCCGTTTCTTCCTCAATTCTCCAGTCAACGTGGCAACCAATCTTTCAGCTTCCTCTTTTTTCATCAAAGCCTCTTCAACAACTCTCGTCTTCTTCTCAAAATCCCTTTTTCTCCTCGAAGCTTCTCGATCTTGCGGTAAACTTTCAGACCGTAATATTGATTCTCTAGCTTTCTTCAATGCTTCTTCTCTCATTCTCAATGCAATTTTTGCTTTATCATAAGATTCTTCCGCATCATGTAAGCTTTTCATCGATTTATTCCACTCAATTTTCATCGAATTCCGTGTTGCATCATGTTCTTTTCTTCTTGCATCTAATGCTTCAACTACACGATCTTTTAAATGTTCTGTAGTTTCTCGAGTATGTTGAACCATTTCAACTTCAACATCAAAAGAATTCTCAAATGTTTGTCTAAGTGGCATAAATGGTTTATTGATATCTCTTCTCGATGTTTCTACCAATTGATGAACTTTTCTTGCATGATCTTGTTCCAATTGAATTCTTGATCTTACATAAGATATCACATCTTTGCTGTATAAACTCCAAGCTTTTGTTCTTTCAAATGCCACGTCAACTCCATCAGCACGATTTATCAGAAGTTTGTCGATTTCCATCGTGGGATTTTCTGAAAAATCTTAATATTTTGAAGATAGGAAAAATATCACAAGAAAAAAATTTGCATTATTTGTAGCTGATCATTCCCATTTATATACACAAATATTGTATTTGAAATGGGTTGGGCTTTACGTAGAAATTCTGAATAATTTGTCATTGTTTTTCAGCTCTTTTTCAGCTCATGACTTGAAAATGATGTGATATTGAAGGAAAAGTGACATGCAAACTTGTTTTTTTTTTCAAATTAAAATGAAAATATTATGATGTGATTTGGGTTTGTTGAGATCAAAATACGGGTTAAAACATTGTGCCACGTGGAATTTTTATGCGGGAAAAATTCAAATTTTCTGGATTCAAGATTAGATTTTTATTTAAACTTTATATAATTTCAAGTGGATTTTTGACATCAAAAGCATTTTTCTTTATTGAATATATTTTTAAATATGAAAGAATTTCTCAAAAAAATTGGCACCAAAAGAGATTCCAAAAACTTGAAAAAATTCCACGTGGATATTCGAAACTAAAATTGAACAAAAAACTGTTTCATAAATTCTTTAAATTTTTGAAACTATGTAAGTTTTATGCTCAAAAATACTTATTTTTAAAAAAACTCACGCTCAAAATTGCCATCGATCGAATTTGTCGCGGCTGCGGTTTGATGTGTTGAATGCCTGCGTTGAAGCGATTGCGTCATTCCGCTTGCTGTCGACGACGCAACACTTTGACGCAAGTATGAATCCGTGGAACTCTGAAAAATTCAAATTTTTAATAAACGAAAATCTCTGAAAATAATACTAACCCAAAATCTGACTTTTCCGAAGAGATACCGTTTTTTGTTCATTTAATTTTTGTATGATTTTTCCGGAGAAAAATTGAGAAATTTTTTTGAAAAATGAATTTTTTTTCAATTTCGAATAAAAATTGATGGGCATACAAAATTATAAAACTATTATTATATAGAAAAAATAGGGAAAAGAGAAAAATTTTCGCAATGTTTTTTTTCGTCTGGCCATTGATTTTGTGTTAAACAAAACAAAATAAAATATATTTCGTTTTGTCTTTGTTTTGAAAAATACGTGGATTTTTTTGAGCCCAATACCCACGTGGATTTTGCAAAAATAATGAAGTTTGAACTTACTTTTTTGATGAATTGGAAACTTTTGAAAAACGAAACCATTTCAGAAATATAGAAATTTTCAAAATAACTCTAATTTTTCGAATTTCGAAAAATGACGCGGAAAAAATTGGGTCACGTTTGAAAATTTTAATTTATATTTTATTCCAAAAAAAACATTTTTGATTTTTTTGGTGCTCACAACATGAGCAATCGGCGAGAGTGACGGAGACGCAGAGAAATTCTACGATTCAAAAAAAAAAAAACGACTTTTTAAAAACTCACAATTTGCTTCCATCTTCCAAGTGTCGAACTTCTTGTCGGTGTGTGATGAACCGATGAAACAATGTGGCGATTTCTAAAAAAAACAACTTATTAAAAAAATCAAATTTTAAATTTTCCCGCTTCAAAAACTACCGTATCCAATTTCGTCCACGTTCAAAACTCATAGCGAGCTAATAAACTGCGAAAAAAAACTCACAAAATAACGTTGAGCACAGCTGATTCCAATTGATCGATAATATTGAGCACTGGTGTCGTATCAACTGAGCACGTATCGAATTTCAAATCTGAAAGAGTGAGAAAAAATAAAATGAAAAATGAGTGTGCAGAAGATTTGCTAACTTTTTTTTTGGATTTTCAAAAGTTTTTCACTAGAAAATTTTATAGTTTTTCTTAAAACTTTTCCAGAAAAAGTTCAAAGAATTTTGAAATATCAACTTAAACTAACGAACTCTGCGCATTCCATATTACAGCTAAAGTTATCCTAATTAAAAACAATTTTTTTTGAAAAAAATTAATTGATATCTAACTTTTCCGATGAAGTTCTCAATGAACATTTGAAAATTGTTGTCAATAATCAAGCTTCACTAAAATGTTTTTCCTCAATATTTTCCTTGAAGAACTCACCTTTAACAGCTTGCACAAGTTGAAGAGATAGCAAAATGATGGGATTAGTTTTGAATTGTGAATATTTGAAAAGATCTCGCATCGATTCGCTGACCATTTCGAGAGCCGCGTGAACATTGACACACATTGATTCGCCATCTGCAAAAATTGAATTTTCATTTTTTCAGCGAGGAATTTTTAAAATTAGTGAATTCGAAAATCTTATTTTATAACACAAGTTCAGTTTTTGGCTGAACTTTGTCAAACCTTTTTTGATTTTAAGATCGAAAGATTAAAAATTGAGCACAGAAGTAAAAAAAACTAGACAAAAAACAATGCGAACTTGTCAGAAAAAAAGAAATGGCGGTGTATATTGATTGAACTTTACATTGTACCCTTTTAAAAATAGTCTCACTAATATCTCTGACCTCTCTTGGATTTACACTATCTCTCGTTTGAGAATAATTAATATTTCGCGCACTAAATTTTAGGTAGATCAAAATTAAGAATTGCAAAGTGCACTGTGAAGAAAAATGTTTTTGCCTGTGAAAAAAGAAAACTACAACACTTAATTGAGTACGCGTTTTTCTGCTTCGCAAAATTTGGATTTAGCACGTTTTGTTGCCACATACCAACAACTGAAGAATTGATATCAAGTGTGGAGCGAAGTCGATTGACAAAAACCGAAAATCGATCAATATCTCGACGAACTGCAGCAGGAATCTGAATTTGAAAAAATACTTTTCATTAGAAATTTTCAGCTTCAAAACTCACCCTAGTATCAATGATAAAATCGGCCTCATTTGATGAACAAACGCTGCTTGTCGACGACATTTTTGAGGAAAAGAAAAATAAGGGGAACCCGAAAAGGGAACCCTAGATTTCAGATTTTTTGGCTGAAAATTCGGTATTCTATAAGATAGGGAAACGGGGAGATGAAAAGAGGAAAATTGAGATAAACCGAAGAATCAAATTTAAAAAAACTGAAACTGAATTTTGGCGGCAAGCTTGAGTTTGGGAAAAATACAGTTGATTTATTTCACGTTGGATCAGAATTTAGATTTTCAAAACGTTCTTAAAATAAAAAAATGAATCAAGTATTCGGCGACATCTACAGTAATCAAAAATAAAAATTCAGAATATACTTCCAGAAATTACTTTTGAAATTTTAGTAATCATTGACAACATTTCAAAATTAGAAAAATTCGAAAGTTTTTTGATGCCACGTGGAAGCCCAGGGTACAAATTAGGAAAAATTGACGCCTATGACGTCGGATTTTGTTCTTCTCACATCAGTTCTGAAAAAAACGAGCGCTTTTCGCGAATCCCAAATTGGGTTTCCTGACAAATGTGGCACACACATAGAAAAATCAGTGGGCAGAAGGAAAAAAAGAAGAGAAGAGCTCAGTGAAGGGGCGTGGCTTCTTGGCTGGCTTTTTTTGGGAGCCGCGCGCGAACAACAAAATTTCTCACGCGTAAAGAGGAAAATACTTGAAATTGAGAAAGATTTCTCTCTTTTTCAGTTTTTTTGGGCAAAATGTAAAATGAAATAGAGGCAAATGTTAGGCGAAAAGTTTTTGTTTTTGAAAAAAAACGATGATTCAGAAAGAAAAATTGAATGTTTTGACTGTGGAAAAAATTTTTCGGACGACAGAAAAAATGAGAAGGAATCAAAATATTTGGGGAATTTTTAAAAGTGATTTGGATATGGATACAATCCTCAAAACTACAGTAATCAAATATTTGATCTCGTAAGAAAAAAGTAATTATTTTTTCAGTTCTGATTGTGATAAAAATGGTCCAAAAAATTTCAAGTTGTGTTTTATAAAAAAGCTTTGAGCTAACAACTTGGCCCAAAAAGTTTTGGGCTAGAGTTTAAAATGAAAAATGAACTTTGGCAATGCAAACTTCAAAAAATACATTTTTCTAGGTTCATAAATTTTTCAAGAAAAAATGATTGATCTGTTTTTCCAAGTACAATAAAGTTTCTGAAAAATAAACATGACAATTCAATTAAAAAATTCCAATTTTATAATAAACTTTGAATATAAACAAAAAATCCAGAAACACAGTATCTTTGCAACTACAGTACCCTTTAAAAGGTCAAAAAACACTGAAAAAGAATATATTTCTGTCTTGCGCAAGAAGATTTCTTTTCCAAAAATATCATCATTTTTTTCTACATACATCTCAAAAAAAAATAATTGATAAAACAAAAATTCCAATCGCCAAAAAGATAACCCAAAACATCAAAAAACGCAACATGAAATGAAAACTTTTCTTTTTTTTTCTTGTCAAAAAAAGTTGAAATAAACGGTTAACCTTGTCATAGATTTCAACTTAAGATAACTTGGCGCCAAAAAATTTTTGGATTTTTTTTGGTGAAGAAAAATTGAGAGGAGAACATCTGGATATGATGAGAGAACAATAAAAATAGATATATTTTTTTCTCAAAAAAAAATAATGAGGTCCGTTTTCCGCTTTTTTGATTTTTCCAATAAAAACTTTGAGAAATCTGTTGGCGTCAAAATCTACAGTATTCCTCCAGAAAAAAAAAACGATTTCCTTTGACAAAAAAACGGGATTGACCTAAAAAGGAAACAAAACGCAATTCAATAAAAATGAAAAATGAGAAGGTGATAAATCGATCAGCAAAAATGGAATCCTTTTTTGTCAGAATTAATTTTTTTCGTAAACCAAAAACTAAAACCAAAGTTTATGCTTCCCACTCATTGAAAAAACTTGAACAATTTATGTATGTTTTTAAGTGGTCCTGGAATTTCTATGAATAAATTAAGAAGTTTTTTCAATTCTTCAATTCTCTTTGATTTCATTTTCAATAACCAAAACCAATAAATCATTTAAAACAATTTGACCTAAATGATAATTATCCCCGAAATACTTTTTTTTAAAGAAAGCAGACAAAAAAATCAGCGCTATACCAGCAAAGACAACACAACAGAAAAAAGATAATCGTTGCATAAGAAGAAAGGGAAAAGCTTGTTAATTTATGATATTAAAACAATATTATGATTAGATATTAGACAGATTTAGATATTATATTGATTTATTTTTACTAGAACAGTGAAAAAATAATAAATATAATATGGCTCGCGGAATAGAACCCTTGACTTTTTCGAGCAAAAACTAGAGCACTACCACTGAGCTACGTTTGCAATTTAAAGTTCAAATTTGAAAATAATTGTTGAAACAGTGTATTTGAAAGTGAGTTCGATTCCACGTGCACGCGAAAATAATTTTTTCAAATATTTTTTTTTCAAATGATGATAAAAGTAATAATAACAAAGCAATTGCTTTGTTTTCTTCTCGCGAGAGAGAATGAAAGCGAAATAAAACCATTTACAAGAAGAAAAAAAGGACATTTGTTGTACATACATATATATGTATGTGTATATAGATAGAAAAAAGGCATCATCGGTGTAGCGACAAGATGACTAATTATTTTTTTGTGTGTTGAAAAAATTCTGAAAAAACGGAAAAGAAAAATTCGGATGGAAGTGACACTCTAATTATTTTTTTTGTCAATTTCCAAACTTTTTTTCCCGCTACATACACAGGAAGATGAACAAACTTTTTTAATGGCACCGGTGGCAAAAACTGGATATTTTTACTCAATAAAAATAATAATAATTGTTTTTCATTTTTTGTGTGTGGATCATGCGCGCAAAAAAGATGGAAATGCTTCTGAAAAATTTTCAGACGAAAACAACAAGTGAATTTTTTGGGCGAAGACGGAAAAATTAGCAAAATATTCGTCTGAAAAACAACTATACTCGAAATTAGGAGGCAAAATGAAAAAAAAACTGGGAAAACGTAGGCCGTAGAGAAAAAAATATTTGGGGGGAAAATATGTTTAATTCTTACGATATGACTCATTTTTTCTAATAAATAATACGATTTTTCTGTGTTTTTTTGCTGTTGTAAGTTTTTGTGAAATATGAAGGGAGAATGGGTGCCGCAAAAATGCAAAAAAATGTGGGCCTAGCCATCAACATCAAAATTTTCTGAACTATAAATGTTACAAAATCAGAAAATTTGATTCTAGATTTTTTCAAACTTCAGAGTTCATTTCTGAAAGTGTGAAAGCTAGGCTTTTTATATTAAACCTGAAGAAGTTTGATTTTTCAAAAAGTTGGCACTAAAGTCTAAAATTTGAAAAAAAAATTAGGAAGTTCCTATTTTTGAGTTACCAGAATTTTTGAACACTACAAAAATTCATACTTAGGGTTCAAGATCTAATTTTTTCAATTTCTGAACTTCATAATTTTTTAGTCACAATAAGATTACCACAAATATCTGTCAAAAGTCCAAACCTATTCCCCATATTTCCAAAAAAGTTTCAATTCAAAAAAAAAAACCGAAGGTGAGCGGATATTTGCGGGTTGTTGTCTCTTGTCAAAAATAAAATGAAATGTGCGCGAAGGCAGCCGACAGCTGTTGAGCCAAAAAGCAAGATGATAAAAAGATGCAAATGTGAAAAACAACGAAATGAGAGAGTTCGCGAAATATGAGAGACGCAGATAACATACAATAATTTGTAACAAGTGTTGTAGTAAAGTGAAGAGCCAAAATACTTATCAAAAAATCGAAAAAATAAATTTTGAAAGTTAATATTCCTCACATCAGTCAAAAAAAAACTTTTGCTGGTTGCTCATGTTCACAAACGGATTATTGTTTGTTCTTGCTCTTTTTTCGAAGACTAGTTTTGTGGCGGGAAAAAATGCGAAAAAATGAGACAGACAAAAAACTTGAAAAAGGTTAGAGTTCACTTTGCCGGAAAAAAGAGTTCAGCTACTTTTTCTGCAAGGAAGATTACTTTGAACCTAGAGTTGATAGCAAAACTTTGCAATTTTGTAATTTGTTTCAGAATAAACAATTGGTGAAAATACGTTTCAACTTATTATTAATACTTGAATGGTGGAATTTTTTTCCAAAATATCTTTGAGACAAACTTGAACCCGTCAATAATAATTCGAAATTCATTTTTAAAAATTCTTTATTAAATCCCGTGTTTCTCTAAATAAAAATGCTTCCCACTCTTCTTAAATATTATCATCGGACTGCTGACAATATTGACTAGATGACAATGAGGCAAATTTGCATAAAACATAATTCATCGAAATTTCAGCTTTTTGCTCGCGTGCTCCATTCACCATAATCCATGGAACCCAATTCAAATCGCGCGCAATTTTGTGTTGACGTTGACCGTGTTGATACATTAATTTGGCGCCAAGTTGAGATTGTGCACAATTTTGGATGCTGTGAATGAATGATACTTTTAGAATCTGATTTCAAAGTTTCAGAGATCCTTCTTGAAAAAGTTTTCTGGTCAAGAAAAAGGGAGGAATAATTTTGACTATTATTTTAATTAAATGACATTAAAAAAATCGAAATATCATTAAAGTTCAAAATGGGCGGGCAACGTTCCATCCTTCAATTATTGAACGTGGGAGGAATTATTTTTTCTAAAATCATTGATCAGAAAACAAGGGTTCAAGACTCTGAGAAATGAACATTTCGGAGAAAAAATTAGTAATTTCTATTTCAAAGAAGGAACTTTAATTTTTGAAAAACATTCTGAAGATAAAAATTAAATTGTATACATTTTTTGAAATTTTCAGATTAATGTGTTTCACGCAGATACAAGAACCCGTCTTCAAACAACTCAAATGCTCGAAAAGCCTCGAATGCCTTGAAACCCTAAGAAACCTAGAAATTTAAATAATTAAACAATTAAAATTGTGGAAAATCGTGAGGGTGGAATTTTCAGCCGCAAAATGCCTCTCCGAATTGTCCAAAACTTAACACAATTCACTTCAATTTCAAAAATCACATCTTAATTTTTTGAGTGGGAGAGAAGAATCCCATTATCAAAAATTATTGTTAGTGGGAGGAATGGTTTTTCAAAGATCACTGAGAAGAAAACCAAACTTCAAAGAACTGAATAAAATGGAAAAAAAAGTTCCACTTGGAATTTCAAAAATAAAAATTTAGAATTTCAAGTCGAGGGTTCAACTACACTGGGAAAATTTCAAGTTTTTGAGGAATCAAACTTCATAAAAATCTTGTAAAGTAAAAAATGTACGTTTCTAAACAATGAACAATTTAAATATGTCTACATCAAAGGAATTCAATTTTTGAATCTTCCCACAGAAACTCACAATCTTTCATCCAAATCAGGTCTTGGTCTCGCATTCACAATACATTCTCCCATCGCTTTATTAATATCCCGTTTTCCTTGAATACAATTCACAACTCTCATATATAATTGTGGAACTTCCAATGCAGCAATAACACATGCTTGTAATTGATTCATAATACATTCTTGATTTCCGTGCTGACATTGACATTTGATGCCATCGTTTTGTTTTTGACATTGAGCAATTCCAAATGGATGATAGGTTAAATTGACTGTGGCTGTATTTTGAAGCGAATTCCACATTGGCATTAGTTGATTTCTCACGAATCTGTAAACTTTTTCTAATTTCCCATGGTCGTTAAAAAATTATAATACATGTATATAAATTGTTTGATGTACCCCGTTTTCCCATCCAAATAATTTCTTTGGTCTTCTCAAAATGTGCAACGATATCAAATTCGAAAACCGCTCCTACGACTCTGTCAACCAAGAAATGCTCTCAACCTATATGAAAAAAAGAGGAATGGCTAATTTGAAACTCGAAGATCTCAATCTCTGGACTCGATCATTTGGTGAAAACTATTATCCAGTTATCGTAACTCTCAAGGATTCTGATCAAATCATCATAACTTGTCATGGAATCGAATATGAAAGTGTGCACGATGAGAACAAAAAATTCACTTTTATTGGGTTTTTATGGATCGATGAAGATTTTCGTGGAAAGGAAATTATGGTTCATATTCACAACACTTTGGCATCTTATGAGGCTCTTACTTATACAGTTCATACTTTATTGAGTAAGTAAAGATTATAAAAACGATAGGATTGAACTTCAATGAACATTCATTGTTAAGTTAGGGTTAATCGGAATCTTTTTTCCTAGCCCGATTCAATTTTTAAAACCTCATTTAGGACCAAAGCAAACCTCATTCCAGACTGAACTAAAAATCTAACCTCAAAAATTTGCAGAACCCGCTGCCGTTAAATTTTTCAAAATCATGACCGGGGAGTTCAACGAATATCTCAAAAGCTATGTCTCAATCTATGACAAAAATGAGCTGCACTTAGAAGAGAAACCGGTTTCTCAAATAACTTTGAAAAAAATCTCCGAAGTGTCTCCCAATCTTCTAACTGCATACGATCAAAGCATTTTCCCATTCAATAGAGCTGATTATATCACTGAATTTTTGAAACAGAAAAACTGTTATTCAAGAGTGAGTTGAAGACGTCAAATTTCGACAACAAAGAATACATGATTCCAGATTGCATTGAATTCATCTGGTGAAATCATTGGGTATGGAAACATCATACTTTTTGAGTCAACAAATCTTGCTCAAATTCAACCACTTTATGCAGACAATGCTGAAATTGCAAGTGCAATAGTTTCAGAAATTTTACATTCTGAAAATCTCGACTTTGAACAAATCTCTCATCGTTCAAATGACAAACACAATGAGAGCTATGAATGGTTCAAACCATTGCTCAAAAAAAATGTAGAACTTCGTCGAGAATTTGTATCAACTTATGGTTGGAGTGGAAATGGTCCAAAAGACTTTGGAATCTCTAAAGTTTTCTCATCATCAAGTACTATAGTCTGTCCAATATAAATGTCTTTTCAAGACGAAATAAAATATTAAACTTTCACAAGAGATAAAGGTTCTATAGACACATTTTTGTCCAATATAATAAACAAACCAACCACAAAAGGCTCTAAAAACATCGTTAAATATAAGGAAATATAAGGAAATATAAAATTTTTACTAGGAAAAATTAACAACAATAAATGTCTGCAGATAACGATTGTTGAAAAAATGTATTAGGTGCTTGAAAATGTTTTTTTTTATCGAACAGACAGAAAATCACACCACAGATAACACCTTCGATTTCATATAAAAAGGGAGCAGCAAACAGTTAAGTATTCAGTGTTGACTGAAGCTGAAAATGGTCAAGTACGTGAATCAACTACTTTCCTCACTCTCAAAGCCAGTTTTGGAACGTTATTTGGTGGCTCGTGGAGCAACTCGAATCATCGTCCAAGATTTTGATCTCTGGACACAAAGTTTCGGCTCAAGATATATTCCAGCGTTTGTAACATCAAAAGATTCCGGTGAGATCGTGAGTACTGGTCATGCATTTGAATATATAAATATTCACGATAAAGCCAGCAAATTATGCTATGGTGGATTGCTTTGGGTGGACAAAAATCATCGGGGAAGAAAATTATTGATTCATTTAACAAAGCTTGCAGCAACGTATCCACTAGTCAAATATCCATTTCACGGAAATATGAGTGAGAGAAATTAGTATGAAAGTTCCGAAAATATGTTTATTACAGAAAGCACTTCCACATCCTTCTTCAGAATCTTTACTGGTGAAAATAACGAATTTTACACAAGTCACTATTCATTCTACGACAAAAGTGAATTGAAAATCGATAATATTGAAAAAAAAGATAATGGAATTATCTTGAAGAAGTTATCTGAAGTGTCTCCTGATCTTCTGACTAACTACGATCAAAGTGTATTTCCGTATGACCGAGAAACCTATATCAAAGAATATATGAAACAAGACCATTGTTATTCACGAATTGCGCTAAATCCAGAAGGAAAAGTTATTGGTTACGGTAGTATTATAAATTACAGTCACAGTGGAACCGCTGCAATTCAACCATTGTATGCTGACAATGCTGATATTGCTCGAAATATAGTTGTTGAAATTCTTCGCGAAGAAAACTTGGACTTCCAGAGACTTTACTTACGAACCAATGAAGATACTTACACCTGGCTCCAGCCTTTACTGAAAGACGGTGTTGAGGCTCGTCGAAAAAAACATTCAGTTTACAGATACAGTAAAGAACCTCCGAAGGGTTTTGATATGAATAAATGCTTTGCTTTTGCAAGCAGCAAAGTTTGCCCAATTTGATAGAACATCTCATTCTTATCTAGTCGATAAATTTGTTAAGAAAAGTTTATTTGTTTTTTTTGTTGATCAAAAACTTCCTCCTTTTTGGAATTTCTACAAACTCTATTATTGATGATTCGATAAAAAAATGATTTCTTTTGCACAAGTTTATTTTTGCAGAAGTGCTAGTGGTCAGAAATGGCGAAATTCGTGGCTTCAGCCTGCTCAAAACCTTTTGGAGCAAGAATATTCGTGAAATCGGAAACTTCTGGCAAAATTATTCTTTCTGCTCAAGGATTCGAGTACAAAAATGTTGATGACAATTCTGAGATGAGTTATATTGGAGATTTTTGGATTGATGAAAAATATCGTGGAAAAGAAATTATGACCCAATTTCCAAAAAATATTGCCCTTTTTAAAAATGAGGTGCATTCAAGTATGAGTGAGTTGAGAAAATAATGTTTTGATTTAATCAATTTTGCAATTTTAGAAGCATCGGCTTTTTTAAACTTCAAAGAAATCACTGGCAATTTGAACGAATATTTTGATAGATATGAATCAATTTATGACAAAAATGAGTTACAATTGAAACCTGATGTAGAAACTGGAATAAATCTAAAAAAGATATGTCAAATTCCAACTAAACTTTTAAACGCCTATGATCAACAAATATTTCCCTATCACAGAGAACATTATTTTGAAAAGTTTCTCAAACAAAAGGACTGTTTTTCAAGAGTTGCTCTAAATTCTGCTGGCGAGGTTATTGGATATGGTAGCATCATAAACCACAATGGAAGTGCTATAATTCAACCATTGTATGCTGACAATGCTGATATTGCTCGAAAAATATTTTGTGGAATACTCAAAGAAGAAAATTTGGACTTCCAGAGACTATACTTGCGAACCAATGAAGATATTTACACTTGGATCCAGCCTTTGTTGAAAGACGGTGTTGAAGCTCGTCGAAACAAACATTCTGTTTACAGATACAGTAAAGAACCTCCAAAGGGTTTTGATATGAATAAATGCTTTGCTTTTGCAAGCAGCAAAGTTTGTCCAATTTGAAAGATGATTTCTTAATTAGTTAAATAAATCTGTTAACAAAAATGTTCTATATTATGATGAGAAAGCTTATTTATTTTTGAAATTTCTTTGAATTTCCATTCGACTAATAGCTACTTTAAAAATCCTCCGAAAATGTTAGGTTTATCAAAGGTGCTTAAATTTTGAAGAAGCAAAGTTTGTCCCATTTCATTTTTCGACTTTTGCAATAAACATTTTATATCCACGTGTAACAACAAATCGAAATAATTCGATCATACCAAAAAATCACTTCTCAAATCATTTTTAATATCAAGAAACTTGTGTTCGCTAGAAACAAAACATGGCCAAGTTTATTGATAACTTATTATCTACAGTAACCAAGTCGATGCTGAGCCGATACATTGCTCAAAGACAACCAACTCAACTGAAAATCGAAGACTTCTCACTTTGGGCCAAAACCTTCGGTTCAAATTATCATCCATTATTTGTGACACCAAACAATTCAAATAATATAGTTTTATCTTGCCATGGTATTGAATACACCAATATTCATGATAAGACCAACAAAATCAGTTATATTGGACTTTTCTGGATCGATGAAAAATATCGTGGGAAGGAAATTATGATGCATTTGACAAAATATGCATTCACTAATCCTGTTTATAATAATCCATTTCATTCAGTTATGAGTAAGAATTTTCCTAGATATTTTATCACAATTATTTGAATTTTAGAACCTTCGGTTTTACGATGCTTCACTATAATCAGCGGTGACTTCAATGAATTTTACAAGAGTTATGAATCAACTTATCATAAACGTGAGCTCAACTTGTGTATCCCTAAAAATGATACCGGAATAATTTTGAAAAAAGTGTCCGAAGTTCCTTCTGATCTTCTAACTTCTTACGATCAACAAATTTTTCCATACAACAGAGCCACTTATATTAAAGATTTTTTGGAGCAGGAAAATTGTTACTCAAGGATAGCTCTGAATTCAAGTGGGGAGATTATCGGTTATGGAAATATTGTACTTTTCAAATCAACAAAGACTGCACAAATTCAACCACTGTACGCTAAAAATGCTGAAACTGCAAGAGCAATTTTGTCTGAAATTCTGACAACAGAAAATTTTGAATTCGAAGAACTCGCATTTCGGTCCAATGATAGAAATGAAGAGAGCTATAAATGGATCGAGCCATTGCTCATAAATAGCGTAAATATTCGTCGGGAACTTATTTCAACTTATGGCTACAGTTTTCATCCTCCAAAAGTTGATTTGTCTAAAGTTTTTGCACCGGCAAGCACTACAGTTTGTCCAATTTAAACATTTTCTTGGTTCACTTTTTTATTAAAATAAATTAAATTATTAACTGCAGATTGATAGAGTTCAAACACACAACATACAGTATTCCTTTATAGCTTTCAATAAAAATTCTAAAGAACCTGGTCGAAAAAAGAACCTTTGAAGTTTGTATTGAGTTTTTTGATCTTCCAAAAGTTATTTGATGTATTGATAAAACTTTAGAGAAAACTGGTTTTTGATATGAATTTCAGAAATAAAATTAAATCCGAGGACATTGAAACAGTCAATTTTTTACATCATAATCTGAGTGAGACTAAATCATTTGTTACCAGAAGTCTGAACCTCTAAAAATCATCTACCTTGGAAATTTTCAGAAACTTTGGATACTAAAAATTTCAAGTTGCCTCAGCAACTCCTGAATTTCGATCCCTATATTTTCTTCCATAAATCCCTTCCCAAAATTCCTAACCTCGTCGTATCCGGACACAATGCCTCTCCAAAAACCTCAATATTAATTGGCGGATTTGTTGCCTGCGCCACTTGATCATCCAACAATCTCCGTAAAATATCCGAAAACTGCGATTGCGACGAAACCCATCCCATCAGTCCCAAACAAAATATCAACAAGAATTTCAGCATTTTTATCTGTAACATATTGAATAGAAAATTGAAACTAAAAATGAAAATAATAGAGACCTTTTTGGAAATTTGGGGCGACATAGAGAAACGTGGCCACGCACGCAAAAAAATAAATAAAATTGACAAAAAAACAAGAATTTTTATTGTTCCCTAATAAAATTCGTTGAAATAAAGAAAATACAAACATTCGAACCAAAAAAGAAAATCAATGGTAGGTCAAAAAAAAAACAATAAATAAAATCAAAAACGAACAGAAATCAAGAGTAAACAAAGTTAATCATAAATAAAACTTATCAAGTGCAATTTGGAACCAAATTTTGCTCTCTGTTTATTTTGAGTAATCTTCCCTAATTTCTCTAGACTATAACCCCAACACTTAATTTTTTAATCCCAAAGAAAGGCGAGAAAAAAATCGAGAATCATTGATGAAAATGAGAACGCACTTATCATATCTCTTTTTTATATTTTATTTTTCATCCTAATGATAAAAATGAACTTTATTACATATTATTATTATTATTATACCTTTTTTCGTCGGGAATAGAAGATAGTTTTCCGAGATAGAAAATTTGGAAAAAAATAAAGAAGTGGAACAACGAGACATTTCGCGATGACGTAGTTTTTTTTCAGCAAAAATGTAAACTTAAATGGCCCGGCAGTAGAGATTATGAGCACTTTAAAAAATATTCAAATGTTGAAGACGCGCTCCAACAATGAGAATTTTTGCAACATTAGAGCGAGTTTGTTGCTTTGGTCGAGTTCCCGACATTTCTCGGCCAACAAAATAGTTCGGCCACATATATCTTTCATTTTTTTTCAGTTTTTAATTTTTTTAATTTGCTAGTGTACTCCGCCCGAAAAGTGAAATTTGTGAGATTCTCAAGGTTCCCGGGATAATAATTAATAGGAAAAACCTCTAGGTTCTCATAATCTCCGTTGCCGGGCCATATAAGATGATATAGTTCAAGATTTGTTGCAAACTGTTGAAAAATGTTCTTGTGAAAGTTTAATATTTTATTTCGTCTAGAAAAACATTTATATTGGACAGACTATAGTACTTGATGATGAGAAAACTTTAGAGATTCCAAAGTCTTTTGGACCATTTCCACTCCAACCATAAGTTGATACAAATTCTCGACGAAGTTCTACATCTTTTTTGAGCAATGGTTTGAACCACTCATAGCTCTCATTGTGTTTGTCATTTGAACGATGAGAGATTTGTTCAAAGTCGAGATTTTCAGAATGTCAAATTTCTGAAACTATTGCACTTGCAATTTCAGCATTGTCTGCATAAAGTGGTTGAATTTGAGCAAGATTTGTTGACTCAAAAAGTATGATGTTTCCATACCCAATGATTTCACCAGATGAATTCAATGCAATCTGGAATCATGTATTCTTTGTTGTCGAAATTTGAGGTCTTCAACTCACTCTTGAATAACAGTTTTTCTGTTTCAAAAATTCAGTGATATAATCAGCTCTATTGAATGGAAAGATGCTTTGATCGTATGCAGTTAGAAGATTGGGAGACACTTCGGAGATTTTTTTCAAAGTTATTTGAGAAACCGGTTTCTCTTCTAAGTGCAGCTCATTTTTGTCATAGATTGAGACATAGCTATTGAAACACTTATTGAACTCCCCGGTAACCATTTTGAAACATCTTGCAGCGATAGGTTCTGAATAATTTATAAATGTTGGTTTTCAATTAATCTTGCTTTTACGCTTACTCAAAACTGTATGAACTGTCATACTAATATGCGAATAAGTTGCCAAAGTGTTACTGAAATGAATCATAATGTCCTTCCCACGAAATTCCTCATCGATCCAGAAAAATCCAATGAAAGTGATTTTTTCGTTTTCATTATGCACACTTGTATACTCGATTCCGTGACAAGTTAAGATAATTCTATCCGTATTTTTTGGAGTTACAATAACTGGATAATAGTTTTCACCAAATGATCGAGTCCAGAGATTGAGATCTTCAAGCTTCAAATTAGCCATTCCCCTTTTTTTCATATAGGTTGAGAGCATTTCTTGGTCGACAGAGTCGTAGGAGCGATTCTCGAATTTGATATCTTTGATCAGCATATTTGTGTTTTCGAAAATCACAAAAATTATTTGAATGTGAAAATGGGGTGCATCAAACAACTTATATAATTTCGATCAACTTTGAAAAATTAGAAAAAAAAACAGATTCGTTTGGAAAAAATCCTCCCACGCTCAATAATTAGACTAAATGGGATTTTCCGCCTCCACTTTGAAGTTTGATGATTGTTTGATTTCTCATTCAATCAAAATAATAGACCAAAGTATTCTTCCCACGTGTTTTGCCTTCCTGACTAGAGAACTATTTCGAGAATGAATTTCAAAATGTTTTCAATAATTTTTTCGAAATTCTAAAAAAAAAAACTCAGAAAAAATATTTTTATTCATATTTATTTTTGTGCAACCGGTTTTGCAGGATTTGTTGGTGTTGGCACAGCGACTTCTGGTGGAATCCAACATGGCCGCCAATCTGGTGTTTTGAACTTTTCAAATCCTTCTTTCATAACTTCTGATAACTCCTTATATGGATAGTTAACACCTCTCTCAATTAATGTTTTTATCGATTGAATTTGAACTGGATAATCATTCGTCATATTTGATTTATTCCAAAACTCTTTTTTGCCTGAACTATATCTTCTTCTTCAGTCATATTTTTCCAATTCAACGGTTTGAATAAATCCATCAAAATATAAAACCAACTTTCAATATCTTGATTATAATTGGCTGGAACAATTGAAGAATTGGCAGGATTCGCAGCAATATGTCCAGTTAATGATAAATATGGAAGGGTATAAGCATCTGGTGGAGATAGAGCAACTCGCTGATTTGATTCAACAGTATCACCAAAATCAATCAACCACCATTGTGTTCGATTTACGGTGTGAACAAGAATATTTGATGGTTTTATATCACGGTGTATTAATTTTCGACAATGCATATCTTTTATTCCCATCAATATTTCTTGAGCAATAAAAAATGAGCAAGCTGGAGGAGTTTGAAGACCGAAATCGATTCGAAGTTTCTCCAAATCTGTTCCCATTTGAGGCATCAGAAAATAGGGAATACCGAGAACTTTGCTCTCATGGAGAAGTGGAACAATTCGCTTACATTGCGGTTTTTCTTTTCCATGAAAACTCATCAATATTTTCAACACTGTGATTTCTCGAATCAAGCGATTAGTTGAACATGCGCTTTGTCGTAAGCTGGTTTTCATGAACATTATTTCGTTTCCAGCGAAAACCACTTTGTCTCTGAAAAAAGGTTTATTGGATTTTGAAACTTTTTTTTGAAAATGGCCACCCAGAATACGAGTTACGTTTTTTATGGTACCAGAATACAATATTTTTGTATTAGAAATACCAGAATGCAATAATGCAAAAATACAACATTTTTTGTTCAGCCAAAATTTCAAAAATTCTGTGTTTCTTTTTTCTTTAGAAAAAATAAATATTCATAGAAAAATCGAGGGGAATCAAGCTGAAAAACCTATAATCATATTTTTCGGTGTTTGGGGAAACGTTTTCTAGTTTTTTTCTTCTTGTGATCTTTATTCTCGTAAATTTGCTATTTTTTGCTGCAAAGATTGTGAAATTTGGTTAAGTATGAACGATTTTAGCTTTTTTTGTGAAAAAACGAAAAATGGTTTTGAGGTTGGCAAAAAAATTCACAAACCGTTGTGTTGTCTGGCGTCTCTCTTACGAGTTTCTATCTCTCATTTTCTCTCTTCCTCCCTCGTCTCTTCTACACACAACACTCTCTCGTTTATTTTTTTAATTTGGTTTTTTTCCGTGAAATCAGGAAATTTCACGATTTTCATCGAGAACATCATATATGAAAAAATAGAGAAACACAAAGCGAAGACAGAAAAATAGAATAGAATTGTAAAATTTAAGATTAGAAGTTATTTTTTTTCGAAATTACTTGTATTTTTTGTAAACGTGTAAAAAAAACAATTGCATTTTGGACCCTCATTACCACATTTTTGGCAGTTTACACGTGTCCAAACTTACTCAACAGCATCAATTCGATTCACAGCATAAATCGCGCCAAATCTTCCCTCATTAAATTTATTGATAATTTTAATCTTTTTCTGTTTTTTCTCATCATCTTCTTCAGATTCTTTCATCACAACAATCTCTCCACTTCTTAATTCACCCTTTTCTTTTAAATATTCATCCAATATCTTAGCCTCTTTCTGATCCAAAAAACATCCAGTTGGAAATAAATCTGGTCTTTCTGTATTCAATAATCGTAATACATAATCTTCTGGATCCTTTTTGCGTTTCTTGATCTTTCCAGCTAAATACAATTGTTTTTTACCATCGAAGGATGAGAATGGATCAGTCTCATCATCCTCGTCTGAAGATGATGATGATGAATCTTCTTTTTTCGATCTTGATTTCTCCGCCCCTTTTTTCTGCTGCTTTTCCTTTTTTCGTTCTTTTTTCTGCGGTGATTTTGAAGTTTTCTTGAGTTTCTTCGTCTTTTTATCCTTATCCTTATCCTTCTCTTTTTCTTTTTCCTTCTCTTTCTTAAATCTTTTCGATTTCATATTTCTCGTACTTTTTCCATATTCCTTGCTTTTCTTTTTCACTTTAGTAGTATTCGTTGATTCTTTTGAATTTCTTTTCATTTTTTGTTCCATTATTGTGTTCTGCAAAATTATTGCTAGATATACAAAAACAATCTGGAAATAGCTAGACTTACATTCTAATTTTTTCGGAGGGAAGCGGTTATTTCCAAGCTGCTCCAAATAGAAAAATAGATCACAAGATCACATAGACTGGATTTTTTTGTTTTTTTTTTTCTACGTCATTTTTTAGGTCACGCGGAAAATGTTATGCAAATTAAATATTTATTTCAAACCCCATTATATTTACTTATATTCCAAATTTCGAACAGATTTCTGGTTTTCCCAAGGCTGAAAAATTAGCACAAACTGTTTTTCCCAAATTATGCTCCGCCTCATAATTCCTCTCTCCATTGATCAGAATATAAGGAACATAATTTACATTTGGAGCCACATTTTTCTGAATTTCTTGATGATTTTGGAGCAATTTATAGGCGTTGTTGGATTTGGAGCAATTTTTGATTTTTTGCTTATCAGAATCTGATTTCACAAGTTCATTGATGCATTTGGCTGGGTGAATTTCGGCTCCTTGAATACAAGCGACGGGTTCGATATAATCAGAGAATTTTAGAAGAGTTTCGATGACGCAGGCTTGAATTGAGTTGAGAAAGCATTCGTTGTATCCATGTTGGCAGGTGCAGCTGGAAAATTGAAGAAATTTTATGTTGATGAACGAAGTTTTTTTGTCAAAAACTAGAAGGTTACTGTAACTTTTTTGGTCTAATTTTTTCAAGGCTCGAAAATTATAATAAGAAATTTTCAAGAATACGAAACTCAGAATTCCTTTAAAAAATCAATTTCCATAAAAGCCTTACTACTAGGGAATACTGCAGTTTTGAAAAAAGTGAATTTCTGATCTTCAAAAATTATTGGGTACTGTAGACATCAAGCAAGATTTGGCCGTGGCTCAAAAATACTTTAGAGTTACTGTAGCTTTCAAATAATATTTTGAAATTTTTTTAGAAAAAAACAATTATTAGGCTCCCTTTCGCAACTCTGGTACAACTAAATTTTCAATTTTTCTCACCTCACTGTTCCTGTCGATTTATTCGTGATGCAGTCACTTTGCTTGCCAAATGGATGATAAGTTATATCGAATTCGAAGGAATTTGCTGGAATTTCTCTGGCGAACGGCAAAAGTTGAGTGAAAATGAAGCGAGAAGTATCGGGACACAAAGATTCGCCGAAAATCTCGATTTTGACGGGATTTTGACAGAATGCCAGAGTTGGGAAAACTAGGAATAATAGGTTTTTTGGAAACATTTTCTTTTCTGGCTTTTTGGAATGCATTTTTATAAAGTTTTGAGAACAATTTGTTCTTTTGAATTGATAAAGTTCAATTTGAAATTAAATAAAACAATAGAACAGTTTCATCATTCTTGAAACCAAAAAAATATTAAAAATATGTACAGTTTCACTTCTTTCAAATTTAAGTGAAACAAATCCTCTTTGGACATTCTTCAGGTCTCGGTTTCAAATATCGATCACAAATAAATTGCCATAAATCATCTTCCGCATTTTTATCGCGTTCCCCATTTATTGAAATCCATGGAACCCAATCAACAAAATCCACCAATTTTTCCTGAACTTTTTGATGTTTTTCCAACATCAATTTCCTTCCTCGATTCGAATTTCCACATTCCAACATTTTTTGCTTGAATATTGGATCATGGAGACAACTATCAGCTGCATCTGTGATATTTTCTCTTCCTTGAATACAAGCAACATGTTCGAGATAATCGAGGAAGTTTGGAAGAGTTTCGATGACGCAAGCTTGGAGAGAGTTTAGGAGACATTCACGTTCGCCGTGGTGGCAAAGACAGCTGGAAATCAGAGAAATTTGGGTGGAGATAATTATTTCAAAATGTTTTTTTTCGAAATTGAAAGTAATAATTTTGCAAAAAAAAAAACGTGATCTAGACGATTTCTTAAAATTGAGCATTTTAAATTTTCTGAAAAAAAATTCTGTTACTTGGAATTCGGAGAAATCGACCAAAATATACGTAGGTTTTCAATAATAAATCACAACTCACCTAACCTCACCCTTCGAATTTTCCACACACGAACTCTTCACACCAAACGGATGATATTCAATCGATAATCGACCGCCCGAATTGATGCCAAAAAGATGGAACATTGGCATAAGGTGCCATTTAAAGAAACTGGAAAATTTTGGAATTTTGTTAATGAAGCTAGAAACTTTTTTGAAAATTTGGTTTCAATCGAAGGCCTTGAAATAAAATTTCTATTTTTTAAATTTAGGCTGAAGTTTTGTGCTGAAAATCTTCATCCACCCCAAAAAACTCACTAAGTTGTATCGCGACATCTTCCCTCGCCAAAAATCACCAATTTCACCTGGCTATCTTCCACAACACTTCTACCATTCACAAAATCGGGCAACAAAACTATCAAAAAAACCGCACCAACAATCATCTAAATTTTCAGAAACAGTGAAAATTTCGAGAGGCGTTGAACCTGTTTTGTTTTGGTCACGCGTTTCTTCTCGAAACAAAAACAGATAAGATTGATACAATCAAAAATAGTTATATTTATAAATTTGTCTAGAAAAATAATGGCACATGAAAAAGAGAAATACACGAATTTTAAGAAGAAAAATAAGAAGAGAAAACAGGTGATATTCGATGAAAAATATGCTATTTTTGGGAGAAAAAAGGAATGTTATATTGTCAAATTAAAAATAGATGGCAGAAAATAAATAAAGAAACGTGAACATTTTCAGAGAACCCATGTCGTTGGGGGCGTTGCGGTCACGCGCTACGTGCTTCATTTTCAGAATTTTATAATTTTTTCCCATTTTTTGAGCAAATTTTTAAAAATGAAACACACATCGCGTGACCGCAACGCCCCCAACGACATGGGTTCTCTGAAAATGTTCACGTTTCTTTATTTATTTTCTGCCATCTATTTTTAATTTGACAATACAAATCAATTTCGGGCTAGAAAATATCATGAAATTTTACTTGAGTTGCGCCAACATTGCCGACGGATGTTCCAAATAGAATTTCCAGCGATTACTGAATCTCGCCATAGTTGCACCATCTACGACCCGATGATCAGCACACCATGAGACTTTCACCAAATTCGCCGCCACCACATTGTTGTCGCGATCGAATCGCGGTAGTCGCTCGATTTTGCCGATTGCACCAATCGCAACTTGTGGTGGGAAAATGACTGGAGAGGCGTAGGTTCCACCAATTGCACCAATGTTGCTGAGAGTGAAAGTGCCATTGGTGAGATCGTCTCGACTGATTTGTTGACGTTTTCCAGCTTCGAGAAGGCGCGATAATTCTTGGGCAATTTCGAAAATACTCCTGGAAAGTGAAATATGAGAAAATACAAAAAAAACACGCCTGGGTGTCGAACACTGGCCCATTTGATGTGCACAGGGCGCGCTTATTTTTGTTTTTGAATTTGGGTCTTTTGCTTTTCGCAGTTTTCTGAATCAAAACTCATTTGTTTTGTTGAGATTTGTGAATTTCAGTGTGATCGAAGAAAAATTAGTTTTCTAGCAGAAACTTCACCAAATTTCCCTTGGAAATTGGTTTTTTTCGCTGAAATTTGTTAATTTTCAGTCAAAATTCTGCGTCAATTTCGATTTTCTTCGATTTTTCATCGAAAAATGACCGACGTAAGTTCCAAAAAATCTATTTTTCCTTGAAAAAAATCGATATTTTCAGAAAATCTGTTACGATAACTATGACAGAAATTACAAAGATATCACTGAAAAAGTTCTTGAGAATGTAAGTTTTTTTTATTTCCGATACCCAAAATTGAATTATTTTTTTAGATTGGCCAAAAATTCGGGGTTGAGAATTTGAGCCCAGCGAGATTCGGAAATTCGAACCCATTTCCAGTCAACGGAATAGTTCACGGACCAAATAGAAGAGTTATGGTTCCTTTGATTTGTCAATCAGCTAGAAATCCTGACACAGAAGCCAAGTTTGTTTGGTTTGTCATTGACACAGTCTCGCCATTCACATGTTTGACCAAGAAAACAATGGAAGCATTGTTAGGACCGGGAAATGTGACAAAACCTCTGAATCGTTTTGTAATTCAGGTTAGTTTCCTGATTTAATAATGATAACAATTTGGAATATTTTTCAGGATCCAAACATCGAAATCGAGTGTCAAATTTCGAAGGGAAACTTTGAATTTGCCAACGTTTTGGGTGTGGATTCTTTGAAGAATTTTGAAGCTTCGATTGGTTTTGATTGGAAAACAAAAACTTGCAAACTTTGGAAATCTTGAATTAGAATTTTGCTAATATTTTTGAGAAATAAAAAAATTATTTATTGAGATTCGAGTTAAGTTTTACTCTTCGATTTTTTTTTTAGAAAATCCCAAAAAAAATTTATTTCGAAATTTTCTTCTCAAACATCACCCAAGAATCTGGAGGAGTGGGTAAAAAATTGCCCACCTACTAAAAAATTTTGCACACCTAAGTTGTTCGAAAAAAATTGCCCACCTGGAATTCCAGGTATTGGGTGAGGTTTGTTTCTTCTCAGAAAACTGTTTCGAAATTCCCGGAAAGTTTTTATTGAAAATATTTCAAATGTTTTTTATTTATTTCCCCGCAAAAAAACTGTACCTTTGCTCGCAATTCTTGATATTTGGTACAACCAATCCACCTGGTGTATCCATAGCCAAACAAATATTATGCGATGCTTTATAAATAACATTTTCCAATTTTTCATCAGTCGTCGCATTCAATCCTGGATATTCAAGAAGTGCCAACGATGCAGCTTTGATGAAAAATGGCATATAACTCAATTTGATATGCCGTTCTTTAGCGTAATCTTTCAATTCTCCGCGAATTTTGACTAAAGCATCCACGTTTATTTCATCATTATATCCGAAATGTGGAATTTTCAATGCTTCTGTCATTGTTTTGATCATTGCTCGAGTATAGCCGCGAATTGGAACTGCGGTGTCTTGTTTGAGTGGTTCGTACTGGAAATAGTTTCGAATATTTTTTGCAGAAAAATTACTGTTTCAAATTTATCATTTATTTTACTTATGTAAAACTTTTAAAAATAATTTATTTGGAGAACCGGTTTCAGACGTGGATTTTTGGGTGAAACAAAGATTAGATGAGTTAAGAATTGCTGGAAATTTTAAATTTCAAGCTAGAAAAATTCACTCCATTTGTTCATGCAAAAGTTTTTAAAGAAAAATTTACTGTATCAAAATTCTAATTTATTTTTTATGAATCATTTCAAAAAAAAATCGGAATGCAAACTTTCTGCTTGAATTTTTGAGATAAATTTCAGATAATTAGATTTTAAATATTTATTTAAGCTTGGAAATTTTTAATTTTATGTTGAAAAAAAATTAATCAAAAACCTAGAGAAGCAAATTTTTTTAAAATTAAAAATTTATTTACTGTTTCAATACTCTCATTCATTTTTGGAACATTTTTGAAAAATGATCAAAACACTTAATTTGAAAATTCTTCCTACGATTAATGAATGTGGCCCTAATATTTTTAATGGGGAATTTGTAATTTGAAATAGTTAAAATTGTGTTTCAAAAATTGTATGTTTTTTGACAGATATAAAAATCAGCAAAATTGTCCAGAATATTGTTTTAAATCCTCACCGATTTTCCAACAGGCAATGGTGCTTGATGAGTTGTTCGAATATTCGTCGATCCCGAACTGTAATCCGGTGCAACTTGTCCCAAATATTTCAACACATCCTCTTTCAAAACTCGTCCATCTTTTCCACTTCCTCGAACTTCCCCCAATTTTATCTTATTTTCCATGGCAATTCGACGAACTGCAGGAGTCGCCAAAACTTTTCCAAAGTTGTGAGACTCGGTTTCAGGCTGAGCTTGAGTCTGGGCTTTTGATGGGGCCTTGGCTTTTTCCGCTTGTGGTTCCGCTTCCGGTTCCTCTGAAATGATTTGTTTTTTTTTTATTGAAAATGAAATAGAGAGAGAGAGCTTTTAATTCAATCATGAGGTAGGAAAATCCCTTGGGAAATTATGCTTACTCTCTTCTTCTCCCTCGATTTCGACATCAATCAAAGCTTGACCAACTTTTGCCATATCGTCAACATTGTGATATCTGGAAAATTGATTTTTATTGTTTTTAAAATAAAAAGTTTCAAAGGGTCAAAGCCCTTATCATTACATTACACTATCTGTTTTTCTCTAATATCTCTCATCTTTTTTTGAAAAATCAGACCACGTGTGCAAATAAATATGATTGTTTGAACTTGGCTAACTTTTTTTCTTGGTTTTTTGGAGCTAATAGAAAGAATCTCACAATTTTCTGACAATTCCATCGTATCGACTTGAAATCGTAACTGCAGCCTTATCACTTTGAACTTCGCAAACTTTATCGAATTGTGATATCGTATCGCCTTCTTTTATATACCATTCTTTGACTTGAACTTCGGCAATTCCTTCACCAATATCGGACAATTTGAATTGAACAACAGGAAGAAATGTGGCTGAAAACTTCATTTTTCCCAAAGAAAAATTCAAAAAAAGTACAAAAATACCACAACAAACCTCTAGAAAAATGCAAATTTCTGCCTAAAAATTTAGTGCTGGACGTGCCTAAAAGTCGAGCTGCCAACATATCTGGTTTGCGGGTTTTGCTTACTGAAAAAATTCTCGAAATTGCAAAAGAAAAAGAAGACAAGAGAAGGGGCAAAGGAAAGAATGGGGGAGAAGAAAATGAAAATTGTCTATCTGTTGAGCGAGCGAGAGGCGCCATCTTTTCAATGATTGACATTTATCGCGTGCGCCTATGGGCAAAGGTAACAAGGTGGGAGTTTGAAAAAAGAACGGAAGAAACAGAAAAAATAAGAAAGAACGGAAAAAATAAGAGTGTATGTCAACACCGACTTCCCGTAAACACCAAATTCTACGCGCAACCTTGACGCGCAACCTTGACGCGAAATGGGTTTCTGCTGGGGCCGAATTTACTAACAAGGGAAGTGCATAGGGTTAGGTGTTGAACTTTTGATGATACGTTCGAAATAAACCAAATCGACCATGCTGATCACGAATCCGAAGTCAAAAATTGCCACAAATTCCTGTGAGCACTTTTCTGGAGCTCCGAAGTTGAAATTGAGTTTTGGTTTTCGCCCATTTTCACCTTGTTCCTGGGTGGAAAATCAATTTTTATGAGTTGAATAAGGTTCTTCACCACATTCGAAAACCTATCAGCTTTTTAGTTTTTCGAAAAACATGAAAAACCAGCTGAAAACTGCAATTTTCAAAAATGCACGAATAACTTTGAAAAACGTGTGTATTTACGTGTGATTGTGTGTATTTTCAGGACTTTCTGAAAAATTGCAGTTTTCAGCTGGTTTTTCATATTTTTTAAAACTAAAAAGCTGATAGGTTTTCGAATGTGGTGAACACCCTTTTTCAAGTTATAAAAGTTCATCTTGCACCCAGGAACATGGCGAGAATAGACAAAAACCAGAACTCAATTTCAACTTTGGAGCTCCAGAAAAGTGCTCACAGGCATTTGTGGCAATTTTTGACTTCGGATTCGTGATCAGCATGGTCGATTTGGTTTATTTCGAACGTTTCATCAAAAGTTCAACACCTAACCCTATGCACTTCCCTTGTAAAGTGGTATACCAAAAATTGCTGAAGGAAAAATTGGCGTACCAAAAAAATTTGTTCAGCAATTTTTGGTACGCCCAATTTTTTCTTCAGTAATTTTTGGTATACCACTTTAGTAAATTCCGCCCCTGGGGTTTTTTAAGAATTGGGAGCCCCCCCCCCCCAGATTTTATAAAATGACACGTTAAAAGTATAACATACGGGAACCCTGAGAATCTCTCCAACGTCACTTTTCCCATGGAGAATACTATAGTAATTAAAAAATACGAAACTTCGATTCTCCATTTTAGTACGACACTTCGTTTGTCCGCATGCCTGTTGTTTAGCGAAATATTATTTTTCTCTTCCTCAGAAAATGCGCTGACAGCTAGCACGCGAGCCGGCAGACGGCCGTCGAATTCTGATACTAATTTGCCAGTTTGCTAGCTCGCAGACAGCGCCTGCGTGCTAGCTGTCAGCGCCTGAGTCTTTTTTTCACGGTGTTTTTTGGCGCTTGGTTTTTTTAGTTCTTCGTAGAAAAATACGTGACGTCATTCTTTGTTCTGAATTATTTAAAACGTTGTGTTTGATTTATAGCTAATTAGGAATGAGTTTTATTTATTTTTTCAGGTTGGACACTCATTTCTTGAAATAGTTTATTTTGTATTTGGCATGTCTTCAATGAGAGCCATCAATTAAACGTAAGAGGGAGTTTATTTTTCTTTCTATGATTCATAGAAATTCCAGATTGCTTGAGATTTGTTGGTTTCCCACTCCAATTTCAACGATGAAAACAATATTAATTTGAGGACTTGGTTCTTATACAACTGCAACAACTCATGTCAGGTTAGTTTAATGGGTTTTGGGGTTTGGTTTTGGGTGAAAGAACACAGAGGTTTGTGTTAAAATGTATCAGGTAAGTTTGGGGTAATTTTTGATTATCAAATTAAAAAGTTTGTATTTTTCTAGTGAAAGTGAAAAAAATACTGGAAATTAAGTTACCGTATATTAAAGGAAAGTGCGAAAAATGACTAAATCGAAGCGTGACCCTTATGCATTTGAGCGGCATTGCATTTTTACTTTTATTTTTTTCTTTCGATCGAAATTTTTTTTGTAAGGTGTCTAGCTTCATTCAAGAGATCCAACCGGTAATAAAGTTTGCAAAATACATTTAAAAAAAATTAATTTCAGATATTATCATTTACATCTTGCTTTGGCTTGGGACGAGTTAGTTTTTCGAGTAAATATGCAAATGGGTGCATCACATTGAATTCCTTCAATCCGGACACACGATACAGTCGCTTTTTTCGGTTTTTCATCTCATTTTCCACGTGTGCCTTGATGACTTCGGTTTGCTCAACGATATCTATTTTATTTTCAATAACAACTACAGGTTTTGCCAATTCCGCTGGGATCAGTCGATTTATTTCGTTGAGAACTTCCAAACCATATTCGAAACTCTGAAAAAGGTCAGTTTTTTTTTCATTTTTAACTAAAAAATTGAACAAAAAACATACAAAAAAGATCATCTGTAGAATAAACAACGGCGACCGCGTCGAAAACCTCGGCCATTTCTTTAGTCCACATTTTTGACACTTGGGTTTCGACAAGAATTTTCTCATTTTCTACTGTTAGCGATGTCCATAAACCTTGATCATCTCCTTCGGTGGCAAAGGATTCAAATAATGTTTTTTTGCCGGTCTGCAGAAGAAAAAAATCAATTTTGTTGATGAAAAAAATTTTTTTGTTTTTCTGAGGAAAAGAAAGAAAAGTCAAAGAGGATTTAAAAGGATCAGAAATTGGATTTTTGACTTTTTGTTAGGATTTTCATCAAAAATAGCTCACCTTTGCCGCGCCAATAATTGCCAATTTGAAACTTCTATCAAAATTCCTTGAATCTGGCGGCATTCTCCGAAAAATATTGTTTTTGTATCTGAAAACAACTTTTCGATTGGATGGCAAAAAACAAAAATGTTCTCTAAAACTTTTTGTTTCAGACAACGGAAATTGCGGGCGGGCGGAAATTTGGTTTTTCCAGCATCTGCCAACTTTTTTCTGTTGCTGTTTTTCGGTTTTGTCAAGTCCAATAAATGGTAATTAGTGTTGGGAGGAAAAAAGGAAAAAAATAAAGAGGAGAGGAGAAAAATGAAGTGAGGTCCGCAAGACCGACCGGAAATGTAATGTATCGAGAAAAAGGAAATGGAAATGTTGGTGGTGAGAAGAGGAAGAATGCGACAAAATGTGGAAAAAATGATATAAAATGGGCGGGGTTGAGATTTTCCTTTGGGGAGAGAATAAAAATTGAACCCGGATCTGAATATTTGAATGGGCTGGCACTGAAGGTACTAATTTTGAACTCCATTCATCAACGTTTGAAAATTTTAAAAGTACTTATAGTCTCCATCGTCGGACCATTCAATTCTAAAAAATCTCATATTTTGTCGCAGAAAAAATCATCGTGTTAGATAACAAAAAAAACAACAATTCGAATATAATACAACATTAATTGAATTCGAAAAAAATAGGAGGGAGGAGGAGGAAAAAAGGAGAAGGAGAAGTAAAAAAAAATTGTGAGGATTATAGGTTTTTTGTGTGTATGTGTGTGGAAAAATAGGAAAATATATGGATTAGTTCGTTTGTAGCCTCCCTCTGGATGTACATGAATAATAAATTTTCTATGGACATTCCGGGAAATTTTTAAAAAGTTCTGAAAGTCAAAGTTCGAGTTCCCGCCCTAACAAAAGTAAATTGAAACTGTTCGTCATCACAAAAAATATATACAGAAAAAAGAACAATAACATTCCAAGGGGCAAAAAACTAATAATCGATTAAAAAATGTATAGAAGATATATATATATATATGAAAAAACCTGTCCAATTTTGGATATGCATTGGATATATATGTATTTAATTGTAGTGTTTTTGTTTGTTAGTCCAAAAAATATGTGTGTTTTATTTTCAGTCAGTCACAAAAAAAGATGAAAAATTGGGGGTGGGTGAGGGAGGAACAGGGAATTTACATAACTAACTAGAATTTTTGAAGTTTATTTGTAGTTTGGAAAACGTTTTTTGTATTCTGTGTTTTTTCCTGGAAGGATAGATACTGTACTTTATTAGTTTTTTTTTTAATAAAAAATTTATTTTACAAAAAATACAATATTTAATCAATTAAAATTTCTCCTGGAACTCGATTTTTTCATCTTTTGGATGATCAATTGTATATTTGATCAATAAAGTTTGCGAACTGTTTTGTGCGACTTTGACAGTCCATTCCAAATTATTCAATGAGTTCAGTTTTGCACCTTCTGAAGGCAAAACAACTTCATTATTCGATTCTTCGCCCGCATTGAATGGTGTAGCTGTTGGTGTAATCAAATTGACTTTGATTTTTTCATCAACACTTCTTGGAATATGATGTTTCATAGTGATCAAAATTGGTGCATTTGCTCGTGTATTTTTGATAACAATTGTTTGTTCGGTGACATTTGTTGATTGTTTATTGATAAAACCAGCTTGTTGATGATATTTCTTTGCTGGTTTATATTCGATTCGAATTCCAGTATCAACTCCAAGCGAACAATCAAATCTTTCTCCTGGTGAAACATCTTTGAGATATGTTTTGGCAATGAAAGCATTATCGAGGTAGATTGAAGCTTGACCAGCGAGGAATGCAAGATCTGATGTGTTGATTGCAGAAGCTGTTAGGAATGCAGATGAATTCTTTGATGGAACTGTTTGATGAACAAGTTGTGGATTAAGGTTTACAATTCCAATTGTAACTTTGTGCTCATCAGTGGAGTTTGGAATAGTTGCTTCTCGCAAAATTTTGAATTCTGTGCTTAATGCAGATTGTGTTACTTCTGAAGCAACCACAACATCTAAACTTCTACTATCTTCTCCAACTCCCAATTCTTGTGGTGGTGCCGCTGCGCAAGGTCTATAATCTGTCCAAAACGGGTCGAATACTCCAGAGGCAGTTCGATGCGATATATTCTGAACACACCTGCGTTTTTCAAATAATCGTACGTCAAGTAGTCCCAAATCTGGGATTTTCCCTTTGACTGATGGTTTAGCAGTAGATAAAACAAGTGGAGCATCAACCCAATCTTCTCCAGTATGCTGGCTGATTTTACCAAAATAGCTCAAGTTCATTTTCGAGTTCTTTATATCTACTCTGATATCATAAGAAGGTGTCCAGCTGGCACTGTGAACATAGTAGATCAAATCGAGTTCGATGAGAGTTTCAGCATCTGCTTCAAGAGTGATATATACATTTTTTTCAAGTCGATTGCTATTTTTGCAGTTTATATGACCGTTTTTCTCAATTCTAGCTTCTTGTATGGTTAATTTCGTTTTAGCGATATCAATATCAATAGCTCTCCTTTCGTCTGTGAGAGCAACGGCTTTCTGATTATAAGCATCGAAAAACTTGTCAATGTTCGAAAATGTTACTTCATTCACTTCAATGGTTTGTTCTCTCTCTTGGGTTTTCATGATTCCAGGTCCAATTTGTGCAACTATTAGATTCATAGACTTCAATCGTCTTTTCAAAATACCTTTTCGATCCTCTAGTTCATTTAATTTCGATGCATTTTGTTTCATCACATTTTTGAGCTCCGCAATTTTCTCCATATGCTCCAACTCGCTTTCTTCATCCAGAACTAATTCATTTTTGAAATTAAAATCATGAATCTTAGCGTTGCCCTTTCCTTCAACTCTCAATGAATCATGAATTAAGCAACTTGGCAGATTCTTCAAAACCAATTCATTAAATCCTGGTTTGAGAGTGCATGTAACGAATTTGTTGATCTGAGCACGGTCATTCAACACAATAATCTGTCTGAATTTTAGTTCATCGGCTTGGAAATTTAGACGAGAATTTTGAGAAGGCATATTTGTTGTCAAGCAAAAGTATGTAATTGTTTGTTAGAAATAACAAGAATGGTGAATATTAGATAAGCAACTGTTTATATACCATTTTTTCAACAAATTTCGCAATGAATTGATTATAAGAATTGCTTTGCCGAATATAATATACAATTGTTATTAGTGTTGTTAGTAGTTAGTTCTACATATTGGACGTTTTATTATTATTAAACAGAGCGATTCGACGTAGTTTTTCAGTTTAACTCTCATAAAATCGCGTGTTTCACTCGAATTCAAATTCTTCATAAAATAGTTTATTATACAAGTGAATACATAAAAATAAAATGTCATAACAATCAATTAAAATTTCTCCTGGAACTCGATTTTTTCATCTTTTGGATGATCAATTGTATATTTGATCAATAAAGTTTGCGAACTGTTTTGTGCGACTTTGACAGTCCATTCCAAATTATTCAATGAGTTTAGTTTTGCACCTTCTGAAGGCAAAACAACTTCATTATTCGATTCTTCGCCCGCATTGAATGGTGTAGCTGTTGGTGTAATCAAATTGATTTTGATTTTTTCATCAACACTTCTTGGAATATGATGTTTCATAGTGATCAAAATTGGTGCATTTGCTCGTGTATTTTTGATAACAATTGTTTGTTCGGTGACATTTGTTGATTGTTTATTGATAAAACCAGCTTGTTGATGATATTTCTTTGCTGGTTTATATTCGATTCGAATTCCAGTATCAACTCCAAGCGAACAATCAAATCTTCCTCCTGGTGAAACATCTTTGAGATATGTTTTGGCAATGAAAGCATTATCGAGGTAGATTGAAGCTTGACCAGCGAGGAATGCAAGATCTGATGTGTTGATTGCAGAAGCTGTTAGGAATGCAGATGAATTCTTTGATGGAACTGTTTGATGAACAAGTTGTGGATTAAGGTTTACAATTCCAATTGTAACTTTGTGCTCATCAGTGGAGTTTGGAATAGTTGCTTCTCGCAAAATTTTGAATTCTGTGCTTAATGCAGATTGTGTTACTTCTGAAGCAACCGCAACATCTAGACTTCTACTATCTTCTTCAACTCTCAATTCTTGTGGTGGTGCCGCTCCGAAAAGTCCAGCCCCTGACGCTCTCATCATCATGGGTTTCATTCTTCTCTCCATGAAATTCTGAACTCGTGGCCTCTCCACATAAAATTGCACATCAAGAGCTCCCAATTCAGGAATTCTACCACCAAGTGATGGTTTAGCAGTAGATAAAACAAGTGGAGCATCAACCCAATCTTCTCCAGTATGCTGTCTGATTTTTCCGAAATAGCTCAAGTTCATTTTCGAGTTCTCAGTATCTACTCGAATATCATAAGAGGGTGTCCAACTGGCATTATGGACTTGATAGATCACATCAAGTTCGATCGAGATTTCAGCTCCGGCTTCTAGAGTTATATAAGCATTGGTTGCGTATTGATATCTTTTTCCATTTTCGTGTTGATTCAAATCATTTCTCGCTTTTTGCTCGGCTTCGTTAGCTTTTTGGATTTCATTATCAAGATTTCTTCCGTCGATTGCAAGAACTTCCGCTTTTTGACTATAGAAATCAAAAAACTTGTCGATATTTGATAAAGTTGTATCATTCAATTCAAAACTGCCTTCTCCTTTTGGTGGATTTACAACTCCAGATCCAATTTGTGCAACCATCAAATTCAATGCTTCCAATCGTTTTGCCAAAATATTTTTACGATCCTTAAGGGCATTCAAAACTGCTTCTTTTTCCTGCATAACATTTCTGAGCACCGAAAGTTGCTCCGAATCACTGTCTTCCGTGAGAACTGGCTCATTTTTAACAATAACATCATGAATCTTCGCATTCCCTTTTCCTTCGACTCTCAATGAATCGTGAATTAAGCAACTTGTCACATTCTTCAAAACCAATTCATTGAATCCAGGTTTCAAGGTAGATTTAACGATTCGTTTTATTTCGGCACGATCATTGAAAACAATAACTTTGACGATTTTCTGCTCGCGAGCATCGAAATTAAAAACTGTTGATGGTGAGGACATCTGTATTTCTTCTGTAAGAAAAAAGGTTTCAATATTCAAAGGAAAAAATGAAAATAAAAATGCAGAGTAAACATATAAAATGTGACGATAAGCGTTGCTTTTATACTATTCGCTCGTTTCGAAAAAAACATTTCGCAATAAGTTTATGAATCATTCAGAAATACGAGAGACGCAGAGATAAAAATTGAACGAAAAAATGGCTTATATTTGTTTGTGTTCGACCTTTCCAATGATTTTCCGATTTCCCTAGATAACATTTTTTGGAAAAAAAATTGAACCTTTTTTTCTTTTATCCGCTAAATCCGATTTGTTCAAGAAGTTCTCAATTTTGCGATATTCAAATTCAATTTCTCCTTTTCTAACCCCTGAACTTCTACTTTTTCTGTTATTTTGCTTTTCGTTCATTCAGTCAAAGACACAAAATTCTTTGACACATGTTTCCTGTACTTTCTTGATTGGTTGGCTTGAAAGTCTCCCACGACATCAAGAATTTATTGCAAAATAAAAAATAAAACAGAGAAAGAATTCAGCTGAACAGAAGAACGCACGAATTTTTGATGAGGAAAGAAGTTGAATGAAAAAATTGATTGGTACATGAACAAAGATGAAAAAGTTAGTTATAGCTGTCTAGGATTCAAAAGTTTGATAACCAAATTCGTATAGGACTCACTACTTGATAGTTATAGGCGACTAGGAGTGACTGCTTGTTAGAAGTTAAATGAGACAAAGGCGCCACTACTTGACAACATGTTTTTCTAGATTTTGCTCCTTATCATCAAAATTATCTGAAATCCACTTCTTGAGCATAGAAATTCAAAACTTTTCAAAATACACATATTTTATTGCGATCAACAACCCGAAAATTAAACACAAAACACTGAAATCTATAACATGGGTGTGAACTCCTTCGGATCATCAAAATCATTATTAAAATCGCATAGACTCGGATGCGATGGCGATAGCAAATGTGGCGGAATCTTGGGAAGTTGTCTCCGCGGAATAGTTGGTGTCAAAATCGGGAATGACATTCCCGGAACATCAGCAATCAAATTAATTGTGTGATAAAGTTGACGTGGTGGTTTAGGTTTTGGTGCGCATTTCGCAATTAACTCGTTGATTGGAACAATTTCGGGGTTTAGCCAGATATAGAATATTGGGTTGAACATTGTGCTGATCCTACTCAAGATGACTGGCACAACGATAAATGAAATGCTCTTGAAATCTGATCGCATAGGATTAAGGCATACCACGGAATATCCAAAGAATGGGACAACTGACACCAAAAGGCAACCCAAACCAATCTTTGCAACATGTCCCTTAACAGCCCATGTACAAGTATCCTCCTTATTTCCAGCATCTGGACCATCTCTTAACATGTCCATTGAATTTTGTCGATCCACATGATCAATAATACTATAATATAACGAACTGGCAATGCAAACTGGGATAAGGAAAAAGACCAAACACGTGGCAGTTAAAAATGCGATATATCGATGAGCTGATATTCGAGACTCTTCGGAATTTGTGTCAATATTGCCTTGACGCCAATCAATTGAGCAGAATTGATTGTTATGGAAAGTGCTGTATTTTCCATAGCCTAGAATTGGGACAAAGGACCAGATTAGAACGGCAAGGAAACCAAAGGTGATTAGTTTGAAGTAGTTGGAATGACATCGCCATTTTCCTGGAAACATTTGAGATTTTTTTAGGGTTTCAAATCTTGATCTGTGATCAGGATTTTGAAATTTCGAATGGAATTTTAATTTTTGTCTAGCTTCTGAATGGCAAAACTATCAATTTAAATTTCCGAATTGCTACAGTAACCCCGTCTTGGTTTCAAAACTGTTTCTCCGACTTTCTCTCCGATAAAATTTTGTGGCCACGTCATAACTCAGGATTGCAAATTTTTGAACTTTTCAAAATCCCTTTAAAAGTTTGAGATCAAAAATCTGACATCTTGTCAGATTTTCCATCTCCTCCTACTCTTATTTTTTGCTTGCTCCAAAAAATGAGTTCCTTATTTTTCTGCTGATCCGTTTTCCTCACTCCAATAAAAAATGCAAGCTTTTTTGGAATAAAAAACAAAGTCCGTAGAGCTAAGCCTAAGATTCCTGGGAAGCTGTGTTCCAAAATACTATCGAATCTCACCCCATTTTGGAGCACACGTTACGATATATCGATCGAATGCGATGACGCAAGCCAGCAAAATTTCGCTGAGCGATAAAATCATATCCAATGCTCCATAGATGTTACAAGAGGTGTCCGTGAATGAGCCGCTGAAAAATATATTTTATTCGCATTTAAAAGTCTAGCCATTATGCTCTTTAATTGCTCTTCCAGGAAAATAGCATCATTTTTAATGAGCTCTTGGTTCCGGATGGAAATAAATAAAATATGCAAATTTGATCTAACTCACTCTTCGTATAGAAAATTATGAATTGGATAGATCAATTGAATTGACATCAGAATATCCACGAAGAGAAGAAGGATAAGAGGTTGAAGGCTTGGATTTCGTCTGAAAAATATTTTTAAAAAATTTCTTAGCACTCCCGGTTAATTTGTGATCAAAGTTCAACCAATTTTCGAAATGAAAAACAACATTTTTGAACTTTGCGCCGGAAGTTAATTGTTGTTGGAATTTCGGCGCGGAACAATCAAATTTGTCAGGATCTTCAAAAAATCCAGGAGACCCTTTTTGGCTTATGTAGGCTTAGGCTTTGTTGAAGGGTTAATGTTAGCTTGAGGCTCAGGCTTATTTTGTTCAATTTTTTCCACGTGGAAATTTGCCTCATTAAAAAATGTGTAACTTTCCACGTCATAGTCAATTTCTGAATTTCAAAAATTTAGTGCAGAAGATCAATACATATTTTGACCCCCAAAAATTCCACGTCATACCCCACTTGAACACTGATTTTTCGATCTTCTTGACCTTTTTTGGTGGTTGAAACCAACATACATATAAGCCTATTTTCAAATTAGGTTGGTTTCCTTTTCCTCTTCAGCTCCAGCTTTTTTTTCCGGCTTCTCTTTCGTTTTTTTGTGGCTCATTTCGATTAATTTTTAATTTTCAGGCAAAGATCATTTTTTTATTGTTTTTATTTATGATGACGAGAAAAAATGTTATTATTTTTATACCTATTTTTATATGGAAGTGGGAAAAAGTCTCAAATTTCCACGGGAAAACAAGATAACACGGTGTTTTGGCTCACCTGAAATTGATTTTCCTGCTTTTGGAGCCCGATTCCTCCTCATTTTTCTCCGATTTTTTGCACAAAAATCCACAACAGAAGAACGGAATGAAAGAGAACAAATTGAGGAGCAACGGAACAATGCCTGCAAACATTTTCGCAATTTTTCTCGCACCCCAGACGACAGTAACCTGGGAAACTTTTTTTTGCTGACAATGAAAACATTTTTGCTCTCTCTGAAAAATTCTATGGTTTTCTCACTCTCACAACATTATATAAGTACCCTAGTCAATCATTTTTTTGCTTGAGTAAAATCCTAGACATTTTTGACACAGGAGAAGAAGGAGGAGAAAAATAGAAATTCGTAAAAAGTTCTGTTCTCATGAATTTTTCAACATTTTTGATGTATTTTGGTGCCAGCAAAAAGAAGTGTTTTTTTTTGAAATTTAAGTTGCCAAGTTTTTTTTTTTTTGGAAAAAAAGGTTATGCAATTTTTGGTGTCAAAAAATTGAAAATTTTTCTGAATCGTCATATGGCAATAATTTTCCACGTGGAGTATTTTCGGGCAGATAAAAAAAATCATTTTCACAATTGTCAGAATTAAATTTGTTGATCAATAAGTTCTAAATTCTAAACAAAGTATTGACACCGCCAAATTCACGTGGCTTAATTTTATCGAAACTTTTGTCAAACCATCTCGAATCTTTCATGAAAACAAATATAACACGTGGCAAACCTTGAAAAATTTGAAGTTGAATAAGGTTCAATATCAAAATTTTCTAAACTTCAAGTTTTTCGAGGTATTATTAAACCCCAAGATGAGAATTCGGCTATAGATCAAAAACTTTTAGTTTTGTTTTTTTTTCTGAATTAAGAACCCACGTCCAAAAAAACTTCTGGAATTTTAAACGATTTTCAGAAGTTTGTAGTCAAATCCCGATTTTTAAAACTGATTTTATCAAAAGTATGTATTTCACAACGTGTAAATCCCATCAAAACTCACAAAAAACGATCAAATTAGTGGTCAACGATTGGTGATGTTTCATCTGAAAATTAATGTTCTCAAAAAATTGTTCTCAAGTGTTCTTCGACACAAAAATAAAACAGAGAGAAAATTTCGAGGCGCCTTCTTCATTCATTTTCAAATGGCCGGCGAACGAACAAAAACGGCTTAAAAAGGAGGCGGTTCACAAGCAGAAACACAGGGACAAAATATATATTGGGAAAGAGGCGGAGCTTGAGAGTTTTTATTGAGGCAGCTATGTTCGGAGAAATGAAGGGTTTTGGGGAAATCTACGTGGGAAAAAATGTAGATCACAATTTAAAATTGGAAAGATAATGTTAGCATTTCTCATGCTCAGTAACCTGGTTTTAGAGAATCCAAAAAGTTTTAAGCACAAAAAATGTATTCTTAAAAATTTTGTGAATAAATTCTATTGAAGCTTCAAAATCCACGTGGCGAAATTACAGTAGAAATAAACAATTATTTTTCTCAAACCGAATTTCGAAAATTCCACGTGGCATACTTCAGAAAATCCGAAATTTTATTAGTACGTGAAAGGTTTTCATAAAATGGCTTTATCAACAAAAGGTCCAAAAATTGGAGGTTGAGAGTTCTATGAGCACAGGAGATGAAAAAAATGAAATAATAGAATATCTATCCAAAATTGGTTATATGAAATTGGATACCCACTCTACAAAATGGAGATTTATGAATAAATGAATGAATGAATGAAAAAATACCTGATGTCATCTGAAAAAAAAATTTTCAGACACGAAAACGATTTTTTCAGCTGCTTTCATTCTCCCCTTTCTTCCCCTCCTCCAATTTTTCATCAAAACAAATTGATTGAAAAAATGGAGGAGAAAAAGGTCATTGGATTAAAAAAATGCTGCGGCCCCGATATAAATGAATAATTTCATTTTTTCGGTAGTCCTCGATTTTTTGCTTGTCGAAGATTGATTTGTTTTGGCGTCAAAAAAAAAACAAAAATAATGCATGAGCCACAACAACACAACCTTGCACTTCTGTTTTTTCTTTGCGAACGAAAAATTGGGTAATTGAACTGAAACTGCGGTGGGGTGAAGGGAGACAATTACGCGATTATCGCTGGAGCTGAAAATCCACGTGGCAAAACTTTGGATTTTTTGAACAGCTGAAAAATTGCGCAAAAAATTTTCTTGAAGTTTTTATGTTCAAATATTTTAATGAATTTAGGGTATCAAACTGCAAAGTGAACGTGAGCAAGACAAAGATTTTTCACTGAAAATTAGGAGTGCCTTAGAACTTCTCTTGAAAAATCTGGAATTTTGTGAAATAGAAATCCACTTGGCTAAAGAATATAGACCCTTTCCACGTGGCAATACTTTTTTTCAGAAAAACCCTTCTCTCACGAAATTTATGATATAATTTTCCAAAAATCCTATTTTTGTATTTCCTTATATTTTCACTTAATGGTATTTATAGTTAAATCTACTACATATGTGAAAAAAATACATAAATTTCCTATATCAATAAAATATAATTATTTCTAGATATCTGAAAATAACTGCAAAACAACAAGAAGCTGAAAATAAAAAAAATAAAAACTTTTTTTCATAAGTTGTTATTTTGGGCTCTAGTAGATATTTCGAAGAGACATATTATGTATAATGTTGATGTGGTCCGACATTTCCTTTTTTGCCTTTCTTTATGCATATTTTGGAGCTGCGCCGCACAAATTCCTTTTTTGCACAACAAAAGCGGCAAAAATTAGAAAAAAAATTGAAGAAGAAAAAAAATGATTTCTGGACGACGTGAGAACGAGTTGGTTCTTGAATTACATGTTGAACAGTGGGAAAATGATGGGGATTTTTGTTTTTTTGGGATTAGGAATTGCCCGAGGAAAGTGCTTTTTGTGTTGGCTGAAAAGATTATTTCTAATGGGTTACTGTAGATTTTGGAACGTTTTTTTGGAATTGAGAAAAACAGAACTTGGGGCCAAAATGCACCTGGCAAAGTTCTGAGAATCAAAATAAATTTAATGAGCTTCAGATTTTTCAAATATTTTGAAAATTACGGTAACTCAAAACTAAAAATTAGATCACATCATTTCGAATTTTTAAATCCGATGTTCAAAATCAATGTTCAAAAAACATCAAAAAATTTTTTGCAAAAAATTTCTCACAAACAAAAAAACTAATGATATTTATCATACATTTCCGTTTCAAATAAACAGAGCGAGAAAAAAATTCGCGAACAAAAAAAAGCGAAAAAAAAGAAGAATTATGTGGAATCATCATTAGTTAGAGGAACTCGAACAAAAAATCTTTTTTTTCCTATTCTTGTTCTTCTTCCCAAGATTTTTCGTGTTCGAAAAAAATGTTGCCAAAATTAGCCGGCTATTCTTCTTCTTCTTCTTCTTCTTTTTTATTTATTCAAATTCAGCCAGATTTTTTTTGGTTTCGCCAAAAAAACCAACCAACAAATATTGAGAAAAATACTATAAAGTATATATTTCACCTGTTCCTCGAACCGGAACTCAATTCAAAAAAAAAAGCCAAGAGCAAAATTTTAGTATAAGTGGAGGTGGGGGGCGAATTTTTTCTTTTTTTTTTCAATTTTTTTTCCAGAAAAATATCCAAAAATAAATATTCGTTAGCTTGTTTACCCTTTCTTTGATTAAAAATCTCTGAAAATCCAGATTTAATTTACGACCGACCGGAAAAACAACAAAAATCACACAAAAAAAGGATATTTCGGGATTCATTTAACAATTCTGGATTTTCAGAATTTTCAATAATTTAATGATCAATTCGGAGAACAAATGGATGAGAAATGAAAACAATAAATAAAATAATATAGGATTTCGTTGAAATTAATGCGGGTGACGTGGTAACTGAGAAATATTAGATGAAAACTAGGATGGCAAAAATAATGCAATAATACAACACTAGATATTAATCATCATATTCAGGGGGACTTTTTGTTCTGTAGTCTTGTTCTGTTATATTGTTGATGAAAAATATCATGTAAATCATAAAAATATTAACAATAATTATTGTGAATACAAGAAAAACTTTGCGAAGTTCACAAACAACCAAAACTAACATACTGTGATCTGAAAATTATACATTTCAAATTAAATGTCGAAGATAACTCAACCTCTTTTAAATTTCCATTTTTCTGGAACATTATCCAAATTAATTATACAATTATGAGTATTCGGTATATAAAGTGTTGCTTTTGAGATTTTCAGAAAAACCAATTGAGCCAAACATAAAACATCTGTAACAAGCATTACAAATATGTAAAGTTTGACATTGTAAGGCAAGTGTTTTCTTTTTGTGGTAAGTTTTTGCATTTGTAGATAATGCATAAATTGTATGAAAACAGTTATTATCAGCATATAAGATGACACAATAGTGGAGGAAAGTAAAAATGATGATACATTGAAAGCCAGAGATAACTATAAAAATATTTACATGAATATTTAAAAAATGCGTCGTTTACCATTGCAGGAAGTAAGAATAATTGAAAAACATTGTTTATATATGTATATTTCACACGAATACTCCCAAAGTTGTTCCCTATTTTTGATCCATATAAACAATTATGTTCATCTGTATTCTCACACAGTGGAGGTCGATAATTCATAAAAAACGTATTTTTATCGTGGCACCTGGGATCTTCGTCAAGATTTGAATCAAAAGTTATTCTCCATGTCTCATCATCAACAAAAACAAGTATTTTGCAATATCGAATATCATGTGGGAAGTACACTTGGTTCAAAGAAGATTCACAATCAAATTCATCTATAATGTCTATTTGCAGAGTTGTGAAAGAAGAATTGTCATTTTTCTTTTCGAAACAATACGATTTCTTTGTAGAATTACTTGTTGTAAGCGAGTATTTATAAGAACTTATTGACAAATTCTTAAATAGTTTTAGTTTTATTCCGATAAATTCTAACAAACTTGGATCAATATTCATATTTAGTGAAGTTATATCTGCATTGTGCCAATTGAAATTTTTATTAACCCATGTCTAAAACTTTCTAGAAATTCTCAGCTTTGCAATTATAGAACTCACTAATGAAATTTGCATTTTGACTGCAAGCCAACCATTGTTATAATACCTCTTCTTGATATTATCTATGCTAACAACAACATGATCTGATATACCACTTCAAAATTATATTTGATATTATTAATTGAAAAGATATAACTCACTCAAACCACCGTTTTCTTAAAATTGGATCTTTGATTATATCTTTTAGTTTTATTGTTTGGTTTTTCTCATATTCTGTATAATATTCAAGTTTCAAACCCTCTTGTTCAATAGAACCTGAGATAATTGAAAAACATAAGGATAAAATAACAAAACTGAAAATCATGGGAATAAAAATGGTTTACTTTAAGAAATATGACACTCAACTATAAATTGTTTATTTTTATAGCAATTCTTTTTTTACTGTCAACTTTACTGAAAATAATTTATTTTAACAACAATCTGCCATCTGATTATCAACAAATGGACTACCTGTGAAAATAAAATAGCCAACAGCTTCTCCAATCGCCAAAGCAATTATCAAATTCAAATTGTAGGTCATCGCAATCAACATCAATGTGTAAGCGATGAGAGTCTAAAATAAAAAAGAAATCTATGAAGTTTCCACGTGATAGCTTAGCTCACCTGAACACCAAAAAGTAAACCTTGAATAACTCGATGAGTATTCCAGAATTTTCTTGAGTTCTCTGCAAGATCTGATTCAAGTTCAACGGATTCCGAATTTTCACGATTCGCCAAAGATTCGTCAATCAATCGTTTTTTGTGTTGAACAGCCAAGTGGAGTCGTAACTTTTTACAACCCTCGTATAAAATGCAAAAAATGAAGGTGACAAACATGGCCACCGCGATTCCTTAATTTTTTTGTTGGAAATTTGGATTTTTTTGGGTCTGGAGAACTTACCGAAAATCGATGAGGTTTTCCACCATTTGAAAAGTATGGTTTCATGGTAGGAAAAGTGAAGCGTCATCTCCATGTCCATTCTGAAAGAATTACTGTATTTTTTACAAAAAAAAACCGATTAAACATTTATGTCATATTAAAAAATAAAAACAAATAACTAAACTTATTATCGAATGATGACCAGCGACAAAAAACAGCAGATGAATAACAAACAAATAACAGGAGTATTAGAGTTAGATAGAATGAGAGACACAGAGATAAAAAGGGTTGGAAAAGGAACGCTGGGGGAGTAAGTAAGAAGTGTTATTTTGTTTATCTAGTTTTTAGGGGGAAAATACTGTAGTTTTATAACGTGGCAATATAGGAGAGGAGAATTCACAGAAAAAAATGATAATAATTTATAGTTAGTTAGCTGTCATATTTCTAAACTATTCTGTTCAGAAGTTTTGAAAATAATTTTATAATATATTTTCTAGTTTTATTAAAGGAATGAGGAATTTTTCACTGTTTCAGAATTGTTTTCAATATTTTGGATTGAATTTATATTTGATGCAGTGACATATTCTGAATGATAATTGAAAAATGATATGTTTCACTGTGTGGTGTTACCCACCCTTTTTTAACGTGAACATTAGTTGAGTAGGTTGATGAAATTTTTAATGATTGAAGAAAATCTGAAGTATTTCTTGTGTGAGTTGTAGCTCAAAATTGAAACAGCGTAGATCCAACTTCTAATTTAATTCATTCCAATTTAACCAAAATCAATGCAAAATCATTTATAGACAGACATACAAGTACAAAGATAAATACAACACAACAATTGAATAAAAAACAAATCACCATCCAGATATCTAATATCCTGGTGCAGTTCTTGGTGGTGGACAATGATCGCAACCGCCTCCCTCTCCTGGTTGTCCAGCCTCTCCTGGTTGTCCATCCAATCCTGGTTGTCCTGGTGCTCCATCACTTCCAGCATCTCCGATTGGTCCTTGTGGCCCATCTTGTCCTGGTTGTCCTGGTGGACCAGCTTCTCCATCTGGCCCAGATTCTCCTTGTGGACCTGGTGGTCCTGGTGGACCTGGGGGAACAGCGACTTCTTCAACAATTCCGTCTGGACCTGGTTGTCCTGGTTGACCTGGTTGCCCGTCTTGTCCTGGTGGCCCTTGTGGTCCGTCTGATCCTGGTTGACCTGGTTGTCCAGATGTTCCATCGTTTCCTGGAGCTCCATTATTTCCGTTTGGTCCCTTTGGTCCTGGATTTCCTGGTGGCCCTGGTGGTCCAGCTGGGCAATCAAAGCAGAAGTCATCAGCAGTTGGCACAGCTTCTGGAGCAGCGTCTTGTCCTGGATGTCCATCTGGACCTGGTTGTCCGTCATTTCCGTTAGCTCCGTCAGTTCCTGGCAATCCTGGTGGTCCAGCTGGGCCGACACCGCAAGAGCAGCATTGTCCACTGTTGCTTGAGACTTGTGGATTTCCCCCAACAGCTACATCATCTCCATATCCTGATTGACGTTTAGCGATCTTCTTGACACCCTTGATCTTCTCATATTGCTCGAAGAGTCCATTGGTGCGATGAAGACAGAAATCGACCTGGAATTTAGATGGTTTAGATTAACAAAAAAGGATTGAAGTTCAACTGAAGGTGTTAGGAAGATTTCAGATTCGGACAGACTTCATGACTTATTTCTAGACTCCGTTAAGTTCAGGCCAATCCGAGATTTTAATTCAGAGCAGCCTTTGTTAGCTTGAAACAAAACTCTGTTTTAATTGAACAACATTTTCTGATAGACCCATCAAAATGAATTTATAGTTCACGAAGCCTAAGTAGTTATCATAACTAACCTCAGTTTGCAAAGAAGATTGCACATGTTGCATATAATTATACAAAGAAGGAATGGCAACAATAGCAGTCAACGTAGCTATAGTACTAATACAGATTCCGAAAAATGCAATCTTCCGCAATCCTTCCGCTTCCGCCATCAATTGTTTATCGTCCTTCATTGTTATTATATTTTCAGCAAAAGTCTAGAAAACTTTGCTGAATGAATGAATGAATGTTGCTTTGCCACCGGTTGCGTTGACTTTTATATCGCATCATACGGCTTAAACAGTTCATTATCTCTGCGTCTCCGTATGGTTTTTCAAAGATGGTATCTTTCGAAAGATTGCCATCTTTTCATGAAGCGGGTGATGAGATGGTGTTAAGCTTGAATAAATATAGTTTTTTTGTGTGTTTGAAGTGAAGTGATCGGAGATCAGCAATATTTCAGAACAATGAAATGACAACTTGGTTTTTGATGAGTAGAACTTTTCTGAAAATTGAATCAATACTTAATTATGTAATATCAAATTTTGTAGGAAAACTCAAATATATACTCAAAAACCAGATAAAAAATGACATGTGGACAATTTTCAAACTCAAAAGTTTCTCCAGTTTCTCCCAAATCAAAAAACATAATTTTTGATCCTCAACATACATATTTTTGATTTCATTTTATTTGTTCAGTGTTTTTGAAGATCTATTCAATATTTACTCAAGTTTTGAATCCTTCGATGACACCGAAAAAAACCCCGATTTTTCAGTTCAAAAACTTGTCAATCTTGTCTGAAAATCGCCACGCTTCTTATCAATAGCAGGCAGAAAATCGGATTTTCTTCATATTTTTTTTCAAAAAAAGTGTCTGGCTGGGTATTTTGCAACATTCATTTCATTGCCTCAAAGTTTTCTTAAAATTAGCGATTAGAAAAAAAACTGAAGAAGATGTCTATCTTTTTTTGAAACATACATAACAACACAAAAAGCGGTGATTTATGAGAAAGTTTTTTTTGTATTTGGTTGAAACAAAATTAGTGTAATGCTTTGATTTGTGATTTTTTTTTGAATAAGGAAGAGGAAGAGGAAATGAATTATTAGGTGAAACTGAAAAATTGGGAGATTTCGATTTTCGAGGTTATTTTGTGGTTTGGGAAGGTTTATTTCTAAACTCTTTTTCAGAAACTCGAAAATTCAAAATTTCAAGCTTTTCAGAAAACAATTTCAAAATTGCTTTGCCAAAGTTACAGGTGCATAGGTCAGATGAACAAACTGCCATGTGGCACTTTTTTCGGAAAATTTTCTCAATCGGGAAATTTTGACACGTTGCAAAGTTCTGAAATTTCCGACTAAAACATATATCGGAAGTTCTGATTTTTGAGCCAAAAATCGAATTTTTTGACTCTTCCGGAAACACAATATATTTGCTCGTCTCATTATCATTATTATCATTATCATCCTAATTGATTTCCGTTTCAATTTTTTGCCTGCGACACACACACACACAACTTTTTTTCGCACCTTTTTTTCGCGCCGCACCGCGCAAGAAAAGCTCTTCATTATTATTTTTTTGATTATCGATATTATAAAACAATAATAAATAAATAAATAGAAGAAGCGATTAGGCCATCACATAAAAAAGTACGGGGCTGGTCCTTGAGAGTTTTTTGTTTGCTCTAAGCTCCGCGCTCCGCCTACTTTTTTTGGAGGCGGTTTGGCTGGACTTCTTGGCTGAGATTCAAAACACAACACTTTGTTTTTAATTTTTTAGTAGTTTTTTGGCGAAAAATTATGAGAAAATCGGTTTTTGTTTGGATTTTTATTGGTGTTTTTGTAGTTAGTGAGGTGAGTTTTTGATTACTGTAGGTTTGATGCAGAATAAATGTTTGATTTGCAGAAAGCTTTGCAGAAGCTCTAAAAACGTGGCAAAAACTTTTATCCAAAAATTTAGAAAAAAAATTCTGGAACCGAAAATTAATACATTTTCTCTGAATTTTCTCCGAAGTTTCAGAATCTCAACAAATCTGAAATTATAACCGTCTTTCAGAAAAAAAACAGGAAAAATTATATGTAGATCCTTTCTTCAAAATTTCAATCCAAACGTTTTTTCCCCGCAGATAAGCGCCAAATCCGCACCTCGATCGAAACGACAATGCGGATGTGGAGGACCAACTCGTCCTCAAATGTCTTGCAAATGTCAACCAGTCGCTTCCGTTCAAATTTCCGCTCAACGAGTTTGTTCCTGTCAGCCTATCATGTAACAATTTTTGGAGGGAATTTTTGAAAAAATCTGAATTTTGATACATGAAAATTTCATCGTTTCAAAAAAATAGATCTTATCGATTTGAAAAAATAATAGAAGTAGTATATTTTTTTGTAAAAATTCGATGAAATCTGTGCCATAGAAGTCTTTCATCGTTTAAAAATTATTTTTTTTCGGAAATATTCTGAACATTAATCAAAAAAAAATTCACTGTTTCAAAATAAAAAAATATATTCCATTCTATCTGGGAACTATATTCGATGCACCATGTTAAATTTATTTCATATAAATCAGAAAAAACCCACATGGCACATATAAAATTTCACTGTTTCAAAATTTTCATTTACTCAAAAATGTTTTGGAATTTTTTAATATTTCGAACGTTATCAAAAATTTACGAACAATGAGTCGCTTAAACTAGGCACAGTCTAATTTACTTCAACCCTCAACAAGTTTTAACTGTTTCCTATATATTAGAAAACATATATTTTTGCAGTCTTGCAACTCAACCAAAATGCGGTTGTCGTGCTCAATCTTGTTCCAATTCATGCCGTTCAATTTGTCGACCAACATGCTCGAATTCTGCAAATTCTGGAACATCTGGAATTGCGTGCCGATTAATGTGCCAAAACACATGCCAAAACGCTTGTCAAAATAATCAAAAGAACTCGGGAGTTGTGCTAAATTCGCCAACTCAAAATTCATCGGTTGTAAGAGCTGTGGCTGGTGCAAATTGTTTGAATGATTGTAGTAACCAGGTTTGATATTTTTTCCGAATCCCAATGTTCTGCATCTATTCATTTGCGAAAAAAACCGAAAAAAATGTATTTTTTTACAATTTTTTTCTATTCACCAAAATGCACGAAATAAATGTCAATCGTGACGAGACCCACACACATTTCAAGGAGAAAAATATGCGAGAAAAAAAACAAGAAATGAAATTTTCGAAAGCATGCATTTTTCACACTCGTTGCCTTGAAATGAGTGTGGGTCTCGTCACGATTGCATGTATTTCGCGACAATTTGTGATTTTGGTGAATAGAAAAATATTGTAAAAAAATACATTTTTTCGTGTTTTTTTGCAAATGAATAGATGCATTCCACTCAAAAATCAATAATTTTAGTGCTCCAATGTTTGTCAACAAAAACAATTCGGCTCAAATCAGTGTTCCAATTCGTGTAATCAATCTTGCTCAAGAGTTTGTCAAGCAAGCCCAACTTTTTCATCGCCGTCTTCTACAACAACAAACGCACCTAGCACAAAACAAGAACCACTTAAGGTAAGTGAGAAGGAAAACTTGGTTTTTGGAATTGGAAAAATTCAGGAAACTGAAAATTTTTGACGCTAAAAACTGTTTTGTAAGTTTGACTGTTTAAAACTTTGTTGAAAAACAATCTTAAGAGTTGTTTACAATAACATTTGCGAAAGAAACACTCAATTTCAAAAATTGAATATCGAGGAAAATTGAAAATGTTCAGACGATTCTCGAAAAAAAACGCATAATTTTCCCTTCAAACACCCTCCGATTTTTCCAGATCAATATAAAAGTTATGGACAACGATGCGAAATGTATGGATCAATGTCAAACTTCGTGCACTCCTAGTTGCGCACCAGCGCAAGCTCCACAAGCATGTGCAGCAGTTTGTCAAAACACATGCGCCGGATTGTGTCCAATCACTCAAGTTCCTCAGAATCAACCAATTTCTACTACCAGCACACCGGAACCCATCAAAATCAAAATCCAGGTTCAACAACAACCTGCTACAGTATCTCAACAACAGAATCCGAGATCTACAGTAGCTCAAAGCCAGGTAAATTTTTCGAAAAGAAATGTAAAATAACCCCAAATAATTATAGAATTCTTGTTTGAATCAATGCCAAACTGGATGCACTTCTTCGTGTGTTCAACAAAATCCACAACCAAAAGAGGGATGCACGGCAAGTTGCCAAAATACATGTAATGATGTGAGTAAAAGGGTTACTGTAGTTTTCTGGATAATTTGGGAATTCTGCGAATCAATTTTCAGTTACAAATTTTTGTCATAGATCCACTTAAAACTCGGGTTATCTATGTTAGACTTGATAACTTCATAACTTGAAAAAATCAAAATTTTTTTATTTCATAATCCAAGAAAATTTTTGAAATTCATTGTCTGAAAATTTTCGTTTAGAAATTAGATCAACTGCTTCCAAATTTTCATATCAATTGTTTATTCCATATACATATTCGAGTTGTTAAAACCCAAGAAGTCAAAATATTTTTTTTATAAGCTCAAAAATTATTTAAAAATGTTCGTGAAAAGCTATTCTCTCAATATTTTCTCAACAACCCTTCTAACCAAAATATTTCAGGTTTGCGCTCCCCAAGCATCAGATATTCCATCAACAACATCTACCACATCTCAACCTTCAACATATCCAGTTCTTCTTGATCCACAACAACGTTGTTCTTCAGAATGTCAGTCGGTTTGTCAAATGGCTTGTGTCACACAAAAACAATCAACACCATCGCAATGTTTGGATAAATGTGCACCGCAATGCGATAATGCTTGTGTAAGTCCGCAAGTTCAACAAAACTCTGCACAATTGTTCACTAATCAACCTTTGCGTATCAATATTTCATTGGCACCTTAACGATCTTGAGAAAACTAATTTTCCCAATTTTTCTGTATATTTTTGCAAAAATTCTCAAATAATATTATACACATACATATATATTTATTGAAATAAATTATTTAAATGTTCAAAAATTCTGATCAAAAATCTGGTAAATCATCGCTATCAATTCCAAAATATTGCACAAAAAAGTCAAAGTTGGAGAATAGAATGTGTAGTTTAGTAATTTTGTGAATTTTTTTTGAGAAGAACATTTGATTTGCTAACTAAAAAAAGTATTACATGAGCAATTTTTAGTGAAATGTCTAATTAAATTGGATCATCGAGAAAAAGAAACAAATATTTTTGTTTTTTTTTTGAAAGAGTGAATTTTTTGATAGAAAAATTAATTTCCTGGTATTTAAAAAAACTTTATTCATGACATTTCCAAATAAATGTGATTAAAAAATAATATGAAAATTTAGAATCGACTAAAATTAAAAAACCCGCAAAATTTCAAAAAAAATTGATTATCAGATGCAAACAAATGCGAGTTTTCATTATTTATAGATAATGAAATTTACACGTTCTTGTTGTCCCCTTGTTTTTCTTCCTCGGTTTTATGAGAATTTGGTGGGGAAAGTGGGCGAGCAGCGGGACTTCTCACAAATTTCCCGGTAGTCCCTGGACGAATTGAGATGTTGGAAGTTGTCGCTGGACGATCGGCTTCCGGAACTTGACCAACTCGGCGAATGTTTGCGGAGTCGGCTTGCGAGATTTTTGGGAGTTGGGGTACTGTAGATGCGGCGGACGCGGTGGAACTTCTGGAAATAATTGGATTTTCGGTGCTTTTTGGGAAAATTCGGATTTTCATATCAAAAAACATGTACATTGTTCCCATTGAAAATTGGATTTTTGAGTAAATTTTGGTGTAATTACAGAGTTTTTATTTTTAAGCATATTTGAAAATTTATATTTTATTAATTTTTCTCGAAAAAAATCACTGTTTCAAAGTTTCTACCCATCTGCAAATGATTTTGAGGTGTCTCAACAGTTATTTAGCCCTTTTCTTGAGCTTTCGTTTCCTGTTTTTCCCGAATCTTTGGCTAAAATACAATTTTGGAATTTTTGGGAAAGCCATTCCATCTTTTCTTTAAATTCAAACTACCTAGCAATATGTTTTCACTGTTCGAAAAAAACCCCTATACAACAAATCCACATTTCTCACTTTATTTTCGTTTTTTTTTTATTTTCCAGATAATCCCATTATGCTCATAAAAATATCAATCAAGAACTACAATTTTCTCTGAAAATCCCCGAAGAAAAACAAAAACATAAAAAAATAGGTGGGTGAAAAACACGATTTTTTCATGTTCAGATAGTGAAAAAGAAATATAATCAAATTTGTCGAGTTTTTTGTCAAGTATTAGTGTTCAGTCAAGGAAAACAAGGTTTTTCAGATTTTTTGCTGAATATTTTTTCTGGGAATTTCAGACTATTTAATGTTTAACGTCTACAATTTTTTCGGATTCACCAAACAATTGAAATTGAGAATGGAAACTAATAAATCCAGACATGTATCGATTCCAAAAATTTTACAACCCAAAAAATGTTACCTTATCGACACTCGATCCACTTTTTCCTCAATAATTTCGATTTCTTCTTCTTCTCTCGGACTTTCAACATGATATATAGTTTTGTCTTGAGTGAATAAATCCATCTGAATTGCAGTCGAACCTGATCTTCGTTCACGTTCACTTTGAATTGATCGACGAGCTGTGCCTACTGAAAAAAAATTTAATTTTCGGTGGGAAAATTGAAATAAAAAATTTTCTTTTCAAAAACTGGAAAATTGAAAAATTCTGGTATCAGATTTTTTAATTTTTGGTCCAAACTATTTTGGGCGAAATATTTTATAACCATTTCTCGATAAGATTTCTTAAAAATAACTCACACCTACTCGCTGGCAAAACCTGATTATTAAAATGTGATCCAGTTGAATTCCTCTTCATCAAATTATTTCCCCTAATATGTATGACATTATTAATTGCTCCTCCACCAATTCCACCATTTCCAATTGTCCCATTCAATCCATTTCCATTCTTCATAGCTTCTTGCTCTTCCAACCTTTTCAATCTTGCCGCTTCTTGTCGTTTTTGTCGACTTTTCGATTTCGCCAACATTTTCCATTTGGTGATTGCTTTGGTGACAGTTTGAAATGTCCTTGTTGATAGCGGTTTTTCAAGAACATATCTCGCCACATTTGTTCCAGCCAAACCATGTTCAATAACATCCGCACCAATTTGTTCTTCATAATCAGTAACTCTGAGACCCAATGGTGATTTACTTATCAAAAATAAGGCTAAAAAACCAGCTGTGGCGGAATAAAAAACAATTGTGACAACACATAGAGCTTGGACACCAAGCAATTTGAATTCCCAAGAATACAGAATTCCTTGCATGTTATTTGTGGCACTCGATAAATATTTATCCTTTTCGCAGAATATTCCAACGGCTAACATTCCCCAAATTGAACTGGTTAGATGAATTGGAACAATTCCAACTGGGTCATCGATTTTGAAACGATCTAATAGTGGAAGAACACTGATTGAGAAGACTGAGGAGATTGAACCGATTATTAGAGCGTGCCAGGGACGAGAGACTGCGCACAGAGCTGGAATATTATATATTTTTTGAGAGGCTGAGATTGTTTTCGACAAACAAATATAATAACTCATTTCTCAAATATAAAAATACTTTTGAAACAGTTTCTTTTTCATTAACAAGTCAACGTTGGTATAGAAAAACAATTCAATAAAATATTTTTTTTTTGATTGTGAATCAAAAAATTAGAAAAAACTGCCTTCAATTGATTTACACCAATTGTCCAGAAAACTTATGTAATTTTGAAACAGTGATTGTTTCAACTAGAAAAATTAACGAACAGACTTTTTCCGAAATGTCAGGATTTCGCAGCTGAAAATTAGAGCTTTCTATGAAAATATATAGAGAAGTTTTAGGCTTTGAATGTTTGCTTAGTACAAAGAAATCCACGTGGAACTTTAGAAAGTTGTAATAACCAGCGAAAAATATACGAAATACCCAGACATTTATAAGATTACTAGGCTAAAGTCTACGCTCAGAATTTAAAAATTTCTCGTTAAAAACCCAAAAGGAAATTTCGAGATTCTAAGACAAAAATCCACGTGACAAGGCTTCCATGGTTTCAGTTTTTTCCAATTTTCGACGCAGAAAATCCATTAGAAAACTCACCAGTAATCGAAACGATCGACGACAAAATCCCATTAATCAAAAAATTGACTTGCAGTTTTTTCGTCTTCACAAAACTGATAATAATCGCCGTGGCCCCGCCTCCAATCGAACTCATAATTGTCGCAACCGCAGCGCGCGCACCCAACCTCCATCTTCCGCCTGTGATTCCCCAAACTGATCCCGCATTTATGCCAAACCATCCCCACCACAACAGAAATGTTCCTAAAAACCGCAGATTTTTGGATTTTTAGATTAAAGGATTTTATATCAAAATATGTACCTAAAAGAGCATTTGTGGGGCTGCTCATTTGATGAACACTGTCCTCGTTGAATCGATTCCGCCTGGGTTTTAGATAAACTGTCGCCACAAGACCTATCACACCGCCAACCATGTGAACCTGAAATTAATTTTTTTAAATCAAAATGTATTGATTTTGGTGAAAAATTGAATTTGTCACAATTTCGGTACATTTTTCTACGTAATCAAACTTACTTCCAACCATTTTAATTCGTTAAAATTTCGAAAATTACAAACTGAATGAAAATTATTTATCAATTTATGTCTGAGAAAATTACGTTTCAAAATTATTTCAATTAAAATAATAGTACAATTTTAATGATAATACTTGTCCTGATGCCCCATCAAAAAAAATCAGAAAAAAATATTCGTTTACAAATTGTAAACGAAATTACAATTAGATTCAACTTTTAACTCACCGCCGAGCAACCTGCAAAATCCACGACTCCCAGTTTATAGAAGAATCCTTCTTTGTCCCAAACCCAATGAGCTGGCAATGCTTGAATCAATATCACTATACAACCCAGTAGAATATAAGATTTCAATTTCGCTCTTTCCGCCACAGCTCCAGATACAATTGTAGAAGCAGTGGTTGCAAGTGAAAGTTGGAACAGAAATGAGGCATACGACCAGCCTTCTTGATTAATCGTGTCTTTTTCCCCAAATTCTCTCGTTGGATCATAGAAGAATTTACCGAAGCCGATGTATTGATTGCGAAACGGCTCGTAGTCTCCATAAGATAGGCCGAAACCAATAGACCAATAGGCGAGGCCTCCGAAAACAACATCAACCACATTTTTCACCATGATATTGACTTCATCTTTTGCTGAAACGCTTCCTGATTCAAGAAGACCAAATCCTGAATGCATTGTGAAAATGATGAAACTGCTTGAGATTATCCAAACCGCGTCGTCTTGATACAATTTGTCCACTTCGGCAGATGTATGACCTTCCGCATAATGATGGATTTCTGGAATAAATGCCCTGTAGTGATGGAAAAACGAGAAAAAATCAGTTTATAAACAGTTTATATTCTCAGCAATCCGTCCCGTAATTACATTGTAAAAATAGCGTTTCTGTAACGAGACTAGGGTTCCGATGTAATTACAAACTGTTGATTTTCACTGTTTGTAATTACATCGGAACCCTAGTCTCGTTACAGAAACGCTATTTTTACAATGTAATTACGGGACGGATTGCTGAGTTTAAATTTACTGATTTTTTGCGAAAAATAAAAAGAAGACACGGCGATTTTACAACTCGTTGGGTCTTGTGGCGATAAGCGGTGGCATAGCGGGAAAAATATTTTCAAATTTTTCATTTCTTTTTTTTTGTTGCATTTTCGTTTTTTTTCCACATCATGTCAGCCCAATGAAAATTGGCAATCGGTGAGAGTGAAGGAGACTTAGAGAAAAATAGATCAAAGGTACATTGAAAATTGTGGGTCTGAAAATCCATAATTTTTAAAATTGCGCTTGCTAAACATATTTTGTTGCGAAAAAAATTGAGGATCACTTTTAGTCGCTTGGCACAAAGAAAGTTCAAGAATCAATTCCTAAAAATCAATCAAAAGCCTATTTCAAAATTCCACAAATCCTAGACCCACAAATTTGACTCGCTGTAGATCACGCGCGATTTCAATATCTTTTTCGTCTCTTTCACTCTCACCGATTGCTTTTTGACATGTTGTGTTTCTGACTTACGGACAATTTGCATTGCTGACGCATTGATAATCGACGTTTCAGACATTGTTTTTTGTTTCAGGCTTCAACTACTCAATCATTCTTCCTTCAAATAATATATAAAGATAGAAAAGAATAATAAAATATGAATAAATAAATTGGTTGGTTGGGAGAGAAAATCTGGAAAAAAAGAAAGAATAATAGGAATATTTTCAGATGAAGGAAAAGAGAAAACAGCTGAAAATGGAGCTCGAGGACATCGAGCAATTTTGTCAAGGAGAAAACGAATGAAGAAGGAGGAGGAGGAGAAGATTGATGTGAAAATGAGGAAAAACAAGGTAGTTATTACAAAATTTATGGGTGGGGAGGAGATATTTTGGAGGGGGTGGAGAGTACGGTATGTGGGACACTATTTTCCAGGACTTAATGGTGTCAAATTTTTTCGTAGGTTTATGGACATTTTTTATATTATAAAAAATCCACGTGGCACCTGGCTCTAAAAATTGCTCAAAAAACAACAAAACATTACGAAACATGATTTTTCTCCAGCGGAAATCCGGGCTGGTCATTTTTCCCCGAACCGAAATTTCGAGATGTTTGTTTTTCAAAAAAAAAAACACGAATTTCAGAACACTGATCATCCAATTCCAGCTTAACTTAATACAAATCCAATCTTTCTTTTTTTCAAAAAGAAAAAAAAGTAATCAGTTTATCTGCTTCCCCCAAAAAATACTAAAAAAAATGAAATTTTTCGGCCGATAAGATTAACATTTTTCACATATTATTAGTAATACATACATATATAGGAAAAATGAAAGAAAATTTTCCGAGAGCAGAAAAACTTGGGAAAAGTAAGTGAAAAAACAAGGAGAAGCTTGTCTGACAGCGAACGAAAAAATGAAGAAGGAGAAGAAGAAAATAATTTCGTTCCAGACCAATTTTCCGGCTCATGCATGTTCCAAGGAAAAGATTTTTGTGTGTTTGAAGAAAATCACAAAACAAAAAAAAACAAAACACTTGTCTTGTCTTGTCAATTTTAATCAAAAATGTGCACTTTTTGGCAAGAATCTTTGAAAAAATATTGAAATTTTGGCAGGCTTGGGGGCGTTTATTTTATTTATGGCGCAATTTGGGTTGAAATTAAAAATGAGATTGGTTTTTTTTGGGCGTGATTTTCAGGCTGAATTATTTGAAAATAACTAGAAATGCAATATTCAACAGATCAGAATTATTTTAAAAAATTTGAATTTATAAAATTTTTGAAAACACTCTAAAAAAAGTTCGTAAATTTTCCAAAGCCAGAAAGAAGTTCCAAAAAATAACCCGGAACTTCTTTGCTCTCACAATTTAGGTCAAAAGCCACCCACAATTTTTTTTATTCAAAGAATTACCTCGAAAATTCTCTAGTTAGTTCAAATTGCCGCCCTCTCAAAACGGACTTTTTATTTCTTCTGCAAAAAATGGAAAATCTGGAAAAAATGCAGAAAAGAGATTCGAGGGAATCTCTTCTTTTGTTGAGTGAAGCGAAAAAAAGAATAAGACTAACAAACGATCCAATTTTTTGAGAAAAAATAACAATGGACTCGGCAAAAAATAAAAGAGATCGGATTCTCTCTAAAAAAAATTTTTTGAAAAAAAATCCAAAATTTAAAAATTCAGGAGAAGGTAACAAAAGTTGAACTAGGGTCTTGAGATTCGAAAATCAAAATAGCAATAAAAAAGCGACGAGATAATTGCTGTAGAAATCATAGGTTTTCAGATTTTCTCGGATAATTTACAGCCTTTTCAGCGAGCCAATGAAAAAATGAATAATGTATATATGAAAAAAGCGTTGCTATAGAGAATAAGAAAATGTCTTAAAAAGGGAGGAAATCGGGGGGAGCATTGAAGCGCGAGATAGTGAGAGAGTTGACAGAGAAAACATAAACACACATATGTTGCACTTAATTTGAAATGGGATGGATGTCCAATAAAAAAAAGTTCGAAAAATTCCGATTCGAGACAAAAAATTGGGCCCAAGAGTATGATAAATTCATGATAAGTACGAGAAACGAAACTTTGATCCATAAAATTCACAATTTTTTTAATATAAAATTCCAGATTTTAGAAAATTGAAGGCTACTGTAGAGTTTCATAAAATTTCATGAAAATTCAATTCTCTTTACAGCTTTTGTAGATCAAACAATTATCTAGGTTTCCAAGGTTTCGAAACATTCTGGAAATTCTCAGAATCCCATTTTTCATAATTTTAAAAATTTCAGAGTTTTCTCAGAATATCTAGATTTTAGGTACTGTATCCGGCTACAGTTTCCAGGGTACTGTAGATTAATATTTTTTGAAAAGCAGTCTAATAAAATCATTCAGAAGTCTAAAACAAATTCACAAAAATATAGAAAATGACCAGATAATTTTAGAAATGTTCTTTTTCCTTATTCCTAAAAGAAATGATAAAAAATTCATCTCTGATAATAAATTATTTACGTTTGACCAAAACGTGACCCAATTTTGAGATATAAAAATGCGAGAATCACCCAGAAAATCATTTTTTTTGTGACAAAAATAAAATTTGAGTTCAAAACATATTTCAAAAGAAAAATAAGGGAATAAATGAAACAAACGATTTTTGTCTGCTTTTTGTTGGTCTGCAATTTGACTGGAACTCAAGCTGAAGAGTGAGTTGAAAAAGGGGAGAGTACTGTAGGTACAGTATACCTTTATACTTTGAGAGGGAACCTACCGTAATATTACCAGATTTTATTTTGACAAAATTTTGCTGTTTCAAATAATAAAGAAAAATTATTTGAAAAAAAAAGTCTACAGTGATTGTCAATCCCGTGAATTCTAAGTAATTTTTCTAATTAGATCCGAAAGTTCTGAAAGTTCACTGCTTAAAAAATATTTTATGTAAAAATCTGGAAAATAACGTACAGTATTATTTTTCATATATCAGCAACCCGAAAAAGTAAATTATTCATTCACTTTTCTTTTATGTTAGGAACAATACTATAACCCAGCTCAATTTTGACGAGAAACAATATAAGAGCACTTTAATTTCATCAGGCAAATTTTTTGAAAATAATAAAATCATTTTGGATAAATTTTTGTACTTTCACAAAAATTTCCAATTTTTTTATTTCATTCAACAATATTGTACAACACATTATGAATCAGATTCATTGTACAGATTTCAGTCCTCACAAAATAAAATAAAAATATTTATTCTAAAGACAAAATAAGTGTTATTTTATGAAATGTACATAACTCAAGATTTTTCTGAATTTTGTACATTTTGCGAAAAAAATGTACGAGAATAGAAAAATTGGGCAGAAGTGTACATTTCGAAAAAAATAAAACCGAGCAATTTTTCACGTGAACATTGTCAAATGTACTGTTTTTCCGGTTTTCTCTTATTTTGTACATTTTCCAGCAGACATTTTTTCCGGTGATTCTTGATTCAATCAATCCATTAAATGACTTTGCTAGGTAATCTCGAGTAAATGCTGCTGACAAATATTAGGCTTCCAGTTTCTATTCAACAGAGTTTGATTTTTTCGTTCTGACACTCAGCGATTGGGAAATTTTGAAAATACAATACAATCTGTAAAATGTGAATGTCTCATAATGAAACAATTATGCAAGAAAACTCACTCCAACAAGATCAAAACTTCCCGAAAATGTGAAAAATAAATGATAAATTTTTTGAAATGAAATAAAAATGAGCTGGAATGAAGAGGTCATTCAATTTTACGTGAAAAATTAATATGACGTGGACTGCATTTTCAGTTTTATTTCGAATTTTCTTGGTTTCTTTTTCTTATTTTTCACATGGATTAGTCCCTTTTGATCTTGTTGAGGTTAGTTTTATCAATAATTTTGTTTCTCACGAGAAATTTCCATTTTACAGCGTATTTTTTCAAAAGAATCCGAAGGATGATTGTTGCCAAAAAAAATAAATCGGTCCAAATCACCCCAAAACTAATTTTGAGGATGAATATCATCAACAGCATTTACTGGATATTCGCTAGCCCTACGATGGATTGATAAAAGCGACAAAAACTACAAGAATCATCGAAAAAAATGTCTGCTGGAAAATGTACAAAATAAGAGAAAACCGAAAAAACAGTACATTTGACAATGTTCACGTGAAAATTTTTTCTATTTTATTTTTTTTTCGAATTGTACACTTTTGCCCAATTTTTTTTATTTTTGTACATTTTTTTGGAGAATCTTGAATTATGTACATTTTTTCGATATGATTTTTTGTTTTCCAATTTTTTTTTACATTTTTAAAAAATGTAATATTCTTTTATGTTTTTGTTTGAAAATTGAAAAATAAATTTTGCTTGTACATAAATATACTGTTTTTTTCTGCAAACTATATAAAAAATTTGCCTGATGAAATTAAAGTGCTCTTAATATTAAGAAATTTCACATTTTCAGAAAAATTAGAACTCCGTGAAAATCCTTTAAAAATTACAGTACTCATATCGAATGTGCCACGTTTGATACAACATTCGAAATGCTTCATCATCCTCGATTCTCAAAAAATCATCTCACTCAAAATTTCGAGTATCAATTGGATAAAAGTTTCGAAAAATCTGTCGATTCCACGTGTATTTTCAGTATGGAATTGAAACACAAAACAATGAATGGAAATTCGTGCGAGTGAGTTGATCTTGACAAAAAACAACCTGACTGTATATATTTCAGCGCAATGTACAAACTCACCAACATAAAAGGCGGTGTGCTTTATCCTCTCAAACGAACACATTTCTACGGTTCTCCATGTGTCATAAGCGATTATTATATGGTTTGTGTCTGCTGGTTTGACAAATGTAACTTGCCTCATTTTTGGTGGGATGCTTACCGTACTCTTTGGCTCAAAGATATCACACCAGTTGCTCAACAACTTCATCAACATCTTTTTCAAATATTTCAAGATCCACTTTATGAGCATTTTATGCCACGTCGTTTTCGGAATCCACCATATGTGGGTGTGAAATTGGTGGAAGCGACAAATGATTATGAACCGGCGAAAGATCAACCGAATCGAAATGATAAATCGGAAGTGGCGAATCCGATGAAATGTATTCATAAATTGATTGCATTGCATAATTTTGGTGGGTTTTTCGAATTTTCCTAGAATTTTCACAGCGAAAAAAATTGTTTTTTCTGTTTCCGTGTGGTACGGTGCGCAAAACAGAAAGTGTTTGCACACACAAAGAAAAAACAAAAGGGGAGAACACACAAAAAACCGTGCGCTCATGCGCTATATTGCAGAAAGACGCTGCCAGGGGTTGCATGTGGCCTATTTTTTTTTTGAATTTCCGCAACGAATTTTTTGTGAACAAAAAAATAATTTTTTTCGCTGTGTATATATATTTGTTTTTCCTATACTCAGAAAATGCCCTGACAGCAAGCACGCCATCCGGCAGTCGAATTCTGATACTAATTTGTCAGTTTGCCAGCTCGCAGACAGCGTCTGCCAGGTTCTGCCAGCTAGCAACCTCGCGGCGATCTGGCAGAACCTAGCAGACGCTGTCTGCGAGCTGGCAAACTGACAAATTAGTATCAGAATTCGACTGTCGGATGGCGTGCTTGCTGTCAGGGCATTTTTTGAGGTTGACAAGACATTTTCTGAGTAATATGCCTTCTTGAGTTATTTATAAAAAAAAATTAAACTTTAAAATTCTTTAAAAATTAGATTTATTTAACTGGAAGTCTTAGAAAAATATCAGATTTTTTTGTAAATTAAAATCTTAGATTTCACGATTCCTCAAATTGAACTTTTAAAATTTTATATGAAACTTTTCCAGATGCATTCGACACATCATTTCCATATCGTGGCTACGCAACATCAGATCTCACTCAAAAAATTCTGCTACCTCCGGAATATTTATCACCAAATCACAACAATTTCTTGTCTAACAACTTGGATAATCCTGTCAAATTTAAGAAATACATAATTCCACCAATTATTCCTTATAAACATCGCGACCAAAAAGCGGCCCCCAAAAAAAGTTCAAAATTTTATCCACTAACAACTGATGAGCTAGATTCATCATATCTTCGAGTTTATCATCAAAACGGCACAATATCACCATATGACGTGGCAACAACTCCATTCAAGAACCCAGATTATGATGGTGATGGGGATTATCATGATCAAATTGTGGATGAGGAAGAAGAAGAAGAAAGAGTTGAGGCTGATAAATTGAAAATGGAGAAAGAACAACAAAATGTGGATTTGATTGTTGGAAGTTTGGCGGCGATTGTTTGGTTTATTGCAATTGTCGTGACTGTGGTGATTTTGGTGTATTCGTGGAAAACGTTAGTGATTTTTGGAAAGGGGGGAGAATTTGGCGGTTTTTTTGACACCAAATATGACTGGGGTTCGGAATATTTCATATCTTCAGATTTAGAGTTAGAACAAAAAATCAAATCTTTGAACTTTAACAATTTCTACTGAAAATTTCATGGGATGAATTTTTTGAATTTCATATTTCGCCTCTAAAAATTTACTTTTAGGTTCATGAACACACCTGACGACACGTGTCCAAAATGGACACTGTACAAAATTTTTCAAAGGTCACACTGTACATTTTTTCAGAAAAAGTGTAGTTTTCATTGATTTTCAGCCGATTTTGAAGAAAAATTTCAAAATTTCACGCTGCACAATTTTTTTTGCAAAAATTTCCACCCTGCACAAAAATTTTGGGACACTCTCTCGCCAGGTGTGTTCATGAATGAGAAAAGTTTAAAAATTGAAATTTTTCAAAAACAGAAAGCCTTTGAAATCTGTTTCAACACAATTTCAAATTTCCGAGAAAAAGCCTATAAGTAAATTAAGAATAATGTCTTTGGTTTTTTTCCCAGCTACAGTGAAACCGTTTGAACCCTATATTTTTGCAGTGTCAGCAATTTCGCCACATTCCAACGTCGCCTAACAGATGCTGGAATGGCTGCTATTTTCGATCGAGCTCTTCGAAATGTCACACTTCATCAAGAAACTATCAAACTCAAACGAAAATCCGAGAAAAAATTGGCGAAAAAGGGACCGGCAAAAATGGAAAGTACAACTACTGTTGGGGTATAGTTTCTTCTTTTTCTTTGCAAATGAAAACATTTGGAAATTCGCAAGACTTTGAAATGTCGAACTATAGCTCTTTTTTTTTCAAAAACAAATATGAAAATTAGAAAAATATGAGAAAAGCTGGGGTTTTTGTTATGAATCTGACATGTTTTCTTGTTCTCTTGTATTATATATTTTTATTTTTTTGAGAAGAAAAATAGGAAATGTTCCAATTTTCTGTAATTTTTAGAAAAAAAAAATCAATTTTAGGAACACAAGGGAAAATTATTGCCACGCTGTTTTTGAAACATTCTTGTGGATTCTTTTCAATTCAAATTTTTTGCCATATGGCATATTTTCCTTCTCCAAACAATTAAATGTTTTTTCTTCTTCTAATTTCCACCTATTTTTTCGTTTCATTCTCCTATATCTCATGAAAAATAGGAGGAAATTCAATGCATGAACGAGCAGCTGAAAAACTCTACTTTTTGAATTTTTTTCATCACACAAAAAATGTTTTTAATTTGAGAAAAAAGAAAGACAATGCATTTTTAATAAGTCACTTCACTTTCCTTTTTTGAAACATTGCTCATTTCATAGATTTTCCAGGGTTTTTTTTTGAAATTACAGGGGTTTATTGAAATAAAATTTTTGGATTTTTGGCGTCAAAAGGACTTTGAAATTCATGAAAAAATGAATTTTCTAGTGGGTCTGGTGGTTTTCTAGTGGGTCATTTTTTGGCTTTTTGAAAACGTTGCTCATGTTAGAATTTTGAAAGCTATGAAAAACAAATTAGATAAAATTTGAAACGTATAATTTCAGGGCTAAAATTTTTTCCCAAAAGCTCGCTCATTACTAATTCAGATTTTCAGCCCAAAACCCAACATTGCTCATATTATTCAATGACTTTTCCTTCTATCTATGTGTCACGTTTTTTTGACACCGAAACCAATGAGCCAGAAAATGTGCATGCACACAAAAAAGCTTTTTTAGGATTACTTTATTTTTTTTTTGACAAATGGAGAAAATGGAAAACTTTTACTTTTTCTGGTGGGATTAAAAAAGAACCCATTTTCCCCATTTTTTAAAGAAATGAAACTGAAGATTTTTCGGAAATTCTCATAATTTCCATTTTTCTTTGAAAAAAATGGTTAAACATATCAAATTTCAAATCTGTTTTTTTTTCATGAAAAAATTATTTTTCAAGAAAAAGTAGAAAATCCAAAAAAACATATATTTTTGTTGAACTCATTAATTCTCTCCGGGTTTTTATTGGTTCTTTCCTGGCCTTTTTGCTTGATTAGAAAAAATGGCAAGTTTTTGTTGTTTTTTTCTGACTTTTTTGCGGAAACCTTGAGAATTTTTTGATGGGAAAAACGATTTCAGAATTCTATCGTTAAATTCATACCAAAACTCAAAGTTCAAGTTCTCAAGAAGTTATTCACTGTTTCATAAATCCGTGAATTAATTAATTTTATGATTTCTACTAAACCAATGACAATAAATTAATCCAAAATTGATTACTTCTGAAATAGATTCATTATCCACTTTCTTTTTGCAAAAAATCTCGATTTCAAAATGCCCTCAAAAATCCCATCTTTTCTCCTTAATTCACATCACTTCCTATTTTCGAAAATTAATGGAATAAGAAGGAAAAGGCTACGAATTTTTGGACATTTTCCAAAAACACACACATAAATTACACACATATAAATGATATAAATATTTATATAAATAAAATAAAAAATGTTTTGCCCCTTAGTTTTTGCATAATTTATACTTACACTAGTATCACTTTTTGGCGCACTTACTTTTTTTCTTATTTTATTTTTGCGCCAAAAATTATTTATTTGATTTCTTATAAATATATATGAAAATAATGCAATTTTGCGCTTTTGCCCTCACTTTTTTCCACTTATTTTATTTTAGGGGCAACGAAAAAAAAAGAGAAAAAATCTTCAATAAAGTGATTCGTGAGAAATCTTGAATGTGACCCCTTGAAAAATGCGCGCCTTTTTTTGTTTCCATCATTTTTTCATCAAAAAAAAATTTTGTGTTTTTTTTCAGAATCAATAGAAGACATGTGGAGGTTTTTCACGGTGTTTTTTGCGATGATTTTGAAAGAACACGCAATTTGGGCGAAGATGGTGTATCCGTGGAGTTTTGATATGGATTATTTTGGAGGTTGGTTATTTTTTGGAGGGAGGGTCTTGAGGAGATGGGAATATATTTAAAGGGAGCTACAGTAATCTGGAAGTTTTTTGGGGCAGAATTCAAATAAACAACAGAAATTCCACATTTTTTGTATTAACAATAAAACAGAATTTTAAAATGGCATTCAAAAAATCTGCAAATAAATTAAATTATTTGAAACAGTAGATTTTTGAATGAGAAATTTTGACACAGTCATCAAGATTGGTAATATTTTTTCTATATTTGAAACGTAGATTTTTGAAGACTTTCAACGTGGATTATCGGAGTTTTACAAAAAAATTTGAATCTTTCATTTATTGAATGCCGGAATTTTCAAAGCAATGCATGTTTTCCTATTATTGAAGTAAAAAAATTTGGCAAAAACAGAGTCTAGATTCAAATGACACTCTTCTCAAGTATGGTGTTTCTACCAGTCTTTGCGAGACCCATTTGTGCGTCTTTGTGGGGTGGTCTCGAAACAGTGTTATTGACGCAGAGAAATACCGTACTTGGGGAAATTTCGATTTGAATTACTGACCTCTCTTTTTTGCGAATATTTTTCACTTTGATAATATTTCAGAAACAATCCGAAAAATCGATTTTTCCTGAGTCTGGAGAAAAAATCTCACAATCAATAATATAAAACCCTTAAAATCTTATACATTTTTTGAAACAGTCAATTTTTTCTGAAATGCGATGTCCAAAGTAAAAAATATATCAAAAAATTCGAGAATATCGTCCAAAGCTCGCCTTATATTCAAAAGGCGATACACGCGAGTTTCCCGGCGAATATAGATATAGTATTCGAGAGAATCAGACTCTGGACGATATATTTTTTCCTATATTTTTTATTTTGGACACCGCAAAATGTTTTTCATAATAATTCACATAGTACGTTCTCATAGCCTACAAAATCCAATTTTTTCGTCAAAAAAATCACTTTATTTTTAGAAAACCTCCCACTTTTCCTTTTTCTTTTTTCAAATATTCACAAAATTGTGGAGGCTTCTAATATATATTTTATTTAAATTCTGATTAAATATTCAAAAAGTCCAAAAGTTTTTTCCCACGACTTTTTCTCAGAACCTTTCCAACCCAACTAACTCATTATAATGCATTTTTAAACATTCCTCATTTTCGCGCGCCATAAAATAGCTTTTCCTAAAATTACATTTTTTTTTGTTTGGTCTGGTTTGGGATAAAAAAATTCCCATATAAATTCCCTTCTCCTCCCTTTCTTATTGTTAAATAAACGTAGGGAGCCCCGAAAAAAATAGTAAATTCAATTTTTTTTCGGGGCGCAGCACATGAAAAAATTCGACAAAACGTCTTTTTTATCGAAATTGTGCCAATTTTCGGTCAATTTTCGTCAAATTTCTATATTTTTGTGTTCTTGGAATATTTGATGTTTCAAAAAATTTAGAAAATATCTAATCTGAAAAATAAAATTGATGAACTATTTACTTCTTTTTTTTTATTTCTGATGATTTTGTTCCGCTAAAAAGTTTTCTTTTATAGTTTTTGAAAATTTACTGTTTCAAAAATTTCGGATAATTCTTATTTGGTGTTTTGCTATGTTGTATATCGAGAAATATCATGAAAATAATAAAAGTATAAATTTTAACGCAAATGTAAAATTGAAATATTATTACCTTATGTCTGCCAAAAACAAATCTAGATCCAAATATTTTTGGCGCCCAGAAAAATCCCCGAAAATAAAACGTGTCTTATAAATAGTAAAAATATAATATTTTTCTTCATTTTCCGATTTTCCATATCACACAAATAATAATAATATGAAAAATAAAAAATGTGAGAATTTTTATCCGGCCCACGGATTTTCCTCTTCTTTTTTCTATCCTTTTATTTTTTTTTCTTGAAAATAGGAATTTTTGATTTTTTTCGTTCTCTGTTTTGTTGTGTTTTTTTGGAAAATTTGAAAAATGTTCACTTAGTTAAAAATTGATTTTTGCCTCTTATAAAATATGTATTAATCTGAGGAAGAAGCTTGAGAAATTGAGAAATCTTTCAGGATTTCCGGGGCTAAAATTTTAAAAGAGAAATAGAGAGGAAAAGAGGATGTTTTGAAGTAGTTTTCCCCGTTTTTGATCAACATTTTATCAGTTTCTAGTCGATTGGAAATTAGCTGGTTTAGATTTATTGAGAATTTTATAAAGATTTGAAACAGTGGAGATTTAAAACAGTGATTTTTTCTTTGAATGTTTTCTTTTCACGTTTAGGTTTTATGGAAGGTCGAACAAAATTGGAAAATGCTCGATTTTTTATAGCGATTTTTTGAAACAGTAGATTTTTTTTACAAATCATTTGTAAGATTTCGTGTCTAAATCAAATTTCAGAATTTTCCATTCTTTGAGCAAAGTATTGATAATTGTTATTAGTTTTAAAAAATCTTGTTATATTTCGAAAGATTTTAAATTTTTTTTTGATACAATATATTTTTTTCCTATAAATTCCACGTGGCAATTCATATTTTCTAACTAAAATGAAATCGATCATCTTACAAAAAACTTTGAAACAGTGATTTTTTCTGATGCTCAAATTGCATATATTATTAGTACAGTTTTGATCTTCTTTGAATAGTGTATTTTCGAAACAGTGAATTTTATTTCCGCCAAATTTTTTTCTGCAAAACCAGGTGCTACTAAATACTCTTTGTCTTTTGCGTTTTTTGTTCCAAAACCGCATAATAAATTTGGTTTTTTCTTTCCAAAAACAAAAATTATGCACATTTTTTATCGTTTCCTCACACCAATTAGAGTCCCAAAAAAGAGTCTCATCCATAAATTAGCGTGCCTAGGCAACTTTTTTCACCTCCCCATTCCTCGATTTTCTTCTTTTCTCTAAACTAAACTAAACTACTTCCCCCCGATTTTTCTAATTTGTTTTCTTATTTGTACTTTTGAGGCTAAGCCTGTTTTTAAAACAAGATTTTTGTAGAAAAATGTCTGTATTTTTGGCTGCTTGCATTTGGCCTTGTGTTATTCGTAAGTTCTTTTGGGTTACTGTAGATTCTCAGTTATTTTTGGAGCTCGTAAAACATCTAGATTACTGTAGCTCTTGGGAACGTTTGAATTGTTAAATATTTATTGGTTCATGAGTTTTCAAAAAAAAAATGAAATTTGGAATTTTAACTCTAGAAATTTAACGTGTCTCTATAAACTTGAAATCAAAATTTCAATTCAAGCAATCCACGTGGAATTCCAAATTTCCGAAAATTTGGAACAATTTTTCAAGACCTGAGAATTTTTCAGAAAAAAATTCAAAATTCGTGGCAGTCAAAAAATCTAGGGTTGCAGTTATTCTATCAACAAAAAACTTTCAATCATTGTTTTGCAGGTCCCGATTTCTGGGGTCTAATGCAAAATGAGTGGAAAATGTGTGCAAACGGAAAAATGCAATCACCAGTAAATATTGATCCAACTCAACTATTATACGATCCACATTTGCTTCCAATTAAAATGTCGGATCTAAAAATCGAAGCACAATTCGAAAATACCGGACAACTTCCAATTTTGACGATTCAGGACTCAAAAAAATCACCCACAATAAATATATCTGGAGGTCCAGTTGGCCCATATTCTTATAAATTACACCAGTTAATTATGCATTTTGGGAGCAGTGAAGAAGGCGAAAAAGGTTCGGAGCATACTGTAGATCGAGTTAGATTTCCTGCGGAGTTACAAATGTTGGCTTATAATGCGGATTTGTATGAGAATTTTAGTGTGGCACAATTGGAACCGAGAGGATTGTTGGCGATTTCGGTGATTGTTGATGTGAGTTATTTCGGGGAATGTTTTGAAGTCATTTCTAGAGACAAATTTGAGATCATATAAGTTTGGAATTTTTTTGACATTTCAATGATATTTTTGGCATAGTGAAATTTTTCATGCCAACTTTGATGATTGAAAAAAGGTAAGACAATAAAATTGGTCGAAATTTTAGAATCCGCTCAAATTTTTTTTCTATAAACTTTCTTCTACATTGCAACAAAGCAAGTATCAAAGAGAATTATTTCAGAAAAATATGTTTAAATTTTCAAAGAACGCTCATAGAATTTCTTCAAGTAAACGGATTGATCCAAAATTTTCAATATAAATAGCAATATAGAGTATCAACGTAGCAAAACGTGAAGCTACAGTAAAAAATACATGAAAAGTTTAAAACAGCGAATGTTCTCATAAAATATATTCTCATCCTCCCACACCCCTGAATTCTTCCAGATCGGAAAATCAACAAATTCCGAGCTCCGTCGACTTACCGTATCATCCCAAAGCATCAAATTTAAAGGAACAATTGCAAATATTTCGGATATTCGACCTGCAAATCTACTACCAAAAACATCGCATTATGTGACTTATGAAGGAAGTCTGACATTTCCTGGTTGTTATGAAACTGTTACTTGGGTTATTATGAATAATCCCATTTATATTACAAATGATGATGTGAGTTTGGTTTTGACGGGAGAAATTGAATTCAAAAATAAAACACTTTAAACAAAAATCTCTTTTTATGAAGACGAGTGAAATATAGATTTTTTGAAGTAGTGGATTTTTTTCAAATTATTTTTCGAATTTAATGAAAAACACACTGAAAATCTACAAATTCTTTCAGCTGCAAATCTGGAACGATCTTCACAAAACCACAGAATCTGAAATTTCGGCTCAAATGACTCCATCTTATCGTCCACTTCGCCCATTAAACGGGCGACTTCTCAGAACAAATATAAATATTGGGGCGAAAAACAGTGGTGCTTCTGAAAATTCCAACCAAATTCCGGAAAAAAGTTGTCCATCGAATATTTATGTGGAAATGGGATATCGTGCAAATCCGGGAAGAACGAAACGAGGAGCAAATCAGAGCGAGAAAATGGGCAGAAAAGTGTATAAACGAGAGGTTTTTGAGATTGAGAATATTGTTCCGGAAAATGAGCAATTTCAGACAAGGAGCTCTTTTTGAACTGGAAATATTTTGAATTGTTTTTGCTGAAAATATGCTCTTTTTATGAAGACGGGTGAAATAAATTATTTATTTATTTGAAAAATTATATTTTATTTTTTGAGGATTGTGAACATTTATTTTACACACACCACCAATTGTCAAATCGAAAATTGATTATTGAAAAAAATTTGAGAAAATTTGATACAGTGAAAGATTATTCGAATCAATTTCTTGGAAGTTTGAAGTCAGTTTTCGATGTATATCTGCGAATCGATTCGAAAATCTCCAAACATCGCATTTTTCTCGATTCATCCATCGGATTTGAAGATTTCAAAATGTCGATGCAGTTTTTATTGTTTTGAATTGAAAAACAGATGAAAAATGCGATAATTAAGAAAGGATAAAGTAGGTAATTCATTTTTTATTGACCGAGAAAGTTTTGGAAAAATGAATGGGCCAAGATTTTTTGAGAAAAAATTGTTTATTACAACAGAAAAATCACATGATTTGGGAGGAAGGGGGAATTTTTTGGAAAAAAGTTCACGGTTTCAAAATTTGAATGTATTTTGGGATTGTTTTGAATATCTCAATTCGATGATGAATATATTCAAAAAATGTTATCGACCTATGACGAAATATGACGTGGAAAAATGAATTTTCAAAAACATTCTTTTAAGGGAAAATCTTCTAATATTTATCTGAAAAATTGTGTTCAAAAATTAAAATAAAGTTTATCCAGGAAAAATTCACTGTTTCAAAATTATAAGAGGATTTTTTTCTGAAAAATATTCACAAAAAAATTCTAGACGAAATAAATTGCAATTTTTCACTTCCTCTTTTATGACTACATTTATCCGGATTATAGTGATATCCCAAAAATATTGGATTATTTTGTTATTTCAGGCAAAAATCCAATTCTAAGTAAAAACACAATAAATAAATCCGATTAACCTAAGCCTAACCTAATTTTTCCAAGAAAAATTAGCCAAAAACATATAGTTTTCCAAACAAAAAAATTTGATCTACCCGCAAAAAATTTAGTTTTTTGGAAGAACAAAAAAATCGAGGTCAAAATAGACATTTTTTGAAAAACGTGGCCTTTTTGAATTTTTTCGAGGATAAAAATCGATTTTTCTCATTTCTAATTTTTGGAGAAATGACTTTCGACAAATCGTCGCAGGGATATTCACGTGAGTTTTTTTGGGGGAAGTATGGGGCTGTCGAAATTATCTGATTCAAACTAGTCTGAAAATTTTCATTTTGAAATTCAGATTTTCAAATAAAATCAATCAATCAAATTTTTGTGAAACTCAAGATTTTCGAGATTAAAAACACTTGAAGAAAATCTAATTGATTGATATTTTTCAAGAATTTTAATCTGATTTTTCTCTTTGTTGTGATAAAAATTTAGAGAAACCTCAAATTTTACTTCCACAAAAATAAATTTAATTAATTTTTGAAAAAATTTTTAATTAGCCCTGAAGCTTTGGAAATCTTATTTTATTTTTACAAATCTGAAATTTTTTTCTGAAAGTTCTCTCAAGCTTCAGTCTGGTTTTTTGACAAATAATTTTGGAAATATTCCAGTTTTTCAATTAGCTCTAAACATTTTGTCTGAAAATCCGAATCAAAAAATTATAATTTTTCCGAGAAAAAGCTGAAAATGAATTTCTAATCAGGTTTCATGAATCAAGAATCTCTTCTCATTTTTTATAGCTCAATACTAATTAGGCTCAGGCTTAAGCTCCAATATTCCACGAAAAATCTTCTGATTTTTGTGTCTAGGGATTTCGTCATTTTCGAAGAACACAATTTTTGCAAATTTTCTGGTAGATTATTTTTTGTCTGGAAAAATAAAAAATTCATGAATTTTCTATTTGTCGACTTTTTTTCAATTTTCGAAATTTTCAGCCAAAACTTGGATTTCTGGAACTGAATTCTAATAATAAAATCTGTTCACAAAAGGCTTCCCCCCAAAAATTTTCCGCAAACAAAAAATTGAAAAAATAATCTGAAAACAAAATCTCTGCAATTTTCCTTTTATTTTTTCTTTCCACTTTTTCGCGCCTTTTTTTCATTGAAAACCAATTTCCGGCACTTTTCGAAGCTTTTTCTGAAATTTTCAGAAAAAACATTTAAGGCCAAAGTTTCAGATTTGAAGTTTTCAGCCAAGATTATTTCAGGGCGAAATATCAACTTCAAAAATTTGAGACCCTAGAACTACACCTGAAAATTCTCGATCCTAAATTTTCAGCTCCAAAAAAAGATCGATGAAAATTTTTAGTGCAAAATAACACGAAAACTGATGATGATTCGAATTAATTAGCATAAATTTTCTTTTTTTTCGAGCAAAAAAATTTTTTTCATCATTTTTTTTTTCAAAAAGCATGAGAGCATTTTCATGAGAAAATCAGAAAAAGTTTCAATTTTCAATTTTTCAGAGGGCGTTCGAAAAATCTCGTTGATGGCCAGTACGGTGGCGTTTGAGTTCAATAAGGCCACGTTAAAATTACGGTAGGTGGCATTTTTTGAAAGGGTACTGTAGTTTATAGAATTACTGTAGTTTTTTGGAGTATCGTATATTTTTCTCCAAAATGTAATGTTTAATTTTTTGCAGACGATCACTTCATTTATCACCATCAACGTCGCCAAAATTTGAAAATAGAAGAATTGAGGGCGGAGAGGATCCGCATGATTATTTGGTCCAACCGTCGAGTACTAAAAGGTTGGTTTTGGATTACTGTAATTTCTCTGAGAAGGGTTACTGTAGTTATTGATTTTATTTTTCTAACAGTACCTCACGTGGTGGTTCAACAAAAAATCGACAACTTTGCGCCGAGCTTTCCTCATTTGCCCTTTATCCACTTTTTGGTGAGCAAACTTCTTCCCCTGAAGAAAAATTCCAGATTTTTAGTCGAAATCTATTATTTTTTGCAGGAGCCCTGTCCCCATCGCATTTCTCAACACCTAACCTTTTATTTCAAAACGAGCGAAAAAAGTCAAACTCAACCCGACTACTTCAATTAACCGATTCGGATTTGTTGTATATTTTTCAACAATTGGATCGTGAGTTTTTTAGAGGCCACGTGGCAATGTTTTTAGACCCAAAAATCCTTGCAACATCAACTTTTCCCCAAATTTTTTGCAGCGCGCTCATTAATCCGTCTCTCTCAAACATGTCAACGATTTCGTCGCATTTGTTGTGGTGCCGAAAAATTGGCGCCACGCGACTCCAAAAAAATCGACGTCACATCGCACGAATTGATCATCTCATTCAATCAGCTAAAAAAGCAGACTGAAGTTCGGCTATTGAAAAAGGATCGAACTAGACTGGACCCGAAATTTGTCGGAACATCGATCGAATCGATGTTGCCAATGTTTTCGAGAGTTTTGAGCAAGGTTTGTGGGTTTTGAGAAATTTGCAATTTTTTGACTGGAATTTATTATTACAATTATTTTTCTGACAAAGCACGTTTTTTTCTTGCAGATAACCTTTGAGACTAGTGTTTTTGTGTCGGATTGGATGGACGAAATTCTGCGACTCTACAAATCAAATCGATTCATTCCACTTTGTCTCGTTTTTACGGGCGGTGCATTAACAAAAGGAACAAGTCTAAATGGAGCAGATTTGAGATGTTTGACTGAGCTCGAATTCATTGATTTTGTGCAAAAATTGCAGCCACATTTGCAGGAAGTTCAGCTAGCCACATCAAGGTAAGAAAATTGGGATTTTTATAAGAAAAATCAAGGTTTTCGGGTTTCTAGGCCATCAAAACGGCTCTTGGTTTTCTAGGTCATATTGTTTCAGATTATTCAAAGCGACGCCTCGAATCCTAAGCCTTATTTCGGTTTTGTCGAGTTTTGGAATTGTCTATGAACGCCCTGCTCTAAGATTTTATGTGGATGAAGTTGCTAATGTTATAAAGGTGAGTGACATTAAACATTTACTGTTTCAAAATATTTATTAGTTTTTGGGGTATAATTTTTGATAAGACGTTAATGCAGCCTAGTTTCTCCTCGAGGCTAATTGAGGAGAAACGTGTTGCACGTGGAGGCTAAATTTCAGCTGCAACTTCGTCTAATATAGAGTTTATCCTACAGATTTGGCGCAACGATAATTTGGCGCGAAGTTGCGATGTCTATATGCGCCGACCACGCGACGGATCAATCGATATTTGGCAAAAATTTGGCGAAGTCGCAGAATATCGTGAAGATCCTCAAACTGACGAAATTCTCGTCTCAAAAATCCACGTCAAACACTCGTTTCTTGTACAAATTGAACTGGTTTTGCATTTTCATTAGACCCTCTAAATGTAGGGTCGAAGATACCCTAAGATATTTATTTTCACTCTATTTTGCATGAATTTAACCATTTTTTCTTTGTTGATTAGATTTGAAATTTGTTATTACCGGCAAGAAAACACAGAAAAACACAGATAGATAATTGCACTTTGGGAATCTCATTAAATTAATTGATTAATTACTCACATGATTAGAATTCTACGAGCTATTAAAATTACCAGAATTGCGATGGCGATTGAAACCAGTGGAACTATCACAAATAAAGAATAGTCGGTGGAATCAGAAGGTCTTGGAGCTGAAATTCGGGATGGAGCAGGAATTTGAGCGGGAGCATTGGGAGTTGGAATTTGAGCACTGGGAGCTGGCGGTGATTCTGCAAAATGTAAGATTTTTGGGAAAGTACGCGAATTTTTGAAACTAAAAAAGTCTAGGAAAACAGTTTTTAAATTTCAAGGTCACCAAAACTCGGTCAGATGATAAATTTGACTCAAAATTTTCAATTTTACTTTCAAAACCTCACCATTCAAATTCTCATTTTCACTGGCAAGTTCAGATTCTGCGTTCACAGTTTCAACAAGATTCTCAGATTTCTCTTCCTGTTTATTTACATTTCCAGATGTTTCCTTGGGTTTTTGTGCATTCAATTGTGCTCCCAATGTTTTTGCCTCTTCAGCTTCTTTCGAATTCTCGTCGCTGACCGGCAAAAGCACATTTTTCATCTGACATTGACATTTATCGCATGTCCAATTTCCGCTAAGTTTCGCCAATTTTCGGCGTTCCTCTTTTGGATATTCCAAACTTCCAAGTGCTCCGCCTCCAGCAGTTGGCATAAATCCAATAATTGCCAGAAGACAGGTTCGAGCACTCCAGGAAGGAAGCCATGTTTCGGGATGATGACCGGAGATTGAGAGACAAATTTTGGTGTTGAGTTCGAAACGACCGTTAGGCTGGAAGAAAAATTATTGGAAAACATTCTAGCACATTTACAGTTTTTTTTAATTCTTGCAACTTTTAGAGACTGAATAAGTTTATACTAGGTAACAATTTATTAAAAATTGATTTTTTTTAAATGTTCCTCAAATTTTTCACGTGAAACTGAATTAATTTTTTTCAAGCGTGACGTTTTATTGTTAATTCCTCTCCAATAAACATCTACATTTTATTTCCGAAAAACCCGAATTTCCCAACTCACAGTCAATAAAATCATATTTGGTGGTTTCATCGGATATTCAACAGGAAAAAGTAATCTTCCGTGATAAATACCACCTTCATAATCAGATCCACTCGCTCCACGAACCGTAAAATGCCATTCAAATAAGTTGTCTTCGAGCGGCTGTGCATGATAGAGTTCGGTGGGTTCGCGTAACTCCATAGCTTCGCGCATCAATCGTTTAACTCCAGCGCATTTTGTGTTATATTGTTGTTGCATAACTTTCCCTGTAAAGTAATGAAACGTCAGCTTTCCTGTGTGAAAAAAAAGAAAATAAAAAATTGACACCGTGACGCATAAATGCACACATTTGTATGGAAAACATACACCATCACGCACAAATGCACAGATGATTTTTATTTTCTTTTTTGTCACCGGTTTTTCCCGTTTCCCCTGGGAAATTCTTGGAAAATTTATGAAATTTTCAGAAAAATGGAGGCCGTCCCAGACATGGACGACCTTTTGGATGAAATGGAGGCGAATTTGGTGCAAGAAGTGAGGAAAACAGAGAATGTTGCGAAAATCGAAGAAACCCCCGCTAAAACAGTGAAAATTGCGAAATTTTTGCCGAAATCTGGATTTCCAGAAGAATTAGAGGTATACTTCTATAAAATATTACATGGAAAAATGAATTTCAATTGAGTTTATTTGCAGGGGGAAGTGCAATTAGAAGTTCCGGAGCAGCCAGCGAGTTTTAAACCGAAACCAATTATTCCGGAAATGCCGCAGGAAGAAATTCCTGCGCCAAAAATACCTACAACACAACCAGAACCAGAAGCAGACACGGAACTCGATGAAATGCTGGATTATTTGAACACATTTGAGGACAAACCCGAAAAGCCTCAAGATATTAGAGAAATCGCCGGTAAATTTGCGGAAGATTTTATGGAAAAAGTGGCGCAAGACTTGGAAGTTGCAATAACTCAGAAAATCAATAATGTGACATTTTATGAGGGTATGTATTAGTTTTTATCACAAAAAATTTCAACATATACTTATAAAAATGAAATGAGAATTTGCAGTTGCTATGGAAATTTTTCTTTTGATTTGGATTTGTGGGGCGCAAGATTTTATTTGACAATTTTTTTGGAGAATCGTAAAGTTTTTAGTGAGATTTTTGAAGAAATTTGGATTTTCTATTGAAAAATATCAAAAGTTTTTGAATTGATTTTTCGAAATTGAAAATTCGATTTCAACTGATGATTTTTCACATACTAACTGATAATGAATTCTGAAAAATTCGAGGAATTTCACGTGAATTTTGAACTGGCGGAGAATTTCAACTTGCAAATTTTTTTTTGAAAATTTTTGACGTGAAAAATTCAAATTCCAAAATTTTTATTATTTTTCGGTTTGTTTTTTCGAGAAATTTCACTGTTTCAATTTTTTTATAATTTTTTTTTGAAATTGGAAGTTCGGTTAATATTTTTATGTAATCATACCTTATAAAACACAAAATTTGTAACAAAAATCCAAATTTTCGCCGATATTCTAGCTGTAAACAATTCCAACTGTAAATTTTTGCGCGAAAAATTCAATTAAAGCAATCCTGTTAATATGAGCAATCCTTCAATTCAATATGTTTTCTCTCAAACGCTTTTGTTTTCAAATATTTTTCTGCAAAATTGTTGACTGTTTCAAAACATTTTCCCATTTTTTTCTAAAAGCAAACAATCCGATTTTTCTGGAAAAATCGATTTTTAATATAAGGTTGACCATTTTCATATTTTTATGGTCAAACTGTTATTTTTATCTCGTGATTTAAAAAATATTGATAAATTTATTTTGAAATGTTCAATTTTTTCAGAATCTTCAAATTCTGTGGAGGAAAAAAAGGAGGAAGCGGAAAGTTCGATGGATCCAGAAACTCAAAATTTATCGGATTCAGATGAATATGTGATCGGAGATTCAATTGACGGTGATGATGAAAATCGCGAATTGTCTCTGGAACCTGTTAAAAATCATGTTGAAAATTCAGATATTTCTCTACAACCTGCTGAAAATCCTCCAGAATCATCTGAATATGCAGAAACTACAGAAAATTCCGGTTCGCTAATTCCAGAATCTTCAGAATCTAGCGAAATTATAACGGTTATCGAAAAAAGTTTGATTGAAGAAAAAGAACAAAAAACGTGTCTGGAACAATTGGAAACTGATAACGAAGAACAAAAAGAAGAAAAAAAAGAGGAGGAGGCGGAAAATGAAGAAATTATTGCTATTATGCAGCAAACAGAAGAGGAGGTGAGTTTTTTTGGAGGAAAAATTGGGGATTTTCGGGTGGAAATTAGGACTTTTGGTGTAGAAAACATGAAAAGCTGACTTAAAATTCATTTCAATTTTTTGCCAAAACATTAAAGTTAAAAATCCACGAGGATTTTTCCGCGGCAAAAGTATTTTTGTGAAAAATGGTGTTAACCTGATCTGTGAAAAAAATTTATTTTTTATCCGATGTTCCACTATTTTTTTCCAGATCCCTGCAAATTCTAATCAAAATTCGGAAGAACAACCTGAAGAATTGTCGTCTCAAGAAGAAGAGGAAAATGACAATCGACCAAGATTTGATGTGAGTTTTTTCACTGTTTCAAAAGTTATTAATATATTTTTCGAAACTTGGATATGTTTTTTAACCTCACCCAACTCTGAAATTTCCAGTCCTCAATCGCCACAATCCACGTGCTCCACGACGCCGATTCCGACGATTCTCCCAGTCCCCATCCTCCCCGAGCCCGTCGACTCACAGAAAGCGAACTTCAACTCGGCAAAACTCAACCCTACTGGATTCCTGATTCCGAATGCACATTATGTATGCTCTGCCAAACCAAATTCACAATTCTAACCAGAAGACATCATTGTCGAGCATGCGGAAGAGTTCTTTGTGGATCTTGTTGCTCTGAAAAAGCTGTTCTTGTATACCTTCAAGAGGAAGGCAAAAAGAATCAAGCAGTTCGAGTTTGTCAGCGATGTCATGGAATGTTGGAAAGGATTAGTGAATATGAACAAGAGGAACAACAAGAGGAGCCGAAAGGAGTTTTGAAAACGAGGCCTGATGATTCTAGTGAGCCTTCAAGCTCAGCAAGCACTCCTGGACCATCTTCGGGTGCAACATTGAGAAAAGGTGTGACTTTTCGAGATGGAGTTCGACCTGGAACTTGTAACATCGATGAAGAAGCCAATTCTGAAGAAAAAAGCAGTGCTCCAAAACCTAAGAAAAAATCGAGAAAACGAAATTCGGTTGTGAAACGCTGTGCAGAACTTCGAATGGAAGATGAGCTAACTTGTGCACTCCCAAAAAACTCGGATTCTCGATTTTTGACTCTGAAAAATGAGGAGTTGGCTGAACTTGGAGCCCTGGAAATTTGGGAAAAACTACAGAGTTCAGAGATTGTGACAGTTGTGCTGAAAAAGAATCTGAATTGTAGTCTGCAAATTGTTGTTCAAGAAGAAAATGATGAGAGGTTTTGGGGAATTTGTAGTGAAGGATTTGCCCGAATCGGGTTGGATGAAGTGTTTTTCGCGTGGGATTTGAGCCCGGAAGAATCTAATTTTTTGACAAAAATTGAGTCGGAAACTGAGAGTTTGGAGCAAGAAGAGGCGTGGAAATTGTTGCCCGTGACTGTTTTGCATAGGATTTCGGCGGTGAGTTTTTTGGGGAGGGATTTTTATTCAAATTTTCATACCAGATAACATTTTTCATCTTCTAAAAATGTTTCAAACCTAATGATTGGGTGTGTTTCAATTTTAAAATGAACATTTTTGGAAACAAATAATTTTCTGGAGTATTTTTCTACTGTTTCAAAAATGATTTTACTCAGCTTTTTGGATTCAGACAAACGATATTTTCAAAACAATCCATCTAATAAATAAAACAATTCAAAATTAAAATAGTCATTTTTTTGATGAGCAATAATTGTTCCAGATGTATGCCTCATCAACGGATGCAGAATTCGCCGGTGTTCGCCGTGTTGCCACTCGATTCTCTCCAATTCATACAGTTCCAATCGCCGCCTTCCCACTTCCCAAAAACATACTCTTCTTCCGCCCAACCACCCAAGATTTCTCCAAATTCCGAACTCCATCAACACCATTTTTGGTCGCATGTTTTTTGCAAGACGAAGAAGTTCAATGGGCCAACGCGTGTCCGAATCGAGTTTTGAATCGACTTGGTTTGGAATTTGCGAGTTATCCGAACCCGATTTTCAATAAAATTGGACGGAAATCTATGTATTCAATGCAAACCGCTTCCACAGTTCTCAAAGTTTTCACCGATTTTCGAAGTTGGTCGTATCGTATGAAATATTTAAGCGGATGTACTGTATCATTGACAAATGATAAGACTTTGATTCGAATTCCGAGAGCAATGATTGGAGAGGTGAGCCATTTTTGCTGATTTTTTTTAGTTGCCAAGTGAAATTATATTTTCACATAGAGAAATTTGCAATTTTTGATACCAAAAAACGCCGAGATTCTAATAGACCACGCAGATTTCCTAAATTAATCTACGCCATTTTTGGTTGAAAAAAATTGAATTTCAAAGATAGCTCTCATTTTATTTTTCAAATACAAGAAAACCCAAAACAATCACTTTGCTCATTTTTTTCACTGCTAGAAACTCAAATATATTGATTTTTCAAATAATGCCGAAACAAAAAACAAAATGTTTCAACACACAGCGATTCATCAAAAATCGATTTGAAACAGTAGAATTTTTCTTTCTGAATTTCAATGTGTTAGCGAAAAACTTCCCAAGTTTATGTTTTGAAAATTCCAAAATCAAAATTTTTTGCAGCTCCGCGAAGTGATTAGCTGGAATCGTTCAATGATTGCATGGAGATGTGATATCTCGCCAACCGATGATAGTTTATTGATTTGTGATGAAAATGACGGGTTTTACACTACTCAAGTGTTTGCGAAACAAGAGGGAAAACGAGATTGTGAGTGATTGGGAATTTAGGTTTATTTTATATGAGCCTGACGAAAATTTCACGAAAAATTTCCTAAATTTTCAGCTACCAGCGCGAATTTTGTGATTTTGGATGGAGGTTCCAAAGTGAATTCGCTCCAAGTGAATGTGGTTGAAGACGGTGTAGCAATTCGGGTTCAAAATGAGAGACTGGAAACGATTTTGACAGCGATGCAGAGTGGAAATGTGAGCATTTTTGGGGCTAACAATGAAACTGATAATTATGAAAATTAGCCTAGTTTTACCCTAAAAATCGGATGTTTATACTGAAAGGAAGGCCGAATATGGCCAAAAATCACTTGGAAAACTCTAAATTTTCATCCCAGAGAACAAAAAATACCTTAAATCTCTAAAAATCTGGTTAAATATTCTGAATTGATTTTCATAGAATTTTGAACAGTGAGATCTAAGAGTTTCGATTCGCAACAAAATTCAGTAGAAAACTCAAATTTTCACCAAAAAACACCCCAAACTCTCCAATTTTTTATTCAGAACGTCATTGAATCCTCGAAGAATATGGAATTCTGCATCGAATTTTTCGACGACGATTTCGAACTTCAATCTGATTTCCTTCCAAAATCCGACATCGATGGAAGATGTTTGTTGAACAAATTTCAATACGGTTTATCATTGGAGCGCGCTTTGACACAAGTGTTGCAAATTCAGGGAATTTCGGATTATGGAATCAGATTGTCGCATGTTTTTAATTTGAGTGAGGGAAGATTGGAACCGGATGAGGAACCCAAGATTTATACGTGAGTTTGAAGTTTGGGGAAATTCTGGAAAATTCATATTTTTCTCTAATTTTCAGACTTGTCGAAATCTCTGCTCGTGAATGTGTCATAATGCTCGAACCATATATCCGACATCTAATCGCCACTGATATTTCAAGTCTCTCAATTCGATTTTTCGTTTCTCAAGAACAAGTTGAATATGATGTTTCGCCTTGGGTTGGATTGGAAGATGAGAATTTGAAGTTTAGACAGAGCTTAGATCAGGTTGGTTTTTTTGAGAAGGGAATTGAGAAAAACAATTGAGAAAACACCAAAAGTGCTATATTCAATTTTTGAAAAATTGAATGTGTTTCTTTTTTATGAAAAAAAAATCACTTACAATTAATATTTCGTTTTCAAATTATCAGAAAATTATGAAATACTACGTCATAACTTGAATTAATTCAGAATGTGTGAAAACATTTTACATTTTTTCCGACTTGATTTCTGCTGAATTTTTAGAAAAATCTTTATATTTTTGATTACCTCTATAAATACCTCTATAAATTTCAAATTTTATTTTAAAAAATAAATAAGTGTTGTTTTTCTTGAAATAACTCAATTATTATTTTCAAGCTAATTCCAACTCTCTACAATATGACTGAAATAGTGCCAAATGGTTTTGAAGTCGAAATGGTTTTATCAATTGTCTCAACTAGGCCTCTACCAATTTAACCCAACTCCCCTAATTACCTTAAAAATCCCCCAATTACACCCAACTCAACTAATTTTTTGTTTTGGTTTTTTTTCTTAATTATTGCTCAGATTAGTAGTCGATTTCTAGCCGCCCACATTTTTCTTGTGCCTTTTCTCCTTCTGAAAAATAGTCAGTTATTGTCCAAAATGTGTTTTTTTCTTAGCATTCCCGATTTTTCTGTGAAAATTCCTATACTTATTGTGATGTTTTGTCTTTCCTGTGTTCCCAACGATTTTTTTGATGATTCCTGTGAGTTTTCTTTTTGTATGAAGCATAATTTTTCAATACGATACTCCGCGTTTACGGGGGTTTAGTTGCATTTTTTCGGGAGAATCGGCCACAGTAATCCAGAATTACTGTATGCTTATCGATATTCCTTCGTCAGACTTAAAAATCACCTGTTTTGTTTCAGTTCGAAAATAGTTGTTTCAATTGTGAACAAATAGCTTTTTCTTGGAATGACAGCTGAAAATTTTAAATTCCGTCTATTAAAATCATTCATTTCCCCACTTACTTACACTTCAAAAATTATTATTTCTCAAAAAAAACGCAATTAAATGAATTTGGATAATATAACTTATGAGAATCCTCATTGGGTTCTTATATCCTATCATATTATTTCAATTATCTCATTAATTATCAATTCATTCGGAATTTATTTGATAATTTATAAAAGTTCGAAAATTGGAAACTATAAATATTATTTATTGTGTTTTCAAGTTTCCTCGATTTTTGTTGATGTAATTTTTACGCTGGGTTGTCAATTTGTATTTACTCTACCGATTTGGGCATTTATTACATCAGATGGTTATTTATGGAGGGTTTTCGGGATAACTTCTTACCAATCAACGGTTAGTGATTTGGGAACAAAGATGGGAATAAATGGTCATTCGAGTAAAAAAAATATTTAGAGTTAAAAGAACATTTTCAGATTATAATGGGAGTTTTCATTCTTTTTCAAATCAATATAATTTTCTATCAGTTTGTCGAAAAACATCAAGCTGTTATGCATCTTGCAAATCACACTAAATTCATGTTAAAACCAGCCTATAAACTCGCATTCAAATTCCTTGGTGTTATTTTTGCTGCGAGTGTGATGATTATTATATTAGCTGTCGAAATTTCTCAAGAAAAAATCGTTAGAGAGTATTAAGGAGAAATATCCAAGTGTTTATCCAAGATTCGTGAAATTAGGAACTTTTTTATTTGTTGAAGATACTCAATTTTTCTATTTATTTTTTTATATGTCATTTGCTATTCCTGCGGGTGTATCATTAGTTTCAGCATTAAGTTATCATATGTTCAGAACTTTTTGGAGAATTATGGAAACGCTGTCGGATTCCAATAAACAAGCGCATAAAAATGCTCTTCTAAGTTTATTAGCCCAGGTTTGTATTTACTATTTCGAAAACATTTTATTTTAACAAATTCAATAATATTTATTTAGGCATTAACATGTTCTGTTATGCTTCTCCCAATTTTTGGATTTTTCATTGATGTTTATTTTGGGTATCATAATCAGAAATTATTATTTTATCATGAATTAGTATTCAGCTGTCATTCGAGTACTAATTGTATTGTGATGATTATTACAGTCAAAGAATACCGAAATTTTGTGAAAAGTTTGATTTATTCGAATGTTGTCAAGACGGAAGCAGCCAAAAATAGTTATAGACATCAAATTTGATTTTCTTGGAACCTCGATGTTTCAGTCAAAGTTCATAAATGTTTCTTTATAATTTTTTTTTTTTTAAATAAACTGTCTGCGTCTCCCTCGAATTGCAAAAAAAAATACAGTGAAATCAATCAACAATTCACTGCCTCCCCAAATCTACGTGTGTGTGGAAAAACGAAAAATGTCTGGCACGCTCTTGCAAACACACACTCTCTCGCACACAACTTTTTACTTTTATTTCGCGAAAACAGTGCATATAAGATAGGTTAAATTTGAAAAGTTGCCGGTTTTGACGGAAAAATCAAATATCTGTCCAAATCATTAGCTTTAAATTTGAAAATCAATGAAAATATTCATTCGATAAATGTTACTGTACTTTTGATTAAAAATAGGCAAATATTTCAGTTTATTTTATTTGAATTAGAAACGTTGTATTTATTTTCAGAATCTAACGATTTGATCCCAACCCAAATCGTTATATTTTGAAAACAAAAAAATATTATTTGTGACTAAAAACGTGACCTTCTATTTTTAAAATCTAACGATTTGATCCTGGCTCAAATCGTTAGATTTTGAAAATCCGAAAAAAAAAAGTCATTGTTTATATTTGTTTTACAATTCATGGGCACCATAGCATGTTCTACAAACTTTTATAATTGTCTGTATTGCCCAAAACAACTCCATAAGTCATTTTAACGCATCTCGTCTCGAAACGGATAAGATGGATCAGTTCAAAAAAAGAGAAATGGCGAAACCCAACCAGAAAACGTGTGACACGTATTATTTTTTGTTGGATTTAGTCATTTCTCTTTTTGAAATTGTTTCATCTCGACGTATTTTTTGAGGCAATATGTCTCAAAAATTTCTTGGTGTGGTCCTGGAAAATGACAACAACGGTTTTTGAAAACTTATCATGTGTTAAGAAATGCAAAAAAAATATGAAGAATGATTTCGGTTGGATTTTCAAAATCTAACGATTTGAGCTCGGATCAAATCGTCAGATTTAGAAAATAAAAGGTCACGTTAGAAAATAAATTTTCACCACGCACAGCCAAAATTAAAAAATAACGATTTGTGCTCGGCGCAAATCGTTATTTTTCAAAAATCAGAATTTGTTCTTTTAAAAATATATGGTTTTTACAAAAACATATTCGGCCATAAAAATTCATTATATTTTTGTTGGATTTATAACAAAAAAATATACATTTATGTATCTTGGATAAAAGTATTATTTTTAATTTTTTTGCGATGATTTTTTCTTTTTTTATAAATATTGTTAAAAACCGGCAACTTTTCAATTTTAACCTATCTTATATTAGGAGCTGATTTTTATGTGTTTTTCATCGGAAATACAATATGTGTTATACATAGTTCGAAAGAGAATTTCTTCGGCTACAAACACATATGAAATGTTATAATTGAAACCGAGATAAAAAAAATAAAAATTTCATGCACGGGCAAAATGAAATGGCTCCGCAGCGGGTCCGCTGCGGGCCCACAAAATGATTGAGCCGCGGCGGGCCCATAATGTGCGCTCTGATTTTTTCGGTGGCTGGTGGGTGGCTCTATTGTGGCTTTCTAGTGGCTCTGTAAATTTTTGTAAAATTTTTCACAAGTTTCGAGAAAAAAATTTATTTAGACTAAAAAAATCATTTAGTCCATCGTCGATTGTCCAAAATCGATTGTTCGAAGATGAAGTCGGCAATTTTTGGTGTTGGTGGGTGATGTCTGAAAAAGTTAGTTTGATAATTATAGTTTTGTTCATTTCTATGATTTTCTTTCTTTCCAAGTCTGAATAATATTCTGAAACTTCTGGTCGATTTCGTAATACAGTTTCAAATGTCTTGTGAAAAGTAAAATATCGACAAGCAATGGTGATTCAATTACCCAAAGACTTCAAGTTTTCTATCATTCATTTCAATAAATTTCCCATTCAATTTCGATGTTATAAAACACGTATGGATGCTAGAGTCGGAAAAAAAACACGTATGGATGCTAGAGTCACTTAGTCAAAGTTTCACCAAAGTTTTATCAACATTTCGGCCAATTTTGGGTTGAAAACTGGCTGAGCATTCTCCACCAAGACATATGTATTTTTTGAGAGAGAAACATGTAATTCTCTCAGCTCTTCACAAACTTTTCATTTTGATATTGAATCTTTACTAAATTTGACATGTGTAAAACATAAGCAGATGCTTCTTGCAATACACACACAGGCATAAATTCTTGACTTTTTTAATTCAGAAATGCCTGTCGCAGAAAAAAAATTCTCGCGTGATTCGGGAGGCGGGATTTATTTTGCAAGGTGCGGCACGTTTTTTCAAGCAATAATTATTTCTGATTTTTTGCATTTCGAAATTTAGTGAAGAAAAAAAGATGAAATCGAAAAAATTATTTAAAAAACGTGAAACGTGTAATCGTGGCAGGGGGCGGAGCCGACAGGAAAAAAAGTAAGAAATTTATGCCTGTGACACATGGTCAGACTTGAAGTTCACAAAATCATAGAATGTCGAGTTTGAAATTTACTCGCTCAAAAACAAAAAACTACTCACCAACAGTCCATTTCATCCGACCGATCCACTCACTATCGTTTTTCTCGCTCCTATAATTGCACTGTTTGTGAAGGGACCCTGAAAAATCGAATTTCTTTGTTTTTCCTATTTTCATGATTTTTCTTACTTTTTTTTCGAAATTCTCCAAATTCTTCGTGATGCAGGTGACTTGTTGCCCATGGTAAACCTGTAAAATCATGTGAAATCATGTAAAACTTGGAAGAAACAAGAAAAAAGCGTAAAAATAGGACAAATAGGAAAAACGAAAAATAAAAATAAGTGCGCGTCAAATAAAATGTTTGTGTGTGTGTGTTTGCACACATTTCGCGCGCTACAGTAACAAATGCATTTTTTCTAGTTTTTCAAGCATAAAAAGAATATTTCCCAAGTAAAGTCGGTTTTAAAGAAATTTATGATTGAAGCAAAGGCACGAGTCACTGAATTTTCAAATTTCGCTGCTGAAAATCATAAATTAAAGAGTTTTTTCCCCAGAATTCCGAAAAAACAGAAAGGACTCCAAAAAGCCATCATATCTCGGCGGAAAACAGTTTTCTGTATAAACCGAGTACTGAAAAATGTTCACCGTTGTTAATTTACTAGAAATCTCTCGTTCATAAAAAAAATTCCAAGATTTCACATTTTTCGAAAAAGTTAAAATTTGAAATGTGGATGGAAGTTCCATCATGGAACCACGAGAAAACATTAGAGAAATTTTTCGAACTTTTTAACAAGAATTATTAATTTAATGGATTTGTAGTGAATTGTGTAAGATGATTGTTACCCGATGTTCAAGTCTCAAACAAAAAATAAATTGAGATTTTTCGAAGTTCGAAGCACTAATGCTCGGCTAACCAGTCATTTCATGTTTTGACTTTTTGGATGATTATTCATATCGGGTTAAAATAAAGTTAATCATTGAATCCATAAAACATAGATGTTCAAAGTATTGTGTTTTCTACATGTTTGCAGACAAAAATGAAATGGCTCCGCAGCGCCTCTTCGGCGGCTCTGCTGCGGGTCAGATCACTGAAAAAAAACATTTTGATTTTTTTTCAATTTTGAAGTCGAAATATATGTTGTCGACCCTCCTGAACAACCTCCCATGCTAAAATTTGTTTAAACTATTCGAAACAATGATGATTAGTTTGAAAAAAATCATTGCGTCACCAACACCCGCCGACGCCCCACCGGTGGAGCCACCAACCAACCACCATAGCGATATGTGGCTCAGATGTGGCCCCACAATGGCCCCGCTGCGGGGCCATTTGAGAGATGGGCCCGCAGCGGACCCGCTGCGGAGCCATTTCATTTTGCCCGTGTGCAAACATGACATGGTTTTTTTGAATTGTGTGAAAAACGCATGTGTTTTTTGATGACCTGGCTCATTTTTTGAATATCGAATATATGTATAATCGAGTCGTAGTTTTGTTCAGAATCTCAAGGGCTTTCAGATGATGTAAATCAATATTTATGAAATTGTGAAATCATGGAGGAGTAGGGATTTTTCGTTTGTCAATTTTTAAAACGAAATTTTCATTTTCATTTGAAAGTGAACTCGAATGAAGTTTACATACGTTTTGAAGAGAATTTCTCGGGCTTCAAAATCATATATATTTCTATACACAAAAATGGAAATTGAAAGCTCCGCTTTCGGTTGAAAACTCAACGCTGTTTTTCGCAACGCTACTGAACGCGGTTTGTTTGTTTGGTGCAAACGCAACAAGTTTTCAACCGAAAGCGGTGCTTTTAATTTCCATTTTTGTGTATAGAAATATATATGATTTTGAAGCCCGAGAAATTCTCTTCAAAACGTATGTAAACTTCATTCGAGTTCCTTTCAAATGAAAATGAAAATTTCGTTTTAAAAATTGACAAACGAAAAATCCCTACTCCTCCATGATTTCACAATTTCATAAATATTGATTTACATCATCTGAAAGCCCTTGAGATTCTGAACAAAACTACGACTCGATTATACATATATTCGATATTCAAAAAATGAGCCAGGTCATCAAAAAACACATGCGTTTTTCACACAATTCAAAAAAACCATGTCATGTTTGCATGAAATTTTTATTTTTTTTTATCTCGGTTTCAATTATAACATTTCATATGTGTTTGTAGCCGAAGAAATTCTCTTTCGAACTATGTATAACACATATTGTGGTTCCGATGAAAAACACATAAAAATCAGCTCCTAATATGCACTGTTTTCGCGAAATAAAAGTAAAAAGTTGTGTGCGAGAGAGTGTGTGTTTGCAAGAGCGTGCCAGACATTTTTCGTTTTTCCACACACACGTAGATTTGGGGAGGCAGTGCAATTCGGCCGAACGCGTTTTTTCAACGACACTCCGCTTGCCCGCTTTTTAGTTAGTATTGGTTTTTTTTCTAGCTTTGGTTTTTTTCTTTTTTTTTCAGTTTTCTTTTTCTTTTTTGAGCTCAGAGAAACAGGACGGAGAACCGGTGGAAAAAACGACCTCTTTCGGACAGCCGTCGGAATGTCTGACCCGCACTAGAAACGTTTGCCCGCCGGTTGTCCGAGAGCCCATTTCTCTGCACAAAAACTCTAAAATAAAATACAAAACGTTTTACAGACGTGACATTTTTTCGAAATCCATGTGGCAAAATCAAATCAATGTTTTGCGTGGATTTTGTTCATTTCGAAATTTGAGATCGATATAAATCAAGTTAGTTTTTTTGTTTTAGGGAACTGGTTTTGCGGGCCGGCCCGGGCTCCAGTGACTTGCTTAAACGTATTGGAAACGTCTAGTTCCGGAAAAAAGTTCTTTTGGGGCATTTTCACCAAAATCTCTTGAAAGTAGATTTTTTTTGGCCAGCTAGTCATTTAGAATCTGAATTGTGATTATTTATTTGTTACGTTTTTTTTTAAATGAACATTTTTAGTTAAACAGCGACTTCTTGAAATATATTCATAAATATGGATTTTGGCTAAGAGTTTCTGCGAAATTTAAATGGAACTAAGAAATAATTAGGGAATTTTCAAAAATATTGTTATTTTTTGAAGTAATTGGAGATTTTCTACTTGTGCAAAAATATGGTGAGCTTTTTTGTTCTGAATTTCGCGCTTTTTGACGCCCCACTTGACTTTTCATAAAAAATGACGAAATTTAATCATAAATAAATACACAACAAATATTTATTATATTTTTGAGGAAATAGGAATATGCACTTGAAAAATTGGCTTTTTTCGCGGTAAACATGCTTTTTTTATTTTCACAAATATATTTTCTTATTCATTTTTTTTCACAAATAAAAAATGAAGAAAAAATTGGCTATAAAACATGTTTTATAGGGCTTCTAATACTTTTCCTTCCATTTTTTCTTATTTGGGAAGCAGAGAAAAGTTTTTTCATTGAGTTTAATTTTGGTGAGATTTTTAGTGTTAGATATCTACATCATAGATAGGACTTCTTAAAATTTGAGCTGCGAAATAGTTTTGAAAATGTTATAACTATTAAAACAGTTGTCTAATAATTTTTCCGTCAAAAATCCACGTGGAAATTTTTTCAAAAAATAAAATATTCAAATTGTTTGAATTTTGGTTAGAAAAATTCAGATGAAAGATTTTTTTTCCAAAATCTCAAATTTTAGCGCCTAAATCCCACATCATAGTTCGTTCGCTATGTTTTTTTCCGCGCCAAAATCAATTTTTCCTTTTTCTCGTTCCAAAATGTGTCCCCGTGGACACCAAAAATGTCACCAATTTGTCACCCAGATTCTCCCCTTTTTTTCCTAAATTTTATTCTTTTCCCGATTGTCCTTCAAGCTCCGCCCACTTTTTTGCTCCATTGCACACTTTTTTCTTTTTTTATTTTTTCCCATCCTTTTTTCTTTTAGTCAGTTTTTTGTCTTTTACTTTAGTTTTCTACTAACAAAAATGTCAGATTTTTCGTGACACAAAAAACTTTGTTTTTTCCTTAGCCTTACATAAGTTATGATTTTGTATTATTAGTTTTTTTTCTTCTTCAGAAAAATGAAGTTTTTTCTCCAAAAAAGTTATCCTTTTCCAAATAAAAAATATCATCAACAAAATTTCGCAAAACAATTTTTTCTCAAAAAAATTTTATTTTTAGTTTTAAGATACACTTTTCGCGTTCCTTTTTATTTATTTCCCTTATTTTATTTGTCAATCATCATTCAATTTCGAATTGATAACGAAAAATCGAAAATTTATCGATTTTTCCTACTGTTTTTTTCCTGTTTCTATGAAAAAATTCACAAATTTTTTCATAAAAAATAAGTAAAAATAATTGCAGCTTCTCTTTTTTTCAAGATAAAAAAATAAACCTATAATTTAAATTTTTTTCAGATTTTTCGCCTTCATGAAATGAATCGTACAAATGGCCGGCATTTTTCGACTTATTCTACTTGTTCCCATTTTTTCGGCACTATTTATTGAAGGTTAGTTGATTTTTTCTTCTGGAAAGGCAAAAAATAATCTTGAGGGTTAATCTGAGCAATGCATATGCCCTCGGGGTGCACTTTTTTGATGGAATATGTAGAAAAATGTCAGTTTTTGATGAGATTGTAAAAAAATGTTTGATTTTTGTTTTGTGTTACAAAAAAAGAGCAGCTGAAAAGTTTTTATTTCAAAGAACAGGAGTTCAATGAACCCAAACACTGGTTATCCAAACTTCTGACTTAACAACATTTGAAGATATTAAACTTTTTACAAAAGTTCGATATTCCTTGACAGTTATAATCATAACTATACAATTAATACTTGAATGACAACTGAATAGTAACTCATGAAAAATTAGAAAATTAGGATTTCCAAATCCAAAATATATATCGAGAAGGAAAACAGTGAGGGGAAGAACTAGAATAATGCATGTGAAAGCCTGAAATAATCATGTCCTCATTTAAAAAATGAAAAATTCTTCTGCGAATACCTGCGCGAATAAGCTATTGATTGCATTTTGATGGACTTTACGTGTTGAGGTTGATAAAGTTCTCATAATTCTTCGGAACGTTATTAACATATGATAACTTATTAATAATAACAGAATAACGGCTATGAAAAAACAAATAGATGTATAAAATATCAAAATTGTGACGGTTTTATTATCCTCCAAGAATGCAAAAGTTTCCAATTTTTCGAATTTTGGATATTCACTTGGATATTTTTTTTGAATTATTTCTAGTGATTTTTCTCGAGGTGTTTCAAGCAGTATGATTTGAATGAATTCAATGATAATTAGAAAAATTAGAAAAATCTTTAGAATAATTTTAGACTTGGGCTTGAGAGTAAAAATTGCGTTATTTGCAAGTTGCATTACGATTTGATGTTTCTCTATGAATTGAAAGTATAAAGTTGTAAATTGGGCAAACAGAAAAAACCCCAAAGCTATCAATGCTTGATAAGAATTGAACTCGAAAATCTTCCAAAGATATCCATCCGAAGTCACAATTCCCCAAATCGGAAAAGTAAATACAAATTGACAACCAAGATTGAATAGAACATCAAGAAAAATTGAGCTGATTTGAAAACATAGTAGATAATATTTATATTTTCCAATTTTCGAACTTTTATAAAGAATCAAATATATTCCAAATGAATTGATAATTAGTGAGATAATCGAGATAATATGATATGAAATTAGAGCCCAAAATGGGTTTTCATAAATTATATTTTCCAAATTCATATGCCAATATGAAGTGGTAAAATGAATTAGCCGATTATTTGATAGACGGCAATAAAAAATAATTCAGCTGCTTTTTGGTTGGTTAATTTGTTAGAACCTGGATTATTGAGTTTATGTGATGTTTTATTATCAAGAATTGTGGTTTGTGAACTCCAGCACAATGTTCGGAAATGGAGAACGTGCTCGAATGACAACCAGAATTAAATTTTTTTGAGCATTTTCTGAGAGGTCGTTCAAACATGTTGCATACTCTTTTAAACATCGTACTCTGCTCCCACGTATTATCATTTTTCTAATTATGTCGAAAAATTCTACGAAGCGAGAAGATAATGATGAAATCAAATAACCATGAATTCTTTTATGTGTTTTTCTAATATCTCACCTCATTATATTTCATCACTAGCCAACATTGTCTACCTTTAAAAAAAGGAGTAAAAATTAAGAAATAGTGATTTTTTTGTGTAATTATATATTATCGATAGATGCTACGGGAAAATATATATTTTCATTTTTGATTATTTCGACTTTTACAAACTTTTTTGCTGAGGCGGAGTTTTCTAATTCTTGATTAGATTTTCTTTGATTTATTGCTACTTGGACAGCTGGTTTCGAAAAATCAAAAGTAGCTATAGTTTGCAAAAGACGTTCATTATAAAGTTCATTCATTTACTTTATTAGGTGACATGAACCTTGAATATATTATTTTTGAAAACCCATTTTGGGCACTTATGTCCTATCATATTATTTTGATTATTTCATTAATTATCAATAGTTTTGAGATATATTTAATAATTCATAAAAGTTCTAAACTTGGAAACTATAAATATTATTTACTAGCTTTTCAAATTCTTTCAATCCTTGTTGATGTTATTTTTACTCTTGGTTGTCAAATTGTATTCACTTTCCCGATTTGGGCTCTTACAACCCGTGACGGCTATTTTTGGAAAATGTTCGGAATTCAAGCATATCAATCAGCGGTAAGCGATATTTTTCGAATGATTTTCAGTATTTCCCATGACGAGTTTTCAGCGGATACTCGGATTTTTTGTGCTTTGTCAAGCTATGGTTTTATGCTTACAGTTTATTGAAAAACATCAAACGTTTATGGAACTTGAAAATAACAATCGTTTTAAAATGAAACATATATCCAGATATATTTTATATTTTTCTATGGTTCTAGTTTCCTTAATTGATTTTATTTTATTTTCTTTTTCTGATATTCCCAGAGAAAAATGTCTAAAACTTATCCAACAATTATTTCCAAGTGTTTATCCGCAGTTCGAGAAATTAGAAACTTTTGGATGTTTTCATGATAGTCGAATTCTATTTATTTTTATATGTTTTACAGTAGTCCTTGTTTTCTGCGCTTTCATTTGTGCGTTATCACTTAGTTACCATATGTTAAAAACTTTTAATAGAGTTATGGAAACTTTATCAATTTCAAAACGGAAATTTCATCGAAATTCCATGTATAGTTTGTTTGCACAGGTTGAGTTATTTGAGATGCTTTATCTTGAAAAACATATTTGTTTGTTTTTAAGGCGTCAGTATGTGTGGTTCTTGTTGTTCCAGTGTTGGCAATATTTATTAATACATATTTAGAATTTGCAAATCCTAATGTTTCAATAATCCATCAACTAATCTTCAGTTGTCATTCAAGTATCAATTGTATAGTTATGATTATCACAGTTAAAGAATATCGATGTTTCGTGAAAAGTTTAATATCCTCAAATATTGTTAAGTCATATGTTTGGAAAACTAGTGTTTGGGCTCATTAAAAATCCTGTTCTTTGAAATAAAATTTTCAGATGATCTCGTTGAAATTCAACAAAAATACTGTTACTGAGGTTTTTCCATCAAAAATAGGGCATTGCTCATATCAAATCTTTAGATTTGGGGATTCATTAAAATTTTCACGGTATTGGGGGGGGGGGGCTGCTCTGCATTTCAACCAGAAAACATTTCTGTTCCGATTAAAATTATAATGGGATGAAAAAATTAATAATGCTATGTGAGTCTTCAAAATATTGAAAAAATTACACATTCCATAAAATACCATAAAATTAACGCGTTGTGTTGCTCATCTTTAATAATAGATATTGCTCAAAAACGATAGTTTTTCCGATTGCCATAGATTTTCAGAAATTCATTTTTCATTTTAATCATTTGTATGCTCTTTTTTGAGACATTCATTTTTGATAGTTCATAATATATTTCTTAAATTGACTCTGCATTTTAATAGAGGTTATCTATTTTAATAGAGGTTATAGAGGTTATCTAGGTTTAAACTTTTCCGACAGCTGCAATTTTCCATTTCCGTTCATGAAATCAGTCATTTCCATTTCAATAACTAAATGAAGCTTGAAAATATTACCTATAAAAATCCATTTTGGGTTCTTATATCCTATCATATTATTTCAATCATCTCATTAATTATCAATTTGTTCGGAATTTATTTAATAATACATAAAAGTTCGAAAATTGGAAACTATAAATATTATTTATTAGCATTTCTAATCTGCTCGATTTTTGTTGATATTGATCTGACTATTGGTGCTCAATATGTTGTAACTCTACCAATTTTTGCGTTTTCAACATCAGATGGTTATTTTTGGAAATTCTTTGGAATCTCAGCATTTAAATCTGCAGTTTTCTTGGCCTGTTTCATGCTTTCACAAGTCAATATTCTGTTCTTTCAATTCGTAGAGAAGCATCAAATGGTTATGCAACTTGCGAATCGCAAATGTTTCCTACTGAAACCTATCTCTAAATTCTGTGTTAATCTAATTTCGGTGCCATTTTACTCGGCTATATTAATTATATTTATGTTTTGTGAAATTCCTCGTGAAAAATCGCTGGAAATCATAGAAGAAAAATATGCAAGCGTATATCCGAAATTCAAGAAAATCGAAACTTTTGCTCTTCTCGATGATAGTCAGCATTTGATGCTTTTATTTTATTATATAACTTTCTGTTTTCTGGTATCAGTATTTTTATTATTAAGTTTAAGTTATCAAATGTTGACTAGTTTTTGGAGAATTATGGAAGTGTTATCGAACGAGAATCGACAAATACATCAGAGTGCCATTTATAGTTTGTTCGCGCAGGTTTGAAACTCGAAGCAATATTCTTGATCAACCATTTTTTGAGGCATTGACATGTTCTGTTCTCGTCGTTCCGATTTTCGGATTTTTAATCGATTTTTTCTTTGGATTTGGCGATCAATATCTACTATTCTTTCATGAATTATTGATTAGTTCTCATTCAACTATTAATTGCATTGTTATGATTTTGACTGTCAAAGAATATCGAGAATATGTGAACAGCTTGGTATTTTCAAATGTTGTCAAGACGCGTGTGATAAAAAGTAGTATATTAGTTCAATAGAATTCTTGTAATGAAAATCACCTGTTTCATCTGATGTTTCGAATTATTACGCTCAATAGCCTACAACTTGATTCACAATAAATAACAGGTCATAACTCATAGAACCTGATAAATAACTCGGACAGATATTCGCTGAATTCACGACACGTTGGCGAAGATCTGCAGAACTTTTCAGCAGATCAAGTGAGCTAAACAAGTGAGCTGATTTTGCGACCGCCGCAGGGAAAATGCTGAATGAGTTGCGACTGTTTTCTTAAATTTCGAGTTTTCGAAAAGTGTAGCACATTTGCTCAAAACTGCCGAACTTCTGCACCAACAAATTAGCGCCAATGATGCGGATATTTTCCCGGGTGGAGAAGAACTAAACAATATTAATAGTTTCTAAGCTTATAGCTTTTATAAACTGTCAAATATATTCCATACTAAATATTGATAGTTAGTGATAAAATTTCGATAATAGTATAGGAAACTAGAACCCAAAATGGGTATTATCCAGATTCATATAAAGTTGAACAATGTTCATGCATTAAACACTGAATTATTTCAGCTGTTTTTTGGTTTGTTGAATTCTAGAAGCCAAGATTTTTGGACATAATCATGTGATTTAATTAAAAGTGAAATATATAGTATTCTTAAAAGAATTTATTTTCCAAGATAAAACATAATTGTTGCTAGAAAATTAGATATTTTGATTTCCTGGTAGTATTACATCACATGACTATGTTCAAAAATCATTTTTTTTTCCATCAGCTTACTAGAACTCACTCAAAAACAGCTGCAATTTATTTGTCGCAGTCAATTATATGATCGTTATTTTCCACTTCATGTTGGCATATGAATTTGGAAAATATAAGTTATAAAAACCCATTTTGGGCTCTAATTTCATATCATATTATCTCGATTATCTCATTAATTATCAATTCATTTGGAATATATTTGATTCTTTATAAAAGTTCGAAAATTGGAAAATATAAATATTATTTACTATCTTTTCAAATCTGCTCGATTTTTGTTGATATTATTTTCACTCTAGGTTGTCAATTTGTATTCACTTTTCCGATTTGGGGATGCGTAACTTCAGATGGATATTTGTGGAGAATTTTTGGCCTAAATTCGTATAAAGCGTTGACAGTTCTGGCCTTTTTTCTCTTCGCTCAAGTTACTATTTTATTTTTTCAATTCATAGAAAAACACCAAAGTGTTATGCAACTTGCAAATCACAAATTTCTCTATTCAAAACCGATTCCTAAAAATATTTTAAGAATAATTGTTCCCTTACTCATTTGGACTGTAGAGATCTTCGTCCCTATGTTTGAAGTTCCACGAGAAAAACTGCTAGAAATAATCCATCAAAAATATCCAAGTGAATATATGAAATTCGAGAAGTTGGAAACTTTTGCATTTGTGGAAGATAATGAAATTGTATCAGTTGTATTGTATTATGCATCTATTGTATTTCTTCTAGCAGTTATTTTATTATTATCAATGAGTTATCATATGTTAACAACTTTCAAAAAAATTATGGGAAATTTATCAAGTTCAAATCGAAAATTCCATCAAAACGCGATTAATAGCCTATTTGCGCAGGTAATAAACAATATTACTTTTATTTTTAATTTAATTTTTGAGGCGTTTGCTTGCGTTGTTTTGATAACTCCACTTTCTGCATTTCTCGTTGATCTACATTTCGGATTTGGGAATTCTAATTTTCTAATTTTTCATGAGTTACTATTCAGTTGTCATGCAAGTATTAATTGCATAGTTATGATTATAACTGTCAAGGAATATCGAATTTTTGTGAAGAGTTTGGTATTTTCAAATGTTGTTAGGACAGAAGCTTGGAAAAGTAGTGTAAGAGTATACTAGACTTGTTTTCGTGATTTTTCAAAATAAAATTTTAAACAAAAGACTACAGATGATGAGAAATCCGATTACCCGAACCAATTTTGGTGGTGGGTGGTTTTCTTTTTTTTTTTCCTTTGTCAAAATTTTTGGAGTCATTAAGAGCGCGCGGCACTTAAAAGCAGAAAAAAGGCACGAGATGAGGGAGGAGAGGGAGATTAATTGGTTTTTTTAGGGAATGGACGACGCGAAAAACAGATGAATTTTTGCGTGTCGAGAGTAGGGAAAAGGGGAAGGAGGATTTTTGAAAATATAGGGATTTTGGCGCCGATAAATTTGGGGATCTTGAAAAAATTGGAATTTTTTTATATGAAAAATTACTGTTTCAAAGTTTTGGTAATTTATGTAGAAATGAAAAATTGAAATAATTTGCTTTCTGTATTTTTTGAATTTCAAAATTTTATTGTTTCAAGTTTATTATGATTTTTGTGCAGCTGATTTGGGTTTTAATTGGGAATTGGAAATTATCAACAAAATTTGAAATTCGCACAAAAGTTTCAGAATTTGATGAATCAGTGCAATTTATTTTTTTCCGTTTTAAAATTTCACTCTTTCAAAAATTGCACAAACAAAAAAATCTATATAAATTATATTTTTATAGATTTGTAAATTAAATTTTTTTTCAAAGACTCATTTTAATCAACTTTTCAAGAGAAAACAATACCCTGTAAACTTATTTGCGAGTATATTTTTTTTACCTAAAAATTTGATTTCATTTTTTTTCATAAACTTATAATATGTGTAATCTTTCTCCTCTTCCGCTCTAATTTTTCCAATCAAAAAATATTTATACATATATACTATCTGAGTACACATCTTCCTTCTCCTCCTACTATTTCCTCTTTTTTTTCACTCACTCACTCAAAACCTAATTGAGGCTTTTCCGGGGTGGACGTGGATGTAAAAATAAAAATGTGTGAAAAACTGACATTGTATACTCTTGGGAACAACTTTGGGGAGAAACAAAAAAAAGTTTGAGAAGGCAAGAAAAAATGGGGGATCTGTGAGGTTTTTAAGGGGGACAAATTATGGGTGAATCTGGATTATATTTAGACTTGAATTTCAGGTTTGCGGTTTAGGCTTGAACATTTTGAGAATGTTGTTTTGAAAAAAACATAAAGGGTCCCAAAAAATGGAGACCCCTTTAAAAATGCAATAAAAATCCAAATTTTCAGCCTCCTCCCGCTGTCGATTACCATGGATCGGAACTTGGCTGGAAAATGGCATCGAAGTTAACATAACTCACAATTCAATAGGAAATTTGGGAAATTGTGTGAGAAAATCGAGAGATTTATTTTTGCTAACAAGTGACACAAATCGAGGATCCTGTTATCGATGTTTGATTACTTTTCCAGTTCATGAGAATGTGTTGCATTATAAAGTGACACAGTGCAATTTTGATAATGATATTTCGTTTGAAAGATGTTCTCAAATGATGAGTGCTGATACAACTATGCATACATTGTTTAGAAGTGAGTTTTTGAGGAGTGGGTGTCTTGGTGGAAGGTGGACAAACATTGACATTTCCAGCTAACTTTTCTCTGGATTTTTTTTTGTGAAAAAGTGATATATTTTTGAAAAAACCATCAGAAGGGTTTCCCAAAAGCCCCAGGGGATTTTTTCTCGAAAGGCCTAAAAAGGTCCGAAAAAAATATTCCATGAACTTTTTTCATACGTGGTACCTAGTTTATGGAACATTTTTTCTGGACGTTTCCAGAAAAAATCCCTTTGAGGTTTTACTACTTTTGGGGAGCCTTTAACTTTGCGACAAAAAAAATTTGTCGTCTTACCCCCCCCCCTTTAAACAAATGCCGATACTTTTAAATTAATTGAATTTTTTTACTGGGTCAAATTCAAAAACAAATTTTTTATAGAATTTATTTCTCGAAAATTTTTTAAATTCAAAGTTTCAAAAATTTGAGAAAGTAAAGTCCGTTATATGTAAAATTATTGTTTTTTAAACAAGTGATTCTAAAAAATTTATCGTGTTGAATTTTAATTAGAACTTCTGGAAATTACCTCAAATTTTTATTTTACAGAAAATTCACTGTTTCTAAAATTATAGAAAATAAAATCAATTTTATTTGGTTCAGATTTTGCAACTAGTTATCCGTGAACTCGCACTCAATTTTCCCTTAACAAAAATAGGAATTTTCAGAAGATTCCACTCCAACCTCTTGTCCAATCGAAGCTCCTCTCAATTTCACATATCAATCCAATACTGGCTCATGCACAAGTCGAACTTCTCATCTCCATAGATGTTCGCAGTTTGATCGTTTAGCTTTGCATTATCAGGCTTGTCCAGAAGTTCCGAATCGAGAAGCTTCGATTCGACAAATTGAATGTATTGGATCTTGGCAATCTTATGGACAGAATTATTTCGCTGCGCGGGTTTTTGATAGAAATGGAGAGCATTATAAGTGCTTTGTGAGTTTTTTTTGGGGGGGGGGGGCAAACTAATGAACTTTCTAATCTACAAAATTATCACTGTTTCAAAAAATTTAATTAAAAATTTTTTAAAAGTAATTTTTTGAAATGTTGAAGAAAAGAAATGTAAAATAAAAAATCGAAATTAGTTCAAAAATTCACAAAACCTATCAAAAACCAGAAAATCTTCCCATCAACCCCTCCCTATGTTTTCCAGATTCTCGAAAAATTCGGCTCTTCCGGAAGAATCGGTGAATCCGCTGATTCCGCTTGCCAAGAACTCACTCATATTGACGCCGCCGCAACATCGCTCACATTCCGCCAAGATACACCAATTCAACCGGGATGCGAGTTTCCGAGTTCGATTTCCGGTGTTCCTTGGGAATCGATGAGCACTGGTGAAAGTCATAAGATATATCAGAACACGTGGATTTCTTCGATAAAAATGAGAAATGAAACTGTTTGGATGTGCCTGAAGTCTGAGGCTGGAGATAAATTTGGAAGAAATCCTGAAATTTATACTTTTCGAACGTTTGTCACAAAAGGTTGTCAAATTGGATATCAGTGTATTCGAATTCATCAACGTAAACGGTTTCTGATTCACATTGAATATGGAGAGATTCATGAATCTACCACTGAATTCGATGAGTGCTTAGATGACTTTCTCGTGGAATCCAGAGATACTATGATTCTGAATCAGGCTGAAGAGGAATGTCCAATTGGCGGAAAACATTTTTCGAAAAATTTGAGAATTTGTGGAGGAGATTTGGAAGAGGAAAAGGTGACAATGATGGTTGGATGTGGATCGAAGTATGAGATGAAAGTGTCGAGAGGAGAAGATTGTCAAAGGGTGGATAAGGGTGAGTTTTTTGGGGTGAAATTCTGGATTGTGGAACTGTATTTTTGCTTCCAAAAATTAAAAATATCATATGTAACGTTTTTTTCATTAGTTCCGTATCCAACGGTTTTTTTCTGAGAAATTCGTTTCGAAATTTGCATTATTTTTTGAGAATTGATGTTCCGATGAAAAAGAATTTCAACTCTTTCTGAAATTTATAAATAAATTCTGCAGAAATTCTGGAAATTTGGGCTGAAACTTTGAATAATAAATAAAATTTTTGATGAGTATTTTTTAATCAAAAAAATCGCAATTGTATTTTCAGCCCAAAAAAAGATAACAAGAAAAAAATTCTCGAACATAATTTACTGTTTAAAAAATGTCATTTTCTGCCTTGTTTTTATAATTGAATGATATGCGTACATTGTTTGAAAAATAAATTAATTTTCAATAAAATCCAAATTCTTGCAGACGAATTCACATGTGTCACTGGTTATAAACACGATGGAAATGATTTCATTATAGTCCGCGATAATTTGTCAAGACAACTTCATTGTATTGTGAGCTTTCTGGCTTTTTCAGGCTTTGTGATCCAAATATCCCAAATTTCAGACGTATATTTCATCACGTATCAATCTTTTGCGTCTCTACGATCGTGTTTCTTGCGATCACATTTCCGTAAATAGCGCAAACCCATCTCTGACTTTGAACTTCAGTTCAACTGATTCATGTTCTCCCTCACTTCTCACCGGTTTTCTTTACTCTGCCACGTCATTTTCCACGTCAGAATTGAGTTTTTCAAATCTGATTTTGATTTTTCTAGTATTAGTCACTCGAAATGGGTTTTTTTGAACTTGATTGTTTTGTTGTATGATTACGGGTTCATAAATTATGGATTTTCCACAAAATTGTTCCATTTTTTCAGAATAATTTAGAAAAAGAATGTTACAGTAAGCTCTGCAGTTCTAACCTCTCTTAGATGTTGCTCCAAAAAAATGATAATTCAGAGTATAGCATCAAAAAAATCAAGCTTTCAGTAAAATTTGAATAAATTCGTGATAGCGGTCAGGTGAACAAACAATTCAGTTTCAACCCCTGAATGCCCCCTTTCCCCTATGTCTCCATTTTTTTTTCAAATTCTCCACATGAACAAAAGATTTTCAAGCAAAATCATATCAATTTTCCTATTAATTTTTCTAGTTTTAATTTTCTGGAAAGTTTTCCTGTCCAAAAAATCGTTTAAAAATTCGCGCATCGAAATTGAAATTCAAAATCCTATAGCGATTCTGATGGTTCTGGCGAAAAATACAGATTTATCGGAATATGAATTGGCTGTTGATTCGATTGAATGTTATTCGAGGATTCAGAATTATCAATTTATTATTGTTGATGATCAGGATTTTGAGTGTGAGCAGAAAGATGTGAGTTGAAAAAAGGAGAAGGTGGCCATGACAACAATTCAGAGTTTTTATTTGTGAGTTAGATTCTGATTCACTCCCTAAACTATCATAGAAAACTGATTCAAAATTTCGAAGTTTCAAATTTTAATTCACAGCTTTCTCTTAAAATTCAAACTATTATTTTTTTTAATTCTTTAAAACTATTTAACTCTAAATTTGCCACATCAAACCTCATTTTTATTTTCAGAAGTTTTTCCGTCGTCACTGCGTAGTTGCTCAACTTCTTCCATTTTTCAAAACTATAATTTTTCTTGATGCAGATGTTGGAATTGTGAATCCGAAAAAACGTATCGAAGATTTCCAGAAACCAGAATTCGATATTATTTTCTATGATCGATTTTATAATTGGGAAATTGCACTAGGCTCATATATTGTCAGAAATACTCAATTTTCCATTGATTTGCTCACTGATTTTGCCAATTATGAAAAAAAGTTGCCGAAAAGTTTTCATGGAACTGATAATGGAGCTGTGCATGTGAGTTATGATAAGAACGAAGAAGCTGAAGTTTTAGAGTTGAAATTCGAGACTCGAAAAAATAACCATGTGAAAGATTTTGTGAACTTAGGGTTTTTAAAACCAGGAATTTTGTGAAATTAAATTTTCCGAAGAATCGACAAAAAATTTTGAAACAGTAAAAATTATCACGGAAAACCATTCAAATCTGCCACTTCATAGCTCGAATTTTCCAGCTCTTCCTGGCCAAACGAATATTTCCTGATGTTTCTTTCGAACATTGTGAAGTTATGTATAACAAAACTGGATTTTATCAAGATCTTTTCACTTACGAAGCTTGTATTCGAGCAAAACTTGGAGTAAAAACAGATTTCGGAAAAATTCAAATTATGCGAAAAGGAAGAAGTTGGATTCGCGATGATTGGTTATATGGTGGAAAATGGAATCCGGAACTCGATTTTATGTTGCATGGCTGGAAAATGTCACAACTTATACCAACTCCAAAAATTGCCAATTTGAAAACTTTTCCAATGAGTCGAGTTAGTTGGTATTATCCATTAGTTGGAAAATTGGAATTGGAGAAATGTGGACCTTGGAATTCCACGTGGAATTATGAGCAGAGATTAATTGCAAGTCGCGAAGAAATCGAGGAAATTCGCGATAAATTTGAGAGTTTTGTAGATTTGCAGCAAATTTTTGGAATGTCCAGAATGAGACAACTTTATGAGAGAAAGAGGCTTGGATTTTTTGGAAAAATGATTTGGCGTATGTAGTTTGATTTTGTGGATTTTTGGAATAAATCAACGTCTAAACAAATATAAAATTCACATGGGTTACTGTAGAAGAAAAGCTTTACTGTCACAATATGTAGAAAAATTTGTACAAACAATAATCGCTGTCCAAGTTAACTAAAAATAATCGATAATGTATACCCTCAAAATAATTATTCACAATTGCATATTTCTGATCATCAATGATGTTTCTCACAAATTCTTTGAACTTTGATTTCTGAGCCAAAGTTGCGTTGTGAACTTCCATATTCAATTGACAAACTGTGATACCTTCTTGGTCCAAGATTCCATTTTTGTAGAAATATGGGAAAAGACCGTATTCGGAATATTCATTATCAATCCAGAGATGATCTATGATTTTGAGGTTGAGAATGTTTTTGATAAAGTGCAGGAAATTGATATGAAATACTGGGATAGTTGTGTAGTTTTCTGAAAAATCAGATGGGTTAGATTATTAAGGGATTTACATTCTTATAGAATAATTCTGGAGTGATCAATCACATTTCCACATTTATCGACTCACCTCCAACCAACACACTTGCATCATAAAATCCATCTGTAGAACTTATTGCAAGTGGAAAATATTTCCCAATCTCCTGATATATTTTATAATTATCCATGAACATTGGATCGGCTCCATAAAACTGCAGCGGAATTTTATCATAGGCTTGCTTCAATTTCTTCTCGGCTCCGATATCTTTACCAACTCCCAAAGACAATACAATGTCTGCAGAATCAATGAGTCGATTTTTAGGCAAAATGGCAAATTTCTGCTCGTCCGTATTGTTGAAGCCGCGAATTTTCAAAGATTCAAAATGTTTTCCACAATAATCGATTTTCTTAGTTGTTGAATTCCAGAAATCCTGTGGATTTTCTTTGAAATCAAATGATCTATCAGCGCAATCTATCCATTCTTGGAAAACTCGTAGTTTCGATTTTTTCTCGAATTTTTGGAAGATCAAAGCTTTGAATAGAAGAAAGTAGACTAGAAATAGGAGGAAAAATAGGCTTAGATGGACTATTGTGAATTTCATTTTCGCACAAAATCGAAATCAAAATTTAAATGAGGAACTACAGTAGATTGGCTTTATTTGCTCAATTTTTAATGATTTTGATTTATTCATTTTATTGTTTCGTTGGACAAGATTGTGCATTGTGAAAAACCAGATGTGCAAATGTACTAATCGTTAGAATTACTGTGAACGAAAAAATAAATTTATCACGATAAAAAGCACGGGGATTATTCAAAAAGAAGGAAACGAGGAAAATATAGAGCGATGAAAATTCGAGGTTTTCCAGTTTAATGCGAACTGTTTCATATTTTGCTATCCGATGTTGAATTTTATAACTCTATTCTATTTTCTGTCTTTGCCTTGTGTTTCTCTATTTTTTCATATATGATGTTCTCGATGAAAATCGTGAAATTTCCTGATTTCACGAAAAAAACCAAATTGAAAAAATAAACGAGAGAGTGTTGTGTGTAGAAGAGACGAGAGAAGAGGAGAGAAAATGAGAGATAGAAACGCATAAGAGAGACGCCAGACAACACAACGGTTTGTGAATTTTTTGCCAACCTCAAAACCATTTTTCGTTTTTTCACAAAAAATGCTAAAATCGTTCATACTTAACCAAATTTCATAATCTTTGCATCAAAAAATAGCAAATTCACGAGAATAGAGAATGCAAGAAGAAAAACCTAGACAACTTTTCTCAAAACACCAAAAAATATGATTATAGGTTTTTCGCTCATGTTTTGCAATCCGATGTTGAATTTTATAATTCTATTCTATTTTTCTGTCTTTGCCTTGTGTTTCTCTATTTTCTCATATATGATGTTCTCGATGAAAATCGTGAAATTTCCTGATTTCACGAAAAAAACCAAATTGAAAAAATAACCGAGAGAGTGTTGTGTGTAGAAGAGACGAGAGAGGAGGAGAGAAAATGAGAGATAGAAACTCGTAAGAGAGACGCCAGACAACACAACGGTTTGTGAATTTTTTGCCAACCTCAAAACCATTTTTCGGGTCAATAGTAGTATGCATGGAATACATGGCATGGAAGTACTATGCATGTTAAAAAATTTATTACATGGAAGGTACTTTACATGTAATGAGTATTATACATGTGAAAAAATTTTATACATGTAAGAAGAATTTTGATTTTTTTCTAATTTCTGGGAAGATTTTCGACCAAGCAGAATTTGATGGGAAGTCTGAAATTTTAGGAATTTCAGATCAGAATCACGTGATTTTTACGTGAAAATCGAAATTTTCAAAAAATTTCTAGTTAAAATGTCTAGCCTGAGATGTTTTCAGACATGCTGAAAACGATGGGATAACTGAAATTTTGACAATTTCAGATTTTCAGCCAGAATCACGTGAAAATCGAAATTTTCAAAAAATTTCTAGTTTTTGGCTACAAATGTTTTCAGACATGCTGAAAACGATGGGATAACTGAAATTCTGAGAATTTCAGCTGTTCAACCAGAATCACGTGAAAATCGAAATTTTCAAAAAATTTCTAGTTTTTGGCTACAAATGTTTTCAGACATGCTGAAAACGATGTGATAACTGAATTTCTGAGAATTTCAGCTGTTCAACCAGAATCACGTGAAAATGTTTTCAGACAAGCTGAAAACGATGGAATGACTGAAACTTCAAGAGAATTGAACTTTGAAGGTGTTCGAAAGACGACAAAAATCAGAATGAACTTTTTGAAAGTAAAATTCATATAAAATTTAAATTAAAATCATTAAAAATCCAGCGGTTGGCGGAGGCGAATCCTGTGATCGGACGATTCAATCTGAAAAAAATCGAATAAATCATAATTCTGGTTTTTCAAATTTTTTTTGGGAAATTGTGGGAACTAGAACTTCGTTCCTAACCTAAGTTTGATAACTTTTTTGGAAGAAAACAATATCAGTATTGTCATGTGTTTAATTTCCAGCTAGTAATTAATCGGCGACCATTGAGCTTCCAACGAACATGCTACGTTTTCATTATAATTCTATGGGAGTAAGCCACTCTTGGAAAATTGTAAGCTATTTTTCAGGAAGAATTAGGTTCTAGGATTTACCGGGAAAATGCCCGTTTGTCTGAGATCTGATAAAATCTTATTGATTAAGGCAATTATGAACAGGCTAGAAACCGATTAGCTGAAATACCTGATTGTACCGTATCGAAAAAGACCAGAATTGAAATGATGATAGAAAAATCGTTGTTTTTTTGCACGATACCCAGAGACAGTTCAAGTTCAGATCGGCTTGTTTACAGTCTGTTCACAAATAAGTGTGAAAATCGACAAAATTCCACTTAAAAACGGAAGATTCCAGATTTTTCAATTAAAAATTAAATCAGACTAGTTATACTCTGGGTGAGAGTGAGAAATCGTGAAACATTTCACTTGGAAAAATCATGAATACCTCATAATTTGTAAAATAACTCACATTTTTATCGAATTCTCCATAATTTTGTCGATTTCGTCGTCTTCGCAGTCGGTGTGCGACTCCTTCTCATCTGTAAAAAACACTCATCAAAAAATGAAGTCACAAAAATAAGTTTTTCAATAGAAAAAAGCTTTCCAAGCGTAAAAACTAGAAAAAAAAAGAAAAAAATTGGCCTAAAATAATTGGCAAACATCCAATTGTTGGTATCCTAGGCCATTGGCCGAGGTTCCTTGAAATTTTTAGGCCACCATTCAATTTATTTTTTTTCTTTTTTTTTCGTTTTTTCTCGTGTTTTCCTCGTTTCATATAGAAATTGTATATTTAATGCTGCGAAAAACACAAAAAACGTGTTTCCCGTATAAAATCACAGATGAAACTTCATGAGAACTTTGAAATTGACCTATTTCGCATGAATTTAGGCCAAAAAACTAAAATGTTCATTTTTTCGATTTTTTTCAAATTTTTCGACAATAGAACGACGTTACTTTGTAGTTTCACTCAATTGCAGCCCTATTAAAGAGTTTTAGGAGAGAATTTACTACTGGAGCCTATTCACTTTTATCTATTTATTTTTTGCAGATCAATCAAATGCAACAACAACATAGGACAAATATCGAAATGTAATTTCATTTTTTTAAATTTCCATTCAGAATTTAGAGAGAAACATGTATTTTTCAGATTCCGGCAGTCTGCTCAACAATTGATGGATTCGACAAGGGATTTTGATTGAAATGTAAGTATTTTGGGGTGGTTTGGGGGAAAATCATATAAAATTATGAAAAACTGAAAGTTTCAGCTTTTCCTGAACCCAAAAGCTAGAAATGCGGAAGTACGTGCTTTTGGGTTCAGGAAAAGCTGGAGTTTCAGCCAAAAATTTTGAAAATCTGAAAATTGCAGTTTTCCTGAACCCGAGAGCTTGAAATATAAAAATTAAAGGTTTCGGGCAAGAGAGAAGCTGGAATTTCAGCCAAAAATCCTAAAATTTTGAATAAAACAACATATAGCCTAGGTTTCAGGTCTGAAATTTGAGGAAAAGCTCAGATTTCAGGCCTGAAATCTGAAATCTAAGAAAAAGCCTAGTTTTTGGGCCTGAAATTTGAGGAAAAGCTCAGATTTCAGGCCTGAAATCTGAAATCTAAGAAAAAGCCCAGTTTTTGGGCCTGAAATTTGAGGAAAAGCTCAGATTTCAGGCCTGCAATCTGAAATCTAAGAAAAAGCCCAGTTTTTGGGCCTGAAATTTGAGGAAAAGCTCAGATTTCAGGCCTGCAATCTAAAATCTAATGGGGTGATTCAGGTCGAAAAAAAAACTAAAAAAAAAACGTTTTTTTACAAAAAAAATTCGATTCAGCAAATGTCAAAAAACTATATTTTTTTCCTATTTCTCGACATTTTTTTTATTGAAACATTTTCGCTGCGAGATATCTTTCATTTTTGTGTGGAAAAAATAGGGTTTTTTGACATTTGCTGAATCGAATTTTTTTGTAAAAAAAACGTTTTTTTTAAATTTTTTTTTTGACTTGAATCACCCCATAAGAAATATCTCAGATTTCAGGCATGAAATTTGAGAAAAATCTCAGATTTGAAGCTTGAAATCTAAAATCTAAGCCAAAGCCCAGATGTTGGGCCTGAAATTACCTTAATCAATAAGGTTGTATCAGATCTCAAAAATACGGGCATTTTCCCTGTATATCCTATAACCAAGTTCTTTCTGAAATACAGTGCGTTTCATAATGATAGGTTCACCCCCAAAATTTCTGAAATCAGCCGAGGTGTGAGTTGTAATAACAATCCGAGTTAAAAATAAAAAAGAGCACACAAAATTAGCTAAGAAAACTCAATTTTATCTGAAACTACCAAATAATAAAAAAATAAATGACCGGAGTTCAAAAATTTCAAAAATTTAGCGTTTCAAAACGATAGGTTCACCCGCAGTAGTACTGTAGTTATGTTTCGTGGTAGGAGTTTTATCGAATATTCTGGAAAATACGAGTGATATTTGATTATTTTAACGTGTTTCTGTTTTTGTTCTCGTTTTTTCACGTCATTCATCAATGTCGCGGGGAAGTCATCTTACAAAAGAGGAACAAGCTCAAATTAGAGCATTCAAAATCGCCGGATGGTCCAATAGAATGATTTCGTCAAAATTGAAACGATCTCTCAACTGTATTAATCAATTTATCAACAATCCGGATCACTATGAGCGAATGAAAAACACTGGAGCTCCCAAAAAACTCACGGAGAGAGATAAACGAGGGATTGTTAGGTTGGCTTCGAACACAATGAAATCGTGTAATGACATCAAAAACGAGCTGGGTTTGAATATCAGTAAGACTACAGTTTGGAGAGCCATAGACCAATCCCCAGAAATCGTTCGAGCCAAATTGGTGCCAGCTCCGCGTCTCACACTTCGCCACAAAGACAACCGTCTTACTTTCGCAAAAGCCAACATGGCCACAGATTGGGATAAGGTAAGTAATTTTTCTAAAAACATCAAATATTGATGTTTTCTTGTTCAGATAATTTTTTCTGACGAAAAAAAGTTTAATCTTGATGGTCCGGATGGTTACAACTCATACTGGCATGATATCAGAAAGGATCAACTTCGCTTCCCAAAGAGAAATTTTGGAGGAGGACGGGTTATGTGTTGGGGCGCATTTTCTGCAGCTGGAACGTTAAAAATAGCTTTTGTTTCATTCAAGATGGATTCGTTAGATTACCAAAAAACCCTCCATGACTATCTTTTGCCATATTTGAGGCGGTTCCGGACCAGAAAGTTCACTTTTCAACAGGATAATGCTGCCATCCACGTCAGCCAATCATCAAAAGATTGGTTCAAAAGCCACAAAATCAAAGTTTTGGATTGGCCAGCGTGTTCTCCTGATCTTAATCCGATGGAAAACGTATGGGGAGCTCGTTCGCCGAGTTTATGCTCAAGGAAAAAAATATGATACTGTGGACCAACTCAAAGATGCCATCGAGACGGAATGGAATAAAATCGATAAGAACTACCTCAAGAGACTTGTTGACTCGATGCCAAATCGTCTCTATGATGTCATTTCTAAACATGGAGGTCCAACTAAGTATTGATTTTCGATTATATGTCTCCAATGGGAATTCTGGATTAGGTGAACCTATCGTTTTGAAACGCTAAATTTTTGAAATTTTTGAACTCCGGTCATTTATTTTTTTATTATTTGGTAGTTTCAGATAAAATTGAGTTTTCTTAGCTAATTTTGTGTGCTCTTTTTTATTTTTAACTCGGATTGTTATTACAACTCACACCTCGGCTGATTTCAGAAATTTTGGGGGTGAACCTATCATTATGAAACGCACTGTATAGCTTACAATTTTCCAACAGTGGCTTACTCCCATAGGATTATAATGAAATTAAACACACCCTAGAGCCTTATAAAAACACTGATATTGTTTTCTTCCGAAAAAGTTATCAAACTTAGGTTAGGAACGAAGTTCTAGTTCCCACAATTTCCCAAAAAAAATTTGAAAAACCAGAATTATGATTTATTCGATTTTTTTCAGATTGAATCGTCCGATCACAGGATTCGCCTCCGCCAACCGCTGGATTTTTAATGATTTTAATTTAAATTTTATATGAATTTTACTTTCAAAAAGTTCATTCTGATTTTTGTCGTCTTTCGAACACCTTCAAAGTTCAATTCTCTTGAAGTTTCAGTCATTCCATCGTTTTCAGCTTGTCTGAAAACATTTGTAGCCAAAAACTAGAAATTTTTTGAAAATTTCGATTTTCACGTGATTCTGGTTGAACAGCTGAAATTCTCAGAAATTCAGTTATCACATCGTTTTCAGCATGTCTGAAAACATTTGTAGCCAAAAACTAGAAATTTTTTGAAAATTTCGATTTTCACGTGATTCTGGTTGAACAGCTGAAATTCTCAGAATTTCAGTTATCCCATCGTTTTCAGCATGTCTGAAAACATTTGTAGCCAAAAACTAGAAATTTTTTGAAAATTTCGATTTTCACGTGATTCTGGCTGAAAATCTGAAATTGTCAAAATTTCAGTTATCCCATCGTTTTCAGCATGTCTGAAAACATTTGTAGCCAAAAACTAGAAATTTTTTGAAAATTTCGATTTTCACGTGATTCTGGTTGAACAGCTGAAATTCTCAGAAATTCAGTTATCACATCGTTTTCAGCATGTCTGAAAACATTTGTAGCCAAAAACTAGAAATTTTTTGAAAATTTCGATTTTCACGTGATTCTGGTTGAACAGCTGAAATTCTCAGAATTTCAGTTATCCCATCGTTTTCAGCATGTCTGAAAACATTTGTAGCCAAAAACTAGAAATTTTTTGAAAATTTCGATTTTCACGTGATTCTGGCTGAAAATCTGAAATTGTCAAAATTTCAGTTATCCCATCGTTTTCAGCATGTCTGAAAACATTTGTAGCCAAAAACTAGAAATTTTTTGAAAATTTCGATTTTCACGTGATTCTGGCTGAAAATCTGAAATTGTCAAAATTTCAGTTATCCCATCGTTTTCAGCATGTCTGAAAACATCTCAGGCTAGACATTTTAACTAGAAATTTTTTGAAAATTTCGATTTTCACGTAAAAATCACGTGATTCTGATCTGAAATTCCTAAAATTTCAGACTTCCCATCAAATTCTGCTTGGTCGAAAATCTTCCCAGAAATTAGAAAAAAATCAAAATTCTTCTTACATGTATAAAATTTTTTCACATGTATAATACTCATTACATGTAAAGTACCTTCCATGTAATAAATTTTTGAACATGCATAGTACTTCCATGCCATGTATTCCATGCATACTACTATTGACCCATTTTTCGTTTTTTCACAAAAAATGCTAAAATCGTTCATACTTAACCAAATTTCACAATCTTTGCAGCAAAAATAGCAAATTTACGAGAATATAGATCGCAAGAAGAAAAACTTCAAAAACTTTTTCCCCCAACACCGAAAAATTATGATTATAGGTTTTTCGGCTTGATTCCCCTCGATTTTTCTATGAATATTCATTTTTTCTAGAAAAAAAAGAAATACAGAATTGTTGAAATTTTGGCTGGATAAAAAATGTTGTATTCTTTCATTATTGCATTCTGGTATTTCTAATACAAAAAATCATTGCATTCTGGTACCATTAAAAAACGCGAGTTGTATTCTGGGTGGCCATTTTGACATTTCTAAAAATGTTGTTTTGTTGAACTGTTTTTGCCAGCCTATAGTGAAAACTTGTCGTATTTTTGAAATTTGTTTTGAACGTGAACTGTTTTGACGTGAACTGTTTTTTTATTTCTGACATTTTTTTATTTTCGGATAAAAATGCCTCATTTTATTTTATTAAATCTCGAGAAAAATGGCAGATAATTTTCTTGATAGTAATTCTGAAGATTTGGTCCAGGTATGTTTTAAATGAAATTAGAGTCTTCAAGCCGAAAAAAATGTGTTTTTTAGAAGTTAGATGAAGCTTCATTTCTGATCAAAAGTGAATGTTTGATAATTGAACAATTGGCAAAGAAATTGGAAACAAAATATGATCGGTAAGAATTGGAAAATGAGAAAAATTGTGGTTTCAAAAGAAAATATGTTTTCAGAAACACACAAGTTTTGCAATATGGGAATACTGTTCTGGATTCGTGTCGAGATAATAAAGATGGTTTTGTGAAGGAGGTTAGTTAAAAAACTGGTTGGAATTAGAACCTTCTCGGAATTATTACTTGAATTGATGGTTTCATTTTTTTCAGTTTGATAAATTCAATGAGGCTGTCGAAAAAGAAATACGAAGCAATCAGAAAATATTAGACAGAAAAACAAAGAAACTTCAAAAAGAATATGAAAATATTCATAACTCCTATAAAGATGTTAGCAGAAAAATGGAGAATAGTTCGGAAGTCGCAGCATGTTTGGATTATACTTTGGAACAAGTTCAAAGAAATGAACATATTCTTGAGAAACTTAAAGATAATGTGAGTTAATTTATTTATATCTTACTCTATTTTAATCAGAAACATTTATTTTAGATCGAATCAGTCTGGAAACTCGTTGAATAACATCAAAAGACAACAAAACCCTTCTTCTTTTTTAACTATAATATTTTTTGTCTGTCAGTCTTTGTCTCTTTTTCTTCAATACTATTTCATTTTCTCAACAGGTGTTCGAAATATGCACCCATCGGGGCTCCAATGAGTTTTGTTTTAACAACGTTGTGTCTCTTCGATGAACTTTCTCCTTTTGATTCTTTTCTCGATTTTTCATTATATTTCTTCTATTAATGTTCAAATTTGTTCACCTTTTCCGGTGATCAATTTTCGAGGTTCAAATGATATTACAAAACAAATAAGGGGAGATGTTGGAGCTGTTGTTTTTTCACCATTGCAATGCTCAAAATGTACCGCATTTTTGAGAAGGTTTGAATGAAACTTATGGGGCTATTCATGTTATTTTTCAACGCTGAGAAAACGGGAGAAAAGCGGAGAAAACCTATTCAGGTAGGCTGAGAAAATACGAAAAAAGCGGAGAAAATGTATTTCCTCCGCATTTCTCCTGTTTTCTCAACATGCTGAGAAAATACATGAATAGCCCCATTATAATTGTTTCCGATGTATCGACTAATATTTTTAGACTCAACGAAATTGGATCAAATTTCAAAATTCTTCTAGTTGCACAACATTTTGAAGCTGATCATCTCATAACAAACACAGCTAGAACTGTAAGTAAAGGAGACATTTTTTAAAAATGTTTTTCCACAACAATTTTGTTTGGTTTTTGTTTTTGGTGACTGTAGCCTTGAAACCTTGGAGGCTACAGTAACCATAGGTTTTGTTTGAAATTCTATTTCAAGTTTCAAACAAAGATTTTCGAATTCCAATAAAAAATGTTGTGTTCCAGTTCCCAAACCTGAGAATTGCTAAAGCTCAATGGTCAAATTATGATGCAAAAAATTACGACACAATTATCATCGATCAATGTGGAAGAATCACTGAAAATGCTCTCAGTTCTCCAAGAACTGATGTTTTGAGATATAATGATTTGGAAGAAGCTTTGAGAAGAGCAGCAACGGGAAATGGGCAATGTGGAAATTGTGATCCAAGATATAATAATCAAGCACAAAAAGTTTGTAATTTTCTCAAATAATTTGATTTTTTGTGTGTTTTTTTGTTGTAGAAAGTTAATGCGTATATAACTCAGGATCAATATGTTCAACAGCAACAATATCATTATCCACAATATCCTGCTCAACAACAACAAAATCAACAATATCAACAAAGACAATATCCAAGTCATCAACAATATATTCATCAACCTTATGATCAAAGAAACAATATTCCATTTTATACTCCTCCAACACCAACAAATCCACCATTTATTCAAAAACCAACACAAACAACAACAACAACAACAGAATCAGTTGCAGATTATTTTGATTATTATGACAATGAAAATGATAATTCAAGAACTACAATAAAACCACAGGTAACTTAATATATTCATCAAATTTTTCCCATAGGTCAATCTTCTCTTCCTCTTTTTCTGCATTCTCTTACTTCATCGAAAAAACTTCGTCGATCAAATATTTGCTCTGGTCGTCTCGCCTGATCTCTTGATATCCAATACTGTCTTACACGTCAAATCGACTACCGTAATATGACAGTAAATATAACAGACCGAGCCGAAGCGGAGGGTCAGAAGTTGACAAATATTGACAAAAAATGGATGGATTGGGAAAAAATAGAGGAAAAAGGAAAAGAGAGAGAGAGAGAGAGAGATATTGTAGTACTGTAGGTTGTACTTTTGGGTGAAATTCGAAACTTTTCTTTATTTTTTTTTTCAAAATACTCTAAATTGGTTTTTAGACCCAAATCCAGAGGCCAAATATTGATCGAAGGTTCAATCAACCAACTCAACCATTCTTGCAAAATGACCAATATGAATTGAAAACTTGTAATGATGAATATTGTTATCGAGAAGTTTCACAAAATGGTAATTTGAATCAAGCGCCTTGTTGTAAAGAAGGTATTTATTTGACTGATGTCTGTGTTCCTGGAAAATGCTCTAATTCAACAGTTCAGCTATGCTGCTTTCAGGTTAATTTAAAATAAGATTTCAAAACCTTCTCAAATATTTTTCAGAAATTCTTACGTGCAAAATATGCTTGTTGTAATGATAAAACGATGGATGAAAACACTGAAAGAAGCACTAATAAATTCAATAAATGTTGTAATGAAAACTTTTTGAAGCTGGTAAGATCAATTTTTGTTCAAAAAATCGGAAAGTCTAAAAATTGTTTAGGATCAATGTTGTACTCCTGAAGCAGCTGGAAAATATTGGAAAACAGTTTATGATGTCTGTTTTCCAAATATTTATGTGAATTATTCATCAGTGAGTTTTGAAGTTCATTATACGGAAGGAGTTCGAGTTCATGATATGAATAAGTCTTCACATTGGAATTTTCAATGTCCATTTGGAAAAAAGGCACATCAATATGCATATTTACCGTAATTTCTCAATATGTATCATATAAATTTGTATAAATAAAAAAATAAATCGAATATGACACATTTTCAAAAAGCTTGGCAGCATGTGGCGTGGCTGAAACATCAAAACAACGAACTAATCTCAGCTATGCCAACATCTTGCCTAGCTTTAAGGTGTCGAAGAAAAAACGAATAGTATAGTTTTGCATCAGTCGGTATTGAAGTAAGAAATGAGTCAGCAAAGATGATGTCACCGCGATTCTGAGAATACTAAGAATACTAAATTGTTCGACTAACTAAGAAGATGAAGAAAACGAGAAAGAATGAGCTGCGCGTCGGGCCAGAGTTTTGGCTGCACAAAACAAACAGTACTAACTACTCCGCCCACTTTTTCGGTCTTCGTCTCTTTTTTTCTTGTATATACCGCCCATCGGGGGGTCTAGCGTTTTTCGTCGAATTGGTGTGATTCAAGATGGTGTTAATGGTAAAATAGCACCATTCAAACAACAATAATACTTCATAAAAATGTGCGAAATATGATCTTGTTATTTTGTCTATTTTGAACAAGAAAAAAGAAGAGATATTGATCGAATACTTTATTTTTCAAATTGAGATACTCGTAACAATTCACATGTCAAAAATTATTTCAGATTGTTGATGTTGGAGCAGAACTATCTAATTTTGAATAATTTAAATGAGCATAAATTAGTACTCCAATATCTCGATGTCCATTTTCAACAGCAATTGACAAAGCAGTTGAGCTATCCTAAAATTGCACCAGGTTGAGATATATATTCGATTTATAAATAAGAGACAACTTACACAATCTGTAAGACTTGCATCAATATTTGGTTGTGATAACAAAAGTTTAACAAGTTCCCGATGTCCATGTTCAGCAGCACACATCAAAGCTGTCGAACCTTCTTCATCTTGAACATTTACATCAGCACCGCATTCTAAAAGTAATTCAGTTGTTGCTCTTTTTCCGTGTGAAACAGCAAGCATTAAAGCAGTTTGCCCATGTTGAGTTGCTTTTGCATTTACATCTCCCATTTCAAAAAGTCTTTGAACAACTGCTCTTTCCATTTCATCTTCCAATGAACTCAAAGCAGCTAGCATAACCGCAGTATAACCAGCCTGAAAAAATCAGTTTCTTCCAAATAAACTACAGTAATCCACTTACTCTATTAGCACAATTCAAATCAGCTTCTCCGCAGTCTAAAATTGAAGAAACGACAGCAAAATTAGTGTGAGAAACAGCATAATGCAGAGCACTGTTACCATTTTGATCTCCAATATTTACAACACTATTCACTATTTTTGGTCCAAGATTTTTGAGTTCCTCCACAAATTTATCAACATGTTCATATCTCGATAATTTTCTTGCTGCTGTTTTCATCCATTCATGTTGCACTAATTTTTCAGACCATTCTACAGTATCCTCTGGAACTGATCCAGGTTCCAAAAGATTTGAATTATAGTTTTCGAGAGCTTCACGTAATTTTTCGGAAATTTCAAATGGACCAGAATCGAAAACATCATCGGTTATATCAAAAGTTGCATCAGAACAATCAGATTCAGCATCAGAATCACTGAAAAGTAAAAACAATAAAACTTGAATAAGTTAATTTTTTGTTTTTCTACCAACCTAATATCCTCGTGTGTTGTTGTCTCTGTATAAGTTGTTGGATTATTACGTGGCCATCTGAAGTGTACTTATTGTTATATAAAAAATGCGTCATAAAATAAATATGAACTTACCGATTACCCAATGATCTCAACTCGCTTCTTAATGGTGTCAATCGATCTTGTGCTTCTTCTTCTTCATCTGGAGTTTCAGCACATTCTTCTGTTGTTGCCCATTTACTTATTTTTGGTCTTGGAATTCGAGCTGGAATTGGTTCAGGAACTTTTGATGGTGGAGCTGGTGCCAATTCTTTTTTCAAAACAACTTTTGTTTTGAGAGCTTCTGTGTTTTCAGGAGTTGTTGTTGGAAGAATTGGATTATTTGTGCTTGTATTCATATTTTTGTCAATTATATAATCAAGATCATCCACTGATTTCTTTCTTTCATATCTCGCACTTTTCGAAACTGTCGAATTTCTTTGGAAATTTGATTTGTGTTCATTGGTAAGCAATTTTTTGACAGCATTTGCTTTGGCAATTTCGAATTCTCGCTGTCGATTTATTTCAACTTCGAGATCAACCTAAAAACAACAAAAATGGCAATTTTAATCAATTAATTAACAAACCTTAAATCCAGGTGCTTCATTTTCATCAATTTCTTCAAGTGTTTCATTTTCATCACATTTTAAACATATTTTATCAGATACAGTACAACTTCCAACTCCAACATTTCTACTGAAAATATCTTTTCTCTTCAAACATTCCTCACATTCTTCAGATTTAGGAATCGCAATTTCTTCAGATGTTGATGGATCAGTCATTATTCCAAAATTAACCAATTGATTTTTCTCAGTTTGACAATATTCAGAATTTGATGGTGTTTCGAAAATAATTGGACTTGAAGCTGTATCAACATATTCGATTGTATTTGTTTGAACTTCAACCTCGATGAGATCTTTAAGTTCTGGATCTGTTCCAAAATCAATCAGTTGATTTGGAGGATCAGTTGAAACTTCAACATGTTGGAAATTGATAGTATCACCAACTGATTTATCTTCCATTATTATTTTTTCTGTTGATGTTTCAACAGATGTTCCAGGTTTCTTCAGATTTTCCAATTCTTTTTTCAATGTTGGACATTCTGAACAAGGTTTTGGAGCTGGTAATGGTCCAGTTGTTACAGCAACACTTCTTGTTACAACAGGTTTTACCGGAGTGAATGCTGATGTTGGAGAAGTTGATGTTGCTTGACTTTTTGCCAAAACAGTTTCACCATTTGATTGTTGAGAATATGTAAAATGTGATTCGATTTCAACTGGCGCCAATTGTAGTCTTCGCGGAAGTTTTGGAGAAGCAGAGAAAAATCGAACACGTGGTTCAGAATCAGGCAAAGAATATTCACGACCACGTCGAAGACTTGTAAATTCAGATGAAGATGATGATGGATTTATATCACCTGAAAAATTTAAGAATTAGAAAAAATAACGAAATCGAATTATTTAGTTTGAAAAAACCTTGTGAAGGAGCTCTTCTGAATGTTGGAGTTGGAGTTGGTGGAAGTTCTTCATCTCGATTATTTTTGAATGGAATTCTTGATGGTGTTGTACTTCGATAATTTGGTGTATATTGTTGATTAAATCCATTTGTTTGATATGTTCCATTTGAATGTGTTCCGTTTTGTAAACCTAAATCAATTGGTGTTGCAACTCGACTGTCAGGTCCTGGAAATGGAGATTCAGCATTTCTTGCACGAATTTCTGATACAGTTTTTGCTAATGCAGTTGCATATCCAACACTATTATTATTGTTATTCAATCCAATTGGAGTATTACTTCGACTTCCTGGATAATTCAAAAAATTCGGTCGAGATGGTTTTGCATCAAATGTTGGTCTGATTTTCTGTGAACTTTGTGCAGATTCTCTTCGATATGCTGTATAATCCGAATTATATCCATTCTGAATTGTTTTCCGAATATCTTGCGATCTATTTTGAATTGAATTTATTTGTTGTGATGGTGTATTTCCACGATGTGGAGCCAAAGCTTCTTCAAAATCACTCATAATATTCTCAAGTGAATCACTGAAAATCGAATCAAGGGGACTCATCAAATTACGATCTCCGTTCAAATTTTTCAAAGATTTGTGATGATTCCCGTTCCCATTTGAAATTCCATTTCCATTTCCATTTGATCCAAAATGAACAGGAGTTCCTTTAAACAAAATTAAATTGCAAAAGACAATTCCGATAAAAAATCAACAAACCTTGTCTCGAAATAAATCCATTACTAACATCTTGTGCATAAGAAACAAAACCCAAATCAATATGAAATCCATAAGGACAACAACGACATTTTGAACCGGAGGCAACTTTGGAAGTCGGTGTTGGAAGTGTATGACTTGTGTTTTGATCATTTGTAGTCCTTTTGACGATGGTTGCAGAGGTACTCGCGGACGAGGACATTCCACTATCACGCATTCGCCTTACCTTAAAAATTAGGATTTTTTCAATAACAACAAAAAAAAGAAGAAAAAACTAGGTGAAAAGATATACTATTGGTGATGGTATAAACTTGATTGATATAGAGAGAATAGAAAAATAATAGAATTCAAGGTCAAAATTGCGCGCCACGCCTAGGAAGAAGAAGAAGCGATAAAATGCAAAATGTGTGTATTTATTCATGTTAAAAGCTTATGTTTAGGTATTGGGTGTAACTTGAGATATTATCACTTTCAATTGAAATAAAATAAAAAAAGAAAGAAGGAAAGAAATCTCACAGATGTGAATGTCGGTTTTTGGAAAAAGAAGAAAATATGAGTAATATGAAAAAAAGAAGAAGATTGGGAGAAGAACACCTGTTATGGAATTGGATACAAAATATGCACTTTTAGAATTACAGTAACCCGGGAACAAATAATATTTATATACTCAAATGTCTATTTAGAAAAGAAGATCGCGGACGCCAAAAATTTTCTGAAAAAAGCTATTGATTTCAAAAATATTTTCAAAAGAATGATTTAGATTCTGAATTTTTTGAGATCATAATCTTCCAACTCTTAAAACCACAGGGAATTATTCTTCTATTCCACGATCTTCTCAAATGTATATAATAATTTAAAATCAATGAAAAATGAAAAGAATGATAAATATGCAAACGAAATGAAATGAAATCATAATAAAATTAAAAGAAACGGTTTGTTGAGCAAATAAACGAAAATGAAGACAAAAAAGAAATGAGAACTTGAGCAGCCAAAATTTGGAAAAACAACTGATATTGACAAATCGGATTATAATCAAAAAACTGAACGGGTTTGTGATTCAACCGAACTTTTTTCACAAAAAAAAACAGAAAGAAAAACACGTAATAACTGGGAGGCACAAAAAAGGAAAAGTGTTAAAAAAAACCTTATCAAGAGAATTGAATTGATTAGAATTTTTTTCAAAAAAAAAGTCATTTTTTGTTGATTTTACATATAGTTGTATTTAGAATGGGTTATTTATAAATAATAATAACAACAGAAATGTGTAAAGTTCCTGCAAACTTTTTTTTCTTCTTTGCGGCAATAAACAGAAAAATGAGGAGACGCAGATGTTTTATTGTTCATCTTTGAGTTTGAGTTGTGAAAAAACAATAAGGTCATAGATAATTTAAAGGGTAAGAGTTTTACAGAAAAATATTTTGTTTGGACAGAAAAGTGGGAATTGTAACGTTACAATTGTTTTTATACAAAACAGTTTCAAAAATCAAGCCAAATCAAGTGTTGTAATTTACTACCCGAAAAATTTCGCGCATTTTTTGAGACCTGACACGATTTTAGGGTGGGACTAAAAACGACGAAATTCAACGCACAGATGAGAGATTTAGAGAAAAATATTTTTGATCTACCAGAAAATTTCTTGAAAATTTTGAAGCCTAGAGATTTTGGGTAGTAAATTACACCCTGTGCCATTTTTGATGGCCAAAAATAAATATATTAAAAAATATATAAACTTTCCAATTTGGTAATTATAAACCAAACAAAATACCAGAAAAAATCGATTGATAAATAAAATAAAATAAAATAAAATAAATAAATGAATAAATGAATGAATGAATGAATACATTTTGTTGGATAAGAGATATAAAGATAATAATAATAATGGCCAAATAGGGTCGGGTCATCCGGAAAATTATTGCGAAAAAAGAGAAAAGAAGATATAGATGTTTTAATTAAAGTGACCGCAATTTTCGCATGTACTTTGAAAGAAAATCTGACACTTCTTGCGAATACAGTAATTTTTTTTTAGAATTAAGAATCTTGGGGAACATGACGAATTAGGCTTCGTTAAATCTTTTTTGTGAATCTTAAATTCAAAAAAAATCTGAATTTCCCGATAGATATTTCGAATCTTATAAAACTCGTTCCCAAAAAAAAAGAATTACAATTTCTATAAATTTCAGAATCTAGTATTTTCACTAAAACAGACTTTCAGAAATCTTTTGGAAAAATAATACAGTACTCGAAAAGTCTCGAAATTTCAATAAATTATAGTCTGACCTTCCATAAAAGAAAACAAAAAAACAAATAAAAAACTGATAATTTGAAAGAATAAAGAGATTTTTCAAGAAATGTGAAAATGCAAATTGTCAGTTCCACCAGTCAAAAAAGAAAAAACAGGTATTGCAATGTCTTTTTACTTCACCGCCCGCCCGCCCATAAAAAAACGAAATGTTTGGATGAATCAAAATGACATAAGAGAACTGTCTTTAAAAAAAGACCTTTGACCGTAAATTTGTCAATTTTTGAGAAGAAAGAAAAAGGCGGAGCGGTTGGACTTCTCAAAAAAAAACGAACATGCATTTTTAGAGTGATGAATGAATGAAGTTTGTATTTGGAAATGTATGAGGATTTGTTGCAAATTGACCTTTGAGATTTGATCACAAATTTCGAATTTGCAAAGAAAAATTGTGATATTTTTTAAGCACTAAATGTCCCTAAAATATAAATTCCAAAAAAATTCAAATTCAAAAGCTTATAAAACGAAACTTTGTATACTTGTTCTTCGTATAGTTTTTCTATTTACAATATTACTCATCCTCCTTTTTTCTTCTTCGCATATTAAATAATAGAATCGAATATTCATTTTGTAACAACAATAACAAAAAAATCAAATCAACAAATAAACAAATGTGTTGAGGAAAACAGACGAGAAATAAAAAAAGAACTAAAATTTGATGTGTTTTGCAACTTTTTTAACCGGTTTAGTGATTTGTTGAGTAGATTTTTGTTCAGTTGGATCATAGTCAACATCGGCTGAGTCTTTCGAGTTATCGAATATTCGACCAGAATATTCTGGAAATATTTTGTAACAGTTTTAAAAAAATAACAAGGAAACTGTTATAACTTTCACTAGAGATTTTATAAAGTATGTTTTTGTAGTAGATTTTGAGTCTGTGAATAGACAAAATTCAAAAAATTCATAAAAGTCTCGAGTGAGCGTTTTTCAAAAAGTGTTTTGCAAAAAATGAAATTCTCACGTTTTTTCTGTTGTCCTCCGGCTTTTTGAGCTGCTAATTCTGGGCAATTTCTTCGTAAATGTCCAGCACTTCCACATACATTACAACATCCACCATCCGGATAAACACCATTCAGATTTTGATGACAATCTCGTGAAATATGTCCAACTTGTTTACAAACAAAACATGTCGCAAAAGGAAACCCTGTAAAAAACAACAAAAATAGTTATCTCTCCCTGTTTTTCAATGTAATCTCATAAATCGTTCATTTTATGCTGCTTTACACATGATTTATAATAAATACCAACTAAAGTGTAAGAAAAACCATTATATTTGGTGATAATAAACAATTAATATTCATTTATCCTTTTTTTAGTGTAAATCATTTCCATATAATTTGTTATCGCTTTAATAAAATGTATCAATTCGTCGCGATTCAAAAACCAGTTCATTTAGATATGAATGATAAAATTTGTACCAAAAAAGTTATATCTTTTTTTTACTTTCACGCTTTTTGAGAACCAATAAAGCATGAAAAGAAGTTTTGTATGAAAACAAGAGGATATCTCGATTTGACCATAAAACATGACAATAAAAATAGTCGTCCGTTATGCATTTTATGGGATTCCCGAATACATAGTGGTGGTATTTTGAAATGGAGGAATAATAATAAATACTAATAGTGACCATCAAAAAATATCATATGACCAAGAAGGATGGGGAAAATGCTTTTTTGATCTCAAAAATATAAAAATGGAAATGTTCGAAAAATAGAATGAAGGAAAATTGTTTGAAAATTAAAAATATTTTTCACAGAAATGATCGCTCAATTGTAACGTCATAGTTCACGTTTATAAATTTCAAATATTGAATTTTAAAAAATTGTTGAAGGTGGAAGTTTGGCTAAAGGAATGAATTTATGTTTAATTGAAATCCAATTGAAATCCAAATAGATGATGTCTGGCTAGGTTTTAGAGCGAATTTTTCTATCATAGGTTACACTCAGACAAGTTGAGCGATTAATCGGTAAGAAAAGTGAGCTGACGATTAATCGTCTGAACAAAATTAATAAATACAGGCGATTAATCGCCCAGCTTGTCTGAGCAGAACGAGTTCGGTTGTAATTTCCCATAACTTTAATTACCTTTCACATTCTTCTTCTTGCACGCAGCAATTCCATGTTCTAATGAACCACATTTGAAACAAACTCCATCCGCATCAGATGTATTTCTTTTTGGACAAGCGGAAATAACATGACCAGGTTCACGACAATGATAACACGCTGCACCTCTGGAATAATTCATTTTTATAAATAATGCCTTCAATAAGCAAATAAAATACTTACTGAACTTTATCATTTTGTCTTCCTTCTCTTCGATTTGTTCGTGTTTTCCATCGATGAACTAAATGTCCAGCATCAGCTTTGGTGACTTTTCCTGATTGAACCCAAATATTCACTTTTTCTTTGACAACTTCGATTGGTGCTTGATCTCCAACTAATTGAATCATTCTTTGTTTCAGTCTTTTATGTCTCAAAGCTCTATTATAAACTCGACAAAATGTTTCAGCTTCTTCTTTCGATAATTTTCCTTCATCGACATGTTGTTTAATTTGAGCTTCACCTTCTTTGAATTTATTTGTTGTTTCGACCAATTTACTCAACATTGTTTGATATTTCTGTTCAATAACTTCAAAACTCAATTTCTTATCTTTTCCTTTATGTTTTCCATCTGGTTTAGATTCTTCTTCGTCGTTTTCTGATTTTTCCGCAAGTTTTGGCATTTTCTCATGTGGTCCTAGTCCCATTTCCTTCGCTTGTCGTTTTTTCAATTTTTTAACTTGTCCTCTTGATAAAGGCTTGTTTGGATCAACTTCTTCCTTTTCTTTATTTTCAACATCTTCTTCTGGTTCAATAGATTCTATAACTGGAGCAGATCTTTCAGTCTTTTTAGGCTTTTTCTTTTCTTTCTTCTCTTTTGCCGGTTTTTCATCAAGTTCGAAGCAAGGTTCAAGTCCAATATCTTCTGCCATTCTGGAAAAATGTTTATGAATAGAATTTAGTAACCTTTATAAAGAATTTTTGCGTGAAACGGCTTTTGGGAATCAAAACGTAAACCTATGCATTTTTTCGAAATACTCAGCATCTCCTGGCGTATACTTTTTGCACGATAACGTACGCTTTCCCTACACTCTTTCTACGCTTTTCGTACACTTGCCACTTTTCGCGAGTGTAGCTACATTGTAGGACCGCGTTGCAAGCGCGTTGCGTTGCGGCTATTATTTTATTTTTGTTTTCTATTTTCTTTTTGGCCTAAAATTATTTTTAAAACGTCTAAAGTAGATGAAATGATAGCCGAATTTCATCCACATGGATTCTAGAAGTTGAGTATGGTTATTGAAGCGATTAGAAATCTTTTTGGTCAGAAGAAGTATAGTTTTTTCAAGAAAAATCTTCAAATATCTTTGAAAAATACGGAATTTTCTTCAATGAGACTTTGAGAATCAGAGTTAATCGATAGTTATCAGTCTTCTTATTCTCGTTATTATTGTTTTTACACCTGAATTTGATTGAAACTTGTTGAATTTCAGATCACCATCCGAACAACTCCCAGAACTTGCATCATGATGGCAGCAAAAGGAACGAGAATCTTCTCCGGAGGTGTCCTCGAGCTCGAGGAGATGATTTTGAAGGTGAGTATAACTTAAATACCGGGAAGACTAGGATTTCGGAACCCTACTGGCCAATGGCCTGTCAAACATAACTGAAAGTTGGCTGATAAATTCTTGGAGCTACATCTTATAATTATGATAAGTAGAAGGTCTGTAAATAGAACTGACGACCAACTTCCGATAACCTAGTAACTATTAGGCATTTAGCCCAGGGGAGATAGCCTATAACCTCGCCATTTTTTTCTGCATGACGTAAAATTATGAGGTACTAGAAAATTAAACATCATCCCATTTTTCAGGTTGACACTTGACACCTACACCTACGCCGAATGCTAAAACTGGGACAACCTACAAGATATGATCCAAGCAGCGTCAAAATCAACGCCAAGATGCTCCACCATCCGACTTCTGGCCCTCAACCTCGACTTCAACCACTCAACACACCCTCAACAACCAACACATTCAAAAAATCTTCGAAAAAATTAAATTTCTAACTTTTTTTTTATTATGTTTTCATGATTTTTGTTATATTATTGATTTTGTGTTTTAAAAGTATATTGATACATAAATAATTTGTTATATTTTCTCGTTTAAACCTTCCCTAATTCGCAGCGCAAAAACGAAAAAAATCGATTCGAAAATATGTGTACGCTTTTCGTTCAAAAAGGAAAAGTGTAGGATCTTTGTAGACGTTTTTGCAGCTTGTGCGTACGGTCTTTGTAGCGTGCGTCATACAACAATGTAGCTACACTTTTCGTTCGCAATAGTGTACGCCAGGAGATGCTGAGTACTCAGCATCTCCTGGCGTATACTTTTTGCACGATAACGTACGCTTTCCCTACACTCTTTCTACGCTTTTCGTACACTTGCCACTTTTCGCGAGTGTAGCTACATTGTAGGACCGCGTTGCAAGCGCGTTGCGTTGCGGCTATTATTTTATTTTTGTTTTCTATTTTCTTTTTGGCCTAAAATTATTTTTAAAACGTCTAAAGTAGATGAAATGATAGCCGAATTTCATCCACATGGATTCTAGAAGTTGAGTATGGTTATTGAAGCGATTAGAAATCTTTTTGGTCAGAAGAAGTATAGTTTTTTCAAGAAAAATCTTCAAATATCTTTGAAAAATACGGAATTTTCTTCAATGAGACTTTGAGAATCAGAGTTAATCGATAGTTATCAGTCTTCTTATTCTCGTTATTATTGTTTTTACACCTGAATTTGATTGAAACTTGTTGAATTTCAGATCACCATCCGAACAACTCCCAGAACTTGCATCATGATGGCAGCAAAAGGAACGAGAATCTTCTCCGGAGGTGTCCTCGAGCTCGAGGAGATGATTTTGAAGGTGAGTATAACTTAAATACCGGGAAGACTAGGATTTCGGAACCCTACTGGCCAATGGCCTGTCAAACATAACTGAAAGTTGGCTGATAAATTCTTGGAGCTACATCTTATAATTATGATAAGTAGAAGGTCTGTAAATAGAACTGACGACCAACTTCCGATAACCTAGTAACTATTAGGCATTTAGCCCAGGGGAGATAGCCTATAACCTCGCCATTTTTTTCTGCATGACGTAAAATTATGAGGTACTAGAAAATTAAACATCATCCCATTTTTCAGGTTGACACTTGACACCTACACCTACGCCGAATGCTAAAACTGGGACAACCTACAAGATATGATCCAAGCAGCGTCAAAATCAACGCCAAGATGCTCCACCATCCGACTTCTGGCCCTCAACCTCGACTTCAACCACTCAACACACCCTCAACAACCAACACATTCAAAAAATCTTCGAAAAAATTAAATTTCTAACTTTTTTTTTATTATGTTTTCATGATTTTTGTTATATTATTGATTTTGTGTTTTAAAAGTATATTGATACATAAATAATTTGTTATATTTTCTCGTTTAAACCTTCCCTAATTCGCAGCGCAAAAACGAAAAAAATCGATTCGAAAATATGTGTACGCTTTTCGTTCAAAAAGGAAAAGTGTAGGATCTTTGTAGACGTTTTTGCAGCTTGTGCGTACGGTCTTTGTAGCGTGCGTCATACAACAATGTAGCTACACTTTTCGTTCGCAATAGTGTACGCCAGGAGATGCTGAGAAAAATATTTTTTGAAGTGATACGGTAGGCAAGCATGTTTGCAGAACACATTTTATTTGACGAGCAAACATTTGTTTTCGCGAAAAAAGCGTTTCTTGTTGTTTTCGTCTGTTTTCGTCTATAAATACCTTTACAACTATTTTTCCAGGGTTTGAACCTGACACATGTCATCCGTAATCGCTAAATCTACTTGGGTCGCAGTCTACAAGCAACTCCAAAAAGAAGCATCCAAGATCCCTCAATATAACTATCGAGTTTTCTTCCAAAGACGTATTCGTGATCATTTCGAAAGAAATATTCAAGTAACTGAAGTTTCGAAACAACACGAGTTATACAAAGAAGCTCTTCGTAACTTGGAAGTTTTAAAAAGACAAGCCGTTTTCTGCCAACTTTATCCACACAAGAAGACTGTTGTCGAAGAAAAACTGCAACAATGAGAGAGTGTAAAAAATGTAAGTCCAACGAATATACCAATAAACAACTCATTATGATGATCAATGAATGTGGCCATCCTCTTTGCAAAAACTGTGTAGAAAATATTTATGCTCGAAATTCTGGAAATTGTCACATATGCAATCGTCTTTTGAAAAAGAATGGTTTTCGTGAACAAATCTTCGAAGATCCACTTATCGACAAAGAAACTCATCTTAGAAGGAAATTGCGAAAAATTTATAATTTGAAAAACGACGATTTTGAGACACTTCGAGAATTTCATGATTATCAAGAAAGATTCGAAACAATCGTTTATAATTTGGTTTTCGAAACTGATGTTGTTCAAACAAATGCAGAAATTCAAGCTTTCGAAGACAATTATAAAGATAAAATTGAAAGAAACAAAAGAAGATTAGACGAAGATCAAAAATGGGTAGAAGATAATTTACGAGAAGAAAGAGCTATGAAACAACGAGTGAATGAAGGACAAGAACAAGATCAAAAAGAAAAAGAAAGTATAACTGCTAGAACAGATACTAAAGCTATTATGGATGAACTTCGTGATTCAAATGTTGCAGCTGAAGAAATTTTGAATAGAGAAAGAAAGAAACAAGTTGAAAAAGAAATGGAAGAAAAAGAGGAACAAGAAAAACGTAAACGTCGAAACAAAGGTACGTGACATTTTTAAATAATTGATCATTTTTCATTTCATTTCAGAAATCTTTCAAACACGCAAACGACAAGCCGAAAATATGTCATTCACATCAGCGATGCGTATTGCTGGAAGACCGTATATTCATCAAAATCTTGAGTTGGTTATTAATGGACCAGTTGTACCAACAGCAATACAGATTAATAAAATGGGATATTTGGCACATATGCGACCACCATCAGCGGTAAATTTTATTCATTTTGCCATTTACTTTTTATTTAATGTTTGCTTTTTTGCAGGGTCGAGTTGCTGGTGGTTACACAGCTACAGTTGGTTGTTCACGTGCTTTACTCGAATCTCGTCTCGATCTTTTAGTTTTTTGAATAGATTATTGTTTTGTTGTTGTATTATACTATAAATTCATATCGAGTTGCGTAATTTCATACTTTATTATATTGTACTTTTTTGTTATTGGTGTTATTCAACCATTCAAATATCTGATACTTGTTAATTCAAGTTCTTATTTACATTTTACATATTTTTAAGATGGACGAGAAAGTGGAGACGGTTTGTCGAGCAATTCATATTTTATACAGCGGCGGGGCCGAATCACAACAAGCACAATTGTTTTTACAAGAATTTCAAGAATCGGTTGGTTTTTTTTTGTTGGAAAAATTTCAAAATACTAATGAAATCATTTTATTTCAGCAAGAATCCTGGACAATTTGTGATCAGATAATTGGAAGACATACAGATTCGTTGGCTTGCTATTTTGCTGCACAAACATTGAGAACAAAGGTAACTAGAAATGTTTTGGATTATTTTTAATTAGGCTTATTTCTTCTCTGTGCCTATTCAAACGTTCTCAATTTATTTATATTTTCAGATTCGCAAGAAGTTCAAGCAACTCCCAGTCGAAACATATGAGCAATTGAGAAGTTCGCTTTTACAACATTTAAAGTGAGTTGATTTTAGTTTTTATTACTTTCAAAATTAAGAAATAATTTCAGTCGTCACGGAGCACAAGCACATGATCAACAATCTGAAGCAACTTCAACTCAATTGTGTTTAGCAATTGCTGATTTGTATATTCAAAATCCAATGTGGAATAATTGGATTCTAGAATTGTTGAAACAGTGAGTTTTTAAATCTGTTGCTGAAAACAACAACTAATTAATACAATTCAGGAGTCAAACATTGGAAGGCGATCGAACTGTGATGACTTTGACACTTTTGCAGGTTTTTCCTGAAGAGCTTACAGAAGTAAGTTTTGATGTCATGTTCAGTAATGTTAATTTGAAACAATATTATTTTTAGTTACAAGGTGTTGGAGAGAATCGAAGAAATGCGATTAGAGATGAACTTGCTGCTTGTGCAACTGCAATTATCGAATTTTTAACACATGTTTTGTCAAAATATCATCATGATGTTGGAATGTTGAAGAGAGTTTTGAAATGTTTAGAAACGAATTTGATGAATCAATCGATGAAAACAGATGAATTTGCACAAAGTAGTTTACTTGAAACAGTATTTCATATTCTCACATCTCCACAAGTTCCTTCAAGTCTCCATGAAGCTGCGACAAATGTAATTGTGGCTGCATTGGTTCGAGCGGAAGATACAATTGGCCATCGTCCATTGGCAAAAGTATTACAAAAAGGTGTTATTACTTTGGTTGAACCATTCAAACATGCTGAAAGTGTTGAAGATTTCGATAGATTGCAAAATTTCGCAAGAATTTTTGTTGAAACTTGCGAATCATTTTATATGAATCTTGTAAGTGCACCAACAACTAATATTGAACAAATTGGAAATCTGATTTGTCTTGAATTCCTTATTCTAATTGCATCAAATCATGATTATTCATTAATTGAAATGACTTTCAATGTTTGGTATCGAATAACTGAAGAATTATTCAAATATGATGATGATATGCATATTTTGAGATTCAAACCATATGCTTTCAAGTAAGTTTTTGCTTATTCTATTTTTTATGATCAAATTCAAATTTATAATCTTTAGATTCATAATGGCTCTTTACGAACATTCGAAACTTGATCCTGATGATATTAATGATGTGCCAGATGAGAAAAGTGAATTCGGCGAATTTCGATTAAAAGTTGTTGAAGCTGTTCGAGATGTGGTTTTTGTTGTGAATACAGAAAACTGTGTAAATGCAATGTATGAAAAATTACGAGAATGTGCAAGTCGACCAGATTCATCTTGGGAACAATCAGAAGCTGCATTATTCATTATGTCTTGTGTTGTTCAAAATTTAATAGCCGATTCGGATGGGAAAATGCCCGAAGTTCTCGCATCAATTGTCTCATTGCCACCAAATTCACCGCCTGCTTTAATTTGCACAAGTTTAGTATTAATTGGTGATTCGAATGAATGGCTTCGAAGTCATGCAAATCTTTTGCCAGATATTATGAGATGGATTATGCAATTTGCCGTTGATCAAAGATATACATTACACGTATCAAACTGTGTCGATAAAATCGCATCGCAATGTTCAAACGAATTGTTTTGGATTTTACCACATTTGTTTGATTTGATCACAGCATTGGAACAATCCACTCAAAATGGTGTTAAAGTTGAAGAAGCAATTAGTGGAATAACAAGAGCTGCATCATTAATTATTAGTCGATTGAATGATGTTGACGCAAGACACGGAATGATGAGATTATGTGAACCAATTATTCGAAATTTGAATATGGTAAGTTTTTTGTTAGCTCCTACTGAATATATTATATCTAATTGTGAATTTATTCCAGTCAATTGAAATGGCAGCAGCATCTCAACCTTCAACTTCATCATCTTCGAATTTGCCACCTCAACCACCAGTTGAACAAAATCAGAATAACAATAATAATAACAACAACAACAATAATAATAATGAACCGATTCCGCCAGTTCAACCACTTCAATCATCAAATTCTGAAGCAAATAAGGAAAATGTTTCAAGAGTTTATGGCAAAAATTCGAATGAATTATGGTCTGTAATTGCACAATCACCATTATTATGGATTGATAGAATTGCAAGTGTATTCAAAGATGTTTGGAAACCTGTAAGATTTTCTTCTTTTTTTTAAAGATTTTGATTATTTTATCAATACGATTATTTCCAGAGAGATAAAGAAGGTGAATTTGTTCCATGGATTGAATTAGCAGCTCAATTGATTGAATCATTAATTCGAGCAACGCGACAATTTGAAAATAATACAAGAATCGTTGAACATACAATACGATCAATTCGTATTTTATTCAGATCTCTTGGAAAACAATCAATAAATTATGTCGAACCAATTGTCAATCTAATCATTGATATATATCCAAAATATAATCATTCATGTTGTCTTTATATGGCTGGAGTTATTGTTGATGAATATGGACAAATGCCAATTATGCAGCCAGGTCTTTTGAAAATGTTAATCACATTGGCAACAGTTACATTCACAATATTGAATCAACCAAATGGATGTATAGATAATCCGGATGTTGTCGATGATTTCTTCAGATTGGCTCAACGATTCGCCTCAAGGATTCCTTCATTATTTTTTATGAATCCAGTTTCAATTCCATTATTTGTTTGTGCAATTGCTAATTTATCATTGGATCATCGAGAAGCAAATAAAAGTGCGAGTCGATTCATTATTGAAGTTGTTGAACAATTAAGAAAAGCCAAAGAAGCTAAATATACGGATGCTGGAGTTGTTGCTGCACAAGAATTATTATCGAGTCATGGTGCACATTTGATGATTTCATCATTGAATTCAGCACTTTTCCATGTTAGTGGATCACTTAAAAGAGATATGGCTGAAATTATTGCGGTTATTGGAAAATTGGACAAATTATCACAAAAACAATGGTTGATTCAAGCTGTTCAACAACTTCCAAATAATCCAGTCAAAGCAACACCTGCACAATTGAATGATTTCGTCGAAAATGTTGTTAAAGAGTTAGTTTTTTGAGGGGGGTTTGAATTTCTGATTTAGGAATCTTGAGCAAAAATTTTCTTTTTCAACTCTCGCTCTGATTTTTACTCATAAATTCGAAAAGTTATTCTGAAATTCTTTTTTATTATCGAAACCATTTGAAATATACTATTCAGTTTCATACAACGTTTTAATCAGAACCGAAATCTATTTCAAAAAATTTTAAAATTCCAACTGAAAACTCAGTTTGTTCTTATTAGGTCGGAGAAAAATTCGGCTATTCAAAAAATTCCTTTTTTTTTCTTTTTTTCTCAAAAAAATATTGGTTTTTTTCAGAAGAGAACCATATGCTGTAAATGCAGTAATTCGAGATCTTAATCAACTTTTTGATTAACTCATATATATTTTTATTATTATCCACTTCCTCCACTCTTATTTTACGATAGAAAATCTCATGTAACATGATTGTTTTTAATTCAAATATTATTATTATTATTATGATCATCCTATTTCCCCTATTCTTGATTACTAATTGTTTTTAGGCATTTTCACTCGATTTAGGTAATTAATTTCGCAGGGACACATTTCTTTTTAAGTAAGTAAGAGTATAATAAACATAATAAGGTATTTTTGAATTGTGAGTTATACATGTTTCTAGGATTCTATTTTACTCGTGATGTTTTTTTCGCCATTTTCTTTCTTTACTGTATACTATTTTCATTTACGTGTCTGAGTTTCTAGGGTCGCCTTTTTAGGTTTATTTCTGTCTTTTGTTGCGTGCTCGACTTGTGAATTTTTTTTCTTTTTTTTTTGCAACAAATTAAAAATGTACTTTTTATACCATCAGAATAAAGATTTTTAAAGAACCCGTATTGAACCAAAATCAAACTACAACATAATTAGAAATGAAAGAATTGGAAGAATTAGGAAAGATGGAAAAGAAGATTGAGAAATTGGAGAACCCGGAAATCTTTCGGGAAAATGTTCGAGGCGCATTTGACCAACACGATTACGAGCATAATCAGCCGAGAATCCAGTTACTCTCTAAAATATTTATTTTGTTTTACTTATTTATATCTTTAGATGTTCACTTACATGAGAAATTGCATTGATCATTGTTAGATCTGTGTCATACCATTCTAATAATGTTGTCAAATTTCGACGAATTGGTCCATTTTTGTCTTGTGGAAATATATGTTGACACGAATTTATTGCATTTGTATTCGCACAAACACATAAACCAATTGCATTACGAGTATGACATTTGATTTGGGTATCGAAACCGCGAATATTGAAATCTGAGACATCTTCTGCGCAACCGGAAAGGTAAATTGATCTTGCATCTGATGTTATATCTGAAAATGAAATGAGAATTTGGAAATAAGTTTGCAGGATCAAGGTTTGAAAAATCATGAAATTAGGCATTGGCCAAAATTTCGAAAGAGCATGATTTTTTATGGATTACTGTAGTTGACCAATGAGTCTTGAATTTGTTTAAACTTTTCGAAAAATATGAATACAGTTTTCAAAACAAAATCTAGACTTTGCTATATTCCAAAATACTTACACGTATAACAATAATCAGCTTCACAAGTCGATGGATTTGCACAAACCAATCTTGAATTTATAAATGTGAACACTGAACAACTGAAGCATTTTCTGAAATTCAAAAACCTTCATTATTTTTGACATTCCTTTCAAACTTACCTGATCTCAGGTTTTGGATGAAGTTCGAAACTAAATATGAAATTCGGTAGAAAATATGGAAGAAAAAGTCGAAGTAACATTTCTGAAAATATTGGTAATTAAATTTTAATAATAATGAAAACGTGAGATTTTCGAAAATAAACACATGTGAAGTTTAGTCATCAAAGTTTATAGTTTTCATAAATCTATAAAAATTTTAAAGTTTTTTGAATAGAGATAATCCAAATGGAGGATTATATAATCTGTAATGAATATAATTAATATAGGTATTTTCTGAACATCATATCGAAGGTCTAAAAATTATCTATAATAACAAGAGAAAAGAAAAAATGGGAATAGATCAATATTCTCAGTGGGACAACTGTTCCGATATGTGAAACAAAAAAACAAAGTTCCGGAAATTTGAAATTCAAGAATTTCCTAGTTTTTTTTTGGCTCAAAAAAGTCCATAAGAGACTGACTGAGAAAATGTAAACATAACATTTTCCGATATTTTTTCTTCTCTCAAAAAAAGCAAAAAAAACGAAGAAGCAGAAAAAAAGTTTTTGCAACAAATAGTTCAAATTATCCCATTGGGAAAAAATCAGTGGATAATAATAATAATATTCGGAAAATTTTCTGAGTTTTTCATAATACTCATTTTTCAAAAGGAATTCAGGCAGGCAGGAAGGAAAAAAGGACGGGCGGGCGGGCGAAATTGAATTTTTTCGAAAAAAAATTTTGCGCCACTTTTTCGCCACATAATAAAATTTGCTTTCTTCAAAAAATTTTCGTCCACATGTCACATATTTTTTCATTAAAAGCACTAGAAAATATGAAATTTTTATGGGAGCACCAACCAAAAAAAAGAAAAGACAACATTTTTTTGTATATGGATAGAAATATTCTTAGGGGATTTCAGATTTTTTTTATTTCAAGTTTTTTGGTTCTAAAATCCGGAAACATGTTTCCTATTCATATTAGTTTTGTCGGGAGAAAAAAAGGAATTGGTCTACATTGAAGGAAAAAGGATATGTTTGGAGGAAATACAGAGTTCTAAGACATATATCTGAGTGTTCTCAGTAGTATATACTTAATGGGCCTGAAAAAAACGAGATCCTAATTTCTCTGATCGTTTAGGATGGCGAATTTATATTTTTAAGACCTTTCGAAGTAAGGATTGAAATAAACGAATTTTACGTGTAAGAAAAATTTTATTCCTATTTTTCGGACTCGATTCAGATATGTTCTCAGAATTTGCTTTTTTGGAACCCGTAATTTTCTGGAAAAAACTGTTCATTCTCAAACATACCCAAAAAAGTAAAGTATCTGAATAAAATTCCTTCGAATAGAAAATAGAATGTAATAAATTTATTTTGTTTTTTTTGTGTTGTCTTCTTGTGTCTCTTCAAAATAAAACAATTTCCGTTCGTCGTAAAATGATGGGATAACAAGTAAGAAAACGAGCAGAAAAAAAAAGAACAACTCGGAGCACTTTTTTCGAAAAAAAAAGAAGAAAAGCTGAAGAGAAGAAAATTGATGAGAGAAAAACAACAATTATTCAAGTAGGGATTTGATGAAACATTTTTTGAACAAAACAAAATAGAAGAAGAAGAAGAAGTAGTTTTGGAGTATGTTTGGTGGGAAAATTTTTGAAAGTGAAATAAATTTTCTACTAAATTATTTTTTCGAAACGAAATAAATTTTCACTATGAAGAACAAAAATGCTCTCAAAAACCTATTCTTCATTTTTTTCGCCTACTCGAGAAAAACCTGACAAAAAGCTCATTGAACCGAACAAAAAACAAAGAAATCTACAAAAAAACCGGAAAAAACAATAAAAACGTGACCCTTTTTTTGGTTGGAAAAAAATATGAAGAAAAAAGAGCAATGGTCATTTTTTGATTACACCCAAATTAAGAATGTCGGATGATGGTAAGCTGAAAAAATATGGGAAACTTCAGGAAAAAACATAATTTGCCAAATTTTGATATCTATCTGATTTTTAGAGAAAAACCTCAAAGGAATAGAGATTTCAAAGATTTTGAAACAGCAAACAAAGCGGACCAGGCTCAACTTTTTTGAGAAAGAGTCTGAAGGACCACTTTAAAAATATTTCTACTCACTAAAAAGATGGTCAATTTTTGATAAACCTGAACATTCAGACATAGATAATCAAAATTAGGTCCGCTAAAAATGTTTCTTTGTTTTGTACATATGAATTGGCCCAGAGCTAGAACATTTTTATTTGTAAATAAACAATTTGTAATAAAAATGTCCCTTTCCTCAAATAAATTCAAAAAATTCTTTAAAATTTGAATTATTTTCAGTTACTCCTTATGGTGCATTTGCCTCACTTTATATTTATATAATGGTTGGAATAGCATCGATTGGAAGTGTTGGAGCTGTTTGTTTATTGGTCATTTTTATTCCAACCGTTAGTTTTTTAAATGTTTCAAGTTCATCTTACAGTACACCTTGATACAAAAATTTCCTTCATAAATGAATTTTCCAGCTTATCGAGAAAATGATTCGTACAGCAGCGGCTTTACAATCAACTGCTAAAATTGTAGAATCTACGGTAATTTTTACAAATCTTATGCCAACAATCTATTTCCAATTCTCCAGCGTCTTTCTGCTGCACATTATACTGCGATGGCTAATTTGAAAAATTCGAACAAAGAAAATGAAATCTATAAAGCTTATGATAGTTTGATAAAAAATAACAAAACTGAAGTTGGACGTGTTTTTGGAATGGATAAATTGACAAATCAGTTCATTAAAATGTAAGTTTCTATGAAAAAAACAATTTTTTAAAACTAACATATTTCCAGTTATGAATCCGACGCCGTTTGCAGAAGAAAATAAATTTATTTCAACTTTTACATGTACATGAGTATTTTACCCGTAATTTTTTTAGTAAAGTTATGCTTCCATCAAAGTACATTTTGATACCGGATTTGCATCAGAGCGAGTTTGTCTTCGTCTTCCACTACGAATTCTTTTTGTTTCTCGAATACACCGAATTGTGACCTGTAAACAAAAAAGAGATTCCACACAAAAAGTTAAAAATTCTTTTGAAACGTGAACTCTCAAATTATATTTTCTATTTTCATTTTGAAAAAAGGGTTACCTCTAAAGCAACAGCTCCTGCAATTGTTTCGAATAATCCATAAATACTTGCGTAGAAATATATTTTGATAAGAGTTGGTGACAGAAGAATGCACAGGGATACTGTAATTTTCGAATTTAGCTCTAATAATATTCCACTTCCAAAAACCAATAAAATTTTTTCTTTTTATTTCAAATTAATTGATTTTTGAAATTTTGAAAAAAAAAATGTTTCCTATATTTTAGAACCCAATGTTTATCAACTCACAAATCGCCAAAGTAACAATCCGAATAGTTTTACAAATCGCGTATGGCAAAAAATATGATGGCCGACAATTTCGAAGAGCAATTGTGTGAGCCAAATAAAGAGAAATTGTTATGGCAAGACCGGAGATGAGAAAAAATGAAAATATTAGAGCGGATAGAATTATTGATTCTGAAATTTAAAAAAGTTAAGTGATAGAAAACAACTTGTTTCGAAACCTATATTGAATTGTGTTGTGATACAAGCATGAAGAAAAACATTTGCACTTATGAGAAGTGGTGCAGACACCCATGCCATTTCCTAAAAATATTAGAAGTTTTGAAACAAAAACTGAAATAGAATTTTTTTCTTAACGTTTTTTAAAAGACTTTTAATCGACGTATCGAAATCACTCCACTTCACAATATTTAACCGATTCAGAATTTTTCTTCAGAATAATCTCAAAACTCTACCTGTAAATATACAATAATAAAAAGTGTGTGAAGTGTTGAAATAGCCTGTTCATTTGGATTTGAGCTCATTTCTATTTATCACATCTTCGGGTCTCGAAACGAACAAAAAAATCTGAAAAAAACGAAAAGAAATAAAGTTTTCCTCTTCAAAAACGAAACTGAGCGCGAAATTTTAATGGGAAAATGTTTGCATTTTTAATGTTTGAAGAAATATGAAAAAAAAACGACTTCAAAAAGTCTTTTTTGAATATGAAATATGAGTATTTGGAATTTAGAGTTGAAAAAATGAGGTAAAATAAATGTAAATAAAATAAAAAATAATATTTTTATTTTGGCAGACGGCGAAATAAGTTGGAAATAATAGCTTTCAATTATTGTTCAAAGCAAAAAAAAAAGAAAATCAGAAAACAAAGAAAAATTGATTTGTTGGCTGTAATTAAGAGAAAAGAAACTTTTTTCGGCACAAATTTGTTGGAACAACTTTCTTGGAATTTGTTTTTGGAAAAAAAATTGAGAGTTACACAAACTTGTAAGTTCATGTGATAAGAAATTTGAATAGACAAAAAAGTTTTTTGTTGATAATTATAACTTCCGCTCATGAGAGAAACAAAATGTGACGCAATTATATTGCAAAAATATGAAGATTACGGTAAATATCTCCAAAAAGTTTTCTGATTGTGTGAAAAGTTTTGATAAGTCACAACGTTTTGCACGTGAACAACAATCCGAGAGAAACATTTTTGTGAATCAAGAACAACAGATTTCTAAATCCTCCGGAGAGATTCAAAAAAGCATTTCTGATCTTCTTCAAAACGTTTGATGTCAAACATAAAAAAATAAAAATTATCTAATAATTGATTTTGGAAAAATAGAAGTCATATGAAAAAAAGAAGTAAAATGAATGAGTTTGTGTCTCTCCTCATTTTTCCCCCTCATTTTTCTCCGAATTTTTCATCATAGTTGATGATGGGAAAAAAGAATTGGCTTGGGGTATGTGTGCACTTGGAAATGAATTATTCTTGAGCCTCCAAAATGTATGTATGTGTTCATAAAAAACAAAAAAATGGCTCAAATATCCAACGGAAAATTCGTGGTTGAGCGAATATTTGTTTTTTTTTTCATTTTTCGGGCTGACATTTTTTTCCGCGTTGATTCGAAGAACAATTTCTAGGGTTACTGTAGTTCTGGGGAAAAAATTAAAATTCAAAGAATAAATTAGGAGATGTTTGGTTTGGACATACCTTTTATTGGATCAAATTTCAAGAATTGAGTGACGTCAAAAAACAAAGTAATTGAAATTTAAAATAAAATAGTTTTTTCTGCAAATTCCATCTAGATATTTGGGAGAAAGGATAATCCAGATTAGAGCGCTAATGAACTTTCGCGCTCAAAAAATGCAGTTATTCGCATCATTGAAAATCAGAGAAAAACAAAAACAACACAAAAATTTGTGGAGGATGATCTATCGAGCAGAAAACAATATGATACTTACAGTATCTAACATGGAAAAATATGTATGAAAAATGACTGGAAAAGAAAAGAAAAAAGAAATTGAGGGGGTTGAAATTGAAGGCAATTTACAGGTCGAATAGACAGTATTATATAGAACATTTATTGTATCATCATTATCATCATCATCAAAAAATATGGAAGAAATGGGGGGAAGAAATGAAGAAATGAGAAGAGTAATCTACCACTTTGGACATAATTTATGCCACATTGCAACGGGTTGTTCTGGATGAGAAATACATTCATTCCAATGTTTTTGTCCGTGTTCTGATCCAAGTTGACCAACAATAACATGTCCGATCTCTTCATTTGATCCAATAACATCATATTCCATTGCAGTTAAAACCAAGTTAACATCTGATTGAAGAACATTTCGAACTGGAACAGCAAATGCAAAAGATTCGTTGAAAATTGGCGATGGAGTATGTGGTTTGACACTGGTTTTACGTTTTTCGAGTTTGTTGCCTTGTTGAACCATCCACATTTTTATATAAGTGTCTGGAAAAAATCGTATTTTTAATTTGATTTTTTAATTTCAAAAGGACACAATTTCATTATCAGAAAAGGATACCTTTTGAACTATAAAACGCCCAGGGAATAATTTCTCAATGGGCCTAAAACTATAGGAGAAAAATTCCATGAACTTTTTTCAAAGTTTAGGTGGCTCAAAAATGTATGGAATATTTTTTCTAGACATTTCTAAAAAAGCCCATTAGTGCTTTGATTTATCTGGGGAAAACCCTAGAACACATTTTTTTGTTAATTTTCAATTATAGCTAATTTTCTGTATGTCCGAAATTAAAAAAAAACCTGAAAAAACTGTTTGTTCTAGATCCTCTAGATGTTTTCGTCTTGTTGGGGTCCCTTGTCCGTTTAGAAAAAAGATGCACATTCATGCTCCCCAGAACTTTGACGGGGACCTATTTTTATATTTGTTCCATTTCTAGCTTTGAAAAGTTCAGTTCTAAAAATTGTTTTCCTTCCAAAAAAATAATTATCTATTATTCTCTCTTCACCCACCCATAACCAATTTTCACAGAAAAGTACTTGAGTTCCTTACTTTTAGAATTCTTTAACTTTCGGTTTTTTGGTTTTCTATCCGAATAATTCATTTTCTTGGAACTTATTACTTTTTGCAGGTGTTCAAATCTAATTTCCTTATTTACTTATTCAATTATTTTTTCGGTTTCCTTTTTCTCACAACGCAAAATCAATAATTCATGAAATGTTCTAAAAGTGTAACTAATTGCGGTCGCATCATTTTTGTTTTGCCTCTTTTTCAACTTTTTTTCTGGTAGGGAGAAAAATGAGGAAAAAACAAAAACAACATGTTTAGAAGACAAATTGAGCATAAAGTACAAAACTTACCATAACTTCGTGTTCGATCTTTTGTGTGCAAATCTCTCGCTTTTATAATACTGACAGTTATTTTTCCAGAATTTGGTAAATAACACAATGAAACCATTAATTCTCCGCAAGCATCTTTTGAAACAGTTGGACGTTGTAAATGTTTCCAATAAACTGGACTGTTTTCAAATTTAACATGTTTCAATGGTAGAAGAATTTCACCAATCGGATCATCTGATGAGAAACGATCATAATCCATTACTTGAAGAACCAATGTCATGTCGTGCAATTTTTTCATTGAATGACCTGCAAAATAACCTCATAAGTTGAATGTAATACCTACAGTATCTACAGTAAGAGTATTATTTTTATTCTGAATCTCACCTTTTTTTGGTTGAACAAGATCCAAATATTCAATACGGAACATTATATCTTATTATTTATACCGCGCAAATAAGTTTTTTTTGCAAAGAAAAAATGAGTGTGACTTATATGAAAAAAACTACTACCCTAATAGGGTGTTGGTGGTCATAGCAACGTGTCGTCAAAAAATATAAAAAGCTAAAAATAGGCGAACTTGTTCAATGAAGCGAGTTAAAAAACAAAACAAAACTATAACATCTGACCAATGTTTCAACTCCGCCCTTTTTCCCGAAAAAAGAAGTTACCTCGGAAAGATAGAATCTCATTGAAAGTCGGGTTGAGATTACGGCGATGCACTTTGGAACGTTCGGATTTTGATGGATCTTGGAGAAGGAATGCACGAACGTATGGATCAGATGATCCGGTAAAATCTTTGACTGGAAGATCGACGGCTTCGAGAAGATGAACATGGAGGGTTGAACATTCTTTTTCATAAGCAACTGAAAAATTGATGCGTCCTCGGAATTCGCTAACAAATTCCGGTCGAAGTTGATCGATGATCTAGACAAAAAATATTTGTTAATGATAAAATGAAGATCCTAATTATTTAATATTCTAATGTTTTTGTGTGGGTTTTTCTTGGTAATAGAAAATGTGAAAAATGTTTTTCTCACAATGTTTGAAGAATTCAATTAATAAATCTTATAACAACATATTTTATTGGGATCTTCTAAGAAGATTATTAACTACGGCTCTACGGTAAAAATTTGAGTCACATGTGCTTTCTGAACAACAACTCAAAAAACACATGATTTTTTTGAAGGATGTTAAAAATTTCAAGAGTTCAAAAAATGGTTCTTTCTTAATCGAAACAATTCAATTTGAAGAATTTTCACTTACCGATGTTTTGAATGGATTAATACTTTGTGAAAGTCTTGTCTTCAGAGATGGTTGGACTTTTCTTGCATCTGTGTCAAATGTCAAAGTTGGTGCCAAAACTTCTGGTCGAAAAAGTCTTGCAGTTTGTTCACAATCCAACTCATCGATGTCGATCGGTTTGCGCATTCTTGAATTTTGGATAAAAATATATGTGAAAACTTTTTGAAAAGCACCAACTCATTTTTCTTTGAGAAACTGCTTTGAGAGAAAATAACTGAATGTTATGAGAAATTGACTTTATGAGAAAACTTGATTAAATATTTCGAAATCTAGAATTACGAAATATCAGTATGTTCGAGTTCATATTTCCAAAAAGTTTAACAGTAATCCGATATTTTTATTCTATGACTCACTTGTAAATAGCAGCACCAACCACTAAAAAAGCTGACATCATTGCTGCTCCAACAACATAAACAAATTCAATTGGTACCGTAATCTGAGTAACCATTTCTACTAGTTTCTATCCCACGTTCTGAAAATAAATAAAATGAGGAAGAAATGGAAATCCGAGAGGCGAATAAATTATTTTTTTATTATTATTTAGCATAATAATTATTAGGCGGAAATTTAAATTTACACAGCACAAAAAAACGGAGCACAAAAATTCGTCATGGTTCAAAATCACAAGAAAAGTACTTTGGGACACAAATTTTGAATAGGAATCAAGAGTACCGATATGATTCAGAGTTGGTGAATCTAATCGGATTCTCAAGATCTGAATTGAACTCTTTCAAAACTGTTCAGAACTAAATGAAAATTTAAAATTAAATAGCTTTGAATGGTTTAAAAGTTTCATAAACTTTTTGAACTTCCGAAGTTTTTGGACCAAAACAAATTAGGGAAATTAACACAAGAAATGTTCCGGAAACTAAAATTCCTAAAAAAAAAACACGATTCGTTTTCTTTCTGATAAACAACAAAAATTTGCAGCGGAAAAAGTTTTCCCTCATTTTTTATTTATGGATGCGCAGAATGACAAAAAAACATCTAAAAACAGTAATCAATGTTAGATCTTTTTTTTTTATAGAAAACTTTTCGAAAGAAAATAAAAGAAGGAGACAACCTTGTCCTTTTTTCTTCTGGCTGACAAAAAGCGTAAACTTCTGAAAATTTTATGAGATGGAAAAATAGAGGCTTTAATTTTTCCTTGCCATTTTTCTTTGCAGAAGATGAAAAAAAAATCTATTTTTAATCAGAAGTTTTTTGAAAGAAAAAACTAATGAATACTGTAACCTTTTGATGTGCTAATCTTTCTGAAAAAAAAAGAAATAAAAAAAAGAGAAAAAACTAACATTTTTAATAAATACAAAAAAAATGAGGAGAAAAGAAAAATTAAAAGGCAAAAAAAGCTGTTCGTTTTGGCTGATCTCCTTTTCCTTGGCTAATCCAAGAAAGCCTAAAAAACGCTAGAAATGACGAATAACGAAAAAATCGAAAAAATAAAACGAAGACGAAAACTTTCTATAATAATAGAAAAATAATTGTATTTTATGTTTTTTTGGGAGAATGAAAAGATTTTTTCAGAAAGTTGTACAGAAATTTTTTGATATAGAATTTTAAAAATGGATGAACAAAGAAATGAATAATGAAATGTGACACTTTTTGAGAATATGCATAACTACAGTAGTCATAGATACCATTTTGCGATCATTTTCGACAACCTGAATAATTTTTATTTCCAACAATATCAATATATTTTCAAGGTGAAATTTTCGAAAAATCTATAAATGCGGAACTCAAAACTTCTCAAAGTAAACTAAAAATTCTCTCACAATTAAAATAATTATAAATACAACGAATTCAAGAGAAAAAAGAATGAAAAAATCTCGAAAATATCAAATGACCACTAACTAATATAAAACTACAAATTTTGTCTGGACACCTGAAAAATCACACCAAAAACAAATCTACTTTACGATTTTTGGGATTAATTTTAATTTTTCAATTTTGGTGCAATACGAAAAACAGGTGGAAAATTTTGGCAAAAGATAAATAAATATTCCAATCGGATATGCTTTAGCACAAAATATTTATTTATTCATTTTCAACAAAAATTTGGAAAAAAAAGTTTTTTTGACGTAGGGAACTTTCACCCGAGAATTTTGATCTTTCTAAAGAAATTCGAGCTTTTTACAACTTTTTTGCATTTGAATGAAAATGCGTAGGTTTTTTCAGAATAATTTTTTCCGCATATATTTTATTCCCAATAATTTTTCGGGATTCTAAATAAAATATCCATTTTATTATTCTCGCGCACAGTAAAAAACGAGAGACAGGAAAATGGAAAAAATAATTCACACAAAAACTGAATAAATTATGAGATTTCGAACAAGTTCATAGAGAGACTGAAAATGGGAGGATATATACGAATCTGAACACGAAAAAAAAAAACACACACGAAAAATAAAATAACAAAAAATTAAATAATAACTACATAGCATATACTACCGAAAAAAAACGGAATTCGGACACAGAAAAATGAACTGCAATAATATTTTCTCTTCAGTCTCACAAAAAATGATAAAATATACATAATACAAATTCTTGAAGAACAAAAAAACTGCATTTTATACTACTATTCCTACTAATAATACACTCGTATATATTTGAGGTAATCCGTTTTTGATTAATCCTTCGGTTGTCCATCTTCCCATTTTTTACAGTTTTAAAATAATGAAAAGAAATTATTTTCTGAATGGATAAATATTATTTGATACCGTAATCCATGCAATCAAACTCGACAAACAAAAAGTTCATGCATTTTTGACAAGTTCAAGTAATTGGTTTTTTTTCATCTAGTGTAACTTGTGAAAAAAAGGGTAGAATATTTTTTTTCGAAAAAAAGAGCACAAACTTCCAGGACAAATTACATGGGACCTATTCTCTGGATTTCTTAATTGCAAAACTGTGGAAACACAAAAAAGCGCAACAGTATTATTAGTCGGACAGGAAAAGTTGAATAGAAAATCACTTTAAAATGATTAATGATTACAAAAGAAAAATGAAAAATGTCTAAACTTCTTGAAAAGTTAAGATATGTAAGATCTATGGGCCCACCCTTTCACGTCAATAAAAATTTGCAAAAAGTGAAATAGTGAGAGAGTGGCGAGACAAGAAAATTATAAATCGTTATTGATTTATAAAAGAAAATAAAATAAATAATGAAACGTCGCCCTGTTTATTTTCTCACGTTGTCTCGCCACTCTCTCACTATTTCTCTTTTTGCAAGAAAGAAATAGAATTGGACATATTTCTTTGAATGAGTACTGTAGATGGTTCTTCTAAACTTTTTGGGTTACTGTACTCATATTTTCCTCTTGGTTCTTATGAGAAATTTGGATTATTGTGAGTTGATTTTATCTATAATTTCTAGATTACTTTAGCCGAGATTTTTTTCAAATAAATATATTTATTATAAATTCTAATAAATAATGAAAGACAACCCAAGGAAATAAATACTACCAAAATAATTTAAAGAAACATGACAACAACAATTGTCATGACTGAACTAACGAAAACAGTTGTGAATCCAACTGAATTTTCGAGTTTCTCATTTCCTCCTGGCAAAACATAGTTGGTTGTTTCAATTGTTGATGGAATGCTGATTTCAGTAGCATCAACCGATCCACTTGGACAGACATTTTCGAATTCTTTTCTATCAATATAACCAAGATTGACAGCTTCTTCACAGGTCATTGAATTGTTTGGGATGTTTGCAATACCTTGAAATTAAAAATAAGAATCTTATTATGAAAATAATAATTGAATACCTTTGTTGAGATTAACTTTAAAATTTGCAGCATTTCCACAATGTTTATTTTGATTTGAACAGCAAGATGATTCAGTATTTCCACACGAAACAATCGCATCAACATTTTGAATTGTCACCGTGCAACATTTATTTGTCGATTTTGAACCTATAACATTTCCAAAATGATATGATTGATAAGAATTGACTGGAACTGGAACATAAGTTGGTGGTTGAACATAGGATTTTTTGGGTGGCGATGGATAAGTGGCATAGGTTGGTGGTGTTGCATACGTTGCTGGCGGTGAAGTTTCGTAGACTGGTGGAGCTGTTTCATAAACTGGTGGGGGAATTGTTGTAGTTGTAGTTGTTGTGGTAGTTGGTGGTGAAGTAACATATGGAGGAACTAAAGAAAATTAGGAAAAACAAAAAATAACTCAGGAAACTAAACATTCTGAAAAAACCATTTTTTGTGTGCAAACTTACGAGTTGTTTGACACGGTGGCGGTGGAACAGTCACATATGTTTGAGTTGTTGTTGGTGGAAGAGTTTGACATGGTGGAGGTTGTTGAACATATGTATTTGGGGTTGGTGGAGGAGATTGGATATAAGAAGGTTGTGGTGGTGGTGATTGAATATATGAAGTTTGATTATAAACTGTTGGTGGAACTTGTTGATATTGTGGTCTTGGATTTGATTGGCGGAATACTTGAGTGTAAACTGTTTGCTGTGGAATTGATTGTGATTGTGGTTGAACAACTGTTTGACGTGGAATTGGTGGATAATAAAAAGTTTGTTGAACTGGAGCTGGAACTGGAAGTGTTTGAGAAATCACTTGTGGTTGTGGTTGTGGTTGGGTAGCATATCCGCTAACTCCTGAAGAATAGGTCACAACTGATGATCTTGGAACAGATTGATATTGGATAACTTGTTGTTGCTGTTGTGGTGGTGGTGGAACAACTCCTGGAGTATATCTGATAATTGGAACTTGTGAGACCTGTGGAATTGGTTGATAAACTTGTGGGCGAACAACTGGTCCAATTGCTGAAAAAATGTTTGTTGAAGGAACGTTTTTTATTTCAAAAAAAAAAACAACTCACGAACTCGGCGAATTGGCACATTTCCAACACAACACCAGGCACAAGCTTTGCAGTTCTGAAACAATTTATTATTTTGAAAACTTGTGATTATTTTTGATTTTGGAATAACTTACTGTAACAGTAGCTTTGTTTCCAACTTGAATTGCATATTGTTGTTGAGTTTGTTGTGGAATTGGGATAATTTGTTGATATTGGGTTTGTTGAATTTGTGGTTGATATGAGTAATATGGAACAGAAGAAGGAATTCCGACTGAAACTGATTGAGATTGAGGAGATGGAATTGAAATCTGAACCGATTGAGATGGAATTCCTGGTTGAGAATATTGAATTGGTTGTGTTGGATACTGTGGAATAATATTAGAACGATGACATAATACAGTAGTAAAGAGAGCAGTTGCTATAAAAAGCATGTTTTTGGAAAATGATGCCAATTCCAGAACTGCCTATCACTTTTATACGACTGTATTACATGTGCGGCACAAAAAAATAGGCGTGTCTGTTGAACATCCGTGTCTACAAAACTATTCTGATTCATCGTATTATTACTATTGTATTGTTATATGGGGAGAAAGAAGGAGAAGAAGATGGAGAATTTTTCATAATTTTTTCGACAAACTTATTTTTTATTACTATTTTAATTTGAAATTGAAATTGCAAAAAAAAGAGACGCGGGCCATAGTTAGTAGTAGTAATATGAGAAAAGAATTGTACAAAATGTTCCGGTTTTATCTGGAAAAACACTATTTTTTACAATTTTTTTTTATTTTTCATAACAGAACAATAACAAAAAAAGTTACCAAACAAATAACAACTTGGATTCAAATATTTCATTTACCGCTTCGATACCCAATCTCGTCGTTGCAAATAGTTTTGAGTATCTGGGATTCGTGACTTTGAAGTTCGGGATGCAAGAAGATCATCTCGGAAATTATTAACTGGCTCCAATGCTTGTTGAACTCCACGTTTCAATGTCACCACTTTGAATGATGTTTTGCTGAAACAAAACAATCTTAGGTTTTAATAAAATTGTGTTCAGCTTTTGATAACTAAAGCTTTATCACGACTCACTATTATTCTAAATAAAATCCCCTAAACCTTACCTTTTCTTCATTTTGACTTGATAAACACCATTTGCAATTTTTCGCGCATCTCGTTTTGACTTTTTCTTCTCTCGTTTTTCTGAACGTTTTTCAATATCCTTTGCAGATTTCGCCGCTTTTTTAGCCATCACTTGCTCATAAATACTAACAACTGGTTCTGGATTTCCAGCAACTTTGATGTCATATGTTTTTTCTTCGACAACTTTTTTCGATGAAACTTCCATTGGCTCATCGTCATCTGAATCATCCTCTTCTTCGTCTTCATCCTCATCTTCTTTTTCTTTTAATGTTTCTTTAGTCTCTCCACTTTCCATTGGCTCTTCATCATCCGAATCTTCATCTTCATCATCTTCTTCTTCTTCTAACATTTCTTTGGTATCACCACCAACTTCTTCCTCTTCAACGTGTTCAACGCGTTCAACCTTTTCAGCCAATTCTTCTGCTTCCATCTCTACTTCTTGCTCTTCGTTCTGATTGTCATCAATGACAGTTTCCTGTGTTTCAACTTCTTGTTCTTGAACAGATTCATCTATAACCAAATCATTATCAGCATCACTTTCAACAATTTCCGGTTCTTCAACTAAATCCACTTTAACTTTTTTCGCGTTCTTTCTCGGAGTTCTTGTTGTTTTTGGGGTTTCTGCCTGTTGTGGCTCATCAGAGCGTCGAGCTGTTCGTCTTCCACTGCGCAATGAAACTAAAATGATTTTTTACAAATATATTCAACAATTGCAATAACTTACCCATGGTTTATTCTCGGTTGCAAGGGAAAACTCCACTAGAATAAAAAATAAAAGTAAAAATAAAGTCTGCAAACACACAAATCGACGCAATATTGCACACAACGGGTAGCGATTTTTTCGCTGTGCTCAGCAGCCGCTGGCGTAGTCTAAAGCGTACAATCGAGCGTTTGTAGCGTCATACACCGCCTTAGCTACGCTCGCTTGTACGCTTTAGACTACGCTGAGGTGTAAATCTTAGCTACGCTCGTTTTTGTTTTCAAATCAAATTTTTTCTCATTTGCTTGCTCGATCGGAACTGAATTCTAGGTTTACTATCAATATTGCATGTTGAATGTGCCGATTTCTGAATTTTTTGAAGAAACTGCACAGAAACATGATTTATTGTATATTATAACAAAAAAAACAGTAAAATAATTAAAAATAACACTGAAAAATCGAAGAATTATGGGATTTTCGGCGCTGCTTGACAATTTTGCAGGGTTTTTGAGACAGTGAGCTGATTTTTGTTGACGTTGAATGATGGTGTTGAGTTCCACGTGAGAATTTCCAAGACTTGTAGGATATTGAGAATACCAGTGTTCGAACCTGAAAGAATAACTGACTTATTAGAAGTTTTCTGGAGTGGATATTTTGATTAAGGTTGGCAAAAATCAAGACTTCATGACTAGGATATTGGGGGTTCTCAGCATACCTCGGCCAAAATCGTGGTTTCCATAATAAAAAAATTTTACGCTATTTTTTTAAAGTATGAAAACTGTTGATTTTCCTGTTTTTAACCTCTGAAACCTCTGAATTCGTCAGTTTTTGAAAATTGTACTCTGGCCAGCCACGGCTTGGCCGAGGTGTGAGTTCTCAGCTTAGTAAATTTTCAGCTTCATCTCACTTTAAAGTGAGCTGAAGGATTAATCGCTTAACCTAAATTAATTCAGGCGATTGATCGCTCAGCTAGCAGCTAATTCAAGTTACTACGCGACTCCTTCATAATATGAAATATTTTTGGATTTTTCGATTAGTAAACGATTTTTCTCACCTTTTGCCTAATCCAACTTGCTTCATATCCCAATATCAATATTGCAGTAACAATAATGTCAAATTCGAAATTTGATTTCGACTGAACTCCAAATCCGCCGGAAGGCGACTGACTACCAAAACCATGTTTTCGCCTTCAATCAATTGAACTTCCAAGCTCGCATTTACTTGGTCAACCATTCTAACTCCCAATAATTGATTGGCTTGACGTGGATTTGTTTCAGCTCTGAAAACATATTGACTTTTCTCAATACTAATAGAATGCGTATTTATAGAACTCACTGAAATCTGCAGAACATGAAATGGAGATTGACATCGCCCAAAACCACGAATCTAGACTGAAAAATAGAAACATTTAATAGAGAACGATTAGAATAAAAAATAATAAGCATAATAGAGTTGAATTTATAAGTAAAGTCTCATATGTCCTACTTTTGATATGTTGAAATAATTTCTCACTGAAAATCTTCAAATGAGAGCCAGTTTTCTAGTGAAAACCTCGTTTAATGAGTTGATTGAAGTAGAAAAGTCTTTATAATCAGGAAAAACACAACTGAAAAGTATAACTCCATGCTTAAACATTTTAACACGCCCAAAAAAGAAAAATTTTAGGCCAAGAGAGAAAACAAAAAGAAAAAGTGAAAAGCTTGTACGCAACGCACAGGAAATGCAACGCGGCTCAGTGTAGCTACGCTCAGTCTACACCCGCGAGATTACAACGAGCGTAGCTAAGCCGTAGCTAAATTTCATCTAAATAACCCTTTATTGTACGCTTAGACTACGCCAGCGGATGCTGAGTGAAATTAACACCAATATTGGATTAACGAATAACTAATTAGCGGTAATATGTAAGGAAGCTTTATATGTTACAAAATGAAATTAAATAGATAAATATAAATAGAATTAGGAAATCAATATTTGACCAACTTATTTTCTTTTTCTTTTTGCTTACGAATCCATTCAGAACGTTCTTGCTCTTCTTGACGAATTACATCAAGTTTTTTGATACATTTTACATTATTCGATGAGTTTGTTGTTTTTTGTGGAGGCATTCGAACATATCTATCAGCGGGTTCCTGAAAATGACTCCGTAATTAGAAATTAATAGTTCAATTATTCGAACTTACGCTATCTGTGTCAAATGAGTTGTCTTCGCTTGACGAAACACTAATAGTTGATACAAGTCGAGTTGGAATTAGTTGACGAAGTTCCTCCATTGTTTTTGCCTGAACGAAGTGCGATTTGGATTAGTCAAAAAACTGAACTGAAAATAAACCAACTCGTTGTCTTTTCACTTCTTCAAGTTCCATTTCAAGAAGAAATGCTTTTTCTTCCATTCGGTGAAGATTCATTTCGAGAGCACGGCGACGACGAGTCAAACGATCGCCTTAAAAAAAATTTAAATTTAAAAAATGAATAAGAAATTATTTTTAAAAAAAACCCCCCATAAATTATCCAACCCAAATATATAAATATAAATAACTCACGTTCATTTCCTAGAATTGTCGACAAAAACTTCATTTCGAAAATGACCAGAAAAACTCGAAATTCGATTAAACTAACGAAAAGCCAACCACAACAACTATAAAATTGATGTATTTTCGTTTTTTCCCTCTGTAAAAGACAACAAAATGCCAAATTTCACTCAAAAATTCATTTGTCTATTTTTCTGCTCGAACAAAAAATACAAAATTTGGTTCTTAAAATTTAGCGGTTATTGTTAGATACAATGAAAAATGATGAGGTCAAATGAAAACTTTCAAAATATAAATTTCAAACCCGTAAACTATTTTTGTTTTGAATACTTCTATCAACTTATTCAAATAGAATTACAGAAGAATGTCTGTTTCAGTAAATACAGTTATTATAAACAAAGACAGGTCGTAAAAATTAGATTCTCGTTTGTTGAGAAATTGAAACAGGATGTTGATCAATATCACAATATGCTGGTGGCGGAGATGGTGGACGTGGTTGACTTGTATATGGTGCAGCATATGAAGTATTGATTGATGGAGGAGTTGAAAGTGGCGGAGCAGTTGGTGGAAGTTGACGAGGTTGCTGTTGTTGTTGGATTAATGGTTGTTCAGGTGGAAGAATTCCCTGAAAAAAAAACGATTTTTATTATCACGTGCAAAAACCAAAATTTAATAAAGTTTATGTTTTAATTTTAAATCTCTGGAAAGCCTTGTTTCTTGATTGCAAAAAACGACAAAAGCTGCAAGGAGGTAACTTTCAAAAGGTTCAAATGTGAAAAAGGGATCTTAGTTGATAAGAGGCGAAGAAAAAATAATAACTTTAACAATCACTCATTTTTTTCACTTCTTTTCATGCGAAAAAAATTCCCGCATTCTTTTTATTTAGAAAAACATTTCGTTTGAATTGAGATTCTGGGTAGTAAACTAGATATACACTTTGAATAACCATTCATAGAATTCAAAAAAAAATTAATTATTTTAGAACATATATTAGAAATCATCTGTAAGAAAAAAAAATCGTCCCAAAAAACTCACCCTCGCTGCTTGATTTTCTCGAACTTTTTGCAAACATTTGCGAACATCTTCTGGATCTAATGGTTTGTCGTATGGATCTTCACGTGAACATGGACCAAAACAATCACACCAGAGACCTTTCAACATCTGAAAAAATAAAAGTTTCAACCGGAAAATGAGTGGCAAACTAATTCGAGGAAAAACTCAAAGTAAACAATGTTGTGAGCTAAATAGTTACAATGTTTGTTTGACATATAATCTCTTTACGCTATCATTTCGAGAGCCAACCACATTTTTGTTTGAACAGAAGAGTTTTTTTTTTGAAATGAAAAGAGATGGATGGAAAAATTAATCTATTTTAGGATATTACTTTTGACTTTGGAATATTTTTAGTACAAAACTGATAAACGTTGCTATGGGGATCTGAATAATTAATAGTGTTATCAACTATACGAAAAGTGAAAAAAATTGACTTAGAAATATTATTGTCTTCAAAGAAAAATGTATCGGAAATTTTCAGAAGAAACCGTAGCCTACAGTAATACAGTAAAACTTTGAAAAAAAAAACAAACATTTCGAAATCTTCAACTTCACTAATTATATTCGAAAAAATAAATACTCAAGAAAAAACATTTCGAAAAAAAAACGTCGATACTAAAAAAGGCACCCAGAAAAAAAGAAGCAAAAAAAGAGCCGAAGCTTAAAAGTAGTCGAGAAAATACTGAGACGCAGAGAGAATAAAAAATGTGCTTCTTCTTTTTTTTTCATGCTTTTTCTTCTTCATCCCAGCTATTCTTCAAACATTTTTCATTTCATTTTATAGAATTTGGCTCATTCTGCAACAAAAAAAAAACAATAAATCGGAATGAACTTTTGATAAGAGGAATTTTTATGAGGTTTTTCGAATTTTTTTTTTGGAAAATTTTTGTTTGAATAGTCAATTTTTGGAGAAAGTGATAAAACAAAAGATGAGTAAGTGCATATTTTTAGATGAAGAAAAAGCTGGTGTGAGAAAAAAATTGAAATCGAAGTTCAACCTTTTTTCCCACATTGAGTACCTTTGTATGCGACAGATCAAATTACAAACAAAACGTTTTTTCTCGCCCAACATACAGTTTTCTGACAATAAAATCCATTAAATGAGAAAAATTAAATTTTTTTATTTTAGAAATAAGATTTTTTTCGATTTCACGTGTAAATTCACAATAAAAATATATTTTGATTTTTTTTAGTTCCAAAAAAAAACTTACCATCATCAAAACCGCTAATAATACCAGAAACAAAGTCGCGAAAATAAGAATCATTGGATACTGTAACGAAGTTTGGGTTACTGTAGATATATCGGTTAATGGTAAATGTGTTGGCGCAGAGAATTCACAGCTTATACCAGTTCGAGATGGAGGACAGCTGCAAAAAATCACAATTTTTGTTTGTTTTTTGCACTAACTCCGCCCATTTTCATGTACAATCGGGCTGGTAATAAAATATAGGTTGAAGTTGGGCAGAGTTATTTTTCAAAAAAAGATAGGAACTGAAGTTTTTCTAATGATTTTGAACCATGTTTTGAAAAACGGCTAAAAACTTCTTTTTTTAAATTGTCGGTGAAAATCAAAAGCTCAACATTTCGTAACACCAATTGTAACCTATAATTTACTATACAAAACAAATTTGAATTCAAAAATAAAATTGGAAAACATATTGGTTTTTTGAAATCACAACACAAAAAACCTATAAATTTCATGCTCGGAAAGCTCGAAAAACTCATAAAAAATTCAACATAACGAAAAAAAATGGAGAGAAAAATGAATTCTCTCCTCCTCCTCCAATGAAATTGGATATTGCCATGCTCTTTTTTAACCATTGAAATTTTTTGGTTGAAAGGAACAAATGAAAAACATATGGCAAAAGTCAGTGATAAACTAAAATATTTTTGATGTAACTCGAAATCCGAGAGAAATATGAAATAGTGTGTGATTAGTGGAGAGCGTTCAGTAACAGTTGTTTCGAGAGTTAAATTTACATAACATTTCATTTCATTTTGATAAACTTTTTAGATTGTGAAGTGAAAAAGTGTAATATTCAAAATAGAAAAAAGGTAAACATTTTGGAAAAAATAAATAATTTAAAATTTTGAAATCGTAATAAATAATCATTTTGATAAGAACAACAACTAACCTGCATAGAAAATTCGCTTTATAAGTGTCAAATAAAAATTGATCAGCAAAGTTTGAAAATGTTATGTTATACATTTCACATTCTCCAAGATTGACACCTTCAGAAGTGATTAATTCAGCCAATGAAGATGAATTTGAGGTGAAATCTGGAAAATATCAAATGATGATTATTGGAACTTGTGTGATGATGGGACTTTTTTTTAGAATCTTCAACTTAAAACCTCTGAAATTTTCTACAAGTTTTTAATGAATTCAAAAATAAAATTCCCATATTCAAATTTTCTTACCAGTTATAATATCAGCTGACCAATCAGTTGGATCTAATCTTGAAAAAGTTCCATTCAAATGAAAATCAATAAAAGGTTCTCCGCCAAAACAACAAATCGCAATAAAATGCTCCATTTCTCAAAGAAAAACCTGAAACAGCAAAAAAGACAAAAAATGAGCACTAATTCGGAAAAAGGAAAAAGCTAATTAGCTCTGTCATTTTCAGTTTTGAAAGACAGGAAGAATGGAAAAATACGGAAAAAAGATGAAGAAGACCAAATAAATATATGAATTTTTAATTTTGTATTGTTTTTCAAAATTTGCATGGATGTATATATTTTTTAGAATACAAAAATTGTTTATTATGACTATACGGTATCTGATTTTGAAATCTAGAAACTAAAAATATTTGAATGTACATTTTTTAACCTAACTCAACTCAAAAAAAAAACAAAAAAACGGATTTATGTCAAAAATCTACGCGAGACGGAAACAATTTTCTATTCATGAGGTTTACAAGAAAAGAAATTCTCAAACCCAAAAATTCTAATAATCGAGAAAAATAAGTTTTTGCTCGCTTTATTTTTTTTAATATTAAAATTCGAATTCTCATCGAAGTGGAAAAAATGGAGCTCTTCACACAGAAATTTCATCATTACTTTTTTCTGAGAATTTGAGATTTTTTTGGTGAAGGACCGGAAGGAAATCTGTAATATTATGATGTTTTTATGAAGCAAAAAAGCAGGACGAAGAAGAAATAAAAATAAAAAAGATGGAAATTTTGTGATGACAGAAAAATCCATTTCCAGGTCTTCAAGATAAATGAGTTGTTTGATGGGATAATGGGAATATTTTATAGAAAAATATGGGAAAATCTTGGGAAAAAGCCAAGAAAAATTGAATTTATTTTGTTGAAACCGGTTTATAGGGTATTTTAAGGAAATATTTAGAAGAACCTGTTTGAACATTTGCGGTAAATTTTTCACAGCTAATTTGAAAATCTGGAAGATTTCTAAAAATCCACAGAATTTAAACTACGAATCTACAAACTTAAAAATGTTTTAATAAAAGAAAATTCCAAACTTTCCCCTAATTTATGGGAATCTATGGAAACCATTTTTCAAAAACTTCCAAAAAAATTCCAGTACGTTTTCTTCAAAAACTTCCACAAAAAATATCCGAAAACTAAAATTCTTCCTAAAAAACCAGTCGGTGTCCAATACCTCAGCTAGTTATCTTTTTTGTCGTTTTCTTTTTTTCCCGCAAAATGAACATAATCTCCTGGGACAATTCAGGAGACATTTACATTTATGTCCAAACAACAGCAAAAAATATATTGGTCGTCGAATAAAAAGAGAAAACGAGATGAATATGTGCATTTAGGTTGAATTAGTGCTGTTTTGAATTTTGCCCGACGCCTTCACTGATTTTATTTTTTCTTCGGGTATTTAAAAAAACGAGGGAAGATTACGAGTTCTTGGGAAATCCTTTTGATTTCGAATAATGATTTATGAAACTTCATGAGGATTTAATAATTACAATGTAAACACAACAATAAATAAAAAGTGTGGATTATTTTGATCATGATCATTTGCAATTCCAGAATGGTGCAATATTAAAATGATGTCACTTTTTTCTCATAATAGATTATATCAAATATATGAACATCAAAAAATGTTCTTGGGGAGAAGAAATGCAAATTTCTAAAAATAATAATTTCATGTAAATTGTTTTTATTTTTGGAAAACAGATTCAGCTTTAAAAAGTTCTCAAAAAATCGTATCCTGTCCCTATAATTCAGATTTTTAGTTTTGATAAGTACTAATTTTAATTATTTTAAAAATGATATTTTTCCAAATCTATAGATCATCAGAAACATTTTTCCTTGCCCCTTTTTTGTCAAAATAGTAAGTCCAGACATTCTCATTTTATATTCATTCGAAACTTTTTTCGTCGTCGCACGTGGGTTATTTTTTTGATGTCATTGAGTTTTTTTTTCGAGGTGGGGTCAAGTTTCAGTTTTTTGAACTTTTTTTGGAATCGAAAATAACATTAGTTTGATTACCATCGAGCATTTCTGAAAATATATATTTTCAGTCTAACATTTATTATTCAATGAATAATTTTCAGGTATCAAAACAAATTCAAATAAGAATATTAGTCGAGAAGAACTTAATTTGATTTGAAAATATGAACATGATATCTCACAAGGTTCAGAAGTTTGCCAAGTAAAATATTGAAATTTACAATCAACCAACCACAAGAATCAAAAGATGAGATTTTTAAATCCGCTGTTTTTAAAATACTTTTGATATATTATTCTCTGATACTTCTCTTTCTATCTGGTTTCAATACAACGTGCATGATTCATGTTCTATTTATTCTCTCAATGAATAAAAGTGTATTCTCTGGAAGTAAACATGTTTAACAACATCGGCTTAATGAACAATTGATAAATTCACTGTGACGCAAAAATCTGAGAATAACTCTTCAGAAAAAAATAAAACAAGATGCAACTTCATTTTTTATTGTTAAGTGAAAAACAAAACTTCAATTCATTATGTGACAATTTTTCAAAATTCTAAAAAACGGGGAAAAACTCGTACTATATTCAAAGTGTTTTTTCTTTTTCTCACAAAGAAAATCAGAGGTGTTTATCGAAAAGATATAAAGATATCAGTTATAATCAGAATTCATCAATAATTGAAGTATATCCAAATTCTTTTCCGATTTCTTTGATTTTGGTCCATTTCCAACGACAAATGTTCGAAATACGCGTTGTCCACCAGAGAGATTCTGAAAATACATTTATGAATAAATATAGATTTATCCAAAACATAAAATACTTTGGTGCAATTTCGGATGTATAGAAAAAATAAATATCAAAACAGGAAAAATATCCTTGTACTATTTCGTGAGAAAATAGCTCAAAAACAGATCATGTTTGTTTTCGAATTTCACAGCTATAATCTGTCGTCATTTTTGAACTGTAAACAGATAAATTTAACATATTTATTTTATTTAAAAGTGCTCAAAAGTTTTTTTTGGAAATTATTATAATCACGTAAGCCTTTGTTTTTCATGTAGAAAATTGTTATATTTTTTATTAGAAAGTTCAAACTTTGCTTTTTTTCAGAAGTGATAACATAACTCACCGATCCTTGATTCACAAATGGTAATCTTAAAACCATTCTTCGTTTTTGTGGAATATCTTTGGAAAAACAACTTATAATAAATGTTGAAAATGCTATCCACATAACAAACCCTGTGAGATATTTCATATCTGAAAAAATTTAAATTAAATTTGAAATTTGAAGAAAAAACATTGTTAGAACAAATTTCCGAAACAATTAATTTGAAACATGAAAAATGGCGAGTCACTATGGAAAGAAAATAAATAAATTTATAGTTTTTTCTACGTAACAATTCCAAAAAAGAATAAAATATTGGAAAATCAAAATCACCATGAATCATTTAGAATACAAAAATAAATACAAAATCTCGAAGCAAAATCAATTCTCATTTTCATTATAAGAAATGACTTTTCAAAGAGTTTTCCTATTTTTTATTTTATTTTTCTGTCATTCGATTAATTCTGGAAAAATAAAATAAAATAAAAAATGAGTGAGAATTGCTAAACAACTTTTTTATTGGAGAAAAAACAAAAAAAAATAATTGAAATTATATTTAAATACAGTATTTTTAAGTATCTTTGAATTCCAAAAAAATGGGCGGAGAAAAATGAAAAAAGGCGGAGCTTGAGCACTTTTTGTCTCGTCATCAAACAAAAATGTTCTGGATTTGTGTTTGGCAATTTTTTTTACGAAAGAATGAGAAATCTATTTTTGCAAAAATATTTTTCTTATACCGTATTTTCAAATGACTCCGTGCCAGAGAAAAATAAACGGGAAAATAAATAATTATATGAAAATGAAAAAAAAACTGAATCATAATTGAAAACGGAACTTTTTACTCATAATTTTTAAAAATGCACGTTTTTTGTCAAATGAAATAATGAGTAAGCAAAACTCCGCGGAAAAAATGAAAAGTAATTCTTTCTACATTTTTTTAATCCAATAAAATTATGATCTTTTGTTTCGGATTAAAAATTGAATAATTCAAGTAATCTTGCACTTCAAAAATCCAACATCATTTTTAATCTGATTGTGAGTTGTCATTCTGAAAATAGACTACAGCCAATTTAACTCAAGAAATTCTGGAAACTAGTAATTTTTCTCTCGAAATAAATCTTGATGTGTCACAAAAATCCGAATCAAAAATGAATGGATTATTTATAAAAAAAAAAGGTCAGAATTGAGACTGACTTTGAATATTTTATATTTTCTCAGAATATATTAAATCAGTTGTGAAAAATCAACAAATCATATTCCTATTATTAAAAAAAAATAATCCCAGCTGAAAATGATGATAAGAAGAATCTGGTCAGTGAAAACAAGAACAATTGGAATCTCACGGGAAAAAGAATGAATGATCAGTGAAAAATTTTTGACGCATAATAAAAGTACAAAAACTTTGTTGTTTTTTTTTCGAAGAAAATATTATTAGAATAAGAATAATTGAACTGAATGTCAAAAATAGATTTTGTTGTTGTTGAAATTTTTAAAAAATTAGGAAACACCCAGGGATCAAACTAAAAAATGAGCAGAGAATGAATATCTCGAATTTCATGTATATTTGAGTATGCGGAAATGGGAGAGCTGAATTTATGAAGAACCTATATTTCAAAATATTTTTTTGAAATAAATCAGAAAACATTGCTAAAAGACAGAACCCTAGACAAAGTCTGTTGTAGACATCATCAAAATAACACATGTCAAATTAATATGTCATAATTTAAATATAGCTGAATGAAAAATCATATGTACGTTAATGAGTATTTCAAAAAACATAGATTTTCTAGTTTGAGGAATGAAAACAGGTGTACTTTTGAACGAGGAAATCAAAAATTGGATTCGTGACGTTGATAATACATTTTTCAGGATTCAGAAAAACACAGTTGAAAGCTGAAAAATCATTGGATGTGGAAGTTATGATAAAATATAAATATCGCTGGACATTTTGGGTTTTTTTATTTCGAAAAACGCCGAAGTAGGCCTTCTGTACCTAAAAACAAATGATAAACTAAATTCAATAGAAAATTATGGATTGTAAATTAGAACTGTGAGAGTTTGACTTTGAAAAAAGTTTAGTTTTTCTCGTAACTCGTAAGAACTTGGTTTTTTACCCAATTTTTTCCACATTTTTTGAGCCCAGTTTTCTCAAAGCTTCACTAAATATTTAAGTATTTACGTAATACGCTAATTTGATATGTATCCTTTTATAAACAATAATAGATTTGATCGAGGACGTGTTTCGTCGTGTCTAAAGTGTTTCAACTGATAATCGAAGACACAGCCACACACATTTATTATTATCATCGATTTGCGCAAAAAGAAGCCTGACAAACTGGTATTCATTACCACTCTACCAACAAGTAAGCAAAATTTTTATGATTAACGCGCAGATTTTATTATTAGCTAGCGATTTTGAGAAAGGAACTGAATGACTTCAGTTTGCGGATGAGACGTTTTTTGGAACATGAAAATGACATGTTCGAGAACGAAAATTGGTTAAATGAGATTGTTGTTGGCTAGTTTTTTGGAGCAAGAAAAAACTAAAAGGGAACAACAAATTCAACAAAGATCTTTTCAAACTTCTTTATTGAGAGTTTGACATTGTTTTGAATATAGATTGTTGGGTTTCGGGTACGGTAGTTTTTTAGTCAAAAAATATGGAAATAATGCAAACTTCTAATATTGAAATACAAGGCCCACAAAAATTATAGAAAATCAAAAAATAGACCAAACAAAAATTACTGAAAACGTTTCTGATTCCTAGATTAATCTCTATTTTAAAAAAAAACGTTTCAGCTTTCACTAATTTTTGGAGCTCTTTAATCTGAACCTTCTATTTTTAATTTTATCCCACCCTCTTGTTTTCTACAATAATATTAAAATAAATGACATTTTCAGTATTCTCGTGTTTCAGACATACATTGAATCGCTATGGCATGTACTGGTTTTGAAATCTCAATGATCAAAGATGACGCATCTGCTAATAATTTTGAAACTTCTTATTGTTTTATTTGTTCTGTTCCCTTTTGCATATTCTCGAATACTTTCAGTATAATATTTTTGATTACCAACAATATCAAAACGAGAAGAACAACAACAACAAAAACAAAAATTCTTTGAAATGTGTGATAGTAGTAGTGCTTTGTTCTTTTGCTTTATCACAAACATATAAGGAAGAAGAAGGAGAAAAATAAGAAACGAAGTGAAGATATTCGAGTTAGTAGGGCCGCCCCTTTGCGCAGTTATATAAAAGTTGCGCTAAGACGTGTTTTTTGGCAGTCGATAGTTTTGACACATGGAGGAAAAACAGAAGATTGCTGAGGCTGAAAGTCTCAAACGTCTTGCCTTTTTCGGTTTGTTTTTTTGTTGTGTTTTTGAATTTTGTGCTGATTATAAATTATTTGAGGCATTTCTGTTTCAACTGTCGCCACATTAACTGCAATCATTGCTGTTCCAATGCTTTACAATTATATGCAACATGTTCAATCTTCACTTCAAAATGAAGTTGAATTCTGTAAACATAGAACAGACGGATTGTGGGATGAATTCCATAGAGTAAGTTTTTTTCCAAATTAGAAAAAAAAAACTTTTTTGAATGAAAATCCATTTTGGAAAATAATCTTTTTTTAGTTCGAAACTGTGAAAGGTGTTGATTCTCGTATCAAGCGTGGAATTCGCGCACGCGCTTATGGAGCTGGATCATATTCCGATGGAGCTGCCGGAGGAGGCGGTGGGGGTGGATATTCTGGCGGAGCTGCTGGAGGAGGTGGAGGAGGTGGAAGCTGTTGCTCATGTGGAATTGGAGCTGCTGGACCACCAGGACCACCAGGACAAGACGGAAATCCAGGAACTGATGGAGCTCCAGGAAACCCAGGATCAGCTGGAAGCGATGCTGCCGCTGCATCTGCTCCAACTGCTGCCGATTTCTGCTTTGATTGCCCACCAGGACCAGCTGGACCAGCTGGAGGAGCTGGAGGACCAGGACCAGCAGGAGCTCCAGGAGCACCAGGAAATACGCCATCAGGAGGAGGCGCTGGGCCACCAGGACCTGCTGGACCACCTGGACCAGCTGGAAACCCAGGATCAGATGGAACTCCAGGAAATCCAGGAGCACCAGGACAAACTACTGAAGTTCCGGGAGCCCCAGGACCAGCTGGACCACCAGGACCAGCCGGACCACCAGGACCAGCTGGAAACCCAGGACAAGCTGGATCTTCTCAACCAGGACCGCCAGGACCAGCTGGAGATGCTGGACCAGATGGAGCACCAGGAAATCCAGGAGCACCGGGATCTCCAGGAGATGCTGGAGCACCAGGATCAGGAGGTAACAGAGATTCAGAAATAAGTTATTCTAACAACAAAAAACTTAATTTTCAGGAGGATGCGATCATTGTCCACCACCACGTACCGCTCCAGGATATTAGATTCTCTTGGCTAATTTCCAAGTTGTTTAATTTTCCTAATCATTTACGAGTTTGCACAAATCGAAAAAATGTTTTGCATTTTTTGCCACGTCACCAAACAATTTATGTTTTGATGATGTATTTGGCAACAAATAAAAAGTTTCTTTTCCTCATTTTTTTCATCTTTGAACTACAAATGTTCCTTCCGCTTCTTCGTCTTTTTCAATGTTTTCTACTATTTGGATTTTGTTCAAGTTCAAGTATAAGTTATGAGAATTTGAATATTGCAATTGTGTCTGGATATGGAAAAATGCCAAGAAATGTTCAGGTTTTTCTGGTTTTTTTCATCGAGGGGGAAATAATAAAAGAGTGGTAATTAGGAGATACTAGTTAGAAGAATAAGACAAAAAAGATAAGATAAAAATGAGGATAATTGAGGGATAAACTAGTTAGTTTATCATAAACCAAAATTATATAAAATCATTAATAAAAATATTAATGATAATTTCAGATTGAATTGCAAAGATCTCTAATCTGGTTCAAAAATGCAATTTCTGTTAGGAAGTTCGAAAAGTCGATTACTTCTACTGAATTACTGAATGTTTATCCGAAATTTTCTTGGATAAATATTCAAACAGCTGAAAAAGCCCAAGATTTGCATGTAAATTCACTAGAATTTGCAAAATTATTGGAAATGTCGAACTTTGTAATTCTAATAAATCGAGATATACAAAAATGTCAAATAGATTCGGAACTTCTTGCAAATGCAAAACCTTTGACACCTGAAGGTTTGAATCGACCAAAATTCGCGATAATGAATGTTTGTCAAAATTTCCAATTTTCAAATTTTTTCGATTTATTTCGACATGAAATTTTACATGCTTTGGTGAGAAAGTGAATTATTTTAAAGTTCATGGGGAATTAAAAAAAATAATTTCAGGGTTTTGGATTATTTATTCCATTCGAAGATAGTATTCCTAATCGATATTATAATTGGTGGACACCAAAAGGGACACAAAATGTCAGCCAAATTTTCATGGATTTCTCAAAAAGGGCCAAACGAGTAGTTTCTTCACATTTCAATTGTTCAACTATTTTTGGAGTTGAAGCGGATGGTTTCAAGAAAAATCATTTGAATGAATATATTTTTGGGGTGAGTTTTTTCCTGATATTTTTGAGTAGTAAAAATATAAATGGAAAATATTGAAGAACGAATTGATGACTCCGAATCTCGAAAGTGGTCAAAACTATTTCAGTGAAATTTCTGCTGCAATTCTAGAGGAAACATATTTTGGAGAAAAGTGAGTTTTCAATTTTCGAATGAGGTTTCAGATATCTTTAGGCCTTGGTACAAAGTGAACAGAAAATATACAATTGAAGAGAGTCAAAAATATTGGTATGGGAAAAACTTTGGCTGTAACTTTATAAAATTTTCATGCTGGAAATTTTTGGAAACTGCTGGGAACAAATTGACTTTTCCATTTTGCTCAATAAATAATGAAAGGGTAAGAATAAAAAATCAAGAATCAGATCTAAGAAATGGAAGATGATTTTTTTAATCTGAAGAATTACTTATATAAAATAAAGTTTTTAGTATTGTCTAATAACACCAACCTACAAAATCCGCTTGTCTTTAAAAAATTGCCAACAAACTTTCAATCATCAAACACAAATCACAGAAAATGGTTTGAAGGCTTTTCCTGGTGCAACATTTTCAAATTCAATTCATCGGTTCTGTCCAATAGATAAGGTAATACTTTTTCTTTTTTCCAACTTCTTTAAATTCATTTTAGTTAAATTCAGAACTTCATCAATATTCCAAAAAACCATCGAATCGAACTTTGCTGATTTTCTAATTTTGCCGACAAAAAAATTAAAAATATTTATGAATTATAAGGTGGTGCAATATCTTCAACAAGAAGTGACGCATTTACATTTTTGTTTCCAGCAACAATTTGAACTTTCTCATTTTCCGAAATATCTGATCCGGCGAATTCAGGAATAGTGTTCTAAAATTAAAAACATGCATATTTTTCTCACAATCCGAGAAAATTCCAACTTACCAATCCATTACACATACTTTGTTCTTCACAAATTTTCTTTGAGTCTTCTTTCCGCAATTTATCCAAGTTCACTCTAAAATCAATGTTTTCTTTTAATTTTTCAGGTTTCAGAAATCAAGTTTACCTATTAATTACATCGCATAAACTTGACTCTTCAGTTTTTGTGGAATTGTTGCATTCTTCTCTGATTTTTTGTTCAAAATCTGATTCTGTTAGTTGTCTATCTTTTAATTTAATGATTACAACTTGACAAAATTCACACAAAAAATCCATAGGCACAATCTAATATGATTTTATTATTTTTTGAAAATTCAAATATTTTTTTACCTGAAATTCTGGAGCTTCTGGATCCATAACATCGGTTTCATTTTCTCGAGTATACAAATATTTGATAACTTTATAATCTGGTTTTACCTGAAATCAAAAAAATAAATAAAAGATTACTGTTAAAATTATTACCTTTTCCGGTTTGATTGGAATACAAAAAACAATTGATGAAATCATCAAGAATCCAACGATTAATATTCTTTTCATTTTTGTTTGACGTCAGATTGGATAACAAAATGAAGACCACAACTGAAAACAAATAAAAAGAGATAATTCAATTCTTATTCGAAAAAATAAATAAAAAAGAAACCAAAGCAACAAAAAATGATTTGAAAGATTCACTTCCATTTTTTATTTTGGAAAAAGGTCACACCAAAGACGAAAAAAAGAAAACTTGTTTCTTTCTCGAGAAAAAATTTACATAAAGACTTCATAATATTACGTAAGAATAAAAAATAAGCTGTTTATAAATGGGCAACAAAATTTTGTATTTTTCTTTACAATTTATACATTTTGGAAGGTTGAAAAGTTAGATGGAAGAACAAAAAAAACAAGAACAGGTTTTTAAATTTAGGAAAAAATCAATTATTTATTTTATTATAAGTATTATTTTCAGTTGATGAGGAAGTGTGAAATATATTTACAACGTACAAATGAATTCATTTTTCGGTTTTATTTATTTTTTGCAAAAAATCCTTGACCTTTCGTTGTTCTTGTTTTGAAATTCGAACAGTTTTTAGTGATTTACAGTTTTCGGGAAGACTTGTGGAGATGTTTGCCTTGAAAAATTGGAATTTGAAAAAAATGTTTTTAATTGATTCAGAAAATTTCACTAAAACAGAATGAAAAATATTCATAGCCCACATTTCAAAAACAAATTCATCATGAGTCTATTTTCACGTGAAACGTGCTATATTTACGTGGAATTGGTTTGGTTTTTAATTTTGAAAACAGTTTCAATCATTTCCTTGTCAAGGCTTCTAAATGGTAACAATTTTCAGAATTTGATCACTGTATTAATTTTTACAGCTTTTACGAAACAAAAGAAAACTTTCAATTTTGTTATCAATAGTGATATTAACTGCCATTTTTTATAATTATCGTTCGGAGAAATCGGATAAATCAGAGAAGGAGAATTTCTGGAAAAAGGTCAAACAAATTCATTTCAGCAAAACAAATCAACGATTACTGTAAGTATTATTAGTTTTGGTTTAAACCTAATGTATTCAAAAGAACAGTATAGTTATTAACAAAAAATGAAGGTCTTAAAAATGATATTTTTCAGTGAAAAAATTTGCCAAGAAAAATGTCTATATATTGTCGATAATCTTGTAGAACTACCAGAAAAGACATATGTGGAAAGATTGGTAACATTCAGTGAAAATAATGTTGACTCATTTGTTACAAAACATATTCTTGAAACTGATCAAAATGAAATTGACACATCAAAATGGACAAATGATCATAGTGTTATTTCTCATTATTCGATAAATGGAGCACAACTTCGTAAGATACTGAAATTCCAAAATTCGTCTAAAATTTCCAAATATTTATAGAACAAATATTCGGTTCGGGTCAACTTGATTTATCAACAAATCTCGAAGGAAATGTATTGGTATTCGGATTAGGAACTGGAACTGTTTTAATGCATTTACAACATTATTTTAAGAAGGTTTAAAAAAATCCATCCAAAATTAAAAATATATAATTTTCAGTTATCTATTACTGGAATCGAATTGAGTGAACAAATTGTTGGAATTGGCAGAAAATGGTTCAATTTTATGCCGAAAAATGGGAATGTTTTCAAACTTCAGGATGTCAAAGATCATGTCAAATTATCGATTAAAGAAAACCATTATTACGATATAGTTTTGGCTGATGTTTGTACTGAATATATATTCTATGATAGATGGATATGTCCTCCAGACTCATTGAACACAGAGGAATTTATTGCAGATCTTCGAAAAGTTATGAAACCAAACGGTAAAGAAATAAAAACTTCAGGACTGAAACTCATTATAAAAAATTTCAGGTATACTTTCAATAAATCTACTTCATCCAAAAGGAATGCCAAAATATGATGAAATGTTTCAAAAATTTTCAAAATACTTCGAGTTTTGTGAATACTTCTCGATTTTCAGAACATACAATATTCTTCTAACTTGTTATACATCAGAGAAACCAGAAAAGAATTCAAATATTACCAATTTTCTTGAAGAAATCGGAATGGAATTCTGATTTGTTTTTTTGGCCTCCACTCAAATCTTTCTTCTATTATTTGATTATTAGAATTCATTCATGTAAATGTCATTTTATAAATAGAAATTATTTTGGTCTCAATCTCAATGAATTTTTTTTCTTAATGGTGTACAAAACGCGTTGATTATGAGAACAAATAAAACCTCACCTTTTCTGTCAAAAAGTTCCAAACTTTCTTTTGCTCCGATTTTGTAATCTTGATTTCTTGTAATTCTTCGATTTCTGCATATGGCAATCCGGTTATTCGAGCAACTGTTGATTTTATGCTTGCACTTGCCATTCTATAATTACATTTAAGTAAAATTTATTAAATTTTTCATTGTTAGATATTGAAAAGGATTAGCTACTTTGTTGAAAAAAAAGAACACAAAGAAAAAGAAATGATTTATTGGAACATGCTGGTTATGTTGTTGGTAAAAAATAATTTGAAATAAATAAAAATTTAAACAGGTTTGTAATCCAATTTTGTTTCAAGACGTTTAGCATCTCCAACTTTTCTGACCGCTTTCATGAAATCTTCATCAATCACATACTCGCGTTCAGCACGGATTGCAAACATACCTGGAAATATTTTTAAAATTGAAATATTGAGATTTTTCGAAAAAAAACTGACCAGCTTCTGTACAAACATTTCTAAGATCGGCAGCTGAGAAACCATCGGACAATTTGACAACAGCTTCAAAATCAATTTCACCGTGTTTGGTGATTTTATTCGAGTGAATTTTCAAGATTTCCAAACGGGATTGTTCGTTTGGAAGTCCAATTTCGATTTTACGATCAAGACGTCCTGGACGAAGCAAAGCTGGATCAAGAGTATCTGGACGATTTGTAGCCATAATTACCTTAAAAAAAACAAGCATAGCTTAAATAAATATTTATTTTTTATTTCATCCTGTAAACATACCTTGACTTTACCGAGAGAATCGAAACCATCAAGTTGATTGAGAAGTTCCATAAGAGTACGTTGAATTTCTCGATCAGCAGAAGTACCTTCAGAAAAACGACGACCACCAATAGCATCAATTTCATCCATGAATACAATACATGGTTGATGATCTCTTGCATAATTGAACATTTCACGAATCATTCTTGCCGATTCTCCAATATATTTATCTACAATCGCTGATGAAACAACTTTCAAGAAATTACAATCGAGTTGAGAAGCTACAGCTCTCGCTAGAAGAGTTTTTCCAGTTCCAGGTGGACCGAACAATAAACATCCTTTTGGTGGAGTGATTCCGACACGCTTGAAAAGTTCTGGATTGATGAGAGGAAGTTCGACGACTTCACGAAGTTCTCGGATTTGTTCAGCAAGACCTCCAACATCAGCATAACTAATGTTTCCAGGATCTTCGTGTGACATTTTATAAACGAGTGGATCAACTTCGCGAGGTAATTGACGCATAATTGTGAGAGTTGTCATATCCAATGATACACGAGTACCTTGTTTCAACTCTTCTTTGTTAATTGATCGACGACAACCAACAACATAACGAGGTCCATTTGTTGCCTGATTCAAGTTACTATTTTTTGATTTATTAAAATTGAAAATACCTTAACAATAAATTTTTCTTCGCTCAATTGTTTCAAAACTTCTCCAACAATTTGTCCAACCGATTGCAACGATTTGATATCATTTTCTGATTTATCGAATTGTTTTTGCATTTCAGTCTCTTTTTTTCTCAATTCTTTCAGTTTTTGTTCAATGTCTCGACATTCGGCCAATTTTCTACGATAGCCATTAAGTGCACGAGTTCTCTCATCTTCGATTGTTTGAACTGGACCAGTTGATTCGACCATTCCAAATCTACAAAGATAAAACTATTTGGATACAGAATAAGCTTCGCAGCTGAATGAAACAATGAAAAACTTTGAAAAAAGAGAACCCGCAAAAAAAGAGAAAAATTTGAAATTGTCATCTTGTTCGATGGGGCACACAAGCCCACATGGCCGAACATTTTCTAGGTCACATTTTGAAAAAGAGAGAAAACGGCCGGAATGCTCGAATATGCTCGTACTGTTTTCACGCTCAGCTGATCGATTAGAATTCAAAGAGATGTCCGGAATTTGAAATAGGAACATCGAGGCTTAGTGGATCTGAAAATATAAATAGGGGAAGTAGCTTTCCAATGTTTGAGACAGTTATACGAATCATTGGTTTGATCTCATGAGAGCTCAAAAGTAATTTTTCAATGTGAGTCGTCATAGAGCACTTTTTCATTTCTCCTGCTCGTTCAGCGGGTTTTGAGTTTGTAAATACATTTATTCATGTGTTAAAATGTTTCAGTTTCTGATTGTTCGGATCCGAGTTTTCTGACTTCCCATAATTTGTCTGCCATTTGAAAAAAGTAAAGACGTCTTGTCAAAGTCTTTTCGTTAGTACTTATTTTTCGAAAACATGCATTTTCCAAGTTGACCAATTGATAATATATTTCTTCTGAATATTTTGAATTTATTTCGAAAGTACGTACGTCATTTGTTTTGTTATTACCTTCCGAGCTAGCTTTGAATTCGTCAAATTGTCGGATGTAGTCCATTTGTATTTGATTCACTAACGTCGAACTAGTAGGCATCACAAAATTAAAAATAACTTCATTTTTTCCAGCCCATTTCTCGTTGCCACAAAAATGGAGCACGTAAAATTTTACATAAAATCATCCATTAGCCCGATTTACATTTTTATTAGAGTCGTTACATTGGCACCAGCTGCCGTTTTTAAGGAGAAAAACGAGTCCTTAAAAAGAAATTGGATATGAGAAGAGGCTAAAAAGTGAAATGTAATTAGCATCAAGATAAATTTGACATTTTTTCTCACTACACGTGTGTCAAAATCCTAATTGGCGCAATTTTTCCGTACGTTATAATTTTTCAATCTCTTTCACTCAAAATGTTTGTTCTGTTTTCTAGATAGTTTTTCATCTGATTCCTATCATCAAAGTCCAAGCTACACCAAAAAACGGTCTGTTATCAATATCACTTATCAAATACCCAACGTTTCCCGCACATGAATGATTACTGTTAAAAAAGTAGGAAAATTCACTTTTCAACTTCCCATTGCCATTCCGTTTTTGATGTTTTCTCACGTTCAAATAACGTTGTATGAATTTTAGTAGAAATTCGTCAAAAATTGAACGTTTTCCGATAAGTTATTCAATAAAAAAGTTTATCTCACGTGAAATTAGATAATCTCGTTCCTACGTGGTGACTTCTTTCCGTTTTCATTTCATTTTTTTACTAAAAAAACATATTTGTGCCAGTACATACGCAAAATGCGATACTTTTTGGTCAGATTCAAACGTATTTACAACTAAATAATTTGTTCTCAAGGGAATTTTTCGCATCCGTTGAGATGACACAACCAATTTATTATCAAATTCGGAATCAATTAAGATAGTTATGCGATATAAAACTAAACGCATCGTCAATTATTTTTTACGACTTTCGTTTCTTTCTTAGAATTATAATAGTTTTAAAATTATAGGATAACTAGGAAAATTACTCAATTCTCCAATACCTATATTTTTACAGATAGTTTTTTGCACGTAGTAGCACAACATAAGGTCACATATGTTTAACTGATCTATGACATGTCACTTTTTTTTTAAAGATTCAAATGTTTAATAATAAAATTCACCTCACCTCAGCCAGGTAAATATCCAAATGTCATTACAGTATCCTTTCTCCTTCTAAAATCTTTGATGATTCCGCACCACACTGACCTTTCAATTCTTCACATCAGCTAGCCTATTTGACCACTCTCTCTTCCTCATTTATTGTGTGCTAGCGTTGGTCTGCGTCTCTTTCTCTTCTCCTACATTTTTGTGTGTCATGCCATCTTCACTATTACCACTACTCATTCTTCTTTTTTGTCTTTCTGTAGGTTCATTTTTTTATTATAGTAACCTGTACACCCGAGTGAGATTATTTGAGTTCAAAATTCTCATGTTTTTTTCAATTTTCATAAAATTCTTCCATTCAAAAATTATCAAACTCAAATTTTATCGATTCATAGTTTTTAACCTTGATTTTTTTCTGTTTTTGTATCTAATCCCGATAAAAACCAAATTTTTTCTTACCCTCGAAAAGCAAAAAAAAGAGAGTAAAGAACATATGAAGATAAGAGAGCAAGTGCATCAAATATGAGGGTACGGTATCTCTGATAACCAAGCAGGCAATCTCTGCCTACTTATAATAGATTCATGGCGCCGGCAGATACTTACATTTTTTATACTTGTAACATTTTTGTAGGAAATTAATTTTCATTCCAAAATCAATTTGTCTGACTCAGGAAGTAATTTTTTCATTCAACTTTTTTCAAATTTCCGTGAAAAATATTTACTGTTAGTTTCAATCCATTCAGTGGTCTTTGTATTCAAATGTGTGGTTTATTCTGTTTTGGAAACATTTATGACGTTTTGATTTCGCAGTAAAACAGCTGTTATCACATTATTAATTGAACTTCCCAAAACCCACACTCTGTTATTTTCTCATTGTTATTTTTTTTAAATTCATTCGTAGAACATAAGTATCTATAATCTGTTTGAATATTATCTCTGGATTATCAAGTCCAATTGAAGTTCTGTTTAATGAATCACTATATGCTCTTGCTCTTTTTCTTATCTTCCTTCGTCAAAATAATGTAGGCGTCCAAGCCACACCCACATTTTTTTCTCATTTTGTTACTTGCTTCTCGTCTATTGAAGAATAGAATAAAAATAATATATTTTTTGTCATTAATCATAACGATGATTTAAAATCCGGTTATTATTGATTTGTGTGATTTTTTCATTGAACAGCTTATTAATTATTAGTTTAATATTAATATTTATTTTGCAGACGGGTCACTCAAAGTCTTTCATCGTCCATTTTATTGTTTAGTTTATTTTTGTTATATATTTTGTATTATCTGGAAGAGTATGACGATATGTTGTATTACAACAAGCAGCGAAGATGCCATTTCGACGAGTATTATACAAATTGAGAATAAATCCACTCAAGTTAGTTTATTTTTCGTTTTATTAAAAAATTTCTATGAAGTTCCATAGTATGAACCAGACCTGGGAATTTTTACGTTTACGTTTTTTTCGTTTTACGGTTTTTACGGGATTTCACCGTAAAATCCATTTTACGGTTTTACGGCTCAAAAAATCGTAAAATAATTCGTTTAAAAAAATCACTAAATATAGTGAATTTTGACAGAATCAAATAGAAACTTCAAAAAAAAACACAACATTTTTCAAAGAAAATTTTGATTTAATCCTAACTGATTAATTTTTTGACGAATATGAAGAATAATATTGTTAAAAATGTGTTTGAGTTACGATAAGTTACCAACTCGTTATTTCTGAATAAATTTTTTCTGTTTTTCAGTGAAAAGATTGAGTAACAAAATTTTACGTTTTTCTCGTAATTTTACGGTTTTTCAAAACCGTAAAAAGTATGTTTTACGTTTTACGGTGCCTCGTAAAAAATTCCCAGGTCTGGTATGAACCAAAAATTTTGTTCAAATTAAAATATTCAATAGAACAATAATTAGGCCAGGCCACGTTTTGAAAAACAATCGAACTGCGAAAATAACCAGAACTACAGTATTCAATTTTCTAAATTCCCATTTCTCAAAAAGTTCACACGATCAATCACCATTTTATTGCACTAACTACCTGAAAATAATTTGAATATAAAATGTGTAGTATAAAAATACATTTTTTTTGCTATACTAAATATTTGTTTTTCGCTCAAAACTCCCTTCTTCCGCTCTTTTTTTAGTAAATAATTAGTGTATATTTGGGCAGAAGCAGTAAACAAGAAAATCGGTGAGTTGTTCAGATTTATTCTGTGTGACCTGCAATGAAAAACCAAAAAGTTCAGAATAGACTAGGAAGGAAAAGTGCAAGTGTACTTTCGGGTGGTCGCACGTCCAAAGTGCATACTTCTCTGAAAAGCTTATGAATCATTGAATTATAGCTGACGCCGTGCACATCGAGCCACAATCTTGTCGAAATTACAAAAACTCCTGAAAAATCGGGAGAAATTGAAGAATTTTGGAAATGTTGTTGGATAACTTGTTCGGAACAAAGAAACAATGTTGATGCACTTTATGATCATGTAATTGAAGAACATATTCGACCAATATTAGATGAAAAAATGAAAGATGAAGATGAAAATGATGAGATTATTGGTTGTGAATGGGAAGATTGTGAGATGGAAATTGAAAGAGGAACAATTAGAAAGAAAATTGAATGGCTTGAACAACATTTTCGAACAAGACATTCAAAAGGTGCAAGAACATATAAATGTGTTATTGAAGGATGTGATGAAAGAGCTTCGACATCTCGACAATTAGAAGAACATGTTCGAGCTTGCCATTTTGAATCACCAAGAAAACAAAGACCAAGTATGTTTTATCGAGAAATTGAGTTTATCTGAATTTTTAGAGTTTTTTTTTTGAAAATCTGAGAAAAATGTTTCATGAACTCGGTTTTTTCCATATACAATCTTCCACAGAATCTTAATCCTACCCCAAAATTTTCAAAAATTCGAAAATTTTATCGTTTTCCAGAAAAGCTGGCATAGCTAAAATATGTCAAAAGGTGATTTTTTGAGAAATAGGTGTTTTCATTTTCCATATATTCTTTGTCTCAACTTAGAAAATTGGTGTAATTTCCTATTAAATTGATGTATAGATTGGTTGAAAAAAGTTCATGAAACAATTTTTTTCAAGTTTAAGGCTTCCCGAGGGTGAAACGTAATTTCTTAATTCAAAAATTAATTGTGTATTTTTCAGTGAGAAGAAGTGAATCAACATCCAGCATCCCTCAAGAGAAAACACATGCATTTGTTTTGACTGATATGGTTCATCATTATATTGGTTAGTAATAATCGTCATTCAAAAATATCTAATTTTGTTAATTTTAATATGTTTAGATCGAAAACGAACTCCTCTTTGGACAGATGTTGAATCGAATAAAATGATCGCAAGAAATGTTCTGCATTATTATGATGGTTATAATGTGAAATATGAAAAAGTTGATAATTCAAAGTTAGTAGGAGCTGCAAAACGAAAAACTTCTTACGTTAAAAATTGGAGAACACATTATAAAATAACACCTGTTGAAAAAGAATTGGACGTGGAAGAGGAAGAAGATCCGAATGCTCCAAAATTCAATAATGAAGCTGAAAGCAAAATGACATTACGAGATTTGTTTCCGAATTTATATGATAATAATGAACCGATGAATCAGAACAATAATGAAGAAATCAAAGAATTAATAATAGAGACAGCAAAAAGAGAAGATGCATATGAAGATGATGATGATGACCCACCTCCACCTGCTATTTCACCTTCACCGGAATATTCTGGAATGTATTCTGAAAATGAAGATGAAGAGATTATGAGTGAAATGCCCTTATTAAAAAGATGTGATTCGCCTGAAATTATTATGGGAAATATAAGGCCTCCAAAAATGACAAAACGAAAAGCTATAGAAATGATTTGTAATGAAGAACAACCACTCAAAAAAAGACAAAGAAGGTATGTATTCGAAAATATTTGCAGCTTAATCAGTTTCTTTTTTCCAGAAATCTTCCTTATGGAGTTTTCGAAGAAGATCAATCAGATAATGAAGATGATTATGGTTATGAAAGAATACCAGAAGAAATTCTGAAACAACCTCCAAATATTTATACAAAATTGAACGTATCAGATAATTGCAAATATTCATCCGGATTGCAACCATTTTTCCGGATTGTACATTGATTTATATCATTTATTGCTCACAAATAATAAGGTACCCTATTTTTTTGGCCGAGCCAAGGTCTCATATTTTGAATAATAATTGAACAATTTTTATTAAAATTTATTTGGTGAGTAAGTATGTAATAATTTTATTGTTATTTTCTACTAATCTTTCAAAGAATGTAAAATAGTCTTTCACATATGTACAGATTTTTATTTATCTTGCCATAAAAAATATTAAAACTTTTCTTCACATTTATTAGAAATAAAATTGTCTATTGACTTTTCTTTCTTTTCAATTTTTTGGAACTTTTTGCCATTTCACTTCCACTCGAAGAAGATCGACGAATTGTATGTTTTGCTGAATCTAAAAAAACATTCGATTTAAAAACTTATATTTAACATAATTTAAAAAAAAACAAACCAGTATCAGTTGACGTTGCTTTTCTTCTAGCTTCATCTTCTTCTTTAATAACTGGTAAATTATCATTATACCAAGTTGGATTTGTTGGAGGAAGATCAGGAATTGGAATCGGCGAAGGAACATCGCGTTCTTTCATTCCATCGGCATTATATTTAACATGATTTGTTGGTAATCGACCTTTTAACATTTCCTCCAATTGTGTTTGTGGCATTGAACTCCAAAGTCTTGTTCCTTTTGGTGTTCCTAATGAATGTTCATCAAATGTTGAATCAACACTTGCTTTCTTTGTATTCATTCCATTTTCAAAGTCTTGCGCAAAAGATGCTCTTTTTCTGACTCGATCTGTCAATCTTCCACCAGTCCTCATTCTCTTGAACATTTCACTCAATTTTCGGCCACCGTTTGCAAATGAATTTGAAAATGCTAACGATTCACCGGATGCATAATTGCTAGAAATTGGACTGAATCAATTAGATTATCGAAATATCATTTGAAAAATGAAAGAGTTTCCCTTTTTGGCCTCACCTCCCCTCTCTTTTATTTTTTAAACCGTGAACTGGAACAACATCTGTATCTTCGAAATCTCCATCCCATTGAGAAATTCGAGACATTGTTCGACGACGAGGTTTCAGCATATACGATTCTTCTTCAACGGCCCTGAAATACGGTTTTCATGACACAAAGTTGATCCAAATTACTCACATATCTGCACATGATCCAACTTGTGGATTTAATGGGCGAAGTGCACTTTCAGCTGTATATAATGGTTCTGGCAGTTCATCTTCCCAAAATGAATCTTTTTCCAAATCTGGATATTTTCCATAAGCTGTATCGACTACGGTCAACCCAACCTCAAAACATTCATGGTTTTGTTTAGACTCAAAAGGTCTGGGTTACTGTAGTTGGTGTGAATTTTTTTGGATTATTGTACTTTTGAAAAATTTTACGTTAGTGTAGTTCCAAAATACAATTTAGGTTACTGTAGTTCTATTGAAACTTTTCTAAAAATTAAGTCTTATTGATCTCTCCAGAAAATTCCAGAATGTTTGTCAGATCATTATTTTTCGTTCACCTGTAAATTTCTATCCAAAATCCAATTACATTCAAAATCATCATCATCTTCTCCTAACGGATTCAATAGAACTTCAGCTACTTTCATCCATCCAATAAAAAATGTGAATTGTAGAACTGACATTATTGGAACATAAAGATCGATCTGAAAATGATTCTTTTTTTTCTCTGACACTGTATTCTGATATGATTTCAAAAAAGTTCCAATTTTCAAATATTTCTTTCATCGTTCTCAAAAGCTGAGAAAAACAAACCGTTTGTTTATAATCAGGTATTCTTCCTTTTTCCGGATGCAAATATTGTCGACCAAGAAGTGCAATTATAAAAAAACTTCGAACCCCAAGATGAACAACTTGAGTATAAACTAATGGAACTGGAACCCAATCATATAAAGTTAGATTTAGAATTGCGACACGAAATTGTCGAAGTTTTTCCATAAGATCAACATAAATATAATCACTTGTTATCATTCCTTCGTCACGTGCTAATTTTACCATTGAAAATAGCCAGTGCATTGGTTGCCAATATTTCTGAAACAATTAGGATTTTTTAATTCAAAAACACTTCAACTTACAGCGTGAGGACTTGGAATTGATTCAAATTCGGCCATTTCTTTTTCAGTCATTAATCCGGCTGTTACCAAATGATTAAAAGTTGGAAATCTTTTTCTCACACTTGCTGCAACATCTCGATAAACCATAGCTTGTGTTAAAATAGCATATCTAATACAATTTCTTCTTACACATCTTGCTCTCTCAGATTTTCCTTGAATATATTGAGTAATCCATAAACATGGTGTATCAATCCATCCAACATTATCAAATATTTGCCACCATCTTGTAAAAACAGCAGAAACATAAAAACCGAGCATAAATGTAATTGGAATAAAACCAGAATATGTTTCGAGAAAAACACAAATATCTTCAAAAACTTCTCTTTGACTTGTTGTCATAATTAAACGATAAGACATCGATAACATTGCATAAAGTATACACCAAACAACAAGTTCTGCCCAAACAGATTTCCAAATTGAACCTTTCCAACGAAACAATAATTTATAAAGACAGAAAAATGAAGAACTCGCAACATCTAATGAATAAGTTACTGTCATTCGGAATACTTTTTCTTCTGAAAAACAGTTTTTTTTATTTGGAAAAGATATCGAAAAATGGGAAAAGATAAGAACAGGTTGTGAGGAGCGCCGGGTAATTTAATGAGATTTATAATTGTCCAATAAATTATATATTTAACCTAACAGCAAAACAAAACAAATTAAAACAAAAAATCAAATGTCATGTTGAAAAATTCAAAAACGTAATAAATAAAGAATTGACATCAAGTTTAAATCATTTTTTACAATCAATAGCGTTAATTTTGTTTATTTTTCTACTACTTAAAATTTTTCAGTTTTTTTCATTGATCAATTCATCAAAAACTGACTCTGAAAATAAACAAAAATGAAAAAACCACAAGTGAAAACTCAAAACCGGATCAAAGTGAAATTATGCAAATACTCATTCTTGTCACTGAAATATTTTATTATTTCATTTTTTGATCTATAAAATTATGACTGTTGCATATGCTCTTGATGTTGCAACTTCAACTATTTTTACACAAATTCGTGTTTTATTAAGATGGAAAGGTTCGGTTTGGAAAGCAACATGGATTGAACTTATTATTTGGTTAATTATGTATTTTATATTATCTGTGATCTATCGAATTATGTTGAATAAATGGCAAAGAGAGTTAGTTTATTTATATTTATGATGTTTGATTTTTCTATTTTAACCATTAATCGGGAAATCTATCATATTTCTATATATGATTGATCAAGTACAGCTTGAAACACTAAGCAATAAATTAAAAATTTCAGAGTCTTCGAGAAATTATGCACATTTTTCGACACATTTTCAGTATTTATTCCAGTTACTTTTATGCTTGGTTTTTATGTTACTATTGTGTATAATCGATGGAGTCGAGTTTTTGACAATGTTGGATGGATTGATACGTAAGAAACATTTATATTAGAAGTCATTCAAATATTGAGTTACCAACATATTTAGAATAATATTTTACAATAGTTAAACATTTTCAAATTTTTGGAATTATAAAAAAAAAATAATTTTGTTATTGCCACATCATAGTTCACGCTGGTAGACAAATTATTCCAAATTTTTGAAAAAAAACCTGGACGTAAACTGATAATAAAAATCAGGACTTTTCAAAAAAAAATTAAATTTCAAAAATAGTTTTTGTTCAGATCAGCTCTAACAATTGCCCAATATATACGTGGCACAAGCGAAAGAGCAAGAATAATTCGTCGAAACTGTGTCAGATATTTGATTGTTGCTCAATGTCTAGTTTTCCGAGATGTTTCTCCGCCAATTCGAAAAAGATTTCCAACATTGAATCATTTGGTTGAAGCTGGTTTATTATCCAAAGAAGAACTTGAAGAATTTGATTCAATAAAATCGCCACAATCAAAATATTGGCAGCCAATTCAATGGTTATTTTGTTTGGTTACTCAGGCTAGAGAAGAAGGAATGATCGATAATTATTTCCTTTATGTTGATCTTATTGAAAAAATGCGAGATTTCAGAACTAAGATTTTGAATCTTATTATTTTTGATATGGTTCCAATTCCTCTTGTTTACACTCAAGTCGTTAATTTAGCAGTGAGAATGTATTTTGTCTTGGCTTTGTTTGGTAGACAATTTTTGGACGAGGATAAGAATATTCCTGGTGCTAAATTCAAAATTGATCTTTATTTTCCAATTATGACATCACTACAAATTATATTTATAATTGGTTGGCACAAGGTAAGAAATAAGAGAAGGATTACTGTAGCTCATGTTTTTCAAATAAAATCCAGGCATATTTTTGAGGTGTCTGAAGTTATGCTAAATCCACTTGGAGAAGACGATGAAGATTTTGAAACTCATTGGATTATTGAGAGAAATCTTCAAGTCGGATACGCTGTTGTAGATCAAGCATATGACAGATGTCCACCAATTGTTAGAGATCCATTTTGGGAAGAAGAAACACCTCAACCAATGGATACACCTGGATCTCAAAGAAAAGATACATCTCATATGCAAGGAAGTTGTATTGCTATGTAAATAAATCAAACACTTTTTCCAGAGAATACAGTAATTGTTTCAGGGATGCTACAAACATGGATAATGGTATGATATCTTATATTCGACGAAGATCAAGTTCAATAAGTGACATATCTCGAATGACTGAAAGTACTCGAACAAATGGAAGTTTTGCAAGGAGAAGATTGAGTAATGCATTTAGTAGAATCTATAAACCAAATGCAAAAAAAGAAGAAGATTCAGAACCAAGAAGAGCAAGTGTTTGTGAGTTATTCTGAAAATAGGTCCCAATCGCTGTTATTTTGAGATATAGCTGTGCACATCTGTTTTTCAGGTGTCGCTGCTTTGGATTTAAATCGTAGACCAAGTCGACAAAGCACACCAGATTTAGAAACTGGCGAACAGGTTTTAGAAGTTCCAAGTGTAACAAACGGACAAGTAAATGATACTCCACAAGATGTGAAATGGTTTGTGGATGAAATGCCAATAATTGAAGAAGAAGATGATCATCATCATAGTCAAGCTCATAATTCAGCTTCATCACTACGTCAAAAATTGGAAAAAATTAGAAAACCTTCTATTTGAAAATCATATATATACGTACATATTTACTAGATTATTAATCAAATAAGATATCAGAAATTTACCCATTTTTTATTATTATGGCAAAATATACAAATTTTATAAAAATTATTATTATTATTATGGCAACTGTTGACAATATTCCAGAATCGGTTTTTCAATTTTGTACGTTTTTGTGATTTCTTCAAAAATTTTAAATGGGCAATATTCTTGATCTACACATTGAGGAATGTTTCTAGTCAAATCCTCGAAATTTGAATTTTCATCTTTTCGATATACTAATTTGAAAAATGGTTCGTTTCGTTGATTTTGATATAATTCGATGAAAACAGCAGCTGCATAATTTGGCCATTCTCCGGGAGAATTTGCAGCGTGATCGTGAAGTTCTAAAGCTGATAAAACCGCAAAAACTGTTGCATCATGCTGAAAATATTGAAAATTGAATTGATTTGCATTTATAATTTAATTGTGACTTACCGCTGAATATGCATGATATTTAATAATGTCATCTGAATTCTCTAATTTGTTCCGTAGTCTTTTCGAAATTTCTTCAACCAGTGCCGAAACTCGAAGTTTTTTAGTTTCCGAAGAAATATCGATACCATTTAATATAGTAGAGTTTGCAGTTTCATAAAGTCCAAAAAACCTTTCATTTGATTCATATGAAATATTCAATAATTTTTGATATAATTCCTCATTATACCATGTTTTTTCTTTGAGTCTTTCAGGAAAATGAATTCTTTGACAATTCAAATTATCAAATACTCTCCAAATATTATCCAATGTAATAGTTTCTCCATAATATTCTGTTAATTTATTTAATATTTCAACAACTTCAGATTCCTTTGCAAATATTTTGTTTTCTTCCAAATTATTCGATAATTGATATAATTTGTCAACTCGTGGACATTTACAAAATACAGCTCCAGCACAATCTTTTTTATATCCAATTGTTCGATAAAAACTAAAATTATGTCCATCTGGATACATTCCAAGCATATTTGCTTCAGCTGATTTGAATGTTCTATTAGTATCCGTTGTTCGAATATGCATTACACTTGCATCATAATCTTCGGGAAGAAATTGGAACTCTTTTTCAATATATCTTCGACGAATTGCTTTTCCAAGATTAACTTGTTGTTTTATTCCAAGTGAAGTTAATTGTCCGAATCCATTTCCAGTTTCTTTTATCCAATCAGATTCTGTTATTGTGTCGGTTTTAAATCCATTTTGAGGTGTACGATCTCCGTGTCTCCAAACCTAAAAAAATACATGAATTTGAAAGGATAATTCTCTTCTAAACTTACAGCTTGTACATAAATTAGTTGATGTTGTTGAGAAACTGGAGAAGATTGAATAAGTGAAAATATTACCAAAGGAAGAACAGCAAGTTTCATTGTAAACTGTAACACATATTATTGGAAAATTAAACAAAATACTAGATTTATATAGGGTTTGTGTCGTCAGAGAGGATTTGGTGGTAATAATTTGAACGTTTCAATGAACTTTTGCAAGTAAACAGACAAAAAAATAATAATTGAGGTGATGACAATAACATCCGGAGTACAAAAAATGAAACTTTGAACAAAACAATATTAATAGGATTGTGACAAAGTTTTTCTTCAAAATAAAGCATTTTGTTTTCGAAAATGAACATGTAAAAAAACCAAGCTCTCTTTTTCTTGTTGGGATTTCAGCATGAGTGAAATAAATTAGATCTAAATTCTTCGATGGAAGTCGTTCAAAACAGCATAACAAGTAAACAGTGAAAGTACTGTAGGTTCAAATGATTTAAAAGTGCAAATTTCAAAAAATCGCCAAAACAACAAACTTAGAAACAAGCAAACACGCTCTAATGCGAACCGGGTCTTTTTCGAATTTGAATTCATCTTTTTTGTTTTTTTGTTTTCTGTTTTGTTTCGAAGACTCAATCTTTCTAAATACGTTTTCAGCATGAAACTTTGAATAAGAACATGCTGATCAAGTGAGGAACGTTTCTCGTTTAGTTTACGATTGTATTACAGTTTGAAAAATGATAAAATATAGGGTTTTTTCATTGAAAAAAAATAATTTTTTTTTTTCAAAAGTGGGACGTGAACTTTTTTCTTTTTTTTTAATCTAAAAAATTATATATTGTGAAATTATGTTCCACTTTTCTCACTTCGATATTTCTCTTCTACCCTTTTGAAGTTATAATAGATTTCAATTTCAGTATAATGTCGTATGACACATATCCAGACGGGAGTATTCTACAAATTTCATTTCATAATTTTCTGTAAGTTTGAATTGTTTCGAAATTAAAAAAAACAACATATATATTTTTTCAGCACATATGAGGATACAGTTTGCACACCTGGAGAGAATCTCAATTTAATTCTTGGACACAATGGAAGTGGAAAAAGTTCTATTATTTGTGGAATTTGCCTTGTTTTTGGTGGAAGTCCAAAATCATTGGGTCGATCGGAAAAACTTCCCGATTATATCAGACACAATTGTACTGAAGCATTTGTTGAAGTTATGATAGCTGATAAACAAAAAGGTCCCCAAATTATAAGATTGAATATCAGAAAAGGAAAATCACCAGAATATAAATTGAATGGAAATCACAGTACTCAACAACAAATCAAAGATTTGGCTAAAAGCTATAACATTCAGGTTAATTCAAAGAAAATTCAGAGAGTTTTGAAATAGATATATTATTTTCAGATTGACAATCCGTGTGCATTTTTAGCTCAAGATAAAGTAAAAAGTTTTTCGGAGCAGTCACCAATCGAACTTCTTTTCAACACTGAAAAAGCTGCATCTGCTGAAACTCATGAAGAACATATCGCACTTATTCAACAAAGAAAAGATAGTTCTCAAATTGAAGATAAATGCAATAGTTCAATTAAAGCTATCCAACAAATTGAAGGTTTAAATTAGTTTGATCTTTTCTAAAATAATTTATATATTTTCAGAGAATATCGCTAAACTTGAACCTCGTGTTGAAAACTACAGAAAAAAGAAACAAATGCAAAACAAATTAAGATTGTTGGAGCAGAAATTGTCGATGGTTGAGTTCAATGAAGTTGATGATGAATATAGAAAAGAAGTAGAAGAATTTGACGAAATTAAAGAAAACTATGATAAAATCAAAGACAAAGTAAGCAAAGTTGATGCAAAAAGAAAGAAATTATCAAGCATGGCAGATACTGAAAGAAATATGATTACGAAACATGTGAGTTGAAAATACAAAGATTTATCTTCTTTCAAATATTGTTTTTCAGAAGTCAAAAGCTGCGGATATAATTGAGAAAATTGAAGGATCCATTGACAAAGACATTATTTCGAATCGAACAAAACAAGCAAAACGAGAACTTGATGCGCAGAAAAAAGCATTCGACCAAAATGAACGAGAAAAAGAGGAGACAATCAGAAGAATTAGAGGATTTGAAGAGAAATTGGATGAAGCTGAAATAGAAATGAAAGGATATCAGAAGTTTATGGAGAAATCAAAAAGCGAAGAGAAAAAATTGTTTGAAATTGAAAAAGAATGTCGAAATCATGAGGATTCGATTAGTAAGAAGGGATATGATTTGAGAAGTTTGCTTGAAAGTAAGTTATTTATTTGATTTTTAAATATAAACAAATTTCGAATTTGTTTATTTTTTCAGAACAACGCGAAGCTGACAAACATAATGCTGAGAATGAAACGAGAAGATTACGATGCATGGGAAGTTTATCACCAGATGCTGCAAAAGCTTGGAATTATTATAAAGCTAATCGTTCCGCATTCAAAGATGATATTTTTGTTCCAATTATGCATGTCACTTTAACAACACCAGATGCTGCAAAATATATTGAGAATTCAGTTGGTGGAAGAGATTGGTGTATGTTTGTATGTTCAAATAAAGATGATGAATTGATTATTAATGATAATACGAAAGGTTGGAGAATTAATTCGACTGTTGTTCGAAAAGAAAGTGTGAGTGTTTTTTGGGGAAAAGCACAGGAGAGGCCCTTATTTCGAAATATTTTAAATTTCCCCAATTATCTATTTCCATCTCGCAAATTAATGGTTTAGGTCAACACGGAACAAATCAATTCAATTCTTCCGGATGAACTCAAACAATATGGTTTTTCTTGTTTTGTTTCTGAATCAATTTCTGCACCAGATTCACTCAAACAATATTTGTGCAATGTTTTTCAACTTCATCGTATTGCATGTGGCAAAAATGAGGTGGAAAAGAATTTGGGAAATGTTGCTGATTCATTGGCAAAAACCAGATATAATGTTTTCATCACAACCAACATTAGAGTTAGTTTTTTTTAGAAATCATTTTCAGAATTATCAGTTTGTATATAATGTTCGTACCTGTTCCAGGTTCAAATTTCGATTTCTCGTTATTCTGGTGAAGTAATGCAATCACAATCACAATTAAGACAACCACAAACTTGGAATGACCAAGTTTTCTCGAAAAGTACTTCAAAAAAATCAAATACGGGAAGTATCGATGAAGAATTGGATAAAATGAATGCTGAAATCAAAAAAGAGACAGAAGTTATGAATGAAAAAAGACGAAATATCCAGAAAGCGAAAGATTCTTTGAAAGTTGATCAAAATGAATGGAGACAAAAGAAACAAGTTGAAAATGCGGCAAGACAATTGGTTGAAGCGGAAAAAGATAGACTGAAAAGATTGGAAAAGGAAGTTATTGATTTGGATAAAGCTGAAAAAGCATTTGAAAAAGCACAAATTGAGGCGAAAAAAAGTGCACAAGCTATGTTCGATGAATGCATCAAGTCACAGGTATTTTTGATTTCAAAAGTTTTTTTTATATCTTATAAGTTCTTTTATAGACAATTTTTATTGATATTCATGAAGAGATTGCTCGAAGTGCTTTGATTGAATTACAATGTAGAAAGAAATATAACGAAGAAAGCAACAAATTGTCAAATTTACGAGATAAGGAAGAAAATCTGAAATGTGAAAAAGAATCTGCTGAATATACACTTCAACAAGCACATATCAAGAGAAAAACAGCTTGTGAATCAATGAAAGACAAATGTCAACTCAAACATTTAGATTTGAATAAAATGGATAATATTGAGAAACAAATATTTGAAAAACTGATGGAATTATTCAAAGAAGCACAATTACCTGAAGAAAAAGATCAAGTTGAAAAACAATTGAATGCTGAAAGAACACGTTTGAGAGTTGCTGAAAATAGTTCAGATGATGGAAATATTGATGACGAAAGAAGAATGGATAAATTGAAGGCTGAATTAATTGAGGAAATATCGAGAAAAGATAAATTGATCGAAACAAAAAAGAATGTTCATGATAAATTGAGTGAATCTATTGAAATATGGAAACAAAAAGTGAATGAAATGATTGAGAAAATCAATGAAAATTATCGAGATAATTTCATCAAAATGGGTTGTTTGGGAGAAGTTCATTTGGAAATTCCAGAAAATAAAGTGAGTTTGCAAAAGTGAAACTGAAACTTTGATTTGTTTTTCTAGTTGGACATTGATAATTATGGAATTATGATTATGGTTTGCTTCCGAAATGGTGAAAAACTCAAAAGACTTGATCAAAGAGTTCAATCAGGTGGTGAAAGAAGTGTTGCAACAATGTTATATCTTCTCGCACTTCAACAATTGTGCCCAGTTCCATTCAGATGTGTTGATGAAATCAATCAAGGTTTGTGATATTTCAACAAAAAATGTTACAACAGTTTAAAATTTGTTGTAAAAGTTTTTTAAAGTTTAAAATCAAGGGTTAGAAATTGAATTTTTCAAATGAAAACATATGAAATGAAAACTAAAATGCCAATCTTTATTCGCCAAAAACCCTCATCATTTTTCAAGGTATGGACCCGACAAACGAGCGAAAAGTTTTCGAAATTATGGTGAATTTATGGAGTGGAACTGGTGCCTTGGCAAAAACCCAATACTTTTTATTGACTCCAAAATTATTGCACGGATTATCAATGAATGAAAGAGTCACAGTGCAAGTGGTTCATAGTGTTGTACCCAAAAAATATAGCGTAAGTTTTTCATCAGGAAAGTCATTATTTGGGATTATTTTATTTTTGAACTGAAATATTTGACTGAGAAATTGTTTTCGAATTCATTTTTCTTCATTGCCTCAAAAATTTAAAGAAAAAATGTGGTAAAACGTGCGAAAAACAGAAAAATGTGTTTTGTTCATTTTTTTTATTTCCTCATCTTTTTATTTGATTATTTTTTTGATTTTGATGATCAAGGTTCATTTTTTCGATGAGCCACGTCAAAAAAAGGAAGAAAAAAACATCCAAAAAAAAACATGTAAATTATTTTCCAAGTGCCTTTTCAAAGTTTACGTTTCCTTGGAATAAAACATTTGTTTTTTCCTTAAAGGTCTTGTTAATCAATACATATATTCCGATTTTTAATCGCCACATTTTTTTCGTCTGTCCAAACAATAAACGATAAAAATTGGTCAAACAAATTTTTTAAATGAAAGAGTTTCAAAATTATTATTTATTTTTTTTCAGGATTGGGATACGACGAAATTTTTGGAAGCGACACGTGCAAAATGTGCTGTGTAAAATATAATCTTGTACCATATCAGTATCATCATTTTCTTCCAAAAAACAAATAACTAACTTTCTCGATTCCATAGGTTTTTTCTAGCTGTAATATTTTTTGTTTTTGGTTTTTTGTTTGTATATTTTGGAACGATCTCAAACCGCGGATAGTTTTACCTCTTAAAGAAATTAATGAATGTTTTTTTTTTGATAGAAATGTTTTTCGAAATATCGCTAATTTATCGAATAGTTACTTTATTTCAATCTTATTCAGAAGCTAATTTTTTTTTAAATCGTTCAATTGGAGAAATAAAATGTAGTATGAATGAAATCCGAAGATAGATTACATCTTATTCTTTCATGGTTAAAGAATTTCTCAACACTGACAATTGTGAGAAAAGAAGAGAAAATACATTTTCTTAGCCAATCTAAATAGATCTCTATCATATTTTCCAAATCCACCTTGTTCATTGACTTATTATTAAAACTTTGGATTTTTCAAATTTAAATTTCTAATTTTGTTATTCAGATCTAAAGATTTTCATACGGAATCATTTCTGATTTTTTCTATCATCGATCAATATTTTTTCAAATGTATACCAAATCATATATAGCACCAAAAGGTTTTCTTGTTATTTTCATCATATTTTTTTATTTCATCATTTTTCGATATTCGAAAAATACTTCAACAACTGTTATTGAAATGGATGTTCCTATAACCAACGAAGAGCAGAAAAAAGGTAAACTCAATTTTTCTTTGAAAAACAAAACTTAAACTTTCAGAATGTCCAACTTTCGGTGTTTCGTTGGAAGAAATGAATGAAAAACTTAAAAATTATATTGATTCGATTGATCCAAATGAAAAATATCCAGAAAATGTGAATCGATTGAAACCTCATCATATTCGAGTAATTGGTGCAATGGGTGATTCGTTGACAATTGGATCAAGAGCACAAAATAATTTCGAAGAATTTACGCAAAGATATCCAGGAAACACTTATTTCACGGGAGCTGATTTTGAAATTGATAAACATTTGACTATTTATAGTAAGTTTTGTTTTATTGAATATGGCTCGTATTTTCATTATAAATAAATATTCTCAGATATATTCCGATATATTTCATCAAAAACTGGTAGCAAACTTTTACCTGGAAGTCGAGGAATTGATTATGGAACAAATACAATGTTCAATGTTGCTGTTAGTGGAATGACATGTCGTGATATACCAAGACAAGCTGAAGAATTATATTCGAGAATTGCTAATAATTCTGATGTGAATATCGAAGAAGATTGGAAAATGATTGTTTTATGGATTGGAACAAATGATGTTGGAACAATTGGAAGACGAGAATTCGTGAGTTTTTGCACTTTGATTGTAAAAAAATAAGTCAAGGTTTAGAAACCAATAACTGGTGAAGAATACAAATCTCAAATTGAAAAAGCTTTGAAAATACTTAAATCAAAACTACCAAGAACGATAGTTATGATTGTTGGAGCATTTCAACCTGAATTATTGATTGAAGCTGAATTTATTATGAGAGATGGGTAGGGTATACAAAAAAACAAATTGAAAAAATCTTATATTTTTTGAAGAAAACGACCGAGAGATAAAGCTAATCAAGATCACATTGATAAGATTTCAAAAGATTATCAAAATGCGGTTTTCGAAATTCAAAATTCTCGAGAATTTAACGATGAAGAGTTTACTGTAGTTGTTCAGCCATTTGCCACAGAATATAAACATCCATTGATTGATGTAAGGTTTTTTCCAAATTCTTTGAATGGTTTCTCTCAATTAGGTTTTCAGTCATCTGGAAACTACAGAAAAGAGTTTTATGCAGTCGATGAATTTCATTTGAGTAAACTGGGTCATGCTGTTGTTGCCAAATATCTATGGCAGAATATTTTTGAACCAGTTGGTCAAAAAACAACAAATGCATCACTTGAAGATTGGAACCCAACAATTCGACAATTAACAGAAAGTAATTCGCTCATAAAAACAATTGATAACAGTGATGTTGATTGATGATTTTGACAATATTAAAAAGTTGTAAATTATTGTTTATTTATTGTTGACAAGAAACGGGATAGGAATAATTATTTGAAACATTCTAAATTCTGCGATTTTTGTTCCTTTTTTCAGTTTGAATTCTTGAAGTCATTATGCGAACATTTCTAGCTAAAAATTTCGATTTCTGGGTTCTAAAATTAACAAATCTTTCCCATGAATAGTTCATTAAAACATTTTAACATCAATGGTATTTAGTTGATGGACAAAAGATGTGCAACCGATCTGTTGTATCCTCGAATTTTGCAATCAGCAGCTTTTCCTCTCAAAATAACCGAAACACCGTTTCTTTTCTCAAGAACAAAGTCGTAAACAGCGGAGAATTTTCCGACTTGCCACGAGACAGTCATGTGCAAGTTTCTTCTTCCGTTTTCAAGTCTGGCTGAGATAACATCAGTATTATAATGAAGTCCATCTCTCAAATTTCTCAAGAAGCTCAAAACTCGTCGTTTGCTCACTCTTCCACTGCAGCCTCTGTAGGAGAAGTTTGGAGAAAGAAGTTTGGCAACTTGTTTCGAGTTTTTCGATGAAATGACGGTTTCGATTCTTTTTGCTTCTTTCAACGCAAGTTGGAATGCTTCGCTTTTCACTTCGACGTGAAATCTGGCAGAAACAGTGACAAACAAAACGGCGACGAGAAGAAGCTTCATTTTTAGAATGATAATGAGATTTGGAGAGGGCCTTTTTATTTGAGATGTTCATGATCGAATAAATTATTTCAAATTCGATTATCGACTTTTTTGCAGTTTTTCGATATTTTTTGGAGAACTTTGCACACAACGAGGAACAAAATTGCAAGATTTTTATTTTCTGATAGAAATTTGCTGGAATTCTCGCTTTTTTTAAAGCAAATAATTAAACTTATCAGTAGGATCTAATATACAGTAAACCTTATAAAACAAGTGTCTATGTAGATATTATGACTTATCCGAATAAAAATATTTTTGATCCAGTTGGTCAAAAAACAGTAATCCCATCACTTGAATATTGTGATATAACAAATTAATTTTAAGCATTTTTCAACCTCTTCATTCAGAATATTTCATTAATTATTTCTTAACCTTCATTTTACTTTTACAACAACGTTATGAAAAAAATGCAGGTAAAAATGTTGAAAATATTCCTAATTGAAGAGTAATTACATAATGTAGAATCACAAACATTAATGAGTTCTGTAAATGCAGAATGTTTCAAATGATATCCGGTTTTCATCAATTCTTGTTGACATCCACGAATTACTAATCGTGTAATTGTTCTGTTCTGTTCGACTGAAAGATATTACATATATGAAAAGGAATTATATTAATTTGGCTTACCAGTTGAAGCTATATTTATACATTTATCAGTTTCATTTCGGCATATTTTTTTGTCTACTGTTTGGAACAATAAATCAGTTCCCCCAATTGCACAATAATCACTTGATGGTGGAACATTGAATCTGAAAATGTATATGAATTTTCAAATGTTTGTTTTGCCAGTTTTCGTACCGGTTTCAAAACATTCATTTATTTTTAACTTTTTTGAAAAATTCTAAGCAATAGAACAAATACAATATTCCTCGCCCTGTTTTTGGAATCAATGTGTGTATTTTCCTATTGCAAGTCGACGTTTTTTAGAAGTTATATTTATATTCCGTCTGAATTAATTCGGAAAAATATTGGAATATCCGTTTTTATTTTTTTAAACTACATATGTTTTGGATTTGAGACGACGCCAAAAAGCGACATTAGATAATAACTTGCTGTTTTGAATTAAAACAGGAGCTCTGACATTGAAATTTAATATTTGTATCACGAAAAAATCGGAAGTAACAATCGTAATTCGGAAATTCCGAAAGTGGAAATGAAAATCAGACTTTCGAAATTTTTAGTTCTACAATATAACGAATTTTTATCCATATGAATAGTTCATTAAAACATTTTGAAAGCGACGTTATTTAGTTGATGGACGAGAGAAATTTGCAGTCGGTTTTCCCCGTTCGCAACCAGGAACTATAACTTTCGAAATCTTATACCCACCCTCCTCCCAACTAAGAAGAACATTATGAAGACCATAGAATTTTTTGACTTCCCACTTGACAGTCATGTCAATGATGTTTCTTCCGTCAAATTTATAACGGGCTGAGAGAATATCAGTTTTAATATGGTAATCATATTTCAATTCTTCTATAAAGAAGTTTTTAATCAGCTTGATGGACCGGATTCCTTTGCAACCTATGTAGACAAATCTTTGCGAAAAAAGTTCGTCCATTTTTTCTGGGTTAATTGATTCGAAGACGGAAACGATTCTATTGAGTTGTCGCCGCGCAACCTCATATGCTGAATTGTTTTTGTTGTCAAAATCTGGCAGAAACTATGACAAACAAAACGGCGACGAGGAGAATCTTCATTTTTTGAATTATCATGAGATTTGCAGAGGGCCTTTTTATAATATATCTCATGTTATGAGATATTCACATGATCGAATAAATTATTCTAAATTCGATTATCGATTCAACTTTGCACACAACAAGGAACCAAATTTCAAGATTTTACTTCTCCAATAGTCATTTTCGGGAATTCTCGCCTTTTTAGGAAGCATATAATTAAACTAATTAGTACGTTCTAATAAAACTTATACAAGTGTATTTAGAAATATTTTTACTATTCCGAATAAGCTTTTCCATCCATTAAAATTATTCTTTTCTGAGAAAAAATAGAGCAATACTAACCTGGAAAATAAAACTGTCTTCAACAAATCTTTCTCGTTTTTGTTTCCAATTGAATCATCAAGTCGAGAAATACAATGATAACAAATCCGTTCTCCAATGAGACTTGGAATCAAAAGGAATATCAACAAGTACCACATTATTCTAATATATTGGATAATACCATCATCGTCTTATCCAATTTAGTTGAGCCGGATTATATATTTAGTGAAATAGTGGACGAAAATATGAAGATGAAGAAGGAGAAGACGAAAAAAGAGAGTGTAGTGGTTTGAAAAATGAAAGAGAAGAGAAAACGAAGGAAATGGTAACCAAGGTAACCATGGATAGTGTTTCAACACTTTAAAATATACACATGCAATCGTTGAAATAATTTATAGGTTTGAGCCGAATTAAATTTTTTGACGATTAATTTTTGAGAAAATATGGATAAGTTTTCAGGAATTTTTTTTCACTTTTTTGTTTTGTTTTGTGACAATCGAAAATAGTTTTAGTTGGTGGTCATATCTCACATCGGAAAACCTATACACTTAGCACAATCTTCTGAAACTCTGATTCTGAAACTTCCATTTTTCTCCCCTTGGAAATTTGTTTTGGTTTTTGCAAATCGTATATTTTTTTCAAAATGAAAAGAAAGCTAACATCATCGACATTTTTGATTCGAATCATATAATCGATTAACAATATTTCTATAAAAGAAATTAGTTGAACATCAAAAATATCGAATAGAACAATGAAGTTCCTCGTCCTTCTCTCGTTGGCTGTTGCCGTTTCTGCGATTCGTGTTCAAGTTTCCAGTCAAGCCTATCAAGAGGCTGTCAAAGAAGCAAGTCGTATCGAAAAAATCATTGCATCCAAAAACCATCATCTCGTCGGACAACTTTTGGCCAATGGCTTCACATACAAATCTTGCGACAAAATTGTTGGCCGAAAAGCTGTCTTGAAATACTTGAGAAGATTGACTGAAGGAACTGTTTATAGAACAACTGTGATTGCTGCCAAATACAGAAACCACGGAAAACAATTGCAATACACCATTGTTTGGAAAGTCGGAAAACAAATTTCAACTTTCAAAGTTCTTGTCGAAAGAAGAGACAGTGGAGCAATTCTTTTGAATGTCACTCATGCTGGATGCAAAAGCCGTGTCAATTCGAAATCGCTTAGTCTTTTCGCCGCTTCAAGCTAAGAAATTGTTTTGAGTTCTAATAATAAATTTCATATATATATTATTGTTTTTTCTCACGGTAGAGCAGGTGCTTAATTACAACATAATTGATGTGAATTTCAAAAATGTATAATCTCTTAGTTACCTAATTGGTGGTGGGCGAAATAAAACATATGGTGACAATACGCCACAAAAATGTTAAAAACATTTTCACTCCGAAAGTTTTAGACAAATGTGGTCTATTTTGTTATGAGCACTGAAAAATTCTGAAAGGGAGGCTAGAACTCGAAGGTCCATTATTTCAACATGCTTTTTCAGAATTTTGCATACTGAATGTTTATTTTTTAAAGTTAATAGTATCATTTTTTTATTCAAGTCCTGCCGAAACAGTTTTTTTTACTTTGGTCTAACTTTTGAGAGAAGGTTTCCCAACTTTTTAGATGCGAAGAACGACCGTATTGAGGAATAACATTTTTCTCACAATCACAAGTTGTTCGACTTTTTCCTCTCATGGTTTGATCTTCTTTGCAAAGATTTTTCTGCAAAATGTTTTCTCAAAATTTATTTTGGAAGTTTTGTTTGTTGGTTACATAATCGATGTGATTCGAATGAATCTTGCCGGAAAATCGAACTATTCGATAATCCGAATAATCAATTTCGGATTCGATTATCCATGGGTTTGCAAGGAATCTGTACATGATTTTTGATGCTTTTTTGGATTTTGCAGAAAGTATCGCAATAACTTTGAGAGTATAGTTTTAAGTATCCTCAAATATTCATTTTTCGAAGAAATCGATTATCTTTTGAGTTGAGCTATATCAACTTCCGACTAGCTTTGTAAATGAAAAAAATAAATTGAATCCGATCTCATGAATTTAACTAGAATACCTTTTTTGATACCGATAAGGTGTTCGTGTTTCAAGGAAAACTTTTGTTTACTACTGTGGAATATTTTTCACATAAGTTAATTATTTTTCAATGTTCTCTCTTCACAAGTTTTTCCTTCATTCAATGAAAAACACATTTTGATTACAAATGAATTTATTAAACCCAAAAAATAAATTTAAAGGTAAAGATGGCAGTCGGTTCTTGTTGCTCTTTCCAAAACATATTCTCCATGATGTTTTCTGGCAACGAATTCATATGTCGATATGTGATTTCCGAATGACCATTCCAATGAGTATTTCAATGTCTTGCTTCCAATTCTTTTAGCATCAATGACTCTCACCGAATATTCGAAATTTTCTGGAAGTTTGCTCAAGTCTTTGAGAACTTGAGCTCGAGATTTGCGTATATTGCGGCATCCGCGATAAACGAAGTCGTGGTGGAATTGTTTGGCGACTAATGCAGAATTTTTGGTAGCGATTGCGTCTTCGACTTTTTTGGCGATCTTCTCAGCAGCAGCTTGAGCTTCGCTGTGGATTCTGATTTTGAATGCGCCGGTGATGGCCAAGAAGACAAGAACGATAAACAAGGTACGCATGTTTTCGACAGTGATTTTCTGATATAATTGATATGATTTTTATACATGTTCTTTTCTGATGCAATTTGATTTGATTATGGAATTTCGAAGTTTTCTGCATTTTGCACAACAAGGAACTTTAAGCATATATGAATGTAACAAGAAAAGATAATAAAGTAAATCACATGTGTCTATGGTAAAAAATCCTAGGTAACACCAATTTCGTAGCAGCTTCTGAATCTTCACTCAAGGTATTGAATCTTAAATATTTCTCTTGAAATATCTATAGAACTTCTGCCACAGTAACCTCAGTAACGTTCCCTGCCCTAAGTAGCCACAATTGTGGCTCACAGAACAATGGGAGTCCGGCTTTTTACTTAAGGGGAAATAATAAAAATTAATTCCCGAAAATCAGCGATCAGCAAGTTTTAATTCAGTTCTTATATCATTTTTTCCTTTTTTTTTCAAATTTTAAAGAATTATTTAGAAAGTAATTTCAAGTTTCAATCCAAGTTATAGAACTGGATACTGCCTAATTGTAAGATAGATCTACGAATGAGATAGAGCAAGAAAATTCCCTTCCATTTTTCATTCCATTATTTCATTCCATGTCTTCCATTTTTTTTGTTTGACGTTTTCATCTAAAATCTGTATAGAAAGTGACACGAAGCATCTCTTTGCTCAAACAATTTTTAATTCGATCTTATACAAATCGAATCAATTTATTTCGTCTATAAAAGTCATGTTATTCGAGAAATCAAACCATCTTCTGCAAACATGAAGTGCCTCATCCTCGTTCTTCTTTCAATTGTTGCCCTCACCAATGCTAGAAACTTCAAAGTTCATAGCCGTGCTCAAACATTGGCTGAAACTATTGTAAATAACCTTGGACGTGCGATTGAACTCAAGGATACAACTCGTATTGCTTCTCAAATCCACCATGATTTCCACTTTGAAGGTTGTGGCCATCGTCTCTCGCGTTCCCAATTCATCAAGTTCTTGACCCTTTTGCCAGAAAACTTCAAATATCAACTCAATGTCTTCGATGCTGTTCGAGTTGGCCAAAAAAGTGTTAAATATATTGTTGAATGGATTTTCGATCAACATCATTCTGCTTACGAATTCGTTGCCACAAAACATCACAATGGATATGTTCTCGAACATGGAAAACGAACTGATTGCGTTCTCAAGGGACTTTAATTCCGATTTTTCCGTTTAATATTGTGATTTTATCATAAAGTAATTATCATTATTTATTCGTTTTTTTTCGACGTGAACAATTCTTCTCATTTCTATTTTTCATATTTTTCAAAATGGATGAATCTTGTGATGCTTATAAGGTTTTCGTTGTGTGAGTTGTCATAACAGTTTTTCAAAAAGTAATATATTATTTAGTTTTTAGTGCTTTTGCTTGTTATCCTCGTCATTGGTTGATTATAGGATGTGCAATCTTTATTCTTGCAATTTTCATTGGTTCTGTTTGGATTTGGAAAAGTTTGAGAAAAAGATATTAAGAGATTGGAATTTGCCACGTGGAAAATTGAACAATTAGCAGATCGAATACGAATGCAAGAACCTAATTCGTCTTATATAGAAAGTGTGAGAGCATATTTTTAGAAACTAAAACACGTTGATAATTTAGGTTACTAAAAAATTACACGAACATTTACAAACTCAACAAAAACAAAATCTTGATCATTTAATGCTTCCAACTATGACTTCAGTTGTTTCAAATCAAGATGTTCATTCAATGGTTCAACAACAAAAAGCTGTCGATGAACAAAAAGCATTGAAAGAATCAGGAGTTAATACACCGTTGTGAGTTAAATTGATCATATTTCCATCATTTCAACAATACCTTTTTAAAGAATGCAACCTGAAAAGGAAAAAAACAGTAGTCTAATGCAAGTCGTTTTGCAAGAGACCAAAGGATTTTTTGTGACAACCGAACAAAAAAGTCATTCTCTTCATTGAAACATTCAAATATACATCTGTCATTTATTTATTGGTTTTTATTTCGATTTCTACATTTTTCTTTCCTTCTTTGCTATTCCGAATACCGTAACCAAAATATATTAATAATCCGATTGCAAGCCAAACAATAAATCTGATCCATGTCATAAACTTCAAATATATCATCATAAATGTGTTTATCAAAAGACTTAGCGCAGGAATAAATGGAACAAATGGTACCTGAAAAATTCAAATAGAATTACAACGATCTAGTTCAAATCTTACTTTATAAGTTGCTTGTAATTCATTCTGTTCGTGGCCAATAATGAAAAATAAAGCAATCGATGACAAAATTGTTCCAAAACTAACTAGAATAATTCCAAGAAAATTGTCAATGTTTTCTGTAAAATTGATACTTTATTTAAAGGTTTTCCGATAAATTTTCGTAACATACGGATTCTAATAGATAATGCAATAATAACATAGCCTATAATTAGAGTGAATAAAGCTAATTGTATACTTCGGCCAGGTTGAAAAGTTGAAATATAAGATTTGAATGGGACCCATTTCTTCAGTTGTCCACCTTTATCATAATTGTTTTCTTCTCCTTCGATTGGAGTTTTCTGATATCTTAAAAGTAAAACACACGCAGATACCATTGAATATGCCAATAATGTTCCAATTGATAAAAATTCGACCAAAGCATTCAAATCAAAAATAAGAGTCAAAATAGCAGTTAATAATGTAAATACAATAGTTGCATTCAATGGTGTTTTTGTTTTTGAATTAACTTTTGCAAAAAATCCAAAAATTAATCCATCATCAGCCATTGCATAAACACTTCTTGGTAGAGCAAATGCTCCAGTTACAAGATTATTCAACATTCCAGCTAATGCTCCAATACTCATTATTATTTTTGCAACTGTTGCCCCTTTTGCTTCAAATGCAGCTGAAAATGCTGCTTCTGGATCTACTTGATTATACGGTATCATTAATGTTAATGAGCAGCTCATCAGTATATATAGAACACTGATAATTGTCAATGATCCAAATGTTGCTATTGGGATCGCTCGATGTGGATCTAAAATAAGAATAAATTTCATACTTGGAGATATACAGAAATACTTTTCGCTTCTTCTCCAGCTGTAGCCAAAACTTCAAATCCAATAAATGCAAAAAAACACGACGCAGCGCCTTGTAGAACACCAGATAAACCAAATGGCATGAATTTTGATCTACCATTTTCATCAACTCCTGACCAAAGTGAAAAATCAGCAAATGTTAATCCATAGATTACAACAAACAATATTACCTAAACTCAAATCATTCAAGTTTGTTTCTGCATTTCAAAACTCACGGCAATATTTAATACCACAAAACTGGAATTGACATTTGCTGATAGTTTTGTTCCGACAGCCACAGCAATCGAAACAAATAGTAATACGAAAAATGCGAGAATATCTGGATAACTGGCAAAGAATCCACCTTCAGTTGTACTCAAATGACCAATATTTTCAATGATAAAAGTTGATATTCTTTTATTGACTAAATTATCTAAATATGCAGTCCAAGCTCTTGCAACCGCGGCCAATCCAATCATATATTCCAAAGGAACTGTCCAACCAACTATAAATCCCCAAATTTCACCCATTGCAACATATGAATATGTATAAGCACTTCCTGCTCGCGGAAATCTACAACAAACGGAATTTCATTAACAATTGAAAAAATACAAACCTCGAACCTAATTCTGCATAACTGAAAGCTGATAGAAGTGCTGCAAAACCCGAAAAAAGAAACGACAAAATAATCGCAGGCCCCGCTTCAGAATGCACAACTTGACCTGTTAAAACATAAATTCCAGCTCCAATCATATTTCCGAGTGCAATAAACATAACATCGAATACTGACAGACATCTTTTCAATTGTGTATCAAGATGTGAGTTTCCAGAAAATTGTTTCTTTCGGAAAAATTTATTCGATAATAACATAACTGAAATTATGTTGACAATAACAAAAAAAATGTAGTCAACGATTATTTTGCATAGAGTTCACATAAATAAATAAATAACCAGTTTTGAATGGTGAAAAATTCAAATTTTTTGAATAAAAAAAGAAAAATAAAACAAATAAGTTTTCTATGATCAGAACGTTAATTGATACGATAAGATATTTCCGCCTATTACAATGATTACATTTGGAAGAAGTTTAGTCTGTTGATATCTTTCTTTGTATTTTGAAGATATTATAATTTATTATTTTCTAATCTTTATCATTTTACATTTTTGGATTTATTATTCTTTTCTCAGTCACACAGATAGTACACGATTTTTTTCAAAAAAAAATCGCGAAATTTCGAGTGGAACGTGACATTTTCTATGCCTTTTGAATTTCATTATTTATTTTTTAAATCACTAATCTTTAATTCATTTTGACTTACGTGATCCGTCATTTTTAATTTTTTGCTTGATTATATTCTTGTGACTTGCAATTTCGTTGAATGTTCTACTCTTTGAAATTTAAAAAAATGAAATGTTTTATTAGGTATTTATCCTATCTAATTTTTGTACATAATAAATTATTTTTGTTCGGGTTTACTATTTTCTATTTTCACACTTCTTGCTTCTTTGCTATGTCGAATACCATATCCAAAATAGATAAATAAACCAATTGCAAGCCAAACAATAAATCGAATCCACGTCATAAATTTCAAATAAATCATCATAAAAACATTGCAAATTAGACCAAGAGCTGGAATAAACGGAACAAAGGGAACCTGCAATTTACAAAATAAAATTAAATATTGAATCAAAATTTTGATTTACTTTATATGTAGCTTTTGCTTGATTTTCTTCATGTCCAATTATCAAAATTAATGAGGATAAGGATAGAATAACACCGACTGCTAGAAGTACAATACCACCGATGTTGTCCAAAATTTCTAAAATGAAAAACATTTAGCTTTTCAAAGACTATAATAAAAACTTACGTAATCTCACAGTCAATGCAATAATAACATAACCAAAGATAAGAGAAAAAACAGCGAGTTTTATAGAATAACCAGCTGGTAGTTTTGAAATATATGCTTTGAATGGAACCCAGGATTTTAATTGTCCTCCATTATCTTTGTGTTGTGATTCTTCTTCTAAAGGTTCTGCTTGATATCTTAAAAGTAAAACACATGCAGATACCATTGAATATGCCAATAATGTTCCAATTGATAAAAATTCGACCAAAGCATTCAAATCAAAAATAAGAGTCAAAATAGCAGTTAATAATGTAAATACAATAGTTGCATTTAATGGTGTTTTTGTTTTTGAATTAACTTTTGCAAAAAATCCAAAAATTAATCCATCATCAGCCATTGCATAAACACTTCTTGGTAGAGCAAATGCTCCAGTTACAAGATTATTTAACATTCCAGCTAATGCTCCAATACTCATTATTATTTTTGCAACTGTTGCACCTTTTGCTTCAAATGCAGCTGAAAATGCTGCTTCTGGATCTACTTGATTATAAGGTATCATTAATGTTAAGGATGAACCCATTGCCACATAAAGTACAATTATAATACTCAAAGAGCCAAAAGTTGCTAAAGGAATTGTTCGATGCGGATCTGAAAAAAACTTTCGGTTTCATATTTTCTTGTTCTTTGGTTGTTTTCTTATTTCTATCGTTTCCTTGTTAGTAAATTTACTTCCCTATATACCTATTAAAAATGTAATAGGACACACAGAATGAAACGGTTTTGAGATTTCTCACAACGATCCGAAGAAAAAAACATATTTTTGACGTTTAAAACACAATTCTGTTTATTTCGTAAATTGTCGCATAATATTGATTCATGATCACATGATTTTACAGTTTGATAAATTGTTACATCTATAAAGGTTATTTATACTTTGTACATTTTGAACCCTCTTAGATGGTCGATCAAAAAAAAAATAAGCGAACACTGATCAAAAAACAACATCAAGATTTTTGATGATCATTTTTTTGAAAGTCAGTTGTACTTACTTCTTGCTTCTTCTCCGGCAGTTGATAATGCTTCAAATCCAATAAAAGCGAAAAAACATGAAGCTGCTCCTTGAATTACACCAGCCCATCCATATGGCATAAATCTATCTCGACCAAATTCATCAATTCCAGACCAAAGTGAAAAATCAGCAAATGTCAACCCGTATATGACAACAAAAATGATAACCTGAATCATTACTGTTAGTCTTGGATATAATTTTGTTTCAGCTTACAGCTATATTCAAAGTCACAAAACTTGAATTCAAATTAGCCGAAAATTTAGACCCAATTGCAACTGCGATCGAAACCAGAATCAGTAGAATAAAAGCCACAAAATCTGGATATTTAGCGAAGAATCCACCTTCAGTTGTACTCAAATGACCAATATTATCAATGATAAAAGTTGATATTCTTTTATTAACTAAATTATCTAAATATGCAGTCCAAGCTCTTGCAACCGCAGCCAATCCAATCATATATTCCAAAGGAACTGTCCAACCAACTATAAATCCCCAAATTTCACCCATTGCAACATATGAATATGTATAAGCACTTCCTGCTCGCGGAAATCTACAACAATAATTGTTTGATCTATGAATGAATGGAAACTCAATAAAATATACCTAGCACCAAATTCAGCATAACTGAAAGCTGATAATAGAGCAGCAAACCCAGATAACAAAAACGATATAATAATTGCAGGACCCGCTTCAGAATGTACAACTTGACCTGTTAAAACATAAATTCCAGCACCAATCATATGACCAACAGCAATAAACATAACATCAAAAACATTCAAACATCTTTTTAATTCTGACGTCAAATGTGTATCTCCGCGAAATTGTTTTCTTCGAAATAACGATGTCCAAATTGTCATAGCTGAAAATTATTATTTTTTGCAAAAAAGGAAGGAAAAAATATAGAAAACAAAACAATAAAAATATTGTATTTGAAAAGAGATTTGAAATAATTGTTATATTATGTGTAGAGTTCATGAAACTGGTTTTTCGCAGATTTACTAAATTTCAAAAGTTTTGGGCCTTTTAACTTAAATAGGTGTTCTGACAATTGTGTTTTCTATAAACAAGAAAACACAAATCTGTCAATCAAAGATAATTTTTCGCCAAACAGAAAAATAAACAATTAGTTAATATTACACTTTCGTTTACTGTACTGTTTTATTCTCAAACAAAGTGATTGAATTGATTCTAGAGAAACACATATATAAATCAACCTTTGAAGGATAATAAACAAAGCTCCGCCCATTTATTTATTTATGTTTTTGTTGAAAAAAAATGGTTTATGGTAATTTTTAAGCGTTCTGATGAAATTCACGAGACATAATACGAATCATTCAAAATTTACATATTTTCTAACCAAAGTTCAGTGTACTTTTAAAAATTTAGGGTTTTTGATTGATTTAACAAAGAACAATTCATTGATTATCCAATTAATATAAATTTTTATTCAAAAATCAAATATTTTGCATACAGTAATCATGTCATAACCTCAAAATGTTTTAACTGAAAAAGTTATCAAAGTTTTCATTATCACATGGTTTCGAATAGTTTTCGGAAAAAACAGACCAAGACATTGTTTTCCTTTGAATCACCTGGAAAATATTTTATAAAGTTTAATATTTTATATGTTTTTTTTTCTATTTCCTTTTTCTCTCTCAAATAACACTAGAGATTGTGTAAATTGTAACATCAAAGTACACTCAGTTCAAGTACAAATTTTTGAATAATGTGTTTCCTACAACTATCAGGACAGTTTTTTTGGTTTGCGCAAAACGTCAATGTCCAGATCAAAACTGTCAATTTCGAATTAATCAAACAACAAGAAAAAGTTGTAAGCTTGTGTATTTAAGAGTGCCAGAAATCATGGATATCACAAATAATTATGATTTTCAAAATTCTTTTAGCTGTTTTGGCTTTCGGAGCTTACTTTGAACAGGTTTGTTTTTGGTTGAAACTTTTAATGAAACGTTTATTTGAAGGTTCAAGGAGGAGTTTTACCAGTTTCATCGACCGAAGTTGCAGTAATTGAAAAATCATTGGAAAGTTCTGAAACATCAATCGATACATTAGGAAGTTCTCGCGTAAAAAGAAGTGGTTGTGGATGTGGATGTGGATGTGGATGTTGTTGTTGTAGACCAAAGTAAATTTAGAAACAAAAGTCTACAGTAATCCGAATATATTTCAGATGCTGCTGCTGTTGTCGCAGATGTTGCACTTGCTGCAGAACATGTTGTTGCACAAGATGCTGCACTTGTTGTAGACCTTGTTGTTGTGGATGTGGATGTGGATGTGGAGGAGGATGCGGAGGAGGATGCGGATGTTGCGGAGGTAGTTTTATTTTTTGAAAAAAATATTTTAATCGTTTAAATTTTTATTTTCAGGATGTGGATGTTGTGGATGTGGTGGAGGAGGTCGTAAAAGAAGATCACTCCAAAACTTGAGAATTGATTCAGCTAACAAAGCTCTTGGAATCAAAAGAAAACCATCAACCAAATGCTAATTTATTACCACTGTTTAATTAATTTATAGGTAAAATAAATATTGAATTCAATCTCTTGGTGGCGGTGGTACTGTATTTCTTGTTGCTTGTTGATTATTTTGCGAGTTGTTTTGCTCGGAAGGAATTATCATATCGATATTGTTTGCCAATGTTTCAACAATCCTATTAAAAAAATTGTTGATTATGATTTTAAAAAGCTTGTTAATGTAATATACTTACATTTGTGTTCCTTCGTTATTTGGTTCAATTCGTGATCCTCGATTTGGAACAACGGTAACAACAGGATTCTGAAAATGAAAAACTCATAGTATTTTTTTGAGAAAATAATCTCTTCGAGGTTCCACAATGAAAACTTACAATTCTTTCTGGAGACATAGTCATTTCACTAACATTCGAAGTATTTGCAGATTGAACAAATCCTCGATTCATAGTTCCAACAGTTGAATTTGCAGTGATCTCTTGAATAATTGGTGTTCTTTGTGACATTTGAATTGTGCTAACTGGTGGTGTCGGTGGATGTGTCTGCATTGAATCAGTTCTATTTGGTGTTGATTGTAAACGTCGATCTCTTTCGTGTGAAACTCTTCTTCGAACATTTCCTTGAGCAGTTCTTTGTGGAGCACTTGTTGATCGAATTTGTCGAGTTTGTCTTGGAGCCGTTTGATTCGCAAGTGGAATATGTTGAGGTGGAGCAGCTGGTAATAATGTATTATGATCAGCAAAACGGTTCAAACGTCGTAGAAAACGAATCGGATCTTCAACATCATCTTGTATTAAAAGACGATCTGGTGGAATTGTTGGAGGTGCAGTATTCTGAGTTTGCCAATCAACTAAACTGAAACGCCATGATATGTTTTCAATTGTCATATCCTGAAAAATAAATATTTTTTGAATTTATATTTGTTTTCCTAAAATAATTACCAATGGACTCAAAAATGATCTTGAAGGGTTGTATGGCGGTCTTCTCACTAAATGTGATAATAATTTAATATTCGTTAAATTTGCTTGTGGACACGAAGCAATTGATTCATTTGGTCCAAAAATTATCAAAAATGTTTTGATTTCTTTCAATCTTTTCCATTTTTTCAAAGGTATATAATTTCCAAAAATAACCAATGCTAATAATTTTGATGGCATCTTATTTCGAATTTCGTCGAGAAATGATTCTTCGTTGAAAATATCCATGTAAAGTGCCAACTTTGTTAATCTAAGTTTTTTTGAAACTTATTTTTTTGTCCGCATCAAGTTTTCGATTTGATGTTGTGAATGAAAAAAATGATGGAGGTAAACTCAATTCTTCAAGACTTTGACATTTTTCCAAACTTTCGATATATTTTGGTGCAACATTTGTATCAACTAAACATCCGATCAGATCCAAATATGTTAAATTTGGCAATGTCGACAAATATTCGATAAGATTCGAAGTCAAATAAACATCTGTCAAACAAATTCGTCGAAGACACATTGGAAATGCTGATTGTAATATTTTTGGTCCAATTGTATTCATAACTCGATATTCTTTCATTGAATTAGCAACAATATGAAGAGTTCGAAGCCTTTTGAAAACTGGAAAATCTTGAAGACCCAAATTCTCTGTGCTAATATATAATTTTGAAATAAGTGATGGATTCTCATTCAAAACTGATATATCAGATTCCTTTAATTTTGCTTGAATAATTAATCGTTTGATTCCAGGACACATTTTTAATGCAGTTCGAATTGAAGTCATTCGATCGATTGAACTATAAACATATTTATGAACCATATTTGGTGCTGCCAATGTTATATCATCAATATCAAAAACTATTGTTTTAACATCTCGCCATCTGCAAAAATGAATTTGACTTTCAAAATTGATGGGTTTTTCTTACACTGTGCATGCATAATAGAATTGCTCATTCAGAGCTGCCAAGTTTAATCTTGAAACTGGTGATAGATATGATGAAATAAGTTCGAGAGAATCATCAGTTACATTCTGTTGTGAAAAAAAAGATTGATCTTTAAATTGTTGGTTTTTCTTGAAACTCACAATTTCCATTTTTTGTAAATAAAGAAAATGAATTTTCAAATCATACAAAAACAATGACGTGTCCTTGTTTTATCTCCACGTCAATCGGCCTCAAAAATTGCTATAAAAAGGACGCGATTTTTTTGGGCTCAATTTTTTGGTCGTAGAGGACAATAAGAAGTGTCGTCCTATATCATTTTGGAGCTATAACCGGTATGTTTTAACAAATTGTTGGATTTATTTAGAAACTCTCAATAAGGGTTACTGTAGATTTATGTATTTTCATTACAGAAATCTAGAATGGCAGACGATAATGTATCATTCACGGACGCCGCCGATGGAACCGGTGCTGGAGGAGCAAAAGCGAATGCAAATGCATCTGGAATGTTGGATCTTATTGGAAACTTGAATGAAGGAAAGAAAAAAGGAAAGAAAAGTAAAGCGAGTAAAGAAAAAGGAGGAAAGGGGAAAAAAGGAAAGAAAAGCAAAGGTGGAAAGAAAGTTAGAAAAGCTGATAAATTCGAATCACAGAATTTTTTATTCAGAATTGAAGGAACTATTTGTTGCGCTTCAATTAGTATGTTTGATTTTCAGGTTTTCATCGAATCAACATTGAATTTTTCAGTTATTGGAGTTACGTTGATTGTGACATACTTGATCGTGTTTATCGTTTTTCTCATTTGGACTGGAGGTGCATTCTCATCTTTCATCGATGGATGGTGGTGAAAAAACACGAAAACATAGGCTTAAAATTTATGATTATGTTTATAAAAATAAATATTGGCTTGAAATATTTTAATTAATCAGTGCTTTTTTCTCCTCAATTGTTGGGTGATTGTTGATTGGAGATACAAATCCAGCAAGTCCTTCGAGCTTGTTAGCTAACGCGATTCGCAAGTTTTGGAGTGATCTTCTTTTACGACCTCCTCCGCCACATCCACAACATCCACATCCTGAAAATGCGACCATTCTAACGGTCACGTTTATTTATGGATCATTTTTATTTCTTTTTTTTCTGTGAGAAATTAAGAGGTTCACGTGAAAATGTTTTAAAAATCTAATTAAGGATTTCAAATACCTCCGCAACATCCGCATCCTCCTCCGCATCCTCCTCCACATCCACATCCACATCCACAACAACAAGGTCTACAACAAGTGCAGCATCTTGTGCAACAACATGTTCTGCAGCAAGTGCAACATCTGCGACAACAGCAGCAGCATCTGAAATATATTCGGATTACTGTAGACTTTTGTTTCTAAATTTACTTTGGTCTACAACAACAACATCCACATCCACATCCACAACCACTTCTTTTTACGCGAGAACTTCCTAATGTATCGATTGATGTTTCAGAACTTTCCAATGATTTTTCGATTACTGCAACTTCAGTTGATGAAACTGGTAAAACTCCCGATTCAACGTAGAAAATGGTGAGTGAGAATACAACTAGAAAGATTGATAGAAGCTTGTGCATGATTGAATATTTTGCAAAGAAACAGCACATGTTTAAATAGGCATTTTTGACATGTTTATTTGTTACGTCTCGAAACCGGAAAATGGATTAGGTTTTTGATCCTAGACTACTTGCTGCTGATTAATTCTTTATTTTTTTCCGGAACTGTTTAAAAAATACTATAGTAACTTTGAGCTTTGTGTTACTAAACATTCCAAATTAAAGGGCAAAAGCTTTACAAAAATCCCCGAAATACTGTTTCTTCTTGTTAGTTATTTTTAAAATGAAAAAAAACAATGTCACGGTATAATTACTGTAAAATAAAGGAGCATGCACAAAATTATTGTTTTATGTTTCGAAGCGAATTTTTACAAGTGCGTGTTTGTGTATTTCTCTCGGACATTTTAAATTTTTTTGTTTTCAAGTTCCAGATACAAACTGTACGGTTAATCGCCGAGTAAAGTGAATTTACGATTAATCGCCTGAACTAAATTAACACAGGCGATTAATCGGTCAGCCAGCAGCTAATTCAAGATATTTGAAGTTCATCGCTGTTTCAATTTCCACTCAAAGACATTTTAAGGGAAAATTTGGTTCAATTTCGTCTCGTTCTTTGTAAAAATAGATAGAAAATATGTGTTTTGAAAGTTTCATCGAACTATTGTCCTTAGAGTGAATCACTCAACAAACAAAATTTTATATTCCCTTGGTAGTTCTATCCTTCACCGTGTTGCGTTTTTTGCTAAACAAAATGAAGTTCACTAATTAGTTTTTATTTTTTTTCTTCGCCGAAAAAATTCAAAACACATGAGTCAAATTTCTTCTACGAAAAAATTAAAGCATCCTCTTTTCGAAAAAAAGTGCTCCTCACAAACAATCAATAAATCGACCTTCTCTGTTATTTTTTCACTGCGAAAAACAACAGAAAACCGCTATATTTTTTCGCTTGCCACAAGCAAGTAAACAAGTTTTGAGGGAAGCGAGAGACGCAGAGATAAAGAGTTGAAATGTGTATGCGCAATGGTCAACTGCCCCTTATACGCTTCTTCTTCTTCTTCTCTTTTGCCTCTCATCAAAAATAAAATTTGTTATTTATTATTTGTAAGATTTGAAAATTGCTATATTTATTGACTTGAAAAAAAAACTTAAAAGTTGTTATCTAGTGGTTTATTATTTCTTGCCGCTGCTTTATTGTTTACATTGTTAGTCGGCAAAAAACTTTGAGCACGAAGATTGTGCCAAATGATTGATGCTCATTTTTTGTCACTTGAACTATGTTTTCAGAAATAAATACTCGCATGAAACTAAACATTTTTATTCGTCATTTGTTCTCGTTGAGATCCGAATAAAACGTAGTACTTATTTTTAATTTACACTTTATTATCATTTCAACCTATGCGTTTACCTTCAAAATCGTTTTATACCTATTCTTTGTTTATCAAGTTTTTTCATGTCCTTATCATAGGCCTCTCTATTTTTCTGACTAATCGTTTTTCTCACGATTTATTAAAAATTCGCATTTTTCAGTGGTAATGGACGAGGAAGATGGTGGTTCAACGAAAAAAGCGTTTACCTCAAGTGGACATGTAGAACCAGTTGATACAACAGCCAATTTTCATGGTAAGTAAGCTAAATCTATAGAGAAAAAACTTGCTGAAAAAAACTCTCCAAGATATATTTATTTAGTGCAAAAAAAACCACCAAAATCAATTTTTTCGTCATTTTTTGCGAACATAAAGAAAAAGTAAATACATACATTGCGAAACATATTTCTATTCTCACAATTCAATATATTTATATGTAAATAGGCAACAATTTGTCAAATGTTCCCTGTGTGAAAATATGAAAATCGACACTAATTTCATCACTATTATTTCAGTCGATCCTTCGATTATGCATGATCGAGGAATACCGGGTCTTTTGCCAGCAACAAATGCTTCGAATTCACAAAAAGAAGCTGTTGTTCGATTTAGAGAACACGATAGAAGATCGAGTCCTCCAAATAATATTCCAATTCGAAAAAGTAGCGAAATAGTCATTGATGAGGTATTATTCTTGAAATCAATATTCAATAGTTATTCTTTTCTTCGTTTTCAGATAACATCACCTCAATCATTGGATTATGGAACGGATAGTAGTGAATCTGATGATGAAATACAATATTGTGATTGTGTGGCTGCGGCTCTTCAACAAACTCTTCCTGGAACTCCAGGAAAAAAGGGAATAATTCCATATATGAGTATTTATGATACACAACAACAAGCAAGAAAACGTGGATATTGGATACCTGGAGTTCCAGTAAATGCGAAAATTGTCAAAGTTGAAAGAAACACGGATAGAGGAATTCATCTTATCAATACTCTTTTGTTAGTTTTAAATTGATCTTCAAAAAAATATTCTGATTTTTGCAGATACACGATTGAATTAGAGCATGGAAATTTTAAGTGGAGTGTGGTTCGAAATTACAAAGATTTCACACTTCTCAACAATCGACTTTTGGCGCATCGTGCAAGAGAACAATTTATGGCACCAATTAAAAGGTAACGTTTTTTTTTCAAAAAAATAATTATATGTTTTATTTAAATGTTACCTTTGTAGAATTCGCGGAAAAGTACATGACGAGTAAGAAAATGTTGTGTTGTAAAAGTTGTATTTTTATTTTCAAAATCAATGTTTCCATGACTATTCATGGTTTTTTTCAGAACTCAAGATCGATTGGATACATATTTGGAAAATATTGGAGTTGATATTGTTTCCGATCATAAACCAGAATGTCCATATTCAAATCATAGTTCAAAACGAAAAAGCCGTCATCATCATCACGATGTTGAAGTATTGAAAAGAAATGTGGATGAATTGGAAATATCTCCAAAAAATAATAGCATAGCACCGCTTGCTTCAGTCGAATCACCAAGTTCTCCAGAAGAAGCAGTGAAACAAGAAGTTCGAATGCAACAAGCAGTTCAATCTGGAATTCTTGAGGAAAATAATGAGTCAGAAACATCGCCGAAACGAAGAAGAAATCGAAAAAGAGAGAGACATACATTGCCAAGATTTCCAATGATGCCTGATTCAATGGTAACAAATTTAGAACATCGAAAAGAACAACTTGAAAATTGGTTGCAAATGGTTTTGCATATTCCAATCAATCGAAATCACCATGAAACTGTAAGTTTTTTTATCCAGAAAAGGAATCTACTAGGAAATATTTAATTTTTATTTAGGCTGAGTTCCTCGAAGTTTCTCGTTATTCATTTGTCAATGAATTAGGAGGAAAACATACTGAAGGATTTGTGAAAAAACGACCTGGAGGTGCACGTGTTTTTCTTGGATGGAAACAATGTTGTGTTAGATATTTATTGCCTTGGAGTAAAAGATGGTTGATGGTTCGAGATTCATTTGTTGCATATATGGATCATAGAACTGAACAAATTCGTATGGTTCTTTTGATGGATCGAGATTTTCGAGTTGCTGCTGGTGGAAAAGAAACTGAAGGAATTCCAACTGGATTGATTATCACAAATACACAACAGTAAGTTGAATAATTACATTCAAATTTATAAAACAAATAATTCTAGCGAATTGCATCTGAAATGTCGTCGACTTCAAGACACTGCAACTTGGAAATCAATAATTGAACAATCAATGAATGGACTTGGAAGTGTTTGGTTGAAAGCGCATAAATATAGTTCATCATTCCCAGTGCGAGAAAATTGTTATGCAAAATGGTTTGTTGATGCAAAAAGTTATATGGAATATGCTGCAAATATGATGGAACTTGCGAGAGAAGAAATATTTATTGCTGATTGGTGGCTGAGTCCCGAAATATATATGAAAAGACCAGCATTGGAAGGAAATTATTGGAGACTTGATGAAATTCTCAAAAGAAAAGCTGAACAAGGTGTTAAGATTTTTGTTCTTTTATACAAAGAAATGGAAATGGCACTTGGATTGAATAGTATGTACACAAAGCGAACTCTTCAAAATTTACACGAAAATATTAAGGTATATTTTCTGCATTCAAAAATGATTTCGATTGTAAACTGGTGTAATTATTATAGGTTATGAGACATCCGGATCATTATCCATCAACTGGAACATTTTTCTGGGCTCATCATGAAAAATTATTAGTTATTGATCAAGTTATTTCATTTGTCGGTGGAGTTGATCTATGTTTTGGAAGATGGGATGATAATCGACATTTATTGACTGATTTAGGATCTGTTCAATTTTCCGGAACTCATAATGTTCAAACAGATATGACAACTGGACTTCGTGCTCTTATGACAGCACCATTAACATTGTCTCCATTAGGTTTGGAAGAACATGAAAAAGTAACACCAAGAGAAAATAAAAATGGAATTCACGTCGAAGGTTAGTTTTGAGAATGCTACTTGGAAACAATTATAGAGTTGAATTTTCAGTAAAAGAACCAGTTCCTGAAAAAGAAGATGACGAAGAAGTTGTATATACTGATAAAGAAACTGGAGGTGTTGTTGTTCGAGTTATCAAAAAAAGTGAGTTTTCTATCTGAACCCATTTTTAAAGATTTCCTAAAACCTTCGGCGGTTTTTCATATATTTCTCAGAATTCGAGTTTCACCTCGTAATGAAATATTTGTTTTCAAAATAAAAAAAAATATAGTTCACGTAAAAAATTATTTCTAATTTCACAGAAAAAATTAAAGTCATTAATTTTTCAAATTCATTTCCATTTTTTTTAGATCTGCTAAATGATGAAAGTGTTCGACATTCAAGTCCACCGGATCCTCAAAAATCATACAAAGAAACCACAACAGTTGTTGAAACGTCATCATCTGGAACTCAAAAAACAACAACAACCACAACTACAGTAATAAAAGTGATAAAAGATGAAAAAGGAAAGAAAGAAGTTCGTCGATCAGTTTCATCTGTTGAAAAACAACGAAAACGTTTACCTCGCGAAATTCTCGAAAAGGCTGGACCTGCTCCAACAATGCTTGAAAAAGCACAAAAATCGGGTCTTGATTTTGCATCGGCTGCCGAAAAATATAAAGAATATGTGAATAGTGGAGCTGTGCAAAAAGAGAAACATCGTGCTCAAACACCGCCGAATCGAAGAAAGAAGGATTCGAAAATATCGAGAGCTGTTGGAAATTGGAAAAGTAATCGAGCAAAAAGAAAATGGAAACAAATGTTGGAACACGATGAAGCAACACTTGGATATGAATTGGATTGGTTGAGATTAAGAGAAATGGAAGAAGTTAAAGATGGAAATGATGATATTGATGGAGGAGCTAAATTATGGTATGGTAAAGATTATGTCAATTATATTGCCAAAGATTTTGTTGAAGTTGATATGCCATTTCATGGTAAGTGTTTTTTTTAATTTTGTAATCAAAAAAATTAATTTCAAGATTTTATCGATCGTGGTGCAACTCCTCGTATGCCATGGCATGATATTCATTCAGTTACATTTGGTGTCCCAGCTCGAGATGTTGCTCGTCATTTTATTCAACGATGGAATGCAACAAAAACTGAAAAACTGAAAGATGACAATAATTATCCATATCTTCTTCCAAAAAGTTATGAGAATGTTCGAGTTCCACGTGTCTTCAAATCGGCAAATTTCAGCGAACAAGTTAATGTTCAGGTACTTGAAATCAGCCGACTTTGGATTACGGTTTTGGTTTTGGTGATGGGCTTCAGATTATAACAATGTCCTTTTTATGTGCAATGCTATATCTAATTTCATGTTTAATCTGACCAAAACCAATTCAAGGCCAATCCATTTTTACAGGTTCTTCAATCGACATTTTCATCCGAATTACAGGTTCTTCGATCACTTTCAAATTGGTCAGGTTTAATTAATCAAACTGAAGATTCAATTCAAATGGCATATTTGTCTCTGATCGCAAATTCAAAGGTAATTCGAAAAATAGGTGTACAAGAATAATAAAATATTTTCTAGCATTATATTTATATCGAAAATCAATTTTTCGTGTCAATGATTGAATCAAATGATGTGACAAATGAAGTATGTCGAGTAATATATGATCGAGTTGTTCGAGCTTATAAAGAAAAAGAGAATTATCGAGTTTATATAATGATTCCACTTTTACCTGGTTTCGAAGGAGATGTTGGAGCACCTGGTGGATCTTCTCTTCAAGCTGTTCTTCATTGGACTTATCGATCACTTAGTCAAGGACCAAATTCTTTATTCCAACGGTTAAAAGCAGTTATGCCAGACCCTTTCAAATATATTCATGTTGGATCTCTACGAACATATGATCAACTTGGACATAAATTAGTGAGTTTGAATATTGGTATTGGGGTGATTTGGGTAGAGAAAGAACTATTTTGAACTGAAATTTCGATTCATCAAATGTAACAAGAAAAACATTTTTCCATAGAAAAATTGAATACGATTAGTTTTAATGGAAAATATGCAAAAAAAAAGTCTTGATATTTTCTGAATCGATTTTTGTGTGTTTTTTACTACCCTGATTGCCCCATTCTTGCAATATTTCGAAATATTCAATTTTTCCAGGTCTCTGAACTCATTTATATTCACTGTAAATTATTGATTGTTGACGATGAAAGTGTTATCATTGGTTCGGCAAATATTAATGACAGATCACAGGTTGGATTTTTTCGTAATATTTATTCAGTTTCAAAAAATAATTTTTTAAATTGAATTTACTTGAAAAAGCAAATGTAAACAGCGAATAGAATTCCGGGAATCCAGAAAAATATACAAAGAATCAAATCGATGATCACATTTGTGTCGCATTGTTTTGTGTGCCACCAAATTGCGAGTGGCTGAAAATATTGTTTTTTTTTAATTGTTTCAAAAAATTTTCTATTATCATTTTTGAATATTTTACTTACTGGAAGTAAAATGCAGAGAATAATTTCAAGAATTGCGTCCGCGTCAAGACCCATTATTTCTGAAATTAGATTGAATTATTTTCGGAAAAAAGTAGAATGTAAAATGAAAAAAAAAATAAGTCGATTGTTTGAATTTTGAGGAAAACTAAAAGTGTGATAAGATAATATTTGTTTGTTGTATAGTCGAAACCCGCCTTGTTTGCATACTTAGTCATTTGACACTTTTCTCAAGAATGATTCATAGAAAAAAACCTTGATATTTTTTACAGTGTGGAAATCGAGATTCTGAAGTATGTTGTTTATACACGGATATTGTAAAAGAGAAATCGGTAATGGATGGAAAACCATATGAAGCTGGAAGATTTGCAAAAAGTTTGAGACTTCAATGTATGAAAGAGCATCTTGGATTATTGTCAGATTCGAGAAGAAAAGCCAAATTTCCATATTTGGTTTCTTGTGATGATCCAGTTTCGGATAGTTTCTTTGTTGATGTTTGGCAAGCAACTGCAAAGAGTAATTCAACGATTTATGAAGAGGTAATTTTTTTTTTGAAAAATATATGTGGAATATACAGGTTGTAGTCAACAACTACAAAAAACTTATTTTTGAAACTCATTTTTCTTATAAATTTTCAAATATATTTTTTTGCAGGTTTTCCGCTCATTCCCGACGGATAATGTTGAAACATTTGAAGAGTTCCAAAAATGGACTGCTCAAATCCCAATGTCTGAATATGCTCCTCAACAAGCTGAAGAAAGAGTTCGAGATCTTCGCGGAACTCTTGTCGATTTTTCATTGAATTTCTTGAACAAAGCTGTTCTTACACCAGGAATTACCTCAAAAGAAGGACTTGTTCCAAGTGCCGTATTTACCTAGACTACTTTTTTCTCCTTTTTTCTTTTCTAGTCCAATATCTATAAATGCACGCTTTTTTTGTGATTTAATAGCCGGTGCTTCCATTTTTCTTCGAAATTTATATGTAATTAGCCAATTTATTGCCCAGTACCAACCAAAAAATCTTTTTTTTTTAATTCTCTTTCATTTTTTTTGCAGCTTGTCAAATAAAAATAAATATTTTAATAAAAAATGAATTATGATTTATTGCAAATCAGTGTTTTTTCGCTCAATATTTTTAGTATTGAAAAATAGGAAAATAATCAAATTTGGGATATTATTTAGGAAGAATGGACGAGGAAAATGAAAAGAAATGTAAGTTTTTTTGATATTTGGAAAAAAAACATGTGGAAATATAATCGATAAATATCAGGGTTGGAAAATTGTAAAATACAACTTTTTTCTTGGAATTTTTGAATATTGAAATAATTACTGTAGTCTTACATCTGGCGCTCTTGAAAATTTTGTAGCCGAGCATTTTCTGGCTTTAAGACCTTGCACATTCTTCTAAGAAAGGCGGATCAAAGTTGACAAAATGTTAATCACACCCGTTCAAGCCACGCAATGAGTGTTTTCTACTGTAAATAGAAAAATCTGCGAATGAAAAAAACTGTGCAAACACTTTTGTCTAATTCTCTCTGTTCGCCGATTTTGGGGGCCTGAAACAGAGTTCCGAATTGGGGAACATGATAAATTTTATGCGTTGGGTCTTGTCGCGATTGCTAACCTGAGACCGTAGATGAGGCCCCCTCACTCATTAAAATTATCTTAGATGAGTAGCAAGTCAGGTAGAACTCGAGGCGCTGATTTTCATGCTGTATTTAGTTTTTCATGAACCTTATCTAGGTTTTGAGCTACAGGGTGCACCGTTTTACAGCGTTTTGCTGATTTTTGTGTTGCTTGAGCGGGTGTGTAATGCAAAGACATATTTTTGATCTACCAGAAAGAGTTTGAGATGATAATAAATTATCCAACGGTAATTTTTCCAAAAGCTATTCATATTGTTTTAGTCAATCGTCCAACTCCTCCAAAACCATTGAATTTCGTCCCACCAAAACCTCCAGTTCTTCAACCCAATATATCTCATTTGATCGCCAATAAAAACACATCAAATCCAATTATTCCACCACAACCTCCTCAACTTTTTGTCAACCCTTTTACTCCGAAATCGATTTCACCAAAACCTTCTCCACAAATTCAAAAATCAGTTTCACCATCTGAAGCAGTTCAATCATCTTCTTCTGCTTCAATAAAATCTGAAATTGTTTCACAAGAATTGGATACGAAATTAGAGAAACCGAAAGAATTGCAAGTTTCTCAAACGACTGATATTCCAATAACTCCAATAATTGATGAATCCAAAACTATATCATCTCCAGCTTATGTTGAAGTATCAAAACAAGATATTACAACATCGAAGACAAATTATGAAAGTGCAAAACAATCAGATATGTTTACAGATAAGGTATCTTTTATTTTTCTGAAAATCTTTTTCAAAAGTGTGTTTATAGGTTGATATGAGTGGTGGATTGATGAGTTGGTTAACAAAAGCAATGACTGAAAGTAAAATATTGAGTGATGTAGCAGAAAAAGCGAAAGCTGGAATGGAAACAGTTATGACAACTCTTGATCCTGGAATGAAACCATTTTTATCGGAAAATGGAGTTATTACATTAACTATATTGAATAGTGATGTAGATATAATAAGTGCTGCAAATGAAGGATTTCAAAAAGCAGGTGCTCTAGTTATTGTTCGCGGAATTCCAAAAAATCCAAATGATGATAATTGTGCACTTGTTATTGGTGAAGAAAAAGCTATGAAACATTGTCAAAAAACATTGGAAAACGCAAAAACTGCAAAACAATCACCAGATACACCTACAGTACTCCTAACAGTTCAACCATTTCTCATTGAAATATCTGGAAAATGTTATGCAACTTCGAAAATTTTATTGAAAAGTGGAGATGTTGAATGTGATTCAATTGGACAATTACTTGAAATTTCAGATGAAATTCTTGAGGAAATAGAGGTGATTTTTGATTTTGTTCGCAAAAAATGTTTTTTTTCAAATTCATTTTATAGAAAAATGTGATTGGTGAAGATGAATTCTCAATTGGTCCTGGTGAAGCAGTCAAAAGAATTAATGACCGAAATGATGTGTTTAATTTCCAACCAGGCTCCAAATATCCACCATATAATTCGCCTGATCTTCTGATTCTTGCATTTTCTTCAGTCGCACAACAGCTTTTGTCAAAAATGTAGATATTTTCTGTATTTATTTATTTATGGTATTTATTTTTGTAACACATATCTTCAATTTTTTTTTTTGTAAATTTGGGTGTCAAATAAATTATAATATTTCGCGTGTATTTTCCAACGTGGATTTAGAAACGCATTTTGAATTTTTATTTTCGTCATCATTTCGCAAAAAATGTCATTTCTAATCGGTAGAGAATTATGTTTTTGGTGTGTAGAAGGTAGGTTTGAATTTAAAAAAAAATGCTATCAAGCAAATTCTGTAATTATATTTCAAGCCCATCAACCTTGTGAAAAACATGGACATACGAGAGAAGTTTATACAGAAGATGTTTCGATTCGAGCATTTTTATCAGAAGATCGATTTGAAATTGTTGAGGAAAAGAACATTGTGAATTTTTGTAGATTTGTTAAATGTGAGTCAAATATTCATATTCCCAAACATGAGATTTTTAGCAGAGAAGTTCAGGGTGGCTATTGAATGATGAATTTTTGAAAAAAAAACTACAAATTCAAAAAATCTCTGAAATTTTTCTACTGACACAAAAAAACACTTTTCAAAAAAGTGACTTTGTCCAATTCAAATATGAATTTTTCAAAAACAATTTTTTTTCAGATTCCGAAGGAAACTTTTGGTTACCTCCAACTCGTTCAACAGCAATTGTTTCATCTTTTGAATTCAAATCAAATTTACCACCTCCTCTTCCTTTTTCAATTCCAATTCAATCATCAATTTCAACTATGTCCCTTGCTTCTTCTTCTTCTTCTTTTTCTTCTTCATCATTTCATTCGCAAAATTCAAAAATCATAGTCGAAGATAAAAAACCAAAGAAACAGATGAAACAAACAAAGCCATCATATCAAAGACGTCATTTCAAGTTACACCAAAATGTTAGTTTTAAACAAACTACAGTAATCAGAAAAAAATATATGTTATCTATTTTTGCAGACAATAAAAACAGCGCCAAAGAAAAATTGGAGAGGTCGAAAAGTTGAATTAGAAATGAAACAACATGTTTGTGATATTTGTGAAGAATCATTTACAATGAGACAAAATATGCAACAACATCTCGTGAATTTTCATGGTGCACGACTTGGTCTAACTCAAAAAATTGTGGCAAAAATGGAAAAATTACGAGAAAGTCAATATAAAATAGTGAAAGAGGTATGAGAATATGATCTTAATTTCATAATATTTTTAGGTTTATCCTATGAAAAACAATCCTCACTGGTTTTTCGATTATTATATCTCAGAGCATATAATTTTTCTACTTTATTTCATTTCTTTCAATATTAATTTTTTGCAGAAGTTATAACAATTCAATTCGTGTTGTTTTTCGTTTCGCTTCGTCTCGTTTATTTTTTTTTGATAAGCTCCATTTTTATGTATTTTCGTATATGCAAAAGAGAGATGTAAAATCAGCAGCTCAACTACGACTCCATGGCAACTCTTTTTTACTCTTTTTCATTATTATTTTTCTTCGTTATTATTATTTTTCTTTTTTGTTTTTTTTTTTTTGAAAATAAACTAGGTTCAATTTTATTCCACTGTGTTATGTTTTTTAAATAAAATTTAAATAAAAAATTCTTATTGTAGTCGTTTTCAAAAAAAAAACATTATAGGTATATGAAACTCATAAAATCGGTAACCCAATTGCTCATTTATAATTATATATTTTATATCGCTTGACAACCAACATATTTTTATTTTCTTTTTCTATTTTCAGAAAAAATGGAAAATTCAACCGAATCTGGAATATTTTCCGGAATGTTGCGACAAATTGCAGCAACTGCGGCTACAATTGATGTTACAGAAATTGTCAAAAAACCAAGGATTTCACCGATTGCTTTGAAAGCACAATGTAAAGAATATAATCGAAAATCGGTTAATTTGGAAAATAAAATAAAATGGATTAAGGAATTGAAAAAGAACTGCGAACAGGTGAATTCTTATATTTTAACTATTAATATATAACAATTAAACGTATTTATTTTTCAAAAATATATAAGAATTCTAGCCAACTGTTGTTGTTCCTCCTCAAACAAACTCACCATCTGAAAACTCTTCTGAAGAACCAATCAAAAGAAGAAATCGAAAACGCCGCACCGTTGAATAATCTTACATCGCAAATTCCAAATTATTTCTCCAAATTTTCATTTTTCTGTGATATTTTGAATAAACCTATTTTTTGAATTGTTCATTTTCAATCTATGACACTTCAAGATCAAACATTTTGTAATGATATCATTTTCAAAAAAAAAAAAGAAAGAAGAAGAGAAACTTTTGATTTATTTATTTTTACTGTGTTTTTGTCTTGTTAATTTTGACATTGAAAATGTGGAAATTTTCAACGAATAATGAATTTTCAATGTGAGTTCAATAAACAAATTTTTAAATAAAATTTCAAAATGTTTTTAGATCATTTATAGAACATCAAATGCCTTTGGATCAAATATCACAAAGATATTCTGATTCAAATATTAATTTTTATGATGTTAGTAAGAGTAAAGGACTATCGGATGATTTAGCAGAACAAAAAACAAAGGTGAGGGAAACCATAATAAAAACATAAATTCAAAATAAAATCAATAAATTATTGAAGACCAGTGGCCGTAATGAACTGTCTCCACCAAAAATAATTTCAAATTGGCAATTATTTTTGCGCCAATTCCAAAATCTTCTATGGCTTTTGATGTTTGGTGCAGCTGCTCTTTGTTTTCTTACCTACGCTTATGATCCAACTGATATGCTCAATTTATATGTTGGAATATTTATTGTTGCAATCGTATTTTTAATGTGTTTGCTATCATATTTTCAAGAGAAGAAAGGAATTGAAGTGGTTCAAGCTTTTCAAAATTTAATTCCAAAGAAATGTAATGTAATTCGAAATGGAATTGAAGTTGTAAGAAATTCGAAAGAATTAGTAGTTGGAGATATTGTGATTGTTCGAAGTGGAAATCGAGTGCCTGCTGATATTCGTATTCTTTCTTGTAATGATTTTTTTGTTGAATCGAGTTCTGTGACGGGGGAAGCTGAACCATTGGAGCATAATTCAGAAACGGCTGATGTAAATAATAAATTCATTGTGTTTTTTAATCGAACCATATTTTTCCAGCCAGGAATCACAATATTCGAATCCTACAATATTGCATTCAATGGTTCATTTTGTGTTGATGGAGAAGGATATGGATTAGTTATTCGAATTGGAGAACAAACTGTTATTGGACAAATTGCTTCACTTACAACAAATCAAATTGAAACCAAAAATAGATTTCGAATTGAAATTGAAAGATTCGTGAAATTTATTTCGTTAATGGCATTGACTATGAGCACAATTATTTTTGGAGTTGGCCTCATTGTTTCTGGAGGTATCCACTTATTTCAAATGTCTTATTATTTTTTTTATAATTTTCAGGAACAAATGTTGTGAGATTATTTGTAACTGGATTTCTGATTGTTATTATTGCAAATGTTCCGCAAGGATTGCCAACAACAATTTCAACTCAATTAACAATTATTGCACGAAGACTAGCAAACAAAAATATTTATTTGAAAAAGTTGGAAAAAATTGATAGCCTTGGGGCAACTACAGTAATTTGTACTGATAAAACAGGAACATTGACAGAAAATCGATTGACTGTTACTGATTTATGGATAAAAGATGGGAATATTTATAAAAATACACTTCGACAAACATGTGTGAAGAAAAATCAAAGATTTATCGAGGATGATATACTTGATACAATATTTGTCTGTAATAAAAGTCAAAATGGAATCGGAAATCCATTGGATGTTGCATTGATAAAATATGCGAATCAAATGGCAATTAATTCAAAAGATATTTATAACAAGATTATCGAAATTCCTTTCAATCCAGTTCGAAAATATCAAGCTGTTTTAGTCACAAAATGCAAAGATCTCAATGATAAAATTGATGTGGAATTCATTTTGATGATAAAAGGAGCACCAGAAATATTACTGAAAAATTGTTCGGAAGATATTTCAATGTATTCTGAATATCAAAGCGCATATGATACATTTGGAGAAGAAGGAAAACGTGTTATTGGATTTGCGATTAAAAAGTTTAGAGCAAAAGCTTCAACTCAGTTTCGAAAAAATGATGACATTTTTCTTGGTGGATGGGATTTCTCTGGATTATTAGCTGTGTGTGATCCATTGAGAGAAGATGCAATTAATTCGATTCAAAAATGTAGTCAAGCTGGAATTAAAGTTTTTATGACAACAGGAGATCATGCAATAACTGCGACAGCAATTGCTATACAACTTGGAATGAATTCTAATAATACTGAATTGAAAGTCATAACAGGCCCAGAATTGGCTGGATTACAATCAAACGAATGGGATGCATTATTGGAACATCGATATATTGTATTTGCAAGAACAACACCAGATCATAAATTATTAATTGTAACAGAATGTCAAAAAAGAGGAGAATGTGTTACTGTAACTGGAGATGGAGTAAATGATGCACCGGCTTTGAAAAAAGCAGATGTTGGTGTTGCAATGGGAATTGCTGGAAGTGATGTTGCAAAACAAGCTGCTGATATTATTTTACTCGATGATAATTTTTCATCAATTGTTGCTGGAATTGAAGAAGGTCGACTTCTTTTTGATAATCTTCGAAAAACAATTGCATATACAATGACTCATATGTGGCCTGAACTTGTTCCAGTTATGCTTAATTTCTTCTTTGGTTTCCCATTAGGATTAACACCAGTTCAAATTTTATCAATTGATCTTATAACTGATGTTCCTCCAGCAATATCTTTGGCATACGAAGGACCAGAAGATGGAATAATGCAAAGATCACCAAGAAAATCACATTTGTTTACAAGAGGGCTTTTCAATTATACCTATTTAAGTATATCATTATTTATTTCAATCGGAGGAATAATTTCATATCTTCTAACATATTGGCTGAATGGAATCGAACCATCAGAATTATTCGGAAGTTCACATAAATATTTCAAACAAGGTTCACATAATATGAATCTAACAAGTGGAATAATATTAACCGATGATGAACAGATAAATATTGCCGCACAAGCAGCGGCTTCTTTTCATATTTGTGTTGTTATTTCTCAAGCTTTTCATATTTGGATGTGTCTTACGAGAAGAACATCAATCTTTACACATGGAATAGGAAATATTGTGAGTGTTTTAATTCAACTTTTCGTGTCTCAAATGAATATAATTTCATTACAGGTTACGATATTCGCTGTAATCATCGATCTTCTCTTAATTTGTTTGTTCACTTTTGTACCTGGTGTCAATACAATATTTGGTTCTCAACCTCCACCATGGCAAACGTGGCTTGTTCCAATTGTAGTTGGAATTTGGATATGGAAATTCAATGAAGCGAGAAAGTATAAAATAAGAAAAAACCCATCCGGAAAATTTGCAAAAATGTTAGGTTATTGATCTTCTATTTAATAAATCATTTGTTTATTCGAATTCATTGAAAGTGATATCATTTGGCCTTCTTTTAACCATGTGTTAAACAATGAACAATTAGATCAATGAATAAAAACACAATGCCTCAACTTTGGTATCATACGATTCTATTACACCTTTTCTGATTGTCCATTCATGTGAAACACACTAGAATTTTGTTTCTCGCGTTTCCGATCAACTATTTTATGATATCATTTGATCTTACAAGACGAGAATGGCGCAGAGAACAAAATGATTTCATCGATACACGATGTTGGAAACGTGTTGAAATGACGAATTTTAATATTGTGGTGTAATTTGATTGTCTGTTTATATTATTTTATCTCAACCATCAAAACAAAATTAGGATACTAAAAATGATTGATCAATTACCAATTCACTTTTGTTGCATATAAAAAGGCCAAAATTTGTCATTCCGCCAGTTGTTTTCTTCATTAATCTTGAGTAAATCGGATAAGAATTGATTCAAAAAATTGAAGCAGAGCAAACATATTGCTACCGTATTTAAACCCAGACCAAAAAACCTTTTTTGTTCAAAATATTGTAAACCAGTTTAGTATCTTATGATGTCATTCTTCTAAGTGTTTGTATCATTTTTTCATTAATCATTTTTTTTCCAGTAAAAAATGAAACTGTTCCAAAAAAAATTCCTGATATTGACTGGGAATACGAAAAATCAGATTCATATTCTAAGAAATTGGATTATTTAATTCTCATATTTTTTTTGTTTCATTATTTCTGTTGCAACCTTTGTCACTTACTTCTTTTTAGCAAAGTACGACTCCACCTCTAAAGTTCTAATTTTATTACGATTACGTATGCTGTCCAAAATTCTCAAGCAATAAAAAAACACAAGTACAGTATTTCAAGACTCCGCCCATATGTCACATTCTCTCAAACAGAAAACGGAATATATAAAATGGTGTGAATCAAGAACATTTCATTTTCAACATCGAAAATGGGGTTCTTAATGGCTTTGCTTCGTTGCGTGCGTCAATCTTCATCATCTCGAAAACCATCGGATGTTGAAGGTGATTCATATCGTGATGCGGCACAAAAAGATCTCTCAACATCCTTTGATGAACATCGGTTGAGTTTGAAAAATCTATTGGAAAGATATTTCGAATCTGGAATTGATTTGGAATTGCCTAAAAAATCAATTGGATTGGGAAAAATACGAGCAGCCGAGAAATTGAAGGTGAGTTAACTATTTTGTTGAAAAATTAAAATCTTACGAAAAATCAAATCTTCAGTCTGATGGACGAAACGCACTTTCTCCACCAAAAATAATCTCAAATTGGCAATTATTTTTGCGCCAATTTCAAAATCTTCTATGGCTTTTGATGTTCGGTGCAGCTGCTCTTTGTTTTCTTACCTACGCTTATGATCCAACTGATATGCTCAATTTATATGTTGGAATATTTATTGTTGCAATCGTATTTTTGATGTGTATTGTATCATTTTTCGAAGAAAAGAAAGGAATTGAAGTGGTTCGAGCATTCCAGAATTTGATGCCAACAAGTTGTAATGTAATTCGAGATGGAAAAGAGATTGTTATAAATCCAGAAGAATTAGTGGTTGGGGATATTGTTGTTGTTCGAAGTGGATGCAAAGTTCCAGCTGATATTCGAGTTATTGCTTGTACTGATTTCTTTTTGGAAACAAGTTCTATCACTGGAGAAGCTGAACCATTGGAATTCAATGCGAAAGTTGCAGATGTAAGTTATTTGGAAAATTTATACATCCCATTTTTCAAATTCTGATAATTTCAGTCGAAAACTTCGATTTTCGAATCTTACAATATTGCATTCAATGGTTCATTTTGTGTTGATGGAGAAGGATACGGTATTGTTATCAGAACCGGAGAACAAACAGTTATCGGTCAGATTGCATCTTTAACACTCGGACAATCTGATAAAAAATGTCAATTCCAAACTGAAATCGAAAGATTTGTTAGAATAATTACTGTAATGGCAATTACAATGGCAACAATTATTTTTGGAATTGGAATTATTGTTTCGGGAGGAAATGATATCATTCGATTATTTGTAACTGGTTTTTTGATGGTTATCATTGCAAATGTTCCTCAAGGATTACCAACTACAGTAACAACTGAATTGACAATTATTGCAAGAAGAATGGCAAAGAAAAATGTATTCTTGAAAAAATTGGAGAAAATTGACAGTGTTGGTGCGACAACTGTTATTGCTTCAGATAAAACTGGAACTTTGACCAAAAATTGTATGACTGTTACTGATTTATGGTTCAATAACACATACAACAGCGGTAAGTAAACTATTTTGAGTTTTGAAAGGGTTTTAAACAACTTTCTTTATTTAGCTCGCCCAGAAAATCAAGGAAGAACAACGAAAAAACGAAACTTGAATGCTGCAAGCTCAGTTGATTGGTATGATTCACCACTTTCGGATATATTGAATGTCATTTGTGTTTGTAATAAGGCTCGAATCGAAAATAATATGACAACAAAAATTCTTCCAAAAAGAGTGTAAGTATTCCCTAAATCTCTTATTCTTAAAAATATTTTGAACTTCAGTGATTCTGAGTTTGATTTATCTGCAATGCAATCAGCTCCAATGAAAGAAATGTTGATATCTGGAAATCCTTCTGAAGTAGCAATGTTAAAATACGCGGCTGCAATGGCAAATGTTCCCGAAATTCGTGATAATTTTCAAACAATTTTCGAAATTCCATTTAATTCGGTCAGAAAGTTTCATTTGGTTTTGACAGTCAAAAAATCGATTTGGAAGAAAATGGATGATTATAAAAAACTGAATGAGGAAATCGAATTTGTAGTGATGGTAAAAGGTGCTCCCGAAGTTATTATAACTCATTGTTCATCGATTAATCAAGAAGGATTCAAAAAAGAATTAAATGAGGCGAGAATGGAAGAATTCAATGCAGCCTATGAAACATTTGGAGATGAAGGATGTCGTGTTATTGGATTTGCTGTCAAAAAATTCCGAGCTAACGCAAACACAATATTTTCATTAAAATCAGAAACAGTTCCATTGGATGATTGGGAATTTCTTGGAATGTCAGCTATTATGGATCCACCAAGAGATGATACCAAAAAAGCAATTCAAGCATGTAAAGCTGCTGGAATTAAAGTATATATGGTAACTGGAGATCATAAATCAACAGCTACTGCAATTGCAAAACAAATTGGAATGATTGATACGGAAGAAGTGACTAATTTTGATCATAATCGACAAGTTATTCGACAAATGAGTTCAACTGATTGGGCTGTGATAACAGGTCCCGAATTACCTGGATTGAATCAAAAACAATGGGATGCTTTACTCGAACATCGATATATTGTATTTGCAAGAACAACACCAGATCATAAATTATTAATTGTAACAGAATGTCAAAAAAGAGGAGAATGTGTTACTGTAACTGGAGATGGAGTAAATGATGCACCGGCTTTAAAAAAAGCAGATGTTGGTGTTGCAATGGGAATTGCTGGAAGTGATGTTGCAAAACAAGCTGCTGATATTATTTTACTCGATGATAATTTTTCATCAATTGTTGCTGGAATTGAAGAAGGTCGACTTCTTTTTGATAATCTTCGAAAAACAATTGCATATACAATGACTCATATGTGGCCTGAACTTGTTCCAGTTATGCTTAATTTCTTCTTTGGTTTTCCATTAGGATTGACACCAGTTCAAATTTTATCAATTGATCTGATAACTGATATTCCACCAGCTGTTTCATTAGCCTACGAAGGACCAGAAGCTGATATAATGTTACAACCTCCAAGAAAAAGAGAAACGCATTTAGTCACAAAAGGATTGATGACTTATACATACATCTTCATGTCAGTATTTATTTCTGTTGGTGGAATTATTTCATATCTTCTCACCTATTCATTGAATGGAATCCCACCACATGAACTTGCATTCACTGCATCACATTATTTCAAACCAGGAGCTGATGATTTATTATTAGCAAATGGAAATATTTTCACCGCTTCACAACAAACAAATATTGCTGCTCAAGCTGCAGCATCTTTCCATATTGCAATTGTTGTTTCACAAGCTTTCCATTTATGGATGTGTCTAACAAGAAGAGTTTCCATATTCAGTCATGGTTTTGCTAATATTGTAAGTTGCATTAAAAAAAACATTCGTCGATCAAAAATAACAATTTTTAGGTTGCAATATTCGCTGTAATAATTGATCTTCTCCTAATTTGCCTTTTCACATTTGTTCCTGGTGTTCAATATATTTTCGGATCTCAACCTCCACCATGGCAAACTTGGATTGTTCCAGTTGTCGTCGGAATTTGGATGTGGATTTTCAACGAGGCGAGAAAATATGGAATTCGTAATTATCCGAAGAATGGCTTTATTCGATTGATAAAATGGTAGATATTATTACTTTTTTTTGTTATTTTTCTCTCATGTACATTTCCATAAAAAACTTATTTTCTGAAACAACCTTACAATTGTGCGCTCTAATGATAATTTGTTTGCTTCGTGTAATTCTCCCAGGTTAAAAATGATTTATTTTTGTTTTTTATTTTTTTCTTCCATTTTTTTCCGTTTTTTCCTGGTTTTTCAATGAAAAACCGAATAATAACTTGATAAATAACAGTCCAGGGTTTAATCTGATAATTATAGTTTGTTCAATCCTTTCACTTCGCCAGGAACAATCTGCAAAAAAATATTGTGGAATTTTTTTCTTCTCTCACCGAAAAACTGTACAAAACTGAAAATTCAAAAAAAAATTTCGAAAAATAAAAAAAGCGTCAATATTCACGTGACCCATTTCTTGAAATCCCGCCCACAAACGCTGATTGGATGGCGTCATCTTTGTCGTATTCTTCTCTCTGTGCGCCGCCTATCTCATTTCAAATCTCATTTCAAATTTTGTGAATTCTCGATGGAACAAGTCAAATCAGATTTCGAAGCGTGAGTTTAAGCAAATTTGAAGAAATATTTATTCTGTAAACTCTGCAGAGTAAAAAGTGAAATATATTTATGAACAAAAATTCAAAGAAAGAGGTCAATGTGAATGCAAAAATTTGAGAGATGGCTTTTTTCATTTAGCTCTAAACTTTCGGAATGAAAAAAAAGTTGATAAAGTTGAGGTGACCAAATCGTTCTTTCATATACAAGAAAGATTTGGAGAGAACACAAGACAATGTTTCGATATAAAGTTGTTTTTTCAGACTTGAAAGAAAAATCGAGAATCAACGTGAGCTTCTTCTCAAAACGATCAATGATGGTTTCGATATGATGCGGAACGAAATAAGCGAATTGGGAGTGAGTTTTTTGGCAAACTTCTTCGGAACAGGGTTGTGCGGAAAATAAGTGATTGGAAAATTAGTTGAGCTGGTAAAGTGATTGATTCTTGAAAGCTGACTAGAGCCAAACATTTTGAGCCAGAGAACCTATTCCACATTCCTGTTAGAGCAAAAAAGAAGCTCAAAGTGATAGTAAAACTGGTAGTGTGATTGGATCTAAAAAATTAAGAAGTCTGAAACTTATAGAATATCAAATAAGTTATATAAAACATTCTAAATACTTGCAAATTAACTGATATTTTTTGTTTTTAGAAAACAGCTGTTCAACAAATTGCTCAGACAACAACGCAACCGCCGGTTTCAACTCTAAACCAACAAAAAGAAGAAGTGAGTTAAATGAGAAATTCAATAGTGTTGTCTAAAAAGACATTTGGTATTAGAGCAAAACATTTTGAGCCAGAACCTATTTCTAGTAGCTCAAAACTGGTAGTGTGATTGGCTCTAAAAACTTGAGAACTCTGAAACTTATAGAAAATTGAAAAAGTTAGCATGCGTTCTACACCTTCACGAGAATTTTTGAAGAAGTTGTTTCAATTTTTTTCTGCAAGAGTTGGCAGATTGAAACAAAGAGTTTTAAAAGTTCTATGAAATCCGCAAGAGTAGGCAGATTTAAACTAGCATTGGTTTATTCAGAAGAAATTCTATTAAAAAATTGTTCGGAAAATCCATGTAACTTCAAAAAACGAAGGAAGAAATCCGAGAAGTTTCAAAATGATCCAAGTACAGTAATTCAGAATTTGCCTTTTAGAAATTGTTCGTAAAAATTACGGAAATGTCAACTTTTCAAAAATTCTGATTTTAAAAGAATTCAAAATTCAATCGAGTTTTCAAGCGCACAGTGAAAATCGAAAAACATTTGTTAATTTCGAAAAATTGTTATTTCTAAATTCTGAAATTTATTTTGAGAATTAAAACTTTTTGAAAAATCACCCGGTCTAAAAGGTTACCAAAAAGTTTTGTGAAAGGTCAAGTATTCCACAGCAAAAAAAACTATTTTCTCTGTTTCCGTGTGGTACGGTGGTACCGTACTACGGTGCGCAAAACAAAAAGTGTTTGCACACACATTGAAAATTATCGGACAAAAAAGAAGAAACATCATGAGAGAGCAGACTCCGCCTACTTTTTTTTTGAATTTCCGCAACGAAATTTTTTGAACAAAAACATATTTTTTGTTTCGTTGTGTATTCGCATAGAAAAATACATGGATTTTATAAAGATTTTATAAATCAAAAAAGTTTTTCGTAAAACTTCCTAGAAATATCCCCAGACGCTGCATCGTTTTGAAAACGTATATTGCATTGCGTTGAAAGTGTGCGAACAAAACAAATCTCTACAAAATTATTTTTTGCAGAGTACAAGCAACAATACCAACAATAGTACTTTTGCATCAATCCCGTCGATGATGAAATCCAACATATCTGTGAGTGAAATTACAGAATTCAATATCATAGGTGTTTTTCTCATTAAATTCCTCTAACCGAGAAAATTTTCACATTTCTGAAAAATAAACGAAAAACAAAAAGAAAAAAAGTACCGATTGAATTTTGGATGTATATTTTTCAACCTAACTTTTTTTCAGCATCTCATGCAACCTCGCCAACGTGTTGATGGTAATTTTCGAGCTGCCAAACCACTATTTCCACAGGTATATTTATTGGAGCAGGGTTTTGTGGGGCACACGAATGGTTTTTATGAGTCTCCAATTGTTTTCAACATTTTGGAGCCGAATGGTGTTGAGAAGGGAACCTTTTTTAGTCTACACCTCAAGTCATCATGAAATTATTAAACTAAATTGATATACGAATGAAAATGAGTCTAAAATTCTGAGAAAAAAAGAGAAAAGTTTGACGTAATCTAATGCTGGAGAATGAGAGTAACCAAAACTTTTTGTGCATATATCTGTATGTCAAAGTGACATTTTGCAGACAATCGAGCTCCTAAAACTCATAACAATGGAGGATGAAGTTCTGACATTGATAATACAATGCTTTGCTAAAATCAATAAAGACAGTTTCAAGGGAGTCATTGTTACGCAAGCAATTTGGAAATTAAGAGAGAAGACATCAATGCTAAAAGAAAAATTATTGCAATTCCTGAATAGCGAGAAAACGAGAAGCTACAACATCAGCAGATTCATATTAATTATACTTGTATTTTTTCTTTTTTTGTACGGTAAGAAAATTATTTCAATTCTCCAATAATAAAATTTTGAAGTCAAAGTTTTGTTTACTCAAAAGAAAAGATTTTGAAAGGTATATAGAATACTCAAATTACATAGATAATGGAATATGTTTTGAGCAAAAAGGTCAACCACATGAGCATATTATAAAAGAGCATATAAAACTGTCAGAAGTTAGAGTAGACTAGTCAAAGACATAGGTCACCTCAAAAAATACCAGTCTTTAAAAAAAAACATTTTTGTTAAAAAGTTGTACTAAATCCATTTAGAAAATTGAATAAATTATTTGAACACAAATTTGTCAATTGGAAATTTGAAAATTTAATTCTTATTATTTGTTTTGAAATTAAGTTCACAACCATCGGAAAAGTTGACATGGAGGAAAATAGTTATGATGGATAAAACAGAAAATTGAAAAAAAAATTATCGAAAGATAAAGCTGGTTTCAAACATTTGAAACCGAGAAATACAAAGTTTCGAAATTTGAAAGAAGAAAGTAAACTTGTTTTCAAAAATTGACAAGTTTTGTAAATAAAGTAAAATAATTTAGGAATGGAACAATTTGATAATATGAAACTGTAGATTAGAGATTTGCTCAAAATAAATAGTACATATCTGAAAATTCATTTGATAAGTTATTTTTTTTTAAAATGAGGAAACTATTTTTTCAATAATTTATGGAATAAATATGTAAAATAGGAAAATCAATCGTGAATAATTTTTTTTAATTGCTGTTTGAAAAGTTAAGAATTAGAGAATCATCAAGAGTGTTGTTGTTATGATCATAGATTCAAATTTGATTTTTTTTTGAAAGAATTCACAAAAAAAAGTTAGAGTTTGGAAATTTGAAATTTTCAGAATTAGCCAATGGTAATATTTTCACCGCTTCACAACAAACAAATATTGCTGCTCAAGCAGCCGCATCTTTCCATATTGCAATTGTTGTTTCACAAGCTTTCCATTTATGGATGTGTCTAACAAGAAGAGTTTCCATATTCAGTCATGGTTTTGCTAATATTGTAAGTTGCATTAAAAAACATTCGTCGATCAAAAATAATAATTATGTTTTTTTAGGTTGCAATTTTCGCTGTAATCATCGATCTTCTCCTAATTTGCCTTTTCACATTTGTTCCTGGTGTTCAATATATTTTCGGATCTCAACCTCCACCATGGCAAACTTGGATTGTTCCAGTTGTCGTCGGAATTTGGATGTGGATTTTCAACGAGGCGAGAAAGTATGGAATTCGTAATTATCCGAAGAATGGCTTTATTCGATTGATCAAATGGTAGATATTATTAGTTTTTTCTTGTTATTTTTCTCTCATGTACATTTCCATAAAACTTATTTTCTAAAAAGTCTTTTTTCCTCGTTTCTCAAAAAAAAACTACCGCCACCTCATTCTAATGGCGCCAATAAATAGGTTGGGTGTCATAAAACGGCACCATATTTCTTCTTTTTCTTTTTTTCACCAGGTGTTGTTTTCACTGTTTCATTTCACAAAAGAAGATCATTTTAATGAGATGGCGCTTTCCTTTTAAATACAAAAAAGAAAAATAGCCGACAAGGTGCGCCAAACTTGACTAGATGTTTATGAGCTTCCATTTTTCATCCCAAAATTATTTTGAGACTTCTTTGTACAAATTGTGTCTCCTGTTTTCCAAGTGTTCTGGCAATTTACCTTTTTGGCGTTTTTTCGATTCCGATTCGAAAGCCACGCCCATTTTTCGAGAATTTTTCTCAACCACAGATTTCTTTGAAAATACAGACTTGTATTCCAGATTTAAATTTGAAACCTGGATATTTTCGAATAATGTGAGTTTGCATGTTTTAAATTTATACTCATTTGTTTAGTTTTTCAAAAATTTGTATGTTGAAACTGTGTGAGTGTTTGAAATTATAAACACAGTGCATGCATGAACTCGAGAAAAATTCCATTGTCAGCCTGAGGTCCGCTGTGGATAATTGACTCATTATTTTCTCCGAATTCGCCTAATTTTTCCGTATTTCAAATATGTTCCAAAATATGTATAAAAACTAACAGAAACTCAAGAAATAATTCTGAAAACTTTTCCCTAGTTTAGAAATTTATATTTTTTCCAAATTCAATCCCAAATAAAAAAAAAGAATCCAAATTAATTCAGGAAACTACAGTATCCTCAAAAAAACACCATTAAATAAAACATTGCCCTTTACCAAGGTCGAAATTTGCCATTGGATTACTGTAATTGGTCTGGAGCCAGTTTCGAACAATTTTCACTTCTTTCATTCATTTTTTTTTCGAATTATCGTTATCATTTAGAAATAAGAGACATAGAGATACAGATAATAAGTGAAGTTCGAAATGCGTTGAAATTCGAGAGATTTAGAGAAATCGAAAAGTCAATAGACAGTCATTTTCACTAATCAAAACTTTTTTGTTTTAAAAAATGATGCGACTTTTTATTTTTATAATATTCTTACTGAATTTGAAATTATGCGAAACAGAAAAAGACGAATGGGATATTTATGATGATGAAAATTTAGCGTTGAGTATTCCATCGGATGCGCAGGGAAAACCTAAAGAGTTTCGGTAGGAAAATAGTGATTTATATAGTGAAGAGGCGAAGAGATTTGCCAGATGTTTCACCTGTGAAGACAAATTTTTGATTTATTTATTTTCTTTTATTCAGAGACCAAGTTTTGATGGAAATGAGAATTCGAGCAAAGCCGCGAGATGTTCCCGAAAATCATTGTTATTGTAATTATGGACCACTACACTGTGATTCAAATTATACTTGTATAAAACATGACAAAGCTGCATGTTTTCATTCTATTGAAGAGGTATGATTAAAGAGAGAAATTAGAGAAAACATCTAACTTTTAAATGAAAGATCAATCTCAAAAAACTCAAGAATTCTACATTTTTTATATTTATTTCAGAAATATAACAAGCAAGAGAGAAGAATGGAGACTTGGCATAAATTCGGATGTGCTAGTTTGGAGCGCGGAAGTCAAGCATCACATTTGCAGGTAAGAAAATTCTCAACTAGAAAAAAATCAGATTCAGAATGTTCTTGTAAAATCCAAAGTAGTTTATTCCTATTTGTCTACCTTGGTCCGATTCATTCAAACATCCTGAATAGTGACAGTCATTCAAATTTCAGTGTAATCAATGGCGAACAACCCATCAAACACCTCGTTCAATTGCTTGTTGTTATGAAGGAAATTATTGTAATCGTGATATCGAACCTCCATCATACGCTAATATTTTTCATAATGGTATATTATTATTCTTTATAGTTTTCCAACTCAAAAAATGCTTAATTTTCTAGAAAAACCATCTGAATCTCATCCGCCATTACTCTCTTTCAAAGATGGATTGAAATCTGAAACTGGAATATTTTTATTCATTCTTCTTGCACTCATAATTATTCTCACATTCGCTATTTTCTTTTTACTTTCAATTGCTTATTATCGAAGAAGTGAGTTTTTGTCTCAAAAAATCCAATAAATCAAATATCTATATTTCAAGAAAACATCAAAAAGGCTTCGAAAACATTATCAAATATGACAGAAAAGGAAATGTTATATTACGAAGATTCTGGAAGTGGTTCAGAACAAGCAACATTACTTCAAAGAACTGTTCGACAAGATTTATCGATTATTAAAACAATTGGACAAGGAAGATATGGAGAAGTTCGAAAAGCGGCTTATCGAGGAAGATTTGTGGCAGTTAAAACATTTTATACAACTGATGAAGATAGTTGGAAAAATGAAAGAGATGTTTATCAAACTCATATGATTAATCATGAAAATATTTTACGTTAGTTTGTTTTTTTCATTTCCAACAAAAACTATTCCTAAAATTGTTTCAGAATTTGTTGCTGCTGATATTTGGAGTGAAGAAGATTCAATGACAAAAATGCTATTAGTAGTTGATTATCATGAACTTGGTTCACTTTCTGATTATCTTCGACGCGAACAAACATTAACAACAGACGAAGCACTTCGACTTATTCATAGTTGTATTTGTGGAATTGAACATTTGCATACAGCAGTTCAAGGAACTGGAAATTATCGAAAACCTGAAATTGCACATCGTGATATTAAATCGAAAAATATAATTGTGAAACGAGCTGGTGTTTGTTGTATTGCTGATCTTGGTTTAGCACTTCGTTGTGATATTGATTATAAAATTCTTCCCGAAAAATTCAATGTTCAAGTTGGAACAAAACGATATATGGCTCCTGAACTTCTTCGGAAAACTTTAGATCCCTCAGAATTTGCTCAATTCAAAATGGCAGATATTTATTCAATGAGTTTGGTAATGTGGGAAGTTGCAAGAAGGGTTGAGGTATGTTTATAGAATGTCTGTTAGTGTAATAAAATTAATGCATTTAGGATACAACAGCAATCGGAATGATAAATGTTGACGAAACCTTGAATGATCGATCTGAATCGAGTGGATTGGGTGATTCTGTTTCATCAGATGGTGGAGTTCGAGTTCATCGACAAAAAGCGAGTTTGGAAGTTTCATTAAAAGCAAAACCATATATGCCACCATTTGATGGAGTTGTTGAATTCGATCCAAGTTTCGAACAAATGTTGGATGTTGTTTGTGTTAAAGGACTTCGACCTCCGATTGAAAACGAATGGGTCAAAGGTATGGAAACTGAACCCGTGGTTTAACTATATGTTATTTGTTTTTCTAGGCAATAATATTGCACTTTGTCAATTGAGCCAACTTATGCGAGATAGTTGGCACATGAATCCACATTATCGACACACAGCTTTGAAGTTGAAGAAGGAACTAAACAAACTAATTGATCTTGTTGACAAAATGGTTAGTGAATTTTAGAAAACATTGAAGGATCTTTTTAAGAAATTGATTCCGGCGTGTGTAACTTCTTACTACAAATCTGTTCTCCCAAAAGTTAATTTCCAGAATCGAGGTCACAAAACAAGTATTACAAAGAATATGTCACAAGATGCCGACAGTGGAATCTAATTACTGTATCAATAACAACTCGGTATTTGCTCGCAATGTGTCATAATTAATATTCTTGTGTTTGTAAATAAATAACATTTTTATACAAAATGTTTTCATTCTGGAATAATTGATCAATCGAAAATTGTAGTCTTGAATTATACTTGGACGCCCATCTTTTGATAACATTCTATTCAGGTTTAAAAAAGTGTGACCGAAAGTTACCGAAAATTTTATCAAGAAACTCCGGTCATTTTCAAAAATTGTTATCGAGAAGAACTGGAAGTAGTTTTCAATTTTTATCGATGAAAAATGATACGGTATATTGTTCTGCTGCTAACTATTTTGTTGTTATCATTGAATCTTTCGGCGTACGTTGAAAATTACAATATATCTTCTCAAATAATGTTATTTTAGTTTAATTTGTTTTCCTGTAACATATCCAGCACTTTTTGGAAATACTACAACTAATTCAACTGAACTCAAAGATATTCGTTTCAATTTTTCACCAATTCAAAAAACCATGCTTTTTGGTAGTACATTTGCTGGATTTATTATTGCTGTTATTCCATTTTGTGCGTTAATGCAAAAGTACAAATGTCATAGAGTTGGTTTCAAAATATCAAACCAATTATTTTTTCAATTGATTTTCAGGTTTTAACAGTGACAAGTTCAATGTCAGCAATTATATTATTTCTGACACCAATTTCAATTTCTTCTTATTTTCCATCATATATTTTTCTTCGAGTATTACAAAGTGCAATTGCTTCGAAACTTTTTATTGTTACCGGATTTGTTGTGAATGAATGGGCTCCAAAAAACGAGCGTGGCTTTTTCGTTGCAGTTTTGTCGTGTATGTTTTCAAATAAATAACATTTCAGATGTCATATAAATGTATTTCAGCTATCGAAATCAGTGCATTATTCTCAATGACCTTTTCCGGTATTATTTCGGAAAATTTTGGATGGCCATCAAACTTTTATTTTCATGGATTTTGTGTTGGAATTGTAACATTATTATGGTCCATCGTATATCGAGATAATGTTCTAAATCATCCATTTCTAAGTGCACGTGAAAAATATATGATTAGTGAGGGAAAAGATATGCAATCGTCAAATTGTGAAAAATCTCCAATTCCATACAAATCTATAATAAAAACACCTTCAGTTCTGGCAATTTGGATTTCAGCATTAGGAAATTTTGCGATCAATCATTTCAATTTCAGTTATTCCACAATTTATGTGAAAAATGCAATGAATGTACCTTTATCTGAAGCTGGAAGAATTGTTTTGATTCCAATGACTGCTTTGGTATCAAAATGTTGAAAATTACATTCAAAAAAGTTAGTTTTCAGATAATTGTTCGATTCATAACAGGAAAGTTATCTGATTCGGTGAAATATATAAGCGAATTGAACAAAATTCGATTTTTCAATTCTCTTGGATTCTTTGGAACTGCAGTATTTCTGTTAATTATATACATCTTCCCGCATGGAAATCCTGATAACAAGTTCATTGATATTGTCATTTTTAGTATGTTATATACATAATATAAAATTATTCCAAACCTCTCAATTTTTACAGCACTTGCGTGTTGTTTCTGTGGATTTGCATCGGGTGGGACATACAAATCAACAGTGTTAGTTGCTGGACAATACTCATCATTTGTGTTTGCCGTATTTCAAATGATTGGTGGCATGTTTATTGGTCTACCTGGTGCAGTTGTTATACCAAGATTAGCACCAGAAGACACACCAAAACAATGGAGCAATATTTTTCTAATTTATGCTATCATTTTGGCTGGTAGTAACGCAATATTCCTTCTTTTTGCGAGGTTCTTTCTATTCTTTGATCATTATAATTTGAAAAAAACACAATAATAATTTTCAGAGCGTCGCCGGAAGATTGGTCTATTCCCATGAACAATACTAAAGAAATGAAAGAAAAAACGAATGACTTATAAACGTTTGACATTGATCTTTGTTATCTATATTTTTTCAGAGAAAAACTGTTTCAAGTTTTCTGGAGAGTAAAGAAAATTTTTGGAAAAAAACTAGTTTCGGTTTCACTAAATTTGATTTTACTTTGTTCGTTTTCATTCCAAAATTGTTCGCGATGATTAGATACATTGTTTTAGTTTTAACCACATGTATTCTTGCATTAAACACTTCTGGGTATGTTTTTTTCAATTCTCAATTTGTAAAATTAATATTTAGAATAATATGTCTTTCCGCAACTTATCCAACTCTAACAAATACAGTAGGATTGAATGAAAGTATATGGGACAATTCAAGTTCTGATTTGATAGATCGAAGATTCGATTTCAAGCCCATTCATAAAACCTTACTTTTCGGTGGAGGTTTTGCTGGAACATTTTTCGGAGTACTACCATTATGTGAAATTCTTCGTAAATACCATAATCATAAGGTTGTCACTATAACAAGTATTTTATGTGCAATAATTCTTATTTCGACTCCATTAATATTATCATATTCAATTATTCTATACATAATTGTTCGATTTATTCAAAGCTGGTTGAATGCTCATATAATCGCAATTGCTGGCGAGTTTTTATATGTTTGGGCACCAAAAAAAGAAATTGGATTCTTTTCAGCAGTTGTGCTGGGTAAGTTCAAAAACTTTTGGAAAATGTTTTCCCGAGCCGTTCGGTAAAAAATTCCATAATTATTACGTTAGGTCTTGAAATAAGTGTTGTTTTCACAATGCCAATATCTGGTTTTATAATATCAAAATTTGGTTGGCCAACCAATTTTTACTTTCATGGATTCTGTCTTGCTCTGGTAACTTTATTATGGTCGTTATTATACAGAGATATTGCTGAAAATCAGCCAATTATGAGTGAAAAGGAGAAAAGACTCGTGAATTACGCAAAAGATTTATCGAAAACAACAAAAACAATTGCTGTACCATATTTGGCAATTATAAAAACACCAGCAGTATGGGCAATTTGGATAGCGTGTGCTGGAAACTTTACAATTGCACAATTCAATTTCACGTATTCTTATATTTATTTGAGAAGTGCATTAAAATATAGTGTATCAGAAGCTGGCCTACTTCTATTTGTACAAATGAATATTCTGGTATATTTTTTTAGTTGAACAACTTTTATGAAATTGTTTTTTAGTTGTTTATTCGAATTATGAGTGGTTATTTATCAGATGCAATCAAATTTATCAATGAGAAATTGAAAATAAGGTTAATCAATTCAATCGGATTTTTTGGATCTGCTTCATTCTTTCTATATATTTCACATTATCCACTTGGTGAATCAAAATATCGGGATCATATATTGTATAGTGAGTTAGATCTGAGAAATTCCAAATAAATTATTGTTCAAGCTCTCACAACAACAATTTATGGTTTTGCATCTGGCGGATTTGGCAAAACAATTAATATTGTTTCTGGAAAACATTCAACCTTTGTCTGTTCTATTATTCAGGTGTTTTACAATTATTATTTCTCCAAAATTTATTCCATTTTTACAGATAACTTCATGTATTGTTGGTGTTAGTGGATCTTATATAATTCCAGTTCTTGCGCCAAATGATAAAATTGCAGAATGGAATCATGTGTTTATTGTGTATGCAATTATGTTGATTGTTACAAATATATTTTTCGTTATTTTTGTTGGGTGAGAATATCTTTTCGAGACCAAAATAATTCATTGAATACAGAACGAAGCCCGTGGATTGGGAAAATGCAAACAGAGGGAAGAATTCAAATATAATTCACAGTTTGGAAAACTCAAATAAAGCTTAACATGTTGTTTTAGATTTTGTAATGTATGCCGGAATCAAATTCCATTATAAACTAAATCAGACTGTAAAAGCAAGGGTTCGAAGCCTATGCTGGTAAAATTCGGTAGTAAATTTCTAGCAAACAGTTCCAGCGGCCTGAAACTTATCATATCAATTTCACACTGCAAAACCCATTCATAAATCCTCACCTCTCAAATTGATATCCCAAGTCATTTAGAATTCCGATAATTGGTGGTTTATGTGAATGAACAGCCATTGGAACACTTGAAAAAACAAGAGTTTTTGGAAAATGTTCATATTTTTTGGAATTTAAAGTTGTCGCAAAAATGATATCCTCATAAGGAAGCTTGTGTTTTGATTTTGAAAAATCATAAACAGGAATACCAGAGCGAGTTACTTTCAACCATTTCCATTCTCCAATAATTTCAAGATTCCATTTTTTCAAATGTTCTTCAAGTTCTTCTCGAAGTCCTATTCGATTTGTTATCCAAAACCCAACCAAACAATCATCTGTTATCATTTGATCTAGTTCAAGATCTTCAAGAACATCTTCATTCATTTGATATGTCTTTTTTCGTTTCACAGATTTATTAAACCATGGAGGATCAGCAATAACTAAATCGAAACGAATATCTGCAAGTTTCCAAAGAAAAATTTAATTAATTTTGAGTTTCTACTAACCGTGATATTTTGAATAGCTGTTAATATCAGTGATATCGCCGATGTGAAAAATCGAATTTGGAGGAATTAAGAATCTGTTTTCGTCAGATGTCAAAATTTTCGCAGAATCAGATGAATTTCGAATCCAACTACTCATAATATTATTGCAAAATAAAGATGAAAAATGAGAATCACTGAAATACTGAAAATATTTCACAAAAACAAAAATATACTTACTCATCAATTTCCAAAATATCTGTACAACTTATCGCAAAACGAAGATGTACAGTTTCCAAAACTCTGAAAAAAACAATCCCACTGATTTTTTCCAAACTCGTGGTGAACTCACTTTTTCGCTGAATTTCTAGCTTCTAAATTGTTATCTTTAACTTCTGTTTGTGCTTTGAAATAATTCGAAAATCCTATCAATTTCGAAATTTGTTTCATTTCATTTTCATTTGATTCTTCAATCAATTTTCTTTTTCTGTTGTTTCCAGCAAAATGTGAATCTGTTACAAATGTTCCAAGAATCTCAAAAAGTTCCGATTTCATTTGATTTCCGAAAAACGACAACTCATCAATTATTATAAATTTGTCCGCTTTCTCGACAATCGACATCTAACTGGAATTATCCGAAAAGTAAATTTGTGGAGTTTTGAGGATATATCGATAAGATCTGTAGACTTGTTTCAAAAAAAACAGTTTTCATTCTCGAGGTGTATTTTTCAAGTTTATTATTTTTGACACAAGAATCATAAATTATGCGCATGCAATAAATGGTTTTAATTTATGAGATCGATGGAATGTTTAACAAAGTAGAAATATGTTAAGAGTACAATAGAAAATCTGTAATTATATGTGTAAATGAAAATCAATGATGTGTTCCAATCAAAGCTTTGAAAAATACAAACAATAAAATACCGCCAGTTACAAACAATGATTTGATAAGTGAAGACCATTTCGAAGAATGGGAAGAAGAAGAAGAAGAATGATTATGAGAATGAGAAGATGAAGTTGAATCAGCAATTAGATTCTGAACAAATAACATTGATTTGTTTATATGGAGAAATTCGGAAAAAATTAACGATAAGAACAAAACCAAAAAAAAGCTTTGTGGAAAAAATGTGAAAATTCAAATTGAAAAAAATAAAATCTACGTGACGTAACATGTGGAAATTCAAAATTCATTTTTCCTTTTTAAACGTAGTTTCATACGTCCTATCTCCTTGCAAAACATCTCCCTGTGAAGGCTATATTTCCAAAACTTGAAAAAGTCAATTTTTCCGTTTTTCTCAATTTTGGAAAACTATAATGTTCTATCCCATCAGAAACCCTCAACCCAAAATAAACTAACATGACTATGTCCGTGTCCTCCATCTTCATCAGAATGTAATTCCATTGGAAGTAATTCAACAAGTGCAACATGAACAAAAGTTCCAGCAGCCAAACCTTCAAGCCAATATCGACCAAGTCTTTGCCAAGTTTCATTTTCAATTCCATCAATCTAAAAATAATATAACTATTCACACTCTTTCATAAAATTTTAAAAGATTACAAAAACCTACCGTAGTCGCCAGTACCATTCCTATAGGAATTGTGGCTGATAAAAATATCGATGAAATCCAAGCATAATTTCTACTCGCATTATGTTTTGCTAATTGAATTCCATATGAAACACAGCATAAAACTTCGTGAAATAAAACAGCAATTAATATTTGATAAAATGCATGTTTATCATTTTGAACACCAAGTGCAACACCTTCGAAAAATGAATGAACCGACATTCCAAGCAATAAAAACCAAACTCGAATATTCATCGAATTTGCAACATTATTCTCATGACAAGATCTTCCAGGACTATTTGGGGTCTAAAAATATTAATTGTGAGCAAAGATCTTTTGATTTTTACATACTTGTCTAAAAATAATATCATCGTTATCATCATCAGCTGGATCAACATCTACCAATGGAACATTATCATCCCCATCTTCCTAAAAAATAGTTTCATTGAAAAATATTTCATAAATTGATAAATGTAAACTTACATCCAAAAACTTTCTCAATTTGATTGTAGTTTGTGGTTGAGATGAATTATTTGATGAATGTGAATGTCCAATTGAATGTCCGATTCCGTGAATCAATTGTTCAACGATGAGAATTATGACAAAACCAATAACAACTAATTGATCAGTTGTTGGAATATACTCGTATGATGAAGTTATCGTTGAATTTGACCTCAATTCCATTTCCTGATGACGAACATGTGGAACTAAACCCAGAAAACAAGTTGCGATGAATACTCCACAAGATGCACATCCTAGGATCGATACAGTTAATTTGGAAGCATTTCTGAATGAAAATTTTTTATTGTAAATTGCGATGACTCACACGAACCATCTGTTCTTTCTTCCAATTTATTCGAAAATGAGAAATAATTTTTTCACAATTTGGATTATTAAAAAGCCAGAAAAAATTAGATCACGTTTATAAAATTTTTCTAATTTATAATGGCAATTTTTTTCTGAGATTCTCCAAAAGCAAAAAAAAAACTTACACACAGCAATTTTTCAAAAATGTATACGGTAAGCACGTGGCAATGAGTAGAAGGAAAAATACGGCGATTGCCGAGAAGGTCATAAATATAAACAGAGCCATTTTCAGCACATCTGAAGTTGTTTTTTTTGTTGAAAAATTGTCAGAATAAAATTTGAAATATTGATAACTGTTTCAAAAACAGTGTTCTGAATACGAATACAAATAAAAATTGAGTAACAAAATTTAATACGCATCCATAGTGTCTCAAAAAAAGCACAACAAAAAACAGGAGCAAATTCAACAAAATAACGAATAACAATAACTTCAAACAAAAAAAGGTGCTTAAAACATTTTATGGTTTATCTTCTACCACGTCCGCGGCCTCCTCTTCCACCTCGACTTCCTCCAAATCCGCCACGTGGATTTCCGAAAAGATCGTTGAAACTGAAATATTTTTGATTGGTATAATAAAAAATGAAAAAGATGCAGAAAAAATAACTATCAAAAAAGATATGTTTCTCTTGTTTTCACACACTATTTCTATGTTTATTGTGAGGTTTGCAAGCTTTTACAAAAACTTTTGGGATTGGAAGTTTTTTTTTTCAAATTCAATTTTGTTTGCTTTGGACACATAGGACATAAAGTCCGTTACTATTATATTAATAAAAATGAAAAATTAGGATCTTGATGTTTGCTTGACAAAATACTTACCTTTCTTTATTATTTCTCTTCATTCCCTTCTTTCTTCCACCATAACCAAATTTGTCCGATTTCATTTTCTTTTTCAAATCTCCCGCATTACGAATCGATCCGCCGCCTCTCGAACCTCCTCTTCCAAATTTACCACCTCCATTACTTCTACCTCCTTCATCATCATCTTGATCCAATCCATGTCTTTTCACATTATTCAACATATCTTCCAATTGTTGTTTCATTCCCTTCTTATGTTTTTTCACTGCTTCTGCCAACTTCTTCTTTTCACTATTTTTAGCGGCAATCGCTTCTTTTTGCACTTTGACTGCGAATTTCTTCTCTTCGCGAATTCTTCGGAATGCTTCTTGTCTTTCTTTCATTTCTTGAATACCTAACAAACGTTTGCGGATTTTTTGCATATGCGAATCGCTTTTTGCCATTTCCGCATAATAATCTCCTGGTCGCAAAACTTTGATATTCAAGTTGAGAAGACGGGGATAAGCCATTTGAACTGCTTTTTCAGCTTGTTTATAGCTAAAAAAAATAGATAAGAAATTGAAAAAAAAGAGAGAATGCATTTGGAAAAATAGTGAAAAATCAATTTTTAAACCTTTAATCAAACTCACAAACTCAATTCTCTTTTGAAATCATCATTTTCGGATTTTTTGTCAAGCTGTTGATGTGGTGTAACAATTTCAAGAGTTTCAACCCATGGCAAATCTTTGGTGAATTCAGCCAATTTTTCTTTCATTTCAGCAACTTTGTTGATAACACTTCGCTTTTTTCTAGTCATAATATTCAATCCATCGGATTTCAAAAGTCCAGCAGCAAAAGCAGCTTGAAGTTCTCGATCATCATCAGCATCACTTTCTTGTTCTTCTTCAATATCTAATCCTTTCATTTCAACATCTTTTGTTTCTTCGATTGCATTATCGAAATCGAAATCAGATTCGTCACCGCTCTGCAAAAATGGATGTTTTGAAATTCGGGTCAGGAATTCTAGAATTTTTAAATCTGAAAATTAAAAATACCTCTTCTTCTTGCACAACTTTTTTCGAATTGACAGCCAATCTTTTGGCAAGTTTGTTCATTTTTCGAACCATTTCTCCAGACTCTGCAAAAATGCCTTTTATTTTGAAAAAAATCAGCAAAGTTTGAAAAAAGATAATTATTCGATTTTATACGAAATTTAAAAATAACGAAAAATTGAAAAATATTCAATAAAACCCATAAAACTTTATTTATTACCGGTATAAAATGAACCTGTAAAAATTTAAAAGATAAAGAATAAAAGTAGAATTTACATTTTAGCATTCCGTAGTAATTTTTAAAACAATCGGATCATTTGGTTTCTCTTGAAATACTTCGATTTTTCGAAGTTTTTTGAGTTCGAGCATAGTCATGAATTCTCTGGCAACAACTTTTCGAGTGAGTCTACTTTTCGAGATTTTTTGCAAAATATCATTGAAAGTGACTTTCTGCAATAAAATATTTTTTTATAAAATAATTTTTGAGGAAAGTCTTACCTCTAGAGATGAAACAGTCAAAGTTTCGAGGTTTTTCAGGAATTTGATATGAGACGCATTTTTGTTCTGTAAATCAAAAGCTATAAATTACCTTCGAATGCAAAATGCCAAACCTCTTCTTCTCCAGAATCATTTTCAGATTCCTCATTCAATTTTCTCCTTTTTGCTGGCCTTTCAAATTCCTCATTTTGTGGAAGTAATTCTTCAAATGGAACAATATCATGGTCAATTACTTGATTTATGATTGGTTCTTCTCGTGGTATTTCAATACTTCCAACTTCGAAATCAATATCCATTCTTTCTGGTTCTTCTCCAACTTCTTCCAACCATTTTTGTACATTTCCAATTTCATCAACATTTCCAGCAGGAAGATGATTCATTTCTTCGTTGTTATCAACCTGAATTCTTATTTTTATATTAAACTTTTTAAGAAATCAAAACATTCTGAACTGTTCTTCCTATACTTAAAAATTAACTCACAAATCTTTGATTTTCTACAACATCTAATACATCGCTAACATTATCCGGAACTTGATAGAATTTCTTTGTTTTCGAATTCATAGCTTGTTCACATAACGAATTTATAAATTTAGCAACGGGTGATTTTTTCGATTTTAATCCTTCAACATGACAATTCATTAACAAATATGACCAATCATTTTGTTGAATTTTCATCAAATTTTGAGTTGGTGGAGCAATTATTCCAGTTGAGTTGACCAAATCACTGAAAAAAAACAGTAGAATATATGTGAATTCAGAAAATGTAAATTATGAATTACCTATAATCATCCATATTGTGCCGCATTTCGATTTGTGGAATAGTTGTTACCTCATCGAAAAACAAAGATTTTCTCTTTCTCCGTCTTTTCTTCGTTTCAGATCCATAAGACCTCAAAGAACTGAGATCAAGTCTCGAATCCATTTCTTCTTGAGGTTCATCAACTTTATTATTTACAACACTGATTTGAGCATCGTTATCGTCAGAAGCGAGAATTTCGAAATTTTCGACTGGTTGATGTTGATCGACAAATGTTTCCATTTTCAAATCTGGTGTCTCTTCTTCGATACTAAAAATGAAACTTGGATATTTTTGAAATTATAATTGGAAAATAAGAAACTCACTTTATCGGAGCTTCGTAGTCATCATTGTTTGGAAGATCAAAATCATCTCCACCGTGTTCTTCTTCCATTTCTCTAACATCATTCATTTCTTTCACAGGCGTTTCTTGGAAAATTCCTTGACTGAGACTAACATCAAAATCCAATAATCCTTCATTTCCAAAATCTTCGAAATTCTTCAAAGTGGTTCTATCTTTCTATTTTTTTTATTTTATTTTATAAACTTACCGAAACCGTGAATGGAATCATTGGAAGATTATCTTTAATAGTAATATTTGTAGGATTTGCTTTAGAAATTAATTGACTCTGAATGAATACTAGAATATTATAGTTCAATAATAATATTAGAATATACCTGTGATGGAACATAGCAGGTTTCTTCATCTAATTCCGCGACTAGATTTTTCTGAAATAGTTATATTTACAAATCAAATTTTGATTTTATGACTTACTAAGTTTTCAATATTTGGTAAAACAGATTTCTTCTTTTTAACCACAGTCATATTAATTCCTTTAGCCATTTCTGAAGCTCTTTGACAATCCGACAGAAGAATACTAACTTTTCCATGATGAATTCTAACAATACCAAGTGTACATAAACTAATTGCTTGAAAATTGACACCCAATTGACTGACTGATGCAATAATCAAATCTAAATCGACATCTAAATCTTGTCTTTTCAATTGTTTTCGACTCATTCCAGCAAGCCAAGCTTTATATGCATCACTGTTTTTTGCAACAACCCGTTGAGAAGAAAACATTTCTATAATTTGAATATTTTTTATCGATGGAAAAAAAGTGGGAAAAGATAAGGAAAAAGTATAGTTCATTGTAAAAAATTGAAATGTCTCGAAAATCTGAAAGTTCGACGATTTCAACAATCAGCGGAAATTTCGTAAGCTATGATATGTGAGTATAATTAGTCTATTAGTATAATTCATTAAAGTGAAACTTTATAGGGAACTTCCTGGTGCTCATTATAATCGATACAAAGAACGCATGATTTGTGGAAAATCTGGAGTTGTTATAGTGGTTTCAGCGATAATTTTAATCGCATTTTTCATTTTACTCGGACTCTTGGCAATTGTTATGTTTCCTATTCTACGACGTAAGTTGAATTTTCGAAAATATTTAGAAAAAATGATTTTAAATACTTTTTTATTTCAGAAAAACAATGAATATCGAACATCAACAATTACATAAACTCAATGTTGAAAAAATATAACTCATAAAAATTGAGAAAACGAATAAAAATGTACATTTTGGGCAAACTTTGTGAAAAATCGAAAAAAAGAAAAATAGAAACAATTAAGATTTGAAATTCCGCTGCTTGTTAGATGTGCATGTTATGTTGTGCCGTTGTGTGCGCAGCGTATGCAGCGCGGTTAAGTTTGAAAATTTTCGTTTTTGTTTTTTTTTTGTCTGTTTCGTCATACCGTTAATCACCTGTGTCTCATCCGTTAATCATAATTTTTGAAGGGTTAATATTGCACCGAAAATGGCTTACGCTTATGGTTTTGGAAGCGGTGACGACACCACCAACACTTATAATCCAAGAGTCCATTTCAAAGTTGCTGAGAAGGAAGGATTCTATTTGGGAGCATCTCAAGATGACTACCGTACTTTGTAAGTTGAATAATAATCTTTTGATTATTTATTAAATTATCGTTGTTCAGGTTTGTTGGAAATTTGGATCCATCGGTAACTGAAGATTTCGTTGCTACGCTCTACAATCAAATTGGTTCTGTTGTCAAGACAAAAATTATTTACGATGTAAGTTTGGTCAGTCAATAATTGAGACTGTCCGATATAATTCGTTATTGCAGCAAACTATTTTTAAAATATTCGGTATGTAATTTTGAATTACTTTTTTCATTTTATTTCGTTTATACGGTTTAATTCAAAAAAGTTTGTCATTTAGCAGGACTGGTGAAGTTATGCTGCATCACGGGAGTGAACTGCATTTGGCGAGATTTTCTAACAACAACCATCTTCACTTATCAGTGTATTATTTATCTTTATTTTAATTTCTTTTCAATTAGTCTAGGGATCAGACATACTGAGAAACGAATAAGTCAATGAAAAATTAAAATGTTTAATTTTTCAGAATGGATTTGACCCATACGCGTTTGTTGAGTTTTCGGACAATGGCCAAGCCACCCAAGCTTTGCAAGCTATGAATAAACGCTCTTTATTGGACAAGGAAATGAAAGTTAGCTGGGTTGCTGAACCAGGACAACATGTATCCAAGCCAGATACCACTAGACATTTCCATGTTTTTGTTGGCGATTTGTCTGCTGAAGTTGACAACAAGATTCTCAAAGAAGCTTTCCAACCATTCGGTGACATTTCTGATGCCAAAGTCATTCGCGATACGAATACCACCAAATCGAAAGGATACGGTTTCGTGTCTTATCCAAAACGCGAAGAAGCTGAAAGAGCTATTGAGCAAATGAATGGACAATGGTTGGGTCGTAGAACTATTCGAACCAATTGGGCCACAAGAAAGCCAGGAGATTCTCAACCACCAGCTCATCCTGAAAAATCGTATGATGAAGTTTTCCATCAAACAGCAACTGATAACACCTCAGTCTATGTCGGAAACATTGGTGCTTTGAGCGGTAAGTTAATAATAAAACTGTAGATATAACTTGAATTATTTGTTTTAGAGGATGAAATCAAGCAAGCTTTCATCAGCTACGGCCGTATCGCCGAAGTCAGAATTTTCAAAGTTCAAGGATACGCTTTCGTTAAATACGAGAACAAAGAATCGGCAACAAAAGCTATTCTCCAAATGAACAATCAAGAAGTCGGAGGTCAAATTGTTCGATGCAGCTGGGGAAAAAACAGCGATGTAAGTTTTAGGAAAATTAACTAGTTGAAAATGAACCAATTTTCAGTCTGGAAAACAAGGAGGTTATGGATACGGATATGGAGGACCAACTGGTGCTAATGCTTCTGGTTACGGTAATAGTCATTCTTATGGTGGAGCTACAGGTGGAAATGCTGCTGCTGGAGGTGCCCAATCAAGCAATGCCAACCAACAATATTGGCAATATTATGCACAATATTACAACAATCCACAATTGATGCAACAATGGAGTAATTATTGGCAACAACAAAGTGGAGCTTCTGGTCAAAATGCTCCAGGAGGAAGTACTGGCCATTAGGTGTGTTTCCCTTTTTTTCTCATTTGATGATTTTTCCCACTTTTTCATTTTTTTTCTCATAATTTGTTTGTTCTTTTTTATTGCTATGACGTTCCATACACATTTCCTTCAATCCAATCAAATCCAACTGTAATAACCTCGTCACATGTAAGAAATTCTGTTGAAACGTATATTTTCATTCTTCTTTGTTTTGTATTTTCTCCACTTTTCAAATTTTTAAATTCCCCTCTACTGGTAGTTTTTGTTTTTGAGAGACCCTACTTTTTATCTGCATACAGAAGAATGAAGAGGTACTATATATTCCAAAGAGATTTATTTCATCATACACGTTTTGTCAATATTTTGTATATACAAAGAGAAAAAAAAACTAAACCAGGATTTTGGGCACATGTGGGGAAAAACTTTTCGATTGATAAAACGAGAAGATGACTAGAAAATGCGGTGAAATCTGAGAATCAGTATAAATATGAAGAAGCAGTTAAAAGATTTTGCCGAAATGTGTTCTATTAATACATTAAATATAGATTTCTATGTTGTAGATTCATCAGTATCAACTTCAGTTATCGTTGATCTCGCAGATGACATTGATCGACAACTTGGATGTTTGTCGAAAAATGAGGATTTCGAAGGTTGTAACAACACTGTAGATATTAGTGTTACACAAAACGCTTCAATCACCGTGAAGAAGTTTTTCCAATCTGAAAAAAAGTTAATTGAAAATGTCACTTGTGTTGATTTTCAAACAACTAACAGAAAGATGTTTCAATTGGTGGCAAAATAGTTCCACACCCAAATGCTCCATAACGTGCAAGAAAATCGAAAATTGGTTGTTGTGTTCCAAAAACCATAAAAAAGAAATCCAAAAGTCGAAAAACGACAACATATCGATATGAAACCAATTCATCCTAGAATTAATTTTGTTTGAAAATTAATAGGATTTAAAAAATCAAACCAACCATTCTGGAAACTGTTGTCACTAAAATATGAGTTCCATAGATTCCGATGAGCAATGAAGGAAGAGTTATAAAATCGAGAACTTTGAGAGGACTATAAATCATATATTTGCATTATCAGAAATTGCAGAACATGAACTTACACTAATCCTTTATCTTGATATTCAAAATAAATAATCAAAGATGCAAATGTGGCAAAAAGACGAACAAATGGCGCTTGTAAAACCATCATTTCACACCAATATATCTTTTTTCCTTCTAATCTCATTTTTGGCAAACATGGAAAAAGACAACAAAATGGCGGAGTTGCAATCTCAATGAATTGCATTCTTTGTGTCATTTTTGTGACCAAAGCATGATGACCATCGAATATTTGAAGAAGAAGACAAATTATAACCCAAAGAGCAAATGAGAAATAAAGAAATGTAATAAGATGAGAAAAGAACCAAACACGTGGCATATACATTGCAACAAGTGCTAATATTGAAACAAGCTGAAAAGAGGGTAGATTTAAAAAGTAAGTTGGAGTTTTTATTAGAAAGTGAACTTACCGGTGCAACACAAGCCAGAATTACTATCAGAATTTTCTTGTGATAATTTGTTATATAAAATGAAATGTATAGAAGATGTAAGATACCAAGACATACTGTAGCAACAGAAACGGCGGTTGCAATTGCAAGTGAAACTATATATGTGGTTGGTAATGCTGAAAAAAACATAACATTTATTATAAATCAAATAATTTGTTGAAGAAGTTCTTTGACCGGGTTCGAGTTGGGAATGATCAGAACCCTGGGAGATACGGAATGTCTCCCTTTCCGCCCATTAAATTTTCATTAAAAAACTCACATCTTAAAAAATCTTTGGAATACGGCACTTCAGTTGCTCCTTGATCTGTGCAATTCAACAATGAATCCGTGAGCAATTTCACCAATGTTTCCCATGGTGATATTTCCAACATTTTTTGCTTGTTAATTGAACTAGAAATAAATGATTTTTTATCCAAATATAATCTAAACACAACGGAAATGAGAACACGTCAACGGCAAAATTAAATTTCCCAGGTGGAATTTTTTTGAGATTGAGAGTGTTTATAGAGAAAAAAATTGAATTACATCATGTTTATTTTCAAAAGTACATACAGTAATTTCCTAATTATTTTTTAATGTTAGAAATTTTTGAGAAAAAAATCAGAAAAATGAGATTTTCAAGATCTGAGCTTAGCTTATCCGCCAAAAAAAATGATAAGCGCCACCTTCTTTGAAATTGTAGTTTTTAAGCTTTTCTCATACATTATTTATTTTCCGAAAAACTTTCTGCGGAGAAAAAATCGGCCACGAATGAACCATTTTCTACTTGTTATTGACACATCTGTTAGTTTTCCAACAACAAAAAAGGGAATTTTTTGCTTTTCGAGAAAAAAAGAAGAGGAAAAAGTTGTTTTCGCGCACGAGACGCAGAGAATGAAAGAAAAATGGGGCCATTCTAACTAAATTCATCCTCGTGAGTTTTTTTTTTTGAAGGAGCATTTGAGAAGAAGAAAAAGAGGAAGACATGAATAAATTGTCGAGTACGGTAGTTTCTTTGTTCGTGCTCATGGAAACGCAAAAAAAATGAAAAAGTATGAATGGCATATTTTTGAATTTTTTGAAAAATTTGGAATACTGTAGATGAATCTTGGAAATCAGTAATTGGTTTTTTTTTTCGAAAATTCGAAGTGACTATATAAAATATGCTAATTCAATTTCCCTATAATCAATTTTTTCTGGGAATTAATTTCTCTAAAAAGTCAAAGTCCATGTTGAAAATTTGCATATTACGGAAATTCACATGTGAATAAGGAAACATCACATTTTTGAATATTAGGGGTACGGTAGGATACAATTATCTTTTGCTTTTTGGTTTTTTGACAGATAAAAAATTCAAACTCATTATTTCCAATGTGATATTAATATTAAATATATCATTTTTTTTTTGAGAAACAATTGTTCTAAAAATCAAAATTCAAAATATTCACACCTGATAAATGATTATTCAATTGCCACGTGGCATTTCACGTTGTTAATAGTTTAAAAAATTCAACTTACATTTATTGTTTTTATCGAAAAGCACGAAGCATTACCTGATTTCAGCAGAAAAAGCTGAAAGCCTTTTATATTCTGAAAATAAAAATATATATAAACAAAAAGTGCACAAATCAGAATAAAAAATGAGAATTTCACACGAAGCAAAAAAACTCGAATTTTTCTTTGAAACAATTGGATGTTTTTGACGAAAATAGTAAAGAAAAACAAATAAAAGGGGCGAATAAAACGGGGAAAAAGAGGTTCTTGTGTAAACTATAGTTCTGTAAATTTCTTCAATGGGTGGTCACGAATATGAAAAGAAAAGACAATGTTTAGAAACAAAAAAGAAAGAGGTCATTTATTGACACAACTTAGGTTAGATAACTGTTGACCAAAAAATGAGTACTTTTAGCAACATTTAAAATATTCGGTTAGATTAATCGAATTAGACATTCAAGACAAAATGCACCTGTCAAAAAAATAACATTTACAATGAGAAAAGAAAGGATTTTATGACTAACCTTATTTCAAAAATTTCAGACTTGGAAAGTGTTCGGTTTTTTCTTGATTCATAAAATAATTTATCATAAGTATACATAATAAATCAAAAATGATTCTCATTTGAGAAAAAAACGAGAAAAATGTGGAACAATTGATGATCATCTCGCTTTTAATTAGATTAGAAAAAAAACGCGAAGGTTGATATTTTTGCCGGAAATTAAACAAATATCTCTTAATCGATGGGAAAAGTTCAGAAATTATATTACTTAACAACAAAAATAACATATTGTTTTTGTTATTTTTTTCGCGTGGCAAAATACCATGTGATGGCCTTGAGTATTTGATTTTTCATCACTTTTTTCTACTTTGATACGGTCGGATCATTTTTTTTCAAGGCTGGGAAAATATTCAAACAATTTTGGAATGTTTCAAGGAACCTCGACAAAATAAAAATATTTTTCTCACATTTTTTTGATGATTCAAAAATTGGCGAAGCGAAAGAAGTGAATATTTTCACAACAAAAATGCAAATTTTTTTTCATGATGACAAAATCGAGAAAAAATTGGATAGAAGAAGAAAAAGAAAACGGTTGCTAAGAGTAACTTCTTTTCATTTTTTTCTGTATTTTTGGCTCTCATAATTTGAATACAATAGAGACGCAGAGAAAAAACAAAACAATGAAAAAATTGGGGGTCAAGGAGAATTGTTGTATGCAAATTGTTGAGTTTTGGAAGAAAAAACAACAAAGAAAAAGAAGAAGAAGATATTTTGAAATTCGAATTGAAAATTTTTATGAGATTCTGAGAAACTCAAATAATTTTTTCCCGGGTCCCATAAAAAATTGTTTTATTTTCCTAGGAAATCATCTACAGTACCACCCTCACAATAAAATTGGAATTGATGGCAAAAAATACGAGAAAACATTAATTTTATGGGAAAATTGTTTTCGTGTTCGATGTTTTTTTGATTTGAAATGAAAATAAAAATTGGAAATGAAACGAAAAAATTCAAAAATTTATGAAAAAGCTAAAGAGAGACAGATAAAATGCAAAAATGAATGGGAGATTGAGGAAAATCTAAAGTAGCCAGTGAGAGAAAATAGAAATTGAGGAGAGTCTAGAGAAAAATAAGAAATGAAGAGAAAGAAAATGACCAATTGAAATGAGGATTCATGAGATTTATTTTTGTTGTTCTTCTTTTTTTGAGGGAGGAATGTGTGAGAAGACAACTAATTATTCTTTCTTTTTTTTGGTAACATTCCAAAGATTCCGAAAAGTTGCGCAAAAAGAAAAAAACAGGTCGATGAGATAATTTTTCGGTTTTCGAAACATTTTCAGAATAAACGGGATACTGTAGATTCAATTTTTGGAAACAAACAATTATTCAAAATATGCTAATTTCATTTTCCCGTAATCAATTTTTTCGGGGAAATAATTTTTGGCAAAATCAGAACTCATGATCTATAAATTTTCAAAAATTATTGCTTGGGCTAAAAAAATGAAATGATTTCTTGATTTCCACGTGGAAATTCAGTGCTAATTTTTCAATTCGAAAGGGAACTTTTCTCGAAACCATCGAATAAATTGAGAAACATCATTGAATATAAAACGTAATATATTTTCTCTGGAACTGAAAATCAATGACCATTTCATTCACCCGAAAATTGAATACAATGGAAAGTGTGAGAGTGTCTCTGTGTGTTTGTATGTTTGGAAACAAAAAAGTATACGCAGCACTCAAAAATTGTATAAGGCAGACCGGTTTTCATTGGAATGCTATAATGGCCAACAGATGACGCCAAGAACATTTTTGACTGTCAAAAATTATGCGATGCAAATCTGGATACTTTCGAAATGGGCTAGTTTTAAATAACTTAATTGTTACGTGGACTTTATTGAGTCATTTCTCGAGACAATCTAGTTTTATGACTCATTATTAAATATGAATTGAGAAAAAAGAAAGAATAAAATGAGTTGTTATATATTTTGACGGAATGAATACCAGAAACTGTATCAATCGACAAAAAAGGTGCAAAAAATAAACAAACAAAAAATATATTTGTGTGTTTTTATGATTCTGACGAGAGAGAAAAAACACTACGACGACATTGAAAATTTTTATGATGATTCATCAATGGAAATAATAAGTGCTACACTTGAATATTCGGAAAATGACCTTCTTTCGAGAATTATGAAGACTTAGAGATGGCATAAGTTTGAAAGAAAAGAATTTTATTTTTTGGTAGGAAGTCAATAAGTATTACACATAGTTATTGTCCTTGACCATCAAAATAAAAAAAAATGATAAAATCAATTTTTTTGAAACTGAAGAGTGCTTTACGCTTGGATGGAAAGAAAGAATTTCATATTTCGAAATGAGAAAAAAGAATAACCGGATTAGATTTCAAAATTAGATAATATCAACGAACTTTTTTATTAAACATGTTCACTTTAAATAAAATTGATTCATTCAAAGTTTAAAACAAAAAGAGATCCGGCGAGAAAAAAAATCATCTAGAAAAATGCGGTTTCAAAAATATATAAAGTGAAAATGAGCAGAGAAAATGAAAGAAGCTGTCAAGTAAAAAACATTCCTAATTTTTTTTTTCAAAAAAAATGTGCATTTGAAGATAGAAAGAAAGAAAAACATGGATGAATTGAATTATCACAGGATGGATGTTGAAAAATAATAACATCGAAGAGTTTCAAGGAGCTAAACATCGGTTACTGTAGGTGTGTGGGTTATAACAAGAGGACCATCTTCTGCAAGTGGCATTGCTGGTGGAAGAGCCACTATTGAGGATGGTGGAAGTGCAGACTAAACAATTAAATTTTCATTTTTATATTCATTATTTCGATAATTTTTCAAAATACCTCTGAACAGCAAGGTTTCCTTGGAGGAGGTGGTGGTTTTGTTGAACAAGATGCACCAGAATGGTTTGACACATGGTCTACAGAACCTTTTTCTTGACTTTGACTCTGACTTCGAAGCCGGGCTAAACTTCTATCAACTCGATCAATATCTTTTTCAGCACCTCTGCAAAAATATCTCTATGTTCTGTCTAAATTTCGATGACTAATTTCCAACCTCAGGATTTTATCAGGTTGTCGACGATTCAATGTTGCTTGAGGTGTTATATCTCCAAGCTCAGCAGCCGCGTGAACTAAAGGAGTTGGAACACCGCCAGGTGGTGCAAACGAAGCTGAAAATACTTATGTAATCTGAGATATTCGAAGTGAGAAAAAATAATTGTAAAGTCTCACTTGAAGGTGTTTGAATATCAATTGTTGAAGCGATTGAAGATCGAACTGAAATATTATCCGATAGAACAGCTCGACATCGACATTTTGGACAAGTTTGATCAGATCTTTGCATTAAATAAGTATGCAGACATTTTTCATGGAAAATATGTGAACATCGAAGAGCTTGCAAACTTTCGTCTTTCAAACCGTATCGTTGTCCACAGAAATTACAAAATAATTGCATTTCTTGTGTCAATCGACTGGCTGCACGTCTTGCTGTTTCTTCAGAATCATCATCATTTAATTGCGAATATAATTCAGCCAATCGAAGATGACATTTCAATACAACATGCTGAAAAAATAAGTTTATCCCATTTCGAAAAATCCTCTCAACTTACTTTACATCCAATTTGATTAGCAATTTCAATACATTTTTTATTCAATTGTATCGCCTGACATTCGCATTGTCCAGTATAATGAGATCGACTCTCCGATGCAGATTTCGCCATTGAAGAAAGAACTAATACTTCACCCATACGATCATTAGATCCTCGCATAACTCGATAAGCATCTTCATATCTTGCCCAGGATTTCTGAAGAAAATATTAAAAAATAAAGTTGAATCAAATGAAATAATTGAAAACTTACAGTAATAGTTTCCTTTGCTTCACTTTCTCCTAATTCTCGATAAATATCAGCCAAACTACACATACATCTTGCATGAATTGCTCGATTTCCCATTTCAGTTGCTAATTGCGATGCTTCATCACACGCTTCTTTTGCATCAACTAAACTTCCTTTTTATTCGAAGTGCAACTGATAAATGATAAAGGATCAAACAACGATATTTCGCATGAACATCATCTACAGTAACACTTTGAACAATTGCTAGAGCATTTCTCAAAAATATAAGAGCTTTTGTAATATCTCGAAGAAGTGTAAAAAGAGAGCCGAGACCAACACATATTTGAAGTTCAAGTAATCGATCAGATGTTTCATTTGCAACATTCATTGCAGATTCAAAACATTCTAAACATTGTTGGAATTGTGACATTCCAAGATGTGCTAATGCTATCGCTGAAAATAAACAAATATTATAATTTGCATTGGATTTTTGTTGAACTCACTTAAATGTGCATATCCAGGTGTTCGTGGATCCATTGATGGATGTTCTAGAGAAGCTTTACCATATTGTAACGCTTTTGTAAAATCAGCGAGTCGTTCATATGCTTTTGCAAGATTCAAAAATGCTTCACACTTCATTGCGGAATCATTTTGATCAGTTGCCAATTGCATTTGAGCCAGAGCATATGATAGCATACCTTCATATTCTCCCTGATCACAAAGTGCTTGAGCCAAATAACCGAGAGTTATGAAACGGTCTTCGACATTACTGGAAAGAAAGAGGAGGGAAGGTGAATTAGTGATGAATTGTGATACTTACTTTAGCCTATTTAATGACTGTCTCCATTTATTGATTGCTTGTGCGTAATGTCTTTGATGATACAATTTGACGCCAGACTGAAGCAATTGTATTGAATAAGGGGTGAAAAACGGGGAGCGTCTCTAATTGAACAGGAAAAAACCCGGTAATCCTATTTTTTTTTGATACAGAGTTTTTTCCTAGACATTGTTTTTGGAATTATACTTTTTCGAAAATTCTCTTCCATTTGAAATAATTCATCTCACTCATCTAAACAAGTGTTCGGTGTTCAAACTCACTTGCATATGTTGCTTGGCTTGTCGCTGTCCCATTGATCGTCGTTTTGAGATGATACTGATAGTGAAGTTGTCGCGACACACAAAAACACCCATTGACCTGAAAATGATCAATTTGTTCGATGAATTATTTATTGAAGTTCAAACCAACCTTCGAACCAAATCTAATGAACATTCAGGCTAAAGATATTTGTTGATAGCGCAATTTTAGTTTCTACTCGATATTTCCGTTTTCTTCTCCTATCGCATCTGTGAAATCAGTATAGATGTCAAAAGTAGATAGATCAAAGCAACGAAAAAAAAAATGAAGAGTAAAAGTTGAGCAAAAAAATAAAGAAAAACATTTGGTGTGTGTGTTGAGATAATAAATGTTGCGAGAAAAAGATATGTGATGATATATCGCGTGTGCTCTGAAAGGTGATCAATCCATCAAACTAATTTTTTGGTGTTAAGACACGAATGCCTCAATTTTTATTTATCAACACTATCAAGTTTATTTCTCCAAAATTTATTTGAGCTACAGTACTCAAAAATTTCAAGATCAATAGAAGAGTTTCTAAAAGCACAAAATGTGCAATTCTCCAAAAAAAAAATGCGAACGAGTTCGCTTGGAAAGCGAAAAAATTGGGCACAAATCGATGTCTCTTGGGAAATGCACTGGTTTTGAACAAAGTTTTCAAGAAGAAAGCGAAATGAAGAAGAAATAGAATTTTGGGGGTAAATTGACAATAAATTAAATTTCAATGTATCTACAAATAATTCAAAAAACAGGTGCTTCCTTGGGGAATTTTCGATGAAAAAAGTGCACGGGAACAACGATGATGAGCACAAAAATCGAAATGAATGAGTGAGAAAATATTACAGCAATAGCAGCAAAAAATCTACTTGAAAAAAAAGAAAAAGTGAGAAAAAAGAGATAAAAGTTTTGAGAGAGCAGATGAGCTGTTGATTAATTGGATCATGAAAAATGTATTTGCTAATGAATGTCTGGCTGTAAAATGATATCGCAAAACATTAGAAAAACTTTGAAATTTTGAAACGAAAAAGATTGGTCGTCTCTTGTCAAAAAGCGCCTAGATTATATGTGCACATGTTTTGAGCCCAAAAGACATTTATGGTTTATTCTTGATTTATGAGTGACAGCTTATATGCACACACAAAATATATTCTTTTCCGATTCTTCCGATACAATACTTTTATTTTCAAGAAAAGTGCAGAATTCTCACATTTATTATCTTATAGAATTAATAGGCAAATCATCAGAACGCGTTGAGTAAAAAAACAACAAAAAAAATGATGATTGACAGGGAAACATTTTTCGTGAAAAAAAGAGTTGCAACGAAAAAATTGTAAAAAAAATGAAGGGTTGGGGTGGATTAGATGTTCTCAGTAAATTGGATTTAGAAAAAAGTTTCAAATTGAAAAGTCTTCAGATGAACATCAATGAACTAGACCAAGAAGATCTAGATGACCATCAGACAATTATTTCAGGATCCTAGCTCTATTTTTTTAGTTTTTCAAATTTTGGTCTCATAACTTAACAAAAAAGGATTCTTTAAAAATACAGTACCCATCCTTCATTACTTTTAGAAAAAACATAACAAAACAATATTTCAGCTTGTTTATTCCCAAATTGTATTGTTTATTTATTATTAGAAGAAGAAGAAGAAGAGAAAAGAAAGACATCAGCAGCAAAACAAAAATTCCGGAAAAATGAAGTGGTAAGTATGTGAAGCTGAGGAAAATGCGAAGGAAAGGAGCAGAAAAAAAGCACACGGATGAAGGGGTCTTTCACTGAAGCAAAACGAAATAGTATTTGAATATGAAGAGACGACAGAGACAATCGATATACGAGAAAAAAAGGAAAAAAGAGAGAAAAATGATGAGAAATGTGGTCCCGATGATTTTCTTTTTTATTTTTGAAAAAGCTCAAATGGAATGAAATAAAATGAAAAATGAGTTCCGAAAATATTTTAATGTCAAATCCTTTTTGCTTTTGATGCTCTGGTCAAATATATATTATACCAGTTGTAGTCTTTTTGATGCAAAAAAACGAAAATCGGCGCGCACCCTAAATTCAATTTTTGCTGGCGAGAAGAATTGAACTAAGTGCCTTCTCTTCTTTTCTTGGTCCAAACCAAACCAGACAACAATTTTTTATCTTGTTAAACAAGGAAAACATGAAACCTTTGCGAAGAAGACGATAAATAATGAAATCAACAGAAGTTCTCATTAAAAAGAGAGTTGAGAGAAAAGAAAAAAGAAATAAGCCTTGTATATCATATATCAATCGCGTGAAATATGAGAATATTTGAAGCAGAAAATCTGAGCAGAAAGAGGAAAATTTGAAACTTTTTCTGGCTTGAAAAAAATGAAGCTGTAGTTCTATTAAATTTAAAACGTTAAATTTAAAAAAAATCTGAATGTTGTGTATATATTTGTGGAAATTCACTGGTTTACATGACGAGTGTAATTTTTATGACTTATAAATAAACTTATTATTATTATTAAAATTACAGTAACCTGAAAAAATTTATCGGACGCGGAGAATTTATGAAATCGACCTTACAAAGTTCCATGAATTTTATAGAATCGGTTGCACTAAAATGTATCTGAACAATTATTTCTTATTTGAGATCGCATTATTGATTCGATGAAGTATGTTTCAAGTGTAATTTTCAGTAAGTTTCTCAAAAATGATCAATTGGCCTAAAAGTTTTTGTGATCACAGACCACTATATATCATGAAAATAACAAAAACTGGAAATAGGCGATAAGCCACACCCATTTTACATGTTAAGCATTGCTCCTCGCACAACCCGCGAAATGTAGGTTTCTCGAATTATATAAGTTCCATAGAACATTTAATGTTTTTAATGATATTAGACATTTTAATGCGATGCTTCTTTTTTTTCAGTCATTACCATTTTACGCCGATTTTACACGTTAAAGGTGGATCCCGAGCAAAAATTAAGTTGTGCTTATTTGAAAGAGCATGTTCTAATTAGTACAATCCTAGAAGGATTTTTCTGGAAGCTTCTCAAACATTAAATCCAAGCTACAGGACTTATGGACTTTTACACTTTTACAGCCATCTTACACGGTATTTCACTGATTTTTCAAACTTTGTAATTTTTAAGCACAACTTAATTTTTTCACGGACTCCACTTTTAAACATTGAAATGCACGTTTCTTGAATTATATAAGTTAGTGCGCTTGATATTGTGTGTATTTCGCATAACAAGATGAAAATAAAACTGTTTTCATTATATTTTTTCCTTAAAATATCAGAAACGCTCACAAAAAAACTCACATTGCAAAGTGGGCGGAGCTTCGCAACACACAAACGATAGCGCTCGGTCAAACCAGCGAAGTGTCGCACTACAAACAGATAGACACTGAAGAGAAGAGAAGAAAAGGCGGCAGTGATGACAACTAATCCGTGTTTCTGACGAGAGATTGACGATACCCATTTTGGGTCTGAGCCAATGAATTAATTGGAAAATGACTTCCGGAATTTAAATTGAACTTTTTATTTTTGTTCAAGCGATCATTAAAGTGCTCCATTTCTATTATCAATGAAAAATGTGGCAGCCCGTAACACATGTTCAAATGGGGGAGCCTAATATACAGACATTTAACTAAGCCTGAGCTCAAAATACGGACTTCTAAAGTCAAAAAATGATTTTCAACTTTCCTGTCATTTATAACTTAGGCTTAGTGAACAAACAAATCATTCAAGTCCTCATTCGAAAAAAAATCCTGGCAAAATTTCCATGCGAATAATAACGAACCTCTAGGGCTTATTTTCGGGAGAAATAATATTCTTACGACTTTTTTAAGTTGGAATGGATTGGTGAACCCCGTTGATTACAAAGAAATATTGCATTTATTTGTATTTATTTATAAAGCACATAGAAAAAAATGAGAAAAATTTGCTTTTGACGTGAAATTACGACCGAAACTCTCTGACCGCACGCTGACCCTCGACTCCGCCCTCTTTTTCTCTCTCAAAACTGCAATTTTGCGGCGCACTTTTTATTTTCCTTTGAAAAATGTTCGAATTCTAGAACATTCTTCTGCGTCTCTCACCCCTTTTCCGCCTGCGTATTTGAATCTGCAAACACTGCACAGCAGCAAAAAATGTTTTATTTTTTTCCATGTGATAAAGTGGAAGAGAAATCCATCAAAACACAACTGATAAACTTGATGAAAAAAAAAACACTGGGACAGATGAACAAAACGAAGATGAATTTTGTAGATTGTCAGAAAAATTGCCTTGCGAAATGGGAAATGAGTGAAGATCCACACCATTTTAGTCTGATTAATAAAACAGCAACGACAAAACACACAAATTTTTGAGTGAGTGCGAGACATGCAATTTTTATCAATCTCAGAAAACGTCTCGTCAGCTGTCCGCGAGGTTGCGAGCTATCGAAAGCTAGCAGAGGCATTTCGACAGCTCGCCGCGAGGTTGCTAGCTGGCAGAACCTAGCAGGCGCTGTCTGCGAGCTAGCAAACTGACAAATTAGTATCAGAATTCGACGGCCGTCTGCCGGCTCGCGGACGGTTGACTTGGTTTTGTTTTTCGAAAATTTTTCATTCGCGTATTTTTTTTTGTTTTTTCATGAATTTGAATGTAACTTGTTGTTAAATTCATATTTACCTTTTTTCCTAGAACAAGTAATATAATTTCAGTTGATTATTGATAGTTTTATACAAAAACTGGTGCTCAAAAAGCTATTTTATGGAAAAATGTACTTTCTTGAGTTTCATTACTTTTGGTTTACTTTATATAATTTGCTAATTTCTATATTACAGGAAAAGCGTCAGAGAAATGGTGGAAATATCGGAAAAATTAACGAGGAAAAGTTTGGTCAAATGAGTCTCAAGAAAATCCTATACCATCAAGTTTAATTCAAAGCTTCACCTGATGATTTAAACATAATTATTTTGAACAAAAACTTTACCCAATATGTTCCAATGAAGCTCTAATCTCACATATTAGTTTTGCTCCCCCCCAAACCTCAAAATAAACTAACTTGACTGGCCCGTTCCGTGAAAAGTTGTTGATATCTTTGAATTTCCTGTCCAAACGAAACATCTTCTTCTTCGAAAGCCTGAAACTTCTACATAAGAAAATTAAAAAATGTACCAATTAATAACACTTACAAGGGAAATGCATGAGAGTAGGTGTTGAACTTTTTGTGCAATTTGGTACACATATAGATTCGAACCCGCTGATCTTGAATCTGTTTTCAAAAATTGCCACAAATGCACCCAAATGGTGTTTTTCGCCATCAAAAAATCACCATTTTTTTTCTTCGTTTCATATATCAAACATTTGCAGCGAGGAAAAACAGGAGCGCGTAGCCGAGTGGTAAACACGCACGTCTCTTAAATTTTAGGTCATGGGTTCGATCCCGCGCCGAGGCAAACTTTTTTTTTTTCAATTTTTTTTTTCAAATGCATTTATGAAACGTTTGAAACGTGAAAAAACGTAGCGTCCAACGTAATTTTTTTTTGTTTTGTCATCATTTTGTTTTTTTTTCTGAATTTTCGTCAAAATGTTACCTTCGGGACAAATTCTGAACTTTATCACTGATCATTTTAATGAAAATCCGAAAAAATTATGTCTCCCAAGAGAACTCCAAAAAATTGCCAATGGAATCATAGATATATTACATGGCGCTGATGTTGATGAAATTACAGTTGAAGCCGAGGAAATTTTGGAACAAGTCGAAGATGAAGCTCCGGATTCAGGTGGGTTTATCCAAAGATTTTTACCCAAAATTTTGACAAAAATTCCAGATTGGGATCCGCTTACTCCTGATGTTTTTGATCAGAATTTGGGAACTTGTGCATCAATGGTCAGATTTGGAGAAAAGTTAGTGAATGTTGCGCAAGTTCAAAAGGCGGTTGATTTTTATTTTGGAAAAACAAAAACCAATAATAATGGAAGTATCAAGAAACCTAGCCTGGAAACGATGAAGAAAAACTTCCGCTTCATATCAAGTGGGAATCATCTGGATAAACTTCGAGAATTTCAACGACTCGGTAAATTTTTTATTGAATTTTTATTTCTGACAAAAGTATTTTCAAGGTGAAATTCGAACGGATAGACGGAATGATCTTCATTTCATATCGAAGAAACTTCTGAAAATTGTTAGAGAATTAATGGAGTCTGGAAATGTTCTCCATGATCGGGATCTTCAAAACATGGCGCATAAAATTAAAAAGAACCACGGAATTCAAGCCGATTTCAAATTCGGTCTTGGTTGGATTAATTGTTGGAAACGAGCAAACCGAATTTCTTCACGAAGAATTACAAAATTCGTTGCAGAAAGAAGGCATTTGAATCGGGATCAACTTGAAAAAAATTCGGAAGATTTTGTCAGAACAGCGGTCAACAAAATGAGTAATTATACAAAAAAACAAGTCGTAAATATGGACCAAAGTGGTTTTCAACTGGAAATGTATGGGAAACGAACATTGGCTGAAACAGGTTTAAAAAAAGTTGAAGTCGTTGTCAAATCACTTTCAGCAACGACACACAGTTGCACAATTCTTCCAATTCTGACAGCTGACGGCGACTTCTTCCCATTTTTGTTCGTGGTTCTCCAAGAACAAGGCGGTAAATTTCCCTTGAAGGGACATTTCAACGCCTACAATTTGATTGTTCGAGCCCATACCTCCCATATTATGACAAAAAAGCTGATGATCGAATTTTTCAAGCACTGCGTCTTTGTTCCGGGGTCTCCCGACAAATTCCTTTTTTATCATTGATTCGTGGACAAGTTGGAGAGATACTGATGCTATAAATAGTGTGAAACCAGCAAACAAACAGTTCGAGACTTTGGTTATCCCTGCTGGATGCACAGGCAAAATTCAGCCACTTGATGTTGGAATTTTTTTCCACTTCAAAAAAATCCAGAAAGAATTCATTGCTTTTGCGCAGCGAGAATGCCCAGATTTCATTCCACATCGTAGAGATAATTTGTTGAAGGTGAAAAAATGCGATGTTCAATCAACTTGAATCAATAGTTTTTTCCCAGGTCCTGTCTTTGATCTACAGTCAGTTGTCCCATCCAATCCTCCGTCAATGGCGTCTTTATGCGTGGCATGCTGGTGGTTATGAAACTAATCATCCGGCTCATTTCGAAACGCCTTTCAATCTTCTTTTCCCAATGGATGTTAATCAAACTTGCTATATAAATGGGTGCACAAATTCCACTTTCATTAAGTGTTTATATTGTGATCAATTCTATTGTTTCCATGATTTTGTTGTTTGTTATCATAAATGCATTTGAAAAAAAAAAATTGAAAAAAAAAGTTTGCCTCGGAGCGGGATCGAACCCATGACCTAAAATTTAAGAGACGTGCGTGTTTACCACTCGGCTACGCGCTCCTGTTTTTCCTCGCTGCAAATGTTTGATATATGAAACGAAGAAAAAAATGGTGATTTTTTGATGGCGAAAAACACCATTTGGGTGCATTTGTGGCAATTTTTGAAAACAGATTCAAGATCAGCGGGTTCGAATCTATATGTGTACCAAATTGCACAAAAAGTTCAACACCTACCCTCATGCACTTCCCTTGTTAGTGCGCTGAAAAAAACACTGAAAAACCCGAAAAAAAAACAAAAAATAAAAATGTCGTGCGAAAAAAATAAAAACAAAACAGCGATACTCCGCCTGCGCGTTGTTTAGCGTATTTATTTTGTTTTTTTGCAGGGTAGATGAGAGAGTGTGGGAAATGGAGAGAGGGTTAGAGAGAGAGAGAGAGAGAGAAATATGTTTTTTATTTGAAAAGAAACAATTGATTGAACGTTTTTTTTTGTTTTTTTTTCAAACTGAATCACCCCCCTCTTTACCAAATTTAAATTGGATTTAGTACATTTTTTTAATTGTCTTTTTTTTTAGAGACAACCATCACAGAATGCAGGGATCCCATAAAATCCACAATTGCCATTTTCTGATGTAAGTTTAAGAATAGGCGAAAATGTTGAAAAAAAGAATGTAGATGTTTCAGGCTTTCGAAAAAGAAGATGTTTTGTTTGGACAGGACATTCAAAGTGATCAACAACTTTTCACGGAAAGGACCAGTCAAGTTAGTTTATTTTGAGGTTTGGGGGAGGGGGAGAGGGGAGCAAAACTAACATGTGAGATTTGAGCTTCATTGGAACATATTGGGTTAAGTTTTTGTTCAAAATAATTATGCTTAAATAATCAGGTGAAGCTTTGAATTACACTTGATGGTATAGGATTTTCTAATTGAAAAATATTATTTTCCTGCCTGTAGATCAGCTTCCAGATTTCATTGAAGTATTTGAAACTTCGAAAAACAAACTATGAAATATTTCATAGTTTTATGCACGCGATTTCCAGTTTTTAATTTATTTTTTTTGTTTTATAATCTCTGTCTCATTAAACTTCACAAATTCTATTTCCAGACGTAACAGTCTCCCTGTTTAAAAGAAATCTTTTTTTTGTCTTTCTCAGACTAGGGGCTGTGCCCCCAGTCTCCCTTTTCGAAAATGCTTTTCCTCAATTCTTGTTTCAGAGACACGATAAACTCAACTTGTTTTTTACTAAATCATTTTTAAAACACGCAAAAATTAGTATTTTGAACTATTCTTATGTGAAAATCTAGGTTTTTTGACCGTTTCGGAAGATCTGACTAAAAATTTCAAAATTTACCTTTTTTCCAGACATTGTCTTTTGACAAACTATAATCAAAGAATAAAAGGCTAAATAGATCTGAAAAATAAAATAACATGGTTTTGAAAGTGTTTTGTCAAATAAAAACTCAACTCATAGATTCAGGCTGTGCGTAGCATCGAGCCGCATTTTTGTCGCTATAATTTGTTGTCACCCTGTAAATAATTAGATAATTACAAAAAATAATTATATAGAAGTTTTATTAATTTTTATTACAAAAATGCAATTATTATTATTATTAAAGGACCCTTAAAGTGAGTGGTTTTTGGATCAATACAGATCATTTGGAGGTAAAGTTCAACGAGAAAACTATTGTGTCATATGGCGATACTTTTTCAAGTGATAATATCCTCCATTATTTTTGTTGTCGTGGCGCTCATCGGAAAATGCTTCTCCATTACCGTAACCGTCATTTTGGTCAGCAGCAATTGAAGATGGACGAGAACCAGCACTTGGCTCGTAGCTTCCACCAGTTGCTGGGACAGCGACCTAAAATTATATATTTAGGTAATTTTTCAAAACCAACTGATTATTCTCACATTATCTCTTGGTGCTGGAATTCTTCCCTTCTCATCATTAATAACAACTTCAGTATCTTGACAAACACATGTTCCTGGTGTTCCAGATGGTCCTTGTTCTCCAGATGGTCCAACTGGTCCAGGTAATCCCATTGGTCCGGGTGCTCCTGGCGGTCCTGGCCATCCTTTCTCTCCTGGTGTTCCAGAATATCCATCTTCTCCAGGCATACCAGATGATCCTGGTGGTCCCCACGGTCCAGGTGGTCCAGCATCTCCTGGTGGTCCAGGAATAACATGTGCTTCAGGTGTTCTTCCTTTATCTCCAATCGGTCCAGCTTCTCCTGGTGGCCCATGTGGCCCAGGTGGTCCAGGCTCTCCTGGTTTTCCAGGAAGTCCGTCAGATCCTGGTCTACCAGAAATACCAGCCTCTCCAGAATCTCCAGGGAATCCTGGATGTCCTGGAACTCCACGTGGTCCTTGTGGACACGGCAAACATGGTGGTGGTTCAAATACACGTTCTGGGATACAAGTGGCATTTGGTGTAGTTCCGGGGCGACCTGGAGCTCCATCAGGCCCAGGTGATCCAGGAATTGCTGGAAGTCCAGAATCTCCAGGTGGTCCACGTTCTCCAGGAATACAACAAGCTGAAATTGAAGATTATAGTTTGAGAAAGCGATGATTTAGTTTTACCTGGGCATTCTTGGAATTGTGGTGATTCATTAGCCAACATTGATGGATTATAATGGCCATATCCAGCAGCACGTTTTGATGTTCCATTTCTTCCTTTCAAAATTTGTTCACGCATTGAACTCATCTCGTTTTCCAAATCTTCGACAGAATTCTTCAAAAATATTTTTTAAATAAAGATCCACATTTGAACAACTAACCTGACAGAATGTAAAATCTTTTCTTGAAAACCTCGAAATATTGTCTACATAATTATACATTGATGGAACAAAAAGAATCAAAACTAATAGGGAAGAAATTGAAATAACTCCAGAGATTGTTATAATAACACGATAACCTTTTTCTCGGATCTCATTGAGATCTTCATCATCTCGTGTGCTTTTCATATGAACCTGTAATTAAAGAAATCTATGTTGAGTTTTCAAATAAAAATTGATATTTACAACAAAATTAAGTATAATGACGAGATGAGTATCTACTAAACAAAAGATAGGAGAAAAATAGAGAAAATAATGTAGGTGAAGTGAAATGCGGAGATATGCGCAAATTTGGGTCATCAGGTACTATTTTCTCTCAATATTTCTCCGGAGAAAAGGATTTCACCCCGAAAGTCGGTTGGAATGAGATAACAAGTGATAGGCGGATGAGATGAATTGAATACAACAATGTGATGTGATGATAATGTTGTTGTTAAACAGTTTTTGAAACACAACTTTCGGTTTTTTTTCTGTTTCTTTTTTTCGAGACTTTCATTTTGGAATGTTTTAGTGGAAAAGAAGAGAAACTTCAGGAAATCCTCTTCGTTCAAATCTAAATTTGAAAATGGAACGACGACGGAGAACTAAGACATTCAAATTGGGGAAGTTTAGTTTGTCGAACTCAAATTTCAGGATGCCTGAACCGGCCAACTCCCAAAAGATGATCAACTTTTTGTCGATGCAAAAATTCGTACACCGAATCAAACATCTATTCTCATGGTCTCACCCGATTAAGGTCATCCTGGCTCAGACATCTCTAAAAGTACATTCAATTCCTCAATTTTTATTGGAAAATCCAGAACTTTCAATTCAATTCGATACATCTATTCTATTGACAAAATTTCTAACTACAGTAAGCTTCATAAAAAGTTTTAGCCGAATCTTCGAATCTCCGAAAATCGCTGTTTTTCAATTTTCAAAAATCTGCATTTTCTAGATCCCTTTTTCATTCCACTCTTTTTTGTTCATCTTCTTAAAACCCGCCTGGATCATATAAATCAATTCGAATTGTATCATCATCAATCCGCAAAAAACTTTCGATCATCATCGAGAAAAAAAAATGATAACACAGGTCAAGGTCCTTCAAAAAAGGATAAGCAGAAACAGCAGAAAAAAGAGATTCATCCAGAAAAATTTAAAGAGAATAGAAAAGAGAGTTCAAGTTTTTGGGAACATTCTCTCGTCGTCGTGCAAATCACTTGGTTGCGATAAATGAGTTTTCTTGTTGTAGTATTCGAGAACAAAATTGCCGTAGTTGTCATTGATCTTTGCTGAAAAAACAAGGAATTGAAACCTGGAAATACAGTTTCAACTCACAAAGAGTTCCCTGTCCAACATATTTCCATGGTCCTTTCAAATAAACATGAAGATTCGCGATTGGAACACCGTGAGAAATAATGATAAGATGTCCCTCTGGAAACTTTTCGGTAACACCTTTCAATGTTTTCACAACACGTTCTCCACATCCAAGATCTCCAACTTCTTGAGGAATCTTATCATAAACTGGCTTGTATTCTTCATCGATACGAGTTGACAAGGCTCTACAAAAACATGAGTAATCAGAATTAAACTAACTCAAGTTAAGATCTCACTTGATAGTTTCCATACTTGGAATTGATGGTGGATCCATGCAAGCATTAAGTGGCTCCATAAATCCAGGCTCAATGCAAATTTTTGGTTTGTTTTCCATCATTGCTACAATTTCGACAGCAGTTTCAACACATCGAATAAAAGGAGAACAAATAATACGCTCAATATTTATATTGTGGAATGAGCGACCAACTTCGAAAGCTTGTTTTTTTCCGCGAACTCTGAAATTCACTTCTCTGTCAGATTCTTTTTTCAGATTCTGAGGTTCTAAACTTACGTTAGTTCTGGATCATCCCATTTGTTTGGATTCTTCTCTTTCCATTTTTTGTCTACATTATCGACACGTTCCCCATGGCGAACCAACCAAATTGAGCGTTTTTCTTTTTGAGCCATTCCTAGAACTGATTTATTTTCAAACTAAATTCTCTCACAGGTCATGTTTCACGTTTTTTGCAAAAAAAAGTTGAGGTCACGATTTAAATATTTCAACAAATTAATTTATTGAATGGCACAACATAACGAACAAGATTATTCAATTGATTATTTCTCGACGTCAACTTCTGGAGTGACTTTTTGAGAAAATTCAGGTTTTGTATAATCGGCTGCTTCGACGGATGCAAAAAATGGAAATGGAACATTCATAACAACAACCCAGATTCCAACAACGATAAAAAAACGAGACCATTGTTCAGGTAGATTATCAGGACACATAAAACTAACAACAATTGGAAGAATGAAAACAGCAATCCAGGCTGAAAATGAAATTACAGCCATTACAAAATGCACGTGATGACGAGCTCGCTAAAAATTAATAAAACTTTGAGGATAAAAACAAGAAATCAAATACCAATTGAGCACATTTAACAACTCCAACAACATTCACACCAAGCATAACAATTGACCAAGTATAGGCAATTTGTGCAACAATACGAGTGTTAGTCTGAAAATCAGAAAGCTTTGATCTACTCTAAGAAATAAAAATTACCAAAGCCATGACAAAATATCCAATTGCAACTCCACCTTGAGAAACTGCAGCAAAAAACACAACTCGCCACTGAAAAAGTATTCTTTGGATTTCATTTTTTTGAACCAAGAAAACTTACAACATCTGGAATAAAAGTCAGTGCATCTGAAAGTGGCCCACATATGAATTTGACAAGAGCAGCCAAAATATAAGGAATCGCATTACTGAATCCAGTTTCTTTTACATCCAAATGTAAAACTTTGTTTAAATATGTTGGACCATAAATAATTAAGCACATCATTGAAAGATTTCCTCCAACTGCAGTTAGCCAAACAGAAAGTACTACTTTATCTTTACAAATGGCTAAATATGGCACAGATTTTGCATTATTTTCCACTCTTCCATTGTCAATTATCGCCAACTCTTTTTTGCTCACATTTCTATAGAAAATCTTTGAAAATGGTGGGTTAATCGAAATAAAAAGTCAAACCTGTGCATTGATGCTCTGTCAGTGAAAAAGAAGAAAAACAAAATATTGAAAAGAGTTGCAGATCCTCCAAAAATATAATAAATTGATCTCCATCCCCAATCAGAGTCACAAAGTATTCCAGCCGCAGGCATAAGTATTATATTACTGATCTACAAAAATTTGCATATCATTTTAATAGTTTGAAATTCCCACCTGAAATCCTGCTGATAAAATTGCAACATATGTGCTGATTTCAGTGATTGGAGACCAGCCCTCAGAAATTGAACCAATTGATGAGAAAAGAATTGATGTTCCAAAGCCTTGACAAAATCTCATTACAATAACTGCAAAATAACCAATTTCAACAGCCAATGGCATTAAAAGGGTTGCTAATGAGGCAACAATTCCATAAAATGAAAGAACTACACGAATTCCTAGAAGATTTGTAAATGGAACACTTGGAATTAACCCAACAATTGCACCAACTGCACCAGCTGAAAATACAGCTGAAACTTTCGATGATGTTTCTAGCCAATCTGAAAATATGTGAATGTTTTATTCGAGTCCATCTTATTGTTACAAACATACGTGTTTCATTTGTGTTTTTCGATTGTTCTTCGACAACATCTTCCATACAAATAACTGAGAATGTAATTGTATTATAGTTACTATTTGTGAACATAATGAACATTAATCTAAACATTGAGATCTGAATTTTCATTAAAGATCAGATAAACTTACCCAAGAATAAGAACAATGAAGCGAGTTCGATGAGCAAAGAACATTCCAGATTTTTCGAGACTAGATGCCGTCGTTGACATTTTTCGTTTAAAAAATGACTGAAAGTTCTCTCTGAATGAGAATATTTTTCAAAACGTCAAAGAGGATTTGCATAATGTTTGGTAATTGTGATTCTTTGAACCGTACTGATATGTGATGTCAAATATAACCATAATAACACCTTTATTTAAAAGGCGATCAAAAAATTATACACGTATTTTTCAGAAACTTATTTGAACTTATTAATAATGGTTTCCATTTAGAATGATGTTGCACAAGGTCCGGCATAATAATCACATTCATGCATTTGATTATTATTGTTGTTGTTATTATTAAAGTTCTCATTGTTGTTATAATTGATGTTATAGTTTTGATTCATATTATTGTTGTTATATCTTTGAGAAGGATTTCTATGATTGCTACCACGATTTCTTGAACCACCATACTGATTTAATTCATATGAAGAAGGTCGGGCTATTGGGAACACAGGTATCTCTCTTTCTGGATAGCTTGTGACAGGTTTTGTATTCTTGGTCTCACTTGAAATTAGTTTGGGGTGCCTGGAAACTAATTTGATTATACACGTATTTTTTCCTTCTATCTTCAAAAATAGTATTTTCCAAATACTTACACACTCAATTTTTTCATAACTGGTTTCTTCGGTCTTTTTGGTGGCATATTTCTATAACCATCTGAATTTCTTTCCGGTACTACTATATTTCTAGTTTGCTCTTCTACAACATCTGGAAGAACTCCAGCTTTTGCCAATCTTTCAACATAATCATCTACAAGTCGTTTCACATCATATTTTGAGGCACCCATTTCAGATGCGCGGAGGACTGATTTCTATGAAGAATACAAATTGGGAAAATAAAATTTTAGGAAAATTTCACTCACCAAAAGTTGTTGATAGAGGGTTTTGGGTAGAAGTTGAGCGTATAACGAACATTCATGTTTTTTCGATTGATATTCCGCAAGTTCTGGAACAATTGTGTGCCATTGTTGTTCTGTAACATGTCCAAACACAAAACGATTAGCCATTTCCAGAATCTTTTCAGAGTTCGATCCATCAAAATTATTGTGCACCATCTTCCTCAAATTCATTTTCTGTTTGTCATTCAAATATCTTTCCAATACGGATTTTGGACCAATACAACCGCCAACAATAAAAGCATCACAGAAATGAATATTGAATAAGAATAAAAAGATTAGAACAATCATAATTTCAATTTGAATGATAGATAATACAAATTCTGTTTTATTTTTCTTCTTTTTTTGCCGATTTTTCTGCGCAACTCATCTATTGTTTTCGAACCTGATTGACACACAGAAGATAGATGCACACAATGTGTTCATGTGTAAACATTCAAATCACAGAAATCATTTGGACAATCGAAAAACAAAAAATGAACTCTGACATGAGATCAAGCTTGAGATCAACATTAGTGGCGAACACGTGTGAAGCAAATTCTATACTGGGAAGGGGACTAATCCTCAAATATTTTTCCAAAATTATAAAGTGAAACCTTAATTGTTCGTTTTCCATTCAGTTTACTGAATCACCAAATGTTGTGAAAACATTTTTTCAATTTGTTTTCTACCTTTTAAGAAAACTACAAAAATGTGATATTATGGGACTTTTTAGAAATAAAAACGTGTTCCAAATTCGACTAAAAAATTAGCAATTTAAGACGATTGAATCATTCATAATTTATTTTAACTATTCAGAATCGTTTGTATTTAATAGTAGCAGATTAAAAAGAGTGAGTTTGACAAAATATTACTGTATCAGATAAGTTAATGTTTTTTGTTCAGTGGGCGATCAGTACATGAATATCGCAGATGCTGGAGGAGGCGCTGCTGCTCCACCTCCCCCACCACCACAAAAACAATTCCCTGCGTTTCCAAATGCCGGAGCAGCTGGTGCAACTGGTGCACCCCCACTTCCTCCGCCGCCTCCTCCAATTGCACCAGGTGGTGGTGCTTTACGTGAGAATGATGACATTGAACTCGAGTCAGATATGAAGAAGCCAGTGCCACCAAGTGGATCAAAATCAAAAGGTGGAAAAACTGAGAAAGGAAAAGATAAGAAGAAGAAAAAGAAGGGTGGAAAAGCATCATCTGAAGATAGTAATCGACCTCCAAAGGCGATTATTGTGAGTTGGAATAAATTCGTGGAAAATGTTTGATTGATGTGTTTTTCAGCCAAGAATCGTTCTTTTTGTTTTCTTCGTTTTGTATTTGGCAGCAGTTGGTGGATGGCTATTCGTTTTGCTTTGTGGATTGGGATCAATCGGTACTTTGGATGATGCATTTTTGTCAATGGGCTCATAAAAAATTTTCATCTCTTTTTTGTTTTTTGTTTGAATGAGAGCCTTCTTTTTCACTCTGCACAGTATTTAGAAATCTCTTTCAAAAATTCAACTAAACCCAAATACAGGGTGGCTGTCGGAAAGCTCACGAAAAAATTGGATAAAAAGTTTGTATGTTCCAAAGTATATCAAAACGAATATAATAATAATAATATTCTTATAATCTCGTTTTAAACAAATATTTACCAATGCATATTATTTTGACAGTTTGATCATGCGTTCCAATTCAATTAGCGAAAGTTTATTTTGTTGGAAACGCTGCACGTTTTTTGTGTGTATGCCTATCTACTTCTATAGAAAATTACTGTAAGCAACAACAATTATTCTGTTATTTATTATTTGTTTTGTTGCAAATACAAGGTCATTTGGAATATTCATAATCAACAACAAAAACAAAAACAACACACCTTTTCGGATATCGCAATCCCCCGCGTATCTGATTTTATTGTCCTGATTTTAAATTTTGTCGGCAAAATATATTTCTAATATTTTCCATTTATTCATTACACCTATTCGATTTGATTATATTTATTCTACTCCAAGATTCTTCAACCCTTCTGAGACAATTTTTTCGTGGCTGATTGAATGAGTTCTGAACAGGTAGGTCAAAGTGAAAGGATGTGACAGGAGGATATCTCTTTTTGGCTGTTTGTGTTTTTTATCATTTATCATTTTTTTTTATAAGGTCAATTGATATTTGATTTATGAAAAGGGAAAAGCACTATAGATTTGAACTTGAACTTGCAGAAAAATTGGGATCATATTTCAAAATGAACATTTGAAATTTTTGAAAAGTTCACGTTAAATAATAAAATAATGATTTTTCGAAGCAATTTTTTTGGTTTTCATTTCAAAAATTAGAAACAAGGAAAACTTGTAGTTTTCAGACTTGTTAGGAAATCTTTTTGGATAAAAAAGTGGATGAGCTTTTCGCCTGATTCGAAAATGGGTTAGCTAAGTAATTCAAACGGTTCTGACCAGAAAATTCAATTTTTTTTAAACTGAATTCAAACACACTGTCTAAGCTTCCTGAACTTATGAAATGGGTTTATGAAAAAATCTCCGATGTTATTTTGGAAAATTTTCAAAATTAATTGTGTAAGTGTCAGGATTTTATCTAAAAATTGGGAAACCAAATTTCGCTTGTCCAGGCCACCGATCCAGATTTTCATTTGGTCCTGGTTTCAAATGTATAGTTTTTGTTGCAGAACTCTAGAACACAATTGATGTAACTTTAATAGTTTTAAATTAATTATGAGTCTATTTTTCTGAAATAGTTAAACATGTCTTTCTTGTCTAGAAACTTATCAACTTCCGTTGTGAACCCATTTTAATGGAAAGATCACAATAATTTTCTCTAGAACTTTCATTCCGAGATATCAAGATGTCTATTTTCTAGAAAACTTTCAATTATCTATACTATCATCATCATAAATCTCGCAACATTTTTTCACTCTCATTTCATCATTTCATTCCGTTTTGTTTTATCCGCCTGCCTTGTTGTACATATACCTGACCTAAATAGTTTCTCTTTTCATCAACACATCCGAAAATATGTGTATGTGTGTTGCAAGTGATAACGTAACCTAAATTTGGTAGTCTCCTCTTCATCCGAATCAGATACTCTTTCTTTTTCTCTTTTCTTTTCTTTTTCTAATCTTGATATCTTCTTCTTTTTTTCCATTCTCATACATCCATACTTTATTGACCTATTATCTACCTTTTACTTAATTCCATATTGTTTTTGAAACGGTTCAATAATATTTTTACAGGCGGTCACTAAAATCGAGGAAATCGTTGAGAAACCAAAAAGATCGGTCAAACAAGTTAAGCAAAAACGAACAAAGAAGGACGAGAATCAGAAGTCAGTTTTAGTTTTTTCTTTTTAAATTTATTTTTTCATTCCGAATTAATCTTATCTGAAAACTTTTCAGCGACATCCCAGTTCGTACCCACTTCCTTTTCTGCATTCCAATTGGAAAACCAAGTTTGCTCGGCCGAAAGGCATCATACACTTTCTCGACCGAGGATTTGAGCAAAACTGGTGAAACTTCTTCAAAAAAGTTTTTCAGTCTCACACGAAATCCCTCCAACAAAAATGAAAAACAACGACAGAGAAGAGTAAGTTGCTTTTTTTTCCTCAAAATCGGAAGCATAAATAAAAATCATTCAATTTCCAGCTGTCGAACGTTCTCGCTGACAACGGATCTTTCGAGACGCAGGATCTACCAGTTCGTCACTGCTCTACAAATCGCATTTAGTTTCTCATCATTTCTTATTGTTTGTGTTGTTCTTCCAATGATGTATAATCATGTTCAAACTACAATCGAATATGTTGATAGAGAAATGTCATTTTGTGAGGTTTGTGAACTTCGGAATTTTTTCTTTGAACATATATTTGAATCTAAAAAAAATTTAGCGATCAAATGATGAAGCTGCTGTCGAATTAGCTTATGGTAAAATGCGTCTTCCTGGTAATCGTACAGTTCGTGGTGCTTATGGTGGAGGTGCTTCTCGATTCCGACCAACTTCTTATGGAGATGAATCAACTGGTTCACCACTTGAAACTGAATGCCCAGGATGTTGTATTCCAGGTCCACCAGGACCTCGAGGTGCCTCTGGAAATCCAGGAAAACCGGGTAATCCTGGACTTGCTGGTAAACCAGGAATGCCTGGATCGACTCCAAATCAAACTTGCCCATTAAATCAAGTTCGTGAGCCACCACCGTGTAGACCATGTCCAAAAGGACCTCCAGGAATCAAGGGTTGGCCAGGATTCCCAGGAGATGTTGGACCACCAGGACCACCAGGGCTTAAGGGATTGGATGGTGAAGATGGCGCGCCAGGTGAGACTGGACCTGTTGGGCCACCTGGATATCGAGGAGGACCTGGAGCACCTGGAGATAAGGGACCAACACCAGAAGGAGATTTGAAAGAAGGACCACCAGGAGATGAAGGAGTTCCAGGACCAGTTGGTGCACCAGGAATGCCAGGATTGCCAGGAAGAAATGGATTGACTGGACAACAAGGAGAACGTGGATGGCCAGGAGTGTCTGGCGAATCTGGTGAACCTGGATATCCGGGGCCTGAAGGACCAATGGGTGGACAAGGACCACCAGGAGAGCCAGGAGTTTGTGTATGCCAAAATGTTGACAGTATTCTTCTCATTAATCCAGGACCACAACCACGTATTCGCGCTGAAGATTACGGTAGAGAAGATTACAGTAGCCAAGGTTATGGTGGCTATGGTAAAAAATAATTGTTTTCTCTCGATTGTTTTGTATTTCTTTTCCCCCACTATTTTTTCTTTTTTCTCCCGACCAAAGCGTGTACTTATACATTCCTCAAACCATCTAATAATTAATAATAACATTAATAATTGTCCCAATTCGATTGAATAAAACTTTGAAAATCAAAAGAAACAGTGTTCATACAAATTTATTAATTTATGCTTTCAATTTCTCACCAAATCGAAAAGTCAAAATAAATGAAACTATAAAGAACATAAAATAACAATAAAATCCCTCATGAAGACTTGAGAAAAATCGTTGTTTCATTTGAACAGGTCGAACTAATGCACAAACAACACCAATAATGGATGAAAGACGAAAAAGATGCCATGTTGATTTATTTGAACTGAACCCGTTTGCTCTGAAATATTTGTTTTTTTCTGGACAAAAATTTTTGTTGACGAGAAAAGATGGAAAAATTCAATAATTAATTTTGGAATTGAAAAAATAGAATGTGACAGGAGAACATTTTTGAAAAAAAAAACAATTTCAAGACGGGCACAAAATATTGAACTCAGGCAATGCTTGGATTTTCTGAGAGGATTATATATAAAATAAAAAATTCGATCTTTTGGGACGTTTTCAGAATTTTTTTTCAAAAATCCAAAATGCAAAGAATTCTATCCTGCTCGATTTCGTATTAATTTTATTTAACAAAAACTTACAATAAAGCCATGAGTACACCAAAAACCACCAATATCGATTGAATAATCCTTTCATTATTTCCCATTTCATCAAGTTGATGTCTAACAATTGCACCAGCTGCTTTATCATTCATATCTAAATCAATCGGAAGATTCAATGACCAAATATAACCGTGCATCCAAACGCTGTTCACAAAATTTTGTTTCAATATTCAAAGAAAGTCTCACAACCAACCTGCTGAACAAAAAATCGAACAAATGGACAACTGTAAAAACAGCCAGGAAAATTCGGAAACTTAATCCCAAAAGTTTTCGACATTTCAATTCGAGTGGACTCAACTCATTTTCATCTTCTTCTTCGAGAATATTCATAGTTTTTGGGAATAATAGAAAAACAGGAAAAAGAGAAAAGAAAGAAAAAGAAATTGAGGAAGAGATTGAAAAACGGAGAACTGTCCTTGACATAAAAATTTGGAATGGTAAAAAAAAGTAAATAATATGAGAAAAAAGAATAATAGATCTAACGGTGTCAAAACATTTTTTTGATATTCTACCTGTTTAATAAAATCCCGATTGGGTGGTGTCTCGATGGAAGCTGGATTTTTCAATGGGATCGCCCCTGTTCTCATTTTTAGTATGTCGAAATTTTGGACATTTTTGATTTTTGCCCCTTTTTTCCGAAAATCATACCTTCAAGAATATTCAAAAGGATTCGATCCTGGACGTTGTGAACAAAAAATACGTGATCTAACCACTTGACCATTTCTGACACAAGAAATGAAATGAGTGCTCGAAGAAAATATTGACGTGAGAAAAAAAACTTACTTTTAAAAAAGGACATCTATAGATTATAAAAAAAAAATAAATTCAAAACAAACTGGAAAACGCGTGCACAAAACTATGAAAAAATTAATCTACCTATGAAATATTTCATAGTTTGTTTTTCAATAAAATCTGGAAGCTGATCCTATACCATCAAGTGTTATTCAAAGGTTCATATAATAATTTAAACATAGTAATTTATAAACAACTTTCCTTTAACATCAATAGTAATTATGAATAAAAATCTTTACCCAATATGTTTCAATGAAGCTCAAATCTCACCTGTTAGCTTTGTTCCTCCCCCCTCCCCCAAACCTCAAAATAAACTAACTTGACTGGCCCGTTCCGTGAAAAGTTGCTGATTTCTTCGAATGTCCTGTCCAAACGAAATATCTTCTTGTCCGGAAGCCTGAAACTTCTACATTCTTTTTCTCAAAATTTTCGCTTATTCTTAAACTTACATCAGAAAATGGCAATTGTGGATTTTATGGGATCCCTGCATTCTGTGACGGTTGTCTCTAAAAAAAAATAAGACAATTAAAAAATGTGCCAAATCACCCCGAAAAAAAACCAGAAAAATGATTAAGTTCGAAAAAAAACATTCAATCAATAATTTCTTTTCAAAAAAAATATATATCGCTCTCTCTTTCTCTCTCTAACCCTCTCTCCATTTCCCACACTCTCTCATTTACCCTGCAAAAAAACAACAAAATAAACACGCTAAACAACGCGCACGCGGAGTATCGTTGTTTTTCTTTTATTTTTTTTCGCACGACATTTTTATTTTTTGCTTTTTTTTCGGGTTTTTCAGTGGTTTTTTTCAGCGCAGAAAGTGTTATTAATGGGGTGATTTGGTACATTTTTTAATTTTCTTATTTTTTTTAGAGACAACCGTCACAGAATGCAGGGATCCCATAAAATCCACAATTGCCATTTTCTGATGTAAGTTTAAGAATAGGCGAAAATGTTGAAAAAAAGAATGTAGATGTTTCAGGCTTCCGAAAAAGAAGATGTTCCGTTTGGACAGGACATTCGAAGAAATCAACAACTTCTCACGGAACGGGCCAGTCAAGTTAGTTTATTTTGAGGTTTGGGGGATAGGGGAGGGGAGCAAAACTAACAGGTGAGATTAGAGCTTCATTGAAAAAATATTGGGTAAAGTTTTTTGTTCATAATTACTATTGATTTCAAAGGAAAGTTGTTTATAAATTACTATGTTTAAATGATTATATGAACATTTGAATTATACTTGATGGTAGGATCAGCTTCCAGATTTTATTGAAAAACAAACTATGAAATATTTCATAGGTAGATTAATTTTTTCATAGTTTTGTGCACGCGTTTTCCATTTTTGTTTTAAATTTATTTATTTTTTTGTTTTAAATTTATTTATTTTTCTTTTATAGTCTATGTCTCATTCAACTGCACAATTTGTATTCCCAGGCGTAACTTTTTTAAATATAATATTTTTTTCTCACGTCAGCTTAGCTGCGAAAAATAGGTTTTTCTTCAAAATTTAGAATTTTTGAGGATTTTCTGACTGTTTCGCCTAGGGGCACCGCTCCTAGTCCCGAAAAAATTATTTATATTTTTAAGCTCTATTTCAGATTTTTCAAGAAAATCAGACACGATGTTTTAGGAAAAAGTCGAAATCGTTCGTCAGTTTTTTGGGGAAAAAAACTTGATAATTATAGTGCGTTTCAGACGTCGGGAAAATAGTTCTCTGTTGAAAAATAGAGTCAAATGACAATGGAAAAACAATTATTGTCTGTTCAATTATACTATAATTTCCCACACTTTTCAATAATTCCAAAGATTATCCTTTCTATTCTTTTTTCTCGTCCCCTATTTTTCCAAATAAATATACAGCTACATATATTCTCGAAAATGTTTCCAAACTCAAAAATATAACATCATTCAATCAAAAAAGAGTGGCCTTGATTAACTGATTCATTGAAATTCATGTATGGCTCAAAGCTAAACCAAAAAAGAAAATGTGCTTTTTTCTCAATTCTCTCTTATTCTTGTATTGTCTCTAACATTACTCCATCAATATCTGCTCGTCTAATTCTCTTCTATTTCATCATCTGAATTCCAGGAGGATGTATGTGTAGTAGAAAAGAAGAAGGAAAAGAAAAAAGAGGAAAAAGCAGTAGTGTGTAAAAGGAGTAGTGACTTTTTTCATTTATTCCGATCTGTGCCTTTTGGAAACAAATATATTATTAGGACAATATGAAATCGAACGGTCGAAATCGATTGCGCAATTTTGAACGGGATATTATTTTAACCAGGTTAGTTCATTTTGAAACTTTTTTATCTTTGATAACAATAGATTAGAGAAAATTGAGTAACACAGATTTTTGAAAACAAAAGTTTAGATCATTTTGAAAAAATGAAAAAAATTCGCAAGATTTCTGAGTAAGAACTAAAGTTATTTTTTATAGAAATAAAAAATTCATTGAAAAAAATCTTGAGTTGCCTCTAAAATTCAAACTAAATTTTGGACATGTTTAAACTATTGATTGTATCTAATTGAGATATAAAATTTCCCATTTAGAATTTTTGAAAAAAACAATTGTTGAATTCCAACATCCTAAAACTTGCGTTCCAAATAATGTTCTGAAAACGTTTTGTCAGAATAATGGAAACGTTTTTATAAACTTTCAAAGTGGTACAATTTTTCAGTTTCTAAAATTCAGAAATACTCTTCAACATTTTTCGGTTCCAAATTTTTCGAATATACACGAATCTTCAAAATTTATCAAACAATTAGATCACTTCTTTTTTCCATTTATAGGTTGTTGAGTTTTTCCTCTTGAATCAAGAGTCTCGATACAACCTTCTTTTCTGCTGCTCTTTTCACTTAAAAATTTATGAGATTTTGTGTCTTCTCTGTTGATGCATAAACAATAAGAATAATTAGAATGAACTTTTTTTTTGTAACTTTTCCCTCTCTATCTCTCACATTTCTCTACGCCTCTCTTCATTTCCTACTCTCTCATTCATTTATTTAAAAAAAAATGCAAAAACAATAAGTATGTATCTACCTGTGCTGAAATTGACACCTTTTTTTGAAGGGCGTGGATTTGTTTGTGCAAATATAAGTTGTCTTCTTTTTTCCCTTCTTTTTTCTTCGTTTTCTACCACCAAAACGTATTTGCGCACTTTTATCCGTTTTTCCTCTTCCTTCTTTTTTTCCTACTTTTTTTTTCAAAATTTTGGAAACATTTTCACATTTTTTAGTTTTCGAAACTTTATGTTTAATCTCTATTTGAAAATTTATTTTTGTATATTTTATCAAAAAAGTATATTTCTTTTGTCTGGTATACTTTTTCGGGAAGTATAAAAATTGTACAGTTTTATGAAATTTAATAAAATTAAGTACAAAAATCCAGTTACTAATATTCCGAAAAATTCCGAAAATTTGAAACTAAAATTTCGGAATGTGGATTGCGATCAGGCCTGCAGACCAATGTGAATAGCGCAAACCGCGAAAATAACGAACAACTAAAAAAACGATAATTCTCAGAGAAAGTATGGCTTGAACGGCGCGGTCCGCGGACGACGATTTTTCACCGATTTTTGGGTGAAAATCATTACGCGGATTCCGCGAAAAAAATTTCGCGGACAGCGAAACTTCAGCCAATGAGAGTCTAATTTCGCGCATTCGGCGAAATGTTTTGACTCGGAAATTTGGTTTTTTTGAGTTTTTCGCGGATTCGCGGATGTACTCGAAAGGAAGGGTATAAAAAGAATAAATTGTATCGCGTACGCGACAACGAGGATAGCGCAGCAAGGAAGATGGATGACTACAAAACGACAGGATTGGGATCGAGGCCGGGTTGGAACTACAAGTGAATACTAACTTCTGATAATTATCAGGGGTCGTGAAGCATTTTTATATTTCGAGAGTGCATTGCGCGGACGTTTCGCTAACAGCGGAGTATAATTTCGCGGACGTTTCGCTAAAGTTCTTGTGTCAGCCGCGGATTGGCAGATTTTTGGGTTTCGCGAACCGCGCCGTTCCAGCCAGACCTTCTCTGAGAAGCCACGCCAATTTTACACGTTAAACCTAGCGCCTCGCACAACCCGCGAAATGTACGTTTCTAGAAATATAAAAGTAGTGTTGGCATGTCTGTTCGACATTCCAAAGTCTATTAGATAAACAAATATTATCAAAGTAAAAAAAATTAAAAGAAAGGGCAGAAATTCAAATCCCAATTTCCCCAAGTACGGTATTTCTCTGCGTCGCAAACACCGTTTCGAGATCACACCATTGGGCAGAGAAACACAGTCAAAGACGCACATATTAGCCTTTTACCAATCGGTGCACCTCGCTCTATCGCACTCGCCATGGAAGAGAAAAGTTTTTTTTCGCGTCCTAGGATCCGACACACTCGGCCATCTTTTTGTTTTTGTTTTTCTTTTTTTCGAAACGGTTTTCGTTTGCATTTGAACTCGTGCGCTTTTTTTTTGGCGCGCCTCGTGCGATGCGGAGCGTGTTTGTTCGATGGAGCGAGGTGCACCGACGCATGAAAAGCTAATATGGGTCTCGTACCGACTGACAGAAACACCGTACTTGGGAAAAATGACATTTGAATTTATAGCCTCCGTTTTTTTGCCAAATTAAAAATTATTTTGCTCGCCACGACCTACCATATTTTTTGATGTCCGCATTTTCAGTGGGGAATTCTTTCAATCTGTGAATTTTTATATTGAGAACATAGATTATGAAAAAAAAAGTTTAAAGTCATGAAATTAATTGAAATTTGTGGAAAATTAAGAACAGAAACACCTGGTTTTTTTTCAAACTTTCATTCTCGAAAAATTAACCCACAAAGCAAATTTGATTATTCCATCGATGTTATTTTTTAATTTTCTTTCAAAAATGCACAAATCTTATTTTTCTGCCCATTATTCTTCTTCTTGGGTGTATTCACAAGCTGATATTTTGAACTTTCCCACCAATTCCTCTCATTTTATTCAATTTCTCCGCCTTTTTTCCACCCACTCAAAAACCGCCCTCAAATAAATAATTTTTCAATTGTTCCAAATCTATAAATGTTGTGTTTCAAACAATTTCTTTCTTTTCATTTCTTTTTTCGGTGGTCACCATCACAACCCGAATTTCGGCTTCATCTCAAGTGAGCCGGAAGATTTTATGCCTCTCTTTTTTCTTATTTTTTCGGCCTACTTTCCTCTTCTTGTTTTTTTTTCTTCATTCGTAACCAACCCAAAATTGAAACGAAACTTTTTCAAGATCTTCATTGTGATAGCTTTTTTCTACTTACTTTTTTTTCATTTTGCTCCGTGAGCTCAAAAAAATCATTTTCTGTTGAAGACAAACTAATCTAAGCAAAAATATAAAAAACAACACATCAGCAAAATATTTTTTCTGACATTTTTTCCGCTTTCGGAAATAGATGATGGACTGGCTGGTATAATAATCGACCTCAGCGCGGCTTTTCAACTCGTAAACAACTCATTTTTCTTGAAAAAATGAGATTTTTCCTTACTTTTTTAGTTACAGTAACTTATGAAAGAGCAATTTTTTAAACCAAACTACATAAAAAGAGGTCAAAAAGGATCTTGTTACTACATTTTTTCAATTTGTCAAATGTTTAGTTATTGAAAAATAAACATGTTTCTGTTTCTGGCATTTAAAAATGCATTGGAAAATAGGAAAATTGTAAACAATTTTTGGCGACGTCTCAAGAGTTGGCTGTTTTTTGTTCGCTTTTTCAAATGAATAGAAAAAACTTGAGATTATTTATTTGTCAGTCGCCCAAAAAATTTGATCACTTTGTTGTTCTGTTTTTTTTTTATTTTTGAATTTTTTGTTCGGTGGAACGGAAAAAGAATTATTATCTTGAGTTTTCTGTTTTTCATTGGCTTTTTGAAAAATTATTTAGCCAACATCTAGACAAGAAAGAATCATTCAAAAGTTCTAGATTCTCTCGAAAACTGGATGCTTGATATAATACGGGCCTAAGTTTCCAAAATTATGCCCATCACTGTAGATAATGTTTCCGCTTACATTAAACGTATCATAAAACCTCCATAGTGAATTGAGTCTACCAACCACCCACACCGGCTTTTTAATTGTTTTTTTTTAAATTAAATCTTAAATTTTCCAAATTCAAAGAAAAATCTAGAACCTTTTAACTCAAAATGCTAAAGTTCCTCAACTATTTTGGCCCCTCTCTAAAAACAGTCAAAAACATTTTCGTGCATTATTCTCTCCTCATCAGATTTTTGTAGCATTACGAAATACAAAATGAACACTACAGAAGCTCCTATATTTTCTCTGAACCCAAAAAAGCTTTTCCACATATACATACATTTTCGTATAGAATGACCCTTGCCAAATAATATTTTGTTTTGTTTTTGGTTGTTTACAAACATAATTTGTTTCTCGACCGACTAACAGAATATACCAAGATTTTAGTTGTTTTCTTTCTTGTCTTGTCAATCAGTTTCCTCATATCCGTTTGTCTTTTTTTCTTGTTTAGTTCTTCTTCCGTTCCTTCAAGTCATCATTTCTCTCATTCTTCCTGCTCACTAATTCCCATGGATTAATAGTCGTCTATTTTTTATTGTCTCTCTGTCAAATCGTTTTTTGATTGAGGCAAATAAACAGGTCCCAAAGGGAAAAAACAACAATTTTCCCTACAGTACTCTTCAAAATGTCACATAAATCATATGGACACAATAATGAGCATGTTGTCTTCCGGAGCCCGCGTTTTTTTTTGGGTTGGCTTTCACTAAAATGACTAGGTTTACCCTTTTCACAAGATTTCTTCTCTTTTTACTTTTTTCGTTTTTTTCCGGAATAAAATAAAAATTCTGAACACGCACATGAAATCGAAATCACAAGAAAAGGTTAAAGGATTTTGTTAAGAACATGCGAAAAAGGTCCCTCGAGATATTTAATAATTGATTTGTCTCTAGAGTTTCGACGTGTTCCTTCCTCTGGAAAAAAGAAGAACAAATCTTGAGACTGACATAAATCTTTTCTGAATACATATGTTTTTGAGCTTGAGCATTTTCTAGAATTCTTTTACTTCTTTTTCATGTTGGCGGTATCTAGAAGATCAAAAGTTTTTGTGTTTTCTTTTTGCTCATTTCCTCAAGTTTTTGTCGAAAAAAATCAAGAAAAAAAAATGTTTTGTTTGTTTTTTCTCTGTTACTAATTGAATTGAAATCCGAACTTTTTTGCAGAAAAATGGACGGAGAAACAGCTTTGCTTGACGAATATAATTCAAATCTCGCGACTTCTTCTTCAGCTTCCGATGTTGTACCAAGACAAGTGACTACTGAATTTAATGAGAGGTTGGTTAGTACAATTTTCCTGAAAATTTAATAGAAGACTTTTTGACATACGTTTCAATAAACCACACCCATTTTACACGTTAAACATAGCGCCTCGCACAACCCGCGAGGATTACGTTTCTCGAATTATATAAGTGGTATAAAAAACGAATGGTTTTCGGTTATGACTAGCCAATGGCCCAAAATTAATTATTTGAGCATTACTCTGATTTTTTTCGTTCAATGTCAATCAAAAAAGCAAATACTCAGAAAAGGAAAATATTAGTATATGTAAATCACATATTTAGACCGACTTTGACGTCACCGAGCTTTAAAAATATTCCAATTTTTGAAGCATTGTCTAGTTTCCTTTTTCAAAGAAAAATCGATTCAATTCTCATTCAAAAATACCGGAAATCTCAAATTTTCCAGTTGGATACTTTTTTTTTCGAAAACTTCTCATTTTCTACGCAACATTTTCTCCCAAAAGAAATATGTGCCCCGGGGGTAACTATTATTTCATTTTGTTTCAGTTTCAAAAAGAAAAAAGTGCATTTTATTATTTATTATCTTTCGAAAGTATAGTTTTGTTGTTGTCGCTTCCATACACACAAAAATCTTCCCTTACCAGAAAAATAATAATAAATTTCTCAGAAATTCGATATCCTTTGCTAATTTGCTATTCATTTTTTGGCACCCCTTTTTTTTCATCACAAAAATTTACATAAGAAAAACAACAAGACATTTTGAAGTTGTTTTTTCTAAATTTTGGTAGAAAAAAAGTGCGAAATAATTATCTCGTCAAATTTTAATTAAAATTTTGTCTTCGTTTTTCTGATCTCGAAAATCCCCCTTTTTTCTTTTCTTTATTTTTTTCACAATAACAAACAAACAGCGAAAATCATTAAGTTTTCATAAGGTTTTTTTGAAGTCGTTGAAAAATCAAAAAACATGCCACTTTTGAGCATTTTTCTTACCTCAATTGAGTTTTAGTATAATTTGGGAGTTTTTTTTTGCTAGTTTAATTTTTGACTGAAATTTTCGGTTCAGATTCAGATATATGTGTCTGAAAATCCAGATTTTGTTAATAATTTTGCTACGTAACTCGACTCACAAATAAATAACAGCGCCGCATTTTCAGTTTTTCTCAGTTATTCTAGTTTAAGTTAAAACAAAATCTCAAACCTCGTAATTATTTTCTATTCTGTCAATAATAATTATTCTGAAAAGTGCACTTTTCTCTCGATTTTTTCCATTTTTCGTCGCGCTTTCAATTGAAATAGTATTCCAAACGATTTATTTTGTTTTGTGTTTGTCCCCAGAGGAAAACGAGACTCTAATCGTTCCTCATTAAACATAGACTTCTTCTTCTTCTTCTTCGTTTTTCTGAATACTACGCCCTGAGCTCATTGTCTTCTTCGTTTTTTTCTTCATTGAAAACCACTTTCTTTTTCTTCTTCGTCGTCTTCATTTTCTTCGTCTTTTTGTGCCTTCAACAATGTGATGATCCCCTATGGGCGGTGCTTTTTAATTGGATTTTTTGTCTCCCTCTTTACATATACACCAAAAGACTTGGCTCATGTCATTGTTGTAGAGGTCTTTTATGATTTATTTTTCAACATTAGTTTCGTAGAAACTATTTTGTTTAGTTTTGACATAAATTTGTGCTATTTCAGTGGATATCCAAGTTGTTCATCTCACTATAATAATCCAATGTCGCATCAAAATGGAAATGTTATTCAACAACAACCAGGAGGATCAAGAAATGAAGCAGCAATTGTTGAAATGAATGATGGAGATACAGATATTGAAGAGGAGTTATCACATTCTTGTAAACAAATTATTGTGCCAAGTAAATCACAGGTTTTATTTTATGTCTCAACTTGCACACATTTACGATTAAATCATCAAGGATCAGAATTGCAGGTAATTTTTTCAGAAAACTACATTTTTCGTCCCCTAAAAATCTTCCTCATCTCAAAAAAAAAAGTTGAAAACTTTTCTAGGTCACTGATCCGTCCGATTTTCCACTCCTCGATATTTGGTCGGAAAATGTTTGCGATGAAGCCCCAATTTGGATAATTGAATCATACGGTCGAAGAGTTGCAGTTGTCACAGATACAGCACCTCGATCTCTAATGTCTCTTATTATTCCATTTCTTCGACCACGAAGGGGTGTTCCAACATTTTCAGTTATGGATTGGAACGGAGATGTTATTGGATTTTATGCGTTGGGAAATGATTCAATTGAAGTGCAAGATACACGACATGATCCAATTGCAAAATGTTATTGTGAGCCAGATAGTAATGGGTGAGTATCTATCTATAGATATAAAATAAAGAAAGGAGGAAAACAAATAATGTACTTTGCATGCACATCAATATTTTATAAGGCTACGACTTTAATTAAGGATTACTATCAAACATGCAACATTTTTTGATGTAACAAAAAATTAATTTTTTTCAGAGAAATATGGAGAATTGTTTGCGAGAAGAATCCACAGCGTCAATTGGCACTTTTATCACCTGATGGACATCTTTCATTTGCATCTGATATTGCATTACCTTTGAAACTTTTACTGATTTCAACTCTAAGTCGCGCAGTTGTAACTCGAACAACATCCAGTTGTTTTCCATTCTTTCGGTGATTTTTTTTATCATTTGGAATCTCGTTTCAAAAAATCCCCATCTCTTCAACCACTTTTAATAACTTCTCAACCATTCCTATCTGATAATCATAATCATTTGGAAACATTTGTCTAGTGCCATCTTTTCTGTATTTATGTGTATTTGAATATTTATATAAATATGATTTTTAAAGAAAATATCCTAGATGTTCCATTTTATTTATCGAATTCCGGATGTGCCAAAGTATAAGCGCGATAACCGGCGAGAAAACTGGCAATAACCTGAAAAATAAACATTCCGCGTTTGGTTTGGTCGTTAAAATTGTGTGCGTGATAGTTTGTGATCTTATGTTACTGATAAGATAAAAACAATTTCGCACGTGCTTCAGAAAACTCACTTCGACAACAAGAACTCCCATTGATGCAACTCCGAGATATGAAGCTTCGCTGGAAATTCGATTACGCACAATTTGTTCGCAACCCTGGAAACAATTTGAAACCTTTTTTTTAGCAAAAAGAAAATCTTCAACTAACACTTTGATAATTTCTAGTAACACAATTCAAGAGTGAAAGAGTATCTGATGATTCTTTTCCCCAAAGCATTGTCCAATCTGATGAATTGTAAACTCCACAACATTTGAATGAACTTTGTGTATTCGCCCAGAATTGAACTTCAATATCTGATGAAAGTTGGGTTGAGCCAATTGGTGTTTTTTGAGCAGCTTTTGACAATGATTCATACATAATGTCATCAGAAGCAAGTTGATTAACTTGATCAGAATATGTAAAAGCGAGAAGACCATCAACAAGTTGAACAACAATCATAAGAGCAATTATGGCGCAATACTGAATTATGATTGAATATAATTTGGAGTTACCGTAATCTGACAACTTACTGCTTTTAATAGAAAACGATTTTGTTTGAGAGTAGAAATAGTTGCAATAGCAAATGATAAAACAAGAACACCAGCTGCTGCCACAAATAATCCAAATATCATATCAAGTCTTTTCAACTCAAGAAAATCATTATCTGCTTGAGCATAATTACTGAATTGTGCAAAACCATTTCCAAATCTAAGCACAAAACCAATCACAATCAAAACAATTCCAACAATTGCTGTTAAACCAGAAGCTCCAATAAATATTTTGTCTTGACTGGTAAGTTGCACCATTTTTTCGTTTGTCTGTACGTGACTCTCAAACTAGAAGAAAATGGTTGATGTCTGATAAAAAATGCATAAAATACGTCGCAAAACGGTAATTAAAACCGTTTTATGAGATGTTGTATAATTAATACTTTTTCCCTAATTTTTGGTTTTTTTTTTCGGTTATTTATTGACACAAGAACATTAGAAAAAACTATTTCATGTCTTTGTTTCATTGATTCACAAAAAAATGTATCAACATATTAATTTGTAACCCGGAGTGTTGTTATGTTTATGATATTGCACCTGAAACAGAAATTCAATTTATTTTCGATCTTGGAAAATGTTCAACTCACATTCACCATATTCTCATAATAGCTCACATCTAATGGAACATCATCTAACATATTTTTGTTTTGTTTCATAGTTCGATTGAATATATGTTCATTAAGACAATCAATTGAAGCATAATCAAATGAAGGAAGCATCTGGAAAAAAAAGTTCCAAAAAATATTTTCTGAAATTTGAAAACTTACTTTATTGACAGCGATATTTGGTAGACGAATGATTTTCGCAAGATGTTCAACACCAAGAATACAAATATCGTGTCTGATGTTCTCACAATGTTCCCCAAGAAAACTCCAAAGTGAATACCTTGATAAATGAACTGTTGATTTCCCTTCATCAATACATTTATGTGTAAAATGTCCAGGCATTTCCAGAAAATCTGAAGCTTGTAAAACACTCCATAATATTTCGTCAACACCATATTCAGATCTATTCAATTGATCAATAATTTTTGTCAGATCTACTGTCTCAGTCATCCATTCAACAGCAGAAAATGAAAATGAAGCTTGTACAGAAGTTGCTGACATTGTTAATGATTGATTTGTTTTATTTGGAAATAATCCAAGATCGAAAGGATTCCAATTCAATGATTTATCAATTCTATTTTGTGATGGAGCAATAAAAACATCATTTGCGCCTCCAAGAATACCATAAATTTGAACAAGATCAAATATACTTTTTGTTATCATATCATGATTTTGTAAAAGTATCACATAACCCCAACCTGGTTTTTTGACTAACTCTTTCAAACAATTATAATGAGCTTTGTTAACATTATGACCTTTCGAATCAATCGATAATTCTTCTCCAATCAACAATATATTCGAAATACACGAAGATAATAATCTCATTTTTGAATGAAATAATTGATCTGCTTTGCTGTCAATTGAAAAACAATATTGATTTTGAGAATGATAGGAAGATCTTATCTGATCTTCAATAAGCTCATAATCAGTGTAAACAATTCGAGCAAATGCAACACCAAATTTTAAAGATTGAAGATTGAATGGTGGAAAAATTCTAGATTTTATTGAAGAACAACTCATGTTCAGATTTTTTGTCTCAACTATTGGAATACGATGTTTTTCAGTAAATCGTGCAGCATTCTGTAAAATATCTGTGAAATCGGAAGTTCTAGTTAATATACGCTCACTTGTTTATTTTGAAATAAACTATGACAATCAACATTCTGCGTTTCAAATCGTCGTCGAAATTGTGGTTCCTGGAAACAATTTCAGTAAATAACCTATATTCTCTGTAAAAAAAACTAACAAATTGATTTTTTGTGTTCAATTCATTTACAGCATCAAATAATTCATTCATAATAGTATATCTTTTTTCAATTTCTCTTTGCAAACTGCTAACAATTTCTTCATTTTCTGAAATAAAAAAGCTTTTGATCAAAATTGGGTCAAAACAGCAGAAACCCTACTTTCAAAAAATATAATTCCAAATCGATAAATTAAAAATATAGTAACAATGAATAACAATATTGGATAAATAAAATTTCGATCGATACTTTTTTGGTTTTTCATTCGAATTTGATGAATTCAATAAAATAGATAAAATCTAGTAGCAACATCTCAAGATATTCATCTTCTTGACCTTTAGTATCGGATTTTTGATCCATTGTTGAAGTCAACACACAAAGTTTCACATTTATTTGAAAAATTGAATAATTTATTTTATTTTATGATTTTCAACCAGTTCAATGAATTCAAAAAATCTTGAGGATTTCATTTTCTGAAAACATCAATTCAAAATTGGACCAGAGTTTTGAGGATCACAAACTATTGAGCTGTAGACGACAATTCGGAATATTTTTTCAAATCGAAACTGCATCAATCCTTTTTTTGGTATTCCAAACCCGACTAAAAAATCTTGCCATCCTGATCCAATTTAAAAAAAGTTTCCACGTAGATTTTACTATCTTTCGATCTATTCTTGTTTTTTTTTGTGCCTTCATTTCTCATTTCCAGATACCGTAATCTCACATCAATTTCCCGAAAAACTACGCTCTCTCAATTTTTTCTCGAATATTTCAAACAATATGTTTTTTTGGTCGCTTTGTTGCCTGCAATAACAAAAAATGCCACATTTTGAGCAAATAGAAAAAAAATGCTAGGATACAATGCACTTTCGAAATTGTTATTATTATTATTGTTATTATTTTTATTCAAAAAAAATTGGAATTCGAATATCAGCAACAAAATTCATTTATCAACTAATAATTATATTCACATCAAAAACCCGCTTAATATCTACTAATATAATTAAACTAGAAATTGATTATTAAATGGGATATTTTCGGTGTTGCCATGTTTTATAAGATGGGTTGCAATCGAGTTTGTAATCTGGTTCATGATGATGTTTATGATAGAGCACCTGAAAAATGTTTGAATATGACATACATATGCTAGGAATTTAAATAAAAACTTACATTAACCATATTTGAATAGTAGGATTCCTCCAAAGGATGATCGGTTTGATTCAAAAAAGTTCGATTATAAATGAGTTCACCAAGACAATCAATCGCAGTCACATCAAATTCGGGCATCATTTTATTATACATAATATTTGGAAATTCAGCAATTGAAGGAATATCTTGTATTCCAATCAAACAAATCGAATGTCGAAGAACTCCTGATGCACAAGAACTTGCATCTCCATAATTCCACTGAGACATTCGAGAAATGAAATCAGTATTCTTGTTATGTTTCAAACATTCATCTGTGAAATGTCCAGGCATTTCAAGAAACGATGATATTTGCAAAGATTGAATAAACATTTCATCAACTCCAAAACTTTCTGAATTCATTTGTTCAATTACAGTATCCAAGTTAACAGTTTCAACCATCCATTCAACAGCTTTTCGAGAAAGTGAACCTTGTGCTGCTCCTTTTGCAAAACTCATAACATTATCCAATTGAGTTGCATTAGCTAATGATTCATTTCGAAACATTTTCAAAGATCGAGTATCCCACAAATAATCTTTTTTATTTATTCTTCCATTTTCTGGTGTTATTTCAACATCATTTGCTCCGCCCAAAATTTGATATATTTTCTCGAGTTCATAAACTGATTTCCCAATCATATCGTGATTTTGTAAAAGAATTACATAATTCCATCCAGGTTTGTTAACCAGAGCTCTCAGGCAATTGTAATGTGCTCGATTAACATTGTGACCAGATGAATCAACCGATTTTTCTTCAAGGAGAAGGATAATATTCGGAACACATGAAGCTAACGCTTTCATTCTTTGATGAAACTTCTCGTCAGCTTTTTGATCAATGGAAAAACAAAATACATTTTGAGGATGATAAGATGCTCTGATTTGATCTTCAATTAGTTCATAATCTGTATAAACAATTCGTGCGAATGCAATTCCAGCTGATAAACTTCTCAAATTCATGGTTGGAATAATTCGATCACTAATATGAGAACAGCTCATATCCAAGTTAGCATTCTCCACCATTTTTACTCGATTGTCCCCACCAAATTGCTTTATGTAATCCTAAAAAATTTTGTGTTCTCATTGAAAACAAAATTGCGAACGTTTTCATGATAACAAAGTTTTGTTTGCATTGGAAACAGAGTTACAAACCTTGTCATTTCTCAAAATTCTTCCACAATCAATATGTTGGGTTTCTGGTCGACGACGAAATATGGGAACCAAATTTGATTTCAAACTAACAGATCGGAAATTCTTCTGAAGCTCATTTATCATCTCGTTCCGATTTGTAATCTCAGTTTGGAGTTCTTTTATAACATCTTCGTATGGAATTGGATCATTATTTGAAGATTTGTTGGTTTCTGGAAAAATTGTATTAAATTGTTATCGAAAAATGTTTGTTACTCACCTTTGGGTTTTTGAAAAAGTGCGAAAATTATGAATAAAGTTACAAGTACTAATAAAATATAGAATATAATATGACTAACTGGTTTTGTTCGATTTGCCGGATCTAATAGTTGATATCGTATTTTTCCACGCATTCTGTAACCAAAAGTTTCATTTTTTATTTATATATTTTTCGAGCAAAAGCCGTTGTCTAGCTGGTTCAACAAAAAAAAGCGTATGGAAAATTCATAATGTCTTTGGTTATGGTATAGTATTTCTCGAGAAAAAAAAAATAACATAAAAAATAAATGAAAATTCAATAAATTCCTATAGATGGATATATTTGCTCTCAAAAGTTCTACGCCAAAAATCGAGTTCAAAAAATGAGATTTCGAAAAAAAAATGAAGGACTGCTGTTGCTGCTGCTTCTGCTGCTCATAATATTTTATGTTCAATAAAAATATATTCGGGGCGAATAATAATTTTTTGTGTGAATGAATGCTTTTTCATTGTGAGATTTTTGTGAAAATAAAATAGGAAGGAACGATGGAAAACCTATAAAAACATAACGTTTCAAACAATAACAATTTGTTGATATCGATTGAGAAAAACTGCATAAAAAGAGTACAAATATTTGAAAAATGATAAAAAAAGGGGAAAAGTTTGATAACAATGGAACATTTTTTGACTGATTTGCGTTGCCAAGGTTACCATTATTCAGAGAAATTAGATTAGTAAACACATTATCAATGCAGTTTTCTGGATAAACTGGAATAGACTAGTTTCGATTTCAGAAATTCAATTAATTAATTAATTCCCAACAAGTCAAACAGTTCCGTAAACTACAACAAACTTTTAGAATTCGCAACAAAATGGGCGAAAAATAAATCTGCACTTCTCAATGTAAAATTATTTTGGTTTGGTTCCTGTCACATTTAACGTGTGGGTCAGATATATAGGTAAAAATAGTTCAGGACATTTTTTCATATTTGCATCAATTTGTTTTTCAAAAAAAATTTAATTTTTGGAATATGTGTGTTGTGGATTACTGTATTCTCATCTCATTTCGAAGTTTGCTTTCTGAAGTTTTCCTCGACTCAAAAATATTGGATGGATGGGTTTACTAGACAACCTTTTCTAGAAATTGCTGAACGTATTATGAAAAAGCTGGAAATGTCCTGAAATTACTGATTGTGAACTCCATTGAAAAACCTGGAAGTCGAACTACGTGAAAAAGAACATTTTTTTAAATCAGTTTATAATTTTCACGTGAATCAGAATATTTCTTTGCTCAATTTTTCATTTCTAATAACTCGAACTTGTTCAATGTTCAGTGATTTTTTGACCAATTTATTTCAATCGGTGAGTCAATTTAATATTGTCCTTTTATCAAAATTGTGTTTTTAAGTTCACAATTATAGTTGAAAATCATTAAGTTCAAACATCAAAATTTGAATTTTTTTCTTTATTTTTGACGACACAAAAATAGCATAAAAATAGAGAACAAACATTCCGAAAAAAAACAAATTATATAAAATAGGCTCCGCCCACTTCGCACACAAAACATGGCACAAGCGCAAACCTGTGTGTTGTCTGTCAATCACTTATTTATAAGGCGAACAGAAGATGAAAGAAGTATCTCTGGTTCCATTGCATTTAACCGAGAAAATCTTTCGCCTTTTACTAAAGATTTCCGTGCAAAGGGACACTTTATGAGTGTTTAGCAATTTTTGAAATCCCCTCGAAAGAGCGGGATAAAAAATACAGAAAATTGATAAGGTTGACTTGGAGCGGAAATGAAAAAATTTAACCGCAACAAATTTCATTATATCAAATCATTTTCAGAAAATTTCAACCACTTAATTCCTGCATTTGAAAACATTGAAAAATGTGTCGATTAGATGAGCCTTATCTCGTTCATCCGGACAAGATCAATACTATAAAGTAATAAAAACAGTTTATTATAACAACAAAAACAAGTGGTTTTAGCAACCCTAATAACAAAAAATACCAGTGTCATTTTATTCTAGAAAGTAACTTTCTTTCCTCCTTTTCCGCTCTTTCGTTTTGCCTTCAAAATCTGTCTAACATCTTGTTTCGCAGTTTTGTTTCTCAATGGAACATAAGTGTATGGTTGAAGATTCTTCTGTTGTTTTTTCTCCGGTTTTTGTCCAGATTTTCCCGGTTTACGTTTCGAACCAACACTGCTTCCAACTTGTGATTTAGCACTTGTATCTCTGTAGATTCCTTTTCCACCATAAGATGTTGCGCGACTAACATGTGTCTTCTTATCATCCTAAAAAATACCATTTTATTATTTTCTCTGTTTTCTATATGAATTTACTAAATTCAATTTAGTCAACTTACATTATCATCAGAGATCAAATCACTTTCCAAATCACTATCTTCTTTTTGTCGTTTTGCACCTTCTTCCTCTTCGTCCATTTCATCCAATCCATTTCTACGTTTACGAGATTTCTTTTTCTCATCAAGCTCTGAAAAATTTCAAAATTATTTTATTTTTCAATTGATATCAATTATGAAATCTTACCATCAGCTTCAACAATAACAAGACGACCATCGCGAGTGAATTTAAAACCAGCTTCATTCTTTTCTCTTCTTTCAATAGCTTTTTTCTTTCTCATTTCAGCAATTGCTGGATTTGTTGTTGTGATGTGCTCCATCATTCTAGCCGAATCCAACAAATCCATTGGAACATCTCCATCTCCTTCGTTTTTCAACCAAACACTTCCAACTCGACTCTTTTTCATTAATTGTTCTTCACTATCACTTTCATTATCAGCATCACTGTCTTCTAATAATTCAAGAATAGTATCAGCTCCAGCAGTTCTTCCAGATGCTCCACTAATAACTGTTGCTCCATCATCTTCTTCTTCATCCATTTCTTCTCCAGCTGCTTTTCTCAATTTTCTTCTTCGAAGTTTTTCGATTGCCTTGATTTGTTTCAACCAATCCGATTTCTTTGTATATTTTTCAAGAACATTTACACCGAATTTTTCAACGAGAACTTCGAGAAGAAGTCGATTAGCCTTTCGAATTTTGACTGTCAAGTCACTTGTCAATTGTTCTTCAAACACTGTTGTCAAAATTTGTTCGCGGAATTGTTGAAGTACAACCTCCGGAATTTTTTGGCATAAAACACGCATCAATCGAATTGCCAAAATTCTAACAGGTGCACGTCCTTCAGTAATCCAATTACAAGCAAATGACATAATTCTGGATGTTGTAATTGTGTTCAAAACTTTGATTTGCTTCTGTGCAATAATATTGGCAGCAACAAGAGCTCCGCGAGCAATTCGAATTTCAATAGATGTTGTTTTTTCTCCAACTTTCAATGTTGTTAATTCGAAAATTTTTGAAATAACAACATCAAGAACTTGAGATGGTGTATCTGCTGTTGGATCTTCTACTAATTCCAATAATTTGTTACAGATGAATTGAAGACATTTTGATGCATTTTGACGAGAATGAACATTGTTATCTTTATCCAACATAACAATTATATTTCCAACGATTTTTTCAGTGAATGAAGAAACTGTTTTTAATGAATCATAACTATCCAAAAGCATGTGAACGCATGAACACTGAAAAATTTCATTTTACTTGTTTAAAACTTGAAAATTAGAATTAATGTGAACTTACGTATGCAGCTCTCGCTGGGAAAGAAATCGCTTCAATTGGTTTCAAAACAGCGTTCTCAATAAAATCGCTGCGATTTTCCAATAATTGCTCAATTTCTTCAGATGATCTACGTTGAATAATTTCTTCCAAAATTCTATAAGCTTTCTTCTGAAGTCCATTCAAATCAGACGCATCCAACAATGGTCGAATTGTATCAAGAATTTTCGAAACAGATTCAGTTCCAGCAACTCTAGCCAATGCACAAAGAATATCTAGAACACGAGCTTGTTTTTGTGTAGCAGTTCCAACATTTTCATGAGTTTCTTTTGATTTCGAAATAGCACTATCAACAAATCGATTAACAAGTTCATCAGGAGTTGCTTCAGCATAAACTCGAATTGCTTCCAAAACAGACAATCGAACTCCTTTATCATCATATGCTCCATCAACAACAGAAGCTGTATACATATTGAAGAAAATTGGCATGAAATTTTTTGCATATCGGCTCATAACATCAATTCTTTCTTGTGGTGCTCCTGGTTCCAAGGAGAATTTGAGAGCTCTTCTGATTGCATTCAAAACAGTCATACGAAGATCATTTCTTTCTTGAAGAGCTGCACCCAAAATTGGAGCAATATCTGGGAATGATGTTTCCAAATCGGATGGTGATTCGCAAAATGCTGGTAACAATTCCCAGAGTTGAAATTGGAATGTTGTATAAAGACGTTGAACTGGAGGTTGAAGAGTGTTGAGACGTCTATGAATTTTCATAGCAATTGGTAAGAAAAGTGATGTGAATAAAGAAATTGGAGCATTATGAATATTGACACGAAGAATTGGTAAAAGCCATGAGCGACTGAATTCAGTCGAGAGAATGGCTGCATCTGGATCAACATCGAGTGACAGAATTTTCATAACATGAGCAATACCAACATGACGAACGGCTGCGCCAATTGTCTGAAAGAAGTATTTTGAATTATTTATACTCTCAGTTTTAAAATTTGATAAACATACGAAATCTAACTCTGTTTTACAGAAACATTCATCTGATTGTCGGAGTTTAGCCAAATCTTCGATAACCTTTGTAAACTCGGCTCCTTGAATTCCGTCACCACAAACTTCATACAATTTCATTTGAGCACGAAGAATAAACTTCCAAACAGATGCGGATTTCATTGTCATTGCAGAATGTAATTGAGCCAACAGGAATTTTGCACATTCATTATCGTCTTTCACACAATTATCAATAACTCTTGTTAATGATTGATATGTGACTTGGGCGAGTTGTTCATTTCCAGTTTCGAAAATTTTGACAAAAAGGGGCAAAGTTTGATAGGCATTTTGAATGGATTTCTTGGAATCCTTTGCTGTGAGACAAACATGAGCTTCAGCGAGTGCTTGCATCCAATAAGCAGTTACTGTAACATCAGCGACTGAAGTTCCTAATTGACGCAATGCAACAAGAAGAAGTGTATTAGTTTCAGTTGGAAGAGCAGAATCACATGGTTGTCGTTGAAGTGCGCGATGAAGACATTGAAGAGCTGAACATTTTACCATCGCATCAGAAATTGCAAAACATTTGAGCATTGCTTCTGCCATTTTTTTGAAGAGATTTGCAGGCATTTTATGCATAACTCCTTCCAAAAGACAAAGGAAACGAACAACATTTGTACTGTCTCCTTTTGCACTCGCTGAAAAATAATCTTATTCAGAACAGAATAGGTTAAAAAATTGTTTTTTTAACTCACATAAAAATGTTTCGATGTGATTCAAAATGAGTTGACCAACAGCTCCGCTAGCTGGATGTAATCCATTATCAAAAGCTGTGACTGGGTCAGTGAGAACAGCTCGAATAACTCGTCTTGCCATTGTTCGAACCCAAGGTTTATCATGAGCTGATAATGCAGCAACAGATACGAGCATGTTTTTTGTATTGGCACTTGCCCAAACAGATGCTGGTTGACTTCGAAGAACAATTCCAAGAACAGAAATCAGATTTTTGAGTGCAGAACCTTCAGTGCTGTCGACATTTTCAAGAAGTTTCGTGTACAAAATCTGAAAAGAGAAAATAATATAAGGTCTAAGTGGTTATAACATACTTGTACGAAGCGATGGAATTGAGCTTGAAGAACTTCTTTATGAACTTTTCTAACAATCAAATGAAGAAGATACGCAATCGCAGCGGTTCTTTTTGGGTTTCCAAGTGATGATCCTTCAAGAGCAGTGATGAGTGCAGCACAATACTCAACATCAGATTCTTTGCCTAAAAATCAGAAAGGTAACAGAAAATTGTGAAAGTACATCATACCATCACGCTCTTTGATGACTTCAGCAATCGCCGCCAAAACTGAGACTACCTCTGCTTGAATAGAGGACCCAGATCTGAAGAAATCAATCTATCAGTCCATGGCTCAAGTTTTGGACAAAACAAAAACATGAAACACACGACAAATGAAAAGAAAACGGCTAAAACTCACTTCCAAACTCGATTGACTGATTCGAAAGCTGGATTTGTACACGAAGTGAATTCGGAAATTCTAGAGATTCCACCTTCGGAAACCATACTTTTAGATGAAGATATATCCATCGATGCAATAGGAAGTGCTGACATCAAATCATCAGCAGCACTATTTTCAGGACGGTCTTCAACAGCAAGCATTCCAGCTCCACCAAAAGAAGCCATACGAGCTGCATTGGCGGCTTCCCTGTGGCGACTTTTTGTTGGATTCGATTCACATCTGGAAAAATTCAAAATTATTCGATTTTTAAATGAAAAGCCGACATACGCTGAACCCGTTTGAACTTTAACAGCACCCTTGTTGTTGGAACGATGTCTGAAACGACCACCCATTCTGAAAAAGATTGATGAGTTAGTTTTAAATGAAGTTAGATCGTTTTTATGAAAAAATTTCAATTTTTTTTGTAAAATTAGATAGTCTAATATTTTTTGGGACGAAAACCCACAATATTCTTTGACAAACTACCCCGAAAACAACAGAAAAACAATCAAAATTTCCTATTTTTTTTTCGAAAAAAATAAAAATAAATTCGAGGCGGAACAAGACCCAAACGCAAAAATAGATGCGCCTTTAATCAAACTTCGGCCATTGTTTGGTTTCCTAGGCCACGTTGTTTTTTTAATCTAAACAGATATCCGTAACCCGATAAATTGTAGCAATCTATGGATTCAAAATGGCAGAAAATAATAAAAAATTAAAATCATAACATTTTAAACTTTTTTTACTTTCCGAAAAAATATACCCATGGTGTAAAAGGATGAAAAAAAGCTCGCCTTAGCTCTGGTAAAGCGTAAAACTTTTAAGGTCAGGGGTTTGAGTCCCCTAGATGGCTAGAAATTTTTTGTCTCCATTGTATTCATTGTTTTGCAAAAAAACGTTAAAACCACTTGACTACGATCCACTCACTTAATGAAGATATATAAATGAAGCTTTGAAATTGTCACTTTCATTTTGGAAAAAACGATGCTTTTGGTTTTCGTTTTTTTCTTGCTGCTAACTTCTATCAGAAGCGATCCAATAAAATATCCAAATGAAATCACCGATACTCCATTAGTTATTTGCGAATCTGATCGAATTATAATCAAAGTTAAAACAACTGCATCCAATCCTTCTCATATTTATGTCGACGGAAAAGAAGGCGATATTCAATGTATTTCAAGAAATCAAAATCGTATCGAAATTCAACACGACAAATGTGGAATGATAAAAGATATGACTGAACAACCAAGTGGAAATGTGAGAAGAGTTTGTATTACTGTACAACTTCACCCATTGTTTGTAACTGAAGCTGATCGAAGTTATTGTGCTCAATGTGTTTATGTTGAATCACATGTTATGAAAGATATCGAATCAACTTTAGATATCAGGTTTTAAAATTACTGTAGTTTTTTCCCCAAAAACCACATATTTTTTCAGCGAAGCTCCACCAACTCAATTATCTCCACAATTCGATGCTCCATCAATGCCACAATGTTCATATACAATTCGAAAATCATCTCAAGACGGACCGAAAATACAGTATGCCTCAATTGGTGATAGTGTTTATCACGTATGGTCTTGTGATGGTGATCACAGTGGAATTTTGGTTCAAAATTGTCATGTTGAAGATGGCCAAGGAAATCGTATTTTGATAATTGATCAAAATGGATGTGGAATTGATCGATATGTGATGGCAACACCGAAATATAATCAGAATCAATCGATTGCATATCAAGAAACACATGTTTTCAAATTTGCACAAAGAACAATCACACGTTTCACTTGTCAAATTCGCATTTGTCTGAAGGGTGATGATTGTAAAAAACTATCGGTATTTGAGAAATTATTTGAGTTTCCGTTGTGAGAAACACTTTTTAATTTTAGCCTCCAAATGCTTGTCCAACATTAGCTGAAAGATTTTCGGGTGATAACAATGATGCCGAAGAAGAAGATGAAGCAAAACTGCAAGACATTCCAATTTTCAATGAAAGTCAACTTTTGCCAGATCCAACTCTCGAACTTCATCCACCAGCTTCTCAACCTCCACCATCTCGCGAAGAAGACACTTCTGGTGAATTTATTCGTCGAGCCCCAACAAAGGGAAGTATTTATTATGGAGTTGGATATAATCCAAAAAGACATCGTCGTGAAGTTCTTATAAATTCTTCGGATTTAAAGACACCTGAAAACTCACGATTTGTTATGAAGAACGGATATCCACATATGGAAATGGTTGGAGAATTGAGAGTTTTTGAAACACCACAAGATGTTGAATATTTTGGTAATCTTCATTTTAAAAAAATGCATCATTTTCTAACAAAAGTATAATTTTTCCAGAATCAGCCAATCCACCATCAACAGTTTGTCCATCTTCATCTTCTACATTATTTTTCACTTTACTTGTCACTGCACTTACTGTTCTTTCAATTCTTCTTATTTCCGTCTTCTTATTAATTTCCTCCAGAATCAGATCAAAGAAAAATAATTCTATTCATTTTGCACAATAATCATCATTCTATTCTCTATTGTATATATAAACATATAAATTATTCTAACTTCCCGTGATTCTTTCCAATGCGGAAAATGACTGAAATTATTCTGATCTTTGTCTTCTTCGTTCTTCTTGTCTTGTTTTTTGTTCGAATTGAATACGAAGTGCTTCTTCTTTCACATCAACATATTCGAGTTGAGCTTTCAGAAGAGTGGTGTCCATATGTTTTGCTTCAGCCTAAAAAATCATTGGATTATAATTAAAAATCCAGTTGCTTTTTTGAACAAAGCATACTTTCCCTTTTCTTATTCAATCAATTGTGATTTGAAAACTTTGAAGTTTAAAACCACTTCACGAATAAAGAAAATCAACAGATTTTTGATGATTCAAAAGCAAAATCAGCTTACATCTTTTATTTGTTCTCTCAACATTCTTCGGTCCAATTTTTTTTTACCTCACCAGATGGTATAACTTCCGCATAGTAACTAAATTCTGCGTCTCCCTCGAATTGCAATATTGCGCAAAAAAAATACAGTGTCTACAGTAGTCCTCATAAAACGAATTGTGCTTCACACGTGGCCGAACAAGCGTGGCCTAGTTTGCTGCGTTTTTCTCGTCCGCGTCTCTTTGTTTATTTTTTCTTTTTTTTCACTAGTATTCTCCAAGAGAAAAGCGACATTGGAGAGATTCTCAGGGTTCCCATATGTTATACTTTAAACGTGTCAATTTCTAAAATCTGGGGGGGGGGGGGTTCCCAATTTTTAAAAATCCCCAAAAAATTTCTTCGCAAAAACACACAGCGCGTATTTCGCGGCAAGGTTGCGCGTAGGATTTGGTGTTTGCGGGCAGTCGGTGTTGACATACACTCTTATTTTTTCCGTTCTTTCTTTAGGTTTGGGATTCCACACTGCCGTTGTGTGAGTAATAAGTGTTTATTCACATCGATCTCTATGCAGAAAAACGCGAAAAAGATGACACTATGAATCGAACCTTCTCGCTCGGAAATTTCCGAACCGCGGAATTTTGAGCATGGAATACGGGGAATATGATGCGAGAACAGGAATGTATACAGGTTTACCCAAGGTTAGTTTTTAGTTTTTGAGTTGCAATATGTTGTTTATCTTAATATTGTTTTGTTTAGCAATGGCAATCACTTCTCGGACCACCAAGATCGATTTCAAGACCGCGACCAATTGTGGATCCATCTTGTATAACACCAGTTGATGTTGCAGAACTCAAAACTGTTATTAGGGGACCTAATTCAAGGTTTGTTCTATTCTTCTTTTTCGTTGTGTATTTAAAACATTTATTTTTGTAGATTTAATACCCCGATTCCTCAACATCTCGATTCTCCTTGATCATCTTTGCCAAGTGTTGCTAGAAGTAATAGTTTGCGGATGACAGTGGTAAATGTGTCATCGCCGAATCGACCATCGCCTTTACCAGTCAATCAAAGAGGATATCATTTCAATGAGCCAACTTATGCACCTTTGCCTATTCGAACACCCCAAAAGACCACAATTTTTGGTGTGGAAACATCGCCAAATAGGCCGCCACCACCATCTACGCCAATTACAACAATTGTCGCTCGCCCGAAATTATCACCACCGAAAGAAGGTGTTAGTTATGATGAGTTTCGAAATGCTCTTCAATGTGTTGTTGATAAAAATGATCCACGAAATGATTTGCAAGATTTAAAATCATTGGCGAAGGTTCGACTGCAATTGTTGAAGCAGCTTTTGAAAGATCTACAAATCAAATAGTAGCTTTGAAACGAATGCATCTTCGAAAACAACATCGACGCGAGCTGTTGTTCAATGAAGTTTCGATAGAATATCAACATCCGAATATTGTCAAATATTTCTCTTCGCATCTCGTTGATGAAGAATTATGGGTTGTGATGGGATACATGGAAGCTGGAAGTTTAACCGATATTGTGACAACTACACCAATAACTGAATCACAAATCGCAACAATTGGTCGACAAGTTTTAGCAGCGCTTGATTTTCTGCATGCAAGACGAGTTATTCATCGCGACATTAAAAGTGATTCAATTTTTCTGAAACGCAAAGTATCGAAGTAAGGTTTGTTTTATTCATCTTCTTTGTATATGTAAAACAAAAAAATAAAATGAAAATAATTAAAAAGCGTAATTTCATCTCATCAATAAAAAAACATGCAGTCATTCTCAAATATTGTTGCTCATTCCCATCGCTAGTTGTACGATTTTTTCATACGATGTTCTCATCGATTCGGCTTCATCTTTTATCTCTGTAAAAATATTTACAATTAGTTACAAGTTTGATAAATTGAATTAAAGTTAGATCAATTAGAAAAGGGCTGCTCAAGTGGTGTTTATTCCCTATTTAATAATGCATCACAAAAGTTTCCAAAAAATGCAATGAGAAAGTACGAAAAAATTTCGTGATATTATTTTGAATTTTGAGATCCAAAATTCAATTTCGAGTTTCAAAAGGGATTCCCATATTTTTCACATTTTCCATTTGTGTTCAATCCCAATTGAGCAACCCTTAACCCCATCTTAATGACTCACTATTCATAACTTCTGCGTTTTTTCTTCTTTTCTTATCTCGTTCGCCAATTTCCCCAACTTTTGCATCATATTCTTGGTCGATTTTTTCGATGCACTTTCGTTTTTTCACCTCCCTTTCTTTTTCCAATTGCAATAAAAAATCCAGCTGAGCCTTCCATTCCTCATCTTCTTCAGGAACCTCGATTGTTCTGTAATAATTCACATTACAAATTTTTTAAATATTAATTTGATAGTATAGATTTACAAATTGTAGATAAACATAAAAACTTACTTTACATCGAATCCTGCAGCTGTCGTTTCCCCTTCTCCCGATACTATTGTTTCTCTCGTTGGTAAGCTATGTTTCCTAAATCATGATTATGAAACAAAATAGAAAACACCTAAAACTTACCCGAACAGAAACACATGTTTTTTAGTCAAGTAGTCATTAAAATCTTTTACATCATAACCAGATGTGAACGAAACCAATGCAGTTGTCGCATTCTTCTCTTTTCTAACCGAACGAACTTCCCATCGTTGATTTAAATGTGATTTTATAATGTCTTCATCAAGTCCCACATGTAAATTGAAAACTTTAACATCTAGTTCGTCGCAAATTAAGAATTCGATATTGGATGTTGTGAATCGATTGAAGTCACTCTGATGTTTCTGTAAAAATATATATTTATAATCACTATTTCTGCTGAAAACAAGGGGAAAATTTCTTGAGATGGGCTCCAAACAAAGACTAAAACTCGCTTCCAACAATTCTCAATGCATTCAGAAAATCAAAAACTCATTCCAGTTTTTCTTATTTTCGTAATGATTGGGATCAATGTTTGAAAATTTAACAATTTAGTTGAGATTTGATGATTTCGAAGCCAATGTCACAAAATTTTTCTGTTGCAAAAAATCAAAAAAATTTCTTTGAAAAAATTAAAAATTGAAGTTGATTTCACCCGAGTCCACATGCAATCATTTTTTCCAGAAAAACTCACAAATTTCAGTTGTACAATTGTTGCTCCAATTCCCACATATGTTTTGCGAAAATCGTTATAACCCTCCATTAATTCATCGATCACTAAGTATTTGGGATGATTTTTTGGTAATTGGCATAGCCATCTGAAAAAAAAAATTTTTTATATGAAAAAAATCGGATCTATTTATTATTAGTTTTGAGACCTCGAACATTTTCAATTACAAAATGTTCGAATGTCCTATAATTTGGAAAATGTATTCCAAAGTGTTTTTTAATATTCTGCTCGAGTTTCTATAACCTAAGATGTGTAGAACTTACTTTGGACACCATTCGATAATTACAGAAGCATTTTGAGTTGAATTCATCATTTGATGAGAGAAAAAAAATAATGAAAAATATAGGCGGTTTGCTCCCACATCACACGTACACGTGAAATAATTTAATGTAATTTTCTCTTTTATTTATTTTTTTTACAACATTCCAACAATGATTAGGTTCAAAAAATAGTAACAGAAAAAGTGAAACTAAAATAAATGAGGAGACTGTACGCCTGGGGGCTAACGGTTCCTAGTCTATGTGCGGAAACGGAAATTTATTTTCCGATTTTCTCATAACTAATTCTTTTTGCAAACCGAACAAGCTTGTTACGCACGAAATTTTAATAACAAGCTTGTTCCCATCTGACTATGATGGTTGCGAAATAATCATTGAATAATTTAATTATTTGAAAAAGGAATGAATATGGTTCGTCGGAAAACACGTTTGATTTTTTTCATAGAAAAAAGGCCTCATGCGTTTTCACAACTCAAAGTTGGCATACGTGGGAAACATAAATTAGAACTCCCATACGCTATCAAAATACATATTCGAGATAATTTCATGAAATTTCAACTCACGATCACTATGACGTTACAAAATGGATAAAATTAAGAAAGATGGGCCCCATTGAGGAAATGCACAAAAAATACATGGCCCCATTGAGGAAATATGCAGAAATTATATATGTTATCTTTTTAGGTGGCCCCATTAAGGAAAAAGTGAGAAATTCTTATTTTTTTCTTGCTGGCCCCATTGAGGGAATTTGCCACACAAGTGGCCACATTCAGGTGGCCCCTTTTTCTGAGAAAATGGCCCCTTTCAGGGGCCCCATTCAGAGATTACCAAAAAAGTGTCCAGTAATTTTTTTTTGAATTTTACTTTTTGGAACATGAAAAATTATCGAATGTTTTAACCACAACAGGGATTTTCAGACAAAAATTGAGATGTTTCTTGAAGGCCCAAAAAATACAGTATACAAAATTGAAAACCGAAAAAAACCCTGGAAAAACAATCCCCAAAATATACGTTTCAAATTTTTCTCAAATTCTGCGTTTTGAAATTTGAAATTGATCTCCTTAATTTTGTCATCATACCATCAAAAAATATAATTTCAGTGGAAGAGAAAACCAAATATACAGTAAACTTTGTCGAAATCAATTTTGAAAAACAAATATTCTATATTTTCGGTTAGAAAAAAATTTCTAAAAAAAAACTTTTTCCTGATTTTCTGATAGTAAAAATTACAAACTAGACTGTAGTAGGTCCAAAAACCTTCCAACATAAATACCGAGACCAAAATTGGAACTCAGAAAAAAAAAACCTGGGAAAACAATTCCCGAAATTATACGTTTCGAATTTTTCTCAAATTCTGCGTTTTGAAACTTGAAATTTATCTCCTTAACTTTGTCATCATACATTCCGCAAATCCGCAAAAAACAGGGGAAAATGTGAAAAATTAGTAAGTTTTATGGAGGAAACATGCTTTTTAATTTTCCAAAAACGTCAAATAAAAAATGAGAAACCTTTTATTATTGGAAGGAAGTTTTGCTGGCAATTTCAACAAGATGATTCTGAAATGGTTGCAGCTGGTAGAAATTATGTAGTGGTTTTCGATCAGACTGAGAAAATTCATCGTCTATATATTGCTCGAGATACCCAAGGAAGAAGTGCAGGCTGCGGTGAAATTTGTTGAAATTCAACGAAGATCTCATATGGAATCAACACATTGTTTGCTGGTGGATCAATTCGAACACCACTACAACATTATGATGTTAATGGAGGATCTCATCATCATCATAATGGAATGACTCCAGCAAGTGAGTTTTTTAAATTTAAAATCTGCCAATAAAATAATTTTTTAGTGGTTGCCAATTTTCAATGAAAGTCAACTTTTGCCAGATCCAACTCTCGAACTTCATCCACCAGCTTCTCAACCTCCACCATCTCGCGAAGAAGACACTTCTGGTGAATTTATTCGTCGAGCCCCAACAAAGGGAAGTATTTATTATGGAGTTGGATATAATCCAAAAAGACATCGTCGTGAAGTTCTTATAAATTCTTCGGATTTAAAGACACCTGAAAACTCACGATTTGTTATGAAGAACGGATATCCACATATGGAAATGGTTGGAGAATTGAGAGTTTTTGAAACACCACAAGATGTTGAATATTTTGGTAATCTTCATTTTAAAAAATTCATCATTTTCTAACAAAAGTATAATTTTTCCAGAATCGGCCAATCCACCATCAACAGTTTGTCCATCTTCATCTTCTACATTATTTTTCACTTTACTTGTCACTGCACTTACTGTTCTTTCAATTCTTCTTATTTCCGTCTTCTTATTAATTTCCTCCAGAATTAGATCAAAGAAAAATAATTCTATTCATTTTGCACAATAATCATCATTCTATTCTCTATTGTATATATAAACATATAAATTATTCTAACTTCCCGTGATTCTTTCCAATGCGGAAAATGACTGAAATTATTCTGATCTTTGTCTTCTTCGTTCTTCTTGTCTTGTTTTTTGTTCGAATTGAATACGAAGTGCTTCTTCTTTCACATCAACATATTCGAGTTGTGCTTTCAGAAGAGTCGTGTCCATATGTTTCGCTTCAGCCTTAAAAAAACCTTTGGATTATAATGTAAAATCTGGTTGTTTTCTTGAACAAAGCATACTTTCTCTCTTTTTTTCCAATTGTCATTTTAAAACTTTGAATTTTAAAACCACTTCATGAATAAAGAAAATCATTTTCTAATAATAAACAGATTTTTGATGATTTAAAAGCAGCTTACATCTTTTATTTGTTCTCTCAACATTCTTCGCTCCAAATTTGATGTGAGAATATGTGGGGGAGTAGTCCAAATTTCGTCCAAATCTGATGGTTCTCTCAACCAACCAAAATAAATAACAAGAGCAAGAAGTGAACCAAGAGCAGAAAATATTTTCTTATTATCGTGTGCATCTGTTGAATAGGGATCGATTTTATAACCCGGCAAATTTCGAATATTTGGCATATTTCGACCCTGAAGCAGAAATATTTATAACTTTATCAAAAATCTTTGGAAAAATGACGTAATTTGAAATAAGTTTACCTGAAAAGCAGCACTTTGTGTGAATTTTGGTTCTGGTTTCTTGGCTGCTCCTTTCGAACCTGCTCGAACTGCCAAACTTCTAACAATCACGATTCTATTCATCCGAGGTAGAAGCATCACTTCTGATAAGACGATAATTTTTAGTATTCCATTAATCATTTCCAGAAGAAAAATAAATTTGGAGTTTTTGACCTGTATATCACAAACTATAAAAATTATTTTCAGATACTTTATCAAATCAACAATGAAAAAAACAACAAAAACAGTAAAAGAACAAAGTATTTGATTAAAAAACAATATTATTCAGAATCAAGCTCAACATATCCGTCTTTTTTGTTCCAATATCCTTTGAAAATGAGACGGAATTGGGACATTTTGATTTCGAAATGTTTGAGGATTTTGGCTTGCTCGACAGTCAAAGGTTCTCCTTCTTTACAAACTTCAAAATCTTGATATAATGTGATAACTCCTTTGTCGAGTTTTGTTGGAAGACCAAGTTTTCTCAATTGTGGTTCCATGGAAAACGCGAATTGAGCGATTGGTCCTTCTGGAAGAGTAACATCTTGTGTAGCAAGATCGCCAACACGAGCATAATCTTCTTCAGTCGACTCGCTGAGTTGTCTGAAATTTGAACATTTTTTTAGCCAATAAAATTATCTTAACTTACTCGATAACCTTTTCATTACTCAAATTTGTGAACATCAATCCACATTGCCCTTTTAATTGTGCACTTGCTTTGTGAAGTCCGTTGGCATATTCGTCCGATTTATTTTTTCCCAAGGCAATCGACACGACATTGTTTTTACCGAAGAAAAATCGAGAATTTTCCTTATATTGTTGTCTGATTGCAATGAAACGAGTGCTTCGCATATTAGCAATTGTGAAAATCAATAAATTCTTATAACTGTCGACAGAACTTCTAACCTCGTTGATTAACCCATTTTTTCCATCCTTGGTCTTCTTTTTGACTTTTGTGAGCGAAACTGTAATCAAAAACGTAAATATAATTTTTTGGAAGATAAATTCACTAACCATTTTTATCTCTGCGTGAGCGGGCCATCTTGTTGTTCGAGAAACAAAAAACTTGGAAAAATGGAAAAAACGAAAAAGAAAATCCCAATGTTCCCTTTTGCGTCGCGGTGTTTGCACACACCAGTTGACGACCGTATACAATTAATGAAATTTTTTTTATTTTTTGCATGTGTACAGTAAGACTAACAAAACTAACAAGATATATGAAAATACAAACATGAATGAAAATGAAAAAAATTCTAAAAATGAAGAATTCAATTGAGAAGCACGCGAAAAGTCGAAAAATTGTATCAATTCTTCGGAATCCACACGTTGGCATGGTCCTTTTGTTATTTGTGTAGTCTGAAAAACATTCATTCATTTTTTTAAAGGTGATGTATTATGTATTACATTCAAGACAGTTCTGCCACACGAAAAGAGTTTTTGAGTTTCCGAAAAGTTTGAATCAGCCGAATATAAAAAACGGAGCAAACCGTAATTCGTGAAAAACTTCGAATTGAAAAATTGTGCAGGACCCAAATTACGACAAGTAGAGAAATACATCAAAGTGATAGATGATACTGTAAATGGCATTATTTTCAAGAAAAAAAACTTGATGAATTTACCAAATAAAAAAGGGTTTGATATTTGTGATAAGAAGTTGGCAGCGATGAAGTTCAAGAAAATGAAAAATAATAGAGTAGCTGCTGATTTTTCATAATCCACGTGGTGTAAATCTAGAACAAAAAAAAACGAATTTGGAATTATGTTTATCTTGAATAAACTAACCGACAAAAATGATAATAGAGAAAGCCAATGAAAGCGAATAAAGAAAACTTTCAAACATCGATAACAAAACTTTGAAGATAAAATTGATTGTTTGTATTCCGTTGATATTTTCAAGATCGATTGCATTTCTCATATTTATCAATCCTAGAATAATTGGAAAAAAACATTCCAACATAATCGATAAAAATATTCCGATTGAGGAAAGCATCAGGTAATATCAAAGATAGATCAGAAATATAAATCGATAATATTGTTGATAAAGTAAATATGCCAAATAAACTCAAAAGGCGAGTTGTTAAATCATTCCAAACATTTAATACATAATAAGAAACAACTGCTACAATCTGCGCAATAATACTTGGTTTTGGTAAATCTAACAATACTTTTCCAATTGAACCTTTTTCAAATATTTGCCCAATTAACATCCATTTATTAACAAGTCGTGATATTCGAATAGAAGATTCTCTTGATGCTTCACTCGTCAAATTATCATGTGTCACTAAATCGACATAATAATCACAAGGGTTTTTGAATTTTGGACAAGGACATCCTATATTTTCGAAATATTCTGGTAATTCTTTTGGTGTTCCTAAAAATATAACACGTCCAGATGCCAAAAGAAGTGTTTTGGAAAACATTTTCAGAACATCAATGCTTGTTGGAAAATGTGCAAGAATCACTATTTTGTTAGTTTTGTTGGCCCATGTTCGAAGATAATCAATTATAAAACATTGATCATGAAAATCAATATCTTTCAAAATATCAGGAATCAGAAGAATATATGGATCCCGAATTAAATGAATCGCAATTTGAATTCTTGTCCATTGTGATCGATTAACTCGACTACATGAAATATCACAAACTTGAACTAATGATAAATCAGTTATCAAACGATTCACCTACAATTTTTTGTTTACTTTTTTTGATTAAAAAAAAAATAAACTAACCAAATGTTGAGAACCACCATATTTTTGAGTAGCTGGTGGATTAAGTTGAGACTGTATTATCAAAAATTGTCGAACAGTTAGATATTTTGGTCTCGTGATTGGTTTCACATATGCAATTGTTTTTTCTAATCGATCTCTTGTCATTCGATGTCCATTTATAAATATATCTCCAATTAATTTACTCTTCTTGGAAACGCCAGCAATAACTTCTAACAAACTGATCATCTCAGATTCTAAATTTAGAAAGATTGCGAAATTTTTTCTTCTCAAAATCTCACTAACCTTTTGTGAACATAAGCACTAAACAATCGCCCGAATTCAATTGAAAGCTCACATTATGAAATTCTTGTTTGAGAACAGGGAGTCGTAACAAAAATCGATCATAAGAACTTCGAAAATCTCTCGAGAAAGATAATTTATTGATATATAATGTTGGAAAACTTCTGAATCAGCAAACATTTTTGTTTTTGTTCTTGATGAAAATAAAAATATCTTACCCATCTGTTGTCGAAGTTGAAGTATGTGCAGAATATCGAACCGGATTTTTCTTCAGATTTTTAATCGGAAGAGTTAATCTAGAAGATTTGAAAAAATCAGCATGTCGAGATCGAATAGTTGAAAAATAAATTGAATTTCTGAAAGAAAAGCTACAGTAATTTTATCAACAGTAAAACAAACCTATCAGAATCATCTTCATCATCACCGGTTGACATATTATTTTAAGTTAGGCTAGAAAAAATTGAGATACGGTAAAAGTAACTGCTTTCGTTTCTATAATTTCTGAAATAAACTAGTCATCCACCCAAAAACCGTCTTCCAAGAAAGTGCGCGAAACAAATAATTACCATATAATTGGAGGTCGTTCTATTCCTCATTCTTTTCCCCTATTTTCTTCTGAATTTCAAAAAGTTTCCCACTGTGTGCGTTTTAGGATTAGCCCCAATACATTTTAATCAAGGTCTTTATATTATTTTTCTCAAACAAATAAATCACATGAGATGGTTGAACCAGAAAAACATTATCTGGAATGCAAAGATATTTCATATATGACAGCAATTGCTCAAGGAGGATCATGGTTAGTTTCTCATTTGAACTTATGAATTTTGTAAAAGCCTAATTAAGGTTCTCGAAAATTTACCGGCCTCCTTCAGTCTTTCAAATTTTGAAAAATGTTAGCTTCACAGCTAAATCAGGTGAAGTTCATGCAGTTGTAGGAGTCACAGGTAAGATGTTTTATTTACTGAAAGTCGCTAAAAATTTCACATTAAGAATCTGGAAAAACAACACTGTTTGAATCTCTGAGCTCTGGAGTTGGTGGAGATATTGGTGGAATTGCAATGCTTGATAAATTCATGTTAACAAGTACGGTAACCACTACGGTAAGATCATGCAATTTATCTGAATATCAAATTTAGAACGTCGGTTTAACAAATATTGTGCTTATTCAAATTACCGTGTCACTTTTCCTTCAACTCTTTCAATTCGATCACTTCTTTATTATCATGCACGACTCTATCTTTCTTCGATTTTGACAAGTTTAGAAATTGATCATCGGGTAATAATTTGAAAAATGTTTTAATTCTGAACATACGTTTTTCAGCTGAACGAATTAATGGGAATTTTTGATATTCTCGGTTATTCTGAAGAACGTCTCAAAGATTTAACTGTCAGTGCCAAAAAACGAGTTCTTACTGTAATTGAACTTTTAAAAGATCCAGTTCTAATTCTTCTCGATGATCCAATATCAGATTTAACTCCATTATCTTCATATCAACTAATTTATGCACTACAATATTATGCAGCAAAATACAATCGAATTGTTATTATTTCTTTAAGAAATATTCGATCAGATTTGTATCATTTGATTGGTTCAGCCACATTTCTTTTTTACGGACAAGTTGCTTATAGTGGACTAATGAATAATTTGGTTGCTCATTTTAGTAAAGCAGGTTATGATTGCCCAAAAAATGAGAATCCGGCAGCGTATTACTGTAAGTTTCTCAATTATTTTTTAACCGATTAGAATTTATATTTTTCAGTAGCACTTTTGACAGTTGATAAAGAAACAATGGAAAGTGTGATGGAAACCCATGAAATTGCAACAAATCTGATATCATTTTATGAAGAGCAATCAAAAGAAACAGAAACAACAGCAACAAATACATTTCTTGAAAATTTGCGTAAAAACACAAGATTTCCTGTGATTTTTCGAATTTTAATCAGTCGATTTTTGGCAATTCTATTAAGTTCTCCTCGATTAACATTGAGTTTATTGATTTGTTTGCCAATTTTTGGATTTATTTTGTCTTTTATTTCTTTGCCACAATCATATTTCTTCTGGAAAAATATCAGTTTCATATATTTGGTTCTTCAATTCATATCACTTTTACCAATTTGTAAGTTCTTATTTTTATTTCAATCAAAATTAAAATTTGAAAAATATTGCAGATTCTGAAATGCGTAACTTGTCATTTCTTGAAATCACATGTTACTCTCAATCTCTACATACCGTAGTTTTTCTATTATTTTTCATAATATTCACTGGTTTTCAAGCATTTTTGTTCACTGGAATATTAATTTGGTCAACGAGTTTTGAATTTTATCTCGAAGTTGGATTTATTCTATTGCTTTTATCAATATTTGGATATTCAATATTTACTATTTCTTCGAGATATTTCAAAAAGTTCGAAAACATAATTTTGGTTCAAACAGTAATATTATTGATTTTTCATACATTTGCAAATGGATTTCAAGATTCCAAATATCTACAGTACTTTTCATTGGCTAACCCATTTACTTATTCAAATTATATATTTTCCACTATAACTTCTTTGAACTCTACTGATATTTGTGAAGGTCCAAAATATTATTGCAAGTAAGTTCGAATATTTTAATTTTTCAAATTATTTTTTATTTCATCTATCAGTATGCTGTCTACTCTTCACATCGATCTTTTTCCGTCGCCTTTTCCTTCAAGTTTTCTAATTCTAAGCGCAATTTGTTTAACATATCTTATTTTATCAATATTTATACATTTATTCGAACCGTCTGTGAGCTTACAAAAACATATGAAATATTTTTAGAACTTTCGATTCGGAACTGATTGTCTGAATTCTATTTTATTTGTGCTTTGAAGTTGTTGCCGTTGTTGTTGCGGTTTTCTTGATTTACTTCGAGTTTTGCGTTCAAGGTTTTCTTTTTTCAGTCGACGCTGAAGAAGTCGATCACGTTGAGCACTTCTTTCATCAACCATATGTTTATTCGAACTGAAAAAAAATAATTTTCTCAAAATCAGAAAAAAGAAACCCTAACCTTGTGTCAATTGCATTATCCGGTAAAAAATACCAAGTATCTCGAAAAGATTGTCCAACAGGAATTATAACATAAGCTCCTCTTGACATTAATTGTGTAACTTCTCGAATTTTTTTGCCATCCATATCGACAAGTTTTTGAGGATTAATATTATATCTTCGAGCTATTAATTCCAAAACATAATTCATTCCCTTTTCGAGTTGTTTTCGTTGAAAATTCATATATTGACATTCCATTCCAGCACCATTCAGGAAAACGCTGGAAATTACTACAGTAGATCAAAATTTTTATTAAAACTAACTAAATAATATATGCATCTGGATGCGTTTGATCTCTTCGATTAAATATTGCATTACTTTCTCGACGTGAGTAATTCAGATGTTTTCTGCAAAAAAAAACAAAATTTCATATTGTCATTCCGAAAATAAAAGAACCCCCGTTTGAATTGGCGGTCACGTACAGTAGACTAAAAATGACGTGACACATGCACATCAAACTGGTTGGCAAATAGCCAACGTGTAAATTTCGCATTTTATTTTTCAAATAGACTTCAAAATTTTGCGAAGTCTACTGTGGTCTTGGTTTCCTAGGCCATTTCGGTTCTCTTCCAAGTTCTTATTTTTTCGGAATGACAATACGAATTTTGAAAAAGACTAACTGCTTATGTTTTTCAAGAGCTTCTCGATCTCTTCGAATTGTTTCATCATTATCAAATTCACTAGTTCGAGGATTTTCATCATAACTAAAATCAAAATTCGGTCCAGAATATGATTTTTTATAGCTATTTTGTTTTGTATCATAAACTGCTTCATCAAAATACTCATCATATTCCTTCAAGTTATTATTCGTCGTATTTTTTCGAAGTGTTGTTGTATAAGGTCGAGGAGGTGGTGTTGCAGGTACAGTACCACTTGGATATGTTGATCGAACTGAATTCGATGTATAATATTCGGGAGCCGAAAGTGATGTATAACGATTTGTTTTTCGTTCAATATTTTGTTCAATTGGAAGAAGTGGTTCTTCTCCAGTTATAAAATATGTGGATAGATCTTGTATTTCTTCCGGATCAGTTATTTGATCTCCATCACTGCAAAGTGGTTTTCATTAATAGAGAGAACTTGAAAGTTTTAGAAATATAATTAATTATCGAGAGATGTGTAATTATAGATCAAGAGAGAATATACCATATTTTTGATTTTTGAAACAAATGGGATTCATGAGGTTTTTCTCTACCGCAAGTATATATTTCATATTCCAGTTAAAAAAATATTCATACATAGAATAAATGGCTTCTGCTCCATCATCTAATCCAACATACGGTCCAACATCTTCCAATAATTGTTCAAGTTTTGGTGATTGCCATTGTCTCCAAACAAATAGTTTTGGTCTAAAATATTTTATTCACATTTTCACCTTTCACAAAACAAACTTTTCATAAATATCCTCTCCATTTCGTTTTACATAAATCTTCTTGACCTTGGGTCGCGTCATTCGATTCACCAATTTGTCGCCTTCTTGTCTTTTCAAATCACCGCGACGTCGCTTGTTTATTTCAACATATGAAATATCTCCGTTGTCAACTGTAGTTTAACAATTATTCAAAATTTGTAAAAAAAAATGGGGACTTACATGACATTTTCAAAGGGAAAAAAGATGTAGAGAAATATAGTGGAAAAATTGTGGGTCTTTTTGTTGTCAGGGAATATTGTATCCTTGGAGACATAAAAGAGTCCATGTGAAGGATTTATAGATCAAACATATAAATTATACTATTTTTAGGTACTTTGATTGAACTCACTTTGCGAAAATTGAGAAAAACACGTCACCTCGAAAAAAATGAAAAATAGTTGTGAAAATTTATGAACAGAGCAACAAAACAAAAATGGTGAATTACTGTAAAGTCTTTTTAGACACTCTCTGGGAATCTACAGCAATCCACGTGGAGTTATACATTCGGAGTTATTGTAGTAGGCGAAACAGTCAGAAAATCCTCAAAAATTCTAGATTTTGAAAAAAACCTATTTTTCGCAGCTAAGCTGACGTGAGAAAAAAGATTACTTATTTAAAAAAAGTTACGCCTGGGAATACAAATTGTGAATTTGAATGAGACATAGACTATAAAAGAAAAATAAATAAATTTAAAACAAAAAAATAAATAAATTCAAAACAAAAATGGAAAACGCGTGCACAAAACTATGAAAAAATTAATCTACCTATGAAATATTTCATAGTTTGTTGTTCAATAAAATCTGGAAGCTGATCCTATACCATAAAGTGTAATTCAGAGGTTCATATAATCATTTAAACATAGTAATTTATAAACAACTTTCCTTTAACATCAATAGTAATTATGAATAAAAAACTTTACCCAATATTTTTTCAATGAAGCTCTAATCTCACCTGTTAGTTTTGCTCCCCTCTCCCAAACCTCAAAATAAACTAACTTGACTGGCCCGTTCCGTGAAAAGTTGTTGATATCTTTGAATTTCCTGTCCAAACGAAACATCTTCTTTTTCGGAAGCCTGAAACATCTACATTCTTTTTTTCAACATTTTCGCCTATTCTTAAACTTACATCAGAAAATGGCAATTGTGGATTTTATGAGATCCCTGCATTCTGTGACGGTTGTCTCTAAAAAAATAAGAAAATTAAAAAATGTACCAAATCACCCCATTAATAACACTTTCTGCGCCGAAAAAAAACCACTCAAAAACCAGAAAAAAAGCAAAAAATAAAAATGTCGTGCGAAAAAAATAAAAACAAAACAGCGATACTCCGCGTGCGCGTTGTTTAGCGTATTTATTTTGTTGTTTTTTTTGCAGGGTAGATGAGAGAGTGTGGGAAATGGAGAGAGGGTTAGAGAGAGAGAAAGAGAGAGCGATATATTTTTTTTTCGAAAAGAAATTATTGATTGAATGTTTTTTTCGAACTTAATCATTTTTCTGGTTTTTTTTCGGGGTGATTTGGTACATTTTTTAATTTTCTTATTTTTTTTAGAGACAACCGTCACAGAATGCAGGGATCTCATAAAATCCACAATTGCCATTTTCTGATGTAAGTTTAAGAATAGGCGAAAATGTTGAAAAAAAGAATGTAGATGTTTCAGGCTTTCGAAAAAGAAGATGTTTCGTTTGGACAGGAAATTCAAAGATATCAACAACTTTTCACGGAACGGGCCAGTCAAGTTAGTTTATTTTGAGGTTTGGGGGGGGCAAAACTAACAGGTGAGATTTGAGCTTCATTGAAAAAATATTGGGTAAAGTTTTTTGTTCATAATTATTATTGATTTTAAAGGAAAGTTGTTTATAAATTACTATGTTTAAATGATTAGATGAACCTTTGAATTACACTTTATGGTATAGGATCAGCTTCTAGATTTTATTGAAAAACAAACTATGAAATATTTCATGGGTAGATTAATTTTTTCCCAGTTTTATGCACGCGTTTTCCAGTTTGTTTTGAATTTTTTTTCTTTTATAATCTATAGATGTCCTTTTTTAAAAGTAAGTTTTTTTTCTCACGTCAATATTTTCTTCGAGCACTCATTTCTTGTGTCAGAAATGGTCAAGTGGTTAGATCACGTGTTTTTTGTTCACAACGTCCAGGATCGAATCCTTTTGAACGTTCTTGAAGGTATGATTTTCGGAAAAAAAGGGGCAAAAATCAAAAATGTCCAAAATTTCGACATACAAAAAATGAGAACAGGGGCGATCCCATTGAAAAATCCAGCTTTCATCGAGACACCACCCAATCGGGATTTTATTAAACAGGTAAATTACAAGTTTTCAAAAAACAATTCCGAAAATATATTTATCTTCAATATGTACAGAGACAACAAAATTGATTCAATCATCTCCCAAATGATGTGTTTTTCCTTTGACATTTCGTCTCAAATATTGATCAACTCCAACAAAAACCGATTCCCCAACTGCACAAATTGCTGGAAATATTGTCAATGCCAAAAACATCCAATATTTATAACTCGAACAATTTTCAATTGTTGGAACTATTTCAGTTGTTAATGATGTGGAAGTTGAAGAAATTGTTGAATTGAGAGCATTTTCAACAAGGAGATTATCACCAAATGTTGTGCATGGTTTTGTTAGAGTTGGAAAGCCACCATTTTCCAAGAAAAATGTAAGAATAAGAACTGGTGCTAATTGATCGGCTGGTTTATTGAATAGTGCTTTGAGAGTGAAAATAATTGTGGAGAATGGGGATTTTCGATTATTTTGTTTCATATCAGTATCAACAACTTCACCCGCAACAACAATATAAAATCCTTGCCAACCACAACGAGATATTGCACTGAAAAAAATTTGATTCGTAAAAAATTGACCCGATCTCAATTTTTTTTTGAAAATAACAGGAGATTAACGATAGTTTTGAATATCCTTCTGGATTTTTATTTGAAAAATTCAAAAAAGTTTGAACGATCAAACTATTCTCACTCATTTTCTGGCACCCACATTTTCAGACAATTTCAAAAATTAAACTCACTTCTCGATAATTATGAAAATTGCAATATGAAGAAGATTATCCATTCCTGAATATAACATAATTCCAATATTAATCAAAGATGCAATATTCAAAGCTTGAATTATTGATTGAGTACCAAATCGATTTGTTGGAAACCAAAGCAACAAGAAAAGTAGACTTCCACAAGATCGAGCCAAAATCAAAAATAATCCAGCAGCTGATGATTCTTTGATATAAAATCCACCACTTACAAGAAGTGCATCAGTGTATGTTATCAAAAAGTTTTCATTTGCCATGAACCTACAGTAAATTATAAAAATCAGCTTCCATAAGCCCTTACAGAAACATTGCTTACCTTAAAATTTTGAAAAACTGCGCACCAACCAAACAAATAAATCTTGGTTCTTTGATAACTTGCCATGAAACTTGGAATGCATGTTTCCATCCTTGTTTCTCGATTTCTTTTTTTGGATCTGGTTCAGTTTCGAGTTTTTCCAACTGATGAATTTCAGGCAAAGTATTCAATGATTTTTTCAATTTTGTGGCTGAAAATACCATTAAACCTGCAGATACAACAGCGACTGCAACACAAATTGATTGAAACATCCAGAAATGCTCATTTGAATGTGGCATAGTTTCAAGTGGATAAATCATAAAACCCGCAATAATTGTGAATATTTCACCATAAACAATAACTCGTACACGATCTGAATGACTTTTTGACATTTCAACACATAATCCACAATATGCAGATAATACAAGAGTTAGTAATGTATCATAAATGAATAGAGCAACAAGCATTTGAAGAGCAGTTACCCATCCAATTGTTCTGAAATCAAAAGAAGTACTGTAGGTGAAAAAAGTCAAACTTACGTCGACCATGGGAACCAAAACAACAAAAACGAAGCGGCAAAAACAGGTCCCGCATATTTGATAACTTTTCTTCTATCCATAATCCATGTCATTCCACAACATCCTAAATCTTGCATATATCCCATAATTGGATCATTGATAGCATTCCAAACAAGAAATAATACTTGGACTATTTTCAAGTAACCAGGTGGCAAATGAAATTCATCGAAGAACACCTAAAATATTTCTTTTTTTTTCAATTTCATTTGTTTTCGAAATTTTTATTCTGAAAAAATACCCTAATATATTCCGAAGTAAATATTGAACCAACAAGATCAGTTGCAAATGATATTAATGAAATTAGTAAGCAAATTCCGAAAAAATAATCATCGCGCATTTTTATCGAGAAATAAATTTTAAAATTATTTATTTTCTGATCGTTAGATTTAGGTCACGCAATCGTGAATTTTTTTGAAGACGAAATTGAACTGTCAATCAAAAACGTTTTTAGGGCTGATTCACGAACGAAATAAATGTTAAAAAATGTTTTTTTAACATCGAAAGATCAATTCACGAAAAGTCAAAAAAATGTCGAAAAAACATTGTAGGTCAAAATAAGTTTTTCGAGTTTTTCAGCCAAAAATGATGACAAATCAATATTTTTTAAGATTCTAAAGTAGTTTCTAATAAAAATTGACCTTGGAATTCACTTTCCAGAAGGTTTTGCTGATTTTTCGTAAAATAAAAATTTTTAAATTTTGATGAATTTCGAAAAATTCACAAAATAAAGCAAAATAGGGTTCTCAAAGCTTATTTTCATCAGAAATTACTCCAGAAGCTTAAAAAATATCGATTTGTCATCATTTTTGGCTGAAAAACTCGAAAAAATAATTTTGACCTACAATGTTTTTTCGACATTTTTTGACTTTTCGTGAATTGATCTTTCGATGTTAAAAAAACATTTTTTAACATTTTTTTCGTTCGTGAATCAGCCCTTTTGGAAACTCGCTAAAAATTGCATTTTTTCAATGATAGGTCAAAAACAGGTTTAGGGTTATTATTTTTATATATTTAGTTGAATATTCTTTAAACCTTGTTCTTATCACATTGAAAGCCAAAATTTTGTGAGTTCCCACGCATTTGCATTTTTGCAATAAAATCATGGCTAGACAGAAAACTGTACAAAAATCAAAACATTAAAATTCGAAAAAGTTCTCAGAATCATAAAATTAATCTTCCAATACAAAAATCAAGCCCTGAACTCACTTTAATATATTCAGCCGAAAAAATATTATTAACAAGTTCATATCCAAACGAAACAAGTGAAACATATAAAGCAGTTAGAGTTATAACACCTTTCAATTTCGAAAAAAGTTTTATTTTCATTTTTAGCAGAAAGTACAAACGATTGAGCGGGTTGTGTTTATGTCTATCTTCATAATAATAATACCGACAGTATTATTATGTTTTTTTTGTTGTCATACATATTTGTTCATTGTTATCGTTCCTGTTAATCGATTTTTTGCGCGAAAAAAATCATTTCTTGTCTTTTTAGAATTCGAGGCTAACAAAATGTAACTTTTAATTAATTAATTCCAGGTTTTTGTTCCACATTTTCTCTTCAGTTTTTATTGCTTTCCTGATAAGAAAAAATGTATTGTTCCACATTTGAAAATGAAAATTTCTCTTTTTCAACAGGGATTATATTTGATGAACTTTTTTTTTTCTGTATCAAACACAACATCAAAACACATTTTTTTCCGGGATTTTAATTCCGATCAACCATGCATCAAAACTCACTTTTATATAGTAAAGACTTTGTATTGTGAGCAAGAAACCGGCTCCAACAACGGATAAAACCAAGTTGAAAGTTGGCCAATGAATTATTCCCATTTTATATGTTCTGAAACACAATCATCCTGTTTCTACAGTATGAAAAAGAGAACTAGAACATCTTTTGAATATTAAAAATAAAACGAAAACAATCATAATAAATAAATAAATTCTTACAAAAATACAGTAATCTTAAGAAAAAATCCGCCAACGAAGACCAATAAAACAGATTCCAGACAACTCTGAAAACTTTAAAAAATGCTGATTTGATAAGCATGTCTTTTTTGTTTTCATGAATCGACCGCCAAATGAAATTTGAAACCAAATATGATAAGGGAAAATATTTCTACGCATATCACAAATAATAAAATATGGATAAGTATCCGAAAGAGTACAATCAAACTGGTTTTTTTTGTTGAAAATATTTAAAAATGAAGGGTTAGTGTCGGTTGGGTGCAATCTTTTGATGTTGTTGTTGTTATTTCCGATTATATCGTTTTTTCGTAGTTATTGTAGTTTCTATCTTTTTGATGGGCGTTTTTTTATAATTCCTTTGTTCACTGATAATCAGTGTTGTTCTATCAGAATGTGAAATTGAGTTCATGAGCTCAAACATCTACACATTGTGATCGAATACTATTAAACAAAAATTTTGAGCGGATATTTTATTGAGTCGAGCTGGTTGAGTCGTCAGCCAAACAAAAAAATCAGCACAAGAAAAAATACAGAAAAATAATTATGGAATCGAAAAAACAGCACCGCATCGTGTGGCGGCGTCCCCAACCTAATAACCTGGTGGAGTACGTGGTTCTGGACAATGGTCGCAAGATCCTTCATCTCCTGGTGGTCCTTGTGGCCCTTGTGGCCCAGCTGGTCCTTGAGCTCCGATTGGTCCTGGGCCTCCTTGATCTCCTGGTCCTCCTTGATCTCCGGCTTCAGTGAGTCCAGCAATTCCTGGCAATCCCTTTGGCCCTGGTGGCCCCTTTGGTCCACGTGGTCCTGATGGCCCAGCTGGTCCGTTAACTTGGATCAATCTTCCTGGTTGTCCAGCTGGTCCTGGTGGTCCTGGCTCTCCAACTCCTCCTGGTGGTCCTGGTGGTCCAATCATTCCTGGCTCTCCTGGTTTACCATCTCCAGCACGTTCTTGTGACTTTCCTTTTGGCCCAGTTGGTCCCTTTGGTCCTTGTTGTCCAACTGATCCTTGTGGCCCTGGTGGGCAGATAATACATGGCTCAGATGGTGGAAGAGCTGAAGTCAAGACGTTTCCTTCCTTTCCTGGAACTCCTGGTGATCCGTGGTGTCCGTCATTTCCATGTGGTCCATCATCTCCAGGTGGCCCTGGTGGTCCAGCAGGCCCTTGTTGACATGGGCAACATGTTGGGCCAATATCAGCTCCAGCTCCAGTTGGTCCTCCATATCCACCGCTTCCACCTGAATATTGTTTTTGAAATTTTTGAACTAATTTTTTTTTCGACAAACCTCCACCTCCACCTTGAGCATAAGCAGCATCTCTGCGGCTACGAGTGACTCCAGATTTATGCAAAACTTGCATTTCAACCCACATGTCTCTAGCACGAGATTTGCAGAATTCGGTTTCCATGATAAGATGAGATTGGAATGATTGAACATACGAGTAAATCATTGGAAGGGTGACAATACTTGAGATAACTGCGGCGGTTGAAACGGCGACGGCAAAAAATGCGACACGGCGCATTTGTTGCTGCTGTTGATCGTCCTCTTTGTCAATCTTCATGTTCAGCTGACGACTGAATATTCAAACTATCATTGATGCTTTTATAGGAGAAATTTAACGAGGATATTAACTAGTTTTGAGATAAGTTAGTCAGTTATCAAATCTAGGACACTGGGACAAGAAAAAAAACAACTTGTTTTTTTCGTTCCTAATTTTCTTTTCATTTAGTAATAACTATATGATAAGATAGTAAATGATTCAGGAATTCCTGAAAATAAACAATTTTGAACTTGATTGATGGTTTTTACACTTTTGTAATAAAATTGTTGCAAGACGAACACTTTTTATTTTATGCAAAAGATAGTGTAGTTCATTTATCAAAATTTATAGAATGCGATTTTGCCCAGTTTTTGATGACGTAAGATAGAAATTCTGCATGTGAGTGATGAGTTTGGGCAACATATCCCAAAGCTTCAGCCATTTGTTCTCTGGAAAAAAATAATGATTCAAAAACTCAACTACAGTAATCAACTCACTTTGGTGCTTTTCCATGAACAAATAATCTGAAAAGTCCTGCAGTTGCTCCTCTTTTACCTTGCCAATTTTCTGGAGAAGGATCTGATTTTTCAAGTTGTGCGAAAGCTTTGACTGAATAATAGTATTCTCCAGCTTTGTAGCAATCATGAGCAATCAATTTCATAAGACTTGCTGCATCTTTTGTATTTCGTGTTTTAGTCATTATATCCCAAGCATAATGTGGCTTTTGGTTGTAAATAACTGAAAATTTATATCAATTTTGAAAAGGTTTTTAAAAACTAAACTAACATGATCTTGCCAACATAAATTTGTACAATGGTTGATCTCTTTCTGGTCCAGTAACACGTAGAAATGCTTCTTCAGCTTCTTTATAATGTCGACAAGCTAATCGAGCTTGGGCAATATTCAAAAGATAAACATCACTTTCTTGATGATATTCTCGAACTGAATCCAAATAAACAATCACTTCGTCATATTTTTGTTGAAGAAATAATGAAGATGCCATACTTAATCGGCCAGGAATTGTATCACATTCTGCAGTTGATTCACCAACCATTTTAAAAAATTGTTCAGCAGTTTTCAAATGATCTTTTGATTCCTTGATATATCCATGAAGTGTAAAAGTTATTGCTTTGACAAGAAACTCATATGGAAGATGAGGTTCTAATTCATTACAAAGAGACATTGCATCATTAACTTGATCTTTTTTTCAAATAATGAACTATCATGTTTAATCTAGCTTCAGGTATCGTATTCATCATACTTGGCCAAACTTGAAGAGCTCCATCACCACAATTAAAAACAACTTGATTATGTCGAATAATTTCACGAGCTGACGGATATAAATTTGTTTTCATGAGATTTTCGACACCAGGTAACGCTGATTTTCCAGACCAACTTTTATATCTTATACATGCTGCAAGATTTTGAGCTGCTGGACTTTCCGGAAACGCTTGAAGATAGACAGCAAGAACATCCTAGAATAAAATCGATTTCATTGTTTTTTCACTAATACTAATTTTTTTAACCTGTGCCACATCGAAATAATCCATTTTGTAATAACACATTGCCATATAAACATTCAAAGCAATCAATGATGGCTGTGATGTTAGAATATTCTTATAAACCTCAACAGCATCAGCATAATGCATTCTTAAATAATGAATACTTGCGAGGGATAACTGATCTTCTAAATTTTCGCTGAGTTGTTGATGGAATGTCATCAATCTTTTTTCATCTCCAGTTTTATGTGCCAAATGGAACATTAGTCGGACAAACAACGGGGATTTTGGTGCTAAAAATATATGAAATTATAAAATTGACTTTTTTTCTAAATTTCATTGGAAAACTAACCTTTCTCAGCTGTTGCTCTCGCTTCTGGATACATTCCCAAGAAAAAATAACAGCATCCAAGAAAAAGGGAAGCATCAGGTGGACACTCTTCACGTTCCAACATTGGTTCATAAATATCAGCAGCTTTTCGATATTCACCTGCATGAAAGTAACAATGACCCAACCAAAGTGATCGAGCCTCGTCCCATTCTGGCGATTCTTTCGCTTTGAACTGAAGTTAAACAATTTTTTCATTTGAACACAAATTTTCAAGAAAGTTTTTCATGTTTCTAAATATCATTTTTTAAAAAGAGTATAGGGGATCACATTCCTTTACAAAAGAAAACTCACCTCAAGCAATGAAATTGCACCTTGATAATCCTTTTTCATAAGAAATTCCTCTAGTTCTGGCATTTTTTGAACTTTTCGAGGCTGCGATGATGAAGCTGCATTTGACTTTTTTCTATTTGATCGAAGTCGAGAAAGTAACTGAAAAAAACAAATCTACAGTAATTTCATTTGATTAAAAATATGATTTCGAACTCACCATTATTGGATTTTGTTGGATTATCCTTTTTGAGCTTTCTTATTCTCTGGCAAGTTGCTATGGTAACACCCGCGAAACAAATTGTTTTTGAAAATGAACAAGAGGGAAGAGAAAATAAATAATGCAACGCATATTATCAAAAATAGAAAAATATAATGTTTAAAAACAACATTTTCATGTATTTTCTCAACTTCTATAGAAGATGTATACACACATGATTTAATAATTATTTTTAGAATAATCTTTTTCTAATAGGTGGTTCAGACCGGAGCTAATTGAGGAAAAGGTGTTATGAGTGTCCGAAACGCGCCAATTTTGGAGCTCAAAACTTGACTCCAAAAATTTAGCGATTTCCTCAGGCTATGCCTTTTTTAAGACTTTTGAATCTGAAATATTTCCGCAAAAAATGTCACAATAATATGAACGATGGAATTTATTCTTAAAAAAATACCAGTAATAAATAAGTTGTTTAGAAATTTTGTTCATAATTAGCCTGAATCACAAAATTAAAATATCACGGTTCATCATCTTCAAGGTAAATACTCCAGTAGGCAAAGTTGAAAAGAAGAAATGCAATTGGAAATAGAATTCTATAAGAATTTATTTTGAAAGTTTTATCATTGGATTACTGTACCTTGCTATAATATCAATACGTTCTGCTCGTCCTCTTGATGACAAAACACTGCACCAACGAACTAATTCAACCCGTTTCCTTTGACCAATATATACTAAATCAGTTGTATCGTGAAATGTCCAACCTTGTTCCATATGACCAGCAGTTCTTGGCGGTCCACAATCAGTCATTTCTATCGACTCAAAATCACCTTCACCTTCTTGAAGTTCAAGAGATTTTTTGTGCCGTCGTCGAATGAGGCGCTTAATTTTGGTTTTCAATTTTGGTTTTCAAATTAAAATTTTTGATACCTTTTTTTCTTGTGGACTAAATGTTAGAGATTGTAAAGATTCTCCAAATCCATTATCATTATCAATCACATTTGAAAGTCTTGACCTATTACAAGCAGCTTTTCGCATTTGTCTGAAAATATATTGCAGAGAAAAAGTGAACGTTTTGCTATTTATTGACTAACCTGTGTTCATCTAAAATACCCATATAATTAACAACCGCATATTCGATTAATGAGAAGAAAATAAAAACCACACAAGCACCAACCCAAATATCAATTGATTTTGCATAACTAACTGGTGGTAAATTTGAGTTGATTGCTTTAAAATTTTCAAAAATTATTTTTAAAAATAACAATAATATATTTGTTACCATGTGATGTGGTAATCATTGTCAATAATGTAACAATAGCTAACGGAACACGTGCAGCAGTTGATTTCCAATCAATCCAATACGAAACCCAAGCAACTCCGACTAACATTGAAGATGGAATATATAATTGAAGTAAAAAGAAAGAAAATACACGATTCAATCGAATTTCAACTTTTAGACAAGAATATATACCAGTATTTGTTTTTGACGTGCAAGATCCATTTTTAAATGAAGCTATTTCAAAATTCGGAAGAGCTCCATTTGCTTTCTCATGGATTTGAATGGCAGGAACATCCCAAACATATTCTATATCATCGGTTGTATACGCATCTGTAAAATTTCAACTTCAAATCTGTTCGAAAGAATTTGTTCACTGTAGGAAACTGTCAACTCACAAGATGCAAACGCAATTTCACAATTCTGATGATCCATTGGATATCTTGATAAATGCATAGAACATGCCAGATGAAGTGTTAATCTTCGATCATAAATTAATTTTCCATCGGATCTGATTTTCAGAAAACGATTTTCTTGATTCAAATAGTGATACCATCCATTTTTTTCGTTTTGAAAAAAAGTGTCAGGTATCCATAAATTCTGATCTCTCGCAACATGAATGAACTCAAAGTTTCGGTATTCAGATTGTATTAATGTATCTTCTTTGGTAAAAAATCGAAGTCGATCATCATACCATTCTTGTCGAAAACGGAACTGAGCAACAAACTCCTAAAAATTGGAAAGTTAATCAATTCTTTTTAGAAATGAAACTCTACCATATTTTTTTCAGAAACAGCTGAAATAGATCGAACATTCAAACTTGTTGTAACAACAACAGCTCCTTCTGAAATTTATTTGAATTTGGATAACTTTTTTTGTTCCTCAACATCTTACTTGTATCATTATAAGGTGTTCTTCCTGATGGTCTAACAGCTGGATCATAATCTTCTAATAAATCACATACTGTCATTTGTTCTCTCCATGCTTCATAATTTGTTGTAGATCTACTGAATGTTGTTCGTTTACTGAAATTTTTCGAAATTGATTAGAACTCAACGCAATATTTTTTTTTACCAAGATTTACTCTTTGATTTCCTCCCAACCAAAAGTGGCACCAATAACAACAAAAATATCAAAACTCGTCTCATAATCGCATTTTTGAATCTGAAATTATTCTATTTTCTTTTAAAAGATAAATAAATAAGAAAGAAGAATAAGATCAATAAGAACATAGAACGAATAATAACAACAACAATAATAAAAAATAATAAATAATGAAAAGTAGAAAAATGTGTGTATTTGTGCACGACTGAAAAAAAGGTATAGAGGTAAACGCTCTTCCCCTCACTTGGCTATTACTAAAATTGTGCTCTTTCTTTTCTTTTTTCGTTGTGCTCCTCGACACACTCATTTTCTCTCCGACTCTCACTCTCAACTACTATCTCATCATGTAAATTCATTTTGGCACAATCCTCGGATTTTTACCTTCATTATGATCATTTAGAACATAGGTGACTGAAGTGAAAGATTTAGACGGAGAGAAAGAGAAGGTTGACAAAAATATCTTAAATTCATAAAATCGCAGAAATGGGTGTTTCAATGAATTTTTGATGTGTACTTCTTTTGGACAAAAAAAAGGGAAATGCTTGCAACGCGTAGGAAAAAAAAACGAGAAGACAATATATTCAAATCCTTTCCGCGCAAAAAGTAAATTCAATTTTTTGAAGGATGGACATTGAAGGAAAACTTGAAATGTGTAGAATATTGAAGAAAGATGGGCGACGAATAATTAATTTAGAAGAGTAAGAAAAAAGAAGAGGTGTTGTCGTCGTATATGTTTAGATCACTCATTTTTATGAGAGAGAAAAATAAGAAATTCGAGAAATTCCGAAAAAAGGAAACATTCAAATTAGTCAACCTACTTTTTTGAAGATTCTTATTCAAGGAAAAAAGTTGTAAAAGTCGCAACATTCAACAAACCTAATAAAATGAGGAAAAGTATCAAATAAACATTTTGACCAAATTGCCAATTAGTCTTGTCTCAAATTTGGCCAATCACTTTTTTTTCTCCATTTTTTTAAAGAAAAAAAAATAGCATAGCACAAACGACATACTTGAACCACTTCTACCAAAAAATGTTAGTTATAAAAAACTACTTTTATGCACTTGTTTTATTTAGCAGAGTCTTGAGATACGAACATTTCGACATAGAATACTTATACAAAAAATATATTTATTTAGAATGAAAAAATATGTATATATATATATATATATATATTACACCGAGATAATCTCGCCCAAGGCAAAAAAATATAGAAATATGAAGAGCAAATGAGATGTGCAAAAAGTAAAAGAGAAAAAGAAGAAGAGAAAAGCTTTTTGAGATGATCAAAAACATCATATTTCGACGTCATAGTGAAAGGTATTGATTACAAGAAAATGAGAGTTGAGCTTTGACGTGACTACAGTAATCTTGTTAAAGAAAAAAACGGAAGCATGAATAACAAAAATAATTGAGTTAAAAATTGAAAAACAAACGCACGAGAGAAAAAATTTAAAGATTGGAAACTTTATACACTAGAAAAGTTGAGTATCGAATAACTTATGCAGTTTTTAGAAATATATAAAGTTTTGAGCGAAACACGAGGGTTTTTGAATAATTGACATGTTTTTTGTTGACTTGGTCACCACCTTTTAAAGGGCGAAAATCTGTCAGAAAAAAAAAATAAAGACAGGTTGACTTATTCAAAGCAAAAACACATGGAAAATCAAGAGGCTATTGTTGCGAGTCGGGAGACGAAAAATGAAGGAAGAAGAAGAAGAAAAAACTAAATTTAGTTTAGCCAGAAGCTTTTGTGTTTTTCTTTTGTTCGAATTTTTGACACAAATACTAGAAGCGAAATTGAGTTTGGAGAAAAAAGCACTTCGTGAAAAGGAAAGGGTTTTGTTAAGAAGAAGAAGAAGAAACGAAGAAGGAAGAAGAAAGTAGAAGTAAATTGTTTTGAAGAAGGAACCGACCACTAATTAACAGAGCACGACTAGATCGGATTTCATTTTTTTTTTTTTTGAAAATGAAGAGCTCGATGAAATGAGACCAGAGAAACCCTACCTGATTAAGGCACTTCTTTTTCCTAGCCTCAAAATATATTCCATCCAAATTTTTTATTTGATTTTGATGAAAATTGAAATCCCGAGAAAATTGCCCCGAACTTACATATCAATGGAGCAGACAAACATATCCAAGCAATTTCATGAATTGTTTTGTAGGAATCATAAAATCCACAAGCAGTTCAATCACCATATTGATCCATTTATCTGAAAATTTTTTTTTCAGATTTCTAATTTTAAAAAAAGTTTATTTTTTCAATAACAAAAAATATTGGGAGAAAGAGAGATGATTCAAAAAATTTAAACAACTTTTTCCGATTTGAAAATTCCTAAAATTCCCAGAAAAAAAAAACGTTAGGTGGACTATTTGAAAAAAAAATAGAATTATGAGCTCAGAAAAACACGCAATTCCAAAATGTTCAGAGGGCTGCCAATCGATAAAAAAGAGACGAAAAGAAATTGAAATCCCGCTTGATCTAGAGCGAGTTGAATTTGTGAGTCTAAGATTTTTAAAATTTAGAATTGCTTTCAACTTGATTTTTTAAAGAATATATTTCTGAACCTTCATTAGGGGAAGCGAATAAAAATCATTCTGACTTTTTTTTCGAAACAAAAATGTTAACTAACAGAAATTTCAGAAATTATGGATTCTCAGACCAATAATTTTCAATGTTCCTTTGATTTATTTTTCTCTAAGTCTCCTCACTCTCGCTGGCGGCCTTGCAATGACGTGAAAATTTGAAAACTAATGAGCCCTCCGTTTCCAGCACACAAAATTTTAAAATAAAAGAAGTTTAGGGTTTCTGAAACTAAAGAGTAGAAGAATCTGTGTCCCAGTAAGCCTTTATACGGACTATAAACCATTCTTGATTTTCTTCCATGTCTCAAAAATTCAACTTTTCCATTTCTTTTTCTAAAATTCTACGAAACATGTTAAACACACAATACAATCTTCACACATTTCTTGGAAAAATAATGGCCGTGGCCGAGTTTACTTAAAAAATTTGGTTAGCTAGGCCAGCTTGAAAATTTATTTTTTTTTGCATTCTGAAAAGTTTTCAAATTATACGCATTTTTTTGGGTTTTCTGATTGACCCTATCACGATATAAAGGAACCTTATACATTTTTTAAAGATTTTTCTTTTCTCACAATCAGTATTTTTTCATGTACGTATTGTGTTTTTTGTTCGAATTTTTTCACGTAAAAATTAGGAATATTTTGTTTATCTGGGGCCTGATTAATCCATTTTGGGCTTTTTCTTGTATGCGAAATGATTTTTCAGAAAAATGGAATATCCTGCAAAACTACGATTCGCTGTCAGTTGTTCGAGTAACATGAACAGAAGTATGGAAACACACAGCATATTGAAGTACGTTTTTAGATATAATGGTTCTTATATGATTTCTTAATTTCCAGAAAGCGTGGTTATAATATTGAATCATATGGTTCTGGAAATCAAGTTAAAATGCCAGGTCCAACTGTCGATCGTCCGAATTGCTATGAGTTTGGTGCAACAACATATGATCATATTTATAATGATTTGAAAAACAAAGATGTGGGATTGTAAGTTTTTTCAGAATAGTTTAAAAAAAATGAAAATTAAATTTAGGTATACTCAAAACGGTCTTCTTAACATGGTTGATCGAAATCGACATATCAAACCACGTCCACAACGTTTTCAAATTGAAACCAGAGAATTCGACGTGGTATTTTGTTTAGAAGAAAGAGTTTATGATCAAGTTGTAGATCATCTTACAAGAAGAGTGAGCACTTCAGGAAATCCAGTCCATATTATAAATATTGATATCGAGGATAATCCAGAAGAAGCAACAATTGGTGCATTTTTTGTCGCTGAAATTTGTGCAAAAGTGAGTTTTCAAAACCTTTGACTCCATTTGCATTTGTATATTTTTTTTAGCTAGAAAGCAGTGAAGACGTAGATAATGACATCGATCAAATATTAACTGACTTCGAAGATAAGTTTACTAAACGTAATATGTTACACACTGTCTGTTTTTATTGAATTGAAGTCGTTATAAAATCATCTTTATAAGATATGTGAAAAGAAAACAACAAATTATTTCAAGCACACTGGGTTCGAAAGTGAAACAAATATAAAAAAAAACAATTGAGAATCTATGCGGCATATCTGAAAATAACTGCTTGGTTGGATTCAAGTTCGATTTCTTTGGCGCCTAAATCAATCGATTGTCTGGGATAGAATTGTTCACAGTTTGAAGTAGCGGTTACAATCTGAAAAATATTATATATTTATTGATTATATTTTGAGAGAAAATCAAGGAACTTACAGTAGATTTGGAAAGTTTTTCGTTATTTGGTAAGTCTTGAAGTGGAAGTTTGACAGAATGTGGGGCGAAGTTCAAAGCAGCAACGTAAATCTGCAATATTGATATGTTATTGAAAGTCGTCATAAAAACTAAGATCAACTAACATTTCCAGTGGTGCGATTTTCAAAATTGTTAAATCTTGTAACAGTAAATGCACCATCTACTAATCTTCCGATGAGAGTTTTTCCGGTTTTAAGAGCATCATCTCTTTGACGAAGTTTTGCCAATTTGGAGAAAATTTTCAAAGTTGATTGAGATTCCGAATATTGGCGTGCCCAATTAATATTCGGATAATCATCATTAACAGGAACCTAAAATTAAATAATTTTTCTCAATTTTACAATAATGGTCATTTATTACTTTCGAATTTTTGGCTTTTGTAAATCCAGCAAAATTCGAATCATCCCATTGCATAGCTCCTTTTTGTGGTGAAACAATACTATCATTCGCCAAATTTTGCATACCCAATTCTTCACCATAATAAATATTATTAGTTCCCGGTAAAACCATTTGCAACATCAATAGATTTTGAGCATGAGCTCTTGAACCAACTCTTGAAGCGACACGCGATAATTCAGGAGATCCAAATCTCCAATGTGGCCATGCTTTTTCATTCAATGAGTGAAAAAGAAGAACATCGGATAAAATTTCATGAACACAAGTTGCCACGCTTCCCTCATTTTTGTGGCAAATTCTTGAATCTTTTTCAACTTCTCCTAATTCATAATTGATTATAGTATCAAGTCCTGAAGTTGCCATCTTTTTCTTATCTTTTTCCTTTGCTTCTTCACGTGTTGAGAACAGCGCACTGTAATATTTTTTGTTTTTCCTTTGTTTTTCTAAATAACACTTACATTTTCTTTCCTTTCGCAATTGTACTTTCATTTGAATATTGATCAACATGATGACGAATATCTCTGAGAATATCATAAATATCATTCCATTCAGATTCAGTTCCATCCATAGTTCTTGATAAATATTCAATTCCTAAAAGTTCAAAACCATCAATTCCACGATCAATCCACTTTGATAAAACATTGAACATATGACTTCGCAAGTTTTGATTTTTCCAATTAAGAACAGCTGTTTTTGGATTTCCTTCTTCGTGTAAATAAAATAAATCTTTTCGTTGAGTAAAGAATTCAGAATTTGCTGATTGACCTGTCCAAATATAAAATTCCGAATAATTCTTATTTTCTGGAATACTAGCAGATACGGATTTCAAAAACCAATCATGTTCTAAAGAAGTTGTCGCAATCGGAAGACTTATAACAATTTTCATATCATTGTCATGGATCTTTTGAATAAGTTCATCGGTTTTCTGATTAACACCAAGTTTAGGATCCATTTGATTGAAACTTCTGACCGAAGTTTTATCATCGTCAGAAATCAAAAATGGAGATGGCCAAATAGTTTGAACTCCAGTTTTTCGAAGATTATCCAATCGATCAATCAATCCACTAATATCTCCAATTCCATCTCCATCCGAATCTTGGAATGATGGAACCCAAACATGATATGATACTGCTGTTTGCCACCAATTTGGTTTTTCGGGTGTAATACAAGCAGGAGAAAGGAAGATAAGTAAAATCGCGAAAAGGAACAAACCCAACCAAATAAGCCAAAATAAGACGAACAAGATTGTTCTGAAAATTATAAGATTTGAAACGTTGAAAATTAAAATAATGATACCAACCTCAATATTTTCCAAAATGGATCATTACGAAATTCTTCCAATTCATCTTCATTCAAACTAATTTGATTTGGATTTTTCGGCTTCGGTGGTGGTTTTTCCCATGGTTTCACAGGTTGTCGTTTTTCTGGCTCCTTCATCATCAAACTTTCGGGAACAACTGGATTTCCAGACACGGCGCTAATATAACTCTCGGTTTTATTGCCTCGATCAACTTCGTAAAATCGTGGTGTTTTGCCTTCGGGTCCAGGCATTAATGAATCTGTGGCACTCATTGCCGCTCTAAAATTAGAGAAATTGATAAAACGAGACGGAGAATGAAAAATAATAGGAAGGTATACTGTAGATAGATAAAATTAATTTATTTGAAAAAAGGTTGATTGTACTCTTGGTTGGTTAATCTGGCAAAAAAAAGAGAGATATATGACAAAAAAGGGTACTTGAGGTAATAAAAATTGATTTTCAAGTGGAAAAGAAAAGGATTTTTAATAAAATATATATTTTTATGAATCATCCTCGGATGTTTTCATGTGCTCGATTTTTTTCAAATAAAGATAAGATTTATCAAACGGATATAGATATTGAAAAGGTCTCTTCTATGATTTTCTATCTAGTTTGTATCTAGGAACAAACCTACATGTAGAGAGAAAAAATTGGCAACACAAACAAAAAAAACCAACGGAGAAAGAAAATAACAACAAGACGAAAAACGAAAAGGCATGAAAAAATAAAAACGAAGAGGGAGCAGGCGATTCGAATAAGCGCAGAGTTAGAAAGTAGTTGAAAGAAGACATGTATCGCCATAGAAAAGAGACATTCGACAACTAGCAGAAAAAATATTCTGTATAGAAAAAAAGAGACACCAAATAAATGCCTATAAATATAGAAAAGGACGATGGAATTAGTAACTTTACCATGTGTGGGAAAAATGAAATGAAATGAATTTTTTATGGCGTTTGCGGAATCTTTTTCAAACAGCTGCTTCAACCATCTGTAGGCGCACCTGGGATTTTGGATTAGAAAGAACTAATAACAAGAAAGCTTTGATAATATTTCAAAAAGTCTAACACTAAAGGTTTATCTGAGTATGCCGCCAGAAAAGAGTGGCAACTGTCATCGATCAAAACTAATAAACAATCGTCTCATATAACAACAAGGATTGATTGGTTATTTACACCTCATTGATTTTGCTTTTATGGCGGGAGAAGATGGGTTAATTACACCAAAATAATACTATCGAATTTCGGAAGACAGAAGAATAACTAATTGAATAATTAAATTATGGTTTAGGGAAGAGTGAAGATTCAATAGAAGATTCAGAATGTACCAACTACTAAATCAAATTCAATTATAAGATCAAATTTTTCTGAAATCTTGACGATCTCTCTTTAGCGCTAATTTCTTGAAAAAATTCTAGTAATTAATACGGAATTATTTCAATTTTTTGAATAATTTGGAATCTTGTTTGTCACTGAAAAAAAGTGCAAACTCTTCCTCCTAGTAGTCTACTCAGAGAAAGTATGGCTTGAACGGCGCGGTCCGCGGACGATTTTTCACCGATTTTTGGGTGAAAATCATTACGCGGATTCCGCGAAAAAATTTCGCGGACAGCGAAACTTCAGCCAATGAGAGTCTAATTTCGCGCATTCCGCGAAATTTTTTGACTCGGAAATTTGATTTTTTTGCGTTTTTCGCGGATTCGCGGATGGACTCGAGAGGGAGGGATAAAAAGGATACATTGTATCGCGTACGCGACAACGAGGATAGCGCAGCAAGGAAGAGAGATGACTACAAAACGACAGGATTGGGATCGAGGCCGGGTTGGAACTACAAGTCAATACTAACTTCTGATAATTATCAGGGGTAGTGAAGCATTTTTATATTTCGAGAGTGCATTGCGCGGACGTTTCGCTAACAGCGGAGTATGATTTCGCGGACGTTTCGCTAAAGTTCTTGTGTCAGCCGCGGATTGGCAGATTTTTGGGTTTCGCGAACCGCGCCGTTCAAGCCAGACCTTCTCTGAGTATAGAGGAACTAAAAAATAAAACAAAATAATAATATATAAATAAAATAGTGGAAGAGAGAAAGAGAAAGGACATAAACGTCTGTCAAAATTAGTATAAATAAACAAAAAGGGTTGGGAGTGACTTTAGTTAAACATTTTAATCGCTTTAAATACAATAGCAATGTTCTTTCTGTTTCTCTTTTTCTCCACATTTGGTTCATTGAACAACAACAAAACAATGACATAAGAGTACCAGTAATATATTTACATAATTTAAATTTTTTCTTCGTTTTCGGCCACCGTAATTGTTGCTTGTTGGATTGCATACGAAGCAACATTTTCATTTAATTTTGGTGATTTGATGTATGCATGTTGTTCGCCATTTGGAATTGGCCGAGGCATATCGGGAGCAGGAGAAGGATAATGTTTGAATGATATCAATGCTGGGCTTCTAGTCGCTGGAAAATTGATAGCATTTTTTATTGCTCTATCATTTTCCACAATTTTCTTCTGCCTTTGAAATTTGTTACGATGATAACACATCAATAATCCACACAAAACAATAGTTATTGCCAAAAGAACCAGGAATACTACAGCAATAAGAAGTAATTCTGGTTGAATCATTGGTGCGGGTTTCGGTTTCGAAAGTGATATTGCATTTTGTTGATACTTTCGAATTTCTGGTAGTCCTCTCATCTTTTCCGTAATCGCAAGAATTCTCTCAGCGGGTATGATTTCGGTAGATGTTTCATTGAAAAATATCTGAAAAATACTGGAATTGAGATATAACGTTGTAGAAATTGAAACATACAATCTGAAGATCGACAGCATTTGTAGAAGTAATACCATGGGCTGATTTGTATGTGATACGATGTGGAACTCCTACGAGGTTTGTAGAGTTTGAGAGTTGTGATATGAAAGAATCTACAATCTGTGGAGTTACTTCGTTAGGTTTGTACGGTAGCTCAATATTCAATAAATCGCTCTTATCGTTCACATAAATTTTCAAATGTGTTTTTCCAGTTGTTCCATCAACAACATCGCGTACGCTTAGAGCAAGATTGAAAACCCCACCAACATAATCTCTGAAAAATTATAATTACAGCATGTTCAGAATTGATTTTTGAAAAAACTGAACCTCAATGATTTCATAGAATGAACATATCCTTCAAATTGATGAATATCAAACACATCATCAACATTTCTGCTCATTCCGCGATAGTCAAAACTTTGAGAAGTAATAGCATATTCGAGTTTCTTTCCTTTGTCACTCGAGTCTGGGTCGTGTGCTTGGATATTCAATATTTTTGAACCAACAACAGTATCTTTATCAGTGACTGTATTAAAATGGTCCCGTGAGAATGTGGGTCCATTATCGTTTCTGAAAACCGAAAATAGTATTGGCCAGTGTTTTTTTTTACTTACACATCATTAACTTTTATTACTAGAGTCATTTTATCCAAATATTCATGCGAATTCTCACTGTTCGATGCTCCAATTTCAATAATATATTCTTTTTCATTTTCATAATCCAAATTTTGTTCAACACGAACTTCACCCTTCGTAGAGTGAAGTGAGAATTGAGGAGGTGAAGGATCAATCAAATGATAAAATATTTTTCCATCATTATCTTTGTCCGTAGCTTTTGCTGTGAATACTGTAGAAGATGGTGCAATATCTTCGGAAACTTCGACCGTATATATTTTCTGATCGAATTGGACTTTATGATCATTTTCGTCAATTATTCTAAGCTCCGTTTTTTGTACAGCTTGATTATTGCGACCAGCAGTTAATTTCAAAGTTATCATATAAGTTTTAGTTTTCTCGTAGTCGAACTCTTTTTTCGTTCTGATTTCACCATTTACTGGATCTACAGTTATAGGACTGTCCTCTTCGATTACTTCATACTCAAGTTCACAACTTTTATCAATATCAACTGCCTCAACTTTTCCAATCAAAGTATCAATTGGCAACGTTTCTCTTGCATAATAGATAGTGCTCTCTTTGAAAATTGGCACACATTCATTAGATTTCAAAACATCAATAACAACAGTCGCATTCGTTGATCGAACTCCAGCTCTATCAATCGAGCTGGCTTGAACCAACAAAGTGTACATTCCCACAAAATCAGTAAGGTATTCGATATTGCGAATTGTTCCGTCACTGTCAATATTGAAAAGTTTCTCAATCTTTGGATTTTCCGATGTCAGCTTGTATTCCAATTTTTCTTCACTTTCAATTTTTGCAACAAATGAATTTTTCGGAATGTTGTCGTAAACTGAAGCAAATAATTGATTTTCAGCAAGAAGAATTTTCGAAGTTCGAATATTCTCAAGATGTACATGAACTGGAGCATTTATTGATGGATCTTTGGCAGCAGCAACCAAAAAATCAAAATCGGAAAGAACAGATGAACTGAAATCTTCTTTGGTCTTTATTGTTCCTTCATCATCAATATTGAAAAAATGAGAATGGCTTCCACGAAGTATAAAAGGCCCTTCTTTGTTGGGACCAGATGTTGTAACAATAGCAACTACTGTGTCGATTGGGGCAACACGTGGTATATTCATGGAATACTCTTGTTCAGTAAAATGTTCTGGAGCAAGTTCACCTCTTTCAACCTTCAAATTACTTTCTTCAACTTTTTCTAAATCACCGCCAGAAACTGTTACTCGGAATGGTATGTTTGTTGGTTCATCGTTTATAAGTTTTCGAGTTGTGATAGTTCCATTCTTTGAAATTTGGAAAATATGTTCCGGTTCGATTCTGAACTCTGCATCTTTATATTCTGGAAGAACAATTGCTTGATAGATAAAAGATCCGATCGGCACAGTATTTGGAACACTGATGTTTTTGGGGATCGATAAGAGATTGAGAGATTTTGGAAGTTCTGTTACCATGTGTCTTTCGATAACAATCGTACGATAAGCTGAAATATGAGAATGTGAATATTTTTGAAACTACAACGAACCTGATACAGAAGGTTCCATTGGATGAGTTCGATCTCTTCCAACAATCTCAAATTTCACAGAAGTAAAATTTGATTCAGATAAAGATTTGGAAACTATCAGATGAGCCTGTTTGTCATCACCAGATTTTATAGCAAAATATTTTGAAGGGTCTGAAAAGAAAAAAAACTGATGAGACTTTGGATTGTTATTTACCTTCATCGATGTTATTCCCGAATTGATCGACAACTTGAACTGTTTTTAAACCAAACGACAAATCAGCATCTTTGTCGTCATCATTAAATTGAATCGAACTAACAACAACTCCTTCTTCATCTTCCGCCGAAATACTTTCAATACCATCCAACTCTGCTTTATTCACATTAATCGGGAAACTTCCAATCCCTTTCAATTCTATTCTAACATATGTTGATGACATTTTCAATCCTCCGCTGGCCTCTTGAACTGTTACACATATCAAATCATTTCTATCATCTCGAAGAACATCACCAATATATAAAATATTTCCATCAGAATCAATTTTATATAAATCTTCACGTCCTTCTGTAACATGATAGTCTAACTTGTTAGTAGATCTTGCTTTGATATTTCCAATGATTTTTGAATTTACTGATGATGAAATCTCGTAAATTTCATTTTCAAATCCGAACAACACATCCTTATCAATTTTAGATACAATTTTCAGAATAATTTTCGAATTTGTTGTAATTTCACCGTCTGTCGCAATAGCAACCAATTCGATTGTTTCTCCAAATGAAGAAATCGATAAGAATTCCGGATGCTGAAATATTATGTATAAATAGAATTATACAAATTCATGGAAAGATATTACCATAATTGAGAGAAGTCCTTCTTTCGGATGAATCGAAAAAAGTCCAGTGGAGTCTCGAAGCGAATAAACTATTGCAGAATTGTTTCCGATTGCTGTTACTTTGAGAAGATTCTCTTGTTCTCCACTATGTTCTTCAATTGATGTTCTATAGACTTTTTGTGTCATTCGTAGTGAACTTTTCTGAAATTTCAGACGTATTAATGCAATTTTTTAAAATTTACCTTCTCTTCGTCGAATGACACGAGATGCTCCGAATGTTGGTCTTGGTTTCTAATCACCACTAATAAGTCGAATGGAAAATCAATCACACAGACTTCTGGAATAACTAGTTGATATTAAAACAACTCGGCTGAAATAATTTCAGAACATACCACATGGAATAGTTTCTAAAATAACACTATCTCCTTCGTAGCTTGCTCTTATTCGGTCAGAATATTTTCCATAAAGATTTATTTGGCTTTCAACTGGGATGTCACTGGAAACCTTCACGATTGCAGTCTCACCAGTTTCAAATTCATTTTTCAACAATAATCTTGGTGGCTCTAGGAAAGTTGGGAATTTTGAAGAAACACCAGACTTATGAATTGTTAGATCAACTTCTTGAACTTTTCCAGAAATAACACCCAATGCTTGAAGTTTGACTTGATTCACACCATTTACAAATGCGTTTTTGTTGACCAACAAAAATTGTATAGTTTGATCTGAATCTATGATAGATGAATTTACAGCTAAAGCCGATGGATTTCCTTCGATTTGAATGTGTACCGATTCATCAAGATTCTGTAAAAAACAGAAATTTCACATCTGTCATCTCTTCTTATCATTTCAATTACATAACTTGGTCATTAATCACTTTGGAACACCGGAAAACTAGGTCATTAAAAGTTAGTGGATAATTGTTAATCTTCGGATAATTATTAAATTATTAATTACCTGAAGTGCTCGAATCGGAGAAACAGTGAGAATCAGATCACCTTCTTCAGCATTGTTTGATACTTCGATGTGTTCAGATCCGATTTCAAGAAATTGAGCTTAATAAATATTTCTAATAAATTTCATCTAATTTTGAAAAATATACTAACCATTCAAGAGCGCCGGTAGAAATAAAATAAAAATGTGTGAAATCTGCATGAGTCAAAGAGTAGCCAAAATAAATCAGAAATAGAGAAAAACTAATGCGTTAGGCAAAAACTAAGGAGAAGATGAAAAAAGGGTTGGTGCGCGAAAATCATTTGAAATAGGTCATCAGATACTAGCTAATCGAGTAGTCGGTATGGAATAAAACAGCGAACCGATTGAAAAATGTTGAAATAAAATCATTGTGGTTTTTTTCTTAAAAAAATGAAACTATGAAAGTTCGAACACGGATGAACGGAAGATAGACAATAGACATTCAAAAGACGATAAGTTGGAGTGTGGATTCGAATAGAATTTGATAAATCTCTCTGAAACATTTTACTATTTTATTTCCAGTGTATTCCGAGTTTTATCATTTGTTTCTTTGGTGATAAAATAATTTCTGCATTATCATAATAGTTTTTGAGTGCAATTGTACCGAAACAGAGAAGCCCTCAAAGAACATCTTCGAAAAGGACAAAGTTTCTTGTGCAAAATTGTGTCATAATTTTTAAAAATCAAAGCGATAACATTGAAAAGGGGGAGGATGGCGTGACCGTTAAAATGCTTATTTAAAGTCAATGAAAACGACTCTTTAAACTATGATGGTATATAATCAACCCAAACTTGTTTTTTGTTTTGTTTTCCAATTTGTTGTTGTTGTTTTATTCTCTACAAAAGGGTCATTGTCTTATGGTATTTTTGCAGATTATTTCCCACGTTCCACAAACAAAATGCAACTTAAAAAGTTTAACTATCGTTTGGCAGTTCCAGAAGATGCTGATCGTATCATCGAATTTTTGAAAGAATCCTTCTGCAAAGATGAACCAGTTACAAAAGTAAGTTATATATGGAGGACTTTTAATAATGAAAAAATAGTTGAATTATAGGCTTTGAATATGTCATGGGAAGAGATTAGAAGTATTTACACTACAATAACTGTAAGATCCTTGCAATATCCATTCTCGACTATTGTCACCACTGGTAAGTTCAAACTGCCCGGGATAGGTTCTCCAGCCCATTTCTCTGAGCACGGGGATGATTTTTTCGATTAATGAGTACACAGTTCTCAACAAAATGATGTGTTAAACATGAAAAATTTAAAGCCCGGAATCTGTTGAATTCTTATGCTTCATGAAGCGTACTCAAAAAGTTCAATATTGAGGATCTTAAAATGAACATGAAATAAAAATTCCACGGGTTCCGAAAGCTTGAGTTCATGAGATTGTTTTTAAAAAAAATCAAATCATGAGATTGTTTTAAAAGAGCTACACCTTCAACCTTCAATGTGTCTGATAAATAACATTCAATTTTCAAATAAATTTCATGAAAAAACATTCTTATCAGCTAATATTTCCTGGCGTAAAAGTGAGTTATCAGCAATATTTGGTTTTTTGGAATATTCCAAACTGATAAATTGCGTAAACAATTTTCGAAAATATAACTCGTGATCTGAAAAATCACATGAAAATGATATCATCAACATTGTTTGATTTTTTAAATTTAAGACTCTGGGGAGATTGCTGCTGTACTTCTGAACTCGGTTTCTCGACGAACTGATCTTTTGAATAAAATGGATTTTGATGAAAATAGTAATATACGAGAAGAAATTGTATCGTTCGAGAAAATGGTGAAACAATGTCATGCAAGTTTTTGGACACACTACGCTCCCAAAAATATTGATGCAGTTATTCATCGTGAAGTATCAAGTGTAAGCAAAAAATATCAGAGAAATGGAATCGCAACTCGAATGGTGAGAGAAAACATGAAATTGGAAAAATTGGATGAGTATATGATAGGTGGAATTATTTCGGAAACAACTTCGTTTGCAAATCAAACACTTTTGGCCAAACAAGGATTCAAAGTAAAATGAAAAACTAGCAATAAGAAGAATACAAATGAATAATTTCAGACTCTTCGCGAAATTCCGTATTCATCAGTTGTCGATTCTCGAGGAAACACTATACTAAAAACGAGTGACGGTGCTAAAGGTCTACGATTAAATTTCAAGCCAATTGAGGAAATCTGAAAATATTTCAAATATTGTATATTATGTAAAAATAATAATTCGGAATTTTTGTAACGCAATAAACTTTTTGTTGAGTAACTTACCTTGAAGAACAGTATTTCGAATATTGAAAGTTTCTATTTCGGGTTGGAGCCTATATTGTCACATAACTTTTAGAAATGAGATCCAAATTTCAATCCTCAAAATCGTGTGTCTGTTTACCTTTTTAAATTTCACAATGTTGTTTGTTTCTAGGGAACCTTTTTTTGGAATCACTCAAGAAAATGAAAAACTTACAAAAGGAAAAAAACTTTGAGGTGTTTGAGGAAACCCTCATTAAAATTCAAATCAATTTCTGAAAGATTCCAAAACGATCCTTTTTAATTAATTACAATGATAAATATTAGAAAAACAAAAAATGAATGAAAAACAAACAAAACCACAATACTGAAAAGCGAACTTTCTTCCAGCAACAGTTTCCAGCTGTGTATATTACATTTGCTTGTGTAAAAAATGTTCGAAACGGCGAGAAATGTATCAAATCCAATAGAATGGATCATTGAAGTTTTTGGAACATTTTTGACTCACAATTAAGATCCGAAATAATCAATTATATAAGTCCAAAAGGCGAAGTCTTCAATCGTTTGTCTACGCTACAAACATTCTATTCAGTAATACTGGGAAATTTAGACTACATAAAAAACTTCAAGAAGTTTGAAGTCTAGAAACTCTTACAACTCTCCCTTCCTCATTTTAATAGTTAAATTATCAACTACACAAAAACTGGCTTTTCCACCAGATTGAAAAAAAAAAGAACCAAGCAAATTTCAATCATTTTTTATTCCACAAAGAAAAACACAAATTGGAAAGATAAAAAGGCTCCGTTATTCTCTCACAAAAATAAAACACCGAAATGAGGGTATCCAAATGTTCAAATTCGAGTATGCAAAAACTCGTAATACGATGAAGTGACAATAAAAAGAAATACAATTTGATGATTGGATTGGTCAAAAAAACCAGGGAGGGGTGAAAATAAGAATTGTTAGGTATCGGTTGAAAAATGCATGAGTTTCAAATTATAAAAACATATAAATCCCAAAAATTAGTATGCCGGAAAAAATTTAGAAAAGGAACACAAAAAAAAGAATTAAAACCCGTAGGTTATCGCAAAAACTGAGATGGTAATTTTCTTTCGAATGAATGAAATGAAATAAGAGAGGAGAGGTTTTCTACATCTTCAAAATCTCAGTAAAGGCAAAAAATATACAAAATACATCTCGGTGACGACGATGAATGAATGGAAGCGCCAAAACTAACACCGACGAAAATAATAAGAATAATATCAGACATCAAACAGCCGAGAAAGCAATTAGCATTGATAAAGTAGATACTTTTTCAAAATTGGTGGAATTGTCAAAGAATCAACTTGTTCGGCTGCTGTTGAACCCAATTCAATACGAACTCTTCGACGACACATTTCCGATAACGAAAGCGGTTCAGCTGAAATTACAACACTTTTTATTGGATTTTTTGGGGTTTTGAGGGGAGAAGGGGAATTGGTGAATTGTGGTGCTTGAAACATGCTAAAGTTAACAAATTCACTACAAATAAAAGCTTCAAAAATATTTAATATGATTTTTTGTGGAAGTTCTCAGATTCGAAGTGTTTAGAATATTGATCAAAAAATTTCGTAAGAATAATGAAATTTGGTTCCTGATTGAATGAATTTTGAAAAAAAAACGAAAGACATTTTTTTGAAATCATGCAAAAAACCGTGCAGATGTTTACAACTAAAAATTTTAAAATATCACAACTTTAAGGCTAAAGCATAAGCAACAAATCCTGTTTTTTCGTACCATCCTCTTTTTCATCAGACTCATTTTTCACAACAATCAAAACCTCTTCCTCATTCAAAACAAGCGGTTTAAACATTTCTTTTCGCTGTTTTTTCATTGATCCAGGTGGAGCCGGAATATATCCAACTTTTTTGAATTCTTCTTCTTTTTCGAATTGCTGCCATTCAGGCGGCGCTTCAAAAAGTGAATAACTTGAAGAAGAACTCGAACCACCGCCACCCAAATCATAAAATGAGAAAATTTTGGCAAGATCAGAAATCGGAGAGAAACTCTCCTCGTTTTTCAACTTATAAACTGGTGAATGAAAAAGCTTAGCGGGCGGCTCTCTTTTTTGATGTTTTTGTGTTGGAGGCGATGAATAAGATCTAGAAGGATATGGTGCATGTGAAATTGAAGAACTAGAAGAACAAGAACAACGTGCAACTGCTAATGGTGAATTTGAAAGTGAATGTGGTGGTGGAGAAGAAATAGTTGGGGATAATGAAATTAATAAATCCTCACGTTCAAGGTTTCCTAAATATCGCATACTAATTTCGCAATGTCCCCAAACAGCCGCCACAATTGGATAAAGAGTTTTTCCTTTGAGATTACGGAATGCAACACCAAGGAATTCTTCATCTGTTGCAAATGCCATATATCCCTCATCCATATCCAATATACAATAAAACTGAAAACATGGGAATATTTTTCGAAAAAAAATAGCTGAATTTACCTTATCTGGAACATGATACATATCTCTAACATTTGATGGATATCGCCAAGTCATTGTATGTTTCGAATCATGATGACATTCTCGTCGAGCTAAAATTAAAACCATGAAATTGAAAACAAAAATTCAGAAACAGGAAAACTCACTAATATCCCATCCATAGCTTTCATTTGTTGTTCCAATTAAAGCGGTATATCCAACAGCATGAAGTGGAGCATTTTTTGTTGCAACTCCAACAACAGCGTGTGTTCCACGTTGTCTTTCGGGCCATTCAATTTGCCAAACATGAAAACCTCGACTATATCCAATCTGAAAAATTAGGAATAAATTCATTGGGTTAACCTGTTTTACCCTGGATCACCCCAGAAAAATATAATTTAAATATATAAACTCCATTTTTCTATCTCAGCTGAGGACTTTTTGATGGTTTTTTCGAATTCATAAATGTTTTAATTGTTAGAAATTTTTAATTTTCAAACAAGAAAACAGTGCAAAATTGCGACTTTAGGAAAATAAGATTCTGACCAAGAGACGTGAAATTGGAAATGAAATAAGAATCACATATTTTCAGAAAATAATTTTTTAAATTGCCACGTTTGATAATCACGTGAAAAGGTGTTTTCTTTTTTCTTTCTATACAGATTAACAGAAATAGTTTTCAAAGTTAAATAAAAAATCAACAAACCTTTCCACGTATACAATCTGTACTTTGAGCCACCGGATGTCGATGAAAAGTGAATTTATCCTCATCTTTAACAAATATATTCAAACTTCGATCTTCAGGATTCCAAGAATGCATTTCTTGTACATGTCTTTCTGGTGCAGTCATTCTCAATAATCGATCAAATCGTTCAGGTCGAAGAAAATCATCCATTCCGCTCACCTTCAAAATAGAAACAATTTTTATTTTTTTTTATTAACAATAACAATTCGTAACGTTTGAAAATAGAAACGAATATCAAGAGAAACGCACTTTTTATCAAAAGTGTGTTCGTTTGACAAATATTTTTCCATTTTCAAAAAAAAACTTTAGACTTTCTTTCTGCGATGAATGAGAAAAACAATAATCGATAATTCGATAAAACTGTTTTTCGCATAAAATTATGAAATATTCTTCCTAGTATAATAAAAATTAAGAAAAAACTTACGACAGCACTTGGATGGGCTGGCGATAAACTTCTCATTGCCTGTTGGCCACTACCAGCCGCTGATCTTCCTGCGGCTGATTTTCTTTCTCGATGTGTTGTTCCTGAACCACCAATTGATGGTCTTAAAACAGATACAACTCCTCCAGTTCCAGAACCTGCTGATTGTCCGCCAGTTCGACTTGTTAGCGGACACGTCGATGTTGAACCACTAGATGAACATGCTTCAGATGAAGGCGATACTAAAAAAAAGAATAATTAAATATTTCATGAAATTTACAATTGTTTTATTTTGTGCATTATTTTACGTAAGAATTTCCTAGTAAGTAGTCAAGTATTTGAGTAAATAAAAAGTGCACTATTGATTAGAAAAAGTTTTTTTCTAAACTGTGGATGTTTTTTGCATTCTTTCGATATTTTGAACTTTTAGAAAAAAACATTTTTTGCATCATCAGGTTTTTCAATTTTTCGATGCGCCAAAAATTTTTGGGAAAAATTCGAAATTCAATATATGTTTGCTCTGCCAAATACACATTTTTTCACACAAGGCCACAAAAACAGTGTCCGGTCGGTCGCACCCGCGCGCAGCCGGAAAAACAAACATTTGTTTTTGCTCGGCACAACTTTCCGGATTTTTTTATTGCAATATAACAGGTGCGTGCCATTGATTCATTAGATAGATCATTGTCATACAGACAATAAGAGACCAACAAATTTGTCAGTTTCGAATTGATATCGTAAAACAATAGAAAAATATATACTTGTAATCATTATTACACATACATACAAATAGACGATAATAATACAAATATTCACCAGAACCTCGAGAATTACTTCGGTGTAAACGAGACAATTTAAATAAAATAATATCAATAGATCGTAAGGTTTTTTCTGGTAAACTATGACAGGCTCAAAAAATACCAGTGGAAAAGGAAAATGTATTCCAAATATTTTCCAATATTCGCTGAGTCAAATTACAAGAAATCTTAATTGAATAATAAAGTAAAACTAAAAAACACACCAGAATTCGAATATTGTTGGATAAGTTGGGCATAAACGTTATGAACAAACTGATGTTCATTCATAGCATTTGAAGCAGCATACTGTAGAACATGAATAAATTGTTGACCACTTATCACATTATGAACATCATTAGGAAATCGAGCTAATAATTCAGGTGAAATTTGCACAAGCGGTGCAGTTTGTCGAAAATTAGGTAAAGATGGAGTATTTGGTGGTGTTGAACTTCTTCTAGCTCTTTTAAATTCATCCATTGTTGCTGTGCGACTCGGTCGCAACCGTTTTAGTCGTTTCGAAATTTCATTCTCCATAGTTCCCACCAAAAAATGAGAAGGGAAAAATTTAGAAAATAGCAGCAGAAACAGCCAGCCACAAGCGAATCGAAAAGAAGAAGAAGAAAACGAGGAGAAAAAAGAAGAAAGTGAATGCGTCGGCGCGCGCGGCGACCACTGCTGCGCGGAAACGCAGACACAAAAATACACACAAAAATCCGGAACAATCGAGTCCGTCCACCGTCCACTCTCTGTCCGTCCAACAAGCCACCAATAATTCAAAAAGGGGTTGTCTCTAATATTTTATTAATTAAAGTTTACCTTGACTAATATTATTTTTGTATATAAATATTATTTACCTCAATTGAACTTGTAAACAATAATATTTGTTGGTTGTTTTTTCCACGTTATATTTTGATTAAAAAACCAAAACTACAGGAAAAAAAATGATAAAAACTTCGAGAACAAATAAACAAATATATTTTTTCCAAATATATACAGTTTCCGTTCAAGTTTATGGATTTTTCCGCAGACATCGCAGAAAATCATCTTCGATTGAAAGAAGATTTTAGGAAATTTGTATCCAATTGTTTTTTTTCTTTTCTCAAAGAACAAAGGATCTGGATTCAAAAAATAACAATTTTGGTAATATTAAGTTTCAAAAAATGTTATGACGTAGAAAATTTTTCAACAAAAAACCTTTTCAGAGAAAATATTTCTGAATTCTCAGTTCAGGACTCGCTTCAAATTCCATTTTTTTTCAAAATCAAGTTTTTTTTTAATTTCTGAGCTTAAATGGAGTGCCTAAGAACAGTGCCCTGTTCAAGTTTAAGAGGCAGAATGGATATATTTTCAAACCTTATCCTTATTTTCTAAGAGAAAAAGAATTGAATCGTTTTCCGAGAGATTATCGAAACAATTTCAACTCAAAGTTGAAATCTCGAATAAAATTTGTCAGCTAATTTTTTTCATATGAAAAAACAAGATTCCGAAATCTTATAGTGAAAGAAACTGCACACGCCCTCTAAAAAATCACAAAACAATATTGAATACCTGATCTTTCTTGATCGTCGCTATCCGAAGAATAACTTCTATCACTAATTGTTGTTGTAAAACTATCCGGCGGTGAAGATGGCGACATCATATCTTCACTATCCATATCTTCTTCATCTGAATCGCGTCGATCTGAAGATCTTGTTCTGTCCAGATCAATGTCCATTTTCGGCAGCCATTTTTCTTTTTCGCTCATTCCACGGGTGATCATACTTTATACTTTTAAAGTCACGAAAACCTGACAAAAACAACACTACTTACAGTAAGCAAAAAATAAGATAGAAAGCAATACGACAATAAACGAGAAAAATAACAAAATCATAAAAATGGTAAGAGGGATGGGAGTTTCGAATACAAAATAAATTCCATTCGTATTTTTAAAAAGAATGTAATTTGAACTATGATGGAAGAAAAAATAATTGAATGTTTTGAAACCAAAAAATGGCTGGAATTTATATCAAAAAATTTTGAAAATTGAAAATATCAGGAAATCTGAAAGCGTTTTCAATGCGTGAAAACATTTCAATTCATAAATTTGTAAAACAATACTTTGAAAAAGTGTACATCTCTAAAAAGAAAAAAAACTATATACAAACTCATAGGACAAAACTAAAGAGCAACGCTCTTTATCATTCTCTTTCAACATACCAATCAATCAATAAAAAAAGCCCGCGAAAAAAAAAACCAAAAAGTATATTTTTCTTCGTCTGATCATGTGACAAATGTTTGACGAAGAACAAAACAACTACCTGTTACTTTATCTAGGTGAAAAAAGATAGACAAAAAATAACAATTACAAATTGTCTATGTGTTTTTGAGAACAAAACGAAAATAAAAATCAATATTTTGCACATATTTAATGTGTTGTATTGAATTGAATTGGTTATTATTATTAGTCAGTGTGTGATGCAACACATGTGGGAAAACGAGCAAATAATACAAAAAGGAGAATAACACTATCTACCACCTGTAAAAGTTATACTTTTGGGAAGAAACAAACGCCAGAATTTATATTATTTTGGTCTATCGCACTTTGCTCAAGGGAAGTTTGGGGCGGAAATTAGATTTCAAATGATTTTGTTTCCATTTTGTTCGAGAAAATTTAAAAGTTTCGCGGTGTCTATGTGAAATGTTGATCTATATTAAACTTTTAAACACATATATGCCCAGCTTTTCTAAAATCCGGGAAAGTTCTCCTAAGTTTAGGTTAATTCTTGTAGTAACTTTGAAAAGTTTGGATTTTTCTGTTGGTAAAAGCCAAACAGAAAAGTCAATGGTCCCCGGGCCGCTTATTTCATGTATGTTTAGAAAATATAACAACTTTTGAACTTGAGTTTAGAAAAATATTCATGCTGAAAGCAATTTTAGAACATTTTTAGAGAAGCCGAAATTAGAACCAGGTAAATAGATACAAAACTCCTACTGAAGTTTTAAATAAAAGTTTGCGTAATACGGCAAAAAGGTTTTTTTTCGAAAAAACTAAATACAAAGTGGCTTCCTGCATGCCTGCCATCAACGCCGGCGCGACCTCTCACACCAAACTGTGAGACATAGAACCAAGAGGAAACCAGTTTTCGCGCGCACTCACCTCTGTCTCTCTTTAATGTTTAAATAGACACATACACACTACTAAATATATCGAAAGAGTAAAAGTTGGGTCGTCGGCCTTAGGCGATGTTGCAGATGAATTTCTCCTCCGAGGAGAAATGAGGAGAAATGGGGCGAAATTCAAAAAATACATTGTTTCGCCTCCACGTGCAACACGTTTCTCCTCTTTCTCCTCAATTAGCTCGGGGGTGAAACTAACCTGCATCATCGCCTTACAACAAAAAAATTGGTTGCGCAAAAAAGTATTTAACCTCAAAATAGTTTTTCGGGTTCAAAAAACTGGATAGCTAGATCAATCTGGATATAAAAACTAAAACTCGTTTGAATATGATAAGCGAGGGTGTCAATTGATTTTCGAATCTCTTCCTTATAACACTTAATGTTTTTCATATGGTCATCTATTTTTTAATGTAAAAATAAACGTCTGGGAAAAGTCTTGATGTTTTACAACAAATTAGAGATAATTTTCGATCAAACAACTAGAGAATCGAGAAAAAACGTTCTGATAAAACATTACTGATATTTTTTTAAATGTAGAGTTTAACTCACAGAAAGCTGATTGACAAAAATTTAGAAATTTTTGAGAAAATGGCGTCTTTACGTGAAACATATTATTTAGTTCATGATTTTCTAATTTTTCATTATAACGTTCATTTCTCATTTTCAAAAGTAGAACCGAAATTCGCGTAGATTCTAAATGGTATGTAATTAAAGGAACGAGCTTCTGAAAAGGGAAGTACCTTAGCTGAGAATAGTTCGAATTCATGAGATTAATTTCTAAAAAATCAAATATTGTAATAGATGGTGGAGTGAAATATCAAAAATCTAGAAAGACAAATATTAATTCATCCGGATGCCACTGACAAGTTGTTGAAAGTGAAAAAAAGAAGAAGTTGTTACTACTGCTACTAATAATAATGACTAGCTATGCCGAGGCCTAGACAAATAGTAGTAGTATAAGATCATATCGAATGAAAACAACTTTGGGCAACAAAAACACACATCCAAGAAGACGAAGAAATAAGTGAAGGAAAAAAAAGAAGAAAACAATTTTTCTTATTCTTTTTTCCTTCCTTTTTGGCGTATGTTGCCTTGATAAGCATTTCGGCTAGTTTTACGACATCTCCGTTTTTCACGTGTTATTAGAAATTTATAATCGGGTATTGATGATGATGTGTTATTATTTGAAAATAACAGCGGGTTATATCTGCTAAAACAACTGACAATTTACCACAATCTTGATCTAAACAATGTTTCTAACTAGAAATGATCTCAGGTAATCTCACACGGAAATCTTGATCTTCGGAAAGATTCGTGATTTTTGAACAAATGAAAAATCAAAAAAAAAATAAGTTGTGAACTTTTTGGCAGATAATATTTGCAAATGTCAGATATTTTTTTGTTTGATTTACGGTTCGAGAGTTTGTTCAGCTCTGTTGACTTTTCGATGAATTTTCAATTATGGCGAAAAAAGTCAGAATTACAATAAGTATTTTACAAAAAGAAGAACCGACCTTTAAACATTCGTCCAATGTCTTTTTTCGAAAAGACAAACAAATTCTTTCAAACAACCCAACTAACAACAACAACAAGACGAAATTGAAAAATCAAATAAAATGGGGTTGTGGTAAGGAAGAATCAATACAATGACAATAAATACATTGGCAGACACATATGCCTTGTTACATAATAAATTGAAGAAACACTTATTCGCCCCGAAAACATTGAGAAATGGATTTTTCGGAAAAAATAAAAACAGAAAAAACAAGTGCTACCGTACTACACATTAAAGGCGCACGCGCTTATTTTCAAACAAATTTGTGAGCCTGACATTTTTTTGTTTTTTTTTTTCAAAAAAAAAACTACATGACATAATAATATAGCAATTCAACCACCCCGAAAAAAAGTGGCAACAGAGAGACTCAGAGAAAAAAGTGGGGAAGATAAAATCGAAAATGGAAGAAAAGCTTGCATAAGAAAAAGGAAAGTGGCATTTTTTCTTTTTCTTTCACTTTTTAAAAACATTAGTGAAAAAAGACTAACCTTGAAATGCATCATGATTTGACACCATTGATTGTCGAGCTCCCATCATAGAAGAACTTGGTGCAATTTGTGCTCGCTGAAAATTAATTAATTATTCTTTCAAAATAGAAAATCAAAGAGTAATTTATTTCTTTTTATTCAAGCAAAAAATTTGAGCTGTGAAACTCAAATTTGGACATCATTTAAAAATTGATTTCTATTTTCATTTTTATACTTTATCATATAAAAGTTATGAAGAACAGTTTGATAAGAAAGTTCGCACTGACAACATTTTTTTGATGTTTTCATTAGACACGTTGTATCCATTAAAATTCACAGAGTGTAATTATTTCCTTGAAATTTTCCCGCCTTGTTTTTAAAGGGTTGGTGCTCCGTCAAGGATTCTTGCTTGGTTTAGATAGGAATAAGGTGCTCCTGGGAGGTTCCATTATTAGAAAAAATTCTAGTATCAATTCAGCCCATGTTTTTCCTCAAAAACACAAGCGAGGTAAAACCTAGGAAAAAAACAAGAAAGTGCGCTCTAACGCACAACGCGTTTTTTGAATTTTCGTGTGTGTTTGCAGACAATTTTGTCAACAACACCATGACGCCTTTTTGCAGACGATTTTTTCACCACGAGAACACCAACCCTTTAACGCGAATGTGAGAGATTTGAAGAAATATATTTTAGATAAATCCCGAAAAAGTTAAAAAATGTTAGATCTAGAGAATTGGGGTAGTGGGTAGCTAGAAACAATTATGAAACATTTTTATTCTTGGAAGAATTGCCATATAGGCTAGGTTTTCGAAAACGTACACTGTGGCACAGTTTACTGTGTTAGGTTTACTCTTACACAGTGAAAATGTTTTCGTATTGTCAATATCAGGGAACCCCTCTAAATTTCCTAATACTTTTTCAAATAAAAAATTGAAAATCTCGAACAACTGGATTTTCAAAAAAGTGGTGCGCGGAAATATCATTGGCGTGTACAAACACACGTGAACAACGAGAAAGTAGATAAATTTGTAGAGAATCGAGACACAAAAACAAACAATGTTTGACATTTGAACGTTGGCAGGCTCTATTTGACTTCTTTCAACAACCCAACTCTTTTTTGTCTTTTTTATTCGTCAAAAAATGGTATTGTTATTTTATTTTCGTCATTCATTCCGTTTGGAATAATCATCGGTAAAGAATGTAATTCACAAAAAAAAAAAGAAGAAAAAATTGTAGACGAGTAATAACTTTGCAGAATTAGATTACTGTAAAGAAACTGTCAAGTGACCAATTTAAAAAAAATGAGAAAAAAGGTATTTTTCAAACAAAAACCATTGTAAGGTTGTAATAGTTGGGTTGGGGAAGTGAAGGAAAAAATCGAAAAAAAGAAGAAGTAGAAGAAGCAAGGCCATAATTGTAAATACATATATGATTTGGGTAATAGACAGTATGTTTGGGTTGTTCATCTTTTTTTGAATGGCATTCAGAAATGCGCAGGTCGTTCGGAATAAAAAGTGAAATCAAATCGGAAAAAGAAGGAAACTATATGAAAAATGGCTTATTAATGTAAGAATCACAGGTCAATCAACAAATTAGATATCAAATTATTTTGCCTCTTTCCTTTTTTTCAATTTTTTTTTGGAAAAGGAAAACGTGCATCTGATAAATTTTCGTTCTGAATGAACTACATCAAATATCATGTTATTTTTTTCTTTCAAAAAACTTTTTTTTCACAAATTCGAACAAATAACGTGTCCTTGGTCGAAATTGTTTGATATCATAGTATTATCATCATGTGATCGGCTATTTTATAATCTTAAAATTAAAATTGAAATGGGCGGATTTTCCAAAAAATAGGAAGTTCGAAAAGGACCAAAAACTAGATTGACACTGTTTCTGCACGAAAATAGTAGCAGGAAAATATGAAAACAACAAAAACAACAACATCACAATAGATCGATGTGTTTTTGTTTACTCGGAAAAAAATACATTTTAGTTGAAATATTTTGTGACAGAAAAAATTCGAAGGCGACCTTCGTAACCAATTAAAACCAAAGGGTTACTTTCTTCGTTGAGGTAAAGAGAAAAATCAAAACTGGAAATTTTTAGACAATGAAATAACTTACACGAGTAGTGGATGGTGTTGAAGTGTCCATAAATGTTGGGCGATGAGTATCAATTTCATCTAGAAAATAATAAAGTAAGATCTCGAAAACAGGTCTGTTGGCAGGTTTTTGTATCAAAATTTGTCTCAGAATTCTCACCTCGTCGATCATTTGAATCAGCCGAGTTGCCACCGAAAACTCGGCCTCGCAACCACCACATTTTTCTCGGAATTCTAGAAAAAAAGAAAATTGAGGTTTCTCATAGTTTAAACGGATTTAGGGTACAATTAACAGGTTCAAATAAAGGGGGAGGAGAATTTTGAATGTGAGAAAATGAGATAGTTAATGTAAGTGACAAGTAAAAAGTTTATAATTATTTTTATTTCTAACATGTGTAGCAGATAGATAAATAAAAACAAATAATTGTATAAATGTTATCAATTTTACTATGATTGAGACATTTTGGTGATAATAATATGAAATAAATAGAAGGCATGTGATGTTTTGAGTACATTTGGAATGCTAACTGTATTTGTGTTAAATATTTTAGTTCGAGGTATTTCTGAGCACCAGGTGACTTTTAGACAAAAAGAAGAAGAAAACAAGAGAAAAAGAGGGGGAAAAAGAAAAATAATAGAATTTTTCGTCGAGCCACGGAAAATAAAAGACAAAATATATATGTATATTGATTGGGAGAAAAGAATAAGAAAAAAGAAAACATGTGCTAGTTACACTCTTAAATATTTTCATGTCACACTTTTTGACAAATAAATAAACAAACTGGAATTTGTTTTTTTTTTCTCGAAGAAAAAATATTTCCAGGTATTTTTTTCTGATTAAAGTTCAGTCGTACTTTTATTTCAAACTGAAGTATAAAAAACAAAAATAGAATAGAACATGACGGAAATTTGACACTTGAGAAAAGTGCATAAAAACAGAAAAAAATTGGGAAAATGAGAATAATATTTCATTGAATCGCAAAAATGAAAAAAAAAAGGCGAGAAAAGAAAAGAGCTCAAAACTCTGCGCATTTGCGAGACATTAGGCAAATAAAAGAGAGCAAAGGAAAGTAGACACTTTCCTGGATTTATGGATTTTTAGAGACTCTATCTAACTACGACACGAAGAAGAAGAAAAAAAACGAAAGAAACAAGTTGTGGCTATTTTTTATAAAGCGAACGACACATCTCAAGGGAATTTAAGCAACGGGTAGAATTCCTAGTTTCCATCCAATTTCTTATGATTTACAACTTCAGTGCTAAACGTGTCTGGGGAAATGAGAAATTTTTTGAGGAAGGAAGTTTGATGAAAAGTTTTGATGTTTTTGCAAAAAAATATACTCATAGGATTACTGTACTTTTGAAGTAGGGAAAAAGAATTGCACTAAACTGAACTGAAACTTTTTTTGCACCAGAAAAATGTCCTTTAGTGCAAAACTGGTTCAACTATTCTTCATGTTTTATTTATTTTTCATTATTCTCTCAACTCACTTGAAAGGGGTTTGAAAAGATTTTTTTGTTCTAAAATAAAAGAAATTTGGACATTTTTTTGTACACCAAAAAGGAATTCCCATTTGTTTTTTTACTCAGGGGCAGAAAGGGTTTGAAAACATATACTTGTTTATTTGTCAAGATTTGTTTTACAAAAAAATGTGATTTTTCAACAAAAAAAACAATTTGTTTTTATTAAATACAACCACATGAAAGTGCTCGCAATCCGTGTATTCGAATTTTTTGAATATCATATTTACTACGAGCAATTAGAAAATCAACACTTCCATAATAATTTGGAGCACAAACTTGTTCTTGAATTATATCAGTTCCTCCTAACTTTTCATCTGGACAACTTCCTTCACATAAATTCGCATAAAATCCAGGAGGTGAAAGAATCCAATCATTCCAGCCTGAAAAAAAAATTAATAAGTTTCCGAGAGTTTTTTGGAATGTAAAAAACAAAGTAATTTCAATTTTTGAAAATCACATACAATGTTCAATGTTTAATCACGTCATTGAAAAATAAAGATTAAACTTTTTAAACTAAAAAAAACTCACCAATCTCTGTAAAGTTCACATAAAATGTAGATAAATAACAACCCGTACAATTTGTGTTTTCACTTTCGAAATACTCAAATACAGTCATTTCAAAAAATGGCTCGACTTCCAGATAATCTTCAACATTATCCACAATTATTCCATTGATATAAATATCTATCTGAAAAAAATAAATAAAAATTTTGGGTTAAGAAATGTTTTTTCCCAAACCTTGATAAACTTTGTCTTTTCGGGTTCCTCCAGCCATTTTCGGATTTGTGATGATAAATTGAATCGGATTCTGAATCTTGACGTACGACTAGATTGTTCAAACTCAAATCGATCTAATTCTCTGGTTTCGGCCCCAAATTGTTTATTAACTTCACTGGCAATTATAACAAGATTTGAAAGATTCGTGAGATTTTGAGTGCTGTAAATTGTTACTGATTGTCACGAGGCGCTCAAAAATTCAAATGTGACGCTGGTAAAATTTTTCTTCGGCTAAATGAGTTTTTCCTTTTTGTAATATACCTTATCAAAATATTTCCAGAGACGAACTCTTTGGACAAGTTAAAATTATATGGAAAGCAATTATTTTCTACTGATGAACCGGTTACACAATTCCAACCTACAAAACAAAAGATTTTAAAATATTTATCAACTCTAAATTTATGAACCTTTTCTTGATTCCAACATCTCATGAGATAGTTTTCCACCATATTTTTCACTCGGAGATGCAACTTCAAATGGAAATATGGGTATTTCTCCAATATCTTTAGGCCTATCCAATAGATTCAGATTCTCCAAAACTCGAATCTGAAACAGGAAATACGTGCAAATTTATTAAGTTCAAAAGTCAATTTGATAAGATTTGTGTTTTGGTGATAAAATATACTGTGAAGAATTGTCTGATTCCGAAAATATATATGTTAGATGAATACCTTTTGAATATCGATTTTCGATGTAATCGTTCCAATCTCGAAAATAAAAGAAAAACCAAGAATACCGAGGAATTTGAGAAATACCATTGTTTAGATTTTGACCTCTCTTATCTTCATTCTCAAACCTTTAACTTTTCATAATTTTTTGTTAATGTCAATCAAGTTGGTCAAAACTGTCTCGATCATTTTTTTTTTCGGCATCAAAATTCACACAAAGTTGTACTTTGGCAGAACTAACCAACAAACAAAAAAATCCATCCACCAAAACTAAATCCAACTAATTTTATGACATTATGTCGTTTTTTCCTCTATCTACTATACAACAACTAGTAGCTGCTAGTACATACTTCGACTACTCATCGGATTATATTTCTCCTCATTTTAGTTTTTCATAGAAAATGAGGCCCTTTGAAAATATATACATATACAACTAAAAAATTTTCACACATATTTTTTCGTTTCTTTTTCTAAACGTGTAATTAGTCGAACCAAAATGATATCATAAAATAAATGTTGGGTTATAATTATGAGAATTCTCTCCATTTTCTACACTTTTTCATTTTTAATGATTCTATTGATTCAGAGATACGGTAGGCTTCAGAAAAAATTTAATTGACTGAGAGTTTTGAAAATTTTTACATTCGAATGATTTATTTGGAAACTATTCATACGTATTCGTAACTTTTGTAAATATTGGCTATTTGAGAATATTGGAATCAAATTTTCAGGTTTTTTGTTTTTTTTTAAATTTTATATGTATTGTCAAATTGAAATTAAGAGTTTTCTGATTGACACATTTGAAATTATTTTGAATTTCCTGATATTAAAATTTTTTGGAGGCAACTAGCGAGTTGTAAAAATTCTTCAATATATTTGAAAACTTAAAACGTACCAATATTTGCCAAAAAAAATATCGAAAACATTTCAAAACTACAATTTGAGACTTCTGAAAATAATATCTGAGCTGATCAAACGAAGGACACGTATCAACATTAAAAAATTTTTTATTACATTTTCAAAATAGGAATAATTCATTTTTTCTCCACAACTTGTGGCTTATTTAACTTCACCATTCAAAATACACGCAATATCAAATTAAAATAAAGAATCTTTTGATTGACATTATCAAAATCTTTTTGAACTTCTTGTCTATCGAAAAAAGTTGGTAACAATGTAAATTTGAAATTCTTCATGTTTTTTTTATTAACCTAAAAATTCATGTACCCAGAAAAGGTGTTCAAGTTTCAATTTTTAAACTTGTTTGTACTAGTTTTGAAAATTAAAATCGCGATTTTTTAATTGGAATATTTGAAACTATCTTGTCTTCCTGATTTTTGTACTTCCCAATATTTAAAAATAAAACATTGAAATTTTTGAAATTTGGAACGTGGCCTCTAAATGCCTTGTCAAAATAGTCAAAAAACTTTCAAAAAAATTAAATCTGATAAAATAAAGGTCATGTTTCAATAAAATTTTATTTTTCGAAAAACTAATTGGTCCACAAATAAATTTACAAATTCTAAAACATTTCTTGAAATATTTTTTGGTTTCCACAAATGTTTATATTAGTTCTAGCCAGGTGTCAGTTTTCCAAATTCTTTCCAGATTTTTCTCTTTTTTTTTCTTCTTCGTATATATACATTTTCTCCTTTTTTTCTAAATAAATGTACATATGTGTTTGCTGCTCTTCCTCTTCTCTTCTTATTCTAAAGAGTCGTATAGTCACACCCATATACACACCAATTGAACAAAAGGCAATGAGAGATGAAGAGATTTAGATAGACAGACAAAAAACGAAAAATAAAAGAAAAAAGAAATATGAGAGAGAAGGAAAAGATAGAAAGCAGATCTTTTTGTACTACTACTGCTACTACTTTGCATATATGTATGGAGGAGAAGAAAAAGAAGAAGAAGAAGAAGAGAAGAAGAAGAGATCCTATTGATTTTTCGCCCAAAAAATGTGAGATACTTTTTTCTTCTCTTTTCTTCTTCTCCTTCTTCGCCTTTTTTCTTATGCTTCTATTTTTAGATTCTTCGAGACTATGGACTTTTGAGTTTTTTTGCACCATTTTTCTCCATTTTTTTTCATTTCACTCTTGAGCAAATTGTTTTTCATTTCTTTTTCTAAGCTTGCCAACACTATTCAGCTTCTCTGATTTTTTTGTGATTTATTAACTTTGCGGGGATTGCTGAATATTTGATTTAGGAAAAACATATGTTTTGGTTTTAGAGACAAACTACTTTTTTTTAGTTTTAGCTCGAATTAGAAATTGAAGGTTAGCTTTACATGTATGTTCACGATAAGATCTGTGTTATTTTGAGAAAATTTTGGAGAGGACTCGAGGAATCGAACATGTTCAGATTTTTAGTCAAAAATGGAGCTGGTCCGATTTGTATTTAAAATGTGATTACCCTGATTCATTTCAGATACCCTTCAAATTGATTTAGGTTCATTGGATTTCTCTTTGGTTCAAATGTTTTCAAAAAGTTAGATATTTAAGTGGCCCGATTGAGACCAGAGATAGTTCATCCTCGTTTGATTCAAATATATTGAAATTTGATAAAATCTTTCCCAATCTCACTTTTCTGATTGAATATCTAACGTATAATTTTTAATTAATTTTCAATGACTACAAGAAGGCCCATGTATGTATTTTTTAATTTATATATTTCCCTGATTGCGAGAGACCACAATCGAACAATACACCATTTTTTCAACCTCCGCATTTCTTTTTCCAGCATCAATCAAATAAAACAGAAAAGGCCAAAAAAAAAAAAAGAAAAAACGATATGCCCCCAAACCAGGAGGGTTCAGTTCTATTTACTTTGCATATTTTTGTCTGTGTTTGTATTTGGTGCGTAGTTAGATAGATAGCAGCAAAAAAAGAGAGCGGAAAATTATTTTCTCACTAACTTGATATATTTTTCTTACTTACGTACTTTCTATTTTCCATTCATTTTCAGACTGTTTTTCTTTTGCGCACAACAGAAACCAGTTCCCTCGTTTTTTTTCTTTTTCTATACGATCATCGTTCACCTAATTCTACTTTTTTCAATAACAACAAAAATTGTCGTTATTTTTCTTTCCCAATTGCGCGTCCGGTTGGAAAATGGTAGGAAAATATTTGAAAGTGTCACAATGATTTTTGTTGCAATAATACTGTAAAGTCATTTAGGGTAGTCACTTTTTTCTCGTGTTCGAATTTTATTGAAAATTTTGGGAGTAGGTTATGAAGAATTTAAATGTTACTGTATTTTCTTAAATCTTAGTTTTTGAGAGAAATTTCTGAAATCTATACGTTTTTGAATCGGATATAACTTCCTGAATTGAACTTTTAAAGAATTCTTCAGTTTTTTTAACGACAGAATTTTATACGAAGACTTGAATATAGTTCTTGTTCTGAACTCTCGAGTGATTCTGATGATTTGAATGTGATTTAGAAAAATTGAATCGAATGATTCAAGTAGCGTACCTGTTGAAAAATTATTTAAAACCAGGACCAGGTTTATTTTCACATGCCTAACAATTCTAGGCATTTTCTCTTGAATTCTCTGATTCGATACTTTATTTTTTCTTTAAAAAATCCAAGCTTCAAAGATTGCATGACCACTCTTCACTATAGCCAATTTCCATTTCATCTGAAAATAAAAACATAGACCCACACACACGAATATTTTCAGTCAAACAATTGTTGTCTTTTTCCCTTCCTCCCTTCTCTCGTTTTTTATATTATTATATAGTAAAAAGGATTTTTTTCTCCAGAATGTCTAGCTTTCTCTCCATCTCTTACCGAGTGTTCTTTATGTGTATGTGTGTCTAGAATATATATATATGTATATAAAAAATATAAAATGAGGTGAAATAATAATAATTATTATATTGGTAGCGGGAAAAACGAGAAGTTCAAGATTTATGATTCTCTCCTTTTTGAAGCCCTCAATTATTTTTCCCTCTGGCCTCACCTCGGAGTCTCACGAGTTCTTCTCTAATTATTTTGTTTCGGCCTACTGTAGTCTGCAAAAATGATAATAGCAAATCCCACCCTTTTAAGCAGGGGTGGGGAAACTGGCCTCACGTTGTCCTCATGTTGGCTTTGGTGGTAAGAACATAAGCCATGACAGGTCCACGTGTAAACCTGGCTACCTGTCCTGTCCTGGACAGGTTCTTTTTTTAGTCGAAAAAAAACACGCTGAAAAAAGAGGAGATCGCATTTTTATTTTTTTTTATGCAGAAAAAAAAATTTCTCTGTTAATTTTTGTTCACGCGAGGACAGGTTGGGCATATGGCTTTAGGACATGTTCAAGCCATGTTCGAGCCAGGACAAGTTTAGGCCATATTCAAGGACAGGACAACATGAGGCCATGACATTTTCCCCACCCCTGCTTTTAAGAGATTCTTCCCTTATTTATTTTTATATGTTGGTTTTATAAGCAATAATAAGCCAAAAAAACTTTTTAGGAATGACCTACAGTAATCATATAGTGTCCATTAGTAATGAGAGACTTAGAGATAATAATTGGCGCGTGCTTGCGCGGAAAATGGATTGATTCTTCTGTTTATTTGCGATCGCGCATGCGCATGCGCGTTCTCATTTTCATTATTGTTTTTGATTTTGATTTTGACTTCTATGAAATGAAAATGAAATTGAAATCCTAATCAAAGTCAAAATATGCATTTTATCAAAATCCATCTCATTTTTCTTCTTTTTTTTCTGAATCTATATTTGAATAATATAATCCGCGGATTTATGAAGTATTTGAACTTTCCAATAATAATTACATAGGCTAGGCTTGGCTAATACCACGTGTTAGTTGAAGAGATGAAAAAGACAATACTTTATTCTTTTTCTTCTTCTCATGGATCTGCTAGATATATATATATTATATATATATACATTTCAGTATTGTTTTTGTTTCTAGATAGCTCTTCTTTTTTCTCTCGCGCGCACAAGCCGCCCGCCCGCGCCTCTCGCTTTCATTCATTTCAACTACTCAAATATTTATTTGTGAGTGTTTTTTATTTGTTGTCTTGATCTATTATTCATTTCCGGTCGTCATCGCTTTTACGTAACGAATTTTTGGCATTTTTTTGCTGTACTAATTAAACCCTAGACTTTGAAAACAGTTTCATTTTCAATTTTCACGATCGTTCTTTGTATTTCACGATCAAAAGAAACTCATTAAGTAGCTGAAACAATTCTGATTTTTTTGTTTTTGGAATGATTTTGAATAACTCTAGGCAAATTTTCGGGTGGTCATATTTTTACGCGTTTGGAAAATTCTGATTGGGATCTGATTTCCAGGATGTTTTTGAGATCAGACCAGTTCTTCAAAGTTGTCCGCTGTTTACTCTCAAAAACTCAACAATTTCAAAAACTAGTTTATTTTCACTCAAATCAAAGTTGGTCCTAATTTTGAAGACCAAATTCTTTCCGTTGAATATGCACTTTTCTGCAATATTAAACCGTATACTTCAAAATTGTATTTTCACAATTGCCACCGTAATTCTTTGTTCCTCAAAAAGATAATTAAAAAATTACTCAATAAGTAGCTGGAACAATTGAGACGTCTTTTGTACTTTTCTTTTCTTGTTCAAATTTGACGAACAATCTATTTTTTGCCGCTAACGAATTTATTTTTGTTAGGTGTAAAAGGAAAGGAAATATTACGTGGTATCAATGAACTTTTTATTTACCATTTTATCTCAACCCACCCATTTTTCATAATTATTTTTCACATCCATTTATTATTACGATTGAGATTTTTCAATTGAGCGGCTCCTTTTTTCAAGACAGATCTTTTTATCAAATATCTTTTTTTTTGTTTTAGAAAGTTCTGAGAAATAATATTGTTCTGAACTGAACACTTGATACATTTCGAAATATTCACCCAAACCGTAGATCAATCAATTGATTTATTTTTGCTGTTATCTTTTGTGCGTCCTTTTTTGTATATGTTCTGATTCATAATATTATTATTTTTTGTTTTGTAAGGGTGTTTGTATGCCTTTTTTTCTATTATTTTGTATTGATTCGAGTTTTGGTTCTATATGCGTAAAATGTTTCGATTTTGAATGAAATGATTCATTCCTCCACCCAATCATATCGATTTTTGTAACATTCTATCCAGTTCTTTTACATTAATTTTATTTTCATTTTCATTTTCGGTTACAGTTTCAGTTTAAGTTTAAACTATAGTTATTTCTAGTATTTTTCAAGATGTTTTTTTTCAGTTCTCAAAAAAAAACACACATTTTCTCGAAACTGCCTTTTCGAAAAACTTTGTTCTTATTCGATAATTATGAAACCCTATAATCAAATTTGTCATTTATTTTCACAATCAGTTCGTTCGCAAACATTATTCTCACTTTCATATTTTTGTTCTCTTTTTTGTTCTCAATATATTATTCTATCCATCACTAATTCCAATTCATTTTTCAGCGCTCTTCTTTGCGCGGAACACTCAAAACGACATCATTTCACGTGCTCCGCCCGACCGCAAATTTTGTTTCGTCGAAACTCGCCGCCACCTTCACCAAAACCCCAAAACATCATTCATCGGCAGCGACAACAACGGATAACAGTTTGGCGAGTAGTAGTTTTGGTGGTGCTAGTTTTTGTAGCATAAGCAGTAGTAGTGGAGGTGGTGACGACAAAAAACAAAACAACAACAACAACAACGACGACGTTGACACAAAAATCAACACCGAAATCAAAACGACGCACCAAAACGAATCAAATCAGCAACGAAGTCGTCGTCCGACGGCGATGACTGTTGCGAGTTACAGTATGGTATTATGTGGAACTTCGGATGATCACAGATATCGTGGAAGAATTGAAAAGTTTGTTTTACATAAAGAGCACCATGATTTGGAATTTTCATAGTTCTACAGTAATCCTCAATACAATTCAATTTTTGATCTCTGTGGATTTTCTACAGTAACCCTCTTTAATCTTTTGGTTAGGCAAACTTTCTTGTTTTTTCTTTTGAGTTCCTCAATGATTTCCCCGTAATTTCTCATTGAAGTAACAAAACCAATGACTCAATTTTTGTCCCTAAAGGCTTTATCGAAAACAAATCAAAAAATCATTGTCTCTAAATTCTTGTGAAAACCGAAAAACTATCTTTTCACCGCAAACAAGTTTTTGATATCATATTATAACTGACTAATTACGATGAAAACAAAAATGACGTGGATCATCACAATTCAATTTTCAGGGTCAAATTTGGTGTACCAATCAATGAAGCATTTGCACATGATATTCCAGCAACATTGCTCATGTTACTATTGAAAGTAAACAAAGATGGACCAACAAAAAAGGATATTTGGAGAGCTCCTGGAAATCAGGCACAAGTTCGAAAATTATCATCGATTATGGCACATGGAAGACTTGTAAATATTGAAAATTTTACCGTATACACTGCTGCATCTGTTATTAAAGTTGGTTGTTCAAACACACCCGAACACAGTTTTACTAATTATTTTTAACTTTTCAGAAATTTTTATCTAAACTGCCTGGTGGTATTTTTGGCCAAGTAAATGAGGAAACGTTATTCAACAGTGCTCTAAATGGTTTGGATTCTGATAAACAACGACAAGTATTTTATCGAATTTTTGGATCACTTCCTGTTGGATCACAACATTTATTAGTACTTCTTTTTGGAACTTTCAAAATTGTTGCCAATACTACGGATGGACATTCAAATAGTATGAATCCAAATGCTATTGCTATTTCAGTTGCTCCTTCTTTATTCCATACTTGTATAACAGAAGGACGACAGGTTTGTGATTAAATAATTCAATAAGAATTGATCAGATATGTCAATAAGGACTTACCGAATTCCACCACAAACTTCTAGGAATTTTTTATAAGTTTTTTTGGTTAGATATTACAAAAAATATTTTCTGAACTTCTCACTTTTAATTTTAATTACCTCTATTTTAGTCCACAGGTTTCAAAAAGTAAGGAATATATTTTGGTTTCATGCTTCCAAAAAATTTGACGTGTTGGAAAAAAGTTCAATACCGAATATCCCTGGATTAAAAATTATAAAACCATACAATTAAATAAATTCAGGCTCGCGTGGAAGATCTTCAACGTTTCAAACTTGCTTCCGACATTGTTCGATCAATAATTTGTTCATTTGGAGACACCAAACTATTTCCACGTGAATGTTACGAGTATTATGCACGATACACGGGTAGAACATTACGAATTGATGAAAATAGAATGTTCACCTTTCATAATCCCTCGAGTGAGTTTTCTAATCAAACATCTCCCACACCACAAACTCCCCCCACATCTTCTTGCCACTCTTCTTCCACAATCCACCATCACAATCTTCATTTAGCGCAACAACAATCTGTTGCACACTAAACTAACATCCCTCTCTTAATTACTTACTTACGTATATTAGTCTCTTTTTCTTCATTAATTAACCGGGTAATTAATCTCTCTCTCTCTCTTTTTTTTCATATTCACAACTCAAACCCTCTTATTTTCCTTATGCATGTTATCGCATGTCCAAATACCTTCAGATAAAATCCTACTGATTTTTCATTATTATTTTTGATCTCCCCAATTTTATTTTTTTTTTACTATTATTATTTGTTGTCTGGTTGTCTGTCTGTGATGGAAGAAAGAAATAAACACTTTTTGTCGTTTTTTCTTGTGTTCAAGCATGAATTCGGGCGGGTATGAAAAAGCACTGGAATGAAAAAATATTCATTATTATGTTTGGGTGTGGTGATTTGGTGTAGTCACAAAATCGATGTTGTTACGTAAAAAGAATCGGATAAAAAAACCGAAGCAAACATTGTGATTGAGAAAACAATATATATTTTGTTAAAGTCCCCTGCCTAACAGTGTCCGATTATTTAGATCGTCGCGCTCGTGGAGAAGAATTTGAAGTGATTTCTGCACAATGTGCTGGTGCATATTCATTGGCTGCTCTTCATCTAAATGATAATAATCCAATATCAACTGCTACAACAGCAACATCAAATGATCTTCGACCAACAACATCAACCACAAATAATAACAATATCAACAACAACAACAATAATAATAACAATCAAAAATCTCGACTAATTTCTCGAGCTGGATCATTGAAACAACCAAATCCAATGATTCATACAACTGATCATCCAAAAAGAAGTTTTTCAATTGTTGCCGAAGTTCATCCGGGTGATTTGAGACCATCAATAAGTTGTGATTTTTAAACTATCGCTTTAATTGTTGTTTGTTTTTTTCGTGTTTCAATTTGATTTTTTCATCCATTTGCGAGATTTTTTTATTTTAATTCGGTTCTGTGTTTTAACACCTTGATATTATTCAGGGATGTTTGTTGTGCACACTATTTTTTATATTCATTATTTACATATGATTTTGATTTTTCTTGTGTGAAATATTTTAGGTTACGTCGTCTCTCATTCTCAATACGTGTGTGTTTTTCCAAAAAATATTATACCATTCTCCACTTGATACTTTGATTTCAATTTTTTCAACACAAAAAACAACTGATTGACATATCCATTTTCTCATTCATTCTCTTTCTGAATACATTAATTAATTATTTTGTGTAGCTCCAATAAATACAACTAAAAAGTATATTCAAGTAGAATAGTTTGGAAAATTTAGGTTTCTATTCCGATCCAACAAAGGATAATGTGACGCAAGAAAATCGGCAATCTAGTCAACTTGGTGGAACTGCAAAAGCGAGATGTCGAAAAGATCAATTGCCTTTTATAGAAAGAATCAATAATCGACTGAGTAGCAGTGTCGGAGAGGTTTGTGAAAGTTTTGTATTTTTAGATAAACAATTAAACATAGTTATTAACCAAGAGATTCGACTGTGTATAGGGAGTCCGAACTTCCAAAATATAATTTAGAATAACATGTTAGGATTCCGAATTATCAAGAATTATCATCGAAGGCATGACTTACAAAATAATCTAAAAAAAATGAATTTTATCACGAAAGCAGAAATGAAAAAAAGAGTCACGTTTAAAAATTAAAAATAAATCTATTTTTGTTCTATCTAAAAATTTCAGGTTCTTCACGAAGGGACATCTGATATTGAAGAAATAGGTGATCTCGATTTAGCCCGTCCAATCACAGCTTGTGGCGGTGATCGGTCACTTTCATATCTTCAATATGTTCATGATAATCAAGCACGGCGAATGAAAAGTCGAAGTGAATGGTTTTTATCTCCAAATGGCTCAAAATCAGTGGATTACTGTACATTAACCCCATCACCGCCTCCTTTATCAATTGAAGTTCCACAGCCAAAACCAAGAGTTCCACTTCAAACAAGCGCAAAATCAAACATGTCATCGAATGATAGTCTACCTCGACAAACTCCCGATCGAAGAAAATCTCTCAAATTTCGAACTGCTGCATTTGCAGCTCATCCGAGTGTTAGTTCAAAAAACGAACTCAAATCTCAAGAAAAATATTAATTCTTTTTCAGCATTCTCTGGATTATGATTCAACACCAAATCGATTCGAAACATCTCGTCTCCGAAGTCATACTTCTGTTGAAGCTGAAACATGGTTGACTGATGTTGTAAGCAGTTCAACAAACGATGAAGAGATTCCGAAAAAACGTCGGAGTTTGAAAAAGAAAACATCTACCAAATTTTGATCTCACTCAATAATATCCATTCACAAGCTGTCTATATATACATACTTTGTCTTTTTGCTAGGTTGTGATTTTTGTATTACATTTTTCTGAAACTGTCTTTCAACTAATTTATTAATCATTTATATCCACACATCTCGAGCCAAACTTCATTTTCACTTCAGTATATTTTTTCTGAATTCAACAATATCCATCTATTTTTCTTATCTTTCACATTACGCTCAAATATGTATTTCTCAAAAATAAACAATTTTTGCATCATTTTTGATTTATCAAAATTCCTGTGCTCAGGGAAGAAAAAAAAGAATTCTTTACGGTGTAAAAAATGGAAAAGGGATTGCGATTGTCAAAAAAGCGTTTGGGAGAGAGAAACTTCGTGGCAACAATTTGAATCAAATTATTTTATAGAAAGGAAATAGGTTCCTACGTTTTGAATCTCTACAACCCAATCATCTCGTATGTGATTCATGAAATTGTCATGACGTATTGCGGCGAAAAATTCTACTCAAAAGTGTCGGTAATGTTGAAAGATGTTGAGTAATGTCGTGTCCCCACTTCCATTGTGTTTGAACCTCGAGGCAACTTTTACTAACGAGGAGGAAGCCAACTTTGTGATGGCGGCATGATTTATGATTCACCCTTCACATATTTTATGTTCCGCATTGCACTTTTTGTTTCAAAAAAGGTTTGGAGTCGCGCCATAAATAACTTCAAACAGAAGTTGTCCAGATGTTATTTGTTTTCTAGCGTTTTTCAAAGAATTATTCACATTTGTGTTTATCACATTTGGTTACCAAACAATACAATGAATTGCATATAAGATTCACATTAATAATAATTTTATTCCTATAATGTTAATTTTTATTACAAATAGAAAAAAACCATTCTGTCAAAAAATTATTCAAAGATCGTATTCAAAAAATATAAACAGTTTTTGCCTGGAAAATGCTGAATGGTAACACAAAACAGGGACCATTGAAGCTATGTGGTTTGATTTTGAATGTGAACCCAAAATTTCAGTTCAACACATTTGAATTCTTTTTATTCCTTTTCAAAATTTCGAAACCTGCAGAACAACAAAAGAAAACTATTATCCGTGGGAAAACATCGGCAATGAATCAATAAACTTTGAGAAAATTATATTTTTTGAATTAATCCATTGTTGCAACTACAGTATTCTTACAGATTTTGAATTGTATTTCATTTATTGTTTGAAAGACCTTAGGAAATGTTTCTATCAAATGCCTTCTTTTTCTTTATTACAACACAATATTCGAAACGTTTTTCTTTTTTGTCTTTCAGTTCCGTTTTATCTGTATATTTCTTAGTTGTGCATTTTTCTATGTCTGTCTTTCTATTCTCTACACAAAATGGGCGGAGTTAGCGCGCGGCCAAGATGTTTAGTTTTATTTTCTTGTGACATTTTGTGTCATGCGACTACTGGTCAACTTTTGTTTCACAAAAAAAATAATTTTCCAGAGAAGTTCTCAAATTCGATTTATTCATCATGTATGATTTCAAGAATTATATCGGTACAATTCAACTCGTAAAAAATGCCTGGTTTCTCATCACATTTTTCAATTCGCTCTTCATTCAACAAAAATTCGATCTAACTCCGATGATTATCATGGCTTCGGTGAGTTCATCTTCTAAATAATTCAAATAATTAAATTAATTTCTTAGATGTTGGTTGAACTCGCAATGTTTTTCGAAATCCAAAAATACAATTACAAGATGCTTCTATACTACGCCTTGTACCAAACTGCATATTTGTATTGTTATTTGCAATCGATCAAGGGAAATTATTTCGAAATCAACATTCAATGTGCCTTGATTTGTAAGTTTATTCTATTTCTTTATGATGATTAGAAAAATAATTGTTATTCCAGGTTTCCAATCGTTGTTCATCGCAATCTGTTTCATCCAATTATTCAACTGCGCAACAAAGGAAATCAAGAAACAAGAAATCATTGATCCAAAAACTGGAGACCTCGATTACCCAAAATTCTTCAAATACCGTAACCTCAACTACTAATTATTATTCAATGTTTGTGGGCTACTTGTTTTTGTTCTTATTTTTTGTTTTTCATTCGGTTTCTAACAGTTTTTTCTGTTTTTCTATGTTCTTTTTTCTTTGTCTTTTTTCTTTATTTACCCAAAATTCTTCAAATACCGTAACCTCAACTACTAATTTGAGAAATCCCGATGTTATTCAATTTTTGTGTGTTACTTGTTTTTGTTCTTATTTTCTGTCTTTTAATCGGTTTTCAACGGTTTTTTTCTGTTTTTCTTTGTTTTTTCTTTCTCTAAGTTATCCTTTCATATTTTCTGTTCTTTTATTAAATAAATTACCGAATTCTTTACTTTTTTCTATGCGAAACACTGTAGTCTCTCAAATTAATTATGATGATGACAGTATCAAGTAAACAGGGGCGACAACCTCAAAAAAACCTACAGTACTCCAAGAAAATTTCGAAGTTTCGAACATATGTTCGAGTAGCACATAAACTTTTTTGCGAAAAAAAAGTTTTCATGTTATAAAAACATTTGTTTTCTTTCTAACGTTCCTATTTTCGTGAAGTGTAGAGAAGAAAATTTTCAGACAGGATGGATATTGGTTTTTATCAAAAAACAAATTCTGAAATTTGGACAATCAGAAAAATACATCGTTGAAACATAAACTTATGACTATAGTAATATTTCGCACAGACAAATAATCTAGACTTTCTCAAAAAAAATCAAAGATTTATCGATAAAAACATTATTTTATTGATAAATAAAAATTTGGAACCCTTAAAAACATGTCATCATCAAAAATCCTAAAAATATTCAACAAGAAACAAATCACTTTTCAAAAATCTATAAATATTTAAAATTATGCTATATTCTCTCTATAATTGAGTTGGCGGTGAACCCATTGAACTATAAATTAATTTCTTGGCAACTGCAATTGGTTGTTCTGTTTGTGTAATTGAAGTTGAAATTTTGTTGAGATCATCAATTGGCACAACAATTTGCGAAGTTGCAAAACGAAGAAAATCTTGAACATTCTGATCTTCCAAAATGACACAAGCATTTGGTCCAGCATCAAATGTATAAGCAGCTTTTCTTTTCCCATTTTCATTGAACTTTTCAACAACTTCAATTAATTTCCAAGATGCATCACTCAAATATCGAATTGGTGGAGATGTATCCAAACAAATTGCATGAAATTGATTACTATCTGACATTATAACTTTTGCGAATTCATCAAAATCACGTTTTTCATAAGCTTCGGCTATTTTCGCTATCCGTTTGTCCACCAAATGTTCGATTCGATATTTTAATAAATCAGAAGTTTGTGAAGATCTTCGCATTCCTTCAGTACTTCCAACTTTTTTCTCTTCGCCATCGAAAACAAAAATGAGACATCGAAGAGTATTCCAACCTTCATTCACTTTCTAAATTTATCTCTAACATTTTTACTTTAAAATATGAAAAAAAAAAAAACTAACAATAGCAAAACAATCAGTTCCATCGTCTTTAATTCCAGATTTCCATTGAACTAATCCACCAAACATACTTCTACAAGCACTTCCCGATCCAATTCTAGCTACTTTATTTGCCTGTGTTTCATCTAACCCAATCAATATCTGAATAGCCATTGAAATCGCTGCAAACCCAGCCGCAGAAGAAGCCAATCCAGCTGCAACTGGAAAATTTGTTGTGGATGTTACTTTGAATTTCAGTCCAATGTTGTTATTCGAAGTTCCATTTTCTTTTTCGTGAGCACGTTTTCGTTGAAAGCGAAGAGCTTCCTGAAATTTTGGTGAGATTAAAAAAATAAGAGAATATGGAAACTTACATTGAAAACAGTTCTGTACCGCTTATTGCTTTCCAAATCAACTTCTTTCCCATTTATCGAAACCTGAAAAAATAATTTTGTGATAAAAAAATGCGTTTCAAAAAATTCAGAAAAAATAAATAAGCTCCACCAGGAAAAGTTCACGTACAAAATTTTCAATTTTTATCATTTCTTTTTTCACAATTAAAAAATTATAAATTGCCACATGGTAATTCACGATGTTTCATTATCAAATTACAAAACTAGTATTTTATTTTTCATGTCAATCAAAAATTATTTATTCACTTCCGAAAATCTAACAACTTACAGTATGATCATCCTGTTTGACCAATTCAACACTTGTTTCAGCACATAATTCATCAACAGTTAGACTAATTGAATCATTTAGTGGTAATATCAATTTCTCATCTCTTTTTCCCCAATATTTAACAAGCGCTATATTCATTGGAACTCTTACTGTAACCGACATCTGCAAAATTTCAAGTTTCAAATTTTCATTCAAATTTTTTAAGACACGGTGGTTTCAAGCCAAATAAAATCAGTTTTGGGAACAAATTGGGATCTCCAATGTGGAAAATATTCATTCTGAAAAAAAAACTAAAAATTTCAAAAAAAAAAAAGAATACTAATTGTAAATAAAAAAGAATAAGAATAAAAATCAAGCGTTAGATGAAGAAAAAATTATGCTATACACGTATACAGTAGAGTAAAGTGTAAAAGTAAGACTAGATAGATATTGATTTGATAAAACTGATTTATTCATCATCCATTGAAGTTCTTCTCAAAACTGGAACCGGGAATCCGTGTTTGGTGTCTTTTGCTGGCCATTCATATGTTGCATTGATCAAATCATCATATTCAACACTATAAACGTTTTGACGAATGAACATTTCCTGAAAAAAAAGAAATTAACTTTGAAATACTGTAAAAAGATGGGAATATTTGGAATCATTGATTGGAACCATTCAAAACTTTTACAGTAGGGTCTGAAAATTATGATTCTAATTTTTTTTCCAAAAATTAATGTGAGTCCATACGTCGCATAGCACCGTTTCAAACCCCAACTTTTGAAAATTACTGCCCCCCCCCTTCCTTTTTCATTTTCAGCTGTAAAAACTTGATAATCAACTATTTTAATTTAAGCTCCTCAAAACGTTCATCTCCTCAAAAGTTTTGAGTCAAAATTTGATTCGCAGATTCTAACTTTATAAAAACAAAAGAATATGTTTCAAAATTTTGATATAATTTACTATCAAATATTTTTTTCAATATCATTATTTTTTTTATTGACAATAAGTCGATACCAAAATTCTCAAAATTTGGATGAAAACTCTTAAATTATCGATTTTTGATAAAAATTCGTTTAAAGTTCAAGTACAAAATAAACTATATTACTAATTATTTCCCAACTCTAACATTTATAGCAACTTTCGAGTTCCAAAAAGTTCCCCTTGAAAAAAATATACAAAATCCTACCATATCTTCAGGTTTTGGATGAAGTGTGGCCAAATCGTGTTTATAGCAATATTCTCCAACAGCAATTGCAATTTGAACCGACAATTCTCGAATATCTTTGAGACGTGGATAAACACGAGAATAAGTGTTGAGTGATTTCTCACTGACTGCTTCGGCAACCATCTGAAAAAAAAAGAACTTGAAAAATAGAAAATATAATTTCGAAATCACTGACTCTTGCGGCAATGAGGAACAATTTGTCTGGAATATGTTTGGTGCAGAAAAGAATGGCTCCAAGAGCAACTCCTGGGAAGATGTAAGCATTATTTCCTTGTCCTGGTTTGAACAATTTTCCATTCAATTCAACGTTATCGAATGGTGATCCAGATGCAAAAAGAACTGTTCCCTAGAAAAATTCAAATTAGTTTCAGAATTTTCTGATCAAACATACGTTAGTGCATCTATAGGCAGCTTCAGCTGTACATTCAGCTTTGCTTGTTGGATTTGAAAGAGCGAAAACAATTGGTCTTGGATTATTTGCAGCCATTTCTTTCAAGATTTCTTCAGTGAATGCTCCAGCAACTGTTGAAGCACCAATCAATGCACCCGGCTTGACTGTTTTCACAATTTCGAGAAGATTTTTAGTGTCTGGCAAATCTTTGGCGAATTTGATATGTCTCTCTCCCAAATTCTTGATTCTATTCTTGGTGATCAAACCATCAATATCAACCATATAAATACGCGCACAAGCTTCTTCTTCAGTCAATCCTTCATCCATCATTTGTCTTACACACATTTCAGCAACTCCAGTTGCAGCTCCACCAGCTCCCAAGAATACAAATTTTTCTTGTGACATCTTCTTTTTTGTTACTCGAGTACTTGCCAATAAACCAGCAACAACAACAGCAGCAGTTCCTTGAATATCATCATTGAACATACAATATTCACCCTTGTATCTATCAAGAAGTCTATAAGCATTTTGATTTCCAAAATCTTCGAATTGAATGAGTGTATCTCTTCCAAATCGTTTTGTTGCGGCTTTCATGAAATTATCAACAAGAGTGTCATATTCTGGACCACGAACACGTTTACGACGAAGTCCGGTGTAGAATGGATCATTCAATAATTCGCCATTATCAGTTCCAACATCCAAAATAACTGGAAGACACCATTCTGGACGAATTCCAGCTAAAGCAACATAAAGAGAAAGTTTTCCAACAGGAATACCAATTCCATATGTTCCCAAATCTCCAAGTCCCAAAATACGTTCACCATCAGTGATTACAATTGCCTAAATGAAAAAATGATGAAACTTTTGGAATAATTGACAACAAAAACAACGAACCTTGACATTTTCGGTATGCCAATTAGCCAAAATATGATAAATCTTACTGATACTATTATCATTGATAGTAATATAAAGACCTTTTGGATTACGGTAGATAAATCCGAAATGTTGACAAGCTTGTCCGACTGTTGGAGTATAAACAATTGGCATGAGTTCTTTTACATTTTCAGTCAAAACACGATAAAACAATTTCTCATTACGATCGTGAAGAGAATCCAATTGGACATATCTGAAAAATATTGATTAAATCCTAGTAGGTAAGTCAAAATAGGAGAAGGTAAGAGAACTATCAAGTCTCAAGTTATCTTTTCAAAACACCTAGAGATTTAAAAAATTTAATTTGATTAACAGAATTCTCCTTGTCTTAGTTCTTGATAAAATATAATTCATGCCTTATCCCTCTCTATGAAAAATTAAAAAAATGCATACTTTGCCAGATTATCCGGTTGTTGACGAAGTTTCGTCATAATTCTATATGCCTGTTGTTCTTCAGTCATAAAAGCTGGCGGCAAAAGTCCATGGATACCAAGATATTGACGTTCTTCCAATGAAAATGCCATTCCCTAAAACTGTAAGAGTTTCAAAAAAGGTCGTTAGAAATTGACCAACCTTATTCAACCCTGGTGTTTTCAACAAATCAATTCCACGTTTCGATGGCGTAATTCTTTCCGGGCGATACATTTTATGCAGAGCCAACATTTTTGGATCCGACAAATCCGGTTCATTCGATCCATTTGATGAAAATCTTACAGGGATACGTCTACTACATGGCGATAGTCTAGACAACATTTTGAACCCAGTCTGCAAAAATGGACACAAAAAATGTTGTTTGTGAGATCAATAAAAAATGGCTGGCTTCTTCTATCTCTTTTTCTCTATATCTCTTCAAATACTAGAGCCGTAGTAAACATAAACACAGAAAAATTGAAAAAAAAAACTAGAAAAGAGGAAAAATTCTGAATGGAAACACCAGAAAAACAGACAATGAATGAATGAATGATTCAAGGCCGAGAGGCGTTCTTCAAAAAAATAGGCTAATTGAAACGTGAGGAAATTCACATGAAACATACTATTTTATCTTTTAAAAAATTATAAGCACTCTCATGCAATACGATTAAAAATTCTGGGAAAAAGGTTTGTAGGAGCCAGAAAGTATAATATTCCAAAAAATAATTGAATGAGAGAAGCGAGAAGACAAAAAATGTCTGCAGGACAACTAAAAAAGCTGAAATCGATAGAATGAGAATGAAAATTATAGGCTTAACATATGTGTTGAACTTCATTTTTGAAGATACAAGGTGAATTGGAAGAGAGACTAGAGAAAAATATAAAACGAAAATTGGATGACAAAGATTCAAAATTTCCACATTGAAAAAATATTGAAATGATTTTTTTGACAGAAAAAAACGTGAAAATTTGACGTCAGTCGAACTGCAAATTTTCGGTTTTTCTCGATTTGCAAAATTTCATTTCTACCTTTGTAATTCTGTTTCTTAAAACTGCTTAGAAAAATCAGAAAATTTGGTAAACTTTTCGCGAGCAAAAAATAAAACATAAAGATCATTATTCTATTTTTGATCTACAAACAAAACACTGTGAACATTTTGGTCTCGATGATTTTTACGCTAGAATTGAATCAAGAAAATCATGCCTAGGGTCTAAAAAAAGTATAGCGACATATATAAATCACGCGTTTTTCCAATGCTTATTATCACTCACTTTTTAACACTCCGATTATCGGAAATGACAAAGATCAAAACTGATAGCGTAACAAATAGAAGAAAAATCAAAACCAGAACACGTGGAAAAAGCACAACTGCTCAAGATATTTACTGCTTTTCAAACCAATAGATTTACAAAATAAAGTGGATAAATAGAACAAAAAAATCTTTATTAAAATCAAAGTATATCCAAAAGTTAGTAATATAATATTAATTAATCAATCTTCAAAAGTTTTAATAGAAAAAATAAATGAATAAATAAATATACGACAAGAGGAAAGTTTCCTATGGAGATCACAATAAAACTTTGAGATGAACAGGAAAATGAATGCGACTAGCGAACAATACCGGGGTTTTTTATGCCAATTTTTTGCTGGCATTTTGCATTTCTCGTTTTGACATGATTTTCGACCGTGGGAATCGGAGTTTTTGATCAGGAGAAAACATAATCTGAAATTATTAATTTGATTATATCATTAAAATTTCTTAAACGAAAGCCCAATCAGATCTTATCGTTGAAAATCACTAGTTGAATTTCCTAATCAATTGTGTAGTTAGCAATTGAAAAATAGAAGTTCAATCAAATCGATAGTTTTCGTCATTTTGGATTTGGATGATAAATAATTGAAGAGATAAAGAAACAACTTACAACATATTCCAAAATATGACTGAAACCTCTAAAATAACCATCATAAACAACATCATCGTCCCATTTGACACGAACCTATAAAAATTGAAAACAAAAATTACCTTGTATAAAAACACCTCATCTAGAAAAAATTTATAACTTCAGAGTAAAGAATTTTTATCAAAATTGAACTGATTTTTTGAAAAATTCGAAAAATGCTCTGATAGAACTCAATTCTGTGTTCCAGTTCATATAACTTACTCTAATTCCATATTGATGATTAATTCCATCACATCTAACACATTCACATGATACAATATCCTCAAATGTCAAATCGCGACTAACACTTCCATCATAAAAATCAACAACAGATGTTGGCTTTCGAATAATTTCTTCGATAATCGCTTTTTTATATTCTTGTTCTCCATCAATTGGTGCAAAAACTTCATCGAAACATTTTAAATTGATAAATGTTGAGGGAGCTGGAAATAAAACTTGACTTAAAATTAGGAATCGAGATTTTAATTATCTTACCTTTGTCAAACAAATGATCAGTCTCATGTTTGTCACAAATCATAGCTAAACCTTTTGGAAATTGTCGAAGCTCAAAACAATATCCAGCAATTCTTGCACACGTTGTATGTGCTGTTGTTGGTAAGTGACAAGTACTATCCTCAATGCATAATGTGCATACAATTAATCCTTCACGCGATTTTTTACAAACAAAACATTCCCATCGAGAATGCTCATATTTGTTGCCAAATTCAGACAGATACGCGAGTTTCAAAACCGGGCTACAAATTGGTAAGGTTTTAAAATTGAACTTATGTTAGATTTCAAAATAAATACCAACCATAATGTTTTGAAAACATTTTGTTTCGGTGGAGGAACAACAAAGGCGATTGTTGGTCCAATTGGTTTATTGAATGTAGTTCTTCGATTCATAAGAGCACATATAACATGAACATATGTTTGATCAGTTCCAATTTGACAAGGAATTAAAGCACCACCTCTCAATTCACAAAGAGAACATGATGCACTCCGAATTTCAATATCTGTGTGATCACGGCAACGTAAACATAACCATGAAGAATTTTCTGAAAATAAGGGAAAATTAGAAGAATGAAATTAATTCGAAAAATTCCCAACCTCCTGGATTTTCAGCAGTGTAACAACATGAATGAATTGAAACATGACAATTATTACAAGTTAGTAAAATATCTTCCGAATCTGACACTTTTATATCCTTAATATCAACTTGAGTTTTCGCAAAATGTTCAATATTCAAAAGTCTTTTTGATGTTTTTGGAACTTCTGAACATCGAGGGCGAGCATGAAGTGGTTGAAAATATGAACAAACATCACAATGTGGCCAATATTTTGCATTTATTTCATTATTTTGTCGCTCAGCAAATAAATTTGTATTAAATGACAAGAGATCTTCTGAAAAATATTGACACAATTTTATTATTTTCTTTTTCGCTGTTGAATAAAAACTAACTTGTTATTTTTTTGAACTTCTTTGTGAGATCTTCTGAATCTGTGCTCAATTCTTGAGCTCCACTACAATCATAATTTACATTAGTTTTGGAATTCAAATAGGCGGTGAATAACGACTCGGAATTGTTCGGACTCGAATTTGACGACCACTCATTTGGACTTCCATCTGAAAATATATATAATGAATAAGAGAAAAAATACGATGTAAACAGAGGTGATCACAAAAATTGCATGCAAACTTGGGCCCGAAAATATATTTTTTATTGTGAATGTGAAATTTTTTGAAATAATTACTGAACCAGCACTAACATAAATGTATTTTTTTCGGATTGGAAAGTTTTTTGACAAATTTTGTGCTGAAAATTAGAAATTCGCAAAATTCTTGATTTTCCAGATTTACATTTCCCAATTTTTCTTTCCAGCACAGGCAATCGTGTTTTTTTTAAACAGATTTGAAAATCAGAAATCTTGAAAAATGGAACTGTCAGGATACTGAATCGAGAGTAACTTTTAATACAACAAAACAAAACCCTGACCAGCTTTTGAACGTTTTCCGAGTTCAAATTCACAACATCACGTATCTCACCGGATATCGATCCACCACTATTTGTTCCATCGGCGCCCAGTCGAGCACGTTTTGTTATTACAGCGATATTTCCATCCGATTTTCGTTTTGCAGCAACGCCTGAATTAAGTAAGCATAAAATGACTTCAAATAAAAAACTATACCTTTTTTCGGTTTTTTCTTTGAAATATCAAGTTTCAATCGATCACCATACCAATAATTAAACCATGCTTCATATTCTAATGGTCGATATTTGAGCATAAATGGTCTCATATCAATTTCAACAGTATCTTTGACACATTTACATAATATTGCATTTTTTCCATAATCGATCCAGCGATCAGTTGCAAAATTAGTGGATTCAGCTAAATTATATCCAGTATTAAATCCCATATGATAACCTTTTGGAAATGTAATAATAAATTCATTTGGTCTTTGAATCATAGTTCCATATGGAATATTGTGGGCGCGAAGAAGAGATGGTGAAACAATATATGATTTATGACGAAGAAATGCTTTACATAATGAATCGTGTCCAGCAAATTGTTGATGCATTAATCTTTCAAAACGTTCTGCAGAATCAGATGATATTGCAAACCAATATTTAGGTGCACCGAAGTGCAAATAATTAATCGAATATAAATCCATATCTTCTGAATGCCATGGAAATGTTGTTTTATACATTCCAAAATATAAATAAACAGTATTAACTCCACTTATTCTTGTTGTTCCTTTTGTTTCATCAAGAATTGTATTTAACATATTCATATTAAATTCTTTAACATTCGGATCATAAATTGAACCTTCTGTGTCTGCACCGTAGATCGGTTCTCGTAATAGTATATTTTTGAAATACTCACTAGAAAAATATTTATCATTTTCAGCAAAATATGATAATATATAAAACTCACTTTTCTAGTTCTACTCCTGATAATTCTGGTTTCGGATTTTTATAACTTGCTGAATTTGCTATTTTTCTAAACTCTTTGACTGTCATTTTCTTCCGATAAACACGATTGGTTTTGTGAAAAACACCAGAACGTCCTTCAATAGTTTCTTTGACCGGACTAAAATGAATAAAGTCTCAATACTTTTCAACCAATAAAGTATTTAACTTACTTATTAATTTCAAACTCATCAATATCACAATAATTATTTTTTCTCGTAGGTCTTGGATGCCATCCTTCAGGCGGAACGATTTTTGCAATTCCGCATTTTAAATGTGCACCAACTTTCTCAATTTTATTGATATAACCTCGAAAATCGCGAAACTCTTCCATTGACGGATAAAAAGTTAGAACTTCTGTTGAGCCAGTGGGTTGATGTTGTGGGTGAGCTTTTGCAAACGAATTAGACATTTGTATCGTTTCACGACCATTTGAAAATATTGGTTCATTCAAATCTTCACTGACTTTTTGTCTAAAAACTTTGGAAATGTACTTTTAAAAACAAAAGAAAATTATTCGCCTTACGTTGTATTTTCTGGAACCAATGCTCCCGAACAAATATCACTTGATGTACATGCTTCCTGGTTTTGAACCCATTGGCTCATTATAACACTGAAACCTTAAAACATATGTTTTAATTGAAATTGAGACTGAAAAAAGAAAAAACGAGAAACGTGCGAAATGAAAAAAATTGATGGAGCGCATAGTCATTGCGGAGTGTTGTTAGAGGAAAATGCACTTTTTTATTTTGCCCTTTTGCTCAATATGTGTTAAATTAGTAAAATTGTGAGTCTTCTTCTCATTTTTTAGGAAAATGGATTAGAAACTAAGTAATAACAAATGAGAGACCTCTAAAAACGTGTCTGTATTCAAAGTTGCAAGTAAAAAAGTCCCAAATGAAGTCAAAATTGTAATATTCGCACTATAGTATTTTTAAACTTTGAACGTACTCTACAACAGAAATGTTTGTATATGCAGTTCCCTTTTTATCCGAGATTTGTTATTCTGAAAAATAGAATCTAAAGTCAGAAAGTGAAATACAAAATTTAGAAAAATTAAAAATTCTAGAATCAAGAAGTCTAGTAAAAGGTATTCAAGACGTTTGAAAAATAAAACATTCAGGAATCCGATAACCACGACTAGTTTAGAATTTTGAGAGAACCTGGAACTTCAGAAGTTCCTGAAGTTCTAAAAGTTTCAATGATCCCTTGAATGCTGTTTTTCCACAATTCAAATTCAATTTCCAATTCCATGCTCATATTATATATGTTCAATTTTATTTGAATATTTCCATATTTCACACATTGTGTCGATTCAATTAATTCAAATTTTCTCCTCTATTCATTTCTTTTTACATACAATTAAGCAAAAAGCGGCGTTCTTATCTTTTGGCGCCCATTCGCGTCTCTCTCTCTCTCTTTCTCTTTTCTTTCGACTCTTCTATTATATAAAACACCTATTCGCACCCAAAACGCACCAAAAACTGGGCAACGAGCCAACACACAGCAGGTGTTTGTCTATACATTCTGGTTCAAATACACTGTTCATAGTTCTTCTTCTTCCCCTCTGTTGGTAATGAAGTATAGTGATGTCATTAGATTTTTTCTTGGACAACAATGCAACAGATGTTAATAGATTTTGTGACCCAAATGAAGGAATAACACCTGGATATCAAGTACTATAAAAAGGCGAGCAAATATTAAACACCTTTTTGAATACAAAACCTATAAAAAGAAAGTATAATTAAATGGAGATTAGGCACCTGGCGGATTTATCAACGTATTTAATCGGCTTGGTGCATTTTCAAAAATATTAATTATAAGGTGAATATGGAAAATTACTTATAAATAATTAAAGAGTATCAAAGGATTAGAAAATACAAATATTTCACTATATAAAAATATATAGAGCGAAAAAAGTATTTGAATTCTAAGTACAAATCTTGAAAATTACGGTATCTGTGTTGTGAAATTAAATGCGAATCAGGATATTGAAGAAACTTTGATTTGAGATGCACAATGAATCGAATTCCACGTGGTTCCCTTCAGAATCCTTCAGAAACCAATTTATTAAACAATTCTGGCGCGGGAGAACATTGTTATTTGGAAACATTAGAAGACACAGACTCTACGTCATGAATTATTCAGAAAATGTCCAGATCAACTCGATTTTTAACGTCGAATTCCATCGACAAAAAGCCGTAAATTTTCTTGAAACTTCTCTGAAAATAAAAATAAAAGCCAACAGTTTTGTATTCAACGTACAAATCTAATGGATTACTGTAGGTGTGTTATAATGCGAATTTCTAGAGTGACATATTCTCACCAATAGAGGGATAAACTTTTGAAAAGAATTTTTAAACTATTCGAAATTATTGCTGTTCGAATAACTACAGATCTCATGAGGGTTTTGTTCCACACTAACTTTGCATTCAAACTCCAAAAATTAAAAATAGTGACACTTTTCTACATTGTCACACGATCAATCTCCGAACAAAACTGTCACTCATCAACCATCCTAATACCCAATAATAATTACTATTTCAATTCATTCTGATTTTTATCTAAGGCGGTGGGGCAGATTAGTTTCTCCCCCGGGAGAAATGGGGAGAAAGAGGAGAAAAGTGGTGCAGCAACGCGGGGAGGAAGAGGAGTTCCTGCCTTTTCTCCTCCTACAGTATCCGGCTCATCGTGTCGAGACCATTTATCAATAAGACCGATATAGTTCCGTATTTCGACTCGATTAAAGGCGCAGAGATTTTCCAGGAAGGGTCTCGGCACGATACGGTTTGGGAGAAAAGGCAGAAACTCCTCTTTCTTCCCGCGTTTCTGCACCACTTTTCTCCTCTTTCTCCCCATTTCTCCCGGGGGAGAAACTAATCTGCCCCACCGCCTAAAATATACATCTAAAGATATCCCGCTGCTCCAACAACTTCCCAAAAATATGTCATCAAACCAAAAACTTTCGCGCTAAATTGATAGGGCGTATCTTTATGGTCCGATCCGCCCATAGTTTAGAGCTCTATAAATAGTCCGTAAATCGTGGTATATTCCATACAAAGTTCTTCATTTTCTTATATTTTCTTCACAAATTCTTATTTTTCCTCTATCTAGTTTATTCTTTCCCTATTTTTCCCCTTTTGCTGTTTTGTTTTGAGACAGACGCGATTGATGGAGGCGACCGACAAGCGTGTTGTTTGCCACTAGTCTATCGATCGCGTCTTTATGTGTATTCAGCACTCGCCTTCATTCGCTCTATGTTCTCTTCTTTCCACTCTTTTTCTTCTTGCTTTCTTTCTTTTTGGCCAGCCACACACACATATACACATACATACACACAAGTGGGGAATGATGTGTATGTGTCTTCAGTCGTTGGTTGATGGTTGTACCTAGTTCTTCTCAATTTCGAATCGATAAGAACATGTGATTGGAAATCTAGAAAAGATCTAAAAACAATTTTAATAGGCATAGAATTGGCTGATGAATAATTGTTAGAATAGAACATTGAAAAGAATAATCTGAGAATCTTCGAACACCATTGCATCTCGGATGACATTTGGGAAAATGGGGTTCGGATCAAATTCTGATCTACACATATTTCCAGAAATCGTTTAAGTCTCGGCTTTTTTCTTTTTACACAATTGTTTTCCTTTCAAAATTGCAGTCAAAAGTACAATTTTAGGAAACGCCTGTTTGAACGATTGAAAATTTAAAAAACATTTATAATCAAGATTCTGAACATCTATGAACATATAATACGCCCTATCTATCTCTTTAATTTACCACATAAGAATTATCCAAAGTTGTACTCAGCGAAACATGAATTTTATATCTAAAACTCAAAAGGCCACGTGTAACTTTTTTATGTAGCATCAGATAGACTTCCTTAACACACGCCAATCATGAATTTCCCAAAATTTTGCTTCGTACTCTTCGGAAATCGCAATGAATTTCTTGAAACAACCATAAAAACAGCCTGTTTTTTTCGTATCATAATTACAAAATTAATAACAAATGATGGATTATTTTTAACTAATAAGATCTAAAATATAATAATCTCGATGTTATTTATATTTGAATACCAATTCCATGTTCAGAAACTACCCATCCATCCATCTATTCTTTTTTCGTTTCGTTTTTCCCCTTCTTTTTTCTTCTTCTATTTCTTTCCAATTGCAAACACATCAACTAACAAACAGCCAACCAACACAACCAACCAGCCGCAGCCCAAGCCATTTCTTTTCTATTTCTTCTCATTCATTTTTTCTTCATTCGCCTCTTTTCTCTATACTTTCACACTATTGGCGACCGCATACGCATTCGCCTTCCAATGCGAAGCGGCTCGGCGTTGTTATTATTCTTCGTTGTGTTGAGATAAAGACACGCCCCTTTCTGGTTGGTGTGTGTTGTCGAATCGGAGGACACGCCCACCAAAAATGCATCATTCGCAAAACTAACACTCGCATATAGGTTGTCTTTCTATTTTCTCCTTTTTTACTTCTTCTTCTTCTTAGTCTTCATATATTTTCTTTCTTATACTTTCATTTAAAATATATTTTTATTTTCCAGAACCAAAAATGGCCAAAGCCGCAGTCGCCAAGAAAGCAACCCCAGTCAAGAAAGTCGGAAAGAAGGGAAAGGACCCAAATGCACCAAAACGTGCCATGTCCGCATTCTTCTTCTGGATGCAAGACAACCGTGAACGCATAAAGAAGCCAGGAATGGGAGTCGCTGATGTTGCCAAAGCAGCTGGTGTTGAATGGGGAAAACTCACCGACAAATCCGTAAGTTGTCTCAAACACATCTACCGTAGATCTCAATCTCATATTTATAATTTTTCAGAAATGGGAGAAAAAAGCCGCCGATGACAAGAAACGCTACGAAGCTGCCATCGCTGCTTACAAGAAGAGTCTCTAAACTTCTACATCAATCGAGATCAATCACCAAATCACCAAAATACATCCATGTTCACCCTCTGAATTATTAACTATGATCTCTTTTAACTATTGCTGTACATTGTTTGAACTCTTTGAATAAATAATAACACCACAAAAACTGTGTATTTTTATGGGTTGGCGGGAAGCGTGGGTTGGTGGGTTTATGTTGGCGAGTAGCCAAAAATAAAAGGGGGAGAAGAAGAATAGTGTTGGGTTGGCAGATGTCCAACTGGCCTTGGCGGGAAAATGGGTGGAAGGAGGGAAGCGAAAATAGAAACAAAAGATAGATAGATACTGTGGTGTCAGATTGGTGTTTCTTCTTCTTCTTCTTCCTTTTTGTTGGTGTTCAATGAAGGGAAACTTGTTTGTGTTGATCAAATAGAATAAAAACTTTTGTGTTTCAAAAATATAAATAATAAATTTCTGAGAAAGTGTTGATACTACAAAACCAATAAAAGTGTGAAGTTCGGAACTTGGAACTTCGTGTAGCAATTTTTGGTAATTTTTGCAAGATTGTCGAAAATTTCAAAGTATTTGAATATATCAACAGTTTTTCCTAGCGTTGGAAAAACAGTGTATTTGCGTACACGGATACACGCGCAGCCAAATACACGAATACACGGTACACGAATACACGCGATACACGAATACACGGATACACGAATACACGCAATACACGAATACACTGTACACGAATACACGGTTTTCTTCTCTTCTCAAGCAATTTATAAAAAAGCGTGTATTCGTGTATTCGTGTATTCGTGTATTGCGTGTATTCGTGTACCGTGTATTCGTGTACTGCGTGTATTCGTGTACCGTGTATTCGTGTACTGCGTGTATTCGTGTACCGTGTATCGAGCGCGTGTATCCGTGTATTTTTTTCCAACCCTAGTTTTTCCTCAACTTGAGAAGTGGGAAAGGTTTAAAAAATAATCCAGAAGTGTTCTCTTTCTGATTTCCACTTTTTCGAAATCACATAATTTTTCGAATTTATCGCGGAAAATTTCGAAATTTTCTTTTGGAAATGCAGTTTTAAACATGAATCGGATGTTTAATAAAATTAGGAGATCTACAATTTTTCAAAGTTCAATCGAGAAACGGATGGAATTCAGAACAAGCCAAAATAGCACATGCATGTCCTGATAAATAATGGTGGTTCAAAAGCCTTTGAATATTTCATAAATCTAAACTTAATCCTGATCCAAGTTATAATTTTAAGCTGAGAAGTAGAATATGCTTAGTAAAAAACTAAAACTAGAATTAAAGTCAAATTTCAATTGTCGCCCGGAAAGAGATTTTTAATTAAAGAAAGATAGGAAAGTTCTGCTTAAAAATATTGTAAAGATTTACCTGCGTTTATGCTACGAAACAATTTATAGTTTAGATATCGAGAAGTTTTGAAGTTTTCCAAATTTTTTAACTTTAGATCAATAACTGGTGGTGGTGGATAAATAACAGTGAGGTAATACGGAAAACATATATTTTTGATCGGCCTGACAAAAAGTTTGGGAAATTCAAAAGATTGTTATGTTTGGCAAGGATTTTGACAACCATTCCATATTCCAAAAATTGCTCATCTCAATATGATACCGTATTCTTATCACTTCAACAGAATTAATTCCTTTGTTTTTATGCAACATTTTTCATTGTTTATTCGTCACTATACTCTATAATTTTCTAAAGATAACAATTAGCCAGATTTTTGAATAAACTTTATGTATGGAAAATATGTTATGAGTTTCGCAGTTTGCCTCATTCGCTGAAGGTGTGTTCAAAACTTCAATGGAATGAATTTTATCACCCAAAATGTACTAATAAAGTACACACTGAAACTATTAAATAGCAAACTTTATTTCCTAGAATTCATAGTAATCAAAACCAAAACTGAAATCATGGTCTTCTCAAAAACTCTGTCAGCATTGTGCCCTTTTAAATTTTGTTTCGAGAAATTGTCAAATTTTTTCAATTTTCAAATATTTTGAAGTTAATTTTTCAAATTTACAATTAGTGGAATAATAGTCTGAAATCTTATTTGAAATTATAATTTTTAATTGAACAAAATAAATTTCAGGTTGAATTTTTAGAAAACGTATTTACAATTTTAGAGATAGTTGTTTGTATTAGAGAGACTATGAACGTATTCTGTATGAATACATTTTTTTAAGATTTCATTCAATTGAAGAGTTATTTTAAGTTTCCCATAACATTGTATTTTATCAAAGTTTTTCAATCAAAAATTATGTCTGCGTCTGATTTTCTCTTTTTTCAATTTTACACAGCTTTCTCGAGTTTAATAATACGTTGTTTTTGTTGCTCTCGTCTCCGAAATTTCTCAAACTTTTTTCATTTTTCTTTTATTATCAACGAATTCGTCATCAAATAAAACAACAAAACAAAAGAAAATTTTCGAAAATTGTTCCTCTTTATTCTTTAAAAAACAAATCATTTCTCTGAAAAAATGAGGAAAAGAGTTGAATCAGTGTTCCAACCTACGTAAAATGTGACACATAAGAAAAGAGCAGCGCGCGAAATCCGCGCAGAGCCCAATATTTGCCAACTTATCAAAAAATTTATATTTATGTATTTTCCCGCGCATTTTTATATAGTGTTTCTGTTGCCGCCATTTGGATATTATTTAGTAGTATCCTATTTCCATGTTTTTTTTATTTTCTTGAGCTTATTCTAAGCTTCATCCGGATTCTTTTTTCTTCTTCTCGAAATCAACAGTTTTTCTTTGATTGATTCATTTTTGTACACACCTGCACCCCATAAAATTTCACTTTGTAAAATGTCCTAATAAAAATGTTTTGTTTAAATCCACACCACTTTCATCTTCTTTTATCATTTCTAATTTCACTTATTTTAATATGTGTGTTCGAAATTATATTTATGACAATTTTCTTGCTTTTGAAAATACAGTATCCTGTTTTTTTCAGTTTGGTTAAAAAAATGGAAAAATCAATAAATGCTATTCCACATGTTGTTATTCGAGAAATATTTGAAACTGTTGATTTAAAAACTTTGTTCAAATGTCGAAGAGTTTGTCACTCATGGAACAATGAAATTGAGAGTATGAAATATAAACGAACACAGTAAGTTAATTTCTGATAATTTGAACAGTTGAAATCCGAATAACTTGACATCATTATGAATCAACATAAACCTTTCTCAAAAAAGTTATGTCAGCAAAGTCTACGGTATATAAAAAAACCATTTTAATCAGAAATTAAACTTTCATAAGAATAATTCCCAATATTTTGTTTCAGAAAATTGAATATTGAAAGGATGTTGCTTGGAATTGGAGATAATCATATTTCTATCGAAGGAACATCAAAATCTTGTTATTATGCACATTCATTTCCCAAATTTATTGGAATGATTCGACATTTTGAATCCCCAAATATTCTACTTTTATTTGTTAGAAATCATCAAAATGGAAATATGATTGATTCAATTATAAATGGATTAAATATTGAATGGTGTGAAAATGTAAAAGAATTAGAAATTGGTGATCTCGGGAATATTTCAACTGACAAAATAAATCAAGTAATCTGGAAATTCTCAAATATTTATTATTTAAATATCTCATGGAAAAATCAGGAATCTGTTTCGTGCTCAATGTTTCTTCGAAGTTTGCAGAAATTACGATTTTTGAGAATATATCAAAATTTGGAAAATGACAATTATTCGAATGGATTATTCCTAGATAATGAATCTTTGGATATTTTAATAACACATCAGGTAAATGAATTTTTTGTGATTAAATATAACTTATTTTAGATAAACAATTCTCGACTTCTTCAACATATTGAATTATGGAACATGAAAATCACATTTACCAATGATGAATTTATGAATTTTCTAACAAAGTTATCGACTATTCCAGTTCATCAAGATGTACTTACAACAATTCCGAAATGTGTCAACGTAAGTGATAGCCGAAAAAAATCAAACTCAAATTCATAAATTTCAGGCTCAAATCGATGAAATCGTGTATATTAGTTTTCTTTCTTGCCAATTCGAGAATCCAATTCTCACAAATCTTCAACACTTTTGCTCGGAAAATGTATATAGTTTCAGAATTGCTCAAACAAGTTTCGAGATTCTAATTGATTGAACCTCAAAATGAACAATTTATTGTTGAACCCGTCAAACATGCATGGAAAAAGAACCTTGATGTGTGTTTCAGATAGAAAGAGATCATCAAAAAAATAAGAAAAAAGTTGTAAGCTAGCAGAATTTACAAGTTTTTGGGCAAAGCGATGACATGACTTGATAAATAGCTGGTGATCGACATCGATCTGCCGTCCACCAACAAACTGTAATACGATCTTCACAACCTACAAAATAATAATAAATAAATAAATGAAATATGATAAGTTTGTATATACACTTACGTTTTGAACTTCCTGAACTATTTGAAATAACCATTGAATGAGCCTGTGGAATTTGTTGAGAATCAAATGAATGAAGAGGTATTTTAGGACGATCTTCGTATTTATGATGATTTGGTGGAGAATAAATTGGAACATGCTGGAATGTTTTATTGAGTTTGTAAAAGGAGTTTTGGAAAGTTCGTAATTATGTCGAAAAATAAATCCAAAAAAATTGACCAAGTCCAATTTTCAAAATTTCTGGATCGGTTTGCTTTCAGACAATTTTCACTATTTCACTATTTTTTCTATTCAAAAACTCTCATGTTTTCTTACCCTAGCTCTAGCAAATGGTGCAGAAATTGATTTTTCAACCGGACAATTATACATTCGATTGATTTTTGCTATATCAACATCGGAAAAATCTCGAGCATTTCCAATTGTTGCAGCTGTAAATTACATTTATTTCTGTCAGTCCCCTTTTGAAGAAAATTCATTTTTTTTTTTTGAGAATTAATTAATATCTAAAAATTGTTTTCTCTTAATTATTTAGAAAAAAAATTTTTAATGAGTTTTTTTTTGAAAAATTAAAAAAATAAAAATCAGAGACAAACCTTTTGTTTTGGGCAACATTGTTGGAAAACCGTTTTTCGAGAATGCTAAACTATCATAATGTAAAATTGATTTATAATCATATGGTTGACCGTAATATGAAGTTTTGCTTAAATCAACTTTTCCAAATTGATCCAAAGCTCCTCGATCGATATTTTGCCAGATTATATCAATAAAATTATCACGATCCCAACGTTCTGAAATACAATTCCGAATGTTTGTTTTTTTCTGAAAAATAAATCGAAAAATACCATGTTCATGATAAAATCCAACAACGTGCATCATTTCATGAATAATTGTTGCATATTCCATACATCCATTATCAAGACTCAAAACTTGAACACCGGAAGTTCGGCCAACTTCCGAAAAACATCCATCGACTTTTCCAATAAAAAGATAATCAGTTTCACCAGGTTGGCGTGGAACAAATCGGATACAAGTTTTTTCGTGGTACTGTAAAAAATAACGAGTTATCTTGCTGGAAGAAAATTTCCAACCGCGTTGAGCAAGAATTTTGCGGGTGTATTTAGAACTGTCTCTAAAAAGTTTGGAAAGCTATTTTTTTGCGGAAATCATTGAATTATTATTGAAAATTTGCATGTTTTTTCAAAAATTCAACAAATCTATGTTGGTTGAAAAATAGCAATTTCAAAACTAAATATAGCCTTGATTTTTTGTAGATCAAAAAATAATTCCATAACAATAAAGTATTTATGGATAATAAAAACACTCAATGCCAACTGACTCACCTGCTTGACCGCTTTTGCCAAAAGCGCTCTTTCATGTGATGAATAATGTGGCGAGATTGCATAAGGAATTCTCGCATTTGGCCATAATTTAGCAGCTCGAGACACACCATTTCTTTTGTGTCTTCTTGGTAATCGAATATCATTTTTGAAATCATTCACAATTTCAACCGGTATATGTTTTCCAAATAATTCTTCTATAAAAATGATTCATGAACTGTGTTATAGGAAAAAAAGAGAGAAAAACTTTCGTTTTCTTTCCGAAATTTTATTATGTAACCGTTATTGGAAAATTTACCTTTGGTCAATTTATCAGCTGTTTCAAAATCATCGATTGTCAAAGCATCCAAATTATCAGATATAATCACAATTTCAGACTCCCTTGATGTTATAAATTGTGGAAGTTGAGAAATGAGAAGAATCCATGACAAAATCATGGAAAATTTCTGTAAAATAAGCAAAAACAACTAATGGTCAAGAGTGGAAAAAGAAGAAGGCATTGAAAATTGGATGGGAGTTTGTTTGTCAAAGTTCTTGACAAAAAACATAAATGAGCTGGTTATTTATGAGAGTGTAATTGATTCGCTAATTTTGGAATGAAACTTTTTTTTTCGAACTCGTCTATTAAAAAAAAATAGGAAAGAAGATAGATGTTTCAGATTCTGCTCGCAAGAAAAATAACAACTTTCAAGATTTAGAAAAAAGTTTTTGGAACTAGAAATTTGGGAGAAGTATTAGGTTGGAACATCTGGTTGAGAAAAATGATTTAATCTATGATTTTTCATCTGCAAAATGCAACAATGTTCTTCTTCTTCCGAACAAAAAAGTGCAAATTGTGTGCACAAATTATTATATGTTATATGCCAGGTCAACACAAAAAAAAACACAATTGAAACATAAACATATATATTTTTGTATTTTTATTTATTTCGCCCCGAAAAATCACGAAAACTGGATAAAATGGCAAAAGCAGAAAAAAGTGGATGGAAGAAATATGAAGGAAAAAAGAAGCAGAAGAAGAAGAAGAAGAAGATGGCAAACTTTGATAGTAGTACAGTACCACCTTCTTATAATTGTAAACCAAAAAGAATGCAAAAAAAGTGGTTTGATCTGGAAAAATGATGAGAGAAAAGAGGAATGTTGTATTATACTATAACTATTCAAAAAAAAAATGAAGAAAAGAAATGTGAAAAGTGAAATAAGAGTACTTATCAAATTTCTAAAAATTTCAGTTTATTTACTTTTTGAATGAAAATTATAAATTATCTGATTTCTCCAAAATTTCATCAAAATTAAGAAAACCAAAATTACCTGTAGCTAGGTGATTTCAAAGATAAACTTTACGAAAAAGAAATTGAAGATTTAAAAAAAAACTTCCCATATTTTTCCAAATGCAAATTTTGGTCATCAGGAAAATCTATTAATCAAAAATTTTAATGTTCAAGGTTATTAACTGGGAAATCCAAAAAATTCAACAAATTTTTATGGTACAGTTTTCTGAAGCACACAATTTTCCATTGCAAATTCAAATATACGAAAAGTTCATTAAATTTTTCCAAGGCTTCATCTCTGTTCTTCTGAGAATTAGAACAATTTCAGTTCAGAATTATGATTTTCACAAATTCTTTTACTTTGAACGACAACTAGTGAAAGTGAGAAAAGAAAAACAAATTTAGGATGGCTTAGATCGCAAAGAGTGCTTTCTTTGATGGCCACGAAAATCTTAGAAATATATCTATATATTTGGTTGTGTAATATTCATTCGAAAAATAGCGCGAGACGCAGACGGCACCCATAGTGAGAGTAAGCTTGTTTGAACTACTAACCGGTCTTTTCGAGGAAGCAATATCGCAAGAAGACTGAAGATGTGAAGCTGATGGGGTTGTTACGCAATTCAAATGTTTCAAAAATGGGCGGAGTTTGATATGGGAGGGAGAGGGTGTCATAAAAAAGGTCACGTGAGGTAAAAATTCGAGATTGTCATGTATTCAAGTTTAAAGAGTCCTTGAACTTGACTATCTATTATCTTATATTTCCAAAGATTTTAAACAACCTGATGAAGCATATTTTGATTGTTTATTATCAAAATTCCTTTCCAGATGTATTTAATCCAAACGACCTGGAATTACAAATCTTGTAATTCTATAGATGCGAATTTCAAATCTCTCTGTAAAAGACCAAGTATCACTGTCGGTTTTATTTGGTAAACCGAAAGTGTCTGAAAAACTTAATAAGCTTAATTACACAAGCCAACGCTATTTTTATCTTGTCACCATCTAAAGCTTCAACAGCATCAAGATTACACAATACCAACTACAGTACTCCTCAATCTAGTAAAACCCGTTCAATTTTTTTGGTGACCTTGCCAAAGGACATCTTATACCAATACAATGGCAAGAAAAAAATGAAAAGAAATCCAATGAGGTTTCATTATTTATTATAATGTCTATGAATAATATTAGCAAAAGTGAAAACACTTTGGATATCTTCTCTTATTCTTCCTTTCATACTAGTTTCTTGTTATATTTATTTATTATTTTTTCAGTTCATATGAAACAAAACTATTTCACTTTTTTCCGAAATTTTGAAGATGAAACGGTTGATTGAACAACTCAATACAAAAATGAACCAAATGAGATCGAGTTTGCATTTCTGAGTAATTTCGAACGCGTGGGAAAACAACGACAACAAAAAAACTAATTAGGTTCCCTTTTTGCTCATTTGCTCAAATTTGAGTCTTTGGTTTTTTCGTCTTCTCTTTTTTATCGTTACAGTCACCTCACATTGAAAATTTCATGTTCATGCAAAAAAGTTTTGAAATGTTTCTTATCTATTCATCTGCAAAAAAACACGAAAAAAGGTATTTTTTACAATATTTTTCTATTCACAAAAATCACAAATTGTCGCGAAATACATGTAATCGTGACGAGACCCACATTCATTTCAAGGCAGAAAAAGTGAAAAATGCATGCTTTCGAAAATTGCATTTCTTGTTTTTTCGTTCGTTTTTCTTCTTGGAATGAGTGTGGGTCTCGTCACTATTGGCATTTACTTCGTGCATTTTCATGAATAAACAAGAATTGTAAAAAAAAACACAATTTCTTTCGGTTTTTTTGCAAATGAATAGATGCATTACTGTATTGCTATTTTTCCTAACGTTTCAAATAAACTACAATTTTCATTATGAGATTATCAACAAAAACACACATTGAAAGTCAAAAAATACCAGACACATTTACACAATTATTCCTTATTAACATGACAAAAAACCAACAACATGAAAAAAAAGAAAAAATAATGAGAAAGTATCAAGTTGTAGGATTGTTGTATAACAGGATCGCGCGAAAAAACAACATCATTTATAGATTAGACGATTATTTGTGTTACATTTTCATAATACAAATTAAACATCAAAGTTTTCTTCTGTTTCTTTGGTTTAGAAATCAGAAAAATCTAAGAGGAAGTTTATTGACGCGAATCAAAGTTCACGAGCAAAATAACGTATAGATGTTACGTTTCATTTTAATTCAGAAATTTACATTTCGCTTCATAATAATCTTTCAGAATGTCTCAATCAATGGCTTTATATTTCTACTATAATTTTTATATCATAGTTGGATTATTTTTCCAATTTGTTCTTCTTTATCTGATTTATAATAAATCACCGGCAAGTTTGAAAAAGCTGACATATTACATGTACAATACATCATTTTTACAAATAAATGGAATTATTTGCACCTACTTTTTACAGCATAGGTTAGAAAGAAAACACTCTTTTGAAAATGAATGATGGAAAAAAATTGGTTTCAGAATACTTCAAAGCAGTACCACTCTTGCAATTCTTGCAACGGGTCCTTGTTATTCATTGGGCCCAAATGTTTGTTTTTGTGCCTATCATATTTTTCTTGGAATTTCGCTTTGTATCGGTTTATCTATTTCAAATACTGTAGCTTATCGATATCTTGTTTTGGTTCAAAATGAAATGACTCGAACAATGATTTTTCTTCGAATTTCCTATATTTATATTCCATCTCTTATTGCAATTGTGATTCCATTTACAAGTCAATGGAATTTCGAAATTGTTGAAAACGTATCGAAAGAGGAACATCCAAATTACCCACTGGAAGATTATCAACCATTTTCGGGATTTTCGAACATTAACTCGATTCAATTTACCTCAGCTACAGTACTCCTTTCAATCGGCGCATATTTTATTCCACTATGTTCAGCTCTTTTAACAATTAAAATTGTGAAACTGATTAATGCTCACAAAAGTATGTCAGCAAAAACGAAAAAACAATCAAAACTTCTTGTAAAAGTAATGTTAACTATTGTTTCATTAACCTATTGCAATTTAACTTTATTTAGGGTCTTGCAGTTCAAACTCTTCTTCCATTAATATGTTATATTCCACTACCAACAGCTTATATAATTGCACAACTTGGAAATATAGATTTAACTGATCTCACAACATCTTTAACACTTTTATTATCATTTCCTTCGTTTATAGATCCATTTATTTCATTTTATTTCGTAGTTCCTTATCGAAAAGCTATTGTTCTCATTTTAATTCCAGCCAAGAAAAAAACTATAAATGTAAAAATTGCCTCCCAATTGAGTGGAAATTAATTTATTTTGAAATTATGCGATAAAAAATGTGTTTTTTTTTCAAACGTGAAACGTGTTCTAGAAATGCGAAGAGAATTTGAACAGAACATCAGTTCTGAGTAAAATTAGTCGACAAAACAGTCTCATCTTTTCATATGACAGCTCCACCACCTGAACTCGTCCAACTTCAAGCTGGATCTACGGTAAGAATCAGGGTTACTGTAGTATTGAAATTCAACAGAAACAAATCGATGGCTTTTTATATAAGAATTTTTGTTGTTTTAAGGTTGAGCGTTGGACAATAACCAAAAAATTAGGAGAAGGAGGTTGTGGTGCGGTTTATTTGTGTTCCGATGCAACAGGAAAATATGCGCTAAAAGTTGAAGGAATCAGTGAGCAAATGCAGGTTCTCAAAATGGAAGTTCTTGTACTTGCCGAATTGACAAAACGGGGAAGTAGACATTTTTGTAAAATTGAGGATAAAGGACGTTATGGAAGTTTTAACTATGTCGTCATGACATTGGTCGGAAAATCACTTCAAGTTAGTTCAACTTTTTCTGTTAGATGTTAGAATTCAAAAATAAAAAATTATAGGATCTCCGCAAAGGAACTCCACAACAATCATTGAGTTTGGCTTGCTCTTTGAGTTGTGGAATTCAAGCTTTGGAGGCTTTGGAGGATTTGCATAATATTGGCTATCTTCATCGTGATGTCAAACCGGGTAATTATACAATTGGAAGAGCTGAATTGAACGAATTGAGAAAAGTTTATATTCTTGATTTTGGAATGGCTAGAAAATTCACCGATAATAATGTTGGTTCTTTTGCATTTATTTGCATTTCTATATATATATACATCATTGTTTTTTACAGGGAGTCATCCGTAAACCTCGTGCTGCAGCTGGTTTTCGCGGAACTGTTCGATATGCTCCAATTGCTTGTCATAAACAAATTGATCTTGGAAGAAAAGACGATGTTGAAACATGGTTATACATGCAAGTCGAATTAACAGTTGGACGTGTACCTTGGAAAGAATTGACTGATATGAATCAAGTTGGACAAGCAAAAATTGCAATTCGAAACAACACCGACAAAATGTTTGTTTTCCCGTGTCCAGCAAACGAATTGAAACAAATCTTGACAATGATTGATAGTTGGGACTATTTTGCTGATCCAAAATATGAAGATGTTTATCGTCTTATGAAACAAGCATTGGCAAACTGCGGAAAACCAGAATTTCCTTATGATTGGGAACCAGGACAACCATTGAATTGGATGGTTAAGTAAATTCAAACAAGATCATACCTATTTTATTTTTCTTATAAAAATAAAATATTTTGTAGTATCATTCTGTGTTTGCATATCTATAGACGGATTGGTCCAACTTCCTGCCTAATAAAAAATTGAAAAAAAAAGATTATTTTTACTACCCTTCGATCATAAATGTATTACTCAATCAAAATATTTTTTTGATGTGCACTAAAGAATTTGAGGAATTGAAAATGTTATCTTATCGGTTTGTGCTCTCAAAAACTAACCATTTTTGCCATTCGTCGTTTTTTTCATTTACTCTAAGTTCCTGTTCAATAATTATTTGACAAAAAGCTTAACATTTTGTTGGCTACTGTTTTCATGAAGATTATTTACACGTGTGTTGGTTGAATCATAGAAAATTGATGACTCGACATGTATTGTTCTCAAAATTTACACTTCAGATTCGTTTATTTGCACGATGACTTCATGTTCTTCACACCTTTTCAATTCATTTCATTTTGGATACAGGTATAAATATAACCCATTTGTCATCATTTCATTTCGCTCATTTTTTGCTCATCTTCTGATTTTTCTTCTTTTTTTTGCAAAAGTGACGAGAGATGATTATTTTCAAAGAATAACACCTCTTATCGAACCTTTTCAGGGTTTTACCATATTTCATTCAAATGAATCAAAAAAATGACGCCACTAGGAAATGACGAATTTTTCGCATTTTTTTTGCAAAAAAACTTATCAGGAAATGTTCAGCATTACTGTATTTTTAATTGTGCACAAGGCGAAAAAATAACCAACGCCCAAACGTAGTTCGTATCTCGCAATAAAAAATATTTACGTCACAAGTTTATTTATTTGTTAAATGCATGCATGACCTAATTTTATTTTTGTATGATCTGGAAAATGTTGTATTTTTGTGTGTGGGAGGTGTTTTGTCATCGCCTTTTTGTCAATTGTCCATTTTGAAAATGTTTGCACGCTGCCCGCCCATATTTCACACAAAATAAATTCAAGCTCCGCCTGTACTGATATAAGATGATATCAAACACACTCAATTCATCGTTTTTCTCTTCGTTCAATAACTTCTCTTGAATTTCTTGTAATTCGAACAAGTTTTTGTGTTTCTTCAATATATATCCTATTTGGTACTTGAGCTTTTTTTTAGCTTTTCAATTTTCGATTTTTGAAATTTCTATTAGCACAAATTCAAATCTCAACAATTGTTTTTTCTCATCCTAGAATCACTTGTGTTTTCTGGCAAAAGTAATATTTACATGACTGGTTTTGAAAGTCAAAGTGTGGTCTCTGATAATAAATAATACGCATTTCGCAATTTTCTCGATTCAAAAAAGGTGTCGAGTTGATTTTTTATCAGTTAATTCAAAATTGATTTCTATCAAACCAAACCATCTTTTTATTCATTTTTTGTCTTTTTTTTCAAAAAGTGTTGGAAAGAAAGTTCGTAAAATGACCATGTTTGTTTTGTGTCATAATTCACAATAAATAAAATCTACACCTCGATTTAGTTGTCTTTTCGATTTGTCATCAATGTGACATCAGAAATAGAATTCGATTTTTTCGAGAAGCGATTATATTCATGTAAGACTACCTTGTCCAGCCTAATCTTATAATTTGTAAGAAAAAATGGTATTTAAATACCGATCAAAAACTAGAACTAACACTTCAAATTATTTTTCTTTTTTCATTCGTTGTTAAAATGTTTTTGTTATGTTATTTTCTTGTTGCATTTTTTCTCAACAAAAAACATATTATTTCCAGACAAATTCACAAAAATGATTGGAATGGTAAATGTTCAGGCTGATACGCCATTAGATTATTATGCATCAGCTCCAGCTTTAACTCGAGATACTTCACAAAGAAAAAGAGGAGATAGCGAATCTGTATCATGTAAGTTTATTTTCAAAGTAATCTGGAAATAATTTCCCACGTGACAAATTGAACTTTCATTTCTCATGAATTACGTAATTCAACCCGGTAATTTTCCAAAAATAAATAATCGGATTAAATTACTCGAATCATTTGACGCAATAATCAAATCATTCAATCATTTTCATTTTTGTAGCTTCTCGTCATGGTTCAACTAAAAGAACTCCATCGTGGAGACCATTGTTCAGTGGATCCAAGAAAAAAGCATCAAAACCGAAATATCTTCAAGATGGAAGAAAAAAGACAGAAGAAAAACAAGATGAACCAAACAAATTGTGGGAAGAACTTGTGCTTCGCTCATTTGCACATAAAATTGAGCAAGAAATCGCCTCACCAACTCCACTTGAAGCACACAAGAATTTGAATAGTGAATTGGCTAAACTCAAAATTCAAGGTACAAACAGAAAATAAATTTTCTTGACGTGATAAATAATCAAAATGTATTTTTCAGATAAATCATTTTATCGTTCCACATATTCGTTGGTCAGCCCAACTCGAATTGCAAATATCGAATATGAAGATCTTGAACAATTTGATGATGAATCAGTAGAATCAGAAAAGAAACGATCAAATAGTAATGTTGATCGACCAAATATATGTCACATGTTTTTGCCGTTCATCAAAAGTATAAAAGGAAATAAGAAGAAAAACTCGGTTTCTAGTTTGAATAACAACGATGAAACAAAAGAATCGGCTTAATTTGAAACATTTACTTTGGCATTTTACCCCTAATAATCATAAATAAATAAATGAAATAATCGTTCATGTGATTTTTGTTATTTTTGTCAAGTATACAGTACTTAATTCAATAAACATGATACAAAACTATACATCGGAAAGATGAGACTCGCAGATATTCTGTTGCTTTCAGTTATTGATGTTTTTAGTATTTTTAGTATTTTTTCATAATCTTCTGGGTGCTCATTTTTCAAGAAAAAACCTCACTCACCTCAAATAATATTTCCTCATTGATCAATCAAAAATCATTCCACTTGCCCTTTGAAGTGAATCATATGTCTCAATATAACTCGTTTTTTTAGTTCCATATAAAATTGAATCTGATCTTCTTTTTCATAGTTCCAATATTTGCTTTTCGATATCAAATTTATTTTTTATTGCCAGTCGAATTTTTAATGTGTGAAAACCTTCTTCTCGAAAACTTTCCCAAATTCATATTTCATTTATAGACGGGGGAACATCGATGTATATTCGAACATTGATTGTTGTCATGTGCCTTCTTATTGTAAATGTTATTTGTCGAATGAACTTCTATCCATACGCCGGAATTCCAGATTATATGCGTAAAACGTATCCTTATATACAATTTGGCACTGATCGACGAGCTGTTTCCTGAAAACAAAAAATAGTTTAATTGCCATTTTGATCAGTACTTATACTCAGGAGAACGACCGCGAGATCTGCGCGAAACGCGAACCCCAGAAGTCCGCTAAAACGCCGCGCATCCGCCGCGCTTTAGCGGTGTTGTAACAGCGTTTCGCGTAAATTTCGCGGTTTCATTATCGCGTTTCGCGTAAATTTCGCGGTGTCCTCTCAATTTCAAAACAAAATGTCATCATGATCGATCCTCACATTCAGGTGATCATCATTTGTTTTTATCACACTCACCCAACCTCGAACCCACAACCTCTCACCTCGAATACATTTGTTTTACCCACTTGACCATGCGCGCACGTGACGCGAATAGCGAAAATGTTTTTTATATACCATGCTACTGCGCGAAAATGTCGCGAAACGCGAAGTTCCCCGCAATTCGCGCAAATTTCGCGACGTCCAGTCGACCGAGTCCCAGATTGCGCGAGGTTTGTGCGAAACGCGTGATTCTCCCGCGAAGGTTGAGCGAATCGCAGAGACCCCGCTTTTCGCGCAGATTTCGCGGTCGTTCTCCTGAGTAAATAATCAAAAATAAAAGTTTTAAATCGAAAATAAACAGGGAAAATTATAATAATGAATAGTATTTATATATTTTTTGTAATGAGAAATAAACCGTTTTATTAAGGTGGTCACGTTTCAAGAATTGAACATTTTTGTTAAATGTGGAAATTTTGTGCGCTGAAAATTAAAAATATTGGGATTATGAATTGTGCGTCAGATTAAATGCTGCTTGTGTAAAAGTGTGTGCACACATACCGTACTCAGACGCGACACAGCGTTAACGCAATTGCAAAATAATTTTTGAGAAAAAAGGTGGGTTTCTTGCAAGCTTGCGAAAGGTTTCAGATAGAAATCCGCGAGATTTAAATTTGAAACTTATGGAACTATTTTGTTTTTTGGTTTCCGTACGGAACGGCCGCCTTTTCCTCATCATTTTCTTGACGAATCGTTAAAATTAGGGTTTTTCTTCATTTACAATTTTCAAAGTTTTCACGGAAAATGTTCTTTACTGTGCACAGTATAAAACATTTTCCACGTGTGGTAGCACAAAGTCCATTGCATCCCAAAAGTTGTTATTCAATATTTAAATTTCTCGTTCTAGATTTAATTCGCAGTTAGAAAATATCTGCTATATTTTCCCTGGGTAGTATCGTTGAACTTTTATATAGATTTGTTATAATAAAAATTTTTAAAGTCTCGCTTTTTTCTGACTGTCTGGCTCTCTCCTTTCCAAGTTGTTTTCATCGACACGACGGTGACTAGTGCGCCGGGACACTTGGATATTTTTAGGACACATGCAGTTTGCGCTGGGACATTTTGTCCAAAATTTCATTTTCAGCGTGCGTCTTACTTTTATAGAGCTACTGAAAATATTATCTTATTTTCTTACTTAGAATATATTTTTACAGTCGCATGTCTTCGATAGTAAATAAATATTACTCCTGTTTTGTTTCGGGGTTTTCTAAGAGTTTTCTTTTTAATTTTTGAATGGGAATTTTATATTGTAAAGAAACTAAATTTTCCAATTATTGTATTTTCGAAGATGAAAGTTTTCTAATTCGCAAAATGTGCTTTTTCATTATCATTCTGTTCAAAAATTTGAATGTATTTACTAGTAGTTTTCCCAGATTTTGAGCATATTATGTATAAAAAGTAATGTGGGAATTAATAAATTACGTAACTTCCCAAAATTATCGCTTGAAATTGTCCCATTGTCCAATTTTAGGACACCAAACGCCGGGACAATTGTCTGCGTCTCTTACTCTCTCTTCGCACATAGGACGCTCCATCTGTTCGCGCCATTATTTTCATTTCCAAAAAAAACATTGACGTTTAACCTTTTTTTTCATTCTATCTCCAAATCATCGCATTTTCTTAATTTGTTTTATTCAGGACTTTGAAAAATGTCTGAAGAACGTGACAATGTTGAAGGCGATGAAACCATCGAAGAAGATTCCATGAATATGGATGCAACTGAAGATGGTGATGAAGAAGCTGGTGAAGAAGAAGAAATGGAAACTGAAGATGTTCCGGATAAAAAACGAGGTGGAAAAAGAAAACGTGGACGAGGAAAAGCTGGGGCAAAGAAGAAAAATGAAGCTCCAGATCCGCATAATTCGACAAGTGCTGATATTTGTGCTCATTTTGGATTCGAAGATGTAGAATTGGATTATGATGAAGAAGACTTTCAACCAATCACTAGTTTGAAATCTTTCACAAATGTTGCTCGTGGAGCTGTTGTTGAAGCCAATCCAAAGGTCAATTTCACCAAACTCTACCCACTTTTCCAAGTGAAATATAAGGAATTCCAAGATCATTTGGCTGCGCAAGGCAAATCAATTCAACCAGCAAAGAAAACTCCAAGAGGAAAGGCCGCGGCTGCTGGAAATTCGACTCCAGTGGAAAAAGTCGCTCCACTGAAAATAAGAATCTCTTCAAGAAAACGCAGAAATCAAGATGATGATGAAAAAGAAGACAGTGATCAAGAATTCGAACATCTTTTAAAACAACACGAACAGCAACAAGATGATTTGGAAAGAGAACAAGAAGAGAAAAAACAAAAACGTCGCGAAGCTAAAATCGACAAAAAGAAAACTGCTCTCGAAAATGCACGAGCTGCAAAAAGAGCAAAACGTGAAAATGGAGAAGAAGATGAAGATGTAAGTTTTGATTTTCATTTTTTTTTTTCTCAAACAAATCAATTATTCTGTTTTTTAGCATCAAGACTTCTGCGAAGTTTGTAAACAAGGTGGAGAAATTGTTCTTTGTGATACATGTCCAAGAGCATATCACACGGTTTGTATTGATGAAAATATGGAACAACCACCTGAAGGAGAATGGAGTTGTCCACATTGTGAAGAACATGGTCCACCACCTCCACCAGAAGAACCAGAAAAGAAAAATATGGAATATTGTCGAGTTTGTAAGGTATGTCATTTTACTTTAATTTTCGCACCGAAAATCATGTCCGAATTTGGTCAATTCCATTCCAAATCAATTCATCACCATTTTCCAGGAAACTGCTGGAATACTTTTGTGTGATAGCTGTCCAAGTGCTTACCATGCTTATTGTCTCGATCCAGTTCCCGAAGAAGTTCCTGAACTTCCATGGACTTGTCCAAGATGTCAACTCACCGAGCCACCACAACGTGTCGAAAAGATTCTTTGTTGGAGATGGAAAGAGTTCATCTATCCAGATCCAGTTGTTGTCAAAGATCCACAACCAGATGATATTCCATTGGCACCACCTAGAAAAATGGATAATCGAAAAGAGCGTGAATTCTTTGTCAAATGGAAATATTTATCATTCTGGCATTGTGAATGGTTATCCGAAACTTATATGGATGTTTATTTCAAACAATTGGTTAGCATGTATTGGAGAAAATATGATTCCGAAACACCGCCAATTTTTGAAGAATCAACAATTGCCAGACATCATAAAGATAATGATCCATATAATTTACGAGAGAGATTCTATCAATTTGGAGTTAAACCAGAATGGATGCAAGTTCAAAGAATTATCAATCATATGCAATATGGTAAATCACAATTTGATTATTTAATTAAATGGAAAGAATTGGTATATGAACAAGCAACTTGGGAAAGAGATGATATGGATATTGCACATTATGAAGTAGCTATTATTAAATATTGGCAACATCGTGAAAGAATGTTAGGAGAAGCTGTACCAAAACAAGTTCAAAAAATAATTGTGAAACATCGAGAAGCAAAAGGATTGCCTCCATTGGAAGAAAAAGAAGAAACTCAATCGAAAAAGAAGAAAAGAGACAAACCAACTGTTGATGTAAGTTAATCATTTGAATTATTCTAGTCAATGTGTGTTTTTTTCAGATTCGCAAAAAATATGAAGTTCAACCAGATTATGTTTCTGAAACTGGTGGAAATCTTCATCCATATCAATTAGAAGGTATAAACTGGCTTCGACATTGTTGGTCAAATGGAACTGATGCTATTTTGGCTGATGAAATGGGTTTGGGAAAAACTGTACAATCTCTTACTTTCCTTTATACACTTCTGAAAGAAAACCATTCAAAAGGTCCATTCCTTGTTGCTGCTCCATTGTCAACAATTATTAATTGGGAAAGAGAAGCTGAATTTTGGTGTCCCGATTTTTATGTTGTTACTTATACCGGAGATCGTGAATCTCGTGTTGTTATTCGTGAACATGAATTCTCATTTGTTGAAGGAGCTGTGAAAGGTGGAACTAAAGTTTCAAAAATCAGATCTCAAGATAATCTCAAATTCCACGTTTTATTGACATCTTATGAATGTATCAATATGGATAAAGCTATTCTTGGATCAATTGAATGGGGTGCTTTGGTTGTCGATGAAGCACATCGTTTGAAAAATAATCAATCAACATTCTTCAGAACATTGAGAGAATATAATATTGGATATCGTGTATTATTGACTGGTACACCACTTCAAAATAATCTCGAAGAATTGTTCCATCTTTTGAATTTCTTGGCACCAGATAGATTCTAGTTAGTTTTTTTCAGAAATTTTTTTCAAGATTGTTTAAAATCTATTATTTTTCAGCGATCTCAATTCTTTCACCGCCGAATTTTCTGAAATTTCAAAAGAAGATCAAATTCAAAAACTTCACGCTCTTCTTGGACCTCACATGCTTCGTCGTCTCAAAGCTGATGTTTTGACTGGAATGCCTTCAAAATCCGAATTGATTGTTCGTCTCGAATTGAGTGCAATGCAGAAAAAATGGTATAAAAATATTCTTACCAAAAACTTTGATGCGTTGAATGTGAAAAATGGGGGAACACAAATGTCACTTATTAATATTATTATGGAATTGAAAAAGTGCTGTAATCATCCATATCTTTTCATGAAAGCTTGTCTCGAAGCTCCAAAATTGAAAAATGGAATGTATGAAGGAACTGCTTTGATCAAAAATTGTGGAAAATTTGTGTTGCTCCAAAAAATGTTGAGAAAATTGAAAGAAGGAGGACATCGTGTTCTTATATTCTCACAAATGACAATGATGTTGGATATTTTGGAAGATTTTTGTGAAATCGAAAATTATAAATATGAAAGAATTGATGGAAGTATTACTGGACAAATGAGACAAGATGCTATTGATCGATATAATGCTCCTGGAGCTGAACAATTTGTATTCTTATTGTCTACAAGAGCTGGAGGTTTGGGTATTAATTTAGCTACTGCTGATACTGTTATTATTTATGATTCTGATTGGAATCCACATAATGATATTCAAGTAAGTTATACATTTTTGAATAACTTAGATAATTTGATTTGTTCAGGCGTTCTCTCGTGCTCATCGTCTTGGACAAAAACATAAAGTAATGATTTATCGATTTGTCACCAAAAATTCTGTTGAAGAGAAAATCACATCAGTTGCCAAAAAGAAGATGTTATTGACACATTTAGTTGTTCGTGCTGGTTTAGGTGGAAAAGAAGGTGGAAAAAGTATGTCGAAAAGTGAACTTGATGATGTACTTCGATGGGGAACTGAAGAATTGTTCAAAGAAGAAGCTGCTGAAGGTGAAGAAGGAGGTGAAGGAAGTGGAAGCAAAGAACATGAAATTGTTTGGGACGATGCTGCTGTTGATGCACTTCTTGATCGAACAAAAGAAGAAGGACAAGAAGCTGATGGAGAAAAGAAGGAACATTGGACAAATGAATATTTGAGCTCATTCAAAGTTGCGACTTATAATAAGAAAGAAGTTGAAGATGAAGAAGAGGAAGAAGATGAAATGGAAGTTATCAAAGAGGGAGATAAGGAACCAGATCCGGATTATTGGGAGAAATTATTGAGACATCATTATGAACAAGATCAAGAGACTGAAGCACAGAAATTAGGAAAAGGAAAGAGAATTCGTAAACAAGTTAATTATGCTAGCGAAAATATGGGACAAGATTGGAATGCACAAAATGTTGGTTTTTTTTGAATAATTAATATTTATTTCTTTATTTTTAGAATCAAAACGACGATGATGATGATCAAGTTTCATCCTACGGTGGAAGTGAAAATGGTGAAGCTGGTCTCTCTGATGATGATTATAATGATAAGAAGCGTCGCCGTCAAGAATCGAATGAAAAATTGCCACCACTTCTTGCTCGTGTTAACGGACAAATTGAAGTTCTTGGATTTAATCCAAGACAGCGAAGAACTTTCTATAATGCGATTATGAGATGGGGAATGCCACCACAGGATGCATATCAATCACAGTGGCTGGTATGTTTTTTTTTAATTTTTAGGTTTAAAAGCTTTAAATTTTTCTAGATTCGTGATCTGAAAGGAAAATCGGAACGTGCTTTCCGCGCTTATACTTCTTTATTCATGCGTCATTTGTGTGAACCTGGAGCTGATACTAGTGAACATTTCAATGATGGAGTTCCAAGAGAAGGATTGAATAGACAACATGTTTTGAGTCGAATTGGTTTGATGAGTTTGGTTAGAAAGAAGGTTCAAGAATTTGAAGAAAGCAATGGAGAATGGTCGATGCCAGAAGAACAGGATAAATTGGTTGCAGCCGCAGCTGCAGCATCTGGATTGCAGGCAAATTCCAAAGAAACATCTCGTGAACAAAGTGTTGCCAAAGAAGATCAAATGGAAACTGAAAATAGTGAGGAAAAAGACAGTACCATTACCCAAGAAAAAGTAGAAGAAGGAGAGAAAAAAGAGGAAAGTGAAGACAAGGGAAATGTGAAAAAGAATAGACCACCTTTCAAATTCAATATCACCGATGGAGGATTCACTGAATTGCACACTTTGTGGCTTAACGAAGAAAAAGTTGCGAAAAACAACAAAGAATACGAGATTTGGCATAGAAGACATGATTATTGGCTTTTGGCTGCGATTGTTGTTCATGGTTATGGAAGATATCAAATTAATTTTAATGATATTCAAAATGATCCGAAATTTGCGATTATCAATGAACCATTCAAACAAGAATCTGCAAATGGAGCTAATTTTGCTGATGTTAAGACCAAATTCCTTCAAAGACGTTTCAAATTGTTGGAACAAGCTTTGATCATTGAGGAACAATTGAGACGAGCTTCGCATTTGAACTTACAAAATCAACCAGAAGGACCAGGTCCACTTGCACAAAGATTTGCCGATTTGGAAAATGTTGCCGATGCTCATTCGAATGTTGCAAAAGATAGTGCATCTGGTAACAGAAATGCGAATGCTGTTTTACACAAAGGTAAATTTCATAATCAAAATTTCAAAAATAATATTCAAAATTCATTTCAGTTCTCAATCAATTGGAAGAACTTCTTTCGGATATGAAGGCTGATGTTTCTCGTCTTCCCGCAACATTGGCACAACTTCGTCCAGTCACACATCGATTAAATATGACTGAACGTCAAATTTTATCGAGATTGACTACAAAAGATCCAGAAGCAGTTGCTGGTTTGACTACACTTCCACCACCTGGACCATTTGTTACACCAATGTTGAATCAACAATTCAGTGGTATTCAACCGAAGTTTGCTGCTTTGCGACAAAATGTTGAGGATGCGGAAGTTAAAGAAGAAAATCCAGAAGTAGAGGAAACTGGAGAAACAGTTGAAAAAGAGGAAAAGGAAAAGGAAACTGTTGAAACTGAACAAGTTGAAGAGGAGGAAAAAGAAGAAGTTGTTGATAAAACTAAAGTTGACGAAGCTGAAGTTGAAGCAGAAAATAAAGAAGAGCAAGAAGAAGCTCTCGAAGAGGAACAGGAAGATGAGGAAGAAATTGCGACCGAATCCGCTCAGCAAAATGCTCTTGCACAACTTCAAGGTAATTATTTTTTATTTCGTGAAAAAAAACATTATAATTTATAAATTTTCAGTATCCGATTCTTCTGAAAACTCTTCACAAACATCGAAAGAAACTTCCGAAGAACCATCTGATGAAGCAATGGAAGAATAATTCTAATGTATTTTAATCCCGTATTTTATCCCCCAACGGTTTTTTGTTTTGGTCTCTTTCATTGCTAACGTTTTAAACCTACTATTTATTATCATATTTTGCGAAAAAATAAATCATGAATATATATTTTGAAAATGTGTTTTCTTGGGTTTTCTTTGCCCCAAAATGCATTATCGAATCAAGAAAAATAAATTCTAAACTTAAGGTAAATTTTTGTAGGATGTCATTTTATGATTTGCCTAAAAATGGATTGGTTCTCTTGAATTGTGAGTTATTTCTGATTGTGAACATTTTTCGATTTTCAATATATTATTGAATATTCAATTTTCAGCAAAATCTGAACCAAATGTCACTTCAAAACTTGTACTTTCTGGATATGAAACAGAAAAACTTGTTATAATAAACCATGAGAACACAAAATCGTGGTTTCAGAAGTTTTTCAAAAATTCGGAATCCTCAACTTTTTTGACATACACGGAAAATAATTTTCCTGAAGTTTCAAATTGCAAAAATGTTATTTTCATCGATTTCTCCTTATTTTGCCGAGTCTTCAAATTGTCAGAAATTTTGCGAATATTGAACAAGTTGAAAAGTTAGTTTCTCTTAAAAGCTATCAAAAATTGAATTTATTTCAGAAGAAACACGTGTTTTTATTCCTGCTGATGAAACAATTCCTTCGAATATTTTGAAACAAGTTTACAGTTTATCAAATGTTATTTATAATATTCGATCAAATCAGGACTCATTTTCATCGACGACAATTATTTTCGATAAAAGAGGAAGAATTAGTACACAAGAGGAATCAATTACTTTTTCTGAAAGTTCGAAACCCGTTGTGAAAAAAATGAAAACCACGGAAATGTCAAGAATTGAATCAATAGATGTGAAAGAATTGCAATCGAGTATCGATCAAGTTTCATCAAAAGAAGCTGCTGAAAAAGCAGCGAGAGATGCATTGCAATTACCATATATTTCTGGAAGGCAAGAAGATGGTTAGTTTGTTTTCCAAATTTCCCAAAAAAAATGATAATCATTTTTAGGAGTTGCGATTCGCGATGCATCCACGAGAAAAATCAGAGTCGGTGGACAAATTGTTTATGAACCAGATCAAGCTGATGATTTAGATGACAGTGATCCGGATGATGATTTGAATATCTAATTGTTTTTGTTACTTATACTTGTTGTTTCTTCTTAAAAAGTTTATAAAGTTTATCTGTTTCGAAAAAAATTGCAATTCATTCAATTTAACACAATTCACATCACTTTGCCCATTTCACCAACTCCGAAAAAACATGAACTTGTGTCCAATCACACGCTTTTTCATTCCAACAATTCATTCCGTTATTTGAATGTCGATCAGATGCTCGAATAATCACCGGATCGGTTGAGCTACAAAATTGCGAACGTCGTAAAAATTGGGTCAATAGTTTTGATGTATGTGGAAGAATCGGACCACGATCGAGTTCGAGAATATATTCTGTCGCGTTTCCTTTTCTTTGCACAATATGCGATGTTTTCTGAAATGAAGAAATTTCAAAAAACGAGAACCGAATTGAAAAGGGTTTTAATGAAAAAGTTCACGTTTAAAAATGTTCAGTTAAAACTCACATTCAAGCTCAATAATTGTCCATAAAGAAATGATGATTCAGCAATAAGTGTTGGCGGAATCTTTGTATATGGTCCAGTTTTTTCATGAACAATATCCGAAGACATTAAAGTATTATACAATGATTGAACAGATGATCCTTTTACAAGAAGTGATAGAATTCCTTCATTCCTTTCTGATAAACGAGTCGATAATTTTCTTGCCAAACTATTTTTCATCACATTTTTTGGCGATACTCCAATTTCTTTCAACCATTGTTGATTTGCTTTTGTTGGACTTTCATTTTCATCTTCTTCGCTTTCTTCTTTTATTTCAGTTGGTTCTGGTTTTTGATCGGGTTGAAATTCAATCATTGGACTATCATTTGTGTCATCAAATCCAGTCATACTTGTATCAATACTTAATCTACTTTTTGGTTTTCCGATAACTTCGTAATCAACTCCTTGACTTCGCAAATGTTCACGAACTGCAGAAGTTGTATGACTGACAATTGCAATCAATTTTTGACCGTTTGACATTCGAAAACATGATTGAGAATCTTCTTCGCCTCCAAAATCTTCAATTTCTTCAGTTTTTGTGAATAATACATTGAAAACTGCGCAAGCAACAAAAAATGTTTGTCGATCTCCTTTTTTATATGAATGAAATAGTTGTTCATAACTTTCGACCCTAAATATATTTTTGAAAAGTTATAAGATGTTGAAACTTGCCATTGATTAAACATAGTCGTTGTCGCAAGTGGCGACATTGGTACTCTTTGAACTGTTCCGATTTCTGTTGTAATTCTTGGATAAAGTGACATACCAGGAATAATAGGAAATTGATAATAAAGTGTAGAAGCTTCAAGAATACCAAGATTTCCAATATTTAATAATCGATCATTGAAATATTTCAAACCATCATATCTATCAGTTGCAGGCAAACGAACAGTTACAATTCCAGTCGATTTTCGAGAATTCATCCATGAAAATGGAACTTTTGATATGATTCGTATTTTTGTGGCAATTCGAAAATCATCCGGTATATTTTCTGATTCTTCAAATGTTTCTCCAATTTCATTCGCACTTTTTTCTTTTTTATCTAATAATTGTGAAAAATCGGTTGCATAACATTCTTTCAACATAGATTTTGGATCAAAACTTTGATATCTTTCGAATGTCGATCTTTTTGCAATTACTTTTTTCCGCGGCGATTTTCTTGGAGATTTTGTCGGAGTTTTCTGATTTTCTTTTGTTTGTGAGTAGCTATAAATTGAGAGATTTAGATGTATTTTTCAACCCAAGAAACTTACCTGAATACGTCATCATTAAACGGATCTTGTGCATTTTCTTCGACATCAAACACTGAATCAGCAAAATTGACATGTTGTTGTGGTTTTTGTCGTTTTTTCAATGGAGAGCCAACTTTGAATGGATTGGAAGAAGTCGATGGAACCGGACAACTTTCGGTTTCAATATCAGGAAAAAGTTTGAAAGAATTCGAAACATTACATGCATCCAAAGCTGGGGCTAAACTTCGAGAACTGGATTTTCGTTTGAGATGGCGTTTGATGCGATCGCGTGGATTATATGGTGTTGGTGACTTTTCGCTCATCTGAAGGTCAAATTCATGCTATTTTATGAATAAGTTTTGAGAAATTATCTAACCTTTTCGTCATCAAAAAATGATGAGAACGAAAAAAGTAAAACACACTTTTGAATTTATTTTTTCGCGGGAACGCACGAAGAATGTGTCAGCGGTGTATCGTTTGCCCCAAAAGTGTGTAATTGGAGGGAGGTTCAATTTTTTGTTTTCAATAATATTTTTAATTTGCAGTGCACTAGTGATCCGAATTTCGAAGTTTCAAAATAGATACATTTTAAATTATCGTTATAAATAGTAACTATCAAAAACTCAACAAATTTATTACAAACAAATGGATAAAAATCTACAAAAATCCGGAGATTCTAATCAATCACAAGATCTTTTGTTATTTGACACGTTTTTCAAAGAGACTGACAATGATAAATGATTATGAAAATGAGCAGGAGCTGGAGCATCTCGTTCCAAAAATGGTATGAAAATCGACCACCACGACCATGATAATGGATTATTTGACAATGTTGATTCATGATAAGAAGTAGCCAATGAGTGATATTCCATAAACACACGTGTACAAACAGTATATCCCAAAATCACATCAATACAATAATGTTTTCGAGACATCAAAATGGCAAAAACAGCACAATATGCAAGAATTTGATATAAATGACTAAGTGGTTGCAATTTTTTCGGAGCATATGTTTTGAAAACCAAAAATGAAGTGAAAATAGTTAGAGTGTGACCAGAAACAATCAAATCACCACAGAGTTCGCGTGGTCGAAGTTGCTCAATTCCAGCACTCCAAAACATTTTGGTCACTCTACTTAAAACCAACTCGACTGAAGAGTTGAGTTTCGGTGCACAATATGTGTTCACCGACGGAACTGGCACCTAAAAACTAAATAAATTAGCAAACCTTATATTTTTCTATGAAAAAAAGAGACAAACCTGTAGTACAGTAACACAAAGTGCTCTAAACGTATAGGATAAAGCAATACACATAAATCCACGTCGAACAACAATCCATCGATGTTGATGTGTAAACATAATTATTAATGCATTTACTAATAAAATAAACATGATATATTCAGTTATTCGGATTGCTCCTTGTATCTGAAATTCAGAAAATATTGAAGATTTCAAGAAAAAAACAGCGAAGGATAATTTTGCCACGCCATTACAGAAACATTTTTTTGGGTTCCAAGAAATAAGTTAGAAATTTTAATATGCACAACTTAACTGGAAAATATTATGACGTGGCAAAATACTTAAGAATTATTTTTTTTCACAGAAATATCCATTCCAAAAAAGATCTTCTCTTCTAAATTTACCTCTGGAAAAACTGAAAACCACAAATCAGGCAGCGGAGGAACATCTCGAGGAACACGTTCATGAATCCATGCCAATGCCACCTCGTTTAAAAACCAGCCAATCAGCTGAACAAACGATGATTATTAAAAATTAATTCAAAACTCCGCAAAAAAAACCAACCAAGAAAAACGCGGCAACAAATGTTGGCCATTTTCTGACTTCTTTATATTGTGGTTGAGGATCGAGTAGATCATCTGCATTCGAACCAATATCAACAAAATATTTTGCTGATTTCTCGTCATGTTCGTATCGTTGTAATAATGATTCACTTTCTGCTACCGCGTTTTTCATCTGGAAAACAAAAAAAAATTGGAAAAAGTAGCAGACTTAAAGGAACACCAAAAGCTAATAGTCACTCTAGCGTATCCGAACAAACACTTCAGAACTCGAAATAATCAATGTCAATTTACAAATGTTCGCAACAAGTAAAAAAATTTGAAAAAATGGTGAAGTTTGCGCCAAAATAAAAAATGGGAAAAAAACCGTTTGAATTCCCTCCTCAGAGGACTCAGAGCGAAGTGTGCAAACACCGTCACGGCAGAATGCACACAAAAAAATTATTTTTTTTTTATTTTTTTGTTTTTTCGGGAGTTTTCGCTTGTTTTTCACTTTTCAACGATGAATTCATATATTTTTCAGTAAATTGATGTTGGCAATTCTTCTCCCAGCTGTCTCGATCATGTTTTCGACGGAAGAATGCGAAAATTCGTCGATTTTCAGGCAAAAAGTGAGTATTTTGAGAAATTACTGATTATTCTCATAAATCACTGTTTTTCAGGCCCGGCAATGTGAAACATGCATAAAAACTGCTGGAAAATCCAAGAAAACCGTAGAAGTAGGAGAAAGACCCTGTGAATAGTCATGAATCGAGGCGAATTGGAGAGATTTGATGAATGTTCATGATTTCAAGCCGATTTCGATCAAAAGTCGTCTTTTTTGCAAACCAAACTCATCCAAAGCACTTCTTCCTCGACGATTCTGCTCATCAATGTTCTGATCACGATTACTCTATACATTTACTCTTTTAAAATCTGTTTTCTGTCATTTTTCAATAAAATTTGATGACAATCGGTTTATTTGTAAAAAAACGAATTTATCAGAACTCCGACCATTCAAAAACAACTGTAGGCGCTCGAAGTTCGTGGATGTCATATTTATTTTGAATATCATCAGGTTGTGTTGGAGAAACGATCGAAATCCGCGATTGCAGGTTGAAAACGGAGATTCCTACCAAAATTGCTTATTTCGCCACGAATGTTCTTCCAATCTGCAATCAATAAGTTTTGTTGATAACTAGAATATCGAATTTACTACTCAAAATCGTCATTTACTATGAGAAACAAAGAAAAAACGGAAAAACGCGAAAAATATTTTTCGAAAACAAAAAAACAAAAAAGAAAACAACGACATTCCGCTTGCCCACTGTTTAGCGCAAAAGGCGTGGCAATTTGATTTTGAGTTTTTTCAATTTTCCACAGAAAAATATTTTAACCTCTAAAAGTTCAGAAGAATTTTTTCATCGAAAAGTGAGTATAGGGTATGAAAGTAGGAGTATTAAAGTGACTGTTTTGGTATGCGCGGCTTCACCTAGCGATGTTGACCTTTTAGTTTTTGGTGTTCCTTTAACATTTTGAAAAGAATGGTGCAAATTCTTTGATAACAAGAAATTGCGTAGAGAAATGAGAAAACAAGGTACTGTAACCAAGCATTAGCGGAAATACTAGCACAATACAAAAAAAATATGCGCATTGTTTTTGTCTTTCTTTTCATATGTTACTATGTGCATATGTGTGTTGCTATAGAGAATTTTTAAAAAATGCCGAGAGCAACAAAAAAAATAAATTGGATTTTTTTCCCGTTAGTTGGTGCTGATCTATGATGAATTGGAATAGAGGGGGCGATTTGAGAAACCAACAGAAAAATAATGATAACTTTAGAGTTTTTTTTTCAAAATTGAACGACTTATATTTACCCATCTAAAACGAACCAACTTACTTTGTTTTGTTTGTGTATTGACTTTAGAAATGAAAAAAAAACTTGATGTTGAACCCAGCTACAGTAACTCGTATGTACGAAAAACTATGAAATTTTTACCGAACTAAAAAAACACAAAAATCAATGAGTTCGAAGCAAACGCAAACTATTAAAACATCTCAATCAAACTCCGCCCCACTAGAAAAACTTTCTGACATTAAAATTAAAAAAAAACACAAGTTTTATGGGTTCTTGATAAATATTCTCAAGAAAAGTTCATTGAGAAAATAACGAAAACAAAACAAAAAATAATATATCCGCTGCCGACAAAAAAAACGAACATAATTTTAATCCTATTCTATTATTCTGTTTTTTATTAGTTTTTATAGCTGTTCATGTTTTTTTTGTTAAAAAATCCAACAAAGTTCTGATGCAATACTTCTATTCAAGTTACTTGATCAATGATTATCCGGAAAAATAGCTGTCAACGTGATCTCTATATTTTTTAGAACTTCCTGATTTTTTCTTCAAACTCTAAAAATAAGGAATTTTATTACTTTTTCGAAATTGTTTTTTGTGCTTGTTCATCGGATTCGTGTGATAAATAGAACATTAACTTTTTTGTGGTCGACAATTTTATAGGAAAGCACAAATTACTCTTTTTGTGGTCTAAGATCACACTAAATTTATAGATAATGAAGCATATTCAGACACCAAAAAAGTGTGACTTGATATGGTTTACTGTAGTGTTGCACTGTACTGTTGAGAAATTTTTATAACTGTCGGTCAATATTTTTTATCAAAGTTCAAGTTGAAACAAGCCCTTTTATAAATTTTTATAGGAAAATTGATTAATTTTAGAAATTTGCAATTTTTCCAAAAAGGAAACCCTGGATCAGTCTTCTCACGCCATGGTGTAGATTTTTCTAGATATTTGGTCGCATAGTTTGCGGAAGTTTGACTATGCTAAAAATAAAGAATGTCAACAAACAAATGACCAAACATGGAAATATCTTCCCGTTGTTTTTCTTCTTATTTTTCCAAAAGTTGTTTTTTTACACAAAAACTTCAGACAAAGTTATATTTAATTTGATAAAACATGAAATCCTTATTATTTTTCCTTATTCTTATCAGTTAACCGCTTTTCGCAATAAAAACGTCTTTAAAAATGTTACTTTGCTCTGGGAGCAGAAAGTTCAAATTGTTTTTCAGTGAACATAGAAATTTTGAAATTCATACAAAAAACAAAATTTTTGAAAAAACGAGAAAAATGAAGGAAATGAAGATTGCCAAACATTTGTGTGCACATTGTTTGATGAGAGGATGGAAAAAAAAGAAGGATAGGCGCGCGAGAGTCGAAAAAAGAGCACCTGACAAAACGAATAAAAAGTGACTAACTGGTTTCTGTACAAAAATGTCTACTACGAACTATTTTTAAATGTCTACTACTTGTGGTTTTTGTGCCGGCACAAAAAAGAGCATGTTTGAATTAGTTTCATTGGGACATTTTGGCCAATTCAAATACTAGTAAAAAAGTTACCAGTGAAGGAAAAAAGTTTTGAAGTTATGAAACGTTTTTTTTTTCGTTAATTCTGATTTCACAAATATTTTGAAAGGGCCAATTTAATAATTTAACAAGGTTTATTTCAAAATCCAAACTGGTGCTCAAAACTTTCGGAGTTGAAGCTTCTCAAGTTTCATATGTAAACTACTTTTTTTATATTCGTTCTTTTTCAAATGTTATAAAATAAGGACAAAAATATAGAAAGCTAAATACAGTAATACAGTACTTGAAAAAATTTCCAGAATATCTTCACAATTCCCAAAATTTATCAACTTCCTTTTAAAGCCATTTTTGAACCCTCTATGAAATACGAATAAATAAATTTGTTTAGTTGTGTGGTCCCTTGGTGTTTTGAAAAGTTGTTCGCCGCCAACCACAGATTTGGTGACACATTTTGTGACTTCTCCTGGGAGTAGTTGTTTGAAAACGCGCAAATGTGCGAGAAAACGATGAGATGACATGTCACTTTTTTGGTGTTGGTATTTTTTGTGCATTGGTTGACATTTGACTTTTTGGTGAGAAACTTTTAAGAGAAGGGTTTTCAGAATTTTTTTAGAACTATTTATGCCAAAAAGAGTTCCGAAAAATAATGAAATATCTAAAAAAAAAGTTTCATTCTGAAAAATCTTCATAAATATTCGGAGGCTCCAAAACTTGAAGAATTTAATTTTTTTTCAGGTGATAACATTTTCGCAGTCAGAGAAAAACCCAAAAAATTTGGTTTTATATGTTCCCAAAAATTTCATAATTTTCCCTTTTGCCGAAAAAATCCATCGAAATTCCATTCAATTTCATTTTCGGTCGTTTCGAGTAATCTTTCTTCACATGTAAATGTCGAAATCGAGATGTAAAACAATGATAAAACAAGCAAGGCAAGTAAATGGAAGACAGCCGCAAATGCTCAAAAAATCACCAAAAAGGGATTAGGAATGGTGTGACAACTCGCCGTTTTCATGGATTAACATCTTTTTGGTCGACTCGACTCAAGAAGACTTGAAACGAGTGTGAATTATTTCGAGTATACTGTAATGCACTTTTGTTTCTTTATTTTCTTTTTTTTTGAACTTTCATCGATAAGGAAAACCACAAAAAACCTACAGTAATCCCTTTTTTCAGAAATGCAAATATAAATGATTTTGCGGTAATATTCATTTGTCTCCCCTTTTTCTTCCTCTCCTCATTTTTTGCCTCACATTTTTGTGTGTCGCACAATTTCTTGTTCGTCTTCTCAAAGGACCAATTAATCACACAAGCTGCCATCAAATTTGGAACAAAACGAGCCCGAGATAGATACAAATCTTTTTTCTCACTATCCGAAGAAGAGCATTTGATACATTTGCATACCACAGACGACGTTAAGATTAAAATCTTTTCATGATTTTCTTCGAGACAATTTAGAATTAATAACATTTCTGATTTCAGGATAAAATAAAAATTTAGTTAGAATTGTGAAATTTTTGAAAGAAAAATTCACTTGAAAAAATAAAATAGGTAAATTATTTCCCCTTTTTTCTCTGAATTCAAATTTTAAAGTAGAAAGTTAGGTTTAAAATTTTGAAAATCCCGATTTCAGAGAAGTTTAAAAAATTTCAGAATATTTGAAGTTATTTCAAAAATGTTTAATCATTGTGTAAAAATTAAAATTTATCTTCAAAACTAAAATTTTTTCAAGTGAAAAAAAAACTGTATGTTTCACTATTTTTAAAAATTTTCTGAAATAAAACAATAATTTTCATAGGAACCGAACTATTTATTTTCAGTTTTTTTGAAAAAAAAAGTTTCAGAGCTGTGATTTTAGGTTCATAGATTTTAATTTTCAATAAAAAGTTCCCCGAACCAAAAGTTCTGTGTACTTAATGCTTTCGAGAGACCCATTCAAATCTCAAAATGTTGCTGTTCACCACCAAAAAACCCTCACCACACCGCCAAAACAGTATTGGAGAAAGACGATTGTATAATTATCATAACAATAGGAAGAGATGCCGATTTACCACAACCATTTTACAATCCTCCCTTCATTCTTCCCTTCTTCGCTCCTCTCGTTTTTCGAATTTTACAGTATATGTTCTCTCAAAATCTCTTCTCTCTCTCTCTCTCACCTATGGACAAAATAGATATAATACGGTATCTACACAGGCAATCCGCGAAGGATCCTTTAAGGACGCTTAAAGGACCGTTCATCCTTTTAGCGGCCTTTTTTCATCCTTAAATTTCAAAGGATGAAAAAGTCCGGAAAAAGGGAGGTCCAAAATGGGCTCATTTCATGCTCGTAGTGATAATAAATTGATGTCCCACACTCAAAACACTGAAATTAAATGATATAATCATGAAACAATACAAAATTCCAACAAAAATGTAACACTAAAAAAGTATCCTTTAAGTGAGCTTTAAGCGTACTTGAAACGATCCTTTAAGGAAGGCAAGCTCCGCCCCCTACACAAAAAATAACAGCGCGCGCAGCTCGCCACATGTCCGTCATGCAGATTATATAAATAAATCTTCTTTGCAAAAAAGGCAATGCAGATTTCTTTCGCATAAGTCTGTATTTAATTATAGTTTCGAACTTCTATTTTTGCTTATCATCTGTACAACAGATTTATCACCAAAATTTTCTAAAATTTAATAAAAGGTCCATTTTTGATCCATCCTTAAACCGTCCTTAAATCGAGCTTTGCGATGTACTTAAAGCCCCCTTTTTTGCAAAAATGAAAGGATCCTTAAAGCGTCCTTAAAGGATCCTTCGCGGATTGCCTGTGTAATTAGTGTGGACAAAATATATTATCATCGGTTTACGACATGAGATTTTATGTGTTTTCACGGGATTTTTATGATGTTTTTGGGGTTTTTTCGAAGATACGTGTTTGGTTTCACTAATTATTGATATTATGGTTTTCAAAATAAGCCGAAGATGGAAAAATTGAAAAGAATCACAAAAAGTGCAGCAATAACTGGAAAAACGTATTTTCAACTCAAAAAAAAATTTTTACAGTAAATAACCAGCAACCTGTTTAGTAATTTCAACAAAAGTAAGATTTTTATCACTTCTCACTCTGATGATGAAATGTGAAATGTCTAATCAAAAAAAAACCCAATTCTCTATTTTTCAAACGAAAAAGTGACTGAAATCATGGTGTCCTCCTCCTTTTTTTATTCGTTGACTCCGCCCACTTTTCACGGCTATGAAGTCGTTGAGAGAAAAACGAATTCACTATTCTTTTCCAATTTTGTCTTGTCGAAAATGTCAAAGCGAATTCTGAATATTGAAAATTCTAGTGAGATTCATAAGTGTAAAGTAAGTTGAGCTGAACTTCCAATTTTAAATATTGGTATTTTAAAGGGTTTGGGGAAATTAGCTGCATACTAGGGTTAGAAATACTCAGGAAAAAATTGTTGAAAAAATTTGAACTTGCAGAATTCCGGTCACCTTATTTTACTCTTCCAATAATGTTATCCCAAGATTGGAAAAATTCGAATATTTCCCATACCTGTGAAAATTTTTATTCATTTTTCAGAAACCAAAATTTTCCATCGATGATTTATTGAATACTTCATCTGAAAATGACGAAGAAGCTGAAATTGATGAAGAAGAAGATTTGATATGTCCATCGAGTTCAGCGACTGAAAAAGAAAAACTTCCTGAAAAAACAAAACAAAGACCGAAAATGGGAATTAAAACGAAGGTTGGTCAGAGTTTAAAAAATAGTTGAAATTTTGGAAAGCTTCTAGAAATTAACATTTAGTTCTAAAAATTTTAAATAAAAATGCATAGTTCAAGATTCAGTAACGAATAGTCTTGCTCTTTGAAAAAATGCGAACTAATTTGCAAAATTGAATTCTATTCACTAGTATCTAATAATTGTAACTAATTACAAATATTTTTGCAGGAAGGAAATCTACAAGTTGACTGTAAACTCGAAGGTTCCGAATTATGGGCAAAATTCTACGATTTAGGAACTGAGATGATAATTACAAAGAGTGGAAGGTTAGTACTAATATTCTTTTTTTCTATCCAATGTTTTTTTAATTTTCACAAGTGCTTCTTCTTTTTTCTCATGATTATACTAATTGTGTTTTCTTGTGTTGGCTGTGACAAATTTGGTGTTTTATGGGGTCCCAAAGGAAGAAACACACGAAAAAAAACGAGAGGAAAAGAGCAAAAATAATGTGTTGAAAATAGAGTTTTTTGAGTTTTGAGAGTTTGATTTTTTCTTGAGATTGTTACGGTAGTCGAATATTCTATTGGAAAGTCGCAAAATGAAGCGAGAAACTATCAAGAAGTTAATGAATTCTTGAGTGAAATTGCAAAATTTTTAATGTCTGACGCACACCTCGGCCAAGCCGTGGCTGGCCACAGTACAATTTTTGGAAAAATCTGAATTTCAGTTTTTAGAGGTCAAAAATTGAAATATCACAATTTTTAGAGGACAAAAACTGAAAAATTCACAATTTTTGTACTGTAAAAACTTAGCGTACAATTTGTTATATTGGAAACCACGATTTTGGCCGAGGTATGGTCTGACGTTTTTCAAATATTTATTCAAAACTACCAAGCTGGTCATCATTTTTTTAATGACAAGATTTAGGAACCCTTAGAATTTTTGGTATTTTTGAATGAGACCAGGACATTTGAATTTTTCTGGATTTTTAAGGTAGATAAAGCGGAAACCTCAAAATACGGACTCTATTTAAGAATTAGAGAATAGAAATAAAAAAACTAACTTCGTATTCGTATCTAATACTTTTTGAGCTACATGAATTTGTTCTTTCTGCTTCTTGCTCGAAATATTCAATTTCCGAAAAAAAACTTTCTAGATCCTCCAAGCGCCTGTTCTTTTAAAAATCCACTGGAACTTAATATTTCAGAAATAAAGTTTCTCAAAAATTATTTCCAGAATTCTTAATTTTCAGTGTTCACCAAGGGCCATTTTTCCAAGTCTTTAGGTAACACATTTCAAAAATCGATGAAATTCTACAGTACTCTTCATTTTCTCACATTCTTCTTCGCATCTCTTTTCTCTCTTTCTCTTTTTTTTCTCACCAAATATCCAACCTACAGTATCCTCTCCTCCACTAAATAACTAAAGACAAATTCAATCAGTGAATCACATAAATGACATTTTGCTGTTGGGTTTTTTGGCGTTTCTTGAATTGATGGCTATTTTATGTGAGTAGGGAAAAAAAGAAAAGAAGCAAAATGCCGACGAATCCCAACAAAAATATTATTAGAGAATCAGATGAAAAAACGAGAATAAAAAAAGGAATACGGTATTCGGATAAATTGAAGCATAAATTGAAAGGAATTTTCTTAAAGGAGAGGGGATGAATGTTTTATCATAAGTTCTGCGAGAAAAATCGACTACCTTCTTAATAATCTTAATAATTTCTGCAGACGAATGTTTCCAACAGTCAAAGTATCATTTTCAAATGTTTGTTTGGATGCACTTTATTATGTATTTCTTGATGTTATTCCTGTTGATTCAAAACGTTATCGATATATTTATAATAAATCAGCTTGGTTGACAGCTGGAAAAGCTGAACCTGTGCCTAGAAATCGTCTCTACCTTCATCCGGATTGTCCATTCAGCGGTGATCAGCTGCTCAAACATGTTATATCATTTGAAAAAACCAAATTGACGAATAATGAGGTCGATAAAACCGGACATGTTAGTTTCCCTTATAAAAATATTCAAAAAGATTTTATAATATTTTTTTTAGTTGATTCTCAATTCGATGCATAAATATCAACCTCGAATTCATATTGTTCAACGGCCAAAACAATTACCACTTGATCCAAATAAAGTGGTATTATCTGATGAACTTCATGCAACTTTTACATTTCCTGAAACTCAATTCATGGCTGTAACTGCTTATCAAAATCAACTTATAACAAAGCTGAAAATCGAGAAGAATCCATTTGCAAAAGGATTTCGAGATCCGAGTGGGAGATCTCCAGATGATTTGTGAGTTTTTATAGGCCAGAAAAAAACTCGAAAAATTCAACTGCTTTTCACGCCAAATTATTTTTTTAGAGAACGTCCAAATGATCTAACTCCTCTAATGTTTTATCAACAATCAACTGCTCTTCAACAAGCTGTTCTTCAACAGTATTTCTCCAAAACTTTTCAACAAATCAATCCATCTCTAATTTCCCAAATGCTTTTTTATGCAAATAATTGTGCCCAACCATCTACTGATATTCCTCCAACTGTTACCGCCACAGCCGCTGATCTTTGATTTTGTCGGGTGATATTTTAACGGTGTAAATAACTATATTATTCTTTTTATTTTTTAAGTACTTGAAATTTTCCTACACTTTTATTTTTAATTGAACCCGGTTCGTTGCAATGCACGTTAAAATGAATATAGGTTGATTTTTGAACAATAAATTAACTTTTGAAATTTTTACTGGTACATGATGTTATGAAAAAATCATTTAAAAAAAGCGAATTTAATTCTTATGATTTTTACGTGAAATTCCACGTGGCAATTTCAAAATTATTTTCATTAAAAAATCAAGTGAATATTTCGATTTTTTCAATATCACGAACATGTGTTGAACTCAATCAAAAATGTTATCTGAAAACATTCGGCCTTGCCCAACATCTGGTTTTTTGAACCTCTGAAACATCTCAACAAAAAAACTTCTAACCAGAAAGACATTTATTTTCTTCCTTCTTTTTTCTCTTTTTTACTTGCCAATGAAAATGGCATCGATTTGTGTAATACGGGAAGAAGAACACCTGACGGATTTTCTTTATCTTTTTCGTGCTTTTCTTGATTTCATTTTTCATTCAAAACTATATAGTCAAAAATGCGGATATTGGCAATTTTATTGATAACAATGTAGGTTATGTTTGTTTGGAATACATTTCAGAGAACATTTGAATTTCAGCGTTGTCTCGACTTTTGGACAACAATATCAAAGATATCCACAGCAACAGCAACAATATCCACAACAACAACAACAGCAACCAAGACAAAACAACCGTTTTAGTGGAATTTCGACTGAAGGACAAATTCTTAGCAAAATCCTAACTGAATATGATTCATCTGCTCGGCCACCAAATCGTGAACATGCTGCAAACACAGCTATCGTAGTTATGACCAATATTTTCATAAATCGAATTCAATGGGGAGAACACAGTGCTGAAGTTGATTTGTATCTTCGCCAACAATGGCAAGATGGAAGATTGAAATATGATTTGGTATCACAAGATGAATTCGATGAAGTCAAATTGCCAGCTAACAAGAAAATCTGGGAACCAGACACTTATTTTGCATCGGCTAGAGAGATTTCGAGAGGAGGTTCAGGGCATAGTAAAAGTGCAATTATTGAGCCAAGTGGATTTGTTCGATCTTCGGAAAGAATTGTTTTGGATCTTCCATATTCTTATGGAACTTCTTTCCCATTCACAAATTCTCGTCAAATTTCAATCAAGCTTGGAAGTTGTAAGTTTTTTCCAAATATCAACGCTTTTATTGAACCAATTTTTCAGACAACTACGAACTTGGAGACGTTGTTTATATTTGGTCAAGTTCTCCACCACTCGTTAATCCAATCGAAGTTTCAAACGATTTAGTTAACGGACCAGTTTATTTCGAAGAAGCAAGTGCTGGTGATTGCTCAGGAAATTATACAGTCGGAACATATTCCTGTATTGATGCTGTTGTTACATTCCAAACTAGCACAATTTCATCTCTTTCAACCTGGTTCCTTCCAACTCTTCTCTTGGCAAGTTTTATTGTTTTTGTTTTTTGTTTTCTTTCAAAAATATAGTGTAACAAAAAGTAATTCAATACTTTTGCAGATAATCTCTTCATGGTTGCACTTTTGGGTTCCTCCAAGTTGGTCTGTTCCAAGAACAGCTTCGGCTGCTCTCCCATTCCTGATCTTGGTTGCTTATTACGTGAGTAATTTAGCATCTCAACTTAAAATAAAACGAAATAATTTCAGCTTTTCAAAGGATCTGATGCTTTTGGAAATGGTAAATGTGCTTGGTTGGTATTTTCCTTGATTATCACATTCTTCTCTTTGGTTTGTATTTTTTTCAAATCTAATTATAATTCAAAAAAAAACACACACATATATTTTTAGGTTGAATACTTTGTTGCAATTTGCTTTGGTCCTCGCCGATCAATTCGTTATAAAACTCTTGGAACTCAAGAAGAGCATCCAATGGGAGCAGCAAAAGAAACATTAGAAGTTGCGTATAATCAAGGATGTGGATCATTCAGAAACAACAATGGAATTGATATCATTTCTCGTGTTGCATTTCCAATCATTACTTTGATTTTCATTATCATTTATTTCGTATTTTTGATTTAAAACGTTTGCGATAGAAATTTATGACTGAATAAATAGATAAACCGGTGAAATACAAAGAAATAGTTCGAAAAAAAATCTACCAATCATCAGAATCTTTGCGATTCTTTTTTCCGCCTTTCTTTTTTGGCGGATCTGCTTTTTTATTGACTAGAAGCGTTGCATGACCTGTCTCTTTCAAATGAGCAAATAATTTTGTGCGTGAATCAAAAACCTAAAACACATTGTGTTTTGAAATGTAAACCATCCCAAATAGCTCTTACCTGTTTACATCGATCACATTTTCCAGTTTTTGGTTCAAATTGATCATCCTTTTTATCATCTTCGTCTTCAACTTCTTCAGTTTTAGCCTTTTTATCAGCTCTTCGTTTCTTTTTCTCTTTTTTAATTTCAGGTTCTTCTGATATTTCGCCTTTATTTTCTTCATTTTCTATTTTTTCTTCAGCTGCTTCTTCAGTCATTAATGTCTCTACTTTTATAATATCCTCTTCATCATAGTCAAATATTCCATTTCCTTTTTTCCTCCGATTTTTCTTCGCAGCTTTTCCTCCTTTTTCGGCAGATGGAGATGGCGTCTCAGTTTTAGAATCTGTAAAAGTTTTTTTTTCTTTTAAAAACGTCAATACTAACTCAGAACTCACCAAAAAGTGTCGAATCTTCTTCTTTCATGTGCTTTTTGAGCTCACTGAGTTGTTTTATATGTTGTTTCGAATTTTCATGATTCAGTTTGGCATTACTGAAAAATTTCGAATATACAACTGATTTCTTTTTTTAAAATTTAATGAAAACTTACACTGTTTTGAAAGATTTGTTACAAACAACACAGTATGGCAAATCTTCTCCTTCTTCTTCACTACATGAATCATCTTCAGCCATTTGCATAGAAACTTCGATAAGATGAGCAATTCTCTCGGCTTCAGCTTCTTTATCTTCGAGATAATGTTTTTGATTTTCGAGAATTTGTTTCTTTCTATTTTCCTCTTGCTTCTTTTTAGCTTCTTCTTGTTTTTTCTCCAACAATTCTCTGGAACATTTTTTCGTGATTTTCAGATAATTACTTTTCTCAAAAATCTTACCTATATGCCTTTACACGTGGATCGCGTTTTCTCACAAAAGCCACAAGTTGTCGAATCTGATCATTCCTCTCTTGTTTTCCAACTTCGCGGAATTTTCGATTTTCGGCTTCAATTTGTCTAGCTTCCCATCTATTATCAGCTTGTCGAATATCATATTTATCCAACCAAGCGAATGATCGTTGAGTTGTAAATGTCCCCCAAAACCCGTAAAACTTGGCAACAACTTTATCATAATCGCTTTCCGAATTTCCAAAATCTGGATATTCTTCTATTCGATCATCGAATTTATCTAATTCATCATAATCCTCCGATGCTAATACATTGAATACTTTTCGAAATACACTGAAGAATCCATTTTTATCATCATCATAACCTTTATAACAAGAAGCACTGAAGTATTTGAAGAGATTCAAGCTTTCTTTCACTTCACCATCTTCGAATCCACCTTTAAGAATACTTTCCCGATGTCGATCATAGAAATCACGTTCTCTTTCATCACTCAAAACTTCATATGCATTTTGAATGAGAGCAAAATATTTGGTGCATTCTTCAATATTTTCCGGATTTTTATCAGGGTGCCATTTTAACGCCAATTTTCGATATTTCTTTTTTATTTCATCAGCATCAGCATCCCGTTGAACTTCTAGTACTTCATAATGACACTTCATCCCTGAAAATTGATATTTCAACGATGTTTGAGGGCCCTAGAGGGAAATATAAAATTTTTTTAGGAAAAGTTACTCGGCCTAGAAACCGACAAGAATTTTGTCGGTGTCTAGGCCATCTAGCCAGTTTCTGCGCACACTGCCCAAGGCTGTTCTGTTCGGCTTTTTTTGGATTCAGAACAAAGTTTGGAGAAGGTTTCCGAATCTAGAAGATATTTTTGTGTTTTTATTTCAAAATTAGAATGAAAATTCACACCATATAACATTAATTCTTATGATTTATTGACAAAGAAACGTTTCATTTGCTATTGAAAAATATTATGTACTTATTTTGGTAAACATGTTTACTAATATTTCATTTTCCCAAAACAATTTCGTAAAATGTCTGTGATTTTTTCGTAAAAAATATTCCAAATTTTTTCCTCTGGTTATTCGCATTTATGCAAAATACTTCTCTGATTCAAACACCAATAAATATTTCACATAAAACAAACAACGAGTATAATTGTTTCCTTCATTCGCATTCTCTCTCGTTTTTTTCCAGATTCATGCATTTTCTTCCAATTTTTCCTCAAAAAAAAAACGTATTTCGTTGAACCATTTGAGAATCAAACAACCATTTTATTGTCCTTGACCTTCACCGATCATTAACAATCGTGTTGTCATTTTTAACTATTCGGTCTTTTTTCAACAACTTCACATTTCAAAAAATTTTTCATTTTCAGAATGTCTTCTGGAAAAGTTATCATTTATGGTGGAAAAGGTGCATTGGGTTCGGCTGTTCTCGATTATTTTAAAGCCAGAAATTTCGTAAGTTTTTTGTAATATTGAAGGGGCGGGAAAAGATTTGGTATTGATAAATAATATAATGAAAACTTGAATGTATGTTTCGAATACAAATGTTTAATTTTTCAGTCAGTTTTAAACATTGATTTATCTTCAAATGAACATGCCGATACCAATATTGTCGTAAATCCATCAGTCTCATGGGTTGAACAAGAAGAGTTAATTTTGAAACAGTAAGTTACAATATTTCTGAAAACATTGAAAAAAAAAACAATTTCTCTCTAGAACTTCTGATGCTCTTTCTGGTTCTCAAGTCGATGGTATTTTCTGTGTGGCCGGTGGTTGGGCTGGCGGTTCAGCAGCTTCAAAAGATTTCATCAAAAATTGCGATCTTATGTGGAAACAATCTGTCTGGAGTTCAACAATTGCTGCTCGCCTCGCACATTCATATCTCAAACCAGGAGGTGTTCTTCAATTGACTGGTGCCGCTGCTGCAAATGATGCCACACCAGGAATGATTGGATATGGTTTGGCAAAAGCAGCAGTTCATCATTTGACAAAATCTCTTGCGGAAAAAGATGGAGGACTTCCAGAAAACTCGGCTGTTTTGACAATTCAACCAATTACTCTTGATACTCCAATGAATCGTAAATGGATGCCAAAAGCCGATCATTCGAGCTGGACTCCACTCGATTATATTTCGGAAAATTTGCATAAATGGACTACTGATTTGGGCAGCAGACCAAAATCTGGAAGCCTTCTCAAAATCACAACAACAAATGGAACATCAAAAATTGAATAACTTTATCATTCCAATGTTTTCTCACTTTGCTAATGAAATGTACTGTAAACTATTATCAAAAAGGTGTGAACCCCTCTGATCTTTTGAATTTCCTTATCTTATAATCAATCATATCAGTTAACAAAGAAAAGGATAAATGTTCGGGAAGAAAAAGGAAATCGAGATAGATATTAAAATGAATAATATGTAGAGGAACATTTTCATCGCTATGATCTCAATCAAAATTTTAAAAACGAAAAAAAAAACCCTTTGAATAAAAACACAAGTTTTACTGAAACGGAATTTTTGCTGACGTAATTTAGAGAAAAAAAACTTTTTATAGTGCGTGCAAAATTCATATATTTGTCTATTTAATGAAATATAATCTATTCAATATGAAATAGATCCAGTCCAAAAAATTGCTTTGTTTTATCTAATCAAAAACATTCTTTATCATGAATGTTTCGATCTTCACGTACCTGTCGTTTTTCACGTACAAAAAGTGGCAAATTCCCGGTTTTGTTTCATCTTATCTATTTGTACATTCAAATAGATACTTGCTTCATTTCTCTTCTTCTTTTTTTCGTTAGCGAATTAAGGAAGAGATTACTGTAGCTGATGAATCAGAAAGGATAAAGGGATTACGGTTAATTATAGTTTTGATTAAATAATTCGATTGTAGTCAAGAGTTAAGCTTTTCGACAGATAAAAAAGGCGCGTCAAGTTTCACTTTGACAGTTTTCAGGCAACCAAACATCCAATATATCCGAGAAAATATACATTTTTTGAAAGTTCGGAAAATCTTATTTTTTAAATCCGAAAAACTTTTAATTCACACGTGGGAAAATTTGACGCAAATGATTCCGAGAATGCATAAACTTGAGAAAAAAACAATACGAAGAATCCAATCTTGTAAATGAATTTTCGGACGAGTTTCCGCTTTTTCATTTTCAATATTTTTGAAAATTTTATTCTAACTGTGAAACGTTTAGAAATTGTGTGCACATCTTGAAAATTTCAAAGGATAACGTGAATCAAGATTTTTGGAAAGAGCACTACACTACTCCAGGTTTCAAAGAAACATGTCTATCTACAGTATTCAAAAACATTTATTTTAATGTTGAAAATAAAACTACAGTACCGCATTAACTCCAATTGACAACATCTGGAAAAATCCCCAAATCACTAATCTAATCGAGTTGATTTTTCGTTGAATCGTGTGTTTGATTTCAAAACGTCACAATTTCCAAAAATTTGTTTTTCAATTGTTATTCTGTTAAAGTTCAAACTACACTCAAAATATTCCACATATCATTCATTTCTTTTTTCTTTCACATTTACACAAAAATGAAAATACCCAAATTTTGCAACATTTCATCAGTTTTTCTTCTCTGCTGTTTTGGTCAGGTGGAACTAATTTGATAAAAATAATGGATAAACGCGTTAATTGTTGTTGTTCTAATAGGATGAAACATATTCTTTGAATAACTGTCAATTCATACAAGACTATAGGATACAATGGTCAAAATTGCAAAAAACCTGAATTTTGAATTTGGAAGATTGTCCTACACCGGTTCCTCGCAATGGAAGACTTTCTAGGTTGTATTTTGAAACTTGGATACAACATAGAACATATTATTTCTCTCGAAAACAACAAATTCATGAGCGAAAACTGTTATCAAATTCAAGATTCCGAGTTGTTTTGGAACCGCAGATCAAAAATGGTAATGCGGTTAAAACATACAGAATGTTTTCCATGGGAAACTCGGGGGAGAGAGAAAGTGTTGTGGAAAAATGGACTTTCAACCATCTTGGGGCGAACTTGTTAAAAATGGTCTCAAGCTCTTTTTTCTAGAGACCAATCGCTACTTTTTTACCCAAGAAGACGAAATTTCTAACTTAAAATTTAAAGAGGAACTTTGGGTGTTTTGATCGACTGAAAACGTTCATCTCTACTTACAGTTAAGAAAAATTTGGAATCAAGAAAAAACCAATTTTTTTTTGAAAAGTCTGTGACTTTGGAAAAAAAGTTAGGTTACATCAGAACATTGGATCTTCATTCAATTTGTGAATTTTTTGAGCGACATTCCCTGGATAGTTTACTATAATAAAGATGTTGTAACTTCACAGTTAGATTTTTTCTAATCTTACAAAAACTATATTTCGAACAAAAACTTTTTTCAAAAATTATCCGGGTTGAACCATTTATTACATATGTTTTGTTCAAAACAGAAAATACCGTAATCTCCGAAAACCCAACAATTATTTATAAAAAAAATTTGACCGCTTTCCACTTGTCAAGAATGTTTCAAAGATACAATCTTTTATTTTATCAGATCGTAAAGTCTCACGTACTCATGAAGTAGATAAAAAACTAGGAAAGGTTTTCCAAAATGTTGCGTTCTGTCTGTAACATTCAAGTCTTCCAGTCAATATTAATATGTCAATCATCGAAAAATGGATATTCTTTACACTTCTCCTCCCACAACAAAAAACGACCTTAAAAAGTGACCAGAAGACCAAAAATATACCTAGCTTGTTCTTCCCAAAAAGCTGACTCCTCCCTTTATCTCATCCCAAAAGTTCACTTTTCGTTGTTGACATTTCGAATCGACGCGGAAGGCAGAAATGAAATATTATCAGCACTATAGTATATCATTTTTATTATCATTATCCATATTTTGTGTTTTATTATTATCAAATGGACTTATAGGTTCGTTTGAAATTATATTAATCACGAGCTAAAATATTTTTCTACAGAAGCCTCTGAACACAATCAACTCATTGAACGTGCTCATAAATTAGGTAGCGAGAATAAAGCAGTTAAAGTTGGAAATCATATTAGAGTTGATCTGAATGAAACTTCTTCTGAAGAACTTTTGGATAAATGGATGTCTCAAGCTGTTTCGGGTTTGATGGCAGCTGTTGCTTCTAAAAAGTGAGTACAAATCAGGGATCGAATTAAGAAATACGTGAATTTTCAGAATAAAGAATCTTCCTGAAGATGAACGTGATATTATTCAACAATGCTCGAAAGAAGCTAAGAATGTTCCAGACCACGCTAGATGTGTTGTCAAACTTCTTGATGCTGAGAAAACTATCAAGACCGTCCGAAAATCTCATAAGCATGATGAGAAAATCGTGAAGAGTCAAACAAAAATTGTTGATGAAGCTCAAAAAGACGGAGAAGAAGATTTGGAATGGGTTGGATCGTTTGGAATGTCGAGAGCGAAAAGAAATGCTGGATTCAAAGTTGTAAATAGATCGAATTATGAATTGAAACAAGCAATTGATGAAGATCCAATGACACGAGTTGTCAAGTCAATGACAAATACAGTAAGACAAATGAAAAATAAGAATACTCACAAAGAAGGATGGAAAGAAGCTGTTGGAAGAGTTAAGAAACTCAAGGAAATGGCTAAAAAACAAAAGAAGGAAAGAGCAATAATGAAAGAACGATTGAGAAAAATGATTGACAATACACCAACTGAATTCATTGATCCAAGAAAACCAATTGCTCTTAAAGAGGTAAATAATTTAATGTAGAACTTGATTACTGTAGGATCAAATGATCAAACTATAGATAACCACAATATTTTCAAGTTGATCATATCTTCAAATGATATACCATATTTTAGGCTGAGATGGAAGATGAAAACCAAGAAATTACAAAATTGATGCGCAAAAAAGAAACCGAAGAAATCCGTGTTCCACTTAAATTCCTTCGTGAAGCTGTCAAAATGGCTCTTACAATTGGAGGTCATAACACAACTGATTTCGAGAAGAAAACTTTGAAAATGGTTTCACCACGTTTGATGTCTGTTGTTCCTGAACAAGAAGATGAATCAATTTACAACCTTCTTTCTCCATCACTTTTCTCGTTGCATGAAGAAGGAGAAGGAATTGAGAAGCTCACTTCCTTGCCAAATATTCTGAAAAAACTGGATATGAAAGGACAGGATGTGTGGATGGACTTTATCGTAGAAGCCGCCGGTTCGTTTCGAGTTTTTCTTTTCTTTTTACGGGAAAAAAGATAGATGATGATGGGTGGAAGAAAGGGATAGGATTAGGTGATAAACGAATTTGATATTTTAATTGAAAAACTGTTCAATGGACTACGGTCATTCTGATCGGCATAAGTTGTTAGTTTGAACTTTTATCAGCAGTGAAAAAATGTAGTATAGAGATTTGATCTCCAAAAAATCGGCATAGTTCTTATTTTCAGGAATCCCTGACAGTATTGATGAATTTGAGAAGAAATTCAATGATAAACGCGACCAAGAAATGCGTGGGCCAGACGGAGTTCCACTTTATTTCACCAAAGAAAACGCGACAGAAATTTACGGAGATGTTGAGAAACAAAAAATCGAAGTATTCGAATATCTTGACAAATCATACAGTGATGATCAGAAAGAAAAGTTGAATACTGATGGATTTGCAATGTTGACAACAGAACAATTGGACAAATTATATGGAAAAGATTCACCATATCATCATTCTGAATCGTTGAACAAATTCAAGAAAATGCGTGATGATCCTATCGAATACTTGGAATCTGAGTTCGTTGTCTTATTTTTTAACAAAAATATCTCACGATTAATTCCTCTGCTAAAAGGCAGACGCATGGCAATTGTTGCCCACTGCTGCTGTTCAAATCGGCATCGCTGCCTGCAATTTGGAGCAGCACTGCCGTTTCGCTGCGATGTAGAGTAATTCAATTGTTTTTCAGCATTCGAGCTTTGGCTGAAACTGATAAATTCCAACGTTCGCGCCGTGCTGATATTGTCAGTTCTCCATTTATCCTTACACCTCTCACTGGAGCATCTGCAGCTTTGTCAAACACATTTATTGTTACCTCACCACTTGTACTTTCTCCAATTACTCTTTCACCAGCCGCCTTGGGTCCAATTATTCTATCTCCTTGGGTTTTCGTCCCACTCATCTTATCTCCTCGTGTCCTTTCACCACTTATTGTCAATCCCCTGGTTTTCTCCCCAATTATTCTATCTCCTCTTGCTCTCCATCCCCTTATTCTTGTTCCAGGTGTTTTCAATCCCTTCATTTTGTCCCCAATGGTTTTATCTCCACTCATTTTGTCTCCACAAGTATTTACCCCATTGATTTTGTCGCCATTCGCTTTGAATCCATTGATTTTAACACCAATGGTTGGTTCCCCATTGATTCTTTCGCCATTCGTTTTGTCCCCAATTATTTTATCACCACAAGCATTGTTTGCTGTTGTATTATCACCATATGCATTATCACCTTTGATCGAATCAAAATTGATTGCTGCTGAAGTTGTTCTTTCACCATCATGGCTCTCATAATTTATTTGTATTTTCCTATTTTACCAGTACAAAATATGTGCAATAATAACTTATTTGCTATTCTATGAATAAATTTTCCATTATTTACGAGTTTATTTACAAAGGTATTTCTGATAATTCTTACTTTTACAGAAATGGGGAACCTTTTCTGATTTTTAGTATGAAATATTCATGTTTTTTTTGGATTTCCTCCCCAAGAGTAAATTCCCAACCTGATTTCCTGACGACTTCCTTTTCTACGAGTATACAGTAAAATTATTCGAATAGATTTTCAGTCTCCTATTTTTTCGTCACTAAATTTCAAAGAGAACAATCAGAAATGAACATTTCTTGAAAAAAATTTGCCACGTGGCACCCTCTGCTTCACGTGAAAATTGTTTTCCTGCGAGAAGCATTTCGAAAAGAAATTTCTTATTTATAAAAAGGTTCGGAATTTATGCTCATGATGATTACTGTAATTTTCTAAGTGAAGTTTAGAAGTTCTAATTGTGATATGGATATTCGGATCGCATTTTCAAGTGAGAAAAAAAGGCCGAATTCTAGAAAATCGTTCCAAAAAATTTTGAAATACCACTTTTATGAATTCTAACCCTGATCTTATTTTCCGTAAATATTAACAATATTTTTTGAGTTTCTAATCGAAATAATTTTGACGATTTTTGCAAACGATCAATAGACTTGAACAAAAACACAAAGTTTGAATTGAACATTTACTGAAGCTAAAAAAAGAGTAAAACGGCGCATAAATTAGTTGGTCTCTGCGGCAATTTGTTCATGCTTACAGTAAACAAAAATAAGTGGGGGGAAAATGAATAAAATATGATATGTTACATGAAAACGAGTGGAATCATTGTTCAGATTCATAGGTTTCTCCTTCTCCATCAACATATCCTTCACCGTCATCTTCAGCGGTTGCTTCTTGATATTGTTGATATTCGGAGATCAAATCGTTCATGTTCGATTCGGCTTCGGTGAATTCCATTTCATCCATTCCTTCACCAGTGTACCAATGCAAGAAGGCTTTGCGACGGAACATGGCTGAAAATTACTGTTTCACAGGAGTCTTGTAAGTTCATTACATACCTGTGAATTGTTCTGAAATACGCTTGAAGAGCTCTTGGATAGCTGTGGAATTTCCAACGAATGTTGCAGCCATTTTGAGTCCCTTTGGTGGAATATCACAAACGGCGGTCTTGACATTGTTTGGAATCCATTCAACGAAATATGATGAGTTCTTGTTTTGAACATTGAGCATTTGCTCATCAACTTCTCTCATTGACATGCGTCCTCTGAACATGGCGGCAACAGTCAAGTAACGTCCGTGTCTTGGATCACATGCAGCCATCATATTCTTTGAGTCGAACATTTGTTGGGTCAATTCAGCGACTGTCAATGCACGATAAGCTTGTGTTCCCTTGGCAGACAATGGAGCGAAACCAGGCATGAAGAAGTGAAGACGTGGGAATGGAACCATGTTAACAGCAAGTTTTCGGAGATCTGCATTCAATTGTCCTGGGAATCGGAGGCAAGTGGTGACTCCAGACATTGTAAGAGAAACTGAAAACATATTCGATTGCATTGGAAAACAAAGTTAAAAACTTACCAAGATGATTCAAGTCCCCGTATGTTGGATTGGTGAGTTTGAGAGTTCTGTAGCAGATGTCGTAAAGAGCTTCATTGTCAATACAATAAGTCTCATCTGTGTTCTCGACAAGTTGATGGACTGACAATGTGGCATTGTAAGGTTCGACAACAGTGTCAGAGACCTTTGGCGATGGAACAACAGAGAAAGAACTCATGATTCTGTCTGGGTATTCTTCTCTGATTTTTGAAATCAAAAGGGTTCCCATTCCAGATCCAGTTCCTCCACCAAGTGAATGGGTGAGTTGGAATCCTTGAAGACAATCGCAACCTTCAGCTTCTTTGCGGATAACATCCAATACATTGTCGACAAGTTCAGCTCCTTCTGTGTAGTGTCCTTTAGCCCAGTTGTTTCCTGCTCCAGATTGTCCGAAAACGAAGTTGTCTGGTCTGAAGAGTTGTCCGAATGGGCCAGATCTGACAGAGTCCATGGTTCCTGGCTCGAGATCGACAAGAACAGCACGTGGAACGTATTTACCATCTGAATAAAGTGATGGAATATTAAATGCCACAGTTTCGCAGACAGAAACTTACTGTTGGCTTCATTATAGTAAACATCGATTCTCTCGAGTTGGAGATCGCTTTCTCCCTTGAAAGTTCCGTCTGGTTGAATTCCATGTTCATCGGAAATCACTTCCCAGAACTTTGAACCGATTTGGTTTCCGCATTGTCCGGCTTGCACATGGACGATTTCTCTCATTATGCTGAAACTAAAAACCTCTATGAAGAGATGTGAAAAAAGCAAATGACGAGAAAAGAAATAATGAGAAATAGGGAATCGATTAGGATTGAGTCATATTCAACCTATTTAGAATTTCGCAATTACTACTATGGAATCCTAAAATATTTACTCATTCAATGAAAACTGAAGAATATATCATGACTTCAACTCCACCAACAAGAAAACAAAATTTAGGACTAACTGGGCGAAAAACTGACTGCGCGAGTCGAGAAACAAAAGATGAAAATGGCGGGTAAACGGGAAAAATGGCGCCTTTTGCAATTCGAAACAACATGTTCGCTAGAGCGCACATGTTGCAATACACGAATTTTGAATTTTTCTCCTCGCCAACAACTCAGAGATTCGCTGGCCAGCTCGCCACCAGGTGGGGAGGCTGGCTGACCTGGGAACCACATGGAAACCATGTCGCCCGGTTTTTTCGCTGGCAAGGTGGCCAGGCTCTGGCTAGGTCACGGCCACATGGCTACCATGTGGTGGCCACTTCGCCGCGTCAAAATGAATTTTCATGAAAATGTCTGAAAAACTTGTGAATTGAGGCATTTTCGAAAATTTTGGCTCATTTTCTGTTTTTTCGCAGCACTTGAAACCTTAGGAAGTGAAAAAACAGTAGAAAATGCAGTGTTTTGAGTACAAACCACTGTCTTGCCAGCTTTCCAGAATTTCAAACACACAGGCCACGTGGCCGGAAAACTCAAGGCGACCTGGCGGCCATGCGGTTTCCAGGTGGCCGCAGCGATCTGGTGGCGAGCTGGCCAGCGAATCTCTGAGAAGATGGAAATATCTTGATTATTCATCGATTTTACAGAAGTTTAGGAAATGAGAAATATTCGAATACTTGTATTCATTTATGGAAAAATCCACGAGTCAAATTTCGATAACCTTAGCTCAATTATTTAGAATGTTCTCATGAAAATCATTGAGTTTAAATAAAGAAAAGAAGAAGCACAATCAGGAATATTTTTCAGCTTTCTCAAGAATTCTGACAAAAATATTCCTACTTCAAAAAATACGATCATACGAAAGCAACTTGTGAAATTAGAATTTTTTTGTAAATGGTTTTGGAGTCCTGAAGAACTGAGACTAGACTTTTTTTCATTTTGAAGTTTTCGTGTGGTCATTTCTACTTTTTTATATTCACGAAAACGTGAGCTTCTCTGTTTTCCGTAGGGAAATAAACATCGGCTAACAAATTGAGCAAAGGTATGAAATAGTTTGAAGACTTATTTTCCAATGAAATTAAACATAAAAGAAAATTCATAAATATTTATTTTACATGAAAATTGTGCCAATTGGCGAAGCTTTAAAAATATTTAGTCATAGGACATTTAATTAATCCATAACTTCATTTTATTTGCGCGAAATTAGTACGTAGGATTTTAAAAACCATATACGTATTTTTGCAAAATCGAAGAGAATCCTAACCAGTAAATCGTCCCTGCAAAAAAAAACAATTTGAATGATTTTCAATGATTGATGGCTTCCTTACTCCTTATCTACTTCCAATTTTATATTGAAACTTTTGGATAAATCATTCAAAAATTCAGCAGACGGTCTTCTATGATTCGAATCCGCAGTATGAATCCAACAACTTTTTAGATTTTTATGGATATCAGATGTGTTCAATAAATTCAAATAGTTGAGCATCATTTCTTCGTTGAACCTATCCATTTTTATGATAATATCATAACCATTGAATTGAGTGAACTGATCAAACGTGAAAAAACGATTGATTGATTTCAATGTTTTTGCATTCAGCAACTGAAATGAGATTTTTCATTGTGAGAAGAAAAGCTTTTTCGACAAAACAAACTTGATTCATTTCAATCCCCTCGTAAAATTGGTCGTTGCATCCAAGATCGATTGTCTCGAGTTTCTTCAGGCTTCTCAAATCAATGCCATACGGTGAAATCTCCTGAAACTTGCATTTGTAATATATATGTATACTTAATATTGGATTATTTCTCAACTTACATTGAATACAATTTTTCGAATTGTATCTTCGTATTTTTGACAATGAAGAATCACAAACTTGGCTCGAACTTCATCTGGTGTTCCATTAACAATGTCCACCCATCTAGTAATGTATACATCTTTTTCGAATTCTTGCAGTACTGTTGTGAATCTACTGTAATTTTTTTGTTTTTGAGCAGAAAAAATAATTGTCTAGAAACTTACGTTTTGTAAAATATCATAGTTTGATCGATTGGACTTTCTGGAACAACAATAAATTCAAGACGATATGGATTATAAGAGCCGTGTTCGATTTCCAAATACGGCGTTACAATGTCTCTTCCAATTTCGATTCCACTCATCAATCTTCCAGTTCTTTTGGCTTCACCGCGGGACAATTTGGAGCAAGCAGAAAACTGGCAAAGAGTTTTCACGTCCATTCTCTCAATCACCATTGCTTTCATTTCTGGCGGTATTGCAGGCCATTGCGTTGATTCTATAGTTGCTGAAGCTAATCTTGCACGTTTTACTGATTCAAATGACATGGTAGTTCCTGCAAAAGCGATATTTTTTGTTGTAAAAAAATTAAAAATATCAAACTACTTTCAAAAAGGTAAAAGTAGATAAACTTTGCGCGTAGATCAGAAACTAAAAACTTAAAAATCTGCAATGGGATGAAAATGTGAAAATAAAAAAGGAACCAGAGATTAGCATGAATCAAGTCAACAGAATGAAGGAATTACAGAAAATATATTTTTCAAGCCCACACAAATATTACTGTATGCTCGCATTCTGTGTGCATTTTCCGCAAACACCTAAAACAGCCACGACAATTTTTTTGGTGAAAATCTCAGCATCTCCTGGCGTATACTTTTTGCACGATAACGTACGCTTTCCCTACACTCTTTCTACGCTTTTCGTACACTTGCCACTTTTCGCGAGTGTAGCTACATTGTAGGACCGCGTTGCAAGCGCGTTGCGTTGCGGCTATTATTTTATTTTTGTTTTCTATTTTCTTTTTGGCCTAAAATTATTTTTAAAACGTCTAAAGTAGATGAAATGATAGCCGAATTTCATCCACATGGATTCTAGAAGTTGAGTATGGTTATTGAAGCGATTAGAAATCTTTTTGGTCAGAAGAAGTATAGTTTTTTCAAGAAAAATCTTCAAATATCTTTGAAAAATACGGAATTTTCTTCAATGAGACTTTGAGAATCAGAGTTAATCGATAGTTATCAGTCTTCTTATTCTCGTTATTATTGTTTTTACACCTGAATTTGATTGAAACTTGTTGAATTTCAGATCACCATCCGAACAACTCCCAGAACTTGCATCATGATGGCAGCAAAAGGAACGAGAATCTTCTCCGGAGGTGTCCTCGAGCTCGAGGAGATGATTTTGAAGGTGAGTATAACTTAAATACCGGGAAGACTAGGATTTCGGAACCCTACTGGCCAATGGCCTGTCAAACATAACTGAAAGTTGGCTGATAAATTCTTGGAGCTACATCTTATAATTATGATAAGTAGAAGGTCTGTAAATAGAACTGACGACCAACTTCCGATAACCTAGTAACTATTAGGCATTTAGCCCAGGGGAGATAGCCTATAACCTCGCCATTTTTTTCTGCATGACGTAAAATTATGAGGTACTAGAAAATTAAACATCATCCCATTTTTCAGGTTGACACTTGACACCTACACCTACGCCGAATGCTAAAACTGGGACAACCTACAAGATATGATCCAAGCAGCGTCAAAATCAACGCCAAGATGCTCCACCATCCGACTTCTGGCCCTCAACCTCGACTTCAACCACTCAACACACCCTCAACAACCAACACATTCAAAAAATCTTCGAAAAAATTAAATTTCTAACTTTTTTTTTATTATGTTTTCATGATTTTTGTTATATTATTGATTTTGTGTTTTAAAAGTATATTGATACATAAATAATTTGTTATATTTTCTCGTTTAAACCTTCCCTAATTCGCAGCGCAAAAACGAAAAAAATCGATTCGAAAATATGTGTACGCTTTTCGTTCAAAAAGGAAAAGTGTAGGATCTTTGTAGACGTTTTTGCAGCTTGTGCGTACGGTCTTTGTAGCGTGCGTCATACAACAATGTAGCTACACTTTTCGTTCGCAATAGTGTACGCCAGGAGATGCTGAGAAATTTCCCAGACACGCCTGTTTTGTCTGAACAAAATTTCTCGCTACAGTAATATGACGCCGAAAAATAGGTCTGCATTTGGCGGCGCCGCGTTCTAACTCCTGGGAATTCTAGAAAGTTTTCGAAACATTCATACGTAATTTCATCTCTTCTCTTCGAATAAGTATAGTAGAAGTCTTAAAAATTTGGTTTTCACGTAGAAAAACGTGAAAAACTGAAATCGCTGCGAGACCTCATCCTTTCGAAAAATGTGTGCGCCTTTGATTTGCTTCGATTTTAGTTTTCAGCCTATAGCTCTTTTGAGAATGCGTTTCAGAAACAAGTAAATAGTTTTCCTGCTTCATCTCGACAAGACGAATCAGATGGTATATTCAGCTTTCTCTAAAAATGCCTCTAACTTGCTGAAATGCGCTGAAATCACTATCTAGTGTGTAAACACCGCGACGCACAAATGCACAAATTGCGTACCGTAGTAAATTTTTTCACCGTTGCAAAAAAACAGGCGCAGAAATTTGCACTTTCTCAGTTTTTGTGTGTTTTGCTATGAAGTTGGCCCATGTCTGACAAAATATATTATGTTTTTGATCCTTCTTTGAGGTCTACAAACATCTCAATATCCAAAAACTGTTCAATGATTTGTCATCATTTCTATTCTGCTTAAATATCGCGTCTCAAATGACAAATCTTCAAAAAACGCCCTTTCAACTAAACATTGTGCAATTCATTCTTATTGTTCACGATTAATTCATTTTAACATAATGTCTTTTTCTTTCCCCTTCCTCACTAACCAAACTTGCCATTTTCCCAGACCAACGTTCCGCCCATTTTTTTTGATGAAAAGAGTCGACACTCTCCTATCTTTCTCATATTGCTTTTTCTTTGTTCTCCCCAAAGTTATACTTTTTGGTTTTAGGAAATGCTTCGAAACGTTCTTCGCGCAACTTCTCAAGTGAGAAATGCATCAAGCATTCCACCAGGATTATCCAACATTGTTCCTCAATACACTGGTGTGAGTTTTTCTGGGAAAATTTTTAAGTTTTGAAGTTAATTTTCACGTTTCGATTGAAAAAAAAAGAGTTGTTTTAGATTCCACCAGTTTTCTGTTAATAAATTTCCAAAAATTCAAAATGTCATTGTTGTTTTTCATACAAAAACATCGTATCGATAACCTTGAAAACGAGATGAAACGAACGATATTAATTCCGTTTTGACAAAAAATCGTGCTGTTTTGTTGTTTTTTTTGGAAACAAAACTTCAGGTTTTTAAAATGTTTATCTCTTGAGTAAATGTCATTATACCCTTTGAAAACGGAAAGTTCATGAGTTTTCCTACTTTTACATCATTCGAGCATGTGTTTTCTGACATTTTCTTATCACAAACACGTGATGAAAAAACAGCGCTTGAGCTCATTGACAAATGAAGCAACCATTGAACATTTTTTCTCTGATCACAACGTTGTTGATCGTCCAAATTGTCATCATTTTCGAACATTTCTGATTGTTCTTTAGAGTTTGCAGAAAAGAGAATAGATAGGAGGAACAGATAAAGTATAAACAGTTAAAAAAGATAGAAGAGAAACACGTGGTTTGTTGATCGGAGGTTGAAGATTGACATAAAACCACGCGGTTTCGTGCAAAAGAGAACAACATTGTGTTCTGATAAGAAAAGGGATTAAAAACCGAAAAGATTGATTAAACCATTTTTTTTCAGATTTTCATCAACAATGAATTCGTGCCAGCCAAATCTGGAAAGACATTCGAAACTGTCAATCCAGCAAATGGAAAAGTTATCACTCAAGTAGCCGAAGGAGACAAAGCTGATGTTGATGCCGCTGTCAAGGTATATACAACTATTGAAAGTTTTCTTGTAATAAATTACTTAGTTTTTAGGCTGCTACAAATGCTTTCCGAATTGGAAGTGAATGGAGAACAATGAATGCATCTCAAAGAGGTGTTCTTTTGAATCGACTTGCTGATTTGATGGAAAGAGATCGTGTTATTTTGGCATCACTGGAATCACTCGATAATGGAAAACCATATGCAATTGCTTACGCGGCTGATGTTCCATTGTCAATCAAAACTTTGAGGTAATACATTTTTCTAATTTTAAAAACATCTTATCAAATTAAGTTGTTTTTTGTCTTTTTTGAAATATAATACGTGTTAATTTCAATTAGGATTTTTTTTTAGAAATTTTGAAAATAAAACAAGTTTTTTGTTTTCAGATATTACGCTGGTTGGGCTGACAAAAATCACGGAAAAACCATTCCAATCGAAGGTGATTATTTCACTTATACTCGCCATGAACCGGTTGGAGTTTGCGGTCAAATCATCCCATGGAACTTCCCACTTTTAATGCAAGCTTGGAAATTAGGACCAGCTCTTGCTATGGGAAACACTGTTGTCATGAAAGTTGCCGAACAAACACCATTGAGTGCTCTTCATGTTGCTGCTTTGACAAAAGAAGCTGGATTCCCAGATGGTGTTGTTAATGTTATTGCTGGATTTGGGCCAACTGCTGGACAAGCTATTTCAGAACATATGGGAATTGATAAAGTTGCATTCACTGGATCAACTGATGTTGGAAGAATTGTAATGAAAGCAGCTGCTGAATCGAATGTCAAAAAGTAGGAAAATTAAATTGGATATCTGAAGATATAATGTTTTTTCAGAGTAACTCTTGAATTGGGAGGCAAAAGTCCAAATATTATTTTTGCTGATGCCAACGTTGATGAAGCTGTTCACCAAGCAAACCACGGACTTTTCTTCAATCAAGGACAATGTTGTTGTGCTGGATCAAGAACCTTTGTTGAAGGAAAAGTATGATTTTGTACTCCCCCGATTTTTTTCTATATTTGATTTCTCAGATTTATGACGAATTTGTTGCTCGTTCCAAATCTCTTGCTGAAAAAATCGTTGTTGGTGATCCATTCAACTTGAAAACCACTCAAGGACCACAAGTTGATGACAAACAAGTCGAAACCATTCTCAAATACATCAATGCTGGAAAGAAAGAAGGAGCTCAATTGGTTACTGGAGGAGAGAAACATGGAAGTGAGGGATATTTTGTGAAACCAACAATCTTCGCTAATGTTAATGATCAAATGACAATTGCTCAAGAAGAAATCTTTGGACCAGTTATGAGTATTATTAGATTCGATGGAATGGAAGATTTGGTTGAAAAAGCGAATAATACTATTTATGGATTAGCTGCTGGAGTTATGACTAAAGATCTTGATAAGGCTCTTCATGTTGCAAACACTATTCGAGCTGGATCAGTTTGGTTAGTTGCAAAATTATGATAACTACTGAAAACCGATTATGTTTTAGGGTGAACTGTTATGATGTGTTCGATGCCGCCGCTCCATTCGGAGGATTCAAACAATCCGGAATCGGTCGCGAACTTGGAGAATACGGTCTTGAAGCTTATACCGAAGTCAAGACTGTCACCATCAAAGTTCAACAAAAGAACTCATAAATATATAATCCAACCAAATAAATACCGGTCTCACACATTCAAATATTGCTTGTTTTGTTTAGTACTGTAATTTTTATTGTCCAATAAATTAATATTTTCTTCAATTCAAAATTATATAGCAAATTGAGATCATTCATAATATTGTTGTTGTGGTTGCTGGTCGGTTTCATTTCCTTTTTCAGCATCACCATCTGGTAAATACATATAAGTTGGTTGAGACGAAGTTGATGTTGATGGAATTGCAGATGATTGTTGAATATTTGAAGCATTTGTAAGTGTGATTGGAGCAGAACTTGATATTTGAATTGGATATAGTTGAACTCCGTTTTCAGCTGAAAACATTATTTTTAACTATCTGAAAATATGGATCAGCTGGACTGAAGAAAATATCAATTTTTTCCGAATTATTTCCCAAACTGAATCTTACAAGGGAACCTTTTCAGCTCGCGGTCGAGTTTTGAGCTCAAAATTTTTTTTATGAACAGTTTGAGCCGTTCTAATGAACATATAAAAAATTCAGCTGCCGAAGAACACCCTGCACCAAGTTCTGATGCGCCAAAGTGTCAGAAATCGCCAAAAATGGCTTTTTTGAGAGATCATAATTTCCTTTAGAGACGATTTTATCAAAATCTGATAGATGGAGGTTTTTTCAGGAGGGTCGAGTTACTAAAGTCACCAATTATGAGAAAAATTTCCAAAAAATTTCAAATTTACAATTCATGACCTGGACTATTTTCTTGCGCCAAAAATTTTTTTTCGAAAATTGTTGCGACTCAGTAAAAATTTTTAGTGATTTCAGTAAATCGACCCTCCTGAAAAACGTCCTTCGATCAGTTTCCCCTGATTTGAACTCAGGACTGACTTATGAGCCCTGAAACATGTGATTTCGGTCAAAAATCGCCACTTTGGCGGATCAGAACTTGGTGCAGGGTGTTCTTCGGCAGCTGAATTTTTTATATGTTCATTAGAACGGCTCAAACTGTTCATTAAAAAATTTTGAGCTCAAAACTCGACCGCGAGCTGAAAAGGTTCCCTTGTTAGTTATCCCAAGTTCGTATTTTTTCGATTGAGATTTTGGATATTTGAAGAAAAACATTGGGATGAAAACGTTTCTTGATTTTCTAAAATTTGTGGTTTTTTAAGGGAAAATTACTTGAGGTGAAGAAATCTCCCAGAAGATGAGTATTCTAACTTTTTTTTAAACAAAGAAAACTTACTATCCATAGCAGCATAATGTTGTTTAGTAGATGCATCAACATAAATTTGCATTTGAGTTTGTTGCTCCAACGCAGTTATTGGCAATGTTCCAGGCTGTGCGATTGGTGTCGAAGTTTGTTGCTGTTGCTGAGATTGCTGTTGTGCAGATTGTGGAGCAGTTTGATATTGTTGTGACTTATTTGTTTTGATCAATGTTGCTTGTGGCGGTGGCTGTTGTGGAATTTGTTCTTGTCTTTGTTCTTGCCATTCGGTTCCCAAAGGAGCATCAGTTGAAACACTTCCACTTTCAATGTTGAAGAAACGTGTTTCCGTACCTGAAAAATATAATTTTTGAAGTTCAGAATATAATCCAAGATTTTCTGGTGTAGAAACATTTTTAAATTCTAGAAACACGAGGTTTTTAAATATCGGACTCGAAATTTGGGGATTTTTCCAAATTAATCAAAAGAATTTCCAACTTATGAATGATCAATTTCATACATTTTCATACAATTTTCGAAAATTGATGATTCAAAAGATTGAAATTAAACTCACATCTCGATCCATTTTCAGTGTCAAAAAACAGCGGTCTAAATGGTGGATCATTCATAAATTGTTCAGGTCTTTGATAATGTTCATGTTCCCTATGAATCGGTCCAGTTATTTTATTCGCTTGTCTATATTTCGCCAATGTTATTCTCATTGGCTCCGCATAGTTATCAAATCCCAATGCTTCCAAAGCAGTCAACAAATCATCCGCTGTTATTGTTTTTCGTTTAGTTTGATGGCAATATTCGGCAGCTTCCGAAGTCAAAAAACTAATAAATTCCGATAAACATTCTTGCACGCATTCTTTGGCGTCTTTGGATATTTTAGTTCCTGGTTCACAACGTGTTTTCATTATTCGAGCAACATTTGCGATTGGAAGAAATCTTTCTTGATCAAGTAGAACTCCTAGCTTTTTTGGTGTCATTGTTGGTGGGGTATATCTTGGATTTTGTTGTGAATCTTGCTCATCGTCTTCTTCATCGCCAACGTCTTCCATTGTATTTTCTTCATAATCATTTGGCTAAAAAATAACTGTATAAAGAAAATAGTTTGTTAGGGCTTAAAATCTAGAAGTTCAGGTGTTTTATCTTTGAATATTCCAAGTTCTACAGTACACCTATGAATCAAATACGGTATCTCCTCTAAAATCCAAAAATGTTGAAAATTACCTTTTCCTGACCGTTATCAATTGTATACCCATAATTTCCCGTTTGTTCAACGCGTTGCTGATTTCCACTCGAATATGTATTCTCATAATAAGGCATATAATTATCCGAAGTTGTTGGCACATTTTGTAAAACTTCATATTCTGAATTCGGATTTTTTGCAGAATCATCCATTGTTGAAGTAATTCCTGTGATGACCATTATTAATAAACATGCTTGTTAGTTTTTCAACTATGAAAAAATTGAATACCGTTAAGTTACAGATTAAATTTGGTTAGAAAATAGAATGTTCAGATTTAATGTGTTCATTAATTTTAACAAAGCCTACAAAAGAGAAAAATAAACTATTCAAAATACTACACAGGGAAAAATGGAAAAGAAATGAGATTTTAGATTTTATTGGGATTTGGCTTGTTGAATTGCTGCTGATGGACCCAGTAACATTTGTCTTTGTTGAGCAACCTGCAATAAAATAATTTGAAAAATGAAATTTAGTATTGAAAAACGAACCTGTGTTTTCTCCAAATCACTAATTTCTTTCTCAATAATAAATGGAAGGAATGCAATCAATGATGTTGTTGTGACAATCCAAATTGTGCTTTTTGTGAGTGAAAACTGCAAATATTTTTGAAAATTATGTGTGACCACCAAAAAATGGCATTCGACCAATGAGAAAAGAAGAGGAGGATTATGAAAATAGCACAGAGAAGTAGGAGAGTGCTAGACATTTCCCCTTGTTCTTATTGGACGGCCGCATCAATAATTTTGTGTTTACACGAATTGAAGGAGGGGTGGAGGAAATTAAATAACAAGTTGGTTAAAAATAAAAAAAGACCCATAGGAAATATCAGAAACTCAAAAAAATGATTCAGTTGGAACTTTTATCTTAGGATTTTTCGGGAATCATCATTTTGGGCTTCTACTAGTTCGGGGGAGTTATATTCACACCTCGGCCAATCCGTGGCTGACCAGCGTACAATTTTGAAAAAATCTGAATTTCTGTTTCTAGAGGTCATAGGTCAACTGATGCATTCAGAGTTTTTAGAAGTGAAAAATTCACAGTTTTCATACTGTAAAAAGTTATTTAGCGTACAATTTTTACTTTTGGAAACCACGATTTTAGCCGAAATGTGGTTATATTATCTAGAACTTGTATCACTATTCATCGCGCGCATCTTTCTATCAAAAACAAGAAAAATTATTAACTCACCAATCCTTTGACACCCCAAACAGACCAGCTGAGTGTTGATGAAACACCATTGGTCAAAGTTGGTGGGAACATTTCACCTAAACCCTCAATTCTTTCCAAAAGCGTCTCATGCAATTCATTGTCTGGAATAGCATCGAATTCATCTCGAATAGCTGACATCTGAAAATATTATGAATTCGGGTGATGAGGTGATATTTTTCACCAAAAAAAGCAAAATAAGTTTCAGCATGGTTTTCAACCAAATTGCACTTGAATTCTTCAAAATAATTATTCCAACAACGAAATTCATAAGATAAACAATAAAAATAAAAAGGGAACAGAAACAAAAACAATTATAACAATCATGTAAAATTTACTAACAAAAAAAAACAATTATTGTTGTTTGGCTAACATCTTCTTTCGTTTATTTTTCACCGCTTTTGCTCCAGTTCGTGCAGCTGCTCTTTTTGGTACACGAGCCTTGAACTCCTTGACTTTGCGTGCTTTCTTGATGTTACCAACCTGAAGAAAATACGTCATTCAAGATATTCAAAATTATCGGAAAATAAAACTAACAGTATTAAATCCATCATCTTCTTTCAACGAATCTTGTTTTGCTTGAGCCTTTTTCTGATTTCTTCGCTTTTTGTTTGCTCGAGCACCCGATCCAACATTTTTGAATGGAGCTGTTCCATCATCATCCTCTGAATCCGAATCTTCCTTCGATTTTTTTCCAGCTTTTTTCGCTGGTTTTTTCTTGTCATCGGAGGAATCTTCTTCAGCTTGTGATTTCTTCTTATTTTCTTGCTTCTCGCGTTCTTTCTGTAATTTTTAGAATTTTAAGACGTGACCGTGGAATGTGAGGAAAACCATTTAGCTTTTTGTTTGCAAAAATTTCTTCCAGAAATTTTCAGCTGAAAAGAAGACATACCTCAAGAACTTCTTGTTTGCTCATCTTTGCATTACTCAATTTCTTGATTTTGGCAACAAAGAAACCATCAATATTGTGAACATGAGGATAATATCTTTTCGTCATCGACAAACTCGAATGGAATCGATAATCGCGGAAACGAGTATAACCATCGACACCAATTGTCAAACCAGTTGGAACCAATTCACAATGTCTTCGTTCGAGAAGGAAATTGACAACTGCCTCATTTTCTTCGACAAGAACACTACATGTTGAATAAACCAAATATCCGCCATTTGGTGAATTTGCATCCAAAGCATCCATAGCCGAAAGAATCAATTGTCTTTGCATTGTATGTCTTCTTTGAACATCTTGACTATCTTTACTTGTTTTGACAGATTGATCTTTCCAGATAACTCCAGTACCGGAACATGGTGCATCAAGAAGAATTCGATCGAAACCATTTGGACGGATTTTTCCGAATTCTTCTCCTCCCAAATTACAGACAACCGTATTGTTAACACCAAGACGATGAAGATTACCGATGATAGCGCGGCAACGATCAAACTAAAAAAAATCGTCAAAAAATAGTTATCACAATGCAAAGTAAACTTACATTAGCATCATTAGCGAATAAAACTCCACTATTTTTCATTAACGAAGCAATATGCGAAGTTTTTCCTCCTGGAGCTGAACACATATCCAAAACACGATCTCCTGGTTGTGGTGCTAAAGCCATCACGGGCAATAATGAATTGAGACCTTGAATCATATAATGACCGGCAAGATATTCAGGAGTTGCTCCGACTGGAACTTGTGAATCATAAACAACGAGGCCAACTTTTGTCCATTCAGCTGCTGGATCAACATTCATTCCACGATTAATGAGATTTTTAGCCAAATCACGCCTGGAAGAATAATTTGTTTGTTTTTAGACTACATAAAATTCGATATTTACCTTTTAACTTTCAATGAATTTGCTCGAATAGTAACCGGTCTTGGATTGTCGTTTGCTTCCAAAAATTGAAGTAATTCAACACCATTTGGGAAAAGATCCATGAATTTAGCCATCAAATATTCATTGTAACCAAATTGTGAACATAAATCCTTTTGTAAAACTTCGACATATTGCAATCGACTTTTATTTGGATCTCTTCTTGCTTTGAAATCTCCCAAAACTTGAATAACATCTGCAATTCTTTGACGAACAATCTCCAAATTTGGAGCTGATTTCATTTCGGCTTCAATATCTTCAACTGTTGGCAATTCAAACTTTTCTTGGTTTGCAATGTTCAATTGAAGCTCTTCTTCACCTTCCTTGAGCATTTTCTCTTTTATCTTATCGAGAGCCGCTGATTTCTTTTCAATTGGCAAATTATCCTCATCTTCCTCGTCATCTGAATAATCATCACGAAGATCGTCATCATCATCATCATCTCCTTGAATATCAAGATTTCCAATGTTGAATTCTTCCTCATCGTCATCTTCATCTATCAATTGAGCTTTTTGTTTAGGAGCCTTTTCTTCCTCTTCAAACAACTTCACTTTTTTCACCACCTTCTTCTTTTTCTTTTTTGGTCCATTTTCAGATGACGGTGTTGCTTCAACTTCGACTACTGGAGTTGCAGCAGTTCCATTTTGCTTTTTGAGAGGTTTCTTTTTTGGAGTTTTCTTTACAACTTTTGGAGTTTCAGCCTGAAATTTTGTTTTCAGAGTGTTTTAAATGACTTCCGGTGATAACACAAAATCATTCTATCGTTTAATGATTTCCGGAAAAATAAATAAACTGGTTTTTAGGGGAAATAATAACAAAACGGAAAAACTCACCTCTTGTGCGTCTTCGACTTCCAATTTTCTTTTCAACCCGTTTTCTTTTGGTGTCGATTTTGGTGTTGTCGATACCTTCTTCTTTTTAACGATAGCCATCTGAAATTATAGATTTCAAACCTGATGCAAACAATAAAAAAAGCTTCCCAAATATTTGCGCTCATCTCGTAAAATTTGGCCGAACGGCTTTTTTGCAAACAAAGTTCGGCCATGTGTGCGCGCACATTAGAGCGCACATTCTGTTTTGAGAGATTTTTTTCACAAAATTTTGCAAAACAGCCTTGTTTTTTGTGTGAGTGAAAAACGTCCAATAATCGTTATTTAAAAAGTCAGGATTATAGATTTAGTCATTATTATATATAAAGTGTAGATTAAAATCAGAAATCTGCAGCTGAATACTCGAAAAAGGCCAAAAACAGAAAATTTAGTAATATCCAATAGGGTACATGGTTTTTGGCCGAGTTTTTTCACCTCAGTTTTTGCAATTTTTTTTCCTCGGCCAAATTTTACGAGATTAGCGCCGTTATTTCGTATTTCAATAGAGTAATTTCGTATTTCAATAGAGCGCACTTGCTTGTGCACAACAAACACGTCAGTGATCGAACAGATGACACAAATATTGTGAACTGGTGAAAAACCAGAAATTTCGTTATTCAAAATAAAACTGGAAAAAATTTTTATTCAAAATCTGGAATCTTGGTGAAAAGAACAAACATATATGAAAAAAGGCAAAAATATTTAGAAAAAAGATGGTCTCAAAACAATTCAATAATCAATAAAAAAAGAAAGCAGTTGCTCAGGCAAATCGTCCCAGGTGTTCCACTCAACTAACACTGATTAAACACCGTTCTAACACCAGCGCAACACCACTTAATTTTTCTTCCCAAAATTTTAACCCCACCAGTGGAGCACTTAATAAGCACCGGTTTTCCACTTAATCAACACCGGATGTCCACCTTTCATTTGGTGTTCCACCGGTGTTGAAAAAATGGAAGACGAGCGTTGAAAATGCTCTACAGAAAAAATAAAACGAATAATTTTCTCTCAAAAAATTTTCCAAACCCACCGGTGGAACACCTAAATCCCAACGGTTGACCACCTAAACGTCACCGGTGAAACACCAAAACTACACCGGCTTTCCACCGGTGGAAGAACGGTGTTGAGTGAGTGGAGATTTGGTGTTGCGCCGGTGGGATGATTTGCCTGAGTGCAATACAGCAAAAGAAACTATTCCACAATTACCGAAAAACTGCAGGAATAATCGGTGCCACCAAGACAGACGACGTCCTCGCATCTGGTGACGACAACCCCGGGCTCAGTTTTAGCAATAAATTGAGCTTCGAAATTGCGCCAAATCAGATCACCATCTAATTGCGCAAATGTATCAACGAAGAAAGTCATTTCTTTTATAACATCCTCGAACTTCGTTGGATGACAGTTTACGGTTGCATAAACGAATTTATGCATCCTACAATATATAATAAAGTTTTAAGAGAGATAAACGAATCAAAAATACATTAAGCCTTATTATTGTGGAAATAAAAAATGTGGCAGAGAGAAACAACGCCAGCTAGTTTTTTGGAAATTAATGAGTGCGTGTGCGCGCGGTCGCTACATTAAAAATGAATAAATGTCATTTATTTAGGAAAAAATTATCGTTTTTTTTGTGAAAAACAACATTTTCGAGAGAAAAATCGATATTGATTTTATTTCGACTGCACCGAGACCGTGCGCGCACACATACATTCATTAATTTTCGAAAAACTTACATGGGAATAGTTGACGCTGCTACATTTTTTTTAATTCCACAATAGCTTATTAAAAACATACATCTCTGCCTGTCTCCATAAATCGCACAATTGCCAGAAAATTCCTTCAGATATTTTTCCCAATTTGAAACATTGAGATATTGCAAACCGACAAAACTTTCTTAAAGACTTATGAGATCTCAAATCTATACCTGAAAAATAAAGATAAATACCTCCAATAAGTAAGCAATAAATAATACCTGGTCCAGATGTAAGGTATTTTGATTTAACTGAGAAAACTGCAGCATACCACAACTTTTCTGAGCATTGTACTAAATCTGCCGGGCTCTGATTGAAGTAGAATTTTGCGCGTTCGAGCAAAGTTGTTGCAGTATATTTGAGCATTGTTTCCTGGAAAACAAAATAATTTTTCCAAAGTTATTGACAACTTATAGTTTTATTTTTAGAAATCTTATTAGCATTCCACAACATGTCAGAGAGCAATCGGCGAGAGGGAGGGAGACGCAAATAAATTGATCAGAAAATCGAAAAATATGACAAAATTTCAACTCACGATCACTATGACGTCATAAGATGTATAAAAATAAAAATAAATGGGTCCCATTGAGAAAATGCACGAAAAAATATGTGTTTTATCTTTTTAGGTGGACCATTAAAAAAGTGAGAAATTCTTACTTTTTCCAAGCTGGTACCATTGAGGGAATTTGTCATACAAGTGGCCCCCTACAGGTGGCTCCGTTTTTGGAAATGGCCCCATTCAGAGATAGCCAAAAAACATACCTGAGGAATCCACTCAGATTTGTCTTCGACAACAAAAGTAGGTGGAAATAGATTTTTGATTCGTGCAAAGCTTTCCTCGTCATCACAAATTAATCGTTCTCCATTTAAATAAAATATTCGTGACATCCAAAAACCAACGTAATCTTTTTCCAAGAATATTTTTTCTGAAAACAATACAAACGGAGTATTTGGTTAGAAGAGACTAGAGAATAAACAATTTTGAAAGAGAAAATTCAATCGAAGATAAATGAAACAGGAAAAATACTTTGTAAAAGCAGATGAAACGTTAGTCTTAACTATTCAAATACCTGAGAATTTCCCATACTTCACTTTACGGGCGGAGAATACTAGTGCAAAAAATAAAAAAAAAGTTCCCCAAATTATTTCGTATTTCAATAGAGCGTACTTGCTTGTACACTACAAACACGTCAACGAACGAACAGATGACACAAATATTGTAAACTGGTGAAAAAACCAGAACATTAATGATTCAAAATAAAACTGGAATAAAACGTATATTCAAAATCTGGCAATTTGGCAAAATGAAAAATAAAACATGAAATGATAAAAAAATAAAAACAAGAAAATAGAAAAATCCATTGGGTGCAATAAAAATAGCAAAGAAATAAAATTTGTAATTATGTACAATGACTAGATATTTGGTGGATCGAACTTGAGCGAAGTTTCAATAATCTGAAAAGTAAAACATTCATTATTAATTTCTCAATCAAAACATTTTTCTTACCTTTTGTTCGCTCCCGTGCATGATCTCATCCGAATCAATATTGTTTTGTACATGAGTTGTTTTTGACTGAAAATATAAGTGAAGTTTGGAAAATCGGGATAAAATAGAATTAAAATAGCACAACTTACTACATCATCACCAAAGTCCATTGGTGCATTTGTAGTGATTGGAGAAGGTACATAATTTGTCAAATAAGATGACAAAGCAGAATGTGATTGATCAACAACTTCTACTTCATTTTGAGGAACCATATATTGGTTGGATTGTGCTGTTCCAAATGAAGAATACATCAATTCACCGGGAGTTGGAATAAAAAAAGGTCGTGGAGTTGGTGAATCACATGAATATCCATACATGTATTGTGAGTAACCAAGTGGTTGAGTTGGTGGAACAGGAATTGGTGCCAAAGCTGGAAGTCCACGTTGTTGTTCTAATTCATTTTTCGACCAAGCACAAGATGCAAATGATGGCATATCGTGAACAGTTCTGAAATAAGAAACGTTTTGGTATATGGAAAATTATATATTGTTACAATGGAATTGGCATTTTCTTCAGATTTATCAAAACGTGGATGACAGCTTCTTGAATATCGACTATTTGTTGTGCTTTCAATTCTTTGTTGATATACAGAAGTGTTCTATAAAAAGACCATACATTTATAGCTATGTTTTGAAAACTGAATGTATAACTTACCCATTTCCAACCGGTTCTTCCTCTTGAAAGAAGGTATTCCAACAATGAAATTCATAAGATAAAAGTAAATAGGGAACAGAAACAAAAACAATTATAACAATCATGTAAAATTTACCAACAAAAAAACAATTATTGTTGTTTGGCTAACATCTTCTTTCGTTTATTCTTCACCGCTTTTGCTCCAGTTCTTGCAGCTGCTCTTTTTGGTACACGAGCCTTGAACTCCTTGACTTTGCGTGCTTTTTTGATGTTACCAACCTGCAGAAAATACATCATTCGAGATATTTAAAACAAGAGGAAAATATAACTAACAGTGTTAAATCCATCATCTTCTTTCAACGAATCTTGTTTAGCTTGAACCTTCTTCTGATTTCTTCGCTTTTTGTTTGCTCGAGCACCCGATCCAACATTTTTGAATGGAGCTGTTCCATCATCATCCTCTGAATCCGAATCTTCTTTCGATTTTTTTCCAGCCTTTTTCGCTGGTTTTTTCTTGTCATCGGAGGAGTCTTCTTCAGCTTGTGATTTCTTCTTATTTTCTTGCTTCTCGCGTTCTTTCTGTAATTTTATGCGTGACCGTGGAATGTGAGAAAAAAAATATTTCGGCTTTTTGATTTCATTTCCAAAAATTTTTTCCAGCGTAAAAACATACCTCAAGAACTTCTTGTTTGCTCATCTTTGCATTACTCAATTTCTTGATTTTGGCAACAAAGAAACCATCAATATTGTGAACATGAGGATAATATCTTTTCGTCATCGACAAACTTGAATGGAATCGATAATCACGGAAACGAGTATAACCATCGACACCAATTGTCAAACCAGTTGGAACCAACTCACAATGTCTTCGTTCAAGAAGGAAATTGACAACTGCCTCATTTTCTTCGACAAGAACACTACATGTTGAATAAACCAAATATCCACCATTTGGTGAATTTGCATCCAAAGCATCCATAGCCGAAAGAATCAATTGTCTTTGCATTGTATGTCTTCTTTGAACATCTTGACTATCTTTACTTGTTTTGACAGATTGATCTTTCCAGATAACTCCAGTACCGGAACATGGAGCATCAAGAAGAATTCGATCGAAACCATTTGGACGGATTTTTCCGAATTCTTCTCCTCCCAAATTACAGACAACCGTATTGTTAACACCAAGACGATGAAGATTACCGATGATAGCGCGGCAACGATCAAACTAAAAAAATCGTCAAAAAATAGTTATCACAATGCAAAGTAAACTTACATTAGCATCATTAGCGAATAAAACTCCACTATTTTTCATTAACGAAGCAATATGCGAAGTTTTTCCTCCTGGAGCTGAACACATATCCAAAACACGATCTCCTGGTTGTGGCGCTAAAGCCATTACAGGCAACAATGAATTGAGACCTTGAATCATATAATGACCAGCAAGATATTCAGGAGTTGCTCCGACTGGGACTTGTGAATCATAAACAACAAGTCCAACTTTTGTCCATTCAGCAGCTGGATCAACATTCATTCCACGATTGATGAGATTTTTAGCCAAATCACGTCTGAAAAAATTTTCTTTCCGATAAATTCTAAACAAGATAATATTCGATATTCACCTTTTCACCTTCAATGAATTTGCTCGAATAGTAACCGGTCTTGGATTGTCGTTTGCTTCCAAAAATTGAAGTAACTCGGCACCATTTGGGAAGAGATCCATGAATTTAGCCATCAAAAATTCATTGTAACCAAATTGTGAACATAAATCCTTTTGTAAAACTTCGACATATTGCAATCGACTTTTGTTTGGATCTCTTCTTGCTTTGAAATCTCCCAAAACTTGAATGACATCTGCAATTCTTTGACGAACAATTTCCAAATTTGGAGCTGATTTCATTTCGGCTTCAATATCTTCAACTGTTGGCAATTCAAACTTTTCTTGGTTTGCAATATTCAATTGAAGCTCTTCTTCACCTTCCTTGAGCATTTTCTCTTTTTTCTTATCGAGAGCCGCTGATTTCTTTTCAATTGGCAAATTATCCTCATCTTCGTCGTCATCTGAATAATCATCACGAAGATCATCATCATCGTCATCATCTCCTTGAATATCAAGATTTCCAATGTTGAATTCTTCCTCATCGTCATCTTCATCTATCAATTGAGCTTTTTGTTTAGGTGCCTTTTCTTCCTCTTCAAACAACTTCACTTTTTTCACCACCTTCTTCTTTTTCTTTTTTGGTCCATTTTCAGATGACGGTGTTGCTACAACTTCTACCACAGGAGTTGCAACAGTCCCATTTTGCTTTTTGAGAGGTTTCTTTTTTGGAGTTTTCTTTGCAACTTTTGGAGTTTCCGCCTGCAATTTTATTTTCAAAGTGCTTCAAATAACTTCCGGCGATAAAACAAAATCATTTTATCGCATAATGATTTCCGGAAAGAATAAATAAACCGGTTTTTAGGGGAACTAATAAGAAAACTGAAAAACTCACCTCTTGTGCGTCTTCGACTTCCAATTTTCTTTTCAACCCGTTTTCTTTGGGTGTCGATTTTGGCGTTGTCGATACCTTCTTCTTTTTAACGATAGCCATCTGAAATTATAGATTTCAAACCTGATGCAAAACAATAAAAAAAGCTCCCCAAATTATTTCGTATTTCAATAGAGCGCACTTGCTTGTGCACTACGAACACGTCAGTGAACGAACAAATGACACAAATATTGTAAACTGGTGAAAAAACCAGAAAATTCATTATTCAAAAAGAAACTGGAATAAAACGTATATTCAAAATCTGGCAATTTGGCAAAATGAAAAATAAAACATGAAATGATAAAAAAATAAAAACAAGAAAATGGAAAAATCCATTGGGTGCAATAAAAATAACAAAGAAATACAATTTGTAATTATGTACAATGACTAGATATTTGGTGGATCGAACTTGAGCGAAGTTTCAATAATCTGCAAAAACTTTAATTACTAATTTCTCAATCAAAAATTTGGCTCACCTTCTGTTCGCCAGCGTTCATGATCTCAGCCGGATCAATATTGTTTTGTACATGAGTTGTTTTTGACTGAAAATAAAAGTGAAGTTTGGAAGAGTGAGAAATAACACAACTTACTACATCATCACCAAAGTCCATTGGTGCATTTCTAGTGATTGGAGAAGGTACATAACTTGTCAGAAACGATGACAAAGAAGAATGTGTTTGATCAACAACTTCTACTTCATTTTGAGGAACCATATATTGGTTCGATTGTGTTGTTCCAAATGAAGAATACATTAAATCACCGGGTCTGGTTGGAACAAAATAAGCTTGCCCAGTTGGTGAAGCACATTGATATCCATACATATATTGTGAGTAACCAAGTGGTGGAGTTGGTGGAACAGGAATTGGTGCCAAAACTGGAAGTCCACGTTGTTGTTGTAAGTTACCGTGAAGTGAACCGTCTGATAAAGGTTTCTTATCATCATCTCTTGTAGCTTCGATTAAAATATTTGAGGGATCCATTGTATTTTGAAGATAATCATTCGGAAGAGCATTACTGCAAAAAAATACTTGGTCAAATTAATTATTATTTCATCGTTTCAAATATTTACCTTGAATCGGTTTCATCCTCTTCTGAATTGATCCATTTCATTTTTTTTGTTGATTCATTTTTACTTTTTCGAATCGATCCTCGTTTTTGACCATTTGTTCTCTCTAACAATTGTTGAACTGTGAATTGAGAACCTTCAATGCCTTGTGTATTCATAGGTTGGTAATTAACATTGGTGTCTTCGACCATATCGAATTCTTTTTTAACCGATTTCCAAGCTCTCATCCGTTTTTCGTTGAACCTCTTATCAAATTTTCTAGCCTCTTGTTCACTCTTTCTTCTTTCGTACATTGCCTCATTTTCAGCTTGTTTTTCCGGACTGTTTGCAATCAAACAATTTGGAACAAAATGTGGATCTGGATCACGGTAAATGATAGTTTTATCGTCTCTCTCAGTGAATCCTTTTGGTAATGGCGGTTGTGGAGCAGCAGCCATTATTGAACTGAATTCTTCAAACCCTTCATCTGAGCGAAGACCCTGTTCTAATTCATTTTTCGACCAAGGACAAGATGCAAACGATGGCATATCGTGAACAGTTCTGAAATACGAAACGTTTTGGTATATGGAAACTTCTATATTCTTACAATGGAATTGGCATTTTCTTCAGATTTATCAAAACGTGGATGACAGCTTCTTGAATATCGACTATTTGTTGTGCATTCAATTCTTTGTTGATATACAGAAGTGTTCTATAAAAAAGCATACATTTTTCAATTAACAAAATGAACAACCAACCCATGTCCAACTGGTTCTTCATGTCTTCTTGGCCGCAAAGATCGATTAGCCGTGAGTTCTCTGCACATTTTGTTGGAGAATTCGCTGAATAATTGTGATCTCTTTTGATTAGCAACTTTCATTCGATTCGTCAAAGTCATCGCATTCGCATCTCTGACTCTTGTCGGAATCGCAACTTTTTCAGTTCTAATACGAAGAGGACGATTGATTCTTGGATTCATTCCACTCAAATCTGTTGGAGATTGAGGTGGTGATGAAGCATCAAAATAATCGAGATTATCAAAATAGTTGCTGAAAACTTTGCGAACCGAGCGAAACGTTTGACATCCCTTGCGAATACATCTGAAATATTCTTGATTTCTACAAGCCAATATACCAGAAAACTCACCTATATGCTGGATACTCTTTCATCTCACCACGATATCTCGTTTTTCTGATGCATAAATACATGTTATCATTACATAAATGACATTCAGATGTGTATGGAACTTTGTATCTCTTTCCGCTCAATTCAATTTCAACATCCTCATCAGCATGATTTTCCGGATCCATTTCAATTGATTCATTGTCTTCTTCTTCTTCCTCGTAATAAACTTGATAGTCATCTTGAGTTTCACATAAACCGCCGTCGTAAACAACATCATTGTCATCATTCACGTCGTTGTTATGATCTTCTATAATAATTATCATACGGTTTTATTCAACTAAATAGTTTTACTTACCAACATCCAAACTTTCAGAAGACACAACTTCTACATTATTATTAGCCGACTGCAAATACGTTTTTTTAAACTCATTTAAATAAAACTTAACAAACCAATTCAGACTCCAAATTCTCTACTGTTGTATGTACAACCACTTCTTCTAGATTGTTTGGCTCACTAGCCATCTGAAACAACAAAAATTTGTACTTTTGGCTATCAAAATAGGAACCGAACTTGAAAACTCGACAAAACTGTTTCCCAAATCGTTTCGAAAAAAGTTGGGGAAACTGTCCGGTGCGAGACCCACTGAAACACGATGTGTACCTTTAACCTACTGTGAAAAAATTTTGTGTAGATTTTATTTATTTTTTTTCGGAAAAAATAATTTTTTTGAAATGAAAGTAAAATGGCATGACATGCCACGTAATTTTATCCTTTTAATTTTCACGTTAATTCCAAATTTTAAGATTCATTTCTATTATCTTTCTTATATATTAAACGGTAATCTGTCTGCCCCGTTTGACCAATTTTTTTGCCCTAGATTTAAATTTAAATAATTTGACGTGAATCATTTTGCTCATTTCTTATTTTCAAAAACGTTCGGATTGCCGCCTTCATTTTTTGAAATGTATCGTGAGTTTACTCAAAGATGGTGTGACTATTGGAAAGCTCTGAAGGTAATAGACCTAAGAATAAGATTGTAGTGAGATGATTAATCATCGATTGTTTTGGTTTCAGATTTGGGATAAAATTTAAAATCTATATAATATCTAGTTTTTTGTGATAATTATACTCAAACTATGTTAATTACAAGATATAGAATGCATTTGATAAACAAATTTCAAATCACAAAAAAACTAGACATTATATAGATTTTAAATTTTATCCCAAAACTGAAATCAAAAATAATCATCTCACTACAATCTTAGGTCTATTTCCTTCAGAGCTTTCCAATATTCACACCTACTCACAAACACGATTATTTGTTATTTTTCAACTAAAACATCGCGAAGTTATTTTATTTGGTTAAATTAAAAAAATTCCTAACCTAGTCCCGCAAGTTTTTAAATCACTGTAGATCACGCGCGATTTCTTTTTTATCTTTTTGTCTCTTCTCTCTCGTATGGACGCCCATATTTTGAAATAGCGTTTTGAATCATTAGAAAAAACAACTAAACGTTTTTTTTAATTGAAAATATTTTTTCAGATTAGTCGTGGATGCAAATATGCGAGATGTTTTTTGTTGGAAAGAATGAAGCAATACATCAATTTTGAGCGATGCTATGAACGAGGAATGGTCGAAATTTCAAAGGTTAGTTATTTTTTTGGGTTCGATTGAGTAGTGAAGTTTTAGTCGGAGGGAGTTCTGTAGATTTCGAAAATTTTTTAAAGGTGGAGTCCGAGAAAAAAATAAGTTGTGCTAATTTGAAAGAGCATGTTGCAATTAGTACAATCCTCGAAGGATTTTTTATGAAAGCTTCTCTAACATTAGAGAAACACAGCTCCAAACGGTTGGAGATATAGGACTTTCAAGCCATTTTACACGGTGTTTCACTGTTTTTTCGAACTTTGTAATTTTTTAACCAATGTTAGAGAAGCTTCCAGAAAAAATCCTTCGAGGATTGTACTAATTAGAACATGCTCTTTCAAATGAGCACAACTCAATTTTTGCTCGGACTCCACCTTTAAAACTGATTTGCATTTGAATCGAGGATGCTTTTGAAAGAAAGTTTTAGAATCTTTTAAAAACTTTGAGGTCGGGAGAAATAATATTTCTTTTTTTTTGAAATATGAATTAGGCATGTTTTGTTTCTAAAGGTTGTTAGAACTTTGAGACAAGAAGAGGCATATATTGGGTTTTATGTGGATTTGGACAAATATCTTGGTGAAAAAATGATTCAAAAATGAAAAAAAGGTATTTCATCAAAAAGTCGCTTGATGATTGTAACAAAAAAGCCGAAATTATGTTTTTTATTTTTATTTTTTTATCGTTTTTTGAAGTTTATTTTTGTTATGTGATTATTTGTGACTTGATTTTTTTCTCAAACAATGTATAATACAAATCGATTTGAATCTTGCACTGGATGACGTCATCACTTGCGATTACAGGAATACACCATGAAAAAATGCACGATTTATAAATATTCCTATAATTTCAAACAAAAACATTGCTCTTTGAACACCAACATGTTTTTTGATCATCTAATAATTGAACCTCCTAATTAATTCATCCGACAATGCTTCACCCTACCTTTACACAAAACCTTGTTACCGAACACTCATTTATATTCACCCTATAATTATTGTCGCCCACGTAAATTAATCAGTGGGCGTTTATTATTTTTCTGCTTTTCTTCATATAAATAATAGTTATTCTCTCATTTCACCATTCGCTTCGCTGTTACTAGAAAAATAGAAGATGTCGAGTGAAGATGATCGAGTTATAGAAGTTCCTGATAATGATCAATTTGTTCGAATTCTAGAAAAAAATGTGGATAAAGTTGTTATTCTGGATTTTTATGCAACTTGGTGTGGACCATGTAAAGCTATTGCGCCAATGTATAAGGTTAGTTAAAAATGTTTTGAAAAATCTAAATTAATTTTTATTCAGAAACTTTCAATCGAATATCCAAATATTGTATTCCTAAAAATTGACGTTGATGAATGCGAAGATATTTGCACAAAATACGATGTCAAATTAATGCCAACTTTTGTCTTTTTGAAAAATGGAGAGCAAATTGATCTTCTCGAAGGCGGTGTTGATATAGAACTTCAGGAAAAAGTTAAAAAACACGCATGAGTATGTTTGTTGTTTCTGCTTCGTGAAATATTTATATTTAAGCGAATAAAATAATTTTCGAAAGAATAAAACAATTATAAAATATTCGAGGAAAATCAACAACAAAATAAATCAGATCAGCCTCGTCGACTGTGTTTGAGAAGTCCGAGCTCTTTGATCGCCTTGTATTGATCAGGAATTTCCATCAAAGCGTTCAGCGCAAATGACGCATCCGCATTCGGCGCATTGAACATCACCTAAAAATAATTGTTGAAAAATTTAATTTTAAAAATTTTCTAAACAATTCCAACCTTATGGAAATCAACAAAATGGAAATTATCGAATAATCGTTTTGGAATATTATCATCAAATCGTCCCATCATATTCCATGGTCCATCACCAACACCAACCCTGAAAATGTGTTCTTCATTTTTTTTTAAATGAAAAATCACTCACATAATAATACTTAATGGATAATGTGATGCTGCTGCAATAGCTTTCTGGTTAATTTTCTCGTTTGTCACTTGACCATCAGCAACAATAACCAAGATATGATACGAATGTTTTTCTTTGCAAATTTCGATGGCTCGATCTAAAAGAAACCATGCTTTCTACAGTATACCTTCAATAAAATCTCACCAATAAGTGGCACAAAATTGGTTGGTCCACTCATTTCGATTGTTGGTGTAACTTCATTATAAACTCGCAAAACTTCTTCGAATCCATTACAATCTTTATCTAAATCATATCTTTCAGCAATATTGAAAATTCCTTGATCTGTGAATTCTTCATCACCAAAACCATATGCTGGAATTTGACCATCGGCATCGAATGAGGAGAGAGTTTTTCCAACAATTTGAATGACCTGCAATTTTTTATATTGAAAAAAATACTGACCACGTGAACTTAGATTTTTTTTTTTTTTGAAAACTTTAAAACCTGACATGTTTTGATAGCCCACCATAAAGCTTTACAAGTACTCTCATTTAAAAATGCTCAAAACAAAAAGAACGTGCCCTGAATAACGTGCTCTAAATGACGTGTTAGAGAATGCCACGAGATATTTTGTTTAAGTTTCTCAATTATTTTTCTAATCGAGAAAGAAAATGCAGCATTTAAATGGTGGTTTTCTGTTCTATGGAGTTGCTGAAGAAAACTGAATAAAGCGAATAAAGCGGTGAGCAAGGTGTGGGTTTATCAATGGGCACTTAGGCGGTAGAAGAAGATGAGGTTCTGGTCTTACCTGTGGGTGGGGATCGGGTACGAAAGTGGGGGGAGGGGGGGGTGATCTATATTGGAGGCTGCTAGGGTTGCAAATATTGTCACTCCAAGGAGCATCAGAAGCGTTTAAGGGGACTTTCAAGCTTTCAAATACACGCTTGCCATCTAATATGAATACATAACTCTCCGAACGCGTTTTTTTTTTGAAAACTTCTGACTAACCTGCTGATATGGATTCATTTCATTTGGATCAATTGTATGCAATGGTCTTTTGTCAAATGTTCTTTCTCCTTGATAAAAATTCGATTTTGTATAATCAATTCCGAAAATCAGATTTGAGTATTCCAAACCAGCCTAAAATTGAAAAAAAATCATCTATATTTTGGAAAAATTAGAAAAGTGAGTAGTAGTTTCCCGAAGATTAAATATATCATGCGTAAACTTACACTTTCTCCATAATTGCCGATATAAGTCTAAAAAGTTGGTTAGATAAAACAAAACGGTTAAACTGAATTAAATATTGAAAACTAAAAAAAAAACTGTTATCACACCACCACCAAAGTATTATTATTGTGTATTATGTATACAGTAATTAAAAAATACTGAAAATGCTTACATGTTTGATTGCATTGACAATATCTTCCAAGGTTTTGAAGTGTGGAATATTGTGTGGACTTCCAATTGCCAATGCTTGTAAAAGAGAATTGCGGCGAACAGGTTTGCTGAAAATATAATTTGTATTTAAAAATTGGTATCTAGAAAAAGCTTACAATGCTGGTGCAGCATTTTGTCGAAGATCTCTTCCACGACGTTCGCGTTCTTTTTTCAATGGTTTCTTGATAATTGATGGTTTTTGGAAAGCAGGCTCAACCTTAATCATTTTTACTCATTTTAAATTTGTCTACTTTTTCTGAAAATACCTCGATGGATGTGTCGAGACCCAATCTGTGATCGATTGATTCCATTGTTTTTTCTTGAACTTCGGCGGCAAAACTGACACTAAAAAATCAAAAATTTTACATGAAGTTTTTCTATATATCATACCGTTTTTCTTCTTTTCGTCTCTCATCAACTTTTTCTCTCATCTTAACTTCACTTGATTCCATAACTTCAATACCAGTTGTCAATCGATTTTCAATATTTTCATCCACTCGAATGATTGTCTCAGATGCCGACTCTGTATACATAACAAAAGGTTCATCTTCATGCCTACGAGCAAGGTTGTGCACACATCCCTCTACCATAACCTCAACCACACGTCTTTCCAAATTCAATTCTGATGTCTCAATGTATTCCTCGCCAATTGCGCGGAATCCAAATGAGCCAGCCATGAAATGATGATCTTCAGAAATGAACATGGTTCGGAATTCGGTTGGTTGTTTTGAGTAATCATATTTTAGATTGAAAACGGTTTCCTCGGAGCGTGTTGATTTCATGCCAACACCTTCTCCAGAGTTTGCCGATGCATGCATACCCATAGCTCTTAAATCATTATAAGTTACACCAAAGTGAAGATCTGCATCTAAAGTGATTGATTCTTCATTTGCAGCACGGAAACCAAATGCGCCTTGTATTAATAATCGATCTTCAGTTATATAAACCATATTAAATTCAGTTGGTTGTTTCGAATAATCATATCCCAAATTGAATACAGTTTCTTCAGATGCTCCTGAATGCATTCCAATTCCTTCTCCTTGTCTTGCTTCATTATTTGTGCTAATTGTATTTTTGAAAATAACTCCGAAATGAAGATCAGCATCCAAAGTGATATTCTCCTCTTTTGCTGAATTAACTGACAAACTTGTTGATGGTCCTTGTTCACAAATTTGCTTACTGTAGTCACAAGTTTCATCGCTGTCTCGTTTTCTGAATGTTGTTTTATTCCAAACCGCAAATTCTTCAGCAGCTGTTGAATGAAAATTGATTGCTTCGAAATCGGATAGTGGATAATTCTTCTCATAAATCTCATCTTTCTGCTTTCCTTGAAGATATGCGTTTACTGCATCTGGAGCTGATTCCATTGGAGCAAAACAATTGAAAACAACTGATCCACCATTTCTTGGAATACTTTTTGATAATTCAGTTTCTTCATTTCTATCAGGTTTTCGAAGTGTATAATGTATTCCAACTAACATATCAGATGCTTCAGTTGATCGGAAAACAATTGGTTCTTGAGTTACTTTATCAACAAAACGAATCTCGGTATTTTCAGATTTCAATTTTTTGCTATCAATTGGTTCATTGAATGCAACACTTTCTTCTTTAGACGCATTGAGTGATAGATTTGTTTTCTCTGAATTTCCAATTTTTCTAGAGAATTCAATAATTTCTGATCCATATGATTTTTGTAATTGTTCGATAACATCGATGAATTTTTCATCAGCGAAACTCATAGTTTTTTGAGTTTGTCCACCGTATGCTGCAATTTGAAGAATCTTTTCGATGTCTTTATGTTGTTCCTCTTTTCGTAATTGAACATTATTCGTTTCATTTTCATCTTTAGTTTCTTTAATTCGAATATCAACTGCAATTCCTTTATTCGCTGTTTGTCTTTTCACATTCACACTTTCATTTTGACCAGATTTTGAAAGTGAAGTTGACAGTCCAGAAGCAGCTTCAGATGATGCACTCGCAAATAATTCCACAGGCAAACCTTCATTTCGAATAATAAATGTTTTCTGAGTTTCTAATTGTTTTTCAGATTTCTTTTCCAAATTAGTCATAACATCAACACTTGATTCTTTTGCTGCATATAACTTCAAAGCAAATGAACCACCATATCTGATATCTTTTCGAATTTCTGAAATTGTCTCATTCGATTGTTCGCGCTGATATGATACATTGTTTGTTTCCTGCACCGAGCTGCTTTCGCGCAAAACTAATTCAACATTTTGTCCGCGATTCGATGCAACTCGACTAATTTCTTTGAATTCCTTGTTTGGTTTTCTTGATAAATTAACATCAAGTGATGTTGAAGCAATCTTTGAACAATCACAACGAAGAATTGGAACTGTTTCTCTATTCGAATCAATTATAATAACAACAGCATCAAGATAATTGTCTTTGTTTGATTTCAAATTATGATCTACCGAAATATCAGTTGACTTTGAAGCCTTGAGATTAATATGAACTGGTTCAGCTGTAATCGCAAATTTACGAATAACATCTTTCTCAATTTTTTCATCTTTTCTCCATAATTGAGTTGCAATATTTTCATTTCTTGTCGAAGTTTCTCTAAATCGGAAATATGAATGTTCTCCAATATTTGAACCTTTTTTCATAATTTCAACATTTTCAACTTGTTGTTTCTTATTTATCTCCACATTAATTTGATGTTCAACATTTCCACAAGCATTTGTTTTCAATGAATTTGACATTCCAACATTTCCAATAATATATGATTTTTGTGTATCGGCAGCTGCCAATCTGATTTTCTCAATATGTTGAACAGCTTCCAATTGTCTATCGGTTGCATATTTTGTCGATAATACTTGATTTCCACCTTTTCTTGCTTCATTCATAATTCGAGTGATCTTATTTTCTTCTTGTTCTCGAGAATATACACAGTTTGTTGTATGATATTCTTCACCAGCTTCACGAACTCTGAATTCTTCTGATTCTCGATTCGAATCAATGATAGTTTTTGAACTCGAATATTGAGAATTTGGTTTATTGTAGTTTTCATTCAATGTGGTTTCAATTAAAGAAGAAGCTCGAGTTGTCAAATTTTGTGGAATTATCGATTGATAAGTTTTAAAGGTTTTCTCAATTTGAAGATTTGATGGTCTTGGACAAATAATTGATTCAGATATAGATGTTGATCTTTGAGTAGATGCCTTTGTAGATAAATCGAATTTTCCACCATTTCTGATGTCTTGGATGATTTTTGAAGAAACATCAAATTCATCATATTTTCTGAATTGTTCACTGATTGTTTCTCTCAGTTCAGTTGCCTCAATCATTTTTTTCTCAATATTAATACCTTTGTTCGAATTTTTCAGAACCTTTTTGATAACTTCTCGTTCGCCAAGTCGACTCATTTCTTGATTTATTGTTGCTTGAATATTTGATGTTTCAATTGTTGTAATTGTTGCTGGTCCAATAATATTTCCAATAATAAACAATTTCTCAATTTGATCATTTTTGATTCCACGACTTGTGATATTTTCATTGATTGTAACTGAAACATCTCCAACTGCCTTGATATTTTTAGAATATGATCCTCCATTTCTAGCGATCCACCAAGTTTCATCTAAATCATAATAATCGTTTGGTTTTCGATAAATCGGATGCACATTTTCAACACACTCTCCACACTCAATCGCTCGCCAACTAACAGGCATTTCGACATTTGCACAAACAATATCAATAAAAGTGCATAACTGTTGAGAAGTTTGATAAAGATGTTCGCTAATAGATAAAGATTGACTAGAAGTGGCATAAGTATTCAAAGTTTGGTGAGGTGCAATATTTGAAAGAATAACACGGTGCATTGTTTCTAAATGTGAAATAAGAGGCTTAAATAGATCACGTTCAACAAATAATTCAATCAATTCACTCGCATCTGTTGATAATTTATATTTTCCGCCATCTCTCTTCAATTTCAATGTTTTTTCAATTTTCTCTTTCTCATTTTCAATATCAAATGAATTATAAATTGTGATTTTTTCTTCATTTGACTCTTTGAACTTGAATTTCAAATTGGCTCCAATATTCTTATCCTTCACAATTATTTCTGAACGATTTTCTTGATTTGTTCTATTGAAAATTGTGACAAATGAGATCTTATTTTCAACAGTTTCCAAAGTTCGAAGATTTGCTCCATCAATTCGATTGCAACTTATCAATGTTTTCGGAATACTTTCCAAGAATTCAGGAATTCTTGTGAATTCTGGAGATCGATTGATTTCAATATATTCCACAGCATTGCAGTTCAATACATTTGGCTTGATGATATTTGGAATATAAAATAATTTATCTTTTGATTCAAAGTCATCTTTCTTATTCAGGTTGTAGAACATTGTTGTTTGGAATTCAGAACATTCCAGAAGTCGATATGTGAAAGGAGGTGCATTGTTCGAACATTTTCTGATTGTTGAATCACCCAATTTTTGTTCCGGAATATTATAATTGAAATTCGAGCTCACAATTTCAGTTGTTGTTTCAAAAACTCGTAGATCAATTTTGGCAAGAATTTTTTGAACAACTTTTTCTCGAATTTTTTCAATTTGCGCAGATTTGGAAATCATTGAAGTGACATTTCTTGTAATATCACTCGCTGCTTTTGTATTCAATTCATATTTTCCACCACGATTCTTCTCTTTCAATTTTATATTCGAAGTTTGAGAATCATTTGGAATTTCATAAGCAATTCCAACTCCAATAAATTGTTCCGTTGTTTCTTTGACTTTGAATACCATTTTATCAATATTTCCAATAGTTATCAACTTTTCTGATTTTTCAATTTGTTCGGGAATAATCCATTCTTTGTTGATATTTTCAATTTCTTCAGTGCTTGCTTTTGTTTTCAATTCTTCTTTTGTTTCTCGCTTGATTTTCAGAACAATATTCTTATCTCCGAAATGTATCTGTCTACAATTAATTTGTCCATAAAACAAGCATTCATCAAATTCATATTCTTCAATATCAAAAGTGACTTTTGGTGCGAATCTTGGAATTTTCCATTCAATCTCCGATGACAAATTCAATATTCCCGATCTTCCAATCAAATCAATCGCCAATTTTATTTTTTCATTTCCACATTCTTCCAATTTCTTTCGAATATTTTCTCCTCGATTTTTGCAAACAATGAGTTTTTGGATAGTTTCTTGAATCGATTGCCTTGATAATGAATTTGTTGTCCAAATACAATCAGATTGCACATCTCCCGCATGAATATATAATGGTTTTGCTGAAATTCGAACAACTTCATCAAGAATTGTTTCATTTGCTAGAGATGGTTTTGTGAGACTGTATCGATGTAAATTGATAACAGCATTGAATCGAACATTTCTACTCTCTCGAACACTCCAAACACCTGATTGCCTATTTTTGTCAATCACAATTTTCTTAATGATTTGATTTGTGGATCTCAACTTAGATTCTAGAGCAATATTCAACAAGGTATTTGCGATGGCAAATGTTTTGGATAAATATTCAATTGGTGATTTTGGTTTGTGAGAATAAACAACATACAATGTTTCTTGTGGCATTTCAATAAAATGATTAATTCTTTCGACTTGTTCAGTTGATTCAATTGTTTGAAGAGATGATCGAATTTTTAGAATATTTGGAAGATTTGTGTAAGCATCAAGATCTCTTTCAACACCTTCCCAATGCGAAAGTATTTCAATTCCATCACTTCCAATTTCTTTAATATTTTCAACTGATCTTTCAACAATAATATCTTTTCTTCTAGCTGCAACACTTTCATTTCTTGCAATTTCTTTTGCATAATCAACCATTGTTGTCGATGTTTTTTCAGTTGCATGCAAAGTTGCCAAACTTGTTGAATCACTTCTTGCCAATTTCGAACTTATTTCAGTTGAACTGACAGCTTGTGGAATTGTCAATGTTACATTTGCTTCACTTGTTGTATCTCCTGCACTTGCTGTTGTGAAAATTTGTTGGAATGATGTTTTCAATGTGATTGTATGAGTTGAAGATTCTCGAACTTTTGGCAATGATCTACGAACCAAATATATTCCACCTCCAGCTTCAACATTTCCATATTCTCGAAGAATTCCACTAACAAGTTGTTCGTGATGAACTTCATCGACCAATCTTTCAATTTCTTCCAATTGAAGATTTTTATTGTTGACACTCAATTCGTTTTTAATTTCCGATGTTGAAAAATCACGCGATTCTGACATCACAGATTTAAGCGAGAAGGACTTTTGAACTTGCGATTGTTGGAAATCATTCGAAACTTGTGATTCTTTTGAAAGTGTGATATTTGATGCAGCTTTTGTAGAAAATACCATACTATCTTGAATACTTTGAGCAATTGTAACAGATTCTTCTAAATCATTCAAAAGTGAATCCCATTCAGCATTTGTTGATAACAAATTCCATTGATTTTCTTTGTATTTTTGATGAACTCTTTCTATTGATTTCTCTCGAATTCGAATACTTGCACAATCTTCTCGTTGATTTTTCGATTCAACACAATTTGTGATCGATGTATTTTCTTCGATTGTTGAGTGAATTTGGGTTTTTGTCATTTCGTCATTCGATGTTTTCCATTTTTTGACAACTTCAAATTTCTCTTCTGATTTCGCACATTTTGATTCTATATCCAAAATATTATAGCAAACAGCTTTGCAGAATAATTTTTCAAACCAAATTCTAGCAATTGCCAATCTTTTTTCAGTTTCTTCAACTTCGAATTTCTTCTGAACAATTTTTCCAAAAAGTGTGCAAACTTCAACATTTTCATTTCCGTATTCACGAAGTTTTGATGACTTTACTTCATTTTTCAGTGACATTGCTGCAACATATTCCGATTCTTCTCGACTATCCTCTTTTGTCAAAATCTTTTCCGATTTTGTCATTTGAATCTCAAACTTTCTTTCTTCTGATTCTCTTGATACAATATTTTGTTTCAAAGATGTCATTCGATTGATTTCTCCTCTATCAATACTAATTTCTCGATTTGTTCGATTTTCTTCAGTTGCTCGAAGAACTGCACAAGCTGATTCACTTCTAACCAATGGAATTGTAGTTTTCTGTTCAAGATCAACAATATCAGTTTGATATTCTGAAGCACTGTTTTCGTATTGAATTTGATTGAGATTTTTCGATTCTTTTTCCAAAATAGCATCTTTCTTTATTATAGAGTTCTCCAGATGATCCAATGTTTGACGATGTTCGATAATATTTTGTTTTATTTCACTATCTTTGTATTCTCTTTGAATAGTTTCTGTGAATTTTTCTTGAACAAATCTCGAACTTTGATCACATTCTGGTAATTTTCTAATATCCGTATCCATCGATGTTTCGGAATGAAGAATTGTATCTCGAAGATTTCTTGCTTCAGAAACACTATAATCAACTTCTTCACTTTGCTCTTTTTTTCCAATCAATTTTCCAACTCCAAATGTTGTCGATATTTCAGATTCTTCAAAATCGGATGCAATATAAGTGGCATCATCAGTCGATTCTTGAATAATATAATTTTCTGTAACTGTTTTATTTTCAGTCTTGTCACACACAACACTTTCAGAGATTTTACTAAATGATTGTGGATTCGGAGAGATGGAAAGAGTTTTCCGGGCACTTTGATCTTCTTCAGCTTTACTCAACTGATCTTTTCCAGAAATTTCTGAAATCTTGAAATTTGTTGAAGTTTTCTCTTGACGAACTAAATTGAATATTCTTTCCGATTCAAAATCTTGATCTTCTGGAGCATTTAAAAATCCAATTGCGCCAGATGAATTAGTTTGAACTTCTTTGAATGTTCGAGTTGTTTTTTCTGCAGTTTCTGGCAAACTTTCAATCCAAGTTTCAATTTGTTCCTTTTTCAAAATATTTTGTTCAGCAGAAACAATTTCAACACCAAATTCTCTTTCAATTTCTTCAATACTTTTTGCTTTGATCAATCTTGTTGTTGTTGTTTCATCTGAAATTTGATCTCTTTTTTGTTCAGTTGACAATTCGATATTCTGATTTCCAGATGCTTTAACATCAATTGTATTTTTCTCAGTCACAGTCACAGGTAAAATAAGATCTTTCTTTCTTGGTGGAACTGGTGGTTTTGTAGTCCATTCACCAACAAAACTTGTTTCAGATGTTTCTTGAATTTTTCCAGATTCTTGAATTTCTTTATTTTTAATTCTGTGAATACTTTCAACCGAATCTGAGCGATGAGGATTTGCAATTTTGGCTTCCATCAAAGTATTCGAAAGTTTTTGCGATAAACTTGCAGTTTCCAAAATTGATTCATTGAATATTTTTCTTGTTTCAGATGATGATCTTGTTCTTGTCAATGAATTAATTTGATCAATATTTTCTTGAGATATTGCTCTAATTTGACTTGTTGATCGATACATTCTTCTTTCTCTGAATATTTTTTCAACATCTTCTTCTTCTTCCAAAGGAGCTCGTAATTCTCCAAAACTTCCACTCATAAAACTATTTGAATCTTTCAAAAGTATAGAATTTTGATTAATTGTCATATCATTAAATACAATTTGTGTTTCTTTTGGAGCTGGTCTTCTGGCATAATCATATTTGATTGTTTCTTCAATATTTGTTACTGCCATTGTTGTCAAATCACAAATCGATAATGTTGCAATCAATGTCGAATAATTTGTTTGTTCATTTTGATCAATTCTACTGAATTCTTCATTTTCAGAACAAGTTGTGAAAACTAATGATTGAATATCCATAACAATTTGATCTTCTCTTGCTTTTCTTATATTTGCATCAGAAAACATTTCATATTCCGGTCGAATTAATCCAATATTATTTTCAACATCTTCTAAACCAAGCGAATTCAAATTTTTAATCATTTGAGATTTTTGAGCTTCGGGCATTGTGATCACAGTCCATTCCATTTTTCGAATAATCTCAAACATTTTATCAATTGATTCACAAGAAATTCCGAAACTATTTGATACGATACTTCGAAGTTCTTGTTTAACCATTTTATTAACTGTTAAACTTGATAAAACTTGGCTCATTCGATAAGTTTCGCTGATCAAATTATTAATATTTTCCATATTTGAAGTTCTGATCATTTCTGATAATTTTGTTTCGAGTTTCTTTATGAATAATTCCGAATGATCAGTTGATTTCATCAAAACTGTTTTTGTTGCCATTTCGGTATTATGTTCTTTTGAAATATTTGTGGTGATGGATTGATCAATTAAAAGTGATGCATAAGTTGACAAAGTGGATCGAATAGTTTCTAATTTTTCATTCAATCGAATTGCTGTTCTCTCATCAGAATTTGATGTATTCCAAAAACCTTCAACCACTTCATTTCGAAGAACTGTTGAGATTGCATCCTTGACATTTATGATTTCATTTTTCGATGCTTCCAGCGATTCATTTTGATGCTCATATCCAACACTAACAATTGTTGAATTTTCTGATGTTTCGATTGTTTTCAATGAAGTTGAAACCATGAGTTTGATCAAATTTGAGAATTCAGTTTTTTCTTGTGTCGAAATATTACTCGAGAAATGTGATGATGATTCAATAGTTTGAGATATAATTTTTTGAACATCCAACATACATTTTGCTCGATTATTTTCTTTCAAAGTTTCACTGATTTCTTCAGATTCTTGTTTTGGTGCTTGTAATTTTCCAAGAACACTGGAACATTTTGAAAAATTTGAAGCAATATTTGTAGATAATTCAGCATGTTCTTTGATTCCAAGTTCAATTTTTGACCAATCTGATTTTTCCAAAATTGAACAGAATTTATCAATTGAAGTATTTGAGATTTTGAAAACAGCTGTGGAAACTTCTTTCGGAATGATTTTCAATAATTTGGAATCTTCATCTTCTTGAATTTTGAAAATTTCTTGAGCTAAATAATCAATTGTAACATCACCAGCTGATTTTGTCAGAAGTTCAACTTTCAAAGCTGCCAAATGTTCTTTCAAATTAATACTGACAGATTCTTCAATATTCTCTGAATTCCAGAATCCTTGAACAATTTCTTCGACCAAATGTTGAACTTTTGTTGAAATTGAATCCGTTATAATTTCTTTGGATGTTTTCGATACTAACATTGTTTCGATTGGATTATTCAAACCAACACTAATAATACTCGACACATCAGAAGATTCGACACATTTCAATGAAGTTGAGATTATTAGCTTGACCAAATTTAAATATTCAGCTTTTTCTTGGTTTGAAACTTGATTTTTGAAATTAGACTCAATTGTTTCCGTAACCATTTGCTGAACTTTAAATAAACATTTAGCTCGATTATCCTCTCGAATAACTTCGGTAACATTTGCTGATTCATGTTTGGGCGGTCGGAGTTTTCCTAGAACACTCGAACATTTGGAGAATGTTGATGAAATATTCTCCAATACTTTTGCATGTTCTTTATCTCCAAGTTCAATTTTAGCCCAATCCGATTTTTCCATAATTGAACAGAATTTCTCAATCGAACTATTGGAAATTCGGAAAAATGCAGATGCAACTTCTTTCGGCATAATCTTGAAGAATTTGGTGATTTGATCTTGCTCAATTTTGAATATTTCATTCGCCAAATAATCGATATTAATTTCAGAAGAACATTTTACAGATAATTCAGCTTGAAGTGTTTTTAATTTGTCGATTAAATCAAAAGTAACTGTTTCATCAACACATTCAGAATTCCAAAATCCCTGAATAATATCTTCGAATGGTTGTTGAATTCTTGTTGAAGTTGAGAATATATTTTTTGAGTTTTTCAAGGCTGATGTTGATAAATAAGAACTTGGATTATTGTATCCAACACAAATAACAGTTGATTCATCAGAAACTTGAACTGTATTCAATGAAGTTGAGATTAACAACTTTGCTAAATTTGAAAATTCAGTTCTTTCTTGTGAAGTTATATTTTGAGTGAATTTTGAATCGATAGTTGTTGAAATGATTTGTTGAATTGTCATGAGACATTTTGCATGGTTATTTTCCTTCAAAGTTTCACTGATTTCTTCAGATTCTTGTTTTGGTGGTTGTAATTTTCCAAGAATACTTGAACATTTTGAGAAATTTGAAGCAATGTTAGTAGATAATTCAGCATGTTCTTTGATTCCAAGTTCAATTTTTGACCAATCTGATTTTTCCAAAATTGAACAAAATTTGTCAATTGAAGTATTTGAAATTTTGAAAACAGCTGAAGCAATTTCCTTTGGAATAACTTTCAAAAGTTTGGACTCTTTTTCTTCTTGAATTTTGAATATTTCATTCGCCAAATAGGATACATTATTTTCAATCGAGGCTTTTGTTGAATATTCGGATTTCAATGATTTCAAGTGATCAATCAATGTTACATTTGCAATTTCATTGATGTCTTCAGAATTCCAAAATCCTTGAACAATTTCTTCCAAAGATGGTTGAATCGTTTTGAATTCAGAAATTGATTCAACAGATTTGCTAACAGATGTTGTTGACAAAAAGTCATGTGGTTTATTATAGGCAACATTTATTACTGTAGCTTTATCAGAAATTGGTACAGCATCAAAATATGTTGAAACCATCAATTTGGCCAGATTGGAAATTTCACTGTGCTCATTTTCGGAAACATTCAACGAAACATTTGATTCAATTGTTTTTTCAATCATTTTTTGCACATCCAACATGCATTTTGCCAAATTATTTTCTTCCACAATTCTTGTAACTTCTTCAATTTGCTGTTTTGGTGGCCGAAGTTTTCCAAGAACACTTGAACATTTGGAGAAGTTTGATGAAATATTTGAGGATATTGTTTGATGTTGTTTAGTGTTCAGTTCAATATTCGACCAATCACTTTTCTCCAATATATTACAGAATTTCTCAATAGAAGTATTTTCAATTTTGAACAATCCAATCGCTTTTTCTTTTGGTTGTATTTTCAAAATCTTTGAATCTTTCTCTTGTTGAATTTTGAAAATTTCTTGGGTCATTGAATCGATTTCTATATTTGAAATAGCTTTTGCGATGAGATTGACTTTCAAACTTTTTAAACTGTCTCTTAATCGAATAATTGTAGATTCATCGACACTTTCAGAATTCCAGAATCCTTGAACTATTTCTTCAATCGGCTGATTTATAGATTTTGATACAATATCTTTGATCTTACCGATCAGGTTTCTCGAAATTGCAAATACTTCATTTTGATGTTGATATCCAACACTGATAATTGTAGTTGTTTCAGATTTTTCGATTGTTTTCAATGAAGTTGAAACCATGAGTTTAATCAAATTTGAGAATTCAGTTTTTTCTTGTGTCGAAATATTACTCGAGAAATGTGATGATGATTCAATAGTTTGAGATATAAGTTTTTGAACATCCAACATGCATTTTGCTCGATTATTTTCTTTCATAGTTTCACTGATTTCTTCAGATTCTTGTTTTGGTGGTTGTAATTTTCCAAGAACACTTAAACATTTTGAAAAATTCGAAGTAATATTTGTAGATAATTCAGCATGTTCTTTGATTCCAACTTCAATTTTGGACCAATCTGATTTTTCCAAAATTGAACAGAATTTATCAATTGAAGTATTTGAAATTCTGAAAACAGCTGTCGAAACTTCTTTCGGAATGATTTTCAATAATTTGGATTCTTTATCTTCTTCGATTTTGAATAAGTCGTTAACCAAAAGCTGAATATTTGATTCACTTGTGGCAATTGTCGAATGTTCGGATCGAAGTGTTTTTAAAGTTTCATTGATATTGACCGAAACACTTTCATCAATTTTCTCCGAACTCCAAAATCCTTGAATTAATTCTTCAATTGGTTGACAAATTGAAATGGATGTTGAAGTTTCTGTTCTAGAATTTTGAATCGATTTCTTAATATTTTCCTCGGAATAAGTTCTTATCATTTCTCTCGAAATTCCAGGAATAACAGTCAAATTATCAGAAGCAAGCAACGCAATCAAATTGGTATAAGTGATTTTTTCATCTTGAGATAACTTTGATACATTTTCCATAACATTTTCATATGTTAGTTTCAAGTTAGCAATACTTTTAGCTCGATTGATATATTTAATTTTGAGCGAAGTTGATTGTTCTTCCTCTTTTGGTGGCACTAATTTTCCAAAAATAGTCGAAGAAAAAGTATTTGGAGCAAGTACTTTGAAGTTTGACGAAATCGCTTGGAATTCTCGATTTGGAAGAGATACTTGTGACCAATCAACAAGTTCACTTATTTCAAAGAACTTGTTCAAACTTTCTTCTGATATATCAAAAGCTCTTGAAAGAATCTCTCTTGGGCGAATCGCAATCTTCGTTGGAGTCTCGAAATTTTCCGAAGTTCTTGAGAAGTTCTGTTCAATAGTTTGGATCGCAATATGTTCTTGAGGAGCAATATTTCGTTGTTCTTTAAGTGTTTTGATAACTTTTTCACAATCTTTTGTTGAACTCCAAAATCCAGAAATACATTCTTCAGATGCAGCTCGAAGATTTAATTGACTATTACTTCTGTTCTTTTCTTTCATCACACTCGAAATATTCATTTTTTCTTCTTGAACATCATAAACAATTTGAGTGATACTTTGAACATTTGAAGGTGTGATTGCATAGAAATCACATTTCGACACAGCAGTCATAATCAAACTTTCAAAAGCTGATGCTTCAGTTGCACTTAATTTGGAATCAATTGAAACTTGTTGAATAGTTTGTCTGAGTTTCGCACTTTCTTTCAAAGATAAACTGATTGTATAATCAGCATCTTCTTCCTGTTCCATTGGAGCAATAATTCTTCCCATAGGAATATTCATACCAAGAGCTGATAAATTATATTCCAATCTATGTTTTTGTGCAACATCCATTGATACATTTTCAGCAAGATTCATTATTTTCTCGAAACTTTTTTGTGTTATTTGAAGAGTTTCCCGTACAATTTCTCGACGCTGTTCATTTATATATTTTTCAGTAGATAATTCAGCAGATTGACATTCAAATTGTGAATTTTGTTGAGATGTTAGATTCTGGATAGCTCTTGTTTGGAAACTCATCGTTTCTAATGATTTTGCTTTTTGTAACAAAGTTCTTCGAGTTGATTCATTTTTCGAAGTTTCCCAGAATCCAGTACAAATTTCTTCTTGACTATTTTGTACTGTCATTTGTGCTCTATCAATCGAAGATGCTCTTCTATTCATCTGAATACTTGCCCAAGTATCTGGCATTGAAAAACGTCCTTCAAGACTTGCAGTTCTTTCCAAAAATCCTTTTGTAGAATGTGAAATTCCAACAGATTCTTTTGATAAAGATCTTCTAACAATTGAATAATTATATGTTTGATTATCAAGATTGTTTCTAATATGTTGTGATAAGTTTGCAGTATTTTTTCGAGAAATTTGTCGTAAATTAGCCGGTGATTCACATGTTTCCCAATTCTCTTCCATCACCACAATCAATTGATTTGCATGTTTTTCTTTTCGTTTCACTGCTACTTCGACAGTTAATTTAGACTCTGACGCCTCTTGTGGCTCTTGCTTATCTAAATGGACCATTGCCATATCTCAAAATAAATCAATTAATATTAATTAAATCAGAAAAAAATAAATGTATTTATTTTCAAATATATTTATTTATTTATATTTCAGGTTTCGAGAAAAATGGGTTTAGAGAAACCTATTCAACCAAAGCGCTAATCTAAGCCAACTTAGGGAACATAAGCTTTTTTGGTTAATAAAAGACTGTTAGATGAGATCTAGAAAGAAACAGTCTTATTATTCCTATGAATGTTAATAAACTAGACAAATTTCATTAGTCATTTTACTATTATTACTACAACTAGAATTTTCAAATTGAAAATGACTAGATTTAGAACTGGAACTACTAAAACTACTAAGCTGACAGACAATTTCCATCTCATCTCCTAGCTCAATGTAATATGATTGATTGTTGGATTCTGGAATGAAAAAAGCAGAATAGACAGATATTTGTAGAAGTTTGAAAGATAGGAAACACACAGAAGCCGTCTCATACACTCACAACTTTTTTTTGAAAATAAAATATTTTTAAAAAAAACTAACCTTGTTGATGGTAATATTCTTCTCTTTTCTGATGTTGATATTCCAAAAGACTTCTTTGTTCTTCAGTTTTCTTTTGAATCATTGAATTTGTTGCAGTAAATCCAAGTCGAAGTGAAGCGTGTGAATAATTGCCAAATATCTTTTTGAACATCACAAATACCGTAATATCACCCTTGGCATCTTTTCGACGAATTCGAAGATCTTTAGGTGAGGTTTCGGTTGGTAGAGGAATGTGTGGATATTTTTTTGTGAAAGTGATAAAGAGGTCACGCGTGCTGCTCTCGGTGCAGGGATTTTTCATGCGTGCGTGCTTACAAAATTGCAAAAATGAACTAACCTGTTACTACGTCAGCTAATATAGCAGATGTTTTATCATTGATAGTTCCAGTATTTTTGAGCATAACTGCGCAGTTTTCAGTTGTTTGTTTGAATTCCGCAAATTTGGCTTGTGAGAATTGTCGATGAGTGTCCTAAATTTATAAAATTTTTGAACTTGAAAATAAGATTTTAAAAAATAAAAATAGAAAGTTACCTTAATTTTCATTGAAGCTTCACTCAGATTGCTTCCAACACTATCTTGTTTTTGCAAATAAACCATATTTGATGCATTTTGTTCACTTGTTTCTTTGAATCTTCCATAAGTTGCTGTTTTATTCGATGTTTTTGAAGATCCTTCAACAGCAAATGAATCTGATGTGTTTTTTTCGAATCCACACATCATCAATGCATTTTCTTCTCCTTGTTCACGAACTTTGAATTGTTCTTTGACAGTCGAAATTGATTTTCTTGTTGTTGAAACATCTTCTTTTGTTGATTTACTATTTGAAATTGTGCAACCAATTGTTGTATTTTCTTTCTTCAATTTTGGTCGTTTAATTTCAACAGTAATCGGGCTTCCATAATTATTTGCAGTTTCAAATGTTGCCTCAAATAATGATGATGATTCTTCTTTGACCAAATCAACCAATGTTGGTGATCCACCATTCCAAGATTCTTCAGATTCCGATTCATATTGTGTTCTTTTTCCACTTCCAAATTTAATTTCACCTTTGAGATGTAAACCTTCTTGTTGATATGCATATTCTCCACCTTCAGCTTCTCTTTCTGTATATTTAATATGTTCTTCAGAAGATGCTGAATCAAGATGTGTTCTTCCAGAACTTCGGAATTTAATTTCTCCTTGAAGATGTTGACCATCTTGTTGCATTTCATATTGTCCACCTTGTGCTTCAGTTTCAGATTTTTTAACAGAAGAAGAGGATACGATTTCAGTTTTTGATTCCTGTACAATAACTTGTTTAGCATTTTGAACTTTTTCATCTTCTCCTTCTTCAGTTTCATATCTTCTTACACGTCGAAGTGTTGTTTCTTCCTCGAATCTAAATATAAAGTTTTGAGTACACATTACAGTAACCCAATAACAAACCTTTGTCCATCTCGTTGCATTTCATATTCAGCTTTCTTCAATTGTTTTGATTTTTTCAATAAGAATTGAATAGTTTCAACAAGTGGAACAGCAATTTTTACAGTGAAATTCGAAGTATCTTCCCGTTTTGCAACATCACAATCAGCAAATGCATGAGCACATCTTGGCTCAATACTTTCTTCAGTTTCAAATCTTCTTAATCTTCTCAATTGTCCTTCTCCTTCAAAATGTTTTCCATCTCGAATCAAATGAATATCAGCTTTTTCAAGATCTTCATTTTCATCTTTTTGCAATTCATCAACATAAATCTTTTCAACTTTTTTCACTTCAATTGGAGGCGGTGTTTTATCAACAGTTTGCTCATAATGTAATCTCAATTGTTCATCAGCTAATAAATCATCAGCTCGTTCTCCAATCACATAAGTTTTTAGAATATTTGTGACATCTTCAACAATCTCAACTTCGATGTGTGTCAAAGCAGAAACCGAATCAGAATCTTCTCGAAGATCACTCAATAATTTCTTACTAACTTCAGCGAGATATTCTTTTTTGTTTACAAAATCAGGAACATCCAAATTAGCTTCTCTTTCCATTTTTGTTTCTCCATTTTCAATCAAAGTAATCTAGAAAATATCCATATTTTTCGGTGTTATCTTCCAATAAATAATAAGAAAACGAACCTTATATTTGGATTGTCCATCTTTAAGTTCTTCCAAAATCAGACTTTTCTTCCCAATTGTTGATTTGATTTTATAATTGGTCACAACATCTCGAACTGTCCAAGCACTTGAGATACAACTATCTACAGTAATCAAATCAGCTCCCACAATTTTTTCCATCTTCAACTTTCCTTCTACAGTAGTTCGTACCTAAATTTTCATAGATGTTTTAATTTGGAATTTGGAATCAATAATTTACCACAGGTGGAAGTTGTCGATGTTCTTCATATTCAATTTCAGTTTCAGTTCGTGTTGTGGTTGGTCGAATGATGACTTCTGAAATGTGAAAAAATTAAATTATGTCATCTAGTTTTTCAAAAAAAAAAGCAAACCTTTTTCATTTCTGAATTGTGCTTGAGGTGAAAGACCTCTCGATCGATCTCCTCTTATCACATTTTTTTCATCATCAGTTGTTGTATCAACACTATTTTGATCCCAAGTAAAAACATTTGCCAATTTCAAATGTCCTCCATCGGCTGCTTTTATCTGTTGACCTTTTTGCATTGAACTCAACGATGCTGATTTTGGAAGTGCTTTTCTAGTTGGAGCTGGACTTGGTTCAGTTGATAATCGAAGAAGATCAAGTGTTGCTTCATCGAGTTTATTAACTGATGTATTTGGAGCACCACGTGTTACTGGACCTTTTGATTGACTTGCTCTTGGACGATATTGTAAATGAGCGCGATCACCAAAAGCTGATTCATTCATATTTCGAGATAAGGGACCGGATTGTTGGATTCTTTGTTGTTGATTTTCATCAATGAAATGGACGTTTCGAGGAGATGGAGCAGCTGGCATTGACACTAAAAGCAACATATTTTTTGTATAAAAATTATTTTCAAATCAACCTACTTTCTCTGCCACTAATTCTAGTTGTTCTTGTTCGATCAATAGTTGCATAATCATCCTCTTCTAATTGATTTGTATGAATTAACAAATTTGGTTGTCGTCGATATTCATCGTGTGAATGAGTTCTTGAACCTGGTCGACTTCTTTCTTGTCGTTGTAATAGTTCTTGTTCGCGTTGTTTTGCGGTTTTTTTCAAGTTTCGTTCGCCAGAACTACTTCGCGCATCGATCACTTCTACATTATTGTTGTTATTTGATAGATCTTGTCCACCACCACTGCCAAACCATCTTTGGAAGAATCCACCTCCATTTGTTTGGCGTTTATCCATTTTGGATTTTTTCTTGTTACTGAAAAATAAGAATATAGTTGGCCATATCCAATTATTTGGGTCAGATTTCCAGGACTTTTAGTCGGTCATTTATAAAAAAAATTGACCATTGCTAAAAGTGAGCCGCAACCATTGGATCTGGCGAGAAACCTTGTATCCCATTAAAAGCCCTCAAAAATGTTGCTAACCTGGGTGATGTTCCTTTGAGTGGTCGAAATCCAGGTTTGCGCGATTTGAGTCGTCCGTCTCGATCTCTGCAACATGTTGGATTATTTCCATCCTTATCAATATAATCAAGTGGTGTTGGCGACACCAAAGGCGGTGTTGTTAATGGTTCAACATCTGATTCAATATTCAACGAAGTTTCCCACATTGACGAAAGACGTGAAGACGAAACAAGTGACGGGACTGGAGCTGAAGAAGATCGACTTCCACTTCCACTACCACCTTTTTCTAATCGAGACACTTTTCGTTTACCGCTACCGTATACGGGTTTTGGTGTGTGGATTGTGGTGCCATGAAGAGTGTAAAAGTCATTTTGATCTTCTTCAGCGGACGATGTTACAGGACGATGACGACATTTACAAAGACAACACGAACGACAACAAACACACACCATAAAACTTATCTGAAACAAATTATGCACACGGGTAAAAATGCAACCGAAATCCAATAAAAAACAAATATTTTCAGAAACTTATGTTGTTTCAGAAAAATTCTAGAATTTTCCAATTCTTAAAGTTTTATCGACGCTGTAAGAAACCGTCTGCTCTTTTTACCCGTGTGATAAAAACACATGAAACATATTTGGAGTTATATGTAACATATCACAACACAAAAAAGATAAATCTTGGCAAAAATCGAGAAAGAAAAGATACAAATACACACACACACAGACACTAAACGGAATGTACTGTATACATATGTTCAAGTGGCTGGCACATCTTAAGAAATATCATTTTGAATTTAGAAACGGTTAGAGAAAACAAATCAAAACTTATCAAAAAGAAACAAAAATATTTTGTAGTTCTAGATTTTTTAAATCCATGTTTGAAATTGTTTGCAAAATTTTTCTGACTCACTTGTCAATAAGTTTTTTTCAACTCGGATAAAAAAGTAAGTTAGTTACCTGGTAAGTCAATAAATAGCCGGAAATGACATCAAATAAATCGGTGGCAAATATTTCGAGTAAAAAATTTCGTGAAATTTTGAACAACTCAAAGTCGCTCATCTTTCATTTTTCGGACGACCGTGGCGAGAAAAAAAATGAATTATTATTTTTTCTCGTTTTTTGTGAAGTACAACACTTTTTGCTCCTACGTTGATCAGATGCGATGTATAGTTAAACGAAAAAATATTGTGAGATTTTGAGAGACGCAGACATGTTTCGGGTGGGATAAGAGAAAAAAGAAAATTTGTGTGTGTAAATAAAAAAGATGATTGAGCTTTGAACAATTAATTCAAACTCTGTACTATTTTATCCAAATTTTCACGTGTTTTGTTACTTTTTTCAAAATTCTTTTTCGTAAAACTTCAAAAATCGCTTTTGAAACAACTTATTTCAAGTACACATTTCTCAGAAATTCTCAACTAAACTTATTTTTGTTTGTTTTCTTTGCAGCTGTTCAAAATCAAAAAGCTAAATGAAAATAAAAACGAAAAAACTGGAAAACACATGGCTAACCCAGACTCTGAAAATTTTTGATATACATCAAAAAGTTTTCGTAATAATTTTTCTTGATGAAAAAGTTTGGAGCACTGGAAATGATTACTTATTTGATTTCTGATCTGCTTTTTTCTCGGTTAGTACACAAAATATCCAATTCTTTATGAAAAAAGTAGCAAAAATGACCAGCTACTTTAAACGAAAAAGAAATGAGAAAAGTGGAACTTCTGTTCGTAATCAGTCAAAGGTGATAAAAAAATGAAGATCAGTGGAGGAAAAAACTGACATGGAGAGCTCAAAATAATATTTTCTGATGGTTCCAAAATGATATAATGAAAATTAATTTACAAATTTTCAGGAAAAAAATTAAAAATTTCAAATGTCAAAAAAGATGAAATCTCTGAATAAAAAATTGAAACAGAAATTTTCAGATGAAATATGAAAAACTGAAAATCTTCCCATAAAACTCCAGATAAAATATTTGTAAGAAATAATTAAATCACATAAACATTGAAATTCAATAAGCAAATACTTAGAAAACGAAATAAAAAATTTTCTCAAGCCTTGGAAAAAATAGAAACAAAAAACATAAACTATCCACAGAAAGTTCGAAACGAAAATCTCGCAAAAATCATGCAGATTCTACAACAATCTCACAATGCATTACTCTGGCAGTAGAAAATTCCGGAGTTTCGCCGAAATGGAACGAGAACGTCGCTAAAAAGGCTCCAAACCCGGTTCCGGATCTTTTCTCGGTACGCTTTGGCGATTCTCCGGAACTTTTTTGTCGATTCTCCAGAGTTTTTTTGTTTTTGTCGCCTGCTTTTTTCGAATACATTCTAGTCTTTCACTCTCAAAAATCAATATTTATTTTCAACAAACAGGAAAAATGAGTTATTTTCTGATTGTTTCAATCTCCAAACGAGTAGAATATAAACATCAGAAGATTCCTTTGGCATTCTAATGAAAATTGGGTGTTGACTTCGGCAATTTTTGACGAGAACTTCTGTTTCTTATCATTTTGAGCCAACGAGGAGAGATGCAGCACTGTGTGGAGACGCCATAAGCGCATTTCATGCTGAAAATTGAGAAAGGATAATAGATTTATAAGGATGATTCTCCAAGAGTATTATTAATCGTAATTTCTCACTTTGAAATTGTGAACGACCTTTTGAGATAGGATGTGATAATGGTCATAAACTTGAAATTTGTAAACTTTCAAAGCTCAAAAACTCGAAAAACAAACGTTCATCGATTTTCTTTCTCATGACTCACCTCATAAATAGAATACATCTTGTGATTCACGATTTTGGAAAGATTGCAAGGCGATCCTCCAGAAATGAAAATTGAACGAGCCTCTGCTTTCGAATTTTCCTAGCACGAGGGATTCCAATTGAATCTATAAATAAAACTAATATTCACTTCTGTTGAAGAACCTTCACTCACCAGGAGCAAAAATTGCTAATTGTATTCCAAGTCCACGTTGACTTTTATCCATGACGATTTCGTAAGACGCACATTGCTTCTAGACGATTTCAATTGTCTGAAAATTATCAAATTAGGCAAAGAAACTCTGAAAACTGAGCAATTTTGAAGGAATAGCAAAAACTAAAAAAACGAAAAAAATAAATGAAATGAAAAAAATGACTCGTCATTGTCATCATTCAATGGAGCACGTTCGATCGACAGCGATTTGCTCCGGAGAATCGCCAAAACCAAACTAGAAAGACATGCCAAACTAGAAAAAACAGGCGCTCTCTCGATTTTCTGTACCCACTTTGGCCTATCTCCGGAGTTTTTGCGTTTTCTGGTTCCCCTCCGGAGTTTTCTACTGCCAGAGTTTTACTACCCAAAAAAATTCGCGAAAAAATCAACGCAAAAATTAGAGATTTAGAGAAACATTATTTTTGATCTATCAGAAAACTTCGGAGGTCTAGCGATTTTGAGTAGTAAATTACACACTGTGCAATAACATAATTCAAACAAATACGGTATACACACAAAATTCTGAAAAATTCAAAAACTCAAAAATCCCGTGGGTTGAGAAGAGCTCATTCGAATGATGATACTGGGCTTCTTCTAGCGCCTGTCGTTTTCTTTTTCCCACTCTCTTTGTTTTATATATTCTTTTCGCAATCAATTTTGATAGAGAGATGAAATGCTGTGTTCTGTTACAACCTCTCCAAGTGCTGCCTTCTGATGGATTCACAAAAATAAAAAATAAAAAAATTATTTATTGACAAAAAATCACAATTTATTGGGTTCAACTCGGAGCCAATCAATTTTTGAAAACAAGGACATTTTGAAAATGAAATTTTATAATTTTAAAATTATTTTAAAAAATTAATTTAACCGATAGGTTTAATTTCTCTTTCTCACGTGCCACAATAATTTTTCATTTTCAATACTGAAAAATGAAAAAGGCAGGTTGTCATTATAGAAAACTTATAGAATTTTCAAAACTGGAAGTTGAAATTTGCATCAATTGAGAGGACAATTTCCTATTACAGTAATCCTCAACAACATATGATGTTAACATCTAGAAAATAATTTTTTGTTTCAGCTGCTTTTTGGTTGTTCAAAGTTCCTGTTCACCTAAGAGTTTCATCCCAAATTTTTGAAAAACAAATTTGAGAACTTTTTAAATTGACCCTTATTTTTTCACAATGTTCTAACTTACAATCCCCAAAATTTTTTTCAAAGTTCTCTATTTTCTGATCTTTTGTTATGCTTCTCTTTAAAAATCGCGCCATTTATTTATTTCTGGTTAGAGAGTACACATATGTTGGAGAGTGCAAAGAAAGAAATATCGACATTTTTTTCTTTTTCCGTTCATTTTTCGCATAGCAAAACTATCCAAATAGATATTTGATTTTAGAAAATGGAAACTTTTTTCTGGTATTTCGCGTATGGTAGCAATTTATTAGCTGAAAGAATTCATCACAGAGTAAGTTTTAATTCTTTTTCGCAAACTTGCAAATTTCAAAAACAAAGATTTTCAGCAAAAAGGTGCCGAATATTTCTGCAATGGAAAATTGGAGAATTTCGCGTTGCGATTTGTGCATAATTCTTCGAGATGGCAAGGTGCTTTGGCTACAGTTATTGAAACTCCAGGAAATGATGTGTGGGGATGTGTTTGGAAAATACCAAAAGAATATTCGGAATCTTTAGATAAACAAGAAAGTGGTTATCATCGATTGAATGGTAAGCAAGGCTTATATTTTTGGGGTTACTTTGGAAGGTTGGAATCATACCCCCCGTTTGGGATTTTCCATTTCGATGATTTAGAACAATCCAATAATGATTTTTTTAGTGACACTTCAAACACCGGAAGGTCCAATAACATGTAGAACTTATCAATTTTCAAATCTTCAAGCTAATTTCACTCTTCCGTCGCCACATTATAAACTTGTTATTGTCGAAGGTAAGTTCTAAAATTTCTAAATCTAAATGCCTTATTCAAATTCTTTAACCCATACTTTTCAGGTGGCAAAGAACACAATCTCCCGGCAGAATATATCAAAAATCTTGAAGAAATTCCTGATAACAAATTCCAAGGAAAAGTTGAAGTCGACATTCCTATCCTTGAAAAATTGAACAGACAAACCGAACTTTAATTTTTCTCCTTAATTCAAACTAATTATGGGTAATTTCCTGGTTGTTTGTTATGTGTGTCTATTTTTTAGAGAAAAATAAAGAATTTTGAAAAACCTGTTTTCGAAAAAAATTTTATCAAAAAATACTTCTCGTCATTATCACTGGAAACCCCTTGTTTATTATTTGCAGATATCATTTTTTTTGTTTCTCAAAACGGTCCCAAACAATCTTTGATTTTTCTATGATTTTCTTGTTGTTCTGTTGGGCTTTCTAGTACTTTCTTTTTATCAATTTATCAACAAAAAATAAAGTTGACCCTGAACCTTGAAATAATTTAATTATAGACTCCGCCTTTTTTAAAACTCCTTTTTTGTCTTATTTTGATTTGATTTTGATTCAAGAAAACTAAACTGAACTGAACAGTCAATTCTGAAATTCTCAAAATGGATCGTCGGCTTTCGCAAGGAATTCGACGAATGTCGGAAGGATTTTTGCAAATCGCCAATACTGATGTAGGTTTAGAAATGAAAAACAAATATCAAGAAAAAAAAAGCATATTTTTAAAATGACCTTGATCATCAATAAAACACAATTTTTAAAAATCGAATGACGTTTTGAAAGATGAAAATAACCAAAAAGATAATCTTTGAAAATGACAATCTACAGAAATCTACACTGAATATATTTTTCAGAGAATTTTAGATCTTCATGACCTTGGAATGCACAATGTAGCATCTGAATATCGATTAGTTTCAAAATGTGAAGAAGCTGAAGCATCTCTTGGACCACCGAGAAGAAAATTAACATTTGTTGAAATGAAAGAGAAAATCAGGTAATTATTCAAAAATAATATCGGTCACAAAGTTATCATTGGTTTCGCTTATCTTTTTGACAACTGGTTATTCTGGAAATATTTCCAGTCAAGGTTTTTTTTTGAAATATCGGAAACGTTTTCATTTATTTCCTAAAAGAGAAAGTGCGAACAAAAATATTTCTTTGTTCATCAATTCAATCTTTCAACAATCAATATTAATTTTTGAAAAACGTATGTAAATGCATCTTCAAAATAATTGTCAAGTTATTGGAAATGACAAATATTTATGGTATGTTAATTGCTATTGGTGGGAAAATTTTGGAATTTCTTGTGAATCAGGCTTTTTCAAAGTTCCGATTTGGTAGTCTAGACTTTTTAACTTCAAAAACTATTCCACTTCCTGTTTGTGACCCTATTTATCTGAAAAAATGGGTTCAATTAATCTCCGATTCCCCGGGCCCATTTCAGAAACTTCCCTGCTCAAAAAAAAGTTTCAGCACAAAATTTGCTCTGATCAATTTGATGAAAGGCATGCTTGGAGCTGGCTGTTTTTCAGTTCCATTGGCCTTTAAACAAGCTGGATATTTGACAGGTTTTGGAATTATTTTTACACTTGGTATATTATCAGCTATTTGTATGATTAAACTTGTCAAATGTTCGGGATATCTTTCAAAAATGTGAGTTCTTTAATTGATTTCTAAAAATCAATCATTCAATAAATAAAGTAATCAATCTGCCCCGTTGGATTACGGTAACATGGCGTACAAAGCAACTCAAGCAAGTTATAAACCTCTTCGAAGATTTGCTCCAATTTCAAAATTCATCGTGAATTCTTCATTGATTATTCTCCAACTTGGTATTTGTTGTGTATTTTATATTTTCGTTGTTTATCATCTTCACGAACTCTTGGAATTTCTAATGGAAAATCCGCCAAGTCGAGCAACTCTTTTCCCACTTGTTCTACCTGCTTTCATTCTACTGTGCTCTTTATCTTCAATGAGAGCATTGTCTTTAGTTTCACTTGGTGGGAACTTTCTAATGTTAATTGCATTAGCAGTTATTATGTTTGTGAGTATTTTTAAGGGAAAATTCCAATAATTTAATATTTACAGCAACTTGTAACATGTGAACATAAGAAATTAGAAGATCTTCCAGTTTACACAGATATTCGTGGAATCGTAACTGCTGCTGGTGCAATCTTATATGCTCTTGAGGGACAAGCAATGGTTTTACCATTGGAAAATCGAATGAAAAGACCAGAAGATATGACAGGTTACAGTAATTTCATATCTTTCATATATTTTAAATTGATTTTCAGGACCATTTGGTGTTCTGAGTATTGGTGTAGGAATGGTTGTTATAATTTATTCCTTTGCCGGATTTTTTGGCTTTTTGGCTTTCGGAGATGATGTTCAAGATACTGTAACTCTTAACTTGCCAAATAATGAATTAGGAATATTTGTGAAAAGTGTTTTATTATTAGTTGTTTATTCTGGATTCCTTATTCAAATATTTCCGATTGTTGCGATGATTTGGCCAATGATCAAAAGAAAATTGAAAAATTCATGTGGAGTTCAACAAACAACTAAAAGAATTGTTCATTTTGCATTCAGATATGCCATTGTTTTGATAGTCTGTGAGTTGTTTAATCTATTTTTATTTATTTTCCCCAACTTTTCTATTTCAGTTATTTTGGCGTATTCAATTCCTCGACTTTCTGATATGGTTCCACTTGTTGGAGTTACAGCTGGAATGCTTTTGGCATTAGTTTTTCCTTCACTTTTTCATCTTCTCATTTTTCTTCCACAATTCAAATTCACATTTCGTCAAATATTTGATACATTTCTTGATATTATTTGTATTACTCAGCATCTCCTGGCGTATACTTTTTGCACGATAACGTACGCTTTCCCTACACTCTTTCTACGCTTTTCGTACACTTGCCACTTTTCGCGAGTGTAGCTACATTGTAGGACCGCGTTGCAAGCGCGTTGCGTTGCGGCTATTATTTTATTTTTGTTTTCTATTTTCTTTTTGGCCTAAAATTATTTTTAAAACGTCTAAAGTAGATGAAATGATAGCCGAATTTCATCCACATGGATTCTAGAAGTTGAGTATGGTTATTGAAGCGATTAGAAATCTTTTTGGTCAGAAGAAGTATAGTTTTTTCAAGAAAAATCTTCAAATATCTTTGAAAAATACGGAATTTTCTTCAATGAGACTTTGAGAATCAGAGTTAATCGATAGTTATCAGTCTTCTTATTCTCGTTATTATTGTTTTTACACCTGAATTTGATTGAAACTTGTTGAATTTCAGATCACCATCCGAACAACTCCCAGAACTTGCATCATGATGGCAGCAAAAGGAACGAGAATCTTCTCCGGAGGTGTCCTCGAGCTCGAGGAGATGATTTTGAAGGTGAGTATAACTTAAATACCGGGAAGACTAGGATTTCGGAACCCTACTGGCCAATGGCCTGTCAAACATAACTGAAAGTTGGCTGATAAATTCTTGGAGCTACATCTTATAATTATGATAAGTAGAAGGTCTGTAAATAGAACTGACGACCAACTTCCGATAACCTAGTAACTATTAGGCATTTAGCCCAGGGGAGATAGCCTATAACCTCGCCATTTTTTTCTGCATGACGTAAAATTATGAGGTACTAGAAAATTAAACATCATCCCATTTTTCAGGTTGACACTTGACACCTACACCTACGCCGAATGCTAAAACTGGGACAACCTACAAGATATGATCCAAGCAGCGTCAAAATCAACGCCAAGATGCTCCACCATCCGACTTCTGGCCCTCAACCTCGACTTCAACCACTCAACACACCCTCAACAACCAACACATTCAAAAAATCTTCGAAAAAATTAAATTTCTAACTTTTTTTTATTATGTTTTCATGATTTTTGTTATATTATTGATTTTGTGTTTTAAAAGTATATTGATACATAAATAATTTGTTATATTTTCTCGTTTAAACCTTCCCTAATTCGCAGCGCAAAAACGAAAAAAATCGATTCGAAAATATGTGTACGCTTTTCGTTCAAAAAGGAAAAGTGTAGGATCTTTGTAGACGTTTTTGCAGCTTGTGCGTACGGTCTTTGTAGCGTGCGTCATACAACAATGTAGCTACACTTTTCGTTCGCAATAGTGTACGCCAGGAGATGCTGAGTATTTTAGGAATGTTTTTTGTAATTTATGGATTCATCACAAATATTCAACATATGGCAAGTCATAATTAAAAACGATTTGTCAATTCCATCTTGAAATGCGTGGGTTTGTTTATATTAAAAATGCAACCGTTGTAAAATTGAATTATTATTTGAAATAAAATGAAAATCTTGATCCTATAAAAGCTCTTTGCAAATTCATATCATTCTCTTCTTTCTGAAAATGAAACTTTTTATCATTTCAATTTTGAGCATTGGAATTGTTTTCGGCTCAAATGCGACTAACAAAAATCGTCTTCAAATAACCGGATGTCTCGAAAATTCGAAACAATGTCTTGGTTATCCAGATGATTGTCTTGGAAATCAATGCAAATACACCTACAGTACTATTATTCAAGGAGATTATATGGAAGTCGAAATTTTGGGAGATCGTGTTCATGAAAACTTTTATGTGGCAGCTGCTTACTCTTCGGATGATAAAATGGTAAGTTATGTTAACTCTAATGGTTAACTCTAATGAGAGACAACACCACTAACATCCTAACATATTTTTCGGAAACATTGCTGGGACAAATGTGTTGCTGTACTGGCTCAGTAATTTCAAAATAATTGATAATTTTCAGGGTGAAGATTATGTCCTTTTCTGTGCTCGTAATTCTTCGAGAGAAATCGTTGACAAGAAAAATATGGGTGTTGGATGGAATGGGGAACGAGCTAAATTCTCATCAAAAACAGCCAATTTCATTGATCATGAAATGACGAAAAATTTGAAGGTTGAATATGTCGAAATCAAACTTGATGAACGCGATCGTTTTTATTGCAAATTCCGTCATTTGGTTGAACCAATTAGACAATTAACAAATGGAACTGATAAACCAACTATTTTGATGGCTGTTGGACTTATGATGGGTAAGTTATTTCATTATTTTTTCCAAAGAACAACAATTTAGAAATATAATATTTTTAGATGGAAAACTAGCCTACCATGCAAATGACCGTAATGCTCTCGGACAAATCGATTTGGGAAAGAAAGCCCCTCGTCGTCGCTCAAATAGTGTTTCAGCATTTTCAATCATTTCAAATGCAATTATGATGTTAACTTTCATTTTCAAAATGCTCTAATAAATATGTTATAATTTTCTCCCATAGCAACCTTCTCTCAAAAAATCTGCGTCTCTTGTCTCTCAACTTTTTTACACTAATTATTTTTTATCCGTTGTTCTTTGAGGATAAAAAAGAATATGAAATAAAATGACAACTAGCATAAATTCAGTAGTTACTGTATTTAAAAACGTTTTTACTAATCATGGTAGTACACTTCTAAATGGTATTCTTATTGCAACAACAATCGGAGGACAAACGGTGAGATCATACAAAACATCAAATACTTAATTCTCTTATTATAAACATTTGAAGCTTGTTCGAAAACTGACATTTTCTTGTCCTTGTGCTTATCCATTAAATGTTTATCATTCATTGGTTTTTATGTTTGGACCATCGATGGCACTTTTTCTGATTGGAATTACTGTAAATTCGACTACTTGGAAAATGGCGCATGGAACATTTTTCAGGTAAAGATTTTATTAAAACTTCACATGATAAAATTCCAAAGTGGTTCTCAAAAGTTCTCAAAGACAAAAGTAATCCCAAAATCCAGTAAAACCAAAAGAACCGAAAATGTGAAAATCAGAAGTCTCTTGTACAGTAAGATTTTTACCATTCTCGAACTTTTCCGAATTAAAAAAAATTCGAAATTCTATGTTGAATAAAAAATAAAGATCAAATCACAGGAGGACGGAATTGCTGTCCTACTTGTCCTACCCGATGTTTTTAAACGGAAGTTTGATGAGTTCATTTAACTTGATTCCCTCTTAAAAATCAATAATGTGATACCCGACAACAAAGAAAAAGTAGAAAAACTGAAAAAACTTAAAAATGAGCAAAATAGAAAAACAGGCATTTCAGTTTTTCTTCAGCGGGTAGGACAAGTAGGACAGCAATTCCGTCCTCCTTCAAATCACGAAACCCCTCTTCTAACTTAAATTTGTAGAGTTAATGCAACTCGACATAGTTGCAAAACAACATGTGCATCATGGATCGAAGTTATAATTCAATCATCAATTGCTCCAATTGCATGGCTTTTTGTTGTATTTTTAGATGGCGGATATTATCGATGTTATCGATCACATGAATATTGTCTTAAATCGGAAGCTGAACTTTGTCGAAATTTGACAATTTTAGCAACATACGAAACTTCAGCCGCATTTCAGACGATAAGTGATAACGGAAAGGTTGGTTCCTTTATTAGCTCTTTTCAAAAAATTTGATGTATTTTAGTATTGTCCCCCGTGTATTTGTTCACCTTCTTCTACAGATACTTCATATTTAGAGGCACAATCTCAAATTTATGCTTGGATTTTATTGATTTTCACAGGTGTAGCTGCATTTTTAGGTAAGTTTTTTAAATTCAAACGGTATTAAAAAGATGTGAAATTCTAGTAATATGTTGCAATCGTATGTGTGATAAATATACATTGGTACAAAGACAATATGTCGAAACTTATAAAAACGAAGAGATTCTTAAATTCGATGCGGTTGCCAAAGTAAGGGAGAAATATGTTTCAATGCTTATTATAAAACTTTTTTTAAGGAACACGCATCTCAATTGGCTGAACAAAATGCTCGAGCATTTTTCACACAAAAAAGATTGGACGAAAAAAGATTGGGATTGGGTGTCTGGAATTCCTGAAATCAACAATCCATTATTTGCTCGACTTAGATTAATTGCCGCAGAAAAAACACAACAAACAATGTATACTCCACTTCAACTTTGGAATGATCATAAGGGTTATCGAATATTACCTCCTAATATCAATTTAGCTATTGATGATGAGACGAAACAAGATTGACCTTAATTTTGTGAACATTTTTACGTGTATAAAACATTCATGCAATCAATAATTAGATCAAATAAGTTAAAATGGTCCTGGGAAATATGAATCCCAAATTTGGAAAAAACATAATAACGAGTAAATTTTAAAATGGAGAAAGAGAAATTTCAGACAATAATTGCTGATGTATTTGTTGAATTTTGCAGTCAGTCAATATTTAGTCGACGAGATCTTCAGTGGCAACACTGTCCTACAATTATCAAACGTCAGCTCGTTGCAATTTAGAATATATGATTTTAAAAACTTACTGTTTCGGTTCCTTCGACATCGATTATTTCAGAATCGTCATCTTCCTCGATTTCATTTTCACTCTTTTTCTCCGGGACCCACAAACCAGAATCAACGCATCTTTGGAAATGATACATGAATACCTGGAAACATCACAATTGAACACTTTGAACAATTATTTTATGAATGTTACCTCTTCATCCATTTTTAAAGCCAAATCTTTGAGTGCCTGAATATTTTGTGATTCGAAACAATTTCTCATCTCTTCAGGCAAAGTTTCGAAAACCTCCTGTGGATCCAAACCTCCTGGAGCTTGTTCAATACGTTTTTGACGTTCTTCAGCTTCATATTCAGCAGCTGCCGCCTCTCTTTTTTCATTTGCTCTGGTTCTCAAACGATCTTGGAATGCTGTAACTTCTTCTTGGAATGTTTTCATGTAAGATGGATCAGCAGCGGCGAACTTTTTGAAGAAACTCTTTTGCATATTTGTGTTGGTTGGATCAGCACGCAAGTTTTTCGATAACTCGAGAAGATATTGCATAACAATACATTGCTCAGACAATAAACACATTTCTTCTTCCTGTAAAATTACCATGGGTTTTAAAAATTCTGAATATTGTCTTACTCTTCTATCAATAGCCAAATTAAGACATTCAATAGTGAGATAATTTGCAGAATATTCACAAGCCAAATGAGGATGTTCAGCCAAATAAGCTTCAGTCGCCTTCAATCCGACCAATCTACCATATGTTTGGAGCAAACTTTCGTTTTCTTCACAAAATTGAGCCATTTTCTTTGAATCTTCTTCATCAGAAATAGTAGCTTTTGGTTTTTCGGTGATTTTATTAATTCTAGAAGTACTGAAAGCTTCATGACCAATTGTATCAACATTCCATGGTTCAAGTCTCTCCTTTTCTTCCAATTCCTTTTCCTTTGCTCTCCATTTTTCTTCTTGTGCTTTAACATCATCAATCTCCTTCTGAATTTCTTCACGATCTTTATCACTGATATCAGCTTTCGACAATTTGTCTTCAAGATCTTTCATTTTGGACGAAGTTGTACATTTATCTTTTTCGATTTTCTCCTTTTCTTGCTTTTTCTCAGCCATTCGCTCTAGACGAGCCTGATGACGCCATCTAAAACAAAAAAAGAATTACAATCAAAATTACTCAACATGTTTTCATAACTAAAATCAACGAGAACTATTTTACCTGTAAAGGGATGGAGTATCGATGTTTGGATGAGTGTCATCTTCGTCATCCGAAACTTCGATCTTTTTCCACTTGGAATAATCAATTGGCATTTTTGGAAGCTGAAAATTTAAATAACTTATCAAAAGTCGGAAGTGGGGGAAAAGATGAACACTTGATACCATAGCAACGGAGAGATAAACACGGATTATTAAAACTCTAGAATGTTCTGAACACTCCATACTAAAAATTTGCGAAAGCATTTACGGATGTAAACAGCTTACAAACGGAAATAAGTATCATCGAAAACAATTTTTTAACAAAAACTAAATAATCGACAAACTTTGTTAAGTTATACGAAAACCAATATTTTTCTAATTCCAACACTGTTTCTGCAATAAAATATAAATCTAAAATTATCAAATTTCGCGCTTATCACAGAACTAGAAACATTGAATTCAAAGTAACAGTTTTGAAGCGAAAACTAAAAATGTGATCAATCGCAATCCAGTAAAATCTAGAAGCCACGCCTGTTTGGCAACACTCCGCACACTTTATTTGCAACTGCGGCGTGTCGTGAATTCGGGTGTTTTTAGTGTAAATGTGCAGTTTTGCGTCGCCGTGTATTGTCCTCATTTCAAATTCGATTCTTTTAGGAGGACGGAATTGCTGTCCTACTTGTCCTACCCGCTGAAGAAAAACTGAAATGCCTGTTTTTCTATTTTGCTCATTTTTAAGTTTTTTCAGTTTTTCTACTTTTTCTCTGTTGTCAGGCATCACATTATTGATTTTTAAGAGTGAATCAAGTATAATGAACTCATCAAACTTCCATTTGAAAACATCGGGTAGGACAAGTAGGACAGCAATTCCGTCCTCCTGATTCTTTTCGACTTTTCGAGAGGAAGAGAGAAAATAGGGACAAAATGAGAAAATATCCTTGAAAGGCCTTGAATCTCACTATTCAGTACTATCAATGCAGACTGTTTTATCAGATAACATCTCATTCCTAGTATACTAGCGATTTTTCACTCACCTTTCAGTTCAAAATTGTTTGAATATTTAGCAATGACTATTAATTTTTTTTTGTATTTCTTGAAATTATTACACGTTGCACAGTAAATTCTCGAAGGTCATCACGTTTATTTTGTTTTTACAGATTGAAATTCTCAAAATGGGTTTTGTTTTCACAAAATTAACGCGGTACATTTTGGTTGCGTATTTGATTTATGCGGGTACAAATTATTTATTACGATACAAATCTTATAACATTTCTCCAAAGTTGTTCAAATCGATTGCTGCAAAAGTCGCCGACACAAAACCAAATGTTCGAAGTGCAATTTCTGGAGTAACATCTGGAATGAGAAATAGTTATAATACATTGATCCCAAACACTGTCGAATGGCATCCTTTTATTCTTGGAAACTTGGAATTGAATGTAAGTTATCTATTTTCAGCGAATTAAAAATATATTTATTCTTTCAGATCTTCCCAATGCATTTATCCCTTACTGAATTTGCCGTAATAATCGGAGCTCCTTTCGAAACATCTGGAAGAGCTGGATTCCATTGGTCAAATACAACATGTACAGTTTTAACTGGTTCAGTATCTCGCGTTCGTGATTCTGCCGTCCTCGAGGAAACTTCAGCTTTTTCAACTGGCGCCAATTTCAGACACGGAGAATTTGAATCATACAATTACAAATTTGCTCAAGGAACTTATGTTGCATGTTACGGTATGTTGATTTTCCAAATAGTTTTACAACATAATATATTGAATAAAACCAACTCGGACAGTTTTACAATGTTAGAATGATTTTGGTAATTTTGGAATTCAGGTCGTGGCCTAGTTCCGTTGTCTGGTGTTTGGACAACAACATCTTCTATTTCTCATGGCGAACCATTCGCTGCTGGTCGTCTGATTCTTACATTTACACAATCGATATATGATCGTGTTGCTCTTTCACTTCTGCATACTTATAATCATTACAAATCTCGTGTTACCGGTAAAAACGAATTGTAAAATATTTTATTTGCATTACAAAGTATTTGGAGATAATTATAATAAACATAATAAATTGAAGAAAAAACCCGAATTTCAATATTATTGTACAAATTATTTAAACTGATACATCCTGACATTACATTGATGATAATCAATAGCAAATATTTGACCCTTTCTTTCAGGATGAGTTGGAATTAATAATCCATTAGGTGCAAAATATCCCCTTGTTAATGGTGAATCAAATGAATATAAAAATGTTCCCTTATAATTATTGACGACAAATTTACTTCTTGCACCCTGTCGATCTTCAATACTTGATACAATTAAACCACTTTCTTTACAACAAGCAACAGCTTTAACGACAGTTCGTCGACTTTTTCTTCTTGGAGCATTTGGTCCATAAATCATTTCTTCATCTGGTGAATAACAAGCAATATTACGCAAAGGTTTACCAGCTGAATCAAATACTAATAATTCAGTTGACGTTCCAACTATAATATCATCATCCAATCCCATTGTTACACAATTTCCTCGACCATTTGGAGCATTTTTCAAAGGGAAACTGAATGATGGAATCATATTGATATCCAATACGAACACCTGTAACAATAAATTGAAATTAACATAAGTTTCTAGTTGTGTTTTCTCACCTTTTCTCTGTCAACAATAATAAATCTTCCCTTTGAATCGATGCAAACATCTAAAGGAGTATCGAATTCGGAAAATCGTACAGATTGAACAATTTCATTGCTCGTATTTATTTTGCTCAATGTTTTTGATTGCCAGTTCAAAACTGCAAGTTCATCATTTCCTATAAAAGCAAGACCAACTGCGGTTCCACCTTTCATTGAATCATTTGCCAAATCATTGATTACATCACCATTTTCTTTTACCATTCGAACTGAAATTGAATTGATATAATTTGGATAATAAATATTTAATTGAAAAAGAAACATACCTCGACAATTACCAGAATCAAGAACATAGAAAATATTATTCGGACCAATCACCATTTTAGTCGGATATTTGAATTCGACAGGCAATTGCCATTTATGCATATGATCATTTGATACTTCAAATTTCCATGGACTATTTTTGACTGGTCTTCCAAAGATTTTAACAGATATCGTATATTCGCCAGCAATTGTTGGCTTGAAATTGAAATCATACGTTCCATCTTCATTGTCTTTTATAATTACTGACAAATTATCAATTTTTGGTTCCTCATTTTCTGCTCCAGAAGGATTTTTGAAAGTAACACTCGCTTCAATTGGATCACCGCCTGTTGTACGAGCAGTTCCATCAACTTCGCGTGTTCTGAAGAAAATATAAGTTTTTTTTTCAAAATGTCAGAATAGTAGAAACTTACATTAGCCGAATTGAACTTTCAATATTAACAGATATTTGTTGAAATTCTTCGATTGTTGAAGATCCGGGAAAAGTTGAAGAAGCGTGAATTTTTCCAAATTCATCCAAACTTTTCTCAATTTCCATCATCATTACAGTTGAATCTGTATTGATTTTGAGAAAAGCGTTTTCTCTTGGTTCAATTATTTGACGTTGCCAATTATCTTCAGCTTCTTGATCTTTCAACTTTCTTGCCATCGATCGAACGTCAAGTGTTCCAGATGCCAATTCTTTTTCGAGCCTTTTCTTTTCGTCGTTTATTGCTTCAATTTGATCCTTCAGAATTTTTCTCTTTTCGTCTCTTCGTATTCTAACACTTTCAATTAAACGACGTCTTTTGTTTTCGATTGAATTTGTGAGTTCCTGGAATAATTAACGTTTTTTGAAGTGGAAAAGACATGGTAAAAATATAATGGTTACTGTAGATCACGAATTATTTGAATCTAAACTTTTTGTATTATTGAATTAAAAATACGTGAGAAATAAAAAACTAGGTCAAGTGATGTGGATTTGAAAACAGTATAGGTAGCCATGTCGTCAATTGCGATGCGGTTCTGCGTTGCGTGTTGATCTCGATATTTTCCATTGGATTTGTCAAATTTTCATTTCTAAAAACGTGTCGCCCACACGCATGTCGTCATCGCGACTGACGACATGGCTACCTATACTGTTTTTAAATCCACGTCACTTGACCTAGTTTTTTATTTCTCACGTGTTTTTAATTCAATAATATCAAAAATCACGTTTTACTTAAATAAATTTAAAGGTTCACGGCTTATCTGATCATTTCTAATTTCAAAAGGTATCAGTTATTTCGTTTTTTTTAATTCTGGAACAAATATAATCAGAGTATACAACCGTTTTGATTTCGAAAATCGGTCCCAAATAAAAGTCCCAACAAAAATAATGAGAAGAATAATGTTTGAAATAAAATATGAACTCAAAAAGTGAAATTTACGCGCAATTTTTGTCGTGATCTACCTACTTTTTGGGGTCTAATATTTTTCGAGTGGAGGGTAACATTTCATTAATTGATGAAAAGTGCTAACTATAATTGAACTAAAAAGGGTATTATTATTATCGGAAAAATAGAGGAAAAGAACAACGCGAAATATGTAAAAACAGTTTGATGGTGGAAGAGAAAAAAAGATGCGAAGGAAAATGAACGCATAGCGCGAGCGAAAAAAAAGAACTAGACAATACGCGAGGGAAACAATCAAAACAAACACTGATCTTTATTTGTTTTTTTTTACTTACTTGCATGACATTATTAATGTGTACTGAAAGACTATCAACATTTCCATCAAGTTGATTCACTTCGTTATTCACAGCAATACTAGCAGCTTCTAATGCTCGAAGTCTTGATTTCACTCGATAAACAACAATTTCAGACATTCTTTTCAGAGCAATCGATAATGGAACTACTGTATGTTCATTACACTTTTTACTGAAATATTAATTTTTTGGATAAATATTTAGAAAAGAAACTCACTTCACAACTGAAAAAGTACACGTTTCGCAAAATACTAAATCACAAGTTTCACAGTATAATAATTGATCGTTTGGATGAGATGTACAAGATGGAACCACGTCTTTGCGTTGTTTCTAAACTATTGTAATTGAACATCTGTGAATAGTATCTAAACAAAAAAAGAACACACCTGCATCACATCTAACAATTGATTAATGAAAAACGCAGCCGGCAATGATGAAACCCCTCCAGGTGGAAGGACACAAACTTCACGACACAATGGACATCTCAATGATTGTGGTTCAGTCTGAAAATTCTAATTTTCCAAAGTTTATCGAAAACATTAGGGATTAGTTTTGAGGCCAAATTTTGAACTATTTTTCTGAACTTTTTTACTTATTGAAAAATTTTATAGAATTTTTTTCTAGATTGGTCAATTAGATTAGTGGGTTCACTATTCTTCTTATGACCCTTAAAACTTACATTTCCAGCGTGTGCAACAAGTTGAGTTAAACAAAACAGGCAGACCGAATGAGAACACGGTAGAAGTTTAGCTTTTCTTGATTCCTGAAATAATTATTTTTTATCAAAAAATTTCTTATCAAGTTGCAAAATAAATTTTTAATGATGTCCAGCTGTGAAATATATTTATGTTAGATTATACAAATATGTGTAATTATGTATAAATTAGTATCAAAGTGTTTGCCTCTTGAAAAATATATCAAGTGAGCCAATAAATCTTGCTATTTCACTCACTCACAAAACAAAAACAAATGTTACACACCAAACAAACAATATGCATCTACACATAATTTTGAAATCGAGCCCCTTTTCCCTCCAAAATCGGAAACTCGCACTCTCAAAAGTCTATTGCGCAAAAAATATTATAATACTAAAGTGGAAGGAGGGGGAAAATGTGCATTTGAAATGAGAGAATGTATTCTCAAGAAGAGAATTAGAGATGTAGAGAGACAAAAATCGAAACAAACCTGGTCATATGTATAAAGGCACGTGCTACAAGTTAGAAATGTTTCCGAAAAATCATCCACATTTATATTAACTGTTTCTACCAACGAAGTAGTTATTGAATTTGGAGTTGAAGGTGCTGCAGAAGCAGCTGCTGCTGACATTTGTTCCGTTTTCGGTTTTCCCCAAAGTTCTCTCACCTGAAAGAATATAAATTCAAATATTCATGGGAAACAAAACAAAAAATTAGCAATTCAATTAAAAATTGTTATATTTTTCATAATAATACATGAAAAACAAACAGTAAAGGGGATTATATTAATGTTCTTATTTATGAGAACATCTGTACTCACAAGAAAAACAAAAACAAAACCCCATTAGAGTTTTTTATTCGCAGAAAAATAATACACTATAGTGGGAAAATAAATTCGGAATCTTTAGAAGTGTGAGAGAGAGAGAGAATAACAAATAAATAACAACGACCTTGATTGATTTATCAAATTGACAAAAAATACGAATATTTGAACAATTCGATAAAAGTTTTGCTAAAAGTGCCTAATCGACCGTTATTATGTATATTACATACAAATACAAATACCACAAAAAACTGGCCAAAAAAGTCGAAATTTTCCGCTGCAATGGCCTTCGACAAAACGATTGAATACAGTCGAGTGAAATATCATATGACAGACGTTTTTCGAATTAAATGCGAAAAAAAAACACAGATTGCTAAAGCGACCTATTTTGAAAATAGTGGAAAATTGTAATCTTGTTATCAGTACAATTATACAATAGCGGGAAAAATGGGTGACAAAACAAATATCATTTTTATTTGCACTGTAAAAACTATGAAATAATCATAAATATCTGTGTGGCAATAAATTGTATTATTGTTCCAGATAACAATTGGTTCCTAGATATTTGATATTTTTTAATTTAGATATAGAGGAAAAAGGATTAAGTTGAGGTAAAAGAGAAAAGAAAAGGTAGAAGAGAATCAGACGGGATGCTCAAACAGAGACAGCTCGAGACAAAAAGTAAACAAAAAAGCACAGGTGGAAGAAGGAGGCCCCCTGTTAACGGCCTTTTTGTCCTCTCTGTCACATGAGCTATATTTTTTTGTCGAAATATTTGGAATAAACAATTTTTTGGGAAAATCAAATTGCAAAATTTAGAAAATTTGTTACAAAAATAATAAATCGATGAACCAGAAAATATAATATTTACTCATGAAAGTATGAATTCTCATTTTCATTGGAAAAATAAGTGAATTAGAAAACAAGTTCTAGCCCTGTTTACACAGTTTTTGAAAAAAAAACTCACAATTTCAATCTGGAAGTATCAAAGACTCTCAAAACCTGCTTGTAATTATTCGTCAACTAGAAAACCTAGATCAAAAGATGGATGACATGAGTATATTGTCACGTGGAAATTCTCTCATGTGAGAAGAAGACGGAGAAAAAAGGGAATAATTTTGTGAAGCGTGTTGCCGTCTTCTCCCACTATTTTCTTCTCTTTTCTTGGCCTATCGCAAATTGCGCTTCTCTCCAGATTTTCAATTATATTTTGCATTTTTGAATAATGGAGAAGGGCAACGAAAAAAGAATAACGAAGAGAAGGAAAAAGAAAGAAACTAAAACAGCTGACAGATCAAAAGAATATGAGATTCACGAGAAAAAAGAAGAGAAAAAAGATAACAAAACCACTGAACAAAAACTGGATTGTTTTTGGATTTGAATACGTTTTTTATGACATCGGCTTAACAATTATTTATGGGAATATTGCCTATTTGAAATTAGACCAATTTTTATTGAGAAATCTCAAGTTCAAATTCTTGGTCAATTATTTATCAGAAGTTCTCCCGAATTAAAAATTTAAGTTTCATGTGGAAACAAGATCTGGCTTATATCAAAAATATGTGTCAAATTTCCTCTTTTTTCCAACTCATGGAAACTTGATTTTTAAACAAAAATTCAAGAAAAAAAAGAAATTTTCCAGATGTTGAATCTAGAAAATTAGTTCAAGAGATGCATACAAATTCAAAAAAAAAACTAGCTTTTTCAAAATTCTCACAAACTGGTGTCAGTCGATGTTGGTGCATGCATTTGTTTTTTTCTCCGTCAAGATCGATGAGAGATTGAGAGAAGAAGACAGAGGACTTTATGCACCGAGGTAAGAGACGGAGAGAGGGCGAATAAGGGTTTTGTTGCGCAACACACAAAAAATAATGAATGAATAAAATATGTATACCTTGACAAAGAATGAACTTTTTGTGTGTGTGTAGAAAAACCATGAGAGAACCATAAACCAGATGGCCCAAAAACATTTTTGCGATCCAAAAAAAATGTCGTTTTCTCTCATGAAATGGCCATCTGTCTTCAATTGTAAATTATTAGTGGTATAAATTGATAGTGACAGTTTAATTAATTGCTAATTTCTGAAAAAGGATCTTGATATTTTAAAAAATGCAGGGAAAAGAGTGAAACTTTGAACTACGAAATCATATTGAACCTGGCTAATTTGCAAAATTTCTCAGATTTGGAAAGTTTCGTTGAATTTTGTCCAGCAAACTGATTTGAAAATTGTTCCTCAAGTTTTGACAGAAGTTAATTTGGGTAATTCGGAAGATCAGAACAAACCTCCGATAAAACATCAAATCCTCGAATCGAGACATGTTTTTCGAATTTAAAAAACATTCCCAGTTTTTTGGTCTTGAAGTTATTTACCAAACTTTTTTTGGATTTCTCTCGAAGATTCTTTGGTCTCTAGCCGTGTTACTCAGAACTCAACGTAACCTGATATATCAACAAATTTTGGCTTGCGTCCAAACTGACTACAGTAATCTGATAAGTCTGATAAGAATTTTTGTTTCAAAAACCAAACTTCGGAAAAATCGCAGATGAAACTTGTTAACGATCAACTATTTTTTCTGTTAGATCCAATCAATAAATCTTGGTTCCCGCAGAAAAAGATGCCGGTTTTGTTGCGTAATTGTGGTCACTCTCTTTTCTCCCTGTCTGTCGTTTCTTTCTTTATGAGAAGAAGGATTGTTTCTCTATGTGTTGACCCTCTCTTCTCGTGTCAGGCAGACAAAAACTTTTTTTTCATTTCATTTTATTTTATTCATTTTAATATAAAACTGTATTGTACTATTTTTACAGGAATAGACCGTAATCAACAATGGGGGAAAAAGGAATTTTTTCGAACCAAAATGCTGGTTCTTCGATGACATCTTATGGTGGAATTGTTAATGAAATGTTTGAAGGAACACAAAGCATACCTTCATCTTCAGATTTATCCGAAAAACCTGGCAGACTTATTCGAGGTAAGCATTTTTCAAAAATTATAATAAAAAACAAGATTGTTCGGGAAACAAAAAAATAAAATCTGAAAATTAATTTTTAAATTCCAAAACTTGGGTCACGTTTGAATGATTATTTTTAATTCAAGCACGCGAGTATTTTAAAAATGAATAATTAATTACCCGGAATTCAAAAAAAAAAAACCGAAACATAGAACAAAAAATCATTATTTTCAAAAGTTATTCTACCATTTGGCTTTGGTTAATCTGACACATTTCACCCTGCAATTACTCTTGCTCTCTATGTCTATTTTTGTCCTCCATCTCTTTGAGCACACAAACACTATTTCTTTCTTTTGCTCTCCATGTTTGCGTCCTTTTTACGCTAAACCAGAGACCTTTTTTATGCGAGACGAGATTAATTATTATTATTGATTTTAATAATATAATTCCAAATTTTGCAAAGAGTTACTCAAAGTTTTTATCAAATATAAATCGATGATAAATCGAAAGTTTGCTTACTAAAATTGTTTATTTTATTCTCCTCTTTCTCGCTTTTCTCTCTCAAACCCTATTGGGTTTCATTTATATTATTCATCATCATTCAAATTGTTATCAGTTGATTGTCTGAATTTCTCCGATTTGCACACTATCTAGAGTTGTGATTTGGCAAAGAAGTAATGAACTCGGAGCCATCATTTGGTCCAAGCACAAGTTCTATGGATCATCGGGTGCCTATTCCCGAAGGTCCATTTGTTGGTGGGGCTGACGGACCAGGAGCCGGTTCTGTTAATCCAAATTTTGAACAATGTAAGTTATGAAATATCGTTTGAAAAGTATGACTCATAAAACAAATAAAAGTTTCAAGAAGATTAATTTTTAAACTAATTTTATTCCGAATTTCAGATGAAGAATCAGGAACAGCAACACATCGAGAACCAAATGGATCAACTGCTGGCGATGCATCAAGTATGGAATTCTCATCATCGCGAGAAGGTGGTCTTTCTACAATATCCGGTGTTTTTGCTCCCGTTGCTCTCAGCATGTTCAGTATATTATTATTTATGAGAATGGGTGAGTTTTTGTTTATTAAAAACATTATGTTTCAAATTTTAATCTTCTGAATTTTAGGATTTGTTGTCGGTCAGTTAGGATTTCTTGTTACGATTGTACAATTAGCAATGGCATATGCAATAGTTATGCTTACTGTACTTTCTTTATGTGCAATTTCATCAAATGGTGCTGTTGAAGGAGGTGGTGTGTACTGTAAGTTTTTGGATAACTTTAGAAAAATTTTTGAAAGCATAATTTCAGACATGATCAGTAGATCTCTTGGTCCTGAATTCGGTGGAGCGATCGGTGTTCTATTTTTCATAGCTAATGTCTTTTCGTGCGCGTTGTATATTTCTGGATTCACAGAGGCTCTTCTGAACAACCTTGGAAATGGCCGTATGTTTTTGAAATTTCTTCAACTTTCAGATTCTCCATTTTCAGAGTTTCCTGATTCGCCAATGTGGAAGTTTGTTTATTGTGTACTTGTTTCATTCATTCTTCTACTTCTGTCACTTGCTGGAGCTGGAATATTCGCAAAAACTGCTCTCATAACATTCATCCTCATCTCAGTCTGTTATTCCACTTGGATTTTTTCAATTATTTTCAATGGACCAATGGATGTACCAATTCCAAAGGTGAGAAAATGTTTTTCGAATAAAACAAAAACTGATTTTGATTATTTAGGTTAATGCTCAAGCATATAAATTGTATAATAATATAACTGATGAATATTACGAAGATTTTTCACAAAATCTCACAGGCCGTTATACAGGATTGAGTTTCTCAACTCTTGGTGAAAATATGTTCTCTAACTATACATCCGATTATACGACTGGAAAAGATACTGATTTTGCATTGATGTTCGCAATTATTTTCTCTGGTGTAACTGGTCTTATGGCTGGTGCAAATATGTCTGGTGAACTTGCTCGTCCTTCAGTATCAATTCCACGTGGAACTGTACAAGCTGTTTTCACAACATTGATTATTTATATAATGACAGCTTTGTTAATGGCATCAACTGCAAGCAGACATCTTTTGCAAAATGATTATACTGTTATGATGGATACTAATTTCCAACGATGGTTTATTTTGATTGGTATATTTTCGACAACTCTTTTTTCATCAATGAGTAATTTGATTGGTTCATCTCGAGTTCTCAATCGCCTTTCACATGATAAACTTTTCGGATGTCTTCTTCGACCAGCTAAAATTGAAATTGGAGATAGAAACCCAGTTGTTTCTGTTGTCATCAGTTGGATTTGTGTGGTTCTTGTATTCTTGATTGGAGCCATGAATAAAATTGCCAAATTAACTTCGATCTTCTTCCTTCTCTCCTATATGGGTGTCAATGTGGCAACATTGGCTTTGGAATTGACCAGTGCACCAAACTTCAGGTATTTTTCAAATTTGGAAATATGTTGTTAATAAAATCATGATTTATAGACCAACTTTCAAATATTTTTCGTGGCAATCATGTGCTCTTGGAGTTCTTGCAACTGGAACAATGATGTTAGTTGTGGATTCATCAATGAGTGCAATCGGAGTAGTATTCTTATTATCACTTATCATGGTTTTGCATTATCAAGCTCCAAGTGTTTCATCTGGTTCAATTTCTCAAGCTCTGATCTACCATCAAGTCAGAAAGTATCTCTTGCTTCTTGATGTACGAAAAGAGCATGTCAAGTATTGGAGACCTCAAATTCTTCTTCTCGTTTCTCGTCCAGCATCTGCTTGTTCGCTTCTCGATTTTGTGAATGATCTCAAAAAATCTGGACTTTATGTAATTGGACATGTGAGAAAAGGGGAACTCGAATCAAGTCAAATAGTTGATCCACTTCAACAAGTCTTTCCCTATTGGTTATCTCTTGTTGATTATTTGAAACTGAAAGCATTCGTTGAATTGACTTTATCAAATAATATCCGACATGGAATTCAACAATTAATGAGATTATCAGGTTTAGGAGCAATGAAACCAAATACAGTAGTTATCGGTTTTCATGAACAACAACCTTCAAGTGTAACATTGAAAGAATCTCAACTCTTGAAAGATTTGAGATATTCGAAAATTGATCGAGCCGCTGTTGTGGAATATTTCACTGCTGGTGATTATATGCCAAGAGAATTGGATGGAAATTTGGAACGATTGAGTTCAACAGATTATGTGAATGTATTGAAAGATGTTCTTCATATGACAAAGAATTTATGTGTTGCAAGACATTTCTCAAAACTCGACAAAGAAGCATTGCAAAGAGGATGGAATGGACAAAAGAAGTTTATTGATGTTTGGCCTGTCGATTTGCAAAAACCTGTTGAAACTGGACTTGGTTGGGATAACAGTTCTCTGTTCTTACTACAATTAGCTTGTATTCTATCAATGTCATCGAGATGGAGATCGTATGCCAAATTACGAGTTTTCATTTGTGTGAATAGTTTACAAGTGAGTTTTTTCTTACAATTAGAATATAAAACATCAGAATCGAATAAATTTAGGACATGCACCGACGTGAGCGACAATTGAAAGGTGTTCTGGATACACTTCGAATCAAGGCACAATCAATTGTTGTACCATGGGATCACGTTGTTTGTCATTATCAACAACCACAAGGTTCTAATTCTTCAGTCAGGTAATTTTTTTCTTTCTTTAGAGTAAATCTAGAGCTAAAATTGTATATTTTCAGACCATCTACTGAACTTCCAAGTTCTTATATCAGTGCATTCAATGATATGATCAAGAGATATTCGGAAGAAGCGGCAATAACACTTTTAAATCTTCCACTACCACCCGACGATGCCGAGTTGGATTCAGAAAAGTAAGTATTTACAAAAACAAAAAAACAATTATAGATCCGTAAGACAAAACAATCGCGTGAGTACTGGCTGTTGCGTGATATATCATCGTAAAAGCTGTCAAAACCACGCAAAATCAAAAATCGATAATATTTAAATTACCGTGTGAAATTAACTATAATTCACTCGGAGGAGATATTCTCATATTTATTTCATTTTTTGCAGATACTTGGAAGTCATTCGAAATTTGACCGATGCTCTTCCGCCAACTCTTTTAGTTCACGGTGTATCTTCTGTTATCTCAACTGCGCTCTAACGCAATACTTATTTGATATTTTAATTTTAAAAATTACGGTGCTTTTGACATATTTTCGACGTACTTACTTAAAATGTAGAGATATTGTATTATTGTATCATTTATTTATTTATTGATTGATTGATTGATTAATGTGTAATTACTTGATTGTGATAAATCTCTTATGAAGGAAACATCCAAGGTGCAGATCCAATTTGTCGAATTCCACCATTTCCCCATCCAACAGGTATTCCACCAATTCGACCAGATCCACCCATTGAAATACCGAAATCTCTTTGATAATTGAAACTACCAACACCATATTGAACTCCGAGATTTGAAAATATTCCAATGTTACCCATTCCTAAAATCAAATATTATTTACCAAAAAAAAAGAAAAGAAAAAAGGAAGAATATCACCAGGTCCATATGGAACTGGATTTGTTCCAGTATCTTCTCGTGCAAAACCAGTTCCTTCTGCTGTTTCTTCATAATTATACCATTTTTGATACTCTTTTAATGATGGTCCACCAAAAGTATCGATTATAGTTTCACGATTCCGATTATTTCTAAAATATAAGAGAAATTCAACATATTGAAAAAAACTCACTTTTGTTGTCTTTCGGGATTTTTGTAGCTTTCACATTTTTCTGGATTTAGACGGCAAACAACATCAGTTAAACTTCGACTGAATACTGAAATTCAATGTTATTTTCGAAACATTTTACAAAATAAAAAGTTACCGGAATAGAATATAGAAAACAAAAAAATCAATAAAAATAAACGTGACGGCATTGAATCGGGTTTGTAGTAATTATAATGATATCAATGTCAAAAAGTGTACTTTCAATTGCGCGTTTAAAAAATGTGAATTCGGTCAAGCCAATTATTGATTATTTGAAGTTGAATTATAAACGACAACAATTCATTAATCATCATCATTTTGACGAAAAATTTGAAAAAACCAAGAAATAAAAACATTTAGAGGGGCGGGTCAAGTAAAAATTCAAAAATTTCGAACAAAAACTAAGAGACTAAATTTTTTGGATAATTAAAGTTTTGTGGGTTGGAATAAGAAACCGGGGAGGGTGAGATTAGAAAAAGAAAGAGTTCCCAAAACAAAACATATATAAATATAACAAGAATTGGAAAGAAAAAGCAAGAGAAATTAAAACGAGGAGCCCGAGAGTTGAAGACGAAAAAGATCAGATGGAAAATTATTACAAAAAAAAAACACGGTGGATATTACTGTAGGAAAAAACAACAGTAACACTTCTAAGTCCTAGAAAAAACATAACAAAAATATACACGCGCAGACAAGAGACAGGGAGAGAAAAATAACCGAACCCGGAAGAAGAAGAAAAAAGGAAATAAAGAGAATAATAAATATTATGGGGGAGATATGATGAAATGGAGAGATTGAAACAATTTTGAAGAAAATTAACGACGAGATGGATTAACTGGAGCAGTTGGAACTGCATCAATTTCACCTTTGTTGAGACGATCAGATGCAGCAGCTCCGCGGAAACCCAAAATATTTCCATCAAGAACCATGCGTTGATTCTAAAAAAATATGGTTTTAATTTTTAGTCTAAAAATTCAAATTTCATTTTACAATTAGAGACAAATTTGAAAAAAATTAGATTCTTATTTTCAAATTTCAATATTTCATTCTGAATCCTAATCAATAATTATTCTCACCTTCTTCTTTTTCTTTCCTTGAACACCAGCATTATTTCCATTCGATCCATTATTCGAATCAGATGGAGCAGCTGAAACAGCACGAGCTGATGACAAATCGTCATGATCATTGGTTTTGTTGTTGTTTGCACGCAATTCGATTCGTCTTTTCAAAAATTCGCGAACGAATTCTTTGACCGATTTATTTTCGTCCAAATACGACATAACGATGTCTTCGACCTGAAAAATAACAATTTCGATGAATAATCACGAAATAAAATATCGAAAAACTAGCAATTATTACAGTATCTACCTACTTATATATGACATATGATTTATCAGTTTTCTAAGATCTCAAAATAGCTCTTTATCAAAATTCAGAAAAACAGAGAACATGGAGAAGATAAGCAAAAATGAATTATTTTTAACTCTCCCACATCGGTATATTTGTTCAGATATAAAAATAGGTTTCACTCAAAGTTATTTATAAATTATGTGTGTTTGAACAAACAAAACACTTTCTCTTCCCAGAATTTTCGCGTGAACACGAGGTCATTTTCAGTTTTAGAAAATAAAAAACGGAAGAAAAACTAATAAACATTAATGCATACTTGAAACAAAAATAGAAATAAAATAGATTTACTTGAGAAGATTATAGAAAGAAGCTTATATCGATTTCCAACAATATAATATTTATATATTATTATCCTACTTATTATAAAGTAAAGTATGATATTAAAAATGAATCAGACAAAAAATAATCACAAGGGAAATCCAATTATATGTTTTCGACTGGAAAAACTAATAAAGTGCAACTATACAACCGCACATATTTTTTTGTGCTGAAAAATACATTCGATGAAATGAGAAGAAAACGACATCTCCTAAAAAAACAAAAACGGCGCACGACTATTTTTAGACTACTTTTTTTGCTTTTGGTGAATAACTATTGTCTAAAGGGAAATTATCATAACATCCTATTTTTAGATTTTGTTATTGCTCATGAAAAAAATGGATACGAGGAAAAAACTTTTGGATTATGATTTGTCGTGAGTCCAATATAGCTTTAATTTGAAATAGAAAATTGAAACGGCGTCTATAATTTAATTTTAAATAATGCTTTGACTGAAAAAAAGAGAATGGGAAAGAAAAAAATGAAAGCTATTTTAGGTGTGAATTTGAAAAGACCAAATGTAAAAAGAGGAATTTGGAAACAATTACGTGACTTACAAAAACGTGAAATCTTGGCACTTTAAATAGAAAAATAAAATAACGAATTTCTCATTTCTGAATATAATAAAGACAAGAACTGGGAACTTTTCATAATCATATCAACACTATTTTGAATGTGGTAAGTCTGAAAATCTAATATTAGACATATTTGTGAAATAACCATGTGAAAATGACTAAAAAGCATTATTTTCTGAAGCTATGAGACAAATTGATGTCTAGACAGACTGAATCAGTACAAAAATATTATTACAATTCTACTGGTAAAAAACAAACACTCCATCGAAAGTCAAACAAACAATAAATGTCTTCTAAAAATATGCCAATTGTCCTTTTGCGAACAAAAAAGGGCAGAAAAAGTACTTCGCTTGAATTCATATTCGGAACAATCGAGGGAGGTTCGAGAATAATTTGTGGAATGTATGTATTGAAAAAACATTTTGAACTCACCTCGTTTGGATTTTCCAAATCCATAACACATGTGAAGAGCATTGATGTATCAACTTCATCTGAATTATTAGATAATTGTTTGAATCGTTTAGAGAACCAGTTAGACATTTGCTCAGAAGCTTGTTGTTGTTTTGATTTTTGCTGAAAATATTTTGAATTATTCGAAATACGGAGTAAGGGTTTCGACAAGCTGATCAACTTATTTGAAAGTATTTTTTCGGAATTCTTGTTCATTTGGAACTTTCATCTTATCCTTCCTTTAAAATTAACATACATTTACCTCAACTACTGGTTTTGGTGTTGGTGCAACGGTAGCTTTTTTGGGTGGAGCAACAGCCGCAACAGGCTTAGCTGCAGCAACTGGTTGAACCTTTTTAGCTGGTTGAATCTTGTTGGCTGCTTCCAATGAAGGACCATCTAACAATGGTGAAACATATGAACGAGGAGATTCTTGTGCGCTTCCCCAAACTGGTGCTGCATTATTTTTCGATTTAGAAGATGGTGAACCATTCGAATTTCCAGCCCATTGTAATCTTGCAGAAGCATTTCCCCAAGTTCCCGCAGCTTGCAAACTCATTTGTTCTTTCTGTTCTTCTTTTTTCAATTTTGCCAATCTCTCAGCTTCGATCTTAGCTTGTCGTTCTTCTTCTAATTGTATTTCACGAAGAGTTTTTTCTTTAGCAGTTTCTGGTTTTGCTGCTGCCCAAGGTGCTGGTTTTGTATGTGTTTTAGCAACAGAAGTCCATCCACTTTCAGAATCATCGCTAGCAGTTGGAGAAACTTGTTTTGGTTTCGATGCTTTTTCGTAACTTTGCTCAATTTCGAATTTCTTTTGAGACAATTCTTCAGCAATTCGGCGATCTTCTTCTTCTTTTTTCTTGCGATTCAAAGCTTCCGATTCAGCTTTCTGGAAAAAATCAATCATTTCCACCGTATTTGTATTTTAAAACTAACCTTTTGAATATTTAATTGCCTAATTCTTTCAGCAGCAAGTTCAGATTCTCTTGCTAATCGTTGTTTCTCCATTTCAGCAGCTAATTCAGCTTTTTTTCTTCTATTCTCTTCTTCCATCAATTTTTGTGCCAATAATTCTTCTCGTTCTTTTCTCATTTTATCTTCAGCAGCTTTTCTCGACAGTTCTGCATTAATTGCTCTTTCTTTTTCGCTCAATTGATTTTGATGTTCTTCGAATTTTTTCGTCAATTCAAGTGCACGTTCTTTGATCTCAGCTTCTCTTCGTTGCAATTCTTCTTGTTGTCGTTGAAGTGCAATTTCTTGTTCTCTGATTTGTTGATTTGTCAATTCTCGTTGAATATGCATTTGTCTAATCATAGCTTCTTGCATTTTCTTAATATTTTCAGACTCTTCAACAGCTCGTCGTGTAAATTCATCAGCGATTTTCATTCTTTCGGCGGCAACTTGCTTTTCAACTGTCGATTGAACAAAAACATCGATATTTCCTCCCCACATATTAGATGATCTATAATAAGAATAACTTTGAGCTGCGTCCAAGCTAACTTCGAAAATCTCATAAACTTACCCGAAATTTCCGAAACCAGGTTGATTTACAAGTTGTGGTGCAATACCATATTGAGAAAGAGATGTTGGTGATGTCCTCAATTTTTCATTATCTTCCACATAATCGAAAGGTGTTGTTTTTCCATTTTGTGCAGATAATTGTCCAATTGTTTGATATTTTCCATCTTCACCTCGTTTTATTCTCAAAGATTCATCCGAAAAATAACCCGCTTTGAACCAAGCAACCATTTGTTCTTTCGAGAATGGTCCTCGTACAGTTTCAGATGGATCCAAATAATAAAATTGAACTGGTTCTTTTGGCTGCTGAGCTGCAGCAGCTTGAGCTTGTGCAGCAGCAACAGCAGCAGCTTGTTGTTGAGCAGCGATTTGTGCAGCAAGTTGTTGCTGTTGTTGTAATTGAACCAATCGAAGTCTCTCAATTTCGAATAAACTTGGCAAACCAGTTATAACTGAATTTTGCCAAACAGCCGGAAATTGTTGTTGATTTTGTTGCGATTGGACTGGTTCTTGAGTTTGTGATGCGAAACTATCCGAAGTAGTAGCCGCGCTATCACTCATTTGTTTTTGTAAACTCGTGTTTGAATCAGGTGCATTTGAATCACTTGTTGATTTTGCAGTATTCAAATTGTTTTCATTTGGCGCATCCTGAAGCGAATCCAACATTTGTTGCCGATCTTTCCAAACATTTGTATTTTCGCGTACAGCACCATTACTCTTCTCATTCCTATTCCAAGCTAAAAAAAATTCAAATTATCATAATTCGATTTTGAAACAATTCTAACCTCCTCCGATATTACTAGTATCATTATTCCTAGTGGACCATGACTCGGATCTTCCCCAAGCTGGTCGAACTTTTTCTGCAGCTTGATTATTTTTAGCTCCAACAGTTGACCATCCACCTTGATCATCGGTTTCTTCGTCGCTTTCGCTTCGAGAAACACCGATACCACGTGGACGTTCTGAAATAAATAAATACTTGGGGTTTTTCTCTGAATATATTTTGTAATTTGATCATACCATCTTTGCTGTACAATTGTTCAGCTCTCGCATTATAAGGTGTACCAGATGTGCTTCCACCTCGACCAACAGCTGCAGGGCCACCTCCTCGTCTCAGCGCTGAATTGAAAAATGAATTATAATTGTTTATGTTATGAAAAAATAAGCGCTTATTTACCACTAAATTTCGCATAAGAATCATCAGAAGTTGCTCCATTAACCGTTCCGCCTCCATTTTCTTGTGGAGTTCGCCCGCCACCGCGAGAATAAAAACCACCACTTCCTCGAACACTTGCGCCTCCTCTTTGCGATCGTTCAGGCGTATTGCTTTTGGCTAAAATTGGAATCAATAAGGAATTTAAAGATTTTTAGTGATAATTTTCACTAACACCAACTAGTTTGACGTTGTGTTGTCCATCCGCCTCCACCCGGTGTTCGATTGACAGAAGAATTAGGCGAGTGGATATTGTTTGTCGAATAACCACCTCCATAAGCAGCACCGGCAGCTATTGAGGCACGTTCTGCATGCGACAACGATGACATTGCTTTCGACGAGTTTATGTTATGTTGAAGACGCTGCAACGAAAATTTGACTATGGTTTTGTATGTAGTATTTTCTTACCAGTTCTTGATCATTCAATTCATTAGGAGCAACAGGATTTTGGGCGATTTCCACAAAAAATGGACAATCTTCCAAACCATCGGGCGGATTAGAGTCTCTTGGCGCAAGCGCCAATAAATGTTCACGACCGTAACGGAAATCAGAGAGAATTGGTTCGGATAACGGATAGTCGTCTTGAACGTCATCAGTAACTGAAGCTCGTGGAGTCGAACCGACACCGCCACCACCACCGTGGAAAGTTGAACGCATCCTAGAAAAATCGGTCTAATAAAGTAGTTTTTCAATTAAAATTAAAAATTCATAGAAAAAAAAGAATTTCTCAAAAATAATTAATTTTACAGAATACCTATATCTCCCAAAAGACTGTCAATATCAAAAAACAACTTACCAGCTTGGATTAAAGTTTTGTTGAGCGGTATGCTCACCGGCAGAGGCAACTGAAGACGACATAATCGATTTGAGGGTAAGTCTGAAAGTTTTTATATTTCGCATATATAATTATTATATTCAAAATTTTGACTATATATTAAGAAGAAATCAAGAACATATAGACAGTAAAAGTATGGGAAGTTTATTTTCTCTATTTATTATTCATAAATTTATATAGGGACAATAACAAAAATGGAATAAAAGTTTAGGACCAGCTCCACATAATATTTTTAGGAGGGAAGAGGACGGTGAGGGTCAGCTGCCGAGTAAAAAAAAAGAGAGAAAGGGAAAAGAACATGTGTCGAAGTTCTCTCTCTCTTTCTCTATTCTCTTCTCTTTCTTCTTTGCTGTTTTTTCAATATTTTTGTTCGCGTAAAAAAGAGACAAAAAGAAAAATGAATGGGCGTTGCGGTTGCGTTTTTGATTAGAGCAAATTTGGTTGCTTTGGTTAGTTGTTATCACAAAATATCAGTATACAGAAAAAGTTTTATGAAAAGTGATAATAATATAAATTATTGGGTGATAAAGAGCCACGTCAAAATAAATGAAAAAATTCATCACCAATTATTAGCGAATTATATACAAAAGGGTGGAAGAAAATCATCAATGAACGATCAGAGGAAGATTATGTGAAGAAAAAATCTATGATTATCCATAGACAAATGTTTAGGCTGTTAAGTTTAGCCGTTATTGTGTTGTAAAAGTTTGGGACGAGAGAAAAACGAAAAGAAAAACTTGAAGAGCAGTTCAAACGGTTTTGAAATCTACAGTAGTTTTTCCAGGCTATTCTTTGCGCTTCGAGACACACAAATAGTTTATTCAATGTTTCGTTAGTACTGTAGCATAATTTATTTCATTTTATTTTTCACAAAAATCGTTTTCCGGCGTTTTCAATGAGAATCTGATTAAATTCCAATCGTAATCGAGTTGCTTCTTCTTTAATTGGCAAATAATCGAAACTTTCGCGTGACATTTTCATTTCATTTTCTTTCATTTTACTTCGCTCTTTGATTTCGCGAATTTTGTGAAACTTCTTTAATTTCATCTGGTTTTTTGGTGTTTCCATTGAACTTCGAATATTATTATATTCCATCTGTAGTTTTTTGAATTCGCCTTCAACTTCAGGCAATTGTTGTTCGAGTTGATTTTCTCGAGTTTCCAGTTCCTGAAACTCATAGTAATTTTTTGTTGGCGAAAAATAAATAAGTTTCTCTCACTTTGAAATATGTTTCATCATCCATATCCATAATCCTTTGTTGTTCTTTTATTTCTTTTTCGATTTGTATCTTTTTTTCATTCAATTGATCAGTTTGTTGATTTATTGCCATATCCATATCTTCCAAAGAAATTAATTCATTTTGAAGTCTAACATGCACTGAAATTTTAAACGAATTGTGAAGTTTAAATTTTCTAGCGATAAGAATAAGGAATACGAATTTCAAACTCACTTTCTTTCAATTCAGCAATATTTCCTGTGTTCAAATCAAGACCTCCTTCATCCATATCATTTATTTGATCATCAATATTCACTTTTCTCAAGTTTGCTGATATTTTACGAAGATTCAATACAATAGCATTTGCATATTCTTCTAATTCTTGTTGCAGTAATGGCATTTCTTTCGGATATGTTTGAAGAAGATCTTCGATTTGATGATCTTTTGAAAGAAGATCCAGATATTGCGCATGATGTTTCACTAGAATAAGAATAATTATTTAATTCAACAAATGGATTATTATTACCGTGTTGAGAATCGTCCATAGATTCATATTCATGTAACTCTTCAGAAGCCTGTGATACTTGTTCTTTTACTTGTTCACATTGTTTGTCAATAACTCCTATATCCAAGTTCAATTGTTTCATTGATTCAATCAATTTTTCCTTTCTTTGTTCTGGGGTTTCCTGAATAAAAAAATGGTTGTTTTAGAAATTCATTTTGTTACTATCACCAAATTACTAGAAAATTTGAAATTTATACGATTCAAAGAACATTTTTCGAAAATGTTTCATTTCTAAACTCGCAAAAAAATTTGACCTACAAGCTGTTGCCGACAGAAAAATGCTCTACTCTTTTGTATTTTGTACCTGACTGTTTTTATCATCGAGTAATTGTTTTTCAATTTTTTTCATTCCATCCAATGTTTCTTGCAAAGCCATAGCCTTTTTCTTCATCGGATTACTTTCCAATTCCATTTCATATTTTGCAATTTGTTCATCCATTTCTTCGATGATTTTTTCCATCTCAGCAACTCTTTCTCTCAAAATAACACTTTCAGCTCTTAAATCTTCAAATCTTTCTTTTTCTGATGGTTCCTGAAATTATTTTATTTGTTATATTTTCAGGAAAAAGAATTCTCACCATTGCTGACGTCACTGCTTCATTCAATTTTTTCTGCTCTTCAACTTCCATTTGTAAGTTTTGGGCTTCTTCTTCTTTTTCTTGTCGAACTTGGAACATTTCGTCCAATTCACCTTGTAGTTCGTCAGCTTTTTCTTTCAATTTTGTTGCTTCGATTTCAATATCTGTCATATCACCATTCATATGCATTCGATCAAGAAGCTAAAACATTCATTTTTATTAGAATTCCGAATACGGGCTAGTGGGAATTCTGAAGTTCTAGAATCAACAGGGTTCCAAAGATAGATTAACATGAGATCGGAACAACTTCCGGGGTATTTCTCGAGATCTTTTAGATTCCGAAAAAAATCCGATTGAAAAATCCGGGGATAACTTACCACATTCAAATCAACCAGTTGTCCTTGTAAATCTCTTATTTCCAATGCTTGTGCCTGTGCTCTTGATTCATAAGCATGTAGTTCATTTCGATCTTTTTCACCTTTTTCTTTTCTTTCGCGCATTCTCGCAATTTCCACATTCAACATGTTAATTTTCGCTCTCAAAACTCCCATGAAATATGTTTTATCGAAAACCTGTCTAGAACTAGCAGTTCCCATTCGACTTCCCGGTGCTCGCAATCCTTGCTGAGTTGCTGGTCGAATACTACTAGAAGGTGGTCTCGCCATTCCCGTAGTTGGACGAATTCCTCCTGATGTGGGAGGGGCTCGGATTGCTTGACTCGGTGGTCGACCACCCATTGAAGATGATGGTGGCGGTGCAGATTGTTGAGGTTGTGGATTAGGATTTGAAGGGGGTGCACCACCCATTCGAGACATTGTTAATCTGGATGGAGGTCGCTGGATTCCAGTGTTAACATTCCCTGAATTGGTTTGAACTTTTCAAAATTATTGGATAGTTTCCATAGCTATTTTAGACACTGAAAATTTAATAATTATCCTTCAACTGAATTATATTTTCAAAATAAATTGAAAAATAATTATAAGTATTTTTTGAACACTAAATAATTATTGTAAATTTTTTCACTTACCATTTCCCGAAGGTGGTTGTGGATTTGGTCTACTTTTAGCAGATGGAGCACGACCTGATGAAGTTTTTGGGCGACCAGATGCAGTAGGTGGTCTTTCCATGTTTTTTTCAAAAAGAAAAATGGACAAAGAGAATAAAATTGCAAAAATTTGGTTTTGTCGCTATGGTAACCGTAAAACGCACAAGAATAATATTTTTATTATTAGGTGCATATATGTGAAAAAATATAATTATAATTTGCATAAAATATTCGAGATCTGAACTGCAGTTGAACGTTGATTTGTTTTGTCAGTGGCAAAATAATCTTTAAAAAATGATGTTAAATATTAAACTCAAAAAATATAAAACTTACAATCTGGTTCATCTGCATAATTTTTCAAGTTGCTGTTCGGATTGTTCAGAGATATTGTAATAACTATAAAATCTTTGGCTCTTAGTTTAGCTAGTGCTGAATTTGTTGATGTAGTAAATACGTCATCTTGTGTTCCAACAATAATGAGAACGTTGTCACCAGTATCTTCAGGTTCAGGTGTTCGGTTTGTGTCAATATACTCTAGAGCATCTACTACCCTTATTAAGGCGTCTGTTTTATTGGCGGCCGATTGTAATGTGTCAATGTTTGATTTATAAGAATCAAGACTTCTGAAAATGAAAAAAGTTATCGAAACTAATTAAATTGATAACTAACGTTATATCATTCCAATTACTGATAGTGTAGTTTGATGTTCCCGGGTACGGCACGTTTATCACTTTTGTATCTTGGCCAAATTGGTAAATGTTACTCACACTAAACAAGATTGTTCCAAGGAAGTTCGAAATGTCCTGAATTTATTTTCATCGACGGTAAAAATATGTTTTTATCCTAGAAAAAATACCTGTGAATCATCATTGAGCTCATAAGCAACTGCAATATTTCCCAAGAAAGGTGTATCTCCACATTCATTTACTGGCGATGATACTGTGCTATACGCAGAAGAGGATGAGCCTGTTAAAATATTCTGTAAGTTGCATAAGAAGTTGTTTAACCCACTAATTACTGTTGTTGATCCGGGAGCTGCAGTTGAGGAACCACTGACCACAGTTGTTTGAACAGTCGAAGATCCGGGAATCACAGTTGATGGTGACCCTGAGGGTTGCGCTGTTGATGATCCAGAAGCTACAGTTGAGCTACCAGAAATTGCTGTTGTTGGAGATCCAGTTGGTTGAACAGTCGATGAACCAGGAATGGCTGTAGATGGTGAACCCGAACTTTGAACAGTTGAACTTCCGGGAATCACTGTTGTAGGGGAACCTGATGGCATAACAGTTGAAGATCCAGTAGCCACAGTCGAGCTACCAGGGATAACTGTAGATGGTGATCCCGAAGCTTGAATAGTCGACGATCCCGGGATCACTGTTGTTGGTGAGCCTGATGGCATAACAGTCGAAGATCCAGGAATTGAAGTTGAACTACCAGGATTGACTGTTGATGGTGAACCTGATGGCATAACAGTTGATGAACCAGATGCGGAAGTTGAAGATCCAGGAATAGCTGTAGATGGTGATCCCGAAGTTTGAACAGTAGACGATCCGGGAATCACTGTTGCTGGTGAACCTGATGGCTGAACAGTTGACGATCCGGAAGCTACAGTTGAACTTCCGGGATTAACTGTAGTTGGAGATCCGGATGGTTGAATAGTGGAAGATCCGGGAATTACAGTAGATGGCGATCCCGAAGTTTGGACCGTTGAAGATGCTGAAGCTACAGTTGAGCTACCGGGAATCACTGTTGTGGGGGAACCTGAGGTTTGAACAGTAGAAGATCCAGGAATTACAGTTGATGGCGATCCCGAAGGTTGTATAGTCGATGAACCAGAAGCTACAGTTGAGCTTCCAGAAATCGCTGTTGTAGGTGATCCAGATGGTTGTACTGTCGTTGAACCAGGAATCACTGTTGTCGGTGACCCTGATGGCTGCACAGTTGAAGATCCAGAAGCTACAGTGGAGCTACCAGGGATAACTGTAGTTGGAGATCCGGATGGTTGAATAGTCGATGAAACAGTTCCAGGGTTGATTGTTGTTCCAACCTGTCCCAAGCTACAAATCAAGTTCGCAATTTGTTGAACGATAGCATTTTTATTTCCATCATCAACACTGAAGAAATTATTCGACATAGTATTGAAACGACTTGTTGGGTTGTTGATTGCGATCGAAACAACATTGTATCCATTTGATTTCAAAGAACTCAAAGAAGTTGTTGCGGCATCAACTCCGGTGTCATTTGTACCCGCTATTATCAATATTTTATTGCTTACACCATTGTTCGGACGTGATGTTAGAATATATTGAAGAGCCTCATTTATAGTTGGGGCCGTTTTCAGTGTGACTAGTTCAACAAAGTCGTTGATATTTTGCTGATAACTAGCAAGCGATCTGTAAAAATAGTTATTCATGAAATATGAATTGGAAACTTCTCGCGAGTTCTTATCTGAGAGCTTTTTAACCTACTTGATATCTCCCCAATGTTGCACTAATGTTCCATATGAACTTGTATCTGGATATGGAACATTGATAACTCGTGTCACATCACTGAATGAATAAACTTGGTTATTAAACAAGTTTTCGGCCAAAAAGTCGGTAACACTACGATTAATTTGTGTATTCTCAAAAGCGACAGCAATGTCACCAACAAATGCTGATGTACAAGCTTGGGGAGGTAGAGATGTTGTTGGATTATTTGTAGATGTTGCTGGGAGAACTGTAGAAGTTGCTGTATTTGTTGATTGAGAGACTGCACTTGTTACTACTCCCAAAGTTGTTGACGATGCAATAATTGTGGAAGCTGGTTGAGTTGTTCCAGAAATAGTTGTCGAAACTGATGTTGAACTGATAGACGAACCAGAAGATGCCGATGTCACAATTGAACTCGCTGTGTTAGCTGTAGATTGTGCTGAAACTGTAGTTGTCTGAGATGCTGTTGATGCGATCGAAGAGGCAATCGAGGATGTTGATGCAGCCGATGTTATTGGAGCAAGTGTCGAAGGTGTAATTGTGTTTGTTGCAGAACTTGATGGTCCAACAGTTGGTGTGCATCTTGTGCTTGGAGAAATTGTTTTACCATTTTTATTACAAGCAGGGCTCAAATTAACTGAAAAATAATATTTTACCTAATAGTTTCACTCAAAATCAACAAACCTAGAATATTGGCAATACTGTTGGCTACAGCTGAATTATCTCCATCTGTAATTGCAAACGATGCACCAGGTGAAGCCAAAGATTGCAAAGTTTGAGCTGCCACACCAGACGAAACCGTGATGATTTTGTAATTCTTTGCTTTCAATTGATCAGCGATTGGTTGTGCATTTGGAAGATCTGATGCATCACTTCCAACAATGATAATTGAAGAAACTGAAGATTTTCCAGGATTGTTCAAAATTTGCGAAAGAGCGCTGAAAATGAAAATAATGATTTAGTTACTAAAAAAAATCACATGACTCACTCTGATATTTTTGCATCTGTTAAATGACTTGACAATTCTTGATAGATCGAAAGATAATTACCGATTGCTGCTTCAGAAGCAATTGAACCATATGGTTGATATGGGATGTTAGTGTCCTTTGGATATGGAACAAGTTCTGCTTGGGTATAACTTTGCAAGTCATAGTTTTGTATGACAGATGGTCCGAAAATTGTCTGATTCAAGAAGTTGGCAGTAGTTTGATAGTTTGGATCATTGGAAGTTAATTGGTATGCAATTGCAAGGTCACCAGAATAAACCCAATCTCCAGCACAATTACAAGGATCAGCTGTAGTTGGTTGATTTGTTGATGGAATGACAGTTGACGGTGCAGTGGTTGTTGGTTTTATGGTGGATGAAATTATTGTAGATTGTGCGGCTGTGGTTTGTGCAACAGTAGATCCACTTGAACTCGATGATGTTATTGGGTTATTTGTAGTGGGAATAATTGTTGACTGAGCAGCAGTGGTTGAGGCAACTGTCGAAGCTATTGAACTTGATGGCGCCGTTGTTATTGGAGCAAGTGTCGAAGGTGTCATTGTGTTTGGTGCAGAACTTGATGGTCCGACAGTTGGTGTGCATCTTGTGGTTGGAGAAATTGTTTTACCATTTTTGTTACAAGCAGGATTCAAATTAACTGAAACATAAAACAAAGTTACAAAATAATGATAATTAACAAACCTAGAATATTGGCAATATTGTTGGCTACATCTGAATTATCTCCATCTGTGATTGCGAAGGAAGCACCAGGTGAAGCTAAAGATTGCAAAGTTTGAGCTGCAACACCAGACGAAACTGTGATAATTTTGTAGTTCTTTGCTTTCAATTGATCAGCGATTGGCTGTGCATTTGGAAGATCTGATGCATCACTGCCAACAATGATAATTGAAGAAGCCGAAGATTTTCCAGGATTGTTCAGAATTTGCGAAAGAGCGCTGAAAATGAAAATAATGATTTAGTTACTAAAAAAATCGCAAGACTCACTCTGATATTTTCGCATCTGTTAAATGACTTGACAATTCTTGATAGATCGAAAGATAATTACCGATTGCTGCTTCAGAAGCAATTGAACCATATGGTTGATATGGGATGTTAGTGTCCTTTGGATATGGAACAAGTTCTGCTTGAGTATAACCTTGTAAATCATAATTTTGTATAACAGATGGTCCGAAAATTGTCTGGTTCAAGAAGTTGGCAGTAGTTTGATAGTTTGGATCATTGGAAGTAAATTGGTATGCAATTGCAAGATCACCAGAATAAACCCAATCTCCAGCGCATGTACATGGATCAGCTGTAGTTGGCTGATTTGTTGATGGATTAGCAGTTGAAGGGGCAGATGTGATAGGGTTGTTTGTAGATGAAATGATTGTTGACTGAGCGGCTGTGGTTTGTGCAACTGTCGAAGCTATTGAACTTGATGGCGCTGATGTTATTGGTTGATTGGTTGTTGAAGCGGCAGTTGTACCTGGTGCAGTTGTAGTCGGAGCAATTGAACTTGATACAAATTGTGAGACTGTACTTTGGGTGAATGGAGCTGTGCTTGAACATTCACATACACATTGTGGAGTTGTTGTTGTGTAGGATACAGTAGTCGAAGGATTAGATGTGCTACTAGAAATTGTGCTCGGGTTGAATGTAGATGTTGTTGGACCATTTGTGGTTTGGAGAGTCGAACTTGGTACATTAGTTGATGAAACTGATGTAGATGGTAAGCTTGTTGAAGGGGCATTCGAGCTTGGTACTCCAGTTGATGGATTGTTAGTTGATGGTGTGCTTGTCGAAGTTGCGACTCCAGTCGACGGGTTTATCGTTGATTGTGATGTGCTTGATTGAATGGTACTTGATGAAGCAGTAGATGGATTTGAACTTGTTACTGCAGTCGAACTTCCGACTCCGGTTGAAGGGTTTATTGTTGACTGTGATGTACTTGCTTGGATAGTAGAACTTGGTGAACCAGTGGACGGATTCGAATTCACAGTTGTTGTGATTGGAGGCAAGGCAGTCGTTGGCAGTTGGTTGCAATATGTACTGTCTGTAATTTTGTTGAGTTTGGTAGATAGATTTTTAAATAATTTTTTTTTTCAAAAAAAAATTTTCAACGCTCATTGAGAGTAATTCGAAATTTCTAAAATATATTATTAACTTACTGAGAAGATTAGCCAAATTATTCGAAATTGTGTCTTCATCTGCATCACTTGTGATAGTTGCTCCATAACCGCTTTGACTTTGAAGTGGCGAGAAATTCGAAGCTGTGTTGTATGAAATAGTGTAAATATTGAAGCCCAGAGATTTCAAATTGTTTGCAGATTGAATTGATTGACTGACAAAAGCATCTGAATATCCTATCAGAATAACGAAACCTGGTTGACCATTTCGGGATAAAGATGAAATTGTTGTAAATGACTGTGAAATATCTGGATCTCCACCAGTGGACAATTGATCCATTGCTTTTAGAACTGATGAAATTTTTGAAACATCTCCGGCATAACCATAGTTCATCAAACTTGCTGATACTGTTGGATACGGAACAAGTGCCAATTGTGTTCCGCCCAAGTTTGGTTTGGATAAACGATACACTGCTTGATTAGCAAAAAGCTTGTTTTGTATGAAGTTTTGAATTTTTGTATCAATTGTTGATGATGGATCAGATAGTTCGAAAGCAACTGCGACATTTGATTGATAGAAACATTGATTCGGATTTGGTGACGTTGGTAAATATGCGGTTGTAGTTGGGACTGTAGAAATATATTGCGTTGTTGATAAAACTGTGGATGGTGCAGATGGAACAGGGGTATTTGAGGTGGAAGTGGTTGGGGGAAGAGAAAATGTGCTTGAGACAACTGTGGATTGTGGGGTATTAGTGGATAATGAGACAGTCGATGGAGAATTTGTGCTTGGCACAGAACTACTAGATGATGTGCTTGGAATAGTAGAACTGGCTAAAGTGGATGGGATAGAAGTGCTGGGTTTGTTTGTGGATGTCACACCTGTACTGGAGAATTCTGTGGAAGGAACATTTGTACTTGAGGAAACCGTAGAGGACCGTGGTGTTGAAATCAACGTGCTTGGTGCAATTGTACCTGTGGTTGGTGCATTTGTCGATTGAACGGTCGATTGAATGTTGGTAGTTTGTTGAGCAGTTGAGGGAGCATTAGAACTACTAGGTAATGATGGAACAGTAGAACTGGCTAAAGTGGATGGGATAGAAGTGCTTGGAGAGTTGGTTTTCGTGCTGGGTGTGGATGTCACACCTGTACTGGAGAATTGTGTGGAAGGAATATTTGTACTCGAAACACCAGGTGATGTGCTTGAGGAAACCGTAGATGATGGTGATGTTGAAATCAATGTGCTTTGTGCAATTGTACCTGTGGTTGTCGATCGAACTGTTGAACTTTGAGTGGTTGTAGTTTGCAAAACTGTCGATGGAATGTTTGTAGTTTGTTGTGCAGTTGAGGGAGCATTACTGCTTGGTTGGGAGGTTGATGGAACATTGGTAGATGGTTGAGCAGTCGAGGGAGCATTGGTAGATGGTTGAACAGTTGATGCCGCGTTAGTTGTTGTTTGAGCTGTGGACGGAGCATTTGTTGTCTGCTGAGCAGTGGTACTTGGTGAAAGTGTTGATGGAGCTCCAGTGGATGGAATTGAAGTGCTTGGCACTGCTGTAGTTTGAGTTGTCGCTTTAGCCGCCGTCGATGTGATGATAGGTCGTGAAGTTGGCCGTGAAGTCGTGGTACTTGTTCCAAAAGACGATTGAGCACTTGTAACTACAGTAGTTTGTGGATTGTTAGTGCTCATTGCTTGTGTTGATGAAACAAATGCGGCTGTAGTAGAGCAATCACAGTCTGGATTACTTTCTGTCTTGCAAACAACCGAAGAGGTGTTGACAGTACCATTTACTGTTGTTTTATCATTTTGAATTTGTGTTTCAACTTGAGTTTGGTCAGGAACTTGATTAATTGGTTTGGCTGATGAAACTACTCCGGATCCAATAGCTTGAGTGAGTCCATTGTTGTCTTGTCTAGAAAATGTTGAAATGTGTCCGAGTTCTTGTTTTTACTCTTTCTCTCCCTTTTTAACCCACCTGAATTCAGTTATCTGAACTGTCACAGCGTTTTGAGTTGGTGAAACTGCAAATGATTTGAAACGAGTTGTGGATGATTGTTGGTTCAATCCAGATTGAATAGAATTTTGAAGTTGTTGTGCAACTTTTTGAGAAGTTTCGTTGAACTCCTTACTATTAGGTATTCTGAGGTTATCATTCCAAGGACAAGATTCTTTTGTTAGACTTGTTTGAAGAGAGAATAATTTCGAATTACATTGATTTGTTGCACTTTCTGGACAAATTGGACAATTTGGAGAAGCAGTTCCAAAAACAATTGCTAATACTATTCCGACAATTCCAATTATTAACCCAGTTATTCCAACAACAAAGGATGCAATATGCACCCGCTCCATTTTATGGAGCATTTTGAGAAAAGTTCTGAAACAAAAATATTTGAGAAAAAATGAATCATTTCAAAAAGTTTTAAACATGATGATATTAAAATGATAGTATAAAGAAATTTTGAAAACGGTCGAGATAGTCAATGAAGAATGGTGACTGTGCAAAAAGAAACTTTCTTATCAGTTTTACGATAGAGTACTTTTTGCTAGAAATTTTTGGAACTATTGAGTTTTGAACGGAAATAGATATACAATTCTAACATAACAAAGGCTTGCGGAATTATTCGAATGGATCTCAAATTTAGAGTTGTTCAGTTTTCGCTTCATCGAATTTTTGTAGAAAGTATTGATATATAATTTTCCTGATTTTTTCTTACTGTGGTGGAATTTTGAATTTCATTGTTGAAACTCATGACCTATCTCAACAATTCTCCCTATAACTCAATTATTCGTAGATTGATACTTGTTGACTCTATTTTTATCTCATGAAGTTTATCATGGGTGTGCCTCATATGATCAAAGATTATCAATTTTTTTGGAAGAAAATGGTTTTATAACAGTAAGAAACGTGGAAGCGAGAAAAGTCAAAGAGCAAATTATAATAGAAAAAAGTAAAGGAAGGAATTCTTTTTGTTTGACACGAAAGTGACACTCGTGATATGAACAGTTTCCATTTTGAATGTTGCACATTTTTTATCATTGTTATTTATTCTCTAGTTGGTTCTGCTGAACTTTTGTTCTGAATACTGTACTATTCGAATCCAGAATCTTCCATGGAAGGAAAATTATTCGAGCAACATTCTCGTCATCAAAAAAATTAGATTTTTATTATCTGAGTGTATTTTTTCATGGTGTGACTCTTTGTTTCACAAAGACAATATTTTTTGGAACTATAATCTTCTCAAAAGTTGCAAAGTGTCCAAGAATCGGCTTATGTTATCAATTTCAAATTTCGAAATTGTTTGGATGATTCATGTGCTCCAAATAAATATTGATGATTTCATCATAGCTTCGAAATCTGCTTTCCTTTTTTTCAATTTTTTTTAAAAAAAAATTCTAGAAAACTTTGAACGTTGATATCAATTGAGATCATCACACATACTCGAAACTATTAAAAGATTGGCCGTTTTGAAATGTCTTATAATACTGATAAGACAGTTGATTATCGCACCTATTGCAGAAAAATTACATCATTTCGGGCACATTTTTGACTCTCGATCTTAGAATTAGTTTTTTTTTCCAAAAAAGAAAATTTTAAACAAATTTATTTCACAATAATATACATTTATGTATTCCTTATTGCAATGAGTAAAATCCGAATTTAGATTTTGTCAAAATTTTCGAAGAACTTCGAAGATGTGAAAAATGCAAGAAATAATAAAAGAGTTTTTCGGCGCCAGGAATAAATTTAAAACTGCTGAAATCCAATCTGAAACTGTTTTTGCTAGAACAACAAAAAACTTTGTGAAATGAAATGCTTCGATAATTGGCGGAACGAAAATCACCAATAAATAATATGTGACTAGAAAATAGACGATTAATACCAAACCGAGTTGAATGTATCCTGTTATACGAATTATATCTTGAAATATTTTTCTGAAACAAAATAATAGTTTAAGAAAGATTTAAGGGATGTTCAAGAACTCACAAACATTTTTCCAAGTACTGATTCATTTCTTTTTTTCTTACATAGTAAAAAACAATTGAAAAAAGTGGAACATGTAATAACAGACTTAAAATCATTTAAACTAACAATTCCAATGTCTGGAATAGAAATATATAGCATGGGAAAATATTTGTATAAAATTCTATATTGTTGGAACATAAAATCTATAAAAATATAACATAAATATGAAACACAGAATTGGAACCCGAGATTGATTTTATTTCAAATTCAATTCATAAACGATTATTATTAGTAGTTTGTTTTGCTGATTTTGAAAAAGTTCTAAACATCATAACTGATTTTTTCTTCTGACTTCCATTATTCATCATAACTCCTCCACCAAATCCAGCTCGATATTTATCATTTGCTCGTTTTGGAATAACTGATTTCTGATTTCTCTGTCCCATTCTCTCAGTTATACAATTTGCGATATAAATAGCCGCAACAACAACTGATAACATAATTCCACCCAAAGCAAGAGCCCATCTTGGAATTGCAGCATGTGCTGGACTTGAATCAATTTGAATTAGTCGATTTGCTTGGGACATTGCATTTTGAAGGGAGACAAGAGTTGATTCTCGTGTTGATGTTATGATTGGAATTGAGAATCGGCGAAGGTGTGGCCAATGATCGCTAAATTCACAATTTTGAATTTTGAACAATTTTTCAAAGTATTTTGAGTTTCGAGATAAATTCCCATGAGGATTTCACCATACCTATTGTGTTCCAATTTTTAAGATATTTACTTTAATTGTAGTCTAACTCTCTCTTTTCAAAACATACCCAAATATTGGTATAAGTAAAGGAGTTCTCAATCCAGTTTGTAAATTTTGAAAATAAACAAAAATGACATCATAATCACAATGAGATTTCCAACGATCCGAAAGAAGTTGAGCATAAATTATAGTTGAATGTGAAATTGTTGAAGATGGTGGAATCAGTGGATCACATTCTTGAATGCTGAATTACCAAAAGATTATACTTCATACGAAAAAAATAAAACGGAAAACTTACCTTTGCCAATTTACTGTAGGTAGTAGCAAAATGGCGATTTTAATACCCGCATCACAAATTCTATTATTAGCCAGACTACAAAAACACGATGTCATGTTGAGTTTTTTAACCGTTTCGTGTAATATTTCAATTTCGGTTCGAGATAATATTCCACCCGGATCACAAACATACGAAACCTTTAAAAATAATTTCTGAATAAAATTTGAACTAACTGTAAGATTTCAAATTCTCACATTGTGATAATCGATTTGACAAAAAGCTCGAAATTCCGTTGAAGGTGGAAGTGGAAATGTGCACGGACCTGATGAAATAAGACCACGTTTTTTAGCGATGCTGAAATATTCTGTTATTTTCAGATTTACAAGGGAACTCTGGAAAATAACTTTTGTTGGGAATTTTAAATTAGGAAATCTTTTTCAGGAAATCTCTGAGAATGAAAAAAATCTGAAAAAATTTCAACTTCGCATAAGCTCTTTTTTTCACCACAAAAATAAAAACCTACCATAATATAAAATGAAACTTGAAAATGAAAAAGTAGAATTTCAAATTTCTCATGCTACGCCTTCATTTGAGATTCGTGATATTTTTCTCTGAAAAAAAGAAACAGATTTTTTTCAAGAAAACACTTTTATTTTGAAAAAAAGGGAAGTGTTTGAGACACCAAACAATTGCTCTAATTTTCTCTCTTTTTTTTTTCTTTTTTGGAAAAAAAGGGTTGAAATATATTCGAACAAACAAAAAAAATGACAATTAGAGATACTTGAAAACATAGACTTTTCAAACAAAAAATTGAAAAATCGACTCGCTTTTTTGGTGAAAAACAGGTGAAAACAAAACACAATACATCATGTTTTTCAATTTCAAATTCTGAACTTTCCAGTCAATTTAGAGCACAATGAAAAATAGAAAAACATAGAGTAAATTATTGATGATGGCACGAAAAATTAATGACTTTATTCGTTTTTCCTCAGAATGCGAAAAATTGAAGAATTCACTGAAATTGGAAAAAGTGAAAAATTAGAAATTTTGTTGTCTCGCAGAAAAAGAAAAAAAAGCTATTCGAGGTCAATGGAGAGTGAAAAATTGTTGTTTGATGGATTTGATTTTAATTTAATTTTTTCAGGATTTTTTGCAAGGATACTGTAGAGCTCAATGTTTTTATACTTATTTTTTAGTTCAGAATCTCGAAAGAAATTTTAAAATGAAAATATTCAAAGTATTTGGAGCAAACGTAACTTTAGACAGGAATATCTTTATTCCGAGAATTATTCTAAAAATTAAGAATTTCTAGAATAATTTTAAATTCGAATTATTAAAAATTTAAATGACGTCATATCGAAAAAACCCAGTTACAGTATGTAATCCAAGTTTATTTTGAAAAATATCCAAAACATTTTCTAAATGTTTACCACAAATCAGAAAATATAATGTGGTTTTGTCTAAAAATAAAGCATCTCTAAAAAAATGTTCTGAAAGAAAAACAAGTCAGTCAATTGTCCATAAATCTTATTGTTTTACATATATTTTTCGACCTCTTTGTCTATTCTCAAGAGACAAATATACCAAAAATTCGGTTTTTTACGATCTTTCAGAAGAAGAAAACCAACAAAAAAAGAACGCCTCAGAGAAATGAGAAACGGCAAAAAAAAAAAGAGTTTGTTTCAAGAAAGCTCGAATTAATTATGTTAATTATGTGCGTGTGCTACCAAAATTGCCTCAATTTTCACGCGGAAAAGAATCAACAAGAAAAATTCCACATTTTTTGTAGAATTTAAAGAAGAGCTGAAAAATTCTGAAAAAATAGAGTAGAGAAAAAAACAACATACGTTCGTGTGGCTTAGAAACAAAACAAAAATTGAATTTTTCAATTCTTTGCAAGACAAAAATGTTTGGGATTTTTCAGTGTCAAAAAAGGGAGGAAAGAACAAAAAACGTAAAAATTCGATTATTTTTTGGTCTGGACACCCTCACTCCAAGAAAAAAAAAAAGAAAAACACTATTCCAATTAATCATCTACATTTTCTTGAAATCGAAAAAAATCTTGATAGATGTTCATTTTTTTCGTTTTTTTTTAAACCGAACACAAAATAAAGTACTTTGAAAAAAGGGAAAAGAAAAAAGTTCAAATGTTTTTTGTGGTCAAAAGATGAGCCACTTTTTGAGTATGAATGAGGAAGAAACTAAACAAAAAAAAGTGAAAGAAAGTAGGATAAGAAGAATTGGTCCCAATAGAAATATGGATAGAAACATACATGACACTCTTCTTTTCTTTTCTATTTTTTTGTTGGTTTTTTGACATCCATCTATTTTTGATAAAACAAAAGAAGTTGGATTTTTTCTTCAATTTCAACTGCCCCATAAAAAATGAAATGTGTTCTTTCTGTTATGCTCTTTCGAGAGACCAAATTTTTTATTTCAAAAAAATTTAAAATTTAGGAAGCTAATATTGTGAGATTTCCGAACTCTAATAATTTTCCAAATTATCCTATCATTGCGATTTCGTTTGATGATTTTGTTGAATTTTCTATTATTGAAGTAAATGAAAATATAAACTCTGAAAAATAGAATATAAAAAAATACAATTTGATTTTTGATCCAAACTTTTAATAGCAAAATGATATTCGGTTACACAATATATCACAATACAACTATCGATTGCTGGATAAAAACTGAAAGTTGAGGTTATGATTCCAAATGGAAAATTGAAATTTTCTTGGAAAAATGGGCCAACTAAACAAGAAAATGTTGGAAGACAAAATGACAAACAAGGAATTGAAATCTGTAAATTATATTTGAAGAAAAAATGATTTCGTGAAATTTTGATTAACCTGAATGATCAAAGCTTTCAGAAACTGTTGATGTAATATTCGATTTCTTTCAGAAAAGTTTCCTAGATTATTTTTGATCGCATAGTGCATTTTGACAGAAAAAATAACAACTATTATATACTGTACAGATAAACATAAAATACACAAAACCACAGTTTGCATTGTTTTCCAAATCAATACAGTTTCACCTTTATCACCAGATTTCTGAAGAAAAACATTGGAAACCCACAGCATCCAAAAATTACTACCAAGGGCTAATTTCAAAAAAACGGTTCCCAGATTTTTATTTCAACGAATGTTGTTTTAGAAGTAGGTAATTTTCACGGGTTAACTGTGGAATCTCAACGAAAACTAAATATCGAAATAAAAAACTAACATAATAAACATAGAAAAATGCAGCGATTTCATCTACATCAACAGCAAATTTTTCCAATATAATTTCACGTGAATTGTTAATTGAATATTTATCTGCATTGATTACATTGAATAAGATAATAAATGTATACAAAACTCCCAATAGAATACAATAAATCAAAATATAAATAATTCTCCAACCTCGAAACCAAGAAAATCGGATATTACTAAAAATCAAAAAAAAATTGGCTCAGCCTTGTTTATATAATCAAATTTTATCTGATTAAATTGCAAAATTTCCCAAACAAACTTTGACATGATCCACCAGCGAATAACATATTGTGCAGCTAAAAATGAAGTGATACTGTAATATGCTCCTCCATAAACTGCCAATAAAACAGTTTTGAGCATTTTTGAAGCTCCAAAAACATATTCAACAGTAAAAAAAACAAAACTATTATTGTGAATATAAACGAAGGGATTTATAAAAATTTCTAAACAGCAAAAAATAATTCCAAATTGCGCAAAAAATATCAAAATATTTCGATATGTCGCTGATATAAATCTGATGTATTTGAAAGTTATGAAAATGAATAATATATTGGTTAAAATTGAACAAGTCGAACCAAGATTTCCAATTTCCCGAGAAATATTTATCAAATTTTTTGAAGACATTTCTGACTTTGGATTTAAAATTGAGAATAACAAAAACAAACACCCAATTTTAGAATATTTCCTCTTTTTAATCGGAAATTGTATCCACCTGTATCCAAAACAAGAGGTCATTCACTTATTTTTAAGTACAATCAAAATTCCAAATTCATATTGTTATTGAATCTTCAGAATAGAAGATCGAAAAACACGTTTATTACTGATAAATCAACAAAAATAACAGTTATTATAACAAAAAGAACAATTGTACGCAATTTTTAAATTTGAGTAACTTTGGTTGGATCAATTTCATCGAAGAACAATGTGTCGAAAACAGTGTCAGCAAAATCAGGATAATATTGACAAGCTCGAGTACAATCCGGTGTGAAGTTACATTCGAGAAGAGTTGGTTTGATGATGTCTGGAAAATATAAATTAACACAATTTATGGCGGGACAAAGCCGCTTTTGAAAAATCAAGAAAATAAAAAATAGAATTTCGAAAATAAAATCACTCGCGAAAATTCGCGAAATAATAAAAAAAATTAACTTTGCAGCTCACCTCCTTCTCCATGTTGTAACATAATATCAATTCCATACATTGCTCTCGATTGTGTATTTGGTGCAACTCCTCTTGGTGCATTTTCAGTTGTTGCACATTCCAAAGCTTTTCGAATTGTCTCATTGATATTATTTTGAATTTCAGTCCACTTCAATTTCGGATATGCTTTTTCGATTGTCTCAATAAATTGTTCGCATTTCATTTGCAGAATTTTCGAACCGCCAGATGTATAATTAAAAACTGTGAAATGAGTTTCATTATCATCAAAATTGCTCATTGTGAAATCGCTGGAAAATTTGGATTATTTAAATAGGAATAATTTTCTAGTGATTTTAAGAAACTAACTTGATAGCAAATCGAATCCAGAATTTGTTATAAACATAAGCTGTGAGAGGTTGAAGACTGTTCACAAAAACAATATAACGCAAATCGAATTTGACACGATTTCCATTATCTGGTCGAGGAAACAAAAGTGGGCGCGAAATATATTCACAAACGATCTGAACGAAATTATTTTAACATATATTTGAAGTTAAAAATAAATTACCTTTGGTCCAGTTTCAACTAATCGAATAATTTTATTCAAATCATCTGTCACGCACATTTCCATTCCACGTGCCAAATTCCAAGGTTTTACAATCCACACATTTTGTGATGGATTAGTATTTTGTCGTTGTTGAAAACATGCAACAAATTGGGGCAATTGAGTATTCAAATTATATGTCAATTGATACCAGTTATTTTTCGAGGGATTTCTCATTGCGCACGCGGCTAATAAGTCTTTAACAGTCAGACAAGATTCGTATGGATATTGATTGACCATTCCACATGGATTCAATTCGCATAATTCACTGAAAATTATATTGTTTGATAAAAACAATATTTTTGTAAATTGTCTTACCGATAATTATGAAAATGTTTATATTGCCAAATAACATCAGCTTTTTTCCAATCATCAACTAATTCGAAATCTTTCGTCAAAAATTCAATAAGTTGTGTGTCATCTGCATAAATCTTCAATTTTCTTGATTTCATAACATGAATTGATGCTGACAAAGCACTTTGAGCAGTTTCTTGATCTTCCAAACTGGCTAATTCATCTGGATTTCTACCAGAAGTGAAATAGGAATCAGTTGGTTGTGGAGGAATTGTCGACTCATTTGTGAAATCCTCCTCGGAATACGGTAATTCCAAATATTTCCGCCATTCTGGTTTCTGAGCTGATAATGGATTCTCGGCAAAATCACGTGTAATTTCCTCTTCTTTTTTGATTGGTTTTGTCAAAAACATCACATTATAAGCACAACCTTGTGGGAAAAACATAAGTGGAACAACACGGACATTTGGTTCAGAAGAATGATTGATTCGTGCACCGAATTCATCCATAATATACCATAACGTCTTGTTTTCAATTTGTCCATTCTAAAACCAATTATTTTATGATTTCCAAATATTCTACTCTAACTTACATCATTATACTTAACCGAATAAGTCAACGCGTTTTTCCAAACTTGTTTCATTATTTTCTCAATTATTTTATTTTTCTCATCATCTTGAGAATAACTTCCAAGTCTGGCATCAATCGATTCATGACGTGGCAAATTCCCGCCAACATTGGTTGTATCCCCTCCAGCTGCTATTTTCTCTTCGTGTGCCTTTTTCTCAATTTCATCACTTGTTATTATTTTTTCAACACTTTCATCTTCAATTTCATCACTTTCTTCATCCAAACCAAATAAATCTGTCAATCTTTTCACCAGATTTTCGTTGGATTCCAGGATTTTTCGAGCATTTTCAGATTCGAATGTGAATAAATGATCAATGAGGAAGATGCTTGAAAATGGAAATAAATCATATTTTTGAATTTCTAATTATCATGTTCATAGCTGTCCTTTTCCATTTTTCGTTTCAGATTTTATTAAAAAGATAGAAATTTTGTTGCAAAATCAAGAGATGTTCCGATTCAAAATTTTACAATCATCAATTAAAAAACAAACCTTTGATCATCAACATTATGAATATCATCCAATGCCAAAACACTCATATTCTTCTCTCCATTTTCCGATAACTCGCAAATTATTTGAAAAAAGTCTCCAGCATCGAAAGTCTGTTTAACGAGTTTTGAATAAAGCGAAGGCCAAAGTTCCGGAGGAACACCGCTTGCATTTAATTGATCACTGTGTTGATCAAGAAATGATCCGAATGGATATTCAGTCGCCATTTTCTAAAAAATATGTTTTTTTGTTTCTCATATTGAACAAAAATTAGGAATAAATATACCAGAGTTTCATAGAACTCAAAAACCACAATAATAAAAAATAATTCTAATCACAATAATCTTTTATGTTATTAAGGCACTGTAAGTATGGCAAAGTGAAAAAAAAACTCGCCCTGAGTAATATATTTTTTTTAATATATTTTTTTTTTTACAATATATACATATTTACTTGATTCGTACAACAGGTACAGTAACCGAATACATCAAATTTGCAGCACAACACAAAACACTATTCGATGTCAATTTTCTCATTGCTCCAATTTTTCCAGCGAGTTTAGTTTTTCCAATAATCGCACGATGTTTCAAATCCCAAAATGTTATCGAAAATCCAGAAGCTGTTGCTGCAATTTGATTATCAAATGTGACAACTCCACTATTTCCAGATGCATATAAAGTGTCTTCTGTTTGTCCATCATTTGATGCATCTGTTATTCGACATGATAATTGACCAGTTTCAAGAGACCATAAATGAAGATTTGATGAACCATAGAATCCCAAAAGATAATCACAAGATGTTGTTAATTGGAAAGACCCTGAAATTATTGAAGTTAGCATTAGATATTGGGGTTTGGAATTTGAAGAGAAACAACAACTTACAATTACAATTATTATCAACCGATCGAATATGTGCTCCAGTTTCTAAATTCCACCAACAAACAACACTTTCTTCACAAGATGAAAACATAATCTGAAAATATGACAGCTTTTTAATCAGGCCAGATCTGTCTTACTGTATCCAAATTTCCGGGATAATTTCCAAAACCCACCTTATTTTTGTCATCGATTGCAATATTCAAAACAGGCGCATTATGAGCCAGAAACACATTAGTCATTTCTCCATTTTCAATATTCCAAATTTTAATACTTCTATCAAATGAAGATGTAATAACTTGATTATTCCAAAAAATCATTCTCGAAACTGGTTTTTGATGTCCACATATTGTTTTGTACAATTTAATATCACTAACACGAATTGTATCTCCTCTTTCATATTTCACATGAACAAATTCAATAATTCCATCGATTCTTGCAATAACAAAATTATCCTTATTATCATTTATAATATGTGTTATGCCAAGTGTTGATTGTGAATATATTCCAATTAATTTATTCCTTGATAAGCTTGCAATTTCAACACTTCCATCAGAACATCCAAATAATGCAATATCATTATTTTTCGAAATTGCCCATACTTTTGGTTGTGTTTCTTGTTGATTTCCAATTCCTCTCAATCGATTGATTTTTCTGATTTTTTCTCCAGTCAAACAATTCCATTCAATAACAAATCCTTCTTGACAACAAGATAAAAATGTATCGGATGATGTTTCTTCAGAATCCAATCCAATTGTTTCAATTGGAAATCGATGTGCATTGAAAACAATCGGAAGAGTTTCAACAAATTGTTTCGTTGATGATTTTTGTTGTTGTTTTGTTGGTTCTTTCACTTTTTTCACACCTCCAATTTTCCATCGATCTCCAAGACAAACATAAACAAAAAATGTGATGACTGTAGTTAGAAGAAGTAACCAAAATGCAGCTAAATACATTTTTAATTGCATTTCAAGCCAATCAATTCGAGATCGAAGAATTGGTGCTTCCGTATCTTCAATATCTTGTTTATCTTCCAAAGATAGTTCTTTATTGATTATTGGTTCCAAAATTGGATCATTTGGTGAAACATTTGATTTTATGATAATTGGCGGGAGAAATGTGACATATCTTGAATTTAGTGAAATATTATATTCATGAGCAACTGGTGGCCACCATTTATAAGTTCGTCTTTGCCAATGACCGTATTCTAAATTTGCAACTGATAAAATACGATGAGATTGAGCAAGATTCTCGAGGGTGTCATCTGGAAATTGATTTTCATTTTTGACGGAAGAACATCTACTAAATGTTTTTAAAAACGAACTTCTCAAACTTGTAGCCTCTCCACTTTTCCTTGATCCAACAACAAAAGCCAACCAAACAACCCAAATAGCAAATCCAATCATAATTGTTCTTTGAATAATTCGAGTTCGAGTTATAAAATACAATAATTTCATTCTAATACTACTATCAGCTTCAGCTTGTTCGATTTCTGTTTTTGTATTCGAAAGTCTTCTTTGCATTTGTTTTTTGTTGTTTGCATCTTCAGGATTATTGAATAAATCATCAACTCCAGAATCTGATAACCGACGTTTTTGGATTTTCTTGAGTTCAAATAATTTCGGCCAAACTTTTCTCATTGGACAACTGGAAGAAAATTCATTATTAGAGGAAAACTTGGAAGTAATCTTACTTGACAGCTCCATAATTTTTGAGTCTCGGTATTTCAGCATGGAAAAGAATTTCAGCAAATCGTCGTTTTTCTTCCAACCCTAATCGTTGAAGATCAAAAGTCAAACATGGAGCATAGAAGAAGAGCTGGAATATTTTCAGATTGGAAAATTTTTGAACCGGGCCATGATTTCAGCAATTGAATTAATGCAAAAGGAAAACAAATCATCTTTGAATTATCCGAAAAATCCGAAAAATTTTAAACTTCCAAACCTGCATATAAAAATCGACAATAATGCAAATCACACTAAATTGACAAAACTCTTGAATATCCGAAACACCAGTCAAATAGCCGCAAAAAATGAAAAACGACTCAAGTACAAAATACTTTGTCAATTTATAACCCTCTTGTGATAATCCGTGTGCAATTCGAGAAGAGACATCAAGTGATGGAGGAGTGTAAACAACTGATCTAAAATTTGAACAAAAATGCGATTGAAAAATAAATAAAATAAAAAGTTTACCTGGTTATACATAACAAATTCTCCATTCCAAGAATAAGTGCAATATATGGATATAATTCAGCTCCCCAAAGTGTTGTGCTCAAATCTAAATGTGCACATATTCCAGTTGTCATCAGAAGTGTTGCAGCAACAGTGAATGAAGCGGCAAATGCTAATCCCCAGCGAGATGAAACCATTTGGAATTTTCGAGATGAAAAATACAAATATATCTGCAAACAATTTTGGCTTCATATTTATGTTGGCTTATTCTAGACGTTTTTGAATTTAGGACACATTAGGATTTAGACTATTGAAAATAAAAAATAGATAAAATGTTTTCAAGGCGCTCCCTTTCTTTCCAATCTCACCATGCATAAAAAATATGTGAAAATCAATGGCAAATAATCCGAAAATTGTTTGAGAGGATGATAATAAACTTGAACAAATGTTGAATCGTCGCTTGGCGGTAAATCAATAATTTCAAAATGACTCCCAAGTTTTTTGTGAAGATTTAATAGCAATGATTTACTGTATCTTGCGAAGAAAATTGTTATTGAGAATTCGATTGCTGAAAATCATTTTTTGAAATTGAAAAATATTCAATAAAACCAACTTCTTTTTCGATTTGTTTGATAGTTTCGTTTGATTCCTGTTGCTGAAATTGGAGCGCCAAGTAAAAGATCTCGCATACAAAAATCGGATTTGCAATCTTCGTTGAAAATTGTATCAATAACATTTTCATCCTGAAAAAAGTAATGAATGGTTTTTTCTGAAAACCAAAAAGTTGAAACCTCTTTGAATTTTTGCAAATCATTATACCACATTGAAGCAGGTGATAGAACTAAACAAACTGATTTTGATCTGAATGGCCATCTGGAAGTTGGTGGAACAAGATGAAGACAAACATCATCAACAATTGGTTCATCCAATATAATTTCTCGAATACGAAAAGCTGAAGCGACTGCAGCACGAACTGCTTTTTCCGGATTCGAAATTGTCGAATTCCATGGATCGATTGTAGTTGAAACAACAAATTGTTGAATATATGCAGCCGGATTATCATTTATCCAAGATGGTGCAATTTTATCAGTAACATGTAAATGTTCACTCCAATAAATATCAATTGGAGTGCTGACGGGTAATCGAAGACGGGTTACAGCTGGATATGATAAAACTATCATTGTTAGCAATGACATTGAGAGACATGCCAAAGGATGGGCGGCACATAATCTGAAATATAAAAAAAACAATTGTTTTTTTTCGGGAGATTTCTGAAGAGGAATCAAATTTTGAATATTATTGTAGATCTACAACTGAAAAAGTCCTGTTTAGGGTTAAAAATCTGTGATTTTGAATTTTCAAAATTTAACATCGACATTTTAGGCTAATGGTGGATCTAATTAGATTCCTTGTAAGAAATTTTGTGTCGATCATAATTTGAAAATCAACAAACCAAAATCTAAATTAGAGCGCAGTTTCAAGAATGATTATTTTTGAAAATAAAATGTTCACGTCTCAAATTTCATGAAAATTCTTTTTTTTTTCCACTTTTTTAAAAATCAAAAGTTCACCTTCCATAATCATGATATGCATTTGCAACTCGATTCTTTACACCATTCCATTTTTGTCTAATTCTACCATCCATCAAGGAATTCTAAAAACCATTTTTTCAATTTATAAAAAGCCAAACCAAATATTTGAATTATGGAAAAACAACATGCAAGCATTTTCCAAGAGATTCGAAAAACCAGGAAAACCTTTATTTTGTAGAGAAAAGAAAACCAACAAGTTAATTAGAAGTTCAACAGAAATAAAGAATATTTACGGAAAAATGGAGAAGAAAACAAAACAATTTCAAAAAATTTAGATAGCAACAAGGCGCTCGTGGAGCTGAAGTTGAGTTTTTGTCATATTTGCCAAATACGACACCATAACATAATCCTGAAATAATTTGGATAATTGAAAATAAAAATAAATGAAAACGTACGCGGAGTGTATTTTTGACCAATGTATCAAGTTTGTCAGTTTGTAAATGAGTGGCGGCGGTGTTAACAATATCCATCAATTGTCTTCCGAATTGAGCATCTCCTGGTTTTTCACCATTCGCAACAACTCCGTTTACATATCTAGAAATTGAACTTTTTATTGAAAGGGGCCTTGTGGTTTATTCGGAAAGAGGTAATTTTTGTGAAGAATTTCTAAAAGATATTTCTTGTTTTAAAAATTCGACAGGAAAATTTTGAGCCTGATTTTGAAATTTCCGAGTTTTCACGAAAACAATTTTTTCAAAAGAAACTTTCACAAAATAAACAGTTCTTGAAAAATTATAGCCCCAGTCTCTCAGTTATTCAAAAAAAGTTGAACTAACTCTAATAATCGTTCCATCCATCCAATCATATCTCCAGTGCTTGATTCCAATTGTTTCAATCCACTTTCCAAAGTCGCTTCTCTTCTACGCGATTCCAATGCTTGTTCGATCAATTGCATCGCAACACATTCACCTGGGAAAGCATCGAGTTCGACACGAAGTGGATTGAAAATGGCACAATGTGGTTGTGGTGCTCCAGGAATACCAGCCTTCGATCGAAGATAAGCACGAACTGGCATACGTTTTGTGTTATCGCCAGAGAAAGTTGTGTCAAGTGTGAGGACAACAATTGGTGGAGTTTCACGGCGAGCAGAAATCTGAGAAAAATATTGATTTTTAATTACTTTTTTTAAATAAAAAAAACAAACCTCGGAAATAACTCGATTGTAATAATCATGATAGATCAAACAATTTGATGTGATATCAGATGTTGTCAAAAACCATCCAACTGGTTGCTCATTTGGCGAACTTCTTTTAAGAATCGAGATCATTTGCTGATTGAATTGATCATCAATCTCCAAATCTTCATGGCTCTCATTGAAAGGTATCGCAAAACAATTTGTGACTTGGATTGCTCCTTTCTCATAGAATCCCATAAGAGTTCCGAGTGATTTCTCGTTTCCACTGCTTTTCGCTGATCCTTTCGATCTTCTCAAAAATGAATCAACAATAGTCATGTAGACTACTGGATGAACTTTAACAGTCATATTCGACGCCATTATGAACCCTGAATGTTTTTACTGTATTCATAGAGGAAATCAATTAAAGATAATTAGAAAATCAGATATTTTAACAGCAATCAAACTGTTTTCAATTTTCAAAAAAAAAGGAATTCAAAAAACTACTTCAGTCAATAAATGTAAAAAGAAAAGAATAAATAATATATATTTTTGATAACACAATTGATAGAATATATTCACATTTTTACACGTTATTATTCACAACTTTTTCTCGTCAATTTCTTCTTTGCCTAACTTCTGCTCCTTCATAAGCAGGCGGTGCTTCGAATTGTCCAGCAACACGAAGTTCTTCAGTTGGTTGAGGTGGTCTTTCTGGTCCGATTCCAGGATATGGTGGAGGAGCACCAGAAATGAAAACACGCGAAGGATTTGGTTGATCAGGGAATGAATCTGTTGGTGGATTGTATCCGTTTGAATCTGAAAATAGAAAATAGGAAAGTTAGAATTGATATTTGGTCTTAAGTAGTTGAAATCCATTATGAACAAAAGAATTACCTTGACCAGTTGCTGGTTGATAATATGCCGGTGGTGCAGAATAATATGCACCTTGTGGTGGAGAATATGGCGGTGGTGCATTTGCTGGTCTCATTTGTTGTGCTCGTTCAACTGCAATCAACAATGCCTGTCCAAATTCAATACATCCACCTCGATTGAATGTCATTCTCCATTTAACTTCTCCTTGCATAGTTCCGCCTTGAACAGCCGATGCGATTCCACGCAAATAATTCGCGCCAAAAATTGGTTGCTCCAAATGAACATCTTGCATATTATTGAAAGGAATTTCGAACGATTTCAAAAATTCGACAACATCTGGCATGAAAATGATTCTGTGTGACGTGAGATACAATGTTCCAGTTCTTCGACCAGCCAAATTCTGCAAGATTTTTGAGGTTTTAGAAAAATGAAAATATGGATTAACTATGTATATTATCCAGAAAGATTATCTCAATAAGATATTCTGTAAAGATTATTCGTCTATCTTTGATAAACTTCTAAAAATCACATAAATGATTTTTGCAAACCACAAGGACTTTCTTCCCGAAAGCCAGAATTCAACGCTACGTGTTGGTGTCAAAAAATGGAAATTTTCAAAATAATCTTGGAAATTTTTTCTATGCTCTAAAATTAAAAGATTTAAATTTGGCCAAAGTTTTTTTTGTCACGTTTCAAGAATGAAAAACTAACCAAATTATCACTTGCTCCTAATGTCATTTCAACTCCTTGTGCAAAAATCACAATAGTCTCTCCATTGAATAATAAAACACCTTGACCATCTGGTGTATTTGCTGTATTAATAGACATCTGAAAACAATCAATATTTAATTTGTATCAAAAATGAAAAAAATAAATAAATAAAGTGGACGGATTCAAACCATCAACAATGCAAAAAAAAACAAATAAAATTTCTTCAAAATAATTATTATTTACAAGAATGACCAGCAAATGACTAAAATCGACACTAAACACCTATATAAATATTATACAGAAAAATGCACGAGATACAATTTTTGAAGAGACCTAAACTTTTTCGCGTTGCAATTGAGCCATGAATTCTTCGAGTTTTTCTTGAATTCGACGAACTTGATCTGAAAATAATTAAATTTAATTAAAAATACAAAAGTTCGAAGAAGATATATCATTGATCAATGGCAAACATTGTATAGTCTACAATATTCTCGAAAAACCAATATAACAGCACAGAAAAACAAAGCTTCTCCATATCTATTGGAAAAAAGCAGCAAGGCTAGTAGACCAACAATTAAAAGGATGAATATAGTGCAAACAACGGATCATTTTTTCTTTTTTTTTAGGAGATCAAAAATTATTCAGATGATAAAATTAGCTTGCTTGCTTGCAGAATTTGAAGCGGGTAACAACAAAACTTTGACGAGGTAAGGCGTGGCTTTTTATTTTGCGGAAGAGAAAAAAAAAGAAGTGAACAATGTTCATAGATTATAAGAGAGTGTATGAATTGAAGAGAGCATTGAAATAAAAATGAGATGTGTTCGAGGGTACGAAGAAGTGAATTGAATTGAATTCAAGTCTAGAATAATATCAAATATTCCTTATGTAGTAGGAGGAGGAGGAATTAATTACAAGTTAACTTTTTTTTTGATCATTGAACGTCTATGGGAGGAGGTGGTGTTCGGAGAAGGAAAAAATAAGAAGATGATGAAAAAGAGGAGATGAAAAACCTAATTGTAGTTTGGCATTTTTTGATTCTTGAGATTTTGATAGACCCTGATGGTGTTTGAATCTTTGGAACATTTTGTGAAGCAGAAGCTATTGGAAATGCAGAAAGATAGTTTCCGAAACTAATAAAAATGGAGCGAGTGTTATTCTAACTTCAGATTCTAAATTTATTTCAGGAAATGAGTTGAAAATACAAATTTTCAACATTCTAAACGAACACGCTTTGATCAAATAGGAAACTATTTCTGGAGTTTGCAGAAAAAAACGTGAGCAATATATTAAATTGGAAAATGGGCTCACAATGAAACTTTTTGTGTTGGAATTAACTTAGCAAATGATGTAAATTCTACAGTAAGAAAATTATTTTCCAAATAAAACTTACTAAGCTCTTCTGCCAAATCAACACGTCTACCCGTCAAATATTGTTTCTTTTTCTCATTTTCCTGTGACCAATCATCAAGCACTTCTTTTATCTCCTTTTCTAATCGTCGTTGTTCAGTATTCGTAATTTGTTGCCGAAGAGCATTACATGTCAGAGTCACCATTTTTTGTATTCTGAAATTGTATTTTATATGAAAAAAATATTTGATGACTGATCTCTTAGAACACAAATTTGCAGGAAAAGGACACTAACAATTTCTAAAAAAAAATCAACTCACCTATAGAACAAAACAATAGTTTGACAATCCAAATCATTTCCTTCAACCATTCCTTGTCGATACATTTGATACAATGACAAACAATCTCGACTACTCTGAAGAAAAAACCGATATTATTATTTTTTCATGTAAAAGGTTTAACTAACATTGATAATCCTCTCCAAGAAATGTTTTTTGAACACCAATTTCCATTGTTTTCGAATCATTTCATTTGGAATATCCCCAACACCTTTTGTCTCAATATTTCTTCGAATAACAGTTATATCATCATCTGTTAGTGCTTGTTTATGTTCCGGATCATTTGCCAAAATAGAGTATAGTTCATCTTGAATAACACATGAATAGTGATTATTAGCAGTTGGTGTTTTCCACATAAACCATTTTGAAGCCCATCCAGGTCCACGATCTTCGTTTAATTGAGTTTTGATTTTGGCAAGTCGTTCGGAAGCAGCCTGAAAAAGGGAACGAAATATAAATTGATAGAAAAACAAATAAGAAATTGACTAACCCTATGTAAGAAATTACAAGCTGCATCCCAAGATCGCTTATCTTGCACAGCTCTATCTTCCATTGCATTCAATTGAATCACACGCTGAAAATACTTGAAGTTATTGAAAAGAAAAAAGGAAAATAGACAAAATCTTGAAAAATTAGAAAATCGCGAGCTTCAAAATTTGATATTTTTCAGATTCGAATTATTTTTCATAAAAACTAACCAAATAATCCATAGCCTTTTCATCCCATTTGTGTGTTCCCATTGCTTCTTCAATAACAGCTTCTTTCAATGGATCAAAAACACTATCATGATCTCTTCTTGTTCTTGCATCTTGATTTATTTGTCTCAAAAATACTTCTCGAAGTGTTTCCCAACCAGTTGAAATGCTTTTTTGTGCTAGTTCTTTATCAGCAAAATGTTTCAATCGAATATCAACTGTTGTATTGAATGATCCAGAACTCGACGATGCAAATGCGGGCATCAAAATTTGATCGAAAACATGTGATGATATTCCAGACCACAGTTTTTCTTGCAAAACTTTTTCCCATTCTTCGACACCGACTAAAGAAAGATTCACAATTTCATCGAGGATTTCACCTTTTGCTTTATCAAATAATTCATCTCGATCAAGTTGGCGAATTCTGGGAAAATTATTTTTCCATTCGGTTTCCAAATTAAAACGAGATGCGCGGAATGCGTCTGCTTGACTTTCAATTGAATCTCGAACCATTCGCCAAAAACAATCCGAAACAGCTAAAGACATATTTCGTGTTGTCATTTGTGATGGTTTTAATACTCCATCGCGTAATAATTGACTTCCAGAAAAGAATGATTCTTCATATTTTCGAATGTCATCGATTGATTCAGCACTATTTCCACGACCAGTAACCACTCCAAAATATCCCAATGCTTTCATTGGAAACAGTTTTCCTTCGAGAATTTTCTTGATACGATCTGGATTGGCTAAGTTTTTCTCAGCAAGATCAACTTTTGTCAAAACAAGGATTGTTCGTTTTCCAGATGGATCAATTGAACTAACAAGATCAGTGACATTACTCCGTTCAGCATCAACAGATCTGCAAATAAAAAACTTGTTAGAAACGTATGAGCAAAAAAATCTGAAGTTAACTTACCCATCTTGAATACATAGAATAATTGCATTTGGATTTTCCATATGCGCTTTACTCATTCGAATAATATCATCTTTTGTATTTTTAGCCATATCTGCAGTTACTGTAGAAATAACACCGGGTAAATCAACTAAAACCATTCGAGGTAGATTTGGTCCTTTAACAGTTAAAGCAATAACTTCATTTGAAACACTTTGTCCATCTTTTACTGAATTTCTCATTCGAACTTCAGTTTCATTTCTCAATTGTTGCAAATCACTTTCTTTTGTCAAATCAAATTCTCGAGATGAATCTTTGAATTGTGCAACATGATAAGGTCCTTCGGATAATGTTACTTTTACAGGTGCTCGAGTCATCATTTCACCAGAACCTCTTGGAAATATTCTTGCTTGTGCAACCATTTCAAGAACTGATGTTTTACCAGCACTTTGATCTCCAACCACAACAACTCTTGGTAAATTATCAGCAGTATTATAAGATGAATCATATTCATTCAATAAATCGAGTACTTCACTGTACATATCGATAAGTGATCTTTTTAATCGTTTCAATCTTCTAACAGCTCCTTGATCGCCTAATAATAATCTTTGTTTCAGAACTTTGTTTTCTTTTTCCAATCGTTCTAATTCTCTTTGATATTGACTTTGTGTTTTCAGCATTTCTTCTTGCAACTTCTGAATTCTTTCTTCAGCCGATTTCTGATCTTTTTTCTGTCCATCTTCATCGGAATTTTTCGCAGAAAAAGCTGACATCAAAGAAGCCAAGACAAGTGGTTCTGCTGTTGGTGGAGTTTCATTATTTTCACCATTTTCTCTTTCTTCATTTCGTTTCTTCTTGAATTCCTCAAACTTAGCCATCCATCCCTCTTTTTCTGCTCCAAAACCAATTTTCAAGTCTTTAACTTTTTGAGAAAATTCCATCCAAGCCGGATTCGAGTCAAATTGAGCCCATTCAGGTAGAGACAAATCGGGCAAATTCGATTTCCATTCATCATACCACTGAAAAATAGTTTTTGAATTTCTGGAATTAGATATAGAAAGAAAAACTCACAGTTCTTGCAGCAACACTTCCACCAATAACTCCAGTAGCTACAAAATATCGAAGTTTCAATAAATGTCGTGCAGCTGAAGCGGCAATTCCAACAAAATTTCGCTCGCTTTGAATGTTCAGAATTACACGATGTTGAAGTAGAGGTCTTGAAGTTTTCGATGTTCCATAATTACGATCTCCAAAAGTTGATATTTCAGTTGGATTTCTTGTTGCACCAAGAGTTAAAAATCTTCGTCTTGCAGCAATTCGCATCATCATTGTTTCATTACCTAAACGATTTATTATTATTATAAATGTACACAAAAAAAGACAAGAAAGCAATAAATTAAAAGGAAATTTCAACAATTAATCAGTTTTAAACTTTTTCTTATAAACAATGGGAGCGATAGAAAGAATGGCTGAAAAAGTGAGCAATAAAATTGAAGTCCAACTCCAAGTTACACTTGTATGAGTCAATTGCTCAAGTGTTGAACCAGCTTGAATATAAAGAAAACTTGGTGGAGCAACACCGAGAAAAGTTCCCCAAAAGAATGGAGCTAAAGGGACATCTAAAAGAGGACTAGCAATATTAATAAGCCAATTGGGTACGATTGGAGTTACACGTAGAAAAATCATATAATTAAGAAAATCGTCGCGATGTTTGGCCAAATCAACTTGCCACTTGGCAATTCTTTCAGGAAACTTTGAAAGTACAAAGCTTCGACCAAAAAGATGTGATAAAGTGAAACAAATTGCAGCACCAATTGCAGAACATGAACATACGAGTAGAAGAGCAATTGGAAATGGGAACAGATATCCTGATAAAATTGTTAGGAAAAGAGATCCAGGAATAGCAAACGATTGAAGAGTTATATAAACAACAATAACTGCTGATAATACAACTGAATAGTTGTTCTCTTTGTATTTTGATAAAACTCTGCCAAGTAGTTTTGCGTCTTCCAAATTTCGTGGATATTTCAAATGTATTCTTTCTTCATCCGATACTTCGGGAAAATTGAGATAAATTGAAAAAATAGCAGAAGCAAAAACGGCAAAAATAACTGGAATGAGCCAAGTACGTGATGTTTGGTGACCCGTTTCCATTTTCCTAAATTCAGGAAAACGTGTTTTATTTTTTATGTGATTGGAAGCAAAACTACGAAAATACGAGAAAAATATAGGTTACAGAACACACAAGACGAGAAAGGAAGGAAATCATAATTTATATTAAAAATAAAATGAATGATGTAAATATTTCGCAATAAGAAAAGCGCGTCTTATGACGTGCAGCCAGAAATAAATATCACAACTTGAATCTGAAATTCAATACTCTTAAAATCGTATTGAACCCGCAGCATAAATTATTATTGGGTGAACAAAACGCTTGTTCACCACGAAAAAAAAACAAAAAATATCGGCTCGTATTTCAAGTTGATTTTCAACAGCATCTCTTCTATTCGCGTTTCACACAATTTTTGTTGTGCGTGTCCCTTTAATAAAACAGCAATGTCGCTCCACCGCACAAAACGCGGATAATTAAAAATGTTTTTTTTTCACGTCAACGCAGCTCGGCTATTTTTCTTCATTTCTTATCGTTTTCAATATACGAAAAAGTGACAAATTCAAAAAATGCTTGATGAAAACGAAAAATCTACTGATAATTTCGAAACAATATTAACAAATGCAGCTGATCCTAATAAAAAATTAACAATTATTGATAGATCTGGTCTCAAAATTACGCCTTCTGGGCTAATGCCACTCACAGAAGCCGATGATAATGAAACAATTTGGGGAGGAAGCATTATTTTGAATTCAGGAGATATGGGTTTGTGTTTCTTATCTTCCCAAACAATATATATTTTGTTTCAGAATTTCCTTCAACATCTTACAAACTTCGAGCAACAACAAAACGACAATGTAAAGGCGGTGTAACTTGTAATCGAAGTAAAGGAATTATTCCAAAAAATCAAATAATTGTCATTGCTGTGAGTATTTTTCCACATTTTCTCTCCTTCCTCATATTATTTTTTCCAGTTTCAACTTCCTGAAAGTTCAATAACATCAACAAGTTTGACATTATTGATTGATTGTAATCCACACGAAATTCCATTGTACAAAGTTCCAAAAGCTGATTTTTATTGGCTAGGAAGAGATACAAAAGGTGAATTTCTTTTTTTTTCTTATCAAGTTTATTTATGATTTTTAAAATATTTCTCAGTGCCAACAGCATCACAACTTCGAACCGATCATCTTCTGAAATCTACAAATATTATGAATCATCTTCGAAGTTTTGCCAAAGAAATTTTCCTGGATCTTGCAAATCTTGAAAATGAATTGATACCATTTCTAGATAAAAGTGATTGTACTTTGGAAGAAGGTAAGAAATTTGAAATGTTTTTTTCCAGAAAGTTATATTTTTCAGAAATTGCGCAAGAAATACTTCGTCGATTCCAAAATGTACAACTTTCCAAATGATTCTTTCTGCTACTTTATTTTTTCTCAAAGTCATAAAATGATTATTATCAATGACCGGTCGGAACTGGTCATTTCTATTTCTGAAGTGTTTTATTTTGAAGCGGGTTCATAATTTTTCAGAAAACTACAAACATTGGGAAAATTGTGATAAAGAAGCTAAACACAATCAGGTTAATTCTGGAAATTATGAAAATTTGAAATTTATCACACAAAAATGATACAATTTTCTGAGCAGTGAGAAGCGTAAAAATATATCAGGAAACTGTAGAAAATGATTTGTTTCTCATCGAGCAGAGAGTGGTGAAGTACTGTGCTACAATTTTTTAGTCTCTCAACAAAACTACAGTACTTTGAAAAACATTCAGTAAAAAACAACAGTTTTTACTGTGTTTTTCTTATACATATTTTTTCTAACTTTAAAAGGGGATTGTGAACAAAAGGTACAGTACTCCTCCTAATCTCTAAAATTTCGTGAATTCTAATTTTCACGTGAATTTTTTATTCAGGATTTTTCATTTTATCTTTCTGCTGGTTTCCAACTTTTACGATCTTTTAGAGTCCGTTCAAGTGAACATGTCTTACTGTAAAAATTTAGAACAAAAGTTTTTTAATTTATCAAAAATCGCAACTGATATCTCTGTACAGTTTATTTATTGCCAAAAACGCCCAAACCGCGAAAACTTTAGGTATAAAAATGAATGAACAAAACACTGATCTGATCAAAATAACACAAAAATGTCATCTTCATCGTTCTCTATTTTTCTTTCAATTCTTATTTGTTTCCTTTTCTGCTTCACAAATGGACAACAACAAAATTTTCAAGGATGGACTCCCCAACAAATTGAAGCTTATCGAAGTCATTATTATAACTGGTAAGAGACAATTAATATTCTGAATTATTAGAAATAAAATTTAGGTATCATCAACAACGAGTAGCTCCTCAACCAGTTGTCACTCAAGCCCCAGTTGAATTACACAATCATCCAATTTTCCGAAATTTTGAAAAAGATGACAAAGGAAATGTTTGGCACGGGAATGATGATGCTAAAATATTGTTCATCTCAAGATCTTCTTATCCATAAATTAATTTATTTCGAAAGTTGAAATGAAACATTACTGTAATTTGTTTGATTTTATTTATTTTCAAAAAAAAATTACAAAACTAATTGTAAGAAAGTAAATTTAGAAATTATTTTTCAGCTTCAAAAAAATCACCATATTTGGAAAATGGGATTTGAATTTCTACTCTCTTATCAAATAGTCCGCTGGCAAATGTTAGAACCGGATTTTTATATTTGACATTTTCAGAATTTGAATTGGAGCAAAATGATCAATGTTATCAGAATTTTATTATAAATATCGGAAAAAAAAATATTTCGGACTAAATCTAAAACTTATTAAAGGATATTTTATAAGAACCAATCTCTAAACCTAGTATATATTTTATATCTTAAGATACGACTTAGACACCCTAAAGATTGACAATAAATCCTACAAATAAGACCTAGTCTGTTTTCTAAACTAATATTGAACCGTCTAGTCGATTACAAACCAAAAGAATGAAATGATATTTCACTTCGTTCTCTTCTCCTGCGAAAAAAAAATAATTATCATTCCAAAATTACTGTAGGCTGGGCTGTCCAAATTTGTGACGGTTTATGATAAAAAGTATTTCTGAAGACAAAAAACGACCGGTCATTGATAAAGTTAACCAATGAAAGAATGTGAAGTTGATACTTTGAAGATTCATGTAAGCTTACTTTACTTGCCTCTGCTTGTGAAGGCTTGTGAAAAATGCTAGTTTTTAGTTAGGATTTTCATTTTTCAAATTCATGTTTAGTTCAAAAACGCGATCTATGAACATCAAAAAGTTTTTGATTAATATTTGAAAAAAAAAAACAATCATTACAGTAACAAAAATTTAAAAAAACTATGTAAATCAAAATATTCAGACAGACTGATTCATTGAATTTTTCTGAACCTTTTTTCTAGAAAAGGTTCATCAACAAATCTTCAAAGATTTATAGAAGTTTGGATTTTAACCGGTCAGTGATATTCTAGTATCACAAAATAAGATGAACAAAAATAAAAGTGTATGAACATAAAAGAAGTTTATGATGTTTTGCAAGTGAAGTACAAGAAAACAAAAATGTACCCAATTTTTTTGAGCCTCAAATTTTTTTTCGGCTTCTCTAAATAGAAAACAAAACAAGATTTGATAACATTTTCAGATTTTCAGATCTCAACTGATCGTTGTAGGAATTTCTCTAGAAAAAAATTAGATTGTAAGGAATATTACGTATTACTTTTTCCAGATGTTTGAAATTTTTCAGAACCTCCTGTTTCTGATGAAAATGTTGGTGTCTAGGATTTTCAGGCCTGATCAACATATGATAACCGTAAATGTTCTTTGAAACTATCTTTGTTTTCTTAGTCATTGTTTTCCTGAATCAAATGACTATGTTTTCAAAAACAACACATCTATTTTAAGCCAAAACCATTCACCAAATACATTTATCACACTTGCGAAAAATATCCGTCACTTCCGATAAGTTTTTTATTTTTTCTTTCGATTTATCAATCTCCGCCCATTTTCTCTCAAACACGAACTACTACAAAAGAAATCGAAAAATACCAAGATGACAACAATTTGTTTTCATTCATTTTGATTTACCAACAAAAAATATGAACTTCTTCACACTTATTACATTGGCTGTTCTTATTTTGTCTGTTAATTGCCAATTCCAAAATTGGAATGCGCAACAAATGGAAGCATATCGACAACAATATTATCAATGGTATCAACAACAACAAGCTCTTCAACAACAACAACAACAAGCAGCTCCAGCTCCAGCTGCTCAACCTCAAGGAACTCCACATCCAGTTTGGGGACATGCTCAATCTGATGACAAAGGAAACTTCTGGCATGGAAATGATCACGCTAAAATTATGCTTGTTGCCAGATCTTCTTATCCATAATTTATTTTTTTGTTTGCTTGTTGTATATTGTTGTATATAATTTTTTGTTTTGTTGAAATCTCACAATAAAGTTTTAAATTATATGTAAGGTCTAGGACAGAAAAAATAATTGTATTGCGGTCAGCTCAATTCCGAATTGATTCAGCAATTCAAATTCCGATGGTCTAAAGAATGCTCAAAAGGTTAATAAATTTCCAACAATATTATTTATCATCTTATCAATTTTCTTCAGTTTCCACCCAAGTACAATTTCGTTTTTCCAAAAATAGATTCAGAGATAAGACGTCATTGAAAAACCCCTCACAAAATATTTGAATTTCAAATAAAATATTCTGTGGAAAAAAAATGTATGAACGTTCAACGACCGAAAAATGGATTATGTGAATAATTTTTGGTTTTCATCGTCAGTAGAATAGTTTTGGCCAAAATAACAAAATGATCAAACTATACGGTATTGGAAAAAACAATGTCATCACTTATTCTGATTCAGAAGAATAATGGAAAATATAAGAAACTCCAATTATTTGGTGTCAACTTGAAGATTTTTGAAATTGGAGCTAATTTTGATTTTGGAAAAATCCTCCATAATATTGAATAAAAAATAAATTAGAGTATTCTTAAATGAACTGCAGGGATACGGTACACCATAAAATAACAAATTCAACTTTTCCTACTCTCTACGGTTTTTGTTTTTCATCATTTCGAAAGCAAAATTGTCTACCTTCACATATCTTGCCCCATCCTCTCTGTTTTTTTCCTGGATTCAAATAAATATTGTTTTATTATCAAAGAAAACTACAGTTCATAATCTTTTTCTTCATTGACAAAAAATTCCGTTAAAATATTCCAAAAATAGGCCCGCCCAAAAAACAGGTCATATGTAGATAACAATATTGTTTTTAAACAAATCATAACTCTACATTTGTTATCATATTTTCTCTCAAAATGCAACAAGCACCTCCATCTTATTCTCAAACTAGATTCAACAATTCTACAGAATCTTTAGATAGTCCTCCAACTTATTCCTTAAATCTAGATGATATAACTTTGCCTTGGAAAAAAGAATCAGAAGATGTGGAATCTCAATCAAATGTTTCATCGGGTTGGTTAAATAACAATTGAAATATTTCCTATTCTTCTTATTTTTCAGATCCATTTCCAAATTCTCCAAAATCAATGTGTTGGTCATTTCTCATTACATTTATTCTAATTTTATTTGTTCTTCCACTTTTAGGTCTACTTTTATTTTTATGTAAAAATGTTTTGAATTATGATCCAAATCAAATAGCAATGTAGAGAAAGAAATACATATTTTGTGTATCAAAAATATATTTCTATGTATATATAAATAGAAGGAATTTGGAATTTTGTAAGTTGTAATTAATGAACATATAATCAGCGCAATCTGTTTTCTTGATTTTACCTACACTTCTTTATTCATTCATTCAGAATGAGCTCATTTTCTGAAAACATTCCATTTTTACAATCAAATGAAACTCGAATTGTCTTCAATATTCCACTACTTTCGGATTATCGAAGAATTGAACATCCAATTACAAAATTATTATTATCGATTGAATTAATAATGGCACCATGTTCAATTATATTTTTCACATGGTTTGTTTATTGTTTGATTGGATTTGCAACAATTCATAGAAATTTGAAAGTTATTTTATTATTTCAAACTCTTCATTTTTGGGCTGGAAATATTGCGAGAATATACTTCATTCTCATTCAATTTTCATTTATCGATATTCAGCCGAATTTTCTATTGTTCATCTGTAGTTTTTCCCGTTTTCAACACTATTCCATTGGTGCTTGTACATCAATTGTTTTGGGATTAGAAAGAGTTTTTGCAACGATATTTGTGACAAAATATGAGCAACAAAAGAATTTATGGGTTTCTTCTGTTTGTATTTTTTATTTGATAATTCACTCACAAATTCTTGCAATTCCAATGATATTTTCAAATATTTCCAGAATATTTTTCATTGTTTTTACTGGATTCACAACCATTTCTGCATTGGCTATTTTCTTTGTTTTGCACAGAGTTAATCAAAAGAATCTTCAAAAATTGAATAGAATTTTGAAAAATTCGCAGAGCGACCCAAATGTTGTTTATTCTTTGAGCAGAAAATTTCAACTTGAAGAAAATATTCGAGTTTTAGATGTTTGTTTATAAATGAAAAATGTTTCGAAGATATTCATTATTATTTTCCAGCTCTACCGTAACGTTGGAGTAGCTCTAAACACATTGAACATCTCTTTCATAATTTTATCAAATATTGCATTTTTACTTTTCCAACCAAAAAATAGCTCAAAACGACCAGTCAACGCACTTTTGAGTCTTCTTTTTACATCGTAAATTTAAAAAAAAAATCTAGCTGAAATTATGAGTACTATTTTTCAGAATTGGTGTGATTTTACCAATTGGCGGAATTATATTTTTTCGAGGATCATCAATTTTCTGCCGTCGAAAACAAAATGAGCAAGAAGAAAACTATCGAATTCAATATTATTCTGGAAGTTCGTATTTTGCACAACTTCAAAATTCATGGGAAGTTCGGAACTGAATTCAAAGGAATTTAATTACATTTGATTTATTTAGTTTTGTTTTGCAAATAAAGCGATGATCGAAAAACTTTTTGTTGTTCATTTTGAGTCTTATAAAAATCCAGGAATGCTATCTAGTTGGCACGTGGAAAGCGAAAGTTCACGTTTTGAAAAAGCTTATTTCAGATTTTTATAGCATCTTTAAAATAGAAATGAGGTCACATATTTCACGTGCTCCTGCTTCACGTTTTTATTTCCCCAAGCGTCATTTTATCCATATTTTTCCCATCGCGTGCCACAATAATCTTCTTACTTTTTTTGGATTACTGTAGTTGCGATCAAACAACCATTGTTTTGCATAAAACTAATTTTTTGGATTTCTTGATATCTATAATTAGTAAAAATAACAATATGTTTTTGTTTTCGGTTTCAGGAATGAATATATACATCAAAGATCTGAGAAATGAAATCTTCCCTAATCAATTAGCAAGTATAACTTTTTTGTTTTAAAAAAAGTTCAAAAGATTGGGAAACATGGGAATCCAACATTTTTACCAGTAGAATTAAATCCAATACCTTTAAAGAATCAAAGAAATTAATTAGAATTATTGAAAAACAAAAATGTGTAAACAATCGAACGGAAATTATCACCTTATTTTTCTTTGAATGAATTAGTATGAATAAATACCAATTCAGAATCGCAATTCTCGATTGATTTTCTGTTCGAGAAAAAAAAACAAAACAAGCAAAAAAATGGTATTGAATTTGACAAGTTTGCTACTTTTTTATCCACCAATTGTCAAACTCAAATATAATTCAATTGAATATAATTTGCCGATTCTAATTGATCTCGATTTACCAGTTACCAAATTCTTATGGTGGGTTTATTGTACTGAATTATTTGTCATTTTTCTATCATTGGTTTTTATGAAATGGGTCATGTGTATGATTTATTCAATTGTTGTGATTCATAGAAATTTGAGATATATGTTGATTTTTCATTTGATTCATTATTGGATTGGTGGAATTGCTCGATTATATTTATTATGTATGCAAATGCATATTGTTACGGGTGAGTATTTTTTGTTCCGGTCTAGAACGAATAGTTTTTCGAAAAAAATTCTAAAGGTTTCTCTGCGATAAATTCCAATTTTCTAGTCACTTCACATAAAAAATGTTATTTTAACCCTTCAGACAACTTCTGACCGAAAACTGATAATTAAATATACACGGAACAAATGTTCATGATAATTCAATAGAATTAATAATTTTCCGAAAAACAATTAAATGTTTTTTAGACCGAACATCGATATTTAATATGTTTGCATCATTTGGAAGATTTCAATTTTTCTCGTACGCGATTTGTGCAGCATCAGGAATTGCTGTTGAAAGGTTTTTCGAAACAAATGTGTTAAAAAATGTAGAAAAATATTTCAGAATTTTCGCAACGTATTTTGTTCTGGATTATGAAACTAGAAATCGAACGTGGATAATTGTGACATGTTGTATTTATCTTTTCACTCATGCCAATGTGTTTTTCACAATTCCTCTCACATTCTCAAACATTCCAATTATTTATATTGCTTTGTACTTTTTCATAACAATAATATTAGCAAAGCTAATAACAGTTAAATTATATAATTATAATTTGAAAGAACTTGAGAAACTGAATTGGAAAATTGCGAATAATCGACAACTTGTTTATACAGTAAGCAAGAAGTTTCAACTCGATGAAAATGTTCGGATCTTGAAAGTACTGTAGTATTTTTTTTCCAAAAAAAAATATTATTTTTCAGCATCTCGATGAGATTGGCGTCGCTTTTGCTTTATCTGTTCTATTTTCATTGGGATGTATTCTTGTAATTTGTTCTCTTTTGGGAACTGATAATTTTTCTGGTCATGTTACAGTTGTTATAATAGATTTTCTGATTGCTGGGTAAAAGATTTCCTCTCATTTCCTTCAAATTAGGACATTTACAGATCAGGAATAATCCTTCCAGCTTTGTGTGTTTATATTGTTCGTCGAGAAAATGCTAGCAATAAATTGAAATCGAAAATTCGATGTATTCGAAGAAATGCGCCAGAATTCAACACTGTTCTCAAACAAAGTCGTATCGCAAGTATTTCAAATGCGACACATACTTATTTTGACGAACTACAAAAGTCATGGAAATAATTCGATTTCTCGCAATATTATTTTTTATTATAATAAAGTTTGATACGTCTTTTTTATTTCAGACCTCATTTTTTATACACATGATTTGAGTTGATGATTTTCCTTATGCACCTTTTTTGCATAAATTATAGTTTGATCGATTTCATACTGTATCGGTTTTTGATTATGAATGTTTTTTTTCTCGAAAAAATGATCTTCTCATTTTCTGAATAGAAAAAAAATTCGTTTTGGAACATCTGCAGTTTTTGTTAACGTCAGATATAGTGGAGCCTGCATTTTATATGCCAAAAAACATGTTTACTTACGAAATCCATTGTAAAAATTCGATTAGTTTTTCATAATTTTTGAAACTTTGCCATCAGGTGCTTTTTATTATTTTTCGGCAAAATCAAGAAAAAAAACTTTCCAGTTGAATAGCAAATTATATGTATGTATGTGGGCTTAGAATTAATCATTATTTACTTGTTTTGTGAAAGAAATTCTCTGAAATATGTTTCAGCGAATGTTGGAATTGTTATCTGAACCAGCGCCTTTAGTAAGATCTCAATGGAATAATATTTCATTTGATGCTCCAATATTAATCGATATCGATCAACCACTTTCGCCAACTTTTTATTGTATATATGGAATTGAATTAGTATTATTAGTTATATCTACAATATTCATGACTTGGTTTATTCGATTATTATATTCGTTTCAAATGTTTCACATTAATTTGAAACTCATGTTGGTTTTTCATTTTGTCATTTATTTGTTCGGTGGAATCTCGAGATTTTATTTGATTTTGGTTCAAATGGATATTGTCACAGGTAATGTTTTATGGTCCTGAGAACATATAATTTAGAATTTTAGACTTATCTTCTCCGTTATTTTTAATATCTTCATTTTTCCGATGTCAATACTATGCACATGCAATTTGTGCGGTGCCTGGTATTGTTGTTGAAAGGTAAATTTTGTTTACTTGGATTCCAATTGAAAAATGAACCTGTTATTACGAAGTTGGTAAAAACAGGACGGGTGCTCCTGGAACAGAGGTGGGGAACCTGACCTCACGTTAGCATCATGTTGGCTTTGGTGGTAAAAACATAAGCCATGACAGGTCCAAGTTAGAACCTGGCTACCTGTCCTGTCCTGGACAGGCTCTTTTTTTAGTTGACAAAAAACACGTCGAACAAATAGGAGATCGCATTTTTATTTTTTCCAATGCAGACTGGCGAAACAGTCAGAAAATCCTCAAAAATTCTAAATTTTGAAGAAAGCCGTATTTTTTCAGCAAAGCTGACGTGAGAAAAAAGATTTCTTTTGAAAAAGTTACGCCTGGGAATACAAATTGTGAAGTTTATACAAAAAAGCGGGCGTAAAACTATTGTCAATCCGAAAAAATAAGAACCTTGGAGAGAGAACGGATATGGCCTAGAAAACCAAAACTACAGTAGACTTCGCGAAATTTTGTAGTCTATTTGAAAAATAAAATGAGAAATTTTTTATTTTCGGATCGACAATATAAAAAAATTAATCTACCTATGAAATGTTTCATAGTTTGTTTTTCAATAAAATCTGGAAGCTGATCCTTTACCATCAAGTGTAATTCACAGCTTCATCTAATCATTTAAACATAGTAATTTATAAACAACTTTCCTTTAACATCAATAGTAATTATGAATAAAAAACTTTACCCAATATGTTTCAATGAAGCTCAAATCTCACCTGTTAGTTTTGCTCCTCCCCCTCCCCCAAACCTCAAAATAAACTAACTTGACTGGCCCGTTCCGTGAAAAGTTGTTGATATCTTCGAATTTCCTGTCCAAACAAAACATCTTCTTCTTCGGAAGCCTGAAACTTCTACATGCTTTTTTTCAAAATTTTCGCCTATTCTTAAACTTACATCAGAAAATGACAATTGTCGATTTTATGGGACCGCTGCATTCGAGTGACTGTTGTCTCTAAAAAAATAAGAAAATTAAAAAATGTACCAAACCACCCCATTAATAACTTTTTCTGCGCTGAAAAAACCACTCAAAAACCAGAAAAAAATCACCCCATAAAGAAAGAACGGAAAAAATAAGAGTGTATGTCAACACCGACTGCCCGCAAACACCAAATCCTACGCGCAACCTTGACGCGAAATACGCGCTGTGTGTTTTCGCGAAGAAATTTCTGGGGATTTTTAAAAATTGGGAACCCCCCAGATTTTAGAAATGGACATGATTAAAGTATAACATATGGGAACCCTGAGAATCTCTCCAATAAAACAAAAATGTCGTCCAAAAAAAAAGAAAAACAACGATACTCCGCGTGCACGTTGTTTAGCGTGTTTATGAAGTGGAGAGAGGAGAGAGGGTTAGAGAGATAGAGAGATATGTTTTTATTTGAAAAGAAATTATTGATTGAACGTTTTTTTTTAACTGAATCATTTTTCTGATATTTTTCAGCGCAGAAAGTGTTATTAATGGGGTGATTTGGTACATTTTTTAATTTTCTTATTTTTTTAGAGACAACAGTCACAGAATGCAGTGATCCCATGAAATCCAGAATTGTCATTTTCTGATGTAAGTTTAAGAATAGGCGAAGATTTTGAGAAAAAGAATGTAGAAGTTTCAGGCTTCCGAAAAAGAAGATGTTTCGTTTGGAAAGGACATTCAAAGAGATCTACAACTTCTCACGGAAAGGGCCAGTCAAGTTAGTTTATTTTGAGGTTTTGGGGGGGGGGGGGGAGAGGAGCAAAACTACAAAGGGGGAGCAAAACAACATATTGGGTAAAGTTTTCAATTCATAATTACTATTGATGTTAAAGGAAAGTTGTCTATAAATTACTATGCTTAAATGATTAGATGGAGCTTTGAATTACACTTGATGGTATAGGATCAGCTTCCAGATTTTATTGAAAAACAAACTATGAAATATTTTATGGGTAGATTTTTTTTTTAAATAGTTTTATGCACGCGATTTCCAGTTTGTTTTGAATTTATTTTTTTTAATAATTTTTTTCTCGTTTTTGAATATTCTAAGATCGTGTCAGGTCTCAATAAATGCGCGAAATTTTTCGGGTAGTAAATTACACTCTGTGGAATTATCGAAGGTATGATGTTCGGAAAAAAGGGGCAAAAATCAAAAATGCCTAAAATTTCGACATCCAAAAAATGAGAACAGGGGTGACCCCATTGAAAAATCCAGCTTCCATCGAGACACCATCCAATCGGGATTTTATTAAAAAGGTAGAAAAACATTCTCTGCTAATTTTTGTTCACGCGAGGACAGGTTGGGCATATGGCTTTAGGACATGTTCAAGTCATGTTCGAGCCAGGACAAGTTTAGGCCATGTTCAAGGACAGGACAACATGAGGCCAGGCTAATTTCCCGACCCCTGTCCTGGAAGGTTCCAGTTTTAGAAAAACTTCTAGTATCAATTCAGCCCATGTTTTTTCTCAAAAACACAGGCGAAAACCTATGAAATAAAACAAGAAAATGCGCTCTAGCGCACAACTCGTTTTTTGAATTTTCGTGCGTGTGTTTGCACACAACACTGTGACGCCTTTTTGCAGACGATTTTTTCACCAGGAGAATACCAACCCTTTAAAGTTTTCAGTTTCTCAATTATGTCACATGAAGAATTTTTTCAGAGCATTTGCAACAATTTTTGTGAAAGATTATGAATCAAAAAATCGAAGTTGGATAATAATAAGTTGCCTTTCATATCTATTCATTCAATCCCAATTTTATGCAATTCCCCTAACATTTTTCCGTCCTCCAGTTTATTATCCAATAATATTTGCATGTCTAGCAATTGGAATCTCAAAACTTCTTCTCAATTTTCTTTATCGTAAAAATTCTGAAATTCTTGAGACAACTGCGAATGGAACTCATAGATATACTTTGAGCAAGAAGTTTCAAATTGAAGAAAATCTTCGAGTTATGTGGTATCTTCGTGGACTCGGCCTATTATTTTTCTTGTGTATTTCATTCATTGTTGCTATTATAGTTTTACCATGGACGTTTTTTGGTCAAAACAGTTTCTATGGACAATTGTTCATTTCAATGTTTGATTTTTCATTGTCAGCGTGAGTTGGTTTTTTTTTCCGAAATATTTTTGAATTTGAAAATATTTCAGAGCTGGAATTATCTCACCAATAATTTGCATGTTTTATTTATATCAAACTAATTATCATCCATTTATGAAACGATTCAATTTGAGAAATGACAAAGTTGAACCAGATAGAAGATTATCAACAACGATTACAGATTCGAGGATTTATTTTGAACAACTTCAAAAATCATGGAGTTAAAAATGATTCGAAATGCGATTTGGATGAGACCAGAAATCGCATTGAAGAAACAAGACAATTATTCGCTTCAAAAAGCATCAATTTTCAAAATATACTTCTTATTTCCAAATTGAAAGCAGTGATGTTTCAAAACGAATTTGGATTATATTTTAAATAATTTTTTTTGTTTACGAATCTGTACCAGTTAATAAAACATTTTGCAAATGTGTTTTTTAATCAAAGTTTTTAGAATGGAAATTTTGGCTCTATCCCAATATAAGGGTCCGAAAAAAAAATAAGGGTCCGAAAAAAAAATAAGGGTACGAAAAAAAAATTATGGTCCGAAAAAATTACAAGGGTCCGTAAAAAAAATTATGGTCCGAAAAAAAATTGAGGGTCCGTGATTTTTTTCATGGGTCGAAAAAAAATTGAGGGTCCGTAATTTTTTGGACGAAGAAATTTTTTTTCAATTTTTTTTCATTTTTTTTTTCAATTTTACTTTCATTTTTTTTCAATTTTTTTGTTCATTTTTCAATTTTTTTTTCATTTTTCAATTTTTTTTTTCATTTTTCAATTTTTTTTTCATTTTTCAATTCTTTCTCTGATATATGCTGCGTTTTAATGTATTTTTGACAATTTGTTTAGCCAAAAGTTGTAAATGTCTCGATTTTTCAGCAAAAAAATTGGAGAGAAAAACAGTCGCTATGTTTTCTGAAAGTTTACTAAGCCTAAGCCTAGGTTAATGGAGAATGGAGAAATTTACGTTTGGTTTTGGATGTTGATTTATTAATAATTTTCATTTTAGCTGCAGAAAAAGAAAACATGTGAACAAGAAAAAAAAAAGTGAAATACATCAAATAATAACAGAATGAAGAGGTATACTGTGAAGACAAAAAAAAGAACACGTTAACAATTTGGCTTAGGCTTAGTGAACGCCTAGAAAGATGAATGTTAAATATTAAAGATCTTCTTCATCTGGATTATACATTCCCATCTCATATAAAAGGAACCCGGAACACTTATAGTCTCTGATGGATGGCGAGCTTATGGAGGAATAAAAAACCTGCAAGAAGATTATGATCACAAGTTCGTCAATCACAAAGTTAACTTTGTGGACCCCACCGACCCCAGAGTTCACACTCAATCAATTGAATCCACTTGGCGAGAGCTGAAAACATCTCTCAAACAATATTATGGAATTCCGCATTCATCGGTGCAAACATATATATACCAGTATATATTCAAACGAAAATGGAAAGGCAAATGTCTCAACACCCTTTTATATGAGATGGGAATGTATAATCCAGATGAAGAAGATCTTTAATATTTAACATTCATCTTTCTAGGCGTTCACTAAGCCTAAGCCAAATTGTTAACGTGTTCTTTTTTTTGTCTTCACAGTATACCTCTTCATTCTGTTATTATTTGATGTATTTCACTTTTTTTTTCTTGTTCACATGTTTTCTTTTTCTGCAGCTCAAATGAAAATTATTAATAAATCAACATCCAAAACCAAACGTAAATTTCTCCATTCTCCATTAACCTAGGCTTAGGCTTAGTAAACTTTCAGAAAACATAGCGACTGTTTTTCTCTCCAATTTTTTTGCTGAAAAATCGAGACATTTACAACTTTTGGCCAAACAAAATGTCAAAAATACATTAAAAACGCAGCATAATATTATATCAGAGAAAAAATTGAAAAATGAAAAAAAAAATTGAAAAATGAAAAAAAAAATTGAAAAATGAACAAAAAAATTGAAAAAAATGAAAGTAAAATTGAAAAAAAAAATGAAAAAAAAAATTGAAAAAAAAATTTCTTCGTCCAAAAAATTAGGGACCCCTATTTTTTTTTCGGACCCATGAAAAAAATCACGGACCCCTATTTTTTTTCGGACCCATGAAAAAAATCACGGACCCCCATTTTTTTTTCGGACCCATGAAAAAAATCACGGACCCTCATATTTTGGGCGGACCCTCATATTTTTTTTCGGACCCTCATATATATTTCGGACCCCTATATTTATTTTCGGACCCTTATATATCCGTGGGACCCTTATATTGGGATAGAGCCGAAATTTTTGCGTTCCTAATTAGCCTTCTCAAAATTCTACAGCCTTCTGAGCCTTTTGCTCTGAAAGAATCTAAAACATTGTGATATTTTTAAAAATTCAGAGAAGTATCAAATTTCTCACCTGTTCCGTACTCAAGGAGCTTTTTATTAAACTTTCATTTTTCGCGAGTTTTTTTTTCATGTTTGATTAATAATATCATAAATAGAATTAGTTTTCGGCGAATGATTTTTATGAAACCCCCACCACATCATTTATTTTTGTTTTTTGAGCATCAAAAATTCGAGTTGAGTTTTGTTTTTTTGCAGAATGGTTTTCGACGAAATAAAAACTTTGTTGAATTCTCCTGTTCCTTTAGTTTCTGGAAAATGGAATAATATCTCATTTGATGTTCCGATTTTAGTTGATATTAATCAACCTGTCACTTTTACTCTCAAATGCATTTATTTTTTCGAAATTATTTGTATTATTGGAGCTATATTTTTCATGTCTTATTTTACACATTTTATCAATTCTTCATCAGTTTTTCACAAAAATTTGCAATATATTCTTGTGATTGAAGTTGTATTTTTTATGTTTGGTGAATTCTCGAGATTTCATTTATTGTTAGTTCAACTCAAATTTATAGAAGGTGGGTGTTTTTGTTATTCTTATAATCAGGTAGAAAATACATGAACAACGAGAGATTTTTTTTTACAAATTCGTGGGGGAGTTTTTTGATGGTTCATTCCAAAACACATTGGAAGATTTCCCAGATTTTATTGTGAGTTTCCCAGGTTTTAAATTGTGCCAAAACATTGGGATGATTTTTTGCCAATCATGCCTTACTCTTCGTTCAGCTTTCGAAACTTTCAGATCTTGATTCTCCTCTATTTCTAATCTCTGGAATATTTCGATTAGAACATTTTGGAATGTCACTTTGTGGAATTCCAGCAATTGCAATCGAACGATCTTTTGCAACATTTTATGTGCATGATTATGAAGCAAAAAATCGATATTGGATTGCAATATTTAGCTCATCCTGTGCATTTTTTCACACACAGTTATTTGTTATTCCAATCACTTTTTATAAAATGCCTGTTTTTCTAATTGCTATTTATGCATCTTTTGGAATTGTTGTTTCTTTGTCAGTTATTGTTTATTTATACTTTTCGAATCTCAGAAAACTAAAATATATCAATGGAAAAAAAGAATATTCAATAAAAGTCACATATACTTTGAGCAAAAAGTTTCAACTTGAAGAAAATATTAAAATTATTACGGTAAGCTTATTTTTTGAAACTTTCTAATTGAATATTTAGTATTGACGAACAATGGGAACTATGATTTTCATTTTAATATGTATTGTTTTGGCAGTTATTCTAATTCCATGTGTTGTATTAGGAACTTCAAATGTTTCAGGGCAGTTTATTATATCTTTATTCGATTTGATTTTAGCTTTGTAAGTTTTTTATTATCGAATCTATGAATATAAAATTAATTTCAGAGCTAGTTTAATAATTCCCGGACTATGTATTATGTTTTTGAGAAAAACTCGACCTCTGCCCCTTTTCGTATGTTTACAATTAAAAAAAACTGTGAAATATCAAAATTTCAGAAAAATTTGAAATGGTTCAAACATTCTGGTTCTCTAGTTATAAAGCCGAAAATTGCTCAAGTTCCGAATGAAACAAAAGTATATTTTGATCAATTAACGAGATCGTGGCAATGAAAACTAAATAAAAAATTGTGTTCTGATTTTGTGTTATTTGATTTCCGCACTCGTGAAAGTTGCCGAAAATAAGAAGAGATGTTTGGGAAAAAATGTTGAAAAATTACAAAGTATTGAAATGGTTGAACAACAAGCGTGAAGCTTTCTTCGAAGAAACAAATTTGAATTCGAAAACAAAACAATACTGAAAAGAAACATTCTTGCAAACAACTGCGTGACAAGACCCAACAATAAAACACAAGGCGCCTTGAAATTACTGTAGGCGCGGTTTTTTTATTTTTCTGTTTCAAAAATTTTCTCTCGCTCAGAGAAACAGGCTGGAGAACCGGCGGAGAAAACGACATGTCGGCGAACTCTCGGACAACCGGCGGAGTGTCTCACCTACACTATTTCGCCAAAACTTTTGTCCACCGGTTGTCCGAAAGTTCGCCGACAGGTCGTTTTCTCCGCCGGTTCTCCAGTCCATTTCTTTGAGTCGGTTTGCATTTACGTTTTTCTCGATCAAAGTTTAGACATCATCAAAACACTCTAACCTCATTTTTGTATTTTTTGAGTTCTCAATATTTTAAAAGATAAGGAAATGGAGACATTTTTCTAGGTTAGCTATTCAAAAGTATTTACTTTTGTGAACAGTTTTTTTTTCAATCAATAAAAAATATATGTTGAACACAACAGTTCACTAAATAAATGTGACTTATCAACAACAAAAAATTGTGTTGTATTTTATAGCCATGTGCCTATAGGTATAAAATGAATTTCATCTCGATGTTTTTGATGTCATTTTTCTTCTTCTTCTTATTTTCTCGTTTTTTTTTTTGAAAAATGAAAAATAAATATCTTTTCTTTTTTTCAGTGGGGGCGAAAAAAAGAATGCTCTCTCTCAGTTTTTCTCTGTCATTCTGCGTTTTCAAACAAGCACGTTCGGTTTTCTCGTTTTTCTCTGATTTCGGGGGCTGTTATGTTTATTTATTATGTGTTTTTGTACTTGAACTTTTTAACACGTCTGGGAGGGTAAAAGCTAGTAAGAAAGTATATAAATATGAGTTTTGAACTTTCAATTTGTTGTAAAATTTTCATTACAATCTGAGATATGTTATGTCAACAAATAATCTCGCTGATAAGATTGTGATTGTTGATCAAACTTCGACAGATCCACCAGAGTAAACATGTTTTTCTATCGCAGACACTTCATTTTACCTCATAAATACTTATTTTTTAAATAATATTTTTTCACAGAATGGGAATTGCTGTCGTCGAAGTTGCCACAAAACCATTTGCTGGTCAAAAACCAGGAACAAGTGGATTACGAAAACGTGTTCCAGAATTCCAACAACAACATTATACCGAAAACTTCATTCAAGCAACAATTGATGCAGGTCTTGGAGCGAAAAAACGTGGATCTCAATTAGTTGTTGGAGGAGATGGTCGATTCCTTTCAATTGAAGCAACCAATGTTATTATTAAAATTGCTGCTGCAAATGGGGTTTGTTTCTTTTTTATTAGACTGAAAAAGTTTAAATTGAAAATAATTATAATTTCCTAGTTGTCTCGTTTGATCGTTGGCCAAAATGGATTCCTTTCAACTCCAGCTGTTTCAAACTTGATCAGAAAAGGTCATGCTGGAAAAATCGTAGATGGAGGTATTATTCTAACAGCTAGTCATAATCCTGGAGGTCCCAAAGGAGATTTTGGAATCAAGTTCAATTGTGAAAATGGTGGACCAGCTCCGGATCATGTAACGAATTCGATTTATGATATTACAACAAAAATCAGTAAATATTCGATTGCTCGAGATTTGGAATGTGATTTCACAACTGTTGGAACCTATGAATATGATATTGATGGAGTTGGACATTTTACAGTCGATGTTATTGATTCGGTTACTGAATATGTCAATTTAATGCAAAGTATTTTCGATTTCTCAAAGGTAACGTTTATATTGTTATTGAAAATTTCAACTTGAAATAAAATAAATTTTCAGATCAAATCCCTTTTATCTGGCGATTTATCTGGTGGAAAGAAATTCCGAGTTCTTCTCGATTCAATGCACGGAGCAACAGGTCCCTATATTTCAACAATTCTTGCCGATATTCTTGGAGCTGATTCGAAAGATCTTTTGAGAACTGTTCCAAAACCAGATTTCGGTGGTGGTCATCCTGATCCAAATCTTACTTATGCTAAAGCACTTGTAGATCAATTGAAAAATGGAGAACATGATCTTGGAGCTGCTTTTGATGGGGATGGTGTAAGTTTTTTGTTCGAAAAAAGTGTGATTGCAAATTTTAAATTCAGGATCGTAACATGATTCTCGGACGAAATGGTTTCTTCGTAACCCCAAGTGATTCGTTGGCTGTTATTGCTGATAATATCAATTCAATTCCATATTTCCAATCTAGAAAAGTTGAAGGTAGGTTCAAAAAAATTGTAAAATCATTAATTTTTATAAATTCCAGGATTTGCTCGTTCGATGCCAACAGCTGGTGCAGTCGATCTTGTCGCAAAAGCCAAAGGACTTCAAGTTTATGAAACTCCAACTGGATGGAAATATTTCGGAAATCTTATGGATGCTGGAAAAATCGCACTTTGCGGAGAAGAATCATTTGGAACAGGAAGTGATCATATTCGTGAAAAAGACGGAGTTTGGGCACTTTTGGCGTGGCTCCAAATTTTGGCCGACAAAAAACAATCTGTTGAAGAGATTGTCAACAATCATTGGAAAAAGTATGGTAGAAATGTTTTTACTCGATACGATTATGAAAATGTTGATGCAGCTGGAGCTAATTTGCTTATGACTTTCTTGGAAGCACAATTACCTGCATTAGTTGGAAGAGATTTGAGTGCCAATGGATTTACGTACAAGGTAATTATTTTGAAAAATAAGCTACTCACTCCAAGTTATATTTTGTTTAGGTTGCTGTAGCTGATAATTTCCAATACAATGACCCAGTTGATGGATCTGTTTCAACAAGACAAGGACTTCGAATTGTATTTGAAGATGGTTCTCGACTTGTATTCCGTCTTTCTGGAACTGGTTCTGCTGGTGCAACAATTCGACTTTATGTTGATTCATACATTCCAGCTTCTGATTCTCAACGCCTTCTTCAACCAGCGCAAGATTTGTTGAAACCATTGGTTCTTATTGCTCTCGAAACTTGCAAAATGGAGCAATTCACAAATCGAAAAGCTCCAACAGTTATCACATAATTATCATCTCACTCAAATTATTATTATTATTATTATTATTATATTGCATGCATGTTAATACAATTTTAGATTTTTGCAAAGTATCACATTTATTACAAAAAATATAGTAGATTTTTTTTTGAATATAAGACAGGCCGATTTTCAGAAATTTCAGGTCAAATGAAAAAACGAACGATTTTCGGTGATATTTTTTTTACAACATTCTAATGGGGTGAGTCAATTTTATTTTTTGTCAATTAATTGACACAAAATGTGAGTCATTTTTGTGCGATTTTTTCACGTTTTTGTCGATTAATTCCATCTTTTTTTGCAATTAATTACATTCAAAAATGAGGAATTTCAATACGAAATAGAATTTATTTGACCTCTTTTTTTGAAACGTGTCCCAAATTCACTGCTTATTTTTTGGATTCATTTTGAAATGAAAGAAAATTGAGGGAAATTGATTTTTTGTTGATAATTCCAACTCATATAGGTCAAATAAATTCTATTTTTATGCAATTAATTGCATTTTTTGCCAAGAAATGAAAGCGATGAATTGACAAAAACGTGAAATTAATCGCCCTAAAAGACTCACTTTTTTTGTCAATTAATCGCAAAAAACACGTCGATTAATTCGATTTACTCACCCCATAAGGCTTTTTTTTTTTGGAAGTTGGAACATTTTGAATTTGGATGTTCCACCTTCCAACCTCAGAATGTTCCAACTTCAAAATGTTCCAACTTCCAACCTCAGAATGTTCCAACTTCAAAATGTTCCAACTTCCAACCTCAGAATGTTCCAACATCCAACTTCAAAATGTTCCAACTTCCAACCTCAGAATGTTCCAACTTCAAAATGTTCCAACTTCAAAATGTTCCAACTTCCAACCTCAGAATGTTCCAACTTCGAAATGTTCCAACTTCCAACCTCAGAATGTTCCAACATCCAACTTCAAAATTTTTTTCGAACAGGTATAAAAAACTTGTTGTCGCAGGATACGAAGACAAACATCTCAAATGTTTTCTAGCGCGTCCTCTCTCATACGGTTATATATTTGGTTCTAATACTCTAGGTTAGAATTAGGGTGATTATATCGACCTTTTTTTTGCTTCACTGTAGGTGAAGGGGGATCCCGGGAATGATCGCTTGTCTAGGTAGTGTGTTGCAAACTTGCTCCACTTCACATATGTGTGTACATTTTCAAGTTCGTTTATTAATTTTCAAATTCTTCCTCTCACAGAATTGCAGTTTAAAACGTTTTATTGTAATTTTAAGTTGACTCTCGAAATTTTATTTCAAAAATATTATTTTTTCAGGGTTACCAAATATCATTCAAATGTTGCGACAAATGTCTGAGGAAGATAGTTTTCTGGAAGCCAAAGTGAGTTTTAAGATACCCAATTTTTCGAAGGACAAAATTATGTTTTTTAAACATCAAAAGAGAGCGGATCCAATTTCCAGAAACTCCTGTAATTCATTATGAATACTTGTTTTTTTCAGAAACAACAAGTGATCGAGTTGGAACTAGACAATCGAGAATTGAGAAACAAGGTATCAAATATGTCAAATCAAATTAGTAGTTTGAACGAAAAACTGGAAACGGAAACTTCCTCATCTGCAACATATTCGGAGATATTGGAAAAATATCAAACTGCGGCTGAGAAAAGAAAGAAGGAAATCGAATGTATGAATCTTAAAATAAGAGATTTGGAGGAAACGATCAAAGTAAAGGATGTTGAACTGCTAATGAAAGATGAAGAACTAAATGCGAAGGGTGCTATGATCAATGAGAAGAATCAGCAGAAGACTGAACTTTTGGACAAATTGAACGAAGTTACGGCAGAGTTCGAGACGTTTAAGGTTAATGCGATAGCTTCAGCTGAACAAAAAGTAGCCAAAAACTATCAAAAGAAAATCGGTATGTTTTACATCGCATGTTTTTGATCACCTGCCTTACTACTTATCATTTCAGAACAATTGAAGTCGGATTTGGAAGCATCGAATGAAAAGTTCCACGAAGCGAAGGCAGAATATGAGGACAATTCGAAAATTTGGAATGATAAATCCAGAGAAGACTCGCGCACCTTGAAATCTATCATTCGTTCGGTTAAGGTCTTCGAGGCAGTTTTAAGAATTGGAGGAAACAAAGTAAGGAAATTTCCATATCTGACAATACTAATAACATTTATATTACAGGAAGAAATAATGGATGCTTTCATCCCGGTCCTCTCTGTTCTTCCTGAAACGACAAAATCAGCTTCCAACAACCAATAATTCTCAATGGGTTCACAAGTTTTTATTTATTTTTCTTTTTATTGATCTTATTTTCTTATTGTTTTGAAATACTTTTCAGTAAATTCTATAAAAATGTTCTCATAAAGTAAGTCTTCTGCTTTTATTTTCAAGTGGTAGTGGTCCACTTCAACATATATCTAACAAGGGAAACTCGAAAATGTGTTTTTAACACGTCAATGGGAATTGCTGTCCTCGAAGTTGCCACAAAACCATTTGCTGGTCAAAAGCCCGGACCAAGTGAATTTCAACAACAACATTATACCGAAAACTTCATTCAAGCAACAATTGATGCAGGTCTTGGAGCGAAAAAACGTGGATCTCAATTAGTTGTTGGAGGAGATGGTCGATTCCTTTTAATTGAAGCAACGGTTACCGAATATGTCAAATTAATGCAAAGTATTTTCGATTTCTCAAAGGTATACTAGAGTTTTTTTGTTGAAATTTCGAAAAAAAAATTCAGATCAAATCTCTTTTATCTGGAGATTTATCCGATGGAAAGAAATTCCGAGTTCTTCTCGATTCAATGCACGGAGCAACAGGTCCTTATGTTTCAACAATTCTTGCCGATATTCTTGGAGCTGATTCGAAGGATCTTTTGAGAACTGTTCCAAAACCAGATTTCGGTGGTGGTCATCCTGATCCAAATCTTACTTATGCTAAAGCACTTGTCGATCAATTAAAAAATGGAGAACATGATCTTGGAGCTGCTTTTGATGGAGATGGTGTAAGTTTTTTTGTTTGAAAAAAATACGCTTAACAATTTTACATTTAGGATCGTAACATGATTCTTGGCAAAAATGGTATATTTCGGAAATCTTATGGATGCCGGGAAAATCGCACTTCGCGAAGAAGAATCATTCGGAACAGGAAGTGATCATATTCATGAAAAAGACGGTGTTTGGGTTCTTTTGGCGTCGCTTCAAATTTTGGCCAACAAAAAACAATCAGTTGAAGAGATTGTGAATAATCATTGGAAAAAGTATGGTAGAAATGTTTTTACTCGATACGATTATGAAAATGTTGATGCAGCTGGAGCTAATTTGCTTATGACTTTCTTGGAAGCACAATTACCTGCATTAGTTGGAAGAGATTTGAGTGCCAATGGATTTACGTACAAGGTAATTATTTTGAAAAATAAGCTACTCACTCCAAGTTAATTTTGTTTAGGTTGCTGTAGCTGATAATTTCCAATATAATGACCCAGTTGATGGATCTGTTTCAACAAGACAAGGACTTCGAATTGTATTTGAAGATGGTTCTCGACTTGTATTCCGTCTTTCTGAAACTGGTTCTGCTGGTGCAACAATTCGACTTTATGTTGATTCATTCATTCCAGCTTTTGATTCTCAACGCCTTCTTCAACCAGCGCAAGATTTGTTGAAACCATTGGTTCTTATTGCTCTCGAAACTTGCAAGATGGAGCAATTCACAAATCGAAAAGCTCCAACAGTTATCACATAATTATAATCTCACTCAAATTATTATTATTATATTGCATGCATGTTTATATTTTAGATTTCTTTTTACAAAGTTTCACATTTATTACAAAATATATAGTATTTTTGTTGAATATACACAAAAATTACCAGTGAATTAGTATTTTATACTTTTGATGTCTAAGCAATATGATTACAATTGCTACAACGGGTTTGAACTGTGCATGGGAACACAGCACAAGAAGACGAGGCCAAATGGAAATGTAAAACCTTAGAATATTCTAACCTTAGAATGTTCTAACCTTAGAATGTTCTAACCTTCGAAAGTTCTAACCTTAGAATGTTCTAACCTTAGAATATTCTAACCTTAGAATATTCTAACCTTAGACTAGATTTATCAGTATTTTTTCGTTATTTGATTTTTATGGTGTAATTACATCGATCATTTTATTTTGTTTCACTGTGGGTAAAGGGGATCCCGGGAATGATCGCTTGCCTAGGTAGTGTGTTGCAAACTTGCTCCACTTCACATATGTGTGTACATTTTCAAGTTCGTTCATTAATTTCAAAAACTTCCTCTCGCAGAATTGCATTTTAAAACTTTTTATTGTAATTTTAACTTAAGTTGACTCGAAATTTTATTTCAAAAATATTATTTTTTCAGGGTTAAACGCTTCTTGAAAATGATCAGGCAAGGTTCGTTCGATGATAGTTATATTGAAATCGAGGTGAGTTTTAAGATACCCAAATTTTCAAAGGACAAAATTATGTTTTTGGAACATTAATTTGAACAGTTTATATCATTTCGAATACTTGTTTTTTTTCAGAAAGAACGGGTTAAAAAAATGGAAATGGCTGTGAAAGAAATGACTATGAAAATCGAAAATTTGAGTAAAACCAATGATGATTTGACGAGTAGTTTGGAGTCTCTAAAATCGAATACTCGAAACAATCACAAGATTATTCAAAAATTAGAAACTGCTCACCAAAAAATGAGAGAGGAGAATGGAAGTTTGAAGGAAAAAGAAAAACAGCTCCAGACTGAAATTGGCACACAAATTGCCCAAATCGCGGAAATAACAGATGCGAAAAACAATGTGCTCGATCAGTTGAACAAATTTGTGGAGGATTTCGAAAAGTTCAAAAAGGATTCAAACGAGTCAACAATTGATGCAGTGGCTTCGGCGGAGAGAAAGCTCAAAGAAGTGTTCGAAACTAAAACAAGTATGTTTTACATCGCATGTTTTCGATCACCAGCCTTACTACTTATCATTTCAGATCGATTGAAATCAGAGCTTGAAAGATCGGAGAAGGATCATCAAGACTATGAAAAGGCTCATATTGTGTCATTGGAAGAAGTTAAAGGGGGGGGGGGGTAAGACGACAAAATTTTATTTGCTCAATGAATCGTCACAGGCATTTGCGAACAGAGTGGAAACCAGTAGAAGCGGGAAACCAGTCTGTTTTGGGTACGGATCTGGCTGGAACCAGTAGGTTTTCATTGGTTTCCAACTGGTATTGCAGGTGTTACTGGTTTCCACTCTGTTCGCAAATGCCTGTGGTGCTCCCTTTGAATAGTAAAAGCCCCAGGGGATTTTTTCTCGAAAGGCCTAAAAAGGTCCGAAAAAAATATTCCATGAACTTTTTTCATACGTTGTCTGAAAGTTTATGGAATAATTACGTGGTACCTAGTTTATGGAACATTTTTTCTGGGCGTTCCCAGAAAAAATCCCTTGGAGGTTTTACTACTTTTGGGGAGCCTTTAACTTTGCGACAAAAAAAATTTGTCGTCTTACCCCCCCCCCTTTAACGCAAAAAACAAAGAACTGAAGAGAAACTTAGGCGAGATACACGGTGCGGTTCATCTAATGTTAACCGACTTGTCGATTGTCGGATATACTGTAAGGAAATTTCCATATCTTACAATACACTAATAACATTTATATTACATCATGAAATTCGAGTCGCATTGGAGCCAGTCATTTCTCTTCTCCCCAAGAAACAACCAGAAATGTAATATATCATTTTTTTGGTCTCCCATATTTTTTCTCGTTTTCTTTCACTTTTATTTTTTTCTTTCACTTTTATATATCCACGTTTTTTTTGATAAATCGAGTTTGAAATTTCAATTTTCTTTTTTTTTTTCAATTGGTAGTCGTCCATTTCAACATATATATATGTAATAACAAGAGAAACACGAAAAAGTTATTTTAAACACGTCCGGGAGAGTGAACTTCATTCAAGCAACAATTGATGCAGGTCTTGGAGCGAAAAAACGTGGATCTCAATTAGTTGTTGGAGGAGATGCTCGATTCCTTTCAATTGAAGCAACCAATGTTATTATTAAAATTGCTGCTGCAAATGAGGTTTGTTTCTTTTTCATTAGACTGAAAAAGTTTAAATTGAAAATAATTATAATTTTCTAGTTGTCTCGTCTGATTGTTGGCCAAAATGGATTCCTTTCAACTCCAGCTGTTTCAAATTTGATATTACAACAAAATCAGCAAATATTCGATTGGTCAAGATTTGGAATGTGATTTCACAACTGTTGGAACCTATGAATATGATATTGATGGAGTTGGACATTTTACAGTCGATGTTATTGATTCGGTTACTGAATATGTCAATTTAATGCAAAGTATTTTCGATTTCTCAAAGGTAACGTTTATATTGTTATTGAAAATTTCAACTTGAAATAAAATAAATTTTCAGATAAAATCCCTTTTATCTGGCGATTTATCTGGTGAAAAGAAACTCCGAGTTCTTCTCGATTCAATGCACGGAGCAACAGGTCCTTATATTTCAACAATTCTTGCCGATATTCTTGGAGCTGATTCGAAAGATCTTTTGAGAACTGTTCCAAAACCAGATTTTGGTGGTGGTCATCCTGATCAAAATCTCACTTATGCTAAAGCACTTGTAGATCAATTGAAAAATGGAGAACATGATCTTGGAGCTGCTTTTGATGGGGATGGTGTAAGTTTTTTTGTTCGAAAAAAGTGTGATTGCAAATTTTAAATTCAGGATCGTAACATGATTCTCGGACGAAATGGTTTCTTCGTAACCCCAAGTGATTCGTTGGCTGTTATTGCTGATAATATCAATTCAATTCCATATTTCCAATCTAGAAAAGTTGGTCAATTGTACAATACCTGGAGCACATGCCCTGGAACTGAATTTCCTGTAAAAATGTATAAACCCTGGATTTTTAAAGCAATACCTGGAAACGAGAAAAAGGTCTGAAATTTCTCGAATCAATTCCAGAAAGTGATTTTTTTGTTCTAAGTAATGTTTTTTTCCGCTACTAGACCTCTGCCAAAAAATGAAAAACCTGAAATTTAGAATATTTTGCACACTTTCACCTGTTCACCTTGGAACATCTTTCGAACCACAGATCTATCAATTTGAAAACGTTTTTTGTGAAATTTTTTGAATCTCTGAGCGGAAAAACGCCAAATTTTTTTCCAGGTATTGTTCAAAAATAATCCAGGGTTTGTACATTTTTACAGGAAATTCAGTTCCAGGGCATGTCTTCCAGGTATTGTACATTTGACCGAAAAGTTGAAGGTAGGTTCAAAAAAATTGTAAAATCATTAATTTTTATAAATTCCAGGATTTGCTCGTTCGATGCCGATCTTGTCGCAAAAGCCAAAGGACTTCAAGTTTATGAAACTCCAACTGGATGGAAATATTTCGGAAATCTTATGGATGCTAGAAAAATCGCACTTTGCGGAGAAGAATCATTTGGAACAGGAAGTGATCATATTCGTGAAAAAGACGGAGTTTGGGCACTTTTGGCGTGGCTCCAAATTTTGGCCGACAAAAAACAATCTGTTGAAGAGATTGTCAACAATCATTGGAAAAAGTATGGTAGAAATGTTTTTACTCGATACGATTATGAAAATGTTGATGCAGCTGGAGCTAATTTGCTTATGACTTTCTTGGAAGCACAATTACCTGCATTAGTTGGAAGAGATTTGAGTGCCAATGGATTTACGTACAAGGTAATTATTTTGAAAAATAAGCTACTCACTCCAAGTTATATTTTGTTTAGGTTGCTGTAGCTGATAATTTCCAATACAATGACCCAGTTGATGGATCTGTTTCAACAAGACAAGGACTTCGAATTGTATTTGAAGATGGTTCTCGACTTGTATTCCGTCTTTCTGAAACTGGTTCTGCTGGTGCAACAATTCGACTTTATGTTGATTCATACATTCCAGCTTCTGATTCTCAACGCCTTCTTCAACCAGCGCAAGATTTGTTGAAACCATTGGTTCTTATTGCTCTCGAAACTTGCAAGATGGAGCAATTCACAAATCGAAAAGCTCCAACAGTTATCACATAATTATCATCTCACTCAAATTATTATTATTATTATTATTATTATTATTATTATATTGCATGCATGTTTATACAATTTTAGATTTTTACAAAGTATCACATTTATTACAAAATATATAGTATTTTTGTTGAATATACACAAAAATTACCAGTGAATTAGTATTTTATACTTTTGATGTCTAAGCAATATGATTACAATTGCTACAACGGTTTTGGACTGTGCATGGAACACAGCACAAGAAGACGAGGCCAAATGGAAATGTGAAAATAGTCAAGATAATGAGGCAAAGAAGGCAGCACATATCATTTCGGCGGGTTATTACGCCAATATTCTGGAAAAAAATGTTGTGATGTGGGAAATTCAAAATTGAAAGAAATTTGGGAAATGACAATTGAAAAAAACGTGAGAATTGACGTGGCAATTTAGAACTCTTATTTTGAAAAAATCGGTATTTTGGACACGATAATAGGGACCTGGAAAATTATTTCAAATTAGAACTTACACAAACTCTACATTGAGGTCCTCTTTGAACGACAACAACCGAATTTGTTGCAACACGAACTGTTTGAACTGTATCAACTGGTTGAGGAAGACGAGTTTGAGCTGAAAACAACATGATCGAATTTAAAAAATTGTTGTATGGAAATCGTAAAAATATTATTCTATTTTTGCGATTTTTTAAATTGCCTAAACATTTGAATAGAAGCTAAAACATACTAATAATAGGCTGTGGTGGTGGTTGATAATAAGTTGGTGGTTGTCCACTATAATATTTCGGCTCTTGCGAAGCATTTCCACCATAAGTTGGTGCTGCTGGATAAGACATTGCTGCTTGATAAGATGGTGGAGGAACACTATAAGCAGGTTGTGGTGCAACTGGGGTAACTGGTGTTGATTGTTCCGTATATTGTGGATAAACAAATCCAACTGTTGGTGGAGGTGGACGAGGTGGAGATGTTGAATGAATCTCACTGAATAAGATTTGAATTAATCTCGATAATTTTAATAATATTCAAATACTAATGTATTTTGCGATTATGTTTTACAAATCAAATTTCCTGTCATGTGAATCATTTTTAATTTTAAAAGTTTTTATGAACGTTCAAACTCTCACACTATCTCGCCGAACAAAACAATTTTTCGATTGAAAATGTTTTTGTTTCATTTCAAAAGTCTTTTTCGTTTTATATTTTTCTGCGATATTATTTTCTTATACTTACTCTACAATTTGTGGTGCACTTGGTAAGGTTGATGAACTGCTTCCTTCTGTTGGAGGATTCTCCTAAAATTGGAAAAATATTTAAAGTTTTGCTTTTTTTTTAAACTTACAACATCTGGTAATGGTTGTTTCTTTTCGTTAGTATTACTCATTCTGAAATAATTATTTTCAATTTAAATGAAAATTGCCATTCAAAAAAAAAGATATAAAGACGGTTGAGAAAAACCGATATTCGGAAAATTTCAAAAAAAAAGATTCGTTTTTTTTTAAATAATTAGTCCTAGAAAAACCGGTAATACAAAACAGAGAGCAATTGAGCATAGAACATGTGAATGGAAAACAAAAGAAAAAAGAAAACCGTAAGAAAACTCTAGGAGAATTTCCAAAAAAAAAAACAACGAAATGAAAACCTATTACTCTATCCTAAATACAAGAAACGAACAAAATAAAATGAAATCCTTGGGCAAAAAAACGGAAAAAAAAGAAGAAGACTAATTTTTGTTGTTTTTTTGCTGAAAAAGTGTTCCGAAAATACGAATTTGATAGGGTTGTTGAATCTGAAAATAATATGGGATTTGAAAAAAAGGATACATGCATTATTTCTATAAACCAAGAATTTCGAAATAATTTTTTTTTCTGTTTGAACATATGTTACTAGGTGAAAATACACTATTTCGAAATATATTATTTTTTCTATCCAAAAATCGATTTTCGCATCGATAAAAATGATTGTATTAGAGAGAGTGTGACCGAAAAAAACAACGAAATATCGAAGAAAAAAATAGAGAAAAAACCGAACATTGAGAAATTATTCGATCATGCGGAAAATGCGAAATTTTTCTGAAAAAGAAAAGCAAAGCTCAGACTTGATTTATTCAAAATAATTCCACTTTTTCGGGGTTCCAAATGTTTTATTCAACAAATAATTTGGTTTGTTAGAAGAAACATTTTTGGAACTGTTTGTTTGCTTACATTATTCAATAAGAAAATGTCAAGAGTTTAAAAAATTGACAAAAAATCGATCGATTATTTTGGGAAAAAAACCACAAAAAGGAATAACAAAAACCAGATCTGCATTTTTGTCCTTTCTTTTTTCCCCATTCTTATTTCTCATCAACCATGTATTTTCTTTTTCCAAGTGAAAAAAAAAACTGAATTGGTAGTTATTTAGAAAAAAAGAAAGAAAGGTTATAGATTCGATTATCAACTTTTTCGAGTGTTTTGTCAATTGAAAAAACTGAAAATTTGAACACTTTCGAAATAAATGAAAAATTTCAAAATTAAGAGAAGCGCATGATTTTTCCTAAAATATCAATTCGTCATACTTGACAACAAAAACGTTTATAATAAAACTATAAGAAATCAATAGTCAGTGTAAACATTTGTTCTATGAGTAATTGATGAAACTAGAAAAGAAAGTTGCTTTTCGACTTTTTCTGCAAAAAAAACTCACGTCAAATTCATAAACTGCCATTCGAAATATTCGCCGAATTGTTCAATCGATGGGCTGTAAAAAAATCGTATGGTAGCATTTTCCCACAATTTTCTTATTTAATATTCATGTGATTTCATTCGATCGCCCACATAATATAAAATCGATAACTTTGATATAAACAATTTTGTAGGGCTCAAATAAAAGTTGAAAATTTAGCGATGACAAAATAGAATGTGAAATTTCCACAAATAAATTCAAAACGAAAAACCTTTTTGAAAATAACATATTGACATCGAAAGTTAAGCCACGGCTTTGTTTCGTTTAAAAAAATGAGTTGGACATGCATGTTCCGGCAGTCTCGCAGTGTTGAAAGTTCTTGGATATTTTCAAAACAATGTTTCACCTTGCACTTCCCCATGAATATTTTCGAAAAAACCAACCTCTAAGTGGAATCATTAACGGCATTTCATCGCTAACAATAACTGAATGTAATTCTCCTCTGAATAAATATTTGACTGATAGCATTTTCGGTTCTCCGGGACATGGATCATAAAATCCAGGCATTTGACTCTGAATTAATATATAGATATCTTTGAGGAAGAAGGTAAGTGAGACGGAAAATCAGATCAATCAAAAAAGTTTGAGGACACTTCGAGAAAAATATCCAAGAGATGTTTTCGCAAAAAAGTTCAAGACAAAAATTGAACAAGTTTTCAGCTTTTTAAAACAAATGATCGAAAGATACAAAAAAATTTACATGTACAAAATCTAATTCAAAATTGCATAAAAATTTGGAATACAAAATATAGCCCAGTTTTTTTTCCGAGAGAACCCACGAATTTTTAAAATGAACCTCATTTCTTTTTTTGTGTTATAACCTACAACTTACCTTAACTGAATAAACTCTCAATTGCGAATCATTAACCATTGCTTGTAAAGGAACAGTTACATCAATAGTTCTTTCACCAGCCAATGGATAAGAACTCGATCCACTTGCATCACATTGTCCATATCTTCCACTTTCAATTACAACTCCTTGTTTCGATTCTTCTTCTCGTTTGATTCTTTCAGCAGTTGCTCGCATAAGATTCACAACATTTGCAGCCTCTTCTTTTTTCGCAAGATCAATCTCTTTTTCCGCACTTGGATCATCAAACAAAGATTTTAACCGCTCCCACCATGGCCGGAATATGATTTTGGCTAACTGAAAGGCAAGAAGAAGAAAAAGGGTTAAATAAATATTCTGAATGAATAATAACATACTTGAAGAGTAAAATATGGCACAGCAATTCCATAAATCACACTTTTTGACAATGCTTCTTTATCGTCACATAAAACAATTTGCCATTCAAATGTTGATTGTCCAGTTTTGAGTTTGAATTTTGTTTGAAGTAAACAAGAAGGAAATGAAAAATGAACTGAACAACCAACTCTCGAATATCTCGATAAACGTCTTTCCATATTCAAAGATGGTGATATTCCATAAGTTGTTATTTGAACTGCAGCTTCAGTAACTGCATCATGTTCAGGTTGTCGACGATAATAAACTAATCGAACATTTGAATTGATAGGAGACAACTGAAAATTGATTTTTTTTTATTAAATGCATTCCTTAAATCAAACCTACAGTTACACTTGCTACGGCTTTCGGATGATTATTTTCAGTATGAACCATTGTTGTAGTTAATGCATTTGATATTGGTGAAACATTCAAAACAATACTTCCTTGCCAACGAGTTCGCAGTCTCATTGAATAAACTTAAAATTTAATTTATATTGGATGAATATAATGTGTCTGACTAAAACTCACTGAAAACAATTGATGGAATAAATGCCTCATGTAACATACTATATTGTAGTTGCGGTTGTACAATTATTGCAGCACGTGTGAATACATTTCTAGCTGCTCTCACACTTAAAGCCACTGAATCGGCAGATAAACTAATTGTATTCTCAATATTAAATGATCCAGCAACTCGTTTCCAAACAGCTGATACACTTCCATCTCCTCGGCCATTTCCAGTTCGAACTTTTCCAGTTAAACCACATCTATCTGAACCAGTTATAGCACAATCTATTGATTGTGTCAATGCTAATCCAACAAATTGTGGTGGATATCTTTCTTCAGGATTTTCTTGAAAAAGCCCAGCGAATGATGTTTTGACAAGAAAACCGCTTGTTGGATGAATACGTTGAAGCATCAATTCTCTGTCTTTCAACCTTTGTAAAAATTCATACTCTCTTCTAATATTTTCAGGATTCGCTGATCTTGTAACAAGTTCCCAACCCTGTGTATCCAATCCTTGAACACCTAATGCATCATAAATTGCTCGTTTTTTAGGATCCATAAGAACTTCATGAGCTCGACGAATTTTCACAAAAACTCTTTCCGCATCCTTTTTTTCGTTTTCATCCATGAATCGATCCGGATGAAACATAAGGCATCGTTTTCTATACGATTTAATGATTTCATCCTCTGTTGCCTCAAAAAACCTTTTATAAGTATATGAATCAAATATACAAAATAACTTACATCCTTAGGAACATTCAGAATAGCATAGAAATCGATTTCTTCTTCTTCATCTAGTAACAATCCATCATCTTCATCACCACATATTGAAGAATTTGAAGACACCGACATCCTTGAAAAAATAAATGAATAATGACGCAATTTATGGAAATGAAATGTTAAAAACGTGAATATAGGAATTTTCAAATGAATTAAACTTATTCTTTTTTGATTTGATAAACGAAAAAATTACTGCGAATGCTACTTTTTCAAAAAAAAAACAGTTTTCTTGAGAAGTTGACCCAGGTTCAAAGTACAAACACAGAAAAGCGTCAGTCTTCATCGTGTGACGGCCCACTTTTTGTATACGAAAATCGGCAGCCATGCGTGTTTTTTAACGGGCCACGCGAACACATGTCGTTGGAATAAAAAAAAGCTCAAGAGAAAATGAAAAAATACGAAATTCAAGCAAAAGTTTAAAAAATATTGAAATAGTTGAAAACTAAACCTGTTCTTACGATTTTAGACTAACAAACTGAAGAATCACACTGATTCTGATCTCCAATTTCGTGAAAGACAACGCCGCGCACCGGAAGGAAGAAAAAAAGACAAACCTATATGTCCTCAGAGAAGTTGGACGATTAATCGCCTAGTAACTTGAATTAGCTGCTGGCTAACCGATTAATCGCCTGTGTTAATTTAGTTCAGGCGATTAATCGTAAGTTCACTTTACTCGGCGATTAATCGTCCAACTTGTCTGAGTCGTCAACTAGAATGTGTATGGTGCAAACAGAAGTGCACACAAACTGTGTGTCTACAGTACTTACACAACCGTTTTTGATTACTTCACAATGATCCATTGTCAATGGAGTTCCTTCTAGAAAATAAAAATAATTCTGATGAATTATGGTTTTAGACGGCTCAATTTTCAAGATGGAATATCTTTTGAGCAATGCTGAACGATTGGTGTGTTTTACAAGAAAGGGTTCTAAACGTATTTTTCAATTTTTTTCTGCCTGTTGTTCAACCCTATTTTTGGTTCGGTTTTTCTCTGAAAAAAAACATTATTTCTATGGTTTTATCAGTTTTTCAGAATTCTAATTACTTTTTTGTTTTACGAAGTGTTTGTATAATTTTATTGAATGGTGCTATAACTTCGTTATCTATACGATATAAAATGCTGGAATAGTCGTAAATTCAATCTATCTGAAAATAATGAATAAATTAGTTCTGATTTTTTCATTATTGAATTTCGTGGCTAGTGAAATCGTTGATTGGAAGGTAAAGTTTTGAAAAATAACTGGCTGTAAGCAAATATCGAACAGAAATTAGAAAAATGAATTGCAGAATTTTCCAATTGTTCATAATATTTCAAGACAATGTTCGGATGATATTAAAACTTGGAAAAAATCTCTCGAGATTTTCGAATTGGTAGGAGCCCAATGTATTCTGGCTCAGAATTGTACATCGTCACAACAAGCAGTTCTCAAGGATAATCTTTATGCTGTTCAACGTAATATGCTTCTTATTTTTTAGTGATTCATTTTCAGGAATTTTACAGAATTGGATGCATTTGCAAAATTTCCATCTCCTGGAATTATCGAAATGACAGTAATAAATAGTGGATCACCAATGGAATGTGAACGAATAAATGGTATAAAATATGATACAAATTATTGTTATCTAGACATTTATCCAAAAACAAACAAAAATATATCCTCATTAATATTTTATCGCTCTGCTGTTTGTATGCCAAAATCATGCGATTCTGAAGATCTCATTCAAATCTACAACACTTTTCATCCACATTTTCTTGAAGCTAAACACGTGTTTTGTGCAAAACGAGATATTCCAAAAGATTTTGCATTTTGGGCGTTTACTGTATTTCTTGTCATATGGGTAACAATTTCTATTTGTTCAACAATTTTTGATTTCATTCGGGATAATTATTACAATTTGAATAGTGCTAACGAGAAGAGTCGTTTGAATCAAATTATACTCGCATTTTCGTTTTGGACAAATGCTGGAACAATTTTATCTGTAAAGGAACATAAACCGGGACATATAAAATCGCTAGATTGTATTCGAGCATTATCAATGTCTTGGGTTGTTTCAGGTCATAGTGCAATATATACAGTAATCGGAGGTTTGTTATCAGTAATCTATCATGAATAATAAAATTAAATTGATTGTTTTTTGTTTTTTAGAAGCTTTTTTGCCAATCGAACTTGTTTCTCATAATATTTGGAATCATATAATAACAAATGCTGTCATTGCTGTCGATTCGTTTTTTCTTATATCTGGAATTGTTCTATCTTATATGTTTTTCAAACAAAAACCAAAAAGTAGAATGATGAAAAATCCTCTAACATGGATAATGTTCTATGTTCATCGATATCTTCGACTAACTCCTCCAATTATGATTTTCATCGGATTCTTTACTGTTTATTTTGGTTATATTCAAGGCCCGTTTGCAGCATCTGTTGGAAGTAAGAATCTATAAATCTATATTTTTTGAATTGATTTTCTTGTAGATTTTAATGCATATGAAGTGAAACAATGCCAAGAGGGTTGGTGGAGAAATCTGATTTATATTAATAATTTCAGTAAATCTGATTTTTTATCTTGTTACGGTATAACTTGGTATCTTGCTGCTGATACTCAATTATATTTGATCGCCCCAATTTTCATATTTGCCTTGTATTATTCCTTCAAATTAGGATTTTTATTAATAGCTGCTGCTTGTTTCACTAGTATTGTTCTAACGTATTTAGCTTATTATTCAATTCCAAATATGGCTGCTGATATTATGATTATTGAGTAAGTAGAAAACGTATCTTTTGTTATCGTATTTTTGTTTTAGTGCAAGTGGCGAATTTGCTCGAAACTATCAACTTCCTTGGATTCGTTGTACTCCTTATTTTGTTGGAATTCTAGCTGGATATATAATTGGTGTTCTTTCTCGTCGATCAACAAAACCAAAACTTCATTTGATTCTGATAATTGTTTTCTGGATAATCGCTTTTGGAATTGGTTGGGCTTGTATGCTTTCCAATTATACTTATGATAAATACAACAATTGGACATGGTTTGACAGGGGAACTTATTATAATTTTTCTCGTTTTCTATGGTCAATTGCTGTTAGTTGGGTTATAATAGCAAATCATTTTGGATGGGGTGGCCCAATTAATAATTTCATGTCTCATCCAATTTGGCAACCATTTGGTCGATTATCTTATTGTGCTTATATTGTTCATTGGGTTGTACTATTTTATTATGTCAATCTTGGAGAACGTCCTCTTATTCTTTTTTCAATTTTTTCAAAACGTAAGTTTTTCGATCTGAAATTTAGATGAAACATATATTTTTTAGTACATGTATTATGGAGTACCAGCATCTGTTTTTTCATTCATTGCTGCATTTTTCTGGAGTTGTCTTTTCGAAATGAGCACTGCAAAACTGGAGAAAATTTTGATTGAATCGATCATGAATCGAGCGAAACCAATTGCGGATGAAAATAAAACATAACAGTCTTTTTAAAAATTAAATTCCAGTTTTTGTTATATGAACTGCGTATGAAATAGTTTCGAATATCAATTTTAGAGTCAAACATCATAATAACTCAAATATAGTTTTGTGATAATTTGACGTCTTATCAGTTTTTTTTTCAATTCGTAGATTGTAAGTTGGAAATAACTAGACGCAACGGAATTATCATTTATTGGAGAGTATGAGCAACACTGGAAATGCAAAACTTTGAACGAATTGATCTTCACGAATAATTATGATGATATCAAACTTGAACTTTGGAAAAAAATCACAAAGTGAATACTGAAGAAAAGGTTTTCAACTAGGTGGAAAGCTGCTAGTTTTGATAGATTTCTGATCAATTTGAAAAGCTAAATATTAGTACATCACAGTTCCAGCCAAATCCAAAAAAATCGAACGTATAAGATTAATGTAGTTCACAAAATTTCCTATTTCCAATTTTTAGAAGTCATTACAGTACTCTCAGTTTATCGGTTTGTGAAAAGCTCATCAACCTACAGTAGTCAATTAATGACAAGAAAATGTTCATTATAATAAACTTTTCTCAGTTTCTAAACTTTGTCCAGTCTGCTCTTTACTTTTCTTTTCAAAGACCAATATTCGCATCATTGGTATTTATCGTTATCAAGAAAAACGGAAAACTCCCGAAAATGATTGATATAAATACGATTCTGATTTAACACACAAAATACAAAATGAATAGATTATTTATTTTTTGTCTAATATTATGTGGCACTTCTTTACAATTTGAAAATGAATGGCAGGTAAAATAATTGTCATTAATACCAATAATAATTATAAAATCTGAAATTAATCAGAATGCCTTGTCAAATGCCAAATTTCAAAATCTATCAATTCAATGTATGATAGATACTGCAACATGGTTGAAATCTTTAGAATTAATTGCAACTGTTTCAACAGAATGTATTTTGACTCGAAAATGTACGCCAATGCAAGAAATGATACTTCTTCAGAATTTGTATGCAATTCAACGTAAGATTACTGTATCAGAAATATTTAGTAACGATATGATTTTACAGAACTTGATGCATTTGGAAAATTCCCAACCGCTGGAATTTTAGAAGCTAAATTAATAATTGATGGATCTCCCCAAGAATGTGAAAGAATTAGTGGTGTAAAATATGAAACAAATTATTGTTATCTTGCTCTTGCTCCAAGAGCAACCGAAGCAATCTCACCATATCTCGCATTACGATCAGCAGTTTGTATGCCAAAATCATGTTCTCCTCAAGATCTTATGAATATTTACAATTCAATTGATCCAATTTTATTCGATGCAAAATATGCATTCTGTGCAAAATATGATGTTGTCAAAGATTCAGCTTTTTGGGGTTTTTCGATTTTTTTAATGGTTATTGTTGCAATCTCTATTCTTGCAACAATTGCTGATTTTCTTCGTGAATCTGTTTTTGGTCTTCGATCTTCTGAATCTAGCACAAATATTGTTTTGAAAATTTTATTTGCATTTTCATTTTGGACAAATGCTGAAATTGTACTTTCTGTGAAACAACAAAAAGAGGGACATATCAAATCATTAGATTGTATTCGATTTATGTCAATGTCTTGGGTTGTAGCTGGACACAGTACTTTATATTTTGTATCATCGGGTAACTTAAAACTAAAAAAGAATGAATAATTATTTGATTCATTTTCAGAAGCAGTTCTTCCACTTTTATCAATTCATAAAAGTTTATGGAATCATATAATAACAAATGCTCTTTTATCAGTTGATTCATTCCTTTTACTTTCTGGAATTGTTGTTTCATACATGTTTTTCAAAAAACGACCAACTTCAAAAACTATGCGTTCTCCTCTAACATGGATAATGTATTATGTTCATAGATATCTTCGATTGACACCGTCAATTATGATTTTCATCGGATTTTTTACTGTATATTTTGCTTATATTCAAGGACCACAAGCTGCATCAATGGGAAGTGAGTAAAAATATCAAGAATAAAATATAAACAATCGACTGCCAAAACTTAATTCTCACCAGCAAAGATCTACATATCTACAGTAATCCAAAATTGTTCTTACAGATACTCATCTAACTCAAATCTCCGGATGTAAATCAGATTGGTGGCAAAACTTATTGTACATCAATAACTTTGCCGCAGCTGATGGTCAAACTTGTTATGGTATTTCTTGGTATCTTGCTCTCGATTTTCAACTTTTTCTTGTTGCTCCAATTTTCATAATAGCACTCTATATTTCCTTCAAAATTGGAGCTGCTTTGATTGCAATTGGATGTATTGTTAGTATTGCAATCACATATATTTTATACAGTCAATACAAAAATATGTCTGCTGATATTGTTATCACCGAGTGAGTTTTGATATGTTTTTTTTTTCAAATCAAAATTAACGTTTTCAGTGCAAGTGGTAAATTTGGAACTTATCTTTATGATAAACCATGGATTCGTGGAACTCCATATTTGGTTGGAATTTTAACCGGATATATTCTTTCAATGCGACCAATAAGGCTTAATTGGTTTCTTCGAATAATCGGATGGATGATTGCAATTGCAATCGGATTAGCTTGTATTTTTTCAAATTATCAATATGACAAAGGAGCAGATTGGGGTTGGTTTGCTAAAGCGAGTTTTTACAACTTTTCAAGATTCGGTTGGTCAATTGCTGTTAGTTGGGTTATAATAGCAAATCATTTTGGATGGGGTGGCCCAATTAATAATTTCATGTCTCATCCAATTTGGCAACCATTTGGTCGATTATCTTATTGTGCTTATATTGTTCATTGGGTTGTACTCTTTTATTATGTCAATCTTGGAGAACGTCCATTGCAATATTATTCATTATGGCAAGTGGTAAGTACATGGTTTTTTGAGTAAAAAATTTAAAATTGAAAGATAGCCATCTGGCCACTTTTTTTCGAGAAAGCCAAAATTTGAGTCTGAATTGAATTATTTCATTTCAAAAAAGATATCCTATTTTACGAATCCTATTCAGATTTTCGAAATCTGGCCTACTCCTTTTCAGAAATCCCACGAAAACCTAAACTCGTGATAATTTCAGTATTGTTACTATGCAATTCCTGCCACATTCTTATCATATGTCGCTGCTTTTTTCTGGAGTTGTTTATTCGAACAAAGTGTTGCCAAACTCGAAAAACTACTATTCTCCAAGCTACTTCTCAACAACGAAAAACAATCACCAAAACAAAATTCGTGGGACATTGAGGACACAAAAATGTAAAATAATTTGTATTTTTTGAACATTCATATGTACATAAAAAGGTATTTAACATGTTACAATTCCGTTGCAAGAAGGCACTATTTACAATGTGAACAGAAATTTTGAAAAAAAGACAAATACCCGTCGAATCATCGGGATAAAAATCGAAATAGGAAATATGATTAGAGTATATTATGGTTGAAGAACAAGCAGAGAATGCGGATCATCGATTTGTTGACGACGAGTTTCAAATTGTTGGCGTCGAAGACATTTTGGACATTCTCCAGATGTTTTCCAGCATGGTTTGTGGAAAACAGAAAAACAAACAAAACACTGAAAAACAATCAGATTATGGACAAGGACAATTTTGATTTTTTGAAAATTTCAACTTACGCGGTGTGTTTCATCTGTTTGGAATGGATAAATAACATCGTTCAGACTGCAAAGTTCGCAAATGAAACCTTTTTGTCGACAAAGAGTGCATCCCATAACATGAGATATTGCATGCTTCAAAAGTTGATTCAATTTCTTTTGCAAACTTCCTTCTTTTACATCAAGAAGATCCTGAAATAAATGATTTTTTTTAAATTATTACCTTTTTAAACAATACATCATTTTCCAAAAATTTTAAGCTAATTTCTAAACTTACCGAAAACGAATATTTATCAATTTCCGAATGTAAATATTCTTTCGGCCAAATTCGTCTCCTAAAATCTTCAGCAACCGATTCTCTACAAGTGAATAAATACATCGATACATATTGCAATTTTTCCCGTAATTTTCTTGTTTCATCTAATGCTGGCACGTGTTTATATAATTTTGCATTTTTCTCTTTTATATTCATGAGAGCTTTTTCCTGATTTGCCTCAATCCAAGATCTTCCTCGTTCTGAAACCAATCGTTCTCTCCAATCCCAATCCATAAGAACTCGAGATGGAATTGCTGATCGTCCACCATTTTTCATACATTCCATACAATAATATTTTGAATCAACTGCACATGTTCTGAAATCAAAATAACAATTAGTTTCTTATCAGAGTGGAACATAAAACATCATTTTCTTTAAAAATCAACATCATTTCCGGAAAAATTTTCGTATACGAAAAAGTCAACTAAAAAGTCAACTAACAAGTGAACATTCAAAAAATGTTAAATTAAGAATAAAGTGAATTCACTGAAAAAAATATACTGAAAGAAAATCAGAAAGTTCAGTTACACTAGACGTAACGATGGTCAATTTTTCTTATCGAAAACTGTACCAAACCACAAAAATATGTATAATCATTTGTTCTCAAAGCGGATTATTGTAAAAGGACATCACAGACATCGAATTGTGCAACTTTACACAATTTTCAGTTGTTTCAAACAATATCTAATTACAGCTTGTTTTTTAAATGAAATCTCCAGTGAAATTTTGATGAGAATATTTATTGATACGTTCTCAACGAATATATTTAAATACATCATTCAGAAGTGCAAAAATATATAAATCATAGAACCATTTCAACTGATTAATCAGTATTCTTATCAATTTGGTAATATGAACATCATCATATAAAAGAACTGAAACTATGCCATTTTTATCGAATGAATTATGCGTTTTCAAATATTATTTATATTTTTTCAATTTGTTTTTGCGAATGAATGGCAGGTAAGTAACTTGTGGAATTGATTAGTGATGAACCTCATTTTCAGAAATCAATAGCAAAATCTACATTCCAAAATATTTCTAGTACTTGCGCTAATGATACAAGAACATGGATTTCTTCTCTTGAAACATTTTCTTTGGTAACAACAGAATGTTTAGTCAAAAATAAATGTACACAGAAAGAACTTCTGATTTTGAAGAACAATTTATATGCTGTCCAACGTAAGTATTTTTAATTTTGAATAATTGAGCCTTCAAAAATTAAATTATAGAACTTGATGCATTTGGAAAATTTCCAACTCCAGGAATTCTTGAATTAACTCTAGTCAACGATGGATCTTATCAAGAATGTCAAAGGATTAGTGGAGTAAAATATGAGACGAATTACTGTTATTTATTCCTTTATCCAAAAGCAACTCCAAATATTTCATCATTAATTGCATATCGAACAGCAGTTTGTATGCCAAATTCATGTGATAGTCAAGATCTTGCAAATCTTTATAATGGAATTGATGGAAAAATATTTCATGCAAAATTCGCATATTGTGCCAAAGTTGAATATGAAAAAGATTCTGCTTTTTGGGGTTATTCGATATTTTTAGGTGTTATGGTTCTCATTGCAATTCTCGCTTCTACTCTCGATTTTATTCAAGATTCTGTTTACGGAATTTCAAGTTCAAAAGAGAAAAACATAATTAGAAAAATCCTGAATACATTTTCCTTCTGGACAAATGCTGGAATCATTTTATCAATTAAAGAACAAAAAGAGGGACATATAAAATCATTAGATTGTATTCGAGCATTTTCGATGTCATGGGTTGTCGCTGGACATGCAACATTATATTTCTATACATCAGGTAAAGAATTAAAAATTAAATTAATCGAGTTATTTTGTTTTCAGAAAATCTTCTGCCTCTAAAATATCTTGCTAATAATGTTTGGAATCATTTGATTATCAATGCAATATTATCAGTTGATACATTTTTCCTTCTATCTGGAATTGTTTTATCTTATATGTTTTTCAAACAAAAACAACGAAGTTCAGTTATGAAAAGTCCTTTAACATGGATAATGTTCTATGTTCATCGATATCTTCGATTAACTCCTCCGATTATGATTTTCATTGGATTTTTCACAGTATATTTCAATTATGTTCAAGGACCATTTGCGGCATCTTCCGGAAGTTAGTTATATATTTTTTTAACAGAAACAATACAGAATATTTTTCCTAGATCTACAAGAAATGCAAGTTGATGCATGCAAAACTTCTTGGTGGCAAAATCTTCTTTATATCAATAATTTCGGTCAAGACAACGTATCTCAATGTTACGGAATAACGTGGTATTTATCAGTTGACACACAATTATATATTATTGCTCCAATTTTCATAATTGGTTTTTATATATCTTTCAATATTGGTACAATTTTAATAATATTGGGTTGTTTAGCAAGTATAATTACAACATACGTTATGTATAGTTTACATGATATGACTGCAGATATCTTTGTTACCGAGTAAGTTCAAAAGATTATAGAGAAAATCAAGCAACTATTTTCAGCAAAAGTGGACACTTTTCAATGATTATTTATCAAAAACCATGGATAAGATGTACACCATATCTAATAGGTATTTTCACTGGTTATTTGATTGCTACACTTTCAAAACGAAAAGTTCGTTTGAATTGGGCACTGGCTATTGTCGGTTGGCTAATTGCATTTATTATTGGATGCGCTTGTATGTTCTCAAATTATGACTATGATAAAGGATCTTATTGGGATTGGTTTACACGTGCTACTTATTATAATTTCACTCGAATTGGTTGGTCAATTGCTGTTAGTTGGGTTATAATAGCAAATCATTTTGGATGGGGTGGCCCAATTAATAATTTCATGTCTCATCCAATTTGGCAACCATTTGGTCGATTATCTTATTGTGCTTATATTGTTCATTGGTTTGTTATGTTCTACTATTTAAATTTAGGCGAAAGACCTGTATATTTTGTGTCATTTTGGCAGATAGTAAGTCTATGGAAATATTTACTCCTCTCATAAAATACCCTTTTTTCAGTATTGTTACTATGCGATACCAATCACATTCCTATCATTTTTTGCTGCATTTTTCTGGAGTTGTCTTTTCGAAATAAGTACGGGAAAACTTGAGAAAATGTTATTTGATGGATTACTTGGAAACAAAAAACCATCTCCAAAAGTTGAAGAGAAAAATGATGAAGGCGAAAAAGAAATTGAAGTTATTGAAAATACTAAAGTGTAGATTATTTTCATAGGAATAAATATTTTTCTATTTACTTGATAAAAAATGAATAAAATAAAAACTCACTCGAACTTTGAAAACGTAGATCCTCCAATTGTTCTTGTACACATCGCACATCGAAAATCTTGAGAATCCAATCCTCGTTCTCTTGCAATTGTACATAGTTTTTCTTCGATTTCCGATGTAATTGTTGATGGTTTTCTTGAACAATTCGATGATTCACAAATCGATTCATCATAATCAGTATTATGTGGAGAAGTACAACCGGATTCATCAAAATGATCATCAATTCGATTATCCATTGCAGATCTTAAAGCTTGTCCAAAACTCATGATTGGTCCACAAGAATCTGAAGATGATCTTTCTGACATTGTATCCCATGATCCAATATGATTTCGAGCTCCAATTGCTTGCAAACTATTTCCCATCACATGCGGTGATTGAACATAAATTGGAATTCCTTGTTCAAAAGTTTCTTGTTCGACAGAAGGCAATGCATTGAGTAATTCATCATGAAGCGATGTACCAAGTATTGATTGTCTCTAAAAAATAAAAAAAAATTATCAAAAAATAAAAATCAATTTTTTTCTGGAAATTAACCCACTTTAACACACGAGAACATAATTATTTATAATAAATATTTTTGAAGAAAACAATTTGTGTGTGTCATAGAAAAGTGACGAAATATTATTTGGGTGGTGGTACGTTTTATGCATACAACAAGTTATTTACCCCTTCTCATGTGATTGTCACATGGAAAACATGGGAAGATAAAAGAGCTGACGAGGTCAGTTATAATAAATACCAGATCTGCGACATGTCAGAAAAATACAGTCGAATGAAAAGAATTAGAGCACATATTTTAGAAAAGGAATTTATCGAAACGAAAAAAAACATTTTTGAAAGTATAAAAGAAATTTCAGAAATTGATTTTCAGAAGATTACAGTCGAGTTCAGTATTTAATTTTTTATTAAAAAAAGGTGTGAATTAGTTATATTTCCCAACTTACTAATTCTTTAAATATTCCAATTTTTTCGGCAGAATCACGACGTTTTATAATTCGCATAAATTTAAGTGTCGAATTCAGAAATTTCCGGAAAAATGTTTCATTTACTTCGTAAACTACTTCAATTACAGTACTACTTCTTCGTCGATTCGAAAATCGAGAGGATTGTAAAATATCGACATCTTTCCAAACAAATCGAAATTCTTCGATTATTATTAGAATCGATTGATTTCATTTTTTTGACAAGAAAAAAAATGAAGATGAAATTCGAGAAATTCAATCAAAATTAGAAGAATAATTGAATAGACAGCAATGTCTCTTATCACTAACAATAAGCTATCAAGAAATAAGAACACCACAAAAAGTCATGTGAATTTTTTGATTTTAGATTTTTTGCAAAGCGTCTTGGAAAAAACTATTTTTTTTATTGAAAGATTAAAAAATCAGATAGAACTATTTGAATTGAAAAAAAACATGGGACTTGCGAGAATTCAAAAATAATTTTAATTTTCAATTTTTTCTCCCCATAAAAATAACAAACCTGTGGTTCAAGCATCGAATCTTCCTCTTCTTCAATATTTTTTTGTGTTTCGTTTTCTTCCATTTTCGAATTGTCCTTCACTTCAACAGTTTCCAGTTCAACTGAAAAAATAAAGTGAAATTTTCAGTGAAAACAAATAAAGAGCCATAGTCATATTCTTCAAATCAGATTAATTTCACATAATTCGGAAAGGGAAACATTCTAACAATTTGAGATTCTAAAACTGTATATCTTTTCGAATATTTGAGCAAACTCCTAGCTTGTGTAAAAAAGTTTTTGACTAATTTAAAAAATACCTTCGAAAACGTCTACTTCAATTTCTTTCGATTCTTCACTTTTTTCTGGTTCAACTTCATTTTGTTGTTCAGAATCGTCAATTTTTTGTTGTGAAATTGCATTTAATTGTTCAATTGCTTCAAGAAATGTTGTAGTTGATTGTTCATTTTTCTCCTCCTCTTCCTCATTCTTTTTTTCATCTTCATATTTTTTATCCTCACTACTTTCACAAATTCCACTATCAACTGTTTCGGAAACATGAATCGGTGTATTTTCTATACTGAATGCCACGTCATTTGGAACAGTTCCAAAAATTGTTGAAGGCATATCACTGTTAGCTCGTGATTTTCCATCTCTTGATGTTGATTCGCTTGAACTTCGAGATTTTGTGTTTTTTCGAGGTCTTTTTGTTAAACGAGAAACGACAATCGGCTGAAACAAAAATATATGAAAAATAAATTCACAACAAAAAACTTACTGCATAGTTTTCAGGTAATTGAGCTTGAGATGTTTGATATGATACAACATTAACTGGTCCAGAAGTTGTTGGAGGAGCCACATTATCCAGAATTGTTTTTTCAATTGGTGTTGAAGTAAAAAGAGGCGATTGTGGAAGCTGAATTCGATGAGAAGATGAAGAAGGACGAAATGTTGATGAAGATGGATGTTTGCGAGATAAAAGTGCGTGTTGATATGACATTTCACCAGCATCCAACATTGAAGGATGCGAGTAAACAGATGATGTTTCATCTTCTTCCGATTCTAAAAAAATTGACTTGATCTATATCCTGAGATTCTCAAATTCAAATAAAACTAACTATTAGTATAAGTTTTGCTGTATTGTCTTCTTCTTTTTGTTAATCGATTAGGCGATCCAATATCATGATCTTCTTCAGGAACTAACATATCCAATGCACTTACAGCAATCTCTTCACTCACACTGTCTGCTCGTGGATTTCGTCTTGGTGCCAAAGCTCCAACTGAAAAAAAAACAATTTCGAAACAATAATTCAACACAAAAATACCTTTTAATGGATCACCAGATGATAAACCAGCTAGAATTAAAGGAGTCGGTGTCCATCGATTTAGAAAGGAAGAATTTGTGGCGGCATAAATAGGAATTGTTGTTAGTGGTTTTAGAATTCCCCGAATTTGTTCCGAATATTCATTATCACTGAGATATCGAAGAAATGCATAATTTCCGTAGAATTGATTTATTGCTGATTTTTCAGATGCAAGAAGATCGAGATATTGACTGAGGGAATTTTCGTTGAGAACAATTCGAATCCAAGCTCGGCCTTTTCCAATTTCATTGTTTATTTGATTTAATGAATTAATTTGTTTTGTTACATTTCTATGTGAATATTTCGAAACAAAAGGCCAAAAATTAGGTTCTGGATATTTTGAATAACGAGTTCCTTTGAGGAAAAATGGATCTCTCAATCCATGAATAAATATTGCTTCAATCGCATTGCATATATTTTGAGTTATTTCGCTAGGAATATTTTCTCTACTTGAATATGGTGAAGAAATTGCGGCTTTCACAACTGTTTCTAATTCTTTTGTCAATATATTTCGAAGTTTTTCTTGTTTTTCAATATATTCTGGAGATGAAGATGATGATTCGACCAAATTTTGCGTTGCCATTTTATTTTTCTGAAATAATTTATGTAAAACTTTTGAAAAAATATTTCGAAAAAAAACAGTCATATGACCTTCGTTTTTTGCACATGTATAGAACAAAGAGTTGTAATATTAGAGTTTTTATCAATTGAAAAATGATAATGTTGCACTTTGCAGGTCAAAAAATCAGAACACTCACCGAATTTCTTCCGAACATTTTATTGATTTGAAATGAAACTCCAGGGTTGCCGAAAATAAACTGTAAATGAGAAAAATAATGCATTCATGATGAAATGTGATATTTCAAAATAGCGTTCAGTTTAAAATTTCGAAATTCGAAAAAATGAATAAACCATAAAATAAATATACGAAAAATTAATTCAACGTGAATAATATTATGTCACATTTTTTTGTTGGAAAAATAATCACGAGACACATCTTCTCGTGATGACGAGATTTATAAAAATGTAATTATTCGAGAAAACTATACGAAATAATGGAGCTTTGTTTTTCGAAAAATTCAGTTTGTTTTTTTTAAGAATAAAAAAAATGAGAAAAATCTGAAAATCTAAAAGTTGGCTGAAAATAAATTATTTTAATTTCGCGAGAGAGTGAACAAATTGAAGAGACGCAGCGCTTGGTCTCAGCACGCTGCCAAAGTACGGTGACTATTGTGTGGCGTGTGTTAATTTTTCTGACTAGCGTCGTCAATCAATGCGCTTCCCGTTTTTAATTTTTGCCTTTAAAAAATTGTTGAATCGCGGAAATACACAAATTTTTATATAAAATAATTTCAGGCATGATTGCCCCCAACTTGCGTTATGCCATTGCTCGACGAGCTTTTCACACATCAAAAGCCGTGTCAAGTAAGTTTATTCATATTTTAAATGTTTGTATGGTTTTATAAAAGCGAATTTAGTGCGAGGACCATTGACATTTGATGGATGGTATCCCCGTGATCACAAACCGAGTGCTCCACCAACAAATGAAGAAGAAAGACGAGCAGCCGCTGTAAAGTGAGTTTTTTGTACTGGAATTGGGCTAATTTTGATGAATTAAAATTAAAGATATGGTCTCCGCCCGGAAGATTATCAAACAATTAACAAAGACGATGTTATCAAATTCGCTGGAGATTATCCAGATCTTGGAATCGTAACTTATGATCATAAAGATCCATACGAAGCTTGGACCGATCGTCAGAATCGTAGAAATTGGGGAGAACTCGTTCCAATTGATATGATGAGATATCGTGGAGATCGTTTGACATTCACAGGTTTGGAAGCTGAAGATTACTCAAACTGGCAATCACTTGTTATCTGTTTGCGTGTTCTCGTTCCAATGGCTCTTCTTGCTTGGTATTTCACCAATGATCATCCAAATGCACTTCGTTGGAGAAATCCAGTTATGCCAAAACAATATCCATACGATTTCTATCGTGCATATCCATTTGAAGACCCACGAAAATATCCAATCACAAACTATTCATTTGAATTGGAGTGAAACAGATTTTTATTAATTTGAAACGAGTTGTTCTTTTTTAGGTCATCTATTTTCTTACTTTTAGTGTATAAAAAATCTGTTCTATATCATAATTTTTAGTTTTTTTAGTCTTTTCCGTGGTTATGATACCAAGAGATATCTGATTTTTTTATTTTCAAAACTTCCGGATTTCAAAAATTAGTTTTCAGGGCGCTGGCCGCCATGTTATTCCTCGACGACTTTCTCGAAAGTGAGTATTTTCTTTGATCATAAAATCATAAATTGTTTTTTTTAGTGCTTGATGAGCTCCCGGCAGAATTGAAAGAAAGAAGTGACGAAGTTTTGAAAATGGATGCAGATGTTGAAACAAGACTTCGTAGAAACAGAGAAGCTGTCAGTGAATTTTTTGAGTATAGTGGAGTTGGAATGACAGAGGAACAAAGAGCTGCTAGATATAAAGCATTGCAAGATGTTAGTTTTTTCAACAAAAAATATATTAAAATAAAAATATTTCCAGGAATTTTCTAAAATTCGTTCTATCAATGAGAGAAAATATTTACTTATGAAGAAAATGCAAGACTTACTTACAAAATATCATAATCATTTGGAGAAAGAAAAAACTAATTTTCAATGTGAGATGGAAGCTGACAATTCAGGAGTTACAGAGATGATTGAGAAAAGTATGTGTTTTTTTGAAATATACAACATTTTCAATGATTTTGTTTTCAGGATATACTGAATACGTTGAAGCCTGTTTGGCTGCAAGAAAAGAAAGAAAAAGAAAACATGGAGGAGGCGGAGGAAGTGGAAGTTCTCGAGAGGGAACTGTACAACAACTTTCGAAAGAGTCGAGTGAGAAAATTGCGAGAATTCTTCAAGAAGGAACAAGATTGAAAATGGAAATGTCAGATGATTCAGCACAATCTGCAATGTCATCAGCAGTTCCATCTCCAGCCCCACGTGGAAGACCACCAAAAAATAATGTAATGTTTTCTTCTGCAGTTGCTGAAGATTCACCAATTCCACGAAGAAAATCGAATGCAAATACACTTCGCACATCATTTATGGGTGGCCGAATTTCACCAAATCCTTCCGAAAAAAGTTGGTCAAATTTTGGAATGGATGAAACATCTCAAAGTTTCACACCTACAACACCACAACTAACACCAAATATGCCAAATTTCGTTGGAAGCGAAAGTCGACATGGAAGACCAAGAAAATTGACGACTCGTGTTCAAGAAATGTTCAAAGAAACACTTCAACGTCAACGAAATCATGGAAATAATATGATTCATCAAACTCCGCCAACACCAACCACACCACAATCAGTTCAACAAACCCCACCAAGTTTGAATTCGAGTTCAACAAATATGCCCCCACCATCAACTCCACCAAGTCATCATCATAATCACACCCAACCACCGCCGATTGAAACAGAAATGGAAGGTAAGAAAATGGTTTTGAATATGTGATTAAAAAATTGGAAATAATTCAGGTTCTGATGATGAGGATGAGGAAAGTGAAGATTCTCGGCGATGGTGTTTTTGTCACGAAAAGAGTTATGGTGAAATGGTAGCATGTGATAACAAAAGTGTGAGTTTCTGTTTTTGGGAATTTTTGATTACAATCAGAAATCGGATCACCAAAATATGTTGAAAAAATCTTATCTTTCCAGAATGTGAGAATTTTTCTTTGAAAAAATTCCCACTTTTAATTTTTTTTTCCCCAAAAAATAGTTCGCAACGTCGTTTTGACTTTTCAAATCTTGCTCATTTTTTTTGAAAAACAAGGATTGAAAATGTTTGTATTTTTCCTGCTAAATTTCAGACCCACACATTTGATACTTGAAAAAAAGTTTGTATTTTGAAAATTATAAATTATTCCCCCTCCCGCTTATTTTCAGAATCTTTCAATATTGATTATTTTTCAGTGTCCATATATGTGGTTCCATTATCCATGTGTCGGAATATTGGCCCCACCAAAAGGTAAATGGTATTGTCCACATTGTGTTAGTTCTGGAGCAGCTGCAAGAATTGAAGAATCTATGATAAATGACAATGATTCGTTGACATCTTCATCCAATCACATCAATAATTATCCTCCGCCTCAATTTGAATAATTTTGTCATTTTGAAACGTATTTATCTTTTATTTACTATAATTATTATATAATCGCCTGTATGTACAAAATAATCGCTACTAATTTATTAACCCCCAAAGCCCAAATTATGAATCTCCTCCTAAAAATTGCATTTCCAACAATAAATCTGAAAATAATAAATATTCTCTATACAAGATGTTTTTCCTTTTTTTTCAATGAAAGCTGTTGACCTCATTTTATTTATTTTCATCTTTTATTTTTCATTGATAAGAAGTTTATCGGTTTTTATTTCAAATAATATTAGTATTTTATAACAGCTTTGAATTTTCGCCTAATTTATTTTCAAAATGGTATTCCTAATTATGGATCGAACAATGAAAGAACATGAATGTCCCTGGCCAACTTACCATATTGAAGTTCCAAATAGATTAGAAGTTATAATTAATCGATTTGAGGTAGAACTCAACATAAATTAATGAAAAACGAATAAAAATTATTTCAGAAAACAAATTTGTCTTCAGATCCACTCATAAAAAATATTGAAACAAGATTAGCTTCGAAAGATGAAATAGAAATTGTACATACTCAAAGATATATTGAAGATATTGAAAAATCGCAAGAATTGACTGTGGTAAGTTTCTTGAAAATTGTTGGATTATTTCTACAGTACTCTATTTTTCGAATTGAACCGAAGATTGTCGGAGGACTTATTGAAACTTCAAACCAAATATATTTATACAAATTTTTCTGAATCATTTCATCTACAGTATTTTTTAAAAATAATTTGTCCATCTAAAATTCAAATCTACTTATTTTCATTTTCAGGAACAACAAGAAGAATTATGTACAAAATATGAAGATATTTATTTGAATAAACAAAGTTGGAAATGCGCCAGAATGGCAGCCGCCGCATCGATTGATTTGGTGACAAAAGTTGTAGAGAACAAGTTAGTTAATCTAGAATTTCGAAAAAAATAGGATTTTTACGTGAAACGTGAAATGTGACATGGCAGTTTGAAAATGTTTATTTTTATAATTTTTTTCTTTTTCAGAGAAAATGGATTGGCATTAGTTCGACCACCTGGACATCACGCAATGCCTGATAAAGGATGTGGATTTTGTATTTTCAATAATGTTGCAATTGCCGCCAAACATGTTTGTTTTACCCCGATTTTCTCAAAATCATACAACATAAAATCTTATCTAGGCTCGAAAAAATGGATGTGAACGTGTATTAATTGTTGATTTTGATGTTCATGCTGGACAAGGAACTCAAGAATGTATAGAAGATGATGAAAATATCAAATTGATTAGTATTCATCGATATGAATTAGGAGAATTTTGGCCGAATCTTGAGCAAAGTGGATTATTTCATAAATGTAAAGAGGTCTGTTTTTTCGAAAAAAAAAATGATTTTTTTCAGTTAAAAATACGTTGAACGTTCCGTTGAATGGTGTTGGTTTCACTGATTCGGATTATGTAAAAATATTTATTTGTTTGGTTCTTCCAATTATTTCAGATTGGAAACCAGATCTTATTATTGTATCTTGTGGATTTGATGCAGCTCTAGGTAAAAATATTTGAATAAAAGTGCATTAAAAATTATTTATATGCAGGTGATCCTGAAGGATATATGAATTTAACACCAGCTGGATATGCAACTTTGATTAAAATGCTGATAAATACTAATATTCCTCTAGCTGCAATTTTGGAAGGTGGATATTTTCTTGATTCGATTGCTTCAGATGCAGAATGGGTTTTAAGAACTCTTCTCAATCAAAATGTTCCAAAAATTATTATTGACACAAAGGTAAATCTCAAAATATATTTACTACAGTAATCCATTATTGTTTCAGGAAACCCGAGAACCACTAAGGAAGGTTATCAAAATTGTATTGGAAACTCATCAAAATGAATTCTCGAGTTTTAAAGACATTTTAAATTTGTTAAAAATTAAAGCAGACACATATGACGATGATTATTTTGGAGAGAGAAATGTATGCGAACCATATGAAACAAGAGGATTGTATATACCATTCACTGAAGAGAAAGTTGAAAAGTTTAGAAGAGAATTGGAGGAAATTGTGAAAAACTATGAAAAAAATGAGGAATATCAATTGAAAGCTATACAGAAAGCTGACGAAAATTTCAAAATTCGCGAGGGTATTTTATATACAAATAATTATTTTGTGGCACTTACTGTGAGTAGAATTCGAATGTAATTTTATTGAAAATAATTTTTCAGATCGGACTAACCCAAAACCCATTATTGGCAATTCCAGACGGTTTGTCGAAATCTCACCAAAGCCAGGATATTATTGAAAATATTTTGAAATTGTGAATAAAGTTTAACATATCTGAATCCACTAATATTGATATGGGGAACTTGAAAAACTACTTTGTTTTCGACGAAAATTGGTCTTTCATGCTGAATCCAGATGGTGGCCGAATAAAATAGAGCGCGTGGCCTAGGTTCACAAGCGTGGCGGTCGCGTGCGTTTTGAGCGCGTCTGCATCATTGTATTTTTTATTTTCTTTTTTTTTGTTTGAAAAATAAAAAATGGATGAAGAAACTGTCGAAGAGCAAGGTAATTTCATTTTTTAATATTGAAAAAAATTCAGCAAAATTTCAGTAATCGACGAGGAACAGATTGTTGAACACCAAGAAGTTTTAGAAGAAGTTGTTACAACGGAAGAGGTTTGTTAAAGTTGTTTCCCTATTTTCTCCAGAATTATACGTATCTATTTCAGGTTTTTAATGAGAATGGTGAAATTGTGCAATATGAAGATATCGTGGTTTACGATGAGGCAAATCAGGAAATTGTTGAAGAAGAATATGTTGATTTACACGAACTTCCAGAAGGAGAAGAATATACTTATATGATAACAGATGAAAATGGACAAACAAGATATATACCAGAAACAGAAATGAGACAATTAGTTGATTCTGGTCAAGTTCTTGAAAGTGTTGTCGAAGAAGATGTTACTTTAAAAGATGAAAAGGATATTGTATCCGAACAAGGACCAAGTCAACCAAGACCCAGAACAAAGAAAACAACGAGAGAAGTTTACAGTTAGTTCAATTTTTATTCATTTCAGCATATAAACAATTACAATTTATAACAGAACGATCTCGAATGTTTGAAGACATGTATGCGAGTAAAACTCCAACTCTTCGCGATCTCGTCGAAACAATCACTGAAAATACCTCAAAAAATGTTGTGTATATGGATGATGGAGCATATTATGATGATCATGGAAATATGTTAGTATCAGATAGAAGAGGTTTGGGACAAGTTGGACCAAAACGAGCGAAATTGAGTGATATGGCCAAAGTTGACGTTGAAAAACATATACATCAACCGAATATTGTTTTTCGATCTCCAATAGAGAGACCAACACATAAAACAACAGTTCCATATTTTGGTCCAAACACTGAAAAACGAAGGAAACTTATTCATCCACTTAGTATTGAAGAGATCAAAGACACAGTTATCACATTGAAACCACAACCAACTCCAGTTGATTCAATTGATGCATCACAATATCAATATAGATGTCCAGAATGTGAAGAAGTTCATAATTCTCTTGACAAACTATGTTCTCATCTTGCAAGTCTTCATGATGTACCAGCACAAATTCAACAAACCGAAATGTACGATGACAGCGAATTCAACAAATTCTTAATGTCCATTGAAAAATCGGGATGTACTGCAGAAGAATTAGAGCAGAGATTTGATAAGAAAAAATCGAAACAAGGAATGTCTCAATTTTTCCGTTGTAATTATATGTTCAAATCAAGAGAAACAAATTACGCTGAAATGGTCGATTTTCAACCAACTCAAACGAATGAAGTTGAAGAAACATGTCCAGCATTTGTTTTAAAAGTACAAACATAGTAAGTTTTATTATTTAAAATATATACATTTCCGTTTGATTTTCTCTAATAATTAATTAATTTTTCAGTGATAGTCTTCGTGTTCGTTATTGTGATTTACATGTTCATGCTGATGCAAATGTTGGTTTTCGAGTTCCAATTGCAATTAAAAGACGACTCATGGAATGGTTATATAAAAGAATACCAATTCCTGTTATGCAAATGTTATTGATTAGTGAAGTTGATAAAATGAGTCACGGTGGAAAAGTTGAACAACAATTAAGAGATCTCTCAACAACTGTAAGATTCATCATTAATTTTATAACATTTTATTTTTTTCAATTTTTTAGCAACTTGCTACTCTTCTCTCAAAAATTCACAATAATTTCACGTTATATGAAAAACTTCGACATCAGCATATCAATCCAGACGATATTTCGAATGATTCAAGAGATCATGTTATTTATGCAGAAGAAATTTTGATGAAACCACATCATGTTGAACTTGAAGAAGAAGAGGATAAACGAAAGAATTTGCATAAAATTGAAGTTGAAGTAGAAATAGATCAGCAAGCGAAAAGTTCGACAGATGTGCTTGAAGCTCATGAAACAATGGAAGAAGAAGTTGAAGCTGCACCAATTTTAGAAAGAGTTGATCCAAATACTCAGGAATTGATACAACCAAAAGTATCGAATGAGCCAATTTTGGAATGTGAAGAAGAACAACCAGCCACTTATGACGAATGTTTGACTATGTCGATACCTGAAAATTTATGTAAGTTCATAATTTTTCAAAACATATTTTGAAAATTTGTTTTTTTTTCAGTGTATGATCCGGAAGTTGGAAATGATGTTGTTATTGATGAAGTCAGTGAAATTGAATTGAAATTTTTGGAAGCTTACGAATCGGATGCGCAGATTGCATTGACGGATAAACAACAGGTTGATCGAAATCGGCGGAAACTTCAATTTTTACAAAATGCTGTGATGCAACATTTTTCGAATATTGATTCATTGACACATGGAATGACACATAATGATCATCCAATCGAAGTAATTGATGAATTACGAGAATGTGCAACAAATGTACTTGAAGCGATTTGTGGAATTGAGGCTGAAATACGAGCAAGTGCATTTGTTTCATTGCCAGTTGAAGCTATTAAAAGTGATTTGATTGCATCAGTTTCGAGTAAAGAAAGGAGATATGTAACATCTGAAAAATTGGGAGGAGGAAGAAGAAGACCGCATATGACACCTTTGATGGAAGCTGAATTGAAACAACATCAACAACAAAGACAACAAGAAATTGATGAAGTTGAAAATGCAATTATTGAAGAAGATATATATTCGAGAGTTACTGCAATGGCACCACCACATCGATCGATGGGAATAAATTCATCTGGAACATTTTCATTGGAAAAAGCTGAGGTTCCGAAACAAAGTGAGCTAACAGTTCGAGAAGTTGTGATGATGGAAGCTGGAAGAACACCAAAACCATGGTATAAATATTCGCAGAGAAAGTTAGTTTGAAAAGGGAGTGAAAAATGTAATATTTTAAAAATTAAAAAACAAATTGTTAAATTCGAATAAAAAAATCCTTCAAAAAGATTGCTATAACTTCTTCCTAAACACTATTTTTTTGTAGATCGGATGTTGTGACAACTCGACCAGTTCTGGAAGTTCCACAAAGTCGAGCAGTTACAGTTGATATTAATTCCTTCACTCAAATTACGAATAAAGCAACACAAGATGTCAAAAAACGTGGAAGAAAACGAAAAGATCCATTATCACACGGTATTCCAGAAGAAACAAATCAAATAACTCAAATAACAACTGATGATAATGTACCAAATGCAATTGCAATGGGAGTTGGACATGAGGTTACTGTATCAACTGAAGAAGATGAAGGAGAAGGAACAACTCGATTTATTGAAAGGCTTGAACCGAAAACTGAACTTATTGAGGAAAGAAGAGAAGAAATTATTGAGGAAGAAGTTATTGAAGAAGGAATTATTGTTGAACAAGATGATGACGTTGGAATTGCAGTTGAACACAAAAAAGTGGAAGAGGTAATTTCATACTTTTTATTTTTTTTAATTAAAATCTCAATCTATTTTTCAGCCCCCTATAAAACAAGAAGATGTTCTTGTTACTCCTACAGTAACCCGAACTGGTAGGGTTGTTAAAATGAAAAAATGGAATGATTGATGATCTCTTTTCGTATTGTTTTTTTATAACTTTGTAATAAATGGTTTTCTATTTTAGCGCCGTTTTTTAATTAAAAATATTTATCGAGTGATATGAATATGTGAATTTGGTGAGTAATAATATATTTCAAAAATTAAAAAAAAATGAAAATTGAGCGGTTTTAAGTGAATACCCATCATATGTTGGTTAACAGCTTCACTACTCGAAATAAATAAAAATATTATCTTTGAAGGTGTAACCATCATACAATTATTGAAATAAAATCAGAACGGGTAAGTGGATTAAACAAGTGAAACAAAAAAGTTAGAAAATTGCAATTAATTGAAAAAAATTAGGCACTTTGTGAATATTTTTCGAATTTCAGGATAGATTTGTTGAAGTTGTTGGTTCTTGTTGTGATTCATCTTCGTCTTCTTCTTCAACAAGACCTAATGGTATACGAGTCTGCAAAAATATACAGTTGATTTTAATTTTTGTGGAAACTCTACTGTAATTCACGAAGTTTCAAAAATTTTAGTCCAAAATTTTGAAAAAAAACGTGTTGCAAATTGTATACAATTATAATTTTTCACACAGAATTCGGTTCCCTGTTTTTTTTATTTTTAGAATATCAAATTTGGAAAGCGAACCCACTTCAATTGGTTTTTCATCTTCTTGAACAATTGTCGTCATCAGCGCTGCTTGATCAACAAGAAATGTTGATGGTTTTTGTGCAAGTCGAAGAGTTTCTTGAAGACGAGCTTCGGCTTTTCGAATTTTTTCCGTCACTGCATCTTCGTCATGTTTGAATATCCATTTTTTGAGATAGTTTCGGAAAAGCTGAAAATGGTTTTTTCGTGGAAGGGTTTTAAAACATTTTTATGATTCAGCTACTGTAGTTTGAAAAATTGAATTTTTATAGAACTCTAAACTTTTTACCAAATTTTAATAAAACACTGACAATTTTTCAATTTTAGTTTTTCTATATTAGTTTTTAGAAAAAAATTAGACCAAAACTAACATGAGGCGAGGCACAAATCAAAATCACAATCATCCATCCAAAAAGAACACATAATCCAAGAATAAAAATATTTCGAGATTCGGAAGGATCGACAGAATCACTTGGCGAGACTGTGATCATCTGCAAGAATAAAATTATTACAGTAAGAATTCTGAAAATCACATTTTAATAGGATATTTGAAATTACAGTAATCCTATTTTGAAAATCATGAGATTTTAGTCACGAAATCCATAGAAACGAAATCGAAAACAAAATATTTCCTTATTTTTTCCAATTTTCATCCATTGAAAAAATAAACTGACTTTTTGTTGTGTATCCATGGGATCCAATCGGCTCATTTTAAAATCATTTGGCAAAATATTCGCAATTTCTCTCTGAAAATCCGAGATCATCTTGAGTTTTTATTTCAGAAATATAGAACAAAATAAAAAATGAATGAAGTTATTAATATTATGCGCATAGATATCTTATTTCCTCAAGGAAGATTCTAAATTTGGAACATTTTGTGTGGTTTGCGCAAAAAATGGAAAGAAAAATGGAGAGAGACGCTGGAAAAAAAGAGAAAAGAAACCAATATTGAATTACATTTGTTGTTTAATTTTTGAGATTGAAATTCTTCCGGAAGTTTTTTTCTTAGTTTCGCAAAAAAAAATTCGGCAAGGGGAATTTGATTCAGGAGTTTCAGAGTAAAACGGGTTTCAGGTTAACTGATCCTAAGCCTAATTTCTGAATTTGAAAAAAAAAAAAACATTAGACTTTGAACTTCTCTCTCATTTGAAGCTTATGCAAAAAACAACATTTCAAGTGCCACGTTGCAATGAGCAAACTTGAAAAAAAGTTTCAGATTTTTTCGCATTGTGAAGTTGTTTTATAGGCAGCAAAATGTTAAATGAATCTTTGAACCTCAAAATGAAAGTTCAGATTTTAATGTGGATTAAATTATGGAAAAATCACACCGATAACTAAAAAAATGACAAAAAAGAGAGAGCATTTTTCAAAGGACCATATTATTTTTTGTGCTTTTGGAGTCATTTTTCATGAAAAACCCATTTCTCTACAGTACTCCATAACATCAAACATTGAAAATGGAACAAAATGAAAAAAAGAGAGTGGAAAAATGAAAAACATGAGCGAAAAAAGAACAATGGACCAACAAATGCCTTTGTGCTTTGTTGTATATGTTAACACACACACAAGCTTTGGTTCGCCTGAAAAAAAAGAAAAATCCGGGGGAAAAGTTTCGAGCATTTTAGAGCCTCTACCCTCATCCATCTATCTATCTATTCATTCAAAAATTCATAGGCGAGCACTTTGCTCGTCTGCGTCTCTTAAACACCATTGTGACGTAGGATATTGGTGAAAAAAAGAGACGAGAGAGTATTGCGAGAATAAGAGACGCAGATAAATTGTGTGATGTGGTTTTTAATTTGAAATATAAATGATGAAAATTCGAGGGACGACGAGGTGAACTTTTTTGACATTTTGGAAATTGTATAAATGTTATGGACTTCGAAACTATGAGTCAGTGAGGAAGTTTCGAGATCTACAATGAAAACTGGAAGAATCTAAAAACTGATCAAAATTTTCTGAATACCGTTTCAATTTTACTCAGATAATTAAAAATAAAATAAAAATTAGTCCCGATTTAGTTTAAAAATTTTTTATGAATTTCCAAAAGTTTCAGAAAACCTTATCCAATCCAAGTTTCTGACAAATTATTGAATCATAAAAAGTAATCGCATTAGGCTCGTCAGAAAAATATAAAACTAAGAATCATAATTGCGCACAAAACTTTTATATACAGTGGAAAGATCAAACATGGAATCATTTAACAGGAGAACAATAAATCATTCGAGGTTTTTTATTGCTCATATATTTTGTTTTAAGTACACACACTCAAAAACCGGTGAACGGAAGTTTGGTTGGATAATTGACCTGAATAGAGAAGCACAAAATAATATGTTATTTGGAGAAAAAAAAACAGAAAAAGAAAACAAATCGGGATTTTTTCAACTTTTATTTTCGATTAGGTGAGGGGGGGAATTATCAAAAATTCGGATGTTTCCCTCAGATGGTTCATCTACCTTTTTAATAAAATCCCGATGGGGTGGTGTATTTCTACAAAATTGTCCTTCCTGTTTTATTTGGAAAAAAGAAAAAACAACAAAAAAACACAAATCGAGATTTCTCAACTCCTTTTTCTATTCTTTCAATGGACGGACCGCCGAAAAATGTGACATTCGAAGAAGAAAAAAAAAGAGGAAAAATGAGATGAAAGAAAATGAGATGAGCATATGTTCTTCTAGATATACTCTTGTTTTTGCTGTTGAAGGCTCGCGGTGGTAAATAACATTAATTTGATAGATTTTTTTGCATTTTTCTCTAGTCGGAAATGGAAAATGAGCTAAGCTTCTAATATTTCACAGAAAACAAAAACAAGTTTCACAGTAGTGAACTAGAAACTGAAAATGTCCTTATTTCAGGCGAAAATTTAAGAATGTCTATCGATAGTTTTTGTTATTAAATTCAAAATATATTTATATTAATCTACAATATTTGAACTTTCCAAAAATAAATATAATAAACTTTGAAAAAATTAGTTAAAAATAACAAAAATCAATGATTTGAGCAGGTGCTTCTCTTTCTCCTGAACCAAAAAAGTTTTCTTTTCGACCAGAAGAAAAAGAAGATTGAGTTGTAAGAAAAAAACAAAAATTTCGTTTTTCAAAAAATGCTAATCCACAAACGAAAAAAAACAGAAAACAACTAAAATTCCCACGCTTTGAATGCAAAATATCAAATTTCGTTTAGTTTTCAGATAAGGAAACGAGAAGGAGCGAAAAATAAATGGGAATAAAAAACATTCGAGTTTTTGCAATTGAAATCTTCTCTTTTGACTCTTTTTTTTTGTTGGAAATTTGATGCTTCGAGAAGAAACAAAAATTAGAATATCACGGATTATTACGTGAGGAATAAGGATTCATTTTTATTGAAAAATATTGAAAATAAAAAATGAATTGCCACGTTATAGTTCACGTCTTTTTTAATTTGGGAAAATGTTTTTTTTGTTGAAAATAATGCATTTCAGGACTACCATTTCCTACATTTCCGGTAGTATACTGTAGGTTTTAAAAAAAGTTATCATTTTACTCAGAAAAAATCAAACAATTAAAATATTATATACACGTTTTATTGAAGAACTCAAATAATACAAATAATTATCACAATTCAACTTTTGTCCAAACAACATTTTAATTAATATAATCAAATTGTTGAACTAATCTACGCAGAAACGGCAAATTCATTTTCAGTAATAGTTTTGACATCTTTTGGTGAGTCATTTGATTGAACAGCAACTCCTGATCCTTCAACTCCAGATCCTTCAAGAACTGCAACTTCTCCTGATGAACTTCCTGATCCTTCAATTCCTGATCCTTCAACTCCTGATGATTCAATTCCCGATGATTCGATTCCTGATCCTTCTACACCAGATCCTTCAGTTCCAGATGATTCGATTCCACTTCCTTCTCCGCTTGCTTCAATGACATCTCGTCGAGCTCGCAAGTTTTCAAAGTTAGCGAATACCTGGATAATTTTGTTTTTTTTTTCAAAAAACTGGAAATTTTCGAAAGAAAAGGTGAACTCACTGGAAGAGCAGCAACACAGACCAAAAGAGCGATAATTGTGATAGATTGCATTATTATCTGAAAAAATGAGAAATCCTTTGAACAAAAGCGGAAAGCGAAAACTGGTTCAACAAAAGGGGGTCGAAAAAGTAAGTGATAAATGAGAGGGAAGATATTTAGCAAGTTTTTATAATAAAAATATGAGAACACATATGGATAAAAATGAAATGGGTGGGGCAAAAAAGGAATACAGCAACAGAATAAGAAAAAAACAAGATATTGTGATCTGATCAGTCAATGAGACCATCAACATATTCCATTGTTTCAAAAAAAAAAAAAACATGAAGATGAATAAAATTAATGACGTTTTCTTTCATGAAACTTTTGAGAAACATTATCAGGAAAATTTAACCGATTATCAAAAAATATGTTTCTAGAAGAATCAGATCAAATGATAGAAAACTCTGAATTGTGACTCATCCGATATCACATCACATCATATTTTATTTATTTTTTGTTAAACCGGGAGTCAAAAAATAAAAAAGAAATTTCGAAATATCTAGGAAAATGAAACCTCAAAGTACAGTATGAAACCACGAGTCGAACAGTTTTATAGTCAACCAAAGATGACTCCGCCCACTTATTTTTTCTTTTCTGATTTTTCGCCACCCGCCCATCTCTTAGCCGATGTTTTTTTTATTGAGTTCAGAAGAAAAAAATGAGTTGGGATAAAAAGTTATTCTTTCAAATATGTTCTAATTATATGTATCAGAAGCTTGTTTTTTGTTTTCTTACACAAAAAATGGACTAATTATGTAATGCGTATATAGTATTTGGTTGAAGAAAAGAGATGGATTAATTTGATAATGTGATCTGAAATGAAAAAAATATGTGAAACAAACTATTTAAAATAAAAATCTGTATATTTTTTCCATTCCATTTCATCCATTCAGAAAAATCCTGTTTTTTTTACGAATTCTTCAAAAATATGTACTAACATTGCCCTTGGTGATTTTCAGTTTTTCTAATAAAAAAAAAGAAAAACAATTATTTAAAACTATCAAAAAAAGTTTTCTTTGTAATGAAACGGATGTGTAAAATTATTGGTTCCAGATATTTTTGTAACAAATTGATCTGGTTATCAAAAAGAAATTGGGAACAATGAAAAAGTTTCTTGGAAATCAAAAATACAATAACCTTTCACCACATTTCATTTTATGTGACGAGTTTTCGCCGAAATATTATTTTTTTTATAATTTTTTTCTGAAACGAGTTCGACTAAAAAATTTATTAAAAATAATAATTGGCTTCAAAGAACATCAAGAAAATGAGACAAAGATCTGCATCTAATTATGCTAACTCGAATTATCTAAAAACTGGATAACTCTATTAAATTATGAGGAATACGATTTTACGCAAATTTATCTTAAATTTCTTTAAAAAAATCAAAATGACCTACAAGTTGAAATGTTTCTCACCCTATTTTCTGCTTTTCAAGTACCATTTACTAATTCGATTAGTTTGCACCCGGCCCTTTTTCCTTCAATAAAAAAAACAACAAAAACAAAATAGTTTATTTATATTAGAAGAACTGTGTTTTTTTCCCTTGTAAATTGAAAATAAATACAAAGACGGAGGTCACAAATGATAAGAAAAGGAAGGAAGAGGATTTAACTAACTATTTGACAAACTAGTTGTTGTTTGAAAACTTTTCTAATATCACTTGACACTTGATAAAATACTATGAAGGGGTTCTAATTTTTGAAAAAATTGTTTCGAAATATTTTGAGACTAGATAAATTATATGATACAAGCGGTAATTTTCAGATGAAGAATTTCAAGATATCTGCATTTTTTAAATGGTCCGATTTGAAATGAAAATCAAATTTTTTGAAAACTTTGGTCCGATTCAAAATGTTTCAATTTTTGCCACAAATTGTTTGCCGTACACGCGCGCGATAAAAATCGAAATATCATTTTTTCTTCTCGGAAATCGGATAAATTCTAGAAACTTCTTCATCTCATCTTATCTTTTTTGATGTCTTCTTTTTAAAATCGAAAAGGCGAGAAACAAATACCGGCTCTAGATAACATCTTTCTACATTCATTCATTCATTCATTCTTAACTAATTCAATGTTATGCAAAAAAAAAGAAGCTTTTCCTTTTTTCCTCTCCGAAGATTTTATCTTTGGCTTTTAGCTTCTTCAACTAGAACGATAAAATCCTTTTTGAAAACGGTTATGGGGTTTTTATGGAGAAATAAGGAAATTCCTCATACTTTTCTTGTTTATCATCACAACAAAAAATAAATTTTCTTCAATGAATAGAAAAAAAGAAAAGGAACGAATAAAGTATGAGTAATTCGATATTACACTGATATGATTCATTTTTTATACATTCAGCTACAAAGTTTATTAGAATTTGTTATCAAACTTTTGTTAATTATGTTTACATTTCTTTGTGACACTCTAGTTCTCATAGAATGATCTTATATTATAAAGAAACACAAAATTGGAAGTAGACAACATTTTGAAAAGATCTGCTCAGTTTTTTGAGAAAGATTCACTGGAAAAACCTTCAGAGTGTCGAGAAGTTTCAAATTTTTACAAGAGAGAGGAAAAATGGATTTTTTCACAAATCGGCATATCGAAAAAAAAGTGAGCTGCATAACCAGGCTGAAAAGTTGTTTTTAAACTTTAAAAAAAAACACCTTACAGTATCCACTCTTCAATAGAATTTACCGTTACTCACAATCAGCTTTCAAACCCAACTGAATTTTTCTCGCGCATTCCTATTGTTGTTTTTTTTTCTGACCAGTCAAATAATATTTTCAAAAAAAAATTTGGGCATTGTTTCGATTTTTGTTTGTTCTTTGTAAAACATTTTAGTAATTTATGATGCCTTGAATTAGTGATACCAACGAAAAAAGAGAAACATATACTATATTTTTTCACAAATAATATTTTTCAAATAAATATGTTTTATTACAATTATTGTAAATTACAACCAAGTTGTCAACACAAAAAATATCAAAAAAAAAAAAGAAAAGAAACAATATAAGACAAAAAACACTCACAACTCTCCTGGTTCTAATTATTTTTAAATAATTTTTTGATGGGAACCGATACAATTCTGTGTGGTGGACAACACGTGGAAAATTGTAGATCTCAGGGAATGTTGGACACGTGGTACCGGGAGTTGAAAAACACAGGGAAGAGAGTTCGCTTAGCGAGAAAAAAACATGAAAACAAAATGGGTACTAAATGTTTGGCAATAAAGCATAAAAAAGGGATTTTGGGTAAGGAAACACTTGAACAAAAAAAATCGAATCGATAAATCAAAAAAAAAAGTATGAGAAAAAACAAAGAATCGAGAAAAAGAAATGAATATAGTAAAAGGGTTATCTAAAAATTGTCGCGCATTGCCACGTAATGAGATACATCGGATGCATATATTTTGTGTTTGAAGTATTGTACTTCGAATTATATCAACTAAAAGGAAAAATAGGGATCAGTACAGAAAAAATGCCAGGCTATTTACTATAGTACAAACGAACGAACAAAGGAAAGATCTCTGGTTTTGGGTGTGTTTGGATGGGTAAAAATGGGCTGGGCCCCAAAAATATGGGTAAGAATGTATGAGAGAATGAAAATGAGAAGAAAAAAAACAAAGAATTTGTTTCCTAATATTGGTTTTTCATTGTATTAATAATACTTTGCGGATTGAATTGTTGTTGGGGTGTTGTTGGATTTGAAGGTGGGGTTGTGCCATTATTTGTGACTGTCGCTGGTGTCGTTGTGGTGGCAGTCGTGGCTGTCGTTCCATTGTAACGTTGAATATTTTCCAATGGAATCATGTTGAAACTGAAAACAATTAAGTATGTTGGATATTTATATTCAAATATTATTTTATCATATTATCACAGAATATATTTTACTATAAGTTCTCACATTTTTATGGTAGATAAGGAGCATTTTTCTCTAAAAAATAATTCAGAGAATTTTTTTAAAATCGAAAACTATGGCACGAACTACAGTAACCCAGAATTGAGTTCCAAAATTGAATTCCAGTGATATGTACAACGACGGTAACTATATTTTTTCGACCTATCAATTTTTGGCTGTAAACTACAGTAGCTCTTTTGACTTGTGATGATAAAATATAACCATACAGTTATATCAAAACCACCTATTTTTTCTATTGATAAAAATGAAATTTTTCTGTTCAGTGAGGATTTTTCCGAAAAAAGCTCATAAGCAACACAATAGAATCTAATTAATGGATTTTTTTTCAAAAACTCGAAATATTCGTTTTTTTAGCAAAAATGGTAACTTTACCAGGTCATGAATATATTTTGGTAGAGTTACTGTAATTTCACCAGAAAGTAAAGTAAAGTTAATTCTTCAATAATATTGTCCCCTTCTTGATTATTTTCAAATTTCAAATATAATTTTAAACAAAAAATAATTATCCCTTCAGAAACCTCTAATTTTCCCCCGAAAATAGAATCAAATTCGAAGAAACTAACTTTGCTGGTCGTTCACCGTTTTGTTTTGTTCCTTGATATTCGGGCAGATATCTCGAATTGTTTTTATATTGAAAATTCAATAATTGTGTAAATGCACTATTTTGATATGGTGTTGATTGAGATCCCGAAACTGAACCGATCATTGAGTTCGATGCAAATGGATCTGAAAAATCAGTTTTTTTTTTATTTTGAAAAGATTTGGGAAGAAAAAACTAACTAATTGCATTAAAGGAAGAAGCATCGTGTCCTGCACTGTCATTCATTCCTTGCATTGAATTCCATGCCAAAAGTTGGGTGTCAAAGTGTTCAGATTGAACTTCGTTGCTGAAAAATATGAGAACTGATTGATTTTTCATTGCGGCTATAATAAATGAATATCAATCAAAAGTTACTTGGAGTTCAGGATTTTAAAAAGGATTCAGGATTCTGAGAACTTATGAAGTTTCATTTCAACACTCCATGGTTTTTTGTGACCTTGGTCATTTGATTTCACAATTTTTTTTCTGTAACTCTCGCCTTTCGGCAGGTCAAACTGTTGCCAGAAAAAAATTAAACTTACGCAAAATTATTGGCATTTTTTGCATTTCTCTCCGTATGTTTCGTCATATGTTTTTGCAAATAAGTCTGTTGAGTATATGATTTACCGCAAAATGGGCAAATGTGCACCTTAAGACGCTGAATGAATTGTTTTTGGTGTAAAATGAGAAGCTCATTTTTGGGATAACTTACTTTCAAATGTTTTGATTCTTTGTGTTTTGGAATGTGATCGAGAAGCATTTGTTCATCGGCAAAACATTTGTAACAACTAAAGAAAAAAGATGTAAAGGTTTAGGATTTCAAAAAAAAAGTACCTGTTGCATTTATATGGTTTGTCTGTTTGATGACATCTTGAATGTGATTGAAGATTGCTCAATTGAGAAAATGCCTTATCACAGTTTGAAAATTTACACTGAAAAAGGAAATTAAATATGGTTTTGAAACAAATCAGAAATTAAAAAGGTTTCTAAAAAATATTGATCGAAATTTTATAAGTACTCCTTTTTGAAATGAAAAAAAAGTATCAAAAAAGTATGGCCTTTTAAGAAATCGTGGTTTTCCAAAATTATCACTGTTTTCTAAACAACTTTATTTCCAGAAACCTCTGATTTCTACAAAAATCCAACAAACCTTGTATGGTTTTTCTCCCGTATGAGTTCTAATATGTTGTTGTAAATGCGAGAGTTGTGTGAACTTTTTTCCACAATAATTGCATGGTCCGAACGGTTTGATGCCCAAATGAATTCGCATATGTTGTGAAAGATACGATGAATTTGCAAAGGTTTTAACACACTGTGTACATTTGTAGGGCTTTGCTTCGCGCATTTGCATCTGTTGTTGAAGAACCCCCACGTCCGGCTTTTGATCGAACTGAAATAATTATTTTGAAGATTTTAAAGATGATGGAAATTTGAAGTTAGGTTCAATGGTCCTTCGATTTTTCGAACTACACGATGTTTTGTATGTTTTCTATCAAATTACACATGTCAACAGTCGGGGAAAAAAGAAACATTGTATTATATTTAGATAGACCAACTTTTTTTGAACGCTTTGATCGAAACACAAAAAATTTGACCTTTGAAAAAAGGTTTTAAAAAAGTATAACAATAAATAAATAATTTTGAAAAATCTCTGTCGACCAAAAAAAATATCGAAACTCGGAAAATCTGCTACAAAAATGTGTGAAGAAGGTCATTAAACGGTGCAAAAACTTGCGAAAAAGAAAAGATTCGAAAAATCGATTGTGTGAACCTCTCCGAAATTTTTTGTCGATACTGTAGATTGATTTTTGCTTTGCTTTGCTTTAATGAAAAAAGCAAAAGTTTAGAGACTATTATAGAATGCCGTGTCAGTTACAAAAATAAACAAATTATTGTGAGAGATGCTGAAATTCGAGAATCATAAACGTGGATTTTTTTGGTATTAAAAATTCAAAGAACAAATTCAATCTAAAATCTTAATTTGAGAATATATTTTTTTTTTAACATTTTTCTTCTTGTGGGAAAATTTGAAAAAAAAAACAACAAATTCGAACTTTTCAAAGACCAAAGTTCACAACTGACAAATTCGAAACCAAAATTAGTCCTTAAGATCTTAATTTTTGGAAAAAAAGGTTCTATCTTCTTGAAATTTCTGAAATTTCTAGGGTTTCGAATCAAATACTGAATTCCTCTGTCATTCTAACCTATGAATAACTCTATTTAGAATTCAGAAAAATCTACAGTAACCCATTACTCCAGAACCCCGTCTCCCTGGTCTCAAACTCCGCCTTTTTTCTCACGCCTCCCTGTCTCTCCCCCAGCCAGAAACCACTTTTTTCTTGAATACCAAAAAAAAAGTGGGAAGAAGGAAAATATGACAGAAAAAATGCGTTCGAAGAAAAAAAATCATCGAGAAAAGAAGAAAAAGAACACAGTTTAAAAAGTGCACACACACATATATATAAATATACACACACACATAGAAAACTCTTTTCGTTCCTCACTCATTCACTCACTCACCCAGCACAAGTGCAAACTTCGAACACACACACACAACAAAAAAATTCGATTCAAAAATCAATCGATAAATTTCAGAGTGTTCGAAACCTCTTACTCTTTTTCTCTCTATCTCTCTCTCTCTCTCTATTTCTCTCTCTCTCTTGATCATTTTTCTTAAAATAAAGAACAATTTTTTTGGTCTCGAGGCGATGAAAGAGAAGATGAATGGAGGGTCAGCGAATGCTATTACGTAGATCAAAAATTAACTGAAACTTGACAGAAAAATTGTCTTCGAAGTGTTTTATTTTCTGCGATGCCACCCATACATATTCGGTAATTAAAATTGTTTCGTTCCCTCGATGCCAAAATTTTATTATGTTCACTACAGTACCTTTTTGCATTTTTTCTTTTTCATTGAATGAATGATAAATCGAAAAAAAAAGTGGTGGGGGCAAATAAAAATGTCAAAAAAAAACGTCGAGATAAAAATGGTACACGGTGGTCTGATAAACGATTTTTGTCTTCAAAATATCTTGCACGATTTTTTCCAAAAGTTATGTATTTTTAAAACTTCATTTCGATGCTCGAGAAAAAAAGAACGGGGCAAAAAAGTGCAAATCAAAAGTAAACAGGCGTTCACTTCGTTTTTTTGTGTTGCTTCCTATCTCTTTCGTTTTTTTCCCGAACGCAAAAAAAACCAACTCGCAACATTCTCACATGTAGTATGAACGAAATGTTTTTCAGGAAAAAATATATGTATAGATCAGAAGTTATCAGAAGTCACAGATCATTTTACAACCAGGTTCATATAATCATTTTCCAGCAGATTGGAAAAAAAGAGGACAGAAAAAAAGGAAAAACGAGAAAGAAAAAGAAAAATTATAAATCAATTATAATTACACTTTATAATAATAATCAACCAGAAAACTTTTTTTTCTTTCGTTGAACCAAAAAAACCTAACACCGAAAAAAACTACATTGATCTTCAGACAAAAAAAATTGCACGCCTCCCTCCCAAAAAACGCCAATCACTGTACATCTTAACTACCGTAATCCAAAAACTATACCGGTTTTTTTGGTTGGTGAAGAAAAAAGGAATAAGAAAAAGAAGAAGATGAAAAATGAGATGAAAAAAGTGAACGAAACGAAATGAATGAATACTGTAGAAAAGAGCGATTGATTGAATGTTGTTTCAATTTCGAAAGTAGAAGCAACATGACGATGATGAGTTTTTTGGGACGAAAAACGATGGGAAAGTTTTCGAAAATGTATAAAAGAAATGAAAAAAAACGACGCGGGAAATTCAAAGATGATTTTTGACGCCTTTTTGAGAATAGGAATTTGAATTATAAAGTTTTTTTTTTAATATTTAAAGACATGTAGAAATTTATAAATCAAAATTAGTGTTTGCACATAATTTTCCCATTGTATGTATACCGTATCACTATTTTTGACTCAATTATCTTTTTTCAAACAACACCGAAATTTGAAAAAAGTACGTGTTCAAATTTTCACTTGCTAACACTCATTTCTAGCTTTCTACGGGTTTTTGAATTGATTCAAATTTTTGAAAAAAAAAATGGTCTAGAAAATTCAGCTTATGAAAATGAATAAAATAAGTTTTCTAAAATCGATAGAGACAAACCACTTATTATTTTTCAGAAAAAGTATATATATTTTCGTAGATGATTCAAAAGTACACAAAAAATGAAGCTGATGTGGAGAAAATCGATGACAAAAATTAGGGTGCACTTTTACTATTTAGTATGAATCATGAATCACTCGAGCTATACGAAATGTCATTTACCTCGTGATTATCACTGTCATTCTCATCGTCATCTTCTTCTTCTTCTTCCTCTTCTCCTTCAATTTCCTCAATCAATTGTTCTCGCAAATTTTCGAGAATACCTTCATTTTCAGCCACCATATTTCAGAACGAAATCGGAGAAAACTAGAACTAGAAGTAGAAGATGGAAAAAATGGAAAGAAAAAAAAGAATAACTTGAAACTGGTTTGTTTTTTTCCGTGTGTTCAAGAAACTTTTTCCGGCCGGTCGGGGAAACAAAAAATGTGTCGGGAAAAAAAAACGAACGAATGAACCTATCGATAGAAGAAAGATAAGAAACAGCAAAAAATGACTGCTGGAGACCCTTTTTTCGAAATTTTCTCATTGCGTTGAAAATGCTCATCATTATTTGAGAAACCAGGAAGAAACCAGGAAGATGAAGTTGAATTTATAGATATTAGTTTTTTTAAAAATCAATTGAACATTAAAAATTTCAAGAGACTTTTTGGTATTTAGAAAAAAGTTCAGGAAAAAAGACATTCAGAAAATGGTCTAGATCTTCTAGACTTTGTTCCGGACATCTAAAAATTCAGAAAAATCTTCCGGATTTCTAGATATTTCACCGGGCTACAAAAAATTCGAAAATTTTGCAGACTTATTATAATTTTTCCTGGACTTTAAATTTCAGACATATATTTTTCTATATAAACTGTTAAACTGTTTAGCAATTTTCAAAAATATTCTCAAAAAACAGTAAAATTCTAAAAAGTTCGCCAAACTTACCAAAAATCAATCATTTTAAAATATTTAGAAACGTATGATGTTCTCGGACAACTGACCATCTCTATGTATGGATGCAACGAACTCCTCTTTTTTTCTCGTTTCATTTTTTTTTGTCTCGTCTCTGTCTCTATCTTTCATTCTCCCACCCCCAGGCACATGTCATCATCACACAGTCTTTTTTTACATGTTTTTTCCCAATTTCATTCATTCCTGCGTACTTTTTTTTAGGTCAAATATTTCCGAAAAAAACGACTGTCACAAAAAACGCGAAAATGGGAAGTGTTCGTTTTCACTTCAAGGACATTTTTCTCTCTTTCTACAACACCAAAAAATATCTGTGTGTATACAGGGAAAAAAATGAAAGAAAAAGACGAATGCGCTAAATTGGTAGTGACCTAAAAAAAGTGAACTGAAATCTTCTAAAAGGGGATTATCTATGCCGTTCAGAAAATCAAAAAGATAGAGAACATTTTGGAATAAAAAAAGGGTTCTCAATTATCAGAAAAGATCAAACTTCGGATACAGTAATCAGGAAAAAAAATGGACAGAAATTATTTACAATTAGAAGTATAGGTTTTGAGAGTGTTTTTGATGTTTATAAAGAAACAGATTTTCAAAGTTTAACTAGGATACAGTAATCCGAACAATGAAATTGTGCAACAAAAATTATATATTTTGGAAAACCTTATGATTAAAAGCAAGAAACCCATCATTCCACAACGATACCGTAATCTTGGGTAGGTCAGACTCAAATTCCAAATTTTCATGAAAAAACTGAAAAAAAATGAAAAATTAAATTCTAAGCGTCAAAATTGAATGAGGTCATGGAATATATTATTCTTTATTTTTTTCGAACACAAAAAACATTGAAAAAACCGAAAGTCTGTCAAAAAATACGAAAAATCTGAAAATTTTAGTTTGAGATCAAAATATTCATTCTCAGTTCTATCAAAGTTCTTATCAATAGTTTTTTTTGTATTTATGAATGTTTTGAACCTTGTTTACACTTCAAACATCATATTTAAATAACTAACAAGTTTTATTTCCGGTGCGAATTTAATTTCAAGTTAGAATAACTTGCAAAACTTTTTTCAACAATTCAATTACTCTCTACAGTAATCCTCACATTAAAAGTTGGGTTCTCCGATCAGATTACGAAATGCGATAAATTTTTTGAAACACCCATCAAGACGAGAAAAAAAAACAACAAAAAAACATCTAAATAGTGGCTGGTGGCAAACGGCGGACAAAAAAAGCGCGGCGAACAGCAGGTCAAAAAAACGGCTAGCCTGAACGATGAAATAGTGCTCAAAATGTGGAGACTCAGATCATACGAAAACAAAGAATGAAATCCGGGTCAAAAAACGGAGGAAAAAGAAATTGGAGAAAAAAACGAAGGTGTTTTTTATTGCCCTCGTCTCACTGACAAATCGGTGAGTTCGATACTTTTGCATTTTCGAAAAAATGTCTATTGATTTCGAAAACTTTTTTCTTGCCCTTTTCTGTTTCTCAAATGTTTCAGCCAACAAAAAATAATCACTCCTTGCAAACTTGTAATTATTTTTTCTCGAAATTATTTTCAAATTATTTTTTCTGAGAAAACTTACTGTCAAAAAACGGAAATTTCGAATGTGTCCGGCAATAGCCGGCGAAAATCTTGAAGGTGCAATTTTGGAAACTTCTCAAGAGGAAGCAGAAATCTGAAGGTAGAAAAAACTAGGAGGTCGAAAAAGAACATAAAAAACAACAGACAGAAAAAAAGAAGCAAAAAAATGATGGAGGGAAACGAAAAGCAGCAAAAAAGTTCTCGGCTGCGCGAAAAAAAACGACGAGAGAGGAAATCCGAGAAAGATTTGGAGTTTCGATTGAAGTAGGCCTTTTTTCTAGTGCAACAACACACAAAAAATGTTTTATTTTTTGTTGAACAGATGGGAGAAAAACTTTCTGCAATCACAATTTTTGTCTGTTTCAAACTGAAACGAACAGTCTTTCCAATTTGGTAATCCAATTTGGTAGATTTTGAATTTCGTGGATTTTCTGGTAGATAAAAATTTTTTCTCTAAATCTATCAGTTTTTTGTTAACTTTTTTACTTAGTCCCACCTTACCAATTCTCAAAAAAATAGCAAATCACAATCTACGCATGTTAGCAGATCTACGGTATCTAACTTCTCAAAACTAGGTACCTACAGTACCATCTACAGTAAGATCTACTTGAATAAAAGAACAACAAAAAATGTTGCGAATTGATCGAAATGCACTTTTTTGCTCGGCGAGACTGTTTGTTATTTTCGAATTTCGTGAAACACAAAAAGAAAAAGAGTCGAGTGGCGAAAAAAAAGGAAAAAGAAGAAAAAGAAGAAGACGAACAGTGTTCAGACAAAACACACAAAAGTGCACTTTTTTGTGATGAAAATGAGGAAATAAATACTTATTCAAAAAACGTAGTGTGCAAAATTTTGAAAGAATTTTAGGGAAAGTGGGTGTGGCTTGATATGCAACTCTGGCATAATTTTGAACTGAAGAAAAAGTGTGCCAGGGTTTCTCCTTAATTCAAAATCAAAAAATGAAATCCAAATGAAAATGCGCTCCATTGTTTCGAGATGATCTAACGCGGGGAATTTGAAAAAAATGAAATAAATTTTTCCTCGTTTGGTCTTGAAGCGAGAAACTTGCAAATCTGGTACAACATTTTTAACACAGGGAAAAGTGTGTCAGAGTTGCAAAATTCAAAAAAGTTTTACTCGCTAGGTTTTTAAACTACCGTATTTAAAATCAAAATACTCCAGAAGACAACAAATCTTGGGGTTCATATTTTTCGAGCAGAAAAAACCGAGCGACCAAAAAAAGAAAATTTGCGTGAAAAAAGATGACTCCCTCGACGCGCACTTTTTTTTTGCTCCGAAAGAACAAAACGAACCCTCATTTTTTAATTGGAGCACAAAAGAATGAAGACAGATATTACATATTTTTGATGGCTCCTTTTTTGCTGTCTTTTGACAAAAAGTGCAAAAAAGGGCGAAATTGATGCATTTCTGATGGTTTCATAAAAATGAGAAAAGACTGAAGAAGGGGAGAACCAACACTAACCTGAGAATATCTTCCGAAATTTGTGAACATTTGATGAGGCAAAAGAGAATTGTTGTGGAAGTTGAGAAGATCGGCTGAAAAATTGGAAAAAACATTAGTGGAAAGAGTGATATCAGAAAGGGAATACAAATACAATGGGCAAAAAATACGATTTTTTTTGCGATTTGAGACAAGAGACGCAGAAAGACATAGTAGTTTGTATCAAAGATTTTTTATTTTAATTTTTTTTTGAATTGTGATAAAAACTTTAAAAATCTAGCTATTCAAAGATTTTTTTAAATGTCCTGAATAGTCTTTTTACCTTGATTAAATTGTGGAAATGGATTCGCAATTGGATCAGTCGAATTCGAACCACTGTTGTTGTTATTAGTTCCATTAACTTGTTGCAAAGCCATACTTATATTAGTTGCTGTTGGCGGAGGAGTTGAATCAGATTCATTTCCACCAATATCAGATTGATTACCATCAGTTGTATCTGTTCCATCTGTTGAACGACTGTGCGAACGAACTATAAACATATATTATTATATAGTTGAATCTAAACTTAGAAATAAAGATGTTACCATTTTCTGAATCATCAGCTTCAAAAATTGGATCAGTTGCAGTGAGATGATTATCAACGGCCAAGTTGAACGAAGTTTCAAGATTTGTTTGCATTTTTTCCTCGGAGTCCAGTAGATCAAATATATCAAACTTAAATTAGAAAACAATTATATGGGATACTTCAATTTAAAATAAAAACTACTTCAAATAAAAAACCTACATCCATTTTAGTTAAGACAATGACAAAAAATACGTGGTTTTCTAAGTGAAATGAGACACAGCTTTGGGCACAGCTGCGATACACTACAGTATTCTATTGACCTCTTTTTTATTCGAAAAATATACTAATACTTTTTTATAATCACTATAAACCTGTCAACGACCACCCATTTTCAGACACATTTTTGTGTGTGTCTTTATTATTTTTATCAGTCTGATAACTATTGATTTCTGGAAAATATTTGGTATACTCACTTAGTTTTTGTCTGATTATAGTTCGATCTGTCACCAAAAAGTTTCCGCAAATGGAGTTTGACTCCAAAAAAAATGAGAAGAAGTTTGAGTCGCTTGGCGACAAGTGGTTTAGAACCTGAAAATCAACAATACATACATTTCAGTGTCGAAAAATTGCGAGAAAAAATTAAAAATTAATTAATAAATATAAGATGTGATAAGAGTACTATTTAACCGTGATCTTTGGGGGCGTTTTTTTGTCTTTGCTGAAAAAATCAGGAGACGGTTTTTGCTGGAAACAAGTGTTTTATGACCTTTGTTAGCGAAGATCGTTTTCCCGATGGAGGTGGTCTTTGTAAGGTGTTCGAGACGAAAAAGAAGAAGAAGATAACTTCGATTGGCGAACTTTTTTTTGTAGAAAAAAATATAATAATTGAAATATTATGTTATCAATGGCGCCGTAACTTCTGAGAAGAAAAGTGACAAAAAATGCTGATATTTTTGAGAAAAAACCTGAGTCATTTCGAGAAATTCATATCATCCTAATTATAAAAAAGAGTAAAGTATAATTCGGAAAACAATTTTTGCGCACTATTTATGTAGGTTGGTCCTGGGGGATCATATTTTATTAAAAATGGGACCGAGAAAGCAAAAAGAAAAGCTCCAGTTTTTTGGAAAAAATTCTGAATCTGGTCTTGGAAAAAATGAACCCAACGACCATTTTCGAACATTCTCAAAATCGGTATCTATTTTTTGGTTTCCGAACTCCCGTAAATAAAAATAAGCAAAACAGCATAAAAAATGATCACGAAACAAAAAAAATGACAGTAGAATATATCTATTGGGAAAAAACGGGTCAATTAGGAGAAATCGGATGAAAAAACCAATAGAAAGAAAAAATGACTGGAGAGCGAGAAAAAGAAGTGAAAAGAAAAGCAACTACTATTCGATTCGATTGATAATCATTTCCTGAACATATTGCGAGAAAAAAAACACACTGGAAAAAATGCCAAAAGTTCATATGAGAAGAAACAATAAAAAATAAATATATATTTTTTGTTCAAGAAGATAAGAACACCTGAGAGAGGTGGCCTCTGAAAAAATGCAGACACACACAGAAAAAAACAAATGGCTCTTTCAAAATTTTTTATGTCTTTTTACTCACTGAAATTCTCTTTTTCTTTTTCTCTTCCATTTTTTCTCCACCTATCTACTATCAATTTGCACTTCAAAATAATCATCGAAAAAAGAAGAAATACTACTTTTTAGGTTGGCTGAAAGTAGAAGCAAAAACTCAAACTAATAATCATATGTGAGAAATCGAGAAAAAAGTTTAATATGAAGAAAAAAGGGGTGGAGAAAGGCACTGACTGATAAATTATTGGAGAAACTAAAAAGATTAATTGAGGTTCGGCAACATTTTGTTGTAGTTTAAGAAGTGTGACATCAGAAAACCTCAGGAATTCTTAAATTTAGAAAAAAAAAACAAATGAAATGTTTGCCCTTTCCCAGACATGAAAAATGAAACTAATAATAATAATAATAATAATTGAGAAACTAATATGATGGGTCCCGAGAATTCACATATTGTCAAATATCTCTGAACTCTCTTCAAAAATCTATGATATTTATTGTTCTCTGATCGGAAATCTAATCGGTTCGGGACGAGAACAAACCAGATGTTTTTTTATTCAGAAATTGAGGATATTTAGAAAAGAAACAAGTTAACTATCAAAATTGCAACAGAAATTAAATTGGGTACTTTTTCATGAAGGATTTTTGAATGGAATATGTCCAATTCATTCTTTTGGAATTTTCAATTTTTGAATTTTAGCCCAATTATTCTTAAATCTCCACAGAATTTAGAGAAAAAATGAATGCAATATTTTCCAAGAAAAAGAAGTCGAAAAAGTTTCATGAAACCACACACGCTCACTCACGAAAGAAAAATAAACGAACAACAACCAAAAAAACGGCCATTTTTTTTCAAACAAAAAAAAGTGGTGGTGTCCGTTCAATTTTTTGTGTCTCTCTCCGCCTTTTTTTCTCATTTTGAGTGCAAAAAAGACCTCCCTGACTGCTTGACTCACTGAAATTTCGAATGTTTATTTTTGTTTTTTTTCATTTTCTGGAAATTGGGAAATGTGTAACGAAACAAAAAGGGAACGATTTGGAAAATGATTAATTGTAGTTTAAAATGAAAATGAATGCAGTATCTGATGGAAATAATTTTCGCAACTTTTTGCGGTATTCTAGAAAAAAAAATTAAGAGGAGGTGTGAAGATAAGTTTGTCAGATTATTGATGAACTATTTAGGTAACATTGGAGAAAAGAGAAATTGGGTGAGAAAAAACTGAAAGATCAACGCTGGCAATTTTTCTAGAAATGAAGAATTTTGAAAGAAGAAATTTATTGACAATCAGAAATGGGCAGATAATTTTTGAGCAGAGAACAATCAGAATATCAGAACTTATGTTGAATCAAGAAAAGTTAATAGAAATTTGAAACCTGTGCGGCAGTCAGCACATGCCCAAACTTGTGAGTGTAATTTACTACACGAAAAACTTCGCGCATTTTTTTCTCGGAAAAATGAGAGATTTAGAGAAAAATTAATTTTGATCTACCCCAAAAATTATTGAAAATTTTGAGGTCTAGCGAATTGGGGTAGTAAATTACATTCTTATTCAACTAGGCGCAGACAGAATTATCATATTTGCTATGAAATTTCAAATTAACTTTCAGCTGCATTTCGAGATAAAAAGTTTGTTCAAATTAAAAAAAATCAAAACGACCACACGAAAAAAAAAGAACAAGAAAGAAAACTACCTAATTTATTCAATGTGTTCTTTTTTGTGCTTTCTACTTCTACTTCTTCTACCCCGGTACTACTAGTCGCTAAAAGTCACACTTTTTCAGCAGCACAGAGTCACCTAATCAACAAAATGCACTTTTTGTCTTCGTGTTTTCTTGGGTGGTCCAGACACTTTTCCAATTTCCCCCCAAGAAATGACATGAATTGAATTTGGGATGGAATAGGAACACACGAAACTGACATTTTTGACGAATTAAAAAAGTACGGTATCTTGACATATTTTTTGGAAAAACTGGAAAAATGTATAGATATTTTTGGATGGTGGCAACATTTTTCGAGGAAATTAGCTGCACTTTTGAAATTTATTAATATGCGAGAATAAAGGGGGAGCACCTTCAGACTGATCAGAATCGTATAAAACTTACCAGGGAGCAAAAAATCTCCTGACTAATTCAAAAAATCAAAACCTAATAACTTCCTTGTTACAAAGTACTGCTAGACCCCACGCAATAATCGAACATCAAAGTAATTTTGACTAATAGGCTCAGTTAGTAATAAAAATAATTGAAGACTACCCTCTAACATAAAGATGTATCATTATAATAAAAAAAGTGTTTTCGGAGCACTGACCGATGTCTCCTTTTTTTCTTTTTTTCAGCAAGAGCTCCTCCTATTTTTCCCGCCTTTTTTGCTGTCTCATATCATTGTTTCACACTTTTTCGTCGTCTCTCTCGGAAACACGGCGAAAAAAAAGAAGAAGAAGAAAGAAGAAGAAGAAGAACACCCAAGTAGAGAATGCCTAATTTTTCAAGCATCAGTCAGTAGTCGAATGAGCACACACACACACATACATGAATATATACACTCTCGAAAAAAAGTTTATGTCTGGTTGACTGGAAAAAAAACGAAGAAAATGAAGGGGGAGAGATTATTACTATTATACTTTTTTCGAAAAAGTTTGATGTTTGAAGAAAAGCAAAAAGGGAAGTGATACAGAATAAGTCGGAGGGTTCTCGAAGTTTCGACACAAATTGGAAATGTGAATCTCTAGATCAAACTACACACATTTTGACATGTTTTCAAGAGCAAAACTCAGAAGAGTTTTGAGAATTTTTTCTTAAAAAAATTGGACTCGGATACCGGACATCAGAAAAAGAAAATCGTTGAAATTATTCCTATTTCAAAAAGTGATAGCCCGATTTTTGGAAGTTCAAATTAATTCTTTAGAACACATGATTCTCAAAATGTTGTCATCCAAGATATCCCTTTTTTCCATACATAATTTTGGATAGTATAGCATTTCATAACACATATTTCGCCCAGACTTTTCCGAATCTCCGAAATGCTGCCTCCCAGCACAAAATGTCACATTTTCCTGCGGAACACCTATAAGACTACAAAAATTGTGTTTTTATGAGAAAAATACTTTTTTCCCTATTTCTCCGCTCTTTTTCCCATAATTCTGAACATGTGAACAAAAAAACCCGCAGACCCCCCAGTTGGAATGCGAAAAAATCGGCTTAAAAAGTGCGCTGTCTCGGGTGGTCATAAAAATTGCAATTTTATGAACACTCACATTTTTGGCGTTTATGAGAGAACTTTTGCTATGCAAGTATATATTTGTAACTGGTACCACAACATAGATTTCCTGCCTATTTTTGGTCGACGGATTTGTGGTCGTTTTTTGATTAAAAAAATGAATGTTTGGGGATGGATAGCTGCCTAGTTGATGCTTTTTGATCATATGATGAAAAATCGAGTAAAATTCTGAATCGGATCAGACTAGATTAAAAACGGTTAGACAGTTATTCTGGTGGAAGATACCCCTCACGAAATAACTAGGAAATATCACAAGATACTGTACTCAAAAGTGCTTATCGGTGTTTGCACATATCAAACTTGGAGGCAACTTGAAATTAGAAAAATACAAGAAAACTTTGAAAAAACGGAGCTTTGGAGTTCTGAAAATGGAAAGAAAAGTTGCGAATTCAAAATGTATAGTATATTTTTGAAACTTCGCGAGTGAAACAGAAAGTCGAAAACAATTTCCTTTATTCGGAATGGTTCTATTATCCCACTATTACCTACAATTCCAAATTCCAAAACTACAGTATACTTTTACGTCTTTGCTCTCTTAAAAAAGTATCGAAAAGGAAGCCGTTTTTAAACAAAAAAAAAGTACAAAAAAGTTCTCGTTGTGTGTGGTCCTCGTTCGTTTTTTAATGGGCGGTCTTATCTGTTTTCTTTCAACGTCTCAAGGGATTCTCAAGAAATTTCCCGCGTTTCGCTTTTTTCGTCCTATAATGGTTTCTTTTTGCAATTGCCGAAAGAATGAAATAGTTTCAGATTTTATACGAGCCATGTTTATTTTAAGGAGAAAAAAGGGTTTGTGGATGAAAACTTGGGAATGTAATCAAATTTTGGAAAACTAGGTGACGTCAAAGTTCAAACTACACACTTAATTTAAAAAACAACATCTTATGAAGTTTCTTTTGCGGAATTAAAATAGTTGAAAACTGATTACCTTTTTTGAAAAACATATATAAAAAAAATTATAAATGAAATCTAATGTAAATGGTCAAAAATATAAGTCACGTCAACATATAATTTCATTTTTTTTAGAAACTAGTCGCTTCCAAAACAAAAAAAGGAAAAAAAATAAAAGTAAAACAGCGACACTCGGCTTGCCTGTTGTTTAATTTTATCACACTGCTTGAGCGGAGTGTCGTTATTTTATTTTTACAAAATTGCGCGCAGGATTTTGTGTTTGCGGGCAGTCGGTGTTGACACACACTCTTATTTTTTCGTTCTTTCTTCAGGTTTTGGATTTGGATGTTACGAAATTTAATTTTACATTCAGACTACATATTTTTGATGTCTGTCTTTGTTCTTAAGGTAAATTTTTCGATTTTTCATCTCAATTTTTTTTTTGAATTTCAAAAATCTTCAAACTCCCAAAAATTCGAGCAAAAGTTCAAAAAGTTACAGTATCCTTCCACATCCAATAAAATAACATATTTCAACCAAAAAAGGAAACGAGACAAAACGACAAAAAATGTTTGAATATTTGACTAAACCTCATAAAACAGACCACCCATATTGTGTTGTTGTCAAATAATACCAAAAAAATGGACGCCGAATTTTTTTCTAAAAAAAATGGCCAAATAAAACGAGCTTGTTTCTTATCGAAAAGCGTTCACTTCAATTCCCTCTTAGTTTTTCTCCCAACTTTAACAAAAAATTATTGTTGTGTTGTCGATAATTGTTATCAGTTAAAAAACTCGTCTATACAATATTCAACATAGTAATTCAGAAAAAAAAACAGAGAAGAAAAAGAAAAAACTTTTGAAATAAAAAATTGGAGGACAAAGTTTCTGGGCGATTCGCCCGAAAAATGGGCGGAGTTTAAATTGAGGAAAAAACTACGGTAGAATTTGAGGGATAAAATTTTTGTTGGGAATACATATAAAACAGTTTTGAAAATATTCATTTTCTAGACTATTTCATTCATTTTTTCAAAATAATTTGATGATTGGAAAATTGTATTGGATTACTGTAAGTGAGTTATTATAACAAAATATAATAATTGAAGAAATAAAAAGTGGGTGGCCGGCCGACTTTTTTTGACAAATCAAATATGTCATATTTTGTGATTTATTCGTCTTTTTTTTCATTTTATTACTTTGTTCGACTACATACTTTTCGAAAAAATAAACAAATATAAAGATATTACTGTTTCACTCACCTCAACAAACAAAATGACCTTCTCAATCCAAAACCAACTTTTCCTCTTATCCTTTTTCCTATTTATATATGTATGTACAGTATTTTTCATGTCGGCAATGCCATAAGCAGCAAATTATCACCAGTTGAATGAATACTGAGAAATTGGGCAGAATTTGAAGAATACATCTTTCCTTTTTGGAAAATGTTCATTTACAATAAAATAGTTAGTGAAAACAATTATGCTCTCAACAAAAACAATATGGCCTATTTTTTCTGAGATTAAAAAATGTTTGAAAAGAAAAATTTGAACATGAGACAATAAATAGGTAAATCAGTCACCCTTGTACATTAGCCAAACACGTGGCGAATCGACATAAGCTTGACTTGCATCAGAAGTCAAATAACCACCATGTTGAACAAGCATATGATCTTTCATTTCATTCCAAGTTGTCGCTTTTTCTTGACAAACCGAACAGACAAAACCGTGGTGTTCCTATAAAATGGAATAATTCGACCTTGTTTTTTGAGACCTTCATTCGAAAATTATACATATATCATGTCAAATCACAAGGGAATAATACTTTTTTCTTACCTTTTGATGTTCTTCCATTTGCAAAAATCTGTTTGTTTTTTGATCGCAGATTTGACACTCGAATTTCAGAATTCCAGTGTGAATTCTTTCGTGCACAGTGACCTATAATATATCATTTTTGTGATGATGTTTTTGTGATACAAATTTATGATTCATTGTTTTTTTTTATTAAAATGAAAGTAATAAAACTTACCGCGGTCTCTGAAATAAACAGTTCTTCACAAAAATGGCATTGATAAGTTCTTGAGAATACGTGTGCCATTTTTCTATGTTTTCGAAGTTTGCGAGGTGTCAAAAACTTTTGATTACAGTCTTGACAACGGAATCCTGAATTTGCACCACGATGAAATTTGCTACGATGTTTGAAAAGACGAATTTCGGTGCACATGTTGCGAATTGGCTTACAGTCGAGACACAAATATGTCATATCGCATTCATGTGAATTTGGTATTTCAAGCTCTTCGCGACTTGGAAGACATTTGAAACAATGTAAGCATTGTACGAAGTTAATGCATTCCGGGTGTTTCTAGAATATGAATAAAGATTAAGAAATAACTTTCGCATTATGGAACTAACCTTTGTGATATGATTATTAAATGAGATATCATTTCTGAATCTTTTGTCGCAAAATGGACATTGTGGAGAGCGCTGAAAATTTAATGTTTATGTTGATCAGAAAATATTTATATAAAGTTATCGTACCTTTTTGAAATAGGGAACTTTTTTATGAAATGAATCCTGAGAAGGTGTTTCACCGGGAAGCGGAATCCTGAAAATAAAATTATAGTTCTATCGAACACTCCAACTGTGCCTTACTCTTCAATTGGCTCTGTTCGATTACAAAGTTCATCCATTTCGGATTCTGGTGGAATAAAACCTCCGCTCAATAATTCTTCAACTCTTTGTCTTTCTCGGTCCATTTCCCTAAATTCAAATATATGATTCTTTGTTTTTTTATAATTAAAAACATACATCATTTCATGTGTTTGTCTTGCTTGTTCTTCCATATATATTTCATATTGTGCTGGATGACATTCACGCAAATGTTTTTCGAGAAGATAAACTTCGCCAAAACGATTTTTACAAACTTTACATCGAACCATACTATGTCGAACGAGATTTCGAAGTTGATTGACCGAAAGTGTTGTAGCAACAGGAATATCATATGAAGAGCAACCATTATTATTTCCAAATGACTGATGAAAGCTGAATTCTTCATGTGCCGCAACTGTAAAAAAAACATATTCTTCCCATAAACCTTTCTGATTTTCAAAAGATGTATCAAATGTGCGAATATTTCACACCTCGTCAATATTAATGAGCACGGAACCCGATCTCATGGTGACATTTAAGTGTTAAATTTGCCACAAGGCTGACACGTGTCAAAAAATAAAAGAAAACGCCGCTTTTCTCCCATCCGGGAATGGCGTGAAATAAAAATAGCACAATTCCCATTTCTAATCTTCCCATATAGCTTGAAATGCTTTTAGCCACGCCCACTTATTTCGGTATAAAAAGGGAACCTCTGGAATTATTCATCACTCAGTATTCACTACCATTCTATATTCTATTTATTCGGTAGAGCCCAGAATCTCTTCGAAATACTAGCAATCATCTAGATTTGTTGTAAAGATAATTGCGAGTATGTTCGAAGTGATTTTGCGGTTCTATAATTTTGTAATTTCAAAAACTATATTCATATTTAACAAAAAAAAGATGACATACCAAATTCATCACATTTTTTGACAACAGCTTTTGTGGTGTGTTTGAGGTGAAGTTGACGACCATCTGCATCCAACACAATTCTTTGTTTGAATCCTTTGGCCTGAAATTAATTTTTGCTGAAAGAGTTAATTAAAGTTCAAAAACCTCAGGGTGTTTGAGAGTTCCCAACACTTGACCTACTCCAGTGAGGAGTTTGGGCTTTTCAGGATCTGCATGATATGACTCATCAACGTTTTGAAACACAATGTCGGCGATATCCGAAAAACATCCGGAATCGGCTGAAAAAGATTCTTGAGAAACATAAAAAAGAGAACATATTAATGATATGGACATGGTCTCTTGGAACCGAATGAAAATTAAAAATTAGTTTAGTAACAATTTGTATTGTTTATTTTAAAGTATTGAAATCGCAAAATCAAAGGTTTACGTATTATTCTTGTTGAGTTCTGATCTTCGAATCGAATACATTCAAAACTTCCGACAAACGGTTTTGTATCACACATAATTTGAAAACCTGAAAATATTATTTGAAAAAAAAAGAAAAACAACGGCTATTTCGAAATGAATCGAAATGTGAGGAGAAAAGGGAAGAAATAAAAATCATGTTTGCATACGTTTTTTGCATCATTTTTTTGAAAGTAAAAATATTTGTAAATTTCTGATTTTCTATGAAATTCTACTCAGCGATTAGAAAAATAATAGACTATTTTATGGAAATTGTCTTATTTTCTGAACAGAAATTTAAAAATTAAAACCCAAAAGAACGGGAAAAAACAAAAAACAAAAATGAAATTTCCATCCCGCGCACACATCATCCGAGAGAAGTACAACATACAATCGGTGTGGGACCTTTGCACTCGGAATATCGATGTGCCTTTATTTTATTTTAATTTTATTTTCTGTTTGCAAACTTGTTTCGGTTAACCGAAAGGTTCGCGGAATATCGTCTGCGAAAGCGATTCATAGAATAGCTGTAAGTTGAAAAATTCTGTATTTTTAATTTTATTGCAAAAAATAACATATCGTATCCGTCTATGTAGAAAAAATAGAATTGAAAGAACAAAATCTACTCGAACAAACTCGCAATGATCATCACTTTTGATATGATAATTGTTAGTATTTCGAGCTGATTTGGTTCCAACAGAAATAAATTAGATGTACTACGTATTGCTGTGATTTTATAAAAGTGTATTTCTTTTTATATGCTTTTTTCTCAGATATGGGCGTGACTCAAAGGTCTGTTTGTTATAGATAGACATATCTTATCATGGTTAGATATATTCAAATTGTTTTGATAAGGTTAATAGTATGGCTATAATGATTACGCAAGTTTGTTTAACATATATTAGTTTCCCCTTGACTATAATAATTTATTGATACAATTGAACATCCAAATTATCAGTGTTGTCTACTTTCTTCAGGTAGTTCATATTTGAAACACCGATATTTGCACAACCTATCTATCTCTCCCTAATTCTACGTGTCCTAATATACTAATCAAATTTACAATTCATGACTCCTCCCACTAAATAAAAAATTGTTTGATAAGAAGAAGAAGCATTGTGCCTCTTCAGTGTTCCACATATACAAAATGTCGATTAAATTTTTGTTTTTATTAGCCGGTTTCGTCGCATTGACATGGGCGAAATGTGAAGATGGTGTTGATAATATTATTAAATTCACTGACACAACAAAAGGTGAGAAATAGTTTGTTTTTTACAAGTGAAGTGGAAAATTAATACTTTCAGAAAAAGGAAAAATTATTTTCACCGACTTCGAAGTTGCGACATATGATGAACACAAAGAGCCATCATGTACTGGAGGAAAACCAGAATTCAGATTGCCAGGACATTTCAAAGTTCACAAAGGATTCATTCAAGTAAATGAAGCTCTCACTAAAGAAGAAGATTTGGAACTTGCATTGAATGTTGAAAAGGATAGTTTTATGATTGGAAAAGTTTGCGAGAATGGAAAATCACAAAACTCGTTTGTTCCTGATCAACTTTGGTGAGTATTTTGAATTTTTCGAATGATCCTACAATTTAAAACAAAGAATAATTTTTAACCAAAGAGTATAAGAAGATTAAATGTTTCCAAAGTGTCAATAATTTTTATCATTTTTGTTAATTTCAGCAAATTCCAATTGTGCAATTTGGCTCCAAGTGTTTGCGCTGTTCTTCGGATAAAAACAAATGGCCCAATCGATGTTCTTCCGTTCATGCAAAAAGAGCCAATCGATATTGGAGCATTGCCAATTCCACAACTTGGAGGAAAATGGAAATTTGGAGCTAAGATTTTACAAAACTCAAAAGCTATTGCTGGAGTTCAACTTGGAAATGGAAAACAATGGTTGAGTATTCATTCAGAAGAAGGATTGGGAGGTGGAATCAATTATGATCCAATCCCACCACCACCGCAATCAAAATTCGATGATGAACTTTAGGAATTTTATTTTTCATAATTTCTTTTTTTTTGTTGTTACTTAAGTTATGTTGTTCCACTTTATTAAATAATTTAAACAAAAAAAACAATTTTCTAAACGACCACATGATCTCTGATCATACGAAGTTGATTCATATGAGTATCATCAAATACTTGATCATGATTCAAATCAGTAAATACACGTTCTCCAGATTGTCCAGGCAATGGAGAAGTCAATTGATCGCACACTTTATAACCAACCATTTGATCTTTCATTGTGTAAATTGAGAAAGTATATTGACCTTCATAATGAGAATATCTATTGATATCCTAGAACACTTGTTTTATTTTTTATGGGTTTGGAAAGCTCTCACCTGCAAGAAATCACTTTGGCTTGGACAATTTCCAGAATATAATCCGTTCACAGTATTACAAATTGGGATAATTGACAAAGCGCAAGCTGGAACAGAAAATCCGCCAAGTTGTGGAGCAGCTCCTCGATTTGGACCAGCAACACCAACATAGGTATCAACAATTCTTGTCAATGGGCCACCCAAATATTCTCCGGTATCAACACATTTTCCTGAAACGAACAAAGGGTTGGTTATTTTTCAAAGAAACATTCGAAAAAGTTCTGTTCCGGAAAGCCGAAACCTGGAAAATCAGAAAGTTATCGAATTTCTGAAGTCAAGAATCTTTGATAAATTTAAAAAGAAGACAATTCGAACCTCCTAAAATAGCTTTTCGAGATACAGGAACTCCTAAACTGAAACCAATAACATCAACATTTCTACCAGTATAAATTCGAACAGCAACAATCAAAGCACGAACTTGTTTCACATATTCACATTTCATCGAATATTCGACCCATTTCAATGGATTTCCTTGTGCCCCATTAAAATAAGTGGTACTGTAGATTTCATTGTCTTTATATCCACCATCCTTTTTAAACCACTGTGCAGCCCAAGTTGGTTTTTCTCCAGCAGTGTCTGAAACACCGTGAACAATAATAAGCGGTTGATTTTTGAGGGTCTCATTTCTTGTCTTTTTTCCACCAAATGATCCACCAGGTCCCAAATCAAGTCGTTCAATTTGATCACGAACTGCTGGACCATAATAATCAGCTAACCATTGAGAAAAATCATTGGTAAATTTTGAATGAACATTTGAAATTAAAAATAATGAAATAATTGATATTGGAAGAATTTTGGGAGTCATTAGTGTCTGGAAAGTTTTAAGTATAAAATTAAGAAAAAAAATGAGAAAAGCGAGACTAAGAATCAAATAAAAAGATAAAGTGAAAAACGAAATTATACTAATTTGAATTTCAATGAATGTCGAATCCGGTAAGTGAAACTGGATTTTGAAAAGGTAGATTTGAAAGGAGAAATTGAAACATTCAGAATTAAATTATACAACATAATTTTACATTTAAAAATTTGGAATAAATTAGTTTTTCTTTCAAAAGAGGGGAACCGTCGTGCGACTACTCATTTTCATAATATGGAATATCAATCCCAAAAATTTCACAATCTTATTTTCAAAAAGTGATGAAAATAAAATGGAATGGCAGGCAGGCAGGCGTGAATGAATGAAACAACAGCGTTTTTCGTATATTCTTGTTCTTTTTCTTCATTCTTTTTATCCAGAAACCAGTCTTAATATTGGCAAAAACGATTTCTACGCAATGAGAAAATGTATCATCTTTGTATATTCTTCGATTGTAAGCGGATAATTGTTCGAAAGGAAAAATACCTGGAAAATCAAAAAAAAATGTGTAAATCAAAAAAATTTTGATCTTCCCGCCAAAATTATGTTTTTTTTTTCAAGCAATTTTTTTGTCTATAAAAGGGGTTCGCTCTGGATTTTTTGTCAGTTTAGTATATTATTAAATATTTCTAACAACTTCAATATGGTCCTAAATCTTCAACTTATTCTCATTGCCATGTTTGTCTTCGGTTTTGCCAGAACTGCTGATATTGAAGGAAGTGGAGCACAATTGGATCAACCAGAAGAAACACCACATGAAAGACGTAAGTTTCCCTTCACCTTTTTCACCTATCTCATTTTTCTGTGCCCAATTTCTCTCTTTTTTTGCTGTGGGCGGAGCTTGTTTCTGCCAACAGCTATCTTCATTTTAGAAATTGAGCGGGCAGAAAATGTCGATCTCGTGGTGTAGTGGTTATCACATCTGTCTAACACACAGAAGGCCGGCGGTTCGAGCCCGCCCGAGATCATACGCTTTTTGTTTTATTTTTTCAAAAATGTTGATTTTTCAGCGAAATTCTTCAACTGGGATTACAAAGATTTGAGCACATCGGCATTTGAAGATATTTCAAGCATTGCTCGACAACCAATTGGAATTCTCGATGTAAGATTCATACTTCTTCCGGTTTCTAGAAATTTTTCAATAAATTTTCAGTCTGCATCGTGTCCAGATGGATGGTTTCGTTTCTCCAACTCATGTTACTACGTCGAACAAGAACTTCTAGGATTTTCGAAAGCCGAAAAGCGATGCTTCGAGAAAGGTGCCACATTGTTCGTCGCCAATTCATACGATGAATGGGATTCAGTTCGTGATCACTCACCAAAAGCCTTTTTCGCCTGGGTTGGACTCGTTCGATTTGCTCAATACGAAAAAGTCGAAAATTTGCCACGTTGGCAAACTGAAGGAGCCATCAACTCGGCTAAACTGTAAGTGATACCTCTCTTTTTGAAAACCCGAACCATTTATGATATTTTTTTACAGTAACTGGTTGATCAAACCATACAAGCCACTTCCAAATGGTTGGACATCTTTGTCAAACTGTGTTGCACATTATCATGGACCATTGTCACTCGAATCAACTTCGTACACTTTTTATTATCCATGCACACTTTTATTCCACTCAATTTGCGAAAGAAATGCTACACTTATTAACAATTCCAACACTTTTGTCCTCTAATTTAATCTCTCTTGATTACTATATAGATTATGTATATTTTTCGTTGATCAATGACATCAGTCAATAAACTTTCGTGTACTTAATGTTTATGGATACTGTATTTCAGAAAACAAGTAAAACTTTAACTGTTTTGGGAAAATCAAAACGCGAACTTAGGGTTTTGGGAAAATCAAAAAATTAAAAAAAAAAATGAAATTATTCGACTTTTTTGAAGTTAAAATTTTTCAGAAATTCCAATCCCTCCACGTGTTTTCTCATATGAACCCAGTCATTTTTTGATCATAAATCAATTATTGTTTTTTTAATCTTACTTGTTTACTTCAATTAATTGAATTAAAACACAAGAAGTGTTTTTTGTCTCATAAAAAATAAAAATAGGCCACAAGTTCACAACACAAACTCTTTTTCTATTCACAATGTTCCGTTTCTTTTCTCTTTGGTTGTTTGAGAGATATTTTGAATTTAGAAGTGACCTGTATGCTTGGCCTAGTGGTCAAAGGCGGCAATTTGAATCGAATAGTGATAGGTTCGAATCTGCGTGAGTACTGGTTGTTTGGTGATTTTCAGACAACCAAACAGCTGTCATCAACCACGCCAAATTGTAATGGTGCATTTAAATTACCGGATGACTCTAGAGATCATTCGGAGGAGGTGCCTCAACAACCTGTTTTTGTCTCGTTTTTACTTTAGTATTTATTAAGTGTATTTGTCTGTCTCGTCCTTCATTTGTCTTAAAATGATTTGGATACTTTTATTATTTATTTTACTCAATTTCACTGAATCTGAAATTATTCGACAATGTAATTGTAAAAAATATGAGAATTGTTTGAACGCTGAAGAAGAGCCAAGTGTTAAAAAATGTTTGAAAACTTGTGATTCAATTTATCCATCTTCTAATGTTGTTCCATGTTTGACTTCGTTTACTGACGAAATGGAAGAATTAAAGGATTGCCCATATTCTGCCAAAAATGGAATCAAAGGGTCAGTTTTTCTTCTTCAGAAATAAAAGATTCAATATTCGAGCTATCCTTTTTTAGCTGTTCGAATCGAAATCGAAATATCTTACGGCGAAGAAGTGTTGGAGAATTTCGAGATTTTATGATCCACGCAATGGAAGTCAATTTGAAAGATTTTGGTAAGAAAATACATACTATTATTTACACAAAATAATTAAACTGAAAGGGCAAATTTTATCATCTCAACAAGTTTTCAAAATAAAATTATATAAATAGCAACATTTTTCAGATGAATCTCGAAGATTCAAAAACCAAAAAGCTGCAAAACAAGCAGAATGTGTATTTGAATGTATTTATCCGGGAAGAAATTCGTGTACTCAAAAACTCGAATGTGATTTATTTTTGCCCCCTGAAGAAGAATATTTCTATCAATTTTATCGATGTGCTTATCGACAAAAGTTTTTTCAAAAAATCTGAAGTCATGTACAAATGTTTATGTAAGTTAATTCGAATTCAAATTTAAACTTTGAAAGTTGACTGAAATTGTTGTTTTTTCAGCGCGTCTCTTCGTAACTGATTCGTCATTGATACAACGAGACAACAAAACAAGAAAACGTCACTAGACAATTTTCGATTTGATTTGATTTATTTTGATTTTTAACTTTATGGGTACATTGGGGTAAATAATAAATATTTGTGATATGTTTTTTTCGTTCACGTGAAATTTGAGAAGAGAACTTTTGAGGATATTACGAAAAAAATGAGACAGAGTCTGCAGAATCATAGAAATCCATAGTTCGGAAAATCTAACCTTTTGATAACTTCAAAATTGAACTTCGAAACAACGACTATTTTCCGAGGTTTATCTGAAATTGATCTGAAATTTAGTGTTAAATCTGCATTCTGAACCTTCCGAGAAAAAATAATGCCAAATTTCGTTGAAGAACCAAAAAATTGTCGATCAAGTTTTTTCCCAAGTAATTCAAATTGTCCTAACAAAAAATTATTTTCCCAAGCTAATTTGTGGGTATTCCAAGGTCCTATTATTCTTGATAAAGTTTTTGGGTTTCGAAAAAAAATGTTCTGCTTCACAGAAAAAATGTTGGAAAAACATCTTGTGATAAAAATTGACCTAGTTATCTCAAGTATTTTTTTCCAAATTTGTTATCAAAAATTCTGTTTCCCATCGAGTTTTTTTTACAAATTTTTATTTCCCAAGAAATTTATTCAAAATTTAAATTTTTCTTGGGAAAATATGAAATTTGGATAAATGAGAATAAGTTTGGAAACATCATTATGGAAATTTTTTTAAAGAAAAATTGATCATGACGTGGTCCTCATTTTATTCCCAAATTTTTTGGATTTTTGAAAATTCTACAATTTTTCAGCCAATTTTTAAATAGGGTTTCTTCTTGTAATAAGACTTTTCCGATGAGAAAACCGCAAAAAAAGAAATGAAATCTAAAACCGACAAAAAACTTTGTTTTCATCTTGCACCTTTATCGTCATTCGGCCATCTGCCTCGAAATCTCTCAAGGTCCAATACTATTTCAATTCAATTCAATCTATTGTTTTGTTTTTTTTTTCATCGTAAGGTTTTGAAGGTAAAATGAAGACCTCATTTGATTGAAAGAAGGAGGAAATTGACCGGCATATTTTAGTTCCTAATTTTTTTGTTTGAAACACTAAGAACGATATTATTTTTTTTCATCGACCTTCATTTAGATGTTCACACTTTTTCGTTATTTTCTATGATTTTTTCGATTATCCCGCCCATTTTTTATCCTAGTATCATTTTTTGTAATAAATCATTATTGATATAAATCGCTATAAAAATAGTACACATATGTTAATTTCCAGTTTTTTTTTCTGATTTTTTTGGTTGAACATCTGTGGTTTGGTTTGGTTGGTATTCCAATTCCAAGTTGGCATTTTTTATATTTCTCAATAGCATTACTTATGTATTGTTCTTATTTTTTCTCATTCGAATTGAGGCCATTTTGATATGATAAGCAACAGCATTGCCGAAAGTTTGACCGACTAAAAATATAAGATATTTTTGAGAGAATTAGAGATGAATGAATTACTCGAATCGCTGTTTTTTGTCCGGCGGGGTTCCATTTTTCATTTGTTTTTGGTCACTTTTTTACTTTTAAATTCAAAATTTATGAAACCAAGAAAAAATAATTTAAAATTCATTTTCATTTTCGCCAACCAATAATTGCTTTGTGCATTTCTTATCAATTTTTTTGCGAATCGATTTTCAAATTCAAATAAACCTCAAAAATTTCGACTTTTTCTAGATGGCCAGCACATATGATTATGCATTACTGGATTTTACGGCAACTCTGTGAGTCATAATTTTTTCTCTAAAATATTTTGGAAGATTACTTATTATTTTTAGATCGAGAGTTGAGATGAATTTTTCGGAGAATCTTCAATCAATAATTGATACATTCGCTAATTCAAGGTAAATAATACACAAATCGTAGAAAAGTGCAAATCGGACAAAAAACTTTTTATTTTTTTTGGTCATTTATCAAAATTATTATTGGATTTTTTTGAAGAACATAGAGAATACACAGAAAACCGGTTCAAAATGATGAGGACATTTTTTTGTTTTTGAGAAAAAAAAAAGATGTAGTACAAGCAAGTAGTCTAGTATACAAACTTTGGCAAACTTTTTGAATACAGTATACGCATGTTCCGGGAAGTTATTATTATGTTTTTAGAATGTTGACAGAATTTGAGAAAAAAACACATAAATTGTGAATTTAAAGATATTTTCATATGAATCATTTTCCGGAAAACCTGAAAAAAATTGAAGAAATATTTGGCACACAATTTTCGATCTCACGAAATTCCAGACTTGATCTTCCGCTCAAACGAATTTCCGAAATCGCAAAAGTCCATAGTCGCGCGGCAAGAAATCTTCGAAAATTGGATTCCAAGAAAAATGAACATATTAATCTGTGGAAAGTTTGCAATATTTATTCGGCTCTTTCTGTTGATTTGGATAAGGTAGAGTTCAGAAAAAAAAGTACAGTATAAAATTCTGATTATTTCAGGCGATGAGAGAAACAAGACAACATTTGAGAGCAAGAATGTCATTAGATGGAGCTCCAATTGAAAAACCAAAAAAACGAACGATTTTTGAAAATTTTCTTGGTGGAAAAATAATTGATTCGAGTTTTGGAACTACTGGTTCAACAAATACTAATACAAGTTCGAATATAAGTTCTAATCAAAATGAAGAAAAACATTCAAAAGTTTGGTTGAGAAGGTTTACAAGAGGAGATGAAAAAAGAACTGCTTTCAGGTAAGATTTTGAAAAAATTAGAATTTGATGACACAGCTACCGGTACCGAGATCTACAGTAATCTGCTACACATTTTGGAGTAGCCGCGTGTTTAAAATTAATAGTCTAAAACCACGCTGCTCAAGAGAAATTTAATCAAAATTTAATTTAAAAAACATTTTCAGTGCTCGTCGAAAAGAAACAACAGCTTCAATTGATTCGGAAAAATTTGATGAAATCGATGAAATAACAACTCCAAAATCAACTCCTCAAACACCAGCTTCAATTCGAGATAAAGCAAATCCAAGTCTAAAATCAAGTCTATCATTATCTTCGGATGTTTGTCCACCATCTCGTCGACCACCTCCACCACCAAATCAAAAATCATTCATTGAGGAACATTCATTGAGACATTTGGATGATTCAGATTCAAATGAAAAAAGAGAAGTTATTCGAATTCAAAAAGATGTTGAAGTGAAGAAAGAAATCCAGAAAAATGGTGAGTTAGGAAGGAAAAAGAAGGAAGAGATTGTATGCAAAGTTTGAATTTTTTGGGTCGAAAAATCTCCAAAAAATTTATTTCAGAAACATGTGTGAAACTGTATAGTTCGGAATACGTGAATATAAAACCGCCCTTGGCTCAAAAACCCTCAAAACTCTACGAAACTTCTCCACAAATAGTTCGTCTTCGCGAATCATCAGATTCATCGTCATTTTCACCAACTGTGATAACTGTTGATTGTTCGCCATCTCCAACACCATCACCAAGAACCTATTTCCAAACTGTGAGTTTTACTCGCAAGAGATTACTGTATATCAAATGTGATTTTTTTGAAGATCGAACCTCCAAGTTCTCAAAGATCAAGTTCTTCTGCATATTCATCCAATTATTCAACAACTTCTTCATCAAATATAACCAATTTCCAAATTGATTCCAGGTAACAATTTCAATTTTTCGAATATAAAAATTCCAACCGATTTAATTTAAGACCACAATCACAAATCGAACATGCTCGAATGATAAGAATTGAATCACGAGAAGATATCCAAAATCGTTTTTAGATAGCAAAATCTATTTATATATTTTTCTGGTTGCCAATTATAAATATAAATATATGTTTTCGAAAATATTATAAATAACTTAATGTAAGAGTCAGAAAGAAAATAAAACCCGGATAAAAAACGAAAACGGTAATTTTTGGACCGGGATACGGACAACATAAATTCTAAATATGTCAATCAAAAAACGAATCACAAAGTTAGTAAAAAAATAGGAAAGAAAGAGAAAGCTGATTTTAATATGATTGTGATACAGCATTTTGAAGGCTGAGGAGTAATTGTTTGTATTTGTTTTCTAACGAGCCATTTTTCATCAAATCACCTATTCGCTCTCCAATCTGCAGAACAAAATCAATTTTATCATGAGAAAATACTTAATCGATACGGAAATAACTAGACTATTGGAATAAGTGTTTACTGAAAGTTTTTCAATTTTTCACAATTTTGACCATCCGGCCATTCTGTCAAATTATGCTAACAATGTTTTTTGTTTCCAAAAAACTTTTTTACAAATTCCGGGAAAGTAATTTTTCCCTTTCGAAAAAAATATCCCGAAAATATCAGTCGTTAAAAATTTTTGTCGAATTTCTCTCAAATCTACAAAATTTTCAATAAAAAAATGGCTTACAATGCTCATTTCATGTGGAATAACAATATTCGCTTCACATTCAATATTCTGAGGCAAAATATCGAGTTCATATATACGTTCTTCGTTGAATATCTGATTCGCACCGTTTACCAAGAATTGTTTTTCAGCATTTATCGAACAAGCTCGCAATGGATGAAGTACTTCAAAAGATGTTTGAAGTGAATTATACACTTCTACATTCGAATTATGAATAGCCAAAACCGTACCAATATTGCATTTTACCCATATTTTTAGCGCGTTGATTGCGAAAATAAGTTCGCGAGAAAGATCATCTTCCGAAATTCGTCGTTCTTTTTCGTCCAAGAAAAATGTTAAATCATGGAATGTTCGATTTTCATCGGCAGTGCAACTGACCAATTCGATACTCAATTTCTGGAAAAAAAACAATATGACTGATTTTTGAAAATAAAATATGAAAACGAAACTGAAAATTCGAAAAGTTTAAATAAACCTCGGTTTTTTTAATTAGTAAATTTAATAATGGATCAATTCACAAATCAAATCTTATACTTAAAATATTCTCAGATATTGTATTTTTGAAAATAAAAATTACGGAATTTTTTTCGAAATTTCTGATATCTTTTGATTTTTCTTCAACTTTTTGGGCCAATTTCAATGTTCTGATAAAATAAAAGAACTAACCAATAGTGATAAAGTGGTTGTCATTTGCACCATACTATAATCAATAAGACTTTCCAAATTTAACCATCCATTTTCAAAATTTCGAATTTCACCAACAAGATGTTGATAACAATAACGCGCTAAACGAGCAGAAAGCAATCCATTGTAAGAATTATGTGAGCTGAAAAAAACAAAATCAATTGTTTTCCAAAACAAAAAAAAAACCAACCCTTTATATTCGATTTCTTCTCTCAAAAAGAATTCTAATGATTTTCGGCAAGATTGAAGAACAACAGCAAGAAGTTCATATAACATGGCTACCCACTGAAAATAGAAAATTTGACTGAGATTTTCGATTCAAATCTTACTTGTGCTAATCGATTTATACTAATATAATAATCGTGTGATTGTAATTTGAATAATTCAATTTCAGCAGTTGCCTTCTCGGATATGATTCTGAAATTTTAATTTTATTTTTGTAACATGATTTGAAAAACAAAAACTTACGTGATGTTCGCCCGCGACAATGCAATTAATAACATGTATCGAGTCACCTGAAACTTTTCAGTTGAAGTATTTCGTTAAAAAATCGAAAACTCACGGTATACGTGAAATTTCGGAAAATCGTGTGTGCAAATGATACAATACAATTACTCGCAAGTTTACAATCATTGTAATTTTCTAGGAAATTGGCAATAAATTTATCATAAGCTGAATTGGCATCGTTTTCAGCATGAGCTCGTAAATCAGAAGGATCAAATTGTCTGAAAATGTAAGTATTTAGAAATTTGGAAATGTTAATCATAAACTAACAATATTTGTTTCAAAAAAGCTCTTCCATAATTGACCATCAAAGAATCGCAATGATTTTCAAGAATTGTTGCTTCATCAACAAATGTTCGTGGTGTTATTTCTTTGAAAATCCGAGAAATCCTTGAAGTCTGAAAACAACTTTAATAATTCTAAAAACTTCGAGGCATGTCAACAAACTTACACTATCTTTGATTGATCTTTCAGCACAACCATCAAACTTTTCACATGGTTGTTGATAAAGAGGAGTTGTTAACCCGATCGTGTCCGACGACGACTGAAACAACATTCGTAAAATGATTTAGGAACTTCAGATATTTTGAATTTTTTCGTTTTCTTTTCCAAAAGAAAAACACATATCTATTAAGAAAACAGAATTAAAACGTGACATAATTCTACACGTTTCAAATGTTTATTTTCTGTCATTTTTCAAATTTCGGACTTGGAAAATGACAGGAATCAGAACTTGATTTGTGCTAGAAACCAGAGGAAACATCAATTATGCTTGGAGGTTAGTTTATTTTTATATTTCTATACTCCAATTGAAAATAGAGATTTGTGAAGTCATCAGGGTTTCATTTATTATAATCTTACCGCTGTATTTTCGTCGGCGAAATGTGATTTTGGTGTCTCGCCCCACTGTTCTTTTTTGAGATTCCATTGTGTGTCCTCTTCAATTGTTCTCGTCCCAAACGTATCTTTTTCAAACTTTTTCCTCCGTTTTTCTCGAAATCGATCCAAACTCAATGCAAAACTTTCAATTTTATCATCAACTAAATCTTTCAAATCAGTCGGTAAAAATTCGATAGCTTCTTCTCGTGTTAATGTGTCGGGTTCCATTAACCACGTTGCATCTGATTTGATATATAATAAACAATATGCTGAAGGAGATGATGCATTTCCATTTCCAAATGCATCATTTTCAACTTGACTCCATGGAACTATTTCGATATTTTTATCGTTTAGTTTTTCCCATTGTTTATCTTGCGCTGAAAAATAGCATTTTCATATAAGATAAAATTCAATTTTCTGAATATAAACTAACAGATAGCATAAGTCCAATAATGTCCACGATTTGCTTCACCAGAATGAATAATAGCAGCGTGAAGACGATATTCAACCTGTTTTAGTTCTTCAATATCATAAGCATTGTTGATTTCTTCCAAAAGCCGCGCATCTTCTTCGATCAAAGCTTTTTCCTCATTTTTCAATTTTTCAAAAATTTGTTGAAGAGTTTGAAGACATTCATTCATCGCAGGAAATTCGTTGTGTGCAATTTCAGGATATTCTGAAAAAAACATATGAGTTGTCAATTCTTCGAATCAATTAAACTTACTAGTTCCCATGTTCTCAATAAACAATGATCCTTGATCTTGTGATGGAGTTGGAGAAACTGAAAGAAATGGGCCAAGAACATTTGGTGATTTTGGTGTTGTTGGTGGCGGTAATTCATTATGTGTGTTGTTTAGAACATTAATAACAGTTTCAATTGTGTCAACAATTCGAGTTGTTTGATTGTTTACAGTTGGATAGTTTTTCAATCCTCTTTGAAGAGCTCGATTTCTTCCCAATATTTCACGATTCGCATTTCTTTGATTTCTTAATTCTAATACTTTCTTCGCGTTCCTAAAATTTTTCAAAATACAAATTAAAACTAGAAATTAGTCAAATGCTCACTTTTTCATATATCGATCCATATACAATGTTCTTGGAAAAACAAATCGGTTGTGCAATTTTTCAGGCATATTATTTTTATAGTTGAATCTTGAGATTCCCATGAAAATTGCTGCGGGTAGAGTCTCGAAAAAGTTTTGAACTTGTGAAGAATCTCCTCTTCCCGTATCAAATGTTGTTGCTTCTAAAGCATCGTGTAAATCACCATATGAAGCTTGAAGATGGAAAAATTGGGGGAAATTTGTGACACGCGTTTCAGGTAGAGAATTCGAGATTTCTGGAATGAAAAATGGATGAATAGGGAATTCAAAAATAAATTATAACGTGTTTTTACTAACCATCCGAATAAGTCGCAGTTACACATGTTGCAGTGAATAACTTCTCCATATTATTTTTGATTAGTTCAAGCGTTTCCATTTCATCAATTGATAATTCTGGAGTTTGAGATTTCGGAGAAGTTGGCAAAAATGGAACAGCAAATTCTGGTTTAACTTCTTCTGTTATATCCATCGGCTCATCATTATATGAACTTTTTGGAGAAGAAACAGCCAGTTTTTTCGAATGGAATGGTATATCAATATTCATTCGAACCGGTGAATTTGTTCTTGACTCAGGTTCTCGTTTTATTGTTGAACATTTTGAAGTACTTTCAATAGCTGTGTATGAAACATCATCATAAGAAGGTGGAGCCATTCCCATAACATCACTATTTGGTGCGATTGCAACAGAATTAGCAGGAATATAACTTTGATCTTCCTCTTCATATTCATTTACTTCATATTTTGGATTGTTTCGTTCGTTCAATGCTTCTTTTATTCCATTATCTAACCAATCAATTATTCTTATAAGACTTTCAGTTGCATCTTGTTGTTGTCCAAGAACACTTGATTCGCTGCTATTACTTTTTCTTGTTAAAGCATCTACAATTTCAAGAATATGATTTGTATCGATATAAGAAGCAGTCGAAAATTGCATTTCAGCAAATTGTGCTCGAAATGCCATTAGAAGATCACGAGTAAGAACAGTTTCTGGAGTAACGACATTAAGTTTTGAAGTGTTTTGCCATTTATATGGAATACAATGATAAATCATTGATCGAAATTTCGGAAGATGATAAAGAATCTGAGCAACACAATTGAACCAACAAGTGTTTCCAGCATTGTGAAGACCAGTCTGAAATAGATTTGAATTGAATAATTGGTGAATTTCGAGAAAAAAAGAACTTACTGATAAATTTGGATTTCTGATCATTGTTTCTAAATCCTCAGGAAGTGATGAACGAAATGTTGACAGATTTGAATTGTTTGATACAGCCAATGATTCTTGAAGAGCCTTTTGAAGATCACGATCCTCTTTATCTAATGGTACTTCATTTTTCGAACGTTGTTGTGGACCATAAGGTATTACTTCAGTAACTTCCATTGAATCAGTTTGAGTCGAAATTTCTGGTTCTGGTTTGTTTGCAACGGTGCTCACTTTGGTTTCTTCTTCTTCGTCCGATGCTCCTTGATCCATACAACGATTTATAATTTCGGAAACAAAATCTGGAGAATTGACGCATTTTTTGTTGTGTTTCTGAAATTAAAACTTCAACTTATTGCGAAAGTTATGCCCACTGAAAGATTTTTAAAAATAAAAATAAAATTTTAAAAATAACTCACGCGAATAGTTCTCAAAATCTTCTTCTCAGCATCCATACCAAGGACTTCCGCCACAGATTTCACAACAGCTTTTTCATCTTCACTAGGCTCTTGTTGAAAAGTCACATTTTTCGCTGGAGGGCTTGCAGGAGATTGACCCTTTATTTTTATTTCAACCATGAGGTTCAATCCTGAAACATTCGAATCAATAAAAACCCAAAAATGAATCACTAAACAATTGCAAAATATTGCTAATCAAGAGCAGAAATATGCGCCAAGAAAGAGGGAAACCACCGAAAAATGATTTTATAAATTTAGTGTTTTCGCGAAGCCAGAAAAAAACAGAAAAAAATGAAGTGAGGCAAACATGCTCTATTGCGCGTTTCAAAAAATGTCGGCGCCTAACACTGGCGCCTTTTTTTGAGGACAAAAATGTTCGACACACTTTGGAGGCAATTTGAATTGTGGGTTTAATTTGCGGGTTGGTTTCTTCGGAAAAAAAAATATTTGAAAAAAATATTTGAGGGAAAGTTGCAATTTTTGGTCCAAGGAGACGAAAAAAAAATTGAATTTCTAAAATTAATTAGTAGATACACATTTTCGACGAAACGAAAAGTGTTGCACTTTGAGTTTTTCTGAGATTTCTGGAATTTTTAATTAGAAAACTATTTTATCCACAATCAGGTGTATTTTTATTTCCGAAAAAATAATTTTTCATGGTCTATGAAGTTTTGAGGATCCTTTTTATTAACAAAAAAAAAGAAACTTCCTTTTTGAAATTGAAATATTTATTGAAAAAAATCACAGACATTTGAATACTGTATTATACGTATACTCGGGATGAATAAATGAATGCAAAAAAAAACACAAAAAATACCCTGAAGATCACTTCTAGCTCTAATTTTCAAACATAGATATTTAAAATGGCATAATGAAAAGTTAACAATTTCTGGAATGAATCAAATATTTGCAGCAATGTGTTAAAAGTTGTTTTCCGTTGACAAGTTGATCATTTTGACGTGTGTAAATATCTAGTCCATATTGACCTTCTCCCGGAAAATCTATTTGAATATAAACCTGAAAAAAACAAATGAGTTATTCATGTTTTTTTTTGGAAAAATAATATAATCCTACCATATCTCCTTTGAGAATAGATCTTGTACATGATTGAAGTTGACGATCATCTGTTCGATTTCTATGAAGTGATGCAACAAATTCAGAAAGTGGTCTAGTCATTCGGAATCTAATTTCAACATATCTTCCAGTATTTATAATAGCATCTGGATGTGATACTGGTAAAAGTCCGAATAATCGAGTTGCTTTTGCAGGACCCCATTCACCTGATGCACATTCAGGAAGTGGAACCATTATAACTTGAAGGGATTCACATAAAACCTATAATAAATATGATAAATGATGAAAATTTAGATTGTTTTTCCCTAAAATGAACTCACTTTAAATTTACAAACACTTTTGAATTTGATTGGTTGTCCAGTTAAATAAGCTCCCGAAGAAACTGAATTGGCAAAAATATCCAAAAGAAGTGGTCGAGTTGATGGAGCATGCACTCGAAATGTAACAATCTGCAAATATTCAAGTTCGTATAAGTTCGGAAAATAATTACAGTATAATAACTTACATCATCTGATACAGATTGCATAACAAATCTTTTCAAAGACATTCCACTAATTGTATTCTCCTCAGAATCGAAAAATTTAAGATTGTAGTGGAAAATAAGAGAATCTCCTTTTGGTGGAAGACGAATTGAAACTGACGAAGCTCCTGTTTTATCGGTCTGAAAAGCAATATTTTATTAGAGGTTATGACCTTTTTTGAAGTTGTACTCACATAAATTGTTGACTCTAATTTTGAATCAGTGAAAGATAGATTATACTTGAAAAATAGTGATCGAACAAATGGTATTCTCTCAAACTGTAAAAGTGACAATGATCTTGGTAATAATTGCCAAGCAGGTTCAGATGGGAAAAATTCATAGATAAATTCTTCTGGATCAGTCATAAAATAATGATCATCGTATTCGTATCGAAGATTTCCATCTGATTTTGCTTCATGTGATCCATCTTTTGCATTTCTGAAAATTCTAGAACAATAACTTATTTAAAAATCTCTGAACTTACACAAGATGTCTTGCTCCCCAATTACATTGAACAAATCGCCAAGAACCATCCAAATAAACAGCATTCCATGTATTTCTGAATCTATGATCATCAAATGAATAACCTGGTTGATATCCAGCTGATTTTGAAAATCCTTTTATAACAACACAATGTAATCCAGCATAACTACACAATCTTTTGAATAATACATGATAACTTTCAGTTCCATATTTAATACCACGTAAAAGTCCCATTGGAGTATCACTTTGAATTGATTCATCAAAAATCATTGTATTCAAATTTTTAATAGTAATCCATCGATATATTGCTCTCGCAACATCAACATCTGATCTTGCACCAGATGATAAAGTTCGAATCAAATCGGTAAATGAGGCGACTTCATTTCTTGCACAATGAATTGCAACTTCATCAATCGATGAAAAATAATCAGTTGATGTATAAATTTCTCTTTTACTACAACTTGGTGGAACTGGAGGTGGCGGTGTTGAAGGATACTGTAGATTACTGTATTCTTGTCTTGAAGCTTTGAAAAGATCCAACATTTCTTTTGCTTGTCTATCAACTAATTCAGCAGTTTGATGTCTTTCACGTTCCTGAAAATAATCATTTTTCTTTCAATTCAAATTCTTTTTTCTTTTTCTTTCTCGAAAAACCAATATTTGTCTGCGTCTCTCATTTTTCTTCACTGTCTAAAAGTGGGCGGAGTCACACACAATGAAGAAGATAGCGCGTTGCGAGTAAAGGGAAACGTCGGTGAATGAGAAGATAGGGGTGAGAGAAATGAAAAAGGAAACAGGCGCATGAAGAAAAACAACCCTCGGCCCGACTCCAATCGTGGGGGCGAAATGAGCTTTTTAACTCGGAAGCCTAATTAATTTTCAATTTTTCTTGAAAAAACAACTCACTCTTCGTTTTGAATGTAAAGTTTCCAATTTCTTTTCTCGTTTTATTGTTAATTGTCTAATAAGATCATCTTTATTGGCTTTGCTCGAACTTTGTCCCTTGTCATATTTTTTCGCGAATTCTTCCAACGCCTTTTCCCATTCTTCAGTATTTTCCTTCTCAAATTCTTCAGCTTCTCGATTTCTTTTATCTTGAAAAGCTTCATATAATTGATCTTCAGCACTTCTATGAAGTAATTCAAGTCTTGTTTGTGCATCATAATCTACAACATATTTAGCCCCTTCATGACTGATTTTTGGATAAGGTCGAGCTACTTGAGTTGCTTTCATAGCATGTGCTATTTTCATATCACTCAAACCAGCATCTCTGAAAAATATTATTGATAATTTGGCATGATTGTTGTTTTTTTTTTGAAAAATTTCCATCAACCGGAGTTCAACTTACATCCAATTTCCATTTTTCATATGATTGTTATTATCAAGTCCATTTGATTGTGGTTTTCCGTTAACCATTGGTAGATCATGAGGTCCAGCAATTGGAACATGGTTTGAACAATAAACTTCTTTGTCATTTATATCATTTCTATTATTACAGTAGGTTTTTAGAGCCAAACGGGTTCCACAAATATAACATTTGAAACAACCTAAAAAATGTTTATTTTATTTTTGAGTTTTAGTCATGAGCTTTTCTGAATAATTATACTAGAAATTTTTTAATTTTTCGAAAAAAAATTCTAAAATTCTACTAGCTCACAATCAAGAAGTACTTCTCAGAAAGCTCAAAATTTTTATTTTTCAAAAATCTTTTGAATCGTAGTTCAGAAAGATGAATTTAAAAAACTCGAGATTCCAAAAAATTGGAACTTACAATTAGTTTCTAGACCATCTTGTGCTATTTATTTTTGGGTTTTTATTAAATCGAGAATTGAAAATATATAAAACTAAATAATTTATTTTAACATTCTATTTCTCTTTTTGAAATTTCAGTTAGAAAATGCTCACCATTATGAAAAAATGTGGAATCCTTGAGCGGTCCAATTTTATCGGTCGGATATACCAATTTTGCACATCGATTGCAATGTTGTTTCGAACTCATTCAACACTTCTCAATTTTATAATTTCACAAACTGATTTTACAAATATGTTTACTTCTCTGTAAAAAAATCAAGATGACCCAAAAGTGTTACACCCTTCAATTTCATTTATAATAAAATGTGAAAAAACGAATATAAATATTTACATACATGATGAATCATTGAAAAAATCAAGAAAAAAACTATATTTGAGAAAGGGAAATGGTATTTTTTTTTTTTTGGAAAAAAACGAAGGTCAAGTGGAATAGAGAAAAAAACATGAATGAGGAAATAGTAATAGGAATAGTTTGGAATGTGTTAACTATTTATGTAGTGGTTGACTAATGGACATATTTATTGAAAATGAAAACAATGAGGTTTTATACTTAGAAATTAGTTAGGTGATAAGGTTTTGAAATGGAAATCAACAACAATTATTCAATTTTTGAATTAGGTTTTTTTAAGTAAACATTTTAGTTTTTGAAAATAATTGTTTTTTACTCGTTGTAATTTTTTAATCTTACGGACTCAAAACCCACTATAAATTTATCTAGATATTTTTTTTTCAAGAACCAATAAATAATGAAATTCTCGACTATTATAAGATTTTGATTGGAAATAACTATACAAGTTGAATGACACACATGTTAAATGAAAATATTTTTTCAATGCCCAGCCAAAAAAAAGTGAGTCATTCATTCACTAACTGTTGTTGGATTTTCAATGAAAAACCGGAAATTTTTTTGATTGATTTAAATAAAATGTGACCCAATCGAATAACTCACAAAAGTATTATGTAATTGTTACTCAAAAAAAAAGGTAGGAAGGAAGAAAAATAGGAAAAAGAGGTAGAAGTGGGTACTGTGGGAAGAAGAGTAGAGTAGTTCAATGTCAAATTGGTGTGAGAAAAAAATCGCGACAACAATAATAATAGAAAAAAGAAGAAGAAGAAGATGTTTACTTGTACCTGAAGAAGGTTATTGTTATTTGTTTTTTACTTGGAACTATTTCACATTTTACAAGATCATTTTCAGAACACAGAAAAAAGAATAGCATTTCTTTTGGAACCGGAAAACATTGAAAGAAAAAGTTAATGAATGAATACATAGCCAACCATAAGATGAATAAGAAAAAGCTGGATATTTGTTATGTATTATAATAATTAGGTATGGTCTTCGAAATTGTCTTCTGACAAGTGGTGTCTTCTTTTTTCATATATGCGCGACATTATAATTGGATTGCCAGAAAGGGCAGATATATTTATTTTGTCGAAAAAAATTGGAAACAAGATTTTTGTTGTGACATAAAACGGAAATTATTAATTTGAAAGAAAAACTTGAAACTAAATTTTGAAATTTTTTTGAAGACAAAAAATTTAATTGAAAAATACTCGTAAAATCCAAGAGATTTTCCACAAAAAAACTAGGTTCAAATTTTTTTTCGAGAAAATACGCCTTTGGGGTAATTACCAAAGATGTTCTTAATACTTTTAGTAAAATCAATTTCAGTCTTACCCACTTCTTTTGATAAAATTAGTATGAAATAATAAAAATCGACATGAATGAACACATCGTATCGTATCATAAATGAAAAGCTAACCACATATATGATCAAAATATATATCTCATCTGATTCTCCTCAATTACAATACTATTTTGTCTAAATTGACTACCACCGATCCGGTTGGTGAACTGAACTTTTTATTTATTGAAAAGTGAAAAAACTTTACACAACACAACAAATATGTATATGGATACATACTTATTATGCATATAATCAAACTAACAAAAACAATTATCGAAAGTTATGAATAGGTAAAAGTTATAAGCTATTTTTTTACACATTTTATGAGGGAGTTTATCAAATTCATTATGGAAAACGAAAACAACAAAAATTTGAAAAATGCAACAAAGAAAAGGGAAAAAGGGAATATACGCCCAAACAATTGAAGATGACCATCAGATTCACTTATCAAAATTTGGAATCTTCGAAAAAACCAGAAAAAAATACGATTACAATCTTTACCCCCAGGTTTTTATTTTCAACCCCGGGTTAAAAATAAATAAACAAATTAGGAATATTTTTTTCGGAAAAAATTCTGGATAATTCGCGAAGTGAAAATTGATAAATACCAAATTTTCTTATACAAACAAGGAAAAACAAATATGTAATTGTAATACCTCGAAAAAATGATGTAAACGAGTCCAGAAAAAAGGGTGAAGAGGGGAAACGAATATTTGTTACGTGATACTTTATGTCGCTGTCAATATATTATATATAAAATCCGGATTAAACCGCGGGTGTTCAGGTAGCAAGCACCACCGCAAAATCGATCGAGAGAGTGACGCTTGCGCTCTTGATCACGAAATTGAAAGGTTTTTATTTGATCATTTGAAATGTCTCTCTTCTTGCATCGTCCGCTCGCTCGCGCGCGCTCATTTCATTTTATTATGCATGTTTTCAAGTACTCAACACAGAATATCCTAACCTCACTCAATTACATACAGGTTCTATTCTATAAACACGAAAAAAAGTTCATCGAAGAAAAAAAGTTTCTCCCCGGCCGGGAATTGAACCCGGGTCTCGCATGTGACAGACGCGGATACTCACCACTATACTACCGAGGACACGTTGTTCGTTGATCAAAATTTTGTAGAGGAAAAAAATGGTGAGAACGAAAAAAAAATAAAATTTCGAGAAAATATTGAACGTTGATGTGGTCATTGTTTATTTAGGCATGGAATATAATAGATGGAGCAATAGTAGGTAAATAAAAATACCAAATAACACTTCAACAACTTTTTTTGGGTATTCAACCGGAATGCGGAAAGGGTTTAGATGTTTTTGGATCGCGCTTTTCAGAGTTTCACCACACCCTAGACTCGATTTAAATCAAACAACAACGAGAAGAAGAAGAAGAAGAAGAAGAAGCACAAAAGGATGAAAATGATTTCGATCGAAAACTGATCTAAACGGTCTTAACTTGACTTTTATTTGTGATTCGGCTTAACGCCTACAAAATCGAGAAAACACAAAAGAAAAAGAGGCAACAAAAATAGAAAGTGGTATCTCCTCTACTGCTGTTTTTTTTGTTCGGATAGATACATTTATTTTCGGCGAAATAAAAAACTGGCTACAATTATGTTCGGTTTATGGTATTATGTGCAAAAAACAATGAATAAATAGAACATGTTTTATAGTGAAAAAATAAATAAACTGAATCTTGATCTTTTTCTGCCATAAAATAAAAAGTAGCGGTTTTTACGATCCGAATTACAAGAAAAACAGAGAGATAAAAAATACAAAGTTCTTCTAAATCGAGATTTCTGGCGGCAAATAAAAAAAACGTCAAAGATAACTTCTGAAGCACACCATCAAATAAATATTTGGATTAGCATTAACGCGCTCACAAATAAATAATAATAATAATAATAATAATAACAATACCAACAAAAATCAATCATCAGCTACGATATATCAATGTATACCTAAAAGTTTTTGGAATCACGCTGTGATTGAAAGGTCATTTGAAGTGTTGCGAAATTATACCTATTGATCAAAAGATTGGAAAATACTAATAAGCCAAAATTGATTGTTCAAGTGTTCTTTCTAAAACTTAGTATTAGGTTAGAAAAATCTACCAAATACCTACGCGATTAAACACTTCACAAATCAAAATTAGTACAATTCAGATAATTCCGACATAAGTCAGATCTACGAAAATTTATATCACAAGAAAAAAAGGGGAACTTTTTCTTATGCAGAAAGTGTGGCTCAAAATTGATTCTGCATATTTTTCATCGGGTCAAATTTTTGAACCCTGAAGAACATTTTTCAAAAAATTTTATGCAAGCATAATTTTCAAAAACAATTTTCACTCAAAATTCCTGGAAAGTTCTATAAATTTTCTAAAAAAAAGTTGATCTTACAGACACACGTAAAATAAAGAAAAACCCGAATTGAAAAAATAAACGAGAGAGTGTTGTGTGTAGAAGAGACCAGGAGAGAGGAGAAGAGAAAATGAGAGATAGAAACGGGGAAGAGAGAACGCCAGACAACACGACGTTTGTGAATTTTTACCAACCCCAAAACCATTTTTCGTTTTTTGACAAAAAATGCTAAAATCGTTCATACTTAATAAAATTTCAAAATTTTTGCTGCAAAAGATAGAGAATTCTTGAGAATAGAGATGGCAAAAAGAAAAACTTTGAAAACTTTTCACCAAACGCCAAAAAACTATGATTATAGCTTTTTCCCCTTATTGCATTTTTTATTTTGATTTTTGATAGCCTAACAAAATGTTTCCGACAATACAAAATTGTGCCTTTTCTCTTATAAAATCAAAAAAGCGGACCATTGGACACAAATAAAAACAAAAAATAAATAAAACACCCAAAAACAGACAGGTGCATGAGAAATTGATCGAATTGGAGGTATACGTAGAAAAAGGGTGCGATGACCTTGAGAAAATGAGAAAAACAACCATTAGGTTATAAAGAAAAACAAAAAGGCGATGGTGAATGAAATTAAATGGCAATTTTGAAGAATTATTTGGTGTTATTTAAAGTTAGCATAACTCTACTCTAGTAAAGAAAGCCACATAATGGATAACATTTTTTTATTATGACGCAACAAAATAAACATTGTAGCGCATAATTAAGTACATACTAACCCCATTTCCTTGCTGATATTAGGAGCAAAAGACAAAAACAATGAAAATGAAATTTTTATTACTCAAAAAGATTCCAAGTTATTTAAATAACTTCCATATTTTCGTCTTTTGTGAGGAATTTGTAGGTATTTGGATTGAAGTCGTCTTCTGATGTCGATTCAAAAGAATGCGAGTCCTGTAGGAATTCTCATTTTTTGAATCCAAATATTGTTTTTGTCTATCAACTTACGATAACTCTGGCACGAACGGCGATGGTCAAAAGGTAGAGACAAACCAAAAAGAAAATTCTCATTTCTGATATGATTTTTGAGATTTCTTAGTTGAGTATTTATATACATTTTTCACATAAAAATAATTTTCAATGTGCATATTAAAATAATTAATGGCATATTATTTTTTATGAATTTTTGTATGAATAATCATAAACCAAGTTAGAAATATTATATACGTAGGCATAAGCAAAAATGAATGTATGATGTATCAGAAACGGTGCCACGTTGGAAACTTTGGATCGAAAAAATGGGTTTATGTTTGTTTGTGTTATTTTGAAAAAGCAGTTAGAAGCTTCGAAATAATCGTTCTCTGTCCCAGTTATATTTTTTTTCAGATGAACCAATTATTTTTTACGAGGATATATTTTTCATTTGGTTTTCTATCTATTTTTGTCTGGAAATGATCGAGGAACATATATTCTATATTATTGATGATACAACAAAATCCAAAAGGTCGGATTCTGAAGTTGAGTTCTCTTTGAAATATTTGTTATTACGAAGCTTTATCTTGATTCTAACTATTCCATATTTGGCGATAATCAAAGTTTTATATGATTTTCGAAATACAAGTTCATTTTTCCGAATCTATTTCATAAACACTTTCATTTTATTCATTTCTTGGTATACAAATGAAGTTGATAATATTTTGTATAGATTTAATGATTCATCAATGTTCAATATCGGTTTTATTTTTTCGTTTATCCATTTTGTTACTTTTTTGTCCTCTTTTTTTCTGAATGTTGTTTTGGTTCTCAATCGCTATTCAGCCACTTTTGTTTCCTATGAAACTATGTGGAATTATCAAATGATAAATATTTATACCCTATTAACATTAATTCTTGGCTCTTTCTTGTCATTTTCTGGATTTTATCAACCAACTTATTATGCTTTGAACAATTCTGGACAATGGATCAGAATTCGTGATGAAATATCAGTAAGACGATTTCGACTAGTTTTATTATTTGTACAAGTAATAACTGATTCCTTATACATTTTATTTTCATGGTTCACTCGCATTAAATTGGAAAAAATGGAATTGCTCAAACGAGCAAAAGAAATGGTTACATTTTGAGATTTAGAAACATTGAAAAAACATAATGTTTGTTTCAGAAAATGATGAACCTTCTGTTGATAAATATTCCAATAATGCTTATAAATGTTTATCATCAACTTAGTTATATACTTGATAGCCCATTTCTTGTTCATATTGATAACGAAGTAAGTTTGAAGAGGGATTTGATGAGTACTAAAGTTAGTATCAATTAAGGTTTTCTCGAGTCCAGGCAAAAAAGTTCTAAAATTTAGAATTTCGAAAATATATCGAGCCCGAAAAAATTTCCTGAAATAAGGTTCAATAAAGTTTCAGATGCTTGGACTTTTCTAGTTCCAGACTTTACTTTTGATAATACTATGTTCGAGTTACTGTAGATAAACACATTTTTCAGTTTGTGATTCTTCGAGTTGTGGTTTATTTTGCAAATGGCTACTTAATTGTAATTTTCAACGAAAAAATTCGAAAAGCCTTAATAAAAACTATGAGTTGCTGGAAAACTCCGAAAAATCATGTGTCTGCAATTTCTTCGGTCAATGTTTTCTGAATCCCTTTCCTATTTAGAAGTCAATGCACCTGATGCTATTTTTTTCCAATAATTTATCAATTTCAATTTTACGACTTTGTTGACCCATTTAAATTGATTTATTTTTTCTGTAAACTGGCTTTGAATTAAAAATTTCATTTCATGAATATTATCATTAAAAAAACAAACAAATAAAGAAAACATAACATGAGACATGGCACAATACACGTAAATAAAAAGCTGATATCAACAAATTATTTGATTATGAAAGGAAAGTTGGGGATAAAACATTAGCCATAATATAAGATTTACTAAGAACTGATGGAGATAAAACACCGGGTGAAAGTATTGCTCCACCAAGAGTCATTGGAGACACAACATCAGGACAAATAACTAAAGGTGATAAAATAAGAGGAGATAAAACATATGGGTTGAAAACATTCGGAGATAAAACATAAGGAGTTAGAATGAAAGGCGCCATAACTAAAGGAGAAAACACATATGGTGATAAAACATAGGGCGAAAGAATAAAAGGAATTCCAACTGTTGGTGAGAAAACATAAGGGGATAGAACTGCTGGATTTAGAATAAGTGGTGTAAAAAGACCAGGAGATAAAACTGTTGGAGCAAGAACATTTAAACCATAGATTGGAGCGAATAAAATTGGAGAAAGAACGGTTGGTTGTAAAACATGGGGTCCCCAATTAATTGCTTGACGTTTAAAACGACCAGTTGAATTTGAAGCAACTTGCTGCAAAAATTGAAATTAGAAATGTTATCAAAAACTTCAGCATATCAACTTGGAATATTATTTTTCCAAGAAGATTATCAAAATTTGATCATCAAAACTTCAACTAACCGTAGAAGCTGGTCCATATGCAATTTGTCTAACCATATCCCAAACCATTTCTTTTCTTTCAAACATTGTCTTTTTTGCATAATCTTTAACATTAAATATATCATCTCTTCCAGCTAATCCTTGTTCAGCCATTAATTTTTCAATTTGTTTCGGTTCCATAATTGCGAATCCTTTTGTATCCATATAATTTTTTTGTTTTTGATTAAATGATTGTTTGATTTCATGAACCATTTCAATCGATTTTTTCGCATTTGAAGAAACAGCCAAATCTAATTCAGGTAGATCAACTGCTTTTAATATTTTAATTGCTTCCTGCACAATTGTTTTTGCACCAGATAATTCCATAACCATTTCAATAACATTATCTCTATCTTTCCCTTTCAAACCAGTACTTTCCAACATTTTCGGAAGCGGTAAAATCTGATCTTCCGACTCGTCATTGTAAAAAGATAAAATGGATGGCGACAATTTTCCGTGATTTTCATTTTTGTCCGGCATAATTGAAGCAAATCGGGGGCTATATTGAAAAAGAGAAATTTTTCACACGTTCAATTATGTTATCATTATAGAATAAAATGAAGATGAAACATTCATGAGATCAATGTCATGGTTGTTCTCCACGTTATGATAAGAGATAAAAGTTGCTAAATATGAACAGGATATTTTATGAAATTCCGTTCAAAACGAGGTTAATGAACCTATTTTTATTGCTTCTTTATTGTTTCTCTTACCTCAAAAATTTGTAGTTTGAATTCGAAGATGATTTCTTTCCAGATCCTTCAATAGCTGACATCAAATCGAATGCTTGCTTGAATATTCCAGGCATTTCAGGCATTCCAGGCTGAAACACAAAATTATATTATTTTGTACAATATATTTGAACAACCTAACCTTATTAAACACATTGAATATTTTTGAAGATTTAATTGGCTTCCGATCCAACACCAAATCATACATTCTCTGATTATACACTCTTGCACCTGGTTCTTTTTCTCTTTGACTCATTTTCTTTTTCAAAGCCAAAATGGCATTGTACGTTTCAGACCATGGTTCTTCACTGAAATATTTTAATCAAAATTAGTTTTTCAATAACATCACAAACTCACGTTTTATTTGCTGGAATTGGTACAACAAACGATTTCAGTAAATCAGTTACTTTTTTAACAGTTGACTTTGAATCAGTCGATTTCAAATCAGGCATCTTTTCCATATTTTTGACAACATATCCATTTGAGTCACTTTTTGATACCGTATCCACAACTAATCTTCTCAAACTTCTTTTCACTCGATTCTTTTGAATTTTCAGAGGTTTTCTCCATTTATTTTTGAATTCAAGATATGATTTTCCTCGAAGTTTAATTGGATTAATTTTTATTCCATTTTTTCGCATATAAATTGAATTGATCTTTCGAATTTTGTTGTCATATTTCTTTGGTTTTGGAACAATTCTGAAAAAAAAAAGAATGCTCAGCATTTATAAGGTTGTCATCAATTTGATTACAGCCGAAACTTATCCAATAATTTCATTGCAAACTCAAAGGGAATTGAACCCTTCACCTTGAACTTGAAGAGATAACATTCTCCCGCCTACACCATGTGGCTTACAAATTTCTCACTCAAAAATGAGAAGATAAAATAACAACAAACCTTGCCGTTTTCCGCCATTCGTCATACTTTTCTCTTGCTTCCATTAAACATTTTGCGGATTCAACCAAATCTTTCATGTCGTGGATTTTATAAAGGCATTTTTGAAACTCGTATTTTATTTCTAAAATTTCGAATAGAATCAATAAATCAGGGAAGTTTTAAGACTTACTCGGAGATAATTTGGGCAACAAATTGCGAGATAATTGAGATATTAAAGCTTTCATTGAATGAACATACCAATTTGTATGGATTGTTCGAACTTTATCAAAACCTTTTTTGTCTAATCGAAATTCATCGAAATCTTTTGGCTTCATTGGATCATTTTTTGCTGAAAATTAAAGAGGAATATTCTTTCATATCGATAGGAACGCATCTTTAATGCTTCAGTTTTTCAAAATCCGAGTATCTTTCAAAACGCCACTCCCTTTTTCAGTATAGTTTTTCTAAACAAGGTGGTAAAATATTTCACTTTCCTAGAAAATGAGATCACTTCTTTCTGACTTCATTTCACAACAAAACTATTTTATTATCAACAAAAAGCTATAAAAATCTTCGATTTCAAAAACTGTTTTTTTTTTCACCCGATAACTTACCTTCAGAAACGTATAAACTGCAGAATAACAATAACATTAATTTGATAGAAGAAGTCATAATTCAGAATGAAAATTTATGATGAAGCAATGTTGCAAACAGAAGCTTTTATATGTCTTGCATAAATATTGGTGAAAATCGAAATCCACAAGAAAATGGGCGGAGCTTTGTGGTCAAAGGGGGACATCGGCGATAGGCATACGATAGGATAAACGAAATAAAAAATATGGATAAAATTCGAGGAAAAAAAGAGAAAATCAAAGATCGAAGAGTTTGTTGACATACATTTTGAGAATTAAAACTTGAAGAGCCAAATAAAAGAGCCAAATTGAAAATATTTTTTATATTTTAATTTTCAAGTTTCAATAAAAATTTCACTAGACTTTTGAATGAATTACAAAAGAATCGAGAATTTGATATTCAATTTCTCTTCAGGGTTTTTGAATATTTCAACCCCGTTCTGATTAATTAATTAATTATCTTTTTCATTTTCCAGATGTCCCAATCTCCTGCTGGGCGTCTTTTCATCTGGTCTTTTTTCCGAAAAGGACAGACAAAAAGGATGTTCATATTTCAAAAAAGATACAGTATGAAACTGATCAAAGATATTTTTCGATGTGTGATTCTTTCAATGAACTAATTACAATGTCACAGTTAAATAATGATCTTGAAAGATCATAAAAATTTGAAGGTCAACACTAAAATAACATTCGAGATTGTGACTGGATTTTGGAAAACCAATAAAAATCTGAAACTTTCGGATTAACAAAAATCAAAAAATGATTCAAAGTAGTGTTGTCAGGAAACGAAAAACGTAATTTTTGAATTTCGAGAAAATTATGTGTTTAAAAACAAATGAATAAATATTTTTAAAAAAATAGGTGTTTGATATTTCTCAAATCGACTAGGGGCGGTTCCCCTAGGCGAAACAGTCAGAAAATCCTCAAAAATTCTAAATTTTGAAAAAAAACCCTGTTTTTCGCAAAAGAAAAAAAAATAAATTCAAAACAAAAATAGAAATCGCGTGCATAAAACCATTTAAAAAAAATTAATCTACCCATGAAATGTTTCATAGTTTGTTTTTCAATAAAATCTGGAAGCTGATCCTATACCATCAAGTGTAATTCAGAGCTCCATCTAATCATTTAAACATAGTAATTTATAAACAACTTTCCTTTAACATCAATAGTAATAATTGGATTAAAAACTTTACCCAATATTTTTCAATGAAGCTTAAATCTCACCTGTTAGTTTGTTTTTTTCTCCCCCCCCCCCCAAACCTCAAAATAAACTAACTTGACTGGCCCGTTCCGTGAAAAGTTTTTGATATCTTCAAATGTCCTGTCCAAACGAAACATCTTCTTTTTCGAAAGCCTGAAACTTCTACATTAATTTTTTCAAAATCTTCGCCTATTCTTAAACTTACATCAGAAAATGACAATTCTGGATTTGATGGGATCCCTGCATTCTATGACGGTTGTCTCTAAAAAAATAAGAACATTAAAAAATGTACCAAACCACCCCATTATTAACTTTTTCTGCGCTGAAAAAAACCACTCAAACAAAAACCAGAAAAAAAAACAAAAAATAAAAATGTCGTGCAAAAAAATAAAAGAAAAAGCAACGATACTCCGCGTGCGCGTTGTTTATCGTGTTTATTTTGTTGTTTTTTTGCAGGGTAGAAGAGAGAGTGTGGGAAATGGAGAGAGGGTTAGAGAGAGAGAGATATATATGTTTTTTATTTTAAAAGAAATTATTGAATGAACGTTTTTTTTCGAACTGAATCATTTTTCTGATATTTTTCAGCGCAGAAAGTGTTATTAATGGGGTGATTTGGCACATTTTTTAATTTTCTTATTTTTTTTAGAGACAACCGTCACAGAATGCAGAGATCCCATAAAATCGACAATTGTCATTTTCTGATGTAAGTTTAAGAATAGGCGAAGATTTTGAGAAAAAGAATGTAGAAGTTTCAGGCTTTCGAACAAGAAGATATTTCGTTTGGACAGGACATTCGAAGAAATCAACAACTTTTCACAAAACGGGCCAGTCAAGTTAGTTTATTTTGAGGTTTGGGGGAACAAAACTAAAAGGTGAGATTTGAGCTTCATTGAAAAATATTGGGTAAAGTTTTTTGTTCATAATTACTATTAATATTTTCGGAAAAAATATCCGCCGTTGTTACAAAAATTCGGAAAAAATATTTCTATACGAATTGTACACTGGGCGATTTTATTGAATGGTAGAAATATTTTGCTTTAAAAAGTTTTAAGAAATATCGCTTTTGGATTTTCATTCCATCAAAAAAGTTATTCGTGTGAATACGTGTTTTAGACTTCTGAAATTTTATTTCGTTTTAAAATTTTCCGAAATTTTTTTCCGCTTCAATATGGTTCAACGTCCAAGAAATTAATAGACCTGATATAATTATAAGATTCAAACGTTTTTTGCTCAAAAACATGATCAAACCTCAATATCTAATTCTCGTGCAAATTTTGAACTTTAGCGACGCAAAAATAGCTAAATTTGATTATTGAAAGACAGCTGAATATTTGCAGTTACTTTGTGCTTGTTTCGGTTTCTTGGAAACAAAAAATGCTCGTTTCCAAGAATTATGTCCTTTTTTTCTTCCTGATTAAAAGTCATTTTTTGTTCCTGGTTTTCATTAAAATTTAGAATTTTCTTTTGTTTAATTTTAATTTGATTACAGTTTTTCCCTAACTTTTTAACAAACATTTTCAGTGAAATAGAATGTGGTTATTTGTTTTATTTTTATCAATATTTATTCTGTCAGTATTTTGTTATATTCCAATTATAAAAGAGAATCCAACAACAACTTATGAACCTGATGTTATTTTTGAACCTGTTTCAAATTCGATATTTGATAAACTCAACGCAAATTTTCAGAATATTTTAAGATTTATATCCGATAAACAAGTGGAAACTAGTGTTATTTATCATAGTTTTGAAATTGCTTCTTGATAAATTTTTATTGTTGAAAAATATTTGTTGATTTGTTGATAATGCAAAATGAAATGGCGGAATTTGGAAAGTGTTACATTTTGATCTATACAAAATTTCTCAATCGAAATCAAAAACATGATATAATCGGTTCAAAGTTTATGTCATCGACTAATCCTATAATCCAATTTTATTCTCACGTTCCCAAAATGTACCGAAACTGAAATCTGTTTTGTTGAATCGGTCAAGGTCTGTCAAATTGAGACTAAGCCAAGACAAAATTCAAATTTTTTGATTATGATGAAGAAAAAAGAGATTTATGACACCTTTCTCTTTTTTCTCTCGAAAAAGAAGAAGAACGAAGTGAAATGAAAAGAAAAAAGTGATGTACCGTATTCCTTTTATGGTGACAAAAAAAAAATAAAAATGACGTGATCGGTTCGAAACAAAACCCAAGAATCATTAATTATTTTTACATTTCTATCTCCATTTTTGCAAGGTGTACTTATTTTTTATTACGACGGAATGAAAAAAATTGGTTTGGAGGGATCAAAATGACGTCATTTTTTTTTCTGAAAATTACTGAAACTGATAATAAGCGTTGATGAATTCTAGTTCATGACGTAACAGGAGAAAGTTCAAGTATCAGAAGATCGTTTTTGCAAAGTATTTCCTGGGTTCACAATTAAATTTTCCATCAATCATGAAGTTTTTTCGAGTATCTTTTCTTACTGTATTTTGGCCAATTATCAAACTCGAATGATTTTTCAAATCCTGAAATCCAACATAAGAACTCGCTGGAAATCTATCAATTAGATGTAAGCCTTTATTTTGGCCTTTGGTGGTAAGACAGGAGTCTAGTTAGGCTAACTGAGATATTTAATTTTGAAATCTACATTCCCAATTGTTGTAGAAACTGAATACGTTGGCTGAAAGTGATGAAGATTTATTATTTTCAAATTCCGCAAAGCATTGATCAATTTTTGAGGTTGAATGATTTAAAAAATAAGTTCATTCAAGTACGGTATTACTACAGTAACCCAAACGAATGAGGAATCTTTAAATTAAACATTTTTGAGAAAACAAACGTTCTACTCCGATCCCAGAGAAAATTTTTGAAACGAACTCCATATGAACTTCATTTATTATTTAAAATGAGCAATAGCAAATGAAGCTTATTTGTTGAATCTTTTGATCGATAGACCAATTGTATTATTCAAATAATTTAAATTTCTCGGAACATTATGGAATTTGTCGTGAATCTGGATCACCAATGATTAAAAATCGAAACAAAGAAGAATACTGTGGAACATAAAAAAACGTTTAATTGTTGGTTCAAACCCATTTTTTGATTTCAATGAAATCTTTATCGTTTTATCGTTTCCCATATTTTTCTCGAAGTTGAACTTGAATCATAAAATACTGAACATGACCTTTTAGGGAAAACATCAATCATTTCAAACACTTTTTATTGTGTGAAACAGTCCGGGGTTTTTGATAAATTACCACGTTGAACATCAATTGATAAATGATTTCTGACTGTCTGAGAGAATTAAAATAGAACTAGAGAGGGAGTTTAAAAGGTAATTTATTACATTGAAATTTATTTCAAATTTTCAATTAAAAAAAAAGAGAAACTTAAGGTACCCATCAAAAAATAACAATAAAAATCTAAATAGCCAGAACATCTCGTGTTGAAATTTTACGTGTTCTATTTATGCTTATTTCTCGAATTGTTGCTTGTGCCATTGCTCCTAAAAGTACTTCTGGGCAAGAAACAAATGCAATTTGATCATTTTTATATTTTGCACATAATTCTCGAACCTATAAACTGGTTCATTGAATTCGAACTTTTTATCAAAAACAAAAAATACCTTTTGTTTCAGGCTATCATTTGTTGTAACCCAAATTGTGTAAACACCTTCAGCATTTCGATCCAAACATTCTTGAAGCATTGGAAGATCAGTTGATGAATCACCACAAACTAATACATTTCCATCTTTCAAATCGCATTTCATTTTTTCACATAACATTCGAAGTCCATCTCCTTTGTCAAATATTTGTCCATCAATTTTGGTTTTCAAATAAACCTTAATATCCAAATCAACCAAACTCAATTGCAAAGTTACTCCAGTTGGATCAACTTCTTTGATAATTTTCTCAATTTCCTCATATAATCTTTTGCTCATCTCATCGCTCACACTTTTATAAACATCTTGATGTGCAATTGTCAAATGTCCATAATGTTTCTGTAATCCAGATCCAACCCAAGTAAACATTCTAAATTCTTTGAGTTCCAAAAGATGTGAGATTTTTGCAAAAGCTTGATCGAGAAGACTCAAAACTGCTTCACTAATTGAAGTATCCTTGAATTTATTTGTTGGATCAATAAACCATTCTCTTCCAGCAGAAGCACCCATATAATAATGACCAAATGGAATTGTTGAAACATCAAGAACACCAATATGCATTAATGGAGCTGTTGTTAAAATACAACATGTTTGAGCACATCGACGAGCAAATTGAGCCTGAAATTTGAGTTTTTTTTTTTAAATAAATTTTTGGAATTTTGATAATTTACCTGAATAACTCCAGAATAAGCTGGTTGAATACTAGATGGATAACTACATGAATATGATTTAAGTGTTCCATCTCGATCAGTGAAGAAATAATGAAAATGATCAGCTTTGTACAGCAAATCAACGGCCTAAAAATTTTTTCAATTTTTCCTCACAAAAATAAATATTTTAAAAACTTACATTTTGCACTTCTTTTTTATATACATCGATAGAAATTGGATGAGAACTGATAAGTGTCTGAAAAAAACAATATATTTGGAAAGTTATTAATTTATCCATGCATTATGTATGTAAACAAAAACAAAAAATAAAAGGAAAAATATTTATTGATATATTGAAAAAATGATTATGTAAAGTTAAGGGAATGAAACCAAAAAAGAAAGAAAGAAAGAATCCTGGGCAGAAAAAATGGGCAAATATTTTAATAAAATTATTATTTTTTATTACGAATCATATCAGCAACCCAATTGATTCCATCCGAAACACCTTCATTTGTTAATGCTGAACAAGCTTGAACATGCCAGCTACGATCACGCAATTCCGTCAATTTCAATCTGTATTTTGTTTTTAGTTGTTAAAAATATTATGTTTCAATTATGAGTGTTGTTTTATTCTGGTCTCAATTATATTTTTTAAAAAATGGTTTCAATTATTTCGCTTATGTAATTTCTTTTTCAAAAAATTATTGAAAACGTGGGAGCGGGATGGAACACACGTGCACTGTGACGCACAATTACACAAAAAAAAACATCTGCCAACAACAAATATCAAATATGATTGTATGATGTGTTTTTGGACAAAAATAAATTGGCTTAAAAATTAAATTTCTAAATTTTTGGGAAACCCCGCTCCAGATGTCTCTCAATCTATATTTTTAAATTGATAGAAAACCGGATACACCTGATTACTCTTATTAATCTGTATTTATTTTAGATTCATTATTTTCCTATTGTTTGTGGTGTTCTCACGATTATTTCTTTTCTAATCATGTTTTTAAAAACAAATTTTGATTATAGAGTTCATGAAAATTCGTATAGCTAACTTATAATTATTATGAGTCAGTCATTTGAATTTTTTTTTCCAAGTGAATTTTTTTCCAATTATCACCTGTCATTTTTCAAAAAAAAAAGAAGCTTACCGAACCGAAATTTCGGAAGCCTTTGCGGCTGTTGCCAAATCTTGTTTGTTTGCCAAAATCAAAACTGGAACATTTTTGAGTTTCTCTTCATCTAAAAGTTCGCTTAATTCGACGCCAGTTTCATCGAAACGTTTTTTATCATTACTATCGATGACGTAAATAAGAGCATCAGTATTTTCGAAATAATTGCTCCAAAATGGTCGAATAGCTCTTTGTCCACCAATATCCCAAACATTCAATCGAATATCTCCACTTGCAGCAACTGTTTTTACATTGAAACCTTTTGTTGGAGTTACATTCGAAATATCTTCAGTTGACAATTGTTTCAGAATAGTTGTTTTTCCGGCATTATCCAATCCGAGAAGAAGAATTCGAATTTCTTTTCCACCCGGCGATTTGAATGATTTGATAATTTCCAAAAGTCCCATTTTCGAATACAAAATAATAACAACAAGTATATGAAAAGGAAGAAGGAAAGAAGACAGAAATGAAGGAATGAAATGAGCTTGGTTGCTATGGGATTTAAAGAGGGTTGCTATGTTATGAAGAAATAGAGTGGAAAATCGACTGCGCGAATGAAAAACGAAGAAGCATGGCTTAAGAAGATATCATAACTAATTAGGCTTCGAGGTTTCGAAATATATATAAAAAATTAAAATATAAAGGATAATGTTAAAATAAGAACAACTGTGCAAATAAATTTTTCAAAAAAGGTCAAAAGGAAAAGAGCTTAGTGAGTCTCTAGAAACTTCTCTCAGAAGATTTTTATGACGTGGAAAACTTCTAACATTTCTAGTATTTATACCTGAATAAAGAGAAAACGCGTTGCTAATTTATTCAAAATCAAAACCAGAAGCTCAAAAACGGTGTCTAAAAAGACACATTCATTATGTTAATTGGAATGTTCGATGATCTTTTGAATTCCATCAAAGTACTTTTGAGACATAAAAGGGCCCTAGGGAAAAAAACAATTCGACTGGAAAGCCTCAAAAACATGTGTTTTTTAAACAAATCCTTGTTCCGTTTGCTGTTTTTTTTCTTTTTTTTCATTCACAAACTTATCGTCCACTTCAATTCCAAAGCTATATAAATATCCATTTTCGAATTCCAGGATTCCATTTCATTTCATTCAAGTACATATTTCAATTGATATCTTTTTTTATTTAGGTCAACTTCACTTATCAAGGTCGCTCTTTTTTTTGCAGTTTATTCACTGGTAGGTGAGAGATGACTTCGAATATTTTCGGTTTTCTATTATTTGTTTGTTTGATTTTGAAAGGAGTTCAACCAAGTGCCGATATTTGTGAAATTTTGTGAGTTCTAGTTTGAAAATTCGCAAATTGTTTTTTTTTTCAAAATTCAGAGATGCAAACTATTGTTTCTATTTCTCCGATTCATCTTGCTATATAAACTTATGTCAATGTGATGCTTGTTCAAAACCAGATGAAGTTCAAAGTATTTTGTTAGATTCTGATTCTCCAACAAATTCAACAATCGAAAAAGAGAAATTATGTCCAACTTGGTGTCCACATATCAAAAATAACGACACAATTTTGAATATTTTGGGATCTTCCAATCAAACTTCAGAACTTCAAGAAATATCATTCGAATGCGAAGATTTGGAGAAGAATTGTCTTTCTCATTCTGGTTATAATGGACATTGTTATTTCTACGAAAAACAATGTGGTTTCAAACATGCAATTGCAATGAGAGGAAAAAATAAAAAAGACCAAAATCAATTGCAAAAATGTGTGAAACTTCAAAGAAAATGTCATAATAAATATCCAAAACATTTTGCCTGTCGACAATTGAAGAAAAAATGCAGAGGTGTGAAACTTCCACAAATTACTTCTAATGACAATTCTACGGTAAGCTTTTTCTGTTTTCTAAGAAAATGTGTCCTAAAACAGTATTATTCAGATAATCAGCAATTCCACAACTCAAAAATCAAATTGTCCACTCGAACAATGCATCAACTTCCAAAAAATATGTTTCAACAAATATCCAAAACATTTCGCGTGTCGTCAATTCAATCGAAAATGTCAAGAATATTCACTTCCTCCGTTGAGTTCAACAATTCCAACAGCAACAGCACAAGTTACAGTAAGACCAAAGAAATTACACAAAAAATCTGGCAATTCGACAATTATTATCACAGCTGGTGGACAATTTGTGAATTCAAGTTTAGTTGAAGATATTTTGAGATTATAACTTGAAAAACAATAAAAATTAATAATTAAAACTGAAAAAAAGTAGAAAACATGGAAAAAAAACCCCTGAACTTACATCAACAAATTGTTCAACATTATCCGCATCTTCACTTTGAATATATCGAATAAAATTGAGATCTCTTTCGAATTCCAGCAATTCATTATCAATTTCAAAATGAGCAAAATCCGGTGAATCAGGACTTGATTTCAAAACAGCCGTGTGAGTTCCAGGTTTACAAGTGTTTTCCAATGATTCTTTCGCATTCCGAAGACTAATTGAAAAATGTGATCGAATTGGAACTCCTTTCAAAACTCTCGCAACAATTTGTCTTCTAACATCTCTCGATTTCATCATCAAAGAAAAGAAATCATCAAGTGTATCGATTTGTGTTGGTCTAATAACTTGATGTGTCCAACTTGGGTCCAAAAATGCGCTGCTCCATCTTTCGATATCATTTGCCATTATGAATTCATGTAGACGTTTTCCATGAATTGCTCGATTTTCTTCACTTTCCAAAGCGGCTTCATAAAAAGTATCACAATATGCCTGAAAAAAGGGTTTTTGTATGAAAATAAATATATTTCGCGGGTCTAAAAATGAAATTTCGATTTGAAGACTTATAGAAATCGAAAGGCCTTTTCCTAAAAATAAAAAAAATCCTACCTCTTCATCGAATAAATTTGAAACTCGATAATAATTTTTCTCCCCGTCATCTTTATAAAGTCCAGCAGTTGTGAATTGTATTTCAGATCCAGCTCCAGTTGAAAGAACAAGACCAGCTCGAGGATTACAAACAAGCATTTCTTTCGCGACCAAATTCATTCCATCTTTTTTCGGGGTAACAACTCCAATATCCATTGCTAGATAAGCAGCAACAAGTTCACTTCTTTGCATTCCTGAATAAATTAATTATCAGTTTCACTTTAATATTGAAATTCAGACTAACCATCAGTTTGGAAGATTAATGGTTTCCATTCTGGATTATTTTGATCTTTGAAAATTCGATTAATTTCATCAGCCAAATCAATACATTCATCTTGATATACTCGATAAGTATCAACACTTCTTCGATTTGTTACAGCAATTTGATATAATACATCTTTTCCAATTCGATCTGGATGTTTCTCAAAATACCTTTTGTATGCTCGCATTTTCTCCATAATTCCTTTTGTATAATCAAATCTTTCAACCGAGAAAAAGAATCGAGCATCAGCGGGTGGATTTGATCCCAACACTCTTTTTCTGATATCATTTTTGAGTTTTGTGGTTTCCGGCAAATCAACAAATTTCAAGAAATCATCATTTTTGATACTGACAGGGAAAACACCAAGAGAACATGTCCAATTCTCAAATGTGACCATATGAATATCAAGTTTATCATCATATGTAACTTTTGCTCCTCGAAGATATTGTTTGACTAATTCCACATATTTTTCACGATCTCGATGTGTTTGAAATCCAACTTTTGTGAAACGAAGTAATCCACGAAGAACCGCAAATCCAACAGTTGCATATTTTGTGAAAAAAGAATCTGGTGGTTGAAATGGAATATGAAGGAAAAATCCAACTTCGAGTTGATAATCAAGACTTTGCATAATCATTCCAGTTAACATGAGATGATAATCATGAATCCAAATAAAATCTTGTGGTCGACTATTTCGAACAGCATCAAGTGCAAATTGATAATTAACACGAACATAAGCACACCAATGTGCTCTAAGATTTTTAACATCATCATATTCGCTAACAATATATTCAGGTAAATTATGAAGTGCTGGCCATAATAATCCATTACTAATTCCACCATAATAAACATTATAATCATCTTCTTGAACAACAACTGGATTTAATTTATAATTTCCACGATTATAATTGTTCAAAACTCCTAACAACGACATCTCTTCTCTAAACAAGATATCGAATTTAATTCAGTTTGATTTTTAAAAAACAAACTTACCTAGCCTTTTTCTGTTTTTCAGTAGTCGCTTTATCCACGTCATCATCAGCTAAAACATGAAAAAATACTTCTGCGATTGTTTGTTTGATTAATGGAAGTCCGAGTGTATTTGTTGCTGGAGCAAGAGTTTCAGAAGATGCACTCAATGAATCACGCTTCTTTTTCTTATCATTTATATTCATTCCAAGATTTGCAAGCCAAACATTTTCATGATCTTTCGACATAACTGGATCAACACATGCAACAAGACCACCAGATCTGAAAATTTAAATCAAAAAAATTTGAAAATAAAAAAAAACCAATAAAAACAAACAAATTCACTTACCCTTGCTTGATCTCCCAATCTCCAGATTTTTCACGCTTCAAAGAAACTGGTGGAGCGTTTGAGACATTTATAACACGTTGCTGAAAATACAGAAACGTATGTTTTTTCTCAGATATTCTAAACTTACATGAAAATGTGAATTTGCCAAACCACCCGAAGTAATAGTTGGATGTTCATCATCTTCATTATCAGAATGAGTATTTGATCGAATAAATCCTTCTTCAGTATCACTTTCATTACTTGAAATACTACAAAGTGACGTATGCGATCCATATCTCAATATTTTCTTTTGCAAATGATGAAAACGTTCACCGAATTGTTTTGCGTGTTGACCGAGTAATGATTTGCGAATACCCGGAACTGCAGCATATAATTCTCTGTAAAAAATCAAGTTTTCCTCAATATTTGTCTTTATTTCACTTACTTCAATCTATTTTTTCCCGTGTTCACATCATACAAAGTTAATGAGAATAGAAGAGCATCTCGGAATTTGGTACCTCTTGAAAGATCCGAATCAAAGATTGCTGGAGTTGAACCTCTCCAAAATTGAACTGTGTTAAAACCTAGTGTTGAAATGAGAATTTCGAAACAAATGTGACCGTCGAAAACATGACTGAGACAATATTCAAGAATCAGAAGAAGACCCTGAAACAGTTCAACTTTTTTTTCTGAAAGAAGAATGAATAGTTACGAGTATAAATAGACGAAGAAGATAAGCTTTTTAGAAAAAAAACGGAGGTCAGCACTTTTTTCAAAATATTTAAGCTCGAAATGATCTTTGTGCACATGAAAATTGACGTGGCCACGTATCTATCTAGTTCACGTAGCCAGGGAAAAAGAAAAAAAAATGAAAGAATTTCGTCATTTCTTGTGTTTGGTGTGTACAGAATTGGTTGCGGACTTTTTTGTTCACAGTAGTCTCTTATTTTTATTTTTTGCAAAAATTTGAGAAAAACTTTTGAAAGGTGGGTTTTCAAGGAAAAATTAAATCGAATTCATCGAAAAATGTGTTTTTTCAGATGCAAAATTTGCTGAGTCACCAAGTTATTCAAAAATCTCACCTTGAATGCAATTTCCGACTGACGATCGCGTTTTTTCCAAGCCAAAGTCAAAGATTCAAGACAAGATGAGAAAAGTTCGTAAGTTTCCGGGGTATTTATATAATTTATGTTCAAAATATCCAAAATATGGCCAAGTTCCTGTAAAAAGTTAGTAGCATAGTTTTTCTTTAAAATTTCTATATTTATTTCTAACTTTTTGCACAGATTCTTTTGTAATAACTTCATCTTTTGATAATCTTCCAAATGGTTCTCGAGTTTTTATTGTCACAATTTCCTCGTCCGTCATCCTTAAAAAAACTCAACTTGTCATAAAACTTATCTTATCAACAACAAAAATAGATAATCGACAAAAAAACAAGTACCCTTCAAACAAAAATATAAAAGACTAACAAGTAACAATTTCAGGCAAACAGATACATACTTACTTGAAAAAGTAAACAAATAATTTGAGATAGAGAGTGATAAAAACCGAACTATTGTGCAAATAATCCGAAAATTAGATAAGAATTTGTAGAAAAAAACTGAAGAGGTTAAAGTTTTATTGACACCACATGTGGGAAACATGTGAGACTTTTTTGTTTGAAAATTCGACTTATTGTTTGCAAAAAATTTCAAGGCTAAATAGTAATAGTTTTGAAAATTTATAAAATGTTCGAAATTAGAAAAGTTAGATAGAAATTGAAATATTACATATTTTCGGATCAGAAAAAATTTTAATTAAAAAAATTAAAAGTAATGTGAAAATGTTCAACAACTAAAACTAGAAAAATTGAACCCTGAACTGAACCAAACTAAAAACTAAAGTAAATAACTAACAAAGTAGTATTATCATAACAGTTTTTGTATTCGTAAGAAGAGGAGAGAATGATATAACAGTAAGTAAGTAAAAAAACAGAGAATGACGATGATACGCAGAAAAAAAGAAAGAAAAAACTGTCAAGACAGATAACAGGTTGTTTTTAGCAGCATCGACCAAAAAAAGACAACACATTGTCTTGACGTTTCACTTTTTGGTAGGTAAAATTGTTCCATTAGTGGTTTCAATTATCAATTTCAAACTATTAGGTTAGTAAAATCTACAAAAAAAATGTGATCAACGTTTTCGTGATAAACGACGAGTTCAATAAAAAACACAGAGTTTATAATTCTTTGCTCCTGGCACAATTGGTCAAAAGATAAAATGAAGCAGAGAAAAACAGAAAATATGTCACCTGTTCAATTCATTTTCGGATATATTGATCTATCATGATAAATATATTTTCAATGATTTGCATATTGTCGAATTTGAAAAATGTGGCAGCCGTAAAAAATGAAAAACAGTGCAGAGCTGAATGAATGACAAAGTCATTACTTCGTCAGTCGCGTGCGGCTGTGCGTCGCGGCCAAAAAACAAAGGAAAAAATAAATAATTGATTGTTTTTCGACCGCGACGCACAGCCGCACGCGACTGACGAAATAATGACTTTGTCATTCATTCAGCTCTGCACTGTTTTTCATTTTTTACGGCTGCCACATTTTTCAAATTCGACAATATCAAGGTCGAATTTTTTAAAAATATTGTTAATTTGAACAAGATTTTTCAACAAAATAAAACAAGAAACTGATAAACTTTCAATGTAAAAAAGAGAGGAACTAGAAAAACTCTTGGTCGAAGAATATTATTGTTCGACGAATAGATTTTTTCATTCAAAAAAATGAAAAATGCAAAGCTCTTTTTGTTCTCTGAAAACATAGAATGTTTAGTTCAAATTCGTAATTTATAGACATCATGTGAATTTCAGAAAAACCGGATTGTGGTTATTTAGGTCATGCAACATTGATTATTCAAATTTTACTGTTGAATTTTTGAACTTCAAAACAATTTATTGGAAAAATTTATCAAAATATTTACAATTGACAAAATATACAATTTTTATTCGTTTGCTGGTTTAACTTGGATTGACATTCCTTTTTGCATTTTTGATATTTTCATTTGAATATCTCTTGTACCATGTTGAGTGAATTCAACCATATATCGATTATTATCATCAATTGGTGGAAGAGTATAATTCGAGAATCTTCGACCATTTAATCCATGTTCAGTTGAAATACTTTGGGAATGTGAGAATGTTGCGCGTCTTCCGCCAACCGATAATTCTTGTATTGGAACTTTTTTGACACTTGAAGCTGAATGTGAAATTTGTCGTTTAGTAGCTTCTTCATATTTTGGTGGTTCTCCTTCTTCTTCAATCACATTTAAGACATCTTTATTCAATCTCCATTCATCATTTGATTCGTTATGATGTTCCTAGAAAAATAGAAAATTGATTTACTTGAACAAAAAAATATAAGTATTACCTGAGAAACGAGTGAGATTGTTGACTGACGTCGTGATTTGTGATCATTTTCATTTTCGCTTTGATTATTATCTTTATATTTTTTGGCAACATGTGCAAATGAACCTTGTGGAGCTGTTCGAGAAGTTGAACATGTGTAAATAGCAAGAAATCGGGAACGAGTTTTTCGGCTGATTGTGATAATTGCAATTGGTGTTGCTAATGTTGCAATCAAAACACAAAAATGATATGCGCAAACAGTTACCAAAGGAGAAATACAGAAAAATTGGAAAAGTTGAGGAATGAGCATTGCAAATTCATAAATAGCAAAAAGAAGACTGCAAACAAGCATAAGTTCACTATCTCCATGAATATCAGCTCCTTCAATATTTCCAACACTTTCTCTTTTTTGTTTTGATGATCCAACTCGAACTGAGAATATAATCAGAAGAATTATAATAATTGGAACAACAATTCTGACACGTGTTAGAAGTTCAGTGAATATTGAACTGAAAATATTTGAAGTCGCACAAATAACTCGAATACATCTGTCATCTCCAATATGAGAATCACATTCGAAAAAAGCAGAGAAAAATGCGAAAAGAAATGAAAGAATCCAAGATGAGATAACAGCATAAATAATATAAGAACGACCCCAATCAACACGACGAGTTTTGTTGTTCCAATAAAATTTGAAGCAGAAAATTGCGAAAAACATAATAAATATGAGAAGAGAGTAATTGAATGCATGATCAATCCAAGCAATTACAGCATAAAGTTGTAATATGAAATCAGAGTTCTGCAACAAATTAGTTTTTTATGGCTTCGTAAGATCAGCGACAATTTTTTCTTGATATTGAACTCACTCTAGATCTTTTGACTAAATGATGAACAGTTGCGAGAAAATGAAGAGAATTTGTAATACAAACTAATGCTCCAACCAAACACATATGAAACAATAATGCCATTTTCATTCCCCATTTGAATTTTTTGATTGTATTTGCTACAAGAATATTTGATCCAAATGCAACTATCAACAAAATAATATATAATGCAAGAACCAATCCAATATAATCATCAGATGTTTCACTTGTTTTTTGTGTTGTTCCAGTTACTACTGTAGGTGGTGTAGCTGTCGGGAGTTCCCATCCAACAGTTGAAGCTATTGGCATTTTTGTGAACCAATTCCATCCATCATTTCCATTTCCTTTGAATTCATCATCTTTTTCTTCTTCAGATGATGTTTTCGTATTTGTTTGTCCATGTCCCCACATTTCATGTCCATCTGGATGTCCTTCCGAATAATCTCGAGGATCTCCCGGATACCATTTATTGGTTTCTGAAAAAATAACCGACAATTGTTTTTTCTTCCAATTAAGTTCGACTTACCTTCAATTTTCGAACCATAAGGAAAGAAAAATGTTATAACCCTCGTGATTATTTCCGTCTCCACCATTTTCAGACAACAGAAATATCAGAAATGAGATTGAGAATGAGCTTACAAGTATTGGGCGTGTCACATGCGCTTGGCAACCAAGTTGTTATTCGTATAATTGTGCCACAAGGTATAATATATTTAAGAAAACGGAAAACACACGAATATTAGACTACGGTAGAATGTACTATTTGTGAAATTGGAATGTCTAGGTGTATAGTTTTGATGGTGATCTACGAGAAGTTTATAGATCTCAATTATATTAATTTTTCGCTTGAAAGATTTGATATATTATTTTGAAATTAACTATTTACGTCACAATATTTTAATTTTTGAAAATTATTTCTAAAAAATGAGACGTGGCAATAATTTTAATTGTTCATTCCATAAAAAATCTAAATTATTTTTTTAGGAATATATCTTCCAAAGTTATTGAATGTCCAAAAATAACCACAGTCAATGATTCTAAAAATAATGTGTGTTTCCAAAATTTTGGAAATATTCGGTCTGTACCAGGCTTTTCTTTTGTTTGAATTCGTTTACGATTTATTAAAGGAAACTTCCAAATTGAATTCCAAAAAAAATTAGACTTCCAGAAAAAATTGCTGCTTTTCCGATCATAATTGGTTCCAAAATCATTTCGCGTTCCAATATAACTACAGTAACCCATTCATGGAGCGATTAGAAAAACAACTTAGGAGTCACATTTTTCCTCGAACATAATAAAGTGTTGAGCACATTTTCATGATTATCATGTGAATGACCAACAAAACGGAATTTCAAGTTCAAAGTTGCAAATTATACACATTTCCATTTATTTTGTTTTATGACAATCACCAGGGATACTAACTGATTTGTTGATGGCTGGTTGCCAAGTGTGATTATACGAACGCGTTACTGATTCTTGAACTCTGTTCATTTTTCGAGGTATACACTAAAAGTTGGCAAATGGAATTGTAAAAAGCAAATATGTTTATTGAAATCCTAAAGGAAGTTTTTTTTCGAATTTCGTAGGATTTGGGAGAAGGTCCATAAAAAACTCATTTCGTTCTTAGAACATAACAAAAAACGAAGAAAAAATTTAATTTCCAAATATTTCCACGTAGTACAAGAAAATTATTTGAATTTTTTCTAATTTGTAATTCAAAATTTATGAGAAACATCCTTCGGTGATTTCCAAATATTCCACAGGTATCGAAATATTTGATTAGCAGAAATTTTCAATTATATATATGATACACAATGATTTTTGTTCATTTTCTGATATTCCGAGAAATCAAATAATTAACATTTTCACAATAATATTACCAGCTGATTTTTTTGTTTTTTTCCTCAAAAAAAAAAACAATCTCCATATTAAAGGTTTTACCGTAATATTCTGGAACAAGATAACATAAGTACTTTTGTTTTGATTACAATTCTTTTTTCTCATGATTGCAGGTGTTATTTTTGGCAATTTGATTATAGGGCGACTCGAGTTGGAAAAAGAAAAAGTTGTACTAGTTTTCTTGAAAAAAACAAAAACAAGTTCTTCGAGCATACACCACAAGTTTGGGCTATTTTTTCAAAAATCGGAGAGAGTTCTATGTCTTTGAAGCTGATCTGGAGCAACCAAACTGAAAAATTTTTCAAGCGAGCAAATAATTGTGGTAAAAATATTTTTCGAGATGAAAATCCTGAAATCATTTTAGAAAAAATAAGATTTAATTAGAAGTGAAACTTGTACTAGTTTTTTTGAGTAAAAAAAACAAAAACATTGAATATGGTTTTCTGATTGATAAAAGTAAAGGGTTTGGAGATTAAATGGCATCTTACACAGGGTGTAATTTACTACCTCAAATCGCTAGACCTCAAATTTTTCGTTGATTTTTGGGTAGATCAAAAATCATTTTTCTCTAAATCTCTCGTTTTTGTGTTGAATTTCGTCGATTTTGGTCCCACCCCTAAGATCGTGTCAGGTCTCAAAAAATGCTTGACGAAATTTTTCGGGTAGTAAATTACACTCTGTGTCTTATGAAGTTGTAGCAAGCTTGCTAAAAATGGTCGCAAGCTGGCTAAAAGTCCTTATTTTTTAATAACTAAAAAATTTGATAACTTATGGAAGCTCATTCAAACTGGCTACAGTATTGCATTAAAAAATTAAATTCAGGCCAAAAACCGTACCACATTACAAAAAACTTCAATTAGATGAAACATTTTAAATTTTAATTCGAAACACCGTATTTTTACTACTACTTGTTTTTTCTTTCAGCCACATGTCCGACCATAATTTATTTGTCACTCTTCTTTTTTTTGAACGATCAATTGAAAAAACATCGATGATGTAATTTTTATTTTTCAACCAAAAAACATATGTAACAAATTTTTAGATGTTTGAGAATTAGAAACACCCAAAATTGTTTCAGTCACGAAACAATTCGGGAAACTAGGTTTGAAAATATTTTATTTTCATAAAATATTACATCTAAATGTTTCATTTTTTGAAAACCGGAATTGGTCAAACATCATCCAAAATAAATTCGACGAAGAAAACATTTTTCTCCAATTTTTTTTTATGGAAGGTCAAAACCAATTTGACACAAAATACTTTCTTTCTTTTTTCACATTACTTACCAAAATATAACAGTTTTTTACACTTTGGTTTTTAAGTTTTTCGATTTTCAGAAGTTTCGCAATAACAAGTTTCAGAAACTATATTTCGACACTAAATGTCTTTTTATTTTTCATTGCTATTAGTTCATTTTTTAAAGAAATTTTATGTGATTTTCATGAATACACTTTTCAATTATCGAGAAAATCGGAAAAGTTGAAAAAAAAAACGTTTTTTGTTGTTGAGTAAACCGGTATTTGATTCCAGAATTTGAACGCGGTTTCTCGTATTCAAAAGTTTTCTCCAGAAATATTTTACAATTTTTTCCAAATTTTCCGTGGTAGATCAAACATATTTCTCTCAAAATCTCTCACTTTTGCGTTGAAATTCGCCTATTTTTGTCCCACCCTTAAGATTGTGTCAGGTTTCAAAAAAATGCGCGAAAATGTTTGGGTAGTTTTTTTGGTAGACTGTTGGGTAGACTATTTTGTCAGGTAAATTCTAGAAATTAAGCCTCAATATTTTCTTTTTTTTGTTGTGAAAAATATAGGTTTTTGATGATTCCTGAATGAAAACCTTGTTTTCATTTTCATTTCCCTGTCCTTTTGAAAACTTGTGAAGCCAAGTAAAATTTCATATTTAGAATTTCACAACCTATTTGAAAAAAATAAATTTTTAATCTAAATTTATGATCTTTAAAATTCTAATTCAAAAAATAGTAACCACTCCACCCTGAAAGTTCAAAACATAGACGTAAGAAACAAATGACATCACCCAACCAGTTTTGAATTTCATTTCATCTTCTTATTTTAACATATATATATTTTTAGTATACCAATCAAACATACCATTTTTGTAACGAATTCTCGATTTGTCGGCTACTTTGTTGTTTTTGTATCCAACCGTCCTTGATTTGGTCACATTGCCAACAAAGTCCTTGACTATTTTGTTTTTTCCAGTTTTTTTTCGGAGAAATGGGTGCGACAGATGAAACATCTAGAATAACAAGGATTTGGAGTTCTTTGAGTTATCGAATTGGTGTAAATGTGGCAAAATATCCCATTCTAACTATTGTATTATGTTTGGCATTATCTGCTGTGATGAGTATTAAATTAGCATGTACAGAGTAAGTACTTTCTTTAAAAATTCCGAACCTTTAAAAAATCTATCATCCTGTAGAAAAGTAAGTGCAATTGATGGCTACGCGATGGATGATTCAATGTCTCGATATGAATTCAAAACATTTCAAGAATTCTTGGATTCTGATGGACCTGGAATTACAATGGGTGTTTTGATTCGAGCAAAAGATCAGGAGGATGGGAATTTGCTTGATGATTTTCGATTGAAAGAAGTTGTTGATGTTGCTGATTTTATATCAACAAACTTCAAAATCAATACATCCGGCGTTGAGAAAAACTTCAACCAATTTTGTCGTGGATTCTGTCAAGCAAATGAACCAGTTATTCAGTATTATGTAGGTTTTCTGTGGGAACAGGGTAAATTAAAAATCGTGGTCAAGGCTAAAACCCTAAAATCATATTTTTTGGTGTTTGGAGAAAAGATTTTAAGGCTTTTCTTTTTGCCATCTCTATTCTCATTAATTTTCCATCTTTTGCTGCAAAAATTTTGAAATTTGGTTAAGTATGAACGATTTTAGCATTTTTTGTGAAAAAACGAAAAATGTTTTTGAGGTTCGAAAAAATTCACAAATTTCGTGTTGTCTGGCGTTCTCTCTTATGCATTTCTATCTCTCATTTTCTCTCCTCTCTCTTCGTCTCTTCTAGACGCAACACTCTCTCGCTTACTTTTTCAATTCGGTTTTTTTGTGAAATCAGGAAATTTCACGATTTTCACGATTTTCACCGAGAACATCATATATGAGAAGATAGAGAAATACAAGACAGAGGCAGAAAAATAAAAATAGGATTGTAAAATTTAACATTATAAGTTTTTTTTTCGAAAAAACTTAAACTAAAAATTCTGAGCGTTAGATTTGATAATGTTTTGCCAAAGCGGGAAACAAGTTGTATTATTGCATTTTTGCAAATTGGTATTCAAAATTGTATTTTCGTAAACGTCTAAAAAAGTAAATATTGCATTTTGGGACCACATTACCATATTTTTATCAGCATAACAACTGAAAAAAGGCCATCTTCATTTTTTTTTTGAAAAATTCGGACCCTAGAAACCAGACACAATAAAATTTTAAAAATGGAGCCTAAATAGGAACACTGGTCCTATTTTTTAAAATCTTTCCGCAATTGAATTCCTAGTACTGTTAAATGTGCTGTTTCAGAATGGTCTTCAAGTTTTGACAGCAAATAACACAGATTCGATTTCAAATCGTATTGATTTGTCATATCCAACATCCAATTTTTTCGGAGTGAAATTCAGTTTGATTGTGAGTTTTTCTTTTTTCAGAAACTTTCTAAACTCTCTAATTTTAGCCAAACTTTTTCGGAATTACAATGAATGAAGATGGTGAACATTTGGATTCATCAACTCTAATTGTTTTATATTTTCGAGCTGAAAGATATAGTGATTGGACAACAAAAATGGTGAAGAAATGGGAATTGGATGTTCGAGATTATTTTATCAATGATTTCAAAAGCGATTTAATTAATGTTGAAATAATGTCGCAAACAGTAGTCGAAACAGAAATAGTTCGAGCCGGAATGTCACTTCAACCATTTCTTGTTATTGGTTTTGCAATCATGTCAACATTTTGTACAGTAACAACAATGCTCAGTTCAGTATATCTTTATTCTCAAAAACCAACTTGGAATAAAGTTGCTTTATCAATAATCGCTTGTATTACTCCATTTATGGCATGTGGAACTGCGATGGGAATTCTATTTTTCTTAGGTGTCACATTCAGTCCAATTATGTGTATCACACCATTTCTTGTTTTGGCAATCAGTGTTGATGATTCATTTTTGATGTTACATGCATGGAATCGATTAGAATCTTGGAGAACTTCACCAATTGATAAAAGTTTGAAAGAACATATGATGGGAGAAGTTCTTGTTGAAACTGGGCCAGCCATCACAATTTCTGCATTGACAAATATTCTTGCATTTACTGTCGGCGCATTGACATCTCCACCAGAAATTCGCATTTTTTGTTATGGTAATGCGGCCGCTATTTTTATGGACATGTTTTATCAAGGTTAGTTTTTTCTCGAATTTAAAGAGGGGAATGAAAATGCAAAAGGGTAAATTTTTTAGCAACATTCTACACAGCTGTAATGACTCTTCTTGTTGACAATAAAACTGAAGAAGTTAGTGCTAGAACAAAAAGAATTCAAGAGAAAATAACAAAAGTTGTTTCAAAATTTTTCCGAGGTTATGTCGATTTTATCTCAAATGTTTTTGTGTCAACTTCAATTGTTCTTATCTGGTTTGTATTTATCGGATTTGGAGTTTTGGTTTGTTTTTTATCTTGAGATCGTGAGATATTTCAAACAATTAATCATTCTTTTAGGGTTTAACTCAACTTCATGTTGAACTTCGTCCCTCTAAATTTTTCTTGAAAGATTCTCCAATGTTGCGATTGAATGAAATTCGAAATGAGAAAGTTGTCACATATTACACTCCGGTTACTGTAGTTGTAAATAATCCAGGAGATTTATCAAATGAAACAACAATTGAACGACTAAATGAATTGAGATTGAAACTGGAAAATATGCCAGAAGCAATTGGGAATGAAAGCACAAAGTTTTTCGTAAAGTTTGTTTTGATTCTCAAAGTGGATTTTAATTGAACAACTTTTCAGTGACTTTGTTCAATTCCGAAACGATATTTCTGAAGAATTTGATGAGGAAAATATGGATATTGAAACATTTTTGAATTGGTCTGAATATCGATTCTGGAGAGGATTTATCAAAATTGACAATTCAACAAATCCAAAAACTGTTTCGAAATTCATGTTTACAACAGGATTTCATGGTAAACATTTGAAAAATTGGTTAAATCGAGGAGAATTATTAAAAGATTGGAGACTGGCAATTGAAGAATTCAAAGAGTAAGTTAATTATTTTTTGTAGATCACAATATTAAGGTTTTCAATGTTTTCAGTGATTTCAATGCTACAGTATTCTCTGAAGATGGTTTCTTTTTGGATATGTTAGATACAATTCCAACAATAACATGGCAAACAACACTTGCAACATTTGTATTTGTGTCTTTAGTTTGCTTCCTTTTCATATCGGATCTTTTTACGGTTGCTGTTGTTTCGATTGCAATTTTGGTCACATCTGTTGGTGTTTTTGGTTATCTTTCACTTTTTGGTGTTACTTTGGATCCAGTTATTATGTCAATTGCAATTATGTGTATTGGATTCAGTGTTGATATTCCAGCTCACGTTACATTCCATTTTTATGCTGCAAGTAAGTTCTTATTAATTTTCTGTTTCATCCCTCAAACCTCAAAATTTTCAGGATCCAAGAATAGAAGTTCAAACAATCAAATTGCATCAGCATTTGATTCAGTAGATTCCCTCAAGAAAACAACAACAATTCCAAGTGAAGAAGAAAATCAAAATGCTGCATTTAGAAAAAGGTTACATCATCTCTCGAAATTTTCATTAATCAAATATTTTTTTGCAGTTTGACATTTGCCCTTTCAAGTGTTGGTTTTCCAGTCATCCAAGCTGGTCTTTCTACTGATTTTTGTGCTTTGCCATTGGGTTTCATGGAATTATATATGGCAAAAATGTTTGCAGCAGCTCTAACTCTTTGTGTCACATTTTCACTGATTCATGGTCTTGTTGTTATTCCAGCATTACTTTCAGTCAAATCACATCTGATGACAAGAATCAGAAAATGTTTATAAACTAGAAAATATTTAACATGAAAATGTGTATTACATAGAAAATATATCTTTAAACAAATAACGGGTGAAAATGAATTGGTTTATATATTAATTTATTTTTGTTGTATTTTGTTATCCCCAAAGTTGTTTCAATGATTCCATATGTTCTTCTTGGGTTTCAGTCATATTTGTTATTTTATTAATTACTTTTTTCCGCCAACGTCCGCTTTGATTTATTCTATAAATTAAAAGAGCTGGAAGAGCGACGGCAGCAAACGGAACTGTCTGGAAAATATCATTTTTATATTTAAAATGGATAAAAAAGAAAAGCTTACATAAGCCCACCAGACAATATTATGATAATACGCTCTTGGAATTTGATCTTTCATTAAACGAAGAGCCAAAACACTGCAAGAATAAAAAGCCAGCGCGAAAAATTGTGCAATTGCAATATAGCAAACAATCCTTGTTGAAATAAGTGCTTCTCGTTTTTGATATCTTTGTTCCACTAAAAATCTGGTGCTAAGTTCCGAACTTTTGTTGACCGAAATAATTATGAGATTTAGAAAAATGCTGAAAAATACGAAACCAGTTAGAGTCATTAGAAAAACATTTGCTCGAAATCTTGATTGAGCAGGAAAGAAAAAACAATTTGGAACTGTATCCTCAAATGGATCATTCCACACAATTATGAATGGAGCTGATAAACTACACAAAATCTGAAAAAATGAATTCGAAATTTGACTGGAAATAAAAAAAAACATACCGCAATAATCGATAAGACAATTCCTGGCCATTTTTTCAGCTTCGAATATTTTTCCGGAATTATAGTTGCAATAAGTCGCTCTAAACTCAGCGCTGATTGTGTAAAAGTTATTCCAGCCAAGCCAAAAATAAGCGAATGATTCTGTGCTCGACATTCTTTGGTTGTTCTCATTATTTCACATGGTCTTTCCGACAATGTGAAACTTCGATAGATTGTTATTATCTGAAAATACATAATCAAGGTTTTTCTAGTTTTGATTACTGTAGATTTTTTCTTACCTGCAGATAGAAAAATGCTAATTCATGAAAATTGACAAAACCGAGACCAGTGAATAGTAAAATCCTTGTTGAACTATGAAAAATTGATCCGACTTTTAGAATCATAAATGCTTTATAAGATAGATAAAAAGTGAGAATCGCCAAAGTTGACATAAAAATAACATTTGCTCGTAATATTATAGATGTTTGTAATTCCATTTCATCATCACTTGCACAATCAGCCATTTTATTTCTGAAATTAGAAAATAATTCAATTTATATCAGAAAATAATATATTTGAAAAGAAAAAAAAACAATAATTATAAGTATAATTGACCTTATTGTAATCAAACACCAATGAAATTCGATATGTTTCAAGACTACGTAATAACCCACGTGTATTCGAATGACACAGACACTTTCATCGAAACCCCTTGAAATAAAAAAAGAAAAATGAAAAATGCGGTTTTTCAGAGAGTAAACAATAGGCGGATTTTGAGTTAATTGAAAATCTGAGAAAAATATATTCTTAGCCTTCACAAATAATTTATTTTCTTGTTATGATCCTTTGACCTTTTGGCAAATGAAAAACTGAGAAATGAGTAATCTAAAATAAATTGCATTTTTGCGAGTGAATCGAATATTTTCGATCTTTGGCTTACAATAATAAATACGATGAAATATGAGACTTTTGTAAGTTTTCGAGTGCAAGAAAAATAAGAAGTTTTCGGAAAAATGAGAAACAAGAAATAAAAAATTGATGTTCCCCTGAAAGTAATTGGGAAATGCCGAAAAATAATTGGAAATAAAAACTACAAATGTGTACATTAATATTCAGAGAACACAAAAAATAGTTTTGATAAGTATAAATGCGTATCTCTTGAGAAATCAAAAAAAAGAATAATAACAACTCACGTCATAAGCTCGCTAGAAAAAAAAGAAGTATCTCATAAATCTGAATGTGCAAAAATTCATTAATTCTAAAGTATCCAGTTCCGCTGATCAATTTTCTTTTGTCGCAAGACTAATTATTTATTATTCATATACATGCACTAATTATTTATGCTCTTTCTTCTATAAAACAAATTCCAGAGATGTATAAAAAAAAGAAGAAGAAGAAGAAGTTTATAATGAACAACCCGCAAAAATAAAAAATAATGAGATTTTATATAGTATTTCTATCTTGATCTTCTTGTTCTGGATTATAAAATGAATCTCGAACAAGCCAATTTGGATGAGTTAATTGTGTTATAGAAACGCCGTTTAATAATTCAACAGTTGGCATTTCGGAATAAGATTTTGCATCAAAATCTGAGGGATTCAAAGTTCTACGACGAATTTCCTGAAAAACTATTATTCACATAACATAAAAATTATTGTTTTTTTTCTAAAACAACCTATAACGTACCTTGAATAAACACATAAATGCAGCTGGTTCAAAGGCCAAATATAATTTGTGCGCAACCAATTCCGGTCTTGTAACAATTTCCTCAATGTCCTGAACTCCAAAAACACAAGAATAATCCTTAATCTTTCCTGAAAACTCATAGGATATGAAAAATCTTGAACACTTTCACTAACCATAGCAATCTTTTTGCCAAGCCCAAACTTGATATCTTCCAATATATGATGTTCCTACGTCATCTACAGTATTCACATCAGCTGGGCGAGCTTTAAAATGTTGTCGGAGCCACATTATATCTCGAACTCGAACGGCTCCAGGAACCGGAAGCACTAAACATTAAAACAGTTAACTGTTTAGAAAAATTTGAAATGAGCAGTTTAAAGTTGAGCTTTGTTTGAAAACGAAATTAAAATCAGGCGTTTAAAACTAATATTTCATCTGAACTTTTAGAGTTCTCTTACATTTTGGAGATCCAGATACCGTAGACCAGAATGATTCATCAGGAATCCAAGTGTTTTTCAAATATTGTAACAGTTTTTTAACTTTCGGACTATCAACAATATAATTTGCAGCATCTCTTGGTAAAACAACTGACATACTTGATTTATAAATTGGCATTGGTGGAATTACACCCTAGAAAAATATTTAATATTTAGTGTTTAGCTTTTCTTCTGAAATACCTCCATATTTTTATATCGATTTGTTTCAAATGTGCTGACATCTGTATTTATTGATCCATTCAATGCTTTAAAAATTCGAACCATTTCTAAATTTGTTCTCATTGGAAGATCAGTTCCAGATAAATATTGATAATATTTCCAATCATTTTTTGATTTTGTCAAATGCTCGAAACATGTATAAACATTTTTCAGAATTCCAAATGATCCCCACTCTGATTCTTCCCCAATCTGAAGAAAACAACCACAGTTTTTCAAAAAAAAATTTCAAAAAACTTACAAAAACATTCATATTTTCGAAACATTTTGGAAGACTTTGAATTACATTTTTATAAATTTCGGGACTATTTTGATCAACTGTTATACAAAAAAGATGTTGAGGTTGATAGAAAATACTGAGCTGCATTATAACTTGTACAATATTTTTGAAAACCACCAATCCATATGCAAGTGGATATTCTTTTTCCTCTTCAGATAATGCAAGTTTTGAAAATGAAAAATATTTTTCGATAACAGGACAGCTGGAAAAATAGTTTTAGAAAAGAAAATGAAAAAATTTTATGTTAAAACTTACATGTCTTCTGTTTCAAATAGCTCTTTCTCAATATCTCCAAAATGCCAATTCCAATTTTTCGCTCTCCAAATTTTCCGAAAATCTTCTGTTCCATTTACAACACTTTCACAATCCATAGGAATGTTCTCAAGTTTCATAAGTTCTCTCAAAAAATCTTTCAATTATTTCAATTAAAATCCCGAAAAAACTCACGACTTGAGTTCTAAATCCAAATTAATAATCCTAAATAAAATATAAAGTGTAATAGAAATATATAAAAGTTTAGCATGATTACAAGAGGTCATCCGAACACAAAAAGTGAAAAAAAATCGGAGGAAAATAGTGAGAGGAGAGAATGCCACAGGTTTGATTATCTCACAATCGAATCAATTTCAATTCAAGCCCATATATTCCGTAGCTTTTGGATGTGTTGTTCTCCTGTTTCTTTTTCATCCGTCAATGTATTGATTTTTGCCGTACGTTGTCTTTTTAGATTCCAAGATGAATAGATAATAAGAACCGGTAGAAGAGCAGAACTTATCGGATGTGTCTGAAAATCTATAATTATCTCTTGTCAACATCTTTAAAATATTTCTTTTTTTAAATATAAAAAGTTCTAAGCTCACATATAACCAGACAATAATATTCAAATATAAAACATAAGATATTTCCTTTGTATGTTGTCTCATGAGCCAAACTCCTCCAGAATAAATTATCATTGAAATTAATTGACAAGTTATAATATAAGATATCATTTTTGTTGACTGAAGAGTTTCAATATTTTGATATCTTTCCAAAACTTTAAAATGTGATTTCTTTTCACAAATATGATTGTATCTCATCAAACCCATATTCAACATGAAATTAAGAATTGAAAGATAAAATATTGAAGCTAAAAATGTATTTGCAGATGTTGCCATTTTTGCAGGCCACATAATACAGTATAATTGTGATTCATCTAATGTTTGTCCATTTCGTAAAATTGGAAATGTGCTCAGTGAGCCAATTATCTGAAAACTTAAAACTCTTGTTTGCTGACTTTTTTTGTGATTTAGTTGTTTTCTGACGCCTACTCGTTTCATGTTCGAAAGTTTAGAATTTTCTCAAGCGTAAACTTTATTTTTGGATTTTTCTTCTTTTAAAACACAAAGTTCTATTTGCAAAATTTCAGACAAAAGATTACCACCAAAGCCAAAAATATGATTCCTGGCAGAGTTTTTGCGTACTTCATCCCAAAAATTGTTGCTAGCAATCTTCAAAAAATTATCAATTTTTCTTTGATAATTCTAACCAAACCTGTCAAAACACAAAAAAGTTTGAATCAGAATATTTCCAGAAATCCCCAAAGATATTCCTTGAATAACATTTGAACAATCTTCACCGGTTGGAATTGGATAACAACTCGAATTTTGGGTAACTAGAAAATTGCGATATAGAATTGTTGCCTGTAATTAAATTTCAAATAATTTTGGAAGTATTACCTTATCAAAAAAAAATAATACCACAAAATTCGAGAAAGCCAATCCATGCAGAACTCCATAAGTCAAAGTGGCAAATAATAAGATTTTTGTTGTTTTCGGTAAAATCGATTCTTTCCATAACGTTTTCACAGCTAAAATAGTCACAAAAATAGTGAAAATCAAAACAAGTGATTGAAAAATAGCATAAATAATTTGTCCAATCGATGTATACACTTCAATTTGTAACTGTGACGCACAATACATTTTTAATTTTTTCTGCCGTCAAGAAAAATAACCGAGACAACAAACTGAGCTCGTTAGAATATAACTTCATGCATGGCGAGATAATTATTTTTGTTCTGATAAGTGCGTGTGAAACGACACTTTCCGAATAATCTGAAATTTCGAACATCGAGAAAATATTGAACACATTTGCAAATTTCTAAATCCGGTTCCAAATATAATCTTTTATGTTTTATCTTGATGAAACAAACATTTTGATCTTTTTTTCGCACACTAACAATAAGATTTCAATGTTTTTTGATTTTTCAAATAACTAATGAAAAGTTTTGTTTTTAATTATCAGAATTTTTTTTCCCCGAAGGTTCACAATAATCCGAATGATTCTATATATATTATTTTAATTAGAAAAATAAGCTTTTTTATAAAGTCCTAAAAACGAACTTTTTGTAGTATAAAATAATTATTATAAAATTGACTTGTGCGGAAGAAAAAGGCTAAAGACTAACAAAACAAAACCTAATTATAACTTGTTGTAGCTGAAGAGTGTTAAATGTCATTCAAACAAAATGTTTTCTTGATATTAGAAAAGTTTTAATTTTGTCAGAAGTACGAGGACTCAGGAAATTCTCTACACCCGTGCGTTGCTGTATCCGACTAGGGTGGTGACTCTCCAGTCGCACCCGGGTCAGAAAGGTGACGCACGCATGCTTGATGGGTGGAAAAGAGGCGCACGGTGGTCAGATACGGGGATCACCCGTGACAAAAGAGAAACGCACCCGTGTTCCTCAAAAAAATTTCAGGCACGGGTGCGTCCCGACCCACCGATCGAGCGAGCAGCAACGCACGGTAGTCAGACAAGTGCGGCGCTCGTGAAAAACACATATAACGCGCTGCACGGGTGTAGAGAATTTCCTGAGGCGAGAGAGAGAGAGCAACATTTTGATCTACAAAACTTTTTCTCTACGTAATTACTTTTATTAAATTTTTGATAGAGTTTGTACTTCATAGAACGTCAACCACAGACTACGCTTTCATTCGAAGAAAAATAACAAAACCATAAAAAAACAAATTAATTAATTATTTCCACATTTCTTGCATTCGTTTAATATGATCCTCCTGACTTTCAATATGACTTGTTAGTTGTTTAATATTTTTTATTCGATTCGATTTTATATATTTCATCAATTTTGCTATCAGAATAGGAGAACATAAACAGAAATATGGAGTTAGCTGAAAAATATTAGGAATTAATTTTGGCTTTTTTTTCAAAATTCACTCACATAAACAATTTGTAAGAAAATTGTGAACGCAAAAAGTGGCATCAAAGTAGCAACGATATGAATAATCACATAAATGATACAATAAACGAGTGTGAAAATAAAATGTGTTAGTGAAAGAATAAAAAATGATTGGGCACATTTTAGAGTTTCGTGAGATTGATATCGATCGACAACATTAAAACGGTGGCTGGAAAAATATTGATACAGTAAATTGTAAGTCTAGTAAGGTTTCCGAATTGTAGAGAAACTTAAAATAGCGTTTTTTAATTATCTTTCTCGTGGTCTAGACCTTCAATAATATATTGGCAATTATTTTTTATTTTATGCTATTTAAGATTCTCCTATCCACTCAACAAAAACTTACGTTTTATTTTTCCTGTAACAATGTTGTATAAGAATTGTATCAATAATAATATCAACAATTGACAAAAGTAGGCAGAATCGAATAAACATATCATAACGATTCGAAATATTAGCAGGACTATGTCCACACGTGGCAACCATTGAAGTTAGTGGATCATCATAAGATAAAATATTATAAAACATGAAACTGGTAACTGTTACAATTGTTGATAAAACAATCGAAACTGATAACTTGAAATAATTGCAAAAGTTTGGAAATATTGTTGCAAATGCGCGATCAAGAGTCATTGTTGTTTGCATCAAAAACATTCCAAAATTACCAGCAAGCATTCCAGTTATTATGTAATAACAGTCTGATACATGTTCATATAAACCACAAGGATTTGTAAGATTTGAAAATATTTTATAGAAAGATCTCAATTTTATAGCAAAATATGATGTTTGATGAAGACACGCAAAAAATAGAATAACTAGAAGAAATATTCGAGTGCTCAATGGTAAAATTGAAACACGAACAAGTTGTCGAATTGCTTTTATTGACCAATAATATGTTATTAGACAAACTGAACAATTTGCAAGCATCATTAGAATATAATATGGACTTTGATAAATACTCAATTGTTCTTCGGAAATACAAGTTGTATTCATTTCTGGAAGAAATCAAATATGAAATGATATACTTTGGTACATTACAATTATTTCAAAAATATGTATAATAAGCAAAACAAGTACGATGTTTGGTTATGTCATTCCGAATTACATAAATTATTACTCAAACGATGATAAAAAGTATAGTTTTCAAACTTCCTGTTGATTCATCAAACTTCGAAAAACATTCATTTTTACAAATATCAAAAATGAACCAACCTAGAAATCTTCAAAGGATTTTTTTGGTATTTTTAAATGAAAAAAAAACAATAAATAATTCATTCCGAAAAGAAAAGATTCTTGAAAACAGCAAGGTATTTAAAAAACAAATTGAATTTTGAAAAGAAAAAGGTTCCACGTGATTTTTAGAATTGGATTCATTTCCCAGAAATTATAGACCACAAAAAAATACGTTTATCTCAAAGACGTCAGAATTTCAATTAGTTTTTGATTCCAAATCCGAAAAAGAAGTGTGCTGAGTTCAACATTATTTTGGTTTAGAGTAAAGTCTAGACTGGATAAAATAGGAAATTTCAAAAATATTTTTTTTAAAACCAGAATTCTCACCACATGTTTTCTATTTTCATAGTAACTTTTTATTTTTTTACTCAGAAAAATGTGTTCAACTTCCGATAATTCTGATCATTTTATAAACAAAAGAGAAAACGAAACTATATAAAATATAAATTTTTGCTCATTGAAATTGAGAAGAGTTCAATCTAATTTTTACAAGTCACAGACTTTTCCGCATAAAATATTCAGAACAAAGGAAAAATCTAATCTCCACGAATAATTTATGATTGAACGTGCTGTCTGAAAAAAAACGAATCGAATGAAAAAGTGATGGTGCCGAAAATAGATACTATTTTAATTAAATTCTCCGATCCAGGAAGAAGCCGGCTTGTTTTGAGTAATCCACTAATTATGCCACGCCTCTTTTTTCTCTACTTTTGAATAATATTTTGAGCAAAGTTATCTCAGGGGTTTTCAAAGAGTCAAATAATCATTTATGTAAAAAATAATCTTTGGACTGCCACTTGAAAGGGATTTTAATGAAAATTTAGATAAAGAGGTTTTCCTCAGATTAGTTGAAATAACATTCGAAAAAACACATAAATGCAATATTCTAGAATGTGTGCGTTTTTTTTTCAAAAAATCTCCGATTGCTGATCGGACGTTTTTATTCAGCCAACTAGGGGCGGTGCCCCTAGGCGAAACAGTCAGAAAATCCACAGGCATAAATTTCTGACTTTTTTTCCTGTCGGCTCCGCCCCCTGCCACGATTACACGTTTCACGTTTTTAAAATAATTTTTTCGTTTTCATCTTTTTTTCTCCACTAAATTTCGAAATTTAAAAAATCAGAAATAATTATTCATTGAAAAAAAACGTGCCGCACCTTGCCAAATAAATCCCGCCTCCCGAATCACGCGAGAATTTGCTTTTTTCTGCGACAGGCATTTCTGAATTAAAAAAGTCAAGAATTTATGCCTGTGAAATCCTCATAAATTCTAAATTTTGAAGAAAACCCTATTTTTTGCAGCTAATTCTAAGCTGACGTGAGAAAAAAGATTTCTTTTAAAAAAGTGACGCCTGGGAATACAAATTGTAAAGTTTAATGAGACATAGATTACAAAAGAAAAATAAATAAAAGAAAAAAAAAATAAATTCAAAACAAACTGGAAATCGCGTGCATAAAACTATGAAAAAATTTTAATTAAAATCTATCTATGAAACATTTCATAGTTTGTTTTTCAATAAAATCTGGAAGCTGATCCTATACCATCAAGTGTAATTCAAAGCTTCACACTTCATTTCAGGGCGAACAAATAGAGATAGAGAGAGTGTGTAGAGTGCGAAAGAAAAAACCGCAAAACTGAAAAACCCGCGAAATTTAATAAGGCTGGCAACCAGCCAACTGTTGGGTCCTGAAGCGATGGTCCATGAATTTTCATTTTCAAAAATTTTTTGCGGTTTTTTGTGTCTGCGTCCCGTTTTCTCTATTTGTTCGTCCCAACACAGGGCTGAAACGAAGTGTTCATCTAATCATTTAAACATAGTAATTTATAAACAACTTTCCTTTAACATCAATAGTAATTATGAATTAGAAACTTTACCCAATATTTTTCAATGAAGCTCAAATCTCACCTGTTAGTTTTCCTCCCCTCCCCCACCCCAAACCTCAAAATAAACTAACTTGACTGGCCCGTTCCGTGAAAAGTTGTTGATTTCTTCGAATGTCCTGTCCAAACGAAACATCTTCTTCTTCGGAAGCCTGAAACTTCTACATGCTTTTTTTCAAAATTTTCGCCTATTCTTAAACTTACATCAGAAAATGACAATTGTCGATTTTATGGGACCGCTGCATTCTGTGACTGTTGTCTCTGAAAAAAAAAATAAGAAAATAAAAAAATGTACCAAATCACCCCATTAATAACATTTTCTGCTCTGAAAAAAACCCATAAAAATGATTCAGTTCGAAAAAAAAACGTTCAATCAATAATGTCTTTTCAAATAAAAACATATATATCTCTCTCTCTCTCTAACTCTCTCTAGCTCTCTCTCCATTTCCCACACTCTCTCGTCTACACTGCAAAAAAAACAACAAAATAAACTAAACAACACGCACGCGGAGTATCGTCGTTTTTCTTTTATTTTTTTGCACGCCCTTTTTAAATATCTTTTTTTTCTCGTTTTTGAGTGGTTTTTTTCAGCGCAGAAAAGTTTATTAATGGGTGCTCAGCACTTGTCTCTGTAGACTGACTGTACAAATTGAAAAAGTGTGAATACAGCGGATGAACGCTGTACCTACATATTTTTTCCCGAAAAACGTAGGTTCATTTTATCTTCAGCGTAGCTACGAAAAAAATCAAATTCGTAGATACGCAGATGCCAAATAGTTGATACCCACACCTTAAATTATGACGAGAGCTGCCAAGCGTCGCACAACCAGAGATGAAAACGTACCTGCAGCGTATCTCCGCTGTAGCTACACAATTCGCGGACAGAAATTAAGTAAAGTGACCGCTCTTAATTATTTTCGAATCCGTAGCTACGCCGTTGCTGTTCTGTAGCTACTTTGTAGATAAACGGATGTTACTTATGTGCAATTCTCTCTTCCCCGTTTTCGTACAAAGTATCAACGAAATTTGTACAGTCAGTCTACAGAGTCAAGTGCTGAGTGGTTTGGTACAAAAACTCGGGCCGATTTTTTTTTTGGAAATACTCGGGCCGATTTTTTTTTTTGGAAAAACTCGGGCCGATTTTGTTTGGAAAAACTCGGGCCGATTTTTTTTTGGAAAAACTCGGGCCGATTTTTTTTTTGGAAAAACTCGGGCCGATTTTTTTGGAAAAACTCGGGCCGATTTTTTTTTTGGAAAAAATTCGGGCCGATTTTTTTTTTTGGAAAGTGTTGTCTGGTGTTCTCTCTTCCCCGTTTCTATCTCTCATTTTCTCTCCTCTCTCTTCGTCTCTTCTAGACGCAACACTCTCTCATTTATTTTTTCAATTTGGTTTTTTTTGTGAAATCAGGAAATTTCACGATTTTCACCGAGAACATCATATATGAGAAGATAGAGAAAGACAAGGCAAAGGCAGAAAAATAAAAATAGGATTGTAAAATTTAACATTAGAAGTTTTTTTTTCGAAAGAACTGGAAACAAAACCCCTGTGAACCAAATATTTATTACAAGTAAAATATTGCGAGACTTCAAGCCGGTTGTGGTGGAGCTGCACCAGATGTTGATTTTGTATCTTTAATTGTTTTCATCGAATTAGTCACTTCTGAATCTTTTTTCTTTTTTCCACATTGTAATAATAAATGAAAAATCATAAATATGGCCACAAATATATTGATCATTTTCTGAAAAAAAAAAGAGTTTTGGTTTTATTTTCATTTTCGAATCTTATTTTCGCTTACCTGAACAGCTTTAAAGCGAAAAAATAATGTAGGAATGAGGAATTTAAAAAGCAACGATCAGTTATATAATCAAATGCACTCAGAAATGAAATCATTCTCACGTGAATTTTTGGGTGTCACGGCTAAATCGGATAAAATGGTTTCATTTTTTGATCTTTGTTTTTTTTTTTGGTAAAATCTGTATTCATTTGTGTTTTATTTTTTGCAAAACATTATAATGTTGAAACTAATCCTATCGATTTATTTTTCATTATCTAGCTGTTATTGCAAAAATCCGTAGGTTCAATTATCCAATAACTGTTCATTCTTATTTCCAGATTGGTTGAAAAATTAGTAGATTATTCAAATAATTTACAAGGTTTTCTAGTTCATCCTGTGTAAGTTTTTAGTTTCACCGAATGAAATATTTTTGAGAAATTTTCAGAATACAAAAACAAATTCCAAAACGTCCGGCAATCATAATTTTTCATGCGTTTACTGGTCGAACAGAATTTGAAAATGAGAAAGCGAGAAGTCTTGCAAAGTTAGGATATGTTGCATTTGCAGCAGATACGTATGGAAAAACTGGATCAACGGAAACGATTGAAGGAAATTTCGAAATTATGAAACATATCTTAGGAAATCGGTTTGTTCCAGACTTATTTTTTTTCAAATGAATTCAATGCAATTTTTACAGAACAACGATTCTTCGAGAAAGAATATTAGCAGCTTGGACATTTATTAATTCTCTAGATTTTGTTGATTCAAATAGAATCGGAAGTATTGGTTATTGTTATGGTGGATTATGTAGTTTGGATTTGGCAAGATTTGAAATTGGATTGAAAGCGGCAGTGTCATTTCACGGAACGCTATTAAAATATCCAGAAGAATCTGAGAATCTGAAAAATATATCTTGTGCGATTCAAGCACATCATGGAGATCTGGATATTCATACAAATAATGAAGAGGTACACACTTTTACATTATTTTTTGATCGGTGAAACACTTGAAAATACTACAGTATTCTCATAGAAAAAAAAATAAATTTAAGGCTTCGAATTTCATTGAAGAGATGCGAAATCGATCGATGGATTGGCAATTTTTGAGATATTCAAATGCTGAACACGCATTTACACTTTTCGGAGTTGATGATTTCAAAATTCCCGGAGCAAGTTATAATGAGAAAGCATCAAATAGATCATGGAGTTATATGCAAGTATTTCTTGCTGAAAAATTACTGTAATAAATCTGTAAATTTCCGTGGATTCTCGAAAAAAACAATTATTAATAAGTTATTTATACAAATCGGATGGTCTGAAAGAAATCTCGAATCATTTTCTATAACATTTTCCGTAAGACAAATTTGTGGGGGTTTGTGGTGGTTTTTGTGTGGGGGACAAAAATATGACCTCGAAGGTTTGGGGAAAACAAAAAAAAATCGAATCTAAAAAAACATGGGGGATGAAGACAAAATTGCACATAGAAAAAAGAGAAACACCCAATAAGACCTACAAAAGACAAAAAAGTGAAAATCCTATAAAAAAAAACAAAAAATAATCGACTGGAAATTTGGGGAGAGAAAGGAAGAGGGGGAATTGGGAGGGGGAAAGTGTCAACCGTTCTGGGGTACACATCACATTGAAAGACGGCGAGTAGTAAGATGTTTAGATACTTTTAAGAACAAAAATGTTGGGGGACTAAATGGGGAATTTGGTGATGAGAGGGGGGAGGGAGGTCACACCGGTTATGCTTGAAAGACGCCGGGTAGCAGATGGAAGAGGCGATGGGATCATAATAGGGGGGAGATGAAAAAGGGAAAACGTTAGAAAATGTGTTGATGCTGATTATGAGAGTCCCGTAATAAAAGTAGAGATGTTGGTGAGGATGTTGTTGGCGATGGTGAAGGGGATGATGAATTTGTTGCCGTTGATGAAATTATGAGACGTTGAACCATTGGATTTTTATGCTGATGTTGTTGGAATGTGTTGGCATTCTCGAAATCCGACTTTGGGCCACGAGGGCTTGCTGGTTTTGGATCATCCAATGGGGTATAGGTTATCTGAAAAAGCATTACATATTAAAGTTATACGTCATATGAGTATGTAAAAATCATCATGGGTGAATGTGAGAACAGCTCGAAACCGATGTCACTTTGAACCTGAGTCAGACTTATTCACCCTTTATTAATTAGAAAATTGGAAAAAACGGAAATTGGGCTGTCACAAAATTATACCGATGAGATATTTTTTCCAAAACGCTAAATGTTTGAAATAAGAGGTCTTAAATATATCCAACAGTGAGATAAGAGACCTCCTTACAAATATGGGTCCTATCCCAAAAAAAGACCTCATTCAAAATTATGTCCCAACAGAATCAGATTGAGTCCCTTCATCCCAGTGTTAAGGATTCAACATACCTGATAATTTTTTCCTGGTGGCGGTGGTGGTGCTGGCGCCAAATTTCTCCAATGTGTTGGTGGGGGAGTCTGCGACAAGTTTGGTCGAAATTGTTTCGCAGCAGGTGGTGGAGAACTTGGCACATCATCAGATAATCGTTTCAGCCGTCTGCAAAAAAAATAATGAAAATCAATAAGTCATTTTCAAAATTCCTCTTCTTTATAAATTTTAGCATCTTTTTCTCAATTAGCACGAAGTTGTGTCTATTGTTGTATGTGTCTGTGTGTAAAAATTACATCGAGTAACAAAAGGTTGCTTATTGTTTGAACTGGTTTCAAGAGGTTGCTTCATCTTTCGCAATTTTTTTCTCGCGTAAATTGACCGAACGCTGGGCGCGTGCGTGCAAAGCGCAAGGACAAAAGAAATTGAATTTTTGGCGGCTGCTGCGATCGAAACGCAAACAGGAATATTTTTAGCAATTGTCGAGAAAAAAAGAAGAAGCATTGTTCTATGTCACGCACGGTCATTTATTGGGTGATAAGAGAAACAATTGTCTGTCTGTCAAAATGCTTGATTTGATTTGATTTCAAGTTTTTCTTTGTTAGTAGTAAAAGTTGGAATTTGCAGAAAAAAAAACCAATTGAATACGAACCTGCACCATGTATCCTTATATTCATCTTCAAATCGTTTTGTATGCTTGTCTAACATTTCCTTAGTCAATGGCATTGCAGGTGGATATTTTCTGCAAAAATTCACACCATTTTTGTACGCACACGACCGATTATTATTATTATATATGTTCATCACATTTTCAATGGTGTAAAGGGGGTACTACCAGTCACCACACCACCAGTTTGGTGGTACGTACGCGTACACACAAACACATATGTCAAAACAAACGAGTAGATCGTCTGCGTCTCTTCATTGGTGTAATACTATTTCGTCTCTCCACGAGGAGAGATGAAAATGAGGAAGACAAAAACAACGATAATCATAATAATAATAATAACCATCTTTTATCGGTCGGTATTAATGACTGATAGAAAAAAGATAAAAGAGAAAAAAAACTGAATTGTGGAACCTCTGTTTTGATTTGATTCAAAAAAATTGAAACAAAAAATAAGAACAAGAATTCCTTTAATTTTGCATCATTTCCCTTCTACACTTGTCTATTTAAAACTAAGTGAGTACACATAGATGCTATTAAAAAGTTACGAAATTTCACATTTTCGAAAATACTATTCTTCTTTTTCAGTTCAAAAAATTACTGGGCAAACCTAACTATTCTCAATTTTCCACCAAAAATATTGCTCCTTCTCAAAAACCCAAAAAAACTCACTTTTCATCAAACGGTTCAGCATCTCGTTCAGGCGAATCAGGTCTTGATTGAGATTTCAACAATCGATGAACATTTTCAAGGCAATTGATTTGTGTATAACTCAATGGTGGTTCCGAATTCGATGTGCTTGGTTTTCGAACTGCTGCAGAAGTTGCAGCGGCGGCGGCAGCGGCAGCAGCTGCAGCAGCAGCCGCAGCAATTGCAGCTTTTTGTTGTTGCTGTGCTGTTGAGTTAACAACGAGATGTTCAACGAGTTTATCAATGTATACTCCAAGATCAGCTGCCGGATATCCACATTCTTTAACTGATGCTTGACGAGATGTCGATGGGACTGGCTAAAAATTAACTATTATACATACATTTTTCGAAAAAAAATTATTTGAAAATGAATATTACTTCTGCCAGCTCATAAAGATAATTCAGAATATCCATAATAAGTGTTTAGATAATATTGTAGTAACAACAATAACACAACAACAAAAATATGTATGTGTGTATCTGTGTGTAAATGGTGTCAATAATAAAATTGCTGCGCGGGGGGGGGGGGAACGAAGAAAGAAGAAGAAAGAAGAGAGACAGGCAGGTACGGGAACTCCCAAGCACGAGATTGTGGGCGGAGTCGAGTATGTATAGAGTTAGGAGAGTGCGAGGGGGTCAAATAGTTTTTTGTACGCGAGATAGTATAATGAGGTGAAGAGAGTGGTGAGAGAAATCGAGGAAGTACTTGCTCTTATGAATGAAGTTGCACTTGGGTTTTTTTTTTCGCGAAAGCAGCAAAAATTATCGAAACTGTTTGTTCGGTTTATTGAGTTAGCGGAAGATTGAGGAAGTTCATTTTTTTGTTTGTGTAAGGAATGTTGGCAAAAGTTGAGGGATCTTTCGTTTCAGAATTAGGGATTACAGTTTTGAAGGAGATTACTGTAACTAGAATTCAGAGACTAAAAAGCAAAAAACTGAAATACGGGAATCTTCAGCGGTCAATATCAAATTTCTGCAGTAAAACTTGAAAACTTTAGATTATTTTGAAAATTTGAAAAAAAATGAGGTGAAAAGTCAAATTGAATCAGGAAGAATATTCTCAGAATCTAGATACATACTTCCTACAGTAACACGTCGAGAAAAGAGAAACCCCAAATCCTTGAAAAACTTATCTTCTCATCCTCACTCATCGATTAAATAAATACTTTATTTTCTTTCAGACCATCCAAACTGGGCCGGCCCGAATTGTAAAACAATAAAATGAGAATCAGGCCGGCCCAGAACACTTCGAATAACAGTTCGAAATGAACCGAAACAAAAACTAGAAATGAATATCAGAAGCAAGCAACAAGTAAAAAAGAAAAACGAGAGTGACCAGTGTCCGCGATATGCTGCAAGGCACTCGCTCGCGGTCTGCGGCGGCTTCAACGGCGCCAGTCGCGGACAGGCCGCGATGGCGACTAGAGAAGACGACACACATCACACAGAGGGATGTGTTTGCACTTTTCGTCGCGAATGCCCTTTCTAGCCGTGCACTAGCCAACACCTAGAGGCGAGACACTGAGACATTATGTGATAGAGGAGAAGAGACGCTGAGAAATTGGGTTGTTGTGACAGACACTGCTGGGGGTGGCGGAATTTTTGTGTTGTGTTGTGTTGTGTCTGTGGATAGATGGATAGATGTTGCAACTAACTGGTACATGTTAAAAGAGAGATGATTGTTATGATAGATTACAATTTCGGGGAGAATCGAAAAAAGTTCAGGTGGTCTTTTTGAAGATGATTTTCGATGAGAGAAATAGATGTTCCGTTTCAACTAAGAAGATTAATTGTATGGTCGAGTTGACAATTTTAAAATTGATTTGGTTGGAATTTGCACTTTATCTTTCAGAGTTTGCACTTTTTTAATTGGAGGATGTGAAGCTTCCGATTTATTCAAATTAAAATATAGAAAAAATAATAATTTGTATTCTACATACAAATTCTTCTTCATTCTCTCAAATCATAAATTCTACTCATAATTTCCATCTAAAATTCTAACAAAAGCTTTCAACTATCATATTTCATTTTGCCGATAAATATCTACATTCTACAGAATTTATGACTTTTGTTCTTGTTTTCCAATATTTCACACTATAATTTTTTAGAACCCTTGATTATTATTTCTTGCTTTTTTCGATCCCTCGACTATAGCAACAAAAAAAATGAAATTCTAGAAATAAACAACAACTTTTTGAACTTCAAAAAAGAACATTGTGCTCATCTCCCTCCACCCCTTCGTTTTTTTGCGGTGTCAGTTTGTGCTCTTGGCAAGAATAAGAAGAAGAAGCAAAAAAAGAAGATGATGATGGAAAAGTGCACATGCATTCTAGTCTGGCGAAAACAACAAGAACGAACGCCGGTAGTTAGTGACTGGTACTAGAATGATAAGAACAGAAAATAAGAAAAAGATGTATGAGAAGAACAAAAATAATAATATGAAGAAGAAGAAGATGAAATATGATATTGTATTGTTTTGACAGACAAAAATATTACAAAACAATATCCTGAAAAAAGGTCAAACTTACTCGATTCATAATCGATCTTAGCTCATCTTCAAATGTTTTTGCCATAACTTGTGGTAAGACATTTGTTGGTTGATTAATTGGTGGTTGAGCCAAAACATCAGCATCACCAATTGGCAGCGAACAAATTCGATGACGAGCTACGACGAGTTCCATTTTTCTTGTCCATGGATTGACATAAGCTGACCATTCAGTTTGACATCGAAGAATTGAACCATTATGTGCGACTAGACGAAGATCGGCTATCGATTTGACTATTTTTCCGCGTGAATTATGGACTGAAATATCACGAGATTGATTAACTTAAAGTATAATTGAGAAACAACTTACGATCAATGTGTGCTTGTCGGACAACATGAACATCTGGTGCGTAAACGAACGCAAGAAGCGATTTGCCGATGAGATCAGTTGGAAGTAGGCCTAGATATGGGATTGACCTAAAAATTATTGATTATTTCAGAGAAAATTGTAAGTTTTAAGAAGTTCGATGAAATATGAATACGTGGACCAACATTTTAGAACTATTTTTCCCGAGTTTCAGATTTTTTATGAAATCTCTTTTTGCATCTCAAAGGCGCTCATTCATTTGAGATTAACTTTTTTCCCTATATCTCCTTTGAAAATATAAAATCTAGTTTAATTATCCCAATTTCAAAAGTTAAAAATGAGGTTGGAATTTTTGGAAAATAAAAAAAGAGCCACGTATAATTTCAAAATCTAGGTCACGTTTTTCACGAAATTGTTCTGAAACAAGATTTAATTTTTTTTTGTTGAAAATACACGCTACTTTAAAGGTTCTTATTTGTTTTTATTTTTGCTACCGTAATCCTTATCTATGGAAAACTAATAATGAACTCACGCATAATCGATATGAGTTAGTGCACAAGTCGACGAATGTTTCGTGATAAACGTGAATATATGAAAAGGTTGCATAGTTGGCTGAAAAGCAGATCGCAAAGCCAAAACGGTTATTTTGGCGCGAGATGCTTCAAATTCGCATAGCAATTCGCAAGCTCTCGATGTTCCATTTGGCCTAAAATAATATAATTATATATTTTCAGAAGCGAATATTATTTATTTTCTATCTCTTTCTCCTTTTTCATTCAATGCACCCAAATTAAATGTATTTATTTTTCTCTCTATCTCTCCTCCCTCCTCCCTTATTTCTATCTCTCATTTTGTCATCTCCCCTCCGTCTCAATCTCTCATTTTCTCACGATTTTCCTCGCTCTCTAATTCTCTCATTCTCTGTGTTTTCCCTCGTTTTGTATGTTTATTGGACAATTGAAAATGTAATCGAGGCGAGGGTGAAAATATGGAGATCGAAAGATCGTGACTTACATGGTCAGACGGGCAAATATGCGTTGTTTGACTGAAGCAGCAGCCGCTGACAATATGAAACTCTGACCTTTTGGTTCGAGTCTATGCATGAAATTGCTACCAATCGGAAGATACTGTAAATCAAATATTGAAGTTTCCAACAAAAAATTTCCGAAAATTTACCTGCTCTGTAAATCCATCAGCATAAGTCGCCGAAGAAATGACCTGTCCATGTGGAAGTGTAAAAGTACACGTGAACAAAAGTCGATTGTCAGAATCATCATCGAGTTCAACAGAAGATGATGACCAAGTATTTGGTGGCGACATTGTTGCACCATCATCACGACATGTCTAAAAAATAATAATAATAATAATGAATAATGACTTTTTTGCTAGAAAATAAAAAAGGTCACGCGATTCACAAATTTATTCATTTCTTATACATTTTTTTGATGGATGAGACTAAATTCGTAGACATTTTTAAAATGGGAAAGGGGTAAGATTCAAGCAATTGAGATCATCTTAAAGTTATCTGAAAATTAAAGGTAACTTGGGAATAGTAAAATATGGTTTCAGAGAATAACAATTCCTTGTATTTTTTACCATTCCAAAAAGACCCGAATTCATTTATAGTTTCAACTTCTATCCTTGAAGGGTTTATCTCATATGCTAGTCTAGAACGACTTTGTAAAAAAAATCCCCTTGGGGTTTGACTATACAAAGGTGCTCAAACTATTGAATTTCTCATTTTACTCATCTCTTGAAAATTTCTAGTTTTGAAAACAAAAAACCCGTTCGAACCTGTGAATTACTGGCCGCTGGAACTTGTTCCTCTCCAATAACTTGTTCTAACATTTCTTCATCCTCCCCATCTCCATCTTTTTGTTGTTGCCGTCGTTCATGTTGTTCTGGTTGGTGATCTTGTTCTCCAGATCTGGCCGCCGGCTCCATGCCGCCAAAGCACACTACGACTTCTGAAACAAATTGAAATGGAATCCACGTGGAATCATGTATACTGTAGATACGAATGAAAGCGAGAAAAAAGCGAGAAAGAGAGAAAGAAGAACAAAGACACGGATATGTGTGAATGAGATTAGATAGATACGATTTGGATTGGATTGGAATTGAAATTGAACGAGATTTGAACGGATGAAAAAAGGATAAAAGTACATGTCTCCCGGGCATACTGTAGATAGTATAAAATGTTTGCACAGGCTTCTTTGAAACACTACAAAAGATAGACACATCAAGAGAAAGAGAGAAAAAAGAGACTAATAAAGGGACTGGGGGTGACACTGTCGGCGATGATTTGAACATTGACCCAATTTCGATTCGGTCGTGCTGGTTAATGGTGCTTGCTTTTGAGAAAAAAGAAGAAGAAACACAACAATTGGGAAAGAAAAAATACGAAGATGAAGCTATTCATCTTGGATTTTAATTGGAAAGTATGGATAAATAAGGAATACAATATTTTCTGGAAACATTGGAAAAATTCTAACAAATTCGAAAATTTTGTGAAAGTTGTGTGCAAATTTTTGTTCAAAAAAATTAAGGACACTTTCAGAAAAAAGGGCAACGCTGAGAATTTTCAAGATTATTCAGCTTCATCAGAACAGATAAATTTAGAAGTTGAGTTTTCAAGATCTCGAAAAAAAAGAGACACGAATTCTCAGATTTTTCAGTTTCAATTGGAACCTAAAGGACAATGTTAGAAACTGAAACTATCGCTGGAAATGAAACAAAGAACAAGAAAAAGGTGATGATGAATTGATGACTATTTTTGCAGATGTTGACCATCTGATCAAATGAATGAATATGAATATATCAAAGAATTGAATAATCAACAAATAAAAAGCGCAACATAAAAGAAAAGGAGAAGATTTGAAGCGAAGAATCTGACATCAGTGATCGAACAATAATATCGAGAACACACGAATCAATCGAAAAAGTCGAATATTACGATTCGATTCAAAACCAGCACAGTGAGGAGACAAATACACACACACACGATTGAAGAAGAAAAGAAGAAGCATGTGTGAAGAGAAAGAAGAGAGTGGAAAAGAAAAAGTGACCAGTCAGCCGGCTGTCGTGAAATAGTATTATCGGACACAAGAGTGGACAGAGAAACGATAGAACGACGAGAGAGACAGTGGTGCTTGGCACGAACAACACGACTAACATCAATGGGTCAGGCACGACGACACTCTGGTACGGAGATGGACACTGCAATTGAATTGAGAGAATAAGAGATTTTAGAGAAATAGAGAAAATAAGTGAAAAAGAGATATAATATAAAATATAAGAGAGAGGGATGAGATGCATAATATATATCTCTATATATGTATATAGATAGTAGGATGGATATATTTTAAAAGAGGACAAACTAAGGTCGTTGTGCGTGACTAGCACTAAGTGCGCACCCGAACAAGCAAAATGAAAATGAAACCATATTTAGGTTAAATGATATTTAGCTTAACATATGAACCATTCTAATTTCCGATTGACATTTTATATTAACTTTTATTGTTAGGATAAAAATATATTATTTTCCGAAACATAAAAAAACTAATTCAATTTTCAGCTGCTGAAGTTTTAATAATTTTAGATACGAAAAAGTAGTTTTATGAAAGATGGAAGAAGATCATTTTGAACTTTTTTAAATTGTTCAAAAATACCATACTAATACAGTTTATCGAAGAATCGATAAGTTATCAAGAAGATCAAAATGATAAAAAGTGCAAAGTGTTTATAAATCAGAACACTTTGAAACTAAAATATTTTTTTATGGATGAGTGTTGAAAAATAATAAAATCTGGTTCCAGAAAGAATCCGGCAAAATGTTGTTTTGTTTATGAAAATGAACGTTCTGTTTATTTATTATTATTATTGTTGTTTTTGTCACGGAATACCACCATGTGTGAATCTCGAATTTCTTACCAAAAAAACTGGATTGAAAATATAATTAGACTAGATACAAGAAATTAGGTTGGATGATGTCAATTATTAGTTGTTTTTGTTTTCACGTAGGTTTAACGGAAGTTGAATTCAAGTATTTTTACAGCGGAAGTGAACTGAACTTCTGATAAAAGTTTTAGTGAAATAAACTAAAGTTACTGACATTATGTCTTTCCCTTGTCAGGAAAAATTTTAAAATTATGTTTCATAAAATTTTGAAACACAATTTTAACAATAATAAATAATATTTTGCCGCCACCATCCACCAATCCACCAAAAACAAACCAACTGTTCCATTTTTACACCAAAAGTGTTCATCTTCCGAAAAAATATTTCAAGACGAGTCCGCTGCGCAATTTTTGTTTGGTGCTTGGTACTAATGGGCTTGTTTGTCTTATAGAGCCCGAAATTCTTTTTGGTGTGATTTATGATTTTCGTACACTTATTTTTTTGCAAACCAATACTAAATAAAATGAAGAGGGACAAATTGAATAAACCTTGTTAATAGATATGAAATGAATTCGAAATAATTTGAAAGGATGAAACAAAAAAGTGAAAAGTGACCGTAAATTTGTCAAAACATGACCTGCTAAGCCAGATGTCATTTTGACCTCTTTCGATGAATTTATTGTATGGTTTTCAGTAATGAACACATTTCGAATATTTATTTGGAACGAAAATTAGTTTCGGATTGAGAAAACAATTTTTAGAATGTCTTAAATTCGGAAAGTCAATGAAAATCAATGAAGTTCATTTCATCAGTTTACAGAAAAAAAACTACTGAAATTCAAAAAAAAACTGATTTCTCGAATATAATTTATTTTATTTCGGACACTCTGATTTGCTCACGAAATTTTCATTGCAGCAGAAAAATTAAACTTAATTAAAAAATAAGGTGGAATAAAAATCCAAACTAGTAAAAGGGAAACTTTTCTTTGAATAAATGTGGTTTTTCTTTTTCAGAATTCTGACAAAATTTGAGGGAATCCAAATATTCAAGATTATATCCAACACAGATTTTGAAAATGAACATACACTGATTTCCTACTAATAATTTCTCAAAAGTATTAGGTCTCAAATTTAGAAATGAAATTTATTTTTTTCAAACGCTGAATAAAAATTTAATATTTCACGTCAAAGACATTTTGAATTGCCTAGAAAATTAAAAACAACACACAGTAATACTAACAGTTGGATGATTCACTTTTTTCAAAAAATGAACCTTGGCCTACCTTTTCTAAAATCAGCTGCAAACATTTTGAAAGTGTCTCAAAAAATAGGAATGCAAAACAACAAATTGAACAATTTAGTGTGACCACTAGACGAGACACAAAGAAACAACTTTTTTGTAACTTTGTTATTATTTTTACTTCTCTTTCTGCTTCTCCTTCCATTCTCTGGTTTTTTTTTTGAATTCCATCACATTGTTTCATACAAAAAAAGAAATAAATTTAACATAATTAGTGTTTCTTATGTTTTGTCCCAAATATATGCTCATTAAATTGCAATCATTCAGTTTGTCTTTGTATTGTGCAACATGGTACCAGGTTCCATCAAACCAACTCACAATAAAATATGATAATAAGTAACTAGGCTAACTAATGGGAAAAAAAGAATGAGAGAGAATGTGTACCTATATATAAACTGATTCACTGCTAAATGACGTGTGGTAAATATGAGTAATGCTATGTGTTCACTGGAAAAAACAGAAGATTCTGAATCATAAGTAGGTTAGTAGAACAAGTAGAGCACAGATTGTTAGTGAAAAAAACTAACCTGGCGAGATTGGGTAGCGATCGATACGGCTAATCACTTCACCAGCTGAAAAAATATATTGATTAGAATGTTCTGAAATTCCGTAGAATGAAAACTTCTCTCCCGGATCGCACGGGGATCAACCGTGGATTAAATATTGGTACTTCGTTGATTAAATTTCATTAAAGTCGGTTTATAAACCGTTGATCAACCGTTCTTAAACCTCCCAGCTGCTGTGAGGAAGGTAGAGTTGGCATAATCACAATTCATTGATTTCGATGTTCTCAATATTTCGAAGGAACAATGTCGGAATCGTGAACTTTACAGTTTTTGGAATATATTGTTTAAAAGTTTCAATTTGGGTAAAACCTTCTTGAATAACGTCCTCGTTTCAGTCTTGATAAATATTATTTTAAGATGAGTCATAGGATTTAAAAAAGAAATTTTTTGAACATTTTTTACTTTTGGCTCATTTTGTGCTTTTCGTAGAACCACTCAGCAAAAACTGGAAGAGGGATCTTTCTCAGCGTGAAAAACTGTAGAAAATGATATATTTCTTATTGAAAATCTCCGGGAACCTAACACACTTCTCTCGTAAGTTTCAGAGTTATTTTTGTGAAACAGGTGTCTTAACAACGTATATACAGATGTTTAGTCTTTCTGTTTAGCCTGCCAGTAATTTAAAATAGTTTTATGCTCTACATCAAACATGACTTCAAAATCACTGTTCCCAAAAAAATACTCACTTGTATCATCGAGAACCAATCGACAAACAGATGTCAAGGTATTGCAGATGGTTGATGTTTTCTCGAAATATTCGACAACCGTTTCTTGAGCTCTTCTTCCACCCGTCATTTTTCTCGTTCTTCAGAATCAGAATAAGATGTTTCAAAATCAATAATTACCTAGAAAAAAACTAATTGTTTAGGATGTATATCAAAAGTGAACTAAAAAAAAGAACTGGTGTGATAGTTTAGCAGAACAGGTGGGGGCGGAGACTACAATGGCGCAGGGAAAAAAGGGATGGTGTGAGGCAACTTATGTGCCACAAAAAAAAAGAGGGGAAGAGAAGAAAACACGAAGAAGAAGAAGAAGCTAACATGAATTGAACTGTATAGAGAAACTAATTGGCTATTTGAGAAAAAAAGAAGAAGAAGAAAAAGAAACAATATTGGGAATGATATATAAATAAAAACTATATTTGATCGAAGAAAATATGTAATGTTTTGATTGAAAAAGAAATGTGCCATGGTTTTGGATGACACGATGCTATTTTTTCGCTTTTTTTATTTTGTCCAAATGTTTCATAATCCTATCTATCGTTTCTTACCATTTCAATTTTGATTGAAACATATGTTTTTGTTTTTTCTGTTGATGTTGTTGTTTTGGGTTGTTGTCGACACGAATCGTAAACAAAAAAAGTAGATGTGTTTACAAGCACCGTATATGAAGGAGAAAATGGAGACAATGACCGCTCCCAGATGAGGAACGATCGTATAAACAACATGTTCATTGGAATAAAAGAAAAGAAATGATTTGTTGTTATTGGTCCAGAAAACAACAAAAAAAGATGAAAATGGATACTGTAGACATGTGTTAACCCACGAAAATAAAGAATAAATTTGGGGGATCTAATATGAAACTGGAAAACGTTATTGGGTTTTACAAAATAACATTTATGGGAAAATTTTGAATGAAACTCCGCGGATCTGATTTTCAGAATTTCTGTATCGCAGCAGGGCGACAGCATTTCTTGTACGTAGAAATTGAACCACCAAAAAGGAATCGGGCCAGGGTTGACTTTTAAAGAAAATTATTATTGAAAAATGACTCGATCTTTTTAGGCCTGATTCAAATACTTTTATGAATGAATCAGACCTTGCCCGATTTCTTTTTGACAGCAAGATATTTACTAAAACATGATCATCATTCAGAAATACTGAAAATCAATCTGGATATCCTGGAAGTGCTATCCATCTGGCACTTCAAGGGAACATTCAAGGAACTGATAAGACTTCTAGGTGGGGGTTGCAAATTACATTACTTTGTCAAAAACGTTTCTAAAACGAGTACATTCAGCTAAAAAACACTGTAATTTTAAGAATTTTCTCTCAAAAAATCCATAAGTTGGAAAACTTGATGATTTACAATGAGTTTTTTTTTACAAAGGTTCATTTATATGATGCCGCCGAATTGTTTATTTTTCCTCCACTTTTAATAACACAGATGGTTAAACTATGAGGCAGCATTATTTTTTAAAAAAGGAGAAATTCAAAAGTACATGAACTTCTTTCTCGTTTTATTTAAAAAAAAAAAGAAGAAATACTCGTATCTTAGCTACTCATAGATATTCAACTCATTCTCTCTCTCAACATAAAAAAGTGTGACAAAATTTTGGCGCTTTTTCCCATATTTCCAAATGTTGCCCTACAGTTTCATTGTTCTGCCGACAGAAAAAAAGGCATTTTAAATGTCATATTCCCGGCCACCCAGCACCAGCTTCTACTTCAATCCCTCCCGGCAGCGGTGGCCAAACGACCTTGAGAATTTGTGTTGTTCCTTTTTTCGCGCAAAAAATTTAACACCCAGAAATAACTGGGAAACAAAGAAGAAAAGCCGTGAGAAAAGAAAAAAAATTTATTGTCGAGAACATCGAACTTCTGATTCAGCTGAAGAATAGTCGCCATCGAATAAAGAAACATCAGCAATGCACAACTGGAAAACAATCGTACAAAAATTCAATATAGCAAAAAATAGTGTAAGCCTACCACTTTTACACTCGTATCCACAGCTTTGCAACCAGGCAAATCAGTCAAAGGAGTTGTCTGGAATATTTTTTACTTTTATGATTTTTATTTTGGGAGATGATTTTTTTAAATATCCGAAAATTACGGCGGAACTCGTTTTGGGTAATTTTTTATTCGGAACTAATTTCATTACCCTCCTCATTTTTCAAAATTCAAAAAAATACCTTAACTGCACAATTGCTCTTCTCTAACAACATATCAAAATGCCAAGTACTGTATGGTTTATTTTGTTGGATTACTGTAATTCGTTGCGCTGAGAATTGTGTTGTTCCAGGAACCCAAAGAACCGAATCATGAATTTGTGCATTTGCTTTTGGAAGTCCGACTTTGTAAACGAGATTCTGAAAAAAGTTTATTTATAGTTGTCTGGAGAAAATCAGGAGGAAAACATATGAATTTTGTTTTTTGAAAAAGGTCAATAAAACGGCAGAAATCAAACAATGAGTCAATATTTTCGATTTTTCATAGTTTGGTTTTCGATTTTTTGGAACTCTTATGAATAACTTTTTCAGTTTCTGTCGAAAAAATATTCAAAAAAAAATGAATAGCCTAGTTGACAAGAAGAAATATAAATCCAGTTCAAGTTTCAAAAAAAAAACCTGACTTCATTTTTTTAAAGTTGAAACGGAATAATTTTGTAGATAATTTTTCTAAAACAAAAAAAAACTAACCCTCAAACTTTGATCCTTATCGGGAATTTGTATTCGTTTTCCAATAGTAACAGAATCAATCATAGAAATAAACACAATAAATATCAGAACCACAATTTGTTTCATCATTTTCATTTCTGACTGAACTTTCAATTTTGAAATGTTTGTGTTTCTGTTTTTGTTTCCAAAAAATAAAATAAAATCAATATAACAACAATTATTCCGAAAGAGTAACAAAAATAATATTATTTCGAGGTTAAAAATGAGAACAAACAGAAAGAGACAGAGACAGCACAGTAAATATCGATTATATCATTTGAAAATCGAAAATTAGGTTGGAATTCTCTGGAAAATCGGGACAAAGTTTATGGCAAACATTTCTCCATTCTTCAATGCGTTGATCTATTTTTGATTTTTCCCAATTTCGCAATGGATTCGGGTCGAAACGAATCGATAGTGAAGTGATACAAGATGGCAGAACCTAGAAAAAAATAAAACAGTTCAGCAGAAAACTTGTGAAAAAACTTGATACGGCTTTTCAAAGAAGAAAAAGATAACCTTCATTATTTCCATAGCATGTTTTGGACTTGTTGAATGACAAATATATTTTGAATTATTTGCACATGTTCCAGTTATCTCAACACATTCCCAATATCCTTCTGAACAGATTTCAGAAAATTCAGAAGTTTTAAGGTGTACTTCAAATATTTCTTCACCAAAAATCCGCCAAAATGTTGCCAAAGTATCATCCCACATTGCCAGAACACTCTCCCAAATATAACATTTCTGAAAATATTCAAACTTTCAATATAATTTTTAAAAAAACATCTAAAAACTCACTCGATTTTCTCCACGAATTTCATAGAATTCTTTCATTTGGAAGAAAAATAGAGATAAATATAAAATTGATATAAAATAAAAACAATGAGAATCTCAGCAAAAGAGAGCAAAAACAAAAGATTGATGAAGCTGGCAATTTGTCAAATATATCTGACTCAGTTGGTGAGCCAAACCACTACATAATTACAAGTGGTTTTTCGAGTGGAAAAATGTAAAAAAAGGTTTTGTTGATCTTTTTGAAATCTTCTGGAATAAATAACAAAAATATCTAGTTTGTTTATAAAAATGTTCACTTCAAAAAATAAATGATAAAAATCAGTGACAGGTCATCGAAAAAATTGAAACGTGAACGTGGAAAATTTTGAGCCAAAATGATTTATTTTCTGATAATAGTTTTGTGGGATTGCAAAAGCGATTTTTAAAGGTAAAAAATTTGGATGAAGGATTTTTAGGAAAATCAATGATTTTCAAGTAAATCTAGAAAATTAAACAAGCTGCAATCTTTTCATTTCCCAATCTAAACAATTCCAGATGTCGAAATCGAAGCGAGTGTTTTTAACAATAATGGGTGACGAAGATTTTTGGGGAAATGGCGATAGAAAAAATGGTGGAAAAAACAACAATATCATACAAGAAATTGGTGAAAAACAATTGAAAGATCAAATTGAAAAGAAAATGTATTATGAAAGTGCGGGAGAAGATTCGAGTTATGAGGGAGGTTTGGAAATGAAAAAAATACGAAATATTTCGGAAAGTAGCGATGATTTATTGATTGGAATGAAAACATTGAAAACATATTCGGATGATGAAAATGTTGAATCCAAAGATTCTGAAGAATATAAAATCAATGAATATCAAAAATTTCTGCAAAATCGTCCTGATTCAGAAATTCGTGTTCTTTTTGATGGACCATTTGATATTCTCCATGACACATTTTTCGAAATTTATCATCAAATTCGTGATAGTTTCACTTTGGCTGATTGCGAAGAAAATATTGTGATTCAACAACTTCAAAGAAATACTCAATCAATTGTCGAACATCATTCACAAACAAAACATGCAGTTGTTGTTTCAAGTTTTCGTGAACCGGATAGAAGATTGGGCCGTTTTTCCAAATATTATTATCATCATAATGTTGGACCAGAGGTTTATAGTCGAAAAGTTTTTGTTGGTGGTCTTCCAGCTTGTGTCACTGAATGTAGGTTTTCCGAATTTCGAATTTTGTAGTTTTTTGAATTTTCAGTAGAGATTCTATCATTCTTTTCTCGCTTTGGTCGTTTGCAAGTTGATTGGCCTAGTAAAAACTCAATGTATTCGACATACGATTCCGATCCATCATTGGGTTCTTCTGAATCTCAAATAGCCTTCAATCAACCAAATCAACAATTATATCAACATACCAATTCACCACTGCATTTTTCATCACTTTCTTCGCAATTCGGTCAAATTAATCCATTTGTCACTGATTATTCGGATTTTTCACGTGGATCTGGACAAAGTTTGCCATCAATGAGTTGTGGAATGGTTGATGATAAAAGACAAAAACATCTTGGATATGTATTTTTGTTATTTGAAAAAGAAAAAAGTGTTAGAGATTTGGTGACAGAATGTTGTGAAGAAGAAGCTGGTTTGTTTATTTCATTGGATGATTGTAGAAGTGTTAGTAATGTTGTAAGTTGTTTAACGAAGTTATCTTAACTTCAGCTATTTCCAGCGTGTTCAAATTCGTCCATGGTTACTTGCTGATGCTGAATTCCTAATGGATTTCAATGTTCCAATCAACACAAAACTTGTTGCTTTCATTGGAGGAGTTCCAAGACCTCTAAAAGCTGTCGAACTTGCTCATTTTTTTGAACAAACTTATGGAAATGTTGTTTGTGTTGGAATTGATATCGACAACAAATTCAAATATCCACGAGGTTCAGGACGAGTTGCATTCTCGAATTATGAAGCATATGTGAATGCAATTACTGATCGATATATTGTTTTGGATCATGAAGATATTCATAAACGAGTTGAGATCAAGCCATATTTTTTTCATAATCAATCTTGTGAAGAATGTAGTGGTCGTTATCATCGTCAACATGCTCCATTTTTCTGTCCATCACTTGAATGTTTCCAATATTATTGTGAACCTTGTTGGCATAAAATGCATTCTCATCCAAGCCGTTTTCATCATATGCCAGTTATCAAAGGAGTTTGAATTCAAAAATATTTTGTATTGAATAAACTGTTCAATTCAGGTTTTGTATATTCATATAAGTACATAATCCATGTTAGCTTATTTCGAAACAAGCCTTGGATTAAATATTTATTTGTTTATCTATCCTTCAACAGTAATCCGATTTAACATGACCATTATTTTTTATTCGCGCGCCAAAATATTTTTGTGAAAGAAATTCCCGACCAATTATTGGGTCGGGTCGTAAAATACATATATGTCAATTATATTCCGTTCTTCATTCGTCGTCTCCTAGTTTTTCTTGATTTCCTTCCTCAAATATTTGTGCACTGGATTAGGTCAGTGTTATTATGGAACGAACACGCAATGTTCCAGTTTCTTTATGAATTTACATTAACTTTTTTCTCATCGTTTTGATTTTTGAGAGCTTATAGATCTACATGCAGTAAGCCTTTCTTATGACACTTTTCAGGACCATAAAAAATGAATTTATTTTCCGATTCCATAAAATTACAAATTTTTACACGTTTTTGAAATCATTTCAAAATTTTTCACGTGAATCATTTCATTTCGCATTTATTTTATTCTAGAAAACCAGATATATTTTCATACTCTGAGGAATGGTGTGTGAGTTGGCGGGAGGGCTTTTCATCAATTTAAATGTTTGTTTTGATATCTTCTTTTCTCAATTCATTCTTCACATCAACAACATTTCTGTTGTTAGGGTAAACTCTAGTCTTAAGAAGCAAAGGGATACGGAAGAAAATTATGCAAGAATGAATGTTTCTGTGTGCTCTTTCATATTTGTTTGTTCTATTGAACTCAAAATTCGTTCAGTATCTATCTAAAACATCAAACAACATTTTCAAATAGATTCGGGAGCTCTTTCCGAAATTGTTTCTCATACATTTTTAGATACACATTCGCATAATCTTTTCAAAATCTTTCAAGGTTACTGTTTCTTTTTCAATTTCATTTTATTTCTTTTTCTAGTAATAGTCATAACAAGTAGAATTATGAGAATCTTCATCTCAAGTACACACCAAAAACATTCCCGCGCCCGTCCTCATTTTCCACTTTTCTCCTTCTTCTTCTTATTTCGTGTATACATTCTTTCATATATGGTTTAGATTTTTCTCAAGTGCCTTTGATTTTCCTCTAAAAAATTATTATTCTATTCCTTCGTTGTATTTTTGTGGCTTATATTGCTGCGATTGTTTATAATAAAAATTCGATTTAAAAAAGAACGACACATGTTTCATTTAATGGCAATTAAAATTATTTGTGTTTCTGTTTTTTTTCATTTTGATACTTTTTTGGAACGGGTTTAGTGTGACTGCCTACTCTATTTGGTTGAAATCAAAATTTTCAGCTGCATTTTTTTCTCGCAAAAAACCGTAAGAGTGAAAAAATCGAATGATTATATATAATCGGAATTTTTATGATTCATCTTATAAACATTTTTATGCGATGAGAATTATGAACGGTCATTTTTTACAATATCGAAAACATCTAGTTTGTTGGCTATACACATTTTTTCACGCTAGATTGAACAATGGACGAGTTTTTTTTCGAATTTGAAAGTAATGTTGAATCGTAATCTGATATTAAAACTGTCGCGAAGTAACTTTTGAAAAAAAGAAAGTTTAGGTATCATTTTTTGTTGAATTTTCTTCGGACATCAGAGTGTTCAAACCAGTTCAATAATCTGTTAGCATTTTATAAAAACATCAATAAATCTTGAAATCTAGTCGATTAATTTGTTCCCAGTCAATCTATTCTGCTGCCAACCCTACCCAACCCGGTCTTTTCTTCTGGTAATTTTTCGTCGTCTCTTCGAATCATATTATGTTTTCTAATATTTCTTATCATCACACTTATGTTAGTTCTTTTTTTCGCTTCTCTTCATCATACATAATAATTTTGTTCTATACATTCTTCGATCTAGTTGACTGTTACATTTCTTTTTCACTTTCCATTTTTTCACGCAGACCGTATCTTTTTTTTTCTAGATATTTTTTCACTCAATCACGATACGAAAATAAAAAATCTATCTGAAATTTTGGGAAAAACATGGAGGTGAAACATTTTTCCAAGGTAAAAAACTAGTTTCTTTTGTTTACCTTGCTTGACAAGAAGATTATGACAACAAGAAGCCGAAGAAAAAGTTTAACATTGTAGTTTGATTTGATTTGAGTGGAAACTGTTTAGATTTTCGAAATTCATTTTTTCTCTCGTTCCAATAATTTTTGACAAAGACAGCACCGCTCATATATTTTTATATTGTGTAACACGCTGTAACAATAATAATAATATTAATATTTGTTGTTTCATATTTTTCAACATCTCAGTTGTATAGCGTTTTTTGATGACTAACACACCTAATAATCTAATAGTATCTGATACTCGAAGAAGGTTTCCTATCATACCTCACTGAAATACTTTGTCGGTTTTGGCAATGAAGATGTATCGGTTTTGACGGTATCTTCGGTATCTTATAATAAATGGACTTCTGATGACGATGTATAAAATCTGTTGAGTTGTAGCAGCGTTTTCATCCGAATATCCTTCCCAGTTTCCTTTGGTTTCATTTTGAAAATTTCGATCTGTTTAAACCACATAAATTTCTTTCTTCACGAAAAAACTGAATACTAAAACTTCTCTGCTTTCTCGTACTACTGACAAACTCCCTGATAACTGTAAAATAAAAGAAAAGAAAAACAAAACCAAACAGAAACAAAACAAACAAATACTAAATAAAAACAAACGGGCATATAATATTCGTTCTCTAGAATTTATCGTAAATCTAATTGTAAACGTTGTTTGTTTCATTTTTTAACATCTGAGTTGTATAGCGTTTTTTGATAACACACCGAATAATGTGTTAAAATTTGAAAATCATTCAATTTAACTCACCTGGTTTTTCTTGAATCCACAATTTTTCCACTGAATCAAACAATTGAACCCGAAAATCCGTCGAAATTTAAACCAACTTGTGTGCATTTGTGCGTCACCGTGTTTGAACACAACTTGCAGCCTACAGTAATAAAATTAATAAAAATTTTAACAAATTTTTTTTATTTTGCGAAAAGAAACTAGTGACTAGATTTTTGGGCCTGAATTGTGATGAGTTAGCCTAACTTTTTTCAATTTTTTTTCATGATTCACATATATTTTTCAAATTTTAAAGAATTTTTCCGCCATCCCTCCCCAAAAAACTCACCAATCGCTTCTATCTCTCAAATCACACAAAAATCATCCAAATCCGAAATCCTCCAAGTTTTCCACGTTATTGATATTGAAATCCTATTGCCCATCATTATTTCGAGCTGAAAACTCAAAAATTTCAATCGAAACAGTATTTCTCTAGAAAAACCCCACCTTTTTTCGATCATTCTCGAATTTTCCGTTGGTTTTTCAATTCCATCCCTGTAGAACATCTAAAAATTCAATGTTTGACTGAAATCCATCGATTTTCCCCGGAAACCTGAAAACCCAGCAAAAAAAAACAAAAAATGAAAATATTCTCGTGTTGCGCTAAACAGCGCGCAAGCGGAGTGTCGTTGTAAAAGTCAATAAATAAATTCAATTAATTTTCTATTTTTTGTCAACTCCGCCCGAAAAGTGAAGCTTGTGAGATTCTCGGGATAATAATTTATAGGAAAAACCTCTGGGTTCTCTTCAAAAAAATACTTGAATAGCTCCATAAGTTTTGAAACGATCTACCCATTGACTGAAACCTGGTTTAATGATATCGTCTGTCTCTTGAATTGTTTATACCTTTTTTTTCCATAATTTCACACCAAATTTCAATTTTTAATATTGTTCCCAACCAATTTATTTTGCAACATAATGTGATTTTTCATCGCAAAATAGTTCATTTTATTCAGTCCATCGTCTTCCGACACATTTGAAAAATGTGTTTTATTTATTATTAGCAACAATTTTTTATCGAAAAATTGGAACACAAATTTCCTTTTGTTTTTCTCGCTTTTTTATTGTTTCGATTTCACTTCGCCGAAAATCTACATGTTTTGGTTTTTTTTTTGTATTTCCACTACTCATTAAATGAGGCTAAGTGGTTCTTCATCTCCTTTTTTGCGATCTCGCGAATAGTTTCGCCTAATCTTCCGGAAATACTACGATACAATAATATATTTTCTATGGAATATACGTATTTTAATGTATTTCAGTAGTGCATGTTGTAAAACTCCTTATCTTATCACAGTTTTTGAACTTTTTTCGGATTTCGTTATTTGATTGATTATATATGTTTTACGGAAAAAAATACTTTAAAAGAAAAGACCGCTGCGCAATTGGATTCATTTTACCTTATAGTTTTTCCGACTTAGTCTGAGATACTTTTTTTTTGAAATCTTGATTTGCTATGATATGTTATCAAATTGGCAAATCTAATAATTTCGTGTTCCATCTCGAATTATTTTCACTTTTTTCATCTTTTTTTCTCGTCTCTCTTTTTTCTCCTATTTTTTTCTTCTTAATTTGGCATTGTTCTAAATATTTTTCGTTCGTCCTCCGGCCCCAAATACTTTTTTTCCTTTCCCGTGTAAAAAACAATAAATTGATTCTTGTTATTTTTCAGCCAGTCTTGAAGGAGCCCCAACCAACCACAATAGAAATATAAAGAAAGAAGAATAAATAAGGAGAAGAAGGAAGACACAAAAAACACAGGAGAAAGAAAGAAAAATAAAGATGGATTGGATATATTCGTGGAAGGATTCAATTTTTTATGGAATTTGTAGTTGTAGTGGTGGTGGAACTGGAGGACATCAAACTGACAATAATAAACAAATTAAAATTGATCGAGATCTGAGTGATAGGTTGGTTTTTTGGGGTAAGGGTTTTAGGACTACTGAAATCGATTTGAGCGAAACTTTTTAAAGAAACTGCTTGGATGTTTTTGAAGTTTTCCAGTAGAGAATTAAGCTTAAATCGAGCCAAGTTATGAGGCTTCAAAATTTTCAAAAAAAAAACCGAGATTCAAAAAAAGGGCTACTATACTCTTTTTTAAAATGTAAAATTCCGAATTTTTCGAACACTCAGTTGTTCTAAAATGTTTTATTAAAGTTTTTTATTTTGAAAAAAAAAGATTTCATGAAAATTTCACCGCGGCCTTATGATCGTGTTTTTAACAAATGAAAAAATTCATGTTTTTCGAATTTTGAAGAAAAAAAATAAACATGGTAGGTTTTTTTCAAGTTGTTTTTTATTTTAAAAAATTGATAATTTGTTCGTTGTAGTTTTCCGAACTTTTGATTTTCAGTTTTCAAATGGTTTCCACAGAACACCTATCTTGTCTCATTTATTTTTATCAAATTAATTTTATGATATCTGAAGGGTTTTTCCAAATTTTCCAGCCATAATATCTCTCAAACATCTCTGAAACTAATAGGCGAACAAAAAACAACAAATGAGGGCAAAAGTTTGAAATCGGATATGCTTTCTGGTTCATTTCAGTTTTTTTAATTTTCCTAATGACTACTTACTTTCTTACATGCTCATTTTTCTTTCTTGTCCTTTTCCTGAATTTGACAAAAATTCTCCGTTTTATTTGTTTTTCACACGAAACATTGATTTTAGGGAAAAAAAAACTGAAAAGAAAATTTCTCAGCATTTAGATTTGAAAAAAGTTTATTCTATTTTCATTTTCAGCCTGAAGTTTAATTGAAAAAAGTGTGCTTAATGAATTTCTGATTTTGAAGAATTTTTTGAGAAAAATGTCCTAAACAACTGTTGTTGAAAACTTTGAAAACAAAAAAAAATATTTTCAAAAAATAATCCGTCGCCCTTTTTTCTCCATCTAATTAGTAATCTAATCCACAAAATGGCATGATTTCAAAAAAAAAATTGGTTTATTTTCCAGATTCGACAATATGCCTCTTCAACTTCGCTATTTCAGGTTAGTTATTTTTTGGTAGTTTTAAATGGATTCAGAATTATCCTCCAGAAAATAGTATGAGGTCCAAATCAAAACAAAAACATCCGTAATTTTTCCGAACAAAAAGTCATTCATTCACTCAGTGTGTAAAAAAAGGGTTGTTTTACAAATATTTTGATAGATTATAGATGTTTGCGTGTGTGTTAGTGACATTTTTTCTGGTGGTGTCGAAATATTTTTTACAACAACTAAATTGTTTTTTGTTCCATTCTCTCTGTGTTTTTTTCTTTTTTGTTAGCAAGATCTTAAGATCCGTTAGGCTTGTTTTGATTTTTTCTGATAGCATCTTCGAAGTAGGTCGTGTGCTTTTATGAAATAAAAAAAGGCGGAGCCCTCATTTTGTTTTTGTTCTTCTTTGCCTAAGAGTGATTTTTTCTTGATTTGTTATTATTTTATCTATTGACAAGGTCAATTATCTGGTTTTTTCCCGCAATTTTTTTTGATTAAGATGATTTTTTGTTGTAATTTTGTCTCTGTTAGTTTTTGTCATCGGGTCATCAAAAAATCGAATGAATTTTTCGATTTCGATAATCCTAAAATCCTCAGATTTGCTATGCTATACACTTGTTGTTTTATATTCATTTTCATTTTTTAAATACTTTTATACAAATTTTCCCATTAACCTGAAAAACCGAAAACCTCATCCTCCATAATTAAATCTTTTCAACTTTGTATAATTACCCGACATCATTTTTCGAACACAAATTCATTCGCCAAATTTTCCTATGTTATCAAAAATAAGTCTAAATCTTTTTTCATTAATATGACGTGATTTTTTGTTGTCAGTTTGTTTACCTTTAGTTATTATTTCAACCTCCGTATTTTTTCACATCTCGATTTTTTTTTTCGAAAAAAAGAAGAAATTTTTAAATGACTCATAGTTTTTGCTTTGTCCTACTTCAAAGACTCTTTTCTATTTTTACTATTCGTTTCAACTGTTTTTTGGGAAACATGTTTAGAAGTTTTGAAATTTTATGATTTTTTGATACAGTCAGTTTTCAAGAATTTTTTTTTCAAAAATGATTCACGAAAAATTGTCTCAAAAATTTCACTTCAGTTTCAATAATTTTTCTGAACACTTTTATTTTATTCAAAGTTCATACAAATTGGAACACTTTCTATGAAGTATATCTAAATTCAGTTTCTTAAAAGGGCGTTTTCTTTTTTCCTCTAATTTTTCCACAAATTTAGGATGATTTTGATTTTTTTTCACAATGAATCTTCAAAAAAACAGTAATAGATTTGTTCTATTCTTGAACTTCTATTAGTTTTTACTCGTTCTTCAAAACCCCGCCCATTTCTTTCATTTGTGTTCTTTTTTCTTCTTTCAAATCATAAGTACCTAGAAATGTTGAATTTTTGCTACTCATCAAATAAATAATTATTAGGTTCGGGTCATCTGAAATTATTGCTTGTTTATTTTTTTTTGAAAAGAAGAAAATACCCATCATTTGATTTTACGTAATTGTCTGTTTTTTTTGTCGTCCCTTGTTAATTCTATTCGTTTTTTTCTGATTCACACCGCCTTTCAGTTTTTCCATCCACAACGAATTATTATTCATATTTCATATAATTATTTGATCGGTTTTGCCCTGTGTGTGGCTTTTCATCGATAAATAGTACGATGGATCATCGGCAGAATAAAAACAAAAATATTGTTTCAAATTTAAATGGAATTTGTGTTATTCGAATTGATGATACTACTATTTCAAATATTAGTAATAATTCGGTAAATAACAATAATAATAATGGATCACCTGTGAAAGGAATATTTCGAAGACAAAGTCGACCAATGAGAAAAACTATTCTACAACAATTTGGAGTTGGAAAACCTCAAACAAGGTTTTTAAGCAGGTATTTTTATTGTTTGAAGTTTCATCTCGAATGTTTATGAATTATATGTTTTCTAGTAGATGTTAACCTTCTGATTATTTCATTTTCAATAACTGTTCGAAGTTATGACAAAGTTTGAAAAAACATGACTACATTAGACTAGAAGAGCGGGTTTTCATAAAAATTTCCAAAGTCTCCGAAACAACATTTTTGAAGCCAGTCGTGTCACGAATTTCTTAACTCTCAAACTTTGCCACGTCATGGCGCGCTTGCTCATATTTAAAATTGAAATGAGCAGTTTTCCACTACCGTGTTCAGTAGGTAATCTTGAACCAATTGTACTTTTCTTTTTTAACATTATTACCGTAGTATTCACCTAATAATAGCTAATTGTCTCATTCTCGAAAAAAAACTGAAAACCCATAAAAGTTTTTTCTCGCTCTCTTTATGAACATCTTCTTCTTCGTCTACTCTTTTCTTCATTCATTCATTTTCATTTTAAAGTGTAAACAAACAAAAAAACAGAGAAAAAGAAATGAGTAATCTGAAATTCCACAAAAGAAAAAACATATTCGACTAATTCGATAAAATATTTATGTGTTCACATAAGAGGAATGCATAATTAAAAAGTCAATTAGGCAAAATGTTGGCCGCCGAGATTTCGAAACCAATTTTATTTTTATCTTCTTCTTCTCATTTCAAATTACTTTTTTATTAATTTATCACGTGAACTTTTCGACATTTTTGTTGTCTAGAATATTATTCATTTCTAGATAAAATGAATAGTTGAATAAATAAATTGTTAAATCCGACTTTTACTTTTCCACGAAACAGGAAAAAGTACTGTGGTTGTTGGTTGCATAATCGTGGCAATTTTGAGATTATCGAAATAAAAAACAAAATATAAATGTATAGAAATTATACTAGATATGCAAATGAAAAAAGCAAAGATTGGGTAATTCGGAATCGAAATTGAGCAATTGGGCGAGTTAAAAAAAAAATTTATATCCATCTTCAAATAAAAATTAGACCATCTTCAATTTTTTAAAGGAAAAATTCTGAATTTTGAAATGATCTTCATTCATATCAAAATGAGTATAATTAATGAGTAAACCTTTTACTCTCTTCAAAAATCTCCTTTTATTTTTCTCGTTAATCCTTTCGGGTCTTACTTTTTAATCACCTCCAGGCAATTTTTCCTGACTTTTTTCTAAATTGGAATACTATAGCAAAACAAAAAAGGCATAGTAAAAAGGGAATCACAAAAAACCCTTTTTTCTCACTTAAAGTGCTCATTAAGTATGTGTAAATGAGCTTTTGATGGAAATACGATGGACACGTGTTTTTTTGGAGGGTGTGAAAAATGAAAAAACACATAACACAAAAAAGACAAGCTGCTGAATGAAATGAAAAAAATTGAAAGGGTTTTTATTTACTACATAAATGTATTTTTGCAAAATACTCCCACCAGTTTTCATTTTTCTTTAGAAATTTGTAAACCACATCAGCTAATTTTTTAATTTTGAACTTTAAAGTCCCACAGAAACAATTCGACTCAATGATATGACGATCTTATGAATCAAATAGCCGAGCCTAGAAATCCTAGTTGTCTTGGATCTGCACCTAGAAAACCATTCTCGCAAGGAGTCGCGTCTTGAGAGAGACTGTTAACAGGTACTGCGCCTTGAGAGCATCTATACCAAGTAGCGAACCCTAGACTTCCGATTTGTCAAATCACCTTGAGAATCTATTTATGATCTACTTCAAAAAGTTTCAAATAAGTCTGGCAATTTGGGGTGATTTTTGGATCGTAAAATTATTATATTACAATTTATGCTGAATTGCATATGTTCACTTTTATCAGAAATCTACTGAACTTCTATGTTTTGTGTCACACGATTATTTTAATTTGGTGTGAAAGAATATATAAAATGCACAAAATGCGCCTAGCCATTAAAAATCCATTTGTGTTCATTTCTTTCATTTCATTCATTTCTACACACAGCTGTGGATATGTTGTTCTTTCGAAAAAGAAGCGGGAAGAATAAAAACCTCGAAGAATAAATGAGCGAAATTTGCCAATAACTCTATTTCTCCACTTTCTTGTAATAAAAGAAGAAATAAAGGAAAAAAGATTTTTTGTTCTGAACGCGAAACATCGTAAAGTATCTCGCCCCGTTTTCTTTTTCGCATTTTTCTTTCTTCCCGTGTGAACATGTGCTCACCACATTTTGATTTGTGTTTTCTTGGTACTTTTTTTGAATATAATTATTATTAGTGCAATATTATGATATTTTTATGATGAAAATAGTGTGATAGTTAGTTAGAAATCTGTGATATGAAATATTTTGGTTCTTGGCTTGAAATTTTGGAATTAATAATCCAAACAAAAAATGTTAGCGGAAAATGCAGAAAAATTAATTTTCAGACCGCTTAATTGTCAAAAATGTTCATTTTCTGTTCAGTTTCAATGAAAAAAATGATTAATTTTCAATCTGAGTTTGCAAACGATATGTAGTGAATTCTCAAATATTTTTAATTTTTTCTCAGCTTCTTGAAAAGTCATCGTCTCATAGTTTTTCTTCCCCCAATAATTTGAAATCCAATTATCTGTTCCTCTTCTCCACCACCGACACCAATCCAAAAATAAAATGAAAAAAAAAAACCACAAAACACACGCACATTTATTCACAAAAGACATAAAACTGTGTCGATTTCCAAAAAAAAGCAGAGGCTAATTAATTTCAAATGACCCAGATTGTTTTTGGTTTCCTCCGGAAATTTGCCAACTTTTTTGTTTTTTTCTTGCAGACGTAATTCATACAATTCGGAAAATTATTATCGAGAACTCGAAAAAATGCACGAATCCGGACTATTTCACACCGGTTTAACAATGGGTGAAAAGGTTTGCGAATTTTTTTTAGTTGTGAAAATAATCTTTATCATTTTTCAGTCCGAAGATTTCTTGAGTTTGGTCGAAAAAATGCAAGGAAATCGATTGGATGATCAAAGATGCGAAATGCCGGTTAGTTTCTTTTTTTTGAAGTAGGAAAAGGGGATTTTTTGGAACTTCGATGAAAATGGTGAAAAATAACATTTTCTAAAAAATCTAATTTAATTTCAATAAGACTCTGATCTGACCTGGGTAAGTTTTTTTTGTCAAGTAAAACCTTATATTTTTGTTCGCAGCTGGGAAATTCTCTCACAATCAATTAGATGTTTTTTTGTTGATACCAGCTGCAAATTTTATCCATCCATCATCTATTTTTTTCTTTCTAGGCATAGTTTATTCGAACCTAACATTAATAAAAAGTCATAAATCTTCTCGATTCTAATAAACAATATCAAATTACTATCTCGTCCTCAAATAGTTTGCTCATCTTTTATTCTTGTTTATCATTTCTTCTTCTTTTTTTCACAAGATATTTACAATAATTTTGCGCAGCCAGTCAGCTTCTTCTTTTTTCTGCTCAACATTGTATCCCACTTCATTTACACACCTTGTTCTGTTAGATATTTCTCCTGTTTGACAGACTGCTTGATAATCACTTTTTTCTTGCTTATTCCCTCTTCATTTTATTATATTTTTTTGTTCCTCTTCTCATTCATAAGTGTTGATTTTATCGCCTTGTTTTTTCTCGATTTTCTTCATTATTCAGTTTTTTCAGGAAAAATCTTTTCAAAGCAAACAATTCAATCAGGAAAAAAATTTATGTTGAAAAATCATTCCGTGATTCATGAAAATTTCAGCTTGTGAAAAATAAACATTCTATTTCAATATGATTTCGGAAATAGTTTTCGAATTGACATTTTTGATTTTTTTTCGAATTTTGTTGAAAAGAGAACAGTTTAAAAGTTCAGTTGGGATATTTTATGAAATTTTTTGTTGGTTTTGTGAGCCGCTGATCACGAAAACTTCTCACAACTCAACTTGGAATATTAGTTATATAGAATCTCGTATTCCCTTTTTTTGGAAATTTTCTTTAAACTTTTCCACGTCATAGCTCATTTTCAGAGTTCAGCGAAATCTGTTTTATAACGGGATCACATCCTCCGGTTAAAATCTATATTCATCCGAAATCTCGAATCAAGAGGTTCACTTTTTTGATAACAAAAGTTATCATTTGTGTAGTTCTCTCGGACAACTTTCTTCTTTTTTTTGTTCTCTTTTTTCTCTCTTCAATTATTTTCCAATTATTATTATATTATTTGTATCAATTTGTTGATGTTTTTGTTTATTAGTAGTACTACTAGTCGTTTTGTTTCTTTTTTTTTGCTTGCTTCGAAAAAAATGATAATAGAAGAAAACTAGTTTTTTAAACTATTTTCATATATAAATCAAATAGGTGCTGTATGTTTTGTTTTAGTGTTCTCGCCAACTTTTTTTGAAAAAAATAAAAATAGGCTGAAAATGTTTTTAGAAGAATAATAATATTTTAGTTCCACAGAATTATTCTTTCAAAACAATAAGGAAGGTATTTTTTGATCTACCATAAATATTAATCCTTTTCTCTGCTTATGTCACTTTTTCTTTCTTCCTTCATTCCTTCAAAAATATGTTTTTTTTTCGATGATAAATTTTTGTCTTCTTTTAAAAACCGGAATATTTTGAGGTTCACCGTAGGTTATTATTAAATCGATGTAACTATTTATTATTTTTATTTTTGTTGGCATCTCTTTTTTTTTTTTTGGTTTCCAAACTGTACGAACATCAAATGTTTGATGTGTTCATAAATCTTTTTTTCCATATTCTCATCAAATATCGAGAATAATAGAAAAATCCTGAAAATCGCTATCTTTCCGAAAATCGCATTTTGTGTCTGCTTCCCATCAAAAATATGCAAATGATACACTTTAAGCAAGCACACAGCGAAATAGTGTAGATGTTGAAGAGGCGCAGACATAATATCTAGTTTTTTTCCCGATTCATACATATTTGTATGTTTATTTATGATGAACATTTCAAATTTTTTGTTTTTTTTTCGAACAAAAAATAGATAGTTAGTTATGTAATAATATTTTGGGAATTTGGAGATTTCGAAAATCCGAAACCTTGACTTTTTCAATAATCCTATTATGACCTTCCTTCTCCCTTTTAATTATTCCAATCTCTGCGCACTCTTCAATTCAAACATTATTTTTGTCTGGGAGGAGTTTCACTTTTTTGTGTTCGAAATGGGATTAGTTATAGGGTACATATTTCCTTAAAACACCCACCCACACCTGGCTTTTTTTCTTTTCTGCTGACCATAATTGCGCCAAACAACAAAAATTGACGGTGATTTATTTATTTGAAGCTGGTTCTATCTAATTATGTTTTTTTTCTTTCAATTACCTCCAAAAACCAATAACAACTCTAATTTCAAATATTGTTTTCTTGGTAACCTGGTTTCCTTTTTTGTCCTAAATTTCGTCTCTTTTTTGTGTGTTTGACGATAAGAAGATTATTTTTTGAGAAGTGAAAGAGGATTTTCGCACCTCTTCCCAATAAAAAAATGTTTAGTTTGTTACGTTTGTTTTGTTCGCTATTTTTCTGGATCACCATTTTTTGTAGAAGAACATCACACCTTTTTGACTAAACAAACGCATTTTTTCATCGTTTCGTATTTCTTTTTTCGATTTTTTTCCAATCAATTTCATTGAAGATGAAATTTATCGATAGCAGTGAAGAAGAAGATCCGCCACTTCAACAAATTCCCGAAGAATTACCAAAAATGAGAAAAAATAAAATAATGAAAGAGGATTCGAGAAGAGCTTCAAGTTTTGAACTAAATCGAGAAGATGAATTCAAATTAATGGTTGCTGATAAACTTTTACATGCATTGGATAATATGAGAGATGCTCAAAAACTTCAGCAAATTAAATGGCGGTCGACGGAGAATTTGGCAGCGACAAAAAATTCAACGACTTCGGCAAAAAAGAAAAAATCGTCGACTGGAAGTCCGCTCGAACTTCTTCATAGTTTGCTTCTTCGAAAAGCTGTTGTCAAAAGTTTGGTGGGACCACCAAAATTGATTTCATCGACGGTTTCATTAGATGGAATATGTGTAAGATCAGATCAGAGTTTGAAATTGAAAATTTATATTTTTTAATCGGAGAAATCCAACTTACACAAAAACGTGGCCCACTTTATTCGGCTTCGCAAATTTTCAGAAATTCATATTTCATTTTCAGACACGTGGCACTTCTTCTGCATCAACGCCAGAAGGTGGAAGTACACCAACACATGCAACACCAATATTGACAAATATTATTACAAGAAATCTTATGAATGAAGTGAGTTACAGTAATCTGGTCAAAAAAATCAGAAATCTTACAGTAATCCTTCAAAAAACTTGATGATGTATTTACTAGGAAGTATTTTTAGGAAATACTACTGGTTTTTTTTTCTTGTCAAAACAAAACAAATATTTACATTTCGTGCATGATGAATGACCATCATGGAAATAATTGAACAAAATTCTACAGTATTCTCTCATCCTCAAAATTTATTTATTTTTCTTTTCAGATGCTCACAAAAGTTGGACCATATCCACAAATTGTTCTTCCACCAAATGGTTTTTGGATGGATGGAGTGAATTTGGTGCAAGAAGAGCAAATGACTAATATGAATTTGAACAGTTGTGCTCGATTTAAACTTGAAACAGATGATACTTCACATTCTTATCGTAGACACTTTTTCGGACGAGAACATCACGATTTCTTTGCGATGGATCCTGTTGTTGGTCCGTTGGTTTTGTCAGTTCGAACTGAAGTTATTTCATCTTGCGATCATTTTCGAATTATATTGAGAACAAGACAAGGAACAACACATGAAATTGTATCAGCGACTGCGTTGGCTGATAGACCAAGTGCTTCGAGAATGGCTAAAATGTTATGTGAAGATATTACTACTGAACAATTCTCACCGGTTGCATTCCCTGGAGGATCAGAACTTATTGTACAGTAAGTTCAGATAATTAAAATTAAATCTGATGTGCAAAAAATTCAGAAATTGATAGATATCCCTCGAAAATTCCAAAAAAAGTTCTTATCCCAAGTAAATTTGAATTTTTTTCAGATATGATGAACATGTTCTAACTAACACATATAAATTTGGAGTAATTTATCAAAAAGGTGGACAAACGACTGAAGAACAATTATTCGGAAATTCAAATGGTTCACCAGCTTTTGATGAATTCTTATCGATAATCGGAGAAACAATTCCACTTTATGGTTTTCAAGGATATCGAGGTGGACTTGATACAGTACACAATCAAACTGGAAAAACTTCAGTTTTCACAAGTTTCAAAGGAAGAGAATTAATGTTCCATGTTTCAACATTACTTCCTTATACAATTGGAGATTCACAACAACTTCAAAGAAAAAGACATATTGGAAATGATATTGTTGCAATTATTTTCCAAGAAGCAAATACACCATTTGCTCCAGATATGATTGCTTCCAATTTTTTGCATGCTTATATTGTTATTCAACCAGTTGATGCTTTAACAGATCGTGTTCGTTATCGTGTTTCTGTTGCAGCTCGTGATGATGTTCCATTTTTCGGACCAACTTTGCCAAATCCTTCAATTTTCAAACGCGGTCAAGATTTCCGCAATTTCTTACTCACAAAATTAATCAATGCTGAAAATGCTGCTTATAAATCTTCGAAATTTGCAAAACTCGCTGAACGAACTCGAGCATCTCTTCTTGAGGGATTATTTGCAACACTTCGAGAACGCGCTGAATTTTATTCGACTCCACTTCTCGAATCAACTTCATCTTCATCTTCTTCTTCAACAAATCATTCATCTGGTGGTATTTTGAATACAGTGAAAAAAGCATTTATTGGAAGAAGTCGATCTGTTTCACAAGAAGTAACTCATGTTCCACATCGAGCTGCGACTGTTGGAGGAACGCATTTAACATCAGCAAAAAAATCAACATCTTCAACAACAAGTTCGTCGATTCGAGATGATACAAGTGATCGAGTTACTTGTGTTAAACACAAAAAAGATAGGTTGGTGAAAGATTTCATTTTAATGGTTAATTTTGAATTCTTCTGAAATATTCTTTTTGATTACTGTAGTTTTTCAAAAGCATTTTCGAAATTTTTATTTTCAAAAAAAATGTTCACCTCTCCCTGAAAAACTTGCAAGTTCAAGCTTGAAACTTAAAATGAAAGATATCATTCTTGAGTACATTACTAAAAAAATCCGGTTTTGACAAAAATTATAATCTCGTAGTTTTTTTCGATTTGCAAAATTTGAGAGAAAGTTGAAATATTTTTTGAAAATTGTAAATTTTTGAATCAAGAATTAAACAAGACATTTTCAGACCTGAATGGGATCGTTCTTCACAAGAATCACACGATTCGGATACTGGAATGGAATCGATGAGTTCGGCCGAAACACAAACTTGTACTTTTTGTGTTGATGAATCACATCATGCCCAAGATGCTAAAAGATTAGAAGCACTTGTTACAGATGTTGGAAGATTACAAAATGAAAAACATGATTTATTGAGACAAAATGTTTCGTGTAAAACTGATATCAAGAAATTGAAAGATCGGTGAGTTTTAAAATATAAATAAGGCTGGGCAGCTAATTGTGAACTAAGATTACTTATTACCTATTTTATGCTATCAAATTAGCTTCCCAAATGTCTCTTAATTTTTTATCAAACTTTTCTAAATCTTTTTATTTTCAGTCAGAGTTGTTTATCTGAAGAATTGGATCGAGCAAACGAGGAAATCTCTCGACTCCGCCGTCTTCTCAAAAAACCATTGAGTGATGTTGCTCCAGTTCATCAACCATTCGAACGATCATTTTCCGATGTTTCTGTCTAAAATTAATTTTAGTTTTCATTTTTCCAACATATCATCAGGGTGCTATAATCGGGCTTTTCAAATATTACAAATACTATATTTTAACATAATAAAGAATATATAAAATTTTATTACATGAGTACAGTATATCCAAAAAAAGAAAAGATACAACATGTTTTTGGAAAACGGAACCTGCCGTCTCCAACCGGACGATAAAAGAAATGCTAATAGTTATGAATGAACCACACTCATACACATATAAAATGGCAGCAAAGGCTACTAAAGTGACTGACTAAATATTCAAAAGGCGGATATAAGAGACAATTTGGAAAAAATATCAAAATCTTTCTGATCAAAAAAATACAGAAAAGAAACCTGTTCAAATAAAATTATATTGTAATATAGAAATTAGATATAAGTGAATAAAATAAAAAAGTAATACTTTCAAATTTGCAAAAAATATATAAATCTGCTGGAATGTATAAGAACTCATCGGGAAACTCATTGGAATAAAACAATTTCGAAGCCTAAGTCTCTGGTTTATATTCTTCTTCTTCATCTGGTGTTTCTTCTTTTACAATTGTTGAAGGAGATGTTGATTGTGGTTGAGTTTGTGGTTGAGAAGGTTGTGATGATTGTTGTTGTTGTGGAGGAGGAGGTGCTTGTGGTGGAAGATGTTGAACTGGTTCATCTAATTCATGTTCATAAACACCGTCATTTTCAACACTTATTCCATCCTCATCTTTATAAACATCCATCTGCAAAATTATTTGTTGAGAAATTTTAAGAAAAAAGGTTTGCATTTCAAGTTTTTAGAATATAATTTTACAAATGATTTTTTAAACAAAAATTGAAATGTGAACATATCTAGTGAACCATTGAGAATTTGAATATTTTTGATTGTGGAAAAAATTAATTCAATGAAATTTTGAAAAAAAAACAATCCAATCTAGAAATGGTGAGTAAAATGTATTGATTATGAGTAATTTAGGAAAATCGAACATTTTGAAAATTTTATTGAAATTTTCATTAAAACAGTATGATTTTAATTTTTGAAATATTTTAAACTTTCATTTGATTGCAAAATCAAAAGTGAAAAAAAAATTGTATGACATTTTTATTCGAAAAAAATCTGATTTTCAAATGCAACATCAATAAATTTTTGAAAACCTCCTGATTTTTATTATTTTTGTATAGAGATGTTCATCATAGTTCAGTGACCTTCTCTTGTAAAAAGAAAGTGATGTACAACAAACAATTTCTAATTTAGTGTTTGAATTTTTTCCAAACAACAAAAAATCCACAAACCTGTTGATAAGCGGTTCCATCTTCATTATTTGGTCCAATTCGACTCCGTCTTCTCGCATTCATAAAAAAGTTGGCGACAGTTGATAAATCCAGTCTTAAATGTTCTGCTATCGTTTGCTGCATTTCTCTTGAAGGTCGCTGTGTTTCTTTGAAAATAGCTTGCAATGTTCGTTTTTGAATATCAGTAAAAACAAGTCGAGGTCGTTTTGAGCTTGGTCCATCTGGATCTGATGATGATTTTCGTTGTTGTCTCACATTTTGTGCTGGTGTTGGAGGCGACATTCCGGATACTCGACAAATCGCATCATCTCCATCTTTAAAATATTATATAAATTATTTGCGATAAAAAGTAAAATAAAATATACCTGTTTTCATATCCAAAATAGCTAATCGTGTAGCCAATGGTTGTCTAACCCAATTATACATTCGTCGAAATGTTTCTCGACCTGATTTCAATTTATTCCATGGTTTTGGATTACGTAATAAATCGGATAATGTTCCTTGACTTCTACATAATATTCTTTCAGCGAATATCGCTTGAGGTATTGAATGTTGTTTCAATTCGAATGCAATTCGTTTACACAAATCTTTTGTATCAATATAAATATCATCATCGATTTCAGCATTCAATGGATCATTGCTATCTTGGGTTGAATATATTTTTCGAACAACAATTGGTTGATGATTCGATGAAGAAGCTTCTAAAAGATTTTCATTTTTATTGGAAAAATTGTACTTTTTCGCGTAAACTCGTTTCTAATTTATGCTCACACCTTTGTTGTTCAGGAAAATTTATTACGTAAGATTCAGTTTCATCATGAAAAATTCAATTTTTTGTTGGAAATTTAGGAGTTTTTTCTTCTTCAAATTCAGGAGACAAAATTAAATGTTTTTAAAAGAAAACTTCTGAAAAAATCTTACCTCTATTGTATACATGTTTTGCGTGAAAATCGAGATCATGCGATTCGTTATTATGAGATTGTGCAGCTGCAGGAATACTTCCTGTAATTTGTTTATTTAACTTCAAATGCCTAAAACAAAAAAAACCCACTTTTATATACAACAGCTTTAGTAGTAGTATAAGTAGCCAATGTTGGATCATCTTCTGATTCGTCTTTTATCATTTGTGAATGCGACAAAAGTGTCGTTTCTCCCGAATAATTATTATGAGGTGACGGCGATGCTGAATCATTTTGAATTCCGTGCGATTCTCCGCCAATTAATGATGCAATCATTGTACTTGCTAATTCAACATTTGATACAGCTGGAGGTGTTTCAGCTTGTGATATTCTTTCCATTTCTTGTTGTTGTTGACTTAATGATGTCATTAGAAGATTTCCGTCAAGATCAACTTCTTCTTCCTAGAAAATTTGAATTGTATAATAAAATTATCAAATTAAACAAACCTTGATATATCCTGGTGGAATTTGTGAATTACTGCTATCTCTTCCTGAATAATCTCTCGATGTTTGTGGTACAATCCTTCGATCCAAATGTAATGGTGATAACAAACCAGCTGTAGAATTAGAAAATGTTGATTTCGCAGAGTCTAAATGTGAATACTGTTGACTCGACAACATTCCCGAATAAACATTGCTACTTGGTGCGCCTTCTGTTCCTGATGTTGTAATTGTTGTTGTTGTTGACATTGGTGCCAATTGTGTGAGAGTTGGTTGAGCTAAAGGTGGAGAATCTGATGAACCACTTCCCCCGCCACTTCCACTTGGTGTTGTTGGATGCGGTGAAATTGTGTCAAGAAAATTCTCTGGTAATTCTTCAAATCCGCCATTTCGAGCTGAAAATTGCATGATTTAGGTTCCAATTTCTCTTTAAATTAATCAAGAATTAATTTCCAAATTCAAAAACTCACCAGTATTATTAATAAATGTACTTGAGGGATCAATTTGCAAATAATCGGCACCAGTGCTACTTTGCCGCCGAGTTTTTTCGGCGGCGCCGTTTGAAGTAGCTGATGCGGCTGCTATCGGTTCCATATATCCAAAAACCAAACAGATCTTTGCTGCAAAAATTAAATTTGAGTTAAAACAATTTTATAATGGGTTGAAGGAAGTAAGGAATGAAAAACCGGTTTTATTTCAGTTAAAAATGTGGAAAATTACTGGAAAAAATTCCGGTAAATCAGAAAACTATTGGTTAACAAAATGCTATCAAATTTTTTTGAAAAGCTTTCAAGAATTAACGAAATCAATAAAAAAATAGAGGTAAATATTGATTTGTGTAAAAACAGAAGAAAATGGGCTGTGTCGATCAATATGGTTAGAATGAGAAATGTAAGTCAGCCGTTGTACGCTGGTCTCTGCGTGTCTTACATTATATTGTCTCTCTATTTTGCACACTATCTCTTTGGGCGTATACACATGGGAAATTGGTCTCGTTTGGAAAAGGGAAAACTAATACGATAGAGAGACATGGAACGATGCCAACTGAATTATTTACGGTGTTTTTTGTTGTTTTCAAATAAAAAATTTATCGAAACTTACTAGTATACTCCGCCCGAAAAGTGAAGCTTGTGAGATTCTCAGGGTTCCCGGGATTATAGTTCGTGAGGGAATATCAGGGTTCCCGCTAAAAACCCCCGGGGGTTCCCTTTACACATTTCCCGGGAAGTACTGTAGGGTTTGCTCGTAGTATTTGTTGTTTGCAGATTTTTTTCAGCGTGTTTGCGGATTTTTTTCTCAGAAGGAAGGGATTATGTAAATACGATGACAGTAAGACCAGTTCAACTTACAACAAATCTAGGAGAATTGCCTTTATTAGCATTCATTCAATTGACGAAATGTTTGGAAAAAAATGAATTATGGCTAAAAATTGATTTTTGAATCAAAATTTGACTCAAAACTTTTGAATTTGAACTTTTGAAAACTTTTGAGTCAAAAGTGTGAAAATGATAATTTTTGCCGGAATGAAGCAATTTTTAATGTGTCACGGGATAAATTATTGACCTTTATCACAAGGATTAACTCCTGATAAAATTCAGGAAAGAAACAATTTCCAAGTGTATTTAACTTGAACTTCGCCAGCTGACAAAGCGCTTTTAAAAGATTAAAGTGGAAAAACCACTTTTAGACACGAGAAATACAACAAAAAAAAAACTTTTATTACAAAAAGCTGAAAACCACAAAAAAAAACCAGTTCTAATACCATAACAAAAAATACCAGGTCTAATACCAAAATCTCAGACTGTGGTTTCTTTGTGTGTGTCTGGAGCCGATGTCTGTTGAAGCTGTTGAAGTTCCTGCGCTGCTGCTCTTTCTTGCGCTGCTGCTCTTTCTTGAGCTGCTTTTTCTTCAGCATCCATATCCTCTTGGGTTGCTGCTCTCGCGGCGTGAATATTCGGCTGAAAAAATGTTATTTTTCCAAATTGTGGAATTTTGGGACTGAAAACTGTTTTCTGTTATTTTTAGGAAAAAGCTGGCAAAAAAAATAAATTTTTGTGTCAAAAAAAAATTTGGCCACGTGGATTTTGGCGAAAATAAATTTTCCACCAAATTATAGGATTAGTCCCAAAAATTCGAAATTGTGAGGCTAATTAGAATTTTTAATTTCCATACTTACGATATCGAATTCGCCAACCTTCAGTGCGCGCTCTAATTCGACAAATTCCGCTCGTTCCAATGATTTGCGACTCATCTGAAATACAGTGAATTATTAATGCAGCAACTAACAGCAACAAACAGCAAAAAACGAAAGAAAAAAAAAGAAAAAAGAAAAATCGGCCCAAAATAAATACAAACGTCATTATTTTGAGTACTGTATCAGTTGTGCACGCTATTCGGTGCGGGACCCGTTGATTGGTGGAGGAAATTCAAATTTGAGTTTTTTTTGTTTTCTTTGAGGAAAAGAGTGTTTTGGGTGGTTTTTGATGGTTTTTTCAGTGGAATGTGTCTGATTTATCGGAATTGGGTGGAATATGGGATTATTAGGGTGGGTGAGCCAAAACGGGAGATTGAATTGAGCACAAAAATGGAAGTGCGTGAGCTGGGATGAAAACTGAGTTGGTGAGCCAAAACGGGAGATTGAATTGAGCACAAAAATGGAAGTGAGTGAGCTGGGATGAAAACTGAGTTGGTGAGCCAAAACGGGAGATTGAATTGAGCACAAAAATGGAAGTGAGTGAGCTGGGATGAAAACTGAGTTGGTGAGCCAAAACGGGAGATTGAATTGAGCACAAAAATGGAAGTGAGTGAACTGGGATGAAAACTGAGTTGGTGAGCCAAAACGGGAGATTGAATTGAGCACAAAAATGGAAGTGAGTGAACTGGGATGAAAACTGAGTTGGTGAGCCAAAACGGGTGATTGAATTGAGCACAAAAATGGAAGTGAGTGAGCTGGGATGAAAACTGAGTTGGTGAGCCAAAACGGGTGATTGAATTGAGCACAAAGACAAAAAAAACATGATTTGGTGGATTTAAGCCTTCAGAGGTTTGTTTTGAAAAATTTTGAATTCAACACAATTTGGTTTTCATCATGGAAATCATGAATACAGGTTCATTATTGATCTTGGCAATCTCTCTCAACGTTTTTAAGTGAATAATAATCAAAAAAATGAACTGCAGAATCATTTTAAGCCTTTTCAAACAATAAATTATGAGATTCGTTAAAGTCGGAAAATTCACAACTTGATTAACTTCTTTCAGAAGTAATATTGTAACTGAAAGTTGTTTAAACTGATGAAAACTTGGAAGTCTCTCACTTTCTGTGCAGTTTTCTTACGTTTCCAGAACATTTATATGCTGAAAAGTCTGGAAAGCCAATGAAAATCTTAATTTCATGAGGGTACTGTACCTAAAAATTGTTGTTTTTCTTGTCCAAAGTCCGAATTTTCAAGCCAAATTCGGTTTTTATCGTGAAAAAATAAAGTTTTAACATTTTCGGTCCAGTTCTGAAGCTTTGGTCAAAAAAAAATATGAAAAAAACATTTTTTAACAAAACAATTTGATCGGAGTTGGAAGTCATCCCGCTACACCCGATGAAGTCAATGGCAATCAATGAAATCGATTAGAAATTGTTGGAATTTACTTAAAATGAGTTATTCTCCCAATTTCTCATCAATAACTAAAGTTATCAAGCCCAAAAACACATTTCCAGAGCGATTTTCTAAAGTGAGGCTATACTTTTGTGGATTGGAAATTTTCGATTTTTTGAAAAATTCAAAAAATTCTTTTCGTGACTTATCAACCCAAAGATTGATTTCTGGGATGAATCTGTGTCCCATCTGCCCATATTTTTCAAAAACAAACATTTTCTGAAAACTTTAATTTTTTCGATTTTTTGAAAATTTTGAGGGTGAGGCTATACTTTTGTGGAGCAGTGTAGATTCACAAGGAAACCTTTTTTTACTCAACACTTCAGACCTTGATGAAACTTTGGTCATAGACAGCTTTTGGGGTCATAAGAACACCCTAAAAATCTTAGTTACCCAATGGACCTCTGAGCCAAGTTATGGGATCTCAAAAGTTCGAAAGTTGTCAAAATTGGGTCATATGTGAGGGTGCTAGGCAGCCTCCTGCCCCATCTCAATAAGACATGAAGTGATTAAATAGATGTTTATTATATAAGATAAGGTAGAGTAAATATAAGTATAAGCATAAGATAATTATATAAGCGTGGTCATCCTCTGGGTGTTGGTGAGGGAAGACTGACCCGAAAGGGGCGGAGTCTAGACGTCAAGCCAGCTGTGCTGATGGGCGTCACATCCCCCTTCGGCAAAATGGTACCGTCCCCGGTGCCCAATGTTGGTATATTTGGATAAGTTGCATATGGGTGGGAGGGTGGGTGAATAATTGATAATTTGTTGAATAATTGATAAATTTGGCATTGATATTTGTGGATATAATAAAATTGGCATTGTATCTGACATGGAGGTTGACTATGCATTACATGGAGGTTCAAATGATGGAATATTATGTTCAGTATTCCTCATAGTCGTCGTCGTCTTCTTCTTCATCATAGTCCTCGTAATCTTCTTCTTCATCATAGTCCTCGTAATCTTCCTCGTCCTCATAGTCCTCGCAATCTTCGTCTTCGTCGTCTTCATCTTCCTCGTCCTCGTCATCTGTTGATGTTGATGGCTCGGGTGTTTTATTACTGGAATTCTGGTGGAGTTGTTGGAAGTTTTTCGACAATTTTTCAAATTCACTGGTGATATGTGCCATGAGTGTATCATGACTTTCATCTTCGTCACGATTTTCCATTTGAGAAATTCTTTCCTCTCTTTCGGCGGCTTTGATTGACTCTTCCAGTGTTTTCGGTTTCGGATTAAGCCTTCGCAGATATTTTCGCAAATTTGGTCTTGTTTTTGCCAGGAATGTATCGGCTGTAATTTCTTCTTTCCGACTTGCTGGCATTCCGTTTAATATTATGTCGCATAGGTCTTTGACTGTTCTTCCAAGTTCGGCGCAGCTCATAATGCCTTGTTGCAGATTTTCCAGCGTTTCTCGGGCATCCATTGTGTCCGTGGAATTTCCATGAGCGGCGAGAAGCGTTTTGGTTACTGTTTTCCAATCTTTCTTTTTCCCATCCGGAATAAAATCATACTTGATCCTTGCGGTGTCTTCAAGTAATAGTGGGAGCAAATCAGTGGCGGTCTGATTGTCGCCGCCAACGGCGTAACAGTTTTGTTCAAAGTGTTCGATCCATCGACGAAGTTCGATTTGATTCCCTTTCGAGAACTTTCTGGTCGCAGCAATGATTAGTCCAGCTATTTTATAAGTTTCTGGCACGGTGTTCATCTTTTCCTCCTCTTTTTTTCCTTCAGGAGTAGTCATTTTCCTTGGTGGGACGATGTTCTTGACTGTTGGTGGAGTTTTCGAATCTTCTACAACTGATCGGATTTATCGACTGGTGTGGATATCGACCTTTTCCGGGTGTGTTTGGTTTCTTTCAGCACTGATCTTCGGCGCTGGTTTCTTGACCAAACTTGACACTGAACTTCGGTGTCTCCCGATATATCCGACTTTTGAAAGATCTTCTTCGACACGGCTAAACCACTGATCTTCGGTGGCTTTCCGACCTTGCTTTTCCAACGCTGATCTTCGGCGTTGATGTCTCTGAACTTGTCGATTTTTGATATTCTACCACTTGTTTCGGTCTTGATTGATTTCTTCGCTAGACACTGATCTTCGATGTCCAGCTATTCGGTTTTGAGTTTTCCCAACACTGATCTTCTGTGTTGAGTGGGACTTGATACTCTTCTACGCTGATCTTCGGCGAATTGAGTTTCTGTCTTCTTCTACGCTGATCTTCGGCGTAGTGAATTTCAATCTTCTTCTCTCTTCTCTTCCTCCTCTCCGATGTTTCTTTTGACGATCGGTCCTTGATTCCCGGAGTTCAATTTTCAAGGATAGGTCGTTCTGATGTTGTCGATTTCTGTTTTGGATTTGTCAGCTGTGGACGCGACTTGTTCTTCTTCCGAGTTTGTTCTGGCAAAAAGAAATTGTCAATTCAGCAGGAAATCGGCAATAATAACGATCGACGAAAATAAAGAGGTGGTTCAGGTGCAGCGGTATTTTTCTAGTTTCAGATAAGAGTTAGGTTTTTCTAGATGTGACTCAGTTTTAGTTAGGATTTTTAAACGGTTTGGATAGGTTACTATTGTCTTCTTCTTCTTCAGCTACAGGGTGTTTGAGATTCCTCGGGAATGTAGAAGGGTTTGAGGCCCTCTTCCTTCTGAATCGCAAAGCATGTCCAGGGTGGCGTGGTTCCTACGCAACCAATGGACGAGGAGCATGTTTCCGGTTCGGGGTTTTCTTGATTCCTACCCACTCGTTGAGTGTTGGCCTGGTAGTCCTCTTTTGTCGACCAAGTTGATTTCGCAAGTTTGACGTAGTCAGTGTCGCCTGCGATCTCTCCTTTCACGTGTTGTCCGATTTGGGTCCATCCGCGGGAACATTATAAGCGGATGGCGTTGAAGAATAATCCTCTCTCCCAATCTGGTTTTCTTCGGAACTATGGTACTGTGTCGTCCCATATTTGACTGGTTCGTTCCGTTGAACTCGGCTCATTTCTCGTCGATTTTCGACGATTGCAATGGTTATTTGCAGTTGTCTTCCTGTAGTCTGTTCTTCTTTTCGGTCCAATTTCCTATCCGATTTCCCTCATCTTTTGGTGGCATGATATTAATTGCCATCTTTCCTCCAACGATTGTTTGTTTTCCGCTCATTTGCATAATCCATCCCTTGGGTGCCATCTGGTGTTTTCTGACAGCCCTTTGGTTCGATGTTTGTTTCGCGCATTTGCATATTTCCCCATCTGGTGCCGTCTGTTTGTTTTCTGACAGCCATTTGAGTCGGTGTTTGTTTCGCGCATTTGCATATTTGTCCATCTGGTGCCATGATATTAATCACCGATGTTTGCGAAAATATTGCTGGTGGTGTCGAATAAGGTTGAATATTGTTTTTGTCGAATAAGTCGAATAATATTCACCGATTTATTTTCCCTAACTATTATGAGTCACACTAAAAGACCTAATCCTACGAGAAAAGAGAAAAAGATTGAGATGATCTGATCTTCGGATCATCTTGGAGATTGTGGAATATTGTCTGAATTTCGGACAATATTCCCAGCAGACGATAAATATGAATTGGATAGATAGTAGAATTTTGAGATGGGGGGCGAGTTCAAAAAAAATCTCGTGGTTCCTCCATGTGAGGGTGCTAGGCAGCCTCCTGCCCCATCTCAATAAGACATGAAGTGATTAAATAGATGTTTATTATATAAGATAAGGTAGAGTAAATATAAGTATAAGCATAAGATAATTATATAAGCGTGGTCATCCTCTGGGTGTTGGTGAGGGAAGACTGACCCGAAAGGGGCGGAGTCTAGACGTCAAGCCAGCTGTGCTGATGGGCGTCACACATATAACACATCATAACTCAACTCACGATGATTTTTATGAAAAACTGAGTAGCAGATGATGATCAGCGTGGTCTATTTACTCAAAAAGCATCAATAAATTGAATTTTCTGAAAAATTTTTGATTTTGGAAAAAAGAATGTGCAGGGGCACATGCGAATTTTCATGAATTTTCAGCCGAAAAATAAAAAACTTCAAAATTTTTGGAGAACATTTTTTCATTGATGTACTTTTAGTAAATCGACTATGCTGAACAATATCTGAAACTTTATTTCTCTCAAAAATTATTTTGAAATTGAGTTATGATGGCTGTTAGAACCCATCTTAGGCCTTTTTTGAACTTTTGAGAGCCCAGAACTTGGCTCAGAGGTCCATTGGGTAACTGAAATTTTTAGGGTGTTCTTATGACCCCAAAAGCTGTCTAAGAACAAAATTTCATCAAGGTTTGAAGTGTTGAGTAAAAAAGGTTCCCTTGTCAGAGAGAAGCGGCATTCATGTTGAGAAATGAGAGGTTTGTAGCTCCCGAAGAAGAGAATTGAGAGGCTGCACACTATGTCAGGCCAATGAAAATTGGCAATCGGTGAGAGTGAGGGAGACGCAAACATTTTCACGTGAGAATATCATTTTTCCCATTGAAAAAAAGATGAAAATTGATTTTAATAAAATCGTGAACTACGTGGCAGTGGTTCTCACTTTACTCAAGTAGCAGCTTGCCCATGGACTGCCCTTAGGAAAGTGGTTGCCCCATAATTGCACCTAGGACGAGTCCTAAGGGCAAATTTTTTAATGGGAAAAATAAATTCATAGAAATTTTTCATAACGTGACCTATTTTTGATACGTGTCCTGTATGAAAAGCGGAATTTTTCTCATTTTTGGATTCCGTTCGTTTAGTAATTAGCCGATTTTTTGTATTTATATTTCTATGTAATAAGTTTAGTGAAGTCAAACTGAATTATTGTGGAAAAAATACTTATGGATTACCCTCATCATTGTGTTCTAGATTTTTGTGAAATAGCTGTGGTGACTGGGTTCAAGATATTTTCCACTAACTGTTTTTGGAAGAATACGAATATTTCGGATAATCATGGGATGATTCATATATGAAAGTTTGACACAATATTCTAAAATTGTTTATAACGATCATTTGAGAGATATTGTGATCAAACTTGAAAGCATATCAGAAATTGCGAAGAAAAATATTGCGATTCCTAGATTTTCAGAAGATATATTGAAAAAACCACGATAGGCTTCCCAAATTTATTAAATAAACTATTATTTTTAAAATGTATTTTCCTTTTATTTTTCGTAATTCTTTATATTTTTTGTAATTAAAATGATTTAATGTGATTATTTGGTATTGGTTTCCATTTTTCCAAGCTGGAAACAAGAAAAATTAGCGAAAATGCATTTTTTGACGTGGATGATTTAATCTTTCTTCCATAAAAAAAGATAAGAAAAACATGTTGGGAGCTCAAGGATCTACTATTTGTTCGTTGAATGGGTCTCGTCGCGATGTGATGCGCTGTGTGTTTGCGTTTTTCATTTTTACTTTTTTTTTTTCATTTTTTCCTTTTGTTTCTCCCCGTTTTTTTTGTTTTGCGTGAAAATTGCGATTATATAGTTGAACTGCTATCTCAAGTTTTACATTCAGTCAGAGTTTTCTCTCTCGCAACCTGGTTTTAGGCGCCGCGGTGCTTTTTCAATCAATATGATTCGAAAAAGGCACAAAATGAGTGTTTTAATTTAGCAAATTACAATTTATTGTTTGTTCATATCTTTTGCGTCTAGCAGCTTCAAATAAAAGGTAGGAAAATGAGCTGTTTCGAGTATTTTCTTGAAATTTTTCCTCTGAAATCGCAGATCCTAGAAGGAAACCTATTTTTGCAGCTTTTTTTGCAGATGAACTGAAATAATGTCTTAGTCATTCAACTACTTATAGGAAGTTTTTATTCAATCCGATTTGAATCGCATTTTCGTTAGTTTTAGATAGGAAACGCTGTAGGATGTTACCAAACATCGAAAAAACTCAGAATTAGAGACAATTACAACTTTTTGAAGCTTTTCCATAGAAAACTAAGCAGATAGTGCTCATTTATAAGAACAACGTCGCCCTCAGCAGCTTTCAATAAGTATTATCACTTCACAGAAAGCTGCGTTTTTCACGATAACGTTTCTATTCTGCGCATTTTACTTTGATTACCGTCATAGAACAACAGCAATTAATTTTTCTTTTTGTGAACTCGTGAGATCGTAAAATTTTATTTCTTATAAAGCCATACTTCAAACTTGATGACAAACATTATTTCAGCGCAGAAACCACTCGTGGCGCTGGAAACTCGACACGTGGAAAACCAATGTAAGTTTTTTTCTAAAATAATTCTTCAATTCTTCAATAATCAAAATTTCTTCTATTGATTTGAAAATCAAAAAGTTATTTCTAGATTAATTTGTCAATAATCGCATTTTCTGCCATCATGATAGAAAAATTGACGATAAAAGCGAAATCTTTTAAATTGAATAAACTAACAAGCAATGTGACTCCCTGAAAAAGTTCGGTTTTATGTTCAAATAGTCTTATGGGGAGTTATGAAAAACCCAAAGGGTATTTTGTAAGTGAAAATTCCTTTAATGAGAATCCAGAGGTTGAAATTCTGTTTTCAACAATTTTCAAAAGAAAAGATAAAACGTTCTATTAATGAAAATCCGTAATTCAGTTCAAACTCAACGAAAACACTCGATCAAAACCGCATTTTGAAGCTTGGGTGGGTGGATCTTTTGAATTGTTTTTTTTGAGCGCTATTATCTATAAACCTTTGAATTTGATACATGAAAAAAATTCTAATTATTTTTTCGAAAAAAAAGCGCTCCACAACAATTGAAAAGGGGGCAATTCAAGCTTCAAAACGCGTTTTTGATCGAAATGTTTTGTTGCGTTCGAGCTGAATTACGAACCTTGAAAAATATAATGTTTTTTGACTTCTTGAAAATTGTTCAGAATTCCAACTTCCTGATTCTCATGAAATACATTTTTACTTACAAAATCCCTATTGGGTTCGTCATAACTTCCCGTAAGACACTATTCAAACATACAACCGAACTTTTTCAGGGGGTCACATTGGGATCTATTCCTTGTAAAAATGAACTGGAGAACCATTATCCAAAATCAGAAAACTAAAAATAAATCGTACGAAAGTTTTTTAGCATGTAATTTTCCCTGTTGGTGATCCATCTCATTTCAAGATCAATGTCGGAAAACCTTGCATTTTTCGAAAAAAAAATTCCGTCATAGTGAGAATTTTTCCATATCATTTCACTTTTAAAAATTTCAATAATTTTCATGAAACAAAATCAAAAGTTCCTCGATCTTCTAAAATCATTTCTTTCGCTCACATTGCTTGAAAACCTGTTCCGAATTTCATGTTTAGATTCATTTAGAAAGTTAAGTTCTATTCTTTATCGAATGCTTCAGAAGCAATAATTTATGAAATCAGAAAATCGCTGAAAATCGCCCCGCCCCATTAAAGTTATATTTTGTTTAAAAAAAGAAATTTCCGAAAACAAAAATTATTATTATTCAAGAGAATTACCCAATCGAAAATTTTGAAAATACTGATTTTTCGTTTTTTTTTTCAAACTGCTTTTTGGACGACATTTTTATTTGACAGAGTTTGGAATTCGGTATGAATATACAATTCATAATCATAATTAAAGCAATAAAAATCAGAAAAAAACAATGCTTCCGCCAGTTTTTACATTCGAACAGTGATAATTTTTTAAGGCGATGTTGCAGATGAGTTTCTCCTCCGAGGAGAAATGAGGAGAAATGGGGCGAAATTCGAAAAATACATTGTTTCGCCTCCACCTGCAACACGTTTCTCCTCTTTCTCCTCAAATAGCTCGGGGAGAAACTAATCTGCATCATCGCCTAACCAACAAACAACTATTATTAACATCTACGTCAAACATTTTTAATTAAATTCCAATTTTCACTTTTGAAACTGGATTCAAAATTTTGTTCAAAAATCGACATGATTGACTCAAAAAATTTTATACTTTCAACTGTTGATCTCATTGCTAAATTCAAAATAAATATCACCACGAAACAGGAATTTTTTAAACAAAAATCCTAGGTCTCTGAAAAAACTTCTGAAACCCATAATTTGGAAATATGTGAAAGTTTTTCACTCGAAATGATGAATCTCCGATAAAAAGTTCAAATTTCAAACTTTAGAATATTTTTCTATCAATTTCATTGTAAAACATCGTTCAATTTCAAAACCAACAAACTTTGATCCAATTTCTAGAGCCTAAAATAAGCATTCAACTCCAAATATAAAAAAAGATCAAACTAAAAAAAATCAAAATTGTAAAATTTTTAAAATAATTTTCAATTGTAAATCAAAATTCAATTTCCAAACCAACAAACATTGATCCAATTTCTAGAGCCTAAAATAAGCATTCAACTCCAAATATAAAAAAAGATCAAACTAAAAAAAATCAAAATTGTAAAATTTTTAAAATAATTTTCAAACTAATCTAGCAAGGTAAGAAAAATACATATAATCTTCTTTCGTTCTCATATGAATAGGAAAAACCTTCCTAAATAAATGACTAGAAATGTGATTATGCCTATAAGTTGAAAACCTCCCGAAATCCGTTTAAAGATTTCCATAAACTTGTTTCAGGTTTATAATAATTCTATTTTTAACACCAAAAACGAAAGATTTAAATAGCGAACCCTAAAATTTTTTCATGTGATTGATTTTCTGAAAATATAAAATTGAATGAGCTTGATTTCGAAAATCAGGGTTCATGAAATGATCTATATCAAAGTAAAAAAAATGCCAAGAATGAGGGGGCAAAATTTTTTCATTCCAATAACTCTCCGACACAGTTTCAATTTTTACCTAACAATAAATTCCAAATTATCGACTATATAAAATTTCAATGAAATCATTATTTTTTCATATGTATTATCTATCAATAATTTTCAGGTCTCGCCCTCAACAACTACATGCACACGCAACACTGGGATATTCAACATAGTGGTAATTTTTAATTTTTGCTTTATTTTCAATAAATTTTATGAAATCACTATTTTTGATAAATTTTTATTGTCAATCCGAAAAATAAGCACCTTGGAATAGAACCAAAAATGGTCTAGAAATCCAAAGCTACAGTAGACTTCGCAAAATTTTAGAGTTTATTTGAAAAATAAAATCCGAAATTTACACACTGGCAAACCAGTTTGATAAGTAATTTTTATTCTACTGTACGTGAAAGACAATTCAAACAGGGGATATTTTTTTCGGTTTGACAATACTTGGAATGTATTAGTTTCTACGTTTCACTCGCTCACGTGAACTGTGAGGAATTTGAATTCATGCCTGGAATGAGTACACCGTGAAGTCGTGATTTTTCGAGCCTTTGAAAAACCACAAATATCGTAAAAACTTCTCGGCACTAAACGGCAAACTAACTTTGAAGAGGTTTTCAGAGAAGGGGTTTTCAAAATATGTAATTTTGAAGGCTTGAAGTAATAATCAAAAGTTGTTTTCAGAAGTAGCTAGGGTTCAGAATGTCAAGCGTAATCTGAATCGTACTATTAAGTTTTATGTAAAGTGAAAATATTCAACACCTGGGAGCATAACATTTTAACTTGGCCAACTTTCTACAAAGCATTCCCAGATTTCAGCAAAAATGTGGGGAAAAGGGTTAACTTTGATAATTTTTCAATGAGCGAGCCTATCCGAGAAAGTTAGCTTGAGTAAACTATCTTATGTTCGAATATGTAACAAATTATTCCATGGAGCAAGGCTTAGTATTAGTATGGGCCGAAGGCCCAGACTCAGATTAGGCTTAGGCTTAGTAAGGGCTGAAGGCCCCGACTCCGACCAGGCTTAGGCTTAGGCTTAGTAAGGGCCGAAGGCCCATACTCAGATTAGGCTTAGGCTTAGGCTTAGTAAGGGCCGAAGGCCCAGACTCAGATTAGGCTTAGGCTTAGGCTTAGTAAGGGCTGAAGGCCCCGACTCCGACCAGGCTTAGGCTTAGGCTTAGTAAGGGCCGAAGGCTCAGACTCAGATTAGGCTTAGGCTTAGTAAGGGCTGAATGACCCGACTCCGACCAGGCTTAGGCTTAGGCTTAGTAAGGGCCGAAGGCCCACCCTCAGATTAGGCTTAGGCTTAGGCTTAGTAAGGGCCGAAGGCCCAGACTCAGATTAGGCTTAGGCTTAGTAAGGGCCGAAGGCCCCGACTCCGACCAGGCTTAGGCTTAGGCTTAGTAAGGGCCGAAGGCCCAGACTCAGATTAGGCTTAGGCTTAGGCTTAGTAAGGGCCGAAGGCCCAGACTCAGATTAGGCTTAGGCTTAGTAAGGGCTGAAGGCCCCGACTCCGACCAGGCTTAGGCTTAGGCTTAGTAAGGGCCGAAGGCCCAGACTCAGATTAGGCTTAGGCTTAGGCTTAGTAAGGGCCGAAGGCCCAGACTCAGATTAGGCTTAGGCTTAGGCTTAGTAAGAGCCGAAGGCCCAGACTCAGATTAGGCTTAGGCTTAGGCTTAGTAAGGGCCGAAGGCCCAGACTCAGATTAGGCTTAGGCTTAGGCTTAGTAAGGGCCGAAGGCCCCGACTCCGACCAGGCTTAGGCTTAGGCTTAGTAAGGGCCGAAGGCCCAGACTCAGATTAGGCTTAGGCTTAGTAAGGGCCGAAGGCCCCGACTCCGACCAGGCTTAGGCTTAGGCTTAGTAAGGGCCGAAGGCCCAGACTCAGATTAGGCTTAGGCTTAGGCTTAGTAAGGGCCGAAGGCCCAGACTCAGATTAGGCTTAGGCTTAGTAAGGGCTGAAGGCCCCGACTCCGACCAGGCTTAGGCTTAGGCTTAGTAAGGGCCGAAGGCCCAGACTCAGATTAGGCTTAGGCTTAGGCTTAGTAAGGGCCGAAGGCCCAGACTCAGATTAGGCTTAGGCTTAGGCTTAGTAAGAGCCGAAGGCCCAGACTCAGATTAGGCTTAGGCTTAGGCTTAGTAAGGGCCGAAGGCCCAGACTCAGATTAGGCTTAGGCTTAGGCTTAGTAAGGGCCGAAGGCCCAGACTCAGATTAGGCTTAGGCTTAGGCTTAGTAAGGGCCGAAGGCCCAGACTCAGATTAGGCTTAGGCTTAGGCTTAGTAAGGGCCGAAGGCCCAGACTCAGATTAGGCTTAGGCTTAGGCTTAGTAAGGGCCGAAGGCCCAGACTCAGATTAGGCTTAGGCTTAGGCTTAGTAAGGGCCGAAGGCCCAGACTCAGATTAGGCTTAGGCTTAGGCTTAGTAAGGGCTGAAGGCCCAGACTCAGATTAGGCTTTGGCTTAGTAAGGGCTGAAGGCCCCGACTCCGACCAGGCTTAGGCTTAGGCTTAGTAAGGGCCGAAGGCCCATGCTATGTATACTCAGTATGAATATGGTGTGAATGAAACTTTTTTTTACTAATTTCGCGTCAAATAAACAGATTGTTATGGCAGGGTGGTGACTGATCAAGTTTGAACAGAACGCACAAGGTCCACTAGTTTGAATTTAAAACGTGATGTTCTTGTTTAAATCAAATGCCCAATGATTGCCCCTTGAATGCTCCAATGCAGCCCTTAGAACCTGCTCTAAGGGCAGAGTAAGGGGCAGTCCATGGGCAAGCTGGTACCTGAGTTGATTCAGAGAATTTCTCTGCGTCTCCCTCACTCTCACCGATTGCTCTTTGACATGATGTGGGCTGGAATTGCTTCTTCAAAAATAGAATGATAAAAAAGATTTCCGTGGACCCAAAGATGGAAAATCAGATGTCCCAGTTGGAAATATTCGCCAAGATGAAGTTGGAAGAGAAAGGAACTAGTCAGTTGTATTTTCTCATGAAAACCCCCAAAAAGGGGGCCAAAAGGGCAAGAAGAACATATGAAGTTGCGGATCAACCCAATAAAGCTTGCCTGATCAACAAGCCAGAATTGAAGTCGATTATTGGAGAGTCGGTGAGGGTTGTTGCAAAACCGCACAGGATTGTTGAAAGAATCCAATGAGAGTTCCCTGCAAGATAAACGGACGAAATGAAGTCCAAGCGAGAGGAGAACATGTTGTCAAGTTTTGAAAAAACTTGAGGATCAATGAGATCCAATTGTGAGTTCCCTGAGAGATGAACGGACGAAGTGAAGTCCAAGCGAGAGGAGAACATGTTGTCAAGTTTTGAAAAAACTTGAGGATCAATGAGATCCAAATATGACTAATCAGTTGTGTACTAACCAACTTGAGGAAGAAGAGAATTAGAAGCTTCAAGGAAGCTAGAGGATCACTGATCCAGTTGAGATTTCCCTCAGAAATGAACGGACGAAGGGAATGAAGTCATTGATACGACGAAGAATCACGGAGAAGTCGAATACTAACAATAGATTTAGGTTTTTGAGAAAGATTGGTTGAGAGGAATTTGATTTTAATGAGAGTGATTGAGATGAGTTTGACTAAGTCAGATAGAAACCAAGTTTTGATGGAATCAGAAACGAATAATCAAAGATAAATAGATGAGATTCTATAAGAGAAATTGATTACTAACCAGAGGTGAAATTCAGATAAGAGTTATTGAAAATAAGAGAAACACCAACTCTAGATGAAACAGCCAGGTGCAAGAGTCAGAATTTGAGCAATGCTTATGGTGTTCATTTTGTCGAAAAACTGGTCAAGAAATCAAAATTGAATACTCACGCGAAAAAAAAACTCATGCGAAAAATTACTCTTGCGAAAAATAATACTCATGCGAAAAAAAACTCTTGCGAAAAATAATTGACTGCGGTCTTCATGAATCACCCCATTACTCATGGGCCACCCTGTAGAAAAAGGAATGTTCTGAACCAGGCTTGTGCGGAAACGGAAAACGCTTTTTCCGATTTTCCGACTTTTTGGGAAAATTTCGGAAAAAATACGAGTCGGAAAATTTTCCGGCCGAAAAACTCGGAAAACTTTTGGTCGGAAAATTTTTCCGACGAATATTTTCGGAAAAACTTATTTTCCGAAAATTTTCCGAGACTAATAATTTTCCGAAAAAGTGAAAAAATAGGCGATTTTCAGGAATTTTTGCTAATTTTATCACGAAATAATTTTGGTAGTTGTGAAAAATATAGTAAGTTGTTAGTAATATTCAACAAAAGTGACAAAATACCGTGAAAACTGCTGAATTTGTTGAAACTACTTCAACACAACTCAAAAAACCAGCAAAAATTCCTATTATTTCTTCATTGAAATTTTTTCCGAAATTTTCCGTTTTTCCGAAAAATTAAGTCGGAAAAATCAGTCGGAAAACTTTTTTCCGAAAATAAAAAGTCGGAAAATAACTTCGGAAAACTTTTTCCGACCGGACGGATTCGGAAAAACACGGTTTTCCGAAATTTTCCGAAAACCTATTTTCCGCACAAGCCTGTTCTGAACGTGTTTTTTTTTCTCAAAAATGTATGTTATACATAATTCCGTATTTTTTCTTGAAAGAAAGTTCACTCGCTACTATTCAAATTGATACTTTGTCATATCTTTACACAATTCAACGCAAACCAAACCAGCAACAGTTGTTCTCAAAATGGGAAAAAGAAAAATCTTCCGAATTTCAAAAATGAACTCATTTATTTATTTAAGATTTCAAAAAAAAACGAAATGAAGACCAAATCGAGAAGAACAAGAAAAAAGCTGAAAAATTACTTAATTATTGGTGGGTTCATTGGAGATTGGAGATAAATTTGATAGCTTTTTTCTTGAACACACATTTTTTCAAAGTCATAACTCCTTTGTGAACACTTCATTTGCTTCAGAAGGTCTTGAACTTTTCGCATCCAAAATCGCCAAATGACGATAAGCTCTTGACAAAAGATAGACACTGAGCGATGTTGCAAACAATGTTTTGAGCCATGTTTGTGTTCTGAAATGAACTAAATGAACTTCTTATTAGTTTGGTTCCTTTGAATTCAAGACACAAAACTCACTTTGCCGGAAAAATTGCTTTGAACGAAACGGCGGCACGCGAACTTACGAAATTGAAAAGAGTCGATGTCAAAACACTGAATTCGAGTCTTTCCCATAGATTGACACGGTGCAGATGTCTTCTGAAATACACGTAGAAACCGAGCCCAACGTTCGCAGTGAACAGAATCGTATTACTGACAGCAAGATCACTGGTGGAGAACAAACTGCAAAAAATTAGTGTTGAGGATGATTTTTCGAAGTTATCATTTCGGCGGGGGGGGAGAAGCTACCTGGAAACACTACCTGGAAACAGGAATCTAGGGGTTTCTCCTTTTTTCTGTATTATAACTGTAACTTTTTTGGTTAAATAATTCTTCTCAATCTATCCTATACAAAACGTTAAAAATGAACACCTCTCAATTGTGTGAACACTAACTTCAATTTTTTATAAAGAACCCCACACACAGGCGATAAAATGAAACAAAAAAGGCACACTTTTCGGCTCTAAGCTGAAAAAGAGGGGTTTAGGAAAAAAGGAGAGGTGTAGAAAAGAAAGAGGGGTTTTCAGAAAAAGAGGGGTTTTTGAAAGAAAGAGAGGTTTTGACGGAAAAGAGGGCTTTTCGAGACTTTATGCTCTCAAATGTGGGAATATTTTCACTTTTCATAAAATTTAAACGCAAGGATCAGATTATGCTCGAAATTCTGAGCAAAAGCTACCCCGCTCTTTTCTTCCTAAACCCCTCTTTTTCCGTTCAGAGCCCACTTTTCTCACTGCAGACTAGGCAGAAAAAAAATATCTGGATGTTGGGGACCCGGTTTGAACTTTTCTAACCTAAACAGTTATTACTTTCTTAACGAAACGCATAAATTTGAAGAACGTTCTTTTTAACTATATGCTTAGTTTCGAAACCCTTACATTGTTAGATTTATTTACTAAAATGCAAATTTAACAGATTCAACTGAATTGATCAAAGGAACACGCCTACTTTCTGTGCAGGGTCCCCTAGTTTCTAAAAAAAATTACCCAATTTTCTCTGATGGAAAATATATAAAACAGGACACAATCAGGAAAATTAATCTACTATTCTACTATATACTAATTGGGAAAATTTTTTTGGCAAGAGTCTGTCCACGATCCGTTCTCAAAACTGTGCGCATAAAAATTGATGATCAAAAAAAGAAAAAGTTTCTAAATGGTGGCACAATGATGCGCGTTTCAAAAATTCTCCCTCAAAATGTCTGTGAGTGCGCGGAGAGTGAAAAGTTTGAAAACTCCAATGTATTTTTCAATTTTAAAATGTGTCGCTCGACTTTTCTCAATTTCCAGAAGACCATTTTTGATGGGACCTTCACCATTCGATCCAAAATTCTTTCCCGTCGATGCGCTAATATTCGATTTTTCAAAAAATGCGCGAGTTTTCACGTGAAAAATCAAAACTTTTTTCATGTAAAAAAGAATGATCACGTTTTTATTCCAAAAAAATTAAAGGACACGTTTCTTATCTGATCTTTCTATTCTCTGAAAAAGTCAACAATTTTCAGCCATTTCTCAATGTTTCTCTTTCCCTAACCGGAAAATTAATCAGAAAAAGTAAGTCAAACTACTGTAGATGGCGTTAGCCAGCGAAGCCCTTCTAGTATATACAAATAACTCAGGGAATCACGCGCGAAGTTTCCGCGATTTGCGGGCATTCAGCATTTTGCGGAAACTTCGCGGTGAACATTGCGCAAATTTAGCGGAGTGACTCGATTGAAAACATCATGTCGCGAAATTTCCGCGAAATGCGGAAATGTTTGCAATTCGCGTAAATTTCGCGGGGTGTGTCGACGAGAGTGCAGACATATGAAACACATTTGAGTGTTACGCCTCGAGCGCAAGGCTGGTCAAGTGGGTAAGAGAGATGTATACGAAGCAGAGAGTGTCGGATCGAGTCCCGCCGAGTGAGTATGATTTTAAGTGGTTAGCTGTGTCTCGCGTGACCTCTACTTTTTGATTTTTGACAGAGCACCGCGAGGTTTGCGCGATACGCGTGACCCCAAACCGCGAAATCGCCGCGCGCTCGCGGCGATTTCGCGGAGATTTTTGCCCTGCAATTCGCGGAAACTTCGCGCGTGATTCCCTGAGAATATTTAATTTTGTACGTGACCCACTTTTTATGTTCTGGCCTGTTCTAGATTATTCTAGACCTTCTAGAATGTTCTAGAAGGTCATTCTCCTAGTATTTAAACCCTCCACTTTCAGTTGTAGTTAGTTCATAATCTGAGCTATTCTTTATTCCGGTGTACTTCTACTGCTAAGGATACTACAAGTCCTTAACACAATCTTAATAAAATGTTTCTACATTCCAACTCAATTTCAAGAATTCTACTGTGGGGATTGTGATAAGCTTCCAATCTCACTAAAAATTCTCCTTCCCAAAAATTGTCAGAATCAAAAACTAACCCAGAGATAATGTTGGGACTGAAAAGATGAATTGTATAAATTATATGAAATGCGGCACCAGAAGCAGGCAAATAATGCGACAAAAATGTACGCGATGTTACAGGTGGAAACCATTTTGCCCAATCGATTCCAAAACGCGATTGTGGCCTTATTGAACACGATTCTCCAAATACAGTTCTGATTGTCTCACTATCACCAGAAATGGCAACTTCCTGAAAAATTTGAATCTTTCAAGGAAACTTTTTTTTACACAACACTTCAAATCAAAAAGTTACGTGTCTAGCGCGGTGGTAGAGCGTTGGACTTGTGGTCACGCATTGCGGGTTCAATATTTTCTGCAACAATTTTTTTTGTTTATTTTTGGGTTACTGTAGTTTCAAGAAAAAGGTCGAATTCATGCAACAATGTTTGAAAAGGTATAGAGGTAGAGAAAAAACGAGGAATATTGAATGCGTCAATGAAAATCCAGGACAAAGTGTTGGAAACAGTATGATTAATACGCAGGAAAGTCGTAAACAATTATATTTTGAATTTTGAATTCGGCGGTTGCAACCATTTGAATTACGTATATTTTTCACCAAGGGTTTCTAAGGTTTTTTTTTAATGATAATGTTTTCTATTTTCAACCTTTTCTTTAAGATTTCCATTGCTGTTTTTAATTTTCCTAGTTTTTTTTCTCTATCTATATACTTCTTTGAAAAAATTAATGCATGAATTGATTGTTTTGTTTAATCTACAGTGACCCCAAAAAAAACAAACAAACAATGGTGCAAAAAATATCGAACCCGCATGGCTTGACCACAAATAGAACGCTCTACCACTGCGCTAGGCACGTCACATTTTTACACGGATTTCGCAAACTACTCATGACGAGTCCGTAACGGAAGTAGTATCCCGTAATCGACCTGTTTGTACCCGTAAAAGACAGCTACCCAGTTGGAAATTAGTTTTAAGTTGTTTTAACAGTTATTTAGTACACATTTTGAGCTTCTGTGTCCTGTTTTAGCGAAATTAAATTCGGAAAACTCGCACTAATAATAAATGCATTTAAACTGTTCGAAAAGCGCAGAGAACCATTTCTGGTACACATATACACTGTGATGCACAATTACATACAGCACTAATTTGCCAATTACCGTAGGTAAAAATATATTGTCAATCCGAAAAAAAAGAAACCCCCTGTTTAAATTCGCGCTCACGTACAGTAGACTAAAAATGACGTGACACATGCACATCAAACTGGTTGGCAAATAGCCAGCGTGTAAATTTCGCATTTTATTTTTCAAATGGACTCCAAAATTTTGCGAAGTCTACTGTAGATTTGGTTTTTTCGGCCATTTCGGTTCTCTTCCAAGGTTCTTATTTTTTCGGATTGACAATATATTTGGATCATCCATAGAAGTGTTTTGGTCAAAACTAATTTCGACTTTTTTAATTTTTTAGAATGTCATTCCAACTGGGTAGCGGTTAATTATTTTTCGCATGACTTTTTCGCATAAGTTTTTTTTCGCATGAGTAATTTTTCGCATGAGTTTTAACTTTTTCTGATCGTTCACTAAGCCTAAGCTTTGAATGTCGGAGAAAGCTAAAAATCAATATTTGAGCCCTATGAACACGGATTTTAGGCTTAGTTAAACGCCCAGAAGGGTGCAATTTCGATCTTGCATGTTACCTTCAGTAACTAAGCCAAAACCATGAAAAATATTCAAGATTATGAACAATAATTTAGTTTGAATACGAAAAACTGGTCAAGAAATCAAAATGGAATACTCATGCGAAAAAAAAACTCTTGCGAAAAAACTCATGCTAAAAATAATTGACCAACACTTTCGCATTTTTCTGAAAAGTTTTTGAATGAAAAAAACAACAATTAAAATTTTTTTCGGAAAATTTTCAATTTGTTGGTACTGAACAGGTTGAAAACGGTTTGTGGCGTCAGATCAAAAACAGCGTCAGATCCTGACAACTATCAGAAGTTAGTATGCATTTGTAGTTCTAACCCAGCATCGATCACAGGCAAATTTACTATGTGTACATTATTTGTACTGAATGAATGCTAAATGAATATGTATCAATAATGTGCTAATAATGCATACATAGTACTGAAAATTTTAACTATGGATGAAATATGAGTGAATTAATGGTACTGATTTTAGATGACCAATAATTTACTCATTATGTATACATTACGGGTGGGTAAAATTCTCACCAAAAACGACCAGTTTTTCAAAATTGCTGAACAGAATGTGGTTATTCCAAAAAAGATCACCATTGGTGACACTGCTGGTGGATTTTCGAATATTGGTGGGATTGGTGGAGGGTGCACCAATGGTGTTGAGGTTAAATATCGTTTTATTAACAAAACTGGAACGATTTGGGCCATTGGTGGATGGGTGTGCTTGGCGAAATTTCACACCAATAGTGAGAATAATCACACCATTCTGATTTTTTGTTGAGTATTTAACGCCAACTGTGAGAATTTCAAGTTTAAACATTTTTGTGCACCCTCCACCAATCCCACCAATATTCGAAAATCCACCAGCAGTGTCACCAATGGTGATCTCTTTTGGAATCACCACAATCTGTTCAGCAATTTTGAAAAACTGGTGGTTTTTGGTTAAAATTTTACCCACCCATACTGTGTACATAATGAGTAAATTATTGGTCATCTAAAATCAATACCATTAATTCACTAATATTTCATCCATAGTTAAAATTTTCAGTTTACTATGTGTGCATTATTAGCACATTATTGATACATATTCATTTAGCATTCATTCAGTACAAATAATGTACACATAGTAAATTTGCCTGTGATCCCAATCCTGTCGTTTTGTATTCATCTCTCTTCCTTGCTGACAAGGGAAGTGTGTAAGGTCCCGGAATAAACTTTTAATGAGACTTGGTACACATATAGATTCGAACTCGCTGATCTCGAATTCGTTTTCAAAAATTGCCACAATTGCACCCAAAACGAGTTTTTAACCATCGAAAATGCGCCATATTTCTCATTGTTTCATATATCAAACACACAGGTGATTTCCAAAAGTATAGCAAAACGTGCACGTGTCTCTATACGTTATGTGTACGTTTTTCTATCCTTTATGTATACGTTTTCTATCCTTTTTGGGTTGAAAAAGGATAGAAAAAGGTTAAAAAATGAAAATTTCAGAGTGAGTCCCAAACTTTCAGATAAGGTGTGTGGACTTGAACTAAGTATCTGAAAGTGTGATTTTAAGCTTCTTGGGTCACTTTCAGCTTTTCATAGCTGAAAATAGGCTGAAAATCGAAAATTTTGAAGTTGGGCTCAAACTTTCAGAATTGGTTGGGGGACTTCTGAAAAGTGTGTGACGAGATGAATTTCAGCATTTTCAGCTAGAAAAAGCTGAAAATAAGCTGAAAATCGAAAAATTTGAAGTTTGGCCAATATTTTTGGATTTTGTTGGGGGACCTTTGAAAAGTGTGTGACGAGATGAATTTCAGCATTTTCAGCTAGGAAAAGCTGAAAATCACGTGGTCTAATTTACAAGAGAAAGTCGAGGACTCACAGAATAACTTTTTTCTGAAATTTTGGCAGTTCAACTAACCCGATCACTCGAAAAAAAAACAATCTCGGCTGCTGAAATTGGTCTAGGGTGTGATGATCTCAAATTCAGAAAATGTCTACTATTTTGATAGAAAGTTTGAATTTTAGATAATTGAACCCTGTTGAACGAAAGTTACAAAAAAATTAGCTACCTTCCTTTGTTTGGCACTGGGCCACAACTGACTAATTATGAAAATATAGTAGTTTGTTTTCAGGACATATTTAGGTTTGTAGTCAGGCCTGTGCCGGAAAATCAAAACCCGGCAAACGGAAAGTCGGAAAATTTCCGGATTTTTTGAACCGGAAAATCCGAAATATTCGGAAAATTTTTCAAAGTCAGAAATTTCGATTTCCAGCCTTAAGTTGGCACAAAAACTTATTTGTATCTACAATTCTTCTGTTCACAGGTAAGAAAAAAATTCCAAAAATTTCATTTTTTCTATCATAAACTGAGAAAATTTCCCAAAATTTAGGCAAATTTGTGAATATTACTACTAAAGATCATTTTCCGGAAAATCAGAAAATCGATTTTTCCGTTAAAAAAAACGGAAGATCTGGAAATTCGGAAAATTCGGAAAATTTCCGGCACAGACCTGGTTTGTAGCTGTATGTTTTAAATTATTATCTAGAAACACACATTTTCGAAGCCCAAAAAATTTCGATTTTTACCACGTTTGCAACTTTTTCTGGCTGAAAATCGAAAAATCATCGCTTCACTCACTATTTTGGAGTCGCCCAACCATTTCTGAAAGTTTGAGTCCAGCATCAAATTTTTCGATTTTCAGCTTATTTTCAGCTTTTTCTAGCTGAAAATGCTGAAATTCATCTCGTCACACACTTTTCAAAGGTCCCCCAACAAAATCCAAAAATATTGGCCAAACTTAAAATTTTTCGATTTTCAGCTTATTTTCAGCTTTTTCTAGCTGAAAATGCTGAAATTCATCTCGTCACACACTTTTCAGAAGTCCCCCAACCAATTCTGAAAGTTTGAGCCCAACTTCAAAATTTTCGATTTTCAGCCTATTTTCAGCTATGAAAAGCTGAAAGTGACCCAAGAAGCTTAAAATCACACTTTCAGATACTTAGTTCAAGTCCACACACCTTATCTGAAAGTTTGGGACTCACTCTGAAATTTTCATTTTTTAAAGGGGTTGTCCTGCTACAGGGAAACTTAGGTTCATTCGATAGAGCTAAGGTGCTCCTGAAACATTCCATATTTTATTTTGATTTTAGAGCGAGTTTTCACCATTTTATTCATGTTTTTGTTAGGTTTTAAGGTTTTAGTGCATATAAAAAACATGTGTGCTCTTCACACACATCATTTATTTGTGTGTATTTCTCGCGAAACGTATTTCCTAACATTTTTCAACTATGGAAAGTGATTTTAATCAACTTTAGGCTTGCTTATAGTTAGTTTTAAAAAGTGACGCACTATTGCGGACTTGATTTTCGACGTAGAAGGACAACCCCTTTAACCTTTTTCTATCCTTTTTCAACCCAAAAAGGATAGAAAACGTATACATAAAGGATAGAAAAACGTACACATAACGTATAGAGACACGTGCACGTTTTGCTATACTTTTGGAAATCACCTGTGGCATTTGCGGCCAACAAAAAAGAGCAGCCGGTGGCCGAGTGGTTAGCGCGCTTGTCTTTGAATCTTTTGGTCTTGGGTTCGGTCCTGCTCCGTGGCGAATTTTTTTTTTCGATTTTTATTAATTTTTATCGATTTCATCTCTGTTCAAGTGGCGTTTTTTTTTGCAACAAACTTCGTAATGTGTTTTTTTTTTGCCCTTTTCCAAAAATCAATCCACGCAAGATAGAATTTGAAATCATCTTGAATATTATGATCTTTTCGATTTTTGTGCGCCATATTCTGAAGAAGAGGTCATCTTTTGACTTACCGGAGTTTGTCCAAATCACTCGCACAAGTTATGAAACGGAATTTCTTCTTCATTATTTCGAGAGTTGGCCTTTTTACTCCTCCATTCTTATGTTTTTTTCCTTTCCCGAAATAGGCATCCACTGCTTTTTGAACTTTTGCAACTTTGACTTCGAAGGAAAATCTCCATGTGAATCAAAAACATCAGCACTCAACGGATGGAAATCTACAAACGGATTCTTCTGAACAAATTCTGAACTTCGTAATGAATAGTTCGAAAAAAGATCATAATATTCAAGCAGATTTCAAATTCTATCTTGCGTGGATTAAGTTCTGGAAAAGGGCAAAAAAACACATTACGAAGTTTGTTGCAAAAAAAAAAAACGCCACTTGAACAGAGATGAAATCGATAAAAATTAAAAAAAATCGAAAAAAAAAATTCGCCACGGAGCGGGACCGAACCCAAGACCAAAAGATTCAAAGACAAGCGCGCTAACCACTCGGCCACCGGCTGCTCTTTTTTGTTGGCCGCAAATGTTTGATATATGAAACAATGAGAAATATGGCGCATTTTCGATGGCGAAAAACTCGTTTTGGGTGCAATTGTGGCAATTTTTGAAAACGAATTCGAGATCAGCGAGTTCGAATCTATATGTGTACCAAGTCTCATTAAAAGTTTATTCCGGGACCTTACACACTTCCCTATCCTCGTTGCCGTGAGCTATCCTCGTTGCCGCGTACGCGATACAATTTATCCTTTTATTCCCTACCTCTCGACTCCATCCGCGGACCCGAGGAATGCGCGAAATTCGACTCTCTTTGGCTGACGTTTCGCCGTTCGCGAAATTTTTTTCGCGGAATCCGCGCACTGATTTTTACTCTAAAAACGGGGAAAAATCGTCCGCGGATCGCGCCGTTCAAGCCAGACTTTCTCTGAGAAGCCAATTTATTTTCCCAAAAACCCTTCATTTCCAAACAAAACCAAAGTTCACATCTCTTACTTCAATAATCCTGCCACCAGTTTGTTCTGCATCATCAAACATTCGACCATTTGCATTATTTTCTGGTTGTCTCAAAACTAACACCGGATCATTTTCACCATCACATACTAAACTAGTCAATGGTGTACTAACAACTTTAACCTTGTCTGATGACCCCATTGCATTTTTAATGAACTCTGTAAATTGTTCATACATCACATCCAAATCTACCGACAACTTCCGATATTTTTCCGGAAGGGTGGAGTTGTATTTTATACTTCCATTTTGTCGTTGGAACAATTTTATTATATCCTCTGGGTCTAAATGAGATAATTCTTCTCCAAGTCTGCAAAAATTTTCAATGAAAAATAAAACAACCAAAATCGAGATTATTTTCGAAAACACTTACCTTTTTCTGTCCTCGTCCACAGTTTTTTTGTGCTTTATAATCCCATTTAAGCATTTTTTCAATCTCGAAAATTCCAAGTCCGATACATTCTCAATTTGATTTGCCATAGATTCTGAAAAAAAATCTACTATACAATATGTATACTATATAAGAAGACTTTAATCATCAGGCAAATTTTTCGCGGGAGACACCTCAGCAAATCGCTGCCTACATGAACGGTTTAATCGGCGAAAAATAGATACACCGCAGCAGCTGCAGCTACACACCAGCTACACAAAACTACAGGGTGACCCATAATTATTGTCGCGTGTGTTGAACTCCTTAATCCGAGTTCTACACTTTCAAAACGAAGTTAGATAAAGTTTGATTCTGATAAATTTAGTCTTAAAGGTTATATATTGACATTTTCGTATTCTATTTTGATCATATCAGCTCTGGTGAGATGTTGTATCAGCGGTAAAGTTGAGATAGATTTCCAAAAATCATTTTTCAGAAGAAAATTCGTTTTTGGGATTTTAGGTGTAAATTTTAAGAGAATGGCGAATACTAATTATGTCCACAAGTGTTTTTATCCTAAATTAGGTTCCTGGAATGGGTTTTTGCACAATACCAAAGCTGAAAATCATCAGAAAAAATAGGGACCTTCATTGTAGAAAATGCTCAAAATTCACGGTTTTGGGAGTTTTGCTAACTCCATGATAGATCCTGGCTACGCTTTAGTTCTCAAAATGCTTTGTTTTAGTACATAGAATAAGCATGTTCACAAAAAAGGAAAACTTATTCTTGATCTCAGAATAAATTTTGCTGTTTTTCTCGATTTTTCTCGATTTTTATTTCAATTTTCTGAAAATACGCCTGACTTTGGAGTCACACCTGGCGAGAGAGTGTCCAAAAATTTTTGTGCAGTGTGAAAATTTTGGTTTATTCACAAAGTAGGGGTATTTTTGTGTCTAGTTTTTGATCTTACCCATGTGCAGTGTGGAAATTGATTTTGAAAGTCATTATTGACGAAAAACAGTTTTTTACTGGACACTATGTTTTTCTAGGCGATTAATCAATTTCCACACTGCACATTGAGTTCCAATTAGATAAAAGACTGTCTAGAAACTATATTCATTTTAAAAATGAACATTCATTGAGGAATAACTTGTTTGTTATAGTGTGAAAAAAATAGAAAAAAATAAAAAATTGCTTCGTTGAGCAAAACCGAACCCGTGACCTTATGATTGTGAGCGGATGGCTCTAACCACTCGGACAATTATGTGCTTCCCTTCGAAAGGAGAAATGTTGGTGAAAAGGAAAGAAGTGATTTTTTTTCGAAAAAAATACAGTGGGCTCAGAGAAAACGACGCAGAAATTTCGCGATTTGCGAGAGCCGCAAGGCTGCTGAACTGCTGCTGAACTGCTGCTGATTTCTTGCCACACATTCAGCAGGCTTGCAGAACTCTTGCTGCACTGCCTTTGTTCAGAGAAGAGTGGGCGGAGTCAGAGTAATGAGAGATATGGCGCAGCGCATAACCGACGAGATGTCGGACACCCGGATTCATGACCTCGTTCGAATTTTTCCTCAAATTCAAAACTTGCTGTTTTTAACAGCGTGTTATGAAAACTCTGCATCGAATATTTCTTTTATAATAGGAAATCGATAGAGAAAATAATTTTGAAAAGTCTAATCTAGACAACCTTAACGAATATTTTTCAAAAAAATAAATAAAAAGTCCGACATTTTTTCACTTCTGGCAGCATTTGCGCAAGAGTTTCGCAATTTTGCGGGAGGGAAGTGTCAGGCCTGCTGATATTTTGCCGCAGAAATGCGTGTTTTTTTGCGAGAATCCTGCGCCGTTTTCTCTGAGGGGCTTTTGGAAAAAATGTACAGTGTCCATTTTGGACACGTCTCGCCAGGTGTGGCAACGCGGCTTGCGTCGCTGCTACTTTTCCAATTTTTTTTTGTTTTTCGGCCTAAATTCTTGCGAATATCTTGGCTCCCAAGAGACACAAACATATTCTTCCGCATTTATTATTCGTTATAATTGAAAAAAAAGTTCTGGTTTCATGAAAATCAAATTCAAAATTTCCTCTGAGCGTCTATGAATTCTTGAGTCTGAATTTCTCTTCTTTTTTTGCAGAGTTGTTCTAATTTTTCTTAACTTCAGGTTTCCGGGCGGAGGAGTGATTGCTTTAAATTGTCTGGCTAAATGGTTAGTTAATTTTCTTGAAATCTCACCCTAATTCCTATATAAACAATTTACAGAAAACTTCAACAAGTTCAACAACGACTACGTCACAACATTTTAGGCTAATGATAAAATGCAAGAAGGTGAGAGGAAGAGACGTTTTGTTGATTATTCGCGTGAACTCTTGTCGCCTCGCTTCATTTTTCAAAAAAAAAAACATTGGAAAATAATACATGTGTGAATAGCGCTTGGCCATATGTTTGATCAATGTCGGCAATACGTTTGAACGACCTCTCAGAAAATGTTCGAAAAAATTGAGTTTTTGTTCTCATTTGAGCACGTTTGCTCACTTAAAACGTATGTTTTCTCTAGAATCTCTCTCCTCTCACCCAATTGCGTTTCGGAACGTTGTGACGTTAACAAAAATCAGTTCTACATCATTCAATTATCATTAATGCAAATCGAAAGCTTTCGATTTGCATTAATGATAATTTAAAGGTGAATGAATACACGAAAAAAAACGAGAAGACAAAAAATGTTTTGGAAAATATGACCAAGTTCAGTTATTTTTGGAGAGAAATATAAAGCTCTTTCCACTCTTAAAATCATGAAAATTCATTACAATTTTTCTCAGCTTCGACTTCAGTCAATGGAATTCTTGATAGAAGCAACACGAAAAGCAGGTTCATGACGGCGGAAACAAGCCCCCTTTTTTTTCGGAAAATTTTTAACAAAAGATTTTCATGAAACATCCACTAAAAATTCAAAAAAAATCGGACGTTTTACGGTTAAATACATTATTGTCAATCCGAAAAAAAAGAAACCCCCTGTTTAAATTCGCGCTCACGTACAGTAGACTAAAAATGACGTGACACATGCACATCAAACTGGTTGGCAAATAGCCAGCGTGAAAATTTCGCATTTTATTTTTCAAATGGACTCCAAAATTTTGCGAAGTCTACTGTAGATTTGGTTTTTTCGGCCATTTCGGTTCTCTTCCAAGGTTCTTATTTTTTCGGATTGACAATAGAATATTTAATAAAATTTTGAGTTTTTCTTTATTTTCCAACAAATAATTTTTAAAAAATGAAAAATTACAATAACCTTGTGTCACAGGGTTTAAGATCGGCTGATTAACGGTTTATAAACCAACTTTAAAGGGTTGGTGCTCTCCTGGTGAAAAATCGTCTGCAAAAAGGCGTCACGGTGTTTTGTCTGCGAACACACACACACACACGAAAATTCAAAAAACGCGTTGTGCGTTAGAGTTATGAAAAACCCTAGGGGGATTTTGTAAAAATTTCTTTCACGACCTTTTTGTTGTCCGACCTGCTTTTTCATAACTTAGCTTTTTGCAAAGAACGTCTCTTAAAACCTATGAAATAAAACAAGAAAATGCGCTCTAACGCACAACGAATTTTGAATTTTCGTGTGTGTGTTTGCGTGACAACTGTTTGACGCCTTTTTTTCAGACGATTTTTTCACTAGGAGAACGTCAGTGATTTTGAAGAACTTTAGACTTTTTGAAAATCTTAACATTTAAGAATGAAAATCAAGCTAAAATAACCAAACTACTTGAAAAAATATTCTATAGTTTCGTAATCAAGCACATGGATTTTTCGAAATTCGAAAAAATGATAAACTTTTGAAAAATCGCTCTTGGTTAGTTAATATGGTCAGAATCAGCATAAAAAATGACTGAAAAAAATATTCACACAACATTCTCAATATCGGCGCAAAAATGACAAAAACCAAAAAAAGTGATACTGTGCAACATAATAATACAATAGAATCATCTTCATTCTACACACTCTCTTTTTTTGCTGCGTCTACTTATTCCTAATATATACAGCGTCCACATACATAGATGCGGCGTCCTAATGTTATCTCACCTGTTGAGAAGGTAATTGACTAGACAAACTACTCTTTTTATCGTTTGTTTTCTTTTTCTTTTCTAAATCAGTATTTTCCTAATAATTTAAAAGACATTATTTGTGAAAACGTAAACTTCACTGGTGATGGGAGCTTGATCAAATTATGACCAAAAATGCACCCATTCATTTTGTGATAAAAAATTGACGAAATAAATATTGGCCAACAGAAGCTTTTTGGTCAAATATTGACCAAATTCTGATAAATTTTTTAAACCAAATCTTGACCAAAAATTGCCCAAAACAGTAAATTGATCTAAGATTGGTCAACAAAATTTTTGTCACAGTAACCCCGACATCGCTGCAACGCAGCAAAAACCGTACAACACCAGATTTTTCGAACTTTTCTGATACCGGACGACATCTGTCTCGGTACCAGTCCGAACACAAGAAAAGTACGGTACCCAGGCAAATAGGTTTCGGTACCATAGCAAAACTAAAAAAAAAGTCGCGGCACCGTCGCTATTTTTTCCTTACAATTAGACTAACGGGAAAATGTTGAAAATGGCACAAATGATGACGCTGTCAACTAGCCGTTCTCTTTAACATAAGGGGGCCGATCTTTTGAGCAAAAAAATTTTTGGCGTCTTACCCCCTCCCCCTCCCCCTTTAACCCTACTTACGATACATTTACGAAAAAAAGTTTTCCCTTCACCCGGTCCTATCAAGTTGGCGAAACTATTTATTGAACAACAAACCTTTAAATATTTCCGTAAAATTCATAAGAAATTCTTTTTGATCTCAAAAATAATTTCAGCTAAAATTCTAACACATTTTTTTCTTGTTTCCTTATTCAATCAATAATCTCCTTCTACAAAATATATTATTTTGAATATACGTCTCCTTCCTTGCACTAATTTTATCTTCATTTTTCTCACTCTCTGATCTACTATACCTCTCTAACATCGCGCCCCCCACTACTTTTCATTTTTTCAAAAATAGTTTTTTTTTGTATTCTTCTTAACATATCTTATTATTTTTTCTTATTTTCTTCCTCTTTTCGTGCGTAAGCTAGGTTTAGATTTTATACGTAAGGTCCAGCAAAGAGGCATCACTGATGAGACCACCTCTTCGCCGTCTGATGTTCAGGTCGAAACGGCTTTTTGCGCATCTTATTCTATTAATTTTTCTTTCTTTTCTTATTATTATCTCTAACTTGGTGGAAAAAGTTCCCCACCCATAACTGTTACTATGAGAAACATTTGGGCCGATTATGAATATTTTTTTTAACGAATTTTTCTTTGTCCGGTGGATTTTGCATTCATACAAAAAACCTCTTTCATTCTGTAAAAATTACTTTGTTTTTGAGTAAACGAGGAAATTTATATTCATTTACTTTCCATTTTCTGGCACTGATGTGAGAATTTTATTGAAATTTTTAAAAATAAAATATTCACATCGTTAGTTGTGATATGTCCACAAAAGTCATAATTTTTAGCTAGATAATCGTAAATAAATACATATGTGACAGATTTAAAGTAGTTTTTCCCAGAAACGATGGCAAATGAAGATGAAGAACCATCGCAGGAATATGTGCGATGGAAAAAACGATTGAATGGACATATAAGTCGAGTCAACTCAGCGAAAAATGAACAAAAAAAGTGAGTTTATTTCCCGAAAAACCTTTGATTTTGGTCGAATAATTTTGATTTTGCAGAATTCGAGAAAATCTTTTAAAGTTAGAGAATTCGAAAAAATTACAACAACGAAATGAAGATTCGAATGCAATGGAGTCATCAAACAAGGTTTCTAAATACACTTCAGTTTAGTCACAGTCAGCACTAAATTATTCTCAAATAGCACTCATTGTCAGAATATTAGTCCCGAGATGATCTAACTCAGTTTTGGCGGCTCCGCTACCCAGTTGGAATGACATTCTAAAGAATTAAAAAAGTCGAAATTAGTTTTGACCAAAACACTTCTATGGATGATCCAAATATATATTTTTACCTACGGTAATTGGCAAATTAGTGCTGTATGTAATTGTGCATCACAGTGTATATGTGTACCAGAAATGGTTCTCTGCGCTTTTCGAACAGTTTAAATGCATTTATTATTAGTGCGAGTTTTCCGAATTTAATTTCGCTAAAACAGGACACAGAAGCTCAAAATGTGTACTAAATAACTGTTAAAACAACTTAAAACTAATTTCCAACTGGGTAGCTGTCTTTTACGGGTACAAACAGGTCGATTACGGGATACTACTTCCGTTACGGACTCGTCATGAGTAGTTTGCGAAATCCGTGTAAAAATGTGACGTGCCTAGCGCAGTGGTAGAGCGTTCTATTTGTGGTCAAGCCATGCGGGTTCGATATTTTTTGCACCATTGTTTGTTTGTTTTTTTTGGGGTCACTGTAGATTAAACAAAACAATCAATTCATGCATTAATTTTTTCAAAGAAGTATATAGATAGAGAAAAAAACTAGGAAAATTAAAAACAGCAATGGAAATCTTAAAGAAAAGGTTGAAAATAGAAAACATTATCATTAAAAAAAAACCTTAGAAACCCTTGGTGAAAAATATACGTAATTCAAATGGTTGCAACCGCCGAATTCAAAATTCAAAATATAATTGTTTACGACTTTCCTGCGTATTAATCATACTGTTTCCAACACTTTGTCCTGGATTTTCATTGACGCATTCAATATTCCTCGTTTTTTCTCTACCTCTATACCTTTTCAAACATTGTTGCATGAATTCGACCTTTTTCTTGAAACTACAGTAACCCAAAAATAAACAAAAAAATTGTTGCAGAAAATATTGAACCCGCAATGCGTGACCACAAGTCCAACGCTCTACCACCGCGCTAGACACGTAACTTTTTGATTTGAAGTGTTGTGTAAAAAAGTTTCCTTGAAAGATTCAAATTTTTCAGGAAGTTGCCATTTCTGGTGATAGTGAGACAATCAGAACTGTATTTGGAGAATCGTGTTCAATAAGGCCACAATCGCGTTTTGGAATCGATTGGGCAAAATGGTTTCCACCTGTAACATCGCGTACATTTTTGTCGCATTATTTGCCTGCTTCTGGTGCCGCATTTCATATAATTTATACAATTCATCTTTTCAGTCCCAACATTATCTCTGGGTTAGTTTTTGATTCTGACAATTTTTGGGAAGGAGAATTTTTAGTGAGATTGGAAGCTTATCACAATCCCCACAGTAGAATTCTTGAAATTGAGTTGGAATGTAGAAACATTTTATTAAGATTGTGTTAAGGACTTGTAGTATCCTTAGCAGTAGAAGTACACCGGAATAAAGAATAGCTCAGATTATGAACTAACTACAACTGAAAGTGGAGGGTTTAAATACTAGGAGAATGACCTTCTAGAACATTCTAGAAGGTCTAGAATAATCTAGAACAGGCCAGAACATAAAAAGTGGGTCACGTACAAAATTAAATATTCTCAGGGAATCACGCGCGAAGTTTCCGCGAATTGCAGGGCAAAAATCTCCGCGAAATCGCCGCGAGCGCGCGGCGATTTCGCGGTTTGGGGTCACGCGTATCGCGCAAACCTCGCGGTGCTCTGTCAAAAATCAAAAAGTAGAGGTCACGCGAGACACAGCTAAACACTTAAAATCATACTCACTCGGCGGGACTCGATCCGACACTCTCTGCTTCGTATACATCTCTCTTACCCACTTGACCAGCCTTGCGCTCGAGGCGTAACACTCAAATGTGTTTCATATGTCTGCACTCTCGTCGACACACCCCGCGAAATTTACGCGCATACCACGCCCAACTTCGTGCAAATTAACTTTTAAAATTGGCGTTGTGGGTTTTGAAAATTTTGGCGAGGTGAAAACAACCTTTTTGACTGAAAAATACGACTTTTTTACGGAAAAACAAGCAAAAATTTGCCGTTTTTGAAGAAAATCTCAAATTGGCGAGGTGAATTGCCGTATTTTTCTATTGGCGCCGTGCAAATGCCTCACCCTGGGCGTGGTATGTTTACGCGAATTGCAAACATTTCCGCATTTCGCGGAAATTTCGCGACATGATGTTTTCAATCGAGTCACTCCGCTAAATTTGCGCAATGTTCACCGCGAAGTTTCCGCAAAATGCTGAATGCCCGCAAATCGCGGAAACTTCGCGCGTGATTCCCTGAGTTATTTGTATATACTAGAAGGGCTTCGCTGGCTAACGCCATCTACAGTAGTTTGACTTACTTTTTCTGATTAATTTTCCGGTTAGGGAAAGAGAAACATTGAGAAATGGCTGAAAATTGTTGACTTTTTCAGAGAATAGAAAGATCAGATAAGAAACGTGTCCTTTAATTTTTTTGGAATAAAAACGTGATCATTCTTTTTTACATGAAAAAGTTTTGATTTTTCACGTGAAAACTCGCGCATTTTTTGAAAAATCGAATATTAGCGCATCGACGGGAAAGAATTTTGGATCGAATGGTGAAGGTCCCATCAAAAATGGTCTTCTGGAAATTGAGAAAAGTCGAGCGACACATTTTAAAATTGAAAAATACATTGGAGTTTTCAAACTTTTCACTCTCCGCGCACTCACAGACATTTTGAGGGAGAATTTTTGAAACGCGCATCATTGTGCCACCATTTAGAAACTTTTTCTTTTTTTGATCATCAATTTTTATGCGCACAGTTTTGAGAACGGATCGTGGACAGACTCTTGCCAAAAAAATTTTCCCAATTAGTATATAGTAGAATAGTAGATTAATTTTCCTGATTGTGTCCTGTTTTATATATTTTCCATCAGAGAAAATTGGGTAATTTTTTTTAGAAACTAGGGGACCCTGCACAGAAAGTAGGCGTGTTCCTTTGATCAATTCAGTTGAATCTGTTAAATTTGCATTTTAGTAAATAAATCTAACAATGTAAGGGTTTCGAAACTAAGCATATAGTTAAAAAGAACGTTCTTCAAATTTATGCGTTTCGTTAAGAAAGTAATAACTGTTTAGGTTAGAAAAGTTCAAACCGGGTCCCCAACATCCAGATATTTTTTTTCTGCCTAGTCTGCAGTGAGAAAAGTGGGCTCTGAACGGAAAAAGAGGGGTTTAGGAAGAAAAGAGCGGGGTAGCTTTTGCTCAGAATTTCGAGCATAATCTGATCCTTGCGTTTAAATTTTATGAAAAGTGAAAATATTCCCACATTTGAGAGCATAAAGTCTCGAAAAGCCCTCTTTTCCGTCAAAACCTCTCTTTCTTTCAAAAACCCCTCTTTTTCTGAAAACCCCTCTTTCTTTTCTACACCTCTCCTTTTTTCCTAAACCCCTCTTTTTCAGCTTAGAGCCGAAAAGTGTGCCTTTTTTGTTTCATTTTATCGCCTGTGTGTGGGGTTCCTTATAAAAAATTGAAGTTAGTGTTCACACAATTGAGAGGTGTTCATTTTTAACGTTTTGTATAGGATAGATTGAGAAGAATTATTTAACCAAAAAAGTTACAGTTATAATACAGAAAAAAGGAGAAACCCCTAGATTCCTGTTTCCAGGTAGTGTTTCCAGGTAGCTTCTCCCCCCCCCCGCCGAAATGATAACTTCGAAAAATCATCCTCAACACTAATTTTTTGCAGTTTGTTCTCCACCAGTGATCTTGCTGTCAGTAATACGATTCTGTTCACTGCGAACGTTGGGCTCGGTTTCTACGTGTATTTCAGAAGACATCTGCACCGTGTCAATCTATGGGAAAGACTCGAATTCAGTGTTTTGACATCGACTCTTTTCAATTTCGTAAGTTCGCGTGCCGCCGTTTCGTTCAAAGCAATTTTTCCGGCAAAGTGAGTTTTGTGTCTTGAATTCAAAGGAACCAAACTAATAAGAAGTTCATTTAGTTCATTTCAGAACACAAACATGGCTCAAAACATTGTTTGCAACATCGCTCAGTGTCTATCTTTTGTCAAGAGCTTATCGTCATTTGGCGATTTTGGATGCGAAAAGTTCAAGACCTTCTGAAGCAAATGAAGTGTTCACAAAGGAGTTATGACTTTGAAAAAATGTGTGTTCAAGAAAAAAGCTATCAAATTTATCTCCAATCTCCAATGAACCCACCAATAATTAAGTAATTTTTCAGCTTTTTTCTTGTTCTTCTCGATTTGGTCTTCATTTCGTTTTTTTTTGAAATCTTAAATAAATAAATGAGTTCATTTTTGAAATTCGGAAGATTTTTCTTTTTCCCATTTTGAGAACAACTGTTGCTGGTTTGGTTTGCGTTGAATTGTGTAAAGATATGACAAAGTATCAATTTGGTTTAATTACCCAAGTTTGAGGTATGACGACGTCGCCTGCCGCAGCACCTACGGCCGCCGTTGTTTCAGTCATCGCTCAACCACCTGCACCCAACAATGGTTCAACAATCGCACCAACTCCTGCTACAACTTCAACAGCAGCAACTTCACCATTTATAGCAACCCAGACACCACTTATTGATTGGTCAAACTTCTCTATTTTTTCCCATGAACTTGAGGAACCCGCTGGACATGAACCGGAAAATAAAAAGAAACGCGGACGACCACCAGGCTTGCCGAACGCGAACAAAATTCTGTGCGAGATATTGGTTACTATGACTAAAGTGTTGGCTGGAACTGAAGCGGGAAAAGTCGAGGTAAATAAATCCGTCTCCGACCTTGTCGCTGTTTGTTCCAGATTGGCAACGGCTGTTGAATCACTCAACACCACTTTGTCAGCTAATCAATCTCCTCAACAACCTCAAAAATCTGCAACAATCCAAGTTTCATCGAAAAAGTGTAAATTGTACTCGGAAGTTGTTGCTAACTGCCCAGAAGCATCTGTTATTGAGAAAAGGCAATTGCTTAACACTATGTCGAACATGGAGAAAAAGAACAAGCTCGCAGTGGTCGAGAATCTTCCGGATGCGAAGACTGATGACCAAAAATCGGCCGATGAGAAATTTATCGCTGAAGTCTGTGCAGCCGCCAATATCAACACTCCAGCCGAAGTATTCCGCGTCCAATGCAAATCAGAAGAAGTTGTGACTAGACCACTGAAAGTACGATTCGAAAACGTTGCGGATCGTGATGAATTTATTGGCGCGTTTTCGAAAACTGCTCGAACCCTGCCAACTCGTCCAACTTCACCACGACTGATCAGATGTCGCCGAGATATGACTTCAGAGGAGCTGGTATTATTGCGCAAATTGAGAAAAAATGTGTATGAGGCAAATAAAGCAGCTGGTTGTTTGAAATATTATGTATATGACTTGGAGATTCGTGAAGCAAGAAAGCCGCTGCCACTTCCACCGGCCAATGTTGATATATTGATGGAGCAATAGGACGAGAGCCACCGGGTAACACTTTCTAATTTTAATTTTCCTTCTGCTTCTTCTCATTCGCCAAATTTTCCAAATTTTGCCTCTACCAATTCTTCTCCACACCCAAAAAATACCCAAAAGGTGGCAAATTCTCCCCTATTTTCACGATTTTCCCATTTTTCTTGTGTTCTTTCTAACTGTCGTTCCATCCTATCTATGGAACGAATTTCATATATGCATAATTTTATGATGTCAAATAATCTCGATTTTATTTTTCTAACTGAAACGCACTTGAATTCTTCATTTTCTGATAACTTATGCACATCTGATACTATTTCTTTTTCCAGATTTGATAGAATTCCCAATTCAACTCGCTCCAGAGGGGGTGGAGTTGGTGTTTTCTTCAAAAAAGGTGTATCTCTACTAGAATTAGATACTAACATGTTATATCATTATCCTAAACACTTCTGTGAAATCCTTGCCCTTCGCCACCCTAATTCCAATTCTGTCTTTACAGGGTGACCCATAATTATTGTCGCGTGAGTTGAACTCGTTAACCTGAGTTCTACATTTTCAAAACGAAATTAGATAAAGTTTGATTTTGATAAATTTAATCTTAAAGGTTATATAATGAAACTTTTGTATTCCATTTTGATCATATTACTAAAGCTAATATGATATTAGCTCTGCTGGATTATAGTGACAGCGGTAAAGTAGAGATAGATTTCCAAAAATAATTTTTCAGAAAAAAATTAGTTTTTGGGACTTTAGGTGTAAATTTTATGAGAATGGTGAATACTGACTATGCCCAAAAGTGTTTATATCCTAAATTCGGTCCCTGAAATGGGTTTTTGCACAATACCAAAGCTGGAAATTATCAGAAAAACTTAGGGACCTTCATTGTAGAAAACGCTCAAAACTCATGGTTTTGGGAGTTTTGCTAACTCCACGTCAGATTCGAGCTAAATTTCAGAGCCCAAAATACTTTGTTTCAGTGCATAGAATAGGCATGTTCACAAAAAGTTCCACTCTAAAACTCATACTCGATCTCAGAATGGATTTTGCTGTTTTTCTTGATTTTTCTCGATTTTTTTTTGAAATTTCGGAAAAGACGCTTGACTTTGGAGCCCTGAAACAAGTGAGAAGCGGTAAACTCTCGCAAGAAATGCTATTATATCTTGTTCAGGACATCAAAAAATGTATTAAAACATAATTTCCAAATACATATGTTCAGTCTGATACATTTCTGGAACTTGGAAAGAGAGAAAAGAGGCTTAAAATCGCAAAATTCAAAATTTTTGGGATTGGTGAAGGTGGTGGGTGGGAAAAAAATTGTGTGGTCAGTATAGTTTTGAAAATCTGTCAGTAATCATGTTTTCTAAAATTTCCGACCTTAACATTGTTAAAATTCGAAATCTTGTTCTACCTACAGAGGTTCAAAGTGGCGACAATAATTATGGGTCACCCTGTATTATTGTATATAGGCCACCTTCTACTAATCTCACACAAACCGAAGCACTATTCATTCATTTGTCCAATATTATTTCTGATGTTTCACTGTCTTATTATATTTTTGGCGACTTCAACTTGCCCCTTGCTATCTGGAACCCCTCGCAAATTCCATTCAACACCCTTCCCCCAGCCGCAATAGATTTTATTCAAACAAATGACCTTTCCCAGTGTGTGCTTTTTCCTACCCACCCCAACCCCATCGGTCCAGCAACCTTTCTCGATTTGATCTTCACCACTTCCCCTTCAAATGTGAATAGCGTCCTCGAATATCCTCCCCTTTTAACTCAGAAATCGGTGGAGTAATTATATTGGAAGCAATCGCTCGTTCCCCCTTTTTTACAGTGAACCTACACACAATGTTCGGTGTAATTACATAACTGCCAATTTTTGAGGGGTGAGCACGTTTTTGCAAAAGTGTAATTATATTGTATATACAATTTAATTACACTTTTTCAGATTCATCCGTGTATTTACAAGAAAACATCAATGTAATTACAAATTGCTTCAAGTTACACTGTAAATACTCCACCAATTGCTGAGAAACTCCGACCATTTGTCTGTCAGTTTTACCCTCTCATTGAAATGTAACCTACCTCCCACCATTTCCCGCGCGCCCAATGGCTTAGATGTCAAAAATTGCGATTTCCCCAGCCTCAATAATCATATGTCATCCTTCAACTGGGAAAAACAATTATCACATTTTCATTCAGTTGACTCAAAACTCCTTCATTTCACCAAAATTTTCAACGAACTCATAGAGTTATACTCACCGCGCCTCAAAATAAGACCCAAATCCCACAAAACCCTACCCATCACGCAAAAACTGTTCAATAAACTAAAAAACCGTCATCCTCATTTTTCTACCCTCAAGCTCAAAAAACTCACCAAAACCACCCTTAAACGCATAAAATCCCATATCCGGTCATCTGAATTAAAATTTATAACCTCCAAATCCCCTAAGACTTTCCACAATTTTGTCCAAAAACGCCTGAAAACCACCCAGTCTAAAATCACTCTTGTTGTAAATAACTCCCCCCTTTCTTCCCCGTCCGAAATGTGTGAAATTTTTTCTGACTTATTTTTACGGAATATGACCCCTCCAACTGACCCATTTCCTGTTTTACCATCCAATCGTCCCAATATTATAAATATTGATTTTTCCCCTTTTAAATTGGCCCAAATCATATCCAAAGTCCCCTCTAAGTTAGGATTTTCTGGTGACAATATTTCGTATTATGTAATCAAAAAATGCTCTGATTCCATTCATCAAGGAAAAAAATAATGGGAGATCTGAAAATTTACGACTTGCAGCTAGAATCACATGATAAGTCATTTTGAAGAAGTTCGAAACTTAAAATTTTTGGCAGTGAAAGGTCGGATATTTATTAGGCTTAGGCTTAGTTGAACGCTTAGAAATACAATTCTTTTCAGAAAATCATGTCTTTCAAATACTTCCACTCTCAGATCCCGATTGTTTTTAGCATGTCCGGAAATCTTGATCGCCCCAAAACCAGATGTCTTGTGAAACAAGGGTGATTTTTCAAATCAAAATTTCTAGTTTTAACTGATATCTATAAAATTTCAGTACTTCCATAATTTTTGTCGCGAGCAAAACTCTGGGTCTTATTTTCAAAAAAAAAACCTTGATAAACGAAAAACATTATAGAGGATAAACACTAAAAACGATAAACATTAAGGTAGAGGAAAAACATTAGAGGAAAAACAATAGAGGAAAAACAATTGACCCCGCAAGAGCACGATTTTTTTGGAGGGGTTTTTCTAGTCAAGAGCACGATTGTCCAAATGTGCAGGGTGAGATTTAAGATTTGAGAAAGTGACTGGGTGGAAGAGATTTGAGATGAGGAATCAGATTATGAGGAAGGCGAGAATGGGTTAGTGTTTTTGAGGTTTTATTCCAGAGAGAACTGAATTTGTGCAGAAATGAGTTATTTTTGCGAGAGCCAATACAATTTAGATGGAGGGGATAACGCTGAGAGGCGGAAGAAGTGACAAATAGGGGGAGGGAGGGGAAATGACTAGAGTTAGTTAGGATTTTATAATACAAATTTGTGATGAAAATGAGTTGCCTATGTTGGGTAGAGATAAGATTGAATTGGGAGAGACGGTTGTGATATGAGCTGTAGGATAAGTTGCATCTTTGGAAAACGCGCCGAGAAAAAAATTGGAGGGGATTTTCTAGTTTTTGGATTTGTCAAATCGAGGAGGGGTGGTAGATCTCACAACCATAATCCAATAAGGGCATGACCACACCTGGCGAGACGTGTCCAAAATGGACACTGTACATTTTTTCCAAAAGCCCCACTGTATTTTTTTCGAAAAAAAATCACTTCTTTCCTTTTCACCAACATTTCTCCTTTCGAAGGGAAGCACATAATTGTCCGAGTGGTTAGAGCCATCCGCTCACAATCATAAGGTCACGGGTTCGGTTTTGCTCAACGAAGCAATTTTTTATTTTTTTTTTCTATTTTTTTCACACTATAACAAACAAGTTATTCCTCAATGAATGTTCATTTTTAAAATGAATATAGTTTCTAGACAGTCTTTTATCTAATTGGAACTCAATGTGCAGTGTGGAAATTGATTAATCGCCTAGAAAAACATAGTGTCCAGTAAAAAACTGTTTTTCGTCAATAATGACTTTCAAAATCAATTTCCACACTGCACATGGGTAAGATCAAAAACTAGACACAAAAATACCCCTACTTTGTGAATAAACCAAACCCGGAGGTTTTCTTGAAAAAATATGCCAGACGATTCTTTCCAATGGCCAATTTTACCATGGAAATGGACACTCTAAAATAACAGTGGAAATAGAGCATTTCCACACTGCACTCATGGTTTTCCACACTGCCTATGGCCCTAGCAATCTATCATAAAAATTTCAACCATTTTCGTCAAGCCTAAACTTAGTTATCTTAACTTCAAATTTTGACGCGTTTGTTTGAAAACAGTTTCCTTTCCACCAACATTTACCCGTGCGGGAGAGAAGAGAGATGTGGCCGAGTGGTTAGCATTTTAGACTGTCGTGCATGAGACCACGGTTCGGATCCTGTTGCCGGCGAATTTTTTTTTGAAATTTAAGAGACGTTATTTGTAAAATCATAATATTTCGCATAGGTCTCGGCACAAACAAAAAATTCGAATTTCGGATTTTTTATTTATTTGAAAGCCCTTTGGGTAGGAAGCAAAACGCGCATAATATGACGTCATACAAACGTCTCCTCCTCCCGGACTACACGGTTTTGTACCGGAACGGTATTTTTTCGATCTAACGTAACTTTGCTCTACGTTCATATTTTTTCATGTTTAAAAAAGCAAAAATGCTTATTTTCTTGCGATAAATCGACTGGAAGCAACGACGGAATCATTAGATTACGTTTAAAGAAAGTTCTAAAATGACCCCCCAAAAAAATATGCTTGGGAGTAACGACGCCCTTTCAACTCCTTTTCCATTCGATTCCTCTCGATTTTTTAGGTATACAGGGTGGCTGATAAGTATACAACGCTGAGTTTTAAGTTGTAACTAATGATTTGGCGTGAAATTTTTCTCAGTATGTTTTTTCTCGTGTTACTAGAGACCTAACGAACACTTTTTGATAATAGTTTAACTGATGTTTCAATTGGTCCCAAGTTCTGGTTCCGATTTAGCGAACAAAAATTGAGGGGGTGCGCCGCCCTAGTTAGTAAGGTTCGGGGTGTTCTAAACAGACTCAAAATGGGCCAATGGAGATGGAAATTTTTTTTGAAATGTCAGAGGTTCAATTTTAATGTTCCAGTACACATCTGATGAAAATTCATCATTTTGAGTTCCTGGAGAACCTTCGAAGTCAAAACTCAAAAAATCACTTTTTCCCAATTTTTCCGAAAAAAATTTTTTTTTTCAAAATACTTGAAATTCTGCGGATTTTCAAAATATTTTCCTGTTGGATAGGATAGAAGTAGATGTTTCAGAAAAATAAACTAACGATTTCAATTGTTAATTCGAAATTTCCGGGTAAAATGTGAAATTTTTCGAAAAATGAAGATGTCTAGCAAATTTCGATAGTTATGACGGTCAGAATTTTCAAAACGTGATGTGATGATTGTAATGGGTTGAGAACATCATATTTGTTCATATTCAGAGAGTTGAGATCTCATTTTAAGCTCTAGCTCATATCACAGTACGCTAAACTGTCAACACTCAAAAAACAACAGTTTCGCGGCGCACACAAATTCCGATTTTCTGAAACGGTGCTCTTGAACTGAATTTTTTTTGAATAAGGTTTATGAATGCTGGAAATAGAACATAATGATGTCTAAAAAGTGTGCCTGGTTGTATATTACTGATTTCTTCGTTTTTCACAAAGTTCTGATAGAGGAAAGTTGACCTAAAATCAATGTAAAATGGACCTTTTTCAGCTGAAATCACCAATACACACCCAAAAATGAACTTTTCTTAAAACACTCTCACATTAGCTTTCTAGACTCATTGGACTATCCGATCAACACTTAACATAAGAAAAATGACAATCGGGGACTTTCTGGGAAGGGCTTGAAAAACGTTGTATACTTATCAGCCACCCTGTAATGATAATTGCGGCAATTACTGTGTTGTGATTACTGTGGTTTGAATATATATGTTGTTGTGGCATTGAAGTCATCCTTCATTGTGGTGGATGTTGGATACTTCTTTTCGTTTGAGCCCGGCAGGTGGCTGGGAATCGCTCTGTCTTTGCGAGTCCTTCTTGGTCGGATGTCTTTGCTTGATGTCGGTCCAATGCTTTCTTTCTCTTCCATGGATACTGTATTGGTTCGATTTCGATAAATTTGCCATTTTGTCGACGAAAGCGTGGTGATGGTAATCTGTGCTTCCGATTGTCTCCATATATCTTTTTGCCTTCCGCATATGCTTGTTCCATGCATTCGCGAAATCTCGATTCTTCTGTTGTTGGTTCTGGTGATTGGGTTCTTCGGTTTTTGCTGACTTCGAAGCTGGATTTCTGCGCGAATTATGGAAATCGGGCGTGTTCGTCGTCCAATTCGGAGGGTCTCAGTTGTTCTGTAGACAAGAATTGTCTTTCCTTGAGAAGAAAGGTCTTCTCACGTATTCAGGGATACGGTTGGTTCAACTTACGTTAGTACTATGACACTATTGTGCCACACCTGGCGAGAGAGTGTCCAAAAATTTTTGTGCAGTGTGAAAATTTTTCAAAAAAAAAAATTGTGCAGCGTGGAAATTTTAAATTTCAAAAAAAAAATTCGCCGGCAACAGGATCCGAACCGTGGTCTCATGCACGACAGTCTAAAATGCTAACCACTCGGCCACATCTCTCTTCTCTCCCGCACGGGTAAATGTTGGTGGAAAGGAAACTGTTTTCAAACGAACGCGTCAAAATTTGAAGTTAAGATAACTAAGTTTAGGCTTGACGAAAATGGTTGAAATTTTTATGATAGATTGCTAGGGCCATAGGCAGTGTGGAAAACCATGAGTGCAGTGTGGAAATGCTCTATTTCCACTGTTATTTTAGAGTGTCCATTTCCATGGTAAAATTGGCCATTGGAAAGAATCGTCTGGCATATTTTTTCAAGAAAACCTCCGGGTTTGGTTTATTCACAAAGTAGGGGTATTTTTGTGTCTAGTTTTTGATCTTACCCATGTGCAGTGTGGAAATTGATTTTGAAAGTCATTATTGACGAAAAACAGTTTTTTACTGGACACTATGTTTTTCTAGGCGATTAATCAATTTCCACACTGCACATTGAGTTCCAATTAGATAAAAGACTGTCTAGAAACTATATTCATTTTAAAAATGAACATTCATTGAGGAATAACTTGTTTGTTATAGTGTGAAAAAAATAGAAAAAAAAATAAAAAATTGCTTCGTTGAGCAAAACCGAACCCGTGACCTTATGATTGTGAGCGGATGGCTCTAACCACTCGGACAATTATGTGCTTCCCTTCGAAAGGAGAAATGTTGGTGAAAAGGAAAGAAGTGATTTTTTTTCGAAAAAAATACAGTGGGGCTTATGGAAAAAATGTACAGTGCACAGCCCGAGAAACGCAACCTACGACACTCCGTTTTGTTGACTCTTTCGAAATGCCTGTTGTTTAGCACACCTCCCCTTTTTTTTATTTTTATTTTTTGTTCTCATTTTGTTTTGTTCCAAAAAAGGGCTCAAAATGTATCAATCTTAAAATTTTTTTTTGGATTACCCAAAGAATGATCTAAAGTAGGATGAGTGAAAGTTTCATGATTTTCGTATGTTCGATTTTCCAGAAAAATTGAAGTTTATGCAGAAAATGGTTTTTTCGGTCATTTTCAACCAAAAAAGCGTCTCAAAATATATCAATCTCAGTAATTGTTTTTCGATTTACCAAAGATTGATCTAATGTTTGATGAGTAAAAGTTTCAAGCTTTTTGTATGTTGGATTTTCTAGAAAAATTCATGTTTATGCTGAAAATGATCATTTTTCGGTGATTTTCAGCCAAAAAGGGTCTTAAAGTATATCAATCTTTATAATTTTTTTGGATTTCCCAAATAATGATCCAAAGTTAAATAAGTAAAAATTTCAAGATTCTTGTATGTTTGCTTTACCAGAAAAAATTCAATTTTTTGCTGAAAACGACCATTTTCAGTCATTTTCAGCCTGGAAAACAGGAATCCAGCGAAATAACATTGTTTTTCGACATTCTAAGAGGGTTTCAGAACATTTTATAACTATTTTGACACATAGAAAAAGAAAAACGAAGAGTTAGTTTTCACTAGGAATCGAACCAACGACCTCTCACTCACTAGTCAGAGGCTCTGCCACTGAGCTATTGTGGCAAAGCTAGAGGCAGGCGGCGAGAGAAAAAGTCAAATTTTTTCATTGAAGAAAAAAATGAAGGGTACCGTTTCTCGGGCTGTGAGTGTCCATTTTGGTCTCGCCAGGTGTTGGTCCTGCGATGTGATTCCCCGAAATGTATAGCTGAAAAGTGGCTAAAAGTCATTCTACTCACAAAAAAATGAGCTCAAAAATCGACCGCGAGCTGAAAAAGATCCTTCGTAAATTTCGATTGGCAAATCTCAAAGTGCTTATTCGGGACTTCCCATGCCTTTCTAAGACCATTAGAAAATTCCCCCGAGCTCCAAAAAAATTGAGAGACTTCCCAAGCCTTTCTAAGACCATTAGAAAATTCCCCCGAGCTCCAAAAAAATGGAGGGACTTCCCAAGCCTTTCAAAGACCCTCTTAGAAAGGCTTGGGAAGTATCTCAATTTTTTTGGAGCTCGGGGGAATTTTCTAATGATTTTAGAAAGGTCAAAAGTACAACCCTCGTCAATCAGCCCTCGTCCGATTAACCCTTGTCAGTTTTTACAACCCTTGTCTGTTCAACCCTCGCCATTTTTGTACAACCCTTGTCTATCGAAATTTTTCCTGACTCGTCAATTACTTTTCGCAGGAGTCGCTTTTTTTCGCATGGGTTTTTAGTTTTTCTGGGCGTTTACTAAGCCTAAGCCTGGAATGAAAGATTAGTTAAAACTCAATTTTTAGGTTATACTAATACTGATTCAGGCTTAGGCTTAGTTAAAAGCCCAAAAGGGTGCAATTTTGAATTAAAATAATCTTGCGATTTTGCGGGTTTGCATCTTTGATTCTGATCATGACTCGCGTTTCCAAAGGTCGTGGAAGACCAGCTGCAGAAGCCACATCTGCCAAAAGATTTAAGCTGAACGACGAAATGGGTGCTGACACTGTCCGCTTTAAGAAATTGGAAAAATCTCTAGAGAACGCTATAAGACGTATTTCTCATTTGGAGAACCAGTTGAAAGCGGTTCAAGTCGACAATGATAAATTGAAGATGGTACACAGGTAAAGCGCAATAGGTCTGAAATAGGTCTCATAAGTCTCTCGCATCGCGCCCATAATAGGGCCATTACAGACCTATCCTTCGATAGGTGTCAAATGGGTCTAATATAAGTTTAAATTTTGAGCTATTTTTGTCAAATTAGGTCTATTGTCGGCCTATTATAGGCCTACAGTGCATCCTACACGAAAAACAGCAAAAGCTGAAACTCTGCTCCATCAAGCTCTAATAACTCCTAATGATACCTTACTGACTCTTATATACCTCAATTACCCTAACCCTATATCCCTAAGACCCCTAACTTACTTGACTTCCTTTGCTTTTGCTCAGGAGAACGACCGCGAAATCTGCGCGAAACGCGAACCCCAGAAGTCCGCTAAAACGCCGCGCATCCGCCGCGCTTTAGCGGTGTTGTAACAGCGTTTCGCGTAAATTTCGCGGTTTCATTATCGCGTTTTGCGTGAATTTCGCGGTGTCCTCTCAATTTCAAAACAAAATGGCATCATGATCGATCCTCACATTCAGGTGATCATCATTTGTATTTACCACACTCACCCAACCTCGAACCCACAACCTCTCACCTCGAATACATTTGTTTTACCCACTTGACCATGCGCGTACGTGACGCGAATAGCGAAAATGTTTTTTATATACCATGCTACTGCGCGAAAATGTCGCGAAACGCTCCAATTCGGTCGAGGAAGCCCGCGAAATTTCCGCGAAACGCGAAGATCCCCGCAATTCGCGCAAATTTTGCGACGTCCAGTCGACCGGGTCCCATATTGCGCGAGGTTTGTGCGAAACGCGCGATTCTCCCGCGAAGGTTGAGCGAATCGCAGAGACCCCGCTTTTCGCGCAGATTTCGCGGTCGTTCTCCTGAGTGGTTCATAATTTAGAAAAAGCGCGCCTCCGATATATAGTGTACATAAATCTAACACCCGACGGTTGCCTGGCCGCGCACATCGCTATGTTTTGTGTGGTGAGTGCGTGAGTTTTGTGAGTGTGTGTGTGTGTGCGCGCGTTTTTAAAGAATAAAACAAAGTCTATGAAGCAAATCACTGTATTTCTTCATAAATATCGCATTTTTTACATACGAGCTAACATCCTCTAATCCAGTTTCAGCTTCTGCTTCGATGAAAGTTGAGTTAGGCCATTTTTGGACCTCAGTTTAGTGCGTTTTTAAAGAGGAGTTTTTTTTGTGGATAAACCAAAGTCTATGAAGCAAAACACTGTATTTCTTCACGAATATCGCATTTTTTACATACGAGCTAACATCCTCTAATCCAGTTTCAGCTTCTGCTTCGATGAAAGTTGAGTTAGGCCATTTTTGGACCTCAGTTTAGTGCGTTTTTAAAGAGGAGTTTTTTTTGTGGATAAACCAAAGTCTATGAAGCAAAACACTGTATTTCTTCACGAATATCGCATTTTTTACATACGAGCTAACATCCTCTAATCCAGTTTCAGCTTCTGCTTCGATGAAAGTTGAGTTAGGCCATTTTTGGACCTCAGTTTAGTGCGTTTTTAAAGAGGAGTTTTTTTTGTGGATAAACCAAAGTCTATGAAGCAAAACACTGTATTTCTTCATAAATATCGCATTTTTTACATACGAGCTAACATCCTCTAATCCAGTTTCAGCTTCTGCTTCGATGAAAGTTGAGTTAGGCCATTTTTGGACCTCAGTTTAGTGCGTTTTTAAAGAGGAGTTTTTTTTGTGGATAAACCAAAGTCTATGAAGCAAAACACTGTATTTCTTCACGAATATCGCATTTTTTACATACGAGCTAACATCCTCTAATCCAGTTTCAGCTTCTGCTTCGATGAAAGTTGAGTTAGGCCATTTTTGGACCTCAGTTTAGTGCGTTTTTAAAGAGGAGTTTTTTTTGTGGATAAACCAAAGTCTATGAAGCAAATCACTGTATTTCTTCATAAATATCGCATTTTTTACATACGAGCTAACATCCTCTAATCCAGTTTCAGCTTCTTCTTCGATGAAAGCTGAGTTAGGCCATTTCTGGACCTCAGTTTAGTGTGTTTTTAGGGATGTTTTCTAGTAAATGAACCAAAAAATTTAAGGCGAAAATTTCTTCATAAATTTCGCGGTTTATTTCATATGCGCTGACATTCCCTCAATAAGTTCAAGCTTCTGCTTCGATCAAAGCTGAGTTAGGCCATCTCTGGGTCTAATATTTGTGTGTTACTTGAGCATAATATTCTGCAGAGTAAACTAAAGTGTATGGGGCTAAGTACTGTATTTCTTTCAAAACATAACCAATTTTACATATTAATTGAGCTCCCTCAGGTATGCTCAAGCTACTTTTACGATAGATATTGATTTTATGATAATCTATCTGACAGTTTTCAAACTAAGCTGATAGGCGTCTGATAGGCCTATAATAGGTCTCAAATAGCTGTTGAAAAAAACTCAAAAAAAACAAACGAGATCATCGCTGTGGTATGAAGAAATTTGTTGGTATGGGTTTAAATGTACACCATTTCTATCAAAAACATTTTTTTGATTAAGTTTTGAAAGTTTGAATTTTTTTGATTTTTCAAGTGAAATTTGCAAATTTTTCGATAGGCCTATTATAGGCCTATTGTGGGCGTAACTTATATTTTATGCCTATTACACGCCTATTATAGACCTATTGCGCTTTACCAGTGTTTTCTCACAAATTGCTCCTTCCTATGATTTTCTTGACTCTGATCACATCGCAGTCTCATTTAGATGCAATCTATTTAAATCCAAACCGTTTCAGCTACAAGGTAAGCAACTAAATTACAGAAAATGTGATTTTGAGTCGATGAATCAGAGATTGGCATCTATAGATTGGGATCTTGAACTTGCCAACATGCCGAATATCAACTGCAAGTACAAGTATTTTCTGGAATTGGTGGAAGATATGCTATTGAATTACTGTCCTTCATTTCCTCGACGTTCAACCGATGTAAATATCGACAGAAGACTGAAACGCTTGCGGAAGAAAATCAGGAAAATGGGATATCCAAATGGTATTAAGTTGAGAAACTGGAAGAGGAGATTATTGAAGAATGAGAAATTGAATATTATCAAAAATGACTTCAAAATCGCCAATACTGGAAACAACAAGCTTATCCAGAAAGTGATTTCGCGTCGTCTCAGAATAAATACGGATATTAGTTCATTGATTCATGAAGGAGAATGCGTAACATCAGAGGCGAGAATGGCTGAAGTTTTCTTGGAAATATTCTCGAAAAACATGAGAACGTCAGGTATTACTCTGGACCACAGTCATCACTTTCTTTTTATCCATTTATTGTTCACAAAACCCTAGAATCACTAGCACCGAAGCTTGGCTTCTCGTCCAATCACATCAATTTCTTTGTCCTCAAACATTGTGCTGTTTCACTGGCCATTCCGCTATCCATATTATTCTCAGAAGTCTACGAAAAGTGCGTATTCCCTGACGATTGGAAAAAATCCACCATTGTACCTATTCACAAAAAAGGTAGTCACAGTGATCCAAACAACTATAGACCAGTGGCTCTCACCTCTCCACTTTGTCGAGTATTTGAGAAAATTGTTGCAAGCTACATTCGCACCAGATTCAGTTGTAAATTTGCACCTCAACAACATGGCTTTCTCAGTAAACGGTCATGTAAAACAACACTATTACACTGTGTCACGAGCTGGAAAATGGAACTCGAGTTAGGAAATAGCATAGACGTTGTCTACATTGATTTCCAAAAAGCGTTTGATAACCTAGACCATGCACTTCTATTAGGAAAACTTGAACAATTTGGTTTACCGAAGGATCTTGTGATGTTTTTAGAAGCATTTTTTTAAAGATCGGAAATCATTCGTCAAGGTAAACTCACATGTGTCCAGTTCATGTTTTGATGTTTTGTCCGGGGTCCTCCAGGGAACTGTCACTGGCCCTCTACTTTTTCTAATTTTTATTAACGATCTTGTGGATATAATTCCGAAAAATGTTAAAATCCAAATATTTGCAGATGACGTAAAAGTTTACGGTTCTGATCCAAATGCACTACAGAAAGCGCTTGATTTGATTCAAGACTGGTCTGTAAAATGGGATCTTCCATTAGCGCCAAATAAAACAACAGTTTTACATCTTGGAAATAAAAATCCCAGGGTCAACTACTATATGAATGGTTCCATGATTGAATCCTCAAAAGTGGTTCGAGATCTTGGCGTATGGGTGGACGAGAAGTTGAACTTTGATCATCATATCAATATAACTGTTCAGAAAGCCCTCTGGAAGACCCGGCAATTGCTAAAAGCCTTCAGATTTGGTAAACTTCATACTTATTTATCGTTGTATAAAACTTATATTGCACCAATTATCGATTATGGCTCCGAAGTTTTTCGGCCATTTATATCCAAAAAGGCATCATTATTAGCAGAAATGTCACTTCGAAGATACACGAGATCAATATTTCGTAGATGTAATGTGGCTTTCAGTTCATATGAGGATAGATTAAAACAGTTAGAGTATTGCAGTGAGGAAAGGAGGAGTTTGAATTCGGGGCTTTTTACTTTTCTCGGGCTCTTGGAGGGTACCACTTACTTTCCCGAAATTGATAATCTAGTTTGCAGAAAAAATCCCCTCGATATCCTCTGCAGCGCAATCTCACCCAACAATGCCCACTCCAAAGCTTCTTTGGAAAAATCGTCCCAGTTTGGAACGAAATTATAAAACATATCGACCCGTCCACCAGCACAAAACAACTACGTAATTTCATTTCTTCTCTATCGGATTCACAACTAATTGGAACATCTCAAAATCCTTGGCTCACGAATTCTCTTGTAAGGAATTAGGAGTCACTGTATTGTTATTTATTAATCATATTATTTTTCTCAACTCATGTGTCATAATTTTTCTTTAAACTTGTCATATTATGTAAATAATCATTTTCGGGTACGAGCTCGGGTCAAATAACTATGTTTTTTTTTGTTGAAAGAATTGAACACTTATGCTAAAAAAAAAGTCATACAAAAAATTACTTTTGCGAAAAATAATTGACCAAAAGACGAGGGTTATTCAAAAATGGCGAGGGTTGAACAGACAAGGGTTGTAAAAAACTGGCAAGGGTTAATCAGACGAGGGCTGATTGACGAGGGTTGTACTTTTGACCTCTTAGAAAGGCTTGGGAAGTATCTCATTTTTTGGAGCTCGGGGGATTTTCTAATGATCTTAGAAAGGCTTGGGAAGTATCTCAATTTATTTGGAGCTCGGGGGAATTTTGTAATGGTATTAGAAAGGAGTTTTCTATAGGGAGTTCCTTATGGACTACCATAAAGTGGTTCCTAAATTTTTTACGTATTGTCGTAATTGAAAAATGTGGCCGCCGTAAAAAATGAAAACCAGTGCAGAACTGAATGAAGAATGAAAACAACTGGACTTCGTCAGTCGCGTGCGGCTGTGCGGCACGGTCGGAAAACAATCAATAATTCATTTTTCCTTTCTTTTCCGACCGCGCCGCACAGCCGCACGCGACTGATGAAGTCCAGTTGTTTTCATTCATTCAGTTGTGCACTGGTTTTCATTTTTTACGGTGGCCACAATTTCGAATAGTCATTTTTTCAACAAAAAATCCCATCTAAATTCTTCAAAAAAGTAATTATTTGAATAGTTTTGATTTCCAATAATCTTTTTTCATGTTTTTTTTTCAGGAACTATCAAATAGTCAACAGCAAAATACATCGGATTATCTTTGTTATTCCAGTCAGATTCATTTATGCATCGTACAAAGTGAAAAAAATGCGAAAAATCAAAAAAATAACGTGCAAACAGAGGCATTTTTTCGAGCATTTGTTTCGCGTTTTCTGGTGTTTTTGGAGCCAAAATGAACAGAAATTGAAAGGATTTGTCTGAAATAGCGTTTTTACTGATAACAGAGGAAAAATCAATGGTGAAACAAGAAAAAAAACGATTTTGAAAATTTCAAATTTTTTCGACCTTTTCGTCATTTTTTCGACAAACTCATTTTTCATGTTTCATCACCGATTTTTCCTCAATTATCAATAAAAACACCATTTCAGACAAATCCTTTCAATTTTTGTCCATTTTGACTCGAAAAACACAAGAAAATGCAAAAATAATGCTCGAAAAAATGCGATTTCTGCGAAAAAAATGCGTCTGTTTGCACGTTATTTTTTTTTTTGATTTTTCGCATTTTTTTTACTTTGCACGATCCATGATTGATTCCTTTGATGTTTTCAAGGTATTTTTTTTTATTTTATACTTTGTTAATGATTGATTAACGTCAAGTTGAAAAAAGGAAATATTCAATTGTAAAGCGTTTGTGTTCAAAATCTATGTTTTCCTCGAATTTTGACTGAAAAAGGTGAACCTTGAAAAAAAACGCAGAAAATTCAAACGTTCCGCCTGTTCGCTATAGCGCGTTTGCCTAAGATGAGCAATATTTCAAAAACATTGCATACAATATATGAATCTGTTCCTTTTTCATTCGAAACCGGTGGTCACAAATTTGACGATAACACCGGTGGACCACCAGCTTAACACTGGCTTAACACCGTTTGAACACCGTCTGAACACCAAAAAGAGGTGTTCCACCGGTGTTTTTTCTCATTTTTCCCACCGGTTTCCCACCGGTGGGATGATTTGCCTGAGTCAATAATTCGAAATGTAAAACAAGTTCAAAGTTCATAAAAACAGTGAAACGTCGTGTAAAATGGCTAGAGAAAATGCATGTTTTTCTCGCACTCCATCTTCAACATATTTTTTTTCTACTTGAATCAACCCATGAAGAAAATGGGCTGTGTCTATAAATATGGTTAGAATGAGAAATATAAGTCAGCCGTTGTACGCTGGTCTCTGCGTATCTTACATTATATTGTCTCTCTATTTTGCACACTATCTCTTTGGGCGTATACACATGGGAAATTGGTCTCGTTTGGAAAAGGGAAAACTAATACGATAGAGAGACATGAAACGATGCCAACTGAATTATTTACGGTGTTTTTTGTTGTTTTCAAATAAAAAATTTATCGAAACTTATTATGTAAATACGATGACAGTAAGGCCAGTTCAACTTACAACAAATCTAGGAGAATTGCCTTTATTAGCATTCATTCAATTGGCAAAATGCTTGGAAAAACACGAATTATGGCTGAAAATTGTTGATGATCAGGTGGAAAGGTCAATTTTCTCAATGTCTCAAGAAGATATCGAGAATCTTGAAAAACATGTTGAAGTTGGAAGTGTTTTATTGAGAACATTAGGAAATCGAGGACAAACTGTTATGGATTTACTGAGAAGATTGCAGAAACTAGGAATGTATTATGGTGATCCTTTATTCGATCTTCCACAACTTGTTTTGAGCAGGAAATTCAGTGAGTTCAAGTTTTAAGAAAATCATGAAAGTTCATATCAATAGCCAGCTTTGAAAAAATGCCCACTAGTATCATTTTGACAATTCAGCAAAGTATTTCGAAAAAAAGTAATCCAAATTTAAGAATTTAGGCTCTTTTTGGTGAACGGCTTCGAACACTCAGCATCCGCTGGCGTAGTATAAGCGTACAAGCGAGCGTAGCTAAGGCGGTGTATGACGTGCCAAACGCTCGTTTGTACGCTTGAGACTACGCTGAGGTGTAAATCTTAGCTACGCTCGTTTTTATTTTCAATTCAATTTTTTTTCTCGGTGGCTTGCTCGATTGGAATCGAATTCTAGGTTTATTACCAATATTGCTTGTTGAATGTGCAGATTTCAAAATTTTTCGATGGAATTGTATAGAAACATGATTTATTAGATAGTAGAACAAAAAAAAATAGGAAAATGAGAGAAATAACATTGAAAAATCGATGAATTAGGTAATTTTGAGTGTTTCTTGACAATCAGACATTCTTTTTGAGACAGCGTGAGATGATTAGAAGAAATTTACTGGTGTTGAATGATGGTGTTGGGAGCCATGTGAGAATTTGAAATCCTTGTAGAATATTTAGAATACCAGTGTCCGAGCCTGAAATAATAACTGACTTATTAAAATGTTTTGTAGTGAATATTATCAGGCTTGTGCGGAAAATAGGTTTTCGGAAAATTTCGGAAAACCGTGTTTTTCCGAATCCGTCCGGTCGGAAAAAGTTTTCCGAAGTTATTTTCCGACTTTTTATTTTCGGAAAAAAGTTTTCCGACTGATTTTTCCGACTTAATTTTTCGGAAAAACGGAAAATTTCGGAAAAAATTTCAATGAAGAAATAATAGGAATTTTTGCTGGTTTTTGAGTTGTGTTGAAGTAGTTTCAACAAATTCAGCAGTTTTCACGGTATTTTGTCACTTTTGTTGAATATTACTAACAACTTACTATATTTTTCACAACTACCAAAATTATTTCGTGATAAAATTAGCAAAAATTCCTGAAAATCGCCTATTTTTTCACTTTTTCGGAAAATTATTAGTCTCGGAAAATTTTCGGAAAATAAGTTTTTCCGAAAATATTCGTCGGAAAAATTTTCCGACCAAAAGTTTTCCGAGTTTTTCGGCCGGAAAATTTTCCGACTCGTATTTTTTCCGAAATTTTCCCAAAAAGTCGGAAAATCGGAAAAAGCGTTTTCCGTTTCCGCACAAGCCTGATATTATGACTTATATTGACCAAAATCAAGACCTTCTGACCAGGATATTGGAGGTGAGTAATCAAGTCAGTTGTTTTGAGCCTACCGCCTCACATTTTGGAAATGTTCTTAAGTTTTTGCTCATAATATCTTTTGCTCACCTTTTCCATGATTCAGCTCGCTTCACATCACAATATCGATAAGAATATTCGAAGTTGTGTCAAATTCAAAAATCACTGACAATGTTGATCTTCAAATTCTCTACTGTCCGGGTTTGGTATGAAGTTTGTAGTCATAGGAAATTCGATTCGATTTTCTCTCCGAATTTCGAAGCTTGTGTAGTTGAATCCAAACCACCGACAGTGGACTGACAACCAAACAACATTTTTAGCTCTGAAATAAAATAATATATTCTCAATATTGATAGAATTATGTGACTTACTTAAATCTGCGAAAAATGCAGTGCAGGTTGACATCACAAGCCACGATTCAAGACTGAAACATAGAAAAATTGATTAGAGAACGATTACAACCAAAAATAATGAGCATAATCGAGTAAAATTCATAGGTAAAGTTTTATATTTCCTACTTTTGATCTGTTGAAATAATTTCTCACTGAAAATCTTCACACGAGAGCCAGTTTTCTAGTGAAAACCTCGTTCAGTGAGTTGTTTGGAAACGAAAAGTCATTATACTCAGATATAACATAACTGACAAGTATAATTCATGCTTTAATCATATTAATACGCCCAAAAAGACAAATTTTAGGCCACGAGAAAACAAAAAGAAAAAGTGAAAAACTTGCACGCAACGCACAGGATTTGCAACGCGGTTTCAGTGTAGCTACGCTCAGTCTACACTCGCAAAATTACAACGAGCGTAGCTAAGCCTCAGCTAAATTTCATCTAAATACCCCTTGCTTGTACGCTTAGACTACGCCAGCGGATGCTGAGGCAAAAAAAAGAAAAAAAACTGGCGGAAATTTGCGTGTGTGGTGTTTACAGAAAACTCTACACATTGCAGACTTGGGAGTCTACAGTAACCCGAAATTTTTTTTATTTTTTTGTAAAAATTGAATTGCTGTTTTCAGAAGAAATCCGTTGGTTGAGCGAAGAACAAGTTGCTGTTTCTATAGTTGGGAATGTAATTCGTCTAGAATGCAAAGCTGGTGGATTTCCAACTCCCGATTTCAAATGGTATGATTCAAATTCAACAAAAAATGAAATTGCAATTGGAAAATATATTGATTTGATAAGATGCAAATGCTCAGCCGAAATTCTTTACAAATGCTATGCTTCAAATGTTGTTCCGGATGGTTTCACTTTTTCTGGAGAATATAGAAAACCTGGCAAAAAATATCGATCAAGTTTGGAATCCAGTTGGATTGATGTTACTTCTTTTGTCAGAGATGATGAATGTTAGTTTATTATTTTTTCTAAAAAAAAACAATTATATATTTCTTCTGTTTCAGTATGCGAAGCATGTCGATCTCGCGAATTCGCACGTTATGAACAAATTTTGAAAGATGAAGACGAAGAAGATGATGACACTGATGGTTTGCCACTTCCATATTTTCAACAACCTTCAACATCTAAGTCAAATGCTACAAATGCTCCAAAAGAAATTGCCGAACTTCTCGCAGCTGACAAAGTTGCCCTAATAATGTCAAACTGTTCCTATGCTCATCTTCCCGAATTAGTCACTCCACATTGCGATGCTCAAACTCTTGCCGATTCTCTTCAAAAAATGAATTTCAAAACTGTAACATTAGCTGATTTGACACTAGATGAAATGCGTTTTTTTATTCGAGAATATCGAAAATTATTAGGAAATGGAGTTTATGCTGTTTTCTATTTTGTTGGTCACGGTTTTGAAGTAAATGGACAATGTTATCTTTTGGGAATCGATGCACCACAAGATGCTGAAAAACCAGAACATGCATTAAGTATGGATTGGATGTTATCAATATTTCGTGATATTTCACCAGCTCTTAATTTGTTACTTTTAGATGTTTGCAGAAAATTCGTACCGTAAGTTTTTTCCTTTTTCGTGGTATTGCAAACTCATTAATTTTGTTCAGATTCCATGCAATTCCTTCTTTTGTTGATTATGCTGAACAATTCAAAAGACATCATCGAGCACATCGAAATATGGTTTACGGATATTCGACGAGCGGTGGAGTTGGAGCATATGAAGTGAAAGGAGAAGTTAATGGAGTTTTTATGAAATATCTCAAAAATCATGTGACACTTAATTGTTCAGTTATCGATATGCTGAATAAAGTTCTAAACGGTGAGATTTTAAATCAACGTGTGAATTTTAAAACATTGGCTGGAAATTGATTTTTAGGTAGAAAAAAGTTCAAAATCTTGATCAAAATTCCCGAATCAAGAAAACCCAAAAAGCGATTTGTATCTTATTCAAAAACTAAAGCTTTCTCTAACTCAATCTATAAATCAAAAATTAGAAGTACTGTATTTTTCGTTATTTTCTTCAAAATACTCCTATTTTCTATGATAGGATAATAATCAAGTTTTAATTTGATATCTTGATACAGTAATATAAAAACCCGCCCATTTTTTATCGAAATTTCCAGATATTGGAGATGATAAAAAAGTGTGTGATGTTCAAGTTCCTGAAATCCGAACAACATTAACTCGTCCAAGAAGTCTTCAAGATCCTTTACAATTCGATGGACATACAGCTTCATTTGATAATCACACAGTTCATTGGCGTTTGATGCATGAATTGCCAAATCCAGTAAATGTTCGATTTGAAGACCAAAAACTATTCGCAACAATTTGGTTTCAATTTTGCGGACATTTTACAAACAAAGTCTATGTTTTGAGTTCAATTTCTGATTTGCCATCTGAAAATGAGCAAGAAATTGTTGATTTGAGTGATCATGCAAGAAGTCATCGAGTTATTTTATCATTTCCAAATGAATTACAATGTTCTGAACCAAAAGAATATTCGGATGATGAAGAAGGTGTTTCAATGTATTCTATTTTATCTGGTCTTCAAAAAACTTCTGTGAGTTTCTATTTTATTTGAAGAAAAATTAAATTTAAAGGGGTTGTCCTTCTTCGTGAAAAAGCAAGCCCGCAATTGTGCGTCAGTGTTTTTAACTAACTAATATAAATGAGTCTACATGATCAAGCTATTTTTCTAAACACGGAATTTTCAAGAAAAACCTTAGCCCAAGCTATTTAGCTAATCTGGCCTCGTAGGAAGACAACCCCTTTAAGAAATCTCGAAAAATGTTTTTTCGTTTTTTTTTCAGAATTATCTGAACAAAACAAACAAATATGAGAATTGAAATTAATTTCAGGGCGATGGTGAACTTGTTTGCTGTGTTCGTCTTTTCAATCTTGATGAAAACACTCTAGTCACTCAAAAAATGGTGGAAATTGGTCACGTTTTGATAACACGTATAAAATGTCTATAAAACAAATTGTTGTAAATATAAATTTTTCATTTTCAAAAAAAGGGGTTAAAACAATAAGATATTCTCACACAAAACACATCAAAAAAGGAAGAAGCTCATATTACATGAAGAGAAGTGGAGGTAGGTTAAGATTGCACCATAAAAGGCAACGAACAATATAAAATATATATATCACTAGAAAAAAAAAACGGAATTGTTGTAAATGAAAAAATCTACCAGTGTAATTATTAGCGGAAGGGAATAGGAAAACTCTTCAGGGATTCGGACTGAGATTTTTTAGAATATTTTCTTTACCACGAAATTTTTAAGGGGCGGAAAACGAAGCAAAAATGCGTATATAATAAATTAAATTTATGATGCAGATTAATTTTTTAATTAAAGCTTTAGGGTTTAAGATATTTTAGGCTGACTAAAAAAACAAACAATCAAACAAAAAGCACCAGCTTTTAAAATGCACAAAAGTGACCAGAAGACACGACTATTCAATAATTGGAAGAAATTTTGTGACATTTTTTGATGAAAAATAATTATAATAACATATGAAGATCTCGATAATTCAATCAATAATCATGAGGTACTGTAATAGTGACCAGACCAGAGAGAAAACACGGCACAGCCGTTTTTGTATTGTTGTTTTTCTTGGGGGACGAGCAATATGATAGCATATGAAGTTGATAATTGTGATGAAATGAATGAAATGCTGCTTCTAATTCTTATATCATTATATTTGAATAATTAATTGGATCCAAACTCAAACCAACATGAGCTTTGTATGAATTCGCAAGTCCTTCTTGCCAAAAATGAAGAATTGGTCCATCTTCTTTGAAAGCTCCAGGAACTGCACAATCCTCGATTGTTGGATTGTATCCTTCTTTTATCAAATACATTTTCTTTTGATAAAAAATGCGAGCTCTTCCCAACCATTGATCACGTGTATTTCTCAATGCTGATTCAAGAACAGCTCCATTTACATCAAGATCCAACAAAAGTCCTCGCATTCTTTTGACAATTTGTGGTGTTGGTTCGCTAAACTCTTTTTCTGGTCGACGACGAACTTCGATTTGACAATCTTGAAGCGATTCATTTTCATCATTATGATTTTCTCTTGCGGTTACTCTCAAAACCAAAACATTCGAAACTTCCAATGGAATATCCATATTAATAGGTCCCCCAATCAAATTGAGTCGTCTTCTGAAAAATAAAAAAACATTGGTTAGTTTAGATAGACACGCTAGAAAGTGCTGCATCATATAACATTACAAATGTATATTTGTGTCAAGCAAACAGCCGACTGTTCATTGATCATCAAAATCTTTTTCGTTTCTTTTGTGCTCTGATATAACTTACATATCTTCTGGTCTGTATTGATCTTTATATGTGTTGAGTTTCAAACATCCAATTGGCAACAAATGACACAATGCCAAAACTGATTGCTTGCTTAATAATGGATCCCGTGATTCAACAACAACCTGCAAAATCTTATAATATATCTCTCAATATCTAAAAACCTTGATAACCGTGTCGTATCAAGTCATAAAATCATTTGATTATAATTATATAACTACCGTATATTTCTTAATTTGATAACATCGATGTTATCGAGAAGGTGTCAATTACGGTATCATTCTAGCGAATAAGAAATGAAGAGAAAAAATACAGTACCTGTCCTCCAGTTGTAACTTGTCTCAATAATAAATCCAAATCTCCAGGTTCGGAACAAACATGCAATTGTTGTGCAATGATTTTCAGATTAGCCAATTGTTCCATTGTCCTCTGTAACAAAAAAAGTATTAGAAATTGATGCTAATTTTCGATATAATTCTAAAATCATACTTGGCTTATTTTTCTAGGAATTTGAATCGGAATTGATTTCAAGTTCGGAAGATGACCATTCAAAGGCTCAACAAACATCAAGTTTTTGGGATCCTCGAAAATCGGAGGAACTTGCTCTTTGAATTGATCTGAGAACAACTCCATATCACGAGTTGACATAATATCTATATTAGGAATAATATTTAATGATATTCGCATTATAATCATCAGAGAGAGACGAAATAATAATAAGAATAATAAAAATACGCACACAAACAGCCCCACAAATACAAACTAAGAATAGAGGAAAGGAATATAAGTGAGCGCCAGCCAAACTGTCTCCGAGGAACAAAAAAACACACAGAGGCGAGAAATGAGAGATGAAAAAGAAAACAGAAAAAAAGAAGGGAGGGACTGTGGGATGGGAAGGGTGCAACCAAAAAAAAATAATAACACTGATTTTTGGTGTTTTCACAATGTGTAATAGCCAAAATATGGTCCAGAAGTTTCGAAAAATGATGAAATATATGTTTAGGCCAGAAAAAAGCGTAACAGATGTACAGAGCTACCAAAAAGGAAAAAAAATACTAAACATGGGAAAACTAACAGAATAATTTTTACTGGAACTTTGTCACCACAAGAGATAATAACTCATTTGTCCGAAATAAGTTATGACGTGGAAAAGTTGATAATTTGACCGAAAATCGGACATTCCGAGAATTCAAAAATATTGCCTTTGACATGAGTTACACTACGAAAAATGTCCGGCAATGATGGCATCTTTTTCCACGTCATAACTATATTTAGGGCGAGTTGTGCACTCTATGATTTTTTAAACTACTAAAGTTACACAAAGTTTATTCGGTGAGTTTGTGACCTCCCCTTGTAAATGAAAAAAATAATAATTTTCGATGTGTCTACGATGTGTAATAGCCAAAACATGATACAAGTGTCGAAAAATGATGAAATACAATTTAGGCCAGAAAAAAAGCATATAACAGATGTGTACAGAGCTACCAAAATGAAGAAATGCCTAAAAATACGAGGAGGGCACACAGGTGGCATAAAACTATGGTTCGAAAAAAAAACGAAGAATAATCTAGCATAACGAGCAACGAACAATATATTTCGCAACCAAAAATTATAAGATCGTCTACAGAAATTGGGGAGAAAATGTATATTAAAATCTGCCAAAATTTATTCGGGAATTCATAATTTTTGATTAAAAAAGCGGTGATATTCGTCATAATTCAGAATAAACATGACTAAAACTATGAAGAAAAGAGTAGTGCATATTTCTTATCAGGAAAAAAATAAGAAGAAAAAAATTGTCTCATAAAAGCACTATTTCGAAATAAGAATACGGTTATTATTATTATGAATAAATAGATACTGTAAGAAAGAAAGTTCTCACGCAAATCTTCTAATTATTCAAATTTTGGTTGTCGAGAAAAAAGTGAAAATATTCTCACACCAATCTCGTCGTAAATACAGGAGAAGAAGAAGGAATACAACTGACTACCAAAAAAACTGGGGGAACTTAACAGATGTTGAACAAAAACATGTATTCATGTTTATACGTATTTAGAAACCCCTTCTACTATTCACATAAACAACGACCTTCAAACAACACTTTGCTTTTCAAAACAAAAACTCCGTCTATTCATTGAAAACAAAATGCACAAAAAGCGGCATCTTTGGATCAGTGCCAACTTGGTTTTTGATCAATAGAAAGGAAAATTGATTGGAAATTGTACTTATTCATTGAGTATAACTGCGAATAAGTTCACTCGGAAGAGCTAATTGCAAGCTTCTAGATGAAGGTCCCAACTACGTCAGCTTCTAGTACGAAATAGGACCCTTCAACCCGAAAACTCTTACCTTTCGTTGATTTGGATGGTCTAATTCCAATTCGAGTATTGCCTCCTGTTCCAATTCCATCAGAACCTGAAAAAAAACAAATTATTGAATCATCCTGTTTATTGTTTCTAGTTTTTAAGAAATTTCGCGCTCAACCAGGCTTGTGCGGAAACGGAAAACGCTTTTTCCGATTTTCCGACTTTTTGGGAAAATTTCGGAAAAAATACGAGTCGGAAAATTTTCCGGCCGAAAAACTCGGAAAACTTTTGGTCGGAAAATTTTTCCGACGAATATTTTCGGAAAAACTTATTTTCCGAAAATTTTCCGAGACTAATAATTTTCCGAAAAAGTGAAAAAATAGGCGATTTTCAGGAATTTTTGCTAATTTTATCACGAAATAATTTTGGTAGTTGTGAAAAATATAGTAAGTTGTTAGTAATATTCAACAAAAGTGACAAAATACCGTGAAAACTGCTGAATTTGTTGAAACTACTTCAACACAACTCAAAAACCAGCAAAAATTCCTATTATTTCTTCATTGAAATTTTTTCCGAAATTTTCCGTTTTTCCGAAAAATTAAGTCGGAAAAATCAGTCGGAAAACTTTTTTCCGAAAATAAAAAGTCGGAAAATAACTTCGGAAAACTTTTTCCGACCGGACGGATTCGGAAAAACACGGTTTTCCGAAATTTTCCGAAAACCTATTTTCCGCACAAGCCTGCGCTCAACTCTAAAATGTCTAATATTACTGTATCTAACGCGCTGAGCAAAAACAATCAAACATCACTAATCCAATTCATCCATCTTCCAAGCGCGAAAAAAACAACAATTTCCGTTTGCGCAAGATCGCTGAGCATGATAAATAAATCTCCTATTTTTCCCCCCATTTTCTTATTCTTATTCTGCTTATTCTCAACTTGTTGTGGTCCGTAGGGAGAAGAATCAACCAACAAAAAACGAGTATAAATCCGATTTCACTTCCAACACCCCATAATTATGTTCTCCGCTATTTTGTCGAGGTACTTCCCCCCAAAAAAAAACTCCAACCTTGATGATCAAAATGAAATAATTGTCCATCACTTTTATGACTTTTTGTCGACCGACAATTAGCCCGTATACAACAGACAAAACAACAAAAAAAAAGGACATTTGGACCAGTTTTATATACTTTTTTGAGAAATACAAACTCTTTGTCCAGATTATATTGTAAAAAATAAATCAAACGATTTTATAACAATCAAGTTTTGTTTATTTTTTTTCGAAATCAAAAATGTGCACAAAATTTTGATTTTATCGAAAATGTGGGAAAACGAAGAGAAATGTCACATATTTCTAAATCAGATAAAAGTCATCATGTCAATTGGTGGATATTACGCAATTCCGTCAACTTGAGAAAACACAAAACCGTCAATTATTCTAATTTCATATTGTTGCTCAACACCAAGAAACCTTTCAGATAAAAACCAAAAGTTCGATGAAAAGGAATTATTACGAAAAATATAGTGTAAAAATTGTAAAAAATCATCTTCTAATTAAGAATGGAGCCAAAATTATCACAAATACTCGAGTTACTTTAAAATCATAAAATTATCAGAAAATTCTATAATGTTTTAACAGTATGATTTACAGGTACATATTTGGTGCCAACTAATCGATTTTTATAATTTAGAACTCTGAGTCTTGGCTCAGAAGTCTCATCCTGATCGATAAAATTTTCTCTCGATTTTCAGCCTATCGCAAAACCTTTTCTTGTTAGCTCTACAGTACCCCCAATGTTTTTGAATACATATATTTTTTGCTTCGATCCCTTTTCCATCAAAAACTCGAAACTATATCGGAGTAAACATTGAGGCGAGTGAGAAAAAAAAAGAAGAAAAAGAACTGTGAATGTTTACACATAAATATATAAAATCTATACATTTTATTGTTTGCAGGAGGTCGCGCCTAGTTATTTTTTCTCTTTTTTTGTTTGTAAAGTAGAAAAAACTGAGAAAAAAAGATGTGCTGGAAAAATTGACAAAAAACATTACTTTTTCAAAATGGATACAATTCACAAGAAACCCAAAGTGTGAATATTATAAGTTCCACTAACATCAAAAACCCCGCTTGACCCCTTAAAAATGAAAATAAGCTTCAAAAACTCAAATTCTGTCTTTTTTTCACATAAATATGTGTGTATTTTCCGTTTCTCATAAATTCGCGTCTACGCGTTTTCCTTTTCTTTTTTCTTCTTTTCGGCTCAATGCTTATATTGCCGCCTTTTTTTCCTTCAACTCGGCTCAGTTATCCTACTCTGCGTCTCTAACCCAAATATCTCTCAATTTGCCAACTTTGCACTTTTCTCTACTTCTTCACTACTTTTTCCATTATTATTATTATTTTTCATATTTTCCTTTCCCACTTTTGGCGGTCCACTTTGGCACGTAACAAAAATTGAGGACTTTTGAAATAGAAAAATCGAGAAACATGCTTGAATTGGAATTTTTCATGGAATGAATTGAGAATAATAAATTTCACACGAAAAATCTATTTCCCTCCAAAAAAAACCCCGAGATAAAAAACTAACCATCATATCCTGAGTTGGTTTACCCTCCATCACCTGATCACGACAAGTCATTGCCGGTGATCGAAGGGTCCACATCATATACCTGCAAAAAAAAACAAATTGATATTAAAATCACAAAAAAAAAGATGATGAGAAATATGACAACAATATTAATGATGCAAATTTCGAATATTTTCGAAACAGCAAAAATATTCCAATAGATCAAATAAAAATTCGACGGAATTTCTGCCGTTTTGAAGAGAAAAAAGGACCCAAGACTAAAAACATAATAAAATCAAAATATAATTGGTATTATTATAATAATATGATCTTTCCCTCTTCCTCACCCCTAAAAAACTCGTTTTGTTCAAGGCCGACCCAAATTTGGTCAAATAATTGTCATCTACAGTACCCCCATCCAATTCAGTATAAAAATTTCAGGATGAATGCAAAATAAAAATTGGAATGGAATAGAATGAGCACATAAATGCATGAAACTAACAAAAAGAAGAAGAAAGAGAGAAAGTGCAAACTAATATGGGTGGTCTGCTGCTCATCTTCTTCATAGATAGATAGAAAATGAAAGACCAACTACAGTAGTCCGGGGGAGGAGGATCCTTCTAGAAAATTCAATATTTTGCAGAAGAAGAAAAAGAAAAAAGACACAGTTATCCAAGTTCGACGAGTGAGCGAGATATGAAAAAATAAAAATAGAAAGGCGTGGCCTCATGAGATTACTGTTACTTATGTTCGCAAATTGGTGTGATTTTTCACTTCGCCACAGGGGGTCCGAATAGATTAAAAAATCAACTGTGAAAAAAACGAAAGATGAATAATAATCTAGACAATTACAAATAATAACCCAAATGTCTGTCTGAAAATCAAGCGGCGCGCAATCATCTTTTCGCCCAAGGTGACAATTCTGTCGAATTCACAGCAGGGCTCCTCTTTTTTCAAAAATTCCTTCTTCTTCTTCTTCTTCTTCTGACACACCCATTCTTTCGTTTCAAGACCCAGAAAAGAATAAATTCGTTTGTAGAACAAAGCCAGCAAGAAAAAAGAAAATAACAAAGCTTGCACTTTTAAAACGCAATGAGAAAAAAAAAGAATAAATGCTCAGACAACTCAAACTACTGTAGAAAGAAATAACACTACATTGTATCGCCAGACAGCCAACATACAAAAAATCAAAAGTCCAACCTATACAAATAAAATGAAATAAAGAAACGAAAGGAAGTCAAGTACTCTTTATTTTTTGCGGCTCTTCCGTTGGTCCCAAATTACATAATAAGGTAAAGTTTGGAATATTTCTATGATTTTTGTTGGATTTCAACAATTTTTCAATTAAAATCTAGAATAATCGATTTTTGCTCGAAAATTTCGAGAAAAAAAACTTACAAAAATCTGTCATGAAACTCAAATCTGTTCTAACATAGTAACTTTTTTCAATGATTTTTTCGAATCCAAATCGGAAATTCTCAGAATATGTTAAATTTTTAGCTCAAACATTTGAAAGTGAAGCTTTCAAATATTCGTCAACAACATCAAAGCTCAAGGCCGAAATGGAACGTGCCAATATTAAAAATTACTATGGAAATATAACATTATCGACAGGTGGTGAAAAATGCCAAATGGGAAGAAGAAGAAGAAGAGGATAATAATAATAATCATCATGGACTACTGCTAACCAAGCAAACTGCGCAACATTGACAGAAAAATAGGAGAAAGAGAGATTATGTAGAGAAAATATAGATTTTTGGGTGGAATATTAATTGGTGTGAACATCAACAATGTCTAAAATCAATGACTTTTGCTTTTTTTTTCAGTTTTTTGCTTCATAACTTTTTGTGTCGACAACGAAGACGACAAAAAAGCCGAAGAGTCGCTCATCTCCTCCTTCTCAAGAAAAAAAACAACATTTTTTATTTGTTCGAGTTTGCTCACAGAGCCAGAGCTTTGCAGTGCTCAGAGGAAAAACGAGACAGAGAAGGAGACAAAAGCATAGAGACATCATGAAAAGAAATAGAAGTAGAAGAAGACGAAATTCTTGTGCAAAATGAAGCAGAAAACTTGACCGGTGAATAATCTATATTTGGACTTGTGCTACTTCTTCTCAGCTTCTGCCTTTTTTTTTCAAAAATGACTCTTCTTATGTATAACAACAACAGCCATAAATTAGTGATTTTGCACTTCTTTCCCTTTTTTTTCTATTTTTGAGCTCAACCAGACATAAAACATCTGTTCAAAAGTATTATTCTTGGCTTTTATAAGCAGAAGAAAAATAAAATATAATAAATACAAATGTATACGAAAATGTTTCCCATTTTAAACAAAGTTGAGAAGAAGGAAAATAAGAAGAAGAGCAAAACTACCGTATTTTTTCTCACAATTTGGAAATAATTCGAATTTGTTCGAAATTCAGAGATAAATAATTCTTGCGCATGAGAATATTACGAAAAAAGTGCAAAATGCAGAATAGTTTCTGAGATCCATATTAAATAGCAATAGTCTAATAAAATAATTCTTAGTTTCCAAGGATTTTCTATATTTTTGTTATTTATTGAATCAGATCTATTGAACCCCAAATAAATGGACCAGGTACGATTTTCAACGAAATTTCCAATTTTAATTGAACAAATGATCATCCTGGTCCCATTCAGATATCTTCAGAATCGGGTTCCATTCAAAAACTCGCAATCTACAGTACCTCTTCAAAGTTTGCCTGATATTTCGATCTTTCCATTATTGGTCAATGAAAGTGTAAATTAAGAAATTTCGGGTGAGCGACACACTAATTTATAAATGAAAAAGTGCGTATGCGCCTTTGTTGTCCCTATGTGTTTTCTCTTGTTTCTTTTCTCCTAGTATTATTCGTCGTCGTCGCACATATCGTTAATGAACATCTTCACGCATCTTCTCCTCATTTCATGGTCGATGTATATTTCTAATTTCTCACTTTGCTGCCCATGTGTACTTTTTTCTCCTTCGTCTTCTTCTTCTTCTTCGCTTTATTCGGTTGTTAGTACATTCTACTCCTAATTGGATTTGTATGCATGTGTGAAGAAGAAGAAGAAAAAAAGAAGGATGAGCCGCTAATTTTTGCACTTTTTCTTCAACGATGTACTGATTCCTAACAACGTGGCATTCACGCAACAAATATAATATGCATGAAAATAAACCAAAAAATTGAGGTTACATATAATATGGGGGAACCCCTATAATTAAACAAATACTCTAATAGATGATCAATGATCGTTCCTTTTAAGGTGTTAGATGACACATATATGCATGTATGAGCAAATAGAGACATTTATAAAAAGCTTCAAACATACTACTGTATTTCTAGAGGAACAAAAAGTCGAAAAACAAAAGAAAAACGCCGTGATTTAGATTGATTGCATTTTTTTCGTTGAAGTTGAAGTGTAGTATGGATTAAAGGCGCATTTGGGAATTTCGGCAACAAAAAAGTAACAATAAATTTTGTCTAGTGTATGCTAACACAAGACAAAACATTTCATACTTTTGAAAAAAAAATCTAGAAGCCCCAAGAGTTGTGGAAATATTATCTTCAAAAATAATCGAAAATTGGACACTCTTATTTTTTTTTAGAAAGCATGTTTAAGATGTGTCAATCAGAAGTCAACTTCTCGCCGATTCTAATAACCCCAAATAACTTCCCAAAAACTACCAATAGTTGAATCCAATGAAACTGTCAATTATATGAATCTGATCATTACAGTATTCGTCTAGATTTATTATGAGGCACAATTTTCCAATCAATTCTTCCACTTGAGCGCTATAAACAATTGTGCTCGATTTTCAGACAAAACAAGAATATTGTGTAGTCTGACTGGGGGTAGAGGGTGAGGAAATGAGCAATAGCAGTCAGAAACAGCATCAGAAGCAGCTCAGCCCCAAACCAACCAACCGCAGTGATGAGGCGAACACGACGAAACACAAAAACGAAAAGAAGAGCGAGGCAAAAAAGAGGCGGAGAGGATACTTCTTCTCTTCATGGTTGGATGTATGTGGTCAGACGACCAGAGACGACCGCCCACTTAACATTATAGGAGGTAAGAGACGGAGAATGGGATGTTTGTGTGTATGTGTGCGCACAGGAGAATGAAGAAGGAACAACAGAAGAAGAACGAACCGACGACCACAAAAAACATCGTCGAAAAGGAGAAAAATACAACAAAATGTTGAGAATAAGGAAAGAGAATAATAAGAAGAAGGTCGACAAACCAATACTAGACTAGATAGATCAGGCAGGTTGGATGAAGAATCGAAAGTTTGTATTATTAACAACAAAAATACCAAATTTCGTCATTTGAAACCAAATCTGAGATCCGTTTGATTTATGAACAACTATATTCAGATGGATCAATGCTTACTTGAATTCAAAATTTGAAAAAACACGACCATAACAGCATTTTTCTAGAAAAAAGACCGAATTTTCTCGTTTAATTGACCTTTTGTCGTCTTCTCTTTAGAAAAAAATCCTCATCATAAAACTAATAACAGCCGTCTGCTTTTTAGTAGAAATTCCCATATCATCAAAGAAAAAAACGAATGTTACAGCCTTTTAAAAGCACTTTCTTTCGAACATCAATGAATTTACGAGAAAAAAGTACACCTGCCAAAGGGTTATTGTTATCCTCTTCCTCTTTCTGCAAATCGGCCAGGTGCTACTTCCAGATGGGGAATACGGTGTCTAGTGGTTTAATAACCACTAAAATACAAGGAGATCACATAGACACACAATTTTTTAATGCATGTTCATTATTCCAATTAATCGCAACATCTTTCTTCGTCTAATTTGAATGAAAAAAGGCAGATGGGACGAAAACAGGCAGACAAAGAAACCAGTGATTTTTGATGTGACAAGCGAAATGTGACATTTTTAAAATTAAATTTCAATTTACGTTATATAAATATACATATATTACACTACACTCTATGTAAATATAAAATAAAGCATAACCACCAAAACAAAAAAATTGCACAATTAGATCACAAACTACTACCGCCTGCTCATCGATTGCGCCACAATTAATACGGTAGTCGTCATATTCGCGTGTGTGAGAATATAACAATTATTCAACAACACAACAACAAAATTGCACAATAAACTTTCGATTGTCCTCTTTTCATTTATATATAAAATCAATATTATATTTTTAATAAAAATCTCTAGTTTGAACAACACAATTTCATTTGTGCAGCAGCACAAAAAGAGAAAATTGCGGACAACGGATCAAGTAGCATAGCAAGTAGTATTGATGAACAAATAATACATAATGTTGAGCTTGGCGACAAGAACAACTAACTATGTTTCATCATAAGGTTCAAAAATCAAAATATTTTTATGGAATTGTATTGAACAAATCACGGTGTTGTATGAATCTCGATAGGGACGTGTGAAATTGTAATGTAAGCAAGGCCTTTGAAAAAACACTTGAAAAAGAACAAATATGGCCTAGAAAACCAAAAATTTCATTTTTTTATTCAGTAAAAAAGATCAAAGGCACCGACAAAGTCTACTGTAGTCATTTTTTTTAGTTACATACTTCCGAAAATCGAAAATATCCAGAAACCTTTTCAGAAATCACCTTCACATGATGTTCTTTTCTTGAAATATTCTGATTTTGTCAGAGGTTTCAATTTTCCATTTTAATCTGTCATAATCAATAAATTTCTCATTTTCTTTTTTAGAGCATTTTCAATCCAAACTATTATTCAACTTTTTCATTCATATAAAGTATCGATCCAATTTTTCACGGCCTTTCGATCATCAAACTACACAGAACTAGAATCGACATTTTTGAAGAGAATTATTCAAGGAAAAACAAGGGAGATTCCACTTGAAAAAATGTTATTAACCACATTCAAAGAAATTGCGTTTTTTTTCTTGTTAGAAGGAAGAAAAGTCGCAACAAAAAATGTGAAGCAGACATCACAGGTGGTCTTTTTTCTCAGTGTCATCTTCTCATCAAAACAAGTCTTCGATCAAATTTTGTTCGGATCATCATAGCTCTTGTCTGGGGAGCAGCTTCTCGATATCTTTTCCCCGGCACAAAAAACCGCAAAATTGATTTTTTTTTCCCAGCACATACTTTTTTATCGGAAAAAAATGTAACATCAGATTAGGAGCTTTGATTTTTTGAATCATCGAAACAAAACATCAACTTTGTACAATTTGAAAAGGATCATTGTATAAATACACATTTTCTCAATTTCTCTGTTAATATTTTTGTTGCTCACAAATACAAACCACTTTGTTTCGCGCATCCAATGTCAATATTTCAAATGGAGATACATATTTTACTGTGAAAACGATTCCCAACTCAGAGCGACGAAAAAATAAAAGAATGAAGAAATTCAAAGCGAGAGGAGACCCACAAAAAACATTGTTTGTTTGCACAACCCGTGTCAAATTTCGTCTTCTTCTTCATATGCTTCGCTCACTTTCGCCCCCCGTCAACATTGAAAATGGACTAACACACGGTAGAGTAGTGTAGAAATAATAGAAAAACGAAACTCGATATAGAAAAGACGAAAAAGAAATAATGACTAAACCTACTGGGTGGTCTTTTCTTAAAAAGGAACACAATATCGAATCGAATTTCCGAGAGAAACATAATATTCGTGGAACAATACCTTATCAAACTAAGAAGCTTCGATCCAAAAACGGAAGAAATTTGATGCTAAAAAGAGTTTCGCCTAAATTCAAGAGATCAAAAGATCATTTATTGGTTATAAGAAGAATAAGATGATGAAAAGCAAAAAGGAAGAAAAGCGTGTGGTGTGAAGTAGCAAAAAATGTGTAAACATGAGTTTGATGAAGAAAACGGATAAAAAATAATGAGATGCAGATGTTCTTCTGAACATCAGGCATACTGTAATTTGTAAACAAAATCCTCGTTTTCCACCAAGGTGGCCAAAATTGTTTACATAAAGAAGCTAGAAAAAACACACACAAAGCTTTTCAAAATCCAGGCAGACTGTTCAATAATATATTTGTTGATTGACAAATATTGCTCGACTTTTTGTCATCGAAAAAATCTAGACAAAAAAGAATGGAACGACAGGCAAAAAAAGGGCTCACAGAATGTTCAATCATTCATCCTTTTGTTCACATTGATAAAGATGAATGACCTGAGGATAAAAAAAAAGAAAACTGCTGGAATTCCACAGGGAAATTCAAAATGCCATAGATTTTGAGTCGATAAGCTTCGAAAAAGACAATAGGGAACTAAAACTTCTGAAATGGTGAAGAGAATTGTTCTCTCAAAGATCAACATCATAATTCTTGATCTTCCGAGCGATCGGAAGAACAGTTCACGATCATTTTCATTGCTTCTCATCAACACTTCAAACAAGAAATGACTCTCGGCGTGAAAAACAAATAAATAACACTACGAAGCCGTGGTGAAAATAATATTGTTGTGAATATATATACATATAAATATATCTAAATATGAACACAGTTGGTTAGCTTCCCATTCAATAAATCAAGATATGAAAAAAAATAAAGAAGAAGAAGAAGAAGACAATTTCAATTTCCGCTAACATCAGAAAAAATCGCGTCTTCTTTGATTTTTCCGTCATCAATAAAATTAAATGTGATTTTTGCAGTTCTTTTTTCATTCTTTCTATGCCCGAAATTTGCATCATCATTATTATTATTATATTTTCTCAGAAATAAAAACGAGGTTTGTATTGCAAAAAGACTTACTTGTGAAGAATTTGCCAAATTCCTTCGTTTCCGGTGATATCTTTCAAATTGCGGTCAATGTATCGTCCAGCAGCCTGGAAATATTATAAAACATTAGTATGGAATTTCAAAATTTAATGATGAATAAACAAAAAATAGAGCTCAAAATTAACTAATTCAGTGAAATCACATACATAAATTACAAAAGCTATCCGTCAAAAATTCTACGGTGATCTTAACATTTTGAAATTTCGACATTCAAACGTTTAGCGTAACTACAATTAAAGCTTTTGAGAATCAAGACTCTAGTCAAAATGAAACAAAAATTCACTTCTCTGAACATATGTTCAAATTTTCAATAAATTCTATTGTACTTTGGATTTATGTATCAACGATTTGTTTTTATTTTGAATTGAAAATGTTTAATCTCAAAGTTCATGAATTTATCTGACTATTATGGGAGTTTTTTGAATGCACTTTGAACTAAAAAATTAAACCTCAGTTTCTCGACTTGTCCTAGATAATAATGTTCAACAATTTATACTAATAAATTATTAGCGAAATTGTTACAAGCCTAATCCTATTGCAAAATGAAGGAACACCTACAAATCTTTGAAAATAAGCGAGTCTCATTAAAAATGTAACACGAAACTTTTGATAAATATTCGAATGTTGACTTTGGATGCAATATTATGTTAATTTTACACAATAAATCATAATTATACAATAATGTGTTAAAAGAAATTATTTTTTATTTAAAATTCATCAAAAATCTCTCGTTTTCTTATTTTAACCGTTTCAAAAATTTTTAAATGATAAAAATTGGAAATTCTGAATTAAAAAACTCACAGTTCTGGAATCGCAAAAAAACTTCTCAAAATTCTTATCGATCACTTTCTTGTAATCCATTTTCTTCAAAGAAGGATTCAGTCGTAAATCTCGTTCAAATGTTTCTTTCGACATTTTCTGGAATAAACATATTAGTTAATTTTTGAAATAAAAAATTAGAAAGTTAGAAGATGGGCTAGCACCCAATTTTTTTGAAATCAAAATGATGCAGATACTAAAGTACCATTTTTCATTGCAAAATATATGTTTAAATTTTTTTACTGTCAAAAAACTAATCGAAAAATTAATTTAAATTTGAAAAATTTTATATTTCAATTTTCGAAGCTTTTTGATCTCGAAAATAACTACGGTAAAATTGGATTTTCTAGGCCTCTTCCAATTGTCTAACTTATCATAACTAATATTACTGAGATATACCTGTAGCTGAAGCTTGATGTATTCAAAAGCCGAATGTAGAAATTCCAAATTTTTTGTGATAACTTGTCGATCCGTACTATTCATAATCAAAGAATACATTCGAAGATATCCTCTTGCTCGACAATCGTACAATCTGTATTTGAGAAAAAAAACATTTATTTTGTCTTCAAAACTATCTTTTTTCCCCCAACATTTTTGCTCCCCTTTTTCTGTTAGTAGCAAAAAAAGCATTACACCATTTGACAGTCTGTGTCTCTCTATCTCCAACTTTCTTTTATATTTCATAACACACCACACCATTCTATTCATTTCGCAAGAATTCCCTTTCTCATACACACACACATGTTCGTTTTCTCTATTATTTTTATTTTGTGGCTATTTTTGACACTCACCGAAATGAATATGAAAATGTATATCCACTTTCAGCATCTCCAAACACTAATCGCCCGTCTTTTTCTTCTTCCGTTGTTGAACCATTTGATAATGGTAATAACCCGTTTATATCAATATCACTTATATTTGAAATACATGAAGCTGCTGATGGACTTCGAGGTGAATTGGCTTCTGAAAAATTGAAAGTTAGTTTTTTTTATTTAGCGGGTGGGTATTAAAATTGTAATTTGTTGTAATTATGAGAGTTCCTATTAAAATTGTCCACTGTGAATAGAAAACAGGTGTCACCATTAATTTCAATTACAGTAATCCTCTGAATCCTAAAAATGTCCATAGTGTCGTAAGTTTGTGTGTATTGTGACTGCAGATAATGCACTTTTGAAAGTTTCCCTAAGTTTAATAGTACATATAATAGTTTTTGGCAATAAAAAACCGAAGTATCCTACCATATTTTTAGAAACGTAATTTCCTATAGTCTATTTTTACTGAACTTTCGTACAACTCTTCTTAATAATTATAAAATCAATTAGTCGAGACCACCCACGACGATTAAACTTGAAAGTGCAATATTTTCTGTTATAGGAGCCTTTTATTATTTTTCTAACTTTCTACTGTTTGCGGTAGTTGCATTTATTGGTTATTTGAAATTATTGTTCTCAACTCGTAAAAACTTTGATAATGTGTTCTTTCTGGTTATTATTTTATATGATTTATTGATTTTATCAAGAAAATCACTTCGTTTCAGGGCGAACAAAATAGAGATAGAGAGAGCGTGCAGAGTGCGATAGAAAAACCGCGAAACTAAAAATACCGAGAAATTTAGAAAGGCTGGCAACCTGCCAACTGATGGGTCCTGAATCGATGGTCCATGAATTCTCATTTTTTCAATTTTCGGGGTTTTTTTGTGTCTGCTTCGCGTTTTCTCTATTTGTTCGTCCCAACACAGGGTTGAAACGAAGTGTAATTTCAATACTTGACTTAAGCTTAATAAGCTGCACCAAAATTTTCTTTGATTATTCCACATTGTATAACATTCTCTAGACAGTAGTAGTCCAGATGTATATTTGCAGTTCTTGATTTGTTTTGGTTTGCCACTCACATCTGGACTAGGAATATCGAAGTGTTTTTGGCAATATGCCACTAAAAAAATAAATATTCACTATTACGCTGTAAATCTACACTGTTCAACCACAAAAGAGTTAAGTTTGATCGATTTTTATAATTTTTCAAATACTTTGTTCCACTTTGAAGCTATAACTATGTTTTATTTATAATTCAAATCAATATTTATGAAACGTGAACTTCGTCGAATTTTAAATAGTATTCATTTCTAAAAAAAATTAGTCCGGCAATCATTCGTATCTGAATTTTATTAAATTCAACGTATTTTTCCAACGGACCTCGGATCATTTTCTTTTAAAATTATTTGTTATAAAGATTTTCTAGAAACTTCTGAAATCAACAAAAATTGAAGAAAATAGATTTTTCTTATACCATTTCATTTCTGTAATTATAGAGGACAATAAATAATGCTCAAAACTCTTTTCTGGGCAAAATATCATGTTTGAAAATCCCTGAAACTCAGACATTTTTGAAATTAGTATGATTTGTGATTACCAAGTTCTTGCCTTGGTTTAATTTTTCACATTAATGATAATTGGCTCTGTTCGTTAACTGTTATTCTCTATTTCATCAATCATGTTATTACTTCGATTTATCTTACATGAATTTCAGAACTTGGACCCTTAGTCCAATTCAGAAATTATAATAATCAAAATCCGATTTACTTATTTTTAGTTATTTTTTATATATTTTTAGTTAATTAGTTATTTTTGAATTGTCATTTTTAAAGTGCTTCATTGTTGTGATGTTCCCCTCTGTGATCTTTCTTTTTTACTTCCAACTCGACCCTTTTCAATTCTATATAAATGTGACAAACGTACATAAAAAGATAAAATTCCATCTTTGGCGCCAGAAAACGTTTTTTTTGCTGCCGGTAGTTTATTATCAAACATAATAAACTACATCGAATTTGTGTATCAAATGACGTCATTGGAACACAAAATGAGAATTCTCGGAAATGAGATCAACAATAATCATGTTGAAAGTACAAAGACGAATTATTTTATAATTCCTTAATTTTTATTTAATTAGGGTCATTCGAATTGTCTTAGGCTTTCTACTTATAAATATTTTCTACTTATAAAAACTCAAGATTTCTTGTGCGAAAAATATGAAAATGTAATTTAGTCAGTTTAGTCGATATCCAATTAAAGAGAATTTGTAAATTTTTCTGTAAATACTTACGTGAACTCTCAGATATTGTCGTATCTCTTGTTATAATTCGAATTGGTGGAAAAATAGGATGAGGAATAAGTGGCGGATCTTTTGTCGATTTTATCGATGTTATCGACGATTTTTCCGGTGGAAGTTTGGCAATTTCGTTACTTAACGATTTTATACACGCTATGCGTATTCTTTCATAAGCAGTTTGTTGTAATGCTGTCTGAAATCAGATAATTCGATTTGAATAGTAATAGTAACTTACCTGAGACGAAATATAACTGATACGATTATCATGATCATTAGATAATAGAAATGGTCCTTCTCGAAATGAATAACACGAATCACATCTGAAACGTGGCATTATTAAATAGTTTTTATTTTATTTTTTCAAACTATTTTTAATTTTCATCAAATTATTTTTTACCTATTCATAGCCTAATAAAGGGATTTTTCAAAGTATTCAAACTTGCCACGTCATAACTCATATTTAGAGTTGAGATATGAGAACTTTTACAATGGGACCGTGATCAGTCGCTTAAAATATACTAGAGAACAAACATTCCGTGAAAATTCTCAAGTGAAAGCTCGAACAATTCACTTGTGATAAAATGTTCTATGGAACTTACCGATGACCGTCTTCGCTGTGTTTGATATTTTTTGAATCAATAAAACCGTAATGAAATTTCGTATATTGTGGTTCTTTGTCAAGATGTTCATCGTGATCCAAGTAATCGTACTGAAAATCAAATAAAGTTCAATTTCATCTACAACACTTTTTGATTGTTTTAACCTGTGAGATATGTCGAATTGGACCCTGTGGTGCTGTACTCGTTGATGGTTCCATTGATGTTGCAGCTGCAGCTAGGAAATCATCTTCAAATAATCCATTAGAAAAATCATCTTTCATTGGTTGATGTGTCATAACTACACGAGGTCCATCGGTTTCACAAAAATGACATAAAGCTAGAACACCTTGCATCATATTTAATTCGGGTATAGATTCTTCTTTTATTAATACAATAATTACAATATTGATGATGCTACTCTGAAATAAGATGAATTGTTGAAAATACTTTTAGAGCTGTGAAAATAATCATGGAAAACATCAAAAAGTCCATAAGTATTAGGATAAAAACTAGTCCCTCTGTGATTTTTTTGGGGGTATTTGAAGAATTTAATTAATCTAAAGTTTAAATGTGCATGTGACGTAATTGAATTTAATTTTCGGGATTTTTTTCAATTTCAGAATTTTGGCCTCAATGTCTAAAATGAAAAATTTAATTAAACTCTGAACAACTTCGATTTTTTCAATGCACGAGGACTAGGATGAAATTAATCGCTCCTGTGATTTTTGAGCATTTTTTCAATTTTTCTAGAGGTATTTTTATAGGAACTTTTAATTTTAATTTTTCAAAAAAAATCAGAATGAAAATTTCCTGAAACTTCGCAAACAAAAATGATTCATAGTTTAATTATTAGAATAATTTACATGTGCACATATCCAATTAAAAAGGATTTTCGAAATATTTTAATTGGAAAAAATCTTTTTTTTATTAAAACAGCCAGATTTAATTTCCTTTCAATTTTTTTTAATCAAAGTTCACCCGAAAAGTATCTTACCCGAAAAACTTCGATTTAAAATCGGCAAAAAATAGTGAATGACTTGAAAGAAGAGCTGAAAAAATAAAAGTTCAAAATCAAGTCTGAGCTGGAAATGCGAACTATAACGAGAAAAAAGTTTTGTTGCGAAAGTAGCAGCAGGTCAGTCACATGAGATGACGCATTTAACAAGAATCACACACAGACAAACACATACAAATATACTCTTTCTCTCGTTTTTTTCGTCGTTCTCCCGACAAAACGTTTCAATGGTATCAGCAGGTGATTCTCTCCTATTTTGTACTTTTCCAAGAAAAACAATATTCATACAATTATTCTCAGCGGGGAGCAATATTATACGGGTTTTTTTTTCAAAAATATATTTTTGAATTAGAGAGGAAAAAAATTAATCGAAAATATTTTTTTGAAAAAAAATGAAAAGATATGTTTCTTCGAATAGTAGTTTCAGACATTCTGATATGTTCATATAAAAAATTGTTTAGAATTTTATATTTTTCAACATATTAAACAAGTTTAGCTTAAACCGGAAGTTGTTATCACACATTTTCCAGATTCATTTTAGTATTGGTTCTCGGAAAAATTCTTGACAATTAATCTAATTAGAACTAAAAAAAACACGTGACCCGATTTTTTGTTGGAAATTACTTATTAAATATTTTTTTTATTTTTAAGAATAAGTTAGTAACAAAAATGTAGAATCAAAATCAATATAAATAAATATCTGCAGGATTTTACGACATGTTCTTGCAAATTTTCGAATCGTAAAAAAATCGAAACTACACAATTTGACTAAAAAATAATAATTTGTGTCATGGCACAAAAAGATATATATTCTCATGTAGATAAATGGGTGTGTAATAATATATCACTATGTTCTCAATTTTATCTGATTTTTGATCTTTTGCGTTAGAAAAAAGGTGATTATTGTGTGTATTTTTTGTTTGTGAAACATCAAAGTTCTCTCAATGTCTGTTACTCATCTTTGTCTGAAGAACAGCAATTTTTTGTTGAATGGGAGGCTCGGTTCAACTAAAAATTACACTGATGAAGAGCTAATTTTCTCACATCTCAAATAAATTAATTGGGGTGATTTGTGTTCATATCTCACTATTATTTAAATTTAAAGTGTGCATTTAAATTGACTTTCAAAAATCTCTTCAGGTTCTCACGACAAACATTTTGAGAAATAAGATTAATTTTTGATACATGTACTAAGATTATACCACACGGTTTAATTCAAAAGTCAATTTTCAGAGTAAATTGTTCTGTAAAAAACTTCAGAGGTATGATCTTAGTTATTGTTTGACGATTTCGAAGGCAAAACAAGTTTCGATTTCACAATTTTAACAAGCTCTAAGATGCAATTAGCAATTTTTGTATGAAATCGAAAAAAATCAAAGTGAGAATCTAGAAAAATACTTTTTCTAAAGAAAAATCGAGAATTGACGTTGTAAGAAAATAATGAGCAATGTAAAAAGATTTCAGAAAGAAACAATAAGAAAACGCCCGTCAATTACAGAACTTTTTTCGAGAGAAAAAAAGTACGAAAAAAAGTGACATTTATGAATATAGAAAAAATAAAATGCACGGGTTCACCTTTTATAGAATAGAACAGCGATCATTTGATTGATGAAACAAAAAAGGCATGGAAAAAAAAGAAGATGATAGATATTCAAATTAGATAGATGGTAACAAGAAAAAAAAACGGGATGAAGTTTGAACACACTTTTTGAAACAGAAAATATAAAAAAGAAAAAAAAGATAACACCAACACATTACAAAAACACATTCCCACAGTCTATACAGCTTTTTATTCTTCTTTGAAGAATTCTTTGGACTAACAGAAAAGAAATAATGAAAAGGAAATAAAAAAGAGTTGCAAAAACATTCACACGCACTTTTTTACCCCTGGCTTACCGCCAAAAATTAGCCGGAAGGATAGTAGTAGTGACAAAGCAACAAGCAAAAAAAAAAGATATCGGAGGTGGTGCCAGGTTCAAAAAAATCGGCGAAAAGAGAGAGAAAAGAGACGCACACTGCGTCTCCAATCAATCAATGATGTCTATTAGATATCGAAGTACCCTTTTTTCTACTACTAGTAGTAGAGTAGTATTTGTGTTGTCCCAAGCCTCGCTCGCTCATTGCATTCGTCAGCCGCCGACCTCTCGCTCTTTTCCTCTCACTCGCGTGTCTGCTTGTCATACGACTTCTTCAGTCGTCTATTGCGATCGAAGAGAAACAGAATATATATGACGACACAAATTGTGTCAGTTTATTATGAATGTTGACGCATTTAATGTTCGAATAAATAAATGAATGAATTAAGGATTTAAACAATGGATATGAGGAATTAACTAATAAGAAATTATCAAAACTACACTTTTTTCAAATTAAATGTCGAAAAAATGCCCCCAAAAACATATATAAATAAAAGAATATGTTTATTTACCTAACATTATTCATTCGTTCAAACATAGAAGAATGATATTACTCAATTAAATCAAAACACCCACAAAGTTGTGATGAGCAACCAAAATAAATCAATGTTTGAAACAAAAGTATCAGCTAGTACCAGGCACTTTTTGAAATATTACTTACTTCGACGGAATAATCCGACCTCCGGGAAACTGTGGCAAATACAAAATGGATTACATTACCCATTTTGATTACCCATTTTGTACTGATGAAAATCTGACCTCCTGGAGAATATTTAAAAATATTATTTTTTCACGTGAATATTAATCCATCAAATGAATCATTTCTTAATTCATTGTTTTTGCAAAATGATCATAATTATTATTTATCTGATTCATTCGATTATATTTATCAAAACACAAGAATTAACTGAACAATCAAAACTGTTCAAAATTTGGCCAAAAGATGATGATAATTGGAAAAACGCGAAAATCGGAAAAGAAAAGAAACTTATGTACGAGCAATTATTTTTGAAATCGGAATATTTTGCAGATTGTGAATATGAGCTTAAAATAGATCCAATTTACTATTTTCCCGGTGAAACAATTGAACTATCATGTCGTATATGTAAAATTGGATTGATGCTCAATGGGTAAACTACTTTGTTTTATTAGAAAAACAATGAGAATCCTACATTTTCAGACTGCCAAAACGATGGGGAAGAGTTAATAATATTTTCGAGTTTCTCGAAAAATATAAACATATTCGAACTGGTAAAGGTCCGCAAGTTGAGATAATTGAGAATTATCCATTCTTAGAGTTAGTTGATTAATATTTTTGAAACAAATTATTCTAATTAAATTTTACATCAATTTCAGTACTGCATATAGTCAATCAGTTTTGGGAAAATTCTATAGACATAAGTCAAAATCAGACTATTTGGATATTCCAATTTATTCTCAAAGCAATGGAAAACTCATAATTGAACATGCACATCCAAAATCAATGGGAGTTTATTTCTGTTTCGATTCATTAAGTCATGCTGCTCAACGATATTTTTATGTTCTCATTCCACTTACTCCAATGATTCAAAAAATACCACATGTCATTGAACCGGAAGAAGTTTGTAGTGTTAAGGCTCGAACTTATCCTCATTTTTCATGGTCAGATGATTTCATCCCAATGCATTTTGATGAACGAGAAACATGTTATGAACGATATGGAAAAGAGAGTATGAAATGTGTTGGAGTGAGTTTTAAAAAATTGGCTCAAAACAAAATCCTACTTCGAACAAATGTTTTTTCAGACAACTCAACTAGCAAAGTTTAAAGGATGTGAAAATCCTGGAATTGAATGTAGTACTACTTTTAAATTACGAAATATTCCAATGAAACTATATCTAAAATGGTCGGATTGGTCAGATTGTGATGAAAATCGAGAACAACGAAGAGAAGGAATGTGTTATCTGAAATTGGAGAGAAATATAAAACCATCGAGAGAAATATCAGATCGTGATGCCTGGTTGAGAGATTTTAATAAATTGACACAATTCAGTGGTTTTCATGATGGTATTCCAATTAACAGCGGTTTAATTCCTCTAATGATTTACAAAGTGAATGAATTTGTTGGATGTATTGATGAAGAAAATGCAAAAGATGATGAGAAGAAATGCGATTTTGTAAGTTGTTATTCGATATATTAAAACCTGATTCGTCTTTTACAGTATAACGATAGTATGGGCGAGATTCTCAAAGAAGCAAAGAGAAATTGGACGGATTTGCCAACTGGATTCTCCTACTGTTTTTTGTAAGTTTGCACAGTGATATCAAAAAAATGTTGAACATATTTCAGTCGACAATTCACAAAACTGGAACAAACAGATAAATATGAAGAAAAAACAAGCGGAACCTATGTAAATGACATCAGACAATGTTAATGAACGATTTTAAAAGATTCAGTAAAACATATGGTGAAATGCAGTGAGATCAATCGGATATCAGCTACGAAAACCATCAATTTTCATTGATTGTGAGAATAGCTGTTTTCTAATACCGAGCTCTGAAACAACCTAATTTTCCACATAATCACGCCAAATACTTGAATTCAGTTCGAAAAATGTTCAGAATGTTGATACGTCAAGCTATAAATACCGAAAACAATGATAGTTTAATGGTCTGCGCAAATCCATTGAACCTTGCATTTAAAACTAGAAATTTCATTATCGCAACGTTCAAGATTTCTCAAAGATGATTTACATCCATCGATATATGTAGTCTAGTTATCAGTACGCTTACAAACAGGAAAAAAGAACAAAAAAAGAAAAAAAAAAGGGAAAAAAGAAAATCTGTTTGAATTTTTTTCTCATGAAACTGTGTGAGAAAGTGCGCTCCACCGAACTCGCGGGAATATAGTATTTTCAAACGAAATTCATTTCAAGTCTAATTTTTTTGTGTTTTCTTGTGTTTCATGGGCCGAGAGTCTGTCTGAAGTAGCCATACTTGAAAAATTAGTCTCTCAAAAATCCTCACAATATTTTCTTCCAAATGTATTTATATTTTGTAGAAACTTTTATGAATATATTTGTTCTTTTTTCTGTCGAAATCAATAATAAATGCATTAATTTATAATGTAGTGTGTTGTATCTACTCTTGACCCTGTTTTTTGGCCGACTCAAATTTCAATTTTTTCAGTAGTCAATAATATGACATGTACACATAGAAGAGACACAAGCTAGCTCGCTCTAGCTCCACACTTTTTTCTCATTATTATTCCTTTTTTTCGTCTTTCGGTTGTAGTGGTTACCTTGGTGATTTTGACTAGCTTTTGATTATTGGATTTCAGACTTTTTTCTCATATAAGTTACACAACAATGTCGAATTTTAAATTTTCTATCAGTGGAATTTCAAACTTTCTCCAAGAAAAAAATTAATCCAAATTATACTTCACTCAGTACAATGGATCCAAATGATGTTGTTCGAGAAGGGTAAGATAATTAGTTTTTTTTTTAATTCCAAAAAAATATAATTCCAGAGTTCGAGTAGCTAAATCATATCATAAAATTGACAAAACAGAAAAACATTCCTTTCATCGGGATACAATTAATAGTTTGTGCACTTTTCGAAATAGTATGGTTTTATCGGGTTCTCGCGACAAAACAATTGCTTTAAATAATTGTGACACGGCTGATGTTTCAACTTGTTGGACAAATATGAATAGCGAAGTGACAAAATTATCATTTCGAGCCCAAGCTGGAGGAATAAAACATACTGTAATGAGTGGTTCAAGAGATGGAACTGTTAATATGTGGGTTTGTAACAGTCCAAATCCAATTAAAACAATTCCTGGTGCACATCGTATGATTATTTCCGGATTAGTTATTCGAAATGATGATGAATTTGTTAGTGGAAGTAGAGATGGTCACACAAAATTATGGGATATTGAAACTGGAAAATGTATATTTGACACACAAACAAGTCGAAATCTCGTGACACATATGTGTAATACAACTCGAAATCTAATTGGACAATCATCCGAAGATAAAACTGTCAAGTTATGGGATCCACGTGAATCAACACCAGTTCATACTTTTGCTAGAAAACAACATATTCAAATGCATTGTGATCAAATTGATGAAAATTATATAGCATCGTGTAGTAATGGATTTAATAATGATGGCTGTGAGATTACGGTAACTCAAATTTAATTACATACACTTGAAATCAAAATTAATTACAGTTTTATGATTTACGGCTAACAAAACCTTTGAGAGAATTGAAAGGTCATGAAGGATCAGTGACTTGTATAGCTCCATTACAATTAAATGATAAGAAATTGATGGTATCTGTTGGGTTGGATAAAACTATTCGATTATGGAAAATTGATGATGGAACATTAGTTTGGACTGAAGAATCACCTTTTGATGCTGATAATTTACAATGTTGTTGTTATTCTGATGGACAGTAAGTTATTTCAAAAATTAGTGGCCCTTTGGAATTGAAGTCTTTTGAGATGCTTTTTGAGATAATATTTATAAGAAATTTTCCAAAGATTTCAAAATTTCGATTTTCTCACCAAGTTTCAGTTCACCGTTTAATTTCGAAATTTCAGTGTTGTTATCTCTGGTGGCTTTGGTCGTCTTGCTCTTTATCATTGTAAATATACTGCTGGTAGACCATGTTTAATACAATTATGGGTTCAAAAAACACAAATCAATTCGTCTTCGAGTAATCAACGATTTTAGATTTTCTGTCTCAAGTGTTCATTTTTTTTAAATATCCCATTTTCATATTTAACTAACAATTATGTACAACTTTCTCCTTGTGATTTTTGAACGGTTGGAATTATTTGATTATTTATAAACCCTTTTTTTGTTACATTTGTTCTCATATTTTGTTTGCAAAACATTTACTATTCTATGAGTGAAGAGGTTTGTTGCTCGCTTCTAAGAAAAACCACATTTTGTGTCATTTTTTCTGTTTGAGGAACTTTTTCCGGTTTCGAGAAGCAAAGATCTTTTCGATTTCCGCTTGACCAGAGAAATGTCTAGATAGAATTCGTGATTTTGTGAATCCGGAAATTTTTTGTCTTCAGAGTTTTTCAATTGAAAAAAATCGTGGGAATCAGAATCAATAGATAGATAAACATATCTTTTATTTTTTGCAAGATTCTCCTTTATAGTTTTTTGTATTGAAACATTTTCTCGGATTTCTGAAATCTAACACCCTTTTTTACTCACATACACATAATTTTCGAACACGCCCACTTCCATTTGATTAAAAAGTTCACTAGACATTTCATTTCTCATCCATTTATTTTATTTCACTCCTCTTTTTTTCTGGAAAAATGTATGAAGATTCGTATCTAACTCTTCATGTCTCAAAAGGTTTGTGATTTTTGAAACAAAATTATTCACATAAGTGCTCTTTTTATTTGGTTATTGCTGCTATCCTTTTCCAGTTATATTCATGAGAAAATGACATTTTTTCTCGGCTCTTGAAATAAATCAGTAAAAAAAAAGAAAAAGTTAAATTAATTTAACCCAGACAACTTTTTTTCCTGGAAATGAATTTTCAACTTTTTACAGTGTTTTTTTTTTCAAAAAAGTAGGATTGCGTGAGCCACGAAACATGTTCAGTTATTTTTTATCCAATTATAATGTCTTTAAATGTCACCACAGAAACCGGGAAGTATACATTTTTCCTTAATTTCCGGTATTGTCAGATGTTTTTTTCTTTTCTCTTTATGGAGTTTGATGTTTTATGAGAATGATCTGGGTAGAAATTTTTTCCATTTGAAAATTTTCGTGACAAGATATTCTTAAATTTTCTGAAAAAAACCAAAAATAAAAACGGTCAGACAGCTGGTTTTCTGACATTTAGAGAATCAAGCTTGTTTTTAAACTTTTAGTGTATTCTGCATGGGACCAAAAAGAAAATAGAATATAGGCTGTACAGAAGTAAGGGACCATATGAATTCAGCATTTTGATTGAATTCTCTATCTTTTTTTGGAAGTGGTCCCATTCATTGATCGCCAGCACTTTTTTTTGAATATATATTTTTTCTTCCTCACACGAATAAGAAAATATCAATAATCTCTATTTAATTTCATCTAATTCAGGCAAAGAACACATATTTTTTTATTTTTTTTCCTTCCGAAAACAATAGAGTCTCGGAAGATTAATTTCTTGAATTTTTATGTTTTCTGAAAATTTTCTATAGTTTTCTTTGTCTATACGATTTTTGAGCAACAAAATGAAATCTGTCACTTACAGATTTTATCAAACTACATATGTAAATATTATTTTGCAAACTTGTTTACTTTTTTCCAGAAAACCAAAGTTCAAGATGATTTTAATTAATTAAACAAATTTTGATCTGTCTGGACTAATCCGAAATCCAAAAATATCAAAAAAAGATTAATGTTTCAATTTACAGACAGTAATCATAAGACCTCCGCCCAACAAAAAATCTATCGGGGCCATAATTAAATCTAGTAGGCGAACGACATCGATGAAAAAACGACAAACTTATTTTTTTCATTAAAAAACTCGAGAGTGCAATTATTCGCGCCCCTTTTATTTGCTCGAAAGCTTTTATTTTCTCGTCTGAAATATATTTTCTCAAAGTGAATTTCAAAAAATAATACAAAGTGGCTCAATTCTTTTTTTTTTCATTTTATGTAAATCTTATATATTATTTTGCAGATATGAATACATCTGAAGTCAATTTGATAATTTATGCAAAACAAGTCGATTTCATATTTGTTATAATTGGTTATATTGTCAATCCGCTTGGACTACTTTTCAATGGAATATTGATATTTTTAATAACACGAAAAACTCCAAGAAGTCTCAAAAGTTTCTCAATTTTATTACTCAATTTTGCGTTGTGTGATTTCTTGAGTTCTCTCGCTGGAATGCTTGCTCTACAAAAGTTAGTTTCCATGAAAAAAATATGCCAAATTTTAATTCAATTATATTTTTCAGAACTGTATTTTCCGGATGGTCTCTGACTTATATTTTTCACGGCATTTGTGGAAGAGTCTCTCCATATTTTTGCTATTTTCTCCACACTTTTGTTTGTCATTGTTTTGCACATTCTCAATGGATTCTTATGATCTCTTTCATTTATCGATATTATATTCTCGAAAAGATTTGCCCGCGGCCTTCGAAAGTTGCCAAAATCTGCATGTTGGCATATATTCCATCATTTTTGTTTTTGGTTAGTTTCGAAATATTGGGGCAAAAGTGAATTGGACTCGCGCGAGATCTGATTAACCGGAGGAAAAATTACGATTACATTTTTTTCTGAACTCCCACTATTTTCTCAACCCTAATTATATTTCTCTTGTAGGGTTTCTACATGTTTGATGTTGGAAATCCATCGGAATTGAAAATTTTGGTCTACGACTATCATCCACAATATTATTATAATGTTCTCGATGTTTGGGGTGATCTAGTTATTTCTGGAAACAAGAATGTTTGGTCGATTTACACACTCGGAGCAATAATTTACATGACAATCCCATGTTTTCCCATCTATGCAATCATAATTTATGTGAGATACAAAACTTTGAATATTTTGAACTCGTCTGGAAGAATTTTGATGAGTGAAACAACTCGACAATCTCATAGACAATTAATGAAAGCATTAACAATTCAAGCAATTGTTCCAATGTTTTGGTTAACCGCTGCTTCGTTTTATCTTCTTTTATTGTTCCAAATTGTAAAAGGAGTTATTATTGAGAATATGCTTTTTCGAATTATGGAAGTTATGCCAATGATAACTCCACTTATCTCAATGTATTTTGTTAGACCATACAGGTAAACTTTTATTTTAAATTAAAAAACACAGTTGTGGTTTTTAGATTAGAAGTTAAATCTTGGTTTGTTCCTGTGCCTCTTCTCAAACCTGTGATTGTTTCATCAATGTTATTGCGACAGACTACAAGTAATTATTAGATCGGGTAGATCATTTCATTTTCATGTTTAGCTTTCTGCTAGAATTCATTGCATATATTTTTCTGATACAATAAAGATTCGCATAGTTCTTTGGCCCAGATCTTTCTTTTTCCAAATTTTTTTCTTTGAAAAAAAATCCCAAAAAACCAAAAAAAAATCCGTCGCGTGAAAAAAAAATGACGTGTTGGCAGCGGATTGTTTTTCTCTTCATTTCTCATTAAAATTATAATTAGAATGAAACCGTTTCAAGAGGAAGAAAGTAGCGTGTCATATTCGAAAGTAACCATATTATCAAGTACAACAACAATAACTGAAGACGGTGAAATATTTCAAGATGCAAGTAATGATGTATCCATTTTGAGTCGTGCAAAATCAGTAAAATCTGATATTCCACCAGCTCCAAAAATGGAAGTTTTAAAAGCATTGCATCAAGATGTTTGCCTTTTTATGAAAAAAGTTCAAACTCCTTTGTTTTTGAGGAAGTGTCCATTGGAAACTGCTAAACATGGTATGTATTTTTTTTTGAATTTCAGTTCTGAAAAGTGAATTTCAGCCAAACCACCTCGTGTTGTCCATCCAATTTTAACTGTTCAACCAATGAATGCTGCTCGAAAATGTCCAAGTCATTCAATTCTTCTTGTTAGTCTTGATGCACCAACATACTGTGTTCGATATCTTCAAGCAAATCTCAAAAATACTCCAGAAAGTGTGCTTGTTTTTCAACCACTCATTTGTAGTGTCAGATTTTTGGCGAGACCACCTGTGATGGAAGTTGTTGTACGTATTGTTATTTTGATAATATTTTAAATGTGGATCACTTTTTTTCAGATCTTAAAAACCGAAACTTTTATTCCAGAAACTCACAAATTTGATTTTTTCAAAGCATTGATTCAATTTTTTAGATCCGTTTCAAAATTGTTCTGAAAATTTTGAGCCTTACCTGATCACATACAAAAACTGTACAAAAACCAATTTTTCCAGCAATCAAAATTGTGTGACGTGTCGGAGACTGTGAAACTAATGTTGAGCCCAGAAAAAGCAATCGAATCACAAAAAATGATTCCAAAATGGCAAACAGTTACATTCACATTAGCATTTGGAAAACATGTCGCTGTGAAATATCGAATTATTGAATCTCGAAAATTCGAAATTGATCATGTGAAAGCAAAAAAGGAGAAAATTCGGATTATTTCAACCAAAAACTTGTATCGAAATGAGCCAATTCAAAAATTGATAACTTGGACACCAAGCCAAATTCATACATTGAAATTGACAACTGTTGAAAAATGCGATCCTCAAATTGTCAAACGTGTCTTCCTTGAAAATGGCGGTGGTGGACCTACAGTAATCCGAGCAAATGAATTGAGCATGATTTGGACATCATCAAATACAGAACAAGTTGAAAAACCAAAGAAAACCAAGAAAAAATAATTTGTTTTTTATTCAATAAAGTTTAGAATAATTTTCTTGTTTTATCATTTTTTGGGAAAGATACAAATTAGTTTTTTGGGGTCAGTAATTGTTCTTAAAAAAGTGGCTCAGATTTTGAGCTCTATTCAAATGTTCTAAAGTGGTCATATTCGTTTTTAAAAAATAAGTTATTTTGCTCCGGATCGGAAATCCTGAAATATTGAGGCCCCGGGTCATTGCATATTAATTTGGCTACATCAAATACCAAAACAAATAAAACAAGAATAGATAATTTGTTTTTTGATCCAATAAAGTTTAAAATAAATATCTCGTTTTATCTTTGATTTTAGAAATGACGTTTCTCAACCGGAACAATGAAATGTGATAAGATTGACAAAAATAGACACTGTGCGAATAAAATGAAGGTCATTGAAATTCACATAAAATCGGGAATGGCGTTTCCTGGGTAACCAAAACAACGAGTGAAATTAATAATACTAATCTGCTAGCCAGCACCGACATTTTCATTTTTTAGTCATTTTTTTTTTGTTTTTTTTTCTAGTTAGGTGTCGAAAACATGTATGAGTGGAGGTGGAGAAGATGAAGAATTGAAATCAATTCTCGAAGCTCAAAAATCAAGTTCAAAATCATCAACACAAACTTCAATTGGTTTTGCAAAGCTTCCATCAATTGTATCAAAATCTGCAGCAAAAACAAGTGAATCAAGAAGAGATAGTCTAATTGTGTCAACAAGACCATCAACCACAATGGGATACGGTAATCCATTGGGACGAATTAAAACACCATTGTATCCAATTCCAAGAGCAAATATTGCATATAATTTGAATTTGAATGAAATTGACGAAAATGAGGTTAGTTTTTTTTGTTGCGGTTTTGTTTTTCTGATTAGGTAGAAATTAAAAAAAATGCTATTTTTGCTCGAAAAAAATCGAAAAAAAATCAGAAATTTCCAAACAAAATGTTCTGAATTCAAAAAAAAATTATTTTTTCAAAAAATTTAGTTTCCGAGAATTTTTTTCAACTTTTTCCGAGTGAAAATTGTTATTTTTCTACGTGCATAAACATATCATTTTTAATGATTTTTTGGTGCTGATCATTTTTTTTCTCTCACCAAAGTTCTTCAAATTTTCAGCTGTTTTTTCCTTTTAATTATATATCAGCAGTCACATTTTTTACAAAGTACAAAACAAAAACAACAAAACCTACACAATTCCGAAAACACTAACCACTTTCAGGTTCTCCGCCCAACCTCTTCAACATCTACAGTAATACAAGAAATCGGAACAATTCCTGCAACATTTTCTGAATTCCGCCAATTTTCCGCAGATTTAGATCACATTACATATGAAGAAATTTCACAAATTGCACAACTTTGTACAATTTCGGATGAAGCTAAACATGGCACAATTAATACAAAAACCTTGATAAATGCTGTGAAAAATGTGCTTATTGATGAGGTTAACTTCTGAAAAATTAAGAAGTTTCCGAAAAAATGTTGATTTTTCAGCAATCTTCGAGTTGGGTCGAATTGATTGAATCAATATTTCTAGGAAACGAACTTGTTGATTATGCCGAATTTTTCCGTGTTATTTTAGAAGACAAACAATCGAGAGATGCATTGTTAGTGTTTTGATTGATCTGAGAGTGTTTAATATTTCTTGATTTTATAGGGTTCATCTACCAGAAGTTCTTGAATCAGATGATCATGTTAGTGTTTTCACAGAACTTCCTAGTCGTCCAACTTCTCGTCAAGAAAAACGTGAACGTGGAAGAGCAAATCTTATCATTGATCTAGAAGTTTGTCTCGCTAGAAATCCACATATCGAGATTTCTCGTCTCAAAGAAGCCACAGATAAATCAGTTATAAGTGTTGATGAATTTCAAACAATTCTGCAAATGTATATTTTTGATAGCGAAATATTGGATTTTGAATCTAGAATTATTGATTGTTTTATGACGCATGACAAAATGTTTTGGTGAGTTTTTTGGAAAACCTTCGGATAAAATGGTGAGATTACCATCACTCCAAAATTTCACTTCAAGACCATCTCTTTCGCCTCTCCAAAAACGTTTTTTAGTTTTTCTGCATTCGTCGGTTGCCTTGATCAAGTCAAACCTCACCTACTCTTCAAACCACAACGCCAAAAAACACCAAGTCCTCCACCTTGGTCTAGACCAGCTCTTCCGAAAATCACGAGCAAATTAGATGATTCAGGGATTGTTAGTGATCATTCTCACGACTAAAAATCAAATTATTTTCTTCATTCTCATCTTCTTTTTCAAAATGTTCTATTCGTTTTTTTTATGTTGAAAGTAATGAAGAATTCGCTCCGCCTATAATAATATCAATCCGACCTCGTTACACTTTCTTTTTGTCTGCCAGCTGACATAAAAACCTTTCTGTGTGTTCAGGATCGAAACATAATATTACTTTTTCTGAACTGACCATGTGGTGCTCAACATGTGGAAAGTTTTTGGCTTTTGTGCACCTCTTTGATGGTGTCACTTTATTGGTGAGTTTGAAAAATGTATTGGAGAAAAGAGTTTTAGAAAATTGAAATTGATTCTCTAAAAAGCTGGAACTTTTTTACTTGAAATATCTAGAATTTTTCAAAATTTCAGATTCAAAAAGAAATAGAATCCAAAATGTTTTTGATGCTAACATTCCAAAAAGTTCCTCTAAAAAATCAATCCAAAATCAATAGTTCTATTCTTCAAACGAGGCATCATATTTCAAAAAAAAAGCCAAAACTTATTTTAACGCCTGTTCATACAATTTTCAGATGATTGATATATCGTCAAATTATTTATCAAATAATCCAGTCGATATTTCAATCGGTTTTCTTTTTATCGTTTGTGCAATTTTATGTTTTATCACAACTCGAAGATTGGATGGTTGTGTTCTTCAAGTTTTGGCCGCATTTGCATTTTTCTCACTCACAGCTGCTATGTATTTATTTGTAGATAATATGATTTTCGTGAGTTTTTGTTTGATTATTTTCGTGGAAGGAAGTGGGAGTAATCTAGTTAATCTCAGTATCAGAAATAAAGTTCAACGAAGAAAATTAGAGCACTTTTTATAAAGTCGATTTTACTGTATCAAGAAGCCCAAGATTTATGAATTTTTCTAGATTTTATCCTTTTTGGTATTGAAAATTGATTTCTAAAGGTAGAGTCACTTCTGTTACAGTAGTAAACATTTTATTTGCATAAAAAATCAAAAAGTTGGTTACTAGGCTCTCGGAAAAGGCTTGGTATTGCGGTTTCATTAATCAAAAAACTCCCAATTTTCAGCTAAACAATCAATGTGTAAAACAAGGAATTTGCTCGAGAAATCAAGAATTGATTCATTCTCAAATTGCATTTGTCAGTTTATGTGAAATGGTAACTTCAATGGCCTCTTTGTTATTATGTTATAAATCGAAACTTGAACCTGATTATCTGATCATCGAAAAACCAACAGCCGCTCAAGAAACTGTGTAAATAAACTTGTATTTTTTAACTAATGAATGGGTATTTTTAATAAAAAGGATTTTGCAAACTTCATTCAATTTCAAAAAAGATGATCAATTATCATCTCCGCAGCTCCAAACTCCATCCATCATGCGACAAGTTCCCACAACGCTTGAAATAATTGAGAGCAAAAAGCAGACCAATAATTCAGTTTTCACAACCATTTTTTGGTACTATTTCTTTTTAGCATCTTTATGTCTGTTTTATAGAAGCGCGATTCTTGTGGGATGATTCGATTATTGAAAATTGAATGGGAATGAGAACATTTTCATCGAAAATTGTGGAAACTCTTTAGAATTCATTGGGTTGGCATAAAAATGTGGGATTGGAAAAATAATGAGCTTTTCAAAAATATTGTTTTTTTGCGAAAACGTGAAATAGCATTGTCCACGTGGCTATTAGGATTTTTCATTTCGACTAGGGGCGGTGCCCCTAGGCGAAACAGTCAGAAAATCCTCAAAAATTCTAAATTTTGAAGAAAATCCTATTTTTCGCAGCTAAGCTGACGTGAGAAAAAATATTTCTTTAAAAAAAGTTACACTTGGGAATACAAATTGTGAAGTTTAATGAAGTATAGACTATATAAGAAAAATAAATAAATTCAAAACAAACTGGAAATCGCGTGCATAAAACTATGAAAAATTAATCTACCTATGAAATGTTGTATAGTTTGTTTTTCAATAAAATCTGGAAGCTGATCCTACTCCATCAAGTGTAATTCAAAGGTTCATATAATCATTTAAACATAGTAATTTATAAACAACTTTCCTTTAATCAATAGTAATTATGAATTGTAAACTTTACCCAATATGTTGTTTTGCTCCCCCTTTGTAGTTCCCCCCAAACCTCAAAATAAACTAACTTGACTGGCCCGTTCCGTGAGAAGTTGTTGATATCTTCGAATGTCGTGTCCAAACGAAACATCTTCTTGTTCGGTAGCCTGAAACTTCGACATTCTTTTTCTCAAAATCTTCGCAAGTTTTTTTAAAAAGTTAAAAAAGTTTTTTTTAAAAAGTTTTTAAAAGTTTAAAAACTTACATCAGAAAATGACAATTGTGGATTTTATGGGATCCCTGCATTCTGTGACGGTTGTCTCTAAAAAATAAGAAAATTTAAAAAATGTACCAAATCACCCCATTAATAACACTTTCTGCGCAGAAAAAAAAAGTTCAGTTCGAAAAAAAACGTTCAATCAATAATTTCTTTTCAAATAAAAAACATCTCTCTCTCTCTCTCTCTATAAACTAAACAACGTGCACGCGGAGTATCGTTGTTTTTCTTTTAGTTTTTTTGCAGGACAATTTTATTTTTTTTCTGGTTTTTGAGTGGTTTTTTCAGCGCAGAAAAAGTTGGTGGTTTGGTGGTTTGGTACATTTTTTAATTTTCTTATTTTTTTTCAGAGACAACAGTCACAGAATGCAGGGATCCCATAAAATCGACAAGTGCCATTTTCTGATGTAAGTTTAAGAAAAGGCGAAAATTTTGAGAAAAAGAATGTAGACGTTTCAGGCTTTCGAAAAAGAAGATATTTCGTTTGGACAGGACATTCGAATAGATCAACAACTTTTCACGGAACGGGCCAGTCAAGTTAGTTTATTTTGAGGTTTGGGGGAGGGGGAGGGGGGAGGAACAAAACTAACAGGTGAGATTTGAGCTTCATTGAAAAATATTGGGTAAAGTTTTTTATTCAATTACTACTATTGATGTTAGAGGAAAGTTGTTTATAAATTACTATGTTTAAATGATTATATGAACCTTTGAATTACACTTGATGGTATAGGATCAGCTTCCAGATTTTATTGAAAAACAAACTATGAAAAATATCATAGGTAGAAATATTTTTTCTATTCCTGATTATCTGGGTCACGTGAAATTCTGATAAATATATATTTATCGAAAATGCCTCATTTCACGCGTGGTGTAGTGGGGAAGAGCTCTGTCTTCTATTCAACCCACCTAATTTTGTGGGTTCCAGGCCCACAACTCGCTGTTTTGTCCCTATATTCGGTAACGCATATTTTCGGAAAAAATATCCGCCGTTGTCACAAAAATTCGGAAAAAATATTTCTATACGAATTGTACACTGGGCGATTTTATTGAATGATAGAAACAAACTTGGAACATTTTTTGAATTAGGATAATTAAAAAGTGGTTCATCTGGGAAACCGGGTCGAAAAAAATCAAAAATTCAATGATGGAGTAATTTATATTAACTCCCACTCCTTCATTTTTATTTTGTCCACGTTGATTTCAGAAAAATCACAATTATTTTCAAAAACTCATAAATTTGTTACAATATATTTTGAGTTAGTTCCTTTTCCAATATTTTTCTTCCAACCTATCATCAATTGCCTGCCAATGGTCTTCTTTTTTTTCAATTTTCTCTTCAAGTACCCGACGAACCGGCCTCGAAAAAAAGAGAGTTGAGTACAGGCAACGCATAATAACAGTGGAATATTGAACAAGCAAACAATTTAAGAGAGAAAACGAAGAAGAAGAAGAAGTCTGTGCACATGCCTATTTGCACATTTTCATGCACATGTGTTATTAAAATGTTTTGTGCGGGCTCCGGCTTTGAACATTTTATGTCACGCCGGATTATTTTTTGATTTATACAGAGTTTAAGGTTTTGCATCATTAGTAAACTTTGAATGTCTACCTGTGAAAATTGCAAAGTTCTCACACTCTCTCGTTTATTTTTTTCGATCTTAACTTTTGTGAAAAAAATGGTTTGTATCGTTTTTTATAGATAATGTTTTTGTGACTTTACAAAAAATTAATTATCTGTAAAGTCACAAAAAATTCAAAAACATTTCTAAGGTCTGAAATACTTCTGAAATCTCAATATTCCACGTGCATTTTATATTGTTCAAAATATAATTTTACTTCTAGTAATGGTTGTTTCTTATTTAAATCTGAAAAGGACAACGTCTAAACCAGAGTATTTATTTATAGTCGAAAAACATCTACTCAGATAATCTCTATTTATTTTTTAGAAACAATATTTCAGTCATTTGCAACAATAAATATGTAAATAAATTTACGTCACAAATGCATGCCAAAAATGTTATACCATCCGGTCATTTTTTTATCAAGATTTTCTTCCGCTTGAATTTCAACACCTGCTTGATTTCCGCAGCTTTTTGCGCATTTGATAAGATCTTTTTTGAGAAAAATATTTGATGTCTTTCTTACATTCTTTCCTATTTCAACAATTTTTCGAATTTTTTATGATTTTTTTGGTGAAACTTTTAATACTTTTGAATTGCACATATATTTTGAGATGCTTGATTTGCCCCGAATTTGAGAAAAAAATCTAAATCGGACCAATTCGAAAAAATTGTTCAAATGCTTACTGTATGTCTGATCTTCACTAAAAATTTGTTCACTTTGGTCCAATTCAGACATCCTGAAAATTAATGTGAGTCGGAATAATCAAACTTGGGGCAAAATTCATAAAAGTAGTTTATGAGTGATGAAAAATTCAAAAGTTACCAAACTGTTTTCCTGGTTCAATTCCTAGATTATCGTTGGAATTTCACTGAAGCCTTCTAGCACAGTTCCGGATTTTCTATTTATTCATTCATACTCAAAATTACCTGTCTACAGTACCAATTAAAAACGTCCTTCGCCAGCCACAAACAATTTCTAAAATAAAATGTCATTTAGTCATATTTGTGTCAGCAGCATTTTTTTCTAGGTTACCCTTTTACCTTTTACCTTCAAATAGATTTTCCTCTTTCTCTCTCTCCATCATTTTGCTCTTCCATGTAAACATCGCTACCGGTTGTGGCTGATGTGTTTGTTTGATTTTCAATAACTTGTCAAATTTTTTGTGCCCGACAACCCAATTTTTTATCTTGTGTTATTTTTTTCAAGATTTTATCTTTCTTTTTGAGCCAAAAAATAAAATAAGAGGATCTATGATCGGTTGAGTGGGAAGAATGATGATCAACAGGTGTTCAGGTCAGCCAAAACAACGCCACTGATTTCATGTTATTTTTCAGTGAATGTTCAAGAAAAAATTTCCGGATGATGGAAAACTATTTTTGAGCGGTTCAGAGGAGATCTGAGCCAGAAATTGTCCAATATTTTTCCGAAAAGTTATTTTCAATGAATAAAATCTTTGAAAATGAACTTTTATTGAAATTCTTGGATTCAGAATTCTCCAGACTTTCCGGTTGAAAAAATTCTGAAAGTTTCCAAATTCTCTTTTGTTTTTTCTTCAAAAATGTAACCTGTTGGTATTCAATGAATCCAAACAAATAAACCATGACTAAGAATTCTGACTCATTCAAACACCAAACCAAATAAGTTCATAGCGCACATGTATTTTATTTTAGTTTATTTTTGATCCGGTCTTAATTATTGTTAGCCTAAAAGATTATGATTGTTTGTACCAAACATGTGTAAATAACTTTCGTAGGAGAAGAGTTAGTTAACTATGTGATTACAAAAAATCACAAAAAGTTTTTGTATTTTATCGGCGCGTGTCCTTGTAATTTGAATAATGATATTTACTCCATTTTGTTGTTATTATTATATATTTTGTTTATATCTTCTTCTTTTTTGATATCTCAAGTTTATTATATGTTATTTTATTATTAGTCATATTTTTATTGTCTTCCAATATCGAAAATCTCATTTTCTGTTCTTTGAAAAATCTTGCAATAAATTATTACAGATATTCTGAAACTTCCTACAATTATCAAAAAAAGGCAATAAAAATCATATAATTATTAATTAATCAGGTGAGTGTCTTTTGTCTTTTTTCTTCCGAAAGAGAAAAAAAGCTAGAAAAGAAATATTTTTGATAATGATGATGACTCACTTTTTCGCTTTTCTCGCGCCAAAAATATGTGATGATGTTTTTTTTCGTACACAGAAAAAATATCTGGCCCATTTTTATTATCAAACAAAATAAAAATGATCGTTGCGTTCGAAAAAATCGGAAGGCAATTCTCTCGTTTTTTGTTTTGATTTTTTGTATGTTAATTGCATTTTAATCCGGCAATAATTTACATAACTGTTTGGAGTAAAGGCTCAGTTTCCGGTTCATTTTGAAAAGTTTTTGAAAGAAGACTTATTGTTCAAAATTACTGTATTTGTGCTACTTTTATTTATTTTCGAAAAGTCTAGAAAACATTTAATGTCTACAATAATCGATGCATACTTTACCAAATTGAAATTTAAAAAATCAACTTTTCTAGTATTTTATTGATCAAATAACTCAAGTTTTCCTAATTCGAAATCTACTCTAAAAATATTTCTGTATATTTTTGATTCACCCTTTATACTTTATTGCTGAAAATTCTCAAAACGTGTACCATATACAGTACCCCCAAAGCTCCACTATACCCCTTTCTTTTTAAATATATTTAGTTTAATTTTCCCAACTCTCGCTTTGACTCATTCATTATTTTCATATCAAACTACAAATAATTCAAATTTAATTGTTCCAATATTTGAGAAAACACTGTATTTTGAAATTTGACACATTACATACATATTAAAAGCAAACAAGCTTTTAAAAATCAAAGTAGATGTTGTCGGTTTCCAAAGATCAAAAGTCTATGCTAAATGTATCAAATTTTTGAATTTTCAGATTATCTGAGAATTATTGAACTCTGAAATATACTTACAATTAAAAATATTAATGTATTTTCTTGAAACTGTGGTCCATAATATGTTGGCCCTAAAATTGATGTTGGCATTTCCAGATGTCATGTTCATTTCTCCAATTTCCGTATTTCTTATTCTAGATAATAATTACTTTTTGACGCCGCGTGCGCGCTTTCTCCTTACAAGGCCATGAGTGAATTATTACTATTATTAGAAAATAAAAAGAAGAAGAAAAAGAAAAATGCCGGTATGCATACAAGACATCTTAAGAATAACTATTACAAGTGGATTTTCATTCTTTTTATAATTATTTATTCAAATTATTTTTTCCGGGTTGAAATGTCAACACATTTATTTATTTATTTATTTATTTTTTAGTTTCGACAAGTTGTATGGTCAAATAGAAACCGAATACGAAAAGACAAAAAAATGGTAAAACAAATAGTTACTAAGCCGTTCTAAATGTTTCATTTTTTGTTTCGAAATTATTTAGATTGTACCAGTACTCGTTAAATAGTAACCCATCTGGTTTTGTCCTTCGCCTTCCTCTCTCAATTTTCTCAACCCTTTGAACAAATAATAGGAAAAAAAGAAAAGAATATATTATTATACAGTTCCTCTACCTTCTTGTGTTATTTGTCTTCGTGTGCTCTTGGAACTATTATTTCTTTTTTTCGATTTATTTTTGAAAAGAGTGACATTTTTGAGGAATTGAAAAAAAAGAACGCATTTCTTATCACTGACTCATTTTTCGAAATATTGACAATTCTTTATTTTTGATAAATATTTCTAAAAAAAACTTTTTTTGTCAAATCCGCGATCAAAATCTGTAAATCACTTTCACTTCTTTCCAATTTTCTACCCAAAGCTACCAATTATAAACTTGAACAGATTTCGCGCGGGTGTAAATTAGTGACACTTAAATATTCCATCATTTATTTATTCATACATTTTCAGAAGCCTGTTATTATTATTATTTCTGTACTGTTTTATTTCTTCGAATATAAACAAAATTTTTGCGAGGTTCAAGGAAACATTTTGGAGAATAGATGAATGAATAAATACATAAATGTTTGAATTATGTCTCGCATTTTTCAAGTGCTGGTTTTTAGTCTGACGGTTTTTACAACAAAAACGCTGTCTGACGTGTGAAAATTTTCAAGTGACACGTTTTTCAAAATGCTCATTTTCAAAATTGTATTATAAAAGAATGGAAACATCATCTTCGAAATCAAAACCCGTAAGCTCTTCCATAAAAATGATCTAGATTGTAACTTTCGGTAGGACTTGGGTTAAATTTCGGGTCAATTAATTTTTTGGTGATATGGGCCGATTATCGGAATAGATTTAGCCCACCTATTTTTCCGAATTTCGAGCCTTCGTTCGAAGTTAGTTTAGGAGCTGAACTTTGATCTGAAATTCAGACCAAAGTCAGACTCTGAATTTGTGAAAACTTTTGGTTGTGAGCAAGATCTGGGCTACTTTCTGGGCCCGAAATTTCTATCGAATTTCCAAAAAATCCGATTTCTTTGCTAATTTATATAACTGTCCATTGGCATGTTATGATCCAATACATATTAATGTCAAAAGCAAACTTTCACTTAAAAAACTAATTATCAAATCGTCTTTTGGTTTTTTCTTTGCCATCATCATCTCCTCTTCTTCTTATTCTTTTTACATATCCAATTTCTTTTTTATTTTTTTTTGCCACCAATTTCTTACTCAATTTCAATTTCAAAATCGATCGATCGATTTCGAGGCCCTCTAAATCTGTTTTTTTTTTGTTCTGTTCATCTTTCGAAAAACTGATAGATATTTTCCGGCGGGGCGAGACTTTACACAAAATCAATGAAAAGCTCATGAGTGAGTGTATTTGTATGTTTGTGCTCAAAAGAAAAATGAAAGACGAAAATATTAGAGATTTTATTTTATTTTATTCATTTATCCTCAAATTGATTGATTTTTTAGTCAACATAACAAAAAATTGTAAGGATCGGATTTCAAGATTTTGAGGAGAACTAGTTGGTCACAAATCAAATAAATTAATACTTGAAAACTTCGTTTTGGTTCGTCTTTTGACTTGTTGTTCTGATCTCTGAGGCTTTCAGATTTTTTCTTCAAAAAATCATGAAGGAACAAAAATAACCCTCGTTTTTTTCTAATGTTGACTTTACTCGATTCATAGTTTATCTATCTATTTTCAACGCGGCGCAAATAAGAAGAAAAACTGTTTCTCGTTCTAACCTCAAAAAAAGATACAGTACTTTTTTTTCAATCACATCTCTTCTTCTATTATTCTTTTTGACATGATAACATTACACTTTGATTTATTATTTTTATGAAAAGCCTATCTTTTTTTCAGATTATTTACATAGTATTTACCTTTTAAAAATTGGTTTTTTCAGAAAGAACACGCATTTCGGGTGATAATGTTTGCTGGAAACCCCATTCTTGATGTAAGTTTTTTTTGGAATTTGTTGAGAATTTGAAATACTAAAATAATAATTTTTAGGAGATCAAGAAGGGGTTCAAACTTAGACCAACAAAAACAGTCGACAAATCGAAGCCCATCATTTATGCAGAAGGGGAAGATGAGTCAGAAGTAGCGGTAACAAAAAGAGCACCATCAGGAATTGCACCACCTGGGCAAACAATTGCCTCAATTGCTGCTGCTTCCGCACCATCATCTTCTTGGATTCCGCCACCAATTACAAATGGATCAATTCCTCCGCCACCAGTTATGTTGGGTGCAAATGGAATTCCACCTCCGCCACCAATGTTTGGTGCAGCCGGTATTCCCCCGCCTCCTCCAATGTTAAATGGGATTCCACCGCCTCCTCCAATGGGTTTATCTCCATCGCCACCAAATCCTCCACCTGTTCAACGACCAAAAACACCATTGAATCCGGCATTGGCGAAATTGGGAGGAAAATCACCAGGAACTGTTGATCGAGGAGAATTTTTGAAGGGTATTCAAGGAGGATTCAAATTGAAGAAAACTGTGAGTTTTTTTTTTGGAATCTTTTTGGAAGGGATCAATTCTGCCAAATTTTTTTGAAATTTTTTCGAATATTATGACGTGGCACCAGTAATTCAGAATCCAAATATTCCAAGTAATATTTCTAGAGATGTGGTATTTTTGAATTCATAAGCTCGTAGGAAATATTGGAAATTAAAAAAAATCCCCAAAATTATCTTGATGAACTATATTTGAATTCTGAATTCACAGAAAATTCCAACGCTAAATTTGATTTTATTGGTTGGAAATTCAAAAAAATAGATTTTGAACACAATTTGATTTTTGCCACGTCATGAATATTTTTCTATGCGATTTATGATCACACCAGGTTGACTTGATTAGAAATTCCGTTCCATATTAATTTTTTCTATTTTCAGGTGACAAATGATAAATCGGGTTTGTTTGTCGACGAAGAAATGCGTGAAAAAAGTGTGACACTTGTTGAAAAAGCACCATCTACGTTAGTTTCTATTTTTATTTTTCATATTCAAGTCAATCTAAATCCGTTCCTTTTTTTTTAGATATATTCCACCGCCAAGAGCTCGAAGTCCAATTTCTCGACCACATTCTTCATTGGGATTCGGATCGGAAGATGAAAGGTGAGTTAGGAGGAGCAAAAACAAAAACATCTGGCGCGTTTTTTTTCGCGGAACACATGAGAGAAAAATGTGACATGTTTTTTGGGGAATCAATTCAATTTTTTTTTAGATTCCGAACACCTTCGGCAAGAACTCCTGAACCACGAGATGATTCACCTGAACCACTTCTTGGACAACGTCGCCCAATTGTTATGCGAAGAAAAGGCGATCCACCAGCTCCGCCACCAGAATTTGGATTTGATTCAGAAAAGCAGAAAATCACATCAGAAGATATTGAAAAAGAAATCAAAAAAGGAAGTGTTGCTTCGAAAATGGCTGCACTTATGGGAAATATGGGATTTGCGCAAGATAAAATTGATCAAATCGGAACTGGTTCATTACCACGTGCAACATTCCGAAAAAGTCCAATGAGAGCTTCAATTCTACCTTCTCCTTCAGAAGTTAATAATAATGGAGATGAAGATGATGTTCCAAAACCGAAACCAATTTCAAAATGGCATGTTGATACAAATTATGGATTAAGAACTGCATCACGATCAAATGTTCCATTTGAAAAAGAAAAACAAGAAAGAGCGACATCAGTTTTGAAAGAAAGAAGTTCATCTTGGTTAGATTTAACAAAACCTGGACCAATTGAAAGAGCAAGAACACAATCACCAATTCCATTATGTGAAAGATTAGATTTAGACGAAATGGATTTTGATGAATTATGTGAAAGAGCCGAAGCTGAAAGAAAAGCAGCTGGACCAAAGAAAAAAGTTGTTAAAAAGAAGTCGAAAGTTTTGCCAAATCCAATATCTGTCAATACAGATTTTTGTACAACTGGAAATCCAACAACACGTCGACCATCGAATACACCACAGATTCAGGAGACTCCACCAACTCCAGCACAAAAGAAAACATATGGATATGCGAATAAATCAACAAGATGTTCAAGTCCATCTTCAATGTCATCAACTTCAGCACCTTCACCATCTTCACTTTCAGCTGGATCAGTTTCACCTGAACAAATTCCAAAAAGACGTGGAAGTAATCCAAACTTTGAAAAGGTGAGCTTTTTTGAAAAATAATTTTCGGGATTTTTCCTAAACTCAAAAACTGGAAAGGTGTTGAAAATTTCATTAGAAATGTGTTCAATACCTAAGTTTTTTGAAGACTACTGTAATTCAATCAATATTTTGAGTCTATCGAGAGTGCCTTGAGTTTTCCAAGAAAATTATTCACCTTTTATGAATTAGGACTTTCTAAATAATATAGATTCGGAAAAAAATGGAACAAATTTAAAATTTTATGAATATTTTTGCGCGAAAATCTGAAATAAAACAATACTGCAATCGGAGCCATAAGAAATACTCCTTATTCCAGGCCAAAGAGAAATGGGGTGCTGAAGAACGTCGTGAATCAATAACACCAACCAAAGAAACAACGCCAGTCAAAGAAAAAACACCAGAACCAATTGTTTCAAAACCATCAAGAAAGGTCTCAAATAGCACAACAACTAAAAAACAATCCACAACAACTCCACCTCCACCCTGCTTTGCGGTTGTACCTGGAGCTGAAGCAAAAGGTGCCACCGCTGTCGCCAACGCAAAAACACCACCAACCCGTCGACAATCTAACACAGCCACACCTTTGTCCTCAACATCTAACATTATTTTACCAGTTAGCACTAAATCGACAAGTGATACAATTCGAGATCGAGCAAATCGATTTAGAGAACAACTTCAAGCTGATGATGATAAAGGAAAGAAACCATGGCAGGTATAGTTCAATTAAATATCACTTTTTGCTTTCAAAACATATGTATAAACTAATAATTTTTAGAAAGGATCTACTAGAAACTATTGAGATAAAATATGGAAGGTAAAAATATATGTGATTGCAATTTGAATAATCTAACACGTTTCCCGTTTTGAATATTTGCAGTGTTTTTACTTTAAAAGTGTGTTTTGTTTCAGCATCCATTCATGTCTGCAACCTCTTCCTCTCCTATGCTATTTTCATCTACATCTACTTCTATAATTTCATCGCCTGTTGTCTCTCGTCTCTCAGCTCGAGAACAATTATTTGCAACACCAACATCGACTTCTTCATCAACACAAACTTCTCGAATCATAAATGTGCCAATAAGTGCACCTTGGTATAATAAAACAATACAATCACAACCATCAAATAACGAACGAAATAATAATGCGAATACAAATGGATATCAGGAAATTCCATACAGGGTAAATCGAAAGGCTTCGGGTATCTAATTTTGAATGAAAAATATTGAATGTCAATTTTTGTGGCATGAATTGAAATATTTTCTGCTGTGTTTTTTTTTTTGAGCATGATTATTATTATCAAAATTCTTCCAATAAAATAATTATTTTCAGATTTCCTACGAGGATTTCAATCCATCCCAAATGCGAGATCATATACGTTTCAATATCGATCTTTCGCATGATTTGCCTCTTTCAATATCGCGTCGCTAGTTTTTCCCTATTCTAAAATTTATAAATCTACCAATTTTGTTTGTAAATAAGTTCGGGTTACTCTCCCCCAATTCGAGAAGTAATATATTTTTCTTGATATAATGTATTTTGCTTTCGGTGCTTTTTCTTTCTGTATATTTTCTTTAAAGTTTTTCTCTGTGTCTGTGTGTTTTAATTCTTGACGAAATTTTGCTTTCATCGTACTAGTCCAATAAATCAGTTGTTTTCTCGTACGCCATCATTTTACACTCATTTTACAGAAAAATGTTCTACAGTAATAAAACAAAATTCGAATTCGCGGACTTCTTGATTGTGCATTTGTGCGTCGTGGTGTCCGCAACGCTCCGAATATTTTTTATATTTTTTCGGTTTTTTTTGTTTTGCGCTGTTTTATCTGTTTCGGGGGTGTTTTTGTATTAAATTGTGTTTCATATTCTCATCTCATTCCTCGGTGCTCCTTACTTAAGTATGTATATCAATCCGAAAAAGTTGTCTACTTTTGTAGATTATAGATTTTATACAAAATTAGGCATACAGCCAAAAAGAACTTTTTATGCTTATTAAATTGCATATTAAGAAACTATCAAAGAATGCCGATCCACGTAGGGAATAAGTTTGCCTAATTATCGTGATCTTTGCTATAAACACCTGTCGAATATCACCATTATACGCCAATTGAACACCCTTTGTTCCCGATGAGCAAATAGACGCGCGCATTTATTTTTTATCGCCATATTCCAACCCAACAAACAATATAATACTTATTTATTATCAGCGTCTATTCTTTGCTGTCAACATCACACAGACACACCGTCCAACAAAAAATGACCGATTGGTTTGTGAGAGAAAAGAGCGCGCAATTGCGAATAAAGTTGCTTGGCCAATAGCCAAGACACGCCCTCTCAGTTTTTTCAACTCGTTCGCGTTGTGTGGTTATTTTGTTAGAGATGGTGGTCGTCCCGCGAACAACAATGTTTTTTATTTTGTTCTTCTCTTTTTTGCTGGGTGGTTTGTTAGAGTGAGAAGTGGAGTTGTCAGTGTGCACTTTTCTATTTTCATATACTTACTTTCCACCACCCAAAACTTCGGAGTGTCTTCAATTAGGTTAAGATATCCAAACCCTACCTGTTTTCTCTAATATTGCAAATCAACCACGTAACTCGAAATATTTCAACCCAGATGTTTCCTTCAACTAAATCTTTTATAATTGGTATTTTTCGTAATTTTCATAATAATACGAGATCTAACTTATTAACTATTCCATTATTACTCCAATCCATCGCATTCCGTCTAACACCTTTTTATTCCATTGCGTCATCTTCTTCACCCATATATGCCTAATCCAACATCCTTCTTACATTCTCATTTGAATCTTTCCTTTTTCTACACACACACTCACACATGTAATTCGAGGTTTTTTTCATAATTTTACCCTCACAACTACTATTCTGTTCTGCTATATATAATATATGTGAGCGTATGAGCGTCTTCTTTTCCTTCAGCGTTGAATTTTCTTTCACTCTACACTCAACGCACACACATACACACATAGCCAACCAACTGCTGGACGTTTGGTTGGTTGCATCAAGAAAAGAAGAGACACATAGAGTGCACTTTTGGCACTATGCCAAAAGTCATAAATCACACAACTTCGGACTTTTTTTCTCCTTTTTTGATATATCAAGCTCATCGGTGTATTTTTCATTAATAATTATTTGTGTATCTTCTATTGTTGCGCGCGAAACTGTAACACTGTGTTTTGTGTGAGTCCGACACACAAAACTATGACGAAATAGTACATATCTGGGCGGAGACATACACAATGGTCAGAGACGTAGAGTAATCGTGTATGTGTGTGTTGGGGAATAGAAGAAGAAGAAGAAGAAAATAGCTCCGCCTCCACGCGCGCCGAAATGGAAAGGGGAGGAGAGCTGCTCTACTCTATTCTATTCTTTTTTTCAAAACCCCCCATATTCTATAAGGCTTGGTCCGGACTTAGGCCTCAGTTGACTTTAATTTTATATCTTCTATCTCTTCTTTTTTATGTTTTATTCTCAAATTTTAGGCCAACAATTTATTTTTTCTAGACCAAACACCACACACAAAGATGTCAGCCGTTGAAGAGAGACAAGCCGAAAAGAGAGCCTTGGACAAGGGAGATGAGAATGATGAAGTTGTCGCCAAGGAAGCTCGCATTGAAAATGGAAATGCTGAGGTATGTTTGAATTAAAATTACAAAAAAATTTTAGGATTTACCTAATTTTTTTCTAAAAACTTTTTCTTTATGCCTTCTTCTCTTATCTCATCAACAAACAATTTTTCGCTGATTTCATTTTTTTTATTAACACACAGTTTACCGACTGTTTCATTTAGCGATACACAAAAAATAGAGAACCTCTATCTATAACTGTTAGAGACGCAGAGAAGGATGAATGGCTGGCCGCTTGCCAATTGGCAAGTCGCCAACTCTCTTCTTTCTGTGTGTGTATCAAAGAGAAGGAGGAAAAGGGCATAGAGAAGAATAAGAGATTTCGCGCATTTTCGAAACATATAACAAATTGTTGTTTTTTGCAGGAGGAAGTCAAAGACAAAGTAGTTGCTAAAGGTAAGGTTTTGACAACAATGATGCCATCAAACAGAAAAATTCTCTATCAACACTGGATTTTGATAGTTTTAGTTATGAGATGACAAAACTTAGATTTTTTCGAATTTTCCAAACGCTGCTTTTTTCCAATAGTACTACTGATTATTCGTAGTAATAATAGTGATTTCGATTTATTACTAACTACAAATCCGTTTTCCGCGCTCTCCTAGCGACCAGCCAGCCAGGCAAAGAAGTATGTAATTGACAAATTTGGGCTGGTGGCCTCGACGACAACACAAGAAGAGACGCCGAGCCGCTTCGCGAGACCGCGTCGCACAAATTTCGATAACAGACGCCTATGAGTGTGTATTTGTGTGAGAGTGTAGGAGCGGAGAGTGAGCGAAAAGGCCTATGCACTCACAGAGAGAAAAAACACATGGCAAGGGGGAAAGGACGAGGAGAGATTGATTTTGAGGAGTGAAGCGAGACTTACTGACTGATCTTTGGAGGAAAAAAGAAACTTCTTATGCATGAGTGTAAAATTTTCATAAAAAATAATTTTTTTCAATGATATAACTTCGAAGTTTGGACACCGTATATATTTTCAAACATTTCCAAATTTTCGGAAAAAAATAAAATTGATAAATAATGAATTGCTTTCAGAAGATGCTGGAGATAACGAGAATGAGGAAGAAGACGATGATGTCGACGAGGAAGACGTAAATGACGAGGAATCAAGTGAAGGAGAAGGTGAAGGTGAAGGATCGGATGGTGGAGAAGGAGAAGAAGGAGATTCTGGAGAAGAAGAAGATGGAGATGAGGGAGAAGGTGGTGATGAGAGCGATTAAGTCGACAATACGAGGAATGAAAAAGAAAATTGCGCGGGACTAGATCTCAATTTCTCTGTATTATCCCCCCGGTCCCCAGTTTTTTCTTATCCCCTTTTTCATTTTCATTCATTCTCATTTTCAAACCAATTCAAAAGTAAACCACCATCGTTCAACCTCACTGTTTAACACTATTTTATTTTATATATGTACCTGTTAACTTTCAACAACAACAACAACAACAAAAATTGGTGTTTCCTTGTTTTTCTCAAACTATACTTTATTTCTTTTTTTTTTTGTAAAATTGCCGTTTCCAAAAAAACAATACACAATAAATATTTTAAATCAAAAAATGGATCTTTGAACTATCTACCTTACACAAAACTTTAGAAAAATAGTTCAGAAATTTCGAAAAATTATTTTGGACTAACTCAGCCTACTGTAGATAGAATTAAACGTTGTCAACAATTTCAAACTTTGTCAATCAACCCAAACTTCCAATCATTTTACATTTTAAAAAGTTAAATTTCGAATCCCTCCAGTGCAAAATAAGGTGTGTTTTCTATTTTTTGAGAAAAAATTGAAAGTTTATCAAATTCATTATATATCTTGTAATTAACATAGTTTGAGTATAATTATCACAAAAAACTAGAGATTCTGTAAATTATTTCGAAAAATTGGGTGATGACCTCATCCAGTGCAAGATTCAAATCGATTTGTATCTTACACTGTTTAAAAAAAATCAAGTCACAAAAAATAACATAACAAAAACAAACTTCAAAAAACGATAAAAAATATAAATTTCGGCTTTATTAAAATATTGTTAGTATCATCAAGCGACTTTTTGATGAAATTTTGATGAAATGAATCTTTTTTCATTTTTAATACATTTTTTCACCAAGATACTTGTCCATATCCTCAAAACACCCTCCCCTTCTTGTCCCAAAGTTCTAACAACATTTAGATTTAGAAACAACACATGCCTAATTCATATTTCAAAAAAAAGAAATATTATTTCTCCCGACCTCAAAGTTTTTAAAAGATTCTAAAACTTCCTTTCAAAAGAATCCTGGATTCAAATGCAAATTAATTTAAAACATTTCGAACTCTACAGAACTCCCTCCGACTAAAACTTCACTACTCAATCGAACCCCCAAAAAAAAGAACTAACCTTTGAAATTTCGACCGTTCCTCGATCCTCTCATCGCTCAACATTGATGTATTGCTTCATGCTTTTCAACAAAAATAATCTCAAACATTCTCATCCACGACTAATCTGAAAAAATATTTTCAATTTAATGAAACTTTTGGTTGTTTTTTATTGATTCAAAACGCTATTTCAAAAAATAGGCGTCCATACGAGAGAGAAGAGACAAAAAGATAGTGAAATCGCGCGTGATCTACAGCGATTTAAAAACTTGCGGGACTAGGTTAGGAATTTTTAAAATTAAACAAAAAATAATAATTTTGCGGTGTAATCATCTCACTACAATCTTAGGTCTATTACCTTCAGAGCTTTCCAATATTCACATCTTTTTTTAAGTAAACTCACGATACATTTCAAAAAAAACAAGACGGAAATTCAAGCGTATTGAAAAATCAGAAATGAGCAAAATGATTCACGTCAAATTATTTAAAATTAAATCTAGAGCACAAAAGTAGGTCGAGCGGACAGACAGATCACCGTTTAATATCTAAGAAAAATTTAGTAAAAAACAAGTTGGAGCAGAGAAAAATGTTAATGATCTAAATACCAGATTTTTTTTTAAATTTGGAAGTCTAGCGATTTGAGGTAGTAAAATACACACTTTGTTTGTTCCCCCATGACACACTTGCTATTTCAATTTATCTCACGACTAAAAAAATTCATTCTATGATTTTGAATTCCGAAATGTCAGGTTTCGCCTTTTCAAATTCAAAATAACATTCGAAAAAGTTTCAGCTTATTTTTTAAAGAAACATGTTTCTTGGCTTTTCTGCAAGAAGCTGACTACAAAAAATAATTGAAACATTAGAAGTTCTCACTTTGTGGTTTTCAATGACAGCCTCCAATTTCGCTCTGAAGAAAAGCAAATTTTTCTTTACAATGGATCCGAATTTATTGATTTTTGTCATTTTGTCTAATTCTAAGTTTCCAGGCGCGTGCTTCAAGCTTTTTCATGAAAAAAAAATGATTTTTCTGGTAAAAATCGTATTATACTCTTTTTTTTATCAACTTTTTCTCGGTCAAATATTTGTAAATCTGGAATATCTTCTTCATATATTATTTCATTTATTTTTCTTCGAGAGTTTCAATTATTAATCTGATATAATGAATGCTATCCATCTTTTTAGTTGACTTACATTCTTTTCTACATTTCAAAAAATAGTATTTGTCTTTCTACCTTTTTTATTTATAGAACTAGTCCCCAGAAAATTTCTAGAAAATGAAGTATTTTTATTTTTTTGGTTTCAAGATTTTCACAGGACTTATTGTTTGCAAGCAGTCGGTTTTGGCACAAATTCTTACATATCTGGGCGGAGCTGAAAATCACAGGCAAATGCAAACTGGCCGGATACATGCCAAAAATTAGAAAACGATCAGAAACTTGTACGTTAAAAACTTCCAGTAACCACTCGAAAGTCGGCAGGTTTTCCAGAATTGACCGGTAACCGGCCATGTTTTTTCAGCGGTGTCCGGCCGTTTTTATTGAATTTGAGCAGAAACCTTTTTGGCAAGTATCCGACCTGTTTGCATTTGCTTGTAAATGAGACAACTGAAGAACGTCGAGTCAATCGGAGAACTAAAGAAAACCACTGAATAAATATATTTATCATTCCATTTTCACTTCTTTTTTCTATCCTATTATTATCACAAGTACTTTTTTTATATGCATTAATTTTCGATGTTTAATAAAATTATTTTTGAGCAGAAACAAACTTTTTGAAAAAAAGATTTGAAATATCGTTTTCGGCATATTTTGAAAGTACCTCATATTATGATTTTTCCATAGCAATCAGAATATTCTGAAAATTACGCGGAAAATGTCTTTCTCGAATTCCAAAAATTTGTTCAACAAAGTTTTATTTCCAACGTTATTTCTTCGCTACATAACACGAAAATATTCCTTTTTCAAAACGAAGATTTTTCTCCGTGACATACTTCTCAGATTCTGAACTCACAGATCCAATATTGCGCAAAACACTTTTTTTCCAGTGAAAAACGAGAAAATAAAAGTAGAAATGAAAGTGCGCTCTAATGCACTACACAAAACGTTGGATACTCAGTCAACGACCATGTACGCAGCAAAAAGAACTCATTTTTCTTTCTTTTTTTCTTTTTTACACTGTTTTCGTCGAGTTTTATAAGTTTTTTACTGTTTTTGAGCTGCATTTAACAGAAATAAATGACTAAACCAGTAAAATACTGATTGATGCTCATTCTGTTATTTCTGAAAACCATAATTCGCTTTCAAATTTCTTCAATTTATCAATCGATATTTTTTGATACTAGGACTTTTTTGTTTTGTTAACCTCGACTACTTCTTTCGATCCTAATGTTTTAAGTTTTTCAACATTCAGTTTTCAGGGTACAATGGTGCACGTTTCCGGAACCAACATTAAAGTCGTTAAGAAGAAGCTCACCAAGTTCAAGAGACATGAGTCAGACAGGTATTTTTAATTCAACAAACTTAAAATCTATTTATTGTTTCAAGATACCGTCGTGTAGCCCCAAGTTGGCGCAAGCCAAAGGGAATTGATAACCGCGTCCGTAGACGTTTCCGCGGTATGCGTGCTATGCCAACCATTGGTCACGGATCTGACCGCAGAACCCGATTCGTTCTTCCAAGCGGATTCAAGAAGGTTCTTGTTCAAAACGTTAAGGTATGTGCTTTAATTTTCAAAATTTTTGTTTTCATCAGTTTTTGTTGAAATTTCAACTTAATAATGTTGGGTTATTCAAGTTTTGCCTTTGGACTTTATAAACAACCTATAAATTTTTTGTTACTATTAGGCCAATGAATTTTATATTTTAAAAATATGATTTTGAATCGAAAATGATTTTTTGGTAGGCGACAATTTTTGAAAGTTTTCAAAATATAGTTAACTTAACTCAGGCAAACGGGCCGACTAATCGGCGACCAACTGGCGATAAATCGCCTGTCAACTAGTAGTTGGTCGCACATTAGTCGGCGATTAATCGGCCTACATATAAATGAGCAGAAAAGTTGGTCGGCCGACAAAAAAGTTGGTCGTCGATTAGTCGGCCCACAAAAGTTAGTCGGCGATTAGTCGCCCCAGGAGAAGTTGGTCAACGATTAGTCGCTCCACGTAAAGTTAGTCACCGATTAGTCGGCTAGTTTGCCTGAGAACATTTAAATTCAGGACTTGGACATGATCCTCATGCAATCATACAAATACATCGGAGAAATCGGACACGGAGTTTCTGCCAAGAGCCGCAAGAACATCGTTGAGAGAGCCGCCCAATTGAACATAAGATTGACAAACGGAAACGCTCGTCTTCGTACCGAAGAATCGGAATAAATTTGTTGTTGTTATCATGAATAAATTGTTTGAAAAAAATTAAAATTTATTTGTGTTATTCACAGAAATTTTATGCTGTTTCTCTCAAACGAGCTAATCTTCTCTCCAGTTGTTGTTGCTCCGTCTCAACCTCATCTTGATTGTCGTCGAATAAACCGAATCGATTTGTTGGAGCTTCAGGAAGATGAAGAGAGTCATTCTGAAAACCGAATTTTGTGAAATGACTATCAACCAGAAACTATTTACCTTGTGAGCATTCAAAAGATCATCTAACTCCCTTTCTAATTCATCATCATTCACTGAAGATCGATCAGCAAATGGTGAAGAAATAGCTTCTTCGATTTCTTTGTATTCGTCCAAAGAACTTGCAACATCATCCATTGTTTCATGTATTTTATCAGGTGTCAATCCTTGTCTGGCTAATGTTGCTTTAAATGCAGCAGTTCCTGATTGATATGCCTTCAAAACATCTTTGTTATTTTTAGCTGATGATATTTGATGAAGCATTGTAAGAAGTTTCTGATATTGTGCATCTTTGTCAGCCATATCTTTTTCAGCCCGTTTTCTTTGTCTCAAGAAATTTTGAGCTCTTTGTTTATCTCCATTTCGAAGAAGAGTTCGACATTGTTGATCATATTTCTTTACTTTTTCTTCCAATTGTTGAATTTCTCTATCCAATTTGTTCATAGCTTTTCGAATATCAACTAAACTTGCATCAGCTTCAGTGAACTTTACAGGATCTTGACTTCCATGATCTTTGAATTTCAACACTTTTTCTCCATTCGAAGTGTTTCCGATTGTCAATTCACCAATGTCACTCAAATGTTCCAGAACAATATCGAAAGTTTCAGAAGTAGCAATGACATTTCTAACCCGTTCAAAAAACTCATTGTAAGCCACGACTTCACCCGTGCAATCAACTTCTGATCGAAGTTCTTCGTTGTAAATTTTGAGAACATCATCTGCTTGTTTCTGAAAATGAAAACTGGGTTCAAAATTTTGAAAAAAATTAAAATTCAAACCTTAATTGTTGGAATATGAACAAATTTCTCGCTATCAGACGATGATCCAAACATCCAATTTCGAGTCACCGATAAACCCCAACCAAGCCATCCAGAATGACTATCTTTCCATTCATTCAACGTTTGAATTTCATTGTTTCTGAAAATATTTTTAGATTTTTATCTTCGATTTGATTTGCCTAGAAAAATGGAAAAAACTTACTTTTTCATGTATTCGAGAACAACTGGAAGACTTGCTGGAACTCGATCTCCTCGCCGAAATCGTTTTTTCAAAGAAACCAAATCAAATACTGCATTACGTTCCCCAATACACGAATCGAAGATGGTTTCAGACCAAAATTTGACTTTGCGATCATAATCTACTTTATTAACTGATCTTTCTTTTATAACTGATAAAAGACCATGCATTGTAACATCGTCATTCCAGACGTCAGGTAAATAGGCTGCTCCCATCCTGAAATATAATCACAGTTAAATAGTTGTACTACTAGCTTTTTTGATCGAAGCTCCGCCGTTCGCACGAAAAATGAATGCGTTGTTGTGCACTTTTACGTCGCCGTGTGTGCAGAAATTCAAAAATAAATCTGCAGATTCTCGGCAAAGTGTTTTCACATTTTCGTTTTTTTCAATTTTTATTTTCACTCAGCAAATCGTAGCGTACATGAACGGTTTTATCGGCGAAAAATAGCTACACCGCAGCTACACACCAGCTACACAAATCAGAGAAGCAACGCGGTTGGCGTCGCGGCTACTTTTCTCATTTTTGTTTTTGTTTTTCCAGGCCTAAATTCTTGTGAAAATCGGGCCAGCAATGAACATATACATAATTTTTGATAATTTTTATTCGTTATCATTGAACAAACCTTAGTGTTTCATGAAAATTATGTTGAAATTTCTTCTGAACATCTATGAATTCTCGTATTTCTCAAGACTGGCAGTTTTTCTTTCATTCAGAATTGCTCTAACTATCTTTAATTTCAGGTTTCCGGGATCGTGATCGTTTCAAAATGACTGCTAAATGGTGAGGGAATTTTCTTTGAAAAAAACGACATATTTCCTACAAAAACAGTTTTCAGAAAACTTCAACAAGTTCAACAACGACTATTCTCCACAAAAATCAGTTCAACATCAATCAGTTATCATCCACGCTAATCAAAAGGTGAGTCAATAACCGAAAAAGAAACGGGATAACAAAATATGTCTTGGGAAATTTGATCAAGTTGAGCTATTTTTGAAGATAAATATAAAGTTCTTTCTTCTCTGAAAAGCATGAAAATTCATCTCAATTTTACAGAATATGCTCTCCTATGCTCAGTCTCGCCAACACTCGATGGAAATCTGGACACATACGATATGAAAAGCAGCTTCATTGCGAGGGAAACAAGACAATCCGCAACATCTACGAAATTTTCAACTCCTAATTTATAATATTGTTTGAAATACTTTGTTTTTTTATGTTTTACTTATTCTGATAATAAATTGTTGTTTTCATTCAAAACGTGTTCAAAAATCATCTTTCAGCCCGCAAAATCCGAAAAAAACGCGAAACGAAAAAAAAATCGAAAAAAAAACTAATTTGTGTAGCTGGTGTGTAGACGCGTGCGTAGCTTGTGTGTGGAATGCGTGTAAAATGAGTTAGACAGCACACAAGCTACACAAATCCTTACCGTTCATGTACGCAGCGATTTGCTGAGCACGCAGGTTTCTTCGAAATCAAAGTTATCTTCTGTATTCAGGTTTCTGCGGCGCGTCACGTACGCGAAAAACCAAAAATTAACCACGACGACGGGTTGGATGCATTCAAAGCGGTGCCAGAGTCGGATGACACCGCCGGGGATGCAATTGGTCCGACAGAAAAGATGTCAATTGCTGGTGAATCATCCCCAATTGATGACACAGAAGATGTGCTTAGAAAAAGAAGTGCTTCTCCCAGTGAAGCTTCATGGGTTCAACCATCAAAGGTTTGTATGATCTTGATTCTGAATTTATGTAATCACATTTTTTTAGAAGTTTTGTACCGATGCTGTGAATGTTGATGAATGGGTCAATACAACATCTGATGCTACACTTCCTGATGTTACACTTATGTATAGAGAAAATCATGGTATATTGATACAAATGGGGTAAGATTGCATTATTAAAGAAATAAATAAACAACTATTGAGAAATATAATTTTTTAGTTTCGAATTAGAAGAAATCGATCTCGCTCTCCGATTAGCCAATAACGAATTGGAAAAATCTGTTCAGTATTTAACAAGAGAATTAGCGGGTTTAGACAATTCCAAAGCATCATCATCAACTTCTGCACCAGTCCCACAATGTGACAATAATCGTTCACTTTTCAATGCTTTGGTTCCGGAAGCAATGGTAAATCAAATTTATGTTGAAAGTGATGAAGGAGAAGAAAATGATAATGATATTGTATGGAATTTGGAAGATGTCAAACGTGTTCGTGCATTGCTCGAAAAATACAAACGTTACATTTTCTATCGCAAAAATGGTTCATTGTCAAGATGTCTTACAGCAGCTCGAAATATTTTGATACAAAAAGCTGAAGGATGGTCAGAGTGTGTCAATTTTGTCGATGAAATTTTGTATTTTGTGATAACTCGTCACGTAAATCCAACAGAATTTGTTTTTATCGGCGATCAAGAACTTGGACTTATCGAAGAACTATATCATGCTGTTATTCCTGTTCTTTGTCTTCGATTGAAATATTCACCGATTAATGTCAAGATTTGTCTGATTGTTGATGAAATGTTCAACTGTCGCAACAAATTTTTCACAGCTTCATCTGCGTTAATGAATAATGAACGTATTTTCCATCCACCAAATTGGTGTGATCTTTCTTTGATTGATAAATTGGAAAACAAGGAATTGTATGCGGTAAGTTGTTTATTTTTTTATCACAATCTTTTGAATTTGTTTTTATAGGAATTAATCGACGAATTTGTTCAAACAATAATTCCATGCGTTGATAATCGATTGGAGCTTTCACCCGATGATACTTTCACTTTTCAAGATTTATTATTTCTTCTTCGCTCACTCAATACAGTTACTGGTTTCATAGAAAAAGCAAATATAGGCTTTCTAGATAAAGTTGAATATTGGGTTACACAAGCATTGAGAAGAATTGGAACTGTAACAGATAAAGAAATAAGAGATTCAACTGTTCGACGACAAGGAATGGAAATTTTGAGTGAAGTTGTTATCATGTGCGAGAGATTTCAATTTGATGTATTTGCACATACACAAGAAGCTCGAATGGAATTTTTGAAAAGATGGATTAAATGCCCACAAATCGAATGCCAATTATCTGCTTATGATGAATTGGGAAGACTTGCAAGTCAAGTTACGCGAACTCGTCCAAGAGTTCATGTTTCGGAAAGTTATTTGAAAAGATGGCTGAACGACAATAAAGTATTGCAAGTTCTTTTGACTGGAAATATGGATTCTCCTGTTTATGTTGAAAAGATAACACCTCTTCTACAATTTATGACTCCAGAAATGACTTTTGAAGATCTCAGTGAGTTTTTTTTCTTCTTTAAATTTTATTTACATTTATTGATACATTTTTTATTCAGAATTTGTTTGGTCATTGCGAAAAGGTAGAATGGGTGTCAGTTTTGAGAATTTCAACAAAATCATGAATTTATTCGTGAAATCTTTGAATAGTGATCAAATTGAATGGCTTATTGAACTTTTCAAAAAAAGTTTTCGGACAAGAGAATCTCGAATGTTTGAATCAATTTATAATTTCTGCCATTTTCTTGCAATACAACAGGATCGAAATGATGAAATCAAATTGAGAGTAAGTCGAAGTGAAATCTGAGAATAGCCTCCCGTTGTCACTTCAAATTCACACAAGTCATACGATATGGTAACTTTTTTCATAGTTAGAAATGTTGGTGAAAACATAAAATTGGGCTGACACGTAGAAACAAAGAAATGATATTGGCGTGATCATAATTATTTTGAGTCCTCATTTCTATTTATTATGGACTTAGTATACAGTGAAGGCATATTCTGAAAGTCACCCAAAAAGCAGATATTTCATTTTTATAATTTTCAGATGTGCAACACAATTTGGGAACTGATTGCAATAAGTCGTGGTCCTCCATTGAGTTGTCCAACAAAATCAATCGAACTTGGAATCAGAAAACATTGCGATTTATTGAATTCAATGAGTGAAAAACATGAAAGAGATACATTTGTAATGAATATTATTGAAAGAATGCAATATGATGATGGTTTTAACGAAATCAATGTGGTTTATTTGAATATTATGCTTGAGAAATTGAAACGAATTTATGTTCCAAAGAGAACCATTGGTATGATACTCAAAAATGAAAATATATTTCGAGAAATTCATTTATTTCAGATCGAACCGAAGAATTAACATTGAAAGCAAGCAGACTACGCGAAAACCTCAGAAATATGCGTCTTTTCGATAATTTATTCGATAGACTCGAAAATGTTCGAAGAATTGCTCATGAAGCATTTGATTCTTCTTTATTGAATCAATTGATTGCTCAAGGAAATGATTCAATGTCAAATGCTGTCTTTGAATGTTAGTTGTCTATTTTTAATTGGAAAATAATATTATGTTTTTTTTTTATTTTCAGCCACAAGTGATCCATTTGGAATCAATATTGACAATATATTAACAGTTCCAATTTATGGATGTTCTGATTATGGATTTATTATGCAAAATACGCTCAAATTGATGTGTTGGTTGAGTGATAATTACGTAAGTCCCTATTTCAAATCTCTTTCAAGGATCTTGCCATAATTATTGTATTTTTTAGGCCACTGAAATTTCGATTGATTTCATCGAAAGATTATTTGAAGTATTCATTAATCCGACAGATGCAACAGAAAATGAAAAAACTGAGATTTTCAATTGGCTGACTGAATTGAAAATCGAAGTAATGCCAGAAGAAGTTTCGAGAAGAGTTCTATCATTGTTGTGTGATTTGGATGTCAATAATGTTCATATAAGTGCGTTGCAATGTTTTTCAAAATATTTGGAGGATATGCCAATTACAACAAATGAAAATGATCATACACCAATCGAAGGGCATATTATGCAGGTTTGATTTTCAGTTAGCCCAGAGAAAAACATTGTTTCCAAAAAATATTTTTTTTCAGACAATGAATGATTGCAAATTCCTTCTATGGAAACTTATTTTGTTCAACGAAGCTGAAGATGTTGTCACAAAATGTATTGAAACATTTTGCGAAAGAGAAGTTATTTCGGTTGATTCTCCAAAATATTTAAAATTGAACACATTGCATTTTCTGTCGATTTTTGCATATTATATGGATCAATTGAAAGCGTTAGTTTTTCGATAATTTTTTTGCCATATTTTTGAGAAAATTATTTTTATAGTGAATTGTTCAAACGAGCTGGAAAACCAAATCCGCCATCTACTTATGATAAAAAAGAAATTGATATCAATGATGAAGAAGTTAAACAATATGAAATTCCATTAGATGAAAAATTGACAGAAACTGTTTCACGAGCAATTGATCGACTCATTCGATTTTTGACAAGATTTATCGAACATGGAAATGAGAAAAATAATGTAAATTTTTCAATTCTGAAATGTTTTTTTTTCAATATTCAATTTGCAGATGATTCGACAATTTCCAAGTCATTCTTCCTCAATTTCCGGTCATACTGTGACCATTTCAATTGAATTGAAATCAGATGAAGAAGGTGCTGCTGATTTATCGAGTTGGAAAAGAATGGTTTGTGATTCGAGTTCAACAATTGGAGAATTGAAAATCAGATTGGCAAAGCGCTTATATTTTCATGAGACAATTTGTGATTTTTCTGTGCATCGTAGAGAAGACGATTTGACAATGCAAGAAACACCATTGAAATATGATTATATGACATTGCAAGCTGCGAAATTGGCTTCTGAAACTGATTCGATTTTTCTATCAGAGAAGATTCGTATTTTGGTTAAGCAAAGGTAAGTTCTGATTTGCTTTCTGTAATCATTTATTGAAAATTTAGACGAACAACCAATCGAAAAACAGAAAAAGCAATTCATGAGTTATTTTTACCAGCGGCGATTGTTTCAAACTGCAATGTAAGTTTTCGTTTTCTATTCAAAGGTTTTCATATAATTTTGTTGTTTTTTTTTCAGTTTTATGATTTACTCCATGATTTATCATCGATTGGAGATAAACGCATTAGAAGTTCGTGTAGAAAGTTGTTGTTATTATTGCCAACTCAACCATCTTTGCTGAAAAAATTGACTTATGTGAGTTTTTTTTTAAACGGGTTTTCATAACAAAAATATTGAAAAAAAGAAAAAATCAAACTCAAAAATGAAAACAAACAATTTTTGAAAATAAAAACCAAAAAAAAATTTTTTCTCTTTTCATTTTTTCATCGTAAAAACCCAGTTTGTTTTCGAAATGTAAACTGGAGTTTTGTTAGCTTAAACCTAACTTTTATTATTTTTCAGGATATTCAAAATGAATGCGAATTATCAGAACAATGCGAAAAACTATATCATGAAATGATTGATTTGAATGATCCATGTCGAATGCTTTACTGTCTCGAAGCAATTAGTTCGATTATTTGTTCAACCAAATGTACTCCAACTTCTTGTGATGATGCAAATGAGCTGGCAACGGCTTTGCTCAAAACAAATGTTCTCAAAAAATCTGATGGATGATATTTTGAAGACACCTCATCGAATTCCACTCAATAAATGCTCGCAAAAAGATCGACATTCGATTTTCGAGAGAATTGTTCAGATTTTACGAGCAATTTATGTGGCAAGAAGTGGAATGACAAAAACAATTGCAAATGAGAAACTTGTTCGATTAGATATGCAAAAAACAGCTGAACAATTATCGAAATGTCGTCAAGTACCTCGATCAATTGATGAATGTGTTGATTTTATTTTAGTTCGACAAGACACACTTCCTGAAGATTTTGCATATGTTATCAAAAGGAATAACCCAAGTTTGCTATTCAATAATACAGTTTATTCATTTGTTCTTATGAGTCAATTCGATCTTCAATCATGGGACTCAAATAGAATTGTTGAAATTGTTGGAACATTAAGAGATTTTGTATGGATTCATGTTGCAACAGAATGTGCTACTTCCAAAAATGTTATCACAAAAGAAACGAAAGACAATGAAAAAGATGCGATATTTGCAAGTCAATTAATTCAATCAACAACAACTATCAAAAATGATCGATGGGAAGATGAGGCGAAATTAGTAATTGTCAAAAAAGTATTATCCACAATTCGACATATTGTTTGTGAATGGGTAAAGTTGAAAGGACAAGAGGAAACAAATATTGTGGTACTTTTGTGTAATATGTTTATGGCTTCTGATTGGACTAGCTTTTTTGGAGATGTTCTTGTTAATTCAACTCAAGAAGGATATCGAAAATATGTTCAAGAAATGTTGGTAAAAATGACGAAGGAAAACAATCAAATTATGTGTATGGTATTGAAAATGCTGTTCGATTTATATACAAAGTTACCACTCAAAAAAGAACATACTGCTGATTTGAGTAAGTTCATTTTTTAATCGAATTTATTTTTAAATAAATCTAAAAATGGTTTATTTCAGATGATCTTCAACGTCGCCAAAGATTGAATTGTGATGGATTGATTCAAACAATTTGTGAGATATTTCTCAATGAAAAGAATATTTATCGAAAAACTTTTCAACCAAGAGAAGATGTTGATTGGTCGAGAGTTGGATATTCTGCGATCACAATTGTTACCGAACAAATCAAGAGTTTGATGGATTACAATCCACGATTCAGCACTTTGAGTTTTGAACTTCAAAAGACTGAAATTTCGTATGCATCAGCAAAAATGAAATTGATAACCTGTTTGTTGCCATATTGCACACAAGAACAAATTGAAAATATATCCACTGATTTTTTGACAACTGTTATCAAGAAGTTTTTGTTCCCCGAACAACCGGATATCAAAGAGTTTTTGTTTGAAGAAGAAAGTCGAAGATGGGAAAATTATTGTCGAGAATCGGCGATTTGTGCTATTAATATGTTCTGCGAAAGAAGTTATAAAAATATGTATCATGTTTTTGCATTGATGGAACCGATTTTGACTGCACACAAAACCTATGATTTCACTTACAGAGTTGGTTTTTTTTTTGCTGAAATTTGAAAAATAAAAAAAAATGTTAATTTTCAGCAAATAACTCGATCAAAAGCATATGATCAAGTTGGTCTAAAAAATGACGGTGGAACTTGTTATATGAATGCAACAATACAACAATTAGTTCATGTTCCTGGATTGGCTCAAAAATTGATATCTTTCAAAAACATTGATCCCTCTTTGAAATGGGATGAAAATAGAGCTGCTCTTCTTGTTGAACTTCAAAAAGTGTTTGCTCAATTAACATTTTCAAGAGCTCAAGCTTGTGTTCCATCTGGATTATGGAGAGAATTTCGATTTGAACCCGATGTTCCTTTGAATACAAAACAACATCACGATGCTATTGATTTTTATAGTATTTTGTTAGATCGATGTGACAATGTTATCAAGGTAAGCTTTTATTTCATTTTAAAAATGGAGCTAGAAATCTCTCAAAATTATAACATATTCACAGCTAATTCTATAAATAAAATTTTCCAGAAACTCGAACTTCCTCCACTTTTTCCAAGACAAATTTTTCGGAAAATACAGTTACGAAAAAATCTGTTATGGTTGTTGGCATCGCTATAAAAGTCCAGATGAAGAATTCAATTGTATTTCATTGGCTTTGAACGGTGATAATTTGGAAGAAGCATTTGAAAACTTTTTGGAAGCTCATGTTATGGAAGGAGAAAATGCATATCATTGTGAAAAATGCGATGAAAAGAAAACAACTTTGAATCGAACATCATTTTTGGAACTTCCGACAACAATGACAATTCAATTGAAACGATTCACTTATGATATGGTTAATAATGTGATCAAAAAAGATAATCAATTCTTTAAGTTTCCATTTGAAATTGATATGTTACCGTATATGACGTCATCAAGACACGTGGCTGATGAACATGTACAAGACTTATTTGATGATATGTTATATGTGGAAAATGAGCTACCAACAACACCGCCTCGTAAGTTACTTATTTTATTCAGACAAACTGATATTTCACTGTTTTAAATTTGTAGATAAAAATGAAAAAGGTGAAAAACATCCAGCAATGGAACCGTCTTCGGCAAGTCTTCCTGCAAATGAGTCACCACAAAAGAAACTTTTCCGTCGTCATCGATCTTCAACTCTTCGATTATCACAATCATTTGCTTCGTCTTCAATTGATTTAGCTCCACCTCCACCACCGAAACCAATAATTTATGAACTTGTTGGTGTTCTAGCACATTCTGGAATAGCAACAGCTGGACATTATTATTCATTTGTAAAAGAAAGAAGAGAAGAAATGAGAGATTCGCCATCTTATGGAAAATGGTATCATATGAATGATGCGCTTGCTACACCAATGAATTTATCAACTATTTCCGAAACTTGGTTTGGTGGAAACTTTTCTTCAGATACAAGTGAGTTTTTTTTTTGAGAGAAGGAATCACAGTAAAATGAAAATGGGCTAACTTTAACATGTTATCTTGCAGTCCCAGTTATATAGAAAATTTAGAAATGTTTCATTCGGTAAAATCTCGCCCGACTCAGTACTTGACAGTTTTTAGTTTTTATTTATTTCTAAATTATTTTCAGATACAAATGATGAACGTATACGACATTGGAATGCTTATGTATTGTATTATGAGAAAAAAGTTGAAAATAAAGAAGTTGTTCCTATGGAAGTTGAGTATCAAAAAGTCACATTTGATATGTAAGAAATATTTGTTTTTTTTTAAATCTAAATGCTTTTCTTTTTTAGTACTGATGAATCACCAGTTATTCCAACTTCGCCGAAAAAAGAAATATCAGAGGCACGAAAATTGCGAATGAAAATGTTTGATGATTTGGATGAAAGATTGAAATATTTTTTGAATGAGGATAATTGTCGATTTTTGAGTGATCGAGATTTCTTCTCTTTTGATTTATATCATATTTATGTGAATTCATGTCTCCAATTATTGAAACGAGATGATGCGGTTGAATATAATGTGGATGAACTCAGTAAGAGTATGTTCCATAAGATTGCGTTCATGGTAAGATTTATCAAAAAATATTTTGGAAAACATAGATGTGTGTTTTTAGAATTGTTTCATTTATATTTCAAAAATGGCTTGGCAATTGTTCGAGGATATTAGACCAAAAGCATTCCCAAAAAACACAATTGAATTGCTCAAATTATTAATGGCTGGAAATAGTGATAACAAAATGATTTTTATGTCATCTTTGGAAGGAAATGATATGGATGTGAGTTATATTTGAAACACACTTTTAATATGTAATTTAAATTCGTTTTTTAGCTGATGAATAGATTGATTGATCAAAGCGAACAGGATATCAGACATGCATTTTGGAGTTGTTTGAAATATGCAATGAAATCGTGGTGTTATGCAATGGGAAATTCACCGAATAATTCGACTTCAGATGGATTGAAATTTGAACCAAGTCCTGATTCAACTGATCTTGAAGATGATGAAGAAGATGAAGACGAAGAAGATGAAGAAGAGGAAGATGAAGATTTGGATGATGAAGATACTGAATCAGAAAATGATATAAATCGAATTGGATCTGGTGATGCAATGATTACAACAAGAAGATTGGTTTCGACTCCAACACAACAACATGCAATGGAAATAGCCAAATTGAAAGCAGTTGTGAATTCTCAAAAAAATGTTTTGGAAAATCAAAAATCGCCTGTTGAAGGAGCAACTGCTGATATGGGAGATTTTATGCCATATAGAATGTTTGATAATTCGAATTTGACACAAAAGAATATTATAAGAAGAGCTTGTGTTGTATTACAGTAAGTTTTTTTGAGAAAAAATCGAGTGTGACAAATAAAAGGAGCTTTTGTTTCAGAATGAATCGATTAGAAAGTAGTAATCGTCATTTTGCTCGCCACGCTGTCGATTTTCTCTTGGCAATTGCTCGCGCAAATTCATTTGGAAATACTCTTCTTCTAACTTGTGGTGCTCTTCCATGTGTAACTGATTTTATGTTCGAAGATCATCAAAATATTTTTACACATCTTCGTTTCGCTGATACTCGTCTTCGACAAATCAGTTTATGGCCGAGTTTACCATCTTTATATTTCGAATTGTTACATGCACATTTGGATAGATTACAAGCATCATATTTGGATAATCATATGTCGCCATGTCATATTTTGTGAGTTTTTGGAAATTGAAAAGTTGAACGCGGAAATTTGATGTTTAAAATCTATATTTTTGTATTACAGAGATATGCTCCAATTATATTGTTCAGCTCGAGATGATATGAGCAATACTGATAAAAAATTGACATGCGAAAATGTTGGAAAATTCTGGAGTACTCGAATCGTCGATTGTTTCACAACACAAATCTCATCACTCGATGTTCCTGAATCACAAGATCGATGTAATGAATATGTTTCACAAGTTGTTTATACTGGATTGAAAGAAATGTGTGTTTCTGGATCATTTCAAGAAGAACAATGGTCAAATGTTGTTTTCTTCTATGTTCATGTATGTTTTTTTCAAATAATATTTATATCAGACTATAAAACAGGTTTCAATTTTGTAGATCGCTCATAATTTATATGATTTTGGAAATGTTCGTGTTGCTGTCAAAATCATCAAAGAACTTTTGCATGTTGATTCGATGGGAGAACAAAGTGTTCAAGGTGGAATTTTGCTTGAAATAATGAAATGGACGAGATTTGATCCAACAAGAGCCAAGAAAATGTATGATGCGCTTTATTGGCTCCGTTTAATTGACAAACCGCCATTTGTTCGAGCCCTTCGAATTCTCAATCGAAAATATCAAAACTATATTTATCCGGGATTGATCAATAATATTGATTCGGCTAATCCGGATGAACAAATGGATGAGGATGAAGAAATTGAAGAAGGAGAAGAGCAAGAAGAAAATGAGATTTTAGAAAATATTAGATTATCAAATCAAGATGATAGTATTGATTTGATGATTGGACCACAGCCACTTAAAAGATCTTGGAATAGTACTGATTTGACGTAAGTTGAAAATGACAGGGGATTTTTCATTTTCAAAGAAATGTTTTGAATTAAATTCTCCTTTTGTTTTCAGAACCTATTTTTCACAAAAACATAAATTACGAAATCCTTTCAAATACTTGTTTCAAATGTTTCCATGGAAATTAAATTTGTTTTTTTTCAGAAATTCGGCTGGAGATGTTCCAATAGCAACCGCTCGTGTCACAGGAACCCGCGAAATAAATCTAGCGGATCACCTTGAAGTGTCTGAAAATATAGACAAAAAATCCGGTTAGAAATAATTTTATTCCCCGTGCGTTTTTATAATTTAATCCCGATCTCCTATTTATCTATTTATCACTTTATTTTTATTTTTCATCATTTTAATTTAATTTTTAATTATTATGTGTAAATATTATATCAAATAGTACATATCATTGGGCGCCTCGTCACCCAATACATAATTTATCAATCAATTGTTGGAATTGTTTTCCACGTTGTCTTCTTTTTCATATGCTCTTTCTTTCCTTTTTTGTGTTTTTTTATTGCGATCGTTAGAACATTTTGTAGTATACCTGGATAGGAAAGAAGTTAGGTATTATGTTTTAGCCGAATTCTTTGCCAGCTTTATCTTTCGTCTTCCTTCATTTTTTTCGTATTTTTTTTCACATTTTTTGTTTGTAAATATACTTTTCAAAAACGTTCATTTTTGCTATTTTTCAAAAGGTTTTCAAAAACCGTTTTCACATATTTTCCTATAATCTCATTTCGAAAAATCTCAGAAAATTGGTTGAATTTACAGACAGATATGATAGATATAGGACGAATTTGTGGAGCAGCAGTTCGAGCTGTTTATTGGCTGGTAATGTTGGTGTGCAATTTTCTAGGCTATTCGCCACTTTGGGCACAAATTGCAATGAAAAAGAAGAAATTAGAATATGACCGAGTCAGGATACCTAATCATTTGGCTGTTTTATTCACTGAAAAACGATTGATCAAAACGGTGAGATTTCAAGATTTTTAGCAAATCAATCATGGAGATAATTTTTTTCAATAAAGTTAATTTTTGTATGGCGAAATCCTACTCAAAATTCAAATTTTCTCTTTAAATTTTCCATTTTTTCAGAAAGAAATTATTGAATTTCTAACATCTTGTTGTTCTCTCGGAATTCGAAATTTAAGTTTATATGATCCATTTGATGATTTGATTAATCGGAAGTCTGAAATGGAAATTGTTTGTAGAAACTTGGTTCGTTTTTATACCTCTTCTCCGAAATCCGAAAATATTTTATTTGCAGCATTTGGATTTGATAATAGATGGAAATATAATTAGCGAAAGTTATTGCTCGAAAATGTCAGTGCATTTATTATCGAAAAATATGGGAAAACCGACACTAGTTGAAGTTTGTAAAATTGTGAGTTATTTTTTTTTTAATTAAAAAAACAAGGAAAAAATTTTCAGCTTGCCGAAGATAAAAGTCCAGTAACTGTGGAAAAAATTGGTCATATTTTAGAGACAAAATATCGATTAACAGATCCGGAATTTCTACTGCAGGTGATTTAGAATTTTTGAAATTTTGTGAAAAATCATTATTTTTTCAGATTGGAAATGTTCCTTCATTATGTGGATATCCACCATGGTCATTACGAATTACTGAATTTCTACAGTATCCAAGACTGCCTTATTCGAAATGTGCACTCGATTATTGCATTGAACAATTCAGCCAAAGAGATATTAGAATTGGAAAATAGAACAAGTGTTTTCCTATTAGATAATTATTATTCGTTGTTCAGTTCACTTACAAACATAATAATATAATAAGTTGTTTTTTTTTCATGTTAGTCCAAAATTTATGAGTTTCTTCAAAGAAACGGTTTTTGTCAGGAAACAAATGGGATCCATATTTTTATGCTTTAATTTTATGTGGTTTTTCTTTTCTATTGAAATCTGTGATTTTACTTATAAAGATTATGAATCGGTTATAATTTTATTGTTGTTTTGATATTTTGTTTGTGTTCCAAAAGCTTTGACTTTATCTACGTTTTCTTGAATTGTTTTTGGTAAACATTTTGGTGTAGAAAATTCTAATAACTATATATTATAAATATTTAAAATTTGAACAACTATTTATTCAAAAAACATATTTTTCAGTATCGAAGTTGGTTATTCAAAAATTTAATTCATAAAAGTACTTATTGAAATATTACCACGTGGAAAAAAACACTTCGAGTTTATTTTTTTAAACAAATTTCTCATGTTTTAGTAGTACAATTACGGAATTTGACATTTTAGTCTTGAACTTCCGAGTTTTTATCACAATTCAAACTCGCAAGACCTTTAAAAGCTTTGTCGATATTTTTTTGTCGCTAAACAAATAATCATAGTATTCCACCTCCTTTTCTTCTCCTTTTCTTAGTCTTTCCATTTTCGATTTATTTGTTTTCGTTTTTGTTTCATTTCATTTATTTTTCTAATAACTAAATATCGGTGTTTCTTAATAATTCTTCCTTTTTTCGTTTTTTGATCACATGTGAAAAATATCATTTCTTTCTAGTTTATGATGACAAAAACTGCAAAAATGATGACAAATATTTGAGCTTTTCTGTTCTCGAACTGACATCATTTTCATATTGAAAAAAACGTATATAATTGTCGGAAATTTGAGATTTTCGCAAACTTCTTTCTCATTTTCCAATTTTATCCATGTTTGTTATTTTGAAACTTTGAAAGCTTTTTGAAACCATGGAAACCATCTGATTTTCAGTTTTCTTCTTCTTTTTTCCATATCGAATTTTTCCAAAATTTTGGAAACTTTGCACTCAAAAATGTTGTGTTCAGTTCAGCTGTCAAAATTTTCTTTCAATTTATTTTTCAAGGACGCTGCATATTTTTTTCAACAATTGATAACGATTTTATTGTTTTTTTCTCATATATTTTTTGTTGGTTAATTTGATTTTAAAATTGTTTCCGATCTTTTTCTCATTCATTTTTCATTTCATTTTGTTTTTTTTGCAGTGAGTTATGGGGTTGCTAACCAAAGGAAGCCCTTTGACATGGAAAGAAACTGTGCCTTATGTTGATTATATCAAAAAACATGGAATAGCTCAATTTATCAATTTATATCATCGTCTTCGAAATCGTCAAGGTGATCAACTTCGTTGGGGCGATGAAATTGAATATACTCTAGTCAAATTTGATCATGAAAATAAAAAAGTGACTGTGGCTTGTCGAGCTGAAGAAATGTTGAATAAATTGCAAGCTGAAGAACAAGTTAATGCAATTCTTGGAACAACTAATTGTTGTCTCTGGAGACCTGAATTTGGATCTTATATGATCGAAGGAACACCAGGAACGCCTTATGGAGGTTGGTTCGAAAATATTCATTTTAAAAATTTGGGTGATTAAAAAAATTAAATCTTCAGTTGATTCTTTCTGTGTTAAAAATTCGGTGAATTATATTCAGTTTTATATTGGAATTTTTATATGTCTAAAAAACTTAGAATCCTAATTTTGGAAAATTAGTATTGAGGACCGTAATTTAAGAATGTCACTTTATTTTTTAATTTTTAAAAATCCCTGTTGATAATCTCAAAAGCAATATTCCAGGTCTCCTCGCTTGTTTCAATATCGTCGAAGCAAACATGAAAAATCGTCGTCAAGTAATCAAGAAACTTTTGAAACGTAATGAAGCTGTGATGTCAATTTCATTTCCAGCTCTTGGAACTCTTGGTTTTATTTCACCTTCAATCAAAGCAGATCCAAATGATGAAGATGCAGCAAATAGTTTATTTTTCCCATTAGATGCTGTTTTCACCGGACATCCAAGATTCAAAAATTTGAGCAAAAACATCAAATCGAGACGTGGTTCAAAAGTTGCTATAAATGTGCCAATTTACAAAGACAAGAATACCAAATCTCCATATGTGGTAAGATATTTTCAAAGGATTTCTGAAAGAAAAAAAAACTGTTTTTCTAGGAAGATTTTTCTGGCTACGGTGCTCGGCCAGAAGATGTTGTTGATGCTAAACCCGATCATATTTATATGGATCATATGGGTTTTGGAATGGGATGTTGTTGTTTGCAAGTAACATTCCAAGCAGTAAATGTTGATGAAGCCAGATGGTTATATGATCAATTAACACCAATTACACCGATACTTTTAGCACTTTCAGCAGCCACTCCTATTTTTAGAGGAAAATTGTCGAATGTTGATTCGAGATGGGATATTATTAGTGCTGTAAGTTTTTCAAATTCTGAATTTCATATTTTTGAAACATAAAAAAACATTTCTGTAGAGTACTGATGATCGAACACCAGAAGAAAGAGGATTAGAACCATTGAAAGATTCAAAATGGTTGATTGATAAAAGTAGATACGATTCAACAGATTGTTATATTTATCCATGTTCAACAACTTATAATGATATTCCATTACAATATGATGAACAATTATATCAACAATTAATTGAAGGACAAATTGATGAACATTTGGCAAAACATATTGCACATATGTTTATCCGAGATCCACTTCAAGTATTTCGTGAGAGAATCGAACAAGATGATGAAAAAAGTACGGAACACTTTGAGACAATTCAATCTTCGAATTGGATGAATATGCGATTCAAACCACCTCCACCAGATGCACCTGAAATTGGATGGAGAGTTGAATTCCGGCCAACTGAAGTTCAATTGACTGATTTTGAAAATGCGGCTTATTGTTGTTTTGTTGTTCTTCTTACAAGAATGATTATTTCATTCCGTCTCTCATATTTGATGCCAATTTCAATGGTAACTGAAAATATGAAACGAGCTCAACAAAAAGACGCTGTTCTCAATCAAAAATTCTTATTCCGCAAAGGATTGGCTGCTTGCCAAAGTGCACCAGAGAATTTGAAAGCATCTGGGGATTGTCATTCGGATGGAATGTCAACATCAGATATTGAAGAAATGACAATTAATGAGATTATCAATGGAAAAGGCGATGAATTCCCGGGTCTTATTTCATTAATTCGACAATTTTTGGATTCAGCTGATGTTGATGTGGATACTCGATGCACAATTGCGCAATATTTGAATTTCATTTCAAAAAGAGCCACTGGTGAAATCAACACTTTGGCTCATTGGATGAGAGATTTTGTTGGAAATCATCCCGATTATAAACATGACAGTGAAGTTAATGATACTATCATTTATGATTTAATGGTCAAGGTAAACCTTTTTTAATTTTTATTCAAAAAATAAACGAGTTATGTATGTTGTTTTTAGATGAATGCAATTTCAAACGGCGAAGAACATTGTACCAAACTTCTTGGATGTTATCGATCAAAAACTGAACATTCAATCTCATCAGCTGTTCGTAAAGCCGAAGAACATATGATTTTCCAAAGTCAAAAAAGGGGTCACTAACTTTTCGATGTTTCATTTGAGATTTAATCCGAAATATAATTATATTTATTATTATTATAGTTTTAGTGAATGAATTATTTTTTCTATAACGGAAAAAATTTCAAACGATTTGAGAAAAAAATTGAAAAAACGTAGACTTTCTAAAAATTAGAAATGAAGTCAAAAAATCCACGGAAAAATTCACGTTTTTTTTCGAAAAATTATCAGAATTTCTTAGATACAGTAACCTTATACTTGTCTAAAATTAGACTTGGGAAAAAGCTGAAAAACATCGGGAGTTTCGAGTTCGATTCAATTTTTATGATTTCTGGATTTCAAACGAATCGGACCATTGATTCCAAATGGTTTAAAAATTTGACTACTAAACGTTTTTTCTGCAAAGTTTTGTTGGTCCAAAAATATCCCGGTCCGTTTTAGATATTCTTAAAATCGGTTCTTATGATTCAAACACCTTTTGCAAATATGTACTTATCAATGATTTTTTATTCTCACAGTTTTTTTCCAGTTTTATCTATTTGGATTACTGTACTGTCAATGTTTCAAATAATCAATCATATTTGTTTCAGCTGATATTAGGTGTGAAAGTAATTGACAGAAAACGCAGAAAAAAAATGACCGGAAGTAGTTCCGGTTTCTGGAAACAAATCAAATGATTAAGAATGATAAGATGCGGATTATTACAGTCTCAATTAGTTTTTTTTCGAATCTATGTAATTGTTGACCAAAAAGGTCACAGTGCTTTTTCAAGATCAATCTTTGCAGCCAAACATAAATCAATCAATCAACCAATTTGTTCTTTTTTCTTGATTCAAAAATATAGGAAAGATGATAATTTTTTTCGGTTTGGTTTGATTCGAATCTGCGATAATCTTGAGACGTATTTGTTGATGATAATAAACAAACAAAGTATCATTTGTTTTCTGCTGCAAATCCGCACGCTGCTGCTACTCAGATACTATCGTTTATCGTGTTTATAACCTTCAAATTGCGGTCAAGTGAGAAAAGTCATAAAAATTGGCGCCACAAAGGTGTTTTTGATTGTCTGTACAAAGACTATCCGATATGAATAGCGCGAAACATCTTTTTGTTATCAATCACATCCCCCCAACTTTTGTTGGTTTTTCTTATAAGATATATTTCATCGGAAATACTTATCAAATTTTGATTTTTTCTAGATAGATGTTGTATTCAAGTTAGGAGTAGTTTCCAAAAAAAGTACTGTAGTTTCCAAAAATATTTCGAAAAAATACTTTTCAAATAGGTTTGGAAAAAAAGTTAATATTAAGAAATCAAGTAACTCACGAAAAATGTCAAATTGGGTTGAATTGAAAGATCCAACTTTTTCGGAAAATAGAAATCTGATTTTTCATTTCATTATATCAGTTCTTTAGATACGATCAAAGCTTTTGAGGATCATCTTCCTTTTTTTGAAAAACTTCTCAATCAATTATTTCTAAATATTGACTCGATTCAGAAAATCTTTCTCAAATCCCCTATATTTTCCATCTTGTCTAACAAATAAAACCAATTATTTAGCTTAACAGAATCAAAGTTTATTTGATGTCATTTGTATTTTGTATTTGACTAGACATTTAATCTGAATTTTACACTTATTTTATCATATGCCAAGACTGTTCCTTATTACATCATCCAATATAAATTTAATCATATTCAATTATCAACCCAAAAATCTTTCCGCTTGAATAAATTAACTTCTTCTGGATTTTGGTGTTGTTCTTTTCAATGACTCATAGTCAAAAGTATTCAAATTGAGATAAATCCCCAATTTCCACAGAATTGCAATATTTTCATTCAAATAAGTAAATGTTTTTTTCCGAGAAAAAAGCAATTAATTTCAATGTTCAGAGTGTGATTGTTAATTCGAATAAAAAAGGGCAGGTTACTCTTACTCTCACCCAATTTAGATATATTGCAAAAATCAAACAGAAAAAATGGGTGCATTTTGGACGGAACAAGAACAAGGCCGTTGAAATTAGAAAAGTGCTAAGTTTTTTTTTCAATAGTTAATTGTGTTGTGATCAAGAAAAATTCCAAATTTGAACTTTCAGAGATTCCGAAGATTCAACAATTTTTATATATTCAAAATATTTATAATTATGACAGATCACAAGTCTGAGAAATCAACCAGAGTTAAATTTTTTGAAAATTAATTTTTCAATTGAAGACAACTGTATTATTTTTCACAAACACTAATTTTGGAGCTCTTAGTTTTCTCAATCTGCTCTTGGCCGCTCCTCACAAATTGTGGGCTCATCTGACTTGTCAAATAAACAAACTTTCTTTAAATTCACATGATCAAAAAGTTCCAAACTTTTTTTTGGTCTTTAGCAAGACGAGACAAGACAAGATACTAATATCAATTCAAAAAAAAGTTGTCAACTCCGCCCACTTGTTTATTTTTTATTAGTCTCAATCAGATTGGAAACTTTGAACAAGTCACTCCACCAAACAATCACTTAATTAAAAGCGTGACTGCTTCTTTTTCTGTTGTGGCTGCTTGTTTGGAGGAATGAATATTAAACTTGTTCGACTTCTTTCCTCTTTTTCATTTTTATTTGTTTATTAATTTTGTCATTTCGAACAATTAGAATACTTTTCAAATGAATGCAAACCAAAAATGACCTTCGATAAAATACATCGTTGATTTTTCCTATATTTCTTTAATGATACCATAATCAAAAAAAATACATCTTCTTCTTCCGGTTCTGCTTTTAGATAAATGATTAATGTAGATGTACATCTGATCAAATTATCGATTTTTTGTTTGGTAGTCATCATCATCTAATCCAATTTTTATAAGATAGAAAAAGAAGGAGAATCAATGAAACCATGATTAGATTGTGTGTTCATTTTTGCGACCAGCAAAAAAAATGAAAGAAGAAGAAGAAGAAGAATTGATATGGGTTTTGATACAGTTTTTGGTTTTACGTGTTCATTTTTATTTTTATTTTCTAGATCTCATTTCGTTAATTGTTGCATTTTATTTGTATATTCTTTTTCTATCACTTTCTATAAGAAATTATATATCCTCATAAACGAATTATACATTTTTATTAGCACTATGATAATTGGACAAGCCTTTCATTTTCAATCAAATCTATTCATATAGCAGATTTTTTCTAACTAAATGAATATTCTGAATAAAAAAGATCACGTGCAAGTTTCTCAAAACGTTGCACTTTACAAATTACAACCAATCAGATCCTTGTTCTGTCTGACCTTTCATTCAATCTCCAACCAATTTTTTATCACCTTGTCCATTTTGATTATGAAAAACCAAAGAAGAAGAAAAAAAGAAAGACAATAGAAGTCTTTTTTTCAGTTGAAGAACGAACAAGTCAATTACACCTCACTTCATTGCGCACCTCATTTAGTTTAATATACATATCATCTATTTTTCACTCCTTTCTTGTTTTTTTTCTGAATTTTCCAATATCTTGATTCGCTGATATTGATTGATTTTCTTTTTTTCCCGAATTTAAATCTTTTTTATTTTCAGATGTACTTTTTGATTCGTCTAGTTTTTCTATTATTTTTATATTTTCAATTTGTTCAACTTGCGCCAGCTCTTTGTCGAAGTTGTAATAAGAATTGTTTTGTGCCAAATGACCGGAACTCGACAGAAAATGGGTGAGATCATTTATTATCATTCGCAACTTTTTTATTTTTCTCGATCGGTTCTTCGAAACAAAAATAATCCGGTTCGCAAACTTCTCCGGAAATATCAAATAAAGTTTTCATTAGTTTTTACATTAACCCGATTTTCTTACAGAACAATGATTGATGTCGATTTATTAGCTGAACTTGAACTTGATGAAAATGAGATAACCGATTCTACAAAAAGAGTGAAACGAGATGTTGAATTTCGAGCATGTTCTAGATTTCAAATTGAAATGTTATTAATTCCTCTTGCTATTGCAATGATTCCGTTGGTTTTATGTGCTCTATTTTTGTGCACATGTTGTTGTGGACCAAAAGAATCAAGAGGTCGGTTTCTGAGTTTTTATAGTTTTGTTGAACACTGCAAACATATTTCTTACAATTTTTTGGAATTTCAAACCTCAATGTTTTTTTATATAATTATTGAAACAAATTGAAAATATTTATGATAGTTTATTGGAGAATTTCAAAAAATTCTAATGATTATACCAAAATTTATATCACAAAAGTACTCGAAAAATTCGAAGAAGTATTCTATGGAATAAAAGTTTTGAGGAACTTCTATCAAAATTTGTAGGACTTTTTTGAAAGACTTTTGTGAAGTCCTTCAGTTTATATCACAACTGACATTAATATTTTGATTTTCTTTAATTTCACAATAAAACTTTGAATTTGTTTCAATCCTTTTTTTCATGACGCAATTTCATTTCAAGATGAGGTCATTATTTCTCAACTTTTTTTCTATTTCAAATCATCATGTATGTATATATTTTTGTGTAATACATGTATTTGTTTTATTTTTATTGTCCTCTTCTCCAATTTTCGAACCTCAATAAAACCAGTATCAACAAAGTTTTCCTTTTTCAAATAAAACAAACAATTTGAACTAATATTAATTAATTAATTATGAAATTACAGGAAAACTTCCCGAAGACTTTCTTTCATCGTTGCCAATGTCGAAAAAACGCGAAAAAAGTGAGGAAATTGAATTGAAATATGGTGAAGGATTTGTGCAAAGAGTAGGTTCGAGAGGAACTAAATTCTCAACTACGGTTTCTTATATTGAAGCACGGAGAGAAAGTATTTGGTCAGCAACGAGTGTGGCAAGTGATACTGTAAGTAATACTGTAAGTTTGCTGAAAACATGAAACAATTTTGAAATGAACCAACACCTTGAAATCTGAAGTTCAAGATTTTGAAATTGTATCAATAAAAAATAATCTGGGTCTGAGATCTAACTAATATTCGGCGAAGCTTGAATTGGCTTTCGGTGACCATATTCTGATTTGGAATCTCAGCCACCAAAAAAAGAAGAACTTTTTTTTTCGGTTTTTTCTTTTCGAGCTTTTCTCAAAAATTAACTAATATCCTGATTCATTTTGTTCTCAGATTTTGATTAAAAACGTGGTAAATCTGACTCGATCCTCAAGTTCTGCCAAAAATGTTAAATAAAAAACTAAACTTCTAATTTTCAGGCTGCTGAAACTGTGAAACAAGAAGCTGAAAAAGCGGCAGCTGCAGCAATGTCAGCCAAAACAACACCAGCAAAATTGTCAAAATCAAAATCAGTGGATTCGATAAAACGAACAAGATTTTCAGATACAGTATCTGTTATTTCATTAGACAGATAGTTTTTTCATTAAATTCTTGCCAAATATTTTCCCCATTATTTTTCTAGTCATAGTCAATTTCCGGGTATTTTATAGGCCAAATTTTATTCGTTTTATTTTTTTTCATTTTCCCGACAGTTTTGGAACTTCCAACCAGAAACCCTCATTGCTTTAATTTATTTTCACGGATGTAAATATTTTATTTTTCCTTCTTATTTTTTTTTCATAAATGTTCTACCGATTATTAATATTTCCTTTGAAAACAAGGATTTTCAGAAAAAAATGATGTTAACATCAGTTTTTACAAGAAAAATAATGTGATAATCTGGAATATTCTGATCAATAATAGGATTGATGTAGATCAAATCAGCCACAATTTCAAACATCAAAAAATTGGAAAATTTCAGGCATGTTCATTCTGCCTGCTGGCCGGACGGCACGGCTGCCGTGTGGGCGTGGCTTCGCTGTTTTGCTGGCCGAGCAGCAAAGAAGAAAATAGCAGAAAACAGCAGCCGCGGCTTGCCGGCCGGCTGCCGTTTTTCAAAATGGGAAGGAGAAGGTCGTCGCTCCGCCCCCTGCACACAACACACACAACAGCGCGCAACCCGAAAACCGTCGCACACACAATTTATTTAAATAGTCTCGCGCGCGCGTGTCTCTAGCTCTCTTTCTCGGGGTGTTTTTGGAGGATTTGTTTGATGATTTCGACATTTTTCTTCACGAAGTAGACAGCAATGCCGGCATTTCGGCACGGCAGCCACGGCATGCTGTTTTGTTTTATTTTTTCAAAACAGCAGCGGCTGCTGTTGCCGTTTTTGAAACGGCAAACGGCCGGCATTGCCGGCAAAATGAACATGCCTGGAAAATTTAAATCGCTCATTTTTCGGTGCGAAAATAGAGAAATGATTTTTTGAATGTTTATTTTCAACATTAAAAATGAAAAACCAAAGTTGTAGGTCACGTTCCTCAAAAAAAATGCAAAAATAAATCAGATTATGGAAATATTGTGTGAGGTCAGAGTTTTTTCGGGAATAAAATGAACATAAATTTTTCAGTTTTCGAAAATTCATTTTATTTTTTTCTAGTCTTCTCTTTCATAATCAAAAATTGTAGCATCAATTATGTATTTATTTCTCTCTATTTTCCTATCATTTTTTTCATTTCCGGAAAAAAACACAGGAAAAAAAAAAGAAATGAAATAAAATCAAAAGACCAAAATGTTGTTTCGCTGAAAAAAATATCGTCATAAAAATTCATTATCAATTTGAGTTTGATATCAAATATTATTAGATGGGTGTGTTTAACATACTGTGTTAGGAGCACTCTTTTTTCTCATTAATTTTTTTAGTCTGCTCCAGCCGGACGGAAACTTCGAGAAAAATAATGAGGTTTCTTTCATTGAAAAAGTTTAAGTAAATATAAAAGAATATATTTTCCAGGTTCAGAAACTCGTTTTTCTTCTTTTCATTCTCACAATCAGAAAATAATTAGCCCAGATATATTACGAAAATCTCTCACTTTTTCCCAAAATACTTTTTAAAGATCACACCCTTGTTATACCTCAAAAATCGACAACAAACTTTTTTTCCACCTATTTAGTCATTTAACCTTTTCTCTCAACTATCTCTAGTTTCCACACTCTCTCATCTAAACTGACTCATTTTTTTGCGGCGACTCCGCCTTCTTCTCCACTTTCCTCCGAGACAACAAAAAAAGATGGGGAGACCAGATTTTTCATTCCTTTTATTTTTTTTTCTGGATTTTTTTCTTTCTTGCTATTAGCTTGCTCAATTTTTGGCCCTTTTATTCGTTTCCCACAAAAAAGTTGCTAAGCGAAAAAGAGCTCATAAAATATAAATGACAAGAACTCCATTCCAGAACTTTTTTTTTGATTCCAAAACTTTTGCGGGATGAAAGAAAGCCCAAAAATTCTCCAGTGTGCTTAATTGAATTTTGTGGGCGACGAGATTTTTTCTCATGAATTATGTATTCAGTATATATATATGTATATATATTCCATGTGCAGATTTTCGTAGCTTTTTCTTTATTTTTGCTCGATTTCAAAAAAAGAAAACACTTTTACGTAAAGCTACTTTGTAAAGTTGTGAGCTTTTATTTTTTTCCTCCGTTCTCTTTTCTAAAAATAAAATATCAAGCAGCTGTTTTTTTTTCTCAAAGTGAGTTCAAAAGTTAGTTGTCTTCTGATACACGCATTCCCCATTACTCAGTGCGCCAATAGGCGATAATCACTGACGCATTTGTGTGTGTTTTCACTCTGTTGTCTGCGCCTCCCTCACACACACACTATCTCGCTTTCACGTTTTTTTTAGAGTTCGCATAACAAAAACATGATAAAACATTATCTTTCCGGGGATTTAAAGAAAAATGATATATGAAAAGAAAGAGCAGATGACGAGGAATACAATGATATAAAAATTTCTGGTCTAAAAGTTAGCGTAGCGATAAAAAATGGCCACTGAAGAAAAAAGTCTCCGAAACCTGTACTTTACAGGTGCTATTCTTCTTCAAAACCCAAAATAATCGAGAAATGCAACCTAACTTTTGTTCAGCGTGTTTTTCTGTATCGGAAAACATAACGATCACCAATTTTGGTTTCGATTCTGAAACGGGCGGTAGATTTTCGTGAAATCGTCTGTGTTTTTTGGAAGTTTTGGTCTATTTTGGAGCTGAGTTCGAGCATTCTCTCATGTTTTTCTCTTAAAAGTTATTAAATAAACCTAATTTCATGTTAATTTGTGAAATTCCAACTCGAATTCATTCATTAAACGTCTTTTTCGCTTGAAATTGCAAAATCGTCTGAAAATTTTTCGAAATTAACAAGTGAAAGTATATTTTGTCATTTTCTGGTGAATAATGCAATATTTACTTATTTAGTCAACATTTCATATCAGGTATATCAAAATTTTGGCTTTTACTCGAGAAAAATATGAAATAATCGAAGAAAATAGCCAAAAACAGCCGTTTCCCATAGGCAATTTCACGCCAATCTAGAGAAGTACCCAAGACGGTGACTTGAGCACGATTTATTCACATCATGAGATGCGCAAAGACTTTCTGAACAAAAGTTAGGTTCGAATATTTCATAAAATTTGGTGTACATCGAGAAAATATATGGTTTAACTTGAGCATTCACAGAGAAAACGACTGAATCACTTCATTTACCCCAATTTTCATTGATAATTTCAATTTTTGATATAAAAGTACTTATACCATTAGATTCCTCGTGTTTTTCTCTACATTTTCATATATACATTTATATATAACTCTTCCGGAGAGAGCTATTCTTTGCGATTGTTTCAAGGCGTGTGTTTCATCAAAAAATGTGTGTGTGTTTGATGAAACACACACAAAAAAAGAAAAGAAAAAACAAGCAAAAACACAAACAGTTTGCTGGCGCACTGAGTAACAGGGAATGCGTGTGATACGAAATAAAACCATGTGTTGAGAACAAAAAATTTTAAGAGGCGGAGCTGTTTTTGGTTTTTTGGATTATGGGATTTAAGGAGAGGAAATATAAAAGTCGTCAAATTTTTATGTAAGAGCTTCTTTCGTTTTCTTTCGTAATTCTCATAATATTTCGCAATTCTTGTTAAACAACATTGTTTTTCTTGTTTTATAATACACTGTACCTTATTTTTTTATTGTTCTTTTTTTGTGTAAACAGCGAAACATTTTATTATTTTCAGAAAACATGACAGCAACTACAAGTTCAAATTCATCTCGATTTACTTCAGAAAAACGTCCTCCAGTTATGGCAACTCGAAGAGATGAGAGATTTAAGAATTTTCATTCTTTCGATGAAATTACTGAATCTGAAGAAGAAGATGTTCAGGTTGGTTTGGTTTTTTCTAAACTGCAAAAAATTGTTTTCAAAAAATTCATATTTTTCTATGAATTTAATCGTCTTCAGTTCCGCTTATTTTCTTTTTATCTTGATTTTAAATACTCATAGAAAGATATAACTTGAGATAATTTCTGCCAAGATTTTTTGCTTCTTTATTGTCTATTTTGTTATTTACATTCTCCATCCATCCATTTTTTTTCATCTAGAATAAATATACTTAATTTTTGATGCTCAAAAAGAATGAAAAAAGATAAAAATCTGGTTCCTTTTTGCGTTTGAATGAAAATGAATGTGTAGCCAGCAAAAAGCTTTTTTATGTGAGGTTTTTGGCTATTTTTTGGGTGTGAAAAAGTTCAATAGTTTATTTCAGGAGCCAACAAGCAGTAACAGTTCGACAACTTCCGAAAGATCACCGTATGCAGTTTATGAGCCAATTGATAAGTCTCTTAAGACAAGAAGCTTTTCATTGACTAATAATCCATTCTTATCACCAAAAGCTATGAGGTAAATATGGGTTTAAAGTATAAAAATTCATAAATTCAAAAACTCAAAAACCAAACAATTTTTCAACTCACACAAAAATAATCCAAAATGTAAACTTCCATCTTTTGAAATGAATTTTGATCTATTTTGAAAGTGAAAAAGAAAAAGAAAATGAAAACAAATAAAAAAAGTAGCAAAAGAAAAAACAAAAAGATTTACTGTTTCAAATTCTAAAAATAATTTGTTTTTTGTTCAGACACATTTCAACTCATCGACTTTCTCGCGGGATTTCTGATCCAGTTTCTCGACGAAAATCATCGCTACCAACAATTTTGTCGTCTTTCGAACCATCGATTGATTTTCTGAGTCTTCCACCGATTCCAGAAGCAACAACACCAGCATCACCTTCCGCAAATAATTCTAACCCATTTGTAGCCGGGTCTCACAAATAAATTGTTTGTTTTCTTATCAAAATATGACGAATTTTTTTATTAGTTCAAGAAAAATCAGGGTATTTAAAGCATGTTATTTTCCAACTCCAATTCCACTTCCAACTCCAACATTTCCAGCTCCTGGTGCTTTCACACCAACACCGCCATTGATTCCAACAATACCACCTCCTTTGGCATTTGGATCATCTTGTCCTCGTCGGAAACCTTCAGGAGATTTTGCTCCCATAATTCCCAAATCCAATCCAACTCCGACACCAACACTTTCACCCATTCCGGGAATTGGTCCAACATCAACACCCCATCCAACACCAACTTCGAAACCTGGAAGGGCGCCAACACCAAAACCAAAGTGACCATTGATATCAACGTGACCAACCTGGAATTTATGGGAATAATTTTGGAATTCAAAGAAACCGGTACAGCAAACAACTCACCCCTTTATCAGTTAATGGTGGTCCCATTCGTGGACCTGGCAATCTGTGGAAGTTTGGAACTTGACAAAATGCTGAGTAATCTTTACAAAATTCAACAAGATCTAAACGAAGTGGTTTGCTTGGTTGACAAGTATATGCGAACATTGGTTTCATATCTCCACAATATCTTTGATCTTTTGGCCGAAGTCCCGGGTAAACTCTGAAAACAACATTGACGTTTTTGCGATGTTAACGTTTTCATTATTTTTATTTCCATAAATATTAATTTTTTATTCAAATGTTTCGAGGGATTATTTTTCTCAGCCGAAGGATTAAAAAGTATCATATGAGCGGATGAAATACTTACGTCAAGTGTTCTTTTTTTTGTTGTTTATATTTTTCTCACCTATAAAGAGCGCTGTTTCTGGCAACATTTTGTTGTTGATAATATGCATATGGATTTTTATATTTTCTTGATCGATGTCTATGATGTGATTTGAGATGACGAGTTGGTGTTGAAATTGTATCTTGATCATTTATTGGGGAACGTGTTGATAATTCTTCGAAAGGATCTGATTCTTTTAGTGATGTTTCAGTATTTCCATCTTCTTCTATAAATCCATCTTTTGAATGCTGCAAATTTTAATTAAAAATCAATATTACTGTGGAAAAAATAAGTACTTGTGATAAGTGTTCTAATCTATCAGCTGTCAATCCTTTTCCATCTAGAATTTTCGAAGATCTTGCTCGAGCCGCTGGAAAAAATCTATATGTTGTGCAAAGTTTTGGGTTTTCTTGTACACACGTGCAAGAAAATCCAAATAAAATTTCAAAAAATTTAGCATTCACATCATCTCCTAAAGTGAGAAACATACCAGTCTGGCACATTTTCAAATGTGGTTCAGCATCACATAATTCGGTTTTTGAAAATGCCAAAAATCGGTCGACTCCTAGAAAAATCTAATTACAAAAGAAGATATATCAAATCTACAAACCATTCGAAATTCCAATCAATGATATAAAAACGATGAAAAATGTTAAACGTATTGACCGCATCAAAAAAAAAATATTATAAGTTTTTTGGGCAATTTGATGTGATAACCTGTGGTTTTCTCTGATTCTCTCAATTTTTTCTAATCATTCAATTTCATATTTTGTTGATTGTGTAATTTCAGAGGGTCACGCAATACAAAAAAGAGAAACAAATGTTTTCTTTGTATTCATTCTTGAAGTTGTAATTTTTGTGTTTGATTAATGTTTTCAAATATTTATGTCATGAATCAAAAAATGGTTTTTTTTGTTCATTTTTGAACATAACAAACCATTTGTCGTGGGATTGAGACAGTTATTTTAAAACCCACAAAATGCTGCAAAACGAGAGAACACACGAACAAAAACTACTAATTTATAAAAATATAAACTAGGGGCGGTGCCCCTAGGCGAAACAGTCAGAAAATCCTCAAAAATTCTAAATTTTGAAGAAAAACCTATTTTTCGCAGCTCAACTGACGTGAGAAAAAAATTTCTTTGAAAAAAGTTACGCCTGAGAATACAAATTGTGAAGTTTAATGAGACATAGACTATAAAAGAAAAATAAATAAATTCAAAACAAAAAAATAAACAAATTCAAAACAAAAATGGAAATCGCGTGCATAAAACTATGAAAAAATTAATCAACCTATGAAATGTTTCATAGTTTGTTTTTCAATAAAATCTGGAAGCTGATCCTATACCATCAAGTGTAATTCAGAGGTTCATCTCATCATTTAAACATAGTAATTTATAAACAACTTTCCTTTAACATCAATAGTAATTATGAATTAAAAACTTTACCCAATTCAATGAAGCTCAAATCTCACCTGTTAGTTTTTTTCCTCCGCCCTCCCCCCACCCAAACCTCAAAATAAACTAACTTGACTGGCCCGTTCCGTGAAAAGTTGTTGATTTCTTCGAATGTCCTGTCCAAACGAAACATCTTCTTGTTCGGAAGCCTGAAACATCCACATTATTTTTCTCACGATCTTCGCCCATTCTTACAGTTAAACTTACATCAGAAAATGACAATTGTCGATTTTATGGGACCGCTGCAATCGAGTGACTGTTGTCTCTAAAAAAATAAGAAAATTAAAAAATGTACCAAACCACCCCATTAATACCACTTTCTGCGCTGAAAAAAACCACTCAAAAAACCAGAAAAAAGGCAAAAAAAATGTCTTGAAAAAAAAAATAAAAGAAAAACAACGATACTTCGCGTGCACGTTGTTTAGCGTGTTTATTTTATTGTTTTTTTTTGCAGGGTAGATGAGAGAGTGTGGGAAATGGAGAGAGGGTTAGAGAGAGAGATATGTTTTTTATTTGAAAAGAAATTATTGATTGAACGTTTTTTTTTCGAACTGAACCTTTTTTCTTTTTTTTCAGCGCAGAAAAAGTTATTAATGGGGTGATTTGGTACATTTTTTTAATTTTCTTATTTTTTAGAGACAACAGTCACTCGAATGCAGCGGTCCCATCAAATCCACAATTGTCATTTTCTGATGTAAGTTTAAGAATAGGCAAAAATTTTGAGAAAAAGAATGTAGAAGTTTCAGGTTTTCGAAAAAGAAGATATTTCGTTTGGACAGGACATTCGAATAAATCAACAACTTTTCACGGAAAGGGCCAGTCAAGTTAGTTTATTTTGAGATTTGGGGGGGGGGAGGAAAACAACTAACAGGTGAGATTTGAGCTTCATTGAAAACTATTGGGTAACGTTTTTAATTCATAATTACTATTGATGTTAAAGGAAAGTTGTTTATAAATTACTATGCTTAAATGATTAGATGAACCTTTGAATTACACTTGAAGCTATAGGATCAGCTTCCAGATTTTATTGAAAAACAAACCATGAAATATTTCATAGGTAGATTAATTTTTTCATAGTTTTATGCACGCGTTTTCCAGTTTGTTTTGAATTTATTTATTTTTTTTTTTTCTCACGTCAATATTTTCTTCGAGCACTCATTTCTTGTATCGAAAAATGGTCAAGTGGTCACGTGTTTTTTGTTCACAACGTCCAGGATCGAATCCTTTTGAACGTTCTTGAAGGTATGATTTTTGGAAAAACAAAAAATGAGAACAGGGGCGACCCCATTGAAAAATCCAGCTTCCATCGAAATGCATGAAAACCCTTCGCACAAAACCTTTCTTTTCCTTTTTCTCGATTTTCAGCGCGTTTTCGCTGGTTGTTGCGGCTTTTGGTTGCCGATTGAATTGAGCTCGAATTATTCGAGACATACGAAATGGGTTGAGGTTTTTAGCATTGGTTTTCATGTTAAAATTGTTGTATTTGGGCGAGAAATCTCGCGATTTCTCACATTCCCTCTCTACATAAGATTGCGAAGGTTACTGTAGGTAGTTTTCCTTGTTGAAGGCGAAGTTAGTGTTTAATTTTTTGTGGAGTATTCCGGCGATTTCGAGGAGGGCATCACTGCTATTGCGACGGAGAGTAGGGGAAGGGGGTCTTGTTGAACGACTTTGAGTTCCAGATTGAATAGTATCACATTCCATAATTGAATTGAGAATGCTGTGTATGAACAGCAGTCCCTCGATTTTATGTCGGTTTTCCAATCTTGTCGTTGAAGTAGATCCAAAGATGCACAATTTTTTGCTAGCCTTTCTCCTGATGTTCAGGATCTCCTGATATTCTGCGCTCTTGCAACCACACACTTTTTTTCTGTCAGCGGGTGTTTTCTTTTCTTTTTCCTCGATTTTCAGCGCTTTTTCGCAGTTGTAATTTTTGTGTTTGATTAATGTTTTCAAATATTTATGTCATGAATCAAAAAATCGATTTTTTTTGTTCATTTTTGAACATAACAAACAATTTGTCGTGGGATTGAGACACTTATTTTAAAACCCACAAAATGCTGCAAAACTTGGATTTTTCTGGAAAATGAAAATTGTCATTCTTTGGATTTTTATTGGGAGTTGTTTGAGTTCAAATCAGTTTTATGCTGAATTGGCAAGAAAAGCAATGCATCAATTATATGAAATTGGCAACTTGCTTCCACAAAAATTCAATTTCATTGCTTGTGATGGAAAAATTTATGATAGAATATATTTCCTTGAAAATTATATCTTCAAAGGTTTGCCAAAAGATCGATCTGTTCCGACTTCTGGAGGAAATGAAACACAACTTTTGTTCATCCAAGATTCAATATTTGTTCGTCTTGGATTCGTTATTGATCGAATTGGTGAGAAATTCATAATTACAATAGCATACGAAAAAGCTAGATATGGAAGACTTTGCAACGAGGTCTATGCCATATTTGGAAATAAAACAATAATGGACACTCTCTGAACTTGAATGAAAATTATGATTGCATAAATTGATAAACAAAATATTCTCACTCTTTTTTCTAAATAGTTTCTCAAAACAAAAAAAAAACACTTTCATCTCTAAAAAAAAACAATTTCCGATGGTACAAATTATTTTTTATGTTATTTATTTCAATATCTATTTTTTCAAACAAAAAACATACAGCTGAATTCACAATTATTTTCCATAATCTTCAGTCTTTCTTCAAAATTAGTTTCATATCTAATATTCTGATGTCATCAACTCCTCCATCTGGAAATTGGGGAAATGCTCCAATTTACCTAAATATTTTCTATATTTGTTCGATGCTACATTATTTTCTAGTTCTCTTTGCTATTCAAAAATTACAACTTCCCTCAAAATTTTCATTTTTCCGACTGTTTTTCATAACTGGAATTTGTGATATTATCAATATTTTTTCGATTTTTTGGATCAACTTTTTTCGAAATTCTTTATTCAGCCAAATATACATTTACACATCACAGTATACTGAAATTGTCTATTACATTTCAGCAATTTTCGGATGTCTCAATAATTTACTTTTATCAGTCAATCGATATTCGGCAACTTTTGTCAGTTATGAAACTTATTGGAAACCATTTTCAATTAAAGTTTATTGCTTCATAATTTTAATAATAAGTTTTATTGGAAGTTCTCCAATGATTCAAGGAGATCGAACATATTTTTTGAATAATACGAATGAATGGAAATGGACTGAAGGACCATATAATTTAGAATTTCAAAGAATAATTCATTCAATTATAATTGTTATTTGTGAATTGATTGCTTGTATTTTGAGTATTTTAACAGTTCGAAAACTTAAAATTCAGAAGACAAAAACATATGAAGATCGACTTATTTATATAACAATTTCTCATTTTCTTATCAATATTCTAATTGTTTTTTATGAAATTGTTGAAATATTCAATCTTTCTGATATGTTCAGCGTTGCTAAGATTTTTCATAATATTGGTTTTGTACTTCTTGTTTTTTCAAATATTATGAATGCAATAACAGTTATTATAGTCAATCAACGAATACGGAACAAATATTTCAGTTTTATTTTTCCATGTTCGAAATTCAAAAAAGGCACGAAAATTAACTCTATATTTGTTAGTTGAATAAACGTTTTTTTTAAATAAAAAATGGAAGTTATATTCAATCATCAGAGCAGAAAATCGTGTTTCATTGTTCTGAACGGATATATTTTTGATTTTGAGAAAAAGGTTCCCACACATTTTTCTCAGCAATTTTTCCATATGTCTAGACGAAACAGCAATTCAAAATTCAATAATTTTGAAAAATGATTCGCTTTTTTATTTTTATTATTTTTATAATAATTACTTATTCTATGGAAAATGCTGATATAAAAATTGTGCAAACTTTGGTAGCAAATGTATACAAATTCGCTGAAGCGAAGAACTCATCGGAGCTCGAAAAATTATTCGTGAATTATTTCTACTTTCATGATTGCAAAAATGAATATAATATTTCTGAAGTCATTGATATTATTATGAAAGATCCATCAAAAGTGAATCTGGAAATTAAATCGATAAGTCGAATGGATGAATATTTGATATATGTTACGGAACAAAAATACAAAAATAATATTATTATCACAAATTTTGATGCGAAAAAAGATGATTTTGGAAATTATCAAATAATTCGAGGAGATGTTGAAAATTGCAACGAATTGGCAAAATGTTGTAGTTTTTTCGAAAATTGTTGATAAATATTTTATATATCATTTGTTGAACACTTTGATCGTTTTCCGAGTGGCGGAGCACTTCTCACCTGAAAATTGTTCCACGTGCTAGAATGTTTTTTGATTTTATAACAAAACTTCTGATTCGATTTTTCTGACATTTATCGAGAAAACAAACAATATCATGCAAACCAAACCATTTATTAAAATAATCAAACACATAAAGAACCAAACAAATGCAATATTATTATTCAACAGAAGGTTGAACACTTACCGTAATCTTTCTAGTTGAAAAAACATTACTACTAACTGGATACGATATATTTTTGACAATTTTTCGGCGAAAAACAAATGCCATATAATCATTTCGAACATGTTCATTTGACATAACTGTGAAACTATTCAGAGAAACAAAAAGAAATGAGATGGTATAACCCTGGAAATTTGATATTGAGAAAAATTACATCTAAAAAAATTGATTTACCATGTTAGACATAAATTTTGCAAAGGCATCATTTAAAGAAAATATTTGGACTGCTTGATAATAAAGTTTTACAAAATGAAACAGGCAATGAATTGCTGTTATGAAGACTAGACTCTGAAAATGTTCAAAATTAGAGATGACGTTTAAAGGGGAAGAATAGGGGTAAAAAAAGAATTTGAACCTTTTCCTGTTTTTTGGTGTCCGCACTGATGTTTTTGAGACGAATAATTGTTGCAGCGCTTGCAATAACAGCTACAACTTGATATATCAAAATACATACCACAAAAATATTGCGTTCAATTGTAAGATTTGGTGGATTTGTTACAACAACCCAAGCCCCATTAACCAATGCAAATTCTCGATCATTTTGAATAATTGGACCAGAAAGAATGAAACTTGTTAAAACAATACCAATAAGATATCCATAAACATAATTTTTTCTCCAATATCTATCATAACTCAAAAAAGTTGCAGAAAGTCGATTAATTGACATCATACCATTTCCGAGTAAATTCACAAATGTTGCGAAAAAATCAGTTGCAACCATTAAATGTGAAGTTGGAATATAAATTGGATGATAAATTGCATTTCGAAAAAAATTGATCCATAACAATGCAATACATTCAAGAATATCAAAACAACCGATGAAAAAAAATATCAGAAAAAATGTTTTTTTAATGAACTTTCTTATAATAAATAGAACTATAAGATAATGTATTGTTAGTCCCAAATAGAAAAATGTTAAATAAAAAGGTGCACTTCCTGCATTTGAAGATGGAGCTGTATATCCTTGTGTTGTTACAGTTACAGTTACAATTGAATCATTTGTTGACATGTTTTCAAAGGAAAAGTTAGAAATTCACGTAGATATTTTTTGTGAATGCGGAAAAACTATGCTTTCATAATAAAAATCCAATTGTATCGGGGATAATGGGTTGCGTAGAATGTTATATTTTCTACCCTTAATCACATTTATTGGAATTGCAATTTTTAACCGGGAAAGGAATAAGATCAAAAACTTGATCAGTAAAACAAAAACCTTGATCTATCCGAATGCAGATGTGAAATCGTTAAAAGCCAAACTATCGAAATATTATATGAGATGTTCAAAAAAACAGTCAATGAAAAAACAAAAAAAATTCGATTGAATTTTTTGAAATTAATATTTCAAATTTCTAAAATAAGAACCAGACCTGTCGTTTTGCGGCTATTTGCGGCCCTCGGGCCAGCCATGTGAAGGGCCGGGCTAGCCAGCCCAAATAGGGAAAATGGGCTGGCTCAGCCCGGCCTTTCCAACAAATTTTATTGTGTAAATGCACTATTTTTCAATGGTGTTTCTTTCGAATTTTTGCATTTTGGCGGAAGAAAATTAGCGAATTTCGTGTTTCTGATGGTGGATTGATAATAAAAGTAAAATTTATTGAAATTCATGTGTTTCACCATTACGATACTGCACCAAAACAGTACTTCGAAGAAATGTTGGTGCACTAACACTAATATAAGTTATTCTGATTTACGAAAGTCGCCCAAATGCAGAAAATTTGAGCAAAATCATCCATTTGTAAAAATCCCGAATTGTCATCAAAAAAATATGAAGGGCCGAAAAAAGGGCTGAAACAGCCTCTCATACAAAAAGAAGGGCCGGAGGGCCGAAAAAGCCCGCATTTTTTGAATTTTGAAGGGCTGGCCCGGCCCGGCCGCCCAAAAACGACAGGTCTGATAAGAACTGCTAGAATCAAAACCAAAGTTGAAAAAATTTCAATTTGAAATTTGAAATTTTGATTCCACCCCCGCAAGATCAAACGCACAAGTATAACTATTTTCTATTTTCCGAAAACAGCGGAAGAAAATATATAAAAAATAATTTGATTTTTCGGAGAAATTATGAACTTTTAAGAGCAAAGTACGGTAACAGGTTGACTCAAAAAACTTGTTAGGAAGTTTTTTTTCAAAACATTTCGAGTCAGGAAGGATATTCTGATATTTCTTCTGAATATGATTTTTGAAAATAAAAATTTTTCTTCGAAAAACGTTTGTTTTCCTACCTGAATCACCCTATAAAAATTGAAAAAAAAACAAAAATTATTTTATGTATCTACGTGCGCGTGAAATGAAAAAAAAAACAACGAAACACAAAAATGAGTCATTTATTTTTCCTGAAATCTTATAACACAAACCGAAGAAATCATGAATAAGACTGGCAATAATAGCGAAGTTACGAAACAATTGTGAGTTTTATTGAAAAACAATCTGATAATAAACCAAATATAATTTTCAGACATACTATAGATGAGAAACTTGACAAAATCAGTGCAAAAGACGTTGTAAGTTTGGCTAACTTGTAAAAAATTATTAAACCAAACATACTATTTTTTGCAGCTTTTCATAGTCTTCATCAGTATTATTGCAGCCGTTTCTTTGATTAATTTAATTCTTTTGATTTTGGAACGAAGAAAAAAAGCTCATCAGGTAAAAAAAGTCTCCATAGATTTATATGTGGAAAAATTACTGAAAATAATTTCAGAATGCTGTTCCTCAAGCAATTGTTATTCAACCAAATAATTCTTCTGGAACTTCTGTTGATCAGAAATCGAAATCAGAAAAAACAAAATTATCAAATCACGGTGAAAAAGATGTATTGCCATCTCGATCAATGAAAGTAAAAGTTGCAATTCAATCCGGCCAACAATCAAATCGAAAAGCAAATAGTAAAGAAGTTTTAGGCGAAGATATTTCAAATGTAAAATTGGCAAAAATTGAAAATGTTGGAGCACAGAACTTGATAGCATCGAAAAAAGAAACTGATGTTGAAGTTGCTATTCCACCTCAACCATTCCCTCAAACTTCAACTCCTGTGAAAATTGAGCAAAAATCTGAGACTCCTATTTTGACACCTGCAACTCCTCAACAACAACTTCAACCAACTCAAAACTCGAAAGCCAATTCAACAATTGATTCAATGACATCTTTTACTGTTCCAGAAGATGGAAAAACTTGTACAAGTCAATCAAACAATGATTTTATTGTACCAGGAGAACCAGGAATTAAACCAAATACACCAACAGCAACAACTTTGTCAGGAATTTCAAATGAGGTATGTTTTGAATAATTTTCAAAAATCATTTACTGCTCCTATAAAAACCACAAATTTCCAGCCAACTTCAAGCTCAAAGAACACCGCAATAGAGCCAACAGTTGTTACAACTCCACCAAATGCCACTCAACCAACACAACCAACAACACCAGTTGTTGAAAAAGATCCAAAAAAGGTGAGTAGAGAATTATAGATTTATTGAAGTGAACATTTTTGAAGATTTGAGGTGTTTCAATCGCTTTTTCCAAAAGGAAGTGGAACAATGGTATGAAAACTTGCTAATTCTTTTTTATTCAATAAATATTTTTGTAGTGTATTTTTTTGTGGACTACAGTATCTTGAATACAAATGTGCTGAAGCAATGTTATAATTCCGAAAACTCAAAAAGTATTGTGCAAGAGTTTTCTAAAAATTTGGTAGATCAAGTTTCTAACCGGTAACTCAATCATAGCATTTTGTTCAGAAATTCAGATTTTTCGGCTTGGAAAAATTGTGGCGTATCGCTTTCTGAAGATACTTTTTATAACAATTATTTTTTTAAACTGGAAGTTGAAAATGAGTGATGAAAAAACTAATTAAACCCATAAGAAATCTCGCTTGATTCCCGGATTCAAAAAAAAATTTGGAAAAAAACAGAAAATAATTTTGAACGTAGACCTTTTTTGCGTGAAATCCTCTATAATTTTTTCCAATTAAAATCTTACCATTTCTGATAAATCAAAAAGTCACAAATAAATCGAATATCAATGGATTATACAAAAGTTGGGAACGATAATTGGGAAAGATTGGAAAAATCGACAGAACATTTGAATTATGTTCTTTTTGGATATGAATCTTCGCTCAAACAGATTGATACTTTCAAAAATACAATAATCAAATTACGAAACGATGATAGCGAAATAATTGAACAACTTGAACATCGAATCGGAATATATTCGAAGAAAAAATTGATGGAAAATATAAACAAAGAGACGAGTGAGAAATTGAAAGAGGTTTCAAGTGAAATACAAAACACTTTGAGAAAAACATCGATTGCGGAAAAAGGAAAAATTGGATATGATGATTTGAATAAGAAATTGAAAATATTGCACAAACAAATCGATGATATTGAAAAACTAAAAGATGTAACTATAATGTTGCAAGAATTGGATAGCGAAAGACATATGTTTGAATATATGATGAAAAAAGTTGATGAAATTCGCGAAAGACATGGTGAAATGGAAATTGCGAAAACAATTTATCAATGTGTTCAAAAATCAAATGATCCTTTGAAATGTGTTTATGTTCTACCAATTTTGTTAGTTACATTAATGTATGATACACATACTTGTCCATATTATTTTAAATTTATCAAAAATATTTATGAACAAGTCATCCAATTGTTGCACAAAATCGAACAAGAGGTTTGTTTTTTATCGGTTTTTTGATAGATGGAAAAATAAATACGTTGTTTGCAGAGACGCCCTGGTACTCTTCCCCGTTTTGGTGCAAACTCGAAACGAGGTGTTATTTCTCCTGGAATTCGTTCATACGATACAAAACAGAAAATCAAAATCAAACAATTACCAACGGTTAGTTACTGTAGACGCGCACGTTCTGTGCACTTTCTGCAAACACCACACAAACATACTTCATTTTACGACACTATTTTATTTTATTTTTGAAATTTTCAAATCGAAGTTAAATTTTAAAATTTTAACAGAAGCAATCACCATGCACATTATCACATGGAGAAACAATGGCTCCAATTGAATTGGTTGCTCCTGTTGCCAAAGATAGCCAGCTCAATTTGGTGAGAAAAATCTAGCTAATTAAAATTATAAATATTAATTTCAGGATTCGAGTGATAATCCAACTTCTGCTTTGAATAATGGTGAAACAGCACTCGTTAATCAAACAGATCAACCAATTGCAAAAGACAGTGTAGCGAGTTTTGAAGATAGAATCCGAGATTATGAACAATAAAGTTTTGAAGTTCCCACGATTTTTTGTGATTTCGGTTAGTTATTTATTTTTTGAGGGGTCTTCAGAGAATAAATTATTTTATGGAAGTTCCGACTTTGGAAAATAAACAAAATTTTCTAAAAATTAAAATATTTTTTGCAAATGAATTTTCGATCGGGTCACGTTGTTTTTAATTAAAATCTTTTTGTTTTTTCAAAAGAAAAAATCAATTTGAACTTCAAAGAAGCAAACAACTAAACTTTATTAAAAATCAAAAAAAAAACAAAAATTATCATGCAACTTTAGTCATTGCTCTGTATTCAGTTGGATGTTGAGTGATTGAAATAACAGAAACTGTTGGATTTGAATGCCGTTTTTTGGTACAGAAGAAGATTATAGTTTTGTATTCTTCGCGAATATTTCGATTGATTAGAATAATTGTAACACTGTTCATTGAAATTGAAAGAAATTCGAGAACAACACTCTGCAAAAATAATTTTAATAATGTATAAATTTTTCACTTCTTAACTTACAAAATTCCGCTGAATAAATGAGATTCCGGTTGGATCGAAAATTTCTGATAAATATGCGTAGAGTAAAATCAAGTAGACTATTATATGAACAAGTGTGACGTAGATCAAATTCTGAAAGATTTTTTTTGCTTCTTGTTTTGCAAAAGATTGAAAATTTCCATGTTGATGATAAAAATTATTGGAGCAACTTTAATTTTTGTCAGGAAAATTCTCATTTTTATTATTCATAGCATGACTAAAAAGTTGAACTTATCACAAGGCAGAACTACTATAATTTTCAAAACTAACAATCAACAATTATTTTTTGAACATAGTTTGATTTCTGATTTAGGTTATGATGTATGATTTCGTTAACATTTACTTTGCAAATTACTGTAAATGTGAGACTAAATAACATGAAAAAATAACTAATTTGCTGCCACCTATGTATGCATTTATTCAAAAAAAACTTACTCTTTCTGGAGTATAAACAATATTATGAACATGAAGACGATAAAGTGTCATAGCAGTAGCAATAACTCCAACAGTTTGAACACAAGCAATTAATACATTAAGCATCCAATTAATATATGCAGTATTCCAAGGATATCTAGTCATTTTCCATGAAGTACCATTTACTAATTCAAAATCTCGATCATCCAGATAAAATGGAACATTGATAATTAGCCCGATTATTGTTAAAATAATAATCCATTTTGGTAATTTATTAATTTTCCAATATAAACTATAACTGACAAAAGTAGAATGATATCGATTGATTGCCATCATACCATTTAAAAGAAGACTTATTGTAATACAACTACATTCAATTGCAGCTGCCAAATGTGAAGTATAAAGATAAATTGGTGAAAAAAGGGTTGAACGGAATAAATTGATCCATGCTAATGCGATGCAACTGAAAACATCACAAATTGCAGCATATTTGAAAATATAGAAAAATGAACTGTTGTTTGATAGTTTTTGAACAGCAAATACAATTATTGTATAATGAATTGTTAGAACCATGAAAATCCAATGAAACACAAAAGTTAGAGTGTTAATCGTCATCTGCAAAAATTAAAAGAAGAAATGTTAACTTTACTCAAAAATATATTTAATTGTAAGCGAAATCAAAAGTTTCTAAAATTGTGGCATTTACAAAGTTTGATCTAGACGCAAATTATGTGCAATTTGAAAAAGATAAAAAATAAAATAATTGTCAAGAGTTCGAAAATTATTATTATAAATGTCTTTCACACAGGAAGGTTTTTTTGTAAATATCTGGGAATTTTATATAGTTTTAGGACTGAGTTCTGATCAGGGTTTCGTTTTCTTAAATTCTGAACATATTTGAAAATATTCAGAAGCTCTAGGAAGTACTTCAATTCAAACTGAAATAAAACTCTGATCTAGAATATTCTTGGAAATAGAAAATTAAATTAAATTGAGAAAATGTTATTGAAAATAATGATTTTGAAAATCAGAAGAATAATCATATTTCGAATTTTGTTTTTGTTTTGAAACTTCCAATAGTACATGTTTTTTGACAAAATTATCAGAAAAATTTTGCTTTCGAGAAAAAAGATGACAAAAAAAGTGCCATTTTTTGTCTATCTTTTTAAAAATGCAAAGATATTATCTGAAAAAGTCCTCCAAGTTCCAAAGAAAAATCAAAAAACATCTGCTTGCAAACATGCTTCTTCTGTTAGCCAAAAATTGAATTTCAAACAAAAAATAATTAGAGGTTGCAAGTTCGAAGTTGTAGCAAATATCAGGTTTTGCGTGAATATGGACAAAAGATTACGAATAAAATGATGAATAATGCTCCAGGGATTTTTTTTGTGAAAAACAAAAAAAATAATTGTGACCAATAGTTCGAGCTCAGAATTAGCAAAAAAAGAATTTTCTAGATAAAATAAAAAATTGAAGAAGAACAAGTTTAAATACATGTTTTCGTAATCGTAGTACTTACAATTCATGACAATCATCTAATTGCACATTTCCTTTTATTTTTAAATTATATAAATAAAAAGCGTCATAAGTGATATCCTGCAAATCTGAAATTGTTAGAGAAACATTCGGAAAATTAGTCGCATTTAAAAAATTTTATTTGAAAAAAAGTGAATAATTTTAAACTTCAATTTTCTCTAAATCCATTTGACTTTCTTCTTTGGCATAATTTTCCTGTTTGATAACATCCGAAGGTATTTCAATATCATACAAATATTTAACCCGTCTCAAAATATTTGTTGTCAAATTTCCCGCAATCCACGGTGCTACAGTAGTATTCTTCCATGGACCATATTCCATCATTCTTTCAACTTGTCGCGGAAATAATTTATGAAATACATTTCGATAATGTCGAATAGCCGCAATTCGATAATTAACAATTGATACTTTTGAATTGTCATAAACTGCTAGAGGATAATGAATTCCCATTATTGTTATTCTTTCGGGTCGAATTATACATTTTGGTTGTTTAAAAGTGTCGGTTTTTGTTGAGGTATTTGTGAATTTCCGGAATATCATATTTTCTTTCAATTGTTCATCGTTTTGATATTTTTTGGGAGAAAGTTGATCTTTTACAACCCAATCGACCGAAAAACGAAGGGTTGACACATTTGGAGTGGTTTCACTGAAAAATATCATTTTTAAAAATTGGCCTAAAATTTATGCAAGGATTTTTTATTATAAAATCTTTTTTCACGCCAATCACGCCATTACATATTTCAACTAACTCAAGAAGATCCACAATTCGAAGTTCGGGGTATTTTTTCATTTCAATTCTCTCATCGATGTCCAAAAATGCTGTCCATTTTGAAAAATATTTATTGCGGAAATGACAATCCTGAAATTAATTTTATTTTTTCTCAAAGTTATTATAACTTCGCAGATTCAATGCCAAAGGCTTCTGAAATTCATGAAAAACAGTAAATTTTTCAGAAATAATTTGTACAAATTCTTTTTTTTCGACATTTTTTTAAACAACAATGTTAGGATTTTTGAAAAAATCTCCGGATGTTTACTACTCCAAAAGTTCTTCTTAATTTTTGAAATAGGTTTTACTCACATTAATCTGAACTCTATGCCACATAAAATCAGCTCTCCAATAATGATCATGAATTTGGATAATTTCAACTTCGCCTGTTCGAACATAATCATCAAGTAAAACTCGATCATAATTTGACACATTTGTCACATAAATGTGGAAAAATGTTGCGCCTTGCAGTTTATAATATTCGATGAAATCAACGATTTGCAAAAATTTGGGTTCTTCTCCGTAAATTGGAGCTAAACAAACTGTGAAATAATGGGCAGGTTCTGAAAAACAATGCATTTTTAGTTATTCTTTATATATTTTTTCAAAATCTTAATCGGATCATAGAAAATTTATTTTTCCGGAAACTCCCCATTATTTTTGAACTCATTTCAAGGACAATTGGATTTTTACCATTCTTAGATTCTCCTCAGATAATTGAAAAAACAATGTTTTTATGATTTATGATTTGAAAATAAAAAGAAAAAACATTTCCTTTTTTTATCTAAATTTTTGAAAAGGCTGGAATGGTTAAATAGGATCACCTTAACCACAAAATCTCAAAAATCTCTGATTCCAACTCACTTTTCTCATCTCTTCTAATAATTCTAATAGGAAATTCAGCTTCATCTTCCAATTTTTCAGTTATCGAAATATATTCAGCTCCTATTCGACGGCCACAAAAAACAGTAGATTGTGGAAAGTGTCGAGATTCGAAATATTTCCCAGTTAGTTCTCGCATTTTACAATCATAATATCGACAAAAAACAACATCACTGAATATTTTTGAAAGCTCGAATATTTTTATTTGATCCAAACAATTTCAAAACTCACCTAAAATTTCTTTCCGATGTTAGAGTTACAACAATATGATCAGAATAAACATAGGCTGAAAATGGACTTGGAGTTTTGTTTAGCAATATGTTTTGATTCCGAACATTAGATTTGATTAGTGAATCAAAATAATCACGATTTGGAATTGTATTAGTTTCATTTTTGTTCCAATCTTGAATTTTACATTTTTTCCTGAAAATTGAATCTTTGACAAATTTAAACTTTTTTATAATATAAGTGTTGGCTTTTTTTAGCCCAAATTCTCAAAACTCACGAATCATAATAATCCTCTTTATAACTTTGATTTGATGCTACATTCATTATATTTTCATTTGGTTCAACAGCCAAAAAGTAATCATCCGAATTTCGCTCTCCGCAATTTTCAATAATATTTCCCAAAAAAGATTCGTTTTCTCCTATTATTCTTTTGCGATTTTGTGAAACAATCACAAAACTGATTGCAGTTAATAGCAATAATAGAAATAGTCGCCAATTTTCAAACATAATTTTCTCAAATGAAAATTTAAACTTCAAATTGATTGTCCTATTTCAAACTAGGGAAACTATTTGTATCAATTTTTCGGATCAGATAAAAATACTTTTTTTAGGTATGTTCATTTTGAATTGCCGCCAAAATCAAAGAAGCTTTGCTGGGCGTGGCTTTTTTACGAGAATCAATTAATTTTGAGAGAAAAAAAAACAAGGAAACTAATAAAATGAATTATTTTCGAGAGTAAAGGTGAATTTTGCTAATAACATGATAAAATGCGGCTAGATTGAAATTGTTCAAGCATTCAAGTAACTCTAAAAACACTTATGAAGTAGTCCTACAGTATACCATTTTAGATGAATCAATTCATCTGGACCACACGAGAGAGTGTTCCAAAATTTTTGTGCAATGTGGAAATTTTTGCAAAAAAAACTTGTGCAGTGTGAAATTTTGAGTTTTTTGAAAATTGTCATCAAAATCCGCTGAAAATCAATGAAAACTACATTTTTTCGTGAAAAAAAGGACAGTGTGACTTAAAAATCAATAAAATTTCCCAAAAATTTATTTTCAAACAAAATTTCACAAAATTATTAATTTGTTGAACACCAATTTTCCTTCATTATAATCAATACATCGTGCAGAAGAAATCGGGCTAGAAAAACACTCAATAAAAAAATTTAGAATAACATTTTTGTGACTCACATTAAACCGTTCAAAGTTAGAACTTGTGCACTATTTTCTTCGCAAAAGAATGAAACATAACCAAAACGAATAAGAGTTTGTGTTGAATTTGTAACTTTGAGTTCTAACATCAAAGGATATTTCTCGTTGTTTTTATTTTTGAAGCATCCGTAGATCATTGTTGGCAAAATATCAGTTCCATTTTTTTCTGATGTATGGATCTCGAAAAATTTAGTGTTGCCTTCAAAATGAAGAGGAACTTTGACACAGCTTTGGACCAAAATTGATAGAATTGATAGAGTTATGACAAAGAATAGCATTATCTATAGTAAATGATATTCGTATTCAAACTTTGGACTTTATATTGTTTTTTTTTAATGGCCCCGATTCAATTCCCGAAAAAAACGATAAAGTTTTATTGAAAACAAGCAAGAATAAATTAGAATAATTTTAAATGTTTAAACTCTTCGTGCCCGAGCGCGAAGATGAGCAAATATTTCATTATCAGATTTGAATTGAGTATCGAATGGATCATCAAATTTGCATCCAATTCTGTAGTTGACAGTCGAGTTCAAACATTTTCCTGATCTCCAAAGAATTGATTCCTCTCCACGTTTCTCGATTTGATAAGTGACAAAGTTGAAACAAGCTCGATGTCCTTGATCAATGTATGAAATGAAGACTGTGTGCGATTTTGGACAAACGAGATCACAATATTCACGCTCTTGTCCATCATGTTCTTCCTGATAATTTCAAATAATTTCAAATAATTTTGAACTTCAAAAAAACAATTTGGATAGATAACTTACAGTCCAACATCCGAGACCAGTTGGAACAGGTCTTCCAGTTTCCAATTCTTCTTCTTTCAAAACCAAATGACATTCAGCACGATCTGGTCCACCACGAATTGTATTTGATGGTGTTGAACATTTAAGTTCACGGTATTCTGAATAAAACAATAGGATAATCCACCTTGGAAATGTAGAATTTATCAACCCAGGTACTGTAGAGCACAAGGTTTCACATGTCAATCCACTTTTATTCTCCTACTATCAATATTTTTGACCAAGAAATTATGGGGATTTAAAATATGTCTTACTTTTGGGAATTAATAATGATGTCATCAGAGCACGGTAAGTAATTCACCACCCAAAAACTCAAGGTTTCAAATATTTGAAATTTTAAGGTTTCAACAACTGTGAACATTCTGAATAAGGACTTAATCACAGATTCATCCCAATATTATTTTCTAAACTTCAAGTTCAAAGTTGAATAAACTTACGATGATATGCAATAACAGTGCATGACAAAAATACAGTAAGAAGAAGAATACGTGAAATCATATTGTCTCAGAATTAAAATGATGACCAAAATGAATTTATATAGGCGATAAATGGCATCAAGCGACCGGTTCGAAGAATATGCATGGCAGAATAATATTATTCTTATTTATATTATTAATAATAATTAATTATAATAAGAATATTCTTATCTCGTTTTTATGTAAGCGGCGGCCTTGGTGTATGGGCTGACAACACACAACTTGATTTTTTATTTCACATATATCGTTTTTTTTTTGTTTTGTTGAAAATGATTTTCGATGGATTATCATGCGTGAAACTTGTCCATTAAAATTCAGATTTAAAAAAATCTGGAACTTGAAAATTCAATATTCCTACATTTCCAGAATCCAAATGACGTCATTTTCAAACATGATTTATTGGATTAAATAAATTAGTGAGAACAATATAATAGGCACAAAATTGAAAGACCTCGTTGAATTTTCCGAAGAGATACAGTAAAACATTTAAAGGCACGAATAGGTGAAAGGAAAAATATGAGATCATTTGGAACAATTTTGGTTTCAAAAATTGGTGATTATTCGGAAGGAGTGTTGAATTGAGTATTGTTTGGAGTCATCATTTCAAGATTTGGAATCGCCTAGAAGAATAAAAAATTATGAAATTAGTTTTTTATCGAAATAAAATTAACTTACTTGTTGAATGAATTGAACAGCTTGCTCGTTTTGATGCGCTTTTTGTTGTTCAATTAATTGTTGGAGAACTTTACTTGGATCAGTCATGATTTTGGTTTCAACTTGATTTTCGACATCAACATGTTGTTCATTTTCAGCATCATCTTGTTCATTAGCTTGTTCTGCTTGTTGACTCATCAAAGTTTCCATCAATGGAAAATTGTTATCTCCACTAGCTCCCAATAATTGTAACATTTGTGCGTCAAACAGTGAGTTACCAGAACTTGTTGATCCTCCAGAAATTTGATCTTGAATTCGTTTCGATTCTTGTAAATTCTTAACTCTTCTCAAATACGCCACCCGATTGTCAATTTGTCTTCCAAGTCTCGGATTTGGTGGCAAACCAAGTCGTCGAATTTCCTCATCAATTTTTGATGTTCTAATTTCTTGCAACCAATTTTCATTGAATGATTTGTCAACAATTTCTCGAAGTGTTTTTGGTAATCCAGCATGGCTTCCAGCTTGTCCAACTGGTTCAATTCCATGATTATGTCCACATTTCTCTTCTACAATATAAAATTCGTCTTGTTTTTTGACGCGGATTTTGAAACGACATTTGTTTTGAAGTCGATTCAAACATTCGAAATATTGCCATCCATCCATTTTTCGATCATCTTTATCAATTACATACAATGAATAAATTAAGGCTTCGTATTCTGATTTCGAAGTTGTTGTGAAACATTCAAACCAACCATCTGATCGAGAAGATTGAGATTTTCTACAAATATTTGTTTCAAAAATTTTAATGTAAAACACATTTTGAAATTCGAGAAAACTTTTAAAAAAAACTAACCCATTATTTGACATATTTTCTTGATTTCCAATTGTTCCATTCATCACCGAATCGTCATTATTAATATCCATTGGTGAATTTGCATTTCTTGATGAATCGGAATCATTTGAAGGAGATGGTTTTTCAGCTTCGACTTCGAGATTATTCTCATTTTGCAATTGATTTGTTTGAATAAGCATTTGTTGAACATTGTTGAAAAGTGGTAAATTTTGAAGAAGTTGCATCACTTGATCATCCATTTTAATATCACCATTTGGAAGTTTTGGTGTTGGCAGAACATTATTTTGGAAATTCTGAACAATTTTTCGATGATTTTTCAAAAAAAAAAGTGTTTTCAACTAACCGGAATGATGAGTTGGTTGAGAGCAGAAAATGCATTAGCTTCTTCCAATGACATTTTTTATTGTGTTCTGGAATGAAAAAAAAATAGAAAATATCAAATTGATAAAAAATGAAACGCGAGAAAGAAATTGTTTCGTCAACGAACAAGTTCAAATCAATTTTCAAGTTCATAATGATATTTTATCTTCGTTTTTTTTTTCATTTTATATATTTAATTGCAAAAAACATTGATATTTTTCTGATCACAGAAAATGAGAGAAAAAGAAAAATGATTGGAATGAGTAGTGAGTGAAAAGCGCCAAATTCTCTTTGATGTTTGAATTTTTATTTATAAAAAAAACAAATTACTACTTATGATATTTGTTCTTAAATATCTATACATCTGTTTCCAAAAATAAGCAAGAAATGTATCTTCTTATATTTTCTATATAGAATATAGAAAAATACAGTAGTTTTGCAAAAAAAATCGAGAGAAAATGAGAATGAAAATGTTGTTTTCAACAAAAGTCAGTCAAAAAGCGAAACGAAAACATTGTTAAAGACACATAGAAAACTAGAAATGTGTGTTCGTAATCTTCAAAATTTGAACGCGCGCCTTTTTTCAAAGTTGTGTGTTGTTCGTTTGAAAAAAGAAAAAACGAATAAAAAGTGGTGGTACGGTATGCTAAGAATGCACACATGTGCGGCAAATAACGGACATTTGTGCAAACACCAAATTTTGCGTCGGCTGAGCGATTTCAAAAAAGGTTTTTTCTTTTTTTGACTTTCGCTAAACTCAATATTTTTCAATTTTGTTTATGTACTTCCACTATTTGAAGGATGATAAGAAACATGCAAATAATGCTTTTCAAACGATTTCTAGTTTTCTACGTGTCTTTAAGCTTTTTGAAAAATGAGAAGAGAGGTCATAAATGCGAAGATATATCAGGGATAAAAATCTGATAAAGTTCATGAGGCAAAATGACAAATAAATGTGACATATCAAGTGAAAAACGAAGAAAAAAAGATGAAGAAGAAATCGAAAAAAGTGAAACGTAGTTTGGCGGTAAAATATAAGAGCATAGTAGGGAGAAAACTAAAAACATTTATATCTGAAATCACTTTCTTAGCTCCTTGGCAACATGCCCTAAATTTGTACTGATTTATCCGTGCGAAAATCAAACCAGAAGAGAAAAAAGAACACTAGCAATAAAAAGAGAACAAATATGAATGCAAAAAAAGTTTGGCGTGGGGTGGTGATGATATACAAACGAATGAAAGAATGGTGCAATATGTGTTTGAGAAGAATTGGTGCGCGATGGAAATAGTGTGAGAGACGAAGAGACGGAGAAATAGGAGAAATATGAAAGTAGGGCGGGACCCTGGCCTGTTGACACAGTAAAAAAATGTGTGAATGAAAAAAGAGACCGTTGGTCACCCCCCACAATCATCAATATAAAAAAATGTATAAGGTATTATAAACATTTCTATCGATTTATTTATACAGGAAAACAAATGATATTGAGCATGCACAAAATCCAAAATGGGCAAAAAAATGAAATGAAAAAAAAATTAATAAAACGTGAAAAAAACAAAGTTTTGAAAACCCGCGTGTTCGATAGAGCGCACATTCCTTATCATTAATTTGAATTATGATTGAAATATTTCGAAATGTTAACTTTTAGTTTTGCATTTTTATCTACTTCCAGAAAAGAAACTAATCATTTCTCGATTTTAGAATCGTCTATAAGAAATATATCAAGTTTTACACTTATTTCATGAATTCCCGTTTAGTTTATTTCATTTTAATCTATCTTATTACGTGGAACTAAAAAATGGTTCTAAACTCATTTTCTTGTTTTGAAATGATTTTCCCATCTTTTGAAGTATAATTTTCCCATCTTTTGTAGTGTGATTTTTGATGATAATTAAAGTTGTTTAGTGAAAGATTCTTTGTTTTTATTCTGCAACAGATGGCATGATTGACACATATTTTCGCCCAAAATAATTGTTTTTAGGTATGCCACTTGCAACGGAAAAGTTTGTATTCGAAGTCAATTCAAATGATTTGGCAAATCGGAAAATTACGAGTGCACCGATCATTATTGGTGGTTTTCCATGGTATGATCACATGATTTTGTATTTGAAATAAAACAATGAAGGTTTTCAGGAAATTAGCAGCTTGGAAAAAAACCGGATCTTCACAATATTTGGCATTAGAGTTGTTTTGCAATCCAGACAGTTTGAATAATATCTGGAGTTGCACAGCTGATGTTAAATTCACAATTGGTGTTATTGTTGGTGATCACCAAATAGAACCAGATGAGAAAGTTTTCGAAAATCAAAAATTTGAAAGCACAAAAAAAAGCATTGTCTATGATCAAGTAATGCTTTGGGAAAATTATATAAATCCGGAAAATGGTTTCGTTTCCACTAATAACTCATCAATTTTCAATGCATTCATCACAATTCGCAGTGATTTTGGAATCACAAAAGATGCATTTTATGAAATGAAAAAAAGATGGGAAGAAACTGCAGATGGTGTTGTTGTTATTGATGACAAACGAATTAAAGTTAACAAAGGGGTAATTCAATGTGTGCAGTAAGATTCCATATGAAAAATCACTTTTTTTCAGTTTTTGTCATTTAATTCAACATATTTTCATACACTTTTCAATGGAGGTTTTGCGGAACAATTGTCAGATGAAATTCATTTGAATGATGTGGAATATAACGCATTTGTTGAAATGCTTGATGTTTTGATCGATGCAAGAAGACAGAAAAAACCAATCACAGGTTAGAATTTTTTCGAAATGAATATTTTGACATTTCTCAGAGATTCGCTAGCCAGCTCGCCACCAGATCGCTGCGGCCACCTGGAAACCGCATGGCCACCAGGTCGCCTTGAGTTTTCCGGCGACGTGGCCTGTGTGTTTGAAATCTTGGAAAGCTGGCAAGATAGTGGTTTGTACTCAAAACACTGCATTTTCTACTGTTTTTTTCACTTCCTAAGGTTTCAAGTGCTGCGAAAAAACAGAAAATGAGCCAAATTTTTAGAAAATGCCTCAATTCACAAGTTTTTCAGACATTTTCATGAAAATTCATTTTGACGAGGCGAAGTGGCCACCACGTGGTAGCCATGTGGCCGTGACCTTGCCAGAGCCTGGCCACCTTGCCAGCGAAAAAAAACCGGGCGACATGGTTTCCATGCGGTTCCCAGGTCAGCCAGCCTTCCCACCTGGTGGCGAGCTGGCCAGCGAATCTCTGAGTTTTTCCAACGTGAATTCAAGTATTTTATTGCAGAACATAATGTTGCAAGTCTTCTCCAAATGGCAGATATGTATGACATCAAACCGCTCGTTTCTGACTGTGTTGATTTTCTGTTGAACACTTCAAATGTCGATTTATACGAAAAGCTCAGATTGTCTGCTGTCTATGGACTTAGCGCAGTTCAGGTATGACTTTTGATTTTTATTCACATCTCAGTTGGGATTATGCTACCCAAAAAAATAAATTGCTCGCTAAATTCTATAGGTTTAAATTTTCAAAACCACCCCATGAATTTTGACTGATGAACATACCACATTTAGAACCTGAAATTGCAGGTTGAAATATTTCCCTCAACTCAAAATTCAAAGGTTTTTAGAAAAAATTAATTTTATTCACACCTGGACAGGCGCCAAAAAATACGAATGAGTTATATTTTAGGAAAAATGTTTGCAATCAATGACCAACTTAGACTCAATTGTTAAATTTGCAAAATCTCCAAGTTTCAATGATTTGCCAATCGATACTCAACTTCTCATTCTTTACCGTATCCTTGAACACATTAATTAATTTTAAAATTAAAATTATCCTTATTTTTCTTCTGCATTTTTCCCTTTTTTGTGTCTTCCTTGTTAATGAGAATAAAGCAGATTTTCCTTTTACATAATCCTTTTTCTCTCTAAGAACCATTATTTTTGTGTTTTATTTTTCTAATGATCAAAAAAATCTCTTATTCATATTATTCTTTTTTTGTTTTCTTATATTTTTTTCTCGCTGAAAAAGTGATTAACTCTCTATCGAGCAGCCACCTGATTTTTCATTTAGTTTTTCTCCGCGGGGTTTATTTTCTGAAAATTGTTTTATGGGGTTTATTTTGGTTGATTCAAGAGAACTACTCGTTTTTTGAATGACGTTTTTGGAAAAGCAGAAAATCGACCACCCAAAATGAGTGTGACAAATTAACATGTCTGGAATTTTTTTTGTTGATGATTTCGAAAGTTCAAGAGTTTGCAGAACTCATAGGAAATTAGGAAAACTTTCTCTTAATTCAAAAATCCGATTTCAATTTTTGGAAAAAAAGTTTATTTCTAATGACAAATTTTTAATTATGTTGTTATGTTTTTTCAAAAGTTATCTGCCTAAAAATAGCAGCTGAAAATGTTTGATATTTGATTTTTGACTGTCTCTATTTATTTTTTGAAAGAAAATTTAGAAAAAAAGAGAAATTAATCGATTTTTTGAAATTAAAAATGAGTGACTACAAAAAGTTTTTATTTGTTTTTTTGTGGGAGCCGGAACAAATTCGACACAAGTTTTTCTTCTGCTCCGAATAACATTTTTTTCGGATTTCATTTTACGATTTTTATTGTGAAAAGAAAAGGGCACAAATCCTAGAATAGAAGAAAAAAAGACTTATCTAAATAAAAAATCATCATCTTGCTTTCTATTTTTATTTCGTTTCTTTTCTTTATTTTCTCTGAAAATATGCGCTCATAATATCCATCAAGAAATTGTATTTTCCCATTTATGGGAAAATTTTCGAGAACAAAATGATGTGAATGTTTCCCCTCCCTAAAAATTCTTTGCATTTCTTCCATTTTTTAAGCAAATCAAATATTTTTTTTTAATAATTGACAAAACACATTTCAGATGTTTTCTGATAGAAAATAGCTCAATTTTTATCAGGGAATTTTAGTTATCAAAGTTTTAGGATCTCATATTCTTTATAAAAAAGCTATGACGTGACAACAGTTGCTATTATTGTCAAAAATTGAGTACTGTACTTTGAAAAATCATTTTTGAATTCGAACAGAATTTATCGCATTTTATGAACATTTAGTTTATCCATAGATTCTGAGAATTTTCAGAAAAGTTTCTGATTCTTTCAAAAATGTATATCTATCGATCTTCCTGAAAAACATTATAAACTTCGAAAGTTTCAAAATTAGGAAGTTCGAAAAATCCGTTTTACAAATAAACTACAATAATCAACATGTGGATTTTTTGAAATTCAGAATTGCAAAGTTCTACATCCGCATAGAAAAAAATATGACGTGGCAACTTGCTATCCTTGATTGAAATATTTTTAAAACTAACTTTTCATTATCTCCTAAACTTTGCACATGGAAGATCAAAAGCTGAGTCCTATGAAATCAATTTTATTTTAGTTCCTAATTTGTTTATAAAGTCTAAAAACAGCGATTTTCGAAATTCCGATTCAAACCAGCCTTCTTCGGACAATCAATCATTTGACATTATTTTTTTTAAAGTTTGAATTAAGAGCCGCCTGTCTTCCACAAAATTCAAGTTATAGATTTTATCAAAAATGTTCTGCTTCGATTCAATTTTTATTTATTAACTAACTTTTGTTATCCAACTTTCTTCTTCTATTTTTCCAGGTGTTTTTTCGCATTCTGCTACCTTTTTAATGTTCTATTGATTCAGACAAAAAAGGCAACTTCTACTGGTTTCTTTCTGTTTTTTCTCACACATTTTTGTTGTTTTTCTCAACACGGAATGCTTTTTTCTTATCCAGAATTTCTCTGATGAAGGTTTTTTTGGTTTTCTCAACAAAAAAAAACGCTCTAAAAATACCACCAGTTTTTTTGTTTCGAAAATTTCAGCTGTGAATAAATTAGAAATCAAGTTCAAATTTTCATTGTCTTGGGTTTTTTTTTATTTTTTTCAAGACAAAGGCAGCAAAATCTACAGTAATTTGAAATTTTTTTGATACACTTTCTTAATAGATATAAGGGTTAATTAGAATAGGATTAACAAGAAAAATGGAATTTTGTAGTTTATTAAAAATACAATATCAGTTTTTCTTTTTCTTTCTTATTCGAAGAATATTTCACCTAACGATTTCTTATATAAATACTCAAACTAATTGAATAATGTTTAAGGCATATCGAATGGCGGAGCAACAATCTGAAAAGGTAAGACTTTTATTTTTTAAACGGGCTTGAAGATTAGACTAGTTTTCCAGCCAGCAGATACTAAGAATTCAACAAAATTTCAAAAATATCTTAAAAATATATTCAAGGTGCGCGATATTTTGCTTTTGCCAACAACTATCAATGAGCAAGTTCATGAATCAGCCACCGAACAAATTGCAGCCGTTGTCGATTTTTTTCATACAAAAATGGCGGAGTATAATGAGGTGAAAAAGAAAGGAACATTTTGAATCAGACCAGATTTTAAGATTAAAATTAAAATTTCAACCAACTTCGTTTTCAAGAGAAAACCCAAATTTCGCGACATCATTCCAATCATTTAATATTCAGGTTATCCAACAAAATTGTCGTGCAGTTTTTGTGGTAAATTATGTGCAAAATCGTTTCATAGCAACAGAATTCTGTCCTGAAATTGCTAAATTATTCGAAGTTTTAGCTGTGAAAAACTACGAGGAACTCAATCAAAAATTGGAACAATTGAAACAAGAACCTGAAAAAAGTGAGAAATTATCCAAAAAAAAATCCAAGTTTTAATATTTTTCAGAACAATCAGTTGAAGCGTTGTTAGAGGCAATTGGAGAATGGGATAAATTTTTGAAAAATATTGATGATGATTTGGACAAAACATTGGGACAAACTACTAATAATAGTCAAAATCATGAGCCAGAAGGTACTTGAAACTTTAGAAAAATATATTTTTGCAAAAAAATTTTCATAGATAACGCAGTTTTGGGAATTCAAAGCAAAACAATTTCATATTATGTTACTGGAAGTGCATTTGATTTTGTGTTGATTGTAGTTGTCAGGTACTTTTTATTATAACTATTTTCAAGAAAAAATTTAATTTATCACTAGAAATTGTTTTTTTCCAGATCTTTCAACAATCCAAAAGCAAATGAACATATTTTGGAACTTTATAAAAGAATCGATGAATTGAGAAAACTTGGATGTGATGTTTTTCTTCTTACAAAAGGGCCACCAATTGGATCAAGAGGTGGTGCTTATATTAAATTAATTGGAGTTCCGTTTCGTAAATTATATGATGCAGCAGAAGCTGAAAAAGAATTAAGAGTTCATCGAAAATCTGCAGTTCAATATACAAGTTGGGAACCTTTGTGTAAAGTTAGATCTTTTTTTTTACAAAAAAAAACTATTTCTAATAAATTATATTTGATTGCAGGTTGTTGAAAGTTCGTTAGTTGATGAAGGAAGACCTTCTTCAGCAATCAAAGAGAATAATCAAGGAAATGAAGAGCCAATGCAATTTATATCCCAAAAAGGAGGAGCTGTTTTAGTTAATAAAGCTGGAGATATACTTTATAAACATATTGAAGATGAAAAAGGAGAAACTTGGGCAAATATTGATGAAGTTGTTAAAATTGTTGAAACTAAGGTATTCGAAGCTTAAAACTAATATTGCAAAAATAAAATTACAGAGATCAAAAACGCCTACAAACAAAGAATTAGCTGCTCCTAAAAACATTGCCAAGGTTGATTCAGAAGTTTCGGTTGCAAAAGAAGCTTCGCCGGACAAGAAAAAACCATGTTGCATTATTTGTTAAACACGATTTTAATTTCACTCACTAAATTGAATCTAGTTCCTTACATACTGTATTATTCAATAAATCATTTGAAAATTCAAAAAAACAGAAATTGAATTCTAGTTATTGAAAATAAATCAAAATTCGAATTTACTCCAACTTTCAAAAAAGTTTAAAAGCACTAAGTTTAAAAGTTCAGAAATTGCAAAAAAAAAATTCGAGAATTTTTTTGCAAAAAAAAAATAAAAGTACAGTAATCCTTCAAGGAACACACAAACTTTTATTTTTTCCAGGTCCCATTTTTTGAAAAAAGTACTGTAGTTCCTTGAAGCCTTTTCCCTCCCTATTTCCTAGAACAATTTGTAAAAATGGCGAATACACGCCTGTTTTGCCTGAACAAAATTCGTCGGTACAGTAATATGACGCCAAAAAATAGGTCTCCATTTGGCGGCGCCGCGTTTTATGTCTTGGAGGCCCCAGAAAAATTTCAAAACATTCATACATACGTAATTTCATCTCTTCTCTTCGAATAAGTATAGTAGAAGCCTTAAAAATGGCGTTTTCACGTAGAAAAACGTGAAAAACTGGAATCGCTGCGAGACCTCATTCTTTCGAAAGATGTGTGCGCCTTTGATTTGCTCAGAATTTGATTTTCAGCCCATAACTTTTTTGAGAATGCGTTTCAGAAACAAGTAAATAGTTTTCCTGGCTCATCTCGACGTGACGAATCAAATGGTATATTCAGCTTTTTCTGAAAATGCCTCTAACATGCTGAAAACTGACTGAAATCACTGTCTAGTGTGTAAACACCGCGACGCACAAATGCACAAATTGCGTACCGTAGTGAAATTTTTCACCGTCGCAAAAAAACAGGCGTGAATATCGATTTTTCTTTACTTGCAACACACATTGGTGTGCGAGTAGACATGCAATTATATTTGAGGGAGGCAAGCGCGCTCTATCTCACAATGTAAACAGTTTGGTCAATTTTTGAATATGACACTGCGCGGTGGCGCGTTGAGAAGGACGCTCTAAACAGCTGTTGCGCGATCGATTTGTTTCAGTTGTCACAGTTTCCAGTCTCACTTCTTTTCTTCCCTTTTTCGTTTTCACACATTTCCGGTGATATTTTAGGATTCTTCGGTCTCTTCGCTACACAAAAGAACAATGATGCTCAGATCGAAACTCAAGAATGTTCAAGTTCCAGGTAAATTAAAAAATGAACATTTTTATTTATGAAAAACATCTTGAAATTCATAATTTTAGTTGACAACCGACAAAAGCGTAAGCAAGAATTGACACTGAACAAGAACCCAAATGAGCCAGCAGCCAAGAAGTCGATATGTGACATCAGCACTGGAATCAAAGCTTTTGCCATTGATTCCACGAAAAGAGCAAACAGAGTCAACGACGAAAATCTCAAGTAAGTATTTGACAGGTTTTCTCAAGTTAAAAATTCGATTTGGAACATCTAAAATAAGAGATTATAAAGTTATTCGAAGGATTTCGAATAATCAAAATAAGAGAATTTTGCAGACCAGAAAACGAATTGCAAGAGGGAACCAAGTCGGAAGCATTCATTGATCCATGCCCAAACTACGATTACGACCGAGATGAAGCTCATAATCCAGATAGTGTTTCTGATTATGCCAGTGATATCTTCAAATACTACAAGTCAAGAGAAAAGAATTTCCGAGTCGGAGATTACCTTCCCAAACACTCTGATTTGGACATGAAAACTCGCGCGATTCTGGTTGATTGGCTTGTCGAACTTCAGGAATCTTTCGAATTGAATCATGAAACCTTGTACAACGCTGTCAAGATTGTCGACATCTACCTCTGGAAATCGAAAAATGTCTCAAAAGACAAAATCCAAATGGTTGCTTCAGCTGCCATTTTCATTGCTGCCAAATATGATGTAAGAATTCATTGAATTATTTCTATGAAAAAGTTGTGAATAATTAGAATTTAACTAGTCAGCAGCTTTGAAAACATAGAATCAAGGAACTTGATTCAATTTGTAATTCAAGAAATTTCATATCATTTTTTGATTATCAAAGTTCTATTAGAAAAATTAAGATTTCAGTCAAAGAAATTTGATAAAACCTTTTCTATTTTTCTGAAACTATACTGAACTTGTTCATTCAAAAATAAGAAGACTACTTCAAAAACTTTTCGATAATTCTAGTTCTCCATTTTTCAATAAAATTCAACAACTTTTTAATTCAGGAGCGTTCACCACCATTGGCCGACGATTTGATCTACTTGGCTGGGGATCGTTTTGATCGCGACTTGTTAATGGCAATGGAACGAGAATTGTTCGCAACAATCGATTTCGATTTGGGATCTCCTTTGAGTTATCGCTATTTGAGACGATTGGCTAGAGTTTCGCACTCGGACATGTCTTCACTTACATTAGCTCGATATCTTCTCGAAACATCATTGCTCATTTATGATTACTCGTTGATTTCTGCGAGCAGAATTGCGTGTGCCGCTTTCCTTTTGGCCATGAAAATGAAGGACAAAGAGTATGAGTGGTGAGTTTGGAAAACAGTTATCCTCATTTTAAAGAAATTGCCTGAGATTTTTCTTCGCCTCCCAAGTTATTTCCGAAAAGAATACTTTCAATATTTTGAATCAAAAATTGATTTCTTGGTCCGACTTTCGAAGATTACAACCATATCTTCGCTAAGACCAAACAATTTATCGAAATTTGGGCGCTAATTTTTTTAGTGTCAAAATAGTAATTTTTCAAAATTTTATAAGGATTTTTGAACTTTAATAATGCAAATTTTCACAATTTACTTGTAGCAATACATACCTCATTCCGGATCCCGCTGTTCGAATTAAAAAGCATAAATGACTCTCTCTTTTTTCTGCCACGAATACACGTTTCACGTGGTTTAAATAATTTTTCAATTCCATCATTTCTCTCTTCACTAAATTTACAATAGAAGACAATTATCTCAAAATACTTTATGAATTACAGGAATCCAATTCTCATGAAATATTCTGGCTACACTGCCGATGATGTTCTTCCACTTGTTGAACATCTCAACCACACAATGCACATTGTTACCGGAAAATGGAAACAGTTGGCTAACATTCGTGAAAAATACTCACATGAGTAAGTGCAACTTTCTTTCTCTAATTTTTTTCAAAATCAATAATATTGTTCTTTTTCCAGAGTCTTCTTCAAATCTGCACTTATTCCACTTCTTCCGGATACTTTGGCTGAACACAAAATGTTCGCTCCACTTCCACAAATGTCTTTCCCATAATTTTCTAATTTTCCACCTTTTTTAATAGTGGCACTGAGTGCACAAAACAACCAAAAATTTATATTCGTTTCAAATCTCACAATTTTTCCTTTTATCTAAAACATTCTCATTCTGTCTGCTCGCAATTTTTCGTAAATATTGTTGAGTATCTTTGTTACATATATTTTGTCACCAAAAATAAAGTTCCCATTTTAAAATTTTCGGATGCGCGCGTGTGACCGTGGCCGAGAAAAATGATGATAAAGCAAACACGCTCTATTGAGTTTGTGTGCTTCTCATCTTTTTTGCGCTCGATTTTTTATTTTTTTTTTCTCGGTTCACCACTAAAAACACGTGATTTTCGTGCAGGTACCTTTTTTTGCAATTGAGATAACGAATGAAAAATCACATATTTTGGTTTCCAAAAAGTTGTGTTTATGATTCAGTTTTGATAGGAAGTATTAACTTTGAGATTATTAATTTTATTCAATCAAGATTTTGAGCAGGACAACCAACATTTAGAATTCTTCTGTAATCTTATCATTGGAAATTGTCGTTTTCGTGGATTGTTCAACAAGAAAAATATATTGATATCTGATTGTGAGATACTGATATAATCTTAAATAGCGTTTTATCTTGATGTCTTTAAGAAGAATAACATCGTTAACTAATTATTCACTTTTATCTTTAAACGTTCTCTTTATAAAAGTCTTTCACATTTTCGTGGTGTTATCAAATAAAATTATCACGTGATTTTCACAGAAACGAAAACTGAAGACACATGAAGACTGACGATCCCATGTCTGACGGGTTGGAAACGGGTAAAAACGATGATTCTTTCATGGATTCTTCAGATTCTCCAATGGTTAGTTTTTTCACAATTTCTAATTGAAAATATTAATTTTTGTTCAGAAAGTATCAGACACTGATAGATTGAGATCTCTGGTAATTGATGTTTTCGCATTTGATAATATGAAAAATGAAACTATCGAAGCGTATTCGGATGCTATTTTGGAGTTGCAAGATGTAAATTTTACTGGTTCACCAAAAACTTTCCAATCAAATATTACTGAAATTGTTGGGAACGTTGTTGCACTCTCAAATAGTCAATCATCTCAATATCAATCAACATCCGATGGTCAGTGATTTCTTATCAATCAGGTTTAATTAGGGTTCAATTATTTTCTAGATTCTTCATATTCTGTTGGAGTTCGTTTGGGTTTGCCAGAACTTGAGACAATTTCTACAACGAAATCACATGCAGCTCTAAATTTTCTGCTTTCGGCACATATGAAATGTGTTCGAGCACAGCGTGATGAAAGTCGAAATGAAGATGAAAAGCAAATTTTGACTATTATTGAACAATGTATTTTTTCGAATTTGTCTTCGGTGCTGAGAGGACAGTTTGAACCATTGTGAGTTTTTTCTTTATTGACATAAAACACGTTGAGTAAATAGAGACGATTATAAGATTATTGAAGATAGATTTTCAATACTTATTTTGTTTTAGAATATGTGGTCGAGACGCAAGAATTTCGTTTATCAAACGTGTTTATGAAGATATGATTACTGAAGCATCTTTAATTGGACTTATTGCATATTGTTCTGATTTATCAGTTTCTGATTCTTCAGCTTTATCTGAAATATTCAATCCAATGTTTGATATTCAACGTGTTTGTGTTTCTATTCAACACATGGAAAATACAAATGGTGACGCAACAATGTATTTAATTTATCGTTTCATTATTCGTCTTCTGTCTGTAAAAATTGGATCATCTCGACCATTATGCGATCTTATTGTTGAAAGAAATGATTTCAATTTTAAATCGATTGCAAAGGATAATGGGAGAGAAGTTGCTTTGATGTCTTATTTGGGACCATTTTTCAATTTCGGTTTAGTCGCTGATGAAAGAAAACCACTTACAAAAGCATTTGAAGGTGCTCATGAAGATGGAAACAAAGATACGATACAATTAGAAATGAAACAATATCAACAAAGATCTGCTGCTGTCAGATCTTTGTTACACCAAATTATTCATCAACTTGTTGCAAATACATCAACAAGAGGAAAAACTTTGCAATGGATTAGTGATGTTATATCGAAAAATCGAAAAAAGGCACAACTTCATGCTGATTCTTCTCAATTAGTTCCAAATCATTATATTGCCAATTTTCTGTTTGTTCTTTATGAATTATCGGCAAAAATTGGATTGGACAAAGTCAATCCTTTGTATCCTTTCAAATCAAAGTGTCTCGTTGATATCAAAGAAAAAACACGACTCAAAATGGATTTACAACAAGCAAGAGAATATTCTGCCAAAGTTGGTGAGTTATTTTTAAAAATTTCCTGGCGTTCTACATTTATTCTACAAAAATGTTTTTCAGATAACGATACGGAGGAAAAGTTCACAACTGAATGTTTTTTCCTCACAATCGAATGTCAACATCTTGTTCTTGAGCCAATAAATAATTTGATTGGAGAATTCAGTCGATATATCAGTGATTTGAAAAACAAAATTGAATCAATTCGATCAAATATCTTGAACATTTTACAAGCTCAAAATGTTGATCGAGCTGCTTTGGAAGTGAAATTGCAAAGAAATGAAATGAAATTGAAAGTATACAGTCAAGTTAGAGCATGTTTGCGAACTCAAGTAAGAGATCAATACTTGATTTCAAATGCATTGGATTTTGCTAATAAGCAACTTCTTTTATTGCTTCAATCAATCGATAAAAATGGGTAAATTTATTTCACCAAAAATAATGTAATAATATTTGTGTTTTTTCAGTGATTTCTCTGGAACTTCTCAACAATGGAATTTCCCATCCGAAGCACCAGAACAATTTGCTGCATATCCAGAACATTATCTTGAAGATATTCTCCATTTATACATTTTCGCAATGCAACAAATGAGAGATGTTGTTCATGAAAGAAGAAATGATTGGCCAGGTCAATTAGTATGCCTTTTCACAAATATGAAATTATTCAATAATCCGTTTTTGGTGGCGAAATTAGTTGAAGTTATCACAAGTACAACTCCAATGTATCATCCAAATCAAACAGCTTTGTTTTTCAATATGATAAGTTTGCCATTATCAAAAGAGAAATTACTTCCAAGTTTGATTCGATTTTATTCGGATTTTGAAGATGGTGGAGAATTTTATGAGAAATTCCGAGTTCGAAGAAATATTCAAATTATATTTGATCATCTTTTCAAGGATTATTTGTATAAATCAAAATTCATGGATATGGCTCGAGAATGTGGAACAGAATTCATCCGATTTGTAAATATGATTATTAATGATGCAACATGGTGTATTGATGAAAGTTTGGCTGGATTGAAACAAATTCACGATGTTGAAAAAATAATGGATAGAACTGATGAATGGAGTGCAACATCACAAGAAGAACGAGATCAACAATTAGGAGTTTATGAAGAAGCAAAAAGAAAAGTTAGCGGATGGCTTAATTATGCATTCGAAACTTTACGATTGTTAGTTGCTCTAACTACTGATTCACCACATCCATTTATGACATCTATTCTTGGTGAAAGACTTGCGGCTATGTTGAATCATAATTTATCACAATTGTGTGGTAATAATTGTCAAGATCTTAAGGTTTTTGAAATATAATATTTTAGAAATATAATATTCAACAAAAAAATGAATATATTTTTAGGTAAAAGATGCTACTAAACGATATGGTTGGGATCCTCGTCGATTTGTTTCTCTTCTTATTGATATTTATCTCAATTTACACAATGATCAATTTGTTAAATATGTTGCATATGATGAAAGAACATATACACCAACAACAATGAAAGATGTTCTTAATCGAATGGATCAACGAAAAATTGTATCGATTAGTCAAATTGAAAGATTCAAACGTTTGTTGGATGATGCCGAGAAAGAATATATCGCAAAAGCTGAATTCGAAGAAGAACTTGATGATGCTCCAGAAGAATTCAAAGGTATATCTAAAAGTCTGAAAGTTTTAACTGGAACAGATTTTTTTTGAAAAGATATTTTTCCATAACATGATTTTATTTAGATCCGATCATGGATGCAATCATGGTTGATCCCGTAAAATTACCATCTGGACATGTTATGGATCGAGCTGTTATTGAACGTCATTTATTAAGTACACCTAATAATCCGTTTAATCGTGCACCATTAACTGCAGCAGAACTCGAACCACGTTAGTTTTAAACTCTCCCAGAATATTTTACTTTTAAAAATTGTTTTTATTTCAGAACCCGAACTAAAAGCTCAAATCGAATCATGGATCGCTCAAAAGCGTAATAAAAAGTGATTTCAAACAATATTTTTGTATATATCCGGAAATGCAATATTTATTTTTATTTATTTTCTCCCACCCTTCTAAATATCATTTTTCTTTGAATACTTGTCAAATATTTTTTATAATGCATCATGGTTTCTTTTTGATTTGAAACGGATAAACTTCATTTGGGATCTATTTTTATAATTTCTTTTTTTTTTCTGAATGGTGAAATTGAATACCATTAAATACTTCCAATTAATGTTTCTCTTTTTTTATTAATTAGTTCAGTATGTCGATTTTTGGAGCATTGAAAATCTCGTAGGTTTCAGTGTGTTGTACTGTACCTTTTTAACAATACTTGCTTTTTACCTCTATTATTTCGAAGTTTTTGTTGAAAATAGTTGAAAACAAAAAAACTATGTTTTCAGCTTGGTCGAACGAATTTGGGCAAACATGGCACTTTTTGCAAAACAACTTCAGGTCAGTGAAATATTACGAGTTTTGCAGACTTTTCAGATGAACCCTGGTTCAATCTCGAAAAGTTTGGCATAAATATTAGGTCCGAGCTCTTGAATTTGTCTAACACCGAAATTATTTTTTAAAAGTTGTTTTAAATTAGCTTCAACTGAAAAATTTCAGCCCGGCCTTTTTACCAAAACAATTGAATGTTTTCAGACTATTACCGCTGGCGGTCTTCGTTCTCAACAAGTTCGAATGGCAAGTAACGAGGTTTCATTCCACACAAAGGTTGGTTTTTCTTTCTCAATTTTCTAGAAAATTTAAAAAAAAACAAAATGAGATATGTATTATATAGTTTATTATTATTCCAAATATTCAAACAAAAATATTAAATATCACCGAATCAAAATAAATTGCGAAATAAATATTAAACTCGAGCAATGTTTGAGTAATAATTATCGCGGAAGAGCTTCAGTTTCACCAAATGAAGATGCATTGCATAAAAGTAGACAACGTCGTGAATGATTGAGAAGAAAAGTAAAACTCCAAGAAGATTGAGAGGAATATCATCTGAAAAGAAACATGGTTTTCATGATTTTTTAATACATTCATTTTATAAACTTACAATATTCAATTTTCGAATCCAAAAATTGTTTGAATTTGATTATGAATAAAATTGCTGTTCCAAATGTAGCAATGATTGCGACAAAAATGTAGAGAGGCATGAAAATTCGACGAGTGAATAATAGTCCACTGATTAGGAGTGCTACAATTGCAAGCCATTCGACCATTACAACTCGAGTTAATGTAGCTTCATCTAGAAAAATTATTCAATCATTTTTTAAAATATTATGATTAGTTGAACTTACCAAAATGGTCGTTCATACTTCTATGAGTATAATTTCCATATTGATGAAGAAAACATCCAGCATAATAGCAGATAGCAATAATTGCAATCAGTAGATATGTTAGAGCTCCAATTGATGAATGGGCAATCCATTCTATATCGATCTTTTTAGAATTTGAGGCATCTCTCAAAACCATTGTTCGTGCATCGATTGTAAGCGGCTGAAAAATATAAATGAAATAATAATTGCATAGAAACGAAAGAGAAAAGTATGTAATTATTTAGAGAAATAACAAGTAATGACTTACCTTATCAGAACTGACAGTGAAATCAGATGGTGGAATATAGAAATATGAGTTCTCGGCATCTCTAATCGAATATTTGTTCGATTTTGATGAACCAGGAGTAAAATATAGAGATGGCACTGGTGAAGCAGCAAAGTTTGTATGAGAAGTCATTTAGATAGTAATTATCGAAATTATGGTAATTTATGGTCCGATTACATTTCTTTTTATAGTCACTCTTTTATAAGCCACGCCCCTTTTCAAACCACGCCCATTTTTTTACCACATTGGTGTTATGCGGTAATCTCTTTGTAATAAGCACACTTAGGTGTGAAAAATTTAAATTGGTTGCCACGTTTGTTCGAATAAGAAACAATAGGAGATAATGGTTTGGCGTGAAGTTTTGGGGGTGTTAATATAAATATTGTTGAATATATAATTGAATTGAAGATGTTTGGTGGGAGGTGATGAATTTCACTCGACAGCAATTCGAAATAACATTGAATCATCTCAAAGCAATTTTAGAAAATGGAAATATTCATAGAAACATTTTTTAAATTTCTTGAAACGTGAACTGTGACGTGGCAATTTGGAAAAGTGATTTTTTTTTCATTTTTAAAAATCTATTTTTATGAATTCACACTGTTATTTTGGTTATTCTGAGAAAAATAAAGAGTTCCAGATTTTTCTTGCAAAGGAAGTTCATACGGTCTGAACAGCCTTACCTTAAAAATCGCGAAAATAAAAACTTAATCCTTATTTGCTCAATTTTTCTGGAAATTGCTTCAGAAACGAGAAAAATGCCGATAAACATATTCTTCCCGAAATGTGTTAATTCGGCACACTTTTAAAGTGTCAATTGTGGTCATTTAACACAAAAGCGTGAAGCCTTTCAAGTTTTTTCGCACTTTTTTGAGAATGTTTGCCCTGAGCAAGTTATCAAATGTTCAAATTATTTCAGCCATACAAATTGCATAAACTCGACAACGGACCAAATACATCGGTTACATTGAATCGTGACGATGCTCTCAGTTATTATCGTCAAATGCAAGTAATTCGTCGAATGGAATCGGCTGCTGGAAATCTTTACAAAGAGAAGAAAATCCGCGGATTCTGTCATTTGTATTCTGGACAAGAAGCTTGTGCAGTTGGAATGAAAGCAGCAATGGTTCAAGGCGATGCTGTTATTACTGCTTATCGTTGTCACGGATGGACTTATTTGTTAGGATCGACTGTTACTCAAGTTTTGGCTGAACTTACTGGTTTGTTTTTCATTGATTTGATAGTTTTTGGCACAGTTTCGTTATATTATCCTTAATTCAGGTCGTATGGCTGGAAATGTTCATGGAAAAGGTGGATCAATGCATATGTATACTGATTCATTTTATGGTGGAAACGGAATTGTCGGAGCTCAACAACCATTAGGAGCTGGAGTCGCTCTTGCAATGAAATATCGTGAACAGAAAAATGTTTGTGTTACTTTGTATGGAGATGGAGCAGCAAATCAAGGACAACTTTTCGAAGCAACAAATATGGCCAAATTATGGGATTTGCCAGTTCTTTTTGTTTGTGAAAACAATGGATTTGGTATGGGAACACCAGTTGAAAGATCATCGGCTTCAGTTGAATATTATACTCGTGGAGATTATGTTCCGGGAATTTGGGTTGATGGTATGGATGTTTTGGCTGTTCGTGAAGCAACAAGATGGGCTAAAGAATATTGTGATAGTGGAAAAGGACCATTGATGTTGGAAATGGCAACTTATAGATATCACGGACATTCTATGTCTGATCCAGGTACAAGTTATCGTACTCGTGATGAAATTCAAGAAGTTCGTAAAACTCGTGACCCAATCACTGGATTCAAGGATCGTATTATCACAGCTTCATTGGCCACCGAAGAAGAACTCAAAGCAATTGACAAAGAAGTTCGTAAAGAAGTTGATGAAGCATTGAAAATTGCTACAACTGACGGAGTTTTGCCACCAGAAGCTCTTTATTGCGATATTTACCATAATACACCAGCACAACCAGTAAGTTGCAAAAGTTTAACTAAATCAATAATTATTTTATTTCCAAATTAATTTCTAGGTTCGCGGAGCTCTCATCGAAGATACCATCGTTCAACCATACAAAACATCAGCCGACCTTCTCAAAGCAATTGGAAGAGCATAAAAAGTTAAATTTAATGTAGGGAATAATTTTATATGAGCTCATAATTTTAAGCATGAAATTATAAATGTTTCAAAAGGTAAACTAAACTAATTATTATGTACGACAATAAAAACATGCTAAACCCGAAAAAAACGAAAATCTAAATGAAAAATTATTTGATTTCGACGAGATATGAATTGATATTCAGCTTTTCAGCATCCATTACGACCTTCTGCAAGAAAAATCGATTTTTGAAAATTGGAACATTTCAAAAAAAAACTTACATCAATATCAATTTCAGGTTCTTCAACTAAAATTGGATCCGAATGAAGTTTTCTTTGTAAACGAGTTGTTGCTGGAGGAGATGAACTATTATTTGAAGAATTTTCCATATTTGGAGAAGCAGATCTGAAAAACAAACAAATTGATTAAAATGTTTTTAAATTAGTTTCACGTAACCTAGATAATTTATCAGATTTTGAAAATCAAAAAAAAAGGTGTTTAGAGATAGTTATTTCTTTCAAAAAACCTAATTCTATTCAAACTATCATAAAGTCTCTTCAAACAGTAAGTCTAATTAAATTAAAAATGATATGTTGAATAATTAAAATTATTTCAGAATTTATAACTGAAAAGAAACAAATTATTAATTGAAAATGAAGAAGAAGAGTCAAAGAAATCGAGGAAGCAAAAGAGATGCTAGTCAAAATACTAGTAATCAAAATTGTCAATTTACTAATAATAACAATAAAAAATTGGATCGAAGCAAGAGAAGTGGAATGTAAGTTGGAAAATATTTTTTTTTAAATTCTCGATTTTAGTTTTAACATTATAAAATTTTTTTAGGGTGAGAAAGAGATCGGATATACACGGCACTGCAAATTCAGGAGAAACTAAAGGAAAATCGAATAGACCAAGAGAAAGATATGAAAAGAGTTCGGATGAAGATCGAGATAATGTGAAATATCCAAAAGAGAAAAAAAAAGTTGGGATTGAAAAGAAGAAAGAATCAAATACAAGTACAAATAATAAAAAAGAGGAGCAAAAACAACCAGAAGAAATGACGAAAAAACGAAGAAGTTGTGAGAAAATGGAGGATAAAAAAGAGGAAAAAGAGAAACAATCACCACAAGCAAATGATAATCCGAAAAAACTATCAACTGCAAAAGAAAGATCGCCAGCAAAAATGAATGAAGAAGGAGCTAAGGATAATAATTCTGGACTTGATTTGACAACAAAAGAACCAATTAAACCAGTTAAAATGGATGATGGATATGAAGATTTTGGACCAGGAGCATAAAATGAATAAGCATAAAAATCAATAAATATTTTGATTTATATTGTATTTAGATATCATTTCTTAAGATGATTTCATAATTGAATTTAAACTTTGAAAAAAACGAACCTTTGTGGAGTACTTGCTCCCGAACAACTAAGCAATGCTTTTTTCTGTTCTCTTTCAACAATAAAAACATTTCGTCTTCTTTCTTCTTCTCCAATTCGATCATAAATTACACCATCGACGCCCAATTCTTTTTTGAAATAATTAATATTTTCTTTTTTATCTAAATCTTCTCCCCAAACAAAAGTGACCATTCCGAATTCGTTAGCTTTTTTGACTGGCATCGGATCTTTGAGTAAATCTTCGGAATTGAAATTGACACCCTGGAAAACAAATATGAATTTTTTGCAAGATCAAAAAAAAGGTTCAAAAGTTTAGTTTAAAAAAAACGAGAGACTGAAATGATTTGGGAGAAATTTAGCCGATGTTTTTGAATTTTGGAATTCTATTATTTACCTTAAAGGTCTATTCCGTTTCCAAATTTTAAAAAGATGCCCTTCTAAATCCCGAGGAATACTAACTAAAAGATCAGCTCCAACTGCAAAATTAACAGCAGTCATTGAAGTTGATGTTCTTTGATCGACAAATGGAGTATATCTTTGAGTATCTCCAACACATAAAAATAGAACTGGATAACGATTTTGTTTTGTTGCAACCATCGAACAAATATCCGGATCAAAACTGCTGAACATAATTCGACGATTTCCAGCATGTTTCAAAACATCTGATAAAATTATATCAACAAATGTATTTCGCTCGAAATAATGATCGCATTCGTGTTCACCATTCTATAAAAATAAACAATATGGGAATAATCTAACAAAAATTAAATTACATTTTGCATCATTGGATATTTAACTTCAACATTGAAACCAACATCAGGATCAACTTTTGTCAAAGCTTCAGTCAATGTTGGAAATGGTTTGAAATCTTCTTCTTCTTCTCCAGCTTCTACGAGCTTTTTAACATTTTCCTTTTTTTGTGGGAAACTCAAATGATCAAGCTGGAAAAATAATTTAATTATTATAATGAAAAATTAAGAAACTCACCATCAAAAGTTTTAATTGTGATAATTTCAAATCTTTGACTGGTAATTCATGATAATCTAGATTTGTAACATCTTTGAAACTATCCATTGTTGGAGGTGGTGGTAATGCATGTCCATCTCTTCTAGCAACTGATACCAAAACATGAAAATCATGATAAATTACAGCAATCTTATCTTTTGTTAATTGAACATCGAATTCAACATAATCTGCTCCATTTTTAGCAGCTGTATTCAATGAATGAATTGTATTTTCTCGAGCCATTGCAAATTTCGTATACGAATTTCCGGCTCCTCGATGTCCAACTTCTAACGCATTTCGCTTTTTCCAATGTCGGCAAAAAGTTGTATCCATTTTTTGAACATAATCTGATCGATTCAAAGATTTCACAAATAAATATTCAATTGAAACTTGTCCAATTGGTCGACCAGTTGAATTTATAAATGGTAATTGAACAATTCCACAAGTATCTTGAAGTGAAGAAGGAAGTGCATAACATGCTCCAATTCTTTTACGTTCTTCCGAAAATATTTCAATATAAAATGCCTGAAATTATTTTGTTTGAAAGGGATGACTGGATTTTAAATAATTCTTACCAAAAATTCAGTTGCAACAGAATGTGTTCGGAAAACAAGATAATCCTTATTATTGTTGAAAATAACTCCAGTTTCTTCCTGATCATAAAATTTGGGTTTTGGATCTGAAAGAACTGCAACTTGTGTTTGTGAATGTGTTGAATTATTTGAATTTGAGTTTGGATCTTCATCATCTTCTTCTTCATCTTCGCCATAACTGAAGCTTATATGTGCGCTGCTTGGCTGAAAATATATTAATTATGAAACATTTTGCTAAAAATTCCAATTAAAACTAACATTACGATTTCGAACATCCATTGGAGTCAACTTGACTCGACAATTTTTTCGCTCCTTGACAGTTTTGTAGAATTTCAGCGCATTTCCATGAAATCTGAGTAGAATTTGATTTTCCTCTGGATATTGCAACCATCCATCCGAAACACATTTTCGGCCAGCTAAAAGGAGAACTTTCGGATGAAAATAAGAACACTGCCATGAAACATACCATAATATCCAAATAAATCAACACGATCCAAGCGACATTCTCCATTTCGACTTTCAACTTGACAAAGAACTGAGCGAGGATTCAGAAAAGCTTCCCATTTATCTGAAGAATACATGTTTAGTCATTTAAAATAAATACATGATTCGGAGGACTTACCAATAATCAATCGTTCTCCATTATCCGAAGTCAAATAATAACCAACAAAATACCGGAATTTGATACTCTCGTCGGTTGTTTCAAAATCTCCCTTCCAGCGAATTCTGAAATTAGTAATTTTGAGAATAGATTCAGGTCCGGCGGGGAAAATTCCCATGAAAAAATCAAAGCAATCTTACTTTCTTTCGGGATCTTGTTGAAGAGCTAAAGCTTTAGTTGCTTCCCATGATCCAAGTGAGCTCGCTGAGCCAACAACAAACACCGAATGATGAGCTTGCAAGTTTTCAACATCGACGGCGAAATGAACACGAACCGATCTAGCCGCCATCGGCATTGCTGAAAAAAAACAAAAGAAAATGATTGTTGATCTAAAAAAGAAAGAGAAAAAAGGAGAATATAAACAACATCTGCTTGTTTACCAAAAATATTTCTTTTCAGTTTGTTGAAAAAAAACCAAGGATAAAATAAATGTTGAAAATAAACCAGAAACTATTGTAGTGCGAATGTAAACATAAATAGATAAAAAGACGCTGGAGTTGAATCAACTGATAAAAAAACAAGACAGGTAAATTGTCCGGTTGTTTTTATTTTTGAAAGTTATCGAGGAACTTTTTTCTGAACTCTGTTCATTTTTTGAAAGCGAATATTTAGACCGAGAGTTGTTTCTTCTGCAATTCATTTGAGACACGAAGATTCAAAAAATAGCACACTTTTTGCGGAAGGAAAAAAGAACGCACTCTTGTGGATCAATTCATCTGAAGAAAAAATGAATTTCGCGACATTTTTTGTCGCGAAATTGCAATTCGCGAAACGACACGAAATTAATAAAATAAAAGAGGAAATTATTTTTTCGTGTGTTGGGTCTCGCAGCGATTACGTGTCCCTTTAATATTTCTCCTTTATTTTTGTGTTTATTTCGTGTCGTTTCACGAATTGCAATTTCGCGACAAAAAATGTCGCGAAATTCATTTTTTCTTAAGATGAATTGATCCATTGATGTACTCTGCGAAAGTGCGATTGAAGAATGAAAGAGAGAGAGAAAAAATGAATAAATGTGAAGATTTGTGATTTTTCCCTCAAGGTTATAGTTTAAAATATAAGCAATCAAACATTTCTTGAGGATAAATAATCACAAAAAATCGAAATGATAAATGATTTTTTAATTTGATAAATATTTAACAATGAGAACTTATTTTATCACGTGCGAATGTTTTTGTTTGAATTAGGTAATTCATTTTCAGAAAAAATCCGGAATCTGAAAAGAAAATAACAAAAGAGAAAAGAAACAAGTTCAAATAGAGCGAAAAAAACAAGACTGCGAGGGGCTAAAATCAATAAAATACATTTCCGTTTGGCTCTTTTTTGAAATCGGATGAGAAAAGGACAACAACATTGAAATAAGTGAGCGGATTAATTTTATATTTACATTGTGATAGGTGCTCGTGGACGCATTTTTGAGTGCAAGAAAAATCCCGACACAAAATGTCTTGAGAAAAATTTATAATCGAATCAAAAACAATTTCGATAAATATGATTTCGAAATTATTTGCTATTTCTATTGTTATTTTATTTATATTTTCAAAGAAAAAGTTTCGAAAATGTGACTATGGTGAATATTGAATAACTCGGCCAGTGGATAGAGATGAGAGAAATAGAGAAAAGAGGAAGCTAGAGAGAAGTTAGAGAAAATGAATATTGGATGACGTGAAAAAAGAGAATATTTCCTTGACATTTTTTGTTGTAATCAGAACAGGATTGTTATTATTCAGAAATATTAAATCTTAGATGGAAAAATTGCAAGATCAAGTGATTTTTACTGAACAAGTCGAAAATTTCTCAATAACCTGAAACCTATGCGATAATTAAAGATGTTCTTCTTTTTCTATAGAGAAAAATGGATACATTGTGTGGAGAAGCTCGATTATTTTGAAGAAAACTTGCGCGAGAAAAAAAATGAAAAAACATTTGAACGTCAGATTCGATGTTTTCGTGTGTGTGTGCAAACACACAACGAATACAGTAATCCGTGAAAAATAGTTTTTTTTTTCAAAAAAAAAAAGATTTGGGCATTTTTGAGAAGAAACCGCTGGATAGAAAAATAATTGGGACACAGAGGATTTGAGTATCAGAATTCATATATTCTAAATTAAATGTCAGGTGATTCTGAAAACTGTTGTCCGACTCGTATCTTCGAAAAAAAAAACAATTTGTTTTTTCAGGGATATTATGATATAGCACGTGTCAAGTGACATCATATAGCTACTTTACACAAAATCAAAGGTTTAATAATATTTTTGAGTGCAAAAAGAAACATTGGAGATGGCTTTTTACCAAGTGTACCCAATATATGACTCATTTAGCGAATGACTTTCTGAGAATTACTGTAGGGTTGAAGCTCATCCCACCTCTCATTTAAATACTTACCATTATTATCAATTGGAATATCTTGCTGCATATTACCAGATTGTTCTTCTTCTTCAAAACATTCCGATAATCTCGGTCTACGAGACAAAGATGAATTGATCGAATTAGCGTGTGAATCAAAAACAATCGATGCTTTTGGTGAAATAGCACGGCGAGTGAAATGCATTTACCTTAAAAACAAAACAATATTATTGTTAACATTATATACTTATACAAATTTTGATGATAAAAAAAATGATTATTTCATTGAAAGAACAAATAATTTCAACATGATTAGACCGTGGAGGAGATGAAAAAAAGAAATTTCGAAAAGAACTTTGAGTGAGAACTTTTATCACCTCATAAAAATTGAAAAATTAAACTGATAATTCGCGGAAACAAAAACTTTACCCTCAAAAAGGTGTGATAATTATCGACTTTGGAATCATTAAACATGTTTATATAATATAATTACTGTAGATTCGTGCAAAGTCTTTCAATTTTATTACAATTTTATCAATAATCAAGTTCAGAAATTCATAACAATGGTTTTTTTTTTCGAAAAAATTGATGAATTTTTTAGATATAAAAAAACCTATTATAAAAATTTTCCATAAAAGTCCGAAAAACAACGTGGCTTTTAACTACAGTAATCCATCCCATCTAATTCTAAAAAATTCCATATGTTGAACTCTCAAAAAATTAATTGATCTCGATTATTTTTAGTTCAAACATTTAGTGGATCAGCGGGTTTTTCTCTACGAAAATCCGAAATTTGCACAGTTTTTTCTTTACACAGCCTTTCGTTTCTCAATGATCAAATCACATATTTGGTTAATTTTTAGTTGTTAGAATTGATTTGAGTAAAACTTTGGCAGGTGTTCAAATACGATACAATTTCTTTAAAAAGCAATCGTGAACATTGAAAAATGTATCAAAAATGCAATTAACTTCGGTTGTTCTCATTGTTTTCACTATTTTCGTTGGAATCGAATGTTGTACAGATTCAGCATCGGCTTGTGCTTCATGGAAAAATAACGGATTCTGTACCAATTCCTTCTACACAAATACACAACGAGCTGCATATTGTGCGAAATCATGTGGATTGTGTAGTGATACTACAACTGCTTCATCTGGTTGTACTGATTCATCTGCGAAGTGAGTTTCATTTTGGACACGTCTCGTCAGGTGTGATACTCGAATATCTTATTGTATTTATATCATCTTCCCAGAAAAATAAAACTCCCAACTAGTTTCGTAAAAAATCAACTTATTTTTCTCAATTTCAGCTGTGCCGGATGGAAGGCAAATGGTTTCTGTGACAGCACTCATTATACTGATGCAGTAAAAACCCAATATTGTGCAAGTACATGTTCGAAATGTGATTCTACCGGAACTACAGCTGCTGGAGAAGAAACAACAACTGGTGGATAACTTTAATTTCTATAATTTTTAGTTGATTTTTCATAAATCGGTTCACAAATCATGTACGACAATACTATTGAAAAATTCAGGGCCTGACTGTCAGGTTACTGTATAATTGAACAGTTTTCCCAAAAATCGAAACATCATCAAAAACTAGATTTTAATTGCCGCTCTTCTGTGCACGTATTCGAGATTCAATAACTATTAAAAATTCTAAACTTCAAATTTTGTTTACTTTCACAGTGTAACAAAAAAGTGACCGTCAAATATTTTTCTTACTTTAAACATTCAATATCTAAAACTCTAGTGTTTCATATACTATTTCGAATGTTTTTGTAATATCATTGATAGTTGAAAAAGGAAGCGATATGATACTTTTTAGTTATTCTAAGGTCGTTTTTATGGTCATTTTTTGATTTTTCTTTCGAAAACTGACCAAATCATATATTTTTCTATTGAATCGATGATAAGATTTTTCTTCGCCTAACATTTGTTTTTTTTAAATAAAAATAGATATAATGAATCATCTTCCGGTTGTATTTTCCTATTTAAACATTTTCATTTTGTTCAAATTTTCAGTAAGAAATGCAAAAACTTGTTATTCTCGCTTTATTCGTTGCTTCGGCTTCAGCAATTCCATTTATCGGATCGGTTCAAAGTGTTAAAGTAACTGGAAAAGTAACATGTAATGGTCAACCAGCTGAAAATATCAAAACAAAACTCTATGAAAAGGAAATTTGTAAGTTCTAAATTTTTCGAAATCATTCATAGAATAATTGTATATTATCTTAGTGTTGGACAAACTTCTCGATGAAAGAGCAACTGATTCAGCTGGAAGCTTTACTCTTTCTGGAAATAAGAAAGAATTGACTGCCATCGATCCACATGTTAATATTTATCACAAATGCAATTATAATGGACCATGTTACAAAAAATTGAAGATTGCTATTCCAAAATCATTCATCACTGAAGGAGAAACTCCAGACAAAACTTTCGATATTGGAGAGCTCAATTTGGCCGGTTCATTCTCCGGAGAATCAACTGATTGTTTGAATTAAACATTTTATGGAATTTAATAATAAAGATGGATATACTTACATTTTACACGATTTCTTGTTACAAGCATTTTGGCATTTTCATTGGTTCAGATTTGTAATTCGCACGAGATCGAGTCATTTTTTGAGATGCTTCCGTAGAATGAATACAATTCTTGATTTCATCTCGAGTTGAACTTGAGATTCTTGTGATTGTTGGTCGATTTATTGTTGTGTTCAAAGGAAGAACACCATTGTACAGAGACGATAACACTTTTACAGCTTCAGTTTTTGATTTTTGATTGGAACCACGTTGAGATTTTTGATGGTACTGGAAAAATTTAGACTTACAAAACTTTTTGACTATATTTTGATCTACCCGCGTTTATTTGTTTTATCAAGATTAAAATTGAATTAATATATGTCTAATTCTCTTTCTTCAATTTTTTACTCACCATAGTTTTGACTTTTGATAAAAGATCGATAAATCTTCCATGAACCTTTTTCATATCTTTTGGAAATGCTTTGACTCGATTTTGTATATTTTCTTTGAGCGAGAAATTTCCAATTAACATATTACGAAGAGTTTCAAAGTACCTGTAAAAATCGTTTGTTTTCTGACTTCTTTGAAAAAAATTTCTTACAATTTAACAATTCTAATCTCCATATTTTTTACAATTGCATGCCATAAAACTTCTAATTGTTGATATTCTTTGCTTGATTCAAATTTGTCGACGAGACTATTAGATATCGAATCGATCTCTTCATGATCACTGAATATACTTGATTTTTTCTCGACTTTCGGAATTTTCTTTCTTTGTGGCATTTCATCATCTAATTTCATTTGAGATGATTCTGATTTTTTCGTAGTTTTTTCTGAAAAATAGGAATATTTGAGGATACCAGATTATTCACTTACTTTTTGTAATATTTTTCTTCCGTGCAGCCATTTGATTCGTTTTTCTAACGTAGAAAATCACAATTACTTTTTTCGAATGAAAATTGTGTGCGCGCACATATGCGCCTTTAGATGGTGCAAGTTCGCTCTGACGCACACAAGTACTGTAGGTTTTAGGATTGGATTTTTGTTCGCTTCAAGGCTCGAGATGTGAGTTTTCAGATTTTTTCTCTGGGTTCTCGAAATTTTCAATAAAAGTAATAAAAACAGTGCAAATTTTCGCAAAATAAGCTTTCGAATGATATATCTGACGTATTATGATGCATGCCGAATAAGGCTTTTCTTGAACTATATTTTCAAGCTATTCTTTTCAAATCTGAATTTTTAAAGTTTCTCAGAGATTCGCTGGCCAGCTGGTCACTAGGTGGGGTGGACTGCCCATCTGAAATTGACACGGACAACCACATCGCCTGTATTTTTTGCCAGACGACCTGGTCGCGAGGTGGTTCAGTTCATGCAGACCACCTCGCCCAGGTTGTCCAGCTCGTGCCGACCTCGCGTCCAGATCGTCTCGCTTAAGAGAAAAAAATGTCCAAAAAACTTGTGAATCCGAGCATTCTAGAAGAAATTGGCTCATTTTCTGTTTTTTCGGAGTACTAGAAACCTTAGGAAGTGAAAAAAAACAGTAAAAAATGCACTATTTTGAGTACAAACCACCGTCTTGCTAGCTTTCCAGAATTTCAAACACACAGGCCACGTCGCCGGAAAACTCAAGGCGACCTGGTGGCCGAATCAAACTCAGCTCGTTTTGAACTTTCCGGCCACCTGGTCCTGATCTAGTGGCGAGCTGGCCAGCGAATCTCTGAGTTATAAATTTTATTACTTCATGATTCGTTCGAATTATCTTCATAGTAAATATTGTTTTTCTTGTTGAAAAGGTTGTAATCTACACATAAGATTGACGATATTATCGTTGAAATCACTTCCCAATCGTAAAATCAACGCTAGATTTCCCATGCGAGTGCTATTTTCCAAGTGCCATTCTAATGCAATTCGCTTTCTTTTGTGGCAGACAGACATAACATTGTGTTAGAGACGAAGAGTTTGGTAAAGAGCGCGAGTTTGAAGGGTGTATTTGTGTTATTCATTCTAGTCCATTCTTTTAGTTATATATTGATACTGCGTTCTTAGGCATCTATTAGATATAAAAAACTAGTTCAAAAATTTATTTCCATAGATTAAAAAGTTCGGTGTGTTTTTGTTGCAAATTTCAGAAATTTCAAACTACTGAGCTTTTCATTTTAAAAATTTTGAAAACATTATTTTCAGGTGTGTTTGAATGGCGGCAGTTTCATCGAACTATAATTTGAGTAATACAATCACAACAACAACATCTGTGATTATCGATGAAGATGGAGATTCTAGAGATTCTGGAATATCTGTTTCGAACTGTTCGCCTGAAACCGAAACCGAAATCGCCATCACGAATCCAATCACAAACAAGCCAAATGAAAAAGTAGCCACTCATCGACACCCGCTTTCTGACTGCTCAAACTTGGCCAACAAGATGCTCTTGAATACTTCATCGCGGAACTCTTCTTTGTAAGTTAGATACGGTGAAAATATCTCTCGAAATAGAAATTCAGCTACCATGACACACCAACTGGAAGAAAGACCAAATCTGTTTTTGCCATGCAAGATGATTCGCTCGATCAATCAGTCTATGAGAAACACCTTGTCGAATCGCAGGTAAAGGTTTTTATCATTTTTTGATTCATTTCATTTTTTAGTTACACGATCAAAAACAAATCCAACGTGAAAGATGTCATTCTTTTGAACTCGAAGAAACCAGGAGCTTAACACGTAAAAGAAGCAGTTCTTCATCAACATCTTCAACAACATCGTTAAGAAAAAGAAGTAGAAACTTGTACATTGATTCAAACATTGAAGATACCGTCAAAGATTCTGAATTTTTCCGAGAAACAACTGTTCACCAAACGAAATTATCTATACCAACTGTTTCATTGAAAAACACGTTGCTACAAGCAAAATCGTTGCTCAATATCGCTGAAAAATCGGAATCGCATTGCTCGTTAGGCTATAAGCGAAACGCATCGGACGATTCTTTCAATGATTCGAGCAATCGATTAGCTTCTTTGGGAGTTGTTCAAGTTAAAACAATGCGAACGATGAGTGTTGGAGCAATTGGTGCCGATCCAGATATTCAATTACCAAATGTTTTGGAAGTCGTAAGTTTGTATTTTTAAAATAAGGCGTGATTAAATTGATTTTTTTTTTCAGAAGTATCGCCTAGCAGCAGTCGAAAAACCACAAAAAGAGTCGCAAGCATTTCGAAGTATATCACCATTAACACTACTCGACGAGTTCGAAAAACTTGGTGAAGATTTTTTCTCAACGTTCATTATAATTGATTGTCGATATCCTTATGAATATCAAGGTGGACATATAAAAGGTTCAATAAATGTTTATTGTCCTTCGGAAATTGAACGAGTTTTCTTTCCAAATGATCCAGCAAATATAATTGAAAAACGAATTCCAATTTTTTATTGTGAATTCAGTCAAAAACGTGGACCTGCAATGGCAGCAAAGTTGAGATCATTGGATAGAGTAAGAAACGAATTGAATTATCCACACGTTGAATATCCGGAGATTTATCTTTTGGATTATGGTTATAGATCTTTGTGGAGTAAAGAAGAATGTCGTAGTATGTGTGAACCGCAGAATTATGTGCCAATGGATAAGCCGGAATTTGTGAAACAACTTCGTACATTTAGAGGGGCTCGATTGAGATCGAATGCGAGTGTGAAGTCGTGTATAGATTTATCTATATCAAAGAAATCGGAACATGGATCGCTTCGAAAATTTTCGCACCGATCTTTACGGAAACATGAATCATTTCATAGTGTGAGTTTTTTTTTCGTAATAAGACAATTTCTCATTTATTTTTTTTATTTAAAATTAGGCTTTTCCGCGTGACCTCTCTTTTTTTTTTGAAAATTATATTGGGGTATTCCATTATTTTTGTTTTCTTTGAATCTATCGGTCAGTTGATTCTCCTCATTATCTACAAATATAGTAACGATTTAAATTTCGAAAATGAAAATATTTCAGATTCGCTCTGATCTTTCAACTTCACTCTTCAACATGTCGAATGATGATGTATTTTCGGAGACTAGCGACAAAGGAAGTTTTCAAATTTCGAGAAAATGGGCTTCGGTTTTGAACACAAGTACAGCAGGATCAGAGGTAGGTATTTTTCTTTTAACTAGGTTCACATCTAAAAATCAAATAACAGGTGGACGTCGATGTTCAATTAGAACAAATCACAACATCTACCGTCTCCTCTGATGATCAGAAAAAAGAGGAAATCAAAAAGATTGAACCAATAAAATTATTGGAGAATTTGGTGGCCGAGGAGCGTGTCAAAACCGAAGAAACAGAAAATGTTGTCAAATTGGGTCTTCGTATCGAAAGTCCACATTTTCCACAAGAGTTGGTCAATACAGATGGTTCTTCAGTTGCTGATCAGCCATCACCAAGAACTTGTCTCGATTTTTCGTCATTATCTGATACGGAATAATCAATCCCCAACCCTTTCCCCGATCTTGTTTGTTTGTTTTTCCTGTTAATTTCTTTTCTCTGAATATCTGCAATTCTTTTATCATTTGACCTCTTCACATACTTTCGCAATTCGGGCACCATTTTATCTTTCATCCCATATCTTGATCATAACCCCTTTCTAATTCTATTTTCTTTTTCTGTTGATTTTCTCACTCTAACTTTTCTGTAAACGTCTATTTCTATTGTTTTCATTCCTTATTTTCATTTTGCCCCTTTACATTTCGATTTATTATCCCAATTCATGCCTCCTCCCGATCTCGGCTTTTTACTGGTAAAACAATGTGGTGCCGATCCCCCCTTTTTGTCCAAAAACTCAAAAATTTATCTCAAAGTTACTGTACCATATTCACCACATTCGTTTCATTTTTTTCACCAAGCTCCACTGGAGAACATCTTTTCTTTTTATCTTTTTTTTTTTCTTTCACTTTCTGTAGATTGTGAATAAATTTTTTCATGTAATATTTCAACTGTTTTTGTATTTATCTCATTTGGGTTATTAGGTCAAATCACTCTCACTTACCGAAAAAAGAGATGATTAGAAAAGATGGGTATAAATAGATAGGGTGGTCTTTTATACACATTTTGACAATTGTATTGTTTTTTTTTCAACTTTGTATTTTTTGTTTTTTTTTATCAAATAATTATTTTCAGGAGTCATGGAGACTTCGCCACAAAAACGATCTTTGAGATCGTTGGCGATTGCATCAGCCACGTTGGCTACAGTATCAATTATAACAACAATGATTACTGTACCTTTGGTTTATCGACATGTTCAACAATTACAATCTGTTATGAATAATGAAGTCGATTTTTGTAAGGTAAATATTTTTTCTGGAAAAAAAGTTAAATTAGAATTTTGAAATTAAAAAAAAGATATTTTCAGACTCGTTCTCGTGATTTATGGCGCGAAATCGTAACTGTTGAAGTGTCATCAGCTTCTCAAGGAAATATAATTCGTACAGCTCGTCGTACAAAACGCGATAATTATGGAGCTCAACCAATTGCATCAAATCCACCATCTTCAGCTGCTGGTTCATGTTGTACTTGTCAAGTTGGCCCACCAGGCCCGCCTGGTCCACCAGGAAGAGATGGACGACCAGGAGCTCCAGGTCGGCCAGGTAATCCAGGTCCACCAGGTCGCGACGGAGCACTTCTTCCTGGTCCACCGCCAAAACCCCCATGTCAAAAATGCCCACCAGGTCCACCGGGACCAGCTGGACCCCCAGGACCAAAGGGATTGCCAGGCCCACAAGGAGATGCTGGAACACCAGGACAAGATGGAGTTCCAGGATTGCAAGGACCAGCCGGACCACCAGGCCCACAAGGATCGCCAGGTGTTCCTGGAGAAAAGGGACCAACTGGAGAGCCAGGAAAAGTTATCAATGGAGCGCCACCAGGTCCACCTGGGCCTCCAGGACCTCCTGGGCCACAAGGACCACCTGGACCTCCCGGAAAAGATGGACAACCAGGAAAAGCTGGACCACCTGGATTACCTGGAGATCCGGGAGAGAAAGGAGCTGATGGTTTGCCAGGGCCACACGGAACAACCGGACCACGTGGACCACCAGGACAACCTGGTTCATGTGATCATTGTCCCCCACCAAGAACTGGACCTGGATATTAAATATTTTATTGTAAATAAAAATAAAATATTTATTCTTGAAATTTAAATACGTAAACATCTTTTTTTTTCTGAAAATTGAAAAAATTTCATTTTCAAACAAAAAATAATATGTTTTCTCTAATTCGTTCATTTTCTGGAAAACAGGCTGGTTACTGTATTTTTTCTAGAATTTTTTGCTTGAAAACTTTTGGTCAGCTGTAATATTGATCAATGAAAGAAATATGATAGCATTTGAAACATCAAAAAAATGTTATGGTTTTTTTGCTGGAGAATTTGGATTACTTGATTTATTCCCAAGTATTTATAAAACAAATGTGTTTTTTTCTGCTGTCTTTTTTTGTCTTGGTCTTGTTCTAACTAATTGCGTCGGTATTCATTGATTTTTTGTCGCGCTCCCATATTTTTCTCTTTTTCATAGACGCAGAGAAGTTAGACGAATTTTTTATTGTAAGAAACATTTTAACGCTTTCAATTCAATTCATTTCTTTTTTCTTCCTGTAAACATTCGAGATTTTTTGAGAAACGGAAATGGATGAAAGAAAATCGAAAACAAAATCGACGGTGGGTGAATGTGAAAAAATAATGTTTATTTTTGATGATATAGGATTACTGTAGTTTTTACGTGAAGTTAAGGTGGTATTAAAAATTGATGTGATTTTCAAATTCAGATAATTTTTTTTCAAAATTTGTTTGCATTTTTACAAGTATTTTTGAGTGGGTGTTAAATACCAATATATACATTTTGATCTATAAATATTATATTTTTAATGAATTCGGATTACTGTATGTTTACTGTGAACTTGAATAAAAAATCTGAATGATTTTTAAGTTTGGGAAACACGAAATTTTCAGATTTCAGTAGGGCTATCTAATTTTTGAAAATTCGTTGATTTTTCCACTTGAGCTTCGAAAAAATCTAATTTTCTCCACAAAGACTCTTCGGTCAAAATCAATCACAAAGTGAAATGTGTTTTTTTATTCTAACCTCTCAAAACTTTTTTCTCCTCACACAAAACACATTTTTCTCCTTCTATCTCTCAAATTTTCCATCACACACAAAATGACAAACTCACCCAGTGGTTGCAAACAGAGTGAATAGAGTAGTGGTAGTGTTCTTGTTTGTCGTGCGGCAGGCAAAGGGTTCAAGTACTGATGATGTTAACTCCAGTTCTGCTACTGAATGAATGTGACGATATTCTTTCCCCGACTGAGGTACATTTTTCAGTTTTTGCTTCGAGTTTTGCCACAATTGATTCTTGTTGGAATATTATCATTGCATCTTGTTATTGGTGCTTTTATTTTTCAATGTTTGGATGAAGAATTGGCGAAACTTCGATTCTTAGATGTCGTATTTTTTGAGTTTATAACAATTTCAACAATTGGTTATGGTAATATTTCTCCAACAAACGACGCATCAAGACTTTTCACTATATTTTTCTCTATAATTGGAATTCCCTTACTTATTGTAACATTGGCTAATTTTGGTAAATATTTGACCAAGTTTTATTGGAAATTTCAAGATTTTTTACGTTCTGTGAGTTTTTCCAAGTAAACAACTTCGTGATAAAAATTGTAATATTTCAGGAAGATGCAAAATCAAAACTTGCAAGTGATGCAGATATGCCAATTTGGGTGATATTATTTTTATATTGTTCTACAATGTTATTCGGATCAATGTGGATTGATCATAATCGAAACCATTTTACAGTTGATGATATTTATTTCGGGTAACAATTATATTCTCCAATTATATAAAATCAATAATTATTTTTCAAGGTTCATAAGTTTTGCAACAGTTGGATTTGGAGACACAGTTCCGAAAACTGATAAAATATCTGAAATAATATTTGCTGCTTTATATTTGGGATGGGGTGTTGTATTAACAACGATATTGTTCAATGTTTTCAATAATTATTTTCACAGAGTAAGTTTGTTCAAATTAGTAAAAGCTCGAATGAATTTTTTACCGGAAGACCCAAGAAAAATTTTCAAATCAAACGCTTCAAAAATTCAGAATTTTTTCTCAAGTCCCAAATCCTGAAAATTCTCTTCGGAGTTATATTATATTGAATGTCCTCTTCCATGACTTTTCTTGACTCCAAATAAATTCAGGAAATATAAATATTTCAAATAAAGATGCGTCGTGGCTTATCTCTGCTAAAAAACCAGCTTCGCAACTGCCTTTCAAATTTCAGTTCAAAAAATAACAGATCTATTTCAGGTTTATTATCTTGGTCGTCGTTTCAAAGGACATCGAGATGTCGATGTTTTTATTGGCGGTGAATGTATAACAGTTTCTCAAATAACATCTTTGGTTGCTCAACAATTTCATGTAATTCTTCTATACTTTTTTTCTTTCTTAATCCCCTCAAAATATATTTTTAGGCTGCTCCTCGCGAAGTTCGAACAATTTTACAAGAACTCGATCAACTTATGGAAAAATCAGTCGAAACGAATCAATGAATAAAACATTCATAAATAAACATTTTCGAAAAAAAATCAAATAAAAAATTTAATTTATTTAATTCAAAAACGTGTTACGAGAAAAATGACCACGTTGACAATGTGGCGAATTTAGAAAAAATCGAAAAAAAAGATCAGTATGATTTTTGGGATGAGCTCTCATGTGACAAGCCGAGAGCACGGTGAATGGCCTCATGGTGCAATTGGGCAGCCAAGGAATACTGTATATTCGCCGACACATCAGAATCCAACAAGTGAGTTTACTTACTGAGTTCGAACAGTGGGTGATAAGGTTTTTGATAATTTTTTCAGACACTAAGAATCTTTAAAAAAAATCTAGAATAAGAATCTTTGAAGAATCAAGATTTAGAGAAAAATCAAACAGAAACAAAAATAGTGATCTAAAGAATCTGAAAAATTTTCCAAGTGTCACCTTTTTTTGAAAATAATCCAAATGTCAAAGGTCACGTATTCACGTAATATTTTTTCTAGTTCTAATACGATTTTCTTTTTTTTTGGAACTATTTTCACTTGATCTAGAAAAACAATCATTCTGTTACCAAGAAAATCACAGAACATATCGGATGAAAAATTTTAATCCATAGATTCCGAAAAAATATTCCAAATATCCTATTTTTTCGAAATGAGCCAAATGTCAAAGGTCACGTTTTGACGTATTATTTTTTCACATTTCTTTTTTTTCAGGAACTCCTCAATCTATGCCACTTTATAGTCGTCATTCAATATACTCGTCAACCCCAAAATGTCCCTCAACAAATATCGGAACTGTACAAAATTCTTATACTTCTTCTCAATTCTGTCAATATTTAAAAGATAATCAGAAAGAAAATAAAGAAAATATTGCAAAAATTGAAAACTCGAACAGATCGAAGAAAACATATGGAGAGGTACGGTAGTTTATAGAACTTTTTTAAGATGAAAATGTTGTTTTTTTTTAGAATCGCCGACGTCTTCGAATAGAAGATTTTACTGATGCTTTCAGAAGAAAACAAATGGAATTATTTGTGAATGTTAAATTGGGAAATGGAAATTATAGCAAAGTTTATAAAGCGCATGATTTGAAAATGAATCGAATGGTAATTTCATTTTTTTTTTGAATAAGGTTTTATCCTTTTACAAAATCTTATTTTCAGGTGGCTGTAAAAGCAATTGATAAGTTTGATTTGAGTGATGATGTTCGCAATAAATTTTTGCCTCGCGAAATTTCTTGTTGGAAAAAATTACGATACAAATATATTGTTGCAATGCATGCTCAATATGAATCTGGAAATATGATATTTTTAACAATGGAATACGGTATGCATGGAAACCTTTTGCATTATGTTCAAAAATTTGGGGCGCTTGAGGAAAGATTGGCTGGAAAATATATGTCGCAATTGATCAAAGCATTGAAATATATGCATTCGGTGAGCAAATAACAATTTCAAAGATGAATATATTGTCTGACCCAAAATTTTTTGAAAAATTAATATTCTTTTTTTTCAGAAATCGATTGCTCATCGCGATATCAAACTTGAAAATATAATTATGTTTGATAATTGTATCAAACTCTCAGATTTCGGATTTGTTCGCCATGTTGAACCCAATAGTTTATCCAACACATTTTGTGGATCAAAATCATATTCGCCTCCCGAATTACTTCGCGGACAAAATTATAATCCATTATTATCGGATGTTTGGTCAGCAGGAGTTGTTGGTTTTGTGATGGTGACAGATCGTATGCCTTTTAATGAGACATTAAATAACAGTATTATTGTTGAACATCAAAGGTATTTTTGTTCTGAGATTGTTTCAAAAAATTGCTATTTTCAGAAATCGTAGCTACCGTTTTCCAAGCAAATTGAACTTGTCACCAGATTGTATCAATTCAATTGAAACAATGTTAACATTTGAAGCAAATAATAGACCAACAAGTGAGCAATGTCTTTGTCTTCCTTGGATTCATCCACATTTAATTTCTATGTAGATATGCATATTTTTCCTCGAGCAAACCCGATTGAATAGCCCCCCTCCCCTTCTATTTTTATTTTTTCTTTCTCCCACAAACTTTCTTTTTTCTACGATTTTTGTACGATTCTTTGCGAAATTAGTGTTTTTCACAATTCGATTCCATGATTTTTATTTTTATTTCTTCGAAAAATGAAATGATTTATTCATTTAAATGCGATCAAGTGCTGATTGTGGACAACATTCTTCTTTTTTCTTCAGGAATCCGCAAGATTTGAAATTTCGAACAAATTCAGTTTCGGGATCACAGAAATCGGAATCAAGTTTTGAATGACAAGGTGTCCAACGGCAGGATGTTTTTGAGGTATTCTGGAAAAACATTTAAATGAAGAAACACATCTGGTCAACAATAATAATTGGATAGCAAAATATTCAAATTTTTCAGTACTAATACAGTATTCTTTTATTTCAATAGATTCAGATTTCATCGATTTTAAGAACTTTTTAGTTAAAAACTCAGTACAATTTGAAAAAAACCTCACATTTTCTGTTTTCGGTGGACAACAAAGTTCTCGTTTTTGAAAGAATCCTTTACAAGATTCATAATCAACAAGAAATAAACCAGAAGGACAATGACCAACTGTTGTTTTGCTATGACATTCTGTGTATTCACACTTTTTCGAAACCTGAAAGATTTCAAATGTCTGGACAAAACTTAGATTTGAGAGACCTCTGCTATTCCATTTTTCACCAAAATTATAGTTAATATTAGAAAAACAAAAATCATAATGATATTCCCAAACAAACATATCAATTGCTTAAATAATACAGTTTTAATGTTCTAATCAAATTATGAATAATCATGAGAAAATTTTAGAAAAAAGATCAAGAGAGGCTTCATTTATCCAAATATAAAAAGCATATATAATTTTGATTAGAAATATAGATAAAATAATAATCAATCAATCATATAATAGTAATAATAAAATTAGAAAAATATAAGCGACGGAATGAGAGAAAAACTTCTGAAAATGTTTTTGATTGGCACAAAATAAAGATATTATTTATTTGTTGTTTTTGTTATTTTATGTTGAGCTGGCCACTCGAAGACGATTTCCATTACATGTTTTGCATAAAAGATGTTGATCGATTGGATAACAACCATGACCATCAAGCTGAAAAAAATATGAGCTTAATAGGTGAAAAATAATTTGAATACAAACCTTTGATGATAATTGCATTCCACAATCTTCACATTTATAACAATCAACGTGGAATGATTTATCCATTGCAACAACTCTCAAGGATTCTTTTTCACCTTCATCTGGGATGATTGGTTTACTACAAACTGCGCATCTTGGAGCAAATTTGCTGGAAACAATTCAAGTTCAATTTTAAAAAGTTTATCTCAGGAATCACTATTGTGTGGAATTACATAAGGAGGTCTCAAAAACTAAATTATTTTTTTTGATTTTCGAGTAGTAAAATATATTCTTTGTGATTTTTGAACCAATAACATAACCTGAACTTAGAACTTATCTTCTTTTTTTCAGAACCAATATTTTGATGTGTGCAATTACATTCAGGCCCTACTTCTTGAGAAAACTTTGAAATGTTTTTGGATTTTTTTATTCAAGATTTGTCGCTTTCAGAAAGCTAGATCAGCATTTTTACAAGAACTGGTTTTAAGTTTTTGTTCAAAACTTACTCATGGAAACATGGTACACAATGCACATTATTTTCTGAATCTAAAGTGAAAGGTATTCCATCCAGCGATTTTTTGCATGAAAAACAAACAAAGCAATTGACATGATATATTCCACCACAAGCACGCAATAATTTGTCAGATATTGGTCGTTTACATGCTGTGCATTTTTCCAATGATTCCTGAAAAAATCTCATTTGACATGACGTCAAAAAATCTATCTATGTATATCTTTTCTTTTGCTTCCTAAAAAGTGCTCTTTGAAAAAAAGGAAAATACTCAATCACACTTTTGTTTTTTGTTTCTTTTTCCAAAATCCCCAAGGAAACCTCGACAAAACCGAAACGAAAAATCACGTTTTGTTGCGATTCAAATCTTGTTTTCTGTTTTGCTTTTTCAATAAAAAATGAGTAGAGCCAAAAAAGTTGTGTTCGATTCGAATTTTTTTTTGGAATTTATTATTATATTTGGAAGTGAGCTCGAAAAAGGGCACAAAGTAATCAAATTGACTGGAAAATTTATGGGAATAAAAAATGTTTGGGGTTGGTTGAAATGAAAAAAAAGAGGAGGAGGAACACGAATTTATGGCATTCGGTTGAGTTGATCAGAAAACACATTGAATTTGGGAAAATTAGAAAATTGAAAAGAGGAGAAGAACATACCTGATAGCAATTTTCACAAGTGGGTTTTTCATCAATGTTGTAAAATGATGAACCAGCCAATGTTTTTGTACATTTTGCACATTTGAAGCAATCAACGTGGAATATTTGATTCATAGCATTGCATCCTGGTTGATCAGCTGTGATTTCTTTGCCACAACCAACACAAATGTCTGAAAAAAATTGGAATTTTTGTTTTGGTTTGATAGGAATGAGTGGTTATGGTTTAAAGCCACATTTCGAATTAAATTTGAAATTTTCTGAACAGCGACCGTTTAAAATTTGTTTTTTTCCCCAAAATTCTGAACTTTCCTGATTCAGAACCCTTATATTATGTTTCGCGTGATTAAATTCCAAATTTCAGAAAACATGTTTAGAACATTTTAAGTTTTTTTTCGTTTTTGTTTTCTTCTTCTTCTTATTTTTCTTCTACCAATTTCCCAAAAATTTATGTTCTCTTTTTCTTGGGAGAAAGCGAAGAAAAAACACAAAACATCAACAAAAACATGGGGTCGTCTCAATCAAACATGATTGAATTTCATCGAATTTTCAAAATTCAATTTCAGCCAGCTTCACCCAGCAAGACAAATATCCGGAAATATCGTTTCCTGAGTTTTGTTTCTTCTTTTTTTTTCTCGTTTTTCGTTGTTGTATATACAAATTGTGTATTACATATTATTACATACAAACATACATAGAAAGACATTTTTAAACAACATAAATTTTTTGTTTTATTTTCATTTATTTTTTTTTGCTTTTTTTCCGGGAGAAATATGGGGAATCAATGACTAACCAAACATGTGTTGGCAAAATTTTATTTCCACAAAAAACACATTTTATTTCTTCTTGGAAAAATAATGGGAAAAATGAAATTGATTGGATACTGTAGAAATTTGAGAAAAGAGCGTGTTGAAAAATATTAATTTCATGGAATTTGAGATTCTGGAAATTCCTGACATTTTTCGAGGGATATAAATTTCAAAAAGAATTAGTTGAAGTTACAGTAACCTGATTTAAGCAATATTATAATTCTCATTAAACTAACCTTCTTGATCAGCCATTCTATAGAAATCAAGAAATCAAGCCAAAAAAAGGAAGCCTAGTCGTTGTCAAAACCAAAAGAACCCCCTGACAACACCCTAAAATGGGCGTGGTTTTCTCGCATGCAAAACCCCGCCTTTTTTCTACGTAGAAAAAAACATTGTGATGATGTGAGAAGACGCAGAGAAAAAACACAACCAACTGTTGTTTGGCTCAAATATTTGGTAGCGAGGAGCTATGTTAAAGGGAAGAAAAAAACGAGGAAAAAATGAAGAAGAAAAAGAAAGAGATGAAAAAACCTATGCTCGCAACTGTTTTCATCGATTGATTGACTTTTTTTGTCTGTGCTCTCAATCAACTTATCTTTGATATCTCTCTTGCAAATATCACACAATCTTTAGACTTAATTTTTTCAATGCAATTTATCAATGTAGACGTGGGAAAAGCCAATATTCAACTGATAATTTGTTATCACAAATATCTGTTCCTTTTTTCAGTAAGGGTAATTCTGAAGCAGACTTTAGAAATCCGAGGAGCTGATTTTCAAAAAACTGTTCAAAAGCTGGCAGTTCTATTTTTTCTTTCCCAGTTACAAAATTCAAAAATTGTAGTTGTATAATATTTTTTTCAAATTTTCTCTGACGCAAATCATTTCCCAACAAAAAAATCTCAAAATCTTCGTCTCAAATTTCCAAGTTTTTGTGTTATCTCGAAAAATGTTTCGGTTTTTTGTCTTCCTGACATCTAGTTAGATATTCATTGTATTTTTTGATGTTTGAAAAAGAGTATGAAACTTTTTTATCTCTTTTGCTTTTTTTGCGGAAAAAAGTGAAAAATCGTGGGAGGAACGAAAATAGTGATTGATTTGTTGTTTTTGAGAATGCGAAAAAAAATGTTTTCAGGTGAAAATTTGATTTTTTTTTTCGTTTTTGTTGTTGTTTCAATGAACGAGGATCAGGAAAGTTTTGGAAAAAATAAAATGAGGGATTGAAAAACATGTGTGATCAGAAATGTCAACTTCTAGGAAAAAGAAAATTAGTCTGGTTGGAATTTTTCCAAGGTTTTTGGTATTCCTCATAAGCTCGATTCAAATGATGATATCTTTCGAAAGGTAAGACAATAATCTTGACAAGAGAATTACTAAAAATGAAAATTCTATCCACAATCTAATACTCCAACATTTTTACAGCTAATTCTTAAGATTCCAAAAAAAAAACTCACTGATATTCATAATTTTTCGTGTAATTGTATTCGTGTTCTGCGAGAAATTGTTTGTTTGAATTCGATAATCTGAGGAAGATGGTGATTTTGAATCTCTTCTTGGATACTGTACAACTGATGGATTACTGTAGGTTGTGTCGAGATTATTTCTCATCTGATGAACAAGATGATCTACTTCATCCCCATTGTATGAATCCTGAAAAATGTTATTATTTTTTTAATTTTCAAATTTTTTCCTCGAATATACATAAATATAAAACCCATCTTCCTCCAAAAACAGAAACACAAAACCCAAAATTTTTGTTGCACTTTTTCTCACATGCTTATCCGTCCGAAAACGTCAAACAAAAAACTTTTTTTTGTTGAAAAGATGTATTTTTGGCACCCAACACCAAATTAGTGATGCTCTCTGTCCCATAGGACTATTTTTTCAAGCCAAAATTTTCTTGGGGGCTTTTCTGGCAAACTAGTAAAAGTGATTAATTTTCAAAGAATCTGGAAGACGACAAAATTTATCGCCAACAATAATGTGATTGGAAAAAACAGAAAAAGAGAGAAAAGAAAACTAACTTTGCTTTAAAAACTTTTGCTACTAACAAAAAAATTATGAAAAAAATAACTCTCAAAAAAAAAAGAGCACATAAAAAAGAGCATATATGAATGTATACTCAAAAAAGGGTAGTAATAAACATGAAAACAACGAAAAATGTGGGAGGGAGACAAAATCGATTGTTGAAAAAAAACGGCCGACAAAAAGAAAGTATGTTTTTGATGAAGGAAAAGCTCAGGACGAAAAAGGAGAGAAATTGGAAACATTTCTCATTTTCTCCCCTTTTTTCATTGCATTTTATTTCTTCCGAATTCCGAAAAAATTCAAATTTTCATCAAAAACTTTTGAAAACCGAGCTCTCATAAATCTCAAAATCCTTCTTTTTCCAGAGAAAAAAAAATTGAAATTTTACGACTCTTCGCTCGAAAAGAAAATATGACTTTTGCTCCGAACTATACATAATTGGGGTCAGCATTTTTATTTCTCGAATAATTTTGTGCCTTCAAGTATTCTTCCCTCATTCATACATTTCAAAGTATTCCCCCCCATTTGTATTTTTTGTCGAAAAGAAAAAAAATGAAAAAACAGAAGATTCAGAAGTGTACTTCTAATGAAGAGCATTTAAAAAGAAAAAAACATGAGTGGAAATGGAAAATTGCAACAATTTTTTTTAATCTCAAAATTTTTCTGAATCGGGTTAACTTTCTAATTACCAGTAGTTCAATTAAAAAAAAATACCTTCACAATTTTGTTGACATCAAAGGGCAAATTATTCGAAGTTGAAGAAATATTCGATGTTTTTTGATATTGATTTGCATATTTTTGTGATTCAGTAAGACCATCATCTCGGAGTTGTTTAGCCAATGTATTTTGCAAATAATTTCTTGCTTTATGTTTTTGCTCAAATGTATTGTTGTTTTCATTTGGAATCGAAGAAGATGGAGGTGGAGGAGGAGGAGTTGGAGACGAATCGAGAACATAGTTTGTTGTTGAATATTCGTGAATCATTTCACGAGCATTACGGATTGGTTTACTGTAAATATTCAAATTTCGAATGATTAATCGAAAATCACAAAATAAATGCAAACCTTGGATCGTATGGTTCAGTCCATTCTAAAACAGTTTCAGATGTTGTTTTGCTGTTGTTATTATTAATATTTTTTGTTGGAGTTGAATTTAAATTATTAAAATAGTCATCGTCCTTATGATATGATCGGAAATTATTTGTTGGTGTTGGATAAGAATATTTAGTTGAATATGGTGATATATAAGAAGTTGATGAAGGCGGTGAATTTGAAGAAGTTTGATTTTTTAAAGTAGAAGAAGAAAATGAGTTTAATGTAGAACTAGTTGATAATGGAGCCTCTCTTGATATTGTTTGATTTAACGAATCGGGATATCGATGTATGTTCCCGATCGGACGAGATTCGCTGGCACGAGCGGGCGTAGCAAGAATCGTTTCTCCGGGTTGATTGCATTCCAATTGACTGAACTGCGAGCGGTTCGACCGATCTCCGTCAAAAGTTCGTTGATTCGATCGTCCCATTCGTTCATCGGATAGATTCTCGATGTCACTTCGAACCGGTTCGTTGTAGCCGGTCTTACGCAGACGAGCGGCTGCGTGCTGTAATGCCGCAGCGTCCACTGTGGGACGGGTCGGCTTGGACGACGCTGAAAACAATATTTGGGGATTGGATAAATAATTGCGAACATCGTGAATAGAATTTGATGAATAGGAAAACTCTAAACCGCTAATAAAAAAAATTCACTACCCAAAAATTTCGCGCTTTTTTTGAGACCTGACACAATTTTAAAGGTGGGACTAAAAACGACGAAATTCAACGCAAAATTGAGAGATTTAGAGAAAAAAATATTTTTGATCTACCAGAAAAATTCTTTAAAATTTTGAAGCCTAAAGAATTTGGGTAGGAAATTACTACACCTTGTGCTGAACAGATTTTCAATTAAAAAAAACATTATCTTTTAGACTCTTGAAGTAAAAAAAATTGACTAGAAATCGGAAACTCGAGCAAAGATTTTGAACAGATGTTTTTGAAAATACTCATTAGTTATATTCGGGAAAATTCCAAAAATTACTACTTTTTCATAGTTCTCGAGGTGATTTGAAAATTATGTTTGAAAAAAGATCAAAAGTTGTTCAGAAAAACATACGAAGTGTGGAATTGTCGACACGTCTTGGTGCATTCTCTGTCTTCCATTGGCGAGATGGTAATGACGTTGTCTTCAAAATAAAAAATTATTTTAAAAAATTTTGAAAAATTAACTCACGGTTGAGAGTACAGGGGGTGGTGGAGGCGGAGGCGGGGGTCCCATGTGTCAATCGAGTTATCCAAAGTTGATAAAGTTGAATATGATCGAGAACGGCCGAGGCTGAAAATCAAATTACGATCTTTTTTATAAAGTGGGCAACAAAAAATTGACGCAACACCAAAAAGCAAAGAGATACCTTGGTGATGAATAATGTGGAAGTGGTGACAAGTAGCTCATAGTAACAACCAGATAATTTTTCAGTCGATATAATAATCGCTGGCTGACTGCTGCGGACTGACTAATGTGTTAGTGCGGGCGGATTGTTAGTCAATGTGGACCCTCTTGTTTATCAGAACTATTTCAATGGAAATAAAGAGAAATAGAGAAAGAGAAACTTGGCAAGAATTACACAAATCTTATGTCGGGAGCATGGAAGAGAGGAGAAAAGTGAGATGGTGCTGGGAACAAAAAAAATGTGAAAAAGAGTAGAATGAGGAAAATGAAAAAGATATGAGATATCTGAAAATTGGTCTCAATTGTTATTCATTAGAAACATTTTAAAGGGGATAACAATTCTAAAAATGACCAGAAAGATTACAAAACATTCTGAAGATCTTATAAGAAATTTTCAAAAGTGAGGCGAAACTTTAGTCCTTGTTCGAAATTGTACCAATTCATTTTCAATTTAAACTTTTTTTTAAATAACTGAAAATGAATTCAAAATTTCTATTTTTTCCGAAGAAAAGAGAAAAACATTTTTCCATGAAAAAGATACAAAAAAGTTCCTTCAAATAATTTCAGAAGAAAACAAAAACATGAAAAAACAACAGAAATTATTGTTCAAAGAAATGTCAATTGTTTTTTTTTGTCGCAACAATTTTTAATTACAGTTGATCAAAAAGACAATGAAAACCGGAAAGCCATTTTTTCAAACGAAAAAATTCGATAAAATTGGAAAAAAATAGATTAACCTAGAAAACTGCATAGTTAGTTATCTTTTTCGGAAATCGAGAAAAAGTGAAATTTTTGCTAGCCGAAATAAAATTCATGGTAATAATAACATAAATGAAAAAAGGAAAAAGGTGAAGAAGAAGAAGACTTTTAAATGTGGGAAACAGTTATGTAAATACGAATATAAGGAAAAAAATCAATGAAAAATTAGAACAGAACAGAAATGAAATGAAATTGATATTCGGAGATAAAAGATATGATATAAATGTATAAATTACATATTTGAAGAATTTGAAGATGAATTCGGAAGAAAAAGAAAAAACTTTTTATGTTGAATTAATTTGACAAAATGATTTGTAATGTATATTGGCATTGTTTTGGGTTGTTTTATATATCGAGGACAAAAAATGAATTTGGGAAAAAGTTGTAATAATATTATACATTAATGAATTGAACATCAAACATTGAGATGAATTATAGAATATCACAAAATCAACTGTATTCCTTTTATGGAATTTTATACGTTCAAAGCTACAAATTCAAGTTTGCTGAATTGTATTGAAGTCAGTTGAGGATCTCATTTCTGAACTCTTTTTAGAATTTTGAAATATTCTAGCTAAACTTTATTAGTTACAGTAATATTTCCAACACACAAACACAAAAAAAGTCTTCTCAACTAAAACTAAAAGCCAGAATGTACTTACTTTTTTTCAATATTTACTTTTCGAATCAAAGACAAAAAACAACGAAAAATGGTACTTTCTCACAAAAAATCAATAGAAAGTAAATATATTCAAAAATGAATCATCAAAGATGTCGTTTGATCACCATTTTTTTCAAAAAGAAAAAAATAAAAAAAAATATGATAAAAAGAATGATCAAACATGACAGGTGGGAGGATTGAAGGGAACACAAAAACTAACAAACAAAATTCTAGAAAAAATTCATTTTTGTGTAATAATTGGTGCATTGATTGGTGAAAAAAAGATTCGCTGTAAAGTGAGTGCGCAAAAAAAACGTTAGAAAATATAGAAAAAATAAATGAAAAAAAAACAATTTTTGGGGGCAATTTTAGAATTATAACAATTGTCCACCATTCTTTTATTTAAAAAAAAAGTTGTTTTCCAGATGTTGAACTTATGTGAAATTTAACAAAGAAGAAAAAATAAAAACAATTGCTGGTTGTGTCTGCGTCTCTTCTTCTCGGACACTCTTCTCTGATAGAGCAAACGCGCGCCAGCGAACCTTATTTTATTTTATTTTTTCGATTGACGAAATTATTTTAATTCTCGGGTTTTCAGCACAAAATGGTGTGCCTTCCATGTATATTTCTTCCAATTATGATGGCAATTTATATCAAATTCATAATGCCCTATGTATACAGGTTGGTATTTTTAATTTGAAAAAAAAACAGAAAGATAAAAATCGATTTTTGCAGAATTTTACCAGAACGCTGGGTTAACTTTTTGGACCCATATTTGTATCCAACATGTCCAATAGAAATACCAGAACCAGAGAAAAAAGAGAATGGTATGTTTTTTTTTCTGTGAAATTCCGAAACTATTTCATTGTTTTATAGATTCATCATGTTGTGCAGCTGGTGGAGAAAAAGAAACCAAAAAGGATCAATAATTATTAAAACGGTAACAATAATGTGATATTTATTTCAAGTTATTTCAATAATTTATGTACTTCAAAATGTGAAAATTTCAATTTCTCTCAATTCCTTTTTTTCATCTCCAGTTAACAAAAAATGATTGACTCTTACAGTTGTTGAAAAATACCAACTGTTGTGATTTCCATATCGAATATAATAAAAACCAGATTTCGGTACTTGATATGTCCAATAATCTATTTGATTCAAAGCTGGACGTTCGCATCCAACTGTCATTTCTTGCCATTTTTCCATTTCTTTCTGAAAATGTTATAAACTTGTACATCAAAACTGAAGATCAATTAAGAAGACTTACTGTATCATCATCGGAATGGAACAAGAAATAATGAAATGAAGAATCATTGTATAAATAGAATTGAATATTTTCGTCTTTTTTCCACTCAAACTTTTGAACTGTGAACTTTCCAGCTGGAAGTGAAATCGCAACCAAATCGACAAGTTGTCTTTCTATTTTTGGAAATGGCGAAAGTGGAAAAGATACTTTGCTTTCTAATTGTCCTCCAAGATCCGACGGAATGCAAGATTTTGAAATATGTTTTGGGATAAGTTCCGAAAGAGGACCCGAAGTTATTACGATTTTTTCCTATAAAAACATGTTGATCAAAAGAATTAGAAGATATATCAATGAATGAAACCTTATAATCTTCCGGTAGAAATGGCGAACATGCTTGATGAAGAACATTTACAAATGAAGGAGCATTTATGATAATAATTTTCTGAAGAAGTTGTGGATAATGATCAAAAAGTGTTCCCCACATAATCCGATATGGTCCTAAAAATAAGATTTTAGAATTTATGATAATTTCAAACTACCTGTCAAAACTGATATTAATTTAGTGCTGAAACTAATTCCATCCAAATCCATAACCATCATTCCACCACTTTGTTTTCCAGTTTTTCTTTCAGCTTCCACAACCTTTTGATGCAACATTTCCATCATTTTCAATTTTATTTGCATGAATTTATGCATCTTAAAATTTCAAATTTTTCTGAATTTTCATCAAAAAAGTGTCTCACCAAAATATTATCCACGAGTCCTCCAATATCAATTTTTCCAGTTCTTTCAAAAAGGAAAATTTTGTTATCATCTTCATGATTTTGAGCATAAATATCGATTGGAATATAATTTGAGATTTCATTTTGTTCGAGCTCAGTTTTCTCAATGAAACCATCGAGATCAATTGTTTTTCTGATATTCAAATGTCTTTTCAAAGCCTAGAAATTTTGTAAAAATATATATTAAATGGGTATTCGAGTGTGTAACTTACTTTTGCTGCTTCTTCTTCATCATTTCCATAAGCAACAAGCCAACGAAGAACATTAAATTCGTGAGAACAATATTCATCATCCAACGCATCAATCGATTGTAAAATTCTTTGAATAGCACTTTTCTCGTGATTATTTGGTGACATTTTAGGGTAAAATAGAAAATGAAACGGATTTTCTATTTTTTATTCTTCGAAATAAAGAAAAGAAGTGCAGAAAGAAGATCATAATCTATACCTGATCTGGGAGTGTATTTAGCCTATTTCTTTTATTCATCCCTTTTTCTTATTATCAATCTAAGCACTTTGGGAAATTGGTTATGGTCCAGATGTGTAATATTATATATATAATATAAACTATAAAATAAACGCATTCCGACATAAAATCGAGTGCGCAGATGTAAATATTCCTCACATTTTCTGCGGATAATTACCGCCACGTTGTATATACACATTTCTTTATTGTCTTAAGATTCGAACTTGATTGTGGGAACGTTTTATCTCTCGAAAAAATCGTTTCATTTTAAAATATCGAAAAAACACAATTTTGAATTCCCGCATAATGAACGTCTGCATTTGTGCGTGAACTATGATGTGTGCACAAAAACGATTTGAATTGCATTTTCAATTTTTCTCGAAAAAAAACCGATTCATTTTTTTGACGCTTAGAGAAATTCAGTGATTTCGTTTTTTTATATAAGGGAGAGAAAACTATACAGGCAGGTATGTCATGTTTTTCTTTATCAAAAAACTATATCAACGAAAATTGTTGAATATTTTTATTTTTCCCTTTTTATTTCCCTAAAAAATGTTGAAAAATGTGTTTCTATTCTTCTTTTTATTACAAAACATGCATCTCATTATCATCGTTATATAATTTGAGGGAATAGATGTTCAACCCGTTGGTTTGTTTGTATGTCTTTACCCTCTCAATGTTTTGTTGTATTTCGTTTGTCACTCACTCAGCACACCAACAACAGACACAGCCCCTCAGTAGTAGCACATTTCAATTGCATTGGTCATCGCTGTGTCCGACGAGTGCAGTTTTTCTCTTTTCTCCATTTTCTTCACTTTCTTGTTTTAGCGAAGAAATAATGATTTCATTCGTTTGTCTTCTGACAACTCCACAAGCCAGAAAACAAAACTTTGCTATCTTGTCCAAATTTCAAACCGAAATATCTTTTTTTCTAATACAACTCGTATATTTATGTTGTTTTTGACAACAGCATAAATAACAATCTAAAATTCATGTAATGCTTCATTCAATCATTCGAAATCCGTGTTTCGCAACAAGTATTTCGTAACTCACTTTGCATGTCCAACTCTTTTTTCCTACTCTAATGAAAATTTTCTTTTTCCGTTTTTTTGGAGCATGACTTCTTCAAATCCCGACCAAGTTTTCTTCTTATCTTTGCATCTTATTTCCCGAAAATAATTTTCGATTTCATCTTCGAACTGCGCGAAATTTATGGCCATATGAAGCGCATTTGTTAATTCCCCGAAGATGTTTTGCATATCTAATTGTCCTTTTTTGTCCCCTCTTCTTTTTTCCATCCATCCATCCTGCCACCAATCAATTCAGTAGTGTTCGTTTCATTTTTCGGGAGAAGGGGGGAACACTTTTGTGTTGTTGACAATTAAGTGGTTTCTTCGTCTCTTTCTTTTGTCCTTGCTATGTTATTCATCCTGTCTGTTTTACCTGCCAGCTAAAAAAAATGAAAGAATGAAAAAAAAACGGTGACTCATTTCGGACTATATGCCGGACACGCCATCCATTCATTTCTTCTCCGTTTTTCTCACTTACAACTTTCTGCATTCATTCTTCGCTCTCACTAGTTTTTTCTATTTGATTCAATCGATTCGTGTTTGTCTCTCTTTCTCTCAATTATAATGTATCGTGTGCGTCTCAAAGTTGAGATTTTAAATTTTTTGCTTTGCTTGCCATATTTGGTGGTATTAGAACCATCTGTCACTTGTCTTTTCGTTGCGCAATTCAATTTTACGTGTTAGGGGCTTTTCTTCTTCCTTTTTTAGAAGAGACATTGATTTATGTTCTCAGAGAAGGTCTAGCTTGAACGGCGCGGTTCGCGAAACCCAGAAATCTGCCAATCCGCGGCTGACACAAGAACTTTAGCGAAACGTCCGCGAAATTATACTCCGCTGTTAGCGAAACGTCCGCGCAATGCACTCTCGAAATATAAAAATGCTTCACTACCCCTGATAATTATCAGAAGTTAGTATTGACTTGTAGTTCCAACCCGGCCTCGATCCCAATCCTGTCGTTTTGTAGTCATCCATCTTCCTTCACAGCGTTTTCGCACACAATAGGAAAACGGGTGGTTTACGGGTCGACCACCCGTTTAGGGGTACTAACGCACTACTATTCGACCACTATCGCACTACTACTGCGAAAGTGGGTTGAGTGGTGTTGATAGTGGTGGAATAGTGTTGTGATAAAATCAGCTTTTATAGATTGGTATATGTTCAGAAATACTAATATTGATATTAGATCACTTTTCGCTGGCGAAAAGTTGATAGGAAACCAAAAAATCAGGCTCCTCGTTTTTTTGGTAGTAGTGGTACGGTAGTGGTCCAAAACGGGTGTGAAAGTTTTAAACCACAGAAGGCAGAATACTATCAAAAAACACCACAGATTGGTTAATAATTACATTTTGCCAACCGATTTCCGCTTTGCAGCCAATAAATTCATAAAAACTTCTATTTTTGCCTTAGTGGTGGTTTAGTGGTCAAAAACGGGTGGTTCTTCCCACAGAGAAATTCAATAAGAAGAAAAAGTATGAAACTAGAATAATGATACTCGAGGTTCATGCAAATACAAACTTTGATGATAGAAAGCACTTCAGGTACCAATTTTAAACCCTTTTAGATATATTTTTCATCATACCACTTTGAGTATCTCGCTGAATTTGCCAAAGTCGGATGAATGTAAATTAAATTTTTTTGTACAGATGTTGTATATCATTTTGTTCGCCTTTCAATTTACAACTCAACTGCGTTTTCAGTTTTTAATTTGGAGTCCATTGAAAAAAAAAGTGTTCCGTGTAGATTTACGCGGAGACGCTAGTGTGTGGTCTCGCGGCGAAATACACAGTTTGTGTGTTTTCATTTTTTCATTTTTTTTTCTTTTTTTTTCTTTTTTTTCCGTTGTGCTGTGGTTTTGTGTTGTTTTTAGAGTTATGAGTATAGGTTTTTATGCTAAAAGTATTGGAAAATACTTTCCTAATAGAACAACTGAGAATTTCTACCGAAAACAATTGAAAATCGTGATTTTTCGATGATTTTAGGCCTTTCAAAAATATTGACTTTCATTTTGTGATTTTTTTACTTTTCGTTCAGAAATAGGTTTGGGAATAGTTTTTCATATGGAATTTGAGAAGCTTCAACACATTGAAATATAAAATGTAGGGAACTTGATGATAATGGATGTAGTTCCTCTGGGTAGGGTTCATAAAATTGTTTTCCTCGTTTCATTTCGTTATCTTTTCTTTATATGTATCCATGTATCATAAATAATTTTAATGTTACGTTTTCAGCACGCGCTGCTCATCTAGAGGTAGCTTCAAAGAGAAGATCGTCACAAAACGACCGGTTAGTTCCTTATATAACCAAACTTGAAAAACAAAGTAATTTGCTTTTAGGCCGATTCTTCATGCGCCATGGGAACAATCAACAACATCACACACAGTGCCGCGAGGAGGAGTGAGGAGTCAATATGAAAAACGGTAAGCGTTTGTATATCAAAATAATTCTAACCCAAAATGAGTTCACACAGTGTGAATTCCACACACTGTTGTGAACAAGCATAAAAAAGTTATGCTCATTTGAAAGAGCATGTTCTAATTAGCACAATCCTAGAAGGATTTTTTCTGTAAGCTTTTCAAATATTGGTTCAAAAATTTCAAAGTTCGAAAAAACAGTGAACAACCATGTAAAATAGATTGAAAATCCAGATGTCCAGCCTCAAGAAATCGAAAGCGTGCTACGCCGCGTTTTGAGGCTTTTGGCGTTCACGCGGCGCTCAGATATCGCTTATTTCGCGAGTTCTGTGCGCCGCGTGAACGTTCACTGTTTTTTCGAACTTTGAAATTTTTAAACCTATATTTGAAAAGCTTACAGAAAAATCCTTCGAGGATTGTTTTAATTAAGACGAGCTCTTTCAAATGAGCATAACTTATTTTTTGCTCAGACTCCATCTTCAAATTGACAACAAATTGAAAATTTTTAAAGTCATAATTTGAAAAAATCCGATTTCAAATTCATCTAGAAATTTTTCAGATTCACCTACGGACCAATCACCAACAACAACACCAAATTCAGCAACCCGGAACTCCAATCCACCGACAACAACGACAACAAGTCTCCCTTCATCAACACCAACCATCGGTCAACCACCGACATCAGGACAACGACTAATTATAATTACTGTTCGCTATATTTTTGAGATAAAATTTTTTTATACATAACAAGTGTAAAATATATGAAAACCTAGGAAAACAAGAATCGACCACTAAAGCAGCTGTTTCCCAGTACTATTTTTTTGCGCGTAGTAGCTGTAAACGTGTACCCGTCGGTGTACTCGCGCACGAGGGGTTGAGTACCCGTAAACGGGTGGAAAACGGCCCGTAATGCACCTGTATGCGAAAACGCTGTGCTTGCTGCGCTATCCTCGTTGTCGCGTACGTGATACAATTTATCCTTTTTATACCCTCCCTCTCGAGTCCATCCGCGAATCCGCGAAAAACGCAAAAAAATCAAATTTCCGAGTCAAAAAATTTCGCGGAATGCGCGAAATTAGATTCTCATTGGCTGAAGTTTCGCTGTCCGCGAAATTTTTTTCGCGGAATCCGCGTAATGATTTTCACCCAAAAATCGGTGAAAAATCGTCCGCGGACCGCGCCGTTCAAGCCATACTTTCTCTGAGTTGTATTATAGAAATAGAAAAACATAATTTTTTTCTGGTGTTGGAATATCGAGATTTTTCCAACTAAAAATTCGTAAATATATCGGTCATCTTTCTTATCATTAATAGTACGTACTAATAATATAAATCTATTCGTTTCCAAATCTAACAAACAAAAAACAAGAAAAATGAACGTTGGCCACTTGAGCGCACTTGTATATTCGTCCATTTTGTTTCCATCCAAATATCTACCGATTTTTCGTGTTTCATGTTTTGTTTGTTTTTTGTTTGGCGGGAAAACGGTTTTAAAAAATTGTCTATTGTCAATTGATATATCGTTGATACAGCTCGCTGAAATATATCAATAAAAAGAATCGAAAACGTTTTTTTTCAATTCTAGTAGTAAATTTTTTATTTTCTCTTATGTCAGTTGTTTTTCTCCTATTTTTCCTTTCATCTTATGATATGAGTCATTCGTTTTCGTAGGAAATTTTTTCGTTGGGAAATGTTTCTACTGGTATATCACATTCTTCCTATGCGCATATTTCTTGAATTGCAAATTACGAAATATTTCTTTCACTTCAAACATACTTTTTCATTCTTCTTCCATAAATGTTTTCATTGACGCACCAAACAATAAAATGGTCCCATTTCACTAAACCCCTTCTCTAGCACTTTTTCCTTCCATGCTCATTTTTTTCGTCAGTAGTCGTAGCCAGTCACTCAATTTCCGTTCGCTTTTTTGTTGGTTTCATTAATAAATGTAAAAAAAATGAATGGATGAATGAATGAGTGGAAAAAGTATGTAATGTTTGTTCTCAATATTCTTTTTTTGGTGTCTTTTGATCCCCCATAATTTACGCATTAGCGACAACTAAGGACACACACAGTCTCTTTTCAAAAATGTGAAATTGAGTGCAAACTTTGGTATCATGCTGTCTTTTTTTACTTGTGGCACTTGAGTCGGCGCAGAATTAATATAGGTTAGGCGTTTTTTGTCTCGATTTGCTTTGTTTACTTTTGTTATCACTGGCGCGTGTTATTGATTTATGTAAAATCGAAGGTTTGATTTTAGAGTAGCATAAAAGTTGGCAAAAAAGTAGTCCGTACATACATTTTTTTTTACAAGTGGACCCCTTTCAAAATCACGGACTCATTTGTTGAATAACCAAAATTCGGCGTGTAACCTGTTTTGAAATTAACATTTTTTGCGAAACCTTCTTGCATCTCATGAGATCTCATTTCAAAATGAGTCCCAAACCTTTATGTAAGCTCATTTCGTATTTGCCGAAAAGTTATGAATGATCATAAATCGAAAAAATAAATCACGGGATTTATTTTAGTGTGTGCTTTGATGAGAACAAATATCATTTTTTGATATAAACCACTTGATTTTTTATATGTGTGAAGTAATCTAATTTAGTTTTTCAGTGAGCTCACATCCTATGATCTATGTGTTTTTTGATTAGTGTCAATTATATTAAAACAGTTTTCACGGCACCTTTTTAATATAAAAATCCTGCTTGCTATATTATTTCGAAAACAAGATATCATATTTCAACACTTCATAAACTTATTTCTCATATTTTTTCATTGGTCTCATTTGAATATTGGATTCTCATAAAATTTCATGGCTCTTTTCCTTTTTTCTTTTTTTCTCTCGTTTTATAACCTATGCCTTTTTGTCTCTCTAACAAGTTATGATTCATTTATTTTTTGTTTGTTCTCGATTTTCTCCGACCCACCTTTTGACTCATTTATTAAATATATTAATGTTTTGAGTATTTTTCCTTTTTTAGAATATGTCTACCACAAAAAGTTCCAAAGTGCGAATACGCAATTTCATTGGTCGAATTTTTTCGCCTGGCGATCGAGATCGAGGGGATGAAGAAATGAAGCCATCGTCTTCTGCTATGGATATTAGTCAACCATATAATACTGTTCATCGTGTACATGTTGGATATGATGGACAGAAATTTAGTGGTTTGCCTGCACCGTGGATGGATATATTGCTCAGAGATATCAGGTTTGTTGTGGTTCTCACATATCCCAAAAACTAGATTCTCTTCTCAAGAAGATTCTGAAAACTTTTTCGAGGATTTAAAGGTGAAACTTTGTCAGTGTTAAATTTCTGAACTCTATAGGATCCATTTTAAGCAAAAGTGCCTTTCCCCCCCTTTCGATGCTAGTTTTTTTTCGAATGAATTATGACTGAAATACTTCTCTTTTTTTCTAATTTATTACTCACACTTTTTCCGAGTTCAATAATTAGAAAATGTTTTTCTGTTTCAGTCTTGCCGACCAAAAATCGAATCCGAATGCAGTTGTGACTGCATTGAAGTTCTATGCACAATCAATGAAAGAAACGGAAAAGACAAAGTTTATGACAACTAATAGTGTATTCACAAATAGCGATGATGATGAGGTTTGTTTCGCTTTTTTGTTTCTGTATTATATGAATATTTTATCAGGTTGATGTACAATTGACTGGAGAAGTGACGGAACATTTGAGAAAGTTACGATGTAGTAATGGTAAGAGAATTCTGCTCTGCAAATTACTTTTTTTTGTTTTTGTCAAAAAGTGAACATTGAATTATTGATGGAGAATTTGAAAATTGTGGGCAAAAATAATGGAATTATTAACAAGTTCTGTGTTTTTTGGCTTTTTGGAACAATGCTAAAGACAACATTTCATAAAAATACTATTTTTGTGAAAAAAAATGGTTTCTGAAGGATTTTTGCAAGCAATGTCGGAATTTTGTTTATCTATTAGTGTCGTCTTAAGATATTATCTTGAAGCGAGAAAATGACTCAACATAATTTTGTAAATACAAAAAAAGAAAATTACCAATTAGAAGAAAAATAGTTCTAATGATAAACAATTAAATTGAAAATATATCCGAATCATAATAATTTATAGGAACTTCTTCATCTCCATCGCCTTCAGCAACTTCTTCATCTGCTCGACCATTGACTAATGGAAATAATAGCAGTAGTACAAATCATTTGTCGAATTCATCGACAGAAGCTTCACTTTCATTCGGATCTGAATTACGAAGTATTCCATCGCCATCTCCAGTTCCAAATAGTGGTTCGTTTTTTTAAGAGTTACTGGTGTCCAAAATTTGTTATGGCACTGCTAATCTGTTAAAAATGTTTGGTCTATGGAAACTTCCCAGAAAATTAGCCGAAATCAAAGCCCCTCTTTTTTTACATAGTTATTTTTCATTTGATAATAATTTCGTAGGCGCGCGACCGATTAAATAATTTTTTTAATATAAAATCGCAACATTGTTCTTTTCTCTCATTTTTCTCACACAATGCTTTGATTTCACATAAGATAATAAATTATGAATTGATAAGAAAAGCTGCAATGTTATTCTTTCGATTTAAATGATTGTAAAATAATTGGAAGTAGATTTATGACTCGATGTTTTTTGCTAGAGGGAAACATGTATTTTGATACGAGGAATATATGACAAATTTTTCAGAAAGTGCACCACAACTCAAAAATTTAACTGGAGATGCGCCAAAACTTCATCCAAGATCACCATATCCTCCGCCACCACCAGTTTTACCACAAAGAACAAAACCACCAGTTGTAATTGCGACAAATAATGGAATTACGAATACTCCACCAGTTCCAGGAAAACGAGTTCCACCTAAAGTGCCGCCAAAGCCACAGGTATGTTTTCTTCGTCCTTTCAATATTTTTCAGTATTTCTCAAAAAAAAAAAACCAAAAAAACGCATGAATCTAAACGCAACCAAAAGTTTTTTTGCTTTTTTCTTCTTTCATTCATTTTCACTATCAATTGCATAATTAAAGAGATTTGCGAAAAAAAGTTACAACAAGATTGTAAAGTGTTTGTTGCCAGACACTACAAAAAACCACTATTAATCAATGTTTGTTGATTAGAAGACTGAGAAGTATTTTATCCAAAATCTTTTGTCGGGCGGGTGAAAGTTTGGTTTAGAACGATTCGGTTGTTAAAGTTATATGCCCTTTTTATTGGATTTTTCGATAATAAAAACGACAGGAAAATGCGAGATCTTTGAGTCTTGAAAGACACATTGATGAGGTTGTGATAAATATGATTCTGAACACACCATGGCTATAGTTATAATTTTAGAGTTCACTAGATCATTGTCACATAATGGAATTTTTTCAACTCTACAAAATTAAATTTTAGTTTGTTTTTTCGAAATTGTACTTTAGGATTTTTAAAAATTGTTCTTGAAAATGGAAAAGTCTCATAGCTTGTTATTTCTACCTACCATCCAGTTTCCTTCCTGTTAGAATCAATGTTATAAGGAATCAACACGTTCTAAGATGTTAATATAACTCATTTGCTTCAGTTTTTTCCACAGAAAAATATGAAAAGTAGAACCGAATATACCTGTTCAATTACGTATTTCTATGTTCCACGTCGAATCAAATCATCATATATCATTATCGCTTTCAACATTCCTCATTACATAACCCTCTAATTATTGTCAATCACAAAAACACAGTATCTTTTTGCAAATCGAATTATCTTTCTTTTTTTCCTATTCATATATCCAAATATAGTTTCTTTTCATGATTTTTTGATATATGATTACTTGATGAAACAACGAATATAATAATACATACATACTATATAAATAATAATGAAAGTGTGAAAGTGAAGATTCTGTTTGGTTTTTTCTCTCTTTCCTCTTCAACAGGTTCGACCCCCTGCGGCAGAACAGAAAAAATATAATGAAGACGACTTACATCTTCTAATATTCTTCTCTTTTTTCTGTATTTAACGTTTAAGTTGTTTGCTTTCACGTTTCATTTTTCCGGTTTTTGTTGAGCAGTTTTTGGAGCATTTGTGGAATAGTACAAATAAGGAAATTTCTTGTTCACATGTTTTCTTTTCGATTTAAAGAATATATGAAAGGCCTCTTGTTTATTGATCATTGACTCCAGTCCAGTGTCTCTTATAGAAGCTAGTAATAGTTGTTATTCTGATTTTTTATTTGGAATTTTTAATTTTATTCTTTCTCACTTGGAAAATTTTAATAATTAATGTTCAAAATCCAGATAATATAGAATTATAATAAAAATTTTCTTTCTGAGACATTAGTAAGATATTGATTAGAAAGATATTCTGCAAATTTTTACATTTATTTTTGTGTATTATCTAGTTTTGTAGTACTAACAAAATGAATAATAATGATGATTAGGATTAATGATGTTATGTCATTTGGTCGGCTTCTTTTTCCTTGTCCTTTTTTCTGTTCGTTTGAAGCTAAAACCCGAACCTGTCATTATTTTCACTTTTTACTTCGTTTTTTTTTCTGAATAAACATACGACTTATTGTTATTGTTGTGGTTTCGGATCATTCATTCTTGAATATTGCTTTTTTTTTCGAAAAGAGTAGGTTCAATCAAATTTCGGTAACCATCTGTTCTTTCTTTCTTTCTTGACCTCTTTCTAATCGTACCTGTTTCTTTTAAATTTACTAAATGAAATATAAAGCAAAATTAATTTGTTCGATAGTTAGTTACATCGTTAAATACGCTAGTAAATTGTCGACAAAATATTTTTCTGACGCCCAAGGTTTTCTCTATGAAATCCATAAATTCGTACAACACATAATAGTATAATACGTTTTGAAAAGGTCAGAGAAGACACGCCCAGCTCGATAACATTCACTTATTTCGTCTTTTTTTTCAATTGTGATTCACAAGTTTTTTGTCCGCTATTATGTATTACTACATGCAATCGTGCGTACTTAATTTCCTTTTTCTCTCGTTTTTTTTCAATTATTTCAAACTGTGTCGTATTTTACAGAATAGAAACAGAAATATCTTATTGACAACAAGAAACATCTGTTTTCACCTTATTTTTCTTCCTCCATTTAATCCACCTGTTTATATTTGATGAGATTTAAAAATGTTTCAACAACAGCAAATGTTTTATGATTGGTATCAGCCGAAACCAATGAAAGTTGGTGTTTTATCACCTTGGGGTGCTTACTTCAATCATATTGGAAATGAGCTTTTGGTTGGTTTTTAGGTTTCAAAAATGAAAAAAAAAGTATATAAAAACTTTTGGTTGCGTTTTTTTGCGCGATGAAAATATGCAGTAAGTTGTTATCACTTAATATAGCCTTGAGAACTTAAAAATTTTATTAAATGGAAAAAAATGTTGCCTGTTCCCATTTTTCCCTGAATTGGCTTGCATGTTTCTTGTCACGTTCATATACTTCTTCAGCATTTAAAAATCTCATCAAATTCAACACTTTCATCATCTGGTTCGTCTTCACCAATAAATAATACAAATACAACTTCATCAGTTCGAAGTGTTGGAAATTCATTATCAAATGGAAGTTGTGCATCAAATACTTCATCGGAAGCTGATGTTCAACTTATTTCAAATGTAAGTTAATTTTCAATGTGCATTTTTCTTTTTTATTGTGATGTAGATTGTTCTATTTTGCATGTCACTTCTTCTTCTTCTCACTTATCCCATTTTTCTATTTATTTTTATTCAAATTTCAATTATAGATAAATATATTTATCATATTTTTTCAGAAGGAAAACACGAAAATTGTTGGAGATGCAAATGCGAACGATGTTGATCAATTGCTTGTTGAAGATGAACCAGTTAGAGTTCGACAACAACAAAAACAAAAATTAACAGATTCCGAGGTTTTGGAACAATTGAGAGGAATTGTCAATCCAGGAAGTCCGATTTCAAAATATGAAATGAAGAAACAAATTGGCCTTGGGTATGTTCTTTAAAAAACCAGAACTTATTTTTTTTATTATAAAAAAATGTTTTTTTAGTGCATCGGGAACTGTTTACGTTGCAAATGTAGCTGGAACTAGCAATGTTGTGGCTGTCAAACGAATGGCATTTAAAACTCAACCGAAAAAAGAAATGCTTCTCACCGAAATCAAAGTTATGAAAAAATATCGTCATCCAAATCTCGTAAATTATATCGAATCATATTTGGTTGAAGCTGACGATTTGTGGGTTGTAATGGATTATTTAGAAGGTGGAAATTTGACGGATGTTGTTGTCAAAACAGAATTGGATGAAGGACAAATTGCGGCTGTGCTACAAGAATGCTTGAAAGCACTTGACTTTTTGCATAGGTAAAATAGAAAAGAAAGTGGAACATCTTGTTTTGAGTTATAAATAGATTGAGTCACTAAAATAATTTGAAGGACGTGGGATTAGGACTATAATATATAAGCCCAATATCAGGATAACTTTTTTCGAAAAACATTATTACTAGGAGAAATACTGAACATTTTAAAAATTGAAAAAAGCTAAATTTCAGAATAGAAACTCATCACATCATTGAATTTTAGAACATTCACCTTACAAAAAAACATTTTTTTTTGCAGACATTCAATTGTCCATCGAGATATCAAGAGTGACAATGTTCTTTTGGGAATGAATGGAGAAGTTAAATTGACTGATATGGGTTTCTGTGCTCAAATTCAACCAGGTGCAAAACGTAACACAGTTGTTGGAACTCCATATTGGATGTCGCCGGAAATTCTCAACAAAAAACAATATAATTATAAAGTTGATATCTGGTCATTGGGAATTATGGCACTTGAAATGATTGACGGAGAACCACCATATTTGAGAGAAACACCATTGAAGGTAATAAGAATTCGAGAATTTATTATTTTTCACAATAAATAATGGTTTTATAGGCAATTTATTTGATTGCGCAAAATGGTAAACCGGAAATAAAACGCAAAAATGATTTGTCGCCAGATTTTTTGGATTTCTTGGATAGATGTCTTGTTGTCGATCCAGATGCAAGGTAATTTTCATTTTTTTCAAACTGAGCCATAACAAATTTCAACAAAAATGTTCATTTTCAGAGCTGACACTTCTGAACTTTTGGCACATCCATTTTTGAAACGAGCAAAACCATTATCAAGTCTTATTCCATATATTAAAGCAGTCAAAGAACAATTGGGTGAAAGAAAATAATAAGACAAGAATATTGTCATATATGTATATTTTGAAATTATTATCATCATACTTTTGTTTGTTTTTGTTTTTCCAAGTCCAAATTATTCCCCAGTGATAGATCTTTTCTTTTCATGTTTTTTGAAAGTATCAGTTATGGCTCAAAATAACTCTATGATAAGTTTTATCACAGTTTTTCTCCACAATTTTCACGTGTTTTTCTACGTGTCTTCCTCTCAACATTTTCCAATATTTTTAACCTAAATCCAATTCATTTGATTGATTGTACTAGATTATATTAATCGATTACATTAACCCCTCCCATTTTTTCCAATTCTCTACAATTTTAAACATGTCATGTGCTTTCATATCGTTTTATATATTTTTACTCTTATTTTTCCTGTGAATTGAAATTTTGGTGCATTTTTTTTCGTTCAATATTTTTATAGATGATTTTTCGATGTTTTTGCGTGAAACAAATAAATGCCATTGATTATGTTCTAATGGATCTGATTATTTTTTGAATTGAAATTCAGAATTTTGAAAAATTCATTTTTTTTGTTTTCACGTGAAACAGATAAACGACAATCAATCCGATTTCAAATTTCAAATCATTATCATTTATTTCGAAAAATGAAATTGTTTCTCCTTTTATTGATTTCTTTTGTCACCATTGATGCTGCAATCCAAGTTTCGAGAGTAAAAGAAATTGCGAATGAATTGATGTATGATGTTATTGATGGAATTAAGAAAGATGATTTTGACAAATATTTCGAAACTGATACTTTCACATACAAATGTTGCAAATCTCCTTCAATTAATTATCAAAAAGTTAAACAATTGATTTTGGAAAATTCAAAACAAAATAAATTTGTTGGATTGAAATGGAAAATTGAAAATGCAAAAATGATCAATTCAAATCGAATCAATTTTGATGTTAAATTTGAGAAAAACAACAAGGAAATTAAGAATATTAATTTTATTGCAATTCGAGATGGAAATGGATATTTATTGGCACGCGGAAGACAAATCAAATGTTGAATATTATTTCTCAAACATTTTATCAATAAATGCGTCCAGATTACTGTAGTTGCTTTTTTGTCAATATTGATCTCGGAACTTGAATTTTCAGCCGTCGAGCTAACCCTAGAGCTCAGAAGCTTAAAAACAATGCATATTTTAATTCTCATATTTTTCGAGTAATATTTTTGATATATATTAGAATTTCCAAAAAAACCCAAAAATCCGTAATTTTTTTTTTGAAAATAAATTGATTTCACGTGTTTTTTTTTCAAAAACCCCCAAATTGAATATTTATGTTCGTCATTGTTTATTAGGTTGGTCGATGAAAAACAGTCGAAAAATATGGTTTACATAATATTTTCATTCATAACTATCTTCGTTATTTCTATCATTGTAAACTGTCATAAAAAGAATCGATCAAGTAGGAAAAGTGAAGCAGGAAAACACAAAAATGAAGTGACTGCTGTTGAGTAAGTTGAAAAATATTTAGAATGAAGGAAGGAAGCCTTTGAAGCTAGCGTCGAGTTTTAGAATATGTTCCAAACTCGACGATGGCTTGAAAATGATTATTTTTGCAAATCACGAACAACATTTTTTGCAGAGAAGATCCATTTGCAATTTTGAAAGCAAACTTAGCAAATCAAGAAAGAAAAACACAATCAGATTCATTAAAAGATTGTTCGGTGAAAAATGAGAAAAATCCATTGTACAATAAAAGTCGAGAAACAGCATCACAATCAGCAGTCAGCAAAATGGGTGGAGTATCAAAAAATGGAGGAAAACAAAATGATTCGAAAAAGCAAAGCTTGAAAAAATCGGGAAAAGGAATTCAAGTTGAACCAACACAACAAGATGATGTTGTTAAAAATAATAATGGAAGATCTGTTATTCGAAATTCTACATTGAAAGTGGTAAGAGAAATAAGAATTCGGTTTCAAGTTAAATTAATGTTTTTCAGGATCCAACTCAGAACTCAAAGATGTAACATATTTGGATAACTGAAAAACCCCGAATAAATTGTTTTCTTTGAAAAAGTTGTATTGAATTCTATAGAATCTTACAGATTACTGTAGATAAATTCATCTCGCTCTGTATTTAGATTTTTTTTCAAAAACCATTTTTTGAAATTTATTTTGACGTGACCTAGAAAATTCAAGCCAAAATCCTCACTTTCTCGATTTTTATATTTTCAATCATTTCTTGTTATAAATCATTTGAATATTAGTCGAATAATATGGTTTCAATAATATTTTTTTCATTCATAACTATCATTTCAATTATTACAACTTGTAGTGAGTTTTTTTTTCGAAATGCTGATTTTACTCAAATCTAGATGGAATATTTCAGACAAACTAAAGAAAAATAAAATGAAATCACAAGAAATAAAACAACCATATAAAAGTGACAGCAGTGGAACTGGTTCAATTTATTCTGTTAAAAATCCAACAACATCAAAAAAAGAGGAGATGGAAACAGTGAAAAAATGCGCGGAAAAAAATGATGGACACAAAACAGAAAAAGGGGATAAAATATTGAAAACCGAAGAAGAGTAGGTTGATGTTAGAGAAGAAAATCAATAAAATTTGAAAGTTTCAGAGATTTGTTTGGTGATCTTGCGAAAAAATTGGCGAAAAAAGAGAGAACTGAAAAAACAGAATCGCTGAAACGCACGGATGAGAAGAATCCACTTTATGATGCAAATCGAGGATCTGGTGAAACAGTTAGATGTTCACTTAAAATGCCTGTTAATGAGAATAATAATGGAAAAAGTAAAAATGTTCGAACGGAAGAAACACAGGAATCAATTCAGTCAAAAATTGAAGTCACAAAAACACAAAAAACTGAAATTATTCCACCCAAAAATTGAGTTTTTAAGAATAAAGTTTATTTATTGAATCTTTTATAAGATAATATTTGATGGTTTGTTTTAAACAACTAACAGTTTTGAGAAAAATTTCAGAAAAAATAAAGGCACCCAGATTTTTTGAGACACAATATCTCGCAACAGTTGCAGCGCCTTTTATTTTGATTTTTTCTTTGTTTTGGTGCCATCCGTGGACAATATTATATGAATGGAGGAACGAAGATCGGAGCTGAAAAAAGTTCATGAAGGTAATATAACTCTTCCAATAGAAAAGAATAAAAAAACATTCTCCCAAATATATTTTCCGCGTTATTCGATCAGAGCTTCTCTTTTCAAATCGGTATATAATCAAATTTTGATGACAATAAATCAAATTTGATCATGGAAAAATATTTCTTGCTAATATTTTTGGCTATTTGTTTTTCCAATTGTGTTTTCGCCGAAAACGTATCTGATATTACAACCCCATCAAAAGAATATGCAAAAAAAGTGATGAAAGATGTTTTGGTTTCACTCGGAAAACTCAACATCGATGAATTTGCCAATTTATTGAACGAAGATGTTTTCACTTTTCAAACATGCTCAATTCCGAATATTGTTCCTTATGAACCTTTTCTCAACATTGTTTCTAAGAATTTTATTGGATTAGGAAAGAAATTGGACTTCGATGTTTATAGAGCTTCAGTCATTAATACTCGGTTCAAATTTGATGTTTTGTTGAAAGGAGCATCGAAACAACCAATTGATTTGCATGTTACAATCATTCGTGATATTACAGCATCAAAAGGTTTTCAAGTAATCAGCATTAAAAATAATGCATGTTTTTAATAATTAACAATAAAGATTATTTTCATTCAAATAATTCGAAAAATAAGTACAAAGATAAAAATGTAATGATACTATTGTTGATTCATTCCAGGAACTCGAATTAATGCCGATTTTGGTAAATGAATTTGTTGTCCATTATCCCATGCAACAATACAACATTGATCCCCCATTAATTGAGTTACTTCTCCGGTCATATTATACATATGATTTTTCATTGGTTCCCAAGCTGTATAATTGATATCAAAAAGATAGGAACATTTTGGATCTTGAAATTCTTCACAAGCGATACATCTAGCAAGTGTATGATTATTTCGATCATAAATAAATGGAAGTGAAAGGGAATCATCAACCATATAACGAACAAATGGTCGCCAATAAAGTGGAATTGCATCACGTTTCCATTGAACAATATCAGCAACATCAACATTCATTGGAGTACAAAGATCCGAAAGTATTGGCATATTATAAAACTGCAATAATTGATTTTTATTTTTATAAAAGAGAAGGAGGAAGACCATAACAATTTTTTGTAATTGTTTGACTTACATTAGCTTCTCTTTTCAATTCATCACATGCTTCAGTATCATTTGGAATCACAAAATGTTCTCCATCTCTCAAATAATTCAATATTTTTGAAAAATGTTTTGGATCTCGATCAATAAATATTTCCTCTTTTTCTCCTAATTGCCATCGATCACTTACTAATACAGATAATACTGTATCTGGAACACGAGTTATTGTTGCTACAGTAGTCTCGAATTTCTGCCCGCCAACATTTAGAAATACTCTTTCATTTAAATGACTTCCACTTTCGCCATTCATACTCATCTAAAAATGATAAATATTTTCTAAAAATAAAATGACATTCAAAAATCATGAAAACCAAGAAATCAGAAATATATTTAAATACTCACAACATCGACTGTTGATGTCTCTTCATTCGATTTATCCATTATATAGATTATTTATATAATATTTATAGATAGATAAATACTTCTAATCTTTTTTTATCAGAGATATGTATAATAAGGGGATAATAGAAAAAAGAAAGGGGAGAAAATGAGGAGAAGAAATAGCTGAAAATCGATTGTGTGCAGGAGAAAAGAAGAAGCCAAAAAAACATATAGCAACAACTCGACTCCCACTAATCACTTATTCTATGAAGTGGAAGAAAACCGATTTCAATTGTTCTTTATTTTCCTATTGGAAATGAAAAAGGTAATTGAAGGGTTTGGGTTGAAAATTGAGTATATGTTTGATTTCGTTTAAAAATATCAGGGACAAAGTTTATAGAAGTGATGCATCCAAAAAAGAAGCCAACTTCGGATATTAAAATTTTTTGAACTACCAAAGTTTTTCTGGGATGCGAATTGCGCTTCATAAAATGTTTGAATTTCAAAACAAAAATGAAAATTTCTTTCGAAAACAGGAAACTATTTCTGAAAAGTATGTAATTTTCAATTCAGAAATCAAACTAATCATTTTTGCGTGACCGGAAATTGTTAATTTCCTAAAAAATTTGCCAATTTTTAATATTTTTTTCTATCAAAACCTAAACATAAAACGAAACAAAAAAATGAAATTTGAGAAATAAGATATCTACAAAATGAATGAAAAAGTGACATTTTGAAGTGGCCAACATTTATTTGACATCTCGGATTAATTTTAAAATACGTTCTCAATTTTTCCGAGTTTTCGGAAATCGATAAAATATAAACGTAAACAAATATGAAAGAAATTAATCTGTTAAAATGTATTTTTGACACGATTTATTTTGAAAATGAAAACAAATATTTATTTTTTATTACTAATACAATTTCGAATCCAAAAAATTTTCAAACAAATTGAAAATACGGAACTTATGTTAATTAAATCTACTTTTTCAATGAAAATCACAAAATAGAAAAAAAAATAAAAATAGAAAAAGGGAAAAAGAGGAATTTTCCCACCACACATGGAAAATTTTTTGCGGAAAAACGAGAGAATTGGAAAATGAGAGAGGGAAAAGAAAACGTGAAGCGAACAAAACGAGAAAAATATCTTGAAAAACTGCTTTGTTTTTTTCTCGGCTGGACAATAAAATCTGTAAATTGTATGCAGATTAAATGAAAAAAAAAATAATTTTTGTTATTGTTTTCCATGTGAAAATAGATTAGAAAGTCGTATCTGAAAGTGGAGAAAATTCCAAAAATTGAAATATTAACAGAATATTTTATTTAACTGAAAATAATCAAGTTAAATCAAAGTAGCACTTCTATCAGTATAACTTGTCATTTTGTATTTTGTATCCTTGACTTTTGATAAAATAAAGTTGCGATAAGGTCCAACAAAAATGAAAGACGAGATTGGATTCAGAATCGGAACAAGAAGAAATATACAATACATCATGTATTGTGGAATATCACTTTTGATTTGTTTGAAATGTTGAATTGGATAACAAAATCCGCCAATTATGTAAAATATTGGAATGATTGCTTGAAATGTTAAAGCCTGCAACAACTTCATTTTTTATTTATTTTTCAGATCACCTCTATCACCTTCATAAGTTGTAATTGAAGCCTTTTTGATTTAGCAGATTTAGCATTTCCAATAGTTTCCAATTTTTTGATTGTTTTATATCTCAAAAATACAATAGCCAATGTTAATGGAATACTTAAACCAACAACATGAATTATAACATATAAAACTGAGAAATCAAAAATATGAGGATTCGCTGATAGCATTCGAATACTTGGAATTTCAATTTCTGGATGTTTTTCTTCCAAAATTCGTTTTGCAATATCTCCGGTTGTATGATTTTGAACCACATTAACTAATTGAAATAGCGATGGAATATAAATTAATAAAATGATAATTTGCACTTTCAATCTTGTAACTGTTTTTGCATGGAATAAAACATAATATCGATAAGTGAAGGAAAAAATAAGAAGCCAGATTGAATGAGTATAAAAATGAAGCATCGAAACATAAAATCCGAAACAAATTTCACTTGAAAAATATGAACATGGTCCAAGAGAAATATAAACAATTGAATATCCACAAGCAATAAGTCTTTGCATTACAATAAAATTGAGAAAACAGATGAAGAAATCGGTTATGGCAAAATTAATAATAATCAAACCATAATTCTTAATTTGTCTTGGACTTCTTGTTAGAACTGCATAAATTAGAGTTCCATTTATTATACAACCAAAAGTTGATAGAAAACTATGAATTGTTCGAAATAACTCATCCATTGTTGAAAATAAAAACACCGAATGAGGATAAAATGTGATTGAAATTTCATCTCAATGTTTTTGTTTTTATTTTTTTCAGATTGTGATTTGTATGTTCTCACAATACTCATTTGTCTTATTTTTCTTTTACCTAAAACAAACAACTACCATTAAGAAAAACTGAAATCCAGTAGTCAATTTTATTATACGACAATAAATTGTGAGTATTCTTCTTCTACATGAGCAATTCGGAAACATATTCAGAGTTGACATAATAAGGTGTCATTCCATTCTCATTTCCAGCTGCAACTCGTTCTTGTGTATTTGCAATGTAAGCAGATTCAGAAGGCTTTTGACATTTGATACTGCAACAAAATAAGATCAATTTGAAGATAGTCTGTTACTTTGAATTCTAGTACAAAATATAATTTTATCATACCAAAAAATCGAATTATCTTGATATTTTGCGTGGTACATTTCGCGTGGCAAAATTATGGGATTACTGTAATTTGTTAACTTACACGTATTGTTGTGGAACATCAAAAAGAAACATTTCAGACAAAGCATCCAATTGATATTGTGATGGAACACGTGAAAGTCGAGGTGTTTGATCAACTGGATCTTTATTCAATTCCATTAATTGATAATAACTTTTGTTGGAATTAATTTCAGTTTCTTCTTCAGTTTCTTTATCAACATTATTTATACAACTATCAATTGTTATCGAACTTGTCAAAGCATCAGATTTGCCCCAATTTTCAGCAACTGAATTATCCATGCAACTTATATCTTCTTCAAATCTTGATTTTTCATCAGCTTCGATTTTCATAAGAATCTGGAATAAATTGTATTTTGTAATCAATCTTCAACAACACTGATTATATAAAACCTACCATATTTCTCTGAACATTTTCGATCGAATTTTCTTTTTCTGTTGAATATCCTCCTTCCATTTATCGATTAATTCAAAAATCACAATGAGACTAAAATGATTTGAGATTTTATTTTATAGCTGTTTCAGAAAAAAATCCACGTCATTTAGAATTCCACATTTCACGTTCACATAAAATTTATTAATTTTTTGTGAAAAATTAAATCAAATCTTTATGAGTCAATTTATCATAAGTAATCCCGTTAATAAGTTCGACCTGTGGTAACTTCGAATAAAAATCTATTGGAAAATTTTCTAGAGGATTTAGTGAACGATGACGATGCTCCTGGAAAAAAGAACAATTTGTATTCTATATTTAAAAAAAAAATTACTTTTAAAAGACAAAAATATGCAGCTGGCTGATAATCCAAATAAAATTTATGAGCAACAAGATGTTTTGATAATCGAATATGCCATAAATCATGAATTCCAAAAACACAACTTCCTTGAGTGAAATATCCATAACAATTTGAATAATCCCAACTTTGATATCGAGAAATATAATAACCAACTTTTGTATCACTTCTTTGATGCGATAAAAATTCATTCGCTTCAAGTGATCCAGAAATATTGAAAAGCTTTTTATTTCCCAAAATAGTCGCCCAAAATGATTCATCTGGAATCCATGTTCCATCTAAAAAATGAAGAAGATTTCTAGAAATATCCGATGATATTATTGCTTTTGCTGTTTTTCTTGGAATCAGAGAGGAAAGTGAAGATTTCCATAGAGGAAGTGGAGAATCATCAAACTAAATAATAAATTATATGAATTAAAAATTCTCAAAGTTTTCTTCAAAACTTACACTTTTCTCCATTATTCGTTCTTTTTGATAATGTGTTATTTCAAAATTCGGAGCTTCTTTCATTGCTTTGAATATTTTGACCATTTCAAGATTAGTTCTGATCGGAATATCAACACCAGATAAATATTGAAAATATTTCCATTCATTTGATAATTCAGTTAAAAACTCCAAGCAAAAAACAACGGAATTTATAACTTCAGTACTTCCCCATTCAACTTTTGGACGTTCGAAAAAATAAACATTGTTCCAACATTTCTTCAATTCTTTGATTATTTTTTTGAATTGTTCATCTGAATTTTGTGGATAAGCAACACAATAAACATTTTGAGGTTGATAAAATGAAGAGAGCATAAATAAAAACTGCAAAATATTGAAGATAAACAATTTCTAATAGGAATTATTTTCAAACCTGAGCAACATTTTTGTATGCCAAAATTCCATAAGCCAATGGATAATCATTTTCTTCTTTTGATAATGGTATTTTATTGAAATCGAATAGTTTTTGAATTTTTTCGCATTTATTTTTTGATTTCAAAATAATTTTCTCAATTGGATTTTCGAAAAAATCAAAATTTTCATCAGGTTCTTCACAATTTATTTGAAAAGATTCCAATAAACTTTTTTGAGTCTGATTTTGATATTCCAATAATCTCAGAAAATTTTCAGATATCTCATGTTTCTTCGATTTGTTAGAATACCATAAAAATAAAAATAATATGAGAAAAATAAAAATTAGGAATTTATACTTTGTGATACTTTTAAAACGAATCATCAAAGAATGATAAGAAAATTGTTATTGAGCAAATATTGATTCTGTTATTTTGGAATGAATACTAATAGATAATGTGTTTCAAAAAAAAATACGACGCCCAAATGTGTATTTGAAACGAATTTGTTGTTGATTACTGGAAATCGACTGAAAATAAGAAAAACTAGAAAAATAAGAAAACAAAATAAAATCTTCATTTCAAAGTTTTTGGACAAATCGATATTATTGAAAAAGTAGATAAAAAGTGCAACATATGCTTATGATTCATAAAGTCTCCTATTTTTTCAACCCTAAAATGAAAATATCTTGCCACGAAAAAGTATGCCAACTACAGTAATTATATATGAACAAAACGAACATTTGATGAGTTTCTGTTAAAAACTAATTTGAGCAAAAAATGATAAATGTTAATCCCTTCCAACTGATTACTAGCTGTCTTGAACAAAAGTATAATATGATTATTTTTTCTAGATTCCGAATCCTGACAAGGAAACCAACAATTCAGAAGTATATAAATAACATTTTGACATCTGATAGAATTTAATAAATTCAATTTAGAAATAATTCAAATTTTCCGGAAAAAAGTTAAATTTGGAAAAAGTATGCGTTTTCGGTTAGAAAATAAATATTTTCAAAATTTTTTGAAATTCCATCAATTTTGTAGTGTCGAGTAAAAAGGTTCATCTTGTGCGAGGTTTTCGGTTCCAAAAGATAAATCTTACATAGTCAGATTATATGAAGAATAAAAATAAGATATCAAGTTTTATAGGATTAATAAAATACAAAACTTATTAAAAGTGTAAAAAGATTTCTATATAAAAGTTCTTAGAATAATTCAAATATTCGGAAAACATGAAGTCTTCTACAACTTTACTTCTCTATTCTTGCACATTTTTTTCAACAGTTTCTATTATTTTTGCTATTCTGTTCACTTCTTTCATGTACAATGATTTGTATGAATTTCATAACGAAGTCGAACAAGAATTAGATGGTTTTAAGGTTATTCAAACTATTTCGGTTGTTTAAAATCAATTTTTTATGGTTTCAGGAGATTTACAATGACGCATGGCAAAAATTGAGTGTTCCAACATCTCAAAAATTCTCAGAATCTGAAAACTTGAGAATATTCAAAAGATATGCTTCCGATAAATCAATCTGTAATTGTGCATCAAAATCTTCAAATTGTCCACGTGGTCCGCCAGGTCCACCAGGAAATCCGGGCGAAAATGGACAAAAAGGACAAAATGGTCAGGTGTTTCGATAATTTTCTTATCATTTCGTTGTTGATTTATGATATTTTTAGGGCCAGACGGAAATGATGGACAAGTTCAACCAATTTCTTTTGTTCAAGATAGTATGATATCATGCCCAATTGGACAACCAGGAGAACCAGGACAAGATGGACCACCAGGTCCGCCAGGTCTTGACGGAAATCCTGGAAATGATGGACCATCTGGAGAAGAAGGACCACCTGGAGAAATTGGACAACCAGGTTCACCAGGTCGAATTGGTTCGCCAGGAAGAGATGGAAAATCTGGAAAACCAGGAAGAGATGGAACACGTGGAATTGGTTTACCTGGACCTAAAGGTCAAACAGGAACACGTGGACAAATTGGACCACGTGGAGAAAATGGAAAACCTGGAAAGAATGGTGAACATGGACAAACTGGTTATCAAGGCGAAATTGGAAATCGCGGAGAACCTGGTCCAGATGGAATTCCAGGCGGTCCAGGAATCGATGGAATGCCTGGTGCTGACTCAGGTTATTGTCAATGTCCTCAAAGAAATTCAAATGTTGAAAAAACATCAAATGGTTATAAAGTTCGCAAAGTTCGACTTTTTAATCATGCAAACTAGTTTTATTCAATTTCAAATAAAAAATTCATTGAACACAAGTATTTTGTTGTCTATTTTCTAACAAATACACTAGCACCATATTGTTTATCGCCAAATGCCATCGATTTGACTTCATTGTTGTTATTTCCCATTGTGTTATTTCCCACTGATGCTCCTTTCGATGCTCCACTTCCACTAGCTCCGACTCCACCAGCTCCGCCTCCGCCTCCACCGCCGCCGCCTCCACCAGTTCCAGATGGTCTTGCAAATTGACTTGCTCCAAATTGTTGTGCTCCGAAACCAACAGATCTAACTTCATTGGCTCCTCCAGAATATCCACCTCCGCCACCAGCTCCTCCTCCTCCTCCTCCACGTGATGCTCCTCCTCCGCCAGTTCCAGATGGTCTCGCAAATTGACTTGCCCCAAATGCTTGTTGTCCAAATCCAACCGATCTAACTTCTCCACCACCACCACCAAATCCGCCTCCAGCTCCTCCAGCTCCTCCAGCTTCTCCGCCAGCAGTTCCACCGTTATTCTCAGCAATCTTATTCATTTGCTCTTCAACAGCCGCCTTCGATTGTCCGGTTACTTTAGCTTGTGCATCAATTTGAGCCTTTTCAAGCATTTCAGCATTCGCAGCAGCTGCAGCAGATGCTTTCATTGCGTCAGCATTTGATGTTCCAGTTGGCACAAATACTGGTTCGCCATTGTTTCCAACAATAAGTTTTCCAAGAACTTTTGCACCTTTTGGATAATCTCCTGGTTTAACAGCAACTGGTCTACCATCTGCACCAAGAATAACATCTCCAATATGATCTCCTGGTTTTGCATTTTCTGGTGGAGTTGTTGGAACCAATGGAGCATCTGAATTTATTTGATTAAAGTATTTAATTATCGGAAAAAATATACCTTTTCCACCACCTAATTCTCTTCCACCAGTTTGTACAAAAACTGGAATACCATCAGCATTTGCAATAATAACTCCAACAATTGCTTCGCGATCTTTTGGTTTTTCTTTAAGAATTTTCATAATTGGAATACCATTGTCAGCAATTTCGACGATAACTGGGACAGCATCTGAACAAAAATTAAACAATCATTTTCTATACAATCCAACACCTAATTACCTTTAGTTCCAATAGCATCGGCGGTTTTAGCATTGACAACATCTGCAGTCGCAGCTTTGGCGATTTCTTTCATATTCTTGTCATTCATCTTGTCAGCTCCCAAACTAGCTGGAACAAACACTTCTTTTCCCTCTTTCAAAATCAATTCTCCTTCAACATAATTATCATAACGTAATTTCAACGCTTTGGTCATTCTGTCATTTGGAATAAATTGTGGAATATTTGCAGGTCCGCGAACCAATACTCCTTTCACATGATTCATATTTTTTGCTCTTGGACCAGCTTTGTCATTGTTTTTGATGTCAACTGGAACTTGAATATTAGCTCCACCAACTCCAGGTGTCAAAATGAAATCAGGAGTGAAAGCTCCGTCAATTTTCTCTTCTTCTTCATCGTCATCATCAATATGGCGAAGAGCTCCAAGCTTGCTGCAAAAATTTTTGCGTTAAGTAGTACTGTAGTTGTTTGTCACGCTGAAACTCACTCTCGATCTGAAGCATCATCTTGAACATCTCCATCCTTTTTCGATTTGCTTCTTCTCTTCTTCTTTTTCTTATGTTGTTCACATCTTTTAACTTTTCCATTAGTTCGGACACATTTGTTACACAACAAATTGGTGACACACAAATACTCATTGCCACCTACAACAACAAGAAAAACACCAAATCCGTCAGCAAGTTGGAAGTTTTCCGGAAGTTCTTCAGTTTTCTTTCTTTTTGCTATTTCATCCTTGTTCAACTGTTGACCATGTCCCTGAAAATATATATTTATAAATTCTCTCTAAAAATTTCGATAAAAACAAAAATCTTTTCGACCACGGCAGGATTCGAACCTACAATCTTCTGCTCCGTAGGCAGACGCGTTATCCATTGCGCCACGCGGCCAGTTGCTAAAATGAGGGGAAAAGTTGCTGACATCTATCCCTCATTTCTCTCATTTTTCTTGACAAACCTTATCAATCAACGCGGCCAGCTCTTCTTGTGTTGGCGCACCAGTCTTTTGTGATTTTGCCATGTTGGTACTGTATCAATTACTTTCTTCGAGTCACTCAACAAAATACTCGATAGCAAAAATTGTTCGAACTGAACGAGAAGACCAGTTTTATACTAATTTTTGACCTATTTTTAAATTTTTATCAGATTCACGTATTTGTCAAATATATTTTAATTTGTTATTTTTTTTCATTTTCAATTCTGATTTTTTTTTGGAAATTAGGCGCAGATTTCCAAGGTTCTATTTGGGGATAACCCTTTCTTGATCTCAAAACTTTTCAACTTTTTCAGAAAATACACAAAATTCACTGAACACATTAATTAAACTAAAATTTATGATACTTAAAAGAAGAAAAATATTAACAAGTTTTTACGGAATAGCTTGAGTATAATAAACGGCATAATTTGCATTTTCAGCTGATTTTGGAGGTTTTCCAAGTGCCATATGATGTAAAATAGGAGCAGCTTGATCAGGAGTCATTTGAATTGGGAATTTTTGATTTGTTCCAGTTGGAATAACAGGTCCTTGAACTTGTCCTGTTGGTGCTTTTACCGGATCCTTATTTTTTCCCTCTTTTTTAGCAAATGGTGAAGCTCCTGTTGTATCTTTATAATCTTTGTCGAATTTTGCGCGAAGTTCAGCAACAGCATATTCTGTTTGACTTTTGTAATGAAGACGAATGAAAAACTGGAAATTTTCAAATTTTTACAGTTTTACAGTTTTACAGTTAAATATGCTTACATGGATAATAAGAAACAATAATATTAGAAAAACGATAACAAGCATAAATATATTGATAACTGTTTTAACTTGATCTGTTTTCACCAAACTTCCATCCATAATTGAATAAGCCGCTGATTGCTCCATTTTTAAAATATTAGGAATACTTAAATAATCTATCATTCCACCCATTTTTTCATTTTTTTTTTCTAAATAGAAGTAGGTCACGTCAAAAATAATCATTTATGTACAAATATCTACCCGTTAAAATAAAAACCACACAAAAAATCACTGAATCATGCGATTGACATGATTTGTTTTGTTGGAAGTGGAGGAGCTTTTCGATTTCCAAGCTGATCGAGATCTTTTTGAACACTTTTTATTCCAATTGTTATTCGAGTTTTTGGAAATTCGAAATAAGCAATTGCATAAAACAACGAATTACAGCCAACTTCAATTAATTCGGTCAGCGAAAATAGGTTGTAGGCTGAAATTGATAAGGTTATTTATTATTTTGTATTTTTCAAAAATAGTATGTATCCAAAGTGCGTTGATAAGAAATATAGATATCATGTTGTTTTTTTGCACTTATCTTGTCTGCAACACGACAAAAATACAGTAATCTTGTGATAGTAATATATCATAGAACTGATGCAATTTTCAAAAAAAAATCAAACTAACCAAATGGTGAACAATTTGCCATAAAATATGGATAAGTTATTGGAGTTGAAATTGCGCAAATATATCCAACCAAAAAGATTGCAATTTTCAATCGCCACGTGTTTTCCATCTGAAATGAATGATTGATTTTTTCTAGATTTCTTGCCGGATTCATTATTTCACTTTTGAGGAAAATTGGACTTTTGAAAGTTGAATTTTGTTTAAAAACTTGGGTATTTCGAGCCTATTGTTGGTCTGGAAATTCGGGGTTTCGTGCGAAAAAAAAACTTACAGTTCCATGTGTTTCTCGCAATCCTCCAAAATGATGTAACACAATATTCAACAACATATTTAAATTAAAAGTGATTATCCAAATCGCAAATCCAAGAGCATGAATTACTGAAAATCTTCAATTTTACATATTTTTTGTTTCAAAAAAGAACTCACTAAATCCCCCATTAATATCAACAACTGATACAATAATCAAACCCATTGGTTCAAGCCAAAGTGTTTGCATATAAATCCAAGTTATTCTACCATACCAAACTGATTTTGGTGCAAAACTAAGAAATAGTCGGCGATATAAAGTAAGGAAAAATAATCGAGGAGGAAGATGAATAAACATTATAAAAAGCCATATGAACTTTTGAGGTTCCCAAACTCCGATTGAATATGAAACTGGTGGAAGGGTACTGTAATCAGAGATGTGAATGACTATAGAACTTCATTCAAATTATCTTACATGTTCAAATTTGGGCATTCTTTACATTCTGTAAAATTGGAAACTTTTTTGAATTGAAAAACATATGTATAGGCCACGACGAAATAACATCCAGCACCTGGTAACAGAGCTCCCAAACATACTAACCATCGAACTGAAAAATAATTATTTAATTTTTTCCTGAAAACTTGGGACTTACTTCTCAACATTTTCTCCACTGTTTCATCAATCGGTGATTTCATTTTTGTTTTTTCAGACATCTGGAATTTTTGAATTATTTGATCAAAATGAAACAAAAAAAGTTGGTTGAAATAATGAATTTAAACAAAAACAATAGGTCAAACAGCATTATAAATAGTGTCCAGTGTATCAAAAAATAATAACAACAAGAAGTTCACATATTTCAGAGAAAGCTAGAATCAAACAAGTTTGAAAAAGTAAAAATAAATAGAGAGAAAGAGGCAAATGTTGTAAGGTCATGGCCCATCGAACGGTTTTGTTGTATGAATTAAATGACAAAAAAAGAAGGAGGTGGTAACACTTCTTTTGTTGTCTCAATGTTTTTTTGTAACTTTTAAGGCAGATAAATGATTCAAATAAAAAAGTGTAGTTTTATTTTATAAAAGGTCAGATTCGAATCTTTTATTCGCATGTGTTCGAACTTGAAAATGATCTCATAATATCTCAAGAAAAAAAAGAAACCATAAAAAGTGTCTGATTAAACTGGACTATCTGATGATATGATTTTGTAGAAAAATAGAACAACCATATAAATATAAACTGAATAAGAATAAGGAGATGAAAACAAACAGAACAATGGAGTGACAATTTTACACATATGCAAAAGTCTCGTTTTATTGTAAAGTCTCGAATAATTGATTATTCTAAAAATTGTAGAATTGTGATTTGATGTGAGAGAAAAACAAACTAATCTTTGTGATGGCCTTGAAAAACACGTGGAATGATATCTTTTTCTGTTAGATTGATTCTTTTTATAACAAACTGTGCACTCTTCTTATTTGGCTAATAATTCATCTGCACTGACAATTAAAGTTGGATCTTTGTGTCGACATAAAAACTACAAAATGGAAAATAATTTGCCGCCAGCAGGGGTCGAACCTGCGACCTTGGGCTTATTAGACCCACGCTCTAACCGACTGAGCTATGGCGGCTCATGTTTTTGCAAGAAAAAATGACCGTGATATTTTCGATGCAACTATTCCCATTCATATGTTTTCCAAATGTGAGTTCTTTGAAGTGCTCCAACAAAAATATTTTTCGACCACGAAATATGATATTTTTCGTTAGAAAACTGACAATTGTTGTTTGTTTATTTCGTTTTTTGCCAGCCATGGCGAACGAAAAAAACATTTTATTTATTGATTCATTTGTTTTTGAGCAGAAACACTTTCAACAAAATTATATTTTTACCCAAGATTTTTGGCCATCTCTAGCTTTTTGTGTTGTGAAAATCCGAAATGTCAATATAAAATTGGTGGCTCTTTTTTTCCTCGTTTTTTTTTTCATCTTCTTCCATCTTCTCACACTTATACATTGCCATTATTTCCAATTTTATCCCCTCTTCTTTTTTCTCAATTCAACCTCTTTTTCTCGTGTATGTGATGTCTGTTCTAAGCTTTTCCATTTTTCTTTTTCACTCTGCGTCTCTTAGCTCATTCGACTTTTCAAGCGAAAAATCTATCATTGATTTTCACTTGTTTTTCTGTGTTGTTTTTGTTTTTTTTTTCTGAAGCCAAGGCTCACAGAGTTCACTTATATCATCTCATTTTTCTTCCGTCTTGTTTTTGAATTTTTTGTTGAAAACCTGAATTGATTTTCTAAGAAAATTATTTCTCATTTTTATTTGACTAAGCTCTTATCAAACTGTGTTTGTACATTTATTCGAATGTTTTTTTTCTAAAAAAAACTCATTATTTAAAAAATTCCAAATTTATGTACCAAAATTATCTTTTTCTGCAAAACCTGGTCCGTCAAATGCACTTTTTATCTTCTTCTTTTTTTTTCTTTTCTCATCACAAAAATATTTTTTTGTTTTTTTTCTTTTTAGCAAACTAGTTTTTTTAAAAATAATTTCTAAAAAAATGTATATAGAAAAATTGTATTGCACTTTTTATGTACTACATCTTAGAAAGTGTCAGAAATAATACATATGATTTTTGTGACGATGGAAAAACCGAAAATATTATTTTCTAAAAGACACAATTATAATTTATGGTTTTTTTCTTGTAAAAAAAAACTTATCAGTTCGTTTCTAGAATTATGCCACTGTTTTCGTTTTTTTCAGCTTCTTATCATTTTTTCCCGAAATCGTTCATATATACTCGTCTCAAAAAACAATAAGCTTTTTTTTGATGCCTCTCCTGATCTTCGACTTTTTTCAGCTTCATCATAGTCACTCGCTTCCTTTTTTTCGTTCTTTTTTTCCTAATTGCACCACTGTCTAATTGTCTGTTGTCTCTCAACGGGGTTTCCCTCTCTAGAATATTTCTCTTCTTTTTTCAAGTAAGACTTGTTCTGCGTGCGCGCGCTCGCGTGTTTTCGAATATATTTATCTATATTTTTTCTCAACATACAATATTTCCAGTCAGAAATGGCTGGAATAGAGGAGAAAAAGTTTCTAATAACACCGATCACAATGGCTGATCTCGAAACATCGAATGCTCATTCGAATTCGAACTTCGAATCTACAACTCCAGATGATGCTGAAAGTGATATTGGAACATTTCGAACTAATACACCAACTCCTTTAGCTTATGAATTTATTCCATTAATTTATAGTGAACCAGCACTTTTTAATTTGGCTGAAATGTCTTATAAACAATTTGCAGCAAGTGACACATTATTACCACATGTAAGTTTGGAATTAAAACAAGGTTTCACTTTCAAAAAATTCAAAAAATTTCAGATGCGAGAAGTTGCAAAACAAATGGAAAATCAACAAAATCAAAGTGTCGAACCGCCAGATCAAACAATATCTCAAGCTCCAAGTCTTCTTACAGTAACCGCTGAAGACAAAACAATGTATCAATCAGATATTTCAATGTACGGTAGACAAGGTCATAAACCATCATTTTCAACTCGAGAAATTCGCGAACAACATGCTGAAATGCAGCAAAAATATAGAGATGTTACAAAAAAAGAACCAAGAAAAGTGACTGATCCAGTTGATTTCGAAGCAATTTTAAATATAATTGGAGGTTGTCGATGGTGGCAAATTTGGATTTATGTTATTATTGCATTGCAACAAATTCCACACGCAATGTTCAATTTAAATGTTGTTTATATGATGTATGATCCCGAATTTCAATGTATGGTTCCTGGTTTTAATGATGTAAATGATACATCGACCTATTTTTGGGGAATTGATGATGTTAAAAATACAACGTTGGTTTTTCCAAAATCAACTAATGGAGATAGAGATTCAGTAAGCACAAAATCATAAAAAATATTATAACTATATTTTCATAATTTTAGTGTCATTATTTTGCTCGAAGTGAAGAACGATATCGACAACTTCGAAAAATGCCATTCGAACAAGCAATGCGAGAAGCAAAAAATGATAAAGCTGAACCACAAAAATGTCTAACTTATCATTTTGAAAAAGATGTGATGCGTGAAACAATTGTAACTGATTTCAATTTAGTTTGTGACAGTTGGCTGGCAAAAGGACATGCTCATATGTTTTATTCAATTGGTTATTTATTAGGTTGTGTATTAGGAGGAATAGCAAGTGATCGAATTGGAAGAAAACCAACTATTATTGGATTTGGTATACTTTCATCAATGTTTGGTGTATTTTTACCATTCAATGATTATTATCCAATGTTTCTTTTTATTCGTCTTTTATCCGCAATTTGTAATGAAGCAGCTGATCTTGCTGCTTATACACTTTGTATGGAAATAACTGGAACAAAATATCGAGCAATGGTTGGAAGTATGTTACAAGCACCTTGGGCTGTTGGTTATGCTCTTCTTGCACTTATTGCATATCTTACCAAATCATGGAAAACTATTCAAGTTATTGCGGCTGGATTACATTTTGTTGCTGTTGTTCTAATTTGTTCGATTCCTGAATCTCCAAGATGGCTTATGGTTCAAAATCGTGTTTCGGAAGCTGAAGAAGTTATTCGAAAAGCATGCCGTGATCCACCATTTCCATTTAATTTGTGCAGAACAACTAATTGTGGAAATCTACCATCAGATTTAGAATTAGTTTGTCACAGAGAACGAAAACTTAAAAAGGTAACTAATTCTAATTCTGAAGAATTCCACAATGATTGAATAATTTTTCTAGGACAAAATCGGCTTCTTTGATTTATTCACAATGAAAGAACTTCGTTATCGAACAATATCAATTTGTATTGTTTTTATGGCAACAGCTCTTGTTTATTATGGTTTAGTAATGGCTCTTTCTGATCAATCAGCACCCGGAAGAACACTTTTCACTGGTTATTATCATTTGAATAATGGAATTGCTGGAGCTATTGAAATTCCAACTCTTTTTGCATGTGTTTGGATGATGACACTTGGAAGAAAAAAGTGAGTGTGTGAGATACATTTTATTAATAATAAATTCCGTATAAGGTGCTAGCTTCCTTCCAAAGGGCAAATTAAGTGCATTCTAAGAACTACTTACTTTTTCATGACACTTTTTTTGCAGAGCTCTGATGATAACATTGACAACAGCTGGTCTGTTTATTATAATTGCAATGTTCGCAGTAACTTCTGGTCATTATATGTGGGCTCTCGCTTTTATGTTACTTGGTAAAATTGCTGTTCAAGGAGCTTTCAATATTTTGTACATATTCACAAGTGAATTATATCCAACAGTTATTCGAAATACAGCTGTTGGTGTTACTTCAATGGTTGCTCGTTTTGGTTCTGGATTATCTTCTTATATTGCTCTTTTATCGAATATTAGTTTGCCAATTGTTCCAATGATTATATTCGCGATATTTTCACTTTTTGCCGGAATGTTGGTTTTTGTTTTACCCGAAACAAGTGAAAAACCACTTCCTGAAACTATTGATGACGCTTTGACTTTTCTCGAACCAACAAAACAAGTCAATTGTATGATTGGTCGATTTGGTGTATTTGGCCATCATAAAATGACACAAAGTATCAGTTTAACTGAGAATCCAAGTAATAATGAAATTGAGCCACAAAGTCGTCGATCATCAGCAATAACTAGAAGACTTACAGAACGAGCAAGTGTTATTTATTCAAGAAATGTACGTTACTTCTTTAAATTTGGCTGGCAAAAATAATGCAATAATACAACATTTTTAGTAATGTTAAAAATGGCCACCCAGAATACAACTCATTGTTTTGAATGAGCCAGAATGCATGATTTTTTTACCAGAATTCAATAATGCAAGAATACAAAATTTTTTTATTCAACCAAAATTTCAACAATTTTGTGTTTGTTTTTGTATAGAAAACGAATAACATTGAAAGTGATCATAGAAATCAAGTTGAATATTATAAAATCAAGGGAAATCAAAGCGAAAACCTTATAATCTTATTTTTTAGTGTTTGGAGAAAAGTTTTTAAGGTTTTTCTTTTTGCCATCTCTATTCTCAAGAATTTTGCATCTTTTGCAGCAAAGATCGTGAAATTTGGTTAAGTATGAACGATTTTAGCATTTTTTGTGAAAAAACGAAAAATGTTTTTGAGGTTGGAAAAAATTCACAAATGTCGTGTTGTCTGGCGTTCTCTCTTACGAGTTTCTATCTCTCGTTTTCTCTTCTCTCTTTTCGTCTCTTCTAGATGCAACACTCTCTCGTTTACTTTTTCAATGCGGGTTTTTTTGTGAAATCAGGAAATTTCACGATTTTCACCGACACAACATTTTAGGCTAATGATAGAATGCAATAGGGTGAGAGGAAGAGATTTAGAGAAAAACATAAAAGAATTCACGTTTTGTTGATTATTCGCGTGAACTCTTGTCGCCTCGCTTTATTTTTAAAAAAAACAAAGAAAAATAATACATGTGTGTATAGCGCTTGGCCATTTGTTTGATCAATGTCGGCAATACGTTTGAACGACCTCTCAGAAAATGTTCGAAAAAATGGAGTTTTTGTTCTCATTTGAGCACGTTTGCCCACTAAAAACGTATGTTTTCTCTAGAATCTCTCTCCTCTCATCCAATTGCGTTTCGGAACGTTGTGCGAGAACATCATATATGAGAAGATAGAGAAAGACAAGGCAGTCACAGAAAAATAAAAATAGGATTGTAAATTTTTCATGAAACTAAAAAATTCGGAACGTTGAATTTTATAATGTTTTTCCAAAGCGGGAAAAAATGTTGTATTATTGCATTTTTGCAAATGGGTAAAATTGTATTTTGGTAAACGGGTAAAAAATACGTATTGCATTTTAAGACCACATTTTTGTCAGCCTATTTCAAACAAAAAAATTGTATATAAACTTCATTTTTTGCAGACTAGTCGCACCAATTCAATAGTTCAAGATCTTCAAGATTCATAACGTGTCACAATTTTTAAATTCAATATCAGGTTCAAATGTCATACGTGTATTATTTCTTTGCAGTTTTTAGATGATTATTACCTCCCATTTCGCTTTCTATGGTTATTTTAATAGTTAATGTGATATTTAATTATAGCTTGTCATTAATAAAACTTACTATATTTATCCTGAACAACAATTTTATTCAAAATCAAAATGATTTATACATCTTCTCCTATTTCGTCCTGGAATAAAAACATTTTTAAATATACGAAAATATACAGTAATACTCACGCTTTCTCTTTACTCGCTCGATTTTGTTTATCAGAAAATGAAGAAACCGTATTGACAGTTGTCGATTTGGATTCATCTTCCCAATCCCAAGCTTCTTTATCTCGTATTGCAGCAGCTTCTTTCACCTGGAAAATGAATTATGAATAAGTCTATGATTATTTTTCTCAAATACCTCATTGAGAAGTTTTATGATTTTCGAATATTCAGGTGTTGATTCAAAAGTATAAGCATCAATCATTGTCAGAATTTTATCATATTGTGGAGGTGTTTCAAATAAAAATTGTACTCGAGTTGTTGTTCTTGCTAATTCTTTTGCTTTTTGCACATTTGTTCGATTTGTCACATTTCTCCATGGGAGTGTTCCTTTTGTCATTTCAACCAATCCATAAAACCAACTTTCAATATCATCTTTTCTTGCCAAATCGAGTCTTTTATGAGCATCCAAACTTCCATATCTAGTAGTTCCTCTCCATCCAACTTCTTTTCGATTTGGTATCAAATTATTGTTCTGATCTACATATTTTCGTGATAAACCAAAATCAAACATGAAAATAATTCGGTTTTGTCGATTTTGTTTTACACCTGGTGCAAAATTACCGGGTTTCACATCTCGCGAAATAAAACCAATTCGATGCAACTCCTCACAAGCCTGAATAAAAAATGATAATTTAGAAACTAAGTTATGTATAAACAAACTTTGATAGTCTGAATTCCAGCTCGAATTGCTGTGCTCATTGAGAATTTTTTATCTTCCAATTCGCATCGCATTTTATGAAGATCTTTCCCTAATAAAGTCATAATCAAATAATCGAAATCTTTTCCTTTTGTTCCACAATCAATCAAACTACAAAAATGTTTACATCCCATTTGTTGTGCTGCTCGCAATACTTCGATTTCAACTTTTAATTGAGATTTTGAGAATTTCTCCGTCTTGACAGCAATTTCACAATTATCAAATTCCGAAATAAATACAACACCATATCCGCCATCTCCAAGTGCACGACCAAGTTTATATTTTCTACCATTTTCAGTCTATAATTTATGCCTGATAAAATTTTTAGAGAATAGAGGAATTACATACCACAATTTCATCATTTTGTTTTGGGAGCCGATCTCTTTCGACTTTTTCCGTCATTGACGATTTGATAAGAATGATTGCTTTTTACAAAAATCCAGCATTTCAATTTCAAAGCTCACGTTTTATTTCACGAAAAAAAAACATTTAAAATATTTTTTTTTAATCGGATCTGATTGTGAGGGGACCACAGAATGGCTTTTTTGAATAGAACCCAAGAAATTGGAACACGTAAATATGAGATTTTTAGGCTGTCTCAATATTGAACATGTCCGATTCTGACTACAAACATTCCTTTTTGGTGATCCAAATGAAAGTCGGGCCGTTTCTGCCAATTGATCATAATTTAGAATCGTGTAGCTCACAAAAATTGTGTATTACAAAAAATCATTGAATTGTTACACTCTCAAATTGATACGAAACAATTTTTCTATTATATTTTGAAAACAAAAAACAGTTTGGTTTCGGCTGCTCGTTATAATCTTCTTTCAAATAATATTTTCTCCAGTGTAAAAAGTAAATATTTCCAGTGTTGTTTTCTTTTTCTCTCTTTTTTTTCGAAAACCATCAAATGATTCATCATCTCAACCGTTCATTTCTTATTATCACACATCCTTCCCTTATTTTTCGACACTTGTTTTATCGATTTTTTTCTCTCGAATTTTATTTGTTGTTTTATTTGTTATGATCAGTTTTGGTTTCAGATGAGTATCGGAATCGACTTGGGTACATGTTTTAGTTGTGTTGCTTATTATAATAATGGACGGGTTGAAGTTTTAGAAAATGAAAATGGTAAGTTTTTGGCAAGACATTATTTTGGAATGTTCAGCTCATGAATTGATGTAGTATTAGAAGACTCACAACTGACACATTTCTACGAAAACAAAATCTCGATAGGAGATTCAGCTATAGAGTAGCAACTAGTGATTAACAGTGCCGAAATTCCCACAGCATATTTTTTCTCGAGGATTTTTTTCTAAATTCAGTCAGTTTTTGTGTTCAGGTTGTCGAACAACACCTTCAGTTTTGGCTATGGATGAAGATGGTGAAATGTTAATTGGACAACATGCTAAGGATGTTGTATCAACACCAACAAATTGTTTATTCGGTTAGTATCAGTCAACAAAAATTTTTACATGTTTCTGAAAAAAATCAGCAAGAATCGTTATCAACAAAAAGTAGATAACATATGAAATGATTTATCACATATAACATTTTTCTAAAAATAATTCATCAAAATCTTTGATTTTTTGCAGATGTAAAGCGTATAATTGGTCGTCGTTTCAATGATGTTTTACTTCAAACTGATATGCCATTATGGCCATTTCGAATCGAAAATGATGGAGATCAACCATATTTAGTTATCGAAAATGGTTCACAAAAACACAAATTCTCTCCGATTACTGTATCCGCGCAAATTCTCGAATGTTTGAAGAAAAATGCAGAAAGAAAAATTGGGAAACCGGTTGATAGTGCAGTTATTACAGTACCTGCATATTTCAATGCAACTCAAAGAAGAGCAACACAAAAAGCGGGAGAATTGGCTGGTTTGAAAGTTTTGAGAATTTTGAATGAACCAACTGCGGCTGCAATTGCTTATGCTTTACATGGACAGAGATTATCGAAAAGAAATATTTTGATTTATGATTTGGGAGGTGGAACATTTGATGTTGCAGTTGTTACTATTGATGGATCAAGAATTACTGTAGGAATTTTCTTTGGAGACATTTTAACTCAACTCTTTGAATATTTTTTAGGTTCGAGCAAAAGGAGGTGATACACATTTAGGAGGTCAAGATATTGATAATATTTTGATGATAAAAATGATGGAACAATTCAAATTAGCAAATGGAATAGATTTGAAAAAGAATTATCGAGCGATGAAAAGATTGAGAAAAGCAGCGGAATTCGCAAAAATAACACTTTCAGCAAGTAATGTTGCTCGAGTTCAAATCGATTGTTTGCATGAAAATATTGACTTTGTTATGAAAATAACAAGAGAACAATTTAATGTGTGGATCGAAAATGTATCAATTACAACATTGATTCATGTTGAAAGAGTAATTCGAGAAGCAAATATCAAAAAATCAGCGATTAGTGAAATTGTTCTTGTTGGAGGTTCAACAAGAATTCCAATTTTGAAAGAATTAATCAAAGCGAGTTTTGATCCATCAACTCGAATTTGTGAATCAATTCATCCGGATGAAGCAGTTGCTTATGGAGCATCTGTTATGGCTGCAATACTTTCAGGAGTTGAAGATGTTCAAGATATGCGATTGAATGATATGATTCCAATGTCAATTGGAATACAATGTAATCGAGATTATATGAGTATTCTTATCCAAAAAGGAAACTATTTTCCATGTACAAAAAAGAAAATATTTATAAATAGTGAAGATTTTCAAACACGAATTGATATCTCAGTTTATGAAGGAGAACGTGCTTTATGTTCAAATAATAGACATCTTGGAGATATTTCATTGGAAATTAAACCAACTCGACGAGGAGAAACAATTGTTGAAATTAGTTTGGAAGTTGATCATAATGGAATACTTCAAGCAACTGCAATTGATACAAATACCCAAAAAGCAATTACAACAACAATTGTTTATGATCATTGTGCATTTACAAAGGATGAAATATTAGAAATGACTAAAAAATCAGAAGAAGATCAAATATTTGATGAAACATTTCGAAAAAGATATAAACAATTGCAAAAAAGTGAAGATATGATGTATGATTATAAACATCGATTGGAAAGAATCAAGGTATGTTACAGAATGTTTTCATTCCGGTTTATTCTTGGAACTCTTACAAAACAGTACTCTGGACCAAGTGAATAACAGATTCCAAACTTGAAATTCTACTGTTTAGGGTAGCGTCGATCCAACCAAATTCAACATGTTGATGTCCTGCCTCGAAAATGAGATCCGCTGGTTATCTGATTTTCCAAAAGTAGAAGTTATTGAATACGAACAACGTCGAAAAACTATCAGAAGAAAGATTTTGCCAACATTATTAGTCAATTTTGCTTTTTAATTCACGATCAGGATTTATTTTTGAAGCTTTAATTATTTATTTTCTTCTCATCCTATTCTTTTTGTTTTTCTGATTCATTTCAGAAAAGAGCAAACTTCGTTTTATTTTCGTAATTAGAAAATAAAATGAAAACATCGAAGCGTGTAATATGAAGGTACTTCAGCAGTACCTCGTAAAAAATAATTCATTTTTTCAAATTCATCGAACGTATCTTCATTTTAGTCATGAACTATATTCAATTATTTTTATTTTTTCTTTACATTCCTTTAACATTCAATACAATAATAGTCACAATATTTCTTCGAAAAGACACTGCATTTTTTAAATTATTTTTCTTTTCGGCTGTAATGGATGCTCTTCATTGTATTGATTTTTTATGGATAAATTTAGTAAGATTTGCAATTCCAAGTTATTTATATATTCAAACTTTTCGTTTTGTAACTTGGTTGGATATTTATTTATTTTTTGTTCATCATATCTCAAATTGTTTGTTATGCTTCAATCGATTTAGTGCAACATTTCTTCAATTTGAAAAAGTTTGGAAATCAAAACTAATAAATTCATATATAATTGGAATAATTGTTCTATCCTTCATTACATCAATACCAATTATGATAAAAGATCGAGATATTATTTATCAAAATGGACAATTAATAACTTTAAAGGTAAGTGGAAACTATTAAAATGTATAATAATATTTAGACTTTTAGATTCACACTGAATTAATAATTCAACGTATAATTTTATCAATATTCATGTTTATAACAGAAATTGCAAGTTCAATTGTTAGTATTTGGACACTTCATAAAATTCGAAGTAAACAAACTAAAAGATTCGAGAAAAATTTGATAATGATAACATGTTGGCATGTAGTTTTTGAATTGATTCCATTTTATTATGAAGTTGCCAATGTTTTCGAACTTGATGATGCTTTTTCAAAATGGGTTTATACTTATGTGAGTTCTCATAAACATTTTTAGATTGAGACGTCCAAAATCGAACTATTTCCAAACATGATTTGAATTCAAAATTTTTAAACTTCAAAAATTATTAGGACGAAACACATTTATGTCGAGAAATCAATTCAAAAATTCCATAACCTAAATGCCACGTAGAAAATTGAGCAAGTTCACGCTTTTAATAAAAAACATTAACATTTTCAGTGGTTTACATTTGCATTTATTTTATTTTCAAGCAACACATTAACAATGCTTATTATCAATCCAAAACTACGAAATGATATCAAATTATTTTTCAAACTCAAGAAGCCAACAAAAAATGAAATCAGAACAATTTCGTTGCACAGTAAAGGACAAAATAATAATAGAGTTATAATAGTTTAAACCAATGTCGATACTTGAATTGTATTTGAATTTTTGCGTTGAAAAAACAACATAAAATAACATTTTTGTACAATTTTATTAGAAACAATCATTGTGATACTATTTAAAGAACACAATGTGAATATCAAAACAATTCCCTGCAAATATAACGTTTGTGCATCAAACATTTTGTTTTTCAACTCACAAAATTTTGAGAAAACGAAGAAGAGATTTGAGGAGCAAATATCTCAAAAAGATGATAAATAATCATTGCGAAATCTGCGAGAGAATGAAACATTATAATATAAACCAAATTTTTATCATTTTTTGAATTCGTATTATTTCGAAGTCGAAGAATTGTTAAATATCCCAATATTAATTGAACATTTTGTTTGATAATAATAATTGAACATAGAATAATTCTATGAATTGTGATTGTTATTGGAAGATAGATTATTATCCATTTTTCATTTTCCAATTCAAATATTCGATCATCAATCAATGTTGGTATTATACAAAGAAAGCTTAAAATAATGAATATTCCAAAATATAATTTGAAACGATAACTTGTCCAATAATGTTGATAACTTATAAATGTTGCAGAATATCGATTTAAACTCATCAAACTGTTTGCAAACATACTAACAAATGTCGTGTAATTTTCAATTAATGAAGCATAACGTGAAGTTGAAATATAAATCTCACAAAATAATGTATTCCGAAATAAATTGATATATAAAAGACTCAAACAATTAATGATATCGAAAATTCCGGAAAATATGAAAATTGTGAAGAATGAGCTTTTCTTGGACAATTTCCAAACAGCAAATAATAGCAGGATATAATGAATTGTTACGATAAAATATATGAAATTCGAGATCAATATAAAAATATTCATCTCAAAAAAATAATGAAAAATATAATTTTTTGACTTTTGGGAATCAATTAGATATATTACTCATAGATTAATGTTTGTCAGAATTCAAATTAGCTGATAAATTTTCAACTTTTCCAGAATATATTCTGCATAAAACAGTGTTCTTATAGTTTTTCCAAATTGTTTTGTTTGATGGAACTATGGTAATACAATTGATAGAAGATAGAATGAAAATCAGAAATACCCCCTGAAATTATTGGTGTGAATGAACTACTTTGAGTATAAATTCTACGTAAAAAAAAACATACAGAATTTCTTGTGAGATTTGAAGAATATTCTGGATTGAATATCTTAGTGAACTCAAAAATAAGAACTCCAAGGTCCGCCAAGGAATGCAATAAAGTGACATAAACCAGTTTTTTATCTTTTGAAACTATTTTTGATTTTCTTAGTCGAAGAATCGTAAGAGTTCCGAATACAAATTGAATGAATTCCTTGATGAATATCAATACACAAATCATAATTCGTTCAATTCTTATTGTTTCTGGTAAATATTTCACAACCCAATCTCCATTTTCCAAATAGAATTTTCGATTATCATAAATAGTTGGAATTGTAAAACAAACACTGAGAAACATCGAAATGAAACAATAACAAGTTATTCTTTTATCTGTCCAATATTTCGAATATGAAACAAATGTTGCAGAATATCTGTTGAAAGTCAGCAAAGTGTTTGTGAAAATAGTTAAAAATGTAACATAACTTTGAATAACTGCAACAAAATATGATGTCGAAATATAAATAGGGCTGAATAAAGTGTTTCTAAACACATTTATGTACAATAAACTTAGACAGTTTATAATATCGAAAATCCCAGAAAATATGAAGATTGTGAAAAATGAACTTTGATCGAATGATTTTCGTATGACTAACAATACAATACAGTAATGTACTGTAATTAATAAAAATGTGATATCGACTGATAAACACAAAATAAATAATATGTTCGGCATGACGAAATCCTTTTTTTCGGTTTCGAAATTCAACAAAAAATAGAACAATAACACATTCAAATTTATTGTTTATGAGATGAAATCCGCCTTATGTTCAAAAAATCATAAGATCAAATTGATCAGCAAAAAACTAGAGATGGCCCTAAGCGAAAAAAATTATTTTTTTGTTCAAAAGATTTCGTTGCGGAAATTCAAAAAAAAATTAGCGGAATCGGTTTTCTCCCTTTGTTTCTTCTTTTTTTCCTCTGTGTGTGCAAACACTTTCTGTTTTACCACACGGAAACGGAAAAAAAATAATTTTTATTCTTTTCAGTGTTCTCGATGTCTGATGGGACGTTTTGGATTGAAATGGTGGAATGGATGAGGAGAACAACAATATGTTTGAAAAAATCTATAAGGTAAGGTGTTTCGAATGAAAACCTTGGACTATAAGTCCCAGTAGTTCTAATATCATGCTCAATTGTAGAAATACATCGAGTTCATCACAAACAAGGAATGTGAACTCATTTTATCAAAAATTTGATTCAGTGCTTGATGAATTCGAGAATTATTGACTTCTAGAAGATTGATAGGGATAGGAATAAGTAGGAAAAAGTAGAAAGTTTTGCTACGAAAATCGACTTTCAGCGAGCTTGCTAAAATGGTCGCGACCTGGCTAAAAGTCAATTTTTCTTGCAACCACTTTCTATTTATTTCCCGAGACTGTGTAAGCAATTTTTAAAGAAATTTTTTTAAAACTCACATTTCCTCCAGTTTTCCTCGTGATTGAGAAAAATCTCGAAAGAAAACTTCAAGAATGTACATTTTTCATAAAATCTATCGAAAATCATGGAAAAACCACAACATTTTAGGCTAACAAGAATGAAACGACCGGCTTCCGCCAGTCTTCATTCTTCTATAGGAAAAGTCTATAAAGGACATACCTCGTTTAGGAATCTATTATATTGGGTGACCTCATCCAGTGCAAGATTCAAATCGATTTGTATTTTACACCGTTTGAGAAAAAAATCAAGTCACAAAAAATCACATAACAAAAACAAACTTCAAAAAACTATTAAAAAAAATAAATTTCGGCTTTATTGTTACTATCATCACGCGACTTTTCGATGAAATAACTTTTTTTCATTTTTAAATCATTTTTGCACCAAGATGTTGTCCATATCCACAAAACACCCAATATATTCCCCTTCTTGTCCCAAAGTTCTAACAACCTTTAGAAACAACACATGCCTAATTCACATTTCAAAAAAAAAAATATTATTCCTCCCGACCTCAAAGTTTTAAAAAAGATTCTAAAACTTCCTTTCAAAAGAATCCTCGATTCAAATGCAAATCAGTTTAAAAAAACTCGAACTCTACAGAACTCCCTCCGACTAAAACTTCACTCAATCTCACCCCAAAACTCAATCGAACCCCAAAAAAAAGAACTAACCTTTGAAATTTCGACCATTCCTCGATCCTCTCATCGCTCAACATTGATGTATTGCTTCATGCTTTTCAACAAAAATCATCTCAAATATTCTCATCCACGACTAATCTGAAAAAATATTTTCAATTTGATGAAACTTTTGGTTGTTTTTTATTGATTCAAAACGCTATTTCAAAAAATAGGCGTCCATACGAGAGAGAAGAGACAAAAAGATAGTGAAATCGCGCGTGATCTACAGTGATTTAAAAACCTGCGGGACTAGGTTAGGAATTTTTAAAATTAAACAAAAAATAATAATTTTGCGGTGTAATCATCTCACTACAATCTTAGGTCTATTACCTTCAGAGCTTTCCAATATTCACACCTTTCTTAAAGTAAACTCACGATACATTTCAAAAAAATTAAGACGGAATGTCAAGCGTATTGAAAAATCAGAAATGAGCAAAATGATTCACGTCAAATTATTTAAAATTAAGTCTAGGGCACAAAAGTATAAAAGAATTCACGTTTATTTAATTATTCGCGTGAACTCTTGTCTCTTCGCTTCATTTTGCAAAAAAAAAACAAAGAAGAATTCTTAAGAATAATACATAAAGATCTCTCTCCCTCTCACCCAATTGCGTTTTCGAACGTTCTCGGTCAGAAAACGGCGGGGTCGCTACCGATCGGGGCGGAGTCGCTACACGTTTTTTGTTCCCCGAAACGTGTAGCGACTCCGCCCTGATTGGAAGCGACCCCGCCGTTTTCTGACCTAGTTGTTTAAACAACAAATAATACGTGAATGAAATATTTCCGAAAAACAAAAACAAGAAACTTGAAACGCTGTGAAACACATATTTTTGGGAGAAAAAAACCGAAAAGTTGAATAATCGATAATAAATAAAATAAACAAACAAACTTTCCGTTAAACAAAGGGCAAAGTGGAGTGTCGTAGTGAGTTGTTAGGTGGAAGAAAAAATGTTGTGGTTTTTCCATGATTTTGAATGAAACTTGTTGTAAAATTTATGTTTATCTATTTTCCTAGTACAAGTAACATAAGTTTCGTTGTTTTTTGATGGTTTTATACTAAAACTGGTGCTCAAAAAGTAATTTTATGAAAAAATATACTTTCTTGAAGTTTTATTTCGTTTAAAGTACTTATTTAAATTTGACGCATTTTTACTTTACAGAAACAACGTGAGCGAAACGATGGAAATATCGAAACAATTTATGAAGCGAGTATTAGTCGAATTATTTTCAATCACGAGGAAAACTGGAGAAAAATAGCAAAAAACGCGCATGCTTGCTCCATTGACAAACATTTCTCTGTGACCGTCTCTCAAATATTTCGTCGTTGTCGTTGCGAAAGGGTTAACATCTCGGGAAAAATCCCGCAAGTGCCGGCAAGAATTGCAGTAGAGCCGCAATGGCTGCGGGTGAAGCCGCCGTTGTTGCGGGGGAAAGACAAGGGAAGTGTGAGAGAGCACAGGCAGACAGACAAAAAGTAGCGAGCGTCTGCGCTCTCTCACATTCCCCTTGTCTTTCCCCCGCAACAACGGCGGCTTCACCCGCAGCCATTGCGGCTCTACTGCAATTCTTGCCGGCACTTGCGGGATTTTCCCCGAGATGGTTAGGTTTTTGGAAACCTGCAATTATTTTTAAATTGTTTTTTTACAGATATGGATGAGTTCATATATTTGCTTGTTTCGAAATTATTTATGATTATAGAATGGAGCTTACAAACAATATCACTTCAAGGTAGGTTCATGGGAAGCCGGGTTAGTTATAGTCTTTGTCTAAAAATTTTCGATTATATCCTCAGGGGAACTTATATTTCATTTTATGTTTCACCACTGGGTTGATTTTGGAACAAAAGTGGGTTGCTCGATTTAAATTGTTATTTTGAAAACCATACAATAAGATATAGTATGTGAAAATAATTTATATGGCAGCTTTGACCCGTTTTTCGTTGAAAATGTACAGAAAAATATACATGTTAATACAATTAAACTAGGCTTTGAGATGCAACAAGTCTGGCATATTTTCGATTCAAATTCATTAGTTCATAATGTGTACCAAATTCAGCAACAGAACCTTTTGAAATGTAATAGATTCTGAAATATAGAAATAGATTTTTTTTCCGAAAAAAAGTATATTTTGAAACTCACATATCACAATGTTGAACTGTACTCAATCGATGTGCAATAAATATACTTGTTCTTCCTTCAGTCGCCGATCGCAATGCTTTTTGTACAATTTTCTCAGATTGTGTATCTAAAGCACTTGTTGCTTCATCTAATAATAATATTTTTGGTTTTCTTATTATGGCTCGTGCAATTGCAATTCGTTGTTTTTGTCCTCCTGAAAGAGCACCACCTCCTTCACCAACAATTGTATCGTATCCATTTGGAAAGTTTTCGATAAATGAAGCTGCGTTTGCTAGAACACATGCTTTTTGAACTTCATCAATTGAGATATTTTCAAGGCCAAGTGTTATGTTTTCGTAAATTGTTGCTGAAATTTTTTAAAATTTTTCACTGAAAATCTTCATAAAATACTTACCATTGAATAAAATGGGTTCTTGTCCAACAACAGCAATATTTTCTCGAAGATGATGAACATCAATATCAGTTATATCCGTGTCATCAATTGTCTGCAATTTAATTTTTGATTTCCATCTACTAAGAAAATCAACTCACAATTTTTCCTGAACTATTCGAATAAAATCGTTCCAACATTGCAAATACAGTACTTTTTCCACATCCAGATGGACCAACCAACGCAATTGATTTACCTTTTGGAGCACGAATATTCAAATTATTGCAAACAACTTTTTGGGGTCTTGATGGATACGAAAAAATAATGTTTCGAAGTTGAACATCTCCTTCGACTTGAGGTTTTGATGCACCAGAAAGTTTTCGTGATTTTGGAGAGTTTTCGAAGAATGAAAATATTTGATTAGCTGAAGCAGAACCTCGAACAATTTCAGGAATCCAAGCAGAAAAATACATAACACCCCATGCAGACATTTGAGCACCATTGAATGCCCTAAAAATAATATTTGAACATTATGAGATGAATGAGTTGTTAACTCACATGAATATTCGATTTGGTAAATATTTTCCTTTGAATATGAGCAATGTTCCAATATAGAAAAGAAGCATATCACTTGCGAAAACATAGCTTTGAGTAATTGCAAAGTTCAAGGCTGATATGAATCCTATTTTATTATCATATTGTTCAGCTTTTTCAACAAAATGTTGGAATTGTTTTTCAAAATAATCTTCAGCAGATATTAATTTTATTGCACGAATTTGTTCCACAATTTCAGTTCCAAACTGGAAAAATAAATTTAAAAATTGATAAGACTTCAATAAAATCCACATACCTGTCCACTTTTATCTTTTGCTGCTTTTTCACTATTTGCATCATGAGCAACACTAACAAAATAGAAAGTAAAAACAGTGAGAAGAATTGTGATAAATAATCCAACACATCCCAATTCCCAAACAAATGGAAATGCTAATAAAAGTGAGAATACTGTACCAATAACAAACCAAACAAATCGAATTGCTCGATGATCAAGACATGCATAACTATTTGTTGTATGATTGATTATTTTTGAAACACAAGCACTTGGAGATGTATTTGAACTATCAAAATATGCTATTGGTTTGTGTAAAAGTTCACAAAGTATTGTTTCTTTAACATCATCCATAATTTCATTTGCCAACCAACCACATGTATACATCTACAAAAATATAAACTATCAATGAAGAATACAACAATAATTACTTACCAATGCAGTGTGTATTGTCCATACAAAAAGTCCAGTAAGTGTCTGTTCAGCTAATGTAATATAAGCCCATGTCATATATTCATCCTTGCTATATTCTAATGTGTTGAATGCAAATGATAGTCCAAGTCCATAAGCACATAATTCAAATGATCTTGGAATTGTCAATAATATGATAAGGGCCAACATTTTTGGATGTTTTGGAACAAGACGAATTAATTTTCCCAACCCAGATAATGTTATTTTTTCATCTATAGTTGTTTCTGTATTTACTGGTCCAAGCATATTAACTTCAACATCATGTCGATTGACAATTGGAATTGTTTGGAATTCATTACTTTTTAGTTTTTTTATTTTTTCATTTCGTTTTTGTTCTTCTCGTTCATAATCTTTTATCGAACTTTGCTCGATTTCTTGACTCCTTGCTAATTTTGCATATATTCCTCCTAATTCAATTAATTCATCATGTTTTCCAATTTCTTTAACTTGTCCATCGTCGAGCACATATATTTTATCTACATTTTTCAAACTACTCAATCGATGAGCAATTATCAAAGTTGTTCTACCAATTGAAGCATTTTGAAGAGCTTTCTGAAAACATTTCAATTGTTTTGTTGTCAAATGAAAATTCTTACATTTACAATATGTTCATTATGCGAATCAAGAGCACTTGTCGCTTCATCTAATAAAAGAATTGATGGAGCTGAAACTAATGCTCGACTTATGCAAATTCTTTGTTTTTGTCCTCCAGATAATTGTACACTTCCTGATCCAATTCTTGTTTGATAACCTTTTTCTAAACTATTTATAAAATCACTAGCATTTGCAATATCTGTTGCATTTTGTATCATTTCATTTGTAACATCTCTTCCTAATCGAATATTTTCGACAATTGTTCCATCAAATAATTTTGGTTCTTGTTCAACAATTCCAATTTGTTGTCGAAGTGATTTTGCATCAATCAAATCAATATTTTGTCCATCTAATAATATTTCTCCTTCATTTGCTCTATACATTTTTGTCAATAATCCAATTGATGTACTTTTACCGCAACCACTTGTTCCAACAAGGGCAACAGTTTGACCAGGAAGAACTTCGAAAGATAGACCTTGCAAAACTTTTTTGTCTCGAGTTGCATATTTGAAATGCACATTTTTGAAAACAATATGACCAGATGTTGATTTGATTTTCAATTCACCTTCTTTTCCTTCTTTTAATGGAGCCTAAATTATTCAATTCAATTAGTAAATTTGAAACATTCAACTCACTGATAAAATAACATCATGTAAAAGTTGAAAAGATGATGCAGCTTGTTGTAATGAAGATAAATGTGGACCAAGTAAACCCAAAAAATATCCAGTAACACAAACTGTGTTAACAATTAGAATAACATCTCCTTTTTTGTTGATATCTCCTTCAAAATAAAGACGACATCCAAAGCTGAAATTTTTCCAAATTATTTCAATTTTATCAAAGGTCCGAATACTTACAAAAGAGCAATTCCAGTGATAAAATATCCAGTAAAAAGTGAAAGTCCGTCAAAGAAACCAGTCCAAAATGTGATCTTATTTTGAAGATTTTTCAATAAAATGTTCACTTGCTTTAGTTTCTGAATAGACAGAAACTGATTATTATAATTCCGAATTGAGATATTCTTACTTTAATCATAAAATTTTGTCCATTACATGTTTGAATTGTTCGAACATTCAGAATAGACTCTTCAAATATCGTATGCGATTTTGCAGACAAGTTCATCATTTCTTCATTTGTCGATTCAGTAACCTGTTAATAAATTATTTTTATGATACTTCTGATCTTAATTCAATCAAAATTACTTTAGTCAAATAATGTAAGACAAAGGCAGATAGTGGTCCCATTGTGAATGTTATAAATGTTAATTGCCATTGAATAAAAGCACAGGCAATAATTGATGAAGCAAACATTGCAAAACCACGAACTAACAAACAGCATTTGATTCCTAATCCATCGTTTATTATTTCAGTATTCCTGAAATACAATAATTGAAATTACTGAAATTGTAGACAAATTGAAAATTCAAAACTTACTCATTCAATTGACAATTAATTGTTCCAGCCGGGTGATTATCTAACCAATTAGCATCTTGTCGAAGAACTGCACTCAAATAATCTTTTCTGATTTTGTCAATTATACGACGAGTTCCTCGTTGAATACAGATACCCTGCATAAATGTTTTGTGTTTTTCTAGATCTTTAAAAAAATATTCAATTACCTGAATAAGTGCTAAAATAAATATTATTATTCCGCATCCAATACCAGTATAAATTAGTTTTATGACATCGTGTAGAAACTTTTCATCTCCAACGTTCTGAATATATTATTATTGTGTTTCTTAAATCTTACTTATCAAAAATAAAATTTACCGATGAGTTAACAAGATATAAATTAGTGATCCATCCACCAATAAGAAGTACAATTGGTTGAATTGCACCACCAACTAAGGCACAAACTAAGGATATCGATATATACAAAAATTCAGTTTTTGAGCTGTATTTTATCTGAAATCATTATTGTTTCAGTCAGTTTGATCTTCTTTCTTTTTCATTATCTTACCAATTCGAAAAGCGAAGATTTGAAACAATTCTTCTTTTTCTTTTCTTCTACAATATGTTCAGTATCACACTCTGGAAATCCGAAAACCTTTTTAATTTTAGCAAATATTAGTGTTTCCATTGTTCTCGCGATGCAAGCAATTCACAGTGAACAAAATAAATTGGGATCGCAATCTTGGAAAAACTGCAACAAAAAATTATGAATGGATACGGTAGATTTGTAGAAAAATGTGAATGGGCGGAGATTCGAAAGACGAAAGGCGGAACGTATTGAAAGGCATTTCAATTAAACACAAACTATAAAATATTTTTGGGAAATTAATTTAATGGACAAGAGATATTAAATTTTAATTTTTAAATAGAAGACCAAAAATCAAATTTTAATTTCAGGATGTTTAATTTTCAGTTAGTTCTTTGCATGAAAGAGTTTTTTAAGTTCATTAGACGCTATGGAAATCAGTTTTACTTGCTGACAAAAATATTTTTTTTAAACATTCTTTCCAAAAAGGAAGATAAGCCTACAGTGGAATTAAGTTAGTCAATCATAAGATTCTTATGTCTAGTCTCTATACAATTATAATATCTTTTCATTGAAATCAAATGAAACATGTTGATCTGATCTGATCTGATATCAATTATTTCTTTGTTGTTTGTAAATGTTAATGAAGAAATAATAATAATGCGAATAATTGATCGAGAAATTGTAGAAATTCTTATTTATCATACAAAAAAAGACAGAATTTGCAATAAGCGTGGAAAATATTGAAGAAGTTTGACGACACATTTTCTCTGACTTTTTGTCAAATCTCAAAATGAGCAGGTGTTTGACTGTTTTTGTTCTGTGTACTGTCTTGCTGTTAAATTTGAAATTTTTGTTGAAAGCTTTGGAATGTGAAGTCATGTGAAAGATGGTAGAAATTGAAACTTCCGCTGATAATAAAAAACGTAATCGAATTAGATAAAAGGTTCAAACATCTCTTAAATATTAATTACAGTCCATGTTAGAATAAAAACAAAAGATACAATAATTGAATAAAAAATGTGTTTATAAATTAGAATTATCAAGAAAAAAACAGCGATCATTGATAATATTCAATCAAAATTAGTATCTAATATATACGAAGAGGGCGGGTCTGATGGAATCAAATGATCGAAGCAAAAATTTTGATGTTTGATGACACTTTTTGAATAGTTTCTCCTCTCAAATATATTCTAGGATTGGTATCGAAAGTTCAGTTATCAGTTATGGACATGAACATTGCTTTTTTATTGATAAAAAGTTTTATTGTGCGAAAAAAGCCACTCCTTCTGCTACACATAATACCTGTATTTTATTTGAAAATTCTTGAATGGTGCAAATAATTTTTTCAAATATATTATGTAATATCTCAGAATTATCAACCTCAAATTGTCAATGATTTTTGTGGATCAGACAAAACAATTTCAATTCCCAGTCATTTTTCATGCAACTACGTAAACTTATCAAATTTCGAAAATAGTTCAAAAAGTTGTTTTCTGATAAGTTTTTTTTTGTAAATGTTTCAGACATGATCATGTGAAAAATTAGTATCAAATATTTTGTCTAAAATTCTGGCGCCAAACAGTCGGCATTACAAAGCTTTTTGGTATCATATTTAGATAATATACACTTTGTTTTTATGATTTTTGTAGTTGTTTGCAACAACATAATATATCAATTTATGTCCAAAAACTGATCAAAACACAGATTAATAAAATGTTGTTATCTATGATTTGTTGGAATTTGGCCAAAATCATAATTGTCATTCAACACACACAAAAAAACGAACTTTTGATCTTTGTGATTGATATATGTACAGTAAACAATAGTCCGCCCATTTATTTTCCTACGTCCATTGACCAAAAAACAAGTATGACTTGGCTTAAATAGGACACTTGAAAAAATAGACAATTCTTATCAAAAAGGGACAATTTAGTACAAAGTTTGAAATTATGCGGGAAACAGAAAATATTGAGAATAAAAAAGATTGATTCGATTTTTGTAAGAATACAAATATTTTTGCGTGGTGAATTTGCAGAGGAGTTTTTGTTCTAAATTCGATCAGAAATACAAAGAACAACATTTCTTAGCAGTAACAAAACAATATTTATTTTATTCTTGTGAGCTGTCAAAATCTGTTTCATGTTTTTGTATTTTGATCTAGGATTTTTTAACACTGTGATTTTTGCTTCAATTTCACTTTTAGACTCTTATCGCACGAAGTTAAAACATAAAATTACTTTCTTACGTAATTCAAGTGTCGAAAAATGCTCGAGTTTTCATGTGATTTTCATTTTTTTTCTGATATCAAACTTTTTCGGTTATAGGGAAAAACCAGTTTTATTGTTGAAAAATAAAGTTCAAAAATTGTTCCTATTTTTGAATGATTCTTTGTTTTACTGATCATTTGATAACAAATGTCATTTGGGTTCTCTCACATGTATAACAATGAATATAATTGAATTACAAGATGGTGGAAAAATAATCTTGATGTTTGAGGGCAAAAGCAAAAAATGATGTGTGTGATAGTCAGAAAATGGTAGATCACAAAAATGTGAGATTAAAAGAACAATTTCATTGAATTGTTTTGATTAGAAAGTTTTGAGTTTTATAGTAATTTGTCGTAGAATAAGAATAGTTTTCGATGTGTTTGCAGTTTTAGTTATCTCAAAATATATTAAAATTGATTGTTTGGTCTCCAAATTAGATATGATGCTGATTCTAATTCTGATAAAACAACATGTTTTTGCAAAGCTAAACAACTTGAGAATATTAATTTTGAGATGATGAAATCGAAAGATTGCAAGGAAACTTGATATTTTGATTTCTGGTGTTGTTTGTTCATAAGGTACAGTGTCTAGAAAACAAAAAACATTACATATTTGAAAGCTAACATAGTTGAAAATAGCCTGGCACACTTTAAATTCTGTAGAAAGTAGTAGAAAGTGAAACAATCCACATCCACACACAGGATTTTACGAAATGTCGTGGTTGTTTTGGAGTATTGTCACACACTGTGATATGACATCATTGATTCATTCAAAAAATATTCACTGAAATTCAATTTTCATTCTAATTTCTATATTTTTTTAGTTGTCTAGACATGTTTGAAAATAGTTCAAGAAACCATCATTTAGTTTCCAACCATTTTCTATCAACTACTTTTTTATGTTGCTAAACTCGTGAGTTGTATACTTTCGTTTTCTTGTCTTCTCGTTGTTTATCACAACAAAATTGATAAGATTGGAATTTCCTTAGATTCGTCTCGGCGAGCAGAAAAAATGAACTAATGGAAATGTTTGGACCATAGTATATTTTGAAATTGAAGAGTTCAGGATCAAACATATCTTCAAAAATTAGGTGAATGACAGTAGTCAGTTTTTCAAAATCCCATACTGAAAGTGAAATTGAGAAACAAATCCAGAAATTGTTATTTCTTCAAAATTAAACTTGAATATTTATTGAAAACCATTAGAAATCATTGAATATCCTGGAAAAAACTTCCAATATCTCGTGATTCTAATTAAAATCAACAAGAAGAACACAAAAAACGTTCGAGTGTTCAAAGTTGATCTCTCGATTTCAAAAGCAAAGTTTTCGTTGACCTGCTTACTTTTTTCACTGACAAATGACCATTCTTATCAACATATTATACGTAAAACTCGCAAAAAGAACACGTGAATCAAATTATCATTTTTTCTCCAATGCACAAGTACTACGAAAAAAAGATTGTGTTGCAGAATATGCAGTGCAAAACAAAACACATTTCATATCATTCAAAAATAGTTCAAAACAAAACGTCTGTTGAGTTTTCGAATGTCACGAGATGAAAATATCTCAAAAAAGATGGCTCAAAGTTCAAAATGTTTCTGGATAGACTGTATATTTGATGTATGATGATAACGAAAAAATGGATGATTTTTGGCCGAATAGGAACAAAAACTGATAAATATTTCACTGAAACATAAAAATGTAGCATTATAAAAATTTGCAACAAGGATTTTCGAAAATAAAAAAAAGAAGGGAATGCAAAACTAGAAGTTGAACCTATCACAAAAGTTGAGTGGGGTACCTGAAATCGTAAACCTTTACAATTAAGGGTCTTAAAAAACAGTCTTAAAAAAAGGGCAAATACCGAATGGGTTCGCAAAATGCCTCCGAAGGCATTTTCGAATGCCTCCGCAAAATGCCTTCGCGGTACCAAATCGAAAAGCCTCCGCGAATTCAAAATGACTCCGCGGTTCATATTCCAAAAATGTCGAAATGCCTCCGGGGTTTCAAAATGACTTCGCGCCACCGAATCAAAATGCCTCCGCAAATTCTAAATGACTTCGCGGTGAATATTTTGAGACTGTCAAAATGGGTCCGCGAAACAAGGCGTTTTGAGCTACAAATTTTAAACTACAATTTTGATTGTTCAAGTTCCAATTTTATGCCTAGGCTTAGTTAACGTATTTAAATGTGGTTTTGAATGTTTCCTGCACCTTTCTGGGCGTTTAACTAAGCCTAAGCCTAATATTCGAACTTGTATAACCAAACTATCGTCTAAGTTTCTAGGCTTAGGCTTAGTGAACGCCTTGAAAATAATAATTCTCATTGAAAATCAACTTTTTGGCCAAAAATGTGTTGAAAAGTACACCTTGTTCGCGAAGTCATTTTGACATTCTTGAAAGTTTTACCGCGAAGTCATTTAGAATTCGCGTAGGCATTTTGATTTGATAGCGCGGAGTCATTTTGAAGCCCCGGAGGCATTTGGACATTTTTAAAATATCGAACGCGGAGTCATTTGGAATTCGCGGAGGCTTTTTGATTCGGCAGCGCGAAGTCATTTTGCGGAGGCATTTCGCGAACCCATTCGGTATTTGCCCAAAAAAGTTCGTAGAATATTTTTTATTTTAGACGTTTTGAGAAAATTATCCTACTATTTATGAGCTGCGGTAGATCAGTCCTAACTTTTGAAACTAAATATACGACGTTCACATTTTAATTTTTAATCAGAAAAAGTAGGATACCTTCTCATAAGGGGCTTTTTTTCGACAGGCTATAAATTTAGGGAAAAAATTAACCTCTTGGAACAATATTCGTGTATGAATTTAGAAATAAGTTGAATATAATTCATGGAACATTTATCAAAGTGGTGGGGCCACTTTCAAATTTTTCTAAAATCTTCATAGCCGATTCTTCAAAGAATTTTTCATTTTAGGAGAGGAATATGCGACAAAAACATATAATGTGAGAAGTGTTGTTTAATTAGTCTTGAATTCTTTTGAAAAAACGCGGATCACAACGTGAAAAATTGCTAGTCATTTTTAAATCAAAATACTTAATTACAAGACAAAGTTTATTTTAAAAGGACAATTTTGACGTGGGAATGTGTTTCTTTTTTTTAACATAAAATTTTGTAACAAGAAATTGTTCAATGATTTTTTCTCATTGTTTTTTCGAGAATGAAATGTATTACAAAATAGAAACAAATAAATATATATAAAACAGCTTACCCGAAAAATCAGAAATCTTGAAACAAATTCATCGAACTATATTTTGAAGCATCGAAAGAATGAAACGTGTGAAAATATTTTATTGAATTTATACATTCTATTTTGGTTGGTTATAAAAAGATGTTCTTTTGATTTTGTATTAAACTCGAAGGACATTCGAATTATGGAAATATTTGGAACAGAAAAAAAAAACAACAAAAAACTGGAAAAATCAAATGATCAATCTTCGAATTGGAATTATTTTGAAACATTAAGAAGAATGTTTTGGAAATATTTTTTTTCTATGAAAATTAAAATAATAATCAAATTTCTCAGAACATCAAAAATCGATTAAATCAAGAGTGGTTGAGAATTCGAGCCTCGAATTTCGAGAATACATGTTTCTGTAATTCTATAACTCGGAACCTAAAGAAATCGGGGTTTCAATATTTGTCAAACATTAAACTTTATCATTTTTTGGTAGTTGGTACAGTACTCTTAAAAATAATTAAGAACATTTGAGTACTGTTTTTTATCATGACAATTCTGAACGCTCAGTCTTTCTGTTCGAAAAAATAACGTAACGAATTTTCCATGGCTTGGATAATCTTGGACTGGATTTGGCTATATATTTTTGGAATACAGAATAGAATACATAGGTTTTGCAAAAAAAACGAAATGTGGAAAAATTATTAGTACAAAAAATTGAATAACTCGAGAACAACTTAACCAAAAACAATGAAAACTAGGCGATCAGATTCCAGTTAATTTTTGGAAATTTCCACACGTACTTTTCATTTTTCGGCGTTGACTTTTCTTTTGAAACCCCATAAATTTTAATTCACCAAACATCGCAAAATTTCACCGTAACATAATACAAAGATCAAACTTTTATTGTAATAAATACATTTATCTGGCTGGTTGGGTAAAAAAAACAGAGACAACGTTTTTTTATTTTCTTTTTATTATCACCCAATCACCTTGCAACCCTTACTAAATACCTCTTATTTTCTTCCATTTATGTTTCGTTTTTGGTGTAAAAATCGACGATGATATCCGTTACAACTTTAATTGTCGGCGGTTTCTACTTACCCTCTTGGAATTTTTTGTTAGAAACAAATGAGACAATTTTTTTTGCATATTTTTGAATTTAAAAAAGGAGTTCATTTTTTCATCTTTTTTATTGCAGGAGTCTTATTTTGTATTAATTTTGATGTTTTTGGTCAGAATTGTCAAATAATAATTCGTCAATTTATTGCCCTTTTTCCACAAACTATGTAAAAACAAAAAATGATTGATAAGTTGATAAACAAAAATCAATTTTTCAGTTATCAAAAATGGCAAACCCATCAAAAGCTACGAAAAGTGTTATGTACCGGATACCTTCTGAAAAAACTCGTAAGTATTTTGTTCTACTCAATTTTTCCCTTCGAAAATATCCAGCATTTTTTCAGTTGAATCTCTTCATGAAATGTTGGATACAACGATGTCGAAAAAAAGTTTGAAGAAATCTTTACGTGGTATTTCAAATCCATATGATCGCGATGAAACTGAACAAAGTGAAGATATGGTTTTTGAATTATTCAAAATTCCAAATAAAAATGAGGCATCTATTGGAAAATTGTTATCTGTATGTTACATATTTTGATATTCAAAAATTACAAAAAAAATATTTGTTCAGGTTCTTCGCTCTTTTGGTTTTCGAGATGATGATCCTCGCTTAGTTCCAATGATGGAAAAAGTTCGAGAATTCGAACAAATTGCTGAAGAAAAATGTAGTGAGGCAAGCGATCAAAAACATTGGAAATTGAGTAAAGAACTTTTCAAACAATGTATCAGCCCAAGTATTGATATTGTTTGTCGGGCACTTCAAAATGATTTTGTTATTCCTGCATGGAGTCTTTTTGTCACAAATATTCGACAAATTTTTAATGATTGTAAAGCTATTCGAGATGGACAAGTTGCTAGTTATATTCCACAACTTGCGAGACAATCGCCTGATTTATGGGGTGTTGCTGTTTGTACTGTTGATGGGCAGAGAGTTAGTTTGAATTTAATTATTTTCTGAACAAATAGTTAAAATTGGAGCCCATCACTTGGAGCCCATACCGTATGCTACAAAAAATATAATTGGGAGACCCCAGTTGGAACCTTCATGTTCTCAATTCTCCATTTTTGGATTACTGTATCAATCCTCATCTTTCAAAATGTTCTCTAAAATAATCATTCCTTGTTTCAGGCATCATTCGGTGATTCAAAACATCAATTTTGTGTCCAATCGGTTTCAAAAGCATTCAATTATGCAATTGCTGCATCTGATTTGGGAGCCGATGTCGTTCATTCATATGTTGGACAAGAGCCAAGTGGAAGATTATTCAATGATATTTGCTTGGACTCAAAAAGTTGGTTTTTAGTGCTTTCTCATTTTCAAATTACTATTTTCAGACAAACCTCATAATCCAATGGTTAATTCTGGTGCAATTGTAATAACATCATTGATCAAAAATAAAACAACAATGGCTGATCGATTTGATTATGTGAGAATCTCAACTTTTCAATTTTTCAAAAATCCTCTTTTTTCCTAGGTTTTGAATCAATATCGAAAAATAGCTGGAAATGAATATATTGGATTCAACAATGCTACATTTTTATCTGAAAGAGCAACTGCTGATAGAAATTATGCACTTTCATATTTTATGAAAGAATACAATTGTTTCCCAAAAGAAACGGAATCTTTAACTGATGCTCTCGATTTTTATTTTCAATTGTGTTCTGTTGAAGTTACGTGTGAATCATTATCTGTTATGGCTGCTACATTAGCAAATGGAGGTTAGTCTGAAAAAATTTAAAAATGAATTAATGTCAACAAAATTTAAAGAATTTTCTATTTCTACGTGGCACATCCAAAAATGTTTTTTCATTTTCTCAAAAATTTCCAGGAGTTTGCCCAACAACAAATGAAACTTGTGTTTCACCAAATCCATGTCGAGATGTTCTTTCATTAATGTATAGTTGTGGAATGTATGACGCATCCGGACAATTTTCATTCAGTGTTGGTCTTCCAGCAAAATCTGGAGTTTCTGGAGCAATGATTGTTGTTGTTCCAAATGTTATGGGAATTTGTCTATTTTCTCCGCCACTCGATAAAATGGGAAATAGTTGTAGAGGTGTTTCATTTTGCAAGAAATTGATATCCACTTTCAATTTTCATAATTATGACAGTTTGTTGCATTCTGCAAGCAGTAAAATTGATCCAAGAAGGTAGTTCATAGAAAAAGTATTCTGATAAAAATAATTGTTGTTTATATTTCAGACGTGATCTTCGTGAAAGAGATCGTATAATTCCAGTATTTCACGTGGCTCGTTCAGGAGATCTTCAAGGAATTCGTCGATTATTCATGCAAGGTGAAGATTTGAGTGTTTCAGATCATGATAAAAGAACTCTATTACATATTGCGGCAACTGAAGGATATGAACCTATGGTTAAATTCCTTGTTAATGTTGCTAAAGTTGATGTTGATGTTAAAGATAGGTTAGTTAGAATATGTAATAAAATACTTTCGAAAACAAATATTCTTATAGATGGGACAGAACACCATTAGATGATGCAAAATATTTCAAACATCTTCATCTTGCTAAATTCCTCGAAAAGGCTTTGAAAAGAGTGAGTTTTCAGAATTCTTTTATAATTTAGATTTAAATTGAAATAAAATTTCAGCCTGAACAACACCGCAGAGATTCTGTTTCTTCAATTGACACAGAAGATGAAGATGATAATGATGGACTTCCAGAAAAACCAACTTTCACCATTTAATAATTTTTAATGATACAGTAATCCAATAAACCATCTTTGAAGTACATTCTCTCCGAACTTTGTCATTTTTTTTGCAAAATAAAGATCATATTCCAATAAGAAATTATTTTACGAATCTTCTAGCAATAAAAAATTCTTTGTAATATTATATTCTCACGTTATTCAGCGCTAAAATTATTCTTCATAAAATTTTTTCAAAATTTTTGAGAACCCACAAGTGTGCGTTAGGGCGCACTTGCACCTGTGTACTACTCCACTGCCTCCCCAAATCTACGTGTGTGTGGAAAAACGAAAAATGTCTGGCACGCTCTCGCAAACACACACTCTCTCGCACACAACTTTTTACTTTTATTTCGCGAAAACAGTGCATATTAGGAGCTGATTTTTATGTGTTTTTCATCGGAACCACAATAAGTGTTATACATAGTTCGAAAGAGAATTTCTTCGGCTACAAACACATATGAAATGTTATAAATGAAACCGAGATAAAAAAATAAAAATTTCATGCAAACATGACATGGTTTTTTTGAATTGTGTGAAAAACGCATGTGTTTTTTGATGACCTGGCTTATTTTTTGAATATCGAATATATGTATAATCGAGTCGTAGTTTTGTTCAGAATCTCAAGGGCTTTCAGATGATGTAAATCAATATTTATGAAATTGTGAAATCATGGAGGAGTAGGGATTTTTCGTTTGTCAATTTTTAAAACGAAATTTTCATTTTCATTTGAAAAGAGCTCGAATGAAGTTTACATACGTTTTGAAGAGAATTTCTCGGGCTTCAAAATCATATATATTTCTATACACAAAAATGGAAATTGAAAGCACCGCTTTCGGTTGAAAACTTGTTGGGTTTGCACCAAACAAACAAACCGCGTTCAGTAGCGTTGCGAAAAACAGCGGTGAGTTTTAAACCGAAAGCGGTGCTTTCAATTTCCATTTTTGTGTATAGAAATATATATGATTTTGAAGCCCGAGAAATTCTCTTCAAAACGTATGTAAACTTCATTCGAGTTCTTTTCAAATGAAAATGAAAATTTCGTTTTAAAAATTGACAAACGAAAAATCCCTACTCCTCCATGATTTCACAATTTCATAAATATTGATTTACATCATCTGAAAGCCCTTGAGATTCTGAACAAAACTACGACTCGATTATACATATATTCGATATTCAAAAAATAAGCCAGGTCATCAAAAAACACATGCGTTTTTCACACAATTCAAAAAAACCATGTCATGTTTGCATGAAATTTTTATTTTTTTATCTCGGTTTCATTTATAACATTTCATATGTGTTTGTAGCCGAAGAAATTCTCTTTCGAACTATGTATAACACTTATTGTGGTTCCGATGAAAAACACATAAAAATCAGCTCCTAATATGCACTGTTTTCGCGAAATAAAAGTAAAAAGTTGTGTGCGAGAGTGTGTGTTTGCGAGAGCGTGCCAGACATTTTTCGTTTTTCCACACACACGTAGATTTGGGGAGGCAGTGTACTCTTGAACAATTATTTCTGTTTTTGTTTTTTTCGGTTGTTTTGGTTTTAAAACTTCATGTTAAAATGAAATGAAAACTGGTTTTGTTTGTCTTTCGAATTCAACATTACCTTCTGATTTGATACTAAAACAGTTCAATAAAAACAATTTTTGGGTTCAACATTGGATTCATTCTTTATTTCTCGAAAATATTAGTAGTAATGTATCTATATCTTCTCATTTTTTACCGTTTCGACCTCACTATTTATTATTGTATACTTATGTTACTCACATGATTTTTTTTCTTTTTCCCCACCCCGCTCTGTTCTTTGCTTTTCTATTTCTCTTCTTTTTTTCTTCTCTTTGTTATTTTCATTCGCACCCTTGTTTTCATCATTCTATTTGTTGCCATTTTTCCAGAAAAATGTCCCGTTTCCGATGTAAATGTCCTCATCTTCCAATTATTCGCGAAGATTTTCAAAATCTTGAAAACCTTCCTGATTTGCCAGATGAACTTATCGAACATATTCTTGGAATGGTTTCTCCAACAGAAGTTAGTTTTTTTTTCAATATTTGGTTTTCAAGTTCATTTTGAGCTTTTCAAAAATATTTTCTCAGAAAAAAATTACATTCAAAGAACTTTATTGTTTACAATTTTGTGAATGGAGTATTGAAAAGTTTTTTTTCTTATCATTTTCCATCAATTTATGGCTTTTCATAGTACATTTTCAAGAGAAAAACATCTAAATTTAGAGGCTGATTCTGAGTTGTTTTCTATTCAAAACAGAAAAAAACGATGTGTTTTTTGTTTTCCAAAGTACAGCAATACACATGACTTTCTCAAAGTTCAGATTTTGATTCGTTTCGCGATCAAAACATGATCATTGTTCCAAGCGAAAAAAGATTTCCAGGTTTTTATTTATCAAATGTTGAAAAACTTGAAAATCGTCGAGTCAATATTTATTTGTTTACAACAACTGTTTATAAATAAATAAAAAGAAGATTTGAGAAGAGAAAATCACGTTTACATAGTCATAGTTCATGATTTGATCTTATATTTAATTGTGTCAAAAAAAATAATTGGTCATTCACGAAATAAAATTATTTTTTAAAATTCAGATAGTTGCTTATGGATGGGATCGAGTAAGTCAATCAGTTTCATCAATAATTCATCGATCAATTTGTTCAAAAACTTATTTTTGTGCCACTCATGATCCAATTTGGCGTTTGTATTGTGCAACAATTGGCTCTTTTGGTACGGTATTTTTTATTTGAAAAAAAAACAAAATAATTGTTTCATTTTAAGATGGAGCAAGTCAAAAATTTGATAAACTGCTCGTTCTTCTCATCAAAAAATATTTATGCCAAGTTGAACATCTCAGTCTTCCTGTTACACTTTTCTCACACAGTATGTTCTATTTTTCATCTAATTAAAAATATTAAATATTCAACAAAATGATTTTTAGTTCAACATCTTCTTATCAAACATTCCTATCTGGCAGCAACAAGTGGAACATCGTGTGCATTTCGTTTTCCACAACCAGGGGTCGCATTAACACATTTATCAAAAATAACAATTCAAATTGGCGGAGATTGTGGATCTTTGACATTATCACATAATTTTGAAAATTTGAGGACTTCTTCGTAAGATTGAACTCTACATTTAATATTTCAGAATAATATTTTCAGATCAATGTGCAAAACACTTTCAGAAATTAATTTGGATATTCTATTATCTGACAAAGAAGATGTGACATGTGCTGGTTTTCGAGAAATTTTGAGATTTTTGAAGGAAGTTTCATGCAACTGTATGTTATGATTCGTTCTAATTAATTATTAATAATATAATTTTAATTCTAGCAACACTTTGGAATATTCGACTTTGTGATGATACAACAGCTGGTCAAGGATGGTCAGGTCCAGCAAATCTCAACAGATATCGAAATAAAATGTTTATTTGTTATGTTCGAACAATGCTTGAATTATCATTGCAAATTAATCGACTTGATTTGATTGATAAAAGAAAAGCATCTCCATATATGTTAGTTATGGCACATCGTCGAACTATTTATATGTTTCCAGAATTTAAGGTGAACAATAGGAAAAAAATTGAATGCTCTCCTTAAATTTCCCCAAAATATTAAAATAGTGTTTTTTTTTCAGAAATGTCACCAATTGATGGTTTGTTATGATATTGGCTTGATTGCCCCAACATTTTCTCATGAGAATGATCGATTTGATGATTTAGTTCTTTTCGAAGTTGATGAATCTCATGTTTTATACAAATCAGATTTATTGGAATATCTCAAAACAGCACATCGTAAGTCTCTCAAGAATTATTTCTGATTTCAAACCAAACTTTCAATACTCAAAATCCGAATTATTTTCAGAACTTCGTGATGTTCGTGTAGTTGTTCCTGCAACTTGGTCTTCTCGAGTTCTTCGATGTACTCAAGGTTGTTTTTCAAATCCAGATTATGCATGTTTCCGTGCAGATGGTTGGTATAATGTCCCATCGAAATTGCCATTAGCTCATTTCGAAATTATCGATGCGACTAAAAATAATGAAGAGCAAATCATTTGTATTTAATTTCAGGTTATTTCTGTATATACGGATATGTAAATAGCATTGTTTTTTTTAATTGTAAAGTGTAAATCCGAATAATAAAAAAGTATGCGAATAATTTAAGTATTTATTCACATGAGAATGTTAGTTAAAATTGAGGTTAGTCAGGTTCAAATTTACACATGCTATAGATATTTACAAACTAATTGAAAAAATTATTTTTGGGGTGTTGTTATTTTTTCGACTTGAAATCTACCTTTTGTTTCAAAGGGTTCTTCTTCGATGCAAGAAGTTTCCATGGGATTGAAACCCTGGAAAAATAATACATTGAACATCAAGATTTCACAAAAAAATGGAATATTAGAAATATTACCTTGAAAGTGGATAAATTGACTTCGGATTGTTTTGACATTCGAGGAGTTGAACACATTTTTACACCTTTTGTGAATGAGCAAACTGAATAAACTGATTGAGATTCTGAAAATGAAAATAGTCTGATATGAAATGCTTTGGTTGAGTATTACTTGGAATTTTGATATTTTCGACCTCATTAAAATCAGATAAAGTTGTCTCCGAATATAAATCATCAAGTGCAATTGGTGATAAAGTAAGATCTCGAGGTGGAAGTCCATACATTTGAGGAGTCGATGAAACAATTTTATGAATCTCCTGAAAAATAATATTTTTGTCTTTCAAAATATTTTCCTTTTCTTACATTCAGCTCTTTTGTATATAAAATTGAAACCATCGGTATTTCTTCTGATAAATCATAACTTGGTTCGAGACTTGAAGAATGAGGAGAAGAAGAACAAGCTGGTTGAATAACATTGATTGTTTCAATTTGAATTGCTTCAGATCTAACGATTTCTGGCATTTCTTCACATTCTCGGATTCGCCCCTAAATTTTGTGGTTTTTTTTTCAAGATTTAAGTACCAACATTTTTTTGGAGACTTACCATACTATTCTTGAAATTTGTGTTTTGTTGAGTGATCGATGTTTCATCATCAACAACATAAAAAATCTGATTTCTTTCCTGCCATTTTTTAAATTGTGACCAATTATTCACAAATGTTACAATTATAAAAGTGCAGACCGCCACAAATATCACCATTGCAATAAATACAAACAGGGCAAATTCTGAAAGAAACACGATGAAAAATATACTTGTATAGGAAAATTACAAAATAAAAATACCAATCAATGTCTCATTCAGAGTTTCTTCCATTCCATTTGCTTTTACCGGGTCGTTTCGATTTTCAAAGGCCAAGTGGTATCTGAATATTATTATTATTATCAAATTTCATTTCATTATCAATTTATTGAACTTACTTTTTCGCAGCCAAACTTGCACCATTCATACATAAAACTAGAGCAGTTCCTGCTACTGGTATCATGCAAACAATAAATCCTAAATCAATGAATGGATTTCGTAGTTTTCGTCCATTTCTACGTTTACGATAACCTTTTTGACATATATAATCGTAAAAAGTTTGATATTTTCTGTAAAAAATAGATAAATAACTGATATCATCAATCTTATACTTACTGATCCAATTTAAAACTATGTTTACAAATTTCACAAATTTTCGTATGTGTCAGAGTTAACCAATGCTCAAGACAGCTTCTGTGGTAAAGTCCCATTGTTCCTCTAAAATTCAGAACGATTGGAGAATCGATGTTTTATTTCTAAACTCACGTGCATTTACAAGGAGAAATAAGTGGTTCCCCGGCTTGGTTTCCTAAATATGGAATCGATGTTTCGCCACACATACATATTCGACAAACAGCTGGTCCATTTGTAATGTTCATTATGCGTTTTTGAATTCAGTCAAGTTCTTTTTTTTTGAAGAAAAATTTGGAAAATGTTCGTTTTTGAGAATTGTTGAATTCGCGCGCACAAAATTTTTGAATCGCGGCGAGACCTGTGTGCAGTAGAGCGATGTTTCATGTTTGCGTGAGATGAACATTTTCAATTGCGCTGTAAATTTCGGCCTAATTTTCGAATCTTTCGCGTTTTCTATTGCACTCGTGTTAGTTGCTCTGTAATATAGCTTCACCGTGGATTTTTCACTACAATATTCATCCCTCAATGACATGATCAACATGATTTCTGGGGTTGTTCACTGAAGGGTAATATTTCTTTTTTTTTCTCTACTAATCTTTGCGAAGTTTTTTCCATTGTTTGACCATTTGGTTTATTCTTGACTTCTTTTTTAAATTTTTGTTCCACATAACAAGTTTTTGCAACTTCTTTATTTACTTTTTGATAGAGTATAAGGGTTGAGTAGTTTGCACAAACAAACTGAGAAAAAAGTGTTGTTTGTTTATATCTAGCTAAAGTTTTATGATCCATTGGATTTTTATTACTAATAATTTCGGAAAAAAATCGGCAAAAATGGGAAAATGTCCAAAATTGCGACATTTCAAAAATGAGAACAGGGGGGACCCCATTGAAAAATGCTTCTTCAATCGAGACACCACCCAATCGGGATTTTATTAAAAAGGTAGATAAGTATTTGCGAAAATGTTAAATATAGAAAAGCATTTTAATATCAGTCTCATAACGTGTGAAATTAGAAAAATACGAATATTTCCCATTTACTGATATTTTTTAATTAGGAAAGTTTTTAGTTGGAAATTTGGCGTTCCCACTGATGATTTTCGGTTCAAACATTGTTATCAAATGAAAATGTTTTTGCAAATTTTATGGCCGATAATATTTTTCCACCATTCCACGTGGGCTCCATATTTTTGAATCCGTATAATGTTCCAATTGTCTTCTCAACAAATTTGATAAAATTATTAAGTTTTTCTGGATTTTTTGTCATAAATACATCAGAAAGGGGAAATTCCTTTTTTTCAATGATTCCTGTCCGGTTGGAATGCATGAAAGTATTTCTCTATCTTTATTACAACAATCAGGCAGCCATTTGGTTTTTTTGTGTTGTGTTATCAGTAATATATGTTATTGGTTGAGTGGCTGCAGGCAGGGAAACCCCCCTATTATCACATGCCAAGGGGTTGCCCGAACTGATTATTTCTTTCTTTTTTTTTCTATGGATGAACAAGTAAATAATTTACCACCTGACATTCCTCTTATTCTTTTTCAACGTTTGATCTCATTTATTTCAGTATTTTATGTTTCGTTCTATGATATTTTCAACATTTATTTTTTAATTCGTTTTTCATGATGCAATGCTCTTATCAATACATGTTTCCTTTTACATTTTTATGAGACTACCAGGTTTCCCCCATTTTTATCTTTTTTAGTTCTAACTTTTCTCTATTTCGAAACTAACTTCTTCAATTTTTTATTCCTTGATTTTGAAATCCCCGTGACATACTAGCGAATTTTTAATTCTTACTGATATTAAAATTTATTTTTTGTTTAGGATCATTATTATACATCAATTTTATTCAAAAAATTCATTTTCATTCTGGTTCCGTGACGAATTTGGTCTTTAGTTATTATGAACAACAGTAAATGTGTTCTTTGTTTAATTTCATAAAACACGTGTTTTTTGAAGGGTGTGTTAGAATTTTACGATTTGTATAGGAAACTGAACCCAAAATGAAAATTATATAGTAAGAGGTCCTCAGTAACCAAAAATTGTTCAAAGTTTCAAAATCTAGATATTTCTAATTGTCAATCGTTATGTTTCCGGTGTTGCTTTTCTATTTGGAATAATTCCTGAAACGAATTTCCTCTTAGATCTTTGAACTTGCCTTGATTGATTTTTATACTAAGCAGAAGAATTACTAGTTATTAATATTTTTTACAAGTTTCTATAAATACATTGCACTTTTTCTCTCGATCTAATCGAATTAACATCAATCTTTAAAAAATGATATCATATTTTGACATTGAAAACATAAAATAGTTCAAATATTTTTTCAACAGTTCGGTCACATGTTCATTCTATTCGAAAACAAATATAAATATTGACTTGAATGACCTATACATAACTTTAAAGTTTCAAAGAAAGAATTAGATCTGTAGTGTTGTTATTGATTAGAAATCGAGGCCATCCCCCCATTATAAAAAAATATTTGCATAATTATATATGTTTCACATCACTGACCGTTTCGTTCAACAAGATTATCATCTTTTGGTTTTATGCATCTATATTAAATACAAATTCTCGTTTTCAAATAGATGAACATGTTTTGGGAAATCTCACGTGACTTCAAACATGCACGTTTTTTAATAGATTGATAATAAAATTCTCGAAACTTCGGTCGAAAATATTAAATATTTTTTATCAACAATACAAACTATAACACTTTATTATTATTATTTTCTTTTTGCGTTCAACAAGAACTGTTTTTATTGTTGCAATCAATTTCAAAAAGATGGTATCGAAAATATATTTATAAGCATGTGACAACCAAACTTGTAGCCAAAAGAAGAAAAAGAAGCAGCAAGGTCTTTTTCTTGTTCATTTTGCGAATGTGTATGTCTCTTTTTTCGATTATTATGATAACATACTTTTCTTTTTATGGTCTTTCGCACGTTTTTTAGTGTTCCATTTATTTTTACACTTTTAGTGTCCTTTTGATATTCTCGTGGTGAAATAAGAAAAAAAACGTTCAACTTCCGATAGTGATTTTCTTTTTAAAAAAACTTCAATCCAGGAATAAAAATTGAATTATTTCTATACAGTTTCTAATATTTGCTCTGAATTTTGAAATGACCCATATTTGTCGTAAATATGAACAACACTATTCCAAATTCTAATAAAAATGAATCGATTTTTTGTTTCAAAAGATATTGATGAACAGAAGAACTAGTTTTTAATCCCATTCATAATTCATATGTGATAAAAAGTATTTTCATGTTCTTTGATCTACTGCGAATTTTTGATTTTCTCATATTCCTTTTTTAACAAAAAAAATGATGACAAAAAATGTTGCGAGTTCCAATAAGAATCTTAATTCATGTCAGTTTACAAACTTCTATTTTCAGTCCAACAATTTACTGTTATTTGCCTTCTTCTTTTTTTTCAATAAGTTCACTATGCTCCTCCCTCATAGCTCTTCCCTTTCCACTCAACCTAAATATTTATATAACTCGCTATTTGTCGATAAGATCTTTGTGAACTTGTTATATTTGATAATTTTTGAAAACTATTATTTATTTTTATTATTGATGGTTTTTAAATGTTTTTATGGGCCAATACAGATTTTTATTATTAAATAAATAACATTTTACAGAAAATTGCTGTTTTTCTAGGCAGAAAACATCGAAAACCCCTTAATATCAAGAATATTTTTGATTAGAGACAACGTAAAATTGAGAGATGAGACATAAGTTTTGAAAATTTTATCTATAATTCAATGTTTTTTCAGCCAAAAATTACATTTTTGTAGTTTGAAACCAAAGGGCATAGTTATTTTTAAATTAATTCATGCGTTGGTCTTCTAAAAATATATACTCTATCAAGTCAAAACCATGTTCTATTTTTAGACTTTTTCAGTGGAATTGTTTTAATACTTACTCCAAATATCTTGTGACTTTTCACGTTTTTTTCTCCCTTGGTAAATATTAGATAGTTACTGCCCCTAGCTTGATTTTTGATGACCGGGGACGTGGCCGACAAAATGTTCGGCCATTTCTTATATTTTTGTCGATTTATTTTATTTGATGGTGAATACACTTGTTTTGATATATATATGCATTTTCACAATTTTATTTTATTTCTTTTCCAGAATTTGATTGTGATATGGAAAACAATGTAGACAACACAGTGACAGAAATGGTTCAACCAAGTCAAAAAACAATAAATGTTGTTCCGAAATTGTCGAGATTGGCGACAGAGAAGATTGCTCAACTTGTTGAGACCGGTTGGTTTTTCCCTATATTTTTCTAGCCTGATGAATATCATTTTCAGATAATCTTCCAACTTTTCATCATCCATTACTCGCTTCATACAGCAATGAAATTTTCGAAATTTTGCGAGAAAATAAGAAGCTGTGCGAACGCACATTAAAAATAATGGACAGGTCACGATTTCAGATCAATAAAGTGAGTTTAAAATATTCTCAGAGCTTTTTAAAAACATATAATTATTTAGATTGATCTGATGGGAAACAAAGTTTGCCAAGATGACCTTATTCATTGCGCACAACACAATTTGAAAGCTTTTCGACTTGGTGATATCGAGTATTTACCCAGTAAGTAAAACACTTCAAAACAAGTGGAGAAATAGATCAAAGTATAACGATTATTATTAATTTTAGATACTAATAAAATTCAAATTTCCGATGTTTTATCGAAGGCTTTGAATGATGATACACGAAAATATCTGAAACATTTGGATTTGAGCGGTCGGAATCGGATATCCTCGAATTGGCCTGGATATGTAAGCTTTTTAGAGTTTCTTATTTTTCAACATTATTATTTTTTTTAAGGTTTCACGACAATTTCCGAATCTCGAAAGTTTATCATTTGCAAACAGAAGTACAGCAAACGACACTCTTTCAATGGTTTGTTTAATATGAGCAATTATCAAAATATATATTTTTGTTCTTCAGATTGGTGCAAATCTCAAAAATCTACGATATCTTGATATTTCGAATACCTACGTAACTGATATTTCATGTCTTTCCGAAATGAAAAATTTGGAAGTTCTTATTATGTATAATTTGAACATATTGAAAGGAGATGTTACTGAAACATTGTCGAATTTGACCAAATTGCGAGTTTTGGATATTTCGAGAAAAGTCAATAGCGATTATCTACAAGAAACGTGAGTTTTATTTTATCTGAGCTCAAAAATTATCGTTTTTTTTTGTAGTTCACAAGATGCTCATTTGGATGTTGCTCTTGGCATTTTCAATCGTTCGGTAAAAGCAATTGAAAGCGGAACTGAAACACCGTGGGCTGAATTAAGAGCAATTGATATGTCTGGATTGAGTATTGTTCAATTTGGAACAGATCGAGCACTTGAATTTGTCAGAAAAATAATTGAAGCTCATCCAAGACTTCAACAAATTGCTCTTTTGGCAACTCCACTTGATTCACAAACTGTTGAAATCGCTGATAGAAATTTGAAAGTTATAAATGCGTCATGTCGTAAATCGGTACTTTTTGCATTATCTCATTATGCTAATTTGGATCGACCTGCATTTACTGCACATGCATTGCATTCTGTTTATTATTTACTTCAATCGGGTTATGATAAATTCACACAAGATGAACTTGGAGAATGTGTTCGATTAGTTTGTCTTTCAATGCAAAGATATTTAACAACATTGGCTGTTCAAATTGCAGGAAGTGCTTGTCTTTATCATCTTTGCAAGTGAGTTTTTGTTATTGTTTTGAAATAAGTTTCAAATTCAAGCGTGGAAGTATTTTTTTTTAATATTGCTGACAAAAAACCCCAAACTCACGGTCTTAAATTATGCCAGATTCCAAATTTTTAAAATTAGAAGTGCCCAAATGCAATTTTTTATCATTTAAAAAATTCCACGTGATAGTTCACGTATTTATATTTTTTTTAAATGGAAATTTTTTTTTGCAGAATGAAGCGGATAAAACGATTATCAGTGAAAGATGTTTGCAATTGTATCGAACGTTCTTTGGATGCTGCTGAATTTTATAAATCAATGACACAACTCCAGAAAAATGTTTGGCTGACAATTTGCAACGATTATTTGTTGCATTTGGATGGTGTTGATTTTTATAGAACTTGCAAAGTTGCATTAGATACAATGTTGTCGAATCGCGATTTGAGTGTTGAGAGGTAATTTTCAAAAATAATTGTATAGTTCTAATTAATGAAAATATATAATTTTAGAATGACAATTGCAATTGTTTCAATAGTAACTCCAAAAATGCGTCCACGCGAAGCCAAATCATTGACTGCTGATGATCGATATGTTCGACATTTAGTCAAAATTATGCATGATTATCTTGAAAATCATTATCGCGAGGCAAGAAATATTGGACCACCATTGGCAAATGAAAGAGATAATGATAATACTTTGTATACTTTGAAGTTTACATTGAGTGCATTGTGGAATCTGACCGATGAATGTTATGATACTTGTCATGCATTTTTGAAAGCTGACGGAATTCGAATTGCTTTTCAAATTTTGGATATTTTCTCAACTCATGGAAATGTTCAAACTAAAGTTTTGGGAATTTTGGTTGGTTTTTTCTTCTTTTTTTCAACTGAAATATTGAATTTTTCAGAATAACGTTGTCGAAATTGAAGCAATCAATTTATCGCATTTCCGAGATCCACATTATATCGAAATCCTGTTGTAAGTTTTTTATAATTCTTCTTAAACTTCATTTCATTTTTGAAAACGTTGATCAAAATGAGTTTTTTTCCAGAGATTGTTTGGATGGCGATTATTCGGAAAGAGATGCAAAAGGACGATATCGTGATGTTGAAAGATCATATTTCGCTGCTGGAGTTCTTGCAAATCTTCTTGTCGATTCAATTGCTTGGCCTACTTGCGAAACCCGTGAACATGTCTGTGAAAAGCTGATCGAATCAATTTCACTTTGGCCAGAATTACCATCTGCAATGGTTTCGTACAGGTTTGTTTTCAAAATTAGTGTTTCATTCCTTAATTTCAATAATTTTTCAGATCATTCAATCCATTTTGTCGAATTGTTGAAAGTTCGAATTCAAGTGGAGCTGTAATGTGGTGTCTTTGGGGAGTTTATCATGTTTTAACTCATCGCTTAACAAATGATGCACCGCATTGTGAGAAAGGGTTAGTCTTAAAATTTCGAATCTCATTTTTGCTGTTAAACAATAATTGTTTTTCAGATATATTCAAATGTTGAAACAGTCAAAAATGTGGGAAATGTGTCAAAAATTGGCTCGATATGTGAATTCGAATTTCGATTTACGAGTTGTTCAATTATCTCAAAAAATCGTGGATATTGTTGAGCATTCTTCATAATCGATTTCAATTTTCTTTCCTTATTTCTTTCATCTCTTTTCTCTCTATTTGTCTACTGGTAGTTTTAATTTACCAAACGGGTAACTATATTATTGTTTTGTTGGATTCAAAATCGACTTTTTGTGAATTACTCATTTTTCATGTATTTTAATGCCTCTTTTTCAGATGTGAATAGTCTTTTGCACACTAGCATTCATTCCCTCATTTGCGGGTTTTAACCGTTCTCTTTTTTGTACATAGTTATTTTTTGAAATCGCAAATAAATTTGTTGAACTTTCTGATATATTGTGGATTTTGTTTTTTTACTCCATAAGTAGAATTGGATATGCAAAAACTATTTCGAAAATAATTTTTTAATTTACAAAAATGTACTTATTTTTAAAAAAAAATGACTTGGTTAATTTTTCATTTAAAAATGAAAAATTACACAAGAAAATAATTTAATTTTGTTTAAATACGAAATCTTTGTTAAAAAACTTTGAAATCATAAAAAATGCAAGCTTCAGGATAAAATTGAAATGGAAATTAATTTTCAAAATCCGAAAATCCACTAAGCTCGGAAGTTTTTGAAAATCTAACAATTGGCTGGTTTCCAGCCTTGTAAAAAATACAGTCGCTTTGAAACAAAGTAATAACGAGCGCTTTTAACACTTTCAAAATTTCTACCCGAAATACTGTGTAAAACAAGACATTTCTGAATGAGACACTACAACAGTAGAGCCCAAAAATCCACTGATAAATTCGTCAGAAGTACAGTTTTCGCAATTTCTTCATTTTCTGAACAAATTATTATTATCAAATTTTTTCTCAACTTTGAGAAAACCATTTGTTTGCCCCATAACAAAGGTATTCCTTTCAGTTGAATTGACGGATCAAAAAATGGCTGATGATGTTTGTTTCGATGCATTTTTTCATGTCTTTCTAGTTGTTGACAACGAAACACTCGAAAATTTAAATAAGGTTAGTTTTTTTGAAACATTTATCAGCTTTCCTTTCTACATTGTATTTTTTAGACTTGTCGCAAATTCCGAAATATCATCAAGAGAGATGCATTTTGGATTCAAAGAGCAGAATATTTTGGAAAACAAGAATGCTTGCCTTCGAAAAAATGGAGAATTGCTGCAAACTCGAATAAATTTCAAACTGATTCGATTTCAGCGGACCAATCTTCTGAATTCAAGTTCAACTTTAAGAAAATGGTGAGTTGGGCTGAAATTGTGACATTCTCTATTTTAACAATAGCATTTCAGGTTTTGGACTTCCAAGGATACGGTAACTTCGAACCATATCAAATCGATCATCGAAAAGATCTGGATTATCATTCACATAAATATAACATGCATTTTAATGGAGATGATGGGTAAGAACAAAAACGTGGAACAAAAACATTTGGATATATTTTTTCATTTTCAGAATTGTGATTGAAGAAAATGGAATCGGATGTGAAGCAGATCCAAGTGTTCCAGCTTGTTTTGCTTTAACTTATTTTCGATGTGATATTGATACAGTAATTGATTTCAAACAAATTGGAATTGATGTAAGTATTTAAAGTGGTTGTCATTCTACGTGAGAAAAAAGTCCGCAATTATGCGTCACTATTTTCAGCTAATTATAAACTAGCATGAACTTGATATGAGACACCATAAAATAGCCAATAAATGTTTGGGTGTGCATTCCGAGAGAAGTATACAGTAAAATATATGTGCGATAGAGCGAACTTTCTTCCCTAGTTTTAAGGTTTTAGCGGGTTGTGTTTTTCACAAAAAAAAACATTATTCGCGCACAAATAAATTTTTCTAACATAAACACGGATTGTTAAAGAGCTATTTTTATCTCAAGCTATTTAGCTAATCTTCCCTCGTAGAAAGACAACCCCTTTAAAAATCTTTTTTTTTCAATCAACAATAATTCAAGGATTGGATTCTGGATCATGTTCGCCCGAAAATACGAATAACTCAAAAAGTGAATCATCGATTTGATTGTGGTAGTTTTATTAGAATAAAGGCGAAATTGTCGAACAACTCAGAGTTTTACGAAGTACATGGAACAACTGAAAAATCCTGGAGACAATGGGAAGGTAAATAATTTAATTCAATTTTTAATACTAATTCAACTATATTTTAGCTCCGTGTAATTGGGAAAACCTCATTTTGGAAATTGAGAATTATGCTTCTGGTATGCGTTTTTTGAAAGTTCGGGCTTATGGTCGAGATAGTCAACGTTGGGCAGGAAATTATGGACCAAAAATCGGAAAACTTCAAATAAAAATCATTCTTCCCGAAGAACCTGTTATCGATGAACTAAAAGATAGAAGCGAATCAGAATACCATGATTCTGATGAGTGAGAGCAGCATTTGATTGAAAACATATGAAAAATTAAACAAAAAGTTTATAACCCGTTTTTTTTCAAAATAAATTCACATTTGCAATTATTGAACAATATTCACATCAACTTTAAGTCGTTTACTTGCTTCTCTTTCCATTTCTCTCAATTCTTTTAAATTTTTCGATCGACTGAAACCTCGCAAACTGTTTTTCCATCCTTCTGGCCAATTTCTTGGAATTTTATCATCTGAAGAATCATCTTCGGGTATACAAATTGTTTTCTTCTCTTCTTCATCTTCCTCCTTTTCTCCTTTCAAAAATTTGAATGCATCTGTAAAATAATTCAATTCTGCAGTTGCTTCCCATTTTTTCAATTCTGGTATTCCTTCCTTATTTTTGACATATTTTGCATCGTGTAAATCGATAATTTCTAATTCATCAAGTCTTGAACCAGGTATAGTTTGCATTTGAACACTTGGAGCACCACGTATTTGCCGTAAACAATCCAGAATATCTGACTTCAAAGCTTCCAAAAATGGTTGTGTATTTGCATCGGTATGTCGTTGTTTTAAAGGTGGTTTGAGAAGAAATCCAGGGGTGAAGAATTGATAATATACTGCAATAATTGAATTAGTTGACTGTGAGTAATTTCAAAAAATAAACTAACATGCAGTTTCTGGTATTTCATTTGGTAATTCGATATCCAAACAAACTCCAGTTTCATTTGCCCAACATCTTGCCACATTTCTCAAAGTATATCCACCACCTCCTAAAACCAACATAGGCTTTCGAAATGATTTAACAAAAGCTACACAATGAGCGTGTCCATCAAAACTGAAATTAGAAACAAAACAGATTATTAAAAATAATTATTTTTTTAAAAACTCACGAAACATTGAATGATCCAAGTCGATCTTCTCCCAAAGAATCTGATCCACATTGCAAAACAATTGCTTCAGGATCGAAGTTCTCCATAACAGAACTTATAATTGGTTCAAAAATGAACTTGTAATCTGAAAAAAAACAAGGATTGAAAAATGATCAAAGAATATTTCGGAAACTCTTACTATCATCAGTTATTCCTTCATTCAAAGGTACATTTACTGCAAATAATTTTCCAGCATCAATTCCTCGATCATACAAACTTCCAGTTCCCGGGAAAAAGTTACCGTATCGATGAAAAGAAACTGTCATCACCTGCAAAAAATACGATTTTGTTTTTTGGTTAGGAATTCCGGATTTTTAAAGGATCAGTATTTTCTGAATGAGTGAAAGATGTTGCTTTAACATTATTTTTGAAATTTCAATAATTTTATCTCAAAGTCCATTCTTAATAAATAAAAGCTCTCGCCTTTTCGAGAACAGGACCCGTAAAAAATGTATTTGAAAAAACTGACCCTATCTGTATTATTGAATGCTTCTTGAACACCATCTCCGTGATGAATATCAATATCGATGTATAAAACCCTACAAAAATGAATATCTTGTTGTAACAATTTTAGTTTCGCATTATTCCAAACCTTTTATGATATTTCAATAATTCCAATATCCCCAAAACAATATCATTAACATAACAAAAACCACTGGCTTCTCCTTTTTTTGCATGATGCAATCCACCTGGCCAATTTATCACAATATCATTCAATTTATGATTCAATCGCCTTGCTCCTTCAACAGATCCACCAGCATATAATGAGCAATAATCAAACATTCCAGAAAATATTGGGCTAAAATAAAATAAAAGGTTTTGATGTTTTCAAATGAAAATTTTCTAACCAATCTTCTCCAATATTAAAACTCGAAAATGACGATTCTAATTCACTTGCACATTTTGGAGAAGCTTTTCGTAAAAAATCAATATATTCTCGAGAATGAAATGTTCTGAAAATGAATAAATTGTGTATTAAAATCTAGAAAAAAATGAAGATCAACTTACACTAAATCGCTAACATTCAATCTCGGACTTTCTACAACTTTCAATTTTTTATGTAAACCATAAGCAACTATTAAATCATTACAAGCTTGTAATCTTTGTGGTTTCATTGGATGATGCCGCCCTGAAATAACATATTTTTAATATTTATCAAAGGAGGATATTTTCAAAAAAAAATATTTTACTAGTTTTTTTTAATCGATTTTTATTGTTGTCACGTGGCAGTTTGAAAAATTTTTTCAATGAAATTTTTTACGTTGTTTTCCACGTCACATTTCCAGATTTTTGAAATAACAAAAAAAATCCCGTGAATTTAGAATTTCAAACTTTTATATGGTATAATAATTTTGAACGTTCAATTTTGCTTTTTTTCTCAATTAAAAAAATGAAACCTTACCATAATGATAATTTCCAACATCTTTATGATAATAATAAACCACGTCCTTTTTTGTCATTTGTTTTTTCCTAGAAAAACTCGATTGTAATTGATAATTATATTTAATTAATTAATTAATATATTCTAAAAGTGTCAAAACTTATTCATGTAAAACGAGACAAATCTTTTAAAAACAATGTTTATTTCAAAAAATCAATTTGCCAAAGAAAACGATTATGTGTAAAAATTATAGTTTGGCTGAAAACTCCAGCCGGGTAAATAGATTTGAGGTCATCAGATGAAAAAAGAATACTTTCAAAAATTATTATATATAATATAAATAAAACACATTAAAAACTTCCCAGATAACCCGTCGTTTAAAGGAAATAATAAAAAAGAGGTCAAAAATAGAAAAAAAACATGGACCGGTTAAGATTTGTTGGTTGATTGGTTGGTGTGAAATGGTGAACATGGATGGATGTGCCCGCACATTATTGTGTACAAAAAAAACGAAGAAAAATAAGATGAAGATCAATTGGCAGCAGCAGCTCGAACTGGAGTTGTTGTTGCTGTGACAAGCGGAGATGGTTGATTTGGTAAATGTTGTTGAATTGATGGAGGAGGTGCATGATGACGAGGAATTGATGGAGGTGGCTGCAAATATTACAAATAATTTTTGAAAAAAAAACAGTGAAATCTTTGAAAAAAAAGTTTTAACATTTTTTGACGGACCTTGAAAATTTTTGGATCAATTCTGAGCCTAGACAATATAAGACATCTGAACTTTAAACCCTAAAATGTGTTCTCACAAAAATCTTATCAAAAACTCACCATATCACTGACTGGTAGAACAGACGAAAAATTGATAGCTCTATGCGATGTTGACGGTGTTGAGGATTCTTCAGATTCTCGAGACTCTCTATTCGGATTCACTGATTTTTGCAATGTTGGTGTTGAATTTGAAGAAGACGGCGATTCTGGTGCAATTAAATTCGAAGTGCTTGTTATTGATGACAATGATGCTGTCGAAGCAACTTCTGGCAATCCTTTCACAATTGTTTCATCCAATGCGACTGGAGTTTGATGAAGTTCAGCAAGAAGTTGTGAAAGTGCAACACTACTTTCTAATCTGGATAGTGCTAACCAACACAAATGTGATTCATGTCGTCGCAATTTTTGTCTTCCTTCAGACGAATATCTCGCCAAATTTCTCAATATCAGACAACTTGTTAATCGAATACTTTTTGTCACTGGTCCTTCAGCTTCATCCGTAATTTCTCGCGGTAAAAAGTTGAAAGCATGCCGGCGAATCGCATCCATAGCTGCATTTTTAGCATATCCTGGATGATTGCTGATATCACGTGGAACAATTTCAGTACGCGGAATTCCACGAACACTCGCTCCTCCTTCTCTGAAAATTGCATTTTATTATTAAAAAAAACTTGAGATAAATTCAACAAACCTTCTCTTTTTTGCAGCTGCTTTTAATTGATTTTCATTACAATGAATATCTTGAATATGTGTTATTAATGACCATCGATTTCTTGGTGTTGGATCTGTACATCCATTCCATCTACATAATAATCGCAATTCTTCAACAACGTGTTCTTCTGATAAATGTTTAAGAACATGAGATGGCGATGAATAATGAAGTGAACAACAATCCCAATCACACATATATTCTGTTATTTGACTTGAAGTTGGCACTTTTTTCTTATTTTTCGAATTCATTGTATTTTCATCTGCAGTTGATGTTGTTGCACCATCTTCATTATTTTCTTTTTTCTCTTCGTGTATTCCATTCATAATATTTCCATTCATTTTAACAGCAGCAACTAATTCAGCAGCACGACTAGCAATTGAAGAAGCTTTTCTATTATCTTGCGGTTTTGTATATCCATTTGTTAATTTCCCATTTATTGAAGTTGTTTCGATTTTATAATCACCAGATCCGTTCTGAAAAAAAACAAAATTGATTTTTAAATTAACAAATGTTGTGAAACAATATTCCATGCAAATACTGAAAATGATAAGCAAGCTCGTTGTTTGGAAAAAAAGAAAGTGTTACCAATTTTCGTGCAGCAATAAGTTCTTCTTTAGCATATCCATTTTCATCGAATCTTTCCGGCGATTTACAAACTTGCAATCCATTTTGATACTTCTAAAAATCATGCAACTAAAAAAACAAAGGGAAAGGCAAGCAAAAATAAAAGCATGCAATAAACTAGCAAAACTATGTTTAAAATAAATGTACCTCTTCAGTTTTAACATGAGAATGTCCATTAACTCCATTTGATATTGGTTCTTTTTCCGATAGCATTTTCTTCATTAATGGATGTGTTAATTCCATCGATTTTTCTGGACTTGAAGTTGATGCGGCTGGTGCTAATTTATGTGGTCGAACCAATCGAATACCTTGTGCAACAATCATAACTCCATTTTCAGCCATTCGGAAAATCACTTCAGGATATAAATTCTTCATAACTCCACTGAACATTGCCAAACTTCCACTAAGTGAATAATATTGATTTCTCAAATCATCAACATAAGCCGCATATAATTCTCCTCGTGGAGTTGACATTGTTGGTTCAAAAACACAATTTTGTTTGATCCATTTTTCAGTGAGTTGTTCAACTTGACTATCGCCTGAATTTGTACTTGGAACAATTGGTTGAACTGGAATTGCAGGTCCAAGTTTGGCTTGTTGAGCTTGTGCTTGATGTTGTTGAATAACATGGTGCTGTAACCCTGATTGAATAACTTGTCGAACAGTCATTTGAGGAATATGAGCTGGCAATTGTTGAGTTGGATGCGATTGTTGTTGTGGCGGTGGAATTTGTTGTGGATTTTGATGATGTGATTGAGGTTGAGGAATTTGTTGAGCAACATTTTGGGAATTTTGCTGTTGATGCTGTTGATTTTGCATTCTTTGTTGTTGCTGTTGTTGTAACATTTGTTGATGTTGTGCTGATTGTGGATTTGGAAACTGTGGTTGATATTCAACAACTTTCATTCCAGCCAATCCAGCTGGTCCAAAAGCAACAGCTTCTAAAGTAGACATCGATACAAGTTGTTGAATAGCTTTGGGTGAATCAGCAATCATATCACAAGCAGTGTCACCCATTTCAGATATTTGATATAAACATTCCAATGTATAAACACACATCATTATATCTTTTATCTGTACAACTTCAAGAATTCGGTTGATTATTTCAGGGGATAACCAATCACAAATAACTTTCTCATTTCCTTCAAATGCACATAAACCAGTCAGCATTTCGAGAGATCGTATTAGTTTGAATTTATCGCTGCTGAATATTCCTTCATGAATAATTTTCAATAATGCGTGATGTGAAATATGAACCAAAGTACGATCAGTCAAATCAATCTAAAAATTAAGAAAATAAAAAAATGGAAACAAAAATAAAGTTCTTACATCAGTTGCCAAATTACTCAATGCATCATATGCCGCGGTATATAAAGGAGCCCATTGACAAGAAGCACATAATATTAAAAATCTGAAAATCCCATAATAAATATCCTGATTTCCTTATAATTTTCATTTAAAAAACTCACTTCATAACCGGCCAAGTTTTCACAATTGTAACACGATTTATCTGTTCAAATGACAAATTTCGAATGACTGTTGCTACTTGATTTAATCTCCAAGATCTTGGGTCCTTCACATTATATGAAGCAGATAAACCGGTGAAAAATTGAGAATCTTCATCTTCTGCGCGACTTGCAACTTCCGATCCAATCAAACGTTTCAATAAATCAGAGTTTACTCCCGAAACAGACCAAAAAGATTCAAAATCTTGATTGGTGCTGATTTTCCAAGAAGACCCAAGTTCAGAAATTGTTTGATCATTTTCTAAAAATTTGTAAAATTTATTGAAAATATGTTGAAAGATGAGCCTACCATCATATATTCCTGTATGGGCAACAAGTAATGTTAAAAGTGATGGTGCATGACATATTCTTAACTGCCTTGGACCAGCATGTGATAAAAGCATACAAATATTCATAGCAAAATCAACCTAAAATAAGAATTGTTTAATTTTAAAGAGAAAAAAAACAGAAACAAGTTACCTCATTTGGAAGACCAGATAACAATGATTTAGTTAATCGACCATAATCTGGTTCATTCAAAATATTTCCTCGTTCATCTCTTCGAACATATTCTTGTAATCTTGAATTACTAATTGGGCATTCATTTGTTGCAAAAAATGAGGTGGCATTTCGTCCACGACTTCGTGACATTTCATTATCAACATAATCATCCAAATCACCAACTGTTTCGATTTGTTCGAATTTTGATAAATATCGCATATAAGTTAATTTGATTGCATGATCACCACAAACTATATCATTTTTACAACCAAACATTTCAGCGATATCTGGCCATTTATCCATATTTGCAACCTTAAAAAATATGAATATTAAAAGAAAATTAAAGAATATTTGAAAGAGCTACAATTTTTAAGTCTGGTTGATAATGGTTTTGAAAAACAATAAAAATATTATAGAACTCGCCGGGCTGAAAAAGGTGTTGCAAAAAAATTGCTGAAGTTTTTTTCTATGAAATCAAAACTGGTTTTTATAGTCGTTGAAAGCCACGATTTTTCGAAATTTCTCTTGTATGGAACTAATAAACTAATTTTGTCGGCATAGTTTTCAGCTCATCAAGATCATTCTCCCAAGTTTTTCAAAACCATTAATAGAAGACAACTCTATTTTTTAAATTACACGAAATTCTCAAAAAAAAGTATTTTAAAAATAAAACAAACCTTTTGCCATCCTCCAAGAGCCATAACAGTATCATATAATTTAAACAAATCAACTTCAACACCTTGAACATTTGGCAATTTAAGTGGAACATTCCATCGTCTTTTATAAAACATTTTAAGGCTATTATAGAATTCAGTCGACTTTTTCCGCTTTTCTGGCAAATCATTTAGCCCGTTTATATATTTCTCCCAAGATGATTTTCTTTTACGCGTCTCCATTTTACTGTGAGTTCCTGAAAATAATGCGAAATGTAAATAAATAAATATATTAATGAAATCCAAATATGGTAGGGTGTGGATAAGAAGATGCTAAAAGTAGGAGAGAGAAGAGAGAGGAGGAAAAAATATTGTGTGCAAAAAATACATTGCGGGTAGAGACGCAGCGAAGGGAAAAAGATGAAATTTAAAAGTTTTTAATTTTAAATTTGATAGAAGATCACAGTCATATTTTATTTATTTTTAATAAAAAATTATACACTAAAAACGCCGAAAAAAGGACGCAGGATTAGGATAAAATAAGGTGTAATTACTGAAGCAGATGGTTTGTAAATAGGAAACCCAAAAAACATTGATTCTTAAGGTAAGGCAGTCAGCCATAAAATGGCCTAATTGTAAAATTGATTGACAAAATTTTTCAGTGATTCGTTCCTCAACGAAAAAAACACTTCTTTGAAAACCTCAAGAACTTCGAAAAAAATTTCACAATTCTATAAAAAATTCAGAAGATGAATGCACTTTTGAAAAGCAGAATAGCACTTTCGAAAAAAAAACACAGACAGATGTTCATTCACATTCCCATAAAAAGGTACATTTATCAGAAATTTATATTAATTTCCCTCGGTTACCCGTAGTTACATCAAAACCGGAAAGATTAGAATTTTCGACTAATAATAAAGTACTCATTTACCAATTAAATGGCGAAAAAGTGATTATATGTATATGACTTGAATATATTATTCATACCAGAAATAACTTATCACAAATATATTGAAATTGAAAGATCAAAGAAAAAATATTTGAACTTTAGAAGTTTCACATTCATCATTTTTTGTTAGAAATGTTGTACCCAAAGTAAAGTTATTTATAAATGAGGAAAATGAAAATAAGAATTCTCTAATTTAGTATTCAGCCTAACAAAATACGAAAAAAGTGTGAAAAAGTACAAAAATGGTCGTGTTTTTGTACATTTTTTTAAAAAAATGTTGCGATCGTTTTCCTCATCTTTTAAAAATTTGAACAAATTCCCAATTCAAACAAAAACGAACAGTGTTTTTCTATTCTAAACTCAAAGAATATCGCCGCCTTGAAACATAATTAAAAATAATAAGAAAAAGGAAAAGAATTTCAAAATTTCAGACTCTTCCCTCTTTTTCTTCTTCTTCGTTGTAGACCAACAAGAAGAAGGCGAAGAAGGAATCATCTTTTTTCTTTTTTTTTTCATTTTTACCAAGCGACAAAAAATAGAAGAGAAGAACAAGAAGAAAACCTTGTGTGAGTGTGAGTGAAAAGAGCGTTGCCTGCCCGCGTCGCGGTTTATTTTAGCGTCGCATGAGTGTATGAGTTTGAGCGAATTGATCGGCCTTGTTGTGAGTGTTTATATTATGTGTGAGTGAGTTTATGTATGTGTGTTTGGTGGTGGTGGTCATCATCGTTGCGTCTTTTCTTTTTCTCTAGCTTTCTAGCGAATGAGCGTCAACAGCAAAATGGGAAAAAAGAGGAACGCTGCGGCTGGCCGCGAAAGAAAAGAAAAGGAGGAAAACGAGGAGATGGCCAGTCAGTCCCAGTACAAACTATCACCATATTTGAAAACACCATGTGGGGAAGAGAACAAAAAATGAATTAAACCATTTGAGATTTTTGTGATCGAAAGATAAATTATAGCAAGCATACAACTATAAATTCTATTTTTTTGACTTATTATAATTGATATATTCACGAGGGAACATAGTAGCACGATGAAAGGTTTTAACTGTGATATTCATAACTTTTAAAAATTCCCTAATCTTGTAGATGAGTGTTCTTTAGAAACATTTTTCAAAAATACTAAACGCAACTTGAGAAACTATTGCTGAGCAATTAGGACTTCCAAAATTGAATGAGGAAAGTAATTCCAAAAATATGAATTGTGATGACTTATAAGAAAATCATGAAATTTGACTGAAATGGTTTCTTCTAAATACTGCAAATGCAGAAAACCGTCCAATTGACAACTTCTGATTCGAGAGTAAAGAAGTAAAACGTGATATGAACTTCCGCAAGCGGAATCGCGGGCAAATGTTCCCAATGTGTGAAATCTGGTTAAATTATTGCGAAAAAGAGTATATGTGAAAGTTTGAGATAGTTATTAACTAATTGAATATTAGAAAAATGGAGAAGTCCAATATGAATGTGAACTTTGCAATACAATAAAATATGATATTCATATTTCGAAATATTTTTGGAATCAAATGTTTACGACGAAAATAGAACAGCTGAACACATAGTTTTACAAATTAACTAACCTTTTTGACATACCAATGACGTTAAATCAATTCTAACACAGCAAAAACAAAGAAATGAAAAAATGTTCGAAACGCAAAAAAATAAAATAAATTCAAAATGTGTTGTTCGGTAGAGCGCACATTCTCCTCTCACAGGAAAAAAATCGCGGGAACATTCAAATTTTAAACACAATTATTTTTATTTATTTTATTGCAAATATTTATTAAAACCGCTCGGCGTCATAAAAACGGATACCAGTATTAGTTTCTACTTTGATTTAAAAGTTCTAGCTCTTGATCTACTTTTTTCGATTTCACTTCCACTTTTTTCGTTGATGGCAGAAGCATTTCGTCGATTTTTGTAAATGGTTTTTCGAATGCTAATGCAAAAAAGAATGCCATCAAATAGGATGCGACAACTGCTTCAACTGTATGTCGAAGCTGAAAAATATCGATGAAATATTTTCGAAAAAAAAATAGAAAAGAAACTGACCATTTGTCCAAAAGTTGTAAAATGAAAAGGTTGTGGACGACTCAAATTATAAATTTGTAGCATAATTGGATGTAACAAATATGCACAAAATGTGATTTTTGATAAAGGCACAAATAATCGCCATGATAAAATCGTATCAACTGGTCCACCATTTCCTGTTGTACAAGCAAATACAACCCAACCAAGTGCTAAAGCATAAGCTGGTCGACCAAATAATATATAAAGAATCTGAAAAATACCATTATAGAAAGTGTTCATTTCCATGAAATTATTACCTTCCACCATTCTGAAATATCTCCAGTTTTTGCAAACCAATAAAGTCCGAAAACCGAATAAAGTCCTAAAATTGTTGAACAAGTCCAGCCAATTATAACATGCTTCTGAAATAAAAAAATGTTTTTAAATTTAGTTTGGATATCCAAATACCCTTTCAAGTTTGATTCTTAGATCTTTTTGGTCTTTTGTCGTCCAGGCATTCAATAAATATGCAACAATAACACCAATTATAAATGGTGTACATCTGACATACGGTCGAACATAAACATGATTCCAATATTCATCCAATTGTTTCACACTGAAATATGAAATTTCCGTCAATATTTTTTTGAAAAGAAATCGTGCCCAAATTGCAACTCACATTTGTAGTTTTGCTGTTAAAAGTGGAGCTGGTGGAAAATCCTTATATTCAATTATGACAAGTTTGATGATTGACGAAATAATCATAATCACACTCGAAACAATCATTCCTGGTTTCATTCCCCATTTTAAAAATGTTATGATTAAAATTGGCATAAGTACAACATGGAATTGCATATCATTTGCCAAATACCATGTCCAACCCATACACTGAAAAAATATATCATTAAAAAAATATTTTGTATTATTTTTGAAACTAACACATTCAACATCTTGTAGTAAGAAATTATTTAAATAAATGAAATTAGTCCACCAAGCATGTCGACATCCTTGTTTTTCAATTGGTCTCCAAAATGGGCCATTTGAAACATATGTAAATAGAGTAACATCAAATAACATTACAACTGCATATGTTGGAGTAATTCTGAAAGTATTTTGATAATTTCCGAATCTTTTCCAGATATTTAGTACCTCGTGTATCTTTTGACATAATAAAGAAGCCAAGAAATTGGATTCATTGGACTCATTGATGGTGGTTTATCTGCTTTCATTGTTTTCTTGAAGAAGAAAAATGCTGCTAACATTCCGCTGAAAAATTAATTGTATGGTTACTGTAGTTTATTTTCTTGGATTTATTTTACCTCAAAAAGAAAAATGAATCGACAGCCAAAGGAGCTTGCACAATTATTTGAGTGTAAAATTGTTGTGGAAAATTGATGAGAGTTGGAATAAGATTATCTGAAAACCCAATTTTTTTCAAAACTATTTTTGAAATCTACCTGTTGTCAAACTTGCTCCAATATAATAATAAGTATGTCCAAGAATAATCCAGCACATACTTAAAAATCTGACACCGTGAAGAGTGTTGATTTCACCATCTCGTTTTTTCGATTGCAAAATTTCGAGGCCATTTGAATATAAAGAATATGCAAGGATAAACTTGATGAAGCCATCTGAAGAAAACATTGATATGTATATTGATTTTTGAAAAAAATCTCACGATTTATTGCAGGATGAGATTCTGGAGGATTATTTTGAATAATGAACAAATCGTATAAAGTTCCGAAAATTGCAATAACAGTGGTTGCAATCAATAAATATCTGAAAGTTGAAAAAAATAAAAGCTCATTAATTCATAGATGTTTCTAGATATTTTCAGAATGTAATTTTGGGCAAAAATGGGTAAAAGAAAACGTACAATGCAAACATAGCCAATGGATTTTGAGACATTGCATCAGAATTCGATTCAACTCGACATTCAACACTAACATCACAAACTTTATTCATTCCAGTCATTGCTTCCGCAGCTCGAATTGCAAATGTTAACATTCTTTTAACATCATGATCAGTACAAGTATTTGGCATACAAACACCAAATTTCAAAAGTGGAAAAAGATTGAAACATTGTCCATCATCTGTGATATTTGTTGGCGAAACTGGTTCACTAGAATTATTCCGAATCACAGAAATCCAGAATAGGAAAAGTATTAAACTTACAAGCAATGTTTATCAACAGCATCAACTGATCCAATATTTTTCAACGGATTATCTCTCTCATAAGCATGAACATTTGCTAAACAATATTGTCCCTTCCATTTTTGTCCCTGACGATTTTTGACAACTTCAATTTTTCTACAAGTACTCCATGATCCAACCCATAAATTATTTCCACTCGAAATTCCAGCTGGAACTTTTCCCATCGCATCGAAAACTACAAAAAATTTTGTTTATTGAAAACTTGAAAATGATAATCTCACCATTAAAAATCCAATGTCTTTCGTTTTTCTTTTGTTGGAAAAGTGGAGTACATTTACAATCCGAACAATTTTTATGCTCTTCGACGTGAGTTGCATATTCAACACCAGTCCAAGCGAGATGAAGCATGTCTCCAACACATGCTGAAAACTTTTAGAGTTTTTTTTTAGAATTCTAGTTATATTTTAATGGTTCTTGACTGTTCGGAAAAATCAAACACATTTAAAAAAGAAGATTTTCTGAAAATTTTGGAAATTATCTACTTCATCAAAAAAAAGTTTGGTTTCAGATATACAAAATTCCAAATTTTACCCTGTATTGATTTTTATCTAGAAAGTTGGAGAATTAAAAAATGAAATTCCAAAGAATGGAATAATTCCTCAAATTTCCCAATTTTGCTAAACTCTTAGATTACTGTAATTATTCTTTGAAGAAATAAAAACTAACGAGCTGAAACATCAAATGCTTTCAATTTTTCAACCATTTCAACAGCATATTTCATAATTTCCAAATTTCCATCTTCAGCTCCATTTTTATAAGCTTCAGCATAATTGAAAAAATGATGAAATAAATCGAGATCCAAAATCAATTGAGCTTTTGAATCAGCCATATATCGAGAAAAAACTGAACCTGTTGCCTGAAATATTTTAGTTTTAGATGTTATGAAATTATTGCTAAAACTTGAAAATTTAAAAAAAAACCAACTTTTTCATCAATTTCATCATATTCCAATTCTTTACTATCAAAAAGTGATCCATCAAAAGAATAGCTCGATTTTTCTTGTGTCAAATTGACACAAAAAATAAGAAAAAGGATCAACTTCATCCAAGTCACCTGAAATGAATAAAGTACAATGTTCTATTTTAATTTTGTTATCAGTTTGAGAATGACCGTTCAAAAAGACAATAAACATTGAGAAGAGAGTGTTTTCACCAATAAATAAATATTTTCTGGTATCAGATTTTCCAAAAAAAAGGCATTACAATACACTTTGGGGCAAAAAAACATCTAGAAAAGAAGAAGCTTAAGAGGAATACATAAATGTCAATTTTGTCGCTTGTCTCCCACCAAAAATGAAACTTTTTTTTGATAAGAATGAAAAAAGTGAGAAAATGATAAAAACTAAAAGAAAAAAGCAAATTGTCAGGTTGCCGACAACTTTTTGGAACAATGTTGGTTTTGGCACAAAAATTCTGATAATCAATTTTTTGAATTAAATTTTTTATGATCATTTTCAAATTAAATAAAATGTGATTTTTTATTTGGAAAGTGAACAAAAAATGGAAAAGAAGGGAAGAAAAAAGATAAAAATCTGGCTGGAAATATATATATTTTTAAAAACTAGCAAAACATTTAAAATGTTTGGTTTTCTCTCCAAAAAGACATTAAACCCCGAAATCCTCGAATAACCGAAAAAATAACACAAAAGTGTTTTAATTACGGTCAAATAAATACAATGTCCTCCCCTCTTATTTTCTCTAATTCTCTTCTTCTTTCACACTCTCTAACCTCTTCCGTTTCTCAAAACAAAAATCGATTAATGAGGAAAAATTATGGAAAAAATGAAGGACAACAATGACCTCGAAATTCATTTACTTACTCATTTATTTGATGGTTTTTTTCTTTTTTTTTTATCAAAATGGACCTTTCAGGTTAATCCTATTAAGTGTACATTGGAGCGTCCTTGAATACATTCGGAAGATTTAAATTAAAAATAAAATTTATAACAACAAAATGAAGATCATGAAAAAAGTGGTAATTGATAAATAAAACAGAAAAAAAGTTGACGAAAATAAATTAATATGAATTTATAGAAAAATAACACACAAAATGTGGAGAAAATAGAGAACAAATAGAAGAACACTCCTGATTTTGGCAACATTTTTGTGTCTGGAAAAAAAATCATATATTGATTAATAAAAAAACTGGAACATATGATAGCAAAATAGCAGTTATGAAATTGTTACAAAATGCGAGAAAATGACGACTTTTTCAATTTCGAAATGAAAAACAAAATATTTCCCACAATCTCGATTTCAGTATTTTGTTCCAAAATGCAATATAATTTCAAAAAATGAACTGACCAAACATTTTAGGATGGAGGTGGAGGTGGTGGAACTGGATGTAATCCAGAAGATGGCGGAGCTGGTGGTCGACTTGGCGGAGGCGGCGGAGGAAATGATGCATTTGGACCTGTTGAACCAAATCGAGGTGGAAGTGGAGGCATTCCTCCAGGGAATCTGTAGAAAAATTCGGATATTTTTTTTAGATATCAATATTTCTGCAAAACTTTTACAAGTTCCACAAAATTGTGTTTTTTAGTATGTATTAATTTTTCGCTTACCGCATAGCAGATGAAGGCGGTGGGGGTGGCATTCCTGGCGGCATTCCAAATCTTGATGGTTGTGCAGGTGTTCGTCCAGGTGGCGGTGGCGGAGGTGGCCACATTCCACCAGAAGACGGGGGCGGAGGGGGTCTTGGTGTCATTCCAGGTGTTGGAAGCATCGGTGTGGCTGATTGTGGTGGGGGAGGAGGCGGAACTGGTGGGTATTGCCCTGGATAACCTGTTCCAATAGCCATTAACGATGGTGGTTGATAAACTGGTCGACCTGTTGCGTGTGCCGCAATTGCCGCTTGTACACCAGGCATCGCAAGTGGTGTAGCTGTTGTCATTCCAAGTGGAACATCCGAAAATACTTGATGAGGTCTGTCTTTTGGAATAAGTGGATTTTGCGAAGCCAACATTCTTTCCGCGGCTGTTCCGTGTCTTTCTCCTTTTGAATCTCGTTTGAAAGCATATGAAACAGTAATTGCCCTGAAATTGAAATTTGTATTAAAGAAATTTTTTTGTTATTTAAAAAACTCACCTATTACACAAAAATTGTCCATTCATTGCTTCGAGAGCAGTGTCAGAAGCTTCAAAAGAAGCAAAATTGATAAAAGCGAATCCTTTTGATGTCCCCGAATCAACATCTCTCATAATTTTTGGAACTTGCAAAATGACTCCAAACGCACTGAATGTATCATATAACAATTTTTCATCGACTTCTGAATCCAAATTTCCGACAAAAATATTTGCTCCAACATCCATATTTTTCTCATGTGCTGCTGCTTTGTTTACCTACAAAAAATGATATTTATTGTTTATAGATTTAATTAAAATCACCAACCTTTATAGGTTTTCCATATAATTTAATCATATTCAATATTTTCATCGCATAATCAGCATCTTCTTCTCCCATAAATTCAACAAATCCAAAACCTTGATGATTTGCAGTAACTCGATCTTTTGGCATGTTTACACTAACAACAGGTCCAGCTTGTACCATTAATTCCCATAAAACAGCTTCTGACACTTTTTCATCCAATCCACCAACATAAATTGTGGCATCTTGGTTTCTTTCTATTAGTGGTCCAGCTGACATTTTATCTGAACAAATATTTTTTGAATAAAGTTTTTTTTTGATAAATTATACATGAAGTGATATAAAATGGTTAATGAACCACAAAAAAAAACAAAGTACAGATACAATAAAAAATTAAAACAATTCATTTCATTTTCCAAAATTTTCATTTTTCTCTTTTTCTTTTTCGATTTCCTTTACTTTTTTCCTTTCTTCTTTGATTTCATCTGAAGATACGAGAGTTCGGAAAAAATGTGAAAATTCGATAGAATCACCTGAAAAATATAATTGGATGATTCAGTATAATTCAAGGAAAACACACCTTTTTCATTCCAATCTTTCCTTGTAAGCCATGGTAAATAAGAAACATTATTCACATATTCTTTGGCACAATTCCATGCATAAGTTTGGGGATTTTCAACTTTTTCCGATATGTGAATTTCGAATTCGACAGGAAGCATTGAGCGAATTTCTTTTACTCTGAAAAAAAAAACAATTCAGCAATATAAGGTAAATTATATAAACTCACAATCTCGAGTTGAATCCCGGAAAACAAGAAGAACCTCCAATAACAACAATATTTTCCGAGAGAGCAGCTCGTAAATTTGGTGGGCATCTTGCCAAACTCTCAATAACAGCTTCGCCAATTCCCATTTGATCGATATCAATATCTGATGGACTGAAATGAAAAAAATAGAATGGATTCGAGAGGAATCTGAACAGGTTCGATTTATTCGATTTTCCGTGAAAAATTCTGAATTAGACCAATTTTTTGAAATGGAACGATTCAGAAGTTTTCTAGAACAATTGAATTGCTCTTTCAGATTGGGATTCAAGATTTGTATTTTTGTCACGTACCTGAAAAGAATTTCGGGAATGGCAAATCTTTCAACTCCAAGTGTAATCGTAGGAACATTTGGATCAACACCTTCTGATATATCTTTAACAACACCTCTAAATGAATGATGAAAATCTGGCATAACATATCTTCGCAAAATTTGATTTTCTTCAAATTTCTTTTTTGCCTCAATCAACGATTGATTGAAATCCTGAGAAACGAAACAAATATCCTCTTTACATTCATTTATAATATGTGTTTCTTCGATAACATTTAATTGTCTATAAGATATCCAATCTTTCAATTTATTCGTCAATGCTTTTCCTCCAATATCTATTCTATAAAAAATCACAAAATACATATAATTACAAAAATAAAGATTGCTCACCTTATAACTCCATCCTGAATTAATAAACCATCAACAAACGGAGATATCGTAGTATTTGAAAACCCGCAATCAATTACTAAACTACAATTTCTATTTTTAATTGTATATTCATGTTCGGCAACAAATGTCGAGGCTGAAAATTGACACATTAACATATTTCGAGAATAAGAATATTACCTGATCCTTTCAAAATGTCCTCAAAATTGAAATATTCAAACATAATTTCACTCGAAACATCAGGCAATGAAGGAACCAAATAATTGCTATCGGTTAAAACTATTTTCGAAGTCGATGGCTCAATATCAACCAATTTCAATGATTTCTCCCAAATTTGTTGTTGAGTATCCCAGTTCACTGAAAAAATTAATCATTTTGAAAACACTACTGAAAGATTTTGATACAAAATTCTAGAAACTCACCAACATATCCTTTTTCAACAGGCCTAACATAAAATAACGAAAATTTATCAAGACATTCATCTTGTTCTTGAGCCACAAATACTCGTTTTCTTTCATGTTTCGCTTTCACAATACTATTTGGAACTAATCTGTAAAAAATAGTTATTTTTAATTGTCTTATTAATTTTTGTTAATCAACTCACCTTGGCTCATTATCTCTACTCGATCCAATTTTCAGATTATAACCTCCATTATCCAAAATAACAATATTTTCAACCATCTATAGTTATGAAGAATAATATTAATTGAATAGAACATGTTATATATTTCGATAGAAAGGCACTCAAACCTATTATTCGCAAAAAAAAACCAATAAAATACATAAAGTTTTGAGCTAATTTATTATATGATATACCAGAGTTGAACAACAAAAAAAACCCGGTTAATCCCTTCCTAAATACATGTTAATGAATAGTATAGAAATTTGATTTTAATGAAAAATGAGCTTTTAAGATGAACCCCAAGTAAGTTGTGATTGTCCTGAGCCATGTTGAAGAAGAAGATTTCGAAGACGAGCAATTTCTTCATCTTTTTTGTCAGTCTAAAATTAAAAACCCCAATAAACCTATAAATTCGAAATCATAAATCAAACAAACTTCTTCAATTGGTGTCCAACTTCTATCAAATTCCAATCGAAAACTTCCCAAATATTCTTCTTTTTTCTCTTGTTGTCCCCATTCATTTGGTGCTAACATTGAAAAATATTTTTCCATTGTAAACTGTTTTTGATACAAATGATAAACTCGTCCTGGTTGTTTTTGCATATTACATGCAACATTGTGCAATTCTTCATCTCTTTGAGCATCTTCTAAAACTGATTTGGCAGCCTTAAAAATAACTTATTTTTTAAAGATTCCGGATTTTGAATCAACCAACCATATGTAGTTGTTCCATTTGTTGAGCAATTTGTCGAAGACGATCACATGCACGACCTTTCACAAGATCTCTGAAAAATCAAGGTTTTTTTTGAAGACGTTTTGGTAAATTTACTCGTTTTGCATTATTAGTGAATAAAATATAGTAACGAGTTATCAACAAAATTATTAATGACTATTGTTTTTTTTTATTTTGTTATCAAAAATAGAGAAAAACTTTGTATATAAAAAACTTGCTTTCAAATTTTTACTGAAATGGGGTGCGCTTATTCCACTGTCAGAAATTGCAATTAGTTTTTTTTCAAGTTATTTTTCATCAAAATATTTTATAGAACTAAAAAAACAACTTTCATACAAACCAACCTTGCATTATTCAATTGATTCGCCAATGCCACCAAATCATCTGCATCAATTTTATCAGTTTGTCGTGCACTTGTTACAAGTCGATCTTCAATTTCTCTCGATTGAACCAAAGGAACATTTATTTGTTGACCTGTTTGTGATAATTGCACCAATGGATATTCCGAAGTATCCATATTCTGTTTTCAAAAAGAAAACGATGAAAATTTGCAAAACATTATTCTAATTATCTATATGGATTCGAACCACGATTTTTCTCAATAAATTCACAAAAATTTTAAATCGATGCAAATTTATTTTGATAATAAAAATAAATAATTTTATATGAATTCGTTGTTATTGTTTCCGTTTCAAATCGAGAAGAGCTTTTTGTCCGGCTCGCTCTTTTGCTTGATTGATTGCCTGAAGAAAATTTTAACATTTCAAAAATAATGAATAATTTACCTTATCAAAAAGTGGAATCAATTTTCCTTCTTTTGCAAGAACTTTCAAAAGTTCAACCACAAATGGAAGATAATTGTGACGACGACGAGCATTTTCTTTCTGATATTGTTGAATTCTTCTATCCTCTCTGGCAATTTCAATATTCAATTCATGAACTTGATCATCCAAATCGTGATTTACATTAGCTTCTTGACATGATTTCAACATTTCTTCTAATTTTTGTTTTCTATTTGGAACAACAGCCAGCAAATTGAAATGAATTTCCCCTTCGCTATACTTTTGAATACGTTTTTGGATTGCTGGTGTAACTGCATCCATCCAATCTTCTTCAATTTCGGCTACTTCAATCGGAGCTTCTCGTAAACCATCAAGTTCGTAGACTTTGTTTCCAATTGGAATGTAAGTGACGAAATGATAATTGTCTTCACTTTTTCCTCCTTTTATATCCAATTCATATAATGTTGGACGAGCAAAACTGTTATGAACAGTTCTGATTTTGTCACTATTCGAGAGACATTCACCACGAGTCTGAAATTAATGTTTTTCATTTTTTAACACACTTTTTATTATTGTAATGAAACAGTTCAAACTTACTGCTGGATCGAAATCAAGAGCAAATTCTTTATATTCTTTCAAAATTGATCCAAGTTCAACTTCTGGGTCATCAATGTTCATTAGCATGTTGATGATAGCTTGAGTTGCGCATGCGTTTTGAATAACTTGTTGTGCAAAAAATATATTCCCATTATTCGATGGAACACCACATGGTTCATCTCCAGGACGCCATTTGAACAAAAAGACCAAACCATAAACAGGTCTAAACAATTTTGCATTATAGATTCAATATGAGTAAAACTTACTTTGCCAAAGTAGTTTCATGATGTTCTAATGAATAGAGTTCATCAACTTGCAATCCTTTCACACCAAAACCTTGCAACATCTCGGTGAAAACACCGGGGTCGCTTTCAATCAGACACCAATTTCCAGCATCCGACATTTTTCTGAAAAATGGATAAAATGTTTTTTTCTACTGTAAAAGCTTTCAGAAAACAAAAGCATCTTCGGAGAGAACCAGAAAATGTAAAATTTCGAACGAGCACGCAAAAAAAAGAAAGAAAATCACCATTCTTTATCATTAGAGCGCGCTTGTTAGCGTGACAAGCTTTTTCTAGACCACGGCCATAATTTGAATTATGTTTTTTGTGTGGCTGACCATGTCGACACACACAATAAATTGTGACACGTCGTTTTTGATATTTCAATGCAAAAATGAACGAAAAAATAACGAGCAAAGGGCGGACGAAGAATTGCAATGATTTCAAAATATCGGAAAGTGGAAGAAAAAGAAAGGTAAGAAGTTATAAACAAGGGTTAGTTCAAAATATATTTTTCAGTTTGAATCAATCGGAGATGTTGATTTATCAGCTGACTCTAACAGTGTGATCGCTATCTCGTTAATATTATCATGTCTTTTCTTGATTCAATCTGTGCTAGCCTTAGGATCGTATTCAGGTACTTATATTTCAAATTTATATATTTTTTCAAACATTGTTTTCTTCAGGTGAATCAACTCCACCAATGTTTGGCGATTTTGAAGCACAACGTCATTGGATGGAAATAACATACAATCTTCCGATTGAAAAATGGTATGTGAATGATACAATGAATGATTTACAATATTGGGGTTTGGATTATCCACCGTTAACTGCTTATCATCATTGGATAATGGGAATAATGTGAGTTTCTTTCCTCAATGAATTTTACTAATTTCAATTTTCAGATCTAAAAAAATTAACCCTGATTGGATTGAACTGTTTGAATCTCGAGGTTATGAAAGTGTATCACATAAGCTTTTCATGCGAATTTCTGCGATTATTCCATTTATTCTATTTTACATACCACCTCTGATATCACTATTTTTCCGAAGTTCCAAAAAATCAAGTTTATCGCCGGTCATCCAAACTTCATTAGCTCTTTTCTATCCGGGTCTTTTGGTCATTGACAATGCACATTTTCAGTGAGTTTTTTGAGAATTTGAAACTTAAAATTAGCAAACTTTTTACAGGTACAATAGTATTTCTCTTGGATTATTTCTAATTTCCTATTGTTTTTTGACAAATTCAAAAACCCTACTAGGCGCAATGTTTTTTGTTTTGGCTCTAAATTATAAACAAATGGAGTTATATCATTCTTTGCCAATATTTATTGTTATTCTATCAAGATCTATCAAAAAACCAGTGTTTTCGAATATTCCAAATAGTATTCTCCAAATCACGAAAGTTGGAATTGTTGTGATATCATCATTTTTTATAATCTGGCTACCTTTTATTCTAACTGGAACTGCAAAAGATGTTCTTATCAGAGTATTTCCTTTCAATCGAGGAATTTATGAAGTATTTCATAAATAAGTTTAATAGTTATTGATTTTTTTTGAATTTCAGGATAAAGTAGCAAGTTTTTGGTGTGCATTTTCATTTATTCTCAAACGTCTACCAATTCAAAATATTCAAATATATTTGAGTTCTGCCGCTGTTTTGATATTTTCAATACCATCTCTCATCACTTTATTCAACAAATCTTCCGAAAGAAACTTTCGAATTTCTCTATTCACAACATCTTTATCATTTTTCTTATTTTCATTCCATGTTCATGAGAAAACTATATTGCTTGTGGCTGTTTGTGCGATCTTATTGTTCCCTGATTATCCAAGCGATGTTATTTGGTTTTTGAATATTTCGAATATCAGGTGAGTATTTTTTGTACTAATTATAATACAAAATTTATCCAACTAAAACTACATTTTCAGCATGTTTTCACTTTGTGTAAAAGACGGCAATTCGCTGGTTTTGATGCTATTTGTTGCATATTTCATCACTTCGATATATTTTTGGAATCACTTGGAAGATGTGAGAGCTGACAATTTTTCACGCAAACAAATGTATTCTTTCAGGAAAAAATATATTTGAAATCAGCATCTGTTATAATCGGGATTATAGTCTGTCTCTTGGAACTTTTCGGGCCAATTCCAGCAAGATTTCCACACATTTATCAACTTGCAAATGCCTTTTTCAGCTGTGTTCATTTTATTTATTTCTTGATGTCATTCACTTATCGAATTCTAGGCGATTCGACTAAAAATATCAAAAATGAATAAACAAATATTTCCTATTCGCGTTGTTAAAAATTAATTTTCGGTTGAACTTTCCAACTTTCAATACTTGAACAAATTTTGCTTTCCCAAAAACCGGTTTAGAAAATTCGTTATCGCCAAAATTTCCGGACGAAATTGAGACTATTTATGAGAAAAAGTAGATTTGTAATAAACAAACTTCTACTTAATTCTAAGTATTTGCTGGTTCATCTTTTCCTGAAGGAAATATTTTTGTTCAAAAACAATAAATGGCCGTCGCGTCAGAGAGCAGACAACAATGTCCGAAATGTTTGAATTTCCCGCTCTCTATCTCTCACCACGACTTTTTCGTTTTTATTATTTGTAGTTCTCTTGGACAAAAATTAGTTGTGTGTCGATCGCCCACTTTTTCAGAGTTTGTTTCTATAGAAAAGCCTTGTTCATATCAATTGATATAATAAGTAAATTAGAAAGTTTTCAGATATAAGTTCAATATGAGTCAAGAACCTTCATGCTCGACAGATCAAAGTTTCGAGAAAAAGTTGCTAGAACCATCAGAATCTACAGAAGAATGCTCAATTTGCAGAGGAGAGTAAGTGTTTAATTATTTTCCAAATAATTTTAAAACCAAAAATACATTTATCATCTAATATATTGATTTTTTCAGTGATTTGATCGATAAAACTCTACTCGATTCATGTATTCATACATTTTGTTACAAGTGTATCACTGAATGGTTAAAGTTTTCAAATGGTCCAATCTGTCCAATGTGTAAACAGACAATTCATATACTTACTCACGAATTGAATAAAAAACGTCCTACTACGTAAGCCGTTTTGTTTTCGTATTTCGAAATAATGAATATAAATTTACAGAGAAGATGCTCAACAAATTCATGAAAGTGCGAGTCGTCAACGTATGAATGGAGAAGCAATTCAAGAAAATATCAGAAATATTCGTCGAATTGTTCAAGTTACTTGTCGAAAATATCGAACTAGAGCTAGAGAATATGACAATAATATGTAGGTTTTCCTTTTTGAAAATTTAGATTATTATGAATTTTCAGTGATTCAATGAGACGAAAAGGAAGAATTGATGATGGCAAAATTGAACGCTGTGAAGTAGCGAAAAGGAGCCTCATTTCTGAATTAAATGCTCTTCAATTGATCAAAGATCAAATTATGGAAGGATCTAGAAAGTAAGAATTTTTAAACTCGCATTTGTGAATTATCAGCAGATTGTAAATATTTTTCTAGGGAGTTCATTATTCGTCAAACAGCGTTTCGAAAATTGATTTATGTTGAGAGATTGTGTTTGCATCTTCCAATGGAGCATGTAAGATCATTTTTTAATGATATATCTTTTATGACTGTTCATTTTTTCAGAGTGAATTAACTGCACACCATGCTGCTTCGATTCCGGATTTGCGAGAAAAGTTTGTTCCATTCTTGATTGAAGAATTCAGGTGTATTCCGGTTAAATATCATAGAGTGAGTCATTTTTTCTTGTCATTTTTAGATATAGTAATTTAATTTTTTCAGGGCTCATTAGCACTTCCAAATAAATTCATTCACGATACGCTTGATGGAAAAGATGAAGAAATGGCCAATAGAATTGTAAATCTGATTTTAAAACAAGGAGTTGAAAAAGCGCATTTTGTTGTGAGTTTCTTTAAAAATTTTGAAAAAAGACCATTTTACATGGAAAATTATATTGTTGAAGAAACAACTGTGCGACTTATTGAATGCTAGAACTGACGATGTTATGGATTTGATTGCTCATATGCGTTCATTTGCTGAACATCCTGGATCATTTCTAACCTTCTTGCAAAATGTTGATTATACACTTCGGACGGAACTTCAGGGAAGACCTGTTCGACAAGTCGTCGTAGATGATGGTAACTATTTTTAATTTTCGGATAGGATTTCTAAGTTTAATCAATAATTGTTTAGTTGTTCTCGATAGTGATAGCGATGTAGATGATGATGATGATGACGATGAAGAAGTTCCTCCTGTTCATCGAAATCCATTTTTACCGGATCTCTCACGTCGTTTTGGTTCCTATTCAATTAACACTTTTCCATTTCTCAATCAACCACGATCAGTTGATTTACGTTCTATTTTCCGAAATAATCAAAGAGAAAGAGACCATAGATCAACATCTGAATCTGACGGAGATAGAGAAATGTATGAAAGACAACCTTTGCAACATTTTCCACCCACTAGGCCACCGCAACCACCGCCATTAGTTAGACCAACTCTAAAAGGTACGGATTTAAGATATAAGGAATTCATTAAAAATTGTTCTTCTTTCAGCACCATTTTGGAATGATTTAGTTGGAGGTTTCAATTGTCCACCACCTCAAAATCAATCAATCAATCGAAATAAAATTGTAGTTCCAAATAATGATTCAGTTGTTGTTCTTTCGGATGATGATGAACCAACTCCTTCTTCTTCATCAAGAAATCGTTCAAATAATGACACAATTGTTTTGGATGATTCTATCAGAAGAGGTAAGAAATGGCTTCAATATTATTATGATTTACAGTAATGTTTCAGATGAACCGGCATCATCAAGAAATATGAATTCAAATCGAAGACCAGAAAAAAGAAGATTGCCGATAGAAAGAGAAGAAAGGAATCGGAGTATGAGAAGAAGAACTGATGATGTTGATCTTCCTGTTGGATTTGCTGATGCAATGTACAATGTTAGTTTTTCTTTGGGTGAATCGTATAATCGGTCCCAACAAAAAAGTTTCAAAAATGATTTTTTTTCAGTTATTATCAGAATACGACATGACAAGACATTCGGATATGAGAAAAGTCGAAAAAGCAGCTGAAATGGCATTTGATAGAATTCGTTTTGACATTTCTTCGACTTCTTCAGGGTCTTCGACTTCTTCGGAGTCTTTGACTTCTTCACAGTCTTCGATTACTGATTGATTCAGTCGAAATTACGAGATATTTTGACTAATATATTGAATCTCAATATTTGTGTTTTATTATTGATTTCTTTTTTTTTCTGTATTTCTTGTTTGTTTGCTCGTCAATTTTTCATTCTAGTATAAATTAATTTTTCCCCATAGTTTCTTTAATTGTTTCATCGGGTTTTGTTTACCCAAACATCTATATACGAAAAATGATTTTTGGACTTACATAGTCAATTTTTATTTCAGGGTTCATAATGGTTATAAAGTTTACGTCAAATGTTGTGAATCCACCGGTTACAATTTATATGGGTGTTGATAAAGTAGAAAATGAAGAATTGATTAGAGTGAGTTATTTTAATCGACTATTTCAATTTTTGAAAATAGATACTGATAAAAAAAATTCATCTCAATTTTTGAAATAAAATAATAATAGTAACCACCTTTTTAATCTGATGATGACGAAAAACACACCTCGGCCAAAATCGTGGTTTTCAAAAGTCAAAATTGTACGCTAAATAACATTTTTTCAATGTAAAAACTATTTTCAGTTTTTGGACCTCTGAAATGTTCAAATTAAGATATTTTCAAAAATTTTACTCTGGCTCACAACAGATTGGCCGAGGTGTGACGAAAAAGTTTTGAGAAAACATTTAGAACTTTTACAAAAAGGGCATGTCTTTTTATTCATTTTTCTTCAAAAATTCAATTGAATAAAAATATTTTCAGTATGGTTGGCCAGAAGATGTATGGTTTCACGTGGATAAATTATCATCTGCTCACGTTTATCTCAGACTAACTCCTGGAATGACAATTGACACAATTCCAGAAGAATTGTTGACTGATTGTTGTCAACTTGTAAAACAAAATTCGATTGAAGGATGCAAATTGAACAATGTTGCAATTGTTTATACAATGTGGTCGAATCTCAAAAAAACTGGAGATATGGCTGTTGGACAGGTTGGATTTTTCAATAACAAGGCTGTTAAACATACCGTAGTCGAGAAAAAATGTAATGAAATTGTTAATCGATTGGAAAAAACGAAATGGAAAGGAGATATCGATTATAAAGAGGAAAAAGATGCTCGAGATGCAAGAGAACGACAAAAACTGAAAAAGATTGAACTTGAGCGGAAGGAACGAGAAAAGAAGGAAATTTTGGCGAAGGAGCAACAAAAACGCGTCCAGTAAGATTTCATAATAAAATATTCAAAAAAATTATTCCATTTTTTCTCTAGAAGTTACGCCGATGTTGACTGGGACGATGCTCCAACAAGAAACGACGAAGATGCCGGAAATTTATCAGATGATTTCATGTGAATTCTCGCAAAATCAATAAATTATCAGAAACAAAAAATTTAAGCTATAAAAATTATATTAAAAAAGAAAACAATCAAATGAAAAACACGTATTTTTGGTACAGTAGGAATGTTGCATGTTATAATACTAAAGAAAAAAGCGGAAGCCGCGGGCAGTCAATTAGAAAAATGTGAAAATTATTAAAACTATAATTGTCCGGAAAACGGTGCTCTTAAAATTAAATGTGTAATTTGTATCGGCTGGAATTTCTTCACCTTCGAAGTCAATAATATTGTTCTGATTTTGTGATGCATAGGAAGTGATTGTTAAATCTTCTGAATTTGTATCAGTTGGAAGAATAACAGGCGATTCCTAAATTATTAAAATTATTGAAAATCATCACGTCTTCAAATTTAAACTTACAGTAGGTTTTTGAGTAGTAATCACTTCTGGTTCGCTTTTATCTCCTGAAGCACCATTTTCATCTTCTCGCGAGACTTCGTAAGCAATCGGATCATTGTAACCAGCTGTAATCAAAAAATCAAGGTTTTTTTTTTAATTTTTGAATGATTCCAATATTATAATATTATTTACTCGGTCTTTTTTCGCTCAAAAACACTCTTCCCTTTTTCAATTTCTCTGCATCTTTTCTTTAGTCTCCGTTCCATTTCTTTTCATTTCTCTCTCTTTTATATGTCTGGTCCTGTGGTGTAGTGGTTATCACGTCTGCTTTACACGCAGAAGGCCGCCGGTTCGATCCCGGCCAGGACCTAGCTTTTTTGATTTTCAAAAATTTAATTTTACCTCCTTGTGTCTCGGGTTCATGGAACTCGAGTTTTTCATTTGGTTTTGCATTTGGGAGACTTGGAAATTCGACTGGCAGTTTGACAGGTTCTTCACTCATTGGATAAATTGGGCGTGTATGAACCTAGAAACTAATCATTAGATTTTTGATCAACATATTTTTGAATACCTCAGACATATCTTTTATCATTGGTTTTCCTTTGATTATTATTGTTGGTTCAGTTTCGGAGATAACTGCGTCTAAAAAAACATTGGTATTTTATTCAGAAAAAACTATTGATAGATTAGTTCTAGTACCAACCATTTTTCTCCCGTTTCTTTATTATTTCTCGATTTGAAACAAATTGTTGAGATGTCTCAAATATGGCTTCCAAACGATCTCCTCCACTTCCCACAGTATCATTCCAAATTGTTCCAGTTTCTTTTATCATAATATTTCTCATTGTTTCAATTCGACGGCTTTGCTCCTTTTGTGGATATAAAGTATGACAAACTGATGGATTTCCGCTCGTATTCACAACTCCTTTCAAAATATGCTCACAATAAAACTTTTGCGAATCCTGGAAAAGAATTTTAGGAAATTTTTCACAACTTTTTTTTAAAGCCGGGATCGTCAATTTTTTTCTATTTTAGGAAATTTATTTAAAACTAACCTTGTAGTTGACATCTTTTATTTTTTCATTGACAAATGTTTGAAATTGTGAATTGGCAACACTGAATCCACTTGTTCGTAGATCATAGAAACTGGAAAATATAAATTTCCAATTTTAAATTTTATAAAACTACCTCAAAACTTTGATTGGTTGATTTTTTGCCCAATCATTCCATTGATTATCATCAACAGTAGCCACTAATTTTTTCTCACAAACATCTCGATATCCTCTTCCAGTCGGATCAATTAAATAAGTAGTTCCAGCTATATCATCATATATTGCCATTATATCAACTGTATAAGACCATTGTGTCTGTGATTTTCCAAGAATTGTTCTCCATCCATAAATTGAAACTGGTTCAGCTCTCATTTGATCAATTGTGCTGTTTACATTCCAGTCTCCAATTTCTAAACGATATTCTTCTGGTGATCCATTTTCAACTGGATAAAGTGCACAAACTTGAGCTCCAAACTTTTTCTTGCAGTCATTATAAAGCTGAAAAAACATTGAAAGATGGAAAAAATAACATTATCTCAAATAATTCAATAAATAACTATAGAACAAAGAAATCAAACATCATAAAACAAGGTAGTGCAAAATTTCTTACTGCAATTCCATAAAAAAATAGAGAACATTTTGAACTTGGTTCTGATTTTTTCGAAAAAAAAACACTGAAAACAAAGCAGAATCAGATAATTTTTTGGTTAAAAAAACTTTTTTCTCACAATCAATCTTCAAAAAAAAACTCACTCTTTGAATGTCACAGCTTACTTCTCCACTCAAAAATACTGGTTGATTTCTAAGAATCAAATCTCGAATCATTGGTCCAACAGGAATGAACAAACAATCTTTCTTGTATAAAAATTGTAAAATATCTTCTATCTGTAAAATTCAATTTCAATCTCTAGATTTTTTCCAGAATAAAAATAAATATACCGATTTCGACAATCCTTTTACTACTAATGATTTCATCCAAGCCCATTGATAATTAATTCCTTCGCCTTTAAAAACTTTTGGTGAATATTTGTTATCATCTGCAATCCATGGCCGTTTCAAATGTTCGAATCGTTTTGGAAATGATATTTCTGATGGGTTCTCGATCTGTAAATTTGAAAAAAAAACTTTTGAAAAATCTATATAATATAAAACTAACATCTTCTTCATCTAAACATGGATCTGCTTCTAACATTGATCTTTTCCTGTGAAAATGATGTCGAAATGATGAAACTACTGTTGATAAAACAAGTAAAACAATCATCGAACGTGAATAATCCCATATTTTCATTTTTATCTGAAAAAAAACATTAAAGAAATAAATAAAAAAGGAAAAGAAGAAAGAGAGCAAAAAACAACTGAGCGAGCAATAGACAATAGAATAAAAATAATTCAGTCGGCGAAAATTCGGAGGCGAACACCATGGTGAACAAATTGGCGGAAGACGAAAAGCCGAAAGCTGAAATGGCCTCGTTATATATTTTTTGCAACACACACACAGCTTTTTTGGGAATATAAACAAGTTGATGATTTTACGAGCCAACACACTGGAACGCACTCGGATACTTAATTGGAAACTTGTTTGGGATGGGAAAAGAATTAATTAATCAAGATGTTCCCAAAAACCAAAAGCCATTCTTTTTTTCGAATGAATTGAGAAGAACTTTGTGAATTTTTCCGAAAAAAAAGAAAACGATTGTCAAAAAATTCAAAAAATCGGAATAATAACAGAAATGCAATTTATGGACATTTTTCTCAAAACCCTTAATTTCCGGACAGAGGTGATTTTTCATTTTTCCTTTTCATGTAATATTTCACCAAATAAAAACATAAACATAATTACACGTTGCTGCCAAGAAACCACAATTCGAATATATTCGTATAAAAAACATACATATTTTGACATTCAACCAACAAAAAATGATGTAAAATAAGAATAAACGAAAAGTAGAACTCGAACTCAACCCGCTTTTTTGTTGATTTTCAAACCAAGATAAGAGGAAGGACGAGGCTCGATTTTGAGCACTCGCAAAAAAGAGAACGAACGCTTGCATGGCTTTTTGGTTGACAAATTTCAAAGGGAAACAGGAAGTACGTTGGAAGAAAAAAGGGCAACTGAGGTTAGGTTATTATAACTAAACGCGAAAGAGTCACAAATCAGCTGACACCTTTTTCGTGCCTTTTTTGACAGGAAATGAATCATAGACCAGAAAAAAGGTCGAGCTAAGATATACAAAAAATGTATAGAATTATTTTTGCTTTTGAAAATGAATATGTGAAAGTGTTGAAATGATTGACAAAATCGAAACCGCAACAACAGCTGATACTCTTTGAACACGAAAAAACATAATTTGTCTTTTTGATGATTGAGAAAGAAATAGAATATTCATGGCATGTCATCAATGTGTTCTTCTCCGGAAACTAATTTTCTTCGGAGAACAACAAAAAAAATATAATTTGGGACACAAGTGTTTTTGTTGAGAAGTTAGTTAACCGAACAGCAAATAAAAGTGTGAGAGAAACAAAATATCCAATTTTCGGGTTTTTTTACTAGAAAAGAAAGCACAACAAGACGCATGATTTGACAAGTTTTTGAGGTCTCTTGGGACACGAAAACTTGTTGAATAAATAATAATAAGTTGAAGCAAAAAAGACAAAGTATGTATCATATAAAACGGGACAAGTCGTTAAAAGGACAAAAAAAAGACGAGAATCAACACTACTATCATGCATTTCGGATGTTTTTTTCTTGTCGTGTCGTTTTTAAAATTCTCTAACAATGCAACAAATTCTTTTACATATGGGTTACACTTGTGGTTTAAGAGAAAAAAAGAAGAAAAGAGATTTAGGATGCAGCTCAAATACGATTTGAATGAATTAAGTCTCATTATGGAAGAAAGTTAGAGAAATTATTGATGCTTTTTTCGAAATTTCACAAATTTATTTTTGCAAAAACTCTGTTATAACAAAAAACTCCACGGAAATCATTAACAAACTCACGAGGTATTCATCCAAATAGAAAAACATCATTTTACTGGAAAAATACATCACAATGTGGATGCTCGCTGCACACAAATCTCGAAGACACCCGCGCAGTTTCAGCCGAAAAAAAAGAAAAAAGAAAACGTCGTCAATTTGTGTGTATAGTGTTTGCACACTTTTTCGCGTACAGTACTCCACACAAATCAGAGAAATTACTCAGCAAATCGCTGCGTACATGAACGGTAAGAATTTGTGTAGCTTGTGTGCTGTCTAACTCATTTTACACGCATTCCACACACAAGCTACGCACGCGTCTACACACCAGCTACACAAAATAGTTTTTTTTCGATTTTTTTTTGTTTCGCGTTTTTTTCGGATTTTGCGGGCTGAATGATGATTTTTGAACACGTTTTGAATGAAAACAACAATTTATTATCGGAATAAGTAAAACATGAAAAAAAAACAAAGTATTTCAAACAAAAGTATAAATTAGAAGTGGAAAATTTCGTAGATATTGCGGATTGTCTCGTTTCCCTCGCCATGAAGCTGCTTTTCATGTTGTTTGTGTCGAGATTTCCATTGAGTGCTGGCGAGACTGAGCATCGGAGAGCATATTCTGTAAAATTGAGATGAATTTTCATGTTTTTCAGAGTAGAAAGAACTTTATATTTATCTTCAAAAATAGCTAAACTTGATCAGATTTCCCAAGACATATTTTGTTAACCCGTTTCTTTTTCGGTTATTGACTCACCTTTTGATTAACGTGGATGAATACTGATTGATGTTGACCTGGATTTTGTGGAGGGTAGTCGTTGTCGTTGTTGAACTTGTTGAAGTTTTCTGAAAACTGTTTTTGTAGGAAATATGTCGTTTTTTTAAAGAAAATTCCCTCACCATTTTGCAGCCATTTTGCAACGATCACGCTCCCGGAAACCTGAAATTAAAGATAGTTAAAACAATTCTGAATGAAAGAAAAATTTCCATACTTGAGAAATAGGGGAATTCATAGATGTTCAAAAGAAATTTCAACATAATTTTCATGAAACACGAAGAAAAATGTTGAAAATTATGTTTATGTTCATTGCTGGCCCGATTTTCACAAGAATTTAGGCCTGGAAAAACAAAAACAAAAATGAGAAAAGTAGCCGCGACGCCAACCGCGTTGCTTCTCTGATTTGTGTAGCTGGTGTGTAGCTGCGGTGTAGCTATTTTTCGCCGATAAAACCGTTCATGTACGCGACGATTTGCTGAGTTCTGAAAAATTGACTGAAAATCTCATGAGAGCTCAGTTGCTGAATGAACTCTTATCAACAAAGTTTTAGAGTAACCCTGCTTGTGAAGATTTCAAAGTTTTTCGAAATACAGTAAGATTTTTCTGCGCGAAAATTAAAAAGAAATAATTTTCAACCATATAATCAAAATTACTGCAGATTTTCACCTCAATTTTATCTAGATGCCACGTGGATTTTATAAAATTTCGAATAATTGACAAATCGATTGATTTTAGTAAAAAAATTTGACATTTTCTGAAAACAAAGAAGTTCAAACTTAGAAATATTTATTCATGACTAATAAAAAACTGTGAAATTGAAAATCATCGGGATCGTCGTCGAGAATCTAAAAATATGAAAATAACTAATTTGAAAGATAAACTATTAGTGAAGTGATTAGTGCAAGTGTAAATGTGAAAGTGTTAGTTGATGATGTTGTGGCTGAAGTGCAAGTGTTAATAAATTTCATCAAATTGTCAAAAATCTTCAAACTTACTATCAATTTTTTGTGTTGTAGTTGAAGGTGTGTCAGTTTGATCAACCCAATCAGCGATGAATAAATTCAATTCATACATTGTTCCATTTCTGCTCGAACCCCAAACTAATTTCTTTCCATCCCAACTTTGCATTGCAAACGAATTGAATTGTCCTTCTCCGAAAGTAATTTGTTCTAATCCAGTTCCATCATCATTTATCATATAAAGACTGAATGCTCCAAATCCATTTGCCGAATCATTGTAGTTTGAACTAAATATTTTAAAATCAAAATCAGAACTTTTTCAAACTATTCAAACCTAAAAATAATTCTTTTGTTATCACTCAAATAATAAGGTGCCCAATTTGCTTGTCCTAAATGAGTAATTTGTCTCATATTTGTTCCATCAATATTAACAACAAATAATTCCATTGCAATTGGTTCGACCAAATTATATTTCAAAAGTTTCTTGTATTTTGCAATATCTTCTGGTGTTTTTGGTCGACTTGCTCGGAAAATGAGTCGTTTTCCATCAGGCGAGAAAAATGATCCACCATCATATCCAAGTTCATTTGTAATTTGTGTCACATTTGTTCCATCACTATTCATAATATATAATTCCAAATCTCCTGATCGAATTGATGTAAATGCAATTTTAGTTCCATCTGGTGAAACAACTCCTTCAGCATCATATCCTTCACTATTTGTCAATCTTTGAACAAAGTTACCGTATTTATCAACTTTGAAAATATCATAATCTGGGAAAATATCCCAAGTATAACTTGTATTACAAAGTTGTTTCAATTCTGGTGTTGTTGGATTCGAACATTTTTTCTGTGGACATGTTTTCGATACATCTGTTTGGTTATCGATTTTAATATTCCACCAATTTCCAGCATATAATCTATGATTATTATCATTTTCTTTGAAAAAGAATGAACAAGTTGTTCCTCCCAATCCAGTACTTATTCTTTTCATTACTTGTTGTCTTGGATCAATATTCAAATCTAATTCATAAATTTGATCACAATCAGTTCCATATCCAGTTGCTTGAAGAGTCAATTTCGAATTATCAAAACTGAAATATCCTTCAGCATTTTCACCACCAAAAGTAAGTTGTTTGACATTTGCCAAATGTTTTTCGCCATCAAAATGAAGAATGTTATCATAAGGATTTGTTTGTAAATCTTGCCATCTTTCTGGTTCCTGCAATATTTTATAGTGATAATGGTCTGAAAAATAATGCGATAAGAAAATTTACTCTAGAGATAACAAGACAACTGGATTAAAACAATGTCTATAAATATATTACTGTAGGGAAACTCATTTAGTAAGAGCCATCTGATTATCCCCTTTTACCATTTTTCTAGAACAGTTTTCAGTTTCAATCCTATTCTCAATGTATATTTGGGTACTATAGTTTCAATTTCTCATTCTCAAAAGTTAAGTGGGTTACTGTAATTATGTGGAGCAAAAAATGTATCAGTAGGTGGGAACAATTCTATGTTTGGAGTTTTTGGATCGAACCGAAAAATTTTGGACATTATCCAAGACCCATTAATCCAACAAAAACTCACTTGTTCTTCTTCGACAACTCGATTATTTTCCAATCTCCATTTTCGATCACTCGAACAAATAGCAACTGCCAAAAATACGAGAATCCACAAATGTCTCGACATTTTTCGGACGATTTTTGAGTGAACTGATTGATCAGTTCTTTATAAACCGCTTAAAATAGTTTTTTTTTCTGTTAGAGATAAAATTAAGAAGTTTATGTAGTCAGCAAGAAAAAATTATCGTATAAACAACAAAAGAAGTCAAAATGAAAGAAATAAAGAAAAAGAATGAAGAAATGATGGTCCGAAGAGATTGATAACATGTGATAACATTATTGTTTTCTCTTGTTTTTTCCTAAATGATTTATAGATGTTTGTTTGTTTGTTTTGGAAAATTGATGCAATCGAAATACTTCAAAACGTGTCCTAAGATTTTGCATTTTCAATTATTATTTCGGAATTTTGTAGATTTTCGTGATTAAAAAATGATCATAGAACATTCTTGTTTTTTTTTTCATTCAGACACAAAACCACAATTTTTATCAGCAAAGTTCCCAAAAATGTGTTACTAATAATATGGTGCAATCGTTATCAAAAATAAATAATCCTAATATTTTTTAGTAATCCTTTGATTCATCCGATAGTGGTACTTGCATTTCCAACAGAAACTATCGAATTTTCTGGTTTTTTGCGCTTCAATAGATTTTTCAATGCATTTCTATAAGTTGACACGCAAGTGAATAAAATAATTGAATCAAGCATCGGAAACCAAGCCATACAACTTGTTGCCAATATTCCGATCTCATGTAAATCAATTTTCAAAAATAAACTGATCATACAAAAAGCAACTGGAACTGAGCAACATGTAAAGCATACTGTAGTTTGGGCAACAAGAAAAATCAATAATTGTCTTTGAATTTGTCTTGTTTTCTCACTCATTGAACCAATATTTACAGATTGATGAGCTCGAAATGCACAAAAATTAATGACAGAAATCTGGAAAAATTAATTAAAAGTATTTACAAAAATGAATAAAATACTTGTGACAAAAGAACAATTGATGCCAAAATAAATGAATATAACGCATTTTTGACTTGAATTGAATCATCAATTCGAAGACCAAGTTCAACAAAACCTTGTTCGCCATCGAGTAAAATATGACTTATTTTTAAAATTGTATCATTTTTAGGCTGGCAAAAATAATGCAATAATACAACATTTTTAAAAATGCTAAAAATGTCCGCCCAGAATACAACTCACGTTTTTTTAATGGTACCAGAATGCAATTATTTTTTTTATTAGAAATACCAGAATGCAATAATACCAGAATACAACATTTTTGTTATTTTCCCAAAATTTCAACAATTTTGTGTTAATTTTTGTTGAGAAAATGTTATTGAAACAATTAAAGTGTTAATATAAAGCGAGTTGAATAGTATATCTGTGCTCTTCACAAATAATTTATCATTTTGATCGCTATCAATTCATGTAAAAAGCAGTGAGAAGCCTCGATGATGACAATTTTCCAAAAATCAGTGTTTCTGAATTTGGAATTTTCTCTGAATGAAAATGGTTTTCCACCATCCAATTTACGCCATATCCGGTTGAAAAAAATTTAATTGATAATGAGAAATTTAGACCTTTTGTTCGAGATCGAATAAACAAGAGAGGTTTACTGTATTATGTTTTTGCTTCCACGTGGAATCGTGTTGGAAAAATGCGGAACGTTGAATTTGGTGATTTTTTGCCAAAGCAGAAAAAAAAGGGTTGTATTCTGGTATTTTTGCAAATGGGTAAAATTGTGAAATTGCATTTTGTAAAATTGCATTATTGCAAACGTGTAAAAAATAAATGTTGTATTTAAATACCACATTACCTCATTTTTGTCAGCCTAATCATTTTGAAATCCAGGATTGAACCAAGCAGAATAAACTGGTGGAAAAAGATAAATTATTGGAAGAACAACTATAATCAAAGTTGTTCCACAAACAATTAATGTTGAACTGAAACTATATTTTCTGCTCAGCGGAGAAAGAACCCAATAACGGAAAATAAATTGAACCATCAGAACTGTTATTGACTGCAAAATGGAAATTACTTACGATTAATCGATTAATTTCAAAAAATTATTCGTCTATTTTTTAAAACCAAAATTTTAAGAATTTGGTTTTCTGAAATCGACAGTATACCAAAATTTCCTTGCCCCTTTTTAATAACCTGTGAATAAAAATATGTGTATATAACTAATAGAATTTTTCCGGTTAGAATATTTTCCCAGTTTTTATAGGAATAAAATACATAAACATCATCAACGAATGCAAAAGTCGGAATTGTAATCATATGAAAAATACAGTAGAACATATCGACCAAACAATAAACCATAATTAATATTTTCGATTTCTTGACTTGCTTCGTTTTCACAAAATAAACCAGAATAAAACTGAAAAGATTTGATAAAAGTCCAGTTATGCCGGATAATTGAGAATTCCATGATAATTATAATCGATTTGGAATTTTCATTTTTTCAGTCCTTCCTTGTTTTCTGTTAGGAATTTTTCATTTGCACAAATATTATAGTTGATACAAAAAATATAACTAGTTTATGTACACAAAAAATATATGAATATTAGTCAAAAATTGTTGAGCAGACAAACAGTAGATTCTGAAAATAATATGAATTATGAATTTTTAATTTCTTAAAAGAGAGTTAGGGGGAAGAAAAGTTAATGTAAAAGAAAGAGCACTTTTGAGATGGCATGAATATTGCTGGAACTCAAGAAAAATTCACAATCTTTTTACCAAGAGAGAATATTTCCAAACAAAACGTTAGTTTTTTCCTGATCCTCTTATTAATTTCGAGAGTGCTCTTTCATTCGAAACTGATTTTCTTATTCCTCCTCCTTCAAAAAAATCTTACCTCATTGAGACAAAAATGAAAGCAGTTGATAAAATGATGTGGAAAAAAGCGGATACCTGAAACAAAAGTTTATTTTTCCAAAAATTATCAGGATTTTGAAAACTAACCAATAAAACTTTATAAAAAATGTATTGAATCAAAAATCGTTGATTTTTCTTTGCATTTTTGAATAACTATTTTCCAATTTTTCGCATTATCCATACTTGATTTGTGTCCAAAAATAAAATTCAAATGTCTACTTCTCGATAATGCAACATTTATTCTTCGATTATCAATCATAAATTGACAATTTTTCATTGAAGTCGTTCGAGTTGTACAAATAATACAAACAGGCCATTCTCTACCTTGTCCTGAATCAACACTTCCAACATAAATGCCAGTTTTTCGACTCCAATCATAAAATTCATCCAATTGTCCTTTATAAAAACACAGAATGGCAATATCGGTTTTCTTGATATATTTTAATAATTTCTCGGCCAATTCTTTTGCCATTTTGGCTTCTTTGATATTTTTCAATGTTGTTCCAACTTGATCTTGAGATGATTTTTTAGTATCAATAAAAATGATGGGATATTTCTGAAGAGCTGCAACTTTCTTGAGACGATCTTCAGTTTCTACTTTTCTATGTTCACTAATAAGTGATGAATTGTAGAACAAATCTCCAAGAATCTTCGTAACTTCAGGTCGACATCGAAAAACTCGATTCAAAAAAACAGACGGAAGAAGATTTTTGGAATCTTCCAAAAAATTGCCGACAGCAGTGTTTCTTAAAAGTGGACTTGATTCTTTTTCACAATATGGTGCCAATTGTCGATGATCTCCAACAAATGAAATTCGCGAATTTGGAAAACAAAAAGCAACATGAAGAAGAGATTCTCGTGGTAATGTTGAAGATTCGTCGATTTGAATTGTACATACATCTTTCGAATATTCATTCCAATTAGTGTAAAAAGCATTTATAATTGATTGAACAGTTCCGACAATAATCTTTGGTTCTTTTTTCATCATGAAAAATGATAAAAGAAAAGATTCATCATATTCATCAGCGGAATAGTATATTTTTTGAATACTACTTGAAAAAGAAGTCAGATCTGGTACAATTGATCTACTTTTTAAGTACGAGAAAGCGTGCTTGTAGAAATCGTCGGATGATTCGCTTTCCTTTTTCAGACATTCAAGCAGCAAATCTTCTAACATTTTCGGATAATCGAATTTTGTCAAAACATCCGGATGCACTTCCAACATATTATTTTGTGAAATAATTCGAACAAGGCTTACATTTTGTTTGAGTTGTTCGATTTTTTCGATAAGTGCAACAACTGCACTATTTGTGATTGCAGTCACAATTTGAATCGATTTCGGATTGATATTTGATGAATAAAGGGCAGATGCAGCAATTGTTGCTGTTTTACCACATCCAAATGAACTTGATCCAATTAATGCACTAATTCTTTCATCGGCCATCAATTGTACATATCTTGTTTGCTTTTCGAGAAGAACAAAACTGCCAAATTTTATTGGAGGAATTTTTTCAATTTTTGGAAGTTTCAATGGTTTTCCTCCATAAATTGCTTGAATCAATCGATCTGAATTTGTTCCTTCTTTAATTTCATAATCCACAATTCTCGGCTTGAAATCAGGTTTTTGATAAACTGTTAAACTTTTTTCCTTGAATATCTTGAATATGGCTTCAACAGTTGGATGTAAGAAACTTCTTGCTTTCACTTCAAGAATTAAATTCGATTGTTTTACACTCAAAATATCAGCCGACGCTGTTTCTTTTCCATTTGAGATTTGAATTCGAGCAGATCTGTTCCATTTTTCAATTGGCGGAGCAGTCTTTTCACCAGTCAACAAAAACTTGAAATAAATATATGGCTTCGATACTTCATATGTTTTGATAGTAGTTTTGTACTTGGTCAAATCAATTTTTTGATTTTTGATGGAATGAATACCAATAGAACCATGTTGAACAACGATTTTCAATGATTGATATGCTGCTTCTCTTTGTGAATTCTTGAATGCGTTATTAAAATTATCAAAAATATTTTTGACAAAAAGTGGAGCCAGTCGAGCTTTCATAACAATCGGGCTCGGTTTCTCGATCAATAAAGGGTCTGCGCATAAATTTACAACTTCTTCACGATAATCGCGTTTCAATAACTTCAAAAACCGTCCGTGTGTTGTCCTTGGAACAAAAATTGATGCCATGAGCAGAGTATCAATCTTTGTTTCTTTTGGTGCAATTTTCTTTGGCAAACAGATGATTTGAACAAAATTTGAACCAACACAAAGAAAGTTGTTTTGCTCTTTTGTATAAGGAGATGTGATAACATTTTCGAAAACATCTCTTGAAAGCACAAAAAAACTCGAGACTTCCCAAAACAATTTTCCATTTTTGGTATCTTCGAAGGAAATTTCATCAAAACAAATCGATTCATTATCATACTTTTGTTGCAGTTTTTTAACACAGATAACATCTCCAATTGGATGATCTTCGTTGACAACTTTTCCATTATTGAGAATATCCATACTATTTTCATTGAGTTCGATAATTCGAAGATCGAATCTGTCATTGGCGACAACTTCGTTGTAAATAGGAGTTAATTGCATACAATTATTGTTTTTTGAAATAACTGAATATAATGCAAAAGGTCCAGAAGGAATTGTATCAGATGTCTCAAGTTTTCTTCGCTTATTCTTTGATTTATTTACACTTCTTTTCTCTTTCCACCAAGTTGTTCCAGATGAATTTCGAAATAATTGAATATGATCCAAGGTTATGTTTTTTAGCAAATTATGTTCGTTTTTTGAACACAGCTGATTATAGTAAATTTCCCATGGATGCGAATCGTTGATACCTGAAAGAATATTTTATAACAAATAAAACAACATTTTCACAAACCAATTGAGTCTAAACGTGCAACTGCTTCATTGGTCAATATGAAAAGTTCATCTTCATCATCTGAAAATTTAAGGATACTCACTAATGTTCTTATTTTTTTACTCACGTTTTGAAGATTTATCATCCAATATCAAACTTGCATCAATATCTCCTTTCATTCTTTCTGTAAAAATTGATATCAAACCTTGAAAATATTAATTTTTGATTACCTGGTTAATTTTTTGATTAATATTTACAGCAGAAGATGTACTGAAGTTATGATGATAGTTAGTCTGAAAACAATATTGATTATTTTTTCATTATTTTAATCAGCGTCTTCAAAACTTACGTTTCAAACTTAAAATTGTCACTGAATTGAAAACACTATCACAAAACCGTCTCGAATTTCTGAAATGTTAACATTATTCAACTGAAACTAGAAGTTTGTGGTGACTTTAAGTCGGTTAAAAACAAGAAATCAAAAAAGCAGAAAATGTTTCGTTAACTCACGTGTGTTGTGTGTTGTTTTCTGTGCGTGTTGCGGACTTGGTGACACACAGTATACATGTGTTTGAAAAAAAGAGATATATATTATCACAAGGGTAAAAACAGAACCTTTTCCAATGGAAAACCGCTGCTGCAGAAAAAATTCAACCCTCGCTCAAAGTTGGATTGGGCCTAAGTGGCAAGGTTCCGCACGCTTTTTATTGGTAGATCAAGAAATATTCTAAGTCTGAAACTCACAAAAAAGTTTAAAAATTTCAAGATTTTCATACAAACTCAGTTTTCAAAAATCATTTTGTTGTTATCAAGTGAATTTTTGGAAAAAACGAATTCCCCATTTATTGCTTCATTCCTCATCTATACGTGTGTTTGTTTGTGTTAAATTGCCGCCTTAAACTGAACTCTCAACTTTCATGAGTTCATGATTGCGTCTTTTTGCCGTAGAGCAAAACACTGTGTTTTTTCCCAATAGAAAAATGCAATTTCGAGGAGACGCAGACACTCGCTGGTCTCGACACGCTGTGTGTCTGCCACACACTATTTCTCTCCCTTTTTCGGCGAGAGATTTGTCTGCACACGTTAAAGTCTGCGTCTCCCTCGAAATGCAAAAAAAAATACAGTGAAAACGTTGACAAAAAATAGAAAAAAATGTAATGAAGTAGTTCTGGTTGGAAATCTTTCAAGATAAACATTTTATTTCAGAATGATTTTTGCATTTTCATTCAAATATGCTTGAAGCTTCTCGCGCAGTTTGTAAAAGTGAAATTTCCGCATCTTCACAATCGAGTACATCTAAAAATAATATTTCATTTTTGTATTTATCATTTAGAATAGAGGATCCGACCCAAAAATCAGCTTTTGAGCCAACGGTCTCTTCGGAGGGAAACGAATTGTCCGAAGAACTCAAACAATCCGCTATACTCCCCAAGCGCACCCGTGTCTAACCATTGTCTCTTACTCAGAGAATGGATTGAGTTATCTTCCTTTCCTCTGTCTAGTGTTTCTCTCTTATTCTCTCAAGGTCTATCAAACATGTCGCGGACACCCCACAGGCAGCGCACACTTCTATCTTCCTCATTGCAGCAAGCTCCGCCCCCATTATTTATTTTATTTTTTTTCAAAGAGGAAAGCTTTTTTTTTCGATTTTTCACTCACTCATTGGCATGCATTGTGTATTAATAATTGGTATTTTTTCTATTGATATTTCTTGAGATTTTTTAGGTCTCCATAATATTTTTTGAGCAATAAAATTGGCCATTTGTCGAATCCGAGCTTGTCCAAAATAGAAAAAGTGACTCGAAAAAACGTCCAAAATAAGAAAACATGGAAAATATCCGATTATGAAATAAAATGTTTTGACAGGCGCAATATCACCGAGTCCAATCAAATTCATGGAAATTATCGAGAAATAAATTGATGAAAAATATGAGATTTTCTCAATTATCTGAAATTTTTGAAAGAAAATTTTTTTGAAAATAGGATTCCAACTCACCGAAAAATAAACACTCGATAATAAAACTAATGTTAAACACGATAAAAATGAGCTAAGAAGAATCAAATAATCGCGGGTCCTAAAAAAGAGTTATTTTACTAGACTAGACTGTAGTCCGGAACAACAAAAAAAAACATATTTATAGAAACTTACCAATTCAAAAATTTTCCAATTTTATTTGAAACAAAAATCATCAAATAGGCAATATAAGTTCCAATTTCAAATTTGAATGAAATATAAACCGGAATAACTATACTTGAATAAATAATTGTCGCAATTTTTCCTACCGTACTTCTTGGATAAATATTACCGTAACCTACAGTACTATACAATGTCCAACAATAAAAAAATGCACGCGAAAATGTATCGATTTTTGAGGCTCTGCTTTTTTTTTTTGAAGAAAAACGAATGAATAGTTCATCAAAATATTTCCAGAAACTCACTTTTTCAAACAAATATCGAGATTTTCAATTGTTTCAAAATTTTTGAGACATTCCGAATGGCTGAAATCATCATGATTTTTATCGTCTTCGAAATATTCAGCCAGCAAAAATATAAAAGCACCAATAAAATTCAACAAGATCAACAAATTTCCAACAATAATTAATACGAGAATTTTTTGAAGATTTTCAAATTTTTTCTGAGTTTTCGAACTCATTTCGTTTGAAAATGGCATACTTTTACTATCCGATTCAGTTGATTCAAAACTACAACTTGAGCTAAAATCTTCATATTTATCATTCTGAAAAATATGAATATTTCAGATTCAAAAAATAAACCAAACAAACTTCTTGTAACATTTGCATAATTATAAAATTGAAAAATGATTTTATTTTTCATTTTCTAGGTAAACGTGAACACATTTTCAGACCAGACCAGTATATTTTCACGTAGAAAAAAAAACAAATTATTGAGTTTTCATTTCATCTTTTTTCACTGAACCCAAAGGATCGCAACTATCTTCATCCAAAGCTTGTCTTTCGTGTCCAAAGAATCCATCTGATTTGGCCATTGCAATCTGAATATAATTTTATTGATGGATTTTGAAAAATAAAAAAAAACTAACAGTCAAATGGGTATTGTGATATTCCAAAAATGACAATCCACCAACCAAAAAAGTGCGCAATAAAAATGGAACTTTGTAATCTTGAACCAATAAATAGAAAAGAAGATAACAAACTGGCAAATGTCTGAATAAGAATAAGCACAACATATTTGCATTAATCAATGTATCCATAAAATCAGATTGTTTCTTCGATCCATAAGCCAAGCGGACCATTGTTCGAAGATGAAGGAATATTGTTTGAACCTTTAAATTTGTATTTTATTCTAAAAATCAATAAATCAATCAAACCTCAACAAGTAAAGCAATCATTGCTAATCCAAATAATCTTCCAGTCAATAAAATAATCGAAAATGATATGATAACCAGTGAATGATGAATAAGATATTCTTTTGAATTATCTAATTCTCCATGAATATACATATCAACAAGATCGTAGATAAAATAACCCATTGAGAAAAGGAATACATATTCAGCATTTTGTTTATGATAATCATATGGTTCACGAATATAATTTATATCAGTAAGAAGAGAAAAAAGGCATCCAAGTGCCGATATTAAAGCATGTGTGAATGAAACAACACGAACTGTGAAGAGGCGAACCTGAAAATGCATATGATTAAGATTTTAAAAATTGATATTTCCAATTTCCATGACCAAAAAATTATCTGATTTTTAAGATGTACAGGTTTTGTTTTCGATACGAAAAATGAATTTCCTTTTTTTGTTTCTCTTCCGATTCCAAACAAAATTATTTCTTCTCTATAAAATATTCTATGAAATTCCACGTTTCGTGATCGAAATTCGTAATTTTCTTGACATAAGAAAAATAATTTGATTTTGTTAACGATCAAATTGAATTGCCTTCCTACTGTAAAATTTTTGTTGTTTTGTTTCCAGAAATGTGTCACATGGAGAACTATGACCTTTCTTTTTTTCTTTTCAAGAGAACAACTGTTCAAATTCCAGAAAAAAGTATCGAATATCAGAAAAAAACTGAAAAAAATATAATTTTCATGTTTTTCAAACAAGGAACTAGATTATAGTTATAGAAATGTTTGGAGCGAAAACAAATGATTTTTTAATCCCAAAAAGACCGACCTTATTTTCACTCCAATCTTTATGCCATTCTCTAACAATATGTCGAGCAACCAAATATTCACATCTCAAAATTGCTGAAACTGTACCACAAAACACCAATTTGTTCATGTTTTTCCGGCCCTTCTAAAATCAAATAAATAAAAACGAGAAATGACGAAAAATGGAAACGAAAAAAAGATTATGAGGTGGCGATTTCACGCGAAGGTCAAAATAAAAATGGACAAAAAAAACTAGTTTTTGAAAATGGAAAAAAAGGTATTTTGTGTATTAGAATTCTTGATGTCTGTAGATTGTGCGGCAAAAAAGACAATTAAATGAAATAAGAAAGTCGGTAAGTATTAACATGTGATTGATTGATAGGTTGCTTATCTAGACATTATTGTTCAAGTATGTTTAGTTTGATAAATAAGTTAGGTTAAACTACAAAAATATATATTTGAATACTTAAAAAATATTTTCTCAGAACTAAGCCTTTAGTTTTCTCGTTTTCTCAAATATATTTGTTTTGCGATCAGCTTTTATATCAGATAAAGAAAAAGTCACGTGGGAAGATGAAATTCTTTTTTTTTCAAAAGAAAAAAAGAAATCGAAAGTTATGAATGTAAGGCTGATTTATTGACAACCAACACTTTTTTGAAAAAAATCTGTCTCTGGAATAATATAATGGGGTGATTCAGGTAGAAGAAAAAACATTTTGAAAACGTTTTTCACAAAAAATTGATTCAGAAATTGTTCAAAATTTGATTTTTTTCATGGAAAAAATTGAAAAAGAACATTGTTATTGACATTTTTTGAATCTTAATTTAAAAAAATTGACCATGTTTTTTTTACCTCAATCACCTGATAAATAAATAGGGGAAGACTAACATTTGTGAGAAATGAACACTGAAAAAACTTTGACGTAATAAAAAAAGCCAAAGATGATAAAGTGCAATAGAAAAGTGTCTTTTGTCTGGCAAAAGAATGTCTTCAAAAATTCTTTTTTATTTCAGTTTTTGTTTTGTTTTAAAAAAGAAGGAAAAAAACAGTTGTTGAAATATGACGATTGCAAAAAAAAAGAAAAGAAAATGTTGCGACAACGACAAAAAATCGAATGATGTTACAAGCATTGTATTGTATCACATCACAAAAAGATAAGCGGAAAAATGTTGGAAAAACTTCCAAAAAATCGATGATGTTTGTTTTATCCAAAGAAATGTGGTTACACCGAACATTTAACGGTTGAGTGTGCAAAAAAAAGAGAAGAACAAATATAAACTAGAATTTCAAAAAGAAAAAAAACGTTGTTCAAAAAAAACCAAACAAAAAACTCAACAATTAATAAGAAAAAAACTCAACAAGAACAAGGAATAACTATTGTCTCCACAATTTTAGAACTTTATCTTTTCCACCGCTCACAACTTTTGTACCTTCTGGACTCCAATCAACTGTATAAACTTCATCTCCATGACCAGGCAAATCATAGTATAAACTTTTTGTGCGAAGTTCGAATACTTTGAGAGTTGAATCAGCAGAACCAGAAACAATTAATCGACTGTCAGCGGACCATGAAACTTGGTAGACTGGACCAACATGACCTCTGAAAAATAATGTTTTTGTTTAATTCGTGAATAATATTAGAACTCACCTCAATGAAGCGATATATTTTCCAGTTCTTCCACACCATAATTTCACAGATTTATCGAAAGATGCCGAAGCAATATATCTAGTATCCGGTGAAAAAACAACTTGATTAACTAATTGCATATGTCCAGTCATTCTAGCAACTGATTGTTTTGTTTCGGTTGGATTCCATAAAAACATTGTGAAATCATCTGATCCACTAACTAATCGTTCTCCTCCAGCTGTTTTCATTGCCAAATCATATCTAGCTTGTGCAATTTTTTGTGATTCTTCGAGTGTTTCTGGACGAATACAACGTTTGCTAGGCTCAAAACATGAAGTTCTCAAAGCATAATCAGTGTTAAGAGCAAGTGTATTAATCCAATGAGCATGTCCACCCATACTTCTACACATAACACCATCATCAACTCTCCACATTTTAACAGTTCGATCTTGTGATCCAGAATATAAAAGACCTTCACCTCCCCATCTGATACATGTTACAGATGCTGTATGGCCACTCAAACATCTAACAACTGCTCCTTTGATAACATCCCATATGAAAATATTTCCATCTTTTCCAGCAGAAGCTAATAATCGACAAGTTGCATCTTTATGCATTGGTTGCCACGCTAAACTTGTAACCCATTGTTTGTGTCTTGACAATGTTTTTCCTATTTGTTCTCCAGTTTTAGCATCCCAAATATTGATTTGGCCATTTTTGCAAGCTGATGCGATTTTCAATGCATCTGGTGACCATGCAATACTTAGAACCCAGTTTTTGTGTGCTTTCAATGTATATTTTGGGAGTTCTAATTCAATATCCCAAATTCTCACAGTTGTATCACCAGATCCACTTGCTAATCCTTTTCCATCTGGACTAAATTGGGCTGAAATAACAGGTTCTCCGTGTCCTGGAATACTTGCTGAACATCTTGTAACTGGTCGAACTCGGAAAACAGCCTGTGGTTGATAAACGAGTTTGAGTGTTTTTTCGAAGTCGATTTTCTCAACTGATTTTTGAATTGAATCTCGAATCTCAATTCCATCGTCGGTAAAAAATGAAATAGGAACAGGATCTTCGCTGAAATTGTTAAAGCAACTATATAAAGTAATTCTATGAAGAAATAACTAACCTGTTCTCTAACAACTGATTACATAAAATTTGCAATTCGTTTGTTGAAATATCAATCGGAACCAAAATTCCAGCTCCTCCCAATTCTTTTCCATCTTCGCCGAAAAAATTAACAGAAACTTGTGGAGCCTCCACTTCTTCTGTCATTTCTGGAAAAGCAGTTTATTTTGCAAATTTAGGGAAATTCAAATAATTCGAATTTAAAAAATAGTTCAATTGAATAGGAGAGAGAAAAGAAAGTGGAGAAAACAAAAAACATAATTGGGTTTGAAGAGACGCAGAGATAAAGAGAGGAGAGATAACACAAACTGGAGAGACGGAGGATTTGTGTCAGGGCGCGCTTGCTCGCACGCACATTATTTTTTTATTTTTCAACTTCTCAGAGAAGTTGGACGATTAATCGCCTAGTAACTTGAATTAGCTGCTGGCTAACCGATTAATCGCCTGTGTTAATTTAGTTCAGGCGATTAATCGTAAGTTCACTTTACTCGGCGATTAATCGTCCAACTTGTCTGAGTTTCGAAAATTTTGCGACAATGAAATTCTTTGAAAACAGAAATTTTGGTGTTTTATTCTGATATAAAATTTTTCCAGAAACATGCCTCCAGCTGTGGTTTCAAATCGAGAGGAAGACTCTATGAACAATGAGCCTTCTTTGTCGGGTAAAACCATAATCGGTCTAATTTATCCACCACCAGATATTCGAACAATCGTTGACAAAACAGCGGCATTCGTAGCCAGAAATGGAATCGACTTCGAGAATAAAATTCGTGAAAAAGAAGCACAAAATCCAAGATTCAACTTTTTGTCGATGACAGATCCTTATAATGCATACTACAAAAAGAAAGTACACGATTTTGCGGAAGGAAAAACTGAAGCACCAAAAGCAGCTTTGCCAACAGCAGTTAAAGAACATGTGAAAAAGACTGAGTTTATTCCGAAAAATCCGCCGCCAGCTTTCGAATTCTGTGCAGATCCATCAACTATCAATGCATATGATTTGTAAGTATCTGTGAAATATTTGTTTGTTTTCAAATTTAAATTTTTATTTTCAGAGATCTCATTAGAGCAACAGCTTTATTCGTAGCTAGAAATGGACGACAATTTTTGACACAACTTATGACAAGAGAAGCCAGAAATTATCAATTCGATTTTCTCAAACCAGCTCATTCAAGCTTCACATATTTTACAAAACTCGTTGAGCAATATACAAAAGTAATTGTTCCGGCAAGTAATATTATTGATCAATTAAAAGAAGAAGCGACAAATAGAAAGAAATTGATGGAAGATGTAAAATATCGAGTTGCATGGGAGAAACATCAAAAAAGTCTGAAAGATAAAGAAGAAGCTGAGGCACAAAGAGAAAGTAAAGAATATGCACAAATTGATTGGCATGATTTTGTTGTTGTTCAAACTGTTGATTTTCAACCAGGAGATTCTTGTAAGTTTCGAAGCGAATTATATGTTTTTCTTACATCTACATTTTTATAGCAAAACTTCCACCACTTTGCACTCCAAATGATGTTGGTGCAAGAATTTTACTAGAAGCTCGAAGTGAACAACAAAAAGCTGCTGCAGAAATGCAAGAAATGGATATGGAAGATTCAGACAGCGAAGGTGAAGAGGAACAAATGGAAAAAGAAGATGTTCCATTCACAGCTCCACTTCCACCAACAAAACAAAAAGATGTTATTGTTAGAGATTATGATCCGAAAAAAGCAGCAGCTCAAAGAGGAGCAAAACCATCAGAAAAATGGCTTATTTCACCACTTACTGGAGAACGAATTCCATCTGATAAATTGGATGAACATGTTCGATATAATACAGTCGATTCACAATACAAAGAAGATCGAGAAAGACATTTGGGAGAACGAAGTGCTGAAGAACCAGTATTGGCAGTTGGTGCAGATATTTCGAGAAATTTGGGACAATTCGCTGAACGTCGTACTGATATTTTCGGAGTTGGTGGAGAACAAACACAAATTGGTAAAAAATTGGGTGAAGATGAAGATAGTTCAAGTGGACAATCAAATAAATTGATTTGGGATGGAACTGAAGAAACACGTGAAATGATTACACGTGCTGCACAAAATCAAGTTACAATTGATCATCGACAAGATCCGAGTAAAGATAAAATTGGAGCACATGTTCCAAAAAGTACAACAACAAGTGGAAATATTACAATCACTCAAGGAATTGCTTCGAAAAATACACATGTAAGTTATTTTTCTTAGAGGCTTTTATTTTTCAAATTTTTTTTCAGAAATTGCCGCCAAATGAAGATCCACAAGCAAAACGGAAGAAAACCGAAGAAGAAGAAGAAATATGATTAAGTTTATTTATTTTTTGTTTCAATAAATACATTTTACACTGATTTTTTGGACTTGGGCAATGGCGTCAATTTTCGCTGCGGGATATCAGACTCAAGAAATACTTTTTGTGTCTGAAATATTTTATTTATTTTTTTTTTTGAAAAAAAAACATTAAAAACAAACCTCTGTGTGAAGTTTTTTCAATTTATCCCACGAAGTTTTTGAATCTTCCGAAAAATTTAGTAAATGCTCACAAATTTTTTTTACGTGAGAATCTCCAAGATTTCGGTCAACTTTCGAATAAAATTCTTCCATTTTTCAAAGAAAAGAGAAAGGTGGAAAGCTATTAAATGCGAGTTTTTAAAAAGAAAATCTCTTGGGGCGGTGCTATTTTTCGATGTTTTTGTGTGTGCACAAAATTGGATTAGACAAAGGATCAAAAACAATTTTTCATTTTATTTTTTGTAGATGGAAAAAACACAAAATATTTATTATTAAAAAATGTGAGACTGTGGAGGAGGAGCTGGTTGAGTTGGATTGAAAACCGGGGGAGGTCCATGTGGTGCTAAAACCATTTTCTTTTCTTTCAAAGCTTCCGACAGAATCCAATACGGTAGAGGAACCTTCAAAAATAACAGAAAAATAATAAACAAAGTTTTAAATCAGATAAAACTTACAATAGGCGCATTATGGTCTGGTTTTATATGACAAGGTGCTGCACGTTTTCCCCATTTGATGAAAAGTGGATCTCTTTGATCGTAAACACTTTTAACATTTCCCCATAAACTTGGTGGAGGTCCTGTTGCAACTGCACCTTGTTGTGGTGGTGGTTGTTGATTAATTGCTGATCCAACAGCTGAAGCTGTTCCAGCCATTACAACATTCATTACTTCTCGAATAACTACATCAGCATTTACGGAATTATCTGATATTACTGAAAAAAAAGGGGAGTATAGTTTTCGAATATGGAAGTTGTTATCTTTACCGTAAATTATCATTCTAAAAAACTAACCATGTTGTTGTTGTTGCTGCTGCTGCTGATGTTGTTGCTGCATAAATTGATGATGAGCTTGTGCTCTTTGCTGCATTTCAGCTTGTTCCATAGCCTTTTGATGATGTGCTAAATATGCTTGCTGTGATTGTGCATATGCTGCTGCTGCTTCAGCTTCTTGTACTTGACTTTGTGCTTCACGAATAGCTTCTTTTCGCCTTTCGGCTTCTTCTGCAGCTCGTATTTTTATCGTGTTTCTTCTTCTTTCCACATCTTTCTCCCAATCTTCAAAATCTTTTACATAAGCATTATAAGGCGCTGTTCCAACTGAGCTACGATTCCGCTCTTTCCATTGTTCGAACTGTGCTTTATAGTCTCGATATTGTTTTTCTAATTCTTCTTCTTGATTCACAGTTTTCTCCATATCTATAATGGTTAAATTAAAACAAAAGTTATGTGATTCGAGTAAACGTATAAACAATTACAAAAACGCATATAATTCGTAGAAAACTGAAAACATGGGTTGCTGCAAAAAACTGAAAATGAATTTTTTTGACAAAATAAATCTTTTGGCCGCGTGGCCGACAACGCTACAATTTCTAGGCCATTTCTTGTTTGCATCCAAATTTTATTATTTTTTGCGAAGAAAACGTGGACTAATTAACAATGTGTTTTGGATTTAATGTCAACAATGTAATTACAGATTATGCCGCCACGAGTTTTAGTAAATTCACAACCTCTCAAAAAATGCGTTGTACAAGGAGCAATTGCAACAACTTCTTCTATCGATAACTTTCTGAAAACATCAGGTAAAATTCTTTAAAAATACTTGAATCATTGTTTTATTGTAGATAATGCGATATTTGGTGTTGTCATTTGGATTAGAGAAAATACAATTGGCGAAGTTTTAGTTCAAGAAAATTTCGAAGATATAAATGTTCATTTTGTGTTCAATTCATCAACACAAATAAGATATGGAGAAAACAGTAGTCAACTTGGAATTGGATCATTAGTTCAAATTGGCTGGGAGAAAAAGTTAACATCCAGAACAGATGAAAATCATGTAATTGTATATATAGAAAAAATGAGTGTTTTTGAATGTCTAACAATGATAAAATCGGAAATATTTATTGTACATAATTCTCAATCAATGGCTGGTGTTTCAATTGGAATGACTGAGGTAATTAATTTTTATTTAAAAAAATAATATTCATCTTTTTTTATAGCAAGACGTCGAAGTTGTTTTTCATCCATCATGTTCTGCTGAAATTCGATGTGAAACATATCAAGCAACTCGCGAAAACTTGACAGAATTTAGAAATAGAACAAAGTTTGTAGGTTGGTTTTGCGAATTTCAAAAAAGTAATAATAGTTTTCAGCATTCTTGTGAACGTGTTAAACAAATGGTGAATGCATGGATGATTGTTGCACCATTTACAATTGATTTGTCAGGAAGTTTTGCGAATATTCGATTTTTTGTTGTTGAGAAAATATCAAGTGGTAATGATCATGAAGAAAGTGCTGTAATAACTAATGTTAGTTGAAATTATTTTTTCCTTCAAATTAATTACTTGATAATTTTTCTTAGATTGTTCGAAAAATGTTTATGGAAGCAAAATATTTATCAACTCCCGAAAGTATATTTTTCAATACAAAAGCTTGTCATTCAAATATTCTTGTAAGTATTTTTTAAATTTACTTGTCTTAAAATATTCCTAATATTTTAAGAATCAATTTTCTGTTGGGTCAATTGTTCGAGTCAAATCTTCCAAAACATTTGAATCATCAAGATATCATAGATATGGATATGATGTAACTATTGAAAAATATCGAAAAAATAGCATATGTAAAAAGAAAAATCACAATTCAATTATTGAAGAAAATTATAAGAAAAGTGAGTTTCGTTTGAATTAGATATATTTTGAATATATAATTTTTATCAGATGATATAAATATTTTGGAACATTCAAAAAATACGCTTGAAGATAAAGATGATATTGTTGATATAAAAGAGCAGAAATCGGATGCAAAAATTGTGGAAATAAAGAATAATGATAGTTATGTTCCATTGAATACAGCTGGAAAAAATTTCAAAATACGTTATCATTTATTGGATGGATGTAAACAGTAAGTTTATTTATTTTCGTTTTCAAAGCACAGAAAAAATATATTCGAAATATTTTCAGGAACTTGAATTCGTATGAAGTACCATTTATTTTGGAATCATATCGAGATCCTTATTTGAATATTGATTTCGATGAATTTTCAGTGAAGAAACCGAAAATGATTTTCGAAGATATTGAAATGAAGAATCGAATTAGAAAAGCTTTAGAAATACACAATCTTTTGAAAGATGATTCAATTATTGAAAATGTACAAGTGAAGAAGAAGAAGATACCACAAATTATAAATGAAAAAATGGAATATTTTCGAGAAGAAAAACGAATACCAAAAACAAGAAAAGAATTTAAGCTTGAAAAAATTGTTGAAGTACTTGGAACAATTCATAAATCAAAGGTTTTTTTAATTTTAAAGTAATTTCGAATAATTAAATTTCTTCAGATTCTCGAAGAGAAATTCGTTTTACCGGATACAAATTGGAAGCCAAGAGAAAGAAGAGTTGTTGGACTTTTTGATAATTTACAATGGGTTTTGATGGGAACATTTGTATTGTCAAAAGAAGAAGTGGAAGAAATGCAAGATGTTGAAAATGAAAGTCCAAGACAACTTGCTGGAGGGGTTCGTTTTATTAATTATTTTATTTTTAATTTCTGATTTTTATAAATTAATAATTTCAGTGGTGGTATCGTCGAACAGTTCCAAGAGAATATCCAATACAACATGTTGAAACTCTCAAAACTAGTCGAAATATTCTCGAGGATTGTACAAAGAATCTAGATTTTTAATATCAATAAAGTTTTATTTTCAATTTTCTTTCTATTTGGAAGTTAATTTTTTTACTGGGTTCTACAAGCCCATATATATATTTTTTTTTTTCCCAATAGACTATACAATATTTAAATTCATATCAGATGTCAAAAAGTGAACGAGATGGTTTAGTTCAGGTGAGTTTTCCTCGCTATTTGAATTTATCATTTTTCTTGTTGTTTCCAGATTTGCTGTGATTATCTTGGAATATCAAAAATTGATCAAGATGCAAAAAACTTGGTGGAGCATTTCGTTAGTTTTTTTTTTGAATTCATTATTAGAACTCTGAAAACCCCGCTGTTTTCAGAATAAAGAATTTATAAGAAGAACAATTATTTTGGCCAAAAAATGGGCGAATAGATCAGGGCGAAGTAAATTACAACCATCTGATTGGACAAATGCTGTTGCTGCACTTCAAAAGTCTGAATTTGCTGTAAGTTTTCACCAAATTCTGATCTCATAATGTATATTTTCATTTTATAGAAGTCAGTTTTTCCTCTTCTCGATACATTCAATCTCGATATTGATAATCTTCATCCAATTCCCGGAAGTTCAAATTTATATGCGAAACCAAATCGAGAAATTGAAATTGATCCAAATGGTAAAACTATGGGATCAAATAATATGCCAATACAAGAAAGAATTCGATCATATTTTCTTGTAACTGATGGAAATCTTTCGAAATCTGCATATACTTTAAATTTATCAGAAGAAGACATTGATGATGAAGAAGATATGAAACCAGAAAAATTCACAGATCATTCAGTTAAATTTGATACATCGGCTATAAAAATGTATCAACAATCACTGAAAACTAACAAAAATGAGCAAATTGTTGGACTCAAACCAAATGTTGTTGAATCATTATCTATGGTATGTTAATTTCATTTAATTTATGTAAATAACTGAAAAATTTCGATATTTAGGAACAACAAGCATTTATGAGAGAATTTTTGAATACAAGTCTGACAGCGGATGATAAAAAGAGACAAGAAGCATTGAGATCACTTGAAAAAGATGCAAGTCTTCAACAAATGATACCTCATCTTGTACAAATTATTCAAAGATGTGTGAGTGTTTTGAATTTGTTATATTATTCAAAAAATCCATTTATTTTACAGATAACTGCAAATATTGCACAAAAATGTCTTAGTTTGATTATTTATGGTTGTCGAACTCTAAGATGTATTTGTATAAATAGATCAATTGATTTATCAATGCATCTTCATATTCTTCTTCCTCTTTTACTTACTTGTATTATTGGAAGATCTGAAGATATTTGTATTCGACCAGAAAGTGATAATCATTGGGTTTTACGAGATTATGCAACTAAAACTCTTCTTCTAATATTTAAAAATCATATTCGTCCTGAACATTTGCCAAATTTGAAACTTCGTGTATATCAATATGTTTATAATGTGATTCGAAATGAGAATTCGTCACCTGCGGCAATGTTTGGAGCTGTTCCAGTTTTGAGTGAATTTGCTGAATATGAAAATATGGAAAGTTTGGTGCATATTTTTAGCGAATTGGCAAATAAGCATCGAGATATTCATAATGATAATATTATGAATCCACATTTACAAACTATGGCATTGGATTCATTGAGATTACATCAACAAATTGTGGTACGTTTTTGGGTTTTTGGAATTATCGGGATCAGGTCGAAAAATACATAAAAATGTATTTTTTTCAAAATAAAGAATTAGTTTTCGTGTTTTTTCTACCTGAAATATCCCATAAAATCACTAATTCCTTGTATTTTTGTCAGAAATATGATGCAATTGTACGAACACGTTTGGATAATTGGAAGGAGAGAAATTGTATCAAATAAATTAATTTAAATCAATAAAAATAAATAAATAATATGAAAAAAGGGGGTTTTCAACATGAAACATGTCTTTCTTTGACAAGCTAAATCGCTAATCACCCAAAACAATTAAAGGAACATGCTTATCTACTTGTTTTGATTTATTTTCCATTTCGATTACGAATTTGTTCAGCCTGTGATGAGATTTCGTTGATGAAGTTCTTGAATGCATTTGGATCGCGGAGACATTTTTGTGATTTATCTTGCAAATGATATTTACAAACATCAACCCACAAACGAGCACATCCCAATTTTTTGTCTTTTCCGTCAGTGAACGAAAATGTCAACCAATATTCATTCTGCAAAAAATAACTTGGTGAGGTTTATATTTTAAAGAGAGGACACTTTTGAAAATGAATTTTAATTTGGAAAAAAGAGTGGAACTATGTGCCCCGTTTCATTAAAAACATATTGAGAAATTTGAATTGAATTTTGAAATTCGAGAAAAACCCTGAGATTTTGTTTGTGCAATGAACAAATCTTCTAGAGAAATACCCAATGCAGATTTCGTGTTTTGAGACAACGCATGGGAGAATGATTTTTCAATTTTTTATGAAAATTCAGAATAGGTCTCGAAACGCCATATCGCTTTATTGGATTTCTTTCAAAAAACCTATATGCCTCTCTCGAGTTACTGTGTGAAAAACTATAACATATCATAATCTACAGTAACCCCTGGAAGATTTTTTTATTTTGAAACACTACAGTAACCCTAAATAAAATCTACGTGACAAACCCAAATTTAATTAACATACCGATTGAAGTGGTCCGAAGAATGATTTTGGCAAATCTTCACTAGTGAAAACTTTCGAAAAAGTCATAGTCCAATGTCCTTTTGGTGGTGGACATAATTTGTTTTGTTTCAAGAAATCAAGAGCTTTTCTATCTTTAACATATTTATGTGCTCCTTTAACAGCTTCATTACATTTATCCAACATATCACAATATCTACATGATCCAACTCCATCACATCCATCAATAATATTCCATCCTTGACATGGAATAACTTGCCATCCTTTTGATCCTTGTTTATTTGTTACCGCATGACGAACCTCCAAATCCATTTCGATTTTTTCGATTGGCAAATCTTCGCTAACATCCATTGTAACATTGAAGAAAATTGGACCCGGGAAACGTGGATAATCTGGCCAAATTACGATATTTGACACATTTACGACATAGTTTGTCCACTGAAAAACATTTTATCTTTTGATGCAAAAAATGTGTGTTAGTTCCAAAAATCAAATTTGAACCCAACGTCATTTTTGTTCGTCAACAGAAAAAAATGATATGAGATATGATATCTCGTCATGCGACCAGCGATCAAATACTAACAAATTCTGATTGCTAAACATATACTGGAATAACAAATTGGACAGGAAAAGAAACAACATTCTACAAATGGAACTCCCCACTCTAAAATTGATGTGGTCCTGATCCGAAATTTATTGATGTGGTCCTAGCCTCCGGTCCTACTTGAATTTCTAGTATCTGCCTAAATAACTGACCTGTTCACTAGCACATCTACTGAATTGCCATCCTCGAATAACAACTCCGTGTGGACCAGTTTGATATTTCTCCCAAAATGGTTGAACTCCAGGAACTGCCTCTTTCCAAGCTTTTGTTAATGGATTTTGTGAAAAAACAGACGAAAATGTGACAAGTAAGAGGATACCCGATCGAATCATACCTTCAAAAAATCAACAAATATTTATGGAAAATTTGAAGATGAAGAAGAAGAAGAAGAAGAAGATAAATCTAGAAACGCCGATATCATTTATGGCCATAAAAAAGGGAATATGTAGAAGATCAGAGAAGACTCGTTTTGTGGAAGGGCAAGTTTTTTTTTGGATATGGATATGAATATAATGATGAATGATTATGAAAAATATATATTCATGATATTTATTTATGACTCATTTTTTTTTAGAAATATAGATTTGAAACAAAAACTTCCTTCTTCGCCTCAGAAATTTTCAATCTAATCTAGAAATTTCTAGACCTTTTTGTTCAAGAATTTAAGTTCCACCATAATTTTCCATTTCAAAGTTTTGTGACTCAATTTTAGACTGTCTAAACTAATTCCAAAAAAAAAACTCGTAGATCAAAGTTTTCATGTGAATTTTGACGCCAAAATATAACAATTTGGTTACTGTAGCTTTGCCACACACATTGTTTATCTGGAAAATATTAGTCTCAATTTTGGTTGAATCAGAATCGAAAAATTCAGAAAAAAAACCCAATTTTTTAATAGAGAAGAGAAGATCAAATCGTAATTGGAAGTGAGAAATAAAAGAACTAAACGATCAACAAAAAACTGCCATGCCAAAAAGCGGCCCAAAAAAAGATAAGACGAACGAAGAAACAAGAATATTATCATGTTGTATCCAGTATTTTCAAGCCACTGTCCGGTTATTATACAAAGATCGAAGAAATATATGATGATGATGATGAGGATGAAATAGGATAGAGAAAAGAAAGAGAAGAAGAAGAAATAGATAGACTAATCTGGGTCACGGCCCCCATTTGAGAATGATTTGTCTATTCAAGGGCATCAAAATGAAAACGACAAAAATTGAAGAAGATAATCGAAACATCAATAGATTTTTGTAGAAATAAATAAATACTCTTTCATTTATAACACATGTTTTTTAAAGAAAAAAATCATAGATAAATAAATAAATAAGTAAATATAAATAAATATTCTGAAAAAAATCTACAAAATACCGTTTTTTGGATCATTAATACTTTGTTGTTGTTGCTGTTCCTGCTGTTGTTGTATTATTTGTATTGTTGCGAAGAAGTGATGAATCGGTTGAATAAGTTTTACATTGTGGACACATCCAGGTTACTGAACCGCATGTGTTGCTTGATTTGCATCTGAATACATACACTGGATCATTCAAAAAGGAATTTAAATACAAAGTTTTTTTTTCATTTCATACCGGAAAATTCAAACGGATATGTTTGGAAAAAGGTTTGAAAATGTATTCAAAAAAATCTTGATTTAGCGAAAAATGTTCGAAAGTGGAGTCAGAAGGTTACTGTAGAATAAAACTTATGAAATTTGAATAGAAAGTCAAAAAAAACTTGATCTTGAAACAACAGTTTTGAAAGTAATCATCGAAATTTTGATTAACCGAAAAATTGTATAGTTGAGTCAACCTTTGATGATATAAAAAATGATTACCTTGAGCAATGATGTGTTTGCAATCCTGGATTCTCTAATAATATTCCTAATCGATCCATCATTGCAGCTTTTGCACGAGTTGAAAGACAATCATCTGCAAATTATTTAAAATTTGGATTTTGACAGAAAAAATAAAAATTACAGTACCCAAAAGACACGAGTTTCATCAAATTGTGGGAATAATTAAAGTTTTTAAACGATGTCTGTAGTACAACTTTTTTTTTAAATTTAGTGCGAAAAAATTACAGTAATTCATTTTTGTTGAAAAATAATTTAATTTGTAGCGATTTTTTCAAAAACGTTAAGTAAACTTAACTTTTATAAACCCCAATTTTTTATATTTATTTTTTCCCGATAAAATAAAACTTACAAGTAGTTTGTTGTGTCATTTGAATGAGATGTTCAGGCCTTTGAACCATTTGAAGGCACTGTGGTAACATTTCATGCAAAAAACATCGATCCAAAAGTGATAACCTAACAAATACAGATAATTGTGTATGAGGAGATAATAATAAATTAGCACATTTTCTCAATAATGCAGGCGATTCCATTTTACAAGCCGACATTAATATTGGACCAATATTCGTTTCATTAATTCTTAATTGTGGCGGATGAATTGCCATCAAAAATGCTTTCAGTTCTTCATGTGAACAAGGACAAAACATTTCTTCAACACCGGAAGAAGTTGTACATAACTTTTGTTCGAATACATTCGACCAACATGCCATATAATATGGATTCACATAATAAACTCGACCTGTTTTTGCTCGAACTGCAGCAAAATTAATATCTGATGCTCTGTTATATTGTTCAAGATCAAGAGGTGGTTCAAGTATTTCTTCTGGTGCTGCTGAACCATGAAGTCGTTCAAGAAGTAATACTTTGACACGATCAGAAAGTGCATAATATCGAGATCCATTCAAATCAACTTTACTATTTGGCCTCATTTCTCGAAGACATAATACTAATAATCGATTTAGTTTGTACCTGAAATTTAAAACTTTTATTTGAATAAAAAATTGAGATGTTGTAGGCCGGTCTGCCATTTATTATATAAATCTTCATCAATAATTCCAAAAAAGGTTCCCTTATGCACTTTTATTTTTCAAAAAAAAATTTTTTTCCAAAAACGGAATTTGTTGTGGCCAAATTACATAGTTTTCTCTTGAGAATATATGTTCCCTCTCTTTTTTCCCTTCTAAACTGACCTATCTGCAATCCAAACTTTTTCTAAAAATGGCAATGTGTGACTTATCAAAAAACATTCACATCTATGAAGTAATCCTTCCATCTGAAAAAATTAAAATCATTTTCCATAAAAATCTTCTTGAATTGTCTTACCTGATAATCATAAGCTAATGGTAATAAAATATGAACAGATTGATCATCGACTGCTTTATAAGTTGGATGAATACATTCTAACATTTCAAGAACATGTTCATATTGAACATTTGCTAAAATTAATTCCCTATCCGGACATTCAACACACCAAGCACGCAAAACTGGAGACCAAACTGATATATAATGTTCATCTACATATAAACGACGATTTTCGACTAGAAGTGGACGCGTTCGCTGCAAAAGATGATCTTGGAATATTTCATTATCTAGATGATGGAAAAATTGGATTTTTTGAACCTTGGGATATCAGAACCTAAGTTTCCATTTTTCCTCCACTTTATTGAAACTAATATTCATTTTTTTTGGAAAATGAAGATCAAAACTACAGCCTTCGATAGCTAATCGACTTTCCAAAATAAATATTACTTTTTTCACAAGTTTTTTTTTTGAACGTTTGAATGTTTTCATTTTAAAAAGTCCATTTAAAAAAGACATTTCACTCAAAAATGCATAAAAGTCATGGAAACAAAAAATTGAACTTTGCTTTGAAAAAACACGTAAATTTGAAACCTTACAAACATACTGAATCTGACAGATTTAGAAAAATTAAAAATATGAAAAGTCGCATAGCTATTTTATTTTCAGTAAATTTTTTCATCCCACCGTGCTCAAAATTTACAAACCTGTCCATCTGGTCTTGTGAAATCAATCGAAATTTCAATTTGTGTTGGAATTTGTGGCATTTGTTGTGTTTGTGATTGTTGTTGTTGTTGTTGATATTGTCCATGTCCATTTGGTGGACCATTTGATGGCCCTTCATAAGGCCCGCCCATAATGGGCTCCGGCCCTTGGTGTTGTTGACCTTGATGGTACACTTTTGAACCGCCAAACAAATTACCAAAAATCTATTTTGCTAGAAAAATTGATTTTTGTTTCATTTCAGAACGACACGAGACACGAAAAAATGATTCTATTCGAAAGGTCGGATTTCGTGCGATAAAGTATTAGATTACATCGTTTTCAGGGTGGGTGAGAAATTTTTTCTTGCTTTTTTTGGGTGAAAAAAGAAAAAAAAGAAATGCTGGAAAAAAATAAAAGAAAAGTTAATTAGGACTTGAGGAGAAAAGCAGCGTAGAAAAAAGAACGGAATTTGGAATGAGCAGCTCTGGCGAAAAAAAAAACGAAAAAAGTCGACATTTTTCGCTTGTTGTGATGTCAATAGTCATTATCGAGAAAAAAGTAAATGTTGGAAGGAATTCAGCTAGAAAAAAAGGAAAGAAATGAAATGGCTTCGCGAATTGATTTTATCTCAAGGAAAAATTATAATCTGGTATCATCTGGAATTACAGTAATCTTGGATTTTTCATAGACGAAAATGGATCAGAAATATTTTTGGTTAGAAAATAAATATCAAGGGCTTTTGATAATGAGAGGTAGAATTAGTATAAATTTGAAGAATGATCAAATGTCATTTTGGTTCTCCGTTCCAGAGTATAAATATGAGCATAGTGAATTGAAGATACAAAAAGTCGCTTTTGATTAATCGGATTTATGTTTATAACATCAGACAGGCTTCCTGATGTTATAAGTATAGTTTTATAGGAAAAATGAATACTGAATTTGAAAATTTTTCGGCCCCGAGCATGGTTTTGCTCTAGATTTGGACCTTGTCTGATTTATTTCCGATGATCAGAAACGTGCCCCTATTTCGATTCAGACATCCTCAAAATCGTATCGATTCCTGGGGTCCTATTAAAAAACTTCCTAGATCTTCAGAGAAGCATTCCACTTACAAAGATTTCCGAAAATTGGGTCTAGTTGGATTCCTCGAGTCTGATCTAACTTTTGATCCATAATAGAAGTCTTTAATAAAGTCACGTAAGAAATTCAGAAGGAGTCACAAAATGTGGCTCAACCTAACTAAATTAGTCAACAAAAAAGGTTGACCCGCTGCTCCCCGAATCAAGCAAAAAAACTTGAGAGCAAGAAAGCATAAAAAAGTAGTAGTGGAAAACGGCAAAAAAAGAAGAGATTTGGTTGGTGCTTCTTCTTCTTCTTCTTCTTTCTTTTTTTCCGCGCAGCGAGAGAGCCACGAATGAAAAGAGAGAGTATAACAGAGAAAAAATAGTTAGGGACGGGCGCAAAAAAATTGAGCTCGCAAAAAATGGAGAAAACGGAGCGGAGAAAAGTAGTAGTTGAAGTTGTAGACACATATATATCGATGAAGAAAAAGAAGAAGAAAGTTGTGTATTTGAAAATAAAAAGTTGGAATTAAAAATATCTTGAAATTGTTTTCTTCTTCTTCTCAAGACAACCTAAGTTGGCGAAGAAAAACGTATAAACTCATAAAAATCTCATATTTTTTGGGAGAATAAAAAGGAGAATAAGAAATGCATTCAATTTTTCCTTTTCGGCCAGATTAATAGCTTATTTATTCTATTTATTTATCTACGAAGAAACGGGTTGAAAAAGTAGAAAAAGAGCATAATTCAATTGGAACAAGTCTAATTGAAAAAAGAAAAAAAAAGAAGGAAAAAGGTCAAATGAGAAAAATTGAAACGTGAAATTATTCCAAATAAAATATAAATTTTGAGCTTTCCATATTTCATTACTCAATTGACTTTATCTACTAACTTCACCTACTAAAAAATGTCTGGAAATCAAGAAGATCAAGAGCCACCAATTAATATTCGACAACCAAATGATATTATCAATAATCAAAGATCACTTGCATTAGAAGTTCTTCAAAATATTAGTCAAGATCAAAATGAAAATGAAGCGGCACATGTGTCAACTCCAGTTTTGATAACTCCAACAAATGCGAGATCAACTAGAGAATTTGTTCATGCAATTCCAAGGATTCGAAGAAGACGAAGAATTGAAAATATTGAATCAACAAGATCAAGAAGAACAATTACACGAAGAACTGTTGTATCAAGAAATGAAAAAAGGTAGGAACATCATGAAAAAATAGTTATGTACCTAATATTGATGATCTACAAAATCTGAACTATGTTCTTTTAGTCAAAAATTGTTCCACTTAATGAAAAAAAATTTATTAAAAATGATCCTCAACCACCTTTTATCTCAAAAAAAAAATGAAACTTCAGATATGACAATACAAGTACTGCAATTGAACTTGATCCAAATGATCAAATATTCGAAAATCGTTTAGATGTTTTGCTTCAAACTCCAAATAACAAAGAAGAAAAGGTTCGAATTCCTTCTTCGCTTCGAATCAAAGATCAAATTCGTGAAATAAATCGACTGGAAATAATGGAAAAAGCAAGAAAATCGACTGGAAATTGGAAAGAATGTTTGAAAGAATTAGAAAATCATATGAAAATGATGGAAGAAGAAATTGGAATAATTGATGAATTTGTGAAAGAAATGAAAACAAGAATTGAAGAAGAACAAATTATTGTTTTGAAAATTGAACTAATCAATGAGATTTTGAAAATCTAGTGAGCAAAATAAATTATTGACTTTTATTTGAGATTTGAGCAATAAAGGTTACTGTAGTTCACGGAACTAAAAAATCAAATGGGGCGATTGTTGCAGGGTTACTGAAGTTATAAATCATATTTTGAAAACGGAATGAATCTCTCAACTAGAAAATATTTTTGGACGACAAAAAAAAGAGATAGAGGGAAAAGGTAGATCAAAAAAGACACAAATTAATTTTCCTTAAAAATGTTCTCCGAAGGGGTGAATATTATTTCTCGGAAATAATATTCATCGATTCATTCTTCATACGAAAAACTCCGATTTTCATCTGCTTGTGAAAATTCAAAAAATTTTCTGAGTCGAACTATTTCAAAAAAGAGGATATTTGGAAGTTGAAAGTTTTGGAATTCAGAAATTCAGAGATACAAACTATATTTACAAACTATTTTTCGAAAATTGGAATGATTCATTGAAAAATAAAGAAAAATTGAAATTCATTTCGTGAATACATTATCATTGACTTGATTCAATGTTTGATAGTTTGGATCATAAGTTGCAGCCTTTTGTGCTTTATCAGCTGGTGGCACAATTGCTATCTTTGGTTCCAAATTTCCGTATTTGATTACCTGCAAAAACAATTCAATGGTCAAATATTTATTCAGATCTGTATTTTTAAATAGGTTGAGATTGAGTTGGAAGTTGACCAGTCACACTATTACCACCACCTTGTGAAGCCTGTGGTAATAGATATCAACTACTATAGGTTTTTTGTTGGAAATGTTGCTACCCCGACGTCATCATCATTCAAATTTCGAAATAAATCGTTTATTCTAAAACACTACAAGTAGAAAAAGAGCAAATAAACATGATTCCTCTATTGTGGTGGAGCTGGAGATGGTTCAGTTGGTGGTGCAACACTTGTTGGTGCAACACCTGATGCGACAGTCGGGGCAGCAGCACCATCACCGCCTCCTCCACTTCCTCTGCTTACTTCGTATGCCTCAATTCCGAGTTGTCCAACCGATGCGAGCACGTGAATCAAAACGAACAATGAGAAGAATGCGTGACCAGAAACACAAAGGAAAACAAATACTCCGGCAAATGGTGGAACCAATACAAGAGCAGCTGATTTTCCGCGAACCTCATTTTCTGTGGAAGAAAGAGCTCGCTTGATTTCATCACGGCCATCCACATTCAATGCAATGTTGTGTGCTGAAACAGCAGCTGAGGCACCAAGAACAAGAAAATAGATGAGCTTGGAAAGGAAACCAGAATCTCCCAACGATCCAAATAATATGAGGAGAAGCTGAAAATTTATTATGAGAAGATCTATCTAAAATAAAATATGTGACTTACCTCAAATGATGAGCAGCCAACAACTGCAGCACGAGCAGCGAACACATACTTTTGGAATTCGTACGGTGGAATTTGGTCCATTTTTCAAACTTCAACTAGTCGAGTCAATTGATTTCTAATTATTTCCATGCCTTATTTTATAGTGTGAAATCTAGAACACGCAAAGATCTTATCAATTTTTGATCAAAAGGACACGTAATGAAATAAAATGTAATTTCGAGAAAATATTTTATTTGAATTCTCGAAATGTACTTATTTTTCAGAGGTCACGTTACGAAAATCAAAGTTAATTTTATTAATGTTGAATTTTGGATTATTGTACCTCATGAAAAATGTAATTTAGAGAAATAGTTACGGTTACCGTACTTCAGATATTTTGGAACTTGCAAAATTTAATATATCTAGAAACTGCATGGATTACTGTATGCTATATCATAAACGGCAAGGATTATTGTGCTAGAGATTCAGAACCTGCAAAAGATTACTGTATCTCATATATTTCATGATCTTCGAGGATTACTGTATCTGAAAATTTGCAAGGATTAGTGTAACTTCTTTTTACATTAAAATTTTAAAAATTGATACAGAAAATAAAAAAAAACTTTTATTCATCACATCTTTCATAGAAAATATCTAATAAATCATCATCAATTTCACCAAGAAGAATTCCACGTTGTTGAATTTCTCGAAATGGTCGAAGAAGTCCACTTCGATCTTCATTTATTCCAGCAGCACGAATAACAGGAACAGTTAAATACATATGAATTGATAATAAAACGAGTACTGTATTCCATGTTTGTGGTAAACGTCTTCCACAAATTATTCGAATTAGTCGACGGATCACCCGACGGTGATCCGTTGTCATTATTTATTTATTTTTAGACTTCTGTTTTTTAGACGATCCAAAATTTTGCCAGAATCTGAAAAATAAAAAATAAAGATGTTTTCACGTAAAAATTGAATCATTTCTTGCTAATATATTTCGAAAATATGGTTTACATTATTTTTTCATTTATAATTTTCATGAATTTTATGCAAATAAATTGTCGAAAAAAAGAGAAACGCAAAAAAGTTCGAGAGAAAAAACAAACAGAGTGAGTTTTATGAGGAAAAACCAGGAAAATAAAATAATATTCATTTTTTCAGAGAAGATCCATTTGCAGAATTGAAAATGAATTTGGCTAATCAAGAAAAACAAACACAATCAGATTCTTTGAAAGATTGTTCGTTTCGAGATGAAAAAAATCCATTGTATAATGCATCAAAAAGTCGAGAATGTCAGAATACTAAAATTGGAGATGAAAAAGAAAAAGAGAAGACAACTCCAGTTGAAACAGCAAAACAAAATATATCAACTGTACAGACAACTGTCAAAGAAAGTCCGACTCAACCATCAAAAATTTCTAAAATTGAAGAATCAACTAATAATCGGCTAAAGTAAGAGTTCAATAAAAAATTCCTGAAACAGATTCTCATTTCAACAAACAAAGAAAATCAAATTTTCAGCAACAATCTAAAATTTCTACAAAGCATCTCTCCAAACAAATATATTTTTCTCAAACTCAAATTAGCTCAATTTCTCTCTTCTTTTTCTGGTCCAAAGAATATCAAAACATATATTTGAAGTGCTCAGAAGATACTCGAGCACTTATGAATATGTCTACTTTCTTCTTCAGAACTTTCAACGACAAAAAAGTTGAAACAAAGTAGATTGGAAAAAAGGAAAAGAAAGGGAAGGACCACACAAAGGTTTCGTTTATTCGGAAGATTGGCAAAAAAGAGAAAGAGAGAAAAAGAAAGAGGGAGTTAATGAAGCGATTCGAGGCACAAAGAAATACGAAAAAAAAATAAAATGCTCTTCTCTTTTTTATTCCGGTAGAAGAGAATCTCATTTTTCATGTTGAAAACGAAGATCAAATTTGGAATACACAATTTTTCTTGATTTCAAATAAAATTTGAAGACCTGACCTCTTTACAATATTGTTTTTTCACACCGTGGTATACTGTATTTTGAGCTTGTGAAAAATATCAACAGAGTTTATGAGAAAACGTGAACAGGTGATTCAAAGTTAAACAATCAAACAAATTATTCATCTGGATTGAAGGATTCCATGACTGATTTTCGATGTTCTTCCAATTCGATCGACAATTCATAAACCCGCGCTCCGAAACTATTTGGAACTTGATGAGCAACAATCTGAAATATTTTGAAATTAATTCTGTTTTTTTTTACTCATATCAACTCACATGAATATTTTCTATAAGAGATGCAACATCAAATGGAATGCTTGCAACTGCTGTTGCTCTCAAAAAAGCTCGACTTGGCAGTTTTCCAAAAAGTGGAAGTGATGTGACTTTGGTAATCAATTTTGATAAATCGACTGGTTTCACATTTTGAAGTGGATAATATTCGATATAATTATTGATTGATTTCAATAATTCGTCGCGAAGTTTGATCAAATTATTAAAATCCTTCAAATCATTATCGAGAAGAAATTGAACACGTCGAGCTTTATCCTGAAAATAAGAATGATTGAACTGTGAAACTTTTTAAAACAAATCATGTACCTTCAAATGTTCTCGCTTCGCAATATCGGCTACTGTATGAGTTAGACCTCCAACTACTCCCATAATGAGTCCTCCAATTGCCAAAGGAGGGAAAAACACAGCTGCGGCTCCCGCAATTCCAACTGAATTTCCAACAATTTTCGAGACCGATGTTCCAAAAGTCCAATCTCCAATTTCCCTTGCAATCCATCTAAATTCTTCAATAATTTTCTTTCTTTTTTCATTCCATTCTTCCAATTTTTCTTTCATATCCTCAACACTTCTTTCGATTTCCTTTTCTTCGTTCTGAAAATAAAAATTTAGATATTTTTTTGAATTTTATTTTAGTTTGCTTACCATTTTTGATCCTGAATATTCTTTCAGATCTGATTTTCAAATCAAAACAAGAAAAACATTAAAAATTAGGATGAGCAATATTGCCAGCAATTCGCTTGGAGACCATTATGAGAGTACTGTAGGCGCAGATTTTTTCAGAAATGAACATATTTGAAAATTAATTTTCAAATTTAAAATGAAGCAGTTCACGTTTTTTTTAATAAAAAATATTTTTAAAAAATTTCAATAAATTCTGGGTTACTGTAACAAATCATTTTTCATTTTCTTCGTCATTTTCATTGTTATTATTATTATTATGACAAAAAATGATAAGCTTGATTCACAACCAGTTTTCTACATATATATTTGAAATCACATGATATTTTGCATTTTCCGGGAGCTTTTTCTCCTTCGTTATTATTTTATTTTTCCAATTGCACATTATTTCATCCTTTTCCTCCAATTATTCTCCTCCATTCGAATACTCCAATTATTTCCATTTTTTTTGTATTTCGAACGAAAAAAAAGTGAAATGTTACAACGTATACTGCTTTGTTATTGTGTAGTGTAATTCTTTTTTACCAGAAATTCTCTTTTTTTCAGCTTCAATCATTCTTGTTTTATTTCAGTTTGTTGCCATTTTCTTGTACGTTTTGACAGATTTTTTATTGAAAAAATCGATTTTCATTCGAATAGATCTGCTAACTTGGAGCGCAAAAAACGTGAGAAACGGAAATCGCTGCGAGACCTTAAAACTTAGAAAAATGTATGGGCCTTTGATTTTCCGCGTCTAACTTTTTAAAGAACACGTTTCAAAAACTATGAAATAATTTTTCTGATTCGTCTCGTCGAGACGAATCGGATGGTATATTCAGAATTTTCTGAAATTTCCGAAAACGTGCTGAAAAATAGAGAAAGTGAAAATTTTCAGATAATTTCTCTAAAATTCGAAAAATTCGAATAAAGATAATCTTTCGCGATAATCATTTCATTTTCGATTTCAAGTAAGTAGTAATACCTTTCTTTTTGTCTCTTTTTCTTTCATTTTTTCTCCGCCCATTTTTTCTTCCTCTTTCTGTTTTTCGAAAAAACTAACATTCGAGCGAGTTCCTCGAATTTTGTTTATTTTTATATCTGCGTCTCTCACTCTTTCTCTTTTTTTTCGACTTCTTTTTTATTAGTATATGTTATATCAACCCTGACCCGAAACACAGTATTTGGGGTGCGCCAACGAAGAAATATTGAGAATTTCGAAGAGACTTCGACTACTTTTTCTCTTCTTTTTTTGTTTCAAAAGTTTTTTTCGTTAGAAAGGTCATTCATTTCTAGAAAAAAGTGAAGAAATCATGTCGTTTGGAAATCGTAGATCTGAAATTTCGACTCATTTGTATACATTTTCCATGGTAAGTTTTTTTTGAAAATAAAATTGAATTTGACAATTTTTCTGAAACAGTTCGAAAACCGGTTGATTTGAAATCAAACTGTATTTTTAATGTAACCAAATTAATTCTTGTTTTTTTTCATTTCAGATCGTTTCGACAATTTCAACATTTATGCATTTTTTGATTGATGGTCCAATATCGATTCAATTGTTTTCGAGTATCGTGTTTTCAATTGTTTTACATTTCAAATCAATAAATCTGCACATTTCCGAGCTCAATTATAATTTGCGACGAAATTTTATTCCGGTCAGTTGTTTTCTCAAATGGAAAAAAAAAACCATTTGAACATTTCAGACTTTCTCAATAATATTTTCAACAACTTGGTTGGCATCACTTCGTGCTGCTGTTTTATCGATTGATTCGAGTGCAAATGATGTTTCTTTGGTGAATAACATGAAATCAAAATGATTAATTGATGTGTTTTTCTTTCAGTATCTCGCATATCTCACACTTTTCATGGCATTCACCGAAAACCTTCAACAATTTACCGAATCATATTCTTTCGATCATTATCATTCGGAATATCGTCAAGAAGATGTCAATCAATTTCTGCCAGGTTTACGAATTGCAGCTGCTGGATAATTATAATTTTCTTCGAAACTTACTAGTCAGTTTTCGATCTCAATTTCGAATACGAGGTAATTTATCAACAGCAATAATAATAAAACTAATAAACAAGATGATAATAATAATAATAATAAAACATTTTAAGAAAAATTATTTTTTGGACGATGAAACAAATGAATAAATAATAACAAGATTCAGATCATTTGGAAGAAAGAAGATTGAAAAAAAAAAAACAAAAAACCCATTTTTATTGCTTACGACGTTCCCTTTCTTGTTGTGTTGGTGGTGGTGGTGTTCCTTTTCTATGTAAATCATCAATATAATCCTCAAGAAGACGATCTCGTTCCGATGAACTTGTTGATGTCATTCGAACCCAACGTTTATCATTCTGGAAAAATAGCATCGTTTTAGACCTGGATTTATCAGAAATAAGCAAAAATTCTTGAAGTAACTAAAAAATTGTAATTTTCAGTTTTCTTCTTTCTAATTTCATTTTTTTTCAAAAAAAAAATACCTCAAGAACAGACAAAATATCCTTCAAATGTTGTTCGCTTTCTTCCATCAACTTTTTACTTTTATGCGTGATTATTTTGGTTTCTTTCAACATTTCTCTAAATTCATCACAAATATGTTCCCGAGTTCTTTCTTGCCATTCACGGAAATCACGTTCAACTTTCTGAAAACAATTTTGATAGAATAATTTTTGAAAAATAAATAAACGCACTGCCTCCCCAAATCTACGTGTGTGTGGAAAAACGAAAAATGTCTGGCACGCTCTCGCAAACACACACTCTCTCGCACACAACTTTTTACTTTTATTTCGCGAAAACAGTGCATATTAGGAGCTGATTTTTATGTGTTTTTCGTCGGAACCACTATATGTGTTATACATAGTTCGAAAGAGAATTTCTTCAGCTACAAACACATATGAAATGTTATAAATGAAACCGAGATAAAAAAATAAAATTTTCATGCAAACATGACATGGTTTTTTTGAATTGTGTGAAAAACGCATGTGTTTTTTGATGACCTGGCTTATTTTTTGAATATCGAATATATGTATAATCGAGTCGTAGTTTTGTTCAGAATCTCAAGGGCTTTCAGATGATGTAAATCAATATTTATGAAATTGTGAAATCATGGAGGAGTAGGGATTTTTCGTTTGTCAATTTTTAAAACGAAATTTTCATTTTCATTTGAAAAGAGCTCGAATGAAGTTTACATACGTTTTGAAGAGAATTTCTCGGGCTTCAAAATCATATATATTTCTATACACAAAAATGGAAATTGAAAGCACCGCTTTCGGTTGAAAACTTGTTGGGTTTGCACCAAACAAACAAACCGCGTTCAGTAGCGTTGCGAAAAACAGCGGTGAGTTTTAAACCGAAAGCGGTGCTTTCAATTTCCATTTTTGTGTATAGAAATATATATGATTTTGAAGCCCGAGAAATTCTCTTCAAAACGTATGTAAACTTCATTCGAGTTCTTTTCAAATGAAAATGAAAATTTCGTTTTAAAAATTGACAAACGAAAAATCCCTACTCCTCCATGATTTCACAATTTCATAAATATTGATTTACATCATCTGAAAGCCCTTGAGATTCTGAACAAAACTACGACTCGATTATACATATATTCGATATTCAAAAAATAAGCCAGGTCATCAAAAAACACATGCGTTTTTCACACAATTCAAAAAAACCATGTCATGTTTGCATGAAAATTTTATTTTTTTATCTCGGTTTCATTTATAACATTTCATATGTGTTTGTAGCTGAAGAAATTCTCTTTCGAACTATGTATAACACATATAGTGGTTCCGACGAAAAACACATAAAAATCAGCTCCTAATATGCACTGTTTTCGCGAAATAAAAGTAAAAAGTTGTGTGCGAGAGAGTGTGTGTTTGCGAGAGCGTGCCAGACATTTTTCGTTTTTCCACACACACGTAGATTTGGGGAGGCAGTGAAACGTACTCTTTCTGAATTATTGGCAACTTTACAAAAAACTTCTTCTTCATCTTGGATAATTCGTTTAGCTTCTTTCCATCGCATACTTGCATTTATTTTCTCGTGATTATCCAAAACAGTAAAAAATGCTTCTCTTCGTTTCTTTTCCAATACTTTTATATAATCATCAAAAAGATTCTCTTTCTGATGTTTATCCAACAAATCACATTCAGAATATCGATCATCTTTTCTTAACAATCTTCTTGCTTCGTGCCACGAATAGTCGGTATTTTTGACCAAATCAATCAGCAATGCTTTAAATCTCTCTTCATGTTCTGCAATCTTTATTTTTTCCGTTTCCTTATTTCTTTCTCTCAATTGATCTCCTAATTCAGCTTCAACTTCTTTTTGTCGATTTGCAATCGCTGTTTCTGTTGCCAATCTTTTTTCTCTTTCTTGTTCTTCTTCAATATCCGATGCAGTTTCATCTCCCAAATTCTCAATAAAATCTCGGAATAAACTTTCTTTTGTAGAACTACTTTCCAAAGCAATAAATCGTTCATCTTCTTCCAACAACTTTTTCACCACAGACCATTTTGATCGTCTTGTCAAATTTTGTTGCTCTTCCAAAAGTTTGATAAAATCTTGTTTCAATTTTTCCTTCTTTGCTTTTTTCTCCTCTTTTTCTTTCTTGTGTAATTCTCCAACAAAATCATTGAATAAATCTTCTCGATCTCTCATTCTTTCCACAATTTTAAATCTCGAATCTTTACCAAATTTAGAAGAAAATGATGAGAATGAAGATTTTCCATGAAGTTCAGCCTCTTTCAAAAGTTCCATGAACTTATCTTTTGCTTCCTTTGTTTTCTTTTTCTTTTCAGCTCGTTCATTCTCAATTTTTTCACGGCAATACGCTTCAAAAGACTGCAAAAATATTTGGATTAAATACTTTTTCAAAAACACTCTGTAAAAAACTAACCGCTCTTCTCTCGGTTGCACCAAGCAACAAATAACGTTTATCAAAAACAATTTTCGATAATTCTTTCTCAAATGTGCTTCCAGTAGCAACACCTCTCTCCGCTAACATTTCTTTGAAATCTCTCAAACGTTCTTCCAATGGAATTTTCTCTCTTTCAGCAGCTGCTTCAATTTCAGCTTGAATTGCAGGATCAACTGGTTTTTGCAATATCTGACGAGGTTTTTCTTTTTCTTTCTTCTGAGCTGCAAGAAGTGCTTCTTTTTTCTTTTCTGCGCGACTTTTCTTTGCTTTTGGTGGTCCATCTTCATCTTCTGTTGATTCTCCATCTGATTCTTTTTGAGCGGGAGATTCATCTAAAATTGTAATTGAGTAATTTCGAAAAAATGGATGGCTATTATTAATTCTGGGAAAATAACTCACTTTTTGGTTCGGGTGGATTTGCAATCATTCTATCAACATCTTCTCGTCCATAAGTATCTGGAGGTCTTTCCCAAACTGATGTTTTTGTAGTTGGATTGTAGAAGAAAACCTGAAGTCAATGAATATTTCAAAAATTAAATCAGAAAAAATAGCTCAAAAAGCATACTTTGTTGTCTCCAGTCCAAACTACACACCAAGGTGTTCCACTGACAGATAAACTACTAACAGGTCTTGATAAATCTTTCTTTTTTGCAGCTTCTGCATTAACAACTGCAGCTGCAGCTGCTCCCGATGCTTGTGCTTTTGACATTGGCATTCCACCACCTCCATTACTGCTTGATTTTTGCTGAGCCATAAATGCAGCAAGAGCGGCTTGTGCTTTAGCCTGAGCTTCTGCGATGATTTTTTGTTGCTCTGGATCAATAACTTCTGGACGAACATCCGAGTTTTCACGATCGATCATTGATTGTGGTTTTTCCCATGTGTTTTCTTGTGTTATCGAGTTATAATAATATTTTCGTCCATCAGGTGCAGTGAATTCAGCCCAAGCATCAGCTTCTTGTGGACCTCTTTCTGAAATAAAACTGGATAATGAAAGATTTTGAATAAATTGTAGGTATTTTCCTAAAAAGTAAGTCGGGGTTTCTCAGTGAAAAAAAAGTTGAAAAAAAATTGGACATTACACATTGGATTTCAAAGTGGAGTGAAGTGAAACCATTCAATATATGTTTGCGCCAACGAATTGTTTGATCGAAGTAAGCTGAGAGAAGCTCAAAGTTGATTATATAAGAAGATTCATGACTTTTTTGTTATATTTTAGTTCTGATTGAGGGGATTTAAAACAAACCTTCGTTCACTGAAAGGGTTATTAGGAGGGAAAAAAAGTTTTTAAATTTTTTATACAAACCTTCTTGCACTCGATTTTCTTCCGTTGAGCGACTGACTAATTGAGCTAACTCTGCCTGACTGATAATTTTTGAATTTTCTGGTTTTTCCCAAACAGTATTACGATTAACCGGATGATAAAAATACTTCTTTCCTTCGCTTGTTTCAGTCTCGACCCATAATTCTTCACCTTCTCCACATCCGGCGAGCTGAAATAAATATACAATTATAAATCACGCCCTTTTAGATATTGAATATTCTGCAAATCGAGAGACACAGAAAAACGGTAAATTCACCGTTTTATCAAGATCATGACGGAATTTTTCATTTTGTTCTTCTTTTGGCTGTTTTTTGAAATCAGAAATGACATTTTTGCAAAAAATAAACAAAATTCGGTTCAAAATGTATAGAAAATCAATTTTTGCGTGAAATTTGTTCACGCGAGACTGCGAATTCTGTCTTTTTCCGTGTCTCTCTCAATTTTCATTTTGAAATTACGGAAATAAATCGATTCACCACAGGCATAAATTCTTGACTTTTTTAATTCAGAAATGCCTGTCGCAGAAAAAAAAATTTCTCGCGTGAATCGGGAGGCGGGATTTATTTGGCAAGGTGCGGCACGTTTTTTTCAAGCAAAAATTATTTCTGATTTTTTGCATTTCGAAATTTAGTGAAGAAAAAAAGATGAAATCGAAAAAATTATTTAAAAAACGTGAAACGTGTAATCGTGGCAGAGGGCGGAGCCAGCAGGAAAAAAAGTCAGCAATTTATGCCTGTGTTCACTAACCCTTTTTAATTTTTCTTCTTGTTCTTGTGGATTGGATTGTGGCGGGGCTTGATGAGCAGGATGTTGAGCGTATGCGTTATTATAGCCAAATGCTCCAAACCCACCACCATAATTTGGTGGATAACCTCCTCCTCTTGGCATACCTCTAGCACCTCTAGGCATAGCACCATTAAAACCTCTACCTCTAGGTGGAAACCCTATGGGACCTCCTCTACCACGAAAAGCGTGAGCTGGAACACCGGGAGCAACACCACCAAAACCACGTCCTCGACCACCGCGCATCATCCTGAAAAATAATAATGTTTCAAAGTTATTATTTTGAAAAAAATAAAACTAACATTGCCGGAGCTCCTCTTCCTCTATGATCCGATTGGTAAACTTCGTCATACGAAGCGCTGAAATATCCTTGAATTATCTGTTTAATTTATTTTCAAATATTTACCTGTAGTCTCCTTGTTCGTAATTATCATATTTCGCCTCATCACGATAATCATCATAATTTTCCTGGTTTTCGTGACTCATCTGAAATTGAACAATTGATATGTTGAAAAATAAACAATTGATATAGAACCTAGAACAAATGTTGCGAAATTATGTAGAACTTTTCGAAAAGTTCTACTTATCTAAACATCTTAAATCTTTGGAGCAGAAATAGTATTTAAATAAAAAACATTGACAGCAACTTTTTGCACAAACTAAACATACAATTCAAGCGAAATTCATAAAATATTAGAATTCACAAACTGCCATAACCCAATTTGGCCAAAGGCACCAGAACGCTGAGAAACACAGAAAATTTTGAAAATGTGGGAAAATTTCAACCGCAGCGCATTTCTTGCCGCGTCGCGTGTCGCAATAGAGCACACATGTTCATCTCGCGAAAATCCTAATTTTTATTTTTGTTTTCTTCACACCCGCTCAAGCAACACAAAAATTAGCAAAACGCTGTAAAAACGGTGCGCCATGTAGCTCAAAACCTAGATAAGGTTCATGAAAAACTAAATATAGCATGAAAATCAGCGCCTCGAGTTCTACCTGACTTGCTACTTTTCTTATTTTTAGAGGTCCTGCGAAGCAAGTTAGCAATCGCGACAAGACCCAACGTATTAAATTTATCATGTTCCTTTAATACTGTAGTGCGAAATATAACGGCGAACAGTGAGAATTAGACAAAAGTGTTTGCACAGTTTTTTTCATTCGCAGATTTTTCGTTTTACAGTAGAAAACACTCATTGCGTGGCTTGAACGGGTGTGTCTTGTTTTTTCGTGTCGCCTCTTAAATTGAAAATAACCCGAATAACTACTTCAATTTTGTTATTTCCAGACCAGAAATGGTTGCAACCGAAACACTCGAATTCGAGGGATGTAACTTCTTTCGCTTACGCTTGACTTATTCAGTTTTGAGTGGACGACCTGTCAAAATAATTAATATTCGAAAAGACGATGATGCTCCGGGTATCAGAGATTTTGAAGCAAAGTTAATTGGTCTCTTAGAAAAAGTGACAAATGGCACCAAAGTAGAAATTGGTCGAACCGGAACCCACGTAGTTTTCCGACCAGGAATGATTACGGGTGGAGTTGTTACAATTGATTGTGGAACAGAGCGATGCATTTCGTATTTTCTCGAACCTTTGATTCTACTTTCTCCATTCTGTAAAGTTGCGATGTCAATCAAATTGAAAGGAGTTACCAATTCACCAGGTGAATTATCTGTTGATGGAATGAAAGCATCATGGCTTACCGTTTACAACAAATTTGTTTTGAATGACGAAAAATTGGATATTAAAATTCAAGCAAGAGGATTGAAACCAGAAGGTGGAGGAATTGTCACATTCACAGCTCCAATTGTCAAAACTTTGAGACCAGTAAAAAGGCAAAAAATGGGAAAAGTATGCAAAATTCGAGGACAAGCATTTGTATCAAAAGTCACACCATCATTAGCATATCGAATGATTGATTCAGCTAAAAAAGCAATGCATGGATATATTTCAGATGTTTTTATTGCTGTTGATCAAAGAAAAGGAGATTCTGGAGGATCGTAAGTTGCAATTCTTATAAAATGTAATAATTTTAAATGTTTTATCATAGGTCTCCCGGTTATGGTTTATTTTTGACTGCTGAAACAACTGAAGGTGTTATATATCAAGCTGAAGCTATTTCAAGACCAAAAGGCGAATCTGGTGATCCAATTTTACCAGAAGATATTGGAACACAAGTTGGACATTTGCTTCTTCAACAAATCTATTTAGGAGGTGCTTTGGATAGCAGTGCACAAGTTTTGGCAAGTACATTTATGACTCTTTGCCCTAAGGATGTTTCACATTTTCTTTATGGACCACTTTCGGTTTACAGGTAATTACAAGAATTTGAAAATTAATTGATTCGATGAAAAATCTTTAATAATTTCAGTATTCACACATTGCGACATATAAAACAATTCTTTGAAGTTGAATTCAAATTGGATAGTTATAGAAAAATTGAAACAGAAGATGATGATGATGAAAAAATTGGAAGTCGAGACAAAGCTATGGTGACTGCAGTTGGTGTTGGATACAGTAATCTTAACAAAACAATTTTATGAATATGGGTATTTAGTTTTGTTTTTTCTTTTTTGTTGTTGATTGTTGTTTGTTATCTAAATTGTTATCTTTTATCGTTGGAACTTATTATTTTCGGTTGAAATCAGCCTAAAATATCGAAGTTATTCGATTCATCCAATATTATTATATTTCCCAGACAAACTATGAGTGCAAAACAACAAAAAATCAAACGAGAAACTAAAGTTGATGTGAGTTTTGTTTTTATTTGAAAATTCAATGAATATTTATTTTTAATCATTTCAGTTCAAGGAATGCTTGGATAATTGTCGAATCATCAACAAAGAAAATGAGAAAGGAAAGATGTTCGAAACAAAAAAACATCGAGGATTTAGCGTTATGGTGGATATTCAAGAATACCTCGAATTCTGCGAAGATCACAAACATGAGCGCAAGTTTCAAATTCCAGAAGAAGAATTCAGGAAGATTGTGGATGATATTTGTATCGAACAATTGGTAGTAATCTTATGTTTTTATCCAATTTAAACGTCTATTTTTTTCAGAAATCTGATATCAAATTCGAAAAAGGCGCATATGTTGTTATGCAAATTGAAGCAGAAGAAGTTTTAGCAAAATTCTTTTCAATGCTTCAATTATCTTGTGAACACAATGGCCGAGTTACAATCACTGAAAATGATGTCAAACTTGTTAACAACCTTCTTGATTTGAACAATGAAGGAACAAGATTCAAGTGAGTGTTGTTAATATTTTATTTTGTTTATGTTTCTATATTTCCGTGTTTGTATCATTTTTTAATCGAATCTTTCAAACCCAAAAAAAAATCAACAGCATATCTCACTTTTTGATTTAACTGGTAACACTTTAATATTCTAAGGTAAGGTAATTTTCAGAAATTACTAATTTTAATTACTTCATACTTTTCTGTATCTTTTCTGTTATTTGTTTATATAAATTGTGTTTATTCTGATTTTTGCATGCAATCAGTGTCAATTCTTTCACTGCGTACTATTTGTTTCTATTTGGGATTTCTACCAGAGACACTTTTCAGATGTTTGATGAGGTTTGGGATTTTTATTTGAAGTTTGATGAATCGCAAACAAATTCTGATATTTTGACTAAAAAACAATGGGATTGGCTGATACAAGTTAGTTTTTTTCCTGAATCATTTATAAAATAATTTGTTTTTATTATTTTCCAGGCTAAGAAACTACAGGAAAATGAACATTTGACCGAGTTTATCACTGATGTTTCACTATCGAATATCAAATTGAAATTTGCGATGAGATCTGATGTATATCTTATCACGATTTTGGAAAATTCGAGAAAAATCAGTGGGAAATTTAGTGAAGGATTCAAATCAAAGAAAAATATGGGAAGGTTGGATGAATTAATTGAAGAATTACGAGAATATTTTGAAGTTTTGGATGAAGCTATTTATGAAATCAATGATATTCAATCATATGGTTTTTCTATCAATAAAATATTTCTTGATGAAAATGAAGAATCAACTTTGATTATCGAAATAACAGAAAAGGTTGGTTTTCTTTAAATATTTACAATGAAAATTTAATTGTTTCAGAGAACCAAAGAAAAACTAAAAATATCTCTGGATTATACAAATTATCGAGAATTTCCAAAATCAATTTATACTTCGAATATTGCAAGAAGTGCAAATTTTGAATGTGAAAAATGGAATTGTGAAGATCGAATTGGAATAAATTTATGCAAATTGTTCAAGAAAGAAAAACAAGACGAGATAAATTCATCCAGAAAAAAATTTGAAGAAGAAGATAATCAGGACCAATTTATGGATTTCATTTGATTGTTTGCCGATGTGAATAAAACTATGAACATTTAATTTATCGATGAAAGATTATTTGTTTGTTTGTGGTATTCAACCATCAAAAGTTATATTCAATTCAGGAAAAACATCCAGTGAGCATATTTTTAGTTCAGATGTATACAATTGGAGGTGTTTCAAAAACTGAAACCCAAAATCAACAAATTCATTCAATTCCATGTAAAATAGGATATACGGGACCAGCAACTGTTGAATCGTAAGTTGATATTTCACTTTAATACTCTGATAAATTCTCGATTTTTCAGGAATTTCATTCGATCGAAAGTTGAAGGAGAAACAACTGAAAGAGGAATGTTTCGTGGAAGAGGATTAGAAGGAGCAGATTGGAAACCACCAAATAATTATCAAATTGTTGTTGTCAAAGAGAGAAAAGGTTCGAGTTTTGAAGATATTTTCAAATTAAAACTGGCATGCTGATTTTAAACACACGGTTAAAATCTACAACGTTGAAATTATGTTAAATTATATTCCTGACAAAATTATTTTCAGGTCCAAAAGGAACAATGCTTGACATCGAAGCAAAAGCAGATTCAATCAAAGTATGGGAATGGGATAAATCATGCGGTGAAAATGCGAATAGAACTACAATTGGACGCGCATCGACATATTTGAAAATTGCAAATGCATTGGCTAATTGAATCTATTTCTTTATATTTCTTTTGTAAATTACGAGTTTTTATCCGTATCTCATTCAGACTAACATGAACCCATTCATTTTGCTTTTTCAATATCAGATATTGTTTCTAATTTGGTTTATCTTACCATTTATAATACTTTTTCGATTATTCATTTAAAAAAACAATTGTGAAATTATAGAATGGGCAGAGTTTTCAAGAAAAATCAAACCAAAAAACGGCAAAAGGAAGAAGAGGAAGAAGTTTCTGAACAACCGGTTAGTTTTGATTTACATGTTTCGTTGAAATTTTAATTTTTAGGTTTTGAAAAAGAAAAAGGAAGAAACTCCTGAAGTTGAAGAAGAATTAGAAGATGAAGAAATTGACGACGAAGAATTCGAGGATGAAGAAGAAATTGATGATGAAGAGGAAGATGAAGAAGAATTAGAAGATGAAGATGGCGAAGAGAATGAAGAAATTTTGAACTTTGATTTCGAAGGTTTTCCAATGGAAGAAGAAGATCGTGATGGAATTGTTAATATGTTAACACAAACATTCCTTCGAACAGATATTGATTTGAAAGAATTCGCAGAAACATTGATTAATCAAAAATCAATTGGTTCTGTAATTGGACCAGCAGATGATGAAGCAGATGAAGATGATACTCATGTTGTTTATGGAGTATGTTCGACACTTCCGATTGATAATAAAAATCAGCCAAAATTTGTGAAGGATATTCAAAATTATTTGACGACTAGAGCTAAGAAATCAGCCAGCAAAGAAGTTCAAGCGAAAATTGAGCAGTTTTTTGGGGATGATGATTCGGCTATTTTTGTCAATGAAAGAATGCTCAATTTTCCGCATTTGGTTGTTCCTCATAATTTTTCAGCAATCAGGTAGGATTTTGAGATTGATTGAGAAAAAATGTAAGATTCCGAAAATATTTTTATTCTAAAATTAATCAGAACATTTTTTAATCGTTTTTCAAGTTTTAAAATAGACAATTATTGCTCCATTATTAAAATTAGTTATCAAATTTATTTCAGAAGTGACCTCGAAAAACTCAAAAAATCAATCAAAACAGTGATGTACATCCAAAAAATCCGAGTCTCTGACAAAAAACCAGAAAACGGAGAAAGTTCGGGCGGACCATCGAAATCGAAACGAAAAATGGGAAAAGCTGAGAAAAAGAGAATGGCTGCACAAGCTTTGGCTGAATCGAATATTGAATTCGATAATATTGAAGACAAACTTCTTTTCGATTTGAAACCCGGAAATCTAATTCATTTCGATTTTGCAGTTCACATGGATGTTGAACCTGGTAGTAAATTTCATATTACCGAAAAAGATGGCCAAAAATGGAATCCTTTTAGGCGATTAGTTATTATGGACTATAAAAGGTAGGATTTTAAACTCTATTAATTGATAAATTATTTAATTTTCTAGATTCGATGCATTTTTGCAACGTGGAATGCAAGGAATCTAAATAACTTTTGTTAATTTTTTGTTTGTTGTTATGTTATGGATAAATTTGTTTTGTTTTTTTTTCTTTGCAAATTTTTTTGGAGTTAAAAGGTTAATTCAACCTAGAAATATATTGTTTTTTTATGAACAGGTGAAATAATTTTTGGAATTCATTTAGATGAAAGTAACAACTCGAAAAACAGAAGAAGACATTCGGCGAGAGTTTTTCGGACCATTAAAAGAAGCAGTTCGGAAAGAAAATAATGTTGGTATGTTTTTGTTTTGAATTTGAATTTGAAGAAATTATTTTGAACAAAAAATATGGAAGTTTCTCATTTAGAAAAAAAAACATTTCAACATAAAAAAATATATTGGCTACTCGCGTCAATATTATCAAGAGATTTGCAAATATGAAACCTTGCAAATATGAAATTTTTCATGTAACCCAGCCCACGGTTTTTTTTGAAAAATAACTTATCCAAACGAAGTGACAACTTTTTAATTAAAATCGAACCACAAAAATAATAGGCCCAGATCCGATTTTTTGTAGAAAACATTCCGAATCGCACCAGTTTTGATTTAAAAAAAATTGTTTTCATAATTTTTTCTCTGTCCCGCTTCCCGCTTTCAATTTCCAATTTTTCAGGAATTGATCCAACAAAATGTTGGTGTGAATTATCCGAAATGCGTTTAATGCAACTAATTGTTCAATTCAAACCATCAGGAATTAATCGATATTTTAATTTGGCAGCAATAATCGATCATATGTCAAATATTCATGACTACGAAATTCCACAATGTGAAATGTATTTAACTGGTAAGCTGTTTGTTTTTCAATTCAATCATTTATTTTTCACAAGTTGTCTGGTTTTCTTTCGTGAAATGTTCATATTTTTTCAAAAATTGATCCAAACCATCATTTGTTGTTATGGATACATCATCATTTGTTGTTAATTCAATTCTGATATATTTCTCATCGTTTCCAGTTTTGAATAATTCAATTAAAATCATTGAGTTGAATCCAGGTATTTTTGGAGAACTACTATCTTTTGATTTTAGTATTTCATAAAGTCCACTGAAAATATCATCGTCCACCGAAAATGCAACAAATTTTGAATTCGATTTTGATGGTGTAAATGTCTCAAAATTTTTCAAGATACGATAAAGCACATTTCCAAATTTGATACGCAATACTTGATCATTTCTATATTCTCCAATTCCTAATTTGTAATTGTTGACTTTCGAATATATTTCAATAATTTCTTTCGAATTACTGTTCATTTCTCCAGGAATATCCAAACCAATTCGATTTTTATCAACAAATTCGTTGATTTCTTCAATTGTATATTTTTCCGAGATTTTATTATGAATTCCAAGACATTTTATGATATCATTTTGGTTTGAATTACAATTTTGACTCGTTATGTTCAGACAAAATGTATTGTGAGAACGTAGCTGAAATTTTTGAATTTTTCAAAAAAAAAAAAACTGTTGAGAAAAGGGCAAACCTCATCAATTGAAATAACCGGTGCATATTTTTGAATATTTTCTGAATTCATCATTCCTGCAGATACAGTACTCGCAGTTTCCAAACATTTGTCATTTTTCATTGATTCCCAACGCATTTCTTTGGTTATTAAAATTGGATTGATGAATTGTGTTTTAACATAACGATCATGTAATAATTCACCGAGTTTATACGAATTTTCAAATCCTTTCTGAAAATTTGCAAAATAAAGGAATCTGACATTGCCCGTTTTGATATACATATTTTTGTTCAAAATTAGCTTACATCTGTTAATTGTCCTGGTCCTCTTGGAAACAATGAATCGTTATCCAAATAATCGGGCGAATGTTCCCCAGAATTGAAAATCTGAAAATGTTGCTGAACATTTCCCAAAACCATATTTTTCAACAAACCACAGTCGAAAATATGAGTTGTTCAGAAGAATAAGCAGAAATATCAATTTTGTCGAAAAATGCAATATAAATAACTGCTCCTACAATTCCAAGCAAAATCAAAGCTCCGATCAAAAATGCAATTATTTGAACACAAGTCATATTCGTTTTCTGATCATCATCATTTTCTATTTCAGTTCTATCATCAGAGATATTTGAAATCTCATCGGCCATTTCTAACACAAGAAAATATTGAGAAATAGATGTGAAATTGGATCTCACGAACAAAAAAAAATATGAAAAACAAAAACGTGACAAAAAAATGAAACAATATTTTTATTGAGAAGATTTCATTGATTGTTCGATATAATAATTTGATGCTTCAACTTAAATTGAAATCAACATTCCTCTTTCAATTTTCGGTGAAGATTGGATTGAAATTTGAGGAACATGTATATTTCTTTGAAAATTAGTTGGATTCTGAAATTAATAATATTTTTAATGTGTTTGGAATTTAAAAAAAAATCAAAACTTACAAATGGTGATGGTAAACTATTCCTTATTAATTCTGGATTTCCATCATCTCGAAATCTGATTGTTTCTTTTCCAAAATGATCGAGACAAATATATCGCCTTGTTCGAGACACTTCAGTTGACAATTCATTAATTAAATTTGAATTTGAATTTGTCAAAATTTCGAGTCATTGCTTCTGTTTTCCAGCAACCGAAGTGAATGATGTCATATAATTAGAATTGACAAGATTTTCACAAATAACGCAAATTCTATGACGATTCTGAATTTGATGTTTTCAATTTTAGAAGTCTTATAAAATGTATCATTAAAAGTTAATAACTTGTTCTCATATCTTACTTACGCTAACCTACCTTTGGTTTTGATTGAGCTGTAGTTGTTTTGAGCATCTTTTTTGATCAATAAAATTGCCGATTGAATGATAAATGAAAAAAAGACAAGCAACTCACGTGTTTTACGCCACGTCACTCCACGCAACATTAAAAAAAATCGTGTTTTTGCAGAAAAAAATCAAAAGAAATTTCGTCAACAACAACGTGAACTGAGTTCATCAGTTTCTTCAACAGATGTCAAAAAACGATGCAGTTATCCGCCAAAATATTTGTGTCGACCGAATTTGGAAGAAATTCAGAAGAAAATCGATGAGTTTTACGATATCAAAACAGTGGACAAAAATGAGGGATTGCCTGATAAAATGGATATTCACCGCGAATTTTCACTTTCCGATGGAGGATCGGAATTCAGTTGCAGTCCGAAGGTAACATTTTTTGATTTTAAATTTTTGTGGGGAATTGAAATTTTCCGAAAATTACCTTTTTTTCGAAAATGTTATTTTTAGTTCCTTAAAATTTCCTTAAAATAGACCAAATTTTCAGGAGGAAAGAAGCAGTTCAGTTGCTTCAAATGCATCAAAACGAAGAAGAATCCAAACACCTGAAGACTAATTGATCTCACTTATATTTATTTTTGCTCATATAAAACATTTGTGCATATTTTCCAACTTATTTTATTTATATTCATTGAATAAAACTTGTTGGTGACTTCAAGCTGTGATATTTTTAAATTTTCAATTATTTTTTCCATAACAAAATGAACCAAACTTCAATAGATCCTATCCAGTTTTTTTGTCATCCACTACAAATTACATTTTTCACAAAAGTCAGTAATATCCCTGGTAAAACTCCGTATTCAAATAGCCGCGGTGCACACAAAACGCGCCAACGTCAAAGCACTGACGTGTTTGTGTTGCGCATTTCTGGTTTTACTTTGTTTTTCAAGGTTTCAAACTGAGTTGAGCTTTTGCTTGTTTTTCTAGGGTGTTAGTAGGTTTTGTGTCTCGGGACGGTCCTAAACCGTCCCCCTTCTTGTCATAAAATGATTTGCGATCAATAAATGATTGCATTTCAACCTGTTCGTGTATTTATCGTTTGTGTAAAGTGGTTGTGATCCACTTCAATCTTTGTTGCTGGAAAGGAGTTCAAGGGAACCAAACCTTGAACTGCCTACTTGGGGGCCGAACTAAAACCGATCGAGGAACCAGATGGACTTGGCGAATCGAGAGGAAATATGGATTGTTGGATTTTCGTCGCAACTCGAAGAAATCTTTGAGTGAATGAAGATTTATTTGATTTTATTGATCGATATGCTGTTTATTCGTGTATTTTGTTCGTGCTGGGGGGTTCGACGCGACATTTGTCGGAATCCGGCAAACGTAACTGTCTGAATCAGATAGTTTATGTCGTCGTTGACCTAAAATCGTCAATTTATTCGTATTTTTGCAGTCCGACAACTCCATATCAACAAAACTGGCAATATTGAGACATCCGATTGAAATATTATGGATTGGAATGACAATGGATGGGGTTTTGCGAGATGAAAATCGAAAAAATCGAGAATTCGATATCAGGAGTTTGTGGAAGATGGAGAATCGGAAGAAATGTAGTCTGGAAGTGGAGCAGAAGGGTGATTGGTGGAATCGGGAGGATTTGAAAGCCAAAAGAAGCTCGAAAACCTGTTCGCATGGAGGATATGTTGTCTGAAGATTGTTGGAAGCAAATGGTATGATTTTTGAATGAAAGATTCAAGAAAACTCAAGGTTGTGGAATTTCAGGAAAAAGAGTCAGAATTTGGAAGAGGAGGAAGCTACTCGAAGGGTCGAGGGATAGGTGCGAAGAAAAAGGGTAGGAAATCCTGCACCGAAGTCCGAAAATAGCAACTCCATGGATAATGGAAGCGATCGAACGTCATTTAATGGTTATTTGGCGCCAAGGTGGACACCCAGGTGAACGTGTTTCGATGCGCTGAAGTTTGGTTATACTTCCGAAGGATGAAATTTGGCTGAATGGTGCAAGATATTGGTGTGGTGTATGGCCAAAGCATCGGAACCAAGCACACAATTATTGGAAAAATGGCGCTGGAGACGCTGGAAAATTTGAAGAAAATGAATGTTGAGGATGAAAGAAATCATGGTGAAGATTCAATTGGATGTGCGTCGTGGAGTCTGGATGTTCGGAGGTCGAAAGTAGATAGGGATCGAAATCGATGAGAAATAGGATTCCGACGGCATGGATTGATGATTTATGAATTTGTTGAACAGAAAGTTGATGTGGATTGAATGGTTGATGGAAAGATTGGTATGATGGGATGAGTTCAAAATCGATATCAAACGGTGTTGATGATCGACAACAATTGGATAAATAAATGAGGTGTAATTTGTTTATTTTTTGTTAACTCATGCCCTAAGCTCTGCCAACTCTACGGTTTTGTAGTAAAGCCGGGACGGCTTTTTTGAAGGAGGGGGAAGTAATATCCCTGGTAAAACTCCGTATTCAAATAGCCGCGGTGCACACAAAACGCGCCAACGTCAAAGCACTGACGTGTTTGTGTTGCGCATTTCTGGTTTTACTTTGTTTTTCAAGGTTTCAAACTGAGTTGAGCTTTTGCTTGTTTTTCTAGGGTGTTAGTAGGTTTTGTGTCTCGGGACGGTCCTAAACCGTCCCCCTTCTTGTCATAAAATGATTTGCGATCAATAAATGATTGCATTTCAACCTGTTCGTGTATTTATCGTTTGTGTAAAGTGGTTGTGATCCACTTCAATCTTTGTTGCTGGAAAGGAGTTCAAGGGAACCAAACCTTGAACTGCCTACTAGTCACCTAATTCAATTATATATATATTTTTGTCTGTTCCTCATTATTTCTCTATCTATTTATCATCATATTTCTTAACATGTCCAACAAAGTTCAAAAACAACACAAATGTCTATTTCTCTCAATTTCCAATTATCTCTCATCTTTCTATCTTCTGGCTGATGCAACGAATCGTGTCCAAACGCTCAGTTTTACTTTTTCTTAGATCCGCCCATTTTTTAACAGAATTTAGGAGAAGGATTATTTTATTTTTCAGTATATAACTAATGATTTCAGACTAGGGAAATTCAGTTGGGAATGTTTTCTTCTTTTTTTTCTTTTCTGAATTTCACTTTTTGAATTTTTCAATTGATTAGGTCCACAGTAGTTCAAGCCTATTTGTGGAGAAAAATTTAGGAAATTCCGAGAAATTGTTTTAGCGTGTTTTCTCTGAAGCACACAAAAAGGTTTTTAAAAAATATGGGCGATCAAGTTTGCCCTATCACATACATAATAATCATACTTTAATTAGTTTCACCTTCTCTATTTATTCCCAATCATCCTAAATTCAAAAAAAAATTAGAATCGCCAAAACTTCAAACCCAGTAATCAAATATTTATTTTCCTTCTCGCCGATAATTTTTTGCTTTTTTGATTTCTGATCGAAAAAAAAGTTTCAAGTCGTCTGACCTTTCTATCTTTTATCTTTTTTCTCTCAAATTTTCATCAATTTCGAAAAAAAATAAAAATCCCATAAAATAATTTTTGCAGCGAGCGAAAAAACCCCATTATCTTATCATTCTAATTTTCTGATCTGAAACTCTTTTCCTTCTGATCTTTTTATTTCGTTGACATTTTTCCATTTGTTTCTGACGAAAACTTGTTTTTTGTCCATTTCCTAAATACCACGTGTTTCCACAATTAAATATAACCTCATATTTTTTTCACGTATATAAATAAGTTTTCAGGTAATCATAGTATAATTGTTTGAAAGAAGATGTCAACATTCCCACATTTCGGAACTGCTGCAATTCATGTTGGACAAGAACCAGAACAATGGGATATGAATCAAGTTGTTCCACCAATTAGTCTTTCATCAACATATAAACAAGATAATCCAGGAGAGCCAAAAGGACACGATTATTCACGAGCTGGAAATCCAACAAGAGATGTTCTTCAGAAAAATTTGGCCGCTTTGGAAGATGCTAAACATTGTACGTTCACAAATATTATTTAAGCATACTATTTTCATATTACAAATTTAATTTCAGGTCATGTTTATGCATCAGGACTTGCTGCTTCAATGTCAGTTATTAATATTCTCAAAACTGGTGATCACGTAATCTGCTCGGATGATGTTTATGGAGGAACTCAAAGATTTTTGCGCAGAGTTTCAGTGCCAAATCATGGACTTCAAGCTGATTTCGTTGATTTGACAAATATTTCAAATTTGGAGAAAGCAATCAAATCAAACACAAAAATGATTTGGTTCGAATCTCCATCAAATCCATTATTGAAAGTTGTTGATATTGCTGCAGTTGTTCAAACCGCAAAAACTGCGAATCCAGAAATTTTGGTTGTTGTTGATAATACTTTTATGAGTCCATATTTCCAAAGACCAATTTCATTAGGAGCTGATATTGTTGTTCATTCAATCACAAAATATATCAATGGACATTCTGATGTTGTTATGGGAGCTGTTATTACTGATAATGATGAGATTCAACAACATTTATTCTTCCAACAATTAGCTGTTGGAGCTGTTCCATCTCCATTTGATTGTTTCTTGGTTAATCGTGGTCTCAAAACTCTTCATATTCGAATGCGTGCTCATTATGAAAATGCTCTTGCAATTGCAAAATATTTGGAATCAAATGATCGTATTGAATCAGTTCTTTATCCAGCTTTACCTTCTCATCCAAATCATCAAGTTCATATTAAACAAACAAAAGGAATGTCTGGAATGATCTCATTCTATTTGAAAGGAGGATTAGAGCAATCAAGAACATTTTTGAGCTCATTGAAAGTTTTCACATTAGCTGAATCATTAGGAGGATATGAATCATTGGCTGAATTACCTGCAATTATGACACATGCGAGTGTTCCAGCTGAAGTTAGAAAAGAATTAGGAATCAGTGATAATTTAATTCGAATCAGTGTTGGAATTGAAGATTTGGACGATTTAATTGCTGATTTGGATCAAGCTTTGAAATCAGCTGTGAAAGTATAAAAACACTATGCAACTATTTTATTGATATTTTGAAAATAATAAAACTTTAACGCATTATATTACAAGATTCTTTCTATTCACAAGATGAAATACTATTTTGCTCTAATTTATTAATTTTATTTAATTCTTCTATTAAATGTTGACGAAGAGCTGTTATCGTTTTCACACATTCGCTGTTTGTTTTCCAGTTTTCGCCGAATTTTTCCTAGGAAATCATTTGATTTTTTTTTTGAAACGAAAAAGAAAAAAGATTTCATACCATAAACATTTCCACATTTTCTTCAATCCGATTCCACATATAAACTTTCACCCTTTTTCTTTCAGCATTGAAATCGAACAGTGATCTGCAATAATTAATTTTTGAATCACACCTTTTTAATTTGAGAAAAATTAAATTCTGAATCGCACCCAAAATCTGCTTTCTTTGATAAAATATTTGGGGTGGCTGAATCTGAAAATTTTCAATACAAAATAATTCGATTTAAAAAAATTCAGATCAGCCTGAATCAACCCTGATCTCTAAAACCACCCCATATATTTTTTAAAATTACCTATCACTTGATTGTGCTCTCAAATGTTTTGCCAATGTTTCAGCATGACAAATAACTTCTTCAGGAAATGTAGACATTTCAACAACTTCGAATCCTATAAAAATAAAATTTGTTGACGAAAAATTAAATTTCTTCAATTTATATACCGTATAAGGGACCACGATAAGGACCTCGCATAAGTTTGTGGCGAAACATAATTTTATCTTCACGTGTTTCCGATGATGGTCGAAAATGATAACTGAAAATTTGAGATTTTTTTTTCCAAAAAAAATTAATAAAGAAGAAGACTACTTTTCAACGGCGGTTGATTGATTCGCCAAAACCCAAAGATCGAGAAAATGTGTGGCCAACAAAGTATAACAATCCAATGTCAAAATTCGTTCACAAATTGCATAAGTTATAGCAATTCCCTCTTCTGTCGATGTACTTCTCGCTAATTCATCCATAACAACTAATGAATTCATATCAGCGTGTTTGAGAATTGTTGAAGCATCTCGCATTTCACACGCAAATGCTGACTTATTTCGAACTAATTCATCATTATGTCCCATACGAGAAAATATTCGATTAAAAACTGAAAACCATTTTGTCTTTTTTATGATTTCAATAATTATCTTTAAAAAATATTAACCTGGTAAACTTGCAAAATCAGCAGGAACTGGACAACCAGATTGAGCGATAATTGAGAGCAATGCAACTTGTTTTAAATATGTTGATTTTCCACCCATATTTGGTCCTGTTATTATTCCAAATCGACGATCTCGAGTCAAACACTGTAAAAACACGTTTTTTTTCAATCTATACAGGACCGCAATTATTAAATGTGGCGTTAGACTGGACCACAAAAATTTTATATCAAAAAGTATGGTTTCCTTGGAATTCACCGAACTTTTTAAAACATTCCATAATTGTAATAACTTTTTTGAAACTTATGAGGGAATTTATAATATTCCAAATTTACCCTAACTTTTGTGATGAACTTTGTCTTCAAATTCTTACCGTATCATTAGTGACAGTTTTGTCAGAATTTGCCCAATCTAAAATTGGATGCCTTCCTTGACTAACAGATAATTGAGTTCCAAACTCAGGACGAACAGTATCTCGAGCATTTGAATACGTGGCCAAACTACACAGAAAATCAATAGTTGACAAAGCATCCATTGCATAATACAGAACAGGTAAAATATGTTGGATTCTTTCAACAATATCGGATACAACAATATCACTTGCTAAAAATACTTCAGCAACTGTTGTTTCGATACGATCTTAAAAATGTAATATTTTTGAATGTTCAAAGTTCTCGCAAAAATACTTACTATTAATCGACATCATCTTTTTCGATGAAAATGTAACTGTTGATCGATTTCGAACAACTTCGGAAAATATTCGTGGAATTGTGATTCTTTGTGCATCTCTTGTTGGTACTGTATAATGAAATCCACGTATTTGAGAATATGAAAGTCGAGCAACATCTTGACCGAATTGTTGATTTATTTCTTGTTGTCCAACTTCGTCAACTTTATTTAATAATTCTAAATAAGCTTTTCGGGCAACGTCAAGATTTATTGATACTCCTTCTGAAAGAAAAATTTGGAATAGACCTAGAAAGTTTGAAGATTTCAGTTTCTAATGAGTTTTCACGGTTTAAAAAAATGGGAAAAAAATATTTCTCGAACCTTTTATAGCGAAACATTTCACATTTTTCAGCGCCAATGAATTTTTCTTATTTTGAATATGTTGATCACTAATAGTTTCATCTAAAATACTCATCATTTCTTCAAATTGATCATCATTCAAAAATTCCATTTTGTCCAAAAGCAATTTTGATGTTAATTTAATATTTTGCATAGTATCTCGCATTGCAGAAATAACTTTGAGAGTTTGTGCTAATTTGACAATTTGATTGACATTTGATTCAGCTCCTCGAACAGTCCACGAAGCTGTTGTTTGAATACACATTGCCATAATTCGATCGAGATCATGTGCACGGCTGAGAAGATTTCGAAGTTTATCTCGTAATTGTGGTTTTTCATTCAATTCTATAACAGCATCGAGACGATTTTCGATTGTATAAAGATCAGTTGAAGGTTGAAGAATATTTGAACGTAGAAGTCGCGCACCATTTGCCTACAAAAATAATAAAATACATAAATAACTATAAGTTCTGAAAAAAAACACATACAGTTACTGTATGATCAAGAACGGCTAAAAGTGTTCTTCTTTGACTAAATTGATGTTTTGTCGGAGAAACATCATCCAAATCAACAATTTCCAAACTATCCCATGATGCACAATCAATCATACAAGTATCATCGATAACAATTTCTTGAATTTTCAAAGATTTTAATCGAAAATAAATATTTCTAGTTTCATTGATATATTTCAATAAAACATTAAATGCACCAAGAGCAAGTGATTTTTCGAATATTTGTTCAGTTACTTGAGAAACGTGTTTGTTCATCATCAAATTCAATGATTGTGCACCTTTTTCACATTTGAAATATCTGAAAATAATATATAAATATAATTTGATCCGATTGAAAAAAAAAACAAACTTTGATCCGATTGATTGAATCAATGCATCGGGAAATGCAGTCACCAAAGAATCACCCAATAATTTCGATTGTCCTCTTTCATTATTTCCATGTTGAAGAACAATCTTTAATTTCAAATTTTAATTTTTTTTAATAGAAAAAAAGCTAGTCCTGACTGAATTTTCGTCATTTTCGAAATATCGTTCACTTACATCAAAAGATCGATTGACTTGAATCATAGTTTTCAATCTTGAATATTCTCTCGAATCTACAAATTCACAAATATCAACTTCCGGATATCGAACATCGTGCATCGCAACTCCAAAACGATCCATCAATTTTTCTCGATCTTGCATTATCACTGAAATTCTAGATTTTTCTATAACCGACTTTCAAATACAATTGTTCACCAATAACAATATCCGACTTGGTTTTTCGAGCCGTGTTCATTGATGCTTCCATACTCGGATCACTTCTTTGCCACATTGTTAAACTTCCAGAAAATTGAACATCTTCTGTTCGGCGAGGAGGTGATTGTAATCGCCTTCTTCGAGAACTATACATCTACAGCCAATGAATTTGTAGATCATATTTGGAATAGAAAATCGAAATACAGTCTGACCCATATTGGTAACTAAATATTCAAACAAAACAATTTACCATGATAACAAATTTCATATAATAATTATTATAACGAAAAAGGATAACAGAGCACTCGATAGATATTGAAGAAAAAAGGCATAGAAGATCACCGAAAAATAAACAGAAACTGGGGATAAATTAAAGACATTTTGGAGGATTGGACTAAAAATGCATTAGGCCGTTGAAGCTGGATCAGATTTCTTCTCAATTCCTTCTTCTGGACGCATGGCTGGGAATAACAAAACTTCCTGTAAATTAATTAAATTATGAAAATAATCCTATTCTAAATAAATATGAATACCTTGATATTGTTGTTATCAGTCAAAATCATGGTCAATCGATCAATTCCCATTCCCCATCCACCAGTTGGAGGCAAACCGTATTCTAAAGCATTACAGAATGTTTCATCAATAACTTGAGCTTCATCATCTCCTGCATCTTTGTCTTTGGCTTGTTGTTCGAAACGTTGACGTTGTGTGATTGGATCATTCAACTCAGTGTATGCATTGGCGATTTCTCTTGTAACAGCGAACAATTCGAATCGTTCAGTGAGTCCAGGAGTGTTTCTAAACAAACAATAACATTTAGAATGATTTGTAAATAGAACTATGCGCGACTTCAAGTTCCAAAGAACAAGAAAACTAACATGTTTGGAAAAAATTTTGGAATCTCCCTCATTTGTTGAAAATTAAAAAAGAAAATCAAAATAATTTTACCTGTGCCATTTAGCCAAAGGACTCATGATTTGTGGATGTCCGATAAGGAAAGTTGGAGAAATACATTTGCTTTCTAAGTATTCACCAACAAGTTTGTCCAACAAACGTGCAGTTGTTCTTGGTTCCGAACAATCGACATTTTTGTCACGGCACAATTTATCGAAAGCCAATCGAGCCTCTTCGGTATGCAATGTAGCTGGATCTGGAAGAGTAACTCCGAGTTCGGCAGCAAGTCCTTCATACATATTGATTCTTTTGAATGGTGGTGTGAAATCAACTTCGTAGACTGGTTCGGTGTCTGGTCCATTTGGATGATATTCAATTTTGTAAGTTCCTCTAATGGCTTTTACCATTCCACTCAACAAATCTTCGGTTAATTGAATAACATCTTCATAATCAGCATATGCCATATAAAATTCGCAAGTTGTGAATTCTGGATTATGAGTCAAATCAATTCCTTCGTTTCTGAACAATCTTCCGACTTCGTAAACTCTATCAATTCCTCCAACAACAAGCATTTTGTGATATAATTCTGGAGCAATTCTCAAGAAGAGATTCATATCCAAATCGTTGTGATGAGTGATGAATGGTTTTGCCGTGGCTCCACCAGCAATTTGATTCATTATTGGTGTTTCGACTTCCAAGAATCCCAAATTGTCCAAGAATCGACGAAGATATGTAATGATTTTTGAACGAATAACAAAGTTATTTTTGACTTGTGGATTGAGAATCAAATCGAGATAACGTTTACGGAAACGAAGTTCCTTGTCTTTAATTCCATAATGAGTATGTGGAAGCATATGAAGACATGGAGTAAGTTGAACAACTTCAGATGGAAGAAGAGATAATTCTCCAGTTTTGGTTCTTGTTGGTTGACCTGTGAATCCAACAATGTCACCACGTTTGATTCGATCGTGTAATTCAACAAAATCAACAGATCCAGTGTGAACACGGGCATTGGCCATGATCTGAAAAAGACTATTTATGAACTGATATTCAAAAATTCAATAATACCTGAAGTCTAGTTCCTTCTCCATGAATATCGTAGAATACCAATTTGCTTCCTGATTCTCTTTTCGAGAAAATTCTTCCAGCAACCGATACAATATCATTTGAAACTTGTTCTTTTTCCAAACTCGAATATTTCTCAATGAATTCAGTCAAGGAAATAGTGACATTGAATTTGTGTGGGAATGGATTATCTCCAGCAGCACGTCGAGATTCGATCATTCGAACTCTCATGTTGAAATATTCTTGAGGATCCGAAGGATCAGCTTCTTTGACAACTTTTTTGGTTCCTTCTCCTTCGATTGTTAATTTCGCAGCTTCTTTCTCCAACTTTTCTTGCTCTTTTTGGAGTTGCTTTGCTCTCCTTTTTTGCTCACTGAAATTAGATTAATTAATGATTAAAAATTATATTTTTCTCCATTAAATCACCCACACACGCACACCCACCGATTTTTAAAGGTGTTGTATGAGGCAGTTGTAATCTGAAATTGGCGCGACGTATATCTCATGCCAAGTGCACACAAAAACGTGCTCTTTGACAGTAGCATTATAATATTGGTTTGGTGTGGTGGCGGGTGTTTAATGCAATACTTACTTCTTACTCAGTTTGGCGTCAGACTCACTCATTGTACAAAAATAAAGCGATACAAGCTGCAAAATTTTTATAATTTATAACAGAATTATCATAAGAGACAAAATACTCAAAATGATGAAATGTGATTGGCACATTGTGATATCATGATAAGACTTGAATTTTAGCGTGAAATCAATTTCTCGGAGAGAAAATTATTAAATTGATAAAAATCAAAAAGCTAGCAAAAAAGGTGCCTGAAGAAAATAATACTAGACATTGGAAAAAAGAAGATAATTTTTGAAAATCCTAAAAATCGAAAAATAACCCTATTTTGGTGGTAACAAAACCTTGAATTTTCGATGGAATATACTTGAAAGAAGTTATTAATTCATTTAGATTCCAACCTAGACAAATCACAATGCAAAAAGTCTAGCAAACACTGAAAAAACAGGAAGAAGTTGGAAAAAATAAAAGAAATTTCGAGGCTACAGTACTCCACTATTTGAAATTTCGCAATAGAGCACGTTTTCTCCATCACTCATTTCTTTTTTTTCGCAAAAAAAGAGGCTATCGAATTAACGAGCTCGTTGTTTCGAAGAAATTTCAAGGTTATCAAATAAAAGTATTGGGGAAAAATGAACAAAGAAGATCACATTTTCATTTGATGTCGAAAATGGCGACGGGGATCCATTTTCACGTGGAAAATGAACAATTGCAATTTTTTACAAAATTTTGATCTACGCGGTCAAAACAAACTTTTCCGATTTAAAACTACACTATAGTTTTAGTATATAAACTAGCCGGAAAGAAATATATTCAGTTTCCAATTAACTTTTAAAATGTCTGTCTGTCCATACGCTAATCGCTTCAACGCATTCCTCAACGACTTCAATGGACTCCAACGTCGTGCTTTGGCAAACACAACCAACTTCAACTTTGCCAACGAACTCGGAGACATTGAAAACAACGAGAACCAATTTGCTGTTGATTTGGATGTTCGCCATTTCAAACCAGAAGAATTGAATGTCAATTTGAATGGACACGTTTTGACTGTTGAAGGAAATCACGAGGTCAAAACTGAACATGGATTTGTCAAGAGATCTTTCACTCGTCAATTCACTCTTCCAAAGGATGCTGATTTGGCTGCAATTCACTCGAATTTGGAAAACAATGGACATATGCGCATTCAAGTTCCAAAGGTTGGTTTTTATTTTATTTTAAAATCTTGAAACATTTTTACCCCCTATTTATTCCAGATCGGAGCCACCAACAACACAACTCGCTCAATTCCAATTCAAGTCAAACCAAGTCTCACCAACGGAACTCATTAACTCATTGTGTATAATAGTACTTATTTTGCTCCCAACTATGTACAATAAAATATTCATTCGGGAAAACTTGAGTATCAGAGAGAAGAAGAGGTAGAAAAAATAAGTTAGTGAGTAGTTGGATGCCAAAATGATTTTTTGTGATCCGCGTTTTGGCGATAGCATTTGCTTCCATATCTGAAATAATATTTTGATGATATCTATGCATTGATATTGAAAATATTTACCTGCAAGGTTCCATATCATCGGGACACTTTTCTTCAACTTTTTTGATTCCATTTGCTGGTCGACTTCGAGTTCCTTTTTGAACCATTTTCGGTTTTTCGTTTTCTTTTAGATTTCCATCTTCATCTTCTGACATCGATGAAATACTGCTGACATCAGATTCGGATGAATCTGAATTCGAGCCACCATTTTCGTCATCGCTATTTTCATCTTCAGAATCAATATCACTGATTTCTTCTTCTGATTCGGACATTTCGTCGCTGAAAACGAATTCGAAAACATATTTATTCATTTCTTTATTAATTCAATTATTATAAAACAGTAAAGCGGATAATGAAAAACTACGGTAGATCAACAAATTGAGGAGAATGAATTGGAATTGGAATAAATATTTACCTTTCATCATTTTCAGATTCTGAAACTTTTCGTGATTTCTTTGCTGGTGGTTTTTTGGATGATTGAGTCGGCTTCTTTTCGGCTTTCTTTTTATCGAGTCCACCAGATTTATAGCTTCAATTATTTAAATTTTATTTAATAAATTTGAAATCGTAGTTTACCTATTGATAAGTTGCTCCAAGTCATTAGTCTCTTGATATGTTTTTGGAGCATTCGAATGTAATCCTTTCAAAATAACATCATCTTCAGTTTCAATTCTCAAATCTTTCAAAATTATGCGAATAAGATATTGAACTTCAATTGGACCAAGGCTGAAAAAATTGACAATTTATTATTTTCTCGATTTTTTCGAAAAAAAATACCGTTTTGCGGCGAATTTGAAATGCGAAACTCGCTGTTCATCATTTTCCAACGTATTCAATTTTTCCAAAAATCTCCCAACTTTTTGAATACTCCAATCACTTTTCTCAGTTTTCGCAACTTTTTCAATGGTCTTTTTGATTGTCACACTAACATCTTCATCTTTTTCCCGAATTTTCGATTCTTCCAAATTGAGAAAATCGGCAAAATATTTGATAATATCTTTTTCTTTCACATGATATTTGGTTTTATCAGAAGATCTCAAAAGCAATTGGAAAATCAAAAGCAAATCTCCATCAAAGTCTTCTGCAAATAAATAGGTTGATTTTTTGAAAAATTTTTAAACAAAAAAAATTCACTCACTTTTCTTGATCATTCCTTCAATATTTGCTATTTTGTCTTCGTCATCTTCACAGTTTTTCAAAACTTCGCAAACTTTTGTGAATTTATAGAAAGAGTTATATTTGGAATTTTCATTGATTTCTTCACTTTTCTTTGTTTTTTCTTCTGGAGTTTCTTCAGCTTTTCGTTTTTGAACTGCTGTCTTTTTTGGTGTTTTTGTTGCTCCATCAGCTGGCCCATCTTTCTTCCGTTTTTCCGAAAGTTCTCCAATCAATTTTTCAATTTCTGCTTTATCTTCATCTGTCAAATCATCAAATCCTTCAATTTCATCCGAACTATCGATTACTTTTGTAGTTGGTCGAGCCTTGAATAACATCTCGAATAAGCAATTTTTATGATGATATTGTTTCATATCTGGTGGAGGTTTTGATTCATCAGTTGATTTCAGGAAAAAGTTTGGAACAATTTTCCCAACTCGAAGTGACTGTAATAATTAATTATTTAGGAAAAGAATAATGAATCTTTTTCAAAAACCAACCCCTTTTTCCAATTGCATTTTGCATTTTTGACATTTCGCAACTCGTTTTGCATAATCAGCAAAAAATCGTGTCGTGGTCGACATACTAAAATTTGTCTATTATGAAACTTTTTTGAAACAAAACACAAAATATTTTCTAGTTTTTCAAACAAGAAATCATGGAATCAACAAAAATATTTGAAAAAAAAAATGTTTTTTTGAGCAATTCAAAATATGGCAAGAACAAAAATATGACTAGTTGAGAACTAAATAACAAGTAAACGAATATCAAAACACACTGCACCTATTTATAAAAAGGTGTGGCGGGAAATTTATCAATGGGGCACGTTTTATTATGTTGGTTGTGAATATACTATATACAAAATGTGTTAGAATAAAGATGATAATTGAAGTTCTAATTAAACCCCGAAAAATACACGAATCATTGTTTCAGCGGCAAGTCCAGGCGTTGTTTTTCCACTTTTAATATCACGTTCAAGTTGTGGCGCCTAAAATTCGAAAATAAATACAGTATAATTAAATAATTATTGAAGATTTTTCGTTATTCAGGTCGAAAAAAAACTTTAAAAAAACGTTTTTTTTTACAAAAAATTTCGATTCAGCAAATGTCAAAAAACTATATTTTTTTCCTATTTTTTTCCATTTTTTTTTCATTGAAACATTTTCGCTGCGAGATATCTTTCATTTTTGTGTGGAAAAAAATAGGGTTTTTTGACATTTGGTGAATCGAATTTTTTTGTTAAAAAAAACGTTTTTTTTTTAGTTTTTTTTCGACCTGAATCACCCCATAACTGAAATCACAATTTTGAACTTACAAGATTAGCAATTTTCGGATGTTTTTGGAAAACAGCCATAATTTCATCTTTAACATGATTCCACATCCATTTTTGCATTTGTTCTTGTCTTCTTCTTTCTAAATCTCCTGATTCTCCAATCGCATCCCAAAATTCATAAATCTTCGAACAAACATTCGAAACTGATTCTTTATCCATAATCGAAGATCGCATAACTTCAGGTCTCCAAACATCCAATCTCGGTCGCATAAATTTCAGCGCCGAAATATATTCAGCTTGTGTCATTTTTGCTTTAGCTTTCAAATCTCCATCATCTTTTGTTACAACAAGTAAATCACTCATTTCCATAATTCCTCTTTTAACACCTTGAAGTTCATCTCCATGTGCAGGCGATAATAATAAACACATCATATCACACATATCCGAAACTGATACTTCTGATTGTCCAACTCCAACTGTTTCAATTATAACTACATCATATCCAGCTCCTTCGCACAAAATTACAGCTTCGTGAATTCCACGAGTAACACCTCCCAGCGAACCTGGAACTCAGATTTTTTTAAAAATTTGGTCCACCAAAACTTTGGACTCCAAATCTTTTGGTTTTAAATCGTTTGGTTCAAAAAAATCTCCAACCGTTTTTGGGTAACACATTTCTTAAAGCAAAACTCACCGGATGTTGGACTTTGTCTAATATAAGCCATTGGATTTCTAGATAATTCTTGCATTCTAGTCAAATCTCCTAATACCGATCCACCAGTCATTGCACTTGTTGGATCAATTGTCAAAACTGCTACTTTCTTCCCGCGATTAACTGTTAATTCATTTCCCATTGCTTCGATAAATGAAGATTTTCCAACTCCAGGACTTCCCGAAATACCTGAAAATTAATTTTGAATCGAATTTCGTTTTTTCACTATGTCTTACCAATTCTAAAAATCATTGAATCTCTTCCTAATCTCTTATATTTATCCCGTTCTTCATCTAAAACCAATTTCAATAATACATTTCCTTGTGCTCTTTTTGTTGGATTTTTCGATTCGACTAATGTAATTGCAGATGCCAATGCTGCTCTTTGTCCAGCCATCAAATTTGTGAACATTCTTTTCACCTAAAAAAAGAGGGGTTAAAAATAAGAACTAAATAAAAATAAATTACGGTAGGATCTTCTGCAGTTACTGTATCATCCCAATGAATTCTCGAATATTCTTCTAAAAGATTTTCAAATGGAACCGATTTGTTGACACCTTCTATAGTTGGAATATAAGGTTTCGAAAAAGACGCCGAAAATTGCCTGAATTGTGATATTCTCCATAATTTTGTAGCTAAATTCGACATCTGAAAACAATTCTTGAGATGGAATTATTGGATTCAATTCAGATATTAATTTTTCTTGGTATAAACCAGCAATAAACATACGATAACTTACACAAAATTGTATTTTATAAGACAGAAAAATAATAACTATATGTGGGCAGAGGATAAGTTAGTTGGCTGGGAATTTTTTACAGGGAAACACACAAAAAATGAAGAGAAATCAAGCAAGTTTAGGATAACAACAAATCTTCGAATCCACGTGTTTCTATCAAAAGTTTATCCCAATTGATTTTTGCACGAAATACTTCTTGTTCCATCCATTTTTCATAATTTTGTTTGAATCTGAAAAAAAAATAAAAATTGATTTTGAAGATTTTTTAGCAAATTTTGAATCGGACCAGGTTGATTAGTCACGGGAATTTTGAAGCGTAGAAAATTCGGAAATTTCTTTTTTTTTGTTCAACCCATTTGAAATAAACATCCGTATCCCTTTCTTGAGTCCAAGTCAGAATCTCTCCCAGAATTTCGCAAAAAAAAAAACCAACTTTTTTCCAAGTGTAATATCTAATCCAAGTACAGAATGTGCACAATTATCAACCGGCTCAAAATCTCTCATATCTACACGATTCAAATAATCATCTCCAGGCATTGGAGCATCATTCACTTCTAAAAAATACTTTGTTAGTTTTAAAAAATAAATTGAAAAAAAGCAGACTAACCAATTGCAAATTGTGGATAATATTTTGCATATCTTCGACTGTGAAATCTTTCAATCGATGCTTTTATTAAATTATCCTCTTTTTGATAATCACATTTTCTTTTGATATCAGAAGAAAATGCCCAATCATCAGTCATTCGATGTCGAACTCTTGAATAAATCGCTGAAATTGTTGCCATATTCGTTTTTCTCCATTGTCTTCCCAAAAATCGCGATTGCATTTTGATAGCTTTCAGTATATATAATTGGAGAATCGACTGAAAAACAAATTATTGGAAAAATAAATATTGAAAGAAGATAGTTGAAAAATAATCCAAGGTGTACTTATTCCAAAATTTACAGAAAAATGTTTCTTCCCTTGTATGACATTTTTTAACTTACCACTCGAACTTTCAATAATCTTTTAAGAATTGGAGCTGATTTGAAAGCCATCAACATTTTAACTCGATCATTCTTTCCTTTCACCAACTTGTTCAACAATCGAACCAAATTAATTGTATAAAACACATTTCTCCACATAAAATATGGTCCAGCATAAGGTGAACGTGGTTCTTCGATATTATCTTGAGTCAAAATTGGCCATTCTTCTGCAAAATGTTTTTTAGTATAAAATGTTTTCCAATATAAAATATTACCTCCATTTCTGACATAATGATAAAGACATTGTGGATAATTATAAGCATATATTTCATGTCGAGATTGAATATATTTTGTAGTATTCTGCAATAAATAAGAATTGGCACGTAAATGAAAAACAGAGAGAAGAAAACAAGAAAATGGGAGGAGCCATTTGATCAGTTTGTGTTCCGACCACTTTGTAATCTTTGAAGTGATACAATAAAAGTGAGGTGATTTTTTGAAAACAAAAAATGTTGCAGAAGAAAACAGAACAGCTATTTTTTGAAGAGAAAAGTTACCTGATCTAAGAATTTGAGAATAAGTGGAATACCATTGACATAAACAATTTGTTGACAAATAAATTCGAATTGATAAATATGATTGAGTTTGAAATGTTTGACAAGCAATAAAAGAATTGAAGAAAGCGATTTGACAATTATCTGGAATACATTTTTGAGATAGAGTATGCGAATTTCTCTTACAAAACTTTTTGATCTGGGCTAGTGAGCAAAGTTAAGATCAGAGTTCAAATGGACCATGTTAATTAAAAAATTACCTCTTTGTGGCGATTAATATCAATAGCTAATCTAAAACCATCTTCAAGTGGTGAACTTGTTGAATGATCCAAAGATATGGAATTCGATAAAATATCAGATGCTTCCATTTCAGGTGTCAATAAATCAATAAGAACATTGAGTCCTTCTTTATTTGATGGAACTGATGAAACTAATACTTTAACAAGTGAACAAATATATTGACTCATATTTGGAAGAAGTTTTCGATAGATTTCTTCAGTTTTAGTTTCTTCAATCGCTTCTTTACGTGAGAATAAATATCTATTCAATTCTTCATCTTCAGCTATCTGAAATACATGGAAATTGGGAAAATGAATATTTATTTAAAGTTTTTACCTGTTTTTCTGAAAGCGATTCATATCGATTTTTTCTCAAAATATTTACAGCACCAATAAATGATGGAGGAAATCCAAAAAGTGTTGTTGTATCACTATTATCAAAATTGTAATTGAAATATTTGTGTCTGAAAATGAAGAAATATAAAATGAGTATTTATTTGTTTCGAAAAAAAGTTACCTTCCACTTTCAATGAATTTTTCAATATCAGCCGATGTTGTTTTACTTCTCCATGGTAGAATTTTTCTTTGTGGAATAACAGGAACAGGCGAACCAACTCTTGGTGTTTGTTCCCCACTTTTATCATTATTTTCATTTTGTCTATTATCAACTTCTTCATTTCCACTACTACTTGATGCTGATTCAGGTGGATCATCATCATCTCTTCCAGAATCATCATTATATGCCATTTGTCTTGCCATCATTCCAGCTCTTGCCAATGTTCCTGGACGATGTGCAAGGTTTTTAACTTCATCTTGTTCTTTTAATATAAAAGCAGGCATCGATTCGGCCACTTTGAGTGTATTTTCCATTATTTCGAGACCTGCTTTTTTGCGTTTTTCTTGTTTTTTCGATTCGATATCTTGCCATCCACCAAGAGTTAAAAGAAGAACTTTCCAGATCAATAAAACCATTTTCTTGATTGGATAATGTGGAGAAGTTCCGATATAAAATGGATGAAGCATGTTTAAAAGAACAATAAGAAGTGGCTCATTTCCATTTTCAATTGGTTCTTCTGTAAAATGTTTTTCCTCGACTGTTTTTTAAAAACAAAAATAAAAAACTTACGAATATCATCTTTGAACAATAATCGTGCTTCTTTCTCTTTTATATTTTGTGCTTCTGAAATTCCTCTTCCCGATTTTTCATCCAAAATTTGAACAATCATATGATAAATAGATGACATTATAATTCGTAACATTTCATTGTCTGCCATTGTTGGACCTTGTTTATTTCTCTCCGAATCTGATAGATCTGCATAACTCGCATGTTTACTGTCACGAGAACTGGCTTTTGAAATTCTTCCGTCATTTGATGGTAGAAATTCATAAGGTTCTTTGATCTCCGTCATCAGAAGAGTGCACAAACTCTGCAAAAAAAGTTTTTTTTTGAAAACTAAAATTAAGTGAGTAAATGAAATACCTGATATACACCATTTCTATAACAGACAAACGAATTTTTTACTGCTCTTTGATAAACTTGAAGAGGACCATCTGGATCCAATTCTTTCGATTTTTGAACAGGAACATTCATCATAAGATTTTTATCATATTGATATTCAATTTGTTCATTTTCCGGGTTAGCAAAATCGGTCACAGATCCTTGTAGAATAAATAAAATATTTCTAGCTGATTTCAATCTTATTCCACTATCCGCACTTTCCATTCGAGTACAAAGATCTTGAATAACAAAATCTTTTTGTGATTCTGTCAGATCTTCAAAGTTTCTTGGTAATGGATTAATACTATCTTCAAATGTTTCCATATATTCTTTCCAACAATTTATATTCAATGCAAATTCTTCCATTTCAGAATAACTATACAATTCAGCCATTTCTTTGATTCCTGTATCACTATCTCCATATTCAAAATCAAGATCTTTATCGATCTCAACATTCTCATTTATAGGTCCAATTCCTGTTCCAATTAAAGGCTGAGCTTCTTTAACTTGTTTCAGTTTCAAAACATTTGCAGAACGTCGATGAGCTAATGACGATTCGCTGTATTCGGGTTGATCACTTTCTTCAGTCTTTCTATCGCCATAAACATCTTCTGCAAAGTTTGGCCTGATTCCCATTACATTCAATTGTTCTCTGAAATCAAAACAAAAGTTTTCTCGATCAAAAACTCACAGGGATTTGAGGTTTTTCAGTGGAAAAAAAAGTTCGAAAGAATTTTTTCGTGAAAAAAAGGCGGCTAAACAAGAGGCAGAACGACACTCCGCAGTTTGATGTGCATGTTTGCTTCTACAGTAACCCTCACTGAAGAGAGCTGAATTTTTTACTTTCTTTTCTTTTTTTTCGCCCGGCCTAACACGTTTTTGTCTGAAACTTGTCTAAATAATGTGATTTTGCATTTCGTGTTTCATATTTCTGTTATTTACGTCAGGCTCTTCTTAATGATACCATGAAATTATGCCTTTCGACTAAAAAAAACTTGATTTTTTGTCGATTTTCATTTTTTGATTTTTTCAGGACATTTATGCAGTTCTGCTCTTTTGTATATTTTATTTCTTTTTTAATTTGAATTCACAGACCCAATCAGATTTTTTGCAGGTAAAAATGGCTGAACAAGCTGCTAGAAAGCCATCGACTCCATCAACTGGACGGTGAGTTAATTTTTATTTTTTAAAAATGATTGCTATAAATATTCACCAATATTTTTATTTAATGTGAATATTTATTCGTTTTGAAACTAAAGGTTCACGTCTACCTTTCTAAAAATCTCAAACGAAAAATTGGAACTTATCAAACTCGAGGTTATCTTTTTGAGAGCTATTGATTAAAATGCTACTGAAGTAGTTGCCGTCCAAATCCTCAAAATTTAATCCAAAATACTGCCTTGTCGATGCTGGTATTTAATAGACTTATAAATTCTGATTTACCAGAAAATTAGTACTTTTAGTTCAGTTCTTGGATATAGAATGGCATCTGTTATTTTTGTTGCAGCCTGTCAGCTTATTTCATATCTAGTAGACAGTTAAAATCTTGGTATTTAACTGTGAATTCATTAGGAAAATAATATTTTAAAAATAAAATCAATATTTTTCAGTCTCTACGTCAAGGCTATCTTCACCGGGTTCCAAAGAGGACTTCGCACCCAATCGGAGCACACTTCAATCTTGAAACTCGACGGAGTTTTCAACAAAGATGACGCTAACTTCTACGTTGGAAAGCGAGTTGTATACTTGTACAAGGCCCACAACAAGACCCAAGTCAGTTTTTTCTCTAAATTTCGAATATAATTTTGTTAATTTTCAGAAAACCGGACATTCAGTTGCAACCCGCACACGCGCCATCTGGGGACGTGTTACCCGCCCACACGGAAACGCCGGATCAGTGAGAGCCAAGTTCCACCACAATCTCCCACCAACTGCCCTTGGAAAGAGAATCCGAGTTGTAAGTTTTTGTTTTTTATAGACTTCGTTTCAAAGTTTTTTTTCAGCTCCTCTACCCATCCAACATCTAAGTGGTTCAATTTTGTTATTGTTACTTTTCTCGATTGTGATAAACATTTGAGATGATGAGAATTTTGTAGTACTCAATTTCAACTTGTTTTTTATTCAACGAGATAAAAGACAATGATACGTATAGATTCACCGTATCGCAAACGGATATTTAGAACTATTAATCTAGTTGATGTGTGACGTTTTCCGCATGATGGTATTGTCTTCGATCTTGGTAATCTTGATTGACATCCGATATTTGTGAAGTTGAAACATCAGTAGCCATGTTGGTCTGAAATTCAGACTTTCATTAGGGAGAGATATTGTTCGAAAATTCAGATATTTGAAATTTACCTGTGGGAGAACTGTAGTAGTTCCTAGTCTAAAAGTTTCTAAAGAAGAGAAAGCCGTTTTGAACATATGGCAAAGTGAGAAAGTAGAAATTCCAGGTCCACAAGTTGGACATGCTTTTCCAATATATACATAAAGTGCGATGAAAGCAGCGAAGTGAACGACTGCAAACCACCAATGAATCAGTAAAATTATAGCCAGATTAACCAAAAACTGAAAATGATGTAATTTAATTTTTTAAAATCAAACATTGATACTTACTCCTACAAATGCAATATATCTGTTACTAAACATGGCATACCAAGTCGGTTCCTGTCCAACAATTCCGTTCTCAGTAGTACTAGTTTCTTTTCTCTCCGGGAAAAGATCATTCAGTTCACTCATTTTCGAAGTTGATCCATATCCTGTTACTTCTGACTCCGCAGCTTCTTGAACTGTTTGCAAATCATAACTCATTGCTAGTGAAACGTAGGCATAATTAACGTATGCATAAGTAATAAGGAAAGGCATTGTTGAAAGGATTGCAAGTTGATTCAAATCACCCAACAGAACGAAAACAGATGCTACACCCATCAGAAGATATCCGGCAAGAATTGGATTATCATTTGGTCCGCTTCCTTGAGCCAATAAATTCAAACAAGGAACTATTCCTTCGGCAGCAATTCCTTGTAAAACTCGAGGAGTTCCAAGAAGTGATCCAACAGTTGAAGAGAGTGAACAAACATATAATCCAACAAGGAAAACAATTCCAGTCAAAGCAACTTTTTCAGATATCATTGTATCACATAACAAAGACATACGATTTCCAACGCCGCCAAGAATCATTATAAAAATGAAACAGATTGTTGAACTGACACCAACAGCCGATAATTCACCCAATGGTATACTTTTATGAGGAGTTTTCAAATCTCCACTCATATTTACACCAGCCAGAACACCCAAGAAATTGGCAAAGAAAACACCAAATACTGTGAAGAATGATTGTTCCGGAATAATTCGAGGAATTCCAACAACAGAACAATTGACAGATTCATAATGGGGTTCAGCATTGAGACGAATTCGAGCAGATGAAAAACGATTAATTCCAGATTCTAAATAAATGCAATTTCATTTCATAGATGTAAATCGAACAAACAAACCAGGATCTGATGTGAAAAGAGCACCAAAAAGAAAATCAGTGACAGCAAGAGCAATTGTGAATAAAAGAACAATTTGAAGTCGGACAACCCAAGTAACTCCAGCAGTGTTAACAGCTAAAAATGATTTTGAAAAAAAATTATGTTTGAAAAAAATAATGGACATTTACCTGTTAGAGATATAAGAGTTAGAATAGCAATAAATTTAATAAGAAGTCGACTTTCAGAATCAAAAAGATGAGCAACAGATTCTCCAAATCCAACAGCAACTAATCCAGTCGCAACAGCTTGTCCAAATGCATAAATCAATCCAACAGCTCCACCAATTTGATGTCCAAGAACATGAGAAACAAGGAAAAATATTCCACCACTTCGGATTTGACATCTTTCAACAATTCCAATTGCTGAGAAAACAGTGATCAGTGCAAGAGAAGTACAAATTCCAAGTAAAAGTATTGAATTCGCAACACCAGCTGTTCCAACAATCCAACCAAGTCGAAGAAATACAATGATTCCGAATATATTTGTCATAACTGTTGCGAATACTCCATCCCATGTTCCAAATAACACTTTGTTATCTGAGTTTATCATTGATCTGAAATATTTTGAGAGTTGAGATCCAAAAAATAACAACTACGAATTTTTCCACCAAATCTCTTCGAATTTAAAAGTTCTTGCAGAATGCATCAATATATAATAATTTCAAAAAAAACTACAGTAAACTTTCGAAGGGTCCTGTTGTTTTTTGTTAGAAAATTTTTAGTGCAAATATTATCTGCTAGAATCTTGGCTGGAAATGTGAAATCGAGAAATGGAAATGGCCCATTTTCGGATTTTTTGAACCGACAAATTTTAAAGATTTTGATTTTCTGAAAACATCGGCCTTTTTTTCGAAACTTTAAAAAATCAATATTTTTTTAACTGCAGGAGAAATTCCATGGAGAATCCGGAAAGTTTTTATAGTGTCAATGATCAAATTCTATATTTTTGACCTTTTTTCAGCTTATGAGAACTTTTTTTTTATTTGGAACTCTGATACAATTTGAGAAAAAATTAAAATAAGTTGCAATTTTTCTATATTATTTTTCTAAATTCTCAAAATTACAAAAGAAGTTTAGTTATTCGGGAAAATCTGTGAATAATAAGTTTTTCAGATAAATCCAGAAGCAGATTTTTTTTCCAGAAAATATCACACAAAAACCAACCTTTTCCACCATGATTGTTCTCCAGATTGAATATCTCCACCTTGTGAATTGAAAATCGAATCAGCTGGTTCAGTGGAAACAACTGATGTCGGCACCGATGATGTGGTTGAAGATGGTGTCGACATCGTCGCCAAGTTTTGAATTCCTTCAAAATTTCTCTATAGATATTCTCATAATTTTTTCACCACACACAACCAACAACAAAAAACTACCCAAAAAACAACACGAGCTTCTTCTTCTTCTGAAAAATTTGTGTGTGGTTTGTTAGTGTTGAATTTGTCTGCGTCTCTTCAGAATATATTGATTTACGCGCGCGGTTTGAGCTCAAAATGGATGGAGCACATGAAGAGGGAAAACAGAAAGAGAAAATAGAAAAAAAGAGGAGAAAAGGAGGATTCGACTAATTAGGTATTCTATCGAAAAAGGGAAAATTCCAATGAAATTTATGGATTACTGTGGATTCACAGATTTTTAATATTAAATGAACTTTTTTGAGAAATAAAAATTAATTTTCGAATACCTTGAATAATGACTGGAAAATTCGACTATTGATAAGAAAATATTCGATTTTTCAAATGAAGTTTTGAATTTATCAAGGAAAGTTTTGGATTGTTGTGAACTCACTAGAAATTGGAAAAATCGCGAAATGAGAAAAAAAATATCGAAAATCGATTTGCAAATTGCCACGTCGCATTTCACGTTTTCCACATATTTTGTTTACTGTTTCTTAAAATTAATTCATTTCTAATACTTCTAAACACCTGTTACATGTGACTTGCAGATTCATTTTTGGTTCTCCTTCTCAAAATTAGACGCTCATCGTTTTCTATGGAAACCTACCTGAAAGGAAATTTTTATTAATTATGAATTTCTGATGTTTTTTATATTAGGAAATGTTTCGCGCACAATTATTTTTGATTCCGATGAGTACAAAAATTGCTATTAAAATATATTCATATGCGACATCCAAAGTGTAAAATAACAAGAAAAATCACGAAAACAAATACACAACGCAGAGTAAAAAGTATCAGAATAACTCAGGTGGATAGCACATTTTGTGATTTCATTTTGCGATTCTTCATGTTTTCAAATTAGAGATCGGAAACAAAATGAAAAGAAAAAACATGCTCACGGGTCGCATAAAATAAATAACGATGAAACAGACATTGTCAAAATTTGAATATGTATAAGATAAAAACCCGTGCTTAGCGACGTGGAGCTCCACGTGGACCTCCGCGGCCACGACCACCACGTCCACGTCCTCTCAATCCTCCGCGTCCACCACGACCTCGTCCAGCTCCAGCACGTGCGCGAGCAGCCTTCTTTCTTGGTTCATCATCTATGAGAAGAGTGTCTAATGACAGAGGATCGGGAAGAATAATGTATCGGATGTTATTTCCTGGAAAAAAAACAATTATCAGTTATTGAAATCAATATAGTTGCTGAATGTATTACCTCGGACAGACAATGTGTCGAGTTTGACAGGATCTCTATTCTTCAATGACATAGAAACCGCACGAAGATGTGTATTCATAGCAACATCAACTCCCATGATTGTACCTATAACAAATTTCTTTTAAAAACCTGATATTTTTATAAACAACTAACCTGCAACTTGAGTTCCATTTTTTAATTCAATTGTTACCGTCTCGTGAGATAATTTCATCAAAAATCTGACCAATTTCATGATTTATCTGAAAACGAAAATATTTTGAAAAATTCTTCAAATTTGGACGAAAAAGCAAGAAGATCGGAATGAAATATATAATCTGATATCAGGTCGTATTTGAATACTGGCTAATATTGTCAGGAAAACAACTTTAGGGATTTGATTTTTAGCAGAGGAATATCGCTTCCACGAGGAAAATACAAACGAAATTTAGATTATCAGGGCGTTTCTACAACATAGATGAACATATGGGAATACACTGGAATTGTTATAAAGTCCACATGTTGCGATTTCAAACGGTAAACCCTCTCTGAAAAAAAAAACGCTGAAAAAAAAGAAAATTCGAAATCTGCTTTGGCAGCCAGCCAAAGGGTCTCACCACGCTGTTAGTCTACTACGGTAGCATCAGTGTTTGCTGTGTGTGCGCTTGAATGGAATTTTCATTTTTGCGCACACTTCCGTGTTTCCATTGTTTTTTCAGGAGTGTTTGTGATTTTAATCAGCAGGTACATTTTTTTGTGATAATGGTATAACTTAAGTTCAATTATCATAAAGTTTACGATTGTTAGTTAACGTTTTACTAGCTCTAGAATGGTCACATTTTTTTGTTTTACACAAATTACGAGAAGTTTGTTTCGAAATTCAGTATTTGTGAATTATTATGTGTAAATGAAGTTACTGTTTCTTTATTTAGCAAGTTATATATTGATTAAACAAATATTGGTAATATACTGCAAACTTCCCAATATTCGAGCTTTGTCCATATTTTTTTGTTTGCTTATATTTTCTGATTGTGAGTTAAAAAGATAATTTTCAGGTAAATATGCCACGTGTTTATTTGGGCCGACTTCCATATCACTGCCGCGAGCGAGATATCGAGAAATTTTTAAAAGGATATGGTCGCTTGAGTAACATCGCCATGAAAAACGGCTTTGCCTTCGTTGATTTCGAGGACTACAAAGATGCCGATGACGCAGTACATGATTTGGATGGAAAAACTATGGGAGACAGGTGAGTTTTAAAACATTTATGCACCACATAACAACTCTTGCCAAGGAAATATATTGTATTCCAGCAATACACGCGTTATCGTTGAATTGGCGAAAGGAAAACCACGTGGAACAGATGCAATGCGTGATCGCTCACCACGCGATAGAAGAAGACGTTCAAGAAGCAGATCTCGTGACCGCCGTCGTTCTCGTAGTACTTCTCGTGATCGTAAACGTTCACGCCGCTCTCCATCCAGAAGCCGTAGTCGTAGCGCATCTCCAAAAGATAGAAAGCGAAGCCCATCTCGTTCGCCAGTCAGGTAATACATTTAATAGAAAATTTAAAACTAATCTAATCTCATATAACCTAACAATCTGGAAAACTTCAGAAATACGTGTAATTTTAGAATAACTTGACATTCTCATCTCATGTCCACACCACCAATCAGTCCTCGTTCACCAAACGTATCACACAGACATACAAAAACACCCACAAACAACCACAATCACTCAATCCTTGAGTTCAGTTCAATCTGTTGAGGGTGTGCCAATTCATTTCTGTGACATTGGAAAATGTTCCGAAACGAGGTTCGAATTTTTCAGAAAAGGTAGATCGGCCAGCAGAAGCAGAACTCCGAGTCCAGCTAGAAGTGCATCACCAAGAAGATCTCCAAGATCCCGCTCAGTCAGTCCAAATCAGGTAAATAACAAAATTAAAAACATACTTATTAATTCAATGTTTAAATTTAGAAAGGAAACGGTGATGCCAGAAGCAGAAGCAATTCAAGATCTCGTTCACCACGTTCACCGCAATGAGTAAATCCATTATATTCTCTCCACTTAAAACACCGTTATGTTCTCATTTTTGTCTGTTTTCTCTATTTATTGTTGTTTTATTATTATTTAAATCCTGTTTCAAATAAATATTCACTGAAATTGGGTTTATATGAGTTGAACTCATTGAGTTCTATAAAGTATTTGTGATTTTCGTCATTCGAAGATTCTTAAGTACCTTTTGATTAAAAAACGTTCTTGAATGGGAGAATTCGGAAGTTTTTGATAGTCTTGAAAATTTACTACAAAATTGGCTACTTATTTATCAATCTTATTGCTTAAATCTACTTTGGTTTTGTAACTATTTCATACAATTTATGAATGTTCAATTTTACGGAAAATGTTGACTTGTTTCGGCAGACTGATCAATTTTTAACAAAAAATAATTTTTGAAAATTTTTTTCCTCCAAAATGTTAGAAATAAACGAAAAACGTAAGTGGTTCTTTTAAAATTTTAACTTTCTAATTCACATGTTTTCTAGATCTGTTCATTTCAAAATCACCAATTTTCAAAACGACGTGGAAGATGACCCAGGTTTCGCAAAATTGAAAAAATTTGAACTTTTTTGGAAGACGCACACATTTTTATTCTTGTTGGGTCTCGTTGTTCGCTTGGGTGTACTGTATGCGTCTTTCTGTTTTTGGGCCATTTAAAGTTTTTTTTCATTTCTCTTTTTTTGTCGCTTCACGCGTCACTCATGACGTCATTCTGTATATATAATCTATATCCCTGTTGGATTTCTACTTGACTTGTTTGCAAATTTATAGTTTTTTTTCGAAATCAGGTTCTTTTGGCTTATTAAATACTTTATAACTCTTCTAGGCTCTTGGAAATTTAAATTGTTTTTGTTCTTTGCTCCTTGTGAATTCTTTAATGTATTAAATAGTTTAAATAACGAAAATAGTAACAAATTCGAGAAACTGTTCGTGACCTATTTTATCGTACTGGTTACGAAATTTTGGCGCCTATTCATCCAATGAAAAGTTGGCTACGTTCCAACAGCCGCCCCGCGTCCGCGCTCAATGGGCGGAGCTTTTCAACGCCGCCCCCTATAGCCGGCAATTCGAAACTCGCGCGAGGCTCTCATTCTTCATTTTATTCGCCGTCGCAATGAGTCGGTGAGCGTGTGTGTTTGTGTTGACCAGAGACCTCGCCGCTGTGTGCGTGTGTCTGGCACAACCTTGGCCTCGCGTCTCATGCGAGGATGAGGGAAGAAAATTCTCTTCATTTATTAGGAACATTATATTTGTTATATGAATATTCTTTTTTGACACAATTTATCCATCTGCTCTAACTTCTGCATATCTGGCTATTTTACTTTATTGTGAAAACACTTCAATATTTACTTTTCTATGTCCAATCGTTCTTCTTTGAAAAAAAGACAGTTGTCATTTTGTATTTGCAGAACAAAAATGTCCGACGTTGCCGAGACTGTTGTCGCTGCTCAAGAGCCAGAGGTTGTTGAAGCAGCTCCATCAGAGGAACAACCAGAAGAAACTCCAGTTGTCCCAGAAGAGAAGACCGAAGAAACGTAAGTTGCCTCATGGTCATTTCGTTGGGTGAAAATAACGCGTCCCTACAATTTGACTGTACAATTAAGTGTTCCTATCGAGGTCACACAGTAATATTTCTGAATGTTTTTTTTTCGATTTGAACCCTAATTGATGTATTTTTTCAAAAAACACAAATGTTATTTCCAGAACTGAGAACGGTGACGTTGTTGCCGAGTCCGAAGAAAAGACTGAGGAGGCGTCGGAAACTCCAGCTGAAGAAACAGCCGAAGCTGGAGAAAAAACTGCTCAAAACGGTGAAGCCAAAGACACCAACGGAAATGACCGCAAGCGGGTTTCAAGCGCTCACGAAGCCGAAGAAACTGAGGAGGATGTTCCAGTCAAGAAAACCAAGGTTGATGATGAGGTTAGTATACGAATATTTTTATAGCATTTTTTGAAGCACAATTTTTATAATTCCACTAATAATAAAATGTTTTCCAGGTTGATGCTGCTGCTGCCGGAGATGCTCCAGCTCCAGTTGCCACCGCTGCCGAATAAATCCAACCAGTTGATTAATTAAAATCTGTTAAAATGAATTATCGATCCCTGTCCCCCTATCCTTTCTCTAAATTATACAAAAATGTATCTGTTAAATATTTTGAAAATATTTATTAATTTGTACCCAAGTATTTTCGTTAATTCTCCGAATCTCATTCGTTCCCTTCCCCAAAAACATCCCTACGGTCTCTGTTAGTTTTAAAACTGTTTTATCTTTCTATTCGCAATAAATCGATACATAAAAAAGCGTGGTTATTCATATAATTATAGAAAAAAAACGCCTAAGCATGTGTAAGCTTACTTTCTCCAGCTTCATCCACAATAACTTGGAATTTCGGTGGAGCTGAAACTGATTCGACTTTCTCCACAATCGGAACGCCTTGAATCACTGGAAAATTGTTGTCATTGGCGAAGAATATTTGAAAACTTACAGTCAGCTGGGAAAATCAGTGACAGAACGATAAGAACCATCAAAATGACCAACGAAACTGAAATTGTTGATGCAAAATTCATTGCCATCAAAGCACAAGAAGTGAATGTAGTATTAACACCCGGAGTTTGAATTGTCATTGAACCAAGGAAAGCAGTAACCATACTTTGCCAAAAATCATTGAAAATCTGAAAAGTAAGTCCGGAATTTTGATTTGAAAATTGGGGAGAAAAATTGGAAATGATTTTCAAAAAAAAAAATTCATTAGAATTTTGACGTGATCACGTGAACTATTAAATTCTCCTTTTTCATTTCTTGAAAAAAAAAGATTTTTTTTTCGAATGTTCAAATTAGCCTCATGATCGATTTATGCAAAATTTGATGAAAATTATATGAAGTTCACCTGATTATAAATAACGAGTCCAATGAGAATTGTCCATAAAATAAAAAGTGCAACTACGAAATTGAGAAGGAGAAAACGGCGAGATTTATCGAGTGAGGGATACTGAAAATATATGAATTACGTATGACAATTTAACTAGAAAAAACCAACCTTCAAAATCGGATGAACCAAACGATAAACAATTAGAGTAAGTGTAAAATAGAACAGAGGAATTCCAAACAAACAATAGAAAATGGAAAAAATCTGGAAAGACATTTATTTTTGAAAAATAATTTATTCGATAACCTGTGATCCAAGAGCTGTTGGAGCTTTGAAACCATTTCCAACTGTGAGCAAAAGAGAATAGGCAAAATTGAAACTTCCAATCCAAGACCATTCACGACGGGAAGGAGGGGTTATTGTTAATTTATCTTCATATCTTTTGAGGGATTCAACCAATAATTGCTGAAAAATAAATTTGAGGGTTAATATCACTAGTAATGTCTCTTGGGAGTATTTTTACTGTTTAGTTTCGGATCCTCAAACACATATATCAGTTTTATTTATTTTTATTATAAGTTTCTTTATATATTTTTTGTTGTATTTTTATTTCGTATCAGTAATCTCAAGAAGAATTTGTTCCGAAAAAATGGCTCAAAAAGGGTCATTTTTTATTCAAATACATTTGTTCAAAGAAATCTATTCGTAATTTTTGAGAAAAAAAATCTCCAATCTTTATTGTCAAAAACTATATATCTGGCAAAAATCCGAACGTGGGCACCTAAAATTAGCTTGGGAAAATGACATTTTCAAGGATTGTTAACCAAAACTGTCAATGCTCAGTTTTTACAATTTTGTTGAATAAAAATATTTCGATTTTGATCATCACAAGAAAGTTATTGAATTTTGAAATTTCAGAACAAAGGTTGTGAAGTTCAGAATTCTGAAATGTCCTCCCTTGACAAAAATTACCAGTTTGCCACGTCATAACTTTTTGGTCCAGCTGTTCTTTTTTTTTTTGGTTTAGTCATCTTGAGATGTTAATTGATTTTTCAAGTTCCTGATTGTTTACGAAAAACTACAGTAATTTGGGAAAGTCGAAATTATTTTATCCCATTCCTTTTATAATCAATTTTTGTTCCTTTTCTCGGAAAAGTGCATTGCTTCTTAAATTGTACAACTTTTCATAATATCTAATCGATTGTTTCCAACCGCGCTCAAATCTCCTTTATCTCCATGACAACCTTTCGACTTATCTCATCTCATTTTTTGGTCAGCTAGCTACCAGCTCCCCTCTCCTCATATCCATAGTCATAGCCTTTCATTTTTAGGGATTCGAAAAAAAGATGAAGCAAAACGCGAAAAATCCCCCCGAGGAAACTCAGTTTCAAAACATTTTGGTGTGAGTGGTGAAATAGAAACAGCAAAAAAAAAGAGGGAGGATATATGTAGTTGATGACAACAAATCAAAGAGCATCACAGCACAATTCAATTGTGGACACGACAACAAAAAGAAAGAGGAAGACATAAACATTGTTGTGTCACTTGCTAATTTGATATCGTTATTTGGTTTTGGACTGCAATCCTTTCTTTTTCTTTCAAAAAAAAAAGTTTTCAACAAAATAAAACTTTTCGGAATGGAAGAGTTATAAATGTTGATTTACTGACATGAACAAGTTTTTCGAGTATTTTGAGGTTTTGAAAAGGAGGATTTGAAATTTTTTGAATTTCGAGATATGTAGTTCAACAAGAGAACGTTTTCCCTCAATGTTTCAAAAATCGAAATAATTTAGTTTTTTGACAGTTTGTGTCAGAAAAATAAACCTGGTCTGTTCTTCCACTCAAAACTTCGAGCACATTTTTAACTAACTTCGGAAAAAGGGAATGCAAAGTGATTATTTAGAAAAAACCATCATAGTATCAGAAAATTCGAGGCCAGACTTCATGATATTCGAAGTCAAAATTTTTAACTGTCAAAATTTCAGCCTAACCTTCAAATTACGCTCGAACTTTGAAAACTGAAACAAGTTTGATCATTTTTCGGAAAGTATAAATTTTGCCCAAAAAAAATAAATCTGTCAAAATTCTAGAGTATTTGATATTAAACTTCAAAAATCCCCTATTATTCTACCTGAACTCTATCTGTTTGTTCCCGATCAATAATAATAAGCAAGTTTCGAGTATCGTTGAAAATTCTTGAACTGATTGTTTTAGCAAATTGTCTTCTGAAAATTTATGATGATTTTTACAACTTCCATTTTTCCCAAACCTTTCATGTCCCAAATTTCTATACCAATTTCGAACCATCATTTCGTGTCCATCTTTTTCAAACAACCAAAAAGAAGTGGCACCAAGAAGAATGAAAATTGTGGTTATGATAATTAGAAGAACGGGTGACCAACGGAGAAAACATGGAGATTTTGTAGCAGAAGCCACGCGGGATGCTGACGATTTTACACGATCCAACATGTCCTGCAAATATGTTTAAGACTTATTAGAGGTTTTGTGGGTTCAAAGAAACACAATTTAATTTTCGCGGGATTACTGTAGGTTTTCTGGGGCTAGATTTATTATAAAAAATTGCTGAACACATTTATTGGCACACCAGATTACTATAAGACATAGAAATCTGAATTGATTAGAATCAAAAACTTTGCAGGATTACTGTATACAATTTTTCTGAAGTTTCTTCGAATTCTAAACCCTTTCTCTTTGTATCACCTGATTAAATCGATCAATTCGACTAGAAACAAAATAAAATGGAGATAAAAGTGTGGACATTGAAACACTGATTGGTGTCTGTTTCTTCAAAAAACTGGTGGAAAAACGAATAACAAGAGAAGAAATCAAGACAAAGAAAAGGCGAAAAAAGAAGAAGAAGAAGAAAGAGCTGATGAGCTATGGTGGAATTTGGTGGGTGAAAAAAAAGGAAAAAAGAAAGGGAAGAATATGGGCGGAGTTGTGAAGTTATCTGATGCCCTTTGACACTTTGTGAAAAAAAAGAGAGAAAAACTTTGAGGGGAGTTGTAGTAAATCTGATAAATGTGGGTGATGATGAACTTTAATAAAGTTTTGTGTGGGTGTTTTCTCTGACTGACAAGTTTTAAAGACAGCTATATATGAATACTGAGTTGATGTATTTCCGTGAAAAAAACGTCGAAGGTGGAGTGTGAGCAAAAAATAAGTTATGCTCATTTGAAAGGTGTTTCACTGTTTTTTCGAACTTTTAAATTTCTTAACTAATATTTGAGAAGCTTCCACAAAATCCTTGGAGGAATGTACTAATTAGAACATGATCTTTCCCATTATTTTTGCTCAGACTTCACCTTTAACTTACCAAAAAATTAACACGAAAAAATTGAAAATTGATTGGCTAGGGTTCTTCATTTTTTCTTCCATATGAAATTTCAGATTTTGATATCTCCAAATTCGCATTTTTCGAAGATCTTCTAACTCCTGCCTAGAAATCTTTAGATAAGATTTTGATATTTTTGAATACTTACAAAGATGCTTCATCAGTAAAAGTTCGACAAATACAGTATTCAATTTCTTTGTGATTTATTGATGGCAAACATTTTTCATGAATTCTTCTTTTCATTCTTTTTCCACTTTGAGCTGAAGTTGTTGCATCAATTGGTTTTCCGACAAGAGAAATGAGGTCATTTTCTGAGGCACAAAATTCTCCAGAACTTCGGATTTCTGAAATTTATTGTCAGATTCTGGTCTTCGGAAAATCTGAATCTTTAGCCCACTGATTCTAAAACTATTTGAGCGTATTCGAGTTCTAAACTTTTTTTTGAAATTAAATAATTACAGTACTACAGTAGTCTTGCGTTTTACAGGTTTCATATTTCCGCGGAAAAATCTCCGGCCAAAAAAAAACCAATTCCAAACCTGCTGTTTTATTCGAAATCAAATAACAAAAGGGTTTTGGTTTACATCGATTAATATTACAGTATCCACATTTGTTGATATTCACATATTTTGGTTCGGTGATATTCAAATAATGATAAACTCGCGGTTTCGCTTCGAACGGAATTTTTCTCGTTTCGCAGCTCAATAATTTGAAATACAGAAAGAAAAGAAATACGGAGAGAAAACGCATTGGCACAAAATGGGACTTTTTTTTGTTTTTTTTTTGAATAGGATGTGACATCAATTTCCCATGGGATCATTTCTAATTTTTTTGAATTTACGAGAACGTGAGTTTTTTTGTTGTCGAAATTAAACATCGGCTAACAAATTGAAAAAAGGTATAAAGTAGTTCGAAGACTTAATTTCCAATGAAAATTAGGCTTTTTCGAAGATTTCAAAAAAAAAGTGTGCGCCCAAAAACTCTTCCCTTCAAGACTCAACACACAAACTGCATGTCCCTTTAAACACACAGTAAATTTTTGTTTACTTATTTTTATTTTGTTGTTTTGTTGCGAAAGTCATTTCAAATTCTCCCTGCAGCTATTGTACAATGCCACGTATCTACAATTGGAATGTATTTAAACAATTGAAGTAGTTGTCGGCGAACATGAAAAGGTGAGTCCAAATTTGTCTTCGCATCGCTGCTACTTTGATGAATGTGGGAATTTATCGAATTTTCAATTTATTTGTATTTATATTGAAAAAACTTCAGCGGTGTGACGAATATGTGTCAATCATATTTTGTGGCAAAATGCAGTCTTTTTATTTTTCATTGTCGATTTTAAAATATTCACCATTGAAATTGTTTTTCGGGGAAAAATTAACGAAATTTTAATTAGCAGATAATTTTTCTCTATAATTCTTGTGGCAACCATAACTAACAAACTATTTAAATTATTTTTCTGTCAACAAATCCAGTTTGTTCAAAATGTTAATCTTCAAATCCAAAATCCTTTTTTCTTCCACTTTTTTTTTGATGCAAAAAACCCTCATCGAAAAAACTCCAAATCTTTGAAAACCAATTATTTGAAACGCGTCAGCCTCCTCCCTCTTTACACATTTCTCTTTTGTTTGCGTATTCTTGGCACATGCAATAGCATTTTTCGGTCAATAAAATAAATCTTGTGATTTTTTGCGGACCACCAAATGTTTTTATTTTAGATTCTTCCATGTTGTAACAGAATGAACACTGGAAATGAATTAGATGTTACTTTAGTTGATTATTTTGTTGTAGCTGGATATGACCAAGACATCGGACTTATTGTAAGTTTTTTTAAATTAAAATAATTGAATACGTATGTTATTTTCAGCTTGATACTTCATATGATCAAAATCAAACTCCTGGAGAATCACCAGGAAGTTCAAATCCAGTAAATCGTCCGCCTTTGAAGAGATCATTTGTTGCAAAAATAATTAATCATTTTCCTCAAAGAAGACCTGGAAATCCATTCCCTGACGGAATATTACCGGTAAGAAAATTCTCAAAAGTTTTATATTTATGGTATCAAATTTATTTCTAGTTATGTATGCCAAAAGGTCTCCGTTTTTACACCGAAAAAGATGTTCCGGATAAGCCTGAAACCCATACATTTGCAAATATTCGCGAAGACGGCTCTCGAATAAACGGAACTGCTCTTACATTTTTTGAAGAAGTTAAAGATGTCACAATTTGTGAACAAATGTCACAATTACAACAAGATCATGTGAGAGAATTGACTGTAAAAAGTATTGCTGAAAATTCTCAAAGAAGACCTCATGTACCGCCAGGAACTGTTAGTGGAGGAACACATACATTATCAAGGAGAAGAGATAAAATAAAACGAATATCATATTATGAAGGAGGTGGACACAATACACTTTATATGTTTGTTTTTTTGAAAAATTGTTATTTTAAAATATATTCAAAATTTCAGGTCTCGCACAATTTGTGTTATTTCCCGACTACCACTTGTAAACGCAACAAAATCATTGTTATCTGCATTTTACTCGATTTTATCTTCAAAAAATGCTCCAAAGTTACCATTGGAATCGTACATTTATTGGTGTTTATATGAAGTTCCAATGCCATCGCCAAGTACAACTTTAAAGGTTTGATTGCCATTTATTTTTCCTGACACGAAATATTTTATCACTTTGCAGATTTCCCTAATCGATACAACAATTGTTGTTCAAAGACCTGGTCAGAAAGAACTTCCATTTTTTGATGATTCAATTGGTAGACTTTTCGATTTCATGAAGATCGAGAAATTTATCCGACTATTTTCATGTTTTCTATTAGAACATCAAATTTTGTTATGTTCAAAAGATTTATCTCGTTTGATGACTGTTTGTGAAACACTTCTTGCTTTATCATTTCCATTTCGATGGCAAATGGTTTATGTTCCAGTTTTACCGTATTCACAATTGAAGTTTGTTGAAGCGCCGGTAAGACTTTCAAATTGTTTTTTTTCTTCAAAACTGCAAATGTGATTTTTTAAGGTTCCTTATGTTATGGGATGGTGTTATGAGGAAAGTGTTCCAGAAACATTATTTCAATCAAATGTTTGTGTTGTTGATTTGGATACTGGAAGAGCTGAATTACCTGAAGATGTTCCTAATTTTCCTGGAGCTAAACAATTGGCGAATGATATTAAAAGCGCCATTCAGAGGTTGGTTTTTCGACCGAGAGCTTTTTTAAGTTAATTTTTTTGAAGATTATCAATAAATAAACCCGAAGAAAATATGATAGCTTCAATTGATACAATCAAAAATTATGTTGATGAAGAGGAATCAGAAAGTGTATATAATGGTGTGAAAATGCGGAAAAAACCAATAAATCGAAGATTAGAAGATTGGTCGATTAAAAGAATGAGTCGAAGTTTTGATGAAGGAAATGCTGATGATTTAATGATAATGAAAAGACCAAGTCGAAGTGGATTACAACCATTACCTTTGGATAATAATGCATTGAGAAATAATTCAACATTAGCAAAAGTTGCTGAAATTGCGAGAAGAGCTGGAGTTGTTGTTGATATTGATGCTGAACTTGGAGCTGCACAACAACAAAATATTGATTCTCCAATTGCCAGACATTATTTTGCTGTGAGTCTTTTATTCTCTTTTCTTTTTTCTTTAAAAAAAATAATATTTTTGTTTAGGATGCGAAGGTAAATAATGCAATTCGTGAATGTGTTTTGAATCGATTCGTTGAAATGTTTTATTCCTATGAACATTTTGTTATTGGTGGACAAGGATGTGATGATCGAGAAACTTATGAAGCAAATCGCGAAAGTATGGCTAGCTTTGATAAAGCATCATTTCTATCTGATCAACCTGATAGTCATCTCACATTTCTTGCCGCTTTTCTCGAAACTCAAATGTTCACCTCATTTATTGATGCAAAAATTTTGTCACAATGGGAGACTCCTGATGAAGCAGTTGTACTTTTTGATCAAAGAATTAGTTCAATGCGTGATTTATTAGGTGTTTCAATTGTTAGAACACCAACATATGAAACAAATCCACCATTTGCATTAACTGAAGAATTGATTATAAAACGAGAAGAATCGGCTGATTATATGGTTCCTGCTGCACATAATTTAGCTGGTGCATTTTCAATAAGATATGATGGTTGTTGGCCAATTAATCAATTAAATACAACACTTCTTGATGGAGCTAATTTGATGAGTCCAGCACCATCGCCATGGAAACAAAGATATCCGAGATTGAGAAATAGAACATCTGAAGTGAGTTAATTTGAAAAAAGTAGAAGCTGATTGGTTTTATTTCAGACATCTCCAAAAACATCAAATGCTCGACCAACAAGTGTTTATGGAGGAGCTGGTTTAATGCAAGTTGATTCAAGTGTTCAAATTGCACAACAACAGTATGGATTTGTTCAGCAACTTTTGAAAGAGACGAAAGGTTGGTCAATTTTTCAAATAATATATTTCTAAGTAACAGCACTGCTCCATCACTGTGTTTTGTATATTCTCACATATTTCATTTTCGCACACAATGCATATCAATAAAACAAACAGGTTCTCCGCGCGCGCGGAAAATTTTTTCACCGATTACAACGCCTTTTCCAAAATCGTATTGAACAGCCCGTTTTATTTATATGAAGAACACGCTGATGAAAACATGTGGGGGTATAGCTCAGTGGTAGAGCGCTCCCTTAGCATGGGAGAGGGCTGGGGTTCAATTCCCCATACCTCCAAGACATTTTTTTGTTTTGAATTGAGAGATTTTTTGCAAAAATTTGTTCTAGACACAGAAAAGCTTCGGGAACTTTCTTGACAAATGTTTCCAAATTTTGTGGATCAGCTGAAAAATTTTGCCGAAGTCAAATTTTTTGGGCTTAAAAGCTCAAATTTTGAGCTGAAATTCATGAAAAACCGCACAAAATTTTCGTCTAAAAATGCGTTGAAGCTTCTGATTTTTTAAAGAAAATAAGGTCGTACAGAAATTATTCATTAGTCGGGAAAAAAATCTCAAAACGGCAATAAAATTGTTATTTTACAGCCAAAACAAAACGAATGCTTGTCGATAAAATGGGAAAAGAAGCAGTACAATTAGGTCATTTGGATGCTGGTATAACAGGAGTTGAAGAAAACACTTTGGTCGCCTCGTTTTGTGATCTTCTTGAAAGAATTTGGACACATGGATTGAAAAACAAGCACGGAAAATCATCACTTTGGAATTATGTGCTACAGCATCAAGATTTTGAGAAACCTGGTTTGACAACTCGCGCTTCTTCTACTTCAATGTTGACACCAGGTTTTTATTTTTATTCATTTCTCAAATCTTCTATTTCAGATTTATGTAACTTCTTCTTTTAAAACTTATCCCTATTTAGCATTAGCGTGGCTCGTTTTAAGACGAAAAATTGAACGTAAGAAATATTTGTGAGAGCGACAAAAACTTGAGCTTCTTGAATATTTTTCGTTGTACAGTGTTTGTGAAACACACTGTTGTTTTTGTGAATTTCAGTTATGTGTGATATTGTTGTCATGTGGCTTTTCAGGTTTTCGTGCTCCATCCTTACCTCCTGCAATTGATGAAGTACCTGCTCCAATTATTCTTTCACCACAAAATGAATCGGATGTTTTATCGACTATTACGGATATTGTGGATTCGATTCGAGTTTCTGATGAACCTTGGTCGAAATCACTTTTACGAGCCGCGACTTTTATAGCAGACAAAATCAAAGATAATAATGGAAATCCAGTTGGAACAATTCCAGAAGAACCAAGAAGATCGAGATATCCAACAAGTGGTTTATTGATTAGATCAAGAAATCCAAGTCAAGAACCACAAAAATGTAGCATGATGAAAAAATCGAGCAGTATTGGTGGTTTGTAGCTTTTCTTCCTATGTTATCAAAAATATATTCATTTTTTTCGATTTTTTCAAAAAGTGAAAATATTTTATTCGTATTTTTCCTTTATATTTCCAATTGTTTCGTTTTTACGAAAATATATTGTGAAATTGCACTTCTTTCCTTTCCGAAAAAAATTACAAATTCCGGAATCCGAAAAAATAGAAAAAAACAGGAAATAGCTTCACGTGTGGTTCTAGTTTGGGCCTGACTGAGCAGCTTTGAATTGTTTTATATACAAAAATCTGATGTGAATATTTCAGATTTTACAAATCCAGCATGGAATGGATCACAGACAGATGTATCAAACTTGGGTGGATATGCAAGTGTTGAAGGTTCACCGCGGAAAATGAGATCGCAAAGTCGAGCAAGAAGTCCAGATGGAGCTAGAGTTGTGTTATCTCCGCTACCAACACATGTTGCATATGATCTTAAGTAAGTTACAAGTTTTGGCCGGATACTCGAAAAATATGGAATTTTCGGGTAATTTTTATGTGAATTTTATGCTGAAGATTTTCCAGTTGAATTTACACTTCATGAACTCAATAATTTTTTCTACAGAAACGTGCTTCGTATGACAGAAATAAAAACAGATATCGGCTATGCTCGTGCATTTGTTCGCCTTGCTCTCGAAAGAAAACTTCTTCATAAACATCTTGGTGCTCTTTTGAATAATTCTCGAGTTATTGAAGATATCTATAAACCTTATGCATTTGTTGCCAGCGAAGAAGAAAGAGAACAATTCCTTTTTCATATTTTATCATTAAATGCTGCACAATTTCGATGTTTCACCAATACATTTACTAAAACGAGTGAGTTAATTGAACCAACTTTAAAAAAAACTAAAAAGCGTTTTGTTTTTCTAGAAATGGATTATCAAGTTGTAATTGTTACTGGATCTTGGCGTGGAACACTTCCTGCAATTTGGGTTACTATTGAAGGAACACTTTGTAGTAGTCCACAAATTAGTTTGAAACCGAATACACCACTATTTAAATTTGATGTGAGTTTAAACAATTTTCAACGGAATTTAATTTTTCTGAAATTTTTGCAGCATAAAAATCTTGGTGTTTTATCAACACTTCGAATCGGCCATCAATCAACACACAAATGGTTTCTTGAATATATTATTGTTCGAAATGAAATCACCGGACAAACATATAAATTTCCATGTGGTCGTTGGTTTGGAGAAGATCGATGGTTTGGAAATGGAGAAGACAGTACACTTGAAAGAGTATTGATTGCTGAAGCATTTGTTGAATTTGAAAGAAATGAGATGATGAATAATCGAGGTGAAACAGGAAATGCAAGTGGATATGAATCGGATCGAGAACCGTGTTCACCAGCAAGAACGAGAAGAACAATGTCACGAAGTCAAACACCGCAAAGAGATAGAAGTCCATCAAATGGTAGAAGTCAGGAACAAAATTCGAGATCAAGAAGTAAGTTATAAGAGGAAGGATGAAGGGGGTAGTGAAGAAAACATATAGAAAACGAATTAGAAAACTAAAAATTAAAAAATAAAACAACTCTAACATTCCACTGGAACTGGAATGATTCCAGTAAGTACCGCCCAAATTTGGTCCCCACAACGTCTTTTATGTTCGCACTTTTAATGAGAAGAAAAAGTAAATCTCAAAAAATATTCCCACTGTAAAATAGCCAGTCCTAATAAAAGTACCCAGACCTACCTAACCAACCTGTAAGTTTCCAAAAATCAACGAACTACAAAAGTTTATTCAATTCACTTGGGAAATTGATTCGGTGCCACCACATTAGCCATTGTATTTGGCAAAATTGTCATTTGAGTTTTATCGACATTTTGATTTTGTTGTTGTTGATTCGGTTTCGGCTGTTGTTGTGGCTGTTGTTGAGCCGGAACAGGAGTAGAAGCAGGAGGAATTGCATTAAAAACTGGCGGTTGAGGAGCTGGTAAACGAGCTTGTTGAACAGCTTGAAGTTGAACATTTGTTGGTAATCCAGGTTGTCGAATTGGTTGAGCTGGAGACTGTTGTTGAGCAGCTTGAACTTGTGCAACTGTTTGAATCACACAATTTTGTTGCTGCTGAGGAGGTTGAATATTTTTCGGTGTTTGTGGAATTTTGGGTAGTTGGTCTGGAAAATCATCAACAGTTGTATTTTCCCTCGATCCTCCTCGTGCCATTTTTTCTGGTGGCGGCGGATGTTCTTGAACATATTGTGCAACATCAGTTTTGAATTCTTCAAACGATTCCAAAATCTGGGGATCATTAATATATCGAAATGATTTGCCACAATCAATTATCGCCTCAGCCAACATTAGAAATTGAGTGTCCATTTGAACACTATTTATTCGGCAGTCTGCAAAAATATGTTGCACTGTGAATACAAAAAATCCTGGATCACTGAAATGGAGTCCAAAGATCAACTGAAAAGCCTAGCCTTCGAAAATTGAAGCAGGTCTTCACTCCCGTTTTTATTAAAAACTCACGTCGAATTGCTCTCACAATATCTGTCATTCTCATTGCATTTCCGTTCATAATTGCTTGGATTCCCACTTCAATTGCCGCAAATGTGCCTGTTCTTCCAATTCCAGCCGAACAATGCACTACAACCGGATTCTTTTGAGCTCTCACGAATCGCAATGTTCGAAGTATACATAAATTCGATTTTGCCACTGTTTTATCGGGCCTAAAATTATTTAGAGTTAGAAAATTACTTTGATTAAAAAATTACCAAGTAATTATACGATGGTGAACAATTCGTATTGATTTTCGCAAAAATCGATCTTGCACCAAAATAATTGTCGAAATGATATGAGAATCGAGTTGATTAACAGATTCAGTTGTTATAAGCATATCACCCAATTCCATTGGTGTTTTTCCTGGATGAAGAGGAAAATAAGCGCTACACTTCTTTTTCCCATTTTCAATGTGTTCGCAAAGCATTACAATCAATTGAACATTTTCTTGCAAAATCATTCTCCAAAAATCGAATACACTATCTGTGATTGGTCCTTGAGTTAGAATAATTTGAGGTCGTAATCCACGAACATAGTTTGCATGAATATAATCACCAGGTCTTCCATCTCTCAATATAACTCGAGTCAAATCATTACAAACAACATCTTTATATCGATTCTTTTTTAGTGGAGTGTTTTTATCGAAAATAACTCGAGAATAATAACCATTTGGCATGAATCCAACAATATTTGTTTCATATTCTTTGATCAAACCTTCAACTCCTAATCCAACTATTTTTCGAGCGAAATTTTCGAATGCTTTTTTCTGAGCACTTGTTTGATTATCAACTCCAGGATCAATGATTTTTTCGTTTTTGAATGTGAATGTGATTGGATCGAATATGGTTTTGAGCATGTCAGGATCAGAAACAACACATTCTTTACTTCGTTCCTTCTTCACTGGGGTCTAAATAAAATTTATTTGAGATTTCAGTTTCTCTCTGAATTCAACTGGAGAAAAACTGAAAAAAAGACCACGTTTTTCAAGTTGTCCTTTCATTAAAGTTCCAGCACAGTGAGATCTAGAAATCTTGCAATTCCAATTTAAACTAACCCTTTTCCGTCTTGCACTCGATCTTGCACTTTTTGTCGATTTTTCAATAGCCTTTCTATTGTTAGTTCCTTTTTCGGATTGCTTTGTTTTCTGCAAAACATTCAATTAACTACTATTTACACAAGTTATAGATTTTTCCAAACTCACATTTATTTTTCTAGATGCTGATCTGTCTGTACTTTTTTCCTTTTTCTTCTTCATTTTTCGCTGAAAATTTCGAAATTGTTCTACCTACAGTAATCATCTTTTCTTCCAACTTACAAGTGAATTCATATTGAAAACTGAGCTTATAAATTCTTCGGAAATCAAAAATGGCGGTTTTTTCGCAGATTTGTGGTCTCGTCATTTTTGCCAACACGGCAATTTAGTGCCGTGTCGCGTCAAATTTTAATTAAAAAACATTTTCTGAATTTTTAATTCAATTCAATTCAAAAATGGAAATATTAAGTATATTCACCAGCTCAAAATTTCAAATTAATTTTATAGAAATTCGAATAAATGAAGTTCAACACGCACTCGGAGAATCTGTAAATGCATTGGTCAAATATTTTTGTGCTGAAAGAAAAGTGAAAAGTGAACTTGCTCATTTATTATGTGGACAAAAAGGACTTGTTATGTCAATTGAACAAGCATTTCAAGTTGGACGACAAGAATCGCTTATGAAATATTTTAGAAATACTTGTCCTTGGGATTATATTGGTATGTTAATTATTATTAGTTTTTTAATTCGAATTTTAATTTTTAGAACGTGTTTGTTCTTGGTTTTTCGAATTGTGTCGACGAAAAGATACTGATAAATTGCCGAAAGAACAAAAATCTTTGATTCATCATGCTCTTCGTTTATATAGAAAAATCGATGCAAAAACTTCTTTAGGAAAAGATGGAAAATTCCACGTGTTTATTCTTATTTCTATCAGGTTTGTGACTTTTTCGTCGTATCTGATTTTATTTTTTTTTTGGGAAAACTTCCGATAGAAATCTCTAAATCGCTTCTTTTTTTTCGGATTTGAAACAAACAAAACGAGATTTGCGAGCGAGAAAAAACGAATTTGTTCGCAATTCTTTCTTTTTTGATTCAAATTTAATTAAATATTAATTGAAAGTGTTAAAATGAAATTGAAGAATGAATAACTTTAGAAAATTTGTCTTTTTTCTTTGAAGAAATAATTTTTGTTAGATCAGATTTCATTGTTCATGATCAGTTTTTGTTCGAAATTCAGATTAATATTGACATCATTTTTTTCTTAGACCAGTTTCCAGGCTGGAATTTTTTTTTTTGGAATATTTTGCTGAACGAATTGTGGAATATTTTCTATAAACTTGAAAAAAATTTAGAATTCTAAATCCAGTTTCAGAATTTTTATTTTCAAGCTGAATAACCAGAAAATTCAAATTTATTCCACATTCAGAAACTCAAATTACAGAAATATTTCATGAACCTATTTCTGAAAAAATTGAGAGAGAAATTTTCTGTTTCGTCTTGAAGATTTTTGTAACAAGTTTTATATTTAATTGAAGATATGAGCTGTTTGAACAGCTGAATCTGATTTTATATTTCAAAATATGGACACGTTTCATCCAGTTTTTTTTGAAACCAACAGTTCAATAAAGTTTGATTTTTTGAAAGAAAAAAACCGTTATAAAATATCTATATTTGCAATCTTTTCCAATTTCTATCCCATCTGTTTTTCCTCTTCATTTAATTTGCCATAAATGTATTGTGTTTTAAAGAAGAACTTGGAAATTCTTTGTTTTATTATGTTTTCAACAATAAAATAAATAATCAACCTATATTTTTTTCAGAGACCACACACTTTCTGGACTTTTGACATTAATGTCTTGGTCTCCAGTTACTTTGGATATGTATAATGAACCATCATTTTTGCGAACATCTTCACATTTGAATAATTTCTCAAGATTACTTCATTCCCTTTCAGAATTTAATATAGTTATTGATCCAACTTTGACATATGGAATTGTTTAGAAATTTTTGTATATTCTAATATTTAGTTCAAAAAATGCTAGGTTTTTCAAATTTTTTCGTTCACTTCATATCCCGGTCAAAATACTATAATGTACCCTTTCGCCCCAATTTTTCAAAATTTTCTATTTTCTCAGTGCCAAAAGTATGAGCAATACTTGATTATTGACTCCAACAAATTGCCATTTTTGTAAATAATTTTTTTTTCTTTGAAGTATAAATATAATGTATTTTATATTCATTTTGTCTCAATTTTTAATTGGTTTTATTAATCCAATATTATTTTTTGAACTTTATATCAAAATCTGTATAATTTTAGGTATTATTTATTTTCAGATGACCAATCAATCGCCTTTTTTGGCTCGGGTATTATCGGCTGTTTTTTATGGAATTATATCGGTTTTGATTGTTTTTGTAAATAAGATTTTGTTAACGAATTTAAGGTAAGTTTTTGAAATCGAATTTTTTTGACTTTATTTTCAAAATTGAAAAGAACATGTGAAAAAGCATTCCCCAAAAACTACATATTTATCACACAAACCTTTTTTTCTAGATTTCCATCATTTTTATTTGTTGGAGTCGGACAAATGCTTGCCACAATTGCCATTCTTTTCATTGCTCGATTATTTCGCCTCGTTCAATTTCCTTCATTAGATTCTTCAATTCCTCGAAAAATCATGCCACTTCCACTTTTGTATTTTTTCAATCTGATTTCTGGTCTCGGTGGAACACAAATGATCAACTTGCCAATGTTCACGGTTTTGAGACGATTTTCGATTTTGATGACAATGATTCTCGAATTTTATATTTTGGAGTGAGTTTTTTGAGCTCGAAAAGTTGTACAACTGTTGAATTATGGAATTCGAAATGATTATGGAAATTTTAAAGATTTGTTTTGAATTCAAAGCTTCCATTAATATTTAGAAAATATTATTTTTACATCGAAATCCTCGTTAGTTTGGTGCGAAAACTTTAAATTTAGATTTAATAACAAAAAATTAAAATTTGCACCAAAAACCTACAGTATTCCTATTTTTTCAGGGTTCGAGCATCGCGAGCTGTTAAAATATCAGTTGGTCTCATGATTTTGGGTAGTTTCATTGCAGCAATTTATGATTTGACTTTCGATTCTGTTGGATATATGATGATTTTTGTAAATAATATCTGCACAGCTGCTCTCGGAGTTTATACAAAACAAAAATTGGATGCGAAAGATCTTGGAAAATATGGATTAATGTTTTATAATTGTTTATTCATGGTTTTGCCAGCTTTGTGTGTTGTGAAATATACTGGAGATCTTGATAAGGTAAATAACTTATTTTTATGAAAAATATTTTGAAATTTTAATTTAGGCTGTCGAATTCATGAAATCGGATATGATGACATCATCAGTTTGGATTGCTCTTATTCTTTCTTGCATTTGTGGTTTCATCCTCAATTATTCATTAGTTCTTTGCACTCATCATAATTCAGCACTTACAACAACTTGTGTTGGACCAATCAAAAATCTCTTCGTAACTTATGTCGGAATGTTTTCAAGCGGTGATTATATTTTCCAATGGGCTAATTTCATTGGAATCAATGTTAGTGTATTTGGAAGTATTCTTTATACATATGTAACATTCCGTGGTAAATCAACAAGTATTACTTATAAACCATTACCAACTACAATTCTACCAACCGATTTGAAAACGTCCAAATTTTCGAGTTAAAATGTGTAAATATTGAATGTATTTATTTATTTTTATGTTTTTCATGCCCATAGCTTTATTGCTCATCCGATGTTTATTGCATTTATCTTTCTTTTTTTTTTGAAATTTAACCCGATCTTCAACCGTTGCCTTTCCCCCGTTTTCTTGTGATGATAAAAACATATTTTGAAATTTTTTATTTTGAAAAATAAAAGCGAATTAATTGGCAAAAGGCGAAAATAAATTAAAAATGTGTTATATTAATCAAACTGAAATTGCTACTTTTTTACACGTTTTAACTAATTAAACAGACTATGGCTTTTTTTGAAGAAGAAGAAAAAGAGAAAGATCACAGACAGGAAAGATGGCTCTATTAGGCTACAAAATATGCATATTATGAAGATGATGAAGTTGAAGATGGTGAGATAATTGTTGATGGAGCTCCTCCGTTTGTGATTATTTTTGATTTCAATTTGAGTTGGCCAGCCATCAATGGATTAATTGCATATAACCAATCATACATCTGGAAATACAGGTAATTTATTTAACAAAACTGATATTTATTAAAAATACAATTTTTTCGTGGAATTTTGAACAAAATTTCCGGTTCTCATTCTTTCAATAAACGTGGATCTGTTCATAAAAAGTTCAAAAATTCAGAATCACAAAAAATGATGTTGAAAAAGTTTTAAATTTCAAAATATTTTCAGAACAATGAAATGAAGTCTTCAACAATACTTCACAATCAGCAAAATGGAAACATCGAAAATTTGAGAGGTCAGTTTTGTCAGAAATTTTCTACAATGTTTACTGTAGACGTTATTAGATTATTTTTCTTCACTGATATCTAATTATTTCTACTAACTTCATCTCCTGGCATCATTTGCATCAAAAATCCTCTTTGATTCGTACAAACTGAAAATGTATTCGGAACTTTAACCATAGCTTGTTGATCTTCAGAATGTTCAATTCTTGCATTTGCCAAATTAATAATTCCTCGAATAACAAGATCACGATCATCTCTAAATAATAGAATATAAGGACGTCGAACAACAACCCAGCGACGTGTCCATCCTTGTGTTTTTTCTTCCAAAAAGTTCATATATCCTTTTTTCGAAACGACAACTCCAACTCTTTCTTCGGTTACCTGAAGTTTTTATTATTTTCTGTATAAACATCTGAAATTCTTACCTCTGGCACAAGAATATTCAATTGAAGAATTCTAGATCCACTTAAACTTCTTTTCATTCCACTCGCACTGTTAATACTATCCAAAAGATCATCATTTTGTGCTAAATTTTGATCAGATTTCGATTTTTGGCGAGACAAAAGATCAGAAGATTGTGATGTTTTGATGAGAGATTTATCAGAAATTGGTGATGTGATACTATTTGATCCACTTTCATCGCTTAATTCAGCTGCTTTATTTCCAGTTGGTGGATCTTTGTTCATTGGAATTCGACGACGAATTAATCCAACTACTTTATTCACAATTCCTAAAGAGAAATAACATTTAGGAAATCCTTTTCGAAAGTATAATTTCTCTCACCTTTATCTTTTTCATCTAATTTGACAGTTTCTGGAATTGCACAAACTGGATCACATGGACTAACTGGTGTTCTTGCTTCTCCTTTATTCTTTTTTCCTTTTAATCTATCACGAAGTCTCAAAAATAATCGAACTCTTTCAACTTGTTGCAATCTAGTCAATTTTTCCAATTCCCATTGATGTTCAAATATAAGTGAATCTCCTCTTGGTCTCCATTGTCCAAGATTCTCTTCACCTCTAACATAAGCTGACGAAGTATCAAGAACTCGACGTTGTCTTCGAATTGCTCCTAAATATGATTTCGTTTATATTTTATGACAGATTTCTTATTTTCTGAATATAAAATAAAATAACATGCGGGACTGTGCACAGCCAAACAATACTAATAATCAAAAAGCAGAAAAGCATTTCACCTGGACTACCTGAGTCGGAACCATCTTTTTGGCATAATTGATATACTCCAGGTACACGATTCATTTCTGGACTTTTTGATATTCCACCAATTAATGATCTACAAAAACGACTAGCAGCACTGATTTTTGAATCTCTCGCATAAATTAAAAGACAAAGATCTTTTGTAATAACAGCTGGTTGTGCACAACCTTCTAATTCCATATAAGCTGATAATGTCATATATATTTGATCGCCATAATTTGAAACACGATTAAGAAGCGGTGAATTATGCAAAGATGAATCCCAAGCAGCTTCAAATTGGAAAAATGTTCGATCATCCATTGAAAATTCCAAAAATGTTCCTGGGAATAATCCAAGTGATAATACATCAACATCATCTCCACCAGCCCATTCTGGACCAGCTCGAATTCGACCAACAACTAATTCTTGACAATCTTTCCATTTTAATTCGCCTTTTTCATGACAAATTGTGATTTTGATTCGTCGCTGAATTCCTTGATGTAAAAGGAAAACACCGTGAGTTGGAAGACCTTGAGCATGATCGACAATTGTTGGAACATATTCACCATTGTTTGCTAATTCACAAATTTCAAACCAGATTAACATGTCGTGTTTTGATTTGACAGCAGCAGAACTGAAAATATTTCAGAATTAAATCAAGAATATTTATGAGAAACTCACTTATTCTGAATTGGAGCATTTGCTTTTTTACTTTTCACAGGAGTTGAAATAACTAGAGATGGTTGTTGAAATGTCAATTTTGTTGATAATCTTCTTCCCAATGCACTATTTTGTCTTTCAAAATTGAATTTCTCTGTTTTTGGTTGGAAATGTCCGAAAACCTGAAAACTTTGCATGATTTTCACTCTCTTTTTACTCAAACTGTACCTCAAAAATAATTGGAAAATGATGAACATAATGTAAAAATGTGCGGCTCATTTTGATATGCAAGTTTTGTGTATGTTCAAATGTTAAAGGGGATTTGCTGTTTTTCATTGGCTCTGTTGAAAATGCTTCATCGTGTCGATGAAGGAAATTGAATTGACAAAAAACATCGGAATATGCATCAGCAACATCGATTGCTTGAAGAACAACAACTCGGAAACAGAATTCGACTTCTTCTTCCATGTGTGATGGGAAAACAAGATCACTTGATTCTGTAAATTTTTTTGGTTTTCCAAAAATTCCAATCTAAAGAATAAACATACTGTCATTTTCTCCATTCTTTGTTTTCAAAAAGTCTTCTTTTCTAAAATGAAGTTTAGCAGTTTGTCTAACTCCTTTTTTCTGAACTTCAATTTGTTGATTATTAACTGGCTCAATCGCAACTTTCAAATATCCTCGAACTTCTCCTTTTTCATTTACAACAGCTACTTTATGAATAAGTGGAACATTGTGTAATAAATTACTCAGATATACAAATGCTCTTCCAATCATTCGGAACCATGGGAATCTATCATAAAATGGATCAGTTCCCATAAGTGCATCCATCATTGGATCAGATCCTATTTGATCTTGTTGTCCAGTTGGTGACATTTGTAAATCTGTTTCATACATATCTCGCATTGCTTCAAGTCGTTGTCTGAAAATATCAACCATCATTTATCTGACATTCTATTCAGCCAATAAAAAGCCAACACAATACAGGAAAAAACCCCTACAGTAACCCGGACAGGAAAGTGCAATAATAAGCATAATAAACATGCATTCATACATAGTTTACCTGTCTGGTACAAGTCTTGCTGGATTTAAATGTAATGCTGCCAACCATCCTTCAGCAACTGATGTATACGGTGGATCAGCAGGTGTTCCAGCAACAGATAATTCCGAATTATAATACATTCGCATATCTTCAAGACGTTGTCTGCAAATTCGAGAAAACCTACTTGGGAAAAAAAAGAAGGTAATCAAAATCTATTTGAAGGGCAAAATATAATCAAGCTAGGAACACTTTTAGTATTATTGTCATCGAAAAAAAAACAATAATTTTAGAAAATTTCGAGGTTTCGAGAACCATTTCTCAATGAATCTATTAGATTAAAAATTAGGGATAAGGTCAGAAATGAAGTACTCTATCTTTTAAGATTGCTCCAATCATCCTCTTATTCCCGCTTATATAACGTTTTAGTTTCAAAAATCGTAAGCAAAAAAAATATTGTGCGAATTTGTTTTCCGAAAAAAATTGAAAGCACAAAAAGCGTACGATTACTATAACAGGCTGTGTTTGACAAATGAACAGGGTTACTGTAGGTGAGAGAAGTGAAAATCGAAAAAAGAGAACTGACTTTAATTTTTCGATACTCCAATAATGAGTTGCTCCATTTTTCAAATCTTGAACTTGAATAGCAACAACAGTTTTTGGATATGGTCGAAGTGTCAAATCTTCTCCCGGCGGCAAAAGATCTGGTGGAAGTGGACTATACATTGTATCAGTTAAGAGAGCAAATTGGAATTGAACTTTTTTCTTCAATTCAACAGAAATAGCATTAGCTTCTTTTACAAAAATAGCATTTCCCCAAAGATCATCTCGAACTGATGTGAATTGATGATATCTCCATTTAATTGCTGCTTTTCGAACAACTCTTTCTTGATCTGATGTCCATTTTAATTCTTCAGCAAATTCCATCAAAGATGATGTCAAAAATCGTTCGCCTTCCCAAGTTGAACCAACACTTGAAATCATTGATTGTGCAAGATCAACTTGTCTTTGTAAACTTTCGATTCTTGTTTCATATTCTTTTGTTTGTCTCAACATTTTCAATTCGAGTTCTTCTTTTTCTCGCCGATATTGTGATTCCATTTCGAGTAGTTTTTTCTCCATTTCAGCTTTCAAATCAATTCCTTGTTTTTCAAGCAATTCTTGTTGCGCATATTTCCAATCAAGTGGCTGTTCTGAAAAAGGATACATATGGAGAGAAAGATTTCTTTTAAAAAACGAACCAGTCAAAGATGATAAATTATGTCGACTTTGTCTTGCTTCTTGTGGATCATTATATCGAAAAACGTGATATTTTCCAAGAATTACACGTGAACCAGTGTGGATTACTGTATGTTCAGTTATCTGTTTTCCATTGATATAAATTTGTGCTCCTTTTGCTGGATTTATAGTCACACATCCATCTTCATTCACAAATTCACAATGAGAATCGAGAATTGCTTGACCAGAAAGTAAAATATCTGGACGTTTTTCGGCTTCAGGGCGGCCAACGCTGAAATTCATTATCAATATTTGTTTCTCTAAATGACATTTCTCAAATTTACCTGGTAACACCTTCTTTCAAATAATAAATCAAACATTCACTCATAAGTGGATCTTCATTCAAATTAACCAAATGTGGAAGTTTCTTTGGACTAAATACTCCTAATGTTGTTCCATCATCCAAACAAGCTAATCCCATTTCTCTCAATTCTTCTTCTCTTTGTTTTCGATATTCTTCCGTTTTGCTCAATTTCTGTTCCCATGTTTTATCCAACTCAGCAATCAGTTTCTCCGAAGCTTTCAATTGTTCAATTGTATCATGATCTTTTGCCGAGAACTTTGGCAGTTTTTTAGTTGAACTGCTATTATCAAATTCATTCACATCGATACCTTTGTCTTCCAAAATATTTTTTAATTTATGAACTTCTTCTTTCAATTCTCGAATTAATTTTGCATTTGGATCTTCATTAACAACAGCTTGACACACAATTTGTTTTGCTCTATCTGCATATCTCAAAGTGCTCAATGTTTCATCAAAATTGATATCAGCTGGAGATAAAGCGGCAAGCATTGCTGTTTTTGAATTTCCACCAAGATTTTCTCGAAGTAACCAAGTTAAAACAGAATCTCGATATGGAATAACTCCTTTTGTTCGTTTCTTCTTTCCAGCCTAAAATAAAGAACTCTAATTTAATTTATTCAAATCAAAATGTCAAAGCATGTTGTTAGCCAAAAACTCTCAGTCAGTCAAGTGTGTTAAATAGGAACTCGTGAAAACTTACTTGATCTTTCTCATTTATATTTTCATTCTGAAACATAACTCGTGCCTAATATAAGGCCTAAGTAATTTTTCAAAAAAAAAAAACTCACTTCTTCTGCTAATTTACTGATAACCAAACCAAGTGTTGTCAAACTTTTGTTAATATTTGCACCTTCTTTCAATCTTTGACCTTCTGCTCCAGTTGAATTTGCTCTTTCTGAACCTGCCAAATCGACAAGTGATACTTTTGAAACTTTTTCACTGTCAAGATTTGTGATTGGACAATGTCGTTTTTGTGTTAAAACAATTGTGAAAACTGCATGTGAACGAGAAGATGTTGAATTCATATTTGTAGCAGCAACAGTTCTAAAAAAAAAGAAAAAATTATATGGAGGTATGGGGAATCGAACCCCAGACTTCTCGCATGCAAAGCGAGCGCTCTACCCCTGAGCTATACCCCCAGTTGATGGCAGCCAGCCATTAATTCGCTAACATGTTTGCTGTCTTTTTCTCTCGTTTTTCTTCTTTCTCACCTCGCTTTATTTCCTTCGTCCATTAAATTGCAAATATCATGATAAGAACAAACAGCCATTTTTGTGAGATCATCAACATAAGGACCGAGTAAAGGATGTTCTCGAACACGTAAATTCCCACCACTATTTGGATTGAGCAAATCTTTGACACGTTCACAATAGATTTCCATGTATGATACCTGAATACTTTTGGATTTTCAATTTTTCTTGAGATCAGAATTAATTTTGTTTTTACCTCAACAGAATATTGAATATTTTTATCATTGTTATTGTCAATTCTCTCGAATAAATCATTACATAATCTCGGAATTATTCCCATTTCTTCTGGATCATTTGCTTTTCCCATCATTGTATATGATTTTCCGGATCCAGTTTGACCGTAGGCAAAAATACATACATTGTATCCTTCAAATGCATGAGCTAACATTTCAACTCCAAGTTCTTCATAAACTTGTTTCTGAGAAGCAAAATGTTGGTCTGATTTTGTGAATGACCAATATGAATGATCGAAGTTGAAAGCATGTGTCTCTTTTCCGATTTCTCGACCATTTATAGCTGCAAATTAGAATAATCAATAATTAGATAGTCCCAGAAGTATTTCTTCAATCAACAAAAATTAAAATAAGACTTACTAGTTGTATTTCCATTCACACCCATAACACATTTTGAATTGTTTGATATTTCTCGTTGATTAAAGGGCCGTACACGTACAGCCACTTTAACCGACGACATGATTTGTTTTGCAACGTGTAACCCTAAAAATGTAAATGTTATTTGTTAGTGTATATTTTTTCAGATGCGCACGAAGAAGCAAAGACAAAAAAATAGGGATAGATAGATAGAACGAGACTGGTTTGGCTTGGCAAATTTAATTAGATGAGCCAAAGAAAGCAGAGGAGGAACGAAGAGAGCCCGCGACGATGATGAGAAGAAATGGTGAGCAAAATTAGAGGGGAGGAGCTGCTGGGTCCGTTGTCGCCGGTCCCAAAACAGCAGCAGAAAAAAAAACTTAATTGCGCCGTCAAAACTGATCATGACGTATTAGAAACGGAAATGTTTGGTTTTTTGGTACAAGACAAAAGATAAATGACGTGGATTTTCAGAAGAAATATATAGATTTGGGTGTTTAGAGGGGCAAATAATTAACCCGAGAGAAACAATCCGTAAAAGTTAACATTGCTCATGTTTTATTGAAGGAGTTAATCCTTTTATAATTCCAAAAAATTTATTATAATTCCAAAAAATTTTCAATGATTCATGAGTGGAATTTTAACAGTTCGGAATTTAAATTCAAAAAATTAGCTAATTGTGAGAAATATAAGTTGAATATTCAATTTTACAAACATGATGTAGTTTAACAAATCCAAGCTCTGTTCTAAATTGTGGTGAAACCACATTACTCTAAAATTTTGCAAAAGCATCTTCAACCGAATTATTTTTGTTGAAAAGGCAAAACACATTTCTACTGCCTTTTATTTATTACTCTGTTTCTATTTTTCGAGCACCAAAGAATTCTCATAAAATTCTAGATCATCAGAAAAATTGAGTTCTCAACAAAAGAAGGTGATTAGGAAAATTATATAATTTTTGATCATCTCGTGTTTTTCTTGATGTCACTTTCAGTCAGTTCTTTTTTTTTCTCGAAATTGTCTTTTCGCACGCTATTTCAGTCAACCAAAAAGAGAACACTTATCTGACATCATTCATTCACTAATTAGTAATCTTGTTACCATTTCTTTAAGACATTAGATTGAAAGGGCTCTAGGTTTCAGTAGAATATAATTTTGTTCGTATTCGAAAAATTTCTACTCGAATTTTTCAACTCTCTTCAAAAGCAATTATCTAAATACTCAAGAATTTTTTCTTATAAAATGCAAAACTTGAACACGCAATACATATTTAGGTTTCTCAATTTTCATTTCAAGTAAAAAACAATGACGTTTTGTTGTTTTTTTTTCAGCGAAATGTGGTGGCTTAATGGATTTAATTAAATATGTATGCCATAAAGTTTTCATCTTTTTCTAGATGCAAATAAAATTGGATGAGTAGGGATGAAAGCAGGCGAAATTAAAGTGCGCAATGGATTAGCTCTCGCGCGCGTCGGCTTTTGATGAGGCGAGATACATATTTGATGAAGCGGCCCAAAACTATGCTTATTTATTAAAAACGTTTCTTTTCTTTTTTTTTTTATTTTATGGAAGGAAGTTGGAATTCTGAGAATGTTATTTATTCTTCGAGATTTGACAAAATTTTAAAAGGAGACGAGGTAGCTCGAAACATTTTTGATCAAAGTATCTTGGAAATAACTCAAAATAAACATTGATAAAATAGAATTCTGCATGAAAATCCTCAAAGAAAAAAATAGCAAAAAAAGAGAAAGAAAATATTTTGGAAGTAACCTATTATTATGTGGATTTATTTACTGGAAACAAAACAATGGAAATGGAATGGAATTCTGTGAAAAACAAGAAAAATATGATGATCTTCAGGAAGATTTATCTTTTTCAAGTACAAACAAAACACGTCATTTTTTTCAGTTTGTTGGTGAAGGCGAATAGAGAGGAAAGAAAAAGGAAGAAGCACACCCCAATACATATATAGATGTATGCATTTGTTGTGCGCGAGCTTCTTCTCCTTCTTCACTCTCTCCTCCTTTTTTTTTATTTTTCAGAGAGCAAAAAATCGATTCAGAAGAAAAGAAGTAAAAAGGGAGAGTGAAAGAGAGACAGACATTATGTAGATTTTGGAAAGAAAAGCAATGGAAATCTGCCTCTGGAGGAAAGAAGTGTAACTTGAGGAGGTTTTTAAAACGACAATTTATTTTATTTTCTTAGTTGGTTTGATTCGAAAAAAGGGAATAAGTGACCGATGGTAAGAACACTGATTGACAATTGTCTGATTTGATTTTGGTTCATGGAACATTCAATTTGGCACTTTTTTGGGATCCGCGGTTTTTTGAACATCTACAGTATGAATTCTTTGTTTTAGAGATTATGGGGCTACAAAAAGATAGTATTTTTCCAAATGAATCGTACCGTTTCGGAAAATTGGTCGAAACAAGAAAGCACCTCTAAAAAAGTATGAATTTCGATCTACTCGTACCAAAAGACGCTGGGATTACTGTATGTTTCTTCAGTAATTTTTAAATATTCTCATACTACGAGTGCATTTCAAGCAAGTGGTGGTCAAAAATTCGGCTCGAGCAAATGTGGTTTTAGGGTAGTATCTAGCCCAGATTTTGTAACTTGACTTATGTTATCCCGGCCGAAGGTCTTAAAACATTGTCCGCCAACATAAGACCACCTATGAAACTGAGAACTTTGATGCCTACAGTAATTTAATGGGACGTGGAAAGTTTCCCAAATATATTTGAAACTATCTTATAGTCAAAAGTTTTCTAGAATGAGCACATTTTCGAGTTTTTTGTTTACCACAATTTTTCGAGCAAAGAGAAAAAACAAATTGTTCGAACTGAATAACCAATTCTCACCATTTATTTTGGCTTTGAATCCATTGAGAATAAATGGGTTTTTTACCCATCTTCACTCCTAAAAAGTGCTCCAAATACCCTTTTGACATGTCAATGGATTATGGCTATGAGAATCAACCTCATTTTTCCCTTTTTACCAAAGTGCATCTTTTATTTAATGGTTTTTCTTCCATTTTCCATTTTGTTTTGTCTTTGAGGGTTCCGGCTCATTTTCAAAAAACTGTTCATTGAGCAAACAAACAAACAAAAAACGACTAGATTAATTGAAGGCCTTTTTTTTCATTTTCTTCCTCTTATGGAGCAATTTTGTTGTATCTTATAAATGTGTGCTCTTGCATTCCATGTGTCAATGTTTCCATATTAAGACGTGCTTGAAGGGTTGAGCGATCGAGAAGAGTCCATTCACGAACAAGCTGAATATAATAAAATATTTGAAGGGAGTCGTGATTTTTATTTTTGACCAGTCAGCTACTAAGGCATTTAAATTTGAAACAGTAACTTACATCATGAACAGGTAGATCTCTACTGAAACTGATTCTTCCAATATCTCGAAGTCTGAATCGAATTTGATTTCCAACAATAGGTCCTTCTTCAACAGTTACAAATCCTAAAAATATATTTTTTTAGAGAATTTGAATATTTTATCCAAGATACCATTATTCATAACAGTTGTTAAAGCAGCTTCTTTTGTGTTTGGTTTTACAGAGATGTAACCGTATTCACTGTGAAGTTCATCTTTGTCATTTATTGACCAGGCAAATGCGCTGAAATATAGTAGTTTTTGGATCAATTATTTATTTTTGATCAGGAGAACAATGACCCTACACCTTTACCCGGAAAAAACAACACCAACAAACAACCAGAACATGTCAGACATATATTTTTTTTTGGAAAAAAACATAAATAATATTCATAATACCTGTTATTTGTTGTAGAAGGGTCTTTTTTCTCAACGCTCCATGCAAAAGCTCTAAATTTCAATAATCGTGAATATTTACATTCAAATACAGTAATTTCAATTTTCGGTCTGAAAAAGTTATACTTACGTATAATTTAATGCGTGAGATGATTGCATATTATCATCAGGAATTGAAATTTCAATTTCTTCTCCAAATGTGAATTTAGGAATAGTTGGGAATATCGCTTTTCCACCGTGTTCTGATCTCCATCTTCCGACTAAGAAACCAATTGGAGTTAATTCGGGAGCAAGGCGGCGGAGGTCGAATTCTGTACTTATGAGAATGTATTCCAGAAAACTTTTTCTGTTAACTAACTCGAATCAACTGATCCACATTGTCCACAACTTTGTTGACAACTTCTTTTAATATAATCTGTTGAATCACAAGCTCTTGGATTAACTGTTATCCAATCTCGACAATTATTATCGTAATCTCGACAGGTTTGTCCAAATACTGAAAATTTTTGGGAATTCTAATATTAGTTTAAAAAAAAAATAAAAATATTACCTGTTGATATACAAATAAATATTGAAAGAAGAAGAATATTCTTCATTGTGACACCTGAAAGAAATACGAAAAAAAGTGAAAAAATGTTGTAACCAGTGAAAGTAAAGTAGGAAGGAAGAAAGAAAAGGAAGGTTGAAAAAGGCAGAAAAAATACACTTTTTATCAACAGATTGTCAAGAACAGTTTTTTGATTAGTTGTGTTTCTAACGAAGCTAATCATCATCATCATTATGATCGGTTGGCAGGCTGGCAAATGAAAACACGTTCTAGGTGGAGAATAAAAAATAAGAAATTGAAATTGATATGTTTTTTATCTTTTAGATATATGCAAAAGTTAGTTGCAAATTGAGTTTGTTGATTTTTGAAAATTGGATGAATGTTGCAAAAATAGAGATAATCTAATTATCCTTGAATCGGAACACTAAAACACATAATAGAAGCATAATTAGATTACAATTTACTTTCTTTGATTTTTAGTCGCTCTGTTTCCGGAATTTCACTTACACGAAAAGTTTGACGTATTTTTTGAGAATTGAAACAATATTGGGGATGGTCGGAAATCAATCAACGGAAATATTTTGAGATACATAATTTTGTTCCACCACGAAAAGTTTTCAAAGTTTCAGACTTAGAAAATTTGGTATCAAGTTGCACATTGTGGATTGAAGAAGTTGCAGAGTTCTAGTATAAATTATACTCACGATTAATTCAAATCTAGTTCATTTCTTGAAAATAAGAAGTATCAGAAGTGGCAATGAATTTCATCCAAATTCTAAGCTAGAATAAATTATCAGAATTTTTCTTCGCTACAACAAAAAGTATGCAAATGACGAACATTGAACTATGTAAAAGTGAATTTGGCCAAATAAATAAATGTTTTGGTCATATATTCATTCACCACAAAAAGGACACATTATGTAACTAGAAAGAGAAATTAGAAATCTAAACTGGTTAGTTTCTGAAAATAAAAAGTGACTGCTATAATTTAAGTGTTTGCCTGCTTGTTTTGTTTTGAGGGGTCTTTTTTTTTTTTGATACTGCATTAGGTCTTATTTAGAAATTTCGTCTTTGTTCATAGATTTTACAGTTTTATTGATTATCCTTTCATTTTCATATTTGATAACTTCGATTTTCACAATAATTTTTTCTTGAAACATTTTCGAGATTGAAAATATTCTGGAAGATTTTTCTAAATATATTTATCTTCTTTGAAAATAAAATAAATAACCTTTTTTATTACAAACATTAAAAATTTTGGGATAATTCGGTGATCAATGAATAAATCAGTCATGCTTCGATAGTTTTATTCAATCATCTGAAAATTGATGAAGTTAATAGATGGATATTTTATAATTCGATATAGTTTTACGAGCATTTTCAAGTGGTAAAATTTTAATTTTTGTTTTTTGTAGTACAGATCTTGTCAATCGATTAATTGAACGATTATGAAGTTTTCGAAGAAGCATTCTTTGAATTACACAAATCTGAATCATTTTGAACAATGCTTTTTAGAAACGCAGAAATTATAATTTCCAAATAAAAAAACGTGACCATTGACGTGGCAATTCATAAACATTATTTCATATTTTTTGATTTTCACGTGGATTTATTCATTTCTCGTTATTTTTAGAGATGAAACAAGTTGAAATGCGGAACAATGATAGGAAAAATTGGAAACTGGTTGGTTTTGTTTAAAAAGTTTCGATATTTTTCATAATTCATGTGTACATCACAAATTTGTGATAAAATATGTTGGTATTTAGTATCATTTTGCATGGTATGTATGTCTATAAGTTGTTGTTGATTTGAATTGATTAGTGGCTGGTTGTATCTATAGAGAGAAAGACGATGTGACCGGAAGTATTTCATTGTTGTTTTTGCTGTTTGGTGGGGGTTGTCTTCTTTTTCTCTTTTTCATCTTCTTCTTTTTTTTTTTTTTTGATAACCTCCGATCGATTTTTTGCATCCAGGTTCACTGATTTTCTTCTTTTTTTTGGTAATAAATAATAAATGAAAAGAAAAATGATTAATATTTTCTTTGTCGGGAGAAAGTAAATAAACCATTTATTTGGTACGATTAGTTTTCGTTGAATTCTGTTTCAAAAAATTGATAAGTTTTTAATGTAAACATCGCTTTCTAAAGTGAAATTTTATACATTTTATGTATAACATAAGAAAAATAATATAAGATTAATATTCATTGTTTATTGACATTTGCACCTTTTTTTCTTTAATCTAATTCTGTCTAAATATATATGACAAGCCGGCTGGCCATCTGTAACTTGATTCATTCATATAATTCCGAATGGTCAACCAGTCAGTCACTAACACATTTGAAAAGAAAAAGGAAGAAGAAGACGAAGAATAATAAAAAGAGCACCTTTTTGTTCCTCTCTACTTACACTCTTCTCTATTTCTCTTCAACTGACCACACTATTTTTCTATTCCCCACTCTCTCAATTTCATATGCTCTCTCTCACTGCTCTCTGTTTTCTCTAACCGCAATTAGAATATTCGATGTGTTTGTGGGTTTGGGTGCGCAATGTGGGCTTACTGACTGACTGTTTGATTTTTGCATAATTTTTTTCATCGATTTTTTGCTTTTGAGGAAAATTTTACTCGATTTTTTCCTGGTTTGAAAATGCTAGAAGATTTGGGATTTTTTCCTAGTTATAATACTCAATCTTAGTTGTGTCCTATTTTATTTCAGCATAATTGTTTCCAGAGGTTATCCGCAGATTTTTGTTGAAATTTTCCTCGTAGAAATCGCGCCCTATTGAGAACATAGGAATTTTGCATTTTTCCTGAAAAACCTTGAAAAAAATGTTGGATTAAAACAGTCAATTCGAATTCGGCCACTCCAATTATCTTCTTATTTTTTCTTTTCGATTTGTCATCAAATTCTTTGGTTTTAAATTATTTGTTAAGTACAATGCACAATTTTCAATCAAGATTAATTAATGAAAATAATTCATTTTATATCGCGTGTTTCTCTGTTTTCTGTTCTCTCCCTCTTTCTTCTACGAATTGACCCTTGAAAAGAAAAATAGATTTGTTTTTATGAAGAGATTTAGACAATCATGAGCAAATTCATTAATTTATTAATAATATTCACTAGACGAATGAGATGAGGTGCTTTCTTTTATTTATTTTTTGATTAGAATGTAGAATTTTTTCAAAATGTGTAAGATTTCATCGAATTTTCCCATGAGACAAAACATTTCCTAAATTTTGGTCGTCCAAAACCACATTTACACCACACCAACATCCCACCCAAATATGTACATACATATATTAGCTAATTTTTGGTGTTGTTGCGCCGACGTCCGAAATTGAATTTTAAAATTAATTTCTCCTCTTTTTTTTCCACCAAACATTTCGTTTTTAGTGAGTAGTAATAGTGGCAAAGAACAGATGTGTCTTCGCCGTCCCACAGCACATTTTTAAACGTTTTTTTGACAGATTTGCACTTTTTTTCGACCTCAATTGATCTATTTCTTTCAAAAATCTATTGATTTTGAAATATTTATTTATTTACTCAAATTTCAAAATCAAATGAGAACATGCGATAATATTTTATCTAATCATTCTTCTTTTTTTCCCAATTCGTATTTTCTCTACTGTGTAAAACATTGAAAAAAAACGAATCAATTTCAATTTTTTTTATCATTTCGCAACACGAATTATCGATTTTTTATTTATTTGTTTCTTTTTCTCTTGGTCCGCTCTTCTCGTTTTGAAACTTGTGGTTTTCTAGATTTTTATCTTATCTGATCAATTTATTTATTTTGTTACTTTTATGATTTTCTCCGTCGATTTATTTTTTGTTTGTTTTTGTATGTAAATATTCATGTATATTTTTTGCAGAATATAAAAAAATCCAAATGGATCGTGTTTTTTAAAAATATCAACAATGCGAATAAAAAACTATACATGGATATGGTGGATTACAGTTATATTATTATATTTAAGGAGTACGGTAGAAGCTTTTGATGAAGAAATTAGGTAATTCAAGTTTTTTTTTGGGAATTCTTCAAATTTTTTTGTTGTTTCAGTTTATCAAACGAAAATGAATCGAAACCTGAAATTGAGGAAAAACCTGGACCAAAAAGTGCATTATCATTAGGTTTACCGCGATGTGAAACAAATTATGATTGTTCACACGATGGAGTTTGTAAAAAAGGAGCTGATGGTTATGGTGTTTGTCTTTGTGCGGCAGCATGTCCAGCAAGTGAGTTATAATTTTGAAAAATTTGGGGTAAAATACCATATATGTTATTCGAAAAGTTTGGAATACTACAACCACGAAATTTTGTTTTGAAAAAATAGTCAAAATGGTTTCGGAAATTCTGATAGTTCTAGGCTCTTCTGGAAAAAAAGAGGGTCCTGAATCAAAAATTCGGAACATTTTTTTTGAAGTTTCAGTTATTTTGGTGAAAAATCTTTTGAAGTTATATTTTATATTTCAAAGATGTTTTTTCATCTAATGTTAAATTGTTTATTCCACTCATTTAAAAATTATGAATCTAGAATTTGATCTTAAAAAATCCCATTTTTTCTAAATTTTATATTTTTTGCAGCAATTCCATCTCGTTGTGGTCGATTAGTTTATGCAAAATCAAATCATAAATGTCTTGTAATGGATGAAGATTATCGATCTCGTTATGATGTTCCATCACCTACGTGTCATAATGTGAGTTTTTCTTGTACTCTGACCCATTCCCTAATTCGAAATAATTTGATGTGACAGGCAGACAATCAATTTTTTCCCTTTACTTTTTGAAATGGGTGGGCTTCTTTTTATCAAAACGGGACCAACTCTTATAGAAAAATAAATAATTTAAATACTTTTCAAGGCTCGATGTATGTGTCCACCACAATTCAGTGATGTTCAATTGTCTTCTTCAACATTTCCACTTTTTCTCAATACAACTCTTCCACCATTTCGTTGTGATAAAAGGGATTTACAAGTACAAATTCGTGTTCATCCATCCGAATCGGTTTTTCTTGGAACTGATGTCAAAATGTACTGTTGTATCAATGTTGATCCAGAACATTTTGTCGATGCAACAAATGTTCGATTTGTTCAAAATACGACACGAATACGAGAACCAACTGGACATCCATTCAGAGAGGTTTGTTTTCTACAATTGTATATTTTGGATGGGACCCGAGGAAGCGTGAATCGGAAAAATTTCAAAAAAATGGTCCGATTCAGATGTTGTCTTAAAAATCGGATCCGCTCCAAATAACTGTATCTGTGTCTCTTGATTCTCGTCTCTCTTTCAATTTTCAATCTGTTTTTTTTCTAGGAATATCGCCGACATTCATCTGATAATACTTATGCTTGTTGGGAACTTGAGCTAAAAAATGCACAACAATCGGATACTGGCTCATATATGTGTATGGTTACTACAAGTCTGAAAAATAAAACAGCAAATCACACAATCAATTTTGAAGTTAAAGGTTAGTTTTTTTCCGAATATTCTTCTGTATTTCAAAAACTGTTTACGATATTTCCAAATTCTCATTTTAAATGGGTTTAGAACATTCTCGACGAGTTCATTCATATTGGTACAAAAGACCGAAAAAAATAAAACTTGCTAGTTGTAAGTTGCATGAATAATATATTTATAGTGATGTGAAATATTGTGAAAATCCCCTAAATTCTGAAATTAATTAGTTACAATTTGAAAATTAATTAGCCAATTTTTGCAGCTCCTACAACAATTACGAATGTATCGTATGAGGCAACTGACAAAAGTGTGGTTGTTACATGGGAATTTGATAAAAAAGGAAACGAGATTCCAATTAGATTAAGGTAAGTTTAAATTTTAAAAAAAATTAAAAAATATTCCAATTCCAATAATAAGTTATCTAACTCATCCGATTCCAGCAGAAATCGCAGAAATGTTCAGATGAAACCGTAAGAAATTTGAATATTTATAGAGCATGGTTTTCTCAGTTTTTCTTTCTTTCTTTCTATCTATTTTAGTTTCTGTTTGATGTGATTTTCCAATTTTTTTTTGTCTGAAAATTAATTTGAAATATTTATTTATTTAAAGGCTTATGCGACGATCTGATGTTCAAAATTCTCAAGTTATAAATAATGATAATGCAACATCGCCGACTGTTATTAATGGATTACAAGCAGCTACACCTTATACACTTTTTATATCTGGACAAGATGGAATGGAACCATTTGAACGAACTGTTCATTTTACAACCAAAGAAAAAAGTGAGTCATTTCAGAGATTGCGGATAATATTAATGAATCTGTCGAATCTGAGAGATCACTGTGTCACAATTAAAATATACGCTCTATTTTTCCAGAACCGCATGCTCCAAGAGCAATCGATGTTCGAGTTTTGAATTCGGGTTCAAATTTGATGTGCGAAGTTGAATGGAAAGCACCCGGTGCAACATTTGGTCGCCTCACAAAATATTTTGTATCAGTTCGTGGTTCTATACGAACAATTGGACCAAATGGTGAACTCACACCATTCGATTTTCCATTGGCAAGTATTGGTGATAAAAAATGTGCAAATTGGGATCAGGATGAAGCAAAAGCTGGTGTCTCTGGGATTAATCCTGTTGATTTTAGCGCCGATTTCTTTTCGTGTAAATTTGGACCGCTGAAGGTGAGTATTTTATGCAAAATTAAAAACAAATTTGAAAAAAAGTTTCTGTTTTATTGTTATTTTGAAGTTTTTGAAATACTAATAGAATCTTGGAATATGAAAATTGAACAAACTCAAGTTTATTCCCATTTTTTCCCGAATTTCTGAATCCTAATTTTTCAGCCGAATCGAAATTACACAGTAAATGTTTGGGCTGAAAATCAAGCTGGAAGATCAACAGCAGCAAATTTCACCAAAACATGTGTCACAAATTATGCTCAACCTGATGTTGTTCATGAACCAACAACTTCTTTGTCATCAAATCAATCAACATTTTCATTGAGTTTTGGAAATCGACCAGATGATTCAAATGGACCAATTAGTTGTTATTATGTTGCTGTTGTTCCATTACCAAAAAATGTATCATTGGATTTATTGCCACCAACAAATGAAATTGTTATGGATTCTGTTACAAAGGTAGGGTTTTTTGCTTGAGTTTAATTCAGAATGCGAATATTTCAATTTGTATTTTTTGTAGGTTTTCCAAAATAACATGGATTCATCATCTGCCGAAATGAAACGATATTTTGCATATGTTGCTGAAAGTTATAAAGATTGGCCAGCTGAAACAGTAATTGGAGATGGAAATGGTGTTGAAGGTGTTGAACCATGTAATGTTCATTATTTGAGTAGACATTCTGCTGAAGATCTTGCTCTTTTATCTGGTCTCAAATACACTGGTTTTTTGATTGTTCGAGTTGATAAAGAAGAAGATAAAATGAATGATAGATCGTAAGTTGTTTATTTTTGGGGTGAATCTGAGATTCTTTTGGATACCCGAATTAAAATTGGGAACATTTATCTCCGAAACACTCCGGAGCATGAGCCAGTAAAGAATGGCCCATTTTAGTCAACAAATTTAAAAAAAAAATTTTCTATTCAAAGATGTTTTTGTTCAGATTCCGAATTCCACCTCGTAAACTTCGACAACTTCATTTAAGTGGTCCAGCTTATGGATATAGTGGATATTTTAAGCCAATAATTCTTGAACTTGAAAGTGAATCAAGTGGACTTACAACAGCTCTCAAAATATTTATTCCAATATTCTTATTTCTTGCAATGGCTGTTGCAATTGCAATGTTTATTATTCATCGACGAGGAGATGATATGGAATGGTGTTTATTTTCGAAAATATTATCAAAAGATGTTGGAGATCGAAAACTATTGCGACAATCATTTGGAGCTGTTCCAGTCGAAGATCTTCCAACTGAATATGTTATGAGACATCGAGATTCAGATTTTGTATTTAATCAAGAATTCGATTCATTACCACATTATCAATTGGAAACAACTGCAAGTAATCGATATCCTCATAAAAATCGATATAATGATATTCGAGCATTTGATGATTCTCGAGTTAAACTTCAACATATTCATGGAGATGATTCATCTGATTATATTAATGCAAATTTTATCAAAAGTTGGAATTCAAAAAAGACATTTATTGCAACACAAGCACCTGTTGATTTAACATTGGGTGATTTTTGGAGAATGGTTTGGGAACAACAAAGTTATTTAATTGTTATGGTTGCTAATTTGACGGAGAAAAATCGACCACAATGCACAAAATATTGGCCAGATGATTCGCCTCAAAGATATGGTGATATAATTGTTCAACATGTTGAATCATCATATTATTCGGATTATAATATTCGAGTATTTGATATAATTCATATTGATGAATGTTCGCATGATCCAAGTGTTGTTGAATATGCAAATGTTCCATTGGCTAGAAATTCAGTAATAACTGGAGGAAATTCGAGAAGAATTTATCATTATCATTTTATTAATTGGAATGATTATAAAGCACCAGAATGTTCAATTGGAATATTACGATTTTTGCATATTTTGAGAGAATTAGATGAATTCAATGAATCGCCAGTTGTAATTCATTGTAGTGCTGGAGTTGGAAGAACTGGAACATTTATCACAATTGATTCAATGTTTGATCAATGTAAAACTGAAGGAAAAGCAAATGTTTTTGAATTTGTTTCATTTTTGAGAAAACAAAGAAATCTTATGGTTCAATCATTGGAACAATATGTTTTTATTTATAAAGCATTAGCTGAATGGTATATGTATGGATATACTGATTTAGATGCAAAAGATTTTGAACAACATTATCATTTATTGAGAGAACCAATGAGAGATCGATCTGCTTCATTCAATAATTTTCAAAAAGTTGTTGTAAAAACATCGGAAAAAACAAATAATGCAAATGGTTTGGAAGAAGAATTCAAGAAATTAGAAAGAAATCTTGGAGGAACATTATCTTCGAATTTTGCTGCAAGTGATGCAAATTTATTGAAAAATCGATATGAAAGTGCAGTTCCTTATGATAAATATCGAGTTGTTTTAAGTCAAATGATTGGATTGGCTGATTCAACTTATATAAATGCATCACATATCAAAGGATATTTCTATCCGTATATTGTTGCACAAGATCCAGTTAGTGAAATGACGGTTTTTGATTTTTGGAGAATGATTTCGGATATGAAAATTAGAACTGTTGTTATGTTATCAAATGAAGATGAATGGAGTGAACCAGAAAAGGTTTGTTAATTTTGAATTATACTGTAACCTGTATGAAAATTTTGGATGGATTATTTGAATTACTGTAGCTTAGCTTCAAACTTCGTAATCTCGAAATTTTTGAAAAAAATTGATTTACAACATTTTTGGAACTTGTTTTGGCACAAAATTTACTGATAAAAAATCTGAAAATTTCTGAAACATTTTTTTCCCAAATAATCACATTAATAAATTACAGTATTGGCCGGAAGAAGAAGGAAAAAGTGCTCGATATACTGCTGGAAAATATCATGTAGATGTCGAATTTGTTCGTGAAGAAGAATTTCCTGATTTCTATCAGCGAACCTTAACATTCGGAATGAAAGATCAAGAAATGTCACAAAATCAAGAAATAGTTCAATTTGCGTTTACATCTTGGCCTTCTTCTCAAATTGTTCCATCATCTTCTGCTGCATTATTAACATTAATTAGTCGAGTTTTGGAAAGACAAAGCAAATTACAAGATCCTGGACCTATTTTGGTTCATTGTAGAAATGGTTCATCTGAAACTGGTATTTTTGTTTGCATTTCTTTGTTATTACTTCGACTTCGTGCAGAACATCGAATTGATGTTTTTCAAACTGTAAAAGGTCTTCAAAATCAAAGACCGCAAATGTTCACTAAATTGGTAGGTTCATTATCATTTTATTATTCATTATATATATTTTCCTTTTTTCAGGAACAATATGCGTTTTGCTACAAAGCTGTAGCTGATTACATCTCAAAACCATCATCAAGGTAGTGCCTTTCTAGTCCTCATCTTTCATCAGTTTGCTCAATTTTTTTCATTATTTTTGTTCAAAATGACAGCATATACAATTGCGGGTTTAATCTCAATCTGTTTTTTTGCCCAGAATGTTTTTTTTTTCAATTTGCATAATTTATTATCTTTTTTTTCAAAAAACCCTAGTCAAATAATAAACCTTACTATTAGATGTTATAGCATAATTTTTTCGATTTTTTTGTAAAATATATTATATCCCTGAATTTGACGAGTATTATTGCTACTTCCGAACGATTTTTTACTGTTTTTTGTTTTCCTGTAAATAAATATTATTGCTGTTTTGAATCGAGTTGATTGGAATTCCAGAAAACCGATTGTAATTATAAAATCTCAAGAGAACACGTTTTTCAAACAAATTTCGTATATTTCTTTCACCCCCAGCATTTCGTATTTCCATTTATCAACGTATTAATTATTTCCTTCAAAATAGTGAGTTCTAACGTTGTTGGAAACCTATAATTATGTCAAAACCTTCGATTTAGTATTTGCAAAGAATTGAAAATTTCTAATTGAAGCCAAACGACACTCCGCACTTCACAGTGCATTTGTGTGTGTTTACATCGTATTTTACGCACAACTGCACCAATCAATTTTTTCTTTTTTTTCGCGCACACATTTCCAAAGCAAAAGGCGGCAGTCCACCGTTTAAAGGGACATGAACCTTCTGCAGTCTCTATCAGCGGAAAAAACTCATTTTCATCAAAAACTGATTACACCACTGAAATCCCCGTTCCATTCTACCCCAGAATAGTGCTTCTGGTGGTGAATGGCTCAGGTTTTTTCTCTTGGTAGTTCTGCGAGACCCAAAAAAGTTTCGACCAGTTGCGCCTTGAAAAAATAGTGTTGGAAACAGAGAGACGCAGACAATTTTTTGAATTTTGGTGTAAACACGGCGACGCACAATTACACATTTTTGTCTTTCAAGACCGTAGTGTTTTTGGTGGACTGCCGCCTGAATGTGTGCGTGTTTTCGCTGATTTTTTCAATTCTTCATAAAACCACCGCTATAATTATAGTTTGCAGGGTATATATGTTAAGAAATGCGCAAACTTGTCATTCCTAAATACTACGGTCGACCATCAATTGGTTAGTTTATTTTTGTGCAGATTTTTGAGGTTCAAAAACTAAATTTATAGGACTTGCTCTTTTTGGCTGCACTAATCGTCCATTTTATCATATTTGCGTTTTCCCGGATCGTGCACTTGGTCGTCGATTCGAAAGTAATATTCTGGAACAAGTTGGAACATTTGATCCATTACCAAACACAAAAAACGAGAAGTTGGTTGCTTTAAATTTTGGTCGATTGAAATATTGGATTGGTGAGCGCAACGCGCATATTTCCGTTCCTGTTCTTGAACTTTTGGGTCTTTCTGGTCTTTTTCCGATTCATCCAAAATCTTTCATTCGGGCGAAAGATAATCGAGAAATATTAAAAGAGGAATCTGTTGAAGAACAAAAAGTGAGTTTATAAAAAACCATATAATTTTAAAGGATTTTTATTTTTAGACCGAGGAGCCTCTCCTTCAACATCAACAATAATACTTTTAGATTGTTTAGCTGAATATCTGTTATTACTTATGCTAGTATAAATTGAGTTATATTTTGTGAACAAATTATGTGTCTTCGTGTATGTATCACGCTTATTATCATATCTATTTTTGAAATCAACTCATCAGGAGAGTTATCAAATGTGTTCAAACCTTTCAGTAATGGTGATACTTGTTATGATGAATCGATTGTTTTATCAAATTCCGATCAATCCTATTCCCTTTTTCATTCGACCAAACGTTGCTCAAATCTTCTGAATAAATGTGAGATCTTTTAGAATATTTAAAATTTGATAGAAAATAATAATGTATTTCTTTACAGACAAGAAATCATCTGATGAATCTAGTTATTGTCGACCGGGTCTCGTAGATTTGGAAATCACACCAGTATTCAGGGCTGCTCAAAATCAAGTGTGAGTATTCAAAAACAGTTTCAAAAAACTATTTTTGATTTTCAGCTATCCATATGCAACTATTAATATAAATTTAAAAATTCACGAAGCAATCGAAGCTGCATTTGTTCGATTAGAATGTTTAAATACACAATCTGGAGAGGATATATATTGTTCAAATGATTCTTCATTATATCATGATGATATTCGTTTATTACCTTGTCGTGGTATTCAATTCGATTCCTCAAATGTTGTTTTTCCTGCACAATTCAATTATAAATGCTTCCGTCTTTATCCTCATTCAACAACTGCAATCAATGTTTCAATATTCCCTCAAGATTGTATTGCAAGTTCAATTATCACAGCTCCACATTTGGAAGAAATGTTTCCAAATGATTGGATTAACAGACATCAAAATGGCTTATCTGAAATAACTAAATGGTCTCCAATGATTATGGTTGATTTGAGTGAATCCGATGGTGTTTGGTTGAAAATTCCGAAACCTGAAGGAATGCGATGTAAAAGAATTGAAATGAATATATTCGAAGATATAAAAGGAAAGGCTTTTTATATGAAAAGTTTGACTTTAAATTGTACCGATGAAAAACTGATGGGAATCAAATGGTTTGATGTGAAAAAAGGTCGATATTATATAACTGCATTTATACCTTCTGGTGATTGTTCTCAAAGATGTGAAGGTAATTCAACAAATTGTAAAATATGTCCGCATACTGAAATCGAATTTACAATTTATGATAATCATATTTCAATTATTTGGAAGATTGGAATGAAAATATCAGAAATTCCAATAATTTGGTTATTAATTATGTTCATCGTTCTTCTTATTGTTTTATCAATTATTGCTGCTTTAATATTCATTCCACGACGAAAAATAGAAAATGGTCCACCAGATGTAATACCATTAATTGAAATGAAGAAATTATTATTAATATATGCCGAAGATACTCCAGCTCATAAACAAACAATTGAAACATTTCGAGATTGTTTACAACAAAATGCACATACAAATGCAACAATAAATGAAGATATGTTATTAGAAAATAATTGTCAACCATCAAAATGGATTAATCATGTTTATTCGATTATGCCCAAACATTTAATTGTTCTTTCTCCATTGGCGACTAAAGTTATTGAAGTATCTGGATCAGAAGATGAGGGAAAATATGAAATTGAACAAACTCAACCATATCCAGATATGTTTAAAACGGGATTTGATAAAGTTTTAAGGGTAAGGTGATTTTTCTTTGAAAGTTATTATTAGAAAACATTTTTAGGAATGTGCATTATGTTCTCGAAATGCTCGTTCAATGATAGGTTTGGTTACGTTGCCATATTCAGGACCAATTCCAAGAAAATTGATTATTTTGGGCCTTCCTACTTTTTCACGTAAGTTAATTTTTGAATAATTATTCTAAACTGCCACGTAGAGCATGTATAATTCAAAACCATAATTTTTTCAGTTCCCGATGATTTCACAAAATTGACAGCATTTATTCATCAAGTTGATATCAGAAATCGAAATGTGGCCAATAATTTAACAACTGAGATGAAATTTGTTTTGGAAAGAAGAATCGAGACAACCAAACGAGATATGGAATCAAGACCGAAGTGGGTAGAAACACGGTGGATTGAAGTTGAAAAACCAATTGATATTTCTTCGAAAGTTCCAATGGCAGCTCCTCCTGTTTTGTATGAAACTCATCAAGAAAGAGTTGAAGCAAGTGAACGATTGAATTTATTGCCACCTGATTCAAGTGATGAAGAAGATCATGAAGAGGTATTTTTTTATTGATTGATCTTTTTCATTTTAAATATTTCATTTATAGGTTCAACAATTCCAATTGTATCCACCCGATGAAGATGATGATATTATTATAGAAGAAGATGAAGAAGCAGAAGAAGCAGAAGAAAATGAAAAAGGCCAAGCTGAAACTGGTGTTTGAAAATATTTTGTTTGTATTTTATTTTGAATGAACTCTTGATTTTTTTCATCTACAAGTTATAAAATTATATAATTCTGGTTATTTTCCAGTCCCTATGTACCTCATTGAAATTATTATTTAATTTCCAAAACATAATTCCAGGTAAATGTCTGATGATACTTCGGACGATGAAGAAATGAATTGTGACGTGGAACCGAGTTGTTCTGGGGAATTGCAAAATGAAGAAATGAAAGATGAACCCAAAAAAGAGAAACGAAAATATAAATGTCCGAATTGCGATTATATGGCAACATTTCCGAATAAGTTGAGAATTCATGTGAATGTTCGACATCCAAGTGAGATTTTCTTTGAATTTGTTTCCAGCCGGTTTAGTTTCTGTTTTCAGGCGAACTTCGATTTAGTTGTAAATCTTGTGATATGAGATTTGAAGAATATATTGAATTGAGAAAACATCGACAATCAAATCATCCAGTAATCCATAAATGCATGGAATGTGATTTTGAACATAAGGTAAGTATTTGGAGAAAATAAACAGCATGAAAAAATTATTGATTTCAGATAAAAGCGAATGTTGATAAACATTTCAAAACAAATCACGTGAATGGTGTTTATTGTTCATTTGGTTGTGGAAAAATGTTTGCGAAAAATCAGATCAAGTTTGTTTATTTAGATATTCTGAAATTAATATAAATGGTGATATATTTCAGAAAACATATCGCTAAATTTCATTCAACTGATATTGAAATTGGAAATATTGCGAAAATGAGAGAAGGATTGACAGAACAAATATTGAAATGTGAATTATGTGATTATGAAGCTGACAAATTATTGAAAACTGAAGAATTGAAAATGGAAGACCTCAATATTCATATATCTAGGTGAGATTTCAAAAATTGTTATGTATAAACTGAAACAAAAAATATTTCAGAATACATGGAAATGGAACAAAATGCCCATTTGAATGTGGAAAGTCTTACAAAGTTGATGATTTGATAAATCATATTCAAACTGAACATGAACAAGAATCTGATGAAACTGAAAAAATAAGAAATGAGGATACTGTATCAACCTGTATTGATGTTAGAATTGATGAAGATGGTGGGTTTTTCTTTAAAAAAATATTCTGAAAATAACAAACTTTTTTCAGAAAATGATATATCTGACAGCGAAAATGAAGAAGACAATGAAAAAGGTTATACAGTTGATAATAAATGTTCAAAATGTTCGAAAATATTCAATTGTTCACAAAGTTTGAAGCGACACATCAAATCCGTGAGTTTATCATATTTCTAATTTTTATATCCGATTTTTATTCAAGGTGCATGATAAAATGTATTCGAAAAGCAAACAAGTTTTATGGAAAGAATGTGATTTTGTTGAAAACGGGAAAAAGTGTGAAAAACGATTCAAATGTCAAAGTTTGCTTGATGATCATCTTAATAAACATAGAAGTAAGTTTTCTTATACTGATTCCCTGAAAAATTCAAAAAATCCGAAATTTTTAGATATTTTCCCGTATAAATGTCAAAATTGTGATCAGAAATTCAATGCTCGTTCTCGTTTCGCTGTTCATCTCTCAAAATATCACAAAACTAGTATAAAAGACTATACATTATTGATTAACTCGGTGTTTAGAAAATAGTTTTATTGTTATTATTCGTTTTGTTTGTTAAAATATATCTCAATGAAGTTGTTATTGTTGTCCTTTGATTATGTTGACGAATTCTGAAAAAATAGGATTTTCAGAAAATAATCATATGGTAAATGTAAATATACCCTGAAAATCGATAAGTCCATCATGATCCAAATCTCCTTGTCTAATCATTTCTTTTGCTTCTTGTTCTGTTAATTGTTCACCCAATTGACACATTACAAATATCAAATCATCAATCGATATTACACCATCACCATTTTTGTCGAAAACCTATGAAACATTTTTTAATTCTTGAACATTTATGAAATCTTTCTTACATTAAAAACATCTCTCAATTCTTTTTCTTCTTTTGGATCACAAATTTGTCGACGTAAAACATTCAAAAATTCGTCAATATCGATACATCCGTTTCCTGCAAAAAAAAAAGTTTTAAAAAAATGTGTAAGGAAACCGGATATTTACTATAAGTAAAAAAAGGTGGAAAAGTTTCCGGTTTTGGGGGCGAGAAAAAAGAAAAACACGTGAAAATTAGTGAAGCATGAAATATTTTGAAACTTTTTTGAGAAATAAATAAAGTTATGAAATAAATCAGAAAAATTTTTGTTTCTTACCATCCAAATCAGCTTGTTGAATCATTTCCTCAATTTTTGAATTTGATGCTTTTTCACCCAATTGAAGTAGTGCAACCTAAATCAATGATGAATTAAATATGATGAAAACTGTAGAAAAATGGAGGGATTTGGCTACTGTTGATATAGATGGAAGATAGTGTATGTTCTTCTGAATTTATGTATAATATTGATTACTATACAACAAGGATTACTGTAAGTCCCTTGCTATTTTTATCACTTCTAGATTACTGTAGATATCGTGATTGTTTACATGAGTATAATTTGAGCAATATTCCATGGAACAGCGGAACAAGTGCATGTCCCTTTAAACTTCACAGATACAAAAAATTTTCGGGCTGTAGACTAGCGCAAAGTACAGTACCCTTTTGAAAAACATAAAAATTCAAACCTCTAATTCATGTCTCGTAATTCGTCCATCGCCATTTTTATCAAACTCTTTGAAAACTTCTCGAATTTCAGCTTCTTTCAATGCGTCCATTTTCTAGAAAAAACATGAATAATGAGACAAATTTCCATAAAAAAAAGGTTTTTTCCAGAAAAAAGTAGATATATATTTTTTGAAGTACGAACGGAAACGAGAAAATTTATTATTAAAAACGATTTTTCCCTCAATCCCGAAAAAAGCGCGAAATAAAAAGTGCAAAGATTTTTAGTTGGTAAAAGAGCACGGGAAAATATATTTGGGAAAAAAAAGAAAATTAGCATTTTGAAGGGTTCCCATGTGTCCCATAATACAAACCACTTCATTTTTCTTTGATTTTTCGGAAATGAAAAAAATGAGACATAAATCTATCGAAATCTGAACGACGAAGCCACGCCCACTTTTTTCAACACCAAAAAAAATTTCAAGAGAGAAAAAAAAGAAAAACAATATATAAATATACTTTAATTATGGGAATTTTATTCTGTTTTTTTTTGTGAAAAAAAGTGGATGACATCATAAATCGGAAAAAGAATTGTCGCGAATCCAGTAAATCTGTCAGAAAAAAAGGTTTCTAAACGACAAAAACGCCAAACATCAATTGGAAGGGCGCCAAATCTAATTATCCTTTTTTTGTTGTTGTCGGTCGAGACACCAAAAACATGAAAATTGAAAATGAAAAAAAAGTGGAACTTGAGTTGAAATATGAGAAAAAAAGAGAAATTGAAAAGTAAACTAATCAAATATTCATTGACGTGGAACAAACACAGCGAGAAAAAAAAGAAGAAAATTCAATGAAGGTCCATTTGAATTTTATTGTGGAAAAATACTTTTTCCAAAAAAAATTTCCAAAAAAAAACATGAGAAAAATTTATTATGTACTTGAGTAGAATGTTTGTGATAAATAGTCATGCAATTATTCACCAACCAGAAAATCGGAAACATTGTTTCGTGCATTGTTCTCATTTCTCTTTTTTGGAACTTTGATCTTGGAAATAAAATTAAGAAAAGCTCTTGAAAAAAACCGATTAAAATGAAATTGAAATTCTATTTTTATTTGTGTTAAAGGTTTGTTCAGCGGCTAATTTCTCGAACAAAGACCACCCACGTATTTTACAAAAAAAAACTAAATTACCTGACCATTTTCTTAACCAACAGCTCTTAAACGAATAATTTTCGAAATAAAAAAATTGAAATTCGATATTTTTTGTGTTTATGTTTTTGTATTTCGCCAAAATCAATTATACTAAAACAACGAAATTCGATTTTCGCAATTACCAAAAAACGCTGGCATTACATTAGCTACAGTAATCCAAACAAAAATGAACATACATTTTTAAATATATTTTTTTCAATCTGAACAAAAGACTTTTCCATCAGAATCAGAAAAATGTCAAGCAAAGAAAAAAGAGAAGAAAAAATGGAAAAGAAAACAACTAATCTTGACACTAATGAAAAAAAGGCGGACCACAAACCAATAAATATATTACTATTTATATTCGTATAGTTTTACCAATTTGGGATTATCTTTCAGCTTTTTTTTTGATTGCCTCAATTTATTTTTTGGAAATAAGTTTTTGCAAAAAAAAGTTTTGAGTGAAAGGAAGCTTCATACTTTTTATTTATATTTTTGAGATTTAACATTTCCAGATTGTAAAATTTTGGAATAACTTACAGTTTTGAAATGTGATTCCAATAATTATGATTCTGAAATTCAAAACTTTTAACCAAAAAAAAAACTCTGGGTGCAAAGCACAAATTTTCATAATAGAACTGTTTTTGGAATCCCTTAAGAAATATATTTTTAATACAGTAAACTGTGGGTTCAAAAATTATTCAATTAATAAATTTTAAGTTTTTTGATCACTTATGGGAGTTTTTTATTAAAAAAAAGTTTCTCTGGAGCTTATCAAAATTTAAAATTTTCAAGAAATTCATTTTCTAGAATTATTTTCATTTCCAATTTTTTCCAAAAAAAACTTGAAAAAAACATAAGCCTTTTTTTCTCAAAAAGTTGAACTCCCTTCACTTTTTACCCGGATTAATTCGTCAGTGAAAACAGCAACGGAAACAAGATAGAATCAGAAAAAAAAAAGATTTTTAACTATATATGTCATTGTTTTCCTTGATCGAGAGATCAAAATCTGAACATGAACTGAACAATTGCTTTAAGAGTTCAAGATGAATCTGAAACTGAAAGATTCAATTGAAATTATTATATTTGTTTGATGTTTTGTGTGAACTCGAATATTTTTAATGAACTTTTTTTTAGTGAAAAACAACTTTAAGTACTATCTACTCAAATTAACCTCTTATTGTTTTTTTTTAAAGTGATAAATATGTTTTGTTCCAATGATATCAGAATATAATATTTCCGTATTTTTTGGTGGTTGATAGATTAAAGAAAAAAGTGGATAAAGAACAAGTTTGAGGAGAAGAATCAAGGCTGGCATTGCGTAATTTTATAATTTTCTTGTTTTTTCTCATGTTGTAAACATATGTCTTTCATTTTTACATTTCTTCTCAATATTATCACGTGCTAGCTAAAAAAGAAAACTGAATTAAATTTTTGTAGTTTGACTAAACTTGAAAACAAGGCACAATTTTTTGAAGCTCTGAAATCTTTCTCAAACCCATTCAATTTCTGAAGAAAAAAAGTTTTGGTTTCATGATTTTTACAAAAAAACATTTCGCTTTTATCATATGATTTGATTTGAAATCGAAACTTCAAAATAACACCCCCACCATTGTTTTTTTTTGAAAACAATAATTCTTTCATCATTTAGCTTATAGTTTTAAGATAATTGATTTTATCAAAATGGTGCATTTTTAGAACTTTTAAGTCAACGAACAGGTTCAACCTTTTAATTTTTCGAAATTTTTGATATAAATGCCATTGTAGCCAAGACCCTTAACTACAAAATATATTGAAACTATATTTCTCTATCACTTTTTGTAAAATGTAGCCTCGCTATTTTTTCAGTTAGGCTACATCAGTTATCGCTTACATAGAAATTTATTGTACGTTTTTGTATTTTCCAAAAAAAAATTGAAAGATTCCATTTATTTTTCACAAAGAAGTTTTGATTTTTAAAGATTTGATCTTCTGATTTTTGGAAAGAGCCCAAGTTCAGAAATCAAAAATAATGCATTTTTTCTCAGAACAGTTCAAAACATTATTAAAACACAAATTGGAATTTCTGATCGTATCTGAATTTTCTTATGAAAAATGAAGTAATAAATCAACAAATTCCCTCCATGTTTATTATTTTATTCGAAAAAAAAACAGTAATACAGGTCCTCCTAAAAAGATTCTTGATCGATTCAATTTTTTGAGTCTTTCTTCCTGATTCAGGTTTTCGTTTCCCGTTTTCGGTAATCTTTATTAGAAATCTAAAAACTAAACAGGTCCACCACCGGTCAATTCTTTTCTCCGCTTCATCTTTTTTTCCTTCTCCTCCAATTTTTTAGATTTAAATCTTCATGTTGTTCACTTCGCAAAAATCTAGGTACATTCTTTTTTCCCTTTTTTTACATTCTTATTCTCAATATTTCATATTTCACAGATTCTGATCCTTCTTCAAAACTCACTATAAAATTCAGGTCAATATGATAATTATGCGAAATAATTATTCAGTTTTCCCCCTCTTATTCCAAAAAAAAAACCAAAAAACAAACAAAGTTTTGAACAACAAAAAAATTATTAAAAAGTGGGCGGAGCATTTATTGACTCCGCCCATTTTTGAAATCGAAGATAAATAGATTGATAGTTTATGGATGAATGAATTCAGTCTTGAAATTCGATTTTTATTGAAAAATATCAATTTTAGAAAGTAAAGTTTTCTAGTTTTTCTTACTGTAACTTCTTAAATCCAGGTCAAAACGTTTACGAAAAAATATATTTAGTTTTATTTATATAATTTTTTTTGACCCAAGGTTGGACATAATCCGAATTTAACGAATATGTTATTGTTGTATTTATTTACTATTTGAAAAATGTTCGTTTTTTTTGTCGTTCGCATGTTATTATTCTTATTATTGTGGTTGAAAAATACCGGTTCCTTAAGAAAAAAAAACTAATTTATTTTCAGCACGTTTTTCTTGTTCCACTAAAGGAATTTCGATCAATTCAAAAAAACAAAAATGCAAATCTGGCAAATGGAACCATATCCATGTGGCGATAAACGTCTTCCACATCACGTTTTTCCACCAAAAAAATTGACCACAACACAATTGACACAATTGGCTGGAGTTGTATATTATAAGGTAACTTAATTTTTTTTTTCGAAAAACTAGTTAATTCTAGCTGTATTTTAATTTCAATAAAACATTGAATATACTTAATTTTCAGGTTGATTTGGAAGACACGGCAGCTATGAAGAAGCGATTATCAGCTGTGAAATCTGAAAGAAATGTCAATTTTTCGGATGTTTTCACAGTCACCGACACAATGGTCGATTTCGAAGATAAAATGGAACAATTCTACGAGCCACAAGAACACACTGAAGATGTTATTTCATTGGTTGTTGAAGGAACATGTTATTATGATGTTGAACCAGTTGATGATCAATGGATTCGAGTTCAATTGGAAAAAGGAGATATGATTGTTATTCCAAAAGGTCTTTCGCATCGTTTCACAACAACTCCATTGAACTTTGTCAAAATGCAACGTTTCTTCTCGCGAAAAAATGAGGTTCAAGGATAAATTTGCTTTGAAAAAATAATTTGCTGATAATTTGTGCTTGAAAATATGTTTTATATATCTGTAAACTGCAATAAATATTCCAATATGAAAAAGTTGAGAGAACTTTGAATTCCAGAAAAGTTACAGTAGTTAGTAGAGATTGGACTTCCAAAATGGGCTTGGTCTGAGTTTCAGCAAAAATCAGAATCAGATTCATCAAGTGGGATAAGTTTTTCAAAAAATATAAAATTTCGTGGTGTTTCGGAATTTTTGGGATCATTTTTGCCTGGAAAAATTTTGTGAGATTTTTCCAAAAAATTAAGCTGAAGTGAACATTTTCAAACACAAAATTGTTTCACCGATCACAGAAATTCATATATGCCTTTTCAGTGGATCGAGATCTGGCCTAATTCCTCAGGTCCGATTCAGAAACAGAAGGTTTTTCTGGGTTACTGTAACACCTACAAACTATGTTCAAGAAAACAGTTACACTCCAAAAATATCATATGTTGTTCTCGACTAGAAAATTACTCCATCGCGTCACAGTTATTTTCCGCTCACTCTTCAAAAAATACCCATCTCTCTCTCTATTTTCTTCTCATCAGGGGTATCTTTTCACTTTCGTGCCTACGGAAGACGCAACAAGTTTCAGTTGCCAACACCAAACAAATTGCATAATAATTTCGAAGGTGAAATTCTACCCTTTTTCTTCTGCTGCTGCTGACAACTGTGTTTTTTCCAGTGTGTTTTCCAATCCGGTTCAAATCATATCAGTGATTTGTTGTATTTTTTACACTGTCTTTTATTTTTCGCCCGACTTTTTTTGAACAAAAAATATTTTGTGCTATGAACCAATTATTTTGGATTTTATTTGTATTGATTTCTATTTTATCAATTGGCGAATCTGCTAAAGAAGATACTGTAGCTTGCGGTGAATTACGTGAAGAATATATGAAAGTATGTAGTTCTGGGAACTCGAGGAAATCAGCAAAAGATATTGATTTTTGTGCAGCTTTTGATAATATTTGTCTACAAGTACCTGATAATGAACCGGATAAACAGTAAGCTTCTATTCTCTTTCTTGTTCCATTTACAAAATATTATTTTCAAGAGCTGTTCCAATTCCAATTCCAAGTGATATTCCATCAAATTCAACAGAAAACAGGCCATCAAAAAAGAAGAATTTTACGCGATTCTGCAAAGAATTCAAAAATCGTTATTTATATGTTTGTCCAGATCCATTTAGATTTGGCCAAAAAGCAATTGTTTTTTGCCCAGTTTATTCGGAAAAATGTCAAGTTCCATTGCCGGATAAACCAGTTGTGCCACAAAGAAAAAGTTCGAGAAGAAATGGAATGAATCAAGTTACTCAATTATGTCGAAGTTATAGGTAAAGATTTTTGAATAAGTCAAACCCGATATAACCGATATTGTTTCCAAAAATGTTCAGATTCCTAAACCCAGAATACCACATTTTTTCCAAACATTCAGAATTTCTCTAAAAATTAGACCTTGCCCAATTTCTTTTTGGTGGTCCAATTCCTATTCAAAACGTGGCCCCCTTGGTCCGAAACATTCAAAATTTGCTCTCCTCAATTCATGCGATTTTTTTCCAGAAATTTTGCCGAGAATTACTGTAGTAATCCATTTTTAACATCACAATCACAATATCGTGCAGCTTGTGATAAATATTGGAGACATTGTGGAAGATTTCACCGAATGGGATAGAATTCTATGATTCCATTTCATTTCATATGTTTTTTTTCGAATGAATTCCCATAATTCTTCTTCTTCTTCTTCTTTTTTATTAAACATAACATGTTCGAAACCTATTTGACCTCTTCATTCTTTTATTTCTACTATCATTCTTCCTCTTTTTTCGCCCTTATCATTCATATTTATCGATTTTCTGCAATGAAATTTTTGCTACTTTTTCTGATCATTTTTATCAATGTTTTTGCACAAGATTGGGATAGATTTGCAGCTCGTGAGATTATTGAACTTCCAGTTGGAAGGTGTGAGTTTTTGAAAACTTTGGATATTTAACAAATTTTCTTTTTTTTTAGATTTCCTGAACCAGATTGTCGATACAGTGTTCATCATAAAAGTCAAAATGGTCCATTAGTTCGATCAAAAGTCAATATCGGGGATGAAATCTATCATTATTGGAATTGCAATTATAAAAATAACCCGAAAAATTATTTGTTCTGTGTAGCTGTAAATAATTGTACAGTATCAGATAATGAAAGAATAATACAAATAATTGATGAAAATGGATGCTCAAAATATCCAAGTATTTTACCAGATGTTAGTTATCAAGATGATTTATCAGCTGGAATTCATGTTCATGCATTTTCATTAGATGTTGAGACGGTAAGAAATTTTGGAAAGATATAATCTGTGAATATTAGATAAGACAACAGAATCTTTCATATTTTCTATATCTGAAACGGAATCTTGACACAAAAATTAGAAATAGAGTGAATCTACGTGGCTAAATTTGTTATGTTTTCAGACAGCGGTTCATTTTACTTGCAATATTCGAATGATAATAAAAGAAAATGGTTTATGTCATCGTCCAATTTGCCATTCAAAATAATCAAATCAAATTAATTTCGGGAGATCATTGAAACATTAAAATACACAACACAATTTGACAAAAATGTTATTATCAATTATTATATGTCAATTTATCAAATATTTTGTACTTTTTCAAAAAAAATAAATATTAACTATTGTTATTAACAAATTACAATAAAGGACACGTATTTTCAGTAAATATGGAAAAGCTCGAATTTTAATTAAAAGTCAAAAGTGTTATGCAGCGTTTTCAAAAATGAACATTATTATTTCCTTTTCAATTTTTTTTCCAAAAAATTCAGCTGTTTGTGAAAACAAACTAAATTTACCAGGGTTCTCTGATTTGTTATTATTCATATTCAAAAAATCAACACTTTGGATATTTTCTAAAATTTATAAAGGCAAATATGTACTTGCAAAATCGAAGTTAATGAGATCTTAATTTCAAATAAAGATTATCTGGAGCTGTTGTTGATCTACCAATCAAATTCAACGGAATAGTTGTTTTTTCACAAGTTTCAAAGTCGAATTTCATTAGAATTCGAGCCAATAAAAGTTTTAGTGTTGTATTTGCTAATCTCATTCCAATACATTGTCGTGGCCCAAGACCAAATGGTAGATAACATGATTTTAAATCAACACTTGGTTCAATGAATCTGGAAAAAATAAATATAAAAAATTGGAACACAATTTAGTCACTAGATAAAATATTTACCTTTCGGGTTTGAATTCTTCAACATCTTCTCCCCAAATTTGTGGATCATGATGAAGTGTCCAAGTATCAATTTGTATTCCAGTTCCTTTTTCAATCAAAAAGTCTCCAACTTGAGTTGTTTTCATACAATTTCTCGAATTCGCTCTGTAATTAATTATAAATTATATTATTTTTATCTTTTAAACTCACAATGTTGCAAGTGGATAAAGTCGAAGTGTTTCTTTGATAACACAATCCAAATATTTCAAATTAGTTAATTCATCAAACGAAATACTTGATGAAGATTTACAATTTTCATTGATTTCTTTTTGCACTTTTCTCATTTTGTCTGGATTTGTTGCGAGTAAATAAGAAATATAAGTGAGAGTGAGAGCAGTTGTATCAAATCCAGCCACAAGAAAGACGAAACATTGTCCAATTATTTCATCAATCGTTAATTTTTTCCCAACTTTTGTGTTTGATTTCTTAAATTCATCAAACTTGTCAGTTTCAATTTCATCCACTTTCGCATCCAAAAATAAATCAATAAAATCGATTGGTTCATTTATTCCATATTGATTTCTTGTTTCAATTCGTTTTTTGATTGCATTTTCGATTGTTTTCATAACATTTACAAATGGACCACCACCGAAAATTGAGAAAAAGAAAAACAAAGATCGAAGAAGAGTTGCAGCTGGTGGGAATACTGTAGCAATCATCCAAATTTGCCATCGATTATGTTCGAAAAAATATCGAATATCAGGAAGGAGTGGATTTTGAAACATTTGTGAACTATCTTGTCCCATTGTTAATCTTCCGATAACATCCATTGAAAATTCTTGATATAATCTCAGAATTTCAACTGGCTCTTTTTGGTTCTCAAGAAAATCCACAAATTGTCTAGCGGATAATTCAATAACAGGCAACAATTTTCGAAGATTAATATTTGCAAATGTTGGACTCGAAATATCTCGAAGTCTTTTCCATCGATAACCTTCAGTTAGAAATACATGTGCAAATTTATCGTTGTTTGGATCGCCTTGAATTGGATTCAATTTTCTTCCGTAAAACTTATCAAATTGTTTCACAAAAATATCATTAATCATATTTGGATCACTAATAACTAAAGTATTTGAAGGTCCTTCGGTTATTCCATAAACTCTTCCATATTTCTATTGAAAAATATAAAATTGTAGTTTTTTTTTAGAAATTTCAAAACTTACTTTGGTCCAATCTCTTAATTTTAAAAATGGAGGATATTTATCAGCTAACATTTCATTAGTTGATCCAAGAAAAGGCCAACCAATTGGTCCATTTATTCCTCTTCTTTTCCAAAATGTCCAACTCCATAAATAATATCCAAAAATAGAAACAGTGAAAAGTAAAAATAAAAACATTGTTCTTATGAATAGGAAATAACCAATTTTTCTGATATTTATATACTTTTCTAGTCACAAAAAAGTCAGAGAACACAAATGATAACAAATAGAGTTATCAGTTTGTGGTCTGCAATGCAGAGACAATGTTTATTTTTTAATCCCAGAAAACAAAATTGGGATTTATGGGAAGAAATATTTGGACCTATCAAAAAATTATTTTATAAAATGTCTCAATTCTGCCAAAAAAACAGAATAATTGAAGTAATTCCTTTACACAAAGTACTTTCTATCCCTTTCTACACATTTTCTCCCTTTTCAATATCAATGCAATTTCCAACCGCCGCGAACAACACAAACATAGCGCAGTGGAGAATTTGTTTGCCCACTGTGTGTGCATCAAAAGTTCGATTCCTCATGCTGACCATGATCGAAAACCTAGAGTCTCTGAACCATTTCGTGTTTGTACAAACAATGCTCTTTAGCTGAGTCAGTTTTTGTTTTGTTTTTCATGATTTTAACCTTCAACCTTGTTTTGAAGATGAACACAACAGGCTGAAAATAAAAAAGTCTGGCACAGTTGTGTGGCAGAAAGAAAGGAGGAAGAAAGAGAAAAAAGATAAATAATGTACCTTTTTATCAACCTCGGCGTCATGTGTTGCCAAGCTGAATCTCCTTCTCTAAATCTAAAGCTAAGAAAACCGCCCATGTCAACTTCATTTTTTTCCGTTGTTGAGCACATTCGAACTTTTCAGTAAATGTAAAACATCTGCAAAAAATAAAAACCCATGCTTTTACACATTTTTTATGATCTCTTTTTCATTTTATTCATTCTTCTCAATTTCACATAAATAACACGACCGAAATGTTTGTTTTTTTTTCTTCAAAAAAATAGATATGTGTAAAATTTTCAGGACTTTCAGAATGACTTACGAAACAATTTCGGTTCGAATGAATCGATCTGATAGAAATATTCGATGGGGTTTCACAGTAAGACAACAAGCTGATGGATTGGTTATTGATAGAGTGAGTTAGGACAACTTTGAGATAGTATAACTGGATTAGGATTGTCAGAAAAAAATCGTGCAACTCGAGAAAAAACTTCCAATTTTTAAAAATAGTTGTTGGATTTCTAAAGGGGATAAGTTTTGAATAAAAATCTACGGATACGTGGTCCAAAAATTTGGAACTTTTTTCCTGGGCCTATTTTTTAACTTCAAAACCTCAGAGCTTCCTTTGGACTATAACTTTAAATCTTAGAACAGTGTTCACTAGTACCTCAGTTATTTTTCAAAACGAACATGATTTTTGTTCGTTCGAAACTACAGTAATTTATCAATTATCTCTCATTTTTCCACCCACACAAGAGATGTCAAAAGAACTCATCACCAAAACACATTGTTTTTTTCCAGATCGAACCTGATTCACTTTCTGACAAAGCTGGAGTCAAACATAATGATAAAATTGAACAGGTAAATATGAGCAATGTTTCAAAAGTTTCTATTTCGTTTCAGATAAATGGAAGACAAACTCGCGGTTTGGATGCGAACACAGCAAATCGATTGATCGATGATTCTTTTAATGAAGTTCGACTTTCACTTCAAAGGTTCACAATTTTTTAAAATCACTTAAACTATGATTTTTACAGATTTGTAACATCTCACACTTGCCTCCCATGGACTTTGAACGAAAAAGACAATAAAATGGTTGTTGAAGACATGAAACCAGGATTTGGAAATGGATTCGGTCATAATTTCAATAATGGTTCAACAAACTACAGTAACGTATGTTTTCTATTAGTTTCGTCCATTTTTTCCAAATAGAAAAATTTAGAATAATTTCGGAAACAATCATTTCAATCAAAACTCATCATCAGCCTACAAAACTTCGTCAACAACTCAAAATAATAGTCAAAGGTGGGAGGATGCTATCGGATTTCCATAGATTGGATAATTTGAACACAAACTGTTTATAAAATATGTAGATAATAATTATTTGAGAATGAAATATTTAGAAATGAAACTAATTGCATGATTGTAGTGAAAGCTTGAATGTATATTTCTTGAAATTTTCAGCAGTACTTATCATTCTTCTTCGTCTTCAAACAAAAATGGACATGTTATTCCAACAACTTTGATTGGAAACAATACATTTTCAAATAATTATCGAGCTCCGTTTGGAAATGGATTTGATAATCATATTACTTCAACAAGAAATTATATCAATCAATCACCTAATAATTATAATTCAACTCCAGCTGCTTTTCATGAAAGTAATAACAATAATCATTATTCAACTTCAAAAAGTACTGCTCCATTCTCATCAAATCAAAATAATGGGGGAGATCGTTTCTATAACCATCACGTTCAAACTAAACCAGTTTCACCAATTCCACCTCCATCTACTTATAGTTATAATAATGGTGGAAGTTCTCAACAATATGGAAATGGTTCTGGAGGAACTCCACTTAATCAACAAACATTTATAAATACAAACAATTTGTCGAATTATTCGGGAGCTGTTTCGCCAGGTGGAAAAACATATTATCATTCACCATCGACTAGAAATCATAATGATTTATCACCAGGAGCTTCGATTCATGTGAGTCCGAAAATTATATTATTTTTGGAAAAATTAATCATTATATCTATTATAGCATCTTCAATACAATTCTCCAATGAATTTGTATTCTTCTGAATCAGCTGCTGAACAATATTTCCAACAAACTGGAAAATCTCCAGAAGGACCTGTTCCTCATGATAAAACACCTGCATATCTTACTTCTGAAGCAAGAAAGGTTTGAAAACATATTTATTCGGACATAATTTGAAAACTAATTGATATTCTTTAGTTAATCGAGGAAGAAGCTCGAGGAAGAAATAGCCGTGGGAAATCGCCATCGAGTCAAAGTTCATGCTTCAAACGTATTTCGCATGCTGTCGGAGCTGATAATTAATTGAAAGAACTATTTTTTTCAAAATTTTAAGGCGCTAGTGTTTGACGAATGAAGGCTTTTAAACGAATCTAAATTTTGGGATAACACTATGTTGTTATTTTGTGATAAGTCAGGAGCCCTTACGCTAGAACAGGAGAGAACATGGGACTTCAGCAAAAGTGAGAAATGTTCACGTGAACATTTCTCATTAAATGAAAAAATAAAAATCATTTTTATAAAAATAGAAGGGCTTCGCTGGCTAACGCCATCTACAGTAATTTGACTTACTTTTTCTGATTAATTTTCCGGTTAGTGAAAGAGAAACATTGAGAAATGCCCAAAAATTGCTTACTTTTTCAGAGAATAGAACGATCAGATAAGAAACGTGTCCTAATATTTTTTTCGAATAAAAACGTGATCATTCTTTTTTACATGAAAAAAGTTTTGATTTTTCACGTCAAAACTCGCGCATTTTTTGAAAAATTGAATATTAGCGCATCGATGGGAAATAATTTAGGATAGAATAGTGAAGGTCCCATTAAAAATGGTCTTGTGGAAATTGAGAAAAGTCGAGCGACACATTTTAAAATCGAAAAATACATTGGAGTTTTCAAACTTTTCACTCTCCGCGCACTCACATACATGTTGAGGGAGAATTTTTGAAACGCGCATCATTGTGCCACCATTTAGAAACTTTTTCTTTTTTTGATCATCAATTTTTATGCGCACAGTTTTGAGAACGGACCGCGGACAGACTCTTGCCAAAAAAATTTTCCCAATTAGTATATAAGTAGACTCAGAGAAACAGGCTAGAAACCGGCGGAGAAAACGACATGTCGGCGAACTCTCGGACAACCGGCGGAGTGTCTCACCTACACTATTTCGCCGAAACTTTTTGTCCAGTGTTAGAACGAAATATTCGAGATGTTGTTTCGGCTGATAATATGAGATTGTTGGTTCCGTATGATGATGAAATGGATGAAGAAGAACAAGCATTTAAAGAGGCAATTGAAGAAAGATTAATTGAGGCTGTTGATGCTGCTCTTACTGCAATGGTCATAAAGTACAGGTTTGTTTTTTTCCTTTTGTTTAAAATAAAATCGTTGTTTTCGATCTAAATATAGAGTATTTGTCGTCTTTAAGGGTCCTATGAATGTTTTTCAGTTAGGATATGTCGAGGAAACATGAAAACAAAACAAGAAGATACTCAGAAAAAAAATTACGCATGTGTGACAAGAGAAACACAAGTGTGTAACCACAAAAATACCGATGTGTGCACACACTGGGTACGCATCGGTGTGGTAGTCGTTACACACTGGTAGCTAGTGGTCACACACTGGTGAACCACTTGTCACACACTGGTAAATCGCTTGTCACACACTCGCATTTTACTTGTTGCAGCATCGCTTTTCGACCCTTCCCTACCCGTTTTTCACCAATCCGACCAAATTTTAAACATTAACACATTTTTCAAATCACTATTTATTAGTTAAAATAAAAATCATGAACATGTAGAGAAAAACAACATGTAAAATTTCAAATTGAGTATAAAATACAAGAAATCTTAGAAAGTTAGGTATTTAAGGTAGGTTGTGATGTCTGAGAAGGTGTCGTTGCTGTTGTTGGTGGTTGACGGGAGATTTCTGGTGGCTGGAGTTTCAGTTTTTGTAGTTGATAAATTGTTGACTGAACCATGGCGGGGCGAGCTGTTGTTAGATCGACTCTGAAAAAGGAACAGTTTACATTTCGAATATTTTGAAAAACTTATTTTGGTGAAATGCTTGGTTTGTATTGGTTTGGTTTGTATTATTTTCTCATAGATTTTAAATTATAAATCCCCAAATTACTTTTGTTTCCTCTCTGAAGTTATTTTTGACGATACTTGTCAAATGATTAGAGTTTTTGTGATTTGGATGATTTTTTGGATCTCAAAACTTATTTTCAAATCATATAGCAACTTCACGACCATTAAAATTTACTTGACTAACCTTTGTATTGTTTGTTGAATTCCAATGACGGCGATTCCCATTTTTTGTTCGAATTCCCGAAAATAAGCAAGTTTGAAAGCTGACCGGTTCTGAAAAAAATAGGGAATTGCTATTTAAGTTTAGTTTTTCAATAAAAACCAACCTGACAATCAGAGAACTGCACATGTTAACCGAAACTGATTGAATTCATTCCAAAAACTCGATTTCGATCCAAAACGGGACTGAATCGGCTGAAATTTTGAACAGTGTTAAAATAGAAACTGATAGAAGTTATAATTGTACACATATGAGAAAAGAAAAGTATGAGAAACCCCCAAAAACAGCAAAAAACACAGGTTTAGACCGAAAATTGAAAAGAAAATGAAAATATTTTCGCTCGATGAAACGCGCTGCCCCAAGTGATTCACCAGTGTGTGACAAGTGTGTGCAGACTAGTAAAACTGTTGTGGGGACTTGTACAAGCGTGCGCAGTTTGTGTGCTGCCCGCGAATTCAAATTTATTTTTCACAAGTGTGTGACAAGTTGGGACACACTGGTGCGACTGGTATTGTTTCTGTACCACTTGTGAAACTGCTGTATTCAGTGGTGGGGCTTGTTACACACTAGTTGTTGTCGTCACACATGCGTAATTTTTTTTCTGAGACTAGTTGTTGTCGTCACACATGCGTAATTTTTTTTTTGAGGAGTAAAAATGTTCGGTCATAAGGGAAAACCGTGAAATTTGTTCAATATCGTGTTACAGCGCGTTAACATAGGATTATTCGCTTATTGCGACTAGTCTGCATCCTTCTCCTTGAGTATTTCTAGAAGATGTCTATAAACGACAATGTTTTTCTTTTTGGTCTTAAAATAATAAAATCTTCAAAAATGACTCAGTTTTTCTCCTTCTGTTTCAATTTGAGGAATAAATCCGAACTATTAATTTGTTGTACAATTTGGAAAAAAGTTGTACACCATATATCCTAATAATCAGAACATCTCGAATATAATAGGAATGTTTTACTGGGAAATTTCATGCTTCTAAATTTAATTTGGAAACTGCTAATTATTCATTCTTCAAATATAATATCATTTTTCCTGATCAAAATGTCTTTTTTGTTTTGGACTATGACCCTAGAAGAAGTTTTTGAAAGTCACTGTCAATTGGCGCACTTGAATTTCCGACAAACTTTACAGTTCAAGCATATATTTCAAAATCGTTTTCCAAGCATTGAGCCTATAGAAAAAGATGAAGAACTAATTGAGCATGAGAAATTAGAGGAATCATTTTTTCACCTCAAGTATATATTTCAAAATCGTTTTCCAAGCATTGAGCCTATAGAAAAAGATGAAGAACTAATTGAGCATGAGAAATTAAAGGAATCATTTTTTCACCTCAAGTATATATTTCAAAATCGTTTTCCAAGCATTGAGCCTATAGAAAAAGATGAAGAACTAATTGAGCATGAGAAATTAGAGGAATCATTTTTTGACCTCAAGTATATATTTCAAAATCGTTTTCCAAGCATTGAGCCTATAGAAAAAGATGAAGAACTAATTGAGCATGAGAAATTAGAGGAATCATTTTTTCACCTCAAGTATATATTTCAAAATCGTTTTCCAAGCATTGAGCCTATAGAAAAAGATGAAGAACTAATTGAGCATGAGAAATTAAAGGAATCATTTTTTCACCTCAAGTATATATTTCAAAATCGTTTTCCAAGCATTGAGCCTATAGAAAAAGATGAAGAACTAATTGAGCATGAGAAATTAGAGGAATCATTTTTTCACCTCAAGTATATATTTCAAAATCGTTTTCCAAGCATTGAGCCTATAGAAAAAGATGAAGAACTAATTGAGCATGAGAAATTAGAGGAATCATTTTTTGACCTCAAGTATATATTTCAAAATCGTTTTCCAAGCATTGAGCCTATAGAAAAAGATGAAGAACTAATTGAGCATGAGAAATTAGAGGAATCATTTTTTCACCTCAAGTATATATTTCAAAATCGTTTTCCAAGCATTGAGCCTATAGAAAAAGATGAAGAACTAATTGAGCATGAGAAATTAGAGGAATCATTTTTTCACCTCAAGTATATATTTCAAAATCGTTTTCCAAGCATTGAGCCTATAGAAAAAGATGAAGAACTAATTGAGCATGAGAAATTAAAGGAATCATTTTTTCACCTCAAGTATATATTTCAAAATCGTTTTCCAAGCATTGAGCCTATAGAAAAAGATGAAGAACTAATTGAGCATGAGAAATTAGAGGAATCATTTTTTGACCTCAAGTATATATTTCAAAATCGTTTTCCAAGCATTGAGCCTATAGAAAAAGATGAAGAACTAATTGAGCATGAGAAATTAGAGGAATCATTTTTTCACCTCAAGTATATATTTCAAAATCGTTTTCCAAGCATTGAGCCTATAGAAAAAGATGAAGAACTAATTGAGCATGAGAAATTAAAGGAATCATTTTTTCACCTCAAGTATATATTTCAAAATCGTTTTCCAAGCATTGAGCCTATAGAAAAAGATGAAGAACTAATTGAGCATGAGAAATTAGAGGAATCATTTTTTCACCTCAAGTATATATTTCAAAATCGTTTTCCAAGCATTGAGCCTATAGAAAAAGATGAAGAACTAATTGAGCATGAGAAATTAGAGGAATCATTTTTTGACCTCAAGTATATATTTCAAAATCGTTTTCCAAGCATTGAGCCTATAGAAAAAGATGAAGAACTAATTGAGCATGAGAAATTAGAGGAATCATTTTTTCACCTCAAGTATATATTTCAAAATCGTTTTCCAAGCATTGAGCCTATAGAAAAAGATGAAGAACTAATTGAGCATGAGAAATTAGAGGAATCATTTTTTCACCTCAAGTATATATTTCAAAATCGCTTTCCAAGCATTGAGCCTATAGAAAAAGATGAAGAACTAATTGAGCATGAGAAATTAAAGGAATCATTTTTTCACCTCAAGTATATATTTCAAAATCGTTTTCCAAGCATTGAGCCTATAGAAAAAGATGAAGAACTAATTGAGCATGAGAAATTAGAGGAATCATTTTTTGACCTCAAGTATATATTTCAAAATCGTTTTCCAAGCATTGAGCCTATAGAAAAAGATGAAGAACTAATTGAGCATGAGAAATTAGAGGAATCATTTTTTCACCTCAAGTATATATTTCAAAATCGTTTTCCAAGCATTGAGCCTATAGAAAAAGATGAAGAACTAATTGAGCATGAGAAATTAGAGGAATCATTTTTTCACCTCAAGTATATATTTCAAAATCGTTTTCCAAGCATTGAGCCTATAGAAAAAGATGAAGAACTAATTGAGCATGAGAAATTAGAGGAATCATTTTTTGACCTCAAGTATATATTTCAAAATCGTTTTCCAAGCATTGAGCCTATAGAAAAAGATGAAGAACTAATTGAGCATGAGAAATTAGAGGAATCATTTTTTCACCTCAAGTATATATTTCAAAATCGTTTTCCAAGCATTGAGCCTATAGAAAAAGATGAAGAACTAATTGAGCATGAGAAATTAGAGGAATCATTTTTTCACCTCAAGTATATATTTCAAAATCGTTTTCCAAGCATTGAGCCTATAGAAAAAGATGAAGAACTAATTGAGCATGAGAAATTAGAGGAATCATTTTTTGACCTCAAGTATATATTTCAAAATCGTTTTCCAAGCATTGAGCCTATAGAAAAAGATGAAGAACTAATTGAGCATGAGAAATTAGAGGAATCATTTTTTCACCTCAAGTATATATTTCAAAATCGTTTTCCAAGCATTGAGCCTATAGAAAAAGATGAAGAACTAATTGAGCATGAGAAATTAGAGGAATCATTTTTTGACCTCAAGTATATATTTCAAAATCGTTTTCCAAGCATTGAGCCTATAGAAAAAGATGAAGAACTAATTGAGCATGAGAAATTAGAGGAATCATTTTTTGACCTCAAGTATATATTTCAAAATCGTTTTCCAAGCATTGAGCCTATAGAAAAAGATGAAGAACTAATTGAGCATGAGAAATTAGAGGAATCATTTTTTCACCTCAAGTATATATTTCAAAATCGTTTTCCAAGCATTGAGCCTATAGAAAAAGATGAAGAACTAATTGAGCATGAGAAATTAGAGGAATCATTTTTTGACCTCAAGTATATATTTCAAAATCGTTTTCCAAGCATTGAGCCTATAGAAAAAGATGAAGAACTAATTGAGCATGAGAAATTAAAGGAATCATTTTTTCACCTCAAGTATATATTTCAAAATCGTTTTCCAAGCATTGAGCCTATAGAAAAAGATGAAGAACTAATTGAGCATGAGAAATTAGAGGAATCATTTTTTCACCTCAAGTATATATTTCAAAATCGTTTTCCAAGCATTGAGCCTATAGAAAAAGATGAAGAACTAATTGAGCATGAGAAATTAGAGGAATCATTTTTTGACCTCAAGTATATATTTCAAAATCGTTTTCCAAGCATTGAGCCTATAGAAAAAGATGAAGAACTAATTGAGCATGAGAAATTAAAGGAATCATTTTTTCACCTCAAGTATATATTTCAAAATCGTTTTCCAAGCATTGAGCCTATAGAAAAAGATGAAGAACTAATTGAGCATGAGAAATTAGAGGAATCATTTTTTCACCTCAAGTATATATTTCAAAATCGTTTTCCAAGCATTGAGCCTATAGAAAAAGATGAAGAACTAATTGAGCATGAGAAATTAGAGGAATCATTTTTTCACCTCAAGTATATATTTCAAAATCGTTTTCCAAGCATTGAGCCTATAGAAAACGACAATGTAATTGTAAATTCTAGATGTTTTATTCGAAAACTCTAAATCAGCCTCAAGTTCATGCTCAGAACTTACAAATATGTGGTACAATATAAAGATAAGAGTGACTTTAAATAACTTTTTAGGGTCATAGTCCAAAAGAAATTTTGATTAGAAAAAACGATATCATATTTGAACAATGAAATCAACATACAATTAGAAGCTTGGAATTCCCTCGTGAGATATTCTTATCAAGTTCTAAATGTTCTTATTCTAACCAATATGTCCAAAATGTTTAACAAACATAACATTCGGAGATCAATTCCTAAAGTAACCCATCAAACTAAAGTCATGATTTTTATCATGTTTTTCATAAGTTTTTCATAAAACATGATAAACTTAACCCACGACACGAAATTTGCAAAAGGAGAGCTCATTCATACAGCTCGAATCCTTTTTAAAACAATGCGTCAAACGTTTAAAACAAAAGTCAAATAATAAAACATAAAAAAATGAACAGCGTCCTTTTGATGACCAAAAATCGATTTGTGAAAACAAAAAATAAATAAATTCGCGGGTAGGTCAAAATTTCATTAGTGGTCTAACAATAAAACAAAATATGTTTCAATATGTTTTTTTAATGTATGGATTTGGAATAGAAATATCACATCTAAATATTGCTTTTAAGATACACTAAGAATAGAGCCTCTGGGAAGGAAAATGGGGAGGATAGAAAATTTTTAAAAAAATGGGATTTGGAAAAAACGAGAGGTTTTAAGAAAATAAATAGGGGGTTTTAATTTTTTGGAAGCTTGAAATCAAATAATGTATTCAATTTCGTTTCCAGTTCCCCAATCTTTTTCACGATTTCCCAAAAAGATATTCCTGAATTGTAATCGAATACCAATTTCTGATAAATAAAGGGTAGCTCAGGTTCAAAATTGTGTTCTTGAAAGACACTTTTTGTAAAAATGTAAACTTTGTAACAGTAGGGATGAAATGTGAAAATATTCAGAATTTGAAAGCATACAATGTTCAAAATAATAATAATAAGTTTCAGCTTCTTCCGGATCAATTTCATCCATTTATTTCTCAACTGCCATCGGTCCCTCTTTCTACTCTTCCAACAATCCTCCAGTTCTTCCGAAAATCATTATCCCGAAATCTTCAATTTTTGTTTTTTTTTAATTTTTAGTGACCATCATTCGACCCCGATTATTAGGAATTATTGCGTTGTTAAAGTTTATTTCCAAAAGTGTGCTTATATTATGCATTGAATTTGAATTTTTTATCGCACCACATATGTTCATTAAAAGTGATATATAAGTATATATTTATTATTATCAGTAAAAATTTTATTCAATCCTATGCTTGGTCCTTTTTTATACAAGTTCATCGATCGATATAAAAAAGGAGCATATTTTTTGAATTGTTTATTTTTTGTTTTATTATCTTACAAAATGCCAAAAAACAAGATTTTCAATTTGTGGTCTCTCCTATATATTTATTGATTTATAGAATGTTTATAGAATCATTTCTGATAGCATTCATAAAAGTTTTATCTATCGAAAATCTTAATTTCTTTACCCTGTTTAAGTCGTCTGAATATTCCCAGACAATTCCTTTAAAACATCGTTTTACTAATTTTTGTGTTGTTCGAGTGAGTGTGAATAATATGAAACACGGCAAATGCGCTCTAGCGAAAAAATACTCTCTCATTGAGAAACGCAGACGAAACTCAAAAATTGGCGTTTTCTGTTCGTTCTGTTTTTCTTTTTGTTTTCTTTTGTTTTCTTTCCGTTGGCGCGTAAGTTCTCCGGAAGCAAAACAATTATTGTCGCAATATTACATACTTTTGCAAGTTGTTATATTTTTCATCGTCTTCTCTCGAACTCCAATCAATTCATTGTTTTTTCAGTAAAAACTAAATCTTGAACCTTGATGCGTAATTGAATGGACCCTAATAATTTGCAAGTAAGTCAATCACCTCCCAGTCTATCGAATTTAACATTTTCTTCTTTCAGAACACCATAAATGGGTTAGGTGGAAATGGAGGAACACATAACAATTTTGCCGCTGGAATGCCAAATAATCAAGGATTTGCTCATAATTTAATGGGACAAGCCGGAACCGCTGCTGGTCAGTATAATCCGATGCTCCTTCAACAATCCTATCTCAATTTTGGTGGTTTTAATATGAATTATGGAAATAATCAGGTAAGCGGTGACAATGAATACTCGGCGAATTAAAAAGCGATGATGATCTCTAAGAACGACTACGGTTATTGTGGGAACATTCTTTCATGCTTACGTTCAGCAAGAAAGACCATAAAATGTCCGAGCGACTAATCTTCTCTCTGAGCTTATTCAAATCGATTATTTTTTATTGACTTTTCATGAAACAATTATCATAATGTGTTTATTTTATAGCTGCTCGATTTTCAAACTCCACAGCAACCGCAACAATATTTAATGCAACCACAACATAATATTCAACCAATGTTTCAACAAAATGCACAAATGCTACAGTTGATGCAACAACAGCAGCAGCAACAGCAATTGCAGCAGCAGCAGTCTCAGATGCCACAAATGCAGCAATCACAAATTGATCAAGCTGCGAGACTGTTTCAACAGCAAGAACTTCAGCAACATCAAGCTCATCAACAACATCAGGCGCATCAACAACAGCAACAACAACAACATCAAAGATTATTTGAAGAACAATGTAGACAAATGGAACAGGAAAGAAAGAAACAATTAGAAAGACAAAGACAAATTGAATTGGCTGAACAGGCAAAAATGCGTGAATTACAAGAACAACGTGAAAAAGAGAGACTTGAATTGTTGGAAAAACAAGCTGAATTAGCTCGAATTGCTGAAGAACAAAGAAGAAAAGAAGAAGCTGAAAGAATCGAAAAAGAAAAACTGATGAGATTTGCAGATGAGGAAAAAAGAAAATTAGCAGAAGAACAGAAAAAACGAAGTGGAATGGAAGGAAGACATTCTCAAATTGGTCAACCTCTCACACTTATTGCAACTCATTTTTTACCGAATCTTTTTATCAATGGTACCATTTCCATATGAAGGAATGAGTTGTTCAACACTTCCACAAGTTAGCGATTTATCATCAAATGCTGAATTATTGAATGATACTGATAATAATACAATTCAAGCAATTGTTGATGTTCTTTCACAAGTTTGTGTTGATGATATTATTACAAGAGCTGATAAATTATGTAATGAAAAGGAAACTAATGATTTATTTTTTAATCAACTTCCACCTCTTATTAGAGCTGTTGTAGATTATAAGGTTGGTTTTTTATTTGGTTCCCATAAAATTGAAATTAAAATAATTTCAGGCTCTTGATGTTGATCTACATAATAATATGGAATTATTAGATAATGAAGATTTAATGATGCAAGAAGATATAACAAGATCTGGACCTTCAATTATTCCACAAACAGTTTCTTATCAACAACCAATGACATCAGCAACAAGTGATATGCATCAAATTCCAAATGAAAATCAATCGCCATCCTTGGAAACGACAACAGAAACTGGTCCGATTTCAATTGAAAAACGTCGACAAATGATGTCAATTGGAAAAGCACCAAAAGCAAGTAGTGGAGGAAATCAAAGAAAGAAAAAAGATATGGTTGAAAAAATTGTTCGATTCATTGACTGATAATTTTGTGCCACATGGAAGAAGAGGTCGAAGAGGACGAAATCGAGGAAATTCAGATGATGAGGATGATGATGATCAATTGAATCGAGATTTGAAATTGATTGAAGCGATGGAAGCTGGAGAAGTATTGCCAAGTAGTATAACTGGATTCCCAAGAAGAGATTCTGAGGATGAAGATGGAGATGGTGATCATAAATTCTTTGATAAGAAAAATAGAAAACGGAAAAGAGAAGATCGAATTGATCGACCACCAACACCAACTGATGGTATTCTAGTTTCTTTTAATGTAAATAAGATTTAATTTTTTGTATTTTCAGTTATTTCTGCTCGTGATGTTGAATGGGAAGAACGACAAAAATTGAAACACGAAATTCGGAAAAAGCGGCATATCGAAGAAGGAGTTGAAAACTGGGACACTATTTCTATGGCTCAAGGTGATTCAATTGTTCGTTTTAATGGTATTATTGATACAATTTTCGAACAAGTTGAAACATTTGATTTTTCTCAAATAACTGGAAAGAAAAAACGAGTATCATTGAATACATCAAAAGACAGTGAAGGAAATGGACAATCTGAAGACGAAGAAGAAGATGATGAAGTTAATCCTGATTTATTGATTGAGAAAACAGCGATGGATGAATTGAGAAGAGAAGCTTGCAAATTGAAACATTGGCAGAAAATGCATAAAATATCAGCTGATCGACTTGTTAAAATAGTTTCAATGTTAGAACGAAATATTCGTGATGTTGTTTCGGCTGATAATATGAGATTATTGGTGCCATATGATGATGAAATGGATGAAGAAGAACAAGCATTTAAAGAGGCAATTGAAGAAAGATTAATTAAGGCTGTCGATGCTGCTCTTACTGCAATGGTTATTATGACAAGTCATAAAGTACATAAACAGGTTTGTGGTTTCTAATAAATTCATTTAATAATCAATATTTCCAATAAATGATTTCAGGTTCTTCTGGAAGACACGATCGAAAGAGCAATTGCATTGGGTAAACTGTATTTGACACATATTGTTTATCCATCTTCTGATGGTTTTTATAAATCTGGAAAAGGTGGAAAAAAGAAAACAGGAGAAGAAACGAAAAAGAAGAGAAGAACTATTATACAACATAATAGATCACCACCACTTCAATTGATTTATCTTCGAATTACTGATCTTTTTGGATGTTTTGCTGAATTGGTTCGTCTTGATTCAATTCCAGATGCTTCAATGCATCATATGTCATCAATGTCTCTTTCTTCATTTTTTGTTGCAAATGTTGGAGAATTACAAATTCAATCAATGAGATTGGCATCTAATATTTTTTCTCGGGGTGATGACCAAGTTCGATTGTCAATGATAAATGATATACTTTCATCTCTTCATAGGTATTTTTTAAATAATTATTTTCAACAATAGTTATAATATTTTTGTAGAGTTCCATCAATGACAGTCAAAAATGTGAACAATGGTTATCGACTTGGAAATGATTTATGGATCACAAATACAACTGCACTTGTTATGCAACTTATTCAAAGTACTATCAAAATGCCAAAAATCAAGAAAGTTGAAGAAGATGAAACAGAAAGTGGAAAACGTCTTGTTAATCAAGATGCTGTTGTAAAAGATGCATTCTTACAAGCTGGAAAATTCACAAATGCATTTCTGGCTGGATTTCTATCAAAATGTTCACAAAGAGGAAATAAATTGGATGGAGAAGAAGATTACAAGAATTTATTCTCACATTTTCTTCAAGAACTTCTTATGTCACTTTATCAACCAGAATGGCCTGTTGCTGAAATGATTCTAACTACTTTGGGTTCATTATTAGTCAAACATTTTCGATCGAAATCAACTGATATTGCAATTCGTCAAGCTTCTTTGGATTATTTGGGATTGATTACAGCTAGATTAAGAAAAGATATTAAAATTGCTGTGGATGATTCAAATGATCGATTAGAATTAGTTGTAAAAACTATGATATTTGAAGAAGACGATGATGATTTATATGATACTGTTGATGATGTTGATGTTTCAAGTGTTAGTTTTCTAAGAAAAATATTGTTTTTTATTTAAATTTAATTCTGTTTTTCCAGTTGTCTACCACTGATCGTTTGAAAAAACTTGAACAAGCTTTGATTGATTATATAATCGAAAGAAAAGGTGATTCGGATGTGAGTGTTGAATATGCAGTTCTGTTTTATGCTGGTGAATGGTATAAAGAAACTGCTGAAGATTTGGACATTGCAAGAAGTGAACATAAAGAAGCATTAGCAAGAAGTGATTTGACTGAAAAAGAACGACGAAAACTTGAGAAGAAACGAGATAGAATGATTGAGAAAGGAAATACAATGAAAGAGTTTTTGATGAAATTGGTTGACAAAAAAGCAATGCGAAAAAGATCGGAACAAATTAGGAATCGAGGAAATGTTATGTTAGAATCTGATGCATTGTGGGCTGTCAAATATTTGGCGAAAAATCGAGAATTCAGTCATTCGTTTGATATTTATTTGAAACACGTGAGTTATTTTTATGGGATATAATTAGCATCAATACTGACATCACATGATCCTTTTTCTGTTCCATGCCATTGATGAATTTTTGGTTGTTTCCATCCTCCGAATTCTTTATATTTTGCAAATCCTGGAGTTCCATCATATTCTGCCCACCAAAGTGGCAATGATGATTGTCCGTGATAATCTAGACCAACAATTGCTTCCCAATTGTAGTAATTCGAATAGATTCCAACAGTATGTTTGAGTGCTTTCGCTTCAGCTACAAGTTCTTCAATGAATTTGCGATTTGTTTCATGATTAGCTGGCCAATTTAGTCGTTCAATATCGAGCCAAAGTGTGTTGATCTACAAAAAATAGAATTTGGAAATAATCTTGGGAATTTCTAGTTATTTACATGTGTTTTTTCTGCACTGAGTTTTTCTGAAACTGTTTTAACTTGATTCGCAGCTGATGGACATTTGGAACCAATACATGGAAATAAATAACCGTCAACTTCTTCGATTCCAGCAGCTCTTGCATGTTTCACATTATTAATTCCGGTTTCATCAATATGTCCCAAATTAGTGAAAAGTCTTGGAATAACAAATGATATTCCTGCTTTCTTCAAACACGCTGCAGTTGATTCGGTTATTGGTTGAATAAAATCATAACCATGTCTTGCACTTGATACGGTAGACACCACGAGAAAAATCAAAAGAATGTGCATTATTGATAAATGCTCATAGACTACTTTTTTGCGACACGCCTTTTATATACAGAAATAAATAATGGGTTGGAAAGATCATTGTGTTATCAGTTAGCTGAGGTAATAACTGAATACGGATCTGAACTAAGAAAAAAAGTATAATGTAGTCTTTGATTTGTTCAATGAACGAAAAGTTGGAACATCACTGAGAAAGTTCACAGAAACCAATATCGTAACAACAATTTCGTTGAAATGGATTAATTTTCAATGAGATTGTTCAAAGGTTCAGAAGTTCTTAGTACATTAATTTTGTTAACTTGAAAGTTTCGATGCTGATATTTGAACTTACCAAATATTTTTAATTTATTCCGGAGTTAATTGTTGTATTAAAAAAAATCTGTAACAAATTTCCGAATTTGTTCAGATTTTTCTGGAATCTAATTTCTCTGTTTTTTTAAATAGTCCTATTAGCTTTCACAGTATTTTTTCTGTAGTTTACACATTATTGATGGTTGCATGTATCTTTTGAGAATCGAATTAAATTTTGCAAAATGTTTTATTATATTCAAATAACTACAATTATTACAATTATTTATGGACTGTAGTTGAGATCAACACTGACTCCACATGGTCCAGCTTCAGTTCCGTGCCATTGATGAACATTTGGTTGTTTCCATCCTCCGAATTCTTTATATTTTGCAAATCCTGGAGTTCCATCATATTCTGCCCACCAAAGTGGCAAATGTGATTGTCCAGTGTAATCGAGTCCAACAATTGCTTCCCAATTGTAATAATTTGAATAGATTCCAACAGCGTGTTTGAGTGCATTTGCTTCCGCAACCATTGCTTCGATGAATTTTCTGTTTGTTGCATGATCAGCTGGCCAACTAAGACGTTCAATATCGAGCCAAAGTGTTCCGATCTAAACCATAACATTTGTTATAATTGTTTTGTCTACTCGTTTTCAAAACTTACATAAGTTCCTTCGGCCTTAATTCTGTTCAAAGCAGTTGATACTTGAGTAGCTGCTGATGCGCATCTCGAACTTCCAACACATGGGAAAATATATCCATCAACATATGGAATACCTCCAGCATGAGCATTTTTGATGTTTGAAATTCCGGTTTCATCAATGTATCCCAAATTAGTGTAAACTCTTGGAATGATGAAATTGATTCCGTCGTTTTTGAGACATTTCATTGTAGCAACAGATACGGCTTGAATAAAATCAAGACCATTTCGAGCATTTACACCAACAGCAAATGCTGTGACAATAAGAAGAAGAAGTTGATTGATTCGACCCATTTCTTATTAGTTTTTGGTCATGAGTTGTCTGTTTATGTAGTTTTCGAAAAAAAAGGCGGAGCTTAGAGCACATGAATCCATAAATGATAATTAGAATGATGTAAAAGAAAAAACGAATTCAGTGTAGCTAAAAATTATTAAGGGTTTAAAAGTACAACATTGTTCTCGTTTGAGAAAATGTCGAGTTTATTTGAGAATTGTTTAATCGGCCTAGGTCTGATTAATCGGACCTGATATTGAAGGTTTGTTGAATCGAACCAGGGTAATCTTTTTTTTTTAGAAATGAATCGGACCATCAGAAAGAAATTACACCAAGAGCCGAATTCATAAAAGTGATATACCGAAAGTTAGTGAAGAAAAATTTGGGCATATGTACCAAAGAATTTGTTCAGCAATTTGAAATACGCCAAATTTTTTATTCTCTAATTGTTGGCCTACCAATTTTGTGAATTCTTCCCCAGGTTCGATTTTTTCAGAAAAATTCTGAATGGGACCTGAAAAATCGGCCCACTTTTTTGAGTTCCCTGATTCACCCACCCAGAAAATCTACTTTTTTCTAAAGTTTTCCTAATTTTCGGGTCCTCTATGAATTTTTCAGTTTTTGACCTCAAAAAAATTGTACTCTGGCCAGCCACGGATTGGCCGAGGTGTGGACCTCAAAAAATCTAAATTGGCCCGATTCATTTTTTAAGGTGATCCGAATCCAAAGATCCGATTCTTATAATATATTCACCCTTATCCGATGAACAAGCCTTCAAAATTGAATCCGACTCGAAATTGATTATTATTCTGAATAATTGAATTATTAATAAAAGCATTAAATTGCAATTCAGTAACTACAGTAAACTCGTTTTCTGATTTGCCAAAGAACCAAACTGATAAGGCTATATATTTGTTCATTTTGCAAATGAATGTTACGTGTTTTTGTGCAAATTCTTATCGAATTCGGTTCGATGATCTTTAGGGAACTAGAATCATTTAATGAATTTATCTTATTGTTTTTATCTCACAATCAGAGTTTTGTTTTTATAATATAAAAACAAATTTAGTTCAACAACTTCATTCTAATATCTACTTGAATGTTTTGTTCTTGTATAAGAATTAGTAGAACAAAAAGTTTTGCTATATCGAGTATTTAAATTCAAAGATTCGTTTTTCTATGAAAAAAAACCAAAAAATGTTATTCCGGTTCATCTGAAATAAAAAGACATAAACCACATTAAAATGATAAGCATACTGTTATCAGTTCAATCTATAAACACCTTGATCAAATGTTTTTTGCAGATCGTATTTGGTGCTGGATCAGAAACTGTAGTCAATTTGCGAACTCGTGCTTTAAAATGTCTAACAATGATTATCGAAGCCGATCACGAAGTTTTGATTATGGATGAAGTTCAAAAAGCAGTTCATAGTAGAATGATGGATTCACATGCACAAGTTCGAGAAGCATCAATTGAATTGTTAGGCAAATTTTTATTAGTCAAAGAAGAATTTATTATTCAATATTATCCGATGTTGGTTGAAAGAATATTAGATTCTGGAATTGCTGTCAGAAAACGAGTTATAAGAATTATGCGAGAAATTTGTGAAAAGTTTCCCAGATATGAAAATATTCCGGAAATGTTATCAAAAATGATTCGACGAGTTAATGATGAAGAAGGAGTCAAGAAATTGGTTCATGAAACATTTTCGACACTTTGGTTTCAACCAATTGATGAAAGAACATCAAATGATGCAATTTCAACAAAAGTAATGGTTATGTCAAGAGTTGTTCAACATTGTATTGCAGATTCAACTGTTGAATATTTAGAAACACTTGTTCATACAATTCTCAAATCAAGTGATAAAGGAGTTCTTTTTGCAAGCAAACAAATAATTGATAATTTGGTCGATTGTATTTTACATTTGGAAACAAAAATGGCAAATGAAAGTAGTCAAATGGATCAACAAAATATGAATGAATTAGAAAAAGCTGCGAAATCAAAACAAAATCAAGATAGATTATTAGCTTGTTTGACAACTATGGCTATTTTTAGCAAAGTTCGACCTGAACTTATGGTAAAACATGCGGAAACACTTCAACCATATTTGACAACAACATCAACAAAAGTAAGAACTGCTTCAGAAGTTGCGGTTATGAATGAAGTTGTTGGAATGTTAGAACGAGTTGTTCCACTTATGTCACATCCAAGTGATCAATTTTTATCTGGAATTGATGATGATTTAACAAAAATGGCAACACAATTTGGAATGCAAATTGTTGTTTCATCTGTATCATGTGCTGCTGCTGTTTATAATCGTTTTCGAAAACAAAAACCAAGACTTGCTGACAGATTTCTCAATTTTTATAGTGAGTTATTTCTTTGGAATTATGAGGTTTCAAAATTGTTATTTTTCAGATTGTTTGAAACGTGGAAAAGCAAGTTACGAACAAAATCCACAACTTCGAATGGATGAAAAAAATATGGCAATTCTTCAACGTGCACTTTTCACAATTGGAGTTTTATGCAGATATTTTGATTTTGATGAGATTATTGGAAGTAGCGAAAACGATGCGAAAATCACTGAAGAATCAGATAAACCAAAAAGGCAAATCAGAGATAGTGTATTCAATGTTCTCGAATTCTTCTCAAAAAGTAACAATCCTTCGATCAAACAAAAAGCATTGACATCTTTGGGACATTTCTGTGCACAATATAGTGAATATTTGACAAGACCTGATTTACAACACATGTATTCCGCTATATTGTCCAGCAAAAATCCAAATGCTCATCAATTGAAAATACAGATTTTGAAAAATTTGGAAATGTTTTTGCAAACTGAAGAAAAGAAATTGATTAAATGCAATGAGGATTGTAAGTTTTTTAAAAAATATATGTTCGGGTTTTCTCAATTAAATATGTTTAGGGGAGGTCACAAAAGATCGAGAGAATTTGAAAGAAATGGAATTAAGTGGATCTGGTCTTGGTTCAACGGTTATTCAATTGTATTGGAATTCCGTATTGAATTCATATTTCGATCAAGATGTCAATATTCGAGTTTCTGCTGTACAGGTTAGTAAGATACACACCTCGGCCAAAATCGTGGTTTCCACAATAAGAAATTGTACGCTAACTTTTTACAGTACAAAAATTGTGAATTTTTCAGTTTTTGACCTCTAAAACTTGTGGTTTTTCAATTTTTGTCCTCTATAAACTGAAATTCTGATTTTTCCAAAAATTGTACTCTGGCCAGCCACGGCTTGGCCGAGGTGTGGTAAGATAAAAATATTTATTTTTGGAAACTACGATCTCAACTGAAGTCTGATTTTATAATTTGATTTTTCCAGGTTACCTGGTTGACATTATCACAAGGTCTTGTTACACCTGGTTCTTCGATTGCTACTCTTATTGCAATGACAACTGATCCATTAGATATCATTCGAAACCGTATTGATAATCTTCTCAAAGAAATTGATTCAAAATATGCTGGAATGGTTCAAAGTAAAGCGATTCTTGGAGTTCGAGTTGCTTATAAACTTCATCAAAAGATTCGAATGGCTGCAATTCAAGAACATCCTGAAATTAGTGGAATTGTGAGAGGAGTGAGATTCTGCGATTTCTCGGCAACTTCGACAAGTAAGATTAATATTTTATTTGAAATATTCTTATGAATATTTTGTAGGTAGTTCAAGTGCTTCACGCGGTCCATTTGCAATTCCTCGAATGTCAAATGATGGAATGGCTTTGTTGAGTGGACTTTATCAAAGTTTGAGAACAAATCGACAACAAAGACGATCATTTTTGCAAGCAATTTTGAAGTAAGTTTATTTATTGTTAGTTTAGCGAATAGGAGGAAAAAGAAGAAAAAATGTTATTTTGAAAACAAATCATCCCTCATTCAGAACCTGGAAAGCGCAAAACTGTTCTGAAAGTCAATTTTTAGAGCAAGATTTTTTCAGAAAAAATTTCCAAATTTCGTTCAAAAATTTGAGCAAAAATCAGGCAATTTTTGACCCAAAAAAAGTTGCTGCGAACAAATTTGTCCTAACAATAAAGCCAACACAATATTTTCCAGGTTGTTCGCTGATGATAGCCGTGAAAAACTAAAACTTGAAGAATGGATATTTGTTGCTGATAATGTTGCAATGTTCCCATATCAAATGATGGATGAACCACTTTATGTGATTCGTTTAATCGATCAAATTGTTGCTCAATCTGGACAATCAATCATAATGCAGTTCAAACAAAATCTTCAACCACTTCGACCACACGAACAACATTTATATGATGATGAAGATTTGATGTTTGATCCGGAGAATTTATTCAGTAGATTCCCACCAAATAAAGATAATTTATATGATTTGATGGTCAACAGTCAATCATGTTTTATTCTTTTGTATATTCGAAACTTTTTGATTAAATTGTATGGATTTAGTGATGCGTAAGTTATTCTTCGAATTTTTAAGATCATGTAAAATTATTGATTTTTTTTCAGAAAAGTTCAAGAATATCTTCCTTCTGAAGCTGCAAAAGTTTATGAAAAAGCAGCATCACGGAAAAATATTCATATGTTCACTCCAATGACTGCTCTCGAAGAATTGAATCCTCAAACAATCGCAGAAAGAAATACAATGAAAGGAGATTATGATTTGGCGCAGAAAATCAGCCGAGTTAGTTTTTTTCTATATTTTTAAAAAGATAAATGCAATTTTGGTTGCACTTTATCAATTTTGAGGTCAAGTTTATCGAAAAATTAAATAGATAAATAATTTGATGCACACCTTGGCTAGGGCCGTAATTTATAATGCCAAAATAGTGCACTTTTAATATCGCAAGAGAATTTTTCCGAGCAGTTTTTTCAAAATTGTATGAAACTTGAAATTTTCAGTTCCGAAAAATGTTACTTTCATTGGATCGTGGAGATGACAATGAAGACGAAGATTCGAAAGCAATTGTTCCAAATCAAGGAGATGATTATGATGATGAGGATGATTATCAAGGTGGAGAAGAAGAAGAGGAGACTGGTTCTATCAGTTCTGCTGCTCCAAATGAAGAGTAATCTTATCATTTTCTTCTTTTTCTCGATTTTTCCTTTTTTCTCGGTGACCAATTTTTCACTTGTCTTATGGGTTTTTTTTTGTTTTTTCTCGCTTGAAAATATTTTGCATTTATTTAGATCTCCTCTTGTACTATACTACAATTCCCCCCAAAAAATTAGCCCTGATTTTTAAATGTTTTCATGATCTCAGAAATTTTTAATATACTTATTGAATGAATTTTCAAAGTAAAATTTATTGATTCGTTGATGTTGTATTTGTTCAAAATTGAAATTATCTATGGACTATAATTAATATCAGTTGTTAACCCACAAGGTCCATTTCTAGTAAAATTAAATTGATGAATACTTGGTTGAATCCAACCTCCAAATGGTTTATAATTTGAAAAATCACGAGTTGAATCATATTGATTCCACCAAAGTGCAAGATTCCATTGTCCTTCATAATCTAATCCAACAATTGATTCCCAATTATAATAATTTGTAAATATTCCAACACTTCTATTCCTTTTCTTTGCTGCCGCAACAAGTTGTTCAATAAGTTGTTGATTTCTAACTTTATCATTTGGCCAATTCAATCTTTCAGTATCAAGCCAAAGAGTTCCGAATGTTGTTCCAGCTTGTGATATTTTATCAATAACAGAACCAACTTGTGTTTCTGTACTTGGACAACCAGAAATAACACATGGGAATAAATATGCATCAATATAACGAATTCCACCAGCATGAGCATTTATTATATTATTTATACCAACTTGATCAACATATCCCAAATTTGTATAAACTCGAGGAATTACAAAACTTATTCCGATTTGATGAAGACATGTAAATGTATCAATATCAACGGCTTGAATAAAATCGAGACCAGTTCTAGATTCAATCAATGGAGCCAAAAATAAAAATAGAAAAATAATATAGCATCTGGTTTTCATTTTTTATCTGTCTTTCAATTCAATTGAATATGGGCGGTTTGATTAACCGTGTTATCATTAAAAGACAATTCGATAGGTTCAAGCTACACATTTTGAATTTTGGTTAATTTGATACTTCGGGCCTACTTTTTAAAATTTATATCAAGTGATATCAAAGAGACGATTCTTGAATTCGGGAATTCTAAATTTTGTTCTAATTTTTAACAACGTCATGTGATCAATTTTTATATAATATTTCTATCATGGGGATCAATAATTTATTCCATTACACATTTCAAATTGTATTTTATTCCGTATCCTTCGAGGCGCTTGAATAGCAAATCTGCATTCACTTTTTCCAAATTCAGAAAACTATTTTCGATGATCTTGAAATAAGAAATTTCCAGATTTTACTGTAACTTGAACTTTGGTTTCGTGAAAAATCAATTTTTGAGTCATAGAATAAATTATTCACGTGAAAATATGTTTGAAATTTTATGGATTCACGAAATGTTAGGAATTTGTATTTTTACCGTTATTATTTTTATATTTCTTATAATTTTCTACTTGAATCATCTCGTTTATAATTTTCAGAATTTCCATTTTAAATCTATATTTCCCCAAACTCCTTCATTCTTCCTAAAATCCTTGGAATAACGTGATCTATGAAAAACCCTTTGTAAACATTTCATTATTGAAAATTGCAATGATGAATGTTTGCTCTATCGAACTGGCCACACACACACATGTTTTTCTTTTTGTCACCAGCTCCGCCCATTTTTTTCAGATTTCTTTTTATTGCTCATAATAATCATCGTGTTGTATTACGCAATTTTTACTTTTTCAGAATGAAAAATGGCGGTTTGGTTGATCGTTTTGGCGAAGAAGATGCAAATTGTACGCAAGGAGTTCAGTGGATAAAAGATGTAAGTTTTCCCAGATTCACTTTTACTTACAATTAAAATGAAAAGTATAGTTAGTTATAGACTTGAAAAAAACTATTTTCTCTGAATTTCATTGAATCTATAGAATATCTAATTCAGCATATCTCTTTTCGTTTTCGTTTCAAAATCGAAATTTTAATGTCAAAATCAGATCGAAGATTAAAAATCAAATGAATTGTGTGAGAAAAGTTTTTTTTCTAGCATGATGACATTTCTGAGAATCGATAATTTTTCTCGTAGATTTTTGTTGGTTTAGGTTCTAAAATAAACAAAAAAATCATATTGAACAGTTTTATAACTTTAATAAACAACAGAAATTTCTAGTTTTTCTCTGATCTCTGATTTAATGGTCCTTTTCCCCCATTTTATTTTGATGACACAGTATTTAGTTGACATTGCCAAAAATCAACATAACAAGTTTGAATAGCAATTAACACATAAATAACACCATATGGTGTACATATTTTATAGTGTTAATATTAATCGCTTTGTTCTTTCAGATTTTTACCGATTGTGTCGATACAAATCTGAAACTAATTGGTTTTTATATCGGATTGCTCTCATTGCTTCTTTGGCTTGTCCCATTATTTCCTCAACTTTGGCAAAATTACAAGACCAAAAAATGCGAAGGTTTATCGTTGGCTTTTTTGTTTTTCTGGCTCGTTGGAGATACTTGTAATATGCTTGGAGCGATTCTAACAAATCAGCAACCAATTCAAAAAATCATTGGAGTTTATTATATTATTCAAGATTTGGTTCTTTGGGCTCAATTTGGATATTATACGAAGATTTATCCGAAAAGAGAAAGAAGTCATAGAAGTGGAACTATTGTTGTTCCATGTTTAGCTTTGGCGAGTTTTGGATCAGTTTGTTTGTTTGATAATTATGTGCAAAATAATGAAAATATTCGAGCAAAACGATCAATTGTATTTGGATTGGGAGAAAAACCACAAGGATTGTAAGTTTTTATTTGTTTTTTGAAAAATGCTAAAAATCTATGAGTAATAAATCATAATATTCGTTTTCTCAGACCATTAGAAGGAATGTTGGAAATGTGGCCAATTTTTGAAAGCTATACTGATATGGTTGGATATATAATTGGAAGTTTGGCAGCAGTTTGTTATTTTGGTGGAAGAATTCCGCAAATTATCAAGAATTATCAAAGACAAAGTTGTGAAGGTTTATCATTGACAATGTTTTATATTATTGTTGCTGCCAATTTCACATATGGTATTTCGGTTCTTATGGCTACAACTGGATGGCTTTATTTATTGAGGTAATTTATTTTTTCCACAGCTTGATACGAGCTCACATAGATTTTGATAATAGAATTTTAAAAATAAGAGAATCTGGCTTTTCGAACAAAAAATAACAAAACCAATTTGTTTGTCTAGACTCTCTTCAATGTCACACTGTTTAGGATCAGCTATAATCCAAAAATTCGAAAAAATTTCAAAATAAGTTTTTTGTCGTTTTCCCAGATCCCAAATGTTATGTAAAGCTGAAAAATTGAAATTTTGCAGCTGCTATGAAGTTTGAGGATTTATCGAAAATTCTCACATTTTCCAACAACCAAAACAGTAATATTTCATAATATTTGATTAAATGAAATTATTTTATTATCATTTTAAAGTTGCCAACTTCAGATACAAGTGAAATTTATCATTTTTCAATTTGACCTTCATTTCATTTCGATTTTTGCCGTGGCAGGTGTTTTGAAATTCGGACAGAAAACTTATTTTCGATTTTCTCTCTTTTCAACTTAAAATAGTACTATTCAGATTAGTAGTATGAAAAATGTGGGAAAACTACAAAATAATTTATTATTTTATTACGAAAAGTGCATTTTTTCTGCGTAGGATATTTTTTAGTGATCCAGGTAGAAAAAAGTATTTTCATTATCGAAATGACCCTCCGCACATATCCATAATTAATAAATAGTAAATAAAAATATTCTAGTGTATAAAAGTAAAATAATAATATATAAATTAGCATAATCTTCTTCTTCTTCTTCTTCTCTCATTGTCAATATTTCATATTTTCCAGACATCTTCCATGGTTAGCCGGTAGTTTGGGTTGTTGTGTATTCGATGCGATTATGATCTCACAATACTATTACTATCTTTCAAAATCTTTGCCAACTGGGCCAGATGATGTTGAACGGACTGGCCTTCTTGATGAAACTGATGATTAAAAATTGACCTTTTTCTATTTATGTTTTTTCCAATTTTTTGTCTGTATTTATATGTTCATTTCATTTCGCTAACAATTATTTTACTAACTTAATTTTGTATTGATTTTCTTTGAAATTCTTTTTTTAAAAAAACTGTAGAATAATTTTCTTGTGATATATTTTCATTTTGCAAATAAATTCAAATTTTTCTTTCTATTTTGCCAATTTTATATTCAGTTATGTTTTCTGAAAAAAAAAAATATTTGAAGATTTTTCTCTCCAAAAAAATTTTATGATTTAGGTTTTGCATACGGGTTTTGATCTAGAAAACATGACAAACATGCAGCATTATATGGATGATATTCATGATAGTAAGTTATTCTAGTTAGCCCAATTTATTATAAATAAAAAATTGAAATTTTAGTTATGGAAGGGTTGAATGTTGAAATTGAAAGAAGATTGAAAAGAATTGGAAAATGGGATGCACAAATTGAAGAATGGACTGAAGAATCGAAAAAATTGGATGAATATATATTTGATGAAAGTAAACCGCAAGAAAAAAGAGATGAAAAAGCATTGAGATTGGCTGAGGTAACTCATTTGAAATATAAATGCAAAAATATTTATAAGTTGGGACATTTTCTGATTTTTTCTATTTTTTGGTTCAAAAATTGAAAATCTGTGGTATTTGCCAGCTTCGAGTTTAGAGCAAAAATCTGAAATTTTTCCGTGTTTCAGAAATTTTGGTTCAAATATTTGCATTTCTGATCCACGTGCCAAATTGTTTTTTTTTTCCCTCATTCATTTTCCTTATTTTTCCAGCTTCGAGGAAAAATGAGAGCTTTAACCGAACGAAAAGTGCAATTAAGCGAAAAGAGCCAAAACACAGTGCATGCGATATATAAGAAGATGTCAGCATTGGCTTATCATTGTAAATGTGAAGTTGAAATTGATAATCCGGGTAGCACTGAATTGAGAGAACGATGTGAGTTTCTTAAAAAGTAGAATTTTCAAATACATATAATTTTATTTTTGTAGTGTTTGTTCAAATGAATGGCTATGCGGAAATTGAAGCAGATCATGCAGATGGACAAATTCATATATCAGCAAATGATAGAAGAACACGGGAAATGTCAATTATGACGGATGAAGATTCGGGGTAAGGGTTTTTTTGGAATTTTATTCAACATAAAAAATATAAATTATCAAATTTATGGCTGGATATTTTCCCCAACCAATTATCTTAGCAATCCTAGATGAATACACAAATTTGAAAATGGTTTCAAAATGCTCTAAATTTTTATATTAAATTAAAGCTTTTTGAGAAATATTCACGTTTTTTTTTTCAAAAATAAAATAAAACGTGAACATTGCGTGGCACCTAATAATTAATTTTCATTTTTTTTCAGAAAAAAAAGGCGGTGGTCGATCTCGGGCTGTTTTCAAAGACAATAAATCGAATTATTCAAGTGCTCGTTCCAGTGTTGAAAGAGAAAATGGTAAAAAAGGCGAGAAAATGTCGAGTTATATGCGAAGGAAAAATGAGAAAATGAAGGAACAACAAAGAATTGATGAGGAAATGCAATTCGAAAAAGAGAAACTTGGTAGGATATATTCAAAGAGTTATTTTAAATATATAGTATTGTTTCAGATTTGATAAAACGTGAATTGTTGGATGGAACTGATTTTGATTGGGGAGGAGAATCATCGAGTACTGGAATTGGAAGAGTTGGAATAACTGAAGAAGAAGAGGAACAAGAATTGTTGCGATTTTTGATTCCGGAAAATGATGGAAGATTGCCGTCGCCACCAAGAGATATTATGGAATCGCTTGAAGCTACTGTATGTTTTATTTTATCAAGACTGATCGGAATTGGAATTTTTCTGAAGATCATAATATTTATATTGTTTTCAAATTGATGAACTTTTGGAATTCAAAATTTCAACCCGAAAAATTCGAAATTCCAACTCATTTCCAAGTCGAAAATATTTATCAACAAAAATAATATTTTTTCAGGACACTGGAATGTTTTCAATGGATTGGTCAAATGAAAAAGAAGAAATCAAACCAATGTCTTCAATGACAAATTTGAAACGACCAAATGTATGTTAATATTGTATCATAATTAATGTTTTACCCCCACTGTTTTATTATTTCTTATTTGTATTATTAGGCATCATCTTCACCTTTCGATTTGGCTGAAAAACGAAAACGAAATCTGTTATTTGGATCTATAGCGGATACCAGTTTCAGTGGTCGCCCCAGAAAGTTAGTGAGATGATTTTTTCTTTTTTTTTATCCTGTGTTGTTATCTATTTTGTGATATAAGATTTTATTAATTAAACCAAATAATAACACTTTTTTCGAATTCAATTGATTTTTTTTTTGGAAAAAATGGGATTTTTCTTGCAGATTGACGGATCGAGTTTCAGAAATGATGCAAAATAGTCGAGAACGAGAAGAAAAAAGGATGAATCGGAAAAAAGAAAATGATGAGTGGTGTATTTGTGATGGAGTGAGTTATTTTTGGATTTGAACAATTTGAAGGTAGAAACTCAGGACTAAAAACTTCAAATTCGCAGAAAAATTATCAATTTTTCATATGAGAATGTCCCTGCCATTTTTAGAATAAAACTCTTTTTTCAGAATATCAATTCGGAAATGATGGTTCAATGTGATAATGCAAATGTAAGCTTTTCAAAAACTCATTCAAATTCCCCTCCGAATTATTTTTATCATATATTTTCAGTGCAAAATTGAATGGTATCATTTCGAATGTGTTGGTTTATTGGATTCCCCATTTGATACTTGGTATTGTCCAACTTGTTCTCAAATTCCTCCAATGTTTCGACTTCAAAGACCAAAAGACGAATAAATAAATAGATTTTTATAGCTTTCTAAATACAACACATTTTTTCTAGGTAGTACTTTTTCCGGGATTTTACTTTTTTTTGCAAAATTTGCTCATTCTGGTTGTTTTTTTGTTACTGACTTTGTTGTGTTCGAAATAAATAAATATAGGTTTTAATTTTTTTGAATTCGCGGTAGAAATTTGTTCGAATCGTGGTGAGACCAGCGAAAAGCAACACATGTACCTTTAACCCTCCAAGCGCGTATTTTTATTTTCAAACTTGAATTTTGCGGTTTATACGGACATTCTAAACTATTGTGAGTAGTAGGTTTTTTAATGATGCTCTTAAATTTTTAACAAACCCAATATATATTTCGTAATTAGTTCATCTCGTGACCTAAGCAGCTGCCATTTATTTCTCAATATTTATTATTTTTCGAAAAGGTGTATACATGTATTTATTATAAAAGGTCTGTCTCTTTTTGTTTCTCAGATAATTTTAATACATCTCATAATTATTGGGAAGGCAGAACATAAGTTTGAATAACCGAAAAGAGTGCACATACACAATCGATGTGTTTTAATAGTGTTGTACTTTGAGAGACGCAGACATTTGTGTGCAAAAGAAAGAGAGGAAAAGGTAGAGACGCAGAGGCGATGTTTTGATGACATTTCTCGCTGTGCGTTCCGTTCCGATCAGTTTTAATATACTGTTATTATTTATAATTATAATTAATTAAGATTGTTTTGCAGAACAATGGATATTGATAGTCTCGATTTACCACAAGATAAACTCGAAAAACTTCGACAATATGCGGTTTGTTATTTGAATTTCGATGTTTCAATTCGAAAATGATGATATTTCAGGAAGTTGTTAACATAGATGATATGGAAATGGCTGTTTGTACACTTGAATCACTAGATTGGAATGTTGAACGAGCCATTGAATCATTTTTGATGCCAGACGATGAACCTGAAATAATTGCTGAAGTTCCTGCAGCATCATCAAGAAATCCAGAACCACCAATTAGAAGTTTCACGTGAGTTGCTCTCCAAGATTGTATAAATCATGAATTTAACTGTTTTAAGAGGAATCGAGCGTGGTCGTCGTCGTATTCCAGAAGAAGATGTGGGTAATCAGGTGAAAAGGCTCAGGGTTTGTAGTTTTATCGTATACATAAATTAAATGCCATTGAGTTTTTCATAACTTTCAAGTTTGCTATAAATAAACAATAATTTTCTTTTAGATTGATGACGATATTGTTCCAATTGACAATAATTCAACAACTCACCGCAGTTCTCGTTATAATACAAGAAGTGTCCCATATGAACCAGTTATTCCATCAGCTTCATCGTCTTCAAGAGGTTTTGTTGCTCCAATGGTTGCAGCGGCAACAAATGCAGCAAATCGAGCAGCAGTGTCTCGTGGACCTGCATATAACTACGTAGCTGCAGCAGGAAGTGATGACGATGATGATATGATTGTTGGATATGAAGATGAGGATGAAGATTATCGAGATGTTCAAGTTGATCTACGAGTATGTTAAAAAAAAACTAATAATATTGAATGTGAAGAAAAAACAACTTATTTTATTTTGAATTCAAGTTCTATGGGTGTTTCGATCCCCTTCAAAATTGAAGAAAATTATTTATTTTTTGTTTCGCTCACGTGAACTACGTGTTATTTTGTTTAAATTCATTTCTAGTCATTTCGAGTTGATAATGTTGTCAATGATTCGAGCATTTCTTGATAGCCTTTTCCCGTGGAATAATCCACCAGCAATAGAACTACCAGCTCCGGTAAAATTCATATAAACATCTAAATTGTTTAATTATTATATTTCTTCAGGCTTCTCGTCGAAATGGATCTGTTCCTCTGATTCCGGAAGATTTTGATAATGTTAACGATGCTCTTCGCAATTTTATCGATGTTTTCCAAACTCGATTCTGTAACACAGTAACCACATCAGCATTTATGCCACATTTCTCAACTGAAACATTGGCCAGTGCTACAAAAGAAGCTTTTGATAAACCAATTTGGTAAGTTTAAATTGTTAATTTTTAAAAATAAAATCAATATTTTTCTTAAATTTCAGCTTGGAACGTCGTCCATTAGCACTTTATATTCATCATGAAAAAAGCATTGCTTCAAATATTTTTGCATCACAAGTACTTTGTACTGAAGCTGTTTCTAACTTATTGCGTCATCAATACGTTTTTTGGCCATGGGATATCACAGCTGATTCAAATTTGTTGAAATTACTTGGATGGTTGCAAGAACTTAATATGGGAGATGTTAGAAATTTGATTCAAAGAATCGCTCTCAAAACTGAAGCTTTTCCAATGATTTTGATTGTTGTTCGACAAAAATCATCATTCAAATTGGTCGAAACTTGTAGAGGAGTTGAAACTGTTGATCAAGTTATTGGAAAACTTATGTCAGGAGTTGAAGAATATGAAGGAATTCGATCGACTGAAGTTAATGAGAAAAAAGAAAGAGAGGAAAGAGAAGCATTGAGAAATCAACAAGAAGCTGAGTATGTGAAACATGAATAAAATAATTTGAAATAATTGATTTATTTTCAGATATCAAGCATCTTTAGCTGCTGATCGTTCTCGAATGGAAGCGAAACAACGTGAAATTGAAGAACAAAAAGCAGAAGAAGAAAGACGATTGAAAGCTGAAGAAGATGAAGCAATGAGAAGACAAACACTTGCATCAATGCTTCCAGATGAACCATCTCAAAATGAAACTAACATTATTCATGTCAAATTCCGACTTCCTGAAGGAGCACAAGAAATGCGAAGATTCAGAAATTCGGAAAAAATTCAAGTCTTGGTCAACTTTTTGTCATCCAAAGGATTCAATCCTGACCATTTTAAATACTTCAATTCTGATTTCCCGAAAAAAGAGGTAAATATAAAAATCAAAAGAAATTGGGCAGCTAATTTGAGAGCCCAATGAAACTTTCATTTTGAATTTTTCCAAAAACTTTCTAAAATCACAAACTAGCTGCTCAACTGCTTTCAACTTCAAAATAAATACCACAATTCTCAACAAAACTTTTTTTAGATCACTTCTCATTTCGATTTGGAAAAATCATTTGAAAGTACAAAATGGCCGGTTCGCGAACAAGTCTTTGTAGAAGAAATTTAAAACTACTGTCCACGGGTTATTTTCACCCTGTTACCTATTTTTTGTGTGTTTGTGTAAAAATGATTTGTTTTTCCCAACTTTCTCTGTCAAAATTATTTATTGTTTCCAGTAAAATGTCACATTTTTTCTAATTGTTGTGTTCGTTTAAAATTTACAGTTATATTTACTTGAAAGTTATTTAATTAGAAAGTTGGTTTTTGTGGGAAAACATCCAATTTGATTCCGCGAACAGCTGGATCAACGTGGACACCTGGAGGAAGATTGAGTTCGACTTTCTGAAAATAATTATTTTTCGAAGTCTGAATGTTAGAAGAACTAACCTTCAATTCAATAAAATCGTATTCTCCAGCATCATCTTTTGTAACACTTTTGATGATCAAAGTTCCTGGAGCTTGAATTCCATAGTTCTTCGAATCAAGTTTCTTTCCATTCTTGATTTAAAAAATTCAATTTCATATTTAGCAAATTTGAAATACTTACTTCAATCCAAACTCGTTTATTTGCTCCTTCGAAGTCAAATGTTTGTTTTTTTCCATTCGAAAGTGTTCGAGTAACAGCTTTGATTGCTTGCGAAGAAAGTTCCAATTTCAAATTCTTCTCACCAACCTGCAAAACAATTAAAAGTTCGAACGTACCTAAGCTGAGAGATTTTTACGGGGCTTTGAGTGTGTTTTTTCAGTTTACGAAAAATATGCCTCATCCCGTTGATATTAATTAATTAATTAATTAATTAACAAACCCATGAAAGATGTGGTGCAGAATATGCAGTGACTGCAGCAACAATCAAGAATAACGAGAGAATTGTTCTCATCTTCGACTAAAATGACCTCTTTCTCTTATCATTTTATACCTTTAGCCGTTCAAAAAGTGTAATATTTTTTGGGGTGTGATTTATTGTTGGAAAATCGGGATCAACCAGGAAGTTCGTTTAGAATGATCAGAAAAAATAATAGAAGATGATAGGAGAAGTATATATTTTGCAGGATCAAATTGTGTATTGCTTTTGGCTACAGTAATCAAAATACATTTAGGGGTTACTGTAGTAATAGTTACGGTATAAAGTTTAATTAGAGATTTTTCTCATTTTTCAAATTTCCTTTTTTTTAATCGCAGAATTGCTGCTTCAAATTACTCAAATTTTTAGAATTTTGAAAAAATATATTTTCTCTATAGAGAATTGCTCATGTTAACTTTTTTTCAAATAAAAAAAATTCATAAATTCCAATTTTTTTTAAAACGTGATCCAGTTTCAAAAATGAGCACAACCAAATGTTTGAAAAAATAAAATATATTATTTCGTAATTGATAAATTATTCAAAAAAGTCGTATGTATTTAATAGTCAGTGTATACAATTAAAAATGCCTCCAATCGAATCAAAAAAGAATAATGTAAGTAGAAAATATCCAACCAATACATCGATCTTCTTTATTTTTGTTCTAGAAAGTTTCAACATATATGCAAAATGCTGAAAGTTCGCAAAAAACAGTGCAAAGAGCCCCGAAAAAGCCAAGTGTTGATAGATCGACAAGAAAAATGGAAAGATCAAGGGAACCCGAAAGATCGAGAGCACAAAAATCGACGATGGATAAATCACAAGCACAAAGATCGTATCGAAAAAGTGCTCCAGATAAATCGCATTCTGTTCGAAAACGTGCTCCAGGAAATATTCCACCTGGAATGGCAATGCCTCCAATGCCACCGTAAGATTTTCAGGATTTTGAAATGAGCCAAACTGGGCCATTTAGAAATAGGATCATACTTGATCTAAAAATTTTGACCCAAAAAAGGTTATCTCTTGTTTTCTAAATTTAAACAGAATATCACAATTCCTTTCAGAAGCTTATAACATTTTTTTTTCAGAAAACGACAGCAAGAAGAAAAGACTGGAATATTCGGTTTTGGAAGATCAGTCAAAAATAACGGATTTGATTCTCTAAAATCAATGGTTTCAAAAGTTCGAAGTCGTTCATCATCTTTGACTCGAAAAACACTAAATTATGGTGAAGATGCATTTGTAACAACAAAAAGTCGACGAGGTACAAATGGAACTCCACCTCCGCCTTGCCCGATTATTTGTGAAGAAGTTGATGCAGATGGAACTGATATTATATCAACACATTCTGAACTTGCTGTTGTTAAAAGTAATACAGATAATAATGGGCAAATATTTATTGGAAAACGACCTTTTTGGTTTGTTCCGAGTGATTCGCCGTCTGATGAAGAAATGAAGGGAATATTTGAATCTCCTGAAATTAATGCACAATCTTTGATTGAAGTATCCGATGGAAAGAAAACCCTGAAATCAAGTCCAGCGGTTCCGTGAGTTATTTAAAATTTTTGTGTCAAAACTTTAAAAAAAACTTTATTCCAGAACTTCGCTAGATTCTTTTGAAGATTTGGAAAGCATGAAAACCCGAGACTCTTTATATTTCTCAAATGATCATATATTTTCAAATACAGTTCGCTCAATAATAAATACGAATAATTTGATGAACAACTTCGAACCGTCTGGATCAAAATCATGTTCGGGTAAAAAATTAGTATTGAGTGAACCAACTGTCACACTATTCTATAAGGTTAGTTTAATAATGTTTCGAAAATTAAAAAAAACATGTGATTTTTTAGCGAAGAACACGAATGAAGACAAGAGAAGATAAATTTGTTCACATGATTGCTCCGACTAAGAAAAAGAAATAAATCAGGGTTTTTTTTCAATGTTTACAGCCAAATAGTTAAATTTTATGCGAAATCCACAGAGTGTATTTGACTACTCGAAAGTTTCGCGAATTTTTTGAGACCTCTCACAATCTTAATTGAGATTAAAAATCAACGTAATCAATGCAAAACTTGATCTACCAGAAAAAAGTTGGAAATAAAATGAACTGTTTGGGAATGTTCGGAAAAACTACAGTAATCTAGAAAATACCACCACCAACAACTACAGTACCAATTACGATAAAAGACCAACGCATTTTTTTATAAAAGAAAAATTCATTGATAATGCGAATTCAAGTTTCAAAAACTTTATATTCATCAATACACGAAGTATAGATTGAAGTATCCCCACACGGCCAATCATGAAGACCAGTATCTGGATCAAGAATAATACAATATTCAGTAGATATATCAGGATTAGTCGTATGCCATTTTGATTCAACAAGTAGTCGAATTTTCTCAGTATCCTCGCCAAATTTATTCGACCAAACACCAATATTATATTTATTGCATCTTTCATAGCTTCCATCATCAACTCTGTATGAACAACCATCTCGTTTTTTCAATCCAATCCAAATTCGACGACCTAAGCTTTTGAGTGTTTGATATTCTTCTTCGCTGCTAAATGTGATCAAATTATGGTGACAAAACGATGCAGCATCATCCGCAGCGTACTGAATTTAAAAATCATTTTCATTTCAAAAAAAATCGAAATTTAATTTCAAACCTGTGTTTCAAAATGGATAGTACAAACAACAGCTCCACTTTCTCTGTGTATTTCATTCCAAGTTGGTGAGCATTTTGTGGGTTTCTTGTGAATTCGATAAAATATTGAGCAAAATATTGGAGCATTTTGAGCAACATTACGTTCAATGATATCCAACGAATCGATTTGTTTTGGTGTGAACAAAAACGAATGAATGGTTTGAAATGAAACCAGATTTCTTTTTGGATCAATTGGACATTTACCACCGTTTTGAGATATTTTATGTCTTTCATCAATATCTGGCAAATCGATACACTCTTTGATATCCTGAAATGAAGTTGTTATGGGAGTTTATGAAGTTCCAAAAAGGACTCCGGAAAACAGACATTCATTTTAGATTTTCCGAAAAGTTTGAAAATGGATTCGCGGAACAATAGTAATTATTGAAATCATGGTTCCAAAAAAAGTCAGGTCCATTTCAGACTGAAAATTGGGTCCGATTCAAAAGTTCCAAATTTTTCCGAACGGAACAAGGTAGCCTTGTAAGTAAAACTATCACCTTAAAATTTCTAGGTTGATATTTGAGATACGATACATAGAAATAAGTTCTTCCATTTGTCGCTCTTTGACAACAATGAAAATACGGTGCATAAGATAGAACAACTGATTGTTTAACCTCATCCGATAATCTCGCAACATTTTCTGTTTTAATATCCATAATATCACCACTATCAACTCCAAATAATGCACTCATTGATGATTTACATTTTTGAACTGCATCAGAAAATGAAGGATGATTCATAAAACTATAATGTGATGAAGTTCTCCAAACAGTCATTAAATTCGAATGTTGTGTTGGATAATAATATGGTTTTAGAAGCTTGGCTTTTATCTCAAAACTAGCTGGATTTTCTTCGGGTTTGTAGACACATATCACTTGCGGCACTTTTGTAGTTTTTGATGGTTTGATAATTGAGCGAGGACCAACTTGATAATGAATTGCCATTGACATAACAACTGCATAATTTGGACCACCATCATTAAAATCAACAAATTCATTAAGATGATCTGCAGGTTGAACAAAAAACATTTTGAGTTCTGTGAAAAATGCATCAAGCAATCTTATCAAATCAATATCATACAAATAAACCAAATCAGCTTTTATGACAACTCCATTGAAAGTTGTGATTTTCTTTTTTTGACACATATTTCTTGCGGCTTTATAACTTATTTTTTTGTTATTTTTTATTGATATTTTAAGATAGCAATATCCATTGATTTGAATATAATTTTTATGACATTCATATCCATTTTCATATTTACACCAAGTTCTACCATTCACAACTTTTGCCTCAACTAATGGGAAAGGTCCCCAATTTTTGCAATATGTTCTAGCTTCTTCTTCAGATGAAGCTGGAAATTGTTTCCATAAAACTTCACATTTATCCGATTCTGCACTTTTCTTATCATTTATTAGAATCTTTTTTCCTTTGATGTTGTCGCAAAAACGAATAAAACTTGAATCGCGAATATATTGTGAAGAATTGAGGATTAGAAAAATGAGAATTATAAGTGGAATACATTTGGACATCTTATTACGTCCGAGAAAAATCAAAATATCTGACTAGTTTTGAATTTTTATATTTGAGATAAGGTTTCTAGGTCACTTTAATATTCTGTTTTTTGAATTTTTAATTTCGAAACATTTTCTCCTTATTTTTCTTCTAATAATTTTCCAACTCACTCGAATGGTAATCCATTATCCAAAAGTACAAAACATGTGGGATTCAGGAATTGAAAAAAAATCTTTTTTTTTGCCTGGGAGACAAGTTCAACTAGGGGTGAAGCCTCTAGTCAAATAATTAAATTATTTAATGATTATTTTGCAACCATGTTAAATATTGTTACTAAATTCATATGTCCTGTAGATAAAAGAAAAAGCATGTGGAATTACATGAGAAAAATCCTGGAAAACGCCATTTTCCCTACAAATTTCTTTGTTGGGAATGTTTTCAATAAAATTTTTTCAGAAATTTTCTCTCGTAAGTGTTTCTAATAAAAGTTTCTAAAGTTTCGAAATACCAGAAAATCGGAAAAAGCATTTACCATTTCCGCACAATCCAAAAGTCACTGAAAATTATCCTCTAATCCAAAAAACGTATCACGTTTTTCTTTTTCATCCAAAAAAAAATATTCTTTAAAGCGTGAACTATTTTTTTTTTTGTTTTTTCGAGAAAAAACGAGCGCGTCGAAGATGTTTTGATCATTTCAGACAAATCTTCAATTAGGAATTGCCTTAATTTTATTTTCGCTCATCAAAATCTCAAAATGACGACATTTGTTGAAAGCCATTATCTGGATGTAAATGATGAAATTGCGAATTCGGTTGAAAATATTCGAGGATCTGCATTCGAAGCTGTTTCTTTTCCAATTCAACAAAAAGAGCCAGTTTCAGATTATTGTGGATTTGTTGGCGAAGAATTGCCACCAATTTATCGTCAACAATTACGCCAATTATCACAAATGATGGCACCAAATAATAAGAAATTGACAAAAGTTCAAGAACAAATTAAAAATTTGGAAGAAAAAGAAGAAAAAGGTGGATCAGATTGGGCATGGTTGACAAAAAAAGAACAAGAAATTGAAAATGTTATTGATTTTGAGCATGAAGAATCACATGATTATTTGCCTGGATTTTCGGCTCCGAAAATATGTGATTTAGTTCACACAAGACAAGATCATATGGTGAGTACTGTAGTTTTGCCATATGTCATGTGATTAAATTTGGGTAGAAATCCACGTGGCATTTTACTGGTGATAGTTTGAAATCAGATTTTTTTACAGTTGCCAAAAATGCGTAGTGTGACTGCGACTTCGAATGTTTTTCGCTTGAACGGAACAAATTGGATAAAGGGTTCAAACTACGAACAATCCAAATATTTGGTAATGAAAAATGAAGATTTTGAGCAAGTTAATAATTCTCAAAAATCTCAACTTGCAACATCACATACTCCAACTATTACATCAACAACAAATGATTCATCGACTTTTAATAATTTGTCAGTTCATACTGCTAAGGTAACAATCTTTAAGCTTGAGTCTTTAAGCCTTTAAAAATCTATATTTATTTCAGATAGGTCCACCAATGGGATGTCTTTCATTTCCAATTTCACCAAAATCAAAAATGAATTCATCTCAAATTGCTGAAAAATATCGTGGTTTGAGTGCTTTTCGACCAGTTGGTGAAAATATTGAATCACATTATGCATTTGAAAAAGATTTCAATTGAATTCGTCTACAAATATAAGCCATTTCTGAATAAACTCTTTGCTATTATAGATTACTGTTGATTTTCTTTTAATTCTACAGTATTCCTACATGTCTAACAGGATTACAGTAGTAGAGTTTTGAAAATATACAGAAATTCGTTGACAGTAATCTCTGATGTTTGATTTTTCGCCAGAAAAGGGTTTCAAAAGATGAACCTTTCATAGTAACACAATTTCAACAAAGAAAAATCAACAAAAAGTAGTGATGAATAAAAAGATCAACAAAAATCAGTGGAATGTTTTCTTTCCAACGAAACCCGATAAAATTCAAAAATCGATAATGCAGTTTGTTTGGCAAGTAGCCAAGCATTTTCCAATTCATCAATAGTCAAATCTCCGATTGTATCACTGGCACAAATTTCAGGCGCCGATGTTGTTCGATTTCGACAAACTGCCAACAATATTTTCGCATCGGATTGAGATTCTTGTTTGGCGGTTGGATCAATTATTAATTCACCATTGATTCGAACAATTGTGACACCACAAAATATTGTACTGCAAATATATATAGAATTCAGGCGAAAGTTTCGAACAGATTAGTGACATTTTGAAATGTTCATTTCTGGCTCCAAAAACTACCTATGACGTGACAAAGTGACAAAATTAATAAAAACCCTTATTTGATGTTTTTGAATAATAAAAAACAATTCCTATAGATTCGAAAGAAGTTCCAAATTTTTTCTTCTAATAGTTTTCCAACTCACTCAAATGGCAATCCATTATCCAAAAGTGCAAAACATGTTGCATTCAAAGCAGCCGCTCCAATACTTCCATCATCTTGTATTCCATGAAGTGTTATAACTTGAGTTGTGTGTGGAAATAATTGCAAATTTATAACTTTTTCAAGTGTTGATGTTATAATATTATTGAGTGGATGGAATTTATTGTCACCAGTGTTGGCGCGAAAACTCACGTCGAGCACCATTTTTTCGTCGTTGGCGCGAGCGCGGTGGATATCGCCTGCAAAAAAATGAAGAGGGATGATGTGAAGATTTCAGAGTGAATTTTCAAAATTCGAAAATTCTTTTGAGCGAAGCGATCTTTCATGATTTCAATAAATTCGAGTCTGTTATTATTTCCAATTTTTCTCTAAAAAAAGAATCTCACCAGGTCCGCTACACGATGCCCAAATACACGTGGCACCTTGCGAAAAACAAACACTTCCATCCGCATTTTTCAAATATGCCAATTCGCACCGCATTTCCCGCAATCTTCCTGACATCTGAAATTCCACGTTAGGGGGTTTTTTTTACTGAAAAATCATTGAAAAATATTCTAAATTCGTAAATTTCACGAAATTCCAAACAAATTGATGAGTTAATTGTAAAAGTATAACAAATATATTTCAAAAAATAAAAAAAGCAACAAAAATAACAAAAACAATAACTTTTTTGAGGAACGGGAGAAGAATTTCAAATTTCTGAAAAAAAATGGCAGGGAAGAAAAATTCAAGATTTTTTGTTGTAATTAATTGTTCCTTGTCGATTCGCCGATTTTCGCATCGTTTGTTTTTTCGACTGATTTTTGAGACGGAATTTCTGATGAAATGGATCGAATTCGGCATTTGTGTCGCGTACCGGTTTTTCTGAAAAAAAAAACATGGCATTTTTCTATGAAAAATCATACATCCATAGCTGATGAATATGATCAAAATTCAGACATTTTTATAGAAATTATTTTACGTTAGTGTCAATTTTTATACTTACTAAAATATTCAGCTCTTAAAATGTTATGAATAATTTAGATTTGAAAAGCTAAAATTCAATTTTCGTGAAATTTTGACTAAAACTGATAACTGAAAATTCTAATTTTTGAGAAGTTCTAAATTTTCCTGACAATCCAATATCCTTTTAAAAAACTCACTAAATTGACTAATATCCGCTTTTTCATAATCAAACTCTTCATCTTCTTCTTCTTGTCTCGATTTTTTCGTCGATTCCGATACTTCTGGAGCCTCCGAAGATTCTCCAAGAACAGTCGAAATATCCGCATTTCTCCTCGCTTCTTTTCGTTTTCTCTTCAATGATTTCTTCGATAATATTTGATCTTCACTAAATCGTGATTCATCAAAAATCGGTGCATCTTTTTCTTCTTCATTGTCTGATTTTCCTCCTGATCCTGCTAGTTTCATTTCTCCGCTTTTCGCAATTTCATCATCTTCAAATACTGGTTTTCTACAAACAGTTGGATCATTATGCGAAAACATAGTCTTCGGTCCATCTCCTTCTAATTTCTTCAATCTTTCTGCTTCCAATCTTTCAATTTCTTCTTGTTTTTCTTTTTCTTTCATCACAATTTTATAGCATTCATAAGGTGTTACCCATTCATCCAATTTTTCCAATATCGATTTTCTTTCTTTTTCTCTTTTTTCCTCTTCAAAAACATTTGTTAATCCCAAATTTTTCGAGGTAATCGTAGGTCTTAAAATAGATAAAAGTGACATTTGTTCATCTTTCAAACTAATATATTCAGAATGTTCTGTTTTATCAATATCAATTTCTCCTCGTTCTTCATCAAATTTACAATGCGAAAAATCAAGTTTCGAATATAAAATCGAGGTGATCAAATCCATTCGATCATTCAAAATTCCTCGATTTTCTTGTGCATCTTCAACTTCTTTATTCGATGGTCCCTTCTTTTCCAATTTCACATCTCTCGCTTCTTTGATTATTTTCAATATTTCACCAGATCTTTGTTTTACAAAATATGGCAATGGATTGCAACAAACATAGATTCCATTAATATCATTTGGCAAAGTTTCAGATAAACCTAATAACATATGATTTGGTAATACAAAAAGTGGACTTTCATCTTCATCTCTTCCAATATTATCTCGCCATTTATACAAATGAGTTAGCGCATATTCTTGACGAGAATTCAATGTGAAACGGAATTTGATATCTGTCATAAAACCTTTTGGATTGAATGCTGGCTTTTTGTAGACCTGAAAATTCGTTATTATTTTTTTTCTATATCTCCCAAAAATTCGCAATTTTAGATATCCAGTATAATGAAAAACGACACTCCGTTTACACCTCTCCAATAATCTCCTACCTTGACACATAAATCCTTGCATTCATTATAAACTTCTTTCAAATCCTTCTCACTTTGCTCAATCAAACTTTCTCTTAAATTATCATAACAATATAATAGATAATGTGTATCCTCTCTTGCATAATTCAACATTGCATCTCGAAGTGGTCGAGCTCGCCAATCAGCCAATTGATATTGTTTATCTAATGGAATTGCAGCAAATCGAGAAACCAAATAAGCCAATGAGAATTTGGGATATTTCAATTTCTTCATTGCAATATAAGTATCAAACAAATTCACAATATGAATTCCGAAATCTCTTTGAAGCCATAAAACATCATTATCCGAACCATGTAGAACTTTTAATATTTTCGGATTTGTAAATGGCTCATTTAATATTCCAACTTGATCCCAAATCGGAAATGGATCTATCACAAAATCAGCATCCCGTGTTGAAATTTGAATTAAACAAGTTAATCCCAAATATGATCTTGATTCATTGTGTTCCAAATCGACTGCAAATTCAGTGACTGAATTTAAATGATCTCGAAGTTCTTCTAATTTTTCGATGCTGTCAACCATCGTGAATTTGGTGTTTTGGAGTTTGGCGAATTTTTGAAGAGAAGATGTTTGGAGTTGGGAAACGGGAATTTTGAAGTTGAGAATTTCGGCGATATAGGGATGCTCGATTTCTGCATCTTCGCCATTCCATTCACTGAAAAAGTATTATTTTAATAGAATTTGGCTGAACATTTTGGGATTTCAAGAATTTCAATCATCTAATTTCCAAATTTTTAAAAAATTTTTTAGACAATGTTTACAGGATTTTTGAAAATGTTCTTTTTCGAAAAATCCAATAACTTTGGGAAAACTTTCAGTAAGTGGTCTGATCCAGAATTTTCTCAATTGACTTAGTGTTTATCCCAAAAAACCTTTTCCCTACCGTTTTCCAGATTCATCCTCATCAATAATAACAATTCCCTTTCTTTTATCAATCGCATGATGTTTTTCATTTAATTTCGAAATAAATGGAGCAATCGAATTATTCACATTCAAATTATAGGTTTTCTGTGGTTTTTCGCTAACAATCATTTGTGCCGCTTCTTCTCTTCTTTCTCTGAATTTTTGTGCAAGAATCGATCCGATATTTGCAGAAAATGTTCGCATTGCGGACGAAACTTCATTTTCAGTTTTTTTATTTGTAGGGGCAGCTTTTAAGATGAATTCAGGAACTTTTACGACTTCGTCTCGATCTGCTTTTTTGAGTGCTTCAAGAAGAGTTGACTGAAAATTGATTTTTGCAATTAAGAATTAGGGATTTAAGATAAAATAAATAACAATACTCACAGCTCTTTCAGCAATATTATCTTGTGCTTCAATTACACATTCTGTATATTCTTGAATTGAACTTCCAACATTTGGAACTCTCATTGCACATCCAATCGATTTTGTCAATTTGCTCATACTGAAAATTTTAGAAGTTTTGTTTAGTTTTGATAATTTTTTGTCAATATTCAGTTAGAAAATTCAACATTTCTGGAAATTCTTAATATTTTCAGATGTTTTAAAATGAATTGTTAAACCTTTGGAATTTCACTGAAACCATTTTTTTCTGGAATTTCAGATAAAAATCTCCAAACCCTTCCTCCTCTCAAAACTAACACAATATTAATTCTTTCCTCCTGTCGTTTCATATATGCATTATAAGTCGGATACGAATTATAAATCTCAAATTCGCCTCCAGTTTTTGGAAATGCATTTGATGTTGCAACCATTCCAGCCGCATTTCTCATCAATTCTTCAACTTGTTTTCTCAAAGCAGCTGTGGTTTCTTCTCCTTCTTCACTCATTCTGAAATATTTGATTAGCAAAATTAATTAACTAACTAATTATTGAAGATATTATTAATTGCTCTGAAAGAAACAATTTCAATAATCACAAAACAGAAAAAGGAATAAATCCCTAAAATCATATATTTTTGATAATTTAATTACATACATAAATTAGCAAAAGTGCAACAAAACGAACAAAAAACCCGAGAAAATGTGGACAAGAAGGAAAAAGAGGTCGAAAAACTATAAATTAAAGCACTCGCATATAAACTGTATAATTAGTCCATTTCGTATAAATATCTGATAAATATGGAATGAAAAAAGCGCGGAAAAATGGATGAGATTCGTGTGGAATCAAGAATGGAACATGGATTACGGCACGGAATTTGTCGGGCTGCAAAAAAAGTATATGAATTATTTGGGGGAAATAAAATACAGCAATTGATTGATTCAAACATTTCAAGCTTCTCATTTTCAATTGAGAAAACTTCATAAATCTCAAAATACTTACAATAGTTCTAAAATCAATTTGCCTGTCAGTTCCAGGCGCATCAACATCCACAACCAAATCACAACTTTCCAAATTAACATATCTCGAAACTTCTTCTTTATTTTGATCGTTCATTTCAGTTGGAATAAATCGAGTTGTTTCAACGAGACTTCGTGCTTTGATAAAAGGTTTCGGAAGAAGTCCACGGAATTCACTTTCAATGAAACTTAGCTCAACTCCTAAATAATAATATGTTTATTATATTTTTCATTAAAATCAATACTTACGTTTGTCAAGTCCAATAAAACTATCAGCTTCTGGAATGAAGAAAGAAGATGGAAAATGATGCCATTCTTTTCCAATACAAAGTCGAATATTTTCATTTTTCGTCAAAATTTTCTCATTATGAACTTTGTCCGTCAAATGTTTATAAATCTCAAGATGTCCGCCATAATTTCGAATATTCGAATAACTTCGAGAAACACAAATTATGATGAAAAATATGGAGATAAACCAGAGAAGCGTTGAAATATTCTCATTTTTCTGAATTTTTGTGAAAATTCGTTGAAGAGCTTCGATTGCCAAAGCAGCAAGAAGTGCAATATGTGGATAAATTGGGAAAAGGAATCGTTCTTCTTTATGGGGTTGAGTGAAGAAAATTGCACACCAGGAAGCAGCAGCAAACCAGATTAGGAAAACAGGAATGTATCTATCCCAATATTGGAGATTTCTGGCTGAAATTGGAGTAGAATTGGTATTTTTTTTTTTTGAGGGAAAATTGGCTCAATTTAAATTTTAAAAACAAAATTTGAAAAATTTTCTGGAAATTAAAACAATTTTTTTCCAAAAAAATAAAATTGATCAATTTTTTTTAAAATTATTTTTAACGCGAAATTCCCCAAAAAAACTCACGAATTCCGAAAACAGGTTTATGCACTTCCAGAACCTTCACATGTATTCTATAACAATAAAGAGTGACAGGCAATGAAATCAAAGCCAATGGCAGAGCAAAGTTCCAGTTGAGCACCAAATTTTTGATATAATACGAAACAGGCTCAACGCCATATAATTCAGGTCCAGGACCAGATAATACGTTGTAAAGAACAATGTTGAGCGGTGCCTGGAAATCCAGATTTTCAAAGGAAAATAGAAGATTTCCTAGAGAACTTACAAAAACTCGTTTTCCAAAATAATGCGAATCCACTAAAAATAGCAAAGCCGATATTCCGATTCCAAAAACAGCAGACCATGCAAAAAATGCGTATCGTTTTTGGCGAATTAGCAACATATCAATAACAACTGGAAGACCCAAAACAGCTGCAAATGGCCAACCAACTAATGCTGATAATGCTGTACAAAGAATTGCCAACCACCATTGTTCATTCAAATATGCAGCTAAGAGATAGAAATTGAGAGACATTGCAAATGATGATGGAAGGAAAGCAGTGCTGAAAATGAAGAAAATTTAACGATATTACAGACAAAATAGTTATTTTTGTTTTGATTTCAAAATGTATACTATGTTTTTGTAAACCAAAATAATAAAAATATCAAACATCCAAAACATTTCAATATTTTCAGATTTTTTGAATTTCCAGGCTTAAATTTAGACAAGTTTTTATTTTTCAACATGAAAAAACTGACCTTGCAGTAAAAACGCCAGACGAAAAAATGGAGAAAAGCATAAAATGTCGACCAGTAGCAATATTCAATCTTTTACAAACCGCCAAATACATCAAATATTCTCCTACCAAACAAAACAATCCAATCGTACACCGTGTAACAACAAAAACCGCAATTTTCGAAACACCCAAAAAAGCAGTGAAAACCGATGCTGGAATATAATGCAAATAAACATAGAAATAAGATCGAATCGCATAAATTGGTGAATATTCCCAAGTTTGAAATCCGTGTCCATAGAGAAATAAATGTAGTGGTTCCCAATAATTATAAACTTCATCACAATCTGAGATTATTCCCCATAATGCTGAACATATTCGTATTGAAACTATTAATTTAAGTGTTGCTCCAGCTGATGGCATCCAATATTCAAAGTCTTCTTCTGCTTTTGTGTACAGTTTTTCGCCTTTTTCTATTTCTCGAATTTCCACATATTTTCTGCAAAAATTGAACATTTTTAGGTGAAAAATTTGAAAGTGAAACATTTTTCTTGAAAATCAAACAAAAAACAAATTTTGTTTAAAAAAACTTCTCTCGTGTATTCTTCGGTTAGACTTTTCCAAAAATCTCAATTCCCCTCAAAAACTAACTTTTCTTCTTTTTCCTTTTCTGCAGTTCCATTACTACTAATCGGTTTTGTTGTATTTGTTCGATTCACCGACCTCCGAACTACTGCAATATTCTTTCTAGACATCTGCAAACATAATACATTTTGTGTGAAAAAATTATAAATAAAAATAAGTTATCCGGTTCAAAAACCAGGTATTTCTTCCACAAAGAATTTAAAAAAAAACAATATTTTTCATGAGAAAAGAAAACAGTTGAAAACAAAAAATAGCCTAATAAAATCCTAAAAAAATAACTACAAAATATTCAAATAACTTATTCATCCTCATCATTTTTCTTCGAATTTCTATCATTTTTCGGGCGATTTCCCCATCTTCCACCAGTTTTTCGATCATTTTTCGTTGGTTTTTCATGCGTTTCACCGGTTCCTTCACTTTTCACAACTTTTACCGAATATTCATCGCTGAGATCGCCGAGCGGACCATCAGAACTACGAATATTGCCAGAGTGGATACGAGCCTAGAAAGATCAGTATTTATGGAGAGTTATCAAGGTGAAATCGCGGAGTGTTGTTTGAAAACATTTCAAGAGTTCTGCAATTTTTCAAGTGAATACAAATAACTCACTCTTCTCTTATCGCCCGTTCCTCCAATTGCTCCACTAGTCGATTGTCCTCCTCCACCAATTCTTTCTCTTGTATGTTTTTGATTATCCGCTTTCAATTGTCCATTATTCACAAAATTCAACAAATCCTGAATAACATCTTTGAATCGTTGATTCTGTTTAATAAAATCCTTCACAATTTTCTCATTCGAATCTCCTTGTGCAATTGTAACCCGCCAATCTGGTCGAAGTGTTTTCTGAAGTCGAATCAAATTCGCGCAATCTGTTAACCTTCCCAATCCTCCGAAATAATTCAACAATTTCGGAATATTATCATTTAGTGCCAAATAGAAGACAAATGTTCCAAAATGTCTGGTTGATGTTAGAACATGGAATTTTTCGGATTCATTAATTCTATCGAAAATCTGATGAGTTAAGCGAATAAATGACGGATCATCAGGTTCGTAGAACCAACAAGCCCAATCTAATACAAATTCATGTTCATTTCGATCAAGCGCATCTTTCAAAAATGGATCTTCAAAAAGTGGAGGTGGTTGAACTGGTCGATTTGGTTTTTGATAATATGTTCGATTCATTCGATCATGTTCTTCTGGATTTGCAGTTCTCAATGTTCCATCTGGTTCTCGAACAACAACAGTACGATCTTGATCAGTTGCATCGAAAGTGATATCTGTGAAGACAAATTTGCTGGTATCAAATGCTTCGAGTTCTTTGTCTTTTGATAGAATTTGCACATTTTCTTGACGTGGTTCTTTGACGGGAACAAATTGGAGGAAACGACGAGCTTCTTCTTGCATCCGCTCGCGGGTCTGCAAATTTTATTATAAGTTAAAATGGGATGAAAATTGATAAAGTTCACATTTTCTGATATTTTCATACAAAAAAAAACGTTTTTTCTCGAAACTGGGAAGTAAACTATTTTTTAATAAGCTTTGAAATTTGCAGAAATCCTAGAATTTCTGAATTTATCATTTTTTTTCGGGTCCAAAAATGTTTTGAAATTAATGTATTTTTTTTAATGATGACTTGTTTTTGAAAAATTAACTCTAATTTCAAAAATTTTTTCTCTCAAAAATCTTTCCCACCTTTTCCAATCGTTCATCAGTCATCAATGCAAAATGTGATCTTTGTTGAATCGATGTCCTTCTTGGTCGAAAAACCTTATTCTCCATATCGATTTCTGTCAATTCGGTCAACAATTTTTGCACTTCCGGTTCGATGAACATTTTTTCGACATTTACCGAGGATTCGGCCGATTTCACCCATTGTGATGACGATTTTCGCACAGAAATAATTCCGAGACGAAATTTGAGCATCACTATAAATTATTTATATTTACATATATAAACGAGGTGTAATTGGTTGGGATTTTTCGTCAAAAAAGGTGGTATTTTTGGAGAAAATTCCAGAAATAACGTAATAATAATATAAGGGCTGAAAACCCAAGTGAATCCAAGAGAAAATAAATATTAATAATAATAAAAATAAGGAAAATATATATTAACAAAAACGAAAAAGATAATCCTAACTAACAATAGAAATTCTATAGAAAAAAAGCTAGTTGAATGCACATAATCGCTCATAATAATGTGGATTGAATGCACTCAAATACATCAATTGTTTTCGACCATCCTCACTTCGAGCTGCAAAAATATGGATTTATGGTAACTTATTTTTAGAATGGAAGGGAACATTATTTAGAATCGGCTGAAAATGTTGATCTCAAATTTAGAGAAGAGATGATTTTAGGTGACTCAAAATAAGGATTTATTTTTCAAAAAAAATGCAGTAAAAAAAAACTAACCAGCCTCGCTAGCCAACCAATTTTTCTTGACATAATATTCAAAAATCGCATCAGTTTCTTTTTCGGTATAATTTGTTGTTTCAATCGGAATAACTGGTTCAATATGTTCGAATCCTTCTTCACCAAATAATTCCAATGGTGTGATTCGTGGAACTTCTAATTGATTATTTGCATCTGATACTTCTTTTTTGTCAGCAACCATTAGAACACAACCATTTGACCAATCGTTTGAGATCATTCTTCTGTAAACAATTTGTCATTTTTGGATAGTTTTCAAAGTTCAAATATTTATAAAATTTAGAACTCAAAGATAATCATCAATGAATTGTTATATTTAATTGTAACAATTGAATTATTCGAAAAATCAATTCAGAAAAATATAAAATTTTTGAAACAGTGAATTTTTGCAATATTTTTTGAATTGAGTATGGATAAAAATTATAAATCGTCGTTTCGGAGTCACTACAAATTCCCGATTTTTAAATATAGCTCAATTTTATGGATAAAAATTATAAATCGTCGTTTCGGAGTCACTACAAATTCCCGATTTTTAAATATAGCTCAATTTTATGGATAAAAATTATAAATCGTCGTTTCGGAGTCACTACGAATTCCCGATTTTTAAATATAGCTCAATTTTATGGATAAAAATTATAAATCGTCGTTTCGGAGTCACTACAAATTCCCGATTTTTAAATATAGCTCAATTTTATGGATAAAAATTATAAATCGTCGTTTCGGAGTCACTACGAATTCCCGATTTTTAAATATAGCTCAATTTTATGGATAAAAATTATAAATCGTCGTTTCGGAGTCACTACAAATTCCCGATTTTTAAATATAGCTCAATTTTATGGATAAAAATTATAAATCGTCGTTTCGGAGTCACTACAAATTCCCGATTTTTAAATATAGCTCAATTTTATGGATAAAAATTATAAATCGTCGTTTCGGAGTCACTACAAATTCCCGATTTTTAAATATAGCTCAATTTTATGGATAAAAATTATAAATCGTCGTTTCGGAGTCACTACGAATTCCCGATTTTTAAATATAGCTCAATTTTATGGATAAAAATTATAAATCGTCGTTTCGGAGTCACTACAAATTCCCGATTTTTAAATATAGCTCAATTTTATGGATAAAAATTATAAATCGTCGTTTCGGAGTCACTACGAATTCCCGATTTTTAAATATAGCTCAATTTTATGGATAAAAATTATAAATCGTCGTTTCGGAGTCACTACGAATTCCCGATTTTCAAATATAGCTCAATTTATTTTTTGAATTGAGCTCCCAAAAGTCAAAAAGTTCAATGTTTTTTCGGCAAATGAAAACACTTATCAATTCAATAATTACATAGAAACCTTGAAACAGTGAATTTTCCCAATTTTTCCCTTCAAAAATACTCACCTAAAATGTACAACAAGCGACAAATCGTGTGGTTGCGCATAAGTTCTATCGGCTCTTTTCACCAAAGTTTTTCCCCAAAGCGAATTTGCATCATCGATTGCCACCAAAACCTTGATCCCATCATTTTTCGCATGTCTTCGTAATTCTCGGAAAAGTGCCCCAACACAATCAGTCGCCAAAAATGGTGCACTTATTCCCATCTCAACAATATCTGTTATTGGTTTGTTTTGTGCAGTTTTCTCGCTTTTCGACCATTCATAATCTCGTTCTGTTTGAAGTTCAGCCAATTTCTTCCAAATATGTTGATTTTGTTGTTTGAAATTTTGAAGAATTGAAATAGCATTTGAAGGATCATTAATTCTTCCAGGAACATAAGTACACATTTCAATCTCTTTAACTTGTCGTGTAAGATCCATTGCTGATCGCAAGTTCACAATTGCCCATTGATTTTGATATGCATGATGAACTGCTTGATTCAAAGTAACAGTTTTTCCAGTTCCAAAAGGTCCCCACAAAACAAGTCGAAGAGTTGGGATAGTTTTATCAACAGCTCGCATACAAGAAGAAACTTCGAGAAGTGGTTCTCTAACAAGAGTGACTAATTCTCCAATTGTATCTAATTGTTTTCGAAGACCACTTGGTAGATGAGTTCGAAAGTTTAGTTGTTTGGTGGCATCGCGATCGATTTCATAGAGAGTTCCGTTTTCAGGAAGAGTGTAGCTGGCCTGAAACATAGAAAATTATTATTAAATTTTACAAATATAATTTTAAAAAAAAACGAACCGTAGCTGATTCAGCACTGCTGAAAAATCGTCGTCCAACTGGTCGAGCCAATCGCAAAACTAATCTCATCTAAAGTATTTTATTTCCAAATTGTACTGTAAAAACTAATTTTTTTCAAATATTCAAGAGTCTCTGAACTTCTAGTCACCAAATTTCCAAAAAATGTTGAAAATGACAACAACTTCATCAACAACAAAAAACGAAAAACCGGGGAAAATCAACAAAACTTGAAAATATCACATCTAAACTTTTGCGTATTGAAGATCATCGCTGTTTTCATATTCAGCCATATCTAGAGCAACTTCACAACTTTCGCGAACAACTCTTTCTTCATCATTCACATATTCCTTCAAAATATTAGTGCATTCTTCAGTTGCAATTGCACCAAGAGCTTCTGCACATTCATGACGAACCATACAATTTTCACTTGGAAGCAACAATCGATCTTTGAGTTCTTGAATTGCAACAGGTGATTGAACTTGTCCAAGAACATAAGCGACCTCATGTCGAAATAATGCACTATCTTCACAATATAATCCTTGAGCTAATGCTTTGATAGATTCATCAGTGTTGAGATTTCGAAGACTGAACATTGCACGATATCGATCGAAAAGTGTTTTCGAACTATCCACCAATGTCGCTGCCAATTCCTTCACATCACTAGTTGAAGCAGAAGGTGTTGGATCAACAGAATCATAAGGACTGTTTGTTTTCTCCCCACTTTTTTCAACCCATTCAACTCTTTCCAATGCAATTTGACAAGTTTCTGCAACTTCAGGGCACGAATCTTTTGCATATTTTTCGAGAATTGGTTTAACTGAGGGATCAGCGATTGCACCAAGTGCTTCTCCTGCTTCATGACGAACCATTGGCTCTTGTTTTTCATCTTCTAGAGTTTTGACAAGGGTTGGAATGGCACTTGGGTTTTGCATTTGACCAAGACAATATGCAAGTTCATGCTTGAGAAGAGCAGATTCGTCCTGAAACAATTTTTTGTAGATGTATGAGATTCTCGTCTCAACGTTGGCAGCTTTAGCTTTACTATACAAAAAGAAGAAGGTGAGGCCATTCATTGTATAAACACCTTCTCATATTGTACAGTCAGGTTACAGCGGTCATAGCTGAGGCTAAAGAAACAACGTACATTCAAACATTCACCAATCCATTCAACTGATCGATCACATCCAATATTTCTCAAAATGAACAATGCTCGAAATCTTGCCTTGAGTGGATTTTTCACGTCATTTAATGCAGCACCAAATTTGTCGATTTCCTCTGATGTGAAGGTCATCTTGGGTTACCTGAAATCTTTATTTTATCATTTCAGTATTCAAAATTCACAAATAACAACAAAAAGAAAAGGAAAAGAGTAACAAGAGTATCAAAAAAAAATTAAAGATGGAAAAAAGTAGATCATCGTCTACCAATCGGTCAAATGAAGTTGCTCAATTCCCCAATCTTCGAAAGATCCATCCGGCAAATAACGACGAATCATAATTGGAATACGACGTTGTTTCAATTCTTTTCTGGCAATCTCCAATGGATCAGTTTCACCTTCCAATTCAACCATAACTGGTGCTCCCATAGCGATTTGCAAGGCACGAGTTCCAAGAATACGTGCACGTTCGTATTTAGTCATAAAAGCGGTTGTGACACGATCTGATGAAGGAACGGCTTGTCCATTTGTGTCAATGAGATCAATTCGTTCTCCTCCTTGATCATCTTCTTCTTCCTCATTTGGTTGATCATCATCAATAACATCTTCCATATCATTATCATCTACGAAATCGTCGTTATCGTTGTCATTATAATCGTCATCCATTTTGGCTTTTGTTTCTGAATGAAATAAAAAAAATCAAATGTATCCCAAATTCACATAAAACGCTCGAAAGAAGCTGAAAAACGTCATAGAAACGAGTTAAATATACAATTCCAACTAATCTTTCAGTATCTAGAATTGATGCAAATGGATGAAACAATAAAAATCCCCTAGGAACCCAAAAAAACGCCAAAAAAGTGGAAAAAATAAAAATATTTCGTATGTTTGCTAAACAACAGGCAAACGCGATGAACGGAGTGTCGTTTGTTTGGAAATTGGAGGCTCTTTGAAATTGCACTTTTTGCGCATGACTCGTTTTTTTTCAACAAACTAATTGCACACGAAAAAAGAGCACTAGGAAACAGACAACAAAAATCCAATTATCTCGTTTCATCTTTAATTGACACAAAAAGCAGAAGCACCCTCTTTTTTTCGCCATAATTATGGTAATTTGAGAGCACATTTCCTCACTCTTTACTCACTATTTTCAGGCTGAAGTTTATTATTTTTCACATTTCGCTTCACACATATTTTATATCTAAGAAGATTTTGGCTGGTCTGGAAAAAAGAAAACAACATGTTTTTACTCTACATTTCCTGATTGCATTTTTTGCGTTTGGTTTTTTTTTTTGGTGAAAATGTTCATTTTTTCATTTTCCTTGGCTTTTTTGTGGATAAAAATTCACTGGGGAATTGGGAAATTCATTGTTTGACGGGGTGTGTCTTTTGGAAAAAGGAAAAATTATTTTTATTTTATTTTGTCTCAGCTTGTTTTTGTGTGGGATTACATCAGATCTTATTTATTATTATTATTTTTGGCTGAAAATAAGGAAAATCTTCTCCTGGAAAATGTAGATTTACTTATCCAAATTTTAAAAGTTCTGTCATTTGTGAGCATTTTCCAACAGCTTTAGTTTTCACTTTTTTTTTGGACCAAGTTTAATTATTCTCAAGATAGTTCAGTGACAAACATTTATGTTCGCAAATACAATCTTCGGTGCAGCCTTTTTTTTCCAAAAGTAAAGTTGCTTTTTTTTGGAAAGCTACCCAAAAATGCATTATTTTTTCACATAACTCTTCTCTTTTTGTTCACAGCTTGTTTTTTGCTCGAAAAAATTATGGGTTTTCATGTAAATTTCATGTAAATTCCAACTCCATGACGTATTTTCATGAAAGATTAAATTTGGTTTATAGTTTGGATAAGTCTTTATGCACTTTCCAAACAAATAATCCAATTCCAATAATCTTTGATATCAATTTTTGTGTGTCTTCATTCCATTTCATTTTTTCTTCGGCTACAAAAATAATAAGAAAAAAATCAAAACATAAATATTTTTGAGGCGAAAATAATTAATACCTTCTTTTTTTCGCTTTTCGAAAAAAGATTAATTCATACGTTTTTTTCTGTTCCTCAACAAAAGGTAGTCATTTTCTTCTTTTTTTTTCACAAAAAAATCCATTTCTAAATAGCTAGAAAAGGAGAGCAATTTAGACTTTTTCCTCGTTTTTTTGTCTTCCGCGCACGCGAAAAATTCTAGAAAATCCGAGATAATTCCAATTTTTGCAGGCACGAAAATCCAATCATCACGATCTTTCAGGTTAGTTGATAATGTGTTTTTTTTTTGTTTGAAAAAGGGCCCCCTTGAAAATAAAAACCACATTATTATAATAATTCAATCATAACGGGGCTATGGGAAGAAGAAAAAAGAGAAGAAATAGAAATAAAAAAGAATTTTATTGTAATGTTGTTATTTTTATTGGGGCAAAAAATATGAAGGCTTCGGAAGAGGCTCTTCCTTCTTTTTTGTGTCTGTTTATTTTTCAATTGATTGTTTTCAATGAACTTTTTCCGATTTCTTTTACAGTAACCAATGAACTATGACGTAGCTATTCAAAATATCAAAAATTGCCACGTGGCAAAAATAGTTCAAAAGGAAATATTCTGAATGACCAAAAAACTATTCGAATAAAAAATGTTTCAAATTTTGTTTTCAAAAATTCGAGTCTTCGAAAAATATCAAAAGGTGTTTTTTTTTCAAAAAAAATCCACACAAAATTTAGAAATGCCACGTGATAAAACTCAAATTTTTCGAAAAAATTCTAATTTTGACGTCCTGCTCTTTAAAAAAAAACATTTCTGAATTTCTATTTCTTTCAAATCGATCGCCCTCATTTTTCAGCGGAATTTTTTTTTGTTGAAAAAATGTGAGTTTAGGAGGGACCTTTTTTGAGTTACACAGTGTGTATTTTACTACCTCTAATTGCTAGACCTCCAAATTAAAAAAAAATCTGGTAGATCAAAAGTGTCAGGTCTCAAAAAATGCGCCAAAGTTTTTGGGTAGTATACGCTGAGGCTAAACTAGAATACTTTTTTTTTGATTCGCAGCTGTTTCTGTCTCTCTCAAGAAACTCTTGACCTCAAACAAGATTTGCATAACTCAAATTCATTTTTTTTCCTCGCGCGGAATAAAAACAACACGAAATTTTCCGCCTTGCTTGTTGTTTTTCTCACGAGCGATGGACTTCTTCTCAATTTTTTGCTATTTTTTTTTAGCTACTCCTCATTTTCCTCACCATAATCCTTTTCTTTCTTTCTGTGTTGTGTTGCTTTTTTCGAAAAAAATATATACGTAGAAAAAATTCATAGTTGTTTTTTTCTTGAAATGTGCAAAAAACCTTGTTTTCCACATGACTGGTGGAATTTTTGATTTTTTTTCGTGTGCCCAAAATTTTTTTGGTTTTTTTTCTGAGTTTTGAGATCTCAGAGAAAAATGGCTTCATATAAAAAAGTTAATTGATTTTTCTGTTATTAAAAAATACAATTTTTTGTATTTAGGCTCTAAAAATAGATATTCTTAACTGATAACTCAAAAAGAGCTGATTAGAATTATTCAGTTACACCCTGCTATTTTTAGACCAAAAATTTGGAATCATTTTATTTTTCTGAAAATAACATACAAGGTGAGCTTGAGCTTTGAACTTTTGGTTCACTAATTTCCGGAGGATAATTGGGAGGTAATTGGGGAATAGGAAAAATGTTCTTTTTTGAGAAACTTTGTTAGTTTCTGAACGGTTTTCGGAAAACATTTGATGTCTATTTTTTTTTCAAAGTTTTTGACATCATCCTGAAAATAAAAGTCCAGAAATTTGATATTTTTTGGATTGGTTTCCAAGATTCAATAAGATTAGAAGAAACTCGGGACATTTTTTATCTCGATTATTTTTGGAACAGCTTTTATAGTTTTTAGAGTGAAATAGAAATGTATGCCCTTTTTAATAAAAAAGTATTTTTGGCACAAAAAGACTGTTTTACTTATTGTATCTAAAAATGTTCAAATCTTAGTCATTCCAAACTCAGAACTTTTTTGGTAGATCAAAAATTATTGTCTCTCACTTTTCTTTTGAATTTATTTAGTTTTTCTCAAATCCGAAAAAAAAAACGCGGGAATTTTTTTTTCCTATAGTAAATTACACTCACATGCATTTGTATTTAAACAGACAGGAAACCCTTCGCCACGAGTTTCCTGTCTGTTCTGGGTACTTTTTTTTTGACAATAACCTGTGTGTTTTACTGAAAACCTGCGGGTTTCTTGCAAGGTTCTCGCAGGTTTTCAGCGTCGCCAGATTTCTCGTCTGTTTTAAAATGCGTGTGACTCTTTGTAATCCATTTATTTTCTAATTTATAATCTCAAAACCTTTTTATTTTCAATCAAATATTCAACCATAGAAAATCCCAGACACTTTCATTTTCATCTCAAAGTCTTACGTCAAAAAAAAGCAGAAAACAGCTGGAAATTTCAAGAGTTGAAATAACTCCAGGTGTTCTCTCCACAAAAAAATCCACATGATCCATCGAACAGAATCAAAACTTCTAAATTAATCATCATCAGGTGACGAGCCATTTCGTTAGTACAAAAAACATTTGCCTTCTTTTTTTTTTCATTTTTTCTATCTCCTATCAGTCAAAGGTCCCTATTTTCTCTGATTCTCTTTTTCTGATTCCTCTCTCACTCTATGATCTCATTTTTCTGCTGTTTCATTGCAAAAACTTTACCTTCTCAAGAAAAAAAAACATGAAGTGACCTTCTTCTTTTAATCCTAAAATTATATATATATATTCCTGTCTTCAAATTTTCCTAGATTTATTTTCTCATTATTCTAAATTCACAAAATGTTGCTGAACAATAGTTTTCCTCCGCTCATCGTTTTACACATTTTCACAATTTTTGCAAATCTAGAATTGTTGATCACCGACGAAACGATTCTCATATCAGCCGCCATTTTTTTGATCATCATGCCCATTTTTTCGCAAAGACGGTTAGTTTTTCAACATTTTCTTATTGTGAGCCAAAATTTATTATAAATAATCTTTGATTTTTCACTGGATTCACCGGGATTAATTAAAACATCATAGTGTTTCAGTTTTTCTCGTCGTTTCATTTGTTTCTTATCAAATATTGAACAAAATCTAGATTTTATTTCATTTTCAATATAAAATCTATTTTTTTTTGAAATGTTATCCATCATTTTTTGTGAGCTTTTTTTTATTTTGAAAAGGTCAACATTTTTTGACGATTTGATCTGATTGATCTAACTGAAATTAATTTCAAATTTTCAAGGTTGGTCTGGAAAATTTGTAGATGTTTTTTGCTTGGGAAATCCTAATTAATTTTAAATCAAAAAATGTCATTTCAAATTGCCACGTCCTAATTTCACTTTTTCTCACGTATTTATTCACTTTGTGAAAGTTACATTTTTTGGATTACTGTAGCCAAGTTTTATTTTTAAAGCGTTTTTTGGCAACATTTTTAAAGGGTAATCTTGAAAATACGATGCCTGAGGGTTTTATTTTTTCTGAAAATAATTTTTGATTTCAATTCTGCCATATAAACTACTTCAGAAAAATTCCTCCAACTGCCACGTCATAGTTCATATCTAACTGATATTGAATATTACACAATTTTTTGACGAATTTTTCGATCGAGTCCCAATTTTTCTAGAAATTGATAAAAGATTTTTTCAAATTTTCAGTGAAACTTTTTGAGAATAAATTTTTCTCAAGCCGAATATTGTTGTAATTAAATTGAATATTTCAGATACGAGGACGGTATGAACGGCGTTGCGCGCCGAAAACAATTCAAACTTCGCCCGTGGCAATCAACCGCCTCACCACTACGAAATGATTTTTACTGGTTAGTTTTTTTGTTTTTTTTTTTGGGCAAAAATACAAAAATACAGATTTATTATTGTCAGTCAGTAAGTTTGCTAATCCTATTTCCTTATCAGCTTATTTTTATTTATTTTTTGTTGTAATTTTTTTGTGGTCGAAAGAAAAACCAGTGTCTGGTTCTAATTAACTTCACTTACATTAGAATGTATAGAAAAAATAGAGGCAAAAAAATCATTTTCTTCTCGGAAAAATTGGTTCACACGCCCTTTTGCACCTGCTCCTCCTCTCTTTTTTCCTCGTTTTTTTTGCTCTGAGCTCGGAGCATTTGGAGCAAGAAGAATTTCAGCTGGGAAAACGATTTTATTTTGTTTTTTCACTTGTTTTTTCCTCCCTCAGACATTTTTTTGAGCCAGTTACAGAAACTTCTTTGATCCCTTCGTTTTCTGAAATTCTATTTTTCCATTTCGAAGAAAAGGCCCTAAAATTTACGAGTTTCTATAAATTCTATTTATGCCTGCCACTTTTCTTCGTCTTCTTCTTCTTTTTTTCCCGAAATATTCTCAAGTTCCGGAAGTTTTTGCACTTGAAAACCACTACCTTTTTCTGACTTTTTTGTTGGCTTTTTATCGATTTCCTGTCATTTATTTTGGGTTAAGTTTTTTTTGTCTGAAAATGAAGTGTCTAGGGAATTTTAGTTGGGTCGTTAGTTGCTTGAAATTTTTTGAGTCTTCAGAAAAACTCTTCTGAAAACTTTTTTTTGGGAAATAAATAGGTTTACAATTTTTGAACTGCACGAAACTCATCTGAGTGTTATGAAAAAGTTTTATAAGCATCTCTCTGAAATTGCCACGTGGCAAAGTGCTTTGGTTACGCGAAAAATAATATGCTACGTGGTAGTAATTGACTAAAGTTTTATGTTGAAAATAGAATTTCTGAAAAAAAATCTGAAAATTGCTACGTGGCATAAATTTTTTTCAAAAAATCTATAGTTTGGATTACGTTATCAGACAATTTTCAGAAATTGGTCCAATTTAGAATTTTACTCAAAAGACCTGGACTGATTTCCCTTCCGATTCAACAAGTCCCAAAATTGTTCTTCTTCCCTCGTCCCACTTCAAAATGTCCCTCCCAACCCGAAAACAAAATCACGGGACCAAAAAGAGGTCGTAAAAATGTCTAATCCCCGGCGTCAGTCAGTCAGCAACAAATTCTTGTGTGGTGTTGCGACCAAGAAAAAAGTGTTCATCATTTTTCGCTCGTTTCATTTTTTCGTGTGTGTATATGTGCTTCCAAAGCAGCAAAATCTTCCGTTTTTTCCTCGCCTCGTCAAATTTATTTAACACAAATCCAGCACCAAAAAACAGCTTTCTTTGAAAATTTATCCCACATTCTTTGAGCAACTCAGAAAGAAAACTTTTTTCGGTTTTGTGAGAAGCTGAGCTGAGCTGAGATGATGAGATGGGGCGGAATAAATTTATCTAAAGCCTGGTATCGGGTCGCCACAAAATCCAATTAGTTTTTTTTTTGAGAAAAGGGATTTTTGTGCACTTTTTCTAAACCCTTCTTATTTTTTTCGAACTGAAAATAAAAATAAAAAGCTGTTTTTCTTCAAGTCAGCTTCTGTCAGAAGATAAAATTTATCTGTTTATTTTCGAACTTTTTATATTTTTTCGAAAAAAATAAATGAAATAAAAATAATAAATATTTCATTGAGGAAACCAGTTTTCAGTTTTTCGAATCAAAATCATATGATTTTCTTATTTTTAGAAAAAGAGTTTTCATGGCCTAAAAAGGTCACGAGAAAGAAATTTGATCTTCAAGAAATGAGGATATCGGATTCTGATTGCTCATTTCATTTTTTGGCACATTTTTCTCCAAACATGAATTATTGACGAAAAAAGCTTTATTATTCTTTTTTCTCTGTCTGTTTTTAAGTGACTGATGTTATTTTATTTTTCAGCAAAAAAATTCTATGTGTGTCATGTACACTGAGAAAAAAGAAGATAATCTTTTTTGGGCGGCTGAATTATTAGTCATTTTTGAAAAATTTCCAGACAAATTACAGTATGATTTCTTCTCAATATTTGTCCGGATATTGCACATTTCGAGCACTCAAACCCAAACCCAAAATGACATTTTTCAAGTGTTTCAAAATTGTTTTGTCAAGTGTTTCTTTTTTTCTTCAATCATCTTCAAATTCCAGATTAACATACATACATTTCTTATTTTTTTTCTCAAAAAAAAGAACAAAAAACTGGTATTTCTTTTTCGCCCCACAATTTTTTTGTCGCCTTGTTTTTAAGATGTCATTTCACTCACTTCCGGTGTGTCTGTGACGTTTTTGAACCATTTTTCGATGCTTCCAAATATTTCTTTGACTTTGTGTAGTATCTGTGGGCTTCTGAAGTTATTTAAAAAATTTTCAAAAAAATTGAACATTTTTAAAAAGTTTTTTGAAACATATTTTCGCCACGTTGTTTTTTGTTAAAGAAACTAAAATTTCAAAATATTTATTTTCCTGGAATTATGCCACGTGGCAAATTTTGCTCCTCCAAATTCATTTTCAATCACCATAGTTTCCAAGTTATAATATTCTAGAAAATGTCACGTGCACATCTTGGGCCAGAGTAAAATTTGGAAAAAACCCTAATTGTAATTTTTTTAAAGTTTGAAAGTAACTGCTTTTTGGCATTTATACTTTGAAAGCGGTGACCACTTGAGAACTGGGCTTTCTAGGCTTGGCTACTTGACATCGAAAGTTTTAAGAAGCGGCCCCTTGTTATATTGAAACTCGGGTCCTAGACAATTAGGTTTTCTACGCTCTATTTGTCACAATACTTCAAATGGCCTTTGATGAATTTTCATTCAGAAAAATGTATCAAAATTTGCATTTTTCCCAAGAATATCGAAATTTGCATATGTATTCCGCCACGTGGCAAAAACTGATGTATTATTTTTTCAAAAACATTTTTTACCAGATATTTCACGCGGCAAAAAATATCCTTTATCACCGAAAATTTTTTAGCCTAGAAAAAATACGTTTCATAAATTATTCTTTTTTTTATTCTCTTTAATCTTGTTTAAATTGTCATTCGTTCGTCAACCAAAAAAACCCACGAATTCTAGTAGCCTCAATCTGTGCTCAAACTTTGAGAACACACTTTCAAACTGCCAACCACTGCTTACGATTCGACACGCGGTGTTTCGTTTCAAATTCACGACGAAGATATGACATCGAGAAGACATACTGTTTGGTTTGTGCCTGGATCAAGAAGGTTTGTTTTTGTTTGAATTTTGAATCTAAGTTTGATTTGAATAAGTTTTGTAGAGAACTTTGGAGGGGTTCTTGCGGGAGATTGGCTTTTGGAGTTGGAGTTTTCTTCAGACATTATTTTCGTAAGACCAAAAATGTTTTTGTTAGAAACATTTCTGAAATGGATATTTTTTTCAAATTTTGAATCAGATTCTCAAATTTATTTATTTTTTTGGAATTCAAATTGTTCAATTATCAGAATTAAAAAAAATTTTTCAGAATTTCGGACTCAATAAAACGTTTTAAAATTCTGAAATCTACTGTATGTTTTTCAGAAAAACGTTCAGCCAGCTGATTTTTTCAACAGCCTGATTTTTCTAAAAGTCTTTTGACATTATTTGTCCTATTCCAAATCAATTTTTTTCTAATAGAAGGTCAAATTCAAATTCAAATGTTCTCCAACTGGTCCTCCTCTCCAAAAATCAATCAACCATAAACCACTCAAAGAAAAAGTTGAAGTGTGATTTCTTCCCCCTTCCTGCTCCCTCTGATCTCAATTTCAATCCTTCTGATTATTATCTATTCATCCCTATGCTTCTGGCTGAAAATATATGTACATATATAGAAATGAGAACCTGAAAAACACAAATTTCTTCTGAATCGAGTTTCCATGACAATCCTAGATACAAAAAACAGCTCCAATTTTTCCTTTTTTTTTTTGATAAATCGGATTAAAGGACACATTTTTTATTTCCGTTTTTTCATTCGTTGAGAAAAAAAAGAGGAATTTCAGAATTTTTATGTGTGTGAAAGTCTCGAGCTTTATGGTTTCCAAATTTTTTTAGTAGTAGTTTTTTTTTTGTTCGCACCTCTCTTCTTCTCAAATTGAATTGAATTGAATTGAGCGAGAGAAAAAGAGAGTTGTGTGTGTGTATGTGTCGATTTTTTTTCTTCCCGAAAGCTTGTGTAAAACGGCCTCTCGTTGTCTTGCTTGGACCATCGATGAAAAGGGCGGAGCTTTGAGAAAAGAAATAAAGAGAGAGAGAGAGAGAAAGAGGGTCAATTTTTTTTCCCAAGCTATTTTTCCCAAATTTTTTTCCCAAGTTGATTTTTCATTTTCCCAAGTTTTATTTTTCCCAAATTTTTTTTCCCAAGTTATTTTTTCATTTTCCCAAGTTTTTTTCCCAATTTTTAGTTTTTTTCCCAAATTTTCGGATCGCATGAAATTGGTTCGTTTTTTAAGAACATCAGGGATTTTGATTCTCTATATGAGGATCTCGAAATTTTATAAAATAGAAGGGTCCGTCAAAAATAGCTACTAGAAAAATGAGAGTTTTTCTTGTGTAAAGTGTGGTGTGTTTTTTTCAATTTTCGGCGAGTCTGTATGTTTCCAGGAGGGTTCACTAAGCCTAAGCCTAGAAAGAATAATAGAAAAATTAAAAAATCTTACTTTTGGCTTCTCAACTTCAGAATTAGGCTTAGGCTTAGTTAAACGCCCAGAAAACTGAATGTTGGTTTATTTTTTACAGTCGGCCTCTCAAAATATCAGTCTGAATCTGCTGTTTTCGTTCCGACAAACTTGTGAAAAATCACAATGTTCATTCCAAAAACAAAATTTTTTTTTCGACTAATTTTAGCATTTTCGCATTTAGGAATTGCATAACTTCAGGTTATGACCGGGAGAAGCTGATATGTGGGATCAGTACTCAATTGGCTTTGAAAAATAGGGAATACCGGAAAAAAAACTTGAAGAATTGGGTAAAAAACGACAATTTGGGAAAAAAAGAAAAATTGGGAAAAAAACTTGGGAAAAACAAAAACTTACTTGTGAAAAAATTTGGGAAAAATAAAACTTGGGAAAATGAAAAATCAACTTGGGAAAAAAATTTGGGAAAAATAGCTTGGGAAAAAAAATTGACCAGAAAGAGAGAGTTAGAGATAACACAAGAAATAAAAAGAGTTAGAAGAGAGTCGTGGTGTTGTGCTCTTCTTGTTGTTGTTGCTCTTGCTCTTGTCATCTTCGGATGCCAAGAAGACGTGATGGAAGGTTCGGTTTATCGAGCCTTCGACGCGAATTGCACCTTCATAACTTTTTTCGATCATCACCATCTTCTAGTTCTTCTGGTCTAGCTAATACTTCTTCTACTGACAATAATAAATCTGTATTGGTGCCTTCTGGTGTCACCAACAACAAATTGGGCAAGTTTAGTGGTGCAACATCGTCGGATGGAAGTGGCGCAGCGATGCATTTAACGCCGTCGGTGAGTTCGGCGACGGCGACAACACATGCGCGACGCGAATCATTTTTGTATCGAGGAGCTGATGATTTGAGAGATTCGGCGATTTTGGCCACTGCTGGATTGAGGCCTGTTAGTCGAGCATCGAGTATTGCATCGAATGAGCATGGGTGAGTTTTTTTTTTCCAATTATTTATCTTTTTTTTTAGTTTTCTGTTTTGAATGTAGTGGGTGAGGGATTTTTGTTGTAGAATTATATTTGGTAGATTGTGAAATTCAAAATCTTTTACGTGATCCAAGAATTTGGTAAAAATATTTCCGAAAACTTTTGGTTTCAATTTTCAATAATTTCAAAAGCCTGATTCAAATTATTCAGAAAACATCTGGGACCTCTTCGGTCGAAATTGTTTTGAATCGGGAATTTTTTATCACATTATTTTTGTGTTAACTTTTTGATCCGAAATTTTAAACTCTAGTTTAAATTATCTCAAAATCCAGGTTTATCAGCCTCAAAATTTTTGATCAAATTTTTTTCCTAAAAAAACCTCTATCGCTTTGTTTTTAAGTTCCTCACTGATTTTTACCTCGTTTTTGTTTCCAAAAATTTTTCACCAAAATAATAACCGAAATTCATATTTTCTCCAAAAACACAAAGAAATCTCATGAATTCTTGATTCGATTCTTCTTTTTTCTTTCGTTTTTTCCTGTTTTTCTTCCTCTGCTCAAAAAAACCCACATTTTCCAACCAAAAAAAACTTTTTGCATTTTTTTCTCATGCGGATTTTTCGAATGACTACTGACTTCCTAAACAAATTTCATTTCGAAAAAAAATGAAACTATGTTAAAAAAGGTGTCCTTTTCTCTGCTCCCTCTCAATTTTTCCACTTTCGGGCAAAAAAACGGAAAATATGAGCCCCTTGAGAAGAACTGGCTCATGCAACAACACAACACACCAAAAAAATCGAGAGAGAGAAAGAGTGAGAGAGTTTAGAGATGTTAGAGAAGGGAAAAATGACGTTTTACGGCTAGAAGACGATGTAGAAAAAAAGAAGAAATCACTCCTTTTTCTGACAAATGACACATGAGTATATGGCAAAAAAAAGAAGAAGAAAATTGAGGGAAAAAAACGACGAAAAAAATGAGTAGAAATAATTAGGACGAAAATAAAAGGATTATGAGCAACAACGAGTTGTTGTTTTTTTCGCCGGAAATTTGAGGGACTTTTTTAGGGAAAAAGAAATAAGAGGGTTTATGAGCTGGAACTACTGAACTTTTGGAATTTCAGTTCAAATTAATTACGGGATTTTTATGGTTTCTGATGTTGAAGCTCAAAAGATTCTCATGGTTTTCTTGAAGTTTTGTGCCGAATAAATTTCCGCCAGAATTTTTGAAACATTTGTTCTTTGAGATTTGCTAGATTTTCAGAAAACATCTCTAGAGTTTTCAATTAATTCTAACCACAAAAGGTTTTTCCAGACTTCTTGAAATTGTGAACGTGACTTTCAACCTTGAAAAATAAGCTAGATTTCTCAAAAACAAATTCAATTTTAGGAATTTATTCCGTTAAAATTTTTCTCAAGTTAAAAAAATTTTAAAGTCTTTGATCTCTTCTGAATTTTGTAAATGAAATTTTCATCCCACGCTTCGAAAATATTTACTTGTTGCTCATGTTAATTGTGTTTTCCAATTTCAAAAATTGAACTTTCTCATTATTGATTGTTCCGAAATTTCTTGACCTCCTATCAAGATTTTTGCTCGTTTTGAAAACGTATCAAATTTCCCTTCTTTTTTCTTCTTTTTCATCATTTCTCAGTTCAAAACACACTCACTCACGAGAAAAAAATGAAAAAAAAACCCAATTAAAATATTTCTTCTATTTAACAAAAATTTTCTCTCCCAAGAACAAAAATATGTTATACATACAACACATACACATAGTTTTTTTCGTCCTGATTGACGTCACTGAGGTCCAGGTCCAATCGAAAATATATCAATATCTGGCTGGGCACACAGTGTAACACTAGATTTTTCTCTTTCATCTCAAAATGAATGAAGATAGAAAAAAATGAGAGAGAGAACCCCATAAATGTTGCAATTTTGTGTCGTGTTGAGTGAGCTCAGCCAATTTTTTCGCTGTTGTTGTTGGCACAAAAAATGAGCAGAGATTTTCATCATGGAAAACTAAGGGATTCGGAAATTCAGAATTTGGGAATTAATTTTTTATAAGAAAAAATTACAATTAATATTTAATATTCTGTTCTGAACAAGGTAGATCAAAAATTATAAAAGTTTTTTGTGCTTCTTCTTTTTTTTTACCTCATCCAAGAAAAAAACAGTTGTTCAATCAATTTATATTTATATAAGTTGATATCTTCTATCTTTTTCTATCAACCAACACAAAAATAAATATTGGAAGGGGTTCCTGAAAACTTTTTTTTGTTTTGTTCTCCAAAAATTAAATTAAAACGAAGAACATTTTTTATCACACTTTTTTCTACATAATGTCATGAACAAATTCATGTTATCAGTTCGATTTTTGTGTGCTCCGAGAGCAGACCAACAAAAGTTTCTATTTGCAAGCAAATTTTTCGCATTTATTCACTCATTCTATAGAAAAATATTGGAATTATGATTGTGACAACTCCGACTTCGCAGCATTTTAGATCGATATTTTTTGTTGATGACACCGTGATGTGAGTTGGAAATTTTTTTAGTTGAGAAAAAAGTAATTTTAGATATTACGTGGCAAATGTTATAAATGTTTTTTGTCATTAAAAAACTTGAAAATTTTTATAAGTATCTCTGAATTTTTTTTTGCAAAAAAATTCACTAAATTTGATATTTAAAAATTTTGGAATCCGACAAAACTATAGAGCATTCTTAATATCGTAATATTTTGAAACAGTGAATGTTTTCTTTCAAAAAATGTTTGTTGAAATTTTTAAAAACTGGTTGAACTTAAATTCTAGAAAATTGCAGTCTTGAAAATTGTAGTGCAATTTCAGTTACGTGAAAAAATATATCCTTCGAAAATAAATAATTTATGAAAGTTCAAAAAACTTGAAAAAAACACTATATTTTTTGAATGACGTGTCTGATTTCAAAAAAGTATTTGATGATGATCTCCTTTTTCTACAGTACTCTCTATCATTCAAAGATTTTCTGACCTTTTGCAATTTTTCCTTTTTTCTTTTTCTTTTTTTGCTGCCATTTGACCGACTTCCGGTCATTTTTTGTATTATCAACACATACATCTCTAGTCGCTTTTCCTTGTCGCTGCTATCATTGTTTTTTTTGCAAAAAAGAAAGAACTGCGCAATTTTTCATATCAAACGATCATTTTCTAGCCCTATAAACCTATATTTTTACCTATATTTTATTTTCTAACCAATTTTTCAACAAAATAATGAACCCATCATCGTCCGGGTAAGCATTATTTATTTTTAATTAATTCCGAACCTATTGTTCCTCTTTTTCATTTTGAAATTCAACTTTTTTGAGCGGAGAACCTTTGGTATTTTTATCATGTGTTAATCACATGCAATATTTTTCTTTTGTGTTTCAATGAGGTTTTGACAACAAAAAAGCTTGTATTTTTTTGGGGCGATGGAATTATTTTTCCTAGAAAAATATGAAATTGACTGACTGCCAGGTGAAATTCAATTATTGGAAATATTTTTATTTTGCGGTTTTTAGTTTTTCTAAGAGCCTAGAGCTTATGTTTTAGTTTGCATGCAAAAGAATTTTTCATCTTGACAATTTTGAAATTTATTCTAATTTTAATTTTGAAAATTTGCTGTTTCAAAAATTTTGTACTATAAAAAGTTTTATCTGATAAATTTCAATTGTTAAGTTGATTTTGAATGTCAAAATTATAAATTTAATAAAATCAACTTTAGATTTAGATTTTCTGGAAACCCAACGGTAAATTTTCATCATTGACATCAGAGAAAAAACTTTTAAAAATATTAAAATTTCATTTGCAATGGGGAAATTTTAATTTCTCCAGCAATTTTCGCTGCCTAATCTCCAAGAAAGCAGGTTTCTTTCTTGAAAAAATATTGGAAATTTAAATGAAGGTTCGTTAGATTTTAGAACTTCTTTTTCAATAAAATTATTCAAATTCAGATTTAAGAAAACTCGGGTACAATTGAAAATAAATTTAAAAAATTCCAGATTTTTTAAAATCAAAAATTATTTTCAAAAATCTGAAACTTCATCAATTTTCTCTGAATTTTTTCTAAAAAACGTTGTGTTTATCTGTGTCTTTCGGGATAAAAAGTGATTAGCCTCTTTAAAATGCAAAAACAATAATAATAATAATATCTTCCGAAATCCTACTTCTTTCTTCGTTTTTCATTTTTTTTGCTTTTTTCTCGAAAACACATTGATTAGCAGCTTCTTCTTCTTCGTTCGTTCGTTCTTACATTTAGTCTCGCCCCTTTTTCGTCTTTTTGTCTTTTTCCACTCTTTTTTCCTTGATGTGTTCCTTTTTTTGCCATCCATCTATCCATCATCAAGTATTATTCCTCGTTTTTCTAAATTTTTCCAAAACAAAAAAAAACAACAATAATTAAAAGTCTTTTGGTTTTCTCAAGATTTTTAGTTGTCTGTTGGTTGTTTTTTTGGAAAAACTTAGTCTAATTCAATTAGCCTAACTTAGTTATGGATAATAATGATGTGATAAATGAGAATCTACCAATTCCACAACATCGACATCCAAGTGACACACCTTCTTGTTTTGGCTCATTTAAAAGCCTGTTTTTTCGAGCAAAATCTGGGAATAAGTGAGTTTTTCTGGTTTGATTTGGCCAATTTTTAGATTCGAAAAATATTTTTATTAGGATAAATAATCTAAGGAAATAATATATTCAAAAAAAATGAATGAGAAAATGAGAGTGAGAACTGAGATTGAAAGATCACTGAAAGATTTATTTGGATGTAGTTTGGTGGAGAGTGCCACGTGGCATTTTGTAGTTTACTATTTTTCTAGAAATCACGTGTTATTGAAGCTGAATTGAAATTTGATCCAAAAAAAACTGGAAATATTTATCGAAGGCTAAAATTCAAAAAAAAAATCTGTTATTAAAATTTTCAAAGATTTATTTTTTTGAAATATGAGTTCACATTTGAAGCCAAGTTTTTTCGAGACATTTTTAAAAGTAAATTGCTTTTTTTCTCAAAAGTTCTATGTTTTTTGAAGATTTATTTCAAAACAAAATTTTAAAAATTTCCTAATGTTCCTTAAAGAAAATGTCTATATCAGTTCTGAAAATTATTTCATCTCAACTTCAAATTTTTTTTTCAGAAATCTATTTCATCTGAAAGTCATATTTCTCTAAAATCCGAAATAACTCTAAAAAATATTTTCCTGATCCACATTCTCCAAAAATTAAAGGGGATTTTTTGAATGAATCAAAAAACATATCGTGTTCACCGCTCCTCACACAAAAAACCACACACTTCTTCGTATTTATTTACTATGTTGGTGCGAACCAGTTCAGTTCAATTCAATTCAATTCAAAAATCCGTTTTTCTTCAAAAAGCAAACACACAAAAAATCTGACCTCGATTATTTGTCAACCTGTATATACATATACAAATAAAAATATAATATTTTATATTGATATATTCAAAAAGCCGTGTGTCGCGTCGCCGTCGCCGCGTCGCACAACAATTCAATCAAAAAACTACGTCACACAGTATACACATTGATATTTCACGTAACTTTGTTGTGTTTTCCCTTCTTCTCTTTCTTCTTCACTCATTTTTCGCGCCCCGCCGGTAAATAAACCACCGACACCCGAACGAACTCTTCTTACTTCTTTCTTTTTTTCTCACACAACCGTGTGTGACGCGTTTTTTCTGGTTGTCATTTGCAAGTTCAAGAAAATTGAGAAAATTCAATCCGCCAACTTTTTTTCCGCCGATTTTTGGGTCACTGAAACGGTCAGAAAATCGTCGAGAAGGTTCGTATCATTTTTTTATTATTAAGGGAAGAAGGGATACTGTAGATCTGGTCTTGAAATTTTTTTTTTTTTTAACCTTCGGAAATTGTGCCACGTGGAATTCAGTTGTACTTGTATTTATCTTGTTTGAACAAATGCCACGTGGCTTTTGGTTTTTTTTTTCAATTGTTCTCTGGACTTCGTGTAGTACTGTAATTTTGAATAGTTTTTTTTTTTGAAAAAAAAAACTTTTTTTTTACTAATCCTATATTTCTGAACTTTTTTTTTTGTTGAAAAAAATTGGATTTTGTTTTTTTTTCTGGAAAAAGATTAGAAAATACTGATTTTCTGAATATTCGGAAGGTGTCACGTGGCTTTTTCGAAATTTGTTGTTTTTTCAATTATTTGAACATGAATAACATTGTTTTCACTGGAGTTAGAATTTTTGAAGGCCACGTGGCATTTTAAAAATTAAAAAATGTTGTGTAGTTTCTTTCAGAAAAAATAGGTTAAAAAATTGATCTGTTTAAATATGAATAATTTTTATTCAAAAAAATCATATAATCAGAATTCTTGTTCAAGAACTACATAGTTTGAACATAATTCAGCTTGTATCTGATTCTCAAGTAAAATTCCCCTAATTCTATCCCCAACTATTTTTTTCAACAATCAATAAATTCTCCCCCAGACATTTTCCAACAAAAAAACTCTTTCCAATCCTGTTGTCAACAACCCATCCAAACTGATTTGTTTTTCCCATGTCACCTCAAATCTGCACTTTTTCCTCCCAACTCAACTCATTCATTCATTCATTTATATAGCTATGTAAACCATGAATAAAAAAGTGCATAGACGATTTCCTGTGACTCCGGAAATTGTTGAGTTTTTTTTGTTGAGAACCAAAAAATGCTCTTTTTTCGTCGGAGCTCATTTTGATTTGGCTCAGCAGTTTGAGCTTATAAGCTGATGTGAGCTGAAATCTTGTCTGAAAATCTATGAGAATAATATTCATCCCCCAGAAGAAGCTCCAAGGGAGAAGGGGATAATAAAATCTCGCGCAGAACACAAAGAGAAAAAAAAATTGTGGGCGGGGCTCTCGTGTTTTTGCCTCACTTTTTCTTCTTCTTTTTTTTTTCGTTGCACAACACACAACAACTCATCTCTTCTATTCTATTCTATTTTATTCTATTCTTTTTTCCAACCACAAAAAATAGTTTTTATTTTCTGTCACCAAATACTTTTGGAACAAAACTAACATAAAATGTCGATTCCACTATCTTCGAATAATAATAATCATCGAAGTAGTGTTCGTAGGAAATTTGGCGAATCTGGATATAATATTAGGTCTGATTGATTAATTGATTTAGAGGGAGGGGGAGCAATATTTTGAACTGGAAAACGGGGAGAATCAGTTGAAAATATGAATCTGAAAATTGTTTTTTGCAGACACGGCGACGATTTGATTGTTACACCGTTTGCACAATTATTAGCCAGTTTGCGAAACGTGCGATCAAATCTGATTTCGATATCGAATATTCAGGTAGGCAATTTCTTGATTGAGGGTCTTCAAGGCTTTGGGTGGGTTCCAATAGAGTTATCAAGAAAAATTTATGTTTTATGGGTTTTTAAAATAATACATGGTTCTGAGGGTCACACAGCTAATTTGGGAAATCACAGGGCTTTTCAGAAAACGTAGGGTTTTGAGAACAATACAGATTGACTTGCCATTACTATCTTTTCAAACATTTTTTTCTGGTAGACACTGTTTTTTTCTGAACTTCTCCCCATTTAAACCTTGAACTTCTTCAAACCCCATATGATCGTATTTTTTCCGAACACAATTTTTTCTGCAAAAAATTTGCATATCGATTTTGATTTTGAATATTATAATTCAATATTGTAGTTTGTTTCACCGAGCTGTTTTCTCTTTTTCCGATCAGAGCAGCACGGAAAAAATAACAAAATTAGACGGCAATTGAAATTCTTCTCATATTTCCTTCCTCAATTTTTTTCCATGAAAATAAACAATTTTTTTTCTTTTTCGACATCTGGAGGACCCCCTAATCTATTTTGAAATACGAGAACAAGTTCCACATCTATCTCCAGATGTGATGAAAAAAAAGTCGCTGAAAAAAAGCCTGTCGCTATTCATTTGCATCATTACTAGCCTAGCATAGTCAAGGCAAGGCTGTAAACAAGCAAAAGCAAAAAAAACATATATAGATTCTGAAAAAAATAATTAGCACATATATACATACAGGTTCCTTTTTTCCTCATTTTTCCAGTTCACTGATTCTAGTTCGATTTGAAAATAAGAGAAAAACATGGTGGATATGAGTTTTTGTGTATATTGCAACTTTTTCTCGTGCTCTCTCTCTTGAGATGAAAAAAAATGGAGCAAAATACGAGGAATTCTTTTTTTGAAGAATGGTCTCGAGGGGAACAACGGGGTTTTTGGACCAAGCAAGAAAATGTGAAAATATTTTGGAAGAAAAATGAGCCGTAAAATTATCTGGATCGATTTTAGAAGAAAAAACTGAAGAATTAAAATTGAATTCTCACGTTAGGATGACACGTGGCAATTTTGAATTTTCAGAAAATCTTTGAACTGAAGAATTAACTTTTTCCAAGTCCAACATAAGTTCGAAATCTCAAAATAAAGTTGGAAACCCATGTGGCCAATATTCTGATTCTCACTTTTAGCGCTAAAAATTCCGTAAAATTTGGAATTCAAACTCCTCAACTCTACCTGAAATCTCAAGGTTAAAAAATTAATTTTTTATTCCAACTCCAATTGTATTTTTTTAGAACAGCGACGATAGTCGTCATGCGAATCGAAGCGCAAAACGGCCTCCATTGCACAATACTCCGCTACCTGAAAATGTTGTACAATGTGCACACGAGACATTGGGTAAGTTCTTCTGAAAACAATTATGACGTTTTTATTTTTTATTTTCCAATACTTTTCTCACTTTTAATGGAGTTTTCGTGATTTAAAAGTTTTTCCTATAAATACCCACGCAAAATCCATATTTTTCCATTTCATTTTTCTTTTTCTCATTTTTCGAAAAAAAATTCTGTAGACTAACGAAAAAAATAAATTTTGTATCTGGTTTCTAATAGAAACCGACGCTAAAAACAAATTTTTTTCGTTTTGGTTTTTTTTCGACAAAAAATTTCGGGGGACTTTTTTTCTCAAAAAAAAACGAAAGAAAACTTTTTGCCCAAACAAAAATCATGTGAATTGATACAAAAATCGTGAGGAATTGAATTGAAATGTATTTATATTTATTCAATGCAAAATCAATACAAAAAGTGTTACTTTACTTTCAATTTGTTGTTTTTTTTGCAGAAGAACTCGATTGGTGTCTCGATCAATTAGAAACAATTCAAACGCATCGATCGGTTTCGGAAATGGCCAGTTCAAAGGTGAGTTAGGCTAACAAACAAAAAAAAATGTGAGTGAATCTGGGAGTTGTGAGCAAAAATCAAATGTGTTTCCATCTTGGCCATCTGATCTTTTTCTTAGAATCTAGAATTTCATATAAAAAATAGCTGCTTGAAAATAACTTCTTCAAAGAGTTCTTTTGAACTTTTTCCCATCCTGGAAAGAAAATCAATAAGAGCCTCAGATGGTTAAGAAAATTTGATTTCGTCTATGTCTTCCTAGGAAATTCGTTTATGTGCACTTTTCTCTTTCCAGAAAATAAAAGGAATTCGGCTAAAGAATGAATACGTGGGGAAATGAAGGCAGGTGAAAAAACATGTCTGAAATAATTTAGTTTTACCCCAAAAATTATTTTGGCTTCGCTTGATAAATATCGTAAGAAGTTAAGTTATCTTATCTTTTTTGACGAGGCAAAGTTTTTGAAAAACAAAATCATAAATCAAGTCAATTTTCAAAAATCACTTTAAATTTAGAATTATTGAATTTAATTTTAAGTTTAAATTTGAATTTGTGGATTCCAAAAAAAAATTGTTGGAATCGTGCCAGGAATCGAGGCCACTGTAATTCATCATCAAATTATATAGAGACATAATGATAAGATAGGCTTTTTCTCTCTTCTTTCAATTCGTGGGTTTTGCAAAGCGGTCTTTTATTGTATCAACTATATAACTTCCGGTGACTGCGCGATGTAGATACAATAAGTGTCATCATTTGTTATAGACATTATGAGTGAGTGATTCGATATCAGAAGAAGAATTGAAAAAAAACGAGAAGATAGAGGGGTTAGAGAAAATATGGCGGAGAGAAGAGAGGACAGTTTTTTGAAATTTGTTGAAACGAGACGCGTTCTGGTTTTTGTTGGTTTTTTCTCGCTGTTTCGCGTAAAGAACATGATGAGTACTGTAGATCAGATGATTGTTGTTCGGTGTAGACCGTGTAGCAGCGAAATAGTGTTCACTTCTCAAAAAGTTTCATTTCTGAAGTACACCTTCGTTAGATTCTCTTAAATTTGGATCTCATTCTTAAAATCACTTCTGAGCAGTTAGGATTACTCATGTTAAACATTTAGGATTTTCAGAATAGGATAAAGTCGTCATAATTTAATCCCCAAGGATTTTCAGATTTTAAAATGCAAATGTTTCTTGGGATTTTTCTAATCAGATTATGATTACTCATATTAAACTTTTGAAACGTTGAACTAAACATTGTAGAAATTTAGTGATTTTAAGATGAAAATCCAGGGCGCAGAATCCACGTGGAAATATTTTTTCTGGAAAATCAAACATTTCCTGTTTCAATTAATTAATCAATGGAGCCGACAAAGTTTACTGTAGTCGTTTTTTCTTCCACGGTTCCAAAAATTTCCAGATTTAAAAAATATATTGCTGAAAAATCATAACTTTCCAATAAGGCCTGAAAATCCACGGCAAAATTTATAATTATGTCTCCAGTAATTAATAATTTCAAAAAATTCTTGCCATAAAAATCCACGTGTTTTTTCCACTAAAATTTGCTCTAAAACATCTACTTTGGTTTTTGGATTTGAAGTTTCACGCCACATATGTTTCATGAGCTCTGTTCCTGTCTGAATCCAAAATTTTGTAAAACAAATAGTTTTTCATTGCAATCAACTTATCATTTATCATTACTCATGTCAAACTTTAAAACATATAAATCGCTCACTTTTTTTTTCTTTCTTTCAACATAATTTCAATGTCTCCGAACTGGTATCTCTTTGTGTTTCCGGTCAAAAAAAGATAGCAAAACTAAACTAGAAAATGAATGAAAATGATCCAATTTTCATTCTTCTAAAATGTATTACATTTAATGTTGTTTTTTGCAGTTCCGCAAAATGCTCAATAAAGAGCTGTCGCATTTTGCCGAATCGTCGAAATCTGGAACTCAAGTCTCGAAATTCTTGATCACAACTTATATGGATAAAGAGGAAGATGAACCGTCGATTGAAATCGAAGTTCCTGCAGAGGTCAGTTTTCTTTTGCAAAAAAATGAAATTCAAAAGTTTGAAGTTTGAAACCACTTCCGTTGCAACAATCTTTGTTTTTGTTATTATTGTTGTTTTTTTTGTGGTTAGCGTAATCGACCACAACAAAAAAATTTGTTACACATACAAATAAAAATCCCACCCCTTTATCATCATCATAATATTATCTTCTTCTTCTTCTTTTAAAACCAGTAGTGATTGCGACGAGAATTTTTTGCTTCCTAAATATTTCTTTTTTTTTCTTCTAAATATTCAATATGAACGCTCTTAAATTTGAAAATTCAATATCTCCATCCAATTCTGACAAAGAGAATCAGGAGGAGGAAGATGATAATAATAACAATAATATTTTATATGATGATGAAGAGGTTGGCACTATTTTTGGTTTCCTCCAGAAATCTCATATTTCTTTTTTTCAGGGACCATCAACATCGTCACCCCAAATGACATTGTCTTTGTTGAAAAAAGCACAGACGGCGGCGATGAATCGGATTTCTGGCGTTCGCAAATTGCGAGCACCATCGCACGAAGGACATTTACCTGAATATGGTGTCAATTGTGCGAAAGAGATTGCCGTTTATATGCAGAGAGTTAGTTTTTTTCTAAAATAATTTGTGATTCGGGGACAGCAATAGCGCTCTATTGAACAGATAATTTGAAATTAATTTTTTCAAATAAATTTTATTATCAAAACCTACTTAGCTTAAGTCTGGAAATGAGTTATGACGTGGCACAAAAATGTCAGTTTCAGCTACCGAATTCCCATTTTTGTATTATCCGAAAAAAACCAGGAAATTGAATTTGATTTCAAACCTTTGACCTTCTAATCTAGAAAACGGTATCATTATTATCAAAAACCGCTAGACAGTTTTTTTCTAGAAATTTACGTTTTACGATGATTGATGATTTTATTTATTTTTAAAGAAATTTTTGAAGCACGTGAGATAGTTTTCATCATACTTATATGTATTTCGTTTTTACAGATTGATGATTGGGGTCCAGATGTGTTCAAAATCGATGAACTTTCCAAAAATCATTCGCTAACAGTCATCACGTATACACTTTTACGAAAACGCGGGTTGATCAAAGCGTTCGAAATTCCCAGCTCAACACTTGTCACATATTTGCTCAATCTTGAACATCATTATCGAAACAATCATTATCATAATTTTATTCATGCTGCAGATGTTGCACAATCGATGCATGTTTTATTGACTTCTCCAGTTCTAGCCGAAGTTTTCACAGATCTCGAAGTTCTGGCTGCTATTTTTGCTGGCGCAATTCATGATGTTGATCATCCTGGATATACAAATCAATATTTGATCAACTCAAATAATGAGCTAGCAATTATGTATAATGATGAAAGTGTTTTGGAACAACATCATTTAGCGGTTGCATTTAAATTGTTGCAAGATTCAAATTGCGATTTTTTGATGAATATGTCAAAGAAACAACGAGTACAATTCCGAAAAATAGTGATAGATATGGTATTGGCAACTGATATGTCAAAACATATGTCACTTTTAGCTGATTTGAAAACAATGGTTGAAGCGAAAAAAGTGGCTGGAAATAATGTTATTGTTTTAGATAAATATAATGATAAGATACAGGTTTGTAATTATTTTGAGCTAATTTATTCTGTATTATTGATTTTGTGATTTGTAGGTATTGCAATCAATGATTCATTTGGCTGATTTGTCAAATCCAACAAAACCAATCGAACTTTATCAACAATGGAATCAGCGAATTATGGAAGAATATTGGAGACAAGGTGATAAGGAAAAAGAATTAGGACTTGAGATTTCACCAATGTGTGATCGAGGAAATGTGACTATTGAAAAATCACAGGTTAGTTAATTAGAACTTTGAAAATGTTTGCAAAAAATAAAATTAATCATCAACAAATTATTTGTTCTTTTAAAAAGATCAACAATTTCCGGCGGATGTTAACCAATAAAAAAGAGAAGAAACACATACAAAAAACGAGATACGCTAATTTGATAAGGCCAAAAAAAAAGAAAAACGAAAATTATGTGATTTTTAATGAGACAATAATTTATGTATTTATTTTTTGCAGGTCGGTTTCATCGATTATATTGTTCATCCGCTTTATGAAACATGGGCGGATTTAGTTTATCCGGATGCTCAAAATATATTAGATCAATTGGAAGAAAATCGTGAATGGTATCAATCTCGAATACCGGAAGAACCTGAAACTGCACGAACTGTTGAAGAAGTTGAAGAAGGCGAAGATTTATAGGGATTTTCCAAATTTTTATTCAAATTTTTTGTACACAATCAATCAAAAACACAAACAAAAAGCTTTATGAACTGAAACTGAACTGAATTATTTTTAAAAAACTTGCCAAATTTTCTTTTTATTTACAAATTTTACGAGAAATCTCATTTTCTCGCTTTTTCTCGGGTCTTATCTTCTTTACCATTAGTACTGTAATTCCAAATTTTTCCCTTTTATTTTTCTCTTTAATTAAAACTTTAACTTTTCTTTATCCCGAATAGTTAGAATCCGGTGCTTCTTTCTTTCTATCTGTACTATTTTTGCATTTTTTGTCGCTTTAATTTTTCAATTCACAAAGTGTTTTATAAATTTGGATTTTCTGAATAAACATATTTCTATATTTGGTTTTGTTGAAGAGAAAGAAAAATTAAAATTTGCAGTTTTAGGAATACTGTAACATGTCCAAAATTAAGATGTTTCAGCTGGAAGCTGATAAATTGAGGGGAACAAAACTGCAGAATTCATCTGAAAAATCAATAAATGCGATTGAAATCTTGAAAATTCTTGTAAATCTATAGTACCTTCTTTCACTGAAAATAATCAAATCAACAGTAATCTATGATAGAAAAGAGTTTATTCAGAAATGGCTTATATTTGTAGACGAATTTAATTCAATTCTTTTTCAAATGCATAATGTGATTCAATATTTTCACCAACTGGTCGAAAAGCACTCAAACCACGATATTTTTCAGCAATTTGAGATGAATTCATTTTTGATTTTGGTGAAATTGGAAATGAAAGACATCCCATTGGTGGACCTATCTGAAATAAATATAGATTTTTTAAGGCTTAAAGGCTGAAGCTTAAAAATTGTTACCTTAGCAGTATGAACTGACAAATTATTAAAAGTCGATGAATCATTTGTTGTTGATGTAATAGTTGGAGTATGTGATGTTGCAAGTTGAGATTTTTGAGAATTATTAACTTGCTCAAAATCTTCATTTTTCATTACCAAATATTTGGATTGTTCGTAGTTTGAACCCTTTATCCAATTTGTTCCGTTCAAGCGAAAAACATTCGAAGTCGCAGTCACACTACGCATTTTTGGCAACTGTAAAAATATCTGATTTCAAACCATCACCAGTAAAATGCCACGTGGATTTCTACCCAAATTTAATCACATGACACATGGCAAAACTACAGTACTCACCATATGATCTTGTCTTGTGTGAACTAAATCACATATTTTCGGAGCCGAAAATCCAGGCAAATAATCATGTGATTCTTCATGCTCAAAATCAATAACATTTTCAATTTCTTGTTCTTTTTTTGCCAACCATGCCCAATCTGATCCACCTTTTTCTTCTTTTTCTTTCAAATTTTTAATTTGTTCTTGAACTTTTGTCAATTTCTTATTATTTGGTGCCATCATTTGTGATAATTGGCGTAATTGTTGACGATAAATTGGTGGCAATTCTTCGCCAACAAATCCACAATAATCCGAAACTGGCTCTTTTTGTTCTTTTTGTTGAATTGGAAGAGAAACAGCTTCAAATGCAGATCCTCGAATATTTTCAACCGAATTCGCAATTTCTTCATTTATATCCAGATAATGGCTTTCAACAAATGTCGTCATTTTGAGATTTTTATGAGCGAAAATAAAATTAAGGCAATTCCTAATTGAAGATTTGTCTGAAATGATCAAAACATCTTCGACGCGCTCGTTTTTTCTCGAAAAAAAACAATCAGAAAAAACCAGGTCACGTCTAATATTTTTGAGATGAAAATGAATATTTCAGAAAAAATTAAAATTTTTCAAAACGTGACATACAAAAATAATTCCACAAAAAAATCGAAATAAAAGGCGAAATTCCGAGATCAAATCCATTTTAGAATTGTACCAGAGGATAAAATGAATAGTGAATCGGAAGTTAAAAACCAAGGTGGATCAAATCAAGATGGAAAACGTTTATTCAAATTCTCTTTCAATGTCAACAAAAAAACGGATGATCAAACTGAAATGACTGGCGAATTCGTAGGAGATGTTCAACATTTTTGTGATTACGATGAAGCCGTCGCAAAATGTTTTCAACTTCTTGAAGCTTGTTATATTCCAGTTGGTGGAAAACCATCAAAAGATGATGAAGATTCATTTCAAAAAATGGCCACAGCTTTACATGATTTCAAAACACATTTTCAAAATACACCACATTCACAAGCTTTGGATACATTTGATTCGAATATGAAAGCAGCGTGTGCGGCGAGAAAAGCACACCAAAAAGATCAAAAATATCAATTGAGACATTTGAGAAGATTTCATGTTGATGATTTTCAAAAATTTCTTACACAACGAAAAGCTTTTGATGAGTAAGTTTTGAATTTTCTTTACATGAGAAAATTATTTTCCTTAATTAGATCTCGCAAGCGAATGGATCAAGCAAAAGTTGATGTTCGAGATGCGAAAACAACTGCACAAATTGAGAAAAAAGCAATTTGTTATCAAATGGCTGTTGATGATTTTGATGCGCAAACTGAACTTGTCAGTTTTTCCCTAATTTCATTTTTCCAGAATCATTTCACTTTTTTCAGCTAATCAAATTGATTGATGGTTTGCCAAAAATCAAACAAACCAATTGTCACGATATTTTGATGTTTTTGACAAAACACAAAGTTTATCATGCTGATATGGTTCGCTTCTATAAAATCACATGATTTTGAATCTGAATCTTGAATAAATATTTTGGTGGAAATTTTTGTTCAAAAAAACTTCAGATATTTGAAATTTCACAATGAGAAAGGTATTTTGAACTGCAAAGGGTACTGTAAGTTAGAACTTTAATAATTACTACTGTAATCACAACTAATTGTAAAACGGGTACAATTTTCGAAAGAAATGGAACTAGGTATATTTGCCAACCACAAATTTTTATTTTTACAAATCGAGTGCAATATTGCATTAAAAAATAAGTTGTTACATATTTCGAGTTCTGTTGAATTTAAGCTTTCCACTTTTTGATAACAGCCGATGGTGCTTTTCCACTTTGAACATCAGATGTTCCATTTTTTGTGATCTCAGTTCCATCAGCTTTGACTACAATAAGAGTTGGAATGCTACGAACTCCATATTTCTGTTTGAGATCTCTGAAAATAAAAAGTCTTAGAATTTCTTCATTTAAAGGGACATACTTCACAGTATCACTTCCAAATGGAATATGATACCAATCTCCATGTGCTTCAGCCATATAAGCCTTCAAATCTGATTCAGAATGATCTAAAGATACGAAAATGATTTCCAAATCATCTTCAACTTCTCCATAGAAATCCTTAAGAATTGGTGTAAATGCACGGCATGGTGGACACCAATGAGCAGAAAAATAGAGGGCGATGACTTTGCCTTCGAGAGCTTTCGATGCTTCGGTCTTCGATTTGTCGCGTTTTTCGAGTTGAACACCGGCGAGGAACTGAAAAATTTGTGGAATTGAAGAGAAGCTAAATTTGATCAATGATCATTTCTAGATCAGTTTTTCGATTATTTTATTGAACATTTGGGCCGAAATCAAAAATTCGAAATAATCGTGGCAACAGCAATTTTTCAGTTTTTCAATAAACTTTTTAAATTGTAGCCTCACAATTTTCTTTGCCACGTCATATATATTTTTGTAATTTGGAAAAAAAACACTTTTGCAAAGGTTTGAGCAATTTTGAGATTATGTGAAAAAACGACCTTCAAAATTCTATTTTTCCAAACCGAGGCATATTTTTCTAGAAAAACTCACCTTTGGTGCCATTTTCTGAATTTCGGATTTTCCAAAATGATGATTTTCAAAAAAAAACTGAAAAATTTGAAGAAAAAATAGGTTCACGCGACGCGTTTTCTAAATATTTATTTTTTGAATTTTACTTCCTGTATGAGATTTTTGTAATTTCAATGAAGCTTAACATGATTTCCCAATCACAAGTTATTTATTTCCAAAAAGCGAGTGCAATATTGCAATATAAAAACATGAGAAGCATACATTTTTTGAAAGAAACATCAAATTTCGTTTTTTAGTTTACGATCTCCACTTCTTGATAACAGCCGATGGTGCTTTTCCACCTTGAACATCAGCTCTTCCATCCTTAGTGATTTCAGTTCCATCAGCCTTGACGACGATGAGAGCTGGAATTCCGCTAACTCCGTATTTTTGTGAGAGTTCTCTGAAAAATTGAAATGTATTGAGGTAAAAATATTAAAAAAGGGACATACTTGATAGTATCACTTCCAAATGGAATATGATACCAATCTCCATGTGCTTCAGCCATATAAGCCTTCAATTCGGATTCTGATCGATCCAAAGAAACAAAGATGATTTCCAAATCATCTTCAACTTCTCCATAGAAATCCTTAAGAATTGGTGTAAATGCACGGCATGGTGGACACCAATGAGCAGAAAAATAGAGGGCGATGACTTTGCCTTCAAGAGCTTCCGAAGCATCGACTTTGGTTTTGTCGTGTTTTTCGAGTTGAACACCGGCGAGGAACGACATTTTCGAGTTCTGCAAAATTCTTGAATTTTGATTGAGAGTGTGAATTTCAAGAAACGAACAGAAAAGAAGAGAAAGGCAGAGTAAAAAAAGAGAATAGAAAAATAATAATTGAAAACGTTTACAGTCAGTCTAAAAAAATGTCTACGAAAAGTATTATATTTTATATACATTTTTGTTGTCATGTGAACCAAAATATCTTCTAATAACAGACTCAAATAGTCGCGAACACTCTGACGTAAAAATGCACAGAAAAACTTTCTCTGGCCGCTTTGCAAAACTTTTTAAAACAACACATTTGCTCTATTTCTTTTTTTCTGGATCAGATTTTCGTTTCAAATCCAATATCGAAATTTACCAAGTAAAAAGTATCGGTTTTTATAAATCAAAGGATTCAAAAAATTAAAAATGAGGAACGGCATTTTCAAGTTCTGAAGGATTGTTTGGAAATTGAGTGGGAAATGGAATGAAAAATCGAATCCAACATAATAAGAAAATCAAAAAAAGCTGGAAAAAGCGGAATGTTAATGAAGCACTTTATGAGTTTCCGCATGCTTGTACCATTTCCCAACACAAAACATTTTTATTTTCGAAGAAAATATTTGATGGAAATTAAATTTTCATCAAAAAAAAGTACAACATTCAATTATTTTTAGAATGAAAAAAAGAAAGGAAATTTCCAGTTTCTCATATTTATGTGTTTTTTTCCTTCAATTTTTCTCGAAAAAAAATCGAAAAGAAATAAAATGTCTTATGTTTGTCTTTTTCTTTTCACATTTTTTCATATTATTTGTCGAAAAAAATGAAAAATAAAATTTGTATCAGAAAAATTCTTCAATTTTCCAATTTTTTCAGCAAAAAATTTCAGCTGTTCTTTTTTTCTTTTGAAAAACTAGTTTCTTTTTTCTTTATTTTTCGAAAAAAAAATTGAAAATAAAAATATTTTTGAGAATTCGAATTCAATTGTTTTTTTTTGTGAACAACTGAAAAAACTCGTATTTTCTCACAAAATTCCATTTTTCTACCAAAAAAAATATTTTTGGAAGAAGAAAAAAATTTTCGGAAAAAAAGGCAAATTTTAGTGTGTTGTCAACATGTCTCTTTTCTTCACTTTTTTGACGAAAAAATTTTTAATCGCATTTTTTGGCCTTTTTTATTGATTTCGACATTTTTAAAACATTTTTTTGGCTGTCGAGCGCTGGGAAATTTTTCATTTTTTTTTTGAATTTCGCAATTTTTTTTGAGAAACTTATGTTTTGCAGGCGCCGCGCTGAAATTTGTTGTCAAGGAGATTTTCAACCAAACTGGATAATGGAAAACTTTTTGGTGAGAATGAGAATGAAAAAAATAGGAAATAATTTTCAAAAATCGGGATTTCAGCATTTTCTGGAATTGGCAAATGAGGGAAAGAGAAAAATGGGAAGACCTCCGAAAATTGCACCATATTCACATTATGATGAGGTAGGTTTTTAAGAAATTAAAATTGGGATTTTTGAGATTCGGTTGGCAGAGGAAAAGCTTCAAGAGAGGGGAAATGGATCAGTGGAGGCGGTTAGGTACTTTTGATCTCAAGGTCACGGGTTCAGTTCCCGGTGCCGATAGATTTTCAGTTTCATATTTTCAGATATGTTAAAAAGTTATAATTTTCGGCCTGAAACAAAAAACTGCTCTACATGTTGTTTTCGTGTAGAAGCCTAAACCTAAAGATAATTTGTAGGCGGAGCTAATAAAACTTGGTGCGAAAACTTCGAAGAAAACTAATAAGAATTTTTTTTCGGTTGGCTGATTAAAACGCCGTGAAAATTGAGCTCAAAAATCAATTTTGTAAAATGCTGAAAGTAGCTAAAAATTAAAGTTCAGGTGGTTCAAAAAATCAGAAAAAAACATTGAATAAACTGGCTGCAAACGTAGAGATGTTTACAAATCAAAATTTCCTAATTTTGCAGTACAAACCATCGGATGTTGAATTCTTCATCTCGCTAATAGTCGGCCGCGAAAATCTCTACAATCCGTGCGACGAATTCAACGAGGATCGACAGAAAGCCTTCTACTTCATCGAGAAAAAATGCTCGCATTTTTTGGCGATGCGAAAAGGTCGAAATGCCGAAAAACTTTGGCTTAATTTGTTCACCAATTTCGAGAAAGAGTATAGGAATCGAACTCGGACAAGTTCGAGTTCGGAGCAACTGAGCACTGAAACTACCAGCACACCATTCCCATTTTATCGCTATATGGAATTTTTGATACCGTATATTGAGCGATTCGAAAATCAACAGTAAGTGAGAAAAATGGAGAAAGGGGAAAGGGGAAAATAGGGAAATGAAACTAAAAATGGTCTTCATTTCCAAATTCTTTTGGAAAAAGGAAACAATGACAAAAGAATTCTTCCATTCTTTTCAACAAAATTGGGGAATTTTTGAGAAGTGTCTTGAATTTCAAAAGGAAAAGGAACAAGAACGAAAGATCATTTCAGATTGGAAAAAATGAGATATTAAATATTTGGAACTCACTGGATCTAAAACAAAGGTTGACCGATAAAAAATTAAGAATCGATTCTGATAGACTACTAAATATATAGAATTGAAAAACACCAAAATAAAAATTGTTTTCCTTATTGTTAGGTGAAAATTCTTATCAAAATACAAACATTATTTCAAAGTTTGGAGCACCACATGTGTAAAAGTGCAACACATTAACAACTTTACGTATTTTCCTTATTTCAGAAATACAACAGTCAATACAAATGCACTTTTCCTAAATCTTCAATCAAATCTAACAGACGAAGAAGTGAATATCAAAAGACCACGAATAGATACAGCAGCACAAGAGGAGTGGTTCTTGAAAGTTCTCGAAACTGTCGCCGAAACTCAAAAATCGAAAATAGTTCCGATTCGTGAACCATCTCCTCCGCCAATTCCAACACGATCTATTGATCAACAAATTGTCAAAGAAGAAGTGCCAATTCCAGAAAAATATGCAGATATTATAACATGGATAACATCATATTTGGATTTAGTGCCAAATGACAAAATGATGTTAAGCAAGGTTCGATTATTTCAATTCATCGAAAGTGAAAAACAAAAAATCAAAGATAATATACCAATGACATTGTAATTACTGTTGATTTTAAGAAAATAAAGTTTTTGAAAATGAATGAACTGAGAGTTAGCTTATATACAAAAAATGTTTCATAATATTCAAAAGGATATTTGAAATATACGTGAACAAACATCGTACTTATTTAGATGGAAAAAACATAAGAAAAAACAAAAAAAATGACGACGAAAAACACGAAGAGAGCGCAGACAACAAAACATTGCAAGTAAACAACAACTTTTTGTGGCGCCAAAATGAAAATGAAAAACTCTTGATCGATTGCGAAATTGAGAAATGACTAACTTTGAACAAAAATATTGGAAAATGATCAAAAAAATGATGACAAACTATCATTTTCATGTTGTTTGTTGATAAGAACGGTTCCATGAAAATCGATCATGTGATACTTGTTTCAAAAAAAATTAAAAAATAGAAATTTTTCAAGAAAAACTGAAAGAGAACGGTTTCGGTAACGTCATATGAACACAAAACAATTCAAAAAATAATTGCTCCATTTTTGATGCATGTCAAAGCTGAATGTTTTCCGGAAATTTTAGAGAGCTGGAAATAGTGAACTTCTGGAATTCGGAGAAAAGGCCACTGTGTCTATGCCAAATATCGAAGCCTAGACAGCCTAGCTGTTAAATAGCTGTGCCTAGACTTTTCAAAGAAAAATTCTCGTGTATTAGGAATCTCGCACCCCAAATATATGAACATTATGAAATCAAGCTCTAGAAATCATGGAAGAATAAAAAGCTAACAAAATTATTATTTTTTTTCCTTTTTAAAATTATTTTTTTCTGACCCCCACAATATTTAGCATTTCTTTAATTTAAAAAAAGTGCAAAATCCCCTGATTTCACAATATTTCAACATCAAAAATTGATTATTTTAGTGAAATATTTCAAAAAAAACTTTGCAACAATTTCATAATGATAACAAGTGCAATAAATATTTTTGTTTTCAAAAAATAAGAATTGAAGAAGTATCAGCTCGAAATCTCAACGAACAATCAAAAATTCAATGAAAATACCCAAAGTGTCTTCTTTGATAAATTTTTATTCCAAAAAAAATCAAAGTTTGTGGAAACTTTCAAAAACCCATTAAAAATTAAAAACTTGAAAGAAAACTTCGATAATTTCAGGGAATTTGGGTTTTGTTCAGAAATATACATTTATTGCCGGTTCCAATTCACTTCTTTTCAACTTCTCCTCCATAAACCGATTCTTCCGAATAGGCAAAATAAAGGAACAAATCCTCCTCGTGATGGTCCTGCAAAAATTTCTCATTTCTATTAATTCAAGGCGGTCTTAAGTGTTTTACCTGGTATAATTGTCCCATAGTTGTCATGGTTTGTGGAATAACATTGTTGACAAAGAAGAAGATTCCGTCTTCTGGACGAAGTTTAATTCGATTCCGGATCAAACAATAGAATTGTCCGACGGTGAAATTAGAGTGAACCAAGTATTTGGCTTTGTCCAAATCAGGCAGACGAGATTTTGGAGACTTCTGGATGATCACCTGGAAAATATCTATCATAAAAATCAGCATTTTTGTCAGAAAAACTCACTGGAATACGATCTGGATGCTTCTTGCGGATATTTTCCGCGTCAGCACGTCGTTTTGCGAAGTCGTTCTCCTCTTTGTACGTCCACTTCATGTTTTTTCTCGATTCTGCAATTAATATGGTAAAGGAGTGATTCTTGAGGCGGAAATGGTATTATTCGGTTCCTGGGGGAGCGGAGCCAATTTTTATTTCATATTTCAGACTTGAACAAAACACCTAGCTTTTCGAATAGCTCTAGAAATCAAAAAGAAACTCAAAAATTGAGTGAAATTGTTCCTAAAGTTGGAGCAAAAAGAAACTTCCAATCAATTAATCGAGAACAGAAAACAAAAATTCAATGATAAAATAGAATTAACCTTGTAATTGTTGTCAATATAAATAAATGTTTCGGAAAATGATCTTATAAAATGACTGATTTTATAAACCGAACTATTTCACAATATTTCGAACGATATTGGTTTTTTATTCCGAAGGAACAAAAAACAATGGTTCTAATGGTTCGAAGAGTGAGAAATCTCACTTGGACCTTTTTTCTATTTTTCAGGTTTGTGCAATCTCAATTTGAGATTTCCTTGCAACCAGGAGCTACAAAGCCACTTTCAGAATAGGAAAATTAGGATTTTGGGGTGTGAATGGGATTTTTTAGGATAGTGTTCCCTTTTTCAAAAATTGAGCGAACCCCATCCAGACTAAAATCCTGGGATACTGATTTATGAATCTGATTATGAGTTCATACAAGTTAACCTGATGAAGTTTATAGAAGAAATGGGAATTGGAAATTTTACGTTAGAAATTTATCTTTATGTTAGACCACATTTTCAAAAACCCTTTCTTATTTTATTTCCAAAAAAATCCCTCACCTCAAAATTGTGATTCTGCAAATTATCACTCCATTTCCCGCCAAGTCTCCTTCCTCCATGCTGTTTGGTTTCAAAAAATGCATTTTTCTGAAAAAATTTTTCCAATATTTCAGGTGTTTAGTCAAAAAAAATAACAGCTCGGAATCACAACGAGCATCAAAAATCCAACAAAATTCTTGTCTTCTTTCACTTTATTCCGAAATACACAGCGATCCACAAAAAATGAAAGAAAACGATTTTTACAACGTATTTACACAAAATGATTGTTTTTTTAATAGGAAAAATTGAAATTAATAGAAAAAAGGAAAGTTGGGGGAACTTGCGAAAAAACCGTTACAAATTAAAAAGTTGAGAAATCATAGGGGGAAAACTTCGATATTTTTTTGGGGTTAGGACATGAGAAATTTTTCAATTTTTTTGTGTTGGGGTTTTTTGTACAGAAATATACATTTTTCGACGCTCGGCGGTTCCAGTTTACTTCTTTTCAACTTCTCCTCCATAAACCGATTCGTCCGAATAGGCAATGTAGAGGAACAAATCTTCCTCGTGATGGTCCTGGAAAAAATATGTTTTAGTTGAGAGAAATAAACCAGTTTTGTATTTTATAAATGAAAAACTTTCGATTTCCATTTTCAGTAGCAACACGTTTTTGTTTTGTTTTTGACAAAAACTTCAATTTAAGGAAAAAGGTGTTTTGTTTTACCTGGTATAATTGTCCCATAGTTGTCATGGTTTGTGGAATGACATTGTTGACAAAGAAGAAGAGCGCATCTTCTGGACGAAGTTGAATTCTCTTCCGGATCAAAAAGTAGAATTGTCCAACAGTTAAGTCAGATGGAACCAAGTACTTCTTTTTGTCCAAATCACGAAGACGCGATTTTGGTGCCTTCTCGACGATCACCTGGAAAATACGTGTTATAATAGAGCATATTATTGTTTTGCTCTTTTGTTCTTTTGAAACACCTGTTCTACCCGATGACGTCACACATCAAAGGGTTTTTAATTGGTGTTTGGATGCCAAATATAATTATATCTCTAGATAAACTCACTGGAATACGATCTGGGTACTTCTTGCGGATCTTGTCTCCTTCAGCACGTCTTTTCTCGAAGTTGTTCTCCTCTTTGTACGCCCACTTCATGTTGTTTTTTTCGGTTCTGCAATTAGATCATCAACAATTTTAACAACTAAAACAGCAAAATAATACTACAACTACTATAAGACGAAAAATAAACCATGTGATTGATAAGTTTTCACTTTTTATATTTCGAAATATTATTTGTTTGGTTGGTTATGAAAAATATCAAAAGTAAAGTGAGACAGCTGGGGCAAGGCGAGCAGATGTCTATATTTGTAAGAAAGAAGGAAAGAGCAGTGAGAGGAGGGGGTGGTGGTAATCGATATTTTGTTGTTGTTTGGGGCTTCCGTACTTCTACACCTGAGATTAGAAAGAAGCCTATAATTTTAATATGAGAGCACTATTAATTAGTCGGAAACATTTCGAATGCTATATTTTCCAACGAGCTAAAATATTAGAGCAAAAGGGAGAAAATTACGTCGTCTTTCGTCATAATGAAAAATGTTTTCGAAAAGGTCGTTTTGATCGGAATCACATGACCTTATGAACGAGAAAAAGCGAAGTTTATTGTGTAATAAACCAATCGAACACTGTCCTTAGGGAGACCTATAAACCATCCAAAGTCATGTGGAAAAAAATCAACTAAAACTAAAAATCAAACCGAAACGATTGTCTCGTTGCTACCAAACAAAACAGCCCAACTGACTGAAAACTTTCTAGAAATTGAAATGAAATGAGAAAAGATTGGAGACGAAAAGTAATATCAAGCAACACAACATGTGACTACACAAAAAGAATGGCAAGAAGACGAAAAAGAAAGCAGCTGAGACGAGAAAGAACATTGGAGAGAATGAAAGAAGTGGGGAGACGCTAGCGTGGGGCCCGCCAAAATCATGTGAGATGAAGAGACGTAGACGGTTAGAAAGTTTTGTTTGTTTGTGCGACGAGATTATGAAGGAGGAGTGGAGAGTTCAGACGAGACGAGAAAAAATGTGAAAAGGGGAGGAGAAGTGTATAGGTAAAGTTGAAAGGGGGAGGTGAAAAACGAGTTATTTCATTGACAGATCAGTCTAGAAGAGCATCGCAGATTTTTTTGTTTGATCGATTGATTTTTCGAGAAGAGAAGTTAGATAAACACATGGAAAAGACACGAACTTAACGAATTCATTCTAACGAAAATAAACTTTGGAAAACCTGCGACAAAGTGTTTTACTTACCCCATAACTCCTTTACGACTTGTTAGTATTCGCTAAGCGAAAAATCTGACCTGTAAATAAGCAATTCAAATGTTAGCAATGATATCACCACAAAAACACAAGGTTCTCACAACAATAACAAATGTATAAATGGATTGCGAAATCGGAAAAGGCGCACAATGACAAATATTCCCCGCGAGGAATACACATGTGATTCAAATCGCGACAAGACCCTAGCGCGGTGTTTGAATTTTTATTTTTGCTGATTTTCGAAATGTTTCTTACGTTTCCATAAATTTTGATAGACAAAGAAGAGAACAAAGAATCCCTAAATTGGAGCCATTTCGCAATATTTTAGACTTATTCATGTAATATTTGCTATTTAACTTTTAACTTTTACGAAGAGAGAAAAAGAAAAAAAAACAGCGAAAAAACAAAAATAAAAAACTCGTTTTTAACAGCTGATACGAGTGAAACCGTAGTTCTTCAATGGTCCCGAGACGATATTAGCGCGGGAATTCGAATTAGAATTTTTCTACACATCTTTTCTTTAGTTTTCCCGTATTTTTTATTGTGTCTCGTTACGATTTCTCTCCGTCGATTCAAATCTTGAATTTTGCTCATTTCCCTTTTTTCAGCCAAAATTATTGAGAATTCGGAGTGATGGAAGAAGCTGCACCAGTTTATGTTGTTTTGGCAGGTGCAGGTGATCATGCAGATTCACCAAAAGTTATTTATAAGTGAGTATTTAACTTTTTTTCAAAAAACGAAATAATTGATTTTTTCAGTTCCGTAAAAGACGTGGCGAAATTTGTAAACTCTCCAGAAGGAAAGAAAATCAACGCAAGGTTCAGGAAATTTGGAACTCCTCGAGAAGCTCAAAATTTTCTCGATTCGGGACCTTGTTTTTCAGCATGCGAAGAGAAAGAAAAGGAAAATGTAGCAGTTCCATCAGAACCAGTCAGTCCATTTTCGGGAGTCAATCGAATACAAATGAATGAGCTCAAAAAGTATATAGATAAAGGAGATATGGAAAATTTCATGCGATTAGTGGAGACAAATCCTCGATTTTTGGTGAATACCGGCGGCGATGTCGCTTCGATTGTTATGGAGGGATTTCGATACAATGCTCTTCATCTCGCTGCAAAAGCGGGACAAGCTGAAATCGTTGCCAAAGTTTTAAATCTCTGTAATTGTCTGAAATTTCTCACAAGATTATATGGAACGAGCGAAGAAGATGTTTTGCAACGCCGTGATTTTATAATCTCTTCATATTTGAATACTCCAGATAAAGGGAATTTCGATACACCTTTGCATTTTGCGACGAAATTTGGAAAATTGAATGTTGTCAAAGAATTGGCCAAATATCAATTACTTGATAAAACAGCAAAAAATAAGTGAGTTTATTATTTTTCAATAAAATTTTTAATGCTGATTTTTTTAGATCTGGAAAAACTGCACTGGAAGTCGCTTGTGAACGATATAATGAAAATGATAAGCAAGAAGTTTTGCGGGAAATTCAGTTAACTTTGCAAGGAATTTATGTGAATTTGACAAGAACACATGAAAATACGCGACCAAGTTTACGAATTTCGACAACTTCCCAAATCGACAGTGATATTTTGAAAATCTGCGCATCTGCTGGACCCTTTTTATCCTATGATTTGGCAGAAGAATTTGCTAAAAAATGGCAAATTTCTGGAAAAGAAATAAAGTTGCTTGATTTTGAGAAAGGATGGGAAAAAGTTGGACGAGTTTTAGCTGGAAATGAATGTGAGAATCGAGTTGGATGGGCTGAAACATGGCGATTTTTGGGAGAAAATGATGGATTGGTGAATTTGGAGACAGAAAATGGATTGAGAATTGTTGAGGAATTTCTATCGAAGCGAAAAACTTTGTTGAGGCAAGTAAATAAATTTCAAAAATAATAACAATTTTATTCATTCGGCTGATTGTGTTGGCATTTCTATGAGATGCCGATTATTGTTACTCTCGATTAGATTTTCGGCAAAACTGACTTTTGGAGCTGAAGATACGCTTGGAGAATTTGGGCGTTCACGAGTTTTGGATTGTTTTGTTGGTGTTAGGTTGTTGGCCAATGGGACATTTCTGGAAATATGGCGAAAGTTTGAAAGAGACAAAATTAGATTTTATAGCTGGGGTTTGACTTCTCCTAATCAAAATTAGGTTACCCGCCCAAAAAGAGTTCTACAATTTCTAAAGCCCTCTACTAACTCAGCGGCTTTTCCAATCGGAACATCAATAATTTCGGTATGTTGTTGTTCATCATCTCCATCTCTCGAAATATCTTTTTCTTTTTTCTCAAAAATCGGCGATTTCGATTTTCTCATTTTCCCCTTAATCATTTTAATCGAATCCATTGCATTTCTCGATGATTTCATACTTTTCGTCGATTTTCTCATATTATCTGGCGATTTTTGATTCGGTGTTCGAGCTGGCGATTTTTGTGTGCTCAAATGAATTGAGCCTGTTTCTTGGCTCGAATTATTTGAACTTGCCAATGAGTTTTTTGTTTTCTTGCTTGTACAAATTGGCAAAAATGTATATAATATTAGTAATTTTAGAAGTAGGCATACGGAAAATGAATGAAAATAATTTTGATCATCTGTTTGTGCAAGCATTTTATTATAAAATGATTTGAACTATTTTGAGTATTCAGAATAAATGAGGAGGTCACGTAGAATTTTGAAAAATCTATTTTCGCCGCCAAAAATCAAATTTTATTTCAATTTCAGATCTTCGCCCACAGTCCCAACTACGAACTCGAATTCAAATATCAAGAAAAATCGAGGCGGTTTGGACTTTTCGATTTTAGATGAATCGGAATCTGGTGTTGGAACATCAGAAAATAGTATATCTGAAAATGAAGAAGAAGATGATGAAGATGAGGATTTTTATGACACTGTGACCTCACCAGAAGAATTCGAATTAAATGATTCGCTTTCCGGATTGACTGAATATTTCGCGAAAAGTTTGAGTTTGAAATCACCACAAAGAGAAAATGCGAAGAAATTTGAGGAAGAAGAAGAAGAAGAGGAAGAAGAATTTTGCACACCTCCAGTTACACCACCGCCAACTTTTGTGCATTCTGATGTGCCGTGTAAAGTGAGTGAATTTATTGGAGGGGGGATAGAATTTTCATTTATGAATGGAACATCTATGAAATGACATCGATGAATTGGAAATTGTTCATATTTTTCTAGAGAAAACGGGAAGTGTTAGCAAGTATTGCCGGGAATGGCTCATCTATTGAAAATATTGAATTCTTGAAACAGTGACATTTTTCAGCTCGGTCATTCTTTTGAGTTTTGCTCCTTAAAGAGGGGAAGTAATGTTTTTAAAACATTATCCGAGAATTTATAAAACTTTGAAACAGTGAATTTTCTACAATACTCAAAAATCTATTGTTTTGAAAATTATCAACTCAAATTTGAAATTCCATCGAAAACAACTAATTTTTTGCAGACCGACAATGATTTGTTCGAAGTTCTCTCCAAAATCCCGCTATCAAACCTCGAAAATTTCCCGCTAATTCGAAAATATATCACAAAACTGAATTGTCTTAATCCATCAGAACGATCAAATTGGCGAGGAATCGATTCTCCTATTTTTTCGAGTGCAAAAAAGTTGAGATTTTAAATTTTTGTAATTTGTATTTAATTTAGCCATTGTTTGTTTTTGTTACTTATTTTTTCTTCTTTTTAAACATGAAATTTTTCTACGAGTAAAATTAATAGTGGAAAAGTATGTCGTGGCAAATTTTATTTTGGCGCTACAAACGCCACGTGCCAAAATTCAAGACAAAATAATTTTATTCAATGACTAGTTTAAAAATACAAATAAATTAAAGAACTGATTTAAAAAAGTCTGTAACTGGGGCGATTTTTGATGAGAGCAACATTTCTGAAATGCGAAGAAAGATGTGTCCAACCAAGTTCATCACAAACTTCAGCCAAAGTCGAATCGACAATCTTCGAATCATTTCCTCCATTTTTCAATTCATCACTCGATTTATTCAAAAACTTCGCACATCTTCCAAAATGTCCCAAAACAGCCGCATGTTTTGCAGAAATCAATGCAATTTTTGCATCATCATTTGGCAACCAAATTAATAATTTCACAAAGAATTGTGATTTTTCATCAATTTTCTTCAATTCTTCTTCGATAACCGTATCCAATTGTTCAACATGTTCCTTTAATTTTTTGAATTCGTCAGAAATTTTCGAGAATGACAGATTCTCAGATTTCGCTGTATTTGAGAAAATCAATGGGGTAATTGATCCAAATCTCAAATTATTCGAAATTGTTTCTTTCGATTTGTGAAGTTTCAAATCTTGTTCGAAAGAAGCCAAAACTTGAAGAGCGAAAATTGTCGCATTTTTACGCTCATCGAATTTTCCAATCAATTTCGCAACTTCCTTACGATCCAAATCATCTTGACCTGAAAAAGGAGAAAAAACTATTCACTTTAAATTATTTTTTTTGTAATTTTTGTGAGAGCTAAAACAACACTTTGAAATTTCAAAAAATCATGACACTTCAAATTTTTTTCTAGAAGTTTCACTATTTCAAAATATTCATAAAATAATTTTTTTCACTGTTTCAAAAATTCTTAATTTTGGCAATAAAGAAGTAAAGTAATCTTCGAGAGAAATTGAAGAAAGAATGTTACTGTTTTAACTTCTGTTATTATTCCAATCCAAAATTTCCCATTTCCAACAAAAAAAATTACCAACCTTTAATCGCAATCCATTTTTCAATAGTCAATAAATCATCAGCATGTTCTTGTTTAATCGACAAAAATTGCAAAATTTCCGCCGGATTCGTCAATTCCAACATTTTTCCAGCCAATTGAATTGCTTCACGAACATTTTCAGCTGTTAGATCCGCTGTTTTTATTTGCATTATTTTCGAGATTCGATTCTGAAGAAGTGGAAGATGATCGGGATATCTGAAATGGAATCTTTTTTCGAAAGAGGTTCGTTGTTTCAAAAAATAAAATAGTTCAGATATTTGACAAGGGACTTTTTGAAATTTAATTGTGAAAACAATTTTCATAGAAAAATCCAGCTTTTTATTTATTTTATTGCAAAAATGACTATTTCAAATGAATTTCGTTTATTTTGTATTTCACATTTTCAAAACAAAAAATTAATTCGCACTGTTTAAAAATATTCATAAAATTTGGGTCATAAATTGATAACATTTTAAAAAATGCCTTTGTTCTATGAAGAGCAACTTCATATTTTCTGCATAATTTCAGAAACATGTTTTCCTGTTTTGAAATTATAAATTTCCCTATAAAATTTTTCACATCCTTTATCCCCAAAAAAACTAACTTTTCAATAATTTGATCATACAATTCTTTGCTCGCTTTTTCATCAGTCAATTTCGAAACCCATCCAACTTCCAAATCTCGAATCGCATCTTTCATTTCCTCATTTTGATTCTTCTCTTTTTTCGTTGTTATCATCGAAAGTCCTTTTGCTGGTCGAGTCGAGAATTCTGGCAAATAATAGACAACATCTGATTTATCGACAGCACTCAAATCCGATGGTTTCAGAATCGATAAATGTCCGAGAAGAAAACTTCCACTTGGTGTATTTTGAATGAGTTTTGGGATTCTGGACAAAATACGAGAGGGTTTATGATTTTTGTAGGAAGAAGAGGAATGTCTGTGGAGAAAAAACTATTAGTGATATGTTCCTGATTTTTTTCACATAAACATTCGAAGCAAAGAAAGTTGAAAATAAATATCAGGACAAATGTATTCAGATTTATGGATACTTGTTTATTTGTTTTAAGAAATAACTGAAAATTTCATGAAACTTCAAATTTTGAAATGGGAAAAGTCCTTGGTTTAAAAAGAAATATAAAAATTCATGCAATGTCATCTAGCGGAGTGTCGTTATGATCCCTGTCAGTTTTACCTTGAATTTTTGAGGTTAGATTTGGTTAGTGGTTTCGCTTGTGAATAATTCGAACTCTTTCCAATTTTCAGGTATCCCAGCCTAATTCCTTAAGAAAAACCCCATAATTTTTTGAAAATTCTAACTTTGAAAAGTAGGAAATCCACGTTTTCTGAAGAAAGATTCTCGCAGGGACGGAAGCTAAAACCTATGCGGTGTCATCAAGTGGAGTGTCGAAATCATCCCTGCCAGGATTTTGTTGATTTTTTCTCATGAAATAGGATTTTTGCTAACAATTTTGAATTCATTACTTTTCTTTATGTTTTAAAGTATCCCAGTCATATTTTTCAAGAAAAAATCTAAAATTTTGTTAGAATTCCAATTTTGAAATGTAAAAAATCCACTGTTTCTTAGAAATAATCTCACAGGGACAGAAAATTAGAAATCATGCAGTGTCATTAGGCGGAGTGTCGTTAGGGTCCCTGTGATGTTTTCCTTGATTATTGAGGTTAGATTTGATTAGAAATCATGTATCTGAATTTTCGTAATTCTTTTCAATTTTTAGGTATCCGACCATGTTTTTTAAAAAAGAATAGGAAATTTCGTATAGATTTCTACTTTGAAATATGAAAAATCCACATTTTCTCAAAAAATAATCTCACAGGGGCGGAAACTAAAACCTTTGCAGTGTCATCAAGTGGAGTGTCGTTAAAATCCCTGCTAGAGTTTTCTTGGATTATTGAGGTTAACTTTGAAAAATGTTAATATCTCCAAACTAGTGATACTATTTGTTCGTTCAGATATCCCATTATTATTTCTCAAGGAGAATTTCAAAATTTTGTGAAAACTCAAATTTTGAAATGTAATAAATTCACTCAATCCTAGTAAAGATTCTCACAGGGACGGAAAAATAAAAATCATGCAATGTCATAAAGCGGAATGTCGTTGAAAAAAACAAAAAACTCACTTGTCTTCTGCAATTCCAGCGGCATAAAGTGTCATTTCCTGATTTGGCAATAATCCTTTTCCACCAAATTTCGAATCATTTCCATTTGTTGCAATATCAGGAGAAATCGATACATCAATTGTGATTTTTCCGGCCAATTTGACGTGGACACTGGAAAAAAATGAGTAACACAATTTTTTCACTGTTTCAAAACACAAGTAAATGTTTTTCTTTTCAACTCGAGTAACTATTGCAGCTTTCTTTGTTTTACACTTTTTCAGCTAAAAAACTCACTAAAGTGTCAAATCCTTCAATTTTTCCAGCAATTGTTCTTCAGGATGTCGAATTTGAGATTGTACAATATATTCGCCCTTTTCCAATTTGATGTTATACTGAAAAAGAAAATCAATAATTTTGAATTAGGCATATCAATCTGGGAGAAGCTTGAGATCAAAATCAAGTTCATCCCAGACTCCCGCTCCAAACAAAAATAAAAAAAACAAACTCTATCTGGGAATGATCCAGTCGCTTGTATAAATCCCTTATTCGCTCCAAATACTTGGAAAAGTACACAATCAACTGGCGATTCGTATAAATAATTGGTGAGACCAGCGAGTTCGAGACGAATTTCGCATGTTTTTTGAACTGGAAATATTTTTTAGATTTTCATTAACACTGCTATAAAAAAATGAAGAAAACAATCATTTATGAAGTTTTGTTACAAAAAAGTTCTTGAGAATAAAACAACATTTCTAATCACAGAACAATTATTACAATATAATTATAAATATTTCGAAACAGTGAAATTTTATGAATTTTTTTGAGTAGAATTTTCTCCTGACTTTATGCAGGAATTTGAAAAACGATACTTTCTTTGAAAATTTACGGTTTTTGGTCGAAATTTGGCCAAAACAGTGAATTGATAAAAAATGGCCAAATTTTGGCTAAAATTTTTTTTGGTCAAAAATGCACCAATTTCTGATTTTTTTTCCAAACCTGACCTTTGCAAAATTGCAGAATTTAATTTCACAAACCAACTTTGAATATTTGGAAACAGTGAAATTGTTGACATTTTTTTTGAATTTAAAATGATTTGTTTCAGAATTTTGATAATATTTTGTTTGAAACAGTACAAATTTTCAAAACCCCAAAAAATCTCACCATTCAATTTATAAGTAGTAAAACTTCTAAAAATCTGCAATCCCGAAGTCAAAAAAACATCTCTGGGTCCAAGTGGTTCAACTTTCGAACTTTGTGGTTTGACAGGAATAACAAGTGATTTCATAGCAATACTTGGAGCAATTTCAAAAGATTTCAGATCGGCTGCTTGAATTCTGAATTGTGTACTCGCTGAACTATGGAAAATCGTCAATTTTTCCGGTTTTTGCACTCCGAAAAATTCAATTTTCATCTCAACTTCAGCTGGTTTTTCCTCATTCGATGCCCAATTTTTGAAAACACATGCTTCGAGTGTTTTTCCACCAATTACTTTGATACATTTAACCCATTCTTGTCCAGCTGGTTGATGTAATGTACTACTTTCAGTATTTCTCGATGCTCTATCTGATTCCAAATACATTGTATGAAGAGTTAATCGATCTGTTTCATCTTTTTCTGGTGATTTGAGAGTTATTCTTGCAGATGTTGCTTGTTTTGGAATTCTTATGAATCTTCTTTGTGGAATTCCAGAAACTGCTGTGATTTTGGTCAAATATTCATTTGATTGTTGTGGTTCTTCTGGATTGATAACTGTTATTGGAATACGAAGAATTGGACCGATTTCTGGATTTGCTGCGTCGATTCCAACAATCTAAAATTATTATGATTTATTTTTGAAATTGAGAGTTTTGTTCTTCATATAACATCGTTATGTCACTCGAATTATTATCAAATAAACTATGAAACAGTAGATTTTTTATTTAAAAAATTACTGGAAAAAATTCGTGAAACATTGAATTTTTAGAAAATCTCGAAAACTTAGAATTTTCAGGAAAAAAAATCTTAAATTGGCTGAATTTCAAATATCTAAAAGTAACATACAAATTTTGAAACAGCAGAAATTTGAGAACAGTCAAATTTTGATATTATTCTACTTTTTGGGCTCTCAGTAAATTAATGTGCTCCTTAATTTTTTGTTGTATTTTATTTGAAAATATTAGCTTGATTAACCTCATTAGAAATGTTTTCAATTAAAAAAATCAAAATATATCCCTCACCTCGGTATAACTCGCTCCCTTCGGTGCTTTTTCCGTATCAATATTCACACTCAAACTTCTAGCCAAATTCACCAAAAACAAAGTTTGCGGAAATTGTACCCATGGTTCATTGCATTGCAGCAAAACTTGTTTTTCGAATGCGATATTCGGCAAATTATCCGGCGAAGTATATGTCAAGAATTTTGGTTCAACAGTCACAGAAATATCATGTTTTCCATTTGGTTCTCGAATATAAATCCCTTTTCCTTTCTTGCTATATTCACTAGTTTCAATATTGAAATGCAATAATTTTTCTGGGAATATTTGTTGTTTCAATATTTCGGATAATCTTTCAAAAGCAGCTTGGATTTTAATCATTCCATAACCAGTCGAAAAAATTTCGCCTCCTTGAATATTTTGTGCCGTATTCTCAAGAGCCAATCTAACAGTATTTGGTGTCCAATTAAGACCTTCTTGGCGAATTCCAGACAACATACAAGCGATATTTCCAGCTGCATTTGGTGAACTCATACTTGTTCCATTCATCATTTGCATACTTTGTCGACAATATTTTGGAACATTTGCAAAAGCGGCAGCTGGTGCACAAAGGGAGACACCAAGTTTTCCATCAGGGCTGAAAAAAATGGATTTTGAAAAGGGATTGTGTTAGGATGGCAAATTCTCTATTCTATTTTTAAAGAGAGAAACTCGCCTAAAATCAATTTATTCAGCCGCTTTTCAAATTTCAATAATTTTGAAATAAATATTTGAAAAAAAAAATAATTTGAAATCACAATAATAGGTCACGTTTTGTTTTGAGAATGTTTAATTTTTGATTATCGAAAAATCCCTTTTTCTAATGAAAATCCCCCTTCCTCAAAAAAAAATGACAAACCAAGGTCCTCTTGAACTCCACGGATAAATCTTGCTTGTCGTTTGTTTATTTGTTCCATAAAGTGTTTGACTCGTTTCACCGGTCAAATATGCGGCAATTCCAATAATTCCAGTTGTTGTTCCACCGGGTGCACCGACTGTTGAAAGAGCTGGTCCAGCATTTCCGGCTGATGACACAAAAATCACACCTTTTCGCTCGACAAGTTTTTCGCTTCTTCAATGATTCTTCTGCAAAATTAGAGCGAAATTTTTAAGAACGGCTTTTTTTTAAAGGTCAAAACTCTGCTTTTTTAATTTTGTATGTGAAAAATTATCAAAAAAAATCTACTGTTTCAATAAATTTATTCATAAAATATAATTTTTGAAAAACTTTGATAGTTTTGTAAACGAAAATTGTAAACGAATAATTATTGAAATCGAAATGTCAGAATTTTTTTTCATTTTTTTAAAATTCTTTTTTTTGTTGAAAAAATCACTGTTTCAAGTGAAAACTTTCAATAGCAAACTTTGATTCAAGTTTTCCAAAAAAAAAAAACAAACCCCATCTCTGGTAAATGTGTTCCTTCTCCAAAACTCATATTAATCACATCAACTCCCAAATTGGCGCATTCATTGAAAGCCCGTGTTAATGCTTGACCCGTTTCCATTGCATCAACTCGATGATCTCCGATATTCAGAGAAACTAATTTTGCTCCAGGAGCCAGGCCATTTTTCTCCGGATTTTCGGGATAATTTGCAGCCGCAATTCCAGCCACATGTGAACCATGAGCACCAGATGGAACAGCTATTTCAGTCAAATTTCCATCTTTGCTAACACGAACTGTGTAAGTCACAGAGTCTGGAAAAACAAAATGAAAAAAATTTTAGAACCGGTTACAAACTGAATAATTTACATAATTCGATAATAGAAACATTTTAAATAATTTAATTCTTTAAACTGAATTCCTTGAAACAGTGAAACTTTCATTTCAAAAACGAAGTGGAATCAAAGTAAAAATATTAGAAAAAATTCATATGGGGTGAGTCAATCGAATTAATCGACGTGTTTTTTGCGATTAATTGACAAAAAAAGTGAGTCTTTTAGGGCGATTAATTTCACGTTTTTGTCAATTCTTCGCTTTCATTTCTTGGCAAAAAATGCAATTAATTGCATTAAAAATATAATTTATTTGACCTATATTTTAAAACGTGATCTATATGAGTTGGAATTATCAACAAAAAAATTGTCTTCTCTCAATTTTCTTTCATTTCGAAATGAATCCAAAAAATAAGCAGTGAATTTGGGACACGTTTCAAAAAAGAGGTCAAATAAATTCTATTTCGTATTGAAATTCCTCATTTTTGAATGCGATTAATTGCAAAAAAAGATGGAATTAATCGACAAAAACGTGAAAAAATTGCACAAAAAAGACTCACTTTTTCTGTCAATTAATTGACAAAAAATAAAATTGACTCACCCCAATATGTAATGTTGAAACAGTAAAATTTTGACATCAAAAAATTTCGAAAAGAAAGTTAATTGAAAATGTTAAGGCTTTGAATTGCGAGAAATCGTACTTTTTGTTTGAACAAAATTGGCAAGTTTTTTATCAAATATCTTTCAGACGACCAAATGTTAACGAAAAAATTAAACTCAAATTTCCACATATACATTTTTGAAACAGTAAAAACTTGAAAAATTCCATGAATATTTTGGTGCTGTCTTGGAACTGGTTCCTGCATATTCTGTTTACATGTTATTTTTTCTCTCTTTATCTGAACCTCTTTCTCTCATGTCTCTTCAGACATTTTTCTTCTATCTCCATTTTATTTTAGTCTAGTTTAGCTAACTTAGCGTGGTTTGACAAAAAATGCCCCAGTTCAGGTGAAGCTAATTTTTATTTATTAATTATAAGCAGCAAATCTGTATTTCAGGTGATGTCGCCTCATACATTCGAATTATTTTATGGAGCTTGTTAATTTTTTTTATAAATCTTATCAATGCGTCGATTATTTCAAAAGATGATCTTCTATAAGATCGGCTAATATTGGTATTGGGAAAAATGTTCAAGAAAAATGCGCGACCGTCTGATATTCGCCTCCACGTGGCACGGTCTGGTAACATAGACAATCTATGGTCAAGGAATATCACAATTTGAATAAACTCTGATAAATAAAGCTTTTGTTCGAAAAGTTTACTGTTTCAAAATTTAAAATTATATATTTTAATCATATTCAAAGTGTTTACATAAATTCTAATTCTTCAAAATTACACTGTTTCAATATTTTACTATACAAAATCATTAGGTTCAATTCATACGTCGCATGCCTAGGGTAATCGACCCGAGGAGAGGTTATCCCTCACCCCAGTTTTTGGAAGGGGATGTCACTTGAGAAAATATTTTGAAGAAATTTTCTAAGCTTTGTACTCTAACACTTATTGGGAGTGATTAAAATTTCCACGAATTTTGATTCAAAAATCGATAATTTCAAAATTTTCATCAAAATTTTGGTTTTGATTTATTCTCAGATATAATAATGGAAGAATTGAAAAAAAATTGATAATAAATTATATCAAAATTTGAAACGTATTTTTTTTGTTTTTGAAAAATTCGAATTTTTGAATCAAAAAAGCGGTGAAAATTAGAATATTTGCCGAAACGAAGCAATTTTGAGCTCAAAGTTTATCACAAAAGTGGGTTGTCAAGTTTAGATAGCTGAAAATGAAAAGGGAAAGGGGGGGGGTTATCCCTGTTTCCAGAAATTTTCAAAAATAGGGGTGTGCACTGGTGGATTTAAAACGAGGCTATGCGACGTATGGTTCAATTCTTGATTACTGCGGCGTAGCTTTTTCGAATAATTCCACTTCCAATTCTTCCAATTCACATTTTAAGTGCAAAAATTACCTTTATCGGTCAAAAACGCGAAATCTCCAGTTTCCTTGAATGTTCCAAGAACCTTACACAACCCCAATCTTCCTCTAAATGAAGTATCAATACAAACTCTCCAAATCTCTCCATCGTGCCACGTCAAAACATCAGCAACCGGTCCAACATCTCCCACACTTTGCATTGATTTCAAAAAATCGACTTTACTCGCCAAATCCTCTCTCGCCCATTTATCCGATAATTTCTCACTTGCTCCACCGATTTCAGTCTCATGTTCTGTTAATTGTTTGAGAGCTTCAGCAGTCGAAATATTATGCGATGGTTTATTTATATCCTCTTTTTTCTCTGCTGTTATTTTTGCTTTCACACCTTTTGTATAAAGTTCGTAAATCGGTTTGAGACCCAAATGATATTTTCCAGTTGGACAATTCCATGTGTCAGGAATTGTTAATTTCCTTCCGGTTAATCCTTCAATAATACGATCTTTGGCACTTTTCACAGTTGATGTATCAACATCTCCAGCTCCACTACAATCAATAACATCCACCATTTTTCTTTCGCCTTCTGTAGTCACCATCATTCCAGGAAGTGATGGATCAACTCCAGTATCCAAAATAGCAATCAAAATACCTCTTCCATCATAATTTGGATATTTTTGAAGAAAAGCTTCTTGCTCTGTATCCGATTTATTCAACAGAAGTGGATCCAATGGCTGAGTATTTCCAAGATCCGGAAGAATTGAGGCAGCTGGGGGAGTTGTCGACATTTTTCGCAAAGATCTCTGGAAAAACTCGATTTTTTCTTTTGAAAATGAGGGAAATTTAGAAATCTAAAGTACCGATAAAGAAATGCCAATGGTTTGAAACGGTCTTATCATTCAATCACTGAAAAAACGCTGAGTCATCATGGGAAAACGAAAAAAACAAGAAAACATTTTGAAAATGATGAAAAATGGACGAGAGGATGACGTGGCCTAGAAAACCATATAAACGCCGGCGTGTAGTTCTCCCGGACAACATTTTATTTTTTGTTTTTTTTTTGTTTTCTTCGAAAAAAAAGCAAAAAAATGGCCGAATTGCTCGATAAAAATTATGGTGCAGCGTTTCCTGAAGAACTCGACGGACCCCTTGATTTGCAGGTATGTTGTCCTCTTAAAAATGCCCACTAAAAACATGATTTTCAGAATGGTGCGCCGAATTGCTGTAAATTTAACCGCTGGGGAACACTTGTGGCAGTTGGATGTGCTGATGGTCGTGTTTTCATTGTGGATTTCATTACAAAAAATCCAGTAAAAGTATTCACAGCACATGCTTTGCCTTTGAGTGGAATATCTTGGTCAAGGGATGGAAGAAAATTGCTAACATGTTCGATGGATCAAACAATTGCAGTATGGAATGTGTTAACGGGTCAAATGATTGAACGAATTCGTTATAATTCAGCTATTCTTTCTGCGCATTTCAATCCAAGAGATGATAATAAATGCATAGTTTTGCGAACAAATAGTCTTCCAACAATGGAACAAATTAATCCACGTATTCAAAAAGTTCTAACAAACGATACTCCGGGTGCTTCCGATGACATTATCTGTGCCATTTCATACGATCGAAAAGCCAAATATATTATAACTGGAACTGGAAAAGGCAAAATTATTTTCTACAATGCCGACACTTTGAAATGTGTTTCTTGGTGTAAGCAAAGCAGTTCACAGCAAGTTCGACAAATTATTGTTCCGCCAAAGTCGAATTTTATTTTGACAAATTCACAAGATCGCATTATTCGAACTTATGTGTGAGTTTTTTTTTCAAATTTTCGGGGAAAAATTGTATGTTTCAAAAATTTTCAATTTTCGAGCGCAAAATTATTAATTTTTTATCCCAGTAATACAAAATTGTGAAATTCGAAATTTTACGATAAAAACCACCTGAAAAAACCAAAATTTGCTATGAGAACTTAAAAATCCACGTGTCAATCTAAAAATGTATATTTTTCCAGCCTCAACGATCTTCTGAATTTGAAAGGTGCCACAGTCGAAGCCCAATACAAAGTTCAAGATATGGTAAATAAAGCAGCATGGAAAAGTGTTTGTACAGATAGTGATGGAATATATATTTGTGGAGCATCAACAAAAGCACATTCTTTATATATTTGGGAATCAAATACCGGAAGTCTTATCAAAATTCTACACGGAACAAAAGGCGAAAGTTTGATGGATGTTCAATGGCATCCAACACGACCTGTTATATTATCAGTTTCTCAAGCGACAGTTTCACTTTGGACACAAGCACATGTTGAAAATTGGTCAGCTTTTGCTCCGGAATTTCAAGAACTTGAGGAAAATGAGAAATATCAGGAGAAAGAAGGAGAATTTGATATGGAAGATGAAGATGCTGAAGAAGAAATAAAGAAAGATTTAGAAGAGGAAGAAGATATTGATGTAGTTGGATTGAAACCTGAAGAATATTTGGCAAGTTCGGATGAAGAGGATTTGACGGATATGAAATTGGATCAGACATTGAGAACTGGACCACTTTGGTATATTCCAATTGCACCGGATGTTGATAATCCAGAGAATTTGACATCGGCAACATTACCAGGATTAGGTAAGCAACTTTTTCGAGATCCCTCGAAAACTAAGTACATTGCTTCCAATTTTTTCCGAAAAAAGCGGACTTTGTACCTACCGTATATCTCCAACTATACGAAAACAGAAAAAAGTTTGTAGTTGTACTAGGGATTAGGAGTACTGTATTTCCAGAATTCCAGGATTCCATTGATAATACAATCTTGTGTTTTTTTCAGAAATCAAAGACGATCAAAGTCTATTGGCAGGTGCGAAAGGAATTGGAAAACAGAAGAAATAATTGGGATTTTTGAGAATATTGTGAGATCTCATGTTTTGTGTATAAATTATTTCAATTTTTGTTAACGATTAACTCACCGAAATCAGAGAAATAGTCAAAATATATCGAAAACAGTTCAAAATCTGAAAGTTTGAACAACTTCTGAGAAATTTATAGAGTCAGCAACTACTTGTGTCATATAATTATTTGATTACATTTTAAATTTTTTATTACTATTTAACAGTGTTCTTCCAATGTCGTAAAAAATTGAAACTCGCTACAGTAATCCGACTCACGTTATTAAATAGTTCAACAATACGAAGACGAAAATTTTTTTTAGTTGTACTAGTGACTTGGAATACAATAGGAATCAGAAATGACTGAATTTTCTCTTTGAATTAGGAAATGATAAAAATCAGATGACGTGGCCATTTTTAAAACATAAAAACGTGAATGACTTTTGGTGGAAAGTATAGTTTTTCTCACTTACAATTATTATTTCTAACTAAGAAATAGAATTGATGAATTGTTTTATCTATTCCAACGTTTCGACATGTAACGTCATCATCATTGATAATACTGAAAAATATAGTTTTTCCCACTTGGAACAATCCAAATACCAAATTATTTCTAACTAACACTCAAAAAACACAAATTCATTTCAATCCCAAACCTAAGAAATCCAAAAACCTAAAGAAAGAACGAAAAAATAAGAGTGTGTGCCAACACCGACTGCCCGCAAACACAAAATCCTACGCGCAATTTTGTAAAAATAAAATAACGATACTCCGCTCAGACAGTGTGAGCTAATTAAACAACAGGCAAGCCGAGTGTCGCTGTTTTATTTTATTTTTTACTTTTTTTCCTTGGGAACCTGGAAATTTTTATTTTATTTTATTGATTTTTCGAAATTTTGGTTTTCTGTATATTTTGTTCATTTGTTTATTTTAAGTGTATTTCAAAATTTGTAACTTATAATTTGTAAAATAACCCATTTTTATTTTTCATTATTATCCCTGATGATGACGTTTCACGTCGAAACGTTGGAATAGATAAAACATTTTCAATTTTCAACTTATCGCTATTGTAATTTTTCGGCTTAAAGAAACTAACAACTATATCTACAGTACTCCGGCAACTATACGAAAACAGAAAAAAGTTTGTAGTTGTATCAAAAAAATAGGGGATAAGTGTTATACTGTAGCTTTTTCATAAGGGAAACGTGATTTTTAAAAACATCCTAAAAGTATTTTTGGAATTCTCCTTATAACGACTATAGTTTTGCAGAAATTTTAAATAAAAAGTTGAATTTTGTGCCCAAATTTTACTTTTTTCAATAAAAATTTGAAGATCCATCATTTTTTTGTAAATTGTCAAATGCACGTTTCAAAAAAAAACAACAAAAATCTACTAATCTAAATTTGATTTTGGCAACAAAACTTATTCGGTTGCATGCTAGATTTCACTATAGAAAATTAAAAGTTCTCAAAAATCCCCGAAAATGATTACTCTTTAGAATGTTTTCGAAAAAAAACTGGAAACTTTGTACCTACAGTACTCCGCAAACTATACGAAAACAAAAAAAGTTTGTAGTTGTATCAGAAAACTGGAGGATTAATAGGATACTGTAGCTCGGAAAAATTGGATTATTAGTTATTGGGATCCTCTGAATCTCGTAAAAATACTAAAAATCTAGAATTTCATTTGGAAAATAACACAATTTTTGTAGCTTCACATATTACATCATCAAAAATTAACAATCCTCGGAAAAATGTATTAAATTCAAATTTTCGCGCTATTTTTGCCACGCCGAATCCAATTCTTTAGAGCAAAAACACTGGTTTCGAAATTTTTCCAAAAAACATTTCACTGTTTCAAAATCTCATGATAATTTATCATTATTTTTTTGAAAAATATTAAGAGAAACCACATAAATCCAGTTGTTTTTTATTTGTACAAAGATTAGGGATACTGTAGCTTAGAGTACTTATTGAAACACAATCATTGTTTTTTTTAGTAATCAAAGACGATCAAAATCTATTAGCAGGTGCAAAAAGAATTTGGAAAACAAAAAATAATTCGATAAAATTTATCATAACTCAAGTTAGCTCAACTTGTTTATAAAGTCTATTTATTTTCCATTTTTTTGATTGTTTGATTTTTATTAAGAAAATGTTTAGGCTAACATAAGAAAAATCAAATTTTGACAATTTCCATGGAAACTGCCGCCTTGATTTTGGCAATTTTCCAAAGGTTTTTTATTTTTCTTGACTTTTCTCTGCGTCTCTCTTTCTCTAGCTTTTCGATGAGAAAAAAATACGATTTTTTTGTATTTTTGATGGGCGGAGAATTTCCAGAGAAATCTTTTCATTTTCATATTTTCCAGAGAAGAACTGTGCAAATATGTGGAGATCTTATAAAACTGATACACCGGAACCTGAAGATGAGAGAATTATTGTTGTTGAAGAGACGGAAGATGTGAAAGAGGAAAATGCTGAAAATTTGGAGCAAGAAGAGGAGACCGTTGAGTAAGTTTTTTAGAGGTTAAAGGGATCTGCAAAATATTCGGGTGAATCGAATTTTAAGTCCACACTTTCGATCGGGTAAAATTTTGATATGTATCAAGAAAAAAATTTTCAATGTTTGATTTTTTGTTTATGCACTGTGGTTTTTAATGATTCAAAAAATCTGAAATAGTTTACAGTTTCTGAATAAGTTCTCAATATTCACTGTTTCAAAAAATAAACCTTCATTTTCGTATTTCAAAGTTTCGGGTGAAAAATCACAATTTTTTGCGCTTCCCAAAAGTTAACTCACATAAAAATTATTCCAAGAATTTATGATAACTGATTTCAAAATTGGGACGCGCAAAAATGAATTAATTTTTCTCTGGTTTCCAATTGCAAGCAAATTTTATTTTTTCAAAAAATTTAGAGATTTTTCGTTTGAAAAATTGATAATCTTCAATTTTCTGCAAGACACTTCTTAGGCTACAGGCTACAGCCAAAATTAACTTTAAAATATTTCACTGTTTCAAAAAATCTAATAATATTTTTGTCCACTTACCGGTAAGCTAGAAAAAAGAAGTTCGATTTCAGGAAAAACAAAGAACTTTGAAACAAATTTCTACTTCTTGAAAAAATGTGAAATTTAAAAATTAATTGTAAAATTGATGGATCTCTTGAACTCGAACATTTTTTGTTCTGAAAATATTCAATTAACTCACTGTTTCAAAATTTTCATCGAAATATTCAAAAGAGTTTTTCCACAAAAAATTAATGTTTCAAAAATGATCAAAAATCGTGAATAAATTCCGAAATCAACAGGATTACTTCAGGGTTATTTTAAAAAATCTCCAAAATACTTGAAGCTGGAAAAGGCGGATAAATAACTAGTTAACTTAAACTCAAATTTCACTGTTTCTAAAATTTTTTTTAATTTTCAAGATAATTTTGAAAATCAATATTTCCCGCGAATGTTCAATGAAAAATCTAAATTTTTCACTGTTTCAATTTGCTTTTGAAAATTCGAAAACAATTTCTGGGATCAATGTACCTAAAGTCCTTTTCGGAAGGAAACAAATCGCAACATTTTTCTCAAAAATCAGCTTCTGTCTGAAAAACCTAAAAATCCCTCAAAAATAGAAAAATTATTCAAATATGCACAAAAAAAGATGACAATATGACAATTGTGAATAAGCCATGACTATGACGTCACAAACTTTTTTATCTTGAATAAAGTTCGTTTTTCTAATTTTAGGAATAATTTTGAGATCAGACTTGAATTTTTGATATATTTTTAGCACACAGTGTATCTATAAATAGAAATAGTCGAAAAATTGTTATTGTGGGTAGGCTGGCTGCCTATGAGCATATGAGCATCAATTATCATTTGTGTGACGTAAATCAATGTTTTTTTGGCTTGTTTTCAAGTTTTCTACCCAAAATTTTATTTTTGATTTTATTTTTTTCTACGGAGCCACTAGATTTTTCAAAAGGTTATTGATATTTTTTTCCAAAAAAAAAATAAAATTTAGTAATACTAGTATTAATCATACCCTTCTTCTCATCCGCTCTCCAAAACTCCGCCTTTTTTTTGCTCATTTCAAACTTTATTTTTCTCCTTCTATCATATCATTTACTTATCATTTACTACTAATTTTACTACTAGTTAGCCTAATTTAACTTTGAACTTTTCGGTTCATTTTCAAGGCCAAAGTGGATTCCACATTTTTTCCATCAGCCGGCGCCGTTTTACGGCGATTATCAGACGTGACAATTAGGCGAAGCGCGCGTACAAAATCTGATTTGGCCGTCAAAAATGGCGATTTTTTGGATATTTCGTCGTCGTGTGAGGAGGATAATAATGAATTACATGTTCCTGGGTGAGTTCTACCCACATAAATTTTCTGTACACGTGTTGAACCGAAAAATAAAAATGTTCCCTCACGGGAGGAATCGAACCCGCGATGCAAAATTAATGAACACAGGTGTGTGCCACTATACCACCCTAGCTTTTTCGAAAGTCTTGCGAATTTTGATGATATCAAAGTTGTTTATCGAATTTTTCGACTGGCCAGAAGGATGACTACAATTATAGGCTGGCATGAAAGAGCGTGCTGAAATCGATTTTTTTCGAAAATTTTTGGGCTCTGGCTTTTTGAGGTTTATGTTAGAGAAATATACCATGAGAAAATATTCTGAAAATCCAGAACACCGATGAAATGATTTTGAAACAGTGAAGTGAAAATTTGAAACATATCGTTTGAAAAAGTGAAAAATTCGAGAATTTCTTTAACCAGAAAATCATTACATTTTTAATGAGTGAATTTGATGCTCAGAAAATATTTTTTGAAACAGTGAAATTTTGATTAAAGAAAATTCCGGAAAAATAATTATTTTGGACCTAAAATTGAATTCCTGGAACTGAAAAACCAAGTGGCAAAATCTAGTTGATAATATTTTTCGAAACAATGTTCAACAAGTCTTCTAGTTTTGAAAAATTCACTCCAAATTAATTTTTCCAAGTTTTTTGCGCTGAACACTATCAATATTTTGCAATTGTTAGAATATAGTAAAACGTGTTAACGTTCCCAGCAAGAGTTTTGCATCACACAATTTTTGTTGTATTTTTTTGAAACAGTGAAGTGAAATTTTGTTTTGGGAACATTTTGAAAAAATACTGATTCGAATCAATTTGAAACTAATAATAAAATTCCAACACTGAAAAACCACGTTGAAAATATTTTTTATCCAAATTCACCAAGAATTAGTTTTTTAGGCAATTTCACGGCCAAAACTCGGCAGTTTTTTGGTGCAAAAAATACAATTCCAGAATCTTAGAAGATTCTGCCATATCATCGCAAAGTTTTTCTACCATTTTTGAAACAGTGAAATGTTTTTTCGAGAACATTTCGGACAAATCTGATGAATTTGAAACTAATATTAGAATTCCAACACTGAAAAACCACGTTGAAAATATTTTTTACAAAGTCTGATTATTTCACATTGTAAAGAAAACAATAATGATGAGATTTTTGAAACAGTAAAAAATTTATTTAATTTTTTTCCATAAAAATTTTCCGGAAATATCGACAAAGTTTAATCGACATAGGAAAACCTGTGATTCCCAAAAAACATTTGATAATTTTGTGAAACATTGAATAATTATTTCATTAAAAATTGGTATCAAGATTCAAGCAATTCAAAAACTATCTTTGTAATTGATTTTGTTTTATCTAAAACAATCTCATTGTATTTTTCCAGCCTTCAAAAATTGTTTACAAAATTTTGAAACGTACATTTTTCATTTTCATTTTGTTGTAATTCATTTATCCAAATCTTTGACCGCCAAACATTTTTCACCAAATCTATTTTTGTCTCAAATTATCTCAACCTTTCAATTTTCCAATTGACGTAAATAAGAACCCCTATATTATTTTTTTTTTTCGAAAAATCCCTCTAACTCTATTTTTACTTTGTCAGAAAAATAATTATCAGTCATAGTTAGAAAACCAAGGGAGAAAGGTTGTCATGGAAATATCGAAAAAATATTTAATTTGGAGAAAAAAATTGGGGGAAAATTTACTGTTTCAGGAAAATAAGATAAAAAATTGGGAATAAGTAATAAGATGATTTTTTATAGCGATCCACAAAGAAAAACACAATTTGGCACCAGATATTCAAGAAAAGATAATATTTTTGCAGTTCCAGAAAACAATCTCGATCTGCTTCAATAACTTCAACAGCTTCGGCCCCAGCTTCACATGAACTCACACTTCATGTTCCAAGAAATAATTCGACAAGTGTTTCGCCAACTCCATCATCTGGAAGCAATTATTCGTTTGTGAGTTTGAGTAGAAACATCCAGAAGTTTTGAAGTCGCTTTTGTGAAACAAAAATTAGACCAGGGTTTAAGAATCTTGCTTTCAACGAATGACTTTCAAAAATTGTATTCAAGTTTTGAAACAGTGAATTTTATTTTCGAAAAATTAGTTAAAAGTATGGTTTTTGTATGATGTAAATTTTAGTCACAACTTTTTTTTGAAATTTTTTGAAAAGCTGTGAGTTTGTCACATTATTGGAGTTTTTAAAAAGTTTTTAAAATGAATTCATTCAAAATTCATTCACAGATATAATAATGAAAAAAGTGAAAATTCAAAAATTCAAAAAAAAAAAACAATTTTTGAAACAGTAATTTTTTCTATAATTTCAATAAATTGTGCAAGTACATGTTAAACATTTCGCAAAATAATTGTATAAAAGTTATTTTTTTTTTTTGAAACAGTGAAAACACGACATGTTCGGTATAAACATATTCAATTTTTTGAGCTTCAATTATTGAGCAAAAAATCCACGTGGCAAGTATTCTCGTAGTTTCTGTACCAAAAATTACACATGGCAATTTCCATAAATTTTTGTAGTGATGAGAGTATAGTTTCTGTAAGAATACAACACCAAACTTTTATTCAAAACATATTTTTGAAACAGTAATTATCTCAGCCAACATCAATTTTCGCAAGCTGAAAAGTGAATAACAACTTTCATTAAATTTATTTTAATCTTAATATTTTTGAATAGACCAATTTTTCAAAAAAAAATTATCTGAAACAGCAGATTTTTCCCCATAAAAATCACATCACATCATTTTTCCACTCATTTTTTTTTCTAACAATAAGTACACTCACATTTTTTGTAGTTTTCTAATAAAATCACACGAATCACAAAAAAACCCAAAACTAATTCAATTTTTTCCGCGCGTGTCGGAGAAACCTATAATTTTCCCAAAAAATCCAATTTTCTTATTATTTTTTTCCCTACCTTTTTCTTTCTTCTGGAGCCAACATTTTTCGTGTGAAAAACACTTATTAGTTTTTTTTATTTTTCAGCCGAGCCTATGATTTTTTCAGACCTGACACCTGAAAATGTCTGGGCGGTTTAAAAACAACTGAAAATTCTGGTCTGTAAATAAGCTTTTGAATCGTATAGTTTTTGATTTTTGTGAGTTCGATATTTTTTCGCTGAGGCTTGAGGCTGAAAAAATTAGGCGAGCAGAAATCAAACATTTTTGATGCTTGAAAAATTTTCATATTTTCAGTTCAGAAAATCCACGTAGCTTGGTTTAGTTTGAGATTTTTCTGAAGGAACTTGTTTTTTTTTTGAAAGCTAAGTGTCTGGCGCGAGAAATCCACGTGGCATCTTCCCAAAATTTTGACGCGTGATTTTCCAAGTTCAGATGAAGCATCTGCATCTGAAAAACTTTCAAATAAGTTTTGGAGGTCAAAACTTCTCATAAGACTCATAATTTTTACACAACGAAATGACGTGGCTTTTTTTTTTAATTTTGGGGCCCGAAATTCACTTGAAACTTTATTTAAACTTTTTTTGAATTCAATTTTTCAAATAATAAACATTTCGCGGATATCATTTCTTCATAATTCTGTTACAATTATATTGGAATGCAGCTTCTGAAGTTCCACGTGTCAATTTCTCCACGTGGATTTTCAAACCTTCCCCGCCCTCTCCCCTCTGAAATTATGAGCCGAGTATTGTAGCTCCGAATCCACGTGGCAATTTTCAGCACGTCACTTTCTCTATTTTTATTTACCCAAATATTTTTTTTTTGTATTTTTTGAACTCTTCGGACAATATTCGAATTAACACAATTCATAAAAATCCCAGGCGAACGTTTTTTCTCCCTAAAATTTCCACATATTTCTAAATAATTTTCCGCTCCCTCGAATCTCGAGCCTTGATACATATATTTCTAAAAACAACCCAACTGACAAAAAAACATCGCAAAAATTTGTCGACTTAATAATTGGGTTTCTTGGTTATCATTTCATCATTGCCTGGCAACCAGCAAAAGAATAATAATCTATACTATCTGATTATAATTTTCATCAAGCCTAGCCTAGCCTAGTCTAACTCTAAAATCTCTATCTGAAAATGAGCAACAACAGCGGCGACGATGCTGCTCCAAAACAACACCAATTCGAAAAAGTTCCACCACAATTTCGAAAAACACCATCCGCTCATGCATTGTCTTTGCACCATCAGCAAGCGGTATGTTTGATCAAAACAGTAATCAATCATTTTGATTTCAAAAATCAATTTTCGTCTGAAAAAACATGTGGCGCAAGATTTTATATCTGAAAAAAAAACAGGTGGAAATTGTATCCATCAGAAATATAAAATACAATTTCCCCTTGCATTCATTTTTATTCGAACTTTTATTTATTTAACTATTCTCTGAACGAATAAAAAATCAATAATGCCGAAATGGACTGTTTTTGAGGTGATTTTGATAGGAAAATTGGAAAAGGACCATGGACCACGTAAAAGCATGGATTATTTGGAAAAACTGATCCAAAAGTGTTTGGAACTTTTTTCTCGATAGATGTTTGTGAAAATCTGTGATATTTTAAAAGCTTTAGAAGCTCGGTATGAAAATCATGATAATATTTTTGAATAAATATGTCCATGGTGTTTAGAAATGAACTGAAACAGCTTTCTGCATGAAAATCAAAAAAAAATTGGCTCGCCGACTCTTGTCGGGTTTTGGATATTGCTAGGGTATGAGTGGGATTGACTTGTTACAAAAACAAGTCTGTAACAGGTTCGTCACAGCTTTGGAACATCACCTGTGGGAATCTGTTTTTGCTCCACTTCAAAGGGTGCCGGATTCTATCTCGCGTTATTCCTTCTTATTTTCATTTTTTTTCTCTTTTTTTTTCTTCAGATAAAAATGTGATAATCCATTTTATGACTGATGATATAATCAAAATTCTATTGTTCGCAAATTTCAATAGAACATCTAATCCCATCTCCAAATGGATTAGCTTTTCTCCTCGTTTTTTTCAGTTTTACTTTTACTTTTCACTACATTTTATAGAAATTAGTATTACATATTTTCTGTGTGATAAATGTATAAAGCAAAGGGTAAAGTAAGTTTTCAGTCTCAGCCTCAGAATCCCAGAAAAATATATAAAATCATTAAAACTATATGATTCTGTAATGTCATTCATTCTCAGTCTGAAAAAATGCAGGTCTATTTGCTTTCGAAATCAGAAATCTGAAATTATTTTTAGGCAATGGCGATGTTCGATCCAACCGCCAAACAAAGCCGTGATCCTCCACCACGTCCAGATCCAGAAGGTGTCGAATATCCAAGAGCTGCAAGTTGGGCAGCGGGAAGTTGTGCCAATGTTTTGAATGATGAAAAAGGTTTGTGATCTACAAATGAATAGACACACCGTAATCTTGTTCTTCTGGAAAACATTTAAAAAATCCACGTTAAATATTTAGCGCGAAATAAATAATATTTTTTAAATTTATTATTTTGGTGCCAAAACATTAGATTACTGTAGCTCCAAAAAAACAAGTAGATTTCCTAATTTCGAGGTTACTGTAGCCGGAGCGAAATTCTGAAATCTTGAAATTTTTAGATTGTTTGAAGGTTACTGTAGCTGGGTTTCAAATAACAAACTTTGAGAATTTTCTGTGTTTTTTCGGCCAAAACAAATAAATAGTCTTTGCAAATAAAACATGATAAAATCGCTTGGGGGTATAGCTCAGTGGCAGAGCATTGGATTGCAGATCCAGAGGTCCCCGGTTCAACCCCGGGTGCCCCCTAGTCTTTTTTTTTCGATTTTTGGTGAAAATTGAATTGCTTTATTGGGATGTGTGTTTGCGAGTACTTTTGTTCACGAGTACTGGGCTTTTTTAATTTTTACGACCAAAACCCAGATAGACACCAAATGATAGTTGTTTGCAGGTCGTCAATTGTTCCGCTGTTTTTTGTTCCAATCATTGGCTGAAGAGAATTTGTCATTTGTGGAAGCCACAGATAAATTGAAAAAAATGAAAAGTAGCGAAGAGAAAAAAGAATTCGCTGTTGAGATTCTGAACACTTATGCTCCAGCTATCAATTTGTCAAGTATTGCAATGAAAAAAATGAAAGACACAATTGAAAGTGATAATCCGGATATTGAAGAATTTGGTCCAGCAATCAAAGAAGTCAAAAGATTGTTGGAAAATGATCAATTTCCAAGATTTAGAAGATCAGAAATTTATCTCGAATTTTTGGAAGAACTTTTGCCACGTTCTTATGCTGAAAAATGGGCGATCAGTTTCGAATCTTTGTTGGGAAATCATGTTGGAAGACATCATTTTCGTATTTATTTGCGTAGTATTCACGCAGAAGAAAATTTAAGATTCTGGGAAGCTGTTGTCGAATATCGATCGGTTAAGAATAAAAGTAATGCGATGCAGAATCTGGCTAAAGTTATTTTGAACACTTATTTGGCTGAGGGCACTTTGAATGAGGTGAGAAAGAGATATTTCAAGTGAAATGTTTTCCTGGTTAATACTTTTCTCGCGGCCCAGAAAATCAACAGAAAATATTTTTAATTTTATTCGAAATCATTGAATTTTGGAAATAATCATCAGAAAATCCAGAGGTTTTAAAACACTTTTTCATTCAGCATTGAAACTAGAATAATTTGAAAATTTATTAGGAATTTTTGAAACAGTGGATTTTTTTGCTAAATTTTGGAATTTCCTAATTTTACTCGACCTTTTAAAAATATACCAGAAATTTACCGTTGAAAAATTAAAAAGAAACTTTTTAATTAAGTTTCACATTTCCTGCTCAAAATTAGCTGAAATTCTCTAATTTCCAGGTATTTTTGCCATTTGGCGTTCGCCAAGTCGTCGAACGTCGAATCAACGACAAAGAATCGGATATTTCGCTTTTCGACGAAGCCATCAAACATGTCGAACAAGTTCTTCGAAATGATCCATATGTTCGCTTTCTTCAAAGTTCCCAATACACAAATCTTCTTGCAAAACTCAAAAATTGAGTTTTTTCTTTAAATTGCACTGTTTTTTTATATTTTATTGCACCAATTTACCCTAAATAATCCTGATTTTTTGCACTTTTAATTACCCCCGAATTTTCCATATCTTGATTTTTAATTCAATTGTGATCTGATCTCCCCCAAACGAAAAAAATTGTAGAATTTTTCTTTCGCCGAAATAAAGTAGTTTGCACCAAGAATCATTTATTGAAGTGAGGTCAAATGAGCAATTAATGTTTTGCTAGACTTGAGTTGATCAATCAGTTTTCCTGGATTATTTCAGCTGCAGAAAAAAACGTTTGATATCAAACCTCTAATTATTTTCCTCTATTTCCCAGAAATACTACGGTGTTTTGGATTTCGTATTCACCTGGTTACTTTTTTTTACATTTTCTATTCTAAAATGCTTCTTCTCCCAAATGAATCATGTATTTCCACAAAACCTTGGACAGTAATTGTTTTCACTGATGGATTATCATTATCATCTCTGCCACTTTATTTTCTAACTTTTTATATTTTGATTTTCAAATGTCCTCCAGTTTTCAACAAATATCGAATTCTTCTTCTTCGACATTTAGTTTGTTGTTTTTTCATGGAATTTAATATGACAATTATTTGGCAATTGATTATTATAATGCCATTGAACACACTTTGCGCAAATTCAATCGCTTACAATTTTCCAAAGATGGTTTTCTATATTCAAATCCACATGATGCTTTTTACAGCAATTACCATCTTTGATTTATCTGATTATCGATTGAAAGTTGTTAAAACTGGAAGCCAAGAAAAATTAGTGAAGCGAATCAATTTTTTCAAATATTTCACATATTTTTCATTTTCAATTACCATGTCATTTTTATATATTTCTTATGGATCAATCACAAATGAAAAGTCATATAAGTTGCGAGTCCAACAGGTTTTTTGAAAATAAAATTTGGAAACTCTCTTTCTTTATCACAATGTTTTCAGAAATTTGGAAATTTGCCTGATTTTGTTTGGTGTGACAATTGTATTTTCTTTGATGACTCATCAAATATAATCATAATATTTTTTATTTCCGGAATGATTTCAGTTACATTAGCCTTCTTTTATTGTATTATAACAGCTTATGCATCATTTTCAGCATTGAATGAAATGAAAAAATCATTTTCTGTGAAAACTTTGGAAGTTCAAAAAAACTTTCTAATAAGTTTATTAATAATGGTATACAGTAGTTTGGAATGGGAATTCCGAGAATTTCAACAAAATAACACTGTGTTTCAGAACGCCATTCATCTTTTATTTATTGCAATTCCGTGCTTGATTTTTTTCATTGGTTGTTTTTCGTCAATTTCATACGATCTCATGTGTAAGTTGAGAAAAATGTTCCTATTTACGTATAAATTTTCTGATTTCAGTCATTAGCTATGTTTGTGTTTCTTTAATTACTCAACATGGATCTGCGTCAACTTTAATTCTTCTGACAACAAATAAAGCCTTACGAAATGTGATTAAAAGTTTTTGGAAATAAACTTTTTGTCTAAGTGATCTTGCATCAAAATCGTATAGAGATTGAACCAAAAATTATTTATTCAATTGAATCAAAATTAAAATTTCAAAAATAATAAGATAAATAAAAATAAGAGATCGTTGTGAATTTTTTGCAGAAAACATTTTTTTTTGGAAAGATTCTTTGGGATTTTTCGAAATATATTAATTAATAGAAATTTTTCAAATAAATAAATAAATATGAAAAGTATAAATTTTTCTCGGGGGAAAATATCAAATTATTTACAAAGTTATGTTAGATCCGCTCGCGGAGTGTATATTTTCCAGGTTTTGCGTCGTCTAGCGACACAATCGAGGGATCTGGCGATTTTTTGAGCGACGAAAATGCGCCACGGCAATATTTTTCGCAGGTCGGACATTCGCAACGCTCGTTATTGTCGCCAAAAAATTCGTCTCCGTAGAAACATGTTATTTCGTCGCCTGGTTTCATATCACGGAGAACCTGCAGAAAATTGAAATTTTGGAATAAAACATATATCTGCTCCAAAACTCACTCTAATATGCGCTGTCGAATTATGGGATACAAATTCACAAGTCGGTTTACAATCATGATTAATATAAGCTCCAGGTCCCAACCATAATTGTGCACATCGTTTTCTTGTACTATACATCACCGAAAAATCATTGACTCCACTTGTCAAAATCGCATTTTCTTCTTCTTCATTCATCGCACAAATAACACCACAAAGTCTTTCGATTCGATCGCCGCGAGACCAATGACGAGTTGCAACTAATTTAGCGCCCGTGTTATTTTCGGCTGAATATCTGTGACATGGTTGAATTGTGAAACCGGAAAGTGAACAGAACATGTTCAAAAATCGGACTATCTGCAAAAATTGAACATTTTGACGTTTTTTTACACATAATTTCAAAACTCACATGATCTCTGAATTCCACAATTTTCGTCTGATTCATATTCTCCAAATATGTCTTTACACTTCTTAAATTTAAAAATCCAGCAATTGCGCAGGAAAAATCCTGTTCATCCTGAAATTTTCGCATAATTTGTCGAGCAGTCGATCTCTCGTCTTGTTTTACATATCGTCGTCTGAAATGAGAAGAAATGTTTTGATTTTTAATAATTTTTAGCAATTTAATTATATGGAATAAATTGTTAAGGTTTATTTCGCCAAAAAATTTCAAGCTTGTTTTCATATTGAGAAAAAAAAAAAAAAATACGCTTTAAATTTTGCTATAAACAATAATAAAAAAACAAAATGCAAACCTCTGAAACATTTTATGTGTCGGAAATTCGAGAACAGCATCCACAATTAAAGTTGTCGACAAATCATCAAAAGCACTCAATTCAAATGGTGACATACTGTGATCAGATGGTGGAATTGATTTGAAAGATAATGACAACTCTTCTACTGGAACTTTTTCGCTATTTTCATCATAACTATTATCTCTTCTATTGAACATGTTTGAAGATCTCATCTGAAAAAATCAGCTGATTTTCAAAAAAGAAAAAAAACTTCTTTGAAAAAATATTATGATTCATAAAAGTGTTATTCATGCAAAAATACAAAAAACAAAACAAAAGCAACAACCAAAAAAAAAACAAACAGCAGCTACAAAATGCGCGTCAACACACACTCAATGCTGACACATTTTTTTCCACAACAAATGCATTTTTCTAAAGCGCACGTTCTCTTTTTGAAATCGGATTAAATGTGCTGAAAATTGTAGGGTATATTATTTGGAGAGAGCACGAGAGGTTTCTGACTGGAACATCACATTAAAATGGATTTTGAGAGAAGCCATTTTAATAATGGGTTACTGGGTTGGAAAATAAGAAATATAGATTTTTTTGAAAAGGGGGAGCAAAAAATTGAGACTTACAAGTATCAAATTTTGGGAAAAATGAGATTGTGCAGCAATTCTAGAAGTAAAACGGGAACTTTGAATATTTCGACATTGTTTTGTGAAAAGTTTGGAATGGGAATTTGACAAAAAGTAGAAAATTTAAGTGCTTAAAATTCCAGAATATCTTTGAAATTTTGATTAGAAAAAAGCTGAAAATTCGGAAAAATGTAAATTTTTGACAGTTTCTCAAAAATTGGTAACAGGCGGAAATTCGAGCAAAAATTGAATTTTCGAGAATATTTTAAATCTTTTTGGAAAGCTACTCTTGGAAATTTCCTACTTTTCAACAAAAGATTCAGTTGGTTATAATTTCGAAAAAAAATAATGCGGCGTCCAAAAACGCAAAAGGAGAAAAAAAAAGAGGAAATTTCCTGTCCAAAAAACCGAAAAAGGCAGCCCTCCAGATTCAAGGCGCATGCCGAAGTACGGTAGAACATGCATATCTAACTCGATTTCTGAGAAGAAATTGGACAGAAAAAAAGAAAAATTGGACAGGAACCCAACAAAAATGTTCAAGGTGCACGAGTTAGATACGCGGGTGGTACGGTTGTTTGCAGTGTGTTCCTTTAATCTGGCAATCCTACTTTTTTGAATTTTTGGACAGGTTTTTTCTTTTTTTTTTTCTCTCTTTTTTCATTTTTGGACGCCGCATAACTAAAACTCACCAAATTTTCACTAAAAACTTCATTTTCCAGCAAATCACGCAATCTCACCTCGATACTTGGTTACGATGGGAAATTCGTCGCGTGATAATTGTCACTATCATCAAGAATACTCGAAACAGTCAAAAATTGTAAAACAAGGAAAAAATGTGAAAACAGAAAAAAAATAAACAAATGATTTTTCAAACCACAAACACGTCGCGCTCCATGTTCCATTCGAGACCCACACAATTCTGTGCATGCGTCTTTTTTTCTACAGTGTTTTTTATTTTATTTATTTTTTCAATTTTTTATATTTTGTTCCGCATTTTTCTAGTTTTTCCCAGCTACCAAGTGTACTTTCTCCTCCCATTTTCGTTACTTATCACGTTATTCTGTTTGTATGTATATAATAGATTTTGGATTGATAAGAAAAACACTTATTTTTTGTGGTGTGATCGGTTTTTCTGTGTTTCTTTGATTTTTAATTTCCCACAAACGACTTTTTTGTTGTTGAAAAATTTATATTTCTGAAGTTTTAGAATATTTCAAAGGATTTATTTTGAATTTTGGGGTTTTTGTTTAGTTTAAGACGATTTTTTAATGTTTCAACGAACCGAAAGATCAAAAATTGGTTTGATAAGAGTACACGTGTACCGCCCTCCCTTATCACGTTGCAAAATTTTTATAGTAAAAATATAATTTTTTCCCGCGTGACCCCAAATTTACTTTTTTTCCCAAATAAATTTCCAAATTCAATCATTTCTAGAAAAACTCGATGCTTCGAAACGGAATTCTGGGAATTGGCCGAAAATCGCTGACTTTGTCCAGATTCAACTTGAAAAATGCGCGATTTTTGCAATATGACGCGTTCGTCGATCGACACATTGGACCAAGAAGATTGGAACAACAACAAATGTTGGATTTTGTTGGATTTAAGGTGAGTTTTTTGACATCAAACATCTATTTTTTATCGATCTGAACTGCTTGGTTTTTATTGATATGTTGATGATTTTTATGGGAAAAAATTAGAAAATTTATGTTGAGTCAAGGATACAAATTGAGAGAAATTTTCGAGAAAAATTAATTACCCTAATCTTGAAACAGTGAAAAAAATATTGTTCCTAAATTTAATTTTTTATGGATTCGATTTGTCATATTTTTGTGAGTTAAAAATTAACTCGAATTAATTTTGAAACAGTTTTTCTTCTTAATAATTGGATGTAAATAAAATATTTCACTGAAAATCTCCCACCTTATTTCTTGATTGAATTTTGAAACAGTTAAATTTTTTGAAGATATTTTGGATAAGATCAGAAATTTACCAAATGAATCTGTCCTGAAAAAATTAATGATATTTTTGAAACAGTAAATTTTCGAGGAAAATTTTTTGTTCTTTCTGAATATCGTCAGTTTTTTCAAATATTTTTAAATGTAATTAGAAGTTACTAAATTTTTCTTGAAACAGCAAATTTTTGAGAAATGAATAATTTTTCGAAAATTTACAATTTTCACGGAAGAATCATTCATTTATCAAAACAGCGAATTACCTCAAGTTCTCCATGAAAAACTTTGTTTATTTTTGAAACAGTCAATTTTTTTTCGCCAAAAATCTGTTCCAATAGAAAAAAAAACATATTTTTTGCAGGACCTCGACGATTTAACCGGTACAAATGTTCCAAACATTATTAAATTCGACAAACTTCTCAATTTGCCAGCTCCTCTTGATGAATATAAAATGCTGAAAGAACTCGAATCAATTGCGGCTCAAAATAAAATCTATCGAACTTATATTGGAATGGGATATTATAATACAATTGTGCCAGCTGTGATTTCCAGAAATATTTTGCAAAATATTGGATGGATTTCACAATATACACCTTATCAGGCTGAGATTTCACAAGGAAGATTGGAATCACTTTTGAATTTTCAGACTATGGTTAGTTTGTTTTTAAAATTTGAGATATCTGAACATTTTTGGATGAAAATGTCATTGATATTTCGCAGAAAAGGCTATTCAAATCAACTTTTTTATATTTAATATTAAAAATAAATTATTTTTGAAACAGTGAGTTTTTTCAAAACCCATAATTTTGATTTTCGATTCAATTGAATTAATATAAAATTCGAATATTTCTGGAAAACATTTGTAGTACTTTCAAAAAATCTACTATTTCAAAATAATTTATAAAAATTTCTACATCTCGAAAATAATAAAGAAATGTTGCATTGATCCAAATTTTGAAACAAATTCACTGTTTCAAAGGAATGTTATAGCTTTTTTGAAAATTATTCAACAATTTGTTGCTCGATTCTATTCCGTGCACAAAAACTTACTGTTTCAAAATAATTTTATACAAATTTGTCCAATTTCTTGGTTAATTTCTTTTCTTATAAAATTCTATTTTGTTTTCAGATAGCTGAAATGACAGGACTTCCAACAACAAATGCCTCACTTTTAGATGAAGCAACTGCAACTGCAGAAGCTGTTGCATTAGCAGCTCGAACAACAAAACGAAATAAAGTAGTTGTTGATGCTTTCTGTCATCCACAAAATCTAGATCTTGTAAAAACTCGAAGTGATCCTCTTGGAATTCAAGTCGAAGTTACAAATGATTTGGATTCTGTTGATTTTTCGGATAAATCAATTGGCGCAATTGTAATTCAATATCCAAATACAGAAGGACGAATTCAAGAACTCGGAAAACTTATCGAAAATGCACATAAAAATGGGACACTTGTTGTAATGGTTTGCGATCTTCTTTCTTTAACTATTTTGAAGAGTCCGGGTGATTTGGGAGCTGATATTGCAGTTGGATCCGCGCAAAGATTTGGTGTTCCTTTGGGTTATGGAGGACCACATGCTGGATTTATGGCTGTTGCTAAAATTGATTCGAAAAATTCATTGAGTCGAAATATGCCAGGACGGATTATTGGAGTTACCAAGTTAGTTTTAAAAATTTAGGATTGTGTTTTAGAAATCACACATTTTAGATGTCCTTATATGTAGTTTAAATCCTGAAGCAAAACTTCTCTTTAGAATCTGTGAACAATTTGAAACAGTGATTTTTTAAATATTGATTCCTGAAGATTTACAAACTAACTTCATTCAAGATTTTATCGAAAGTATTCAAAATTTTCAAATCAACAATTTTCAGCGAATCATTGGACCATTGTAAAAATTAAGTAAAATTTTTGAAACAGTGTTTTTTTTGGATTTTCACCAATTTTTTATTATGAAGTATCAAAATTTTTAAACAGTGAAAAATCAATTTTTGTATTTTCAATTATAATTATTTCTTCCAGAGATGCCAATGGAAAACGAGCTCTCCGACTTGCTCTTCAAACTCGCGAACAACATATTCGAAGAGACAAAGCTACAAGTAATATTTGTACTGCTCAAGCACTTTTGGCTAATATGGCTGCAATGTATGCAGTTTATCATGGACCAAATAGATTGACTGAAATTGCACGAGGTGTTCATAAATCTACAGCATATTTGGCCAGTCGTGAGTTGTTTTTTTGTGAACACCGTTTGAAAACAAACCGAAAAGGAATTTTAAAAAATTTTGAAACAGCAAATTTTTTCAAAATTAATTTATCTAAAAAAATCCCATTTTTGTCAGATCTCCGCGATGCCGGTCACACAATCATCCACAAAGACTTTTTCGACACTCTCAAAGTGCAACTCCGCTCATCAGATTCAATTTCCGAATTCAAAAAACGAGCAGAAAAAGCCGAAATGAATTTCCGATATTTCGAAGATGGTGCAATTGGTGTCGCTTTAGATGAAACTGTCAAATCTGAAGATTTGGTTGATATTATTGATGTATTCAATCAAAGTGGAAAAAATGCAGATATGGAGAAATTACGACAAGAAAGATGGGAAGTTGCGAGTCCTCTTATTGGAAATTCAGTGCATGCGCGAAGCTCGCTTTTCTTACAACATCCTGTTTTTAATACATATCACAGTGAACAACAATTGGTTAGATATATGAAAAGATTAGAAAATAAAGATGTTTCGTTGGTTCATAGTATGATTCCACTTGGATCTTGTACTATGAAATTGAATGCAAGTGCTGAACTTATTGTGAGTTATTTAAAACGGGTAATTTTGATACGAAATTCAGTTTTACTGTTTCAATATTTATATTTAAAAATTACAAAAAATCATTTGAGGATATTTTTTATTCAAAATTTTGAAGCTTATCTATTTTCTTCTTCTAAAAAATCTGATCACTTAATTTTTATGAACTTTTGAAACAGTAAAACTCGCAAAAAGCACGGTTTTTTTTCCAAATTCAGATTTGTACTGTTTTAAAAATTTATAAACACCATCATAGCTTTTACCCCGAAAAACTTACGTTTCAATTTTTTTGTTAAAAATAGATGAATTTGTGAGAGTAATAAATAAATATATTTAGACAAATTCTTCAAATTTGAATGGTAATAAAACTGACGTGATTTTCCCTAGAAAACTAATCAATATTTTTTAGCCTATAACTTGGCCTGGTTTCTCAAATCTTCATCCATTTGCTCCAATTTCTCAAGCTTCCGGATATCAACAAATATTCCAAGATTTGGAAAAATGGCTTTGTGAAATCACCGGATATGACAATTTCAGTTTGCAACCAAATTCGGGAGCAAATGGAGAATATGCGGGACTTTTGACTATTCGAAATTATTTGATTCATAAAGGAGAAGAACATAGAAATGTGAGTGGAATTTGAGATTTTTTGGGGAAATTTGAATTTAACTAACGACACTCCGATTTATGACACTGTATATGTTTTAATTTTCGGTCCCTGTGAGATCCTTATTCAAAAAATTGAATTGTTCTACATTTCATAACTACTCTATCTTCTAAAAGTTCAATTTTTCCTGAATTTTGGCTCATCGGAAAGTTAATTTTGAAACTAAAATCTCTAATTTCCTGCTCTGATAAAAATAGATTTTGTATGACCAAAAAAGGAAATGTTCCTACGAGATTCCATTTGATGACATTGCATGGGATTTAATTTTCGGTCCCTGTGAGATTCTTATTGAAAAAAATTGAATTTTTCTACATTTCATAACTACTTTTCCTTCAAAAGATTCAATTTCTTCTGGATTTTGGTTTATCGGAAAATTACCATAATAACTAAAATCTGCAATTTCCTGCTCCAACAAAAAACTATATTTTTATGCCCATAAATGGAAATGTTCCAACGACACTCCATTTGATGACTCTGCATATTTTATAGCATTTCGGCCCCTGTGAGATTCTAATTTGGAAAACATTTGGAAGAAAATATGACAGATAAAAAATTAAAAAACATTTGATTTTATTTTTTAAATTCAAATTTTAGAAGTTGATATGTTGTTCGAATGAATAAAATTATCCAATTTTTGTTATCCAGAAATTGTGAAACAATATATTTTTCATTGATTCAACCATTCGATTTTTCAAAGAAAGTTTCATTTCTTTAAAAAAATTTTTAAAAAGTAGACTTTTATTGAATTTCCAACGAAAAAATCAAGGAAAAGATTGATGATTCAAATTTTTAAATAATAAATTCACTCAAGTGGATCAGTGATAAATTTAATACAGTAAATGTTTAATAAATATCATAAACTAACTCTGAAACAGTAGATTTTTATTGAATGAAAAAATTTCCCGAAATCGACGACGGCTCTGAAACAGAATTTTTCAATTAAAAATTTTTCGAAAAATTTTGAAACAGTAGAATTAAATTTCAAAAAACAAGAGAAAATGAATTCATTCAGATCCTGCCAAGATGCAAATAATAACAGTGAATTTAAAAAAATTTCATAAAATAATTCTGAAACAGTAGATTTTTCAAATAATAAATTTTACAGATCTGTCTGATTCCAACCTCTGCTCATGGCACAAATCCAGCTTCAGCTCATATGGCAAATATGAAAGTAGTTGTTGTCGATTCGGATCAACACGGTAATATCAATTTCCGTGATCTCCAACAAAAAGCCGAAAAACATTCGAAAAATCTTGCCGCAATTATGGTAACTTATCCCTCAACTCATGGTGTATTCGAATCATCGATCAAAGATGTTTGTGATCTTGTTCATCAACACGGCGGACAAGTTTATCTCGATGGAGCAAATATGAATGCACAAGTTGGTTTGTGTCGTCCAGGAGATTATGGAAGTGATGTATCACATCTCAATTTGCATAAAACATTCTGTATTCCACATGGTGGAGGTGGCCCTGGAGTTGGACCAATTGGAGTCAAATCACATCTTGCACCATTTTTACCAGGACATTCTGTGATTCCAGTTGATGGCAGACAATCTGGCTCAGTTTCTGCTGCCCCTTGGGGATCTGCCAATATTCTTCCGATAACTTGGGCTTATATTCGAATGATGGGTGGATTGGGATTGAAAGAAGCTACACAAGTTGCGATTTTGAATGCAAATTATATGGCGAAACGATTAGAACACGAGTTTAGAATTGTTTATAAAGATGAACAGGGTTTGGTGGCTCATGAATTTATTGTTGATTGTAAACCATTTAAGAAGTTTGGAATTGAAGTTGTTGATATTGCGAAAAGATTGATGGATTATGGGTGAGCATATTTTTATGTTGAAATTTTTTTAGAACATCAAATCACATCGAAATTGTTTTGTTGAAACAATTTTTGAGAATATTTTGAAACAGTAGATTTTCTGGGTTTTTTAAATGTTATGACATCCAAATTTTTTCTTCAATATTTTTTTCGAAATCAATTGTGTTCTGATTGTGAGTAATTAACCATCATTTTTTGCTTCGAAAATTTTGAATATTTTTTGAAACAGTGGATTTTCTGAGAAATTTTTATTTTTGATTCTGAATGCACAAAATTTTTCCTGTAAAATTTATATTTGTTTTGACTTTTTATTAAACACTGTTTTCAATTCGAAAAATTTGAGTATTGAATTTTTTCCAAAACAAAAAATACTTGACGGAACTGTTAATTTTTTAGAATTGATTTTTTTTTTGAGTATCAAAACACCAGACCAAACAATTTTTCCTGCGAAAAAAATTGAGACTTGTTTTGCTGCTAAAATTTTAATAATTTTTTGAAATAGTGGAGTTTTTTACCCAGAAAGTTTTGGCCATAATTTTTAACTACATTTTTTTCATACTTTATAAGTAATTTATCTTGAAAAATATGTTCAAAAGGTTTTATATCTGTTTTTGTTTCGGGTTGATGCTATTCTATCAAAATTTCGAATGAGAATAATTTTCCGAAAATTTCTTATCAAATTTATCTCAAAAATCAAATATTTGCAGTTTCCATTCTCCAACAATGTCTTGGCCAGTCCATGATTGTTTAATGATCGAACCAACTGAATCAGAAGACAAAGCCGAAATGGATCGATTAGTCGAAGCACTTCTAGCGATTCGCGAAGAAATCCGTCAAATTGAAAACGGAACTCTTGACAAAAATTTGAATCCACTCAAATTGGCGCCACACACTCTAGAAAAAGTGATCGATGATAAATGGGACCTACCGTATTCTCGACAATTGGCTGCGTATCCAAAACCATGGTGTGCACATAAAGCATGGCCAACTGTTGGTAGAGTTGATGATCAATTTGGAGATAAGAATTTGATGTGCACATGTCCACCAATTGAAAGTTATCAATAAAATAGAATAGTGAATATCTATGTAGTATATAAAAAATATTAATCGGGTGATAGATTCTAATTAAAATTTACTAATTAAGAACAAATAAAGATTTACTGTTTGAAACAAAGAAGATAACGAAATATGATACAACAGAACAAAAAAAGAAAACAGAAAAACAAAAACAAGGAAGTTATTAGCAATTATTATTTAGAATAAGATGATGAGGATGGACAACGTTGGCGGGAAGAAGATGAAGAATTGAAGAAGGATTTAGAAGAAGTAGATGTGTGTGATTGAAGATGATCGAGATTGTCGTCAGATTCGTCGTCGCCGTCGTGATCGTGGTTTTTGATCTGGGAAAATAGGGAATTTTTAAGATTTTCAGAACTGAAATTTGAATAGTTTCGGAAAAAATGAAAAAATCGAGACAAACAAATTTGAGATTGTTAAAATATGGATTCTAATTTCAACTCTAATAGGTTAATATTTTCAAAAAATTTACGAATTTTTTTTTTGATTTTTTTCTTTTGAGTTTTCAAAAATACTGTTGAAAAACTATTGCAAAAAGTATTTGGGAAAAATCCACAGTGAAAATGATACGGAAAATGTACAGTAACCCGTGAACTTTTTGCGGTTTGTTTTTCATTTTTATTTTCAAAACTCACTGCAACTGCTCTCAATCCCTTTCTCTTCTTTCTCAAATTTGCATTTTCATCAACAATTTTCTCCAAATAAATACTGATTTTCTCATCTCTTCTCATTTCATCACTTTCTTCATTATATTCATCTTCTGATGCCGTTGTATAATATTGATTCAATGAATATTGTGCAGAAGCTGATGAAGAAGTTGGATAATATCTCAAATTTTGAAGTGTTTCAATCATTTTCTTTCCCGAAGAGAAACGCATCAACTTGTTTTTCTCCTTCAAAATACGCTCTTGCAATCTCTTGAGCCAAATTTCGAATTGGTGAAAATAGTCGTAGCCGCCTTTCTTCGTACTTCGCTGTTTTGATATCGATTCACAACAAACTGTCAACATACATTGAACAACATAATTGCCAAATTGATGGAATAACATAATATCCAATGCGTCTTTTCCAGTTTCTGGATGTGGAACATAACCATCAAAGATTTCTTCCATCATTTCAGCAAAAAGGAGAAGAGGAGCATGGAGAAAGGCTTTTTCGACAACGTGTGATGCGTATTTTTCTTGAGATAATGAGAGCAAGTTTTTCCTGGAATATTTGAAATTTGTGAGGTTAAATGTTGTCTATCTTCAATTGTGGTTTGTAATTCTCCTATTTTCCATATGAAAATCGATACATTTTGGCTTGAAATTTACAATTTTGAAAGGCGAAAAGCTTTTTCAAAAAAAAATCTTAAAACGTGAATCACGAACTACGGTTTTTCCATAAAATTGATTTTTCACTTCAAAATTAAATTCAAGAAATGTTTTTATTTTTCACGTGAAAAAAAAACGATTTTTACGTAAGTTTAATTTTAATCTTTCATTTCATTTTTCATTTCAAACTCACATCAAACTAGTCTCAATAATTTTGTCTCGATAAACACCCAATTCTTCAGTCGAAACAACATGTTGAATAATATAATTGGCATATTCATTCGTCGCCAATTCCGAACATTTCGCAACAACTGTGCTCATAATGCGTTGAAGCGCAATTTCGCGTTGATTCTGCGCCGAAACCGTCAAATCCGAATTTCTCGAATCGATCGTCAATTTCTCGATGATCGTTTGCACTACACGACATCCGTATTTATTCAAGCATATTTGACGAAGATTGTGAGGCTGCGACATGAAATCGATGATAAATTCCCATTTTTGAATCGGAATCACATCAACGATTTTTTGAACAACGTGATTCGCATTTTTGTCAGTGCAGATGGATATGAAACGAATGTCTTGTGGAATGCGTTGAACCAAATACGAGGCAACTGAAAGATCCAAATATTCGAGAGCACATTGAACAACTCGACACGCCGATTTATCCAAACTCAAATCTGTCATCTTGCCAGCGAGATATTCTTTGATTTTCTCTTGTCTGAAATTGTATTCAGAATCGTGAGTTGCGGTTGATATTTCGATGACTTGTTGCACGAAGAAATTGCCATACATGTTGGTGCTCAATTTCTAAATACAAAAAATATGTTGTTTTATTTACAAAGGAAACTCTCTACGTTTCTCTGTCTACTATATATCAGAGAGAAACTTCAAATCTTACCAAAAACACATCCTGTCTCCCAATAACTTGCTCAAATAGCATTTTCAATAAATTTCCAGATAGTTTCTCTCTCAACGCGTTTTGTATAAATTGACAACCAAATTTATCCATCGCAAAATTCACGAGCTCGCCACTCTCCAAAACTCGAAGAAGTGAGGTATTTCTACGAAGTTCGCCATTCGAATCAGTCGCCCAAGCTGGCAGAGCAGAGCGTGATGGTTTTGTGGCCATAGCTGAGCGTGAACGATATGGAGAATCGTTTCGTGGTGGAGCTGGTGAGCAATTCTCATTTCGATAAGAAGGACGATCAAGTGAACTGTATGGTCTCGCGTGGAAATTCGATTGTGATGGTGAACTATTCTGGTTCTGACGCGGCATATACATTTGTAACTGAAAATGGTTTGTTTCTCCCTTTTTCAAACATCATCATTATATTTAATCAAAATGTAATTGTTTGTGCTGTTATCAGCGAATGATGTGAATGCACCAATAAAACTTACGTAATTTTGTAAATTTCCAACATCCGTAAAAGTATTCAACATCAAAGGTGGTGGTCGATTTGAAGAATTCAATTGCATCATTGACAAATATTGAGCCAATGATGAGAAATCCCAAAGTTGTGGGAAAAAGCTGTTATGCTCTTTTTGTTGTTGATGAGATTTTTGCTGAAAATCCCATTGTTTTTTAAAAAGTTCATGTGAACCACTAACCTTTCTTCCTCTATTCGACGACATGTTGCAGTTAGTTTGTGAATTTGTGTGGTTTTCAAGGTTAAAAACGTGATTTTTAGGCGCAAAAAATAAAAATAAAAAAATTTCGAAATGAGAAAGTGTTTGCAGACGCGTCCATCTACCGTACTTTTGTTTACCGTACCCATTCGTGACGGAAAATTTTTCATGAAAAAATAAAATTTTTCGGGTTTGCTCGTAAAATTTTAATGGTTGATAGAACATTATAAAAATTCCTAATTGATAAAAAAATGCCTCTACTGTTTATATTGACACTTTTCTTCAAATTTGCGATTTCAACAGATTTTGGGGATTTGGTGAAGACAACAGTTCGAGGAAATGAGGCAGTTTTATATAATTGCTCGAGTTCCGAAGATTTGCAAATTTCGAATTGTTATTTAGACTTGTTTAGAAAATATAATTTGAATGTTACTAGTTTGCCGGGAAGTGAAACTGATCCTTTTCAAGTTATTCGATATGATGCGACGAATATGTGCAAGTTTGTAGCATTTTTTGAGCTCAAAAATTATTTTGTTTATTTTTCAAACAGGAACTATAAAGCTTTGAAGACTTGTGCTAATAATGATGGATGCTTCAATTATAATACATTTCGAGCCTTGTTGAATTCTGAAATTGATGCTGAATATTATGTTTCACAGACTGGATTTTTGGAATTTTATTGTTTTCATGGAAGTGATTGTGAGTTCCAGGACGGAATTTGATCACATTTTGGGCGAAAAAATTTGTGCTTATCTGAAATTTTTTGGGAAAATCTTTCGAAATTTTTTATTAAAAAATCTGGAAATTGTTGTATTTTCGAACTTTGTGAATTCAACATTTTTGATTTCATTCAACTAAATAATATTTCAGTCATTCTTTATTACGAATGTATGCAAACAATAGAATTAGATGATTTATCCGAGACAATTTTCACCGAATGTTCAGAGCTTGAAGTCGGAACTTGTGAGTGAGTAAATTTTCTAGATTTGTTGAAAAGTTTCCTCTCACAAATATATATTCTCTAGCTCTGTCTCAAAAACAACTCAATGCGAGCGTGCCGTTGTTCGAAAATCATGCATCTCCCTGAAAGCCATCAACGCCTATTGTCAATATCAAAAAATATTAACTTCAATGACCGGATGGAATCAATGTGAATATATGCCATGTGTTAATTTCTCATCAAAATCTACCTCATTTTTCATGATTTTTCTCATAATTTATGTGTATTTTCTTCACAGGGAAACAATAATATAGTTTAAGTTTAAATTTAAGTTCAAATTCAAGTTGAAATCAATTTTAGATTGGGATCATGTTCAGATAAAAAAAGTGGGCAATTTAAATCAAACTTCTGAGGTTTCCGGCTCTTTTTCAGACTGTTCTTGCTCTTGAGCCTCATCTTCTTTAATTTTGATTCTTTCGGCATTCAAATCACAATCCGCTTTTCGTTTCCTTGTTTGATCATTTGTTTCGGATTTCAAAAGATCGGTCATTTTGTTGAAGAATTGATCGGCTTCCGCTCCAGTATCAGCCTTTGAAAATCCGAACTTCAAGAGGAAAATTTGTACGCCACTTGCTTCAGGGGTCATTGCAGATATCTAGAAAAGTTTCGATTAAAAATCCTGATTGAAAATGAAAATGTCTTACTCTTATCCGACGATCTGGTCTTTCTAATAACATCCCAGAGAAGATTTTCGAATTAATAACAACTCGCAATGTTCCAGAAGTTCTTGCAACTATTCTATGATGAGTTTGTCCATTTTCACAACTTTGATTGATTCTCAACGTGCAAACTCCTTTTTCCGTATACTCTCTTCTTTCCTTGTCAAAAACCCAAATCTTACAAGAAGCTTGAAATATATTGCTATCAGATTCTTCGCCAGTTGTCACTTCTACTACAGACGTGCTTGCGTGTTGTTTTTCAGCTTCTTTTGCTCGCTCGGCTTCTTGAACAGCTTGCTCTCGGAAATTGTTCACCGCATTTCCATTCGTCTCTTTTTCCTCGTCTTTTTTCACGGCAGTTTTGAAAAGTTCGGTGGCTGTCAGCGAAGTGCTTCCATTGTTTTCCTCTTTGTTTTCGCATTTCACAACTCGTTCACTTATTTTTGAACCGAATACAAATGCTTCTCCTGATTGTCCTTGCGATTGTTGAGGGTTTTCTTCATTGTCTTTTGGTTTTTGAGCGGATATTTTTCCGAGAACATCACCTAATGATTTCTTCTCCAATTGCACGTGATTCACAACTGGTTTTGATGCCGAAAAATCGTTTTTACCTGGAAAACATAAAATATTTTATAACCATTGAAAAACCCAAGATTCCCAAAGAAAAAACTTACTCTCCGACCAAATTTTATCTGCTTTATCGGCTAGCGCAGATTTCTTGAATGCAAACTTCCTAGGCTCGGTCATTTTCAGAGTTTTAGCGAGATTTGAAGTTTTTCGAAAGAAAAATAAATGAAATGTATCAGCGACTCAGCACTGACGCATAATACACACGTCTACAGAAAATGCGCCAGTCTTATTTGTTGACGCAAACAAAATTATTTATTTTATTTTTTTTTCTCTCGCTGTTCGTTTTCTCATTTCTAAATATATAAACGAACTATAATGACGTGGCTCTTCGTACTATTAGCAATATTATCTCAAATTCAAATAGCTGAAAGTGGTTCGGATACAAATTTCGAGGATACAAGATGTCGTTGTACTTGTCCAAGCACTTGGAAATTTATAGCTCATGCAGATAATTCAACAGATAAACAGGATCAGGATCATAAACGAAGATATTATACGAAGACCAATATTGAGCCAAGTTCCTGGTTAGTTTTTTATAAAGGAAGCGTTTTTAAAATGAATAAAAATATTTTTCCAGTAAACCAGCCAATATTGTGAAAGACCAAGTGATTTCACTAATCGATAGCTCAAAAATCGATGCATTTTTGGCGAATTGCGATTGTCGTTATGAATCAAGAAACACAGTATTATTAAAAGTTGTGGTTATTTTTGTAATTTGCGTCATCGCAGTTCTAACAGGATATATGGTTTTCTTGATGTGTTTGGATCCAATGCTCCGAAAAAAGCGACTTTCAATAAGTTATCAACAACATAATGATGAGATGGAAGATAATATTTTTGCACCAAATGCAACTGCGGAGCCTTCGTCTTCTTCTCTTGATCCAGATGGTACAACTAGAGCTAGAAATACTGGAAGTAAGGGCTTTTCTAAAGTTTTTGACAAATATTTGATGTAATAGATGTTCGCATTTATTTATTTTCAGATGTTCTCGGTCGCGTTGAGGCTGAACAAAATCGCTGGATGCGAAAAGTCGAAGAGCAGCGCCGAAATATTTTCGAAGATCACACAATGCTCAATTAACTCGACTCGATATAAGAAAACAAAAAAAATATTGATTGTCTGTATACGGTGCTTGTAAATATACATATAAATTTGAATAAATCTATTTATTTTTTTTTGCCTTCAAAACATTCCCATGATCGAGGAAAACTCTGCGTCTCTAATATCTAATCTTCTTTTTTTCGCGCCAAAGGACGAAAAAAACGGGAAAAGAAGATGGAGAAAAATGCGAGTGCCGTTTTATTTATTTTTTCTCTACTTACTTTTTTTCCTGTGATTGACGCGATGAAAAATAACTTTGAAAAATAGAAATCAATCTTGTTTTTGTGATTTTCTTTTTGATTTTCAAAACAATGAGTAATTTTGCACTTTTTAGGTGAATTTTTTATTTGTTTAATTTTTGAGGTTTTTAAAATTAGGATGAAACCGCCCAATAATTAAAAAAGAATTCAAATTTATTTTCCAATTTTTCGTCGGCTTTTGAAGAGTTACCGTACCTCATATTTTCCAAATGTTTGTTTCGAAACCGAAAAAACGTGAGTAATTGTTGCACTTTTTAGGCCCGCCTGTTGAATTTTTCATTTTTTGTCCTTTTTTGAGAAGCAGAATCGCCAGTTTCCAAAAAAAAATTAAAAACAGACTCCAAACTTTCTGCAAATTGTGGCGAGACCCAGATATTCTTATAGTGTGCCTTTGACAAAATACCGTTATTTATTTCATTTTTTCAAAAAAAAATTACAGTTTTTTCCCGTTTCCCACTAGATTTCCCGTATATTCGAGCCTCCCCAAAACATTTATTGTTTTCCCCATCATCTTTCTTCTTTGTTTACTCAATAACACTTTACGGAACTGTTTATTGTTTTTGTTCTTTCTTTTGAATACGACCTTGATGGTAAATTGTATTACAGGGTGCGCCATAAATACCCGGACAGCTATAATTCAATATATTTTTCCAAAATAGAACAGTTTTTTGTGTATGGTTTTAAAAATAATTAATTAGGTCCCTAACGAGTAAATTAAAATCAAACTCTCTTAACTTGGTCAATTCTACGAGTCGGGAGAACATGTAGAACTTCAGGGAAAATTTCATCACGGCACGCAGAACAATGAAAAAGTGGTCTCGCTATTTTTGGATGAAATTATTTTTATTGCGAAGGCTTCATTTGAGTTGTAAAATGTTTGAAGGGTTGTCAGAGAGTCCCAAGAAGCCAAGAAAAAATATAAAATTGTCCACCATGTCTCACACCAAGTTTGGGTGGAGATTTTTGGAACAGTCTGCTTCATTGGGAGAAATCATTGATCTCCATTGATTTTGGGGTCAAAATTGGGAGTAAAGTTGAAATAAATGTATTTCTGGACTAACATATGTACCTAAGAATGAAAATCAACCTCGATAACAAACATCAAGTGCTCCAGCCAATTACAGTACACAATAAAAGATAAAATCTCCCAAAATCGCTGTTGAGAAACAATTTTTTCGATTTGAGCAACGTTTTTAAATTGATGTTACTTTTGTCAGAAACGAACCCATTGCATAATTCCTTTCAAATTAGTTATCGGAAAGGTTCTAGGTAAACTTCCAATCATGTATTTAGACTATACAGAACCTAGTTTTCAAGTATTGGGACAATATGTCCGACAAATGGCAGCGTGCCGAGGTGAAATTTTCCCCGAAGTTCTAAAAGATTTCCCAGGTCGCAGAACCGACCAGATTAAGAGATATTGGTTCCAATTTACTCGTTAGGGACCTAATTAAGTATTTTTAAAACCATACACAAAAAACTGTTCTATTTTGAAAAAATATATTGAATAAATAGCTGTCCGGGTATTTATGGCGCGCCCTGTATTTTGTCCGTTCTCCAATCACTTTTAAATGTTTCAGATGTCGGCGTTTTTCGAAAAACTCCATTCGGAGGCGCATAAGTTGAAGGAGAAATTGAAGGAAAAATCGAGAAAACGAAAGGCTCCAACACCAGAAGATGCTATCAATCAGTTAAGGGTAAGTTATTACAAAATTATATGTATTTTTGTAGTTTTGAGATGCTGATCACGGTCTCGTTTTCAAAAATGATTTACCTCAACTCTGAATATAAGTTATGATGAAAAATTTGGAAATTCAGAAAAAGAGTTGTGCAGTTTCTGAAAACGGGGTCTATAGAAAATCTGTATTTTATTTTTAAAAAATTCAATTTTCAGGACGCCGAAGATTTGCTAACAAAGAAGCAACTTTATTACGAACTCAAAATCACTGAAGAAGTCGAAAATGCCAAAAAATATAGTAAAAGTAACAAAAAGATGGCATTGGCAGCTTTGAAACGAAAAAAGCATCATGAAATCGAGTTGAGTCGAATTGATGGAGTTTTGACAAAATTAGAAGCTCAACGAGAAGCTTTAGAAAATGTTGGAATGAATGCCGAAGTTATTGATGTTTTGGGAAAAACAAATGAAGCTTTGAAAAAAGCGCACGGAAATATGGATTTGGATGAAGTTCATGATTTGATGGATGAAATTGCCGATGGTTTGGCACAAAGTCAAGAGTTTAATGAAGCGATTTCGGCACCGATTGGAGATGTTGTTGATGAGGATGATTTATTGAAAGAATTGCAGGAATTGCAAGATGTGAGTTTTTTTTTGGATTCAACACAAGTAATAACTAATGTCATAAAATTAATATTTATTATTGACATTTGTTGAAACTTATTTTTTTCTGTTTTTTCTGGACGAATACTTTTTTATAATTTAAAAAATAAGGAACATTTAAAATATTAATAATATAACGGATTTTTCCTGCATATTTAAATTGATTTTATTCAATGGATTTTTTTTGAAACAGTGAAAAATTATTTTTTTTTTTTGAGTTTCTAGAATCAATGGAAAATGATTTTGAAATTTTAATTTTTTTCCGTAGAATTTCGACGGAAGTCGAAACGACAGTAACCATTTTTATTTTGAATTTTAGGCAAAAAATCCACTGTTTCCAAAATTTTACGGAATGGAATTTTATCGTTTATACCATTCGAAGCTTAATTTTTCTCGAACTATAATTTTCAGAATGTCGCTGAGTTACCAAAACTTCCAACAATTCCAAGTCAAGATCTTCCCGAAGTTCCTTCAACTCAACCAACTCGAAGTCGACCAAAAATCCGAAAAATGGACACAATGGAAGAATTGGAACAATGGGCCGCCACTAATTAATCACTTTTTCAGGAATTTTAATTGTTTATCTAATACAAGTTCTTCATATTTTCATGTCAGTTCAAATTTTATAGCGAATGATATCATTTTTCCTTTTTCAAGAAAAGTTTTCTCTATGTGTTTGATCTTTCAACAAAAAGTTGGCCTATAAATCTGGCGAAGCGAAAAATCCGGATTATTTTTTATTTTATCCACACTTTATTATTATTTTTATTATTGTTGGTTGATAAGAAAATGTTTCTTATTCGAACGGCTTTTTTTCTCACCTTTTTTCTTTTATTTTCACAAGTTTTCGGATTTTTGGAACCGCAGCCAACTTGTCCAAATTGTCCAGCTTGTCAAAATGTGAATGGATGTTTGGGAACTGTTGAAACAACTACTCAAGAGGTTAGTTTTCTCATCATCCAGATTTTTTGAGAAAAATTATTCGTGAAAAATTTGGACCCTAATCAATAAAATCAGAATAAGCACTCAAAAATTATCTCAAAAGGTTGATTTTTTTCTGAAAAAAATCTCTAAAATCAGATTAAATAAAAAAATTGGATAAATTTAAAATTGAATAGAACAAATCAATTTTCAACCCCCAAATTTACTGAAAATCTGAAATTTTGAATAATTTTAGGCTGAATTTTGAGCCAAAAATTCCGCCTTTAAAACTAGAAAAAATGAGTTTGAATGTCAAATCGAAAAAAGAATTGTCGAATCGTTTCGTCAATACAGAACCAACACTTCAAATAAATTTGAAACAGTGAATTTTTGAAAAAAAAATTCAAAAAAAGAATTTCTTAAAAATAGGAAAAATTGACTAGAAAAATAATCAAAATCAACAGAACACGCAAATTATCAGTTTCAAAAAAATTCAAAACACATACAAATTTTGAAACAGTGATTTTTTTCCGATTTCTAAACAATTCATATTTTTCTTATTTTTTTCCAGTCAACCGAATCAACAACTCTGGAATATTATCAACAACATTGGCAAAATTTAGGCTGGAAAACAGACGATGACGGAAATGTTTTCATCGGAGATGATGATAACAATTTGAAATTAATTCAAATTGGATCGTGGTGTCCAAAAGAACTTTGCAAGGGATGGTTCGGAATTTGGTAACAAATGAAAATTTATAGTAATTTAATTTAAGTTATTTAAAGTTATTCACAAAATAAAATGCAATTAAAATTTGACACGAAATTGATTAAAATAATAAAATATACAAAAATAAGATCAATGAGATCCAAAAGTGTCGCACCATTCCTCACATTTTTGCAACATTTCCATATTTACAGTTGGTGAGACTTGTTTAAGCGCCGTTTCGAAATCGATTTTTCTAACGGGTTCGGCGCGAAGTACATCCAAATTCAATCCGCCAATACTTGTACGGAATTTTGAAGTGTCGAGGCGGCGGAGCACATTGTAGGCGGCTGCGCGGCAAAATGATGTGATATCTGCGCCGGAATAGCCTTCGGTTCGACGAGCATATTCATCCACGTTGAAGTCATTCATATCGACGTTGATCTGGAAAAGAATGAATATAGTTATGACGTGGCAAACATATTTTAATTTTTGAATTTTAGAAATTGTGAAAAAAATTGGGCCGAAAACTGAGAAATTGTAGTTTTCAGTTTAACGTGAGCAATCAAGCCTCGAAATATTTTTCCACAAAAATTGTATGTTTCCAGATCAATTTAATATGAGCAATGATTTTCGTATATTTGAATTCTCCACTACATTATGGATGAAAAAAATGATTTTCAAAACTTTTGAATGAAAATCTTAGATTAAACCCCCTTCGAAAACTTACGCCTTGAATTGAGCTTTCAATCAATTGTTTTCTGCATGCTTCATTCGGCAATGGTACAAACAATCGTTTTTCCAATCTTCGAATCAATGCTTCATCAATAACCCACGGCAAATTCGTGGCAGCCAATACAAAAACACGTCTCTCATCATTCTGATTTTTCACACCATCCATTTGCAACAACAATTCAGATTTCAATCTTCGACTTGCTTCGTGTTCTCCACTACTTCCTCTTTGTGTTGCAATTGTATCAATTTCATCGATGAAAATAATTGAGGGAGCATAAAAACGAGCGAGTTCAAAGAGAAGACGCAGGATTTTTTCGGAATCTCCTCGCCATTTTGAAGTGAGATCAGTTGAAGAAATCAGGAAGACTGTGGAATTTGCTTCGGCGGCGATTGCACGAGCTATCATTGTTTTGCCGGTTCCTGGTGGACCTGCCAAACACATTGCTTTCCATGGACGGCGGAGACCCTGCAAAATTTCAGATTTTTGAATTTGGATTGGACCTTTCTCAATTTCTTTTTAATTTTTTTTCAGCAAAAAAAACAAAAAATTCAGAGAAAAAATAATAATATTTTTGCGTGAACGTGAAATTTTCGTGGCAAATGCTATTTCCACGAAAATTTTTCTATTACATTTTTTCGGCGAGCAACAAAATGGCAACAAATAAAGATGAGTTTTCTTTGGGGTGCCCAAATTCCTAATCTACTACCCTCTGCGAACAATTCCACGTGTCTCTCCTGGAGTGAAGTACAGCTCAACTTAGCCTGACTCTGGATAGTGAAGCTTCTTAAGTTGGGCATTAGCCATTGCAATTGTCAGGAACCTCGACATGAGTTACCTTAACTTTTTGGTTATACTCTCGACTTTGTCGACTTGATTTGGTTGGAAAAACTGTGAAGGGAGAGATCGAGGTTCGCTTTTCAAGTTTTTTTTTTGAAAAAAAATTGAAAAGAAAACGTGGAATTCTTCAAGGAAGAGGGAAAAATCGACTAGTATGGGGGAAAACACGATTCTTCCAAGAAAAATCATGATTTTTTCAGAAAACAACTCGCAAACAATGGAAAACCCGCTTGGAATCTTACACAGAAAAACAGAAATCAAGGAATTCGAAATTTTCGGTGAGTTTTTTCAATGAAAAAAAGAAGAGAAATTTCTGGAATTTTGATTGAAAATTGATGGAATTCAAATTTTATCAATTTTAAATTGAAATTTCAGATGGAATGCGGAAGCTATGCTCAAAATTTCATTTTTTAACCAGAACTTTGGAATTTTCCGAAATTCTGGAAGCCTTAGATTTTCTAAAGAAAAATTCGATTTTTTCAGAGCGAAATTAGAGACCGATACCGAAAACCACAAAAATGCCGAGGAATTTTAATTTTTTCAAATATTCAATTTCTTTTTCCGGCTTCTTGCAGAAAAGCCAAGAAGCGGGGGTTTAGAGTAGTTTTGTTCTAAATTCCACGCGGAAATCGTCGTTTTTCCAAACTCTAGCTTCTTGCAGAAAAGCCGAGAAGCTGGAGTTTAGTCTAGTTTTGTTTTGAAGTCCTAGTGAATGCTTATCTCTATGTTGGGTCAAACAATCCACGTGGAAACCGTTGTTTCGCTGAATATCCACGATTGTGTGTAGCAGTCACACATCGTGTCGAGACCCATTTAAAGTGAAGCGTAAATTCATACTTACCGTGAAAAATTCCGGGATTAATACTGGCAAAATAATGGCCTCCTTCAACACTTGTTTCACATTCTCCATTCCAATAACTTTATCCATTGTCATATTATTGTCTTTCGATGATTCCATTGTAGCAGCGACTGCTCGAACAACTTCAGGATCGTAAAGCGAAGCATCGTAGTGTTCGCCAGCCGCGTTTGTTGGCAAAATATCTTGAGATGGATTGGCTGGCTTATTTTCATTGGATGTTGATGGAACAGCTCGAGGATTTGTGGATGTCGTTGATGATTTTTGTGATTTTGATGTTGTGGCAGCCGCAGTCGTGCCTTTCTTCGGTTTTGATGCTCCTTTAAGCGATGGCGGAGCTGACCAAACATCTGGATCTGCTGGTGGTTCTGGCGAAGTTCTTGCAGCGTGTCCGCGAAGTGTTTCCGCCAATTCCGCATCAGCCTCGATATTTTGCTTCACCAAACTGATAGCTTTCTCAGTTCGCTTCAACAAATGCTCTTTTCCCGAAATATCTTCCGGTGTGCTGACTTTGAATTTGCGCAGCTCCACGGCAAGGCTTTGAAAACCATCCAAACTTTGTTGCCATTCTCCGGAATATGCGAGACGTTGTGCTTCTCGCATTTTTTGCAGGAAATTGTTGACGGCCTCTTCAACCGACATTTTTGTTGCTGGAAATTTATTGATTTTTTTTTGAATTCGGGTCATGAGAAATCAAAAATAAAATAAAATCCAGAGAGAAAAGGGAGATGGGATAAATGAAAACCGGAAAACAAAAATATTTTTTGCAATACTCCACGATCACCCTGCGCTATTCTCTGCACGCTCTAGCAAACACACACTCTTTCTGCGTTTTTTCAAATATAAGGAATATACGGGATTTCAAAAGGAAATTTCCAGGTTTTACAACGTCAAAAGAACAACGGGTGGTTGACGGGAACCCTCGGGGGTTTTTGGCGGGAACCGTGATATTCCCTCACGAACTATAACCCCGGGGAACCCTGAGATGTGGTGAAAAAGTCGTCTTCAACTGAAACTCAGAGAAACAGGCTGGAGAACCGGCGGAGAAAACGACATATCGGCGAACTCTCGGACAACCGGCGGAGTGTCTCACCTACACTATTTCGCCGAAACTTTTGTCCACCGGTTGTCCGAGAGTTCGCCGACATGTCGTTTTCTCCGCCGGTTCTCCAGCCTGTTTCTCTGAGTAAGTCCCCATTTTCCCATGAAACTCTGAAATCTCAAAGTTTTCCCGCCATCGCGCTGAAAAAACCGAAAAACCATAGTTTCAATCAAAGGCACACACATTACCCATTAATGGTCTTGCAGCGATCATGCTCATTTTTGTTTTAAAAATTTCTTTGCACTTTTTTTTTGTTTTTTCCCGTTTTTCAAGCCCTTTCTTGCCAAATGCTAAACATTCGGGTTGCTGACAGGTTACTCACAATTTCTCTCTTTGTTTCCCATTCCCATTTCGTATTTTCCTCCCGTTTTCTCCCTCGATTTTATTGCTTTTCTTTGTGTTTTTTTTTCTTCCACAGCTAAAAAAAAAAGAAGAAAATACATTAAACACTTTAGTTACGTACTCCCCCCCTTTTTTTCCAAAAAAAGAAAAAAAGTGGGCGGTGTCCGAAATGATTTTCGCCAAAGTGCGGCGTGTGTGTGTTGCATGCGCACGGTTTTTTCTTTATTTTTTTATTGTTTGCAAAGCTTCATTTTTCAAAAAAAAGCGCTTGTACCCAATGGAAAAGAGGAAATGCAATATAAAATGAAGAACAAAATCAATTCTCAATTGTAAATTAAAAAAGAAATCGAGAAAATAACGAAATTTGCAGTCAAAAGTAGCAAATATGGTTGAACAAAGATATTTGTTTTATTTTCGACTTTCAATCACAGCTAAAAGATTTTTTGTTACCGTCATACGGTATGCGTCGGTGTTTGCAGACAGCGCGTGGAGGCGTGGCCTATGGTGCGTGGCTATTCGGTGCGTTGCACACGGTTTTGGCAATGTGCGGCGCGTGTGTGTTTGTTGCATCATTTTTTTTACAACAGATTTTGTGTGTTTTCTCATATTTTTCATTGTTTAAACGGTGACTTCGGTTATTTTGAGTGAATATACCACCTTGATCGCAAGTCACACTTTTTTAACAGTTTAAACGTCTTATTTATCATTTTCAGTGAAATATTTCCAGATAGGAGAATTTTATAAACTTTTTTTTTTAAACTTTTCATTATTTTGGGATTTTTAACTACTTTTAACTTTATAGATTATGTCATTTCATCTCCAAATCGAGATTCACTGGCGAACTACTTCAATGATTTTTTAACACACTATTTTCGACGATTCTCTACATTTTGTATCAAAGGTAATTTTTATCAAAAATTGTTCCGTAAACGAAATTATCCGTAGGTAATTTACATCATTCAGGTTCTATCAAGTTAATTGGTTGAAGAAATGCTATTACAAGTGCACAAACCGCATCAATTTTGGAAAGTGCACCTGATTCGACTGTGATAGGTAATTTTTAATCGAATATTGTTCCGTATAATCATAATCCCGTAGGTCAATGAAGTTATTTTCAGATTGAATGACAAATAATTCGATCGTTTAATTATTTTTTCGCATGGGATATATGGTTGGCTTCCGTGTAATTATGAAGATTTTCGAAAAAAAATATTATGGATAAACAAATTATTCTCATTTCTAAAAAATACCAAAACCGGTGAGTAGAAACATGTTAAATGTCGAGCGAGTTCACCATTTTGCCTTATTAAATAACCGAATGTAATATTTTCGATCGGAATGTTTTGGAGATGAAAACGCTTTTGAAAACTCATCCTTTCACAGATATGCAAAACTTAGAATTGAAAATGTTCTGACATTAAGTTATTAGAAATTCATTTATCACGAAAAGTTTTACAAAGTATTCCTGCATTCAACATTTATTTCAGTTGGTGGCAATCATCATCATACTTTTCAAAAGCTAAAAGCTTGAGTGTAAAAATGTCTCTTGCATATATTTTCGTGAAAGTTTCACATCCTATGTACGAGATAGGATAAGGTTCACAAAAATTATGCATTGTTCCAAATATTCTCAAAAAATTTTAAATTTCCTTCGTTGTTTTTTCAAAAAAAAAAACTGAACATTTTGCAAAAAAAATCGTAAATTTTTACAACTTAACGCCAAAGCTCCAACATGTCCAACTTTCAATCTCTGAACTTTTTCTGCCTGTTAATTTTTCCAGATCCAATGATCTCGCCTTCATCTGGACTTCTCAAATGCTCTTCGTTGCGAATGGACTTCCCACACTCAAAATAACTCGTTAAAATCTATTTGTTCTGTAAATGCGTGTGTTTTTTGTTTATATTTTTCACATTTTTGCAAACATTAATAAATGTTTTATTTTTTTGCGACTTCTAATTTTTAAATTGTTTATTTTTGATCTGAAAACTTCGATAACACCAAAAATTAGATTTTGATATCAAAAATATTTTTTGAAATAATGAAACCTTCAAGAATTCAATCAAAAGTTAATATTAATATAGATTCTCAGAATTTCAATAAATTCTCTACTCATGATAAATCAGGATATTAAATTAAATTTTCAAAATCTTCACACAAAACTTTTTGTTTAACGTCAAACGTGTTTTATTCTTTCTAAATGTTGTTTTTGAGATCAACATGTCAATTGAGAAAGTCGAAAATAAAACAAATATCTTTGTTCAACCATATTTGCTACTTTTGACTGCAAATTTCGTTATTTTCTCGATTTCTTTTTTAATTTACAATTGAGAATTGATTTTGTTCTTCATTTTATATTGCATTTCCTCTTTCCATTGGGTACAAGCGCTTTTTTTTTGAAAATGAAGCTTTGCAAACAATAAAAAAAAAAATAAAGAAAAAACCGTGCGCATGCAACACACACACGCCGCACTTTGGCGAAAATCATTTCGGACACCGCCCACTTTTTTTTCTTTTTTTGGAAAAAAGGGGGGGAGTACGTAACTAAAGTGTTTAATGTATTTTCTTCTTTTTTTTTAGCTGTGTCAATTGACATGTTGATCTCAAAAACAACATTTAGAAAGAATAAAACACGTTTGACGTTAAACAAAAAGTTTTGTGTGAAGATTTTTGAAAATTTAATTTAATATCCTGATTTATCATGAGTAGAGAATTTATTGAAATTCTGAGAATCTATATTAATATTAACTTTTGATTGAATTCTTGAAGGTTTCATTATTTCAAAAAATATTTTTGATATCAAAATCTAATTTTTGGTGTTATCGAAGTTTTCAGATCAAAAATAAACAATTTAAAAATTAGAAGTCGCAAAAATAAAACATTTATTAATGTTTGCAAAAATGTGAAAAATATAAACAAAAAACACACGCATTTACAGAACAAATAGATTTTAACGAGTTATTTTGAGTGTGGGAAGTCCATTCGCAACGAAGAGCATTTGAGAAGTCCAGATGAAGGCGAGATCATTGGATCTGGAAAAATTAACAGGCAGAAAAAAGTTCAGAGATTGAAAGTTGGACATGTTGGAGCTTTGGCGTTAAGTTGTAAAAATTTACGATTTTTTTGCAAAATGTTCAGTTTTTTTTTTTTGAAAAAACAACGAAGGAAATTTAAAATTTTTTTGAGAATATTTGGAACAATGCATAATTTTTGTGAACCTTATCCTATCTCGTACATAGGATGTGAAACTTTCACGAAAATATATGCAAGAGACATTTTTACACTCAAGCTTTTAGCTTTTGAAAAGTATGATGATGATTGCCACCAACTGAAATAAATGTTGAATGCAGGAATACTTTTGTAAAACTTTTCGTGATAAATGAATTTCTAATAACTTAATGTCAGAACATTTTCAATTCTAAGTTTTGCATATCTGTGAAAGGATGAGTTTTCAAAAGCGTTTTCATCTCCAAAACATTCCGATCGAAAATATTACATTCGGTTATTTAATAAGGCAAAATGTTAGACGTGAACTCGCTCGACATTTAACATGTTTCTACTCACCGGTTTTGGTATTTTTAGAAATGAGAATAATTTGTTTATCCATAATATTTTTTTTCGAAAATCTTCATAATTACACGGAAGCCAACCATATATCCCATGCGAAAAAATAATTAAACGATCGAATTATTTGTCATTCAATCTGAAAATAACTTCATTGACCTACGGGATTATGATTATACGGAACAATATTCGATTAAAAATTACCTATCACAGTCGAATCAGGTGCACTTTCCAAAATTGATGCGGTTTGTGCACTTGTAATAGCCATTTCTTCAACCAATTAACTTGATAGAACCTGAATGATGTAAATTACCTACGGATAATTTCGTTTACGGAACAATTTTTGATAAAGAATTACCTTTGATACAAAATGTAGAGAATCGTCGAAAATAGTGTGTTAAAAATCATTGAAGTAGTTCGCCAGTGAATCTCGATTTGGAGATGAAATGACATAATCTATAAAGTTAAAAGTAGTTAAAAATCCCAAAACTGTGAAAAGTTTAAAAAAAAGTTTATAAAATTCTCCTATCTGGAAATATTTCACTGAAAATGATAAATAAGACGTTTAAACTGTTAAAAAGTGGTATGACTTGCGATCAAGGTGGTATATTCACTCAAAATAACCGAAGTCACCGTTTAAACAATGAAAAATATGAGAAAACACACAAAATCTGTTGTAAAAAAATGATGCAACAAACACACACGCGCGCCGCACATTGCCAAAACCGTGTGCAACGCTTACCGAATAGGCCACGCCTCCATAGGCCACGCCTCCACGCGCTGTCTGCAAACACCGACGCATACCGTATGACGGTAACAAAAAAAATCTTTTTTTTTAGCTGTGTCTTCAAAGAGACGCAGACGATAAGATTTATTTGAAAATTGTTGCACTTTTGAACAAAGGCGCCCTTGGTGCCGGGTGCAACAAAAAACCAAACGAGAAGAAAAAGTTTGTTTCGCGCGGGTTGGTGACAAATATTTGAAACAAAAAAGACCGGGCGGAATGAATGAAATATGGGTTTTCGTGGGAAAAAACATCAAAAACTTTTTTTTTTGAAAAAAGGGTACTGTACTTTTATGATATTGGGAAATATTCAGGTGCGAAAGTGCATTTCGCACAGAGAGAAAATAGTGTTCTAAAATTGTTTCACGGTGTTTTCAAAGAGCACTTGGCATAAAAACAAATCTGGGAAAATGACTGGAGATACAGTAATCCTAGAGATACTGGAGCCAAAGTGAAAAAAAAAACATTAGGTAAAAAATACGGTAATCCCCCGGAAACAGTTGTTCTATAAACTTCTGAAAATAGAGTTATATTACAGTACTCCTACTCCTCCTGTCTACAGAAATCTCGAAAGATTTAAATGAAGCTATAGTAATCCTAAAAACCATTCTACATACCTTAAATTAACGTTTCCAGAACTTATTACAGTAGTTCAATTTTTCTCATCTACAATAATTTTTAATGTCTAGGAATTCTAAAAATCCAGCCCACAGTACTTTTTGAAATACTGCATTCTGGTTTTTTCAGATATTTTTTTATCGAAGCTAGATTTCTATTCTAAAAAAATATAGGGAATTTTTTCTTACTGTAGTCTTTTCAAAAATTATTTTCCAAATCCTCATTTCGACTTTGTCCCAGATTTTTTAGTCACAAAAAATTTCCAAGTTTTATTCTCCTATCCTTGTTGCAAAATTCTCGCTGACCTTTTTTAACTGTTTCAAATTGAAATGAATTCATCTCAAAATGCAAAATGTGATTATTCTTTTGTTGTCCTTTTGGACTCCAACTGTTTTTGGCTGTCCTTGAATAAAAATCTCTTTTTCTTCTTCTTTTTTTTTGTATGATTCTGTATGAGTCAAAAAAAGATGTTTATCTATCTTGAAAACGGCCTCGGCCTCCTCGCAACAAAAAAAGATTGTAATTTTAGATAAAACAGGCAGCAGGTGGCCCTTTTTCTTGCTGTACATGTATATTTTTGTTGAGTAAAAAAAAAGAATTACCAAAAAATGAAAATAATGCACAAAAATCCAAGCTGAATGTGTCTCTAGTCATAATTTTTTTGAGTTGAAAATATGACTAACGAGCACATCCAGCGTGGGTTTTGCAACGGGAATTTTGAAATTTTAAATTCGAAAATTCAAAAATCAATCAATCAATAATAGAAAGAATACCAGTTTTCATCATCTTTTTTTTATTCGACAAGGTCATTTCGATGACCTTGTCTCAAAAAAAAAGAAAAGAAATAAGACGTGTTGGTAGTTGGTAGAAAAATTTAGGAAATGGTGAAGAATGTGGGCGGAGCTTGGCTGGACGAATACAGAAAATGGGCGGAGTTTGGTGAGACAAAGAAAAAGGGGCAAAAGTGCACCATATGGTGAAAACTTGTGGATAGATTTATGATGCTATCTTTGTTTGTATACAAGGTTTTGGGAGGTTTTTTATTTATGGGTTTTTGGTTGATGGAAATATGTTGAAAGCAATATGATACATTTTTTGGGTGGAAAGTTAGAAGAAGTTAGTTGAAAGGTACAAACATTCAAATTGGCAAATTTATTTATTTTCACAAAAACTTTCACAAAAATTAATGATGTTTCGAATGTTTCTTTAAGGAAAAATGTATGAGAAATTTTTGAAACAGTGAAGTTCGAACAAGTTTACAACCGAGAATGTATGGGGAATAATGAGAGTGTATATTTTTCAAATAACTATCATAAAATTATGAAACAGTGATTTTTTAATGGGATAAAAATTTGAAAGCTCAAAACTATTTTTCCAATCGAACACATATGGGGAGCATTTCAAAATTTTCTTTGTGAGATTATTTTGAAACTTTGAAACAGTGAATAAAAATTGAAGCAACCAAAAATTTTCAACACTGTCATCAAAAACTTGCAATATTTTTGAAACAGTGAAAATATTTTTGAGATTGAAACATTGAAAACATTTTTCTAATTTTCCGAAATTGTAAACAAAATTGTAAAATAATATATCTTAACTTTGATAATTTTAATCGAAAAAAATATCCATATCGAAAATTGAATTTCCAAAAAAAAATTAACAGTATTTTTGAAACAGTGAACTTTTCATAAAAATAAAATTTCTGAATGGCATTTTTTTTCTCAAACCCTTGTATTTCTTGAAACAGTAAGTTTTTGGTAGTTGAAAATTTTGAATTGATATTTTTAAGTAAATTGAGTAAAAAGCGCAGGGTTTTTCCACAAATCGAAATATAAAATTTGTGAAACAGTGCATTTTTGCCATCCCAAAATCCAATCACATTTCATTTATCTTTTCTCCCGTCACAAGCTAAGTTAACCTAACTCTTCAATTTTGTTCCCTTCATTTTCGGCGCCGAGTAAATACAAATACAAATCCTTCGGTTTTTTTCTATTTATCCAACCCCCATCCTCCGCAATTTCGTGTTTGAGCTTCTCTCAAAACTCTCTCATTTAACCATACTATTTTGAAGGAAAGAGTACTGTAGAAGGGAAAAAAAGAGATCCACTTGAAATGCAGTGCTCGGGAGAAAAAGAAGCATTGACAGGATAAGAAAAGACACTTTCATTGATTGTCAAAAACGAAATCATGGTGAGTTTTTGGGAAGATTTTGATTTTATATTTTATTTGAAGCGATAATTTTACGTTTCACAAATTAAGTATTTGGGGATTTTTTGGTTTAAAACATTGTTTGAGTATAAATTTTCAATGATAAAAGTTTTCTGAAAAACATTTAAAATAAAAAATTATAGAACTTTAAAAATGGAACTTTTAGAGGAGCCACAAATTCAAATCCCATTTTCCCTATTTTTATGTGAAATTTACTACGTTTCAAAAATTAGAAAAAAGAAAGATTCTAGAAATATTGGAACCTAGTTTGAAAATTTCACTGTTTCAAAAAACTTTTTAATTGACTTTTGATATTTTGTTATCGTAAGGGGAAGCCATTAAGTTCAATGATTATTTTTGAAACAGTAAAAAATTGAGGCAACAAAAATTTAGATTTTTTAAACTGAAAATTAATTTTTTCATATGAAAAATACATGAAACTAACTTCCAAGAGTCAAAAATCAATTTTAATTTTTTTGAAACAGTAAATTTTTGCGCAAAAAAAAATTCACTCTCACAGGGTGTAATTTACTACCCGAAAAGTATTCCACATTTTTTGTTCTGTTTCAAAAATTTTCTATTAGTTCTCAATCAAGTTTTAGAACAGTGCCAAATTCCTCTGTAGCTAAAAATGATAAATATTTTGTTTGCAGGGAGACATTATCGCTGATGCTTTGGAGCAACTCTCCGCCGATCAAATCGAGCGTAAGTTAGCCTAACCCTTTCTTACGATCACCCCAATCTCACCCAATTTCTCTTCAGAATTCCGTAAATACTTCAACATGTTCGATAAAGAAGGAAAAGGATATATCCGTGCCACCCAAGTCGGTCAAATTCTTCGTACAATGGGACAAGCTTTTGAGGAACGTGATTTGAAACAACTCATCAAGGAATTCGATGCTGATGGTTCGGGAGAAATCGAATTCGAAGAATTCGCTGCAATGGTTGCTAACTTCGTTGTCAGCAATGAAAATGATGAAGGATTGGAAGAAGAATTGAGAGAGGCTTTCAGACTTTATGATAAGGAGGTGACTTGAAAACTCTTTTTGTAGAAAATTAGAAAAAACCTGCGAACACTTCTTAGCAAACAACTCAAAGGTTACCGGTTCCACGCGTAGTTAAGTGGTAGTGCCTTTGTTTTTGAATCACAGGGTCAGGGTTCGAGTTTTTGTGCGCGCAAAGATTTTTTTATTTTTTCAGGGAAATGGTTACATCAATGTTTCTGATTTGCGTGACATTTTGCGCGCTTTGGATGACAATGTATCAGAAGAAGAACTCGACGAAATGATCATTGAAATCGACGCCGATGGTTCAGGAACTGTCGATTTCGATGAATTCATGGAAATGATGTCTGGAGAATAACTTTTTCACGAACTTTATAAATCCCCCGCAAAAAAATTCCTTCACAGTTTTAAGCTTTTTTGTGTTTTGTGTATAAAAAATTATTGAAAACGTAAACGCTTCACAATTTAGAATTCAAAAATTTTTGAGGCAAAGGTTGTGGCAAATCGAGAAGTTCGGCAATGATATGAAAACGATCGGAGCCGAAAAATGTGTGGGTTTTTGAATCGGAAGTATGGACAAGAATCCAAGGAGCACCGTAACCCTGGAAAAATTCAGAATTTGAAGGCTTTTGAGTTCTAGTGAGGTTTTGGCTGGAGATCAATGTTGAAAATAGATACTGTAACTCAGTTTGTAGAGAATTTCAAAATTTTCAGAATATTCTCAAGCTCTCTGAATCTACAGTAACCTCATTCTTTTTTTTTGGAAAAAAAACTCACATATGCCTCATTGACTGCTTGATTATTTTTCTCCAAATTCTTCGCCACTTCCAAATCCCCAATTTTACCCAAAACATCACTTGGAACAATTCCAACTTCCTTCAAAACCATCTCAAAATCCTCAACTTCAAATATTTTCTCACAATCAAACCAAAGTCTTCGCCAAAAAACTCGAGCAGTTTCCATCATTTTTTGTGAACCAAATTGATTTTGGATAACTATTAGAAGTTTTTGCGCTTCTTCTGTTGTGTATTGCAAAATCCATTCGATGAATTTCTGTGAAAATTGAATTTTTCGAGTATTGGGGAAAAAAGAAGAGGATTCAGATACCGGTGGATTTTTGATTTGTATTCCCCAATAATTGGCGGTTCTGCGGATGTCTTGGGCTAACATTCGACCACGATTTGGCAACATTGCTGGAGGACGATTTCCTGGAAAATTTTGAAATCAATTCGATTTTATCAAATTCAAAGTTCCCAAACTTTTTCATGATTTTTCGAAACAGTGAATATTTTTCTCCCCGATATTTTTTCACCTACCACTTTTCATCATCACATTTCTCAGGAAAAATGGATGATATCGAATCTCAACATCTTTCCATTGATTTCCTTTCAATTGTTCCAAAGCCTACAATTTTCATTTATATTTTCAAAAAACCTTTAATAAAAAATCTACCTCAAACCCGATCCAACTATAAGGTGAAATTACATCAAAATAGAAATCGATTATTTTTTGTGTCATTTTGCAAGAAAGACCAAAAAGTGATAAGAAAAACCAAAAACGTGGTCAATTATAAGTAGAGAGAGGGGGAGACTACACTGTAGTTTGGATAACAGTAACAGGAACTCCTTTAGAAAATTATGGAACGTTGGGGAATATATATGTGTTACATTGATTCTATGTAAAAAATCATATTCAACGATACATAAAAACTGAAGGCCATTTGCTTGTTCCCTAAAATTTGTCAGTAATTTTTCAGGAACCGAAGTTCCCGATTACGCAAAAATTTAGTTGTTGGCGAATCTCAACTCGAGATTGCCATACAGGTCAGCCCATTCGAAAGTGCAATGAATAGGCCTCGCCATAGGAACGCCGCCTTGATGATCGCGGAGTATCCCCAACCAGGTAAGTTTATGAGCTGCCTGCTCTCAAACATATAAATGTGTGTGTTCACCGACACTCGACGGGTTATGCGTGTTGTTATATTTTGTGTGTGGAGGGGGCGGAGCGAAGCAAAGGAGAAGGAAAAGGACAAGGAAAAAAGAGTAGAATTTTGAAGAGAAATTAGGATAACTCACAGATTGTTTTTTCATAAGATTTTTACATGCACAGCTAAAAAAAAAGATTTTTTTTTTGTTACCGTCATACGGTATGCGTCGGTGTTTGCAGACAGCGCGTGGAGGCGTGGCCTATGGAGGCGTGGCCTATTCGGTAAGCGTTGCACACGGTTTTGGCAATGTGCGGCGCGCGTGTGTGTTTGTTGCATCATTTTTTTTTACAACAGATTTTGTGTGTTTTCTCATATTTTTCATTGTTTAAACGGTGACTTCGGTTATTTTGAGTGAATATACCACCTTGATCGCAAGTCATACCACTTTTTAACAGTTTAAACGTCTTATTTATCATTTTCAGTGAAATATTTCCAGATAGGAGAATTTTATAAACTTTTTTTTTTTAAACTTTTCACAGTTTTGGGATTTTTAACTACTTTTAACTTTATAGATTATGTCATTTCATCTCCAAATCGAGATTCACTGGCGAACTACTTCAATGATTTTTTAACACACTATTTTCGACGATTCTCTACATTTTGTATCAAAGGTAATTCTTTATCAAAAATTGTTCCGTAAACGAAATTATCCGTAGGTAATTTACATCATTCAGGTTCTATCAAGTTAATTGGTTGAAGAAATGGCTATTACAAGTGCACAAACCGCATCAATTTTGGAAAGTGCACCTGATTCGACTGTGATAGGTAATTTTTAATCGAATATTGTTCCGTATAATCATAATCCCGTAGGTCAATGAAGTTATTTTCAGATTGAATGACAAATAATTCGATCGTTTAATTATTTTTTCGCATGGGATATATGGTTGGCTTCCGTGTAATTATGAAGATTTTCGAAAAAAAATATTATGGATAAACAAATTATTCTCATTTCTAAAAATACCAAAACCGGTGAGTAGAAACATGTTAAATGTCGAGCGAGTTCACGTCTAACATTTTGCCTTATTAAATAACCGAATGTAATATTTTCGATCGGAATGTTTTGGAGATGAAAACGCTTTTGAAAACTCATCCTTTCACAGATATGCAAAACTTAGAATTGAAAATGTTCTGACATTAAGTTATTAGAAATTCATTTATCACGAAAAGTTTTACAAAAGTATTCCTGCATTCAACATTTATTTCAGTTGGTGGCAATCATCATCATACTTTTCAAAAGCTAAAAAGCTTGAGTGTAAAAATGTCTCTTGCATATATTTTCGTGAAAGTTTCACATCCTATGTACGAGATAGGATAAGGTTCACAAAAATTATGCATTGTTCCAAATATTCTCAAAAAATTTTAAATTTCCTTCGTTGTTTTTTCAAAAAAAAAACTGAACATTTTGCAAAAAAAATCGTAAATTTTTACAACTTAACGCCAAAGCTCCAACATGTCCAACTTTCAATCTCTGAACTTTTTTCTGCCTGTTAATTTTTCCAGATCCAATGATCTCGCCTTCATCTGGACTTCTCAAATGCTCTTCGTTGCGAATGGACTTCCCACACTCAAAATAACTCGTTAAAATCTATTTGTTCTGTAAATGCGTGTGTTTTTTGTTTATATTTTTCACATTTTTGCAAACATTAATAAATGTTTTATTTTTGCGACTTCTAATTTTTAAATTGTTTATTTTTGATCTGAAAACTTCGATAACACCAAAAATTAGATTTTGATATCAAAAATATTTTTTGAAATAATGAAACCTTCAAGAATTCAATCAAAAGTTAATATTAATATAGATTCTCAGAATTTCAATAAATTCTCTACTCATGATAAATCAGGATATTAAATTAAATTTTCAAAAATCTTCACACAAAACTTTTTGTTTAACGTCAAACGTGTTTTATTCTTTCTAAATGTTGTTTTTGAGATCAACATGTCAATTGAGAAAGTCGAAAATAAAACAAATATCTTTGTTCAACCATATTTGCTACTTTTGACTGCAAATTTCGTTATTTTCTCGATTTCTTTTTTAATTTACAATTGAGAATTGATTTTGTTCTTCATTTTATATTGCATTTCCTCTTTTCCATTGGGTACAAGCGCTTTTTTTTTTGAAAAATGAAGCTTTGCAAACAATAAAAAAAAATAAAGAAAAAACCGTGCGCATGCAACACACACACGCCGCACTTTGGCGAAAATCATTTCGGACACCGCCCACTTTTTTTCTTTTTTTTTGGAAAAAAGGGGGGAGTACGTAACTAAAGTGTTTAATGTATTTTCTTCTTTTTTTTTAGCTGTGACATGGAATTGTGCACAATTTCAAGATCTATTGATTTCTGAATATTTTGAATTATTTTTCAAGTGCTTGAAGTGAAGAAAATCTCAAAAAACATTGTTTTTTCCAAATGAAAAAAGAGAGAACTTAAAACATTTTTAAAAATTTTGACGTCAAAAATCCACGTGAACTAGAAAATTTTTGCAAAAATGTTCATTTCCAAATTCATTTTCCATCAAAAAAGGTAAATTCTTGTTTTCTTGCACCCAAAATTGTTTCCTTGACATATCATAAATCATGAATCATAAACTAGTGACGTTTTTTACAAACAAAATCACTAAAACAATCATAAATCATTTGATATCGATTTGATTTTGATTTCGTATTGCCCCGCCCATTTTTTAGTCATTTATCTATTTTTTTCTAATTTTTATCGCTTTTGATTTTGTTAGTTCGTTAGTTTTTTTGATAAGATAGTTGAGTTCAAACGTTTCGAATTGTAATATTACTAAAAAAAACATGTCTGATGTGAGATTTTTCTTGATTTCATTTGATTCGAATAATTTGGAAATTTCAGAGTTCTGAAATGGCTGGAAAATCTGCGGCTCATTTGATAAAACGAGTTTTGATGGTGCCACCAAAGCACTTCACAGTGGAATATACAATAAATCCATGGATGGGAGGAGTTGTTGATCAGAAAAAGGCATTCGCACAATGGGAAGGTTTAAAAAATGCGATTGAAAAGGAAGGAGTTCAAGTAAGTGTGAATTACTAATCGAAGAATATAAAAAATGAATGTATTTCAGGTTCTTACTATGGATCAAACAAAAGGCCTTCCTGACCAAGTTTTCGTTTGTAATAGTGGTTTGGTTTATAATAACAAAGTATATTTGTCAAGATTTAGACATAAGGAAAGAAGTGGAGAACAACCACTTTATTTGGAATGGTTTAAGAAAAATGGAATTGAGACAATTGGAGAGGGTTATGAAGAGGTTTGTCAACATTTTTTCATTGAAAGTTTTTTGAGAAGCTTTGTGGCTGTATTAAAAATCTAGATGTAGTAACCGAAAAATTCTGAAAATATCTGAATTACTGTAGATGAGAGAGTTTGACAAACATTCCAAAATTTCTGAAGATCGCTTTTGGAAAAACCTACAGTATCTCAAAAATTGATTAATAAATAGGCCAAGTAAATATGTTATCACAAAGCAAAATGTGAGCTGCTCTATAGCTCATTTTCCCCCTTCTCTTTGCTTCGCTCCGCCCCCTCTACACACAAAATATAGCAACATGCACAACTCGTCGAGTGTCGGTGAACGCACACATTTATATGTTTGAGAGCAGGCAGCTCATAAACTTACCTGGTTGGTGATACTCCGCGATCATCAAGGCGGCGTTCCTATGGCGAGGCCTATTCATTGCACTTTCGAATGGGCTGACCTGTATGGCAATCTCGAGTTGAGATTCGCCAACAACTAAATTTTTGCGTAATCGGGAACTTCGGTTCCTGAAAAATAAATGAAAATTTTCAAAGAAGTAAGACGTTCTCATGTCGTTGCAGCACTTTTTGACACCTCGTTAATACAGATTTTTTTCCTGAAAAAAACAAGATAATCTGGAAAATAAATCATATTTTTGGTGGAACAAATTACTTCCCATCCGAAATTTCTAAACCTTGATTTTTTGCAGGTGTTCGAAGGTGGTGGTGATGCAGTCTTTTCTGATCCTAAAACTCTTTGGGCTGGTTATGGAGAAAGATCATCGAAAAATGTCTACGAAAAAGTTCAAAAACTCGGAACATTTGAAACTGTGCTCTGTGATATGATTTTGCCGAATTTCTATCATTTGGACACTTGTTTCGCACCAGTTGATGAAAATACTGCAATTTATTATCCACCGGCATTTTCAGACAGAACTAATCAAGAGGTTCGTTGTCTTTATTTTTATTCACAATAAAGTTTAATTTTTTTCAGATCTTGAAACGTCTTCCAAACTCGATTGCTGTTTCTGAAAAAGAGGCAAATGCTTTTGTTTGCAATGCAATTACAATTCGAAATACTGTGATTTCACCGATTGGAGTCGAAGAGAAAACCAAAAAATCATTGGAGAAGTTGGGAAAATCGGTGACAGAAGTTGATATGAGCGAATTCATGAAAAGTGGAGGAGCTTGTCAATGTTTGGTTTTGAGACTTTAGGAAATGTTAATTTGTTTGTAATTGTGCCCTGTTCAATAAATAAATTCGTTTTTCCAACTTCGAAAAATTACAGAAAAACTACAGTACAATTGTTATAAAAAGACCCCCATGCATCAAGGTGTAGATTTTTGAAAAATCTCTATTAACAAAGTGTTAAGAAAATTGCTGCAACGACATAAGAACGTCTTGCTTCTTTGAAAATTTTCATTTATTTTTCAGGAACCGAAGTTCCCGATTACGCAAAAATTTAGTTGTTGGCGAATCTCAACTCGAGATTGCCATACAGGTCAGCCCATTCGAAAGTGCAATGAATAGGCCTCGCCATAGGAACGCCGCCTTGATGATCGCGGAGTATCCCCAACCAGGTAAGTTTATGAGCTGCCTGCTCTCAAACATATAAATGTGTGCGTTCACCGACACCCGACGGGTTGTGCATGTTTCTATGTTTCGTGTGTCGAAGGGGCGGGGCGAAGCGAAGGAAAAGGGAAAAAGAGTAGTTTTTTGAAGAGGAATTAGAATAACTTACAGATTGTTTTTTCATTAGATTTTTACATTAAAATGTTGAAAATTTCACGCTCTCTCAACTGGTGCAAATAAATTATTGTTCCGATAAGCTTAGAAAAAGGAAACTTCACTAAACTTCATACAGTGTTCCCTAGTTTTTTTCAGGCAATTCTCAATAGAGCGAACATCCATTTTTACTTTTATTTCCATGATTTTTGTTTTTTTTTCAAGTTCTTTCATAAACTTTTTCCATGAAAGATTGCAAAAACTGACAAAAATAATTAATTAGCCCTAATTTAATAATCACGCGTGACCTTTCACGAATTGCAATTAACGACAATTTTTCGTCATTTTTCAAAGCATCTGGCTAAAAAATTGGTGAGTTTACCAGATTTGCTTTTATTTTTTAAATTTCTTTTGATTTTTTTCAGAATTCGATTTTCAAAACGAGAAAGAATCGTCTGGATTTGGCTCTGTGCGGAAATTTAAGAAATTTAAGAGATAGAGTGGTGAGTATTTTGGGGAAAAGAGTTTTGAATAAAAAAATCTCAAAATTTCGGCCCCTTCAATTCGTCAAAATCGTATTATTTTCCATGGAAAATTTATCTGCAAGTGAGAAGAAATTAGCGAAAAATCCCGCATTTATTATATTTTCTCTTTCAAAAAAATAAAGAAAGAGCCCCATCTGATTTCTATTTTCCATTTTCTTTTCATCCATTTAATCATCCTAATAACCGCATTAGATATTTGAGCAAAAAAGAGGAATTATATATATTTATTAGTAATAATAATAATACTAATATCTATATGATTATTAGAAGATATTATATATTTTATTATTATTGGGACATGAGCTAAAAATGAGCGGGCGAATAGATAGAATAATAAGACGGATTAGCCGCAAAATTTGAGATTTGAGATTTTATTAATATTTTTATATTACTTTTTATTTTAGCTAGATATGAGTGTTTAATAAAAACAACAATCAACGTGGCAAAATTTGCCCCAAAAATGTTTGAAATTCAGATAATTAATGAAGAACTTATAACATATGTTCAACCCTAATTTATGCAAAATTGAATTAGGAGACATAAGTATATTAATTATTAATTTATATATTTGCACTCATTAGTAATAGCTTGCTAATTAGTATTTTTGAACTAAATAAAAACATAAAAATGTAGTTTTGGACTTTTAGAAATGTATTTTTGAGAAAATCCAGTGCAGAAAATTCTGGTAGAATTATTTTGTCTTTGAAAAATAAGTGTACTGCTTCGAGAATTCCGCAAAGAGGAAAGTGTGATTTTTAAAATAATGTTTTCAAAATTGTTTTTCATAAAAAATTCAGCTATCTGTTTCAAAATTGAGATGAAAAACGTCTCTTAAATTTGCACTCTGAATTTTCACAAACATATTTCCAATTTCAAAATTGATTTTTTAAAATCAAATCAAAAATGTTCCACACAAATATTCTCTGCCAATATACAAATATTTTTATATTTTCTCCATCTTATAAATATTAGCTAATAATATATTCCTAATCTTCTTTTTTTACACAGCGGGTGATTTTCCATAATATTTTCCTCATCTTCGTCTTCTTCTTCTTCGTCTTTTTTCTCCAAAATGAATACTCTTCTAGTTAGTCTAATTCTAATCGGAAATGTGTTGTCCTGGAGACGCTTTTATAATAATAATAATAATAATAAAATAAAATAGGCTGGCTCCTCCTCTTTTTTTGCTGACTCCGCCAATCTCAATACTTTTCATTATTTTTTGGATGATTGCTCAGTCACTCAAATCATATGAGATTAGATTAATAAATGATGATTTTGAAGAAGAGGCAGGTTACTGTAGGTTTACAGGGTTTTATTTGAATTTGGGAAAATATGGCACACTTTTCAAAGGTTTTTTGAAATTAAATCATTTTTCGGCATTTCTGAAAAAAAAAACCCTACGCAAAATCTGAAATTGAAATAAAAAACATTTTTCTTGTAAAGTTTTCACTCTTTCAAAAATATTTAGAATTTTTTGTTGTTCTGAAAACCATAATTTTTATTGTGTTCATAAACTTTTTTTTGAAAAAACATTCAATGTTTCAAATTTTGTGGGAATTTCTGGCTGATTTTTCAGAAGTGCTTTACGACTCAAAATTAGGCACATCCGAAAATTTCAAATAAAATCCACTGTTTCAAATAATCTAGAACTTTTTAGCGGATGTTAGAAAAATCTGTTCGGAGATGGTTTATTTTTTCAAAAACATTCCAATGTGCATTCCAAAATAATTAACTGTTTCAAAAATTATTGAATTTTGGGGAATCTGGGAGAAAGCTATGATGAGTTTGTTCTGTAGAAGCAAAACAAAATAAGATTAAAAAATCCAATATCCGATATCTTCAGGACAAAATCACTGTTTCAAAAAATTATTTGAAAATTTACGTCTATAGAAAAAATGATACTAAAATATTGTGCATATATAATTTTACCCCGCAAATACTCTTCAAATATCTTTCCACTTTTCTCTATCTAAATAACTAACAAAATTGTTTATAATTATGCACCAATTTCGCTATCTCTAAATCTCTTCACCAATTTACAATCTCTAACACCATGTCATTAATAATATATTATTTTTATTATTATTATTGTAATGATTAGCGTCTTTCTCTTCTTTTTTTCCCCATCTTCTCCTTCCAAACTAATTATTCAATTTCTCAAATTCTCTCCAATTTCCTCACTATTTCTCAGCCTTTTCCCCATCACCCAATTATGTTTTCTCTGCCACTCTCCAAATCTCTCACCCCCACTTTTCTCTAATTATTGATTGTTGTGAACGCACGGCAATTTGTTTAACTAACTAACTAAATAATTTTGTTCGATTCGACTAATATTATATTTACACTCACACACACACAGATATAAAATATGAAGATAGGCAATTTAGTTCTATTTTTTTGGAGTTCAGTTGAGAGAGGCACCAAAAATATTTGTTTTTGTGGGTGGCCCTTGCTAATTTATTCTCTCTCTTTTCTCTCTCATTTTCTTTCTTTTTATTTTTACTAAATATTATTATTTATTAGTATTGATCACAATTTTTCATATATTTGCACAAGTACTCTTTTTCGGTCGGCCCCATCGCACAAAATTATTTGGGTTGTTTTTTTTTGTTGGAGTAATTAGTGGGGTTTTTTATAAAGTGTATCATTTGGAACAGTATTTTTGTGATTTTAAATTAGGTAACAAAATTAAGCTGCATGCGAAATTTTCAGAAAAAGGTCATCATAATTTCTAATAGTTTTGAGACAGTGAATTTTTTGAAGCCAACATGTTGGAATTTTTAATTTTTTGGAACTGATAACTTTTTTTCATTGAGCAATTAATTCAGAAATAATCCAACTATTTATATCATCTCGAAACAGTGAATGTTTTTAATAAGATTTTGAATTACCCAAGTTGAGTGTTATCAGCGAACTCCTGAAAATGTCATCAAATTTTCTAGTAATTTTGAAACAGTGAATTTTTTAAAGCGAAAACTTTTTTGACAAACTTTGGATAAAAGAATCAAATCTAATATTTCAAGAAATTATGTATAATAATTTTGAAGCAGTAAATTTTGTCCAGAAGTAACACATTGAAGAATTCCAACTAATTCAATTACCAAAAGTTCCATGGATTTCCTGAGAATTCTAAAAACTTTGGGACAGTAATTTTTATTCTGAAAAATTATTTTCGAAACTTTCATTTATGTAAAATCCTCCACGTCTCCAAAAATAATCGATTTTTGCAAAATCAAATCAAATCAAATCAAAATCACAACAAAAATGCGAACGAGAATAGAATAATTACAAAACATCACAAATTTCTGACTCATTTTCATTTCCATTTTTTTCCGTAGTGAATTGTGGAATTTTTCTAAACATAGCGAAAATTAGCAAAAATTAGCTCTCAAATTACATTTTTTCCACATCTTCTTCTTCTTCTTCTTCATTTATTTATTTTTATATATTTTCTTTTTCCGCCTCGATTTTTCCCTTTCCGAAGAGCATTTTCCTGCTTTTTCTTTTTCTTTTTTTCTGCCGTCTTCCACTTAACCACATCATTTTGGGCCCCCACCAATTAACTAATCTTCTTCTCCTTTTTCTCTTCTTTTCTTCCATTTTTCTCTCAATTTTCCTCTGATTTCCCCATTTTTTTCAGAAAATCCAAATCAAATCAATTTTTCTGCTGGATCAAAATGTATATTCTTGTCAATGTTGATCGACATAAAAATGTGATGGGTGAAATTGTGCAAAATTTGGTGAGCTCTTCTTTTCTTTTTTTTTCAAATCAAAAAACAATAATAGTTGTATAGTTTGTCCTTAATTTGATGACAAATTAATGATTGTTTTTGGGCGAAAAAAACGAGAGAAATAATTAATTTTATTAGAAGAAAGAAAGGAGTACTGTACAATTTGTTTAATTGAATTAATTTTGTTTGCAGGAATTTTTAATTGGGAATGAGAGAATTGGGGGAATTTTTGAATTTCAACTAGTGTAATTTTTTAGGTTTGAAGTCAGGTCAAAAATTATCAAAATTTGAAACAGTCGAATTTCCAGTTTCTCTAATTTTAAAAATATCTCCAGAGTTAAATAAGAATATTTCAATTTATAATAAAATGTTCACCGATTTTTTGAAACAGTGAACTTTTTTTTTTAGATTTTTCAATGTGTTTCTGAAATTTTTATTTCAAAAAATGTTTTCTCAAGAGAAAAAATTACTATTTTTTAAACCGTGAAAAATTTCAATCGATTAACTTTTAAAATTAAAAGTCAGAAAAACTTGAGAAACTTAAAAGTTTCATTTGAAGTTTTTTGAAACTGCATTTTTTTGAACTCAAAAATCTGCAACCAACTTTTGAAGAATATTTTTGATGTTTATATGTATATCAATAAACGTTTTCAATTTCCGATTATTTTGTTTCGAAACAGTGAGATTTTTTGTTGGGAATTGTTAGAAAAACGTAGGGAAAATTTTATCTTTTAACGTGTAGAATGATATATCAATATGACTTGTCCAAATAAAAATTTACTCATTTTTTGAAACAGTGAATTATTTTTTTGAAAAATTACTAGATTTTGTGGATGGATTTCTTCTTTTATTAAATTCGATTTTTCAAATCAAAATTTCAATATTTTTTGAAACAGTATCTTTTTTCTTCCCTTCCTAAATATAAATTCAACGTAATATTTTTGCAGGTTTCCGAATACGGTGTTCCAATTTCAATCGTCGATTGTATTCAAAAAATCTGTCCAAAATGCACGGCGAGTTGTTCATCGGATGATTGTAGTATGAGAAGTGATGAAACTATGGAACAAGAATGTTAGTTTGGGGTTTGCGAGGTTTTTAAAAAGTTACTTGATATGGATTCGGACTTTCAAAGTTATTAGAAAAGTTTTAGGATTTTTTTAAAACAGTTATTTTTTTAGAGGTTCAATTTTCAATATAATAAAAGTCAGGAATCACTTTAGAAATGAATATTGGAAATTTCAATTTTTTCTGAAACAGTGAAAAAACTTCAATAGCAACTTTGAGATAAGGAATTACGATAACAAGAAAAATTTCAAGAATTTCCTGTATTTTTGAAGCATTTGATTTTCCAACACGTGAAATTCAAAAGAAAATTTGAAAAACTTACTGCGAAAATCAATTTTTCTCAGAATTATTTTTTTTAGAAACAGTGAAGTTTTTTCTGTAAAAATTTAAATTTCGAAATTGTTTTCTTATTCAAATTTTTCTCATATAAAACATGTACAATATCATTTTTTAGCTAAACGTGGTGGTGATTCAGCTTCATCTCGTGCCAGTGCCACACCAATTCCTCAACAACTTCAACAACTCACCCAAACACCTCCACCAATTTCTTCGCCACCTGCAAAAAAACTGAAAGTCGACAATTTAATAATGCTCAAAACTGGCGGAAATTTGATTAAAATTGAGCCACAAGATGAAGTTGAAGCAAAGTTGGATAATATCTCACCAAATATTTTTCCCGATTCGAATTCGGTTTTTGAAAGTGCATTGGCTAATGCTTTTCAAAACTCGTGAGTTTTTTGCCGGAGTAGAAAATTGGAGAAAAAATGTTTGATTTCAGGAAATTTGGAGAATTCGATAAATTAATTGAGGGAAGTGGCGGAGCTTCGAATTCGGATGATGCTATTTCGATTTCGTCGAACTTGGAAATTGATGAAGATGAGGTTGGTTGGAAGGAAACATATGGAATATTTTAGGTTTAAAAAATTATGAGATAGTGAACACTTGATTTCCTAGGAATTTTCAGAAAATATTTTGTTTGAAACAATTTTAAAACATTAAAAAAAGAAATTTTCTGGAGACTAAAAAACAAATTGTACCATTACAAATTTAGTCAATTTTATTTCTGAAGATTTTCTGAAACAGTGAAAAAATTACATAGTTTTTTTGCGAACAATTTATTTGAAAGTTATATAAATGTTGAAACAGTGAAACTGTTTTATTTTATTCCTAAATTTGTATTTAATAAAATCTAGATTTCGAAAATATTTGAAACCTTGGAAAAATTCTCAATAAAAAATAATATTTTTGAGAAATCTAAGATTATTCAAACCGCAGTATTAAATCAAAAAAACAATTTATTTTCGAACTTATTTTGAAACAGTGAAAAATAGTATCAATTGAAAGTGATGTGAGTTTTGAATGATCAAATGTTCAATCAAAAATATATTTAAAACAAATTTTGAAACAGTGAAAATTCATTATTTTTTTCTGATCGTTTCAAAAATATATCAAAAATATACTTTTTCAAAAAATACCTCGAAAATTCTGAAAACGTATTTTCCTCTGGTTTTTCTGAAATAAAATATTCCGAAAATTGAAAACCAATTCCAATTTTCAGACTCAAAATCCATGTGTAAATCCTCAACTTCTTGCTTCATTCATTTCTTCAACTCCAAATATGTTTATTCCTGGAAATTTCGCAAAACTTATGAAAACGTCAGCTTCTCAACAAAAACGAGATATTCCACCAAGTTGTGAGTTTTGGCGGGAAAAAGGGGTCAAATTTATTCATACAAATTTTAAAACATTGATCTTTTTTCAAAATCAAAGCTCTTGAATTCCGAAAAAAATTAAAATCAATTTTTTCAGTGACTGTAAATGGAAAAACTCGCCGCGGTCGAATTGTTTACACACCAAATGAACTCGAAATTCTGGAAAAATATTATAGCGATGATCCGAATGCTTGTGCGGATCCAGCAAAAAGAAATCAACTTTGTAAAATGTTGGATATTGATTATCATCGAGTAAGTTACATTAACTATATATTCTCTTAATTTTTCCCAACTTTATATCCGATTTTTCAGCTCAAAGTTTGGTTTCAAAATCGCCGCCGAAAGGATAAAATTATATCACAAAGTGAAGAACATCAATTATCTTTCTAATTAATTAATTAACTTTTTTTCTTGAATTTTTGTGAAAAAATGCTTTAAATTGAATTTTTCATAGATCTCTTCTCAATTTTTTTCTTGAAAAATACTTGTTTTTTTGAATTTTCTCTTTTTTCATTGATTTATTTGATGACAATTTATAAATAGATGTGTTTCTTTTGGAAATGTTCGATTTTTTTAAAAGAAAAGATTTCTGGGGGAAAATTGAGAAACATTTCGAGAAATAATGAACAGTAATATATGTATATATTCAAATTGGAACCCTTGGACTAACTAAACTTCAAAGAATTCAGAAAACATTTTATTTTTTTTTGAAACAGTGAGATTTTCAAGAATATTTTTATGAGTTTTTTCTCTTTTTTTTGAGACTCAAAATTAATTTTGAAAGTGTCTGAAACAGTTTGATGATCTTAATATCTTGACAAAGCTATAGTTAAATATTATACATTTTTTGAAATAATTCTTATGATTATTTTGAAACAGTGAAATTTTCTTCTGAGTATTCACCCAAAAATAGCTAATCCTTTTTTTCTCCCATTTTTCCCCTCATAAATTGCTTTTTGGTGCAATTTTTCTTTGTTGCACCAAAAATGAGTTTTTTCTCTCTTTTTTTGTGAACTATAATTAATTTTTGGACGTACACGCAATATAAGCCAAATTTCGAAACAGTGAAAAATCTGAGATGTTTCTCAAGCCATTTTCATTTTGGTATAGAATTTCTACTCACAATCAGAAAAGATTTTGATAGAAACTGAATTTTTTACTGTTTCAACGTTTTTTTCTCGAAAATTGTGGCATGTCATAAGTAGAATTTCTCCAGAAAAGTGCAATTTTGGGTAAAAGTGCAGCAGATGATTTGCAAGTACAATTCGTAGATTTCCACATTTCCATGATTCATTATTATCATCTCATTTCTATTTTTGAGCAATAGTAAAAAATTATTGAAAATTTGAGCCAAGCTTCAAAGCTCTAGAACTTGGAAAATCCAGAAAATAAGATTTGAAAATTACTGTAACTCGAGAAATTATAAACTGCAAAGGGTACTGTAGCTTCCAAACTGAAAGGAACATTACGAGATTCATCCGAGCTGCAAGAGGGACTGCAAGAAGTACTGTAGTTCAAACTGCAAAGGGTACTGTATTCTTTTAAGTTCAAATTTCGACATCAGATTTTCAAATAATTCCAGAACCATGATTTTGATAAATGTTTTCCTATTTTTTCTTATTTTTAAAAGTTCCCTCCTTATTTTCGTTCCCTCATTTTTCCCAAATTTTTGCCGCTGTTCAATTTTTGTTCGCAATTTCTCTTGTTCATGTTCACACCAATCGATCGATCAATTTTTCTCGCCGCAATTTTTTTTTCAAAAAAAGAAAAACCCAAAAAAAACACGAGAGACTACCAAAGCAACACAAATAAATATGAAAAATGTACACAGGATAGAGAGAGAGAGAAGGAAAAAAGAGGAGAGACGAGACACAACAAAACAACACACCTTGGCCCGGTTACACCCCGAGGCGACAGCAAAATGACGAGATATAATTAATCGGTGAAGAGACGCGAGAGAAAAACACTTGATGATGATGATAAAATACACCAAATGAAATGAGAGATGCAGAGTGGATGGGTGAAAAGAGAGAGATAATGGGGTGAGAGGAGATGCAGACACATATGACACACTGCACTGCATTTCGCCAATCGGGGCGCTGTTTTTTTTGAAAATGAAAAGAGAGAGAGAGAGAGAGGAAAGGTGAGAGAATGCGGGAAACATTCCCGCACCACTCACTTTTTGTTGCGTTTTTTTTGTTGTTGCTATGGGTTTTTTACATTTAAAAAATCTGTTTTTTAGTCAAAAATTTCAAATTTTATTGTTTATTTACCTGTATGACGTGGATTTCAATTAATTTTCAATTGGGAACAAATATTCAAATTTTTTGATACCTGATTTTTATTTGATAATTAATTAGGAATTTAATTTAATTTTAGAACAAAATCATAGATTCTTCATTGAAAATTTAGGAACTAAATTTTTTTTAAATTATTTTTTGAAATTGTATTGCTAAAATTTATTCATTGTTACGTGATTTTCCTAATATTTCTAATTCCAACTTTTTTTGAAACCAAGAAAATTAGTAGAGTAATTTTCAAAAAAATTCACTGTTTCAAAATTCCAGTAAAAATTCTAATCGATTCGAACAAACCGCTGAACCATCTGTCTTCTACAAAAAATCCCTGTTTCCAAAAATTACTATACTTTTGGGAACCTATGAAATTATATGATAAATGATTAGATAAAGGTTTCGAAATTTTTTTAAATTAAAATCTGAATTTAAAAAAAATTAAATCTTGATAATAGTTATCAACTAAATTCCTGATAAAAGTTACGAAAAACCACGTGTCAAAACTTTTTAAAAAATCTGAGATTTTTCTCGGCTTCCCTGAATTTTTAAAAGTAAAATGGCGTTTTGATACGTGGCTTCTATTAATTTTCACTTACTCACTAGATTCACTTAAGATACTGTTTCAAAATTACTATACTAATTTTCTGGGAATTCCAAAAAAGTTACAAATGCTAATTTCTTATTTTTCCTTCGCCAACATATACATATTAATTATGGGTGTTATTTTGCCACTTCACAACATTTTTTTCGTATATTTTTCAGGTAGCCGGAATTTTTGTAGTCTAGATTTGCACTTTTAATGAACAAAAATCGTCTTATTAGCTTTTTTTCCATTTTTTGTTTAGAAAAAAAAAAGAATTTCCCGTTAGTTGGCGAAATAATTTCCCAATAATTTTTGCATCGATTCGGTTCGATTTCTCTTTTTTTTTGCCCCATACAAATATTTGGGCGAATAAACAAACAAAATGCGGGGTGAAATTGCATGTCTTTCTCTCTCTTTTGATTCAATTCAATTCTCATTTTTATATTCCACCATTTTACAGTTTCCTCCTCCATGACACACAAATATAAAATGAGAAATCGATGAAAATGTTGAGATAAAACAATGAACATATTGTATATATGTTGTGAGGTTTTGGACGAATTTTTTGGGGGATGGATAGGTTCTGATTGGAAGTTCAATAATAGTTTTGAACTCTGAATGATTTTCGAAAAGAAAAATTAGATGTTCTTGAACTTTTCAGTTAGTTTAATATCCTGATCATGTGAAAGACAATGTTTTAAATATAAAAAATATTTCGATTTTGAGATTTTCAAAGAAAAATTAGACAGTTTTTCAGATTCCAAAACCTAGAAATTTAAATCATCTCCAATTTTCATCGATTTATTCTTATTTTATAATTGAGTCATGGATTTGAGAGGACTGCGAAACTATTTTAAGCTGTAAACTGTGGACTAAATCGAACATAGCTCAGCCTAACTTCAAATGATTACGATTGAGTCTTAATTTTAGGCTGAACGGTTTAATTTTGAGCCAGGGCCTCGCTTTTAATAAAAAAATTTTATCGGAAAATGATCGCCCTATCCGATTCAGTAAAAATCATAAACTTCAAGAATTGTATTTCTAAAATTTGAAAATCTGAAATTTCGCATTTGAGGAACATACATTCGTCATTTCCTGTACAGCCTACAGTACTCTGACACTGAAAACCCACATCGAAAATTTCAGAATTTTTCTAATAATCTCCACAATTGCCCTAAATTTTTTGAAAAAGTCACACCTCATAAAAAGGTGTAATTTTCTCATTTTCAAAATATCTTCTTATTATTAAAGTATGTCAAATTGAAACACCAAGCAAGCACCAACTAATACGTTTTTTGTGTGTGTCTCGTTCAAATATATTTCTCGTTCGATTTTTCTCCTTCTTAACAACCGTCGACGCCCGAGGGGCAACACACAGCATATACACAGCAAAAACCAATATCAGTTGTTGTCGATGCCCGGCGTCTCTCAATTTCGCCCACTATTTCATGGTTGTCTGTTATCACCGCCCTAATATCACCCATCACCAATCATTCTCTCGTTTTTCATCCTCTTTTCTCTCTTTATTTTGCTTGTGTATGTGAGTGTTTTCTTTTTGTCTCTCCCTCTCTCTCTCTTCATTTCTCTCTCGCATTTTCCCCCCATCGGCGCTGAAAGATACAGAGGTGAACATTGGAGGAGTGGAGGCGAGACGAAATAGTGTGTGGCGCGGAGAGACTGTCGCCGTCGCCCAGTTTTTGCCCGTGGCCGCGTCCGCCCACTACTTCGTTTTCATATTTTTCTCGCGAAAATTTTACACACACACACACACTCACCGCCACCTATACATACCATTTTTGTCTTTGTCGCCGCTCTTCGTCTCCAATCTCTCTCACCTTCGACGTGTCAAATGTAGGCCAATTTGTTTGCTTTTTGGTGGTGGAGGAAAGAGGTGCGCGCGCCAAAGGTTACCGCATTTTCATCTTGATTTGTGTTGTGTTGCCTGTTGGGAAGGGGAAGTTTTGTTTGGAAAGAAAAATAAAAAAATATTTTTCAAAAAAATTACAGTATGCTTTTAAAGGCGCGTCTGAGATTTAACGTGGTCTCGAAGCGTTTTTCTATTTTTTAAGATGTTCCTTTAACATGAATACGGTATAAAATTAATTTTTTATTTTTTCTCTAGATTCACACACGTTTGAAAAAGAAGAAAATTGTGCAATTTTCATCGCGCAGCCGACAAAAACGGTGCAACGCCTAGCGGTTTAATTACCCCCACTTCATCAAAAACAAAAAACATAGCGAAAATCAGCGTATCGAGATCTGTGCGAATGACTTTATTTGGAATTTTTATGGGTCCTGGGAAGAAAGTTAGCCTCCGCTGCGAGACCAATCGAAATTAAAAACACACGCGCCTTTGAAACCGTACCTCTTTTTTTCCCAAGAAAAAAAATAAAGAGTGTGGCAAACGAGGAGAGTGCGAGAGATGTGTGAGAACAAAATGTGTGCAAACACCTGTCTGCAAACACCGTTGTCGCCGCTTACCATGACTCTTCATTGCATGGGAAAAACGTGTGTGGATTTTCAGCGTTTTTTCAGGAACACCTCAGATTTTCAGAAATGTTTTTTCTGCTCTTTTGAAAATCTTACGGTATATACCATTTTATTTCAAAACATGGATTTTCAACAATTTATTAGTGATGGTCTTGATCTTGAGAATTCTGTAAAATTCACGAGTTTTTTTTCTACGCTCTCGTTTCCACTTTTTTTTGTCAAAAGTTTAGAAATGTTAAAAATACTGTAGCATTTCAATGGTGCGACAGAAGAAACACGTGGTCTCGAAGCATTTTTATTTATTCTTTGTGTGTTCCTTTGATTTGATACGGTACCTTTATTATTCTTATTTATTTTCCACCTAAAAACCTCGATTTTTAGCATTTTTCTTAATGAAATGTGCTTTCTAATTTCATCTAGACTTATATACTTTTTCAATCTAAAAATATCATTTTTTGCAGTAAAACTGGAGCAAGCAGTATGTATGTGTTATTAAATCTAAAAGATGAGAAAAATCTGCAGAACGTCGTTCAATTGCTTTTTTCACACGGACACCGACAATTATCAATAGGTGAAACTATTGAAAACCTTTGTCCGACATGCGAAAAATCCGGCAACTCAACAACATCTTCAATAATTGGAAATGGTGGAACTGAAACACACACAACAACACCCGAATTCCTTTGTTCAACCCCAATAAAATCCGAAAAATTGGCAAGTTCTTCGTCGAATTTATTAACATCTTCATTATTAAAACGAAGCTATAATAATATATCACCAATAATGTCAGGTTATGAAGATATAAGTGTAAAAGAAGAACCAAGTGATGAAGGAAATGATTATGGTGGAGAATTGGATGAAACTGAAACATTTTCGCTAAGTCAAGCACTAGAACTTTTTGAAACTTCGAAAAATTTGGGTGAAAATTTTGGATTGAAACCAGTGAAGCGAGTGAAAAATGAGGAACCGTTTGGCGAAGTTTTTCAATGTCAATTGTGCAAAAAGAGTATTTCGCGTCATGGACAGTATGCTAATCTTTTGAATCATTTATCTAGACATGCAAGACTTCATGCTTCAAAAAAACAGTATTGGTTGGTTTTTGAGGGAATTTGTGAGGGGAAGAAACATCTGAAAAACTGAAATTTTGCAGCTGTCCACAATGCGGTGCTAGCTTTACTCGCAGATATTTGGCCGCTGCTCATATTAAAGAGGCTCATCAGGATTTGAATATGCAACCACACGATTTTGCGTGAGTTTTTTGAAGGGAAAACGTTTGAAAAATGATCTGAAATTGGAGTTTTTTACTGGAAATTTGGAGACTGAAAATAAGATGACAATTTGAAATGTTCCTCAAATTATCATGAAAAGTTTGAGTTTTAAAAAAATCTAACGATCTGATTTCAAAACTTAAACTTAAAAGTTTAATTGTTCAACATCACATGTTCAATCTGAAACCTTCTAGTGAACCAGAATTTCAAGGAACCAAAGAACAATCTGAAAATCTTATTTTCAGGCGAAATTTCCTAAAAATACAAAAATTTTCAAAAAAAAGTTTAGGAAATTCCTGAATTTTTTCAGGATAAAAATCTCCTGATAATCTAAAGCTAGAAATCCCAGGTTTCGATTGAAAAGCTTGAAAAGTTCAAACAAAAATAATGATTCATCCAACTTCCTAATTTTGCAGCGCCGAACTTCGTGAAGAATACAAATCTCTTCTCGAAGTTTGTTTCCCAGGCGCCGACAGTCGCCGTCGCCAACAACAAATTGTCTCACAAGTCGCAAAAGACACAATTCTCAGCATTTTATCCGATGACAGCGGAATTTCACTTCCCGAAGCTGCTGATAACAGTATGAATGGATTGGATACGATGGAGAAAAATGTGATTGAAGTTCATGTTGGATCAGATAACACAATTCTAAAGGATGTAAATGAGACAAATATGCAATTGAGTTTGGATTTGAGTTTAGAAGATATGAATCAGGAAGGACAAGAAGGTGTTTCTGATAATACTGAAACAAATTTGGTCGTTTTTTGAAACCTCTATTTTGTAGTTAGAAAGGGAACCATTTTTCAGTTGGAACTGGATGAAAAATGGAAATTTCGAAACCAAAAATATTTATATGACTCATGTTAGTGGATTTGTGAGTTGAGTTATAGAAATGCGACTTTTCGCGGAAAAAAAATATTTTTTAAAAATTTTTTTTTTTAAAAAAGTGGAATTTTCGCGTGAAATTTGAGGCGCTCGAAGATTTTTCGCATTTCTTGATTTTTCAGTAAATCGAATACGGCGATTATTTTCTGATATTTTCTTTTTGATTAGAATTTATAATTGATCGATTTTTTCCACTTGAGTCATATTATTTTTGCGTAAGTTTTTCTATTTTTCATCCAGTTTTCACCGAAAAAAGGTTTCATGTTATATTTCTTTTTTGGGTGATTTTTCCCGGCTGATTTTCACGTTTTTCATTGCAATTATTATACATATACAAATAGTCATAGTTTTTATCATTTTCTAGTTTTTTCCTATATATTTTTTCGCACCAAACATAATCAAAACACAAAATTCTATTGATATAATCTTCAGGTTCCAAAGAGAGTTCTATCAATATATTTCTATATCCACAAAACACACATACATTTCTATATATTTTTTGTCCGGCGGGTTTTCTATAAATTTCTATCTTTACTAGACACTTCACCAAAAATCCTAATCTTTTCTTCCCCCATTTTTTTCTGATATACCGTTTACGAGTTTTCTCCTGTTTTTTTTTTGAAGAGTTTACATTGTTTTCTTTTTGTGCCTTTTTTTTGGGTGTGATAATGGATTTTTCTTGTATAGAATAAAGTTTTTCTTTATATTGAAAAGGTTTTTTCTATGTTTCTAGGCAAAATTTATAGGATTTAAGGCAAAAAGTTATCAATGTTTTCCTAATTTCACTTTAAACGTTCAACTTTCGCTAAGTTCTCAAAACTTTGAAAAATTGTCAACAATTGAAAAAAAATTTACTGTAGTTGTTTCAAGGCACACGCACACAAAAACTAGGTCTCATCACGACAAAACACAATCTTCATTTGTTCCTTTAATATTCACTACGGTGTCTAGTTTTTTCCTTTTTTTGCATCGCCGAAAAATCGATTCTTTCTATTTTCACACAGTTTTCTCCGCCTTCAAGTCGTTCTATTTATCAATCACATGAAATCCACGTGTCGCGACACTTTCAGTTTAATTAACTTTTATTGAGATTTTTCTTAGAATAGCGTCTAATTTTGTCGATCAAAGTATTCTTTTGACTCATTGTATGTTTATTTATCTACCCAACTATCTCTATCAATAGTAGTTGAAAAAGAAAAAAAAGAAACATCTCATGAACGTTGGAAAAAAGAAGAGATGTATTTATTGTTATTGATTTTTTGGTCGTTTGTTCGTTTTTTTCCAAAAAAAAAAATTGATAAGTATAACCAGTCTCGCCTTGTGTTAGAAAAAGGGGTCACATGTCCGTTCGAAACAAACACGTGCCTCCCGAGTTTGCTTTTTATTGGGGTGTTTTTCCAAAATAATTTGTTATGACGTTTTTATTAGAAACAAAAGTTCAAATGTTCATCAATTTTCAAAAAATATATTTAATATTTTGCTGAAAATCTAGTATCTTATTGTTAATATCATAGAACACATTTTGAACATTTATTTTCTGTTTGGGCGCTCAAATGCGCCCCATGGCACAAAAATATCTTCTCTTCTTTATTATTTTTGTCCACCAAAAAAACTTGCGCTTCACCGTTTCGTTTTGCCCTCTGTCTGTATTTATTTATTGAAGTTTCAGCATTTTTCGAGCCAAAAATTTCGCCTGAAAACAAAATTTCGAAAGAAAGCTGACAAAATGTTCATGGATAGAGAGGCGCTGATTCATTTTGTTGGTGGAGCTGTTGGTGGAACTGCTGGTGAGTGTTGTTTTTTGACAAGGGAATGGGAAATCGTGGCGGGAACTGCTATGTGCCTTTGAAAATGATATATTGATTGGTTTTCGAAGGTGCATATGATTTTCCTGGTCTCGAAAGAGGGAATCTGCGATTTCATCATGTTTTAATGAGTTTTTTCGATGAATTTAATGAAACTGTAAGAAAATTGATGAAAAAAATCGTTTTTTCTGGTCGCACAAAGAAAAATCGATGATTTCATCATATTTTTAATTGGAAAAGGAGATGCGTGAAACTTTTGAGTCGATGATAGAAAAAAAGCATTTAAACCTATTTTCAGCATAAAATCTGAAGTAAACTTTTGTCGAAAAAACATGAAAGTTTTCAAAACAAAAAAAAAACATTTTTCCAGTAAAAATAGAAAAAATCCCCCATGTTTTCTCCAAAATATTGTTTTCCCAGGAACCGCAATCACATGTCCATTAGAAGTTGTCAAAACTCGAATGCAATCATCTCGCGGTCTCGATCCTTCCGCAACTTCTTCCGGACCATCAACATCAACCGGCAAACAACAACTTCAATCTCAACCCAAAAGCTCTTCCGTAAAATCGGATTCGATCACAAAATCCGTTGGAAATCGATCGGCTTATGGTTCGAATTTTCGAATTCGCGCACATTTTCTCGCCGATTTTGGCGGGTTTCAAAGGTTATTTGGTGAGTTTTTGAGAGGAAAAGTTCTGATTGAAATTGGGAGAAATTTAGGTTCAAGTAACGTAAATTATCTACTTTTTCAACAACAACAACAATCGATTCGTGGATTTTCCACAAATTTGGAGACGAAACCAGGAAGAAGGGGATTTGTCGTTTTTCGGTATATTAAGTGAGTTATTTTGGAGGTTTTGGAATAAAATTAGGCTTTTTGTCTTATTTGACCCAAACTTGGCCTATTTTCAGGCCTATGCTAATGCTTTTTGCAATATTTTGCCCAGGTTTTCTTAGAGGTCTCTGTCCGCAACTTGTTCTGCGCTCTTTTTATCACTCATTCTAACCATTTTTTAAAATTTCAGCCAAGTTGTGAGAACTGAAGGAATTGGAGCACTTTATAAAGGATTGATACCGAATTTGATTGGAGTCGCACCTTCGAAGTGAGTTTTTTTTTTGTCAGATTTTGGAAGGGTTTGGATTTTCCACGTCATTTGAGAAAACCGTTTGAAAATGGGAAAAAACCTTAAATTTTTTTTTTTTGAAAAACTGAGATTTTTGAATCTGAAATCTTGAACATTTGAAAGTTTTGGACTAAATCAAGATCTTAAATTTTCCACGTCATAAGTCATTTTTTGAACTCTCAAAACGCTCCTTATTTTCCCAAACTTTTCAGAGCCGTCTATTTCTATACATATTCAACATCAAAACGATTCTGGAATGATTCCGATTTCTTCGTCCCAAATTCTGCAATAGTTCATATGGTTAGTGCTGGAAGTGCTGGTTTTGTAGCTGCTTCAGCTGTTAATCCAATTTGGTTGGTCAAAACACGTCTTCAATTACATAAAGGACCAATTGGTATATGGCCAATGGTTAAACGAGTTTATCAAAGAGAAGGGTTTAAAGGATTTTATAAGGTGAGCGTTTTTTTTTGGGGAAATTTCTATGGCTCTCCAAAAAGAAAAATTAACCGAATTTTTTTCTTCAAAATATCACTGTTTCAAAATTACAAAAAATGAATTTGGTAGATTATTTCGCCTGCTTCTCTCAGAATAATTAGCTCAAAAATTAACGAAAATTTATCGAGGAAAATTTTTATTTTTTCAAAATTCCTTTGTTTCAAAATTTTTATGAATACATTTAGTTTTTTTCTGTTGCCACAAAATTTTAGAGGAGAAAAATCTGGGAAAAATTTCACAGTTTCAAAACTTTTCTACATATTAGTAGCGAATATTGAAAAAAAACTTATACTTGAAAATGTTTTCCTAATTCCTCCCAAAAATCCTAATCTCTCATTTTTTGCAGGGTGTAACTGCATCATACGCTGGCGTTTCCGAAACAATGATACAATTCTGTATTTATGAATATTTTCGCGGTGTTTTGCTAAGTCAAACCGATTCGACCGATAAACGAAAAATGGATTTTTTGAATTTTATGGTCGCCGGAGGTTCGGCTAAATTTATAGCCTGTGTTTTGGCATATCCACATGGTGAGCAGCTTTTTTTGGGGAAGAAAATTTGTATTTCTAATTCGGAAATAACACAATTTAAAATGCAATTTTTCACAAAAAAATTTATTAGAAGTTCTCTTTTTATTTCAAGCATTTAGATTTTTCCCATTTTTCAATCAAGAATTATGTTTTTATCATCCTCTTTCAGAAGTTGTTCGAACTCGACTACGCGAAGAATCCGAAGTTCAACGTGGATTTTTCCGAACTCTACATCAATTGTATAAAGAAGGATATCGGGCAATGTATCGAGGATTGTCGGTTCAGGTGAGAAGCTTGGGATATTCCCAAAATTTGGGAAAAGTTGTGAAAAAGCTGTTTTTATTTTAAAAAAAGTTTATTCAAAAACTTTAAAAATTAATTTGAGAAAATGATGAATCTGACCCAAATGATAAGGAAACATTGAAAAAAATATAAAAAAATTTCACTGTTTCAAAAAAAATTTTGAAGTTTATAATTAATAGTTTTTTAAAAATGTTCTGCGAAAAAATTTATTTTGAAAAATCAAATTTGATTTCGCCGCTTCAAAGTTTTAATGAACAAATTTTGAGAACTCATGTTCAAAATTTGAATTTCCGGTAAAATTACTAATCTAAATTTATTTTATTTTAAATTACTTTTCAAAAATTTGAATTTTACATGGCAAGTTTGGCAACAAATCAATAATTAATCTTCAAATCTCTGAATCTTTCTATTTTTTTCAGTTAATGCGAACAGTTCCAAACACGGCTATCACAATGGGTACCTATGAATTTGTTGTCTACATGCTCCATCATTCTTTCTGAAAAAGTATCAATTTTTCCTAGAAAAATTCAGTCTAGTATGTTTTTTTTTGTCATTTCATTTCATTTCGTGATCATTCCAGTCTATTTTTTTCTAATTTTTTTCCCGCTAAAATGTAATTAGTTTCTTTATTATTGATTTTTTTGAGGTTTTTTAGTCTTTGTATATTAAATGAATTGCTCAATCTGCTCTTTTTTTGGTTTTTTACTTCTTCACGGATTTTTTCTTTGTTTCTATAAATTTATTTTTTTTCTTATGGAATTTTGTGATTGGAAAATTGAGGAAAGTCATCAAAATATTTTGATGTTTTTAAAAATGATTAAAAAATTCACTGTTTCAACGAGAATTGTTAAAATTTGAGGAATTTTGATTTTTGATCCGCAAGAAAAAACATTTTTTCACCAAAATTTCTTTGTTTCAAAAAATATCTTCTCAACAGTTTTCTGAAATTTCAGGTCCAGCCATAACTTACAAAGTTAACTAAATTTTGTCAAAACTAAAAATATTTTTTGTTCAGATTCTCGATTACAGAAAACTTCCGAGAATCTCAAATATTGATTAAATTTAAGAAAATACTATTTTTTTAACATGAGCAATGGGAAATTCCGCGAAAAGTTCTCAAAAACCATAAAATCCACCTGAAAATAACTCGATAAATAAAAGTTTCGACATTTTCAGATTGTTTGCCGGGGTGGCCGAGTGGTAAAAGGCGCAAGTGCATTCACACGCGAACTTGTGGTGGTAAACACCTACGCGGGTTCGAATCCCGCCCCCGGCAATGAATTTTTTTGGGTTTTGTGGGTGTGAAAAAACATTCATTGCTCATTTTAAAATGGTTGTGCTTTGCGCTTGGAATTTGGAAAATTGAGGTTGAACTAGTGTTCAAAATATCAGTTTCAAAAAATCAATAATTTGTTCAATATTTCCAATAAAGAGAACAATTATGTATAATGAAAATTTGCACTGTTTCAAAAAAACGTATGGAAATTTGTTTTTTGATGTTTATATTTTTGTGATTCCTAAAAGGTTGCCAACTTTTGAACCAAATTTGAGCATAAACTAGCCTTTTCTGTGTTCTTCTCCATATGAGAACAATTTCTTGCGAACAAAAAAAGATCTTAAAACTGTATTTAACAACAAGGATTTCAAAAAAGAAAAACGAAAAATGGAATGAAAAAGTAAAAATAATCGATAAATAAATAACAATTTAAATTGGAACTAATGTTGAAAATAATTGTCGAGGAGCTGCGAAAGACGAATTTGTGTTGATTTTGTGATGATTTTCAGATGATGAATAATTGGTGGAATTTGAGGAGGAAGAGGAGGAAAAAGTTCGAAGTTGACGAAGTACATTTTCACTATCGATTGCTGCATTTATTGATTCGTCTGGAAAAATTAAAGATAATGACTGGAAAAAAATTTAGAATTAAGAAGAGTCAGAAATATTGTGAATAACTAATTCAGTAAATACCGCAAGAAACAAACAAAAATGTAGTCAAACAATATTTTTCAAAATTTTGAAACAGTAAAAACGTTTTTAAACTAAAAATCCACTACTCCAAATGTTTTTTATTTGAATTTTCAAAGCTTTTCGAAAAATTACTGTCTCAAACTTTTTTTATAACTTTTTCTAAAAAAAAATTCTTATTGAACATTTTAAAAATGAATTTGTAAGCCTAAAAAATCCACTGTTTCAAAATCTCATATGTTCAATTATTCAATTTGGTTTCTTTTCAATGATCTTTCCACTTTCAAATTCCAACTAACCATTAACATAAATCTCCTTAACAATATTGCTAGCAGTTTCCAAAAATGCACAATTCATTTCGGCTCTCATCAATTGTTGTAATACATCACCAAGTGTTTGGATGAACACCAAAACTTTCAGCGACAATTTTTTCCACTTCGATTTTGTGCACAATTGTTTGCAAACATGAAGAGCCAAATCAACAGTATTTGCATATAAATATGATTGTGTTCCTTTTCTGGAAAATGGGAATTTAGGAAAGGAAACGGGGGATGGAGTGGAACTTACATTTTAACATTTTCGGGTTTCAGGAAAATCTCCTTTGGTGGTTCGACAAAAACAATCAATTCGGATAAAATCTGGAAAAAAACAATGGGGATGAAAAAAAATACTGTACATAGTAGGATTTTTATAAATTACTGTATTCTGAAGAAAATTTGCAGAATTTTTTTCTGGTCAGAAATTGATCAAAACATTGCTAATCCGATATTTTTAGCCTATTTTCAACCAAAAATTTAAAAAATTTTACAGTAATTCTACACACGCTACATTTTCGCGCTGAACTGTTCCCTACAGTACCCCAATCCCATACCTCAGTAATTGCTAATTCAGTCATCGCATTCCATCCACTTTCAGTTGCCGAGAATCGTGTCAACGTCGTCAAAATCGCCACCAACAAATTGTAGTTTGCCACGTGTTCGGCATTCCGCGAACCCGCCGCCGTCGCATTTTTCCCAACAATTTCGGCCCAATCGAAATCGATGGCCAACAGTTCTTCGCAAATGATTCGCGCGATTCCGGTTCGCGACAAATTCGCCGCGAATTTTTTGGAGCCTTTGAGATCTTCGTGAAGCAAATCGTTGACGAGAATTATGGCGGTTGACTGGAAAACAAATAATTCTTTATTTTGTACTTTAATGTCAAATCTCAGCAATTTTCAAAAAAAAACCCAAATTTTTATAAATATATTTTGAAACAGTCAATTTTTTCCTTTAAAAAGTTTTAAAAAATAAAAATATCGTAGCCAGACCTTGGCAGCCCACTGTGGCAAGGTACGGCGCCTTGAGATAAATTATATGTCAAGTAGCCAAGCCTTGTCAAACTAGTAGCCCCAGAGATTCGAGTTGCCATACCCCAAAATTCCCTTCTCCTGCGCAAAAAAACGTAGTCTCATCAAAAATTCGTATAAAAATCGTGTTGCTCATTCATTCATTTTTATCCAATCCATCATAATCTCCTATTTCTCTTTTTCCATTTTTACAGGCCGTGAGTTCACAATTCCCATTTGGGAATAACACAGAAAAAAAGAAGAGAAAAAGGAAGAGAGCAAAAACTTTTCAGTGTTGGTTGGGTTTTATTATTTTCTCTGGTTGCGGTTTTTTTTGAGAAAGAGAAAATAATAAAATAGATGTGTATTTCGAATTCGCGCGCATTTGTCTGTGTTCTTTGCATAAAACGAATATATCACAAATACAGGTAATTAGAGGAAATACTGAAAATGATGTCAGAAAAATTAGCTGTTGATCTCCAATCCGGACAGCGCAAATGAGCTTCGAAGTAGATTTTTATACAAAAATACAATGTTCAAATTCATGTTTGTTTAGAAATTTTGAATCTCAGCTCAACCTTAAAAATCATTTTCAGTGCCTACGAAAGTGCTAAAGTTTCTTTCAACCTGATATTTCTATTTTTTTCAATTTAGCTTAAATCACATTCTCCTTCTATTTTGCTACACCTCTTTTATCATAATTTCCGCCGCAATTTTTTTCGTCGTCGAATCGCAAAGTTCAATCACTTACAAACTCGAATGGCAGGATAAAGTCAATGTTGGTCGACAAAAGTAAGTTCCAATTTTTTCTACATATTTAAAATTCAAAATGGTTTTTTTTCAGATTTATTTCAAGCAATCTGTTCCCAGATATTTTCAATAATAGTCGTCTTTTATTATATGTTCACGGTGAAAAATCAGATTATCTTCAAAGGGTTATTGATAGACGATTGCATAATTATGAACAACATCAGCTCAAAATTCAGGCTCCTGTTCCGAAATTCAAGATTACATATTTGAACTCGTTGTTCTATGTAAGAATTGGGTCATGGACACATTGAATTTGAAAATAAAAGAATTCAGAAAAAAAAGATTTGAAAACGTATTTTTTCGGGTTTTCGTAAAACAAAAAACTCCGCCAATAGCAAATTCAAAGTGCAAAACAACCAGATATAACTTCCATAAAGCCAATGAATTTTGTCTCAATCTAATCCCAAACTTGACAACGATGACGATTTCCAAAACATTTATTTTGAGCCAAAGATTTCGAAGAGCAAATGTAGTGTTAAACAACTTCCCCTAACTTCAGATCTTCTCAACAATCACAACAACCGGTCACGGATATATTCAACCAGGTACTGACAATGGTCGTACAACTTCAATATTCGTCTCAATTTTGGGTATTCCATTCACAATTATTGTCATAAAAGATGTCGCATATATCATTGCTGTCCTTCTACATTTTCCATGCCGACTATTGCGTATGTTTTTATTTATGATTTTCTTAGCGAACAAAAAGAAAGAAGAAGGAAGAAAACAATGTTATTATTATTATTTTCCCAAGAGAATGATTACGAAGTGTTCGTATTCCAACCAAAAATTCGCTAGAAAAACTTTTAAAATTTGTTTCATACTCACAAAAAACTTTTAAAAAAGTGCGAAAAAACTTGGGTTGACGAATATAGTCTCTTGGGATAATTTGAAAGAGTATTTTAGAAACAATTTGGAACATTTTTCGATTTTGCACATTGAAACCAGTCAAAGAAAGCGAATTGGAACAGGAATTAAATAATGGAAGAGTTGATCCAGCAAAAGATTATCGATTGGATCATGCAAGTCGATTATTATCGATTCCGGTTAGTGAATTTGGTTGGAAAAGGTACTTCCGATGAATATGAGCAATCACAAATCTTCTATTCTTTAATTTACCATAAGCCAGGAATTTGAAAAAAAAACTGTTTAAAAAATTTTTCCAAATTTCCGATAGAAAATATAGACAAATCCTTATGATCTGAGCAACAAAATTTTCTTCGGTATGAGCAATCATTTTACTATAGTGAAAGAGATTTCTCTAGATACCGACTAGATAAAATCTTTTATAAATTTCGCAAAAGTCAGCCTCGAAAACTCTAATTCAGTTCTCCTCTAATTTTACTACAAAATCCCTAACCTGAGCAATATAATTTCAGGTAACAGTGGCAATTCTTGCTGTAATTGGATGGATTTCCTTTGGCAGTATTCTAATGAGTTATGCATTTCCATCGCTTTCCAATTCCAGCAACGTATATTTCATACTAAATTGTTTGACAACAACGGCAGTTTCAAATATCGAACTTCCAGGTTTTTCTAATGCTATAAGACTTCACTGTGCTTTATAACAAAAAAAATTTCAGAATTAACATTGCTCATGTTAATCGCCTATTTTCTATACGTTTTAATCGGTTTGGCAATCGTTTCGCTGTTCATTAATCTTCTTCACACGAAATTCAGTCAAGCTTATTGGATGCCAGGAAAAATGTATCTGCCTTTGAGAAATAACGGAGGATTGGGTCGAAATTTGGCAACTTTGGAAAGTTTTGAAGAATTGACAGTTAGCGATATGCCAATTAATCATATGGCAACATTAGGAATATTTCAGACTGATGTGAGTTTTGGAAAAAAATAGGGATGTAGGAAGAATTTTTCAGATTTTCCGAATAAAAAACTCTAAATTATATATTTTTTAAATCAGCGATACTTGAAATTTCAACGAAATTTTAGACGTAAAAATATTTTGTTCAAAATATTGGCTTGAGAAACATTTTGATAGAAAAATTAATTTCAAAAAACGTTGAGATTCTGAATTTTCCCCGAAAAGCTCAAATCCTCGGATGGAAATTCAATATTTTTGAAGCTAAACGGCAAAAACTGTTTCAGTAAATTTTGAACTTATCGATTCAATACAATACATATTAAAAAAACACAATCCTAATTTTTTTAATAAGATAATTTTGAAACAGCGAATTTTCAAAAAAAAATTCCTAGAATAGAAAATTCAACAAAAACACAGCCGAAAACTAGCTTCTGGTCTGTAAACCAAAATTATCAGAATTAAAATAGGAAAATAATATTTTCAGAGATGAAAATCACAAAACTACTAAAAATTCTGAAATATTTCAGGACAAATGTCCACTTTTGGCAATTCTCAAAAAAGAGGGCGCATTACATGAAGTCGTGACTCAAACCGGTCAAGAAAACACATGCATTTTGAGCAACAACAAATATTTGCCACCAATTGATCAATCAAGTCCAACTCCTCCACTTTTACCATCAAATTATTCAAAATCTCAGGAAGATGTTAATGAGTTAATTATTGAAACATATGGTTCAAAACGATTGATGAGATAGATGAATTTTGTATGGAATATCTAGGATTTTTAATTGAAAAAACATGTGTAAAAGTAAAAGTATATATTGATTTGAGAGGAAAAAGGATACAAATTTCAGGTGAAACAGTGCAATTTTTAGATTGAAAATAGAGTCATTTTATATTTAGAGCATTCAATTTTTTCATACGATTTTTATGATTTTTTAGTGAAACAGTAGATTTTTGAAGATATTTTAGTAGGGAAAGTTTGATTGTAAACGTTTTTCGGAATGATTTTTCCCCTAATTCTCCCATCCCAAAAAATGTACTAACTTTTCGATGTTTCGGCAAATCTGAAATACTCGATGCCAAATGTCTCGAAATATCATCCGACATCAAATCAACAACTTCAACAATTTGATCAGAATTCGAAGAAGACGGTGTTTCGTGTCCATCCAATAACCAATCTTCAGCTTCGTGAACTGCCTGAAAATTATTGATTTTTATTTTGTACAAAAATCATATTTTTGATCAAATGTAGAGTTAGAATTCAGATTTTCATAGAGTTTCTGGAGAAAGATATTTTTTTGACGCAAAGAATTTCTATTTTGACTGAAATACAATTTTCTTCCAAATTTTTCATTCAAAATTTAAAATTTCCAGTTTTCCTACCTCAACAGCACAATTTGGCTCGAAAACAGTTCTCAAAATCAGTCGAACCGATCGATATAATCCAACCTGGAAAAGTGTTCAATATTTTCAGATTTCCAGACAAAAAAAAAACAATACCTTAGCTTCAACTCCTTTTTCTCCTGGTTGCAATAACAATTCAATCAATGCTTTGAAAAGAGGAGCCAGGAATTTTCGAAGATCGGAAATCTGGAAATAATAGTTGATTTTTGAAAAAAAAAATATTTAAAAATGTGGGTGAAATAAATGGGTCACGTGGGAAATTTTTCTATTTATTCTTGAATTTTGAAATTCCCAATTTTTTGTTGTTAGAGTCATCAACATGTGTAAATTGATAAAATGTTTGGAATGAAATTATAAGAAAATTTTGAAACAGTAAGATTTTTTTGAAAAAAAAATCCAAAAATATTGAATTTCGGGGTTTGGGGTTGAAAAACTACTAGAAAACATATATTTCATCAAAATCTCGAGTTGGACCAAGTTGGAACAGTTCTCTTGTCATCCTCCTCGTTTCGAACAACTAGAACTCCAAATAAAATCCTGATTTCTCCACCAAAAAACAATCTGCCAATCAACTCTTTCGCTTCCAAATCCAATAAATCGCAAATCAGTGCGAACAAAAAACAATAATGTCCGACAAAACTAGTTCAATCATATCAACACAACTTATCCTCTCAATCAACTGCAAACCAAAAAAAAAGAACAAGTTATCATATCTCTCGCATAGCCATACCAAACTTGTTCCCAAAAACACTATAAAACTGTCAAGCGGCGGCGGAGATAATCATCATTAACACAATTACAATAATTTACTGTTTTGCCATTGCAAAAGTTTAGCCTAATTCTAGCTGTTTTCTATTTTCTTTGTCTTCTAAGACTAAGCTCAATTCTCCCAATTTTCAGCAATATGCAAGTGCATACTGCCACATTTATCGCCTCCTCTTTGAGTGGAATTGCACTTTTGTGCAGTTTTTTGGCTCTCGGACAAATCTTCAACAATGTTCAAGGATATTGGACAGAATTGGATGTTGAGATTCAAAATTTCAGAGTTAGTTTGGAGATTTGAAAGAAGTCACGCAGAACTTTGCACATTTTCGTTCAGAAACAGAAAAACACCTGCTTTATAGAATTGGAAAATGCTTTGACTTTCAGGAAAATCAAAAATAAAAACCTAGAAAATTCAGTCGAAAATACAATTTCAAAGCAGTTCCCGAAAAAATAGTTTTTCAAAATTTCAAGAAACAATTAGCCTTTAGAGTTTACATGAAAAATAACCGAGCCTAAAAAGCCTAGCAGTCGAGTACTTGAGCCTTTAGAACCTAGTTGTGGATCAGCGCCTGAGAGCTTCTCTTAAAAGGGGCCACGCCGAGAAAGTTCAATTTTTAGGGATTGGTGCCTAGAGAACCTAATTGTCAGGAAAGTGGTCTAGAAAGACACCATTGAACTTAGAAAATTACAATTTCCATCGAAATTTGTGTTAAAAAAAACAACGAATCAGATTTTTCACTAGCCCAAACCAAAATTCCAGGTCGAAACTGATCAAATGTGGAAAGACCTTGTCGACATCGGAACCCATGCCAAACGTTCTCGCAGAAATGCCTACGAAGGTGGATATGCCGCAAGTGGACCAGCTCCATCATCAAATAGCTACAGCGGTGCTCCAGCTCACGATTTCGGAGCTCAAGCTCCAGCTGGACCAGCTCCATCTGGTGGATCGTGTCAATGTCAATCAGCCGCTGAGAACAAATGTCATCCCGGACCAGCTGGACCAAAGGGAACTCCTGGATCACCAGGACCAAATGGACAACCAGGAATTGATGGAAAACCAGGAGTTGATGCCGAAGATGTTTCACCCGAACCACAAGACACCGGAATTTGCTCGTATTGTCCAGCTGGACCACCAGGACCACCAGGACCAAATGGAAGACCAGGACCACGTGGAATGAAGGGAGCTGATGGTGGACAAGGAAGACCAGGACACGATGGTAACCCAGGACATCCAGGAGAAATCGGAGCACCAGGACCATCAGGAAAAGTTGGACCAGAAGGAAGACCTGGAGAGAAAGGAGCTGATGGTAGAAAACCAATCGGAAGACCAGGAGCCAAGGGACAACGTGGACCACAAGGAGAACCAGGACCAGTTGGAGATAATGGAGCTGACGGGCCAACTGGACCAGCTGGACCAAGTGGACCACAAGGAGGGCCAGGAGGACAAGGAGAAAAGGGATTGGATGGTGTTCCAGGAGGAGAAGGAAAACCAGGAAGACCAGGAAAGGATGCCGAATATTGTCATTGTCCAGCAAGAGGATCACATGGAGGAGTTGGAGGTGGAAGAGGTGGACACGGAGGAGCTGCTGGAGGTGGAGGAGGTGGATATGCTGCATATTCAGAGGGAAGATAAATGCTTGCTATACTTATTGTGCAATAAATACATTTCATTTCTCATTTATTTTCGAGATTTGAATAGTGTTCGGGGCATTATTTGTTATATTCAATGAATACTCAGATATTTATGAATTTCAGGCTAAAAAATATATTTTAAAACCCAAAATTTTGAGCCAATTATTTATTGAGGTCAGAATTTTCAATCAATAATATCAGAATATTATTCTGACTTTTCATAACTTAGACTCAAAATTTCCACATTTTCTCCAATTTCTGGCCAAAAACAGTATTTTGCCCAAACTCTAAATTTTTCTCCCAAACCCGCAAATTTCCCTTTCGCATACCTTCGAATATTCGTCTTTTGCCAATTTCGTCACAGTTTCAACCATTCGATGAAATGTTTGAACTGCTGAAACAAGTGAACTTCCACCAATTCCAGACATCATTTCAATCAAAACATAACACGAATCGCGGAAAATTGTTAGTCTGAAAAAATAATTAAATATAATATATCATATCAAACAAAAAACCTAAAAAAAAAGCGGGTATTCATATATTTTTTGAAACGTAAAATTTTCGGAATATTTTACATGAGAAAAATAAATTCAAAACTCCTACGTAAAATTTTTTGAGAATTTGAGACAGAAAAATTGAAAATTCAAAAGTTAAAGTTTTTTAATTCCTCTTGTTTTTGAAAAAATTAAAATTTTAATTTTTGAGAGCAGTTTTTCAAAAATTTAGAAAATTTTCAACACCAAAAAATCTGTTGAAATTAAACATATTTCAGGTGAACAAAGCCAGAAATTTCGATGAAACAGAGTCTGCAAAAACATCTGGCATCAGAATTTTCTGAAATTTCGGAGACTGACAAATCCCATTTGAACAATATTCTTGTTTTTGAGTAGAATTTCTAAAATTTCCCAGTTTTTTTGAGTTTCAGAAAATAATAGCGTGAAATTCATCGATTATATTCAATTTTTTTTTATTCTGGGAAATCCCTGAATTTTTTGAGAGAAAAAAACCCACTGCATATTGCTCGAAAAGAAATGAACAGGCGCAAATGCGGCAAAAACATTCAACAATGCCGTACATCCATTAACAATTCTTTCACTCGCAGATTCGCTCAACAAATTCGCATTCACTTCTGTACAATATTCCAATACATTTTCCATTTCTTTCCTAACATATTTCAAATCATCTCCTTCTTTATAAACTGCATCAATTTCTCGTCTCAATAATTTATCCAAATATGCCACGTCATATTGTGCAACTCCATAAATTGTAATTGTTAAACAAGCATCAAATAATTCGTGTAATTTATTCACATCAAAATGTACCAATTCAGGATAACTCAGATCAAATCGTTTGATAATTGTTGCTCGACGAAGCAATGAAAATAACAAATTCGGATCATTTCCTTCTTCTTCTTCTTCTTCACTCATTGTATATTCTGAAACCAATTTCGAAGATTCTAAAAGTGCTCTATAAAGAGTTTCAGGTCTTGTGAAATGTCCAGTTGTTAACATTGCATAAATTTCAACTGCAGCAAAATGCAAAATATATCCGGCAATCATTCGACGAACTGAGAAAACACCAGTTGCATATGTGTTATCGATTTCATCTTCCTGCAAAAAAAATGATTTGTGGAGGAGATATTGGGGATTCTCAGGACTTCAAAAATATGTTTGTTTGGTGTTGGAAAAATCGGAATTTCCAAGATTTTTCTATTTTTCATATTTTTTCACTTAATGGGCGAAACATTCATAATTGATAAAAATTTGGAGAAAACTATTATAATTTTTTGAAACAGTAAATATTTATCGTTGTTGTTTTGCTATTTTTCACTGTGAAATTTTCTCATGAACAACATTTTTTTTTCGGTTTTTCGTGTGATAAATTTATAAGAACATTTTCCAGCCATAACTTAAATTTTTTTCAGATTTTTGAAAACGGTATTTTTTCTAAAAATTCCCATTGTTTCACCCCAAAAACTCACCAAAGCCAGTGCTGAGCAAACAAACGGCGAAGTAACCAATTTCTCAATAACATTTGAACTTCTCATAAAACACAAAACCGGTTTCGAAAATGGACAATTCATTGAGACAAGTCGTTGCTTAATTTTTGGAATTTTGAGATTATTGAATATTTTTGACTTACCATAAGTCGAAAAGCGGGTTCTAAAAGAGCAGAAAATGGTAGATCAAATGGCGATTTTGTGGCGATGAATTGTTCGATTATGTGAAGAACATAGTGAAGGCCAGTCAGCAAATCATCTGAAAACTTTCTAACGTGGAAGCAGAATGTTTTTTCAACCTCAAAACCGCTTACCATTATCATACAATTCCTTGGAATTTCCTCTACTCGATCGAAAAGCCAAAAGATAATATGTAATATTATTGGAATCTTCATTTCTCGCCGTTTTTTGTGACGAATCAATTGAATCCGATAATGTTTCCAATATAATTCGAGCTGTTTCACCTCGTGCATAAATTGGATTCGTTGTTTCTTCTTCTTTTTCAAGAGAATCATTGATTGTATATTGAATTGAAGAAACGCAAAGAGCTGTACGAATTGCTCGAATATGAAGTGATTGAGAATTTCGAGATCGCAATAATTCGAGCATTGAACCTTGAACTGTTCCACGTGTTGCGGTGGCGTCACGGAAAATTCGAGCAGCATAAAGAGCATGGAGAGGATAGTCATCAGCCTGGAGGAAAATGGGAGTTTTGAGCAAAATTTTGAAAAATATCGCAAAAATACGTTTCAAAATTTAGATTTATTTTCAAAATCTTTTTTTCAGGTCGATTTCTCAAGGTTATGATATTTTGTAAAATTTAATAAAACATCTTAAAGCCAAAAATTAGTCTGACAATAAGATTTTTCGTGTTGAGACCAAAAAAATGCAATTTTTGGCGCCAAAACTTGATCTTTTTTCAGACTAAACTGTAGCGATAAAAATTGAGAAACAAATTTTTCCCCCAAATTTCAGATAACAACAAATTAGATAAAATCCCCCTCACCATTTGTAAATACTGAAAAACGAGATCCAAAATTGTACAAGGCGATGAGGAATGAATTGGTGTGAAAACCAATGCTTGAATTGATGCAACAATTATATCACTTGACGAAACTCGAGAACACGCTCGAAGTGCAGAATGAAGAACAATAGCTCCTGGAAAAAAAAAACAAATTTTATGGGAAGTGATAATTTTCAATAGAAATTGGTGAAAAATTGAAATTTGAAACCCGAAAATACTCTAAACTCGGCGTATAAAATGAGAAACCCTTCAAAAACCCACTTGACAAAATTCTCAACGCAATCAATGCCGAATCCGATGATGCAGTTTGTTTTGATGTATATGGATCGGTTTGAGCTTGACAATCTTCCATTATTATTCTGGCCAGCTGAAAATTATTAAATAGTAAATAAATGAGGCAAGGAATTACTAACATAAAGTCAGGGGAGTTTTTATTTCATAAATTTTTGAAACGTACAAATATTGGGAAATTTTATTTTCGAACAGAAAAATTGGAAATGTTACTAATTTTTACAGAAATCCACGTAGTTTTCTAATGAAAAATCAACAAAATTAAAAATATTGTTTTCAAATTTTTAAAGCCGATATTTCACGTGTTTTTTTAATAAAAATGTCTACCTTAAAAAATTTGAATTGTGGGATTTTTGATTTGAGATTCCATTTTCAAAATATTTTATTTAAAAAAATTTTGCAAATAAAATAAAATCATTGTATTTTCGGGCTAAAATCCTCATTCTGAACAAAATTTCTTGCCAAAAAACTTACAGCTCTGAAAAGCGGTGTATCATTCAAACATTGACTGAGTAATGCAATATGTATTTCATTATTTGCAACAGATCTCGGTTCAACAATTCCATATTCCAATAATGTATTTGTTGCTTTCAATGATTGTTCAGCCAAATTCCACATTTGTCCAATATCATTATAACTTCTCGAAGCAAATTGTGATAGAATCGATCGAGTTATGAATTGAATGAATGCTCCAGAATATTCGGGAAGTGGTTTGTGAGAAATAAGAGTTGAAACAAGTCGAACAAATGAAAGTGACACGTCATATTGTTTGGCCGCACATTCACGTTCTTCTAATTCTTGTTGCATTCCCATTAATTGACCATTTTCAGCGAAATAGCACAGTTGATTTGTGTGGATTACTTGCCAAACTCTGAAAAAAATTGAAATAATATTAGATTTGTTTGCTGTTTCAAAAATTGTTCATTTTTTAAATACTTTTCTCATACATAAAATAGGCACCCCGAGTCAGTTTTCAAAGTTAGGGCCCCCCTTGAAAATTTTCCAAAGTTAAACACCTTCCTCATATTTTTGAGCGAATTTTGGACAAATCTGGGAATTTTGGTAAATTATCAGCAGAAAATTGGCCAAGTTAGGCACCCTTCCTTTCAGATTTTTGAAAAAAAGTTGAGCCCCTCACACCGATTCTGGGGACCCATTTTATGTATGACTTTTCTAAAAATTAATAACTGAACGATAAACACTTTTTCAAAATATTATGAATAATTTTTGAATTAATTTCATTTCAATCTCAAAGGAGAGTGTAATGCAGACATTGATTAAACAAGAAAAAAAATAGCTGTTTCAAAATTATTTTGAAACTATTTTTTTTTAAAGTATATTCTGGACCAAAATTGCTGGTAAAATTAACCCAAAAAAATGGATTTCTGAAGATAAAAAATTCACTGTTTCCATGAAAAATACTCTACCCCACCCAATCTCATTCCCAAAAATCCTACCTAACAGCAGATCCTCTCAATCTCGCGACAGCTGTCAAAAAATTAATCAACGCAGCTTTCAAAGGCAAAGGAACCGATGAACTAGCAATCGATGCAACTGATCTCAAAACTCCCCAACTTTGATCATCCGAAAATCTTTGCGCAGCAATATCATCCAATAATGCAACTTTTGTCGATAATCGAAGCCACGCAATTAAACCAGCCAATTCTTGTGCAGGTATTTGTGTTTTATCAATCGCTGGTTTATTTTGTTGTTGTTGTTGTTGTTGAATCCTTGAAGCAGAAAATAATTGATTTTTCTGTTCTCTGAATAATCGATCATAAGCTCTTAATGCAGTCATCAAAGTTTCCCATCCAACAACATCCGAACTTCCTCCATAATAATCTCTTGCAAAAATATCATATAAAAATGAGGCGGTTAGATGATTTTTACAAACAGCCGCAGCAAATTCCAAATATGCAACTGCATGAACAACATGATGTGGAAGACGAGATCTTTCCAATAATCTACATAATTCCATTGATTTTTCCGTGCTGAACGCACTACTTGATTCAGCAATTTGTTGATTTAACAATCTTTCTTTTGCAGTTTTTGTTGTTTTTTCCGTCTCCATTTCGTATAAATCAATGAAACATCTCAAAAAATTCTCATAATTCGAAAGAGCTGCTGATTTCTCAGTGGCTACAACATCTCCAGTCTTCGGTTTCTCATCAATTTTCTGTTTTTCATCATAAAACACTAATTCATCACTGCTATTTCTTTCAATTTCCATTAATTTTGCTGGGAAAAATGCGACAAGTTGTTTGAGTAATTCATCAACAACAACAAATTGATGAGCAAATTGGAAATGATCACTTCGAATAATTGCATGTCTTAAATATTGAAATACCATATTTTTGATAGATCTGTCGACAATCAAATCAACATCAACTTTGATACTTTCAATTCCTGAATGATCAGCTGGAGAAGAAGCTAAAGCTCTTAATGATACTGCACAAGCAAGTTGAAGTGTTCCACACATTGATTGGTCTGTCCAAGTTGTTTCATCTCGAATATGTGTTATCATTGAATTCAAAACAGATGTTGCATCTGGAACTTGATTTAGAACTTCACTTGATGTTATTTTGATTAACGAAAGCCATGCAGCCATATTTGTTAAATTAAGTTTCTCCAAAGGAACTGATTTGACAATTGCAAAGAAATAGTTTGCAATATTTAATGCTTCTCCTCCAGGATTTTCACAAATCAATGAAATGCAAGTGATAATTTCATGTCGAATTTCCTCGATTGCGTTTCGAAGTAATTTTTGATGTTTTGAGCCTCCCAATCCATTTACACTTGGTTGCATTAAACGAGAGAATTCGGTGCTGACACTGAACGAATTGAGAAGTTCTGTAAAAAAATACGATATTTCAGAACTTTCAACTCGAAAATCTTACGGAAAAGATGTTTGACTACGTTAGCTTGAATAAATGTTGAATCAATAAGTTGTACAAGCTTTGCTGGCAATTCTTCTCGATCCCATCGCAAAATTTGACGAAGTGTAGTTATCAAAAGTCGATGAGCATCATAATAGCAAACAACGGCGATTAATCCACGATTTATCCCGTCGAAATGGATTTTTTGAGCTTCTCCAGCAAGGATCAAATCCACGGAATCTAACTCGTTTAATGTGAAAATATCACTGATTATCATTGATTCTGCACATAAACTGCTATCTAATGTGATTTCAACATCGTCGAATTTGATTTTTCCGCCTGGCACGATTTTTGCTTTATCAGCGGCATTTTTTGGCTGGAAATCAGGGTTTTTGAAATATTTTTCATTTTAGAAGAATGTGAAAAACTCACATTATTGCTTAGAACATTTGATAAACGATATTTGTACTTTTCTATAAGTGATATGATTTCCGCTGATTTTTTATCATCTTCAAAAGATGCTACTTGGCTGATTGCATCGAATAGATTTCGAATCTCGATCCACATTCCCTTGCTCTGAAAAAACTCGAAATGTCGTGGATCTCAGCTCAAAAATCGCAAAAACGTGTGAATTCGCGCTCGAAAAAAAAATGAAAATTTCGAAATGCGAGACACAACGAGAATAGATGAGACGCAGAGAGTAAAAGTAAAAATTTGAATGAACCAGCGATACGGTGCCACCTGTTTGAAATGTGTCGCCGCGAGACCCAAACAGCCCGCCAAATTTAAAGCGTTTATTTATTCTTGTTTTCTCTCACTCGCACTCGCTCGTTTTTTGTTGTTTTTTTTCGCGGCCGCCGCGGCTAAAATCGATGTCGCCGCGACTAGCGTCGTATTTGACCAGCAGAGTTATTTTACACACTAGTTTTTTCAAGGATTTCTCATTTGAACGTGTCCCTGACCTCGTTTTTTTTTCGAATTAAAAAAAAACTCACAAAATATTGTCATTTTTTTCTAGAAACGATGAGTGAATCGGACAGCGATTTCTCATTCGACGACTCACCAAAGAAGAAGAAAGCACCTTCAGCAGCCCCAAAAAAGGCCGCAGTTCCGAAAAATGGAACTCCAGCAAAAGCCCCAGCCAAAAAGAAGGCTGCTGCTCCAGCAGATGAAGATGTTAACACATCAATGACTGAAGAAGATCGAAATGTCTTCACAAATATTGACAACGCTAAAAAGACGGGAGGAAAGAAGATGGCAATCGAGGATATTTATCAAAAGAAATCCCAACTTGAACACATTCTTCTTCGTCCTGATACATATATTGGATCTGTTGAATATACCGAGAAAACTCCAATGTGGGTGTATAACACCGAAAAGAGCCAATTGGAGATGCGAGATGTTCGATATGTTCCAGGATTGTATAAGATTTTCGATGAAATCTTGGTCAACGCTGCTGATAACAAACAAAGAGATCCAAAAATGAATACAATCAAGGTTGATATTGACAAGTAAGTACTTATTCCTATCATATTTCAAAATTAAACAGTTTACTTTCAGAGAGAAGAACACAATTTCGGTTTATAACAATGGAAAAGGTATTCCTGTCACCCTTCACAAAGTCGAGAAAATGTATGTTCCTGAAATGATCTTTGGAACTCTTCTCACTTCTTCAAATTATAATGATGATGAAAAGAAAGTTACTGGTGGTAGAAATGGTTATGGTGCAAAACTTTGCAATATTTTCTCCACAAAATTTGTGCTCGAAACTTCATCCAAAGAATATCGTCACTCATTCAAACAAACTTGGATCAATAACATGACCAAGGATAAAGAACCAGTAATTGCTGAACATCGATCAGAAGATTATACGAAAATCACATTTTCGCCAGATTTGGCCAAATTCAAAATGACTGAATTAGACGATGATATTTGTCATTTAATGGCAAGACGTGCTTATGACGTGGCTGGTAGTAGTAAAGGAGTTAATGTATTCTTAAATGGTGAAAGATTACCAGTTAAAGGATTCGAAGATTATGTCAAAATGTATACTTCGCAATTTACGGATAGTGCTGGTGAACCACTCAAAGTTGCTTATGAACAAGTTGGCGATCGTTGGCATGTTGCTTTGGCACTTTCAGAGAAAGGATTTCAACAAGTTTCATTTGTTAATAGTATTGCAACAACAAAAGGTGGAAGACATGTTGATTATGTTGCTGATCAAATGGTTGCAAAGTTTATTGATTCGATTAAGAGAAAATTGTCAAAGACATCGATGAATATTAAACCTTTCCAGGTTTGTGGAAAATTGAAAAGATACTCAAAAAGCTGAATTTTAATCTCAAAAGTTGTGAAGATATGAAAAATCAATATTTTCTTAAAAGTTTTGCATCAGAAATATAAATGAAAAATTTCGAGTTCAAAGAAAACATTTGAATTTTAGTCTCTCCATATCCAGTTTAATAACAAAAAAACCACGTCCAAAATTTCTCTCAAAACCCCATATATTCCAGATCAAAAATCACATGTGGGTATTTGTGAATTGTCTCATCGAAAATCCAACATTCGACTCACAAACCAAAGAAACCATGACTCTTCAATCCAAACAATTCGGTTCAACTTGTCTTATGTCGGAAAAATTCTCAAAAGCCGCACAAAATGTTGGAATCACTGATGCTGTTTTATCATGGGTCAGATTCAAGCAAATGGATGATTTGAACAAAAAGTGTAGCAAGACCAAAACTTCGAAACTCAAGGTATTTTTCGGATGTTTTCATCAAAAACTGTTCAATAAATTGATATTTTTCTAGGGAATTCCAAAACTCGAAGATGCAAACGATGCTGGAACCAAAAACTCTCAACAATGTACATTGATCCTTACTGAGGGAGATTCTGCAAAAACACTTGCAGTTTCTGGTTTAGCAGTTGTTGGAAGAGATAAATATGGAGTATTTCCACTTCGTGGTAAACTTTTGAATGTTCGAGATGGAAATATGAAACAAATTGCTGACAACGCTGAAATTACTGCAATGATCAAGATTTTGGGATTACAGTATAAGAAAAAATATGAGACAGAAGATGATTTCAAGACTTTGAGATATGGAAAAGTTATGGTAATGGCTGATCAAGATCAGGATGGATCACATATCAAAGGACTTGTTATCAATTTTGTTCATCATTTCTGGCCATCGCTTATTCAACGAAACTTTGTTGAAGAATTCATTACACCAATTGTGAAAGCTACAAAAGGAAAAGAAGAGATTTCATTCTTCTCAATTCCAGAATATAATGAATGGCGAAATAATACGGATAACTGGAAAACTTATAAAATCAAATACTACAAGGGATTGGGTACATCAACTTCGAAAGAAGCAAAAGAGTATTTCAGTGATATGTTGAGACATCGAATTCGTTTCAAATATGGTGGACAAGATGATGATAATGCAGTTGATATGGCATTTTCGAAGAAGAAAATTGAAGAAAGAAAAGATTGGTTGACAAAATGGATGCAAGAAAAGAAGGAAAGAAAAAATAGAGGATTAGAAGAAGAATATTTGTATAATAAGGATACAAGACAAGTTACCTTTAAAGATTTTGTAAATAAGGAATTGGTTCTTTTCTCAAATTTGGATAATGAAAGATCGATTCCTTGTTTGGTTGATGGATTCAAGCCTGGACAACGAAAAGTATTGTTTGCTTGTTTTAAACGAGCGGATAAACGAGAAGTGAAAGTTGCACAACTTGCTGGAGCTGTTGCTGAATTATCTGCATATCATCACGGTGAGCAATCGTTGATGGGAACAATTATCAATTTGGCGCAAGATTTTGTTGGAAGCAATAATGTGAACACGCTTTTGCCGATTGGACAATTTGGTACAAGATTGCAAGGTGGAAAGGATAGTGCCAGTGCACGTTATATTTTCACGCAATTGAGGTAAGGTTTTTGACACCAAAAATTTGAAAATTACCTTCATACGATCCATTTTCCTTGAACCAATGATGATCAAATTTTCAAAAGTTGTATGAATAGTTTTCTCTAAAAACGAACTAAAATATTGGATTTTTCCCGATTTTCCAGGAATTTATCCAATTTTTCTCCAAGAGAAAACACATAATTCTCATTGCTTTTAGTGAGAAAATTCTGAGTTTTTGAATTTTCTCGAAAGGCGCAATGACACAATTTTTTCAAAACATACACAATTGATTACACAAAAGGCGAATCTGAGGTTCGGAGAAAATTGAATTTTATTGGGATTTCTACCCGTTTTTAGATTTGAAATATGTTTTTTAAAAAATCAATATTTTTCAGTCCTGTAACTCGATCGCTTTTCCCAGCCAATGATGACAATGTTTTGCGATTCTTGTATGAGGAAAATCAAAGAATTGAGCCCGAATGGTATGCACCAATTATTCCGATGGTTTTGGTTAATGGAGCACAAGGTGAGTTGGAAATTGGGAAATTCTCGTCAAAATTTCGAGAAAAACATAAAAGTGAAAAAATGATTGAATTTTTGGGCTACAGATTCTCCAGCTATGATTCTGGACAATTTTTATAGTTCAAAAATACGATCTTTTGATAAAGTTTGATTTCAAATATCTCAGCTTTTTATTTTCAGGTATTGGAACTGGTTGGTCAACCAACATTCCAAATTACAATCCACGTGAACTTGTCAAAAATGTCAAACGTCTCATCAACAATGAAGATCAAAAGAAATTGGCCCCATGGTACAAGAATTTCCGTGGTGATATTATTCAATTGGATCCATCTCGATTCATTTGTTATGGTGAAATTGGTGTTATTGATGATACGACAATTGAAATCACTGAATTGCCAATCAAAATGTGGACACAGGATTATAAGGAAAAGGTTTTGGAAGGACTTTTGGAAAGTACCGATAAAAAACCATCGGTTATCGCGTGAGTTTTTTTTTGGAACTCGCCTAAAAGTTTCTCCCATTCTTCCAAAATTTTACGTAAAAATTTAATTTTTTGCAGTGATTACAAAGAGTATCATACTGATACAACAGTCCGATTTGTTATAAAAATTGCGCAAGGAAAATTGAGAGAATTGGAAAGAGAAGGACTTCACACCGTATTCAAATTGCAACAAACAATCAACACAACTTGTATGGTTCTTTTCGACGCAGTTGGATGTTTGAGAACTTATACAAGTCCCGAAGAAATCACTGCCGAATTCTTTGAAGTCCGAAAACAGAAATATATTCAAAGAAAAGAATATCTTGTTGGAGTACTTCAGGCTCAAAGTAAACGATTGAGTAATCAAGCGAGATTCATTTTGGCAAAAATTAACAATGAAATTGTGATGGAAAATAAGAAGAAAGCAGCAATTGTTGAGACTTTGATTAAAATGAAATTTGATGCGGATCCGGTGAAAAAATGGAAAGAAGAACAGAAGAAGAAAGAATTGTTGGAATCTGGAGAAATTGAATTAGATGAAGATGAAATTGCAAATGGAGAAGAAGAAGATGAAAGTGTTGATTCAAAAGAAAAACAAGTTGAGACGAAATTGTCAGATTATGATTATTTGGTTGGAATGGCACTTATCAAATTGTCAGAAGAAGAGAAGAATAAATTGTTGAAGGAAAGTGAAGATAAATTGGCAGAAGTTAAGGATTTGGAGAAGAAGTCTTGGCAAGATTTGTGGAATATTGATTTGGACAATTTTATTGTTGAATTGGATAAACAAGAAGCTAAAGAAAAGGCGGATGAGTCGGCTAGTTTGAAGAATGCGGCGAAGAAGTTTGCAGCGGAAGCAAAGAGTGGTGGAAGAGCTAAGAAGAATGTTCAAGCCGTAAGTATTTTAGGGTCCTGGGGAATTTCCCCTAGGGAAAAATTAAAGAAAATCAAATTTCTGTGTTTTTTGGCAAAAAAAGTCTGAACTCGTGAAATCAAAAATTACGCTCCGTCGAATTTAACATTTTTCAATTAAAGAATTTTTCAGTAAAATGTAGTCTTTTGAATTACCTCAAAAAATTGAAATTTTCTGCTAGATTTGGAAAATATCATTAAACGTTTTTCACCAGACCATTTTTAGGTTTTTGTCTAAAAATTCGGAAATTTTAGGCAAATAGAATTTGTATTTGTTGTTAAAAATTATGAATTTTTCTGATTATTTTTTTTTAAATTCGAAAGACATGTTTAGATTTTTGTTTTCAGGATGTTATGCCATCGAAGGATGCTTCTCGTGTTGAACCCAAAATCGACGATGCCACAAAAGCCAAATATGCTCCAAAAGTCAAACGCGAAAAGAAGGAAAAAGAGGAGAAACCAGAGAAACCGGTGAAAAAAGAAGGAGCTGATATCAAAAAATTCATGTCACCAGCCACCAAAAAAGAGACAAAAGAAAAGAAAAAAGATGAATGGAATAGTGATGAAAGTGATGACGATATTGAATTTGATGATGAAGTATCATTTGGAGATGATAATAGTGATATTGAAGAAGTTATGCCAACTAAGAAATCGGGAGGAGCATCGAAAAGAGTTTCGGATTCATCGAAGGAAAATGGAGGAGATGTTGTTATGTTGTCGGATGATGAAGAAGAAAAAGTGGAACCGGTGAAGAAGAAGGAAACACCAAAGAAGGCACCGGCGAAAAAGAAGGAACCGGTTGAGAAAAAAGCGCCAGCTGAGAAAAAGGCACCCGCTGCAAAGAAGGCACCAGCCAAGCCTAAGACTATGAATGACTACTTTGATGTGAGTTTTTTTTTGGGCTCAAAATTGTGAATATTTGGTTGAAAATTGAGAATTCTTTAATTTTTCGGTTTTTTTCCAGAAAAAATTTCAAAGTTAAACATATTCTGAATTTCAAAAACGACAGAAAATCGAAAATTCCATAAGAAAAAGTTCTGAATTTTAATTGAAAAAGATCAAGTTTTTAGCTGAAAAATTACAAGATTTCTATTCTTCTATTGCTATTTTTGCAGAAATCCCCAAAAACTTCGAAAAAAGCCGGATCTGACGACGACGAAGATGATGATGATGAAGTAGTTGTCCCCCGCGAAAAATCGGGACGAGCTCGAAAAGCTCCAACAACATATACAGTTGACAGTGATGATGAATCAGAAGATGATTATCAACCAAAAAAGAAGCGAGGAAAAGTTGTTGAATCGGATTCGGATTAATTAATTACTCATTTCTCTTTCAGTCCTCAATTGCCCATTTTATTTTTATCCTGTTTTTTTTTTAAATTTTTCGAAAACAAAACACAAAAAATCCCAGTAAATTATTTTCACCCAATCCCAATTTATTATTTTTTCGATCTCATTTCCTATTTTTTGTATCATAATATTTTTATTTGAAAATTTAACCAAAACATAAATTTGTTTGAATTTCCACTTGACTTTTGGCGCTTTTTGTTGACTTATACTCTTTATTTCTTGTTGTACAATTTACACCCAAGTATTTGAGCCTTTTCCTCCTCTTTCCCTGAAAAAGAGATTTTTAATTTTGAAAAATCCTCTACCAGGAAGAAAAACAAATTTATTTTTCTCGCTTATTTATTTCCCAATTTTTTCTGTTTTTTGAAAAATTTTGAGGTTTTTAAAAAATTTCTTGGGAAGGTTTGAGAGTTATGATCGTTTGAAAAACATATACTGTAGGTTTCTATTCAAGGAAATGTGAATTATGCTCCTTTACATTCGCATACTGTAGGTGATCGAGATTTTGATATTAGCTCCTAGAACTACTGTAGATTGAAGAAGTTTGAGTGATTTTGTACATATTTAGGGGTACTGTAGTACTTATTCTCGCTTTCATAAGAATTATGGTCCTTTAAACTTGAGTACTGTAGATCATGATTGAATTATGTTCTTTCAGTTTTATTGGATTACTGTACATATATTGAGCTTGTTCTTTTCAGTTGTGTTCCTTTAAAACAGAAGTGTAGATCCTACAGTACCCCTCAATCTTCAAAAGTGTGTTTTATATACCCGAAAAATTGTTATTTTTTTTATTATTCGGCGGCCGAAACTTCTCATTTTTCTCTAGATGTTTGAACATTTATGTTTCGGAAAAACACTTTGAGTCCATGTGAGAGATATTTAATCGCACCGCACCGAAATCCAATTTTTTGTGAGTTTCGTGGGCGACCAGAAAAAAAAGTTCAATTTGGGATGGAAATTGGGCGACTACACCAGAAAAATCTTGCAACAAGTGTTCTGGGTCTCACTAGCTATAAAAATCGTCAAATAACCTTATTGTTAGGCGTATCTCAAAATTTAGATTTATTAGACTTATCGTAAAAATAACTCTTACCATGTCTAAAATCCGAATTTGTTTCAATTCTGAAAATCTAGTCAAACTTCTAGCCTATCTTTAATAAAACATCTCACAATCAGCTCGTATTAACTTTAATGTTTTCACAATTTTTCACTTTTACAAAAAACATTGAAACATAAAACAAAATTGAGAAACTACATTTTTTTTGTCCAGTGTCGGTTGTTAAACACCCGTTTCGTATCAAATTTCATCTTTCGTTCTTTTTGCTCTTTTTTCTGTTTCCGTTTATCTGAGTTTTGAGTTTTGGTTGGGTTTTCTCAGAAAATTTCAGCGTGCTCCTTTAAACTCAGCGGGTACTGTAATGTTTCATTTCAGATACTGTAAAAAGATTGTATGAGCAAGATGTTAGAAAGTTGTTGTGATCCTTTAAAAACTAGAGGGATACTGTAGTTGTGTCTGTGATTTCGAGCGGAATATTTATATATGAATATTTTACATTTGAAATAAGGTGATCTAAATTATCTCGAATAGTATCTTATTTTAAAGGAAAATCAAATTTTCTCATTTGTTTTCTTTTTCTCAAAATTAAACTAATCAAATTTAAATTTATTCAAAATTAGTTCAATTGATTTTTTTTCTTGGAATTTTCTGGAAGTTTTCCAAAGAATTGCTGCAAACTAAAACTTTTCGGAAATCTGGTTATTTCAAAAAACCAACCAAAAATTTTTGAAAATTTGGAAAAGTTTCAAAAATCGAGTGATTCTTTTGTTTTTGTGTGTTCAGAATTGTTGAGCGAGTTTGGGGCGAATTTGAAATTTCAAAAAGTTCAAAGCCTAGACTTTTTTTGTTTATTTTTTTGAGGGAAGAAAATCTAGGGGGCTTGAGGTTTAAGGCTTCTTGGATTAGTTTTAGGCTTTAGACGTGAAGTCTTAGGAATACAAGGAAAATGTTTTTGGTTCCGAAGTTAACTTACAATTAGTGTAACTTTAATTTGTTGGAAATCTGAAAATGTTCAGAGCCTAGATTTTTTCGAAATTCCCTTCAGGAAAAAACAGATTCTGAATTTCCCCCAAAAAAATTTTAAAATTCTCTGATCAAACTACAAACACGCATTTCATTTTATTTTAGTCAGAATTCTAAATTTAAAATTCTATCCTGATTCTTTGATTTTTTCTGCCATTTTCTCCCATTTTTTGACAAATATTTTCCAGGAACAAAAAAGTGCACACTAATCCTTTTGTATGACTAAAATTGAGCTCAAAAATAATAACACCAATTTATTGTTTTCTTTTTTTTGACATAATCCCGCTGAACTTGGGCTCATTTTTAGTTGAGCTAAATTTCCGATCGGAGGAAACTTCTCTTGACAAACCTTAAACTGTTCGTTGGAAATGCAGAAAAAAATGAGAAAAATTGCTGTTTTCCTCCGCCGCGCAAAAATTGCAAAAGTGCTTGCAATTTTCGTATTATTCTCTGTTTTTGCTGAATATTTTTGGCTAACTTTATTTGAGGTTTGATTTAATCCACGTGGGATTCCTTCTTTTTTGTTGTTGTTTTTTGGAATTGCGTTTTGAGTTTGGAGTTCTTGACAAAAATATGATGTTTTATGATGTAAAATATGTTTTTTGAGCGGGAATTTCGAACTTTCTGAACTTTATTCTTGAAAAGGAAAGTGATAAAATTACAGTAACCTCAAAGATTTTTGAAGTATCATGACATGAGGATTTTGTAAAACTTCTTCGTTCAAAAAAGTTATGAGTCAGTGCCGGCTGAGCTTTGCTCTAGTCTTTCTGGTTTAGGGTTGAGCTTTAGGCTTCAAAAGTGGGGCCTAAACCTAAGGCTTGAAATTTAGACTCAGGCTTTATGGGTGGAAGACTAAACATGGGGCTTGGAGTTTAGGCTTATGACGTGGCATTTGAAAATTCTATAGTTTCTCTCAATTTTCTAAAAATTAAATTTCGCGTTATTTTTTCTGAAACTTTAAATTTTAAATTTGAACCCAAAGTTGTTTTTTTTCAAGTTTTTAGCCCGAATTCCTCTATTTCTCGTCTAAACACTATTTTTCGAGATTTGATTTTTCGCGAGAAATTTTAAATATTTTTGTTGGAGTCAAATATTCCACTCACTCAAAATTCCGCCCATGTTTTTGAAATCTGACGCCAAATTTCGAATTTCTCTGAAATTCTGCCAAATCACAATTAGAATTTGCATTCAACCATAAAAATCATCCAATTTTTTTCTTTTTTCTGCAGAAAAAATTTCAAGCTTCAAAAACTTTTTCAATTTTCTTGAAAGCCAAAATTATAGGCTATACCAAAAAAGGCCTCTGTTCGATTTTTTTTTCCAAAAAAACCAAAAAATCTGAGCTCGAGACCTTTTTGATCTACGAAACATCAAAAATTGTTGTTTTCGAGTGATCAAGCCTAAGCCTAAAAAATAGAGGGAGATTTTTAATCCCCAAAGGGGGTATCATGTTATTTCCATAATAAAAAATCTCTGTCCTCTCTGCGTCTCTCAATCTCTCGTCTCTAATTTTAGAATTTTTCGTTTCCAAAAAAGGAAAACTTTGAATTTGATTTCATCTTTTTTTCCGATTCAAAACACGAAATTTTCAACAACTTTTTAGTGTCAAGTTTTGTCGAAAAGAAAAAAAAGTCAAGTGACGAAAAAAATGTGATCTTTTTATTTTAGCACTTTTATTGCAAAATGCGAAATGTATTTAATTGGAAAAAAGCATCGTGGGAACTTTTTCTGGGAGTCTGAAAAAAGTTGACACTTGACATAAGTCTTTCTGAAAAAAAGTTCCAAAAAAACTTTTTCCGGAAAGAATTTATTATTTTTAATCTGGGAAAACTTTTCTGTGTTCTTTGCATTTTCGTAAATTTTTGAAAGAATTTGAACTATCGTTTTCTGGTTTCCCTGTGACCTTCAATAAAATTTTCAAAAGTTCAGAAAAATAATTTCAATATAATTTCAGACAAGTAAAAATTGTTTCTGAAAATGTCAGATGTTTCGTAATTACACGCCTAAAGTTCTGAACCTTTGAAATTTTCATAGAATTAATTTGTCTAGTAGAAAAAACCAAAAATACCAAAATGCCACGTGAAATTTTTTCATTTTTCAAATTTTTAAATTTTGCCCTTCCAAAAAACCAGAGTTATTCCTAAAAATGGGCGTGGCCTAGGTTTTTTGCTTTTTTCACGGTCATCATTCATGTGATTTCTACAATCTCATTCATCAGTTTCTTTTTTGCATAAAAATTCAAATTTCATTCTGTTCGTTCTCATTATTATTTCCTATTTTTCATATGATTCATGTTTTTTTGCGCAAAAAAATAAGAAAATTTAATTATTTTTCACGGGGTTTTGGAAATAAATTTTCATCATTCTGACTTAGGCTAAATACTTTTTCGGGTTCAAAAAATGCAGTTTTTCAGCTGAAATTCAATTTCGAAGCTCGTGGTTTTGACGCCAAAATGAAAAAGCCACGTGTCATTTTTTTTGTAGAGTTTGAATTTGAGTTCAAAAAACTCAACCATTCAGCAGAAAAAAATGCAATTTCGAAATTCGGTCATAAAAAATACGAAAAAAATTTGTTTTCAATTTTTCCAGAGGTTTTTGCGTAATGAAAAAATTGTGTGGTATTTTTAGACGAGCACAAATTTTTCTCATTTTTTTCGAGACCAAAAATATTTGTTTTTGTTATGAATTTCTGAATTCCCGTTTACCTAGACAAATGAAAATAAAAAAGAAAATGAATTTAAATTTTAGTTAGCTTTTGTCTGAAAAAAAAGGAAATTTCAGATGAATCTGACATTTTCAGCATAATTTTTTGAAAAATTGTTTTTCTGAAAATAATTATTATGTTTTGAACTTATCAAAAGTTTAGCTGACAAATCTTTGGAGCCTGAGAAAATGTGAAAATATGTTTTGGAAATAATTTTCACTGTTTCCAAAAATTGATATTCAAATATTTATTTTTTTGGTGCCAAAAATTCAAGACGCAAAATTCAGAGCCCAAAGTTTTCTTCATGCAAAATTTGGAACTTTTTGGTCGCTCAGTTCCGAAAACATTTCCGGATCAGTTTTTTTCGAACAAAAATCCCATTTTCGTACTAAAACTCCAAAAATCAGTGTTTCTTTGGCAGCTGAAAAACTTCCAAACTCAAAAATCTTTGAACAAAGTTCTTCTCGTCGAACTTCATTAGGTTTTTCTGAAGAAAACAGCTGAAGTATAAATATTATTTGTTTACATTTTGTCGTCATTTTATTCCTATTTTTCTTGGCCCTTTTCTGAGTGAAATCTGATCACTTCCGTTTTATAATATATTCAGGAAATGATATTAGACTATGCAGATTTTTCAGATTTTTATAAATTATTTACAATTTTTTGAAACAGTCAAAATTTTTAATTTTTGAAATAAACTCCAAATGTCAGATTTTCTGGAAAATTTTTGTATTGTGAAAAAAATGGGAAAAATACGTTTCAAAAAATTTGCATTAAAATTAAGATGTCGATTTCAGCACTGAATGCGTCATTTGGATTTTAAAAATTTATTTCAAGTTTTTTCTGAAACAGTGAAAATTTTCAAATTGATATATTTTTCTTCTTTGAATTACAAATTTTCCAGACAATTATTGTACTTTTAGTATAATCTCGGAGAAAAAATAAGTTCGGGAAAGTGCATTTCGAAATTTTTATTCAAAACTTTATCGGAAAAATTTCACTGTTTCGAGAAATTATAAATTTTCCAACCATTTTTTTTACTTTCAATGCTTTTTCATTAAAAAAAACTTTCAGAAAACATAAATTCAAAGTTCGATTTGCCACGTGGATAATCTTTTGGCACCAAAAATCCCCATGGGGTAAAAAAGTTGTTTTTCTGATATTTTGGCCCTCTAAATTTGATTTTTCTTCAAATGTTCTCAAAAACAGAGTTCAACGACTTGATTTTTCCCACGCACCGATAAATATTCCTATATATTTTTCCATTTTTTGCTGCTGAATAATTTTCTTCTCAATGAATTGACTCGTTATGCTTTGAACCTGAGAATGCCTGGCAAATATTTTTTTCATTTTTCACGTGTTTTTTTTGGCCAAAAAATGTCTGAAAACATATATTCATTTGACAAAAAACGGGAAATTTAATTTGTTTTTTTTTGTCTGACTTTTTAGTTTTGAGTTAAGTTTCTCACTTTCTTTATTTATTTTTCAACTTATTTTTTTCTTAATTTTCGAATTTTCGGTTCAATTGATCTTTTAGTTTTTTTGAAATTTAGTTGGAGAAAAATTAAATCTGGAAGTTATTATTTTTTGCTAATTAATTCATAGAAATTTATTTTTATTTCAGGAAGTATATTCAATTTAAAAATTCCTTGTTTTTTTCTATTCCTTGAGTAAAAAACTGGGAAGAAAAATGGAAAATAAGTAATAAGTGCCGAAAAACTATGGCGTCTTAGAGTTCATCCCATTTTTTCGCGTATTCTTGTGTTTGTTATTTTTTATTCTGTTGTTGTTAGTTTTGTGTATGTAAATTGTGGATTTTTTGCGTCAGAAATCATGAAAAGTGATTTTTTTGGGTCAAAACTGAAGTTAAAAAATAAAAATGTTTTCACTATTTTTGTGGGAACATCAATCTAGCAATTTTTTTTTTAATTTTGGATAAAATTCACGTGGGACATTCATTTTTAAGTTCCAAATTCAGTAGAATAATTTTTTTCAGAAGTCCAGATTAAATAAATTCTGATACTACTGAGCTTCTGAAATTGAATTTATACATTTTTTGAAACAGTGAAATTTTTTGTGATCATATTATTTTCATCCAATATCCATGGGAATTATTTTTTGTGTCTGAAAATAAATTCCATTCGGGATTTTTTAATCTTAAATTTCTGGACTGTTGAATGAAAAAAGCATTGATTACGAAAGAAACCCCCAGAAGACTAAAAAAAATTAGGAACAGTGAACATTTATTTTTATTAGAGATGTTTTTTTCGAATTTCGGGACAGGCAAGGACCATCTACTATTGCCTGAAAAATCCTTGAAATTTTAATATTTGTTGAAACAGTTACGATTTTTCAACAACATTTCAACCAAGAAAACTACTAACTACAAAAAATGTCTCAAATACTTTTTGTGCTAAAATTTTTTCAAGCTCAATGAACTTTGAAAGTTCATTTGGAATTGTGAAAAAAATGGATTGAACAATTTCACTGTTTCAAAAAACACATAAGAAATTTTCCTTTTCAGTAATTATAGTTAGTTCTTTTTAGGTATGGGATGGAAAATTTTGACTTTTTAAGACCATTGTTAAACAAATTTATTATTTGCTTTCAAGTTAGTCTATTTTAATCCTAACTCATCCTATATTTAGCGCTATATTTTAATATGTGTGAAATAATCCCTCGCAAAATTCAGATAAAGTTTTATTTTTTCACGTCATTTTCAATTTTCAAATCTTCAAAGACTACAAAAACTACACAATTTCAGATTTTTTGACGTCAAATCGTTCAGTGAAATTTAGAACTTTCAAAAAGTTCACACCAAAAAAATCATATTCTAAAAAAACAACATTTTCTGAACTCATTATATTTCTCTTTTTCTTTATTCTCATTTTTCTCCCAAAAAACAACAAGAAAAAGACAAAGAATGTTGTTTTTTGCCAGCTTACATTAAATGTGCGTGAAAAAGTGCACCAACTTGTTCGAAAAACAACACAAAAAATATTTATTGATGAATTTCTCGCCTTGTAATAATTTCCTTTTCTTTCCCTTGTCTCGTCTAGGCTACTCGTATTTTTTTTTGCTTTTCCTCGTTATAATTTTCGTTTTTATTATTTTTAATTAGAAGATTTATCATTTTCAGATGGACTACAATGATATCAAACCGTTCGCTTATCTTATAGTCATAATTATTGGAATTCTAGGAAATTTCGCTGCATTTCTAGTCTACAGAACACCACAAATGCGAAAATCAACGGTATGTGTTTTTTTAATGTATTATAGCTACAGTAACACCATGAGATACTGTAGTGATATACAGTATCTTCGAAAACAATTGGAGAGAAATATTGTAAATTTTAAATTTTCTTTTGAAAAAATGGAATTATTTGAAACAAAAATCCTTACAATTACAATTTGTTGAGACCTGACACATTTACCTAGCGATTTATTGATTCCCGACTCCCCCGTACCTGAAAACCATCTCTTCCCGAACCTTTCGATTTTCCAGGTTGGCATATTACTTCTAATTGTCTCAGTCATTGATGTCATTCTATCAATCCTCTCTCTTCCATTATTCTCCCTTATCAATCTTCCAGTTTGGCCCAACAAATTCCAGCCAAACTCACCGCACGCTATTTTTAGCAGCATTATTTCCTGCTATTTATATCCGATTTGTATGATGGCCAAAAGTTCGAGCTTGTATTTTCTGGTTTTGATCACAATTGAACGATGGATTGCAGTATGCAGGCCTTTGCAGGTAATAACGGAAATGAAAAATAAAAATAAATTGTTGTTTCGTTTAGGCCAAGATTTTGTGCACAAATCGAAATACTTGTCGCGCGGGAATATTTATAGTTATCTACTCGATCGTCTTTAATATTCCAAAGTTTTTCGACTATACTTATGAGTAAGTTCTGTTTCCGCTAAATTTAAATCAAACTTTGTTTAATTCCAGTGCAAAATACGAATGGCAATTATGGATGTTAAGCCCAGAGAAGCATTTCTGGTTCTTCTTGACTTTTTACGGTATCCTTTCAGTTCTATTTGATTATCTTATTCCAATTATGATTATGGTTATTGCAAATTATTGTGTTATTCGAGAATTGCGACGAAATGACGTCACAATAACAACTTTGAATGTGCAAAAACGGAAAGAGCAGAACACGACAGTTATGTTGTTAGTGGTCACAATTATTTTCACAATTTGTCATTCGGTTGGAGGAGTTTTTAAAATGATTGAGATTATTTGTGGAAGATTTATGTTGAATGGGGTGAGTTTGGGGAAAGAGTTTAAAGTGCCACGTGGCAACTCAAAAGCACAAGGAATTTTAAAAATAAGTTTGAAATGAAAACTTTTTTAAATGATAAAAATATTCTGAAATTCATTTTTTTTCCGAAATCTGAAAATTCTCCCACGTGGAATAAAATTAATCATTACAAAAAAGTTCACTTGAAACTCAAAAACATATTTTTCTCATCAATAAATTATTGATTTTCTTCCAGTTCTACTTATATTTCGCCGATCTCACTGTTTTTCTCATTGTTCTTCACACTTCTTCCACATTCTTCCTCTACTACGCATTTTCGGGCAAATTTCGCACAATATTTTGGACTGTTATCAAATGTCGAAACAAATATAGCGAAGATTTCACAAAATTATCAATGTTTTATCCATCAGCTCAAACATCAATGATAATTGAAACAAAACGAAAATTGACGAAGAAAGAGAATTTTGTCTGAATTTTCAAAATTTTCTCATTTTCTATCATTTAATTAATTTGCAAATTTCTCTTGAAACGGGTAAAAATTTGGAATATTCGTGTACTTTTTGAGCAATATATGTAAATCAATAAAGTTTTTATTCAAGTTTTCAACCCTGCAAAAATCATGTTCAGAAAAATCAATAACCGTAGAAAAGTTTCTATCGAAACCAAAAAGAACCGAGATCAAAATTCGGTCAAAAAAGAAAAAAAATGGAGGGAAAAATAGGCACCATGAGAGAAAAAAGGAATCCTGGGAACAAAAAAATACCTAAACTTTTGTTAGGCTAAGTCTACGTCATACTGGCGATTTCGTATTTTTGTCGACGAATTATTAAGACGACCACGACTGATGTTGTAATAATGCAACCCTGGAAAAATACAGTTTTGAGGGGAAACTGGCATAAAAAAACTGATTTTTGTAGCCTAGAAAACCAATTTTCCCCAAAACAAACTTACAATCGTCAAAAACATTGAAACAATCAAAACATCCTGAAATTCTGCACAAATTCTCGATGATTTTTCAACTGAAGATGATTCTTGTGGACAATCTGCTTGAATTTCAGCCACCTTTTCCTCTACTTCATTTTCTTTCAGATTTTCAGCCAGACTCAATTTTACAGATTCAGTTACAGCAAGTTGAGATATTTCGAGGTTTTGTGATCTGACATCTATGAAATTCGAAATTGAAGTTTCACGTTTTTCTCGATGATTTTCTGAGGAAGGACATTCGGGTTTCTGGCAGAGTCCAGTTTCGGAATTTTTGGGTTCCAGGCGAATTTGGCAAGAGAAATAGACGATTGGAGTGTGGGAGACACCGAATACTTTGACTTATGAGTAAGTGATACGAGAGAAAACGAGAGAGAAGAGAGCGCGAGACAAAAAAGGGATAAGAACAGACTCCGCCCATTTTTGTTTTGGAGAAAAAAATATAAAAAACTTTTTCTGTGAATATTTAATGAAAGCTCATCAAACATTGATATCTAAAACAAGTTCGAAAGTGAAACACCGTGTAAAACGCAAAAATGTCTGTTCGAAGGCTACAGTAATTTAAAGGGCCATTGCTCATGTTAGCTACCTTCAGTATTATTGAAAATCTCATCGTTATCACGTGCTCCACCGAAATGAACACGCAACGCAGACCGCGACGCGCTACAACAAACACAAAAAAGGAAATTATTCAAATCCCCTCGCTTTTTGTGTGTGTTGTGGCGCGGCGCGGTCTGCGTTGCGTGTTTATTTCGGTGGAGCGCGTGGTATCAATCAAGCTTTCGATAATAATTTCAAAAAAATTTAAAGGATTTACACTCGCGCTTTCGCGGTCGAAAACTACTGTACCCAAATTTTATCTCGCACTCCACCTTTAAATCCAGGTCAATCCCAATTTTCTAATTTCCAGTGCAAACATACATGAACTAGTCGCTCCGGGCACCCCCGAGTTAACCCCCCTCCAGAAAAAAAAATTCGAAAAAGTTAACCCCCCCCTCTTGTCAAATTTTTTTCCGACTTATGAAAAAAAAAGTTCAACATGCCGTGGGAATTATACAATAGTTTTTTTTTCTCGAGTCCTAAAAATTAATTGATAGCGGAGGCTTCTATGAAAACTTCTGTGAAAAAAGAAATTTTTATATTTGTTTCCGCCACATTTTTTTTAATTCTACGGCGCCAAACTTTCTTCATCATAAACATTCGAATGTTTTCATAGAAGCCTCCGCTATCAATTAATTTTTAGGACTCGAGAAAAAAAAACTATTGTATAATTCCCACGGCATGTTGAACTTTTTTTTCATAGGTCGGAAAAAAATTTGACAAGAGGGGGGTTAACTTTTTCGAATTTTTTTTCTGGAGGGGGTTAACTCGGGGGTGCCCGGAGCGACTAGTTCATGTATGGTTACTGTAGGTTTTGGCGGGAAAATTCTGCATTTTTTGATACCAAATTCGCTTAGGTTGGTGAAAATTCTTTAATTTTCAAATTTCGAGCAATTTTTGGGTTACTGTAGGTCTTAGTGCCAAAAAATGGACCCTATAGTAACCCGGGAACATCTGGTTAACAATATAAACTGAAAACTTATTTAAGCTTGAAAATTGGCCGCCAAAACCTACAGCAACCCAGAATTTTGACGTAAAAAACTTTTAAAAGGAAATTTTTCTAGAACAATTGAATTTTTATCGAATTTTTGCGGGAAAACCTGATTTTCCGGCTCATTTTTCACGATTTTTCGAATTTTCACCTCAAAAAAGTTACCTGAATTCCAACTTCTCTCGTCCGAACATCACGACATTTCAATCCCAATTCCTTCATTTTCGCCATCGCATTTTCTCTCAAATTTCCGTGTTCAACACCCGACGAAACTAATGGCATTGGAATATCACGTTGAACTCGATAAACACGTGTCCATGGTGGAACCAAACTAGAAAATCGAGTTTTTTTTTGTAAAAATTTGAATATTGAGGGACCTTTGACTAGCAAAATTCGGTTTTTGGTGTAATTTTCCGCTAGAAATGGTGAAAATACAAAATATCTGAATTTTCATTTTTTTTGCAGAAGGTTTTTAAAGGGACATATTGGGTCTCGAGGGGAGCTTCAATGGCCCCGCCAGGAAAACCCTTAAACCCCGGAAATCTAGGGAAATTTGGTGTTTTTCGAATCAGAAAAATTCCCCAAAAAAAAAATTAATAAAAAATCACGTGACCCAATTTTTTTGGCCAAAAAAAAACAAAAAACAAATAATGCAATCCGGAATCGGCTCAGTTTTAAATATTCAACAAATTAGCAACAAGGCACAGACAAAAAACATCTTCGGTGTAAAATGTCGAGCGGGTGAGTTTTTCATCGATTTTGATTGCAGAAGACTTCAAATAAAAATTTCAGACCAACTTCATGCGGATGCAAAGCGAAGTGCTTGGCAGAAATTCCGTATTATGGTGATTTAATCAGAACTTACTCACCAAAGTGTGCTGCGACTATTCTAATGGCGAATAGAAGAGGTATGAAATATCCAAAATCATTTATTACATTATGGGCATATGCAAATGAAAAATGGAAAACGGAATCCGAAGACCATATTGAGGCGATTCACCATTTCGCACATTGTGCGAATATATTGAAATATAGTTCAGAACATGGGTGGAAAGAAGAGGCTGCGAAAGTCAAAATGGATATTACTGATCTCGAATACAAAGAGGTAAGTGAGAAACAGAAAATTCCAGCAAATTTTCGATTTTGAGTCAAAAATGTTCTATGGTTCAGACAAGATTAACGATTTTTGAAGACATTTTGGAATTTACTAGAGCTTTCGGGCAAAATTATTTTCGAAAATTGATGTTTTTTCAGTTTCTAAATATTCGCGTTCGACTTATCGATGGGACGTATGAAAAAATTCAAATAACTGAATTTGAAACGGTCCACCGTTTGAAATTGAAGATCGACAATGGAAATGGCATTGAATGTCATTTGTCATTCGGTGGTGAAATTATGGTAGACCACAAGTTTCTTACAGACTATCCAAATGTAAGCTAATGAATATAAAATATAAAATGATCACTCTTTTTTTCGTACAGCTTAAGTACGATCCCGAAGTTATTCAACAAATAGCATATTGAATGAATGATAACATTTGGAATGATGAATTTTTTATTGAATTTCTTATTTGAAAAAAAAGTTTCTTAAAAATTTCTGAACTGTTGGCGCAAAAATCTGAAGTCTTTTGACACCAAATAATTTGTCACAGCTCGCTGCCATATCAATTTTCCGTGCTCAAGTGGTACAGTTCGATCATCTTCACCATGGATAACATTGGCATTGTGAATCTGAAAAGGCTCCGCCCACAAAACCGTGCCGCAGCAGATAATCGGGGTTTTTGAGGTGATGGCGATTATTTTGAGTCTAAATACAATTAGGCCAAGCTCACAAAACCCTGCGGCATTCAAAATACAGTACCGTGCAATGAGATATAAAATTTTGATTTTTTGTCAATATTGGCGCCAAAATGGTGAAAATGGCGTAAAAACTTTGTAAGGTTAATTTTTCATGTCGATTCTGACTATATTCACTGATTCATATGATCTCATCTTGATTCTTGAAGCTTTTTGGATCGATGATCAAAAATGGATTTTTGGATATTTTCACAAATTTCAGAAAATCGTTGAGAAAAAATATTTCAAGCTCTAATTATCATTGATTTGTGTTTTCTATGCTCACATGAGGATTTTAGCTATCGATTCCAACCTCAAACTAATGATTTCATCGCTTACAAGGCTCATACCGAAGGCTCCAGTATGAACATCCAGAAAATCTGAAAATGCACAAATCTGGAATTTTCATGATTTTTTATCGTTGAATATTGCTCAAAACACTATAACTTGATCATTTGAATCATTCTACATAACATTCCGATCAAATTTCGAAGTTTTAACTCAATTCGAACATTGCTGGATTTCCGATGTTTCTCTAGATATTTGATTCTACATCATTAACAACATCAAAATTTAGTTTTTATTGATAAATTTCATTCTTCTAACAGTTCTAAACACTGAAAAATTCATTATAACCGCTCTAAGAGCGCATCGGCTCAATATCAGATCAATAATAAGTTCGATCAATAAAAACTAAATTTTGATGTTGTTGATGATGTAGAATCAAAGATCTAGAGAAACATCGAAAATCCAGCAATGTTCGAATTGAGTCAAAACTTCGAAATTCGATCGGAATTTTGTGTAGAATGATTCAAATGATCAAGTTAGAGTGTTTTGAGCAATATTCAACGATAAAAAATCATGAACATTCCAGGCTTGAGCATTTTCAGATTTTCTGGATGTTCATACTGGAACCTTCGATATGAGCCTTGTAGGCGATGAAATCATTAGTTTGAGGTCGGAATCGACAGCTAACATCCTCATGTGAGCATAGAAAACACAAATCAATAATAATTAGAGCTTTAAATATTTTTTCTCAACGATTTTCTGAAATTTGTGAGAATATCCAAAAATCCATTTTTGATCATTGGTCCAAAGTCTTCCAGAATCAAAATGAGATCATATGAATTGATGAATATAGTCAGAATCAGCATTAAAAATGACCCCTAAAAAGTTTTTACACCATTTTCACCATTTTGGCGTCAATATTGACAAAAAACCAAAATTGTATATCTCATTGCACGGTACTGTAGCTCATTCTACCCCGGTTTTCCCTGAATTTTGCTAGGCCACGCCCCCAAAACCGTGCCCTACCTTCTCACAAACTTTGAATCGATCGAGGTCGACCACCGGTTAAATGCGACATGACACGTAGAATTACACCGGCCGGTTTCGGGTCGAGACCATTTTCGAAGTGGCTTACGGTAGCCGCCGAGCCGATCAAATAGCCAAGAAGGACGATTTTGTCGGGGTAGACTGTGAGGAGGAGAATGTGCTGGAAAATTTGGAGCTTCCCGGATTTTAGATTTTTCGGAATTTTTCATGTTGACCGTATAATTTTGTGGAGCATGAGGATAGAACGTTATTATGATAGATGTTAATCTAATATGAGAGACAAGAGACACAAGTGACATAGAATAAATTATTGACCAAGGTCATCATAAAAGAAGAGATGGTGAATATGTACAATTAGACAATAGATTACCCTGGCCACAGATAACAAGTTGATCGTCTTCTCATTTTGCGAGTCGTTCATCTCATTCTATTCATGCAGAAATTCACGAAAAAAAACGTTTTTTTAACGTTAAAAAAACCTTAACGTTTTTAACGTTAAAAAGTTTTTTAACGTCTTTAACGTTTTGTTAACGTTAAAAAAACCAAAAAAGTGATTTGCGAACGGTTTTTTTATTCATATTTTTACCATTTTCTCGACATTTCGTAGCGAGTTCCCAACTGAATCAAGTGAAGCTAAAACGCATTTTAGTGTTTGGAAATGTCATTCTAAGCTGTTTCAGAGAGTCTAAGAGACAAATCAAGCCTTCGAATTCAAATTGTTGATTTTCGAAAATTTTCGAAATTTTTCGAAAATCACCAATTTCATTTGTTGGGAGATGTGAGGCTTGATTTGCCATTTAGACTCATCAGAAGGTCTTGAAATGGCATTTCTGAACACTAAAATGCGTTTTAGCTTCACTTTATTCAGTTTGGAATGTGTTGAGAAAAGGGTAAAAAAATGAATAAAAATACCGTTCGTGAATTAATTTTTTGGTTTTTTTAGCGTTAAAAAATCGTTTTTTTATTTCGTGAATTACTGCATTATTATTATTTGTTGTGATTTTTAGAGCAATGGATTCTACTAAGAAAATGGATGTGATTGCCATCAACGATACATTGGAAGATGAGTGAGTGTTGAAGCGTGATTTTGGCTGAAAATATACATATTTTGCAGACCTTCGTCGTGTGGATGTCGTTTCAGATGTTGCGCCGAAATTCCATACTACGCAGACAACATCGAAACTTTTTCGCCGCGAATCGCTGCCCTAATTCTAATGGTCACCCAAAAAACGGAGATGTTCGACGAATCTCACGTTCAACTTTGGGCTCAGCGGACAAAATTGGAGCCCGGAACTGCGCAAAAAATCGAGGCCATTCACGCGTTTTCAAAGTGCCCAAAAATTTTGGAACATGTTGGAAAATTCGAGAGATGGAAGGAGGCTGTGGCGAAAATTGATGAGGAATTGGGGAAGATTGAGGAGGATCAAGAAGTGATCGAAATCCACGTGACATATGCTTCTACATCTAGATTCCAATTCTATGATCGCTGGGTTAGAGTTAGAAAAACTGACACAATGCGATATCTGAAATTACAGTACGTGGGATATGATAAAAAAGAAGTAAGAATTGAAAATGTTAGAATTGGCTTCGAAGATAAAGAATTTGAAGAGGATAAAACGTTTGGTTATTATGGAGTGAGTTAATGAAAATTTTGAAAAAAAAACATTATATAAAAAGGGGGTGTTCTTACAGATGGAAAACAAGTCGAAAGTCCAGATGTTTGACAAAACGTTGCATGTACATTTCGTGAACTGGGACTGGGCCAGGATTCCTCCCCTGGAAAATGCATGAGAACCCGTGAAATATTTGAAAATTGAATAAAATTATTTTATAACAAATATCACCTTTTTGGCATCTGAAATTTTCTGAAAAAATGAAAAAAAAAATTTTTCTAAAAAAAATTTTTTTTGTCTAATTTTTTCCTTCAATATATTTTTGAAAAGTTAAGGGCCCCCCACAAAAAATTTTCAAAAGTTAACCCCCCTCCCTCCGGTTTCGGAGAGGTAGTTCATGTATGAGTGCAAAATACGAATGGCAATTATGAATGTTGAGCCCCGAAAAGCATTTCTGGTTCTTCCTCACTTTCTACGGCATATTGTCAGTTCTCTTCGATTATCTCATCCCAATTATGATCATGGTAATCGCAAATTATTGTGTTATTCGAGAATTGCGCCGCAATGACGTCACGATAACAACTTTGAATGTGCAAAAACGGAAAGAGCAGAACACGACAGTTATGTTGTTGGTGGTCACAATTATTTTCACAATTTGTCATTCGGTTGGAGGAGTTTTTAAGATGATTGAGATTATTTGCGGGAGATTTATGTTGAATGGGGTGAGTTTTGGAATGATTTCTCAAAAAAAACAAAGAGAACACCTAAAATGAGCAATTTCAGTGCCGAAAATTGATATAGAAAAACATTTTTGAAAAAAAGTAGTAGCGCCCATGAGGAATCGAACCTCTGACCTTATGAACAGAAATATTTCATGTTTCTAGATCAAAATTTGGTGCTGAAGATGCTGTAAATGCTTAAATTGAGCAATCCCATTATTTTCAGCGCGAAAAATTGATCTAGAAACTTTTTTCAACAAATAAATAGTTCCCATGGGGAAAAAAATTTAAGAAATCGATATTGAGAAAAATTCTAAAGTGCCACGTGGCAATTTGAATTTTTTTGAAATTTTTGTGACATTTTTTCTTCATATTTCCCTTCATCACATAAATTATCGATTTTTCTTCCAGTTCTACTTATATTTCGCCGATCTCACTGTTTTTCTCATCGTTCTTCACACTTCTTCCACATTCTTCCTCTACTACGCTTTCTCCGGCAAATTTCGCACAATATTCTGGACTGTCATCAAATGTCGCAACAAATATAGCGAAGATTTCACAAAATTATCATTGTTTTATCCATCAGCTCAAACATCAATGATAATTGAAACAAAGCGGAAATTGACGAAGAAGGAGAATTTTGTCTAAATTTTCGAAGGTCTTTCATAATTGTAAATCTGACAAGGGAAGGGCAAGAGGTCAAGTTATGAAAAAAAATAAAAAATAAAAAAATGTGCGCCGGGTCGAACCTTGGTCTTGCAAAACCTTCGCATCCATGCAAACCACTCGGCCATGCGTTCACTTTGTTCTCTTGTTCAAATGTTTATGACTTGATCGCATGCACTTCCCTTTAAAATTGCAAATTTCTCTCACAAGACGGGTAAAATTCGGAATATTCGTGTATTTTTTGAGCAATATATGTATACTTTTATAAATCAATAAAGTTTTATTCAAGTTTTCAACCCTGCAAAAATCATGTTCAAAAAATCAATAACCGTAGAAAAGTTTCAAAGAGAACCGAGATCAAAATTTGGTCAAAAAATCAAAAGAAAAATTAGGCACCATGAGAAAAAAGGAATCCTGGGAACAAAAAAATAGCTAGACTTAGACTTAGGCTAAATCTACGTCATACTGGCGATTTCGTATTTTTGTCGACGAATTATTAGAACCACCACGACTGATGTTGTGATTATGCAACCCTGGAAAAATGACTTTTGAGGGGAGGTCTGGCCTAAAAAAAGCTGAGGTGGCCTAGAAAACCAAACTCACAATCGTCAAAAACATTGAAACAATCAAAACATCTTGAAATTCCGCACAAATCCTCGACGATTTTTCAACTGAAGATGATTCTTGTGGACAATCCGCTTGAATTTCAGCCACCTTTTCCTCCTCTTTATTTTCAGCCAGATTTTCATTGTTAGTTAGAGCCAATTTTTCAGACTCAGTTACGGCAAGTTGAGATATCTCCAGATTTTGAGATCTAACATCTATGAAATTCGGAATCGAAGTTTCACGTTTGTGTCGCTGATTTGTTGAGGAGGGACAGTCGGGTTTTTGGCAAATTCCAGTTTCTGAATTTTTCGATTCCAGGCGAATTTGACAAGAGAAATAGACAATTGGAGTATGGGAAACACCGAATACTTTGACTTTTGCTGAAGCAATCGAAGTCTGAAAAATTGGGGATTTTTAGAAAAAGCTTTGAGGTTGGCTCCAAACTTCAAAAATGAATTTTGAAAACTGTTTAAGATATTCTGAAAAAGGTCATACATTTGAAATTTGAATTCCAAATTTTTCAATTTTTCAATTCAACAAAACTTTTATAGGCAGCCAACCAGTTGGAAAAAAGGTGTTTTAACAGTTGTTTAGTTTATCTCTTGAGCTTTCATTTCCTGTTTCTCCCGAAACTAAACTCGAAAAAATAAACAAATAAAGTCAAACGGTTTCTGGAGCACACATACACCGCAACGCACAATTACACACATAAAACATTTGCTGACTACAGTATCCCGATATGATTGCATAAAGATTTGATGTATTTTTGCCAAAAAATTTTTTGGTCAAAACAAATTTGGATCTATCAAAATTCGAGAACTAGAAGTTCTGAATTTAAAGTTGATTTTTAGAATCTGGAAAAAATTGGGCCAATTTCTGAACACATTTTATTTAATTTTTTATCTCAATTTAAATATCCGAACTTTGAGAATTAATTTTTTTTTTAATTTTCAAATCCACAAAGACTTCGAGATTCAACCATACCTCATTTTGATAATTCAATTGTGGCATAATATGTTGATATTTCGAACATCCATTTTCATCAATAACTTGATATTTTTGTTCTCCTCCAACTAATTCACAATTTTCAACAATAATACAATTATTGATTGGAATATTGGAACATTGCCAAAAATGCCAAACTTGATCACCCAAAGATAATCGACCAGCTGGAATCTTTCGATTTTCATCCAAAAATACAAAATAATCACATTTTGGTGAATTCGGTGGAGGAGATGGTGTTGTTGGAGAACCGATTTCAGATATCTTCATTTTTTCAGATTTTGTGGAATTTTGTTTGTGGAAACATTGAAGATTGAAAACTCGATCATCGGCTGTTGTAAATTCGGGATTGAAAGAAACTGAGATGGTGACTTCCAAAAGAACACCAATTGGTATGAGCGATCTGGAATTGTAGGTTCTTGAGGGGAATTTTTCGGATTGGACAGAATATATGAGTTCAAAAAATTGTAATATTTCAATTGCTTTTCGAGATAAGTTTTCTTATCTGCAATCTGAAAATTTACTTCCAGAAGTTTCAGAGATCAAATAACATCTGGATTCTGAAGATCCCAAACAATCTTAGGTAAGTTTCCTTCAAAATTTTTCAGATAAAAATTTCAAACTTGGATTATCTAAAATTCTCTGCTGAAATTCAATATTAGACTGAAAATTCCAGAAATTTATAAATAGTATTCATCTTACACTAAAAATGTACCGTCTTCCCAAAAATATCTCAACATTTTGAAACAGTAAATATTTTTCTATATTTTTCCACCCCTTTTTCTCACAATGTGCTTTGTTTCTCCTTTTCTTTTTCTTTTTCACCCATCCACCATCACAAACCCATTTAAAATTAAATTTCCCCTCTTTTTTGTGTCATGGGTGGTCCGAAATTAATTAGCTACTACGAGAAACCCAAAAAGGCGGAAAAAGTACTTCAGCAATTTATATTGTTACAATTTTAATGAAAATTTGGATTTGGATTTTGCTGGACATACCTTTTTCTTGGCACCATACATTCTTCGTGTGGAATTAGAACCTCGATTTGATTATTCGTCACCAGGCTCTAAAAAAATGGGATTTTGAGGAAAATGTTTGAGATTTCAAAACTTACTTGAAAACATGATTTGTCTGGTGTGTATTTGACATCGACGTGGCCAAGAAATGTGGATTTAGTGCGGAATTTGACGTAAATTGCATCGGCTGCGCAGCTGGAACAGAAATTTTGAGCTTGGGTTCTAATTAGTATTACGGATTTTCTACAGCCAAAAGTTATGAGGTATCATTATAGACCACATTTTATGAGGAATCTGAAGATTCAAGAATTTCCCGATGGATTTTTGGCTTTAGCGGAAAATTTTGAGTAGTTCAGAAATTCCCAAATTCAACTTTGAATTAGATTTATAATGAGATCTCACTCCTGTGAAAGTTTATCTGAAAAAAATTCCCAGAATGTTTTTTCAAGATTTTTTGAAAAAATTCACTGTTTCAAAAATTTTATATTCATAGAGTTGCAATTTTTTAATAAGACAACTTTTCTACCAGGCAAGTTTTGGATCAAATCGTCCCCGTGGAATCTCACAAAATTGTTTTTTCTCACATGTGTGTTTTCAAAATCAAATTATCCATTTTCTTCTTGAAAACATCTTCTTTTCATTCATCAAAATGTAATTTACTCCCGAGCTTTTCACTTTTTTTCTTCTGAATTCAAGAAAAAAAATTCAATTTCACCCGAACTTTTCTTTTCAAAGTAAAAAAAAGAGTTGAGAAAGATTTTATGCAAATTTTTGCGGCGAAACTTTTAATCCAAAAAGAATGATACTTTTTCGGGGCGAAAAATACGTATATTTTTTGGGAGAAGAAAAAAATTTCCATATTTTTTGAATTGAAATTAAAATCTAGAAAGAAGAGAGAATTGGTTTTCGAGAGACGCAGACAGTTTATTTGAGCAGCAGCCGAAGGCTTTGAATTACGTTTCCGGTGATGATGAAAAATGCCAGTTTTTTGGGAGGAAAATATGTAAAGTGAAAGGATTTTGTTTTTTTTTCGAGGAAAATCAGATAAGAATTTTTTGGGAGAAAAATGAAAGAGAAGAAATGAAAACAATGCAGGTGAAAACAATAAATTTTGATGTTTGGTTGAAAAAAAGAGGGAAAACTTGATTTATTATGTACTTTTAAGGAATAAGGCGAAATTAATGAGTTTTGGGGGAAAATTTGAATTTTTCGCTCAATTTTATATCCCACTATTTTGACAACGAAAAAAGACTCGCGTGGTCGAGTGCTGTGCATTTTGGCTGACCATTTGCAAAGCCAGAGTTCAATTCCACCCAATTTTTCAATTTCTAGAATTTTTTTTACATCTAAAAATATTTTTACTCTTTTTCCGAAAAAAGTGCCTTGAAAAGAGTTCGGATGAAATTGAATTTTTTTCAAAAGAATTTGAAAGAAAAAGTGAAGAGTTAGGGTAAATTACATTTTGATGAATGAAAAGAAGATGTTTTCGAGAAAAAAGAAGAAAAAGTATAATTTGATTTTGAGAACACACGTGCGAGAAGAAAAAAACAAGTAAAAAAATAGCGGCAAGAGTTTCGATTTTTGAGAGCCTGGGATTTCGAAATGATATTCTGAATTTACAGTTTCCTAGCCTGGAAATCTAGAATTTTCAGAAATATTTATTTTTAGGAGGATGTCGTTATAAGAACTAGAATATAAAGCTGAATCTGGAGTTTCCAGAATTTTACAGTAATTATTAAGATTCAGGATGAGATTTGGGTCAAAATGACATCAATCAAGCTTAGATTTTTCGCCAGAATTTTTCAGATTTTTCTGAACAAATTTAGTAACCCCGGGTCCCAAATTCAATCCCAAATGCAAATTTTTTATTTAAAAAAAAACTAACCTAACACTCGGCTCGCCCAAAACTTCATTTGCCACAATCTCCACAGCCTCATTTTCGCCCAAAACCGCTCCTCGAAAATCCAACAAAAAAACCAATAAAAATAATATCAGCATCTTCTATTTTTTCCCGCAAAAAAACTGGGGAAAAATGTGTCAAAAAAATTGAATAAAATATAGTCGCAAAAAAAATGCTGTAAATATGAATGTATAAAAATAAAATAGTCAAGAAGTGTGTTCTTTTTTGTTCAGCTTTTCGTTTTTCTCTCGAAGCCACGCCCACTTTTTTGGCCTGCAAGCAGAAAAAATTGAGGAAAAATGAAAAATGGACGAAATTAAAAAGGGATGGGCAAAATGAAGAAGAAAAAGGAGGCAAAAGTAAATATGTACATATATAAATGAAAATCTTCGCAGAAAACACAAAAACAGAAGAAAAAGGTCCTTTATGAGATTTTTGGGTAGGGAAGGATAAATAACATTTTTAGAAACGAATTTAGTGGGAATCTGAGAGTTCGTAGATTTGGAATCAAAAAATTGACTGATTTTGAATGTAATACATTTGAGCTGAAGTTTCAAGGTTCAAAATTTTAGATCCAGAAAGTTCTCTGAAAAAATTGTTTGCAATAAATATTTCAATGTTACATTTTGATTTTTGAAAGTGGTTTATACATCTTTGCAAAATAAATAAATAAGTCAAATTTAAAAAAAAAAGGAAAACTACAAAACAATGTAGATTTTTCGTAATTCCAAAGTGCTCCCCGCCTAAAAAACCTCAACCCAATAAATAATTCAATAACGAAACATTGGAAAGAAAAAAGCAAACAAAGGCTAAAATATTTAGTCGGTCCAAAAATGGATGTCATTCCCATGACATCGAAAAATAAGTAGTAGAAAACATACATAATATTTTAGTTATACAATATTTATTTTGTGCAAATATATGTTTACAATTGGATTATTTCAATTTCGATACTATTTGTTTTCCTGTTTTTTATTTGGTACATTTTGTTGCATCAATTTCAATTTCACTCTTAAACCAGAGAAAAAAACATAAAATTATTTTATATTTATGTAATATCAAATACTAAAAACGGAAAGTGATTGATTGATTTATGGCTTTTATCTGAAATGTGTTTTTTTTCATTTCAAAACAATAATAATAATAATTAGGATGAGAAAGAAAACAGAAGGCTTATGTTAAAAGTGGAACTAATCTGTCTGGTCTTTAATTTATTTACAACAAAGAAAAATGTCATAAAATTGAATTGGTCATTAAATTTGATGATCCGGTGATAAAGAGCCGCTTTGCGAATGTAAAAAGGAACGATAAAAGGTTTATAAATAACGTGACCTATGACGTGGCAATTTGGAAATGTTCTGCCTCTATTTTTTCAGAAGAATCTAGTAATTATACAATTAGATGTTTTCTAAATTATCTGCATCGATAAAAAATGTTGAAAACTTCAAATTTGAAAACGAACATGAAAATTATTAAATTTTGAATTTCAGAAAATCTTCAGCTCAATTACCAACGAAAAATAATGATAATAAAAAAATACAAATTTGTGAAACAGTAAAAATTTTCCGAATAAAAAACCCAGCTCAAAACCTAGTTCTCATGTTCGCATAAAAGAGTATCAAAAATCCTGCATCCGTCAAAAACAAGAATCTCAATTTCCATCATTAATTTTTGCAGAATTAATTAATTCAGGAAAAGATGAGAAAAATGAGATGGTCAAGAAATATAAACTAAAAATAAGCAAACGAGGAAAAATGATGAATATTCTGGAAATTTTTGAGAATTCTCTTAAAATTACAAATTCAGAGTCTTTGAAAAAGTTTCCCAGGCGTGTTTAGTATCAGGAATCCCCAAATTTCTCAAAGTTCTAAAAAATCCCGAAACTTCAGAAGTCCAAAAAAAACTAAAAACAAGAGAAGGCAAAATGAGAAAACGAGGAAAAGATGATGAATTATGCGAGAAGAGATTCCTTTCCTCTTCTATTCTCGAAGCAAAAAAAAAGAATGAAAAAGTCGTGTATTAGTAATAGGAATAGCTTGGCTTGGCTTGGCTGGACTTGGCTTCATCCATCCATTCAAAACTACTACAAACTACTAATACAACTATCTTTTCATTCAATTCTTCCTTCGTTTTCTCGTTTTTCTCCGCCCTATTTTTCTATCTTTCTACACCACCTATAAATTATTTATAACATAACATATTTTGTGGGATGACACAAGAGGACAAAAAAAGCAAAGAAGAAGAAGAAGAAGGCATTGTTGAGGGATGGCTTCATGGGGTGCAAAATGAGTAGCAGCTCATTCAAATAATGAAATATTATTAATCAGAAGAAAATAATTGAAATTGACACTAGCTAGAAGAATGGAAGGGAGAGATCTTGAGATTTTTAACGACCAAAATATATGGGGGGATAATTCTGGAGTTTTTGGGAATTTTGGAAAAAAAAAATAAAAAAACAAACATGTCGTGAGATTTTTAAGGGCCAGAGTATGTGGGGGATAATTTTGGAATTCTTGGAAAATATGTATAAAGTCACAGAACCTGAGACCTGAATCCAAAAAAAAATCTTGAGAGGTTTAGAGAAAATGATTTTTGATCTACCCAAAATTTTTTGACTATTTATTTGTGGGTCTGGATGCCTACTGAATTACTGGTAAATTTTTGAAATTAGGAAATTTGAAAATCAGACTACAAAGTAAAGAATCAAGAAGGATTCAGACAAAATTTGTTTTTTTTTTAAATTTTCAGATTGGAACAGTTGCTGAAAATTTTATTTTTCAGAATCAGAATTTTTTGAAACAAAATTTCAAAAGCAAGATGTTTCGCGCCAAAGTGTTAACATTACAAAAATATTGATTTTTGATCCAAATGTCATTAAAAATCTCGAATCTCTGAAATTCAGAGTCCAAATCTGAATTCGAAAAAAAATCAGGAACTTTCAGGAACATTAGCCAAAAATTTTAACAAATTCCAAAAATCTGGAATTTTTAGGAAATCAGATCTTTCAAGCTGAAATTGCTGAAACCAAAACAAAACCTTCAAAAATCCAAATATTGGCTCAGAACTTCAAATTTTCTAATTTAAAAAAGTATATCAAAAATTTTTGTTACAGTAAACTTTCCAAAAAAAACCACAACCACGAAAAAAGTAGTCAAAATTAGCCAAAATTAATCAGCCGTAAATAAAACAGCAAAAAAAAAAAGAAAAGGGCAAAAATGTTGCGTAAATAGAATAAATTTCTCATTTTCATTTTTGCGCCCAACATATTTTTTGATTGGAATTTTAGATATAGAAGGTGTTGAAGGATAAATTGAAGAAGCTTGAAAAAAAGCGGAAAAGAAAGATACCATCTCATTTCGTCACTTTTACTCTTCTTTTTAATATGAAAAGGTGACAAAACTTTTACCTTAAGGACATTACAAAACATAATGATGATGACTAATGATTAGGGGTTTTTTAATTGAAAAATTGGTGCAATTGGAAAAACACAGTTATGAGGTTGCTCTTTTGGTCAACAATTTGGGCGTTTGAGTACTGTAATTAATCCCAGATGCAATATTTCTAATTCCGAGTTCAAAGAGTGTTTCACAAGGTTGATTTTCTGTTTTTTATTTTAAATTATTTACATCACACTCTGAATAGAGACAAGTTCAAGAGGAAAAACGAAATAGTTCTTAAAATTAATAAACGCTTTTTTATTATATCGAACTTTTACAGAAAATCAGTTGAAAATGAAATTTTAAAAATTTGGATGTTCGTCTAAATGGGAATTCCGAAAATTCCAATTCCAATTCATTCCCGATCCCGAAGCATTTATTCACAAGCAACTTATAAGTCATTACAAAAATATCACAACAAACAAACTATTTGATTTATAAAAAAATGACTAATGGATTGAATGAATGGAATGAAACACAACACAATAAATGGTTAAAGGAAGGAGGTGTTCTTTTCATTCCTTTCACTCAATTAGTCATGCCTATTTCTTTATCTCTAAACTCTCTTATTCTTTTCCACTTTTTCACTTATGAATACTTTTGGCTTTTGTAGTAATCAAACCAAAAAAAAAAACAGTTCAGAAACACATTTAAGTGAAGATTGGGAAATTTTGCAAACTTAAAAAAACATTTCTGAAATTAATTCTAACATTTTAGTTCCAGATTAAATGATTAGTGGCGTGACAATTGTAATTTTTTCATTTTCTGATTGGAAATAATTTTTTTTTTAATTAAGCAAAAGGTAAAACTAAAAAGTAAAGCTCAAAAAATGTTGGATCCTTCTTTTAATTCAAAATTTCTACTTCAAAGAACATTCAAAAATGTTTCTTTGAACTATGAAAAGACCAAAAAATCTTCAAAAACATTTTTTCCGCTATTTCATTTCTAAACAAATTATTATTATTAATTCGAGGTAATCAAACAACCAATTTCAAGTGCAAACACTCCAAAAAAGTGAAATCCGAGATATTCTCATCATCAAAAAAACCAACAAAATCGGTCAAAAATCGAAAGTCAGTAGAAAAAAAGACTATTTTCAGAATAAGCAAAAAAGGAACAAGCAACAAAAAACTAGTTTGTTGGATATACTAATTTTTGTTATTTTCATGAAACATGAAAAAATATGGAAGTTTTTGGGCGCGAAAAATTTGAAGCCAAAAACTAATATTTCTATGACCATTTTTGATAAATAAATTTCACAATCAAAATCAATTTTGCTATTTTTCTTCAATTTTCGTGGTTTTTGCTTAAAATGTTTGTATTATTGTCAGATTTTCATAATGTTAGAGAAATTTCTTCAGTCTGAGCTCGTTTTTTTAAGAAAAATTTTTCTTGTAAAATTTTCCAACCTATTCATGAAATATTTTAAAAAATAAACACAAAACTCTCACCAAATCTCATTCATTCTATAAAAATACAAGTAAGAGCCGAGAAATTCGAGTATTTACAATGCCAATGTATTGGTTCCAGTTGTATCACCACCAGCCGTGGTTCCACCTCCTCCAGTTGTTGTCGATCCGCCGCCAGTCGTTCCTCCACCAGTTGTTCCGCCAACAGTTATCGCTCCAGTTGTTGTGTCGCTAAAACCAACACCAGTGATACCGCCAGTGGTTCCAGATGCATCACATCCATAACGTTTGTACATTCCACGATACCAACTGGCAAACATTGTGCGACGCAAAACATAAAACAATGCAGATCCAGGCAAAGTGATAGCAACAGTTCCAATCAACATTCCAAGATAGAAGCCCCAAACCCACCATCTTCCTTCAATATAATGACCTGTGTCTTTTGTGTCACTTTGTGCTGCCGCATCCAAGGTAAATCTCGCACTTATACCATTCGAAGGTACTCCTGATGGAGGTGGTACAGTTGTTGTGATCGCAACACCCTCAATAACTGGAGGAACCGTAGGTTTCAACGGCACATGTTGTCCATCCGTAACGTTTACAATTTCACCTGCACCATTCGCAATTCCTTTTTCCACATCATTAGTACTAGCTGCCATATACGTTGAACCCGAAAGAATTTGTTGCGAAACGACACCGGCATTTTGCACCAAACAATTATCAGATGGAAAATGCATAACGATATGTTCAATTTTTTTGAAACCCTTCGAATCAGTCATCACATATTCGCGATATACATTTCCAACAAACAACTCGGGTTGTACAACACCTCCCACATCTACACCGAATCCAATTTCGATCGGCACAACATCACCCTTTTGAGCCTTTTCAGGAGAGAATAGGATGGCAGCACCGCCAAGAGAATCCGGCCAAACAACAGCACCACCACGAACCAAGATTGTCCAATGATTTTGTGGATCACATGTTGGCAGTTTATTTGGATCCTCGTAGTTTTCTGGAGAGACGCAAATTCGGAAACTGGAAAAAGTATATTATAATTTCAAGACAATTATTGTGAAAAAACAATGCAGCTAATCAGTTGAAACCCCGACTGATAAGCTGTCTTTAACTCCAAAATTATTTTCAATTATGTAAATTTTTAAATGAAAAAAAAAAACAGTTCGGAGACTTTTTTCAATTGTCCGTTTCAGGCACTCAAAATGTCATCTTTTCAATTCAGTTTTTCAACAATTCTTACTGAAAAACTTACGCTGGACATTTATCGGTAACATAAACCATAGCTCTCCATTTTCCACGATTAAATTTCAATTTGATCATTCGTCCCTTGTTACAAGTGGTATCACATTCGAACCATTTGAAATTGTCAGTCTTCACTATGTTTTCAAAACCGACAACCAATTTTTGATCAAAAGCTTTGACTGGAGTGCGAACAATGCGACGATGTCCCAAATTGAATTGTTTTGTGTCTCCAACGATTTTAAGCCAACGTGGATAAATAACCCATGGTGAATCACTGGCGTCTCCTTTCAACTTGTTGAGCAAAGCAGCGTGTTTCCCACTGTCCATACAATTTTTCTCATTGGCAATAATGATGTTCTGCAAAAAATATGAATGTGCAAACTACAAGGGTTTTTGTACAGTTCTCGAAAAAAATCGAAATCATTCAGAGCCACGTGGCACAAATTTGTCAATTAACCGAAAAGTCCGTTTTTTAAAATAAGACGAGGCCTAACTGAATAACCGATTCTTTCGAGAACTTCACTTATTTCAATTTAGCTTCAAATATGAAAAACTAAATCTAATGCATTTTGTGGCTGTTTAAAAAAAAACTTCACTTACCCCTTTCTTGGCCAATTTCTTTTTATTACACACCGAATTTGGACGTTTTGGCAATTTATATGATACTTGTTCCTTGGTGTCTGGATCATAAACCTTATCGACCGAATCAGCACCCTCCGAATAATCATCCAAACTGCACGCCAATAATCCTTCACATTGCTTCAACAAACTTTTATCATCCAAATTATCCAATTCTTCTGTATCTTTAGATTGAATAATATAACCGGGCCCAGGTTCGCATGTTACTTGAATCGCAATATTTCCTTTGCCTGCTTGTTGGAATTTGTCATTCAAAGTAATGGTTTGCGATTTTCCACATTTAGCGAATGCTTCCGGAAATGTACCGAAGGAGTTTTTGACCTTATCGAAATCATTCCATTCGCCAACATCAACGGGCAAAGCGATAGCGGTTAATTTCCCTGGTGCAGGTGGTGGTGGTGGTGGTGGTGGGGCATTAGCATCGCATTGAACATCTGAAAATTTACTTGTCAGATTGCTAATGCTATATATTTCGATTATGCAACTCACCTTCAAAAGCGAATAGAACAATAAGAAGCAATACGATCGGCGATGTCGACACATCTTTTCTCACTGGTAAGATGCGCATATTTTGCAGGAAATACTTCCAGATGTTGCTTTGCAAAATTACTCAAACCAAACGTGTGTACTAGATTGAATTGAGACGTCATCATTGCTCCTTTTATACCCACATATGCGACGTGGCAAGATTGTTATCTGCAGAAATAAACCAGGTCACGTTTCGCTGTTTTTTTTCAGGAAATCATTTTTAAATTTAATTTTAAAATGTGGAAAATCGATTTTTCGCACCCGATAGAAGTTTTCCTGCACTACGTACATAACTTTGCGCGTTTTCAGCATGTTATAATCGTTTTCAGGAAAAATTATTTAATAAATAGCATAGATCAAACCACAGCGTGTAAATTACTACCCAAAAAATTTCCCGAATTTTTTGACACCTGACACAATCAAAGAAGTAAGACATATCATGAGAAAGACGCAGAGAAAGTGGGCGGAGCCAACGATACCGAGCGCGCTCACCACGCAATGTGTCGCTGCGCAGGAATGTTTTTTCTCATTAGAGCGCTCTTAGACCTCTTTAGCAGAAATTTGACGAGGGTCGTTTTGTTCAAGCGACGTCAAGAAAAGCACACCATGGGGACTAAAAATCGACGAAATTCAACAACAAAATGTGAGATTTATAGAAAAATATTTTTGATCTACCAGAAAAACTTTGAGGTCTAGCGATTTCAAGTAGTAAATTACACACTTTGCAAATTACGCGTGTATGAATATTTGTATATGAAAAAACGGTATCGGTTCAAAAATCAATTTATTCATTCTTTTTTCTCGTCCTCTTTCTCATCCTTCTTTTCCTCATCTTTTTTCTCCTCGTCCTTTTTTTCCTCTTTATTTTCTTCTTTCTTTTCATCTTCCTTCTTCACTTCTTTTTTCTCTTCTTTCTTTTCCTCATTCTTTGATGCATCTTTATTTTTTTCCTCTTTTTTCTCTTCATTCTTGGAAGCGTCCTTCTTTTTCTCTTCTTTCTTTTCCTCATTTTTCGATGTCTCCTTCTTTTTCTCGTCTTTCTTCGATCCATCCTTCTTCTTCGATCCTTCTTTTTTCTTTTCGTCTTTCTTTTCATCTTTCTTTTCTTCCTTTTTCTCTTCCGGTTTCACAGTTCCAGCTTCCGATTGAATACTAACAATCGGATTTTCCACAACTCCAGATCCTTTTTTCGGTGCTGGCTCTTCTGGTACAATTCCAGGCATTGCAACTGGAGCAGCCGGTGCTGCTTCTTGTTTTTTAGCCTCTTCCTTTTTTGGTTCCTCTTTTTTCTTTTCATCCTCCTTTTTCGGTTCTTCCTTCTTTTTTGCTCCTCGTTTTTCGGCTCTTCCTTCTTTTTTTCTTCTTCTTTTTTCGGCTCTTCAACTGGTTTTTTCTCCGATTTCTTCTCCTCTTTAGCTTCTACAGCGGCTGGAACTGTGGCTGCTTGAGCTGGTAGCACAGGTGCAGCTGCTGAAAAAAAACTTATTCAAATATATTCATGTAAAGAAATAACAAATACCTGGTTTCTTCTCTGCTAAACTTCCACCTCCACCTTCCGATGTTCCGCTTTTTTTCTTCTTTCCACATCCAATTGGCGCCAAAATTAAAATCAAAAATGGTAGACAAACTAGATTATAATACCAATAAACAGACATCATTTTCGTGGATATTAAATCAGTTATAATGACAGGCTTTGTTCACGCGAGAACGGTATTACAAAAATGTCACGCGAAAATTATACAAAAATATCGATTTTCAATTCACTACACTGTATACAAAGATTCACGATCGAAAATGCCTCTAACATGCTAAAAAAAGCGCTAAAATCACAATCTATGTTGTGTGTGAAACCAGCGATACGCAAATGAACGAACCGTCGCGAAAAAACAAGAGCTGAGAGAAAAACGAAAAAATAAAAGTAAAACAACGATACTCCGCTTTGACGGTTCGGCGCGGCCGCGCGGTGCATCACCCACGGCCTTTCAGAAATAAGAAAAATTGCAATTTGAGAGAAACGCGGATAGAGAGATAACCAAAACCATCAAATGGAAATACGAAACACCAAATCCATTTGCAGTTCGACTTCTCGTTTCGAGACCAAGCGCGGGAAACGGGCATTTCAATTTTTTCTAATTCAAACATTTTTCCCGCGTTTGGTTTCGGGGAGAAAAAATAGGAATAACCCCATTCAAAAAAAAACGTTATTTTCCAAATTCTATATATTTGTCTGAAAAAAATTCACATACAAATAAAACTGCCAGATTTTTCTTCTAACTTCATTCATTGTCGACTTCAAAAAAAAATGCGTCTATCATTTCTCATATTTTTCCTGATGTTCGATTTTTCTGAGCAACAACAACTCCTTTGTTCATTTGCCACCGGTTGTTTCAAGAAATTCAAAATTCCCGAGAAACCTGCGCCAGGTATCTTTTTAGCGGAAATATCTTAATTTTAAATTCTCGGAAAAGATTTTCAGAATTGGAAAGAGCTCCTTCTAAGCGTGAGGAACTTGGTCGCAGAATGGCATCATGTTGGCTTTCACAGAAAAACAATGAGCTATGACGTGGCAAATGCAAATGCAACATAATCAATAATTTATTCATTTACAATACAAAAACCAAAAAAAAATTATCACACAAAAAAGATATGCTATTTACATCCCGGCACACAAAAACATACAAAAAATTTCCAGAAGATTTCTTCTGAATTAAATCGGTAATACCGTACTCGGCGCTCTCGTAATCAAATTTGTAAACATCGAAGTGATGAAGAAAAGACCACGTTCACCTCCCGGAACATATGACAAAACGAACCTGCAAAAATAAATTGGATTTGTTGCAAAAACAATATTTTGGAGGAAAATTTGAATTTTTTGCATTTTTGTTGTTCAGAGAAAAGGCCATCAATCAGTTTTTCTTGGTTTATGAAAAAAAAAGAATTTTTTTGCATTTTGTTTGTGGGCGGAAAAGAAAAAAAGGAGAAAAGTTGAGTTTTTCTTGACCGGTTATAGTTTGCTTCTAGTTAGTTTTTTAATGTAAAATTTCAGAATTTTGCTTCAAAACTATAGCATTTTGAGAAAATTGAGGTTTTTATTCTTAAAGTACTATATATCTTAAAAATCGTCTCAAAACCGTAATTTCACGAAATATTCAAAATTTCTAGTTACAGTACCGCGAAAAATTAGTCCAGAGCCCAAATATGTGAGTACTGTAGACACAGAAAATCGTCTGAAGACCAAAATTTCAAATTACCGCACTTCTCTTAAGACCAAATTTTGGGTACTTCACATAAAAATCAAGAGCTCCATTACAGTACTTCAAAAACTCGTTGCGGGACTAAAATTTCGATCTCAAAAATGTTCAGCTTTTCTCTTAAAAATAACCCATGTCTAACAATTTGTTCATTTTTTATCAAATGATTGATGAGTGTTCAAATCACCTGTTTCAATGATTAACTAAAACTCTTTTTTCCAAGATCAAACATCTCGAAAAAAATCCGATAATTAAATAAAAAAATATATATTTATATTGTTGTTTTTTCGTCTTATTTTATTTTTATTTTTGTTGATTCTTGTGATATTTTCCCATTTCTCACCCAAAATTTTTTCATGAAAAAACTCACCAAATCAGCGTAAATCCTTGAAAAATCGCAGCAATTAGGGTGAAAACAGTGCTTTTGAGCTGAAAACGCAAAATTTCCATTTGAAAAATATTTTTATTTTCATTTTTTCATAACAAAAACAGGAATCATATTGTCAATGTTTTTCAGGAATCAAAAAACAAAGAATTTCTTTTTTTTTCACCCACATATGGGTAAATAATAAATAAAATAAATGTTCTCAAATATCCCCGCAATTTTTTGGTTTTTGTCTAGTTTTTTATGCCACTTTGGATTATTATTTTTCCACTGTTTCAAAATTTGTATTCACTAAAATGTATTACTCGATTGATAATCATACTATATAAAAAATACACGAACTACTTTTATTTAAATATTCAAATTTCTGATGTAACAATGTTTTTGTAATAATGTTTTTGAAAGAGCTACGAGGACATTTTGTTCCAAAATTTAGAAAATTAGAATTAGCGCTCAGCTCAATTTTTGTGCTCCAAAAATCAAGCTTTCATAGAATTATGAGACTCCACGTGTATCGAAACTGACTGAAGACATTTTCGCTTTCAGGAATATTTTCACAAATACTTGTGGAAATAATTAAGCTTTGTAATTTCAGGTTCTGAATTTTGTAAGCTCAAACGTCCACGTTTATCTTGAATTCAGAAAAAATTCCATGCTAAATCTGAGAAATGTTTGCGATAACAATACAAATATCAAATATCCACGTGGAATTTCAGCGAAAAATGCAAGACTTGTTGATTTTCTGTGAATTTTCCCAAATATCCGAATATTCTAATTTCTCTCTTCAAATTCCCCTAAAAAATCATGTGTCCCATCCAAAAAAAAAAAACCATCGAAAATTCGTCTAATTTCCGTAACATCTCAAAAACGACTTTGTTTTTGTCTGTGCTTTTTCTGAAAAATCTCGGAAGGAAATGTTGCGTGTATTTTCTGAGAGAATCAGACATCTTATTTTTCTTTAAATGCACATATTCGTCAAATAAATGTCAAAAATCTCGTGTTCTCTAAAAGTATCCCCGGAAATTCATAGGAAAAAAACGTTTGTTCATTTCATTTCAACTCAACTCAGCTCAGAGATAGCTCAAATTTGATTTGCTCTATCCAACTTCAATTGAAAAAAATGGGAAAAGTCATTGCGAGAAAAAGTTTGAGGCGTCAGGTGTTAGTCAAAAGAATGTGTCTTCGTGTTTCTAAATTTATCATTTTCTGTTTGAGAGTTGGTTTTTGAGAGTGACAGAGAAAATGGGATTCGGAATATGTCAAAAAGTGCACGTGAGAGATTTTTGACGTAGAAAAAAACAGAGGAGAATGTGATTTGAGAACTGATTAGACATCAGTGAAACAAAAAACATTGGTAAAACTTGTGTGTTGCTCAAGTTGAGAGGAATCAGAAATCACAAGGACAAGAGAGTGTCAAATTTTGAGTTGGATGTATGTTGAGCTCAAAAATATTAATCAAGAGATCAACTCGGAAAAATCGAGAAATGATAAACACAAAAAATTTTGAATCGGACTTTGTAAAATCCAAATTTTTAGTGGCTTGATTCTTATGAAAAATTGGTCATCCTGGTCCGATTCAAAATCTCCCAATTTCAGCACGTTTTGAAGTTATGACTTTTGTCGAAGAGAAATAAAGTGATTATTAGGTACTATGTAGAATATGAACAAAGTCAGAGGTTCAAATGTGACAAGCGATAATCCTAATTCAAAAAACCCGAACGAGTAAGGCAGCGAGATAGAGTGTAATTTGAAGAGAAACAGAGAAGACTGTATGATTCATGTTTAGACAAATGAAAACTTCAGCATAGGATCAAGGTATTCGAGTCAGAAATAGTTGTTTTTGAATCTGGATTTCCTAAACGACAGCTTTTTAATTTTAAAAATATAGACAGATAGAATTTGGGGCTCATTTCTAATTCCCAAAAACCACCCCCACTTCTTTAATTCAACTCAACATCTATATTTTTTTCGGAAAATGAACAACACAGCGAAGCCGTTCTCTCTTCTCTTTTCATCTATATTTTCATAGTATCGGATTAATTTTGTCATCAAAATGTTGTATACTCTTTGATCGCTGAACATATGAAAATAATTATCTTTTTTTTCTCACAATTTCCAATTTTTCTAGAAATAGAATGAAATAATATCGAGTTATTCACCAAGGAAAATAATTACTTTTTTTCGTTGCTTTTTTGTTGCTCAAATGTTCATTTGTTTGCTCAATCCATTCATAATTGAAAATAATTTGATTTTCTGTTTCTCAACCAAAAATTTCCGGGTTTCCGAGTTTTTTCTCTTTTCTGAACATAAATACATACATATCAGGCCTGATCGGAATCGGAATGTCGGAATTCCGAAATTCCGAAACCGACAGGTTTTTCGGAATGAGACAAACGTGTCTCGGAATCGGAATCTATTTTCTCGGAATCGGAATCATTCCGATGTTACTTCCGAAACTTTTTGGAATTTCGGAATGCGTTCCTCTTCCGAATTTCGGAATTTTTCCACCGAATTTCGGAATTTTTCGGAATGTTTGAGCTGAAATTAGTGAAATATTCAACAAAAAATGGAAAAATTGATGAATTTTACCTGTCATTTTCAAAAAATCTCTTTTTCTCTTGTGATTCTCGAAAAATGTAAATTTTGAAGACAAATTTTTAAAGTTTTATATCATTCCGAAACATTCCGAAAAATTCCGAAATTCCGAGGTAAAAATGTCGGAATGGAGGTTCGGAATTCGGAATTACGATCTGACCACTCGGAACGAGTGTGCTCATTCCGAACCTTCCGACAGGGCCCATTCCGATCAGGCCTGATACATATGTCACACAAAAAAAGCCATGAGAGAACACTTTTGATTCAATCAACTTTCAATTAAACAAATTGGTGTTTGATGCGCTTTTTGTCGGATTTTTGACAAGAAATGTGTGTTCAGAATAAGAAGAAAAAAGTTGGAGAGATCATACTTTCAGGATAATTGAATTGAATAAACTTTATAGGGCTATTTTTAGACATAAAAATTCATCTCAAAAAAATCCAGGCTTAGGAGGGAAATCCAGGCAGGCTTAGAGAGGGAGGACAAGAAAATTTAGATTTTTTTTCGAAATAAAAAAACATCCGGGAAAAATAAACTTAAAAAATTGAATAATGCGAAAAACTTCAATATTTTCTAATGTATTCACCTAAATATTTAACAATAATTTAAATTTTTATCCAATTATTTTTCGGTAATACCAAAATAAAAAAGTGGAAATATTTCACTGTTTCAAAAAATTTATGTAGATTTTTGAAATTTCTGACTTTAAACATAATGTGATCGATATTTTGAGAAAAATTTTGAATTGTTCCACTTGTCGATATTTTTTCTTTCCGAAAATGTTTCAAAATTTTTCCCTCAACATCCCAGAAGTCCAAAACATCTTCTAAAAACCTCCCATTTCACAACAAAAATATCCAATTATTCGCTTCCTTCCGCAAAGAGTTCACAATTTCCTATTTTTCAAGCGCAAAAAAACTCAATTATTTCAGCTCCATAAAAATTACAGTAATCCTCATCCTTCTCTATTTTCTCTGTGCTCTTTTCTCTCTCATTTTTTCATCATAAGCTCCGCCCATTTCTTATGAGCAACAAGAAGAAGATGAAGAAAAAGAGCACACACACACATGTGTTGTTTCGACCAAAACCCTGTTGGCTATCTACTGGCAACTTCTGATATTCAATTTTCGCTCATTTTTTCCAAAATAAAAAATATATCAAAAATTCGTCGAAAAACACCAAAAATGACGAGAACATGTATAATTAATCAAGAGACTTTTTTGGTGTTTTTTTCCAACTTTTCTCGTATTTTGCATTTATCTCTACGATGATGTATGATATTTTATTTCTATTTTTATTTCCAGAAAAAGTTATTTCTCAAAAACCACTCAAAAGCTTAGTTTATTTGCAAAACTTGTTGAGTTAAAATCAAAAATTTTCGTCGGCGTTTTTTTCGAAAAAAAAAAGTTACTTTGAATTTTAAATAAGGTCACACGAGGTCCTTGAGAATAAGAAGTTTTGGAAACCGACAAATAAATGGTTTTTGCTTCATGGAGAGGAATTTGCAAGATTTTTTGAAAATCCGGAAATTCGCGGATTATCTTATTAAGTTTCAGAGTCGAGTTTAGATTTCTAAAAAAAATCTTAAAAGATTCTAGTTTGGACATTGAGAAGATCCGAGTTCTAGAATGAACATATTTCGAACTAAATAAATAAACAGCCCGGAACCTCCGAAAATTTGAGCTCTAAAAATATTACCCTACAGTTCTGTCGACCGAGAATCGAGAAAAACCTATTTTCGAAATCTGAGAAACTCTGGAAACTTCTTGATTCTATTAGGTCAAGTCAAATTTGTAAAACGAAAAGTCCACAAAATTTTGAAAAACTGAAAACGCATCAAGATTGATAGATAATCCAATCAAGGTCCAAAAATCAAAATTAAACTCCAAACGTTTGTTTCCCGTGACTCTTCCTCTCCTAATCTCTTCTATTACATTTCTCTCCATTTCATTTCATTTCATAATCACATGACTTTTTAGCATTTCGCGCTTTCCCCATAATTAAACCAAAAAAAAACTTTGCTTTTTCCCAACATATTTCCTTTTTGCTCAAAACGTCATCGCACTCTTGTTTTCGACAGAAAAAAAGTTAGTTTAAAAATAAAACCAAAAACATGTCAAAAATAGGTCCCAATGCGATCATTTTCAAGTACTCGTTTGTCCTTTCTCATCTCTTTTTCTTTCATTTTTTTTTGTTCTTCACTTGACTTGATTTTTACCCTTCTGAATTTAATTATCTTTTTTTCTGCATTTTTTCATTTTCTGCTTTCTTTCTTGCTTCATTTTCACATCTGGTGTGATTCTTTCGTTGAAATAATAATAATAATAATGTTTGTAAAACGAAAATGAGAGGAAAAACTTCTTCAGAAACCAGAAGAAATGAGCAGCTCGAGTAGTAATGATCCACGACGCGTTTCGCTATTCAATCGTTGGGCTTCGAAACAAAACGAGCCAATTTCGGGATTCGAGGGATTAAATGAGGAGGAGATTATGGAATATAAAGAAGCTTTCCGGCTATTTGACAAGGTTTTTTTATTGATATTTTTTTATTGACAAAAAACTTTTTCCTAGAATTGGGTAGATAGAAAATGAGAAGAGTTTTGAATAAGATTGGGATATTTCGATTTTTTCGACACTAAATAAGCGTTAGACTTAGATCAGATCTGATGTCTAAAGTCTAACCGAAGCCTATGCTTCCGTAATGTCAAAAAACGTCGGAATTCCGCCTGATTATAGAGTTCTAACAGGATTTATTCAGATCTTACCTAAGTGTATGAGGTCGAAAACAATAAATCCTAATATAGATAAGTTTTGTTCAAGCCTAGCTTAAGCTAAATCTCCATGTATCCGTCTTCGAAAAACCAAGTTCCTCATTCAATTTTCTGCAGGACGGAAACGGTTCAATTTCCTCGAAAGAATTGGGCGTCGCAATGCGTTCACTCGGCCAAAATCCAACCGAGCAAGAATTATTGGATATGGTTAATGAGGTGGATATTGATGGAAGTGGAACGATTGATTTCGGCGAATTTTGTCAAATGATGAAACGGATGAATAAGGTTGGAAATAGTTAGTTCATGGCTCATAAAATAGCCGAGTTTATGAGGGCAAAAACGAAAACAATACAAAGAGAGCATTTATGAGGGAAATACTGTTCGCTTTTTTTTGAGAGAGACCAGAAGCTTGTGTGGAACCGAAAAACGTCATAATTAGTTTTTTCTCTATTTTTTCGAGCAAAAAATAATAACAATATTTTACGAATATGATTATTGTTATTATTTTCTGTTCTCTCTTTTATTGAGAAAATTAGGGTTCGATGGGCTCAAAAAAATGAAGAGAGAGAGATACTTCAGTTCCATGAATCGCATAAATCAATTGCGGAAATTTGAGTTTAGAAATCAAGTTAAATTTTAATAACTCTGGAAATTGCATAATGTCACAACGACTTCATTATCTATATTAGAGACCAAAAAAAAAATTCTAGGCTTCGAGGTTCAGAACTTAAGCAGTGATAAATGTATGACAAATCCTAAGTTTGACTGAAAAACTGGAACATTCAATAGATGTGCGTTGAGAGTTATTATGATTAGATAATACTGTTTCTATGTCAAGTAGCTCAAATTCTAATTTTGCAGGAAAACGACAGCGAAATGATTCGCGAAGCATTTCGTGTCTTTGATCGTGACGGAAATGGCTACATTACAGCTGAAGAGTTCCGTTATTTTATGACACATATGGGCGAACAATTCAGTGATCAAGAAGTTGATGAGATTATCGCTGAGATTGATATTGATGGTGATGGACAAATCGACTATGAGGAATTCGCATCAACGTTTTCACAGTAGATCAGAGATTTATGAAAGAAAGGCGCATTCCATGTAAAAACTGAAAACTTCTGTCACGGGTTATAATGATCATCTTTTTCTTTTTATTGAAAACAAAAACTTGATTTTTCTTGTATCCTTCCTTTGCTATAATAAATAAATATGTCAATCTGGAAGACGAAAAAAAAGAGGAACCAGGAAAGAAAAAAAGAAAGAAGCAACTATTTTACAATTACACAAAGAATGCGGAGCCATCACATCAATCAGCACACTCTGATTTTTCTTTGAACACACAGAAAAAAACCAAATATTTCGATCTTTTTCGGGGTCTATTTTGACTAATTATACCTTCGCAGACATACATTTTTCATTTTAGGTTTCGAAATGCATATTTATTTTCGAGAAAATATGAAATATATTTTTTGTGGGTGGTTTCTAGGAAACCAAGGGGTCGAAAACGAGTTTCTAGATTTTTATAAAGAAAAAGGAATCGGAAGGTTGTTCTATAGATATTTTGTTTTGTGGGGAACATAAGTTATCAATTTTGAAAACATTTGAAAAGTTCCACAACTAATTTTGAAACAGTAAATAATTCGGTAGAAATAATGCGAACAACTCTGGATCAAGGAAGCTCAGAAATCTGATTTATAACAATTTTTGGAACAGTGAAAAGTTTAAACTTCATAAATCGTTATTTAACGATAGAACAAAATTGGATCGACTCATTTTGCGTTTTCATTATGAGAACAACACCAACCTTCTAGCAATACGAAAAAAATCGAAAATTAATTTCTAATATTTTTGAAACAGTTATTTGTTGTGGCTTGAGAAAGTGAACATTATCATTTAGTAAATTTTTGTGAAATTTTGAAACAGCGAAAAATCTGATTTTTTAAAAACTCTTTTGAAATCAAGAAACTTCTCACAAAAAAAATCAACTTATCAACACAGAAAAAATTCAACAAATTAAATATTTTTTGAAACAGTGGAAAAAATGAGAAGTTCTATTAGATCTCGATGAAAATTTGTTACATAGCTCTCGGAAAATAAAAAAAACACTTCAGCAACATTTTAAAAAAAAACTTTAAAAATTTGAATAATTTTTGAAACAGTGAGAAAAATGAAAAATTTCATCAGATCCTAGCAAAATTGGAAAAACACGGATCTGAGTTATGAAACAGTGGATTTTTTCCAAAGATAATTTGCAGAATTTGTTTTGAAGATATCATTATTTTACAAAAACTATATATCTCTATCCCAAAATTTTTAAATAATAAAAAATTCCCAACCATTTTTACAAAAACTCTCCCCCTCCCGTTTTCCCACAAAAACTAACCCACAACGACGAATACAACGTGGCAAAAAGCGCAGAAATATACGAAACTGTAACCAATCTTCTCTGCGGCGAAACCATGTGTTGAAAATAGGATTTGGGACCCAATAGAAAAGCAAAACTCAACAATAACATGACACTTCCCAAAGTGTTCAAGGCGGCAAATTTTCGAGTTGATACCAAAATTACAGGGATTAGAATTGCGGCCTGGAAGAAACATTGGATGTTTGGGAAAATCATGGAATTTTTGTTCAAGTCTGCCTGGTTCAGCTTGTGAATTCAAATTTATTTAAAACTTTGTTGAATCAGCAGAAAAAAGTTTAATAATATTTTTCAAATTTTCCCACGTCATAGAGATCTATAATCCACTTGTTTCTCAAATCTTTAAAATTTTTGTTAAATCGGTCAAAGATCGGGCTTCTTTTCCTTCCAACATCAAAAAAGAACAGTTGGTTATGTCAAACAAAAGTTGAGGGTGGTTTAAAACAACCATTCCAAATGTTTTTATCTCCTTCCTACTCCAATTTATTTTCCAGGGATTTTTCTTACCGTTGAAAAGCAGAAAATCGATCCAATAATACACATGAAAAATGCGATGATTCTTTGAGTTCGAGTCAAACCGAAAAAACTTTCTTCTTGAGTTGAGGACGAAGAAAACCAGCCACCATTTCTTCTGGAATATAATTATTTTTGGAAATGAAAAATGAGAACTTGACAAGTTATTTCACGTTTTGAAAAATGATTTTAAATTTGTTTAATTTTTTTTATTGGAAAAAACCACAAAATTAGAATTGCTTTTTTTTCAACAAAAACATGTTGACAGGAAAAACCATTGGAATTTTTGGAGAACAATCAAAGCTCAAGAATTAGTTTTGCAAAATAATAACATTTTTGAAACAGTGATTTATTTTTCAATGAAATCTGAATTTACAAATGATAGTTCTGTATTTTCTCTGGATTATTTTTTCAAAACTCAAGTTTTCAGAAATCAACTATTCAAAAGTTTTCCTTTTTTGAGAACATGATAACTCTGAATTTTGGTCTAATGTAAATTTTTGAAACAGTGATTTTTTGAGAAATTTAGAAAAATCATAATTTTTTCTTTATTATCCAACAAGAAATGAAATTTGAAAAAATTGAAACAGTGAAATTTTTTCATTCTTTCGGATAAAATTTGAAAACAGATTTTCTGGAATTTCGGAAATCTTGGGAGTTTTTCGGACTGCAAACATTTGAAATTTAATAACGTTTTGTGAGTTTTCGAAGGAAAAGTTTTTCCTAGTTTGTTTTCTAAAAAAAAGTCACCTATTTTTTCCAGTCGGTAACTGTGATTCTTCTCCATCTCCACCTCCAACCAATAACTGAGTACTGTCTGAAGTTTCACTTCTAGACACGAGTGGAATGCCGCTGAAAATCCAAAGTTTTAATTTTTCCATTTTTGTTCTATGTTTAAAATTACCTTATCGAATTGGATAATTTGTTGCGAAATGAGTCAAAGCTGGAAAAAGATGCAGATCCTGACATTCCTCCACCTCCAGTTTTCTTTTTCTGCTCATTCACGAATTTTTCGAGTGCAGACATATTTCTTTCTGAAATTCCTTTGAAAAATAAATATATCTGAAATTCTTTTTTAGAGAGTAGAACAAAAATCTCACATGGTTAAATACCAATTTTGGCTCTAAACAAAAAATTCTCCTTCTACTTCAAAAAAAAATGTTTTTATACTATCCTTAGCCTAAGGACCTTAGGTTTTAAATTTTTACAATCAACTAAATTTAATGATGAGCATCCCATGATGTTGTTCCATGTTTCTTGTATTGATATCCTTCTTCGATGAGAATTAAAGCGGCGGCAAATGCGACTCCCGCTTTCCAGCCAGGAAGGATTAGCTAAAAATTTGATTTTTCATTAAAAAATTTCAAAATTTCAACAAGAAACAAACCTTTTTGAAATGGGCCCATTGTCCAACAACATGTGGATATTTTCGATCGTATAAATACACATAATTTCTGATCCACGGGTCTTTCAAACCGATTTGCGCAAGACGTTTTTCGTGTTGAGCGAGTTGTGGGAAATCACGATAATTGTTATAGATGGCGTAATTTGGAATCTTGAATGGTTCGTGGTGATGTCCTCCTCCCATGGTTTACTCTGAAATTAAAGAGTTTTCCAGGGAAAAACAAAAGAAAACAACAAAAAGTGAAAAAAAAGAAAATAAAAATCCAACCAGTGAAAAAAGGTGTGCGAGGGCTTGCGAGAGACATGAGAGATGCAAACATGCGGCACGGTTTTTCTAATCGATATTGCCTTCCAACTGGATTATTTTTCGTTGTTTTTCTTGTTTCTCGTTGAATTTCCCATAAATTTTCTTGATTTTTTCAGCCGAAAATATGTCGAAACGAAAGGATAAACAAGCGCAATCGGAGGAAAACGACAAACTCACTAAAAAAGAGGAAGAAATCGCGAAATATGTGCGATTCAATTGTCCAACTTCGACCACACTTTTTGAGGGAAATGAAGTTCATTATTTTAGCGGAAGTAAGGCTGTAGATACCCTTTGGGAATCGAAATATGGATCGAAGGCGAAAAATGATCCATTTTTCAAGACTCGTGATGATGCTTTTCATTATATCGCCGATCTTTTTTCGAAACAATTGTTTTTCCGCGCCAAAAAATTAGTCGCCAAGAAGAAAGATGATAAGGAAAAAGAGAAGGATAAAATTACTGAAGGAGGAGATGCTCCAAAATCACCCAAGAAAGATGTCGAAAAACGAAAAGATAAAAAAGAAGAGGAAACTGAAACTGAAGTTGATGAGAAAAAAGTAGAAAAATCAAGTGAGGATTCAGAGAAAAAAGAGGAGGCGAAAAAGAAGAAAAAGGTGAAATTGTTGGTGCATTCAGTTCAAGTTTTTACCGATGATAAAGATGTTTATGTTTGGGTTTTCGATCCAACACCGTTTTATAAGAAGGTTATTGGAGTTTTGATGCGTGAGTTGGTTTGGCGGGGAATTTTGAGGAGGAGAAACTTTTTGAATTATTCTCTGAAACTTGTATTATTCACGGAACATTTTAATTTGTAATTTTCCTGAAAAAAATTACCGTCGAATTTGATAGTCTTTCTGAATAAATCTCACTGTTTCAAAAATAAATGACTAAAAAAATGATTTTAAAAAATTAGTTATTCTATTTGTTTTGTAGCAAATTTCATTAAAATCGAGTTTATATTTAAAAATTCAGGGCTAAAACTTCATCATCAATCAATTCAAAATTATAAAAGTTTCAAAAAGGAAACATAGAAAAAAACTGCAAAATTTTCCCTCATAAATCCGATATTTTATAGTTCTCGGAACAATTGTTGGTTGCCTTTTCCCTTTGTGGCCAATGTGGTTGAGACAAGGAGTTTATTATCTTTCACTTGGTGGAATCGGTGTTTTTGCATCAATTATTGTAGTCGCAATTCGTAAGATTATTTTTTGATTATTTCCCCCAAAAATCCCAATTTTTTTTTAGTTCGCACAATTTTATTCGGAATTATTTATGCTGTAACATTTGGAAAACACAAATTATGGGTTTTGCCAAATTTGACCGAAGATTGTGGAGTTTTGGAGTCTTTCCAACCTTGGTATACTTATGAATATTGTTCGGGAGAAGAATCTGACAAGAAAAAGACAACGGCGAAAAAAGAGAAAAAGAAGAGTAAAAAGGAGAAAAATAGTGGTGAGTTTTTTGGAGGAATTTACTGTTTCAAAAATTATAAGTATTCCTGCTAAAGTTTTTTTTATATTTATGATTCTGCTTTATCATTCAAATAATTTTCAGTTCGAAATTATTTCAATTCAATTGTTTTCAATTAAATTTAAATCTAATATTTCTACCGAAATTTTTTAGAAAAAAAATTACTGTTTCAACATATTTGTAATAATTTTGATAATTTAGAAAATTAATTCATCTTTTTTTTTCTTGAAAGTATTCCGAAAATTTTTACTGTTTCAGTAAAATGTTAATTGGAAATAACTTCAATAATTTTTAAAGAAAGAATTCTCACAATTTTTTTTTACAAAAAAATCCTAAAATTGTATTTTCTCAGATATTTTACGATTCATTCTGATTAACTTTGAAAAATTAACTTCGAACTTACTTTTGTCAAAACATCATTAAAATTTAGTTTTTTTTTCACAAAATCTACTGCTTGAAAATTTTTCTATAAATGAATAAAATAAGTTTTAAAAAAGTATTTTTGAAACAACTGTGAATAAAAAAATAGAGCTGAGTTTTGAAAAAATCAACATTATCCAGTTGTCTTCGAATTTGTTAATTTTTAAATAGAAAAATTCATAAGCTCAATAGAATCAATATAAAATAATAATAAAAATCAATAGAAAAATTCATTAAATTTTTAGACAACGAAGAAGAAGAAGAAGAAAAAGCTGAAGAGCATCCAAAATCCGACAAAAACGAAAAAGAAGATCAGGAAGACGTTTCAACCGATGATAATTATGAAAAAATTGATGGCGAGGAAAGTGACGAGGTAATTTTTTCAAACAAAAATCTTGAATTTTTCATCAATTTAATTTCTCCAGATTTCATCAGTTCCTCCATCTCCAGCTGATGCGCAAGTTCGAAAACGACGTCCGGCAAAAGTATAATTTTGTTCTTCGAAAAAATTAAATTTTACTTGCATTTCTGATATTCTGGGTATTTTTCTTCTCTTTTTCCAATTTTCTCGTGATTTTCCCTTTTTTTCAAAATGTTTCTGCATATTTTTCAGTTGTTTCGGTTAGTGTTCAAATAACAATATAATAATTTATATTATATAATTTGTTTTCTGTCTGCAAAAAAAACCCGAAACGGAATTAGAATTTCTAATTTAGAAAATATGTGAAAAGGGTGCAAAATCGAACATCTACTCATTGTTGAGATGGTGAAGAAGTTGGATTTTGAGATGGTGCAATAATTGCGGAAGATTGTGGTGGAGGAGGAGGAGAACAATATGAAGATGGTGGAGGATGCGAATAGATGCCGTGATTCATGTATTGACTCACATTTCCTGGTGGACATCTGCAAAATTATTTTTTTACTGTTTCAAAATTTTTTTTGGAAGTTTTATTATAAAATACTGATGTTATTTTAAACTATTAGGGTTAACGGCTTCTGAAAACGATAGTTTTATTGAACGTGCAGCACGTTACGTGCTGAAGACTTTCATAGTACAGAAATTGAGATTTCCTCTTTTTTCAAATTTTTAAATGTTTCGAGAAGATTTCGATGTAAAATTCAATTTCCACGTCAAAAAATTTAACAAAAATCCAATAATTTTCAAATTTCCTACAACCCAAAATAAACTCACCCAAAAGGAATTGGATTTCTCATTGATGGTGGTGGAATATGTGTTGGTGTATGAAATAATTGCGAATTATTATTCATAAAAATATGTGCATTTGAATGTTGAGAATAAGGATTCGCATACGGATTATTCGGTGAAAAATGTTGTTGTTGCATTTGAGATTGTTGATGAAAAATATGACCAGGTGGGGGAGGAGGTGGAAGTGTTTGCTAAAAAAATATCTAGTTATTTTGAGGAGCCGATGAGCATTTGAATTATAGCTCCAAAATTCGAAAGAAACCTTCCCGAAACCATTTTTTGAACAAAAATATTGCATTTTTCTAGAGAAAATTTTAGGGCCGTAAATAGTTCACCCGAACCCTTTTAAAGGGAAAATACACGCAACAAAAAAAATAGTTTGCTCGGGTGAAAGTGTATTCCGGCACACAAAATAGTGTGTTCCGGCCCCATTTTTACAGCCCTAGAAAATTTTGAACGAAATTCATTGATTTAGCAATTTTGAAGCACTTAACTACTATGAAGAAACTTACTCTAAGTAGATCCGGAATATGTTGTCTATTGATATTTTGAAATTCTACGATTCGTTGATTTGACGGAATTCTTGGAATCGGCACAGTTTCTGGTGATTTTGATCTATATTCAAAAAAATCTATAACTACAAGAACAACAACAAGAATTCTCCGCAAAAAATTTACCTTTCAACAATTCCAATTTCACTTGTCTCATTTACATCCGGTTTATATTCCGATCCCATAATTCTTTGCCTCGCCGCTTGATATTCGGCTTGTCTTTCTTCCAAAGTTTTAGGAGGAGCCGAATTTTGTCCCGGCGCTCCTTTTCGACCACGATTTTGTTGATTGTGTTGAGACATTGAAGAATCGTTGGTTTTGCTTGAATTTTCGCCGTTTTTTGGGCGCCGGAGAAGAAGACGTTTTGGCTCGTCGTTTTGTGATGGTCCCGCGGATTCCGTGGGATTTCTGAGAAAAAAATGTGTTTAAAGAATTTCGATATACGATTTCTCTTTTGATCAAAATTTCACGACAACTCCGAACATTCAACCACATGCCATATTTAATACGCACAAATGTTCATTATCAACAAAAATCGATAATGAGCACAGCATTTTAAGGTTTTCCCTCTAACTTCTTAAAAAACTAACTTTTCCGCATTTTCTTCCCATTTCTTGATTGCTGCCTTCTTGACATCTTGCTCTCTTTGCATAATTTTGACTTTTTGAAATCGTTCTTCCATCACTTTTACCGGATCCGCTCCATCATCATCCCAACTTTCAGCAATTCCTACTGAAAAAACTCATGATTTTCAAAAGCTAAAACATACTATTTCTTACCATTTCCATCCGTGCTCATCACTTGTAATACCCAAAAATCGATAAATCTGAAATTTCAGCGTTTTTGCTTGAGAAAATGGGCGAAAAGCGTGAAGAAAGAAAAATAAAAATCAACCTACTTTTTGTGCGCCTTCAAACAAATGCGTCAATCTTGTGCGCGTTGACACATTCCATATTTGTTTTTATTTTGCGCCAAAATAAAAATAAGATCTTATAAATAATGGTGTAGAATTACTGAGTAAATTTAACAAGTGAAGCAAACAATGAGGGAAACAATAATTCAACCAAGAAATTCTCTCTCTGGCCATTTTCCTCACGAGTTGGTCCTAATCCGATTTTCTTCGCACTTTTTGATCGTATAAGTAACGAGCAAACAATTGGCCTTTATTAATTTTTTGCTCTAACCTTTTTTGGAAGCTGGTTGATTGTTTAATTGATGATGAAAGTATTTCTAGTTTTAGTATTAACATTATTCTGCAAAAGTTCATTTTCATCATCAGATAATTTTCTGCGCAATTTTCTCACCAAAAATCTCACAGAATTCGCCGAAGAAGAAGCAGAGCCTCCAATTCTGTTGCCAATATCTTATGATTTACAATTGCAATTACCATTATCAGAAGTTGCTGAACCAGAAGTTCCATTATTCACAGCAAGATGTGTAATACAATTCGATTTAACAACACAAATCGGACCAGAATCTGCATTTTTAAGCGATTCAACAAGCAATCGAGCAAAATTGAAATTCGATATCATAATGTTGGATCATTTTGAGAATGTTTCATTGGTTTTTGATGGAAATGAATTGGAAATATTTAATGTTTTATTGACGGATGATTCAATGGAATTATCTGTTGATCAACCTGTTTTATTTTCTGGAAGATATACTTTGACTATTCATCGATATAAAGGATTGATTGGAGCTGCAATTTATTATAGGTTTGTCAATGGGTAAAACAAATTCTCCATCTGATTTCTAGTTATTCAAAAAAAATTTAGGAGTCTTTGAAATCCAAAATGATAAATATTTCAAAAAAACTACAGTAATCTTTATCTCATAGAAACGAGATTTTTATTTTAGTTTCTGAAAATATGTGGAACATTTTTACAAAAAATCTACAGTACCATGTCATATTTAAAATAGTTTTTCGGAACATTAGAAGATTTTCAAATAATTGAAATCTACAGTACTCATGGAATTTATTCAGTTAAATTAAAAACGTGATCCAGAACACAAACAAATACTGTGCACCTACAGTATCCCAAAAAATTTAATTATTTTTCAGAGATGCCGGTGAGCATGCCGTTTTCGGCTCTCAACTTTTCCCCAACCGAGCACCAGCCGTTTTTCCCACATTTCTCGGAGCCACCCAAAAATCAACCTTCAGCATATCAATTATTCATCCAAAAGGAAGTCAGGCAATCACTTCGAGTTCACCCGAAGGTTTGCCACAAAATGTTGACACCAATTGGCAGATGACCACTTTTGCAACAACTCCAAAAATTGTGCCAGGAATGTTGTGCTTTGCACTTTTGCCTGATGAATATGCCAAAGTGGGAGCTTTTTTTTTGAGAAGAAAATCCTAATTTGAAAAATACTTCCAGATTGATTCTTCTTATACTGGAATTCCTATGACTATTCATTATAATAAATATCGAATACAAGCCTCACAAGCAAAACATATTTTACAAACTGCCACTCAAGTTTTAGCGATTTTAAAGTAAGTTTAGCCCCTGGAGAGCCCTAATTCTCAAATAACATTTTAGGGATATGTTTTCTTCAATTTTACCAGTTGCAAAAATCGATCTTATTACAATGAACGAAGCCGCCGCTAGCGCTTGTTTTTCAACTATTATTATTAGTGAAGGTAAGCGACCTCCCACGAAGAAAACGAGAGAAAAAGTATCATCTTTATCTATGCAATTTCTCTCTGTTTCTCTCGGCCTACTTAGTATAGTGGTTAGTACTCCACGTTGTGGCCGTGGCGACGCTGGTTCGATTCCAGCAGTAGGCAGCTCTTTTTATTTTTTTTTGTAAAATATTTTTAGCTCGTCTGTTATCAGCTGACTATGCAAACCAAGTCAATTATCTGGCTCAATATTTGGCAAAACAGTGGATTGGTGGATTGGTAGCTGTATCGCAGGGCGAAGATATGTGTCTGCAGGAGGATTTGGTGGTTTTTGTGGCTGCGAAGATTGTGCGGAGAATGACGAATGATGAATATTTCAAATTGGCGCAATTGGCGAAAATAATGTTGGTCGAGAATATATTTGAAGCAGGGGAGAGTTTGATATTGGAAGATTATCCCACGGAAACTGAGGTTGGTGGGAACGGTTTTTAATACTTCACAAAAAATTGTCTATAACCCTTGATATGAGCAGAAAATTTTCAAAATTTGGAATATACAGTACTCCTGATTAAACTCAATTCAAATAATTTTAAATATCTAAAACAGACTCCGAAAGTTGAATAAAAAACATTATTGAAAAAGTGGCTAGAAAGTTAACTCTATCCAAATACAGTAACCAAAAAGTATATCGAAATCTAACTACAGTAAAAGCAAATTCAGAAAGATAGTTCAAGAATTATTCTGCAACATTTTTTCTGCAAAAAACAATTTTCTTAAGTTTTTAAAAAGGTAAAGAACACAATAATATTCTGAAAAGTTGAAAATTATAACAGTTTTTTTTTTGAAACAGTAGCTTTTTTTTGAAAAAGGTCTGAATTTGTCTTGTAAAAATTTCTACCAATCATCCAAAAATAATACAATTTTATTTGTATCAATTTTGAAACTGTAACTTTTATTCCAGATTTCCGAAAAATGTGGCTTGAAAGGTGTTCAAATGCTCGAATCCATCGAATCTTTGATCGGAGAAAAAACAATGTTATCAAAAATCAACGAATTGATTTATAATTCTCCCAAAGGTTCTTTCGATTCGCACACTTTTTATGAAATTTTGAACGAAAAAGTTGATGGAGATATTTATGTCTCACAATTATTGCATTTTTGGCGGGAACATGGCGGATTACCTTATATGGATATTGATCGATTGGGAAATTCGATTAAAATTTTACAACATGAGGGAAATGTGACGGTTAAGAACGGTAAGAAAATATATTTGAAAAATATTTCTACTGTTTCAAAAATGTTTTATAAGATATTCCAAAGGTCAACATTAATTCAACCTTCACTGTTCCAAATTTTAGCCATTCAGAACACTTTTCCAGAATATACAAATTTAAAAAGTTTGAAAAATTTAAAGGGGGGGTAAGACGACAAATTTTTTTTGTCGCAAAGTTAAAGGCTCCCCAAAAGTAGTAAAACCTCCAAGGGATTTTTTCTGGAAACGTCCAGAAAAAATGTTCCATAAACTAGGTACCACGTATAGCTATACGTTGAAATTATTCCATAAACTTTCGGACAACGTATAGCTATACGTTGAAAAAAGTTCATGGAATATTTTTTTCGGACCTTTTTAGGCCTTTCGAGAAAAAATCCCCCGGGGCTTTTACTATTCAAAGGGAGCCCGATTCATTGAGCAAATAAAATTTTGTCGTCTTACCCCCCTTTAACAAATTGGCTAAAATTTTTGAAATTTTTTTTGATAGAAAATTATTCGAAACAGTATCATTTTTCAAATATTTCCAGCTCAAAACACTTGGGAACGTATTCCACTTTGGCCACTTCCAATGCAATTCACCGAATTTCGTCTACCAATTCAAATTATGTTAAGTCACGCGGTTCATCTGAATCCCGTTCGAGAAGGCCATATTTTCGCCAATTTAGGATTTCAACATTTTTATCGAGTAAATTATGATATTGACACGTGGCGAGAAATCAAATCGATATTAATGGTGAATGCCACGTCATATACGCCAAGAGAACGATTTCAATTAGTCTCGGATTTTTGTTATTTTTATGAGAAACGCATCTTGCCGGAACCTGCTGCGTCAGTTTTACGGAATGAGTTTGTTCAACTCGTTCGATTGAGATCTGAAGCTTTTCCGATTTGTGATGCCTCGATTTATCAATGTATTGCTGCTCATGAACATATCCGACCGAAACATCTTGACAAAAATACTGCGATTTTGCTGAGAAAACGAATATTTGATAGTTTTTCCAACTCATCAGAAATGGATTGTCGAAGTGGCTCAGCTCACGATTCTTTAAATGATCTTTGTGTAAAAATTTATGGTACCTCATGTTTATAAGAATAAAGAATTGATACTTCAAAATTTAGAGCCCGCTCAGACAAATGCCTCAGTTTCCTCAAGGATTCTAGGATTCGTCATTTATTGGTCTTCATCGACGGGTTATTTCGAGTAAGGTAGGCAGAAAAAGCAAACAGCAGCGAGGTGTATCAACGGGCTCGCCGACATTTGGCTGTTCGCACCAGCCGCTATGTTTTGTGTGTGTGTCGTAGCAAACGATGCTACGCAGCCTGTTGTTTAGCGTTGCTTTTTCATTTTATTTTTTTTTCGTTTGTTTTTTTTGTGGAAAAACAGTCATTTCTAAAATGTTTGCAGAAAAGAAATGGCAGAGGATGATAGAATTGCAAGACTGAAACGAATCCGTAATCAAGACCAGCTTCAGGAGTTTCAGGAAGAGAATGAATTGATAAAATCAGCCAAAAGAACTAGGGAACAATGGGATGAAGATGAGGAAGAAGAAGAAGAGTTTGAACAGCCACAAAATTCTGGGCAAACTATGAGCAAAGCAGAAGCGATGATGGCGAAAATGGGTTATAAACAAGGAACAGGTCTAGGAAAGAATAAACAGGGAATCTCTGAACCTGTGGCACTATCGACTCAAAGAGGACGAACTGGTTTGGGAAACACGGCTGGAAAAGCTGTGGCCAGAGATTTCAATGAAGTTTGGGATGATGCTGAAGAGCAAAAAACTGTAGAAGAACATGTCAGATGGTTTTCACAATGTGACGATGAAAAACGTCGAGAGATTTGTGAACTGATTCGAGACAGTGACGATTTTATGGTGATTCGCGAGAAAAAACTGAAAATTGAGGATGAAATCGAGTTTTGTAATCAGGATATTTTGCTGGAAATGTTGGATGCAAAAAATGTTTTCGATTTGATGAGCGACAAAGATTTACGTGAAGCAAGAACTCGGGCAAATCCATATGAGACTATTGGATCGGCGTTTTTTCAAAATCGGGCGGCGATGAAAACTGCTAATATGGATAAGATTTATGATTGGATTTTTTCGCAAGAGAATACCAACACGTTTTTAGTGAGTGTTTTTGGGAGGAAGGAAAGAGATGGAAGAGTTGATTTTGAACATCGAAATCCTGAAATTCGAATTTAGTATAAACCCAAAATAAATTGAAATAACTTCGTTTTTTTTCTACAGTTGAATAGATGATAATAAATTCAAAATTAACTCATTCACATTCAAATCTTCAAATAGTGAATATTTAGTACAAATACCAATATATATGGAACACAAAATAAAATTCTCGAAAATCTCAATAATAATTGAAACAGTAAATTTTCTTTATTATTGGGATAGAAAATTTTCAAAATTCAGAACTTGAATCTACAGCGCAACAATTTCAATTTTTCCTATAAATATTTTGAATATCATTTTTGGACTGAAAGTCAAATGACCGCTGATAATAAAAATCAAAATTAACCTATAAAGTATTTGAAACAGTGATTTTTCACAGAGAAAATTTTCCGCCGATCTTATCCAACTCTAGAAAATCCTAAAATTCTTCAAAAACCTGACTATAATACCACAAAAGTTCCTAACCTCAATTTCTTTCCAGCAAAAAAACCCTTTGACCAACACAGATGCCATCAACACTGATCGAAATCAAGACATATTTTATTTTGCTGATGTTTGTGCTGGACCTGGCGGGTTTTCCGAATATATGTTATGGCGAAAAGGATTCTATAATGCAAAAGGTTTCGGTTTCACATTGGCTGGAAAAGACGACTTCAAATTGAACAAATTTCGAGCTAGCACAGCTTGTTATTTTGAACCATTTTATGGAAAACATAGGGATGGAAATGTTATGAATCCTGAAAATATTGATTCATTGGAGGAATTTGTGATGAAAGGTGGGCGGGTTTTTCAGTGTTTCAAAAAGTTGAGAAACATTCAACTGTTTCAAATTTTCAATACGTTTGCTCTTGGATATTTGAAATAATAATCTTCCGGTTTCCTTTGTTCAGAAAATAAAAAGTCATCGCAAATGTTCCCAGAATTCTAAACTTTAACTGTTTCAAAATTCTAACGACTGTGGGTTTTTGAAGAAATTAAAAAAAACATAAAATTTTTAGGTAATGATTATAAAACGCCCTATATTCTGCCATAGGGATACCAATTTAACCCTCAAAAAAGTTTCCACATAAATATCTAATTAAATTAGCGGTAGCAGGTCTTCAATAAACCCTTATCAACTATGCTCAACGATAAAATCCAAAGAATTAAGCTTGGTATCAGGATGGGACCACTATGTCATTTTTCACCTCGGTTATCAAAGAAGACAGGGGTAAGTAGGTTCTTATCAACTATTTCCAAGAAGGTCCCATCCTGATACCAGGCTTAATTCTTTGGATTTTATTGTGGAGCATAGTTGATAAGGGCATGCTACCCCTAACTCAAGTTCAAAATTCACTATTTGCCTCATTGATGTAAATTCTGAGCTTAAACTCAATACAATTGAAATTTTCAGATTTCTATAGCTGGAAATAAAAAAAAATGAAAAGGGGGGGGGGTTATCCCTTTCGTCGAAAATTTTCAAAAATAGGGGTATGCACTGGCGGATTTGAAACAGGGGTATGCGACGTATGTCCTTTGTTCAGAAAATAAAAAGTCATCGCAAATGTTCCCAGAATTCTAAACTTTAACTGTTTCAAAATTCTAACGACTGTGGGTTTTTGAAGAAATTAAAAAAAAACATAAAATTTTTAGGTAATGTTATAAAACGCCCTATTTTTGCAGGCACCAATAATGTTGGAGTTCATTTAATGATGGCAGATGGTGGTTTCAGTGTAGAAGGAAAAGAAAATATTCAGGAAATCCTCTCAAAACGGCTATATTTATGTCAACTTTTAGTTTCACTTTGCATCGTTCGAGAAGGCGGCAACTTTTTCTGCAAACTTTTTGATATTTTCACACCATTCAGTGTTGCTTTGATTTATTTGATGAGAATTTGCTATGAAGAAATCTCACTTCATAAACCACACACAAGTCGACCAGCAAATTCAGAAAGATATATAACATGTAAAGGATTGAGAAAAGAATATTCGGATGTTGTTAGAGATTATTTGAAAAGAGTTAATAGGAAAATGGAAGGAATGAAGAATCAGGATGTTTTGGATATTGAAGAGATTTTGCCGATGGAATATTTGAAAGAAGATCAAGCATTTTTTGATAATATTGTGGAACATAATCATGTGTGAGTTTTTTTGGTTGAGGGGATTTGGGAAAAATATGTGCAAACTTGGATTTTTGGCCGTTTTCGTTGAATTTTTTCAAAGTAGTATACACTACCAGAAGTTCTCAGGGGTGTCGTTTTGGCAACCGCCCGGAACTCTGATTATCTTTTCCTTCGTCAAGATAATTACGATTTACGTTCAATTTACGAGAACGAATAAACAGATTGTCGTATAGGAATATTTATTGGATCTAATCGTCAGAAAATAGGCTCAGGTCATGGATTGCACATTTGAAAATTTTTGGAAAATTTTGTCAAAACTTGTGACTTTGGTAAATCGACCCTCCTGAACAACGTGATGCATTCAGTTTTCCATAAAAATAATTTCTAACATGAGTTATGGGCTCCTAAAACCCCGATTTTCAGGAAATTCTCAACTTTTGGCTCATTTTTGGGCTCTTCAGAGAGTCGTTCAGCAAAAACTGAAAACAGGAGCTTTATCAGCGTGAAAAACTGACCTAAAAAACATGAGTCTCATTGAAAATCTCCGGGGACTGGTCACACACTTCCCTCGTAAGGAGAAACAAAAAAACTAAAAAAAAAAGCGGCCGTTTTTGTTTTTGTCGAACTTACGGTTTACTGAAAAGTACTGTTGTGTTCGAAATTCTGCAAAAGAATTTGTCTGTCTGAGTTCGATTATATTTGAAACGTTCAATATGTTTCTGCTTGTATTTAAACTGTGTCTCGAGAACGGCTAGACTGTGTTTTTGGGTGGGCTGGGAGGGCCCTGAGAAACAAAAAAACTGACTTCCTTGAGAAACACTTATTTTGTGAAAATGCAATGACGTGTCACGTCACGTCAAAATAATAATATTCGTTCTCTAGAATTTCTCGTAAATCTAAACAATTTTTGAAACAGTGAATTTCTTTCTTGATGAGATTTTTAAAACGTTTCTGTGTGTTAAAATTTTTCTCATTTTAAAATGAAAAATATATTGATAGAAAAAATGTTTTCCTTGTGATTTCGTTCAAACAGTGATCCTTTTTTCAGCTTGGCTCGCCGCCAAACAATGTATCTTCGAAAATATCAAAGTTTCGCCAAAAATCAAGGTCAATTTGACAAAGATCAAGGAAATCTGAAAGAGGAATGTTTGAAATATTGGATGGTTCCAAATCGAGCTCGACCAAAAGAACGAGAAGATTATCGATCTTCGTTAAATCCATTGGAAGTTGTTGGACAATTCACTGATGTTGTGAGTTTTTTGGAGCGTTTCGAATTGAGAAAAACAGAGGAATGTATAATTCTGAGAAATTTCACTGTTTCAAACTATTTATGAATTTTTTCGTCGAATTTAGATTTCGAATTAGTAATCAGTTTTGGAATTGTTTTCGAACATCATCAATTTTTTCTAGTTCTACACGAATCGCGATTTTTCGACAAGGCCAATTGCTTTTACATCAAATATTCTGAACGCTGATGTGCCTGGCGAATTTCCGTATGGAACTTATCGATTTGTTAGATTGGCATCGAGTAATCCAACGATTTTGGTTTCCACTGGAGTGAGCTTTTTTGAGGGAAAAACTGGGGTTTGGGGGAATTTTCAATCTGAAGATTGTTTTGAACATTTTGTACTGATTTGTGGAATACCATGTGCAGAACTCGCATTTGATTCATAACAAAAAATATTTTCATACCCAAAATGTCCTCTAATTTTTGTAAAAATTCAACAGAAACAAATTTTCAAAATTTCTCCGCGAAATTTAGATTTCCACGTGGATTTTTGGGCCATCAAAATTTTGAACTCTTTGAAATGCATTTTTTTTTTTGCAGAACAACAAATTCCTTATCAACAGTCGTGGTGAATTTGAAAATCTCGATTGGTTCACAGTTCGAATTCCTGAAAAAACAATTTTATTAGTTGAAAGAGTGAAAGAATCGAAAATCGATGATCGTCGAAAAATTCAACAAAGTTCAAGCGCAGATGTCATTCGAATTATCGACGCCGCTGTTTTACACGGGGATAATGTTTCGAAATTGATTTATGAAGAACGAATGAAGGCGGCTGAGAAATTCTGCGAATCGCTGAAACTTGTGAATCGAACAATTCGAAAAGGTTGGGGAAGAATGGAAAGTTGGCAGAAAACTGATATTTTGGTGACTGCTCAACATTTTGCCGTTGAACAATTGGATGAGGTGAGCGACTTTTTTATTGTTGGAAATGTGAAATTTCAATGCATTTAATAAAAACGATCAAATAGAAATCTCCTGTCGAATTTGTTGAAGAAATTCTGAAACAGTAAATTTTTTTAAAGTAAAATTTTCAAAAAATCAGCTGAACGGGAAATATTTTTCAAGATGCAATTTTCTGTACAATTGTGAAACAGTGAAGATTTCGAAAGTATATTGTCGAAAAAACGAAAAAATTTCTGTTGGAAATGCTTTGAGGAAATTTTGGAACAGTAAGATTTGTTTTATATACGGACTGTTTCAAAACGGACAAGTTTCTGAAAAATATTTGTGAGGAAATTTTGAAACAGTAGGATTTTTTTTTAAAAATTGGGTTTTCTGAAAACTTGACATTGTTAACTGTTTATGATATATTAATTTTCTAAAATCAAAAACTTTTCAAAATTCATAATTGTTCTTTTAAAAATTTTTAAAGAGAAATTCCAGTTTATGAAAACAATGTACTGAACAAAAATATACTTCACGATGTTTTTGATTAAATTTCGAAACAGTGATATTTTTGAACCAAAATTTGTTTTCAGATCAAATCGAACTTCGAAATCATCACTGGTCGCGGTGAAATCTATCCAATCTTCACTGAAAACAATCATTCATTCATCTGCGAAGGTCTTCGTTTTAATCGAATTTTGAGTCAAGAATGGAAAGCGGGTTGGTCGAAAAGTCAACAGGAAATGTATGCATTTAATAAACATCGCGGCTCAAAAATCCCGTCGGAATGGGTAAAAAATGATTGTCATTCGAGTTTTTGGGATACGGCTATTATTAAAGAGAAACATGCGGATGAATATCGATCAAAATTGGATGGATTCTGTCAAGTTCCTGCGTGTATTTGGTCGTGGAAAAATAGTTAGTGTTTTTTTAGAAACATGGGGTTTAATTTTTGAAGTTTTTAGAGCAGTAAAAATGAAAACTCCTTTTTTTCTTCAACCCTTTTTTTACTTGAAACAGTGGTTTTTCTTTCAGTGAATGATGAATATGGTCCAAAAATCATCCTGGAATCCGAAAATGAATACAAAGGTCGCCCAACAATCTCATCAATTATGCAAATTATTGAAAAAATAGATCTGCAATGCGGGAAACACAAGAGTTTTTAAAGTTTTTTTTTGTTTTGAAACAATCTGTTATCCATTTTTTTGTAATTAATTAAAAAAATTCTATTTCTGTTAATGAAATTATTTATTCATTATCAAGTTTTTTTGGAAAAAAAAATGAAAAGTTGTTGACTTTTTGATATTTCGCAATGTTTCAAAATATTTTGAAGTGAAAAAATTGTTCAGAAAAAATGGGAGGATGGAAATTGGAAACTGGCAGGTTTTTCATGTTAATCGCTTTTCCTGTTGGAGCATTTTGGCTTTTCAATCAGCCAACTATTTTTAAGGAATTTGTGAGTTTTGTGGGGAATATTTTTCTAGAGAAAAATAGCAATTCTTTTAAAAATCTGCTTTAATTTTTTTAGATTGAGCTTTAAACGTATCAAAAAATGAGCCGGAATTTCGATAATTAATTTTCGAAACAGTGAAGTATTTTTGTTGGAAAAATCTGGTACAGTCTTAAGGCTACGAATAGAACATTTTGACTGTCTAGCGAGCGTCATATTCAAAAGTCAATTAATTTTGTTTACAGATGAAAGGCTACAAAATCCCAGATAGCAGTGCTGGCGATAAAGCAATGTCCGAATTCAAAGAGCAATTATTAGCAACAAAACGTCGTGAAGAATATGAAGCATTTTTACGCGAACAAATGGCTTTTGAAGAATCGAAAAAACTTCGAAATTAATTCTTTTTTAATCAAAGTCCCACATTTTCACTTTAATTGTTATTTTTGTTGTAAATATAGGTAGATTTTTTTCTAAATTTGCTCTTTTTCACTAGAAAAGGTTTTTTTGCCTTCTGAAATACCTTTTTGTTCTCTAATCACCTAATTAGTTAATGAAAATTTTTGTAGAATGACCAAAAAATCATCATCTGGTGGAATTGCAAATCGAAAAAATGTGCTAGCCGCCAAAAACGAGGCGAAAAGCGCGGATTTTTTGAAAAATTCGAGAATTTTGTGTGTTTGTCAAGCAAGAATTCATGAACTTGTTATGAATTGTTTGGGATGTGGAAGAATTATTTGTATGCAAGAAGGAAGTGGTCCGTGTTTGACGTGTGGAACATTGGTTTGTACCGTCGAAGAGAGAGAGGTAAATAATTATGTTTTTGATATTTGGGGGATTGTTATTATTGTAAATTTGAGAAATTTTGAAGAATTCGAATGTAAATTTGATTAGTTTTCTGAATTTTCGAGCGAATTTTTAACTGAAATTCCAACTTTCATTCAAAAATTTTTCTTTGAATGAAAAAGTCAACTATTTATTGAAAATAATAAAAATTCTATGAAACTATTAGTTTATTTTGAAACAGTCAATTTTTGAGATCACAATTGAACGACCCATTTCAATGTTTTATACAACGCCTCAAGAATTTCCAGAAATCTAAAAAATTATTATTTTTCGAAAAAGTTGATTTTTCGTGACAAAATTTTCAAGCTTAAAAGCTATTACAAAACATTTTTTGAAACAGTAAATTTTATTCTAAAATTTCCGTGCAATTGACAAATATAAAATAAATATTTTATACTAGATAAAACATTTCGGAATTTCAAAAAACTTAGGTAGTCTCATGATACTCATTCAAAAACAAACATATGTTTTTGTAATTCGAATTTCAAATTCATGGACCACATTCAATTTATCAGACACTGGGAATTGTTAGAAAATAATATTAATTTTTTGAAACTGTGAATTTTTCACTTGAAAACTTCTATGAGATTTTTCTAGACTTCAAAACATTCTCGAAATCCATTTCTTATTCTATTTCTGAAACAGTGAAAAATGATTATTTTTAGCTCATCAATCTTGGCACAAAACGAGGTCGTGAATTATTGGAAAATTTGCAATCCCGCGGAGGAGCAGCGAGTTCGAATAACTTGGAAGATCAGAATAAATCATATCAGGATGCAACTGAATTTAGAGACCGATTATTGAGAGCCGATGCAGACACGTAAGGATTTTCGAAAATTTGAATTTCAAAACCTTGAAGAACTCAATTTTTCCAGCCAACATCGAACACGTGTCAATGATTTACAAAGTGATTATTCGAACGCGGAAAATAGCCCATTTTTGAGTTTGGAAGATCGTGAAGCATTGAAAAAAAGACGAGAGGAATTGAGAGAACTTCGAGAAAAAGAAAGAAAACGATTTGTTGTATCGATTGATTTGAATGGAGGAATTGTTGAACAAAAAAATGCGGAAATATCGACTATTAATGATGATCCAATTATTAATAGGATTATTGAAAAGTTTGTGATATTTTTGAGAGAGATGAGGGGGAATCTATAATCAATATTTGATAGACTTTTGAAGTTTTGGAAAACATTGATTCCTCTGTGATGTTAATGTTCTGAAACAGTGGATTTTAGAATATTTTATCAATTAATTTAGATATGCAAATTCTGAGGTTCTGAATATTTCGATAAACGATATTCGTGAATCAATTTTTATTTTCAGAAAGATTTTATCAATAAAATTATATGTGAAAATTCTGAAACAGTAATTTTTATATACCAAATTCAAAACAATAATATTCTAAGTAATTGGATTTTTTTTAATGAAACAGGAATATTTCACAGAAAGGACGACCCAACAACGGCTGTTTTCCGTGTTTTTTTTTAAATAAAAATTTGAAACGTAAAACATGGGGAAATTTTTCAGAAGAAAAATTAAGAAAATCGACCAGTGAACGGCTAGTCGAAAAAAAACAGAACATTATCTTTTTGGTACCACCTGTTGCTTGAGATTATTATTTTCTTGAGGAATTTGAATTTTTTAATAATTTGAAACAGTAGATATTTATTGAGAATGTATCAATAAATATTTTTCCAGTTTTTCATCCTAAAAATCGTATTTTTTCAGAGCCGATGATCGTCGACGTGCTCAAGAAACAGCATTTGCAAATTCAAATAATGCAAGTTGGAGTCCAATTGGATTTGTGCCAAAATACATTTCCGAAAATTCTTGCTCAAATTTCGAGCCAAAATCTGATGGAGATGTAATTGATGTGGAAAGTTTGATGATTGTTAGCGATGAAATTGCAGCACAAATGACTGAACAAAAAGGATTTACTATTGCATTACAACAACCAATTGCTACTTTTATTGTTAATGGTGTTATTAAGTGAGGTTTTGGGTGAAACTTTGATAGTCTTTTATCGAGGTAATCACAAAATCTAGCATAACAATGATTTTCAGATTTGTTCGATGGAAAGAGGATTTAATGTTGAAGGGACCTTTATTCATTGTTTCGAAAACTGGATCAGTTGATGAAAAACAAATTGTGGAATTCTCGAAAATGTTTGTTAGAGGTAGGACATTTTATTTGAGAAAATTTTGACTGAAATTTTTTGAGAAGTTCCGAAAACCTTGAAAAATATTGGAAGGGACTAGTTTTGTGAAAAAAAAGTGGAAATTCTAGTCCCCGGTGACAAATTTGAATTTTCACAAAAAATACTTTTTTTAAAGCTTTTGGGGTTTTTTCGTTCAAAATTCTGGAGCAGAAGTTTGGTTTTTTTAAATTTTCAGCGTTAATTTTGAGATTGTAAATTTCTCCGCCAAAATCTAGATATGAAAACGAATCCCATATTTTCCAGACACCTCCCGAAAAGTGAATACATTCGATTTTGCCGATGGCGCAGTTCTCGGTCGTGCCTATCTCGAAGACTGTCTTCACATCTCCGATTTTCTTGAAAAATATGGTTCGAATTCAAAAATCCCTGGCGAAGGCGATTATCTTCTAAAATTCACAGTTGTCGAACCATTGCTCAAATCAATTCCACATATTCATTCTACAGAGAATTCGGGAGATATTTATGAAATGGATAGACAATTGAAGAAATCATTGGCAAGGTGGTGAATATGAAAATTTATTAGATTTTTTTATATTAGAAATTGATGAGTTTTAGATATTTATTGGGAGATAAAAATTGATAAAAACGTATTTTATCACAATCTTCGATCCGATTCTATTTCCAAACAATCAAATATTTATTAACAAAAAAAAGTTTTTAAAAAATATGTGGCCCTAAAGAGGGCCGTTGGGTTCGGTTTGCTTTGTCGATCAAAATTCGAAGAATAAAATTATCCTCCAAATCCGTAGAGAGTGCGGCCTTGTCTCTTCAAAGCATAGACAACATCCATAGCAGTGACAGTCTTTCTCTTGGCATGTTCACAATAAGTGACAGCATCTCGGATAACATTCTCAAGGAACACTTTGAGAACTCCACGAGTTTCTTCGTAGATCAATCCAGAGATACGTTTGACTCCTCCTCTGCGAGCCAATCTTCTGATGGCTGGCTTGGTGATTCCTTGGATGTTGTCACGAAGCACTTTACGATGGCGTTTGGCTCCTCCTTTGCCGAGTCCTTTTCCTCCCTTTCCACGTCCAGACATGATTTGATACGAGTTTTTGTTTGGTGCAAAAATGCAATGAGAAATGCAAGAATTTGGCAGGGTATATATAGTCTGTGGGCGGAGTTTATTTGAACCACCACGCGGGGACACTTTGGCAACGAGCCAAAGTATTGGTAAGGTGTATAAGATGGAAGATAAGACAAGTGTCTAACCACTTTGCGGGGACACCTAAAAATTGGCAGGATTCCAAAATTGTCTAGGCTTTTCAGTCACAGTTTTCGTACATTTTGGTACAATTCCAATGGAAAATCTTATACAATAAGAAATACTTGGAAATGAATCACTGTATCAGAAAATGTCTACCTTTTCTAAAAACTCTTGATAACCCTTGGAACATGAGACTTCAAGAGGCTTTTACTATACTAAGAATCTTTTAAGACAGGGCTCCTTGCTAGAGTAATGAGTAGACATCTCGATTCGGATCATAGACAAATAGGTGTTGTAGGCTTGACTACTTGTAAACTAGGCTCTCTAGGCAGTGATCCTTGGCAATTGAAATTTCTAGAAGTGATTGCTTGACAACTAGAATTTCTAGGTTCGGCCACTTGATAAATAATATCTCAGTGTGCAACTTTCATGATTTTTGAAGTTTAGAATTAAAAAAGAGTTCCTAAAAACAAAGAAAAAACGAATTTGAAAGGTTCTTGAACATCTTGTTTCAAAATCTGATAATTTTCTAGGAAAGTAATGTTTCAAAAATTCCTCTCAAATCAGTTTCTAACAATAAGTATCTGATATTCAAATCCAGAACCTGTGAAATCAATTAAAAAAAAACAATAAAAAATGTATTTTATTTAACATAAGTGTAACAATATTTGTCAAAATGTGGCCCTAAAGAGGGCCTTTGGGTTCGGTTTTGTGTGTTCAAACATCGTCAAAAATCAAAAAGCAATTGATTTATGCGCGTTCTCCACGAATGCGTCGAGCAAGTTGAATGTCTTTTGGCATAATTGTGACTCGCTTGGCATGAATTGCGCACAAGTTGGTGTCTTCGAAAAGACCAACCAAATACGCTTCAGCTGCTTCTTGAAGAGCCATAACAGCCGACGATTGGAATCTCAAGTCGGTTTTGAAGTCTTGAGCGATTTCTCTGACCAATCTTTGGAATGGCAATTTGCGGAGCAACAATTCAGTCGATTTTTGGTAACGACGAATTTCACGAAGAGCAACAGTTCCTGGACGGTATCTGTGTGGTTTTTTGACTCCTCCGGTTGCTGGAGCCGATTTACGGGCAGCTTTGGTGGCCAATTGCTTTCGTGGAGCCTTTCCTCCGGTTGATTTACGGGCGGTTTGCTTGGTACGAGCCATTTTAAGTTAGACGAACTAGTTCGATGAAGAAAATGAAAGAATTGGGGGGTTTATATACGGGAGTGTGAGGAGACAAGGAGTGGGCGGAGCATAGAAAACAGTGTTGCAAAAGGGAGAAGGGTAGAGAAAAGACGCTTGGCAAGATTCCAACAGCAGCTGTTGATCAAACTATTTGGTGGGAAAAGTTGAATGGAACGGTCATAATTGTGGTGGACATGGATTTTTTAAACAGAAATCATATAAAATGACAGATGATTTACAAGATACGTAAACAGCTATTTCGGTTGAATAAGACGACAGTACTGCAAGGTTACTAGATTATTTCAAGATAAATCTAACCAAATCTGATAGCTCCTTAAAGCTCTTGATTTATTTTATAAAAAATATTTACAGTGCTTCAAAGTTGATGTAGATAGATCTTATCTGATATATGAAAAGAAAAAGTCAATTTTCTGAAATCATCAAAAAATCTACATTTCGAGAGTATGATTAGAACTACAAGGGTTACTGTTGAGTAATTACAAAAACAACAATTGCCACGATGTTACAGTGATGAAATAGTGTGTGGGAGACACACAGAGTGGCGAGACCAGCGACTGTCTGCGTCTCCTCGAAATTGCATTTTTCTATTAGAAAAAAACACAGTGCATTTTTTCTTGTTGAGCTTGATGTGAAATTCATGTATAAAAAAGTGACGTTTCTAAGTTTATAGTCTTAGTCTTTCAGATTTTGCAACGCAGTATCTGAAATCATTGAAAGCTTTACTATAAAAATAAAAAAAAAACAAAAATAATTTATTCACAACCAATAATACTTATTCAAAATGTGGCCCTAAAGAGGGCCGTTGGGTTCGGTTTGGACAAATGCTCAAAGTTTTCTCCAAATTTACTTGGATGAAGTGTATTTGGTAACAGCTTTGGTTCCTTCAGAAACAGCGTGTTTGGCCAATTCTCCAGGAAGAATCAAACGAACAGCGGTTTGAATTTCGCGAGATGAAATGGTCGATCGCTTGTTGTAATGAGCCAATTTCGATGCTTCGGCGGCGATTCTTTCGAAAACATCGTTGACAAACGAGTTCATAATTGACATAGCTTTTGATGAAACTCCAGTGTCTGGGTGAACTTGCTTGAGAACACGGTAGATGTAGACAGAGTAGGATTCCTTTCTCTTGGCGTGTCTTTTCTTTTCACCCTTTGGCTTTTGGGTTTTGGCGGCTTTCTTGGCTCCTTTGGCTGATGGCTTTGGTGGCATGTTGATTTGTTTTTGAACTTGAAACAAGTATGAAATTATGAATGAGATCTGTTTTCTTATATATAACTAGCGGAATGGGCGGAGCATATTATATAGTCTAACTCAACACCTAAAGAAGCGTTGGTGTCCCCGCAAGGTGGTAGCTCCGCCCATTCCGCGCGTTGCTATATTAATAGGAGGCTGTGTTAGTTTCTTCATTCTGTTTTCGAACAGTCAAACAACTCGATCTCATCATGTCAGGACGTGGAAAAGGAGGCAAAGCCAAGACCGGAGGAAAGGCCAAATCTCGTTCATCGAGAGCCGGACTTCAATTCCCAGTCGGTCGTCTTCATCGTATTCTCCGTAAAGGAAACTACGCTAGACGTGTCGGAGCCGGAGCTCCAGTCTATTTGGCCGCCGTTCTCGAATATTTGGCAGCCGAAGTTTTGGAATTGGCCGGTAATGCTGCCAGAGACAACAAGAAGAGCCGTATCAACCCAAGACATTTGCAATTGGCCGTCAGAAATGACGAGGAATTGAACAAACTTTTGTCTGGAGTCACTATTGCTCAAGGAGGAGTCTTGCCAAACATTCAAGCTGTTTTATTGCCAAAGAAGACTGCTGGAGACAAGGAATAAATATCTATTTGTTCCCCAAAACCATCGAGATTCTCAAACCGAACCCAACGGCCCTCTTTAGGGCCACATTTGATCCTTTTTTTGAATTACATATTGTGAATAAAATTTTAAAGACACATAGAAAACTAGAAATTTGTGTTGGAAATCGTAAAAATTTGAACGCGCGCCTTTTTTTCAAAGTTGTGTGTTGTTCGTTTGAAAAAAGAAAAAACGAATAAAAAGTGGTGGTACGGTATGCTAAGAATGCACACATGTGCGGCAAATCACGAACATTTGTGCAAACACCAAAATTCGCGTCGGCTGAGCGATTTCAAAAAAGGAAATTTCTTTTTTTGACTTTCGCTAAACTCAATATTTTGCAATGTTGTTTATGTACTTCCACTGTTTGAAGGATGATAAAAAACATGCAAATAATGCTTTTCAAACGATTTCTAGTTTTCTACGTGTCTTTAAATAAAAAATTGATATTTGTTTGGAAAAGGATAGTCTGCAAATAGTCCCTTGAGGTTTTTTGAAAAAAAACGACCCGATTTTTTTGGAAAAACTCGGGCCGTTTTTTTTGGAAAAACTCGGGTCGATTTTTTGGAAAAACTCGGGTCGATTTTTTTGGAAAAAACTCGGGTCGATTTTTTTGGAAAAAACTCGGGTCGATTTTTTTTTGGAAAAACTCGGGTCGATTTTTTTGGAAAAACTCGGGTCGATTTTTTTTTGGAAAAACTCGGGTCGATTTTTTTCGAAAAAACACGACCCGATTTTTTTGAAAAAACTCGGGCCGATTTTTTTGGAAAAACTCGGGCCGATTTTTTTGGAAAAACTCGGGCCGATTTTTTTTGAAAAAACACGACCCGATTTTTTTGGAAAAACTCGGGTCGATTTTTTTTTTTGGAAAAACTCGGGCCGATTTTTTTTTTGAAAAAACATGACCCGATTTTTTTGAAAAAACTCGGGCCGATTTTTTTTTTGAAAAAACACGACCCGATTTTTTTGGAAAAACTCGGGTCGATTTTTTTTGAAAAACACGACCCGATTTTTTTGGAAAAACTCGGGTCGATTTTTTTCGAAAAACTCGGGTCGATTTTTTTCGAAAAACTCGGGCCGATTTTTTTTTTGAAAAAACACGACCCGATTTTTTTGGAAAAACTCGGGTCGATTTTTTTTTGAAAAAACATGACCCGATTTTTTTGAAAAAACTCGGGCCGATTTTTTTTTTGAAAAAACACGACCCGATTTTTTTGGAAAAACTCGGGCCGATTTTTTGAAAAAACATGACCCGATTTTTTTGAAAAAACTCGGGCCGATTTTTTTTGAAAAAACACGACCCGATTTTTTTGGAAAAACTCGGGTCGATTTTTTGAAAAAACATGACCCGATTTTTTTGAAAAAACTCGGGCCGATTTTTTTTTTGAAAAAACACGACCCGATTTTTGGAAAAACTCGGGCCGATTTTTTTTTTGAAAAAACATGACCCGATTTTTTTGAAAAAACTCGGGCCGATTTTTTTTTTGAAAAAACACGACCCGATTTTTTTGGAAAAACTCGGGTCGATTTTTTTTTGAAAAAACACGACCCGATTTTTTTGGAAAAACTCGGGTCGATTTTTTTCGAAAAACTCGGGTCGATTTTTTTCGAAAAACTCGGGCCGATTTTTTTTTTGAAAAAACACGACCCGATTTTTTTGGAAAAACTCGGGTCGATTTTTTTTGAAAAAACACGACCCGATTTTTTTGGAAAAACTCGGGTCGATTTTTTCGGAAAAACTCGGGTCGATTTTTTCGAAAAACTCGGGCCGATTTTTTTTTTGAAAAAACACGACCCGATTTTTTTGGAAAAACTCGGGTCGATTTTTTCGAAAAACTCGGGTCGAGTTTTTTCGAAAAACTCGGGCCGATTTTTTTTTTTGAAAAAACACGACCCGATTTTTTTGGAAAAACTCGGGTCGATTTTTTTCGAAAAACTCGGGTCGATTTTTTTTCGAAAAACTCGGGTCGATTTTTTTGAAAAAACTCGGGTCGATTTTTTTTTTTTTGAAAAAACTCGGGCCGATTTTTTTGGAAAAACTCGGGCCGATTTTTTGGGAAAAACTGGGGCCGATTTTTTTCGAAAAACTCGGGCCGCAAAACGACAAGTCTAGTAGTAAAACAACAGGTCTCTAGTATGAAGATCTTCTCTAGAATTAATAATTTCTGCAGAAATTATTCATGAGTCTAAAAAATGGAATTTATTTCTATCTTTCACCGTATTATTTAATTCTAGAGATTGGTGATAAATTTGCTTAGTTGATCGAGGTCTTCAAAGTTGTTTTTCTTTACAAATCATTTTTCAAAAACTGATTTATTCACAAACATAAAATGGTCAAGTCAACATTAGAATAAAGGACTATAAAGTATGAAATTATAAGATGTTTTTTTTAAATACATGTCCATTATATAATCAGATGAAATATTGCAACATGCCAAAAGATAGAAGAAGAAAAAGAGGAAGAAGTGTCTTTGGAAGACGAATAGAGGAAAAAATAAAAATACAAATATTCGAGTTAAAGTTCATTTCCGCAGGGCACCGTCCGTGATTTGGGCCTTTAAGATGTTATTTGAAAGAGGTTTATTTGAGGAGGTAGTTTGGAACTTAAAACCCTGCGGAAGAGACGCTTTTTTGAGAGAAAACAGAAAGAAATTAGAAGAAGTAACTACAAAGGAAAGAAGAAAAAGAAAAAAGCCCAATGTTTTTAGGCGAGAAGAAGTTTTTGATCCACAAGTTGTGAGTCCGATGAATCATCGTGAATTTGTTGTCTTGAAGTTGGTGGGAAAAAATGGCGAATACACCATTGAATCAAATATGCCAAGCCGATGTAAGCACCAGTTAGAAGACAAAGAATGATAAGATATTCGATAAGTTTGACGGGGAAAATTGAGGCAATGAAGAGATGAGAACACAATGGCAGTTGATCACGTGGAGAGATTGAACAACTTAATTGATTAATTAAATCATTAAGTGAAACAAGTCGATCGGCACTTTTTAATGCGTGTTGAGTTGTTTGATGGATAATTACAGCAGATGAAACACGGGCGAATAATAAGCAACCAATGAAGGCGAATGAGATAAGATCGAAAATTCGAATCTGAAAAATTAAATGAGTTAGACAGAAATAGTGGGGTAAATCTTACCAAAATCATTGTTGGTTTATTGACCAATGTGTGATTGCCGTTTGTAGAAATCATAAGAATTGAAGCAGTGGTTGCAAGTGAAGCACACATTGATCCAACTGTCATCCAAAGATTTTTCTTATAATCAATAAATGCATTCATTGTGTATCGGATTGTTTGAATATCAGCTGCATTTTGTCCGTTGTTCACTTCCGAAATCTCAACCTGGAATAAAAAGAGACTGTAAAATTCCAATAAATTTTTAAAAATAAACATACCAAAGTGTTCATCTCATCAAAAGCTGCAAATTTTTCGATATAATCATTCATGTAAACCAAATGGACAACGGCCAAAATGCACAAGACAATCAATTTCACATATTGACTCGTTTTGGACTGAAAAAAAGACAGAAGTTAGGGAAAATGTTTCCAGGAAACAACCAAATAAAACTATATTTATGAAAGTGAAATGGAGAAGAAGAAACAAATGAAAATAGAGGAGTTTGGGAACAAAATGTGAAGAGACCCAGACACCGAAAAAAAAAACAACTGGACGATGGCAGCGAAAGAAGCGGCAGAAACGAATGAAACCGACAGGAAAAAAATGGAGAGACTGATTGATTTTGCTGCTGACGGCCAGCAGCAACAAACCTATGCACTTTAAATAGAAATATATATGATATTGATACTACTACTATGCACTTTTAGAAAAAATTGAGCACATATAATTAAACTAGATGAAGCTGAGATGAGATGAGATTTAAAAAAATCAGAAATTTAGGAAATTAGACAAGACTGAGGAGACTTAGAGAAAAATAGATTACAAGTACATTTCGAAAATCCCTAATTTTAGGTGTGCCAGATTATGGTTTCTGGTAGATCAAAAATATTTATCTCTAAATCTCTTACTATTGCATTGAGTGTCGTCAGTTTATTCCTACCCTAATGATTAAAAAAAATTGAATTTTGAAAACAACTCACATCAAAAAAGCTGGCAATGAATCCATTCGACGTGTGTCTTCGAGATGATAGACTATCATCGGAATATGTTCGAGAAGAAGTTGCAGAAATCCAAAGTTGTTGTTCGTTTTTGTTCATTTTTTCATTCGTTGTCGTGAAAGGATTAAATGTTGGCATCTGCAAAAAAAAAAGTTGAATTTTTGCTTGAAAAATAGGATGAGAAAAGAGTTACGAAATAAAATCAGCTGATTATTTGTTTTGTATTTCAAAGCAAAGCAAAACCTAGAGTGAGTGAGGAAAAATCATGTGAGAAATTCTGGTGGTGAAAACAACATGTGTTAGGAAACTGTACTTTTGGTTCATAAGAAAGTCATGTGAAACGAACGAGAAAAGATTGTTTATAACCACACATAAAATAGGTCCCCGAGTCAGTTTTTAAAGTTAGGGTCCCTCCTTGAAAATTTTCCAAAGTTAAACACCTGCCTCACATTTTTGAGCGAATTTTGGTAAATTATCAGCAGAAAATTGGCCAAGTTAGGCACCCTTCTCTTCAGATTTTTGAAAAAGTTAAGCCCCTCACCCCGATTCAGGGGACCCATTTCATGTATGTTTATAACATGAGTCATCTTTTCCAGTAAACTCCTTTTACTCAACGTAAGAGATTTAGAGAAAACACTTTTAATCTACTGTAAAGACCTAGTGATTAAGGATGGTAAGGTATTTTTGACAAGGATCAGCATTTGAATAGTCTAGTTCTGACGGCTGAAAGAACTAACTGTCTAGGATATGCATCGAGACTCCAAATCTAACAAGAAGCCGAGCCTTGACAGCTTCGATTTCAAGTATCCAGACCTAGAAAACCTAGTTGTTAAGCAAAGACGTGCCTCAAAATCAATCTGTGACCTAACAATAATTGAAAACAAGCAAGAAAAAGAGAACATTTGTACATATTAACACAAAAAAGTCTCGGAGAGAAAAAAACGAGAAAATAAATAGATCGTCTTACTCAACTAACTACCATTTGTTGGCTCATTTTGTTTATGTGCAAAAAAGTGGGCGGAGTTTCGATAAACGATAAAATAGTGTACAGAGAGCAAAGGAGAAATAGACAACAAAGAACTGTCATTGGAATTTTGCCAGGTGCTATTGTTTATGGCGGGAAAAATGTGTGGATTACTGTAGGTGTCATAGGTTTGTTTGATGCTGATCTAAGTGGACACAAAAGTTTTTGGAACTCAAACTCAGGGTTGAGTTCAACAGTTTTTGACCACGGGATCGTGATCGACATCTACTAGAAAACATAGATTTTAGAAAAAATATGGAAATCACGCTGACACCTGTGAGTTTCAAATCAAAAAAATGCGAGAAACTTTCTGGTAAATGAATAAGGTAGATTAAATAAATACAAATTTGTAAGTGAAGCTTAAAATTCAAATCTTATTCAGCTCAAAAATTTAATATTTGTGAAATAAGAAACTTTTTTGTCACTATATTCCAAATGAAAAAAATCCACTTTTTCAAAAAATTTCAACAACTTTTCAAAAAGTCACACATTTTCTCACGAAACAAAAAAATCCAAAAAAAAAACCGGGGGAAATGTTCCATTTTTTGCTGCTTTCTCTTGTTCTCTGACCCATTAGAGAGTATGTTGAAATCGAGAGACACCAAAGAAAATGTAGTACAAGGCAGCACCGGCAAAATAAATAAGAGATAATGGGAGAAGAAGAGACGCAGACGTGTGGTCAGCAAAAAAATATGAAGATGAAGAACACGAGAAGAAAGTGAAGATTGTGGTTGCAAAAAAAAACAAAGCAACAAAACTTGATGGAAATGGTTTTGAATGAAAAAAAATGAATAAAGGAAGAGGAAAAATGAGTTTTAGATTTAATTTTCAGAATTTCAGAATTCAGATATTTGTTTACGAATAATTCAACACCTCGGCTCGTCGTTTTCAATCGTGAAAATTGCAAACTAAATTTTAAATTCTGAATTGGAATACCGAAATTCTGACTCCGGGACTCTCCCGGTTTCGAAAACAAATAAAATTCAATTCAACAAGTTCATATTTTCATAAATCACTTTATTCCACTATTTTACCAGTTTTTCAATTGTCTGAACTACAGTACTCATATTGCATCGATTCTCCGGATCTGGCACAAATATTTTATCACTGACAAGTTTTCGCAATTCATTTGGCGCTTTCTCATTCAATTTCAAAAATTGTTGTTTTTTCGTCAAATCTCGAATTGTTTGTGCATTTTTTCCATCATGCGGTTGTTGTCCATTTTCATAAATCTCCCAAATAACCATACCAAATGAAAAAACATCGGATTTCGATGTGAAGATATAATTCTCAAGTGTTTCTGGAGCAAGATAACGAACTGGTGTTTTGCATTGTTCTTTCATTTCATATCGATCTGTCACTTTTGCCAAACCAAAATCCGAAATTTTTGGAATCTTTTCTTCGGTGAGTAGAACATTTCTGGTTGCCAGATCGCGATGAATCAATCTTTGAGAATGCAAATATTCGACACCTTTTGCTGATCCGAGACAAAATTGAATTCTTTCTGCGTCAGTTGTTGTTTTCGAATTTTCTCGAAGATATTCACGAAGTGCACCGTATTCACAAATTTCAGACATTAGATAAAGTGGTTGACGAATAACAGCCATTCCATATGAACGAAGAACATTCTGCAAATTATTGAATGCATTTTGAAAACGATTATTTCGCCTTCCATCAAAGCTTTTAGTGAAAAATATTTCACCTCCTATTATAACCTACCTTATGATCCAAATATCGCATAACTCTTCCTTCATGAAGTAATTCAACAACTTGTTCTCTTGAAATACAATCCGAATTCTTCAACATCTTCACCGCCACATTCATCGTTTTCTCAGAATTTTTCAATTTGATTTTTCCAACACGAACCTCTCCAAATGCTCCTTCTCCCAATTTCTTATCCGAGATCCCAATATCTTTCTGTTTATATTCCCAATTGCTTAATTCAATCGGCTTCAAAAGTTGGAATTCATACTGAAAAAATAAAGCGTTATATAAAATTTAATAAGTTTTTTGAAGAAAAAAAAACAAACAGACCCCTTTATTGATTCCAGTGTTTTTGGAATAAAAATCGAGAAGATCTTTGATATCTTTGAATGGTTTTTGTGGATCAATGTAGATGAGACCATCAATAGTTCGGCGGATCATAACGTTTAGAATCACTGATTTTTTCTTTGATTTCGGATCTTTGAGTTCTGAAAAAAACAGTTTGCTTATTGGGAGCAGAGTGTCACCACACACTGTGGTCCATATTTCAAACTCACTTCCATAAACTGCAATCACAAAATCTTGCGTCGATAAAAGAATATCTTGTTTCATACTTTTATCAGTTGCACGTGAACTACTTGGTGTCCTCTTTTTCTTATCTGTTCCTCTCACATTACTCTTTTTAGTTCTAATACTTGTAGGTGATACGTGGCATGTTATTCGAATCAAATAATCTCCAAATTTCTTCAATAATGATTGAACATCTTCTCGGCAAATATAACCATGAAAACAATTAAGAGAACTAACTAATTCGTCGATAATTTTAAAATCATCTCGAAGAGTTTTTCCCGGATCCAAACCAATCGAAGAAGCTTGCGATCTTTCTCGAATATCTTCTAATCGATCACTGATTCCAATTAATTTTGATCTCTGACTTTGATCTTTCACTAGTGTTTTTTCTTGTTTTGTTCCTCCACCAATTGATGGTCGTTTCCCAAGATTTAATTTCTTTTTTGCTCCAGTATTTCTTTTACTTTCTTCATCTTCAACTGTTGTTGCAACTGTTAATTCTTTTGTTTTCACCTCAATTTCCTTCTTGACCATTTTTGATTATTTTGAATAGTTTTGATGAATTTTTAGTATTTTGCAAAAATATGAAAATGGCGCGATTTGAGATCGAAGAAAAATTGGGCTGTCCAATCCACGTAGAGAAAAAATGGGACACGTAAAAATGGGTTAATATTTAATTTTTTTTCAAATTTTTTAATTACTGTCGGGTTTTGTGTTGCTTTTTGTCAGTGTTTGCACATAAAAAATCGAAAAAATTTGAAAAAAATAAGATGTTGGCCTATAGGCCGGAACATTTTCTAGACCACCCCTATTTTTTTGAAACTAGATTTCAATTTTCTTAGCCTATAAATTGGATTAATTTTAGAACATATTTGCTTCATCTAAAACCTGAACCCCTTCAACTTTTCCTTCACTCCTTCAACTTCACAATTCACATCTCCTTTTTTGCTCGCATACTTCTCGTCGCATTTGTCTCAATTCTTTCCGCCAAATAACTTTTCAAACCGTTTTTAAATTCTCCAAATTCGCGTCGACCAAAAGTCTCAGATGATGATAGGCTTGACTTTTTGCAATTTTAGCCGCAGTTCCAGAACATTTTCGTTTTCCTGGCAAAAGTACCATATCACCTTTCGAATTTGGTTCGATTTTCAGCACCAATGGTTCTGATGTCTTCCTCCAGCCAAAGATTCTGATGCCTTCCTACTTAATTCGACCATAATAACAATAATTCTCCACTCTTTTCAACGTTGTGAGTCTAAAAACCACATTTTTCAATTTTCTTTTAAAAATATACTCACCCCAAATAGGTATTCCTCAAACGCCAAATTCTCGAAAATATTCTTTGAGGTCGATTTTATCACTGTCGTCAATTTTCCTCTAGCTAAACTACACATTTGCCCCGTTCAAAACGTTTTTGTGTGAAAAAAAAATGCGAAAAATCTCAGAGAAGTTGGACGATTAATCGCCTAGTAACTTGAATTAGCTGCTGGCTGACCGATTAATCGCCTGTGTTAATTTAGTTCAGGCGATTAATCGTAAGTTCACTTTACTCGGCGATTAATCGTACAACTTGTCTGAGATAAAAGTAAAAAAATTGTGTGCAAACACGGCGACGTGCAAATGCACACAACATTTTTGAAATTTTTATTTTTCCTGGAGAAGAATAGTATTCTCTGTCCGAAAAGTGAAGCTTGCGAGATTCTCAGGGTTCCCCGGGGTTATAGTTCGTTTGGGAATATCAGGGTTCCTGCTAAAAAACCCCAGGTTCCCGTTATGGGCTGATTCAAGCCGAGAACGAAAAGGTTTTTTTACAAAAAAATTTAGATTCAGCAGATGTCAAAAAACTATATTTTTTTCCTATTTTTTGAAATTTTTTTCATTGAAACATTTTCTCTGCGAGATATTTCTCATTTTTGTGTGGAAATAAATAAGTAGAGTTTTTTGACATTGGCTGAATCGAAAATTTTTGTTAAAAAACCCTTGTTAGTTTTTTTTTTTTCGACCTGAATCACCACATTTCCCGGAAGGTACTGTAGGGTTTGCGCATGGTTTACCTTCAAATAAACTTTTTTTTCATTTTTTCTCAACAGTTTTATTTATTTATTTATTCATTTGTGTTCTCTTTTTTTGTGCCAGTTAGCTATGCGTTCTTCTTTCGCTTAACGTAGTAAAAATAAACAAAAAAAACTGTTCAAAAACTTCATTTTCGAACAAATAAAAAAATTCGTTTTTGCTCAAGAACCAACGCGTTTCGGAGTCGCTTTGAGGGGTTTTGGCGATGGATCACAGGGAATCACAATTTCTGGTTGAGCAATTGCTTCGAGTTTGATAGCTGCTGAAATATTCGGAATTGTAGAATTGAAAATTGGATTTTTTGGTTCCAGGACCTTCAATATCCAATTTTTGTGAAATTTTTGGGTGGAAACTTGATTTTCAAGAGATATCCTAAATTTTCAAAGCTAAACTTACGTGGTTGCATAACACTTGAGCTATTATTGACAATTTTGACAATACACGGTGCAATATTACATGGTTTTTTGAAAAATTCTCGATTTTTCTTCATAATTTCAATAACATCAGCAGGAAGAAGAACATCATATTGTTTATTTGCCTTGGTTAGACTAAGACGAGATGTTGGTGAATTTGTGGGAGGTGGTGCAACAAGACTTTTTGATTGTACTTTGTATAAAGGATCACATGCAGTTGTTTTAGCACCAGTTGGTGGATCAGGTGAAGGTCCAAGTGGAAGTGTTGTTGTTGAGCGTTCCAATGTGAGTCGCACTGTTTTAGTACTATTCACACTTGCATAAAGAAGTTTTCTCGCCGCATCTCGACTCAAAACATAAACATCATTTACTTTCACCAAAATATCACCATTATGAACGAATTTGCAAGCAGCTGATGAACTTGAAACCATTGACATTGTAACTGTTCTTGGATCAGATGACATTCTATGAATAATCATTCCAGTTGCAGCACCTCCTCGATATGTCAATGTTAATTCAACCATTTGAGTATTTGGGCGTCGCGGTGGAAGAACTGTTTCGGTAACTAGACAATGATCATCTCGCATAAATTCGATTGATACTTTTCCGGGAACTTTTGCTGAGATTTTCTGGTTGAAATCAGCGGTTGTTTTGATGTTTGTTTCGCCGTTGATTGATAATATTTCATCGCCAGCGAAAATATAACCCATTAATTCGCTGCTCACATCGACATGAGTCACTTTTCCGTTTACAACATCGCATGCAATCACAACATTTTTTCTGCCAAATACAATTTCTTCTTTTCCTTTCACATGAAAAATGTTTGCCATCTGCAAAAAAAGTAGGTAGTACAACTAGAAAAATTCGAAATAATTTTATTGTCAATGACAGCTGATCTTTGACAATTGAACTAGACGCGGCTGCTTGAGAACTCTTATAGGATTCTAGGTTCGAATACGGCGCAGCTATTTGTGAAACAATTATTCGGAGCTGGCCTTTATTTCTGACTCACCTTTTATATCAAAATCGGCAAAATGCTAAAATATTGTATTTCTTCTGTAAATATAGAAATCTGAAGATTTGTGACTGACGTCTCGCTTATAAAAGATTTTTTTTGCGAAAAAAAACAAACAAAAAAAAATTGGGTCACGTTTATTAATTATTAAAATTATTATTTTTTTTTTAATGGAATGGTACAATCCAATCAGCCGATTCTTCTCCACGAGTTTTTTGTTCATCCGACGAGTTTTCTTTTCCTCTGATGAATTTTGAGAGTCGTGAACGGACTGTGTTCAAATCTTTGGAATTGATTTGAGATTCTCTGAAAAAATTGGAGTTAACAGCTTCAGCAGCGGTTCTAGTTTCAGAAAAATTATAAAAAAGTTTCAGCTTCAGACTTTCAGAATTGCAAAAATTTCCTTTTGACGTCACGCTTTTTATGTTCAAATTTTTCGACTGCATTACTCATATTAGGGATCGTAATCAGCGATAAAATCATAATATCTAAATCTCTAGTGAAAGTGAGAATAAAAAAGAAACGAACCTTTCATCAATATCATTTTCTTGATCAATTTCTTGTCTTTTTCTATCATTTATTGTATCCGGTTCAATTTCTTCTTCTGGTTTCATTGTTGTTGTTGTTGATGTTATACCTAATAATCTTTGGAAAGAAGGTGGCATTGTTAATGGTGGAAGTGTTGGCAAACCAGGAATTGGTGTAATTGTTGGGAAAGTATGAGGAGCTAAAGTATGCAATTCATGTGGTGGTAATGTTGGCAAATCTTCGAATCGTGGAAATACTGGAACTGGAATTGGGATAAATTGAACTGGTTGGATTGGGGCTCGTTGAATATGGCCAGCTGGTTTTGGAATGATTTGTTGATGATTTGAGCGAGGGATTTGGGAAGATACAGGAGCACGGCGAACACCAGTTGATATTGGGCGAAGAGATTTTGCAAGTGGAGCAAAGTTTGACATTGAAGGAAGAGGAGCTCTGAAATTTTTTTTTGAATCTACTATATACTAATTGGGAAAATTTTTTTGGCAATAGTATGTCCGGGACCCGTTCTCAAAACTGTGCGCATAAAAATTGATGATCAAAAAAAGAAAAAGTTTCTAAATGTTGGCAGCTCGGTGCGCTTCCTATTCATTCTTTCTCAAAATGTCTGTGAGTGTGCGGAGAATGAAAAGTTTGAAAATCTCAATGTATTTTTCGGATTTAAAATGTGTCGCTCGACTTTTCTCAATTTCCAGAAGACCATTTTTGATGGGACTTTCACCATTCGATATCAAATTCTTTCCCATCGAGGCGCTAATATTCGATTTTTCAAAAAATGCGCGAGTTTTCACGTGAAAAAATCAAAACTTTTTTTCATGTAAAAAAGAATGATCACGTTTTTATTCCAAAAAAATTGAAGGACACGTTTCTTATCTGATCTTTCTATTCTCTGAAAAAGTCAACAATTTTTGGGCATTTCTCAATTTTTCTCTTTCCCTAACCGGAAAATTAGTCAGAAAAAGTAAGTCAAACTACTGTAGATGGCGTTAGCCAGCGAAGCCCTTCTAGTATTTTCTACTCGATTTTTGACTTGTTGATCAGAATGCTGATGTTGCTAGTTCGGATACTGTAGTTCCAAGGGTTTTCAGTTCCGAAGAACTTCTTGTAACTTGGAATTTTTTGTCAAGTTACAAGAACTTGAATAATCAATCTCACCTTCGAATTTCCTTTAATCCTGTAGCTTTTGGAACATTATCAATGCATTGAACAACACCTAAAAATTGAACTATTTTTCAATTTTGATTTTTCAAAACTTACCCAAAAATGCAAAGGCTAACAATAAAAACGAGGTCATTTCTTGATAGAAATGAAGAAAGAATGAAGCGATAAATAGAAGCTAAATATTCTTGTTTTCTTTTCGGGTTTTTGCCAAAATCCAGATCCAATCTTATCAACTTGATTGAATACAATAGACACAATCTCGATTTTTTTTGGAAATCATTGTTTGTGTTATCTTTGAACCTTTCAAGAATCAAACTGAACACTTTTTTCAAAAAAAAGAAAAAACAAAATTTTTCGAAACCTACAAAAACTGGAAAAAATGAAAGGGAGTCTTTCTGAATCGCAAAAAATATCTAAAAACATTTATTCCTAAATATCTTGCTTTATTCAATTTATCGTAAATTCTACACTTTTTGTTGTCCTTGTTTCATCAAATCTGAAAGTTTTCAGAACTTTAAAAATTTTCCAAATAATTCAAACTTTTACCAGGATTTTGTGATTTTTGAATCTTCGATTCCCGGAAATAAATCTGAAAATTTAAAAATGTTTCTTGAAAAGTTTTTTTTTTGAAAACTCACTTTCACATTTTTTCTTCATTAAATTTGAAAAGTCAATAATTTTTTTACCTACAGTACGACAATTTAGATGTCGTGAATAAAAGATTGTGAAAAATTGGGAAATTTTTGGAGCACATAGAATTGGCTTCAATTTATTTTAAAAATTAAAATGAAACTAATTTTAAATTTTAGAGGATTACTGTAGGGTGGTTACCTACCTCAAAAATTTCGGTAGAAAATCTTATCATATTTCGCCTACCTACTTAATTTTGAATGCTATCTAAAATCACACTATATTTTTCCTACTCAAAAATTTTTGTAACCCATAAAATTTCTTCAGACACATTTCCTTATTTCAATTTTTTGCCAAAAAATAATTCTTAAAATTTTCGCTCAAAATTATGATTTTTCCTCAAATTCTTCAAATTATTATTTATTTTCTATCATTTTCCTTCAACTTTTTGCTAATTTTTATGATAAAAACTCGAAAAAGTGAGATTTTCAAAAAAAAACTTGAATTTTGACATCAAAATGTTTCAAATTTCAAGCTGAATCCAAATTTTTAAGCCAAAAAATTTCAAAAATGATGATTTTTGCAGTAATTCACTCAAAAGTCTATATGGCAAATATGATTTTGGCTGAAATTTTGATAAATTTTGCCGGATTAATTCTGATTACCCTGCCATTTTTTGTGGAGGATTTTAGGGGAAAGGGTGAGTTTTTTAACGCCAAAAATTATCTTCACGTTTCTAGATTTTTTGTAGAATATTCGGAGATGTTTGTAATTCGTCTAATTCAAACAATCCAATCTTCAGCTTTTCATATGCGTTTTATAATTAGTACAGTTATGTCAATCAATCGATATTTGATTGTATTTTATGGAGTTTTTTCCACGTGGCAATTAAAATTCAATTTTAATTATCAATTAATCAAAATATTTGTGTTAATTTGGCTAATCCAATTAATTATTCTATCAATGAGAACATTTTCGAAAAATTGCACAATTTATTTCATTTCTCACATTTATTATTTTGATGACAAATGTGTTATTCCAACTTTTTATCGAAAGCTAATTTTACGTGTAAATGTAGTAATCCTATCGAATTCCCCATTTTTTGGCCTGTTTTTGAATTTTTTGGTATATAGAAAATTTTACCGTGAAAAAAATTCGCAGAAAATTCAAAAGAATTCGAAAAATTTGATCATGAACTCGCTGATTTTATCAATAATTATGAGTTTTTATACATTGGCTAAAATTGGTTTTCGATATCGCGATAATGTGAGTTTTTGGTGGCAAAACCCTATCATGGCACATGATCTTTTTTTTCAGAAAACTCCCGAAGTTTTCGAATTTTTGGTCGGATATTTGAGTGTTAATTTATTCAGTTTTATCAATTTTCTGGTGTATTTCTGTTTGAATCGCGATTTGAGAAATGCTATTTTGCGCCAAATTTTTGGGCACAAAAATAATTGCAAAATTACACATGTTGCTCAGACCAAGATTTTCACCACTCTTTAATAATTTTTTTCCCAGATAAATTTAAAAGTATTTTTGATGTCTGAATCAGTGAAACTTGATATTTCTATGATTCAAAAAAGACGCTTGGGTTTTTAATTGATAAGACGAAAAAATGAGTGATAAGAAAAGTTGGAAATTTTATGTAACGATCTATATACAAAGAGAAGTGGAAGGTGGAAAATTTTGGTGGCTCGAAAAATTGACAATTCAATAAACTTATTTTTATCGGGTTTTTGGATGACTAATAAATATGAATGATAGAAGTTCGATACTCACATATTTGAACACGTTTTCTTAAGCATTGGCCCAACTTTCGAGGTCTTCTAAATCTTTGTCAGCAGTTGCAGCGACTTTGGCTGGGCGAGATGGAACAGATGGAAGTGCAACACGTGGAGCATCAGGAAGAGATACTGGAGCAGGATTTGCATCAAGAAGTTGTTTGTCGAGTTCTTCTTGCTCCAATTCTTCCAATTCTCTCATCAAATCGTCTTCATCGATACCCGTATTGAATCCGACTGGATTTGAAATTGCTTCTGCGATTTCATTAGCAACTTCTTGTTGCTCAGCAATATCTTCCATCAAATCATGTACCTAGAAAAATTATATTTACATCCAGTTTATCTATAATATCGCAAGAAAAATACCAACCTGATCGATATCCATATTGTTGTGAGCGGTTTTCAAAGCTTTGCTTGCTTGACCCATGACATTCAAAACTTCTGCGTTAGTAGATGCATTTTCGAGAGCTTCTCTTTGGAATTCGATTGTGTTTAGAACTCCATCGATGTGGTTTAATTGCTTCTCAAACTGACGTTTTCGATTCAAAGCTTGAAGTGCGAGACGCTTGTTTTTGGTTCCATATTTCACCGCATTTGCTTTTTCCTGCAATGTTATCATTTTTTCATGTAATTTTGTGAAATCTTTGAAAACTTACATCGGTTACTTTTTTCTCCAAAAAGTCTTGTTTCTTCATCAGCATCTCTTCTGTTTCCCGCAGCTTTTGAATAGCATCTTGTGGATTTGTTGGTGGTTCTTGTTTTTTGCCACCGAAAATTTTACCGAACAAACTCATCTTGTGCTGAAAAATGTAATGTATGAATTAAGTGCTTTGTAAAACATTTTGAAACGGCGAAGGGTTTTTAATGCCAATGATATATATGTTGCGAAATCGATGAGTCATAACAGTGGGATAAATTTCAAAATATTAACAAAAAAAACTAAATTTTTAGACAAAAACTGGAAAGAATTGGGAAATTGAGAACAAAATCTCGAAAATACAGGTATAAAAATAAAGAAAATGAAAATTATAGCCACACCCGTTCAAACAATGAAAAAATTAGAAATTTCTTTTATTCACACTGCGCCACAATTTGCAAAGGAATTAGCTAACTAAGTGGCAAAACTAAATATACCATTAGAATCAGCGCATCGAGATCTGTGTGAGACTACGCATTTCGAAATTTTTAGGGTCCTGCGAAGAAAGTTAGCAATCGCGACAAGACCCAACGCATGAAATTTATCATGTTCCTTTAATACTGTAGTGCGAAATATAACGGCGAACAGAGAGAATTAGACAAAAGTGTTTGCACAGTTTTTTGTTTTGTTTTACAGTAGAAAACACTCATTGCGTGGCTTGAACGGGTGTGTAGCCTAGAAATATGCTTCATGTGATTTTTTAATGACATTCGTGCCTGTTAGATCAAAAATAGCATTTTTGCCTCGAAACATTAGGCAAATCAGCCAAAACTCTATAGGGTGTGAAAATTAATTGGAAAATGTATGGAAATGTACGTGGTTTCGAAATTTTCATATGATGAAGCATATTCAGCAACCACGAGAACTGATTCACTATCGACTTTTTTTCGGAAAAAGAAAATAGAAATTGAGAAATAGCATTTCGTTTAAAGAAACCTTAGAGAAAAGAAGGAAAAATGAAGTGAGAGAGTGTGTTGAAAGAAGAGACAAAAACACTGCGTTAAAGGAACACACATGATTGGCAAACAGCCAGTTCGTCGCACCCCGCCCCTATAACACATTTTCAAAAAAGGGGCAGCTACGCAGAGAAAGTTCGGGGCCTTTTCAACGATTTTTCTCTTTTCTTTGCGCGATTTCTGTTTTTTTTTGTTTCTTGCTGAAAATCAAGTTAGTAGATGTTGAAATTAGTGAACAATGCTTTGTTTGCCTCTGAAATGCATCATACCTGTGCTTTATTTCTTCTCATCATCTTGCCTTTATTGATTTTTTCCAATTTTTTTGTTTCTAGAAATGGCACCTTATCTTTTGTTTTCACCTTATCCGTGATGATTTATTAATTTTATTACGTAACACAGATCTTTATCTTATCATTTCCAGGTAACCAATTCAAACATGGATACCAAAGCTATCGCGGAGAGAATAAAGAAGCTTCAAGCTCAACAGGAGCATGTCAGAATTGGAGGAAAGGGAACTCCAAGAAGAAAGAAGAAGGTCATCCACAAGACCGCTGCTGCTGATGACAAAAAACTCCAGAGCAATTTGAAGAAGCTTTCAGTGACAAACATTCCAGGAATCGAAGAGGTTTGTACTAATAGCTAATCTAAAGTGCGATCAAATATGTTTTCATTTTTTTAGGTTAACATGATCAAGGATGACGGAACTGTTATTCATTTCAACAACCCAAAAGTTCAAACCTCAGTTCCAGCCAACACTTTCTCAGTCACAGGAAGTGCAGACAACAAACGTAAGTATCTCATTATGGTGTATTTTATTCAAAAAACTAATTTAAATCGATTACCTGCAAGTCTCATGTGATTTTCAGTTTTTTTTGTTGCGCAATACATGTTCTCACATGACGAAAATTTTCAATCGATTTTAAAAGTCAAGAATCAAATGTTTGCTTATCTTTGTTAGCGTTACGTTCTAGTCAAATATTGTTTTAATCAAACTGGTTTTCGTGTAATATTGATTGAAACAATTATTTATGAAAGAAAATGGAACTATAAACAGAATATAATGTTTTGTTTTTCAGAAATTACCGAAATGCTCCCAGGAATCCTCAATCAACTTGGTCCAGAGTCCCTCACCCACCTCAAGAAACTTGCCGATAATGTCACCAAACTCGGACCAGAAGGAAACAACGCTGACGAAGATGTCCCAGGTAATTATTTATAATTTACTTACATTTATTCAAAACACATATTTCAGAACTTGTTGGTGATTTCGACGCCGCCTCAAAAAACGAGTCTAAAGCCGAATCCAAGGCTTAAGTCTCACAAAATTTTTCCCTCACCACCTTATCATCCATCAATTCTCGAGTTTTGTGTGATGTTAACGGTACGGATCCGATCCGCATTAGTGTATCCCATGTTTCTTGTTATTGTTGGTCGATTTTCAATGAATCTCTTCTTTTTGAACAACTTGCGCTATATCTGTCTTCCACAAACATCCCATTAGTGTTCATTGTTATAGTTTCATCACCACCACCTTTTTTGTATACAAGCCTTTTTTGATTTATTGCATCAACAATAACATTGAGAGGGTTATCCGGTGGTTCTCTCGGTGTGCTTTTTGTGTTTTTTTCAACTGGGTAACTTCCACTGACGACATCCCCTGTTTGTTCTGTTGAATTTTAAATAAATTTTCAAAAATCACTCGTTTCTTTTTCATTTGAGTTCAGATTGAAGGTAACATTTCCAAATATTACATTAGGCTTTCCAAGATTTAGAAACATCTCATAAGTATAGAAATGACTGATATTCAATCGGCAACCGGGGCTCAACAGCTTCTCGCCCTTCGAGTAATGCGTCTTGCTCGACCGAAATTCGCACAAGTCAAGGGATTTAATTCAGATCCTGTGGATCCAACAGGATTCAGTCAGATGTTAAATTCAAAAATTTGCGAATCTTCCGGGGAAACTCGACATGATTTACCAATTGGAGAATATTTGATAGCTCCACAAATGTTCGAGTGAGTATACAATATTTATCGGTTTTTTGGTTATTGATTGTTTTCGGAACAGAATTGAGAATTTATCAGCTTTACAGTTTTAAAATTATGAAATGATTTCAAGAAAAATGTTTTTTTGCGTGACACATGACTGCTTTGGAAATAAATTTAAGTAGTATTTCATTTCTCGAAAAAAAGGATCAAATAATGTCTGAATGCTGAAAATTTTATTTGAAGTCTGTACGCCAAAATCAAAAAGTTTTCTTTTTTGAGAATTATCATAGGTGGGTTCGAAAATCCACAAAGTTCGAGAGAAAGTGAAAGATTAAAATAGAGAAAATTAACACGAAAAGTTTTAGTAAATACTAGAAATTCAGAAAAATTCTTATGATTGATAAAAAACTTTAGTAATTTGTTGATCAAAGTAAATTTAACTTTTTCAGAAACATATATCTCGGAGAAACCTTCACATTTTATGTCAACGTTGTGAACGATAGCAAAATTGGAGTGGTCAATGTAAATCTCAAAGTATGTTTCTCAAATATTTTTTTTCATTTATAAATATATTTTTCAAAACTTTTACAGTGTGAACTACAAACATCAACTCAACGAGTTCCATTAACTTGTTCTGTTCAAGATGCTAAAATTGATGCTGGAAGTTGTGAAGGACAAGTAATCAGTCATGAAATAAAGGAAATCGGGCAACATATGTGAGTTTGATTTGATTTCAAAATTTAGCTTCAGAAAATCTGAAGAATAGTTTTATTTCATTCTTATGTTAGTATTAAACTATTAAAATTTAAATAGGGCGTTTTTATTCCGAAACCAATAAAATCTGTATTGAAATTCAGTTTCCCTGTTTCCATGAATTATATTTTCCCAATTCGTATCTCCAAATTTTAGCCAAACACATTCAATGCCCTCGCTCTATGTATTTTTAGTCATCTCTTTTTATTTATCCTCTTCTAGGCTTTGTTGTCATGGTTTTCTAATTTCAGTTTGATATGCGCTGTCAATTACACAACTCAAAACGGAGAAAACATGTATTTTCGAAAGTTTTTTCAAGTTTCCTGTCACCAAACCGATTGATGTTAAAACAAAGTTTTATAGTGCAGAGGTCAGTCTTTTTATTTTAATTGAATTTAACTAATAATTTATTTTTTGCATGATGTGTTTTGCGTGTTTGATCTGATGGAAATTTGTTTGTAGGATAATGCAGTGAGTGAATTTTATTGTTTTTGAGAAAAAACTAATTTTTGTTGAATTTAGAATCAAGATGTATATCTGGAAGCGCAAATCGAGAATACATCGAATGCAGATATGTTTATGGAAAAAGTCGAATTGGAACCAAGTCAACATTATAAAGTGTCAAATATTATGAACAAGTTAGTTTCAAATCATTTTACTTACATTGTTAGGCTTTAATATTTTTCGAATTTATTTCAGAGATGAATTTGACAATTGTGGAAGCTTGCTGAAACCGAAAGATGTTCGACAATTTCTGTTTTGTCTCAGTCCAATTGATGTGCATAATACACTAGGGTTGGTATTTTCAAATTTTCAATCATAAATCAAATCAATTAAAATTTTAGACACAAAGATCTAACAAGTATTGGAAAATTGGATATGTCATGGAGAACTAGTATGGGAGAACGAGGAAGATTACAAACAAGTGCGCTGCAAAGAATTGTATGTTGGTTTTTTGCTGTTTTGTTGCAAAAATGGTGCTTCTTGAGAAAAAAGTTAAAATCAAATGATTTCAGGCTCCTGGATATGGTGATATTCGATTATCTGTTGAGAAAACACCATCTTGTGTTTCAGCCAAAACTCCTTTCCAACTGAATTGTCGACTTTATAATTGCTCGTGAGTTTTTATTATTATTTTGAAGAAAAGTGCAAAAAAAAGCCGTTTTTCAGAGAACGCGCCCTTGATCTGAAACTAAATCTGGAACAACCGCAAAACAATCAATTGATATTTTGTTCGCCGTCTGGAGTTAGTTTAGGACAACTTCCACCATCTCAACATGTCGATTTTAATCTGAATATTTTCCCGGTTTCTGTTGGAATACAAAGTATATCAGGAATTCGAATCACTGATACATTATCAATGAGAAATTATGATCATGATGATATTGCACAGGTTTTTGTTTCCTGAATGGCTGGAATGAGGTAAATTTTATGTATAAAAATGTATTTATTTATCTATTTTGGAAAGGGTGGAAATGAAAAATAAATATGGTTAGAAGTAGCTGAAAATAAATATTTTGGTCAATATACAGATAATATCTGTGAATTATGATTAGATTCCACGATTTGATGATCTTTGAGCTGCATCATGCCAAAAACATGATTTCATATTTTCGAAACGATCATAGCAACTGATATAGGAATAGTCCAGAAGTGTGACATTTCCTGGTCTTTGATCGCAGAAAGTGAGACACTGCAAAAAAAAACAATTTTTTGTTTTTGATACATTTTTCTTTGCCACGTCATAACTATATTTTGGACGTCTGAGATTTTCGGGGTGTTCTTATAATTGACAAAGTTACAGAAAAAGTTTAGTCCGCGACCTGTTAGAGAAACCTATATTAGATCTCCCGGTAAAGTTTGAAGCCTTTGGTACATTATTTACACCCTGTGAGTAATTACCTTATCTCCGGCCAAAGTTGTTGTAACACCATTTCTAACACAACATGCTCGATGATCTCTTCCTTGTGCAGCACAAAACTGGATTTCTGCAGTTGCTGCCAATGGACAAGCATCTTGACGGAAGTACATTTTTGTTAGCTGAAAAAATGATCAGTTGTGAAATCGATCCGATTGTTTTTTGAAAAGTTACCGAATCTTTGGTATATGTATTGAATGTACATTTTTGAAGACAAGCATCTGGAAGACCACGTTGTTCACAGCATTGCATGAAAAGGGCATTTGGATCCTTGAAAAATGTAATGTTTTGAAATCAAAGGATCTCATGTCTGTTTATTTATTGTTTTCTCGGTTCATTGAACATGAAACATTTTGTGTGGATATATATCAAATAATACCTAGCAAAGCAATATATAAATCATACCGGTTGACAGATTAGCAAAAGCAAAGGATTATACGGTTCTATGACTATTTCGACCACTATTTTATGGCAATTGTATTTTTATACAATTATTTGGTTTTTGAATAGTTTGTTTCATCAAACAAACCGGATTGATTTTTGGTGGGATTTGTTGTATCATGAGCTTTTTTGTTTGAAAAAAAACTTTTTCGAGGTTTTTTTTTCAAAAATATCACTGATAGGTTTATCATAAGCTTCATCAATACTGAAATGAAAGTTTTGAAATTCAAATCTAATTTACTAGCCAAAAATGTTCCACGATTCTTTGTTGGAACTAAAATTGATGAAATTTAATTGAAAAGCAGAGGTTTAGAAAAAAACAATGTTTTTGATATACCAGGTAGAAATTTTAGTTCCTACAAAGTTTTACAATGTTTCGAAAAATTTTTGAAGCTCAAAACTCACAGTTGGTTGTTGTGCTCTTCTGAACTGTGAGAATCTATCAGCTCCCAAAAGGAAAGGTCCATTTCCAACTTGATGAGTTCCAGCTGCATGGACACGAGCTTTTGTTCGATAACAACCGTATGTTCCACAAGAGAAACCAGCTCCACATCCACTTTGAGCACATGGCGAAGCTATTGGTGGAATTGGACTTTGACAAGGTCCGAGACCACAAGTTCCAGATGCGAGGCACTTAAAATTAGAACTTTTATACAAGTTTAAACTTATACAAAAATTACCGCTTCGGAAATGGCAACGAAAAGTGAAAATATGAAAAGTTGAAGCATACTGCTAATATTGTTTGCTATATGTTTGAATAATCCGACGACGATTTTATAGGCCGAAGAGATTCGAACAAAAAATGGGCGGGAATGAAAAAAAAAGAGAAAATGGATAACTAACCGGTTACGGAACCATTTACAAATTGTTTGCCATTGAATCATCATCAATGCCACGTTTTCAAGCTCGTTTCATTTTTGAAATTACATGAAAGACGCTTTTTAGGAACAATAACCATACGGAAAAATTGAAAAAAGTCCGGACTTGATTTATTGTTAGTTTAACTGATAAGGGAAAGTCGCGGAATAAAATTATTCTGTAATTTTGGCAGTTTAGAGAAAACCTCAAGAATTAATTATTTCGAGACAATCCTACGGTGAACAACTTTCTCTAAATAAATTTATGATGTAGCATTACCCACTGTCAAAAATCGGAACTTTTGAGTACGGATTTCAGGCTCAGTTCAAATCTTTTCATTGAATTTTGGAAAACGTTACATTTCGCCTCCTGGAGAAGGATTATGATCAAGATCTCAAATTTCAAAAAAAAAAACTCCAAATAATATCTAACTTTATCAATTTTTCACTTTTCTCTACCAAAATTGTTAATTTTTTTTTGAAACACCAAATATTTTTTCAAGATCCAATTTATATGTAAATTCCATAATATTCAATTTCACTTTCAAATTTAGCATGATATTTGTTCAATTTAAGGTCAAAATGTTCCCAAGGACATTTTCATTTCCTTTACTAAAGTAAACTTGTATCAAGCTAGCAGGTTTCAATAATCCGCTTACACACATTTTTTGCCAATATTCATTTTTTTTTGAAGAATTTATTGAGGCGAGTTCAAAGATTTCAATTATCACCAAATATATTTGGGTGTTGATCAAGATGACTTCTGAAGCATTGTCGAATATTGTTGAAGTTTTGCATACAGAAAGCATGTGTTACTTGCTCGTTTGGCACTTTTCCTTGGGCTTTGCAATAAGGTAAACATGTTGGAAGTACGTTGCTGGAAATTGGGAACAGTTGAAAAAAAATTGAAAAAAAAGTATACTCACTTTCTTTTACAACACTCCGTGTGATCGACTCTTGAACTAGCACAATCCCACATCAAAGCCACAGTATTATTTTTTGGTCCGCAAGTATTTAGATAATGCAACATCTTAAAATTTGGGATAAATGATAGAGTTTATTGTAGTTAACTTACATTCCCTTGATGAATTGCTTCGAAATCACAGAATCGTTTTTTGCAAGATTTGTCAGCTTGTTTTTGACGGGCACAACATGCTTTCAGTTTTTGATTCGCATCTCGTCGTGAATAACTATAAGAAGAAGAAGATATCTTTATAAAGAGTATTTGACTCACCCAAAATCTAAGAAACAAATCAGTAAAACAAAGAATAACCAGAGGATACGCATTTTCGAATATCAATGAATGAAAATATGGCAAATCTAGCAGATGGTATATTGATTTTCAAGTGGAGACATGTCTGGGTCAAGAGCTAGGTTTTTAGGTTATTTACCCTTTTGGATTGCATTTTTTTTAGATTAAAAGAAAACTAAAAGTTTTTGAGGAATTTTAAGTTCTATCTAACATTAAGAAAATTTTTTGCTTTGCACCAGTTTTAGGAATAATTCTGACATCATAAATCCATCATCTTCAAAATAAGTGATTTTTTTAAAATCTCGAAATGAAAAAAATGGGTATAAAAATCTACTGTTTCAAAATTTTTATAAATATTCATAGAAATATAGATTTCATGAGCAATCCTTGAATTTTGCTCGAGTTTCCAATATTCCCGAAAAATTCGATGTTGAAGTTTAATCTGAGCAATGATTCATTCTTCGTTGACGATGTCCGCTTGCAGAATAAAAATGCGGTTTTTAAAACCTAATATGAGCAATGTTTCAACGTCATTTTCAAACTCAAATTTTTTCGTCTTTTTTTATGATCGAAAAAATTTAGACAAAAGAAAATTTGATTTGAATTATTTTCTTATTGTCTTCGAAGACTCTCACAGACAATACAAATAACAAAAATAAGAAAAATTTCATTTCTCTGAAATATGCGATTCTCCATCTGCTCAGGCAGTAGAAAACTCCGGAGGGGAACCAGAAAACGCAAAAACTCCGGAGATAGGCCAAAGTGGGTACAGAAAATCGAGAGAGCGCCTGTTTTTTCTACTCAGGCAGTAGAAAACTCCGGAGGGGAACCAGAAAACGCAAAAAACTCCGGAGATAGGCCAAAGTGGGTACAGAAAATCGAGAGAGCGCCTGTTTTTTCTAGTTTGGCACGCCTTTCTAGTTTGGTTTTGGCGATTCTCCGGAGCAAATCGCTGTCGATCGAACGCGCTCCATCGAATGATGACAATGACTAGTCATTTTTTTCATTTCATTTTTTTTCGTTTTTCTAATTTTTGCTATTCCTTCAAAAAGTTTTCAGAGTGTCTTTGCCTAATTTGATAATTTTCAGACAATTGAAATCGTCTAGAAGCAATGTGCGTCCTATGAAATCGTCATGGATAAAAGTCAACCTGGACTTGGAATACAATTAGCGATTTTTGCTCCTGGTGAGTGAAGTTTCTTCAACAGAAGTGAATACTAGTTTTATTTATAGATTCAATTGGAATCCCTCGTGGTAGGAAAATTCGAAAGCAGAGGCTCGTTCAATTTTCATTTCTGGAGGATCGCCTTACAATATTTCCAAAATCGTGAATCACAAGATGTATATGAGGTGAGTCATGAGAAAGAAAATCGATGAACGTTTGTTTTTCGAGTTTTTGAGCTTTGAAATTTTCCAAATTTCAAGTTTATGACCATTATCACATCCTATCTCAAAAAGGTCGTTCGCAATTTCAAAGTGAGAAATGACAATTAATAATACTATTGGAGAATCATCCTTATAAATCTATTATTCTTTCTCAATTTTCAGCGTGAAATGGCTTATGGCGTCTCCACACAATGCTGCAGCTCTCCTCGTTGGCTCAAAATGATAAGAAACAGAAGTTCTTGTCAAAAAATTGCCGAAGTCAACACTAAATCTTCATTAGAATGCCAAAGGAATCTTCTTATGCTTATATTCTACTCGTTTGGAGATTGAAACAATCAGAAAATAACTAATTTTTCCTGTTTGTTGAAAATAAATATTGATTTTTGAGAGTGAAAGACTAGAATGTATTCGAAAAAAGTAGGCGAGAAAAACAAAAAAACTCTGGAGAATCGACAAAAAAGTTCCGGAGATTCGCCAAAGCGTACCGAGAAAAGATCCGGAACCGGGTTTGGAGCCTTTTCAGCGACATTCTCGTTCCATTTCGGCGAAACTCCGGAGTTTTCTACTGCCTGAGATGTATGCTTCTAATTATTTTTTCTCTATTTTTCGCGCCAATTTTTTGCGGCGATGATTGCGAAAATGACGTGGATTGTGGAAATGGCGCGAAATGTGTGGAGATCAAGGCAAGTAAGAGATGCGAGCCGATTGAAATATGAATTTTTAATTTTAAATGGAAAATACATTATTTATTTATTTATTTATACAAAGTTAATTAGAACAACTCATATTTATTGTTTTCCAAAGCAGCAAGTTTTTCCGGATTGCTCAGATCAACTTTAACAGCTTTTGCTGCATTCGACCATTCGAGAATAATTGTATCAGCTGAAGTCAAATTGATCAATCCAGTAGTTTGAATATAAAGTCGTTTTGTGACTCCAGAATATGTTGAAGTTTGAACATTGATGTTTGTTTTGATATTGTTGATTGTGAAGGATTTGAAATCTGGAGCATTTGGGAAATTGAAGATTTCAATGATGTCCAATGTTGGGAGATTGATGTTGGAGGCCTAGAAAGGTATTATGATTTTTGGGGAAAAATCTGTACTTTTTTATGATGTTTTCCCAAAATCTTACTTTTCTCGAATGTGTGATTGTCAATCGTCCTCCTGTTGTAGTTGTATTAAACAAGAAATCAAATTGATGATAATTATGAGTATTAAAACTATTTACAATAGTTTCTCCATCATCCCAATATAAAACACCTTTTCCTCTTCCCATTTCACATGGTGCAATCAATAATTCAAATGGATTTAAGCGAGTTGCAGTTGTTGTAATTGTTGGTGTTTGTCTTGGAATAATACTCATTCCACGTACAAATACTGGAATTCGCGAAGTTGTTGGAGCAGAAACAGTTGTGAATCCTGGACTGATTAATGATCCATATTTATAATCAAAGAGTGAATACCAAACATCAGTTGGCAAATAAACATGAACTGAGTTTGTGTTTTGATAAACAACTGGAGCAACGAGAATCGAAGAACCCCACATAAATTGATATCCCAAATCATAAGTCTCCTCATCTGTTGGGAATTCAAAGAACAATGGTCGAATAACAGTTGCACCGTCTTTTGAAGCTGTGAAATGCAAACTGAAAAGATATGGAAGATATTGATATCTGAATAGATTTGCTTGTTTTGTGGCTGCGGCAACTGTTGGCCAAATTGCTGGATCTTGAGCTGGTGCACCGATTGTGTTGTGATTTCTGAAGAATGAATGGAATGCTCCCATTTGTTGCCAGCGAAGGCAGAGTTCTTCGGTAGTTGTGCCAATGAAACCGCAAACATCCGAACCAACGTAGCTGAAAACGTGAAAATTAGATTTGTTCTTACAATAGAGTTTTTTTACCGACGAATTATTTTTCGAAATTTTTGAATAAGACATTTTTCAAAACTCATTGTCAGCACAGTTTGAAATTTTCAGAAAAATTCTATCCAGAAATTCATTTTCCAAATATCCAAATTCTACAGTATCCAAGCTACATATCAGGAACACCTAAAAACATGATGCAAAAATAGAAATTTTGTGACGTAGTCTTCGTCTTCGAAAAAAAACCACACCCAGATTAGTCTCGCCTATTGGGCAACAAAATTGTGTGTGTGTGACCTGTGTTCTTTACTCCAAAAAACACTGATTTTTTCCACTTCAAGTGAGGAAGAACAGAAAATCGATCGAACCACACCCAGACTTTCAGGAATTCTTCGACCAAAAATCCTTGAAGAGAAAAAAAGAACGAAAAAAAATTAAGCCCATGTGGAATGTGAAAAGGAATGGAATCAAAGACAAAATAAAATGTGGTGACGTAAATCTCGTCTACCGTAATCCAATTAACTGTTTATTTTTGCGCGCTCGCGCGCAAATTAATTAATTAACTAAGGTGGGTGTGGTTGTTGCAGCAGATGGAGACTTGAAGGCGGAGTGAGGGATAGTTCCCAGGCAGGAAAAATCACTTATTTTTTGGATTGCACAAAATGGTGAGTTCTAAAGATTTCTCCTGATTCCGAACAAAAAAATCTAATCGGGGCTTCTAGATGTTGATGTTTCCCCGATGTTTGCCAACATACAAAGTCGATTCAGAAAGTTTGACACTGTGCCCGGATTTATTCATGTTCTAGACAATGTTAGTGTTTTTTGGAACTTTAAGACCTCTAGTTAGATTCAAAATTTCAGATACTCATTTCACAACTTGGCACCTTCGATAAAATAATTTAGTTTAGATTTTCTGTAAATAGAATTACTTAATTTAATTAATAAATGATTCGGGTCCTTTTTGTATCACATCACATCACAATCTGTGAAAAATTGCAGACAATCTTCACCAGATGTATGCCGGGATCCGCTTTTGATTTAGAAATGTGCCCAGATCTTCATTTTTAAATTATCCTAATTAATTAAATAAATTGTTAACATCAAAATTGGCCCAATGTTGACAATTTACAGATGTTCGTCAGATGTCCAGGATCATACAGACTCGACGATTCGGACAGTCTTTCACTTTGCCCAGATCTATTCCTCTATTGAAGTTATTGCGAATTTTGTACATACATAGATGAATAAATGTTAATAATTATTTTGGAAAAAAAAGATAACGTGAACTATGACGTGGCAACTGGAATTTCCATTTTTAATTTTTTAGAAAGGAATTTCTAGAAGCTGCTGACAGATTTCGGTAAAATGTTGCTTTTTTTTTAGTTTGAAAAGCGATATGATTTTTAAATCTGACAGGAGAATGTGTCCTAAAGAAAACTAATTCTAAGATCATAAATTTCTAAACAATCATCTTAACTCTTTCCTCTTCCCTTTTCCTTCTCAACTCACGGAATTCCAAACAAATTGAATTCTTGCGCACCAATCACCGATGTTCTCAAATCCTCCCATCTTGCTGTATTATCACCCAACCAATGTCCCGCATATTTTCCCGATGATGGATAAGTCGATCTGCTCACCACAGCTCCACGTTTTCCAGTCGATTGGAACAAAGCTTGTTGAGTGGCTTTGGCCTCACTCCAACCGTATAGATTTTTTACGTTGTAGAAGCGTTGGGCTCCGTTGTCTTGAACTCCGAGCATGCAAAGAGTGTTTGAGGCGAGGAAGGCGTTCTGAACAACAACAAAAAATTAATTGAACTGATATTGGTAGGAAAAATGTGACTAACATTACTGGCATCTCCGAATTTCCAAACAGCTCTTGTTTTGTATGGCGGCATTTCCCATTCATTTGAGCCATTTGTTGGACAGAAAAGCGGAGCATCGTTTGGATGATCATCACTATCGAAATACCATGGATGAGCATCGTTAGTTCCGAAATTTGATGGTTCATTCATATCAATCCAAATTCCATCAAATCCAATCTCTTTCTGATATCTGACAAATTCACTAGCCCACCATTTTTGAGTATTTCCGGTGGAATCAAGGAAATCTGGAAATCCGACATGTTTGTCTGGCCAAACAACTCCCAACATAATCTTGGTGTCTTTTGCCATTGGATAAAGGTTTTGGATATCGCGTTGAACTTGTGAACTCGATTCCCATTCGATGAATTTTGCATTGGCTGAGAGAGCACGTTGGAATGAATCATAATCGGCTTCGACAGCTGGATCGAAGATTAGGATGAGTTTCATACCACTGGCGTGCATTTGATTGACATAGTCACTGAATCCAGCCCAGTTCTGAAACAGAATTAGGGTAATACTGGTATTGATAAATCTAGAGAGTCACGCTACAGGGTTTTTTTCACTTACATCTCCAGTTGTAAAATCCTTGTATCGTTGCATGTAATCAATATCCGCAACTCCAATATCGATCGGAATTCCAGCATCTTTTACAGCTTGAATACGTGTCTTCATCTCGTCTAATCCAGTATATCCATAACGAGATAATTGATAACCAAGAGCCCAATAAGCTGGGAGGAATGGAGTTCCGATAAATTTCAAATATTGTTGAGTAACTTGTTCGGGAGTTGGTCCTGGGAAGAAATAGATATCCAAATTTCCTCCAATTGTTCGATAAATAATTGATGGCCCGGGAGCTGTTGTGACTTCTTGAGCATTTGAATTAACGATTAGAACACCGTGAGCTTTTCCATCTGGTTCAACAATCATGTAATATGGATGAACACCATAGAGATTAACAGTATCTAGACTTCCTGAATTTGGTGGTTGATCACGAGCAAACATTGCCCAAGTGAGATATTTGGAGAAATCATGTTTCAAACTTTGATGAGTATTTTCTCCCCAACCATACATATTTGAACTTGGTAAATATGTTGCGAGTTGAATGAATTTGTCAGAGAAAATTAGGCCACCAAGAGATGTATCAAAGAGTTTACGGTATGAGCTATCACGAACAATTTGGAATGAGAAGAGTCCATTTGTTGTGTCAGTTTTGAAGGATAATGTTTCGGAAGAACTTGCAACATCTTTTGGGAAATCAACGGGTGGTTCATATCGACCTGCTTGTCCGATATGAACATTCAAAATATTTCCGATGGATTTTGTGGTAACCTTGATTTCCAAAGCATCACTTCCCCATGGATTCTTCGGACCATTATTTTTTCGAAGTGTGTAGGTTGATCCACTCTGGGAATCTAAAGAATAACCAACTCCATCTTTGAAAATACACCAAGGCACATTTTTGTTAGAACTGTCAGGTTGCCACGTACAACCACGTGCTTCACACGAGACTTGTGAGGCGCCATTTGGTTCTGGGAAGCAATCAAAAACCGGAGAGGCTTGAAAACTGAGCCCGATTGATATGAGAAATATACAAAGAAGTTGGAGTTTACCCATTTTCTAAAACAAAAAATTCTGAGACTATAAAATATTCGGTAAGCAAAAAGGATAGACAGCACAACACAAAACGGAAAAATAAAATGGCACATTTTATCGAAAAACGTGGATCAGGTCACTGATAAGAGCAATTTTTGATAAGAGATCATCAAATTCCTGAATGTTTCACATGGTCAAAAACCTAATTTTTTCGATGATGTTGAATAAAAAACAACAAAAAATAAATAAATCGATGTATCTGAACACAGCTGTTCCTGAGATAAGTTTTTATTTGTTGTCACAAGGTCAAAAAATTGGAATTAACAGAAAAACAAGCGAAAATATCAGTGTGGAAAAATTTGAAAGTTATATGGGGGTTTAATTAGGAAAATGACATTTATAAGAGTTTATCAAATTTTTTCGGAGAACATGTGGCCTTGGAGCAAAAAGTTTCAAGAGAAAAATTGATTGAAAAGTTTTGAATGTTTTCAACTGCAAATTCGAAGTAATGCTTGAAACCAAAAAAATCTGTGAAATTTTTAGATCTTTAAAAATCTGAACATTTTTTGGAAAGTTGCAAAAATGTTATAGGCCTATGCAGAATAATATTTTGTAATAAAAAACATAAAAAAACATATTTTTCCTATGTAAAAAAACGTCGAAAAAAAAACAAAATATACAGACAAAATAAGTCTTGTTTTAATTCTCGAACAAAAAATATAAGAAACTATTTTTTCTGTCTGCACACTTTAATTTCGTGTTGTCTTCACTTAAAAATAATAAACTGTCCTTTTGCCAGAGAAGAAAACGCGCTCCATCGCACTTTTTTTCTGCTCCCCCGATTTTTTTTGTTTTTGAAAACACACCCGCTCAAACAATGAAAAAATTAGCAAAATGCTGTTCTCATTGGCGTACCAATTTTAGTTACCTTAGAGGTCGTTATATGTAAAACTAAAAATACCATTAGAATCAGCGTCTCAAGATCTACATTAAACTATGTTACTCATATTTTTAGGGGTCCTGCGAAGAAAGTTACGATTTGCGTCGAGACCACGCGGTTAAATAAATACGTGTCCCTTTAATCTGCAACGTAAATCAATGAAATAGTTGGCGTACCAATTTTCGTTAGGAAAACATGCGTTAGAGAAAAAATGAAAAATATCACGAGATTCAGCGTGTCGAGATCTACATTAAACCATAAGATTCATAATTCCTAGGAGCCCAGGAAGGCCAGCTTTTCGAGACCCAATAAATTAATAAATGTATGTTCCTTTGAACGAACAAAACAGTGTGAATTCTCGAGAGACGCAGAGACGCGGTGTTTGCACACTTTTCGATTGCGTACTACAGTAGAAAAACAGTCATTTCTCGTTTCAGCGGGGTGTGAAAAAAACCGAAATTTTCATTTTTTTTGTGTGTTTCAAGTTGTTTTCGAGATTTTTTCAGGGTTTTTTGATTTAAATAGATGTATTGGGGGTAGAATGTTCACCTTACATGTGATTTCTCTTGCGTCATGAGTTTTTAGTGATAAAAAACGCAATTTTCAATTTCCAGGATTTTCCGAGACCGAAATGAGTCGAACAATCCATCTTTTCGACTGGGATTTCGTATTTTTGTATTATTTATAGGTAAGTTTAAGATGATACAATAGAGTGTTCAAAATGTATATTTTTGATTTTACAGATGTTCGAAAATTGCACGATTTTGGCTCGAAAATGCACTGAAAACCCGAAGGAAAAATCGTTTATTTGGTATTTGGAGGAAATGCTGGATAAGAATATCAATTTGAGGTACGTTCTCTTACTGGGTCATTCAGTATTTTGTTTTTTCGACGTTTTTCTGAATAGGAAAAATATCTCAGACAGATGGGGCCAGTTGGTAATTATTTTGAATCGAAAAACCAGTTGGTTATTTACTAGGAACCCAGTGGTTTTTGCAATTTTGAGTGGTAACTAATGGGTTTCTTATCATTTTCCAAACTCGAAAAATCTGAAAATTTCCTGCAATATTCAAAAATTGAAAGTTTTATAACTCAAATTCTGCTATTTTTTGTAGTTCCTGAAAGTAATCTGAAAATTGAAAAAATAACCTGAAATCTGGTATGTACAAAGTTTATTTGAGCAATGAGCGTTTTTTGTGATAAGAACATGAAACAGTTAAAAATAGAGAATTATCCGAGTGTTTTAGAGGAGCACTGCTTTTTCGGCTTCAAAGTACTTTTAACTGGTGAAATTTTGAGCTTCTTGCTTGATGAATTCTGTTCGATGAAAAGTTTAAAAGAAGTTAGGGAAGCATATAGCTTCATAATAGTTAGACTACTTATAGATATGTTAGAGACGCAGAGAATATTTCAAAAGTTAGAGAAGTAGAGAGTTTTAACAAGTTATAGACGCAGAGAAAAAATCAAACTATTTATTCACAAACCTTCTAATTTTCCCAAGCATCATTATCTCTACAGTAGCTCATCTAGAAAATTTTGAAATGTTGACCAAATCAAAAGTCCCCCATAAAATCATCATTTGAAAATGATTCTCGACGAATCATCCGAAAAAAAATTGTCGAAAAAAAACTTGGAAAAATCCGACGTTTGCCAGTTTTTTCTGTCTGTTTCGGAACCGAAAAAATTTCGCGGTCGAAAAAACTGGATAACGAAAAAGATGGAAAAAGCGAAATCATTGAGATGATGATTGATTTGTGTATCAAAAAATGTGTATTTGTACAAAGTTTTGGATGATGTAGAAGCTCTTTATTTACATGAAAGACACTGTAAAATAATAAATAAGGGATGGTAGATGAATTAAAAAAGAGACTGAGATGATGGGTCATCAATGTCACTCGTAACAAGGGAAAAAAGGTAAAGAAGGTAGTAGAAGTCAGATAAATTAATATCCTGGAGCGGTTCTTGGTGGTGGACAATGGTCGCATCCTCCCTTGGCTCCGTCTTTTCCGTTGTTTCCTGGTGCTCCTGGGGCTCCTGGGTTTCCTGGAGCTCCGTCTTGTCCTGGTTCTCCTTGTGGTCCTGGTGGCCCTTGTGGTCCGGCTTGTCCTGGATGTCCGTCTGGTCCTGGTGGACCTTGTGGTCCTGGCTCTCCTGGTTGTCCTGGTTGACCTGGTGGCGCTGGAACAGTTCTGACTTGTCCTGGAGCTCCTGGTTGTCCTGGGGTTCCGTCTTGTCCTGGTGCTCCTGGTGGTCCTTGTGGTCCTGGGGCTCCTGGAGTTCCTGGACGTCCGTTTGGTCCTTGTTCACCTCCAGCTCCTGGTTGTCCTGGTGGTCCCTTTGGTCCTGGGTTTCCTGGTTGTCCAGCTGGTCCAACTGGGCATTCGAAGCAGAAATCAGCGGCAGTTGGTGCAACATGATCATTTGGTGCATCTGGTCCTGGTGCTCCTGGAGCTCCTGGTCTTCCATCATTTCCTGGTGCTCCATCTTGTCCTGGATTTCCAACTGCTCCAGCTGGTCCAATTCCGCACGAGCAACATTGATAAGTTTGACGTTTCTCACGAGATTCAGCCTTGCGGAAAGAGTCGAGTTTTGTGTATTCACCACGGAGAGAATCAGATCGAGTACGACAGAAATTGATCTCGTCTTGAAGTCCTGATTGAACGTTTTGCATATACATACAAAGCATTGGAACTGCAACAATTGCTGTCAAAGTGGCAACAGTCGAAACAGCGATTCCTAGAAAAAACAAATGGTTTTTGAAGGGAGTTGAGTTAGCACAACTTACCAAAGAATGCGAATTTCTTGACTGATTCGACCTCGATGAGTTTGCTCTTCTCCTCCGCCATCTCCTTAAAAAATAATTATGAGTTAAAATAAGTCTGCGAGTTTAAATAAAATGGAAATAAACATTCTGATTTTATATTCTGGGGTAGATTTTATCTTCAGCCTTAAATGAAGCTTAAGTCAAGTGATTAGCATAATCCTATGGATACTCATAAGAGTTTAGATTTCTAAGTCTAGAATTTAATAGGTGCAGGAGATTTTTAAAGTTACTAAAACTCTTAAAAATATTGCACCTGAAAAGAAGCTTGAAAAAAGTGTATTAGCGTAAGTCTCAGCTTTTGCTTAAACCAAAGCCTAAGCCAAAACAAACTCCTTCTTCCCTCTCAAAACTATCTCAGACAATCCAAAACCCCCGCTATGAAAAAAAATAAAAAGATCCATGTGTATGATTATGCTTCAATCATCTCATGTCTTTTATACCCACCCCCAGGTAGGCTTCTTCTGCCTGATCACCTCGTTTTTTCCTTCTTCTTTTTTTTGTTCGTTTCTCGGCCCCACCCCAAGCTTCTGGGAGTTTTTGCCAGTTTTTTTCGGCGCCGCGCTTATCATTATTAGCTGAGAGGAAGAGAGATTTGTGACGTAGATGGTATATTGTATTTTTCCGAGGATTGATGATGATGAACTTTTGGGAGATGTTGAAAGAGATATGGTAGAGTCTGTTCAGAGTCTGCAGGTTTTGAACGAGCTGCGTTTTCAGCCAGAAAAATTCCGAGGTCTTAGAAGCTTTTCTGATTCCTGGTAGATTGGAACTGCGATTGTGAAACAGCGAAGCCTCAGAAGATTGTTGATGAAGATTTGGTTTCTGAACAATTCCGAATTTTTAGCGCTAGAAAATTAGTTTTGAAAAGTTTCAACAAAGATTTCAAGAGTTCATAAATCTAATCTGATGTTTAAAGCTTTCAGAAATTTTCTATAAATTTTTTTTAGAAGTCTCTAGTTTCATTAATTGAAAAAAATCTAAAATGTTCTTTCCGAAAATTCTGAAACCTGAATTCCTATGTTCCATTTCATTTCCCATAATCTTTGATTTCACATAAATTAACACTTTATTTGCTTAATTAATTATCTTGGACAAAAATCACCAGTTTCCACTCTCCTCTGATTTTTAGCCATGCTTAATATGAGCAATCTAATTTTAAAATTTTCAAATCCAACCACACCCTTGATAAGCCCAAGTTACAACAAATCGTTTTTTAACTGCCTTTCTCATGAAAAAGATTCATGGCATTTCTAATAGGTGTTCAGTGATCAAATCTCTTTTTTTTCTTATTTTTTCCAAGAAATGAAAAAACTGTGTATCTTTGTTGTTGTTTCGGTTTTTCCTTCTTTCCATCAGCTTTTTCTCTTTTTTTTGGTTGGGTCTTATCAATTTGTTTGGAGGAATGCTGCCCGGTTATGATGAGGTGAAAAAGCGAATGAGGAATTTATATTATTTTTCTGTTGGTTGTTCAAGCGAAAGTTTAGAACACATACACATGTTGGTTTAAATTAATTAATTTGTTTATTTGTAGTTTGGAACTTCGGGGTTCTGATAAACACGGAAATCTAGATTTTAAAGAATTTTAAAAATTGAAATTTTTATTCGAAATTATAGAATATCAAAAAAAATTCAGAACACTCTTTACAACTTCTAATTTTAAAGCTTATTTTTCACTGAAAGTTTACAATTTGTTTTTTCGAACAACTAAAATTTCAAGGTTAGATCTACAGTAAGATTATCATTCTAGAATTCAAGAAAACTGATCCAGAACTTTGATCTACAGTAGAATTTTCGAATTTTTTTTGGAGATCAAAAAATGATCTATACTGTATTTTTTTTTCAGAATAGAAGAGAACATCTAGAAAAATTTCAGCTCTTCCAAAAACATTTAACAAGCTGAGATAGGCACAGCATGAATCGTACCCCAAAATACAGTAGTCTCGTCTATTGTAATATGAGCAATGTTTTTAGAAAACAAAACCAACTTCCTTCTTCTCAACCCCGCCTCTTATCAATAATTTCTGGACGTGATTTTTTGAACCCCCCATTATTTTCTTTCCCAATTGAAACTGAAACCAAATAACCGGTTCCTGAAACTTTCCTAATTACACAAAAACGTATTGTTTTCCAAAAATTTATTTTCCACTGTTTCAAAATTAGGTTGTCTAATATCCTGGTGCGGTTCTTGGTGGTGGACAATGATCGCAAGATCCTTTTGGTCCTGGGGCTCCCGGAACTCCTGGTGCTCCATCTTCTCCATCTTTTCCTGGTTCTCCAGCTCCGCCATTGTCTCCTGGTGGTCCTGGTGGTCCAGCGCGACCTGGATGTCCTGGACGACCTTCGGCACCTGTTTCTCCAACTGAACCTGGCTCTCCTGGTTGTCCTGGTTGTCCTGGTGGTGATGGGAGAGTTCTAACAAGTCCAGCTTGTCCTGGATTTCCAGCTCCACCATCTTGTCCTGGTTCTCCTGATGCTCCGCGAGGTCCTGGTGGTCCTCTTGGCCCTCCACGTCCTCCATTTCCTGGTTGTCCAGCTCCTCCTGGTGGGCCAGGTGGTCCCTTTGGTCCTGGTCCTCCGGCTTGTCCTGGTGGGCCTGGTGGGCAGACGAAGCAGAAATCAGCGGCGGTTGGGACTTCGTCATTTCTAACAGCATCGCGACCTGGTTGTCCATCGTTACCTGGTCTTCCATCATCTCCCGGTGCTCCATCATTTCCTGGAGTTCCTGGTGCTCCGGTGGCTCCAATTCCGCAAGAGCAACAAAGTTGTGGCTCTTGAGCTTGACGCTTCAAACGATCCTTGGCTTCCAAGCGAATCGAGTTGAGCTTGAAGAATTCGGAGCGGAGATCAACGTTTTTGGCCTTACAGTAGACGAGTTCGTCTTGAAGTCCAGATTGGATGTTTTGCATGTGAAGGCAGAGCATCGGAACTGCGATGATTGCTGTCAAAGTGGCGATGGTTGAAACAGCAACGCCTGCAAAACGAAAGATTTTTGGAGGGAAATGAAATAGATTTAGGTTTCTCACAGAAGGAGCATTTCAGATCTAGAAAACTTGTTCTGAAACTACTTCAGTAGATGTTACAAGTATGTACAAATTCTAATATTCGATCTTCTGAACTTTTCATCTTTTAATCTAAAAACCTATAAAAATTTTCTTGAAAATTTAAAATTTTGCTTCTCAAAATTTTTAGAGATCTTCTGATCTTTTGATCTACAAAAACTAAAGATTGTTGAAACTTTTTTGATTGTTTTGATCTTCTGAACTACAGACATGAAACCTAAACAATTAGAAGGTCATCTGATTCTCTTTACTGAAATTCAGGACTTCTGGGGACCATGAAAATCTAAAATCGCAACATTTAGCTCAAAAAACTCACCAAAAAACGCGAATTTCTTAACGGACTCAGCCTCTTCCAACTTCATTTTTTCGACGGACATCTCTCAAACGAAGAACTTCAGGAAATGTTCGATCGAATCAAATTGCAATCCGTCACACTTTTATACCAGTAAACATTTGATAGTAGCCAGAAAAAAGGCGTTGTTTGACTGGAAATGTGGAGAGAGCACGGGAATTTGAGAGACGCAGACATTCTGGAAGTGAAACCGATTTTGGTGTTGTACATAGTAGGTAGGTAGAAGAACAGAAAAAAAAATGGACAGAAAAAATAAGAAGAGATGGATTCTTATCATATTTTTCCTGGTTATTAATTATTTTCTAAAGGTGTTACTAACACTTTTTGCGCACTTAGATTGTCCGAGAGAAATACACGGATAATGATCGCTATGGGGCACATTTTTCTCCAGGAGAAGTACACAAGGAACAAAAAAGAATATTCCAAGCGAGACCAATAAATTATCAATACACATAAAACTAATTGGTTGAAAGAAGGAAATCATGTTTTTCGAGAATTTACAATCTTGTCCGAGAGAACTACACAGAAGAATAATTGATTTACACACTGTGTTTTTTCTAATAGAAAAATGAAATTCCTAAGGGACACATGCATTTTGTGTGGTCTCGCAGCGATGTACCTGAGCGACGGCGAGAAGTACGGTTTTGGCGCTTGGTCTCGCAGCGAGTTACCAGTTTCCTCTCAGAGAACAACACATTTTCCCAATTTGAGATCTTTTTTTTGAATCAGATCTGAGATCAAAGTTCATAAATTCTTCAAAAGAACTACACTAACATGCATCTCTTCGAAATCCGCGGAACAATTCAAAAAAAAAGTTTTCATCGAGACCATTAAAACATTCGAGATTTATTTATCTAATTAGTCACATTTTCTTATCCCTCTCAAGACTAGACAAGTGTTCTTTCGACTCGAATGTGTACTTCTCTCGGAATATCAAAAGGTACAAGGTCGTTTGACTTGTGAGAGAGCGAAAATAAAATGGCATTTGCCGTGATGCTTTCTCGTCCTCCCATGTGGTCTAGTGGTTAGGATTCGTGGTTTTCACCCACGCGGCCCGGGTTCGATTCCCGGCATGGGAAGCTAATTTTTTCCCTTTTCTGTAATTTTTTTTTGAAAAAAATAGAAAAACAAACATAATGATTGAATTGTTCATGGTGTAGGTTTTTTGAAAAAAGAAACAAATAGAAAATAGACATGCCCGTGGAAGGATACAAGTTGGATGGGTGAAAAACATAATAAATAAATGTCAAATTGTTGGAAATTAATATCCTGGAGCGGTTCTTGGAATTGGACAATGATCGCATCCTCCCTTGATTCCATCTTTTCCAGCCTCTCCTGGTTCTCCTGGTGCTCCTGGATTTCCTGGAGCTCCATCTTGTCCTGGTTCTCCTTGTGGTCCTGGTGGCCCTTGTGGTCCGGCTTGTCCTGGATGTCCATCCTCTCCTGGAGCTCCTTGAGTTCCTGGCTCTCCTGGTTGTCCTGGTGGACCTGGTGGTGCTGGAACAGTTCTGACTTGTCCTGGAGCTCCTGGTTGACCTGGAAGTCCGTCTTGTCCTGGTGCTCCTGGTGGCCCTTGTGGTCCTGGGGCTCCTGGTGATCCTGGTCTTCCGTTAGATCCTTGTTCTCCAGCTGCTCCTGGTTGTCCTGGTGGTCCCTTTGGCCCTGGATTTCCTGGAGTACCAGCTGGTCCAGTTGGGCAGATGAAGCAGAAATCAGCGGCAGTTGGTGCAACATGATCATTTGGTGCATCTGGTCCTGGTGCTCCTGGAGCTCCTGGTCTTCCATCATTTCCTGGTGCTCCATCTTGTCCTGGATTTCCAACTGGTCCAGCTGGTCCAATTCCGCACGAGCAACATTGATAAGTTTGACGTTTCTCACGAGATTCAGCCTTGCGGAAAGAGTCGAGTTTTGTGTATTCACCACGGAGAGAATCAGATCGAGTACGACAGAAATTGATCTCGTCTTGAAGTCCTGATTGAACGTTTTGCATATACATACAAAGCATTGGAACTGCAACAATTGCTGTCAAAGTTGCGATCGTTGAAACAGCAACGCCTAAAATAATAATAATTTTTTTAAAATTAATACTCCAAGAGAGTTAAGCTAAGTTTCCCAAACTCACCAAAAAAGGCGAACTTTTTCACCGATTCGACTTCCTCGAACTTGAGCTTATCGACACTTTGTTGTTGGCTCATACTAAAATTTGAAAAAAAAAATAATATGTATATTATGAATTAAAAAATCCTTTTGAAAAATCCCAAATCCCAAACCCGATCAAATCAAAACCAAATGAAAAATGATGCTGAAAATCTAGCCAAATCGCGCGCTTTTATCCGATCTCCTACCATTTTTTTGCTCACCGAGAAATAGTGTGCGATACGGTGGAGACGAAGCACCGCCCCCCGATATCCGAAGAAGAAAAACGATGAAGCCGCAGATGGAAAAAAGTGCAGTGATAATGCTTGTTATGGATTGGGGAACAAAAAAAATGTGAAGTGATTAGAGATGAAATGAGAAGATTATTATTATGCTGTTTTTTATTAGGTGAAATATTTGTGGGAAACATTTTCACACTTTTTAACAGTACTCTTCAATAAAACTGGTAGATCAACATTTTATTCATTGTTGACATTTTTGTTCGCCTCATGAGCTCTTTAGGACAATCATCTGATACAGTACTTAACCTGAAAATCTCACATTTTACAGTAATCATGATTGTGCTTTTCAAACTCCAATTTTTCCAAACTTTCCAAACCTAGAATTTTTCTACAGTTACCTGAAACAATCACAATTGTCCTCGAATCCTTCAGATACGGTATTTCAAAATTTTTCAAATAATTTTTTTGTTTTTCTTTTTCTACAGTACCCCTCTAAAAATATTAACAAATAAAATACAGTGACCGAAAGCATTCCAAGTTATAGTAATACAAGATTATTTCTACAGTAATAATTAAAATTTTATTTTTGACTTCTTTTTCTACAGTAACCCATTATTAATTTGACGCCAAAAACATCCTCAAAAGTACACTTCAATCAGGTGATCATCAAATTCTTCCTCATGATCTCAAAAAAATGCGTGTATACATATTTGTATATGTTTTTGATCGGTCGAAAAGATGATGGATAACCCGAAGGTGGTCTTTTTTTGGCGCCAAAAATGTGTTGTTTTCGTCTCTAACTTTCATTTTTTTCGTTTCGGGTGTGGCAAAAATTGGATAAGCGTTTTATTGTGGGAAAATATTCATTTTACCTCATCTCATACATTTTTTTGTAACACATCGGAAAAAAATATGATATTTTCTCACAAGCCACGCCCATTTTTGTACCTGTCCAAAATCAAAAACAAACAGGAATTCTCTATTCTCGTCAAGAAACAGTTTGTCTTCATTTTTTTTCCAAAATTTTTATGTACAGTAGGTGAGAGAGTGTGGAGAATTGAGAGAGTGCCAGAGATTCGGAAAATACCTGCATTGAAAACTTGCTAACAATCATTTTTTCTGTTCTTGTACGGGAAAAAGAAGACGAAAAAATTTGGGAAAAAGGAAGAAAGATAAGGAAGAAGAAAACAATGCTTTGTGGACATTGGAAATTCGGGGAAAAATGGGGAACTTTTTATGATGAACTTGAAAAAAAAGTTAGGCTGGAAATTTTCTCTCTGGAAAATTGTTCGCCATGTATATTTTCAACTAAAATTTTCCTCCAAAGCCGGTTGTTTCACAAAATTTTCCAGATTTCATTACATTTCAATTCGACAAACAACCAACGCAACACTCAATTTTATCCGGTGAAAAATCGAGATTAAAATCTAGATAATCAAAAACCAATTCAACATTTTGTAACATCCCTCAAAAATATGAATTCTAGAAACAAATTCAAAACGTGCTCCAATTGTTTTTGGGTCACTTGAACCTTTAAAACCCGTGAATAATTTCAAAATCAATCAGTTTTATATTCTAGTCTCATTGTATTGTAGTATGTATTCTTCTATTAGTTAGCTAAATGGGTTCATCGAATGATTTGGAAAAATGCTTATTTTTCGAACTTTTATTTATTTATGGTATTTCGCAAATCAACATCAATTGCAATTAATTCACTAGAACTCTTTTTTCATCAAATGAATTATTATTTCTTTTGGTGTGTTGAGGTTTTGCAATGGAAAACGTACGAGAATTTCAGAAAATTACCAATTTTCGGTTGCTCTACTTTCTGAAAAATGATATGAACTCATTCAAAAATAATTGGTTCTGAAACTAATTACAGTATTGGAATAGTTCGATTTTTTGCCACGTTAATGCTATATTCTGGGCGAGATGTATACCCCACGATTTTTGAAAAATTATCTTTTGATGTGTACTTTGAACTGCCAAAACTAGGAAAAAACCGTTTTTTTTTAGATAGTCTACCTTCAGTTTTTCAGTTTTTAGATTGAAAAAAAAATCTCAAGAAACTATTCCAAATGTTTTTTCAATTTCAAAATTTTTCGAAATAGTCAAAACTTCACTCCTCGGATCAGATCCCTTCTGAAAATTCGGGATTTGAGATATCAATTTTCAAAATTTAGCTCACAAGGAAACGTTTTCAATGTTCCCCCTGAAAAAAAGTGATACTATGCGGAAAGTGTAGTACCCCCATGGGTGTGAAAAAGCCCAAAGGGAATTTGGAAACAAAAATTTATTTTCATGGGAAAGTTGTCATCGAAGATCAAAAAAGATGTCATTTTCAAAAAATCATAAAACGGTTCAAAGTTCACGAAAAGTTTCGATCAAAACAGAATTCTTTACAAGGAAACCTTTTTTACTCAACACTTCAAACCTTGATGAAACTTTGTCCAGAGACAGCTTTTGGGGTCATATGAACACCCTAAAAATTTTAGTCTCCCAATGGACCTCTGAGCCAAGTTCTGGGCTCTCGAAAGTTCAAAAATTGCCAAAATTGGCTCATAAAACACATCATAACTCAATTTTCAATCATTTTTATGAAAAACTGAGTAGCAGATGATGATCAGCGTGGTCGATTTACCCAAAAAACATCAATAAAGCAAATTTTCAGAAAAATTTTTGATTTTGGAAAAAAGAATGAGCAGGGGCACATATGAATTTTCATGAATTTTCAGCCCAAAAATAAAAAACTTCAAAATTTTTTGACATGGAGCTATGATGCCTTTTATGACCATTTTTAGGCCTTTTTTGAGTTTTTGAGAGCCCAGAACTTGGCTCAGAGGTCGATTGGGAGACTGAAATTTTTAGAGTGTTCTTATGGCCCCAAAAGCTGTCCATGGACCAAATTTCATCATGATTTGAAGTGTTGAGTAAAAAAGGTTCCCTTGTTAGCTAAAATTGTCAATTTTAATCTTACTATATACTAATTGGGAAAATTTTTTTGGCAAGAGTGTGTCCGGGACCCGTTCTCCAAACTGTGCGCATAAAAATTGATGATCAAAAAAAGAAAAAGTTTCTAAATGTTGGCAGCTCGGTGCGCATCCTATTCATGCTTTTTCAAAATGTATGAGAGTGCGCGGAGAACGAAAAGTTTGAAAACTCCAATGTATTTTTCGAATTTAAAATGTGTCGCTCGACTTTTCTCAACTCCCAGAAATCCATTTTTGATGAGACCTTCACCATTCGATCCCAAATTCTTTCCCATCGAGGCGCTAATATTCCATTTTTCAAAAAGTGCGCGAGTTTTCACGTGAAAAATCAAAACTTTTTTCATGTAAAAAAGAATGAGCACGTTTTTATTCCAAAAAAATTAAAGGACACGTTCTTATCTGATCGTTCTATTTTCTAGAACATAGCCAACAATTTTTGAGCATTTCTCGATTATAGCTTCTTCCTAATAGATTGGGTGTATTAATAGAAAAATGTGATTTGAATTACTGTAGAGATTGTCATTAGTAATTTGAAACTTTAGATGAAAACCGTTTCCAATGAGTTGAAGAAGAGGAACCGATTCGTATTCCGTGAATTTCGGTATAGGTATAGAGAGAAGAAAGATGAGAAAAATTCTACCGCCGCGCTCTACGTACACTAATATTGCTCAGCCTAGATGATTCCAATAGAAGAAAAAAAACGTAGTAATAAGAAATGAAAGAAAGTTGAGAACTTGAAAATCATGGAATTTCAGGAACCTCAACGGATTTCTCCGATTTTCAAAAGAGGAGGTAAAATAAGAAAAACTGTAATGAAAAAAAACCTGAATTTGGATTTCCTTAATTAAAAGTAAGAGACCGTTTAGATTCCTGAAATTTCATGTCTTTCGAGTACACAACTTTCTCTAAATGTTTATAAAACGGATTTCAAGATAGAGATTTGACGAGAAAGGAAAATAATGGAAAAACACATCCTCTGTCATTTAAAGGTGGAGTCCGAGCAAAAAATAAGGTGTGCTCATTTGAAAGAGCATGTTCTAATTAGTACAATCCTCGAAGGATTTTTCTGGAAGCTTTTCAAGTATTAAATATAAGCTACAGTACTTATATGGCGTCCAAGTGAAAGAAGCGTTCGTAGATCTACGTTAGTGTGCGCCAAGAAAGTGTGAAAATGAAACAAATTGCGCGCCTAGAGAGAATTTCTAAGTGTCATATGTGTTTTTTAGGCCATTCTGAAGTGAATGACTGAAAATATATGTTGAAATGAGCAAGCGTTCAAAAAATAATCGTTGCATTTGGACACTCTCTAACGCGTTATCGCGTAGGTTTTTTTGTCACTTGGACGGCGTATTATGGACTTTCAATTTTACACGGTGTGTCACTGTTTTTTCGAACTTTGTAATTTTTAACCAATGTTTGAGAAGCTTCCAGAAAAAATCCTCCGAGAATTTTACTAATGAGAACATGCTCTTTCAAATTAGAATTACTTAGTTTTTGCTCAGAATCCACTTTTAAAATCAATTTTATCGAAAGGTTCTGCGAAATCAGAAAAATGCAAATCAAAAAAACATTCAAAATGGGTTCAGGACGGAATTTTTCCGTATTTTTAGACGACTTTTTCGTATTTTTAGACGACTTTGGAGTGAAATTCAAAATCAAAAGAGTATTTTATTTTTGAACCGAGAATGTCCGCTGAATCGGTTGAAATTTTGATAATTTCTATCGTTTTTTGAAGACCCATTTTGCAGGAATTTGAAAACCAATCGATATTCGTTTTGAAAAAAAAAGAAAATTCAAGCACTGACCTTTTTTCCTCGAAACTCACGGACCCATTTTGGGAATCCATTTGATATGTGCCTTATAAAACCAGCCTCTGATGGGCGTGATTATGGACAAAGCATACGTCATGCTCATGAACAATTAATTTGATGATGCTGATCATAACTTCGAACTCAGAAATTGCAAAATGAGTTTCTATTTGAGTAAAGTTTCACTTTCCCTTCATCTTCACTACTTTACCGTGTGAAAAAAATGTCTGTTTAAAAATTGGAATTTAATAAGTTTTTCAATTATCAAAAAAGGCAGGTGCTAAAAACCGCAAATTTCACAAAAGTACACACAAAAATATTTTTGAATTCTTATGCAATTTTTAAGGATAGTTTTTTTTTCAGCGGCTGTTGCTCTATCTTGAAAAACTGAAATTCTATGGGGTTCTCAAATATTATCAAATGAACTCAGAGGGATTATCAAAGTTATATGTAGAATGTTAGGCTCGGGGTTGTCATTGGAGTGATTTTTCCTCCTTTTGAGAAAGGTTAGGGCATCGGCGTTAGTGTGGTCAGAAAAAGTATCTCAAATACCACTGTTCGTGATTTGATTAAAAGCTTAGATATGTGGGTTAAAAATTAGGAGATAAGTGATCATGTTGCATATTGCTGATTTTTTCGGTTTCTCAACAAATTGTTCAAAATTAAAAAGTTTAGTTCCATTCCTAACAGGACTTCAGAGAAACGAACTGTTTATCACAGGAATACTGAGCGCGAAGCCGCAAAAACCCAGAAGGAGGAGCCGGCGATAGCCGGCGGAGCCCTTCTGGTCTTATTTTAATTGTGATATTTAAAAAAATTAAAGAAATTTTTAAATTTTAAAAATTCGAAAAATTTGATTTTTTCTACCAGAAGATGGAAGTTGTGTGAGATGAGACTAGAAAAATCAAATTCTACGCCCAAAGTTACGTCTATGGGCATATATAAATTGTTCGGTTCCCGGCCATTTACAGACGGAAAAAAATAAAAATTAATTTTTTGCGCTTGAAACCACCTAAACGGCAGTTTAGAAATGTTTGCGCATGCGGTCAAGTCGTTAAGTGCATTAATTACGGAGTTTTGATAGCCAGGTTCAATCCCCGCCACGGGCAAAGCTTTCAAAATGTCATTTCTAGAATAGGTTAACTAGGAAATCCAAATTGGAGCATATTTCCTTGAGTAATGGAAACAAACATTTGCAAATTACGACCGAGCTGCAAGTGGTCTGCAACGTGCTCGCTTGCGCAACGTCTGCAGAGAGTAATTGAAAATTAGATTTGAAATCTTGAGGAAACAAAAAATAGAAAAAAATTCGGAAAACAAATATCCTAAAATTTTTCAACAGGTCTGCTGCAGACCCTCTGCAGACGTTGCGCAAGCGAGCACGTTGCAGACCACTTGCAGCTCGGTCGTAATTTGCAAATTTTTGTTTCCATTACTCAAGAAAATATGCTCCAATTTGGATTTCCTAGTTAACCTATTCTAGAAATGACATTTTGAAAGCTTTGCCCGTGGCGGGGATTGAACCTGGCTATCAAAACTCCGTAATTAATGCACTTAACGACTTGACCGCATGCGCAAACATTTCTAAACTGCCGTTTAGGTGGTTTTAAGCGCAAAAAATTAATTTTTATTTTTTTCCGTCTGTAAATGGCCGGGAACCGAACAATTTATATATGCCCATAGACGTAACTTTGGGCGTAGAATTTGATTTTTCTAGTCTCATCTCACACAACTTCCATCTTCTGGTAGAAAAAATCAAATTTTTCGAATTTTTAAAATTTAAAAATTTCTTTAATTTTTTTAAATATCACAATTAAAATAAGATTAAAATTGACAATTTTAGCTAAAGAATTCTGTTTTGATCGAAACTTTTCGTGAACTTTGAACCGTTTTATGATTTTTTGAAAATGACATCTTTTTTGATCTTCGATGACAACTTTCCCATGAAAATAAATTTTTGTTTCCAAATTCCCTTTGGGCTTTTTCACACCCATGGGGGTACTACACTTTCCGCATAGTATCACTTTTTTCAGGGGGGAACATTGAAAACGTTTCCTTGTCAAAAAAATTTCAACGTGACACGTATTTTTATTTTCCAAACTGCCAACAATTTTTTCTCACTCATTTTTTAATATTTAAAAATTTCGAATCAAGCGATAAAAAATGAAATTATTTCTGATAATAAATCTATTTCTATTTTCTTCCACTTCAAGTTTTACAGTAACTAATACATGTAGAAAACCCAGTAATGGAAGAGAAACTGTGAGTTTAATAATTTTGAAACGAAATTATTGAAAATCAATAAACCATTTTCAGGGTTGCTTATTAGTTGTACAATTCAGTAATTGCGAATTGCAATCAGCAAGTGCTGAAAATTTAAAGGTTCAAGAGAGAATTGAAGAGGTAATAATATTTTAGACCGAAATTTTGATCAAATTTTATTACTTTATTAGATTGACAAGAGAGGTGGATTTCAATGTTACGGAGTTATACCTCAAAAAGTTCGTTGTTTTGTTTCATACAATAATTTGGATCGCGAGTCTGATAATCGGTATAAGATCAATGAGGATGTTGTAATAAGAATATTGAAATCCCATTCTGATATCGAAACAAAAATAAAAAATCGATTGGTACAAGTTAGTTGGATCAAAGCAGCTTACGAAAACAATAAACCTGTTACTAAGGAAGAAGAAATCAAGCACTGGAAAGATTGTGTTCTGAAAAATATAGAACTACCTCGTGAGTTTTAGCTATTAAATTTTAATGAACACTTTATACTGATTTTGAAACTTGTTAAACAACGGTTTTATATGTATTTTATTTTCAGCACGCTCTACTTCTTCTCCTTTTCCACCTATATCTTCTCAACCACCTCCAACACAACCAGCATCTGTGTCCATTTCCACCTTCTACTGTTCCTTCAACTTCGGAACCACCTCCTATTTCAACGACACTTCCACCAACAACTCAAAATCCAAACATCACACAGATTAAATTGAATTGCACAAATTCAAATTCAAATGATTTTTGTCGATACGATGTGAAGTACAATTCTCTCCGAATCACATCAATTATTTCAACACCGTATTCAATTTCTGATCCGAAGGTGAATTTAATTTATTATTAAAATTAAAATTATGAATATCAATTTTTAGATCTCGTACTATTATTCCAAACAATTATTCAGTTGTCGAGCTTATCATAATTTCTTCACTTGTTTTTGCTCAACCAATTATTCACAATGTTTCTTGATTGAAGAAGTATTTGAGGCAATTTATATTTTGAGTCGAGATAATTATACAAGATCTAGCTCTGAACTCAAAAATCAGGGAAATTCTGAAGAAATCGGGAATTTCGGACCTCTCCTAGATCTTCTGGAAAATTATAGAAGTCAAGAAATTGAATCGGATCTGAAAAGTCAACAAGTAATTCATATCAGTGAAGATTGCGATATAACAGGATCGAATCGTCCAGTTAGTTTAACTCCCACTAGAAATACACAGTATTTCAGTGATCCAAAGAAACCAGGAAGTATTTCAATTGAGATGGATCTTACAAATAGCTCAGGTTTATCATTGAATATATTTTGTAACATTCAATGTCGAGAAAAACAGAATTTTCCATCGGTTTCGGATTTATTGAGAAAACAGCTGTATTGGAAAAATCATAAATTTATTGATTTTATTGGTCCCAATAATGAACCAGATGGTTATATTCTATGCGCCTATAATGCGTTGAAATCACAAGGTCTGAATCTGAATGTGGAGGAGAGTTTGATCGATTTGAATTCCACATATTTCAAAAATGATCGAGGAGATCTTACTGTTGATCTAATTCTATGCTCAACCCAATCTATTGTATTTGTATTTTTCATATTTATATTTATGATAATTGGAATTATTTCAAATTCTCGACATCGAAAGAAGGTTCCTGAATTGAAAAAGAAGCAGCCTGTTGTTGGTAAGAATCTTCTTCCGCAAACTAAAGAATGTTTTCAAAATGTGATGTTTTTCAGTTAATCGAGAGGTTAATAAGACGACTGAGAATACGAAAAGCAAACATACTACTACAACCGATTCAAGATCTGTTGATTTTTATGAAAATGTTACCAAAACTGAGACGGTTAATAATACGGATTTGGCGAGTAATTTTGATGAGACAAAGAGTATTGAGAAGAAAAAGTGATTTATTTTTGAATGAAGGATTTTTCAATAGACAATTTTAGATATTTTTTGAAAATTTGTAATTTCTAGACTCGAATTTTTTTTTGATCTACAAGCTGTTGTTGATAGAAAACGCGTACCCTTTTTACCCTTGTGTAAAATCAATAAACATGATTTGGAATATACGTCTTCTTTCTCTCACTATTTCTCTCTCCATTTTCCACACTCTCTCATTTACTCTGCTTCTCTACTCAAAATTGCGTTGTTCCCTTCTACTCTTCATATTTTATTGTCATGTAGCTATTCTTTTACCTATATTTTCTTTTTTCTTTGAAATTAACATTGAGCGAAAACATTTATAATTTCATTATTATTTTCAGAAACCAGGAATAAAGTCCATCCAACAATATCCATATTCATCATCATCATTATACCAAATGCATTCTCCAGAAAACATACAATCCAAATGTCTGGTACATTTTATTTTGGTTGGAAAGCTCAAAGTGATGGCGACGATCATTGAGAAAAACAAGAGAATATTCAAGAAGTTTGACATTTTGTTGTGAATTTGATGGAGAAAAATGTGAGTTTTATGCGGGATTTTTAATTGAATTATTTGGTTTGGTTTGCAAAATATTAGCAACTTGGAGAAATTTTGGAATTCATGAACTCAGAAATTTGAGAGTTTGAAGTTCTGATTCTAGTTTCCGTATTTTTGGAAACCTGTGAGTATTATTCCACAGGTTACTGTAATTAAAGAGAGCATTGTTAAGTATTAGAACCACAGTAACCTGATGAAAATGTTGTTTGTAATTGTTGGAGATTTTCAAAACCTGAAAATGCCTTTTACATTCTGAAATTTACTGTTTTTTTGAATGTTTGATATATTTTTCACAGGCCTGATCGTCTAGAATTTCGGTAACTCCACTGTGTTTTTTTCTGATCAGTGAAAACAAAACCAGGAACACAACTTTCAAAAGTAAGAGAAGGGTTTCTAGAACTTTTTGAATATATTTTTCACAAAAAAAAAAAATATAAAAATGTTCTACAATCTTAAAGTATCAACGCTCTATTATTTTTTTTTAAGTTTCATTCATTTGAAATCTTAAAATTTTCATTGAAAATTTAACTGTACTTTTGCTCTTTCTTCTAATGTTTTCAAACAAATTTTTTTGTTCCTGGTGTTGTTTTTGCAAAATTTTCCCCGATCAAAATCAATTATTTCATAAATTTCACAAAATCGCATCAAAAATTCCTTATAAAAATCGTATGATCCTTCAGTAGAATCATAACAAACAAAATGTCGATTTTCTTCAACATTCTCTTTATTCTCTCATTGATTTCTGTTACTATGGCATGTAGAAGCAATGCTCAATGTCCACCAGGTTCACGTTGTTACATTAACCCTGGTGAAACCAAAGGACATTGTGATATCAAACGTTTCAACTAATTTGCGTAATTGAAAATCACAATTTCGATAAATAAATGTTCATTTTCTCATTTTCGGAAGTGTTGAAGTTCCAGAGTTTATTCAGAACCACAAGTTTAGTTTTCGAAACTCTGAAACTCACGCATTCTATGCCAGAATCTTCAGAATCAATAAATTCTGCATCTGACACGTTGTTTTCTGTAAAATCCCAGAGACACATTGTCTGTGTGATTTTTCTATCAATATTTATTCAATCACCGGCTTTTCAAAAAATCATACATCGAAAAATGTTAGTTCTTCTAACATTTCTCCTGATTTTCCATCCAATTTATTCAAAAATCTGCAATTCTCCGGAATGCAAACAAATCTCGAAGCGATATCTGATGAATATGAATAGTTCTGTCAATCCTTGCGATGATTTCTATGAATTTACTTGCGGTAACTACGCAGAAACTCATGAAATTGCACAACATTCGGGAAGTGTTAGAATGCTTCATGAAATCTCAGATGGTCTTGATAAACATCTTCTAGATGTTTTGTTTGATCGAACAGTGACTTCGAAACCAGTGATTTTTGCGCAAAGATATTTCAGATCTTGTATGCGATTTCGAAAAAGTTTGACGCCTTTCCAGAAATTGGTATCCCAAGTTTTTCCGGATGACCATGTTTCTTGGGAAATTATTGCTGGAAAGCTCTCACTTCACAATATCCAACCTGTTTTTTCAATTGAAGTCGAACAATCATTACAAAATAGTTCGGAATCAATCTTGCATTTCAAGACTCCTGAATTACACTTTGAAAGTGAGGAATCTTATAAGGATGTTAAGATTATGGGATATTACAAAACGTATTTAATGGATCTGTTCGATCAGTTCGACTGTTTTCTATCTGAAAGAGAAATTGATGATATAATCAATTTTGAGAAATCATTAGCGACTATCAGTTTTGATGATCAGACAAATCATAGCTATCATGATAATTTGATGAGTTATTCTAAATTTAAAAGAACATATATTGGAGTAATAATTTATGATTATTTCAACAAGGATCTTCAAGAATATATGAATCTCAATGACAATTCAAAAATCAACATTTTCAATTTGGAATTCTTCAAAAATCTTGAAGCAATTCTGAAAACCACGTCAAATTCAGCCATTGTCAACTACCTAAAATTCAACTTTTTCAAACATTATTTGGACTATCTTCCAGAATCTTATAAACGACCAAAAGAAGTATTCAAACAACAAATTTTTGGGCTGAAACCTCACAAAACTCGCGAAGCAATGTGTCTGAATGAAGTTTCGAAAAAACTCGATTTACAATTAGCCGCCGGATTTATTGAGAAATATTTCAAAAAAGATGATAAGAAAATGGTTAGTTTTAGACAAAATCATGGCACAAATTATGAAAATGAAGTAACGAATTTCAGGTCGAATCAATGGTCCAAAATATAAAATCTGTAATGAGAGATATCTTGAAAAATGCGATTTGGTTGGATGATTTAACTCGAAATGAAGCTTTGAAAAAATTGGAGAAAATGAAGGAATTGGTTGGATATCCGGAATATATTTTGAATGAGACTCGACTTTTCTTGCCTTTCGAGAATGTTAATATGAATGGGAAGTATTTGGAAATTGTTGTAGGGATAAATAAAGCAAAACGCAGGTGAGCAATTTAAACAGTGGTCTTTTGAACTCTTGGTTTTTCCAAAACACATTTTTCAGATACAATTTACTTGGAATAAATCGGCCAATCGAAATTGATTGGTCAAACAAACTAATCAACATAAATGCACATTATAACGCAAATTTGAACGCAATTTTCATGAATGCTGGAATTCTACAATTCCCAATGTTTTCACCAAATGCTCCGATTTATACAAATTATGGATCTGTTGGTTTTGTCATTGCTCATGAAATCACTCACGGATTCGATGATGAAGGTTCACAATATGATGGAGATGGACATTTGAGAAATTGGTGGGATTATGAAACATCGAAAAAATATGTGGATGCTTCACAGTGTTTTGTTGATCAATATGGGAAGCAAAAAGAGAAATTGACAGGTAGAATTTTGGATGGTAAATTGACACTTGGCGAAAATATTGGGGATAATGGGGGAATTCGACTCGCTTATGAAGGGTATTTGAGAACTCTAAACAAATTAGATGTTGTAGAAGATCTAGAAGGTTTCTCCAAGTACACCAAAGAGCAGATGTTTTTCATTTCTTATGGAAACATGTTGTGTGAATCTTGGAGACCAGAAGCAATGAATCAATTATTGAAAAGTGATCCACATACACCGGGAGATTTTCGGGTTAATATACCACTTCAGAATTTCCCAGAGTTTTCGAAAGCTTTTCAATGTAAGCTGGAATCGAAAATGAATCCGGAAAAGAAATGTAGAGTTTGGTGAATACATTTTGTTTTGAAATAAACGATTGAAATTGGGGTGTTCTGATCAAATCTCATTTTCTGAATAATTGTAGAATTCAGATAAATTTTAGATTATTTCCTTTTCATTAATTTTAATGTTTATATTAATCTATGTTTGTTTCTGAAAATTCGAAATAATCTCAAATTTTGAAATTGTGGTTATAAGTTTTGAAAAGTCAAAGATTTCCCCCCCAAAAAAAATAATGAGGCACTTTTTTGTTTCAACTTTTTTGCACCTCCATTTCTTGTTCCGGAAGAGTTTCGAAATGTTTTTTTCAAAATGAAAAAAAAATCCCATCCCATTACAAAAATTCAACTCCCACATAAAAATCCTTTTTTTTTTTGAAAAAAATAATGTGAATCCGCTAAAAGCATCCAAATTTCACAATTTGGTTTTCTGTTTACAAAAAAATTATTTCAAAGTTTCCACGTGGCTCTCTAATTTTATGGATCAAAACCGCCCGCGTGTTACATCATTTCAAAATTTTGAATTACGAAAAATTCAGATTTTTTTAATTGACAAAATTGTCATATTTAAAGTGGGCGTTGAAAAAACATTTCATTTTTTCGCCGACGCCCGTAAAAAACGAGGCCAAAATTAGATCAAGTATTGAGCCAGTCAGTGATTCAATTTACCACTTTCTCCCTTTTCTTCTTCTTTTTTTATATAACTTCTTTTTTTCGCCAACTTTTTTTCATAGATCTTGCAACTTTTGTGTTTTGTTCCGCCAAAAAAATCATGTTTTTCCAGAAAAAAAGTTTTTTTTAAAGTTTTTTTTTCTGGATTTTCATTATTTCTTTTTCGTGAGATATGCAAATTATTTTATTTTTGCGGGGATTTATGGAGCTGAAAAAACTGGCTAATAGCTGTCAGAAAAATAAAAGGATTTTTGCGTGAGGCTTCCGTCTGCTTTTACAATTAGATAGTTCAGATGACTTTTTAATCTTGAAGAATTTTTTGGCTGAAAATTTTCAGAAAATTTTGATACTTAACATTTGAGAAGACATTTTTAAGGGGAATTTTTATCTGAAATTTTTCAAGTTTCAGAAAATTTGGCAATTTTTTCTATGTGCAAAATTGCGGCACAGTATTCCCTCGGAATTTGTTTCTCCACCCCACTTATATCTTTTTTCCCAATCACAAGGCCCTGGATCGAATCCGATTGCCCGCGCACATATTTTTTCCATTGTTTTTTTTGCAAATACATAAAATTGGATTTTGTGCCGCGCCAAGCTCGCGCGGAACAACAAAAAACCAGAAAGAGAATAGAATATATTAATTCATGTCAGATTTTTATATGACATTCATTTTTCTCCTCGTTTTTTGCTTTGTTTTCCTTTTCGTACTAGATTCAGATTTTCAGCTTTAGTTGTCTGAAAATCCGAAAAAATTGAATTTTCCGCCAATAAAAGTGTCCCCTAAAAATGCATCCAAAGAAAAAAAAAACAAATTTTTCGAACAACTTGCTTTTTGGCGGCGAAAATTCCCCCGGGAATCCAAATTTCTCTATTTTTCGTCTTGAAAAAACTTTTTGACGCTTCATTTTCGAACAAAAATGGTCTCGAGGGGAAATAAAACAGGCCACGCCCACTTTTTGTCCAAGTTTGTTGCTTTTCGAGATTTTTTTGAGAGAAGGTTTTAGATTTAAAGAACGGAGTAGAGATGCGGCGTAGTTTTGTGGGAGGAGCTTGTCAGTTTGCAAATCTGGCACGGTTTTTGTGTTGGGAATCGCAGCTCCGCCCATTTTCTGCAACCCTGGCACACTTTTTCCGGATAAATTATTTTTTGAAAATTTTTTAAAAGTAAGGCTTTTCTACATTTTTTTAATCAAAAAACTTTAGGCTCCGCCCATTTTTCGCGCTCTTCTGATCCCTTTTTCCTTTTCCCTTCTCGAACACTTTTTCCTAATTAGGATAGATTTATTTTATTATCAAATTCCCTCTTGAGTATCACATTTTTCTCCTTATTTTCTTCATTTTTCATATTTTTTTCTGAAATTCGAGTTGAAGTGCCTAAGCATTGCCCGGTTGCCCAAATATGTATCAAATTTCGCCGCTTGATTTTTCATATTTGTTTTTTCATAAGCTTTCGAATTTCCCGTTTCCCCCTTTTTTACCGGAAAAAATTGTAGTAAAAAACATTTTTTTCGTGGAAGCTTAGGTACTTGAACTAGAAAAATATGTATGTGTGTGGGAAAATGTGTTTTTTTTTGGGCTTTCTTGGAGGAACGAGGCAGCAATTTTTTATTGCTGAAATTCTTTCAGATGTGGGCGACGATATTCAGAAAACGGGCTGTGGATGAACAATTTTTGAGACATTCTGAATGGGCCAGAAGATTGGGAATTCCACTCGTTTTATCGCTGGGTACGTTGTTTTTTCATTAATTTTGAACGTTTTCTGCAGAAAACTGAAAAGTGGTCTGAAAAATCAGAGAGGATGATAAAAATTATGAAAAATTTCTGGTTTCTCATTTTTTAAACTACAATTTAATTAATTAATTCCGAGAATTCGGAAAAATTTGAAACTGTTTCGTGGGATTTGATGGAATTTTTTTAAAGTTCAGAACTTCAGGGTTAATTTTCCCATCGACTTTTTTTGTTGCTCTTTGAACGTTTTCTGAAAAAAAAACCTGAAATTGGTATAGAAATATGTGTGGGAATATAAGTTCTAAAAAACCTGCCACGTCATAGTTGAATTTCAGCATCGATAAAATCAATCTCCCTTCTGCTCTTCATCATCCTCCCACTTAGCCTAACTCAACTCGCCGGACCATCAACTGTTTTTGCACTAATCTTCACATTTTTTGTGGTTTTTCTAGCAGGTTAAAATATTTCCAAAATTTCTAGCATTCGAATAAATCTGAAATTTTGCAGCCAATCATCAATCCGAACTATCATGTGCAATGCCAAAAAACTGTGTACAATATCATTTTGCGTTTTCACTTTTCGGCGAATTTCCCGCATTTTTGATTGCGTGGTTCAGTTTGGCGGATTATATTGTGCAAGCTGCGTTATTCTGTCGATCTTGGGCACAACATTTTAATGCATTATTTCGGGGTCTTCCCGCGAAATCGTTGACTTTTCAATTATTTTCGGAGGATTCGGAGATTCTGAGTTCGAAATATGATTGGTTATGTGTGCTTGCGGCGGTGATGACATTTACTCTGCTTCTCTGCAGTCTACGGGTAAGTATGATCTCTAACATCAACAGTCTCGGTATATCTGCCTAGCTTCTCTAACCTCTCTAGCCTCTCTAGTTTCTCTGATTCTCTTATTTTTCAGATGCTCTATTTTTCTTCTCTAACTTCCTGTCTAGTTCAAAAATTATTCTCCCTAATATTTTAAATTATTCATTTTTAATATTTAGTTTCACATACATTTTTGTAGTCTCAGAAATTCTGATGAAAAATCTGATGCGTGAGAAAGGCTTGAATAATTATTCGTTGAATTTTTTTTGAACTGAACTTTGTCTCTACCCTTCCTCTAGCTTCTCTAACTCTCTCACTCCTTCCCACTATCTCTCTCTCATTTTCCAGGTCGTCGGCACTATCTGCGTCTCTCTTCTCATCGTCACAATGCTCATCGCTTCCTCTTGTTCACTGGTAGCCTTTTTCCATCTTGATCCAGAAAACTGGCTCAACGCCAACTTTTTTGGTTTCGGATTGAAAGGAGTACTGTATTCGATTTGTGCTTTGACCGCATGTTATACTGGAGTTGAAAGCACATCGTGTTTATTGGAAGAGACTAAGAATCCAAGGAAGAGAATTACTTCGGTCCTCAATTTTTTGGTAGTTTCGCTGACGATTGTATTTTTTGTATTGGCATTGGTTTTCAGGTGAGACAACATTTGAAGTGATTTTGAAGTTGTGTCCAAAAGTTTTGAACCGGAATCTTGAAAACTAAATTTCGAGAGATTTTCGAAAAAAAATCAAAAGATCACAAAATGAACAGTTTCAGAGAAATGTGTTTTCCAAGTTCTGACATCTGAAACCTGAAAATGAAAGAAAAACTGCATTAAAGGGTTGGTCCTGCTATAGGAAAACTTAGGCTCAATCGATAGAGCTAAGGTGCTCCTGAAACATTCCATATTTTATTTTGATTTTAGAGCGAGTTTTCACCATTTTATTAATGTTTTTGTTGGGTTTTAAGGTTTTAGTGCATATAAAAAACATGTGTGCTCTTGACACACATAATTTATTTGTGTGTACTTCTCGCGAAATGCATTTCCTAACATTTTTCAACTATGGAAAGTGATTTTAATCAACTTTAGGCTTGCTTATAGTTAGTTTTAAAAAGTGACGCACTATTGCGGACTTGTTTTCTCGTGTAGCAGGACCAACCCTTTAAAAGTCCCACTCCAATCCTAAAGTTCAAAACTCAAACTTCAATACGTGAAAGTTCAGCAAAATGATCCAAACAATACAAAAATCCAGATTATCCTTTATCCTTCAGAAAAATAACCAAATCTCGGATTAGCTAAATTATCTTTCCTAGTAATGTATAGATTTGGGAGCACTCATGATTCATCAAGTAAATCTTTAGGGGTCATCTCGAATTTCTCAATTTTTCAGCCTTTCCACAAATGTTGCTCAACTTGATGACAATATTTTGATCCCTGAAGTATTCACAATTTTGAATATCCCAGCTGCACGGTAAGTTATGTTATGTTTTTTCATTCCTATTCTATTCTCTTTTTTTTTGTTGAGTACTCTCAAAGTCCTAAGTTAGGCTAACTGTAAGCCTAAGTGTCCACATTCTATCTTTATTTTCCATTTCCTTGTTTCTGTGTGTTTTCATCGGGAATCGAATCCAGTGAATCCTTGTAGGTCACCAAGATTAGTGCTCAAAAGATTCCCGATGATTCACACCACATCTACAACCACTACCTACACAATCACCAACACCACCTTCACCAATCACTTCAGATCACATCACGAGTCGGGCTTTCAACGAATGCGGTTTGTTGCAAATTGAGTTGTTTTGAGAGCATAATAAGCTTCTACCTGATTTTTTGGGAACTCTTTTAGTTTATTTTGATTTTGATTATGAATCCTGGGTTGCGCAGCATTCGAACAGCGTTTCTCAAAAAAGAAAATTTGAGATTTTTTTTAGATACATGCTTTCGGTTTGCTCAGTTTGCGCGTTATCTGGCGGAGTTTTGGCGAGTTTCTTGCCAGCCACACGAGTTATTGCGGCGTTGAGTCACGACAAATTGCTACCGTATGCTAAGGATAAATCGACAAAGTCACCGTATTTCGCTGTGTTCTTGTGTACAGTTCTTGTTTCGATGACAACCATTTTTCAAACAAGAGTGCTGACTGATTTTGTGATTTTTTGTGCCCCGATTAAGTTGATGATCACGGTGAGTAGATAGGGAAAATTGACTCGGAAATTTGGAATCAAGACGCAACATAACCTTCACAATTTTCTAGATCATCCTAACCTATTTCCAACATTATCTTCCTGAACCAATTGGAATTCCTGAAGAAACAAGCAGTTATAAATCGATCGGTAAAAAACGAGTTCGAGTCAGAATCGATGATGGAGTCTCAATTGAGGAGAGTATTCGATCTGATGATGAATCAATGGTCAGCAGATCAACTTTTGATACAACTGCTTTTCTTTATCTCAAGGCTACTCGAATGGAAACTGATAGACTTCAGAAGAAGCTTGAGCGTCAACAAGAAAGACAAAACTTTCTGCCGAAATCTGTTTCACAATATCATTCAATACCAACAACATCGAAACATTTGCATAATTGTGTGGCTGAACAATGTGTTGATAGAGGAGCAGATGAGGATAACTCGCTGGGTTCGGATGATATTCATCTTTTCACATCGGAAGATCAGGAAGTCCCATTCTTCACTGATAATAATTGTGTTCATCGAGGAAATACGCCGAGTTTGATGGTTTCTAGTTCAACTTATCGGAAAGCAAGGATTCTTCTGATTTTGTTTATGGTATGCACTTCAGTGGCATCAGTGTATATTCGAGTATTCGCAAGATCCGATGAAACATCTTTTGCATATATTTTTTCGGGAGTATTTCTAATTGTTATTGTTTTGGTAGCGATTTCAATCTGCAAACTTCAAACCAATGATTATTTGCACAAAAGAACTTCTCGAGTTCCTCTATTTCCCATGGTTTCTCTGGTATCTCTATTCCTTCTCACTGTCTCGCTTTTCGGTTCGATACCCATTGAAACCGTCAAACATCTCGGTTTCATCATTCTCATTGGTGTGCTCAATTATGCATTATATGGCTATCGTCACAGCTCACAGCGGAATCGGCGGTGTGTTGTAATTCAAAATCAGTGTTCGAGGTCAGAAACAAGGGATGAGCAATATTTTCCGATTATTGGAGATGATAATTCTTCGCAAATGTGATTTCCTTCCTAGAAATTCAATTGTTTGATATCTGTAAATTATGAATGAATTGTGAATTTGAAGCACAATTACGGGAAAGTAATTAAATTTGCAGATTTATTTTGAAAATATCACCCAATTAATAAGCTGGTGCAATTTTCTTGATTTGATAACCTCCTTTGAGTGCACGATTTGGTTTCAAAGTGAAGACATACAAGACTTCTCCATAGTGATAACTGATAAGAAGATTTTTGGTGTGCAAATCGAATGTAGCTTGAATCGAAGGATGGAAGAAGATATCTTGAACATCGACATTTAACAAGTATTCCAGATATTGAGCTGAAATTTAAAATAATTTAGATTTAGGGAACTAGGGTCAAGTTCATACTTTTGTTCCTCTCATTTCCATCAATGTTGAATGATTTGAAATCTTCAGTGAAATAAACTGCAATTCCTTTAACTCCTTCACGTCGATAAGCATCATCGAAAGCATTTTCGAAAACATTGGCTTGTTCAACGGCTAAGCGATCGGGAGCAAAACAGAGAGCAGCACCGAAAATGGCAAAGACAACAATGATTTTTGAAAACATTTTGATTGTGTGGTTCTTGTGGATTGAAAGAAACTTTTTATATGCAGTTTTCGGAAGGAAGTTTTTGAAATTTTCTGATGAAAAATGATTTGATTATTTCATCAGCAAAATTCTTCTATGTAGAATGATCCTTTGAGCACAAAAAAAGGAAGAAAACTTCGAAAAAAATTAATAAAAACACTAGGCCACGTTTTTTACGTGTTCCAGTTTACTTGCTCAATCTGAGATTTTCTCACTTATCTCACTCATTTCCTAAAAAGGTATAAACGGCGAAAAAGTGCAAAATATTTTTATATAAAAAAGAGAATAAAAAATGGACAATTCTTCATCGCAAAATGGTAAAGTATCATCGGAAAAAGCGAAAAAACAGGCTGAGGATTTGGATGAAGCAAAATCGGAACAATCAAAAGTTCCAATCAATATCGATCCAGAAGAGGCAAGATTTGCGCATTCTGGCGGAAAATCCGAACATGTTATTGTGAATTTCACGACAAATCGAATGGCAATCAAAGTTAGATGTGGTAATGCAAGTTATCGTATTGAACCAACACATATGATTGTGGAACCAGGAAAATGTCGCCAACTCAATATCATACGTCTTCCAGGTAAGATTCGACAAATTTAGAAACATCCGGCCTATAAGGATTTTCATTTTTAAACTCTACAGTATCCAAACTTCCTAATTTTAGGACCCGTTCAAACTGACAAAGTGTTTGTTCAATATATTGAATGTGATGCATCTGCCACTGACGCTAAAATTGTTTTCAAAAATGCGGAAGCCGCTGGAACTAAGATCAACAACATCAAGATTAAGCTGATCGTAAGTTTCAAAAGGTTTCAGAAAATCAAAAATAAATATTTGAATTTTTAGGCTGCAGCAGCTGGTGGTAGGAAAATGTCGCGTGAAATTGTCGAAGAATGAAATGGTCAACCAAAATAAAATATAGGGAAGGAATAAAAAATTGTGCATTTTTTTCAATTTTTCGTTGGTTAAACCTTTCATTTCAAAATGAGGCAAGAAAATTTATTTTCATGAAAAAAACCCGTATCAAAATATTGGTTAATTGTTAATAAAAATAAAATACAATGAAAAATATATACAAAAAATTGAGCCAAAAATATTGAATAATCCTAAACCATATGTGGAATCTGATCTTCATCATCGTCATCGATATCTTCGTCATAATCTTCAACATCTGCGTGATGATTCGAAATCACATAAGAATCTGTTGTAATCGGTTTGCTATTTGTCATTATATCATTTGAATGTAGTCTTCGAGCAATCGCAATTGCAACCGCATCAATTTCAGTTCCAATTTGACGCGAAGAATCACTAGAAATTAAAGAGTTTTGGAAGATTTTCAACAAAAATGCAATATTGTTACACCTAAAGTGACAGTGAAAGTGAATATTTTTAAAGTGTTGTTAGGGTGATTGATCTATGAGAAAAAGAAATATATAGAGAGAGAGAGAGCTCGGAAAATCATGCATTGTTCATTTTCTTCTGTTTTTTTGTAACATACTTTTGTGAGCTCAAACCCACAACATCCCGTGGACCTAATAAAGCACTTAATACCACGATGGGTGTCGATTGTCTGTAACGGGAGGTTTTTTGATAAATTTTGAATTATTTTGGAAAAGCGATAGAAGTGAGCATTTTTTTTGATTTTTGAAAAATCGGTCAAAACAACTCACAAACTTCGAGTTACAGTAACATAATCTTGTTTCCTTGGAGTTGTAGTGACATTACAAATCAGATGTTTGATATCATCCCTGATTTCCTGATTGCATAAGTAATATACAAATAATCGAGTTGCGCATACGAAAATATATAATACAGAAGTGACGTCAGTGAAAAATTCATAAACCTGGAAAAATAAATAGAAATATTTACTTAAACTTTTTCTAATTAAAATTGGAGAAAGAAAGGTTTTCTATTCACTTGGATACATAGTGCATGCTTTATTTATTTACATATTAAATGCTCAGGATTCAGAAAAAAAATAATTCAAGAGTTCTAAAACCAGAATTTTGAAAAAGCAACAATTGTAATTTCTAAATTTAGAATTTCAGAAAAACCAGAAACATTTCGGTTCTACTTACCTCAAAATACCCTTCTTCCTGTGTTGTATGAAATGCCACGTATTCCCATAAAGTGACAACAACATTCAAAATATTAGCAACCAAATAAGAACATACGACAAAAACCATCATAAGTGTGGCAGATCGAATTTTAGATTTATGATCGCTGCTCAAAAATCTGAACATTTGCGCAGATCTTTGCTGCGTCCGCAGGATCTTCACAATTTTATAATTCAGCAATGCCAAAACACAAAATGGCACCAAAACTGTCATAATATTTCTGACATAAAATCGATAGAAATTTCCATACCAAAAACTATTCACAATCGGCAACAAATCAACACCTTTTTCCATATATTCTCCAATACAAAGTGGATTTGTTATTACATGCATCTCATAATAAATTGGGGCTCGCAATAAAAATGATAAAATAAACATGAGAAGAGCTAATAATCCTCGACATCTTCGAAATGTTGGAAGACATTTTGATCGCAATGTTATTAAATATCTCTCCAAAGTTGCAAGAATAATTAGATAACATGAAAATGTCATTGATGTTTGACAAAGTGCTAAAAGTGGTCCGACATAGGAAAGATATAATTCATGAAGCCATTTTTCGCCCAATCTATCTTTGATAATTTCCATTGCAATAACTGGACCATAATTAAATGATAAAAGACAATCATTAATTGCAATTACGGCAAGAAAAAAGAATTGATTATGACGAGAAGATAGAAGAACCTGAAATTCATTTATATTTTTGGAAAGTATTTTCAGCTTTAATTTTGTTTTCGTTTCACAGAAAAGTTTCCCTTTGAGTACCAGAAGTTATTTGAAATTTTGCAGCTATTCTTTGCACTTCACTTTTTGCATCAAAGATAATAAATCGTAATGTATGTTTATTATGCTATATAATAAAAATAAAATGCACAACACAGATGCGGCTCTCTTATTATTTTTAACAGTTGTTTTTCAAGGAAAAATGCGTCTTTTTAGGATCTTTGGGTATTAGATTTTGATATGGAAAAGCGTGGGAAAAAGGTCGAATCTGACGATTTTTTAAGTTTGATATCTGATTTTTCATTTTCGGAATAATTCAAAAACCCTCTCAACTTTTCTTTTCGAAAAACTCCCTGAAAAATTTCCAGATTTGATCTCTAATCACCATCAATCATATTATGTCTGAATAATTGAGTGACTCAAAAAATCAAACGAATTTCAGCTGTCAGGAAACGTTTCTTCTCACAAACCTTCGCAATAACAATATTTGTGATAATTGATAAAAAAGACAGCGATGTTCCAGCCACAGCCACCAAATACCATCGACGATCTAAACTTGGCGGCGGATAACACATTTCTATTATTTCTTCACTTTCGTTCATTTTTTCTGAAAAAAAAACACAAATAAAAAGTTTCGAAAGAAATTAATTTACAAGCGAAAAAATTATTCCAAAAAGTTATGTTAACATTTGTGAAATTAGAAAATAAAAACGAAGATTTTTTCGGAAAATTCACTGTTTCAAAATATTACGATCAAAATTTGTGTCAATAGAAAAACGCCTCAATGATCCACGTGGAAAATTGAAAATTAGCGAAAAAAAAAATCAATTTTTCAAGATTTTCAAATAAAAAAATTGGTTCGACATCCACGTTCAGATGTTTTGTCCGGATTTTGTTTAAAACCTTTACTCAAAACATTTTTCCCCAGAAAAGTGTCAAAAAAGTTTGGGTCAAAGTCAAAAAAAAAAAGAAAAAACATCAAACATCATAAATTTTTCAAATTCAATTCAATTTATTATTTTTATTTCATTTTATTTTTCTCTCCAAAAACTTTTGAAAAATAAAATAAATCACAAGTGCAACAAACTTCCGTAAATTAATAAGGATGTCATGGGTTCGAGGGATTACTGTAGACTCATGTTAGAAAAATCCAGAAATCCAGAAAAAGGTTCCAATTAGAAAAAGAGAAATAGAGAAATCCTGGGAGGAAATCCAATTATTTTTCAGCTGCTAATTAATTTTGTATATTTTTATTTGAAAAAATGAAAAAGAAAGGAAAAAAAGAAGAAAAAGAAGAAGATCTCAAAAACCAGAAAAACAACAATTTTCAGTGATTGAGAAGAAAAAAAAAGTAATTGTGTTCTGGAAGAAAGGTGTCAGAAATGATTTGAGTTATGATTGATGAGCACAAAAATATACTTGCAAGGTTTTGTGTTATGAAAATTCTAGGTAGATTTTTTGAAACAGTATATTTCCCAAACTAGAAAAACTCTCTTTCGAGCACTCAAAAAAGTTCACAAATCTCTCCCCAAAAACTCCATCTAATTGAAATTTGAGACACCCTTATTTTCTCCATTATTATTTACTTTCAGTTAAAAAAGGATAAATAAACGAATATAAATGAGAAGAAATGTGTAAAACAATCCCAGAAAAAAGTTTTTGCTTTTCTTTTTTTCCAGAGTTTTTTTGCATAACATATAAATGTTTCCGCAATTATGTCATAACGAGGAACAAAATGACATGCATAATAATAAAAAATAAAATAAAAATCTTTGGACTCGGAACACTTGAAAATTGGGGAAGAAGAAGAAAAAAAAGAAAATAAGATAAGATGAAAATGAGTTGGTATAATGGAAAAACCGGAAAACATAAGTGAAAAATCAGGCTCCGCCCATTTTCTTTTTGAAGTTGAAACTGTGAATTTTGAAAAGAAAAAGGCGGGGTTTTCTACATTTTGCAATTAGTGAAAAAATTTCTAAAATTTTCAATCAACATGAAAACTCGAGCCTGAAAAGTTCTCAGATGAATTCTTGCAGACTTCAGTTTTTATCCGAATTTTGAACGTAGCCTTGAAAGAATAAAACTCCGCCAACTATTTTTTCGGAAAGCTTGAAGTTGAAACAGTGAAATTTTGAAATACATAACAATATCTGAATCTGATTTCAGAGATTTTTGTTGATATTTTTAACATTACTCACAAAATAGGATAATTTCCCATGAGAAAATAACCAGGAAAAAATTAAGCAATTTTTTTTTTGAACAAAAATCAAGACAATTTTGATCTTTTGATAGAACTTCTATTTTTAGTGTCAAGAATTTTTTCTAGAGAAGCTTATGGAAAAACGTTTGATCTGGAATTAAATCCCCCCGTAGAAAAAAATTTCCAGTTATTGATAGTTTATTGGAAAAAAGATTTATTATTTTTAACAACCACCAAAGAATTGAAAATCCCTTTTGAGCTATATTTTCAGCTTTCCAAATTACAACCCTAATTCGAAATGTTTCCCTGGTGACAAATAAATCACAACGAGGAACAAGACGTAAATAAAATTCAATTTCAGGATTTAAATTTTTGACAGGTTTTTTTCTACTGTAATACTTTGAAAAATAGTTTCAAATTTTATCAGGAACAAAATAAAACAGAAAACTTTTAGAAAAAACTCCAGCTCAAAAAATAGAAAAGATCAATCTGGAATTATTTCTGGAAATCGTCTTAAAAATAGGAGATTCTGTAATAAGCATTAAGAATTATGGGAGTTTTGAGTCATTAATTTCTAGAAAAACTTAACATTTAGAAAACTTCAGATTTTTTAAAAACGTTAGAAAAATATTCTTGAAAATCCCCACAGGACAGCAGATTAAAAGTTTTTCAAACCAGCAAATAAGGTGCAAATCAGCATTTTTGTGCTCTGCACTAGATTCTTGAGACCTCGATAAAACATGTAAATCAAATTTCCTCACCCGAGAACCGAAAAGTTCCTCGAACTCAAAAACCTTCCATTTTTTATCTCTCTCTGAATCTTTTTAGAAGTTTCTCCCAAAACTACAAAACAATCACCAACAAATAACATAACAAAACAAAAAAAATAATAATTTCGAGCTCAAAAAGTGCTCCGCCGCCGCCGCGCGACTAGTTTCAAACATGGCAAAAAAGTGACGAGGAAGAAGGGGAAAAAGTGTGGAGAAATTGTGAAAAATTGAATATTTATGAATGAAAAAGTCTACTTTGGAATGAAAAAAAGGAAAGGAGAAGAAGAACTTTTTAATTTTCGATCTGATATTATTTTCTTCCATTTTTTCTAGTTTTTTTCTGGAGCACGAGAAAAATGTAAGTTCAAGAGCCAACCAAGTGCATGTTCTTTTATTTTTCATTTTTTGTTAGACCGAAAAATGTTTATGAAGTTCACTGGAAAAAAATGAAAAAATATTTCCAAAAATATTCCACGTGGATTTTTTGGCTCCAAAACTTTCAAAATATGAAAAATATCAAGCGTATTAAAGTCAGTTTTCCGCAGAAATTTTCAGATCAGTTCCAAAAAATACATGAATAATTAACAAGAAACGGATTTTGGCGCGTGAAAAATTCATCAGGTTTTTTGTGTAAAATGTGTGAAACCTTGGAAATGGCCGATTTTGTGAAAAGGTCATATTTTTCTGGAAAAATTGCAGGGTTGACAAAAAAACAGGGAGACTAAACTAAAAATGTGAAATCTTTGGAAAATGCATTTTTTGGAAATTTTTGAAGATTCGTTTATGAATAACAAAAGGAGGAGAGACAAGGTTGAGGCGGGAAAAATTCAGGAAAAAATTGTGTCAAAAAGTGCAATTTTTTGTCAAAAAAAAATAAAGCTGGTTTGAATTTGAACTGGGTTTTTTCAGATTAAATTCCTGAATTTGAATTTTAGAAAAAATTTAGATCTCCATGAATTCTTGAGCTGGAATCGAGTATTTCGAATTTTTCAGAAGATTTTATTCGGAAAAAATTTAGACCAATTTTTAGAACCAGGAAAGTTTTATTTCAAATTGCGTGAAAAATTACAGTATCAAAACAACGTCTGAATATAATTTCGAAAAATTCTAGAAACGTGCATTTTCATTTATTTTTCCAACAAAAAATACTACTGTATCATTTTCTAGAAATCTTCAATTAGTGCAAAACAGGAAAAAATAAGAGGAAAAAAAGTGCGCGAAAAAAAATAATGAATAAAAATATTTTTGTCGCTCATTTTTCTTTTTCTGTGAAAAAAGAAGAGTAATAAAAAATATATGTAATAAAATGTGAAATTTGAGAAATTTGTTGTTTTTTCGTGTTTTTTTTAGTTACTCGACTAGCTCAACTGTGTCAACTCATTGACTAATTTAGAAATGAGCTGAGCTGAGCTCAGGAATCAAAAATGAAAAATGAAAAGTGTTGGCAAAGGAAATAAGACAACATAAAAAGGAAAGGCTGAAAAAAATTATTTTAGGTTAACCGACCGTGAAAATTACTTGTTTTTCGAAAAAAGGTGGATTTTTAGAGATGTGGAGGGTGAAAAAAATCGCAGGGATGAGAAAATAGATGTGTTGTAGACCACGAACTAAGGTAATGTTTTGTTTTCTCAAAATTCCAGAAAATTTTAATTTAGCAATATCCTAAGTAGAAAGAAAATTTTAGAGTTTTCAGACAATCCATTTTTTCCCGATAACTTTATTTACTGTCGTTTCTGAAAAAATCCTCGTTCAAGGAGCCCAGCCTTTTGCACTTACAATTAGTTGGCAAGAAGCCGTCTCTTGAGTTACTTTGTCAAGGAGACGAGCCTTCTGTTCTTATTATGCAAGGAGCAGCGCCTTGTGAGCTTTGATGTCAAGCAGCCGTCCCTAGTGAACTTCTGTGTCTAGGTACTACCTCTTTTACCACTGGAATTTCTGAATTTTCTGTCCAAAATTTGGAGTTACAGTACCCCTTCTCTAGAAATTTCCCACATCAAACCAAAAAAGAAATCGACTAGAAAGTCTCTCAATTCTGGGAAAATGAGTAAAAATCGAGCGGCAAGCTCTCGGCGAAGAAAAAACACAAAATGGTTGGTATAATCAAATCAAAACAATTTGGGGGATATTTGTTCGAATAATAATAATATTCGGTTAAAGAAAATGGGAAAAAATAGGAGGAACAAAAAATGAATCAAACAAAAAAAATTGTTTTTTGAATTTGCCGCCGCGCTGCTGGAAATAAAAAAAAGAAGACGGGCCGATTTGTTCGAAAAAATTAAATCACGAGCTGCTCGTTTTTGCTCTCCTGCAGATATTTTTTTAGCATTCAGCATTCACAACTCGAACAGCTTTGAAATAAATAACATTATAAAATTGGACATTTATTTGGCTGGTAATTGAGAAAATTGGATGTTCATGTATTCGGAAGGTCACCAAAATTTGTTATGAAATGGACAAATTTCAGGGAAAATAGCGTGACATAAATTTTCGGTGAATGAATGAAAACACAAATGTCAAAACATAGGTCAAATTTATTTTTTAACATCAAAGCCAGATGTGGGAAGATTGAAGTTTCAGATTTTTTTGAATTTTGTTGTTGTAAAATTACGTCACAAAAAATTCGTCTTTTGAAAAATGTACTTTCGAAAAGGTTCAAAAATTTTTTTTTTTCGAAGAACTATGATATTTTACAGTTCGATAATTAGAAAATTATGGATCTCAATTGAAATTTTTGAAAATAAGTTTTAAATTTTTCTTCAAAAACTCTAATTAGGTTAAGAACTATGTTTTTCCTAGGAAAATAAGCCAAATTTCTGATAACTCTGGAAAAGTTTGAATTTTAAAAATTCTTGGAATGTTGGAATTGCAATTAAAAACTTTTTGAAATCAAGAAACAGTCCACAAGATTCAGAGATCACAAAATAAGCTGATAAAAACTGACCGAAAAAATTCCTGAATTTGGTTCAAGTTAGTTCACAAAATAATTTACAAAACTTCCAAATTTTTTCTGAACTTTAAGTTTTCATAAGTAATTCAAAACACAAATTTTCCTCTCTAAAAATATCTTGATTAATAATGTTTCATAGTGCAGCTGCTCAAAAATATGACCTCAAATTAATCAAAAAAATTGACTGACGTCTTTCGATTTCCCCTTCAATACAAACTTGATGAAATATTATCACGAAAACTTTTTCGTGTTTCAGAAAAAAAACTGAAACCTGTTCAAAAATGCATAGAATTTCGAAAAAAAACAACATCCGACACTTTTTGCATACAGCATAGAGGTAATTCACCAAAATGAACATTTTTCATTAATAAAAGCCATTTGTAGCTAACGGCAAAAAAGGGGGCTGGCCCTCCGAATTTTATTTCGAAAAAAACAAGACTATTATTTTTCGTAGCCCCCTAACAATTTTTGGTCGCCGCGCACACAAAATTGGAGCGGTTTTAATATTTTTGAGTAGTTAAAAAAAGGTGTTTTCATTGTCGCAAAATTGCAAAAAACACAACAATTTGGGGCTGAAATTCAATTGTCTGCGGTTTTTATTCGAAAATTGGTCTGGTCTCGAAATCTGAACATTTTCAGCTTATACAAAAAGTACCGTAGTCAACCAAAAAAAAAAATACATTCTCACAGAGTAAAATCTGTGGGAAAATACAAATCTGAGTCACATTTTTCACACGGTAAAAATAATATGGCCTGTTTTTTTCGGAGAGAAGCTAGAGAAACTAGAGAGTTAAAGATGGTGAAAAAAGCTAGATCTCTAAAGCTCAGGCTCCAAAGCTAGAACTGAATCTTTGGCAAAGGTTATACAAATTTTCTGACTCATCTAATAACCCTAATGCATTTTTATATCTTACTCTAAAAGACTACTCTAAAAAATTATAAAAATAAATATTTCAAAATTTAATCACCCAAAAAACACGAAAAATTCTCCTCCAATGCTCCGCAAAAATGGAGAGAGCAAAAAAAAAGAAAAAAAAAAGACAGAAGTCATTACTACTAAATTATTCAAGCTTCATATATGTTAATACATATACATACATAGAGATATTCGAGGATCGAAAAAAAAGACTGAGAGGGTGGTAGAAGGAATGAAATGAGACAGAAAAAATACGGAGACAGCAAAATGAATTCTGAAATTTCTCTTCCGAAAAATGAGCAAAAGCTGCTGCTGATGTCATTTGTTGATCCGTCATATGGTTGATGAGTAGATCAAAAATGAGCTGAATGTTTTCGGGTGCAAATTCTAGGAAGATCACAGCAGCTGGGAGGTTTAAGAACGGTTGATTAACGGTTTATAAACCAACTTTAATGAAATTTAATCAACGAAGTACCAATATTTAATCCACGGTTGATCCCCGTTGATTAATCGTGGATTAAATCATGAAAAATTTTCAAAATTTTTGAAAATACTTAACGCCCAAATAAGTGCCGGGAACCTATTTTTATCGATTTGGGTAATTTTCAAAATTTAAAAATTGGTTGATACTCGGTTCATTAACCGTGAGTTAAGCGTTGGTACTCCGTTGATTAAAAGCAGTTTTTATCAACCGTTAATCAACCGTTTTTAAACTTCCCAGCTGCAGTGATGGGGGTTTTGAAGAAATATGGGTTTGAAAATCTAGGAATACGATAGGTTGCCACCTAAATCCAACTGTTTCAAGGTTTGGTGAATTTGAAAAAAAGTGTTTGAAATTTTAATGAAAATTTGAAAACACAAATGTAGGATTTTCAAATGTTACAAAATTTATTTCAGCTGATTTTGAAAATGCCACTGATCCTGATAAATTTGATTTCTGATTTCTATACTATTTTTTGAAGCTGAAAACATTTTCCAAGGAATTTTCGACAATGTTTTTTGTAATTTGAAAATTATTTGTCAAGTCACTATTCAAATTAAACACGAATGAAACGACCGGCTAACGCAGGGCTTCGAGTCACTCCAAATTCCCGATTTTTAAATCTAGCTCAATTTTATGGATAAAAATGATGAATCGTACGATACATTTTTAATTAACTCACAGGCTTCGCTACATTTCAAAAATAGTGCAGAAAACAATTTAAATCGGTTAGTTGTTAATTTTGGAAACCGCAAAAGGTATTTGTGGTTTTGCATAATACTCAGGAGCTCAAATTTACAGAATCAACATTGAAAAAACTCACATTTCCTCCAGTTTTCCTCGACATTCAAAATTTGCTTCATTGATTATATCGATATTGTCTCATTTCGCTGACGAGCTTCCTGTAAAGTAGGAATAAGTAAAATCTATATGAGTACTCTTAAAGTAAGAAATATTCAAGAAACTACACATAAAATGACAAATTCCAACAAAAAACAAAAATAAAAAAAATAAAAGTAAAAATGGAAGTGCGCCCTATTGATAAAAATGACATGTCTTGCACTCACTCAAAAATGTGTGTGTTTCATCGTTGCTCACGGCCCGGCTAAACGGACGCCCCGCCCACTTTTTTTTTTCGTTTGTGTTTTTTCGTTTCCCACACAAAAATGTGCAACAGCGAAAACACGCTGTACGAGTGGTTAACACACGCGCCGAGCAAACGCACAGTGCGAGTTCGACTCCCCATTGGCGCACACATTTTTTTCTTCTTTTTTTTCTTTTTATTTTTGCGCGCGCTTTCTTTTCAACGATAAAATACTTCATGAATAAAAATTATTTGGAAGTATATAAATTTTCATTTCCATCAAATCGATGACGATAAAAAATATTATTTTGTTTTTGGGTGTTTTTTCGGCTTTCAAAAACAAGAAATCATCGAAAAACCAAAATTATCCATATTTTCATAGGGTTTTCAAGTTCAAAAATTAATTTTGAGAAAACCGCTTGTACAATTTTTATATAAATATTTTTCTTGACTAATAAGGTCTAAAGGAAAGATAAAAGCTCACAAACAAAAAATTTTACGATGGAATTTGAAAGTAACGTGAGAGAGAAATGTATCTTAATGAAGGAGACTGTTACGTGTAGGATTAACAACTTCTAGGCTTGGTTACTAACAATGTATAAAGATTTTTCAAGCAAAAATAGTTAACCTTTTCTGAATTTGAATTTTTCGGAAATATTGTTTTTTTTTCAAAAATTTCAGACTTTACAGAAAAATTTCAAATATTCAAACTCTTTGAAAATCTCTGAAAAATGAAGCAAAATCTGATCACAAGCCCATTACTTTCAAATTCCATCGTAAAATTTTTTGTTTGTGGGCTATTATCTTTCCTTTAGACCTTATTAGTCTAGAAAAAAAATTATATAAAAATTGTACAAGCGGTTTTCTCAAAATTAATTTTTACTTTTGAAAATCACCGAAAAATAAGGATAAATCTGATCACAAGCCCATTACTTTTAAATTCCATCGTAAATTTTTTTGTTTCTGAGCTATTATCTTTCCTTTAGACCTTATTAGTCAAGAAAAAAATTTATATAAAAATTGTACAAGCGGTTTTCTCAAAATTAATTTTTACTTTTGAAAATCTCTGAAAAATGAAGCAAAATCTGATCACAAGCCCATTACTTTTAAATTCCATCGTAAATTTTTTTGTTTCTGAGCTATTATCTTTCCTTTAGACCTTATTAGTCAAGAAAAAAATTTATATAAAAATTGTACAAGCGGTTTTCTCAAAATTAATTTTTGAACTTGAAAACCCTATGAAAATATGGATAATTTTGGTTTTTCGATGTTTTCTTGTTTTTGAAAGCCGGAAAAACACCCAAAAACAAAATAATATTTTTTATCGTCATCGATTTGATGGAAATGAATATTTATATACTTCCAAATAATTTTTATTCATGAAGTATTTTATCGTTGAAAAGAAAGCGCGCGCAAAAATAAAAAGAAAAAAAAGAAGAAAAAAATGTGTGCGCCAATGGGGAGTCGAACTCGCGCTGTGTGTTTGTTCGGCGCGTGTGTTAACCACTCGTACATGAGCTCCCACGCTTAAGGAAAAAATGAGAAAAAAAGTGGGCGGGACGTACGTTTCGCCGGGCCGTGTTGCTGTTTTATTCTAACCTTTTATGGTGTGAATTTCTAATTTTTATTTTTTTTATCAAAACATATTTTTGAAGTTTGAACTCAACCTGTCGCCTTAAATTGTTTCTTCCTCAAAAATCACCTGTTTCACAATAACCATAAAAAATAAAAACTTCATAAATTCTAAATTTCAGCTGCTTTGAGAAACATCACTGACACTGATAACATTTGAATGAAAGATTACAAATTTCAAAATCCACCCATGAAATTGACGCAAACTGTTGAAATTGAAAACTGATGTGAATTGTACTAATGCATTTGATATTATTATAAATCGAATCTCATAGTTCATAAATTCACCAGTTTTGATATCGGTTTTGAAAACTTTGGAAAGAAATATAACCTGCAAAGACTTTGATTTGGTTGAATTTGAGCTGAGAAATTTTTGAAAAAAATTCTAAACTCGAATAATTTTTTTCGAAGAAGTTATTCTTTTTGAAAATCAATTGCAATTATTCGAACCTGGCCATATTCCCCTGTTTTTGTTCCAAATTTTAGTTTACCCTAGTTATTAGAAGTGGCAATCCCTCATAAAGAAATGCAGTTTCTGGAAGACTCAATAATCTCTCCGATCTTTGTTTGAATAAATACCAAAACAATGAAAAATAGAGAAATGAGCATAGAAGAATTGCGAAAATTGAACAAATATGTTGTAAGTAATATGATAACACTAACAATTCTCTATCTGAACTTGTGACTTTTGATATAAATTTTGACCAGAGCTCAATTCCGACAACTTGAAAAAATGTTGTAATTATTGAGAATCCCCAAATTATTCGAATATACCAGTTCATATATTTTCTGAAGTTGAGACACTTTTAATTATTGGAAATTTTAGAAAAATCTTACTGTTTCACAAGAAATTGTTTATTTGGAGATAAATAAATAACAACAACTCTTTGAGCAGTTAGAACAATTATAAAAACATCTAACAAATGAAGCATTAAAAATCGATAGATTATTATTAATCCAGCTGCACCAAATGATAAAAATATTGTAAAATATTCAAAATAACTAGGATTTATGTCCAATGATTTCCTTAAAAAAATTAGAAATCTTTGTAATTTTACGGGAACTTACAAAATATTTATCATAAAATGTGCAAAAACCATGCAACAAGTTATACTTGGTAAAATCGTGATATAACTTATATGTGTTAATGTTTGTTGAACAGCTGGCTAAAAATATGACATTTCAGATGGTTTACATTTTCAAAAAAGCTCTCTTACAAATCTATTCAATTTTCGATTAATTTTACATTGTTTATAATAAAAATATGTCGTTAGGGCCACAAAAATACAACAAATTTTAGCGAAATTATTCAAAATTCGATCCTCTTCCAAATTATCAGTCAAGCTTTCATCAAATAAAATTAGAATATTGGTTATTGAAGTCAAGTTCATTAGAAGATTGGAATGTAAAAAGAAAAAAAAACAGATGTTTTTTGAGAATGGAATTTTTGATTTCAAAAATTGTATTTTTTAAGTGACGAGATACTTGAAAACAAAAAATTCAACATTTTTATTATGCAATCATCTTTTCGTAAACTGCTCCGATTTCTTTGTCGGCTGTTCCACACATTCTACCATTTTCTGATCCCCTTGATCTTCCAAACTATCAAACTTCTTCCTCTTCTTATCTCCATCGGCTGTTTGTGCTCTGGAAAAATGAAAAAAATAAATCTGAACAAACTGTGCTCAAAGCCTTACAAAAAACTTACAAATGAGGCACCACAGATTCCCCCACATTATTTTTTGGTGTAGTCGCAACTGGTTTATTCATCGCGGGCGGCGGTAAATTTGTCGGCTGAGTTGGTCGAACTTGTGCTGGCCCAGCGAAAACTAGATTCGTGTCCGATGGTGCCATTGAAAGTTGTTGTGTTTTTTCAGGCGGCAAATTTGGTTTTTGTGGTTCTTGTTTTGCGGGTGTTTTGGCCATCGGAGTTGCTACGGGTGTTGGTGCCATTGATGACATCATTTGTGTTGCTGCCATAACTGGGGTTTTGGCTATAGGTTGAGGTTGAGCTTGAGGTTTCATTGGTTTGAGAGACGGTTTTGGAACTTTTCCTCTTGGTGGCGGTGGAGGCGGCTTGTCTTTTTTGACAACGGCGAATTGCTGAAAATTTCGGAAATTTTTGTTTGTATATAGATTGTAGATTACTGCAATTATTTTTTTCTTTAAAATGTTTCAAAAAATGCATGCATTCTCTGAAAGTTGAGTCAAAATGAGTGATTTTATTTGACAAAAAATCACTGTTTCAAAAATGTTATAACTTTTTCCGACGTAGAAGAAAATTGATAGAAGATTGGACAGCAGAGCAAATAAAGACTTTGAAATTCTAACACTCCAAGTTTTTCATAGTTACGCTAACTTCCATGAAGCAAAATCAAACTTAAAAACATTACTGTTTCAAAAATTTTATAAAATTTGTTTTGAGAGAGAAACTGAAACTGATGGTGAAAGCAATTTCTTCCAAGTTACAAAATAATATTTCTGGGAGACTCAGAGAAACATTGGTAGTTAGCATAACGTTCAAAATTGTTTTTTTTTTCAGAGTTAGAATAACTTACATAACATGAAACACCTTGTGAAGTAGCAACCGTTGACCCAAATAAATCCTGCTCAATATCTTTCGGCGTTGATTCTCCCTCTTTATCCATAACACTTGTTTGTCGCATTGTTTTATTATTTACATTCAGAATCTTCAATTGTGGCTGATTATTCTGTTCTCCATTTCCAATTCCACTTTTACAATTATTCACATTTCCCCTCAGACTTTTCCCAACTTCTTTCCTTTTTTTCAATGATAATTTGACCAATGGATTTTCTTCGTCATCATCATCAAATTCATCGCCCTCTTTTTTCTTTTCTTTTTTGATGTTTATATTAAATACAACATCTTCGTCTTCAGCTTCGCCATCTTTTCGACTTGTTTTTGTTTGTGAAATATTTGTAGCAGATGGGTTTGGATTTGGCGATTCTGTTGATGGTTTTGTTGATGTTCCCACTGGAGTTGGCTGATTTTTCGCAACTTTCGATTTGTTTTTTCTTTTTTTACATTGAAATATGATAAAAGTAAGTATAATGATATATTGCAATACGGTTATAATAATATACATTTTTTGAAGTACGCTAAACAAATTCGTACTGGAAAAAAATTATTTGGGATTTGGTGAAGATGGAGAAAAAATAATAGACCTCACCCTAGTTTGTAGAAAAATGACATCGAAAAATGAATCGATTTTTTCGGATATTCGACGTGAATGAAAAACGTGAACAATTTTAATTGAATTTTTTATTTTATTTTTTTTCGGAAACTCTTTTAAAATTAATTTCCTTGACAATAAAAGCTAAAATTTAAATTCAGGAAATCTGAGCATTCGTCAAAATCACATTTGAATCAATTATTTTTGGAGCAAACCGAGTCTTCATAGATTTATGAAGTCTCCAAAGGGAATTTAAAGTTAAAACACTTGTAAATTGCACCAAAGCTGTTGTTATAATTATATATCGAATCTCATAACCTGCCACATGCTTATAAAGTGATACGAAACTATTTTTGGTATTGTAGGTTTTCACGAGAAAGAGAATCTGGAATTAAAACAAGTCTTGGTGATTTTTTTGTTGGAAACTCACTCGAGTTAAAGAAAGTGGAATACCTTCATAGAGAAATGCGATTTCTGGAAGATTCCAAACCTTTTTTGATCTTTGCTTGAATAAATGCCAAAAAAGTAGGAAATGCATATAGGAACAAGTAGTTATCGCAAGTAGTCGAAGAGTGAATTCAATAATAAGAATAAATGAGTAAAACAACAGAATCATTGGAAGGAACGGGGTGAAAACTGTTCAAGAAATGTTTTTGGAAAATCAATAAGATAGGTAACTTACAGGCAATGACCACAATTATTTTCCAAGTTATCATGAAAAACCAAATTATGAAAATATACCAAGTTAAATGTTTTTGGTCTACCAGATAATGTTTTTCATCTGAACAATAAATGAAAACAACTCGTTGAATTGTTAAAAGTGTTATGAAAACATCTATCATATTTGATGTGATATATTGTGCGATTGAGATAAGCAAATATTTGGAATTTTTTGAAAACAATAAAACTTTTAAGATAATTGAATAAATAGTTGAATTCTCAGAAATAGTGAGCAACAACATTTGTGAACCAAATTGGATTACGGCAAAACAGCAAGCTAGACTTGATATTTTCATAACATGAGTCATTTGATCGACAGTCTTTTGAACTACTGACTACAACAATTCATAATTAAAAGAGATACAACAATTCCAATTTATCCTACCTCTTTTTGATTTTTCCGATTTTTGCGAAAATAGAAAAATGAAGTGAAAAACAAGGAGATGCAACTGATTTTTGCAAGAATATTCAAAAAATGATCGGATTCTTCATTTTGCGGATTTGCAAAAGAATCGAAAAATATCAAAACATCAGTTTCATTCATGATTCATTTAACAATAAGTATTCAAAAATTTGTAGAAACAGCTGTTATTTTTCGAGAGAGGAAGTTAAACAGTTTTGTTCGAATTAGTTTCTAAGAAAACATTGAAAATCAGAAATTCTTCGAGTAAGTTCAGCTGCTATTTAATTGTAGTTTGATAATTTTGCAGATGATTCGGATCTGGGAAAAACTATGGTAGATGTAATCGCTATGGAATTATTATATTTTGATAGCTTTTTATAGAAGTTAGTATTAAAATTTAAAAAAAATAGGTGAATTGTACAAGTGAAGTTAATATGATAATATAATGCGGTTTTATTTTTTGATTATATATAAATAAATGATACAAATTCAAAATTGGTGGAGTTGATGCGAAAAACATCACTTTCTAAGATTACGTTCCTGACAAAATTTTAACATGTTCCAGATTTTTATGAAAATCAATTGAGATATTTTTCAAGATTAATCATACAATTACAAAAAAAAAATAAAAATAAATCGATAAAAATTCCAGACAGCATAAAACAATTCTGAAATAAAATTCTTATTTTAATCAAAAATGTCGTTGAAAACTTTTCTAGCTATAATTCTTATTTTCGGAATTTCTGCAATCAAAAAATGTGTGTATTATGATTTCGATTTTTGAAAAAAAAGCTGAATTTCAGCTCAACATAGAGAACCATGTCAACGACAGCTGAACTGTGTTGAAAGTACTCGTGGTTTACGAAACAGTCAAATAAGTATCCGAAGACAATTATTATCATTTAATTCAGAATATCGATTGTGTAGATCAACAAAAAATTCCACCAGAGAAAACTGTGCAAATTTCTCGGACAGAATGTTCGATTTAACTCATCCTCAGGCAAATCGTCCCACCGGCGCAACACCAAATCTCCACTCACTCAACACCGTTCTTCCACCGGTGGGCCCACCGGTGGGAAACCGGTGGAGCTTCGGTGTTCCACCGGTGGGCAAAGGGGGAACACCGGTGGAGTTTTGGTGTTGCACCGGTGGCGTTCAGGTGTTCAACCGGTGGGATTTAGGTGTTGCACTGGTGGGTTTGGAAAATTTTTTGAGAGAAATTTATTTGTTTTATTTTTTCTGTTCAGAATATTTGAATTCCTTTGAGCAAAATTAGTTCGCCAGAGCGAACTTTCTGACTATCTCTTTAGTGGAAAGACAAAAATTCTCCTGACAAGAGAAAACCTCAATAATAGAAGCATTTTGAAGTTGAAATTCGCGGATTTCGTGGAAGGTCATGCAGTGAGTTCACCGACATTTCGCGAGGCGCGCGCGCCGCTATGTTTTTGATAGGCCGTTTTCAATGCTCGTCTTCCATTTTATCAACACCAGTGGAACACCAGATGAAAGGTGGACAACCGGTGTTGATTAGGTGGGAAACCGGTGCTTATTAAGTGGACCACTGGTGTGGTAAAAAATGTTGGAAAAAAAATTAAGCGGTGTTAATCCGGTGGGAAGTGGTGTTGCGCTGGTGTTAGAACGGTGTTCAATCAGTGTTAGTTGAGTGGAACACCGGTGTTTTTTTCTATTTGGTGTTGCGCCGGTGGGACGATTTGCCTGAGAAGGTTTCCCCAATTTGATTGTGGTGTCAAAAAAGTTAAAAATGAAGAGGAAAAACAACAAGAAATTCAGCGATTCAAACATTGTGTCAATAAGAGAAGAAAGCATCACATGAATCTCAATAGAGGATTCTTGGCGATGTTTGATTGTGAATGTTTCGAACTTCGATATACTGATTATTGATTTTTTGCGATGAATCACAGATCAATAAAAGTTCCAGACATCAATATGAAAATAAACATTGAAAAATATTTGTTTTCATTCTTCAGATTTTGGAAAATGTTGATAATTTTTATCGTTGTTCATTTCATTAGTGAAATCAATGCAAATAGTAAACGGCGTAAGTCAAGCATAATTTTTAGATTCACAATATTCAAAATTAATTTTAGTGCAATACAGTAATCCGTGCGTCAAATTGATGCGATGTGTAACTCATACTCGCTCCATGAAAGAAAATTATCAAAGTGCTAAAGCGGAACTAATTTTACTGAATTCCGAATATCGACTTTGTAGAACTCAAATAAACGCGACCAAAGAATCCTGCTCAATCAAATCCGAAAAAATGTTCGAATTATTCAATCAAATTCGAACAATTCCACAATTTGATTGTGGTGTTAAAAAAGTGAAAAATGAGGAGGAAAAACAACGCAAAATTAATCGATACAATTTGTGCGTTTCTGATAGATCCAAAAGTTTCTTGAATGTTTATCAAAACCCTTTAAGTTTATTTGATTGTGAGTGCATTCAACTTCGATATACTGATTGATTTTTCCTGATAAAATTTTTGTGAACAAGTTTTAGTTTTACAATTTTACAGTTTTTTTTGCAAAATAATATTCAAAATTTTTATTATGCCGAGACATTTCTTCGTCCGACCTCACTTTTTCATGATTTTTCATCTCTCCATGTTTGCCATTTTTCTCTCATTTTTCATTGGATTATCAGTCTGTGCGAATTATCTATGAAATATCAACGAGCAATTTATTGGAAATCTAATATTTCACTAAATTTTTATCAGATTTTTTAAATAGAAAACTTTCGTTTAAAGATTCCGCTATTTTTTCAGTTAATATCAGAAATTGAAATTTTTGGAGTTTCTAAAGCAGACTTCCATTTAATTTTCAAACCTTGCCCACAAAAAACTCACGAATCGACATTTTGCTTTTTCCAATTGATCGACCAAACAGCTTCACCCAATGCACCATCAAAACAAGTGATTTTCCTTCAAAATAACATAATGGGGCTATTCATGTATTTTCTCAGCATGTTGAGAAAACAGGAGAAATGCGGAGGAAATACATTTTCTACGCTTTTTTCGTATTTTCTCAGCCTACCTGAATAGGTTTTCTCCGCTTTTCTCCCGTTTTCTCAGCGTTGAAAAATAACATGAATAGCCCCATAAGATTTATAACGTTATTCGAAAAACCAGAAATAAATAATCGATTTTGAACAAGTTGGCGCGGAAAAACTTTTTTTTTTCAAAAAAGAAAATAAAATAAGATGACAATGCAAGTGCGCCCTACTGCAAATGTTTCACTGTCTCGCGTCTCTTCTACACACTGTTTTCTCTCGTCTTTTCTTTTTTTTCCCGGAGTTTTTGAACCTAGAACTGACCGAAACTTTACATTTCTTCATTATTTTTCAGCTATTTTCTTCGTTATTCTAAAATTAAAATGTTTTATTTTCTCGGCCATGACTTTTAAGCCGAAAATAATTGAAAATCGGATGTTATTATTCAAAATGTTCAATGAAACGTGGCAAAACTTCATTTAAAAAAGACCAAAAGAAATTAGAAACGCTAGAAAAAATTAAAATGTCATGTTTTGACTTGAAAAATATAGTTTGATATGATTTTTTTCAGTCGGGGAACTTTTCATAAATTTTTGACGATTTTTGAACAAAAGCTTTATTATTTCAAGATGAAATTTGAAAATTATTGAAATCCTGCGGTTTTTTCACAATTCGATCGAGCGAATGGACGTGGGTTTAATGTTATCGAATTTCGAAGTGTAGCATCTATTTGGCATTTTTTTAAAGCTTTTTGTTTTTCTACCATCTCAAGTTTTGTTGGAGTTGCCAATAAATCAACCAATGGTCCACATCCAACATCATTAATTATTGCTCCAACAAAATTTGAGAAACTTTTAATTGAGTTGATAAATTTGAAAATTTCATCATCCGACGTCATTTCCATGTGTTTCGAATATTTTATACATTTTTGTTTGACAATTTCTCTCATTTCCAAAGCCGTTTTGTGTTGAACAATCACATTACAGTTGTCTGAAAAATTGAAGAGTTTCGGAAAAATGTACAAAAACTCACTTAAAAAGACACTTCTTACATAAGATGTGAATAAAGCTAAAATAAAAATAACAAATCTCATGTTTAAAATTGACAACAAAGAATTTTTAATGTGAATTTTGGCGATTGTTCAGACACTGTAAACTTTGGGAAATTCCATTTTATAAATGAATGAAAAAGGATAGGAAAAGTAAAAAAAAGTGTTCTCAACTGAAAAAATAGGATTGAAAGGTTCAGAGAAATAAAATGTTAATGCTTTCAGACACTATAAAGTTTTGGAAGTTTTTGAAATTTTATAGATAAATGAAAAGTTCAATGCTTTCAAAAAAACTTTTGTTTTTGATGAGAAGTTGAGTAGACTTCAGACAATCACAATCTCACATTTAATTTTGTCTAGCCTTTTTTAATTCTGTCGACTTATCAAAAGCCAATTATTTGTCTTTTCCTTCTCAAATATCAAAAAATGAGACTTTTGTTACTACTTCTTCTATTCTTCATAGTTTCTACATGGAGTACTTTTATGTGTAAGTTTTTTCTAATTGAGAAATTCCCTCAATCACAATATTTTAGCTGGTTGTCATCACACGATTCAACAAGAAGAAGCTTTGAAGAAAAGAAAACAAGTCAGAAAAGAATGTCAAAAGAAATTCCCAATTTTAAAGTTTCCAAAGCAAGGTCCTATGTGTGAAGATGTCGTAATTAGCAAAGTTCCGTCAACTGAAATTGAGTTGAGACAAGAAAAATGTGTTCAATATTTTTCGCAAAAGCCAAACTTTGAACATATTGTTGAAATGGATGTTTATGGGATTTGTATGAATGTTTCGATTGAAACAATCAGACTACCATGGGAAAATGTAACTTTGGAAAATTATTGATTTGAAAGTTGAATAAAATTTCATAGTTTCTGAACTTGAATTAAAAAAAACCATTTTAGCATATTTTCTATAAAATTACAAAACTTCCCAAACTTTATAGTGTCTGAAAGCATTAACATTTCATTTTTCTGAATCTTTCAATCCTATTTTTTACATTGCTTTTTCTTTGTTGTCAATTTTAAACATGAGATTTGTTATTTTTATTTTAGCTTTATTCACATCTTATGTAAGAAGTGTCTTTTTAAGTGAGTTTTTGTACATTTTTCCGAAACTCTTCAATTTTTCAGACAACTGTAATGTGATTGTTCAACACAAAACGGCTTTGGAAATGAGAGAAATTGTCAAACAAAAATGTATAAAATATTCGAAACACATGGAAATGACGTCGGATGATGAAATTTTCAAATTTATCAACTCAATTAAAAGTTTCTCAAATTTTGTTGGAGCAATAATTAATGATGTTGGATGTGGACCATTGGTTGATTTATTGGCAACTCCAACAAAACTTGAGATGGTAGAAAAACAAATGGCTTTAAAAAAATGCCAAACAGATGCAACCAATCGAAATTTTTTGAGACTCAACCCAAGTCCAATTGCTGGATGGAATTGTGAAAAAACCGCAGGATTGGAATAATTTTCAAATTTCATCTTGAAACAATAAAGCGTTTGTTCAAAAAATAATTTATGAAAAATCCGATTTTTAATTATTTTTGGCTTAAACATCATGACCGAGAAAATAAAACATTTCAATTTTAGAATAACAAAGAAAATAGCTGAAAAATAATGAAGAAATGTAAAGTTTCGGTGAGTTCGAGGTTCAAAAACTCCGGGAAAAAAAAAGAAAAGACGAGAGAAAACAGTGTGTAGAAGAGACGCGAGACAGTGGAACATTTGCAGTAGGGCGCACTTGCATTGTCATCTTATTTTATTTTCTTTTTTGAAAAAAGTTTTTCCGCGCCAACTTGTTCAAAATCGATTATTTATTTCTGATTTTTCGAATAACGTTATAAATCTTATGTTATTTTAAAGGAAACTCACTTGTTTTGATGGTGCATTGGGTGAAGCTGTTTGATCGATCAATTGGAAAAAGCAAAATGTCGATTCGTGAGTTTTTTGTGGGCAAGGTTTGAAAATTGAATGGAAGTCTGCTTTAGGAACTCCAAAAATTTTTTTCCCAAAATGTAATGAAAAAATAGCGGAATCTTTGAACGAAAATTTTCTATTTAAAAAATCTGATAAAAATTGAGTGAAATATTAGATTTCCAATAAGTTTCTCGTTGAAAATTCGGAAAAATATTAATTCGGAAAAAAACAACAAAATTAATTATTATCATGATTATCTGATACATTGGCCCATACATAATTTGAACAAAAAACTGCTGAATTTGCAACAGGTGCTGATACAGTTATGTTGCAAATATATCTCAAAGTTGATTTGACATTCATTATTAGGGTCATGAAAAATAATACAGCTAATATTTTCATTTCTAAACAAACTGTTCCGCAAACATTTGTTATGAAATTTTATATAAGTCTAGACAGACGCATGAAAATCTTGTAGTTTCATTCAAAATTCTTCAAAATTACTTTTGTTGAATCTTATTTATTTCGAAGAAAAATACATAGATGATCGTGATTTGTTATTTTTTACCTTTTCTTTGTATCGTTGAAGAAGATTATGAGGGATGTATTGTGAAAACTGGAAATCGTCCACAATTAGAAGTTAATCTGATTTGTAATAAAACGAAGACTCGAACAATTCCCTTAAGTCCGGAAATTGTAAAATGGATTAAAGGAAATAAATATGAGCAATGTCTTGCCGAAACTCGTAATCAGCAACGTATTGAAGTCGATTTCGCTTGTGAGCAATTTAGACCTAAACTAATATGCGTTTTGAATTCGGATTTCCGAGCTAATATTGGAATTGGTAGTCCGTGTAATCAATATAAGTCATATGATAATTTGGAGACAACAACAATTGAAGTTGAAAAAACTTTGGAAGAAAAACGGAAAATTTACCAGCAATGTAAAAGTAGAAGAAAATTGAAGAAATTCATGAGCTTGGGACTTGGACAAATGTATTTTTCGAGCGATCCTTGTAAAAAGCATTTGGATTAAAAATGTCTTCGAAAAATGAATATTTTTGAGCGTTTTCGTAACAAGAACGTTGTACTTACAATTAGATTCTTCCTAGTTTCAGTTGACATTGAAAATTTCGTTCTAAGAAATCTAAAATCTTTTATCAAAATAGTTATAAAAGTCTAGACTCTTGAGAAAATATTTTATTTTCTTCAAAAATCCTTCAGTGGCTAACACTTTGAACAAATTTCATCTCAATGTCGAAATTTATCTTGGTTTTTTTGACCTGTGCAATTGTAAAAGAAATATATGGATTTGACGTGGATCCTTCACTTCAAAATGGAGGGAATTGTGACCAAACAACTACTACTACACCTTCTGATCCTGTTGTCGTAGAAACAGAAAAGCCTTATAATGGTTGTAGTGTGGACATTCGCTTGAAACCTATGTTAGAAGTTAAATTGAACTGTAACAAAACAACTCCTACAACTACTCCGGATCCTATTCTTATTCAAGTACTCGAATGGGGTAAAGGTGATAAGTATGAAAAATGTGTCAAAGCCAATAGTAATCGGGATCCTAGAGATATTTATTTTATTTGTAATCAGTTTAAAAAGCAATGAGTCTCAATTGGAGGAAATCAGTAAAACATTTAGTTTTAACTGTGATAAAGATTAGTTTTTCAATGAATCTTGTAGAAATACTGCAGGTTCAAAATGAAAACTCCCTGTAACAACAAATCTCATATCATTCGGAAAATATAGCTGTTCGAATAAATATTATTGATAGAAATATTATCAAATATTCATTGAAAAAGCAGGTGAAAAATACAAATGAAGTGCCAAGAAAGAATTTATCAGAAATCGCACCCAAAATGTTTAATCATCCGAATTAGCTTCGAGATGCAACATTATTTTGACCTAGAAAAATACAAAATTGTTTGAAAACCTTTAGAAAGGTCAAAACTCACATGTTTGGCAACTCTTTTGAAGAATGGTAGTTTCACAGTGATATTTGAATTGATTTCTGAAGATTTGGTGGTTGTGGAAATTGTGGTTGTATTTGGTTTTAGAGTTGTTGTGGTTGTGCTTGGTTTCAAAGTTGTTGTGGTTGTGGTAGACGGTGTTGTTGTAATTGGTGTTGTGACTGTGGTTGATCTTTTTGTTGTGGGAGATCCAGTTGTGGTACATTCAGTTGTCCTAAAAGTAGGAATAACATTTGTCCGAAGCAAAAGTAAGATTTCTGGTACAATTTAAAAACTCTTCAGTAATTTGACTGAATCTGGAGGAATTCGAATATCTTTTTTCACTGACGGGCAATTCAACTCTTGTCAAAACGAATATTCGGGAGTCTTCGCCTCCTACCGTGCTCTAAGCTATCTCCTTTTGTAAAACTCACGCTTCAACCCCATCCAACTGAAAAAACGGTTGCAATTCTTCTTCATCGCCCAAAACTCCAACAATTCCCAATCCCAAAACCATCAGAAATTTCCAATTCATTTTTTATTCAAATCAAAAACTCCCACTCTTCTTGTTTTCTTATACATTTTGTTAAACAAAAGAATAATTTGAATTCATTTATTCATTTTTTTCTCAAAAAAAGAAGCGATAATTAATTAGAGATACCGTTTATGTGTGAAAGTGACATGAGGAGAAGAGCTGATATTTAAAATTAGAAGAAAAGGAGAAGTGATTTTATAAAAATCAGTTGTTTAGTGGCATTGAGTTTCGCTCATTTGGCGCAATTTATGGCGGCCTTCGAAGATTTGAGCCATGATTTCTTGAGTTGATTGTTTGCATCTGAAAAATTCATTTGAATTTTGGAATAGAAGACAGTCAGGTCCAAAGAAAGAGGCAAGTGTGAACTTGTGAAAAATTGGGACATGGTTCGATTTCTCTTTTCTGGTTGTTTTTCTACTGAAAATGTCGTCACTGTGTTCTGGGAAAATTAGGTACGATTCAAGTTAGCCCAAATTCAGTTTGAAAAAAGATCCCCAGCCCACAAAACTAACTCTTCAACCAATGGACAACAATTTGCCAACGCGGCACATTGTTTGTGCCAAACTTTCGCCGAATTTCGGCAATCTTGAGCTTTTGTGTTTGTGTTGTTCAATTTTTTGGTCTCCCGCTTGTTGCGTTTTGTCGAAGTTGATCGCTTCTTGCGATTTGGTGTTGATGTGCTGCTGATTTTGGCGAATTGGAATTTTTGGTGGAGAGAAAGGCAGGAGGAATGAGTGGAGGCATCGAGGGTGGATTCGGCGAGATTGGCATCTCCCATTGATTTTTGGACACAATCACGAGCCACTTCTGCTCGTCTGAAAATTACTTCGAGATTTTTAGGGTTGGAAATCATTATCCGTAATTTGAAAATGAATCTAGTCAAAAAAATTTATATTTATGACGTGGCAAGTTTTGTGTGAAAGATTTCTGATCTGCAAAAACTTCAATACAGATATTTTGAAAAGTAAACACAATTTTCGAGGACTTTTCTCTTCAAGGTTTTTTTTTGACAAACTATTGTTCTTTCAAAATCAGGTTCCCCAACAAAATTCCCATTCTCAAAAATCTCACCTCATATGAAGAGCATTCAATTCCAACTTCTTATCCCACTTTTTCTTCCCACAATCATCATTATTCTTCAATTTGACATTTCGATCCAACATCAAACATTCTCGTTGTTTCACTTCCAACTCTTCCATACATTTAGTATAATCCTCGCAAAATGATAAATGTTCCTGAGATTTGATGAATGGTGCAATCAAAAAAACTAGCAAACAAATATACTGATAAATACCCATTTTGTGTTTGTGTGTTTGGCCTGAAAATAATTCGATTTGAAATTCTTAACAAGTTCTTAGCTCTCAAAAAAAATCACTAGGGGATCTTAGAATAAAATCGATTTTCTTTTTTTTTTTTGAAGAAAAAAAAACGGGAACAGAACTAAACATGTCAGTTTATATGAATTGGAAAATAATAGTAGTAGAAATGGCGAAACATACACAAAGTAAACAAAAAAACCATAATTGGACACTCACGCAATCTATTTTTTGCTGCCTGCAAAAATTGGCTGCGATTTTTCCTATTTTTGAGAACGTTACGATACGGATGGTTAGTTTGAAGTGTTGATTACAACAATTCAATTATAAGTATCTATGTTTTTCGATTTTTTCGAAATCTCTAGAAAAAATAAACGAGATATCGTTAAAAAACAAACAAAAAACGCTTGTTCAAACAAAATTCTCTCGATCGAAAATTGATTCGACAAAAAAATCACTTTTTTTGCAAAAGAGAAATTTGCATAAATTTGAAATGAAATAAAATATCATTGGTATTTATCGGCGAGAAAAAACCCATAAAAGACATTTTTTGAGCAACAGATGTCTTTCCCAAAATTTTTGCAACAAGACGTGGAATTTCTACCTCTAAAAAGCTAACACGTAGAATTTTTCGGCTCACATATTAGTAAAAGTAAAATTTTCGAACTGAAATTTTTCGGTGCCAAAACAAAATTTCAAATGAAAATAATTTTCTTTTCATTTCACGGCGAGAAAAAACCCATACAAGAAATTTTTTGAGCAACACATGTTATAATCCACGTGTCACTCACTTTTCTCGAAAAGGAAAAAATTCGTAAACAAAAATTTTCCCCCCGAAAAAAATGTAAAATCTGTGCCGTTTCATTATTCATGGAGTGTTCTTTCCGAAAAAGGCCCAACAAAAAAAAATTCCAGAGGACTTTTTTTCAAAAAAAATTATATAATTCGAGAACTACGAGAAAAATCAATTTATTTTTTGGTGGCTGGAAAATTTTGGGGGATGTTTACGACTTGTAAGAAAAAAAGAACAACACAAGAAAAAAAATAATATATAGATGTGAACACAACTAGGCAGGTGTGTTCGTTCTTTTTTTTGGTTGTGGTGGCACCGCGGAATTTACTAGTTAGTGTAGTGACAGAAAAATTGAGGCGAAAGAGAGCGAGAAGTGTTGGAGACGCAGAGATGGTGGCGGGCGGAAAGTTTGGCGCAGAAAAACTTGAGAGTACTGTAGGCAAGGTATTTTCAAGAAGAAGCTGAATAGTACTTTTTAATTTGAAAAAAAGTTTTGAAACAGCAAAAAAAATTTTATAATTTTATATAAAAAACTGGAGCACCATTTTCAAGTTCTGAAATTTTTTGTGGGCAGCTGAAACTGATTTGATTACTTTAAAGAACTAGCTTTATAGATTGAAGTTTCGAGATCAACTAAAAAATATTTGCGAAAATTGAACTTCGAAAAAATTACACTTTGAACTTTAAACTTTTGAACACAATTCGATTGATTTTTTCTTGAAAAAGTTTAGATTAAAAGTTCTTATGAAATTCCAAGTTTGTCTGCATAAGAAGCAAAAAAAACCCCGCTCTCTCTCTCAACGCCCGAAAAAAAAAATGACAAACCCACCCACTAATTGTGGTACATTGTTATTGAGAACAACCAACGACAGCCAAAAAAAGAACAAGAAAAAAAAGGAGAAATGGAAAAAGGAGGATCAGCCACCATTTAACTATTAGCTCATTCTCATTTTGGAATTGTTTAGTTGAAACGAGAAATGAAATGAAATGAAAAAGAGCAAAATGAAGAAAAGAGAAACAATGAAAATATGGAGATCGAAAATGGGTACGAAAAACAGATGGGAGGAGAAGAGGAATTTGTTAATGTAAGTAATTTTGGATGGAATTTTATTAGGCTTTTAGTGAGGTCTGAATTTTTGAGAAGGCTTGGTTTTAGAAATATTTCGAAACTTGATTTTTTCCAAAAATAATGTTTACGAAATGAATTTTCTTGTCTAGAAGCGTTTAGATCTTTAACCTTTCAAAAATTAAATTAAACGAGATGAAAAGTAACTTCTCCAGAAATGTTTTTCCACAGAAACTATGTAATAATTTTTTCACAAAAAGTTTTTATTTCAAATTTTTTTTTGAAACGGTGGATTTTTTGGTAAAATATTCTAGATCTAATGAATTCACGTTGTTTGTTTGAGAATTTTATTTTTTGTTCAGAAAACATTTGAACTTTAAAAATTCTTGAAATAGTGAAGTTTTCTATTTCAAAAATTCAGGGAAATCTTTTAATTGAACATCTAATGAAGCTCGTCGTTCGGCCTAAATTCTGACCAAATGAATTTAAAAAAAATATGGATTTGGCAGGCTCAAAGATTGTAACGAGTCAGTCAAGAATATATTTCAAACATTTTTAAAACAGTGCAGCTTTCAACAAAAAACTAATTTTTAGCCATATTCGACGTTCTTTTCTTAAAACTTCTTGTTTACCCGAAAAATCTAACTTCTAAAAATAGTATCCTTTACCTCAAACAAAAAAGACAAAGAAGGAAAAAGAAACAAAAGGTGAGAGATTATTCACCGTCAAAAACACAATTCTATCGATTTATTTCACAATTCTCTTGTATTTTTCGGGGAAATTTTGAAAATAAAATATAACATGGAAGAAGTTATCTAATGTGCCCATCAAAATTATGCAAAAATTTAGTGCCTACTTTTTTCGGGAGGAAGAAAAATGGAGAAGATGGATTTTTTCGGTTTGGAGCGGAGAAACCAATTTTGTCTCCAGGGGATACTTGAAACATATAAAAATTGGAATTACATTTTATTATATATATATGAATATGAATATCAAATGTGAATCTGGAAATTCTAAAGATCTAGCTGAAAATAAAAACAAACAAAAAATCTTGACATCAAAAATCTCAATAAAAAATTCTGCCAGATAAAAACCTTCATCCATCCCTAGAGAATTGGATTTACATTTTTCTTCCCTCAAAAAATGTTTGCCGCCAAAAAAATTGCTGAAACTTTTCTTTCAACACATGTTTTGATTAATGCACCCCAAAAGAAAACACACATATTTTTTCAAAAAAAAAAAAAAGAAAAAATACGAAAAAAAAGTTTTTTCCACAGACACAAACAAATTCAATTTTCTGTGGAATTCAGAAATTTTTTCTTGTGGCTCATTTGGATGAGCCACGAGAATATTCTGGAGAAAAAACATGGAAAAAATGGAAAGTTTTTGGATCGATTACAATACCTTGGAAAAAAAATGATGTGGAATCAAAAAATAATTGATAAAAAATAATTGAATTAGGCTAACTGGGTCAGAAACTGGTTTTTTATTGTTTAGTTCAATTTTTGAGATTTGCAAAGATAATTGGCCAAGGTGTGGTTCTGAATCGATGTGTTCTAAAAATAATTCCCTCAAAAACAATAAAAACTTTCCCATGGTCCAAAAATCCAAACATTCAAAATGTTGTCTATAAACAATTCATATAAAAACTGGGGTGTTCGCTGAAAAAAAATCATATATGATTATATTATAATCATAACAAAAATGATTTGCAACAATTCATATTTCTCCGCATTTTTCTTGGCTATCGTCTCAATTCTAGTCATCACAATCTCTTCAACTCCACCACAAACCACGTTTAATATAAAATGTAATTCTCAAAAAGATTGGACCCTGGCAATTGAATTTATTGATGAATTTGGCGGAAAAGATGGGATTTTCTACAACAAATGCAAAAAACGAAAGATTGATACGATTACTGATATTCGAGTTATACCAACACATGTCGTTTTTATTCATAATTGTGTTTCTGGAGAGCAAACAAATATGACTTTCACTGATGATTTTAGACCAGAGTACAACTTTTTCATTGATAATCGTGGAACTTTAAAGAATAATTGATTGTTTTTTTTTTAAAAATATAATCTAATAAAGTTTGTTGTTCTGAATTGAATCCTCTGAATTGAATATTTCCAAAAGTTTTCAAACAAAAAAGTTGAAAAAAAACGAAAATAAATTCAAACTCCCACCTGTTTCTTAATTTCGTCACGAGACCCAACGAGTAGACAAAACACGTGCGCCTTTATTTTAATTTCTTCATTTTTTGTTCATTTTTCGTCTACTTTCTGTCTCAAAATGCCTGATATAATCGGAAGAAGTGTGGAAAGTGAATATGGTAAAAAATGTAGGTTTTATGATACTTTGTGATTCGAAAAAATGCATTTTTTTGCAGATACTGTATTAGAATCGGTTAATGAAGGAGTTTTTGGGAGGATTTACAAAGTCTTCGGGAGTAATAATGTAAGTTCTTGGTCTTAATTTTCAGCAGCGTTTCGTCATATAAATTTCTCGAACTAATCTCAATTTTTCGCAGATCGAGCCTTTGGCAATGAAAGTCTTCTTCAAAGCACATGAAAATGCAAGTTGGGATATCGAAATAGAAGCATTGAGAAGTGCTCGAAGCACTGCAGATGAAATGTGAGTAGAAATACTGGAATTCAAGCGAAATATCGATTTTACAGGAATATCGTCAAGATATTAGATTATGGTTCACTGAAACAAGACAATTTGCCAGATCGCCTTTCAAATAATTTTATTGTTATGCCTTTATTAGGAAAATCGATTTATCAAACACTAAATCCAAATGGAGATAATACAGTTGAGAAAATGGCGTTCGAAAGTGAGAATCTGCAAATCATATTTTTTTCTGAAAACAAATAATATTTCAGATTCGAATATTGAACACATTGGTTATCAAGTGGCCGTTGCAATGATGCATCTTCAAACGTTAAATATTATGCATTTGGACTTGAAGCCGGAAAATGTTGTTTTTGTCAAAGTCAATAATCAGGTAATGTTCGGTTTTGGCTTCAATAATGTCTTCAACTTTTTCTAGATCACAGCAAAAAGAATTGTTGAAAATCGGACATTATTATCGATGGAAGATACGCAGGTAAAATTAATCGACCTCGGCTGCTCTAGACTTTTCGATGCACAAGATAAACCGGAAATCGATATCGACGTGCAAACACAAAATTATCGTGCGCCTGAAGTTTTCATGGGATTGGGATTCACGAGAAAATCGGATGTTTGGTCGTTCGGATGCTTGTTATCAGAAATGTACACTGGTGAACTGTTATTTTTCGGTGGAGCCGATGAAAATTTGGATGAGGTGCAATTAGAAGGGATGCAATCAATTTTGAGAAGATCGATTCCATATTGGATGTTGGAAAAAGCGTATGACGCAAGGTAAGTATGTGAAATTTTTTTCTAAAAGTTTGAGTGTTTTTTAGTTTTGAATGTTTTTTTTCCAGAAGTCAAAAAGTCATCTGGACCGATGATGGATTTCGATTCCACAAAATGAATACAGTTCGCAACATTTCTGCTCCGCCAATTTTGGTAAGATTTTGGTAGAAAATATTTTTAAACATTTGAAATACCTTGAAAGTTTTTCAAGTCTCCCATAATAATTCAAAAAACTGAAAGTTTTCATATTCGATTTTTTTCAGTCCAACATTCGACAGTTCGATGTTCGTGGTATTATTTTGCACGAATTGATTTTGAATTGCCTCGAAATAGATCCAGAAGATCGTCCAAACTTCGCCGAAATAATGCGACATGAATTTTTCAATCAAAGAAACGGATTGATAACGCTTGATGATTAGCGATTTTTTGTTAAATTTTGAAATGTTATTAAGTTTATTTTGTTTTTTGTTGTTGTTGCTGTGAATAATTGTTATACTTTATTACATGAATTTGTTTTTTTAACTTGACGAAGTCTTTATTTTACGTGCTTTTTGATCAATTCCTCTGAAAAATGACTCATTATAGTTTTTCTTGCAAATGTTCTACATTTTTCATAAGTCTCCCATAAAATACTTTTTTCGAAGTGTGTGTCTTTTAGGGAAAATATTGCGCATTTGATGGCTCTGCTTTCGATTTCTGATAAACTTGTGTTGAAGTTGAAGCATCCATTCAGTGCGACATCAATGGATTTTCGACGAATTTGTTCATTCAGACATTTTTTGAACAATCCTAATTTTTTCGAGGGAATTGAATCATGTTGAACGATGTAAAAACATCCTGCTGGAATAAAAAAAGTTTTCTATTGAAGTTAGCTGGAAATTAATGAATGACGAATACATTCTGTTGATTCAATTTCTATTGCTCCTACGGATACCCCGGAGAAGCTTTAATCCAAAAATTCAAGTTGTCAACTTGAATTTTTACCCAACCATTCTTGCGAATGGTCGGAAGTCCAATTTACTTTGAGTAACATGGCGAAGAAACCATCCGCTTTCCCATTTTCCAATAAACACACTAACCGACATTCAAACGGGACTGCGGATAGTGGCTCTGTGTGTGGAGACACAGAGAAGCAGAGACAGTTTTTTCATAATGTTTTTTTTTTCTGAAAAAAACACTTTTTTTGTAGATTTTTTGCTCAAAAATTGTTAGATTTTTTTAATTTCAGTCGGATTTTTGAAAAAAAAAAATCAATAAACTCACATCTGAAAACACTTGAAATGGGAGAAAATAAAAGACTAATAAGAAACAAATATTGCATGATTTTTGTTTGAAAGCCAATATCGCGAAAAAATTGGAAAAAACGTTGTTAACGTTAACAAAAGGCTAGACAACATCAAACGTGCGAACAAAATTTCGCAAAAAATCTGGAAAAATCCGCAAGAATTACACAAAAAATTAACTTTCGAAATGTTTAATTCATTGTGAAATCAATCTCAACTTATCAGATATTTTCAAGTGAATTTATCAGTTTTTGAAAATAAAATAAAATTTCATTTTTCAAACTTCGCACCCCAAAACCCTTTATTGAAAAACTTGAAAACAATTCCAATTAGTTTTTGAAAGCCTTTCCCCTATTTGTCAAATCAATAAACTCTGAATATTCAGCTTTTACGATGCGTCGATATATTTTTATTGGATCTGAACTGCAATTATGCAGAAATCCCACATGAGTTGGCTGAAAGTCTATTTGAAAACCAAAATCAATTTTAATAACTCACCTTCTTCTCAAATTTTCGTGTAAGCAAGTATGAATGATTGTCAACAACGTCAATTTCATCGTGATAATTGTTCGAAATATCGTCAGATGTTGAATATATAATCTCAACACCCCAATCAAGTTTGGCACCACAATACAAAAATAATCTCAATTCGTCAGAAGAAACTTGAATATTTGATTGATATGAGCCTTTATCGGCCAATTCAAAAAATTGTGCTGGCTTGTTTCCTCCATCAAATAATTTAATTTGGTCCGGAATTGATGTGCAATCATGAATATATTGAATTTGAGATGGCTGAAATTGCATTATTACTTATTTTAGTGTTATATTGCAAACCAAACTTTTTCGATGTTTTGAACAAAAACAGCCGAATTGCTCATTTTGATTTTCCTTGTTTCATTATAACTTGTCGAAATACTATCATCATTGTAAAAATATAAAATCGTCAAATTCCAATTGAACTTCAAACTGCATGTCAAAAGGAATGAGAAACGTACAAGTTCCAAATTAAGATTGGATTTAGGTTCAATCAAACCTTTGTTGTCCAAAGTGATATTTCTAGTGTACTCAAAACTCTCGACTTTTAAAACAGGTTTCTCTGCATCTGAACTGCAACTGTGAATAATTTCGAGGTTCGGTGGCTCAAAATGAAAACTTTTTTTCCGAAAAAATTTCATTAAACAAAAAAACCTACTTTTATATCGAAACGCCGAATAAAATGAATTAAATTGCTATCTTTAACATTAAATTTCTCAAGATGTCTATTATTGATATCTTCAGGATCTATATAATATACTCTAACGAACCAATTTTGCTTGACATTACATTTTACGTAAAATTCAAGATGTGGATTTCCCGCAAGTGGATCTCTATGTACACGATTTGAAATACCTTGGAAAGTTGATAAGAGAAGAAAGAGGAATATTTTCATTTTGATGTTCAAAAAAATGTGAAGAGAAATATGAATGGCTGAAAATGGAAATGTTTATGTTGTCTAGACACAATAGAAAAAAAGCTGCGAGAAAAATTTATTGAGGCTTTGATTTTTCAATAAACCAAAATATGGACCCAAAAATTTATCAAAACTTTTCATACACCTTTATCCGTCAAATCGTAAAATTTTTTCAACTCAGATTTTCCAACATTCAGTGTATCCTTTTTTGATTTTGAAGAGCAATCATGAATGAATTGAACATAAGTTGGCTGAAAATTTATACTTTTTTCTTTTTCATACAGTATACAATTGATTCCAACCTTTTTCTCAAAATTTCTAGTAAATTCGATTGTATTGTTATCTTCAACTTCAATAGTTTCACTATGATCATTCGAAACATTTTCACCATTTGAATAATACAAAATATACACATTCCAATTGAGTTTCAAACCGCAGTATAAATTCAATGTGAAAGGAGCGGGAGCAACAATTTTCGGTGTATCCAACATTTTCAAACCTTTGTCTGTCAATGTTGTATTCTTGGCGTATTTAGATTTTGGAACTTTTCTCAAGGGGATTTCTGGATCTGAATTGCAATTGTGAATAAATCCGACATGAGTTGGCTTAAAATTAATTATTTTTTGAGTTAGAAGTCATCCCCTTCTGCAATTACCTTTTTATCAAAACCACGAATGAAATAAATGTGACTGCAGTTTTTGACTTCAAATGTTTCACTGTGAATACTTGCCTTGTCTTTAGAATTTGTGAAATATATTTCAACCATCCAATCAAGTTTAGCATCACATTTCAAAAAGAATTCAAGATTTGATAAAGAAGTTTTAGATTGCGGATCATTGGTTGGTAACCAAGATCCCAAATTTAGTATTTCAGTATGAGATTCATCCAAATTTCTTCGAACTTTTCTCCAAGGTCCTTTGCTTTCATCATTACAAGTGTGTCGAATATCCACTTGACTTGGCTAAAAAGGACATCGCCTAATAACATCGTAGCCTAATAACATAATAAATAACTCACTCTTTTCTCTAAAACATACGATTTGTTGAACCAATTAGAATTGGAAATATTGTGAAATTCACGTTGAATTCGAAAAGAATCAAAAGCATTCGAGAAAAACAACTTGATTTTCCAATTTTGTTTAATACTACAATGAAGAGATAAATCTATGGAATATTTACCTTTTCCAATTCGAACTACGTAATTTGCAAAGGCGAATTGGAAGGTTAAGAGAAGGATTATTATCTTTATCATTTTGATGTCAAATGGAAAAATTGATCATCGAAGCTTATTAGAATTTTAATGTTGTCTAGACAACACGTTGCAAAGCTGTGGGACTCATCCAGAAGAATGTCTGTATCCAAATGAAAAAAAAACCCCAAAAAACTTCATTTGAAAACGTGTCTGACAAATGTGTGCAAACGTTGCAATGTACGCTTGCGTACAGTAGAATTTTGATTCACATAATATTTCAAAAACAACATCCTGGAAGGTGCAAAAGATGCCACAACATCAAAACTTTTAACACAATTTTCAAAATCGCATGAAATTTATGAAATGTATTTCAAACTTATACACCTCTATCAGTCAAATCAAAATATCGTTTAAATTCGGTTTTTTCAACAACCAATGTATCCTTGTTAGGATTTGAAGTACAATTGTGAGTGAATCCAATATGAGTTGGCTAAAACTGATGTGGTATTATTATTGGTTTTTGTTTTGTTGAAAAACATTTCCTAACTTACGTTTTTGTTAAAACTACGCGTGAAATTAAATTGATGGGAATTTTCAACTTCAATAGTTTCTCTGCGGCTATTTCCAACATCAAAATCATTTTTATAGCTTATTTCAACAGTCCAGTCAAGTTTAACATCACACTTCAAGGAAAAATCGACAGGCAAGGGTCTCAAATGTGGATCAACATATCCCTTTCGAATCCAAGTTCCTAAATTTCTCAAATCGGTGTAATCTTCATTTAGATTTCTTCGAACTTTTCTCCAAGGACCCTTGTCTTCATCATTACAAGTATGACGAATATCAACTTGACTTATATCTCCCACAGTTGGCTGAATATATAAAACTTTTTAAAATCAACTCTCATAATGAACTCACCTTTTTTTCTAAAATATATGATTTATTGAACCAATTCGAACCCAAAATAGTATGATTTTCATGTTGAACTCGTAGATTATCGAGACCATTTGTGAAAAACAATTTAATTCCCCAATCTTGTTTTATACTACAATGAAGAAACAGATCCACTGCATATAACGGATGTTCAATCAATGTTGCATGATTGGCGAAAGCCAAGTGAAGAGTGGTTAGGAGAATCAACAATGTCATTTTGATATGAAATGAAGAAACATTTTTTGCTTGAGAGTGATTGGAATTTTGATATTGTCTAGACTGAATATTAGGAAACTGTGATAATTGTCTGAAGTTTTTTTCTCTTCATTCCGAAAATTCAATTGAACATCCATGTTTTTGACCTGCTTTAGAAGAGCAAAGGATTCATTTTCCTGAAAACCCAAAAAAATCAATAATATCTTATCTTATCCTCCCCCAATTCTCATCAAGTCAGCAAGTTTGGCTCGTCTCGCACGTTCTAGTTGCTCCAACAACGAAGTACTGTTTTCATTCTCATTTTCAACAAGAACTTCAATTTTCCTTTTGATTTTCAAATATCCGGCGCCAAAAATTTTGTCTTGAAGATAAATCACTTTGGTTTTGTTGCTCGAACTGATTGTGAGCTCAAAAAATAGGACAAGAATTATTAGGCGAAAGAAGTTCATTTGGAAGAAATGTTTGGACTTTTAGAAATCTAGAGTCTAGAACTAATAAACACTGTGTGAAAAATAATTGACACGTCATCGGAAAAATCCACGTTTATGAGTTCAAATAAGCCCAGGGTTACTGTAGATTGAAGAAAATAGAGTTTTTTCAACTTCTGTAGATCAAATTACTACTGTAGCTGAAACTCAATTTATATCGACACCAGACAAAGTTGGTTATATCCTAATTATATGGGTTTTAAAACTCACAAAGTTGTTGTACTCAAAAATGCATGCTTCTGACAGAAACTTATGCTCAATTTACTGTACATAAATACAAATGACATTGTTTTCAACGACACTACGCAATGACGGAACGTGTTCTTTTACAAAATCAAACGAGAGCCGTTTTGAAAATCAATAACGTCACAACTTTCTAAAAGAATTCTTTATTTCCAAATCAGGATCAACTATTTTTGTTTCTCTACCATTTTTGCCCGTTGTTATCCAACTGAGCAAAATGGTCAATCCGTTTTTTGAATGCCTTCCATACATTTGGATCATTATTGCAGTTATGGTGATATGTAACATGAGTTGGCTGAACAATTTTTGAAAATTTGAAAACTTTGGTAGCAAAAAAACAAACCACAACATGAGGACGAAAATGATGAGTTGCAACATAAAAATTTTGATTTGTAATTGTATGGTTCTCTTTTCCAAATAAAAATATGTTATGCTCTACTGTAAAAATTAATTCAACCTTCCAATTGCTTCTCAAAAAACAAGTCATTGGGAATATTTTCATAACTCCTGAAACAGCACTGAAGAAAAATGAAGGAAGTATACACAAAAGTAGAGAAAATTTCATTTTTCTTTTAAAATTGATTTTCTAACCAATTATGCTCTACTTATGAACAAATTATATTCTAATAGTCTAGACATCATTAGACTCAAGAATTGTTCAATTGCTTGAAATTGTGTTTTTTCGTTATCTATTTGATTTTTGTCGAAGCGGCAGAAAATTCCAAAAAAATTCTTCCAAATAGAGCAGGACAACAAAGAAACCAGAAACTTCTGAGAAAAAAAAATGATATTTTTGAACTTGAAAAAAAACTTTTTACTACTTATATTCTGATGTTCATCATCAACAAACCAATCAATTTCAAATTCCAAAAAAAAAATAATTTGAAATTCTAAATTTCAAATTTATTTTCAATTTACAAGAAATAGAAACGTGTGCCGGCCCAGCTGACCTGCTAACCTTAAAATTTGACATGATTCCTACCATAAAAAATGTGACCTTTTCCCTTGAATCTAACCATTCCCTGATAACTTGGAAAATGAAACAGTGAGTTTTCCTCAACACCTCTGTCAACCTATTTTTTTATAGAAAATCTAGAGAGCCGGCTGAAAAGCCCAAATTATTGAGATTTGCTTTAGTGGGCCTTGAATCCCTCATTATCTCGTTGTCAGTTTTAGCGGTTATTATACTGTTTCAAAATTTCAGCATTCGTTTTTGGTTGTTTTCTGCACTTGATAAAACGAACCAATTTTACAATTAGAAATAATCTATAGAATTTCTGGTTTTTTGCATTCATTCCAGCGATTGAAAATGAATTTTCTCATTTTTGAAAAAATAATTTCAAAAATCACAGGGGTTTTTTCACTACCGAGAATTAATCACGTACAAAACATTTTATCTGACGACAAAAAACCTCCGCAAACAGCACGCTACGTGGCCGACAAAAAAAACAATAGCGTGTGGCCGGCCTCGCGAGATGTCGGTCGCTGCAAACACACATATAGCCCGACTTTTTTCTTTTTATTTGTGTGTCTTTTGAGCCAAAGGGTTTTCAATTTTCTTTTTGAAAATCTGAAAACCTAAGCTCCGCCCACATGTCTGTGCGGAAAAAGATGGGCGGAGCCTATTTGCTCGATTACAATTTTGCATTGACTCGGTAGTGAAAAAACCCCTGTGAAAAATATTCACTTCAATCCGAAAAAAAAATCAAATTTCAAACGTGAAAATGTCGACGTGTTCCTAGTGAAACCGCCAGTTTTTCCTCAGTTTGAATATTTCACCCTTATCAAAATGGCTAATAAATCAGTGTACATGGCGTTACCAAAAAGTGAGTGAGAAAGAATTTGAGCTGGAAATTTTGGACAAAATAGAATCAGCGAATCAAAATTTACCAAAAAAGTTCTTTCACTAAACCCCACCTCTCTACTTCCTTCTCCCAAAAATCAATGAATTTCTAGATGATGTAAACGTTGATGAGATAATTGTGAAAATACTGAACGTCGGCGTATCCGGCCTAACATTCTCCTCAATCGTTTCCCCTCAAGAAATGTCGAGTTTATTAGATTTGGCCAAACCACTTTTCATGTCTCAAGGTTCGATGGTCGAAATCGAAGCACCTGTCAAAATATGCGGTGATGTTCATGGTCAATACGCCGATGTTCTTCGATTATTCGATCGTGGTGGTTTCCCGCCAATTGTCAATTATTTATTTCTCGGTGATTATGTTGATCGCGGACCACAAAGCCTTGAAGTCGTCACACTTTTCATCGCTTATAAAATCAAATTTCCTGGCAACTTTTTTTTGCTTCGCGGAAATCATGAATGCGGTGCAATTAATCGAGTTTATGGATTTTTGGAAGAAGTTACGAGAAGATATGGGCCTAAATTGGGGGCGACTTTGTGGAACTCTTTTCAATTAACATTTGCGTGTATGCCGTATACGGCTTTGGTTTCGGGAAGAATTCTTTGTATGCATGGAGGTGTTAGCAAAAGGGTTAGTTAGGAAATGTTCAAACTTTGACACGTCATATTTCGGAATTCTGAAGTTTTGAATTCTTGGTGCCAAATGAAATATTCTCTTTGAAAATCATCCTTATTTCCAGATGAAATCACTCGATCAACTTCGCAAACTTCCTCGTCCAGTTCTCGATGTTCCAATTCCATCGCTCGAAACCGATCTTCTTTGGTCCGATCCCGATGAACAAGTAAACGGCTTCGAAGAAAACACACGCGGAGTTGGTCAAGTTTTTGGAGCCGAAGCACTTCGCGAAATCACTGAACGTCTTGATGTCGATCTAATCGCTCGTGCTCATCAAGTCGTCCAGGATGGCTACGAGTTTTTTGCCAACAAAAAATTGGTGACAATCTTTTCGGCTCCACATTATTGCGGAAGTTTTAACAATGCGGCTGCAATGATGAATGTGGATAAGAATTTGACGTGCAGTTTTCAAATTATGCGCCCCATTTCGAAATCGATGAAACAAGCATAGAGAAAGACAGAAATTGAAAAGAGATTTTGATTTAATAAATTTTTGCGGTGATTTTTTTGAGAAGAGAGAATTTCTAGAAGTTGTTAAAACTCTAATTTTCAGAAAAAAAACCGAAAAGGTATTCCTTAAAATTTGAATTCCCGTATTAAATTTTGAATTCTTCTAATTCCCATATAAAAAAACTTACATCACGCAATGCTGGCCAACCAATATCACTCATCGTTTTATTCACAATTCGAACTGTTAGATTTTTCTTCAAATCATCGGAATTCTCATAATTATTTTTAATATATTGTTCGGTTTCACATTCAAATTGAGTTGCTCCATCGGTTAGTACTTTGTCGAGCTCTGAAAATTCAATATATTTTTTAGAACTTCAGAACTTAAAAAAAAACAACCCAGAAATCATAAATGTGTTAAGATGATACTTAGTTTATTGCTTGAAAATATTGAGTTTGAAATTAAAAAATCACACAAACGCTCCATGAACCCAGGAAAAAAAACTTTGAGGGGGACTAGGCTTACACCCGAAAATCCTAGTCCCTCTGCATTTATTGATTTTTTTGCCATTTTTCCGCTGGTGGACAGTGATAGTTTATTTTTAATGGGTTGTCAGGTGCGTAATCCTGTTTAATTCGATGTAACATTTTTCAACCATTTTTAGGATGAAATTCAGAAAAATGACAGATTTTTCATATGAAGTTCACGTTTTCTAAATAAGTTTTCCTAAATCAGTTTTGGAGCAATTTCTTTTTAGAAATTAGAGCAACTTTGATGTGTCTGATGGGAAATCGGCAGAATTGGCAACTTGTTTCACACAAAAGTTATTCAAAAAAAAACTATTTTATTTCGCAATAATTTTGACAGTCAATTGTCCGCCAGTCAATTTGATAGCTTTGAAAGTTTTCGCCAAATCTTGTTCGTTTCCAGTGAAAACCGAATTTTGAATGACCAATTTGTCTTCTTTGGCTGGGGCAGTTTTATGAGTGACAACAATTTCGCCATTCTTTCCAGGTTCAATTGTTCCGAAGACTGGGTTGACTCTGGAAAATTTGAATTCGGAATAAACCTTTTTGAAACGTTGGACAATTGTAGTCCGAGAGAAATACACAACTCATAGTTTCGAGACCCAATGAAAAAACCTACGTGTAAACATTATTATTCGAAATCTTGATCTTATACATAATCGTCTTATCATGTCGATTCTTTAACACAATTTTCTTCTGCTCATTCGCTGACGCAACAAATTCCAGAGTATTTCCACCCTCAATACTAACATGCGGTGCAAGTTCCTTTTTCTCATCCTTTTTTTCTTCTTCCTTTTTCTCCTCTTCTTTCTTCTCTTCTTTTTTCTCTTCTTCTTTCTTGTCCTCTTTCTTTTCCTCCTCCTTCTTTTCATCTTCTTTTTTATCATCCTCTTTTTTCTCTTCCTCCTTCTTTTCTTCTTCTTTTTCTTCCTTCTTTTCCTTTTTCTCTTTCTTACTCTCTTTCTTACTTTCTTCTTTTTTCTTTTCATCTTCCTCTTTCTTTTCCTCCTCCTTCTTTTTGTCACTCTCTTTTTTATCCTCGTCTTTTTTCTTCTCTTCCTCCTTCTTTTTTTCCACTTCCTCTTTCTTACTCTTTTCTTTTTCTTTCTTTTCTTCCTCCTTCTTTTTCTCACTCTTTTTCTGTTCTTCTTCCTTTTTCTTTTCCACTTCTTCCTTTTTGCTTTTTTCTTTCTTCTCACTCTTTTTCTTTTCTTCCTCTTTTTTCGTATTCGCTGCTTCTTTATCAGTTTTTTTCGAAGTTGTCGCATCTTTCGTTGATTTTATCGATGGATTCCCTCCACTTGCCTTCTTCTTTTTCCCCCCACAAAACATCAATGAAGAAATTATGGCAAAAATTAGGATTGATATGTCAATCATTGTGCAAGGAATTATCTCGTTTCTGAAAAAACATAATTATGATAAGTATTTACTTACAGCAGGAATCCTACTGTAGTGTAGGCGACTCACCCGATCACTTTTTACAAATCTAAATTTTTTCGAACTGGGTGCAAAATGTTTGCGAGCTTCTTTTAAAGCGCAAAATGGGTCACGTGAATAACCTAATTTCGAATTTTAATTTTTTATATCCGTATGCCCTATTTTTCCCCACAAAAAATTCCATCATTTCTATTTTTCTATCTCCAAAAAAATGAATTTCAGATTGCTCATATTAATAAAATTTTTGATACTAACGAAATTTGGTGTTGAAAATGTGACATACAATGGAAAATATTTCGATGTAAATGATAGAATTAGTGAGTTATTTGCGCAAAATTTTAAAAATTCAAATTTCTTCAGACGCTGATTGTGTTCGTGTGGCAGATCGACCAACTTATGATTATATAGGGAATTTGAACAAAATTCCGAGTGGAGAAAAATGTGTGAGATGGGATGAAGTTATGAAATATTGGTTTGAAAAGGCCACAAAAGAAGAGAAAGAATTGTGAGCTTATTTTTTTGCGCCAAAAAATGATCATTTCAAAATTTACCTTCAGACTCTCGCTTCCCGAACGTGTTCCTCATTCAAATTGTCGTCTCGTCAAACTTTCTCTAACTCACAAATTCATCAAACTCTCAACAACTGGAACTTCAAAATTGATTCCAAGTGGAAGTCAAGGAGCTTGGTGTTATATTCGAAAACCAGGAAAAGTTGAAAACGAAGAATTTGATTATTTGGCTGAAAAATGTTTTGAGGATTGTGATTTGACAAAAGTTGACAATGAAACTGAGATAAGTTCTTCTTCGATTAAAAAATCTGAAAATGGTGGATATACTTCGATTAGATTGAATTATAATATCGAGCTATTAGATCCGATTCAAAGATTGTTCAAGGTGTATTTTGTTGAGGAACAGGAATATTATGATTTTGTAAGTTTCAAGACACTGTAGGTCGAATTTTGGAAGCAAAAATGTTGATTACTGTAAATCAAATTGTCGGCGAAAGTTTGTTACATGTACATAATTACACAGTAACCTAGACGCTTACCTTTTTTCCAAGACATAGCAATACTCAAATTCTTCCAATTTCCTCCAGAAATTATCAATCCTCGAACGTCCTGAATACAAACAACTTCAACGCGAAATCTTTCTCTCATTATTTTTGATCTTCGTTGTCGTCATTTTCTGGATCATAATTTATCAATGCCTAAAAAGAAAAGCGAGAAGATTGGATCGAAAAAGAGAAAAATTATTGGATGAATTGTACGATACAACAAATGTTGCTGATATAAAAATGCATTTGGAATTGGAAAGAGAAAGCGAAGTTCAGTAAAATAAAAATTTCATCTTCCGTGAACATTTTGTGCAGAAAAATATGTACAGTGAAAGTTACAAGCTTGAAAAATTAAAAATATTTTTCTATCACCATTCCTCGTATTGTTCGAGAGTGTGGATAAATAATTCGACGCCAAATCCACCAATTCTGATATTTGCGCCTTTTTTGAGATCTTCATTATCAGGCAACTTGTAGCTGTATGGAAGAGCTCTGAAAATACAAATATAATTACAAGTCTTCTGAAGAAAAACTTACTTATTTCTTGAATTTATGATTGGATTACGAGCTTCGGCTTCGAAATTACCATTAATAAAAATGATTTGAGTATTTCGATTGATTCTGCCGGTTATCCAATAATCTGCCAGTTTTTTAATTTGTTCAGCATTCCAAATTGTTGTTTTATTAATTATAATTTGTTGCGCATTCAATTGGGTTAATTGATCGACATCGATTTTTGTATTGGGAATTTGAATGCAAAATGATACAACTTTGAGTTGATGGAAATCAATAAATCCGGATTCTAGCATGCATTTTTTAGTGTTTTGATGAATTAGGAAAGATTTAAGTTGCATCGCGTGTCGAATTTTGATTTCTTCCATAATTCTTGACATTGAATGGGAATCTACATCTATTTCAATGCAATCAGTGATTCTTTCAAATCTTGATAAATATTTCTTCAAGTAATCCATCACAATATCAAGAGGTTTTCCTTTTTCTTTAGTTTCCCAGCAAGTTTGAGCATCTCCTACTCGATACTTTTGACATACAACTTTTGTATATTTTTCGGGAAGTGATGTGAATCTCAAAGTGCATGGAAAATGAGTTGGCAGTCCAAAAAAAGTCGGCATCTTTCTCGTGATTCTCAGCTCGTATCGAAAGATTCTCAAGTTTTTGCGCATTCTTAAATTGATTTCGAAAGTTTGATTTGTCAAGATTTCTGAGTTCATTGATTCTATATAACATTGCCAAGAGCATTTCCTGAATTGACAATGTGTTTCCAGATTCATTTCGTTGATTATCATTTCTCGTATTTCTCGTGGTAATTCCCACCAACCTTTTACCTGTAAAATGTTGAAAATTAATCGAGAAACCTCTTAATCACTCACCTTTGCTTCTTCCATCGTTTATTAGTCTGTTAATACGTGAGAATTGAAGAAAGTTGCATTCGAAAGAAAATGTTGGAAAAACAAATGAAAAACAATTTTTGAATTTGTGCGCGCGCGGCAAATAAACGCTGTGGGACCCAAGAGAAGAATCTCAAGAATGTTCCTTGTACTACAGTAGTTTTTTCTTATCTTCTTTGTTTTCTGCTAAAACAAAACGTTCCCCGCAACGAAATTTATCCCAATAAAGCACAAAAATCTCAATTAACCCCTGAAGTGATTGTGCGTGTGATGACCGCTGAAAATTAAAAATTGAGAATAATTTGGAAAAAAACGAAAGAAAAATCATACTGCTCATCTTTATCGGCTTCAAAAAGTCTTTGATGTCCGGCGATTTTTTTGGGTTTGTCATTGAATTCTCCACCGTAAACAGTCAACATTCCATCGCCAAATTCTTCAGAATTTGTTTGATAATCATCCGAATAATAGTCATTTTCAGTTAAATTTCGTTTTTTGTGATGCTTTTTGGTTTTCTTTCTGAAATTTTCCAGAGGTTTTGAAAATTGGATTACAGAAAAATTTCATAACTCACAATTTCAGATGGTATTTTTTGAAAACTTTGTTGAGATCTTTGACAAATTTTGATGGAAGGCTTCGTTTTGAAGGTTTCGAATCCACGTGGAAAAATATGAGCGCCAAAAGGAAAATCAAATAGATTCTCATTTTTTAGTTTTGGAATAAATATAATGAGGAAAAAATAGAATTTTTATAGGAATTTATAGGATAATAATTGAAATGTTATGGGAAAATAATTGCGAAAACGGGGGCAGCATATTGTGTGCAAAAATATTTTTTAGGCGCCGATAATTCATTAATTTGAACTTCAAAAAAATTTCATTCCTCCTCACAAGATCCAGATTCATCTCTAAACCGATTTCTTCTTCTCGAAAAATATCCAACACCAAAAATAAATCCAAAACTCGAAATCCAGCAGAAACAGAAAAATCCGAAAATCCAGAGTCGAAGTTGGAAAAGTTGTGGTGGATGCGATTTTATCATTTTCTGTAAAAAATTATAAATTATAGATTTTTTTGGTGCTAAATTTAGAAACGCAATATTTTCAAAATAAAAATCTTGCCTCATAAAATTCTCCTGGATAAATTGTGCTAAACATATTCTTCAACAAATAATCCCAATCCAAATTTCTTTCCTCAATTTTTTCACAAGTTTCAAAACATTTTTCAGGTCTCATCGATTTTTCTGAAAAACACCAGGGACCTTCGATTATCATATTTGGAAAATTCCTGCATTTCGAGTGTTGAACAATTTTGAATTTTCCCGATTTTTCAGCCGTGTTCCATGGAGCGCATTTGCTGCCAGATAGGGTTTTATTGCGATTTCCCAGGTAATTGTAGGATTTTAGATGTTTTGAAGGAATACACGTGGCTTCTAGACGATCGGAAAATTCGAAATAATATGATAATATTGAAATAGGTAGCAAGAAAAATAATAATTTTTGCATTATGTGTTTCTAGAAATGAGAGGGAATGAGAAAATTAAGGGAACGGGAAATAATTTTTCCCAAAAAAAATTCTGAAGCCATTTATGACGTTTTTTTTGATACCGAAATTTTTTGTCAAAAAATGTTTTTTTATTATTATTTTTTTCAACCTGAATCACCCCATAAAACACGAAATCACTGAAAATTTGGCGTCACATAAAATGTTTTGTTGTGTGCAAACACCGTTTCGTTTTGTTTTTCAAAAAATCAAGGCGCATTGCGAGACACGGGAGAAAAATTGTGTGCGCCTTTGATGGGGGTACGGTAGTATTCATGAATTTTTCTTTTTTCTTTTTTTGAAGGCTTTTTAAGGGGCCTTCAAAACACACACGTTTGAAAAAGAAGAAAGTTGTGCAATTTTCATCGCGCCGCCGACAAAAATGGTGCAACGCCTAGCGGTTGAACGACCCCCGATATTGAAAAACAAAATACATAGCGAAAATCAGCGTATCGAGATCAGTGCGAATGACTTTATTTGGAATTTTCAGGGGTCCTGGGAAGAAAGTTAGCCTCCACTGCGAGACCAATCGAAATTAAAAACACATGCGCCTTTCATGCCGTACCTCTTTTTTTCAAAATAAAAAATAGAGAGCGCGGCAAACGAGGAGAGTGCGGAATGTGTGAGAACAAATTGTGTGCAAACACCATTCTGCAAACACCGTTGTTGTCACTGCTTACCATGAATTGTTGTGTGCTCCTTTCAAAAACATTTCAGTAAAAAAAGAATCATATTCATGAAAAAAAACAAGTAAAGAATGCAGTCACATGTGGAGACAAAATGCTATAAACTTGTGTGACATGAATCATGGCATGTATTTGTTGCTGCATGAGTTGTCTTCATAGGCTGTAAAAATACATGCTTTAATTTTATCCAAAAAAAAACAATCAAACAAACCTGTTTTCTTTAGAGGCGGCGAGCCATTTTCCGGATTGACGTTGATCAATAGATCCAACGACGCCTTTGTGTCTTAAAAATGAAAAATGGTTTGGCAGATCACAAAATTTAATGCTAAAAAGAGAATTTAACCAAGTGGAAAGTAGAGATTTAGAGAAAAAAAAGCTTTTAAAAATTCACGTGTAATTTGATTATTTGCATGAGCTCTTATAGTCGATTAATTTTTCTTCAAAAAATGAAAAAAAGTGTGTAATAATCTTAAAAAAGAGTCTTGGCGCTAGGATTCAAAGTTTCTAAAACTAATTTGAATGCTCTCTAAAAATGAATTTCTTGTTCTCACGTGAACACGTTTTCCTATCAAAAGTGTTTGTTTTCTCTAGCAACTTCACTTTTCATAATTTCATTTATTTTTCTCCAAAAAAGATTATCTCTCACTCAATTGTATTCCAAAACATTATGAAATTTAATAAACTTACGTTTCCAATTGTTTTGTGAGTTCATGTTGTTGTTGGTCGCGAAAACCTTATCCATTTCTGTTGTAAAATCTGTAAAAATTCGATACAGTGGAAGGTATTGACGAAGTTTAGTGGGGGGGGGGGGGACTCACTTTTTATTTGTTTTTCAATTTCTTTTATGTCATTTTGTGATTTTGTTATCTCTTTCAACTCCAACATTTGTTCTCCAACACAGCCTGCTTTACACGTTCTTTTTGTTCAAAAAAGAAGTTTTTCTGCAAGTCAGTCTTCTGTTTTTCGAAAAGAATTTGTGTTGGGTTATCAATTTGGACAGTCCTAGATTAATATAACAATTTTAAAAGAAATAAGTTGTTATAACTACAAATAAAAACCTACTGGAACTTTTCAGGATTTTCCGTTATTGATTGGAATCCTGGGTGATGCAGACGGATGGCTTTTGTTGGCAGAAGTGCATCAGTACTAAAATAATATTTGTTGTTCTATTCAAAACAAATATAACACTCACCCAAATAAATAAATGATATTTTTCTCAAAATGTGTCACACATTTATCCACTTCACTTTTTGATGCCATTTCCAATACTGCTGATGGATCACTCGATAGTTTCTCGACATAAACAATAATTCCGATTGTCGATATCTTTTCTTTTATAACATCGCCGCCAACATTCGGTGGCAAATTGATCAGTTTCAAATGGTTTTCAAATTTTGATCGTTTAAAAGATGGATGTTTTGTGATAAATGATTCATAATCACTACCAAATTGCTGGAAATGAAAAAATTAGTGTTATTTTTTGTTCACAAGAGAAGTGCATAAGGTTAGGTTCTGAACTTTTTCATGAAAACATAAGACAAACATTAAAATCAGTTTTTGATTGAAAAATGGCGCCGGTATGATTCTAGACTAATAAAAAAACTTCACTGTGGATTTTTCAAAAAAATCAACTTCAAAGTTTGATAATTGTACTCTAAAAACACTGAAAAGAGACAATTCGAGCTTCAAAGTTTAAGCTGAGTTACGAATTTTCAAAAATAGAAGGTTTTTTGACTTTTTGAAAAATGTTCAAAATGTCGACCTCCGGATCCTCATGAAAGAAATTTTTACTTAAAAAATCCCCTCTTGGTTTTTCATAACTCCTCATAAGACACTATTTGAACTTACAACCGAACTTTTCCAGGGTGTCACATTGGGATTTATTCCTTGTTAGTAGTTTTTGAGGGTATTTAAAAATCACCAAAGCGCAATTTCAGCTAGTTTATATACGTTGGAAATATTCCGAAAAACTCACAAACTGAATACGATATTTTCCGTCGATTTCTTCCAGATTATAGTGAATTATTTGGTTCAGTTTAACTTTGACTTCTTCGAAATCAACTTCTGCCACTTGACCTTCACAAATCCAACTGTAATAACACAAGTTAAAAACGATAAAAACATTTTGAATGAAAAATTTTCACCACATTAAAAATTCTAAAAAGATACGACATTGATTTTTTCTTTAAAAAACCAAAATTGATTTGAAGTTCGGAATTCTTTTGACGAACATATCAATTTTCTCAGTTTTCTCGTTTCCTGGATATGTTTGAGTCACGTTCGAATATCAATTTAACAAACATTTGCCTCGGCCAAAATCGTGGTTTCCAAAATAAAAAATAGTACGCTAACTTTTTACATTGTGAAAACTGTGAATGTTTCAGTTATTGACATCTAAAAACTTTTTTAAATTTAATTATCTCAAAAATCGGCTCCGAGGTCAAATGGAATAAAATCGAGTTTAGAACAGGCATAAATTCTCGACCTGTTTTAGTAATGCATGTTTCATTTCACCAAATTATAGTTCTGTTATTTTCTCTTGGAAATTCAGTGAAAATAGATGAAAGAAACAATCATCCAAATCACCTGAAACGTAGACTAATCGTGGAACGAGGCAGGCCGTCAGGAAAACACCTCAGAAATTTATGTCGGTGTTCAGTAGTGTTTTTTTTCTCTACTAAAAACTTAAAACTTCTAAATAATTATACTAAATAATTATCATAGTTATCCTACGTTTTTATGGATTCCTTAGATTATACTTACCGAGTACTCCATTCATTGAAACATATGTTTATCTGAAAAATGGATCATGTTGAATTAGTAAACCATTTTCTCAACACATTCCCAACACAACGTTCCGAAACGCAATTGGGTGAGTTCGTGAATCCCTTTTTTGGTTTTTCAAAGTTAAAAAACGTTTTTTTCGTGAATTACTGCATTGAATAGACGAAATGCGAAAAAAATCACGTTCAAACAAAATTTTTCGCGGGCGTGAGTGCAGTAAAGCGCGTGGTACCGATTGAATTTTGGTTAATGTTAGAAAAATTTCATAAACAGTTAAACAACATGTCAAACAGCAATCGGTGAGAGTGAAAGAGACGAAAAGATATTAAAATCGCGCGTGATCTACAGAGATTTACATTTGCGGGTCTAGGATTTGTGAAATTTAGAAAGAGGTATCAGCTTGACTTTTGAGAATTTATTCTAGAACTTTCACTGTGCCAAGCGACTAAAAATCATCCTCAATTTTTTCGAAACAAACCAACCGCAATTTCAAAAATTATGGATTTTCAGACCCACAAATTTTTAATGTACCTTTGAACTATTTTTGTTCTATGTCTTCTTCACTCTCACCGATTGCCAATTTTCATTGGGCGACATGATGTGCGTTAATTTCTATAGTACTCAAACTCACTTTACGATTTTGCAATGCGACCATTTTGAAATGTGACTAATTGAGAAATGACTCAGGTATTGTTTCTCAATTTTCTACCCTGCTTGCCACGTATTCTGTACACATTTCACGTGATTTTTATTGTTTTTTGATATTATATTTTTTCTCCACTGAACTTCTAACATGGAATGCTATCCAAAATTCCCCCCTGAAATTTCATGTTACTATTATCAAAGTAAAAAAATTTGGCAAAAAAAGAGAAGCCAGAAATTCAAATCCCAATTTCCCCAAGTACGGTGTTCCTCTGCGTCACTAACACCGTTTCGAGACCACACTATTGGGCAGAGAAACAAAGTCAAAGACGCACATATTATATGGGTCTCGGGTCTCGGGTCTCGCGGGGGTCTCGCGGGTCTCGCGGCGGGTCTCGCGGCGACTGAAAGAAACACCGTACTTGGGAAGAGTTTCATTTGAATTTCTGGGATCCGTTTTTTTGCCAATTTTTTTTACTTTGATAATATGCGAAAGTTGTATTCTCTTTCGTTTTTATTTTTGTGCATTTTTTGCATGTGCTTAATTGCACCGCACAAAAATAGGATGAGAGAGTATCGGGGTGATTGATGTTCTTCCAAATTCGCAGCATTACAGTACCCCCCTCTCTTTTCTTGAGTTTTTCATTAGGAAAAATAAAAACAAAAGAGATCGAGGCAAAAGATGAACTACGAGAAAAATGAGGAAAGGGAACTGTCCTTCTCCTCTTCGTGAAGCCCTAATCTAGAAATATTTATAAGAAGCTTAATGAAAAACCCAAGAAAAGAGAAGGGGGGTACTGTAATGCTGCGAATTTTGGTAGAACATCAATCACCCCGATACTCTCTCATCCTATTTTTGTGCGGCATAATTTTTCAAAACTCGTACGTGGATTTTCTGTTGAAGCCCACCTCCAAAAATCTTGAAATAAGATTTTCAAATCCAAAATTTTCCCGCGTGACCTTAAATAATTTTCTGAAAAACAAATCACAACATGTTTTTTTCCACGTGGCAAAAACATGTTTTTTGTCCAGAAATGCTCCTATATAAACAGCCGTGAAAAACTATTTTCCAACCAAAAACTGACCTTTGACTAACCAAACTACAAAACCTGCTTATTCGACACCCCAAAAAAGATGTCCAGGAAATTGTCAGCAACTAATATGAACACTAACAAATGTGAGTCTTGAGGCGAAAATAGGGGTACTGTAGGTACAAATCTTCAAATTTTCAGCATCTACTGGAAAATCAGCTGAAAAGGCGCTTTTTGATAAAACTCAAAACAATTCACCAACATCGGAAGAATATGATGAAGTCATCAAAATTGAGATCAAATTCGGCGACTTGATGTAAGTTTGGCCTAGAAAACCAAATAAAAATAATTCCTCTTCCATTTTTTCAGCAACCTCGACCCTCTTCTCAAGCTAATCAAACTACTCGAAAAAGACTTGGAAGCTCGCCAAATATCACCACCAACACCAACAGAATCGCAAAAGGAAAGCAAAAAAGTTCTTGCACCGATTCCCACCCAAGAACTGTCGCCCAAAAAATTCGACAAGGAGCGAAAACGGCGGGAATATGTGAGAGGAAGTGAACTCAAATCACCCCAATGACTTATTTTGTACTTTGTACTTTGAAAAATGAAAATTATTTTTTTTGTTTGGAAAATCATTGTTTGAAATGGCGCCGCGGTGTTTGCACACAATGCATTTTATTTGACGCGCACTTGTTTTTTTCGCGATCTCAGCAAATCGCTGCGTACATGAACGGTAAGGATTTGTGTAGCTTGTGTGCTGTCTAACTCATTTTACACACATTCCACACACAAGCTACGCACGCGTCTACACACCAGCTACACAAATTATTTTTTTTTCGATTTTTTTTTTCGTTTCGCGTTTTTTTCGGATTTTGCGGGCTGAAAGATGATTTTTGAACACGTTTTGAATGAAAACAACAATTTATTATCAGAATAAGTGAAACATGAAAAAAAACAAAGTATTTCAAACAAAATTATTAATTAGGAGTTTAAAATTTCGTAGATGTTGCGGATTGTCTTGTTTCCCTCGCCATGAAGCTGCTTTTCATGTCGTCTGTGTCGAGCTTTCCATCGAGTGCTGGCGAGACTGAGCATCGGAGAGCATATTCTGTAAAATTGAGATGAATTTACATGCTTTTCAGAGTAGAAAGAACTTTATATTTATCTTCAAAAATAGCTAAACTTGATCAAATTTCCCAAGACATATTTTGTTAACCCGTTTCTTTTTCGGTTATTGACTCACCTTTTGATTTGCGTGGATGAATACTGCATGATTGATGTTGACCTGATTTTTGTGGAGCGTAGTCGTTGTCGTTGTTGAACTTGTTGAAGTTTTCTGAAAATGGTTTTTGTAGGAAACATGGTCGTTTTAATAAATAAAATTCCCTCACCATTTGGCAGCCATTTTGCAACGATCACGCTTCCGGAAACCTGAAATTAAAGATAGTTAGAACAATTCTGAATGAAAGAAAAATTTCCAGACTTGAGAAATAGGGGAATTCATAGATGTTCAAAAGAAATTTCAACATAATTTTCATGAAACACGAAGAAAAATGTTGAAAATTATGTTTATGTTCATTGCTGGCCCGATTTTCACAAGAATTTAGGCCTGGAAAAAACAAAAACAAAAATGAGAAAAGTAGCCGCGACGCCAACCGCGTTGCTTCTCTGATTTGTGTAGCTGGTGTGTAGCTGCGGTGTAGCTATTTTTCGCCGATAAAACCGTTCATGTACGCGACGATTTGCTGAGATTTTTTTTTCTGGCACAAAAGAAAACTGTAGACTGTAGTTACAGAGCATTTTTTATGTACATGATTTAAAATTTACGATGATTTTCAATCGATAAGTTGAATAATCACATCATTATCGATTTTCTCCACCCGAATTCCAATATTTTGTTGAATGGAAACTTGTCGCATAATTTCCATCCGCAAATTCAAACAATCCAATTTCTCCAAAATCTCATCCAATTTCATTTTTCGATCAGTTTTTGTTGACAAAGTTGTCCATAATAATACTAAAGCTCGATTTCGAACCAAAAGAGCTCGTTTATTTTGCTCTTTTCTTTTGAAATATTCTTCGCCTCGATTTGTTTTTTGCATCCATTTTATTGTTAGATTTTCGAGAACTCTGAAAATTTTTTGAAATTTTAATTTTGCCAGGAAAATTCGAGACCAAAAAAGCGTCGCGCCAGAATTTGAGAATTCGAAATAATTTTTTCTAGCGCCAAATATTTTATTTGTTTTGATTGACAGCATTTTCGATTATGAAAAATATGTAGATATAAATCTTTTTTAAAACAATTGGAAAAAGTGTGACTAATTCGATTAGCGGCAGGAAAAAAGAAAATTATGAATAAATAAAAACTTGATTTGAACTGTAAAAAATAGGAATATTGTTGGAATAAAATTTTGGACCTTGAGGATCACGTTAAAAATTCTTCCAACAAATTTTGGCTCAAAAGAACTTCAAGAAATTTTCAAAAACCAACCGATTCGGCGTAATTCTTCCAGCCGTGCTCCTACAAATCGGGCATTTTTCAGTCGTGTTCAAAGTTTCCTCAATACAAATTTTACAAAACGAATGGCCGCATTGGATTACAGTAGGCTGAAAGTTTCAGAATTTTTGAAATTATTTTTTCAATTTAAACTTACCTCAATAAAAACATCCAAACAAACTGAACAACAGAAATCTTCTTCCTGCATTCTGAAAAATTGAATTTTCAAAAAAAAAATTACACCAAAACACTTTGAAATATGACACTTTGATAAATTTTGTGTAAAAAAATAATAACATGGAAAAGGGCGGGAAATCTAGCTGTTCACATAATAAAGGTAGACATTATTCAACTTGTCACATTTTAAGTGTAACATATGTTTTTCTCTGCGTCTCTTTGATTTTTGGGAATTTTTTGAGATGTGTACTTTGGGAAAAATTAATGGGAACAAATCAAAAATCAAGAAAATTCAATCAGCCGGAAAACCGCACGGTTCTAAACAAGTTTTGAAAAAAAAAATCAAAAATTAATTCGATTTTTTGGCTGAACCATGTTTTAATTGTAAGGAACTTTTTATGAACAAAAAAAAATAAATCCAAATTTTTGACACGTCAGTTTGTACTGTAGATAGCAACAAATCCAATTTTTTCCAAATGTCGAAAGAATCAAAAATAAATTGGATTTAATCAAAGATATCAAAAATGGAATCCACGTTGATATATCCCGGATCTAGTTATATTCGATTTCTTACCAAATGTCAAGAAAATTGTAAATAAGGATGGTCCCGTAATCAAATTCTCAAATCATCAAGTCTTCAAAAATATCCAACTTCCACATTTGACAAATTTGAGCGGTAATCCTTCGGATATTTTATTTGAAGACGACAAATTCATGAAGAGGCTGTCAAAAAAAAAAGACGGAGCTGGAGCTGTTGAGGCGAGTGGATTGAAATTGGACAAATGTGAGTTTTTAATGGAAATTATGTGGAAGAAAAATCTCTTTCCAGATAGAGCTAAAAATTCTGGAAAATCCCCATCAAACTCGCAATTTATCGGCCCGAGATTTTTGAAAAAAAAAACGGCCCGAGATTTTTGAAAAAAAAAACGGCCCGAGATTTTTGAAAAAAAACGGCCCGAGATTTTTGAAAAAAAAATCGGCCCGAGATTTTTGAAAAAAAAAACGGCCCGAGATTTTTGAAAAAAAATCGGCCCGAGATTTTTGAAAAAAATCGGCCCGAGATTTTTGAAAAAAACTCATCGACTTCATTTTTACATTTTTGGATTAATCCAAATCTGTAACTTCTTACTCAGGTATCAAAAAAAATCGGCCCGATGATTTTGAAAAAAAAAATCGGCCCGAGACTTTTGAAAAAAAAAATCGGCCCGAGATTTTTGGAAAAAAAAATCGGAAAAAAAAATTTAAAAAAAAAATAAAAATAAATTTTTGGAAAAAAAAAATAATTGAATAAGTTTTTTTTTGGAAAATTTATTGATGACGTCATTCATGGCAAAATTAGGAAGCCTTCCTGATTTTGCCACGAATCATTTTTTGATAAAAAAATTCGAAATTTTCTATAAATTTTATTGTAATTCGTATGATTTAACTCTTACGAGTACACTTAATTCAAAAAAATAATTAAATAAGTTTTTTTTTGAAAAATTGATGGATAACTTCATTCATGGCAAAATTAGGAAGCCTTCCTGATTTTGCCACGAATCATTTTTTGATCAAAAAATTTGAAATTTGATTGTAAGTCAATGTTCTGTGAAATTTTGATTCATCTATACTCTAAGTATTTTATTATTAAAAATAATTCACTGTTTCAAAATTTTAATAATAATTTTCTGGTTTTTTTTTACTTATTCTTTAGTGTTTTTCAAGAAATATTGGCTGCGTACTTGATTTCTTTAGCTGAGTATCAAATGTTAAAATTATGCATCTCATCATTTAACATTTAAGTAATTTTTCATAAGCTGAAATTATATTTTTCTTCCCTGGAGGTTTTTTTTTGGAAAAATCATGATTTTTTTTTCGAAATTCTCATTATTTTTCATGAGTTTGAGTTTAAGTGACATTGATTTTTTGGTTTGGGGAATTTTTCTAAAATTTTTGGATTGAAAAAATTTACTGTTTCAAAATTTTTTGATAAATTTTCGGGTTTTCAAAAAACTTGATACGATCAAAGTAATTTCGAAAAATCAAAAATTTAGTGTTTCAAAATTTTTAGTTAAAGGCAGTTGGGCGAATAATCACGTTTTTCTTCTTGTTTCATCCATAAATAGTCCAATCAAAAAGAATCGGACAGAAAAAATGCGAAATGACAGTTTTTAAAAAGCGCGGAAAAAAAGAGATGTTCAAATTATTTTGAATTGCCGCGGTGTCTAAAAAAAGTGTGCATACACTGCGACGCGCTTCTGCGGGTGGAGGGAATTTGAATGTTTATTTTTTTTTCTTTTTATTTTTTCTTTTCGACTCTTTTTAATCTAGTTTTTTGAGTGAAAAAACACAGTTTAGTGATTTTGGCAGAAAAATTGATCATTGAAAAGTTATTTTGTAAATTTCCAGTTGACGAATGAAGGATTCTTGTGCTAAACAAACGATTACACCTGGTTTCGATGTTTTTTTGCAGTTTCCTCGTGTTTCTGTGGCTGTATTCGAAAAAAGTGAATGTAAAGAGACTGTATTCAACTTCGCGATGTAAATATTCAATACATGGTTCGTTTTTCTAGGATTTTTACGATGAAAATCTGTTTTTTTCTTCAGGGTTTCATTGGCAAAATCAGACTTGAAAAAATACGAATCAAAATCAACGAGGCTGTGATAAATTTGCGAATAAGAAGTTGAAAATGATGTTGGAGATGCAGACTTTCGAAAACCACACGAAAAAAATGACAACGAATCGCCGGAATTCGAAAAAGGATTGCGTCTTTCAAAGCGCATCAAAAACCTACTTCATCGTGTTTTTAAAATGAATAACATAAATATTTATTTAAAATTTTTGCTAGAAAACTTGATGTATATCACATTTAGAGCAATAAAATCCGTGTTTCGATCAATCAATCCGTTTTTCTCCACATTTTGCACTCAACCATGCATATGAAACGGCGATAAATGCAACATGTTCTATATTCTGATCTTCTTCTTCTCAAAAGTGGTTCTCTTTCACCGATCCAAAAGCAAGATGATTTGTCGTCGAAAATCCTGGCTCAAAATCAACATTCCTCCTTTTTGTAAAATGAAGTTGAAAATCCATCAAAATATAGCGTGTTTCCTCAGTTTTTCGAGTGAAAAATATTTTTTATATTCCAATCATTGAAGCTTGATGAAAACAAGAGGTCGAGTAGCAGCGTTTCTTGAATCCTGTGACGCTTCAGCCAAAATACGCCTGAAATTCTGAATAATTCATAAAATTGACTTAATTTCGCTTTAAACTTCACTCACATGTGTTGTTGTAGATGCGAAGAGTAGATACAATACGAGAATTCACGTTTTACCACGCTCAAACTCTTTTATAATCGCCATTTTTTGAAAAAAACGAGTTTTGTTTGTTTGTTTGGAAAAAAAAGAAAAAAAAGAAAAGAAAAAATTATTTTTGTTCGCTAGAGCGCACTTGCGCTACTGGCTCTAATTCAAAAAAATATTGAAATTTTCTGAATTTTTATTCGACCAACTGCCTTTAATTTTTCAGTATGTTTGAAAATTAGATCTGTTGAAGCCTGTTAGTTTTGTTCCTCCCCCCCCCCCCAAACCTCAAAATAAACTAACTTGACTGGCCCGTTCCGTGAAATGTTGTTGATATCTTCGAATGTCATGTCCAAACGAAACATCATCTTGTTCGAAAAAATCTTGAAAAAAATAAGAAAATTAAGAAATATACCAAACCACCCATTAATAAATTTTTCTGCGCTGAAAAAAACCACTCAAAAACGAGAAAAAAAAGATTAACAGGGAATGCAAAAAAATAAAAGAAAAACGACGATACTCCGCGTGCGTGTTGTTTAGTTTATTTTGTTCTTTTTTTTGCAGTGTAGACGAGAGAGTGTGGGAAATGGAGAGAGAGCTAGAGAGAGTTAGTGAGAGAGAGAGATATATGTTTTTTATTTGAAAAGACATTATTGATTGAACGTTTTTTTCTCGAACTGAATCATTTTTATGGGTTTTTTCAGAGCAGAAAATGTTATTAATGGGGTGATTTGGTACATTTTTTTATTTTCTTATTTTTTCAGAGACAACAGTCACAGAATGCAGCGGTCCCATCAAATCCACGATTTTCATTTTCTTATGTAAGTTTCATTTTCTTATGATAGGCGAAGATTTTGAGAAAAATAATGTCGAAGTTTCAGGCTTCCGAACAAGATGATGTTTCGTTTGGACAGGACATTCGAAGATATCAACAACATTTCACGGAACGGGACAGTCAAGTTAGTTTATTTTGAAGTTTGGGGGGGGAGGAACAAAACTAACAGGTGAGATTTGAGCTTTATGAAAAATATTGGGTAAAGTGTTTTATTCGTAATTACTATTGATGTTAAAGGAAAGTTGTTTATAAATTACTATGTTTAAATGATTAGATGAAGCTTTGAATTACACTTGAAGCTATAGGATCAGCTTCCAGATTTTATTGAAAAACAAACTATGAAATGTTTCATAGATAGATAGATTAATTTTTTCATAGTTTTATGCAAGCGATTTCCAATTTGTTTTGAATTTATTTTTTTTCTTTTATTTTTTTTTCTTTTATAATCTATGTCTCATTAAACTTTACAATTTGTATTCCCAGACGTCACTTTTTAAAAAGAAATCTTTTTTTCTCACGTCAGCTTAGAATTAGCTGCGAAAAATAGGGTTTTCTTCAAAATTTAGAATTTATGAGGATTTTCTGATTGTTTCGCGTAGGGGCACCGCCCCTAGTCTGGCATTTCAAAAGAACTCGAAAGAAATGTATTTTAAAAAAACTACTGAAAATTTCTGGATGTTTTTTCTCTTCATTTTTCATCAAACATGAATAAAATTATTTGTTTGAAATTGGCGTTTTATCGATTGGAATTTCTGGGAAATTGACTGGAGCCAAGCGAATACTCGAATTCTTGTGGTGGAGCTGCAAAATTATTTTTTATTTTTCCAAGATCTAGGAATTGTTTGTTACCGTGTCATGCGAATTTTTGACTTCAAGTTTCAATTTTTCATCTTTTTCCGATTTCATTGTTGAATTGGTTTTGATATCTTCGCTGGTTTTTGTGACTGGCAAACGAATTTCTTTGTCATTTGAATTTTGTGGTGCTGGAGGATTTTTGATGGGCAAATTTGGTAGATTTGGTGGAATCGTTGGAGCATCGTCGGCGAATTCAATGACTTCAAAATCGATTTCTTCGTCAGAATATTTCAAGGCGCTTCGCTGGAAAATTTTCATAAGAACTAGAGTAATATTGTTTCATTTCGAGAAATTTGAAGATTTCATAAAAAAAAATAATTCTGCAGTTTCACGATTTTCGAAAAAAAATCGTATGTGAAATTTTACTGTTTCACGAAAGAAAGAATTCTAATTTTTTAAAATTTTTAATCTACATTGGTTTTTTGGTAGAAAAAATGTACTTTTTCATGAAATGTACAATAATAAATTTTCTCTTTCTTGTGTTGCTATAAAGAAATCTCCATACACATTTTGGAAAAATGTTCTGTTCCCAAAACTTCGAAGAAATGCTTTCTAAAATTTCCACTGTTTCAAAAAAAAACTTAATAATTTTGAAAATAATGTACTTTTTAATGTTGATCCATTAGTTCTCAAAAAAAACCCCTTACCGGATGAATAACCAAATAAAGTGATAATCCAATAGCCAATGTCAACATTGGAATACAAGATATCATAATAATCGTCGAATTGAATGCACCGCTCTCCTTTTTCATCATTTTTTCTTGTCGATATTTTAAATAAATATCAGGTGGCAAACGAATTATTGGTTTCCACCATGGAATTAGAACTTTATAAAATGGAGTTATAACATCTAAATTTTGCAAGTAGAAATGGAGAATTTTCTTGATTCGAGAAGCTGCACCATCTCTTTGAAGATCGATTGTTAGGCTGAAAATACTTTTTTTTTACCATTTCTTCAAAACTCTTGATTTACAGTACACCTTTGTGGCGCCAGAAATCTTAATCTACAGTAACCCAACAAATTTATATGATTCATTTGGCTTCAAAATCGTGAACTGCCACGTGATATCTCGCAACCCCGTGAAATTCCTCTGGCCTAGAATCCAACTCGACCACACTTACCCCACAAATCCCCCAGTATTTCTAAAAATCAATTCCATAGTTCGAAGATAGCTGCTTTCTCCCTCTTGAATCACAAAATTATTGGCATAAATAACATTTGGAACTGGTCCGTAAATAGCCAAAGGACATTTCGAAGTTTGACCGCCTTCTGATATCACAATTAAAAGATTGCCAGGTTTCACGTAGATCTAAAATATCAACATAGATCTTGATTTTCATTAAAAATTGAAATTTACCGAATGTGCGTGATAACAGACTGTCTCTTTTGTACTGTTGTAAATTTCAGTCACATCGAAAATCTGAAAAAACTTGATTTTTTCTAGAGAATATGTTTTTTCTTTATTTTTTACTTTTTTGATCCAACAAAGTGTGTCGAGACTTGCAGCATGTATCATCGGATCTTTCGAGTTCTCCAAAATCACCACAACATCACGATCGAATTTTTCAACATCCAGTGTCTTTTTGCATAACTAAAACGTTTGAAAAACGAATTAAGCTGTAGAGTTTCTTGAGCAAACTCACTAAATCTTCTGATGTACTGTGAAATTTCGCAGCGAAAACCAAGTTGATCAAAACAAAAAACGAATAAATTTTTGAAAGCATGGGATTTTATGAATTCGATAATTTCAGAAATGATCATTTTTTGTGGATTTTCTAAAAAAAAAAGAAGAAGATCACGTTAACGTTTTTTTTTTCATTTCTCAAAAATAATGACATAATTTATTGAAAAACCAGAAAGTGACTAATTTTTTGTTTGCTCTTCTCATTTAAATCGAATATTTTTGTTGGTTAAATAAACATATTTCATCGTATATATAGAAAAAATGGTAGAGTGAAAAGCTTGAGCTCATCATATTTTTTATTTTAATTTTCCAAAATTTTCAACTTTACACCGCGCGCAAAACACTTTTCTCAAGAGATTTTTGAAACAACAAACACAGACATGTTTATATACATATTATTATTATTATTTGTTACAAAAATCTTCACTTTATTTGCCAAATTCATCCTTTTATGTCAAGTTTGCGTGCGGCTAGGCCTTTTTACACAACAATTTTTCGAAAAAATTTCGAGTGAGAGAAACTTTGCAGCGAAAATATATTTGATATTTTCCTCTCACGTTCTCGTCCTCCCATGTGGTCTAGTGGTTAGGATTCGTGGTTTTCACCCACGCGGCCCGGGTTCGATTCCCGGCATGGGAAGCTAATTTTTTATTTTTTTTGCCCTCATCGATCTCGATGTTTCAAAAGTGTCGTACGTAGTCGTGTTTTTGTTGTCTCTTCTATCGGAGTGTGTGTGTGTGTTCTGTTTACATCGGCTCAAAAAATGCCGGACACGGCAAGAAAAAGGAAAGAATAAAAAGAAAAGAGAGATTGGAAGGAACACTCGGTGTATTGTTCTTAACTATTCCGGTTTTGTTGTTTTCGAGAGAAAAAGAAAGTGCGCCACACTTTTTCGAGAGCAATTGGTGATTCAAAAATTTTGAAATTGGATTGGAGATTTTTGGGGTTGTGAAATTTTATGAATTGATTTGTGATGAAGTTGAGAGATGTTTTGAAACAGTAGTTTTTGGAATACATTGAAAAAGTTCACTGAACACTTTTTTTTATTTTAACTCATTATCATTAAAAAAAAGTATTATTAAGTGTGTCTCTTTGAATATGATGAATTTACTTTCATGGAGAGACATTTTAAGGGTTCCCAGCTAAAATCCCAGATGAAACGCCCTACTTTAAATGACTGCGGTTCCTTAGCAAATTAATAAATGTTTAGGTTAGAAAAACTTAATCCGGGTCCCCAAAATCCCGATTTCCAGGTTCCCAAGAAAAAAAAGGAAAAATAAAAGTAAAACAGCGACAGTCGGATTGCCCGTTGTTTAATTTTCTCACACTGTTTGAGCGGAGTGTCGTTATTTTATTTTTACAAAATTGCGCGTAGGATTTTGTGTTTGCGGGCAGTCGGTGTTGACACACACTCTTATTTTTTCGTTCTTTCTTCAGGTTTTGGATATGGTGTGAAAATATTCAAATATTTTGAAACAATAATATTTTTTTCTATGTTCTAATATTAATTTTAGTAATGGACAACGCATTGAAAAACAATCCAAAGTTTTCAATTTTGATTATTTTTGAAACAGTCAATTTTTTTTATATTTTAAAATTAATTCACAAACTTTTGTTTGAAACACCAAACTTTTTTGGATCAAGTCTGGGAACAAAACTTTTTTTTTTGAAACAGTACATTTAATTCTGGAACACATATATTTTTTTGAATTGTACCACAATACAGTTAGACTCTTTTATTGAAAATATTGACTAACTTTCTTTTAAAATGTTTTTGATCATCGGAATTTTAGAAACTCTGAAATTCAGTTGTCTTCATTTTTTTTATCTGTGATTCTCAGAAAACAAAGAAAAACAAAAAGTTTCAGAATAATCCCTTCTCTCAACACTTCTTCTCCCGAAAAAAATCAAAAAATCACCGAAAACCGGATCAACTCCCGCCTAAGACAATAAAAAACACCACTCCTCGAATTTTTTGTTGTTATTGCTCAACCTTTTTTCGTTCTCCTCTTCTTCCCAAATCTATCTATTTTTCCTCCTTTTCCCAAGTGCTTTTCTCTCTCTCCAAATCTTTCCTTATACTATATTTACACGACTTTTCACCCCTTCTTTCCGAACTCCGCCCATATTTTTCGGTCCCCGTTTTTCTCGCGCGCACCGCGCACACATACAAACAACATTTGCTCCCGGAGCTCTTTTTTTTTGTTCTCGCGCGCGCTTTTTCCGATTGACTAATATGTCAAAAAGGATTTCGTTTATCATTTTTCCTTTTCACTTTTCATTTTTCGCCCCGACAAAAATTAGTACGATTGTTGTATCTAATTTAATTTTTGTGTTAAAAATGTTCACTGTTTCAATTTTCCAAATAATAAAAATGTCATATTTTAATTTCTGGTGGAAGGGATTTTATAGGTAAACAATTCATAACCCATGTGAGCTTGGAATTTTTTGTGTTTCAAAAGTTCACTGTTTCAATTTTCTTACTAATAAAATCGTTACAATTTATTCATTGATCGGAAAATGTTAGTTCGATAAAAAATTTATTACCCAAGTTAACTACAATTATTGGAATTTTTGATATATTTTCAAGATCAAACCTCCTACCTATTTTTGAGTTTGAAAAATATTACTATTTCAACCTCAACTTAAAAAGATATTGTTCAGAATTTTGGAATATTTCCTGAAAAATCAACTTTTAACTATTTCAGATATATAGAATTTTCGAAAAACGTAACATCATTCTAAAACACCCCAAAGAATGTATACAAAATTATTGAAACGTACAAAATCTTTTTTGTTTTTTCTTTGCCAAAAAAAACATAATATTTCTGCTAACACAGCTTAAGGGCGTCCGATCCGCGACAGACCTGTAACCGACCGACAAGATTCAAAGGTGTTTTACGAGTCTTCCTTGGGTCTTTCACAGGCGATTCACAGATCGTTTACAGGTTCTTTGTGTTTTTTCCTTGTACAGGTGATTCACGGGTCTTCTACAAGTATTTTGAAAAGTCTTCTACAGGTCTTCCGTGGGTAGTTGTTGAAGTTAAGAGAAAAAAGTGTCAAATGACCCTTGAATGACCCGTGGATGACCCGTAGGAAAGTTGATTCATTTTTGACCAATAACTGAAAAAAATGAAAAATCAGAAGAATAGTGGACCAGTGCGACAGGGAAGAGTGTGTTCACTGAGACATTTTCAATGAGAGATCAATCGCTTGATAGTTTTAAATTCTGAGAAAGAACCCGTTTCCACTTTTGCTGACCGATTCTCAGAGCTGCTAAGTAGTTTTTCTAGCATAAGTTGTAGGCTTCCAAAAATATTTATCTTTCGAAAATTCCCGATTCCCGGCTCATTATTTAGGATGTCGACGTTTTGATCAGAAATGTTCAGCGGTGTCGAAAACTCTTTATGATGTGGCTGAGTGGAATTAGAAAAAAATAAAATGAAATTCACCAAAAACCTACGAATTGAAAATCGGTCAAAACACAAGATGAATTTATAATCATTTTGTTCAGCTCGAAATTCTGCGTCGAATGGTGTTTACCATTTTCCACCAAAATGGTTTTAAAGGGTAAAAAATTAAAGGCGCATGCAATTAAATGAAAAGGTCCTGCAGCGATATGTGTGTGGATTTCTCTCGGACGAAATGCACACCGCTGATTTTTTTTTCTTTTTTTTCGTTTTTTTTGTGTTTTCCACGTTTTATCGAGAAATTAAGTGTTTGAAGCTGCGAAACATGTATAAACCATGTTGCCCACCTAGGATCAAGCAGCAAATTTCTTTAGAACTTGAAAATTTATTCATAAAACATGAATTTAGACCTGGAAATATAATTTTTCATTTTCGTTGATTTTTTCAATTTTCAAATAGTACAACGAATATATTTCGCAGTTGCACTCAATTTTAGCTAATTTTAATGAATTATTCTCGGAAGTTCCCTGTTAGAGTTGAAAAAGTTTTATAGACATGTCGTTTCTTGATTCTTGAATTCGTCACAACTTATAATTTACTAATTTACGTAATCGTAATATAAATTTATAGGCTGCCTCAAAAACAAGGATATCAACTGTGTTATAATGGCAAGATCAAGATGGAAAGAAACTCATCGAATCCGACATCAACAAGCTCGGAAGCATAGTTTATCCATTTCACTGATCACACGCAGGTTTGTTAACATGAATAAGAAAGTCGGATACTAATGGTTTTTTATTTTCAGATGAAGTTCCTCAACCGCCGCCAAAAGAAGACTGGTTTAGTCGGAATTCAAATCAACAGAGGATTCTTTGCCCAAAAGATGGACTTTGCTTGTGAGCACATTGAGAAGCAACTTCCAGCTGACGCAGTCTTCTCTAACGACGAAATGAGCCACAGATTGGTGTCACCAAGAATTGTGGATTCAAGGAATTACACCATATCGTCTTTACTATTAAATGACAAAACCTGCTCCAACTGCCACCGCACCCAACTTCTCCGCAAATCAAAGAGATGCATCGAAAAGACCATGAAAAATAAGTTCTTCTAATTTTTTTTTAAATTTTCTAATAAATTTTTATTGATTCTAACATTGTTCAAAAAATTGTAGTTGGTCAACCAAAAATTAGAAAAAAGGTCTTTTAGGGGTCATTCACAGGTGGGGCTACAGGTCAAAATCGACACGTCTCAGACCTGTCACAGGTGTTTTGCCCACGGGTGTTTCACAGGTCTGTCACAGGTCCGCCGCGGACCGGATGCCCTTAAGCTGTGAATTCTTCCGGTTTTACTTTAGCCACTAATGTATACACTTTCTTTTTCTCATCTCAAATAACAAGAAAACTATACCTAATTACCGTTTTAAGAATCTCTGCCTTTCTTTCTTTTCTCATTTTCCTTTCCTTGTTTTTTTTCTTTTTTGTTTCTCAAAAAAAAAACACATTTTCAGACCATAAATAAAACGATGATTAGGCACATTTTGATATTTTCCACGTTTTTGGTTTTCTCGGTTTTTTGCCAAGAAAATCCATCGGCTGCTTGCACAAAAGCATTGACAGATTGTGAAAATGATTTGGAATGTCAGAATCGATTGGCACCACTTATGGCTGCTTGGTGAGTAATTTTAAATTAAAAAAGGCTTTGACAATTGAGTTGGTGTTTGAGAAAAAATTATTTCCAAGTTTTTTGAAATAGTGAATAATATTGAATGAATTTTAATTCGAAATTTCAAATAAAGATAACGAATTGATTTTTGAATAATCTTAAATTTTCTTCAAAAATCGCTTTTCGCCGGGCGAGAGAGGCGAAACATTGTTTGGAAAACATTGTTTGGAAAAATTTCAAAAAAGTTAACGAAATTTCTGAATTAGTGTTTGTTGAATGAAGAGAGATTAGTTTATCTTTCCGAAAAATATATTTCTCAATTTTTTGAAACAGTGAATTATTTTTATTTGTGACATGTATACTAGACTTAACGAACTGATTTTTGAGAATGTTAAAATTATATTTTCTTGAAACAGTTAAATTTTTGAAAATTTTTTACACAGAAATGCATGAGAGAACATTAATGTAAATTTTACCAATTCAAAAAAAGCCAGAGAAATCAAACTATTTATTTGATTTTTGAAACCTTATTTTTGTTCAAAATAATTTTGAAACAGTGAAAAAAATTTTTTTCTAGCAGCACTGGAACTTGTCAACCACAATGTCGATCTGCAGTTCTCAATGTTTATCAGAATAAACTCGGAAGAATTTTGTTGAGGTAAATTATTTTGATAAAAATTTTTGAAAAAATCCCTGATTCCATCGAACCTCAGAAGTTTTATTCAGATCCGACGCTTCCTGCATTCCTGGTCGCGATGAATTACGAACCTGCAATTTCCTCCCATCCGAATCAACAGTACACTGTAGTCTCGGAAAATTGGCATGCGAAGCTGATCTCCAATGCAATTCGAAATTTGGAGTTTTTATGTCAGAATGTGAATCAGATGCGGCTCGTGGAGCATGTTCGGATAAATGTAGACAATTGTTGAAACAAACCACTGAAACCAGTGTTGGAAATGTGTTTTCGAATTGCACTTGTACAACTAGAGATGATCAATTATGTTTGAATTTGAAGGATAATTTGTTGGGTGTTTGTTTGAAGGTAGGTTAATTTTAGAAGAATTCAAGAATTTAAATTATTTCGCAAGATGTGTACGAAATTCAAAAAATTCCGCACACATGTGTTTTTTTCAAAAAGTTTACTGTTTCAAATTCTTTCACCTCTCATTTTTTGCAGAACACATTCTCCTCCTCCGGATCTGCTACATTATCTCCATCTGATAATTCAATCACAGATGGTCCAGCTTTTTCCGATCCTTCTTCGTCTTCAACAAATACAACTTATCGTCTCACATTTTTACTTCTCTTATTTATTATTTTCTTCTAAAATTCTTAGAAGAAGAAAAAATATAATAATTTATGAAAACTACTGTATGTTACGTGTAATAACTTTTCACTTTTTTTTCAAATATGTAGAATAATTAATTTTTCTTGGATTCGAATGAAGAATTTATTGAAATATAATCCCTTTTTTGGTTTATTGGATATAAAAAATTGAGCTGAAAATCTGGGAAAAAATAGTGACAAAAATTATTCTGTTTTGGGAAATTTAATTAAATGAAAAAAAGTTCGTATAAATTGATTTTCTGAAAAATAGAACTTGTTCGAAAAAATAAAAAATAAATAAAATTTTCACATTTGTCATTATAAAAAGTCATAATTTCAAGAAAAAGTACAACTTGTCTGAGAAATTCCAGAATAAAAAAATCAACTTTCAGGTTCAAAACATTTCACTGTTTCAAAAATGTTATACAGAAATTAGGGAACTTAAAAATTTCAATTACTCAACTCAGCTCAAAACTTCATATTTTCAAACCAAAAAAACTTCACTGTTTCAGCAATTTCATGAAATTAAAAACGTGGAAAATTTTTCTTCTGGGCAAATAGTTCTAGAAAATACATTTGAAACCGAAACTTGAGAAAAGTTTACTGTTTTCAAATTTTCAGAGACGATTTTTCAAAATCTGAAAAAGCACTGCGTCAAGAATGTTCCAGAAACTGTTAAAACTTCAAAATGTCTCTCAATATGCTCTTCTTGTTCGCTCAAAAATCACAGAAAAATTATTTTTAATCCTCCTTAAAAATTCCATTCACAAAAAATAGATAACAGAAGAGGAAAATGGTGATAAATAATCATCATTTTTTTCTTGCCTACAAAACAAAAATTGTCGAGTTCTCGATTTAATTTATGGTCTTTTTTGTGGCCAAGTTTTGTTTTTAGTTTGATCACTTATCACCACGTTTTCTCCACGAGTTTTTTTGATAAACATTTTTCAGTTGTGCAAAAATGTGGCTCTTCCAATTTTGGGTTACCGTATTTTTTGGTGAGTTCAATTTTTTTCCAAAACCTTTATTTATTCAAATAAATACAAAAAATCAGAAATTACAGTAGTTTGTAGCCGATGTAGAAATAAGTTAGCATAAATCCGGTGAAAATCAACTTGCGATATTTTTTCGGGAAATTTTCGAAGGGAAAATAGTTCATGAAGACGGCAAAAATATTAGTCAAAATTGTCAAATATATCAATATCATTCGAAAATTCGAGAAATGAGAAATAGATTTGAAAATTGAGAATGAGAAATGAAAATGAGAAATTATTGTTGATTGGTAATAATTATCACAACTCACAAGGGGGTTGTGAACCAAAACCTATTATTAGAGAATTGAGACGTTTTGCAGAACTTGAGAAATAGCACTGTTTCAAAAGTTTGTATTCAGATAAAAATATATCATTGAAAAACAATTTTATTTGGGAACAATTCTGAAAATTTTCCAGAAAAAAATAATGTGAAAAATGTCATTAGTTCAAAAATAAAACAAGTATACTTCGCCGAAATTTTGTTTTTAAAAAATCACTGTTTCAAAAATGATATTTAGTGCTAGCAATTTCATTTGAGTTATTGAAATTATGATAAAGTTTATCAGGAAATGTTTTACTGTTCCAAAATGAAATGAAATTCGTAGTGTTTTATTCCAGCTCATATCTCTAACATCACAAAGAAAAGTGGATAACCCAGATTTTCCACCAAATTGTTTGATTGATGGTCCAGATATTTATGATCCAAGTCAAGCAGCAAAAGTTCCATGGTTCGATGTGAATTTAGATCTTCCACCACGTCAAAGATTCCAACAAATGGCTAAAGCTTATGAAAAAGAAATCAAGGATGTTTTCGATATTTTGAGTGTTAGTTTTTAAATATTTCAGTATTTTTTAAATTGATAATATTTATTCCAGTATTTCTTGACAATAATTCCCGGAGTAAATGCTTGGGAAATTATTGGAAATGTGACTGCCAATGCTTTAGACAAAGGAATGATTATGAATCCATATAAAGACGAAGTTTTGGGAATTGCAGAAGTCATTGATGTTCCAATTGGAAATTTGGTTTTCTTGAACATTTTTTATGAAATGTCCAGATTTTGTACATCGATTGTTGCGCAGACTGAGGATAATAAGGATTTGTATCATGCGAGGTAATGAGGATAATATTTCAAAAACAAATCAATTTAGAAAGCTAAAATCAAAATTCATAACTTTTTGAAACAGTGATTTTTTTTACTTGAAATTGTAGAACAATATTGTTATTAAAAAGTCAAAAAAGCTGAAAAATTTTCGCAAACACAGCTTAAGGGCATCCGGTCCGCGGCGGACCTGTGACAGACCTGTGAAACACCCGTGGGCAAAACACCTGTGACAGGTCTGAGACGTGTCGATTTTGACCTGTAGCCCCACCTGTGAATGACCCCTAAAAGACCTTTTTTCTAATTTTTGGTTGACCAACTACAATTTTTTGAACAATGTTAGAATCAATAAAAATTTATTAGAAAATTTAAAAAAAATTAGAAGAACTTATTTTTCATGGTCTTTTCGATGCATCTCTTTGATTTGCGGAGAAGTTGGGTGCGGTGGCAGTTGGAGCAGGTTTTGTCATTTAATAGTAAAGACGATATGGTGTAATTCCTTGAATCCACAATTCTTGGTGACACCAATCTGTGGCTCATTTCGTCGTTAGAGAAGACTGCGTCAGCTGGAAGTTGCTTCTCAATGTGCTCACAAGCAAAGTCCATCTTTTGGGCAAAGAATCCTCTGTTGATTTGAATTCCGACTAAACCAGTCTTCTTTTGGCGGCGGTTGAGGAACTTCATCTGAAAATAAAAAACCATTAGTATCCGACTTTCTTATTCATGTTAACAAACCTGCGTGTGATCAGTGAAATGGATAAACTATGCTTCCGAGCTTGTTGATGTCGGATTCGATGAGTTTCTTTCCATCTTGATCTTGCCATTATAACACAGTTGATATCCTTGTTTTTGAGGCAGCCTATAAATTTATATTACGATTACGTAAATTAGTAAATTATAAGTTGTGACGAATTCAAGAATCAAGAAACGACATGTCTATAAAACTTTTTCAACTCTAACAGGGAACTTCCGAGAATAATTCATTAAAATTAGCTAAAATTGAGTGCAACTGCGAAATATATTCGTTGTACTATTTGAAAATTGAAAAAATCAACGAAAATGAAAAATTATATTTCCAGGTCTAAATTCATGTTTTATGAATAAATTTTCAAGTTCTAAAGAAATTTGCTGCTTGATCCTAGGTGGGCAACATGGTTTATACATGTTTCGCAGCTTCAAACACTTAATTTCTCGATAAAACGTGGAAAACACAAAAAAAACGAAAAAAAAGAAAAAAAAATCAGCGGTGTGCATTTCGTCCGAGAGAAATCCACACACATATCGCTGCAGGACCTTTTCATTTAATTGCATGCGCCTTTAATTTTTTACCCTTTAAAACCATTTTGGTGGAAAATGGTAAACACCATTCGACGCAGAATTTCGAGCTGAACAAAATGATTATAAATTCATCTTGTGTTTTGACCGATTTTCAATTCGTAGGTTTTTGGTGAATTTCATTTTATTTTTTTCTAATTCCACTCAGCCACATCATAAAGAGTTTTCGACACCGCTGAACATTTCTGATCAAAACGTCGACATCCTAAATAATGAGCCGGGAATCGGGAATTTTCGAAAGATAAATATTTTTGGAAGCCTACAACTTATGCTAGAAAAACTACTTAGCAGCTCTGAGAATCGGTCAGCAAAAGTGGAAACGGGTTCTTTCTCAGAATTTAAAACTATCAAGCGATTGATCTCTCATTGAAAATGTCTCAGTGAACACACTCTTCCCTGTCGCACTGGTCCACTATTCTTCTGATTTTTCATTTTTTTCAGTTATTGGTCAAAAATGAATCAACTTTCCTACGGGTCATCCACGGGTCATTCAAGGGTCATTTGACACTTTTTTCTCTTAACTTCAACAACTACCCACGGAAGACCTGTAGAAGACTTTTCAAAATACTTGTAGAAGACCCGTGAATCACCTGTACAAGGAAAAAACACAAAGAACCTGTAAACGATCTGTGAATCGCCTGTGAAAGACCCAAGGAAGACTCGTAAAACACCTTTGAATCTTGTCGGTCGGTTACAGGTCTGTCGCGGATCGGACGCCCTTAAGCTGTTAACATTAAAAAACACAAATGTTAATTTTGAAACAGTGAAATTAGTTTTTTTAAAGAGTTGAAAAAATTGAATTTTTGGGAATAAACTTCTTTTAGAAATTTCCAAAAAGTTAAAATATGAACATTTCGGGCAAAATTTGAAAAATCTGGAAAACTCAATTTCGAATCAAAATATCTCCATTTTTTCCAGAAATCTCGATTTCGGTCAATTGTTTGTTTGGGACATTGATGCACAATCGTGGGCTTTGACAGATGCGCTCAAAAAATTGAGTGTAAATATTAATTTCTACAAAAACGGTAAACTTTTGTTCAAAGGATCGACTTTGGCTGGACATGTTGGCGTTTTGACAGGTCTGTTGGTCAGGAAATTGGAATGGGAATTAGATGAGGAAATAAATTTTGAAATGAAAATATTGTGAGAAGGGATGAAAAACTTTCTCATCAGAAAATTTGAATAATTATATAAATTTAGTCAAGTTTTGAAACTATTCCATTTTTTTCTGTTTCCAGCTATGAAACCTCAAAAATTCTCGCTCTCAATGAATGCCAAAGTTCAACCTGATGTTTTCAACGTGGCAAAATGGTACATGGGATATTATGCTAATACAGATTTGCAATTTGTGATGTATTTCGAGAGATGGCTTTTCGAAAACTGCGACACTTTTGAGGTAACACTAATTGTAAATTCCACGATTTATTTCTCAAAAACAATTTTCAGTGTGCCCGTGAAAAAATCGCATCAGTCAACATTCTCTCCGGAGCTTATTTCATTTTGGGAGGTGTAAATCCAGGTGAAGGAAGTGTGATTGTTCGCAACACAACTGCAATTCAATTTGAGAGAAAACTATTCGATGGAGATAATGATTGGTTCCTTTTACAAACAAATTATGATCCAGACAAGGATCCACTTTTTATTGACAATCGAAGAGATCCCGGAAATGCGTGTATGAAGAAAATGACACGAAAAAATATTAGCAGAAAGGGAATTTATACGGTTCTTTCGTCAAAACCAACTCTTAACAAAACAACTGTTCATACTGTAATTATGTCGGTGACAAAAGGATATTTTGAGACTTTTATTCAAAATTGTCCAAATCCATGTTGGGCATTCTAGTATTGATTTTTTCGAGCAATAAAGTTTTCATTCTCACATCAGTCTAATTTTGATTGTCTACTGTAGTTTTGAAGAAGCTACAGTAGTCCTGGGTGATCAAAGGGTTTATTGGTTTTTTCATAAGAGGGGAGAAATCAGCTACTGTAGATTACAGTTATTGTTTCAAAAATGTTCAAAAGGTTTTAAGAATACTGTAGGGTAGGTTTACAAATTTTAGAGAGATTTTGCGATTTTGCACCAATGAAAGCTTTATTCCTGATTCGCTTAACCTTAACATTTAATTTAAATCAAACATAACGATACTTAATTTCATAATTTAATGGTTTGTTTCCTTCATGATAAACAATCACAGTTGGATTATTTGAAGATGCGCGAACTTTCAAATATCTTCCTCCATCATGTGAACAAACTCTGAAAAATATTCTCCCCCTTTCCACATATATTTCTTTCTATAAAACATACTTTGGACTCGTGAATCGTGGATCCGGTAAATATTTAATCTCCACACTCCCTCCATGACAACCTCCCAATGGATTTTCATCAAATTCTGCAACGAATATTTCGAGTGTTGCGTTTTGATGAGGCAGTGCAATATATTCATAAAGTGTTTCATTTTCAACTGTTTTCGAAAGTGTTTGCCAAGAATGCGTTGGTTGAATTGGCTCCTTTTTCAGTTCGTTACATAATTTTCCGAAAAATCCATCAGGACAAATGCATTTATCACAGGAACTTGGGTTTGTATAACCAAAGTTCTCACATTTCAATTCTTCAGCACCTGAAAAAACTTGAGAAATTGTTTCAAAAATAATATGAAAAGGGCAAGGCTTACATGTACAGCTGTAAAGTTTGTTAACATTATAAATATCAAAAAATGATAGTGGAAGAGTTCCCATTGTATAATAATAATCCATATCATATGGCTTCAAATTTTCCGTGCCTGCATATAACATCGCACTTCCGAAATCAAATGGAGCTATGATTGAGATTTCAGAATTATTTAGAAATAGTTGATTTTCCTGGAAATGTTCAACGGAAATTTAGATATTAATATAAACTGCTATTAACTTACTTTTTTAACATTGAGATAAACCGCAGTATCACTTCTTTCCTGCTCGTGTTGAATTCCAAGACTATGCAATAATTCATGATTGATTGCATTATCCTGAAATAAAGAAATTTCCATATTTAGATGAAAATAATGGATTGCGCATAATATGTTGATAATAATGAATGAAATACTTACACAAAACTTCCCAGGCTTAAGATTTACAATACCGCCACCGTATGCAACAGGGGATGCACAACGGGTTCCATTTTGTGAAATAATTCTCACGACTTCTTCATATGATTCTTGAAATTTGACACATGTCACAGAACTTATGAAGTCCATAACTTCCCAAACCAATTTTTTTCTCCATTCTGGGAAAACTTCGTCAAAATGAAATAAATAAGTTGCATTTGGCCAAATAGGTCGAGTTGAAAGTTGCCGTTTTTGCCGAATAACAGAAGCGTCGAGATTTCCAAAAATGAGAAAAAATGACAGAATTATCCACAACATTTCTGTTCTGATGTGAGAATTGATATTCAAGCATTCTTTAAATACAGTTCAACTTCTATTGTTTTTTGTTCAAATTTTGAGATGATGAATATTTTGCTTAGAATTCTAAAACAATTCTTTCCGAATATTTCAAAAGAATCATTGTTCGATTTCTTCTCAAATTTTTATCGAAAAAATTTCAATACAAAATTTATTTCTCCTATTATTATTACCAAAAAATTTTAATACAACAAAAAATTACATTTACATTACAAAAAGAAAAATATTCGTGGGCAAAAAAAGAAGAAGTTACCATTATTTCTCAAAGACAAACGCTCCATGTGAGTGCGTATTTTTGGAATCCTCCAAAGTAGTTGCTGTTTGATAAAGCGAAGAACTTGTTCGAAAAAGTGAGTTCGATTTCGAAGTTGATAATTCGAGTGATTTTTTTGATGAGCCAGTTGTATCAATGAGCCATGAACGAGTACTTGGACTGCAAAGTTTGGAATGGAATTTTGAAGAAGAATCGTTAGAAAGACAGTTTCCAGTTTGAAAAAAATTGTAAGAGTAAAACATAAAAAAATGGAAGAATTTGTATAGCTCATTTTTGATTGAAAAAATTTTAAACATTGAAAAATTAGAATTTGATCTCAATTTTTTTTAGTTTAAAAAGATTAATTATTTTAAGTTTCAAAAAAATTTGAATTAAATGAGCGTCAATCGCCAGAAATACCAAAAACAAATTTTCATTTATTCAGATTGCGGAAAAAAGTATCCTAATGAAAAATTCATCTTATTTTTGATTGAAAAATATTTGAAACAGTTAATTTCTCCCTAAAGAACTCCAGATCAAAAATCCCTTATCTCCCCCAAAAAAATTGCACTCACACCATAGATTTTCTCGAACTATCCGCCGCTGTTTCTCTACTTCCTCCTCCATAATATTGATTTCTCCATTCATGTTTTCCACCTCCTCCTTCATTCCGTTTTTCCTCATCCGAAATCGACAATTTCTTATTTTTCGCCACACTTTCATTGCTTCCTTCAGTCTTTGTTTTCTCTGTGCTTCCCGCGCTTGTTGTAGTTTTCGGTTGAGTTGATGTGGCTGTTGTTCCAGTTGTTTCACGACTTCCCGATGTTTTTCCAGTTGTTGTTTCCTTACTTCCAGTTTTTTCAGCCGACGATCTTTTCGGTTTTTGTTTGGGTGGTGAACTAATCTTCTCCTTGGATGGTCTGTCAACTTGTTCCGCAGATTTTGGCATAATTTCAGATGAAAGTGGGCGACGAGCTGGTGGATCATTAGTATTGTTTTGAGCTTTATCAACATGTTTCATATTATTATTTGATGCAGATTGTGTTAAAGCATTGGATCTTGATGTTGCAACTGGTGTGAGTTCTTGACCTTTGATGTCGAACAATTTTTGTTGATGTTGCATTTGAATTGGACGGCGAGGGGTTTTGGCTCTGGAAAAAATGTGAAAATCAACTTTTTAGACAGAAGAATAGATTTTTTTCTTTGTGAAAATTCGATTTCAAAACTTTTTAAAAATAATTTTTTGGATAAAATTCCTTTATGGCTTACTGAACAATTCATAATCAATTTCTGTCTTTAAAATTACTTGAAACAGTGAAAAATGAATAATTTTGAGCAAAAACTCTTCTATGGACAAATTTTAATGTATTTCATTGAATAAAATGCTCAACCTGCGGCGAACTATCATTGAAAATATTTGGATGAATTCTTTCTTTTTAAATTATTTGAAACAGTGAAAAATCTGAATTTTGCTAGATTTACGATGAGACAGTTTTTCAATGAATTCTGTGTTTGAATCAGAAATCTTTCGGAACTTGACAAATATTGTTGAAATCAAACTAGATGATTGTTGAGATCTTTTTTCATAGTTGGAATTTTTCAGTACACAAATGTTGTTTAAAGCGTCGAGGTTAATTTACAAGGGAAGTGCATAAGGTCAGGTGTTGAACTTTTGATGAAACATGACGAAATATACCAAATCGACCATGCTGATCACGATTCCGAAGTCAAAAATTGCCACAGAGGCCTGTGAGCACTTTTCTGGAGCTCCAAAGTTGAAATCGAGTTTTGGTTTTTGCCCATTTTCACCCTTGTTCCTGGGTGGAAAATCAATTTTTATAACACGAATAAGGTTGTTCACCACATTCCGAAAATTTATCAGCTTTTTAGTTTTTCAAAAAATATCAAAAACGGACTGAAAACTGCAATTTTCAAAAAGTCCTGAAAATACACACAAATACACGTAAACACACACGTTTTTTAAAGTTTTTGGTGCATTTTTTGAAAATTACAGTTTTCAGCTGGTTTTTCATATTTTTTGAAAAACTAAAAAGCTGATAGGTTTTCGAATGTGGTGAACAACCTTATTCATGTTATAAAAATTGATTTTCCACCCTGGAACATGGTGAAAATGGGCAAAAACCAAAACTCGATTTCAACTTTGGAGCTCCAGAAAAGTGTTCACAGGCTTTTGTGGCAATTTTTGACTTCGGAATCGTGATCAGCATGGTCGATTTGGTATATTTCGTCATGTTTCATCAAAAGTTCAACACCTGACCTTATGCACTTCCCTTGTTAGGAAAATTTCCAACAGAGACCTGATCAACCTTTAGCATACGTTTTTCAAATCACAAAATGTACATACTTTGCAGCAACATAATCCTTCGCCGGATCACAATTAATATTCTTTGGTGGTTCTTTTGGTGCAACAATCATCTCCTTTTCCTCAATTTTTCCACCTCCTCCTCCTATTCCACCATCTTCCTCATTTCCTTGTTTTTCTTTCATCATCATTCCATTCATTTGTTCTTTCTCGATTTTTGTTGGCTCAACAACATTATTCAAATTGTTCATATTGCTATTTGTTTGCATTTTGTTCATTTGATTTTTTTGTGCCAAATAGTTGAGTTTTGCTTCGTTTTCTTGTTTCATTCGTTGTTCTGTCACAATCTTCTCTTTCATGTCATGAAGACGTTTACGCATTCGTCGTTTATACAACTGGAAAAATAATAGTGATTTGAGTGGGATTTTAGAGAGGTCCAGGACCAAAATTTGAAAATGGAACTTAAATGGCCCAATTCAGAATTTCAAAGAAATTCCGCCTTCTCCAGCTTTGCCACGTCATAACTAGATATTTTCAGTCATTGGCATCATTCCAAACTCACCCATCTGACAGTCGCCGTCGCCAAAAAACAAAACAAAATGACCAAAATCGTGAAAACAAACAAAACGGTGACGATATATGCGTACGTTTCAATGGGAACACAACAGCCATAAGAAGCGAAGAAGAAACTTGATTCTGCAAAAACAAGTACAGTAATCTGGGTACTGTAACTGTAGATACTGTAGAAAACTCACTTTTATTGGTTTGTTCGACCATTTTTCAATCTGCCTAAATAAAAGAATACTGCCACATTTATTACAACTGACACGTCATATTTGACACATTTCACGTGACACGTATTTATTTAATTACAGAAAAACATATATTTTTTTAAACAAGACAAGAAACACATAAATTATGAAAAAACAAACGAACAATCAATTAATTAAACATAGTTTACCAAAAAGTGTCGAATTCTTCATCAGATTCTTCAAAATAATTATCCATATCTCCTAAATTATCGAGTTCTCTTTCTCCGTTCAAATGAGCCAACATCATTTCAAGATGTCCAGGTTCGGATGGATCGTAGATATTTGGAATTATTCCAAGGTCAGCGGCAACCGGATTCTCATCTTCGCAAATAATCATGAAGAAAGCGTTTTCGGTGTTGTGGATTTTGGCTATTTTTCCAGGTCTCGCGAGGCTTCGAAGAGAAAATTTCATGCTGGAAATTTTTTAATTGAACTGTATATTATAAATATTTAAACATACATGAAATACGGAGTATGGCTAAAATCGAAAACCCTCAATCCTTCAATCAATTCCTTATTATTCATAACCGAATATCGATCAATTTTGAAATGAAACTTTCGAAGATTCTCATGAAGTTCACCATTCACCCATTTCTTCAAAAATTGATTGACTTCTTCGGCTGAAAGTGAGGCTGGATAAAGAGAGATTTTATCAGCTCTCAATTTGCAAATATCTTCAATTTGAAGAGAAGCATCATGAAGTTCGACAAGTTTCGTGACTCTTGAGAGCTGAAATAATACTTTTCTTGGAAAGATCTAATAAAAAATATATTAACCAACCATATCGACAGTCACACATTCATGCCACAATAAATCATCACCTTGATCTTCGCACAAAATTGAAACTTTCTCCAACTTTTCAGTGCTCAATAAATTGAATTCGCCGAATGGGAATTTATCCAAAACCTTGACTTGAAACATTTTCAAATTTTTCTGGAACTTTTCCAAGAAGTTGTTGATGAACTTGATTGCATTTGTTTGAAAGTTTCCAGCTCTAACCTCATTCCAAATCAACATATCATCAGATCCACTGAAAATTATCGATTAAAAATGAAACATGTTCTAATTATACTTACAAATTGTAAACCTGTGTAATTGCACCAGCTTTCTTGAACATTATTTGATATGAAAGTTCATCTTCAGCATGATAAACTTTGATATTCACAGTATCCTGATATTTATTGAAAACTCCGATTCCATAAACATAATTTTCCGAATTATAAGCCATAGTTTTACTCGAATTCGAACAAATCGCGAATTTGCATCGAGTTTTACAATCCATTTTATCCACAACAATTTGTTGGACTTTTTCAGAAAGAGAGCTCCAATTCGCAATTTTCTGGAAAAAATATATTTTTATGTAGCTGGAAATAATTGCCTGAAAAAATTACCTTCGTTGGAGCAAAACGTAATCGTTTATAAGCAGGTTCCATGTTTCAAATCCCTCGCAATCTTGTGGGACGATGCGCGAAGAAAAAAAACGTCAAAAAACGTGTTTCGAAACATAAAAATACAATGCACGAAATGTCGCAAAACGTCGCGAAACTCGAGTTTTTCGACATTGAAATGTCGCGAAACAAGCATGTTTTTTTGTATCGTACTGAAACCACAGACACTGGAGATAGGTTCTTACAATGTTTTTACTTGTTTATAACAGTTTTCACCACCATTTTCTTCGGAAACATGAGACGTGGCAAATGCAATTTACAGATAATACTTTCATTTGACAACGATTCCTTTTCAGAAGATTTTATTACCTATTTTCGTAAATTAATATCTTTTTTCAACCCCTGATGTTTTTTTCTACAAAAACAATCAATATTTTTTCCACATTTTGAGAAAAATCATACTTGTTTCGCGACATGTCAATGTCGAAAAACTCGAGTTTCGCGACGTTTTGCGACATTTCGTGCATTGTATTTTTATGTTTCGAAACACGTTTTTTGACGTTTTTTTTCTTCGCGCATCGTCCCATTGGGAAAAACTCCGGAAACAAAAATAGAAATTAACAAATATCACGGGCGGTTGCCACGCCAAAACACGTCACATGACCTAGTAGCCGACTAGGCCACGCATTTCCAAAAAAAAACAACAAAAACACAACATTTATTAGAAAAACATGCTCTAAAAGCCATTTTAATTGTGTTGATTGAACTTTCTCTGAAAAATCAAAATTGAAAAGAAAAAAGTAAAGATCTACGATGTTTACCGTTGGCGCGTTGACTCTCCAATGTTCTGGAGTTGAACTGCGATCTCTTCTGAACATGACATGACCGCGACCTTTGATTCGGACACCAGAAGAATCGTGACGTGGTTCCTGGTAGTCCTGGAAAAATATCGAGTTAAAATTGGCATTCCGCTAAGTTCCATTAAAAGTTTACTCGATCTCTATTTCTGCTTCGACTTCGACTTCGACTTCTTTCTCTTCTGTCTCCTTTTTCTCTTCCTCTTTCTCTTTTCGAAGATCTCGATTCATTATTATCTTCTCGATACAACCAACTTTTTGGTGTTTCTGGGATATATTCCTTGTCCTCTTCTTTCTCATCTTCTTCCTCTTCTTCTTCTTGTTCTTTTTGCTGTTTGTGATTATTATTATTTTCTACTCTATCATCTTCATTTTTTTCATTTTTCGTATTATTCTTCTTTCTAAAAAGCTCTCCACAATTGCTAATCATAACGTCCATCATTGGTTTATCTTCTTGATCAACTCGAATCTTTTCAAGTGCATCAACAACATCAAAACCTTTCACAACTTTTCCGAAAACAACATGTTTTCCATCACAATGGCTTGCTTCTGAAGTTGTGATGAAAAATTGTGAGGAATTTGTGTTTGGACCCTTATTCGCCATCGAAACCACATATTTTGAATGTTTTTCGACAAAGTGTTCATCATCAAAACATTCGCCATAAATCGAAAATCCACCACATCCCTCTCTTCCAGAAATATCTCCACCCTAAAAATCAGGTTTTTTTCAAAAGATTTGACTGAAAATTTACCTGAATCATAAAACCTCTGACAATTCGATGAATCGACACATTTTTGTACGACAACTTGGTGCGACCATCTTTTGCTAATCCCGCATTTCCGACACAAAGTTGTCTGAAGTTTTCCGTTGTTTTGGGAGCTTAAAATACTTCTTTGAAAAAATGGTGGGAAAATTTAGGACACTTACCGATTTCACAAAACAATTCTATTACAATTCTGCCAAGACTCAGTCCATTCACAGTGATATCCAAAAATACTCGTTTATTTTCAGTCATCTTTCTGAGATTTTTCAGTGAAAACAAAAAACTGCAAAATTATCATTTTGGATGGTCAAGACGTGAAAATTCAAGTTTTTTGGTTGCAAATGAAGATACTGAGTTAGGATATATCAAAACAATTAAACTTATCCCTTTTCAATAATTTCAGTTCTTGAAAATGGGCAAACACTGAAAATGGGCAAACAAACGAAAAAAAATGAAAAAAACTATTTCGGCGTCCTACAGTAATCGTAAAGGCGCACGTAAGCACATGCTTGTGTCTCGCAGCGCTCCGAAAATTTTGCAAGTCTGAATTCGTTTTTTTCTTTTTTTTGGCAGCGTGCTCGGCGCATAGACCTATGGGCGCCTGTCAGATTAGTCCAACTATTTAATTAACTACCCATAATTAAACACAACTTTCTTCTAACTTTCTCAATGATCCCCAATAGCGAAACCCCAAAAAACAATAGGAGAAAAGTTGCGCAAAAGTGTTAATCCTAATCAGATCGGCACCGTCAAAGACATTGTTTTGTACAATATAATTATTAAGTAGAGAGGGCACACGCGTCTGTCACTCATATCACACGACCTTTTAACGTGTCAATTTTCGCGCACTTTTTTTTGTTTTTTTATACCGCAGATTCAGATAAGGTAAATTTATGAGGGTCACTGGATTTTGTAAACGATTTTGGATAGTAATTCGGTTTTTTTTCGTGAAAATAAGATAATTCTAGTAACCTTTAAACTTTCGGCTCATTAAAAAAAACGAAAATAGTTTCGCCTTTGGGAAAACTAATCCTTCACCTTTCAAAAATGTGCAAAATCAGATAAGTTGCTCTTTTTGTTTCCAAACACCGCTGTAAGTCGGCATGTAACAAATTAGTGTCATATTAGCTTATCTGATTTTGGGATGAATTACACATCTGATTTCCGGAAGGCAAAATGTATTGATTTTGGCCGAATTTTCACCTTTGAGCCGATTTATTTGAAAATGTATGAAGCATTTTTAGGTTTTGGGAAGATTTTTGTTTAAAATGTCGGTTGGGGTTCGATAAATTTATATTGTAATACATTTTAAACAATTTTGAGCACAACATGTTATTTAAAGTAGAAGATAAAATTTTAAGTATAAAATTCAAATCAAAGAATCTGAAATCAAGTTCATGTAAGTAGATCTGAAACCCATAACTTTTATGAGACAATAATTCACAGTTTTTTTCTAGAAGTTCCTTTATTCTTCTGAAAAAAAAGTTTATACCGCACCCATAAATTTATAATATATTTTTAATTATGGGGTGGTAATTGATCACACATTTGGACTAATCTGACAGGCGCTAATTAGGTGAGCGGCTAATAAAAAAGGAGAAGAACAAGAAAGAGAGAAGGTGTTTTTGAGAGCACTGGAATACTGTGTATTTATGGTTTAAAAATTATAAAGACCTTGCAAAAAACTCTTGTGCAATGTTTTCCGAATTTTTCAGCTTCTCGAACTTTCAGCCAACTCTAAAATCAAATTTTGATCATTGCTACTTTATGCTTTCCCTTATTAAACCAGGAAGCCTTTATGAATAATTTCCAGGTGATTTTTTTTCAAAAAACTCAATGTAAATATTTTTCAAAGCACATATTTTGTACTCTCTCAAACTTTTTTCCGGATACAGTAATCTCTTTACTTCAACCCTACATATTTTCTAATCTCATTTGGCACCTGTAGATAGGATTAAGTTACACATATGTATTTGATATAGATTGCCTAATTGCTACTTATCCAATTTCTTCTTTTTGTCTATCGGATTATCTCCCGGTAGGCAACTTTGCGGCATTTCCTTTGATCCAAATTGAGCCTGATTGATAATATTTTGAATACGGAGACCAAATAATATCAATTCAATTTGGGAAATTTTTCTGTTTAGAGATTTTTGAAAAAGTAAAAAAATAAGAGATGATCGAAAAAAATTGCAAGAAAAACTGAGCCATGTGTGAAAAATAGGTGAAAAATGAGATTACTGTAAAAAAACACTCTAGGGAGCTTGTATTCTAAAATTACGAGTATCACTTTTTTTCAAAATTCACACCAACATACAGTTTTTTTTGTTATCAATACATCTTGACAATTTTTTTTTTCTTTGAAACTTTTTGAAAGAGCGAAATTTTTTTTAAAAACTTTCATTTTCAAGAGCCACGTGTCAAAAAATGTGTTAGGCAAACACTTTTGGAAGATGAAGGATTAGATTTCCCATCGGCAAAATTTCGGCAATTTTTTGATCATACCGACATCAATTTGATAATTGATATTTTATTGACATGTTTTCTTTTGGAAACAAATGAGCCGATAAAAACAGTGATTCTGAATTGTAATGTGGATTTGGGAAACGAAAAAATTCACTGTATGAAAATATGTGGTATTTAAACTATTTTTGATACACAAGGAAACTTTATTAAAGTAAAATCTACAGAGTTTTTGATTATAAAAATGGAAAAATTTCTACAAAATTCTACGTTTCAAAAATTCAATAATGTTTTCAAATGAATTTTATTATTTGCTCTTAATTCAATTTTATTTTTTAAAGTTGAAAATTCTTTTTTGAATAAAAAAAAATAATGTAACATCAAAAAAATTTACGGTTTCAAAACTTTATTGAATAAAAATGTGGCTAGTTTTTTTCAATAGGATAGTAATTCTAATGAACATAAACATAAATTATCAGCAAAAGCTTTTCCAGAAATTAATTTTCCCAGATCAAAACACATTCCTTTTTCAAAAATTCACTGTTTCAAAATTTTGATGATATCAGAGTAGTGAGAATTAATTGATTTATTCAATTAGATTAAAATTTATTCAATTAGATTAAATTTCAAAAAATTCTGAATTTTTTCACTGCTTCAAAAAAAATTATTTATTTTGTGAAGGCTGTGAAGGTTTTTATAAATTTTAAACTAACTAAAATTGTTCCAAAAAACTATCATAAATCATCAGCAAAAGCTTCTCCGGTAATTAATTCTCATTCTAAAAACCTTCAAGTTTTCAACAAGCTCCGCCCATTTTTCTAGATACGCTCCCAAAAAAGGTGTCAAACAACCGAAAACATATTTTTCTCCACCTCCTCTTCTCCCAATTCATTTTATTTTACCCCATTCCTTCCAATTCTCTCTCTACCCTTTGCATCGCTCATAAATCTTTTGATCAGCGGGGGCGCGTGGCCCCAGCCCGCGCGCAAAAACCTACCTACCTGATGATGATAACACTCTTCTCTTTTATCTCCACCGCTTGCGCACTACAGTACTCTTCGCACCATGGAATAGTGGGGGGAAAATGTGGGAGGAGTCGAGACTCCGCCTATTTTTGATGGTGATAGGCGGGTCGATTTTCTCATCCAGTGTTCCATTTCGAGACTTTTTGAAACTTTATTTTTATTTTGCGATAATTTAGTTCAGAAAATATTTCCTTGATTTTTTTTTGGTTTTAAAACATTTCCTTTCAGAATGACAACCGATTCCATTACTTTTAATCATATTTTGGGACAAGGACGGGTAAATCAATTGGGTGGTGTATTTATCAACGGGCGCCCGCTACCACTTCAAATACGGGAGGCGATTATTTCGATGGCAAAACGCGGAATCAAGTGAGTTTGAGGTTGTGGGAGCTTGGGAACGGGAACGGGGAATAATTAATGGATAGGTCCTAATTTTTAACCAAGGTATACTACCCAAAACTGTTTTTAGCTTTATTTCTCTCACGAAAAAATCACTGTTTCAAAAATTTTTCAAGCTCACAGATATTGTTGAGTCTGGCAATTTTTCTCGAATTTTTTCTGAATGAGACTTAAACCTATTCAATAAAATCTAGAAAAAATTAAAATAACACAATCTTAACACATTTTTTTGAGTGAAAGATCGCTCCATCGAAAAATATAAAAATCCAAATTTTTAAATTTTGAAACAGTTAATTTTTCCCAAAGAATTTTTAAAAAGAAATTTCAGATTCTCCTTGAGAAATTATATTTTTTGTGAAACTGACATTTTCCGTTTGCCTTTTCTGATTACTTTTATGAAAATCAACAAGAAATTTAAAAACTTTTGAAACAGTGAATTTTTTCCAAAAAATTTCCAATCAAACAATTGGTAAACCCAATTTCTGATATCTTACAGACCATGTCACATCAGTCGTCAGCTCAAAGTTTCACACGGCGCCGTCTCCAAAATTCTGAATCGCTACGCAGAAACTGGCTCAATTTCTCCCGGACAGGTAACTGTACAGTAACCCAGTGTTTTTTGTTTTATATAGTTCCGACAGGTTGTGACCACCCGGTGTGAACAAAAAAAGACACCTGGTTGAAGAAATTCTTGGCGGGAAAAACAATTTTGAAAATCAATGTCAAAATTTGCATTGAAAAAAAGAGTCGGGTCTCGAACCGAAGACACTGAACCTGGCAAAAGTTATAATGTATCAATTGTTTTCTGTTTCAGATTGGCGGAAGTCCGAGAGCTCGAATAACAGCACAAGCCGTCGAAAAAGAGTTAATTATAGCGTTCGATGAGAATCCGAATTGTGGAGCAGCGGAGTTGCGAGAAATCCTAATTCAAAAAGAAGTTTGTACACGTGGAAATGCACCGACTGTGGCAGCAATTAATCGAGTTATTAGAACTAAAGGTGGGTCTTTTGAAGACTTTTTTTTGAATATTAAGATTTTGATACAATTTTTTGCATGTGAGAACTCATCAATATTCAGAAAAATTGTAAAAATTTTTCTTTTTTTTCACAATCAACCGGCTCAACAAGAAAAACTATTTCACAACATTATTTATTCAAACTTTGAAACAGTGAAATTGTTTTTAAAAAAAAGTTTTCAAATTTTTTTAAATCGTATTAAAAATTTTGAAACAGTGATTTTTTTTTAGATTTCACAAGCTCTCGTCAGAAAAATTATGAGTCTATTGATTTCTGGAAATTCAAAGTATTGATTCAATTTTCCACAAATCACCGTATCAGAACTTTTCAAAATTATATTTTTGAAACAGTAAACTTTTCTCAAAGATTTTTCTAATTTTCAAATTTTTCTAGTGCCAACCAAAAAAATGGATCGAAAACGTCTGAGCTACAGTATTGACAGTATCCTTGGAATTTCAATCGGTTAGTTTTTTTTTCTCAAAAAAGTGTCCTCGAATTGTTGCCATTTTCTCACACATTTCTCTATTTCCTGTCCTGTCCAAAAAAAAACTAATTACAAACAACAACAAAAAAGTGTTGTAATTGAATTCCCCCAAAAAAAAACGGCAAAAAGAATACGGTAGTTTGATTATTCCCACACCGTGTGTTTTTTTGCTGATGGTCGTTAAGAAAATATTTGATGACTTGATGTGACTTGAGATGCGAAAAATGGAATTTAATACGGTGTGAGAAAAGATAAGAGAAGAAATTCGATTTTGATAAGGAAGGTTAGACAAATTTTGTGGCGGCGGCCGCCGTTTTGGGAAATATATTTATTTGGATTTGTGTATCAACCTGTGAGATATTTAGCCAGCATGACGAATTGAAACGGAAAGAAATACTGTAGATTGGTTCGAAATATATTGATTGGAATTTAGGGTTTCCAGAATAATATTCAAAATTTGGAACACTTTAAGTAAATATGATTCCCAGAGCCGTAATAATTACAGTAGAAGTTTTGAGTAAGTAATTATCAGAAGATTTATCAAATTTAATATTGACTTGTCATGTATTTAGATTTTCAAATTGGTGTTAAATTTTTAAAGGATCATTAGGTCTTCCGTTTTAAAAATACCATACTCTTTGATTGTAGTTCCTTTTGAGAAGAATAATCGAAATTTGTAGACCAAAAAATGTTAATTAACTGAAAACTATAGTAATTTTAGTGCTCATTTTTCTTCCATATAAAATTTTTGGATCAGAAATATTTCTTGCTAAAAATTTCCATAAAAAACCAGTCATCTTCTTTTGATATGACTCCCTAATTACCGTACTTTTTTCTTCAAAAAAACCAATTCACACATTTAGTATTTTCTCATGTACCTATAATCATCCCAAGGTTGCTACATAGTTTTGTTGGTTTTTTGCAGCCTCCTTGACAATAATACCGTAATCTTTCAATCAACCTTTTTTTCTTCAATTGTTTGTTCATTCACAAAAAACGGAGGAACATAGTTTAGCGCGCGCATAAAATTTGATTGGGCGTATTTAAATAGGGACAAGAAGATATGTTATATGTTCATCAAGTGCGCAATTTTAATGGTGGCAAATTTATTGGGTGTTGGAAACTTGGTGATTTATTGGATCAAGATATGGGGGAAGAAGAAGGAGAAAAAAGATTGTCAAGGAAAAGGAAAAGGAAATTGCGGGGGATTTGAATGGAACTGAAAAGGCATTCAATTTTTGAGCAGCCAGAATACTGTAGCTCAAAATTTATCAATCGTTTGCTCCAAGATTCCGTATATACTGTAGGTGTTAAGCTATAAGTTAGCTTAACTTTTTAGAATTACTGTAGCTCGAGAAATGAAAATTTTGCGCCACTTTTTCAAAGGTTCTGTGCCCTTATTTCACACAAGTACGGTTTTGCCCCAATTTCAAGAGGTACTGTAGCTCAGCATGTAACTGATGTGAGTTGATTTTTTTAGGAGCTTTAAAATTATAGGCTTTTTGAGCCAATGTTGTTCAAAATTTACAAATTCTTCAAATTTTTGTGCTATTTTTCTAGAAAGTGTAGATCAAAATTTCTAATATTTTCGTGCCCTTATATCAGCGATACTGTAGCCCAAGTTTCTCCCCTCTTCTCAAATCCCCCAAATTTCTATTAATCTTTAAACGTTTTGAAAAACAACAAAGTTCGACAGCTGAAACCGTGATATTTCTCATTATTGCAATGATTTTTTTGACATTAACACAATTAGAAAATGACTGACTAAGACAAAGTTAATAAATTATGAGAGAGTGGCGCGCGAACAACCGAAATTATCTGATCATGACAAAAAAAAGTTTCTCGCTCCGGTGGCGCAACATGATATATTTGAGGTAATTAGAGATGGGCCCGGCCGCAAATAAATGAGAATTGTTTCGATTTGTGACACCTCACAGCCAAGAAGGGTTTATGGGGTTATTTTATATTGACATATTACATATTTATTGGGAAATAAGATACAAAACTGAAGAGAGAGAGAGAAGATTAGGTGTCGATTAGATTTTTATAGACTTACAATGTTAGAATCAGATATGTGTTAGTTAGGAAAAATTGAGAAGGATACGGGGGATTTTGGTAACAATTTTGATAGAAATCTCAAATACCCCTTTCAAATGTTAGTCATTTTCTAGACGAATGCTCCAAATCATCTTCCGATGATGATGATTGCTCTTCAACTTCTCCAACCAACGAATCATCGCGAAGAAATCGAACATCTTTCACTTCCGATCAACTCGATTCTCTTGAATCAGCATTCAAGGTAACTATTTTGTTTTTCTACGCACTTTATCTTCACCTGCTTTGTGTTTTTTTTTTCAGGCAAACACATATCCAGACGCAGTTGAAAGAGAGCAAATATCAAAAGAGACTGGATTATCCGAGGAGAAAATCATGACTTGGTTCTCGAATCGAAGAGCCAGATGTCGCAAAAATATGCCGATTTATCAACAATATTCGACAGGAACTGGAAATGGAACAACAAATACTACGGTAGGGGAACCACCTGGGGTGAAAGAGGAAAAAAAGAGAGGAAAAACCTTGACATTTTCGAGAGAGGAAAACAATATTAATTGGGGTGAAAAAATCACATTTTTTGAAACAAAGAAATCGTTCGAACTGTGCGATTTGGAGGCTTGTTTATCGCAATTTTGTTATCAAAAACTACGTAGTATAGCCCTCCAGCTACTCAAAAGTAGCTGCTTGAGTAGCTCGAGCAGATTATCTGCTTATCTACTCGAGTAGCTAAGCACGCTCATCTGCTCGAGTAGATAATCTGCTCATCTGCTGAGTAGCTAAGCGTACTCATCTGCTCGAGCAGATTATCTGCTTGCCTGCTCGAGCAGTCTACTCGAAATCTGCTCACTTGTTTTTTGAAGATGAATTTGAAATTTTTTTTAATGACTGAAAAGTTGTAAGTGAAGTAGGACAAGCTTGAATTTCAGCTTCTGGTGTCATTTTAGGCAGAAGCTGACTTTTAAAGGAAGTATGCATGAAAAATCGATTTTTATGAAATTTGAAATTTAAGGGTATTTCGATATGGGGAACATCGTGGTGAGACCCATTCGGCCCAAAAATCTCTTTTAAAGGACCCCATCACTCAAAAAAATTTTTTTTTGAAAATGAGTTATTTGGGCACGGGGAACATTTTGGTGAGGTTTACGGTCGGGAACAGACTTTTAAAGGCGCATGCCAGGCTATTACACATTTTCCGAGATTTTTTTTTCAAACTATCATAACTTTTTTATTTTTGAAGCTTTTTCGAAAATTCGACAACCATTTTGACGGTCATGAAGCGGGCTACATTTTTTGTGTTGACACCGACTACCGTACTTCGCTCCTAAGAGGTGAAAAACACGGTTTTGTTCGAATTTACATCAAAAAATGACATTTTTGAGAGATCTGAGAGACAAAACCGTGTTTTTCACCTCTTAGGAGCGAAGTACGGTAGTCGGTGTCAACACAAAAAATGTAGCCCGCTTCATGACCGTCAAAATGGTTGTCGAATTTTCGAAAAAAGCTTCAAAAATAAAAAAGTTATGATAGTTTGAAAAAAAATCTCGGAAAATGTGTAATAGCCTGGCATGCGCCTTTAAAAGTCTGTTCCCGACCGTAAACCTCACCAAAATGTTCCCCGTGCCCAAATAACTCATTTTCAAAAAAAAATTTTTTTGAGTGATGGGGTCCTTTAAAAGAGATTTTTGGGCCGAATGGGTCTCACCACGATGTTCCCCATATCGAAATACCCTTAAATTTCAAATTTCATAAAAATCGATTTTTCATGCATACTTCCTTTAAAAGTCAGCTTCTGCCTAAAATGACACCAGAAGCTGAAATTCAAGCTTGTCCTACTTCACTTACAACTTTTCAGTCATTAAAAAAATTTCAAATTCATCTTCAAAAAACAAGTGAGCAGATTTCGAGTAGACTGCTCGAGCAGGCAAGCAGATAATCTGCTCGAGCAGATAAGTACGCTTAGCTACTCAGCAGATGAGCAGATTATCTACTCGAGCAGATGAGCGTGCTTAGCTACTCGAGTAGATAAGCAGATAATCTGCTCGAGCTACTCAAGCAGCTACTTTTGAGTAGCTGGAGGGCTATACTACGTAGCACAACTCTTAACATTGTTTGACCTTTATGTCTACGTTTACTAGGTTTGCTCATTAGTTTTTGCTCAGATTTTCATGGTCACGGAAAAAATTTGTAGAGCAGCTTTGGCGCCTAAAGGTTTTATATTTTCAATCCATACAGGAATTTCGGGTTACTGTAGATCGAGATCCCAAAATATAAGCCTGTTCAAGTTTACTAGCTGAAAATCTGTGCTTTGAAAATGTATGACTTTTTTCGTAAGATAACAATATTATATCAAACAAGTCCAGAACACAGAAACACTTTAATTGAATTTTTGAAACAGTAAAACATCTTCTCTTAAAAATCACTCCAATTTTGCAGCCGTACCCATCACTTCTCACACCACCAATGCTTTTCATGCCAAACTACAGTACTCCAATGCTTTTTGCACCGCATTTCATGACAAATAGTCCACCCTCATAGTTTTTTCAAAGCTTGTTTTCAGTTTCTCCTTATATACGGTCCTCAACTAGTTTTTCTCCTCTTTTCTCATAAAGTTTATCATATTTTTTGTGAAAAATTTGTATTTCTACGGTTTTTTATTTATTTCCTTGCAAATGCAGCTTCAAAAATAAAATAAAATGAAAGTTTCTTATTTTGAACATTGTTTATCAATTTTACAATTTATAAACAGTTTTTTGCCGATTCTACCTTTGAAACAGTATGATAAAATGATTGATGGATTTGGTTTGAAAAATTAAAAAGTAAAGAAATGCGGGGAAAAAAAGGGGTTCTTGGACTTGGACTCAAAAACTTTTGTTTTGAAACCAAAAATTCAAAAAATTATCTATACTTTCACCTCAGAATAATCAAAAAGCACAAAAACTATTTTGTGAAATTTTTTCAAACAGTGGAAATTTGTTTGTTGACGCAATAAAGGAATAGTTTTCGATCTGGTGTTTTATTTTTGAAGTTATGTAATTACGTAAGTATTCAATTGGAAATAAAATAAAAAAATGACTTTCCAGCTGAATTTCTTTTTGATTTTACTTTTGAAATCAAAAAGTTAAAGATCTTTTCAATTTAAGAAAATTTAATAGAAATTTCAAAACAGTATAATTTTGAGGGAAGTTTTTGTAGGAACAATTGATACCTAGTTTCTGTCGAAAGTTAGAAACATGAAAATTTTGAAAAAGTAAATATTTTTTGAAACCTGCTCATTTGAAATGTCGAATTTTCGCTTTCACGGAAAATTCTAGTTTTCATTTTCAAAATTTCTTGATTTTCATTTTTGAAAACCCATTTCCAAACTTTGTGGATAGATATAATAATTGCTCAAAAACCCAAATCATCTCATTCAATTTTCAAAACAGTGGATTTTTTGAAGCAAAACTCTCGGTCACACTGTTAATATTCGGTTGTCAGATCAAAAATTAATTTTTCGATATTCGTTCGTTTTCATCACACATACTTATCTTATCAGTTTTTCCAGAAACCGTTCCAGTAAATTAGAAAAAAATGTGTGGAAATAAAAATGTGATTATAAAAATACACACCCAAAAACGGAAATGGTAGCCATGTTTCGGAATTAATTGAAAAAACCCGAATAAAGTTCCCTTGTGAACTTACATAAAAAATTTCGAAAATACAATAATACTTCATTTCTGTTTTCGATTCATTTTTCTACGTTGCGCCGGTGTTGACATTGCCTCATCATCATCATCAAAATAGTCATCATTTTCACTATCCAAATGATATTTATTGAGAAGTTCATATTCGGCAATTGTCAACGGTTTGACTCTTTTCATTTTACTCGTAGACATGTCTTCAAGAAGTGGCGGAGGATACATGTTTTTCAAAAGTTTGTCGAATCGTTGTGCAAGATCGGAAAATGTTGGTCGAAGATTTTGATCGATTTCCCAGCAATTTTTCTGATTTATTGCAACTTCTGGTGGTGTTTCAGCTGAAAAAATATTTTTTGAGAGAAATCGAAGAAGTTTATCGAATTGCTTATATTAACAAGTTAGAAAAACGAAAAGGAATTATTCTCGAGCTTTAAATGCGCAATCCTCTCTTTTTCATATCACAAAAGTCGTTGGACGCGTAGCTCGTTTTTTGAAATTTTCAACAAAAAAAACTTACGACAACTTCGATGCAATTCGTTGGGCTGTGGCGGTATTTTCATCGCCTTCAACAACGCTTCCATAATATCTTTATTGTCTGAAAAATGGCTCAATGGTTCAGTTCCATTTCCGAATATCTCTCCACAAACAACGGCAAATGACCAAACATCGGTTTTTTCATTAAAAGTGGCTGTCGGCAACGTTGCTTCTGGTGCCATCCATCGAACTGGCATTTGATCATTTGATGTGCAATATGCAATTAAATTGGTTTCAGTGTCGGATAATCCGAAATCAGTGAGTTTGAGAATTCCATAAACATTAAAGAGACAATTTCGAGCAGCAATGTCACGATGAACCATTTTCTTTTCGGCGACAAAAGCGAGAGCTGCAAGAAAATACACATAAAAAAGAAATTACAAGTTCGAGCTGACCTGAAGCAAGTTGCCAACAATACAAAACCTTCTCTCCTTTTTCAATCTTCGGACCTTCTTCCTTCAAATGCGACAATAATCCACCAGCCATCAATTCCATCAAAATCATTGGTGGCATTGTGTCAATTGAAACACCGTGAAATTTAATAATATACGGATGTTTCAATAATGCCATTGTTCTTGCTTCCTTCATCAAATCCTCTTTTTCCTTCAAAATTTTGTCTTCCGAAGATATCAATTTTTTGACAGCGACATCTTGATTTCGATATTTTCCCATGACAACTGTACTGAAGTTGCCGCCTCCGAGAACTGTTGCATTTTGTTCGACTTTGATGTGGCAATTTCGGAGAAACCAAGTTGGTCGAGGCACTCCTTTTGCCAATTTATGACCGTTTCCAATAACATGGTCTTGATAGAAACATACTACTTCATGAATCGCGCTGCATTTATCCTGAAAAATGTTTAATAAGAGTTCACACGTCATAACTAATATTCAGAATTGAACAATGCAGTTTTCAAGCGTTTTCATCAATTCATTACGAAAAAGAGAGCCGAAAAAAAGATCCCAACCTTCAAAGAAAAAAATATGCCTTGAAAAAAATCCGCAAACACGCTGAAAACAACTAAATGCACTAAACAGCAAACATTACGCACAAACCCTACAGTACTTCCCGGGAAAAGTGTAACGGGAACCCCCGGGATTTTTTGAAGAGACTTTTCGGGCAGAGTTGACAAAAAATGGAAAATTAATTTGTTTGATTTTTACAACGACACTCCGCTTGCCCGCTGTTTAGCGCAAAGTATTTTCATTTTTCCTTTTTTTCGCTGGGTTTTCAGGTTTCCGGGGAAAAGCAGTGGATTTCAGTCAAAAATTGAATTTTTAGATGTTCTACAAGTCTGCAATTATCGCTTCCAATGGAAAATCTGAGAATTATCGAAGAAAGGTGGGTTTTTTCTAGACAAACATTGTTTCGATTGAAATTTTTGAGTTTTCAGCTCGAAATATTGATGGGCAATTGGATTTCACTATCAATAACGTGGAAAACTTGGAGGATTTCTGTGTGATTTGAGAAATAGAAGCGATTGGTGAGTTTTTTGGGGAGGGATTGCGGAAAAATTGAAAAAATCGATTAAAAAATTCTGTAAAAATTGAAAAAAGTTAGGCTAACTCATCATGGAAATCACCGAGAAATGTTGAAAATTCGGCCAAAGCCACGAATTTTTCAAAATCATAATTTTGAAAAATTATCTTCTGGGCCAGAAGATGAAGTTGTGGCTCGTCTTTCCGGCTTTACTCACCTGTTTCCCATCCAATACGAATTGCTTGCCAATTGGCGTAATTGCTCGATGAACAACTTTCGGTTTCTCTCTCACAATCGACACAAAACACAACCAAACCGACGTTGCTTGACTGCTATAATGTGATCGAACCAGAAATCTTCCGGCTTCACAACCTTTGAGACCTTGTTCCGCTTCCGCTTCTGATATATATCCCCAATAATAACTCTGCTCATTGTATTTTTTAGTTTCCTTTTTGGGTTTGACCATTTTTGCAAAAAAATATAGTATTTTTCGGGCGGCGCTGTTTTATAGGCGAGGAAATGGGGACACGTTTTCACGTGAAGGGATTTTGGATTTTCGAGAATTTTGTGAAATGATTTTTTGTTCTGATTGTGAGAAAATCAAGCACCGATTTTATATTCGACATTTTTCTGAATAAAAAAGAGCAGCGTGGTCGAGTGGGATACACGCTTGCCAACTGCCAAACTGTTTACCCCAATCCGCCGCCCAATTTTTGTTTATAAAACTTTTCCAAGTTCTGTTGATTTTTTCAAGTTACTTTGTAATCCACAAAAATATAACATGCAAAAAGATTCATTTCAATCTACGTATTTTCTTTTCATCATCTCTTTTTTTGCCTCCAAAAAAATAATATAAATCAAATCAAAGCCAAAAATTAATAGAAAAAAAAGAAGAGATGGCAAAAAACAAAACACCCGTCATAACACAATTCTATTCATTTAGTTTGTTGTTATCAATAATATTCAGATTTTGTGTGCAAAAAGTAGAAGATCGCCAGGATCTACCACAATTTCCTCGAAAATAATTGTTTTCTCATATTTCTTGTCGAATCCATTCCATATTGATCAGAAGTCAGACCGCCGACAATTGTTTCAAGATGGGTTTGGTGAGGAACTCGAGAATCGGATTGATATTCTACCAGCTACAAAAAAAATATATTTTTTTGATTTTTTGGAATTTGTTTATTTATTTTCTTCGAGACTAATCCTCTTATTTTTTTTGGAAGAAAAAACTTACGTAGAATGGCGCCGCTGAAACGAACACCAACAAAAGGGCCAAGCAGATCAGCATAAATCCTTGCATCTGCAAAAAACTGGGCTTTAGGCCTAGGAACTTTTGAATGGGACGGAGAAAGAATTTTATAGAATTGCTCATGTTAACGGATCTATTAGAAACTTCTAAGTTTAATTGAGCTTAAAGCCTTGCTTATGTTAGCTAATATAAAAAGTATTGTTCATGTAGTCCGACACCCAGAAATGTAAAAATTCAAATAAAATTCGAGAAGAATGTGAAAAATGAGAACCAGAGCCAGATCTTAAATAGGGCGTGTTGGCAGCTGAAAATGTGTCGAAAAAAGGCGGTCCCTTCTCCTCGTTTTTTTTCTGGCGATTTTTTCATGTGCGCAGGCATTTTTTGCGTGTTTGAGAAGGAGGAAAACAGGTGGAAAATTGTGGAAATACACTAACAGTGAGATCATTTTGAGGTTAAATTTAGAATGTTTTGAGGTAGAATTTTTGAGATTGTGATTTTGCAGGTTTTTGATGTTGGAAGTGTGGGTGGGAAATGGGAATTCGGGAAGATGGAATTCAAAGTTTATATTTTGTGAAGTTTTTTGCGGACACGATAGATCAAAGTTCAGAGAGTTTCGAAAGTAAAAGGAATAAAAATAGTAATAATTTGGAAAGTTTAGCATTGCCAATACAAATACTTTGAAACTGTTTTTCTATAGAAATTTTGATAGATTTCCATTTGAAATTTTAAAGTTTTGGAACTGTGAAAATACAATTTTTTTCACTGTTTCAAGAAAACTGAATTTGGTCAATGAATTCTGATTTTTTTAAACGTAAAAATTACTTTTTTTTTTGAAACAGTGACAAATTCACGTATAAAAAATAATTTTGCAAAGTTCTGGGAACGATAAATTATTTTCAAAGTTTCAAACAAATTTCCTATTAATTGTGAACAAACTCCAAATGTTGATATATAATTTTGAAACAGTAAAAATAATAGTTTTAGGATCAACAACCTTGCATTGGCTTGGATCGGTGATAAAAATATATAACAGTTTCGAAACAGTAAAAATAATTTCTCTCTGTTTGAAAAAATTCAAAATGTATAGTATGAAACATTTTAAAAGGTCAATCTTTGTTCATATTAGAAAAAAATATTCTCAAAATTTTGAGAATTCAAAAAAATCATACTTATACAAAGTATTATTATTTTTTGTCTAAAATTTCTTATGAGTTGATCACCAGTCTATAGTTTTCTGAAAAAAAGAGAAAACTTTGAAACAGTAAAAAATTATTTTCTCATTTTTCTACTCTAAAGCTAGTTCCTACTATTTTTCATTGTTTTCTCGCTTGAACAACTTTTTGAAAAAGTAATAACTAATTTCCAAACATCGTAAAATCGTACAATTTTTCTCATCATTTCAGTTCATAGTTCATTTTTTAAATCCAGACAACAATTCCAATAAAAATTATTTCTTATTTTTATACAAGCCAAAAATTATAGGTTCTAGAAATAGAATTTGTCTATGATCTTCAGAAAAAAAATGTATTTTTATTCTTGTTTTATGACGTTTCTCATCTATGTATCTCATGTATATTTCAGAAAGGGAAAAATTAAATAATTATTTTTTGATATTTGATGTCTTGAAAGTTCTTCTGGATAATTTTTGCTTCCTAAACAAGAAAATCTAATAAGGAAACAAGAAACACACAGGGAAAAATGGACAAATAATGGGTTTGCGAAACAAAATGAAATGAGAATAGAAGATTATAGAGGGATAACCAAACACGGAATTCATTTGCTCAATTTTCCCGTTTGCAAGCCGAAAATTCATGTGTGGGCGCGAAAATTTTTGTTGGACATCAAATACAAAAAATTTGTTTTTATTTCGATCTTCGGCCGAATATGATTCACTTTTTATCCGATTTTGGAAAAACAAAAAGTGTATTCCGGGATTTGTTTTCATGATATTTTGACGTAGAAAAACTGATAAATTCTTGTAAAAATCCGTGAAATTTTGAGATACAGTAGTCTTGGAAAACGTGGCGAAACTTCTTATGAATTTTGGGATACAGTATCTCTGTAATTTTGATCTTCAGAAAAGTGAGAATGATGTAGAATCCACAGAATCCCTGAAAATTTGGCGCCAAATTCAAACTATGAAAAAATCAAAAAACTCAAACTTTCTGCTCAAAAAGTTGCCCGTTTTTTTCAGATTTCAAAAATCTTGTATTCATTTTTTCTCTTGATCAAAACAAAAAACAAAGTTTCGGAACCAGAAAATTTCACCTGTTTTTTCAAAGTTTTTTTTTCTGTTGCATTTATACATGCAAAATTGTGAACTTGGCGTGTGCTTTGATTTGATTTTCAAAAAAAAAGATTTTTTTCGAAAATCACAAAAATTAGAAGAAAAAGAAGAAGTACGTACTTGAGACAAATCCAAGAAATCAAAAAAAGTTCGAGAATCCAGAAACTTGAAGAATAGAAAAACTAGAAAAAACAAAGAAAACAATCAGTTTACCTATTATAACATACATTATTCAATTATTTTTAGTGGTCGTAAAAAAATTGATAGAATGTGGTTCTCCAGCTTTTTTGACTTGTGGAATTCACGTGTGGAATTTTTTCTAGAAAAAAGAGAAAACTTACAACTAGAAATGATTTCTGAATTGCCACGTGGATTTTAATTTGGGACACGTTTCGTAACATAAATTAGTTTATCCACGTGGATACTACAAATTAAATTCAGAATTTTGAATTTCCCGGAAAAATGAAAACAAATCCCAATAATAAATCAAAAACCATTCTTAAGTTGTTTTTTTTACATCTTTTTACCTGAAAATTTTGACTTTTAAAAATTAAATATCTGGATACCTGAAAAACTCCTTTTCCTAGAAAATCCTTCTGAAAGCCAGAAACCAAAAAAAAACTTCTAATAATCAACTTTTTCATTCGCATGAAAAAAATTCTCAAAAAATATCAATTTTTCGATGCAAAAAATATAAGTAAAATGCAAATCACAAAGTTATATCAAACCAAAAAAAAATGAAAAACTACAGAAAAAATGAGATCAATGAATGGGTGCATTAAAAATAAACAGGACTAGAAATTCTGAAAAACATGAAAAAGGAACTGGAAAAGAGAGAGAGAGAGAGATCTATTGAAAAAATGAGAAAAAATTGGGGGAAAAACCAAAACAGGAAAAAAAAGAGATCACTATTTGAATTAAATTAATTACATTTACATTTGTAAAATTTCAGATTCGTCATAAATATTTTCAATATCATTGATATTATTTAAATCGTTGGCTGATGGAATAATATACTCGTGTTGTTCGTTGAAAAGTGGATAATCTTTGTCTTGTCGAATTACTGTTATCAAATGTTGCTTTCCAGCCTGCAAAAAATTAAGAATTTTGTCATGTAACAAGGTTTTTTTTTTGAAAATTTCTTTGTATTAACACCCTCAAAATCCAACAAACCTTAGCAATTTTCGATTCAATAAGATAATACATATAATCATCAGCAAGTAATCGAATCAAATGAAAACTTCCGAAAGATGTTGCAGATCTCAAAGTCAAATCTCGAATTATCATTGATGTGTAGAAACTCCAGTTCAACAGGAATTGTTTGCCAACATTTGCGATTGCATCAGCTGGTTTATCGTGGTATTTTGCGAGCACCTGCAAATATTACTTTTTCAAAAAATTTTATTAATTTTTGAGTGAGGTTTTGATTATGATATTGATTCGCTAGATTTTATTATTTCAGCGAAAATATTTTTTTAATGAAAAAAATCACTGTTTCAATTTCTTTTAAATGTATTCGAATAACTTGATCCTGGGCTGGCAAATTATAATCACAATATTTCATAGATTTTAACAGAAACAGTTGTAATTTTCAGGCGAAAAATCCTGAATTCCAGACCAAAACTTAATTGAAACTTTTTCAAGCTTTACTAGTGAAAACAATTAAATTTTCGAGATTCTCTTGGGAAATGTAGGTTTTATAAAAGTATTATTGAAAAATCAATAGCCGCAACCTCAATGTCAAAAATTGTTCCATCTGAAAAATGAAATTTAAAAAAGAATCTAACCTGATCAACAATACTTTCCAACCATTCAGCCCAATCAACCATCGGTGCAATTCTTTGCAAATTTGCCTTAAATGCCAAATTGACATGTTGAACCATCAATGTATCACATCCACAAATCCAACCAGCTTGTTCATGCACTTGATTCATATCAACTCTCATATAATCAGTAAACATTTGTGTAACTTGTTCTTGTTTTTGTAGAACAGCTCGTGCAGCTTGTGCTAAATGATTCAAAGATGTATATCGTCTCAATCCTTGTTGCATATATTTTATCGCCTGCATTTTCTTTTTCACCAAATCTTCCGAAATTCCACAATTTTGGATGGCTTTTTTCAAATAGATGTCAATATTTTTCGCAAAGTTTCGACATGCTTGAGTTAGATTTGCTGTTAATTGAGACATCAAAACATTTGGGATCAAACAATCTACGATATTTTGATACAGAGCCAAATCTAATTGAATCATATAATCTTGAATTGGTTCCAAAGTGCATAATGCAATTAATTCTTCCTTTGTTATCAAATAATCTGAGCCATGCCAGAATTTCACCCAACAATCTTCGATGCTTTCGAATTCAAGAATTTTGACTTGATGGAGGACTTCTTTGCAGAGATTGTGATAGGAGTTTATGAATTTTTCGATGTGATCAAAGTCGAGACCAAGTTTGCGAAAGCTGCAAGAATTTTGGTATTTTTTTAAATAATACCTTCTGAAGATATTACAGATTGTGAGAGAGGTTGAGCATTTTTTTCAGTTCACTGTTTCAAAATTTCTATAAATTTTGTGAAGAGCTTTAAAATTTGATAAAGTAATTTTTTATCAAAATCCTAAAGCCACCTGTGAATATTCTGACAATGAGATCCCAAAGAGAACCTTCAATTATTTTCGAATTCTAAAATACCAACCTCATAGTCGACTCCAAACTAATCGAATTCGAAAATGGAATATAAGGCATCTCATTTGTTCCAAGACTAACACGATCATGAATCGTCATATAAGGTGTATACATTTCTTGCGGAATTTGAATCGCAGATTGTGGTTGCGCAGCCAATTGTTGTGCATTTTGTGCTTGTGCTCCAATTTGTTGAATTTGAAGAGTTGTGTCAGAAATTGGTGCAATTATTGGAGATGCGATAAGTGAAGTTGGTGCAATTTGATGTTGAATTTGATTTTGGTTTGAGTTTGGCATGTGGTTCAGATTTATGCTAATATTTTGGTTTGGATTTTGAATGAGAAGTGGAGGAAGTGGTTGATTCATATCAATTGCTGGCGATGTGCTGCTGCAAAAAAATATTGGGTTTAAAATTGAACAAAACATAGATCGACTCTAAACTAACTCTCTACAAGACGAAGAACTCGATGAATGTGTTGTCTTCATTCTTTTCGCTGCCGGTTCTCCAATCAATGGTTGCTGTTGCTGATTTTGTTGCTGATGTTGTTGTTGATGTTGTTGTTGAGTTGGACGAGATTCGGGTGGACTATTATATCTGACAGCGGCTACTGTATTTACAGTATCTGCATAACTATCTGGTGGACAAGTGTATTGTGAATGTTGATTATGTCGATTCAGAGGACTTTCAGGTTTTATTCGAATACCGTAGTAATGGTATTTTGAGTTTCCGCGAGTTCCAAGTCGACGAGTTCGGAGACCGAGAAAAACTGAGCGGATTAGTTTGCCGAAGGAAGCCGCGTTGACTGGATCGAGACGGTGTTCGGTGCAATGCCTAAATATAGTTAATTTTGAAACAGTAAAATTTCGAAATTTCAACTCAACACATCTGATCACATTTTTCCATAATCGAAAGAAACATAGGAATTGTTTGAAACAGTCAACTTTTTCGAAAACTTTCTGACTTTTGCAAAGATTTATGTTCGATAGATTAATGAAAAAATGTGAAATCTCAAAACGAATAACTATATTTTGAAACAGTCAATTTTTGAGATTGAAAAAATCGCGTCTATCAGAACAATGAGAAACCAGTTGGTGATATCGAAACTTTTAATTTTTTTTTGTAAAATTTTGCCAACTCACTTTTTGTAATGATCATAAAGTGTACACCGTGGCAAAGATGTTCCATCAGCAGTCTCGTAATTATCAAGCAACCATTGAATCTGCAAAAAATCAAGAATTATTTTCAAAATTTTCGAATTCCATTTATCTCATTCCTGTTCATTCACATGCTCATCTTCTTCACTTTATTTTGAAAAATAAGAAGATAAATTCGCCATGATTTTTTTCTAATCCGAAGAAGATTTTTGTGGTTTCCGTGGAGACCGAAAAAATGAGAAATTAGTACATATTGATACCCGAATTGAGTTTTTTTGAGTCAAAAATCAAAAATTTGATTTTTTTTGTTGGAAAATTTGGAAAAGACAGAAAGAGCATGCGGACAGAAAAAGACAGTGCAAGTTTTTTTTTGAAAAATCCGGAAAATTCGAATTTCCAAAGTTTATCTTCAAAAAAGTCAAAAGAATTTACAAAATTTTCGATTTTTTTTTTCTCTGTTTCTGATTTCAAGAAAACTTTGTATTCATTCCAAAAATCCAAATTTTCTTTTTTTTTTTCTGATACATTTTTGGGTTGCATAAATCGAAAATCCAAAAAATGTCAGTTTCCCAGTGCAGATTTCATGTTTTAAAATTTTGATTCACAAATCTACAGTACTCTCGTACCTGGTGAAAATATGACAACATTTTTGCGAATAAATTTTGTAGTTATAGTTCTAGAACTCTTTTTTGATCTACTTCCTAATTTTTCAAAAACTAGATCTTTTGGAAAAATCAAGTTACCGTAATCCTAGCCGTAAATTGACCTATGAAAAAAGTTTAATTTTTGAATTCAAAATTACATCACTAAATTATTTAAAGCTACAGTAACCTGAAATAGCTAAATCCAGATCTCCTTCCAAATAAATCTTTTACACAAAAATTCCAAATGCTTTCCTGAATCTACAGTACCTCAATAATATTTTTCCAACTCACATGTAACCTCGATTCAGAAATCAAGCCATCAATTGAACTACTTCCCATCGACACTCACTTTCAAAACCAAAAAATGAAAATGAGAAAAAATAAATTCCTCTTCCTCTCTCAGATAAAAACTTCTTATCTTCTTCGTTTTTTTTTTCGCTGCTGCGCAAGAAAAAGTCAAGAAGAAAAAGTGAGTGTGTGTTATCTTTTTTCGGGATTTTCTTCAGGATGGTTGCTATAGTAGCCAGCTTCTTATATCAAAAAAGAGCCTCATCAAAAAACTCGATGTTTTTAGAAAGATAGATAGTTGGAATATGTGTGTTTTTGAAACAGTGAATAAAAATGAAATAAAATAAAAAGTGGAAAGTGGAAGAAGTAGAGAAAAGGAAAAGATTCTGAATCGCTTGACACACCATTTCCGGTATTTAGGAGCCTTTTTGAAGCGAAAAAAGAGAAAGAAAATATTAGGAGAGGAAAAAGGACCTTTTTGTTGTTGGAACAAGGTTTATTGCGAAATTTTGATTTTCTAGAAAATTTGCTGTTTCAATATCAGAAGATATAATTCATTCAAAATTAAATGATTCGCTAACGGTTTCTCAAACTTTGCATATCATCTTTCTTTATTTCATTTTTGAATTATTCTCTTTATTACGTCTTTCAAATTTATTACGTTTCAAATAATTCAAAAATTATTGAAATAAATTACTTCGGAAAATTTTAATAAAAAAATTACTGTTTCAAAACTTTCATAACTATTTTTTAAGCTTTCTCGGTTTTCTAAAACCAATCCGGGTTAGTAGAAAATACTGTTCAAAATGTTCATTAATTTTTCAAAAATTTCAAATTTCAAAAGAAACTTACATGTTTAACTTCCAACATATATTCTTTTTATTTCCAGAAATACTCAAAAATATATGAAATTTTCAACGAAATGAATAACTCATTTTGTTTCTGGCTTTCTTTTTCGTTTTTTTTTTCGTCTAATAAGTACTAATAGTTAATAAATGGTCCATTCAACAAAAGTCGAAAAAAAGTAGAAAAATGAGAAAGGTTTCTATGGGAACCCGTAAGGGTTTATGCGAAAAAATAGAAAAGTGTGTGAAACGAAAGTGGCTAACTTTAAATCGCCAACTTTTTAGCGTATCTAATTTCCGGAAAAAATAGGATATTTTTTGGGAAACTTCAGAGTTGGATTTCAGAGTTGGATTAAAAAAGATTTTTTAAAATGTTTACTCTTGGATTCCAAGAAGCCAAATTTTCAAGGCCTAGAAATCCCAAACAGTCCGATTCAAAATCATGCTTTTCTGTGATCTCATGTCCTCATGCAAAAGACAGTGAAACAAAAGACAAAACATGAAAAAAAGGGATAGCAAAAAATAGTAGACCTCCTGGTTCCCGTATCCTACCGTAGCCGGCGACGCTCGAGTTGATTGTCCAAGATTTCCATCGCTGTCTTCTATTGAATGCGGTGATTGTGCACCACCGCCTTGATTTTGACTCGGATGGAGAACCATACCGTAACCGCCGTTATCTTGTGGACTTGACTGCATGTTTGCAGAATACTGGCAATGTTGGGGTTTTGGGAAGTTAGTTTTTTTTTGAGATTTTTCAGGTAAAATTTACACTTGGATTGTTCATACAATCTGCTTTTATAAATTATGTTCAAGTTCAAATTTCATTTAGATATTTTAATGAATTTTCAAAATCGACTAACCATAAATTCAATTCCACTAGTTCAAAATTTTTTGAAACGTAAAATTTTCAAGACAAAATGTTTTTTTTTCAAGAAAATTTAGAAACTCACCTGATAATATGCGGCATATCCAGTTGTATCCGGTGCATAAACATTGTATGTGGCTGGTGTCACCGAACTGCAAATCGTCATATTAGAAAAAATAATAATTCAAAATGAGGAGTTAGCCTAACTCAACAGGTGTTTTCCTCCTGCTTATAGTAATTATTGGGGCGACCGCCTTTTTTGCGTGTAATAATAACTATATATTACTTAAGGAAAACGGGAAAAAGGACAGACAACATCTGCGAATTGGGCAAGTATTGTTTCGGTAACCAACATTTAGATAATTATTTTTATAATGTTAATGGGGACAGATTTGATGGAAAATGAGAGCGATGAAAATATTAGTGTGAAAAAACTTGTGAAATTTTCACTGTTTCAAAACTTATACATTTTTTTCAAGTTATCACAGAATAATAATGTCATCGTATTTGTTGATCTTTATGTTTCGAGAAACTTTTCACTGTTTCAAAAAATTAGATAACATTTCTCACAGTTTCAAAGAATTTCAATTCACAATTGTGTGTGTTCCAAAAAATGTGAAGAACTAGAGAACCTCGGCATTGTTGACTACAGGAAGACAAGAATATACAGATGACAGTAATTCTAGAATATTTGAATAAAAAACGAATAATGTTTACACTGTTTCAAAAATTCCATCAACTAATCACCATATTTTTCAGAGATTCTTTGGGTTCTAGATCTCAGTAAAAGTAGATCACTGTAGTAGAGAATTTTAAGATGTATCTTATCAAAACTTAAAAATTTTCAAAATAAATATCAAATGTTTCATCACCTAATGTAATAGACTATACATTTTAGCCTTCCACCATGTGTCTAAGCCACTTCTTAAGTCTGTATAATAACATAAGATGAGACTTGAAGTTGCCGGGTGATGTTACCAATAACAACTCATCTAATTTACAGAACATGTCCAAGGGCAACTGTATCCAAGAAATTTGAAACCCTATCTTTTTTCTTTTTTTAACTCACCCATACATATTATTACATTGTGGTAGATACATAATGAAAATATGTATGAATTCGAAGAAAATTTAAATAATATGTATAGAAAGGTGAGCTTAGGAGAGTTGAAATGAAGAGTGTTTCAAAAATGAGGGGCCGTGCGCGCTCTTCTTTTTTTTTTGACTCATCCATTAAGCATTCTTCTTGTTTCGTCCCTCCCTTAAAAAGGGCATATGCGCTTTTTCTACCGTATCCAAGGGCAATTCTCATTATTATTAGTCCTCTGTTGTATAGTTTCAAAAGCGCCTGATTTATGCATTTTAGTCGGGACCAAATGGCGCATCTTTTATTAGTTTTTTCTTGGCTCGAACGGGTTACTGTAGGAGGCTAAAGAGAAAGAGAAGAAAAATAAGAGGCGAAATTTGAGGAACAAATGAATGGAATACGGTAGGAGGAGGGGAAGAAGAAAAGAAGGCAAAGTTTTGAAAAGAATATGTTTCGAGGGACCAAATACATAAAAATTTGAAACAGTATTTTCTCATGTTCAAGACAAAAAAATATATATTTTAAAGATCTGGGAGAAAAAACCATAATTGAATTTAAAAGTAGTAACATTTTTGATATTACAATTTTGAAACAGTGACTTTCAAATGCAATAATTATTTTTTTAACAATGAGTATTTCTCACTCAAAAATGATTACTATGTTTTGAATCATTGAAAACTATTTTTCAAGGAAGTATTTGCTAATCTTCAAAAGTCTTGTATGAATTGTTGAAACAGTGAAACATTTATTTGGACTACCACCTCCAACTTTGAAAAAAATATTCCACTGTTTCAAAAAATTCCTATCAATTTGTATGAAACAACATCTTTTTAATATCATTTAGAAATTATCCCCAATCATATTTTTTTCAAATTCCCAAAAATCAATTTCCTTGAAATCTTGCAAGCCCAAAACATTTCCAAATGTCTTCCTCCCTTTAATAATCTGCCTAATTTTTCATATTTTCTCGACAATTTTCCTCTTTTTCCTCAAACATCTGCTTCCTTCCAATTTCTTACCTTTTGGAAGAAAACGGAGGTTTAATTATCCGTTTACTAATATCTTCGAGTTAGGCAAGAAAACGCAGGTGGAAGAGAAAAATAACAAGTAAGTACAATAATCCGGTAAGGTTAGTGGACAACCAAATTTCCTTCAAAAATTTCGGATAAAAAATTCCAGAAATCTGACAAAAACACTTTGATACTTTTAGGACAACAAACAAAACCTCAAAAAATGATTAAGAAATTTTTGAAACCGTGAATTTTTTAAACTTTCGAAGAAAAAGAAAACGAACTTCCAAATGTCTAAGGAATCCGTAGAAACCTATTTAATTTTTTAGAACTTAGAAAAATCTGAGATCAGTAGAGATAATGTTCGAAACGCCAAAAAATGCCAAAAACGTGTTCTCAAAAAAAAAGAAAGCAGGTATCCAAGGAGTCATTCTGATCATCATTAGATATATAAACACTCTCCACTCATTCACCACACTTATCTTCATCTTCTTTTTTTTTTTGATAAAAACCACATAGTTACACACACACACGCGTCGGTTGGGAAACGAAACGCGTAGCCGTAGGAACCGTTGCTGCTGTCAGTCAGTTTTCGCTACACGAATAATGTCACCTTGGAGATGGTCGCGCCGGCGTTTCCCGAGACAACCACCCCAACCAACACTTGCCTTCTTTCCATTTCTTCAAATACATTCATTCAAGCTCTCACCTCGTCTTTAAAACACATACACTTATTCATTGAGTCAACTAGTTTTTCAAAATCACAAAAATATGATGAGGAGATGTTTGGATGATTGGATGATTTCATGATTGGAACTTCGAAAGAATCACAGGTTAGTCGCGGGTTCTAATTTAGGTTCAGAACTCTAGGGTTTTTGAGATATAATTTCTAATCGGAACATCATCATACCTATAATCTAATAAACATTTTATCGAAGTATCTAGGTTTTCTAAATTTATTTTCAAATTCTAAGCTCGAGCTTCATTCCGAGAAGATCTGAGTGCAAATAAAATCTTGAACTTTTTTTAAGACATCGCACTTCTATTCGTTCTGAATTTAGAAAACTGATCCACTCACACTGCAGAAATTAGAAGTTGCTTTGAGTTTGAATCGACACTTTTTTTTGTATATCTGATTCGAAAAAATAGATCCCTCGTAAGAACTCCCAGGTTTTCATATTTCCTCCGAGCTTAACCTTTTCCAAATCTGATCATCACATTTTCCTGTTATCTATCTCATCATTTTCTTCCTGTTGAAAAACATTATAGAATGCTTCTTCTTTTTTATGGCGGATAGAAGAGTTTCCAAGGTGACCAAAAACACTTTCTATATATTTTTTTCTTCATCCATTTCTTTTTCATTTCCCCTCATTTCGATTTTTTAACTTACCTTGGATACTCGACAAGATTTGTGAACTCATATTGTGAAGCTGAAACTGTTGTTGTCGGCGTGGCTGATGATGTGGATGTTTGTAGTGTTTCCATGTCTAGAAAGAGATTTTTTAGTGTTTGGGAATTTAGGGGATATTTTTAGGGATCAAATAAATTTACTAATTCATAAAATTTATATTATTCTTCTTCTCTAATTCACATTGAAAAATGAACCTTCAAAAAAATTTACTGTTTCAACAATAGCTGGAAAAAATTTTGTTTGTTTTCTTTCCAGAAAAAATTATGTATACGTAGTTTTTCTCAAAATAAATTTGAAAACAAAATTTCACTGTTTCAAATAGTTTTGAAATAAATTTTGATGGACAACATTTAAATTGTCGGAAAAATATCCAGACTTTTTTATACCAAAAAAATTCACTGTTTCAAAATTATTTCAAATTTTGTCAACCATGGGTGTTTTGTTCATGTGTTGACTCTTTCCTCATTTGATTTTCTGATAATAATTTTTCCCAAATAAATTCTCGTCCCAATTGTTTTCCCGCTTTTCCCAGTCGGCTATTGCTCTAATTATAATAATTTTCGGCTTTTTACCTACAATGAGCCATCTAATAATAGAAGAGGAAAAAGGGATAATTACTATTATTGTCATCTATGAATTTTATAGACAGCCGGTAGGTAGAAAGCCGAAAAAAGAAGATGAAGCAGATAATAAAATAGTGGAAATAAAACCATAATTAGGTATATTGAAACACAAAAAGGCTTCCGGAAACGGTTAAAACACCTCTCAGCAATCCGTCCCGTAATTACATTGTAGAAATAGCGTTTCTGTAACGAGACTAGGGTTCCGATGTGATTACAAACTGTTGATTTTCACTGTTTGTAATTACATCGGAACCCTAGTCTCGTTACAGAAACGCTATTTTTACAATGTAATTACGGGACGGATTGGTGAGCTGTTCTCTTTTAGAAATATGTACTTTGTTTTGGAAAGTCACGAAATTATGAAGCAGTATTTTTTTTAAATAAAAATTTATCTGGAAGTTTATAAACTATTAAAATAATTTATGAAAGCTAAAAAATCGCATTAAAAATTTTCTGATATTTTTTTGTTAAAAATTTCTTGGTTCAACTGTATTCTACCAAATATCACCGTAACAAACTCCGAAAATTCGTAATTTTTTTGAAACAGTGAATTTCTAAGCTTTCGAAAATGATGATAAAATCTGTTAGAGCTTCAAAAAAATTTACAGAATTTTTGAAACAGTGAATTTTTAAGCTATATTTTTCTGATCATTGAACAAGTTTTTCATTTTGATATTTCATAGCATTAACTTTTCGGTTCATACTTTCTCAGATGTTATTGAAACAGTGAAATTTTTGGAACCTTTCTTTACAGTAATTCTAATAAAGTTTAAAATTCAATTATTTTTAATTGCAAGCTGTACATCAAATGAAACATCAGCGTAACACATTTAGAAAAATTACGTATAAGATTTTTGAAAGAGTAAAATTTTCAGAAGGTAAGATTCAAAAAAACAACGTCAAGAGCCCCAGACGAAAACCCCATACCCCCAAAAATAGGATAATTCATATATTTTTCTGACTTTTCGCCTAACTCTCTTTCCTAATCTCTCAATATCGCCTGATATTTCTGCCCATGTATATGTCCACTGATAACTTTTTCTCGAATAATATCAGAAGGCTCTCTCGATGTCTCTGCGCAGCGAAATAGAAATCGATAGAATAAAAGCTGCCTTGTGCTGATATGATAAAAAATATTTCAGGTGGTTTTCACACACACACAGAAATAATTTGAGAAGCGAGAAAAAAAGAGTAGAATAGAATAGGTAGCTCAAAAAAACAACAAGAAAAATTGGAAATGAAAAAATAGTAGGTGAAGCTAATAAAATTGAAATTGAATGGTGTAAAAAGGTGGCGATTTCGAAAGGAAAAAAAGGTGCAAAAGGTTCACTGTTTCAAAAAATCTATATAGTTTCTTACTGGGGTTTATTTAGGCTTTGCTGAATACCTAGTATAGGAACCACTAAAATTATTTCAACAAATTTTAAAAATTCACTGTTTCAAAAATATGTCAAATAAAAATTTGGATAACATTCTTCCATTCTTTTCTCCCAATCTTCTTTCGGAAATATCGAAATTTCAAAAAGTAAAGAGCGCGAGTTGATTAAAGAAAAAATGATTTCAAAAGTTTCTCTCATTATCGACCTTTTGCTCAAACCCCCTAGGAAAAGTACGTTTCGAAAATATTTTATTATCAGCTTCATGAAATACATTTTGCTCGAAAATCTGATAATATATTTTCTCTCAAAATTCACTGTTTCAAAAATGTATCGAATAAAAATTTTCGAAAATATAATTCGATTGATCACACAACGTGAAAATACAATTTCAAAATTTTTTTTTCGAAAAACCTCACTGTTTCATAGTAACTTTGCTCAAAACATTTATCAAAAAAATTCCCAAAATTAACTGTTTCAAAAACATGCCAAACAAAACTTTGATGGTTCGACCCTCAAGTATCTAATATTGTTGATGTTTTTTTTTAATTAACGAAAAATTATTTCAAAAAACTCTCATGAGAATTTTCTGCTGAAAATCTGAAAATATTATTCTAAGCTTGAGAAAATTAGTATTGATTGTAAGAAAAAATAAATATTTTTCCAAAAAAATCACTGTTTCATAATTTTTGAAAATAAATCTCACAAAAGTTTGAAATCAATAACAGTAGTGAGACTTAAAATCAAACATTAACTGTTTCAAAATCGGTTGAAACATAAATTGAAAATCTGAACTTCTATAGATTTTTCAAGGCTCTAACCAATTTTTTCCAAAACCTACCATTCGTAAGTCTTTCCATTTCACAATAGTCTTGTTCATGATGACTTAATGAAATTGTGGCCGGATCAATCAATCGATTTCGAAATTTGTTGTTGTTATCAGAAACCACCATTTTTTTCTCGAAAAAAATGTCCGGTAGAAAATAAATAACAAAATAATCGTAAGTAGCGGTGGGGGCAGAAGAAAATGAAAATGGTGTCGACACACCAATTAGAGAAAAGCTGGGCTCAGCTCATAAGAACACCCGGCTTTGGCTGGCTGGTGCAAAATTCAGGCTCCGCCCATTAACACACCTTATATTATATTATTATTATATTTATTATAAATGAAGGGGAAACGAAAAGGGATTTGGGAATTGAGGGTAGAATTAGGTAGATATAAAAACAGGTGAGAATTAAGTATAGGGGTTGAAATTTTGGAGTGAGTTTCGGCGATTTTATTTATCAAATAAAATAATTATAGATATCTAAATGTAGAATAAGATAGGAAAATATACAAAATTTTGAAAGAGTGAAAATTTTCAGTATATTTTCAGAACATACATTTTTTTCAAATGAACTTGAATCTAATTGTATATAGATTTATTAAATGATTTCCTTGAAACAACGAATATTTTGAAATTGTTTATAATTATTGAACCATCGAATTATTCAACCTCAAAATTATATTTCAAGAAATTTTGAAACAGTGAATTTTTGATTTTTGTCAACTATACAAAATAAATAACTATTTTCCCAAATGAAAAAATTATTTTGTTCAGTAAATGTTGAAACAGTGGAAAAATTTGAATTTTCGATGATTATGTTGTTTTACAGAATAGAAGTTATCAGAAACTTTTGATTCAGGCTTCATGTGATTTTTCAAGAAAATCATGAAACAGCGAAGTTTTTGAAAATAAATGTTCTACATATCAAACTTTTCTGTACATTTTTTTCTAATAATTTTGAAACAGTAATTTTTTCCTAGGAAATTTTTCAAGCAAATTATACGTTTCAGCCTTTCTAACAATTCATTTATTTATTATTCTCGCGTTTTAATAATTCGAATTCCCCTTCTTTAATAAAATATAACAAAAAATGATGTTTACGAAAAAATAGAAAATAATATTTCATTATAGAGACGGAGTAGTTTTTTTTTGTATTTTCGACTTTTTTGTAGCCAAAAATAATTAATTAAAATATGAATATTAACCTGCATGTACCCAAGAAAAGTTCCATTCTACAGTACCCTCAAAGATGCTCGCAATGAATAATTTATCGAAATTACTCTCTTCGATAATTGCTTGACTTTTTCGTTCTTTTGTGTTCAAAAGACAGACAGGTGCATCACATTTTTACCGGAAAACCCGAAAAAGGTTTACAATTAGAAAAATAGAAATGTGTTTTTTTTCCTAGGGGTTTTGGAAAGGTTTCGTGATTTTTGACATAGCAAAAATGATTAATTAGGATGACAAAATTGTTCAAAATGGCAGGTGTTTGATGTTTCACTTACCGTCCTCTTCCTCATCATTTTGTGTATTTTGATCAAGCGATTCCAATTCGGGAATATCACCTCGTTTTTGTTGTGTTGTTGAGGGTTTGGAAGGTTTTGTTGGCATTATGGCACTGGAAAAAATCACTGTTTCAGAATATTTTTAAATTTTCAGGGTTGAAGTAATGGGTGTTAAAATTGTTAATTTGTAATTTATAAAATCCAATGTTTCAATATGTTGATGATTAGTTGACTTAGATTTTCATGGGCTTAGAATAAATGTTTATTTTGAAAAAATTTACTGTTTCAAAATTAGTTTGGAGTTTTCTCAAAAAATTATTTCATACATTTTTATGGAAAAAAAATTACGGAAAATTTTTTTATTTATTGAAAATTCCAGATTCAAAATAAATTTTAAAACACTGTTTCAAATATTTTCAAATAAGTTCATAAAATTTTTCTACGATTTCTCGACAAGTCTAATGTAACTAACAAAAATAGACATCGCAAAAAATTATCTCGAAAAATCCACTGTTTCAGAATTTTAATGAAGAGTTCTATCAGACTTTCATAATAATACATCGAGGCTGTCCTAATTTTTATTGAAACATTTCCTGTTTCAAAATATGATTTTCTTCATAACAAATTATGATTGAAAAAAATTTCCAATAAGAAAAAAAAACTAGTTAACGGCTAGCTAGTGGATAGCCAATATCACATTTGTTCACAATTTCCATGTAGGTTTTCTTCTTCTTCTTCTTTTTTTTCCTCCATCTGATTTTTCTATTATAAATATATATGTATATTTCTTCATTTTTCAACAGCTCTTTCTTTCTTTCCTTTTTTGTTGTCAAGGGCAACCGGAAATTCTCAATATTATCACTCTCTGCTTCTTTCTCTCACTATTTTATTGTTATGTGTTTATGGGGGAAAGAAGGTAGCTGAATGAATGGAAATTTGAAGGAAAAGAGGAAATTAGAATGGACTTTTTCGGGGGATTTTCGAGGGAGTGAGAACAATAGAACAAATAATGAAAAGATAGATGCTGAAAGAGATTAGAGATGTCTGGAAATTGAGACTTTCAGATTTCAGACATTCCAAAACTCGTGCTAATCAAGTTCTTGATAAACTATTCTTGAAACCAGATTTTTTGAAACTAGGTTTTTAAGAGAATAATATTATTGTTAGCGATACAATCAGTTCCGAAATTCAAAATTGTTTTTTGTTAAATCATAATTTTTAACGGAATTTTTAAAAAGTCCATTTTGAGTAAACAAAACATTTAAGATTTTATCTTGATGTCTTGATCTTTCGTATTTCTCTGGATTCTCGTTCCCAATAATATACTATTTTATCTCCAAAATTTTTTATGAATAGTTTTTGAAACAGTGATATTTTATTTTTTGCAACATTTTTGTACGGACCATTTTTCTAATTGAGTTGAAGATGTTTTGAAGAAAATTGAAACAGTGAATATTTTCCAATAATCTAGAGAGATGGAAAAAAAGAAATCACTGATACAAAAAACTTTTGAAACAAAAATTTTCAAAGCCACAACTTCAAAAGTATTTTTCCTTCAGAAATTCCTAATTTTTCATTTTATGAAATCAAAGAAATAATTCTGATAATTGTAGAAGTTTTGAGAAACATCCGGGATTTTAAAATCCCTAAATTATTTTTTTATTAATTTGGTTATAGAAAATGCCTATTTTCCCTCAGAAAAATTCCAATGGGATTTTGTTACAATGCTATTTTATTCATTTTCTTTTATTGAAGATTGTTTTTTGAAACAGTGAATTTTTGAAAATATACTTTTCAGAAAACGTCAGCAATTCAAAGAATTCATCAGTATATATCCAACAAATAATTAGATACAACTTTAATCAAAAAAATATCGGCTTTTTTGAAACAGTAATTTTTTTCTTTTCATAATTTATACAAAAAATTCTGACCAACCTTTGTTTGAGCAATTTGAGAAAATTCGAAGATTTGAATTTCTTCCTCCATAATGCATCAATATCAAAACTCGCGCGTTTTCCAGGTTTTCCATTCGAGATTCTGAAAAATACAGTATCCTTTACAGTACCTCTCAAATTTTCTCGAAACCTCTCAAAAACTCACAAGCAAATTTTGTCTTCTACCGTACCACTTGTACTCGCAACTGGTTCTTCCTCCTCTTTTTCCTCTTTGGTCATTTCCCCTGGCCACCTGGCTGTTTTCCCCTGAAAAAACATCTAGTTAGACCAAAAAATCACAAATATTTTCAGCGACGTATCCATGACAACACAAAAAGCACAAGAAAAGCATGGAAAAAAGAAAAGGAGGCAAAAAGAAACTAGCCAAGTCGATAAAATATATATATATGAGCGCAGCTAGCTAGTGAGTGTGTTTCTGTGAGCGACGAGTGTGAGTTCCTTTTTCTTTTATTTTCTTCTTCTTCTCTTTTTACCCATCCGGATATTTGTTTCATTTTCATTTAATAAGGTCCTTCTCATTAATCCTCTTTGTCTTCTTTTCATTCATTTTTCTATTTTATGGCTCGAATTTTCATTCATTTACGGTTAAAAAACCATTGAAAAATGAAAAATTTGAACTTTTTTTATTGGTGAAATGACCATATGCGCTCCATTGCGAACACACGCGACGCTCACGAAATTGTTCATTTTGAATTTTTCGAATTTTTTCAAGGTTTTCCCAATGTTTCCAAGCTTTGTAGGTGGTTTTAGGAATTGAGATTGATCTAGAAAAATAGAGAAAATTCGTTAGATGTTCTTGAAAAGTTCTAACTTGTGTTTGAAGATAGTTTTTTCCTTAAATTGTATTTTTTCAAGTTTTACACGTTTTCTCGTCAATTACCCAATTTTCAGAAATGCTCACGATATCAAAAACCAAAGGAGGCGGAAGATTCCGCGCGCCAACCGATCAGGCGAGAAAACAAGATCGGAAGCGGGAAAACAAGCGGAATAAGAAAGATCGGCAACAAATTCGACAGGCTATGGCAAAGTTCTGCAATTTAGAAGAGACCACAAGTAAACTGCTGCTTTTGGAGAGACAAGGTGAGGCTTGACTTTTAAAAATATGAGAAATATCGAATAATCAATATTATTTCAGTTCTTGGCCTCGATCCTCAACCATTCCACATCGATGTATTGAAAAAGAAGCAAAAGGTGTTGACGGATCTGATAAACAAACGAAGAATGACACTTCAACAAGCAAAAGATGATGAGGAACTCAAAAAATTCAACGAGAAATTGCAAATTTATCATGCAGATTGTAAAAAACTTGCAGTTCTTGCTGAACAAGCCAGATTAGCCAGAGAAACATTACCAGAAATGATTCCTCTACCTTCTGGAGATATGCTTCCACCATTACCACAACAAAGTTCAATGATGCCGGTAAAGTAAGAATTTCAAATGTTTGTTTTAATATTCAAACCAAACACGTTTCTCCAGGAAAAAAGTCGATTTCCAACTTCCATCTCGAGCTCCCCGAAGTGGCCAAAAACCACCAGGTCCACCTTGCGGAGTTGCACCAGAATATAGTGATGATGAAGAGGATATGATAGATGAACCGCATTTTGATGAAGATGATCTTGGACCGGTGCCAATTCCTGAATTCGAGCAAAGGCATCATCCAGTTTATCCGCCAATGTATAGAAATCGTAAGTTTTTGCTTGTTTGTTGTTGAAAAAATGAGTTATGAGGTGGCAGAGTTTAAAAGCAAGAGTTCCTTTTCAATTTCATTTACTCAAAAAATCCAACAAAATCACAATCACCACATTGACAATCAACACAATCAAGCCACCAATGAAAAATAAAACCATACAACTTATAATTCCCGGATCTGTAAGAACAAAATTAGAAATCTTCAAAATTTCTAAACTAAACTTACTTTCTCCGAAAATTTCTGAAACGGTGTGCTCATAAAGCAATTGTTTCGCAGTAACAGTTTTTGGTTTTTCAGTGCTAACTTTTTGTTTGAAATTATCCAATACTTTTTGAGTCTTTTTAATCTCATCTCTTGCCACAGAATTTTTCACATTGGGTGATATTTCAGTAATATTTTCGGGTGAAAATGGAGATGAACATAAATTCCATGGGGTTTCAATAGCTGCACAATTTCTCAAATATGGAAGAGTTTCTTGATGAATTGATTTTGCATCAACTAGAAAACATAATTTGGTCAAATAATCGATTTGATCCATATATCGAAAACCAGAAATTGATGAATTTTGCGAAGTTATCTCAACTCGATTTGTCGAATAATAACAATCAGATTGACCACTACCACTACATGGATAATATTTAAAGTTTGCCAAAGTTGTTTGATTCGTCATTTCTAAGTCGCAATTTTGACCTGAATTATCCTCATTTTCTTTCGGAAATGAGTTCAAAGTGACTCCTCTCGGTAAATTAGGAATTTTCACTGGATCCTCATTTCCATATGAATTCTGAAAATAACCAAAAAGCCCAAAGTATGTTGGAACCCAATATCTCCTCATTTTCCCAATAATCAATGTATTATCTTTGATCTCATAACCAAAAGCTTTTTCGGTTCCATATTTGTATTGAAGATCAAAATCGACTTTCTCTCTTCCAAAAACATGAAACATGAAATTTTCGGCCCAATCAGTTTTCTTAGCAAAACTCAATTGTTTTACATCAGTAAGTCCATTCCATGGTGAAAATTGTTCGATTATTGATCTTTCGAAATCTCGAACTTCTTTTGGTGTTTCTCGCTTTATCGTTTTGTTTACGTGATAGGTTTTCTTCAGTCCACAATTTCTTAAAAACGTTGTTATTTAGAGTTAAATTTACCCTAGCAAAAAATACTCACTCATGATAAACTATATCGAAAATGTCTAAATTATCAAATTTAACAATATCTGATTGATGTCTGGATTTCAATGAAAGTGATATTTCGGCAATTAGATCCGGTTCATCCTTGTGAACATGTATTAGTTTAACTCTTCCATCAACAAATCGAATTTGAATTTCAAAATAGTCAGAAGAGTCGATTTTACTAATAACTGGTTGAACATTCATTTCAGTATGAGTTGATAATTTGACTTGGAAATCGGAAAAAATTTCAATTCTGGCGAAATAAAGAGATTCGTCGTTGGAAACAACATTCATAATGGTTGTTGTTTTTGATGGATCTTTTCTGAAAAAATAAGAATATTGGTGAATGTTGCTTTTCCTTCAGATATTCTCAAACTCACATTTTAAAAGCAATATAAATTGCACTATTCTCCCCAATCGACTTCTCCAATCTCACTTGATTTTCCAATCTCAATTTTCCCATACTTTTCGCTTGAATATCATTCAAAATTCTTGCTAATTCCGATTCATAAAATTCCACACAAACCACCTTTTCTTGTTCCGCCAATTCAGATAACATTAAAAATTCATCAATTGTTCCATTTTTCATTTGACAAGTTGATTGTGATAAATAATGTTCACATATTATAAAAGAGTGTAGAAATAGAAGATGGATAAAAATATAGTTTAGAATTTGTGATTGAAATATTTTTATGCTGAAGTTTTTCATATTTGTTTTTGTTAGAAATAGCTCTATTCTGCTTTTTTTTAATTTGGTTTTTTTGTTGTTGAAAAATTGGGTCACGCGAAAAGGAATATTGTCATTTAAATTTTTTTTTGGAAAAATTCTCCATGAAATTGGTCTGAAAAATGCAGTTTCAGGAGCAGAAACATCTTTCCTGATTAAAAAAAATTAAAATTAATTTTTCAAAAATCTAAATTTTATTTATATCCAATATTTTTGCAGCTGGACCTGCTTATCCTCCGCGTGTTCCTCCACCAATTCCACAATATATGCCACCACAACATGCCTATAATCCAATGGGTTTCCAATCTCATCATCCAGCAGATAATGCTGTAATTTCTTCGGCTCCTCAAATAAATCGATCTTCGGTTCCTGGCTCTCATAATAAACCCGTTCAAGCCGTTATGTCTGCCGCACCGGAATTACGAAATCTTCGAAAAGAAACTGTTAAATTGGTTCCTGCACAATTGATGAGAAAAACAGAAAAAGCACCGAATCGACCGATTGCTCAGACTAAACGAAGACCTGAAGCACAACAAGCAAAAAGTACCGATGAAGCTTATAATGATTTTATGAAAGAATTGGATGGATTAATTTGAATTTGAATTTTTATGGGTATTTTCTGAATTTCGTTTTTGTTTAATGAATAATATTATTGCTCAGATTAAGATGTTATTATGTTGTTTTTGCATGTTTTGATTGCTTGCTTTTATATCGCTTTTTTGTGTGCTTTTTTCAGGGAAATGTTTTGTTTACATTGTTTTTCAGATTAAAGTTACAGAAACTACGGTCTAGTTGAAATGTTTAATTCGAAAAAAGTCATTTTTTTTATTAACAAATTTACTGTTTCAAACAAATGAGAAACATTTCGAAAGTTCAAAATGATTTTCTTGACGAAAATTAAACTTTCAGGTTCTGAACCCAAAAAATATCAAGTTTCTTTTTTATTTTTAGCCAGAAAGGTGCAATTTTGAGCTTAAATTGTATCCAAATATAGATTTTTCAGTTTTAATTGCTGAAAATAAAAAAGGAAAAGGAGGGGGTGCCCCCTTCAGATATTTTCAAAAATAAGGGGTTGTACTGACGGATTTGAAATGGGGCGTTTGAAAAGAGCAATTTTTTAAACCCTAGTTCACTCCAAATTTACCATTTCCCTTCCAAAAAATCTAGAAATTAACCTGTAAAACTTTCGCTCTTCTAATATTATTTTTTTCTCTCACATCTCATTCTTTTTCCTTTTTTCTCTGCCGTCTCCTCCCTTTCAAATACAAACATTTTTTCGTGCACGACGAGAGATAACTAATGTTTGAAGAGACGACAGACAGAAAGAGTGTGTGGTGGCGTCTCGCAACGAAAAAGATCGATTCTTTTCGTTGCAAGACACACATACACCACTTTTTTGTTCTATATTTTTCGTTTTTTTCTCTTTTTCATTGGTTAATACTACTTTTAAACTGAAAATAACTTGACTATTTTCAGATTGATATATAAATTAATAAAAAATGACTGGAAGAGGACAATCTCTGCGGTCCGGTAAGTTGAATTCAAAATTTTTTAACCATTTGAAATTTTAATCAATTTCAGGTTCGTCACTCCGTCAGACCAATCTTCTAATGAATACTGTATATCCGATGGAATCGCCGAGAAGAGCAAGAGGAAGACCGAGAAAATATCCATTGACTTCACAATTACAACTTCCTAATGAACAACTTGAAGGTGGAGAACAGGTAAAATTGGAGTTCAGTGGTTTCTGAGCCACTGAAAACAATAAAAAATTAGCCAACTTCACTCTGAAGATGAGTAATAATGTGGCAAAATCTACTATTTGAATTTCAAGATAAGATCTTTACTCTTGGAAATTTATGAAATTGAATAAATAATTTAAATCACGTGAAACGTGTATTTGTTGCTTTAGAATCATTTCTCATTTTATAAATTGAGTGAATTGAGTTAATCTTTGGCTAACTTCCCTGAAAATGAATATTTCAAAAAAAAAAATCACAAAAATTCTCCCAGAAAAAAAATCTTCCAACAAACCCTCACAAACATTCAAAAAGACTAGATTTTTCCTAGTCCCTGGACTTTTTTCCTACAAATCTCCCACGTTCCTAATATTCCAATTTTTTCAGCATTACGTTGAAGAAGAAGGCGAAGAAGTTTATTATGAAGAGGAAGAAGCTGGAGAACTTCAAGAAGAACAAATTCACGGAGAAGAACAAATAATTGAAGAAGAAATGATTGTTGAAATGGAAGAACCACAAATGGAAATGGAACTTGAGACTGGACAAGAAATTGAAGGAGAAGAACATCAAGATGAGCAACAGCATCAGAAAATTCGCGAAATTCAACAGCAAAAAATGATGATTGTAACACCTTTGGGTGGAAAAAGAGGAGCTGCGAGAGGAAGGCCGACAACGAAAAAAGGATCAAAAGAAGAACAAGAAGAAATGACAGTAGCTGGAAGTGAGTTTGGAGTTGGACAAGAAATCGAAATACAACAAGAAGAAGAGGGAACATCGACAGATCAAAAACAACAACAACAAGAATTTGAAAGACAATATTCGAAGAGACAACGAAATCCACCAAAAAGATTTGTTGATGAGTCTGAAATTCGAGGAGCTGCGAATATTATTGAGAAACAGAATAGTTTGATGGCCGGAGGTGTTCAACAGAATGTGCAGAAGCAGCAGCAGAATCCAGCAGAGGAGACTATTGAGCCGCTTTTACCGAATGAGGCACACATTGAAGAAGAGGTTGAGGTTACCACGAGTGAATCGGTTCAGAATGAAGAGGTGAGGGGTTTTTGAAAATTTTACTGTTTTAAAAAATATTAGAAAATAGATGGATCCAATAATTATTTGAGAATTTTTAATTTTTAAAAATATACTATTTCAGAAAAATTATAAAATAGCTAAACTTTTCTCTGTTACGAACTGTTTTTTTTTGAATTTTTCGTTCCAAAAAATACTGTTTCAAAAATTTCATCAAATTTTCAAAGTTTTCTTTTTCTCATTATCCTTATTGCATCGGCAGCATATATTTAGATAATCACAAAACGAATTTCACAGGAATTCATGTTTTTTCTTTGAAAAATATCGCTGTTTCAAATATTCTCTCTAAAAATATTTGTTTTCAGTCACACTATTCTTAGATCATCAATCTAATAATAATAATATTTATTCATAAAAACGATATGGGAAAACAATCTCAAAAATTAACTGTTCCAAAAAGTTTTTACAAAAAAAACAAGTTTTTGAAATTTATGAGAAATGTATGTTTTTCTCTAAACAACTTTTCGAATTTTAACTGTTTCAAAGATTTTTGATACGATTTTTGAATTGCTCGATTAACGTTATATCTACATTCTTTTTGAATAAAAAATCCAAATAATTTTCCAGAAACCTACGTCAACTGCCGCCATTTCTCAACCCGAACAAAAATATGATCAGCCACCTCCACAACCATTACTCAAAATTCGTGGAAGACCAACACACTCGTCACTGGTTCCACCACATAGAAGACCACTTCCAAAGGATTTGGTGCCGCCTGGAATTCCAGTACAACATGTTCAGAAAAGAGCAGCGACTGTGAATGTTGTGAGAGATGTTAAGAAATGTGAGTTTTTTAAAGGGAATTTTATAAGGGATCTTGGAAGAACTCAGAAAATTTTTAATAAAGAAATTAAGATTTTCTTAAAATTTACGAAATCTCGTAGTTTTTATTCTCATCCTTTTCCAGTAAAAATTGAAAAACCACAAGCTGATCAACCACAACAAGAACAACAGCAAGTTCAACAAGAATCAGCTCCTTCTTCATCGTCTTCAGCAGAAGTTCCATCTCAACCAAGCCAACCTGAAACATCTACTGAACAACCAACTCAAGAAGATGTTCCGATTCCACCAACAACATCTGACACTGCTCCAACACAAGTATTTGAAGAGAATCTTCCATCAACTTCTGCCTCTTCTTCTCAGCCTCCACAACCACAAAAAACACTGTCTATTCCGACTTTGGAGCAAAAGAAAAAACGAGAAGCTGGACAAGATTTGCCATTTGAACATATGCCAAGACAAAGAGCACGGCATGTTTCGAAAGCTGGAATTTTGCCAAGTTCTAGTTATGATGTGGGTTTTATTTGGGGCGTTCGAGAAATTGATGAAAATTAAGTGCCAACATTTATTTTTCCATGAAAAACTAGATTATTTTGAAAAATTCACAATTTCCTGGGAATTAATTGTTTTAAAATTCCAGAATCATTTCGGCCGAGATAATAAAACAATTTTGAAACAGTAAAATATTCGAGGAAAAACATTCTCAAAAAATTCAGGCAATTTTCTGAAACAGTAAACTTTTGAAGAATCAATGTTTTTTTTTTCAGCAAGGAAAATATGAGATGCCCGGTGACGTCATCGTCGAACACACTCATCACGTCATAAATCATCAACAAAATCCAGAAAATCTGCTTCATTTGGAAGACGGCGAATATATTCAAGAAGAAGAAATGGAACATCATCAAGAAACTGTTGAATTATTAGAAAATGAACAGAAATCACCAACAATGATGAATCAACCAAGATATATTGAAGTTGAGGAAAATGGAGTGAAAGTTGTTTATGAAGTTCAGGGAGAAGAAGTTGATGAAAGGGAAAATATTGTGGGAGATGGAGAGGGAGATGATATTGTAACAACTGAATTTGTTATTGAAGATGAAGATGAAGGAAGAATAATTCAACAAGAAGTTGGAAATGATATTGTAGAAGAAGGACAAATAATTGAAGGAAATGCGGAAGGAGAAGAAGAAGATGATGATGATATGCCACCACAATTAGTTCCCGAAGAAGTTCAAGATGATGAAGTTGTTGCGGAAGCTCAGAAAATGCATGATATTAAAAGAATTGAGGAAGAAGATGAAGAAGTGAGAGAAGTTGTTGAAAATGAAGAGGGACAACAAGTTGAAGAGGATGATTTGTTGAATTATAATATGGAACCGGGACATACTTTTAGATTGAATTCGCCGGGTGGAAGATCGCATGAAGTTACGCTGGCAAGAGATCAAGATGGTGAGGGTTTTGGCACCTTTTTTGCCGCAGAAAATTTAAGATATATTTCTAAAAAAAAATGTTATTTTTAATTTTACCAACAAAAAAATGACTCAGCAAATTTCGCATTTTTCACAGGCAACAATGTGTTCATCGATGAAAATGGTGTTGTCGTCGAACTTGTCACCGATCAAGGAACTCTTGTTGAACCAACTGGTGTCATCGAAGGAGAATTGCAACAACAAATTCATGAACAAGAACAAAGACAAGTGGCTGAAACTGTCGAAAGAGTGGCTGGTGGAAATGTTGGCGGAGGAACAGCTGGCGGAGCACAAAATGAACAACATCGTGAGTTGTTTTTGTTTCAATAATGAAATAATGGTTATTATACTGATTTTGAAGTTGTGTCAAGAAATCATATCAATTTTTGAAACAGTGGAAATTTTTATGGGAAAAATATTTTGGCTTCGAGAAAAATAATATTTTTGTCACTTTTTTGAATGTTATAAGTTCAACATTGAAAACAAAATCATTGAATTTTTTGAAAAATATTATTTGAAACATGTTCTTCAAGAACGAAATTTTGAAGTTCGAAAAAATATAACAATTTTCTGAAACCGTGAAAAAAATAATATTTGAGAACATTGTTTTTCTCTTGATAGAAAACCACTAACATTTTTGCACCGAAAATTGAAATCACTAAATGTGTAAATTTCAAATTATCTAATTTTTTTACCAATAGAAACACGTTTTTGTTGGGAAAAAACGGTTTTATTTGATAGAAAATCACCAATTTCGAAAAAAATTGAATACATTTTTGCAACAGTAGAAAAAAATATCTTTGTTTTTCCATAAAAATAAAAAAAAGTTATTTTTTTGCAGCGGACATGGATGATTTGCGAAACGTGGAATTCAACTTCCTCGATACTCGAAATATTTGTTGTGGTCTTTGCGGTGAAATTGTTCTCTACGAAACTTTGGTCAGCGATCATCTTCCAAATGCACATCCCGAATTTCTTCAACCCGGTGTCGAACTCGAAGAAGTTCCCTATGAGAATTGGCTCAAATCACGTCTTCGACAAGAATCTCAATCAATGAAAAACGGATTTCGAAGTTATGATGAAGCGACTGCTGGAGTGGCTGGATTTGGAGGAGCTGTTCGATTATTTTCGCGTGGAATGAGACATTTAAGAAAAGTCAGTCAGATACGAGTCAATCCAATGGAAATGACAATGGAACAATTGGATACTGCTCTGAACAGGAAAATGATTGAGAAAATGGGAAGAAAAGTGCCGGTTACACTTATTGATCGATTACATGCGAGATGTGATGTTTGTTCGGCGGTTATTTCGTTAAATAAGAAATTTGAGGTGAGAAAATGGGTTAAAAATAGAGAAATCGAAAAATTGTGTTCATCAAAAATTGACTGTTTCAAAAATTTTTCGAATATCGAACTTTTTCATCAACAATTTTGAAAAAAGCGCGTGCTTCTGAATTTAAATGAAAAAGCTTTTTTTTTTCGGAAGAATCTTATAATTTTTTGTCAATAGAAGATAACAAAGTTATCAATTTTTGAAACAGTAATGTTTTTGAAATCCTCAAAAATTGTGTATTAAAAACAGAATATTGAATTCCAAATTTTTAAAAATTATCTTTTGAAACGTACATATTCGGTTTTCCAATTTCTCATTTTGTTTTTCTTCCAGATAGTTCATCTTGTTCGACATTTCAATGCGTGGCATCCATCGGAGCATCGTTGTTCAAATCAATGGAAAATTCAACAACCCGATATGATTCCACCGCAACAAAAAATGCTCTCATTACACGATTTTGCAGTTGTTGACACCGAATCTGAACAGAATAATTTGCAATGTATTTGGTGTGGAATGTTTATGGATCGAGGTGCTGTTGGAATGCATTTTAGCGAAGTTCACGGTGATCAAGTTGAAGTTCCAAAATGCTCACTTTGTTTGCAAGAAATGGTGATGTGCGCGAGATTGATGGAAAAATATGGAGAAGATTTTGGAATTACACTTCCTGATGAATTTCATGTTCAAAGTTCGAGATTGGATTCGAAATATAATTCGGAAAAACAATTGGATAAGGTAGGCGAAATTTTTTTTTGGAAAGCCAATTTTCAAAATTTATTTTTTGTTTTATTCATTCACCGGACCGCTGCGAAAGAATCTAAAAAACAATAAAATTATTTTTGAAGCAGTGAAAAAATTCAGCCCAAAAAATATTTTTGGTTTGATTTTTTAAATTTTGATCTGATTTCATCAATTATGAAATTAGCTCAAAATAAAATTAAACTACGTTCAGAAACAGTTAATTTTTGTGAACAAAAAACATTGAACTATTCAGAATTTGAAAAACATAAAATCCTGAAAGTTTCTGAACTTGTTAATTAATTTTTTGAAACAATAAAAAACTGTCAATTTTTTCTATCTATTTTTCGAGAATTTTTAAATTAAATTTTATATTTCCGGTTATTCCATTAACTCTGAAATCAGCTAAAAAAATTAACTAACTTTTGAAACAGTAAATTTTTATGAACCAGAAAATTTGAATTAATTGGAGTTTCATTTAATTTCCATAAAATTTCACAATTAAATTGCTACAATATCAAAATTCAGAATGAATGGAAAATTAGAAATTGCATTTTTGAAACAGTAAATTCTACAAACCCTAAAAAATTTTTGATAAAATTCTTTCGGTTCAAAAAAATTGCAGATTTTTAATGATTGAAGATTGTAAAATTCCAAAAAGAATAATATTTACAATTTAATTGTTTTTTCCAGGCAATCGAGCGATATTTGAAACGTGTACGAACCGGTCAAGATGTTCAAGATGACGAAGAAGATGGTGAAACTGGAAAAGATATCATTTGTACAACAAACAGTCAACAATCATTTGGTCGAAGAAATCGAATGAAACGAAAATTCGTCAAACCATGTTTCCGTCAAATTTGTCCAACAAATTCGCAATATTTCGAAGCATATTCAGCTTGTGAATGGAAATGTCGATTGTGTGATCGAGAAGTTTATGGAGCTGTTATTTCAGCCGGAGCAATCAAACATTATAAAGAATTTCATCCGGCTGAATTGGAAAATATGCAATACGAATTGGTGAAAGCGAGATTAGAAAGAATTGGAGATGGTTCAATGGAATTTGTGCATCCACAATTAGTCGAATGTTTGATATGTAATTTGACATATGCTTTGCATAAACCATTTAATATATGTCGAGCAATTCGACATTTACGATTAAAACATCCAGAAGTTATGCCTGAAACAAGTGGAAAACCGATTAGTGGAGCTGATGTGCCAGAAAGTACTGAACAAGAACCAACTAGACAACGAACATCGAAGAATTTGAAAAATACGAGAATTGTTTTGGGAGATGTTATAACTGAACCATTAAAATTGGAAAGATTTAGAAAAGAGCATGAAGGAACACAATTTGATAAGGTATGGATTTTTTGGGGGAGAAGAGCGCAATGAAAAAACGCTGGTTGAGTAATATATTTATTATTAAAAACATTTTGAAACAGTAAATTTTTATTAAGAAAAACATTGTTTTTTTGGTCCAAAACTTTTTGTTTGCAAAAAAGAGTTTCGGACCAAATGTTATTGTGATACTAAAATTTCTTTTGAAATTCTAATGAACAAATTTTGAAACAGTAAAATATCCTGAAAAAATAATTTTGCAGGTTCAAATAATTTACGGCGTCAAACCAAACAACGAACCGAGTTATATTTTATTGGCTGAACATGAAATAATGGATCAAAAAACAGCGGAAGCTGTTGCCGAATCAATGATTGAAACAGAAAAAGCGGCAAATGAGAGTCGACTTCGTGAAAGAAAACCAATCGATATGTATTTGGATGATAATAATTCGCAAGCACAAAATGAAAATGTGAGTTTTTTGATACCCAGAATTTTTGTTTGAAAAACTTCACTGTTTCAAATTTCTTTTTCAACCAATTCCAAGTAATTTTATTGATTCATCTTTCATCGAAAGCTGTAAAATAGAATGATTCCAGGACTTTGAACAAAACGCCGAAAACGTCGAGGAAGAAGGAGAAGAAGTGGTTTATGAAGAATATCCGCCGCAAATTGTTGATGGAAATGGAGAAATGGTTGAAATGGTTGAGGAGAGCAAAAATGTATTGGTAAGTGTTTTTTGGGCTTTATTTTCGAAACAGTAAATTTAAAAAAAAAAGCTTCAGTTTTATCAATTTTTTAAAATCAAATTTACAAATTATTTTTTGCAGCAATATATTCAAGGATACGACGGGCAAGGACAATCGGGTATTATTGAATTGGAGGATGGAAATGTTATGGTGGTTAGTTCTTTTTATCGACTAGTATTCTCCGCCTGTAAAGTGACATTTGTGAGATTCTCAGGTTTCTCGGGATAATGGTTCATAGGAAAAACCTCTAGGATCTTTAAAAAACCCCGGATCTTTAAAAACTTTTTTACCGGGAAGTACTGTAAGTTTTGCGCATAGTTTTTTCTGTTTGGTGCATTCATATTTTTTCAAGGCAATTTTTTTTCATTGAGGAAAGGGATTGTTTCCATCAAATTATTCATCTATAGTTTTGTTTTTGAAAGATTTTTGAAACAGTAGGATTTTTTGAGAAATTTAAAAAACAAAAAACTCTAAAAATCTTACTGTTTCAAAAATAAATATGAATTTTTAAATGTTTCTATTCGCAAAACGTTCCTAAAAATCCACATTATTTTACAGCAAACCGATGAACACGGAAATTATCACGAAATAATCGATTCATCAAACGGAAATGTTCAAGAATTTGTTCAAGAAGTTGTTGAAGAAGGAGATGAACGTGTTCAATATATGACAGAAGAAGAATTGAGAGATGCTGAAGCGAGAGGAGATATTCAAATCGAATATGTTGATGCACAAGGTGCACTTTTACAATTTGAAGATGTTGATGATTTTCATCATCAATAAATACACCACATATCTTTCTGTTATATACTTTTATTCGAAATTTGTTAATTTTTTTGTATTTTCTGAAAAATCATTCCTTTAATATTTTTTTCTTCTAAATTTATTTGTTTGTTTCTTTTTCCTCTGTTCTATTATGAAATGAATTAATTTAGAGTTCCCAAAAATATTGATTTTTTCGAGTGAAAAGGATTGGCCACGTGGATTCTTAAGTTCCAGAAAATCTCATTTTGATGTACAAATCTATCATTTTCGGGTGCATCAAAAGCCACGTATTATCAAAATTCATGTATTTATTTTTTAAAACAGTAATTTTAAAAATCAAAAATTCACCGCTTCAAAAATATAAGTTTAAAAAAAATAGTAAACTGTCAAAATTTTCAGACAAAATGTCACTGTTTCAAAAAATGTAGATTTTTTTCTATCTAATTATTGTTAAACCAAAAATAAATCTCAGAAATGCAAATTTTTGTTTTTGGTTTTATGTAAAATCAACGAGTTCAATTAAGTTTTTTGTTTTCGTGGGAGTTTTTTCTATCAAAAATTCAATTTTGAACCAGAATTCTAGGTATTCCATTTTTTCTAGACAATCTTCGAGTTTTTCTAATTAGCAAAATCAAAACACTATTTAAATTTCAGTTTTCGTTGTTTTTTTTTCTCAAAATATGTCTTATCTCATTGAAATTTTTTTGTCTGAAATTCCTTGGATTTCTCGAAATCTCTCTGAAATTTCGTATAATGTTCCTGGATTTCGAGAAGTTTTAAGCTCTCAAAATCGATATTGTTTCTATTTCGAATTGTTTTTACTATTCCCATCCATATTTTTTCTATCAATTTATGCTTGGTTGATAACAATAATTACGGTTTTTCATAAGAATGTGACAATTTTGCTGATTTGGGCATTTGTTTGGTATTTGGTCGGATCGTTTGCGCGAATATTTATTTTGACTGTTCAGTTGAATATTATTGAAGGTTTGAACATTTACTTGTCTAACCGCCTTTAAAAATAACTAGATTTTCCCTTATTTTCAAAATCTTATAATATTTTTATGTTTATAGATGAATTCCCAATTATCATGTTTTTGGCAAATTTTGTTAGAATTGAATTTTATATGAATTCCGCGTTGACAATTCCAATGGTAGTCATAGAACGGTAGAAAAAACATTATTTGTTTAAAAAAATAAAACATTCAAAAATTTGCAGATTTCTTGCAACTCACTTTGTCTCAGATTATGAGAAAAATCATCGATTATGGATCAGTTTTTTATTTATTCCTGCATTTTTCATATTTTCACAATTTCCGACTTGTTGTCTATTCTTCAAAAAAGTTACTATTATTTATGTGGCCTTTGGAATATTTATTTCCTGCGGATTTTTAGGATCTTTCTTCATTTTGTATTTGGTAAATCTAAAAAAATTAGAGAAAATAAAAAGGAATTCGAGCGAGTATACTTTGAGTAAAAAATATCAAATTGAAGAGAATTTGAAGATTATGTGGGTTAGTTTCATTCAGACTAGATTTTGAGATAATTAGAAATATTTTGAAAAATTAACTGATTCCACCAGGAACGCAATTCTCTAATTACAGTATCTTCAACACATTGGACTTTCAATAATACTCTTTGTATTTTTATTTTCAATTGTTATAATATTTCCTTGGACACCTTTATTCAATATTCAACTAAATATATCTGAAATCATAATTTACCTTGATGTATGCATTGCTGGGTACATTTTTCCTCAAAAAATCCTGACTTAAAAGCCTTTTTTCAGTTGTGCTGTTATTGTATCGCTCATAATATTGTACACACTTTACACATCTGAAAACTCTGCATTTTCGCGAAAAATTCAATGGCTTTTCAGAATTTCTATTCCAGATCGGAGAATTCGAATATCGCCAATTTTTCGAAATGAGACAAACATTTATTTTGATCAGCTACAAAATTCTTGGAAATGAACTTGGATTTCAAAACATTTCAGTGAAAAAAATTTCAAAAAATCATAAATGTTCAGAAAAAATGTCACTGTTTCAAAAATATTGCATATTTTTATGATAAATTGAAAAAATTGATTACTTCTGTTTTAATAATGATCCAATATTTTTTTTTATTCTTTTGATTAGTACCACTGTGCCTAATTTTGTTATATCATACATGAACTAGTGACTTCGGGGACCATTGTGCCTTCCGGCGAAGTTTTCGAAAATTTAACCACTCTAGCCTTTTTTTGCTGGTTTTTGACCCTTAAAGCAATAAAACCCCAAAATTTTCAGAAGTTAAATAAAGGCCCTGACAAAAAAAAATTGTCCAATATTTCAAGTAAAACAGTTTCATTCATTCATTCAGTCAATCAATCAATCACTTGTAGTATCTCTTTTTGCCTTCTTTTTCGCCACTTTGCTCACAGATTTCTCACTTTTCTTTGATATTTTTTCATCCGATTTTGATCCAGATCTCGATCTTTCACCACTCAATCTCTCCAAACTTTTTCGATAAAACAATTGAACTCCACTAACCAAACTCTTCAATTTCTTCTTAGCTTTCGTCTTTTTCGACAATTGTTTCTCAGTCTTTTCCAATTCATTACAATAATCCGCATAAAATGGGCTCACTTCATTATCTTTTACTTTCTTTCTCAACCAACCCAAATAATGTTTCATATCAATTTTATTTTCTTTCAAATTATCTTCCATTTCTGTACAAAATTCATCCCAAGGATCAAAAACCTCTTCTCCGTCAACCATTCCAAATCCTTCTTTCAATAATTGTTTTCTTTGTGGTTCCCATACTTTATTAAATTCTTTATCGTCTTCGTCTTCGCTGAAAATATCATCTGGATCTGGATTTCCAGCTTCTTTCAACTTTTTCTTCATTCCATCCACGAATCGTTTACAAGCTTTTCTTGGGAAAACTTCGCCATTGTGTTTGATTGCAATTCCATCTGCTTTTGCACAATTGAAACCGTGGTTATTCAAACTTACAAGACTATTGAGAACTGCAAAAATTAGAAGTTTTCAGATCAATCAACTATACATATATGAGAATGATCTTTGTGGTTTCAAAAATATTTGAAACAGCGAAATTTCAATTTCGGCGTTAAAAAATTGGATAATTAAGTCTCAACTAAAAATTTGAATTTCGGGGCCAAATTGAGGATTTTCAGATCTTGAAACGAGAAATTTCAATTTTGGAATTTTCTCCAAAAAAATCCTACCATGTTTTCTAGCGGCACTATTCTGTTTCAAATAAACATCTCGATCATCCAAATGTCGATTATCCGATTTTTCAGGCAATTTATCTTTTGTATAACACGGTGGTTGGCGTTCAAATGGAACATGTACACATTTGCAACCTGGTTTTCTTGTTGCCATCGCTTTTCGAATCTCATTTTTCTTCCATTGATCCCAATCTTTTCTCGAATGTTCGCGTGGCATCGGAGTTCCTTTGTTGAAAATTGGAAGCTCCACTTCGATGTGACGAGCTTTCTATAAGTTATTGATTTTTTAAGCCAATTCTACTCTACAAACTTACTCTAGGTGGTGTTCTTTGTGTCATACTAATATTCATTTCGTCCGACATTTTTCGAATAGATTTTCAAGTAAACAATGAGAACATCTCCTATTCATCACCAACCTTTTTTCCACTGACCTTTATTTATAGAACACGCAAAAATTGAATTTTAAAAATTATTTTTTAAAAATTCAGACTCCAAAATTTTTCAACTTACCGTAGTTTTTTAAACACAGCAAATTTTTTTCTACGTGACCTCAAATAAAAAAATCATTGCAGAATGTGTTTTTCACGCGGCACACACATCTGGGCGGAGCCTAATAAAATCCTGTTTTTACTCGTTTTTTGAGGATTTGAACCCGAATTTCAGGGAAAAGTTGATTTTTCACTATCAGAATTGAGCAAAGAAGGGTTGAGGGAGGTCCGGAAGCCAGATAATTGCTTTTAATCTTCTAATTCCGCTCAAAATGACGTTTCTCCATATTTTTCTCGATTTTCCCAGGAAAGACAATAAACTTTTGATTCAAAAACTATTACTACTTGAAAAATTATCAACTACTTCTAAAAATGTAGTTTGAGCATGTTTCCTGCGGTTTCGGCTTCAAAAACACATTTTTTGTGAAAAAAAACACAAAAAAAGACATTTTTTGCGAAAATACTGTAGCGACACGTGAAATTGTGCAATGAGAAAATGCGTAGTGAAAAATTTGCTGTGTTAAAGGCACACAGTTTTTTTCAACACAATGGTCTTGCTGCGCGACTACGGTTTTCTTGTTTTTTTTTCGTTTTTTTTTCATTTCGAAAAAACTTACATCCTACTAGTCACTGTAAAATCGTAATAACAAGACGAAAATGGCTGGAAATCAAGAGAAAGCTGCTCGAGATTTGAATCAGGTTAGTTGTACCATGAAAATGCTCAAGAACAACCCAGTTTTCCAGAACTTTCGTCAAAAATCAGCGAATTCAACACCGCGCTGTAAAAAGTTCAAGAAGATTAATTATAATGAAAGAGACAATGCTGAAAATGCTGTAAGATCTCCAAAATATGGAAAGCAAACGATTTTCACGACCGTAACTTTGACGTGGGATGGAACATCGTCCAAGCAAAGTGAGGTGATTCGAAACCCTGTTATGAAGGAATCTGTTGCGCCAGGAGAAGTTCGAGAGCTTGAAAAAAGCGATAATGCAGCTAAAGCTGAAATTCTATCAACAAAATCTGAAGATTCGAATTGTGAACCAGAAGAAGGGGAAATTGATGATAGTGCATCAGAAGATGCACAACATTTGAAATCTCCAGCGAAAGTTTCTCCAACTTCCCCTCAAATTAAACTTGAAAACTTGGATGATTATCAGACAGAAGATACAACAATTGTTGAAGATGAGCAATATCCTACCGAATCAACAGAAGAAGCAAGAATTCAAAGAAAAATCTACATCAATGAACAAATCAATGATTCGATCAATGTAGTCGAGACGCATTTTGCCACAATTCTTGCCACAAGTGATGAGAAGGATCGAAAGAAAACTCGACGACTTTTTTTGCCAGCCGCCTTCACCGAAGAAACTTTTGATGAATTTGTTGTTAACGTGAGTGGGAATTTTACACATATAAAACGAGAAAAATAATGATATCTTTTAGCAATTATACGCAGTGTTCAAGCCAGCGATGTTGACACGACATTATGATGCAAATGGACTTGGTTTGGGAAGCGGATCGATTATTGTAGATTTTGATAAGGAAAATGCGGTTGCGGAATATGCGAAAAATCGATCATGGAAAGGTGAGAGAGAGAAAAAATGTACTGTTTCTAAAAATGTTTCGAAATTACGGGCCTATGCAGAATAAAATTTTGTAATTCAAAAAAACATATTTTTCCTATGCAGAACAAGTTGGAAAAAACCTACAGTTTATTATTTTTGAACAACGTAAAATTGAGAGAGTGCAGACAGAGAAATTGATTTTTCGCACAAAAAATACAAAAAACTAATTTTTCTGTCTGCACTCTCTCAACTCCACATTGTCTCTACTTAAAAATACAAAAATGTATATTTCGTTTTTTCGACGTTTTTCTGCATAGGAAAAATATGTTTTTTTTTAAATTACAAAATATTATTTTAGAAAAAAATTTAAGTGCAAATTTAGTTGAAAATACTCACTGTTTCAACCAAAAACCTAAATTTTTCGAAGTTTCAAATTGGTTGATTTTTCTGAATTTTTAATTTCAAATCAGTAGCAATTAAACATCTGAAAAAATGATAAAATTATTTGAAGATGTCTCAATTTTTCCACGAAGAAAAAACTATTCACTCTCCAAAAATTTCCAGCACAACGTCTCATCCGCTTGTTATCAACACATCTTCAAAAAGACGTGAACAATATCAAAATCTACATGTTCGCCTTCAATTCTTATATAGTTCCCGAAAAATTCTGCAATGATCTCGTAAATCATTTTGGTGCCAGAAACATTCAACCATTTTTCAACAAAAATAAGAAATTTATTAGTTGTGTTTGTGAAATGGGTTATGTCAGTGCTAGACGCTTCATGATGGATCGAAAATATAAGAGCAACGGTGAGTGATTTAAAGGAACACCAAAAGCTAATAGTCACTCTAGCGTATCAGAAAAAACACTTCAGAACTCGAAATAATCAATGTCAATTTACAAATGTTCGCAACAAGTAAAAAAAAATTTGCAAAAATGGTGAAGTTTGCGCCAAAATAAAAAAATGGGAAAAAAACCGTTTGAATTCCCTCCTCAGAGGACTCAGAGCGAAGTGTGCAAACACCGTCACGGCAGAATGCACACAAAAAAATTATTTTTTTTATTTTTTTGTTTTTTCGGGAGTTTTCGCTTGTTTTTCACTTTTCAACGATGAATTCATATATTTTTCAGTAAATTGATGTTGGCAATTCTTCTCCCAACTGTCTCGATCATGTTTTCGACGGAGGAATGCGAAAATTCGTCGATTTTCGGGCAAAAAGTGAGTATTTTGAGAAATTACAGATTATTCTCAAAAATCACTGTTTTCCAGGCCCGACAATGTGAAAAATGCATAAAAACTGCTGGAAAATCCAAGAAAACCGTAGAAGTAGAAGAAAGACTCTGTGAATAGTCATGAATCAAGGCGAATTGGAGAGATCTGATGAATTTTCATGATTTCAAGCCGGTTTCGATCAAAAGTCGTCCATTTTGCAAACCAAACTCACCAAAAACACTTCTTCCTCGACGATTCTGCTCATCAATGTTCTGATAGCAATTACTATATACATTTACTCTTTTAAAATCTGTTTTCTGTCATTTTTCAATAAAATTTGATGAAAACCGGTTTATTTGTTTAAAAAAACGAATTTATCAGAACTCCGACCATTCAAAAACAACTGTAGGCGCTCGAAATTCGTGGATGTCATATTTATTTCGAATATCATCAGGATGTGTTGGAGAAACGATCAAAATCCGCGATTGCAGGTTGAAAACGCAGATTCCGACCAAATTCACTTATTTCGCCACGAATGTTCTTCGAATCTGCAATCAATACGTTTTGTTGATAAGCAGAATATCGAATTTACTACTTAAAGTCGTCATTTACTATGAGAAACAAAGAAAAAATGGAAAAACGCAAAAAATATTTTTCGAAAACAAAAAAACAAAAAGAAAACGACATTCCGCTCGCCTGGTGTTTAGCGCAAAAGGCGTGGCAATTTGATTTTGAGTTTTTTCATTTTTCCACAGAAAAATATTTTTTCCTCTAAAAGTTCAGAAGAATTTTTTCATCGAAAAGTGAGTATAGGGAATGAAAGTAGGAGTATTAAAGTGTCTGTTTTGGTATGCGCGGCTTCACCTAGCGATGTTGACCTTTTAGTTTTTGGTGTTCCTTTAAATTTAAAAAAACAATTTTCTTGAAAAAAAATTCGAATTTGAATTTAGGCCAAGAAATACATCTTCAAGCATACCAAATCGATCCAAACTAATTTTGTTTTTCACTGTGAATTTGTTTTTTTTAACGCTTGAAGTTTTGAACTTTTTTTTGTTAATAAATTTTCTAAAAAAAAAGATCCACTTGACCAAAATTTAAAAAAAATACAGTTTCATAAATTTCAAAGCCTAGGTGATTTTTCTGATTTTACCATTTTCTTATTTTGAAATATACACAGAGAAAATTCAGATGCCACGTGGCAAACAAACTTTTTTGTTGAAAAAATTACTGTTTCAAAAATTTAACAAATTTTAGAACCTGAATGGTTTTCTGATTTTTCTATGAATTTCGATTTCCACGTGGTGCAATTTTTTTCAAAGTTATTGTTCCAATAATTTCCCAAGTTCAAACACGAAACAAAATTCCCACCAAAAAAAGGTTCATTCAATCACGGCATTTTACTAATCATCTTTCTTCTTTTTCTATCAGCAATTCGTTTTTTCGATTCTGAAACTTCGGATTGTTCTTCTCCATTAGTTTTACGATAATAATTCTGAACTCCATCCACCAAATCGCTCCATTTTCTTTTCACCAAATATTTCTTCGAAACTTCTTTCTCAACTTTTTCCAATTCTATCAAATATTTCGGATGACATTCTTCTTGTTTCGCTTTCTTTCTCAACCATCTCAAATAATGTTTTTCATTTATATCAAACCGATTTCCAGTATTTTCAGCCTCCGTGATAAATTCATCGTGAATAGTTGAAGATTTTGTCTGAAATTAATTTTTGTATGACATTTCTTGGATATTTTAATTTACCTCATCATCAAGTAAATTCGCTTTTTCAACCAATTCCTTTCTCTTTTTCGCCCAAATTTTCTGAGCTTCTTGCTCTTTTCTTCGCTCTTTCAAATTTATAATACTATCTCGAACTGAAATTTATTGTATTATTTATTTGAAATCCTTGAGAATTTAAGCAAGAAGTTTACCGTAGTTTATCCCCAAATCATTATTTTCTTGCTCAAAAGAATCCGAAGCTTTATCGATCTCATTACGTTTCCAAGTATCCCAATCTGATTGATATTCAAAAACTGGAACATCTACTTCGATATTACCATACTTGGACTTATTTTTCTTGGAGTATTTATTTTCTGGAACATCTGTTTCCTTCCACATTTTTCTAATTTGTCAAAATCTAGCAATGATTAAGGTTGGGAAGAATTCTGATTGTGAAGCTGATTTTTTTGGGGGACACGTGAAAATTTTAAAAAAAGCCTTGAAAAATTGGGATTTTTTGGATGAAAAAATTGACTGTTTCAAAATTAGTTCATCTAAATTTTCTCATTTTTCAAAGCAATGTTGTTCTCATAGTATCTTATGGGGCTGTTCAACAAAAAATTTATGTTTTCTCAGCGTTAAGAAAACGGGAAAAAAAGCAAAGAAAACCTATTCAGGTCGGTTAAGAAAACACAACAATCAAACACGTTCAACACACAAATTGCGACGAGACCCAACGAAAAAAAACATGTTCCTTTGACCGTTTACATTACTGTAAATTGGTCCCGCTGCGAAATTCTACAGTATCTTAAAGGAACACGATATTGTTCGTTGGGAAAAAATATTTGGCATTTCCTGATTCAGATTTTTTAAATGATTTTCAAAATCAAAATTCTGCAAACAAATAATTTATAAAAAATCAAGCATGAACCATTGTTCTCCCATGATAATGATCAAGGAAACCCAAAAGAGCAAATTTGAAATTCAAAGTAGTATCTTCTACAATAGCCTCTCTCAATGTCATTTTCCATGGTTGTTTTTCGAATTCTCTCAGAATTTCCGGTAAATCGATTTCGGATCGAGTCACAATAATTCGTGACAAAGCATCATTATCAGTTCCAAATCCAGCAACCGCATTATATAATTTCTCAGCAAAATATTTTGGAGTATCTCGAACAACTTTGACAATTTGCAAGAAACCAGAACGGAGATCATCATCGGGTTCATTATTCAGAAGAGTTTCGATTGGTTGATTTGATAGCTTTTGATATTCATCGAAAATTAACCAAAGTTGATCCAAATTCAATGAACTTAACAAACAAATACATTGAGTTGTGTTGTAAGGATTCATCAAATTCAAAGCTTCTCGCGTAGCTTCTACAAGATCCGTGGAATCATCCGAAACTCGATTTTCATTATAACCAGCAATCGAAAAAATGAAATATTTAAACATTCCTGAAAGATCATCATCCAAATCATTATAAAGATCTGTTCCATAAGTTTCTTGATATTCTTTTCGAATTTCCATAATTTCTTCATATTTTCTTGTTATAAATATTTCAATCAAAACATCTTCATCAGTTCCAGGTCTATAAACAGCATCTCGTAATAAACTAGCATCATATTTAGCTGGTTTATCAATCAATCCAAGAAATACTTCTTTATGTTGTACACGTCTCAACAAAAGATCTCTCAATTCTTCACCGTATGTTCCTTTATACCGTAATGCAATTTGTTGTCTCTCCTCATTTGTATATTGTGCCAATACTTCATAAACATGTGGCCATTGATTATCTATATTCCGAACCAAATCTTGATGAATTTGATCAGCTGGATATTGAGCATCGAAAGTTGAAAAGACAAATAATAGAGGACAGTTGACAAGAAAGATTTGAAAAAGTTTTATCATTTTTTTCATGAAATGATTTTTCAGACGCTGGTTATAAGCTAGAAATTTTCTCATGTTTTATAGCTTTTGGAAACATCGACGTGGCCTTGAAAAGCTAGCAAACGCCCACAAAGAATATCATTTCCAGGTGGTTTTCCTGACATTGAAGCCATTCAAATATAATGCTTCCGGAGTTTGCAAAAGCACAAAAAACATCACATCTCTTCAAATCCGTGAAAACGATCTGAAAATCGTTTCAGGACGGATTTAGCTGAAAAAATATTGATTTTGAAAAAATTCACATAATTTTTCAGCTTGAAAGAAAAACACTGTTTCAAAAATACTCCAAACCAAAATTTTCTGACATAGATTGTTCGATAAACCATTATCGATGTTTTCACATATCAGAGAAAAGAATCTGATTTAAAAAATTCAATTATCGCTACTGTAAGCTTATTTCAAAAGTTGCAGACTTTATCGGAATAATTTCATTTTGGAACAAACTATAAACATTTCTCAATCGATTGTTCAAAAATGTTGAAGAATTCCAAAAAATCAAAACAATTGTCTGTGAGAGAAAAACAATCATTGAAAAGTCGATCTAAAAATACAAATGTTATTGATAATGATTTCCCCAATTTTTCCCTTTTTCCTTATTTTATTCCCACTTCAAATTTCAAGTTCTATTCCAAGTTCCAACTCCATTTTACAAGCCAGAATTTTGAATCGATTTTTCAATAAAAAAGTTAATATGCCTGGTATTCGTAATGATATTGTTATGGATATTGTAAGAGTATTTTCGCTCACACCAAAAAGTGACAGAGAATATATACAAAATGTTTATCACAGCCTGTACAATCAAAGTTTGTCAGAAAAATTGGATGAATATTTGAGTGCCGAATCAAATGATATTAAAATGTTTATTCAAGATTTGGCATTGGGACCAAGCTATTTTGATGCTAAATTGCTTTATGATGCCATTAATAATGATATTTCGAATGCTGACGATGTATTGGTTGAAATAATGATATCAAGAAGTTATCAAGAAAAACAAGAAATCAAAAAAGTATATCAAAATGTTCTCAAAAAAGATCTCGAAAAACATTTAAAAGAGAAATTCACTGAAGATTTTCTAAAACTTCTAATATCACTTTCTATTGGCCTTCGAGATAATTCGACTTTTGTTAACTTCTATTTAGCTCATTGTGATGCTGAAAGATTATATTCATCTGGAGAAGCTCAATTTTTTGGAACTGATGAATCAGTTTTCAATCAGATTTTTGTTTCTCGAAACTTTGCACATCTTCGACAAGTTTTTGAATATTATGAAAAAGTGAGCAGACTTACAATCGAGAAATCGCTAGAAAACGAGTTTTCTTCTAGTATTTTACACGGTCTTTTACAACTCACTCGATATACTCGGAACAAATCGAAATATTTTGCTGATAAACTTGAAGATAAAGATTCAATGTTGCGTATTTTCCTAACTCTTTCGGAGAATGATTTATATGAAGTGATTGAGGAATATGGTGGAATTGAAAAAATTATAAAATTGATTGAAAGAAAAATACCTCAAGATTTTGGAAGAATTCTGCATTTGTTTGTAGTTTTAAAAACTTTTAATAAATGATTTATAGATGAATGAATGTTGTGTTTATTCAAAGGTGTTCTGGCATTTTTCTGATTCCAAGAAATATTTCGGTTTTGCGGATTCCTGATCTGATTAAACCCTGCCATAGCTTCAATTTGATTTGCTCTGAGCTTATAAACTTTGTGGTTTCCAATTTTATTTTTCAGATAGCTTGAAGTAAATTTTCGAACACATTCCTATTAATTTTCTGGAAATCTGGCCCATTCTGAATCTTCTCGACCTTTTTTTAGATCAAATTTTCCCTTCCCGCTTTCGAGAGCCACGTCGATGTCTCAAAGTCATTAAACATGTGAAAATTTCTAGCTTAAAACCAGCGTCTGAAGAATAATTTTCTGAAAAAAAAAATGATACAACTTTTTCAAATCTTTCTTGCCAACTGTTTTTTATTATTTGCTCTCTCAATTTCTGAATTTCATAGCCAATACAGAGCTGATCAAATCAATAGCGACTTGCTTGTCAACAAAATAAGTCAATGGAGACATGTTTATGAGATATTGGCACAATATACGAATGATGAGCGACAAGTAATCGCATTACGGTATAAAGATAGTTATGGTGAAGAATTGAGGGATGTTTTGGGAAGAGCTATGCAACAATATGAACTTGCACTTGCATTAATTGACAGACCCATAGAATATGATGCTAGATTATTATACAATGCTATTAATAGACCTGGAACTGATGAAGATGTTTTGATTGAAATATTTATAACAAGAAAATATGAAGAAATTATGGAAATTCGAAAAGAATATAAAGAAACTTATGGAACAGATCTTTATAATGATTTGGATGATGATCTTTCAGGAATGTTTAAATATTTCATTTTTTCGATTGCTGGTTATAATGAAAATCGAGTTAAGGATAATTCTACTGATATTGAAAAAGCAAAAAAAGACGCTTTGAATTTGATGAATCCTTACAACACAACTCAATGTATTTGTTTGTTAAGTTCATTGAATTTGAATCAACTTCGATTAATTTTCGATGAATATCAAAAACTATCAAATCAGCCTATCGAAACTCTTCTGAATAATGAACGCGATGATGATCTCCGTTCTGGTTTCTTGCAAATTGTCAAAGTTGTTCGAGATACTCCAAAATATTTTGCTGAGAAATTATATAATGCTGTTGCTGGATTTGGAACTGATAATGATGCATTGAGGAGAATTATTGTGACTCGATCCGAAATCGATTTACCAAAAATTATGAGCGAATTTACGAAACAGCCATGGAAAATGTCACTGAGGGATGCAATTTGGGATGAGGATATTACTAATTCTCAAATTTCACTTACGGATTTTCTGGATAATTATCATGGTTACACTTCAAAAGTATGATTTATTATAAATATCTTGTTTGCAAAATGTTTGAAATTTTAATAATTCTCGAAAAACAATCAACTTCCAGAATATGCTCAGAGATTCGCTGGCCAGCTCGCCACCAGGTGGGGAGGCTGGCTGACCTGGGAACCACATGGAAACCATGTCGCCCGGTTTTTTTCGCTGGCAAGGTGGCCAGGCTCTGGCTAGGTCACGGCCACATGGCTACCATGTGGTGGCCACTTCGCCGCGTCAAAATGAATATTCATGAAAATGTCTGAAAACTTGTGAATTGAGGCATTTTCGAAAAATTTGGCTCATTTTCTGTTTTTTCGCAGCACTTGAAATCTTAGGAAGTGAAAAAACAGTAGAAAATGCAGTGTTTTGAGTACAAACCACTGTCTTGCCAGCTTTCCAGAATTTCAAACACACAGGCCACGTCGCCGGAAAACTCGAGGCGACCTGGAGGGCCATGCGGTTTCCAGGTGGCCGCAGCGATCTGGTGGCGAGCTGGCCAGCGAATCTCTGAGTGCAGCTCGAATAAAACTAGACACAAATTTTTTTGCAATTCGATGGAGACGCAGAGAAATAGAAATCGTACTCCCCTCTGTATTTCAGGTAAATCGCTACGAGGCACATATTCTCATTTATATTTCCTTGTTCTGTCGGCTCATAAACTTATGCTGCTATTCAGCGTCTTTTCTCAACGCTGAATTGGTTGAGAAAACTTATTCAGGACAGCTGAGAAAATAGGAAAATGGTTGAGAAAATGGTTTTCTCAGCATTTTTCCCGTTTTCTCAGCGTGTTGAAAAAATCGCTGAATAGCCCCATTACCTGGTTGGGGATACACCGCGATCATAAAGGCGGTGTTCCTATGATGAGGCCAATTCATTGCACTTTCGAATTAGCTGACCCGTATGGCAATCTCGAGTTGAGATTCGCCAACAACTAAATTTTTGCGTATCGGAGTTGTCATACGGCGACTCCTGAAAACCGAGCGAACATTTATATTCAAAAAAATCTCATTTTTCAAGAAAAAATGAGTGAAACGTGTTGACCTATATTCGAATTCCACGTTTAGCATGACGTTTCCCTAAAAAATCAATGACTAAAATACGTCATATCTGATCGATTCGACCAAATGGAACCAGCGGTTTTTAACGAGGGGTAAGCTGGTTTCAGATCGACGTTATCTACAAAATAATCTGTGATTCCAGAGATTTCGCAATTCCTGAAGTCCAACTTCCACCAGGTCTTCCAATTGCGGCCAACAACGATATGTCACCACCAGCCTATATCCCGCCGAGAAAAAATTCGCCATTTTTCACACCAACACCCAACAAATCTCAAAATCAATTTACTCCGAGGAAATTCAATAATTCGAGATCTTCTCCAAGAACACCAAGATACACCAATAACACTAATGTTAATCATTTTCAATTGATCAATGATTCGATGGCGATTCCACCATTGGGTGTTGATATTCACGGAATCTCGAATGAGGTTTGTTTCTCACCTCTTTTGAGCTCCGAAAGTAAAGCAAAAAAAGAAAAAAAAAGAATAATTTTGAATTGTTTTGTCAAAACAAGCAAGTGCGCCCCAGCGAACTTCTCGAAATGTATTCATTTATTTTTGGTTTTTTTCTTTCTCTTTAAAAACAAGCAAAAACTGTCATTTTCCAGTCTGGTGCCGTCAAATATCCGTTATTGTTATGCTCGCAAGAAGGAACTATAATGATATCATTGGCTGTTGGAGTTTTGGTCGAAATTTGCGTCGACAGAAGTTTTCGTTTGGTTTCAAATGACAATTTTACAACTTATGTCAATCATAATGGATCGATTTCGAGCATTTTACATAAATATGCGAAGATTGTTCATTCAAAAGAACATGTTCATTGCAAAATTAGTGAGTTTTTTATCAGGTTGTTATGTTCAACCAGGTTGAAATGTATTTGAAGAAAAAATGACGAAAAACTGAAAATCTTGGGGCTACTCGTATTTCCGGGCTCAAAACCTTTCTACGTGTATAAATCGGAAGCTGATTTTTCATCTAGTTTGGTAATTTTTCAAGTATTTATTGTTTGGGAGAATAAGAAAATAAAATGTATATTTGAATCAGTTTAAAAAGGACAACTGCTCTAGGAATGGTCCAAACTATGTAATTAGATATGTGGAAGGTACAAAATTAATATGGTGAGATTATATGAATTATTAAGCCTGATTAACTGTTCCTGTTGATTTTTCCCTCAGAATGTGTTTTGTACGGGTCCATTCAGTTGTTTGTGCTCTTTAGGTGGCCATTTTGCGCTGAAAAGAAGCATACAATCTTTTTATTTCAAATAAAAAAGCTAACCTTGCAAATTCTCGGGCTTGGGAGAAAAGTATCATTCCACAAGCTGCACGGTATGCACTACAATTACAATCAGATTGATGTTTTCGAAACACAAAGTAGCAATGCCAAAGATCAAGTTCATGCAAAAAGCGCTTTGAGCAAACTTGAGCAAAGTCGATTTTTCACCGCGTAGGAAAAAATCGCGAATCGCACTGTTCGTATGTTGAGTGTAACCGAAATACATTTGGATATGGAAAATAATTCCAAAAAATGCGAAGATTTTCTAAAAAACGATGTTTTTTTGAAAAATTGGATATTTACCATTTCGAGACTTCTCTTATAAACAGAAAGATCAATATAATTTTTAAACAAACCTCTTTCCACATATTTTTGATCATATTTTCCCATTCGATGTGATTTTCTTCATCCGCAACAAAATGGTTATACCACAATTGAGAATTACAAAAATACCCCAATAAAACGTTAGTCAATAAAATAAAAACTACGACGGCATGTAATTTGAAAACCTTTTCATAGTGTGCCACAAAATTACTAATTGTAAGAATTTCACGGCGAATTGGATAAACTCGCATGATTTCATTTGAGATATTGTAAATAGCACCACATATCAATGTCTAAAATATTCGACTCATTTTCATCATAAAATCGAAATAGAACATACCGAATGTGATATGTAAACAGCGCTGGTAGTTATTAATCCGACAATTTTTTGAACCATATGTTCTTCTTGATCATTCGAGTCAGAATGTATTGGGACAAAAATAATCAAATACGTCGAGCTGACATTAATTGCCGTGAAAATGGCGATGTATCTCAATAACTTATTTTTCCGATTTTTTCGGTAAAGAACATCAAGAACCAGAAAACTGACTGGAGTTGCCAACGAGAGAAGGAAAAACATGACAGGAATGATTTTGAGAACCATTTCTGAAATTGAAATTTTTAATTTTTGGAGTTGAAAGGGCGAGTGATAAATTCGAATTTTTGAGCCTATATTTTGAGTTCCGAATGTATGAAATTTTTTTCAAAAGTTTATGTTGAAAATCGTGTTAGAAATTTCTTCAAAAAAAGTTATAGTATACCAGGTTTTGCCACGTCATTTTTTTTCTGGTTGGATTTTTCAAATTACAAACTCTTGTGGCCTTAAACTTCTAAAAAGTAACAGAAATAGAAAAAGTTTGATTTATCAAAAATAAAAAGTTGTCGAAAAGGGAAAATGATTAATATCACAACCCCAAGAGATTTATATATGCTTCTTTTCAGATTGCAACTCTAATTAGTATAACTCATGTGACTAATCGTATAGTAAAATTAATTGTCATCTTTTATTGTTGGATATTTTGAGCCAACCTGCTTGCTTCTTTATATGATAATTGTTACTTTGCTTCCCAAATATTTCCAATTTCCAAACATAATTATAGGTTTTGAAAAGAATGAAGAGGCGGAACAAGTTGTTACAAAAAATTACAAAAGTTATCAAATTCAACTTTTTTCCAGACAACACCAATGACCGTTATGCAATAATGGGCCCAGAAGGAATCCTCTTCACAATGGCCAATTTATCCGAAGCCTATTTGGTCAGTCATTGCAATGCCGAAGGAACTACAGTTCCAACAGCTGTCGCATTGGAAAAACCAACATTTCCGATTCAAAATATCGATTATTCACTTCATCAATTGTATAATGAATCGGATATTGGAATTAAGGTAGGGGAAAATAAAAAAGAGGTTTGTAAGAAAAAATAAGGTTCCAAACAAAGTACTGTTTCTAAAATTATTAATATTTTTTTTTTGAAAAATTCACGGTTTCAAGGTTTTTTCTTAATAATTGTCTCGTTCATTCAATAATATAAACTCTTGAGGCAATAATAATTTTCAGAATTTCTCGAAATGCAATGAAATTGTCCAAAAAGCATGTTATGAATATCGATCGGATGGTTTGTTGGTGATTCATTTGAATGGAATGACAATCAAATGCAATAATGATACTGGAGATGTTTCGGTTGATGCAAAACCAGTAAGATTGGAAATGAACTCGAAATTGTTGACTGTGACTTTGAAGTCGAATTTTATCGATATGTCGGTTCAGGTTAGGATTTTTAGGGAGGCTTGGAAAGCGGGACTCAATAATTTTCAAATCTCAAAATAATATCTGAATTTTTTTACTTCTTCGAAAAATTCTGAATTCATCCCAGAGAACAAAAATTAAATTTATCCAAGTTTCTAATTTTCAAAAAATTGGAAATTTTGAAACTAGAAAAACTTATAAAAAACAACATTCTCTGTAATATCCATGATATTTGAATTCTTCCAGGATCGCGACAAATGTTATGTCAAAAGATCCGACAAACGAATCCATACATCTCGTTCTGGAATGGTTGTCTCTGATGGTGCTTGCACAATTTCAATGGATCAAACTGGCCGCATTTTATCATGTTATTAGCTAATTTTACCCCCGCACCTATTCTATTTTAGTATTTTCCTTGTTCGTCTTCTTCTTCTTTCAAAACTAATTTTCCAATATTTTATCCCAAAACCTAACTCTTTTCCCCTTTTCTATGTAATTCTCGTTTTTTATTTCTTTTTAGTAATGAATTTGTTGTTGGAAATATTTAAATTCGCGAAATTTTGATCTGATCCGAAAAAAAGATAGGGAGAAATTGGAATATTCAAATTGTTATTTTGAAACAGGAAAATGTTTCAAAATCAGCGACTACTTTTATTATTAGTTCTAATTGCAATTAGTTTTCTAATTATTTCACGGGAAACCAAGAAAACTTCATCACAAATAGTCTTAGAATCGACAACAGAAAAACCAAATCCAAATGAAAGAATTTCATTTTTGGGAAATGTTATTGAAAATCATGGCGAGGAAAATTCGGAGGATTATTTTTTGGCTGTTCAACCACATAAAAATATTAATAATGGCACACCTGATCAAAGTTATGAAGAAGACCATTTTGATTCGTGAGTTAGATAGAAAATTGATTTGAGACTTGAGAAATCAGGTTTTTTTTTAATTAAAATTTCTCGAAAAATAAGAAATATGAAATGAAAATGTTGAAACAGTGAAATTTTTAGGAATTTTTTTTAGAAAATTACAAAATTTTTTTCAAGCCATGTTTTTTAAGTTTTGTGAAAATTTGATTCTAGAAAAAAGTAAACGTTTTGTGAATCGAAAATTCTTTTGGTCCTAAATATTGAACACTATTATCGAAAAAATATAAATAGGAAAATTGAAACAAAAATCTTGAAACAGTGAACTTTTTTGAAAAAACATAATGTAGAATATTAGAAACAGTGAAATTTTTGAATTGTTTTTTAAAAAGAAATAGTTTCATTTGAAATTTTGAGAAATTTTTAAATAAACTTCTATAATTTTTTAAAAATTTCCAGGACAAAATGCAACCTCCAAGAATGGAATCAAATTGAAACAAATACAATTCCAAATCAAAAGTATCACAATTTATTAATGAAATCAAAAACAGAAAAGCACAACACACTGTTAAACAAATCTCCAAGTCCATTTTCAGCCTATGTTTATTCAGATCATATTGTTGTAACTCTAACATCTGAGCAGAATTATTCGTGAGTTTTCTAACCTGACAAATTTGAAAATTAGTTACAGTAATTTGAAAAAATGTTCAGTGATGTTGTTTTTTGTCGATATTATGATTGTAAAATGCGAGAATTATTTGGACAACATTTCGAATCTCGTTATTTTCCACAATCTACAGTTTTTTGTGGTCGAAGAAAAGGAGCGGAATATATTTCGATAACTGAAACATTAGAAGATGAATCTGAATTTCCGATTAGAATTATTAGAAGAGATTTGGGAAGTTAGTTTGGGTTTTGGTTTGAAATTTTGAAAATTTTTGAATTTCTCAAATCATTTTTTGAGCTCCATTGTTAAATCAGAAATCGAATTATTTGTGTTTTCATTTATCTACAGAAAATCTAATCCTGATATTGATCAAACAGAGAAATGAAACAATAATCAGATTGTCCTTTAGTTTAAAAATAATAATTGGGAAATTGAAATTATGATTCTACAGGGTGGCCCATAAGTATACGACGCCGTGTTTTGAGATGTTACTGACTATTGGGTGTAATATTTCCGTCAAGATGTTTTTTCTTTAATTATTAGACACCTAATAAGCATGTTTTAATATAAATTCAATTGATGTTTCACTTGGTTCCAGAATTCCACGTGGTTCCGATTTGAGAAACAAAAATTGAGGCGCCGCGCCGCACGAGTCAGATAGGTTCTGTGTATTATAAAAGGGCTCAAAATGTGCCAATCACTATCAATATTTTTGTTTAGAAATGCCAAATAGTCCATTTCAATATTCTACAGCACAATTTATAAAAATTTATCATTTTGAATTTTCGGCAAGCCTTTGAATTCAAAAGTGAAAAAATCACTTTTTCACCAATTTTTTGAAAAAATTAATTTTTTTCAAATTTCTTGATGTTTTCTGGATTTTTTAAATTTTTTCTTGATAAATAGACCAAAAGTGGACCGTTGAGAAAAATTAACTGAATATTTCAGATGCTAAGTCAAAATTTTCGAAAAAAAGTTGATTTTTCCAAAAAACACAGACATCCAGCCAAAATCGGTTTTCGTATGGGCTATAAATTCTGAAATGCAAAGATATAGCTGGAATTGGTTTAGAACTTCATATTGAATCAAAGTTAAAAGTTTGTGACCCCATTTCAATCCCTAGCTCATATCCTAACACGCCAAAGTGTCAACCTATAAAAACAACAGTTTCGCGGCGCGCCCACTTTTTGATTTTTTGAACATGTACTTTGGTACTAAATCAACTTTTAATGAGGCTTATTTTCGTTCAAAATAAGAAAAGAGGATGTATAGTAAGCATGTATGATCTCACACAGAACATTTTTCTAAAATTACACCAAGCTACAATGGCGTAAAGTTGACCTAAATCAATGAAAAATTGATTTTTTGAGTTACAATTTTCCTAAAGTCCCTAGAAAAATGACCAGAACGCAACTTTTCAAAAAATGATCTTGCATTGGCTTTCTAGACTATTTGAACTATCAAATGAACGCTTGACACAATAAAAAATACTCTCGGGGACTTTCTGGGTAGTCGTGGAAAAACCGTCGTATACTTATGGGCTACCCTGTATAAAAAATGTCGGAAAACTGAAGATTAGGATTTTTTACGGTAATCAATAATGATAAGATTCACTGTAGAGAAAATTAAGCTCTTCAACTTGATTTGAAATTTGTAACGTTAAAAATCTGATTTTCGGAATACAAATCCCCCATTTTCTCAATTCAAAAGTCAATTTTCCAGAACCTTCTCATTTCTTCACAGTTTGTTTATCTCCACTTTACGGAGAAGAACCGAAATTCTTGCAAATCGTAGATTTCATCGAATATTATAAACTTCAAGGCGCCACATTTTTCCACATTTATGTCAAAAATGTTTCGAATTATGATCGAATTCTTCTTGATGATTATGTTCGAACTGGTGAAGTTGAAATTATTCAAATTCATGATCATTTTTGGAGAGCTGATTTTATGTGGCATCGAGTTCAGATTAATGTGAGTTAGGCGAACTTCGGTTATTTCCTGTATGAAAAAAATAATTTCAGGACTGTCATTTCCGAAGTAAATATTTTTCAAAATGGACAGCATTTTTGGACATTGATGAGAGAATTGAGATGAAAAAATATCCCGAACTTCGAATTGTTGATCTTCTTGAGTTAGTTTGAATTTTATATGGTGGGAACTTTATTGGAGTGAACGAACCATAGTGCTAATGAAAACTTTAAAGTGAAAAAATTGTTATGAAAATGTTGAAACAGTGAAATTTTTAGTGATTTTTTCAATGAAAAATTATTCAAATGTTTACCCCAAAAAATTAAACAAGGCAAATTTTCGCCTTCTAGCCTAACTTCGAATTCTTGCAGCGAAACTTCTCCAAATGTTTCAACTCTTCATTTTTCTATCGATTGGATTGTAAAAGATCAACTTTCACCCGCAAAATATCTAAGCGATGAGGAATTAAAAGAAAATATGATATTTCGAAAATTCACAAATTCCTCCACAAAAACCGACACTTATAAACAACCAAAATGTATAATTCGAGCAGAAAGAATTGCAATTATGTCAATTCATCATCCTCCCGCAATTTATGATAACTCCAAAATATCAGTTGTGAATTATCGAATTGCTGCTGTTCGACATTATCGAAATTCATTTCATAAACTGTTTCCGGAACAAATTAAGCGAATGATGGAATATGGACCATGGAAAAATACTACTGTAGCACCGTGGATTTCGGAGAATTTGACAAAGAATATTTTGAAACGGGTCAAGTATTTGTATGATATTAAAATACCTTCGGATATTATCAAACAGAAATATTATGCAAAAGAAGGAAGTCAGATGGATTTGGAAAGAATTAACGTGTAAATTGAAAGAAAACTTGTTCTGCTTTTTTTGAATAAAATTTTTTTGAATAGTATAAACCAGAAGGACTCCGCCGGCTATCGCCGGCTCCTCCTTCTGGGTTGTTGCGGCTTCGCGCGCAGTATTCTTTTGATGAACAGTTTGCTCTGAATTCCTGTTAGGAAACCTATCTGACTCTTTAATGAAATCACGAACAAAGATTTTTGAGTCGATTTTTCTGATGACACAGACGTTTGGCAAAACGAAAATTCAAGCACTGACCCATTTTTGTTAATATATATACGGATTCATTTTTGTATGTGCCTCAAATTGAAAAAGAAGAAGCTCCTGTTCCCGTCAAACTTCACTATTTGACCAAGTGAAAAACTAAACTTGGACAGTGTTGTGAAACCACAAATTTTTCAATAACCAAAAAATATGAAACGGCTTTTTTTAGCGGCTGTTCCTGAATCTTGATAGATTAAAATTCTATGGGGTTGTCAAATATTCTCAAATAAACTGACTACTCAAGTTATACATTTTTGTTATAGCGATATGGCTTATGGTTGCCGTTAGCATCTGTTGAAAAATCCAAAAATTAGCAATAGTAAAAACACACTTCGGCCAAAATCGTGGTTTCCACAATAAAAATTGTACGCTAACTTTTTACAGTACAAAAATTGTGAATTTTTCAGTTTTTGTCCTCTAAAAATTGTGATTTTTCAATTTTTGACCTGTAAAAACTTAAATTCAGATTTTAAAAAATTGTACTCTGGCCAACCACGGCTTGGCCGAGGCGTGAGTAAAAAGTGACATTTTGCCGCTTTTTGAAGAAGGTTAGGACGGCGTCTGTGTCATCAGAGAAAGCGATTCAAAAATCATTGTTCGTGATTTCATTAAAAGGTTAGATAGGTTTCCTAACAGGACTTCCTTCTGGTAATCAACCTAACGTGGCCAAAAATCCTGGTATCTAGATCCCGTCTACATTTTTAAAGAATATTTGCTGCATGTCCTCTGATTTCATTGGAATCATAAAGGTTAGGCTAGTCCATTACTGTAAAACGCTGGGGCTGATTTTTCTCGTCTCTCTTCTCATTCATCCCGAAAAAGAAACGTATGAACTTCACAGTTTTCTAGTCTAAGGATGAACCGAAACTCACAACAGAAGTTCATAAACCGTCTTGGAATCATTTCAAACCATTATTGATCTGAAGTTTCAAATATTTGATAAAAATTTCCACGGTAGTTAACTCACTTTTCCACAGTAGTTAACTCACACACACTCTTTATTAATTCAGCCAACCGATTAGGAAGAAGCTATCATCCAGAAATGACTCAAAATGTTCAGCTTCTTCAGAAAATAGAACGATCGGATAAGAAACGTGTCCTTTAAATTTTTTGAATAAAAACGTGATCATTCTTTTTTACATGAAAAAAGTTTTGATTTTTCACGTGAAAACTCGCGCACATTTCGAAAAACAAAATATTAGCGCATCGATGGGAAAGAATTTGGGATCGAATGGTGAAGGTCTCATGAAAAACGGACTTCTGGGGACAGAGCAATCTCGAGTGGAACATTTTGAAATCAAAAAATACATTGATTTTTCTGACTCTCTTGAAACTTTCAACTCTCCGCGCACTCACAGAACCTTAATCAAAAATCCAAGAAAAATACCTCGAGGTGCCATGCAAAGCTATCTTTTCTTTTTTTGATCATCAATTTTTATGAAGTGGAAGCTGAGAACGGGCCCCGGACAAACTATTTTCCGAAAAGCATGTTTCCAATTAGTATATAGTAGATTCTAGATTGGATCAATTTTAAAAAAACCAGGAAAGCAATTGAAACAGTAAATTTTTTTAATTATTGAATTTATTCGTTGGAAAATTTTTTATAAAAAATTATCACTGTTTCAATTTTTCCTTATCAACTTTCCTAGTTATTTTCTTCAATTCTTTGTTTTTAAAATGACAAATAAAATCTCTGGAACATTTCCCAATCAACTTTCCAATAAAAACGTACCAAAACAATATTTTCATAATTTCTCAACAATTAAAAAAAATCAACAAAAAAATAACAGAAAAATTAAAAAAAACTAATTTCAAGCATTCGAGTTCCAAAATGTTTCTCCGAATTTGTGTTGAAGTGCATTGATGACTTTTTGACATTGAGCTTCGACTTGTTTATTTTCGTCTGGAAAAAAACAATATTTTGGGATGAATTCCACATAAAAATTGAAATTTTCTGACAATGAATCGAAAAAATTCTTCAACTTTTTTCTATCCGCAAAACCCTCACCTTCAATAAGTTCATTCAAAAATGGTAAAAGAATGGATAAATGCGGTTGTACACCATCTCCAATTCGATCAATCAATAATTCCAAAACCAAAAGTGTTCGATATCGGATTTTTGCTCGACTATCTCTTGTTTTCAACATCATTTTATTCAACAAATCTGGGAAATTGTCTGGATCTGCATTTCCGATTCGATAGATTGCAATCACCAAATGTTCCGAGCATCGTTTTTCGTGTCCTTCGACTTTTGTATTGACAAGTTCATCAATTATAACATCGCTTACCAATTGACAACGATCACTGGAATTTAGAAAATTATGATTTGTGAATTAGAAAGATTAAAAAATTGAAATTTCATTTAGATAAACGAAGTTATGAGTTCTAATTGGTTGTTGAGTGAAGTTTGAAGTTCAATTGTTTTTTTTTCAAACTCAGATTCAAAACTGCACAACCCCGGCTCAAATTCCTCACTAACCTGGTAAAGAAATCCTTATGTCTAGCCGCATTCGATATCAAATCAATAGCCGAAGTCAATCCGAAATCAGTTTCCAACGCTTCAATTGATCCACGTTTTCCAGTCAAAAGTAATTCATCAGAAGACGAGATAATTGTGGCGTTGCTTCGTTTCAAAACCAAAACAGCAATTTCCAAAATTCTGCCAAAATATGGCAAAGCAAGAGAATTGAAAGCATCGTAAAGGGAATTGGCGAAATGAAGAAGAGAAATGAGGTGAACACGGGACTCTTGAGAAGATGATGATTCGAGACCATTTTCGGCCCACGAAACGAGAGAATTCACGATTGGACGGAATTCGACCTGCAAATCGAAAAATGTGAAATTGAATTGTTTTCTTGATTTTTTTTCTAGAGAAATAAAAATTTCATTTTTTTTCCAATAATTCAAAAATTTGGAATGTTCAACTTTCGTTCAAAACTTCAAAACAGTTTTAAAAAATAAAATTTTTCTTGACTATTTGACTTCAATGTATTTATCCATCAGATTCTTACCTCACTCAAAACACTTGCAATCGAAACAACAAAGTTATAGATAGATTTCTCCAATTTTTCAACACTTTCAAAATGCTCCACATTTCTCTCAAAGCTTCGATAAGCCAATGATGGTTGAATAATATCCGACATGAAAGCATTTCTCAGTTGAACTATCGATTTTCTCAATAATTCCGGTTTCGTTTGTTGTTGTGACTCAATAAATCCGCTCAACAAATTAAACAAAGCGCATAATGATTTCTTTTCATTTTTCAATTCCACAACAACTTTTGAAATATATCCAGGAAGAACACGAATTTCAATTGTCAATAAAGCTCTTCGAATAAGTGATAATCTATGATGAATTCCAGATTTACTTCCAAATCCACTTGTTGATCCAAAACTCGAAGATGGTTGATTCAAATTCAAAAATTCTGTTGGATCTCCGAATCTGGCGATCAGGCGGCAGTATCGAATTATGACGTCACCAGAATATTCGCAAACAAATGAAGAGAATTGATCGAAAATTCGTTGAATACATGTGAGAGAACAAATCTGGAATGAAAAAAAGTTGGAAGAGAACAATCGTTTTTTTTTCAAGAAATTCAGAAATTCATAGAAAAATATGTGATTTTTCATTTTTCAGTCAAAATCTTTCGAAAAATTTTGATTTTCGGGAAATCTTAAAGTGCCAGTAAGATTTCTCAAATTACGGATTTCTCTGAAAAAAAATAATTTTCAGAAATTTGAAAAATACTCTGTTTTTCTGAAAAATTGAGACATTTTCTCTCCCTAAAATCAAACTTTAAAATTTAAAAGAAACTAACAAGAAGTGTATCACTTCCAAATCGATTTCCACCAAGTGATTGTTGTCGAATTCGTTGTCCCCGATTTCCTCTTCCAGGTGTATTCGAAGAAGCCGGCGATTCAAATTGCGAATTTTTCGAGAATCTCACAATACATTCTTGCGTCGTCGCCAAACATGTTTTCAACAAATTAATTGCATGATGAATAGTCGAACCCATATTATGACTTCGAATTAATTCTCCAGCCAATAACAATGCATTTCCAGTCAAATTCTCATCCAATTTCTGATATTGTTGAACAATATTAACACATTTTTGCATAGTTTCTGCCAAAACTTTCGATTCTGATTGAGTCGGCAAATGTTTTGCAATCAATTTCAAAGTATAAGCCGCATTTTGGCATAATCTCATTTTCTCTTCGCTCTTTGTTTCCGGCAAAATAAATCTATTCAATGCCTCAGCCAACACAATCAATTCCTTTTCATTAATTCCACTATCAGCGAATAAATATCCATCATGTCCCAATTTAATATTTGCCAATTGCAAAACCTTCTCACACATTTTGAATGGAATATTCTTTTGATTGATACATTCTTGAAGAACATCAGCAATAAGTCGAGCAGCAACTCCGCCAGGCAAAAGATGTCGAAGTTTTTCAGAAACAACTTCAGTTCTCGATGCAAATGCAACCCAATATCTTTGTGTTTGAGCATCGGTGTTTTGTTGATTGTTTGATTCTTTGTTGGCAAATTCATCAAGTTCCACAGAACATTCGATAAGTCTAAAAAATACCAAAAGTGTATATTTTTTGAATACGAGTATTTCAAACATGAAGCAATGAAAAAACTTTTATTTTTCGGGTGAAAGTTCTTTGAAACAGTAAAATTTTCAACATTTCAGGTCTTGAGAAAACTCAAAATTGAAACAAAAACGATAAAAATTTGAGCATTTTTAATTTTCGAAAAATTTGAATTTCCTTTTCCGCTCCCGATTCAAAATTCCCCAGTTTCCCCAAAAAATCCCCCACCTTTTTCCAAGCGGCAATGCATTTTTCAACAATTCCTCATCATCATAAGCCGCCAATTTCTCAATAAGTGTTCGATTTCCAAAAATTCTCGAAATCAAAACAACAATAATATATCGGAAGTGGCGAATTCGTGGAAGTGTTTGATTGAATCGATCGAAAATCAATTCATCTGTCGATTTTTTGGTTTGAGTGGTTTTTGGTGGTTGAACATTGTCGCCGCCGAGGCGAAGAACGTGTTCGACCATTTCGAGAACACTTGAGAGCTGAAAAAAACAGAACCTTGGGGTTTTTAGAGAATCCAACAATAATTTTGAATTAAACAATTCGAAATCAGCACAATTTTGTTTTACAAAAATCCTTACCTGTTCAAAAGGATTCAATGCAGCCAACAATTCAATAGCCAAATCATCATAAGCATCCTGATCACTTCCTCTTTTAGCAGCTTCTTGTGCAACTGCATCCGTACTTCTTTGCCATCTCGCACAAAATGATGAAACAAAAACGAGAACAACAATCGAAGCATTTTCAGCACCAACAGCTCGAGCAATAGCATGAGCAATTCGAGCTCTTCGATGAGCTGGAATATCAGTTGCACTTGCAGCAAAAAGACGAGTAAGATCGATTAATTTCTCGATTTGTTGTTGTTTCGAAGAACCAGATGTTGAGATAATTGTTTTGAAAAGTGATTCAACAGTTTGTTCGACGATTGAAAGAGTTAATTCATTGTCTTTTCGAAGTAAACCATTTCCCATAAATGTGAAAACTGACATTACATGTTTGACAACCGAAGCCTGAAAAGAGAATAAAAATATAGATGTTTTTTGGTGTATTCATAGTAGTTTTCAATCGTCTGATCACTGGAAAAATAGTTTTTTCAAACTAACCGGTGTATGTCTTGCTGCAGCTACAATTAATCTTAAACAATCTCTCAATAAATGATGATTATGTGTCGATCTCATCGTTTCAATAACACAATCCATATCAATATCACTCGACCCAATTTTTCCTTTTTGCGAAACTTCCAAAATCTTTCTAACAGCATTTACAGCCAAATTTTGTTGATAAGAATTGGCAGCCAAATCGCTTTTCGCATTTCCTTGTTTAATAACATCAAAGAGGAGTTGGAGAGTTTTTTCATTTGATGGAATAATATTTCGAGCATTGAGAAGTTCCAGAGCAAATGTTGAGCGAAGATCGAAATTTTCAATTGACTCATTTTCACCGCCAAATGTTTTTTGAACATGACTTGGTCTTGGTGCCCCAACAACTTTTGCTTTTTTCGGTGCACTTTCAGATGATCCATCAAATCTTGTTATCAAATCATTAACAAATCTCACACTAATTCGAACATTTGACAATGCATTTTTAACATTTCCAACATCTAAATTCTTATTCTTTTCAACTCCAGCTAATTTGATCAATTTCACAATTAATCCATCAACTTCATCTTCAGTCTTCTTCTTAAAATAAGTAACTGGTCGATTTGCCATTTCCGTCAAAGCCCAATCAATTTTCGACCAATTCTCTTCTTTCAACCATTTTTGTGCCATATTAATCGGATCTCCAACAAATATTTCACGTTTTGCGAATTCTGAGGCTCCAGCAAGATTCGTCGCTTTTTCAGATGCTGAGATTTTCAGAGGTTTGGCTTCGGTTGGAATTGGGACAGCATTTTCCATTTCAATATCTTCCTCTTCATGATTAAATTGTTCAATATTTTCAAGAGAATAATGTTTGACAATATTGGAAGAATCCGAAAATTGTGAGCTCACGGAATCAAATTGCTTGACAAATCTGAAATGAAATTATGAAAATAAGGACAAGATAAATCGAGGGAGACGTGTCACGCGAAAATTATTTTTAATTTTTGAAAAATGTAATTTCATAATTTTTCTCAAAATGGTGGATTTGAAAAAATGTGGAATTTTTCGACGTGACCTCGTCCGAACTACAATTTCTTTCTCCATTTACAAAATACTCAAAATTCGAAACGGTGTGAAAAGAAAACACTCACTTCGAAGCAATTGCTCGAACATTTCCCTTTGAACTTCTTTCTATCAATCAAATTTCCTTGATTATTTGCTTCTTCGAAAACCAACTTCAAAAATTCTTGTGCAAGATTTGCAGTGAAAATCGATATTTCCGAAGTAGTCTCCGTCAAAACATTCAAAGCAATATTAACATCTTCCGATTCTTCTTCGCTATTTCTAACAAACGATAAAATATCCTTCCAAAGAACAAGATATAATTTGGTGGTATCAGTTCGAGTTGATAATTCTCTCAAACTTTTCCAAAATCCCATTTCTTCACCAGTTCGAAGCAATTTTTGCAAAGTTTTCTTTGAAAATGAATCGATGTTTTGTTGTTGAAAAACAACGAGAAGAGTTGCGACAGAACTTGGAGCAGTTTCAACACGAATTTTCTGCAAAAAGACAAATAGTTTTTGAAAACAGAACAAAAAAGAACTCACTGTTATCAACAATTTGACCAATGTATTCAAAATGTCTTCTTTGAGTTTGACAGTTAGAACAAGTTGTGAAATAAGCATAAGAGCAGAATAACGGAATGAAGTCATTGCACTTTTGATACCATTTTCGATAAATGGCATGAGTTTACTTAACATCATTTCATCAACTTTTTCCGGATCATTGAAAAGATTCAAAAGAAGTTTAGCATGGAAATTGAACAACATTGGATGTTTAACTTCTAAATAATCGCTTCCAACAACTTCGACACCTTTTTTGATATGATCAGTGATGCAAGTTATGATTGAATGAGAACTTGACATTGTAGCTTTCACAACCTATAAAAATATCTTATTTTTATTCAAGTTTGATATAAAATCTTCAAAATAAACTGACCGAAGTAAATGGAATTGGTGTTTCTGATTTCAAGAATTGTTGCATAAATTGCCATTCCTTTGATCTTGACCAATCGAAATCCAAGATTCTCAAAATCCGCGAATAAACTTTTGTTTCGTGGAATGGTAGAAATGTTAAAATAAGCATTTCTGCATTGAATGAATAGATTTGGAAAGTGTGAACGAGATATTCGAGAACTTGTTGGCAAGCAAAATGTTGTAAATATGGAGATAACTCGAAAAGTAGCTTGTTGATCTTTTGATTCAGCTTCTCATTTTCTTCACTTTCAACCATTGATCTGACAAAATTGATTTTTTCTTCGGAGAACAAATCATTAGCAATTTCAGTATCAAAAACTGGATCAATTCTCTTCATTTGTTCTAATCCGGCGACTCCGATTCGATGTGCGGTTTCATTTGTCAATTTACCAGCTTCTTTTTTGTCGAAGATCAAAGAGACGTGACGTTTTTCGACTGTTAAATGTCGTGCAGCTGATGTGCGCAAATTTTGCAACTGGCTTGTCAGCGAAGTTGCCATTTTTGTTTACCCGAGTTTTGAGAATAAACAGACAACAATCTGCAAAAAATTTTGGGTTGAAAATGTTCAGCGAACTTCTCTTCAATTTTCAAAAGTTACAAAGATGTAAGTAAACAGAGTTTGACAACGAAAAACAGGGAAAAACAAGAAAACTTGCAACGAAAATAAAAATAAAAATGATGGTGTGCAAACACCGCCACGACTACACGCAGAGTATACACCCAACCCGACGCGCATTTATTTTTATTTTTTCGGAAACATTTTCAGCTCCTAATTTGCTAATTTTATGCTTTCAGGTAAACACAAAATGAAGATTAAAGTGATTTCAAGGAATCCTAACACGTATCAACGGGAAACAGTCGATCAACGTAACAAAAGTAAGTTTTTCAGTGGTGAATTTTAAATAAAGAAATCTATTATAGTTGTTCGAAATTTCAACACACCTGCTGACCCATTCCGTGCACAAACTGAATATACAAGAGCTTTAAATGCGACAAAACTTGAAAGAGTATTTGCTAAACCATTTGTTGCTAGTCTAGATGGTCATGTTGATGGTGTTCAAGTTTTGGCAAAACATCCAAGTCGCCCATCAACAATCCTATCTGGAAGTCGAGATGGACAAGTTAAATTATGGAATCTTCCATCTCGATCATGTATCGCAACATTGGATGCACATAGAGGACTTGTAAATGATATATCAGTTGATAATTCAGATGGAAATAGTTTCGTAACAGTTGGTCAAGATAGTCAATTAAAATATTGGAAAATTCCATCAACAATCGATAATAATATCACAACTCCAGCACATTCAATTGCTTTAGAAGGAATTGCATACGGTGTTTCACATCTCTCATATTCTTCTGATTTTGTAACATGCGGTGAAGATATTAGTGTTTGGAAAGCTTTTCGAGAAACACCACTTCGCAGTTATAATTTGGGAACTGATACAATTCATACTTGTCGTGCGAATCCTGTCGAAGAAAATGTTATTGTTGGAGCAAAATCTGATCGATCTATTTTTGTATTGGATACTCGACAAGATGTTCCATTGAAAAAAGTAACAATGAAATTGAGACCTAATAAAATCTCATGGAATCCAATTGAAGCATACAGTTTTACAGTAGCCAGTGAAGATTATAGGTATTTAATTTATGATTTAATAAAATACAAATCTATGATATTTTTTTTCAGTTTGTACACATTTGATATGAGATTCATGGAACATCCAATTCAATCACATCAAGGTTTTACATCAGCAGTTCTCGATGTCGATTATTCTCCAACTGGTCAAGAATTTGTTGCAGCTGGTTATGATCGATCAATTCGTTTGTTCAAATCAAGAGAAATGACAAGTCGTGATATTTATTATACAAAACGAATGCAATCTGTTTTGTCTGTACTTTGGTCAGCTGATTCGAAATTTGTTATGTCTGGAAGTAATGAAATGAATATTCGAGTTTGGAAAGCGAATGCCGCTGAAAAATTGGGACCTGTAAGTTTTCTTCGTTAGAAATAAAACTGTTTTTTCTCATATTATTTCAATTTCAGCTCACAAAACGAGAAAAACAAGCATTTGCTTATAATTCAAAATTACGCGAGACTTATAAAAATCACCCAGAAGTTCGAAGAATTGCAAATCATCGCAATGTTCCAAAACACATTTTCAGGTAATTTTTTTTTTGAAAAATTCGAATATTTAAACCAGAAAAAATTCCATATTCAAATTTCAGCGCTGCACGAGAACATCGTGTTATTCGAGATGCTCGAACTCGTCGCGATTTGCGTCGAGCAAAAGCTGCTGGTCTCAACGAAGAAGAATCCTATCTTCCGGCAACTCAAAAATCGATGCTTGGAGATGCCGAATCATAATAAAAAGGAGATTTTTTGGTTTTTGTTGTTTTCTGTTATTTTTTGTTATACAGTTTTTATCACTTTATTTCATTTTATTTCTTATCACAATTCAGATCAGAAGAATAAGCAGGAATTTCATTTTTTGCTGGCAACTTCGGGTAATTGATTCTTAATATCATCAGGAATCGAATTAACATAATCCAAATGTTTGACCCAAGAAGCTGTTGCCAAAACGCCACCCGTATTATTGAGTTGGATATTCGAATCATAACGAATTTTGCGACCAGAAATATCGGTTAAATTGCCACCAGCGGCTTCTAATACAGCTTCTGGAGCACATGTATCCCATTTTTTGCAGCCGGCACTTGCGAAAACATAGGCGGCACTTCCTTCAAGAACCTTGAGAACTTTATAACCAGCTCCACCAACTTTTTCAATACTATCAGCGAGATCTTTATTTTTCAATGCTTCCAATGCACTGGACACTGATTCAGATAAATGACTTCGAGTTGTAACAACTACTTTTTTCGCGTTCGCTGAAAAATATAACAGATGGCTATTGGAATTTTTCCAAAAACAAACTTACATTGAGCTGGTGTGATACCATGCACTCCACAACCATTAATCGCCCAAACAGTCCGCCCATTTTCAGAAAAATAAGGTTGATGAATAATTCCAGCAACAGCTCGACCTTTGTGTGCAATTCCAATCAGAACTGTTACTTGCTCCAGAAGTGCTGAAAATTCGAAATGTTCGCAAATCCAGCATTTTTCAAGTACTTACCCAAATTCTTATTTTTAACAGCCAACGCAACTTCTGATGTTCCATCTAATGGATCAACCCAAACAACAACATCTTCCTCTTTTATATTCCGTAATTCAGAATTTAGAGATGATTCCAAATTCAAAACATCTTCACTAAATCCTAATTCAACTTCTGGACATGCAGTTGTCTCATCTTCTTCTCCAATAATTTTCAAATCTTTATATCTATTTTGCAATGATTGAACTATACAATATTGTGCTCGTCGATCTGCTTCAGTTTGTGGATCATATCCGCCATCACATTTATTAACTATTTTGAGATCACCAGCTGTCATTACATTCTGAAAGAGAATATTATGTTATGTTCTGACAAAGGTCTCAAATTTTCCAAAACGTTTTCTTGTAGATCAAAAATATTTGTTTCTAAGTCTCTCACTTTTGAGTTGAATTTTGTCAATTTTAGTTTCCCACTCCCACAGAGTGCAATTTACTACCCGAAAATTTTCGCGCATTTTTTGAGACCTGACACGATCTTAGGGGTGGGACTAAAATCGACGAAATTCAACGCAAAAACGAGAGATTTAGAGAAAAATTATTTTTTGATCTACCCAAAAATTAACGAAAAATTTGAGGTCTAGCTATTTGAGGTAGTAAATTACACTCTGTGACTCCAAGCTTTTTCAAAAATGGGGGAACATTTTCGGGTAGTAACCCATACTGTGATATTTTTCCAACAACAAAAAAAAACTCACTTTAATAATACCTCCAGCAGTTTCGGACACTTTTACCGAAGATGCCACTAATCTCGTCAGAAAACTGGCACGATTGAACATCTCCAAATTATCTAATGAAGCCATCCGTCACCAGAAGAAATACACATTATTATCATGGGCGTGAAAAAAGAAAGCGAAGAAAAAAAACGAAGAAATGACGTGTGTAATATTGCGTCACCGTGTTTTTAAAACACCGCCACGCACTTTTGCGGGACTAACTTTTTTTCTTTCAAAAACAAAGCACGTGAAAATCAATCTAGACAGATATTTACCGGGTATACCCATGTCATAAATTAATGCACTTGGCGATGAAAAAGAAATAGAAGAATGAAATGAAGACGACGGAAAATCAATAGGACAAAAAAGGAGGCGATTAACCAAAAAAAGAAGAAGAGATTTTTTAATCATAGAGTAGATCTTTTCGTGGAAATTTTGGGTCACGAGAAAATTTCAAATGATGGAATCTACTATCAAAAATGGATTTCGAAGAAATTGGAGTCATATTTTGATTTTTACGTGACCTTTCTTTGTTTTTCGAAGAAAAAATTGCCACGATGTTGCTCAAGAGGTTATTCATCGAAAATGGGATCTTCAACATCTGCCGATTTGAAGAAAATTCTCAATCCATATTTGGAACAATACAATAGAAGCACTGAAGCTGCAAATGCTGAAGGTTGGTTGGAAAAAATGAATTTTCTGAAAAAAATAAAATGTTTTTAGAATCGGTCAAGCTTCTTCATCCTCAAGCGGTTTGCATCGAAAGAAACAAATCGGCGACTTTTGGAAAAGAAGGTATATATTTTCTATTAGAGACAAGGTGCTCACTTCTTTTCTCTACATGAGTAACAAAAACTCACATTCTCAATTTCAGCACTTCTCAAATTGTTCAAAGAATGGTATGAATTCACCGGGCCTTATATTTTCGACAAATATGATGAAAAATACACAGCGGCTGGCGATTCGATGATTATTATGGACACAAAAATGCGACTTTTGAAAGTCAAAGACAAATCGCAAATTTTGAAAGGAGAAGTTATGCATATTTGGAAAAAGGAAAACGAAAAATGGTATATTTTTTATGAACAATTTCATGTTATTGAATGAATGAATGAATAAATGAGTGACTTGTTGAGAAAATTGTTGTTTTAGTGATAAGAAAATTTAGAGGAACAAAAATATTTTGTAAATTTAATTTAAATTCAAAGGCGTAGAATTTTTGTTTGGAAAAATATAATGAAAACGAAACAAATTATAGCATTTCATTTTTTTGCAAATAAAAAAAATTCAAATAATTTTTAGCTGCAAAAAAACTTTAAAAAAAATATAAATCCATTATTCTGTTGTGAACACTGTATCCCCTAAATTGTTGGATTACTGTAGTTCAATTTGTCCCCCTCAAAAGATCAAAAAGCTTTCCCTCTCTTTTTTCCCACTCATCTACTTTTAGTAAATAAACAGTTTTTTCTCGCAAATCAGTGTTCAAAAAACCCTATCCAACTGAGTTCTCTTATTCTATGCGACTATTTCAAAATCATATTTCCGCTCGAAAAAAATTAGTGCGGACTTTAACATAAGTGCTTATCAAACATTGACAAACAACGCCTAGATTTTGCCATTCCTCGATTTTTTTGTTTTCTTTTTCCTACACATCATAAATTTTAGACTCGTAAAGATTTTTGACTTCAAGAAAGCGCCTTAATTTTTTAGTTGATCTAAAACTTTTTTATACAGAGACGAAAGTTGGACCTTTTTTATTTGAATGCATATTTTTCTACTTGTATTTTTTCTGTCCACATTTCTGCCACGTTTTTCGTCAGCCGATTTGTGTCAAAATGAAGTTTGTCAAAATGGTGGAACTTGTGTGATTGCGAGTAGTGAGTTCAATATTTTTTCCTATAAATAGAAAATGTCCAAGCAGAAAAAGAAGGAAAAATCGGAAATTGATGGTTTTTGAATTGTTTTGTTGTTATTAATAACAACAAATAACGTTATTTATGAAACTTGATTTGTCATATGGGTCAAAATATGATTTGATCGGTTAGAAAAATCATTTATTAGAAACAAAAGAAAACTAACCCAAAAAATTTTAATTCCAACTGATTGAGGGTTTTTGAAACAGTAATTTTTTTTTGAATATTTAATTTGATTTTGGTGAGGGAGAATCAATGCTAGGAGGAACAATAAAAATACTTACAATAGAGAGTTGAATAATTTTTGAAACGGTGAATTTTTGAGAAAAAAGTTACCATTTTTTGAAAATAGTTATGATGTGGCAAACTGGTAGTTTTGATGGTTTTAATTTTTGAAATTAAAAGTACGCACGAACGAAAAATCCAATTCCCAAAAATTCTTAAAATAGTAAATTTACAAAAAAAAAACAAAGGGAATTTTTTTTTAAATTTGTCCCTGTTCAAGTTTTATCTGTTGAAGTTGGTATTACTTAAACTCACTATTAGAAAAAATGTTTAATGTTAGTTATGCAAATTTCGTTCAATTTTTTGTTTTGCTAGGAAAAAAACAAAACCAAACGTTCTGAACATTAAAATATCTTTAGAATTTTTTGAAACAGCGAATTTATGCGGGATAATATTTTTTAAAGAAAATTCTACATGTCTTCAAATTTCATAAATTAACCGGAGATTTGAAAAATATTATTGTCAAAAAAGAGGAGCAATATTTCAAAAACAATATTTCAAAATTCCAAAATTGCTTCTACATTTTTTGAAACAGTAGATTTTCTGGGAGTAAATTATTTTTGAAAATGTGTTCTCTCGCCACAAAAAAAGGCATGCATCTCAAAATTTGGTCAATTTTTTTATGGATCGAAAAAATTTAAAGCAATCAGATTTTTCCAACCTCAATGATTTTCTGATAACTTTGAAACAGTAAAATTTTCATGCAAAAATAAACTCTTCAGAAGCAGATTCAAAGAAAATAAGATAAATTTGCTTGCAATTAAACTTTTTTGAAACAGTGAATTAAAAAAAAATTCAACATTTTATTCGGCTGATTCTTGGTCTGGCTTCAAATCAAACAAGAAAATGTTGTTTGCAATTAACTTATTTTTGAAACAGTGAAAAAAATCAAATTTGCAGCATCTCCTGTCACTTCCTCCTGTCCTCAAAATACACTATATTTTATGGGATACTGTTATCAGTTCGACCCAAATCTTCGAAACTGGAATGATGCCGCGCTGTTTTGCAGTAAAATTTCGAATTCAGCACTTCCATCTTTAGAATCTTCAGATGACCAGGCATTTTTTACCGGTTATTTGACAGCTATTTTACCCACACAAAATGGAATGTGGACATCGATTCGAGGAGTGAATAATATAACTAGACCTTCGTGGGTTTCTTATCCTGGATCATATTTGGTGACTGATACATTCTGGGCACCACAAGAACCTAATGTTTATTTGGATTATTTTGGTGAGTATGTTTTGAAATCATTTCAAGTTATTCAAACTCAGAGGGAGCCTTTAAAAGTTCACTTTCAGATTTTTCATAAACATTTTCTATCACAGGCTATGCCGATCAGAATTTTCCTAAAAACAAAACGCTTGTGTATTTTTTGAAACAGTTATTTTTTGTTGAAAAAAAACCTCGGATAAAAAATTGACGAAAAGCAACATTTAAAACGTGAAATGGCGTGTTTATTTTTATTTCCAAAAAGATTTCATTTCTCAAAATATTTTTTTCCAGACGTCTGTGTTTCTTTGGAAGCTCAAACCTATTATCGCGAATGGACTACAGCATTATGCACCGAGTTGAAATACACGGTGTGCAAAATTTTGCCAAGTTCTTTTAATGAACAATATGTGGGACAATGTATTTGTCCGCAAGGATACGGTGGAATCAATTGCGAGATTGGTAAGTTTTTAAAAACGTTTAAAGAAAAACTTTGGAAGAAAAAAAACACACAAATTGAAACCACGCGCGCTCCCGTCACCGCGGAGTCTCGTTGTTTTCTTCATCTTTTTTTTTAATTTTTATCGGATTTTCTCGGAAATGCATACCGAGGTCTTTTTTCAATCAAAATTTTCCAACATTATATTTTTCAGCTGATTCACAAGAATCTTCATCCTCACAAAGTCAGAATCAAAATCAAAATCAAATAACTTGCGCCAGACGAGAATTCCAATATACCTGCCCACAAAATCAATCAATAATAGTTGATTTCGCTTCATTTGGTGCCAAAGAAAGATCAAATTGTGGCCAACAAACAAGTGGTGTGCAAACATGCTCAAATGTTAATTCTCTTCAAACAGTTATCAATTTATGCCAAGGTCTTCAAAGTTGTCAGATTCAAAATTTGACGGACACTTTTAAAAATACACCGTGTCCTGTGAATGACGAATTGTTTTTGGAGACGAGGTTCAGATGTCAAGATGGTTAGTTGAAAATATTAATTTTTGATAATTAAAAAAAAAAATTCAAGAAAGTTAGATTTTTTAAAGAAAAAATAGACTGTTTCAAAAATAATAAATTTTTTAGATGGAAAATGAATTATACTCACTTCTTTTTTCAGAAACTCCGATAAGTTGCCAAAACAATGAAATAACATACAATGGAAGATGTTATAATCTGCTTCTCGAAACAAACACAAAAAAACAAAAAACGTTCGAACAATCTCAAGAATATTGTGCACAATCAGGCGGTCAATTGATATCTTCCCTCTCTCCAGATCTTCAAAATCAAATTGCTCGAAAAGCCAGATCAGCTTCAAAAAAACCAATAGATTTCTGGCTGGCAAATTGCCAACTTCTCGAAATTTCTTCATCCGATATTTCAACATCGAACTCAACTTCTTGCACAAAAGATCAAGCAAATCCAATATGTTCAACAGTTCCGCAATCAGAAATTGTGAAAAATGGACAGCGAACAACACAAAGTGCACCGCCAAATTCAGTGAATAAAGAGGATTCTCAATCGAGACAGGTTTATACTGGAACACAACCGTGAGTTGAATATTTTTGATTTGAAAAAAAAAACATGAAAAATGTACGTTTCAAAAAGAAAAAAAGATTTGTGTTCTTAAAATTTGGTGATCGATACTCTTTTGGTTATGTCTATATAGATGAGTTCAAAAATTTCCTGAAAATTTTGAAATTAGTTTTAATAATTATCGGTTATTTCGTGATTTGGCCGAGATGTGCCTCCAAAAAAATGGGAAAATTAATCCACCAGCTTGCTGTGTGTCTCCAGGAATACTGTAGATTTGAGGCGAGAACTTAAAATAAAGCCGAAAATTATTTTAAACTTTTTTTGAAAACTTCTGGATGAAAACCTTTTTTTTATTTATTTAAAATGTTAAAAATCCGGCTCTTCCCGGTTATTTCGCTAAAAAATGTGCTAAATTTGGCTCACTTGAGCTCTTCTGAATTCAATAAAAACATCAAGTTCAACGCAAAAAAAACACTGGAAATATAATAGAATAATAAGTTTCTATTTATTTGTATTTATATAGATTTTCCTCTCTTTTCGTTCATTTTTTTTGTTTTCTCTGCTTACGTATTCTACACATTAACCGGTTTTTGGTTAGGCTTTTTCGAAAATAAAAATGGTGTTGCGCAGCCATGACTCATATCAATCATTTTTTCGTTGTTTTTTTGCGGAAATCTTTTGTTTCCCTAACTGAACTGATAAGTTATTCGAACTTTTTACTGTTTCAAAAGTTTGTTGTAATTTTTTCTTGCAAAATATTTTGTTTATATCAAGAAACTTGTTTTTGTAAAAATTCTCTGTGTTGTAAAATTCTGAACCTTTTTTTGGATGTTTGAAAAAAAAACAGTTTTTGAGATGAGCTAATTTTTGAGTGTCCAGATTTCTGAAATTCTGTATTTTTAAATTTAAATTTTAATTTTATAATTTTTATTTAAAAAAATTTCCTAATTTTTTCCAAGTTAAAAAGTTCATTAGTTTTTTTTCTAGTTCGCCAAACTGTCTCCGTTTTTTTTCTTCTGTCTTTCTGTTTCTAAATTCTCGATGATCTTTGATTCTTCTACCTAAAGTTTCAATTTACTTTCTACCTACAGCAAAACTCAACTGATTCCATGGAATGAATATTTTTGCACGAATTTGTATTGTTTTGGCAGTTGTGCATTCAGCGTATGTTTCAGGGGAAAAATGCGCCAGAAATCCACTTGGCAGAGATTTTTTATTAAAGCAAAATCTACAGTATTTTAGGGCACCGTAATCTGAAGAGATTTCTGGAATTTTTATCGATAGATCAACTTTTGGTTTGAAAATTTACGTGAAAAAGCTTTGATTTTTTACACCGAATATACAGTATTCCTGCTGTTACCGTAACCTGGTAGATCAAATTTGCACAAAATAATTTTGTGTAATTTATTCAGTAACCGTCCATCTATGAAAAAAATTCAACGCCTTTCATCTGAAATGTTCCCAAAAAATTATACGTTTCAAAAATGACATAAATCAAAATTAATTTGGAATATTTTTATTCATCAACGGGATTTATGCAAAAACCTATTTTCAAATAATAATATTATTTTCAGTCCTTCAGTTCCTGATTCGATAAACAAACCAAAGTTTTGTAAAAAGGAGAAAAGAGATAGTGAGTTCCTTAAATTTGTCTATTTTTCTAACATCCCAAATTTTTCTAGACATCGAATATCCTCGAACTCGAGCATGTATGCAAAGTTCTCAAGCATGTCCAGATCCTGAAAATGTGATAGGTACAGTAACCCGCTATTGTAATTGTCAAACTGGAACTTGGGAATCACCGGATACAACAAATTGCACTCATAAATGGGTTGGAGAAGCTGAAACTGCTATAAAAAACAATCAACCGGTTGAAAATATCAGTGGAAATGTGAATATGAATTTGGCAAATACTTTGAAGCAAACACTTTTTGGAGGAGATATTACAGGAACTGTGAAATTGAGTGGAGATATGTTGGATTTGGCGAGAAGTCAATTTGATATTTTGAATGATCGAAATGTTCGAGAGACTAAAGCAAGAAGTTTTACAAAGGTTTGGTGAAATGGGAATTTTTAAAAGAAAAATAATTTGTTCACTGTTTCAAATTTTTTGTTTTTTGAAAGTTAGAGTCTCAAACTTGAAGATTACAATGAAAGATTTTTCACAATTTGAAAATCGGAATTTTGTTTGTAAAATGATTTCAAAAAATACACAAGTTTTTTTTTTTCTGTTTCGAAAACTTCAAATTTCAGAACCTCGGTGGATCCGGTGATCAACTTCTTTCCCAAACCGCTGCTTCAGTTTGGGACCAATTAACCCCAACAAATCGAATAGATCATGCATCACAATTAATGAGTTATCTCGAACAATCAGTTCTTCTTTTGGGTGAATATATGGTGGATAAAAAAATGAATTATGCATATACAAATTGGGCGATGGAAGTTGAACGGAGCGAACCCGAATTTACAAAGACTTTGGGAGGCGATGAAAATGTTCAAGATGATTCTGGAGGATTTCGAGTTATGGGTTCAGGTGCACCAGCTGCGAGTGAACCAATTAATAATACTGTAGATTTTCCCAGCTTGAAATTGACACCAACGATAACTTTGCCATCGACAAGTATTCTAGGTATGTTTTGTTTGGGAATTTTTCTTCAAATAATATTTTTTATTTCAGAAAGCCTAACGAATTCCATATCTCCACAAACTTTCCAAGCAAACGATGCTGTTGGCTCATTTTCTGTTCAATCTTCCCAATCTGAACCAAATTTGAATCGAAATCCGATAAAACTAGGATTCTACGCTTTCTCAGGATTTGGACAACTTTTGAATTATAACAATAATCATACAATGATAAATAGTCAAATTATTGGAGCATCTGTGCAAAATGCGACACAAAGTGTGAGGTGAGCATTTATTGTTGTTGAAAGGTTTTTGGTTTAGGATTTGGTTAATATGAATCTTGGGCTTTGATAAATAGCAATCTCATTGTAAAAAGTTATGTATTCACCTAAATATTTTCCGACAAAAATGTGAAAAAATATCGAAAAAATCTTCACACAAAAATTTATTTGAATTTCTTGAAACAGTGAAAAAAAGGTTGAAGAAAAATTTCAAAACATTGATTTTTTAAACTTATCGTATTTTAAAATCCAAATTCTGATGAATACATGTTTTCTGGTATTGTCAAGAGTCAAAAAAAAACACATCAAGTAAATTTTAAAATAAAATATTATACCAATCATTTGAAACAGTAAACATTTTTTGAATAAAATTTTGGACAAACAAACAATTTCGAAGGTTAGAGCAAATTATACATTTTCCATGAAAACCTTCATTATTTTTCTGAAACAGTGAAACATTTTTGAATAAAAAATTCTAAATTATTTCCAGTCTTCCCGCTGATCATCCCGCAACTTTCACATTTCTCCATCTACAAACAAAAGGAGTCAGCAATCCTCGATGTGTTTATTGGGATCTCGAATCAAAGAAATGGTCAACAATGGGTTGCACTTTGATATCGACTTCTTATAATGCAACACAATGCTCTTGTACACATTTGACCAGTTTTGCTATTCTCATGGATGTTTCTGGACAAGTTGGTAGATTTTCTGGAAATCTTTCGTCTGCTCTTGATGTTATTTCAACAATTGGATGTGCTATTTCGATTGTTTGTTTGGCGTTGAGTTTTTTGGTTTTTACGTTTTTCAGGTGAGTTTTTTGGAAGAATTTTCAGAATCAATTTTGGAAAAATTTCACAGTACAATAAATATATTTGGAAGAACAAAAACGAACTCTTCTTGAATTTCTAATCTATTCTCAAATTCCAGAAACCTTCACAATGTCCGCAACTCAATCCACCGTAATTTATGCCTCTGTCTTCTCCTCGCCGAACTCATTTTTGTCATCGGCGTCGATCGAACTGGAAATAAAACAGGATGCAGTGTTGTCGCCCTTCTTCTCCAATATTTTTTCTTGGCTTCATTTTGTTGGATGCTTCTTGAAGGATATCAATTATATATGATGTTGATTCAAGTTTTTGAGCCAAATCGAACTCGAATATTTTTGTATTATCTATTTTGTTATGGTTGTCCAGCTGTTATTGTTGCTGTTTCAGCGAGTATTAAATGGAAGGATTATGGAACTGATAGATAGTGAGTTGAATATTTTTTGGGATAGGAATTTGATAAATGGAATATTTTTTAGTTGCTGGATTGATACATCAACTCCAACTTTATGGGCATTTATTGGACCAATAATTGTTGTAATTGCGGTTAGTTTTACGAGCGGAGCGAGTGTAAACCGCGAGCTGGAAAAATTATCCTAACTTTCTTGAGTTCATCTTCATTATTTTTAAATTTTCAGGCCAACATGTTATTCTTGCTGATTGCTCTCAAAGTCGTTTTATCAGTTCACAGTCGAGATCGAACAAAATGGGATCGTATTATTGGATGGCTCAAAGGATCAGCAACACTTTTATGTCTTCTAGGTATCACTTGGGTTTTCGGATTCTTGACAGCTGTAAAAGGTGGAACTGGAACAGCATTTGCTTGGATCTTTACAATATTAAATAGCACTCAAGGAGTATTCATATTCTTTTTACACGTTGTGATGAATGAAAAAGTGCGAGCATCAGTTATGCGATGGCTTCGAACTGGATTATGTTGTCTGCCAGAAACATCAAGTGCCGCTTACAATTCTCGATCATTTTTGAGTAGTCGACAAAGAATTATGAATATGATTAAAAGTAATGGAATAAGTTATCCAAGTACAGCAAGCACTGATGATAAAGAGAAACAATTGACACCGATTAGAAAGACTGCCGAATGGTTGGCAAATCAACAGAATCATAGTGAAAGTGGGAATAGTATTGAGGATGAAGATATTGGAAGTGGAAATATGAATAGTGGGGATATAACGGATATAACGGAGAGAAGACGAAATAACAATGAAATTGAACATCATGATATTGTTAGTCGAACGAGTTCAGATCCAAGAGGATCTATGGTAAGTCTTTCAATAGTTCAGGATCCCACAAAATCAGTTTTTCGAGTAGTTTTCTAAATTTGAGAGTTTAATGTGATTCTCAATATTTTTCGAAATCGTAGGACGCTAGAATAGAATTTAAAAAAAATTCATTATACTTTCTCGAAGATTTTTATTCTAAAATACGACAAACAACAAAAAACAATTTGGAAAAAATCATTTTTTCCAAAGTTAGAATTTTTCAAAAGTTTCCATCATTTGTTGTGATATGGTAATTGGTCAATCTCAATGTTTTCAGTTTGAACAATAACTTGTGAACATTTCTCTTTTCTTGAAAACATTTTGACATGAACAGTGATAACATTTGAAATAGCATTTCGATAATTTTTGATGATTAAAATAACTGGAAATGGATCTAAAGCCGGAAAAATGGCAAGTGTGATAGATACAAGTAGGCTCGAATGTCCTAGATCAATACTAAATAGTGTGAAAACAAAAAGAAGACAGACAGGGAAGTGCATTAAAATTAAAGGGATAAGAGTCTGTGTAACCAATGCGTAGAATAATTGGTATTGAAGATGATTTAATTTTCGAGATTGAATGGAATTAATATCTGAATGTAATTCTATGTAGCATCTTATTGCAAAAAATGCGACTGTAAATATTGAAATGTTTACAAGTGTTAAGACAATGATAATTCCAATCAAACTCTTCTCATTGATTTTAAATTGACCGTTTTCGGTCTTTTGATAAATATACGGGCCGACATATGCAATATTCTCAATTTCCCAATTGAATTCTTCTTTCACTATCGATTTCATAGTATGATCAATAGCATCGTTTGGTGGGAGAAGAAAATGCGCGGCCAATATCCAGATAACTCCAAAACTTGGTGGAATAATCATCCAAAGAATGATTTTTGGATTATTGAAACTTCGAAGCATTTTTGATTTACAAACTACAAAATATCGATAGATAAATTGAATGGCAAATAAGCCCATAAAATTTCCAAAAAATCCACCCCAAACTGATATTAATGGAACCGCGAAACTCTTTGGAACTGCAAAATTTGTAGAAATACATATAAAAATTGACTGATGTGAAAGTATAATGGGTTCTACAATTACATCAATACATGAAAACAACACTTCAAAAAGTGAAATATTAATCATCAAATATTTATATGATCCGAGTTGTTTTGGTGATTTTGTGATAATTAGAACGATAAGTAATAGATTACCAATAATTGAAATTAAAGCTGCAATTTCTTGAATCTGGCGAACTGTTTTATCCCAATTCATAATTACTTTGAAGCTTCAGCGAAAACAATAACAAATGAACAGACTATTTTTAATACCATAGAATAAGTGCGTTTTCTTTTAAGGACATACATAGGAAAATGTGATATTTTTTGTATTGTACTTTGGTTTTTAATTTCTTTAACTCGAATTATTATTCGTATATATCTGTCTAGCAAACGAATGAAAAGCGTATTCTTTCTCGTCCAAAATTTCGTTGATGTTATCTTCAAGTATCTGAGTTTTCCGAAATTCAATTCACAAAACTTGCAAAAGCAGTAAATAAATTTGAAACTCACAATGAAAATTTTCTAATTTTTTGAAAGTCCGATCAGATATAGCTTTTAGTAACATGAAAGGCGTAGCATCTATACAATAGGTTCTAAATGTTTCTATTTTCTTTTTGAAACAGTGATAATTAGAAATACTCATTGTCAGAAACAGTGAAAAATTATGCCCATCCCACAATTTTCTAAAACATCTAACCTCCTTCACCAAAATCATAATTTCTTTTTTTTTTCAGATAATCGAAGTGACGCACGTCGAAAAAAAGGCGCCAGTAAAACGAAAAAAGTTCCCACTTGGCGCGAAACAAAGTGAACGAGGATCTCAACACATTTCGAATACGAATTCGCAAACGCAATCAAATTCGAATAAAAGCAATAATAATAGTAATCAACAACACAAAAATTAACGAGCCATCGTAAAAATTGTGAAGTGAAATTGTATATAAATAGCGGGTTTAAATTTATTATATGTGATTTTTGTTGTCTTAATAAAAAATATGACAGTTTATTCGATTTTTGTAGTTTTATTACTGATTTTTGATTTTGTGGAGGCGAGACAATTGACTGAAAGAGAAGCGAAATTATTGAAAAACAATTGTGGAAGATATGTTGAAGGTTAGTTTGAACACGATTTTCCGTAAGGTCCCGGAATAAAGTTTTCATGAAGGGCTCTACTCCAACTACAGTAATCTTCATAATTTTGTGTACATTTCAGGATACCAAGGAGTCGATTCAAAATCCCCAAAAAGTGTACCCGAATCTGAAGACAATTACAAAGTTCTTTATGGAAAAGAGGCTTCTGAATCACAAGCTCCGTGGGCTGCTTCAATTGCGATTCGTTTTCCAAGTGGGAATATCAATCATACAGCAAGTGGAACTCTTGTTTCACCATTTCATATTGTCACAGCTGCACATGTTATTGGAATTTCAGCGGATCCTGCGCCAGATTGTGAAACTGGAGAAATGTGAGGTTTTTCGAATTCTCTCTTTGAGTTGTTAGGATAACCTTCTATTTAACCCACGTAATCTTTCCAGGAAAAGTGCAAAATTTCTGCATGGCGCTAGAGACTTTGTGGTTTATCTCAACACAACTTGTGCCGATGAAAATGCGTGTAATACAAAAGATGGATTGGTGCCAAGAAGTGTTTCAGAAGTTTTTGTTCGAAAAGGATATGTTGGAGATGGATGTTTCAATCGTGAATCTTTCAACGATGTTGCGATTCTCGTTTTAGCTGAGCCAGTTGAATTCAGCTCGCATATTTATCCGGCTTGTATTGGAAAAACTGACGCGAGTTTGGAGAATGAAGAAATTCGACTTTTTGGATACGGAAGAGATCGTAAGGGTTTCAGAAGTTTATGAGGATTTTTAAAGTTTTCTAGCATCCGCCGAAGGCCAAACCATGGGAATTCTCAAATACCAAAACGCAAAATTCGGAATCTGCCCAACAACTTTCAATACAACTGGATTACTGTGTGTGAATCCACTGAAACAGGGATTAGCTTGTGATGGTGACAGCGGCGCCGGTTACATTCATAAACAAAATGGGCGAAAAGCTGTGGAATTGGTTGGAGTTTTATCAGCTGGTGCAAATTGTGAATTTGTTCGCAATAAACATATTAAAGAAGATGCTAGTGAGTTTGAAAAAATGGAACAATTCAAAAATTTGAATTCTAGAACACAAGAAACGAACTCAAGAAGCTGATTTTATTGTGGATGTTGGAAGACATAATGATTATTTTTGCGCGTGTTGTGGATTATGCTAATCCCTTTTTTTTCTGATTTTTTCAAACTTTTTAAAAGAAAATGAATAAAATACTATTTGGGAATAAATGAATCCGGATGAGAACTTTGAATTTAATTTGAAATTCTGACAGCATTTTGATATCAAATTCGAAAAACCACGTGGAATTGCTCTGTGTAAAAAAATATTCAAATTTGCCACGTCATTCAAACCTTAAAAACTCCAGAAATTTTTTATGTAAATTCTTCTTTAAAAACATAATGTTTTAAAAATATTAGAAATTATTGAAAAATTCAGCAAACAAAGCTTTGAATAAAACCTCAACATATATTTTTCAGAAATCAAAGTTTTAAACATTTGCCACGTCATTTGCAAATCAAAAAATTCATTCAAATTCAACCCTAACAAAGTTTAAATTCTTTTTGAAGCATATATTTATGAGTTTCTGAATTTTTCACAGCTCTGAATCGAATTTTTGGCGATACTCCTGATGTCCAAATATTTTTTGCTGTGAACTGAACCAAATATTTCAAAACATCTTTTTCCACAAATTTGGCTTCTAGAATTTCGGTGTTAAACCCACTTCGAAATTCGAACTTATTATGATCAACCAATTTTTCGAGAGAAAATGGAATATTTGCATAATTACATGTTTGCATTCTATAAGGATCTGTTAGAATATCAATAAAATCTTTAGATTTTTCAAGATTTCTGTAGATTTTGTTGAGATCTTTTGCGATGTCCAAAGCTGAACAATGTTTTGAATAACTATCAATGAGGTATTCTCCATTTTCTTGTTGTAATTCAGCTTTGAAAAAATATTCTGGATTATCACCGATTCGAAGAACCAGTGTTGAATTTTCGAAATATGCAAATCCGTTTTTGTTTGATAAAACAGCGATGACATCTTTTTGTGATTCCAGTGAAGATTGCGAAAATCTTCCCGAACAATCAGCTGCCCAAATTGGATCAGAAAACATGTTCAAGTTACCATTTCTGATTTTGTTTTGTAGAGTTTCGCGTAATTTTTCAGCTTTTTTAAGTTGAAAATTAGCGAAAATATGAGGAATAAGAAAAACGAAGAGAAAAATCATTTGAATTGACATGATATTGAAACTTGGAAAGATGATAATAAATGTCTGTCGCAAGTTCATAAATTTTATGCCTGGTGGGATTTGTTTTCTGAGAAAAAAACCTGAAAAAATGCGATTGATGAAACTTAGTTTTCAAAGCATCAAATTTACAATAGAGTTCAAAACAATCTTCAAAAAATTGAGAACATTTGAAATTGTTCTTTGAAATAGTAACAGTTATAATATTTGGAGTGAACTTTCTCAGGAATCAACCAAATTTGAAGGATTTTTGAAGCAGTGAGATATTTTTCAAGAATTTAGGTTTTGTGAGTTCAAGAATTAGGAACACAATTTCACATCCCAGCAAATTGAAACATTTATTAAAAATCAATGTAATCTGATTGGAGCAGTGAATTTAAAAATTTACTTCTCAAAGATTCGAAGAACTGGATTTACAATGGATTTCACAATATCTCCCAAATTGAGTTCTTTCGGATTTATGTATTCTTTTTCTATCATATATTTTTGAGATTTTTCATTTCTAACAGCAGTGAATTCAACTATTGTTGGCTTTCCGATGTTTGAGAAGTACATTAGTTTGAAATTAATTGTGTGATTCAATAATCCTGATTTAACAAAATCAGCTGATTCAATATGATCATAATATCCATGTCGAACATCGAAGTTGTTGACTTTATTATAATCAGCCAACCTTTTGAGAGAATAAGTGGTAATATCAATATTATTATTTTTTAAATCACGTACTCCGATTATAAAAGGAACAATGAGAAGTTCAGCAAAATTCTTAGTAGTTCCTAGATGTTTATAGATGTTAGTAATATCTTGTGCAGTATCGTAAGCTGAACAGTGTTTCATTATTTGGTCAACCAAATATGCTCCGTTTTTTTGTAACTTGGCTTTGAAATAGTACATTGGGTTATTTCCAATTCGAATAACAGTTTTTTGATTTTCTGTATAGGAGAACCCGTCTTCAACAAAAAAAAGATTAGTTATATTTTTGTAATATTTCAATGGTGTTGGTCCTGCATTGAATCTTCCGGAACAATCAGCAATCCAAATCGGATCAGAAAACATACTGAAGTTGCCATTTATGACTTGATTTTTCAGATTTTTCGCAAATTTTGGATCAGCTGCTCCAATCTCTGAGTTGACAAAAACAAGAGAAATTAGAAAAACGAAGAGAAGAATCATTGAATTGAAAATGAATCGAAATGATATTGAAACTTGGAAGATTGATAAAAAAATGTCTGTCTTTCATAAAGTTTATGCTTGGTGGGATTTGTTTCCTGGGAAAAATGCGAACAATGAATAATTTATTTATTTTCTGATTGAAACAGTGAATTTAAAATAAATCTTCAAAAATTGGGAATATTAAAAATAAAAAAAAACATTTTCTCAAGGATCAATAAAATTAAAGAGTTTTGTTTGAAACAGTGAAATATACTTCAAAATTTTTAGAAAGAGGTCGTTTCGGAATCTTCTAGAATTATGAAATTTGAAGTAAAACAGTTGTTGAAACAATGAATTTAAAAAAAAAGAAAACTTTATTAATCAACACCGGTAACCTGAATCATTTTGAAAAAAAAACAACGAGGAAAAATGGGAAATCAGAGAAAATAATATGGCAAGTGGATTTCTGTGTGGGGGCAGTTTTTACATATAACATTATATTTTTTTTTGGAATGTTTGGAGAATAGTTTTTTTGGATTTGACTAGAATCGGATTGGAGGAGGCTACGGTATCTACAAAATAAAAATGTAACAGGAAAATGAGCAAATGATTATAGAGCTCTCCATTTTGAGATATCGATTTCTGGTAGATTTGAACATGGGCTAAGTTGAGAGCCAGGTAGAAGGAAAGCGTCCTGAAAAAATGTTAGAAGAAGTTCAAAAACTATTAATTACCTGTGAAATCAATTCAAAACTATCCGAATTATCACAAATAATTCGAGAAAGTGATACTTTTTTCAATTGTTCAACTTGATCTGGTGTAAAGATTCCTGGATTTTCAAAATAGAATCTGTCGCCATCTCGACTTCGTTTAAATTGTTCCCCAATTACACAACTCAATGTTGTTCCAACCAAACCACCGACTACTGGATCTTCTAACATTGAACCGACGTAGAAATCGACTTCGTCTGAAATGAAAAATATTAGGAGGAGAAGGGGTGGAAGTTGAGATTTACAAAACAGAGACCTGGCCTTTTAAAAATCAAAAGTTGCCGGGTAAAAAACTAAAATTAAAATTTTAGCGCCAAAATCCACGTGGGAATATTAGCAAAATCCAATGATAACTCAAACTTTCTCTCTTGTGAGAATGTCAAAATTTTTTTAAAACGTAAAAATTGAAATTCTTACTTGTAGCATTATAATTTCTCTGTAATCCAGCTCTCAAATTCTTATCCAAAATCATATCTGAAAAATCGTCAAAAGTTTTTGCCGATTGCAAACCACAAAATTGTCTCATTTTATCATAAGATGGTATTCCATGATCTCTTCCTCTTTGAATATTTAATGACCCCAAATCTGTTGATCCAAACATTTTTTCGGTGATTGCAGGTGTCATTCGATGTGGTCTTTTGACTGCAGTGCTCATAAATCCACGAAGAATCGGATCAATTCCACCTTCGAACAGGATTTTGCCGGATTTGAAAACACCATCTCCGAAAAAGAATCCACCATCTGTAATGTTATTTCCAGATACATCGATTCGCCGGTAGAATTCCTGGAATAAAAAGTTTTTGTGAAAAATATTTCACTGTTTCAAAACTTCTATGAATAAATTTTGGAATTTTGAAATTTCGATCTGTCCTAAAAAATTAAATAAAAAAAACTTTAAATTAAAAAAAATTTAAATGTTTTTTTCGTATCAAAAAAATCGGTTTTCAAAAAAATATCGAGAAAAATTTAACTGTTTCAGAAATTTCATGAATAAATTTTGGAGTTTTGAAATTTCAGTTCTTCCATGCTTTTGTTCTCAATATTCGATGAAATGAAAAAAAAGCAAAATCAAATTGTTTTAAATTTTGCCACGTCACCATGTTCAAAGTTAACATAAGTATATTATGAGAACTAGATGTTTTTTTTAATTGAAAACGAATCGAATTTCAGAAAAAAACTCCGGGAAAATTTTTTATGAGTACATTTTGGAATTTGGAAATTTTGAATTTTGGATCTGAATTTTGCCACGCCATAACTCATGTTCAGAGTAGATTTTGAGAACTGGTTAAAAAACATTCTAGAAATCTCATATGTTTTTTCCTCACCTCAATCATTCCATGACCAAATCGGAAAGCAGAAGTTGTAAATTCATTGGCAATTGTCGAATCAACATTCGGATCATATCCTTGATAATTTCCAATAACTTTTTCAAATGAATTTCCCAACAGTTTCGGTAAATATTCCTTATATAAAATACTCTGAATTTCAGCGCCTACAATTTTTCGAGCTTCTTGGAAAACTCGATCTCCAGACCAAGTTGGATTTAGGGATGTTAATTTTTGTGCAAGTCTGAAAAACGAAGAATTATTTATATCTTCAAAAGTAAAAATACCGATTATGTTCGCGTGCAAAAATAGTGTGAAGAGAGCTCAATCCAATAAATAAATTAGCTCGAATATCTCCGGCTGTAAAAGAAGCAGTACATTTTTCCTTATTCAAACATTTCGATTGATCAAATGGCAATAAATTCTGATTATTAAATCGACTTGTTCTCAAAAATCCAGTTCTACCATCTCGGAATTTGTGCAAATCTTTTGGTGAACTTCCATAAATCATACTTGCATCAATATATGCTGTATTTTCATTTAATTGTTCTCTTGGTTCAGATCGACAAATTGGAGCTGATCGAGACACTTTTAGACATTGTTTTGAGCGGAAACCGAGATTTGGATCTCGTTCGCCGATTGGAATTGGCATACATTTTGAGGGGACTGGTTCACAGGTTTTACAATTTGCTGATGGTTGGAGAGTGGTTTTTGACATGTCGTGCGATAAAAATTGACCGAATTGCATCATCATGTTGTTGAACTGCAAAAAAACATTATTTTTTGAAACTTGGAACTGATTGTGAAAATGCAGCATGAAGATATAATTGAATCATCTGTTATGTGTTTAAAAATTCAAATAAAATTTCTGAAACAGTGAATTTTTTCATATGATTTTTTTTGTTGAATAAATTGTTTTTATTAGGCATCTGCTGGTTGAAATAAAATTTTTGAAACAGTAATTTTTTCAAAAATTTTTTCAACATTTTTTTGAACCAGTATGAACTTCTGGATAATTTTTAATCTGACCACCGAAAGCAAATCACACTTTTTTAATTTTAAATTTAAAAAGATGTTTTGAAGTTCAGAATTTTAAAATTTTTTATGTAATTTGTATTTACCATCAAAAATAGTAACTTTCTGAAATAAAAGTTCTGAAACAGAAAAGTTTTTCGAAATAATTCGTTTGAATCAAGTTTGTTGCACTGATTTTGTTTCTGTTTGAGATAATATTTTTGAAACAGTTAATTTTTTTTGAACAATTTCAGAGTATTTTTGTTTTAAAAATTAGAGACAGAGTTTAACGGTTTCGTTAGTAACATTTTGAACAATATAAAAATTTTTAAACAGTATTTTTTCCTGTCTTCTATTAATAGAAAAAGCGTGGTCATCCCATTAGAAAAATAGAATTTTCTAAAAGGGTTATACATTTTTTGAAACAGTGATATTTTTTCAATAAATTTTACATGTAGTTTTTTTCCAACCCTTCTAAAACCTTCTCTCACCTTATCATGAACAACAGATTGTGCAGAAGATAGCATAACTCGATTAGCTTCTCTAGCACTTGGTCTCGTTTTATTGATCGATGCTGAAAATTCCAGATTTTTTTTCGATTTTTTCTCTCAAACCCACCAACAGGTTCGCCTTTTCCATCATCATATTGTGGTGGAAAATGTCGAATAAATCTGCGGAATGCTGAACCTTGCATTGGTTTTTCGAGGTTATTACAAGTTCCATCGAGAGTACGGTACATCATGTGATAGCAAAGATTTTTAGAGCAATCCACCCCAGCTGGATTCAACTAGAAAAGTATTTTTTGAAAATAATATTTTAATTTTTCTCAAAAAACAGCTTACCTCAGGAACACATCCCAATGGAACACTTCTTGTGACGTCATCAATCGATAATAAATTTCTTCCAAAATTATCTTCCACTGGATTTATCAATCTTGAAATAGCCATTAATTCTGAAGCACTTTTTATTTGTTCTTTGACTGCTTGACAAGTTGAAACTGGCGAGAGTTTTGATTGTGGAATTGTTACAGTTGTTGTTGGACCAGAAGCTGGAAAAATGAGGGTTTTTTTGGTTTATAGAAACGTGAGCTATGACGTGGCAATTTAGAAATGTTTTAAAAAAATTTCATTTTTATTTCGAAATTTAGAATTTTTTAGAAAAAGTGAAATTTCTTGATCAAAATTTTTTTTTGATTTATTTTTATTTCATTCTAAAATCAAATTTGATTTAAAAAATCTGGATAATATAAAAAAAATTGTTCATTGGAAAATTGAACTGTTTCAAAAAATAAAATATGATTTTTCGTATGAACCTCATGACATTTCGAAAAAGTTCCAGGCGAAAAGTTCAATGAGTTCTCAAAAATTTACTGTTTCAAGAATAGTTGAAAGAAAACATTTTTGTGATCTGGTTCTGTTTTCCTAAAGATCACCTCTCTCGCACACATCTATTTATTTCAAAACTATAATCTTTTGACTACCATTTGAAATAAATTGTTTTTTCGACCTTCGTAATTTTGGTATCAAATACACGGAAGTTATCAAAAAACAGGAGTGTGTGACACATTTTCAAAATCAAAATCAAAAATCAAAAAAAACTTACGAGTTGTTGTCAAAAGTGGAACTGGTGGTGCTAGACAAGTTCCACATGCCAGCTGACAATTTTCAGACATCCAATCTTTGTTGGCCTAAAAATTTCAGATATGTTCTGGATAGTAGATTATAAATACTCACATTACATTCTCCAATACTTGCCCAAAATCGACACCATTCATGATGATCACAACATCCATTTGTTAAACATTTGAATCGATCAGTAATGGGAGGACTTAGAGTTTGAGCATCTATTCGAAAATCTGCAAATTTTTGAGTTATGTTAAGTTGTTTCCCTGGTTCAATTTTCAAAGAAGCACTCGAAAAAGTCAAGTGTCATTCTTTTAGGTTACAAAAAATAACCTTGGAAGTTAGTTACAACAATAGGATTAAATTTTTATAAGTAGGTTAGGTCATTTTGTGTTCTATTTTTTCATGTTCCTGATTCCAAAAATAATATTATTCTGAAAAATTTTGAAAAACTTCTAACCTGACCCCATTAAAAACTTTTTCCCTGAAATTTCGAATTTCTCTCGGGTTGAACAACAATGGACAGTTAAAAAACAATAATTATCTAGTGAATTGATCTAATTATAATGTTTCAAACGTATGAAATAGTATATGGGAATGAGAGACGCAGACGAGAAAATGAGCAGGTTTTTTGGGTTTTACTTTTTGAGAAAATGGTTTTTTTCGTGGACACAAAATGTTTTTTTTTGGTTGAATGGTTTTTGGTTGGTGAAATATGGAAAATGTTTGGGAAGATTTGATCTATAAAAAATTCACTGTTTCAAAAATAATATATATAAGTTTTTGTAAAATCAGCAAAATATTGCTTCTTGGAATCGAAGTTGAATTAAAAAAAAATCGCTCTCAAAAATTTACTGTTCCAAAATTGAATGAAGAAAATTTTCGAAATATTACTTTGCTGTCAGTTATAAAAAAAAATATTTTTAAAAATTTCACTGTTTCAGAAATAATATGTGATAAAACAAGTTAGTAGAAAATCGTTTTGTAGATTTATCAAATCGGTACATAATTTGATTTCTCGATCATCCAAAAATTTTGAAAAATGCACTGTTTCAAAAATAAAATTATTTATTGAGAAAAATTTCGATTTGCTCAAAAAACATTTAACAAAAAATATGTTCACAAACAGTTCACTGTTTCAAAAATAAAACAAGATAATTTGTGAATTTTGAAAATTGTTCATAATTTCTACGGGTTGTCAAAAATCTCAAGTTTCCATTAAAAAATTAAAAAAGATTTTCAATTTTTTTAGGCCGAATTTCGAATTAAAAACTGTAGGAATTTTACTGTTTCAAAATATGATTAAACAACTTTGAAACATTTTAAAAATTCATAAGGTGAAGTTAGGAGAAAAAATTTAGAGAAGATATAAAAAAATCACTGTTTCAAAATTAAATTCAACATGATTTTTGATTACAGAAAATTGTTCTTGATTTTTTCGAATTTTCAAAAAAAATGATACTCCACGTGAACTATTTCTAACCAATACAAACTCATTTCCATAAATTATTATCACTGTTTCAATGATCCTCTAAAACTCTCATCCTTATTTCAACCCCAATAATGTCTTTTACCCAAAGCAAAAGTTCCAGATTACTACAATAAATGTCCCATAAATCAAAAAGTGTAAGATGCAAGATCTGGATTTCCGCCAAATTTTTTCGTTTTCTTGGAACTATTGATTATTGCTTCTAAATCCCTTGATCTTATTATTATTATGTAACATATATAATCAATCCCGTATCAATCCAACCACAAAACCCAACCCAAAAAAATACATAAATAATATTTTTCTTCTCCCCCGAATATCTGCTGTCTCATACAAGATTTTCTTTCCGCAATCTTGGCTTATCTTTTTGCTGTCTGCCAAGAAACGATTTGCTTGCGCAACAATTTCGAAAATGATCCAGATTATTGATTTTTTGGAGATGAAACTGGTATAGGTTTCTGTCATTCTCAATCTGGTAGCAATTAAAAGATGTTTCAAACATTTTTTGGCGGTGAAAGTGACAGGGGAAGATTTTATGTTGGCAGCGAGAGAAATTTGAATAAAAATCAAAGTTAAAATATTTAGCTGAAAAATTGCACGGGGTTGGCAATTTTCAGGAATTTTTGAACCAAATATCTACTGTTTCAACATATAAAATTTTTGATTTTCAAATTGAAAGGGCTAATTTCATGCTCTTTTGATATCTAAATGCTCAGGAACAAAAATCCTAGGCTACAGAAAATCTACCTTTTTAATAAATCAAAAATTATAATCCACATATTTCAGAACATTTTGGAATTTTTCTTCAGATATTACTGTATTAAATAATTCTGGAACACAAATTTCAGTTTTTGGGATTTACAGATTTTTTGGCCATTTTTCCTAATCTAATTTTTCCCCCTAAAAAATCCCCCACATCCCATAAAGATTTATTCATTTTTTTCTTCCAAAAAAATCAAGTTTTCTCCTACTTTTTACTCATAATTTAATGGACCATATCATCTTACTTTCCCTCAAATCAGAGATTTCTTTTGGTTTCCAAAAAAAATTATAAAAATCTGTCCTAACACCTTGTAAAAATAAAAACCACTTGTTCTAAACACGACTTTTATTATCGCTTTTTCTTCGCTTCTTGCGCAATTTCGATATTTTATGATTGATATCATTTGAAACAATATAAAGACAGGTGATAGAAAAAAACGAGAAATTCGACGGAAAAAAGTTGATTTCCGTTCCAGTTTCAGACAAAAATCTGGAACTATCAATCGGTAAGAAAAATCTTGCAAAGAAAAACAATGAAAGATCGGAGGGTTTGATAAATCAAAGAATTTTGAAACAGTTGAATTTTTTATTTTGGGATAAAATATTGTGTTTCAGTATAAAGTAGGTTTTTACATATATACAGTAAATTTTAAAGTAAAAAAAATATTGAAAAAAATCTACTGTTTTAAAAATAATACTTGTTTCAGATAAAAACTACTGTTTCAATTGATGAATTTATGTTGAAATAAAAAGAATTAGATAAAATGTCGAAAAATTGAAACTTAAAGTAGGTTTTCAATAAAAAATATTTTTGAAACAGTGAATTTTCTTGGGGAAAAATGCTTATTTCAAAAAATTCATTGCTCCAAAAGTGGTACATATTTTTTTAAATACTAAATGTTTTTGGTAAAATTATAGAAACAGAAAACTTTCTAAAATTAAAAAAATGCTCCCATACAGTAACCCAAAAACCCCAACCCAAAACAACACACAAACCTGCCAATAAACTGATAGTCGAAAACCAAACTAGATACAAAAATATATGGCTCCTTCTTTTGCTCATCGCCGAAAAATTGTGGCTGGCTGGAAAAAATATAACTCTACAGGCACCGAAAAAATGGGGGCGGAGCTCTTGCGCCTCTAAAAACCAACCAACCCCAAGAAAAATGAGTAGAGACACACGACAACAAAACAAAATAACCTTGCCCAAGGCTAAAAAAGAAAAGCAGCCAAGAATGAGAGAAAAAGAGGGTTTAGAGAAAAATGACAAAAATGACACAGAAAAATAAATGGAATGAAAAAGAAGGCGGGAATTGAAGATACTGTCTCTCCCTTCTCATGTGTTTTTTATCTCCTTTTGGCAGATGATAAAAATAAGAAAAGTTGACTGAAAAAGTTGTAATTTCACTTTTCATGGAATTTTTCGAGAATACTTATCAAATCAAATCAAAAACAAAATAGCGAGAAAAAACGCGGGTGGTTTCTGGTGTTTTCAAGAATTTTTTAGGTTGATAAGAGGAGAAGAGAGTTAGTGGAAATCAAAAGAACACTGTACATAAAGAAGCGAAAAGCATAATAACAAGAAAATATTCACACAAAAAATTATGAAAATATTTGAAACAGTTAAAAATTGTGGAATTTAAAGCTATACCTCTAAACTTCTAACAATGATAATTTCAAAATTTAAATTTCGGAGTTTTTTTCTGACACATCAATCAACAAATGTTTGTATTTAACAAAAATTATTCAAAAAATTTTGAAACAGTGAAATGAATATATTTTTCGATTAGAAACTTTGCAATAATATTTCGAAAATGTTTAAGCTCCAATACTACCGGAACTTATTATTTGGTTTAAGATGCCGACAATGAATCAATTAATTTTTGAAATGAAAATATTATAAAATATCTCGAAACGGTGAAAAAACAATTTTGAAGATACAGAGAAAATATTCTAGTGTATTCACATCCGCGTCAATCAAAAAATGAACCTTTCATGAAAACCTTTATGATTGTTTTGAAACAGTGAAAATTTAGGATAATTTTGAATGGGTTAGTCTGCCTAAAAATGCATAGACTTGTGTTAATACAGTTTTTCCTTCAAAAATATTACTGTTTCAATATTTTCCAAATGTGAATACACTAGAATATTTCTGAAACTAAAATTTTTTTGAAGATAAAAAATTAAAAACAACAAAAAGCAAAGTGTGAGATTTTCTATTTTTAGCGAATATTGTTTTTAAATATTATTCAATGTCCGAAAAAATTGAGAAAATTGCTGTTTCAAAAATTACAGACTAATCTAACTTATTTTCTCAAAATCAATCATACTCCCGCGATCTTTTGATCAAATAAAAATTCCAATCCAGATGTCTCTATTTTTATTACCCAAATTAATTTACAACTTTGCTTAACCACAAGTAACTTGTTTAGTTCTCGATCAAAAAAAATCATTATTTATATTTGCCTCAACCCCTCTCAATTATAAATTATTCCAATCATCAAAAAATGACCAAACCACAAATAAAAAACTTCTCAAAAGAAACAACATTTTTTTTCTCAAAATAATTTCAAATTTATTGGCAAAGTGCCACTTGATCTATGAATTATGGAAAAAAAAACTTTAGAATTTCGAAATCTACATTTGCATTTTGTTTATACATTTAATAAATACTAACGAAAAAAATCGAGGAAAATTACACATTTTCTTTTCTCGACTTGATAATGAAACAGTAGTAAAAAAAGAGAACGGAATTACGAAATTACATTAAAAAAGAGACATCAAAATTGGTAAGTTTTTTTTTGTGATTCGAGAAAAAAAGAACATTCCAATGAAGGTATTGTTTTACAAAGAAAATGAGTCATTTTTAGGAGAGAGAGAGAGAAAAAAGGTGAAATTTGGAACGCTCAAATATTTCGTAGAAACCAACAAAAATTCACTGTTTTGTTGAGAGATTTAGAGAAAAATTATTTTTGATCTACCTCAAATATATATGATAGAAAAAGAATACAAACCATTTGCAAATTGATTTTTAATGAATGTTTTTATTTACAGCTGTGATGTAAATTTTAAAAAAAATGTTTTTTCAATGTTTCAAATGAAAAAATAATAATTCTTGAAGATTCCAAATTACTAAAATTTTGAAAAATATTTCACCGTTTCAAATTAAACTCTATGTTCTGAAGATTATTTCAATGAAACATTTCGGATGTTCTCAATTATGAAGAGTTATTTTGAATTTACTGTTTTAATCAGAATATATAAAATTATTCATTTGTTCGCATTTTTCCCAGGAAACAAATCCCACCAGGCATAAAATGTATGTCTCCGCGACAAACATTTTTTATCAATCTTCCAAGTTTCAATATCATGTCAATTCAAATGAATCTTCTCTTTGTTTTTCTTATTCCTCATATTTTCGCTAACTTCCCAGCTTGAAAAAGCTGAAAAATTACGCGAAACTCTACAAAATAACATCAGAAATGGTAACTTGAACATGTTTTCTGATCCAATTTGGGCAGCTGATTGTTCGGGAAGATTTTCGCAATCTTCACTGGAATCACAAAAAGATGTCATCGCTGTTTTGTCAAAGAAAAATGCATTTGCATATTTTGAAAACTCGACTTTAGTTCTTCGAATCGGTGATAATCCAGAATATTTTTTCAAAGCCGAATTACAACAAGAAAATGGAGAATACCTCATTGATAGTTATTCAAAACATTGTTCAGTTTTGGATATCGCAAAAGATCTCAACAAAATCTACAGAAATCTTGAAAAATCTAAAGATTTTATTGATATTCTAACAGATCCTTATAGAATGCAAACATGTAATCGTCGAAGTGTTGTATATTCTCTCAAAAAAATGGTTGATGATAATAAATTCAATTTTCGAAGTGGATACGAAACTGAAATTCTCAAAGCTGAATTTATTGAAAAAGATTTTTTGAAGTATGAGGTTAGATTCAAATCGAACACATTTTTGGAAGGATCGTCAAAAATTCGATTCAGAGCTGTGAAAAATCCAGAAACTCGTAAATATATGCTCACAGGAGAATTAGAATTGTGTATTTGATAAACGTTTTTATTTGCATCTGGATCATAGTGAGACTAATATTTTTGATCTACCTAAAATAGTTTTTAAAAATTTTAGGTCTAGCGATTTGAAATAGTAATTTACATACTCAGAGATTCTCTGGCCAGCTCGCCACCAGATCGCTGCGGCCACCTGGAAACCGCATGGCCGCCAGTTCGCCTTGAGTTTTCCGGCGACGTGGCCTGTGTGTTTGAAATTCTGGAAAGCTGGCAAGACAGTTATTTGTACTCAAAACACTGCATTTTCTACTGTTTTTTTAACTTCCTAAGGTTTCAAGTGCTGCGAAAAAACAGAAAATGAGCCAAATTTTTCGAAAATGCCTCAATTCACAAGTTTTTCAGACATTTTTATGAAAATTAATTTTGACGAGGCGAAGTGGCCACCACATGGTAGCCATGTGGCCGTGACCTAGCCAGAGCCTGGCCACCTTGCCAGCGAAAAAAACCGGGCGACATGGTTTCCATGTGGTTCCCAGGTCAGCCAGCCTCCCCACCTGGTGGCAAGCTGGCCAGCGAATCTCTGAGTACGTACAGAAACTTTATTAGTGGAACCTGAAATTGCGATAATTTTTTAAATTTTTTATCGAATAAAAAAGTTTTATTTTCCAAATCTGTGCCTATCATAACTGTGAACATTTCGGTGGTTGAGTTTTTAGTCTTTGTTGGGAATTGAACTTTATAAGAGAGAAACTATAAACAAGTAATAAATAAGAAATAACTTTTGAGAAGTTTTTAACGAATCAAAAAACATTCTCCAGAAGAGCAAAACAAAAGACAACAACCCCAAAAGGTCATTGTTATTACACAAAAATGAAAAAGGGAAGTGGTGATTTTGAGGTTAAAGAAATAAAGAAAAGGAGTGAGTGTTCGAAAAGCTTATCAATTTTTAGCTTCTTTTTCTCTTTTTTCAATAAAAGAATAAAAGATAAAACTGTATTGGTTAACCAGGGTTTTGTATGTTTAATTATATAAGAAAAGATGAAGAAAAAGGCATGTCGAACGGTTTTTTTTGTCCTCCTTCTCAGCATCATCTTCTCTTATTTTCTTCATCAGTTTTTTTCACATTTTTTTTTACCGCAGCAGCAATTATTACAAGTTTCATTGTGTGTTTAACAATGGACAGTTTTGATGTGGTTTTTTTTTGTAAAAAAAATGAGGCGAGAAAGGGAAACATGATGATGAAGCTTGTGATGGACAGTGATCAGATTATTTTAAGAAGGGATTGAAAATTTAGGGGTTTTGGATAAAGGTTCCAAATTCAGAAAATTATTTTTGTACATTGATGAAACTCACATTTTTAGTGAAAAATCTAGTTTTTTGGATTTTTGGTTCACGATCGTGCACGAAGCTCTGCGATTATTCGATAATAGATTTCAAGAAATTTTGAAACAGTGAATTTTTAGTTTCAAAAAAAAAAATTTTTTTGGAGTGAGCAATTCTTGAATAAGTGTATTTTTATTAATTACAAACCATAAGTATTTACTCAGGAACCATTCAAAGGTAATTTTCAATAAACTTTGAAACAGTGAAATTTTTAATTGAAAATTTTTTTCAAGTGAGCTCTAGTTTTTTGTTATTATTTTCTAATTTACAGAACTTGAGAATGGTTTAAAAATTCATGAGTTTACTTTCAAAAACTCTAGATATGCCTCAAATAATTCTCGAAACATTGAACATTTCTCATCTCGACATAAACTATAATTTCATAATTCTGGGTTAATCAAATTATCAGCTTCTCTCTTTAAAGTACAGAACAGTAATCACAAGACACTCACAAGAACGGTTAATTTTTCTTAGACAAAATAAACCCAAGGTTAAAAATCAAAATCATAATTTCTTTTTTAATGTTAATAATAAAACAAACTTTAAACTTCCTCTTTATATAAAAAATCTACTATATACTAATTGGGAAAATTTTTTTGGCAATAGTGTGTCCGGGTCCCGTTCTCAAAACTGTGCGCATAAAAATTGATGATCAAAAAAAGAAAAAGTTTCTAAATGTTGGCAGCTCGATGCGCTTCCTATTCATTCTTTCTCAAAATGTCTGTGGGTGCGCGGAGAATCAAAAGTTTGAAAACTCCAATGTATTTTTCGATTTTAAAATGTGTCGCTCGACTTTTCTCAATTTCCAGAAGACCATTTTTGATGGGACCTTCACCATTTGATCCCAAATTCTTTCCCATCGAGGCGCTAATATTCGATTTTTCAAAAAATGCGCGAGTTTTCACGTGAAAAATCAAAACTTTTTTCATGCAAAAAAGAATGATCACGTTTTTATTCAAAAAAATTATTAGGCCACGTTTCTTATCTGATCGTTCTAATTTCTCTCATAGTCGAATATTTTTAGTCATTTCTACTGTAGATGGCGTTAGCCAGCGAAGCCCTTCTAGTAATATGTAAAGCTTCATTGAAAAATACCCATTTTGCGATTGATTTAACTGAAAACTGATTTTGAAAAAATTACACATAATTCAAAAATGTTTAGTGCTCCTTGTAGTCCTCCTCATTTTCATCCGGAACTTCGTTCACAACTTTGTCTGCAAAAAATATTTTCAGAAAAATTTATTGATTTATTATGTACCTTTGATTTCCCGATCATCCGGATGCACATTTTGTTGTTCTTCTTTTGCTTTTCGACGATCTTCGAGATTTTCAGCCAATTCTTTTCCTAATAAAATTCGAGGTGGAAGATGGTGCTCGATTTTTCCACGATCGAATGAAAGTGGATCACCGGCCTGAAAAAAATGACTAGATTTTTTTGAAGTGAAATCATAAATCAAAAACAGTTTGACCTTTTCTCACAAAAAATCATCACTCAAAAAATAAAGATAAGTAACAAACCTTATGACTTCGTTGAAAATGCGCAGTTTCATTTTGTGTATAGTGTTTGATAGCGTCACCCTGAAAGAAAAAATGTTGGCTGTGACAAAACGAACTGGCGGAATGGGGAAGGAAAACTTTGGGGATAAGTTTTTTGAAACAAAAAATTAAAAATAAAAAAAAATTTCTCGACCGCTTTCACAGTATCAAAAAACTTCGTGAGTCTGATAATTTGAAAATTTTGAAAATTTCAATTTCACAAGACTAACAACCCGAGAAAAACTTCATTAAATATGGTATTAAATATTAAAATAGAAAAAGAGACTTGTCAAAATTTTTTTAAATGAAATCTTGAATTTTTAGAAAATTCTAAACCTCAAAAAGTTTTTAATTTATCCACACAGAAAAGTATACGAAACCTCGCTAATATTGCTGCACAGTATTTCTATCATTTAAAAATTACGGTATTTTTTTAATCATCAAATTCCCATTCCACATCATCAAAGAAAAACAAAATTTTTGTATATTTCCTCTTTCGGCTCCAAACCATAACAAAAATTTCCATTTTGTGACACCACCAAAAAACGAAGATGTTGTTGAAGAATGACGAGGACGATGCTGCTCTGAATCATTCGAACACGAAAATGTCACACAAAATACACAGTCCCTCGTTTTTTTTTTGCCTCGCAAAAGAAGAAGCACAAAAATATAATATAGCAAAAGGGGAAGGAAGGAGGAGAAAAGAGCGACGAACCATACCATTTGATTTTATTTTTTGTTGTCTCAAAATATTTTTCAATCAATCTGATATATTTTGATAATATAATAAATCATGTCGAGAAATGCTACATTGCTTCCGATGAACATTATGTGAGTTTATTATTTATTTATTCTCAGAGGGGTACTGTAGATGTGGAAAAGGAAATAGAGTTAAAGTTAGAGTAACTTTGACATTACGATAGTTCTTTAAAACATATATATATCGTCGTGAATTTTCAATCAGAAATTATAGGGAATACGTTGAACGTACTTTTTTGGATCTAAAAAATTAATCCAAAACTTGGATTTTCCTGAACTGCCTTGAAAAATTCAGATTTTCATTTATGAATATTTGAAAAAAAGAATTTTTTCCAACAATAAAATTTTGAAACTGAACTAAAAAATGTAGAATGTAAATATCAAGAGCTATCTGCCGTAATGAATTGTCCAAGCAAATCCTATTTTCACTTATGAATTTTTTGAAACAGTGAATTTTTTCACTGAACTCGAAAATCATTTTGATAGTCATTTCCAAATAGGTAGAACATTATTTTTCAATTCCCTTCGGAAAAAAACTTCTAGAATTCATGAAACAGTGAAATTTTCTAAAATTCCACGACATAGTCTTTTCCCACTTCAATATTTTTTGTTATATTTTCGAAATAAAAAATAAATGGAAGTCAATATTACACAGTGTTTCTCCCCAACATTTTTTCATCAAAAATCTTCTGTGCTCTTATATTTCTTCTTATTTTTCAGACAAGAAGGCAATGTGAATGATAAACCACCGTATAGTTATGTTGCATTGATTGCAATGGCTATTGAAGCATCGCCAGATCAACGGATGACACTTAATCAAATTTATAAGGTCAGGAAAAATACAGGAGAACTTATCAAACGTATTTTTGTATTGGAAATTCTTCAAATGCGCTCTATTGATAATCAAAAATTTTTACTCGAGAAGTTGGTTCAGAATTACAGTGTTTGAGAAACATTTTTCTAAAAAATAAAAAATGGGGAACAAGTCAAGTCATTGGATGATTCATAAGTGTGTATCAAACATTATTCACTGTCTAACTAAATACTCTTCTACCAACAAGAGCTTTTGTTAAGAAATAGTCAAAAATATTCATGGATGAAATACGTTTCAAAAAATATAGATTAATTTGAAACATATATATAGCTTGTAGTTTTTATTTGAAAAGAAATGTTCCAAATTTGCAGTTCATCGAAGCCAAATTCCCTTACTATCGTCTAGCAGATCCAAAAAGAAAACAAGGTTGGCAAAACAGTATTCGCCACAATCTGTCGCTCAACGATTGTTTTGTGAAAAAATCGAGAGATGGACAAAGTAGTGCAAATGATCGAAAAGGGAATTATTGGATGTTGGTTCCCGAAAATTTGCCACTTTTTGATAATGGAAACTATAAACGGAGGTGAGAGATGGCCCAATTTTCTCAGGTTCAATTTTTGAATTCTGAATTTCAGACGAGTGAAAAAGACTTGGAATAAGTCGTGGACCTTATAATCCCAACAACTTTTCTGAGGCAAATGATATTAATCAGATACCATTTTTCAAAAATTTACAATGGCCAACTGTGGACGCATTTAATCTATTCAAGGTAATTCTTCTATGAGTAGTTCTGATATACTGATATATTTACAGTACACTTATCCTTCTGCAGTTTCTGGAAACGCTTCAAGTTCGATAACAAATCGACAAGATGATGTTTCAAGAGTTTACGATGCTTCGAATTATGTGAACCCATTTCAAACTTCGGCGATTGTTCCGAATCCAGCTGTTCTTGTTGGTGGATTTGAAGCAACGACTACGCCACTTGAGGTTAGTTTGAAACATTCAAGAATATAGAAAATTTAGATAAAGTATTTAGCATTCTGTATTTTTTCAAAATATTCAATTTTTGAAAAAGTGAACTTTATTTTGAAAAATATTCTTAGTTCAGATGAAAAAAATTATCAAAGTTTTACATAAGTTGTGTATTTTATTGAATTTTTGAAACAGTATTTTTTTCAAAAATTAATTCATTTTTTTGATAAATTCGAGTTCATGTTCTCTAAAATAAACCTTGTGTCAGAGAAAAAAATTTCAGAGAAAACTGAATAATTTTATAATTTTGGAAACAGTGATATTTTTTTGAAAACAAGAATTCATGAAACACTCGATCGCGACATATAATAAATTCCTGAAATCTTGAATTTCTCTTCCATAAATCTTGAAACAGTGAAAAAATTGTATTCATAATTCTCAAACTATGCTGTCTGTGTTAATTAGCAAGTAGCATTTCATATTTTTCAAGAAATTCAATTTTTGAAACTGTGAACTTTTCTTACAAAAGGATGATTCGACTTTTTTGAGATAGTAAACTGTGAAAAACTTTAAATTCTATCTGAACATACGTTCAAAAATGTATATGTTTTACAGTGATTCCTGTATTCACTAATATCTTAAAATGTGTCTTCCACAAAACTTGAAACAGTGAAGAAATTCTAATTTTCAGGTAAAAGAAGAAGAGAAAATTCTATCAGTTCCTCATCTTGATACTTCAAGTGTTGTTGCTGCTTTTGGAGAAGCTCAATCTCAAGTAAGTTACAGTAACTTATATTAAACTCTGAATATACCCAAATCTCTAGATTTCGCAACTTTCAACAAATAATGTATACACAAATACATTGATGAATCCCTATACAAATTGGCCAACACAGTCATTCACTGGATTAACTTTTGATGATCGAATTAATTCGACAAATTCGGCAACAACTTCGACTTTTTATGGGTATCAAACATAATTGCAAAAAGAAAGAAAAATAGACTTACCCCGGAATATTGTTTGATTGTTTCTCGATATTCGGCGATTTCTTTCTGCAAACAAAAGTTGGTTATTTTGAGGACTTTGTAGTTTTTTTTTTTGAAAAAGGGAAGGTTGCGGATTTGATTTTTTTTTGATTTTTCATTTTGAAAAGTCCTAGGGTTTTTTGACAAAAAAGCTATGACTTGGCAAAATTTGAAAATTTTAGAGTTGGGATCCACGGGGTAAAATTTTAGAATATCAAAAAAATATCATATGGTTTCATAGAATTTTGAGGTTCAAGAGTTGATTGGGTTACTGTAGATCCTCTTGCCATGTGGATTTTTGGCGGGAAAAATTGAATTCTCAAATTTTTGTCACGTGGATTTTTTTGGGGCATCTTGAATTTCGAATTTTAAATTTGTTTTTCGAGTCCGCAAGCTTTCCTTCTCAATTTTTTAAATTAATAAATTATTATTTTACCTGCATTTGTTCAATATTTTCCCTATATTTCTCCTCATTTTTCCTAATTTCCTCCTTCAATTTCAAAATTTCTTCTTTTTTCGCTTGCAAATCCTTTTCCTTCTGATTTCCCATATCATTTTCATTCAAATTTCCAGTTGATTTTTGGCAATATTCCAATTTTTCTTGGCACTTGTTTTGTTTGTCTTTCAACCCGTAAATTTCGCCGTCTTTCAATTTTAATTGAGTTCTCGATTGATTTTCTTTGACTTGAATTGTCGCTTCCATTTTATTTTTTGCCAACCAAATTATTCGAAGTTTTGCGAGAAGTGTTTGAGATTGAATCGAACAATTTTTGTAGGAACTGGCTGGAAAATATTCATTTTTGGTAATATATATTTTTTTCTAAAAATTTGTTTGAGTTTCAACAAGAGAATTATCAAAAATTCGAAAGATAAAAAAATATATTCACATTTTGAAACGTACTTTATCAGTTTTTTTATATCCCCAATTTTTACGCTAAAATATTTTTCGATAAAAAGCATCAGCTAATAAAAAATACCAATCAACACAAATTCGGGTTCTAGCTGAAACAGCCTAACTCTAAAAGCTTATGTCAGAAGTGCCAAAAAAATTGGGCTCATAAGAATCAAAATTGATTTCAGAAAAAATCTCCAAAAATCAAAGCTCACCAGATTCTTGATCCGACATCTCCAAACGATTTTTGAGTCCATTATACATGTAGGAAAAGACAAAAAATTGAAAAATAATCAATAATCGATATTTGACATGAACATCTTTGTTTTTTATCAAATAAAGCATTTGAAATGCGACATAAAGAAATAGTCTGGAAATTGAAAATGATGAGTTTTTCATTTGAAAACAAGAAGAGAAAGAGAACAAAATGTTTCGAAAAAGGGATTAAATGGCATTCGAATGAAAGGATTTTGAAGGCGAGTGTGTGAGAAAATTAAAGAGTACTGTAGATATATGAAGAGATTGAGGGAGGGCAAAGGAATATTTGGAACAATATTGAAAAAATGCTGTTTCAGAAATATTTTATGAAAAACTTTCACAAAATTAGCTTAGTTGATTTTTATTTCAATTCCAAAATAATGTTTTGTTATATCGAAAAGAGAAAAACTTTTCAAAAAATCTCACTGTTTCAAATTTTTCATGAAATTCGGAAAATTAATTTATGTTTGATGTTCTTGTTTGATGTTCTTTTTTCAGATATAATTTCGAAAAATTTAACTTCTTCAAATATTCCCTAAAATTCCCAACCAAAAAAATGAATACGTTTTTAACATGTAGAAAACATTTATTTATACGTTTCAAATGTTTAATATAAATTTTTAAAAATTGTTTCCAGTGATGTGTCATTAAGTTATCAAAAAAAAAAACAAAAAAAATTTTGTTGCAGAAAAACTTTTAAATTTCCACTGTTTCAAAATTATTATCAAAACTTACTCGCGATCAAAAAAAATTTTAAAAAATACAATATTGAAATTATGTCTGGAAATTTGAGCAACTGTTTCAGATAATTTCAAGAAATGAACTTTAGAATTTGAAAATTAAAAAATCACATTTCAAAAAAACCTCACTGTTTCAAAATTTCCCTATTAGTTCCAAGTGAATTTTTTCTAATAAATGTATTTCTTCAACGTCGCTAGTTTGGTTTCAAATAAAAAGTGTTCAAAACGACTTTCTCTCTTGACAACCAATAAAAATACATAATTCATAAAATATTTGTTTTTTTTGCGGCGAGGCTGAATAGAAAAACAAGGAAATATTATTCGGAAAAATCAATATAGAAATTTGATAGCATAAAACTATGTAGTTTGTGAAAAACTTTGAAATTCATGCATTTTTTCCATACAAAAGAAGAAAAGAAAAGAAAGGCGAAAAAATTACAAATTCTTCAAGAAACCAAAGAATAATTTTAAAGCATTTGAAGGCGTCAAAAAACCAAGAAACTTAGATTTTCCAATAAAATGAAATGTAGCAAAAAAGGAGAAGAGCCTCCCTTTTCTAAAATTGGCTTGATTAGCTGCTCTTCTTCTTTTTATTCAATTGAATTTCCATCCAACACGCACAACTTCGCTCCATTGAGAAAATTCAAAATTTGAAAGGAAAGATGCGTAGGCAATCTGAAGTACGGTAGATAGCTTGCTATTGAACAGCAGACATATAAAAAACAGATGCAGCAGCAAACCGCTTCGCATTCGAAAGCATAGAGACAGAAAAAGGCATTGAGAGAGTGTAGGAAAATAAGGAGAGTGCGAGGGGTGCGAGACAAAATGCGAGACCGAACACAATAATTTCTCACTTCAACCCCCGAATTTGCTTCTTCTTCTTCTTCATCATCATATTGTTGAGACAATTCATCGTGGCTTCTGAATTTTCTTGAAAACTATAGTCTAGTTCAGATAATGAAGCGATTTATTGAAAATATTGAAAACCATCCAATTCCGGGTTTTTTGAAAGAAGGAATAATTTTTCAGCATATTGATTTTTATCGGAAAAATGGAACCCTTGAGAATTCTTCAATCAACTATTTTTAGAAATAATTTCAAAATTTGAGAAATTCTGATGAAATTGAAAAAAAACATTATTTGAAAATCTCACAAAAAACTACACGTGTCTCTTATTTGTATAGTTGTATCGTTTTCCAAGACTTTATAAATTGTTTTTCAAAGTTTAATTTTCAGAAACCTATGAGTAGAAGTTAGTCTACACACATCGTATAGGATTTTTCATAAGTGCTTTTGCTTATGAATTCTGGTGAGTGAACATGTTTCAGCTGCATTTATTACAATTTCAATTTCATTTTATGAATTGAAATTCAAAACTTTTTTTTGCTCGAATTGTTTTCATGAATTAAAAATTATTGATCTGCCCCGCGAATTTTCTCGGCGCCGAATAATTCAATAATTTCAAAAAAAAAAAGAAAATTGATTTTTTTTCTCGAGCGCAGAGCTGAAGATGGTGTTAGAGCAACTGGTATAATTCTAGAACTTTAGATTTTTCGAGAAAAAGCCCTTACTGTATGAAAGTTGCTCTAACTTTTGAAGTTAACTTAGCGCTGTTTCATTTCTCGCTTTTTAATTGAAAAAAATATGTTTTGCAGTCGGTGGAGTAGCTACCGAACGTCGTTTACCTCCTCAACAATCAATCTCTTCACAATCTCCTTCAATCATCAACAATTCTTTGCTTTTTCTTCCCAACGCCACCACAATTATCAACGAATCTGAATTTCCGACGCTGGGCGCGAAAGGTTTTCGTTTTTATTTTCTACTTGCAATTTCTAATCATAAATTTCTTACAGGAACTTCTTCTCTCGGCGGAGGATTCTCACCGATTCCAACAACGAGTGGAGTTGTTTTGAACGCTGCCCAAGCGAATTCGTCACTCCTCAAAGATTCGTCGTTTCGCGCCAATTATGGTAGGTTTACTAGACTGGATAAGTATCAAATCTCAGACATTTTGATCCGCTGATATAATCAGCAAGTCAAAAACTACTATTTATGATTTTTATATCAAAACTACCAAAAAACAAGTTTTTCATAAAACATCGAAAATATTTTTGAAAAACCAATTATAAAAATCAACTTCGACATGAGAACTTGTTTTTCTAATAACCCTTTTCAAATAAAACTCACGCGATTCCATTTTCCTTGGTAGATTTGCGCAAAATTTCCACTCGAAAAAAAAAATTTTCCCCGAAAAGACTACGGTACACATTGCGTACCACACATTTAATCCCACGCGCACAAATTTTATTTTCTCTTGCAAAAATAAAATATCCCGCAACACACGTTTGGTTGAATGGAAAAGAAAATGCTGTTTGCAGCTACTCTCATGCGAGCCGATCCGTCGCTGACGAACTCCGAATTTCAAATTCAAAACGAAGATTTTCCGGCGCTTCCAGGTGTTGGTGGCGGCTCGCAAGCAGCAAGGCCAATGATGGGAAACGATGTAAGTGTTTTTGAGGTTTGGGATTGTTCAGTATAGTTTTTCAAAGTTCACAAGAGAAATCTTTTGAATGATGAGAAATGCTGTGAAAATAATTTTCTTAGAATGGAAGAGCATAAGGTCACGGAATAAATTGTTGATAAAGCGTAGCGAAATGTATTAAAACAACAACGCTAATCACGATTCCGTATATATTCAAAGAAATTTCTCTGGAGATTTTTGACTTCGAGATCGTGACGGTCGGTTTAGTATGTTTCACCATGTTTTATCAAAAAATTCTGAGTTTCACAACATTTCTCAGAGCTGAAAAATTTCACTGAATTAACCCATTAATTCAGTTTTATTTCTAAAAACAAACTATGTGAACAATTCCTAATAATATATTTTTTGCAGCTTTTGCATCAAATGATGGCCGAAGACCATCATAATTCTGAGAATTATCCTGGAAATGATTGCGATGCGGCGGCAGCTTTCGGAATTTCAAGGAATAGCGATGTACCAACAAAAGGTATTATAACTCACCCGGATGGCGAAGTCACCAATATTCCACCATCAATGTTGGCTGATCAATTTGGAATGGCTGGATTAGTAACATATCTAAGGACTGTTGATAATCCATCAATTGTTTCGCTAGCACTTGGTTACGATTTGACGACTTTAGGTCTAAACCTGAATTTGTCTGAACGACAACTTTACACGACATTTGGCGGACCTTGGGCTGACACCCCAATTCGACCGCATGAATTGGATGTGAAAGTGCCGGAAGAATATTTAACCAATGTTCATATCAGGGAAAAATTGCCACCGGTGAAAATGAATAAACTATCCGAAGATGTGCTATTCTATCTATTTTATAATTGTCCAAGTGAAGTGTATCAGTTGGCGGCTGCTTGTGAATTGTGAGTTCATTTTTTGTGGCGATGTGGATAGCGGAAAATGTGTTTTTTCAAGCGTGAAACCTTTAGTGAACAAAAATTGAAAATCATTTCGTAATAAGATTTTTTTTCATTTTGCATCTGCTTTTGGCCAGATGTTCAGCAGATTTTTTCTAACAAGGAAGAAAATGAAAGACTTTTTTGAAACCAAAGAGACCACGTGAAAAATGTAGCGCTCAGAGAAATTGAGCTGACATTTTTTGAAGTTCGCGCTTCGAGAAATTTAGGGGAAAATTTGAATTTTCGAATTTTGTACTTTGAAAGTTCAGAGGTGGTTTCATTCAAAAATTAATTTCAAAAAACCCGCTAATTTTGTTGCAGATATCAACGCGAATGGCGGTACCACAAAGTGGAAGGAGTTTGGCTAACTCGATCACAATACGGTGGAATCAAAGAGCAAACTGGAACATATGAAAAGGGACATTACAATGTGTTTGATCAATTACAGTGGCGAAAAATTCCAAAAGAGCTGAAATTGGAATATAAAGAGTTGGAAGAACGACCAAAAGTGCCGAATTTGACGCATTTGGGAATTGCGATTTCAGGATCAACATTTCCAACAACTCCAGCTGCCGCTGCTTATAATATGCATTCTGCCGCCAGCACATCAGCCAATGCAACAAGTATGTGAAATTGAGAGGGAGAAGAGTTGCTGGGGACTAGAGTGTAGTTTTGGTTTGAAATTTGAAAATTTTTTCTGATGTTCGAAAATTTACTGTTTCAATTTTTGATTTTCAATAGTTTTTTTTTTGCGAATAACTATTTTTTCAATACGGGCGAAAAATTTGATGAAAGCGGAACTAAATCAAAAAAAATTCGCAAAAATATTGTGTCTGGAATTTTTCTCTTCAAAAATGCTCAATTTTTGCAGCACAAGCTAGTCTGGTGACAACATTAAATAATCTTGGACTGGGTCCTGGTGGAAATGGAGGTGGAAGTAGTGGTTCGTTGACACCTCCACCAACATCATCAGCGGGTATGAATGGAGTGATTTTGGGTGGAAATAGTGGAGGAGTGATAGGTGGCGGATTATCACATCATTCAACACAACAACAACAACAACAACAACAGCAGATAATTGGTGGTGGAACAAGTAGTATTGCGAGTAGTGCTATGCCATCTCCTGTTTCAGCGCCTGGCACTGGAACACCAGCACGAGCAACACCTAATTAGGTAGGGGATTTTTTGATATTGGATAAGTCTAAACTTGAAAAGTTGAAGATTTTTCTATTATCGTCTAGCCTGGAATTTTTCTTAAAAAATTTAATTTGTGAAAATCAAAATTTAGATGAAAATTCACCAATTTCTAGGTTATTTTCCAAAAACTATAATTAAAAAAATTTCACTGTTTTTTCGCAAAAAATAACACTGAAATGTTATTGTATTTCCAGAAATGCATCGAAATGTTTAGAAAATGTACAAACCGTTTTACAGGGTGTTTCATAAATAGTGTTACAACTTGCACAGCTCACCTAGGGAAGCGCAAAAGATCAAAACTCAATATTATTTGACACAAACTTAGCCGAACGTAGGTATGACAAGATTTGAAAATGAATAACATCTCATTTCAACTTTCACACCATTGCCACCAGCTCAAGTGTGCCAGTGGAGGGTCACTGTTGCACGCACGACTTTTTTGAGTCAATGAGATCCTTTATTTTTGAAATTGGTCTTTTGTCGAAAGTAACTTTCGAAAACCCTTTTTGACGGGTTTATTTCGTTAGTTTAAAACGGACAAAGTAACAGTATTACTGTAGACTCGTAGCCGGGAGGTTAAAGTGAACCTACTTTTCGAAATTTTCAAAAAATAAAATTGAGTTTTTTAGCTTTTGTGGAAAATATGATTTTTTCCACTCAATATTTATTATTTCTGTGCCACAATTGTTTTTTCTTCTATAAAAACCTGATTTGACCGATTACATCAAAATTTAAACTCGATTTTAACGATATTTTTGTCGAAAAATCGGGAAAATCCGAAGTTTCAGTCGAAATTGAAGATCTTCTTCTAAGTTCAAGAAAAAAATAATGAATATCTGGAGTTGTGTGAAATTTTGACTAGAAACATTGTTTACATTAGAAAATATCATATCAAGCCATCAAACTCAAAAAAACTAAAGATTTCATGGCTTTTCATTTTTGGAAAGACCGTCGTGCCAGAAAAAGATTTTTCGAAAAATACGTTTTTGTTTACACGTCATAAACAGCGTCCAAAACACATTAATGTCAATTTTACATAGATAGCTCTTGTAGAGGAAGAAAAACCCTACATTTTTGATCTTACGACCAAAACCATTGGAATTACCCAACATTCACAAAACTGACCTAAAGATGAACAACTCTTGTAACACTATTTATGAAACACCCTTTATATCATAACTAGTAAACATTATAATTTTGTTTAAAATATTCAAATCTTGAAACAGTGAAATTTTTCAAATTCTGACATTATTTCTTACAAATAAAATTAATTTTTTGAATTCTGAAATTGTCTCTTTATAGAAATATTTTAAAGCAAAACATTATCAGAAATTTCCCTATTTTCTTAAAACCAAAATTCACATTTTCTCCTTTTTTTTCCATGACAAAAATCTGTCATTCAAGTAAAAACTAATTAAAAATATATCAAAATTACTGTACTTTTTATCAGTGTTCTTTTTGAATGCTCAAAGTACACAGATCTTTGATCTAAAAACAATAATTTGTTTGCAGATTTCCGAACCTCAAAAAGAATAATGGCAACAATACGGTGAAATACAAAAACTCAAAATGGTCTCAACACAATTCTCTACAGTACTCCTCAATAAAAATCGCGCGCGCCCAATTTTTGTTTTCATTTTTGAAAATTTTCCCCCATCTATTTCTCTCGTATTATTTTTTCGTATTTTTCCTTTCCCTATCCCGATTTCCAAAAAAAACACAGAAAATTGTTGTATATTTCGATCATTTCAATTTTTTGTCAATTTTTGCTTGTTTTGTTGTCGTTGTTTCTTTTTTGTCTTGGTGTGTATTGTCTTCAGCGAAATCTCGTTTTTTTCTTCCATTTTTTGTCCGTATAAAATTTTTTGATAATTTTTTCATGAGTTTTTCTTCTGGGATTGACACTATATTTTTGGTATTTACTTTTGTCGATGACACTTTTTTTGTTATCATTTGATAACATTTTTTATTCTATTTTATTTGGATTTTTCTCAAGCGTGAGAACTTTTTATATTTGTTTTTGAAGATTTTTTTTCAAAATGAGTTTGGCCGAAAAAGTTGGAAATGAAAAAAATTTGGAACTTTTGATTGAGGGAAAAACTAAACAGATTTTTCGAATTCAGGGAGAAGATGTGAGTTTTTTCGGGGAAATTCAAAGTTAGAAAAAAAAGTTGAAATTTGAAATTTTTCCTCACAATTTTAATTTTTTTCAAAATAAGATTTGGCTCAAAAACTATTGTTTTCATAAAGTTGAAGTTCCAAAATTCATCTCAATTTTTTTTTCGAAATTTAATTTACAGGAAATCGTTTTGATTCGATCAAAAGATTCTCTGACAGCTTTCAATGCTGTTCGAAAAAAACGAAGTTGATGGAAAATCAAAAATCGCGAATCAAACAACTGTGAATGTGTTCAAATATTTGAAAAATGTTGGACTTCAAACACATTTCGAAGAAGAAATTTCGGAAACCGAATTTATTGCGAGAAAATGTGAAATGATTCCAATTGAATGGGTTGCAAGAAGGTGAGAGGAATTTCTAGATGAAAAACATTCAAACAAAGAACATGTAGTAGTTTTGAAACAGTGAGATATTTTTTCATGTAAAAAATTGAATTTTCAAGAGAAATGAACCTAATTTGCATTTGAAATATACCTTGGCAATGATGGTACTTATAACAAGAAATCAGATTTGCAATGATTTTTAATGAATTTTTGAAACAGTGATATTTTTTATTGAAATTTTTTTGAAAAAATTCGAAAATTCAACAAAAATATAATTTTTTCAAAAGATTGAATAATAATTTATTGGAGAAAAAAAATAGAGAAAGAAAATGAGAATTATACTTAAGATTGTGATTAAAAAATTTAGATCACACGAAAACATTTTGAAGGTTTGAAACAGTGTATTTTTTTTTTTGATAAGTTAATTTGATTAACTGGATAAAAAAACGAAATTCATTTTTAATCACATTTTGAAACAGTGTATTTTTTTTTGATAAGTTAATTTGATTAACTGGATAAAAAAACGAAATTCATTTTTAATCACATTTTGAAACAGTGTATTTTTTTTTGATAAGTTAATTTGATTAACTGGATAAAAAAACGAAATTCATTTTTAATCACATTTTGAAACAGTGTATTTTTCAAAAATTATTATTTCATTTTTTACTGTAATTTTTTTCTGACCACACTTTAGTGATAAACGCTATCAAAAAAACTTCTATTGAAATAAATTTTGAAACAATTTATTTTGTCAAAACTCCAACAATCATCGTAGATCATTCCTCTCTAGAACTTCAATAATTTCTGAAACAATGAATTTTATTTTGAAAAAAACAGTTCGAAAAAATTGTTAAAACTGAAACTGTAGTGAAATGTCAGCATCTCAAAACTTTTGAATAAATTCTGAAAGAGCATTTTTTCGGAGAGAGTATTGACAAATAATTAAACATTTTAGCGATAGGGATTCAATATGTATTAAGAATATGCAAATCCAGCAGAAAAACATATACATTTTTATTGAAACAGTAATTTTTTCTAGTTTTCAAAATTTTCATATTTTTGCAGAGTTGCAACTGGCTCATTCTTGAAAAGAAATCCAGGAGTAAAAGAAGGTTATCGATTCAATGATTTAAAAATCGAAACATTTTTCAAAGATGATGCAAATGATGATCCACAATGGACAGATGAACAAATTATCTCAAATCATTTACAAATTTCAAATTTGAAAATCGGAAAAGAAGAAATACAATTAATGAAAAAACAAACAAAATTAGTATTTCGAGTTTTGGAAAAAGCATGGCTTCTCTCAAATTGTTCTTTGATTGATATGAAAATTGAATTTGGTGTAACTTCAGATGGAAAAATAATATTAGCTGATGTAATTGATAATGATTCATGGAGAGTTTGGCCAGAAAATGATAAAAGATTACAATTGGATAAACAATTCTATCGAGATTTGAAAGAAGTTACAAATGATGCGATTGCTCAGGTTATCAAGAATTATACAAAAGTTATGGAAATAACAGAAAGATTTTCGAAAAATGAGCAAAATGTTCGAGTTTTGATTGTTATGGGATCGGAATCCGATGGTGTTTTTTCGAGAAAAATTGCTGAAGAAGCGGAAAGGCTTGGAATTCACACTGTTTCGAAAATCAGTTCAGCTCATAAGGTAAGAATTTTAAGTAAACGTATTTGACAACTAAAAACAAGAAGATTTATTTTAGAAAAATCTCATAATTATGTTGAAATAAATTTTTAAAAATTAGAATAATCTTTAAATTTTTTGGTCGACTGTGAATCCATAAAAGCCTAAATTAGTTTAAACTTACAAAATTTTTTTAGCTGTAGAAAATTAATTGATAGAAAAAACTATTAATTATTTTGAAACAGTGAACTTTTCAAATTATTTTTTTTTCAACTTTCATTCTTCTCAAGTAAATTTGCCAACATTTCCGCGAAAATAATTTGAAACAGTGAACTTTTTCAAAACTGAAAATAAAGCAAGAACATTATTTTACAGTTGAAAAACTATTTCAAAACTATTCGACATTTTTCCGCTTTCACACTACGAACTGAAAATTTCTATTATCAGAAAATGTTTGAAAATAATTTGAAACAGTGAATTTTTTCGGAATATTTTTTCACTGTTTCAAAAGAATTATTAATTTTCAAAATCTTTAAAAATCCGATTATTCTTTGGATAATGATTTGAATTAAAAACTCACTGTATTAGAATTAATTTAAAAGATTCGCCAATTTTTTTCCAGACAACATCCGACACTCTCGAAATCCTCTCCGATTTGGAATCCGATCTTTCGCAACCAACAGTCGTAATCGCTGTAGCTGGTAGATCAAATGGCCTCGGCCCAGTAATTTCTGGCAATTCCTCCCTTCCAGTCATAAATTGTCCACCACCTTCTGATAATTTATCATTGGATATTTGGTCATCTCTTCGAATGCCATCTGGAATTGGTTGTTCAACAGTTCTCGATCCAAAAGAAGCTGCTTTAGCGGCTGCGAAAATATTAGCAACTCATAATCATATTGTTTTCGGAAGAGTTTTGACAACTCAATTGCAACAACAAACAAATATTTATGTGAGTTCCTGATTTTTCTTTTATCATTGTTAATCTGGACGAATTTTCAGAACGCAAATCGTGAACTTCACTAACTCCATCTATACAAATCTTTATTTCCTAAAAATTCGAATTCAAAAATAAATATTATTCTAGATCACCCGTTGTATCTTTTTTATTATTCAACATTGCAATTGCCAATCTTTCCTGTTTCATATCCAAAGCCAATTTTTTGAACATTTCTTCCGGATCCAAATCACTCTGAAAAATTAGCAGGTTTCAAGAACTAAAAATTAAAATTTCCAGCTCCGCGAGCTCTGAAAATGCTCAAAATCTATACATTATAATGTTTGGTCTCAAAATTCTGGAAATTAGCCGAAATTCTCGAAAACTTCCCCACCTCTAATTTCTCGGCCCTCCTTCCTCTAATAATTTGATATTCTCCAATTTCTTCATCTTCATGATAACTTAACCCAACATTTTCAAATTCAGCCGCTTCCAAACTCGTTAAATATCTCATTGGATCCCATTGTGTTCGATCCAAAATCCCATTTTCCGTCAATTTTTTCAATTTCGAAAATTGCATTGCACTCACAATTTCAGCTCCTGGTTTCAAAACTCGCAATATTTCTCGATTAATATCAATCAAATGATCTTGTCGAAGAAAATAGAATAAATCCACGTGGAAAACATGATCAAATATATCAGTTGGATATGGAAGATTTCGAAGATCAATTGCTGAATCGATTCGAATTTTTGATGTTTCGGCAATTTCTAAATCGAATCGTTTTCGAGCAAATTCATCAAGATAACCAGATCTTTCGACACCGAAAATCATTCCTTTTCCTGGCGAAACTTTTTCGAAACACATTTTGATTGCATCGCCTCGACCATATCCAATTTCGAAAATATAATCATCTGAAAACAATTCAAATGGTGTTGAGATTAAGAATTTGGTTGATAGGAATATTTTAAAACGTATTTTTCGAGGGAAAGATACTTTATGGATGGGGAGAGATTATATTTTGAATAAAACAATTTGGAGTTAGGAATTTTCATGATAGAAATATGTTGAAACAGTAATTTTTCAGTTTTTTTGTTTTTTTTTTCAACAAAATTTTTAAAAACTTGCCTCGAATTTTGCATTTTGAAAATTAAATGGTTTTGAGTTTTTATTATTTGAACATCGGCGTTCAAAAGTATATTCAGCGTTTGAAAATTATGAATTTTTTGATAGAAAAATTTTGAAACAGTAATTTTTAGGGGAAAAATTTTCACTGTTTCAAAAAATGATAATATTTCTCCGTTTTTCTCTAAATTGTTTTCTTTGTAAATCACTGAACAAATTAGATTTTTTTAGATCTGAAAATTGCAAATTTCACAGATCTTTGAAGTAGAAGTTCGCATTTTTTAAATTTAATAAAGTTCAGTTGTTTTTTTAAATTTTGAAACAGTAACTTTTTGAATGAAAAATATTAGGGAAAAATCATGAAACTTTTCCTTTGTTCTCGAAAAATTGAATTGTTCCTAGAATTGAACTATACGAATTTTACAATGTTTTAAAAAAATTTATTTCGAGTTTCCAATTTTGGCTCAAAATTCCACTCACCTTTTCCAACATTCATATGCGTCTCAATCAATAATTCATTCAATTTTCTCGATGTTTTCGCAGTGTATCGACTCACAAGACTTCCAGTCATTGATTTGACAGGCAGAGCAAACTATAAATATTGATTCTTGTTGGGAAAATGATGGAAAAGGTTACCTGATTAGCCAAATCACTTGTTGCCAATTTAAAACTTCCGGTGAATATCCTAGCTATTCTATCCATTTCTGAAAAAATAAATGGGAGAATTTTTGAAAGCTATGAGACCAGATTTCGAGAAAGTTCGACAATTTTTTAAATTTTTATCAATTTCTGAATGAAAAAATTTAAAAACTGGTCCAAATCGAAATGTTTTCCTGAAAATCCAAAAAGATACTGCACAGTATTTCACAAACACTGTATTCAACACGAACAAATCTAAAGCAACATTTTCAAATTTCCAAATGAGATTTTAACGGGGTTTTCTAGGGTAACAGGAATATTATGCAAAATCAAATCAAAATGTAACAAAAACATTAAAAAAAATAATAATAGACAGTGAGAACAAAAAAATAAATGGACAAAAAATACTCGTTGTGAGACCGGGTAAGGGTACTGTAGATATCTAGAGATATGTTCAGATCAGATCGTGGGGAAAAACATGAGATTAGAATAAAGCTGCTAGGGTTTTCATGAAATTGATTATTGTTTTACTTTATGAGTCGATAATTGCGTCGAGGCGTGGATTTAAGAAGTCGAAAAGTTGACGGGAAAGCTGAAAAAAACATTGATTTTAGGAGAAAATGGACTTGAAAAAAAAACTTACTCGATAAATTTCACTTTCAGTTTCATTGTAGGTTTCACAATTGTCGATTATCAAAAAGAAATCATTTCGAATCTGAAAAAAAAATCCAATTTACGAAAAGTTAGGAAATAATTCGTGAACGTTGTAAAAGTTTTAAACATTCGTGAATCTTTAAAATTCAGAATTTTATTAAAAAAAACTAATTTGCAGCCCTAATGTTCCAAAATATTCCTACCTCAATTGGTTCATTATAAATTCTTTGTTTCAATTTATTCATCATGGCTCTCAAATTCATTGGTCTCTTGATGACATCATAATAATCTGGAACTTCTTTTCGATCAACTGCTTCAATAAATGGCCACGAGAATTCTTCTCTCATCGATTCTTTCAACAAATTCTCAATTTTCAACATTTTTTCTCGAATATTTTGTGGTAATTGTCGTTTGACTTGATCGAGTTTTTCGAAATTCTTTCTTTTTGGTGTTCGTTTACTTCGTCTTCTATCAATTTCTTCTTTTTCTTCTTCGGTTATTATTTCCGAAGAATCTTGTTCGGTTTCATCTTCTTCAGTTTGGCTTGTGTATTCATCATTGCTATCAAAACTGCAACAAAAATGGGGTGTTTTGTTGTTGAAACATATTATTTTGAAAAAAAATCAGATGTTTTTTCGAAACGATTTTTTAGAAAAATTAAACTTTTGATGAAACAAAAACATTTCAGATTTTCTTTTCAAAATTCCTGAACCGAAGTCGTTACATTTTGAAAAAATCGATCGGAACCGGATTTCAGAAATGTTTCACCAACTGCCCTATTTCAACTCACTTTTTATGCGAAAAATTCTTCAATCCAGATCTTTTCGGTCTCGTTGTCGCCACTTTAACCATATCATTATATTGCACTTTTCTCACAGCTCTTCCACTCAAAGTTCTTGTTATTTCCATATCACTCATACTATTTTCAGTGTCAGATATCAATTTCGAATCCGATTCTGTTTCATTTAATAACATTGGCATCTCATCTTCACCATTTTCTCTTTCAATTGCAGAAACAACAATTTGTGACGATGTATTCTTTTTTCTCTTTTCTTCATTGACAAGTTTTCTTTTATTCGCATTACAATTCACACATTTCCATGATTCTTTTTCATTTTCTTCCGCATTTTCCAAATTAACACATGTCAAATGATAACAATTATCACATTCTGAACATAATATTAATTCATTTGTTGCTCCTTTTCTTCGACATTTTTTGCATTTTCCTTGAAGTCGAGATTTTCCCCATTGTATTTGAACTTCGATTGTTGAAAGAAAAAGTGAGAGAGATGAAAGAGATTCACATTCGATTAAACTTTTTTGCCATCGAATGAACATTTCTGATGGTTTTGGAATTCCGTCTGAAAATAATGATTGGATTTTGAATTAGAAAACTTCATTTTCCGACAAAAGTGATATTTTTTATTAGTTTTCATAAGTTTGTCAAAATTTCATCATTTTTTAAAATTGACTGTTTCAAAGAAAAGTAGACAGACATTATATTAATTCCTAAAAATGGCGCGAAAAAAACTCGTGAAATTGTTAAATAAAATCAATTTGTCAAATGGAGTATAACATTAAACAACTAACACTTCACCATTAAAATTTAATCAGAAATCTTTGAAACAGTAATTTTTTCTGTCAAAAATAAAAATTTTTGGAAATTTTTTTTTTGGTGCCAGAACTCCAAATTGACAATTGATTTTTGGACCAACATTCAAAAATTCCCTCGTGAATTTTCTGAGCTATGTTTAGAATATTTTCCATGAAAATTCTATTGTATTAATTCATATAAGTTTTTTGAAACAGTCCATTTTTAAAAATTATTTTTTTTTCATTTCGGAAAATCTTGGTATAAGAACTGATTGTGAGAAACAAAAATGAAAAAAATTCGTGTTATTTTTTTGAAACAGTATATTTTTTGAAAGATTTTTTTCAAGCGAATTGAATTTTTCACTATTTATCTTCTTAAAAAATGTTAAATTTGATTTAAAATTCAGTTCGAACTTCAAATTAAAAAAATGCAATAACTCACTCTCATCTTTATGTTGATTAACAAAAGGTTGTTGTATAAACTTCGTCGAAATGCATTTAACAATTTGAAAAAATGCAATACACAATTTCTTGATCTCATCAAATTTCGACAAATCCTCAATTGATACAACAATCTCATTTCCAATCATAATATCTTCTTTTAATAACATCATTGTATCTCCCAAATTCTTCAAATTTTCTCTCCAAATAATTCGATCAATTCCAAATGTTTTCGTTATTGATCCCATTTGTCCTTGCTCAATTTTCTCTTCAAAATCCAATAATAAATCTCTCAATTCTTGATTCCAATCAATATTCCAACTTTCTGCCGGATCTTCTGAATTCGTCATTAATCCCTCAATCCATTCTCCATTTTCAATTGAATTTTTCGTCGTTTCCAAAATCTCAATCAAATTTGGTTTAAATTGATTGAATTCTTCAATCAAATCATTTTCTCGAAAACCACGTGGATTCAAAGTTTTCATCAATTTCTCAAATTGTTCCGGTCCATTGATATAACTCCATTTTTTCGTTTCTTTTCCATGAATTTTACACGTTTCCATATTTCCACTACAAATAAATACTTCTTGCGTTTCATTTTCAATCAATAATTCAGGTTTTTCAACAATCGAAGGTTCATCACAATTTCCAATATGATCTAATTTTGGATTTGGAGTTTCGATTAAAATTGCAGCAAGATTATCAACAATGAAATATTTTCGAAATGCTCGATCTTTTCCAATTATAATATCACTTATCATTGAATGAATTTCAAAGATTTTTGAGACGAGTTCTTTCATTAATTCAGCATATTCGTCTTTTTGCAAACTTCGAGCTGTTACAATTTCATCCAAGTCAAGTTCAGAATATGGAACTGATTCGAGAAGTATCTGCAAAATTTGGGGGCATTTTTGAAATTATTATTTTAGTTCATTTTTCAAATTTTGTAAAAAATTACATATTTGAGTTAATCTTAATTTTTTCTCGAATTTTGATTAGATTCATTCAAAGAATGGAAATCAATAAACTTTCACGAATAAAATCGTATATTAAAATTTTGAAATAGTGAACTTTTGGCGCCAAAAACTAACAGGCAAATTGATTTTTCCACCGAAATTTAACAATTCTACGTGAATTTTCTGAGACATGTTTAGAATATTTTTGCACCAATTTTTTTTGAAACAGACAACTTAACTGCAATCAAACCTTTTACTCTTCTATAAATTCATGGTATTTTTATGAAACAGTGAATTTTTGAAAGTTTATGTTTCAATTTCTGTGGAAAAATAGATATTTTGCCAACTTCTTATCATAAATTTAATGGTCTCCGAATTTTTTCCCGAATTTCAATTAAGTTCAAAAAATAAATGACGTTATCAAATCACTGAAATTTGGCGACTAAAATACTATGTGAAATTTTTGAAACGTAAATTTTTCGGAATTTTTTGAAGTAAAAATTGAAAAATTATTTTTTGCGCAGAACTTTAAAAACTGAATATTTTAAAGAAAATTAAAATGTTGTGAGTTCTAGTTAGAATTTCAGTTTATCTTTCGAACCTTCCCCAAATTTGCTTACCGTATCCAAATCTTCTCGATCAACTCTTCTTCCTTCATTCAATCCTTTAATATGAGTTTTCAATCGTTTTCCAATTTGACTAATTTTCGCATTTTTATTTTCATTTGTATTTTGTTCAATAGCAATTCTAGCCTGATTTGCTTCTTGTTCTTGTGTCTGATCCCATAATTTCAATTTCTTTTGTTCTTTTCGATATTCATAGATTTGATTGTGTTGTTCATCAATATAATTTCGATATTTTGAATATGTCAAGAGTTGGAGAATTAAAGCCTTCATGATTTCAAGTCTTTCATTTGGTTCGAGATCGAAAACTGTTTTTGATCGAAGTTTTTCAATGATTTCAGGATGATTTTGACGGAATTCAAAGCATGGATCTTCGTATCTGAAAATAACAACTTTTTATGAGAGGATTTCCGCTGAAAAATTATCCAAAACATTTTTTATTCGAAAATTCCCCAAAAAAATCACTGTTTCAAAAATTTCATATACAGTATTTTCATTGGGAAATTCTAATCTCCATCCTGGTAGCACATCAAATTTTAATTTTTTTGATTTGATAAAAATTCGGGAAGACCAAAATTTTTTATTGGAATTCGACAGAAAATCTTATTTTTCACAGAAAAAATAGGACCTCAAAAATCATTATTGTCAAAACATTTTTGAAATGCAAGCCCCTGACTATTTTTTTTAAATGAATTTTTGAAGCTGAAATGTTGAGTTAGTCAACCAAATCTCAAACCAACCCCTTATAATTTCCTCTTGTATATAATCGATGTCGATGTGTCGATAATCCACTATAATATCCCGATGTCATAAAAACCAATCTCAAAATTTCGCTCAAAGTCATCCAATCAACAGGCAAATGTCGAACCGGTTTTCCATGAATTTTTCGAATTTTATAATGCAATTCTGTGGATTCACGAATTTGTTCTCCATAAATCGAATGTCCCGGATCACAATTTTGTGCATTCAAAAGTGCAATTTCATCTCGATTCGATAAATCAGCTTCATCTCCATCTTCTTCATCAGCAACATCTGCACGAGATGATAAAATAACTCGTAATAAATCAGCATATGGACTATTTTGTGGATCATTGCATCGAATTGCGATTATAATATCAGATAGATAAATATCAGTTGTACCACGAATTTCTGAAGTATAAGCAAAATTATTGGATTATTGTAGAAAAGTTGCGGTGTGTAATTAATACATTTTGAAACGTACATTTTACAGGTCAAAAAATAATTCCAAAAATACAAAGAAAACTAACCTTTCAACGGCAAAAGTTCTTGAAAAGTACAGAAAAACTGCATGACAAATAAATATTCGTTGAAATCATCGGAATTAATCCATTTTGGTAATTCGAGAGTCGGAAAACGTGGCAATGGTTTCAAATCATCGCAAATCAAATCCTCTCGTTTTCTCATATAAATTGTTCGCTCTCGATTTTTCTTGCGGCGTTCCTCTTTTTGTGCCTCTTTTTCCTGGAAATATTGGAGAGTTGAAAAAAGTGTGAATTTTTCTTTTTGGAGTCAAATTTTTTGTTGTTGAGATAATTGAAATTTTTAAATTCTGTGAAAAAATGGATTTGTTGTCAATTTCTGATTAGAAATTTGAGGGTCCCCAAATTTTTTCCAGAATTTAATTAGGTTTAATGAAGTAGAAATTCAAAACTATCACCACACTTGATGATTGAAATACTATATAAAATTTTCGAAACAGTGAAAATTTTTTGGGATTTTTTTTGGAGTCAAGAATTGAACGCTAGAAAGTTCAATTGAGAAACTCGTGGATCCGCGCCAAATTTCAAGGACAGTCTGATGATGTTTAGCGAAACATTGTTAATCTTCTAGAGATTTTTCGAAACTGAGTTAGCCAAAAAGTGTTTAAGTTTCATGAATCCCTTAAAAATAGCATACCAATTTTTAGACTAGAATAATTCAAACCCCTCAAAAATCGCTCACCTTCTCTTTTGCCTCTTTCACACTCTCCTTAAATTTCTCAACAATCGCCTCATCCAACAATACCAAATCCTGTTTGAATTCGGTCAAATCAATCGAATATTTTTCGGCATCTTTGAAGAATGGTTCCAATTGTTCTTGTTGTTCTCGAATTTGTTTCTTCTTTTTTTCCGATATTTTCGGTGTCTTTTTCTTTCCATCCGATATTTTTCGTTTTTTCTTTGGTGTCTCTAATGGCTCTCCTTCTTCTGTTTTGATATCTTCAACTGCAACTGGAGCTGGAGCAGACTTCTTTTTTCTCGATTTTTTAGCTGGATTGCTCTTCAATATTTCCAAATCAGGTTTCATATCCTCATCAAAATATTCCTCTTGTTTAACTTCCAAATTTTCCTGAACCTCTTCTTTCACATCAGTTACCACAACTTCTTTTTCCTGTTTCTTTCTTCTAACTTTTTTAACTGGTTCAACATATCCGGGTTTCATTACATTTGGTGTTCTTCCTCTTTGTAATACAGGTGTTTGTGGACAAACTGGCGGATCTCCAGCTAACAACATATCCCATTCTAAACTATTTACAATTCCATCAATCAAATATTCGTCTTTTACAATATAATGATCACCAGGCCATGGCATATAACAAGCATTTTTGAGGAAAAGTTTGACTTTTTGGCGTGATCCAATGTGTTTTGAGCGGCTGGAAGAACAAATAATCATTTCTGGATTGTGATTTTTGGAAAAAAAATAATATTTATGAGCTAATGTAGATTAGGAGAAAACCTTTGAAAAAAAAAACTAAATTTACAGATTTTTTTAAATTAGAGACAACGTAATGGGCCTGTGCAGAATAATATTTTGTAATAAAAAAACATTAAAAAACATTTTTTTCCTATGCAGAAAAACGTCGAAAAAACAAAATAAAGACAACGAGAAATTGAGAGAGCGCAGACATAAAATGGGTTTTTTGTCTGCACTCTCTCAATTTCACGTTGTCTCTACTCAAAATAATAAACTGTATATTTTGTTTTTTTTTCGACGTTTTTCTGCATAGGAAAAAAATGTTTTTTTATTACAAAATATTATTCTGCATAGGCCCATAAAATTGAGAGAGTCTAGACAGAATTTTAGTTTTTTGAACACAAATAAATTTAAAAAAAACTAATTATTTGTCTAGACACTCTCAATTTTACGTTGTCTCTGATCAATATAATATTCTGTATGTTTTCTTTTTTTTTGTTTTTCGACGGTTTTCAGCACAGAAATCTAATGTTGTGATATTTTTTTGTAAAATGATGAAAAGTCAAAGTTTGCCAAAATTTTGCAAAAAAAAAAACTGACAATAATTTTTCAATCGGAACATGTTCTCTAATTCCATCATCTTCATCATCTCCTCCATTTTCCATCAAATGTGGTCCTTCTAACAATTGAATTGTATATCGATAAAGTTCACCAGTTGGTAAAAGAGGTTCTCTAGGTTCACCTTTCGCGTCACGCCTGAAACTTTCTTTTTCAATTTTGATTTTAAATTGTTCGAAAAACTCACAAATCCTCATATCTATTCGCTTTTGCTTCATCAAACAGCACATAATTTCCAATAATTTTTGCTGGATATTTTCTCGATTTTTCTGTGAATGTGACTTCTTCTCCAATGAAAAAACGTTCTTTCATAATATTATAACAATCATTGACCAAATCCTCGAATCTTCCACGATTTGTGAAATTTTTGACGATGAAAATTATGGGTTTTTCGAGAAAATCGGGAAAATGACTGAGTGAATCGTGTGCCTCTTTTTCGGATTCGAGAGCTTCGAAAAATGTCAAATTGGTTTTTCGAGTATATGCACATGACCAAACTGTTGAATTTAATTCTATCACTCGATTGAAATAATCTCTGGAAATTAGGAGAAATGCTGAGGATTTTGGGAAGAACGGGGAATTTGAGATGGAAAAAAATTGGGTCACGTTGAAATTAAAAATCTTGGGAAATTTCGAAAAATGTTTTTTTTGGGATGAAAATGATTAATTTTTCGCGCTAAATTTCGCTTCAAAAAAAATGAGACACAGTAACCTAGGATTGAATTTTTAAAAAAATTCAAAAATTTCTGTGGAATTAAAAAAAATCCCCGAAAACTTACTCATGTCTCAAGAAAATCTCATTTGTCGCCTCCAAATAAAACACTTTTGTATCATATTTCAAATCCGGCGGTTTTTCAGCTCTTCGAAATGGTTTTTTGTGCAAAAGTGGCATCTGAAATTATTTTTTTTCTGATTTGAAATTAAAAAAAAGATAATCACAGGGTTTTTGTAACCCAGTCGAATTTTCAACCAAAAAAACAGAAATTCTGGTTCAAATTTATAGGAAAATGTACAGCATAAAAAGAGATCAGCAATTAAAAAATAAAATCATATTTTAAATAATCAAGTGTGAATTAATTTGGAGATATAAAATATATTAACAATTATTACATATAACCCATTTTTGTTCCCGATTCAAGAAGAATCTCGATTTGTTGTTTTGCGTGTGCTCGAGCGTGTTCTGGAAGAGTTCGAAGATCTGAAACTATTGATGCTGAAAATGCCGAATCGCCATCCAATAAAACATCTCCACTTCCAGCGCCGGCTCCACGTTTTTCCATCATCATGAAATGCATACTGCAAAAATTATTGTTGTAAAGAGTTAGGGAAGATTGTTTTAAGTTTCCCAAATGTTAAAAACCTTCTCAAAATATTTTTGCCCATAAAAAATCAAAAAGCAAATAATGGGCGAAAAGTCATATTTGATAACGTTTCAATTTTATTTTCTTCGGGAAAAACTCGTTTCAGAGAGAAAAATTAGTTGTCTGAAATTATTTCTCAAGGGTTTTATAGATAGGTTAGAGAAGAAAAGTCTGCATATCAAATTTCGAAAAAAAATGTCAAGGGCTGGGGAAATTTTTTTGAGCTCAAGCTATTTCAGAACCAAAAATTAGAGGATAAAATTTTTGGTGAAAAAAATTCCTGAACAAAACATTTTCTATTCATCTCCCAAAATGACTTACTCATCATCATAATCTCCATATTCGGATAAATCATCATGTCCTCCTCCATTTCCACCATTTCCTCCTCTTTTCAACGATCTTGCACCCGCAGCTCGATCATCTAAAAATGGATCCATCCACATTAATTGATCATAATATTCCCATGTTGATACTTCAACAATTCCAAGATCTGCTTGATGTTTTAATCGTCGTTTTTCTCGAACATATCGATCTCGAAACTTTTTCCATTGTTTATATATTGATGGTATTCCACTTGGATATTGAAGTGTTTCAATTATTGATGTCCATGCTTGATGTCTCCAATCAGCGTGTCGATATTTTGCATCTCGAACATCGTAAAGACATGGATGTTGATGAACTTGTTCGATTAATCGAGGAGCAAACATTGGATCAGTAACTGCCAAATGCTGAAAAATAAGGAATTTGGAAAATTTGAACCGATTTTTTTATTCCGGGTAGATTCCAAGTTCAAGCAAAATTTGGCAAAAAAGTTTAGTTCTCATGGAACAGAGACGTAGCAAAACTTGAAATTTCGAAAAAAAAGTTATGAATATTTTGAAACAGTAGAAATTTGTTAAAATTACAAACCTTGGGGAAATTGATGTTTGAATTTCTTGGCTCTCTTTTTACGTTAAAAAAAATGAAATAAAGTTGGAAAAATACATTTTGAAGAAATTTTATCAAATTGGAAAATTTACGATTTTTGGACAAAATGTTTTTGCCACGTCATAACTAATTTCCCAGATTCTTCCGAACCAAACAATTCTCAATTTTCCCCTGTTCAAAACATTTTTCTTTCCCTATCTCAACTTACAACATCATGTGGTTCTTTTCTCGATGGCGAAACATCAGTTCGATCAGTCATATGTGGATCAAGAAAACTGAGATGTTTAAAATATTGCCAAGCCGATTTCTCATGACTATATTTCTGTTTCCTCTTTTCTTTTCCATATTTATCTCGTAATTGTTTCCATCTCGAAGCCAACATTCGCGGATCTCCTTCATAACACAACACAGTAACAAGTCGATTCCATACTTTATTTTTATATTCCGTATTTCGATATTGTCGATCTGTTGAATCAAAAAGACATCTGCTATGTTTGACTGCTTCTATTAGACGTAAATTGAATGTTGGTTCGATCATATCATCGTTCATTCGACCACCAATTTGAAAACCATGCCTGCAACAAAAAAACATTTCTAAATTTTCAGGAAGTTTTTTTCCGGGCATGAAACCTGAATTCAAATTTTCAAAACGATTCAACAATTATTTTGGCCTTTTTCGAAGCTTTTTGAATTTTGAATTTTTTTTGAAAAGAATTTTGAAACAGTGAAAAATATGAAGGACCGAAAAAATCGGATTTTTCATTTTTAATAGAATTTCGAATTAAATTTTATAAATAATTTTGAATTTTCCAGAAAAACCTCGATTTTTGTCGAAAACTCAAACTTCAAATGAAAATTCAGTTATTTTCCAAACTTTTCATTTTTTTTTAATTTTGAAAAAAAACTTACATTTTGGCGGCGAAATAGGGGTACTGCTATCTTTCTTCCACCTGAAATTTCTAGAATTTTTTCTTGGGGAATTCAAAATAATTAGATATCAAAATGGTTTTCTTATGACCATAATTCACTTCAAAATCAACAGAAACAATAACAATTTTATAAAAAATCTATAACAAAAAATCAACAATTCAGAACAAAATAAACACCCAGCTCTTCAGGATTTCGATTTCTTGGCTTTTTTCGACTCAATTTGTCCATTCAACTTCTCAATTTTCCTCTTCGACTCATTAATTCTTTTCGTTTTCATATTCTGCATATGTTTATCAGCTTCTTCTTCAGTCATTCCACTCAACAAAAGTTCTTTCCTCTTATTAATTTCTCGTTTTTCTCCAAATTTCTGATTATCCAATTTGAGTTCTGCTTCTTTTTTGGCCACAATTACTTTCGTCACATATTTTGTCACATGTTTCGCACTAACTTTTAATTCCTCCAATTTCTTTCCAATACTTTTCTCCACTGCTTGCAATAATTCAATATCATATTGTGTTACAAAAGTCAAAGCGGATCCAAATCTTCCAGCTCGAGCACTTCGACCAACTCTATGAATATATGTTTTTGGACAATGTGGAACATTATGATTTACAACCAAATCAACGTGTGGAATATCAAGACCACGAGATGCGACATCTGTACAAATTATTACTTGAAGAGTTTTTGAACGAAAAGCTGAAAGTGCTGCGAGACGAGTTTTTTGAGCAATTTGTGAATGAAGTGAGCCAACCTGAAAAATATCTGTTATTTTAATTGTATTTTTTTAAAAATGAAATCCTAAATTTTTGATGGTAAAAAATCTATATTTTTTGCAAAAAATTTCATTTTAAATCATTTACAAAACATAGAATCTACAATAATTTCATCAAAAATAAATTAATGTTCAACCAAACTTGAAACATTAATATTTTAAAGCTACTTCTCTTACAAATTTCAACTAATCTAACCCTCCTCCCCCAAAATTACTTACCCTAAATCCAAGACCTTCAAACATATAAGCCAATGCTTGACATTCTCGACAAGTTTGTGCAAAAATAATAACCGATGATTTCGGATTTCGCTCACTGAAATTCTTCACAACATAAACCAAATAAGCATCTTTCACCGAAACCGGACAAACAACAAATTTCTGTTCCAAATTCTCAACCGTCGAAATATTTCCCTTATCTTCGAAGAAAAATGGTTTTCTAACTGATACTTTATGCAAATGATTGATATTATTTGTAATTGTTGCAGAAAGCAAAAGAGTTTGTCGTTTTTGAGGAAGAGCTTGGAATATTGGTTTGAGTTGATCATTATATTGTCCTTCAAGCATTCGATCAGCTTCATCTAACACGAAAAATTGAACACGTTTGAAGACTTTCGAAATAACTTCTGGATCACTTTCGATTAAATCGGATAATCTTCCAGGAGTTGCGACAACTATATGTGGACGTGATGTTAATTCAGACGCTTGTTGGATCTGCAAAAAATGATATTTGAAAATGGTTTGAGTTTTTGAAAACATTTTTTCAATAAAAATTTGATTATTCCTCAAAAAACTCACCAAACTTCTTCCTCCAACAATAACCGAACATTTCAAAGTAATCGGTTTTCCAACCGCCATAAATTGATCAGCAATTTGAAATGCCAATTCTCTTGTCGGCGTCAAAATTAAAGCATAAACTCCAAACGGATCGACAGCAAGTTTTTGCAAAATCGGAATTGCGAATGCCAATGTTTTTCCAGTTCCAGTTCTTGCGCATCCTAAAATATCACATCCTTCCATTATTTTTGGAATACAATGTGCTTGAACAGGTGTCGCTGTTTTGATATGCATTGTTTTTAATTGATTTGTTATCCAAGATGCAACTCCAAGTTCATTGAAATTCTTTGTTGTCATATTTGTTTCAGATATTTGAAGAGGTTTTTCGGAACTATCAAATTCCACACCTTCTTCAGTTTCCTCTTCTTCTTCATCACTATTTTCTTCATCTTCTCCATCAGAATCGTCTTCTTCTTCTTCTACTTCGGTCTTCTAAAAGAAGGTATATTTATAAAAAGCTTCAAGATAGTAAAAAACAGTTTGAAATATTTCTACAAGTAGCCTGATTTTTGAATTTTCATGGGAATTTATTTTTGAGAATTAAAATCAGAGCAAGGCTTTTATACAGGAAATCTATAATTCGATAAAGGGAGAAATTTTTGATCAAACAGCAGCTAGATTATTTTTGTTGTTGAAATTTTCAGATTCAATTTCAAAATGTTCATAGTTTATCTGCCACGTCATAGCCTACCTCAACTTTACTACTCGTAGCTTCTTCCTCTTCAATTTCTTCTTCTTCCTCATCTAAAACTTCATCTTCATCATCCGACAAAATCGCATCACAAATCGACGTCATCCTGAATTTAAATTCTAAATTCCATATAAATTTCACAAAAATTTTCAGATATTTCTAGAGTTCTTCTAACTCTTTTTTCAATAGAATCGAGAGGAAAAATAAGCAAAAATTCAAATTCATGCAGTAGAAAACACGAAAAATAAGCAGATCAGAATGAGAAAATTAGAAAAGTTTCCAACAAATAAAAAAAACAGTTCGAGTCAAAAAACAAAATTGGATCAATAATTATTGCATTTTCAGTCCTCCTAATTGTTCACGAGCACGAAGTTCTTGTGATTCTTTTTCGGTCAAAATTCGAATATTGTGAGTTTCTTTATGAGCATTGAGTTCTTTTCCTTTCTCGACGAGTTGCTTGTTGAGTTGAAGCACAACTGCGGTTAACTGCAAAGAAATATTAATTTTTGAAAAATTGTTATTCAATTTTGGTAATTCACTTCGAAAAAAAAGCTATACATTTTTTGAAAAACTTGATGATTGTGAGATTAATTCCAAAAAATGCATCAAATTCCAGAAATTCAAAAAACAACCTACATTGACTATATTGTTGTCCAATTCCGGAATAACATCTTTGACAGTGTATTCGACCAAAGTATCACTTATAAGGCGGAAACATTTTTGATCGGGTTCCAAATCTTTGATCAAATCGAGAACACGTCTGTAAAATTTAAATTTGTCAAATTCCTAATTATTATAAACTACATCTCGGCCAAAATTGTGGGTTCCAACAATCAAAATTGTACGCTAACTTTTTTTCAATGTAAAAACTTTACATTTTCAATTTTTGGACCCTTGAACACCTCAAATTCATTTATTTTCAAAATTGTACTCTGGCCCACAACTGATTGGCCGAGGTGTGTTATCAACTTGTGAGGAAAACATCGAAAAGTGTTCAAAATTCTCAAATTTTCAAGAATTTTTCAAAAATTTTGACCGGAAATTGTTCAGTGAAAAATTCGAGGTTCTGAACCTTCCTCCACCCGTTTTTTTCCATTTTTAAATCGCAAAGAAAAACTCACTCATGCTCTCTGCGTTCCTCTTCAATTCTCGTAACTTCTCCAGCAATATCCTGTTGTTGTTCTCTCAAAAGCTTGAACTTCTCAACAATTTTGCGTTGTTCCTCTTGTTCTGCTGGGGTTGCCTGTTGTCCTGACATCTCACCCTGAAAGTTATAAATGAAATTTTGAGAAACCAGAAAAAATCCAGATAAATATTTCGGTAAGAAAAACCGATTGGAAAATAAGAAAAACAAAAAAAAATGATAAGGATTTTTTAAAACGATAGAGAACAATTCAAAAAATTCGGGTTAAAAAACAAACGAAATCGATAGGAAAGAAAACGAGATTCAGAAAATAAATAAATAAAAACAGTTTTTTGGGGTTGGAGTGAACAATGAAAAAAACAAGGTTATATAACATGAGAACATCAGATGAAAATTGATATGCGAAAAAATGTTGGAAAAATGCATAGATTTATGTTTCCATTTCTTCGTCGAATCCACCATTTGCTCTGGCAATTTGATCCAATTGTCGATTCCAACCCTAGAAATATTGAATTGAATGAATTCGAAAAACTATAGATTTTATTCGGGAAAAATTAATTTTTGGGATTTCTGAATCAGTTTATAAATTTTTGATTATTCAAAAAATCAGAAATCATAATCGGCCTTAGTTTGGTTGTTAGATTTCTCAGAAATGGCATTTAAATATACACATGAGAAATTGTATAAGCTTCTTGGGGAGAACATAAATTCTTGTTTTTCATGAGATCTGAGAAACTTCGTCATTTTTCATATAACTTTGAGAAATTGGTCCGATCCTCAAAATCAGACCGAGTTCCAGATTTGCTTAAAAATGTTCTCACCTTTTCCGGTACCCGTCCAGACGCTAAAATACTTTGCAAATAATTGACTTCGGCTAACGATTTGGCATTCTTTACAGCATCCTGAAAAAAATATGTAACTGTTGACCTGAAGCTTTTTTTAGGAATAAGATTTAAAAAATTCCCTGGAGCGAGCAAATCATGAAAAAATGTCAATGACTCAAAAAACGTCGAAAATACGTTTCAAATAATTTCCATCATTGTTTTTCAAACAAAAATGTTTGATAATACACAAGATGGTTTTTCTCAAGCTCATCCCACATTTTCCAATTGTCTAATGGGGTGATTCAGGTCGAAAAAAAAATAATAAAAAAACATTTTTTAACAAAAAAATTCGATTCAGCAAATGTCAAAAAACTATATTTTTTTCCTATTTTTTGACATTTTTTTCCACACAAAAATGAAAAATATCTTGCAGCGAAAATGTTGCAATGTAAAAAAATGTCAAAAAATAGGAAAACAAATATAGTTTTTTGACATTTGCTGAATCGATTTTTTTCGTTAAAAAATGTTTTTTTATTATTTCTTTTTCGACCTGAATCACCCCATAACTTACCTTGATCTTTTCGCGATCTTCTGATGTCAATTGTACACCAACTGAATTTTCCTTCTCCGATTGAGCTTCTTCTGTATGAACAGATCTTTGAATCGAATCTCTCGCCTTCTTTCCACTTTTTCCTTTGAACATCTTTTTCGCCGCTTCACGCTCCTGAAATCAATTTTTCTAGAAGGTTCTCGAGAAAATTCCAAACTTACCGATAATTTGACTCGATTAAAATCGATAACCCTAACTGTTGGAAGCTTGAAAATAATATAAAGACGATAATTATCCTTGTGGGTGATAGGATTTCCGATAAATGTAACATATTCCAGTTTTTGACAATTGGCCAATGGATCAATATCTCCTAACTCACAAATATTATTATTTGTCAAAGCGATCGTTTTCAGATTTGGTAATTTTTGAGCAATATCTGGAGCTATATAACTGCAAAAATATAATTTTTTTAATCAATATTTTTAATTAGTAAATAAAAAACTCACTTTATCCGATTATTATGAAGATAGAGAATACTTAATCGTTTGAAAGTTGGAAAATTGTCTAATTTTCGAATGTCATTGTCAGTTAGATCGATGACGTCGAATTGATCCTGAAAGACATGGAAATATTCGAAAAATCAAAGACAATGTTGGAGTTTCATATTTCTCAAAAATTTGAAACAGTGAATTTTTTCAACGAAAAAAATAATTTTTTGCTCACCCTGGTAACTCCCATATTTTCAATAACCGGCACTTTTTGTCCACGAATATTGATTTCTCGCAAATTCAAAGTGTTCACAAATTGTGGGCGTTCGGATAACAATTCGGCTGTCAATCGGACCATCTAAATAATTTTTGTTGATTAGAGACTGGAAATTTAAGTGGTAAAGGTATTTTGTAGGGTTTCAGACCCAAAAACGAATAAAAATCAAATGATAAAAAACATTTCTGAGATCTTTTAAGTACATTATTAATACATACATAGAAATATATCACAGTTAATTTTTTAACAAATACAAAAATTCTCCCAATCCTAAAGGAGATACTTTTCAATTATAAAAAAGCAAAAATGCCGATAAATACACAGATGATAATCAAAAATGGGAGCCATTGTGCCAAAAAATGATGAGTCTTCACATATTTCCCATCAACAAGTATATGCCAAGCCAATTTGACCATATTCCAATCTTCTCTATCTTGATATCTCATCAAATTCATTGCCATTGCAACATGACTGTGACAATTATCACAAATCAAATTATGCATTCGAGTTTTGTAGACATCTGATGCTTCAATGATTCCTTTGTCAAATGCTTCAACACCTCCTTCTGCATGTTCTGGTGCTAATTGCCAATATCGAGTTGGCCAACCGAATCCCATATCATCTTCGCTCACATAATAACTTCCAGCGAAATCACGAATCACTCCGCGACTTGTTGCAATTCCCATATGACCGATGAATGGGAAAAACCATCTGAAATTATTTTCTTGGAAAATATTTAGATTCAAAGTTTTATTTTATTTTGTTCTTTGAAAACTTAGTAAAATGATATTTCAAGTTCACAGAGAAAATTGAAATAAATTGGCAAGTTAAACACAACTAGTATTCAATGAATAAAAATAAATTATTTACCAAGGACTAAAATAATTTATTTTCGAACTTTGAAAAAACTCACGTTAAACAAGGAATCGGTGTCCAAACAACGCAATATGGAAACCTATTATTTGGTGGATCAATTTCTCGATCTGTTATTGGCATCATATGATAGGCAAACTCTGGAATTCACACACAAAAATTAAAAATTCTGAAGAAGCCCCGAGAAAAAAAAAAGAATCGAAAAAGTTTGTCTGCATTTGTGCGTCGCCGTGTACAGCTGTTTGCATGAAACATTTTATTTGACGCGCATTACTTTTTAATTTTTGGAAAATTTGTCGGCTTTGAAACGTGGAAAACGTGTGATACGGATGATGTGGCAAATTGATGTGTTGTCAATCGGATTCAGAGGATTCAGTTTGATTGTCTACGAGCGATAGAAGAGGTGAGCGAATTCAGAGAGAAGCTTATCTTCATTGTAAGTGTTTTTTTCAGTCATGGGTCGTGTTCGTGTTTACTTCGATATTAAAATTGGTGGAAAAGCAAGTGGAAGAATTATTATGGAGCTTTATAATGACATCGTTCCAAAAACCGCTGAAAATTTCCGTGCTCTTTGCACCGGAGAGAAAGGAAAAGGAAAATCTGGAAAGAAGCTTCATTTCAAAGGCTGCAAATTCCATCGAATTATCCCAGAATTCATGATCCAAGGTGGTGATTTCACAGAGGGAAATGGAACTGGAGGAGAATCGATTTATGGAGAAAAATTCGATGATGAAAACTTCACCGAAAAACACACCGGACCTGGAGTTCTTTCAATGGCAAATTGTGGAAAGAATACAAATGGCTCGCAATTTTTCCTCTGCACTGTCAAAACCACGTGGCTCGATGGAAAACACGTTGTTTTCGGAAAAGTTGTTGAAGGAATGGATGTTGTAAAAGCAATTGAATCGAAAGGAACCGAAGATGGAACACCAAAAACAACTTGTGTTATTGCCGATTGCGGAGAACTCAAGTAAAAGAACCAATGCTTCGTATAAAACTTGTAATAAAATGTGTTTCTTTGGCTGTCTTTCAGACTCAAAATAAATAAAAAATTTTTGATCTGAAGTATTTTTTGATCTACATAAAACCGGTTGTTCCACGTGTTCCTATTTTTCTCGAAAAAAGTGAAACAAAAATTATCAGTTTAGTTATTCTCTTCACTTTAGAACTACTCAACTAACTCGCGAAATGACTCGTCCACGCGTTTTCTTCGAAATTTCAATCAATAATCAGTCAGCTGGTCGAATCACAATGGAGTTATTCTCGGATATTTTTTCACTTACTGCCGAAAACTTTCGCGCTCTTTGCACCGGCGAAAAAGGCGGAACTCTTCACTACAAAGGTTCCAAATTTCATCGCGTAATTCCGGATTTCATGTGTCAGGGTGGAACTCTTCAAGGCGGAACTCAATCGATTTATGGAGAACGCTTCAAGGATGAGAATTTCCAAGAGAAACACACTGGACCTGGAATCCTTTCAATGGTAAGTATTGATTTTTACAATAGCTGAAATTTAAATAAAGTTCTATTTATCTGATTACAGGCAAATCGTGGTCCAGACACCAATTCATCGCAATTCTTCCTTTGCACAACAAAAACTGATTGGCTCGATGGAAAACATGTTGTTTTCGGAAAAGTCATCGATGGAATGAATGTTGTCAAAGCAATTGAAGCGCAAGGAACCGATTCAGGAACTCCAAAGGCGGAATGTATTATCACAAATTGCGGAGAACTATAATTTATTTTTGTTCCTAATTTTCTTGTCAACTAAACATATCTTACTCTACTTATTTTAAATGAAAATGAAATTTTCGGCCGCAAAATCAAATACAAAAAATAAATTACTACTGTATTTCAAAGACGCAAGCTGAAAACTGTTCGTTCCTCCCAAGACCCGAGCGCGCGAAAAAAATATTTTTGTTTTTATCATTTTATTTTTCAGTTTTTTGTCGCATGCACTTTCTCTTGTTTACCCCTTCTCATATCATCATTCAAGCCTAAAATCAGCTAATATTTCATAATTCTAACTCTCTTCATTGTAGTCTCCTTTCATTTGTCATCACTATTACGTCACCCAACACACAAACACACTATTTTGTGTCGAAAGTAGGCGGAGCAAATTCAAATTATTTTTGGCGCCAACAAGTATTTAGCGTCGCGTTCTTTTCTCATTTTCTTTTTATTCTACTCGTTTTCTCTTTGATGATAGACACAGTATTATAATATTATACTTTTCAGAGAGAAATGGCACATTTGCTTGAAGGAACTACACTGAAACTTCAAGACGGAACAGAAGTCAAAGCCGAAAATTATTTGGAGGGAAAAGTTGTTGGATTATACTTCTCAGCAAGTTGGTGCCCACCATGCCGTGCATTTACACCAAAATTGAAGAGATTCTACGAGCAAATCAAGAAAGAGCATCCAGAATTTGAAGTTGTTTTTGTTTCGCGCGATCGCGAAGACGATGCTCTTGTCGAATATTTCAATGATCATATGGGAGAATGGACTTATATTCCATTTGGAAATGAAAAAATTCAGTGAGTTTTTTGAGAATTGAAATTTGAAACTTTTCACATTTTCACTAGTATAGTATTTTTTTTTCAAATAAAAAAATCAAAACAAAAATTATCGTTTCCAGAGAACTTTTGGCCAAATACGAGGTCAAAACAATTCCATCAATGCGAATCGTAAAACCAGACGGAACTGTTGTTGTTAAAGACGCTCGAACTGAAATTCAAGAAAAAGGAATCGACGCACCAAATGATCTCTGGGAAGAATGGCTTGCATTCTACGATTAAATAATTGCAATATTTTGTAACATTTCATTCATTCATACTAAAAAAAATTTCACCAAAAAAGCCCAATACATTTAAAACATCAATATCATATAAATTAAGCGACAGTATTTGTCAGCGAGAAAAACAACACATCTTTCTTGCCTTGTTGTTGTTTGAATTGAAGAGGATCGATTGCCTACGAAATATGTTTTAATGTTTTCGGTGAAAGTTGAAAACAAGTTACCTTGAGAATTGCAGCAAGTTTCATAACAACTTCAGCTTTGCTCATCTCTCCGCATTTTCCTTTCATTTTGTGCAATAATTCTTTGGTTGTGTGTGGTTTTCGACGAAGATAGCGGCGAACTGTTTCCTCGTTCAAACCATCAACAAATCTGCAGAGAAAAATACGTTTCAAAATTTTAATTAATTTTTTACCGAATGGGTTCGCAAAATGCCTCCGCAAAATGCCTTTTTTTCGCGAACCCATTCGGTATTTGCCTAAAATTTCTATTATAAATAAAAAATGATGTCTACAAAAATGTGACCAGATTGTTCCAATTTTCTAGAAATTCAAATCGAGTTTTCAGCACAACGCTGGAATTTTTTATCTAGAAAACTCAGAATTGCTCAAATTTGTACTAAAATTCAAAAATTGCTTAATTTTTTCCTCCCCAGAAACCTACTTATTCTTCTCCACAATCTTGGCCTTTTTCGCATCTTTTGGTCCCAAATCATCATTTTTCAATGCCGAATCATCAGTATGTGCTCGTTTCTTTGCTCCTCCATCACTTGTTCCACTCGCTCCTTCTCCATTCTCATTTGTCTCCATTGCTGATGGAATTTCCTCTTTTTTCGGCAAAAATACAACCGAAGTCATGTTCTCTTCATTATCCGCATCAGTATCATCTCCAGACGAATCACGTTCTTCCACATCCAAATTATCTTTCCGAGTTGTTTGATTTTTCAACAATTTTTTGGCTGAAAAAAAGTTTTGATTCAGTAAATGGCTAGAATCTATTTTTTTATTTTTAGGGAAAAGTAGGAAATAGAGTCCCTAAAAAAATGAAACTAACTCAAATCCTCATCCGATTCACTGTCATCCGAATCTTCTTTTGCTCCTTCTTCATCTCCAACTCCAACCATTTGTTTTTCCACTTTGTCATCAGATGGAACTTGTTCGCGACTAAAAAACGGTGAATTTTTTGGTGGAAAATAATTTTTCACGTGTCCTATACGTGGCAATGAAAAATACTTGAAATTTATTAAGGAAACGTGAAATTTTTTGTCACTTCTAAATTTATTCATCTATAAAAATGGTTGCTGGGAAAATTCATGAGGGCTTCAAAATGAAATGAAATGTGAGTTTTTCGGGTTTCAGATTCTTCCTATAGATATAGAGATAGATCAAACATTAAATATGTTCCCCGAGCCAGTTTTTTCAGTTAAGCTCCCCTTTTGAAACATTTCCAAAGTTAAACCCCTTTCCTCACATTTTCGTGTAGATTTTGGACAAATCTGGGATTTTTGGTAAATTATCAGCAGAAAATTGGCCAAGTTAGGCCTCCTTCCCTTCAGATTTTTGAAAAAGTTAAGCCCCTCATTTTCTGGGGACCCATTTTATGTATGAGATATATATTTTTGATTTTTATTTCTGTCTAAACTCACTCTGAATCCGATCCAGAATCCGACATATAATCATATTCTCTTCCTTCATCTTCACCATCAGACGATTCATATTCTGCAAAAACCCCTTTTCAAAAAATCAAAATTTCCTCAAACTCACTAGCAACATCATCCGAATTATCAACCCGTTGTCTTTTATCTTTTTTCGTTTTCAAATTCTTCTTCTTTTTCTTATTTGTCTTTTCAGCTTCTTCTCCTCCATTATCTTCTTCATCTGAATCTCCAGAACTTGCTTCATCCCTCAATTTCAGACTTCTATTCATTTTTTCAATAGCTTCTCCATCTTCAGCCGGATTCACCATATTTTGGATAGCGGCTTTCAATGCAAATTGATTCATAACTTTGTTTCTTCTGTAATTTTTATGAATTTGAAAATCAAAACTCAATCAGCTTCATAATTAACTTACTGCAAGAATTTTTCCTCAGCTTGATCAATATCTAAAGTTTTATGAGTGATTGCTGGCAAGAATTTATGCCATTCATCAACTTTATACGCTTGAAATTCACAACTCGAAGTCGGTTTCAAAAAAACCCAATAATCGGCATGTTCATTTGCTCCACCTTCTCGAATTCCTCGCATTTTCCTATTTCTTCCCCCATCCGGCTCGTTAAACGACAATTTCCATGGTTGATTATCAAGTTTATAAGTTTTCGATTGTCTTCCATATTTTTTTCGTCTAGCTTCTTCTCTCGCCGCTTTTCCATATTCACTTCCTTCTCCATATTCTTGAACTGTTTGTGAAGCGAGAACAACTCCTCGATTATCTTCTCGTTCCATTGTTACATGTGATTCGTTTGTCCATTTTCCAGTATCGACTTTGTCCATTCCATTAAACATTAGGACCGAATAACGCATCTCATCACTTCTTCTGAAAATATTTCATTTTTCATTTGAGTTTCCATAAGTTCTCTATTCAACTCACTTGGCTACCCGAACACTGAAATCACTTTGCACTGGTGCTGACATCTGCAAAATATTCATTTTTTTTCAAATGAAAATTAATTTATTTTCATATATTTATAGCGATATCCAACGCTTTTCAGATTTTCAAATCCAGCTTCTTTTCAAAACAGAATATAATTTATTCAAAAAAATCCTAACTAAAAACAAACAATCAAAAAAAAACATAACTAAACTAGAAAATGTTCAACAAAGACTTTCGATTTTGTGCCTGATACTTCAAAACCTTCATATCAATAACATTTGCAATTTCTTCAGCTTTGCGATTTTGTCCATAATAATCATGGAAATTACCATCTGGATCAATCAAATACATAATAACTGTATGATCAACAATATAATCATCTTGTTGTTTTGTTGTTCTTGGTCCTTGACTGTGATAAACTCGGAAAGTTTTCGCAACTTTATTCACTTGTTCTGTACTTCCAGTAAATCCTCGCAATTTCTTCGAAAATTCTGCACAATATTCTTTTACTCTTGGAATTGTATCTCTTTCTGGATCGACTGAAATGAAGACTGGAACAATTGGAACTTGACCTTTTGCATCCAAAATATCAACAACTTTGATCATTTTTTCAATTTCATCTGGGCAAATATCAGGACAATGTGTGAATCCAAAATACATCAAAAGCCAATTTCCTTTAAGTTGTTCAGATCCTTCCAATTTGCCATCGGTATTTAATAATTCCCAATCGCCACCAATTCGAGCTTTTCCGGCAGTGATTTTTCGATGTTTTTCTCGCTCTTCTAGTCTCTACAAATTGTTTTTTTTTTGAAACGAAAATACTTTTTTGAAAACTCACGATTTTCTTGACATAGAATAGCGCAGCTAAACATGATCCACCAATTCCTAAAGTGGCCAAAGCAACTTTCCAATTAAAAATCGAACTGCTTCTCTGATAAGCTTCTCGTTCAGATTGTTGTCTGAAGTTCATGAAATTCTTGTCATCAACTGGTTCTTCTGCGGCTTTTGGAACTTCTTGCGGTTTCACATCATTCAATCCAGTTTTCAAAATCTCATTCAGTTTTTTCAAATCTTTTTGAAGGTCACTCTCCAAATCATCTCTGTAAATCTATTATTTTTGCATCATTTCTAGAGTCAAAACTAACCCTTTCTTTCCACTCGAAAATGCACTCCTGGATAGAATAACCCGCGATTTTTCGCTGAGCAACGAAACCCGTCTTGCTGAACTGATTAAATGCCTTGAAAGCATCTAAAATCAATAATGTGTTCGGTTTTTTTTTTCGAAAAAAAAAATAATTCCGAGAGAACTTCAATTTGTGTGCGCTTGGTTTCCTCGGCCAGAAAAGTTCGGCCATCTTGCAAATTTGAATTTTCGCGAATTTTTTTCGTGCCAAAAAATCGGGTTCTTTCGTGATTTTGCAAAGTTTCTCAATTTTTCAGACCCTGCATCAATCAAAGAAAACAACCAAAATAATATCATCAATGTCAAGTAAGTTTATTTCATCACAATTCTTCTTATTATCAAATTTATTTTGAAACAGCCATTTTTTCGAAATGTTGAATCAAACTGTCTCTAGATGACAAAATTGGTGACAATTTTTGTAACAAATCGGTGTCCAAAGCACAGTTTCCTTTAGTAGCCAAGAGTTGTTGAGCTCTTTCAGTTTCGACGCCAATTGGAGCGGGGTTAACATTTGGGTCAACTTTCTGAAAAATTGAAATTAACTAGTGGTTTATCAGAAAATTCAGCAAACCTCTTGATAGATTTTTACAACTTCGTACAAACTGATTGGTTCTGGATTGACCAAATTAAGAGTTCCACCTTGTCTTTGCTCCATCAAATTGAGCATTGCATTCATGCAATCAGGAAGAATTGTAAGAGAAACTGGAATATCGAAAAGTTCCTTGTAGTTGATAATTTTCGATAGCAAATTTCTTGGTTGTTGCAAATCCAAACTAAGAGGAAGTGTGATTCGAACATTCAAATTTTCCCATCCTTTTTGATTGAAATGTGTCATTTGACGATCAGTAAATCCTTTCACAACTGAATAAGCAGATCCGAAAAATGATGGTTCATCATCATCTTTGAACATAGCTCCATCAATTGGATGTTCTTTATCATACGCAAACATATAACCAGTTCCAATATAAGTGTAATGAAGTCCCAAATTTCTGCACAAATGTGCCAAAATAGTTGCGCTGTACATATTATCTCTGACATTGATGTAAACTTTATCAGCTCCACCTTCAAGATATTCAATTGTATTACATCCAGGTCCATGAGTTCTTCCAGTAACACAAATAACATGAGTCACTCCCAATGTAGCCAATTCATTTTGAACTTCTTCGTCACTATGAAAACCGACTTTCTTTTCTGCTAAAACATATGGAATTTGTCTAGCTTTGAGAACATGTTGAAGTTCTTGTCCAACATATCCTTTTCCTCCATAAATTGCCACGTGCATTTTGACATGTTTATGATTTTTGAGAGCTTGAGCAACAGTAAATTTCATGCCATCATCAAAAGATGTTGTTGGCTCCCATCCAAGTTGTTCCTTCGCTTTTTCAATACTAATAAAATAGCGAAGATCATTGTATGGTCGATCTGGAATTGATTTATATCTTGGTGGTTCATAAGGGCGACCAAGTTGGGAATCAACTTCTTGTTGAATTGTTTGCGCCAAATCAGCCACTGCAAAAAATGTTCTTTTAAAATTCGTAGTTTATTGGTTACCCACCATTTTTCTCGTAATAAGTTCCAAGATTATAAATCTCCCCAAGTTCTCCTTTTTCAGTGATCGCTTTGAGACCAGCGCTCGCATCATTTACAAACAACCAAGATCTCAATTGTTTTCCTGAACCTTGAATCGTATATTCTCCTCGAACTTTAGCGATTTCGATAAATCTTGGTACAACTTTAACATCCCATTGATTTGGTCCATAGATGTTATTCATTCTAGCGGTAACAATTGGGAGATTGTATTGTGCTTGATATGCGCTAACATAGGCTTCTCCAGCAATTTTAGTTGCTGCGTATGGGTTTCCTGGGAGCAAACGGGAATTTTCAACTTTCCCAGCTTCATCGGCCCCAAGTCCAGAGTCACCGTAAACCTGGAAATTTTTTTTTCAATTTTAATGTTAAAAGTGTTTTTTTTACCTCATCAGTACTGATATGAACGAAACGTTGGATTTTTCCATAAACTCGAACAGTTTCCAAAAATTGGATGAACGAAAGAACGTTATTGTGAACAGCTTCAGAAGTTTCGTTGTAACATCTTGTTGAAGTGCAATCAGCAGCAAAATGAATCACGGTGTCGGTCTGGAAAAATTGGATTTGGTGAGTTACTTGTAAGACTTTTTGACCGAACATGCTAGTCGGACGAAAGATAGGTAAAAAGTTTTTAATTAAAAAAGGATCAAGATTTTGATCGCCCTACCAACCTCATTCTCCTCAAAAATCTTCAGAATCGCATCTCGATTTTTGATATCAGCCAACGCCAATTTATATCTCGGTGAGTTTTGCACATCTTCATCCACATTTTGTGTGTCACTATTGAGAATCAATTTGTCCACATTCACAAAGTTACAATTTGGCCAAGCGCCATGAATGTAATTGACGAAATTCGAACCAATAAAACCACAACCACCAGTGATAACAACGTTTTTCGGAGTGTAGACCATTCCTAAATTGTAAGAAAAATATAGAATGGAATTGTAAAATTGAACAAAAAAAACTATAGAAGATGTGGACAATTGATAGGACAACGAGGAGAAAAATGAAAAAAAAGAAGGAATGGAGTAGGTGAAGGTCGTAGTATGGCTTGGCTATGGATTGTCGAGAAAGATATGACGTGGAATTGAATGGGATAAAAAAGGAAAAATAATTAGCAAAGTTAGAAACAGAGAACAAAACAGCTGGACAAACCAAGGATCAAGAAAAGTAAAACCGTTACAGTTCTTTACAAAATTTTTGAAAAAACAGGAATAGGCGGAGACCTTTTTGCACTTTTTTCATATTTTGTTCTGCTGGATATGTTTTGTTGTTTTTTTGTTGCATCAATGATCAATTTTCGAAAATCCTCTGTAAGTTTTTTTTCCAGAATTTTTTTTCAGATCACAAGATCTCACAATTTTTCAACTCCATCTGTCAATAAATAAAATAAACGTTTATTATTTGCTCGAAATAAAGTTTTCACACATTTTTTGCTCTTCGTTTTGTTTTTTACTCGAACACCAGATCACGAGTTCATTTTCTATTTCAGAGCAAAAAACATGAAATTTGATCGACTCTTTCTGTGAGCGAATTGCAAGCATATTTTCATAGTTATCTTTGGTAGATCTAGAAAGCATGTGACATTTTTAGCAAAGATTTCATATTTTCGTAGCGGACACAATACAAATGTTATTTTTAGAATTTTCAAAGGCTTCAGTAGTATTCGGATAAATTCTTACCGTATTCACTTCTCGTTTTCTTTTCTATTCAAGTTTCAGTTTTTCAATTAAATTTCACTCAAAACAAGAGAAAATTGATTATAACGTCATTCATTTTTTTCTCCAATATTTGCTTTGTGCGATTTTTGGCTGTTTTTCGTCGTCACATTCATTTTCCAGTATTTCTTCTTCATTCCAACACATAGGCACACATAAAAAGATATTGTAAAACATAATTCATCAAGTACTTCTACTATCCTCCTTCTACCTACTATTAATTTATTTGTCATTCCGGTTTCTCTCATTTCCTTTTCAAAAATCTCTTGTTCTCTCTCACGCCCATATATGTTTCTCGCTATTTGTGGTTTTTTTTGCCGTCTCAAGCAAGTAACATCTCTCAAATTTTTCATATTTATTTTTTATCACTTGATAACTTTTTCGCACTTCTCCTCGGAAACCAAGAATTTGTACGAAATCAGAGTGTAGTAATACATAATTCGTAAAAAGGTCCAACCTCCATTTTTATGACTTCAATTTGAGTAAACGAGCCACGACCCGAAGATCTAATTGGGTTTTTCTTTCCCGGATTTTTTGTTGTTTGCACTTTTTTTTCGAAAAAAAAACGCGAAAAGCAGACATGAGAAATTGAGTTATTTTGTCGACTATTAGATATTCAAGTTATTTCGTGTTGCGGTTTTTGGGAATAGATTTATTTTCGAAAAAATGTCGGTCAGATCTTTAGTTTTGTTTGGACAGCTGTGATTTTTTGTGTGAGAAAAAAGTTTGATGAAACTCTATTCTTATCCTATGTGACGCATTTTTTGAGTCACACCTTACTTTCTAGGACCAATACGAATTTCTTCGAACAAAACTTCTTAGAATTGTAATTATCTTCTACTATAACCTTTAATTACCGTAGGTTTTCCAAAATTCTGAATCATAAATTTTACGAAAAGTTCTCCACAATTAGCTAGCTTTCTTTCATTTTTATTGAAAAAGACAGTTTTACGATTATTGCTTTCTCCGAACTCTCGAAAGATTTACGACAATCCGATTGTGTTCCTCGTCAAAAAATTCAGGAAAGCTCATTTATCTTAATAAATGATTATCTTCTTGCTGTTTTCAACATCATCATAAAATTTGTGGTTTTCTCTGAATCTCTTCACTTTTCGAACACTTTCATCTAATATTTTTGCTCTTTTTTTCGCCCTCATCCATTTCTCATCTTCTTCAATCCATTTTGACGTCCGTCTCTCTAACAAAAAACATTTTTTTGTTCATGGTGTGTCAAAAACTCTTCCTTTTTCTTTCAAAAAACAACAAAAAAGAGCAGAAGCTATTTAGTTGTGAACATTCTCCCCTTTGTCTTTTTCTCTCTTGTTTTTGAGCTGCTAAAATGGATTACGCTTTCGCTTTTTTTTTGACACAATCTATCTGGTTGACAGATTTACCACAACTATTATTATTTTTCGTTTTTTTTCTGCCCTGCCAATTTATTTTCGTTCCAAAACATCAAAAAACATTATATATTAGTGACTAAAGGGAAATTCCATCAAAATGATTCATTTTCTCTGATCATTTTGTACAGAAGAAGAAAAAACAAAAAACACTCGAAAAGAACAACAAATATTTGTTGATTTTACATCATTTTTTCATCCTTCTTTCTGTTTTGCACTTTTTCTCCTCCAGATTATCTCGATTTAAAAAAAAAGATTTTTTCGAAATGAAAATAAAAAGTGGAATTATTCACAGTCGGTTGAGTTAGTCGAAATCCAATTATTTTTCATTTCATGTTCATGTTCTCTAAAAATAAGCCTTGTTTTCAAAGAAGAACTTATGAGAACTAAAGTTATTATCTGGATAGGGATTTTCGTTTCGTTTCTTGGTATTTGTGCTATTTTCCCAGGAATTATTATATTGTCAAATAGTTATCATTTCAATTATTATTTTAATCGTGTGAAAATTGTTGATACAAATGACAGAATAAAGAAAGGAAAATGGAATTTTGATCAGATTACACGATTTTTTATTAATCGGAAAATTAAATAGTATAGTTAGTTTGTGAAAGAGTTAGGTGCTGATTTTCGAGCAAAAAATTGATTTTTCAAGTTTTCTAAAAATTTTGTATCACGTGGATTTTTTCAGGCGAAAAAATTGAAAGTTTGTGGCGTAAAATCCAAGTGCGCTTAATTGAGAACCCGCTTAATTTTTGCGAAAAATCCAAGATTATGATAATTAACAGTGCTTTAATGCTATTCCTCATTTCTAAAATTTTCAAATTATTTTCCGAAAAGGTTTCTCATTAAATGGGATTATCAATTTCCACCTGTCTTCGGTGTGTTTTTACGTAATGGTGTATACACCATAATTAAAAAGACGCGCTAATTTGAAATCACCTGCACCGACACCTATTATTTTTATTCACCGATTTCTAATTATCCACCCACCTTTATTTTTACCGAATCCAACCCCGAAAATATAATACGTATTTTATTTTCTATGAGCCATGGCCTAGAAAACCAAATATCTTCCATTTTTTGCTCCATAATTTTTTTGCATGATTTCTCAATATTCTTTTATTTTTTTGCAGTTATTGTTCCTTGTGGAGCCGAAATGGCTACGCGATATCGAAAAGAGGATCCGTGGGTAATTGGACAACGATTATCAGCCAGATTGGATCATGAAGCATTTCCACTTCATCGAGCTGCATTTTTCAATGATACACAATCGATTTTGCAATTGTTGAGAGCTGGTGAGTGTATTTTTTGAAGGAGAAGGGGATGGGGGTTGAAGAGAATTATCTGAAACTCAAGAACATCTTTAACTCAAGAATTACTGACCATTTGAAGCATGAAACACTTATTTGAACTCTTGAGTATTCAAATAGTGTTCTTTTCATCAGAAAATCAATCATATTTTAATAGCACTACTAAGAAAAATATCAAAATGTTCCCCAAATCTTCCATTGTTTTCAGGCCGAAGTTTATCGGAAAAAGATATGCATGGAAATACAGCCCTCCACATTGCAACAATGTTAGGACATCGAGAAGCGATTGCTGTTCTACTGGCCAATAATTCACCGGTTCGCGCGAAAAATTTGGATGGATGGAGTCCGCTTATGGAATCGGTTAGCTATGGAGATCGTCAGATTAGTGAGTTTTTTTTTGGGTGAATCGAAAAATTCCAGTTTTTGAGAGAGGAAAAGGGCGGAAAAATAAGTTTTCATGAAAGTTTGAATTTGAAAAAATTGGACTGAAAATATTTTTTTCTGGAAAACCTAAATGACTAGATTTTTAATCTAGAAAATTTGAAATTTATCAGTTTTTTTAGTCTGAATCCTGGAGTTTTTGGGCTACTGTAGTTATTCCCAATACTTTTCAGAATTATCGATTTTTCATGAATTTCAGCTGAAAATCCACAATTTTTCACGATTAATAGCTCATTTTCACCCAATGCCTTTAACATCTTTTAATGAATTTCTGAAATTTTGAGCTCTTTGTGAATTATTCTACTAATCTTTTATTTTCAGTCACCGAAATGCTGCGAAAAATGAAATCACAAGCTCGCGAAAAAATGTCGCTCGGAAAACCGCATTTGATGAAAATGTTTGAAGATTTGGGCGATTTTTATATGGAATTCAAATGGGATTTTCAGAGTTGGAGTAAGTTCTTCCTTTTTTCACCTCCGTATTAAAATAAACTGTTTGCAGTTCCACTTTTATCGCGGATATTACCATCGGATGTTTGTTTGATTTATAAGAAAGGACATCAATTTCGAATGGATACAACGTTGGCCGATTTTAGTGAAAGGTGGGATTTTTGGGGAAATTTCAAAAAAAAAAATTGAAAAATGCAACATTTTTATTCAACACTCATCTAATTTTAAATTAAATTTTCGATTTTCTAAATTCACATCGAAGTATACTTTGATTGGTCTTCCTGTTTCGCTATTCTTCATTTTCAAAACAAATTCCGAATTGTTTTTTGAATAATTCAACTTGTTATTGGAAATCTTCAATTGCTGACGTTTAATCGAGTCTCTGAACGAATTTCTGGAAATGAATGTTCCACCTGGAGAAATCTCTTCAGTTTTCTGATTCTCACAATTGATTTTCTCTAATTTTCCATTGAGAACTGTTGCTAATTGTTGATCCATCGTTGCTTTCAATAAATCTGTAACTGCATCTGTTGCAATATTCATTGAAGTGGAATTATCACTAATTAGGAAGGATAAAAATGGTTCAGTTGGGCAAAAAGTTTGTTGTTCTGATGTTATTTTATATTTATTTTCTTCTTCAACAAATCTTGCCTTGAATGTTGTTTTTCCATCATATTTGAAGAAAATTTCGCCATTTTCATCTTCTGTGAGTTGCTCAATTTTTGACTCTGAAATATAATTGATAACGATGTTTTTCTGAAGAAGCAAGAGTTTTTGTTTATATTGTTCCAAGTTGAGATTTCTGAATCCACATGGAAGCATGAAATAGTTGCTATCGAGAATATTTTCCAATTTATCATTAAGAAGATTTTGTCTGTATTCTTCGAGAATTATTTTCGCATTATTCAAAGGTTCGGCTTTTAGGAAAGCTGGTAGAAAAATTAGGAGAGAAAACAACATTTTTGAAATGTGAATGATAGAAATGATTTTTTTCAGTTTTGAGATTTGTTTTAAGATGTCTAGACCATGAGAAATGCAACGTCTCAAAGTGAGAATGATACTGTATTTTTATTGAAGAAAATAGATGCTCGGACTGTAAGCTTTTTGGTAATCGATTTTTGAGCACGTTTGTAAATTTACAAAAAAGTGTTCAATGCAAGATTTTATTCAAACATTCAAAAACACTCATTTAGTTTCAACTGGAATTTTTTGTTCTCCAAATTTACATCGAAATGAATTGTCATTGGTTTTCCTGTTTCGGTTCTCTTCATATTCAAAACAAATTCCAAAGTTTTCGTAGAAAAATCTAGTTGATTTTTTGATATTTCCAAATGTCCTTGTTTTATTGATTCTATCAACGAAAATCTGGAAAGAAAACTATTGTCGGGAACGATTTCTGAAGTTTTTTGATTTGCACAATTTAGAGTTTCAATTTCTCCAATCAGAACAGTTGCCAAGTTTCGATTTATAATTGCTTGAGTCAGATGAAAAACTGCATTTTTAGCTATATTTCGAGCTGTTGAATTATCATTGATTAGAAATGTTAAAACTGGGATTGTTGGACAGAAATATTGTTCTTCTGATATTAATTTGTATCGATTATCTTTTTCAACAAATTGAGCGTTGAATGTTGTTTTTCCGTCGTATTGAAAGTGAATTTCACGATTTTCATCAACTGTGAGCTGTTGAATTTTTGAATATGAAATATCATCGACTTCTATGTTTTTATGAAGAAGTGAGAGATGTTGTTTATATTGTTCCAAGTTCAGTTTTTTATTTCCACATGAAAGTATAAAATAGTTTTTATCAAGAACATCTTCGAATTCATATCGATTCAGATTTCTTCTGTATTCATCGAGCAATGATTTTGCAGTTTTTTTGAATAATTCATCATAATTTATCAAAGAAGTTGAATACCAGGAATATGTTTTATTGGTACATTTTGATTGTTTTTCATTGAAAAATCGATATTCATCATCGTCATTTCGAACATAATCATATTCATTTATCATTTCTCCGTTATTCACATCAATTTTCAAACTTATCGAATTTTCTTCGATTATTTTGAATGGTTTCATGGGAATATGAACATCACTTGGAATTACAACATATGCAAAGTAATTGAAAGCCGAAGCTTTTGCAACATATATTGGTCTGTTAAAAACACTAAAGAAATACTTAATTCTCTCAAACATTGTCAAATCCCAAAAAAGCATAGAGAAATATTCTCAGGAGATTTTTCTTCATTATTCACTAATCTTCCACACGACATAGTTATAAATGCCATTAACTCCATTACTGAAACATGCTTTCAAAACTCAAACAGAAAATTTCTAACTATTACTAAAACTAACAAAACATTCTATACAGAAAATAATGATATTAAATCTAATCTATATTTCACCAAATCGCAAGTAAAAGATATCGTTAAAACTATCCTAAGTGAAACTTTCATATCCTACGGAGACTACATTTTCAAACAAAAAACCGGTATTCCACAAGGAGGGAATGCATCCCCTCTCATCGCAGATCTTACTTTATCATGGATGGAATACCATTATGTTAAAAATAACAAAAACAATTTCAATAAACATAACATTTTTAGCTTTAGATACATGGATGACCTACTACAAATATATGACAAAAGATACTTCAATCATAATACTAATGACTTAATCTATCACGAATCACTAGAACTCAACAACACCATTAAAGACAGAAATAAGATTCAATTCCTAGATCTTGAAATCATCAACAATACAGAACATCTCTATACTAGACTATATAATAAAACAGATGACTATAAGTTCGACATAGTTCGATACCCCAAAGCTAACAGCTACATGCCGGAAAAAATCGCACTAAACACTATTTACACTGAATTAATCCGAATATTTGACGTTTGCACATACTACTATGACGCTCTAAATAGAATCAAAGCACTTATTAAACAATTCGTAAAAAACGGTTTCAACGAACAATATGTTCAACATCAAGCTATTAAATATTATAGAAAATTGAACATCCATAAAAAATATAGATTTGACCTCAAAAACAATCTACTATAATTCTATAATTTTTATCTCTCTTATTTTAATTTTATAAAAATTCTTTCCCCTAAAAACCCAACCACAAAACAACTCACCAAAAATTTCTTTCATACTCCTTTTTCATCTTTATCATCTAAAACAAATAAATCAAATAATCAATCTGCAAATATCTAGCAAATATATTAATCAAATACAACAATAACAAAATCTATTAAAATAACTTTATTATTTACAAACCACTTCACAACTTTTAAAAAACATTTTTCGCCAAACAAAAAACAAAATTTCAAAATTCAAATAATCAACTACGACACTCCGCATGCCTGTAGTTTACTTTTTCTTACTTTTCTTCTCCCCCTCTCTCTCGCTTCCACACTCTCTCCTATAAACTAGCGTCTTTTTCTTCTATTATCATTACCCTTCAATTTGCTCTTATTATTTATTCCACTCTTTTCTATTATTATTAATTATTTTATCTCATTCCTCCGCGCATAAGTTAGGTATAGCTTCCATATAAGGTCCAGCTTAAAGAGGCATCACTGATGAGACCTCCTCTTTGCCGTCTGATGAAAAGGTCGAAACGGCTTCCCTTGCGTTCTCTATTTACTTATTCACTTCTAGTTTATTTAATTTTCCCCTCTCTACTTTCTTTATTTTTCAATTATTTTCTCTTTCTTTATTGAGTTCGGATAACATCGAATTCAAATTGCCGATCTCTTTTCCGTCGCAATCCAAAATGTAAATTGTTTCGTACGCGGATTTTTCGAGAAGTTTTTTATCAACATCAATGATTCCCTGTGTGAAATTGTGTAGGGGATTTGGATTTGGTTCAGCATTTAGAAAAGCTGGGAGAAAAATCAGAAGAGAAAACATTTTGAAAATGTGAGATGTGAAAAATGGAATTTTGAAACAAAAATTGTTTATTAGGTCTAGCCAATACACAATCAACATTTCAGTTTGAAAAGTTAAATTTCCACATTTTTCCAGAAATTGGGAGCGTGGCGATATCACATTTTTATTCAATGTAAATGCGCCAAGTGGTGAACAATTAGTTGTGATGGACAATAAAACAAAAGTATTTCAACGTGGTCGAAGAGAAGAATCAGAAGCTGAAGTTGATGAAGAAGTTGATGTTCTGATGTCAACTGATATAATCAATGCAGCAATGTCAACAAAAACAATCAGTTTCAAACAAGCCTATTCCGGATGGGTATTCAAACATGCTCGCGAAGAACAATTGGGTGATTATCCGGCGAATTTCTATTCTGTTGAAGGAATGAAATTGATAACGAGAAAACGACGAGAACATTTAACTAATGAAGATATTAAGAAGAATAAAACGATGTTGACTAGTTTGACACATGGTAATGTTATTCAAGAGGATGAATTTGCGAGTTTGCAACATCGGAAGAGTTTGGCACCGCCTGGAAGATTGCCAACAACTTGGGAAGAATATTCGGGAGCTGTGCCAGGTGCACCGCCACAATTGGGAAGACCACAAATTGTCAAGACGAATGAGAAACAATTCAAAGCACTTGTTGGAATGGTATGTTTTTTCGTGATGTGCCGATTTATAAAATTAATATTTTTTTTTGTTTCAGAGTGAAGAATTTCCACTATCCGTTGATGTTTTGGTCGATTTACTCGAAATTGTTGCGCCCTTTAAACATTTGGATAAACTACGACGGTTTTGCTCGGCTCGATTACCTCCAGGATTTCCTGTCTGTGTTGGTAAGTTTTCTCTTTTCTGATAAAAATTAACTGATTCGTATCATTCGTATTACCGAAAAATTAGTGAACAGAAAACAATTAACATAAATTTTGAAACGTATTTTTGAGAGGAAAAGTTCACTGTTTCAAATTATTTATAAATTTTTTGAAAGATTTTTGAAAATTATGGCTAAAATTTCACAAGAGAAAAAAGAAAAATTTTCCTGTAAAATTTAACTCGTTTTTTTTCTAGAAATCCCACTACTTGCCACAATTTCTGCAAAAGTAACATTTCAAAAATTCGAATTTACCAACGGAATATCGGATAAAATTTTCCGGATACCAGCTTCTTATCGAGAAGATCCAACAAGATTCCCGGATCTCTGAAATTTTTTCTTCTTTCTAAATTCAGGTTTTTTTTATATTCCCCTGTATGTAATTATATTATTTTTCCAATTTTTATGCACCAATTTTCCCCTTTTTTTGTAAATGAGCGGGTCTCAAGAAATTATCTCCTGTCAAATCAAAACTAACCCTTTTTCAATCAAAAAATTCGTACAGTATGACTGCACTTACAACCTACAGTATTATTGCTTTTTTTCGTGTAAAATATTTATTTTATCATTATTTTTATATGAATTTTCGAATTTTTTAACATTAAAATTTCACTGTTTCAAAAGCAGCATGGGCTGCTTATCATGGAATTGCCGAAGCTTTGATTGTAGTTGGCTTAACAAGAAAAAATCAAACTTCTGAAGCAGAGTGTTGTTGTTGCTGCAGCAACTTATGGTGAAGGTCAAAAGATGTCGAAATTATTCAGATATCAACAGTAACCTGGGAAAAATTGACATTGATTTTTTTACATAGAAATCTGTGAAATAATGATCTGAAGCAAAATTTTTTCTCTAGAAAAATACATAAATTTTCAGATGTCATCTATCCTGAAGATCTCAAAACAATAGTTCATAAATCAAAAAATCTCGAATCATGTTATAATATTTTTTTCAATCCTAATAAATTATCCAATATGATATGATAAGATAAAGATATAATAATAATAATAATTGGAAGTGAAATGAAATGACCAGAAAACTTTTTAGCATTGAATTGTTTTGAGGATTAGCTTGTAGGGCTTGGATTTTCAGGATTTCGGAATCAGAAAATTTTGGAGCAACAACATCCCATATAAAACATGGAAACAATTTTTTTGAAGTTCAGAATTTTCAGAATTCATTGTTCACCAGATATTTTCGAGTGAAACTTTTACGAATCAATTTTTTGAGTACCTAAAACTAAAACATTGTTCCCTAGATTTCCAAAAATTTGTTTTTCGTTTTATGAAAAATAGTTTTCAAAATCCCCCATCCAATTTTTCAAATTAGTTCCAACCACTCTCCTTTAAATCGTACAAAATTCAGACAAAAAGCATTAGAAAGTGACGACATACAAAAACCAGGGCCAATAATAAGTATTTTTATTTTATTCTAAACGACAAGTAATTAATAATATTCCAACAATAAGTATTCCTCCCCATTTTATCCGCCTATTTTTTTTGTTTTTTTTTCTGTCATTCTTATATCCGACCGGTTCGTGTTTAAAAGGAAAAGAAAATCTGACCTCTTTTCGATTTTATTCTACGAGATAATCAGTGATGATGAAAAGTAAAAGCTTGCTATTTTTTGTGGTTATTTTTCTGATTTTTGTGGTAGAAGCCAAGAAAAGTTGCCGGAAGAAAGATGAGACCAGAAAAGCCAGGGTGAGTTGATTTGAAATGTGCGCCTGGGGGTTTTAGAGCTGGACTGGTGTTCGATGAACACCAACACTTCACTTACGGTCACCGTAGATCAAAATTTGGAGCATTTCCGAATTTTTTACTTACAGTAACTCAAAAAGCTTAATTTTTATAGCTGAAAATTTTTTTGCCCTATTTTTCGGGCATCCCGATTTTTCCCCTAACTTCAAAAGTATGATTTTCTCAAATAGCTCAAAATATTGACACACTCTATCATAAGGTTATTAGTACTCAAGTGTCAAAACAAACTAGTTCCCGAAAATCCAAAAAAAAATAAACAAAATGTTTTTTTGCAGGCGTTCGCAGTGAAATCTGGAAATGCAATCGATGCTGTGGAATTTGAAGATCGGGTTTTGAGAAAACCAGTGCAGAAAATCTATTTTTGGCCGAGTTTAAATGAATTTGAGAAAAATGTTTTGAGAGACGCGTTTTTTCAAATTGGAAGAAGAACTTGTTTGAAATTTGAAGAACAAGCTTATAAACCATGGTATCATGCGGATAGATGGGATAGTAATTCACCGCATGTTTTGATTAGGAAATCTGGAAAATTTGCAGGTATAGAATTTAGAAGAGTTTTTTAACGAGAATCTTGAGTGCTACTTTTCTCACAGAAGAGAAACGCTTCTAAAAAATAAAATTTTTGAAACAATTTGAGAAATTTGAACCTGATATTCCACTTAAAAATGTGAACCTGCAAACTTTCTTTAAACAACAAACCCCAAATCCAATTATTTTCCAGCCTACTCTGATGCAATTGTCGAAGGTCTAATTGATCGAACAATTTTATATATCGCTCAAGATTCTTTCATTCAATCAAATTTCAATCAATCGAGAGGAATTGTTATGGATCAATTGGTTAGATTTATGGGTAAGACCAACTTTTTTCTGAAATTTTCAAATAAAAATTTTTTTTAGGTCTTCAGAGAGAACTCTATCGTCCAGATGCTGTCTCGTATGTTCAGGCAAAAACGTGAGTTGGAAATGAAAAGCTCATGCCACAACTTCAGGTTTTTTTTTACAGCGGAGGAATTCCAAATCTCGGATCACCTGACTACAATCCAATTCAATTATCTTGGCCATTTGATCCGGAATCGATTACAGTACCACTTTGGGCAAGGGATAAATTTAGGCTAACTCCGTATTGTCCAGCGAGAAATGATGCAGATATTGGAGCTGGGCAAAGAGTTGGATTATTGACAAAGTAAGACAGAAATTGGTTTTTTGGAATGGTTACTGTAGATTTTATTTTTGAATTTTATTCAAATTTTCGAATGAGCTGTTCAATGTATTGTTTCAGATGGGACACAATCAAACTAAACAGCATGTTCTGTCCAGATCGGGTAAATGATGCAGATGCTTCTCGTGGCCCTTGCATTGTTCCTCGATCAAAAGATTTGGACAGTTTCCGAAAACGATTATGGGCTTATAAACGACTTTTAGCCAAGAACACGAAAAAAGCAAAGAAATCTAGAAAATCATAAAAATTCTATTTTTTCACTTCACTTCAATGAATAATAAATTATTTTGAACTATTTTCACTATCAACATTTTTTCGTGCAAACGAAAATACGATGGGATTTTAAGACCTCATGAATTAATTTATTTTCTTCGTTAGTTGTTTTCGTTTTTCTTAAAGGTCATAACAGTGATATCACGGAAGTATTTTATTAAAAAAACTAGCTTGAAAATTTTCAATGAAAAATAGAAAAAACTATGCGTTCGGGGGGAATCGAACCCCCGTCGAATGCTTGGAAGGCATCCATGCTGACCATTACACCACGAACGCGCACATTTCCTCAATACAAAATGTTTGAGATAACAAACCTGTTGATTTCTCCTCTTTTGCAAAAATTTCCCATGTTTTCGTCGGGTATTTTGTAGATATTTTCCTTTTCCTGGGTGGTTAAGAGATAGATAGGATGAATATTTTTACATAATTTATATCCTTTCTATATTTGTGTATATGTGTTCTTTTTTGCCTTTTTCCAGATCTCGACTTTATTTATGTATGTATAGATTGGTGAATGTTCGACTGGCAAAGCAAAGAAAAAAGAGCTGATTTATTCATTTTCTTATTTTTGTTGGTTTCTAAGAGTTCAACAATTAATTGACTCCTTCGCCGGAAAAATTGCCTGAAAAATGATCAGAAAATTATTTTTCAGCTGGTTTTAGTAGAGAACTTTGTTCTTATACGGATCTATGTAAAAATGTTGATTTCAGAAAGCAAACGTTCGAAAATCATGGACAACTATGTATCTGATTTTCCTAGTTTCAAGTAGCCGTGCCTAATTGTCAAGGATCAGTGCCTAGAAGTCCAAGCTCTCAAGTAACCGCGCCGAAAGAAACTAATTGTTAAGGACCAACACCTAGAGATTTACTCTAGCAAGGAGCCGCGCCTTGAGAATTCACTTACGATGACACATCTTCTTGGGAACTAGGTTTTGTTGGCTCGGCTTCTTGTCAGAGAGGATCTCTAGATGCGGGTTCTAGAAAATCAGGTTCTTTAGGAGCGGTTACTTGAGAACTAGGCTGGCTAAGCTCTGATCCTTGGCGAAAAATTAGAATAATTCAGTAGATATTCAAAAAAATTTTCAGAACGCATTTCAAATGTTCTACTCTGACAAAATGATGTGAACAAAATCCCATGATTTCAAGTTCAAGTTTTCAAAAAAAAAAATTCACCGCTCCCTTTTCCTATGATTTCAAAGCAGCTGAATTTCATCCGTCTTTCTCGATTTCAACAAAAATCTTTGCTCTTATCTAAAAAACCTGAAATTAATATATTCTCATCTCGATTTTTGTCGTTGTTTTTCCGCTTTTCCATTTTTTTCGCTTCTTTGATTAAATTCGAATTGAGAATTGACACCTATTTAATTTCTTCTTCTTCTTCTTGTTTTTCTCGGTTTTCACACAATGTTATGTTTTTTAGACACGATTTTCAGATTTGATAGATTTCTGAACACTTAATTTTTTGTCGCCGAGTTTTTCACATGTCAGTATTATATATATTATATAATTAACTTTGTGATATTTTATTCTAAACTTTCTAAAACATCAAAAAATTCACAGGATTTTTTAAAAAAGGCCGGAACCGTTTTTATTTGAAACACCCATATCCAGAAAAACTAAAAAAGTGTTATTTCTCTCATTTTTAAAATTCCCCAGATAATTTTACTAATTATTTACTGCTTTCAATATTTTTGTTGTTTTTTTTCCAAAAACATAACATTTCATGAGATTTTTCTTTTTTTCCCCTTTTTCAAATGCAAAAATGTCCACTTCAACTCAATGACCTTACAAATTTCCTTCCTGTTTTAAATTGATTGTTGAAAAAAATAAGGAAATCATAAAAATTTCCGAAACTCGATGCTTTTGTTTTGGCTGTTCCAAAAAAAAAAACAAAAAAGTCACGGCATTTTGAAATATGATTTTTGAAGTTCTAATTTTCTTCGTGAGTGAAACCAATTAGTTTTATGTTGTCTTGAAACATGGCCTACTTATGTATGAATAATTTTTGGTCCACCCACTCAAAAAAAACTACATTTTTTAATGGGCCAAAAATGTTGTGCCCTTTTCGTGACCAAAAATTTCTGCACAAAAAAAATCTAATTTTTTTGTTGTTTTTGTCTGGAAGAATTCAAATTCTGAAAATCTGAGAAGAATTTTAAAAATCCCTGAGGAGAATTTTAATTTCATATTTTCGAGAAATTTTCATGTCATCAAAATTCCATAGTAACCAGCTTTCATTTCATTTTGATGATTTAATTTGATGTGATTTTTGATTGACATCAAATTTCTTTGGTTTCCGAGTTTTATTTCTGAATTAACAAGAAGATTACCTAATTCCCACCAATTCATAATTTCTCATCCTGCCAAGTAAGCTTTGATAAAAAATCCCCGGGGAGAAATTTATATTTTCCGAAATTTTCATGTCATCTAAATTCCATAGTAACCAAATTCGATTTTATTTCATTTTAATTTGATGTTTTGATTGAAATGTAATATTTTTTTGGTCTCCCAGTTCCTAAAAAAAAAACAAGAAGCTCAGTCCGTGTGACACCTAATTCCCACCAATTCATAATTTTTTCCGCCATCCTCAGAATTTTTCCAAAAAACACAATTTTTCAAAAATAACTCCGACTGCATACACACAAAAAATACCAGGGTGGGCTTCTTCTTTCCATTTTTTAGTCCTCAAAATTGATGAGTTTTGTTCTGTGTGTTCCGAGAGTCAGAAAAAAAGAAAACAAAACAAAGAAAAAAACGAAAGCAAAAAATTTTGAAGTCAAAATTTGTCTGTGAGTTCAGTGTTTTTTGTTCGAGAAGACACAAATATTTGGGTTTTTGTCTTTTTTCTTTTCAAGTCAGAAAATATGTAGAGAAAAGGAAGGTACTGTAGGATCAGAAAGTTATCAATTACTGTAGTTCGAAAAAGATCAGTGTTCAGAATCCGGAAAAAATCCAATTTTTGAAAAGCAAAAAAAACAAATCAGCTTTTTTCTTTCTGCTGATCATTCTTTGAGCTTTGTCTTTTTTTTTGTTTTTCAAAAATTTTTGTGGAAGTATTCGAGCACACAACTAGGATGTCTACTTGGCATAGAAGCTCACAAGGCGTGGCTACTTTTCAAAGTGGAATTCTAGATGCGGGTCCTAGAAAATCGGGTGTTCAGGCGCGGCTACTTGAGAGCTAGGCTTTCCAGGCGCAGACACTTGAGAACAAAGCTCTCTAGGGGCTGGTCCTTGATAACTAGGATTTTAAAGATTGACTACTTGGTATAGAAAATCACAAGGCACGACAACTTGTGAACTAGAATTTTCAACAATCAACTTTATGACATTATTCTTTTTCATGAAAATGTGACATTTGTCAATAGGGTGAACATGCGTTCCAGAAAATTTTTAATAAAATACTTGCTTCACCACGCTTGTCAGCGCTTAATAACGTCTCGGGGAAATAGTAGCAAGTTTTGCTTTGGAAATTTTTCGAAAACAATGTTGAAAAACTCACTTTCCCTCCAGTTTTCCTCCTTTTTGAAAATCAGGCAACGAAAATCCGCTTCATTAATTGATTCGATATTCCCATCATTTCGCTGACGTTTTTTCTGTAAAGTAGAATTGAGTGAAATCTGAATAAGAACTCCAAACTGAAGAAAAATTCAAGAATGTACATTTTTTATAAAACTACTTCACAGGCAGATGCAGAACGGCCGGATACTTGCCAAAAATTGAAAACCGGTCCGAAACTTGTACGTTTCCGACCAGTGTTGAAAACGGCCAAAAACCACTCGAAAATCGGCCGGTTTCTGCTCAAATTCAACAAAAACGGCCGAAAACCAGTGAAAAAACACGGCCGGTTACTGGTCAAGTTTGATAAACCGGTCAGAAACTGGTCGGTTTTTGAGTTGTTACTGGCCGTTTTTCAACACTGGTCGGAAACGTACAAGTTTCGGACCGGTTTTCAATTTTTGGCAAGTATCCGGCCGTTCTGCATCTGCCTGTGTTTTCGAGCACCCAGTTCTAGTATAAAACTATCGAAAATCAACTAAACTTGTGTTAATTGTACTAGGAAAAGAGATAAATATTAATTTTACAATAGGTTTCATTCAAATTCATCGAAAAACAACAAAAAATAAGTGAATGAAAAATTTCCGAAAAACAAAAAAAAAGAAAATAAAAGTAAAAATGGAAGTGCGCCCTATTGATAAAAATTGCATGGGTCGCACTCTTTCAAAAATTTGTGTGTTTCGGTTTCTAACAATCCAAAAAATCATTTTCATTTTTCAATAGTTTTTTTCTAATTTTTTGAGAAGACCTCTTTTTTCTTTTTTTTCCTATTTATTTTCTTCTTCTTGTTTGTTTTTTTTTCATTTTCTGTTGATCCTCGATCAAGCAAATTCGTTGAAGTGTTCCTCCTTATTTTGGTTGTCTTCTATTTTATTCTATTTTCTTCATTTTTAATAAGTATGTGTTCCTTAATGCTGCGTCCAAAGAAAAAAAACGCGTGAAAAAAACGCGTAAAAACGCGCGACAAATGTGTCCAATTTGTTGGATACACGCGTGACTTTTCTGAAAGAAACATACAGTAAACCAACGAGATATCGAGCGAAAAACACATGTTCCTTTGAAATTTACTACGGTATGTGCAAACACGGCGACGAAATATTGCACACACCGTAGTAAATTTCAAAGGAACATGTGTTTTTCACTCGATATCTCGTTGGTTTACTGTATGTTTCTTTCAAAAATAGAGAGAAGCGTTTCCAACAAATTGGACACGTTTGTCGCGCGTTTTTACGCGTTTTTTTCACGCGTTTTTTTGCATTGGACGCAGCATAATCTTTTCCAAAATATTTTATTGTCTTCATTCATTCTTTTTTTCTCAAACATCTGGTGCAAACATATGAAAAAGACATTAAGTTCCATGGTATCTATTTTGTGCTTTGAAAATTGAATTATCAATGAAATACTTTTTTTTTTGAAAAAAACTGAAAATAAAATATCAGAGGAGGATTTTCGAATTTGAGTTAGTTGAGTCACGTTTCATAGATTACTTTTTATTCTTTTGAAATGAAAAAATAATCCCGCTTTTCATACGTTTCAAAAGTCCCCACATAGAATTTTCATCATCTGTGGAATTTTTTTGATATGATTTGCTCATGTTACGTAATATTTTTGTATAGTCTTCTTTATTTCTGGATAGAAAGGGATTCTTTTTGAAGCCTGTACAAGTTTTTGTTATTTACAATTAGGATTCTTGGAAAAACTGCACTTAGGCTCATGGTAGCTTGAATCTGGGCTCTAGAATTTTTTATTGTTTCTAGACATTTTCATTTAAGACTTCTGAAACATGAAATCAGGTTCTAGAGAAAGTTTGACCTAACAACAACTACTGTGAATTTAAATAATCTAAACGGAACTAAATTTCTTGCCCAAGTGGAAATTAAAAACGAATCCAAATCACATTTTGTTTTCCATTTTTATTCTGTTAAACCAGAAAAACCCTGGCAGCCAGAAAAATAGGCCAACATAATTTCATTTTCAGATTTTTCCATTTTTTTCAACCCAAACCATTTTCCCATGATTATTTTCTGACTAACCGCAGAAAAAAAACATTTTTCTTTTTCTTTTTGTTTTTTTCCCTGATGTTTTTTCGTGTGCTATCGACTTCGGTTAGTTTTTTTTCGAGTCAAATTACTCGCACTTTTTTTCCGAGAAAATTAAGTAAGTGGAGAACTTGAAAACTTGTTAATCTAGCACTTTTTTGCGAATAGAGACATTGAGAAAAGTTGCGATTTTCTGTTGAGAAAAAAAGTTGCTTGAGATTATGGCGGTTTTCGAGTTTAGGGCCTCAGGAACCTTTAGGAGACCTGTGCCAAAATTCAGAGCTCATTTTTCAAAAGCTCTATTGTGACAAAATTGTTCATTGGAATTGTAAAGGTCACACTTTGTCACTTTAATTTTCAGCCACCATTTCATTTTATTTTATTTTATGTCACATCGCGCCCCCCAAAAATATAAGAAAAAGAAAGTACACTCAATTTATGTTCCCCCAAAAATTGCCCATTTTTGCTACAATTTTTGCCTTTTTTCGAGCAGCTTTATTATTAGTCCAGCTATTTTTAGTTAGTTATGTGATAAATAAATATATTATTTGCTCATTTATTTGATATTGAATTTCAACCTCGAGCACTTTTGTTTTTTACACTGATTTTATTATCCTTTGTTTCCTTGTTCCTTGTTATATTTTCAAGCGCTAATTTTATAGTCGAAATTTTGAGCTTAAAAAAAGAGCGCGTGGCCAAGTGGTATGCAGTTTTGCAAACTGTTTGCAACACCAGGGTTCGATCCCACCATCGGTCTATTCTTTCTTTTTGATCTACAACCTTTTTTTCTTAATGTCAGAAAAAGGAAACTTTTCTCACACAGTAAAAACTAATGAAAAACGAATAATAAATGAAGCGAGAAATTATTTGATTCATCTCATCTCGGATCGCAAATTTTCTTTTGATGAAACTTTTTTGTTCCATAGAAAATTGAAAGAAATGAATGAACTGAAAAAATTTGAGATTTGAATTTTACATTAGTTTAAAAAATTGTTGACTCATATGTTTTTCAGAAGTGACACATCAAAAAACAAGTAAATTTAGTGTGTTGGCACTCGAAATTTATTCATTCACTTTTTTTCTGGAATTTTTCGCTCATCTAATTTCTTTTGAGAACTAAAATGTTATGTGAGTCAGAAAAAGTATGAAAAAAAGTTCCAGCCATTTTTTTCTAATTTCAAAAGTGCTCCAGACATTTTGTGATGTCTTGCAAATAGGCATGGGATTAAAATAGGATATTCGCGCTAAAATTCTAAAATTTAAAAATTTTATTTTTCGTGCCGAAATTTGAAAATCTGAATTTATTATGCAACAGAAAAACTGTGCGTCTGCTTCTTGAAAATCTGAAAACCTGTCAAAAAACTTTTTTGCATCACGGTGTTCACATTCAAAATTTCAAATTTTGCACTTTCCTTAAGCTTCGACAAAATTTGATGTCTTGTCTCAAAACAATAGACAAAGCACAATTTATGCAAAAACAGCTCATTGAATTTTTGATTTTCGTCCGCCCGCTCAAAATGCATCCACGTGGAAAATCAAGTTTCCCCAAATCACGTTTGATGTATGTTGAAGTTTCACCAAAGAATTTCTAATTTTATGAACTCCGGAAGCGAAGCGTTTCGGAAGGACAACAAGAGTCCAAATCCCAGAAAAAAATCCAGTTGAATTTTCAGATGAATTTTAATCATCTAAAAATTTTAGTCTTTCATCTTCTGGTCGAGAAAAAAACATCTGAAAAGCTCCGTCATCATTTTGCCCGCCGGGCTTTTTTCTATTTCCCTCCCTGTTTTTTTCGCTGTGCTCTTTGAGCCCATCCCAATAATACAATTTATTTTTTCTCACCTTTTTTCTAGATACTTGTCAATCAAAAATTTGTTCGTTCGTTCGACAAAAAGAAATTTTGACACGAGGAAGATTGATTTCTTTGGTTTTTTTTATATTTTCAAGAAAATAAAAATTTGAAAATGAAAAAGGTTCTTGAAAACTGTGGATTAAAAAACAATTAGAAAATTATCTGTTTTTTTGATCTGAGCAGAGAATAAATAAAATTCGAATTTATTTTCTTGAAATTAGATTTGATATCGTGAATTCGATAAACTTGAATAATCTGACTTTTGGCGCCAAAATTCGAACATTTCAATGCTTTTTCTGATTTTTAAGAATTTCGTGGCATTTGGACCATGTCAATCCTGAAAATTTTTATTTTAGTTTTCAAATTTTGTACTTCAGCTCCAAATTTCAGCACTTTCCGATTTCACGTGGAATTTGAACCTTCTAAGTACAACCCCTCTCAATATTTTCTAAATATTAGAAAAGTTCTAACTCATTCTAAATCCATCAAAAGTCTTTCTATCATTTTTTTTTAGTTTCTGCTCCAAACCCCGCCCCTTTTTGTTATTTGCTCCTCCCATATATTTCTGTCGGCTTTTCATCTATTTTTTGTCGTAGCTCGCTATTTCTCACGCAAAAAATATCTCGACCAAATCTTTAATTTTCAGAGAAATGGACTCGATGTATTTGAAAACGTTTCTCTACGAGATTTGCATTCCTGGTATCGGAATACTTTGTATTTTGGCCGCACTTTTGAATATTGCTGTTTTCTCGTCGAGATTTCATGTTAAATCGAGGTTAGTGATTTGTGATTTGAAAGAGACGCAGAGATTGTTAGAATGGCGCAGTTGGGTAACGTGTGGCTTTTTGAAAAATACATTGCGAGTTCTATTCCACATGCTCGTAAAATCTCTGCGTCTTTTATTTTTTATTAGAATTGTTACTTACAGTAGTACTATTAATCCTCGACTACGGTAAGTTAATTAATGTAAATCTTTACTAATTATTATTATGATTTCAATATTTCAAACCCTGCATGTTATATTTTTCTCAAACAAGAACGTAGTTTTTCCTATGAATCGTCATTTTTTTGACTATAAAATGGCCGCTTTTTCGGGTTTAATTTGGATTAAGTAAGAAAAAAGTTGTAGTCGTTTTTTTTGAATTGGAGAAACCAATTCGAATTTGGTTGCTTATCAAGGCTAAAAAATCTGACTAAAGTTCGGAAAAAAGAATCGGGGTTTAGGCTTTAAAATTACATTAATGTAATCTGAGCCGATTTATCCATGAAAATATTTTTCTAGTTAAAATGCACCTTACCAGACTGTGATATTTAGATCTGAGATTTTCAATCACCTTTCAAATTAATTTTTTGAGAACATCTGAAAACAAAAATATGAGTTTATTCACATGAAATACTTATGTAAATATATTTTGACAAAAATTATTTAAGCGGAAAATTTTCGTCATAGATTCTAGTTGTCCCAATCACCGATTGGCATACCACAAACATGTCCATTTATCAAATCTGACTCACACCTAGAATAATTTCTAATTCCAAAATTTTCTGAACCAACTCACCCAATATCATTTGCATATTTTTTTGAAGTTCCTTTAAATTGAACCGATAAACAATTTTCTTGAGTTCCCCAATATTCTACACCACTTGGTTCTCCTGAATCCCATTCAAAAAACATCGGAGTAGATGAATAATTATTAGTCCATTCAAATTCTCCACATTTGATTTTTGTGCTGGTATAACAAGATGGTTTTCTGATTCCGTCAATTGCCAAATATTTGTTATCTGTAGTACCGTATTTTGTTTGCATTGCGGAATAAATATAATCAATTTCATTTTGATTGTCAAATCCAGTCAGATATGCTGAATATTGTTTGCAATAGGATGAATTAAAAACATCAGAATCAGATTTCGGAAAAAATATTTTAATACAGTAATATCCACGAACTCTTCTGAACAATTTCCAACCATTTGAACAACTCGATCGATTAAAATTAAATAAGCCAGGAGAGCTTGCAGTTATAAAATTATAACTCAATGATCTAACACTTCCAGATAAATCTAGAGAACTGAAAGATGAAGGACATGTCTCACTATCACTTCCATTTATCTGGAAAAAAGAGAAAATTAAGTTGATTTCTAAGAAAACCCTCACTTTGATTCCAACAATTTGATTTGATGAAACAATATTCTGAACACTAATTAATTGTTCAAATGTATAAATCGAACAATTTTCTGTGACAAGAAAAGCAACACAATCTATATTTGATAAACAGTTTTCAGCACATTTTTCGAAACTTATTTCAGACAATTGAATACTGTAATTTGTTGCTGTAACAGTTCCAGGAAAAGTTACGATTTTGTCACTGAGAGTCTGAAATTTTTAGGAATGGGGTCTATATTTATGTGAGTTAACAAACCATGTTGAACATTTGAAAACATAGAAGGAATATTTTTAGATTCATGTTTCCTCAGGAAAAATGAGCTAAACTGAACTTCTTCAAAAATTGTAACTATGGAAAACGTTTTATTCTCGTTTCTGACTGTAATAAAAAATTTTCAAACATCTGAAACTTTTTCATATTCATTGAAACTTGAAAATTGTTTGAGTAAATAGCACCCTAATGATTCTCACATCTACCCACTCAACAATTAGCTTCGACCTCCTCACATCAAAGCACATTTTTCACACTTTTTGCCGGAAGTCAACTTGCAAAAAATACGTGAAAAACAAGAAATATTCAATTTCCGGGATGTTTCAGTTTCACGAGTTTTTGTTGTTTATCGAAATATGATTCAATAAACCAATTAAACTGGATTAGCCAAGGCAAAAAAGTGCATGACATTTGTTGAGGGAGGAAAAAGGAAATGGGATTTCGATGATCTTGTTGAAAATTGTTTTAAAAATTGTTTTGATCAAGCTAATTCAAACTACGAAATATTTTTAGAAGACCTTCAACAACCAAAATATGTGTTTATTCACAGGATATATTCTCAAAAGATAACAAAAATTAGTTATTCGTCCCAATCACCAACTGGTTTTCCACAAACATATCCTCTAACTTTGTCGCTACATCTGAAAAAAAAAACTTTAGATAACACAAAAAAAATTTTCAAACTAACATTATATCATTTGCATAATATATCGGACCCAAAAATGCTCTAAAAGCCAAACAATTCTCCTGAATTCCTTCTCTTGTTTCACCACTTGGTTGACCTGTATTCCAATTGATAAATGTTGGATAAGATGAATAATTATTAGTCCATTCGAAATCATTGCAAGAAATTGTTGTATTATTGTAACATGATATATTTCTGTTTCCATCAATTGCTAAACTTTCAGCTCCAGTAATATCTGGGAACTCATTGATCATTTCGGTATAAATATAATCAACCTCGTTTTGGTTATCAAAACCACTCAAATATGATGAATAAGGGTTGCAAAATGATTTGTTGTAAATTAAATAACGATCAAAAAAATATGGTTTGATACAGTAATATCCACGAACTCTTCTAAACAATTTCCAATCATTTGGACAACTTGATTGACTGAAATTGAATAAGCCAGGAGTGTTTGTAGTTATGAATTCATAGCTCAGCTCTCTAACACTGCCAGTTAAGTTTAAAGAACTGAAAGATGAGGGACATGTCTCACTATCACTTCCATTTATCTGAAAAATTTGAAGACTTGGGAAATTTCGTTGATTTTTTTTCTCACTTTGATTCCAACAGTTTCATTTGCAGAAACAACATTTTGAACACTAATCAATTGATCGAAAGTATATATTGAACAATTTTCTGCAATGAGAAAAGCAACACAATCAATGTTTGACAAACATTTTAAAGCACATTCTTCTACACTTATTCCGATGATGTGAGAAAATTGAGTGCTATAATTAGAAGCTAGAAGAGTCCCTGGGAAAGTAGCAATTTTGTCGCCTAGAATCTGTAATTTAAATTTAAAAATATCTGTAATTAATAGACTTGACTGGTTGAAAAGATTTTTTAGAATTTCAAAACAAATTAAAATTCTAACTATACGCTTGAAAAAGAAGTTTCCAAAATTCAGAAATTTTCAATTTGTTGTTTTTTTTTTGATAAACGAACCAAGTTTAGCATATTAAACAAGATCAATAACAGCTTCAGATTCATTTTTCTTACAAAAATGAACAAAACAACGAAACTTGTAACTATGGAACATTATTTTATTTCTTTTCTGTAATAAAAAAAATTCCCAAAAAAGTTTTAATGTTTTTTTTCTAAATTTCATATGTCAGTATCCCTTCTCCAATTAGTTCCTTGATGTTGAAACATCAAAACACACACACTTTGTTCTTAAACATTTTCAATTATGAACTTCATCAAAACAATATCACGCGAAAAAACCAATTTCCGGGAAAAATTCGTGAATTTTTTCGTTGTTTATTTGTCATCTGATAAACCAATTAAACTGGATTAGCCACTAAAAATGAAAAAAAGCATGATCTTTTTAAGAGGGGATTTTTGACGAAAAAGTTTTTCTGTGAAAATGTTGTAAATAAGCTTTTTCGTAAACCTTTTAAAAATTTTCATTAATTTCAAACTAACAACTCTAACTTAGTTATCATGTAGATCAAAGTTATGATTTATACAGATTTTTTAAGATCTAGTTTTCAAAACCTGGTTTTTTTGCAGATCATCCTCGCTGGAACTCACATATTCATTGGCTCTTTCGGATACCTGGACTTCAATTGTAATTGCACTTTCATTGTTCTGGAATAGTTATAAGCCAGTTGTTCTTCAATGGTATCACAAAACTTATTGTTTTCCATTGACACTTGAGGTAAATCAAAAATCTGTTCCACTGGTTTTCCAACGCGCCGTGCAAAAAAGGCGGAGCTTTTCCTGGTTTTTGAAACTTTGTTGCTCTTTTCGAACTCTTTGAAGCGTATCATTTTCATTCCGCAACAAATATAAAACAATACAATTTTCCAGCATTTGAGCTATACATAAATTAATGATGATCTCATTTTTCATTGGTTAAAAAACTCATAATCCGCGCACTTTTTTCGAACTTTTTTGCTCGCGTGATATTTTCACCTGTCTGTGAGAAAATAGAGAGAACAAATTGAGTTGAACGAAGGGAATTGATAAAAGAGCAAGTTCTTATACTTTTTAGAATAGGCTGAAAACGGAAATGAAAAGGGAAAAAGGTAGACAAAATCTCAATCAATTTCTTTTTCCAGGCATTCCGAACCGGTGGTCTCCTAACTGGAATCTTCCACCTCGTTGCTCTCGCCTTTTCCCACTATCTTCAAATCGGTCGCCCTTTCGATCACAATCAAGTTCTACCACTTCGAACAATCCATATTATTATTTGCCTGATGTGGGCAACTCCTCCACTCGGATTAATGGCATATTTCAGCAGTTGGGAGGGACAAGGATACAGGTTCGAGATTCATTGAATATTAGGTGAAATTATTTGGAATATTTTCAGAAACGAATCATGTTTGGGAATTCAATTCTACGAAAACTTCTATTTTCGCACCAATATTTCATTGATTATTATTGTTCTGATTGCAGCCACAACTTTGTTTTATGTTCGAATGCTTCAGAAAATCAATGAGGTGAGCTTTGAGTTCAACTTTATAATTACAATGTCTAAATTCAGGTTCGCAATAAAACCACAGCCACCGCTTCTGCTCGTGGAAAACGCACAGTTGTGACTGCTGTCCTTATTTTTGGAACATTTTTGTTTGGCTGGATGCCAGCTAGTATTCTCTATATTTTGACAGCCGAAGGAATGCCGTTGTATGGCAAAAAATCGATTTGGATTACTGTTTTGTCGATTGTTGTGATGGTTAATATTATGGTCAAAACATTGACGAATCCTATTATTTATGCAACAAGGTTTGTACATATTTTTAGTTTTTATTTTTTAAATTATTTTTCGAGTCTTTTGAACCAAGTTTTTTCTAATAAAAATTCACTGTTTCAAAAATGCAACATATTTTTAAATTTCGGTAATAACTTTGAACATGGAAAAAAAGTTAGAAACTGTTGAAAAAATTGAAAAATCAGAGCCTCTGAAGTTCTGAAAAAACACATTGAAATAATTTTGAGGATGCCTAGACTGTAGTTAATAATTTTTAATTTTTTTTTAATTTTTATGTTTTTATTCATTTTTTTTTAAATTTCCAAATCCCATCCCATTTTTCATTTCAGGATCCCGGAAATTCGTCAATTCGTAGTTCAAAAACTGTTGTGGAAAATCATCCCGCTGCGCGAAGTTTCTCGAAGACAAAGCGAAGTCTGCACGCCCCTTCGAGAACGATCTCAATGTATGAACACAAATTCAATGATGGTTTGAGAAGAGCTCGAGAGCTGCATAGATTTAGCAGAAAAAAAAACAAATAAACGGGTCCCAAGAAATCTCTTCGATCTCTGGTTGTTATTTTGTGATATTTTTTATTATTATTATTATTTTTCTCGAAAACCAAATGCTTATGTATTTATTTTTAATTTAATAAAATAAAGAATGTTTATTTATCTGAAAAAATGAAATTTGTTTTTGTTTTTATATTTTCAAGGGAAAACAATTTTTTCAGGCGTGACCCTTTGAAAAAAAAACGGTCTGCTCTATTTACAAAAAAAGACCACGAGTATTATTTATTTCTAAATCCATCGAAAAATGTTTCTAGTTCTTTTCCAAATTCTTAACAATTTTTGTTTTATTGTAAGTTAGCCTATCTCAATTTTCATTCTATCCTCATGAAATTTCCAGATATATCTTATCAATATTTGTGGCGCAAAACCAACAACAGAATGTCCAGTTCGAAAAGTCGGTGATTCTGTTCGAGGAAATGTAGACGAAGCCGCTGCAAACAGTACGAGAACTGCAAAAGTATTGAAGAAAAATGATGAAAAAGATGAGCGAAGCAAGAAATCGAAAAAACAGAAAAAGACGAAAAAAGAGAAAAATGAGGAAAAGACACAGAAAACACATAAAACTGAAGTTGAAACACAGGCTTCTGTGATGGCTGCTTCGGCGAAAGAAGTTAAAGTTAATATGAGACCATCGACCACGGTTGTTCAGTGAGTTTTGGAAATTCGGAAAAGTTTGAGAGCTACTTTTTTTGCAATCAAAACGTTTTTAAAAATGCTAAAATTCTTGAATTCCATTTCAAATTCCTATTTAAAAAAAAATTAAAAAATTTAGAAGTTCACAACTTTTTTCCTGGAGCTTGAAAATTTCGGAAAAAAACTCTAAAAAAACGTTTAAAAATTTACTGTTTCAAAAACCTTTTTTTCTTTTTAAAGAAAAAGGAAAACTGAATATTTTATGAGTTTAGCCCCGGGATTTGAAAAATAGCCACTTTTTTGAATTTGAAAATTCGTTAGCTGGAAGGTTCTAGAACTCTACAAAAATTTATAAAAATTCACTGTTTTTTTCAGTTCATTGCGAGCTCGTCCAAGCACTCATACTCAAGTCCAAACTCAAGAAAGTCCACAGCAATCAAATTCAGCAATGGCTCCAGTCAGCAAAATTGCTTATCCAAGTACAATGGGAGCTCCTCCACTAAATCAGGCTCAATAAAAATATTTATTTTATTACAAAAAAAATCCTTTGAGCTCACACCAGAGAACCAAAACCACAGATAAAAAATAGAAAAAAAAATTAAATATTAATTAGAATTAAATGAATCCAACTTTTTCCATGGATATTTTGAATACAACATCCATACAAGAATCAAATACTCGATCAATATTTCGTGTATCTGTTGCATTTGTGCAATGTGAATATATTGGTTTTTCGTGTTGAATTTCGGCACTCACTAATCTAGTAAAACGATCTTGAACATATTGGGCACAAGCTTCAACACCTTGACCGCCTGCAAAAAAATTAATTTGAAATTCTCAGAAATTATTTTTCAAATTCCACGTTGATGTTAACGTTTTAAATTCAATTTAATTTTTTCAGGTTCATTTCAGTTGCGAGATTGAAGTGATAAAAATAAATTCACATCGAAAATTTTGTTTAAATAACTCGAAAAATTCACTGTTTCAAGAGTATAGTATAACTTTTGGTAAGTAAACACGTTAATTTTTAATCTCCTACATTTGCGATAAATAATCCAAAAAAAAAACAAACCTTTATAATTTTTGAAGCACTTGGTCAATGGATATTGTGCAATCTTCTCGCGGAAAATATCAATTTTATTCAAAAATAAAATAATGGCGGTCTTTTTTCCGAAACATGGATGATTTGCAATTCTTTTGAACAATTCCATTGAATATCGAAGGCGATTTGTTAGTTTTCTCTGGAAAAATGTATCAAACAGTAATTAGAATTTATTTTTCAAGAAACAAAGAATTCTTACAGGATCATCATCATCTGGCACAAACATATTATATCCACTAATTGCTGTTATAAAGAGTACACCATTCACATTATCAAAACAATGTATCCATTTTCTTTGTTCTGATCTTTGTCCTCCAACATCAACCATTCGAAGTTGAACTTGTCGAAATGGAAATAGTATTTCAGTTATTCCAGTTGTTGGAACTCGCGCTTTTATCACATCCATTTCTGTTACTTTATAATCAATTCCAGAAATCCGTTCAATGTCATCAAGAAAACTGGAAATTTTATATAAATATTGTGTGATCTATGGATAAAAGTTTTGATAAGTCGTGATGTTTCAAAAAAAATAACAAAAGACGGAAGTATCTACGTCCTAATCTCATACTATTTTTGGAAAAATTTCAATGAACCGAATTAAAATGTAATAGTACTGATGTATGTGAGATGAACCAAGAGATCAGAAAAAAAGTGTTTGAGGTTAAAAATTGAATTTCAGGGATTTCATATGAAAATCCGAATTTTCGACACTAAATAAGCCTTACTGTAGATTTTTGTTAAGAAATTCAGATTTTTCAAATTTTGTAGATCACATGATCAAAAATGACCCGAAATTACTGTACATTTTTAGGTGGAATTTTAGGTGGAAAACTAGATTTTTTTTAGAAACTTCATCCTCTTTTTTCCCATTTTTATCCCAACTTACTATGTTGCAGAATCCAAAAGTTCAATTTCATTTTTGTTTTCAATGACAGCTTTGATGAATTCAGATTTATATAAACTATTTATCGATTGAAATAATTCCGGATTCATCTCAACTTCCGTCGGACGCGAAGCATTATTATATCGTCTTTCAAAAAACATCATTGCTTTCTTAACAGCCAAAGTATTATCCGGTTTGATATTCAATTTCTTAGCCGCATTCAATAATTGAGCCATTGATTGAACAATATTACTATAAATCAAATATCGAAAATTCACATAATCTAAATCGCTGAAACCATTCAAATGAATTATTCGCATTTGTTTGAAAATTGTTGATTTTCCACATTCTGGACCACCCAAAAGTAGAATTTTGAGAGTTCGGCGAAGATGAAGACGGTCTTTTTCGAGCTGTTTTTCGATGAGACTATTTTTACGGGCCATTTCGGCAGCCGTGAGGCTTGTGCCTCCACATACGTTGACTCTGGAACAAAATCAGAGACGTTTTGAGTTAACTTAAGTTCAAGTCAGAAGTTTCTAAAAATAAGTTGATTGGAAACACTAGAAAAAATGAACTATGATGTACAACTGAAAAAGTGATATAATAAATAAATTAAATTGGGAAAACGTGTACTTGACATGACGTGGCATTTGGGAATTTTAATTTCGAAAATCATTATCTAATTTGATTGATGTTTGAATTTTCGCAAAAAAATTATAAAAATTTCGAAACAGTGAATTTTTTGGGAGAAAATTACTCTAAAAAGTGAGCGGATGAAATTTCGTTAAAAATATAACTTAACATTTTTTTGTTTCCAAAAAAACCATCTCAAAAAAGTGAAAAGCAAACATAATATTTTTTTTCACTGTTTCAAAAATAAGAAATTACTAATTATTTTAGAAATTTTTCAATACATCGTGCCAATACGAGTTCAAAAAAATTTCTAAAAAAAAAAAAAAACTTCACTGTTTCAAAAACAAGACATTTTCAAGAATATAAATATTTTCCAAAAAAAAACTAATGTTTCGAAAGTTCGGGATATTCAAGAATTTTCAATTTATATCAATGAGACTTTATTTGAATATTTAATCCAAAGAAAAACTATTCAACTACAAAATTATGATGCACTTTGAAATAACTGAATTCAAAAAAAAATCTCTAGAAATTTCACTGCTTTAAAATTTCTAGAAATATTTAGGATATAAAATTTTTGTCTAATTTTTCAACATTTTCTTCCCCTCTAAATCTATTCCCTTCACTCACTGGTTCTGCACTTCTGTTCGCACTTGAAGTGATCCACAAAATAAAAATCGTAGTGATATGTTCGAAGTGGTTGTGGCTGACGAAGTCGTCGCCGATTCCTGATGCGTTGCTTTTGGGGCTGGCTGAAATTACGGGTATTTTTCAAATCTAATTAACAAAATACCAATTTTTAATAATACCTGCGGATGAACCTGATTTGATTGAAAGCCGGAGCTTGTTGAAGCTGACGCGACTGCTCTTCCCGGAACGATTATTCGCTGAAACAGTGGAATTTTCTAGTTTTAGACTTGCAGTAGTCAACTGATTATTTTCACAATCAGCAGAAAATTCAGTAGAAACTACGAAAGTTGCTGACGTTTGTAAATGCTATTTATGTTATTCAAACAAGCAGCTGAAAAATTTCATGAAGTAAGAGAACAAGTAAGAAAGTTGATATCAAAAACTCATGTGAAATGAACTGATTTGATAAAAATGAAAATGAAAAACAAAACTATATTTTCTTGTTAGTGAACTCCTTTGAGGCCACCCACAAAAAATGTACTTTTAGGTGAATCTCAGAATAAGCGGAATTGTTTTTTGAGGGAATTCTGAAATGAACAGGAAATCGATTTTTGCGAAACTGTATTACAGTAGAATTTTTAAACGAAAATCAACTCAGAAATTTCTAAACAGAAGAGAAAATTGGATTTTTGAAGTGGGAACTGGAAGGTTCCACGTGGCGGTCAGTAGTTCAACCTCTCCCAAGACTTCACTCAATCCAAAATGAAATGTAAACTCATTCGATGAAAACAAATTCTAGATGTTCTTGTTATCTGTCCGTTCGAGAATTCCTTCAAGACCACCCACAGAAAATGAACTTGTTCTTTGTTATCTCAAAAATACATCATTTTAAGAACGATTTTTGAGATTTGGAGAATAAATTGTAGTCGCGCGGAAATTTGATTTTGCTATTTACTTGACGTAAATATTTCTGCTTTTTTAGTTGATTGATTTAGATATATTAGCAAGTCGTGTGGTTTTTTTGGAGCACAAAACATTTTGGGGAATTTATTGGAGAAACTTTGGGATTTGAAAATTACTGATGCTTGTAACACTGAATTTCTACAATGATCTAAAATCGTTCAAAATATTTTTTGCACAATGTTAACAGAGCAAGAACCTCCGACAAAAATCATTTCAACATTCAAACAATATTTGAAACAGTATATTTTTGGGAAACCTTTAATCGTGTAAACAAATTTATATTCTCTAACAATCTTATTTAAAAACTTTGAATAGTCAATTTTTTTGTTTGATCTTATAGAAGTAACTCGGATGATTATTCAAATTTAATATCGAAAATTTTTGAAACTGTAATTTTTTTTTCGAAAAAAATAGGTACAAATATCTTGTTTTGATAACATGAAAAAACCATCATAAACTACAATTAACAATAAGAACTATGACGATATTTTTTAAAAAAAATTCAAAAAACAATTTTTTTTATAATACAGTTCTGAGAAAACGAATTCCCCAGGTTCTCATTATTTTTCTCAAATACATCATTTTTTTAGTTTTCAAAAAATCAAAACTTACATGTTCAACCAAACAATCATAAAAAGGACAACAATGAATCATAATGTGTAAAAAAAAATATCAAATTAGGAATACCAAAAATTGCTCACAATCAATTTATTTTGCAAATGAGCTCTAGAGAATTTGATGAATAATAATTAATAATTTTTATTTCAAACAACAAATAAAAGTTTTTTTTCTCCTGAAGAAGCAGGTGTAAATAATTGACTAATTCTAATATATGAATTATATTATGAGAATTTGTTTGAACTGCAATAGTCGAGAAAATATTGGATAACTCAAAAAAAGAAATTGAGAAAAACCAGGGGCAAAATTAAGTTAGGTTAACTCTATTTGTATTTATTTTTCTAGAGATCAGATCGCGGTTTCCCAGAAATCTACGTAATTTTTATTTCCGCGATCAAACTCTATACATATATTTACTGTTGCAGCTGATTTTTTGTGAATAATTTTTGACAATGACATAATTGTTAAATTCAAATTCACTATGGATACTGAATCACAACAAACAAATCTGGAGATATTTCCAGAAAAATGAAAAAAAAATAGATATGAAAACATTTTTTCAAAAAATAAAGCATAATTTTTTCTGATGAAAAAATGTCACGATAATAACATGTTGGTGTACTTTTGAAACCGCGAATTTTCGAGTGGAAAAGACAGAAATTAGGTTTATAAATTCTTTAAATCAAAATTTCTGATCCATTGTTTTATTTTAGAAATTCCGGCTTGATTTCACGAAGTTCAAATTGAATTTAAAAAAGACCAGATTTTCAGAAATCTTTGAAATCAAATCCGAATCAAAATGTTTCCTTGGTAAATATTGATTGTATTTCTACACCCAAAAAACCAGTCTAAATTTTCAAAAATTAATTGATCTACCGCCAAAACGTGACCTTTTGTTAATTCTAATTTTTCTGGTTTCAAAAAAAATCATTTTCAAAAAATTTATACTCACTCATAACTTATTCGCTAAATACTAAAAAATGGTCAAAACTGTAAAAACTACTAAAAAATCTCGTGCCAACGAGCCAATGTGGATTTCGAAAATCAATCGGAAAATGAGGTAAACTTCTTTTTTTCCTCTTATTCAAAAAATCCTATTTTCTAGTTTCCACAAATTCCGCGAAAACACCAATCATTTTCGTGCAATCGGTCAGGATTTCAGTCGAATTATCAGAAATTTCAAGGAAATTTCCGAAAATGAGGAGAAAGTATATGAAGTGACTGTGGAAACTTGGTCGAAAGGAGATGCCAAAATTTGGGTTCCTTTGAAATATGTCCAAACAACTGGAGAAATGTTGGAGAAATTTGAGAGGGAACAAGAGGGAAATGAAGTGAGTTGGGAGGCAATTTTCGAGTAATTTTTAAAACGTTTTAGTGACCAATTTTCAAACATTGAAACTCAATCAAATCAAAAATCACCTGAAAAAGTTATGACGTGGAAAATTGTTTATTTTTCTTAATAGAATGATGTATGTTTCAAAAAACAAAATTTATGAAATTTGATTTCGTTGTTTAGCAGATCAATTCTAAAACGTTCAATATCCGGAATTCCAGATTTTTGAGAAAATTTAATAACGAAAACTATCACTATATTTTCCTGGTAATAGATTTGTTTTTTCATCAAATCTTTTGGTGATTTCTGAAGTCAGAAACAGATCGAGAAACTTAAAAATATACCAATTTATTTTGAAAACAAAAGTTGTTCTAACAAAAAAAATTGGCTTGAAATTTTTCAAATTTCCACAAATCCCTCCAATTTTTCTAGGTCGAAGAATCAACAATTATCGAAAACGATGTGACAATTTCCGAATTCATTTATCAACAACAAAAATCTTCAAGTGATTCAGAAGCTTCAGAAATTTCAAGCATTAAAAGCGGCAAAAGCAACACTTCTTGTTGAATAAAAATTGACAGAATTTCTTAAAAATATAAATATTTCAAGAAAAAACTTTCTGACACCCCCTGCCTGATCTAATATCTTGAAGTCTGGCGAAAAATTACATTTTTTTTTTGAATTTTCAATATCCAGATTTTTCAGGCTTTTAGTTTTAATGAAGTTCGTTCAGATTTTTATAAATTCTGAATCGTCATAGATTTTCCTATATTTTTTCTTAATTTTTGGTAACACGGCTTGAATCTGGTCCCAATGTCCATACATTTTTTCTTCAAAAAAAAAAAAAGAACTAACCTGATTATTATTTCTATTATTGTTTCCATTGTTATTATTGTTCGATTGTACACTTGCAATTTCATCACTTGTTTCATCATCCAAATCCACCATCTCAAAGCTAGAAAAATATGCTTAAAATCAAAAGAAAAAATTCAAAAACAGGTGAAAAATCATCAGAATACGTCAAATTTATGGGGAAAAAAAGAAGAAATGATATATGTCAGCAGAAAAGTACACGTTGCGAACAAAATATGGAATGAAAAATATCGAAAAAAAAATAGAAAATAGTTCAAACTTTTTTAAGTTGAAAATTCAGAAATAAGATGAGAAAATAAATCAATAAATAATAAATTAGAAATAAATAAATTAGAAATGATGAGAACAAGTGTTGCAATTTTTTGGTGTGACTAAATTTTGGTGGTTTTTGAAAAACTAAACTAAGAAGGTTGATTTGCGACCGATTCGAGAGCTTCTTTGAAACTTTGAAGACGTTGATTTACAGCAACCATCTGCAAAAAAAATGAGATGAAAATAGAAAAAAAATGGGAAAGAACGGGGGTGGGGTTGAAAATTAACGAGGAAATTGAAAAAAATAATAATCAAATGAGAGGTACGTAGAACAAGTCTAGTCAAGTGTACTATGATCAAAGAATATTTTGACGCGTGCAGAATAACAATGCAGATTTACCAATTATTTACTCGAAATTTTCTAGAAAAACCTAGTAATGTTAAAAACCAAACACCACATTTGGAACTTCAAAATTTTCTGTACAAAAAAGAAGAATTGAAAACAACGTGAGCTATGACGTAGGTATTTGAAAAAATTGCAATTTGACTCAAAAATGCTAGGTTTGTGCTTTTGAGAGTTATCATTGATCTATACTGTGTGAAACCTGAGAAAATTCAATTTTAAAAAATTAGATCTAATGTGTTGGAAAACTACAGAAACCCCCAGTTTTTAATAGAAACATTTAAAAAATATATAGTTTCTCAAATTTCTTGGATCGAAAATGTTAAATTTATAAGACGTGATCTATGACGTGGAATTTCGAGACTAGATTTCTGATTTCATTTTCAATCTTTTTTTTCCAAAAAAATCTAGTCAGGCCATCTCAAAAATCACTTTGCAAACAAATACAAAATCCATATTTTTGCAAAACCAAGCAAATTGCTAATTATATAGAATTCTACAGGGACAACTTCCAAGGTCTTGATGCTCCACGACATTTTGAGCCTACGTGAGATTTGGGCTCAAAATGTCGTGGAGAAAAAGTTCTAGTTGGCCTCACACAAGGTTCAAAAAAGATCACTAAAAAAGTAAGAGTTTTTGCTTATTTTCACTGGCACTCTCTTGCTTTCCTATGTTATTTATCAAAATCAAATTTCAAATTATCTACACTTTGGTCAATTATAATTGAACTAGATATCTGCTAGTAAAAAAAATTAAAAAATTGGTTTTTTGAAAGCCAATCAATGTATTTTCGAAACCTATAATTATTTCATGTTTCAATTTTGTCTCGAAACTTCATGGGTTAGAAAAAATTCACTCAACTTCAGAAACCACATGTTCTGGCTGGAAAAAAAAGCGAAAATGCACCTGTTTTGAAACCCCGCATATTTCATAACTCAATTTCCTTACTTTTTTCTTGCTTTTGCTTTCAGTAAGCTTTGAAAGTTCTCAAAAATAATTATATAATTCATTTTATTTCTTGAAAAAAGTGGGGCGATTTGCGTAATAAAACTCATATTTCTTAGAAAATAATAAGACATCTTATTAGTTTTTTGTCTCATAAACAAAGTTTTTCTATAGTTATGATAAATTCAGAAATCTTTTATTATATAACAATAAATCACCTGCTTGCAGCTAGAAGAAAAAATGTTTCCAAGAATGACAAAAAATCCAATTTCAAATCTAGACATTATGCCCAATAAAAGTGTACTTTCTGCTGTGTCCGAATCAAATTATTTTCCCGATCGCCAAGCATTTTCAAACCTACTTATTTGCAGCACAAAAATGAAGAAAAAAAAAGAAATAGGATGAGAATTGAGAGTATACTCTATAATTATTTGTCCAAATTTTTCTCGATAGAAAATGAAATATGAAAAAAACATTAGGTTGGTCAATTGATCAGAAGAAATGGAAACCAGGAAAAAACAATCAAATATTTTCTAGATTTTCGAGGAAAAAAAAAGGAAAAATGGAGGAAGTGCTCATATAATGAGAAAAAGTGCGTGTACTCTAATTATTTGAATATTTTTGTAGTGAAAAGTGAACAGTGGAAAACACGTTTTTGAGATAAAATGTCTGGAGAGAAATATCATCAAAAACCAATTTGACGTCGAACCTTCTTGGAAAACTGGAAAAGTAATTGAACAATTTTAGAAAGTGATCAGATTCTCAAAATTTCTAAATTCGACAACCAGAAAAGATATAAAATATTCTGAATTGGACTCCAGGTTTGCTGGGTTTGTATGTTTCAAGTGACACGATTCAGAACTTTTTTTTAAAAGTTTACTGTTTCAAGAAAGAAATATATCGATTTCGGAGGTCTGAGAAATGTTGATCTCATTTTTTTTTACAAAAACACGTATTTTCAGTTACTTTTCGATCATAAAATTTCCCAAATCAAACATTCAAATTCCTTGTTCCGATAAAGCTCTAATTCGATCTCCCATTAAACAATCTCCTTTAAAAAGTAAGCAAGTTCCGTGTCAGAATAAAAAAAACATGTTTTCAAACATCTTCATACTCTTGGCCATTCTAATTTCCATTTCGGAAGCAAGTGATAAATTCACTTTCGATTTGACAATCACATGTCGTCATACTGAAAGGCCAAAATTCTGGTATGAAGTTGATTTCATTGAAAATGATACTGCATCGTGAGTCTCAAGACATTCTCAATTTTTTGAAAAAATAAACATGTTTTAGACCTGGTGATCGAATGAAGAAACCATATTCCGAAGAAATCCCAACAGGAACTAAAAAAATTCAATTTATCGGTTCTCAAGATGGCGATGAAAATTTCTCGAAAGGATACAGTATTTCTGCAATTTTTGAACATGATTGTACACCAGAAAGATCTCGAACCAAAGTCAATTTCAGATTCACAGATTTTTGCAAAATCGGAAGAGATTGTACTATTAGATTCGATGCTGATTTGACTGACAAACAAGGATTAATTAATGCTAAAGCGAGAATATCCTATTTTGCTTGATTTTTGAAAATAAATTGTTGAGAATTTTGAACAGAAAACGGAATGATTTAGAAATAAACTTTTGATAATTTTCCCATTACAAAAATTAATTCGTTTTCCCTGAATTTAAAAGGGGACAAATTTTTCGCCTTTCACAAAGACATTTGAATGTTCCTTCTGATTTCGTTGTTGCTATTGATTTCAAATGTCGAAAGTAGAACTGACAAATTCACATTCAATCTAAAAATCACATGTCGACACACACAACGGCCAACATTTTGGTATCAACTTGAATTGCTCGAAAATGATACATTATCGTGAGTTTGAAAGGAGAAAGTAAAACCAGAAAATCACATCTTGAGCAAAAATCAAAAATAAGAAAGAACATAATAATTCTAGCCCTCGCGATGCGGTTCAAAGAATTCTTTCGGAAACAATTCCGACAGGAACAAAGCAAATCAAAGTATTCGGTTATCAAGACGGCGATGAATACCTTTCAGATGGTTATAGACTTTCAGCTGTTTTCAAACATGATTGTACTTATAATGGAAATCAAGTCGAAGTCAATTACACGTTCAAAAAACTTTGCAAAATCGAGCATGATTGTCAAATTGATTTTGTGGCTGATTTGACAGATCAATACGGATATATAGAAACAAATGCGAGAATTCAAAGTTTTTGATTATTTTTCGATTATAAATATTTTCAATGTCAGAAAAATAATCTCAAAATTCAGAAACCAATCATACCTCGGCCAATCCGTGGCTGGCCAGAGTACAATTTTTGGAAAAATCTAAAATTCAGTTTTTAGAGGTCAAAAATTGAAAAATCACAATTTTTAGAGGACAAAAACTGAAAAATTCATAATTTTTGTACTGTAGCGTACAATTTTTTATTGTAGAAACCACGATTTTGGAGGTGTGAAACCAATTTAGAATTTTCTCGAAAGTTGAAGAAAACCAAAAAGCTAGTCAATAAAAGAGGGTGGACTACATCTCGATCTCAACCTAATTATACGCTTCATCATTTTTTTTCTTCGTTGATATATGATTCAGACTATATTTGAGTATGTTTTAAACTTTTTTTGTACTGCCAAATTTTTCAGAATCAAAAAAAATTACCTTATTCAAATATTCAGCTCTTCCTTCCATTTCCAAATGTGTTTGAGTGAATCTCAATTGTTTCTCCTCAACAATCCGTTTTTCGCCATCCAATCTCTCTTGTGTCATTCGTGCCTTCTGATGATAATCTTCCAATTTGCTTTTTGCGTCATTCAACATTTTGAACAGCAAATCTTGGTGTTTGGAATCAATCGAACTGGAAAAACAGAGATTTTGGGAGGAGAGAGGGAGATATTGATTAACACGGGCTGACCGGATAAACTATTTCTAAAACTTCAGCAGTGAAAAGTACACTCCAAGAAAAAATAATTTTGAAAATCTTACGATAAAAAATCATAGTTATGACGTGGAAACCCCGCCTAATTAACTCCAGCGGCAATATTTTCTGAGAAAATTTCATAGTCTTTTTCAGCAGCGCCGAGTACTCGAAAGTTCTGATTATTGACAGAAGCGGGAACTTCGCCACGTCATAACTATACTTTATATATGTTAGGATTCTTGGGGTGTATTTTCAACTGTCAAAGTGACAGAAAACTCTATCCGGTGAGACCATACATCAGTATCCCCGGATTTTCGTCCGGAGGGGTCTGGCTAACTTTGGAAAAAAGAGGTGGGGACCGGCTAACTTTTTGAAAAAATAACAATTTACACCCGAAAAACCAAGTTTTTTCTCTTTTTTTTTTGAGGGGGTCTGGCTAATTTTTGTATTTTCACATTCCGGGGGTGGCTAATTTTGAGACCCTGACCGGGAGAAACCGATGTATGGGTGAGACCTTCGTTAGAAATTTTGAAATATTTTCATTTTCTAATGTTTTTCCTTTGTATTCATGATGCAATAATTTCAAATTCCCTCTAGATTTCCCGATTCAAATATTTCCATTAAAAACTAACCCATCATTGAGAATCTCCTCAATTTGATCATTCAAATTCTTGACTTTAGTAGTGATATTCAAAATATCCACAGCCAAATTATGTTGTCCCATAATTTGTTTAGTTTCCGAATTCAATTCATTCATATCATCAGCTCTTTCATCTTGTCGAGTTGTGTATTGTGATCGAATTGTTGCGGTGAGAGCTTCATCGAGAACAAATTGAAGACGAGATAATTCGCGAGCCGATTTTCGCCGTTCTTCTTTCACTTTTTCCAATTCATCGATTGCATCACGAGCATTACAATCGTATTTTTTCGGTCTCTGAAACAAAGATTTCTCTCGTTTTTAATTATAAAGTATCCACTTACTCCTTTTTCATCTAAATTCATTCGAGCCATCCGAATTTCATTCTGAATACCTTCTAATTCAAACAATAAAGAATCTCGGAACAATTTCGATTTTTCTTTAGTTTCCACGTATGATTTCATCATGTCAGAAATCCTTGTGTTATCCCTAAAAACCATCCTTATAATAAATAAATCAAATCAAAAATTGTCTACTAACCCTGCTAAATTGATATTCAAAGTTTCCTCAATATGTTCCCAATTTCTAGTCAGCCTTTCATTTTCTTTTTTTCTCTTCCATATATGCCATTGCAGAATCTTCAATCACAGTTGCTAAATCTTCGAATTTCTTATTGATTTTCGCACTCATTTGTATAACTTCTATTGTTTTTCGATCACTATTTGTTAGATTCATTTCAGTTAATAATTCATGAAATCGATTTGTTGAAATTCTCGACAAATGTTCCAAATCATCCGAACTAATCAATGGATCATCATCCGAATCATCGTCATCTTTCGAACTTCCAGGTGTATTTTGAGTGTATTCTCTTATCGTGCATTTGACGTCTTCTTCCATTTCTAATTCACTCATATTTTCTGGTCTCTTGAATTTTCGCTGAACATCCCCACTTTTCTTGATATTTCTAACAAGAAATTTGAATTCATGTTTTGCTTCATCGACTTGTGAACCAGCAAATGCAGAAAACCAGGATCCGAATGATTTCAAATTGTCTTGAGTGTTACTATCAACTTCAATCGATTTTTTGACAAGCCATTGAACAACCGGATAAACAAAATTATAGTCGAGGCCAAGAATTTGATGAGGTTCAATACGATAAGGGCATTCCATGAGAATAAGTGCGCGAGAAAGAGCTTCAGATATTGGTCTACAAAATGTTTATAATTCTTCAGTTTTTTTTTAAAATATAAACAAAACAACTCACACTCTGGTTCGAAATGACATATTTTCTCGATACAAAACATCAACATTTAATGGAATCATACATTTTTGTATACACCAAACCATTCCACCAATAATCCGATCGAAAACTGGAATCGATTCAACTCTTCCTCGATAATAACCAGCAGCATGAAGCAATTGAAGGGCTTCGCGCGATTTTTGACGACTTTCATCGGTTTCGCCCTGAACGTCACTCATCTTTCTTCTTCGGAAAAAAGAAAATTAAAAACTCACTTCCGCTTGTGGATTCATTGTAGTCAAAAGCGCGGGCAAAAATGTGCTAAGCGCGCGCTCGAAAGTTCGACCACACAAAAAATAAAATAAATTGTCGTCACCTAAAATGTGTGTTGTTCCTTTTGTCGTCGCCGTGTTTGCACAAACTAGAAATTTTGGGGGTGGGACATTCAAAAAATATTTATTTATTTGTTTATTCCGTATTTCAGTGAAAAAACCTGTAAAAAATTAATTACGATGTTTGATAGTTGAACCATTGTCGTCGATTTTTATTTCGATTGCAGCAAGATTCTCTGAAACCCAAATTATCTTGAAAAAACTACTGAATTTCAACAAAACAACCTTTTTTAAAGTTTGTAAAATATTTTTTCTGCACAATAAATGCTGCAATCATTGAAATAACAGCTACTATCATATTAAGGCTCAAATGCATTGGAAGAGTGAACCAACTTGAGAAGAAAAATGTGAAAGTCGTAGAGAAACCCTAAAAAAAATCCATAGTTACTGAAACTTTTGAACTATAATAGTACAGTACCCCAAAAAATTTGCAAAGTGCGAAAGCATGTGATGAACTTCTTGAATATCCATCAACTAAAAATGTTTGCATTTGAATTTGAAGAATCGCGTCGCCAAATCCAAGAAATCCCGAGCAAAGAATCGCAACATATTTGCTAGAAAACACCTTTTTTGCTGAATAAGACCTTTTTAAAGACACATCAGCCACTAGAAAAAACAGATTTCCCGCTTTTATTTTCAAATGACAAAAACAGCATGTGCGCTCTATTGCTTCGTTGTGTGCACACACTTTCGAAATTTCCGTCGGCTGAGCGATTTCAAAAACAATTATTTTGTTTTTTTCACTTTTGCCAGACTCGAAATTTTTTCTTGATTTTTATGAATTCCGATTACTTGAAAGATGTTATGAAAGAATAACAAACTCAATTTCTGTTCATTTCTAGTGGATTGTGTGTCTTTAAGAAAAAATTACTTTGGCTCAAAATACGAAACATTTTCAGTTGTATGCAAAGGCGCGTCATATGGGAAGAATAGCCAAACAAAAATAAAAACTATGAGATGAATAAAAATTCCAATTGCATAAATAACATCACGTCCAACACTTTTTGCGCGAGTTCCGATTAGAGATAAAATGACACTTGCGCTAACTTGTCCAATTCCTGTTGCAATACAGCTGATAGCCAACCATTGAGTTGTATTTCCACCAAGTCGAGATGTGAATTTTATGCAAGTTGGATAAATTGCTGGAATAATATTGAAATGATTGTTTTTTTTTTTGGAAAATCAAACGAGACGATAAGAGTACACGTAAATAATTAAACACACGTGAACTTTTTTAATGTTTTTCTCTAATTGTTTCACTATCACGGGCTATCAAAGTTCTAATTTTTGAGCATTAAAAAAACTGATCCTTTTCCCATTTTCGGAAATTTTGAAATCTTTTTTCCTCAAAATTGTTATTCTATGATTTTTTTTAAATTGCAAAATGAATCCGAAAATACTCTTCAATTTTAAAAATCAAAGAAGCTTCTTGTCACTCACCAACCCAAAACGATCTCGAAAATCCCAGATAAATGAAAATAAGGATCAAATATCCCATTTTCATCGTACACATAACTCGAAAAGTTTCTGTAAGTGTCTGACAAACAGTTTCTTTTTCCTTTTCAACATGATAAACAGCTTTTGGTGATAAAGCAACATTGATTGCTCCAAAAACATTCAAACCAATAAAAACATAACAAAGAATTGCGTATTGTCCATTTTCGATAGATTCAGATAAAGTTTGATGGCGAAACATTATTACCAAAAATACTCCGCCAAGAATCAATCTTAAATTTTCAAAGATTTCAAATTTCAATTTTGAATACAGAACTCACGCAGTTTTAAATATAGTCCACATAAGTGATGTATTTCTCTCAACAGTTACATCTGAACTATTTTCCGTCAATGCTTTACCTTGAGCAATTCCCAATAATGTTGCACCAAGTCCCATTAAAACACTAGTTGAATATAATCCAATTGGATTAATGTGTAAAAAAGTTGCCTGATAAATAATATAAAAACATATTCCGAGGAACATTGACCATTTTGCAGTCAATTTTTCAACAATTATTCCACCAAAAATACAAGTTGATGCATTTGTGAACCAAAGAATTGTGAAGCCAATGTAACCTGCGTGTGGATCAATTGTTCCGCGGAGACGAGATTCACTTTCCATTAATGGTTCTTGAATGAATTCTGAAATTGTTTTTTTTGAGAAAGTTAAGATTGAACCTGAAACCATCTTATAAAAATCGTTCACAAAAATATGTATGCGCTTTTTCAAAACACAAATTTGATAGATCAGAAAAATGAGGAATAAACTATTTGTTTAGGAATCTTTGGTTCAAGAATCCGATTTTTCAAAGATCTTTCCAGAAATTTTTCGAAACATTTTTTTTCAACAACAAACTTCAAGATCAAAGTATCAACCGGATTTGAAAAAAAGTGTAGTTCGGATTATCTTCGCAACATTTTTGTCAAAGTTCTACAGCAAACTTCTACATTTGTGAAAAGATTCCAAGATCATTATTTTTGAAATATTCCGAAATGAAAATGATCCCGCCGAAAATAAGTATTTAAAAAATCTGTTAATTAATTTTGAAAAATCTATTCTGGGATTCCGTTCAATAATTTAATAATTTCTTACCCTGTGACATGAATGCAAAATAATTCAACAAATACGAAACTGAAAACTGCGCAACATTCAAAGTTCCTTGGTCAATCATCTGAAAAAATGACACAGTTTTTGTCAAAAAACAAATGAAAATACTAATTCTCACAATTCAAATAACACACACAAAAACAAATAAACGACGAACTGACAAGTTATTAAAATACAAAAAAAACACAGAAAAAACATACATCTTTCCAGTTATTCGAAATACCCTTTTCGAAAAAAAAAATATAAATTCATACCTGTTTTCAAATTGTTTTGACACCAAAACTTTTTGTACTTTAATAAAAAATGATTGTTTATTTTTTCCTGGCAGTAAATGGTTCTTTGATCATTTGAAAACGGTTTATTCAAAATAAGTTTTTTTTCATATTTTATGTGTCTAGGAACTACTCAGTTCCTGATATTTTTTCCATATGGAGTGATCATAGATCGGCTACTGTAGACTAATTTTGCCGCTTAGGGGTTTACTCTACGATAAAAACTTTAAAAAATAACTGCCAGAAAATAGAAAAATCAATAATGGGCAAATAGTTCTATAATTTTTTGACGGCAGCCAAAACAGTGCGAACTGAAATTCGAAAAAAACATTACCTGGTCTCTCTTTGTTCTCTCAACAGAAAAAATCCAATTAAAATGTTCATTTCATTTTTTATCAACAGTATAAATCTCGATACAATCTGGTTGAAAATGTCGGATTTTATAGAAATATTTTCGTTGTGCGAGAATTGCTGAAAATGCGGAAAATACAGCAAAGATTGAATAAAGGGCAAGATGCATTGGAAGAGTGAAATATTTGGAGAGGAAAAATGCAAGAGTTGAGGAGGCTGCCTGCAAAAATGTTCGTGAGGATCAAATCAAAATTTTGTAGATTAATTTAGTTAATTTTAGAGAGGTCCGAATTAATGCAGGAAATCGGATCTTTTTTTTTGGAAAAACCGAACTCTTTTTCGGCTGATTAGAATGTGTTTCTCAAGACCTAAACTTTTTTGTTTGCAGGGATTTTTTCCGAAACTCACACTATAAAATTTAAAAAGTGCAAAAGCGTGAGATGATTCTTTTGAATACCCATCACATAAAAATGAATAAATCTGAGTCTGAATTATCGCATCTCCAAATCCCAAAAATAATGAGCTCAACATTGCAAGTTCGATGCTGCAAACATTTTTACTACAAAAATCTTCTTATGTTTATCTGAACCTTGGTGCAAATAATCCAACTTGATCCGTAGTTTTCAATGGTGCATCAATCGGAAAATGTAGAAAAATCATGAAAAATACGAAAAGATGAATGATGACAGCAATTAATAATATAACATCTCTCCCTATTTTTCTTGCATTTTTTCCGATTATTGCCATAAGGAAACCCGATGATACTTGTCCAATTCCACTCGAAATACAACTCATTGCCAACAATTTTGTAGTATTTTCCCCAAGTTTTGAAGTGAATTTGATGCATGTTGGATAAATTGCAATCCAAAATGAGCGGGAAAATCCAGCATAAATGAAAATTATAGATAGAAGTGACATTGGAATTGTTGACATTATTTTGAAAGTTGAAGCTGGATGTGAAAACATTTATAAGGGAATATGTACTTGAGATTAGATTTACCTAAAGTTCCACCAAAAGATTCAATTTTCCGATTTTTTGGTTGATAAGCAGGTAATGGTAATAATAAAGTATTTAGTAATGCCAAAAAATAAATGGATAAAAATAAAATAGTAATATAATTAATAGTCTCATTTTGCACAACTTCGATAAGTGTTTGATGTTGAAATGAGTATAGCAAAAATATTCCACCACTCAGAAGTCTGATAAAAATTAATAAATACATTTTGAAGCTAGTTATTTCATCGGAAAAGTTAATCACGGAAATAGGAATTTTCTCTACAGTAAAAATAGGACTTGATAGAATTTTTAGGTGGTTCGTTTCTTATTACAAAAGTTGTCACTCTGTTCCAAATTAGAAGTCTCAAAAGTGGGGCGCGATTCAAAATCTCTTGATCCCCCCTCTCTCTTTCAACTTACGATAACTTGAGGATAACCCACATCATTGAACTATTTCTCTCAATTGTTGAACCTGTACAATTTTCAGTTAAATACTTTCCCTGACCAATCCATGTCAACGCACTTCCAACTCCTAGAAGCCCACTACTGATATAAAGGGAGATCGGATTCAGATTCAGAAATCCAGCTTGGAAGATCATATAAGTTAAAATTCCCAAAACCATTGACCATTTGGCTGATATTCTTTCAACAACTGGAGTTACAAAAAGACAAGAAATTGTGAAGAAAAAATACATTATAGCGAAACTATTATAGCCAGCATGAGAATCGATTTCGTCATTTGTGTTTCGAGAAATTGTTTCGATTAATGGTTCTTGGATAAATTCTGGGAGAAAATACGAATATTTGAGCAGTTTTTAAGATAACTAACCTTGTGACATATAAGCGAAAAACTGTAACATAAAAGTAATCGATAGTCGAATCACATTAATTGTACCTTTTTCGAAGCCTAACATGCTTGAATATGAAAATATGGAAAACTATTGAAAAATATTCATTTTCCCAACTATAAAAAATAATAAACAGAATTTTTTGGTTTTCCCCTCCCCCAAGTTTCTTTTTTTATATTGGTTTAGCTGGTTAGAAAACATACACATAAGAGACAGAAACATAACATCAATTGATATATTTCTCGAAACAGAAAAACAAAAATAAAATAAACGATAATAAAATATATCAACGCATTTTTATGCTTTGATGTTCACCGGGCGTCGTGGCGGGCGTCTGTGAGTCAGCTTCTTGACGGTAGATAAGTGTGGATGAAGTGAGAGAAGGAGTTCTGTGGATGTTTGTCGTTAACGGCGACCGAGTGTCCGTGCCAAGCATTGCGTCGCTAGGGGTAAATTGGCGGAGGCCGAATTATCCTGGGCGGATAAGGAGAGGCGGATGGCTCAGGGCCGAAAGGCAGCAGGCAAAAGCTTCCGCGTTGTGCAGTGGCCGGATAGCACTTGCGAGTTAACACACATTCACAGCCTTCTCGATATCTTCAGACCACTTGTCGAACCTTTTGCAATTTTTAGGATTTTGAAGCAAAAGTTCGATAGAACTTTTTTGTCTACAAATCGAAGAAGTTTAATTTTCCCAGAAGTTTTCCAAAAATAAAAATAGCCTATCTAATTTTAAAAAAAGATGATCAACAAATCAATTCCAATCAACTTTAGACTGAAATCATGAAATTTTGCTCGATAATGATGGATTTGTAGAACTGGAAGCTCTTCTAGATTTACAAATTTTTTAACGAAAAAAATCCTTTAAAAGTAAAAACAACAAAAAACCAACAAAAAAAACAAGAAAATAAAATCAAAAATGAAATGTCGCTCTGTTGATAATCTCGTGCTGTCTCGCACTCTCTCACTCGAGAGAGTGCGAATCCTTTTTTTTCTCGAAAAACAAAGGCGTTCAATCATTTCCCATTCAACTATGAAAATCGTTGCGCTTCTATTTTTCTTCGCAATTATTTTTGCTCTGCCACACACTGCCACCACTGCGGAGCCCAGCAACCCGCGTGAACACTATGCCAACCTTGCCACCACTGCCTTCCCTTTGGATTCGGATGCTTTACTTGTCAGAAATACTCTCATCGATTATTGGCACCAACTCGAAAAAGAACTCGAACCAGACAATAGACTTCAATATATATTTATATATGTGGAATATTCTGACACTTTCAAAATATACAAGGATCATTCAAAAGAATCAAATCGCACAGTCGTCCATTTGATAGTTCATGATGACGATTACGATAAATTGAAACGTTTGTGCAACGATAGCCGGGAACTAATTACTCATGATATTGAAACACCAATTCGTCATCCTCATCTTACTATCAACTGTGAATCGGTTGAGAAGAAAGCTTCAGAATGTCCAGAATGTGCTGAATGTCCAGAATGTTGTTCAGTACTTTTATATGTTTGCGCAATTCCTCTAATCAGTTTCGTATTTTTATGGTGAGAGCTTCTTGCTAAATTGAAAAAATCTCAATAATTTCATTTCCAGGGTACTCAATCGGAAAATCGGTTTCATCGATAAATGTCGAAACAGGAGAAATCCTGTTCTAAATGAAGAACACGAAGAGAGACAACCTGATATTGAATTAGAACCTTTGCAGTAGGTTAACTAAGTAAACTAATGATTGTACAAATGCTGTCTCATATTCATGTTGTAAAATTATTCAATAAAATTACTAACCGAAATCAATGAAATCACTAATCCTGAAAAACAAAAAAAACCAACAAAAAAACGAACAAAAAAAACAAGAAAATAAAATTAAAAATGAAATGTCGCTCTGTTGATAATCTCATGCTGTCTCGCACTCTCTCACTCAAGAGAGTGTGAATCCTTTTTTTTTCTCGAAAAACAAAGGCGTTCAATTATTTCCCATTCAACTATGAAAATCGTTGCGCTTCTATTTTTCTTCGCAATCATTTTTGCTCTTCCTCACACTCCGTCTTCTGAACTTCACCAAAATGATCTACTCGTTTATTGGATGCGTGTTGAAAAAGACTTCGATCTGAATATAGTAGATAGGATTCAGGATATATATATTTATCTTGAATATTCAGATACTTTCAAGATATACAAGGATCGAACAAAAATGGGAAATGCATCAGTCCTCAATGCGATAATTCATGAAGATGACTACCGTCAAATGAAATTTATATGCAAAGATAGCCGGGAACAACTCACGAGAGATGTTAAATCAGCATTTCGATATGCTCATATTACTGTTGACTGTGAATCGGTTCAGAAAAAGGCTTTAGAGATTGCGAGAGGTTCAAAATGTCCAAAATGTCCAGAATGTTCAACATGTTCAGGATGTTCAGTATTAAGATATGTTGGCGTAATTTTTCTTATCTGTTTGGCAATTTTATGGTGAGTTTCTTGTAAAATTGAAAATTCCAAATAATTTAATTTCCAGTTTAATCGCTTATATCCCCGATATCATAACATGTTGTACCAATCGATGTCGAAGAGGGAGAAATCCTGTTGGAAATGGAGGAGTTGTAAATGGAGAATATTCTGACACTGACGAGAATGAAGAGAGACAACCTCATTCTGAATAGAACCTTTGTAGTAAGTCTACTAAACACAATTCACTTCTTTTGTAAACTGCTGTCTCAATTTTATGTTGTATTTGAACTTATTCAATAAAATTACTAACCGACAATTAGTTTAGTTCGAAATTCAAATTTTTATGAAATGGGTGGATTTTTCCGAAAAATGGCTTCTGATGTAAGAAAAAAACAGCGTAGGTCTATTTAGAACGAACATAATAAGTTTATCCCCGAGGTAACAATACTGAAAAAACTCATTGTGTCCCCTGTCTACCCGCAGGAATCAAGTTTGCGGAAAGTTTCCAGTAAGAATATTTCAAGATTCGAAAGTTTTTGTGCAAATTATTTCCTTCCAATATTCTTGGTACCAAAAATTTTAATTTTGCAAAACAAATTTATCGATTGAATCTCCCAATAAAAAACGAATTATTTAGTTATAACAGCATCTTGTTTATGGAAACCCTTCAAATTTGTCAAATTCAAATCGTATGCCAAATTACACCATTTTCCAAGTCGACAAAGTTGTTTGAATATAATTCTTGCTTTAACTGGTTTTCTATCATTTGTACAATCATGTTCAATATCAGCCGAGATACTGTAGCCAGCTGAAAATATTTCATCTCCACCAAGTTGTCCCACAAATTTCCGATAAACTGGCATTGGTCCTATAGTTTCGTTGAATGCTCTGGTGAGAACATCGCGGTTACTGAAACATATTTTTCATTATTGAAACACTATTTTTGAAGTTTACCCACCTGAAAACATCATTTTCGAAAAATTGAATCTTGTATGTGAATCTGTCGACTGGAAGTCTACAAGTGATTGGAATATCAAAAACGAAATGGTCGAGATTTGATTGGTAAGGTGCAGTGAAAAGCCAAATGATAAGTGGTATAACTCCCTCCATTTTTCAAGTAGAAAAATATGAATATTTATGTTTTGGCTTGAGATTTTATACTAATTTTTTGATTTGATATAATCAAATAATCGAATGATCAATTTTGGAAGAATTTTTGAAAATATGGAAAGCATTTTGGAAAGAAAACAATCGGAAAACATTCACATAAAATTGCGACCACACACTCTGCTGAAAAGTTGGTCAATAAATAAATAAATAAATTGTTCTAAAAAATTGACATTTTCCCCAGAAAAAAAAAGAATAATACGTGACCCTTTTCAATTGCCTGATTTTTTTCCAAAAAAATTCCATTTCAAAAAATTGATTTCTTGTCGAAATGAACTTTCTGGCAGTGATTCTGTTTTTTGCACTGGTTTCGGCGGATTTTGTCAAATTCCAATTCAAATTTTCTTGTGATTACAATGACACTTCTAGATATCAAATTCAATTTAGAGAGAATCAGGTGATGAAGTGAGTTTACTCTATAAAAATAACATCTTCTTGAAAACATTTTTTTTTGAAGTTTGTACTTCACAAAACCATTTTATGGAAAGGTTTCTGCTGAATCGAATGCAACATTTGAAGGAATATTAAATCCAAATAACTCGAATGCAAATGGATATAAAATAATAGCAGATATAACACATGATTGCTCCGAGAAACATAAATTTCGTCGAGCTCGTCTAATTTTCAATCAAACTTTTCCATTTGGGAATAATATTTTTGCATCATCCATCAATTTGACTAATCTTCAAAACGATCAAGAAATCTATGAGGGTTTGGAAGATAATGAACTTTAAAACTTGTGAATAAAAATTTGAAATTGTTGAATTTGTTCCAAATAAAATGTACTTTATTCATCAGGTTTTCGGATAATATCCTCAAGAATCTCAGTTTTTCTGACAACTTTCGTATTCTTCAAACGTTTCATTGTTTCGCCTTTGAAAACAAACACTTCACAATTCTTTTCCCATTGATTTTTCGACGAACGAATCGACATTGCACTTTTTGCATCTTTCGGTTTCTTCGACTCGAAATCGACAGTTCCTTTTAGCGTATTGTCGAACAATGGATTTGGAAGCGACGATTTTTTATAATCATCATTGATTTGTTTCAAATCACCAAATCCATCGCCGGGTTCTTTCAAATTCGTTGTTTTGACTTCACGTTTTCCTTCCAAAACTTCCAAAACAACATCGGTGGTGACTGAGAATTTTTGATCGTCATCCGTGAAATCTTGAGTTTGTTCGTCGCCTCTGAAAAAATAGGATGTTTTGGTGAAAACTTCGTGGAAACTGGTGGATTTTGAGATATCAAAAATTCAGCCCTCAAATTCCAGTCAACCTTTTGGGGTAGAAAACTCACTCCTCAGCCTGCCAAAAAATCAATCGACCTTTCTTGACCAAAATTCGCGAAGATGACAAAGCATACCAATCTTTGGGAAACAATTTGCGAGAAGGATCAGTTGAATTGATATCTGAATGTATAAAACAATTGAAAATCAGCACTAAACAATACAACAAAAATCTTACGATCATCATCCTGATTTTTCTTTGAATCACTGCCTGATTTATTGGAACTCCCATTATTTTCCTTATTAGAACTTTCAATATTAGCAGATCCAGTTGTGTCAACTCCTCCATTTGTTCCAGTTGTTCCTCCACCATCAATCGAACTTCTCATCTGATTATATTTATCTTTTTTATCCTTGCTTCGACCTTTCTGATTTCCCAGCTTATGGCGTTGTTTGAACTTTGAAGCTTGCGCATTTTTCGATTTCTCCGTCGAAACTTGTGATTTGATGATGTTGAATTTCGGATTTGGGCGATGTAATTCAAGAAGGATTTCGAGTCGTTTTCCAAATTCGATCGGAATCTCCTTGCCCTCCTTATTTATCACAGTTGTTACTTTTCGCAGAGCGTGTGGATGCATCACATCAGATTTGGCGGATTTCGAGACATATTTGCTTTTCGAGCCGAATATGTCAAGCACCTGCTCCTTTTTGTACTTGATCCAGTTTTCGCGTTGTTGATGCGCTTCTTGCCTGCAAAAATCCAGGTTATTTGGGAAACGCCGTTTTAGACAAGCTGCCCAACACGCCAATTATTTTTTGAAAAAAAACACACGAGCTGCGAGACCCAAGAAGCTCTTAAGTGTGTTCCTTTGACTACAGTACTACTTTTCCTCCAAACTATTTATTTTTTAATGCATTTTCCACCCAAATGTTTAAACGTTTACTAACTTAGCCATTTTGAGCTGCTCTTTTGTGAGATTGTACTTTCTCATCATCCTGTCATCGTAATTTTTGGCTTCTTTGGCAGTTGGTGTTCTCTGAAAACCATTTTTTTTTTTGAAATATCAGAGAAAATAACAATGCTAATTTTCTTACCGATTTGAAGCTGCCTTCTTTTACACTTCCTTTATTCTTTGCTCCTCCGGGCGATTTTGCGGTTTTCGCTAAGTTTTTCAATTTCTCTTTAAGGCCCATTTCAGCAAAGATGATTTCGAATAAATTTCAATTGAAGTGATTTTTGAAGTCGACTTCGAATTTTTGCTCGATAAAAACTGAGGGTTTATTGTGAGACGCCCATTTTTATACTCAATTTTTCTAGTTCACGTTGTCGCGTTGGCTTTAATTTTTTTTTTGAATTTTTTTTTTGATGAAAAAACGTGAATTTTTTAAAATTAGTCTGAATTTAGAATAACTTCTATCAATTTTAGTGATCTAAGTACAGAAAGTCAAAGAAAAACCTAATTTATTTATGTGAAAAATAAATATTACTTATAACAAAAAAATTTCAAACTCAAAATTTATGCTCACAATCAAGTTCTGGTTTTTCACCTTGATGAAAATGTTGAATTTTATGAAAATAAACTCGTTGTGCAATTATTGCACAAATTGCAGATAAAACTGCGAATAAACCGTAGAGAATGAGATGCATTGGAAGGGTGAAATATGGAGAAATAAAGAAAGCAAGTGTTGAGGAGACACCCTGCAAAAATATGTTGGATTTCTCTTCAGAAGTCTAGAAATAACTTACACTGTAAAATTTGAAAAGAGCAAACGCTTGAGATGATTCATTCGAATAACCATCACATAAAAATGCCAAAGTTTGTGTTTGAATTATTGCATCTCCGACTCCCAGGAAGAATGAACAAAGATTGGCAACATATATACTGGAAATCAATATCATTTCCAAATTACTTAATTTCAAACTCACTTCGGCTCGAAAATTCCAACATTTTCAGTTTGATGAAGAGAAGCATCATATGGAAAGAAACAATAAATCAATCCAAAAACAATCAAATGAATAAAAAGTGCAAAAACCATAATCAAATCCTTTCCTAATTTCTTTGCTCTTTTTCCAATTATTGTCATAAATAAACCAGCTGCAACTTGTCCAATTCCAGTCGAAATACAAGCAATTGCCATTATTTGTGTTGTATTTCCCCCGAGTTTTGATGTAAATTTGATAGAGGATGGATAAATTGAAATCCAAAATGAGCGAGAAAAACCGGTGTAAATGAAAATAACAGCAAGAAGGCACATTTTATGGGTTGCGAGGAGTTGGAAAGTTGCCTTCAGGGTTTCAGAAAGTGTTTCGGTTGGTTTATTTGTTGGCGTGTATTCGGAAGGGCGAAGGAATATTATAATAAGCATTGCAAGAGCCGAGATTATAATATAGACCATGCAAAAATATTTGACCTGGAAAAATTTTAAAAAAAAGTTCTGATTTAAAGGGGCAGAGGTTAACTTTCAAATCTCCAAAACCTACTAACTCGATTATTTTCAATAACATCAGTCAATGTTTGATTCCGAAACATAAAATACAAAAATATTCCTCCAGTCAACAAAGAAACTTTCAAAATACACCACATCATCGATGTATTCCTCTCAATAGTTTTCACATTACAATTATCCGTCAAATATTTTCCTTGTCCAACCCACAAAAACGAAGCACCAATTCCCAGAAAAGCACTACTTGTATACAAATAAACCGTATTGATGTGGAAAAATCCAATTTGAAATGTGATATAAGATATCATTCCAACAACCATTGTCCATTTTGCACCAAATTTATCGATTATTGGAGTTACCACAAAACATGCTAATGTGAAGAAAAAATATAAAATTGCAAGACTATTGTAACCCGCATGAATATCGATTGTTCCACGATGTTTTGCTTCACTTTCAATTAATGGTTCTTGCAGGAATTCTGAAAATATGGGTTTAGAATTGCCACGTCATAATTTATGTTACTTACCTTGTGACATATATGCAAAAAATAATAACATAAAAGCAATCGATAATTGTACAACATTCTGAGTCCCTCTATCAATTCCCATTTTCTGAAAAAAAATTAAAAACAAAAAAATTGCACTAGGTTCTTGAAATATACTACTGAATATCGGGTCAAGCTGGAGAAATAACTGTATCAAAAAATTCAATAAAATGCAATTTCGTCATAGCTATTGATCGTGTTCACTTAAAAATTACTGTAATGTGGGATTTGGCACTAAAAAAGTATACTCGACTTGTTTAGTCTCCATTTTGCCACGTCATAACTCTTTTCCTAAAAATTAAAGTTGAAAAAAAAAAGTTTTTGACACAATAAAGAAATGAAAAATGAGAAACAAAATCATTGTTCCTTTTTAGTTTGAATGATAAAAATCAAAAATGGAAATAAAAACAATATATTAATAAAATAACATAACAAACATCAGTTTGATTCATTCCAAAATATCTTTTCACTTTTTCTGTTCTGTTCTGTTTTTTTGGTTAAACTTTTTTGAAAACTAGTCCTTTTTCGCTGAAAATTTTTATGGTAAAACAAAATCGAATAAAAATAAAATTGTATAAAACCCGTGACGAGAAATATGAAAAACTTTTTTTTTGTGAAATTAGTTAGGCTTCGAGCAATTTTCCATTTGTATTGTTGTAAACATCATCCTCAATGTCTTCTTTGACAAGTTCTGGAAAAATTTGAATATGTGTTTAGAAATCTGAATTTTTCAGAACTTACGTTTATTGAAAAGTGGAACGGCTAAAAATGCCAAAACGTGTCCAACAATATAAACAAGAAGTAGAAGATCCAACCATTGTTCAGAAATCAGAGAGTGTCGAATCTTACGGTAGCATAGCTGGAAAATGTTGATATTTGGAAATAATTTCAAAAATTTTCAATATTAAAAATCTATCAAATCACACCATGCTTTCTTTTCACAACACCACAAAATCAACCACGTTTTAAGCTCAAAACTTCAATAATTTTAAAGAAAAATCAAAATCTCCAATAAAAAACCACCACAAAACATGCTCACAACTTGCGGTTCAACCTCATTATCATCGTCAGATTCGCACAGAAAAACTCGTTCGATTTCCGAAATAAATTGTTCTTCTTTTTCAGCAGCTTCGAAATGATCGAGAAAGTGTCTGAAAATTGTTATGATCTTATGATGTTTGAATCAGGGCTTATCAATTATTTGATGTTTTTTCACAAATGTAAATAAAGTACATCAGTAGGCGACCCGGTGGAAATAAAATAATTTTTTGATAAGAATTTTTTGAGAGTAAATATTTTACCTGACTTCTGATTTTTTTAAAAATTAGATAGGCTATTTTTTTTTTGAAAAATTCTGGGAATTCTCAGATTTGTAGACGATAGAACTTTTGCTTCAATATCCTAAAAAATGCAAAAAGTTCGACAAGTGGTCTGAAGATATCGAGAAGGCTGTGAATGTGTGTTAACTCGCAAGTGCTATCCGGCCACTGCACAACGCGGAAGCTTTTGCCTGCTGCCTTTCGGCCCTGAGCCATCCGCCTCTCCTTATCCGCCCAGGATAATTCGGCCTCCGCCAATTTACCCCTAACGACGCAATGCTTGGCACGGACACTCGGTCGCCGTTAACGACAAACATCCACAGAACTCCTTCTCTCACTTCATCCACACTTATCTACCGTCAAGAAGCTGACTCACAGACGCCCGCCACGACGCCCGGTGAACAACGACGCATAAAATTGTCGATATATGCTGGCTGTTTTTTGTTTTGTGTGTGTTTGTTTTTTTTGGTCAGCGGAAAAGAGAAGGATAGAAAAGGTTAAAAATATTTTGAGGTTTGGTTTATTTAACTAGATTATGAGAGAAACTCACTTTCTGGCTGCTCCTCCATCACTCCACAAATAAACAACAGCAATTCCTAAAATAATAACATAAATAGCGACAGCGATGTATAAAATCCAGGCGATCGTCCGACGAACCAAACACTAAAAATTTCCAGATTTTTTATTAGTTTTTTTTTTGAAATTTTCAGAACGAACCAAATGACTTGGATTTCCTCGTTTATCATTGAAATCAAAAAATTGTGGAATAATAACAAGCATACAAAGAAGAACTCCAATAATTGAAATAATCCATAAGATGAGCAATTCATTTTTGTGAGTTTCGAGAATTTGTTGTTCTGCGGGTGTCCAGTCAAAACCTGGTTTCCTTTTTTTCAAAGTGTCTTCGAACATTCTAGAAAAATTAGTTTTAGTTTTTTTGGAGTCAAAAAAATTCTGAAAAGCTTCTATATTGCTGATCTACAAAAAATTTTAGAAAGTATCTACAGTAGTCCAGAAAATTAGCTTCGAGTTTTTTTCTATAGAATTCTACAGCACTCTAGTTGTGTTTTTCTTTTAAAAACTCACTTATACGCAATCGGCAGCACATTCGAAGTCGATTTATAATAAGCCTCTGAAATCGCCAAAACTATTGCCGAATACACAAATTCAAACCCGACAAACAGAAAAACCGCATATTTATAAAATGGTGGGAACAATTTCGCAAAATATCCCATTTTGCCTGAGCCTGAAACTTTTGTAAAATTTATTTTGAAATAAAATGGAAACTTTGGTGTTAGAGGAAAAAAAGAGCAGGTGAAAATGTGAACTTTTGGGGAGAGGAGACATGAGAATTTTTATTTTCATTTTTATTTTCAATTCTGTTTGTGTTGTTTGTTCTGATCTTGAGATAGTGAAAATTGTTTCATGTCAAAACATAAAAATAGTAAAATTCGATTAGTGTTATCTTCTTCACTCGTAGTCGAATCAACAACAAAAAAGCATATAGAAATCGGCCGAAAAAAAAAGACGACCTAAATGAATTTTGATAATAAGAAAAATTTATCTAATTTTTCGGGTTGCCGGGTTGAAAAATCAACGGGGTTGGGGGTTGTTCTGAAAAATTATTGAGGGAAAAACTACTGATAAGACAAAAATAATTCGGGTCATGCACGAATTTTTCGAGAAAGAGTAGGAGGATTATTTTTGCCAGGTTTTTTTAGTCACAAAAAAATTAGCAATTTTTCAATGGGAACTACAGTAGGGGGAAATGTGAGCTTTTTTGAATCTACAGTAATTTAGAGAGGGTAACCGAAGAGTGAAAAATAACTTGGCACCTTTTTAAGGGCTACAGTAATCTAGAAACTACAGTAACTCATCTGATCTACAATATTTTGAATTTGAAATATTTTTTAAGGCTCAAAATCAGGAGGCTTCAACAATGGGTAAAAAATATGATGATATACAAAAACTTTGGAAAACAACTTGGAACCGACTACAGTAACCCAGAGGAATTTATTGGAATTTCAGATCTTTATCAAAACTTGTACACGGCTCGCGTTAAAAACAACCGAAAATTTCGAGATTTTTTTGCCGATGAAAATTAAAACGCTTTCGAATTATTCTTCTCATCATAAAAATGAAAACTCGGAATATTTTCATTAACTCATAAAAAACCATGTGTTGTTTATTTTTAATTCTGAAAAACTATAGAAAAAAAACAATAAAATAAAATGATAGTATCAGATGATAAGAGAAACCCAAAACAATATTTCTTCTGTACGAAAATGAAATGAGAAAAAATAAATCAAAACAAAAAAATAAATAAATATTCAAATTTCACATCGAAATCAAAAATTATTATGCAAAACTTTTCTAAAAATTTGAATAAGTAGAGAAAATGACATTTTTATGGAAACTGAAAACAATGTGTTTCACAGACAAATAAAACAAATTTGTTATCAAAAATAGGAAGTTTGACGAATTTTTCTTTTTTTTTGTCAAAGACACATTTTTCTCCCAAGAAAACACAAAAAAAACGGAACCTATAAATTGCAAGGGGAACGTGTTGATTAGTCGCATTGTAGATGTTAAGTTAATAAGTTTTTGAATTGGAGCCAAATTATCAATTACGACAAGTTCGAAAATAATGTGTTTATATCCGACGTTTCGGTACTTATACCATCATCAGGGACTGTAAAATTCAAAATACAAAATTACAAAATATCATAAATTCGAAAATTGCACAGAAAAAGAAAAGAAAAAGGAAAGAAAAGAAATAGGCAATGGAAGACTAGAAAATGGAAGACTAGACAATGGAGAGGGGAATAATCATCATGTGTGTATTTACGCTAAACAAGGGGGGATGAGGAGTGTTGTTTATGTCAATTTTTTAGATGTGTTTTTTGATTATTTAAAGTTGGTTTTTTGGATATTTTTTGGATATTTTTTGGAGATATTTGTGGTAATGTTAATGAGGCTCAAAGAGGCTCAAGTGATTGAACTTAAAGGGAGATCGCTCAAGGACATCCTGGTCAAGAATAGATGTTTTGATTCGGTGTGTGGACATCGTAACTGTATCATCTGTGAAAAATTCGGTATCGGTAAATGTAACACAAAAGGTGTTATTTATCAAATTACTTGTAAATGTGGAGAATTTTACGTTGGAGAGACTGGAAGAACATTTGAAAGTAGATTTGCGGAACACCGTCGAGCATGTGAAAAACCGCTCACAAAATCATACAGTAATTCAGTTTGGGCAAAACATTCGATGGAAAAGCATAAAGGGGAGGCTCTGATCATAGATGTTGACATTTTGGATGTTGAGAACAACACTTCCCGAAGGAAAATACTCGAAGGTATTCTGATCAAACACCTCAGTCCGACTTTGAATTGCAAGGAAGAACTTTCGGAGATGATATCGAAGATTGGAACATTAACATTACCACAAATATCTCCAAAAAATATCCAAAAAATATCCAAAAAACCAACTTTAAATAATCAAAAAACACATCTAAAAAATTGACATAAACAACACTCCTCATCCCCCCTTGTTTAGCGTAAATACACACATGATGATTATTCCCTCTCCATTGTCTAGTCTTCCATTTTCTAGTCTTCCATTGCCTATTTCTTTTCTTTCCTTTTTCTTTTCTTTTTCTGTGCAATTTTCGAATTTATGATATTTTGTAATTTTGTATTTTGAATTTTACAGTCCCTGATGATGGTATAAGTACCGAAACGTCGGATATAAACACATTATTTTCGAACTTGTCGTAATTGATAATTTGGCTCCAATTCAAAAACTTATTAACGGAACCTATAAAAACTGAAATAAGATATTCTTTTCTTTTTTTGCCATCCGGAAGTCATAAAAACAATATTAATAACAATAATTATTTTGAACTTGAATAACTTTTTTTGTCTGAACAATTTTTTGAAAACTGAAAAAGTATCTTGTGAAGTAAAGAAATATAGAACAAAAATAATAAGAATAAATAATCCGAAGAATTTTTGTGAGGGTGGAGTGGAAAATATCTTTTTCTTATAGCATAGCAACAACACATATTTTTCATATGATTATCCCTACTTGCCAGCTATTTTTCTTTGGCTTTCTCCGTTTTTTGTCGCGGGGAAAAATGTGCATTTGCACTTTTAGAAACTTTTTTGGTCTTGGTTGGAAAATAATGGTAGATTGGAACAAAAAGCTAGAAAAACTCAGAAATTTTAAATTATGAGATAAACGTTCGGAAACGAAAAGACTATGTTAACTTTTAAAATGGGATCATACATTTATGATCCCATTTTAAAAGCTCAAAACTTGGCTTACAAATCCATGAAATAAAAAAATAGATTTTATTATTAAATGCTTTTTTATGATTTTGGAAAAACAATTTTTCAAAAAATTGATCCGCGCACTCGATTTACTAAAGCTGAATAAATAAAAAAATTGTTTTCTAAATGTTTCTTTCAAAAATTTAATTGGTTTCTTATCAATTTTCAAAAATACTCCCACGTGATTTGGTCAAGTTTCACAAATAAAAAATAATTTTTTGATATTTGAGTCAAATTGTAGTTACAATCTCAGCAGAATAAAATTAAAAACTCTTGACAGGATATTCTTACTCGAATGCAGGGATCAGCCATTCTCCAATTTCAATTGGACAACTTTTTGAAACAATCAAATTTTTGGGTACCCGAAAATTACCAGGTTAAAAACAAAAAAAACAGAAACTTTTTTCAACAACACAACAAAAAAATGAAGAAAAGAAACATACGTGGGATCAAGAGATAATAAAAATATAAAATATAAAAAAAAGAGGAAAAAAGATAAGTGCAAGAAAAAAAGAAGAAAAGAAAGAAAAAGAAAAGCAGGTGAGCAAAATGAAGAATCGAGCCAACAAAACAACAATGAAATAAAAGAAACTGATGAGATTTATCAAATATTTTTGAAATGAAGCAGAAAAGAGGAAAATGTATGGGTTTGTGTAACCGGTTGGGTTTAAATTATTGATCAATTTTTTTCAAATTTCAATTGTGGATGATATTTATGTTTGTGTTTCAAAATTTTCAGGTTCAAACATCAGAGCACCTGCCTGATTGCCCTGACCAATTGTTTTTTTCTTCTGGTCATTGAGATTTTTTACACAAAAAAAATGTATGATAAAAAATAAATAAAATGACGTGAACGTGTGAAACGTCAATATCCTCAATTCCCCAATCATTTCTAATAAAATCCAAAATGATAATAATTCCAAATCGTATTCGAATCGGATCTCAAATTTTTCTCATAACTATTTTGATTATTCTAACAACGACAACACATTTAGTGAATTCTAATGTTATACAATTTGTTGATGGTGAGAATTACTGTAGTATAATTGAAAAAAAATATAAATGAGCCAAATTTCAAGATACGAAAACTGTTGATAAATGCAGTGGTCAATGCCCAGAAGCTTATACTTGTGCCTTGGTCAACGATGAACCAAAATGTATTTATCGTAAGTTTTGAGCGCCAGATATACAAAAATAGCAGTATACACACGCTATGCTCCAAAAAATACAATAATCCGCGTTTACATCATGAAAAATGCTTTGGCGTAAACGCGGAGCATCGTAGTTTTCGATTTTTTCTCTCTAACTGGTCTCTCTAAATTTTCAGTTCCCAACTGCGAAATGCTGGAATGTTTAGAAGGCGAAGAATGTGTCGAGGAGCCGACTAATTGTGCAATGACTCCGTGTATTCCAACAATCTCATGTCAACCAACAAGTATGTTAGTTGATCCTGATTTTCAAGTATCTGATCTAAGTTATAATGCTAACTAGTTGAATAAAAACAATTGGTATCTATAAAATGTTCATTTTCATAACTTTTTCGAGTATCATTTTTTGGTCGTTTCATCTTTCATGATGTCACTTTGTTGAACAGCCAACGTTTTTGTCTGGATAAAAATTAAATTCGGAAACTGATGTGATCAAAAAATGACTCACCGTGCTGGTTTCCAAATTCTCACCAATCGGTTTCCATTCCTGACTCTTCTCCCAAATCATTTTCCCCTTGAATTTCAACGAGTTCAAATCGACATTTGGTTTTTTCACCGCGTTGAAAATGATATTCAAAGTGCATTCGTGTTTGACACCATCAACAAGAAAACCAAAACCAATTGGCTCTGTGAATTCCTGTTTTGGACCTGGAGATGTGGATGAAATTGGGAAGTCAACACGAACTGATCTGGAAAATTGAGAGAATATAATTTGAAAAATTGATTGTAAAGGGAAATGAGAAAAACCAACTTTTCGGGTGTGGCAGATTCGGGAATATTGATTTTTGGAGCCTTCGATTTTGATCTCTTCTTTCTGGAGCGCTTTGAGCCACTCATCGAAACTGAAAAAAATATAGTATTAATTTTAAGAAACATCAAATAGAACTCGAAAAATTGTCCCTTAATTTCCAGATTTTGGAACTTCACGGAAAACATGTTTGTGGTCCCTAATTTTCCAGAAAAAAACCGAAGGTGAAAATAATTCAGCCCTTTTGGAAATAAGTTGAATCCAATTTGAAAAAGTTCTACATATATCTCCCAAAATAAATTACCATCTTGTTCCTTGACAGTTTCCTCTTTTTTCTCGCTAACTTGTGGAGGTTGTCCTTCTCTTTCCAAAATTTCACGAGTTATTTTGGTCTCCTTGATTCTCAGCTTACCTTTTGGTGCTGAAAAATTTTACATAGTAAATTATAACTCTCTCAAACTCACCAGAAATTGGCGAAACTTCAGTTGAAGAATGTTCTCCCAAACTTGTATTTGAAGCATCTTTCTTATTCGGAGTCGAATCTTTCGCTGTTTTCAATTCCTCCGGAATCTTTTGTTTTTCCAATTTCGCAAATAAAGCATCCAAATTTCTTGTCGCCGTTTTTTTCAAACTCTTATCCACATCAATTTCATTTGGTGAAAACAATGGTGTCGATGCTGGATCAGTTGGTGTTCTAGCGACTGGTGTCAATTTTGATTTGGCGGCAGTTCCTCTCAAATCACATGGGGATTTTGGTGTTGATGTTGCTTGAGGAGAATGAGTAAAAAATGAAGAGGTTTGATCGTGTTTTGGTGTCAAAGCTTTTGCAGTCTTCAAATTTTCCTCTGCCTCTTTTTCTGACTTTTTCGGAGTAACTTCTTTTGGTTTCGGCAAATGTTGGCGAATTGATGGTGTTGAAATTTTCGCTTTTTTCGAAGATTGTTGTTGTTTCTCATCCGAAGAGCCAAACACAAATTTGATCTCTCGATAATCACAATGCTGCTCACCAAAAGACCCCTGATCATGATTCCAATGTTCAACCATTTCGGCACTTGCCTTGTGATCAATTAAAATTCTGAAAAAACGGGGGTTTTCTGATTTTCTCACAATCAGACTTCAAACTCACCCAACATTTTCTCGATCAAACATAACTTTTTCCTCAAAATTAATAGTTTTTGTTGGATCAAACGTCTTCTTTTCGGAATTGATTTCGAATTTTCCATCGGCTCTTTCATTCTTCAAACCAATCACAAATTGTTCAGATCTTGTGTAATTTTGACGACTTGTCTTGATTTTCTCACTGCATTTGATGTTCAACATTCCATCGAGAAATCTATTTAAAAAAAAACGTTTTTTTCAAACAGAAAATATTTTTTTCTCAAAACCAACTTGTTTTTCTCTCCAATAATTCTCGTTTTACAAATATCGGAATACAATTTTTCTTCACAAGTCATCGTTTTTTTTCCACTTCCAACTTTTCTAACCATTTGAATTGTTTCAATCAAAACTCCTTTATTTGAATAAAATATACGACTACAGTAATCCTCCAATCCTTTATCATCTTCATTATTCAAATCAATCGATGATCTACTTGTTCCAATATTTTCAGCCGCCTCAATCATCTCCTCATATAACATTTTTCGATCTTCAATTGTTAATTTCTTGGTTGTCAAAATGATTCGAGTCAAGAATTGGATTGTTTTCGCTTCGGCAACACCAGTAACTTGTTGTTCAGTGAGAATATGAAGTGGAGATGGGAGGTTAATAGATTCCGGGCGAGAAACTCGCTTTCGATCTTGAAGTTTTGAAATTTGACGAGCAGTTGGGAATGCCAAGTGTCTGTTTTCTTTGGACTCAGCAGGTTTATCTTCAATTTCTTGTGGGCGAGATCTTCTAGAACGAGATCTAGTTCTGGATCTGGATCTGGATCTGCTTCTCGATTCACTTCTCGGTGGTCTTCCTGAAGAACCTGACCTACTTCTTGATGCATGATTTATCATAGCACGTCTACGTAAATCATCGGATCTTCTACTAGTTCGACGACTTGAACGAGGTACTGGTTCTTCTTCCGGCATTGGAGCATCTTCAGAATCTTCCGAAATAATAGTGATTTTTCTACTTCGATCATTCTGAACGTGTAGAATAAGTTCGGGACAAGTTTCATACATTGTATCATCATCCTCAATTATAATAAGCTCTTCGTCGTCATCAATTTCAATTATTCGTTGATTACTCATTTCAAAAAATCGCAAAATAGTGTTCATTTTTAAGCGTTCGATTTTTGTTTTTTTGAAAAACAGATTTGTGTCAAACAGGTCACGCAATAATAGAACTCTTTATGTCCTTTTTTATTCCATTTTTATTTTTTTCAAAATAATTGCCTTTTATTATTTTTGCCCCCCGCGAACACAAATAATTTTTGTTTTATTAATTTTTGAAACAACAAAATTTTTCTGTTCAAAGTATGTTTTTCATCGAAATAAATAAATAAATGCCTCAACTTTGCATGTCAAACAATTTTTTTGTCTTTTCTGAAAAAAACTTCCAGTTTTTGTCTGTCTGTTGAATGTATAAAATAAAAATGATTCACAATTATTTTCATTTTGATAATAAAAATTTTTGTTTTGTGAAGTTTCAAAAATTTGGTTTTTCAGAATGTTTTGGAACAACTGGAAAACAGAGACCAAAAATACCTTGCGTGTTTCATTTTCATTTCTGTTGTTGTTTTTTGCTGTTTTGAGCACAGGTAAAAATTGGGATTTTTAGAATCACCTTTCATTCTGCAAAATCTTGATCTGATACCTACTGAACCTGATGATAGTCCAAATAAGACATCATACAAATAAAACCAGTTTCGATTTCCCGCTTTCACAAATTCATCAAAAATAATAAAATTTTCAGAAAGTATATTCCATCCACTTGTTGTGAGTTATGCAGATTTAGGAACTCATAACATCGAAAAAACAGATGCATTCACAAGTTTAGCAATTGTTTATTTTGTCAGTGTAATAAGTGCATTTTTCGTTTCCCCAATTGTTGATTTATTATCTCCAAAATGGGCAATGGTTATTGGAATGACAACGAATTTCTTATCTCAAGCTCAATTATTATATGTTAATAAATATCTCATGTATTTTACTATGTTGATTTTAGGAGTTGGAACTAATTGTGAGTTTTAAAAAAAGTATTTTTCTCTACAGTAACCCTACAAAATTTTTACAGTATGCTGGATTGGACAAGGGCAATATATAACAAATAATTGTACGGATAAAACTCGTGAGAAAAATACATCATTGCAATGGGGATTCTATAAAATCAGTTTGATTTTGGGTGGAATCACATTTTTCATTTATTTTTTGAACACCGAGGTTCAAAAAGAAGTTCAGAGTGGAAGAGTAAGCTGATTCTACATATTTTGATCATTCACCATGAATGAATTCTTTGCAGATCAATTATTTTGTTGGATTTATGATGACTCTCACATTTTTGGCAATTCTGAATACTGCATTCCTTCCAAAATCAACAAAAAATGTTATTGGACAAAATAAAAAATACAAAGAATTGCTGGCTGAAGTTTTTGGACAATTGAAAACAAAACGAACTCTTCTTCTCACAACAATTTATATGCTTTTAGGAGTTTCAAGAGCGTTTTGGGTTTGTAAGTCAAACTTTGTAGATCAGAACTATGTACAGTACTCTTTTCATGATTTCCAGCAATCTTCCCTGGAGTTGTGAAATATTCAAAATTAGTCGGTGGAAATACTTCACAAATGTTTGCTTTATCAATGATTGCAACTGGAGTTGGACAAGTTTTTGGAGCATTTTTGATAACTGGATTGGGTGTGAGAGCAAGAAAAATTGGCAGAAATAATATTGTTGTGTTTGCTATTTTAGCGCAGATTCTTGTTATGATTTTGATTATTTTGTCTTTTCCGGATAATTCAGTTAGAGGTGATTCGTTTGAAACTGGATTGTTGTTTTCACCAAAGTGAGTTCAAATGGAAGTGGGGCTTTCTCTAAACTTCATTTGGAAAATAGTTTTTCAAAAACATATTTCAGTATTGGCATCACATTATTCTGCTCAACATTGTTAGGATTTGCTGATGCAGTCCTTCATACTCAAGTTTACTCATATATTGCTGATTTTTATAGTGAAGAAAGTAGCTCCGCATTTTCAATTTTCAGATGTTTCTGCGTACGTTTTTGCAGTTTCAATTCCCCGAAAATATGAGACAAAATATTTTTAGGCCATAACCACTGTTGTTCTCTTCATTGTTGCAAAATATTTCAATTTATTGGTTATTTCTGGTCTCTATTTATTCATGACACTTCTAGCTATGATTTCAGTTTTCTTTATCAAACCAAATCCAGATTCCCCGCTATCATTACAAGCCTAATTCATTTATGCATTTTTTATTGCTCATTGTTTTTTATCAGTTTTGTAGACTATTTTTTAAACTATATAAAACTTTTCCGGTTGAAATGAGTCTTTTTTATTTCCGATCAAACAGTTCCACTTTTTATGGGTGTTTTTATCATCAATACTATGGTTATTAATGAAAAAAATAGTATAAAATAAGCAATTTCCTCATATTTGTGTTTTAAATTCAGTATGAAAGCAAGTGCTCTAGTAATCGCTTTTTTTATTTTTCGGAGGATCATCTGGGCCCTAGACTCGGAAAACACAGGAAGCTTCAAAATCAGAATCAACGAGAAAATGTTTCCGGTAACTGAAAAATTTATCCAGACTCAATTTGTAAGTTGAATTGAAACATTATTTTTTTATTTCAATTTTTTTCAGAACGAAGAAGTTCCTAAATTGAAAATTCCTGAAATCAACGAGAAAAAACATCATTTCAAACTCAAAACAAATACTATGGATGTGATTGGATATTATCCTCCGGAAATCGGTTATAAATATTTAGAATCTGGAACCACAGTCACATCAAATGGTGGAGAAATACGTTTTAAAGGAGGTTTCAAAGTGAAATTTTTGTTTTTCGTATTTCATGGTAGTTTAACTGTAGTAGTTGGAGATATGCGAATGAAAACTGTATTGTCGTCATTTATGTCAGATGGAAAGTATCAAATTCGTGTGAATTCTTGTGATATTGCAATAAATAAAATGGATATACAATCTTCAGGAGGATTATTTGCGAAAATTGTCAATATGTTTTTGTCATCAGTATCTAATAAAATCCGAAGAACAATCAATGAAAGAGCTTGTTCTAAAGTTCAGGAAAATATTAACAAACTCAATGATATTTTACGAAATTCCACAACTATTGATATTGGAAAACGATTTCAACTCAATTATGAATTGATTAAACAACCAGTTTATACAAGGTATGTTTCCTTTGAAACGTATAATGTCGTTTTCTTTTTAATTTCAGCAGCTCTGTTGAGTTCGAAATGATTCTAAAAATGATATTCGATCGGAAAGAATTTCTATTAATAAATCGAGAAGTTGACTTGTCAAATCAAACAAGTGATTCTTCAATGTTAGAAATTTCAAGTTCCAGTTTGTTTTTCAATGACTTGCTGGATCTTGCACATCAAAACAATATCTCCAAATTCGAAATAACTAAAGATAACGAGAAAATCGCATCATATCTTCAAACAACTTGCAAACCTCTTACAGTTTGTATTGGAGATTTCATTCCGAAACTAGGACAATTGTACCCGAATAGCTTTGTTGATGTATTGATTCATACAAAATCAAATCCATATTTAAAATTCACTGGAGAAGGAATCAAATTGAATATGGGTTTATTAGTGGATATATATATAAATTCAATAAATAATAATTCTGGCATTCTAGCCAGATTTTTAGTAACACCATCAGAAATCACACTGAATCCTGTCATATCGAAATCAAAATTATTTATTGATATTGAACAAGGTATAACCTACAAAATTGATAAAGTATTTTCAAAAATTGGAAGTATAACAGACCCGTAAGTCAAGAACTTCTAACATTCATAAGATCAGTGGATTTTTTCAGAGTTCTACAAACATTGTCAACGTTTCTTGACTACGCCACAAGATCTTTGATTGTTGGATATTTCGGAAAAGGATTTGAAATTCCCAAATGGCACAAATTGTCAATAGCAGATCCAAGCAAAATTCTAACATTTGAGGATAAAATATTTTTCGACACTGATATAAGGAACTTATGATAACTTTGGTTTAACATTCATGGTTTAAGTGTTATTTGTTTTATTTTCAATTTCTTGAACTAAATGAGAAAGAAAAAAATGAAAAAAATTTTATAAATTATTTGTTCAAGTTTCATTTTTGGCTGTTCATGAAAAATCTATTAATATTCTTGGTTGCTGACAGTGCACCTAAAAATGCCACATAATATGCCTGTGAGGTGTTTGTGAACTCACACTTTGTTTGTTTACATTACATATTTTTGAAGGAAATTTTGCAGTTATCACCTAGGTTATTTCATTATCATTCAAAACATTGAAATGAAGGCAATTTTTTGCATAATTTCTATTTTGATATTTTTGAAGTTTTTCTGGATTTATTCAAATGATCCAAAAACGAAAATATCTGAAGAACCTGGAACGGTTAAAATCAGAATAAATAAGAAAGTATTGCCAGTTGCTGAAATATTTATTCAAAAGCAAATCGTGGGTATTATTTGAAAAAAAAAAGAAAATCCAATTTTTTCCAGAACAATGAAGTTCCAAATTTCAAAATTCCTGAAATTCACGAGAAAAAGTGTAGATGGTATGGTTGTGTCAGATTTAATTCAAATGTTTGGGATGTTATTGAATATCATCCTCCTCAAATCAATCATACATATTCTACATTAGGATTTGCAATCACAACAAATGGTGGAATGATACGTTTCAAAAGTCATTATGTATTAAAATACTATATTCCAAAGTTCACAGGTTGGATAACTATAAAAGCTGAAGGAATAAATTTCAAAACGATATTATCGTTGTATATGGTAAAAGAGAAATATCAAATTCGTTTGACTTCTTGTGATGTTTCAATAAATGATTTGAAAATGAGGAATTCGGGCGGATCAATATCAGATATAATCAACCACTATCTGCCATCAGTTGCGAGAGACATTCAAAGAACAATCAGTGGAAGAGCGTGTTCGGAACTACAGAATAATATTAACAAAGTCAATAATATTCTACTAAATTCTTCAACTATTGATATTGGAAAAGGATACAAACTGAATTATGAATTGATCGAGCAACCTGTTTATTCGAGGTTATTTTTTAAACGTTTTTCTAATTTTGAATATCCTAATTTACAGAGATTATGTTGAATTTGTGATGAAACTGAAATTTTTGTATGAAGAAAAAAGAACTATTATCACCACAAATCTCGGCTTTAGCTACACATCAAAAAAATGGTTGGAAAATCTCAACCAATTCGCCAATGTTAGAAGTTTCGAGTTCTGTTGATGTTTTCAATAATTTTCTTGATATTGCTCATCATAATCTAATGGCCATTATAACCAAAGATAACCCGGAAATCGCATCGAATCTAAGAACTTCTTGCGAGTTTTTTTCAGCTTGTATTGGTGATTTGTTTCCAAAACTTGGAAAACTTTATCCTAATAATACTGTTGATATTTTGATACATACAAAATCAAAACCAAATATCACATTTGCAAATGATGGAATCAAACTTGATATCGATCTTTTTGCGGATATATTCATCAATCCATGGAAAAATAATACAAAAAGTTTAGCCCGATTGTCAATAAAACCATCAATAATTACCATAAATGCTATCATATCTAAATCAAAATTATTCATTGATGTTAAACAAGATATATCTTTTGAAATTGATGAAGTATTCTCGGAAATTGGAAGCATTTCATGGTTGTAAGTTTGAAAATTTTTTAAAATTGCTACGAAAAAGTTTATTTTATTACAGAGTTTCGTTCATATTTAAATTGGTTCTGAAAAGTGCAGTACAAAATTTTATTCGTGGTTATGCTGAACAGGGATTTGAAATTCCAAATTGGCAAAATTTGTCAATAGCAGAACCAAGCAAGATTCTAACATCTAATGATACAATATTTTTCGACACTGATTTAACGAACTTATAATCAAATTTTTCAACATTTTGATTCTGATTGAATTTTTCTTGTAAGAACTTGTATTGATAAATGTTTCTCATAGCAGGTTGTTGAAAACCACAAAACGTTTCAGATTGATTTTCGCTACAAAACACATCTTCCAAACTAAAAAAAAGAATTCTTAACACTATTTGGAACATTTTTTTCAGAAAAAAAATGAAAGTTTATGAATCATTATAAAAACTTTTCTACTTCTTTTTATGTTCTTTTTCAGTATTGTTTCTTTGAAAAAAGGTTCTATAAAACCAAAAAATCCGAAAAAAAATCATTTGAAAATGCAGACTGAAACTAAAAATACATTGCTGGTTTCAACATCTTTTTTTCTTTTATTCTATGCGGTTTTGAGTGTTGGTAAGAATTGGTTTTCGAATAAAAGTTGTGTATTTCTTAACTGCACCTTTAAGAATCAATTCTTCATCCAATGATCGAAAGTTATTCTCGAACTGGAAAATACAACATTGAATCGACTGATGCGTTTACTGGTCTTTCTATTGTTTTCACAGTCAGCGCTATAACTTCATTTATTGTCTCTCCATTAGTTGATATTCTTACTCCAAAATGGGCAATGGTTATTGGAATGTCAACTAATTGGTTGGCACAATTTCAAGTATTTTATCTCAATCGATATTTTATGTTCATTGTTATGACACTTTTAGGAATTGGAACTAATTGTAAGATAACTGATTACTAACAAAGTATTTCATCCGATTGTTAATTATTCTTACAGTATGTTGGATCGGACAGGGAAAATATATTACTAATAATTGCACTGATCGAAACATCACGAAAAATACATCACTTCAATGGGGATTCTATAAAATCAGTTTGATTTTGGCTGGAATTACTTCTCTCCTATATTTTTGGAATACAGATGTTGATAAAGAAGTTAAAAGTGGCAGAGTTAGTGGATTTATAAGTGCCTTAACACATTTCGATTTTCAGATCAATTACTATTTATATTTTATGCTGGGTGTTACAACACTTGCAATTGTCAACACTGCCTTTTTGCCAACTTCAAATATAGTTGAGAATAAGAAAAAGTATCGAGAGTTATTGAAAGAAATTGATAAGCAAATGAGAACAAGGAGAACTTTACTTTTATCAACGATTTATTTGTTGTTAGGAGTGTCTAGAGCTTTTTGGTCCGGTAAGTAATTTAAACTAGATCAAAACCTAGACTAATTCTTTATTCTATTACAGTCATTTTTCCATCAATCGTGAAATTTTCACGAAATATGGGTGGAAATACTTCAAGATATTTGGGAATGTCAGTAATTGCAACTGGAGTTGGACAAGTTTTCGGAGCATTTTTGATAACTTGGTTAGGTGTGAGAGCAAGAAAAATAGGTAGAAATAACATTGTGATTTCAACAATGTTGGCACAAATTATTGTTTTGGTTTTGATTTGTATCAGTTTTCCAAATGATGCTATAAAAAATCACTCGTTTGGAAATGGATTATTAATTACGCCAAAGTGAGTTTTCGAAATTGAAATTGAAAATTATTTTCAAATTTTCGTAATATCTCGGTCACGCGAGAAAAACAAAGCAGAAAATAGTATTGCAGCATTTATGTCACATTATTCTGTTCAACATTGCTAGGATTTGCTGATGCAGTTCTTAATACTCAAGTTTACTCGTATATTGCCGATTTTTACAAAGAGGAAAGCAGTTCAGCTTTTTCGATTTTCAGATATTTTTGTGTAAGTTCGCGTGAATTTACTCCTGAAGTTTTTAAAACAAGAGTTTTTAGGCTATCACAACAATGATCATTTTCATTGTTGCAAAATACTTCAACTTATATGTGATAGTTGGAATTTACGGAATAATGTCAATTATATCTATGGTTTCTGCACATTTTATCAAACCTGATGCTTCTCAATCTGTCGTACCAGCTTAAAAATAAATTGATTACTTTTACTTGAAGTTTTATTTTCCGAATGTAACTTATAAACAAGAAAAATGGCCGAAAAAATGAAATGAAAAACGAAAAATAAAGAAATGAAAGATGGCCGTGGGACTAGGAAACACAACAAACATGGCCTAGCTTTTCTCATGTGATCGATTTTTTCTTTGTTTTTTCCCTTTTTTGTTTCTGTTTCTTCTACTTTCGTCTTTTTCGTCTACTAGAAAAATGAAACGTTTTAATTTGTTATAAACAAATAGGGGTGTCAGATATTTTTTTTTAAATAATTTAAAAAAAAACGAGGAATTTTGAGGCATTTTCCTCTTTTCTCACAAGTTCTTGCTTGTGAGCAACTGAGTACTCAGCAGCCGCTGGCGTAGTCTAAAGCGTACAAACGAGCGTTTGTAGCGTCATACACCGCCTTAGCTACGCTCGCTTGTACGCTTTAGTCTACGCTGAGGTGTAAATCTTAGCTACGCTCGTTTTTTTTTTCAATTCAAAATTTTTTCTCATTTGCTTGCTCGATCGGAACTGAATTCTAGGTTTACTATCAATATTGCATGTTGAATGTGCCGATTTCTGAATTTTTTGAAGGAACTGCATAGAAACATGATTTATTGTATATTATAACAAAAAAAAACAGTAAAATAATTAAAAATAACACTGAAAAATCGAAGAATTATGGGATTTTCGGCGCTGCTTGACAATTTTGCAGGGTTTTTGAGACGATGAGCTGATTTTTAATGACGTTGAATGATGATGTTGAGTTCCACGTGAGAATTTCCAATCCTTGTAGAATATTGAGAATACCAGTGTTCGAACCTGAAAGAATAACTGACTTATTAGAAGTTTTTTGGAGTGGATATTTGGATTAAGATTGGCCAAATACTTTATGACTAGGATATTGTGGGTTCTCAGACAAGATGGGCGATTAATCGCTTAGTAAATTTTCAGCTCACTTTAAGGTGAGCTGAAGGATAAATCACCTATCACATTTTTATAAACTAAATTAATTCAGGCGATTGATCGCTCAGCTAGCAGCTAATTCAAGTTAATACGCGACTCTTTCATATTTTGGGATTTTTCGATTAGTGAACGATTTTTCTCACCTTTTTCCTAATCCAACTTGCTTCATCTCCCAATATCAATATTGTAGTAACAAGAATGTCGAATTTGAAATTGATTTCGACTGAACTCCGGGTTTTGAATCAAAAACGAATCCGCCGGAAGGCGACTGACTTCCAAAACCATTATTCGCGTTAAATCAATTGAACTTTAAAGCCCGCGTGTACTCAGTCAGTAGTTCTTCTAACTCCCAATAACGTGGATTTGTTTCAGCTCTGAAAACATATTGACTTTTCTGAATACTAATAGAATGCGTATTTATAGAACTCACTGAAATCTGCAGAACATGAAATGGAGATTGACATCGCCCAAAACCACGAATCTAGACTGAAAAATAGAAAAATTTAATAGAGAACGATTTGAATCAAAAATAATAAGCATAATAGAGTTAAATTTATAGGTAAAGTCTCAAATGTCCTACTTTTGATCTGTTGAAATAATTTCTCACTGAAAATCTTCAAATGAGAGCCAGTTTTCTAGTGAAAACCTCGTTTAATGAGTTGATTGAAGTAGAAAAGTCTTTATAATCAGGAAAACACAACTGAAAAGTATAACTCCATGCTTTAAACATTTTAACACGCCCAAAAAAAGAAAAATTTTAGGCCTAGAGGAAAACAAAAAGAAAAAGTGAAAAACTTGTACGCAACGCACAGGAATTGCAACGCGGCTGAGTGTAGCTACGCTCAGTCTACACCCGCGAGATTACAACGAGCGTAGCTAAGCCGTAGCTAAATTTCATCTAAATAACCCTTTCTTGTACGCTTAGACTAGGCCAGCGGATGCTGAGTACTGCAGATCTCGTCTCTTATTAATAATATATATCACAAACATACCCCAAACTTACCTGTGATATAATTTAACACAAATCACTGTGTTTTCTCTCCCAAAACCAAACCCCAAAACCCAATTAAACTGACCTGACATGAGTTGCAGTTGTATGTAGAACCAAATCTCCTCAAATTCATTTTGTTTCGTTTTTCTCTCGCGATCTGGAATTTCTCTGGATCATAGAAAGCAAAATACATTTAAGATAGGCCAAATACAAAATAAAATAAAATATTTCGAGAAATGAGCGTCCACCATGAGAAAATATTTTTATTCTAAAATAAAAACGTGAACACTTTTTTTCGACAAAACAAAAAATACATTTCAAAATTGGGGTAAATCGCAGAACAGGCCCCCACCCCAATTCAGGTCCCCACGTCCCAGGAGAAGCCCCCACTTTGGACCCACCCAGAGAAAAAATAATATATTGGGGGCTTCATCTTGGGTGGGGGTCTATTATTCAGTGGGGGCTCAACTAACTGTGGGGGCCTCATCTAAGATAATTTTAATGAGTGAGGGGGCCTCATCTACGGTCTCAGGTCAAATCTTAGATCAGCACCCCACCCATATAATTTAATGCCCCCAATTCGGAACTATGTTTCAGGCCCCCAAAATCGTCTTAGTTTGGCCCCCACATTAAAAATTTGTCTTATATTAGGTCCCCACATTTAAAAAAAAGCTTTAAAAAATTAGAATGATTTTTTCGCCAATTTTTCTGAACAATAATTTGCTATTTGCAATTCTTTCAATTTTCGCGGGTAGATCAAAAAAACATTTTTTTGTTATTTTCTCCATAATTTTTTTTTTTGAAAAACCTGCGCTTGGCACATAATGTCAGCCCAATGAAAATTGGCAATCGGTGAGAGTGAAGAAGACTTAGAAAAAAATAGATCAAAGGTACATTAAAAATTTGTGGGTCTGAAAACCCATAATTTTTGAAACTGTGGTTGCTAAACATATTTTGTTTCGAAAAAAAATCGAGGATGACTTTTAGTCGCTTAGCACAGTGAAAATTCAAAAATGAATTCTCAAAAGTCAAGCTGAAATCTATTTCTAGATTTAACAAATCCTAGACCCACAGCTGTAGATCACGCGGGATTTAAATTATCTTTTCGTCTCTTTCACTCTCACCAATTGCTTTTTGACATGTTGTGTTGGGGGCCTGTAACATAGTTCCGAGTCGGGGGCATAAAATGATATGGGTGGGGGCCTGTTCTGCGTTATAGCCTCAAAATTGTTTTTATTGAAATGTGGGCTGCCAATCGATATAGAAGAACAACGAAAAATTGTTGAAATCCCGCGTGATCTACACTATGTATATTTTTTTGCGGGTCTAGGATTTATGAATTTAAATTAAAAACCAGGTTTCAGCTAAAGTGAAGCTTGTGAGATTCTCAGGGTTCCCAGAATAATAATAATAATCCCGTTACACTTTTCGGGGTTTTCGCGTAGTGTTTGTTGTTTGCGGATTTTTTCGAGGCGTATTTTTTCTTTGAAGGTTGGGATTTCTGACAATTTAAGCTCGAGTATTTTGCAGATAAACAATGTATCGAGGAGGATATAACGGTGCACCGGAGAGTTATCGAAATATTCCGCCGACAGGCGCGCCTATTCTATCGTAAGTCTTATATAGTTACTTTTTCAAAAAGAAAAACGACATTTATTTGTAGACCTCGCGGTAACCGGCCAGTTGCTGAGATTCCAATTCAACATTTCAATAATCAACCGCCACACCCACATATGTATTATCCAGCTCAAACTCCACAAATGCCAATTCAACCACCACAATATCAACAAATCCCCCAATTACCCCGTCCAGGTCTTCTTTCTCCTCCTCAACTCATTTCGAATGATAAACTTTCATTGTCACGAAGACGTGGATTCGATCAAGCGCCAACTTATGAGAAATTTGGAGGAGATATGGATATATCGAGAAGTCGAAGTGGATCACCAAAACGAGCACATCGAGATAGATCTCCGTTGAAAAGTTTCGATGATGTCAGAGATGGAATTTTATGGCATGATGATAATTATTATAATGTAAGTTTTTTTCAATAATTTTGAGAGATCGAAAGAAATTAGATTTTTTTTAGTTTTTGGTGTACTGGGTTGAGAAATTCGATGGCGAAAGACGTGGACATCGCGATGATGAAACAAAAAAACTTGTCGATCTTATTACAAGTAAGTATTTTTGAGCTGCTTTTCAAAAGAATAATATAAATTCCAGAAGCCAGCCGAATTGAGAGGGAGAAAATTAATTTGCCACCTGAATATTCGAAATCAGATCGCGATCGACTTGTTCACTGTGATTTGACAATTTCAACCCTCCCATCATCGATTTTCTTTGGAAGTGGATATGGATCAAGAAGCAAATCAGCAAAAAATGCAGCAGCCAAGGATTTGATCGATAAATGTCATCGAATTGGAGTCATTTCATCAGAATTGCATACTGCAATCGGTGATCGTTATCAATTTGATACAGTGAGTCAAATAATATCTGCAAATTACAACAAATTAATGAATTATCATTTTCAGAAAAAGTACTCTAAAGAAATCAATAAATCCCTTGAATCAATAAAACTTCTTCGTCGAAAGATCTCAGCAGCGAAATTACCGCGAGATATTATTTCACAAAGACAAATTGATCCAGATATTATCAATAAATTCAAAGTGCTTTTGAGAGAGGTTAGTTTTGGGTTTTGTGTGAAAATGTCATTAAAAATCGTTATTTTTGGGGACTTTTTCTGATTTATGTGTGATTCTCTTTAGGTGATGATGGAAATTTACTATGTGGATTCTGCTAAGCCACCGGCAAAAGTTGAGGTTTGTGAAGTTGTTTTGGGTTGAAAGGGTTTATTCAATTTCTTCAATAAGTTAATTTACTCATGGAAAGTCTCATTGTATCTTACAAAAATAATACAGGTAAGTAAAGTAATCAAGAGATATTCAGAAAATGCCAGCAATTGTCAAAGTTGTCAAAAATGGTCCAGTTGTTCCATTATCTCCAGAAAAATTGATTGCAATGAAAGAAGAACAATTGAAAAAGAAATTGGAACTTGAATTGGAAGCAAAGCGAAAACAAATGGAAGAAGAGATTCGAGCACAGATTGTTGAAGAAGAAAGAGCTAAAATTCGAGAAGAAATTGAAAGAGAAAAACGATTTGAAATGCTGTTGATACAACAACAACAATATGAAAAAGAAAAAGAAATGAAAGAACGAGAAAAAGCATTATTAGAACAACAGAAAAAGGAATTGTATTTACAACAACAGAAAGATGTTGAAGATGAATTGAATCGAATGGTTGTTCAGTTAGAAAACAAACTTTTAGAATTCAAAGACAAAGGAATGACAAGTGTTTTGGAACTCATTTTCTCATCGAGCGCTTTTAAAACAATTGCATCAATGGCTGAAAGTTCGAATAAAATGACAAATGATGATAAAAAGCAATTAATTATTGATTTAAAAGCTCTTCTTGAATGTGCTGCATTATCAGTTAATTCTTTAAATGGAACTCATTCAAATACTTCGTCTTCATATCAATCATCTTCATCTTATGGAATGGGTGATAATAGTTCGAATTCAACATCAGCATATTCAAGTTATGCAAAACAAATTGAAGAACAAAATCGTGCTGGATTTCCATTGAAATCAGCAAGTGATTTGAGAACTTCGGGACAATCTTCGTCTAGACAAACTACTTCGATTTCGTCTTCTTCAAAACAATCTTCATCTTCAAGACCTTCTTCATCGGCTTCAAATAAAAGACAACCACAGCAAAAGGAAAGTATTACACAACAGGAACCGGTGAGTTTATATGAGAAACGAATAGACAAATATTGTGAGAGATTTTAAATGGCCCGGCAACTCAGAAATTAACATGGACTAAAATGAAAGATATTTATCTCTAGATTATCCGAATCCGAAAAAGGCTTTCTCGATTTTATCGAGCCCGAAGAAAAGCTTTTGAGAAATAGAGGGACTAGCAAATTTCCTCGAGTTCTGTAAAATCGAGGAATCCTTTTCGCAACTTTAAATATAGATTCGGACAATCGAGAGATGAATATCTTTCATTTTAGAACATATTTATTTCTGGGTTGCCGGGTCATTTATGATAACTATAGAATGTAATGTTCATTGACATCATGAGAATAAGGGTTGTTCAGATCATACGATTCGAGTCTAAGAGTCGGAAATTAATTGGATCAGAAAGCCTTATTTAAATACAAATTTTTTGTCTCTTCTGAAAAGTATATTTCCAAATAAACTCAGAGATGAAGAAGACCTCGGAGTCAAAAACTTTTCCAGAGTTTTTTTTGATATAGAACAAGGGAGATTGATTTTTTGGAGTTAGGAAACGTTGACCATCAAAATTCCAAATTTCACACTATACAAATGTTTCAAGCAAGAAATCAACATTTAACAACATATTTTTCTTTGCTAATTTCTACATTTTTGAAGATCAGCCCTGTTGAGAACATAGTTTGAATTCAAGATTCACTATCTTTCCCTTTCTCCATCATCAATTTCCAAAAATCTAGGTAAACCGTGTTCGAGTCGGTGGTGTCTCAATTCGTTCTTACAATTCGATTGAACAACGTCGTTTAACAACTGGAACCAAAGTGATTGCTCAAGATATGAAAAATGGAAATTGGCAAGTTGGAACAATTATGTCAATCAATAATAATAGAGCAACAATTGCTGTTGGAAGTTCAACTTGGAAAAAGGATTTATCTGATTTGTACACAGAAGATGATAATAAGTTTTGATTTTTTCAAAAATAAGTATCCCCTTCATTTTCATTTTTTCATCGACATTTTCATTATTTTATCCCCGTTTATTCCCATTTTCATGATTCTGAGTTGAATTGTATTTTTTGTATCGTTTTATATGTTTTTTTGTGTACCGATGGATGAAATAAGTAATGGAAATGTTTTGGTAGAGTTTTCATTGATCTTGTTTGACTTCGGATCGATGGAATTCTCAAAGGTAGGAAACGGTGAGAAAGAATTTTATAATATCTGATTTTTCCAGAATTTATTTGGATCTGGATGTTAGCGTGGATCGAAAGTTCGAGTTCGAATGTTCCGAAAGCTTCTCTAGTACGGGAAATCGAAACTGAAAAGCGGCATTCGAAGGGAGAAATTTACAAGATAATCAATTAAACGTATACTTGGGAGTTTATAAATTCCAAATTTGATTTTGTGATTCTCTAATATCGGATAGGTATAGTTTGAAGACACAAAGAATACTAGAAGTTATTGGATCATAGAATAATCTGAATGTCAAGATCAGTGATTATCTACTTTTTCTGGCGTATTTCAATGAATTCTCTCGATGTTTGTTATCTGGATTTTGCTTTCTGAGCCAATTTGAGGGATAGATAATACGATGAAATGACATCGACATCAACTATCAAATATTCATGCGAACCTCGGCCAACTTGTTTTGTGCCAGAGTAACATTTTGCAAGAAAAACCGAATTGTAAGTTTTGAAATTCAAGAGTTGCTTTTTTACAATCAGCCTCTCTAGGCGATGATCATTGAAAGTAAACTTTCTAGGCTTGTCTTCTTGACAACGACGATTTCTAGCGTCGGCTGCTTGGCATAGATGATCTCAGGGGGCGGGAAAATATGCCTTTCCCATTTTAAATTTTTGAATTAAAAAGATTTGCAAATTTCCAAAAATTATCAACAATACAAATTGGAAACGTTGACTTTTCCGTAATTTTTGAAATTAAGAATCCTTGATAATATATTTCAGATAAGTTATTCACCGTTACAGCTCATTCGTGAAATGTTTTAATCACCGAAGCTTTTTTTGAAGAAATACAACAATTTCAGTCCAGTTAAGATTTGTGAAACAAAAAAATGAAAGGATGGCGGGATTCTAAAAAGAGACATAGAAACTCGAGAGGCACAGAAAACAATCCAAAAGAAATCCAAATTCTAAATTTCGTAGATTTATATTTTGGATGTCTCTTGGGAAGTTTTCTGTTCTTATTGATTTGCCCTTACAAATGCCGTACGATTATAAAGAGCGAATAGTAATCAATAATTTCAAGAAAAATCTGGTAAGTTCCGATGGGCTAGGAAAATTGAAACAATTTCGAACAATCGAGTTTTTAGGAAAGCGGATGAGAACGATAATTTACAAGATGGATTAAACTCTGGAAAATTCGAATTATAATTGTGGCTGAGAAACATTGGAATATTTACCGGTAAACGGAATAGTGTGGAAAAAATCAAAACTTCGGAGAAATTGAGATTTTAACACAATTGGAAAAACATTGGAGAACAAACGAAAAGAAAACTGTTAATATCAGTTTTGACACTTTCGTGATCCATGTGGAACCAAAATGGCCTAGAAAACCAATAATTGTATCTTCACAATCAAAATCAATGAATTTTCCGTGAAGATTGAATTTAATTTTCTCTTCCGTGGCTCAAAAATATTCATATGAATAATTTGAATCACTTGAATGTTTCAATTGGAACTTTTAAAACAAAAAACACATCGATTTGGATCTTCAATTTTCTTCTTCGATCAGACGCTTCATACAGAATTCTGGATTTCCAGCGAAATACAAGGATTTTTCTTGGATAGCTCAACATCGATTGATTTTTTTTTAATCTACAGAGTCAAAATGAGGAATAATAGAAAATGTGTTCCTGGGGCCCCAAAAAATCATTATTTCCGAAATAAATTTCTGTTTTTTCAGAACTTCCCAATCATCATCAATAACTTCTTCATCGTCGATGCTGGATAGGATTTCAAATATCAAACATGGTTATAAATCTTCATTTGAAATTTTGAGCGATTGGAGGAATCTCGGATATGGCGACTCGAATTCATCGATCAACTTATGGAAACCGTAATGTTTTATTACAAAAAATAAAATAAACGTATATCTATTATACAGACAATAAAGATTCTTCAGAAAAAATTGAACAAAAAATTAAACAGACCAGATTTTGAGATTTGAATCTTGACCAGCAGAAGCGATTTGATTATCATCAATCCACACAATTTTATTGATTGATGACATTTTGTGGGCGGCTAAAACAATAAACAATGTTTTATTTTCAATTTTGTCAATGGAACTTGCCTTTTATCAAAATAGGTTCTTCATCGCCATATTTAACATTCCAAATAATAATCGAATTATCTAATCCGCCAGTCGCAATTCTCGAATTATTTGGAGACCACGAAACACAATTAACTTTCCCCAAATGATTTACTCGATTCAAAATAATATTGAAATTTTGAGCGATTGAATATACAATAACTCTTCTTTGATTATCAGTTACAGCTAAATAATTGCCATTTGGAGAAAAAGAAACATCCGTTATTTGAGATGAATTTGGTTGTTGCAAGATTTGAATGATTTCAAATTTTCTGTTATAAATTCGAACTTTTGAATCTTGCGCTCCGATTGCAATCAAATCGGATATTGGAGAAATCGAACAACAAGTCGAATGATAATCGATTGGTTTTGATTGACCTTTTAACATAACATGATTATAACAAGAAACTAATGTGAAACCATCATCTGAAGATATTTGAATATCTGTTGGTTGTGATGGAAGACAAAATGAATTTGTTATTCCATTCGAATTTGTCACATTCATCATATCATCCCAACCAACTGTAATTAATCCACCATTTTTTAATTGTTGAATTCCGACAATTTGTGATTTATGCGATTGGAAATCAAGCCGTGTAGATTTTCCAGTCAAAAAATCGAATTTACCTGAAATCATTTTATTTAAACAGAAAAACAAATAAGGAAAAGCTTACTTGTATTTCCCATACTATCTGATGTAAAAATGGAGCAACCATCTCTTCCCAAACTCATTGCAGTTATTGGTTTATTATGTCCTTGGCGGCTCTGAAATTATTTCAGTTACATGGGAATTTTCGAAGAAAAGGAAGGAAACCTCAAGAATTTTCCCAGAAACTGGATCAATTTTATTCAAAAATCCGGATAAGGAGACAGACATCAAATATTTTGAAGTCCACACAATTCCTAACTGTTGATCATCGATTGACGAACCAAAGTTGATAGTTCTGAAAAATATGACGATATTTTTCTTTGAAAAGTTATGACGAACTCGGAAGAGATACCTCAATAGTTTGAAATCTTTTCCACTCCATATTTTCACAGTTTTATCTCCACTTGCAGTTGCAATATTTTCACCATCAAAAGACCATGTTAAACCGAAAACACTTCCCAAATGCGCAACATTTTTCGAATCAATAAGTTCACCGATTACACTATCATTTTGACTCGAATAAATAAATACTTTTCCATCTGAACCAGCTGAAGCATAAAGAGTTCCAGAAGGATTAAAACGAGTGACAAGAACAAAACGAGTGTGATTGTTGAGGATCTGCAAAAAAATGGATAGTGAAATATTTAAGAGATAATGCTTACTGTTCTGAATTTGAACGGTGGTCCATCAAATATTGCAACAGTATTATCTTCAGAACCTGTTATCAATCGATATGGCCGAGTTGGTTTGAAATCAACTGAATTCACAGGTCTTGTTGGTCCAGATAAATTACCATTAGATGTTCCAGTATCAAATAAAAATACATGTCCAAATCTCTCTTTTCCTTCTCCAACAACAGCCAATCTTTTACTATCTTCACTCCATGAAATATCTCGAATACTCCCAGAAAACACTTGATAAGTTGCTTTTAAAATGTGTGTAGTTTGAGTTGTATCCCAGATTCGAACATTACCATTTTGATCTCCAGATACACAATAATAACCGGATGGACTGAATTTAGCAATTGTTGTTGGAACTGGATGTTCTGTGTAGATATCAGATACTGTGGAATTCTACAAAAAAAGTTATTTTGTTTTGAAAACATCATAAAATTCGGTTCACCTCAATATTAACTATATAAACTGAGTTTCCATTGCAATATACAACTGATTCGCCATTTGGAGTTGTTGTTAATTGTGTTGAAAATCCTCGAATTGTTTTTGGAAGTGAAGAAAATGTGGCAACAAGTGACATTTCTGAAATTAAAAAGATTGAAAGGTCAAATCAGAAAAAAATATTCGAAAAAATGTTGGCAACGTGAGACGTGTTCAGAAAAGCTCAGAAAAACTGAGAAGTGCTCTATTCTTTTGGATACTAAATATGGAAAATGGTGAGTTCGAAAAACTAGTCTCCTCTCTTCTCTCCCAACAAAGCTGCCTTTTTTCAGTTTATTCTGCACTTTTGGTGTCAGCCGGCAGTTTGGCGCTGACATTTACTTGTACAAGTGGACAAAGACAAGCAACAAGAGGGGAAAATAGAATGGATAAAAGTACAAAGTCGAAAAAGGGCAAAAAGATGGATTCATCGAAGAAGGGCGGCAAGAATAAATCGTTGAAATCGCAAAGATCTCAAAAATCTGGAAAGTCTGGCAAATCGAAGAAATCGAAATCGAGCAAGGAAAAGAGCAAACCGACTGTTCCGTCTTCTATGTTGATGGGTGGAAAAGGTACTAAATATACTTGGAAAATAAAAGCAAAAGAGTGGAGATAATGGATAAAAGAACAAAAATCAATGAAACTCTCATGCAAAAAAAACAGTGGATGTTTATTTTCCGCCCACTTGACTAGATAAATATTGAGAAAAAATCGTTTTTTTCAGGTGGAGCCGAAAAAAGCGGGTAAGTAGGAAGACTGGAATGACACTCGGTGCAACAAAAAACAAAAAAACTGAAATCCACACACGTATTTTTTTGGTCCTCGGTTCGCGGTTGGTATACTGTATTGACTTGTGCAAACACGGTGACGCACAAATGCACAAAAATCTCTCGCGTCTCTCCATTTTGCGCGCTATTTTTCGAAAATGGTCTCGCCACGAACCCCAAAACGCTAAAACGGCACCCGTTCGCTCCACCAAAGCTTATTTCCATGCAGTTTTTCACGGCGATAAAGATGGTGTACTCAGATTTTCATTTGGTGCAGCCGTTCTTGAGATTTTGGTGGAAAATTGAAGCATGTCCCTTTAAACAGCGAGCCGAGATTTTTTGTTCAGCAACAAACACGTATTTTTTTGGTCCTCGGTTCGCGGTTGGTATACTGTATTGACTTGTGCAAACACGGTGACGCACAAATGCACAAAAATCTCTCGCGTCTCTCCATTTTGCGCGCTATTTTTCGAAAATGGTCTCGCCACGAACCCCAAAACGCTAAAACGGCACCCGTTCGCTCCACCAAAGCTTATTTCCATGCAGTTTTTCACGGCGATAAAGATGGTGTACTCAGATTTTCATTTGGTGCAGCCGTTCTTGAGATTTTGGTGGAAAATTGAAGCATGTCCCTTTAAACAGCGAGCCGAGATTTTTTGTTCAGCAACAAAATACGTGCAAAATACGTGCACACGTGGCCGCGGAAGAAACGGATTTCTCTTCCATGGAAGATAAAACCAAACTGTAGTTCTCCCGAAGAATTTTTCAAAATTTTCAGAAAATTTTAGACGGTTTCTGGGTGCAATACATCTTTCTAGAATCTAGATCAATCATACATTTCAGTGTCCACAAAGACAGATCTGATAAGACCCAAAAATCTGCTTTGAAATCAAGCAAATCGAAAAGAAGCAAGTCCAAGAAGTCTCAAAAGTCCAAGAAGTCGCAAAAATCGAAGAAGTCTCAAAAATCGAAGAAATCACAAACATCCAAGAAGTCGCAAAAATCAAAGAAGTCGCAAAACTCGAAGAAATCGGAAAAATCTAAGAAATCGCAAAAATCCAAGAAGTCACAAAAATCCAAGAAGTCACAAAAATCCAAGAAGTCACAAAAGTCACAAAAATCAAAGTAACCCCAAAAGTTGCAAAACTATCTAGAGATACGGATTTCTCTCCCAAGAAAGTCCCAAATATCTCTTTAGAAAGCAGATGTTTTGATTCTTACTTGTTTTCATCTAAGCTTACTCAACCTAAACCTTTTCATCCTCTTTAATAATAGATTCTTTGACCGCAGAAATTTGAGATTTCTTCGATTTTTGCGATTTGATGAAGAGTTGGGACTTTTGGGATTTCTGCTCCTATTGCGACTTCTTGGACTTTTGAGACTGGTTCTTCTTTGATTTGCTGGAACCCAAGTTGGTTCTTATCAGATTTGTCTTTGTTGGCAATGGAATTTATGATTTTTCCCAAATACACACGCAGTTGCGGATGTAATCAAACCAGCAGATTTGAAATATCTGTTGGTTGCCGCTTCTGACTGGTTTCCACTCTATTCACAAATGTCTGTGTATTAAAGTTATCTCCTTTTTGTAGAACAACACATATCATTTATCTCCTCAAAAATCATAAATTTCAGAGCCAACAAATCTGAAAAGAACCAAAAATCTGCTTTGGGTTCCAGCAAATCGAAGAAGAACCAATCTCAAAAGTCGTCCAAGAATACCGAAAAGGAGCAAAAATCCCAAAAGTCGCAACTCTCCAACAAATCGCAAAAATCGAAGAAATCTCAAATTTCTGCGGTCAAAGTTCCGGAGAAGTCTGTTATTAAAGAGGACGAAAAGGTTTTGGTTGAGTAAGTTTGAATTAGTTATAAAGCACTGTATCTGAACTATATTTAGAACTCGCAAGGAGGATCCACCTCCAAGTGTTAAACCAGAACCACCAGTGGAGCAACCTATTGTTGAGCCACCAAAGCCTGATGATCCAACTTTTGAGAAGAGAAGCGTCAACTCGGTTTATGCGTAAGTTTTTGAAACTTTGAAAGTAACTTCTAATATAATTTTTGCAGTAATGGAGGCGAGAATAGATCGTGCTATGTCTTCAATAAGCCACCAGAGACTGGAACACCGAGCATAACTCAAAATCCAACTGTTGCCAATCCAGCTGGAGGATCGTCGCAAATGGCGGATGCACCAAAGGATCAACCACCAAACTTGTAAATCAGATCCTTTCCTCATACTCGGGAAAAAAATGAAGTTTTTTAGAATGTCGATGATTTCGAAGCCAACTGAAAATAAAGAACAAGGGTCAGCTAAAATTTTGTTTTAGAAAATGTTGAAAAATTGTTTTTAGGAAAGCTGATAGAGAAATATCAGGAAAAGCGATGTGAGTGAATTTTCTATGGCCAAAAATTTAGAGAGAAAAAGGAAACATTACAGATCGAAAATTCGAAGAAGTGTTAGAAGATTGGAGAACAGAGAACAGGAAAAATTGAAGGTAAGGGGGTGAAAATAATGGGAAAAAAGTAGTTTTTTAAAATTGATAAAAAAGTTTTACTGTTTCACCAATTTTTGGATAAATAAAAATAGTGGATTTTGAAAAATGGTATTAATTGTTAGCAACCCATAATTTTTCAGAAACCGAAAACTGGAAGCAAAGAAATAGTATGTGATTGCGACGGAAGCAAATGTCGAAAACGATGCAAAATGTTGAAGGAGTAGGTTTTTTGATGATGATACTTGGGATAAATGGTTTTTATTGGATTGGAATTTTTCATGGTTACTATAGGCTGTGATTTGTGAAGTGAAGTTCGAGCCATTTTTCATTCGAGAAAAAAAATTGCGCAGATTTTTAATCTGAATCCAAATCAACTTCTCTTTAGATGAATGTTCACAGATAAATTATGGACCGTACCTCGGTTTAAAACCCCGATTTCAATGTTCTAGCTACCTTTAAATCGGGACTTTATTTTCTCGAATCACCTTAAAATTTCCCAATTTTTTCAAAGTTGTGGTTTTTCTGAACACAGTCTCGAATTTTAATTTATCAGCCATAAATTTATTTCGATAGTTTTTTCGCTCTCTAAAAAAGTATAATAAAACTGTCAGAAGTTTTGTTATCAATTTCTCTTTTTTTTCTATTTCTCAAAAAAAAATCTTTCGATTATTCTTCCATGTAGACATTTTCAGAAACATCCCACCCTTTTTAATTGTAAGTACAAAATATTCGGCTAATCATACACATCATGTCAGCCCAATGAAAATTGGCAATCGATGAGAGTGAAGAAGACTTAGAGAAAAATAGATCAAAGGTACATTAAAAATTTGTGGGTCTGAAAATCCATAATTTTTGAAATTGCGGTTGCTAACCATATTTTGTTTCAAAAAAAATTGAGGATGACTTTTAGTCGCTTGGCACACTGAAAGTTCAAAAATGAATTCTCAAAAATTAAGCTGAAGCCTATTTCTAATTTTCACAAATCCTAGACCCGCAAATGTAAATCGCTGTAGATCACGCGCGATTTCAATATCTTTTCGTCTCTTTCACTCTCACCGATTGCTGTTTGACATGTTGTGCATATTGGGTTTTTGCATTATTTGATTAGTGTCTGTTATCAGTTGTAATTCTAATTCTGCTCTTCTTTTTTCTGCCTTTTTACTTTTAGTCGCTAACAATCATACTAATTATATATACAAAACAAATAAATATGCAACATGTTTGGAATTGATAATTTTAGGGTCATGGGAAGAAGAAGAAAAGATAGATAGGAGAAATATAATTGGATTTTTGAGCTACAGTATTTTTACATCCCAAAGTTTTTACTTGATCTCTAGAAATCATATTGGAGCCTTATTGGATTTGATGTTTGAAAAATATGATATTTAATTCTAAAAAAATAATAACGACTGAATTTCAATTGAAAACAGTACTTCGGAAAAATACGTTTCGATAATTTAAAAAATTTTAAGATCTATTAGAAACTGGAGTGAAGAAATATTTATTCTCCAGTGAATTTTAAAAACTTGAATTTTACAATGTGAACGAAGCGGCTGAAAAATTGACTTACCATAAAAGTTATGTGACTAGAATGTGTCAAGTTAAGTTTACAGAGCTCGGAAGATCAAATACGGTGTTGAGCCGAAACAGGTCTGTAACTTCTCTTGTGAAACGAGAGTTATGGACTCGGTTAGGATTTGTAGAATTTTTTAGAATTTGAGATCTCTGAAACTCCAAGAATTTGTTGGACCAGAAATTTGATCAAACCATAGAAATTCAATTCATTTCTGATTGTAACTAATTATTTAGGCTCTAAATCGAATGGGATTTTCCGATTCTTCTCAAACATGTAAACTTTTTGAATAAAAATTCCTCTCTCTCTCTCTTTTTTTATATTTCCATTTTTCATTAAATTCCACCAAAAGCTCATATTTATTCGATTCACATAAAAATCCAATATCCCAACATTTTCCAATCAATTTTCCCCCGAAAAAAGTAGAAAACTCATTATGAACTAGAAAATGTGCATAATATCACCATGTTTCTTCAAAAATATAGGATTTTATGACATGTTCTAGCTCAAAATGATGTATTCTTTGTATGTGTTCAAATAAAATAGAGTAGAATAGTAGTAGCGAATAGTTTTTGGGAGAAAAAAGTGCGGAATAATGATAATAAAATGTAATGTAATGTACAATAAAATGATAATAGTTTGGACATTTTATAGTGGTATGTTACAAGGGGTTGGGCTCCATAATTCTTATCTTCAAATGATTGTTGAGAGAGTTTGGAGAATTGAGAGACGTAGACGATTATGATTATTTATCAATCAATGATTGATAAAGAGCAATGTACTTTCTTTTGTTTAAAAAGAACATTTATTTCTGTGACGTGGATTTAGATAAAACACTGCAAAAATGGATAAAGTAATTGAGAAGGAATTTGGGAAAGTTGACAGAAATTCTAAGAGAGTGGTTTTTCTAAAAACGAACTCATCCTCAATTCATTCTTCAAACTTCAATGCTCAAAAATTGGGGCTAAAAATTTGAAAACCTTAGTCAGCCTACAGGACCCAATGAATTCAAAACTCGCCACATTTTAGGAACAAAATACGCATTTCGCCAAATAGATACATACATACGAATGTTTTTCTTTTTGGAATAATACAATAGAGTAGCTTTTGGTTTGTCTGCGTCTCTTTTGAGTTTACAAAATAAAGAATTTTCACAAGGTCGATGTGGGAACAAAAAAGACAAAAACAAAAAGGAGTGAAAAATATTTCTAAAAAAAATTGAGGCGCGTGAAACGTGGCCTATTTTCTGGAAGGAACTGGAAAAAAAAAGAAAAAGACCGCCATTTTTGGGATTCGAAAAAATGACTAACAACGGAATTAGCAGAGTAAGTTCGGAGAAAAAAAATGAACTTGGACTAAGTCTAGATTCTCAAAACTGTAATCAAAACACTCTCAAATACATTTTGTTTCAGAACAATAATGCAGAACTCGACCAAGGTTTTCATCTTCCAAGTACTCAGGAAATGTCTCTAATTCGAAATCAGACTAGATTATCTCGACCAGAATTCATAAATCTTACTTCTCCACTTCATATCATTACTGAACAACAAGTTACTGGAGTCGCAGAAGCAAAAACAGTTCAATTTTTGACTCGAATTGTTCTGACTTCGAGAAAATTGGCGTTGGAAGATCGACAATCTTTGTATGGAAATATGATTGAAGCGGGTGGAAATATTGGAACAAGTAGATCATCGATTGATTTGAATAATGAAGATGAAGAAGCAAATCGAGGATTGGAAGATTATTCGTGTAAATTGTTTTATTCAGATAAGGGAATTCTTATTGAAACAATTCAAGTTGTTAGAAAAATTGGGAGTGGAAAAACATCGACGACGAGTGAAGAAAAAACACATCCGAATATTTGTAAAACGAAAATTGTTGGAGATAAAGAAGAGTGAGTTTCTAGAGAAACATCCAAATTTTTTCGAACAAAATGTTTTTTTTCAGAATCTCTGAAGGTTCCTTGAACATCAAATGCAAAGAAACCATCAACGCAAAAAATCAAACATATTCTCGTTCGGAAAAGTTTTTCATCGGATTACGAACCAGTGAAGCTGATGGAACATTTCAAATCAACTCGCAAAAATCAACATTCAATCCGACTGAAACTATCAAATTCGAGGAAAATGTCTGGTTCGATTCCAAAAATTTTGGGTAAGCCGAGCTGAATTCTCATAAAGGTTGTTGATGTTTCATTTCGAAATTCCAGAATTCTTGTTGAACACAATGCAACATCGGATATGAGTCAATACTGGAATCACGAACACGGAACTTACGGTGAACAAAAATGCGAATATCACCCAATTTGTCCAAAAATGGCCGACTCAACACCATCTTCTAGCGCTTCAACATCTTCAAATTGTAGCCACCACAATTCCAACAATATCTCACTTTCTCTTTCGGTTTCTTGTTGTTCACTTCGTCCATGTCCCGCAAAAGCAAAATTGACTCCGAAAAATGTGAAAACACCACAGAAATTGGATGAGGACAATCAAATGTCGCCAGCAACGAGTTTGAAAAATTTGGCAAGAAGAATGACACCAAGGAAAAATGTTGAAGAATTGGCAAAAAATGTGGAACATGGATCAAGTAGATCGGAATATAGTTCAGCAAGAAGTTCGACATCTGAGCAACCAGGGCCATCTAATAGAAGCTTGAGAAAGAGATCATCGATGAAGAAAAAACAAACGCCAAAATATGAGGAGACACCAAAATCGAGAAGATCTGGAGCGAGTTCAGGATCTGAATCGGATGGTGCACCAAGAGCTGCGCCAAGAGCACTTTTTGGAGCACAAAATTCTGTGGCATCAGTTCCGAAAGGTATGTGAGACTAGACTCTCTAGACTCTGAGATTTTTTTGCAGAATCCACCAAAAAGTTGAAACGTAAACATCCAACACCGAGAAAAGAATCACCGATGTCCGATTCTTCTGCAAATTCTTCAGCTCCACCAAGTTGGTTCTCTCCACATTTTCCTTTTTATCTCAACAAAAAAAAAAACAAATTTCCAGCCTCGACCAAAATTCTTCGCCGCAAAAAACCTCGTCAAACTACGACACCATCATCTGGCAGCAGTTCAGCAAGTTCGCCAGGTGTTGAAGCCGGTTGGTTTTTTCCCCCATGAAATCTCTCTCCCTTTTCAAAAATATTTTTGCAGATTCGAGTGCAAAACGAACACTTTCGAGACTTCGTGCTAGAATGGTTGGACCAACACCGATCAAATTTGAGGAATTGAAGGTTGATGATGTGTCTTCAAGAAGTTCGGCTAACTCTCAAGCGAGTTGTGAGTTTTGGGAAACAGTATAGGGTTACTGTAGATTATTTCAAAAAAATTTGGAATTTCGTTAAATTTGAGTCAAGCCTGCAAACCAGTTTAAGAATTTTTTTTGAAAATTTTAGGAACATTTTCTGAATCGCATTTTTCAGCTACCAAGAAAAAAGTTTTGAAGCGAAAAACTTCCACCAATGCTCAATCATCTTCAGCATCAAGTTCTGCAGCATCATCTTCAGCAGCATCATCTTCAGCAGCAGCCAGTTCTTCTGCAAGTTCAGCCCCAAGATCTTCAGAACCCAAAAAGACTAGATCTAAGATGTTGACTGATAGATCGGTTTCGAAAAGTTTTGAGAGAAATGGAACACCGATGTCTCCAAAATGTAAGTTTTTTTTGTGGAAAATATGGCATCTCAATTTGTTTTCTTAATTTCAGATTCAAGACAAACAACATCGGAAAAGAAAACGCCGAAGAAAACTCTTTCAGTTCTTCGTGCTCAAATGGGAAATCAAAACAGTTTGCAGAATACGCCGAAAACTGAACAAGTTACCAATTTGCAAAGTTCGGCTGATTCGGGAAGGTTTGTTGAATTGGGTGTCTAGAAGGATTTTTGATATTTTGTGTTTCAAAAAATTTACTGTTTCAAAATATTCATAACTTTTTAGTTTCGTAATAATGAAATTGTAGAATACATAATAGAATTTTCTCAAAAAATGTTTCCAGAGTTGAAAAAATCGACGGAAGTCAACCAATTGTTTTATTCGATGATCAACATCGACCAGGAATGAAAAAACATTTTGAAGAAATTGTTGAACTTGGATTATTAGTCAATGGAACAAAAATGGAATGTTCATATCGTCTTGTATTTGTATCATATAACAAACCAAATACTGAATTGGTTAGTGTGACATTCAAGGGAAAACAAGTCTCAAGACAAAAGAAATAGTTTACTCGAAATATTGATGAAATGAAATGCTTATTTGATTCTTTTGTTTCTTAACTCAACGATCACTTTGAACCTCTTTTTCCGTTTTTTGTGGCACAATTTTTAACTCAATTTTATAACCAGGAGACATACAGTCTGGTAAGTTCATAAATATCACATAATACATGATTTTTGTGAAAATGCTTTTGAAAATTATCTGAAAATGTCAATGTTGATTGTGTGAAGTTGCCATAGTGATTTTATGAAAAAAATTTCCGCAATGAATATTGTGTGTAGTTTGATTTAGATATTTAGATCAGCTGAAAATAATTCTCGCTCTCTAAAAAAAACAAATTATTTTTCAGCAATGAAAATTTGTGTATAGTTTGATATAATACAAGAAGCTGAAAATATGGCATTTTCTGTAGATAGATTCAGTAGAATTCACTCAAAACTTTATTCACAATCAGATTAAAAATTTTTTCAAAAACTACTTTCAACATTAATAATTTCTTTTCTTCCTTTTGGAATCGGATATTTGTAATTGAAATACAAATAACAAGCGTCGCAGAAGAAGGTGTGTGTGAAAATATCCAAGAGAATTAGATAATTCAGAACCTGTAAAACATTCATTTACAATTTTTCTGAAAACTATTCGAATCTATGACTCACTTCTTCAACTCTGAAAAACCAAATAAGAATCGGGAAACGGATCTGAAAAAAATATTTTTGAAGGCTTTGTTTTCAAAATTCATTACCGCGCTGATAATTCCAAAACACATAGTATCAATCCATAAAAAATATTCAAATCCTGATTTTCTTTTCTGGAAAATTGAGAGTAAGAATGCGATGATGAAGAAAATACCGGATCTCTGAAAAAATCAGAAAAATATGAGACTAAAATATTTATGTAGAAGCAAACAAACCATAGCAAGATCCAAACCAATGAAAATTGGAACTTCTGAATAACTCAATTTTAAATATTTGATTATAAGAATTGAAATAGAAAGAAGTAAAGCTAGTGGATAAGATATTTTAAGAATGTTTTTCTTATTTGAATTATCTGAAATATAGTGTAAGAAAAGCATAAATGAATGACTTGAAACACAAAAATCGCTCAAAAAATATATGAAGTTATTGATATAATTTTCATATGGATCGATGATGTATAATCTGAAAAAAAACAAATTATCGATTACTGATATGAGCGGTAATCTTAAGATGTATCGATTCTTTGTTAGAGGTATCTAGAGACTCATTTAAAAATAAAACTTATTTACTTCAACTGATAAGCAACACAGAAAGCATCCACAAAACCCGCTAGAATTCTTAATAATGCAGCATTGCATAGTATTCCACCAACAACTGGATTCTAAAAAAAAACAATATTTTCCCTACTAATTTCGAACTCACCTCAATTTCCCGCTTATTTCTAAATTTACTAGTTTCATACGCTTTATTAGAAACAATAAGAAGTCCAAGCATATGATTAACAAGAATTACAGTATTAATTTCACGAGAAAACAAATTTGGTAAGTTCAAAAATATCACATCATCCATGATTGATATTTTTTGAATTTATTTTGGAAATTGAAATAATCTGAAAATATTAATGTTGATTGTGTGAAGTTGCTATAGTGATTTTTTGATAATTTTCAGCTATGAAAATTGTGTGTAGTTTGGTAACAGCTGAAGATAATGACATTTTCCGGCTGTCTCAAAAAATCAAACAACAATTCTTCAGAAAATGTAATGAAATACAAGATTTATTCAGCATTTTGAAATTGTCTCTGAATTTCTTGTCGAATTTCTTCCGAAATTCTTCGATTACTTCCTGGGCGAAGTTGAACATTCCACAAATTTGGTGGTGTTGTTGTTGAAACATCAGTTGATTTTTGAGGTTTTCTGGAAAAAGGGAAATTCGGACTCGGAAAAAAAAAAGAAGAGTAACTTACGGTGTATTTTCAACGACTATAACAGATTGGTCAATTTCTCCTCGAATCATTTTGGAGAAGATCGGAGTTTCATGCTCAAATTCAAAAGATGACTGGAAAAAGTTCAAGATGTTTGACATAAACAGAATTTTTAATTCAGAAAAATTTTGGAATCAGGAATTCCTATTCCAAACAATTTGAATTTTCCGCACACTCCTCGAATTTCGAAAAACAAAACTCACCGGTAATCTCGATTCTTGCACCGATAAAATCGAATCAAAATTGAAACTTGGTTGTCTGGAGCGGCGTTCACAATTACTACTAACATCCGCCAAAAATCCACGATCATTCTGCAAAAAAAAACTTTTTTCTCGGGATTCAATTAATTCTAAAAAAAACACAAACCACTGAATCATTCATTTCTCTTGTCTCATCGAAGAATGTCGATTCTTCTTGAGCCTGAAAAAAATACTGTGGGGTAAATAGGTTTTTTGAAGGGACTGTGGCTAGAACCCTTTTCCACTCACCTGTAATCTAGATTCGTTTTGTATCGTTAACAGCGAATCAATACCATCTTCACTGTCATCCGCCAAGAATCCACGATCATTCTGAAAAAATCAATCTTGAACTTCACGAAATCTTGGTGAAAAAAGTCCAACAAACCATCGAATCATCCATTTCTCTTGTTTCATCAATTACTGTTTCTTCTTGAAGCTAAAATTAAAAATAAAACGGAATGTAGAATTACTGTAGATTCTCACCATAATTGTAGCATTTGGAGATTGATGAACATCAGAAAATACATTTCGATTAACTTCAATTGGACTCATTTTAACAACTGTGAGAGGAGATTTTGAGGCTCTGGAAAAATATTGTTGGAATTGAAATATCCTATCAGTTTTCCAATATGAAAAGTTTCAGAAATCTGAATTTTTGAGAAATTCAAATTAAAAAAAATTTTCAGGGTTTTCTTGTTCTGTTTCAAGAATTCAATGAATTTTAGAACCTGGTGGGTTTTCTGATTTTCTCCAAATATTACCCACATTCTTTTCCCACATCTATGTACAGTAACTACTTACACATCTTCTCTCAATCCTTTCAACATAATCAAATATGCTTCGACATTCAAAATAGCAATATCCAAGCTTTGATTTCCTAACAATTCGGAAAACGAAGCGGCGCTATTTCCAATTGTTCGCAATATTTCAGTCACATGATTCGAGTATACCTGAAATTCAGGATTCAGGTCCTGAATTTGTATTCTTTTTTTTTGAAACATGCATAAATTGGATGTTTACCTCTTTCAATTTTTCATTGCTCATTGTTTTTTGTTTTTCGATAAAGAAGAAATGAGATTGATTTGTGAATTGGAAAAAAACGTGGAAAAATCACGTGAAAATGATTTTGTCTGGGTGATTTTCTGAAGTCAGAAAGTCCAAGCTTTCCGGTCTTCTCGAGATTGTTTTTAAAAAACCACAAAAACATTTCGAAACAAAAACTTTATTTAAATCACAGAAAATCATCGATAACTCTAACCCGAATCTGAAAAATTCCAATATTCTTAATTTTCTATTAAAAGTCACCAACCAAAAGAATTCGAACTATTTCTCGAAACTTCATCTCCTTTCTTCACAATGTTTCTTTGATTTTTTGTCGAATAATCATCACCAAAAAGTGAAGAACCATCAGAAGAACAAGACGAAGATGTTGATTTGGATTTTGTTGAAAATTGTTTGTTATCAGGTAATTTTTTAGGTGATGAAATAATTGATGAATATCCCCATCGATTTGAAAGTTCTTCGGCAATCTGAAAAATTTCAGATTTTAATTTTTAGAATAGAAAACAACTTACCGAACTTCTAGCACTACAAGTTGTACAATCATTCGGATCACAATAACACAAACAAACAGTTCCAATATGTCGAATTGGTCTTTTCACAAACGAGCATTTCGTTCTTCTCCAAACAATTTTCCTGTCACTTTTATCTGGTGACGATTCATCTTTTGTTATTACCGTAGTTTTTATCTCTTCTGATTTAGTGAACAAATTTGGTCCGAATTTTAATTTATGCATATTGCTTTGGTAAAAATATAAATACTGAAATGACTGATTGATTCGAAACGTCGGCGAAAAAATTCATTTCGGGGTCAACGTGCAAATAAATAAATTTTTGAATAAATAAATTATGGGAAAAAAATTAATCCTAAAGTGTTTTGGGGGGAGAGGAAATCACAGAAAATGAGTGAAGAAAGAGGGAAAGGCACAAATTTGTACATTTTAGTTAGATGAATTGATAATTATTCAACTGTTACTGATTTAGCCAAATTTCTCGGGCGATCAACATTGGCTCCATTCAATTCAGCAATGTGATATGATAATAATTGAAGTGGAATAACTGTCAAAATATTTTGAACACAATCAACTGTTTTTGGAACTCGCAAAACGTGTTTCATCGATGCCAAATCACCTTCTGGAACAGATGTATCGGCAATAATAATTGGTGAACCATCTCGAGCAACAACTTGTTGAAGAGCATTCAATGATTTCTTGTAAACATGATCGTTACAAATAACCATACAAATACTCAAGAATTCATCAACCATTGCCAATGGACCGTGCTTCAATTCTCCAGACATAATTCCTTCGCAATGCATATAAGACAATTCCTTGATTTTCAAGGCTCCTTCAAGGCAAGTGGCAAAATTGAAACCACGTCCCATGATAAGAAGTGATTTCTCTTTGTAAATGCGTTGAGCAATGTCATGAACTTGTGAGTCGAGTTGAAGAACTTCGCGAATTTGGTCTGCAAAAAAAATTATTAGTTTGTCAAAGCAACGCTGCCATATTTCTGTCAATAAAAACTCACTTGGAAGATCATTCAAAGCTTGAATAATTTCATCTCTTCTTTGTTGCATCGAAATTCGATCATCTGACAAAGTCAATGCAAACATCAAGAGTGAAAGAATTTGTGAAGTATAAGCTTTAGTTGAAGCAACTCCGATTTCCGGTCCAGCATTGATATGAATTCCACAATGAGATTCACGACAAATCGAAGATCCAACAGTATTTGTAACTCCAATAGTCAATGCACCACGTGGTTTACAATATCTCAAAGCCATCAAAGTGTCAGCAGTTTCTCCAGATTGTGAAATGAAAATACAAACATCATCACGGAAGATTGGAGTTTGACGATCAAGGAAATCCGACGCCAATTCAACAACAACTGGCAATTCTGAGAGTTCTTCAAGAATTTGACGACAAGCAATTGCTGAATGATACGAAGTTCCACAAGCAACCATAATAAGGCGACGACATCTTTTGATATCCGGCAAGTATTCTTTGATTCCTCCAAGAACAACTTGTCCAGATGGAAGAAGACGACCACGCATTGTATTGACAATTGAGTCAGGTTGTTCGAAGATTTCTTTTTGCATGTAAGTCTTGTATGATCCCTGAAAGAGAAAAATTATATAAGGAAAGGAATAGACCGTGATTACCTTCATGATTTCTTGCAATTCCATATCAATTGATTGCAATTCTCTTTTGTTCTCCATTATCAGCATGTCTCGAGATTCGATGAATTGTCAATCCACCATCTTCAACAAATGCAACATCATCATCTTCCAAGAATAATACTTGTTTGGTATGTTCAATAATGGCAGCAGCATCAGAAGCGACGAAATATTCGACTTCCCAATCTTCCGAATCGAATGGTCGAACAGCTGTAGTACTGTCAGTCACATCGATTTTTCCCGATCCAACTTGCGAGCGAACAGCTGAATAATTCAATTTGTTTTATTTTTAGAGAATAAAAGCTGTAGTTTTGTTAACGAAGAACTTAGATATTATGGTTTTGGTTATTAGATAAATGAGGAGCTGATAATATGAGAAAAGAAAGCATGCTCAAACTCTAAACCGTTCAAAGATTGAATATATGCCGATAGTCTTCGTTGTGAATCGTCTTGAACAACTGGGAGATTAACTACTTCTACTTTTTCTAAATACATTTCCAGGTGGAAGTGATAAAATTTGAAGAAAAAAAACGGAATCTTACCAATTGATAAATCGAGAATATTGTTAGGTGTTTCAACAAACGAACTCTCATCACGCACTGCAAAAAAACCATTGATTTGAAAAATAAAGAAAAAGAAAATATGAAACTTACAATGTGTAGCATGATTTGACATGAATCGACGTCCTGGAAAAAATTCAATTAGAGAGAAAAATTCAGAATTTGCTAAGGACAAGCAGACATGCGGTTAAAGTATTCAAGGATCCCCCCAGAAATAGGTTAAAGCAATTATTAAAAACACAGGTTAATTAATCAGTAGATTCCCCTTACCATCTGCCTGTTTTTCATCTCCCCAGGTCCAACCAGCGTCTAAATTGAGAATGAGAATTTCATAATATTTTTTTGGAACAAAATTCCAGATAAATTTGAGCTAAATAAACCAACAAACCTTTGGAGAAAGAAACCGGGAAGTGATTAGTTTGAAGGCGAGAATTGCTCTTGATTCCAACCAAAAGTGGAGAACCACGACGGGAAGCAACAAGTTGGCCAGGGAAGCGCGAAGATTTGAATGCCAAAGCAAATGCACCTTCCTAAAAAGAAATAAAGGTTGAGTTTGGATTTTGAAATTGAAAATCAAATTACCAATTGTTGGATGACAGTTTCGACGAGTTGTCTGAAGGAGAAATCCGGATATCTGTCATGGATGTGTTGAGTGAGTTTGGCAATAACCTCAGTGTCAGTTTCGGACTAAAAAAACAAAGATTTAGGGCATTTCGGGGAAAAGGCTAGGTAGAATGGTCAAGGTTTAGATTCTCTGGGATAATTTTCCTAAGATAATCCTATCAAAATTCATAGCTTACCTCAAAAACATGTCCCTTTTTCATCAAATATTCCTTGATTTCTCTGTAGTTAGTGATAATTCCATTGTGAACAACCAAAAACTCATTCTTTTCATTTGATCTGTGTGGATGAGAATTGACATCTTTTGGAGATCCATGAGTAGCCCAACGAGTATGTGCAATTCCACAATGAATATTGTATTCCATATCCATGTCCAAGTGATCCGAATTGGTTTTGATGTAATCGGCGAGCACCGAAACTTTTCCAGTTTTTCGAAGAAGTGAAACTTTTGAATGTGGACTTTCGATCTCGTTTGAACCATCGATTGCGATTCCTGAAAATTGAAACAAATTAAAATTGTTTTTTGAAATTCAAAATATTTAAAACTTACCAGCTGAATCGTAACCTCTGTACTCCATTCGTTGCAATCCTTGCACCAAAATATCAACAATCTCCGATCGTTTTTTTGGTGTCAAAAAGTTGAGATAGGCAAAGATTCCGCACATTTTTTTGTTAGTATTAGTGTTACCCTAAATATAAAAATAAAATAAATTGTGTGTGTGTGTGTATTGGAAAAGGAATGAGGTGATCAAGTCGAGAAAACAAACAAAAATGGGAGAAGAAGGAGGATATGAGGGAAAAAATAGATGCGAGAAAAAGATACCATTTAAGTAGATAAATGTGAGGAGAAAAATGAATGGACAAAAGAGGGCACGAACAACCACACACAAAAAATGAATGTTGGAACATTTTCGTGCACTTGAGACTTCGGAACAACACTGAAATAGAGCTGGTCTCTTTTTTTTTTCTTGTCATGAAAAAAATGACCCCGAGAGCAGCCAGCTGGCAAGTGCAAATGGCCGAAAACCCTCTAAACATCGGTCAACTTTTTTGCAGAACATTTTTCATCAAATAATTCATCATTTTTAACCTTGTCTACGCGGTTCTTATCGCCTCTTTTCTTTTTGTGATACCGATACCGCAAGTAAATTTCAAAAACCACCTACCTAATGAGAAAGAAAGAAGCGAAAAGGAAGAAGAAACATTGAGACAACGAGGCAAGGCTAAAAAGAGCCACGTCGACATAGGAAGAAAGAAAAAAGAAGAAATGAAAGGAAGAAGAGAAAAAGAAAGAGAACGAAGGAAGCACAAAGTGAAATGAAATGAATATTTGCATATTACATCAATTATTTAGAAACTATCAAAATAATTTGATTTGATGAAAAGGGGGAGGAAAAGAAGACATTTGTGTTGCTGAACTTTTTGTGGATGAATTACTCGTGTTTGATCAGCTGTTTGAACTGGAAGATTTAGAAACACAGGTCCTAAGAGTGATAGAACTAAAAATTCATTAGTGAAGATGAAATGGGCGTTATTCTATTGAATAGAATCCGGAAGAGGTTTAACAAAACGTCACACTAGATACTGATAACAATAAAATGAAAACATGACGTACTCATTCGCCCTATGAAAAATCAACAATCACGAAACCTTCTTGATAAGATATTATAACTATAACTACTTGACTGCTGTCAATCTTTGGAACTTCTCAAAATCACGTCCAACTATTCAATATCAACAATCTTTGATGTGTTTGAAATATAATTAATTAGTGAGTGATAACAGTTCAAGATCAAAAACAAATAGAAAATATCGCCTACGTATGAATTTAATCAGAACTCCCCTAAAAAGTGATGAAAAAGTGAGCTCTGATGGGAAATTTGAGGGTTTTATAGTCGAGCTAAAATCAAACTAGAAACTTTATTCGACAACAAAGTAGAAACAAAACACTCGCGGTGTCTGGTCAAAAAAGCAAACTAGAAAAACAATATGGAAAAAATTTGGGAGTGTTTCGTCTACCGTAGTCCATTTCAAGGCGCACTTTATTTATTTTCGGGTCTCGAAGATGTGTGCAAACACTTCCACGTAAATTTACACAATTTTGATAATTTTTATTTTTTTTTTCTTGGTTTTTTTGTTTCGCAGAGAAATTCTAGAAAATTCCGTGGAGAGTTTCATGGTAGGAACGATGAAAGTGCACAAAACCTTGAATCTATTAAACTAGAGAATAATAATTTTCGAAATTTAAATATTTACTCACAGAAAAATTAAAAATAACCGTAAAAATAGAAATAAAAAATCATTCGGTGTCCATGTTGAGATCGGCCAAAACTGTGAAAATTCCAGAAATCTGAAAAAAATAAAATTTATGAAAATTTGGGATTTTCAATTTAACTCACATTTTGATGATCAATCGCCAAATCACCATTATCAACATTGAAAGTTGAGAAGAATTGCAAAAATGTGAGCATATCATCGAGTTTTGAAGAAGCTTGGGCAAACAACAAAATGATCATTGGAATGAATCGATTGCGAATCTCAGATAATTCTTCGCGATGTTTTTTGTGTGGATCGTCGTTTTCACGTGGGGCCAAGAAATATTCGCCGCGGAATCCGATATTTGTCAAAAGACTTCGCAAAAGTGGTTGAGCATTCTGAAAATAAATTTTTTTGAGGAATATGTTTTTATTTCAAAAAATCAAAAATTACCTCAATATGTTGGAGTATCATCTCATTCCTAGCTCTTTGATCCTTCTGTTTTCTTTTCGCAGCTTCTTCTCTCAATGTCAATTCAGCTCTCGCTCGAACTCTCAAAGACGCTTCCCAATCCAATGAATCTTTTTCGTTTAACACTTTTTTGAATCCTCCAATCATGTTCAATTCTTCTTCGCGAATTGGTTCGTATTGCAAACCAATTTCTAATTTCAACGAAATTGTAACAATGAAGTTGTAGAGATCCTGAAAATCATTAGATTTGAAAGATTCCCAAAAGAAAAAACTTACCATAAAAGTGCAAAACGCCAAGAATTCATTCGAAGCATGTTCCAATTTCCGTTGAATACTTGTATTTTTATCAATATCATCGATCAATGAATTAATAATACTATCTTCTGATAAAACAACATTTGTCAAAACAGTTGGGATTTCGAATCGAATAGCTTCTCGAATAATATGTCGAACTGTTAACTCATTAAATGGTTCACTCAACAAACATTTTCGAATAATTCTGTTCATTTCTTCAACAGCTGCAAGAATTGTATCTTCTCCTCCAACAAGTAACCATTGCCAATGACCAATTTGTTCTTCCAATGGAATCATCTGAAAATTCAAATGGAATTGTAAGGAAAGGTCCAAAAATGGAGAAAAATAAATACCTTCTCATTCTCCCTAACTGTTTTAATCAAGGAACATGCATAATGTTGAAAATCGAGATCACATTGCTTCAAAGCTTCACTGAAAATCGTTCGCTCTTCTTCGCTATCAACCACTGAAATTTTTTAAAATTAGTTTTCTCCAAAAAAATTCAAGAAATGTTTTTACATTTCATAGTTTCAACAATTTGATGAGATTTTTCATTCTCATCCAAAAATCTTGAATAAAATGCAGCCATTCTTCGATGCGATGAAGTTCCCGATCTTCGTCGTAAATCATCGAATTGTGAAGCAATTACGGAGTCACCATTTGGCTGAAAAGGAACAATATAATGGTCCGAATTTTTTGGGAGAAAACTCACAGATTTTTCGAAGCCACTCAAATATGAGACAGCGACGAGATGGAAGAACAAATCGAGAGCAATCACATTGACCTGAAATCAAATTTATTATTTATTTCGAGTTTCAATTAATTATCTCGCTCACATTGCAATTGATATCTTGAGGGACATATCCTTTTGTTTGTTCTTTTGCCAAATGGAAAAATGCATCAACATCATCATTCAAAAGTGAATCGATAACATCGAATAAAACCAAAACATCTTTTCCATTTCCATTATTTTGCGCTTCCAATTCGCTGATAATTGATCGCAAAGTTAGCGGAACATTGAAAAGTTCACAAATTCTTTGTTCATCCAAAGCTCCTTCAGCACGAAGAATTCTTGCGAGAAAAGCCGAGTTGGCATAAGCCCAAACTTTTTCCGCTGGTGTTTTGGAAATTTTCAACATTGGTTTGAGATTTCCCCGTAAAGCATTCAACAAAATAATATGCGAATCATCCTCGTTTTTCTGAGATGAGCCAATCAATTTTTCAAGCATCTCGAAATATTTTGCACGTCTCAATCTTTTATGAACTGCTTGATTTTGAATTGTGGCTTCAAGTGGAACATCGCTCGGATTTCTGAGCATTGCGTGAAGTTGTAATTGGACTCCAATCGGAGCCATTCCAATTCTCAAAGCGATTTCAGATGCTTTTGCAGTTTCTCCACTTCTCAATAATTGAAGCATCACATTCATTGCATTTTGTTCAAGTTGAGCATCTTCATCAACTCCTTTTTGATCTGGATCGATTGAAGCATCTTTTGCCGAAACATGTGAAAAATTCGATCTTTTCAATGCCATTGTTGAATTTCTTCTCGAGTTTCTAACAACTTCCAAATTTTTAACTTTTGCAGTTAAACCTTGTTCATATTGTTGTTCACTTATAGCTTTCTCAGCCCACAATAACAAAGCCTGAAAAAAACATTTACAATCGTTAAAGGTTTTTATTCGAAAAATGGGATTTTGCATTTACTCACATAAATTCGTCGGAATTCAATATCTTCTGTGATCATTTGACTCAAAAGAGAAGTGTCCTGTGTTTCAGAATAATCATGTGGCAATGACGTGAAAATATTCATTATCGAGGCGATTTGAACAGCTTCATTTGCATATTTTTGTGAACTGATTGAATATTTCGCATCGGATGGCAATTTCCTAGTGTGATTTTCAGTTTCCACAAATATTTCATACAGTTTTCTCCACATTACTGGAGATATACTTGTGCCTTCGTTTATATCATATTCGCCAAATGCCAATGAACATAATTCCACATAAAGTTTTTCTGAGAGTGATGCATGATCTAAAAAATAGTTTAATAAAAAGGGAAAACTTCAAAATTAGTTCAGAACTCACAAACATTCATGTATTTGAAGGCTGTTTGATTTTTCCTATCATCCTCATTTTCAACTATCAAATGTGACCTATCCATGTTCTGAAATGAAATATTGATTGAGTAGAAACTGCGTAGCTGATTCGAAAAAGAATTTTGCCAAATGCTGTTGAATTTGGCTCGAAAAGCGAAAAAAAGCGAAACAAAAAAATAAAAATTCAAACACCAAAATTCTGCAAATGTTCGTCGCTGTGTTTGCCCATTTCTCTAACGCCTACTCAGTTCGTGCACTCTCTCGTTGTTTACCGTACTCCAATAATTTTTATTTTATTTTTTGGTTTTGATCGCCGCGGGAAAATCTGAATTTCCGAAGTCGACATGAGAAGAAAAATGCTGAAAAATCAGTTTTCATCGAAAATCGGAATCGAGCATGGCTTTGCGACAAGACTTGGGAGATTTGCTCACAACTTATTATGTTCCACAACATGGCGAAAACGAAGAAGTCGAAAAAGTGGAAGCATCCCGAGCTGGAGGAGATATCGATATGACTGATGGAAGAAATGACGAAGATGTTCGCTTGGTTGAAGATCGACCACTTCACGGAGTCACTGACACACCAAAATTGATCGCAAAACCAACGAGGGATAGAAAATTGCGTGATGAAGCGGCCAAAGTTCTTCTCAAGTTGAAAAACGAACCTGCTGAACAATTGAGACTTGAAAAATATGACTACTACAATTCAAGATGGTTCAACACAACTCAAGGTGAGTTATTTTGAAGAAAAAAATATATAATTTTCATCAAAACAAGTATTTTTACAGAATCTGAACTCGAACTCATCGAATACGTTCTTCTCAATCCAAACGCTCGTCCAAGTCATTTCGCAATTCAATCAAGACGCCTCAACATTTCTGACGTCGAGAATCTCATTCTAACTTCGCTTCTCGCTCCACCACAATCAAAAGGACAATCTCTTGCTCGTTTTGCAATCAAATGCACCGAAGAACTTGGTTTCAAAAAATTGTGGAAGATTGTGAACAAATTGAAGAAGGAAAATGATGGAATGAAGATTACCGACGGGAAAGTTGTTGCAACTTTGATTGAAGATGTTGGATTCAGACCGGTAAGAATTCTCCTAGTGAAATGTAGATTTATTGATTTTTTTTTTGCAGAAAGTAACCCATCGTTTGTCAACCGAAAGACTTGAAGAATATGCAGAATTGGAAGAAGGATTAGATGAACATGGTGAATTGATGTCATCTCGCGCATATTTGACATGTTCAATTCAAGGAAAACGACATGTTCAAACACAAATCACATATCTCAATAATGGATATACAAGAATGAATGGAACACAACGAACAAAATACATTGAATTGGAACAAACTGTGAAATGTATGAATCGACGCGTTTTGATTGCCGAAGATCGAAATGAAAGTGTTGAATTCGAGGTTGATGATGATATGACGTCACTTCGAGATGCTTCACCAATTGTTGAAGATTTGATTGATTATCTTCGAAGCGAGGAAATAATTGAAGAAGAAGGCGACGAAGAAGAATATTGAAAATATGTAAATAGTATAAATTGTCATGTAATACTGTGATACTGTGAGTATTTTTACTCTTTATAACCCCAGTATTCCAAAAAATACCTGTCAAATAATTTTGTTTAGTTTTTGCGTAAATATAATTTACTACTTTCTCTCATAAGTACTAACAATATTTATATTTTATGTTTTTATTTTAGAATATTTACACTTTTTATTGCACCATGAATTTATTATTCAATTTTTTCGAATGTTGAGTTGATTTAAATATTTCCAATAATTTAAACAATCCGAAGCAATTAGTCGCTGAAATTTTTCGAGTTATATTTTTTAGTTTGAAGAATCTGGCTTACTTGAGCTTGATAGTCATTTTTTTGTCTTTCAAACAAAGCCATCGAAATTCTCGCAACTGCAGTCATCGCCGAAAATGGATCATCACAATCACATTGCGCAACGATCAAATTATTATTTTGTGATTGAGATTCTTCGATTGAACCGCCCATTTGAACACCATCAATCAAAACATCAGCTGTGCTGAAATTATTTTTTCAGAAATAAAAATTCTAAATACAGACCTAATCGCTTTTTCAATCTCTCGAACATGATGAAAATTAAATTCGAATTCTTGAATTGTTGCTCCCTGATCTTCCAAAATCTTCGACACCAATTTGATGTTCTTTGAACCTTTTACAGCAACCACCTGGAAAGTTTTTTCTTAATTGAAAATTATTGTTATTTAGAAAATGCATACTTTTGTTCCTTCCAGATAATTTTCACCCAATTGTTCGCGTTGTTTGACATTTGAACCAACGTAAAGATTTCCAACGCTCTGAAAATTTTATTTTTGGATCCACCAAAACCTTTTTTTCAAAAACAAACCCGTCTGAAAATGCGCAAATAATTCATCGCTAATGTTTTTTTTTCGAAGCGAAGAAAATGAAAATGAAAATTTTTATTTTCTTCGCCTTATTCCCAGAAGAAAAAGAAAATCCAATTTCAATTTTCTTTTTTTCGAAACAAGAAAAAAGAAGAAGTCATTCTTGTTACTAATTATTTTTTCGCGTTTCGGGATTTCTCTTGCAAAATGAAAAAAGGAAACTCCTTCCCACGACTTCATTTCATTCGGCCTACAGTAACCCTCTCAAAATTGTTGTAACTACAGTAACTTCAAAAAACTGAACTTGGCTCAGAGGTCCATTGGGAGACTAAAATTTTTAGGGTGTTCTTTTGACGCCAAAAACTGTCAAAAGCTGAAAATATGCACAAAAATTTCATCATGATTTTAAGTGTTGAGTAAAAAAGGTTCCCTTGTTAGGATCAAAAACGGTATTTTGTATTTTCGAAATTAATTTTGACGATTTCTGCGAAAAAAACGTGAACCTTTTTTTTCATTTAGAAATTTTGAATAATTTCAAATTTTTCAACGTGACCTAATTTTTTTGCCGATTTTCTGCCAGTATAAAAGAGAAAAAAATCTTCAAACTGCCATTTTTACTAGAATTTCAAAATTTATTATGGCTCCAAAAAAAAACTACTAATTCCTCGAAATTAACCCGTTTGAAGGAGAAGGCCCAAGATGGAACTTTGAAGGCAAAAGTAAGTTCACAATGAAAATAGGAATACACGACCATCCATGGCGCCCGTGGGTTCAGGGAACACACAAAACTCGCCGAAAAAAAAATAAATTCAAACGGTCTAAAATTAGCGGGGAACCATTTCTGGTAAGTACACAAATATACGTCGACACACAAAATATATTTTCTGACTACAGTACTCCAATATAAAATATATTTGCATTATCCTTTGCTGTGTTTTTGGTCCAAACAATGGATATGGAACAATGCACAATTAAGGTGTAATTTGTTGAAGTTGGCAAACAAGAACCAACATTTGCATTCGGATGCATCGAAGTTTATCGTCGGAAAATATAACAAAGACCCAAAAGAAGTATCAAAAATATTCGAAGATATTGTAAGAAACATTCGTCCAAAAACAAAAAACTACAGATTCGATTGGAAACCATACATATCCGTGAGTGAAAACTTCAACAAAAAAAAACAACAACAACAGCAAAGTTTTTTTTTATAGAAACTACAAAAGATCCAAGAATTACCACTCTTAGCAGTTCTCCGAAAACAAAAAATGACAATTGAGAACAGGAATACCTTCATCCTCTATCGCCAACAAATCCAAGATGATTTGGAAGAGATGTGGATTGAGTGAGTTTTTTTCAACACTATTTTTACATAAAGGTTTTTTTGCAGAGAGCTGAACAAAACGTATTTGTACAATTTTGATTGTGCGAAACTCGAGAAACATAGGGAAGACTTTGTTGAGGAATACAGAAGAACCCACGTTTGATTGGTTTTGAAGTTTCTTCTTCTCGATTTTGCAATAAATATGATTTTTACTGTACTATTGTTTATAATTTTCATCTCGAAAAAATCTAGTTTTTTTTCTCGAAATTATGGCCTCAATTTTTCGCTAGTTAAAAAAATACGATTTTGGGGGAAAACTAAAGCGCTAGATGACGAAAGCGAGCTCTTCTCATTTGCTGCCAGGCCTGATCGGAATGGACCTTGTCGGAAGGTTCGGAATGAGCACACCTGTTCCGGGTGGTCAAATCGGAATTCGGAATTCCGGCTTTTCATTCAATTTTTCTTCCACAATTTTTTCAAAAGTGTTAGAGACCCGAATCTTTAATTGAAATCTGAACCCCTATGTTTTCCCTGAAAACACCGAAAAACAAAAAAATTCCCTGGAGAACTCACTTCTTTAAATTCAGTTGGATTCTATGGAGAAAAAACTTTATGTTCGAAAATCAAATTTTGATGTTTTTTATTAGTATTTTTCTGAAAATAAATTATTCTTCAACTGTTTATTGAGAAAATGCATTTTTTATTGATGAAAAAATAAACTATAAACATGCGAAAAAAGAAACACATTTTGTAATTGCGGACTTTTGCCACAACAGTGAATTCACGTGAAACGTGTCACTCATTTCGAGAAAAAAACCGTTTTCACCCATCCCAACCAATCACGTAATTAAACGTAGCTAAAAGGTACATGACACGCCTTTTTTTGCCAAGTCCGCAGTGAGAAAAGTGTACACGTTTCGTTTCATTTTTTCGCCTGTGTATATTTAGTTTTTTATCTGAATAAATGATCTCCTCCCTGAAGAAATTTAGTGATTTTTCAAGACATACCCGAGGAAATACTATTGGTTGATATGAGGAATGAGGAGCAAAATGAAGGTGGCAATGATCCAATTGCTGATGCGGATAATGGACAATTAGTGGATACTTATGATGAAAATGAGGATGGACCAGGCAAAAATTACGGTACCTCTTTGTGCTTATTTAAAAAAATTATTTATTTAAAAAAACTCAAAATTCCAATTTCTGGCGTCAGTTTTTTCGGCCCCAAAATTGGAATTCTCAATTTTTCCGAAAAAAAAGATGAATTCGAAAAACGTGAAAAATGTACTCGTGGAGAAATTTAAGTATGTCTGTAGTCATTCAAAAAAAAAATTTTTTCTAGATCTTACTGCCCAACGATGCCAGGAAACCGCGCGAATGGAATTGAAGAGCCTATAGCTCAATGGATTGGAGGCAGCGGTTCGACTGGAGAACTTAATGTTCAACCGAAAGTTGTGGAAGTAGCGGGAGAATTGATTGATTTAGATGCCACCGCAACTTCCCACTCTCAAAATCGAGATGGACCTCGTTCGTCAACCGAATATGTGAGTTTTTTTTAAAATTTCAAACAAAAAAATGTCATGTGAAAAAAATTTCGAGAAATGATCATTTTTCCAGGAAACGGCGGACGATCGTTCGTTCACTCAAAGAACCGGCTCATCTGAATACTTTGACGCCGAATCAACGATTCAACCCAACGAGGCTGAGGCTATGGAAATTTGGAATGGAGTTGGAATTGGCAGAGTCGGAACGGAGCCGACTGAGAATCAGGCTGAAATTGAGCCAGATATTTATGATTATATAGAAGTGGACGATGAGGATAGAACCATCGGGGGATCTAAGATTCGAGATTGTTCAACAATTTCTCAAGGTGAACCCGATGAAACGCCCATGGAAATTGATATAATCGGATCGAATTATGAAAATGATACAGTTGGAGCTGAAGTTGATATAGATTATACTCCTTCCGTTATTGCCTGTATACACGTCACTTGACCTACTTTTTTTATTTCTCACGTGTTTTTAAAGGGTTGGTGTTTTCCTGGTGAAAAAACCGTCTGCAAAAAGGCGTCACCGTGTTATTTTCAAAGTTGTGTGCAAACACACACACGAAAATTCAAAAACAAGTTGTGCGCTAGAGCGCATTTACATGTTTTATTTCGTAGGTTTTAACTCGCTTGTGTTTTTGAAGAAAAACATGGGTTGAATTGCTACTAGAATTTTTTCTAAAACTGGAACCTTTCAGGAGCACCTTATTCCTATCTAAACCAAGCAAGATTCCCTGGCGGAGCACCAACCCTTTAATTCAATAAATCCCGTTTTAATACAACTACAGTAATTTTATGGCTTCAAAATCTATTCTAACGTATTCTAGATATCTTTTGATTGTTTCCAAAAGTTGGAAACATCGGACAGGTTACTGTAGTCTTGGTTCAGAACCTGAAATCAATGATTGATTTCAATTTTTTAATGAAATTCGAAAATAATTAGAAAAGGCTATCTACATTAATCCACACAATTTTACGAAAAAATTTATGGAATATAAACACTATCTGCTTTATGCTTTGTTCCTTCTTTTTGTGCTTCCGGTTTTATTTCTCTCGTCTCGAGTTTTCCGAAAATCACCAAAAATATCGAGGTGAAAATCAATGTAATGAACCAAATCGGAACAAATCCAATCACAAAATATGTGAAGAAGTTTACAATTCCTGGAAAATATTTAGTTTCTGAAGAATTCTAGAGAAAAATGATAAAACTCACGATCATGGAAAACATAAAGCAAAATATAGGAAAACAGCATTGCAATACAAATAACGGTAAATACAATATATCCAATTGAATGATTTAATTGAATTACGATAAGTTGAACAAGCAAAAAAGCGAGAGCAACATAAATGAGACGAAGATATCGTTCATCAGAAGACAGTGCAAATCCAATAAAATTGGCAAAAAATAGAAAAATAGTTATGAATAATGAAGCACTGAATATTGAAATCGATGGAATAAAATGAAATACTTTTGTTGTATTATCCAAAAAATGGCACATTTTTCTTTGATAATAACCCGATTATAATAAATGAATACTTATGAATTTCAACTTATTGAAACATCTGCTATAAAAACTGAGATGGATTTTGAGATTCGCTGGTTTTTATGCTGGATTTTAATTGGGTTACGTGTGGAAAAAATTAGGGCACGTTTGAATTTATGATTTTTTTTTCAAACTCGAATTTGAAAATTGTGAAGATTTTATTCTGTACCTAAAATTCAAACTTTATGAAGTATACAACTCATAACTCTGTTAAAAATATTGTTTAACCTGGGGTTCAGATATATTCCGCATTTGTACAATTTTCAGGTTAAAATTCAAATCTAGAACCAGATTTCAGCTTTTCAAATATTTTCGGGCGTATCTACAAACCTTTAGAACTTTAATTTTTTTTAATGTCTGGAAATCATAAAATGTTCCCCATATTTTTTCGAAAAAAAACCAAACATAAATATTTTCGTTCAACGAAAAGAAAAAAATGAAATATATTTTCATAACAATATTCATGATTTTTGGTGAGTCTTCAACATTTTCTCAATAATTTACCAACATTTTCCCAAAAGTTCCCATCAATTCCTCGGTTCCTCCAAAAAACGCTGGTGAAATACTCGTTGACAAATATTTCAAATTGTTACACATAACAAAACCCGAAGAATGTGCTGGACTTATTGTAAATCCAACTACAGTTTGTGATAAAACACAAGCGAATTCAACTGAAGAATATTTGGATTATGAACATGTTTTTAGATTCATTCAAAATTTAAAAAGTGAGGATGAAGATAAGAAAGGCAGCTATCCAAAACCAAAGGTTTTGAGAGTTTGTCATGGGAAATTGGCGGGAAATCAAGTTAATAAAGGGATTATTGAGGTTGATGTGAAATTGGGTAACATTTTGACAACACTTTTTGGTGAGTTGGCAAAAGTGCTGGAAAAGGGTGAATTCTGTGTATTTTTTTCGAATATTTTTGTTATATGTTCAATAATTATTTCAAAAAATTTGGATCAGGAAAATCCTAGAATATTTTTATTATCAGAAAAAATGAAACTACAAAATTTTAAAATCTTGTTTCGTCAAATTACAACTCTTTTTCAAAAACATTCCTGTGATTTTTTTAAAACAACTTTCATTTACTAGTTGATCCAAATTTTAACCCCCCTAGGAGGCTTTTTCCTAAGCGCGCTTTTTCCAAAAAAAAAATCAAAACAACTTTTGCAGGTGTCCGAGAAAACAATTCATACAATCTTTTCAAACTCGATTTCTACAATAAACCAAATATTCGAGATCAATGCATTTTACCACAACTATAATACTCCTTCTTCCTCCTTTCCTTTTTTAAATAAAACTTTTCTTCTGCATGCTCCAGAAAAAGTTTCCTGAATTTTGAGCCAACCGGAAATGAAAGGTGTAAAACAAGTCAACCAAAAAAGTAAAACCAGACTAAACGAAATTATTTTTTTCTGGGGGTAGCAGAGTCCAAGAGATTCATTTCTCTCTTTTTTTCCTTTTCTAGTTAGAAAAAGTAGAAATGCGATATGGAAAAGTGTATTTTTATGATCGAATGGGAAATCGAGAACCAAGTGAAGCTGAAAAAATAAGAGAAGCTTTGGAGAATTTCGAAGCTCCAAGATTTCGGCCGCCAGATGAGCCAAGAATGATGAAGAATTATTCGACTGGATGTGAGTTTTTAAATTGAATTTTCAGAATAAAAAAATGTTTATAGTTTCCCCATTGGAAACTCCTCCACCAATAATCGGTTCTCCAGTTGCAAACATCAGAATAATGGAATCAGCTTCAAACAATATGGATCTTCCAGCCAATATTGTGAATTTTTCGGGAGATTCGGATGATTTCAGTAAGTATCACAAGGGAAGTTTTTAAAGTGACCTCGAAGATTTCTGAATCGAAATGATCGATTAAAAAAAAAATTTCCGTGTCCGAATCATAATTTTGCTAAAAAAATTGGATCTGGTCCGATTCCAGAACTGATGTGAATTTTCAATTTCAAGCCTAACTCTCATTTTTCCCCCAGGACTTCCTCCAAATCTCGACGCCTCCGATGGTCTCCAAAATCTCAACGACAGATTCCGAATGGATTCCCCGCCCGACATCTACGGACAGCCTCCAGATGATCCAATTCCAAGTATAGTTTCTCCACCAAATGTTAGATTCAATTTAGGCGAAGATATTTCAAAATACACAGATCAGGGTAATTTTAGAATAACACAAATCAAATCATAATTAATTTTGTTTAGGAATTGCTCAAAACGGTTATTCAAGAAACTACAGTAATCAAGTAACTGAAATGGATCAATTGACATCAAATTTAGGAAATATTCGAATGCAAACAGAAAATGAACATGATTATGGAAGTTCTTCTGCAAATAATTGGTTAGATTCAGGAAATCATGAAATATGTGCACAATGTCGAGCTGAAGATGATTATATGGAAAGAATGAAAAGAAAAGCTGAATTAGAACGACAAAAATATGATGAAACAATGAGAAAAGCACGAATTTATGAAAATGAAATGAAATTAAAAGAGGAAAATATGAAAAAAGATGAAATTGAAAGAGATAAACAATTGAGAAATCATATTGATCGAGTTAATGCTGAACTTATTGAGTTAAAGAGGAATCGACCAAAAAGTCCGGAACAAGATAATTATATATTTCGACATGAATCTCCGAGAATTCGAGAATCGGATATTCGAATTCAGAAAGATGCATATCGTGCTGAATTAGATAAACAGATTGAGGAAAAAAGATTGAGAAAAATTGCGGAATTCGAGAAAAACGAGGCGATTGATGCGACAACAAATGCAAAAGCAGCGCTAGAGTTAGTGAAAATACATAAAGTCATTTGGCAGAGACATAGGTGGAAAATCAGTTACTAGATAAGTTAATCAGCGAAATTTTTCATATTTTAAACCGGACACAATTTTAAGTTTTTCAAAACTGCGTCTGATTAGGAAAAACGTGAAGCTTTTACCGAAAATTTCTAAATACTTCTAAACCACGTTGAAATGAGCACTAACTTGTTATTTTTTTCAAATATCCGATTTAAGATTCCACCTACATTTTTCTAGATTCGCAAATGCTCGAGAAGCGGAAAGAAGAGCTGTTGAACACGCAAAAGAAATGAATCGAAAACAATTGGAATTTCAAATGGAAATGAGTCGAATTGGTGCACCAATTGATAAACAATGGCTTTGGTGGGCTGAAAGACCAGATGAACATGGATGGAGAGATGCGAGAATGAAAGGATTGAAACATACAAATCAAGTGGAAAGGAATCAGACTATCAAGTTAGTTTTAATTCATAAATTTGTAAGTTTCTTTATGTTTATTTTTAGACAATCAATCGGAATGTTGGAAGAATTCAAAGCTCGTCAAGCTCACGACGATTCAACAATGAGAGATTTACGGCGTGCAAAATATGACAAATTGCGTGAACAATTACACGAGAATTCGAAAATGATGTATCCGGGAGGTGGATTGGAAAAATCGAATTCTCGGCCAATTATAACACAACCAGATCCACGGGTGGAAGCCGCTTGGCGAGAAGCTCATGAGAAATACGACAAAAAATACCAGGTTCTTCAAGACAATGCATCTCGCTCGATTTCTGGTGCAGCTTTAATTGGAGCAAGTAGTTCAACAGCTCATGCTTGTCGAAGATGTGCTCGATGTGCACGTCCTTTGGAGAAAATCAAAGATTTATCGATTGGTCGTGGTGAGACCATTCTTCCACATCATTCATTATGGAGGCAATAGGAAATGTTTCAATTTTCTAGTTTTTTTTTAATCTGACAAGGGAAGGGGGTGAAAATAGAACATTTGGTTTTTTTTCAATTTTGGAAGACAGCTCCTTCGAAATCTATGACGTGGCAAAGTCGGTTTTAAATTTCAGATTTCTGAATGCCTACAAAATAATTAATAATTTTTCTAACATTTTTGAAACGTATTTGTTCAGGGTTCCTGCTTCTGACAGAACTTTGCCACGTCACGTTTTTTTCTCGGAGGTTTTCAACAATAATTTTGAAGAAAATGTTAATTCTAGATATTATTTGTCACCCTTCCCTTGTAAATATAATAATCCTAAAAATCTTTCAAAATTCAATAATTTAATATCAAAAACTTTCAAATATTCACATGATTATAGATCATACCTTTGTTTTATTCAATTATTCCATACTATTATAAGCAGCAGCCACACCTTGTCTCGATTTTCCAATTTCTCTCACATTTATTGGTAGTACTGTAGGTTTCGACGTGGATTTCCATTGTTTTCGACAAGTTGAATCAATAAATTCTATTCGAAATTTGATGTCGCATGACTGAAATGTGTTTTTTTTTTATTTTTTAGAGAAATAAAAAATTTAAATCAAACTAACCCATTTAAAAGTGAGCAAAAACTGCGCGGTGAAATAATTTTTGTCAGTCGGTTCGACAGTTTCAGTCAATGTGAAATTATGCTGAAAAAGAAGAGTTATATTTTGAGAATTTTAAAACAGTAAACTTGCCGCGTGATTTGATAAAAATGCAACTTCTGCAATCACAATAACACTTCGAATTGCTGATGGATGATTCGAATTAATTGCACCATCGATTCGAATCGGAACAGTTTCACCAGAAACAACATTTACAGCCCGATTCTTCTCGCTCTGTGGAGTTGTTGAGATCTGCAAAATTTCCAGGTGTTATTCAGAAAATTGAGAAGAGTGGGTCTATGCTTTTTTGCTGAAAATTAATTTTGAAAAGTTAGAATTGTTCATGTTTTTCTAGAACATTGAATACGGTGCTCAATTTCAAGCTCCAAAACCTGGGAGGTTAGTTTTTTCAAACACATTTTTTGTTGTATTTTTTAAGTGCTGAAATGATTTTCAGCCATTTCCAATAATTCCATATCTCATTCAAAATCCTCACCTTGATATTAACATTATAAAACTGTTGGAAAAAGAATCTCGGAAGCATATAAGGAATACTTGCAATATGTTTCAAAATCGAATCAAGTGTTTGAATTGTCGTCAAATCAACTGAATTCTCAACTTTCAAAAATGCAATTCTTCCAATCGCCCATTGTAACATTTCGTGTTGAAATTGACTACAAGTTCGATTATTTGACAAAGGAGCAAGTTGAATTATTCTGGAATTTCAGATTATTCTTATATGAAACATTTTTAGAAAAAAAATGAATTACGTTTCGATGGATTGTTTTCCAAGGACAACTTTGATTGCAGCCAACAACACAGAAATTCTTGAATAATAAATAGTTATGAGATCAAAACTTGTCGGATCGGCACAAAATGAGGTTCGTGACAAAATCGACCATTGAGATAAACATTCATTGATTGGTTGTTCAACAGTAGAAATCTGAATTAAAATGGTTGAAACTTGGATAAGCGATTCAGAAATCCGTCAAACTTCTATAAACTTACAGCTGCTAAAAACCTCTTGGCCACAATTGGATTATAAAATTGTCCTCTAACAAGCGCCGCCGATAAATCCCTCGTAAAAACCACAAAAATCGATAAAATATGCGAATAAAGTTCCGAAGTTGTGAGGAGACAAACTTAGAAAATCAATCGGAAATCTAAGAGATTCTGCAAATTTCGGAACATCTTTCGATGTTTTCAAAATCGATAATGAAGATCGCAAATGTTTTTGTTGAATTTTCAAATTTTCCGGGTTTATTTCAGAAATCTGAGATTCAGCAAGTTCTTGGAGCGCGTTTATCCAATCTCCTTCAGTTTGATTCATGTTCTGGAAATGATAAATTGATTTTTCGTCTAAAAATAAATTTCCCACCAAAGTATTGATTCCTTTCAAATTCGGCAATGCAACATCTTTCCATTTCCCATTTCTGAATGCAATTCTCGCAGTTTCATATCTCAATTCAGGTGTTGGAAATAAAACAGCAGGAACAGTCAGATTATCAGTTCCAATTGAAAAACATAAAAATGCAAAAAGTTTAGGATACGAATCGAAAATCTCCTTTTTTCTTGAATAAACATCTTCAGACCATTTATGAACATCCGAAATGAATAATCGATCCGTGTCAACTAATCGACATAATAATTCAAGTCGATGTTTTTGATTGGAGTCAACTGATTCAAAAGTTGAAAATATTGAAGAAACAATCATTTTTGAAAATTCAAATTGATTGTATGGAAATGCACTCAAAATATCACCAACTGATCGATATAACTGCAAACATTTATTTAGTTTTTGGGAATGAAAATATAAGGATTCAATAAACAAACCCTTTTAGCCAATGAATCTTTCAAATTTTGATGTGAACATGCAGCAATTACAATAATCGATAAAGATGTCATTGTTGCTTTTAGGAATTCATTTTCTTGCGCTTCGAATAATCGAGGAGAACAATAAACATTTGCAGCAAGTTGAACATATCGAACTGATATTTCGGGATTTGGAATTGAACCATAACCAGAACTCGAGGCAGTTAGAGCTGGAAAATATGGAATTTGAGATGATAATGTGAAGACTAGATTGACATTTTATTTCGGCTCAACAACATCGAACATCAGAAAATTAAAAAAACAACTCAATTTTTCAAGAATTATTTTCAAATTAACTTTATTTTTTTTTAATTTCGATGGAGAACCTGGAATTTTCTGAAACAATTTTCCAAACAAATGTGTTTTTCAACAATTTAAAAATAATTTTTGGGTCAAAAATGTCGATATTCGAACTCACAGCCGCCTCTAGATTTTTTTTTTCAATTTTCCGCCGACCCTCCAAATTTTCCCTTCTCCTAACTCACTCTTCAAAATCAACAAATTCGAAAAAGAACAATTCTTGGTCAATGCAATCGCCACATCAAAATATTTAGCAATAATTGATTTACTCATCGTTGGATATAAACAAGAATTAAAATGTCTCAACTTGTTCCTCTTTCCAAATATTCGAATATTCAGCTAATCGTTTCAATTCTCTTAAAATAATCAACATTCGAATTCTAGCCGCAGATGAACAATCTTCTTTAATTGGTAATAAAATATTCAAAAGATTATCAATTTGTTTCGGTATTGCATATCGAATTTCAATGCATAAACTAGTTGTTGCTTCAAGAAACTCGGAAAGCAAAGAATCGGAAATATTTCGATTAATAATATTGTCAACAATATCAAATACATAATCCATAGTTGTTGCATTTGCACACATTGTTGAAAATACTTTGCAAATCTCAATTTTTCTTCTCTCACAAATCGCTGAATCTTCCAATAATTTTCCAATTCTCAAAACAATATCTTCCGAAAACATCGATGATAATTGTGCAAATGATTTCATTGCAGAACAAGCTGCTCGAAATTCTCCATCATGTGAAGTATTCATTGATTCACAAATTATATGATGAGCTTGTCCACTTTCTGGAAATATTGGAGCAATTGCAGATAGAACATCAAGAGTTGCTTCTCGTGCATTTGGATCATTTGAATGACTGACAACAAGAATTCGTCGAAATATTTCAGCTGATGAAAATGCAAGAGTTAATTGAGAACCACATTGACCAAGGGCACGAGCTATTGAAACTCGAACATCATTTGTTCTGAAATTGATTTTAGGTCTTCTGGTGAGATTTTGAAGTGTTCTATTTTTATGGAAAAATTAAGTAAGCTCTGAAAATAAGTTATGATTTCCCAATAGTTTTCGCTAAATATTTGAAAGGAATAAGTCCTCTGACAAAATTTACAAAAAACCAACCCATCCTTGAAACAATCAGCCAATCTCAATAACATTGAATTCACAAAAGTCGGAACGGGATTTTCTTCGAACAGTCGGCTCAATCTTGCAATCGTCGCCAGTTGCTCAGGTGGCCAATGCGCTCGTAATCCTTTATCAAAATTTTGTAGAATTACATTTGCGCCCGCCATTTTTCTGTAATTCTCTTCAATAAAATCCTATCGGGATAATTTTATGAAAATATAGATGTAATGCTAAACTTTACATTTACAATCAATAAAAACCAAAAAAAAAAGACTCGTCAGATAAAATAGTATTGTTTTAAGGCATCGGGATTTCAACAAACCAAAAAAAACATCAAAAAAATTAAATAAAATAAAATTGCGGGGACAAGGGTGGGGAGATCTCAAAAATCCGGAGGTAATTATGAAAAACAGGCATTATACATATAATACAAGAGGGATAAACTAAAAAAAAAAAATAACAATTAAATTTTTAAAAAATTTCGGGAGATCAGGGGATGGATGTGATTAATTAATTAATCGCGAACTTTGTTCATTTCAAAAATTTGAAGTCCATCAACTTTATCAATCTCTTTGATTCCTTGTGGAGTGAAGAAGATGAACTGATTGTGGGGGAATTCGGTGGTAGCCATTTTGACAAGCAAATCCATGACAATCTGAAAACAAAACATTTGGAAAGGATTTTGATATTTTCAGGATGAAATTATATTATTATCTAAATCAGAGCAGTCTTTAAAAATTCCCCTTGAACCGAATCCCTGAAATTCAAATCTACCTTTCGATTCATCATATCCATGAAAACATCAAATTCATCCATCATTCTAAATGGTTGTTCCATAACTTCCCAAAGTGCCATAACAAGTGCAGCCGTAACAAAACTTCGTTCTCCACCAGACAATCCTTTCAAATCTTTCACCTTCTTCTTCTTTGGTGGCTTTTTCGCTTTTTTCGACTTCTTCTTAGCAGGTTCATCATCTGAAGCATCTGAATCATCAATGAATCCATCATCATCTTCAGGTTGTCTACAATCTTCTTCTTCATCATCTCCATCTTCAGCAGCATTCAAAAGATTCTGAGCATCTTTGTCTTTCGAAGATGTTACAACAACATTTAAAGTCTCTCTTTCATAATCGAAAACAAGATCTCCAATGAAGTGTCTGAAAAAAACATTTCTATTAAATTAAAAACTTTTCAAAAGATATCTTTTCCAAGAATTTTAAGATTTCTTAAAGCCAAAACTTACCCTCGAGTTGCAAGAAGTTTTTGGAACTTGAGTCGAACCTTAGTTTCAGTGTATTTCTTAACAGACGGATACATATCAACACGTTTTTGTAGAAGATCATTCATATTCTCCACAAGTTGAATAATTCGTTTCACCATCATTTTTTCCTTTTTCACCTCATCTTTGAATTTGGCAACCGATTCCATTGTCACATTTTCATCAATTCCAGCTTTTGCCGCTTCAACTCGTTTGACTTTCTCTTTATAAATTCGATTTGCATCAAGAGTTGGAGGGAAATTGGATAAATCTGGTGGATCACTACATTGAGCTGGTTTTTTCATTCCAACCTTATTTTCATTAACCATTTTCTTAATATCATCAAGATTCATTTTCAATTGTTGTTCATCGTTGAAAAATGCTTGTTTTGCAGCTTCATATTTTCCATCTGTTGATGTCAATCTTTGATAAGTCTGATCCAATTTCGTAATTTTTCCTTCGAATTCAGTCAAAATATCGCGTTGTTTCTTGATTTCTTCAGCATGTTTTCGATTTTCTTGTTCAAGTTTTTGCAGTTTATCAGCCGATGGATTTATCTTTTGCATAGCTTCTCTTTTCGCTTCTCGAATTTGTTCAATTTCATCTTCAGTGGCTCTAATTCGATCTTCTAATTCACCAATTCCATGATTGAGCACATTGATTTCTTCCAAAACATCTTCACTATTAATACTTGCTTGCAAATCTCTCACATCTCTTTCAGTTCGAATTTCTAAATTTCTAACTTCACTCAATCTTCTTTCAAATGCGTCCAATCCACTTTTAATTTTGTTGTGCTCAATTGCTGTCCTATGTTGCTCATCATTAGCTTCTTTCAAATCATTATATTGAATTCTTTCAATCTCTTCTTGAAGTTTACTAATCTCATTCTGGATTTCCCTGAAAAAAACAAGATATTGAAATATTTGAAATTAACAACAACAAAAAAACAACAACATACTTTTCATCAATAACTTCTTCTCCTCCATCAAACAATCCTCTTGCATTCGATGCTCTTCCAGCATAAAAACGATATTGACCATTTGGTCCACCAGCAAATGCTTGTGATCCATCCAATGTATATGCTTTGGATGCATTAATTGGTGGTCGAGCACTGTCCATATATTTCATTGCATCTCGATTATTCGCCAATAAAAGAATCGATTCAATTTGATTTTTGTCGATCAAAGCATTGCTGAAAAATTCGAAATTGTTCGCGATAATCAGGTAGATATCAGGGTAGTTTGCCTAAATAATCGTTTTCAAAAAACTCACTGAACATCAACATCAGAAATCTCGAGCATTCGATAAATAGTCGAAAAATTCATATCAGGTTCTTGTAGATTATCATGAGGTCTTCCCAAAAACCGACTAACAATCAAATTTGGTCTATCTCTTGGATGCATTCGAAGATTGTCGAAAATACTTCTCAAAGTTGCTGCATCTCTTGAATCATTACAAATGAATTGTGAAGCAAGATTTCCAATACATTCTTCAACTGGATATGACCATTTTCTATCGAGAATGGAAACATATTTTCCAATTGGTCCTTTTGGAAGCATTCCAAAACGTGAACGATTTCTTTCAATTTCTCCAACAATATCTGCCATACGTTGACCAAACCTGCAAAAATCTTTTATTTTTTCAGTTGAGTTGATCAAATTGACTCACTTATTAATTTTATTACTCTTAACAGCCTTCGATCGTTTGATTTGATCTTTATATTCCTCAATTTTTCTCTTCTTTCCCTCAATTTTCGTTCTTGCATCATACAATCTATTTTGTGCCGAATTCACTTCTTTTTCAATTGCTTTCAGCTTTTCACTCATTTCAAAACCAGTTCCACTTTTTTCCATTCGACTTCGTTCATCTCGATATTCTTCCAATTTTTCTTCAGCGCGTGCCAACTTTCTTTTCATATCATCACTTCCAGCTTTTTCAGTCAATTTTTGGATTGTTCTTTTTGACGAATTAATTCGAGTTAAGATGGTTCTAAAAGAATAAGAAAATCATATTCGAGTATTGATAATTGGAAAAAACATACGCAATAGCACCTTGTTTTGTCGAGATATCTTTATCGAACTGTTTTTTGGCTTGTTCTTCATCTTCTTTTCGATTTTTTAATTCTTTCATATCATCTTTCAATCCATCAAATTCAGTTCTCTTATCTTCAATATCATCAGTTAATTCTTCCACCTTTCTCATGATTTTCTGAAAAAAGAAAACATTATTTTTGTTGTTTTTCAAACTCTAACTAACTCTTCTTTCCTCTCGATTTTCCAACATTGCTTTCTTATTTTCTTCGGCCATCTCAACATTTTTCTCAATTTTCTTTCCAACCATTTTCAAATCGTCTTCAACATCTCGAATAGAACAAAACATCAAATTCCATTGATAAACATCTAAATCTCGTTGATCTTCTTGAATTTTATCATGAAGTTGTCGAATCTCGTTCAAACGTTTCAATTCTCTGAAAATCGATTTTTGGGATTATTTTTGAACGAATGAAAATTGCATACTTTGTCTTTTTCGCAATATCAACCTGTTTGACAGTCATCATTCTGTTATAATCAGCATACAAAGTTGCATTATTCATATAACTTTGCTTGATTTTATCCAAATGTGTAGCTTCTTGATATAACTTGTAGACATTTCCTGGTTTGAAATTTGCAAGAAAACTGCGAGATCTATCTTGACTCATCCAAAAAGCGGGATTTGATAAATGAATATTGAATCGATCAACAAGTCGGTCAACATCGCATTTTTTCTTGCTCACAATTTCTTCTGAAAAATTTCAAATAGAAAATAATTATTGGAGAAACTTTAAATTAACTAAATACCTTTGACACTTTTTCCAATTCTTGTAATACTTTTTATGATATAAGTAGAAGACGATTGATTGATAGTTCTTTCAATTGCAACCAAATCACCATAATCAGGATGTGAATTCTGTCCGACATTTGTCAAAGTAATTGTAATTTTGGCAGTTTGTGTTCCATCTTTGATATATGATTTAACCGTATTTCCTCGATCATTATCAGATCCTTTTCCACCAAGACCAATATTAATTGCAGCAAAAAGTGCAGATTTTCCACTACCATTTGGTCCACCAATATAGAAACAATTGTTATGATCTGTATCGAAATCAATCGATAAATTTGCGTGACACATGAAATTTTGAAGATGAACTCCAGCAACTCTTCCAGCAACCGCTAATTCATCTCTTGCATTTTGCTGTCTTGGTTTTTTAGCAGCTTGTGCTTCATCTACATCCATTACTTCATCTTCTTCTTCTTCAAAATCATCATCGCTACTTACTCTTCGAGTTCTTGATGTTGTTGGAGTCATTTCAGCATCTTTTGTTTCATGCAATCGTTTTCTTGATGGTGTACCCATATCTGTTGGATGGAAATTCTCGTTTGGGCTCGTACTTTTCTCCTTGGAAGTCATTTAAAGCTGAAAATTGGGAAAGCAAATTAGATGATAAAAGGTATTTGTAAAAAAAAATACAAGAAGAATGAGAGAAAAAGATAACATTTTGAAATCCGAAAACATATGTTTTTAACTGGAAAAAATAGGCGCGAAAAATTCGAAAATATTGGTTTGTTCGGCCACATTCTTGAATAACTCTTCCACAAAACATGTTGCGAAAACTGTGTAAACAAGTTTGGAATGAGGAAACTAATTAGAAAGGATAGATAGATAGAATCAAGTTCAATTACTAAATCATAAAGTTGGAAAACAGTTGTAACTTTATACGAAACTTGTCAAGATCATTTAGCAACTCCCTTGAACAAATCGAAAACTACACTTCGATTACACTCACTGCAAAAATTAGTTTTGTTAGTATTCCTTTCGAAACCTTACTCACTTCTGATTTTCACAGGTAAATTGAAACCTAACATCATTAATAGAATGATCTTCGGTGCAATTGTGAGAAACAACAGTAGTTATTGTTGCAAGTTTATATGGAATATTCAACTTTGGACTAATTTCTTTCTTTTTCGTCAAATTTGCACTATTTCGCAATACAACTTTAGCATCATTTTGAATTCGAATGTGGAATAATATTCTTTCTGAATCAAGTGAGCAAGTCAGCAGATAATTCAACTTCAATACATTTTTTGTAGAAGCTTTAGGAAATATCAAAATAATTAATATAAAACAATATGAATTCTCATGATACTTTGAATGTATGAGAAATTCTATAGAATTTTGTAGAGCTTGATGCGCTGAACAATTCATTGCGAGCCGATTTTTGAAAAAAATTCTCAAACTTTTGTAAAAAATTTTCAAACTTTTCTCGAAATTTTCGAAAACTATCATAGTTTTCCGCCTCAAAAACTCATGTTTAACCATTGAAATTCCATATAAAATTTATATCACCTTGTAGAGAATCTCTTCCTCTACAAACTTAGTTTTAAAAAATTTTCAAAAAGTTTCAAAATTGACGTCAAACTTTGTTTTTAAAAAGATGAAAAACTGCAAAATAAAAACGTGAAAAACAACGAAATTTTGTGTACGTGGCATTTTTTTTTCACACCGCCGCCTGGAGGAGCCTGTGTTCTAATCGAATTGCCTTATTTGAATAGCGAACAAATTGTTTTGAATTTATCGAAGAAAATCGGAACGAGAAATTTAGTGTTCAATTAATTTTGATCTCTTTTCGACTGCCAGAAAAATCCACGAATACCGAATTGTTTTTTGTCGTTCAAAAAATAAATTGTTGACTTATCAAATTTCACTCATTTTTTCTCGTTCTAGCCTATTGTTGTCAGTTGTGCTTTTTCTATGATGAATTAGACAATCATTTATTTTCCGCAACAACTTTGTCTTTTGACCTTTTTTCTTATCATTCTTTTGTGTTTGTCTACTTACTCATTCAAGCGAGGTAAACATTTTGATTCAAATTGAAACATTTAATGGAACTTTCATTTTTCCGTCTTTTAAAAACTTAAATATTAGGGCTGATTCACGAACGAAAAAAATGTAAAAAATTGTTTTTTTAACATCGAAAGATCAATTCACGAAAAGTCAAAAAATGTCGAAAAAACATTGTAGGTCAAAATTAGTTTTTCGAGTTTTTCAGCCAAAAATGATGACAAATCAATATTTTCAAGCTTCTGGAGCAATTTCTGATGAAAATAAGCTTCGAGAACCCTATTTTGCTTTATTTTATGATTTTTTTCGAAATTCATCAAAATTCAAAAATTTTTTATTTTACGAAAAATCAACAAAACCTTCTGGAAAGTGAATTTCAAGGCCAATTTTACTCAGAAATTACTCCAGAAGCTTAGAAAATATCGATTTGTCATCATTTTTGGCTGAAAAACTCGAAAAACTAATTTTGACCTACAATGTTTTTTCGACATTTTTTGACTTTTCGTGAATTGATCTTTCGATGTTAAAAAAACATTTTTTAACATTTTTTTCGTTCGTGAATCAGCCCTATTCCAATTTTTTCCGTTTTGAAATTGTTAAGTATTTCTAAGTATGACATTTGAGAATAAATTTTCAGTTTTCAAAAGTATATTATTTTCAAAAATCTATCTATAACTCGTATCAAAACTCGAAAAATCGATAATTTTCCAATTTCCTCCTATTTTTCAAAAGAAACCAAAACATTTTCCTTTCACATGATTCATATAGCTCATATTGCATCATTCTGACCTTTTCCTTTTTATTTTATTCGTATAGAAATAGCTTCAAAAATGAAAATATCATTTCCGTTTCCTATTCATTTTTTCAAATCGTAAGTTTTTTGTGGACAAACTTAAACCTAACATTTCGGAAAACTGAAAAAAGAATTGAAAATATCTGTGAGACCAATTGTCACAAAATAAATTGAGGGCCTGCCACTTTTTTATTGTTTTTTATTCGATTTTCTCGTTTTTTTCTCGGAAGAGGAAATAAATATTCTCTTCGAAAATGTCTAGGTATCGGTGAGTTAGCAAGCTCAAGAAGTTTAGAAAAACTGAAAACTTGAATAACCTTTCAGAAACTTATGTTTTTTTTAGAATGTCGGTTTCGGCCAAGAATTTCTACCGTCGACCACTTCCCGAAACATGCATCGATTTTTCAAGTTCTCAAGGAAAACAAATCTTCACAAATTCACTTCTAAAAGGATGTGCTAATATATATTTCAAACTTGCGTCACAATTCAGAACTCAAGATGAACCAGCATATTGTGGTTTGAGTACTTTGGTTATGGTTTTGAATGCATTAGAAGTTGATCCGGAACAAGTTTGGAAAGCGCCTTGGAGATTTTATCATGAATCAATGTTGGATTGTTGTGTACCATTGGAAAATGTGAAAAAGTGAGTTGCTAAAAATCATATAAAAATAAATTTCGAATCTTTAGAACCGGAATCACACTGAATCAGTTTCATTGTTTGGCAACTTGTAATCGATTGAAATCTACATTGAATATTGGTGAAGATTCCGAAGATTTCTTGCAAAACTTTCGCAAAATCCTCATTGATTCAGTCAAAAGCGATAACAACGTGATAGTTGCTAGTTACGACCGCGCAGTACTTGGACAAACTGGAAGTGGCCACTTTTCCCCATTAGCTGCTTATGATCCGGATTCGGATCAAGTTTTAATTATGGATGTGGCTAGATTCAAATATCCTCCACATTGGGTGAAATTGGAACATTTGCATAAGGCAATGTTATCGATTGATCGAGCAACACGGAAACCTAGAGGATTTGTACAATTAGAATTAATGAATGGAACAAGACCGCTAATTATGTATGGATTGAAAGCATATGTAAATGTTAATGATTCAGATGTAAGCAAAGCTTTTTGAAAGACAAAATAAGTATTCAAGTTTTCAGTTTGCTACATCGGTTATATCCTGGAAAGAGTTTCTGCTCTGTGATCCATTACCAGACGACGATGAAGAATTTCAACTTTGTTGTAGGAAATTTGGGCAGTGTTTTGCACCACACGCACTTTGCTGTACACAGAAAGACATCGAGGCTGATCAGCGGCAGAAAGACTGTGAATGTGTTCACGAACAAACTGAAGCTTGTCGAACAATATGTGCTGAAGTTAGGAGAACTAAATTTGCCGAAGTTTTCTCGAGCAGCGCAGTTGCTGCTCTTCTGATCGCATGGCCTTTTGAACCTCTATATTCGGAAAGAAGTAACCGGTTATCGAAATTGGCTAGATTTTATCGACAGGAATTCTCCGCTGATACGAAAAATGAAATGGGTATGATTTCTAGAGTAAAAAGTTCAAATCTGAATAAGATACCACTTTCAGAACAGCTAACAACTCAAATCAGTACATTGATAACTTGCTCAAAACCACCAGTGAATTTGAGTTTGAACAAGAGCGACTCAATTTCACGATGTTGTCGAAGCAAAACACATGCAAATGAGCCGTGTGCTTGTGTCACAGATGTCAGACTATAATTATCTACACTTATGGATTACGGTTACAACTTACTTGCTCATAATAAAGAACTGGGAATTGAGAAACTTGAAAAAAAAATGAAAAATGAAAAACGAAGTTTGAACAAAAACCTTCCCGCGTGCACAGATCACACTGAAAACGACGCACAACTGCACACATTTAAGCGCGCGCTCGTTTGAAATTTTGTTTTTTGTGAGTCTAATAATTATTTTTTGAAACTTACGTAAGTAATTACTATGAATTGACACTTGAGAATCACGGATGAAAAAGTGTTTTGAGCTTTGAGAAAATTAAAAAATGACCAGTTTCGCCCGTCATTTTCCACGTTTAATTTTCAATATTAAATTCGTAAATATTACATTTTTTTCATTTCAAATTTTGATTCCAAAAAATTTATTTTTAGAAAAATTGCAAACAATGAGGAAGGGTTAAAATTAAAGCAAAGATTATATACAATTTAAGAACTTTGAATTTTGTTTCATTAATTAATAGATAGCAGTGCAGAATTGTGGAACAGTTGGTTTTGGTGGCAAAGTTGAGGTTCCAGTCGAAGCTGGAGTTGTAGCAACTGCTTGTTGTTGATTGACTCCAGAATCTTCGCCAAACAAAGCAGACAAGAAATCAGAACCACCGAAGAGTCCACGAACTTGCTGAAAATGAATTATTATCTATCTGAAGTTGGGTTAAAATTAAAAAAAACTTACAGTTTGCATTTGAGCTTGAACAGCCTTTTGATAAGCAGTTTGTTCAGTATCGAAAGTTTTGAGTTGTGATTGTTCATCAGAAGATAGATCACGAGCAAATTGTCCACCAACGTAGACTTTGTTATTTTGAACCATACATCCATCGAAATAATATTGAGTTGTTTCTTCAGCTGTGCAGAATGATGGCTTTTCTGGGGCTTTTGGAAGGTTTTCTTCGTTGTCAACTTGGTTATTTTGTTGTTGTTGCTGTTGTTGTGGTTGTCCACGGCTCATCAAACGGCTCTTCAAGTTTTCACGACGTTGGTTCAAAATCTCACGGAGTTGCTGAAAAAATAGAATAATGAAAATGAAAAGAAAATTATTAAATTCAACATTTTTTCTGGCTTGATTCTTTTGGATATCTCTCAGAAATTTCTTATCCAAAAAGATCGAAAATTGGATCAAATATCTATATTTAGCTACAGTAATCCCCAACAAGAAATTCTGAGTCTGTAGTTCAATTTTTCGCCTCATCTAACTTACATTTTTATATTGCTCAACTTCAGTTTGGTAAGTGGTCAATTCGGTTTGTTCAGCAGCCGTCAAATCTCTCAATTTGATACCATTTGCATACAAAACATTTCCAGTTACAACACATCCTTGACTTCCTCCAGCTCCAGTCACAGCAATTGTGCTCACTGACAATTGTCGTTTTTCACGTGGTGCGCAAAATGCGATTGCAACAAGGGAAGCGAAGACAAATAGTTTCATCATTGCTGGAAAATGTTTTGGATTTGGGAACATTGATTTATATAAATAGTGTGAAAAGAGAAAAGTGGCTGAATTAGGTCATCAATAATAATTATAACATAATTATTCGGCTGTTCCAAATCCATAAAATCGAAAATCGACAAAAAAGAGAAGAACTGGTCAAAACCGGATCAAATGGGGCATTGATACAACAAAAAACTATTGTGAATATTTACGAACACAAAAGTATGCAAATAATGTTTCCTTCTCAAAATAAAATAAAATAAAATGTTTCATGGGAAGATTCTTTATATTCATAAAAATGGTTTCTAAATACAAAAATAGAATATTTTCAGGGCATGAAGGTTAATCCCCGTGAAGACTATTATATAGGAACCGAAAAGTGGGCGGAGACTTTTCTGGGGGAGATGATATTATTGTTGTAAAGGAAAAAGTGGAGGAAAGGAGATAATAGAACACAACAAGGATGACTAAACTGACCTTCTGGCGTTGTTTTTGTTAGAAAAAAACTTGTTTCACAGGTTCTCTAGAAACTTCTGGAAACTCAAACAAAATTCGTGTTTTTTGATTGTAAAATAAAATAAAATAAAATTTGGAGCTCAACTTTTCACGTGAGACGTGGCCAAGATAATTTGGATGTTTAGATATTCATTTCAAAAAAATATCCGGAATGGAAAAAAGATCAACAGTGATTCCAGTGTCTACAGTAATTCTATTCTATGTAATATTTTTGAAACAACACAGATTCTAGGAACTTCTGAAAATTCAAATAAAAAAGAAGAAAAACATATGATTTGGTGAGTTTTTCCAAACTTTGATGAAAAAATCTACCGTAATCTAAGCTTGGTTTTTATTTGACCTCTTTCGCTATAGGAAAAAGCTTGAAAAATGACGAGAAGTCGATTTTATATTGTGCCAATTTTTAAATATTTGTTTTGCGGCGCGAAGAAAACAAACTTTGTCGAACTTCAAAGTATTTATGATTTCTTCTACCTTTTTCCAATTTTTCAAAAACACTATGAATCATCAAAGTAAGAAATCACAAATAAACAGGCAAGACAACTGACTTTAATTACTTTGTTGTTTATTTTTCTGATAGACTCTCGACTCAGACATCAAAAAATGTTACTTTTTCTCTTGGATAGTATCTAGTAGGGTATTCTTTGACACTTTTCTTTACGATCAAATGATGTTTGATTCAATCAAATAAATGGATTTCCCACAAAAAAGTAAAAAAGTTTGGCAAAATAAATATTTGGGCAGTGGAACTACTGTAGAAATGAATTGACATAACATAGCACTTCAGTCACTTATTTTCGTTTGTAAAAAAAGAAAATATTTGAGAAAGAATAACATGTTCAGATGATAAAATATCATTCTTCGGGGAAAGTTCGGATAGATGAATTGTATTTAATTCGGTTGTCCTTTTTATACCGAACAAATCCGTTTCGCAAGTTTACACAGCATGAAAATACAGTTTGTTTTTCAACAAAAAATAATATGATTCACAGATGATTAAACAGCAGTGTTTGACCTCAAATCAGATATTTCTGTAAACAATTTGGATTTTTTGGAAAGAACCGTTCCAGAATTGGGAAAATTGAAATAATGGCTTACAAAGTGTTTTCAAACATTGAAGACATCAACGCTTTATGACTAACAGGGGATTTAGAAGGAAAATCTGTCAAGAACTAAAAAAAACAATCGTTTTCAGAAAAACACACGTTCAAACTCCACACATTCCCGGTTGTGCGTTAGAGCGCACTTTCAATTTTTTATTTCTTATTTTTATTTTTCGTTTTCTGTCGACAGTTTTTCTTCGCAAATTCGCGCTATCCGTGTCGTTTTGCATGTTTTTCCAAACAAATAAACAATAAATCTCCCACGCGCCTCTACAAATGAAACCAGCGTTTTGGTAGTTGAAGAGTTGTTCAAGAGTTTTTCGTGTTAACAACACAAAAATGTGAAGATCTTGAGTTGACAGTTTGTCTCTTCCTTTTTGTGTCTTTTTCGTGTCTTTCTTAAAATATTTTTTGTTTCTGAAAAAAGTTTTTGCATGCAATTTCAGATGTCAACTCCTGACCGAAATGTGAAAAAACGAAGGCGATGGTTTTGGCGAAGAAACTTGGGCGGTATGGAACTTCACACAACAGAAACACTTTTATCATCTCCCGAAAGTGATGAAAAATCACACAAACAAAGTCCAAAACAATATCAGATTCAGGATAATTGCGTAAGTTTTTACGATGTTGGAAATATTTCTGAAAATATCTGGAATTATTCATGAAATTTCAAACGCATGACCAGTCTGTTTTCGGGAATTTTTTCTACAAAACATCAATTATTAAAATTGAGAATGACTGAAACCTATTGGTAATGAAAACAACTTTTTTGTAATTCCCAAAAGTATCATTTTTTCTCTCGTAACATTACAATAATGGTCATTTTTTCTCTCTCTGAATTGACCATCTTTTGTTTCAACAAAACTATCAATCTATCTGTATCACTTTTAAAAAGACAAAAATATGATATCAGTTCAAACTGCTTCCAAATTTCCATAATCCTAATACTTCAAAACAAATACAAATAAAAACAGTTGTTTTGAACTGTACAGTATTTTTTCCTTCAATCATAAACGTTTCCCTGAAATGAATCGTTGTCGTTTTTTATTCCTGAACTTTGATACCATTTTTAGAATGTTTACATTACTTACAAAACCTAAATTTATAGCTTTTCATGAAAAATTATATGACCACCTCGTGACGAATTATTAAAAATCAAAAAAAGACATAAAAAGTTCAAGGAAAACAGTTGTTTTTGTGAATGAAGTCAACGACGTATTGTTTTCAAAAATCCAATTGTTTCTGAATTGATAAGACAAAAAAGGTGATAGTTTTTTGACGACACTCACTTAAATTTGTGATAAATCACAATCCAGTTGAAATTTTTTCAATCAAAGAATGAACATTTTATTTATGTTAAAATAATCGATTATATTCGTTTATGATTGATGGATGGAACGTTCACAGTTTCTTCCTTTTTTTCTTACAAAAGCCAGCTTCTGATAAGTTTCGCTAACTAATAAAAATCACCTTTCCTTCTTTTTGTCTAAAATATTTTTAATCCAAAGTTTATATCAATAAATAAATTGAAGTGTTTTGATAATAATGTAAATATTTAGGTGTTCATGGAATTTGAATCATTTTTCACACATATTTTATTTTCCAGCATCTTGGCGCTTATCAAACTGTCAGAATTCCAATCGACGACAGAATGGGGGGATTACCGAAAATATTGAACGTTGAGAAAAAAGTAAGTTTTTTTCCTGGGACTTCAAAAAAAATTCGAAATATTTTATTGTTTTGTTTTGTTTTCGAAAATTTGTAAAATATTTTGATATAAAGTTCATTAACTAAAGTGTATTTTTCAAATTCTTTGACCAGAAAAATTGAAATTTTTGCGAATTCTCCCCCTGGAAATCTTGTGCTTTTTGAAGAGTTGTTCAGCGTAGAAACTCAAAGCGGGATCGTTCTCACATTCAGCTTGAGAAATGCTATTAAATAGTATATGTCTCACACAAAATGTTTCTTCTTCAAAAATTGTTTTCTCGAACATTCTTTGATATTATCATGATCACAATGAACCCAATTTGAACTCTCTTTTTTGTCCCAATGCAAATTTGAACCGTTCTCGCATAATTTTCTCACATTTTTAACCCAAAAAGCTGTGTTATTTACACACATATTTTTATGATTCCCCCAATTTCAAAATTCCCACCCATTTTCCATCAAGTGGGAGGAAATATTTCAAAAAAAAAAATTATATTTTTCTGCTGATAAGAAACGAGAAGAAGAAGAATAAATTCAAAAATTTTGATATTTATTTATTCTAATTTATGATATCATTATGTTCCGATTCAATAATGTGGAAGTGGTTCGTGCTTCGAAATTTGTTCGTTTTCTCATTAATTTTTCATTCGCTTTTTGCAGGTCTCAAGAGACGATTTGGATATTCCTTTGACACATAAAGCAAGGACCAAAAAATCTGGATTTTGTGGTGAGAACATGCGATTTAGAGAGAGAGAGAGAGAGAGAAAGATAACATTAAAATGAACTTTTTGCAGCAAATGCGAGTCGAATATTCAAAACAGTTTGTCGTGATTGGATTTTCTTGGCACTTCTTGGTTTCATAATGGCTTCTTTATCTTTTGGAATGGATTATGCTATTTTGAACTTACAGAATGGTTAGTTTTTATTTTAAAAAGACATATTATTTTGTGAAATGTTAATAGAAGGTCAAGTCTCCAAAAAAATTTTGAAAATAATATTTTTTCTAATTTTCCAAACCCTCCTCCCATTTTTTGCAACATTTTGTGTTTTGTTTCAAGAAGAGACAGTACAGTATTATTCTGTTATCTAACTAACCAAACCCAAAAAACAACAAATCAAGGTGACCAAAATTTTTAAGCTTCTCAAAAACTTTGCTTATCATTTCATTCGTTCAGAATATGACTCGAATTGAGAGAAACGTCATGATTTTTTGAAACGAAAATACTGTATTGCACTTTTATTGTGGAAAAAGTTAAAGTAGTTTGTGAAGAGATGTCTGATATACAAAGTTTATGTGAAAATTTTGATTTAACAAAAATCGATTAAAAAGAAAAATCAAATTTTCATCTCATTGTCAACAAATACTCAAAATCCCACATTTTCCAGCTCAAATGTTATTATATGATTGGGTAATCGATATACATATTCTACTATCTTTACTTGTTTGGGTTGGATATGTTGTTGGTTTAACAGTTGCTTCTGCTCTTTTTGCTCATTATATTGCACAACAAGCTATTGGATCTGGAATACCTGAAATGAAAACTATTTTAAGAGGTGTTATTTTAAAAGAATATTTGACTGTAAGAACATTAATATCGAAAATGATTGGATTAACTTTGTCACTTGGAAGTGGATTACCAATGGGAAAAGAGGTGAGATTACAAATTTATAACATCGAATTATCCTTGAAAAAGTTTTGTAGGGTCCATTTGTTCATATTGCTTCAGTTGTTGCTGCACAATTAAGTCGATTAGTTCATGGCTCAAGTTCTGGAATTTTCGAAAATGAAACTCGAAGTGCTGAAATGTTAGCAGCTGGTTGTGCAGTCGGAGTTGCTTGCACATTTTCTGCTCCAATTGGTGGTGTTTTATTTTCAATTGAAGTAACTTCAGTCTATTTTGCTGTTCGAAATTATTGGCGTGGATTTTTCGCTGCCACGTGTTCAGCTACACTTTTTCGAATTCTGAGAATGTTCTCAATTTCGGACTCGGTTACTGTCGAAGCACATTATCAAACCAATTTTCCACCGCAAAACACATTTTTGTTGCAAGAATTGCCGATTTTTGCATTGATTGGATTGATTTGTGGTTTATTGGGAAGTGCATTTGTATATATTCATAGAAGAACTGTTTTATTTTTGAGAAGAAATTCGATTGCCAAGAAAATGTTTCAAAAATAGTGAGTTCTTTTGGGTTGAAAATGAGAAATATTCTGAATTGTTCAAAAGTGCCAATTTTTGATGAAAAAAATCACTGGCCCAAAATTCAACTCATTGGGCCTGAAACTCTGAAAAGGTCAAAAATTTAATCAAAATATTTTTTGGCCTAAAAAAGGGCCCGTAAAATTCCCAGAGTTGCCAAAATACAATTTCCAAATACAGTTATTTTCCAGCTGGATCATTTACCCAATAGTTATCGCAACTTTTATATCTTCTCTTTCATTTCCACAAGGACTTGGACAATTTATGGGTGGACAAGAAAGATTCAGTCACACTATGACGGAATTCTTTATGAATTGCACGTGGACTGCTGAAAATGGTGCGAGTTCAGCATGTTTAACTGAAAATGGAACATCGAGTTGGGGCGATAAATTTGATATTCATCATTGGAAAGGGCCAAATATGGCATATAGTCCATTTATAACATTGGCTTGTTTTCAAACTGTTTATGTAAGTTTTATTGATTCATTAAAATTCTGAATTCAAAACACAAATTTTCAGTTCTTTTTGGCAATTCTTGCTTCAACTCTTCCTGTTCCTTCTGGTATTTTCATGCCTGTTTTTGTTCTTGGAGCTGCTTTTGGTCGATTAGTTGGAGAAGGTGTTTATCAAATGTTCCCGGATGGAATGAATGATGATGCGGGTTTTGAAATAAGACCGGGAGTTTATGCGGTTGTTGGAGCTGCGGCTTTTTGTGGAGCTGTTACGCATACGGTTTCGGTGGCTGTTATTGTTTTTGAATTGACTGGACAACTTTGTACACTTCTGCCGGTTATGGTAAGGTTGAAAATATTGGAAGAAAGAAGAGAAAACGGTTTTTATAAAATATTTATTTTTCAGATAGCTGTACTTATTGCAAATGCAATCGCATCTTATTTACAACCATCCATTTATGACAGTATCATACGAATCAAAAACCTGCCGTATTTACCCGATATTCCACATACTTCTTCACTTTATCATGAGATGAGATTGGAACAATTTATGATAACTCCAGTTGTATTTATTGCGAAAGATTCGAGTTTGGCTGATGTTCGACAAGCGATTGAATCAAAACCAAAAGTTCGAGCATTTCCATTGGTTGATAGTCTCGATTCTCTTGCATTAGTTGGATCAGTTAGTAGATCACAATTACAAAGGTTGATTGATGCGAGAATTGGAACAAAAGCGAGATATGCAGAGGCGACAAGAAGAATTAAAGAGAAGTTAGCAGAAGAAGAAGCGCAACGAGAAGAAGAAGCACAGAAATTGGCGAGTCAACGGAAGAATAGTCGATTCCTTGTTGTACCAGTTCAACAAAATGGAATTCAAGGATCATCAGTGAAAAGTTTAAATAACACTCAAAACACATTGAATCCTGAAGAAATGCGAAAGATTCTAACTGACAAACAAAAACAGGATTTGTTTGATAATTCGAAGAAAAAAGGAATCGAATCACATCACACAATTGGGGATATATTTAGATCTATTACAAATCTCAGTTTTGGAAGACATAATGGTCCGAAAAAACCATCGAAAAATGAATTTGATATTTACGGACAGGAGGTATTTTTTTTAATTGAATTGTTTTCTTAAATTTTTAAATTTTGACCAGGAAAGGGAAATGGCGGGATATCGAGAATTTCAAAAGCATGTAAGAAACTATTTATGCTAACTTTATCTTTCTGTTTTCTAATTATCTAATCATGGGGGCTTTAATTTAATCTTCAAAAATATATGTTTCTTGGGCAGCGGGTTTAATTGGTTACAATCAAGAAAAACTATCCTGTTGCTTTTCAGAAAATTGACTGGGAAAAATCAGTTTTGGAAGAGAAGTTGGATTTCTCACTTCTTCACATCGATTCTACGCCATTCCAATTGAGCGAAGCCACGACGCTTTTCAAGGTTTGCATGAGCTTTTGGGGGATTTCTCGTTGTTGTGGGATTTCTGATTCTAGGAAAAAAAAACAACGTGAATTTCAGGCTCATTCGTTGTTTTCTTTGCTTGGATTAAATCGATCTTATGTAACGAGAAAAGGACAATTAATTGGAGTTGTGGCACTAAAAGAGGTAAGAAATTATTGTTTTGAAACCATTTTTTCCCGTGAGTTTAACACGTGACAATTGTTTACTTATTTATCATTTTGATTTTTTTGTTGATAAAAGCAGGTTTAAAAATGTTGCAATCTAAAAGGGTTGGTTTTTTTGGAATGGACTCTGAAATTGTGGAAAAATTCAGAATTTTGTTGATTTTTGATTTACTTAAAATTTAAAAAACAAAAAAAAACAATTTTAAAAATAAAATTATTATTTTCAGCTGCGATTCGCCATCGAATATCTTCAATCTGGCAAAAAACCAATAACCGGAATGAATATATTCCATCAACTTCCCGATCCAATGAGTATTCGAATCGCTCCTCCTCCTTCAACAATTCCACATCAAATAGTTAGCACAATTTCACATGACGCGCGTCTTGAGTCGCAGAAAAATATGGGATTCATTCCCGATGAATTATATGATGATTATTTGAATGGAGACGACGATGGCAGAGATGATGCGGATGATGATTATATTCAACCACCGCTGGAAATTATACGAAGAGAAAATGTGACACCAGATGAAATTAATATTGATTTTGAAAGGGTTAATGAGACGCTTATGTCATTGCCATCAACAAGTTCGTCGTGTGTTGTAAGTTTTTAAGGGGTTGGGGAGTTCAGAGAATCGCTAGATTCCAAATTTTCAGAAAACCTCCTGAAAAAGAAATGAAATACTTTTTTTTTGCTAAATCTTGGGTCAATATTCAATTTTCAAAAGAGTTTCCGTAGTTTCTAAATATTTCTTCAAAGTTTTCGGCCCAGAAAATCCGATTTTCCTTACCTGTTTTCCAATCTTGATTGTTTTTAGAGCATGGATTTGTCTGAAATCCCAAAAGAAGGACCATCTTCCGCAAGAGTTCCTTCAAATTCATTATCAGTTCCAAAAAATGTGCCACGATCGAAATCGGCCAGTGATGTGCAGTAAGTTTTTTCTTTCTTTCAAGGGTAAAAACAGAACTTTTTTCCAATGAAAAACCGCTGCTGCAGAAAAGATTCAACCCTCGCGCAAAGTTGGAGGGTTGGGCCTAAATTGCAAGGTTCCGCACGCTTTTTATGGGTAGATCAAAAAATATTGTTAGTCTGAAACTCACAAAAAGTTTTAAAATTTCAAGATTTTCATAAAAACTTAGTTTTCGAAAAGCATTTTGTTGTTATCAAGTTACTATAAATTAAAAATTTATGAGTTTCAGACACAATTTTAGAAATTTTCTGAAACGTTGTGATTTCTAAACTCGCAAAATTTTACAAGCTGTTGCCGATAGGAAAATGCGTACCCTTTTTACTCTTTTGTAACATTTTTTTAATTATTTTTTTTTATCAACATGTTTTGCACCAAAATAACGTTTCCAGTGATTTCCGTTCGAACCCGGTGATTATTAAATTGCCTGAAGAAGAAGACGATGTTCATGATGAAAAATTGTGAATTTTAAAATAATAATTTTTTAATTAATTAGTTAATTAGGTACGGGTTTCAGATTTTTAGTCATTTGTTGACGTGTGATTTTTTTGTATATTAGGATGTTTTTTGCTTGTTTTTTGAATTTTGACATAATAAATTACGTTGTTTCAAGTAATGATTTTTAAAATGTTTCATCGCCCACATAAATAGAATAGAAGTGTGTAAAATGAGCCTAAAGTGCGCGCGCGAAAGAAATTTGAAACTTTTTCAGTCGGACTATTTTTTTTATCTCATCTAATTTTTTTACATTTTCCCTCCAACCTCCAACTTTTTTTGAAGTTATTGTTATTGTTTTGGTTTTTTTGTTGAAAAATATAATAATTTTGGCGGAACGCCGAGGTTTGACGCGCATTTTTGATGAGAGCCCCCTTTTTTGACTCCTGAAAATATTTTTGTTTTTTTTTTTTTGGGAAGAGAATGGAATAAAAAAAGACCTTGAGAATTGTTGAATTCAGGTTGGTTTTGGAGTGTAAATAGTATTATTTTTTACGGGAATGTTTTGATTTTTGACGAGCTGCGGGAGTACTGTAGATTTTTTGACGGGTATTTTCAGAGTTTCAAAAAATTATGGCTCAATATTTGAGCCTTTATTTAGAAACCCAAGTTTTTCCCAAATTTTTCGTGAATTTTAATTGTAAAAAGAATTAGGCCAAAAATAAAAAAATTTTCTAATTACAAATTTTAAAAATTCTTTTATTCAAGTCAGAAAAATTTCAGAAGGCTTCATATTTCAAAACTTAGTTTCGGAAATATTTTGAGGTAAAATTTTCATTGTTTTCTAAAATATTTTTTTCGAAAAAAAAAGGAATTTTCAAATAAAATTTTTTCACTGTTTCAAAATTTATTCAAATTTTTCAGTAGAAAAAATGATTTGATGGTAGTGTTAGGAAAAAATCATGAAAATCGCAATTTCACAGAGTCTTCGAAATAAATTTGTGTTTTTTTTTTAACTTTCGTCAAAAAATTAGATCTGAAGAGATTCTTTTTTAGAAATCCTGCAAATCTGGTCCGAATCTAAAACTCCGCTTTATCTTTGCCCAAAAAACAGAATAATTCCGTAAAGTGCAACGTGTTTTCACAAAGTTTTGTCCATTCTCCATTTTCTATTCTATTTCCATACCTTTCAATCAAAACATTCGCATTCTATTCCAAAATTCCTAATTTTCCGCCTGAAAAATCTCAACTTTTCGTCTTTTTCTCCCCAATTTCTTCCTCGATTTTCCCGCTTTTTTCCTCTTCTTTTTGGCTCATTCAAAATGGGCGGAGCTTTCATAGTGAAAAAAGAGGCGACAGAAAAAACATGAAGGAGGAAAAGGGGATCATTTTATTCGCTCTACTCTTGATTCCTTTTTTCGAGAGCACAGCTGAAACATCTGTTGAACTTCTTCTTCTTCTTTTTTTTCATATGAATATCTATCTATCAATCTTTTTTGTATGTATTTATTCAAACATCTTTGTTTTCCTAGAAGACATCTGGTTTTATATTCAAGACGCGAATTTTTGCAGGTTTTTTGTTCGGAAATTCTAGTAAATATGATGGACGGAAATGATATGCGTATGAAAATGTTTTTTGATGAATATCGCAAATTTTTGGCTGTTTTTGATGATATTTTATCAATGAGGGTGAGCTTGATTTTGGAAACTTTTATAAAAATTAAAAAAAAAATTCAGGAATCAATGTCTCGCCTGGAAAAATATATGATTATTATGGTTTGTCAAGTTACAGTCGCTTTAGCGGTGAGTTTTAGTTTCAAAAATTACAAGTTTAAATTTAGGTCAGGGGTAAATCATGAGAGCACACAGTTCTCAGATCCACGTTTAGAACTTTGACTCAAAATGATTAAACAAATTAAAAATTGATGAAATGGAATATTCTTATTCTCCTCATTTTTTTCATTTTTCAAAAAAAAAATATTTCCAAAGAAACCTTTCCCCCTTCCCTGTCTCCCGACGACGAAAAAAAACATATAAAAAATGATGAGATTTTTTGCTTATAAATTTGCTCTAAATTTGCTCTCAGAACGTTTTTGCACTAAAAATAAAAGCAAATGTATAATAATAATTGGCAGTTAATATTTTCCCAACCAAAAAAGATTAAACCTGCCAATTACTTATACTAGTTTTATTCAATTTTGGGCTGTTGGCATGGTGGCTTTAGCTGATAAATTTGAGAAACTCACACGAGCTAGGGAAATTTATTTGGATCAATTTTTTTTTGAAAAAAGGTGATGGCCAATAAATATATTTTTTGTGACATGAAAAAGTGCATTAGTCATTCATTCCTGCATTTTTTTGTGCTTTTTGGAAAATGAGAAGAAGATGAAGAATAAGAAAAAGCACAAAAAAAGAAGTTTGTCAAAGGAGCAGTCGAGTAGAAACAACAAATAATGCATTTTACACATAGAGTTTGGGATTATATTTATTTATTTATATACTTGCTTTTTTGGAAAGTACTTTAGGGATATTTGAGATCTGGAAAAGATATAAATCATAGGTTTTAAAGGAGTTGGGTTGGTGAGCAATGGAAATGGAAATGGAACTGAATTTTCGAATTTTCAACGAGATCTATTGGAAAAAGTTTCAGATTTTATAGATCATAAATATATGTGAACCTAAAAAATTTTTTCTGTTAATCCGTTTTTATTTTTCCACAAAATTTTAAGTGATTTACAAAATTAACTTCTAAATTTAGATGAAATTAAAATAAATCTCAAATTATCAAACGGTGTAAATCTCAATTTTGAGATCCTAAAATTAGGTTGTCCAAAAAATAATCTCAAAGAAAAATGAAAAAAATGTAATAAATCAAAGTTTATTACAGAAAGTCTAGGGATAAACAATATCTAACACATGAGTTTTTAAAAATATTAAATAAATTTACTGTTTCAAAAATTTAATAACTAAAAATTTGGTTAGAATTTATGATTGGATGCGTCATATTTTTTCGTGTACCCAGAACATTTCCTTGATCATCACTAGATTATATTTCTCTCTGAAATTTTACATATGTATGTGTAATAATGCACTTGTCAATTATTATTATTATTATATTTCGCACATTTGTTTTGTTTGTCACTTTTCTCATTAATCATCAAACATTTGCGGTTTTTGTTACACATTTTGTGTTTTCTTTCAAAACTTCTCCGTGAGTGTTTCAAAAAATGATCCGGGTTTATTTTTGCTGCTCATAGTAGTCACAATTAATCAACTCTTCTTTCTAAAAACATAATGTTCGTGTGGTTGAAATGAGGACGAATTAATCAGAATTGAAGATTAGCAAAAAAAGCGGAGAAAATGATAGATTGTGTTAGAATACTAATTGAAATTAACTAGAACTCGTGTTCTTTTCCAACATGGAACAAGAAATTTCTATTTCAGGGTGGCGTCATTTTTATGTGCTTTCGGTTTTTTCACACCCAAAAACAGCGGGGCGAGTACGAATTGGAACACAGATTCGAACGTGGTCCGTCTGGTCGGGTGCCGGCCGCTCAAGCACTCTCACATCACAAAATCAACAAATCTGGACCACCACCTTGAGGAGGATGAAGATTATGATAATTGTTCACAGCCCGAATCATGTCCTTCTTTAGTGTCAGGTTAGGCGCACATCTAACTACGACGATTACTGTAGTTTCAGAAACGAATCTAGAAAATTCCGAATTCAAATTGCAAAAAGTATTAGGAATGTTTTAGAAGATAAAAATGTTTCTATATTTTTTCGGCCAAAAAAATTAGGTCCCAACACATTTCGAACTTTGTTTAAGTAGAATTATTATTTTTTTTTAATTTTCAAAACCCGTTTTATTCCAGGCCCATCAACCTTTCTCCATTTTCCTTCAACCCCTCCACCATCAATTTTCCCAACAACTTCAACAAATTCTTCATATTCATCTTCACGATCCAAAAAATTGCATCGAAAAAGATCTCATTCTCTAAATTCTTCCACAATTTCATTTTCAACAACTCAATTTTTGCCACGTAGTCGATCTTATTCATCAATTCCAACAATTGATAGAACAATCAGTGAAGATTCGATGCTAATTATCAAAAAATTGTAGAAACGGGTGTTTGTTTTTCATTTTCTACTTATTTGTGTATGTTTAATAAATTTATTTGACAACGTGATCTAGATTATTCCAGGCAGAAAAAAACTGATTTTGAGAGGCACCTATTTTTTTTAGATCGTGATGTCATTAAACTGTGAGTTTTAAATCAGACAAGTGAAATTAGGGACAGACCCGACATTGAATGTATCGGATTTTAGTCAAATCCTCCAGTAATAGTTAATGATATTTTCTTTCGTTTCAGAAAACACGTATTGTTCGAAAAAAGTCAGAAACAAAAATAAATATCGAAAATGTTAATATTATCCATCTCAGCTTTCCCAATTCTAATATTTTGCTGCAAACGAAAGAAGAAGAATTGGAAAACCGCATCAAGTTCCACAACAAATTGCAGCGGAACATTGAAAAACCCAGCACAATCTGCAACAAATATCACACCAACTCAAACAACTCCACAAAAGCAGAAAAATGGAAAAGAGGGAAATCAAGCAGTTTCAACTTTCAATTTAGATGTTACTCAAATTGATGTTTTGCAACAACAACAGCAACAACAACCAGATAAAATTATGAATAAAAAAGAGAGACAATCTTCGAAAAAAGTTGAAATGAAGAAAAGATCGCAGAAAATGACAAAACAACAAATTGAGAAAACAGCGATGGCAACAACTGGAAAAGGTGCAAAACGATCGAAACAACCATCGCTTGTGACAACTTCGGTTACGCAAAATGTTGATACGAAGGATGTGACAAATGAGCAGACTAGGCAAAGTACCATGTGAGTTTGGCAGAAATCAAGGCTGATCAAAAACACAAGCCTCCAAAATATTTAAATTTTCTTTTTTTTCAGTGGAGCTGAGCCAGAATTCCTTCCATCTGATCACGAAGATGACACTTTACGATGTGTAAAAAGTATACGAAAATCATAACATTTTTTTTGTTTTTTTTTCAGTTCAATAAACATTCTTCTTTTTCTCGTTTAAACCAATCCATAACTCAAATATTGTTTACTTACTCTAAATACCTTTGGTTCGAACAAAAAAAAAAGAGGAAAAAATGATGAATTTCTCGAAACAGAAAGCAACAAGAGTTTTTTTGAATAATGGGCAACATTTTTCTACGAGGGTATTTGTTGGGAGTAATCCGTGTTGTAAAAAAAAGCAGGGTTCTCTAAAAAATTGAGAATTGGGGAAATTCACAAGGAAGGAAAAAGGAAAATCAAAATGGATCTCCAAAACTGCGAACACTGACCTGAAGCAAAGTTGCTCCGTTGGGCAATTTTTTAAAAGTTTTCTTGCGATCCGTATTCTGCGCAGGGCTCACTAGTTTTTGAAAAAACCATCAAGAAAAATCTTTCATTTACAAAACATCATCCAATCATTTCACTCCTAATTAGCTTCTTGATCTAATCGCCAGCATGTACAAGTTGGAATATGTCTTGAAAGATTCCTGAAAAATTTCCCATTTATCAATATTTATTTTCTTCAAATCTTCTTACCTCAGTTATGAAGTTATTGGTCACACCATATTCCAAAACAAGTTTTCGAATAAGCAAATATTGTTCAAAAGTTTGGACAGATCCACATCTTCCTTTGATTCGAAGATCAGCCACAATATTTTGGATTTCTGGTGGATTGAAATTCTCCATTGCACAAATAGCAATTTCAGTCGCAATTAATGTTCCAGATCTTCCAATTCCAGCTGCACAATGAATTATTGTTGGAGTTGTATCTTTTCGAACTCTTGATAATATTTGAAGAATTGATTTGGTAGAAGTTGGACTTGGAACATTGAAATCAGGCCATTCCAAGAATTGATAATGGTTTATAATTCGAACTGGCTCATTTTTGAAACACAATTTCAGTTTTGTGCAAATCATTCCTCGCTCCTTTGTGATACTTTGATTTTGGATGAAAAAATTATCGTGAACATTGTCTAAACGAAAAATATTTCCTTCAGAAAGTGGATAATATTTCGAGCATTTTTCTTTTCCATTTTCGAAAAAATCACAAAGCATTACAATTGATTTGGTTTCTTCCTGCCAAACCATCCGCCAAAAATCCGAAATTGTATTCGATTTGGGTGCTTGTGTCAAAATATATCGATGTTGTAGATATTGATTGGCCACATAATTCGCATGAATATATCCCGAACCTTCTTCTTTTTCACTCAAGAAATTCAAAATAACTCGAGATTGTTCAAGACACCGAATATCGAGATAACGATTCTTGCGGCGATTCACAGGGTTCAAAAATGCTGCGCATTTTTCGTTTGGCGGTTGAGTTGGAAGATGTTCGAATTCATAAAGCAATTCATCTAATGTAACACGTTGACATTTTGCAGCAAAATCTATGAACTTTTTGCGGCGAGTTTGAAGAATGCTTTGTGTTGGAGCCAAGGAGACTGATTTTGCTGACTTCTGAAACAAAATAGTATTCTTTGGAATTCTTGATGTTTTTTGCATACCCTGTTGGCATTTGATGTTTCAGGCGATGCTTCCGAACTCAATTGACTCGTGCCAATCACACTTGGCAAGTTCTTCAAAACCTTCGGCTTGATAACTTTCTCCGTGTCCGATTCTCCATCAAACGATTGTCCCAATTTAATTGGTCTAACTTGTTTTGAAACGTTTTTGGTCTTTTCATTTGACGATGATTTGGTCTTTTTGGTGTTTACCAACTTCCGACCAGCTTTTTCCTTTTTTGAAATATTCGATGAAGGTTCATCCGAATCCGATCTAATTGTAGTTGTTTTTTGAAGTTTAGATTTAGTATTTCTTTTCAGTTCATATCCTGATGTAGTCTGAAATACAGTATATTTTTGCTTGCGATGATAATCTCAGAATAGACTCACTTTATTGTTCTTATTCATGTTTCTACTCTACCAACACTACAAAATACCGGTTTTCCCCAAAATCACGGCTTTTATGTGCCTTGCCACGTTCAATTAGTTCACGTAAATATTTTAATTTTCTTTCAAACAAATAGTTTTTTTTGATTCCAAAAATGTGTCAGACTACAAAATATTTGTGTTTGCATTTTTATTTTTCAACACAATATAATACATTAATAACACTTGAGAATATCTTTGGAAATCGGATATTTTTTGCCGGCTTCTACCTGTTTTTGTTTATTTATTTATTTATTTATTTATTTATCTTATACAAATATGTGAAAACAACAGGTGTACTTGTTTATCTGCCAGGAAAAACAGTTTGAAAATTTTGAAATTAAAAAATAGTTTGATTTCTAGTTGTATATTTTTCAAGAACGAAAGTTGATTTTGAGATCAATTTTTTCAAATTTCAAAAAATTTGCACCAATGTACTTTGAGCCAAGTTCTGAGCTTTCAAAAATTGCTAAAATTGGCTCATAAAACTCATCATGACCATTTCAATTTTCCCTTCAGAATACTTTGTTGAAAAAATCATAAATGATTTTCTCAAGTAATTTTTTTAACCAAGATATCGCAACTCGAAAAATTTACACAATAATTTTTTGAAACTTGCGATGATTTTTCAAATCTTGGAGAATTTTTGGATTAATTTTTGTATTCCAAAAATTCCCAATCAACCCAAAATTTCCGTCATCGCCCTTCTTCTCAATATTTGACCATCTGCGAAACAACAATAACTAAATGAAGTTACGTTAATCGAGTGGAGGCAAAAAAAGAAAAAGAAGAAGACACTTGATTGACCTTCTTCGTCTTTAATCCAATAATCCGAGAGAACTACAAAACACCAAGAGAGACTCTCTAACTCTCTGTGTTTTTTCTGATCGAAAACAAACAATTCGTGATTGTTCAAGTGGACGAGAACCATATTCAGAAACAAAAAAAAACTTGAGTTTTGAAATTTATCATATTCCTCATGTTCTCTGCGTCTCTGACCTAATTCTATATATTATAATAACCTTTCGTTCCACCCAATCGCTTCTATTGTGCTTCCCGCGCAGGATTCCACTTTTTTCGATTTCTTCGAAGCTCCGCCCATTTTTCTACCACTCCATTTTTGGATTTATGTATAATTCAATCGAAATTGTTAAAATATTTTTGTAAAAATATCTGATTCGAATACTTGATTCCCGCATTTTTAAACTACGGTAGCTCGAAGAGTACGTAATTGCTTAGGGACGTGTCTACACACCGTGCTTTCTCAAAACTTCCAATTTTCATAGTGACCATTATTGTGATCTTCTGAACCGGAACCATGGTTAAATTGAGCACAGTGTGTTTCTCTCTCTCTCCAAGGCTCCCCCCATGTTGACTTTTGTCATTTTTGTGTTGTTGCTGGCGCACTTTTTGCCTCCTGCCTCTTATGTAAATATCCTCGTCTCTCAGTCTCATTCACTGACCACCACACCTGCTTGTTTGTCCATCCATTTTCTACAGCCAGTCAGAGACTATTTTTAAATCACCACTTTTCAGATGCGACTCATTTTTCTTGTTTTTCTGGTTACTGTAACTACAGTATGTGTGGCTTATGATATTGAGTGCAAATGGAAAAATAATATAACAGGTGAGCCAAAAAAAATTTGAATTTCGATCTCTTTTTTCCAAAATATACTATCCGAGGTTTAAAGGAATCAAAAAATATATTGGAAAAAATAAGTCACGTTGAACATCCCGTCGATAGCTCAGTTGGTAGAGCGGAGGACTGTAGAGTCAGTGGGTATCCTTAGGTCGCTGGTTCGAATCCGGCTCGACGGAATTTTTTTGTTTTTTTAAAAAAAAATTTTTTCTGAAAATTCCGCAATATGGGAAACTTTTTGATTATAATTGAAAAAAAATACATTTATTTTTTTTTAACAAATAGGATTCTTGACCCAAAATGTATAATTGTTGTGTGTCTGTATCCAACCAGTCAAAAGAAACGCAAGATTGACCATTATAATCGGGCCAGATAATTGTTTTTCAAAAAAAAATGCGTTAGATGATCATGAGATGACAGAAAAAAACAACCGAAAAGTTAATCGGTGGGATTTTGTGTTCTTTTTTTTACAGACATCGAAGATGTGGCACATCATAAATATCAGGTTTTGGAAGAATGTCTGTTTTATAAGCTGACAAATGAAGCAGATCGAATGCAAGGTATGAACAAAAAGAGAAAAGATTTGAGAAAAATAGAAAGAGTTTAGGTAAATCCAACTCATTAATGCTTCTTCCACCAACTGTTGCTGCTGGAGAAACTCTTGAAGTTCAAATTCTTGATGGATCAATTCGAGAAATGTGGATGAATGAGATTTTCAAGGAGATGAATATTAATGGATTCTTGAAAGTTGTGAGTAAATTTTCGGGTGAAAACATGGGTGAGGTTTAAAAGTTATTTTAAAAGAGACCTGTACCTCCCTTTAACTTCAAACTTTATTTGTTTATTTTATATTTTATATATGCTCAAAAAACCTACAGTACTCTGAAATATTTTCCAGACTACTGTTCTCTAAAGTTTTCTTCTAAAAAAACATAATGTTGGTAGCTTATTACACAACCCTTCCTAGTTTCAAACTACAGTAACAGCATAATTCTGCCAGATTACTGTAAACATTGATAATTTAAATAATAAAATCTCAATTAATTTTTTTCAGTCATGGAAAGATCGCCGTCTTCGCTGGAATCCAGATGAATGGAAAACTGAGAACTTGAAAATCAAATCATTGGGAAGATTATGGGTACCAGACATCAACTCGGATAAGTAAGAACTTCCATTTACATAGATCTTTCATGTCAACCCAATATTTTTCAGACATCAAACCGTTGCACAATCAGTCGATTATGTAACATTCAACGATTTGCAAAGTAATTCAAACGGAAATGTGACAGCAAGTTTGGAATTCAGAATGCACGCACAATGTGATATTGATTATACCGAATATCCAAATGACAAAAAACATTGCTGTTTTACTTTGCAATCATCGTTGTATAAAAGATATATCAAATATTTTATTGAACACGAAGGAGGAAGTGGTAATTGGAGATTTTCTCTTTTTTTTCGAAGAAAAAGTTGAACTTTAATTTCAGATATGTTGGATATGTCGAGTATTCGAACCAATTGGCATGTCGATAAAAGTAACTCTTGGATTCTCAAAGGTACACAAGAAGGAGATAATCATGCTGAGAAGATCGAGATCTGTCTCGCAGTCAACAGAAAATCCTCAACTTTAGCTCTTGAACTCACACTCCCAGTTCTTATTTCGGCTCTTATTCTCCTAATTGCTCCATTTTTCGGAAAGTTCAATCAACAAATCTACGTTAAAATGTTTGCACTTCTCCTTCAATTTATGAGTTTCCAATTTCTTGCCGAGAAAACACCACAAATTGGTTTCGGAAATACAGTTCCAAAGATTTGTGAGTTATTTTTGTTTGGAAGACTATTGTAGAACAAGGATAATACTTTCTAGATGTATTCTATGCTTTCACAATTGGTATGACAGTTTTGTCATTAATCGCAACAGTCATGATTTCTGCAATGAGTCGAGTTAAAAGAAAGGTTCCACCAGCACATCGATACACTTTATTGGCATCAGTTTTGAATGCAAATCTTTGTTGTGGATCAGAAGAAGAACCAACCACTGATGGAACATCCAAAGTGAGTTATTTTTTCCCAAAATGTTTTTTTCAAATATCTCAACTGTAGATGTCTCAGGATGCGTCATCTGATTGGCTTCAAATTCACTCAGCTCTCAATAATATTGCCTCAATCTTTTTGATTCTAATCTACATCATCGGTGCAATCACAATCGCTTTTTAAAATGAAAAAATAAGAAGTTGATTTATTTATTTATTCACTTTTGTACATATTTGAGAAATAATAAAGACTTCAAATCAACATGTTCTTTTTCAATGTACTTAGTTATCAAAATTCCAATCTCCAACTGGCATTCCACAAATATGGCCATTCAAAACTGTGTTTGGTCTGAAAAAAATTTCGAAATTTTTCAAAATTTCCAAACTTACGCTATATCATTCATAATATTTACAGAACTCCATTCACAATACACTGATAAATGTGTTTCAGTTATATTATCAGAATTTCTGACAGAAGGTTCATTTGTACTCCAATTGATTAAAGGAGGTGATTGTGTGTAGTTGTTTGTCCATTCAAAATCATTGCAAATAACTGTTAATCCATCATAACAATCTGATTTTCTTTGGCCATCAATTCCAAAAAATTTTCGACCAGGTGATCGTTTTCTAATTTCTTCAGCAATATAATTGATTTCATTTTGATTATCAAAACCCGCAAGAAAACAAGAATACTTTGAACAATAGTTCAAGTCAAATAGTACCAAATTTGTTGATTCAAACAGATTTATACAATAATATCCACGTGTTCTTCTGAATACTTTCCACCCATAACAACTTGTTACATTTACATTATAAAAGTCATCCGATATTTCATCAAATTGATAGTTCATTTGAACCAATATTACCAGATAATTCGAGATCATTGAATACTGGACAAAAATCTTTATTCAAATTTATCTGAAATTTTATAGAAACTTAGATGAACTATCCAAAAAAAAGAAAAACCTTGATTCCAATTCTTTCGTCTAAAATTTCGTTTTTTGTAAAATTATCAAATTGATCAATTGAATAAATTGTGCAAATATTGTTGTAAGTAAAGGCAACACAATCAGTATTATCGAGACATAATGTAACACAAGAATCATAATCAATATCAGAGGAACTTAAATTATTAATCGCTTCTAGAGTACCTCTGAACATAACCATTGTGTTGGTCGATGTCTGAATTTTAACACGTGGGTAAAAAGGGTACGCCATTTCCTATCGGCAACAGCTTCTAGATAAAAAAATTTTGCGAGTTTAGAAATCACAACTTTTCAGAAAATTTCTAAAATTGTCTCTGAAACTCATGAATTTTGAATTTCTAGTAACTTGATAACAACAAAATGATTTTTTTTTGTTTAGATTCAAAAGTGAGCACCAGGGCGGACTTTTTTCCTGACGGTCAGAATTTCAAAAATAGCTCTGATTTCCAACCAATCCTGAGTTTTAAAAGTCAAGAAACTTACAGCATGTTTCAAGCAAATTATAAGAAGCAACACAAGCATTTTCATTTTGAAAAAATGTTTTCTAATGTTTTACATGAAATTCTTTTGGGCATAAATTAAGAAATTTCGAAAAAAAATCATTTTGTATCTATGGAGAAAAAAACTTTTGTAGTAAATGTACATTGCCCAAAAATTCCATAAAATTTCAAAAAATTTATGAGAAAACCCGTGTGATGAAATTGAAAGTCAAAAAAATTGCTAAAAATGTGCTATAATTAGTGTTCCAGGATGAATTGCATAAATCATTGTTACATTGACAAATACTCACATTTCGAAAATCGCCAAGAGCTCTGAAAATTTTTCTCATTTTATGATCTGAGAAAAATATAAAACTCACAATTCAGATGGCTCTTCTCCGGGAACGCGACATGTGTGATTGATTTTATGAATCGATGGGAATTTCGAAAAACAATTTCGTAACACAATTTTTTCTCCTTGAAAATTGAAATTCATTTTTGCACAAGAACCTGAACATTGAACATGTGGAGTATTGAAAAATGTCAATTGAGCTGTTAATGCCACGTCAGCACATCCTGATGAAACTATTGGGTGCGAGATTTGAAGCTGAAATTACAAAATTGGCTCATTTTTTGAAAAAAATTTGTTTTTTTTTTAAAAAAACTTTTTTTCTTTGAAAATTTTGAAACAAGCTTTATGTTTTTCAAGTGGAATTCGGTGATTTTTCGTTATAGAATTTTGTGAAAATTTTGAAACAGTGAGATTTTTAAAATTTTTGTAAACTAAATCTTTTTGGGGCTCAAAAATTTAACTCAAATCAGAGGTCACATAATTTTGAAAACGTTTCTGATCACATCTAACTTTTAGCCTCGCTTAAAATCCAAATAACCTACCCTTGTTAATTCGTCAAAAAGTTCCGTCAAATTATCCTTTGTCTGTGCTGGTGCAACTTGATCATTTGGTGAGAGAACACGCTGTCTAGAAATAAGAAAAGATGTTCACATGACTCTCAAATTTCATAAAATAAAATCTCAAAAATCAACCAACCAACCCACCTATAATTTAATGCTATACAAGAATAACAATGGGCCGAGTGAACTTTTTTCGATATTGAATAGGATAGGAATCAGGTAGAGAAAAATCAAACGACCAATTTCAATTTGTTCGAAACGCATACATTCAAATCTGGAAAAAAACAAGAAAACTTTGTTTAAAAATATCAAAAAGACAAACGAGAATAGAAGAAATATTCTCGTTTCCAGAATTGAGTTTTTTTTTTCAAATTGAATTTTTCCTCCGTTTTTTTTGGGAAAAATTGAGGGCGGAAGAAAGAAGAAACCCTATAATTTCTTATGAAACAAATATCAATAACCAGCCAAAAAAAGTGAAATTGAAATACGCGGCGAAAAACCTTTTCGACATCAAACTAAATAAATATTTCATTTTGAATTTTAAATTAATTCACACACGATTTTGGTTGACTTTTTGTGGAAAAGTTAGAAAAACAACAGAAATGCGGAAAAAAGTTGATTGAGTGAGGAGTAAGGTTGGTTAGCCATGTCTCATTAGGCAAATAGAGAAAGAAGAAGAAGAAGAAAAAAGCAAGAAGAAACTAGGAAAGAAGAAGAAGAAGAAGTGGCCATATCAATTTCGTTTCTTGTGACTGACATGAAAATCGAGAAATAAAAAAAAGAATGATCACTAAACCAAAATGTTCCGGATCTTTTTGAAATTGGGGGACGATGTTGCAAACGTGCTCTATCTAACAAATTATTTTTCTAAGCTCCAAATGAGCTATCATTGAGGTAATAGTTATTCAAATCATTATTTGTAAATTAATATCGTCGGAAAAAATTTACTGTTTCAACTTGGTAATAATTTTTTCCTCGAAAATTTAGTTTTATGAAGATTTGAAAATTATAAAATTTCCTTGAACCTCAAATTTTGTTAAAAGAGCCTATATTTTTGGAATTCCAAAAAACCGAAAGCTTTTCTCAAAAACAAAAAGAAGCTTCAAAGGCTGTTGTTATCTCATCATGCAACATGTTTTTTTATTCCCAACTACCAAAAGTGGCCATAAACTCTTCACATCAAGAAGAAAAAAGCAAGAAAATCGAACAAAAAGTCTATTCTTGTCCATCTTTGGAAAAAAAAGAACAAATGAATAATGCGGGTTTTACGAGCTTATCTTCTCTTCTTCTTTTTTCGAAGTACACTTTTCTTCTTTGATGGATTTTTGGTGAAATATTCATTGTGGGGGCGTTTAAAGTAGGTTGGAGAAGTTAGAACTTTTAGTTCAACATCTTAAAAATTCTGAAATCATTTTAAATTTAGGGGGAACTTTTGATTCTGAAACTAAAAAGAGCATTATGTTCGAATTTCAAAATTCCAAAAAAAGTAACTCGAGTTCTTCTCATTCAAACAAACAAGATTCCTGGAAAAATCCTTGGCCATCGAAAAAAAAGTGAAAAGTGAAAAACAGACGTAGATATCACATGAATAAATAAATTGAACAACTTTTTTTCTCGCTTCGCGTTCTTTTTTTCTTGCGGCTTCTTGAGAACACATAACTCTTGTTGAAAAATGTGAAACGGGAAACAAATCATTTTTTTTTTGCATTTAGTACCGGAAAACACGAGAAAAAAGGAATAAGAATAAAAGTTCAAAACAATTTGGTACATTTTTATACTTATGTATTTTGTGGTTTGGGGTTTGGGTAGGAGCAGCATTTGCAGCATTTTTCTAGTGCAAAAAATTTTTGGACACAAAAACACAGCGTGTAATTTAAGAGACAGTTTTGAACTCTTTTTCGATCATAAAATAAAAAAAATGCAAAATGAAAATGTTGCTTTTTCATTCTCTCAAAATTTTTCGACCGGAACTTTTTGCTTCCTGAAAGCCACGTTAATTATCCAAATAAAGTTTGGTTCGTTTTTCTATTCGGTTTCAAATTTTCCTAGAATTACATCTTTGTTTTGGGGAAAAATAAGGAAAGCTAACAGAAAAAATATTCTGACACATAAAAAATCCAATTTCCTAAAAGCGACGAATTAAGGAGCCATTAATCAAATTACAGAAAAAATCAAATGTGTTTTTCTCTTCTTTTTTCCATCTGGAAATTTATTTGAAAGAAGGAAGATTTATAGTTTTCCAGATGGCTATAATTTGACGAATTATTTTCAGTTTTCAATGAGAAATCTCGACAAAATTTGAAAGAATAATTGAGAAAAAGAAAAATATTCGAAAACAATAACAAACGAATATTTTTTCAAGAGAAGAAGAAGAAGATGTCAAAAAAAGATTGACAAGTCTTTTTCCGATTTTACTATTTTGTTTTTTTTTTCAAAAATTGGAAAATTTGGATTTGAACTATATCGGTTCTCGAAATGAGTGTCAAAATTAAACTTCCTGGAAATAAATTTGATCTCAGAATGATGAACGATTCGAATGAATTTGTAATTTATTACCAAAATCTCTGAACCTCTGAACTTTCAAGACTGTTTTGTGGAAGATCAAAATTCAAAGACTTTGTGAAAAATTTAAAAATATTCTGAAGACTACTTTTTTTCCACAGAATTCTTGAGCTATTTCCACAGAATTCCTGAGCTATTGCTTGTTCCACGTAGGCCTACACCCCCCCCCCTTTCCATCAAAAAACCATTCCGATATCCTTCATCCCTGCTTTTCCTTCCCTTTTTCATCCATCCTTAGTTCTATGTGTTTTCGACATTATCTGAATACAATTTCAAACACAAATCGTGTTGTTTTTCAAGATGTTTTGTAGTTGTATAGTTTTTTTCGAGAACTACTTTTGTAGCTGATCTTCGAGTTCATAAAAATATTTATTTATACAGAAAATCACAGTATCTTGTATCAATTAATCAGAATCGTAAAGATATTCAATGTCGTCCAACTCGAAAACTCCAGTGTTTGGTGCTTTTGGTGGTGGTGAGAATATATCTTTGATCACGTAGAATGCTGAAAATTTCAGATTTTGTTTTGAAATCTTGAAAGTTATCAACCTTGTCTCAACCCCCATCTCAAACTGCAAAATTGTTTCTTGATAAATTGTCGATTTGGAATCATGAAAATCAGGCCAATTATATTGTAAACAGTTGGATAGAAAGACCAAAGCCACAAAATATATGAAATTGTGACATTGTTTTGTAAATTGAAGAGCAATGATAAAATTGTTAAATAAATCGGGATATTGATGAAAGCGAACATGGAAAAAGTCTAGAAAAATTGAAAATTAAAAATGGGATATCAATTTTTTTGGTAACCTGAATTTCAAGAGTTGTTTTCCATTGAGCTAATGTATGTTGATGAATCACTGAAAATCTGTCAGAATTGCTTCGAAGAAGTGTTGAAAAACCGTGGAGATAAATTCGAATTTTCAAATCATTGTATACAGTGATTGAAACAATGAAAAGCAGAAAAACATGGGAAAACCAATTGAAAGAACATTCTGAATCGAGTATTGGGAGAAGATTCTCAGATGAGCAGTTCTATAATATTCTGATGTTTATTGTTTTCTCTTCTAAACTTACATAAAGAGAGAGACTGAGATGGGCTGTTTCATTCAATTCAATTCCAAAACCCTCTCTTATTATATCAATGTGTTCAGTTGGAACATTTTGAGCCAAAGCGAACCAGAAAATCATTGCGATTAAGAATCCATAGAAAATAGCAGCCCAATAACGAGCCTTGAATTTGTAATAAACATCGACGACGTGAAGGAACAAATCAACTTTGACAAGATGTCTTTTACGAAACAAAACATCAAGAACTTGAACTCTAATAAGGGCAAAGACACTTCCAATAAACAAACATTGATAAAATCGGGTGAATCCAAGGTGAGACGATGGATTTACGTTGAAAACAACCAATGAAGTTTTGTGGATGTGAAGGGTCTTAAAGACATTTAGGTAAAATTTGGAACATGGAAAAATAGTTTCGAAATAAGATGATTAAAAAATCTCCCAAAAATTTAGGTCCCCAAATAAAATAAATGCCGACTTCTATTCCTGTTCTACGATTCACCCTAAAAATATTACCGATTGAGCCATAACTCCAAAATACATCATAAAGAGCGCAAGAACCGTATAATTGATTGTCAGTACCGGATAACTTTTCATAAATTGCATGTTGTTCGATGCAGCCATTATTGTTTGACACATAATTAACCCGGAGAACAAATGACCCAAGAAGATCAAAGTGTCCAAGTATTCGGTCATTTTCTAAAAAAAAAACAAAAAGTGTTTCAGTAGTTCATAAGGGCAACTCTCAAATGCAATAAAATAAAATGAAATGAAATGAAAAATAATGGAATAATAATAATGTATATATTTCAAGAGTAGGCGGGCGGTAACTATGCCAACACAAACAAAAAATGATTGTAAAAAAAGGCGAGCATTGAAATCTGGAAAAAACAAAGTAGAACTTAAATCCGCAGGCAGAATGAAAATGAGGAGAAGGAAAGGTGGGCTTTAGAAATGTGCTCATGTTTGGAAAATTGATGAAAATGAGAAGGGGCAGTTTCTGACATCTGGATAACTGGTGTTAAAATTTTTGGAACGGAACTGTCTCATTTTTTTGAAGTTTAAAAAATGAATCCTGAAGTTGAAGTGGAAATGACGTGGAAAACCGTACTAATATTGCACATGGATTACTATGACGTGGAAACCCTAGAGATACACTACCATCTGGCACGAACTATGACGTGGATAAGAAGAATTCGAATTAATTTTTATGACGTGTGAAGTTTTTTCTCTCTCAAAAATTTCAAATTATAGGTTTCAAATAACTTTACTGAACAAACATCAAAAAAAAGTTTCTATGGAAACATTTAGTTCGAGGCGCTGGATGTTCAATATCGAAATATATCAGTTGTTGGTAGCACTTCATTTTCACGTGTTCTTACTGAAAATTTGAAATTTATATTTATTCCAAAACTCTTGCAACGCAACCTCTATGAATATATACTTTGATATCCTCGTATTTTTGTTGAATCCAGTCATGATGGGAGTTTTCGAATAGTATCAGCATAATTGAAATCGAAAACAAAGTTTGGGAAATGTAATGAATGAAAATGATATCACTTGGATCGTATGATAATTTGTATTCATACGAAACGAGAAGGAAAAGACTGAATGGGATGAAAATGTTGCAAAATTGGAATATCAATCGGAAAATCAGAAATCGATATAATCTAGTTTCAATTTTGCTTGGCTTGAGAAATCTTCGATTGTTCAATTTAGTTGTAAAAACTCGATATATCAATACACTGAAGAAATTGACAATGAGACAAATGGTTCCAATATAACAAATGGAATTTACGATAAATCTTCCATTTTCAGATTTTCTCCAGTCGAAAACAATCGATGTTTTATTATTCTCGATTTGCTCCAAAATATGAGCATAACTTGCTGAGAGAAACAATAATCCAATGATGATAATTGCAATCGGCAAAAGACCACATATAATTCGTCTGAAAATAATTGAGTGGGAAAGATTTGCGATTCGATGAATCATTTCGAAAGTTGATATAACATGAATTGTGAAGAAAAGTATAATATAAACTGATAGAAGAAATTGGATTGCGATATATGGAGATGTTTGAATTGGAGAATCGAAAACAATCGTGGAATCGATGATGTGGACACGCTGGAAGAATTGAATCTTTGGACAATGAATACTAGAGGATCAGTTACAAAATTCAAAAAATATCCAATTCCTATTTGAATTATTCCTAAATAGTTTGCAATTAGAACATATTGAATTCCAATAATCATAAAACTTTGATATAGTTTTGAAAACATCATAAAAGTTCCGATTACAAAAATTGAGAGATGAATGAATATCATTGGCAAGATCAAATAACTCGAAAACATTTTCTGCTTGTGTGGTCGAAATCGTTAATTTCTGTATTTATACTCATGTTTTTTGTAGTCCATGGGCCCTTTTCTGTATCATTTTGTGCCAGAGTGAAGATATCCATCCAGGAGAGGAAAATATAAATTTGTCATCGCATACAAATTTCTGTTTTCAAATGTGAAGGAAGGGTTTGACGTCAATGTGCTTTGAATTTCTGAACTTTTCGAGTCACTGTCATATTGTAGTGCAATATCCCCGGAAAAAAAATAACTATGAATGAGAAAAGAAAATAATTCGGGACTTCAGAATCCTTCCACAAAATCTGCCTGGAATCCAAATATTGATTTCAGAATATATTTTCGATGATGGATTTGATAGAATAATCCAACTAAATTATAAATCATCGAATAAAACATGAAAATATATAAAATATAAGTTAGATCAAGATTAGGATGAAAACTGAAGAATTGAAAAATGAAAATTAAGCTAATTGGCATATAAATCATCAAATAAACAGTTCGAAGCTAGAATGAACTTGAAATCGTTTTCTTTCAATGAATTTCTCCAAACCTTTACCTGATAACTTATCATTTTATAAAATTTTTTCATTAAATGTTGATTAATAATTTTGTAACTCTTATAGTTTGCAGTGAAAACTTCATGAAAATTTCTAACATTTTTTGTTGCTTCTCTATAATTTTTAACAAAAAAGATATATCCGAAACTCAGAAATTTCAATAATGAAATCCAATTCAATGAACATTTTGTTGAAAAAAGTGGAAGCATCACTGATGAAGAACAATTCTGAAATTCATAACCTGTTTTATAGATCGAACGAAAAAACTTACAAATAATGATAGACTGAGATGTGCAGTTTCATTGAGTTGAATATTATATTTCTCTCTGATAATTTGAAAATGATTCAAAGAGATATAATCGTTTAGAAATATCATGCAAATAAAAGCAATCGAAATAACAGTCCAAAAATCGTCCCAAAATAAAGATACAAATGTTTTTTGTGAAATTCTATATGATTGGATTCTTTCACAAAACAAAAGATGACGCAAATGAGATAAACTATCTTGGATTTGAATTCGGAGAAGACATATGAGACAACCGAAAAATGCACATTGATAGAATCGATAAATGAAAGATGAAGGAGTTTTATCAACAAAAATCACAATTGATGAATTACTCATGTGAAGCTTCTAGAAAAAATTGTTTTCGAAGAATATTATAATTTTAATTAATTTTCGAAAAACCAACCGAAGATGCAATTATTCCAAGAAAAAACATGATAATTGATACAGTAGTATATCTGATTGTAATTATCGGATAATTGGACATTTTTGACATATTTTCAAACGATGCAACTAGAGTCAAAATACCGGTTAGTCCAAAAGTTAAATATCCAAGAAAACACAAAATATCGAAATTTGTTTGGGAATCAAACATTTTCTACTAAATTTCTGAAATTGATCTGGTAACTATGCCGACAAAATTGGTAGTTTCAGATTTCAGATTTTGCTGTGTTGTCACTATGATTATAGAGTGCAAATTTGAAAATTAATAGAAAGAAAAGGGATTTTTGGGGAATTGATTGGAATTTTTTAAAGATATGAACCAAAATATTGTGTAATTTTGGGATTTGAAAAAAAAATCCCAGAAATGTTGGAACAAGGAACTTTCATGAGGATACAAGGTGTCAATCTCCGTTTTTAATTACAACTCCCTTGTTAGAACAAATTGCCACGTCATTGTCATATTTTCATTGTGTTGTTTACCGGATATTTTGAAATTTTCACCAAATTTCGAAATCCCAAATACATCAATGTTTCCATGACATCAGTTCGAACTTCTTCTATTTCTCTTTTTTCATTTCATTTTATTTAAGGTAACAACATTTGACACATTCGAATCATTTATTCATAATCATCCAGAGGCATTTTCCACATCTTCTCATGAATTTCTTATCCACTTCTTTTTCACTTCATACTTTCTCTTTTTTATTTTCATGAATACTTTTTCACTTTTTATCCAGAAGAGTTTTTTTGAGTTATGAAATCTCCCCTCCAAAGTGAAAGTGATTCTTTTTTTTGGAAGACGAAAAAAAGAAGGGAAAAAGACGAAGAAATCTCATTGAAAAATGGGAAACTAGGAGACGTATGTCGAAAATCAAGCAATTCACTAGGGAATTATGGGCCAGCAAAATAAAAAAAAAGAAATCAATTAGGTTTATCCTGGTCCTCTCAACTTGCTAGCACATATATTTTTTTGGTTCTTTTTTGAAATTGAGGGTTTTCATGTCAGTTTTGGGATCAAATTTTAAGATCTATATAATCTCTAGTTTTTTGTTTGTAATTGTATTCAAAAACTATGTTAATTACAAGATATATAATGATGTGAAGTTGTAAAAACAATTCAATAAAAAAATAAAACAAAATGAAAATAATTTTAAAATAAAAAAATTCGTAATTTCGCGTGTACTGTTTGTTTTTCATTCTCACTATTTTGAGAATTCAAAAAAATCTGGTGCATACATCTGTTAGCGCCTCAAATTTCATGACCTTTCTTCGAAATTTTCCTTTTTCGAAACCCCACCCCATTACCCTCTAGAAATTTCAAAACTACAATCCATTTTCTAACCAAAATCTAATCATTCATCAAATGTTTCCCAAAAAAACTCACTTAAATCAGCAATCGGTTGTTTCTTCATCACATTCCATTTCTCTTCTTCAATCTGAAAATTCGAGCACTCAAATCCGAAAGAAAATACTAAAAAAAAACAAACAAAAGCAGAAAAAAAACAACAAAACCGATAATTATTGATTTTTCTCCAAACACATGGCCGAGAAGACCAAAAAGGTCAACCAAGCGGCCACGCTCCGCCCATTTGTTTTCGTTTATTTTTTTTTTGTTTTTTTTTTTGCTTTTTTTTGTTCAAACATAAGTACGTTTCTGTCAATTTTAAGCTAAAGAATTATTTTTCTTATATATTAAACGGTGAATCTGTCCTTCCGCTCGACCTACTTTTGTGCCCTAGATTTGAATTTAAAAATCTGACGTGAATTGTTTTGCTCATTTCTGATTTTTAAAAACGTTAAAGTTGCCGCCCTTATTTTCTCAACGTTTTTTATGAAATGTAGCGAAAAATGTGAGTTTTTTATAGCGCAAGAAAAACAAGAAGACCGGCGTATTTAGCCGGTCGTTTCATTCTTGTTATATTGAATTCATTATATTCTTCTGATCGATCAAAAATAGTAGCCTATATTTTTTCACTCAAAGTTAGTCAGAATTCTATTTATTTATTTATGTTTATTTTTCTTGTTGTTTTTTCGTGTATCATAACTCATTTGTGTTCTTCCTTCTCCTCCCTTTTTTGCTTGCTCATATTACTTTTTCCATCTTTTTTTTGTTTCTAGCATTTTCCTTTCTTCGCGTTTTCAAAGAAATATCTCGTTTTGAAATCAGTTCGAATTTCGAATCTCCAAGGGGATTAGTTTTTGGGTTCCTTTTTTTGGATTCGGAGTCGTATTTGAAATATCTTACCAATTTCAATTTATGGGTTTTTTGTTTATTTCTCTTTATGTTGCTTCCGGATTAACTCGTTTTTTGGATTACTGTAGATGCTGTTTGATTTATTATTTCAATTTTTATATCAATAAAAATTTAGATGGAAGTGAAAATCTTTCGAAAACCCAAAAGCCGAAAGTAAAAGTCGTTTATTTAAAATTCCACGAACATCGAATTAACAATTCGCTGCTCCGCCAGTTCGTATTTATTTCAACTCAAAGAAAAAACAACAACAAAACTAATACATTTTTTGTTTGGGTGACGTTTTCTAGTTTTGAACCTTCGAAAAAATTGTTTAAAAGTTTTTCTCAGAAGACAATTTAATTTTCAAGTTTCTCAATTGTGTTTTGTTCTAAAGTTCTCATTTGAAAAATCCAAGTTCTGTGTTTTTGAGAATAACATTTTAGAGATTTGTTTCAAAAAAGGTTAGAAACGGTTTTCATGTTCCACGATTTTCAAGATCCAAGAATACTCACGTTTCAACTCAAAATTTCAACTCGAAATCCTCTGATTCCTGATCCTTTTCTCCATTGATTTTCAAAATTTTTCATATTTATTTCAAAACTTATCTTATCTCAAAATCTTTCCATTTTTTCTAATCATAAATTCACTCAATAGTTTATTTATGTTCTTCTTTTCTCTCAATACTTTTTTATCCCCGAACCACATAATAATTGTGCCATCAATAATAAAACTAGATAGGATGCAAGTGAGCTCAGGAAAAAGGGCTCAATATACATGTCAATCTGACATGTGTTCCGTCCATTATTATCCCTTGTTCTTTTTTTTTGCTGTGCTCAACAACAAATTGCTCCATGATTCTTATAGTATTCTTTATTTTATTTGCTCTGGAGCCGAGATTTATGACTTTTTTGGTATTTAATAGATGAAATCAGAGCCTTTTCTAAATTTTTGAAGTTTTTTCGCGGTTAATTAAAATTATTTTGTCTACTTCAACTGCGCACACAAGTTTGAATTTCATTTCATTTTATTTTATTTCACACTCATTTTCAAACACACATAGAAAATTGGCCAAAAATACGAGAGGAGGAGCAAGCAAAAAAGGAGGCCATTGCAAAAATTCAATCAAAACGCGGGACCGGCCAGTTGCTCTTCTTCTTCTTCTTCTTCTTCTTCTTCTTCTTCTTCTCGGTTTTCTATTATAATCGAGTAATGTTAGGTTTCGTCCGAGGACGAACGAGTAAAAAATAGGGGCGAGGGTGAGAAAAAAGTTGTTGTTTGGGAGGCGGAGATTTTTTAGCGTGGGTCATCACTCCAAAATATTGAGCTTCAAAGATTGTGGGAGGGCTAGAATTTTTTTTTTAATTTGAAAATTTGAAAAATAAGATCATTTTTTAAAGATTCAGAAAATTTACTGTTTCAAAAATCTATTTTATTCCCAAAAAATCTGAAAATTTATGAAGTTTTTGAAAGGTTTCCCTCGGAATTCTGAGATTTTTTTCTGGGAAAATCAAGCTGTTTTTCTCTCTATTTAAAAAAATTCGGAATCCCATCTGAAAATTAATGACATTATAATAATTAATCAAATAATAGTGCAAAATCCAAGGCTCCCAAAGTGTTTACCCTTTTCAAAAAGTTCATATTTTCTTCTTTTGAGTGTCAATTTCAGAATTCTCACACTTTTCTTCCTTTCATCCTTAATAAATAAATTCCTAACTAATACTCATTTCTTCACACACACATTTTTTATTTCCGAAATATGCGAAATAGATAAATTATTCAAAAGTTTCGGTTTCTTATTGTGTTCGTATTTGCTCGTAACAAAATTTGTGTCTGAAAAAAACAATAGTGTTTTTACACCTGTAAAGAATTCCAGAAATTTTGGGAAAAAAAGAAGAAAGAAAAAAAGATGAAAATAGTTTAGTTGTGTCCAAGTCCAATATGAAATCCGACACTTTTCAGTAAAAATCTCAAATTTCTCGCGACATTTTTAATTAGACCGCCCTCTTTCTCTCTCTCTCTCTCTCTTTCCCCACTTTTTTACCGGAAAAATGTGTTTGTTTTTGGTATCCACGCGAAAGATTCAAGATTTTTTTCTTCATCTTCCTTTCCCCACATAATTTTTTTTATTTTTCTTTGCTCATTTTAATTGGGACTCCTATACAACTTGTATATTTTTTTCCCTCATTTCTTATTTATTCATTGATAATTAACTTCGTTTTCATTTCAGGAGCAAGAAGAGGAGCAGGAGCAGTTCCACTTATTTTCAGCCAACGCCGCAAATAGAAATATTCGTGCCGATGCGAGAAAAATATTGCTGATGAGCTGCTGGAAATATGGTGAGTTCTGGGATCTAGAAATTTATACATTCTTGAAAAAGGGTAAACACTTTTGGATTATTCTAGAATTTGAACTTGCAATTATTTTCACAATCAGATGGGGTTTCTAATTTTTTTTCGAGAGAAACAAGTTCAGAATTCCAAAATCTACGTTTCAGAAATGTCATAAATTATTCTTCAATTCAAAGATTTTTGATTCATCCATTGGTTGTTAATCCGTTTTATAATCTTAACTCAAAAATGAATTTTTCAAAAAAAAAAATTATAGATTTCAGATTCTTGTTGAAAATTAATCTAAGAAATTAAAATTTTCTTAAAAATATCTGCTGTTTTGTTGATGGCTAATGTTGCAAAGCACAAATTCTCACATCAATATTTTTCTAAAGTGTGTTGAAGTTCCAAGAATGTTTCAACTTCGATGATTAATGTGAGAAACTTTGAAATCCTTGTAGACATTGAATTCTATCATACATATTTTCAACCAAACTCAAAAATTGCAGCATTCATCACAACATTCATACTATGCACTTCGATTTCAACTATAACAACATTGGATGATTTCGAACTTGACACTTCGGAAAATCTTGTCGAATGTCTTCAATGTGTTCAATTATGGCGATCAGCAACAACATCAAAAGATAAAAAAGAATGTGTTCATGGGGCAAAAACTTGTCGAGGAACTGCGTGTTATATGAGTGAGTTAATTGAGAATTTAAAAACTTTTTAGAATCATAAGAGTTTTTGGGGGTCTAATAGAGTTCAAGGGACCCTCGTGAAATAAGTTCAAACATATTTTATTTTTAAAGTATGTTATTCATTAGCTAAATTTTGGTGAAATATTTTCAAAAAATAATCTCACAGCAAACTCCTTTTTTCTTTTTTTCACACCCTCAATTTTTTTCAGGGCAATGCAAACACTGTCCGGTTTATCAATACATGTCGGGATGCGTGAATTTAACACCGTGGCAGTTAGCGGATATTGAGGTTTGAAAGATCTAAAATCAATCTAGAAATAATCATATCATCTTAACAATCCCAATTTTCAGTCAAATCGTCGATCAACAGAACTTCGAATGCGTCGAGTTGGCGCAATCCTTCTATGCGAAGACACTTTCAATCAAACCACTTGTGTTTGTAATCGACGTGATAAATGCAATTCGATTCATTCAAGAATTCCCTTCTCCACTTATGCCGAAGGACTTTTTAGAGGTGTTGTCAATTTTGATAGTGTTATTGGAGCACTTGATCCACGGTTTGTCTTTGATTTTTGTGGTTAGAACTTACAATCAATGAGGAATTTCAGATACACCGAAGTGATGACTGGCTATAAATATCATTTTTTCGATATGCACAGCTCTTCGAATCGTGTTAACTTTTTGCCTTTTTTATCTGCATTTTCTATCTCTTTTTGTATTTTTTATTGTTTGCGGGTTTAATAATAAATATTTCTCAAAAATCACGTAGCTTCAGGGATAGATGAGAATTTGGTGATGGGAAATTTTTTGAATCGGACCATGATTTTTTTTTGTTGACAAGGGAAGTGTATAAGGTCCCGGAATAAACTTTTAATGAGACTTGGTACACATATAGATTCGAACTCGCTGATCTCGAATTCGTTTTCAAAAATTGCCACAATTGCACCCAAAACGAGTTTTTCACCATCGAAAATGCGCCATATTTCTCATTGTTTCATATGTCAAACATTTGCGGACAAGAAAAATAACAGCGGATGGCAGAGTGGTTAGCGATCTCGACTTTAAAATTTTAGGTTTCGGGATCGGTCCCGGCCCGTGGCGAACTTTTTTTTCAAATTTTTTTATTTTTTTTCAAAAAAAAAGAACGAATTGAAGATGATCTTTCATATTTATTTTTATAGCTTTCATATTTATAGCTAGCCAAGTTACCTTCACCCGGTGGATCATCTTCAATTCGTTCCAGAATTTCATCGTTTTCAACTATAAATTCGTTGATGTCCACACTACGCAAAACATCAATAATTCCGTTAGGAACTTTTTGAAGTTCTCGCGGGAGACATACTTTCTTGGGATTGTACAATTGTCATTGAAAATTACCCATTACGAAGTGCAAAATTTGTTCAGAAAGTAACATTTTGAACGAGAATTTAAAAAACGAAAAAAAATGATGACAAAAAATTATAATTCAAAGTCGGTACGTAGACATCTCTACGGGTTTCGAAAAAATTTTGAAAAAAAAAAAATTTTGAAAAAAAAAAGTTCGCCACGGGCCGGGACCGATCCCGAAACCTAAAATTTTAAAGTCGAGATCGCTAACCACTCTGCCATCCGCTGTTATTTTTCTTGCCCGCAAATGTTTGACATATGAAACAATGAGAAATATGGCGCATTTTCGATGGTGAAAAACTCGTTTTGGGTGCAATTGTGGCAATTTTTGAAAACGAATTCGAGATCAGCGAGTTCGAATCTATATGTGTACCAAGTCTCATTAAAAGTTTATTCCGGGACCTTATACACTTCCCTTGTGAGAAATATCTGAATCGGAATAAAGAAGTATCCCAGAAAACGGTTCTGTTTTCAGAAATGAATTTTTCCAAATTGCCACGTCATCACGTCCACGTTTTTAATAACTTTCAACAAAAAAACATTTTCAATATCAATTTTTATTTTTATTATATTTACAATGTCATTTCATTTTGATTTTATCAAAGACCCGTTTAATTATCTCATGGTTTTTTTGACTGGAGTTGAAGAAGATATGCGAAGTTCACAGAATTTGTCGAAAATATGTACATAAATATATATATAGATGGTAGTGAATTAATTGTATTTTTAGAATCCACCATTTGTTCGTCGGTTGACATTGTGAAGAATCTGAAAATATAAGAAAATTAGAATATTTCAATGAATTTTGTTTTTTCTTTAACTTACGTCACTAAGTCTTGCTCTTCTGTATTGTCTGTATACAATATGACCAGCACCATCATTCATAAAATTAGCAGATTTATCAGATCTGAATGTTTCATATTCACCAAACATTGGAATACTTGGATCAACTCCATATGGAACTGAGCTTCTGATGAAATCCATCATTCGATGATTCTTAATACTAGCTTGTTTTTGAACAATTTTCGAGAAAAGGCTTTCAAGATTTGGTGCATCTGGTTTCTCTCCAGCTCCAGCTGCTTTTGCTGCTCCAAATGGAGAATCCATTTTTGGAGCTCCGAAAACTGTAGTGAAGAAAAGGCAGCAGAAAGTAAAAGTGATTATAATAGAGTTCATTTTCGTTTTGTTCAGATTTATTTGAGAATCGTAGGTTCTTCGATGCCTTTTTATAGTCAGCAAATAGTTGATTAGACAAAGAGACGCAGAAATGATACGGTAGTATAAGAATAACATAGAAAGACAAGAGGATTAGACAATTGAAATGGGCGGAGTAAAGATTTGGAAGTGTTTATTGGTGGTACTGTAGTTTGTTTTGTTTTTTGTGTTGGTCGGATTGAACTTCTCTATTTTCTAATATGATTGGTTCAGAATTGATCAAAATGATCGCTATTTTTAGAATTCTAGAATGTGATTCAAACGTGATCCGATATCTTGAAGGAGATTAAGTAACTCGAAATTTTAAAAATAAAAAAAAAATAAAAACAAAAAGTGAGTGCGTACTGTACTCACTCTTTTGATAAATTGTTGTTTTTTGTTGTCAAAACATATTTCAAAATTATTTCTTCGACGTCAATGACTCTTGAACAAAAAGTTTATATTTTGACGCAAAGAACAATTGTAAATATCAAAACCATAATCAATCATTTCTGAACTTCTTGAATTCTCCGAGCTTTCTCTGTGTCTCTTCATTTCTCATTCTATTTATCGGATTGATACAAAAAATAAGAGAGGAAATACCTTTGAAATGAGAAGATCATTCGGTTCAAATAAGCGTATCAATCACAGAAAATGTTCAAAAAATCACATGTGTTGAAAAATGGGAAAACAACAAGAAAATCTAGAAACTGCCCTACAAAATACAGTGCTAGAAGTTCACTGTGGAAAAAAAGAAAACAACATTGGAGGCTGGTGGGATCGAACTCTGGTTTTGCAAGATCAAACCCTGGTTCGCAAACAAGCCTTTGCACTTCCTTTGTGAACATAACTGAAAATTCGAATTTGAAAACCCCAGTGTATGTTTCTAATCTGAGTAATTTCTAAATTTCACCGGAAACATTGTGTTCTCGTTTTTTTCGAAATATCAAAATAAATGTGTTGATTTATCAGATCTATAGAAGTGTTCAATACTCCTTGTCTACAGTATCCACTTCTTTTTGTCTCTATCTATCTATTTTTCTTCCCATTCTTCCAACCAAAAGACTGATTGATGGCCAAATTGTTGGTTCAATTGGATCATGTGTGATTGTGTCGACGACCACGTTTGATCAGAGTACTTCAACAACAAAATAACACAAAACCGCGTGATTTTGCAGAAACAAGCACGTTGTTGATCGAATTCAAAGAATGATCTTAACTAATGTTTGATAAGAATTGGAATTGGTATCGGTTTAGTACAAAATGTTGGAAAGGGATTTGAATAAACATTAAAAATGTGTATAGTTTGTGAAAATAGGATAAAGATCGAAAAAAAAGATAGGTGAGTGCAAATGTACCGAATTCGTTATCAAAAAATGGGTACATTTTGGCAACCATGGAAAACAAATTTTCACAAGGTGGGAAAAAATAATATTCAACGAAGAAAGTGTGCCAGAGTAAATGAAAATTTCACCTCACAAACTGTTTCCAACTCAACATGAATCTGGATTTTTTTTTCTGTTAGACTAAAGCTTTAGCCTACATTTTCTATTTAATAATATTTTCTACATGACAATTTTTGATAATTTTTTAATTTCAAAAATTCTGATTCAAGTTCTAAATTTTTCAACAAAAAACTTTCTTTCTGTCCTTCCAGATTCAACTTTAATTTTCTCGAAAAGAAAACTTTCTTTATTTTTTTACACCATTGTTTCTTTCAACTAAATTCGAAAAAGCGACAAAATTCACACATTTACCCGAAACTTGTTTCACGAAAAACCAGAGATGACGTTTTCTTTGAAAGTCATGTGATCTCTTATTTTCCGTTTCCATTCCTTCTTTTCTGTGTATCTCATCGAATAACCCAACTTCAACATCAGAATCAAAATAACACTGAAAAAAGAACATTGGGTTGAAGCGAGAAAAGGTAAAGTTAAAGTAACAGACAAAAAACTAGTCATAGAGCAAATAGGTTGTTACCAAACTCAACGAAAATAGTAACACCATCTATATTTGCCTAAAAGACTATGTATAAAAAATGGCAAGTTCGTTAGTTTTCGAAAAAAAAATTCTGCACAAAATTTGAGAATGAACACGGTTTTCGTGGTCTCTGCTTTTTTATTCGGGTTTTTAGTTTTGGTGAGTTAGCATGAATCATTGATTATAATCAGGTTGATTTTTTAGCCACAGTAACTATAAGAAATTGCCGCATTTTGAAATAAAAAACAAAAACCTTAAGTACAATAATATTTTTGAGCTACAGTAATCTTGTATTCTCGGCGATATTTGCCGCGAGAAAGAGGTACTGTAGCAGATTTTTGATTTTTTTTTGCCAAAAATTTTTTTCCAAAAAATGTTTGGTCTAACCATCGAGCCTCGAACCTAACTCCCGATTATCCAAGTTTCTTTCACATGTTTTCCATTCTCCTACAGTAATCTCACATTCTCCCAAAGAAACTTGGTTCTGTGACGCAGATTATTTTTTATCTTCCTGCACACAGAAAAACAGTTTCCCAACCATCCATCACTACAAAAAAGTGCCTATGAACTCTGATTGATAAATTTATAGAACTGTTCATGCGATCCGGTCAGAATTCCATTTTATCGAAGAACAAATCATTTAGCGGCTGCCAACTTCAATTCTCAGGTAGATACTTATTATTTCAGTGATGAATCACAATATTTGAAGAGTCAATATTTGAGTTTTGACTTTCACCAAAAATTTGTTTGAAAAACAATACAAAATAAAAAAATCTTTTCAGAATTCTGGAATTGTTAGAAAAGTTCGACAAGTTCATCGAGATTTATCATTTCGATGGCCACAAAATACAATTCCATTTTATATCACAAATAATGTAACAAGTAGTGTGAAAAAAGCTGTTGGACTAGCAATGAAAGAACTGCAAACAAAAACTTGTATTCGGTTTCAACAAATGAGCTCGAATTATCAGGGTAAGAGGCATTTTCACACATTTTTCCTTTTTCTGCATAACCCGTAAATTTAAAAAGCCAAGATAACAATATTCCTCCACGAGTCATTTAAAAAGTTTCAAAGTTTCCATTCTTTCACAGCAAAAATGATTCATTAATCTAAAAATTGATTTTTTTTTCAAATTGTGAATTTTCTAGTACATTGTTCTGGAACAAGATTACGATCAAAATATTCTTTGATCAATCACAAATGTTTTAAAATAAATATTTCAAGAGAAGTATCATTGAACACATGTAAAAGAACAAAGTGTTGCTGACGTAGAAGATCTTTGCGCTTGTTGGCTTGCGAATTTCTATTTCACACCTTTTTCATATGAGTAAAAATAATGTGACCAAAGGGTTGTTTTTATTGTTAGCTATAACGTAGTTACAAGATCTTTCTTGTCGCTGAAAATATACAGAAACAACTTTTTGAAGCCCTAACTTGTAACTACTGTGTACAGAACTACGGTGTGCAGAAGGTGTGCAGAATTAATGCCGCTGGAAAATCACCCAACCAAAAAAAATAAATTTTGTATTCAGCTGGTGATTTCGTGCGGATTGTTGATCTTGGATCATGTTCTTCGCCAATCGGACGACAAGAAATTGGACAGCAAGATATTTCACTCACCAAAAATTGTTGGGGTGTATGTTTTATCTTAAAAACCTCTCCAAACCTCAAACTATAGTTTTTTTTTTTCAGATGGGAACCGCTATTCACGAATTAATGCATGCGATTGGAATTGAACATACACAATCGCGAAGTGATCGTAATTCATATCTAGACATTCTCTATAAAAATATTGATGTGAGTGATCAACAAAACACAATGATGTTCTATAAAACTTTGTTATTTTGTTCTAGAGGTCAGATTTGCCAAACTTTGAATTGTTATCATCTCGATTGTGGGCTAATTTAGTACCGTATGATTATGGAAGTGTAATGCATTATTCAGCTGATTCATTTGCCAATAAAGATGATGAACAGACAATGCTTCCGAAAGATCGGAATTTTATTGAAACTATGGGAAGTATGATCCCGAATTTTTATGATTTTGATCAAATTAATCGATATTATCAATGTTATGGTGAGCAGGGTTGGAGAAGAAGAGTTTGGAATATTTGGAAAGTATTCGAAAATTGAATTCAAAAGAGACATAGAAAACACAAAACTTTCCCAGAAATCAAATTCTAAACATCAAATTCATTTGCAGTTCACATCCTCAATTCAAGAGATTTTTAAACTTTTTGAATTCTAATTACCCCATCCAAAATTCAATTTTTTAAAGATTCGTGCTCAAATATTGTGAACAAAGCGAATTGTGCAAATGGCGGGGTTCCAAATCCAAACAATTGCCAAATTTGTATATGTCCTTTAGGTTATGGTGGAGATTTATGTGATCAACGAGTAAGAGATTCACAATTATTTTTCATTCTCATTTCAAAATTTTCAGCCAAGTGGATGTGGTTCTAGTTTGGTTGCATCTTCACAATGGCAGAAGCAGAAAATTTCAGTGAAGTTTGACAAAAAAGATGCAGAATATTACACATTTTGTAATTATTGGATTGTCGTATGTTCAATTATTTATTTGTGTGTGTTTTTTTTTCAAATCCCACATTTCAGGCTCCAACAAATTCAACAATTCAAGTGATTTATGAGATCTCATCTGATTCAGTTCGTCGTGATATTTGTTCATTTGGTTGTTATGAAGGTGGAATTGAAATAAAAAGATTGGCTGATCCAAGAATAACAAATGATCGAGATTGTTGTATGGATCAAGCATTGAATATTACAACTAAAATCAATCCGCTCCCAGTTATTATTTATACTTCTTCTAGAACTGTTTCTTATGATATTTCTTTTAGGTATATCTGAATTGATTTATTATTTGAAAATTTACCATGTTTTTTGCTAAACTTGATCTCAGGTTTTTATTGTATATAAATGAATGGAATGATAAGTATTTCAGCTATGAAGTTAGTGATAAATAACATTATTTGAAAAGTCAATATTTGAGTTTTGACTTTTAGAACAACAAAAAACAAAAAAAATCATTTGAAAACCAAAAAAAAAAGAATGAGTTCGAATTATTTTTTTATTGTCTCTTGTCGCACTAGAGTAATGTAACACATGAGTATTTAGCGTGTGTTTTTTCATAACTTATTTTTTTCTTTTTTCATAATTTTTTTCGCCGCTTTTTTGAATTGAAGGTTACGTAAGTTAAACTCAACTTTTATTTAGACTAGATTTTTGGTCCTAGATTTTGATGAGTTAGCCTAACTTTTTTCAATTTTTTGAGATTTTTTTCATAATTTTCATATATTTTTCAAATTTTTTATCGTTTTTTTTTCAATTTTTCCGAAATCCCTCCCCAAAAAACTCACCAATCGCTTATATTTCTCAAACCACACATAAATCATTGAAAATCTCAATCAAAATCCGAAATCCTGCTAGTTTTCCACGTCATTGACATTGCAATCCAATTGTCCATCAATATTTCGAGCTGAAAATCATAAAATTTGAATTTTTCATGTACCACTGAGTTCCGCTAACTCCATTTCTGTTTCTATAGATTTTTGAGGGCTTTTCCTAGGGTCTCACAACAATTTTCCATATTTTTCTCAGAGGGTCACGGCAAAAGCTTACCCAAATCCATTTTCCATCGATTTATGAGTAAAAAATGCAGTAATACTCCAACAGTTTCCATGAAATCTGATGTTTTTCATTTAAAAAGTCGCTTCAAATTCAACCAACAATCGTTCTTCTCACATTTAATATCATTTTTTACCCTGAAAACTCAAAAATTTCAATCGAAACAGTGTTTCTCTAGAAAAAACCCACCTTTCTTCGATAATCCTCGAATTTTCCGTTGGAAGCGATCATTCCAGCCTTGTAGAAATCTAAAAATTTAATTTTTGACTAAAATCCACTGATTTTCCCCGTAAACCTGAAAACCCAGCCAAAAAAAGACGAAAAATGAAAATATTCTCGTGTTGCGCTAAACAGCGGGCAAGCGGAGTGTCGTTGTAAAAGTCGCTTCATTTTTCAAAAAACCAATGAAAAATATATATATTTATTTAAATATTACATGTGTATAGCGCTCGGTAGAGCTGCAAAAAATCCGCCCGCCGCTCATGCCAGTCGGGTAATTTGCCCCCCGGCCCGGCTCGAACACCCTCAATAGACTATGATCGATTTGCCCGGGTAGCCCGCACCCGTCTGCCTGTTTGCCCGATTTGCCCGTTGCCCGTCACACCGTGCATTTTCTTCTCTTTTTCTTTTCTATCTCTCGTTTTTTTGCACTCTCTCTCACTGTTTTTTTTGTTTTCACACGTGTGAATGCACGGTGTGGCGGGCAAAACGGGCAAAAGAAGCAAAGGGGCAAGTGTATGCGGGCAAACGGGCAAATCGGGTAAACGAGAAGGCGGGTGCGGGCTACCCGGGCAAATCAAGAATGTGTGAGCGGGGGGCATCGGGCAGTTTTTTTGCAGCTCTAGCGCTCGGTCAAAAAAACTTCATTCATCAATCAAGCCAAAATAACAATCTTCGAGAAATTCATTAGACTGGGTCATAAATTTATCCTGTGACACATTTAAAAAATAAATTTTGCAAAACACTGATTTTCAAGTTACGAAAACTTTTTTTCTGAAAAAAGCCGAAATTTATATTTGGTAGACTTTATTTTTTCCTTCAACTATATTTTCAAGATTCAATTTTGACGATCCCTAATTAGAAACACTTTTAGAGTGTCAAAGTTTTCGTGTTCAGCAAATTTCGATCTCTTCATTTTATTTTATTTCATTTTATCACAACTTCATTCCCCTTTAAATTTTATCAGTTTTTGATAGATAAAGTCACATGAAAAAAGAAGAAGATCGTGTAGTTTGTATTCGATTAGAACATCAATCAATCAATTCACACTTTCTAGAACAATGGAGGTTTTTCTATTTTTTTTTTTGGAAAAATCATCTTTCAAATCTATCATCGATAAGATTTATAGATCAGAATAGATTTTCAAAATCTCCCTCAAAAAAGTAGAAAGTTCAAAAAGTAAGTTACCAAAATTATGATAAAGTTCTAAAAATAAACACATATTATCTTCCAAATGCGAGTCCATTCATTTCCGTTGAAGATCATCGATAACTTTTTCTTTGTCTCTCTCAAAATCGTATGATATATCATCTGCGTCTCTTAATTCTCCACACTATCTCAATGATTCGTTTGAACTGCGTATAAAAAGGATCGGTTGAAGTTGAAAGACCAGAAAAATGCAATTCTATTCTAGTATCATTATTTTTTTGTTCGCTACAGTATTCTTTTTGGTTCAAGGTTCGTAGAATTGTTTGATAAGATAATTTTTTGGGTTCAAAATGTGAGAAAATAAGCTGTCGGCTTAGGCTTGCCAACTTCAAATATGAGTTATTACGTGGCATAATTAGAATGGTTATATGGTCATAACTAGTTTCAAAAATTATTTTCAAGAAAATCTGATTTTCAAATTCAAACTTTGCTAGGTCATAAATCATTTTAGGAATGGAATTCCCATTTTAGCCTAAGCCTTGTATGCTTGAGCTCAAAACATAATATGAATATTCCAACAACATACCATTTATATCAAATCTCTGATTAAAAACTTCCAACCTGGAACATGAATTTAATTGTGACGTCGAATGTTCATCGTTCACATTCAGATACAAAAACATCCATCATTTTCCTTCTCTCATTCAAAAAACAATTTTTTATTTCATCAGAACAAAAATCAAAATCCGTTAAACATGATATTTATTCAGAAATCGAATGCGACGATTCGCCAAATCTCGATGTTTTATTCAACAAAATAATCGAGAAGCAGAAAAAAATCACAAAAAACTCAAATGATCGAAATAATACATCGTGCTGCTCCAAACGGCGTTGAAGCACTTTTACCAGCGATTGCCGAATATGAAACATTTCAAAGTGATAAATCAGCAAATTTTTTGAGTGATGGAAATGGACATGTTGTATTCAGGCAATATAGGAGGATAAGGATTTCTGATGTTAGTTGGAAAGTTTGATTTGAAGAAAACAAAAGGAAAGGAAAGGGGGTTAGAGGAGAAATCCAAGAAATCTCAAAAGATAGGGTATCTCCTGAATATTAAAATCATAGAGATTTTTCTGAAAAATCCTACAATTACAGAAACATTTATTCCATAAATTTATGTGATCACTGAAGTTCAAGAAATATATTTTCTAACAAAAAATTCCCCTGGGTTTTAGACGATCTTATCCAGCCCCCTTTTGATAACATTATACAGTAACTTCAATTATTTCCAGCTTCTCGGTGCAATTTCTCGTAAGAAAACTGGCAATCTTCAACTATAATTCAATTCTGTACCCTTTTTCTTATAATTATTTTCAACCTCATAATATACTGTGTACATAATTACAAACATCTTCGATCTCTTTTGTTCCTTCCATGAAAAATAAAACATTTTGTTCTTCTACGCGTTTCGATTTGATAACTAACTGACTGTAAATGATGTTTCTCAATCTGCGTCTCTTCACATCTTCTAATGTCTCGTTATTTTCTCCGCGAAGTCGACGAAGTCAATAAAAAGAATGTTATCATAAGAAAAGAGAAGACCAGAACTTCAAAAAAAAAACTAAGAAATGAGAATATTTTCTATGTATTTCAGATATTTTGTGGTTTCTATAATTATGTTGAACTGTAAGTTTGAAAAAAAATGTCCAATCCAGAAATTTAAATGATCAGACTTCTTTTTTTTTAATATGGTTGCTATGATTTACAGTACTTTCAGATTGTTTGTGTGACAATCCAAGTGAACTCGATATTTTATTCTCAAAAATTGTAAAAAAGGAGCAAAGCGAGAAAACTGCGAGAATTGTTGATCTGATGAATCGAGCTGTGCCAAGTGGAATGGAAGCATTGAATCCAGCTATTGCTGAATATGAAACATTTCGAAGCGATAAATCATCCAATTTTTTGAATGATGGACAAGGCCACGTTGTATTCAGACAATTTAGGCGGATAAGAATATCAGATGTAAGAAGCTTCAACTTTTTTTTTTTTGAAAAATTTAGAATTTTTTTCAGCTTCTCAGTGCTATTTCGAAACCGAAAAGTGGAAATATTATTTAGACGCTGTTGATTGACTAGAAACGACAAAATATTATTTTTAATTATAATTTCTATGAAATTTTGTATATTTTTAGACGATACAAATTATTTGTTTGAAATTTTGACTTCATGTTTTTAAAAAAATATTTCATAAACATTATTTTTCAAAATTTTTGAGCTGAAATGTGACGAAGAAAAACTTCGATCTTTCTGAGTTTTCAAAAGTTCTAATTTTCTAACCTGATAAATTAGCTAGTTTTCTACAAATGGTCTTCTTCTTCTTCTAAAAAAAGAATTTCTTCGACAATACAAAAATGTGAAATGTATACATACCTATTTTAAACAACTAAACTTTACTGTTAGAATTTTTAACAAAAAAAACCATATCATAAACTTTTTTTGAAAATTTTAGAGCTGAAATATGACTGGATTCTTTCACGAAATAAAAGATGACATGAATGAAATAAACTATCTTGGACTTGAATTCGAAGAAGAAGCTCGTCGATTTTATTGCATTGGAGCAATCGATGAGAATTCGACAGCGTCTTTTTCGTATCAACGCATGAGTGTTTGCGGGCCAGCTGGTGTTAACACAAACTTTTTATTTTTTTCGTTATTTCTTGAGGTTTCGGATTTTTTAATATTTTTATTTGATTTTCTAAATTTTGAGGACACCAAAAACAGTCGAAGAAAAAACACAAAGAAAACAGACAAAAAAAACCATAGGAATAGAAAATGTTAAAAATCCTCTCGTACGAGATTAAATCGAACGGGCAATTCATCATGATCGATCAATTCTCCTTGGATACGGAAATTAACCGATGGTGGGCAAACAACTTCACATTTTGATTCATGATTTCTGCTGCAAAAATATAAAGGTTTTTTTGAATCTTGTGGCGTTTTTGAAAAAGGCTCAAGTACTTCAGAAATTTTGGGAATTAAAAAAATCGGAATTGTCCTCTTTATTTTTTTGCAGAGCTTATTTTCCAAATTCTCAAACAGTTTGAAATTAAAGAGAAGATAAATCGAAAATTATGAATAATTTCTAATATTTATGAACAAGTTAAAAAACTTGACGTTTACAATTTAAAAATGATAAGCCTTTTGTAAATAATTGTTTATCAACTCACTTTTTCAATATTTCTCCATTTTCTCCCGTCACAAATCTAATCGTATTATCAATAAACAAACAGGCGAATCCATATGCATCTCCAATCATCGAAACTACTCTCAAATTATCACTCAATTCTCCATCTCTCCAATTTTTCAAAAATTGTTCATATAATCTTTTGTCCATAACTGTTTTGTGCATATGAAGATACTTTGATTTTATCATTGCAAAATGTTGCTCGCAGAGTTTGAAATTGTTTATATTAAGATGATAAATAGAGAGAAATTGATTCAATTGTGGATGATTTCTGAAATGTCCATCGATCATCAATACTCTCAAATTTTCCGAATAAATATTGATCGATCTCATGAATCTTGATTCCTGAAATTAATAAAGATATTCAGGTTCAAAGTCTGCTTTTTAAAAACACTTTTTATAAGAATGCAAAATCAACCGGACAAAGAAAAATTCACAGTCTCAGAACCAGCCCGATTTTTTTCAAGCGTTACCCCCATGAGTGGGGAGCTTCTTCCGCAGGTAAGAGATCATAATATCGTTTCACCATTTTGGTGTGATAGGGTGAAGATATCGGAAATTTTTCGAAAATCAGTCATAACTTTGCTTAGAGTTCGTATTTTTTGATGATCAAAAAAGAATTTTGCTCGTCTTTGGACGCTCTTCTAGCTATAATATATTGACTATGAATTTCTAATTTTTTCGATTTTGATTACTTTTTTTTCACCCCATGTTTTCACCATCATGGATACATTTGCGCTGTTTTATATTGGTTTGGTATGCCTTTTTTTTTAGAAAAAACTTACAATAATATTTGCATTGATTGCAATTACTTCAATTGATGATTTGTTGAATTCAATAATATTTTTCAACATTTCAAGAGCAATCATTCGATGACATTTTAGTTTTACTCGCAGTGATAGCATTTCCATAAAAGTATATGTTGATGGTGTTGTTGATTTTCTTCTGAAAATAGTGAAAATATAAGAATGCCGCTGGAATCAAACTGGAATTCCGAAAGTCTAACAGCCAGGGGTGGGAAACCTGGACTCATGTTGGCTTTTGTGGTAAAAACATAAGCCATGACAGGTCCACGTGAAAACCTGGCTATTTACCTGTCCTGGGACAAGCTTAAGCCATGATCAAGGACATGAGGTCAGGCCAATTCCCCCCCCCATGCGAAGTATTGACTTTTGGAAACGTGCTTATGATTTGTCACGTCATAACCTTTCATGAAAAATTCAGATTCCAGTGAACCGAGTTCATTGTTGGATCAAAGTTTATCGATGATTTAATTTTCACAAATTAAGATAAACAAAAAACTAACTTTTTTAGTGTGATAACGGATATGCATCCTTTTGTTTTTTTTGTCGATAATTGTTTCGATTTCATATTTTCCACAAATATTCTCTCCATTGCATTTTTTCTCACTAATTTGTTCGAGCAAGTTTCTTTCGACTTGATTGTTTTCGATGTTTCAATTTTTATTTGATACCTGTACTCCGGATGTTTATGAAATTCGATTTCCATAATACAATTTTGAGAATGATCCAATCGGCTGATTTGATTTCCTTTATAAAGTACTCCTCTGATTTTTGGTCGGAATAATTTGAATATTTTTTGACAACTTTTTGAGCATTTCCCAAATTGGGTTATATCCTGCGGATCCAAATATATGAAAATCATTGTTTTCATTTCCAATGGAAGAATATCAAACTGCAAAAAAAATAAGTTTTGGTCGGAATTTTGAAATGAAAAATTGTGCCGTGAGTAATATTAGCTACATATGACGTGGCAATGTTTGAAAGTCTCGAAAAAATAAATTTTGAAAAATTATGGCTCTATCTCAATATAAGGATCCCATAGAAATATAAGGGTCCCTCAGAAATATAAAGGTCCGAAATTTCTTTTAAGGGTCCCAAAAAATATGTATAACGATCCGTGATTTTTTTTTCATAAGTCGGATATTTTTGATTTTTGGAGGAAAAAATGTGTTTTTTTTCTATTTGCGATTTTTTTATTGTAATTTTTCTCGATTTTTGACGATTCTTTGTATTTTCGGGGGGTTTACTAAGCCTAAGCCTAATTCTGAAACTGAAAAGCCGAAAATAAAAATTCTAATTGGGTCATCAAAAACGTAAAAAAAAAAAAAGAAAATAGCAATCTCAATATAAATTTTCAAAAGTAAACTCACCGGACTTTCGATTTGCTTCCAATCAAAGAAAAATATCTTCTCAACCTTTTCGCAGTGAAATTCAGAATCGCTTTCATTTCTAAACTTGAGCATCGCCATTTTTCCAGCAACAACAATCACGAGAAACAGAAAAAATAGCAAAATCTGATTATTTTATAAATAATAAAACAATATAAAACAGAAGCGTTGTTTTTTGACACCTTTTAAGCTCCGCCCATTTTTTGGCTTGGCATCAATTTATAGGGGGTCAATTGAAGTTTGGCAAGGTGAGAATATATTATATTGATTCGGAGAACAAAGAAAATATGTGGAAATATTTCTGTGACGTGGCAGTTTAGAGGAACGTGTTGAAAAAAGGTCAAAAATTAGGAAAAAAAAGAAAAAATAGAAAGATACCTACAACGGAATAAGATCAGATCTTGAACTTTTGGCTCACTCAATAAAGTTGGGCGTGGATTATTTTTGAAAAAAACTGTGCCAGGGTTACCAAATTCAAATATTTAAAAGCTACGATAAAGTATGAAATTTTAAAAATTGTACAGTAATCTTTCTTTTATTTAGACGCTGTTGATTGACTAGAAACGACAAAATATCATTTTAAATTATAATTTCTATGAAATTGTGTATAATTTCTAGACGATACAAATTATTTGTTTGAAATTTTGATTTCATGTTTTAAAAATCTTTTCATAAACTTATTTTTCAAAATTTTTGAGTTGAAATGTGACGCAGAAAAAGTTAAAATTTTCTAACCTGATAAAATTCGATGAAGTGTTTCCTGAATTTACTCAATAATCTTTTTCTAAAATATTCATTTCTTCGACAATACAAAAATGTGAAATGTAATTAATGAATGAAAGTATAAATAATTAAACATGATATTTTTTGTGTGTGGTTGGAATGTTTATTTATGATGTTCCAGATGGACCTGCTCCATCATTCGGTCCTTGTCCACCTCTTTTTACTTGATAAATCCCACGTGATGGTTTTGCTCCACGCATTGGTCTTTGAAGTCGAGCAATATTACGAGCTGTCAAATTTCTTTGTTGTGTTGCTGGGCTCGAAGCATCTGCAGTTTCATTGCTGAAAAAACTTGTATTGAAGAAAACATTTTAAAACAAAAAATTTGAAGAATCCAATCAAAAATCTACCTGCTCGAGCATTGATCATCTCGTTCTTCAAGGTTAACGATTCCCGGAATTCTCAATCTCGGAACATCTGATTGCGATTCTCCCGAACTTCCAATTCCAGACGATGCGCCAGTCGGATCAGCTGGTGCTACAGTCTCATCAATCGGTACCATCAATGCATCTCTTCCCTCATCTTCCGCTTCTTCAACAGCCGAAGCCGCTTCTCGATCTTGATCATCCAACGATGGTTGAGAATCTTCTCCACCAAGAACTTGCATAACAATTTCACCAGGAGGAATCGAATCATTTCCGTCGCTGCCATCGCTGTCATTCTCATCTTGATCGTTATCCTCTTCTTCTTCTTCTTCCTCCTCCTCATCTTCCAAATCATTCAAAGTATCCGCATCATCTTCATCGTCATTTCCCTGATCTTCTTCTCCTTCTTGATCATTATCATCATCCGAATCAAGTACAATAACATCGTCGTCTTCGTCAATAACATGATCATTTCTATCCGCCGTATCCTCATTGATATCTTCAATATCTTCGTTATCATTTTCAGCATATCTTTCTTCATCACTATCAAAACTTTCATCATCTTCTTCCTCTCCTTCCATTTCATCTCCCAATACTTCTTCATCATTTTCCAATCTTCCCATAATTTCACGTTGTCTGATAGTTTCATTTGGATCTTCATCACTAACTTCTTGCTCAATATCTAAAACAACTTCATCGTCCAATTCAGGAATTTCAGCAACTGAAAAAATAAAGATAAATAGGAAATGTGGGGGGCAAAGCGAGTATTTACCATTATGTCTTTGTTGTCTCGATTCACTGCTTGTTACCGCTTCACTTGGTGATTCTCTTTGTCTTTTTGCATCATTCGAATCCGAATCTTCAACAGCCGCGCGTTTTCGACGAATATCCGAGCTTGAAACTCCACCAACAACTTGACTATCTCTCGATTCTCCATCTAAACACAAAATTAACATTTTTCGATAACTAAAGCGCAGCTTGTGCCTAATTTTGTTTTCAAAATTTAATTTTTCTCAAAAAACCAACCATTTGTAACCAAATCTCCTTCTTCCAATGTTTTATTGTTATCATCAATACTTCCACTAACATGGCTACTTTGTCCAGCTGCTTCAGCAACACTTTCTTCTGGCAAAACCATATTATCACTCGACACATTTGAAACATTTGAAGAGCTTGTCGAAATCTAAAAACATATTTTGAAAATAAATCTAGAACATTTCTAACTTACATTCAAAGCTGGAGTGCTAGATTTTCCGAAAAGTTGCGAACTTCCTCCGAAAAGCGAAGATGAAGGAGTTGTCAACGAGAATGAAGACGAACTCGATTCGATGTTTGGAAGCAATGATTTTTTCTCCGATGTTTTTGAGATTGTTCCAGTTGAGATATCAGTAGTTGTAGTTGTAGAAGAAGAAGAGAATAATGATTGAGTTGGAACACGTGCAGACGATTGGAATGTTGGTGGAATTGGGAGACCAAAATTGGTTTGTGGTGGGGTTGGATCTAGAAAAATTATATTATAATCACTAGATTCCGTTTAAAATTTTTTTCAAATTTTGTAACTTCCAAAGCCCCTTGAAAATAATTTTTACCTGGAACAGTTTCAGATGGAACTGGTGGAATAACATCAACCGGTTCATTCGGAACAGATGTCGGCAATATTTTGCGTTTTTCAATGATAGTACTTGAAGAGGATTGAGTTGAAGCAGGCGCTGGTGGAATTTGATTTGATGATGGACTTGTCACAACTTGTTGAACTCCACTGAACAAACCAGTCTGAAAACAACAGGTTTTTTTAAAAAGAATAAACTTATGGATAACTTACTCTCTGGACTTTCTGCGAGCTGACCGCTGATGTTTGATCTGGTTCAGTATGTTGTTCCAAATTTTTTGGTGTCGAAGCAGCCAATGGAGTTGGTACAACTGTAGATGGTGTTTTAATCAATCGATCAGATGAAGAAGCAGCTTTTGATGATTCAACATCAGTCGCTGAAGTTGCTCGATTATTATCCAATTCTCTCGTCAATTTCATATTATTTTGCATCAAACTATCTCTTTCACTTGTGATTTCAGTCAATTTTTCCGTCATTTTCGTCATTCTCGATTCAAGCATATTTATGCGGATCTTATCCATCTCAGCTTCTGATGTCTTCTTTTCCATCTCAACAGCATCTTGTTGCAATTTCGCAATTTGTTCTTTCAATTCACTAACTTCTTCATTTGATTGTGATGGAGTTGCAGTCGCGCCTACGCTATTTTTGAAAGCAGCAAGCTGAAAATAAAATGTAAATAAATCGAAACGGATCTAGTTAATTATAAGTTATCACTTGTTTCATTTAACTATGCAATTATTAATGAAACAATTGTTAGCTAAAACAGGTTTTCTCGATTCTCGTCGATTCGATGGCTAACCTGTCCGCCAAATGACCCAATTGCTTGTCTGTGTGAGGAGAAAAAACGAGATATATCATAGCTAGCTTTTCTCTTATTATTTTTATCTCAAGCGAGAAAATGAAGGCTTACATATTACTGTTTCTAATATTTTTCATAAAATATGCAACTTCTCAAGAGGCTAATGCTCAACTTCCATTTTTTGCAAACAGTGATCCAATGATGTCAAAATTATCACAAATACAATTCGCCGAAATGCCGAATATGAAGGTTAGTGAAACTACGGTAGAGTTAGAGGGAAAGTACAAGGTAATCCAAACTCGGACGAGTTGTGGACTATAGGATATTTGGAATAATTATCCATTTTTTCTTCATTTGAGTTTCCCTACAGGCCGACAAATATCCGGATGTTGATGCAAATCGAATAATCAGCCCATTATTATCACCAATGATGGAAGTATTCGAGCAAATGCAGGAAAATCAAAGAGCTCGAGCACAAGCTGACAAAATTGCAAAAGATCGAGATGATCATCCATTTAGCACTTCAAAAAGTCTGTGGGAAATGTTTCAAAGACTACAAAAACCAACAACAACTACCACACCATCACCACCGTTAATCGAACGATTACTTCAACCATATATTGAACCATGGCAAAAACAATTGGATGATTTCTCAAAAAATATGGCTGGAATCACATTAATTCCAACAACCACAACAACGCCAGCCCCAACCACAACACCATCTCAAAATATTCTCGAAAAATCGCTTTCCGTCTTCTTTCCATCTCTTCGTCGTAAACCACAATCAATTCCAACACTTCCACCTCCAACAACAACACAACAAACTCCACGTCTTTTCGATCCTGATATTATTGATCGAATTTTCTTTAAACGTGAAAAACGTCAAGCCGATAAACCTGCTGTAGCTGCTCCAAAATTCGATTTATTCACAGTTCCACCACCACCTCCATTATTTCAAGAATGGGAAAAACCAATAATGGATCTATCAAATCCATTCACATTAAATCCATTGATGAAAATGTTCACAACTCCAAAACCAGCTCCAACAACAATGCCTCCACTCGAAAAACTTGATCCAAGTAGCATTTTCCCAATTCACAAGAATCCTTTACCAGATCCACAATTCAAACTACAAGATCCTTTCTATAATCCATTATTTCCAAATCGAAAAAGTAAATTATTCGATTTATTAGCTGGTGGAGAAGCTAGTCGTATTCTTGGATAACTTTTTTGTTTTTACACTTACTTTTTTTGTTGACTAATTAAATTGTATAAATAATAAAGATCCCACTTTTTGAATTAAAATTTTTCAAACGAAAGAAACTCACCTCATCACGATATTTAAGAGCAAGAGTTCGAGTCTGATTGAATTTTCCTTGGAATGTTTTAGAGACCTCTTCAGCTTTCATTTTTTCCTGTTCACACGATTTTGCATGTTCCGCAGCAGCTTTGGTTTCTTGTCTTGCTTGTGCTAACAATGATTTGCATTGATCGAGTTGCGTTCTGAAAATTATTAACTTAATTTGATGATTCTATTATGAAAACATACTGTAGTGAACTAGTTTGTCCTCTTCCAGTTGTTTCCAATCTTTGTTGCAATACTTCAATTTCTCTCTTTTTTTCTTTCAATTCTTGTGTCAATGATGCAGATTTCAGTTGAATTTCATTACATTTTGCAAGCGAATTTTGATTTTTCTCTTCAGTACTCCTATTAAGAAGTCTTAATCTGTAACACTCTTTTTGCAAGATGGTTTGATTGGTGGTAAGTTGAGTATTACGACGTTGAACATCTGTGAGATGTTCTAGTTTTTCGAGCTGAAAATTCAGACATTTGGATTTTCGATTAAAATGTTAAAACTCACAAGTTTAGCTCTCTCAATAAGTGCAGCAGCATTTGCAGTTTGTTCATTTTCCAAATCTCGAACTTTTGCGAGAAGTTCATTTCTTCCTCTTTCATATTCACTTGTTTCAGCTCTCAATCGACGCATTTCCATTTCTGCAGTCATTGCACGATTTATAGCCTGAAAATGTATTCGATATTATGACTTTGGATAGAAGAAATTCAAGACTTACGCTATCTTTTTCATGTCTGACAAATTGTAGCAAATTCTGAAGACTTGAAATCGTGTTCGATTCAACATTACTTGTTTTATCCGAATCGGCAATGGATTCATTTGATTCAAAAGAACTTGTAACTGATGATGCAAGAACTTCATATTGTTGTGATAATTGTTCAAGTTTCTGATCATATTCATTCATTTTTTCTCGATATTCCTTATCCATTCGATCTTTTTCTTCTGTTTTCTTTTCCAATTCACTTTCAGCATTTATTCTTCTTTCATCTGATTGTTGTTTCGCATCTTTTGCGGCTACCAATTGCATTGATGTATTATCCAAATTGGATCGTAAATTACCAATAGTCACTTCATATGCTGATTTGGTTTTTATAAGTTCGTCGTATATCATGCGATGATTTAGAATTTCTTCGTGTTTTGTTTTCACAGCCTCCTCAGCAACTTTCAGATCTTTTTCAATGACAGCGTGTGCATCTTTTACTCTTTCAACTTCAATATTAACAACAGATATTTGTCGATTCAATTCTCCAATCTGTTTTTCATATTCACTTCTTGTATCATCATGACTTTCTTTCAATGCTTCATATTCTTCTCGAAGTTTTGCCAATGCTTCTGTCAATTCTTCAGTTCTCGCTTCGAATGTTTTTGCTTTTGTCTCCAATCTTTCTCTTTCCAATGCTCCCAATTTCTCAGTTTGTTTCAAATTTTCTTCCAAAACATTACTGTGCGTTTGAACCAGATTACTTTCATCCAACCGTTTTGCTCTTTCAGATTCCGCTTCAATCAATTTTCCTTTTGCTTCATCCAATTGATTTTCAAGGAATTGTGTTCGATTTTTCAATTGTTGATATTCTTTTTTCAATCGATCAGGTGTCATTTCCAAAGTATCAGCTTTTGTATATTGTGCTTGAACAGATGTTAATTTCGATCTCAAATCCAACAATTCCTTTTCACTTGCACCAAATTGTTGTTGTTTTTCAGCCAATCGATTTTGCAACATTTTAATTTCTTGTTCCAATTTTGTTTGAACCAATTTTGCTTCATTCTTTTGATGAGCTAATTGATCGGATAATCGAGTCGAAGATGATTTCAAACTATCTCTTTCCAAACGTAAAACTTCAACTTGGTTATTCGAATGACTCAATTTCTCATTTTCAACTCTTGATAATCGACTTCCCATTTCAGTTAATGTTTTCATCAATTCTTGTTCTCTCTTCATAACACTTCGTTGAATTTCATTTTCATTTCTCAAATAAGCTGTTTCACTTTTCATAGATGCCAATTCGTCTTCCAAGAATCGAACTCTCACTCTACAAAAAATATAAATTCTATAAGATTCAAAAGCAATGTTTCTAACATACCTAAAAGATCCAACAGCTTCATTCGAATCCATCAATTGTTTTCCAATGTCACATAACTTTTGAGATTTCTGTGAATCTGTATCTAATAATTTTCGAATTTCTTCACTCTTTGCTTCAATGTCTTTTTCGAGAGATTGAACAGTTTGTTGAAGTTCTTTCGTATTAGCTGTTTGAGCTTTCAATGCAACTTCCAAAGTAACATTAGTTTGTACAGTATTATTGGCTCGCGATTCAGCAGCTTCAATTCGTTGTGACATGTCTCTGAAAACAATCAATGAGAAAAAACAACAGCTCATAAAGATCCTTACTGTTCTCTGGAATTTCTCTCTTCTTTCAAAACTGCAACCAAATCTTCCAATCTTTTAACCGACATTTCAGCCGAAACTTTAGCTGCATACGCTTCTTCCGCTTTAATTCTCGCATTTCTTGCCTCAGTCGCACTAACACTATCTCGAACCAATTCTTTGAAATGTTCAGCTTGATCTTTGACAACATTCAATGCTGTTTTGAGTTGTTCGATTTGTGATTGAAGTCGATTTTCGGCTTCGTGCGATTTTGCCAATTCACTTCGAAGTCCAGCCATTTCAACATTTTGTGCATTCATTGCAGCTTGAGCCGCACTCTTTTTCTCTCTTTCGATATCCGATTCGAGTTGAACATTTCGCCTGCAAAATTAAATATGCTTTTCATTCGATATTGAATAATACAGAAAATATTTGAACTTACTGTTGTAATGCAACAATTGATGTGAAAAGTTTTTCATCCGAAGCATCAGTCCAATTTGGATCATCAGTCCGATTCATTCTTTCTGATGCATACATCAATTCTGAATTTCGCTTCATCATTAATTCAAAATCTCTTTGATATTTCTCGAGTTCAACTTGAGTGAAAGCCAATTCTCTTTGTGCCAAATCTCTTTGATTGATCAATTCTTTTCGAGCCGCTTCTGCTTCTTCCAATTGTTTTTCAAATCTTTCATTTCTATCAAAGATCGAATCTGTCAAATTTTTCTGCGCAGTGAAATTATTGCCATTGGCTTGAAGTGTTTCGACAAGTTCCTCAAGAGTACGCATCAATTGAACATTTTCCTCTTTTTGTGCAGCCAATTCTCCAGCAATTCTAGCGTGTTCTCTGCAAAAATCAATAAATAATACGAAACTGGATGAACAACTAACTTGACAAGTCCTGAAAGTGATTGTCCTCCTTTCAATAATCTCGCAGTGTCTGCAGCAGCTGGTGAAAGTGCAGCAAGTTCTTCTTCGGTGACATTTATATTCACCGCATGCTTGCTTCTCATAAGTTCGTTGGTTTGAGCAAGTTCGACTTTGAGACGAGAAATTTCAGCATCTGAAAAACAACATTTTTGTGAATTTGTCGAATGAACAAAAAAAACTCACTCTTGTTTTCAAGTTCTTCATCAAAAACTGATTTCTCTCGAACAACTTCTTCATGAACTTCGGACAACAATTTTCGAACTTCTTCCACGACTTTTTCTTTTGCATCAAGATCGTCTCTAAATTTATCTGCAGCTTGTTTTGCCTCTTCAGTTGCATTTTGCAAAACTGATTTCAATTCATTCAAACATCTGATTTCAGCTTCCAAATTAGCAATTTGTCCAACATGAGCAGTTTCGATTTCTTCAATTTTATCCATACTTTCTTGTGCAGATTCTTTGGATAATTCCAACTTTTGTGACAAATCATCAATTTTCATTCTCAAACTATTTACTTCAGATTCTAATTGCAATCTTTCGTTTGTCATTTCCATATCTTTGTTGGTCAATTCTAAACGAAGATTAGAAATTCTGTTGTCTCTTTCAGAAATTTCTTGCATGAACCATTTTTTCGATTCAGAGTACATATCTCTTTCAGCTCCATACTTCTCACGTTCAAACTGAAAAAAAAAACATGAAATGCGGATTAGAGACTCTAAAAAGCCATAACTTACAGCAATGCTTTTCTTGTCTTGTTCAATATTTTCAAGAGATAATTCAATGCTAGCCTTTTCTTCACAAAGTTGTTTGATCTGATCTCTCAATGAAAACATTTCAATCATTGTTGATTGTTTTTCTTTGTTCAGATTAGCAATGAAATTGTCGCGCTCCTCCTTTTCAATTTGCAGACGAGCAACGTCACTCTCAAGTTGAATCTGAAGCAAAATATAAAGGTTTATCTATTGGACAAATAATTATGGCTAAAACGTACATTCTTATCAACAGCTTCATTTCTCGCCGATTCCAATAACCTTCGTTGTCTTGATGCTTCTGACAATTCACTTCCATATCTGTCTAATTCATCAAGAAGTTGAGTATTCTTATTTGCCAATGATTCAAAACGCTCTCGAGTATCTCCCAACTCTTGATTCAAATTGAAGTTTTGTTGCTCTGCAAAAACTCAGATTTTGAAAATGTTTCGTAATTACGAATTTGAATTCAGTCTCACCAAGTTGGGTTTTCTCGATTTCCCACGCGTTTTGTTCACCTTCAGCTGAGCCAGTTGGATTGTTTGTATCCACTTCCATACCTGAAACACAAATTTCAAGTTTATTTAATCAATCAAACGATACTCAGAGATTCGCTGGCCAGCTCGCCACCAGATCGCTGCGGCCACTTGGAAACCGCATGGCCGCCAGGTCGCCTTGAGTTTTCCGGCGACGTGGCCTGTGTGTTTGAAATTCTGGAAAGCTGGCAAGACAGTGGTTTGTACTCAAAACACTGCATTTTCTACTGTTTTTTTCACTTCATAAGGTTTCAAGTGCTGCGAAAAAACAGAAAATGAGCCAAATTTTTCGAAAATGTCTCAATTCACAAGTTTTTCAGACATTTTCATGAAAATTCATTTTGACGCGGCGAAGTGGCCACCACATGGTAGCCATGTGGCCGTGACCTAGCCAGAGCCTGGCCACCTTGCCAGCGAAAAAAACCGGGCGACATGGTTTCCATGTGGTTCCCAGGTCAGCCAGCCTCCCCACCTGGTGGCGAGCTGGCCAGCGAATCTCTGAGTAAGAACGCGTAGAACGCGTGTTTGATGACGAAGCTGAAAAAAAAGTGGGATTCGAAAAAATTGTGTGCTTTCATGTCGCCGTGTACGCACAACACATACACCGCATTTGACGATAATTGTGTGTTTGATTTACGGGGATTATTTGTTGAAATTTTATTTTTCGAACTTAGGCTAAATTTAAGTGTAGAAATCGCTTTTCATTAGCGTCTCAATGCGTATTTCAAAAAACAAGCTTCGATCGAAATTTATGAACAAATATAAAAGAAAAAACAAAACCCGAAAAAGCGCATTCTTTTAAAGAAAAAATATTTAGAAAATCTAATGACTAAAAATAAATAGAAATAATACAATACAATACAACCCAAAGGGTCGGGAAAAACGGTCACGGCGAAATTATATTTGGTGTTAAAATCACATTATTTGAATCACATTTCAGAAAATAAATAAATCTAGGGGGAGTTTTCAGTTTTGACGTTTTCAATTAAATCATTATGCATGGTTGATTCTGGAGGTGCACAGGAGGAAGATTCTTGAGAATCTGTTGGATACGACGATTCTGTAGAACAACCAGTGTTGTTATTGTTATGATTACTTTGCATCATATCAATAAGCATTTCACGATGTTTTTGTTGTTGAACAACACTTTTCTCAATCGCTTGTACTCTTTGAACAATCATCGATTGAATTCCAAATGAAAACGCCGAACGAGTTAAAGAATTCGCAGCTGAAAATCATTCTCGTTGGAATTTGAAGAAGATGAATTCGAAAAAAACTGACTGTTAGTATTAAGCTCGGATTGGGTCAAAATAGCCTGTTTCAAGTTAATAGCTGAAACAATAATATCATCGCAAAAGTGTGAAATGACTCCAGTTGAATGCATTTGTTCCCAAAAGTGTTTAGGATCTGAAAAATGTAAGTATTTACTTATAGGCTGTATGAGCTTTTCAAAATTAATGATTACCATTTTTCAAGCATTCCATGATATCACTGAATGGTGTGCAACCGGCTGGTGTTGGTGCATTTTGAATTTCAGACAAAGATGTTCCAAGAAGAACATCATCGACTGGCAGATTATTGAAAATTTGTTCAGTTACTTTCTCCACCCTAGAAAAACTCAATTAGAATCCCAAATTAATTTCTGAATCTCACTTGATCCTCGATTTATTTACACTTCCTCTTGGTCTCCCTCGATTCTTTTTCTCTCGCAAAACAGCCGAAGAATCAGGCACGCCTGGAACATCAATTTGTTCGTCCATATTTACATTTTCCGAAATTTGCGAATCGCCGTTTCCGGAGAGAACTTGAAGTTCATTTCGTAATTGAATAGATTCAGCTGATCTTTTTGCTTTTTTGAATTCAATTTCCTCCGCTTTTTCATGCATATTATTAACATAATTTCGACTTTGACATTTTCCGCTACAACAATTTGCATGGTCGTGAAAATCGATAGTATGAGCTTCCATATGAACACGAAGTGATGATTTTCCGATTCGAATACTTGCTTTCCAATCTTTTTGTTTTGCTTTGTCAGCACGAACTGTGAATTGTTTTGGAGTCAGCAATTCATCTGCAAAATGTTTTTCTGGAGTTTTGAAACAGCCAAAATTTCAGGATGTTTGAAATCCACATGGCATTTTCAGAATTAATATTCTCAAAAAATCTCGAAATTCAAAATTCACCGAATTTTATGATTTTCGGCTCAAAATTTCGAGAAAAACATGAAATTCCGCAAATTTCAGGTAAACATTTTCTAAATTTCGACTTTCTCGATAAAAAAATGCCCCTAATTAGGCTAAAACTAACTTCCATGTTCAATACAAGGTTGATGAATTCCAGGACAAATAAAAAGCTGAAGATGCATTTTTCCAATCACATTTCCACACGAAACAGGAATCGTTTGAGCACTTGGATCATCAGGAATCGGAATTTGAATTGGAACAACCGGACGAGTATATATTTGAGCTTCATTTGTTATCTGAATGATAATCGATGGAAATTTCAAAAAAAGAAGATAAACTAACTGGATACATTATTTGATAAACAATTTTCGACTCCGAATACAAATTCATCGATGCTTCTTCTGATTCTTGTATTATCGCATTTTGATTCACAACAGATTCACCTGACATTTGAAGTTGACCCCAAAAAACCAATGACCCAAAAAGAACTAAAACAACGTACACGTCGATTGACGTGGACAGGCGGTGTCACGTGGAATTTCACGTGAAACGTGTAAAAATTGCGTCACGTTTGAAATTCTTTTTTTTTCTGTGTCACAACAATGAAACTGATTTTTAAGAAAGAAAAAGAGTTCTAAAAAACAAAGTTATTTATAATAATAATAATAAATCAAAACGGTTAAATATATTTAAATAAACAATCATGTCACCAGTTTGTTAAAAAATATTGAAAAATTTTATTTTATTCACTTATGTGTGAATTTTTTTACATTTTAGTTAACTATTTGACAGCAGGGACAAAAAAACGGGGCAGATTGATTGAGTGAGAAAACCCGTATCACAGAAAAATAATAAAAGGAGAGAAAAATTGGATCAATTGACCGGTCCGAGATCGGTTCTCCTCGATCTTCTTTTTGTGACCATCGATGATTTAATTTCATCGTCTTCTTCTTCTTCCAATGGTGCAATCACAAATGTTCCATTTTGTTGCGATGTTGTTGGAGTATTGGCATCTTTGACAAATGTTGTTCCCAAAATTCGTGTGCCTTCCAAACTTTCATTTTCATCGCCTTCCGATAATCTTGTTTCATCATCGAAGCGAATTGGAGACATTGCAACTTTTCTGAAATTTTTTTGTTGAAAACTTGATTAATGTAAGGTTTACATTCAAAATTACCTTTTAACAAATTCATCCGATTGTTTGTTGACATCAATCGAAGATCGTTTATGTCTTCTTGATTCCGAAACCGAATCGCCAAGTGTCAAATCAGCTGAGCAGACAACATTTCCATATTGAACAACAGCTCTTCTAGCTCGCTCATTTCTCTTCAATTCCGGTTTTGGTGTCAATCCAACAGCATGAGTTGTTCGGCGCTGAAATAATTTTTAATTGAATATTTTTGATCATTATTCGATAATCAACTTACTCTTGCTTTTTTTATCTTTTGTTCAACATCGCAATATTGATTTCGAAGTGCTTCGAAACGAGCTAAAGCTGCTTCATCAACTTTTTCTTGTTTGATGAGACCAAGAATGAAAGAGATCTAAAATATTCTGATTATAATAACATGTAGGAATGAAATGAAACTGAAACTTACGTGTTGATGCACTCCAGCCTTGGCTTCTTCCAAATTTTCCGTGAGCTGGCGATATTTTTGTTTCATTTCTTCATCGTCCTTTTTCTTCTTGTCCTCTTGCTTCTTTTTGGTCTCAAGTTTCGATTTGAAATCGTTAATTTGTTTATTCGATGAGAACTCCAAATCAACAGATTTCTTGACATGTGTCAAAGCTTGCGCGAACATCATTTCAAAAACTGGTCGAATATCAGCTGGAAGTTTGGCCCATTTCGATGATTTCGAAGCCTTTTCATCATCCGAAATTGTCGAATTTTTGAGCAAATCTTTGATTTCCGCATTTCTGTTGGAAAAAATTGTTTGATTTTCGAATATTACTATCTTGATGTTATTTCATATGAAGATTTGAAATAATTCCACGATCAGCAATCTGGTTTTGATCATTTAATAATCTCTCATAAACGAAAATTCGATTTAATTGATGTTAGTCAATTCTTTAACACGGCTCTTAAAAACTGTCAGAACCGCGCAGTATTTTTGACCATTTTCTATTATTTCGTAAGGAAATCGAGGCCAAAAGTTGAGCCAAGTTTCAAACTTGAATAAAAAATGAGATTATATCAGACCTTTTACTATTCACATCATTTCGTGGAATTTTTATTTAGATATATGAATTTATTTTTAATAAAACTTACATATCATCCAATGATGATCTCAATTCGGCCAATTTCTTTTGTCTAGCTTCTTCAAATTCTTCCTCGCCTTCCATTACAATTGATACATCTGGATCATCATTCAAACGTCTTCGTTTTCCAGATGAGAATTGTTGTTCTTCCAATTGATCAATTTGTCCTTGAATTTCTCCTCGTTGTCTACGCAATTCTTTGCAAAGATTTTGACATCTCTGAGAAGCAGCTTCAACTTCAAGTTCTTCCTCGATAACACTCTGAAAATCGAGAATATTTTTCAGTCGGTTTCTAGGCCATGTGAATCAAAAAGCCTTGATTAATACTGGAGTTGTTTTTTTTTGTCTAATTATCAAGTCATTAGGGTTCAAAAGCTAGAAAATATTTATGACTTAATAATTATAATATGTACACGACACGATAAAACATCACTCGGTTTAGTATTTACATTGGGCTAAGATCTAATTACATAAATTTTTGCAATGAATCAGTGAAAACGTGGTAAAGCACGGTTTTTAGTAGGCAATTTACCGTAAATTCTATTATTGTTAGAAAAATTATTATTTTTGTCTGGTTTTTGAATATATCTATTTCGAACCTGAAGAGTTGCTGGATCTGTTGATGAATCTTTTCGAGTTGCTCGTTTTGCATTCAATTCTTTGAGCGCTTTATTGGCACGATTCGATTCCGCCAAACGCTGAAATAATAAATTTGTTTTAAATAAATCACTGAAATAAATTAACTCACTTGTTGAAGAACAGCAAATCTTTGCTCATCAATTCGCTTTTGTCGAGCAACATCGATTTCCCTCTTTTGAAGTTTCGTCTTCATTTGTTGCATCTCTCTTTCATGCTTCTGTTTGAATGTTGTAAATTTGCTGGCCTCGGCGCGTTGCTCTTTCAAAAGTCGGATTCGTTGAAGTTTCAAATTTTTCAGCTCTTCCTCCGTTTTCTTCATAGCCTCCTCCATCTTTTTGCGAGTTTCTTGCAATTTCTTGTATTCAAGAAGTTTCTTCTTGTCTTCATCATGTTGTTTTTCCAACTCTTTCAACTTTTTGTCTTCTTTCTTCAGCCAATTTCGATGCAACATTCACTTTTCTCGTCTCATTTTTCAATTTTGCAATTTCCCCTTCAAGTTCACCAACTTTAACAGCCAATTGTGTTCTTTCTTCCTCTCTTTGTTGCATTGCTTCAATGAATTCCTTTTGAGTCTCCAATTCTTTCTCGCGATTTGCATCTTTCAATGCAATTTCCTTTTCAATAGCATCCAACTGAGTTTGAAGTTCTGGCAATCTTTCGGCATCATAAATACTTTCATCCATTCCAACTTGTGTTTCATCGATATTTTCATCATCTCCAATAAGCGTTGTTTCAATTTCTGATCCAACTAATTGAGATACCAAATGAATAACATCGGATGGTTCCAGCATTTCTTCGTTTTCCAGAATCTGCTTCACTCCTGTCAATGCTGTTGCCAATTTTGACTTTTCGGATTCAAGACGAACATTTTTGTTGGTGACGGCATTCTAAAATGAAATTCAGTTAACAGGGGAACTGTTTCGAAAGTAACAAAAAACTTACAAGTCGAACAATACAATCCGAAAGTGTGATGCATTTGTTACGAATGTCTTCGTCTTTTTTGATCAACTCATCTTTGAGAGCCAAAATTTCAACTCTGCAACAAGTAAAGATTAAATACTACACAAAATAATTATTCAAGACTAACGTGTTGGAAATTTGCTCGGGTGCAGCTGTGCTTGGCGCAATTCCTTTCTTCAAATCCGAATTTTCTTTTTCAAGACGTTTGATTTGAGCACGCAAAGCAGATATTTCTTCAGCTTTTGGATTCTTGTTGATAATTGGTTTATTCTTGATTTGTTTCGCACGATCAGCATATCTCAAAGTGCTCAAAGTTTCTTGAGCATTTGTGTCAGCTGGCGAAATACATGCCAAGAAAATCGTATAAGAATTTCCACCAAGTGAATCTTGCAAAACACGTGTCAGCGCCGATGTTCGATACGGTACATAACTTTGTTTGGTAACAAGAGCAGTGATAACTTGTGAGAGGATTAGAAGTCCACCATTGATGCTGATTCCTTCGCGCATAACATGTCCAGCTGCTTCCGTCTTCTTCAAACGTTCAGATCCAGCTAAATCGACCAATTGAAGTTTTGCAGCAAATGATGATTCACTGAAAAATAAGAATTTAGAAATTCAAATTATAAAATCTATAAACAAGCACTCACTCGCTTGGAACTGCAGCCTTTTCCAACAAAATTGTGAAAACAGCATGTGATCTACTTGACATCGCATTCATCGCCGTTGATGCTTTTGTTCGATAATGACATCCAATTTCTAATTGCTTCAGAGCTCCTTTCAGATCAGAGACTGGCACACTTGTGAGATTCACAATTTTACCTACAAAAATGTTACGTTTTTCAAAACAAACACATGAATAACTTACAGCTCTTCTCATCACCATGAACAGTCAATTTCACTTTATCTGGACGCAACAAATCATAAATATGATCACCGTAGATTTCATACATCGAAACAGTAACTTTATAGGCTTCTGGAACTGTTGAGTCGTCGATTCTTTTGAATAAATTATCAACAAGTCTTGGAATAATTCCTCGACGAAGTTCATCAGTTCCATCACTGTCTTCCGTTCCCATTGTGTATGTCTTTCCACTTCCAGTTTGTCCATAGGCTAGAATTGTTGCATTGAAACCACCAAAAACGTGGTCGAGCATTGGATGAGCTGATTGTGTGTATATTGTTTCTTGATCAACAGTGTCTGGATAAACTTTGTCATAAGCAAATGTTGATGCACCATTGATGACAATTTGACCAGTTGCATCGAAATATTCGACACAACGGGCCGCGCCTTCTTTCATTTCTCGAGCATTCATCGGGCGAGCCCGAACAATCACCCGCAAAGAGGTTTCCATCTGAAAATAAATATAACAATGAAATTGGCAGTTTTTTATAGAAATAATGACACGATTGAAACGTGGAGGTCACGTACAATAAATAACAATAAACATTTAAAATTCATGAAAAACCTAGCAGTTCAATGAATTTATTCGTCATTCTGCTGAACTGATCAACGAAGAATAGCAGGGTGAAAAAAGAATGAAAATCAGCTCAAGAATGATTTTCCCGCTGAATCCAGCGATTGGTCGAAAAAAAGAATAATCTTTTCGAAACGAAAATTCAGAGGAAGAAACGAGAAAAAAGTGAAAACGTTTCAAAACGCGAGATTTGCCGCTGACATTTTTGTGTAAACACCGAAAATGACGCACATTTGGAAAAGAGAAGGCGAAATAGAAGAGGGTTTAGAGAAAGATGAATAAAGAGAAAGAAAAATTTAGGCCATGGATTAAGAATAATCGCCTAAAAAGCTTGTTGAGCTACTAATTTTGAATTTTTATTAGATTTTCAAACTGAATACATAACTATTTTTCTCTATACTTGAAGGTTTAAAATTCTCTTCAGTTGAATCAAAAGAATTTTAATTTGGAAGCTTTTGCTGGAAAAAAACAGAAATTACTGTGAGTTTTCTACGAGACCTAAAGTTTCTCCAACATGTACATTTAAAACGTCTTGAAATCTATACGTACCAAATTGGGCTGCGGAAATGTTAGCTTCTTTTACGAGTTGGGCATCGACTGAACAAAAAACTCAAAAAACGAACACTTTTCTGTTAATTTTCACGAAACCCAGATTTCTGCTTCAGAAGATTCGAAACTGAGAATGTCGTAAGCTTTTGGGTTTTTGTTACAGTACCCTTCGGTGTTTGCACAATCTGCAGACAGCCTGTGCGATTACAGTAATCAATTTTATTTTTTTCCTCGAGGATCCTTACGGAATAACCGGAAATTTCCTGTAGAAAATAGAAACACTATTTATTGCTTAGTTACTTGTTCTTTAGTTTTTGTTTGGTAGGATGGATCTATTCAACTTTACGAAATATTGTTGTTTGTGTTTATCACATGAATTCAATTCTAGAATTAGTGTTATTCAAGTTTCTTATCTTTCGCGAATTTTGTTTAGTTTTGTTATCGATAAATACTGTTGTTTTACCTAGTCTACATTTTTATTTCTAAAAAAGTAAAATTCAATCTTCAAAAATCAATTTTTAACGTGAACTCTCAAATATATTCTTTCCATTTTTTTAAGTTTTCTTTTCCAATCCAATTTATTTTACTCATTTTCAGAAATGGTCACTCGTGTTCTCAAATATTCAATTCCAACCGTCACAACTGCAATCAGTGCATATTATTTGAGCGATGAAAACAATCGAAATTCATTGATTCGAACTGTGACTGCAAAAGCGTTCAGGGAAGAAAGCAAGTTCGATTCGTATTTTCCACGTGGCGAATGGGATCATAATTGGGATTTGTGAGTTGAAATAAGATTGTCCAATAAGAGTTTTCCTTTTTTTGCAGCCGTGACCCAGAAAGTTTGGTAGATCGAAAGAAATACAATAAAGCAAACGAAGAAGAAAAAGAAGAAATTATTGGAAGCTCAAAAGAGTACCGCTACCCGAAACATTTTCCTAATTCGACATGGTCAATATCAACTAGATACCGATGACAAATTTTTGACTGCACTAGGAAGAGAACAAGCCGATTTATTGGGAAAACGATTGGCTATTTCGGATATCAAATTTGATAAACTATTGATGTCAACAATGAATAGAGCAACTGAAACAGCCAATATTATTTTGGGACATTTTCCGGATAATTTTCCAAGAAGTTCATCATCGATGATTGAAGAAGGTCCACCATATCCACCAGTTCCAGAACATAGAGAATGGAGACCAGCTGCACCGGTATGTATTTATTTTGTCTATTTCTAAAAATACTAGTTTTAAGTATACGATCTTACAATTAGTCTGTAAAATATCAAAAGTTCAATTAAATTAACATTCCCCTAACTATAAAATTGAGGAGTTCTACTCGGAAGCGGCTCGAATCGAAGCAGCTTATCGCAAATTATTCCATCGTGCTCCACCTTCTCAAAAACAAGATTCTTACGAACTTGTTGTCTGCCATGCTAATGTAATTCGCTATTTTGTTTGTCGGTAAGTGTTTTTAAAAATTCAATGTTGAAACTCAGCAATTTGGTTGATTTTCAGAGCTCTTCAATTTCCACCCGAAGGTTGGCTTCGTATGTCATTAGGAAACTGCTCTCTAACTTGGGTTGTTATTCGACCATCTGGAAATGTGTCGATTCGATCAATCGGAGATATTGGACATTTGGCACCACACAAAGTATCTTTCACATAAGAAGTTTTATTGGATGAATTAATTTATTTTTAAATTTTAAACTTTAAACAATGCAACATTCAATAATTGAGATTTCAAATCGAGATCAATTGTTGATTCTTCCAAACCCTGCAAATTTACAGATTTCAAAAATATAGGGATATTCAATCTGCAACAAACCTTCGAATCAAATTCATCAAAATTAACAGTGAAACCGAGAATTGCACTCGATTGTGGATAATTTGGTGGAATAACAATCCAAACTGTCAACTTTTTAGATTTGTCCGAATTTTCAAAATCCGCCTTATAATAGAAGCCAGAGGAAATTGTTGAAATTTTCGATGAAAACGATTCGGATATTCCAGTCATGAATTTTTCATATTCAATCGGGGCGAATGAGATCATCTTGAATTCGCTTGTTTTTGGAATTTCCAAAATTTCAGATTTCTTGGTTTCTGAAAAAAAGAATATTCAAAAAAGTTATTATTTGAAAATCGCTTACCGATGGATTTCAAAACTTCATCGAGTTGTATCCTAGTTTCTACTCGATTTCTAATTGCCAACACCAATTTTCGAACAGATTCAGTTAAATGTGTTTCAGTGTCTGCACTCAAAAAACCACCCAAAACTTGCGCGAAATTATAAGGTCGCCCTAATTTTTTCGAAATTTCATTGAAGTTCAACCTGCAAAAATTAATTGTTTTTTTTAATTGAATATTGAATTATGGTTTTTCGAAAACTAAAATCTCACTTCAAATGTTGCATTTTAATATTTCCCGTCGAATTCGGACATTTTACACCATCATCATTTTCGAATAAATCAGTCATTAGATTTTCTGCACAAAGAACTTGGGATGAACTTTTGAAGCTTGATAAATCCCATTTTGCAGTCAAAACTTGAAGCTCGGAAAGATGATAAAATGTGACCAGAACATTTTGAGAACCACATCCAATTTCAAATTCAACATTTAATGGATGATTTTCGAATATTCGATTCGCTGATCTTTCAATTCTATCCAAAACATTTTCATTTTTCGATCTTTTGCCTTCCGGTTCTTCTTTTTCCAATATTTCCGATTTATTGATTTTCACAGAGAAAGATTTGTCTAAAAAATAACTTGAAAAGATTTCCCAGGGGTTCTTCAACATTTTTCTAAATGCTGCTTACTAATCAAGTTCAACCCGGAAGTTTTGTTAGTTATGAAGTGGCAAAATTTTTCTCAAGAGATTTCTGGATTTGATCAACAACCAACCAAAAATCTAGGAAAATGTTCCACAGAATAATTACCTTGCATAATTTCGGAATATGCTAGAGAATGTGAATACAAAAGCGAAAGACTTGGAGGTAATTGAACTGCCAATTTTCTTTGCTCATGAACTTTGTCAACATCTTCGAATTGAACAGCCAATGTTTCTTGAAGTGGTTGAGTGGTCTGAAAAACTTCTTGATCCGATTCTCATGAAGGTGTAAAAATGTATCTTGAAATTTGTATTTGCGAGAGATTTTTGATAGAAGCTGTATCTCGTGAGAGAACGTCATTTACTTAGTATATCACGAGCAAAAAGTGCATGTTCACTGAACCGATTGACTTTTCTATGATCGACCAAAGACTCCTAGATTATTATTTACAAAAATTCCCACTGACTAGACAATTTTGTTTTTGACTTCTTTGCAAAACTAATCAGATTTTTGGTCAAATTTGAATAGGTTCTCACCTTCAATAATTCGTTGATATTTGGAATAACACTTTCGATTCTTTGTTCTTTTTTGTGAATATCACTTAATAATACATTCCTTCGTCCTTCGAGTTCATGAAGAGTTGATTGCATTCTGAAAAAAAGAAAAAAAAACTAATTAAAATATAATTGTGTTGATAATCCTTACTCTTTTCTTTGTTCTGCTTCAAATTGCAATCGAGCCAAATATTGTTTATGTTCATTATTTTTAGTTTCTTCCGGCTTCGATATTGTTTCTGATGCTGTTTTATAGAATTCCTCAACCGGCACTAAATCAATATCTTCATCTCCAGCACTGTAATCCAAACATCTATCAATCTCTTTTCGAACATGTTGAAGTTCACTCGTTGTATTTTGTAGTTGAAGAAGTTTTGCGTCGACGATTTCGAGTTTTTCTGCACTTTCTTTTCTTAATTGAGATGTGGCATAATGTGAAAGCCTCGCTAATCGACGTACTTTTGCAATATTTGTTATCATATTCATCTCGATTTTCTGCCCGTTTATATAATTTTCTAAAACTTCTCGTAGAACTCCATATTGCTCCATACTTTGTTCATACAATTTCTCATGAGTCAAAGCCATTGCTATTCGATCTTCAATATTATAAAACTTCTCATTGGTATCCATCTTGTCCAAATTCTTCAAAATTTCCATAGATTCTTCTGACAACTTGTGCTCGGTTTTTGCAGATTTCTCATCACTCACTGGCTTTTTCGTTGTTTTGACATTTATTCCGGTAGACATCTGAATGACAAAAAAATTATTATACTTTTATTCATCAAAAAACAGCGTATGACGCACTTTTCAAAACGAAAAAATAAAAAAATATTTTTCCGCTTCCTGGCCTAGTAAACGGAAAAACTAGGCCATCTCTGCGCGGCCGTTTGAATTTGTGTGCATCCAAAGTACCGTACTTCCCGCATTTTTTCTGAAACGGGAAAATAGGTGGTTAGCTATAATAATAAAATTAGAAAACAGATTATTTTTAATATTCATAACAATAGCGTCAAAACACATCGAATCTAGTATGAAAAATTAGAGCAAAGAACGGTGTCACATGATAAAATAACTTTTCTCTGCTGATTTTCACACATCAATTGCTCATAAGCTCAATTGTATTTTGCAACATTCTGACAATGAATTGAATAAAAAATCACATATTCTATTTCCTTAATGAAATCACTCTCCAGCTGTTTAATTGAGTCGTGTTTCTTTCGGAAACACACAATTATTTTCCAATGTTTTCTTCACTTTATTTATAAAAAGTTTTCCAGAAATCAATTATTTTCAGATAAAAAAGAAAACAAAATGGAACCATTGATCATAATTCTCGTCATACTGTATTCCACAATTTTTGTATTCGGATTCACAGGCAATTTAATAATGGTTCTTGTAACAATATTCAGCCGAAATCTTCGATCATCTTGTAATATTCTAATCGGAGCTTGTTGTTTTTTTGATTTAATTCTTTTCACAGATATCATTGCATTTGTATATTCTTTATATATTGAAACACCACAAGGTATTCTGAAATATTTTAAGTATGACTTGTTAACTAAAAAACATATTTCAGATATTTGTTTCTACATAAATATTCCAGCCGATTTCGGTGCATTTGCTTCAAATGCTTGTGTTTTAATGGTTGGAGTTGATCGTCTTCTCGCAATTACAAATCCTCAAAAATATATGTATATCGAGACTCATAAGAAAAAATATCTAACGCTTCTTTTAATGTTTCCAATTTCATATGCCTCCTATTTGCTATACGTTGGATTCGGACAACGAAACCCAAAAAAGTTAGTTTCACGGTAATAACTTTTATATGAACTTTGGAACTTTTAGAACAGTAATTTGTCTTTTGCCTGAATCACTTGGTCATGCTTACGATCTTTTTGCAATGACTTCATTTATTATCAATTTATTCGTTCCGCCGATTTATATTTATGTATATTTTAAAATAAAAAAGTGTCAAATGAGTGAGTAACTAATATGAGTTATTTGGATACGTGGTCCAAAAATTTGCAACTTTTTTCATTTTAGAAACATTTTTCAGAAGCCTCAACTCAATCAGTTTTCAAAAGTCTATTTGTGACAGTAATATTAGTTGTTAGTGGTTGGATGACAACTGATTTAATCGGAGTTCTTACTGTCATAATTCCAATGAATCCCGAAGTTGCAAGAATGATTCAATTATATTGTGGAGCATTTATTTTCACATCATCCTCATTTAACGCATATGTTTATTATCGAATAAGTAAAGATTATCGATCAGCAATTCGATTGATGTTTCGATTGGATAAACCTGGACAAAAATGGAGAACTAAATCACTGAATGGGATAAATCAACCAACTTTTGATGGATCTACAAAACAAGATGGGCCACCGACAACAACGAGAAGGGATACAACAGTTTATCCGAATTCTAGAAAATTTTAATTTTAATGTTGAACTTTGGTTGGCGAGAAACAGTAAATAATAAATCATACAAATTTAATGAGTTTTCATTCATCATTTTGTTTCGTGACCCACAATTTTTCTTGTTTCATTTCCAATTTTTTTCTATTTCTGTTTCTTTATTAAGTTAGCCATCATTTCCTAATCCTGATCTAAAAATTTTCAATTTATATATTTTTTGTTTTCGAAATTCTAGTACACCAATTCAATTCGAAATTCTATGATGATGCATTAACCGACAAAAGATTCAAGCTTAAAACAAACAAAATTAAGCGGTTTTGTGTTTGTGTGACATACGCTTTTTGGCTTCGAAATTGACACAAAAACGACGACGAATGACTGGAAGAAGAAGAGAAAAACGATGGAGAAATAGAAGAGCCAGCCATGGCCAGCCCCGTATATTTCTCACTTGTCTTCTTTTTTTGTGCGGCTTTTATGTATAAATATATATACATAGATGGATAGGTTTTTTGTTCGTTCGTTTAGGTCGCATATTATTATTATTTCCAGCTTTTTTTTCCTGAAATGCACAGGTATAAATTGAAACTTCAAAGTTCTATCTTCAATTTCCAAGCGTGACCTCAAGAATATTTATACGCTTTTAGATTTAAAAAAAAACCAGCTTATTTTTAGTATCTGATAGCTGGAAAAATGACATGTTTCAAAAACGATGTGAGTGTTTTTGCAAACTTTTGATCTAGGATAATATTTCAAAAACCTGGGGTTTGTAGTTTCAATTTTTGATAATTTCGGATTCTCTGTTTTTCGTTCGGAAATTTCAATGTTTGCCCGAAATTTGAGAATTTTAACATTTCCACATTGGAACATTTTTTGGAATTTCAACTTACAACCCAAACCTCAAACATTTCAAAAAAAATTCTGGTAGATCAAAAAATATTTATCTCTAAATCTCTCACTTTTGCGTTGGTTTTTTCCCGATTTTTTTCTGCCACAACAGCGTGGCCCACCCGAAAATCACTTCACATCAAACATTTTCCCAGACCTACACTACAAATCAAAATCTGCACTTACATCACTTTTTCCCCTTTTCAACCTCATATTTTCCCATCTCAGTCTAGGCTTGACTCAATCCATCATAATTTAGTTCGTAGGAGAAAAGTAAGTATCTAGAAGTAGAAAACACCTGTCAATTCTTCTCTTCTCATGTCCTTTTTTGTGTCTAACTACGTACGTATTCATTGAGATTTTCTTCGACATACATTTATTATTGTTGAAAAAAAAACAGAAGAAGACAAGAAAATTGAGGGTGTGTCTTGAAATTTGAAAAAAGACAAACGAACGAATTGAAATGAAAACGTAGCTATAACAACCAAAACTTTTATACTATATTTCTTCGTTCGCTCCTTATTTCCTTATTTTTTTGTTTTAAAGTTCTTAAATTCAAATTTTCAAGAATCGTGTGATGAAAAAATATGCCAAATTCTGATGTGTAGACAAAAAATAAATAGGTTGCATGTCGAAAAACGAAAAAGCGTCGTCGCCGCCACCAAAAATTGTATTTGCCCTGCCCTTTATTAATTATAAATGTGAGTTTCATTATTTGAGATGGTGTGAAAAGAGATATATTTCATTTTATTTCCCGATCTCTTCAATATATTATTATTTTCAGATGACTTATTATCGCGCACCTCAACATGATATCGTTTATCCTTCTGATTATTCAGATGATAATCCATCTCAATGTTGTTTTTGTTGGTTGTGTTCATTATGTTGTTGTCGGAGACCAAGAAGAAATCGACAGAATCGTGGAAGAAGGATGATTGCGACAACAAATATCACACAGTATAATCACAACCAGGTTAGTTTCTCGGGAACTTTTTTGAAACATTTGTTTTGGCTGAAAACTTGCTGTGAAAACAATTTTTTCCAAAGTATTCGCTCAGATTCCGGCTTGTCCAAATCGAATCTGTTTTTTTTTAAATAATCACAGTGCTGAATTTTGAAAGGGTCATTTAAATTGAATAATTCATCAGATTCTGAAAAAAATTTCTGAAATTTTTTTGAGATTTGAAACAATTTTGTGAGGTTGGATTAGGATTACCAAAATGTATCTGAAAAACTAAAAATTCAGAAAACTGTTTAGTTTACCTAGAGTTTGAAGTTGCTAATTATATCTTTAGTTTGAAATTTCAAATTATTGAATACGATACGTTCATTTTTCAAAAGATGGTTGTAAAATTTGTTTCCTGGTTCTATTTTTGTAGATTACTGTAGTTTCTTTTTTTTTTAATTTCTTTTTTTTTTCAAAAATTTGAAATTTCCAAGGGTTTGAAAATCGCATTTCTTTCGGCTTCATTAAGTCACAAAACTACGCGACTCAGAAAATTTAATTTTTACGCGTAAAAAATTTTTTTTTTTTTGGAATTAAAATTTTCAGCCATTTCCATTTTACTGTAAAGCTATTTTCTGATTTCTATAAAAATTTCCTGTTCTGAACACCTCATCTTCTTTCTAAATCAGCCCATTCCATCCATCGTTTTCACCAAAAACCTTCAAATGTTCCCAACTTTTTTTGTTCGGTGGTTCCAAATTGAGTTTTTCTTTTTTTTCGAATGAACGAGAGAAAATGAAATAGTTTTCAGCCGGAGAAAACTCGGCAAAAAACTGCGAAGAGAAAATTGTTCAAGGACCCTCTTTTCTAAAGTGAAGTGGAAAAGATTGATTCGGACAGGAAATTTTGAATGATATTTTCGTGTATTTTTGGAAAAAAGAACAGATGTTGGCAATTTTCTTGTGCTTTTTTGAGCTTTTTTGTTGGTTAGGTGAAATGACATTTGTGTATCGAATTGATTTTCCAATTTTTTGTTTTGTAAAGCTAACAAGATTTTGATAATCTATGTTTTTTTGAGAAGTAGATTATCTCAAATTATTTTCTGAAGAAATTTCTAGATTTTCTCAAGTTTGCTCTAGATTTTTGAACATCAAATTCGAGATTAGGATTTTACAGTTCGGAAAGATTTTTTAGGAAATTTTTTATGTGTTTCAGTTTCCGTTGATTAAATTTGAAATTCCTGATTGTCTGAAAATGGACCAAGTCGAAATTCTGTCCGAATTGTGTCAAAGAATGTTATCACCAAACATTTTTTAAAAAGGCTCATGACTAAAATTTTGAAAATTTTGAATTTTTAAGGCGAATAATCTTTAACCAAAAATATACTGGACTATTGTAATTTGCAAATTGCTTATTTTTTATTTATTCACTGTCTTTTCTATTTTTCAAACCAATATTTTCTTTTTCTTCTTCCAAATATGTAATATTAAAAATAATCCCCATCTCTCATAAATCATCAAATAATTTCCTTAATTTCGCAAATATCTAATTATTCATACATAATCCAACGTTTTCTTTATTCATTCCTCCAAATTATTTCTACATGAGCTGAATTTGATTCATTTTTTCTCCTTTTTCATAGACACCACCACCCAAGAAGAAGAAGAAGAAGAAGTAAAAGTAGAAGAAGAAGAAGCAGAATCGATAGTATAAAGGGGAGGAGAAAAGAGCTCAACTTGGCTGGCTCACTATTTTCTCCTTCTCTTTTTCATCTCGCGCAACCACCAAACTGAGAATAAATCGATATTAGAAAATAGGAAAAAGAAAGTAGTAGAAGTAGTAAAAATGGATGGAGCAAGAGAGAAAAAGAAGAAGATGTGCTTGCTTCTACATGCCTTCTTACATAACTTCTTCTACATCTTTTTTCCTTTTCCTTCTCCTTGGCCTTTTGCTCTTTTTTTCTGAAGGAAAATACAAAAAACATTCTTGTTTGTTTTTCTGGATTCTGAGAAGTGAGAAGTTCAAATTGTTCTCTTGATTTGAGATTAGGTATTTTTGATTTGGCAGCAAGTTTAATCGAATTTCAAGAAAAATATCGACTGCAGAAGTATGTATGTGTATGTTGTGATTGAGAACTTCTGGCCCAATTTTTCAGAATTACTTTTTTTATTAAAAATTATTTTTGATCTATTAGAAAAGTTGTAAAAGTTGAGGACTAGAGATTTAGGGGTTGATTTTTGAATATCACAATTTTGAAACGTATATTTTTCGAAAAAATCTGTGAATTCAATTAAAAATGTTTTATTGAATATTTTTCAGAATCTCAAATCATTTAAACAAACTGAGAATCAACGGCTAAAATCACACCAACCAAGTTCAAAACAATATTTTCAAAAAATAGATTAAGTGTGTTGAATTTCAGGTTCATTTTCTTACTGTAAAATTTTTATCAATATTTTGATGATATCAAAAAGATCTTCTGTTGAGTTCAGAAAAATGCTTTTGTTCTTCGGATGATTTTTCTCCTAGTAGAAAAGTTCAGAATAATATTTTTTGTTGTTGAAAACTCGAAACTTTTCTAGTTATATGAAATTTTTCTTTCAAATCTTACCCATTTTTTCTCATTAAATATTTTTTGCTCAATTTCCAATAATCCCATCTTGTCTACATGTTCATATTGCATTTTTTTTCATTTTATTGTCCATATTCATTCATTTTCTCTGCCTCTCTCTCCTCTCTCACTCTCTCAATTTTCCACCCTCAAAAATCGGACTCTTTTCGTGTTTTGTCCCTCGAGGGATTCGACCTCGTCGCACCCAAAATCCATAAAAAAAGAAAGAACCAGCAAGGAATTTTTCGAAATTCGATCCTTTATTTATTTTATTTTCGGTCCGTTTTTCTAGATAGGTAAATATTATTTCTATATTAGTTAGTTAGAATTTGAATTTTCTCTTTTCGGGTGAAGCAGTTCAGTGTTTTTAAATGTATTCATGAATTTTGACCGACTCAATCTCGTATTTTTTTTTGTTTCAGACCGCATTTCGCGATCGTATGAACATCAGTCAGCCGCCGCCAGGTTAGTTTTACTTCGCAATTTTTTTCTGGGTTCTCATAATTTATAATTTTAGGCGGCGGAGGGGGGCGGTTACCCGAAGAAGTTTATCGAAAAATCACAGCTGTTGATCAGGGAACTAGTACTTTAACACAATCTGGAATTCAGGGACTTAGTGCGAGGATTTTGGACAAGTTAGTTTATTTTGAATTCAAGAGGGTCGTTTGATCACGAAAGGTATTCTCATTTCTTAGATAATTGTGATCTTACCCCATCTTTTCACCCAAGTTTTAAATAAAATCTAATTTTTTCCAGAGAAACTCGTGGTGATTTAATTATCCAATTTGTTGAAATTATCAAAAAACCCGGACAATCATTAGGTTTATATTTACGCGAAGGAAATGGAAAAGATCGAGGCGATGGAGTTTTTGTGTCAAGATTCGGCGACAATTCCGAATTGGCAAAATATGGCGATGTTATTCGACCCGGTGATGAGATTTTGACAATTAATAATGTTGAAGTATCAATGATGGGTATTGATGATGTTGTTTTGATTTTAAGTATACCACGAAGACTGTTGCTCAGAATACGGTAGGGGTTTGGTTTTTTTTAGAAAAAAATTATCAATCAAAAATTTCATTTCAGATTTTCAAAATCGATGAGACATGAAATAGTTAGTAGTCGAAGTACAGAAAGACCTGTTGTTGTGTTTCATAAAGTTGAAGAGAGAAGAGAAAGTGAATCGAATGCGAATGCTCCGATTTTGTCACAACCAACTTCAACAGCGAATACTTGGCTCGGGAAGAAGAGTCGACAACAGATGGAGGTTAGTATTTTTGAAGGTTTGGGTTGAAAAAAGGGGTTTGCAAGAACTTGAAAAATTATCGAGTGAAAATGATACTCTTCTGAAATTATTTGACACAAATCTGATGTTGAAAAGTTTTGAAAATTTCTAAAAATTTGGAAAATATACTAATTTATTTTTGGCGGCCGTATTTTTTTCAGATGCTGAAGAAAAATTGAGCACATCTCATAAATCTCATAATTTTTTACCGACGAAAAACTTTAGGAACTATGCTCTCAAAATATTTACTGTTTCAATATTATATTCTAGATTTCTTGAGTAACTTCTGTTTTGAATTTCATAGAGCACCTTTGAAATTTGGGAAGAATAAAAAAATTCAATTACTACTGTACGCAATACATAGTTCAACGTGGAGGAATTTCGAAATTAAAAAACATTTTGTTCGGAAGTTTCACTAGTTCTCTTCATACTGAATTATTTTCACAGAAAGTTTTGACGAGAATCAAAATAATTGTCTAGTTTTGAATTTGAAATCTTTCTGATTTCTCCAAAATCCCGATTCATCCGTTCCCCTTCTGACAGAAATAGCTTCTTTCTAAACCATTTATCCATCCATCCATCCATCCGGGCAAAAGCCACCACCACCATAGCCAGAAAAAAAACAATTTTAGTGTGTGACCAGCCAACAAAACAAAAAAAAAGAAGTTTGTTCAAAAAATGACAAATTGCTTTCCTGCTCCACATACTACTTTTTCTTTTTCCCCCCATTTTTTTCGTTTTGGCGCCAAAAAAGGATTCCATCAAAAATTGTTTCCCGATGACGTATTTTGAATGAATAAGTGAGATGAGAGAAATGAAAATGAATATCAGTTTCACAAGTCTTTCAATTGTTAAGTTAGTCTAATTGAACATGAATATGAAGTTGATTAGGTTTAGAAAATCGTTTTAAAGAATTAATCATCATTTTTCTTTTTTTCTATTGCTTTGCAGCGCTCAAAAAAACCTCGGTCGCTGCCAATGAATAATTCCAAAATTGTCCTTTTTTCCCTTGGCCACTTCTTTCTTCATTAGAAATTCGAACCTTTTCTTTTTCTCTCCATTCTATTCTACTTTGAGTTTCAGATTTCACACACACACAAAAAAACTGTGGTAAAATGTATGTGTGTGTTTTTTCTTCTTCCGAAAACATCTCGGCAAATTTTATTTTGAAGCTTGGAATTGGGCCTATATTTTTGACAAACCTAATTTTTGATAAGCTTAATGTTGAGCCAATTTCTAGTAACCTTATCTTGATTCTACAAACCCCTTGGCTAAAAAGGTACCAACAAAAAATAAAAAGCTAACAGGCAGGGCGCCGCCATCTTTCGTCCAAATGTCAATTTCAATTTTCAATTAAACACTTGTTACAAACATGTCAAACTCGATGTTTTTTGCTCTTCAAATGGTCCCATCTGCGTCTCTTACTCACTCACTTACTTTTCTCCCTTTTTTTCCATGCACCCCTCCCGAAAAAAACTTGTTTAGGCGATAAATATCCGTGCCTAAAAAGGCGCGTTTTGGCCTATTGATCGGGCGCGGTTCTTACTTATCTCGTTTTGTGCTCTTTTTTCTCTCTAAACTTTTTCGCTCTCCGTTTTTTTCGCGCTTTTTTCTATCCGCATATTCATTTGAATGTGTTTCATCAAAGTTTTATGAGATTTATGAGGCTTTAGATTTATTCAGTTTTTTGAGAATTGAGAATTTTTTATATCTTTAGGAAATTAGTTTTTCTTTTTTTCTAGAATTATGCAAAGACGTCAGAAAAGTGCATTACAGTATCCTACAAATTTTCGTATTTTATATTGATACAATTTCTGTCTACCTGATTTTTCTCATTTATTTACTTGAGAGTCGATTTTCAGGACTTCTAATTTTCAATATTCGCACATTGAAAACTTGATATGAATATTTGAAATCTTGAATTTTGCGCACTGAAAATTAATTTCAAATTTAGCGCTGAGAGTCTGAGCAAATAATTCAAATTTTCAAAATTTGTGGTTTTCAACAAAAATTAATTTGAAACGTTCTCCCAGAAGATTCGAATACTTGAATTTCGCGCCTTGAAAATAGATTCTGAAATTTGCAATAGTTCCGGTATCTCAAAATTGTGTTTTTACACCTTCAAAATTAGGTTCAGTCCAATTCCAATTTCACATTAATATTTTCTTCTCCAGGAAATGCGATCATCAACCCTCCGCTCAACTACAAATGCTTCCACATCCTCTCCTCGTTCGCATTATGCTCCTCGAGTTGTAAATGGTCATTCAACTATTTCAACATCTCATCATCATGGATTACCTTCTGTATCCGGAACAACCGCAAACGATAATCATCATTATCAACGATTCTCATCAGAACCAGCAGATTCGGTAACTCGAACAGCTCGTGTTCCACCACCTCGATTAGCATCAGCAACTGTTCGAAGAACTGAGAGTTTCAATTCAGCGCCAGGTGTATCAAATGTTAGTTTTTCTCCTTTCATAATTTTTTTATATTGTAAGAGTTAGAATAACTTATATTATTTTTTCCAGAGTGCTCCGATGTATACATTACCCCGATCTTCTACTGCAGTTCCACCACCTGATATATCATCTCGGATTCCTTTATCAGCAAGAGATCCTTTGATGAGAGGACCTGGAACTGATATTTATGATCCTAGAAGTACAACTGATCCATTATTATCTCGATCTTTATGTTCACCAATTTTACCAAGATCTATGAGACAACAACAACAACAACCAATTAATGATCTGAAGAGTAATTCATTGCCTAGACGAAGATTTATGACTGGTTAGTTCAATTAGAAAATTAGAATTTTGTAATGATTTTTTGTTCAGAACTTTCAGGCGCGCGAAATGTGAAATGGCGAAATGATGTTGTATCAACTTCTGAATTATGTGGAGAAGACAGCGATGGTTGTATATCTGCTCCCGAATATTCATCAGCCCCATTTCAACGATTATCTCAACGTAAGTAAATGTCATTCCAAATCACACCTAACTAAGAATTATATAATAGAAAAATTGGGAGAAAATTAGAGAGCGCGGTGAATTTGGAGGGACGAGACAAAGTGCATTAGAGGGCCATTGAATAAAATACTACTACAACGCAAAACAAAAGAGTAAATGGAATGTAAAAGCGGCGCGCGCCGCGCTTTTTGGGTTAGAAAGCATGAAAAATTGAAAATTAAAAAAAGTTGCGGGGGGTTGGGAGAAAAATAAAAGTTGAAAATGTTTGTGAAACTTTTTTTGCTGGAACCAGATTTCATAATGGTTTTCTACGGAATTGGCCTAACTCATCCGGATTTTTTTTTTGCGAAAATTTGGATTTTTTTATTATAACATAAAAGAAATATTGAATTTTTCTTGTTTTCCGAATATAATCATAAATATTTTGGAACGTAGAATTTTCAGGAAAAAATTTGAATTAAAAATGTTTTTTTTTAATTTATGAGCTAAAAAAATTCCAGAATTCTTCTAGTGTTCAAATCAACGGACCCTTGAGATTTAAAATTTCAATTTTTTCAGAACAACAATTTCGATTGTCAAATGGTAGTCCAGGTCGAACAGTCAATGATATATTTTCTGCTGCTGAATACCGTAATTGGGCAGGTCCATATGATCCTCGAACAACCGGCCGAACATCTTCTCGATGGTCCCATACATATGGAGAACAAAGAGCACCACGAACAAGTTCTCTACCAGGTCGAACAATTCTTGCACAAAGTCTTGTTGGAAGTCCAGTTCTACCGCGACATCCGCCACCAATTGTTCAAGATCGACCATCAGCAGTTTTTGATCGATATCATGTGTCACCTTTGATGAATCGAAGAGCACCATTGAGAGCAGCTGGACCTGGTATAAATATTGATCGATTGAATGTAAGCAGTTTGACTGGTATTCTTTTTGTCCAAATTTTGGAAGGAAGAGGATTACGAATACCTGAAAAACAAAAAGGACTCACTGAAGAAATGTATTGTGTTCTAGAGGTCAGTTATATTCTATTGGATATAAATATTGATTACATACATTTATTATAGGTCGATGAACAACATCGTGCCAGAACTGGCGTCTCAACAATCGATCAGAAATTCCGATGGCGTGAAACATTCCACATTGATGTTGTCAATGCAACCGTCACAAATTTCTTCGTCTATTCTTGGCATCCACAATTCCGACATAAATTATGCCATAAAGGTTCGCTGAAACTTCTCGAAGCATTTGTGGTAGATCAATTGAATGGCGATCGAATGTTTGCATTGAATTTGGAACCAAGAGGACAACTTATTGTTCGAATTGGTTTCCATGATATGCAATCAGTATTCAGAAGAACTGTGAATCCAAGATTAGATGGGTAAGTGAAGCATTCTCAAGTGGATTGTGAGAGAAATTATTTTATATAAAAAATTTTGCAGTGTGTTTGGTGTTCCGCTAAGTCGTTTGGTTCATCGAGAACGACGTGAAACTCCAATAATTCTAACGAGGTTGATTCAAGAGATCGAGAAAAGAGGAATTGATTATAACGGTTTATATGTCTGTAAGTTCATTTAATTATTTTGAGATTAAAATATTTATTCACACGGTTTTTGCATTATGGGCCTATGCAGAATGATATTTTGTAATAAAAAAACATTTTTTCCTATGCAGAAAAACGTCGAAAAAACAAAATATACAGTTTATCATTTTGAGTAGAGACAACGTGAAATTGAGAGAGTGCAGACAAAAAACCCATTTTATGTCTGCGCTCTCTCAATTTCACGTTGTCTTTATTTTGTTTTTTCGACGTTTTTCTGCATAGGAAAAAAATGTTTTTTTATGTTTTTTTATTACAAAATATTATTCTGCATAGGCCCATTATTTTTTGAAATTAAATCTAAAATAATTCCAGTATGTGGATCAGTCGAGAAAAAACGAGTTCTACGCGACGAACTCGAAGCAAATCCACTCGGCACCGAACTATCCACCGAAAGTATACCTGACACAAATGTGATTGCTTGTTTGATCAAAGATTTCTTGCGAGAACTTCCTGAACCTCTAATCTCTCCACAAATTCATGCAATGCTTCTTGATGCACAATCAGTTGCACTTCCCAATGATGTTCAAGCCAATCGAACTCTTGTTTTAAGAATTATTGATTGTCTGCAATTATCAGCAAAGGTGAGTTAAAAGGGAATGAAATATTTAAAGGATTCCTTGTTTTCAGAATTGCTTACTTCTTGTTCTCGATCATCTAGTTACTGTTTTATCTTCTTCACCACACAACGGGTTATCAACAACAAGACTTTCAGCGGTTTGTTTTCTTTTTAAAATTACTGTCAAAAATTATCTTAAAAATAATTATTTTCAGATATTTGCACCTCTAATATTTTGTTGCCTTGATACAATTTCACCGTATGCCAGTTCGCCAACATCAAAACAATGTTTAATTCGACCGTTGGATGTGAATCAAGCTTCTCAAAGTCTTCAAATGATATTGTCTATTTGGCCCTCAAGAGTTAGTGAGTTGGTCGAGTTCTTTCCTTTTTTCTGCTTCTCTATTTTACTTTCATGTGTTTTTTTGCAACATTCAACTACTAAACTTACCCTTCACACACGTTTTTTATTTCCACTTTTTGCACCACTTTTTGATTGATTTGTGATGATTTAACAAAAGTTGGGAAATTTGGGAGAAATTGATTTTGAAGAGAAAATCCCTAGGAAAATTTTTGATCATCAGAATTTATGAATTATCTACTTTTTATTGAGGACATTTTTTTTAATTCAAAATTCTAAACAAAGGAGAACAAAATCAGTTCTATTCATCTTCAACAAATTCCATTTCGAAAAAATAAACGTTAATTCTGTTCCTATCAAAAAATCATTTCTAATACAATTTTGGAATGTTCATAAATGTCGCATGAAAGTAAATGTGAGATCACTAAACTCACAAAATTAATGCTCAATTTGTTCTGATTCAGATAGCGAGAGTGGATCAGATAGTCCGGCCACGACATGTCAAAAAGGAACATCATCATCATATGTCTCGGAATCGCAGTGCTGATCATTTTTAGAATTTTTCCACTTCAACCTTTATTTATGTTAGGATGATAATTTTTATTGAATCAAGATTTAATCAACCAATTTCTTCTCTCATACTGGTGCACAATTTGTCTTTTCTTGTCTCTTTCCCTTCCAAACCAAAATTCGATTATTATTATAATCCTCTCAATTACTTTTTGTTCTTTCACTCTTCACATGAGCAATATAGGAACATTTTTCTTTTTGTTTTTTATTTATTTATTTTTTTTTTGAAAAATTATGGGTGATGGTTTTTCATTGATTTGTGTGGACGCAATGCTCACTCTAGATTGTATTTATTAATAACAATTTGAATTTGTTTTTGCAAAAATCTTTATTTTCAAATGAATAGTTTTATTTTTAACCGAATCGCGAGTCTCCTGGCAATCGATTTGGAGGGACATATGATCCAACAGCCATTATAGAAATAATAACAAAAACAACGATTTGAAGTTTCATTTTTTTGACAAAAAATGCTAACTGGATGATAGCCGTGCAGCTTGTGTCTCATTGGAACATTTTTTATAACTTTTTAAACTTTGTCTAGACAAATATTATTTGAGAAAAAAAGATTGGAGATCGAGAAATAAAATCATTTTTCTGGAAAATTGCTAGAAATTTTATAAAAAGGAAATAAGAATATAATTTTTTTATGGGACGATGCGCGAAGAAAAAAAACGTCAAAAAACGTGTTTCGAAACATAAAAATACAATGCACGAAATGTCGCAAAACGTCGCGAAACTCGAGTTTTTCGACATTGAAATGTCGCTAAACAAGCATGTTTTTTTGTATAGTACGGAAATCACAGACACTGGAGATCGGTTCTTACAATGTTTTTACTTGTTTATAACAGTTTTCACCACCATTTTCTTCGGAAACACGAGACTTGGCAAATGCAATTCACAGAGAACACTTTCATTTGACAAAGATTCCTTTTCAGAAGTTTTTATTCCCTATTTTCGTAAATTAATATCTCTTTTCAACTCCTGATATGTTTTTTCTTCAAAAAAAAATCTATATTTTTTCCACATTTTGAGAAAAAACATGCTTGTTTCGCGACATTTCAATGTCGAAAAACTCGAGTTTCGCGACGTTTTGCGACATTTCGTGCATTGTATTTTTATGTTTTGAAACACGTTTTTTGACGTTTTTTTTCTTCGCGCATCGTCCCATTAATGCTCCGTTTTCAGTGCACGGGAATAATTTCACGGAGGAAGTAATTAGAATGAAGCAGTAAACGTGGAGCATCGTTAAAAATGCAAAATTTAAAGAAAGTCCCTTTTCTCTTTGTTGCTCCATTTTGTCAGTCTCCATAGCAACGAGTTCACTTTTCTTTTCCATTCCTAGAAAATTCATTTATATTCACCATGTTTTATGTTTTTCTAATTTTAATCTATTCAATATTTTCATCTACCGTTTTTGGGCAACTTCGATCAATTGCAGTTTTATATTCAACTCCTCAAAATTGCACAGATAATCAATTTTACAATCGAATAGAACTCAGGTTGGTATTTTTGAGACTTTATTTTTCAAGAAAGAAAAAATAGAAAGAGAAGAGAATAGAGAGAAAGAGAGAGAATCGTTTACGTATCGCGAAGAAAAAGAATAAGAAAAAATAAAATACAAAAAAAATACAATTAATACATTAAATCGGATGGCCCTGGCGAACTATACTTTGGCTCACTGGGTTCCGGAGAAATGAATTTGGAAAATTCCGGTTCCAATGTTTTTTCCATAGTTTCAATCATTTTGACAACTTCGGGCATTGTTTTATTGTGGATGAATCGTATCTGAAAATTAAATTGAGTTATGGATAAAATTATGAAACTTGTTAGTCGACGGAGAACATACCTTGATGAATTCAAGGACAACATAAATCGAATAGACAAAATGAATGCGTTGTGAAAGCATTGAAACACGTTGTTTTCGAATACTTTGGAAAATTTCATCAATCTGAAACAATAAAAGTAGAATTTGATTGAGCTTAGAGGGTCTCAGAATTTCATACCAAAAAAATTTGATAATTTTTGTCGAAACTGATTCAAAAACTCACATCAACTGTTTGATTGTCAAGAAGAAGATTGTAAATCAAATCAGTGTAGATCAAAACAGCCGATTGATTGACACCAGTTTCACAGTGAATGACGATTGGAGCAAATTTGAACTGAAATTAAACAAAAATCATAATTCTAATATGAAACGAGCCTATTCAAGACTTACCACTTTACTCATCATTCTCATCAAAGTCATGACAACTTTTGGACTTGTTGGAACTGATCCTTTTGCCCAATGTGGATATTTCAACAAAATTACACTCCAACCATTTGCACAACCTTCTTGAACAATTTCAAGAGTCAAAACCTGTGGAGAATATTTGAGACTGGTTTGTCGATTATTTTTACAAATGATTTGATAACTACCGTATTCAGTAAAACTATTTCTTCTTGTTGGAAAATATGATGGAAAATCAGGTCCAACCAAGTTTGTCAAAGAAACAATGAGTTCAATTTCTTCGTTGACAACCATATTCCAAAAATCTTCAATAGTACTTGCCATTGGATGTTGAGTGGCAATATAGGCTTTTTTGGCTTTCTCAACAGTGATATAATTTGCATGAATATAATCTTGTCCATCAGTTCCTCCCTTCAATTTAACGCGAGTTGTTTCCAAGCAAAAAACATCTGGGTTACGATTCTTTTGTTGAGTCTCCATATATTTGGTGTATTTTTGATTGTTTGATGCCATATTCATGAGATTGTTCAAAAAATGAGTGCTCAATTTGGTTTCCGTCTCAATTTTGTACATTTTCTCGACAAATTCTTTCATTTTTTTGTCGACCGACATGTTGAAATCTTTGTTCCAATCAATAATTATGGTGCTTTCTTCTTGCAATCTCTGTGTTTTTTCAGCGGTTCTTTGAGCTTTTTCAGCTGATCTTCGACGCGATTTTGGCTGTGCCGCTTTTACAGCTTCAGATCTGAAAACAAAAACGATATTTTGAAAATTCCATCCGCAAATGTGATTCCCCTGTTCCCCAATTTTCAGAATCCCCAGAACCAAAACTCACTTTTCATCTTTTCTATTTCTCCTATTAACACTTGACATACTCTATTGGAGAGCTGCCAATTTCAAAAATACCTGATTTCTAGACTGATTTTTCCAACTGACAACTGACACGTCATTTATGATTTTCCAGAAAAAAACGGGACACGTTTTTACGTTTTATTTATTTTTTTCTTTTTTTTTCAAAATTTATTTTTTTGCAGATGTCAACAATGTCCAAATTCAACAATTCCATCAAAAGATAGATTAGAATGTATATGTTCAGCAGATCAAAAATTGATTTCCAAACAATTATTTATCTCGATTTGTGAAAGTTGTCCTCAAGGAAGCTTTGTGTCACCAGACAAATTGGAATGTATCAAATGCACAAAAAATGAAACTTGTCAATGTTCCGATCAAAATATCTTGGTTTATCGTGAACAATCTGGAAAAATTATAGAAAATGGGGCACTTTGTGAGAGTTGTTCAAAAGGATTCAGAGCAACTGATCAAGGTTTTTGTGAAAAATCTGATGAGGAATGCGAGGTATACCAAAAAAAGATTAAAATTCTTATTTTACAAATTTTCTAGAATTGTACATCTCAAAGTTATAGTCGAATTAAACTTCAAAATGGAGATGACATGCGATCAACTTTTATATCAAAAAATTTGGAAATCGCAACAAAAAAATGTGCGGAACGAGATATGAAATATTGTGAACTTCTTGTGAATCTCTGTGTTCTACAAAACTTTGATTCATCTTCGCCGATCAATTCTTGTGGAATTTTGGAAAATATCAAAAGATCATACAATCCTTGGCAAACATTTTGGGATCCAGTTGATTTTATTGATGATTCAGAATTGGATAAAGACAATGTTATTGATCATCAATATATTTTTGATGAAAATAGTTATATTGATATTGTTTTTGCGAAATATGATGTTGATGGAACATTTGAGGGTTATGTCGATAATTCGAATTTGAATCTTCATTTTTGTGGACCTGATATGTTTCCGAAATCCGCTTATCTTTTTGGTCGAAGATACTCAAAGTCTTGTCAAATAAGGAAAGAACTTTTTAATGATATTCAAATTCAAAGGAAATTTTTTGAAGCATTTATTCGATTTGAAGACGAAACTGGAAGAATAAAGGTAATAGTTTGTGAATATTTTTGTGAAATTATCAATTAATGTTTTCAGATGTATCCAATCCATGTTTTAAATAGTGCAATTCGTGTGAATGATCAATTAGTGAACACAAATGATCGAAATCGATGGGTTTTAACCCGACGATTTTTTTCTTGATGATTATTCTATGATGTTTGATAACTCTTCAAAAATTTATCGATTTGCTGCGAAAATCGAGCTGAACATGATTCTCCAAAAATCAAAAGATGGTTTTATAAACCCTCCATATTTATCAATTAATTATGATGATTCAAGCAATGAGGTTTTATACAGTAATTTTGCAGTGAATTATCTCAAAGACCCCTCGGATTATGATCAGAGACTTTTTTTATTGTTATGTGTATTTGGACCGTTTTCAGTGTTTGTGTCAGCTATTTGTGCTTACAGGTAGGAAGTTTTTTAATTATACTTCCAAGAAATATATTTTCAGCTGGGGTCGACGAATGGGAATAGCATCTCCAGTTGATTCTTCTGCTATTATATATTTTCTGATATGTGTAATTTCAATAGTCGGAGATATTTTCTTCTTATTATTTTCCGTGATTGCAGTTTGGATCACTTTTGCATATAAATCTCAAACCTATATATTTTACAATATGCTCACAAAATATCAAGAGGAACGACTATTTCTTTTTATCATCATCGCATTAATTCTCAAATTTTTGAGTCTTATTTTCACAATGGGATCGCTCGTTTTTCAAGAAACATTTTTCATTGACTGGGAGCGACAAAAACTGAAACAGGCAACTTTTTTAAATGAATAAACCTGAATTAAATTTTCAAATTCCAGACTGGAGATCAAAGTGCATCTCGAGATCTAACAAAATCGAGTGAAACCGAGTCAGTTGTTGTTTGGCGGACATATTTGATAGCAAATGAGTGGAATGAATTGCAACAATATCGGAAAACTTCGCTTTCTTTGCAAATGATTTTGATTATTGTAATTCATGAGTATTTTCAGTATAAAAATTATGCATTGATTGAACCGAGTTTTGAGAAATGTAAGTTTTTTGAGAAAAATAGTATAGGGCTAAGAGAGAGCAGAGAGAAACCAGGAGGTTAGAGTGAAAGCGAAAAAAAGAGAGACAGAGAAACTAGACATCTAGAGATGTCAGTTTTGACTCAGATCTGGAAAAATATGGTTACAATTTCAGAAATTTTGAAATTGGGTCCAGTTCAAAAACTATTCTATTATTTCAAATCTTTTTTCAATTTTCAGATAATGAAGAATCAAGTTACACACAATCAAGTATCCTGACTAGATTTTCAGTTGTTGTATTCATGTATTTATTCGTGGCAGCTTGTCAAATGTTAGGCAAAGTTATAATAGTCGAAAGAATGTTAACTGATCCATTTCACAATTTCATTGATTTATGTTCAGTTTCGAATATCAGGTAAATATTATTTTTTTCTCACAACGAATAAAAATTGTTTTAGTGTACTTTCGCTAACTCATCGTCTTTATGGTTATTATATCCATGGTCGAAGTGTTCATGGAAAAGGTGATGCTGGAATGAGTGAAATGAACGCTTTTCTACAAAGAGAACGTGATAATTTATGCGGTTATCGTGGACTTGAACCATCTTCTGAACTTCAAACTTTCACTTTGAATCTTCCAATACATTTTCGAGAAAATTATGATGAAATATGTCGAATTACAAAACAACCAACATCCGGAGCAATTGGACACGATGCAATGACTTTGAAAATGAATCAGACTGTTGAGGCGCACGATAAAATGAACAATTTTTTGAAAAAGTTTGTGGATCATTCAATTTCTGATCTTGACTATGTTGTAAGAGATCGGCCATTGTTAGAAGCGGTACTTGACGCTGAAATGACCGATACTTCACAAATTGGTACTTTCACAAGGTATGTCAATATTTGCTTTTTTTTTTTGTAATTTCCATAGTAAATATTCAGAGATCCATCTGAAATCGCTTATTCGACATGTTTTGTTTATGGAAATGAATGGTGTTGGACATCTTTCGAATGCCTTCTCACTTGTGTTATTTTCATTTGGTCTGATTCAATAATCCTTGCAGCCTTCATTGTTTTCATAACTTCTAAATTTCTCCGTCTCATATTTTCATATCTTTCAACTGCTCATTTAGTCAAAACAAGTTTAATTGATCAACGATTTTTAGTTTAAAATACAAATAATGAATAAAATTGTCATGAATATATTACAGCTTATGAAAGATGAGTTGAACCAGAATTCATCTGAAAATGCTGACATTTCTTTTTCCAAAGTTGTTGTTGTTTCGAGAATTGAAGTCTGATTCACATGATTTGGTAGACCTTGAATCCTAATTGGTTTTCGAGACTTGAAAGATACCTTTTGACAGGATTCTGAAATTATCAAGATTAAATTGCTACCAATAAATTCAAAATAAATCTGAAACTACAAACTTTTCTCTTTCAAAATCATAATCTGTTTGTGTTTTTTGTCATTGTTCTCCTCAAAATCGAAATTTCGTTCGCATTGATCTCCGGTTGGCGCAAAATACAAGTTCCCATCTTGATAACGAGAAACAAAGCATTCTTTATCATCTTTTTCTCGTGTTGCATATATCAATAGCTTGTCATTATCTTTCCAAGAAGCAAGGCAAGTATATGAACGAACTAGAATTTGTATTTTTTTGGAACTTGGATTAGTAAAAGTTTCAAACCATCAAAAATTAATCCATCATTACAATGATAAGCGGATATATTCATTTTAGTTGGATCTTCACAACTGAAACTGACATCGTAGCAATAATCCAAGTCTAAATCTTTGGGGGAGGAAAACGATCCAAATATTCCACATGGATAAGGAGTTGTATTCAAAACGACAGATGAAGACCATGGAACTGTTTCCCACTGGGTATTATTTCTGGAACAAAATAGTATTAAGGAACAAAAACCTTGAAAAAGGGATTCTTTTTTGTTTCAAGATATTTTTGATCTACAGATTCCAAACTTACGAACAAACTGATGTGTTTGAACTTTCAGTTGGAATCGATGTCTTGAACTCAATCAAGTTTTGACTTCGAGCATTGAAAAGTAGACAATGATAACCGAGGGGATCACCGCTGAAAATAAACCCTCTTTCCAATTTTTCATTTTCTACTAAAGTTTTCTACCATTTAGTTTCTGTATATACTAAAACTCTATCATCAAAAGTTTGAACACAGTGTGAAATTAAAGGTACAGCTCCAACGTGATGTTGTAAATATTGCAATTCATGATTCGAAATAGTCATCGAATCGAATTCTCCTTGCATCCAAGATGGAAAAGAGCACGGAGCAAATGGTTTGGCGTGTGATTCAGAATGGAAATAATATGTGTCGAAGGCAGTTTTCATAGATAATGAAGAACAAGATGAATCATTTGAAAAATATAATTTTTTGACATTATTGTCCTCAATAACAAGCTGTAATGTGAAGAAATATTACTGTGTTATGGAAATTTACAAAGTTACTTACCCCACATCGATATTCCTCATTTTCTTCATTCTTCACAATTAAATATTGTTGATTCTTCTTATCTTTCCACGATCCGAGACACTTCAATGACATGTCAAAATCGGGAAATGAACAATTTCTAAATTGAATTGAAATTGTGGATGAAGATTGACAGTTATCTGACACAGTTCCTTCTCCGTTTTCACAACTCAAAGCTGCATCATTCATTCGATAAGCAACATTGAATCGACCATCAATTGGACTACAACTTGCAGCTTCTTCATCAACAGATCTAAATAAAAGTGCTCCATCTGAAATTGTAACAATCGTCGAATCAAAACATGTCATTCTAGCTTCTCGTTCAGTATCATAACACGTGTCTTCTAAAAAAAATTGGAATGACTTTTTCACTGAGAAAGAACTCGCTCCTTTCCTCAGACATACCGTATTGATGTGCTAATTGCACAATATTTGGTGACATCATAATTGGTGTAACACATCGAAAACAAACACTTTTTCCCATTCTCATTAAACCCATTATATAAGATGTTCCAATTTTCAAATAACAATCACCAAAATTTGAAATCGAAGTTGGTGTAATAACAACATCTTCGTAAATTATCGGATTTTTTTCAGCAACCATTAATCGGTCAGATTGTTTTTTATAAGTTCCATGAAGATTGCTATCAATTTGACATCCAAATAACTGGGAAACTAGGAAAAAAAGAAAAAATATAAAAATAGAAATATTTTGGAAGAACGAGAACATCCGAATGAAAATGTATCAAAATGAGCAAATGTTCATGTTGTTTTGATTGCACTTGAAAAACTTCCGCATTTGACTTGACTCATGAATGTTTTTATTATGTGTTTTCAATTATTACCGGGATGGATGGGAAAGACATATTTACATAATACTTATTTTAATAAAAGTAAACTGGTTGTGGGTTGTGAGTCAAATATGGATTCATGAAACGTCTTCTACGATTTATTGGAGGACGAATTGGTAAAGGAAAACCAAATGGATTGAATTCTACAATTTGTTGAACAGATGGATACGGTCGAATATAATTCACAGGCTACAAAAAGTTGGAATCAATTCATGTTAGATTGTTTTTCACTAACCTCTTCGAATTCTTGCGTTGTTCCAGAAATTATATGTCTATTATTTTTATGATATCGTCTTTGTTCTTCAGGATATTCTTCAACACTTCGTTTATCCCATTTTCTCGGAATTCTCAATCCAGGATCTCGATGTTTTTGATAATCAAACAAACTTGAAAATGGTTCAATCGGTGACAAATTCTGACCATAAGTTACAGTCATATTATCTCTAGCTGCATAAACATTTCCAGAAAATGGGAAACGATATGCAACACCTTTTGATATTGGCATCGGAACATCAATATCTCCTTCAACTCCATCAGCTCCTCCCCAATCTTGTTCAATCTAAAAGGAAAAATTCATAGTTGATTAAAAACCAGTCAGATAATTTTTAGGATTAAAAGAATTTCAAGGATCTGGGAAAATTGTGACAAAATATTTTCCTAAACTTTCATTTCTTAAACTCACTCCTAATCCAAAGTTCATATGATAAGGATTACACATTGGTGGTTTACAACTCATTGGAGCATAACGTTTTCCGAAAACTCCAATTGGCATAGTTGGATGCCCATCTGTAAAATAAAATTGGCTTTATCATCACTTTAAAAAACGTTCCACTCACTTCTATTCGCCTGAACTGCTGGATCACTCATAAGTCTCACAAGATCTTCTTTTTCCAAATCCATCATATTTACTGGATGATTCAAATAACCCATTTTCGTAGTTGTATCATGAATACGATAATACAAACGACCATAAACATCTAACATTCCCCAAGATGGAACTGCTAAATTCATATCTCCTCCGATGTGCTAAAAAAGAAATTATAGGATTTTTTTAGAAAATAAATTAAAAGATCGTACCCGAGAAATAGCTGGATCCAAATCTACACCTCCTGAATATTGATTCTGGAATGGGAAAACAGGCCAATAATCTCCCGAATGTGATCTTCCTGGCAGAGGTTCTAGAGGTCCCGGAATCTTATAAACTTGAGGAGCTAATGGTTTTTTCATATTTAAATCTTGCTTCATTCGACTCGCCAAAAATGAATAGACATCTTTTCCCATATGTTTATCTGGATCATCATCTGGATCTTCATTCGGATTGTCCTCATCAAATTCTTCTGGTTCTCCAGTATTTTGCAGGTCAAGTTTGTTGGTGCCAGAAAAAACAGTTTGCGCCAAAATTATCAAAAAAATTGAAGATCGTAGTAACATTTAGAAAATTAATTAAGAAATAAAAACAAATCGAGAAAAGATTGGATTGTAAGGTGTTTGATAGATAAACAGGATTTTTGGCAAAGTTGTTTCGTTGAGATTTGAATTGATTTTTTTTATTATTGAGTCAAATTTTAGTTCCAGAAAAAATTTAAAAATATACTTTTATCAAATTTGAATTATTTTAATAATTGAAATTATCATGATACACAGACTACCAAAAGGGTATACCAGAAATTCGATTTCTATTACGAGTAGGAAATTCTGGCACAAACATCTAGAGAAAAAAACAATTTGAATAAATTTTTCAAATAACAAATTCTTACCATTTCATTTTCAAGCCATGAAATTGTTGTAATACGGTGACCATAAAGCAGATTGTTTAAGATTAAGAATCGAAAAATATTTTCTGTACATTGATATCATTTTAGGCCTCGATCGTTGCAAAACCCTTGGATAATAAGTTGATGTAAAAGTAGAGTGAGTTTGCGGGAAGATGTTTGCATGAATTTGCGGTTTTTTCCTATCAAACTCTTCTTCAAATAATCTCTCTCGATATTTCCTGATTTGTTCCTCTGGATATTCTTGAATACTCCGTTTTTCCCATTTTCTTGGAATTCTCAAAGCTGGATCTCGATGTTTTTGGTAATCGAATAGACTTGAAAATGGCTCAATTGGTGACAAATTTTGTCCATAAGAAATTGTGATATTATCTCTAGCAGCATAAACATTTCCAGAGAATGGGAAGCGATATGCAACACCTTTTGATATTGGCATCGGAACATCAATGTCTCCTTCAACTCCATCCGAACCTCCCCAATCTTGTTCGATCTAAAAAAAACTTCGCATCAATCTATTGATTACAAAAATGAGTTCTTAACTTGATAAAATTTAAATCAAAGTTCAAAAAAATCTTACCCCTAATCTATAATTCATGTGATATGGATTACACATTGGTGGTTTACAACTTATAACTGAATTTTGTTTTCCAAACACACCAAGTGGCAAAGTTGGATGTAGATCTACAAGAAAAATGGTAACAGAAAGAAATAAACCATTTCTCACTTCGATTATATTGAACTCCAGGATCACCCATAAGCTTAACAAGATCTTCTTTTTCCAAATCCATCATATTTACTGGATGATTCAAATATCCAACTTTTGTAGTTGTATCATGAATACGATAATAAACACGACCGTATAAATCAAACATTCCCCAAGATGGAACTGCCAAATTCATATCACCTCCAAGATGCTGGAAATTGAATATAGATTAGCTGATGCCATGAACATTCAAACTTACTCGGGATAAAGCTGGATCCAAATCTACACCTCCTGAATATTGATTCTGGAATGGGAAAACAGGCCAATAATTTCCAGAATGTGACCTTCCAGGTAAAGGTTCTTGAGGTCCAGGAATTCTATAAACTTGTGGCGGCAATTTCGTCTTCAACCCTGTGTCTTGTTTCATCCTCTTTGCCAGAAATGAATAAACATCATTTCCAATAGGTTTATCTGGATCTAGTTCCTCGCTGTTCGTATTTTCATCTTCAATTTCTTCGAACTCTCCAGAATTTTGAAGATCTAATTTGAATCCGCATTTTGATGAGTTAGGAAAAAATAAGAGAAGAGAAAAGGCTACGATGATCATTGAAAAAATGAAAGTGACTCGAAAAGTAAAAACTTTCTCCAAAAAAAGAGTGAAATGAACAATGATAGGTAGATTTCAAACTTGTTTTATTATTGTTATCAGAGGAAATTATCAGAGGAAGGTTTTACCAGTCATTAGAAATATATGAATTTTCTACGAGAGTTGGGAATACGTGATGGTACCCAGAATTCGGAAGGGTTATACTCCTCAAAGTGTATATCATCATTATAAGAATCAAATGGTGAATTCTACAAAAACATAATGATCATTCATTTTTCTGAACAAAATTACTAACCTCGTTGAAAAATCCTGTTGGACGAATTGGTAAAGAAAAACCAAATGGATTAAGTTCAACGATTTTCTGCACAGATGGATACGGTTGAATATAATTGTCAGGCTGAAAAAATCTTTCGATTTATTTTCAAATTCATTTTTCCCACTAACCTTTTCAAACTCTCGCGTTGTTCCAGAAATAATATGTCTTTCGTTTCTGTATTTTCGAACCTGTTCCTCCGGGTATTCTTGAACACTTCGTTTATCCCATTTTCTCGGAATTCTCAATCCAGGATCTCGATGTTTTTGATAATCAAACAAACTTGAAAATGGTTCAATTGGTGACAAATTCTGACCATAAGTTATAGTCATATTATCTTGATGAGCATAAATTTGTCCAGAAAATGGGAATCTGTATCCGATTCCTTTTGACATTGGCATCAAAACATCGATATCACCATCAACACCATTTGCGCCGCCAAAATCATGATCAATCTGGAGTATAAGAAATGAGAAAGAGAGAGGTCACGTTTCAAATAACGATTTTTTTCATTTTAATAATTTTCAATTTCTGATAAAGTCTAGAAAAAATTTAATATTTAAGATTTTCCTAATTGTTTTTTTTTCAAAAACTCACACCTAACCCAAAGTTCATATGATATGGATTACACATTGGTGGTTTACAACTCATTGGAGCAAATCGTCTCGGAAGAGTAGCCATTGGAAGAGTTGGGTGAGCTTCTGAAAATAAAGTGAATCTGTAATAGCAATTTTGATGATAGACTTACTTCTATTCTCATGAACTGCTGGATCACTCATTAATTTAACAAGATCTTCTTTTTCCAAATCCAACATATTTACTGGATGATTTATGTATCCAATTTTTGTAGTCGAGTCACCAATTCTATTAGTTTATTATTTGGAAGCACAATCAGTAAAACCTTACCTTGTATACATTCTTCCATAAACATCCATCATTCCAAAAGAAGGAACTGCTATATTAATATCACCTCCAATATGCTGCAAGGTGAATAACTAAAGTTATTTTTTAAAATTCAATTTTTTACCCGAGAAGTTGAGGGATCGAGATCAATTCCAGCTGAATATTGATTTTGAAAAGGGAAAACTGGCCAATAATCACTAGCATGTGATCGACCTGGTAATGGTTCTTGAGGTCCTGAAACATAACTAAATAATTAATTGCCTTCGTTAGTAAAAATAAATGCACCTGGAATCATATATGTTCTCGCTGGTAACTTCTTTTTCATTCCCAAATCTTGATTCATTCGACTTGCTAAAAATGAATAAACATCTTTTCCATTTGGCCCATCATTTTCATCAATTTCTTCTGAATCATCCTCAAGTTTTCCAGAATTTTGAAGATCTAATTTGATGCAAACAATAGAAATTGGGAAGAAAAGAAGATACGGTAGAAGGAAATGCATCAATGTTCTTTTAAAATAAAAAGAAACAATAGGGATATCATAAGGTCGAGAGATGAATTGATATTCATTAGATAAATAAGGCGGACACAAAGTTGAACGAAATAAAACAAGAAAAGATAGCTTTTTGAAAGAAAGAAAGAAAGTTCATTATGGTCAATTACATTTTTAATAAATAGAATAATTCAGGTTAATTGATGTACAAGAACCATTTGGATTACAGTATCTCAAGAATTTTTACAATATCAACTTCAGAAGTTTCAAATAATATTTTCAAGTTCTGTTGAAATTCTTAAAACTCTTTTTCAGGGTTCATATTGAGCCGTAATTTTAGGCTTGGTTTCAGGTCAATTTATCCAACTCAACATGAATTTTTGCATTAAAATTATATTTTTTCGTAATCAAACTAAAGATTTTAAAAGAAGACGTCTATCTTCTAATAATCACAAAAGATACAGAATCACTTTCACTTTCAAACTAGAGAAATTTGCTAGGATTTTTTATTCGTTTGGATTTCGAGATGTTTAATGTCAACGTGAAAATCATCCAGTGCAAGATTCAAATCGATTTGTATTTTACACCGTTTGAAAAAAAATCAAGTCACAAAAAATCACAAAACAAAAACAAACTTCAAAAAAATAAAAATATAAAACATAATTTCGGCTTTATTGTTACTATCATCAAGCATTTTGATGAAATAACTTTTTTTTCATTTTTGAATCATATTTTCACCAAGATACTTGTCCATATCGACATAAAACCCAATACACCCCCCTTCTTGTCTCAAAGTTCTAACAACCTTTAGAAACAACCCATGTCTAATTCATATTTCAAAAAAAAAAAAGAAATATTATTTCTCCCGACCTCAAAGTTTTTAGAAGATTCGAAAACTTCCTTTCAAAAGCATCCTCGATTCAAATGAAAATCAGTTTAAAAAATTTCGAACTCTACAGAACTCCCTCCGACTAAAAGTTTACTACTCAATCGAACCCAAGAAAAGAACTAACCTTTGAAATTTCGTCCATTCCACGATCATCTCATCGCTCAAAATTTATGTATTGCTTCATTTTTCCAACATAAATCATCCCGGATATTTTCATCCACGGCCAATCTGAAAAATATTTGCAATTTAATGAAACTTTTGGTTGTGTTTTTTTTTTGATTATTTCAAAATGTGGGCGTCCATACGAGAGAGAAGAGACGAAAAGATAGTGAAATCGCGCGTGATCTACAGTGATTTAAAAATTTGCGAGACTAGGTTAGGAATTTTCTTAATTTAACAGAAAAAAATAATTTCGCAGTGTTTTAGTTGAAAAATAACAAATAATCGTGAGTTTACTTAAAGAAAGGTGTGAATATTGGAAAGCTCTGAAGGTAATAGATCTAAGATTTTAGTGAGATGACTATTTTTGGTTTCAGTTTTGGGATAAAATTTGAAATCTATATAATCTCTAGTTTTTTGTGATTCGAGATTTGTTTATCAAATTCATTATTATATATTTTGTAATTGACATTGTTTGAGTATAATTATCATCATTTTTCAAACGAAAATAACGAAATCCCTCCCCAAAAAACTTACCAATCGCTTCTATTTTTGAAATCACACAAAAATCATCGAAAATTCGAACATCCCAATCAAAATCCTCCAAGTTTTCCACGTTATAAAAAGTATAGTAGTTGGGAATCCTGATTGTGAGATTCTCTCCAAATCTTCCCTATAAAAAAACGCTCAAAAAAAATGAATCTTCGCTGTCCGCAATGAACACCATGACGCAAACTTGCACACATTTTTTTTGGGCAGCTTGCCAATTTTTTTTCCACAGGGCGTAGATTAAAGGGAGGACGAGTTGTTCGTTTGCCGGGTCTTGTCGCGATGTGACGCGCTGCTCGAATGTTTTTTATTTTCTCTTTTTTTTTCGTTTTTTCTCTTTTTTCGCCGAGGTTGCGATCTGGAGACTGCGAAAGGTATGTTAAACTAACATCTTTTTACTTATCATAACCAACTAATTTCCAGGCGCCGCTCTTGCTGCCATATGTGATGCTCAACGCCGAAGAAAGAAGTGAGTATTTTACGTTTCAGAAAGAGAACGTTTTTAAGAAATCTGCAGAAATCTTTTTAAATTTTGCGAGATTTTCACCTCTCAGAATCATTTCAATGTTTGTTAATGTTGATTGCTTTCTCTCCATCATAATTTTTGCTCTACTCTATTCGAGAAAACAGTACTTTTCGAAAAATTCAGAGTTTTTCAACTGCGTCTTTCAACTGTATCAATCTTATTCAGATGCATTTGTTTTTCGGGTTTCTCTCGCGCGTTTCTAACTGACTGAATACTTCAACGTTCAAAGTAATTTTCTTTCAGCCAGCCAGTCGCGGAAGTATCCGAAATGAAGAGGCGACGAATCTGGAATGAGGATGCAACAAACCGCTCGCGCTTTTGGAAGATGATGTAAGTTTTTTTTAACTCAAAGATAACTTTAAAAGCCAAGAAACCGCTTTGAAATTGTTCAATTGTACAATGCCTGGAGAACATGCCCTATAACCACATTTCCTGTAAATGTTTACTTACAACCCTGGATTTTAGTGGTAGTTATAGGCCATGTTCTCCGCGTATTGTACATAACTTGTAAAAAAATAAATTGTAAGCTATTTAACTTTATTCTATCTAATTCTCTGACTTACTTCTGATAAATATTGGGCCAAAAATTAATAAGCTATTATTTTTTTATTTTTAGATGCTTGAATTCAAAATAAATCCAAAGACAACGCGAAAAAGTCAAAATTTTTCAAATAGTGATTCAAAGTTATTTAGGTGCCAACTCAATCGGCAACAATTACGATACTGGAGCATCCAACATCTCGGTAATTTTAATTTTATGTTTTGTTTATTTTTTCAATAATAAATATAATGAAATCACTATCCTTCATAATGTGGTTACTCGGCGTCTCCGAAATCCCGATTTCCGGGTTCACCAGAAAAAAAAGAATCCAAATTATTGTTCAACAGAGCAATTTTGCTGCATCTGGATGGAAAATTAGAGTGCTGCAAAAAAGCATTTATGTGCACGATTGCGTTATGGTGTTTGCGGTTTCGCGTTTTTTTTTTGGTTTTGGCTTTTTACTGGAAGAAGTTGTCTCGAGCTAATTTATGTTCTCGGAGTAAAAATCCCGAGTAAACCTCTACAAATCTGTGCACCAAGTGAACAGATGATTATGCCCGATGGTGAATGAATAAGTTAAAGCATAAGCGCCCTTGGTCCACTAGTATATTTAAATTATGGCACGTGCGCACAAAAATAGAAAATTTATTGAATTTGTTTACTTTTACAACGACACTCCGCTTGCCCGCTGTTTAGCGCAACACGAGAAAATTTTCATTTTTCGTTTTTTTTTCGCTGGGTTTTCAGGTTTCCGGGGAAAATTGGTGGATTTCAGTCAAAAATTGAATTTTTAGATTTCTACAAGACTAGAATTATCGCTTCCAACAGAAAATTCGGGGATTATCGAAGAAATGTGGGTTTTTTCTAGAGAAACACTGTTTCGATTGAAATTTTTGAGTTTTCAGGGTAAAAAATGATATCAAATGTGATTGGTTGAATTTGAAGCGATATTCGATGGGAATTTGACGAATTTTGAGATTTTCGCATTATTTTTATGTCTAATTCATGTTCTGGAGATGAAATTGGTTTGGGTAAGATTTTTCCGTGAACCTTTGAAAAATAGCTGGAAAATTGTTGTGAGACTCAGAAAGCCCTAGGAAATCTATAAAAACAGAAATAGAGTTAGCAGAACTCAATGGTACATGAAAAATTCAAATTTTCTGATTTTCAGCTCGAAATATTGATGGACGATTGGATTAAAATGTCAATAACGTGTAAAGCTTGGAGGATTTTGATTGGGATTTGCGAATTTTCGATGATTTTTGTGCGATTTGAGAAAAAGAAGCGATTAGTGAGTTTTTTTGGGGCGGGATTTCGGAAAATTGAGAAAATCGATGAAACATTCTGTAAAATTGGGAAAATTATTAAAAAAATCTTTAAAAATTAAAAAAAAAGTAATTAGGAAAAAACAGATCTGCTACAAAATTATTCAAGAATGAAAACCGGTTTGTCTTTGAACGTTTAAATACATTATCGATGACAATGAACTTTTCATTTTTATCTTTTGGAGATTTTGTTCAACTTTGTGCCCGCCTTATCTTTTCATTTATCTCATTCGACCTGTTTGCTTTCTTGTTTAGAGATATTTCTAATAATCATTTGTTGTTTCATTTCTGATACCGTATTTCTTGCTTTTTTATTTGTATTTTTACCACGAATTAAGGCCCTAATTGCTCGATTAAAAAATCGAAGTTCAACAATCATTTGAAGAACAACAAACCATTGAATATTTCCATAAAATAAGCATTCATAAAGAATACCGATTTCATCTCAAAAATAATATTTGTTGAAATTTTAACACAATTTTTCTAACTCGATCAATAATTCTCTTTTACAAAGCATATTATTTTTGGGAGATGGTTTTCGTTATTTTCGATTGAAAAATGATGTTTTTAACTATTTCAGCTGAGAGTATTGGTTGCGAATGTGTTTTCAAACCATTTTTCAAATTATACTATTTTTGGTAAACTTTTTTTCGGTCAAAAATTTGTAAATCTGGAAGTTCTTCGAATTTTACGTATCTTTCTTTTTTGAGTCAAAACACGCAATTTCAGCTTGTTTTTTATTTAAATTTTCTTTTTTTGCATTTTAATTTTTTTACAATTTTTTTGTTTATTTTTCATCAGTTTAACAATATTTATTATCATGGTTATTAAAAAATATAAAATATTAAATACAGAAAATGTTTTCAATAGTAATAATACATATACGGTGTTTTTCTATTAGATCTTTCAAAGTATGGTGTATTTCCTGTTGAAAGAACATTCGATGGATTTTGATGAGAATAATAGTAGAATGGAGACTGAAAAAAGCAATTGGTATTATTTGGAATGAAGACAAAAAAGAACCTACCATTACAAGTGGTTTCCTCGCAGGTATTTGTGCTCTTTTTGGATGATAAAATGAAGATTGCATCAATGGAACATTTTGCATGAAGTTTGGATAAAATTGTGGCCTGATTCGATATTTTCGAACAGGTTTTGGGTTTCTCTCAATGAATCTCTCTTGATATTTACGAATTTGTTCTTCAGGATACTCTTGAATACTTCGTTTTTCCCATTTTCTTGGAATTCTCAGAGCGGGGTCTCGATGTTTTTGATAATCAAACAAACTTGAAAATGGTTCGATAGGAGATATATTTTGACCATAGGTAACTGTGATATTATCTCTAGCAGCATAAACATTTCCAGAGAATGGGAAACGATATGCGATTCCTTTTGATATTGGCATCGGAACATCAATATCTCCTTCAACTCCATCCGAACCTCCCCAATCTTGTTCGATCTAAAAAAAACTTCGCATCAATATATTAGTTACAAAAATGAGAATTGGGTGTTATTCTAACAACTTACACCTAATCCAAAGTTCATATGATATGGATTACACATTGGTGGTTTACAACTCATCGGAACATATGACTTTCCAAACTTTCCCAACGGCAATGTTGGTTGAGCATCTAAAATTCGGTTATTTGTTATGAATCCTATAAAATTATCTACAATTCACTTCTATTTTGTATCATTGATGGATCACTCATAAGTCTCACAAGATCTTCTTTTTCCAAATCCATCATATTTACTGGATGATTTACATATCCGATTTTAGTTGTTGTATCTCGAATACGATTAAAGAAACGACCATAAATATCCATTATACCCCAAGATGGAATTGCAAAGTTGAAGTCACCTCCAATATGCTGAAATAATTCAGATTTGTTTTTTTTTAGAAAAGTGGAGTTACCATACTCTAGAGATAGATGGATCTAAGTCGAGACCTCCAGAATATTGATTTTGGAATGGGAAAACGGGAAAATAATCTCCCATATGAGTTCTGCCAGGCAATGGTTCTTGTGGTCCTAAAATATTTTGACTTTTTAATTTTCTGAATTTCTAACAAATAACTCACCAGGAATCATATAAACATTAGCTTTGAGTGGTTTTTTCTTGACAATATCTTGATTCATTCTTTTATACAAAAATTCATACATTGATTTCGATCTTTTGTCAGTTGATTGCTCATCTTCTTCCTCTTCTTCTAGATTTTCATCAATGTCTCCTCGATTTTGTAGATCATATTTATCCAATTGAAAACTTTTATTAAAGTATAAGAATAAAAAAAGGAATATGAGATAATCTCGCATTTTTGCTAGGACAAAAATGGCTAATGATAAAGGTATTGGGATAAAAGAATCGAGATAAAACCTGTTCAACTTTGAACGAAAAATAAAAAAAACGTGTTCTATTTTTTGTGACCAACCAAAAAAAAATCAATAACAAAATTTGTAATTCATTTTATTAATTTGTCAAAATTTAAACTACTCGCGAACAAATAAGAAAATGGCACCAAGAGAATCATATATGCAAGTATGTTGGGGTTTTCGGCAAAAAAAAACTCAAATACAATATAAATTTTTCTAGATGCCTTTATCATTTCCCGAAGAAAATATTGCAGAAAATGTTGCTTATCCACAATTGTTTCAAAATAATAACACAAACCGAAGAGTTCCACATGGAATACACGTGTTTTGTAAAAAGTGTTTTAGGCGTTTCATGTTGGGAGAAGTGGGTTAAATTTGGGGATTCTAACAAGAGAAATGTGAAATTTATAGACAATTTTCAAATTTTACTTGTTGATGGCTTGGTGTTTAGGATTGGCTGCGATAATGTTATCACAACATAAAAACAGTAAGTGATGGGGAATGGTTGAAAGCTTGAGAAGAGTTTTGAAAAAATCGTAATTTTTTTCAGTAATTTTTTCGATTTATGCAATGATCTATTTGCTAGCTCAAGTATTTGGCCTATTAGGAACAATCTCACATGTTCGAAAAATCTTCATACCGTATGTTATTGTTTTGTGGTTAAATATAATGGTCAATATGTTTTTCTTGATTCATTTTGGTATTCGATGTGTTTCAACAAACTATGAAAGAGATGTTCAAATAATCGGTAAAGTTTTTCAGGATACCAACAAAAACTATTCTCATTTTTGATTTTTAGGTTTAATTCAAGTTGTTGACAAGATAATGTTTTCAAATGCATGGCTTTGTGTGATATTCTCAATTTTATATCTCATTTATAATTTTCTCTGTCTTTTTTCGGTTATCGAACAATGTGATAAATTCGAGAAAATTCAACATAGAAATGAATTGAGAAGACGTGAATTATTAGTTCGAAATGCAATAATTTATGATAGATTGATCAATTTGAATAATCGAGAAAATTCGAATAATCAACAACTTGTCACTACTAATCCAGATAGCCCTCCAAAATATTCGGTGAGAAATTGAAATTTAACCTCAAATTAAATTTCGAATTCAGAATTTTATCAGAGTATCCATTTTCAGAGCCTTGATATAAAATCACATATTCTCGAATCGCCTCCGCCAAAATATTGTAATCTTCAAATGATGAAAGAAAATTTCAACGATGAAAAATCTGAAAATGAAGAAAAATAAATATGTTTGCGTGTTCACGTGTTCTGCTTTGATTTCTTAAACAAAAAATTAAAATTTCGTCATTTCTAAACGTTATCAATTTCAAAAGCATCTTTCATTTTTTTGTGAGTTTGAAAAAAACTGGAACTAGATTTTGCAACATTAAACGGCGTTTGTGTTTTTTTTCTTTCGCACCTTTTGATGAGCAAATATCAAATGTTCGTATGTTCGCATAGAAAAACTCTTGATAAAATACCGGTTTTGATTTCTAGTTGATATTTGAGTAGTATAAAAGTGAGCAAAAATAATCAGTTATCATCTTGTGTTTAACTATGCGTTTCTCAACAATTGCTTTCTTCTTTGCTTTTGCTGCATTTGTAGTTGAGGTAAGTTTCCAAAATTTCTAACTTTTATTGGTTATTCAAGTATGGATTTTTAGGGAAGTGTTTTACGTGAAAAAAGACAATGTGGATGTGCTGCTGTTCAACAATCACAATGTTCTTGTCAACAAGTTCAACAAACTAATAGTTGCTCATGTCAATCAACTCCAACTGTTCAACAATCACCATCTTGTTCATGTGCTCAACAAACTCAACAAGTTCAAACTGTTCAAGTTCAATCAAATCAATGTGCACCAGCTTGTCAACAAAGTTGTTCTCAACAATGTCAATCTTCTCCATCAGTTTCAAATTGTCAACCACAATGCCAACAACAATGCAGTGTTCAATGTGATACACCATCTACCACTACACAAGCTCCACAAGTTATTCAAATTCAATTGGAAGTTCAAGCTGCTCAATGCCAACCACAATGCCAGCAACAATGCCAATCATCTTGTGTTGCTCAACAGCAACCAGCTCAACAATGTAATCAAGCTTGTAATACTCAATGCTCAAATCAATGCCAGCAACCACAATATACACCAACCACTACCACAACGTCTGCTCCACAAGTCATTCAAATTGTTCTTCAAACATCAGTTGCTGAATCAGCTCAATGTGCTCCACAATGTGAATCTTCTTGCCAACAACAATGTGTCCAGCAACAGCAACCAGCTCAACAATGTCAATCTGCTTGTCAATCGACTTGTTCTAACTCATGCCAAACTGCTGCTTCCCAATCAAATGTTCAACAATACCAACAAACTTCATCAAATATTCAACAATATCAACAAGCTAATACTATGGCTTGTAATCCAACAACATCTTCAAATCAATGCTCGTGTCAAACAAACTATTCCCCATGTGGAAATGGACAATGTTGCAGAAGAAAGTAATTACGAAAACAACAGAAATCGAATAATTCAATCAGTTTGTGTGTAAATAATGATCAAACTATTAAATCGTAACCAATAAAAACATCCATTTTTTATAATTTATTTCATTCTTCATGGTCCACGGCCTTTTACAGGATAAATCGAGAGAGTCAGATAGAAAACGAGAAAACTTATCCAAAAAGAAATCCAAAACACGAAATTCACAAATAATTTGATCTATCGTTTCGAAACCAAGCGCGGGAAACGTTTTTGAATTCGAAAATATTTGAAAAACATGTTTCCCGCGCTTGGTCTCGAAACGAGGACTCGAACTGCAAATGGAATTGATGTTTCGTATTTCCATTTGGAGGTGGTTTTTTTTTCTCTCTGCGTCTCTCTCAACTTGCAATTTTCCCTATTTTTGAAAGGCCGTGGATCCAATGATATTGAAATAACTCTATTGACAGTTTTTCCGGAAAAGTCGGTTTCCAAAAATCAGTGTAAACATTCGAAAAATTGCGTTTTCCTTACAACTCGGTCAGAAAACGGCGGGGTCGCTACCAATCGGGGCGGAGTCGCTACACGTTTTGGGGAACAAAAAATGTGTAGCGACTCCGCCCCGATCGGTAGCGACTCCGCCGTTTTCTGACCGAGAAGGAATAGTTCCCAAAGTTAATTTCACTTTGAACATTTTTCAGAAAATTTTTTTTCGAGTTTTTTGAAATTTTTTTCAAGAACATGTTTCCAGTATTCTAAGTAGTGTCGATTTTCGAACTCTACGCAAAAAGTTACGTATAGTAACACGTTAAAATCGTCAGGTATCCCTGCTCTCCCAGAGATGCTGGAAATCGGTTTTTTTTTTGTAAAAAGCCAACCATTTTGAGAAAGAAATGTTTGCATGCAAAATCCACTTGGGGTTTTTCTTACCTCACCAGATAGTATAACCTATAGTAACAACTTTTTTCAGGGAGGAAATTGGGGAACTATTCCTTGTAAGAAAAACAACAGTCGTTTCGAGACTAAGCGCGGGAAACATGTTTTTCAAATATTTTCGAATTCAAAAACGTTTCCCGCGCTTGGTTTCGAAACGATAGATCAAATTATTTGCGAATTTCGTGTTTTGGATTTCTTTTTGAAAAAAGTTTTCTCGTTTTCTACATGACTCTCTCGATTTATCCTCTAAAAGGCCGTGGACCATGATGAATGAAATAAATTATAAAAAATGGATGTTTTTATTGGTTACGATTTAATAGTTTGATCATTATTTACACACAAACTGATTGAATTATTCGATTTCTGTTGTTTTCGTAATTACTTTCTTCTGCAACATTGTCCATTTCCACATGGAGAATAGTTTGTTTGACACGAGCATTGATTTGAAGATGTTGTTGGATTACAAGCCATAGTATTAGCTTGTTGATATTGTTGAATATTTGATGAAGTTTGTTGGTATTGTTGAACATTTGATGAAGTTTGTTGGTATTGTTGAACATTTGATTGGGAAGCAGCAGTTTGGCATGAGTTAGAACAAGTCGATTGACAAGCAGATTGACATTGTTGAGCTGGTTGCTGTTGCTGGACACATTGTTGCTGGCAAGAAGATTCACATTGTGGAGCACATTGAGCTGATTCAGCAACTGATGTTTGAAGAACAATTTGGATGACTTGTGGAGCAGACGTTGTGGTAGTGGTTGGTGTATATTGTGGTTGCTGGCATTGATTTGAGCATTGAGTATTACAAGCTTGATTACATTGTTGAGCTGGTTGCTGTTGAGCAACACAAGATGATTGGCATTGTTGCTGGCATTGTGGTTGGCATTGAGCAGCTTGAACTTCCAATTGAATTTGAATAACTTGTGGAGCTTGTGTAGTGGTAGATGGTGTATCACATTGAACACTGCATTGTTGTTGGCATTGTGGTTGACAATTTGAAACTGATGGAGAAGATTGACATTGTTGAGTACAACTTTGTTGACAAGCTGGTGCACATTGATTTGATTGAACTTGAACAGTTTGAACTTGTTGAGTTTGTTGAGCACATGAACAAGATGGTGATTGTTGAACAATTGGAGTTGATTGACATGAGCAACTATTAGTTTGTTGAACTTGTTGACAAGAACATTGTGATTGTTGAACAGCAGCACATCCACATTGTCTTTTTTCACGTAAAACACTTCCCTAAAAATCCATACTTGAATAACTAATAAAAGTTAGCAATTTTGGAAACTTACCTCAACTACAAATGCAGCAAAAGCAAAGAAGAAAGCAATTGTTGAGAAACGCATAGTTAAACACAAGATGATAACTGATTATTTTTGCTCACTTTTATACTACTCAAATATCAACTAGAAATCAAAACCGGTATTTTATCAAGAGTTTTTCTATGCGAACATACGAACATTTGATATTTGCTCATCAAAAGGTGCGAAAGAAAAAAAAAACACAAACGCCGTTTAATGTTGCAAAATCCAGCTTGCGTAAATAATGATTATTTACACAGTACTTTTTATAACTCAAAAATCATATGTTTTCCAGAAACTAACAGAATATTATCATAAAATTGAAATAAAATGAATATAATCAATGATGATTCAATGGAAACTGCAATCGAACCTGAAAATCAACAAAATCAAAGAAGACCTGGATGGTTGAGAAAAATTAGATATCACACTTTCAGATTTTTGGATTGTATTGGAAGTGAAAATTTTCTGTTCACACTGATGTTTTGTCATTGGATTATTTCTTGTATGCTGCATATGACATTCAGTGATCGAAGTAAGATAAATCTCTCAATTTAAAATATGTATTTTTCAAATTTTATTTTAGGTCAAGTTATTTCTGAAATTATATCCTTTCTCGCGTTGGTATATTTTCTAGCTATGCTTCTAGTTTTCATATCAATTTTGAGTGGCGTCAATAGTTTTCTTGTTCCTCTTGGCACTATTTCGGTAACTTTTCTCAAATTTTATATACAATTTGAACTCCAACCTCATGTTTTTTTTTCAGTTTTGTGTCCAATTATTTTTGATTTATCTGATTGTTTCAAATATTTTTGGAATACAAAACGATAACCCAATTTCTGTGATTATCTGTTCAAAAAATCCCAACTCTTGGACATGCAATTTATTATCCGGAAATGGTGGAATTCTACATGTTTTCGCTTTGACTTTTGCCTTATTTTTCTACACCGCAACAATTTTTGCGTTGTCAGATCAAGCTGCGAGAAATTCAGTGGCGGTGAGATCAGAAAACTCACATCATTATTCAAAATTTTTGAATGTTTTAGAGACAACGACATATTTTACGTGATAGAAATTTGATGATGTGGGAAACGGAAAATGTTCGACAACCAGTTGGACCTGTGAATTTGGATGAGCCACCAAGATATTCTGTGAGTTTTTCTTTTTTTGAAAACAATTGAAAATGAAAGAAGAACATTTTCCACGTCAAAATCTTCCGGTAATTCATTCCTGATTTTTTTTAAAATGTACAATTTCAGACACTTGAGCATCCATCAACCCCGCAACGTCAGCAATCAATTCACACTGAAACTTCACCACCAAGATATAGCTATTGGGAACGCACATTTGTAAGTTCATCATAAGAAAATCTAATCTGAAATTATATTCTGAAAATTTCCAGAATAACCCGAAGAGATCGACTGATACAAAATCAACAACATCGCCGAAAAATGTTTGAAAAAGATTTATTTTGGGCATTCAAAAAACAAGAACCAGTAAATTTGATGCAAATTTTCTTTTCTGACAGATATGTACACAAAAAAAACATAAGAATAATTGGAAATTTGAAAGATACGGGATACATAATTAAAATAATATTGACTAATAAGAGTTTCTCAAATAAAAAATAGGAAATGAAGAGAATTTACCGGAACGAGATTTGAGGAAGTTTTTTTGGGAATTTGAGATTTATTAGGTTAAACATCGGTTCCGTTTTCTGGATCTCCTTGAACTGAATTCACACGCGATGGTTTGGCACTCCATTTTCGGACAGCAAAAATAACAGTCATTGCAAGAACAACGAGAGCAATTGCAGCGGCACAACCCATTAATACAATTGGCCACGCGAAAGGACGATTTCCGAGGGAACCAGTATGAGCGAGAAGAGATGATTCAGATACCTGGAATAATAGATAATTAATTAGGGTTAACCTTAGATAATGCTTAGTCATCACAATCTTCTACATTCCAAAAAAAAAAACAAAAAACGACACTGACCCTCACCTCTGGAACACAATATCGTCCCTCTTGAATATATCCAACCGAACAATCTTCACATCTTTCTCCAGTATAACCAGTGCTACACGAGCATTCATTATTATCATTAACCTCTCCTCCGTTTTCACAAATCAATGGAATATCGCAAAATGGTCCGGTATATCCAAGATCACAAAGACAATGTCCTTCCAAACCGCTTGGTGAGATTCCATTATAACACGAGCGAATTTGGCAGAAAAGACCAGTCCAACGATCCGAGCATTCGCATTTTCCATTTACAAGTTTTCCTTTTCCTGGCTCACAATATGTCACATTTTCACATCGATCTCCAGATAATCCAAATGGACAATGACATTTGGTTTGTGCTCCTTTTCCTTTCACTGAATACAATCTTCCACCATTTGTACATTTTTCGATTTCACAACGATCTCCAGTATAAGCTTTTGTGCATTGACATTTTCCCTGAAAAAATATAATATGACGGTATTCAAAGATGAATTGGTCGAGGGATTACATGAAGGGATTAGTTTGCGCGGCATGGGGTATACACTTTAAAAGGTGGCGGGTTGAAGAAGGGAGAGAGCGAAGAAGAGGGGTACTTTAAAGGGGGTACGGGCTAATCAAAATTTTATGGAAAAAAATATACCATCTGAAAGAGGAGGTTTCGTTTAGTATGTTCCCGAATTTTCATAATTATTTTTCACGTTTGAATACCATTTTTTCACGCGCAAACACAAAAAAGTTGCGCTCGACCTCAGAGAAATAGCGCACAAGAAAGAGAGACACAGCGCATAGAAGGGGCGGGGCTTAAATACGCTGTGTCTCTCGTGTCTGCATGCTATTTCTCTGAAGTCGAGCGCAACTTTTTCGTGTTTGCGCGTGAAAAAATAGTATTCAAACGTGAAAAATAATTATGAAAATTTGGGAACATACTAAACGGAACCTCCTCTTTCAGATGGTATATTTTTTCCATAAAATTTTGATTAGCCAGTACCCCCTTTAAGTGTCCGTGTCAATTTGCTCTTTTTTTTGAATGGATGATTTATGTGGGATTTTATATTGTCAAAGAAGAGAATTGCTAGTTAGTTTGATACATTTTTTGGGAAATTTTGGAATCAAAGATTTTTGGTTTTTTGGATTTGGAACATTTAAAAAAATATTTTCAAAAATTGACCCTTTTTTATGAAAATTGTGAATCAGATTAGATTTCGGTATTCAATAAAATATTCAAACCACTTCAAAAAACCCATAAAATTCTGCAGGTGCTACAGTAATCTAAAAATTTCAATGTCTTTCGATAAAAATGAGAATATTCAAAGTTTTTGGAGAAAATATTATGGCTAGAGTAATCTATCGATCTTTACAGAATTTCTAGAATTTTGCTTTTTCCTCACCACAAAAGTTTCTAGGAAATCTAAAATATTGGAAGATTGCCAATCAAAAAAAAATGCCAAACTCACATCTTTCCATTCTCCAGAATGTTCACAGTATCCTGGCGGTGGTGTGCTTCCTTCAAAATCCATCAACAATTTCTGACTCATCGAAAAAACCACACTTGACATAACCATCAAACCGAACACTTGTCGACCGAACATTTTGTCGCCGTTTCGCTTATTTCTGAAAAGACTTGACTTAATTAACTAAATCCCAATGTTTATACAAAATAATAATAATAAGAAGAAGAATAATAAAAACAAAGAAGAGGGTCCTTTCGACTTCCTTTTGGTTTTGTTTATACTAATTTCGAGAAACAAAACAAAAAGGAAATGGAAATTGGAAGAAGAAGAAGCTGAACTTATAAAAGAAGAAAATGAGAAGAGCGGAAATCGAGTATCACTATGTTTTATATTAAAATTAGAGTGTGCGTATGTGTCTGTCTCAATAAAAATTGGAGTGGTTTTGCACCACGGGTGGTGGTTCAAAATTAAAAACATGGAATTGGGGGCGTGACTGAAGGGCGGCATGATTTGAAACATCTAGAAGGGGGTGCTAAAATGACACGAGTGTGAGAAGTTTGAAATGTGTTGTGTTGATGAGCGGAAAGAACTTTTTTGATGTCAAATGTGTTTATGAGAAAAATGTTTCGAGAGAGTTCTGAATATTTGATGACGAAATGGGACTTCTTATAAATTGGATCAATTCCGAATTTTTCGAATTCAGAGTAAGGTTTTATAGAAATTTTGAATTTTTAATTAAACCAAATCTAGCTAATTTCAATTTATCAAGTTCAAATTAAACCCGAAAAATTTTCGAATTGTGTGTTCCTACTTCTAATTCGACACAAAATGAAATAAAAATCAAGCATGACTGCGACATACAGACGCCAAAACCAAAGCCAAAACCTCATTGCCATATAATTAAAACTGTACATATTACATGGATATATTTGTATTCATAATTACACGTCCTGTTATGTCATAAATAAATACAGGATATACCAGCATAACACAAAATTTCACACTGTGTCGGCACGCTTGGAAGAAACACCAGAAAGGTAACACTTTCTTCTTCAAAAATACAATTTGCACAAAAAATGTTGGCTCAAGATAAATAAATGAAAAATAATAGAAAATGATGATGTTGATTATCCGGAACCTTGCCACGCCCTTGTTTTACAACCTTCTGGGTCATTACCAAAAATAGGAAGAAGAGGGACCATAAAGTTGCATGATTTACGATATTTTGATGAACCGTGACAGGAAAAGACATATGCAAAAAAGGGAATAAAAAATAATGGGAAGAAATCTTGGATTATGAAAATGTTGGCGGCAAAGAATAAAGATATTACGGTTTTTGAATAAGTGTGTGGAATAATTTTCTGGAAGCAGATGGGAGCAGCTAATTAGGAGAAGAGGCAGATTGCAAGATCAGATAAGACGGGCTTTAAAATAACATAGGTGAATTTTTTTTTTGAATTTTCAGAGTGTGGAATTTAATTTGGGTTTTTTTTTAAATTCTAGGATAAACATGAAAATGAAAAACTTCAAAAATAGAGCTGTAAATACCTTATTATTTTCAGAATGAAAGAATTTTCTAGATTTCCAGAACGAAACAAAAAAGTGGAACATCTTCCATCCAATTTTCGTTCTTAAAAGTCATCCCACTTTTTTCCAATTTCGGAAACAAAACAGGATCCAACCTACTTGCTTGCAAAAAAAAAGTGACATGCATCCAAACAAGAAAAGTAATAGATAGTAGGAGTGAAATTACAATTATAATAATTCCTAACACAATTTTTGTTGCCTCACTGAACATTTCACAAGTAGCAAAACAAAAACAAAAACATAAACAACAGGTGAAATACGTGAGCCGGCTACTCAAGAATCAGTGACCCGAATGACTAAACATGTTGAAAATAATTGGGGGTGGAGACTGGTGAAAAAATGGGCGGGGCTTAAATGAGAAGAAGAAGAGGGTGGATTGGATGGGTGAATATTTTATGATGAGAAAAATTCGTGGATCAGAGAATAGATAAAGGTGTGATAATGGGAAAGCGGATAATTTACAAGGTGATAACATGAGAGCCAATAAATTTGTTAGAATCAAAATGCGTTGAACTTGTTGGGCTTATGGGAATGTTTGAAACGTATGTCAAATAGGTAAAGAAAAAATCTTTGATTCTGAAAATTCAAATTTTGAATAAGAATCTAATTGTATGTCGGTTTCACAATCAGGAAAAAATGAAAGAGTTTTCTGATAATTTCTGAATCAAGAAAAGCTTTGAGATACGAAAATCAGGAAACTTTTCTGAAAAGATGGAAATTGGTTACAAAAAGTTAAAAATAAATTTTCGAAAAAACTTACTTTCTATATATTTTTTCATGAATATGAGATTGTTTTCGATAAAACTTTGGATCAAAATTCTGATTCAATCTTTTTCCATATAAACTTCCACGGTATTTTGAAATTTCCAAACTTTCTCAAAACCATTTCCCAAAAATTGTGAGAAGCTTTACCTTCCCACTATCACACCATATGCCAATGAGAATTCCCAAAACTACACCAATTTTAGTTTTAGCACCTTGGTGTGATGAGACCGGATATTATACTGTAGTGTGAAAACATCCCTTTTCACACGCTTGAAAATTATCTTCATCTAGAAGTAATATATTACAATTATTCTAGAAAAACTAAATAATTTTGATAAAATCGCAATAAATTTGAAAATTATTCAAAATTATGAGATACCTTGCCAACAGCAAAAAAAAAGAACAAGTTCAAGGACAGAAGCAGAATAATGTGAGGAAGAAAAAGAAGAAGAAACAAAAAGTATTTTGAACCAAAAAAATAGTTGGAGGAATAGAAGGAACATTAGCAAAATGAGACAGACAGGTGTGAAAATACCATTGAAGAGGAAAGAAAATTAGGTTGATACATTGAATAATGTGTGAAAATCGGAAGTGGAAGTGGAAACAAAATTTTTTTGAATTTTTGTAATTATCAGGAGTATTTTTGAATTTTAAATAAGATTCAAGTGAAAATTTTTTTCCGAACTGAATCCAAAAAATTAAAATTTTTCTGATCAGAATAATTCTACTAATGTGAAAAGCAAATCTTTTTCTGGTGAAAATGAAAGTTGAGATTTTTCTGAGATGCATCCCAACTTCATTAGAATATTAAAAAATCCCGGGATAATCCTCCGAACTTTCAAAATTTTGCCTCTCGCCATGATACTTTTTCCTCTCCTTTCCTTATTTTTTCATCCACCCATCCACAAATTGGTGGTATTACATAACACGCTAATTAGAAGCGATAAAATCTCGCGCACGTTCTACGACCACAAAACCCCACAATTATTTATTTATTTCTACAGTTTTGCATCGAGGAATAATCCTTTTCTTTTCTACGTAACATATTTCCTGACATCTGCGTGAATCCAAAAAACAACAATAGAACAAGAAATTGGAGAGAGAAAGAGATGACAATTAATAACATGAGCAAGAAGAAAATTATTGTATTGAATCCAAAATATGTATGTACATATTGTGCAAAGGTGGCAAAAAATTTGAGGAGATGGGCTGATTTTTGGGTCATTTATCGTGAGAAAAATGTTAATTTTGGTATCAAAACCAACCAGTAGCATATTTATGATCGCGAAAAAAAATCACACACATAAAATAAATGTCTATATTTGAAAAAATAATTATTTTCGGTGGAAAGGTTACGGTAGATATTTATCTTCCTTAAATCTATATTTTCTGTCACCTTTTTGTCTGTGTTTATTTACATAATCGAATTATCCAAAACTAATATACTCAAATCACAGCATGATTCCTTTTTTTCTTTCTATCATAACAAATTGATTTATGTTCTTCTTTTTCGTCTTTTCCATAAGTAGATACTAAATATTTTCCAAATCTACCGTAATCCTGATAACATCTCAATTTGTACATTTTTTCAAAATTGCAAGCAGGTGCTTTCAAATTGCGCAACCGTGAGAAAACAAAAAAAATGTTTTTTCGAAATGTTCTTTTTGTGTTAGTTACATTTGAAAAAAGAGAAAAAAACAAAAGCCTTCGAGGTCACTCGATTTGTTAACAAAAATTTTGAAAAGAAGTTTACTCACAATAAGTTTTTGAAAAAGTTTACTATGAGCTGAGCAAAACAAAATCGTTTCATCATCAAATCTCGACAAGATGATTTATGTTGAATTATTACACAGATGCCTAGTCGTTTTATTGTGATGAATATGTTACACGTAAACAACTAGTTAGAAATTGTAAATTGATGACAAGACAGAAGACACGAGTTTCATTTCGAAAATATTTTTGTTTAAAGTTTGTTTAACTTTTCGTGGGAAGATAGATAAATTGAAATGAAGTGGAAAATTTAGAAACTTATGATTTTGTGATCTCTAGATTTCAGGCTCTATAGTCGATCTTGGGCTATACCAGAGTAAAATTCAAACAATTTATCTCAAGAAGCTGCCAAAAAATCACAATTTCCCGATCTCCCACAGCGCAAAAGAAACCCTAATTAGCATGTCATTTTCCAAATGACACCTAGTTATATAACAGTTTTTGTTGTCACCGGCTGAGCTGCTTCTCTCTTTTTTTGCCTCTCTAACCAATACACCATATGGGATACATAATAATTACAAACACGAGGCAAAAAAAACCCCATATACAGCTGATATTCGAATAATGTTATTATTATATTATTATTGTGTTGTGTTGTTTCTTCTTTTTTTTCTTATTGTTGTTTTTGGGGCAAGCATGAGATGACACATTGGGTGCACCAATGTTTATTAATTTTTTAAGAAGGAAGAGAAAAAAGAAATGAGAAGGAGGATCAGAGCAGGGAAAATTGTATATAAAATACTATGACATGGCATGAAGCATCAGATGATTTTTTAAGATTGGGGATCATAAGTTACAAAGTTTTTTTTAGCTGGAGCCTATGGAAGCTAGAGAGTCTGGAACTTAGAAGTTTTACTATTCCTGGGATACTCTTAACTAAACTTTTTTGTGGCCTCCCACCTCCAAAAAAACTTTCATAAAGATTCACAAAGAGAAGTTCTTGAGAAGGTTGGCAAATCATTGTCCCTTACAAATTACCCTCTCAACCTTGTAACTTGACACTTTTTGCTATTTAT